GGTAAAGATTAGTAGTTCTAATCCTAATCTCTAAAGGCTTATACTAGTAGAAGTACTACCTAAACTAGGAGTCTAGAACTTTATTAGGCAATTAATACCTATAAATAGCTATAGGGCTTAGAGTATAAAGGTAAGCTATAGCATCTATAACCTCTAGCTAGAGGTAAGTAGGAAGGTTTGCTTTAATCCTTATTTTTATAGATTTAGTAATAAGCTCCTATCCTACTCTTTCTACTAATCTATTTAGCTTATAAGTATATAATAGTAGAGTAATAATCTTGATTCTTCTTTCTTTTACCTATTCTTTATATTTTAATTAACCTCTCTATAGTCTTATAGTAGTAACGTGAGTGTATAGCGAGTGACGCAGTCAAGCGAGTGACGCACCCCAACAAACCATTGGGCCTTCTACGTGCAATTACTCAACACCACAACATTATAATGTAGCTAACAAGATATATCCTTAATCGCTAACGTCTACTACATCTTTTTTACACGTGCGCAAGTTGTGCCCTGTCTCACCGCAGCGCTTGCAGTGCCTTTTGCCCTGCTTGCCTGCACCTGTTCGGGCCCTACCCTCACGCGTTTCCCCCTCTACCTGCGCCTCAACGTCGCGTTGGGCTATCAAATCCTCTGCCTGTTCCTTTGAGAGGTCTCCACCCTTCTGAATCCGCTTTCTTTTACGTGATTTGCGCTCAGAAGCAGCCTTGTTCGATGCTTCAAGCTGCAGCACTCGGGCTGCCAATAACGTCTGCCCATGTAGTAGCATTGCAGTGCCTCTCTGCAGCTGATTAACAATCTCCACCATTGGAGTTGGTGATGATCCTTGGTGCTTTTGAATACGATCGCGAAGCAGCGTTGATTGAGACTCTATCTCGTTGGCGTTGGTGGGTGTCTTGGGGTTCCATTGGGCCCCCCCTGGTAGAGGTGGTGTTGGCGCCCGAAGCTTGACATCAAGCTTTGATAGCACCACCAATGGGTCATTAGGCACTAAGCCAGTTGCCTTAAAGCTTGATGTGATGTTTGCCTTTGAGAACGCCTTCTCAAAAACCTTTGCAAACGTTGCAATGAAGGCCTTCTTGTCAATTCGGCCAATGTGGTCTGTTGCCAAGACTCTGATCTCTTTACTATACTCCCGCTTTAAGGGGGCAAAACAGCCCACATCAAGCGGCTGCAGGATGTGCGACGAGTGTGGAGGCATACACAGAGTAATTATCTTGTTCTCCTTGCAAAGATCCTGGAATGCAAGCGACTTGTGGCTTTCGTGGCCGTCAATTATCAGCAGCACATGGCTACCCACCCTCCGGCCCTTAATCTGCTCAATGAAGTGCCTTAACCAGGCTACACCAATATCGTTTGTAGTCCAGCCGTTGTCGCTGACCCCAATGCGCCATTGGGGCCTTAAATCAGGGTACCAGGACGCGTCATGGTTCTTTGCTTTGAAGATAAGGTAGGGCGCGATTGCCCAGCCTATCGCGTTGATCGCAGCAATGAAAGTTACCCACTCACGGTCTCCCTGTTGCAACCCAATGGGCTCAGTACGTCTCTCTGATGCAGTGACTACTTTGACGCAGTTTCCAATGCCTATAGTAAAGCCAGTCTCATCAAAGTTGTAGGTATCTTCATCCAGGATGCTGTACTTGGCCTTAACATTCTGAACCAGGTCAAACCAGGGCCCAATGACCCCTGGATCGCTGCACAAGACTCTCTGGCGATCTCTCTGTCGAGTCATATGCGATTTTAGTCCAGGTTCGCGTTTGACGAAGTTTGAAGCCCATCGTGGGCCAACAGGCTTTGCGCCGCGTGCAGCGCGCAGTTGATTAGCCATATCTTCAACACAATAGAGCGTTGGGGCAAATCCTTGGGAATCCAGCTTCCTAATATACTGCACAAGTGTCCTCTGCTCTGTCCTCTGAAGATTCGCTGATTTAGGGTGGGTATCGCGTGTTGACTGCGTCCCAGCGCGTCGGCGGCGGAGGGTTGCCTCAGAGACCCTGTACACTGTAGCAGCGCGTCGCACGCTTAGCTCTTGAGGTTTCTTAATTGCTTGAAGTGCAAGCTTGATTCTGTCTTCTTTTAGGAGCGATTCCAGGTCAGGTGGTTGGTCCATTGAGGTTTGAAGGTAGGAAGGCCCAATGGTTTGTTGGGGTGCGTCACTCGCTTGACTGCGTCACTCGCTATGCACTCACGTTATTATTATTCTAGTAGATTTTAACAATTTACTACTAGTATTTTCTTATAATCTTACTCTTAAAAGTAGTAATTACCCTTATAATCTTATTAAGTGTCTTACTCTAAATATTAAAGTTAAATAGCTTACTTAAGAAGTTATCCTTAATAATTAGAGCCTATTCTTTATAAAGCCTTCTAGTTAGTATATTAAATAGATTCTATAATATTCTATAGAATAGTCTAGGTAATTATTTCTTTAGCCTTCTTAAGATAACTTATATTAAGTAAGTAACTAAATAGTACTTATAGTTAATTCTCTTTATACTATTAATTAAGATATTTCTAGCTAATTTAGTAAGTAACTAGATTAAGTATTAGCTTAGATAGCCTAATTATTTATACTAGAGATCTTTGCTATTAGTCTTTTAAATAGGATAAGCTAATTAGATTACTTTAATAAGTATAGGTAGAGTAGTATAAGAGCTAAACTTCTTATATTTAATGAATAGTAGCTTAAACTTCTTCTTAAGAGTTACTAGTATAATATTATTATCTAGTAATCTTGTTTAAAGTATCCTATCTAATTCTAGGTACTATATACCTGCTTAATTAAGTATATTACTACCTATAATATTTTTATAGAAGTAGTTAACTACTTTAATATTTTTAAGCAGAAGATCTTTTATTTAAGGTCTATTTTATCTATTTATAAAGTTCTTAATTAGCCTATTACTAGTACCTAATATAGGTAATAATTAAGTGCCTATATTAACTATTTCTAGAGTAGTTAATACCTTAAAGGTACCTAGAATAAGGAGGCTCTAATTATTAATAAGGTAGACTACTAATCCTCTATTATAGATAGTGCTCTTAGAGAGTAGATAGCCTTAATAAGTAGTGCTAAACACTAGTTTAGGATTAGCTAGAAAGGTACTTAGATTAAATAGGGCTATAACTATAGAACCTAGATATTTAACTAAGGAAGTTCCTTTATTAGTATAAAGAATAGAGTTTTATTTAGACTAGATTACTTATTTCTTAATTATAGTCTATTCTAATTTATTAGCCTTTTCCTTAATCTTAGTTTTATTTTTATTACTTAGATTAACTAGTATACTCTTAGCTAGTCCTAGTCTAATTAGAGTAGTCTTAAGATATTAGTAGTTAACTAGCTTCTAGAAGTAGTTCTTATTTAGCTTATAGAGGTATTTAAATAATTATTTATCTTGTTCATTATTCTTATTCTAATTAAAGATTAATTTAAATATTAAGTAAATACCTAATCCCTTATTTTTTAGAGAGAGGACTTACTCCTATAGTTCTAGGGTAAACACTTAAGCAAGCTTATTAATTATAAGTAGCTTTTCTTCTAGAGTAGCTTATATATTAATATAGTACTTTATTAATTAGGACTATTCTAGAGCAATCCTAGGAGCTAGAGTATCTAAGAAATTTATAATTATAAGCTATCTTTTAATATTAGTAATTCTAAACACTTAAGCCTTACTATAGATTACTTACTACTTATTAAACTACTTATTAGTGTTTATCTATCCTATTCTAGCCTTATTAAGATATAATTAGTATTACTACCTAACTAGAGCTATATTATTAGTATTAGTAGAAGCTAGATAATTTTTAAGGATTTAAATAAGGGCTTAAGGTATTAACTTATCTTAATTAATTATCTTAATAGAAGCTAGCGCTATAAGATTAGCTAAGATAGTCTTATTAATCTAGTCTTAGAGATTGCTTAGCTTAGTAGCTTTTCTAGACTACTAGCTAGTCTAAACCTTATATTAATTAACTTACTTAGTATAATTAATCGTACCTATTATAGTAGTTAAGATTATAGTTTCTAAGGCTAAGCTACCTAATAGAGTAGCTGCAGATTTTTTAACATCTAGGTAGATTAGCTCCTATTAATTAATAGGGGGTATAGTTTTACTATCTAGATTAATCTAATTCTATATTACCTTATCTTAAGCATATAGCTTAAGCTAAGTATACTAGTATCGCTAGTTGTTATAATTGCCCTTTTATAACTAACTAGATGCTAATACCTAGCAAATGCTAACATGCTTGGCATAATATTATATAGGCTATCCTATATAGCGTAGTTTTATTATAAGTTATATAATAAGCTTACTCCTTAGTAGTTAAGCTAAAGTAGGTCTTATATAGAGCTTGTGCAGCTTATATTAAGCTTAGTAAGCCTAGCTTATGCAGCTTACATTAAGCCTAGTAAGCTACTATACTCTCTATAGTATATAGTAAGTAGGAACACAACCCTTATAGTTTATATTTAACCTAAGTATTAATCTATAATATTAGATCTTAACCTAACCTTTAAGCTAGACAGTCTACTCTATACTACTTATTATTACCCCTTGCCCTTAAGATAGATAGATTATATCTATACTCCTTAGTGCAAGACCCCTTTAGTTTCCCTAATAGTTTTTATTCCTAAGAACTAATTAAATAGTGCTTATAAGCTTTACTTAAAGTATAACCTTAACAACCTATTAATACTTAGTATAGTAATACTCTAAGACTACTCTATAATACTTTAGCCTACTTTTAGACTAGCTTAAGCCTCTAGTATTCTATATTTATTATATTTCTATACTATAAATAGAGGGCTTTAGCCTATACTATAAGAATTTTATAATATACCTCTATTTTTATACTTTATTTAAAAAAATTAACTTTCTTAGTATAATTTAATCTTTAATTAAAGTTTAATAGATAGTACCTTAGTTAATCAATTAGACTATCTAACTATATACTTATTATACTTTAACTATAAATAATAGCTAAAAGAAAAGATAGAGAAGGCTATTGCGCCGCCGCTATGCTTAACACTGCTTGTTCGAATCTAGTTCATGCTCACTACTTAATCTTCCTCGCCTCCGCCCTAGCAATCTCATCTGCCATGTTGTTCATACTCTCCATTACGCCCTTTTGCGTTAGACTGCCACCTCTACTGTGTCCAACACTCCCCCCGCCGCCAATGGTGCTTCCACTGACATTCCTCTGATGCCCTTGACCGGCTGCACTTGAGCTTTCAAGCACCAGTCTTCTTCGATCTCCTCCAGCGGCCAGTCTGCCGGCGAATTGATGCCAGCAATTCGGTGCCTGGAGGATATACTTCTCCATCGCAATCCTGAACCTGTTGCGATAATCTTTGGGTGATGTGATGGTGGGTTTGTTCTTGCCACGGTCTTTGATCCAAGACTCAAGCTTCTTGTCCCAGGTATATGTGCGGATGCAATCGATGATACCAACGATAATTTCGTGCTCATCATCGTCGAATCCAGCCATGAGCGAGTAGTCCATGACGTTGTTCTGAGACAGGAAAAGCGTATCGTTCCAGACACTAGCTTTTAGTAGCTTCTTGGTGTGCTCGCGCACGAAGATTGGGGTTTCGGAGTAGATTAGATCCACGAGGTTTTCGTCAAGAAGGACTTCGTCGCGCTCGCCTGTCGACTGGATCTTACGGTTTCGCATGCTACCTTTGAGGTCGTAGCGGCGGTTGGGTTCACGGTCGTAAAACAAGTTCTCCATGACCAACATAAACCAGTCGAAATCACGGCCTGTAGGTGTCTTTATCTGAACTTGGAACAGGCCGAACATCTTTGCTATGACAGATGGTAATTGCCTGAACAGGTTTTGATGCGTGAAGGCAAAATAATTGGGCGCGAAGCGGAAGAATGCCTGGACTTCGATCGGCGACAGAGATTTGAGGATGAAGCGATCGTCAAGAGTTTTGAGGAAGATCGACTTGGATTTCCCACCTTTTGACTCGAACTTGGAGCAACGCGAAAGAGACTCGACAAAGCGGTCTGCGACACCACATTTCCGGCGAAGCGCATCAAAAGACTGAGCGTAGAAGATCTTGCACTGCGCCTTGACACCGCGGTTGGCGAAGCCATATCGAATATTGGTATTTTTGTCGTGGAGTAGGTTGCGCTCAATTGAGCCTTCCATGGACTCCATGTCGAGGCCATTTGGATCGTCGCGGAAAGACTGCAGCTTGGCTAGGTAATCAGGGCTGGAAAGAGCTAGTGCGATGATTGAGCTGGGCTCGTCTTCACGGACAATGATGTCTGAGTCCTCCCAGACGTGTTCGATCTGTGCAAATGGATAATCCAGAGGCGCCCACCCGCTTGCCGAGCGCTCTGACCAAAAGTTGGTCAGCATCTTCAGTAGCGTCGTCTTTTCATGCCTGGGGAGTTCCAACGACGCATCGAGCTGGGAGTCGCTCATGTTGAGTAGCTGCGAACTGGAAATGCTGTCTGGCAAGGGAACATCCTCTGGAGCCATCTCGACATCGCTTGTGTCGTTCTCAGCATCAGAAGCGGGGTGACTGTCCGGCTTTGGCGAGTCTTCGCTGTCGGCTTGAATGTCCACCATGTCCCCACCATGGTGTTCATCAACCGGCGATTCGGGGGTTGCAATATTGTCTATCGTCTCTGTGATCGCACTATCGTTAAGCGTGCTGTTGTCAACGCTTGTACGCGGGAGAGATTCAGTCTGTACGTCCTCATCGGACGCTGTGTTCTCCTGAACTGCATCGTGGACATCCTTATAAACCTCAACGATGGGCTTGGATGATGCAAGCGGATACGCGCGGACTTGTCTGTCTCTTGCACGGAAACGTTCGCGCGTGCGCTCTTTCTGGAATTCGCGTGACAATTGCTCAAAATGCTCAGCGAGCTTCGACACCTTGGACGCTTGAGTCTTGAAAGGTACGGAGCGAGGAATCCTTGACGCGGATCTTTGTTTCGAGATGCCGAGCCGTAAGCGCTCAGTCATGCGTTCTAGTGCTTTTTGCGAATCGTTGAACGTTGGGCGGAGGGCCTCTGGTTTGCAAGGCACGATAGGTGGAGCTGTCGACTGATGTTTCGGAATGTTACCAGGTTGCGATTGAGTACGTGCCAACGTGGCTGGCCTCGCCGGCGTCTCACGCCGGATGGTCTCTACGAGTCGTGGAATCTTACTCTCCAGTGTCATGTGAGGAGATGGTGATGGCGACGGTGAACCTTGCATGTTTTCAATGGCATCCGCTAATGACTTGTCGATTGGGTTTATCTTTGGATGGCTTGTCGGTGTAGGGGACCCAGGATCGATTTGCGTGCCATCTGGAGACAGTGTTGGCGTTTGAGGAGGCTGGTCAACATTTGCTGCACCACTAGGGAAATCTGACGATACGGCGAGGTCGAGGTGTCGCACATCTTCTCGCTCTACAGCCTCGCGCGGTGCTTGTATCGGCTGGTCAGGGATGACTTTGACGGGTGTCGACGGTCGTTCTGCTAGAGGAGTGGCGTCTGCGTCCAAGGGTTGATCGCCATCTTCTTTCACCACGGAGGTCAGCATGTCGGTCGCCTTTTCGGGGGACATGTTTGATGGCATCGGAGTCAGCGCTAGTGATTCGTCTTTGTCGTCGTACCCAGGCTCGTCATCACCGGACTCTACGCCTTCGTCTACTGAAGTCAACGATGTGCTAGACTCGTCGCGCTCAAGGAACAGCTTCTTCAGCTGTAGGGTGGCGAGTCTTCGAATGTCTTTCTCCGATGGAAAGAACATTTGTTCAAAATCGACAAAAGCCTCATCCCAGGCGATGGCTCTTTCTTGTATCGCACGAATGGCGCGGTTGAGTGGGATGATCTCGTAGTACTTGGAATTCATATACTTGTCCTGTAATTTGTGCCGAAGGAATTCGTGCTCGTCGTTTACGCGCTTGATCAAGCGTTCAACCTCGGCTGTACACGCTTCGACCTTTTCGGGGATGACACTCTCCACGTGGATGCTCCTTATGCGAGAACGCACCGAGGCCATGAAACAGTCCAAGCGCTCTTCAATTTTCAGGTATTGTTCGTTTTTGAGCTTCAGGTCTTTGTCCACTTTCCAGGTGATGTTTGGCCTTGGAACGATGACCTCGTACATTGGTACCGGATCATACTGAATGCGGAGCGCAACGTTGTTGTAGCCAAAGTAACGTACGTGATCCTTGTGAATATCGTGAGAACAAACGCCCGAGCGGGGATGCAGTTGGGTGCTCCAGAAAGTCAGTTCTAGGTACTTGGCAAAGGAATACTTCCAGGTCCACTCAGACATGGGAATAGGTTGCGTTTCCTGGCTGCATATCCTGCAAGCGCTCCACATCAATATCGCCTGGTACAGACCCTTCAACTTGGGAGGATGTTTCTGGACAACGACGGTCATTTGGCCCTCGCCATGCACATACTGACGCGAGTGATCTACCATTCTACGGTTGCACCCGTCAACTTCGCAAACGATGCCTGCGGATGTGCAGAGATCCTCAACGTACTGGCCAAGAGTGCAGTCAGGGGTGAACCCGTCGTCATAGTCGTGCTCCTGGTAGAACCCTAGGGCGATGATCTCGGGGCCAATGCAAGGCGTCGAGGTGGTGGTGTTGACCACGCTGTACAGAACTGCGATCTTTTGATGGCTGAAAGGATCATATAGATCCGTGTTTCCGGATAGATATGCTTCCCATTGCCGTTTCTGCGTCTCATAGTTGTGGAGAGCTTTGTCATACTCGGATGCGTGGACAGCAGACAGGAATTCACGGACTGGTTTCGAGGCCTTCTCGACAACGCCATGGACCATCTCCGGCTGGACAAGCTCAAACTTCTGGTCTGGAGCCCCTTCCTCTTCGTCCGATCCAGCGTTATACTGATCCTTCTTCCCTCGGAGATGATGCAGCTTTCTCTCGTATTGACGAGCCTGTTCCAGAAGATACGGCTGCATGAACTTTACAAATGGCGACGAGGAAAGCACTTTTGTGCGGTGGTTCTCTACCAGATCGCTGTAGTACGATGGGGCGGCATCTCCCGTCGCTGTTACACCGTCGGATGGTGCTTCGATTCCGGCTGCAAGAGCGATTGCGGTGGTCATGTTTTCTTTGCGCTCCTCATTGTCTAGAGCATTTGGGTCCACGACCGATTCCGTCGGCGTATCAACAAATTCATCTCGCATGAGACAGGTTTCGAGGCGAAGGTTATACACGACATAACTCATAAACTCGGTGACGCGCTTCAACTTGACCAGGTCGTCGTTCTCTGCACCTCGCAAGATGATGGTACAGCCCAGATCTTTCTGGCACCCAGACAGATATATATATGTCTTCTTTGTGTGTCCATGAACATATGTGCGCACATCGAAGCTACCGCAACGTCCCAAGTGCGATGGGTCTATCGCAAGCTTATCCACGGATGAGATCATTCGCGATTGCGTACATCTTGCAACAGCATTCAGCACGGTGGGCTTAACGTTGTAAACCACAGCGATACCCTCCTGATCAAGAAACTCGAGCGCAAGGCCAGAGACATTGCGCTGCACCAGTAGGACGTGCGGGCGAAGAGCTGCGATACGGCTGACCAGATTGCGCAAATACTCTCGCTCTTGTGCGATGACAGGCTCCAAGCTCATGAAGTGCGCCTGATGTCGAGCATATTCAATCGCAAAGGTTATGATTATGATCCTTGGGCTGGATATGGTACGTGGCATACTGCGGAGGGCAACATTTTTTGAGAAAACCACACCTGACACGTATGCTGTGTCGCGAGGTCTGCCGCCTGGGATTTTTTTCAGCTTTATGTAATTCCGCACATCAATGTCATCGCCCCTATCCACATCTGGGTTGACATCATCGGTGCATTGCCGCAGGATTGGAATAAGAGCCTTCTCCCAGCTAGACACATGCGCAACGCCTGCGTCGCGCAGCATTTGCGTGAGGAGTTTCCGGGCATGGTCAAGGCTGGCTTTGTTGAGCTCGACCTTGGGGAATATACCGCCCTGCATGGAAGCACTGCGCGTTATCTTTGTGCCTGGTGGGGTTGGGGAAGGAGATGGCCGGAGCTGTGGAGTGCCGGACTGGGAACCCAACCCGACTGCACCAAGGCCTGCGGTGAAGGGACGCAGCAGGTTTTGGCTCTTGGCTCGTCGTGGTGAGGGCCGGTGTGTAATGCTACTGACGCTCATGTTCCGCCGCCTTGGTGGTCGTGCACCGTGTCGGCTTGCGATGCTCACATTATCACTATCACGCGCAGGACCGCCCTTTTCTCCTGAACGCGACTTGCCCTTTTTCATTGCTGCGAAAAGACTACCAAATCCACTTTTATCGCCCTCGAGACCAGTGCCTGCAGACGTATCTGTATCCAAGGCTGCAAAAATGCTTGGATGCTCCTCCTCGCTGGAGTTGTCGTCTGACATGAAGGGCGCAAGGTCGGGGTCGATAATGTTGTCATGATGGAATGCAGGCAAGCTTGTGTGGCTTCTAGTGGTCTCATGAAGGTACTGGTGAAATGGCGCTCGATCATCGTGTTTGACGTGACGCATGTGTTGGTGTTTGGAGTGATGGCGTTTATGGCTTGACGAGCGCGGCCTGCCACTAAGCGATCGCAACGACCGTGACGAGCTTGGCCTGGCAAGGGTCTGAGTGCCGACTTCGATGATGTGTGATCGGCGCTTCTTCTCACTCCCGCTCTTCCGTGACATGGGTATGCTGATGGTCGGAGTGCCGATCTTTGTGTGATCGTGTTGCTGGTGACTCGCGTCGTCATCGTCGTGATCAAAATCCTCGACCTGGTTGCTGTTGTCGTAAACGGAGGCTTGGTCTCCTTCGTCTGTATAGTCAGAGGAGTCGTCGTCGTGGCCGTAAATGATATTCTCGCAAGGCTTGCACACTCGCAGATTGCCTGGCTGGCCGAACAGCTTGCCCGAGACGATGGAGGTGCACTTGGAATCGAAGATTTGGCCACAGGTGCGACAGTGGTGCTTTCGTCGGAAAGTGGTAAAGGCATCTCCGCAGTTGAAGCAGTCCTTTGCGTTCTCGTCTCTCATCCAGAACTCGCGGTCCAGTATCTTCCTGCGCATTTGCGTAAAGGCGCTGCGTGGCATGCTATTGACCGCAGGACTTGCATGGGCCTGGCGCTGGATCTCTCGGATGGGAGGGACGGTTGGGGCGCGCATGGTTGAGGTGGTGATGACGGAGCTGATGCCATCGGAGGAAGACGTCCGCGAGGTCTGGAAGCCGGGCAAATGTGAAGGGCCGACCTTGAGCAGTGGCGGACGCTGTGGCTCCGGGGCAATGACGGGCGTTCGAGCGCTGGCAGTGACGTGGGGCTTCTCGGTATCTTCGGAGCCGTTGTCAGATTGGTGGTGGGGGTTGGCGGGCGGCAGGCGAGGTGACTGGAACTGGTCGTCGGATCGGAAGTTGGGGCTGTCACGGACGGCATCCGAGGGGTATTTGTAGCCGGTCGTGTCGACAGGCTTGTCGCCATCCACAACGACCATGTCGTCTTCCGTGTCGTCGCTGTCGTGGGCGCCATACTCCATGTTGCTCCGCTTGCGGTGCAGGCTGGGGTCGCGGACCGGGGCGAAGCGCGGCGAGCGCGAGCTTGGAGCGGGCGGGGCAAAGTCTTTGACGGAGCCATTCTTGGGCAGGTCAAAGGCCGAGACACTCTGCACGCGCGAGTGGGTGCTCACGGGGCTGTGGGCGAAGGAGTCGTCGTCCCGGAGCGGACGGGCGGGCTCGATGCCGGTGGCGATGGAAGGGCGTGAGCGCGTGGTGTGCAGGGAGGTCTTGGAGCCGTTGAGCGAGAGCCTGCTCGGGAGGGTGGCGCTGGACACGGTCGAGTCGCGCGACGGCGGCGGCGGGAGGTCGGGGAAGGCGGCCGACGAGGGCGACTGCAGGCGGGGCGAGGGCGCCGAGACGGCGACGGGCGAGGAGGCCGAGGCAGCGGCCGGGCTGCGTGCAACGAGGCTGGAGCGCGAGCCGGCGCGCTGCTTGGAGGCGGCGAGGCGGTCGGGGCCGTCGTAGGCGGGGTCCTTTGCGGCGGCGACCGAGGCGCGGATGCGGCTGTATAGGCCACTGAGGCCGCCCTGCACCAGCTCGATGCCCTTGGGCTCGCCGGCAGCGGGCAGGGCGGGCGGCGGCGTCAGATCATCGAAGGTGGTGAGCGAGTGCGAGTGCGAGGCGGTGAGGTGCAGCTGGTGCAGGGCGTCGGGCAGCGAGTCGCGCGAGGCGCTGGCCATGGCGGCGACGGACGGAGCGAGAGGGGCGCGCGGGCGGGGGCCTGCTGCTCCTGCTGCTCCTGCGGGCGCAGGACGACAGCATGGGGGGGCGCTGGCGGGGAGCGGGCGAGCTGGCGGACAGCCGGGGGGGCAGCGGCCGTGTCGATGGGACAGGCAGAAGGACAGGCAGAAGGACAGGCAGAAGGACAGGCAGAACGGACAGCGCGGGCAGTGCAATCAGGACGGACAGCTCGAGCAGCCTAGCGGAGCAGCTGCATGCTGCGCGGGAGCCAGGCCAGACGCCGCGGTGAAAGGCCCAGGCAGCTGATGCGCACGGACGGGCGTCATGGCGGCGGTGGAGCTGCCCCGCGTCGCTGGCGGCTCCAGCCACTGCGCCGTGAGGTGAGGCGCGCGGAGGCGAGGCGCGTGCAGCTGGCAGGCGCGCCTCCCGGGCCTCTTGCGACGAGAGCAAGAGCGCCTGCAGTCGCTGGCCGCGGCTTGCTGACCGACCCCGCTTTGCCCGCCCCCACCGCGACCAGCTTCCTGCGCCGCGGTTCTGCGAGGCTCTGCGAGGCTCTGCGAGGCTCTGCGAGGCGGAGGCTCTGCGCTAGAGCGGCGCGTGCGAGGCGCGTCCGATGGCCGTGGACCTGCGGGCCTGGCTGCACGACGAGCTTTCCGTCCAGCTCGCACTCGGCCACCGCTGGCTCGCTGACAAGACGCACGCAAAGCACCGACTTCTCTACAGCCAGCGCGACTTCCCCGCGGACAAGTGGCTCGGGCTCTACCACGACAACGGCTCCAGCATCGCCATCGCAGGCCCCGGCCGTTGGAGCGCAGAGCAGCCGCACGTCGTGCTGGTGCTCCAGGTGAGATGCGCCGCCCCAGCAGCCGCCGCGACGCCGTGATGCCCCGATCTAATGCCCGCAGACGGATCCGCTGACCGTCACTGACGGCCGCCATCACACCGAGACGGCGCTGACGAGCGCCTGTCGTGCCGCCCTGCGCGCGCAGCACCCGACCCGCGCCCTCGAAGCTGGCACTGTGTGGGCTGTCGACTGCTACACCATATACTGCACCTCGTACGGGCCGCCGCGCCGCCATCTGCGCCTGCTCCTCGACGCGCTCACCTGGGCCGGTCGTCTACCCGCCGGCACCGCCCGCGCCGACACTACATCCGCGCTGCTCCGCGACGACGACGATATCGCCGCCGCCCTGCAGCAGCTCCGCGCCACGCGCCTGGCCGACGACGATCGATGCTTGCGCGCGCACCACACCATGGCCGGCCCCGAGCAGTCGCCCGACCGCGACCCGTCCATGCACACCCAGCTGCCCTTCAGCACGCAGGTGCACCACCCAATCCGGTCGCGTCCCCATGACGGCCCCGCCTTTGTCGGCAGCAACAGCATGGAGCCCGTGCTGGCGGGCAACACACAGCGCGCCGAGCTGAAGCCTCGCTCGGCCAGCTCGGCAGCAGAGCGCCAGCGCACGGCACAGCTGCTCAGCCTCCTGCGACCAGCCCACCAGCCGGTGCCTCCACAGCCTGCAGATCGTGTCCACACGAGCCCTGCAGAGCCTAGGACCCTCCCAGAACATCCCGCAACCACCCCCCGAAAACCTGCACCCGAACAAGCACGTCAAGCGAGCGTATCCGCGGTGGCTGCAGAGCCAAGTCAAAGTGTGTCAGACAATCGCAAGAAGCGGAAGCGCGAGTCCGAGCACGCCTCACCGTCGACTAATCCACCTGCAAAGAAGACGTCGTTTTCCGAGGATGAGCCCGAGCCCAAGCAAAGCCGAGCCAGCGCCATGGACAGGTTTGCCGCTGAATGCTCGTGGATGAAAGGGCTCGCGCTCAACCGCGCCTCTTCGACCGTCCCTGACGACCAGGCTCTCATCCTGCGGAAACCTGAAAGCTGGTACAAACCGGAGCCTGGCCAGCGCTCCGTCAACGAGATACCTGTCCAAATACTCACGCTCCTCAGCAGAATGACTGACGAAGCCGCCGCCCTAGAAGGCGCAACGAGTTCCGGCTCGTACCACGACATGGATCCGTCATCTGGCTCGTATCCTTCCAACTCCGCTCTTCAGCCCATGGAGGAGCAAAGCAGCGAGCCAGAGCAGGAGGCTCCAACTAGTCCAGTCTCCTGGGACATGTCGCCCTCTCCTAAACCTCCACAACCCCCGATGTCTTCTCGCCAAGGTCTCCCGCCCGACTCGAGCACTGAGATGCCAGAGCATGTTGCAGAGCCTGTCGTGTCGCAGTCGGCCGGGAGACGCACCCAATCCCCGCATCCCATCTTTCCTGCTTCGTCTCACGAGGACCTTGTGGACCTTCCACCATCGTCGCCTCCCACCCATCACGCAGCTGCTGACAGTGATGACGATATGGAACTGGAGACTTTCGTTCCTCAAGCCCTGGGAGACGACTCACAGGCACCATGCTCGCCACCTCCTCGTCCAAATCAATTCCCTCGCCCCGGGCTACAGTCAAGCTCCGTCGTACAGGTAAAAGAGACACCTGACTTAAAAGGCAAAATCCGTCAACAACCTGTCGTCACCATATCACCGCCAACCCAACGATCGAACGGGGATTCACATTCGTCATCTGCTTCTATGATACGAGGTACCTACCAAGATCATAGTTCCTCCGTAGTCGAAGAGACCAGACTAGATGCGCTTCAAAATCGCAACGGCGAAAACGAACAGCGTCCAACGAGCACCATATTCCAGGCCTTGCAGGAGCGCAACGTCCAGGATACGGCTGTGTTTGACATTTTTGGGAGCGACGACCCTGTGTCACACCAAACCCAGCAGGTCGGCGAAAGGCAAACAAACTACTTGGAAGCACAAGCAATCGGGTCAGTACACCCAGAACCAACACCAATGTCGGCGCAGCTTTCACCCAAAGACTCAAGCTCCGGTGTACCTGATAAGAGCACCCTCACAATGCCTCTACCAGTAATGGATCCGACAAGACAACTGTCCGCTACACCAACTCTCGCTAAGCGTAAGCTTGAGACATCTCCCCCTCCAGAGCGCAGGCGTTCAAAACACAGGAGCTTGAGGCGTGTGAAGTTCGGCAGTGGTAGACTTGGAAAGTCCGAGGGTGAGAGACGGAACTCTACTACCAGCGCCGAAAGCAGGCAGGGCTCGGTCAGCAGTCTATCGGTACAGCAGGCTGCGGATACGAAGGTTACAGATGTGAAGGTGGCAGGCACCAAGGTGGAAGACTCGGATGTTCATGAATCGAGCAAACCTGCGGAAGCAAGTGCAACCTTAGAGCCTGAAATGTCTCCTCGTCACCAGAGTCTGTACGCTCCACCAAGCCCGGTGCTGTGCCCAGCAGCGGCACCTCCTGCTACGTCAATGCCTGAAAGCGTCGGCAATGCTGAGGCCGCAAAGGGAACATCTGAGAAGACTGTTGAGAATCACATTGTCGTTGAGAACATGGTCAAGATGCAACAGCAGCCCTTGGCGGAAAGCCCTCCAGAACATCCGTCTACACCTGCGCCAGTACCAGTACGGGCGCCTGTATCTGCCTCCCAGCCTGCCTCCGTAGCCCGGCCCAGTGTATTGGCCCCACTTCGTACAGAGCAAGCATCGCCAGTTACAACGATTGCTAGTCCGGCCCCAGCGACAGTCTTCGAGAAATTCAAGGCGGCGTATCCCGAGTATAAGGGTACCGTCAAGCACTTCACGAGTCAGTGTATATGCATAGAAGAGCTGGATCAGCAGGACAAGATGGTGCCTAAGTGGATGTGGGATGACTTCATCATCCGGAACCAGACCGACTTTAAAGCCTACGTGAGCGACTGCATCGACGCAGGAGAAGAGTCAATGCCGTACATTCGCTTCTACAAGGACAACATTCGCGATGCAGTCTACAAAAAAGGTGTTGTCGGGACAAGAGCTACACTGATGGATGCACTACAGCAGCTCAACGTCCAGCCTCGGGCAAAGGAAATTCCGCCGGTCCAGCTGCCCGTGAAGCAAGAAGTTGATCAACAGGATCACGAGGCCCCTCGATCCCTGGAGCGACACCTCGAACGTGCTCGCCAGTCACGTCGCCCATCCGCGCAGCTACATTCTCGGCATCCCATTCAGCCATCACCTCGACAATCTGGATCCCCAATGCCGCCACCTGCTCAGTCAACTATCACACCAGCAAAGAACAAGTCATCGCGGAAATCTCTCCCTTTCCCAGTCCCTATTAATGCGACTTCCAGCGCCAGCAATCCATCACACATCCGCCACTCACTTCCCGCAACTTCGTCCCGCTCTACCCTCACAGCCTCCGCCCGGCCCGCATCTGCGCGCCCCAAAGCCCCATCTGACTTTGGCGATAAGCTACGAGCCTACGTCGCTGACATCCCTCTGTCCTCCACAGAGAGTAGTACCGGTAACCAGATTCGCGACTATCTGCGCGCAAGCAAGAAATTGACGAGCGTCACGGGCAGCAGACAAGTAAGCTCCACCCCGGCGCCCGGAACAGAGACGGCGCAGCACAAGCGCTAAGACTCACAGGTCGACCCGAGCAAGCCGTGGCCTGAGAACTTGGACGACAGACCCGATGTGCGAGATCTGCCGCGAAGGAAGGTTGATGTCTTGACGTGGTCTGACGAGCTGTAGTTGGTCTGAAGTCAGGCACAGACTGTCTTGTGGTCAAGGAGGGACCAGATTTGAGGTTTATAGTTTAGGGTGAAGAGTATTTGGTGCCGAGGCGACGATATACCCATTTAGCATCAGAGCATTGGAGAGAATAGGATAGGTGGTATTGATAGCCCGAATAATGTGTGTTCCAATCACTTCGACTTCTTGTTCGTCAAAATGAAATGCGATGCCATTGTCAATGCCCACTACCGTAAAAGCAGGGTACGAAAGGTGGCGTTAACAAGGCGCCAACGCTTCGCTTGCACGTACTCGTCCTGGGGTAGCAAACTGTGAGTGCTTGTCGAGCTTAGTGAGAGTTCACGCTGAAGTAAACTGATACCGGCTTCACCTTTCACTGTCACCTGTGGTATTGAACTGGTCAGTTCTCCCCGCCGGTCAGCCATCATCTTTCCAGGACAGTCACCAACTCTGTTATTCAATCGTCAGATCGGCGGGCCGGTCGTCACTTTTTACTATCACTCCTGGGACTAGGTTGGTCAAGTGAGCTTCGGTAGGTCGCCGCCAGCTCTGGAACTTGACCTCTTTGAAAGTTATTCGTCGGCCTTGCAAGTCAGCTTGAGTTCTTCGCAAGCCAATCTTTGTTTTGCAGGTCCACAGATACTTTAGGTATCGGAGTCCCGTCAAAGCGCCGCACAACATGGCGTCCATGAGTAGCAGCTACCTCACGCCCCCACACACCAGTCCCGTAACACCCACCTCTCCAACGCCACATGTCACCACAGCAGGCCCGTTAATCGTTACCCATCTCGCAACGACGAATCCCACACTCCAAACATGCTCACTCACGCACCCCGAACTCACCCCAGGCCCGGCACGCCTCCAGCAAGATCTCCATCTCTTGGCTCTCTTTCCCGACAACACAACTCTGCACTGGCGCCCTTCTTGGTTTCCACCAAATACATCCCCTCTAGGCGTATGGACCCTCCACAACCCTCCCAACGTCGTAACAACACGGCTTCCGTACCTTCACGGCCGCGAGAGGTTCACGCGCCGTCCACGGCGTCCCGACGATCCCGCGCCACTATTCATCAAGGACTGGAAAGCGTGGGAGACTTATTGTGGAAAGAGCGGGATACCTGTAGGTTTTTTGGGTGCGGCACATATGGAGCTTTTGCAAGTGGCCGCAGAGGAGTCTTCAAGGTCAGAGTTGAGGAGGATGCATGAAGCTGAAGGAGTACTTTATCCCGAACCGCCGGTACGAGGCAGCTACATGCTCGCCTCCGCAGCGTGTGAGACCCTTTTACCGCGCAAATTCCGGAAACTAGTGGAAGGTGAAAGGGTCGTTGTTGACGCGGGCGGGAGGTTGAGAGTGGTAGTCAAGGAGGAGGAGAAAGACAGGGTGGGCCTAAGTAGGGGGTATAGGTGGAGCTGTGTGCCATGGACTAGCGATATGGAGGAAGACTGTCAGCCGTTGACATTAAGATTGAGGGGATGGAATGCGGAGAGATGAGTGTGTGGTAGGATGGTTGGTGCGGGTTGGTGGGCGTCACATTGGATGTGCCAACCTTTGAACCTGCTTAAGGACTTGTGAGACCGGCTTGAGACTTTCAGTTGGTAGGGGTTTGACTGTGGTATAGCGCTGTCGTGTACACCTTAATTACAGTGCCGATCGAATATCACCGTATCTACGGGTATTGCTCCAATGCTTGTCTAATTCACAAAGATAGACTAGGTACTTAGGAATTTGCCCCCGAATCCCATTCTACAGCAACACACGTCGCATGGGCACTATGTATCAGCCCGACGCTCCGGACGACTTATCGCGATGTTCCGTCTTTCTCACGCACGACCGCTTGTTCACTAATCAGCTACATCTCATGGCGGTTAGCTTTGCGAGGACTACATCAAGCGACATTGCGGTTGCTGAGAAAGACGTTCACCACTATCTTTCCTGTCGTTGATTTTGCTATGATGTGCATGAATATAATGTCTAATCGTGCAGTTCAACACAACCTTGAGAGCCGTCAAACTTGACTATCTACACGTCACTTCATCGAGCCAGCCCGAAGCAATCTAGCGCGCTCATGTAGGAACCCGTCGTCCAAGGTTTGCGCTACTCCACCTGAAATACGACTCCACGCGCCCAATTGTAACGTGAAGCTAGAAGACACTTGCGCATCACCTTTAAACCCGTGTACTTCTGCCTAGAGAGCCCGTCTACAAAAGCCCCGATTACCCAGGTATTCAGTGCTTCCATCACAGTGCTTCCATCACACTCTTCTTCATATCCTCTCATCATGCCAACCAACTACTCTCTCTACAGCATCCCTGTATACTGGTTTTTCTCCCTTGCCCCCCACGCCTACGCTGTACGCCCTACAACTCCATTTCTCGCACTACCATACTGAACTGAACCTCCATAGATCAGCGTGGCAAAGAGCGCCAACAACGGCGTCTGGGACAACACCAACCCGCGTAACACTGCCTATCTGGAGAAGAACGTGCCCAAGCATGCGCTAGAGCGGTATGAGCGCGCTGAGGCCGCGCACGCGAATGGGATGGAGAATGCGCCCTTTTTCGTAGGGGCGGTGTTGGCGGGAAATTTCGTGGGGTTGAGTGCGTGTAAGTCTTGTACCGACGAGAAAACGCTGCTTTCCAAGGTTGGGTGCGACTGACGTCTGTAGCTACGATGAATGCGTATACGGGATTATATATAGGGCTAAGAGTGGTGTATAACTTGCTTTACATCAAAACGACAACACTGAAGAATTCGAGAGCGCGCTCGATGGTGTGGATTGCGGGGGCTCTAAGTCTGTTTGTGCTGTGGGTCAAGGCTGCGAATAAGATGTGCTTGGACTTGTAGGACAATTGATACCATTCACCCGCTACTCGTGGCTTTCCCGCTACGCCGTGTTCATACGAACACGTTTCTCTAATTATACAACTAGTGTGCGCCAACCGCGTGTCGCTACACAGACGACTGGTCGCTGCACCTCCCGCGCCGCCAAAGATCAGGTTGTCGTAGCCGGCCGTGATGTGCATCGCGGCGCGTGCGTCGACGAAGCTCTGTTGATCAGCTACCGAGACTGGATTATGAAAGATCTGCTTGATGAACGTCATGAATGTATCGCAGTCTTTGGTCAGAAACTCCGCGATCCCATGATACAGTGCCATCGCCAGCAGCACACCCATTGCATTGATCAGGGGCTGAATCCACTGCCGGTTGGTATGGTGCTGGTGAAGCTTCATCACTTGCTAACATATCTTATCAACATCTATACGAAATTTTCAAGACTTGCCGTACCTGAGTGTATCGCAGCAATCGCGCGCCAGTTTCACGCTCTGATTTTGTCAGGTCGGAATGAATTATTTTCCAGTGACGGTGAAAGAACTCCTCTGTCACGTCGCTATTCTTGCGTAGGAAGATACTAAAGCAGAAGTATGGCTGGCGGAAGGAGCCACGCGGACGGTGCCGCGGCTTTAATTTATTGAAGGTGTATCTGTGCTGGTTCTGTGATGGGGTATGGGCAGCAACGAGACGGTAAGGAGAAAACAAGAGTGCCAAAAGGTGGGCAATCATCGGTAGTAGTTGCATGGCGAGAGTTGTTGGTTCGCTGGGACTCTTACCTTAGTATGTCATCTGGAAGTGTGGCAGCACAATAGATAAATACTCGAAGTTGACGGCCGACCTGTGATTCAGACTAGACAGTCAATTGTATGTACTGAGTGGCGCTTTTACTCCCCTGATATTGGTGATTCTCATACTGCATGCTACGTGCCCGCATATCGGGCTGGTAGGTGACAGCAGGCGTATCAACCAGTCTGCTTTCGCTCGAGGGTTTACACTCCAGGAACAGTCAAAGCTACCCCTCCTTCCTCAATCGTTTGCTTTTCCAGAAGCAATAGTAGATCTTATACAACCACAGACGGTACACTTACCTAGTTATCACTCCCATAAGAGGCGTGTGCAAAGTTGGCCCACAACTACCAGTTACAGTATAATGGGGATGATCAGAAATGCTCGTAGAGAGAGTTAGGGTATGGACAGAGACGCCATGAAGCAAATTATGTTGGCGATCGGCGACCTGCAGCCATGTACGCTGTGTCGCAAACTGGCGATCATAAGCGACGAAAGCGCCGCGTTCCGTTTCCGTGTGATTTGGTGAGCGTATTTGGCTATGTCACTTCATGTGCAGATTGCTGCCTGTACTACCTAGGTATACAGCTGCTTGAGCCTTTTGGTGTACTGCACCCAATGCTGTGAACTATCAGATGAGGAGGATCAATTACTCGTTAGATCTCGTTGAACTCCCATCTGTAGTCGGCATTCTCTGACCATCTGTCAGGCTGAAGTATAATGTCTGGTCTGCTTTCAACGTTATTTCAGGTGACAAGACGCTGCCGAAGTCCAGTCTCTAGCTACTCGTGCGGTTTAGAGGATTTGCATTCTGACACGTTGTCCAAGATCGAAGTTTACAAAGTTGGATCTGGTGACTCGAGACTGTCCACACCTGTTCAGAAATCTCTGGAGTGATGGAGTTTGGGTGGAGTACAGGGGTGATACTCGCGGCTTACAGTATAGCAGGGGTAAGTAATCAATGTAGATCCTTCAATATTCTTCTTCTAGCAGCACCTCTGCACAAGTAATAGTAAAGCACACTAGACTAAACAATAAAGTGCTAACACTAAAGCTAAAATACTTTGTATACATCTATAGGTTATATTTTGTTGACAGCTAGCTGCTGCGAAGTCTTGTAACACATTGACTACTTACCCCTGTCATACTGTACAAGAGTAGTGAGCTAGCGGCTCAGGTGACTGCGCGTGCAGAAGCGCGACTGCTGGCGACTGCCTGTGGTCCGACGTGCTGCCCCACTCACACATCGCAGCCTGCAAACGCCGCAGCACGCGCGCGGGAGAATGCTCACTTTCATCCCCTGAACGATTCGTCTCGACCGTAATGCGATAACGGTCGCATACACTCGCCGCTGTCATGTGGTTCCTGGAGCATGAGTCGCTCTTTGGCGGCAAGCGTATCTGGCTGCGACCCGGAACGCAGCAGCTCTTTGGTCGCACAAAGGCCAGCGGAGAAGGAAAGACCTGGAAGATCGATAACAAGGCTGTCTCGCGACAGCACGTTATTATCAAAGTCCTTGACGTGGCTCCAGACGTCGGCACCAAGCTGCACACTCGATCGCAGGTTGAGATTACAGATCTCAGTTGCAGGCAGGGCACCGTCATCGATGGGCGGCAGAACTTGAAGAGCAGGAAAAATGATGACGGGTCGATGGAGTACGCAAGAGTCATACTGGACGGCACCCAGCACGAGATTCGACTGGCCCAGAGCTATGAGCCGTTCAAGGTCACCTGGAAGCCGCTCGTTTTCACATACGCCTCAAAAGAGAGCAAGGAATCAAAGGCCCGTAGCGCGAGGCTGCATGCACTCGACTTCAAGACCACAACAGACTTTATCTTTGGGAAGACGACCCACGTTGTGTCCCAGAAGCGCAACCTGCCTCGCGTGCTTTCAGGGCTCGTGGCTGGCAAGCACATCGTGACGGAAGAATTTCTTGAAGCTGTAATTGAACGAGCCACTTCCACGCAAGACAGCGAATTTGGCTATGTACCTTCGCCGCTAGAAGAATCGTACGACGACCAGTGGCCAAAAGAGGAAGAGTACACTCCGCCAACAGCTACGGAACCTGTTCCGCGGCCACAGGAGATGCTCAGGCCTGATGTCTCGCGATCAGAAGTTTTCTCCAATCTCACATTCGTCTTCCTGGACGAGAAGCAGCACAGTAGCTTGCAAGATCCCATTGCTGGTGGTGGTGGGAAAGCGTTGCTCTACGATCTGAAGCATGGCGAAACATCTGTTCAACAGTATGTCGATTACGTCCGAAGCGTAGCCGGTAAGAAGAAAGGTAGTCGCGCAAACAACGACAAGCTTCCTGTGATTACGGTCCGCCTGCCAATTGCAGCAGACAGCTCGGAGGAATGGGCTGCAAATTTCTTGAACGGCGTCGACAGAGCACTAAATCAGCGTTCAATCTTCCAAAATGAGTTTCTCGATATCGTCATCACCAAGGACAGAGCTACACTACAACAGTCGCCAGACAACGTTCCTGAAGTTGCACCAGGCGCACCACAAGCAGCGACTCGACAGTCTTTTCAGTATACATCAGCAGTTAACGCTCTTCCCGAAGCATCTGAAACCTCTCTCCCCACCAACGAGCCCCTCAAGTCGAATCCGCGCAAACGCATACATCGTCCGAAGACTACAAGTCGGTTTACCGGTTTCGACGACTACGAGCCGCCGCCAAAAGTTCGCAAGATTGAAGACACCCAGATGGAGGATGTCAAACAATCACTGCCACAATCTGCCCGAATGGCGACACAGGCGTCAGGGACTGCCACCACCCCTACAACTCAGACTCAGACCCAGAACCGCACACAAGGTCGGTTCGCACCGCCGTCACCCCCACACGAAACTGTTGAAAAAGAGGAGCAGATGGATAGTCTGTTTCCTGCTGCAGCAGAGATCAAGCGCCGTCGAGCAGCCACACGCGCGCCTTCAGCGTCCGTCGAGCCTGAAACCAGCACACCGGTCACTCAGCCAAGAAAGCGCGGTGTAGAAGCTCTTGAGAATCTACAACGGGTCAGACAGAAGGCAGACAAAGACATCAATGTCCGCGAGCATACGCGGCTCCGCATGCAAGAGGAGGAGAAACGGCGCCAGGCTGACGAAGAGAGTCTGCGGGAGCAACTAGAAGGTATTGATATCGAAGCGATGAAGAACCTCGCTGTGATTGAAGAAATCGAAGTCCTGCCCCGCGCGCAACGCAATGGCGATAATCTGCGCACACCAGCTGAAGCTCGCGCCCAAGCAAGGAGCGATAGATGGAATCCGGCCTGGAATGGGCGCAAGAACTTCAAAAAGTTTCGCCGGCGCGGCGCAGAAAAGGGCCTCGTTTCACACAAAGTCATTGTCCCGCTCGAAGCAGCACCTCCGCAGCAAGGCTTCAGCGACTCAGCATTCTTCCTTGACGTCATCGAGCCGCGCCCCATCGGCCTGGCGAGGAGACAGCGCAGGGATGCAGTGAACGAGTCCGAGTCAGAGCCGGAGACGGGCTTCAGGGGGCGGAAGAGTAGGGCGCAGTCACAACGCCAGACGCAATCGACACGTGAAGTCATCGACGTGGAAGATAGTGGGCCGGATGATGAGGAGGTCATCGAGGTCCGGACGCAGAAGAGTAGTGGCAGGACGCAGCGCGTTGTCGAGACACAGGCGTCTGAGCCTGCGGGCAGAAAGAGAGCTGGCAGTGCGGCAAGCGGGCCGCCGGCTGCGAAGCGAAGCAGGGTCGTAAGTAGAGATGACGACAGTGATGATGAGGAGACTGGGTTCAGACTCAAGCGGAGGTAGGCGGGTTTTCTGCAACACCTCCAGCATAGGCATGTTGTAGCATAGCGAGCGATACCCTAGCATACATAGTATATGAGTATATTCCATTGCATCGAGCGTGCGAGACACATGATAAAGGGACCAAGGCCTGCGTAAAGCTGACACTATTGCATGTACACAATCATAGCTATAACCATAGCAATACCCAAACGCCGCACCATAGAGTCCCTGGCCTATAAGGCGGTTCCTTTCTTCCCAGGCAGCTCACGCCAGTTCTACACGCCGGCCATCTCGCCAGGAAGGCTGCTCCAATCCGTCATGTCCCCACGCAGCAGTACAGTCTCTTTACGCAGCAGTACAGTCTCTTTGCGCAGCACTACCATCTCTCCTTGGCGCTCTCTTTTCCTCGACACGAGGACCTCATCGCTTGCGCTCAAAGTACGACGAAGCGGCGAAGAAGGCAACGCTCTGGTCCATGACAGTCTCGCCGACCCACAGATAGTTGTCCAGCCACTTCTGCACGCTCGGGGTGTCGCTGAACTGGTCGGGCTTTACACTGGGACTAGCGTCAGCCGGTTAGCTGTGGTCGTGCGGCGGGGGTTGGGCATGGATCTGCGGCGGTGGGGAGGTCGGCGCACGAGGGGTGGCAAGGGCGTTGAGGGTGTGCAGCGTGGAGGAGGCAACGTACGTGAGGCCAGTGGAGCGGCGCACGCCGGCGAGAAAGGCGGAGACTGCGAGGGTTGAGGGTTGGCCAAGAGTTACAGACTTGTTGAATGTTTGGACGAACCTAGTACGGCGTCGAAGGCGTAGTGCGCAACCTTGCCGAGCTGGAATGTATCAGTAGGGGAGCTTGCGAGTCGTGGGGCCGACGTACAACCATGTTGGCGGAGGGCGGGTGTGTGTGGACAGGGTGGACAGGGCGACTGGGCGGACTGGGAGAGGTGGAGGTCTTCACGTGTGGGTGCGAGGCGGAGGGTGGTGGGTGGTGTTGATGTGGTGCACGGCACGAGCGGGCGCTGTGGCTGGTGGCAGAGGCTCGCGCAGCGTGCAGGCATGTGAAGCGCGGCTCTGTGCTGGCAGCACCAGTGGCACCAGGCAGTGGAGCCCGTTGAAACGTCGCGGGCAGGCGCGACGGCTTCAAGGTGTGCCCTCGGCGCGACACGGTCGGCTCTTCCCACCTGCATGTGTCGGTCCATGCCACAGCCCCCGCTGCGAGCGTGCGGCCACTGCAACGCTGCGACACAGGCTCGCGGCCACGGCGCGCTGCTCGCACGCATGTGCGCGTCTGCCCGAGCACATCCTCGGAAGCAGCATCAGGCACGGCGATGCGGAGCAGCAGCTCGGGTCATGTAGGAACGAAGCCTTCAGGCGCGTGGTCCATATAAATGGCCGGGCCTCGCTGCGTGCTCTGGCGGTTCTCGTTCCCACGCCGTAGCCTTGGACCCCCATGAAACGACCAAGACTCGACGCCGGTGGTGGAGCTCCTCAGCATCCGGCCGCGCACCACGCACCAGGGCGAGGCAGAAAGTTTCTACGGCCAGGAAAATGAAAAACACGGGGCTTATCTGGGCGGCATGCTTGGGCGTTACGTGCGAGCGTCTCACGGCGCCAGTGCCAGCTGCACGCGGCGGCGGCAGCTGCCCTTATAACCTTATAAGCTGCAGCCCGGCGCATCGCCAGCCCTCTATTCACGCTGTTCAAGCTGTCCACGCTGTTCACGCCCTCTGCAGCTTATAAGAGCCCTAGTCTGTCTTCGCCCACGCTGCCCGTCATCCACACCGGTCACGGCCGTCGAGCTCTCAACACCTGCCCCACGCAGCCCTTCTACTTCTAGCTTTATTCACTAGCGTACCCCTCCAAGCTCAACACGCCCGCGCCAACGGCTTTTTGCAGAGAGATCAAAACCGGCCGTGGTGCATTCCTCCAGCAACACACTGCCCGCCTGCATCCTCCCTCCCTCTTCTCTCTCACGCCGCCCGCGAGCAATTGCAGTCTCCAGACCGCAGCCCTTCCTGCACAGCTCTTCTCCGCCCCATCTCCGCACCACCACCCCCACATACCGCAGCAATGGCGAACGCGTACGTGCACGACGACGCGGGCCCCCGAGGAGCCTGGCTGCGGCGCAATTCAAGGTAGTCTTCTGCAAGAAGTCTTCTACGAGAAGCCCTGAGCCGCCAGCCCTGCCCGACGGCCCCGTCCCCCGTCCCGCCCTTATCAGCGGTGCCGGCTAACACGCTGCAGTTTGGACCACCTCAACGCTGGCAGGACTCGCATCGAATGGCTCAGCCAGCTCAACACCGAGTACCACCCCGCCAAGCAGTACCGCCGCACCTCCATCATCGGCACCATCGGCCCCAAGACCAACTCGGCCGAGAAGATCAACGCCCTGCGCAAGGTGGGCCTGAACGTGGTCCGCATGAACTTCTCCCACGGCTCGTACGAGTACCACCAGTCGGTCATCGACAACGCGCGCGAGGCCGAGCGCACACAGGCCGGCCGCCCGCTTGCCATTGCGCTCGACACCAAGGGCCCTGAGATCCGCACAGGTAACACTGTTGGCGATGCCGACATCCCCATCAAGGCCGGCACCATCCTGAACATCACCACCGATGACCAGTACGCCACCGCCTCCGACGACAAGAACATGTATGTCGACTACAAGAACATCACCAAGGTCATCGAGGTTGGCCGCACAATCTACGTCGACGACGGTGTTCTGTCGTTCGAGGTCCTCGAGGTTGTCGACGAGCAGACCCTCAAGTGCAAGTGCGTCAACAACGGCAGGATCTCCTCCAAGAAGGGCGTCAACCTGCCCAAGACTGACATTGACCTGCCTCCTCTGTCCGAGAAGGACAAGGCTGATCTCAAGTTCGGTGTCAAGAACGGCGTCGACATGGTCTTTGCCTCGTTCATCCGCCGCGGCAGCGACATCGCCGCCATCCGTGAGGTCCTCGGCGAGGAGGGCAAGGACATCCAGATCATTGCCAAGGTCGAGAACCAGCAGGGAGTCAACAACTTTGACGAGATTCTTAAGGAGACTGACGGTGTCATGGTTGCCCGTGGTGATCTTGGTATCGAGATCCCTCCCAGCCAGGTCTTCATTGCCCAGAAGATGATGATTACCAAGTGCAACATCGCAGGAAAGCCCGTCATCACCGCCACACAGATGCTCGAGTCCATGACATACAACCCTCGTCCTACTCGTGCCGAGGTCAGCGATGTCGGCAACGCCGTTCTTGACGGCTCCGACTGCGTCATGTTGTCTGGAGAGACCGCCAAGGGCGATTACCCCGTCGAGGCTGTTACCATGATGCACGAGACCTGCCTGCTCGCCGAGGTCGCCATCCCATACGTCAACGCTTTTGACGAGCTGAGGAAGCTTGCTCCTATTCCCTGCCCTACCACCGAGACCTGCGCCATGGCAGCTGTCAGCGCCTCCCTCGAGCAGAATGCAGGTGCTATCCTCGTCCTGACAACAAGCGGTACCACCGCTCGCCTGGTCTCCAAGTACCGCCCCGTCTGCCCCATCATCATGGTTTCCCGCAACGCCACAGCCTGCAGGGTAAGTTTCACTATCCGCTATCGCATGAACTTTGCTAATTGAGACAGTACTCTCACCTGTACCGTGGCGTGTACCCCTTCTTCTTCCCCGAGGAGAAGCCTGACTTCAAGACCTCCCCATGGCAGGAGGATGTCGACCGTCGTCTGACGTGGGGTATCATGAACGCCATCAAGCTCGGTGTTCTGAGCAAGGGCGACCCCGTTATCTGTGTGCAGGGCTGGAGGGGAGGCATGGGCCACACCAACACTCTCCGCATCGTCCCAGCGACGGAGGATCTTGGTCTGGACCAGGAGGCTTAGAGCACGAGGCTTAGAGCACGAGGCTTAGAGCACGAGGCTTAGAGCAAACGACACAGTCGGCTTGAGGAGACGACACAGTCGGCTTTAATGTAAAGAGCCGTGTCCATAATGAGATTAGAGATGACGCTGCAATGAACAAGAGATACCTTTCATGACTCGTCGGAGTAATTGCGGTTTGGCGTGGTGTGATGCTCGGTGCACGCGCTAGTATATGCAAGCAAACTTCAGTTACAATACCGTAACCGACCTGATCCTATCATGTCCAAAGTCCTCTAAGCGAACGACTCCTCAAGCAGACTATTCACACCAGGGTCCTAATCGTGGGTGACTAAGAGGCCTTAGCGTCGTGCCTCCAATCAGCCAGACACGGCCATGGATCGTAACACTCTCCCACCACCAACCATGGATTTATCCGCAATCGTGAACCAAGACGAGGGGCTGGTGCTACCGCGCCGCTCCAGCTCCATTGCACACGCCATCACGCAGCCGAGTCCCGTCTCCGCATCGTCGAAGATGGCTACGCCCACGCCGAGAGCCATGGCACTGAAGCGCAAGCGACACGAGCCCAAGCCGATATGGGCGTACCGAGAGAAGGAGGAGCTTTCAGAGGAACTCCAGCGGTTGCAGGAGCAACAGCGCCAGCAGGCTCGACCACCTCCGCCGCCTGTACAGCCTCCGGCGCAACGCCAGGCTCCCGCGCATCGCCCCGGGCCACCGCCCGCAGGCGCCGCTGCCGCAGCGAACAGTGCTCACGAGCTCAGCGGGTACGAGAGGCCTGTCTCGGACGACGCGCAGGTCTACGACGACGTCACGCGCAAGGTGTGCGACTTCATCTGGACCACGGCCGTCAACAACGATCTCGTGCGCAAGGCGATTCAGGAGTCCCCACATACACAGCTCGAAGTGGAGGCGCGCTGGGGCCAGATAATCGACAAGCACCGCGGGTCTGCTGGGGAACGCCTGCGCGGCGTTCACGACACGGAATGCGTGGTCCGCAAGACGGACGTCCTGGACATCAAGTTTGAGAGCACCATGACAATGGAGCAGCACAAGCGCATGAACAAGTATCTGAATGGGCAGGTTCAGAGCTCGGTGCCTGCCTCTGGAAATCAGCGCCCGGAGGTCAAGTACCACCACACCAAAGAGATTGATCAGTTCTACGATCTGGGACAGACAGGGTTCGACAAACTGCCTCCCACGGTGCGAGTAATGATTGCGCAATCAGGCAAGGCGGAGAGGGTCCGCGTGTCGGTCGATGCAAAGACGGGCCATGTCATCCGCAAGATGATCAAGCTCCGCATTGCCAACCTCGAAATCAGCTCCCCCCAGACCGAGTGGGACTACCGTATTGGCATCAATCTCGAAATCAACTACCCCGGAGCTGTCGAGGAACTGGAACCAAGTATCGAGAAAGGAAAGACGCTGCGGGACATGCAGCGCCAGAAGGACCGCATGTCATACTCGTGGCTTGGTGCATATCAGATCGATCTGACACAGGTTGTGCAAGGGCCGGCCAAGAACCACGAGCTCGAGCTGGAACTCGACTCGCAGGTGCTGATGAGTGAAGCCGATAAGGTGCGCAGGAGGGAGGGGAGCGGCTTTGAGTCTCTGATCAACGGCATGCTCAACAATCTCCGCGTGCTGTCGCGAGAGATTACTCCGCAGGGCCCGACATGACAGCGACGGACATGATGTACTACTATAGCGAAAGGGCGGAGTCGACGCGTTGAACATGATACCCATTTTGATTGCAGCATTCAGCCGCAGTCTACACCTCAGCTGTGCTCGCCTCCCGTCTGCTTTGTGCTGTGGAACGTGAAACGTGAAACGTGGAGCTCAGCTGGCCAGCAGCTATGTCTGTAGCCCTGGAGTGGCAGTACATAACGAGTGCCAAGCCAAGTGCTGCACAGCTGCAGAGCTGCAGAGGCGACGACGAGGCCACAATGGATACAGACATGCAGACGGCGAAGTCACAGAGGCGTCGTACATGCGACAAGGGCCTGTGTCACTTTGCTGGACAGCCGTGGCTTATCGCGTGCAATGTGCAAGGTGCATGTGAGAAGGGGATTAGGTCATCGGCGCCTCGTTTGCCTCTGTCCGAGCTTCGCGCATCCGTCGACGGTGCATACAACGCGGCGACGGCTCACGCCAACCCATCACCCACGCCACTTCCCTTTGCTGTCCTTCCTTCTCTGCGCCGCACACGACCCCGTCCGCGCCGCACCGCACCCCGCCCCGTCGCTGTCCATCGCCGCAGGCTCGCAGACGCCGCCACCAGCTCCATCGCCTTCCACTTGGTTCCGCAGCCACCACCGCACCACCACCGCGGGCACGATCCCAGCCGCTGCATCACGACCGCCATCCGTCTGCGTCTGTCACCATGGTCGGCCTCACTTCAGCTGCCGGCGTTGTCGGGTTCCTGTCGGAGCCAGACCCAGCTCTGCGGTCGTTCGCCCTGCACCAGTTGAATGACCAGATCGACCTGCTGTGGCCCGAGGTCGCGGGCTCGGTCAGCCAGATGTACGCGTCCCCATCCCCCCCTGCTGCCCCCGGCATCTCCTGCACGAGCGGCTGCTAACATGTGCGTCACAGTGAGGCGCTCTACGAAGACGAGTCGTTCCCGGAACGCGAGCTCGCCGCGCTGGTTGCTGCAAAGGTCTACTACCAGCTGCAGGAGTACAACGAGAGCATGGTCTTTGCGCTGGGTGCCGGCAAGCTCCTTGACATCCACAAGGCCGGCGAGTTCGAAGAGACAATACTGGGTAAGCAGCTCAACAGCTCGGGACCGCGCTCAGCGCGACCGCCTGCAGCTCGCACCCGCACAGCGCACTCGGTGCGCCACAGACGACCAACGGGCTAACTCGCACGCACAGCAAAATGCATCGACACATACATCGCCATGTCCGCCCTGCACAACCCCCCGATCCCGGTCAGCAAGGCAAACCAGGCCCCGCCCCAGCTCAGCACATCGTTCGGAGCCTCGACAGGTGCTGCCAGCGCCGCGGCCAGCCTGACGTCGCCAATCACACCCTTCTCGCAGTCCGCCCTGCCCTCCAAGTCGCTGCTTTCCCGCGAGGACTCGAACGCGTTCGACCCCACAACCCCAGGCGGTGGCAATGCCGGCGTCGCTGGCTCGCACCCCTCGCCCATGATCCTGCAGAGGAACGTCCAGAAGAACCTGCAGACGACGATACGACGCATATTCGAGAGCTGTTACGAGACTGCCAACTACAAGCAGGTTGTGGGCATTGCGATCGAGGCACGGAATCTGGATGTTCTGCGTCAGTCGATCCTCCGCGCAAGTCAGGACGAGAAAAAGACAGCAGGCAAGAAGCCTGCGGCAGACGCCCCGACTCAGAGCGAGGAGCTCATGGACTACGTTCTCGACATCTGCATGAACGTCGTGCAGGAGCGTGGACTGAGGAACGAGGTATGTTCAAGTTCCATCACGACATGATTGCGGCACTCAGCTAACTTGTCATAGATTCTCCGTCTCATTCTCGACCTACTCAACGACAACGAGATCCCCAACCCCGACTACTTCTCCATCGCCAAGTGCGTCACCTATCTCGACCAGCACTCGCTAGCTTCGAAGCTTATCCGACAGTTGGTGGAGCAAGGCGACGACAAGTCTCTTGCAACTGCTTACCAAATTTCCTTCGACCTGTACGAGAACGGCACTCAAGAGTTCCTTGCAAAGGTCATGGCGGATCTGCCCGAGTCGGACGAGGAGGACGACGAGTCAAAGCTCGCGAGCGGCGATGCACCTGAGGCAAAGGAGTCTGATTCCCTGCTCGCAGGTGCGGATACCAGCAACGTTGCGGACACTGCCAAGTCTGGCAGCGCAGAGAACAAGGCATTCAACTCCGTCCGCCACATCTTGCGCGGAACCAAGAGCATCGAGCTGAACCTCGAGTTCTTGTACAGGAACAACCACACAGACAAGTCTGTCTTGAACAAGATCCGCGATAGTCTTGAGGCACGAAGCTCCATCTTCCACAGCAGCGTGACATTTGCGAACGCGTTCATGAACGCCGGTACAACAAACGACACATTCTTCCGCGAAAACCTGGACTGGCTAGGCAAGGCGGTGAACTGGTCCAAGTTCTCGGCGACTGCAGCTCTTGGTGTCATCCACCGCGGCAATATCACACAAGGGCAAAAACTGCTGGACCCGTACCTGCCAAAGGACAGCGTTTCCTCCGGCTCTCATTACGAGCAGGGTGGTTCTTTGTACGCTCTTGGCCTAATTTACGCCAACCATGGCAGCAACGTTTTGGACTATCTTGTCAAACAGTTTCAGAACACCACCGAGGAGGTCATTCAGCATGGTGGCGCTCTCGGTGTTGGTGTCGCTGGTATGGCAACAGGATCTGAGGAGATCTTCGATGCCTTCAAGAGCGTTCTGTACACAGACTCTGCCATCAATGGTGAGGCTGTGGGTCTTTCGATGGGTCTTGTCATGCTTGGCACTGGCAGCATCAAGGCTCTCGAGGACATGATCCAGTACGCACACGACACACAGCACGAGAAGATTGTCCGTGGTCTCGCAATGGGCATGGCGCTCATCATGTACGCTCGTCAAGAGGCCGCCGACGAGCTCATCAACGGCCTGCTTGACGATCCAGACCCGACCCTGCGCTACGGAGGTATCATGACCATCGCTCTGGCGTACTGTGGCACAGGTAGCAACAAGGCCGTCCGCAGGTTACTCCACGTGGCTGTCAGCGATGTCAGCGATGATGTCCGCCGTGTGGCGGTCATGAGCTTGGGCTTTGTCTTGTTCAGAAAGCCAGGCAGCGTTCCTCGCATGGTTGAGCTCCTCTCCGAGTCGTACAACCCCCACGTCCGATACGGAGCCACAATGGCTCTGGGTATCGCGTGTGCTGGTACCGGCCTTCCTGAGGCAGTCGACTTGTTGGAGCCTATGATGAAGGATTCCACTGACTTTGTCCGACAGGGTGCTTTGATCTCGCTTGCCATGATCATGGTACAGCAGAACGAGGCCATGAACCCCAAGGTTGTATCCATCAGGAAGCAGCTTACCAAGATCATCGGTGACCGTCACGAGGACGCCATGGCCAAGATGGGTTGTGCGCTTGCCCTCGGCATCATCGATGCTGGAGGCCGCAACTGCACAATCGGTCTGCAGACACCCACTGGTAACCTTAATATGGCTGCCATTGTCGGTATGGCCGTCTTCACACAGTACTGGTACTGGTTCCCGTTGACACACTTTCTGTCGCTCAGCTTCACACCGACCGCGATCATTGGCGTGGACCAGGACCTGCAGATTCCGTCATTCAAGTTCCACAGCAACACCCGGCCAAGCATGTTCGAATACCCGCCGGAGACTGAGGTCAAGACTGAGGAGGCGCCTGAAAAGATCAAGACTGCTGTCCTGTCAACAACAGCGCAAGACAAGCGCCGAAGGATGGTCAAGGAGCGCCAGCGCCGTCGGGAAAGCATGGACGTCGACCAGACGCCTACCACGCCCAAGCCCGCCGATGACGACAAGATGGAAGTGGATGAGGAGAAGAAGGATGACGAGAAGGCGGAGGGTGTGGCAGCGGACTCGCCAAAGAAGAAGGCGGAGAAGGAGAAGGTTGGATATGAGCTAGAGAACATGTCGCGTGTTCTGCCGGGGCAGGTGAAGCACATCTCATTCCCTGGAGAGCGCTTCATCCCAGTCAAGAAGGTCAGTTTCCAGTATTGTACGCCATGCGTCAGCTACTAACTCATGTGCAGCCCACCTTGGGAGTGATCCTTCTCACAGACACAACGCCGTCAGAGCCCAAAGAGCTGCTCGAGCTGAAGGTCAAGAAGGCGGCACCAGCACCAGCTCCTGGAGCAACAGGGTCGGGTGAACAGGCGCCTGAAGGGGTTGCAGAGGCCGACTCGCCGGAGTCGGCAACAGACAACCTGGTGGAAGAGGGCGACGATGAAGCATCGGTCCCCGGGGACTTTGAGTACGAGTCGGACACGAACCCCAATGATAGCGAGTAGTGTGGCAGTAGACGAGGTGCCGGTATCCTTCTCAGCGCCGGGCGGTTGCCTGCATTGATCTCAGGCTTTGGGAGGTCAGAGGAGGCCGCTTTCCCAGCCTGCCTAGATGTATAATAACCCATGCGGTCTACTAGAATTACAAGCATAGTTGTTCAGGTTCTGATTCGCTGGGTGGTGTTTGATACGGACCAGTGCTCACTGGATGCGTGGTCCTCGGCGGTCCGGGCTTGGCGTGGAGCATGGAAAAGTACGGCATGACCTCGCCGCTGCGCATCTCTCCACATGCCGCCATGAGCCTCCGACCGGGGCTGTCACGCTCAATCGCCGGCCGCGATGCAACCTCCGTCTGTCTGCAGTGCTGGCGGACGCTGCGCCGGCCGCCGGGGCCGCTGCGCCAGGCCTTCTCGACGGTGCCCCCCCATCGATCCAGCGCGGTGGCCGTGGGCCGGAAGCGCAACGCGTTCAGCAGGGACTTCTTTGGCAAGAACGCGCTGCTGAAGGAGACGTTCTGGCAGCCGCGGCGCGACGTGCAGAGCGCCATTGCCGCGGGCAAGACGCCAGCCCCGGCCGCGACGACATCCACGGCCCCCGACGACGTGCTCCCCCACCGCCAGCGGAAGCGCGCGAGAGACGCCGCCGCCGCGCCCGCCGCGCCCGCCGCAGAAGCATACCCCATCCCGCTGGATGCGTCGGCGCGCCTCGCCGACCTGGCCACGGCGCAGACGTCGCTCAAGCGCCTCTTCTTCACGTACCTCTCGCTCTCGAAGCCGCGCCTCTCCTTCCTCGTCGTCCTGACCGCCACCGCCACCTACAGCCTGTATCCCGTGCCGCAGCTGCTCAGCACCGCCGCAACCGCCACGCCGAGCCTGTCGGCGCTCACGCTGCTCTTCCTGACCACGGGCACCGCGCTCTGCTCCGCCAGCGCCAATGCCTTCAACATGCTCATGGAGCCCAAGTACGACGCCCAGATGAGCCGCACCCGCAACCGCCCGCTCGTGCGCAAGCTCGTCACCCCGCGCGCCGCCGCCGTCTTTGCCGTCGCCTGCGGCCTGCTCGGCTCCGCGGGCCTCTACTTCGGCGTCAACCCCACCACTGCCGGCCTCGGCGCCGCCAACATTGTGCTCTACGCCGCCGTCTACACCCCGCTGAAGCGCCTCAGCGTCATCAATACCTGGATCGGTGCCGTCGTCGGCGGCCTGCCGCCGCTGATGGGCTGGACCGCCGCCGCGAGCCAGTATGCCCACGACGGCACCTGGCAGGAGCTGCTGTTCGGCGAGGGCAGCGCCGGCGGCTGGCTATGTGCCGCGCTGCTGTTCGCCTGGCAGTTCCCGCACTTCAATGCCCTGTCGTGGAGCATCCGCGAGGAGTACAAGAACGCCGGCTACCGCATGCTGGCCTGGGTCCATCCGGCCCGCAACGGCCGCGTCGCCCTGCGCTATGCCCTGCTCATGTTCCCCGTGTGCATCGGGCTCAGCCTTGTCGGCGTGACCGACATGAGCTACATCGCCACCAGTAGCGTCGTCAACGGCTGGATGGCCTGGAAGGCCTGGGCCTTCTGGAAGCACCAGGGCCACAAAGGGACCGCCCGCAGTCTGTTCTGGGCCAGTGTGTGGCACCTCCCCATCGTCATGGTGCTCGCCATGGCGCAGAAGAAGGGGCTAGGCGAGCGCCTATACAGGAGCGTTGTAGGCTATGAGGACATTGACGAGGACGAGCTGTACTACGAGGCAGGCGAGCTGGAGGAAGAGGAGGAAAAGTATCAGCGCAGTCGGGTTGTGAGTTGATGTGTTTCTTGTGTCGTGATACCTTCCTGTACCATATCGCATCAGCGTGTATAACATGTCCTTTGAGCAGAAGCAAAATCGCATTTTGCTTTTTGGGAAATTGATTCGAGTGCATCGTATCATACACGCATATCTCGCGCCCTAGCAGCAGTGTCTCAACACGCCGCAACGCCGTCCCTGCTATCGACCACCCGCATCCACTCTTCCTTCCCCATCTGTCCCTGCCATCCTTTACGCAGCATACTTTCGTAACTACACGTTCATTAGCGCCACCCTCAGCACCCCCGCAACCCGGCGAACAACTTACATCTAGACTCAAATAGCGACTACTCATCGCGCTCTGATCCCTCAAGACCCCCACCAACGCCTCGCTCTCCTGGAAGAAGCCCGCCTTGAGCGAAATGACCACAAACTGCATCCCAGGCCCCGCGTGCTCCCTGACATATGCCGCCACGCGCGCGACATTCACGTTATCCAGCGCCGCATCCACCTCGTCCAGCACGAAGAACGGACTCGGTTGGTAACTATGAATAGCAAACAGCAGCGCGAGCGCCGCGATTGTCTTCTCGCCACCAGACAGGTGCTCCATGTCGCGGAACCGCTTGAGCGGCGGCATCGCGTGGTACTTCAGTCCAGCCAGGTACGGCTCAGAACTGTCCTCCATGTCAAGATACGCGGTGCCGCCGAGAGGAAACTGTGGCGACTTAGTCAGGGCCTTGTAGGTGGCGCCGATGGTGGAAGAGATGTGTGTAAAAGCCTTCATGAAAAGTGTGTGCCGGCGCTGTTTTGTGGCATCGAAGGCGCGTTTGGCGGCAGCGGCGCGCGTGCGGGTCTGCGCAAAGGAGGCATCGATGGCGGCGAGCCTGGCGGTGGTTGAGGCGAGGCGCTCGCCTGCGCGCATGTTGGGGGTTGCTTTGCTGATATCGGTGTCAAGGCGCGTGATGGTGTCGGCGAGACGCGATTCAATGGTGGCGAGGGAGGTGTGGAGGGTGGAGGGGGCGGTGGACTCGGTGTCGGTGGCGAGAAGCGACAGGAGCTCGGTTTGGAGGTCCTCATCGAGCTCATCGAAGTCGACGTCGATGCCGTAGTCGTCGATTTCTGGTTGTTGGATTTGTGTGTTGTCGACATCCTCGTCTACATCCATGGCGTCAGCGTCTGGACGCGGCAAGTCCGTCATGGGCAGCGAGGTGAGTGTCTTCGAGTCTGGCTTCAGCGGAATCTTGATCTCGTTGACTCTGCACTCCTTTAGCGTGTTGTATCGGCTCGTCGCACTCGTCTTGATCTTGGCCTCTTCGCTATCCACAGCCCTCAGCACATGCTTGACCTTCTCGTTACGATGGTCGAGCGCACGACGAGCTTCTCTGACTGCAAGAGCACGTTCTGTCAGCTTCTCTTCCAGAGCCTCATACTTCTCTTGCAGTTCCTCCAGCTCAGCCTGAAGCACGTCTCTCGAGTTCTGCAGCTCTTCCTGTTTTTCTTGCTGCTCGGCAAGATCTACGTCGACACGCTTGATCGCGGCTTCGGCTCCCGAAAGGCGATCCTCGATACCTTGGAGCGAGGACTCAAGTTGCTTCAGCAAAAACGAGAGCTTGCTGCGTTGTCGCGTGAATTCGAGACGCTTCTCCGCAGCCTCTTGCTGCACTGTGCCCTGCTGGTCTTCGTAGTCGCGTATCGATGCGTAGCCAAGCCTCTGGCAGAAAGCTGCGAAAACGCTGTCGGAGACTTGATTCACCGAGTCTTGGAAGCCTTGCAGCTCTGCCTCCCTGTTGCGCAGTCGTTGTGTCTGCTGCTCAAAATTTGGCCGTACACCCCTCAGTTCGCTCTTGTGATGTGTGAGCTCCTTCTTCAGGCTGTCGATGTTGCGGGTGAGAGCTTTGGTCTCGTCTTGTGCACGCCTGACTTGATCAGTGAGGTCTAACAATTCAGCCTCGATCGCCTGCTCCTGTTGTCGCGAGCTTTCGAGCTTCGGGAGGTTGGCAAGCTCTTTCTGCAGCGAGTCGACACGGTCGCGCAGTGTCTGGTAGGATTTCTCGTCCCAAGACTGTTCGCCTCCGTCATCATCACGATCAAGCTCACCACCAGTCTGGGTACCACCCTTGCTGATGACACGTCCGTCTAGGGTGACTGCTTTGGCTTGCACGCGCCGCTCGTATCTCAGTTCCTTGGCAATCTTTTCGGTATCACAAACCATGGTGTTGCCACATGCAGCAGTCATGGCTCGCTCGTGCTTGGGCTCGTAGTTGATGCAGTCTATGGCGAGACGCATGCCCTTGTGCATACCCTTCAGCTGCGAGTCGACAGCCTTGATCTGGATCGAGTCGAGCGGGTCAAACGACATGATGCCGATGCGTTCCTGCTTCAGGTAGGCAATGCACTCCTTGGCAGTGGCTTCGGTATCAACGATCACAGTCTCCATCTGGGGTCCGAATACTCGACCCATAGCCTTGCGATACTTGGCCTGCTTTGCAGTGAACAGATCCCGGTACCGGCCGTGCACCTTCTCAGGTCCTAGTCTCACGCGAAGTCGCTCAATCGCTTTGCGCGCTTCTTGCTGCTTTCGCGATTCACGTCGGCTACCCTCGATTATGCTGAGCTGTGTTGCAGACTCCTGCAGCATCTGGTTCTTCTCTCTGTAGGTCAATTCCAGCTGTCGGCGATCAGAACGCAGTTTATCGAGCTCCTTTTGCTTCGAGTTCCGTGCCGACTCGAGTTCTTTGAGCTGCGAACGCTGCTCTTTCTGGCGCTCTTCCAGTCGGCCAACCTCTGCACTCAGCCTCTCGGCGGCCTTCTCGTGGGTATCAACGCTTTGCTGCAGGTTCCGCACGTGATCGCGGTCTGTGTCGACCTCGCGCTTCAGGCGGTCAATCTGAATCTGGTCTGCGTGAGTGCGCTTCACGACCTCGCCGCGCAGCTGGTTGTATTCCTGCAGATCCTGCTGCGATAGCTCCCGGCCCTGTCGCTGAGAGGCGGCTCTGAAGTCGTCCTCCCACTTCTGCTCGGCTCTCTGGACCAGATCCAAGTCCTTCTGGACCTTCTGGACCTGCTGTGCGCCAGTGTCACGCTTCCTTCGAAGGTCTGCAAGCACCGAGTCGTTCTTCTGGCGCTGGTCGTTGAGCAGGCGAATCTTCATCTCAATGGGAGCAAGCTCGTTGGTGGTGTCCTCGATCTGCTTCTCCTTGTCCTTGATGCTGCGGTCTGTCTTGCTCACGTCGCGCTTGACCTTGGCTTCGGCCTGCCTTTCCTGCTCGTGCTTGGTGTGGTACTTTTCGACGCTGCGCTTGTGCTCCTTCAGCTCCTCCTGGTGCGAGGCGATTTTGTCGCGCGCCTGCTCCATGGTCTGCCGGTACAGGAACAGCTTCCACAAGGTCTTGGTGACGACGGCCTCGTCGCGCTCGGCAAGCTTGCGCTCGTACTCGTCGGCTTCGGCCTTTTGCTCCTGGTATGTCTTCAGCTCGCCGTTGATACCACGGCGCTCGTGCAGGTGCTTCGCGTTGTCCTCGGTGGCAGCTTCAGACTCGGCCTTAAGCCTATCGTAGTCGGCCTTTTGCTCGAGCGAGCCCGAAATGCGCTCGACCTGCTCGGTGAGCTTGTCGGAGGCCATGGTCGCGATCTTCTCCACGTCGCCCTGGAAGACGAGGAAGTTGCGGGCCTTGACCAGAATGCTGTGCTCCTCGAGGGCCTCGTTGTACTCCTTGGCGGTGACCTGGCGGCGGTTGATGCGGTACTCGCTCGCGCCGGCAGCGGTGATGGTGCGCTGCCACTCGTGCTCCTGCTCGGCGTCGTCCTCGTAGACGGCCTTGACCCAGGCGTTCTGGGGGTTCTCGGTCTGGGTGCTGGACTGGGTGTCGCCGTTCTCCTGCGTGGCGCCGTTGGACGCGGCGTCGCCCTCGGTGGCAGTGCCGTCGGCGTTGATGCGGGCCTCGCGAATGATGCGACCGCGGTAGACCATGTCCTGCAGCTTGTCGGAGCGCAGCTGGGACGAGCGGACGCCCAGCACAAAGGAAATGGCGTCCATGCTGTTCGACTTGCCGGAGCCATTGGGGCCGATAATGGAGGTGAAGTACGAGTCGCCGAAGAGCAGCGTGTGGCGCCCACGGTAGGACTTGAAGTCTGCGTTGGTCAGCGGGGGCGTGCCAATGCGCGGCGGGCGGGCTACTGTAGATCTCGAGGCGCACCAGCTTGCCCATAATGGCGATGGGGGGCACGGCTGTACAGCTCGTGCGCGTGGTGTTCGCGACGCGTCGTAGCTAGCGCGCGTGGCTGGTGTGGCTGGTGTGGCTGCAAGCACGACGTCTGTGCGCTCTGCACAGACCATCTCATCCCATCTCCTGTCAGACGTCACTCTAAGAATTAAAGAAGGAACGATCCTGTTAACCTGAACGGACAAACAACTCCTGTAATCAATAACAATACTTTCTAAGCGAGCAAAGGGCGTGTAGAACTCCTGTCCAGCAAACTGAGTGCGGAACTCCTGTCCAGCAAGCCGAGTGCAGAACTCATGCCCAGCAAACCGAGTGCAGAACTCATGCCCAGCAAACCCAGTCGAGACGATTGAGTGCAGAACTCCTGTCCAGCAAGCCGAGTGCAGAACTCATGCCCAGCAAACCCAGTCGAGACGATTGAGTGCAGAACTCCTGTCCAGCAAGCCGAGCCGAGTCGAGACGACCGAGTGTAGAACTCTCCGAGACCCCTCTGAGTGTAGAACTCTTCTTCAAAACCCTTCTGAGTGTAGAACTCCCTCCAGCAAGCTGAGCCGAGTCGAGACGACCGAGTGTAGAACTCTCCGAGACCCTTATAAGTGTAGAACTCTTCTTCAAAACCCTTCTGAGTGTAGAACTCCCATCCAGCCGAGCCGAGTCGAGACGACTGATTGTAGAACTCTTTGAGTCCCTTCTGAGTGTAGAACTCCCGTCCAGCAAGCCGAGCCGAGTCGAGACGACCGAGTGTAGAACTCTTCGAGTCCCTTCTGAGTGTAGAACTCCCGTCCAGCAAGCTGAGCCGAGTCGAGACGACGACCGAGTGTAGAACTCCCGTCTAGCAAGCCGAGCCGAGTCGAGACGACCGAGTGTAGAACTCTTCGAGTCCCTTCTGAGTGTAGAACTCCCATCCAGCAAGCCGAGCCGAGTTGAGAACCTTCTGAGTGTAGAACTCTTTAAGACCCTTTTGAGTGTAGAACTCTTCGAGATCTTTTGAGTGTAAAACTCCTGTTCAGCAAGCCGAGCCGGCCCGAGACGACCGAGTGTAGAACTCCCATCCAAGTTGAAACAAAATCCTTGAGTGTAGAACTCTTTTTCAATGACGAGAACGGCGAAATTGAGTTCGATCTCAACTATAGGGTTGTATGTGTTGCTGCATGGTCGCCTCAGAGGTAAGATCTGTTCCTTCGCTTGGAGCCTTGCTGCATTGATCGCGCGGTCAGTATGGAATAAGTAAACGCTTGTCAGCATAAATCGACCGGAGCTCGGCAAGGACAACGTTCATGCTGTCATACATGACATGCAGCAGATTTCCTAAACCTTTTCCCTTTGTTGCTCGTCTGTTCAGCGGCGTGTCCAGGTCGAATACTCACAAGACTCGAGATGGCTAACAAGACAGCTGAAAAGCTGGTGTGCAGACATTCAAGAGTGCATCGCTCGGAGTCGAAGTGTACAACAGCTTTCATCTTGCCTGAACACGGGGGATAGTGTAGGCACATTGATGCCACTGGGGAACGAGTGAAGAGGAAGACTATGCATGTCGCAATAACGAGATCCGAGTGCCTGCACGCGCCAGGCATTGCGCATTCATGCATACGATGGAGTTCATCCTCACATTCACCGGTAGCCATCTTGTCATCGCCGTCGCCGCCGCCGCCAGTTAGTCAGCGCGGCCCGAGCGCCTGCGCTCATGTTTATGGCCGCCTCGCCCACAATACTAGCTCTCCACCACACACTGCAACCTCGGCCGCGCTCACGCGCTTTTCAACCGCTCGAGTCTCTGCGCGTGTGTGTGTCTAGGTGCTACCCGTTTAAGTAGCTCTGTTAGGAGGCAGGTACCTCTCCTCTGGAAGCTTGCTTCCAACTCTGCCAGCGCATTCACTTGCTGCCGGCACGCCAGCGCATTCATTTGCTGCGGCACCCACGATCCCTATTCTTGGTTCTTTAGTGTCCTAGTGGCACTATCGAACTTCGTTTAGGCGTCGTTGTTGTGTAGTTGGGCCTGTCCCGCTTCACTTCTTTTTTTTTTTAGCTATGTCTAACATTGCTAACCCTTCGTCCTCTGCGGGCCCTTCTGCAGCAGGAAACCCTCCCCCGGCGCCCTCCCAGGGCCAGAGTGATCAGAGCACTGTCGCTGACACAGTGCCTGCCCAACAGCCGGCGGAGAGCCAGAATGAGGACGTCTGCATGGACGCTGACCAGAGCGTGACCAAGGTCTATGCATACGGCAAAACGCTTCCACGAGAGTTGAATCACGAGATCCTCAACATGCATCCTGAGCAGTATACCGACAAGCTCGCTGTTGGTGACCTGGAGAAAGACCCAAGGCTGCAAGTGTCGACTGCAGGTATCTTCGATCTTCGTGGTCGAGACGTGAACAAGTCGAAACTCCCACAAGGCCTTGATGGGGGCCAGAAACTTCGAACGGCTATTTGGTTTGCGGACAACGCTCCAGAAGATCTCATCGGCGCGCATCTTGAACTTTCCACTGAACAAGCCCAGGCCATCGAAGACGACAAAGAGCCCCCCAAGATCGAACCTCCGCGTGACGAGTGCGTCAAGGCAAAATTTCATCTCGACACACAAGCTCCGCACATCGAGATCAGTACGTTCGATCCATCGACTGAGAGCGTGATCTCCACACGGATATTCGCAGATGAGATCGAGTGGAACTTCGAACACTTCTCGTCCGACTCTCCTGTGGAGTTCTATGTCAGGCCTTATTCAAGGGAGTACATCTCAGGCATGGGCAAGGACCTTACCAAAGGACTTAATGGATCTTGGAATGTTGTTCTCGAGATGGAAAAGATGACCAAACATTGCGTGCTGATGGTCTCGGTGGTTTTACGCCAGCCATCAAAAGACCGTCAGTGGCAGGGCATCTCGAAGACGGCACTCGCCTCGATCCGCGCAAAGCCGACCAATTCCGTACGAGATCAACTCGTCACACGATTCGATGAGACGGCGGTGTTCAGCATGTGCTTTTCTGTCAAGGCAACTGCTGGCATGAAGAAAGCATGGATTGAAAAGTTCAGCAGCTACTTCTCCCGCCTCGTTGCAATCACCAAGTGCTATGGAACGTTCTGGTTCTACCGACGCCAGACTGAAATTGCCCTTGGAACCTCAGACCCAGATGCCATGAACGATGTGGATGCGGACAAAGCTATCGAAAAGCCTGCCATGCCAAAGGTGGACTTTATCGTGCCTCGTTTTCTGGTGAAGGAATGGTCTGTGACGGAGACCACGAACAGTCTCGGAGAGATTAGCTACTCCGATATCAAGCCGCACGCTTGGGCGCCCCTCGAGTTCCCTACCCAGTTTCCGGATGCCAACATTGCTGCTTTCCTCTTGAAGCTGGCTATCGAGGAAGAACGAGCTTACCAGCACCACGCTATCAACGCTCTCGTACACAGCAGCGGCGGCCAATTCTTTCGAGGAAGTTATACCCACATGGTTGGGAAGACCTACCTTGTCACTATTTACCTTGGCAGTGAAAAGCTGAGTAATGTTGACGTCCGGCTCCCTAGCCCGGGTGTGCGGATCCAAATCAAAGTCGATCGCAAACTGAACGACCCGCCTCAACCGGAAACCACGGCTACGTTGACTGGTATGGTTATCTACACGGAAGATGATGCCAATGACGTCTTCACGTGTGTCTGCGACGTTCAGGGCCCGAATCTGGCATGCGCCAATGGGAGGGGCGATTTTGCGACATTGATCGAATACATCATCGATGAACTCCCGTTTCAGAGGCAAATGAATGCTGTGTCTACGCTTCAACGCGTTTCGTACGCAGGCCAAGGACCGGATGTGAAATCGCTGCTCTTCGATTACCAAGAGCCCAAGGAAGCAGATGTCATGGATACCACACCACTGCCTACTCGTCGGGCTGCTTTCGAGCAAGCACTTACCCTTGGTTTCCCCTTCCCGCCAGACAAGTCGCAACTCCGTCCATGTCTTGACACATTCGAGTCGGAAACTGGCATGACGGTAATTGTTGGTCCACCCGGCACTGGGAAGACGTTGACCCTTACGCGAATTGCATTTGCCATGGCGAGCCTTATGTATCGTGTCTTATGCATGGGACCAACCAACGCATCTGTCCACACTCTGGTTGATAAGTTTGTTGAGCATAATGCCCGGCTCGGCAGCAACGGCATTGCGGATGATGATTGGGTTCTGTTCACCGGTGCTCATTGCAGAGTCGGCAAAGCCGGAAACCTGCGCAAGAGGCAGACCACTGAAGATCAGGAGCTTGAGCGAGTCAACAACCTGTACGCCGAGTATCTTCGTGATGCTGAGGATCGACGTAACCACCCACGCTACCAACAAACAATGGGTTATAAGCTTGGTCTCAAGATCAGAAAGTGGGCAACGGATCCGTCGTTGAACATCGAAACCAAGGATCAAGTGAATCTCTACCAGATGTCCAAGAAATACGTCGAAGTAGAGGAGAATCTTCCATACATTGGAAAGGAAGAGGCAAAGAAAGCCCGCAAAGATCAGCTCAACCGAGAGGAAACGCTTGCCTACGAGTTCCTCCGGCGTGTGAGGTTTGTCTTCTGCACTCTCTCCTCTTCCGCTCATGACATGATGCTCGAGAGCGGCAGATGGGACGAGATCATTGTCGACGAAGCTGCACGTGAGACCCGTGCAGGCATCGCTGTTTTCTTAGCAGCATTTCATGGCCGATACAACCACATCACTTGGTCCGGCGACCATATGCAAGGAGGTGGTGTCGTCAGTGGCGCGAATGCGAACACTGGCTACAACATCCTGGTCCGCAATGTCTTTGAGCAGCTCGTAAAGGTTCTCACCAAGACGCCCGACAATCCAGCTCCCACCGGCGCCTTCACTCTCCAGACTTGCCACCGCATGAGTGGACCGCTGATCAAGTGGTCATCAGATCACTGCTACGGTGGGCAGGTTCACGCTTCTCCCTTGGCCAAGCAGTGGAACGAGCCCCTTCGCAACACACTTAGGGCATTCTGGGCAGAGCGCCTTCCTGATGGGTTCAGAGGCTCTTACGAGCAGATCTGCTTTGATGTAACTGGTATCGACATTGCATCCAAACAGGACAAGGGTAGCACTAGTCGCTACAACGTCGGCGAGGCCGATCTCATGGCATACTGGATACTCGAACTTCTCGAGTACGTGCCACCAAATAACACTGCTGAAAAGCAGTGCGCTCGCGTCCAAGGATCCGACATCTGTGTCAGCTCCAACTTCATCGATCAGGTCTCACAGATTAGGCGACACCTGTACAAGCGGTCGGAGGGTAAGCCTCCGCACATCGTGCAGCAAGTCAAGGATGTGCTGCTCATGCTGGAAACCACTGGTACGATTCAGGGCAAAGAGAGATCCATCTCTTTCTACTGCACTGTGATTGCTGTCGGTCACTCTCGCCTTGCCGAGGGCGAAGACTTGCCAATTGGGTTCGTCGCGAACGTGAAGAGCTTCAATGTGAGCATGACTCGTCAGCGAGTAGCCCGCTACAACTTCGGGGCTTTTATGCTGTTCGTTCAGGCCATCCGTGACCGCCGCAAGGTCATCCATAGGTATGGCGAGTTTTTCGGCTATGTCAATCACATGGAGACGAGTGGCTTCATCTTGTCGCTGGCCGAGATACATGAGTGGATGGACAAGCGTCAGAAGATTGGCTCTGGTCAGGGCTTCTCCAATTTACTGAAAGCCAAAGCCACCTACAAGGAGGAACCCGTGCCAAAGCCAGCGCATAAGAACTTATCTGGCATGCACAATGCTGACTCGCGTCCAACCACCACGGGCAACAGTAATGTCCAGCACCAGAAGGCACCTGCAACCACCAAATTTGGCGGTAAGCGCGACAAAAATGGCAATCTACTTGATCAGAACAAGATTCAAAAGAGCCGTGGCAAGCGAGGTGGCAAGAAGTTCAAGGATGACAAGCGCGATCCTGGCGGCAACGATGGAGCTGCTGGTGCTGCTGCTGCTACTTGAGTACGATGACTAGGATGTAGTTTTTTTGGGTGGTAGGGTGGGTCAAGACATCGGTTTTTCGGGACCGTCAACGGAGGGGATCCATCACCGTATGGAGCACGCTGGTTTTTTGACCGCGTGTGGGGCCGTTGACCACCACTAAAAGTTTGCTTTGTGCATCATGGTATGGACAACTCTCATTGACGGGTATACGGTTTGCTAATATGAGACAGCTCGACACCACATATCGCACTCGCTAGCTTCCAGGATCCCTCCTGGCCGCGTAGCTGTGCGAGTGAATTGCGACTATCATTCTTCCAGAACAATCAGACTCAGCACATTTGCGGCAATCTAGCAACCGACGCGGGTACTTACACTTTGCGCATGTCAGCCTGAGCCTGGCCCATTCGTTTTGTGCCTCTGCTGAGCCTAGCCGATTCGTTTCTCAGGCTGTCGCCAAAACTAACGCTCTGGACAAAATCGCCTTCTCTGCCTGTTCGAGGAACTTCGCTTGCACGTCATAAGACTGTACTCAAAGACTAGCTGGTTGGCTTTGTAGTCAGGAACTTCTTCAACATCGCGATTCTAGATGGCACGATCGGGCCACAAGACATGTATGAGCCCGACTCCGAAAAACGAGAGCAGATTGCTAATCAAGAATCAAGTAACTGACAACTTTGGTTGGCCTATCAGATTGTCGGGAGCTGATCTGTCAGTACGTCACTCACTGGTACGATGAGCTCGTCCTTCGTAAGACCACAAGGAGTCGTTGAATGATCATCAACATCTTCAGCAGTCAAGCTCAGATCCCGAAAATATATGAAAGCAAGAGTCTAAGCGGCCCGAAGTCCTGATCTCACGACAGGGTGGGCGCTGCCGAACCTGACGAGGAAGCCACGTCTTGCGTTTTGAGGAGACCAGCAAACTCAACATGGCTGCTCTGAACATCTCACAGATTCGTTGTCATGATCCAACTGCGGACCCCTTTTACCTGAAGCGCTTGTTTCTATCCACCAGAACAGCTCAGTACTGTTGCTTCAAGCAGCTAGGATTTGACATCACGTCAAGCCGGCAATGACATTCGTCCAAGCGGGCAGGGGTTGCACACCAATCAGATGATGTGGATGGAACCAACTGTACTTCTGCGTCTCGACGGTACATGTTGCAAATTCTCCTCGCTCGGTTTCCTATAACCGCCTGACCTACAATTTGAGATACGGCCTACCAACACATCGTCTTCCAGCTCTTCTCGTCCAACGAGAGGTCTCAGACCTGTTGCATGTCAATCTTCCGACAAGTGAGAGGAGTTCAAGAAGAGGGCCACATCGATGCGTTCTGTCGATCGCCATCGTGCGTGCTTGCTCCTCATCTATTCACAGTCGTTTCAACAGCTGGCGGCGTTCGCACTTGCTTGCAACTAGAGCCCGTCTTTCGGCCTCGTTCTCGCCTTCAGCATACCATTCTCGTTTGCCAATTCATGCGCTGTCGGCCCGGTACGACCGAGCGATGCTTCGCGTCGACGTATAGCTGTAAGTACAAGGTCTCCTTATTCACACAAATTGCGCTAAATCCACACTTTAGCGTCACCCGATCTTTACAATGTCACGATGTTCCACTTTCGCCATCTGAGCGGCTTCCATCACTGATTGGCATTGTCGAAACCCATGTTTTGTCACGAGGACAGCACAGTGTATCGTGACTTCGTCGCTGAGTTCGTCATCTCCCGTTCAGTTCTTTCACCAGATCGACCAACTTCGAGCCATATGTGGTATCAAGTCGAGCAAAAGGCATTGGAGAAATGTGTGGATGATCAGAGAGCTGATCTGATCTCTGAGCGAACAAGTCTGGTGTGTCGATACAACAGAGAAGACAGCGGAGTGGGTCTGTTAAAGTCATGTCTAATTATTGAAATCGCTATACTAGAACTGAATTATCTACGTGTAGCGAGGGATCTTCACATAAAATCAGGACAATACCCCTATTGTTGCTCTCCTTAAGCTTCTCACCCAGGCATCTAATCATCCACTGCGAATTCTAGTCGCTGCGTTTTGATAGCACGGACGTGTTGCCGTCTCAATGTCAAGCGCGTTCCAGTACTGTTCCAGGTTGGGCATAATATGTACTGTCAGCACGGTACTTCACCATTGCCTCCGCATGCCCTCGCCGTCACTAGGTACAAATTTGGAGGAGGGAAATCGCAGTCACTGTTGCAGGTGTTGGGTCTTATCTTGCAACTTTTTATCTCTCGCTGAGGCTAATGAATTAATGAAACACAAGAATTAAGTGGATTCTGGTACGAGAACTGGGACGCTGCTTGCCGTCTTTACTCCATTGATCTGATTGAATGGGTGATCGCATTGAAGTGATGCTCCCTCTTCGAGTGCTCCTTCCCAAAAAGCCACCATGACGCGCGACACGCGAGCTAGCGCCGTTGAGGGACACAGACTCACTGATTCACACGAATTTTCTCGTTATACAAAGCATCCAATGGTGATATTGGATGCTGCTAGGTGCGTATACACTCACCATTGACAGCTAACCTGCACAGGACTTTCTTCTTGCTTCGCTTCGGCAAGCTGGGTCAAGCGCATTCACTTGCTGCTAGCCCAAGGACTTAAGCGCATTAACTTGCTGCTTGTCCAGGACTTACGCGCATTAATTTGCTGCTTGTCCTTACAATCCTTCTTCGTGGTTCTTCGTCGTCCTAGTGACACGGAGAGCTTCGCTGAAGCGTTGTCGTCAACTCGTGGACTAGCTCCCGTGTTGTCATTTTCTTTTTAATGTCTTCTCAAGATATTTCTCGGGCGTCTCGTCCGTCTCGGCTCAGCCAGCCTGGGAAGAAAGAGCGGCAAGCCCTGAAGAATGCGGACCGGCCACCCTGCAACGAGAAAGAGAGGGCGTACGTTTCGAGCCTCACTGGATTGAGGTCCTCGTACCGACCCTCTCATCAGCGTTCGAGGTCTCCATCACGGCGGAGAGATCATTCACCTCCGCGTCGGCTCGTAGAACGATCACCCCGGAGGACGCCCCCGCTTTCACAATACAGAGGGCGATCTCGCTCACCAAGAAGATCATCCAGACAGGATGACAGGTATCAGCAACTTCGTCACGGTCGCAATTCTCCCTCACCATCTCGCTCTAGAAGGGAATCGGTCGAAAGAGAAGACAGATATGCATCTTCATATCAGCGACCTCGGCACACGCGTCCCTCGCCTCCGCACTTTGGCTCGAGGAGAAGATCTAGGTCTCGAGCCAGAGCTCCATTCAAATTGGAGGCATACGGCTCATCGTATCGTCAGAGTAGCGCAGATGGCCGAAGGTATGTATCACCATCCCCTGAGAGAAGGGAACAGAGAGACATGAGTAGATATCCGTCGCATCAGTCGTTCCACAAGGATAATGGGTCCGTTTCTGGGCAACGGCGCCACTCCCCATCACAACTTCATGGCATACTTCCAGATCACCTTGCGCCCTCTCGATTGCTGTCTAGCCGCTCTTCTCAATTCGCTCTGCCACCAAGTGATAGTTTGGCTGCCCAAACAGATCAGGCCGCCAGATACGTTGCAAAAGAGTCAAGTCAGGCTTTCCCTCCTTCTCCTTTTGTAGGTCAACCTCTCGTTGATTCAAAAGGGAGCGCTGGTGAAATTCTTGGAGTCAAATCTTCAGTGGCACGACCTGTGCAATCTGAAGCGCTAAAGGGGCTTCCAAGCCCAGGAGATAACTCGCCCTTGAAGGCCATATCAAACACTTCTGGTTCCCCGATCAACGCATCCCCTGGCTCAGACGGTGACGCTTTTGGTCCCGAAATGGGTATTTCTGATGCATTTGACGATGGTTCAGCTTTAGAAGAGATCAAGCTAGGGCTTGACGATCTTGTCTCTTCTCCAGAAGACAGCCAGCTTATTAACGCCATATTCGCACGAATTAATCAGAGACTGTCGTCTTACCAGATCATGATTACGGCAGACTGCTTGACTCAAGAAGATCCGAAGTCTGCACCTGCTGTCTCTCGACGACTGAAAGAGCTCCGAGAAAAGGCTCCGCATGATACAAACGCGGCACACTTATCTGTCATCCGAGAAAAAATTGAAAGGCAGTACGCTGACAGCAGCAAAGACCTCCCTCTATCATTGATGGGCTTAGCAAATCAGCCAGTGCCTCTTTACTGGGAAGCTATTGAGCATCTTGGTACTAACGGCGCATGGATTGACGCATCAGTCATGGACTGGCTGCTTCTTATGAGTCCAGAGGTTCACCCAAGTGTGGATTTTCTATCCACACACTCTGAACTCTACACTAGAACTGTTAGCGGCTCTGCACTACACCGTAATAAGCAGGCCAAGCTTGACTATATTACTGACATGATTAACAAGGCACCCGAAAGTTCGGTTGAAAAGAAATTCAACTTGAACCCAGCAGCTACTACAATCATCTTCTCCTGGAACCCGACTGGGACACACTGGGTACTAGTGGCCGCATGCAGAAGAGAACATTCGCAGAATCTTTCCATTTTTGATTCTTACAACAACAAGCAAAAGCGACATGCTCCTACATGGGCTCACACCGACGTTTTATGCCTATTTCTCAATCTTCTTTCTAAGTATCATGTCCCATTTCTGGACGCCTTCTGGGATGCTGGAGACATTACCAATGGAAATACAGTGCGCCAGCAGCGAGACGATTGTGGCCCGTTGACAGTATGGGCAGGGCGATGCATACTGGCAGACCGACCTGTTCCTAAGATCTCAGACGCGTTAGCACTTGGCGAAGTTCTGCGCACCTTATTTGTTGGCGAGATCCGGAACGCAATTGAGTGTTCAACGCTATCAGACTGGGACTCCGTAACACAGACAAGATACCAGGCATTACTGCGAGATGTCGAGTCTGAAAGCTCTGATGGTGAGGACAAGGCCAGCCAGCCAAAGGGGGGAATGGACGAGCAAGATGAAACTCTGCACAAGATTGCTAGACTGACAACCTATCATGATCAAACACGAGCGATATTTCAGCAGCATCACAACAGGCTATCACGTCATGACTTCAAGGACATATTCGCAGAATACCAGCATGCGCTTTTCATGGCCAAGTCCAGTCGCTCCGTACGGCTGCCCATCGCTGAGCCAATACCGGGGCAAGAACTGGTCGATAATAATGATGTGCTACTTCGTCTGACACCGCAAGAGGACCACAAGGTACCACAGTCTGTACATGCGATCTGGGGCACAACCAAGCATCTTCGGGACGACACAGACAATATCGAAACAAAGTTCCACCTCGTAATACCAGTATTTCGAAGCAGCGGAAGACGACGACATGGCGCTGCTTCGAACGATATTGTTAGGGCCGAAGATTTCTTAAAGAAGCTGTATGCTTGCTGGGACGCTGTGTTTAACAGAAATTCTCGCCCACACCGATTCTTCAATGATCCCATGGAGCTAAGCGATGATGACGACCTCTCAGCAACCTGGACGCCGCTGATACTAGGATTTCAGAGGTCAAACCTCAATATCGACCAGTGGGATACTGCATCGGGAGCATATCAGAAGCTGGAGACTGTCTTAACCCTGGTCCATGAGAAACTAAATACAGAGATAAATGTCCTGTTTTTATTTCCTGGAGTTGACAGTCTAACGACTAACAACCACTTCTGGAAAACAATAAGCAACACTTGGCCCTTTGCTAAGTTCCAGATGACCAGTATCTGCCAAGCGGGCATGGCAAATTTCTACCCGTCAGTTTTCTCCTCTCGATCGGGCTTTGCTTGGGCCCACTTAGACATCTATTCTCTACAGTGCATCCAGGTTAAACGCTCTTCAGACAGCGCTAAGACTCTCGTTGAGAATCCTAAAGAGTCAAGGTGGCTCTACTGGATGGACACCTTGTATAGTCACAAAGAGGATCTTCGTACTAAGGATTTTGTCCGCAAAGAGCAGTCTCTATTACTATGCCGCATTATTGTCAAAAGGAATCAGATGCTGAGCAGCTTACCTGCTCTAGAGAAGTCATGCGAAACATGCGGAGGAACCTCACCAGAGTTCTGGATTCGCGGCAGCTCAACTCTTGGTGCTGTTCGGTGTCCCACCTGTCCTCCACCCCAGATCCAGTCTGGTGATACATCGGAACCAGAAACACGGGTACGTAGAACACCGGTTAAGAGAAGCGCAAATTATGATAAAGCCCGGAATCTTGCAAAGACGCTGGATACAAAAGAGCAATCACGTCTTATAAAATATATACAACACAGAAAAAGCGCGCAAAGGGCAGAACCAAGAGAAAAAGCTGAACAGCACGACATGAATGGAAGCGCAAATTATGATAAAGCCCGGAGTCTTGCAAAGGAGCTGAATACAGAAGAGCAATCACGTCTTATACAATATATACACCACAGAAAAAGCGTGCAAAGGAGGAAGCAGTTGGCTAATGCAGAACCAAGAGAAAAAGCTGAACAGCACGACATGAATGAAAGTAAGTATCCTAAATTAGGGAATGTGTTATTACTAACAATGCTTAGCAGATTTAGCGAAGGTAACTTCGATCAATGAGCTAGTAACAATTGGTGCTAAGTTCGAGATTTTGGTCAAGAAGTAAGTTTTTACAGCTACTATTTGTCCTGGGTCTTTAAAGCTAATTGCGATGAGGTTGGCTGAGGAAGCCTGCCAGCCCCAACTCCACGCATCGCCCGCCCTCGCCGCCCTCGCCGCCCTCGCCGCCCTCGCCTCCCTCGCCTCCCTCCGCGCTGTCCCCGCGCGCGGCGCTGTTTCTGCAGACGGCGGTCGCCCCGATCCGAGCCCGTGACCGTGCCCGTCGCCGTCGCGCACCGCCCGCCTGTTGCGCCGAGTCGGTGAGAGTGCCAATCACCAGCGGCCGTTCTCCCACGACCACCACCCCGACCGCCCCAGCGTCCAGCTCTGCCCCGCACCGCCGTGTCATGCGAGCAGACGCCGCGTCTCTCTTGATAGTCTGACCAGCACCGCCGTACGTGCTCTCGCTATGAAAGCGGCCCTCCTGCCGCCATGGGCGCCAGACCGCGACTGACGCTATGGCTGCAGACTCCCCCCCGCGCCCCCTCCAGCGCCCGTCGCACCGCCGCACGCCGTCGAGCCTCGAGATCGTGCCTGAGCACCCGCCCGCCATGTCCGCCCCGGACCCCAAGTCGCAGTCAGAGCCCCAGCTGGGCGTCTCCGCCCTGTCCACCGACCCGACGCCCGGCGACTCGACGCACTCCCACCCCGCACCGACCTCCACGCCGGGCCTTTCGCGCTCCAACTCCATCTCCAACAGCTCTTACCACGATGACTCGGAAGATGAGGCCGCCTTCTTCCCCCCGGTCGAGCGCCTGACCATGTTCGACTTCATCGAGAACATGGCCCTTGCCCAGCGCTTCGACAAGCTGCAGGCCTCCATCACCTCGCAGACGGAGAAGCTGAAGAACCAGGCCAAGAACAGGGGCATCACCCGCGACCGCGTCGTCGACGAGTGGCGACGGAGAGTGCCCACCGAGGGCGAGCAGCTCGAGCGGTACAGGAAGCGCATGCGCAAGTCTGTCGACCGCCTCAACTCACGCTTCAACGAGTCGCTGACCGTCACCGCGCGCGAGAAGGCCTCCTTCATCGCTGCCACCATGAACATCTTCGTTTCGGGCTACCTGGTCGGCCTGCACCCTTACTACTTCCCCCACTGGTACACCGCCCAGCTGCTATACTTCATGCCTGTCCGCTACTACACCTACCACAAGAAGGGCTACCACTACTTCCTGGCCGACTTGTGCTACTTTGTCAACATTCTCGCCGTCCTGAGCATCTGGGTGTTCCCGCAGTCGAAGCGCCTGTTCATCTCCACCTACTGCCTGATCATGGGCAACAACGCTATTGCCATCATCATGTGGCGTAACTCGCTCGTGTTCCACTCCATGGACAAGGTCGTCAGGTCTGTATGCCCCTGGAAATGCCTGTACCTGAGCTAACCTACCCAGTCTATTCATCCACATCATGCCGTGCGTAACGCTTCACTGCATTGTACATCTGCTCACGCCCGAGTACCAAAAGGAGCAGTATCCCGCCATCTACAACATCCGCCACTCTGACCCCTCCTCCCCACACCATTACAGTCTGTTACAAATGATGATGTGGGCTACAATTCCCTATGCCGTTTGGCAGCTCGCGTACCATTTTCTAATCACAGTCCGCCGTCGCGATAAGATTGCTGCTGGACGCCCTACAAGCTTCACGTGGCTACGCAAGTCCTATGCCAAGACCTGGATCGGCAAATTTGTCCTTTCTCTGCCAGACTTCCTCCAGGAACCGGCCTTCATGGGCATTCAATATTCGTATGCTGTCCTTACCATGTTGCCAGCGCCACTCTGGTTCTGGTACCGCTGGGCAAGTGGCGGCTTTCTGATCGTCGTCTTTATTTGGAGTGTGTACAATGGTGCAACCTTCTACATCGATGTGTTCGGCAACCAATTCAAGAAGGAACTGGACGCACTAAAGGCAGATATCGCCAAGTGGCAAGCATCCCCTGAGGGCGGTTACACCCCGTTCACGCCACATGAGGGAGGGTCAGAGAAGCAGCTCGGACACATCCCTCCCCTGGATGGCAGCACTGCCATCAAGCCTGTCAATGGAGAAGTTGAGAAAAGGAAGTAGTCAATTGTGGGTGAAGAATATGCGTTGTTTTCTTGCGCTTCTCCCATCGCGGTATCTACTTTGTGTTCAATCCTGTGTCTCTCTGCTATGTTTGAGCATCTTCACGGCCCGCTAGATATACCCTTTTCCTTCGTTTGGCATATGTCCCCATCTAGCGCTAATACACGCTCGCATTCAATCTTACTTCTACAAGTTGGAACCCGCCACATAATCACGTGTCTCCACACCGTCACTGACATGTGCAGAGTCCTCCGCTCGCCCTCGCATAATTCAGGGATATCCTCACTAACACACTCGGAGTGCCTTGCTCATCCTCGTACGCTCGAACATAATCCAGAGCGCCACCGAGGAGCCCCTCATATCTTATCCTGCTCGGAGATACTCTGCTCAGCAACACTCTGGTCGACAGCACCATCCTCAATTGCACACCGCTCTATCTCTGCAAACCGGTATAACCCCTCGCCCATCTCATAGCGCAGCGCCGCACCGAGCCCATATTGCGCCTGAATGTACGCAGACGTGCTGGTTACGCGAGCTTCATGGGCCATGCGCATCTGTTCCTTGAAGGCAGCAAAAGGATCGTTGACAGCTGTGCTGGGTGTGGTAGTCGTCTTTGAGGGAGACATTGTGGGCTGCTTTGATGATTTGGTAGTTGTGGTGTTTAAAGAAGACATTGTGAAGTGGCTTGACGATGTTGTAGTTGTGGTGGTTATACTTGGGGGAGACAGTGTGAGATGGTTTGATGATGTGATTGGTTTCGGTGATTTGATTTGGATACAATACGGTCAACAGTACTGTGGGAGTTGCTTGGAGTTGTTCATGTTATATATGGGGTGCGAGGCGGTCTTTATACACGCATCTTTGTGGCTTTTAATGGTTATTCCTAGTATGAACCAGACTCCTCGCGACCCTTATAGTCACTTTCGTCCCGTTGTGCCGCCCTCAACACAACCAATATAACTGACCCAACGTCTATCCATGGATTGGAAAGCCACTCATCACGCTCCCAACCATCGCCTAGACCCCTACGCCGATCCGCCCGCTTCCTCCTGTCGCACTTTCCACGCCCGCAGCGCCTCCAGCCGTCTCAGACTCTCCGCACTCCACACAGTCCTATTGTCGTAGAAACCCTCAAAGACCTTCGCGCCTCGCTCTACCTCGCGTGTCAGGTCCACCCACTCCACCTTCGTGCTCGTGAAAATGTGGACGTCAGGCCGAACCCTGCTCCGACTCTGCGCATCCAGCGTGCCAACTTTTAGATAGATCGTTGCTTTGTTTGCGCCGTAGTACGCGAAGACGTCGGTGTTACAGTTGGGGTTTGGGCAGTACGCTACCCAGTGTTGGGAACCATCTGGAGCGCTGGGAGACGGGCGCTGGGCGATCAGGGGCGATGTTGAGGAGGTCAGGGTGAAGTTGTAAGTTTCAATGACGGTGTTGAGGGCAAATGCTGAGCCGGTTTCTTGCTGGCAGTAAGTGCAGTGGCAGCAGTGCGTTATCAGAGGAGCGACGGTGACAGTGTAGGTCAATGTTTTGCAGATGCAGTGACCAGTGAGGGGGGCGAAGTCGGACGAAGCAGTTGAAGACATTGTGAATAGCGGATTATCTCTGAATGGTTCAAGTTGAAATGTGCGAGATGTGTTCGGAGGTGAGGATGGTCGCTGTTAGAATCTGGAAATTGTGACTGAATGACTTACAGTGTGTAAAAGTCCTGAGAACGACCTGGGCGAAGATGGTAGGCGACGAACTCGCTTAGCTCATGTGCGGGGTGGGGTGTCAGCAAGATGCTCAGATGCTCAGACGAGTGTCAAGCACCAATCCAAGCTTCGTACAGGTTTGATGGATGCTTACTGGTGATGGAGTTTTAAGATAGTGACTGCCTGCACTTTCAAAAATCCAGGTGAGGCAAGGGCTTTGATATTCCACTGACTTCTACTCGGCGCCTTTGCCTGAACTTGCACAAAACAACACAGACGCGTGCGCGTATTCACGAGATCCCGTGACCGTTGGCTGTATCGTACAATGGATCCTTATCATCGGTATCCAAGTACCGTAGTGCGCCAGTGCGGGGATAGGAAATAACTTAGCGAATGACGAAATTTAGCGGGAAAGACCCTTGTAATCGCATCAACCTCGGAGTTCGAACAAGAGTTCCGGGTGGACCTTTTGAGCGATTTCGGTGTTCAAAATCTTTTCGGGGAATCAGGAGATGTTGTGAGGATCGTGGCCCCTTTCACAACATTCTGGTTGACAAGGTCGCTGTGAGTCGAATGCACCTGCCTATCACGGTTACTATCAACTTGGTAGGCAGTCGTCCGGATATTGTGGAGTCATACACGACCCTAGAATATTTATCTGCCAGGGACATCTGGTAGCTTGTTCCTTTTCATAGCCATCACCCTACGAGGCATCTTGCCATGGCGCCAAGCAGCACGCGACCAGAGCCAACTGAGACCTCACCACTACTCGAAGAACCGAGTCAGCCAAGCCAGCTTAAAGATCCTGGTAGCGGGATCGCACCTGCTGGATCTGAATACCACGATGAGACGGACGATGAAGACAACGATAACGAGCGAGATCTTGAGCGTCAGCCCAGCAATGGTGACCATTTCAAGCAACAAGGCCTACCCGAAGTCAAGAAACGGCTAAAGTACATCTTTCCCGCCATCGCCATTGGTGTAAGTGTCTTATCATAGCTCTGTCTAAATGTTTGGATAGCGAGCTGACTGTTTAGGTCTTCCTTTCTGCTGCAGACCAGACGCTCATCGTCTCTACATACGGAATCATCGGCACGGACCTCAAAGCTCTCTCCTCGACTTCCTGGATAGCAACTGGCTACTTTCTCACTTTGACTGCATTCCAGCCGCTCTATGGCAAGCTGAGCGATGTTTTTGGTCGCAAGGAGTGTCTCCTCTTTGGATATCTTATCTTTGGCATCGGCTCTATGGCTTGTGGCTTTGCGCGCACCATCGAAGAGCTTATTGCAGCAAGAGCATTTGCAGGTATTGGAGGCGGCGGCATGACTGTCTGCGTGAGTATCATGCTATCTGACATTGTAAGTCTAAGAGACAGGGGAACGTGGCAGGGGTACATTAACCTGGTGTACGCGGGTGGCGCTGCAGCTGGTGCGCCTCTGGGCGGTCTTCTGGCTGAAAACATCGGCTGGAGGTGGTCCTTCATTGCACAGGGTCCTCTATGCCTCGTCGCTTTACTTGCTGTCGCCATTGTACTTCGGCTTCCGAAGCAAGAAGACTCGCACTGGAAAGAGAAGTTGGCCAGGATTGACTTCCTCGGCGCTCTGATTCTGATTGTTGCTATATTCGGTCTACTTGTTGGACTGGACCGTGGCTCAAATGTCGGCTGGAGCAATCCATTCACCATCGCTGGGCTTTGCACTACTCCGCTGTTCATCATTTTCGTCCTCGTCGAGAAATATGTCGCAAAGCATCCCTTCGCACCTGGTCATATCATTCTGGACAAGTCTCTGGTCACATGCTACCTATGCAATTTCTTTGCATTCGGGGGATGGTTAGCCGCCATATTCTTCATCCCGCTGTACTGGCAAGTCACGTACGGCTACGGCGCGTCTCAAGCTGGACTTCTGCTTGTACCGTCTATCATCTCCGGCGTCAGTGGCTCGCTGTTTGGTGGTATATACATGAAGCGCACAGCGAAGTATTACTGGATCACAGTCATCGCCTACTCGAACTTGACCATCGGCCTTTCCATCATCCTCCTTTTTGCCGGCACGCTCATGCAAAGTCTGCCCGTCACGATCGTGGGAACATGCATATGTGGGTTTTCGAACGGCATTGGAGTAACGACCACCCTCATTGGACTAAGTAAACTTCAGCATTTTCTCATAGGTAGCGCCGCTTACTAACTTTTCACAGTCGCAAATGCCTCTCACTCCGATCAAGCCGTCGCAACAGCATGCAGCTACCTCTTCCGCTCGCTTGGCTCAGTCTTCGGCGTGTCGATGTGCGCAACAGCCTTCAACCAGACATTACGCTCGAGTCTCAAAACCGCACTCCGTGGTGATAAAAATGCTGATGAGATTGCCGAACGTGTTCGGGCGGGGCTTGCTTACTATCGAAGTCTAGAGCCCCATCTGCAAGGAATTGTGCGCGATTGCTACGGTCAGGCTACTCGAGCTGCTCTATGCGTGAGTGTGGTGCTTGTCGCAGGAAGTGCGATCTGTGCATGGGGTATCAAGGAAAAAAGATTGGGAAGGTAGATGAGTTGTAGTAAGGATCTTGCACAGTGTGGTTCATGCCTTTGCAGGTAATCTAGCTCACTGTATCATTTTGGGACGTTTCACGAATTTCAGACCAGTCGACCTAGTATGGGCCCGAATAGAACCATCGCTTTTGTATCCTCTTCCTCGTCTTTGTTGCACTGTCTGCTTTCTGTCTTTAGGGGAAGATAGTAAATAGATTCCTTGGTTAAAGGTCCTGTCGGCCAAGAGCTGAACAGAATGGGTAATTCACAACTAGTCTAACCCTTGCAGGGAAATACGATTGTGTATGTCACTTACGCTATCCTCGTCAGTAAAGCCTTGATGATCCCTAACAACCCTTACAGTCTGACTAAGGTGTTAACAAACTCGATCCTTTTCTATAAGTCTTTCGTGCAGCACAACACATCATAAATATATTCAAGTGGTACCAAAATGACCACAACTTGTTGAAAGGCGATTCTTTCGCTATCAAACCCACTTGACTGTGACTGGTGAGATGAGTTGATCAGTACCGAACCTCGAATCATTGCAATCCATATATTCAGGTGCTAGAAACCAACGTAGGGAGCTCAGCTAGTGTTGGGGCTATCATGCCTTGGTATTTGCAACAACGTACAGCCCAGTTTGGATCAATTGGCCGATGCGTACATTGCGAGAATTCCCGGCAGTTCGTACGGAAATACCCTGCAGCTGTCACAACCTTCACGTTGGGAGACTCATGTATACATACCGGATTAGGGGTTTCTGCATGTACGTCAGTTATCTCGGTCTTCAATCCGAAGTACGGAGTACCAATCAGAAGGAGTCCAGATCTTCCATGAAGAAAACGACAGGGAGTAGCTTCCCGTTCGATCTTCCCGCACGATCTTCCCGCGAGATCTTCCACCCGACCTTCCATGTGATCCTCCCGTAAGGTCCTTCTAGAACCTAGAGGTGATATAGAGTGCTACGTATGATTACTCTTAGAGATAGTATATGATCCTTAGCTGTATGCATCCTGTTATTTCCAGTGGTAGCTACCTCCATGCAAGGCATTCACCTCGCCGACTACTTTGCCACGCATACCATGCGTGCCACACATGCCGTACTTCCGCATCACCGGCCGCGCCGCCACGATAGACATTTGTCACTATCAGCGCGCATTCTTGGCAGTGGATACTCCTTGTAATGTGGCTCAGACAGCCATTAGCGCCCGATCAAAGAGGTTATGCAGGGTGCGTAAAAAGCAAAAGATTTAGAAGCGCTACCGGCACCACGAAACTGAACAAATCACGCCCGGGGTTCCTTCTGATCTCGCCCCGTCAAAATGAGCGCCACGGCGCCCACTGCTGCAAGTAATGTCAGCACAGAGTCTCGATACAGTTGTCGCTTCCCTGAGCGATATGAGGCCAGCAAGGCTGCAATGAAAAGCCCACGACACCCTGTGTCTTGCATCCTTCACTGCACCACGTATCCTCCGATAGGAATGATGAGCTCTGGGAATAGCTGCAGTGGCTGAGAAAAATTGGGGGTACATGCACAAGAAGATCCAAGAGAACATATGCTTGAAGTGGCGGGTATTACACAATGATCCGCCATGATACCCATTCATCTGATCGCTGAGAACACGATCCTACAAACGCGTCAAACGCGCCGACGCACTAGACAAATTCCGTCTATCGGTGCGCCAGTGTCTCAACGTAGTGAAGGGCTGCTGGGCGACAGCCAATACAATGTGATACGGGTCCTGCCCCGAGATCTATCTGCACCAAGGCGTCGGTGTCACATCCATGAAACTGGGCTGATTCTGGAAGGACATGTCGCTGCCTATACGTGGAAACCGTCCTGCCGATCTCCTGCATGAGAACGATTTTGTCGGACGTTTAGCGAGTCTTCTGCAAGGCAGTTGGGAACAGGGTTGGGACATGATGCCCCGGCATGTGCATCATACTTCCCCGGTATGCTAGCGTTGTACACGATCTTTACACGCCTAGCGTCGATATCTATAAGTTCTTCTGAGCTGTAAAGGCCAACAGGTGGTTGGTGCGGGAGTGATCTCCGTAGTAGGATTACAGAAATGTGCTCAGTGGCATTGGGTCGTTTTTGCTGCGTTTTTAAGGCGTCATTGCTCAGCCTCCTCCCAAACACATCTCTGGCACATGCAGTCTCCACCCAGCGCGCCGGCCGCCCATTCTCTGCGTTCTTGTACGGGCAATCGCACATCGCAGTAATGTCCAAAGACCTCTTCGCCCTTCTTCAGCCCAGGACTCTTACTGGAATCTCTACCTTTCCAATCGACAAGCTTCTGACGAGTCCAGAATTTCATAGACCCTTGCCATTCCCAAGCCACGTTCGGATCGCAGCTATGATTGGCGAGACACCACATCGGGTGGACAGCGCCTATCTCCGGTCGTCCGTCTAGGCCTTGTTGGGCAGAGGCCGTGCCTCTTAGTTTGGCATAGATGGTGTTGAAGACCCAGGTATCATATCGGTAGCTTTGAGTGAAGATGTTGACGTCCATCTTCTCCAACAAGTGTAGAGGTTTGATGATATTGTTGTTGAACGAGAATGGCAACGTTTGCGGGACACCAGCAAAAGCGTTGACCAGCTGGCCCTCATGATTGACTCGCCATGCAGTATCAAGATCCTTGCCATGATAATCGCCCCATATGTAACGTAGCTCTTTCAGCTCCAAGGGATGAAGATCTTGTGTTTCGGCAAGTGCAAGCGCTCGGACAAGGAGACTGGAGTACAGAGAGTCTGCGGCTTCGCGAGCAGGGACTTTACTTTGCTCTACGCTTACTCCACAGATTGCAGGGTGGTAGGTATCCTGCGCTAAGTCGTGGCAATCTTCGCTACAGAAAAACACCTCGTCGCATTCTTCGCAGGAGAGGATGGTGTTTGTGTTTTCTGGCGAGCTTGGCAATGTAGTACTACAAGCATCGCAATAAACATCGTGAAGCCTGGATATAGCTGTCATGAGAGACCTTTCATTAAGCACTTCTTCTCCGGGCGCGATATCTTCTTTCGCGAATATGCCTAATTGTTTCACAAATTGAACCTCGACATTCGACTCCTGGCTTAGCGGATCTGTTGAGAGGAGAGGAAGCTCAGATATCCGAACCTCGAGCTTTGGGGCTATGCTCGCCAATTCATTATTGAGGAATTGTAAGCTTTCTTTTGAATGACGGTCTGGCTCGTACTCGTTCCAGGCGTAGTTTTCGCGACGAACGAGCCCTTTGTCGGGATAATCGTCAACCTCAATAGCATCGACGTCTTCGCCGTTTTCCTCATAGTAGGCCCGAAGTTTTGAGGTCAGGGTTTCGTCATACTTGACAAAGACATCGTCATCCGGGAAAGCTTTCGTTGCGCGAGCGATATAGTCGAAGGCGCTACGGAAACAGCCGCAAGCCAAAAGGGCTTCTATCAGGATGTCATGCCTATATCCGTCAGCACGTGAGCTCGACTGTGACTATAGCCTTCTCTTACATACGCATTTCTCGAGAGATGAAATCGCGCCCAGGCGACAACTTTGTCTTCCTCCTCAGATTGGGCAGTGTTGTTGGGCTCGATTGTCAGGTTGGCAGCACCCTCTGAGATGTAGTCGGCATTTGCGGCTTCTAAAGCCTCATCATGGTATTCCCCTTCCTCGGTCACTTCATCAATAAGCAAAAGCGCCTTGTATGCATCTCCAATAGCAAGGTCAGGATATCCAAGGCTTTTGTACGCTGCAGCGAGGTTTGTACGATGTATTATGCTGTACGGCTGCTCGGGTGTCTGTTGCTGCAAAGCTATAAGCTCGTTGGTGAGTTTGGAGCGTCTCTGCAAAGGTCAGTAGATGGTTTCGATCTGGCTAGTAGTATCTGTACCTCCATCTCCGTTCGACCTGACATATCTAGTGTGCGAGGTCGTGGAGCACGTGAGACAGACTTTTTGGTGGTGGGCTAGGTAGCGGCACTAACTCGCTTCGCTCTTGGTGCAACCCACCACTACCGGTACGTTGCAGTGACACGACTTCAGCTGTGAGCGCAAATACAACGCCCTCATTGCTTGTGAACTACCACCTCTCATCCATCATGCTGCCTCTGGCGAGTGCGCTCGTTGCGCGATATCTCAGGGCGAATGGCTACACAGAGGTACGTCATTGCCCCCACCTTGGGCTAGACTCGCTCACATTAAGTAGACTTTGAAGACTTTCATCAAAGAAGCGGACTTGCCGTCCGATGCCGGTATTAGACCCGACAGCTCAGTGACGATAGATTCAATACTTGACGAGAAGAGGAAATTTGATCTCAGCCTTAGCTTTGAGAAATTAGGTGTTGACGATGCAGGTCGTAAGTGGGCCGTCCCTGCGCCATCAAAACCTACTGTCTTGGAATCACTACCTAGCCGCTCGAACATACTGAGTGTGACTGTTCTCCACATCCTGCTCCCTTCTGCTCCAACTGCTCGACAGTATATCGCTGTCACTACAGCCGACCGACGCCTGTACCTCTTGAATCCGTCCTCACCGAGCCTCGAGCTTATTCGTTCATATGATAGCTTCCAAGAGTCTCCAATACTGGACATCATTACTATATCTTCGCGATATATGTTAGTTGCCATGATGTCTGGAAAGCTATTTTTATACGACACCGCAAGCGACAACATCTTGGCCGAAAGGAAGGATCACGCAAAATACATCGTCAAGATAGCCACCTGGTCGTTTGGTGATTTCGTGTTACTAGCAACCGCGGGATGGGACTCAAAAGTTTGCATTTATCGTATCAACATTGGAGACGGTCCCCCAGGCATTGAGGAGCCTTTGACTACTCTCACGCTACCAAGCATTCCTGAAACCGTTCTTTTCGTCGCATCTCCAGACGACGGCTCGCCCATCCTTTTAGTTGCCCGTCGAGACTCAACCTTCCTGTACTATTATTCCGTTCCTAGTGCGGATCATGCACAGATCCTCCTCCTTGGGAAGCAGAATTTGGCTCCACACTCTAACGCATGGGTGGCCTTCACGCCAGCAGATGCTCAAATTTGTCCCACGGACCCGTCTGTGGTGGCAGTCGCAACTTCCTCAACGCCACACATGAAATTACTTATAGTAAAGCTTCTATTGCCACCAACGCAACCATCGAGGTCTGAAGGTGCTACCATCTCGGAAACGTCCAACACTGCTGCAATCACACAGGCCTCACAGGCACGTGCTGAACTTCTGATTGCAGATAGGGAGGAGGCAGCTATCATGGTAAACGTGTCTACCATGGCACCTCAAACTGCATATTCTACTCCACGGTTGACATGGCGACCTGACGGATCGGGTCTTTATGTCAGCTCAGATGACGGCGTTGTCCGTGGAATTGAGGCGAAAAGTGGAAAGCTTGTTGCCTCTTTGGAAGGGCATGAACCTGGGAGCAAATTGCGTTGCCTCTGGACCGGGACACTTGATACAAACTCTGGTGGAGCGGTCGATTCAAAGCATGATTCCGAAGTTTTGATAAGTGGTGGGTTCGACCAGAGATTGATACTCTGGAACCGTTGATCCCCAGGGTTGTCACGCACCTTTTACTTTGCTTGTTATGGCGAAAATAAAGCCTATCTTTGGATTGCATCCTGGGCTTCAACTGCAAGTGCTCGAAGCCTTACGTACCTCTCATCGCTCATCTCTATTACCTATATGACCAGGACTCATCGCAGTGGGCAGCCTGGGTGCGCTCAGTCCGACTAAGCCACAAACCCACATTTGATACCGACATTCTTCGGGCATTTGAGATGCCAAGAGGCGAAAGATTGTAGTTCACTAATCACATACGCGCAGGGAGAGCAGGTCAAACAAGTCGAGATTGCGCTTAGCCAAGAGTTTTCTTTTTTGGTCGGCGACCTGAAGTACCGCCACGATCTTGTCCCCGCGATCTGGCAACGACAGATCCTACAGGGGAAACTCGCTTAGCAACCTACCTATGACACACGTGGCAAGCACGCATCAAACATGTGCGCCAGGTAAGGGACTTGTAATTAGTGTCCTAACAACCCACCTGTTCCGCCATTCACCGATTACGGACCCAACGTACGGCTTTGTGTGCGAAGATCTCACTGTGTTTTTGATGGGTCTAGAATTGGAGCACCACCGGGGAAGACGGCTACGTGCACTTGTCTCTTCAAGGAGAAACACCAAGTCCACGAGACGTCACAGACAGCATAGCGTCCACCTTAGGCGACGGGCGTATCCACTCGTTCGCGAAATGGCTCTCTTGGCCGGTACTTTCCTCGTCTACACCTATTTTGAGACTTTGCATTTGTGGATGCTCCGCGTTCCATGACCAAGAGTGCGCTCGTGCTGGTCTCCTCGCCGAACAAATATATATATGACAGTAGTGCGATTCAATCAAGCGATATATCAAGAGTAACATTGCATCTCTTCTCTCTTGGACAAACTGCATCCCAGTCAACAACCACTTCTTCCGACAGTAGAATCTTACTTGTCTGCTTTCTCCTTTGGTTTCTTAGTCTTCGATTCAATCGTTTTCGATAGCCATCAGCGCTGTGACACTACCTATCCACAAACAACTATGTCTTATGCGACACAGTGGAAAGAATCTGACGGCGATTTCTTGCTGGTCGTTGCTGGTTTGACACGATATGCACCTTATCTCACGGGCTGGCAAGAGTTCAAAGACCATATCCGAAAGGTTGTCAAAGAGCAGCCTGGCTGGGTTGACGTTTATGCAAGCCAAAGTCAACGAAGGGGCGAAATGCAAGGTTGGTGTAGACTCAAAGACAAGCAAGATGCAGATGCTGCGTACAGTGGGTGGCACATTATCTCTGGTTCATATGACAGCACTGATTCATACTAGAAACATTCTACAGATCTAAAGGCATGCTGGTGCACGTTTGGCAGACGCGCCGTAGCAATGAAGGATTCCGACTGATGGAGTGCAACTGCTCTGTGCATTTTCTGGACCTACCTGAAGGCGATCATTCTCCCGGACTCTGCGGAATTGACATCGGAAGGGTCAATCAGTTAGGCGGTCAGCCGTATGCCGTCCCTCCAACACAGTATATGCCGGTTCAGCCAGGATACCCATACTCAACTTACAGTTCGACTACCTCCTACCCCGTTCCCCCTGTATATGCAACACAGGCGCCAATGATGCCCCAGATAGTAGCCCAACCTCCAGTCTACTCAGCAAGCAACAACGGCATGCCGGTCAACATCCGAGACGGTGCCATGCTGACCGAGGCTCGTGGCATCTTCATACAGAATCTAAGTTACAAGGTTGGCTCAGACGAGCTCAAAAGCCTGCTGTACTCAGTGGGGCGGCCTGTAGATTGCAAAGTGCACCGAGATCGTTCCGGGGTTTCCAAGGGGGTGGCTACCGCCAAGTTTGCGTCAACACACGAAGCACAATTAGCAGTGACCCACCTAAACCGCAAATCACACAGGGGGATGACATTGAAAGTTCGCCTCGATCAAGCTACAACGGTTGTTGGCCAGGTCGGGCCTCCTCTAGTCGTCAATGGATCTGTTGGTGCATACAGGTAAGTGCAACAATCGATGCGTTGGTCAGCACTAACTCCAAATAGCGCCGGCAAATAGAACTTGCGGGATCCTCGAGCGTGATGCTTCTGTAATACCTATCAGCCGGGAAACGTTGCTGTCAAAGCGATCTGCTATGAGGCACGTAATGTGGCGTCTTGCCGATCCAGGTGGTTGGGACCCAACCTAGTCATCTGGAACAGCTTTCTCGGTCACTCGATCCGGACACATCTCCGAAGGCGTCGCTCAGTGTACATACTCAAAGCAAGAGGGCTGGCGTTTAAGTTGGGGAGGGGGCGCGATCGATTCTTTCGGCATTCTTATCCAGACAATTAACCGTATCCAACCTTGTTGCTGCTGTTCCCTCGAGCGTCTGGTCGTACAGATACACGCTAGCGTATTTGCTTTTGATATGCAGGTGCTTCCTTCCCCAAGCGTACGATCCGGAGCTAGCCATTAGCGCTGTTTAGATCTCGTGCTTGCTTTTAACTCGATGAACTTCACATCAGCCCTGACGTACCGCTCATCCTTCGCATTGCATCCACACAAGCCCAAATTGTCTCACTCATGGCGTTTGTTGGCGCACGCGGCCGTTTCCGACCAGAATCATAGGAACGCCTGGCTACGGCACCAAATGACGCCTGCATCCGCCCCCAACCGGCACACGCTTAGCTTGTTACCACACTCTTGGGCGATCCAAAGCCAAGGGGCATACTACTCGGAAGCCGTTGAGCATCGAGTTTTCCTAGACGTTACGGATTTCTTCGGACACCTCGAGGGCGATTGCTCGTTTAGGAATTTGTTAACGAAATCTTAGATGAAACCTCGAAGGATGCTCGGTCTGTCAAGATCTTGAAGGATCCGACCCGTGTCCTCGGGACAACACGAGGTAAATATGAGCCAAGTGTACGCAAAACCATGTCCATCCGTCGGCAACGGCACACCCCAGGTGAGATCCGCAATTCGCGTATCTGCATCAATTAGTGACTTCATTTTTCGAATCGGCAACCCGCAAGAGGTCTCATCAGTCTGCGGTACGCTCCGGCCCACCCAACGTGATCAAATCAACCTCGCGAAACTAAATTTGTTCCCCACCCCATTTGCGCAGGTCGGCCTCGTTCGAACCACCCGCCCGTTGTTGCACGACGCCAAAGCACGGGGCGATGGACTTCGGCGACATGAAACCGACATGACAGGGGCTTGAGTCAAATCAAATGCGAAGGCTCACCCAATAAGCACCCATGGCTGGGCTGTTGCATACTGCCAGTATATCCTCGAAAGCCACTAACCCATGTTGTCGATTTTGAATGTAGCAGCCACTGCATGATAACCCCACGGATGGATTCTTACATCTTCTCGGGTGGGGATAACTGTGAACAGTCGATGATTCTTAGCAGTGTGCTTTTACATCATCTACAAATCAACGGGGTGACCATGATATCGGCAATGAGTGGATGCTGCACATGGGCCAATAACAAAAGGTCCGACTTTCAATGGTTCATCACGTAATTCTGGTGTCAGCTTTTCTGGCAGAATGTACTATGTAAGTCATTCACACACCACTTGCAGTCTGTTCATTTATGCCATATTCGCTTCCAAGAACCTACAATCTGATTGACTATGATTGTTCACTTGTAGTAACGCTGTATGTGGGAAACGGGGAAACAAGACCGTAGGCTGGTCGGTACCCGTACACGTCTACTTGTCTTGCATTTCACGCTTGTTCTTGTTGCTAGTTACGCATGAGATCCCTCCACAAGCCGCGACAGCACAGGCGAGCTAGCGAACGATGCATGTCATGCGCAGTGAGGCACAAGACGGTGGAGGAACGGGACGGGACGAGAAGCTTAGTCGAACACTTGTGGAAGGAGCCATGAGCCGGTGGTATTTGAGAAGGGCCGATTATGGGACTGTCGGCTTCCAGCTGAACCTCTCATTTCGTCATCGAGCAGGGAGAGCAGTTGGTGCTTGATTCCAGATCACTGTAGGCGCGGGGATGTCTTGCTTTGCACAAGTGACGCGTCACCGGTGTGTGTTCCGGTACACTTTATATCGGTCCCGTTGGTCAATACTCCAGACGACATGATCGAATCACGGAGGCCGGATTACTTAGGCCGCGCTGTGGTTACCCAATCGCTGTCAGTCGTTCCCTCCAATGGGTGTGGAACATAGCGCTGTAGAATACTGGTAGCGAGGCGGGCCGCCGAAGGCTACAGTTCCTTATATTTAAGAACTCTGCATGGACGGCAAATCTGCAAGACAAGAACGAGCACAGTGTTCCGATACCTTAGCGAACATTGTTCATAGTATAGACAAGGACTACGAGGACTGCTTTGGCTGCGATTTCAATAAGTGACATCGGAGATGCGGCTTTCTTCCACACGTCCCGCTGGTCTCTCGCGTGACAGGATGGGAGCGTGGCACGCTGGCTTGATAGATTGTGCCGGCGCGGCATGCCTACAACGGCACAGACAGCCAATCCAGAACATCGTAACGTTCTCCTAGTGTTTGTGACTTGCTGTATGCATGTATCAAGCCGACTTGGCCACAAGCAGTGTACTTTAGGCTGAGACGAACACGGCCGAGATTCGAGGCATGGTGTACTGATTACGCTGCGAGATGTTGCATCTGAAGAAGGCACTACTTGGACATATCTTATCACCGTCGAACAGTTTCATGTAGGTACTGTAAAGAGTTCTAGGTCCTCCGGTATCTAACTTCACACGTATAATCAGTCAATAAACTGTATCCCATTAGCGTGATTGTAGGGTGCAGTCATGCAGTATGTACCGATAACCCTGATCAAAGAGCACATGATTGCGGAGTCACTCCGGCATGGCCTCTCTGGCACGTTCAATGGCAAGATCGCATGGCCTATCGCTAGGATTGACGCAGGCCGATTCGTATTAGTGAATGAACTCGATCCAAGGACTTTTCAAAAGCTAAGACTTGACTACATACTAAGACTTGACTGAGCTGTTGACCACGCATAGGTACCGACTCTAACGCATTGGGCTTTCGGGCTTTCGGGCTTCCACGCTCTACATGTGGTAGCTTCAGGAGGATAAGGTGATATCTAATGTCTGAGTCCTGCTATACGCTTGGATCTTTCGCAATGATCTACAGAGGGGTTACACGTTGGACTGATACAGTGTGCCGGCGCGGCATGCACCCAGCAAGTCAAAGGCTCTATGAGAGTGGTGTAGCTGTTCTAGATTTGCCAAATTTTCAATGATTACCCGTAAGCTATCAGCCGGGGGAATACCCCCCCTGTACATGTCTGTTCATGCACATCTGCAGGCTGTACATCGGCGAATATTTCGGGGCTGACTCCATAGACTCTATCGTCAAGAAGGAAAGTTATGCTTGTCGGCGTGTCCACAATAAGAACCTCGCGCAGCTCGTCACAGCGCTAAGTCACCAGTGATTGGAAACAAAGTTTATTACCCGTTCCTTGTTCTACCTCTAGCGATTCTGCAGGTTGCGGAAGCCACTGTCGGGAAGTTAGTGATTCCTCTTGTAGACGTTCGACTCCCACTCGTAGGCTTTGACCTACAAAAGGACCGAAAGTAAGCGCTGCCCCTCTTGACTCGGGAACAATCGACATGCCGTCGATTTCATGGGATAGGCTACGACCAATAATGTAGGTTCTAGTCAGTGAAAGGCTGGACCCTTTGAGGTGAATTCTTTTCAGAGAATTCCAAGACTTCGTGAACAAGTCAGCGTATCTATACTGTCACACTCAGTGTCTGAACTCAGTTTGAACGATATCAAAATTTACATCCCCTATATACGCCATCCTTTGTTCTGTGTTTTCATCGTCACAAACCACAGCACGCACAGAAATGCCGTTCCCACCATTAGGCAAACTCCACTCCAAATCTGGACACCAATGAAATTCAAGTGACCATCAGGATTCGTCTTCAGCAGCGCACCAGCGATGGGCGCACCGATGAGAGTAGCTAATTTGCACCTTAGTCAACACGATGGACCACCTACCCTGGGCTTGACATACCTATGCTCGACACACTCCACGACATTCCAAGGCGTGTGCCTAGTCGAGAAAGATCTGGGGTGATGTTTGCGAACGCGGCAGACGGTAGGGTAACTAGAGCAGCGGAGAAGAATCCTGAAGGAGGTTAGCAGACCCATTTCCAAATTTCGCCCAAAGCCAAACTGACCCCACAGGATACTGAAAGCAATGAAATGTGCCTCCTGATCGATACTGATCCAGCACAATGATAAGATGGCGCTGGCGAAAGTACTTAGAGCCCACGTTACGATGGGTCCAAGCCATTGGGCGAGACCTCCAGTCACCAATCGCCCAAAGAAGCTTGCGGCGATCGCCATGACCAACGTGTAAAGACCCATACTCTGACTCAAACCCAGACGATCCCGTGCATACGTGGGAATGTAGAAGTAGGGTACGATATATCCCAGAAATGTCGAAAATGAGCAACAGGTGAATATGAGAAACAGTTTGTCTTTGTACGCGGTCTTGTCGAATAGAGATCGCGCCTTGCGTTTCGTCGCCAGAACGCTCGATCCACTAAGGAGGGCCGGGATAGAGAGCAATGCGGCGGCGAGCGCAACAAATCCTATGGCACGCATAGCCCATGGGAAGCCAGACGACTTCAATATCCGGTCAAACATCATAATGTAAACAACTCCGCCTACTGTATGTTAGTGACATCTTCCTACTCTCTTCCATATCGCACCTACCAACAGCAATCCCACTCATAACGATACCTAACGCGATTGCCCTTTTCTTATCAAACCAAATTCCCACCAATGCCAGACTCGGGATATACAAAAGCCCTGCTCCAAGGCCCATGCAAATCCCCTGGCTCAGAAAGACCTGCCAATACTGCGTGCTCAGGCTGAGCATCATAATACCGAAGACGACTAGAAAGTTGCCGGTGAAGAGCATAACACGAAAGTAGCCCAGATCGAAGAGTGGACCGGACAAAACTCCGAAAAATATCAACAGCCAGGCTTGAACCGTACCGATCCATGATATGGCTGAGGGCGAGGCGGAGGATAGCAGATCGGACTTATAGTATGCTTGGAAAGCACCATAGCTCAGCGTGAATCCCCAAATATTGATCTGGTGAGGTATTAGTGGGAATATACAGAAACCTCGATAGGCTGCACACATATATCATGAAGCCACCAAAGACTTTCAGCCACGCATGGAGGCCCCCATCGGGTGGCGGAGGGATGACGGACTCGGTCGTTTTAGTCGAGCGTGTGTCGAATGTCTTATCGACATGTTGAATGCCCTTCTCTTCGTCGTGATGCTGCGAATGTTCAACTTCCTGCGAATGTTCAACTTCCTCGGCTGACGACGGTCGAGAAGTTCGTTGTGACTCAACTAGACCGCTCCGAAATGGCTGCTTGTCCTTCGAGCATACTGATGATGGCATCTGAATATGTGCAAACCGTGTCATCTTCTTTGTGCGATTGCCGGGTGGGTTGTAGCTGCTGACGTTCGTTCTATACTTTAGGTAGACAATCGTCAGCGACTCTGGCTCCAGCTTGGAATACCACTGACTCCAAAGGGTTGATCTTCCGTAAAGCGATGGCAATTACATCAGAGGAGAGACTGCTTGAGGTAATTGGACTATGGAGCGAATTGGACATTCACACGAGACAGTCTGTTTTGTTAACAAGGGTCCCGGTCGATTGCAGCCCACAGGAACAAAGTCGTACATCATGACGATTTCTAAGCGTTATTACCGTTAATGCGGGGATAAATCGTGGGCCGAGGTCAGGCATCGTGGAGTCGTGCGCTAGTTCTCTACGTTCGGCTGCAGCGATTGGATCATTTGAAAGTTTACGTAGAATAATGCTCAGGAAAAAAGTGGGAGGTTTAGGCGTCTATGAATTATCGGTTCGTGTGAATTTCTCAAGACTAGGCGTTGTCACGCCTTTCAAATACAGCCGGGACGCTCCATACTTCTAAATTCTCAGAATGTAAGAAGATACTAGAACGAACCTGTGTCTGCGATGCATTGTCAAATGCCTCATTGTTTTTGGAACGTTTGCCTTGACTAGGCCATTGCACGATGTGCTGTCAAGGTACAGCGACGCTTGGCTGTTATTTAGTGCCATCGTTAGTAACTCTAACGATCGTTGGATTGGTATCTTCCAACGTCGATGAGCGTAGCAAAGACCCTGAAGTTTGGTGTTGAAGCTACAATGCTCGCGCCGGCGACGTGCAGCAAAGCATATGTCCGGTCACTTCTTTGACCTTCTCTGTGACACGTGCTGGGGTGGTGAGGGTCGAATCGCCCCTGGACATAGAGCAGAAGAGAGCTCGTAGCGCGTGAATAGAAGATCTTGGGGGTGAGCAGAAGGGAAACCGGGAAGATATCACCGGATCCGCGCGCGCAAAAGGCTTGGACTTAATGAATGTATTGGTAGAGTTTCGAAGGAGCGGTAACCAGCCAATATCATCGAAAGACGCCGAAGCAATGTTACTAAGAGTTCGATGGTCCTGCCTCATGCTGTCTTGCCGAGCCGGACCAAGATCATTCGGTCTCGGTACTGCCCATCGCTCCAGGAGAAGTGGGAAGTAGAAAGTGTTTTGAGTCGTTGCTTAAGCTGCAGGCTTCGCGAATCTAGCCTTCCTTGCCTCTGCGGCCTTTCTGTCAGAATCGCTGTAGCGCGTCGAGGTTGGTGCGGCGCGTTCCCGGCGGGGACTTCGGCTGTCCCGGCGACTGCGGTCGTTCCTGTCATCGCGTCTGCCACCTCCACGGCCAGCACGCCCAGGCTTGCCTCCATCACGACGCTTGTTCGCACCTGCGTCGTCCTTATCTTCCCGCCCACGTTTCCTCTCGCGCTCAGGCAGGGCTTCATCCAGCCCTTTGACCTCGCCCTTTTCTCCAAATTTCTTCATGCGCTCCAACTTCTTCAGTCCTTCGTCGTCCTCGATCTTGGTGCCAAACTTTAAGGCGCGCTTCTTGCGACGCTCAATCTCGTCGTCAATGCTAGTGGCTGCAAGGCCTTGCGCATAGTTAGGAGCGGGCTCCTTTTTCTCTTCGGTTGCGATGTCAGCGCCTTCTGTAGGCGGCTGCACGGAGAGATCATCGGTCTTCGCGGGATCGATGTCAGCTACCTGGTTGGGAACAGCTTGAGGATTCGGCGGTTGACCCTCTCCGCCAGCCTTCTCGATTGTCTTTTCATTTGTTGTGACTTCTTCGACTACGGCAGGCGCAGCCTTCGCAGGCTCATCGTCATCCCAGTCAATTTCGTCCTCGGCGTTGACTGCAGGCTTCGGATCAGCAGAAACGCCGGCAGAGCTCTGGTCCTCGTCATTTTTAGTGAGACGGTCGACCATGTCGGCCTTCTTGCCAGCATGTGGGAGACCGCGCTCTTTGAGGAGCGCCTCAAGCTCGGCATTTTTCATCTTTGCGTATTCGGGCATCTTGGGCGCGTTTCAACGGTGATAGTGCGCGATAAAAGTGCGATGCGACGCGATCTGTCTTGACGCGCAATCGGAACGGCGCGCGCAAAGCTGGACGGTGAAGCGGCAGGTTCGGTATGTGACAGTCGCTGTGTTTGAAAAGAAGAACGGGGAGAAGAAAAGCCCAGAGATTTGTGTAGGCTGAACAAAGGATAGGAAAGGCGCGACGGCGACAAGTGATGCTGTTGAAAGGGTGAGGCTGGAGGCTGGAGCTACTGTGAGCTCCTGCCTTGCCAAGGCGCACTTACTCTTTACGGACAAAGCTCTGCTTTGCTTGGAGTGTGGCCTTCGACACACACAATTCATCAATGAATAATGATAAGCATGATACCGACGAAAAGATTTTTCAATGTATGGTAGGAGATTTATCATTGGCCTGTTCAGGAGCAAGGTCTACGCCTCTACGACTCCTTGTCTACTCTGTCCAGCCTACCTACCTTGCCACGCTCAACCTTCACATCTAAGATGGCAGCGGACTGATCCTTTATACATACTTATGTTTTTCGCAACGGATTGGTGACAAGGTTTTCAAGTTTCTGAACCGTAGTTGGGGCTTAATTATACTATTCCATGTCTACATCAAGATCAGGCCACGCCGAAGCATGGATTTGATCATCGACGAGCGGTGCAAGGCGAGTACCACGAAGCGTAAGGCTCATTTAGTAGTTTGTAACCTATCAATGCGACAGCTCGCGCACTCCAGAAGATTGAGGCATCTCCGTACTATTGCAGTGACAGACCTTCCGAGCTCGAATTCCCTTACTATCAATCGGTAGTTTATGAGCTAATCGTGCCATTTCGGTGTCCCAATTTGATAGAACAATGTCTGAAGTTATTGTAGTGCTGACCGTATTTCAACAATGAGCACCCATGCCAACAGTCGAGGAATCACCCGGATTGTGACCAACAGCAATTTGTCACCACGATGTTGTCGCATCGCTGTCTGCTGGCCCACGGCTGAGGCATATGGCATATATCTACCTAAGAGGTGCCGCCAAATAGGCTCCGAACTCAGCTGTTCGCAGGGTCAATCAGAGGTCGATCTTTATGTTGAGGCACCGCAAAGTTGAGGATGGTCTGCGAGCAAGCGGACAACTTCACATCGACATGAATTGTCCAAGGGTTGGATGATCTGCGACCAGATCCACAGTGGACACAACGATTCACTAGTACCACACACAACTGATTCGCAGATATCTCCCACGCGCCGTGCCGTCCTCCCTCTCGTGCCGAACGGTCGCGACCAAACTTCGCTGTGAGCGCCTACGCTAGAGAAGTGGAACTACACATACCTATGCTCATCTTATCTTCACCGCTTCGCGGCTACTCGAAAGACCTGCTTGGTCAGATGGGAAGCACGAGCATCGTGCGCAGTGGAACATCTGACACCGATGCAGTGAAGTGCAACACAGGCTTGCGGCACTTTACTAAGGCAAAGCCTGCGGTTTGCACCATGGGGTAAGCGGTTACTGGTACACCCACATCACACGATCGTTGCTTTGGTTAAGCACACATATGAGTGTGTACACAACAAATCGACACAGCATTTCTGTGCTCATGTCCCATGACACCTGTCGCGCTATCAAGAGCTCGCAGACACAAGATGCTTTAGTGACAAGAGTGTCTACTTGCCTGGCGAAGGAGAATTTTTCGCTATGCAAACTCCTCAGCCCGCATGCCTTATCCTGGCCAGTGATCGCAGTCTATGTTGATTGCGCATGTCTATTGGCAGAGTCTCAGATTCAGACTGCCTGCATGTGGTAAGGTGTGATCCCGTGACTGAGATGGCATGCGGGAGGCAGTGGATTCGGCACACTGGTAAGGACGAATGATCGTGGAAAGACTGGCAAAGAGACTCGGTGGCTTGTCGGCAACCTGGATGGTGGGACACACTGGTAAGAATCGCCGTCTCCTCCCCGGTGGACTACCGAAACTGTTGAGGAAAGGCGAAGGGACCTTCTCTTCGAATATTTGGCAGAGGCAAGTGTTCACAGCAGGATTGCTCGCGGGCTTGCGGCGCCTTTGATGTGTTGTCAATTGTGGCGAGCGTAGATCACGGCACAGCCTCAATTTGCTGCAGCTAGTACGTTTTGATAACTGCACTTAGCCACACTTCAGCTTGCATGGACGGTCACTCCGACTCGACCATGAACAACATGGCGACTACATGCTGTCCTGCAGGTTGTGGTGATCCGTTGCAACGGTTACAAGAATAGCAGCCGGCATTATGCAAAGGCGTCATTTTCGCTCCACTGGGTCCATACAATGCCTAATGAGTATGACTCCTCCGCTCGAGAAACCCAAGCCGCCATTCACACCTCGCGGCCTGATTGACCCGTTAGACTTGCCCTACTACAAGGCCTCGAGTAGGGGATGGTGGAGGGTTCTCAACGGATCCGGTGGTTGACCGTTCGAGTGGGCTGCATCGATCTGTCTATAGTGTATATTGCTCCTGCCGATGCATTTAGGCAAGCGGCCTGATCGTCGCACATGGTCCAATGAATCAGAAGTACAGTGTGAGCTGAGGAGATGTTGTGGTTTGGAGGGGAAATCGGGGTCTGCTATGGTCGTCGACCCCACTCAGGGATGCCTCTCGCCAGGTTTCTTATCTCAGCTCATCACTAGAACAGCCTCTGCGTGAAGCAGCTTCAGAGATGAGCTCATAGAGCGGGAGGCTTCAACCGCCTTGTCACTGGCTTCGCGACGGCATTGATGGGTTGAGTAAACGAAGGGCAGGGGCAGCCGATCAGCCAATTGGGCTCTGCACTTACAGCCGCCGCGCAGGGACTCACTACGAATCGTCGCCCACCATCAGGTTCCGGACGGTCGACTGGCTGCGCTTTGTCCTCGAGCCTCCACCCGCTTTCTCAAGCGCAAGCGCCCGTAACTGAACCAAGAATGCTTTCCGTGCCGGGGTCAGCCCAAGTGCGCAAGGCCATGGGCTGCCATACTGTCGTTGGGGGTGTCTTGCGCGTGCGCTTGTCGCGACAGGATACTTATCGACGCCCTGCTCACCCCGCAGAATCCTCGAAAAGGCTCAGACCCAACAGATCACGACAGCCGGGCTTACTATACACTGAATCGCTCTTCGTATAAACTAGAGATCCCTTGGATAAGCAGCCAGGCTGGCCTTGAACGTTCCAAAACGGCGACTCGCAAGCCCGCCCCACTGCGGCGACGGTGAATTGAACCCCCCACAGTTAGACGGCAGGCCCTGAGGGACGTGACGGGACGCGTGAGCCCGTGCCGGGATACTGATATAACGTCTTTCCTTGTCCGCGTCGCTGCTCGTACACACGCTTCGCTGTCGATTTTCGCTCCAACCCACGATACCCTTGCACAGCCCCGTCTTGATCGGGCTTTGCCGAAGCAGCGCCACACCTTCGGTGGCGCCGAAGAGCACCAGGCATCGACCAAAACTTGCCTGGGTCAAGTGGCCGCTGCGTTGTACATTCTTGCTGGATGACTTATATTGTTTGACTGCCGATTTGACCACCCCGGGCCATATCGAATTTGCCACTTCGCCTCGGCAGCATAGACTACCCGCTGTCGCCCACTCTACCGATCCGTCTGACAGGATATACCCGAGCTGAGTACTGCTGACGGTCCCGAGCATTCGATCGTCCCAGCAACTCGAAACATCAGGTCCCCTGCGTCGTTGGACCCTTCTTCCAAGAGTTACACAGCTAGACAAGCACATGCCTCCATGAGGTACCCACAGCACACAACGTTCCGCAACACACATAGTCGGGTCACACGAAGCTACCCGACATGGCTTCCTATAAGTCACAGTATGGTCCCCCAAGGAGAATAGACGATAATACGCCCATCACACGGTTACCAAAACGATACATCACGCCTCCTACTATCACATCCCAGCTACCGACTAGTAGCAGCCAGTCCAAGTTGCAGAAGAGGAGGCCCTCGCGCGATGAGCCAGCGCGGTCAGAACGCGGACTGCCGAATCAGAAAGAGCCCACACCAAGAGTCAGCTCGCACCAAGCGTCTAGTACAGCCGCATCTTCAACCCTCCAAGCTTCAGGTTTTACATCTTACAAAGCGAGGTCGACTAGCTCCTCAACTCGACTGCCAAAGCTTGAAGTACCCACGAGCACTCGAACACCTTCTCTTATCTCAGGATCTTCCGCATCTACCATCGAAAGCCCTCGCTCGAATGTTTTGAGGAGAAACCAGCCTGGCGTAGGAGTTACAAGTAACCGACACACGACACGAGCTCGAGACGGCTCCATGTCCTCTCAAGAAGGCGCCCGGCAAGCTGAGAGCATTTCAGGTGACTTCAAAGATCCTTTCATCGAATCTGTGTTCGGCATCACTCTACCGCCATCCTCCAGTATTTTGGTCCGCTCCGAACTCGACCTTGAGTCTCCCCAGAACGGCTTGTACGACAACATCGGCCCTTTGGATATATATCCTATTCCAACACCCCACTATGCAGTTTCAGCGACCCCCTCCACACGTTACGCAGACTCTCCCGGAGCTTTCAGCATCTCATCGGCTGCGACTTCGGCGACTTCTTACTCGCCAGCCACAGCTCTATCGAAATCTTCTCATAGAGCTAGACAAGTAAGCCCATTGGAGAGTCGACCACCTGTAAGCCGACACCGGGCTTCGGAAGAGCCCAGCATCCGTATAACACATGGACTGTCGACTGTTCGCGAGTCGTCTACATCATCCTCTTCAGCATCCACTGTTGTAGCTGATGCAGGCAGGGTGGATCTGGTGAAAAAACAACTACCCACTGTTCCACAAAGCCCACCAGTATCCAAGGCAGCCCCAACAGTGCAGACGAAGCCTCGGACTCAACCTGTGCCAGAGCTTGCTCACTTAGCTGAGTCTTCTCCCGTATCACCGCCGAGCTCAAGACGACCATCGCGGCCGAGTAGAGATGGAACGCCCGAGATATATGGACTCCGAGATCCTTCTCCAGTCATCCAGAGTAACATGGCGAGCTTTCCAAACCATCACAGGCGAACAAGTTCATCAGACTCAAAGTTCGGGTCCCTCTCCAGCGCGAGGTCTCGTATGGCCGTACCGATCAAAGCTTCTTCACGTAATCCTTCGCCGATCCCTACGTCAAGCATTCCTGCTACGCCCAGTGCACTTAAACGTGGGACAACACCAGATGATCAGAACGAGCGTGATGCGCACCGATCCAGCACTCATCCAGCTCCAGCTCCCAGCCCTGGCAAAAGATTTGGGTTCTTCTCTCGACGTACGAAGACTGATCCAGCACCGCATTCCAGCAAATCGGAAAGTAAGCTCGTGCGTAAAGGACCGACAGCAGGAACTGGACATGAAGGGTATGGAAGACATGCAGCTAGGGGTAGGAGTAGCAATTCGGTAGGCGCAAGCATTGGACGATCGACCAGTGCAGGCACGACATCTGAGAGCTTGGCTCAGACTCCATCGACTCGCAAGAGTAGCATGACTAGCACAACTAGCGGCGAGATGGACGACTTTTTCCTCAACAGACTGGCTCCCGTAATCCTGCGGGGAGCCGGTAGCAGTTCGGAACTGACACGCAGTCCAGAACCGATGAACAGCAGCAGCAGTCTGGATGTATCGAGCCGTGCAAAGCTGCCAATGGGCAATACAAGTAATGTCACAGCTGAGCCTGTAAGCGTCAAAATCCGACCTAGACTATTACCCTCAGCAATGCCGAACACTACGCGCAGTCAGTCGCCAGCAAAGAAACCGTTGAGAAGGCCGTCGGAAAGTGATGATGACACAAAGAAGTCGTTCCTACCCACACTCGCATCAAGACGGACTTCGCGCGCAGTCAAGCCTGCAGAAGGCGGTTCAAGTCTGCCAAGAAGTCGTAGTATTTCCAAGTCTCGCAAAGACTCTGCGAGCGACGAAAGCAGCTGGCTTCGCCCGTCAAAGAAGACCAAAGCCGAGAAAGAGAAGGAGCGACCTAAGCCGTCAAAGTGGAACTTTTTCTCGCGTGCCCACGCAGCTCCTCGAGTCGAAACACCCGCGACGCATGAAGATAACACTACAAGCCCAGGGCCTGGGTCGAGATCTGTTGCGCACTATGCGCTGATGGATGCGCCGTCCAGTCTTAACATGCAGGATATCGAACAGCTTATGAAGGAAGCCGCAGGCAACACCGACACAGAGAGCTTGCTTTCTGACAATGATTCCATGCGGAGAGAGCGCATGCAATCGATGCTCCTGCCACCCAAGCCCATTCTGCCAGCTTTCGCCTCGCCTTCACGTCCTGCATCACCTAAAGTTGTTCTGCGGTCAGATCAGTCGCCGCAGCGGTATGTCAACCTAAGGGTCAATACCGATGTGCAGCCTGTGTCTGAGCCATCTCCAAGGCACTCACAGGCCGGCACGATTTTCGACCTCTCACCACCTTCGTCGCCGGTCACTCAGCAACTAGACGCCAACAACGAGGCTGCGCCATCGAGCGCACCGGCTCCTGTTGCCTTGCGTCTTTCTCAGCATGTAGATCTCCCTATAGAGAATCCAACTCCTCAGGATACAGCACCCCGGAATCTCCCTCGTCCGAGTCGATTGCCACAAGTCGGGCGGATTCCTCAAGTAGTGTCGACCCGCAGCAAACTCTGTCGGCCCTCATCTCGGTCATTTTCCAGACCATTCGTCACTGATCAGCCTCGTCCGATTGCCCTCCCACGCACATCTTTCGAGTCGATTGGGTCGATAGTCGCTACTGCTGGCCCCGTTGAGCCTTTCCCGATACTACAAGGACTTGGTGCTCTTTCCCATGGCTCAGCCATTGCGACTATCAGCCCTCTCTCTGAAGAATCCCGTCAAAGCGAGTTTTTCAAGTTTCCGCCGCGCAAAGACTCAGAAGTGTCTTATTCGAGCAGCTCGGGTGTCTGGAGTTTCGCTCCTGTCGCCGGTACAGCCGTTATTCCTCCTCCAGAAGCACCATTATCAGATGACGAGCTTTGGAATGAGTACGACGATCTGCTTGACCAGGTCGTCTCGCCCGGAGGCACAGTCAGGAAGGCTCCAGCACGCAACGAGCGTCTTTCAACCGAGCAGCGACCCCTCAAGACGAAAACTTCATGTGTATCAATCCTTTCTGGCACCTCGGGCAAGGAGGCTTCGGTACCCTCGGTGCACATTCGTCGGTCTCGATTGCTTGCAGCTCTGTATGCGCACCAATCCCCGACTTCCTCAATGGCTCTGTCCGACGTCATCAACGATTACAGCGATCGCAAGCTTAGTGTGATCGACTCGAGTACTGGTAGATTGAGCCTCCCTCTCAGTCCCAGTCTGTCTACGGTCTCGGCCCAGAGGTGCTCGACACGGACAAGCTTGCCTGTGTCTCTGCCACTGTCGGACAGGCAATCAAAGTTGTCAATGGTCTCGCGGTCTGATAAGGATCGCAGTAGCACTACGGCCACTCGTTACAGGGACGCACACCTCATGGACATTGCCGAGGCCCAAACATTTGGTCATGCCTCGATGGCCGATCTCCGATTTGGTGCTTTGATGACAAGTAAATGGCTCTCATTTGGTCGCGTGCTATTTAGCCCTGTGCACCACCAACTCAAAGATGTTAACGAAGATCGTATCCTCGTGATTGACGGCACTGGCAAGGATTGGTCCTTCTACTGCGCTCTCACCTACTCCGACGCGGCCGTATACGACCTCGGTCCTGCTCCATCATCTTCATCTTCGACTGACAGGACGTCCGCGCCGCCAAACCATCGTCATATCCGCCACTCTTCTCTCACCAACGCTTTGCCCTACCCGCAAAATTTCTTCGCTTGCGTTGTTCTTCGCTTTCCTTCGGCACAAAGATCGACTACTCATCACTTCCTTCTAGCTGAGGCCAAACGGGTGCTTCGCCCAGGTGGTTACCTGGAGTTTAGTGTGTTAGATCTGGATCTTGTCAACATGGGTAACCGTGCGCGACGTGCGGTGCGTCAGCTGAAGATGGACATCCACCGTGTTGATGATAGCATTTCCCTCCGGAATATGAGTGATGAGATCATCGCGGGTCTGGGCCGCAAGCGCTTCGTTGAATGCAAATCCTGCGTCGTAGGCGTACCTGTAGCTGGAAACCTACCGGCTCCAAACGACGTCAATCATCCCATGCGGAAGAACAGCACAGCAAGTTCTCGCAGACGAGCCGACAGCAATCTCCAACCTTCGATACCGAAGTCAGAGCCATCTTTCTCCGACCTTCTCAAAACCTCAACACCATCTGCATCAACCGACAGAGGCATTGCCGATAAAGTCGCACGCGTTGGTCGCTGGTGGTACTCTCGCTGTTATGAGAGTATCGTGCTGCCTGACTGGGAAGGACCAGATGGACCTTTGCCAAGCGACATCCTTAAAAACAGCATCTGGCGCGACAACAACCTCATCAACGAATGCGAGGAGCTTGGCACGAGTTTCCGCATGCTCATCGGCTATGCACAAAAACCTGAGGTTGGCCTCAGGCGTCACGTCAGCGTCTAACCCCCCTCCAATCTTCTTTCGATCCAACCGAGCTGTGCTCTAATTGTCCAGGAGACAGACTTTGGCTACACGAATTTTTAATGGGCTTTGTTTTATACAATGGGAGCCTTACTGCGTTCAAGCGTTGCGTTTTTGTTTTCCTTATACCCTCGTTGCAAAGGGATCGCATGGCATTGTACAGCATTACTACAGCTCAACGGCGCGAGCCTGGCCTCACGATCTCTGACATCACGACAACTTATGTAATCTTCCCTTTGACCGTCACGTTGGATTTGGACATGCTGGTAATGGACAACTAATGGGTCTGCAACACTCAAGATACCCTGATGAAACAATACGTTTATGTACTGACGAGCATGATTTGCAATGGCATTTATAATATTCAAATTGTACAATTCCTTAATAAGCCTGTTGACTATTCTACTTGACGAGTAATGTGACTGATATTTGAGCCTGTCAACGAATTTCATGGGTCTCTTAATATCGTATCAGGTATCCTAGGATCTAGTTCGGTCACGGAGTAGCCACACTTTCGGTCTCTGTGCAACTATCGTCTCGGCCGCGACTTATGGCATACGGAAATAAACATGATACTCCACAAAGCCGCCCACCATCTAGATGACGATGTCAGCAAGATCCTGCAGACTCAAATTCAAGGCATGAGAGCGATGGCATCCGCATGCTGTGTGTACACCGACACCAATTCTCGTCGTTCTTAGTCTGCTTGGCGCGGCACCAGCCGGTCTCACAAACTCACCCAATCCATCCAGCTCTCCAGGAATCTCAACCGCCCGTCTCTAAGCACCTCCTCAAACTCCTCGAAGCTCAACAAGCCGTCTCCTAATCGCTTCCTGTTCTCCTGCTCCACGGCTTCGCAACTCGCCAGCAAGCTGATGTACAGCGGAGATTCGGGGTTCTTAGCGCTGCGCCGCAGATTCGCAATCAGAGCTGCCGTTTGGTCCGGCTCGGGCGCGATCGAGTAGAAATTTTGAGTATGCGCAATGTGGCGGCGCGTGTAGGACATCGTTTGCTTGCCGTTAGGCGATGTGGAAATAGAAAGAGTTTGTAGCCAAGGTGTGTCCGTCACATGAGGAACTTTGATTTTAGAGGGAACGGGCTCCTGCGAGGGTGCTGGAGAGGCGGCTGTTTCTACCTCATCTCCTGCCTGAGAGAAGTCACGGCTCGGTCTCGGGGTTATTGGGGTGTGGCTCAGTGAGTCAGAGGTGTGCATCACAAGGTGACTTTCGCTGTCCCGGAGTTCTACACCTGAACCCGGCGTCACAACAGGTGGCGTGAGTTTTTCAGCTTCTCCCTCTTGGGTAACCGGATCCTCGTCAGTAGGGTGACGGGTATCGACGAAAAAGGGGCCCTCTGGGCCGATGCGAATCCGTATGTTGTCGTTTGCAAAGTCTTCCATATCTCGATCAAAATCTGACGATGGGGTTGATTGATGTGAGGTTTCTACACCTTCTGTTACTCTGCTCACTTCAAGGTCGGCTGTTGAGTTGGGGCGGAATTGCGGCATCGTAGGATCGCGAACCAGCACAGGAGATGCACTGCGTGGTTCTGCGCCAACACTCCCTGCTTCAAACGCCGTGCGATCTGATCGGTTCAGCAATTGCACAGTAGCTGACGTCAATTCTCCATAGAGCTGCTCCTTGAGCAGTTCGGCGTTCCATTCAGCCGTACCACCCAGAGTATCTTCCTTGTGGATCTTGAGGTCGTTCAAGGCAACCCGTTCGGCAGCTAATATTGCCGTACGAATCAGAGACAGGTACTCTTTCGTGTTCCTGTTGTAACTCTGGCGTCTTATAGCTTCGAGTGCACCCATGTTCATATGCTGGCAGAATACATCAACCATGCCCTTGGCAAATCGAAAGATGCCTATGCGGAATATCTCTGCGTTGTGTTTTCCCCACCCTTTGTCTTTCTCCAGCAATGTATCGATGACCTCGGCGTGGGTCCGGCGCTCACTGCGCAGACTACGGGCATCCAGTGCCATATCTTCTCTGGCCCGGAATAAAGGATCGAGTAATTCGTTGAAAGCTTGCTGCGTAATTTGATACAAAACTTCTTTCCCAAGGTCTCTTTCGAGCTCAGGGATTTCATATCCGTTCCATTGCTCGCTGGCCGGCGTTTTCGAGACGGACTTGCTGGACCATTCTTTATGGTTCACTTCGTCCTGGAAATGCACTTTTGAAGATCGGCGACACGCAGATTGGTCGATTGTAGGCTCTGAGGCTGAAGGGCCTGCGCAGCCGTTTGTGGTTTCGTCTTCATCGTCTGTTATATCCGCACCGGCGGGCCTTGTAAGGCCTTCCTCCTCATCCAGAGTAAATTCACGCCTAGCCCATGCCTTCTGTACTAAACGCTCTCCGGCATTCGGCCTTGACGATCCATCAAGTAGCTGATGGATCTCATTGGCTTCGATGACGGACTTGCGAGTGGCGCTCTCGAACGGAGTGTCTAGAACGACAGGGGAGGTTTCGTCGAAAGTACCATTTTGTTTCTGTACGAAGCTGACATGAGGGGCATTTGAGGTGGGGAGGCTATTGGGAGGGAACACAGAGCCTAGGGGCTGACCAGATCGGACGGTTTCCATGCTATTGCGCACTGAAAGCTCTTCTGTCAATTCAGCAACAAAGTTCCGAGTAGCTTCCTTCTCAATCGCGTAGTAAGCTCGGAAGACTCGGAGAACATCTCGGCGCGAGATATAACCATCGCCATCGATGTCGTAGCCATTGAAGACGATCCTGGCCTTGACCTTCAGATCGGTGGTATGCATACCGTCGATACCCTTGATCCATTCTTCGAACCCAATGAGACCGTTCTTATCGCTATCATAATACTGAAAGATGCGGTCATAAATAAGATTGGGTGCAGCGATAAAGCCATTATATCGAGGCACAAAGGCGTGGTTAAAAGCGCGTCGATCCAGTGCCCAACAAACTTTGTTAGGATCATTCGACCATTCGGTACTTGCAAGGCAGGTGAATTGATCCCACAGCGCCTCGATCTCTTCTATTTCCATTTTCGTTTCCATTGCTAGTCGTCTTTTCAATGCCGAGTTGACCGAGTGATGCATCATGTGCGGCTTGCCTGGGTAAAGCGGTTCTTGTTTCGCCAGGGACAGGTAAGGTGCTGGTACCCGTATTTTGTAGAAAACATGAGTTTTGGCATGAGCATTTGTAGCTTCGCACGTAGAACAAAGGTCAAAGTCGACGCAATTAGCACAATGCCACCTGGTACCGCGAATGGGCTTCTCATCGCATGAGTTGCAAGTGATGCCTCGGTGTATGACGCCCTCTTGCCGTGCGCGATCTTCAGCAATGTGGTACAAGGTACGCTGCAATGTCTGTCCTTCGGGGTCGATATCCTCACCGTCGCTATCGTCGTCGCTGTTCCAAGATATGTCTGTCGCTGCAACACTTTCGACACCGTCTGTATCAGCAGGGCGTGTATCGTTCAATCGCTGCGTGCGCCTCTCCACAGCACGAGTAACAGTAGCAGGGGTCGGCAGTCTGTCACTAATCCACCGAGAGACTGCGTCGACTTCTGCAGGAGCGAGCGGGCGGCTCGAAAAGCCCGAGTCTAGCAGTCGATCGAGGAACACATCGTATAATCGCGCCGTCTCAATCTCGATGGTGTCTTCACTGGCATCTGGTGCCGTAGTCACGAGCAGCTCTCGAAGCTCATCTGGGGTGATGAGGTTCTGAGGATCGAGCGGAACCACGAGCCCGAGAACATTGTATTCGCCTAAGGTGTTCACTTCGCTTTCGAGGCGAGAGATTATGCGTGTCGTTCGTGATGGGCGCCGTTGTGCGTTGGCTCGCCGGACCGCGTTACTGCGGTGCAGCCCATCGCTGGGCGCAGTCTGGAGGCTACCATATAGGAGGTATGCGCTGTAGGCGGCCGCCACTCCGGTCAGCACGAGTATGGCAGGGCGATAACGGGTGACGGCGGTCGGCGCTGAGCTCGACATTGGAGGTGGTGGAGCTCGAGAGCTATTCGGCTTTCAGTGAGCCAGTGAGCATTGGTGCCGCGTCAGCAGGGCGACAAACAAATGCAGCAACAGCGGTGCTAAGAGGTGAGCGCAAGAGCTCCAGCACCGCAGCTACCTGTTTGACATGTTCAACTTGGGTAGTCGTGCCTTAGCATTCAGGCGAGCATGCGAATGGCTGCTGTTCCAAGAAGTGGCCGTTTGGCCGCACGTGCCAAACGGATCTCCACGGGCCCTCATTGGCGCAAAGGCTTGTCCTTTACTTCTGCATCACAGAACTCGAGATGCCGAGATGCGCGTGAGAGACAGTTCTTTTGATGTAGATAGTTGTTCAAGTGTTTACCACGCAGAATGTCCGCCATCTATCCTCAAGTCTGACCCAGTCATGAACGAGCTAGCCTCGCTGATCAGGAAAACTGCAGCACCACGGTACTCTCTTGGTGCTGACAGCCGCCCCAGCATGTTCTGTGTTGGCCATGATTCCTTCCGATCCGGAAACTTAACGAACAGCTCCTCCACCATCTGCGTCACGATATATCCAGGTGAGATGGTGTTGACGCGGATGTTGTGCTGGCCCCATTCGGCTGCCAGATTTCGACCGAGTTGGATCACGCCCGCCTTAGATGCGTTGTATGCGGAGCAAATCAGGCCCTGTTGTTTTCGTCAGAAACTCTCATACGCAACGCTGAACAGAGACGTACCTTGTTGGCGATGGTCCCAGACATGCTGGCGATGAGCACTATACTACCACCCTTACCAAACCTGATCATCTGCTTGGCAGCTGCTTGGGCAGTCATGAAGACACCGGTAATATTGACTTCAAACATGCGGTTGGCATCCGCGGCGGTGTACTCAAGTGCTGTCGTCTCCTGCTGGATACCGGCGGCGGCAATCAGACCGTCCATCCTTCCCTCAGCGTTTGCAATCTCCTCTACCACTTTGTGGAGGCTTTCAGAATCCCTCACATCAATCTGTCGGTATTCCAATTTCGAGTTCAGTTCTTTCTTCGCCTTCTCTGCAACGACATGGAAGTCCGGGTGGGGCTCAGGCAATCTGTCGAGAGCATACACTGTTTGTTGCATCAATGGTTGAACCCTCTACAGCAGCTATGCAACGTACCAATTGCGCCGGCCTCCAATAATGCTTCTGCTTGCGTTAAACCAAGTCCACGAGCTGCACCAGAAACGAGCACGACTTTGTTCTTCAGGCTGAACTCAGGCAGACCAGGAGTGAGACTTGGTGAAGTCATCTTGAGAAGTAATGTTGCTGATTGCCAGAAGCTAATGGTCAAGACGTGAAAGCTGAAAATGCACCAGAACACCGTGTTGAGGGAAAAGTACGAATGAGGTCACTGAATATTTGACGCAAGGGGCCTGCGACTTTTTAAACCACATTATAGACGCCGGACGCAATCGCAAGGTCACCAGACGACTGATCTGAGAGGCCAGACCATGCCATTACCTCCAATTCGCGCCACAATTGTGTGGTAGGATACTGAGAACTCGAGGGCGGGGAAAGCTCCTGTCGACGGAATGACCCAATTGGGAAATGCCGCACGCGTAATGTCTACCGCCGGAATGCTTCCTTCGTCTTAACAGAACCGTTGCGGCGTCATTATGAAGCAGATCTAGTACTTAAGAAGCTCGAGACGGACACGTGGTGCGAAGTCGCATTGTTGCGAGAGATATCGGGCCTGCTTCCTGCATGCGTACTTCTTGAAGTTCAGTTCTACGAGAGCTTACACGAGTCAGACGTCAGTGGTCTAGTTGTTGTACCCCACGGCATCTCTATATACCTTTCGCTCTTTGGATTTGGGCAAACACCCAAGGCCACAAGTAAGGTAGACATGAGAGCTATAGAACGGTCGGGCTACTCTTCCTGTCGCCATTACGACCAGATTCTGACATCAATCCATGCAAGCAATGGCCTCAGAAAACAATATGATCAGCCAAATTCTACTCGAAACTGTCTAAGTACCCAGGAGCAATGGGGTGTAATTCCGACTATAGTGCTCTCGCTTGAGCACTACATGTTGAAGCAGACCCGAGATGTTTGCCGTTCGAACTTTGAGCTCGCTGATGCCCCACTTAGCCCCACCACCGGTACCAGATGTGAATTCAGTCGCAGAAGCATAATGTTAAGAATTTGTCCAGCCTACAGCCACCAAAATGAACACTGCCAGCGACGTCTCTCCACCTCTGGGTCCGACTCAGTTAGCAGCAGGCCACGCGCCTCCAACGCCACCTCACGAATCCGCTCTCGATGACATTTATGGATCTGCGCCTACTTCGCCCTTCCTTGATGCGCAAGCTTCCGACCGCGCTCATGAAATGCTCTCAGACCTACCTTCACGCCAGCGCACACTCGATGCTGATGCCTACCGCGAAGGCTTAGCTTCAGCAAAGGGACAATACGTGCAAGAAGGCTTCGACGAAGGGTACGCGGTGGGCGCTGACATCGGACTACGAATTGGCTATGTGTTGGGTGTACTTCGAGGCTTCGTGGGCGCATGGAAGGGGCGTGATCAGGACACATATTCCGAGGTCCTCAAGCTGCACGAGGAGGCACAGAAGGAGCTTGCCATCGAGCAGCTACTAGGGCGAACCTGGGTCGACGAAGAAGGCATCTGGAAGTGGGAGGTCCACGGTGCAGACGGTGAGGCTACATTTAGGGAGGTAGCTGCGCAGCATCCTGTCGTACAGAAGTGGGACATCAAAGTGGAGGAGCTGGCGGCACGCTGGGACGTCAATCTGAAGGCTGTGGAAACGATGAGTAGTAAGGAGGAGGAGCAGGCATGATGAGCTTGCAGATCACACCAGAAAACCTAACAAGAAGGCATCTGCAGCTCATGTTGAGACCGTCAGTCGCATGGGTTGTCGCGTATCGAGTCCAGAACGCTCTTGGCTACGACGACCATTTCGGCGCACTCGTAGTGGCTTGAGTGCTCCATGACACGAACGAAGGGAATCGAGCGCCTTCAGAGCTACGCCTGCACCTGTTGCACCGTGCCTTAATGCTCTATACTCGGCGCTGGAATAACACAGATCATCTGTGAACGGCGGGTACATGAGGGCGGTGGTGCTGCCAACATGTGGAAAACACCCACACCACTACTGGCAGTGCGTGCAAACGAATCCTAGTCTCCAGATTTGAGTACTGGATGTCAGCATGTATATACTTGATATTGACGGAGTGTTGGCCTGGTCTGGTCGCGTCGGCAGTCGGCCAAAAACGCACGGACAAGGGCCGCTGCTCAAGATGCCGTCATGACTTGCGATCCGATATCGAAAGAAAGACGGCTACCTACAAACTTCGACATGCTCCTGTCCCACATTCCGCTCTCGCCTCACTCGCTGACCCTCTCGTCGCGTCAGCCATGATACATGGCCTGCTCGCTCTGCGACGAGCACATGCATGCAATGTCGCCTCGCAGCTAGCACGCCCATATCGCACCCCGGTGCCATCATCACAGGCCCTCGTGCGCCGCATACAATCGCAAGCATGGGAGCCTCTCCGCCCCCCAAACCCTGCCGATCTCCCCAAGCCGAGGATTCGCAAAGTTAAGCCGCCATTTACGAAGCGGAAATGGGTGCGCCGTCTCGCCGCTGCTACTGCCCTTATTGGTGTTGGATACGCCATAGACAGACAGGTCTACGCTTCGTCTTTGACCAGATCCCTCCGCACCTTCAAGACTGGCCTCGTGATCGGCCTCGACTACAAAATCAACTTTCGCCCCCACCCTCCGTTCGCAGACAGCGTCGAAGATGTACACAACCGCAACGCGGAGCGCATCTTCAATCTGCTGCGCTACAATGGCGGTCTTTATCTGAAGATTGGCCAAGCGATCGCTATGCAGAGTGCCATTCTGCCGCCTTCGTTCCAGAAGATGTTTGCGAAAATGTTCGATGATGCGCCGCAGAATGAGTGGTGGGAGGTTGAGAAGGTGGTTCGAGAAGACTTTGGAAAGAGCGTCGAGGAGGTGTTTGGTGTAAGCTTTTCGCACGATCAGACACCGGGCAAGGGTGTCATGGAGAAAACCGCACGAGCGAGCGCAAGTGTTGCGCAGGTACATTGGGCGCGTCTCGCAGACGGCAGGGAGGTTGCAATCAAGGTACAGAAGCGTGAGATCGCATCGCAAGTCGGTTGGGATCTTTGGGCGTTCAAGGTTGTTGCCAAGGCATACACCTGGTGGTTTGACATTCCTGTCTACACACTCGTACCCTACATCTCCGAGCGCCTGATGCTCGAGACCGATTTTGAAAACGAGGCAGACAACGGCGAGGAAATGCGTCGTCTTGTTGCTGGCGAACCACGATTGAACGGTAGGGTATACATTCCTCAAGTCTACCGCGAGCTTTCGAGTAAGCGCGTCATGACCGCTGAATGGATTGAAGGTGTCCGTCTGTGGGACAAAGAAGGCATCACCAACAAATGGCGCGGCGGTTGGCGACGCGGGTCTCCTGGTGCAGGAGGTGTTCAACTTCCACCCATTCCTGCAGGCACGAAATACGACCCCGACGTGCCCGCCGACGCGCCCAAGAACGAGATCATCAAGCCCAGCCGTAAATCTTGGAAGGGCAAAGACGGCAAGGGTGGGCTGGGCGTGAGTCTAAAAACTACGATGAATACCATCGTCGACCTTTTCAGTGCGCAGATGTTCCTCTGGGGTCTCGTACACTGCGATCCGCACCCTGGCAACATCTTCATCCGGCGCCTACCCTCGGGTCAGCCTGAAGTCGTCCTCATCGACCACGGGCTGTACATCCGCATGAACCCTGAGTTCCGGCACCAGTACGCTCTGTTCTGGAAATCTCTCCTCGCATTCGACAACGCCACCATCTCTGAGATCGCAGTGTCGTGGGGCGCGAACAATCCCGATATCTTCGCCAGCGCGACGCTGATGCGCCCGTACCAGGGAGGTGACAAGAGGGTCATTGAGGAGATCAAGAAGGGGGTTCGAGGCAGGGACGCAGCAGAGCGCGCGTATGATATGCAAGTTAAGGGCCGCGATGCGATCAAGTCCATTCTCGGAGACGACAAGAAGTGGCCTCAAGAGCTCATTTTCATCGGCCGCAACCTGCGCATTGTGCAGGGCAACAATCAGTTTCTCGGCTCCCCGGTCAACAGGGTGAAGATCACAGGGCTATGGGCGAGTCGCGCGCTAGCCGAGAGCAAGGAGCTGAGCTCAGGCGAGCGGTGGAAGAACTGGGTCAAACATCTGAGGTTCCGCATTGTTTTGCTTTTGAGCGACGGTGTTTTCTGGTGGTCTAAGATCAAGCAGGCGTTTGGGGCTGAGAGGGGGCTAGAGGATATCCTCGAGGAGCAGATGAAGACCATGGCGAAAGACTTCGGTGTCGAACTGAATCATGGTGTGTTTGAGGGGTAGACACTGGTGATTTGTATGATATGAGAAATCTGTACACAGACCTCAACTGTAGTTCTGCTGTAATCAACCTGGAATAGTGAGTGTTCATGTTTGAGCACCCATCATGAATTGCCACGACTTCCGATCTACATAATACAAGCAAGGGCAGATCGTGCAGCACACATCCCCCACAGCCCACGTAAGACGTCAAACTTAATGCCCACGTACCCGTTGCGGCTCGATCCCCACGCGACATCTCAGATCTCGCACGGACTCCAGATCCTCCGCTGACATCACCACTGAGAGCGCGCCTCAACGACGTACTGCCATCCACAACTCTCACGATGGGTGACAACACACACCACCCTTGCGCGCGCGAGCAATGGCCATTCTCCGCGTTCCCTACACCGACCCCCTGCCGCTTCCCAGGATAATACCTGCAAGCGCAAGCTCGACATCTGGCGCAATTGCAGCGCTCGTTGACTTTCTATCACCCTCGTTGTCCAACTCCAGGCCATACCTACGCGGCACTTCGCCAATCAAAAATGGAAAGACGTTGTTGTTGACTGGTGCGGGGATTAGTGTTGCGTCAGGACTGGCAGATTACAGAGGTCCGAACGGGACATACACGCAGAACAAGACGTATAAACCGATCTACTATAACGAGTTTTGCGAGAACCACGAGGCGAGGAAGAGATACTGGGCTCGAAGCTTCTTAGGTTGGACAAACCTGAATAAAGCCAGGCCCAACAAAGCGCATGCAGCTTGTGGAGATTTGGGACGGTTAGGCGTTGTTGGGAGGGTCATCACACAAAGTAGGTGCACTGCTATCTCCGTACAAATGACTTGAGCTGACAGGTTGGAAGATGTCGACTCGTTCCATCCCAAAGCGCATCCCGATCTCCCCACCACGGAGCTCCATGGCTATCTGCGCAATCTCGTATGCATAACATGCCGAAACGAATACGACCGCCGATTGTTCCAAGATCAGCTCGCAAAGCTGAATCCAGCATGGGCAACGTTCCTCGAAGAGATGCTGACTTCTGGCGCACTTGATTCCGAGAATCCCGACGAGCGACGGAAGAAGGGGATGAAGACCAACCCAGACGGAGATGCAGATGTGCCAGACGCGCCGTACACGACGTTCAGATACCCACCATGTCCGACATGTCTACAATCGCCGCCGCAAAAGGCCACTGGCGGCACGCTCAAGGTCGAGATAGACCAGGACGGCGCATGGAAACACGGTAGTGAGGGCGGCGTCTTGAAGCCGGCAGTAATCATGTTCGGAGAGAGCATACCGGCATTAACAAAAGTTGCTGCTGAGCAGGCTGTAGACGAGGCCGGGAGGTTACTGGTTATTGGCAGCAGTCTTGCAACGTACTCCGCCTGGAGGCTGGTCAAGAAGGCGAAAGAACAGGAGCTTCCAATTGGAATACTGAACATGGGTGGAGCTAGAGGCGAGGAGGCGTTCTTCACCAACGTGGAGGATAGCAACACAGGGCGAGAGGCAGTAAGAGTCTCGGAGAACGTGGAGAAGGTGCTGCCGCAGGTCGTGAAGATTCTAGAGAAGATGAAACTAAGAGCATGAATGCAAAATCTCCCACAATGAATACCAAGGTGCCTTCTACTGAGTTGTGGATGGCATCCGTCAAGGAGACCCCACCGCGACATCAGAGTCACGTCTTCCGCTTGACAGCCAATTGACGCCCACTATGAGCAATATCAGCACACAACCCGGCCTTAGTGTGAAGCGGCAGCCTAGCGCCACCCTTGCGCATTTTGCTGATGCGTTGGCGCTCTGAAGGACTCATGTAGGCTGTGCATCTCAGCCTGGTTACGCCGACCCCACAACAACACTTTCATCGGTCTTGCTCTATCCATCATACTTCTCTCCTCGGTTTTTCTCAATGCTTTCAAGGATTCGGTACTTGTTAGCTGAACTTTGTGTGTCAGCTCCCTTCCGTCACATGTTGTTCTATTGAGATTGTAACTGGACATCGGTTTAGCTGAACACGAAGGAAATTAAGCAGACTCTTAACGGCAAAGTCGTAAGCAGATTGGGAGCCCGCGAGATTTGCATAACACAATTGTCAGCCCAACATGGGTTGCTCGGTGGAAGATGTTGATCGCGGCGACGCTGTTTGGTATTGCTGCTCGTGTGGCGACGGACCGATCGGGGTTTGGAATAATGTGTGTTCGTGTGGCCATACGTATTGCCACAGTGGTGGAGGTTATTTAGGGTTAACACTAACCAGCGATCGAGCCAACAATGGTATCGGCTTCCAGGACGAGCAAATTGCTCAAGATTCAAAAAATCTCAAGCAAACGCACACACGATCACCGACTCAATCCTCCTCAGATACAGAAGCTCCGGGGTCTCTCGATGATGCGTTTGTGCATATGTCGGAAAGACAAGCTCGACCGCAACCTTCGCGGATGCAGCCTAGGCCTAGCGAAGAACCTCCACGGCGTTTGAATAAGAATGAAATCGAGCTTGGCCATCAGGTAGTAGACACCAGCAAGCATATTCTACACCCTGATGATGCAAGCATGAATCGTTCTTCCTTAGATCAAGAACGCGACCCACTTCTCGGTAGCATCCATTCGAGTCACACCTCACGGATCTTAGAGCAGAATCATAGCCGCGATTGGCGTGGATACAAATTCCAGGGAGAAAACGCACTTGAGAAATATGGAACACCAGTGGATACAGAGCTAGAGAGCGCCGACAAGGTGGACTCATTCTTTACAGATGTAGAGTCCATAGAGATGAGTCAGGCACACCACGATGGTTCAGGAGAAGGGTATATTGGAACCAAGGTCTTGGGCGAGGAGGTTAGCCAACAGGTATTGGACTATGCGCCGTTTCTACCTGTCGTTTATGATACCATGAATGATACAGAAGATGAAGATGAAGATGATCGTCAGTCCATACAATCCGCCAATTCGTCAACAACACTTCTCTCCACACTCAGCGGTTATACCGCAGTGGAGATGGAAGGTGCCACCATCGAGCTCCAAAAAGTCTTTCAACAAGATACGGGCCTCATCAAACTTTATCAGAAGGCTGTTGGGGATAAGCTAATTGGTCCCCAAAGGCTGCAGCGAAACCTCGAGAGATTGCTCAGGAGGATGGCACGAGATCTGAGGTTGGAGGCAGACAAGGAGTTAGAGAAGCTTACTTCCCGCTTTGTGTCTATGAAAGCCGAATACGTAGCACATTGCATTGTGGAAGACTGCCACTGTAAGCCTATCACTGTGTCGCAGCGGGTTGTAAACGGGCAAGACGACAGCGCGGACGAGGTTGAGGTCCGCGAACAGCCCGGAGGTGAAGATTTGGATCACATCGAGCCTATTGACGAAGACCACTTTGAGGATCTTGCTGTCTTTCGGAACTTCTTGGTCCAAAGTGCTGCTTTCCAGTCCTTCCGAGACCGGCTGACCTTATTCGTTATACCAAAAGAAACGCGATCACTCAACACCGAGACTCAATCAAAAGACTCTGACATCAAGAAGCCTGGAGAGAAATCCCAAGCTGCTTGGAATTCAATCTATCGGATGTACCAAGCCTTGATCAGAGTAGCAGGTTTGGTAGAACTGCCCCTACAATCAAACCTCATCCGAGTTAGATGGCAGTGTGTAAGTTACTATATGTACTCCATATGTTGGCTACAAGCATCTTAGCTGGCAACGTATACTAACGACCCTTCAGAGATGTGGCGATCACTTCTCCAGCCGCGTGCAGGAGTATCGTCCTGAAGGCATTGGTAGACTCCAAAGACGAATGCAGCGTTCTGGATGTCTGAACGTCACTTTCAGTGATTATAGCCAAGATTCGACCGAGACCAGATACACAGTCCGATGCCCAGCTTGGCTCCGATCGGCTTGCAGAAGTCTGTCATCCATATTGTCAGTGACTTCGAAGGAAACAATGTGTCTGCCCCAACACCATGCTTCGAGCAAGTCCAACTCAGCCACAGCTCCAAGACCAAGCTTGTCTACTTAGCAACAAGAACGGTATCTCATGGCCTGTATGCACCGCACACAGCACCATGTCAACGTTGTCCAAGACCTCCTGAAAGAAGTCATTACCGATCGGGAACTTTTCTGCTTTCTCAGAAATCAATTGAAGCGGCAACATAGCGGATTAAGAGCTCTGCTATCAATGAAGCGCGTCCAGAATATCTTCTTTGTCAAGGTTCGTGGGGAATCATGTTCAATTCAGCAGCAGCTCCATTGACGCTACACAGTTTCGCCTCCGCAAAGGAGGAGTGGCAGAGGTCCGCCATCACAACACGTGCTGCAACAACCACAGCTGCGAGTGCATACCGCCCCGGCTTAAGGTGATGAAACCGCCTATGGGCTCAGGAGAGTATGACTGCAATCCTCCAGGTCCACCCGATACCTGGCCGCCTGTGTGTCCTGAGTTTATGATGCACATGCTCCACTCTCCAGACTGCATAGCCAAGGATGACTTTTCTATACTAGAGCAATTACCAAAGAAGATGCATTGCAGGCTGGATGAGGCAAACGGAACTCCACCTGAGGGCTGGGGTCTGTATTTTCAGGAGGAAGTTGATATCAGTACAGTCATTGGTGTACTCTTCGTTGTGCTCTTCCTAGCCAGTCTAGTGTTCCTGGTTGTTTGGACAGTGCTCGAAAACGACATTCAAGGTGCGTCCGGCGTGAGCGCATACATCGTTGCAGTAGCTAGTATGGTAGGCATATGGATTGCGGCGAGGAGTAGGAGTTTTGGGTAGATATTCTTTGTCAGCACAGGTAAGGGTGTACGGTAGTTAATTGAAGTAGACGGTCCGACGAAGCTCCATGAAGCCACGAGTACTTTTCAGACCTCGTACTTGCTATTGTTGAAAGCCTCTAAGCTTATGGTCGAGGGCGGCTCCACTCGCCAGGCTGACATTAGTGGGGCTGCGCGATTACGCAGTACGAATACTTCGTAACTTGTGGAAAGAGCAAATGGCGGAGGGTCAGGCAACAGTCTTGTTGCTCTTGTACACGGCTGCCCTCTCCCTCTGCAGAGCGTCAACGATCGCCAACAGCACACGCGTCAAGCATCACAGATCATCTGCTGACGCGCATGCCATACAGAAACATAAGCAGAATCGAAGACAGCTTAGCTGCACAGCCATGAGCAGGCTAGTAGGAATGTGGAGAAGGAGTGCAGAATCCAGCCAGCCTCGTTACAAAAAGGTGCAGAGGAGGGCAGAAAGCATCACGTGTAGAAGCACGCATCTGCGGCAAGTGTTTGCTGGCCCAACCAGCAGCGTCAGAGATGGGGAGCTGAACATCAAGCGACTGTAGCAGCTCTCAGCCTTGCAGGGCTAGCGGACCCTGGTCGCAAACGCGGCAGCGGTGAGTTTGGGGTCAAGTCCGACTCCGTGTCGAGCGGTCGACATGTGCAGGAATGCTGACGAGGCACAGTCGCAGGAATAGAGCGAGGCGTAGTAAAAGCTCGAGTGCGCAATCTCGCCACCACAAGGTCGGCACAATCTGCATCTTCAAAGGGTGATCCAATTTTAGAGTGCTGTGGTGAGCTTGATGAGAGCTGCGGCCAGGTCCACTCGCGCCCACGCCAGCCCTGTTGTGGTTAGCTGTGGGCTGGGGCGCGGACGGAGTGAGCAACGGGCCTCTCAGCCCCATACGATCCAAACGGCTCGGGGACACTGAAACTTCAAACATATCTTCGCTGACCGCTGCCTCTTACATCGCGATTGCGCTGCTCTACACCTTCAGCCCCTGCCCATAACTCCTCACTGCTCGCTGCAGTCGGCATTCCCTGTCTCGCACGTCGAATCTCTAAATTGTTTGGGTGCGGCTGTCTCAAGGGGTCCTTACACACATCCACACACCACACGGCGCCCGTTTCATCATGAGTGTAAGTATCATTCCCCGCTGCCACGAGCAGATGCGCCTTCCCCTCTCCTCTCACCCTTGCTTCTGCACCGCCCGCTTGTCGATCTCCTACCATGTCGAAGCTGACAGAAATGAACGAGCAGTACGGCAACAGCGGTTACAACCAGATCGACCACGGCGCGAACCCGTACGATCAGCGCAACGATGGCGCTCAAGGTGGTCGCTACAACAACTACTCCCAGGGCCAATACGATGACCGTATGTATCAATTGCATCCTTTTCGCCGTGACCAGGCTGCTGACTACCCCTAGCTGGGCTAGAGATGCAGAACTACGGTGACCAGCCTGCCCGCAGCGCAGACCCCAATGCTATCCTCAACGAGTGCCGCGAAGTCGACCGCGCCCTCGACGACCTCGACGGCCAGCTCGCCAACCTGGAGCGCGTGTTCAGACAGGTGCTGGCTCGCCCAGACATGCCCTCTGGCGAGATCAACAACCTCAGCACACAGATTATGACAGGCTACCGCGGGCTCGTTTCGCGCGTCAAGAATATCAAGAGCAAGCCCGAGTCTGGCAGCCCCAGGAACGCGCCACAGGTTGGAAAGGTCGACCGCAGGCTGAAGGCCACCATCAACAAGTACCAGACCCTCGAGGCCGACTTCAGGCGAGACTCGCAGGCCGCTGCTGAGCGCCAGTACCGCATTGTGCGCCCCGATGCGACCGAGGAGGAGGTCAGGGAAGCTGTTGCAGACCCCGATGCGCCCATCTTCCAGCAAGCTGTAAGTTCCGAATCACCTGTTTTTTAGCTACCTTTCTGACATCCCATGCAGCTGCTTAACTCCGACCGTCGCGGCCAAGCTTCGTCCACCCTCCGCAACGTCAAGGAGCGTCACGAAGCCATCCAGAACATCGAGCGCCAGATGGTCGAGCTCGCCCAGCTGTTCCAGGACCTTGATCAGATCGTGCAGCAGCAGGAGCCTCTCGTCGCCAACATCGAGCAGAAGGGCGAGGAGATCCACGACAACGTCGTTCAGGCCAACAACGAGATCGGTGGCGCAATTGTGAAGGCCCGCAGCAGGAACCGCAAGAAGTGGTGGTGCCTGCTCGTCGTTCTGCTCATCATCATCGTTGTTGTCGTTATTGCCGTTGTTGTCACACAGGTCAACAAGGCTGCCACCGGCACCTAAATGCTCGCACCCTGATCATCGTCTTTGCAGCTCCTACGTTCGACTCGAGCGTCTCCCAGCTCGAATCGTGCCGTTGCCGTATCCACCACCCACCACACCGCACGCCCTCGTATCCCTCTTAGTATTTCAGAAGGCCGGCCAAGATACGTTGTATAATACCTCGATTCCCGGTGGATATGTCATACTCTCTTGTATCTTTGTCAGATTTCCTTAACTTCATTTCTGCGACGGAACGTTGGATTACCACCAGTTTGTCTCGTTTGTTTGTTTCCGGGCGCTCTTTGGCGCTCTTTATTGCACCGGCATGAGCGGAGTGCCGCCACTTTTGGCGCGTGGGCGCATGTGTAGTGTCCGGAGAGAGGGCAAAAGTAGAAGAAAATGTCGATATAACTGCCTTCTGAGCCATGTGTGTGAAGTCTGCATGCTGATGGTGTGAAATGTGACTGCGCGCATATACGTTCGTGTCGGGTGGACCAAAGTACTTGACCCAAGCTAGGAGTTGGCTGCCACCAACACCATGTCTCTAGCCTCTCCTCAGCAACCCACATCTGCGAATCGTACGGGTCTCGAACCAGCTGGGTTCTTTGCAAGAGGATCTTGCATACTTGACTTCACAGCGACCAGATTGAAGGCGTAGTAGACACTGATGCAGTTGTTCTTCGTATACAGCTAATCAACACTCAGCTCGCGCTGATATTCTACTCTAATGCTCGTCTCTCCTACCCTTCTCGAACCCGCTGATACCCCGCATCCTCTCTCCCCCCTCTACCTCTATTGAAATACCCTCCCGCGGGCGACCCGTCCCTCCCCCGCTCCACAAGCGGCTGTCGACTATCACTCGCCCGCAGCATATCCTCCACATCCAACGGCGTCCCCGGAATCGACACATCGACCATATCGCGCTCCCCCTCCGCTTCCCCCTCCATCGGCCGCCGATACCCCTTCGCATAGCTATGCCCCCCATCGCTCTCCTCATCCAGCCGCGTGCGACTGCTCGCGCGGCTGCCCGCCAGCGACCCCGCCTTGCCCGCGGGACTCGCGAACGCGCCGCCGCCCACGAAGGTCGAGAGCGTGCTGGGCGTGCCCGGCCGCGAGATCAGGTCGTCGGGCCGGCCGTACAGTTCGCCGTCGCCGCCAAAGGCCTCGCGGAACTCAGCGCGTCGCTTGAAGTGCGCGAAGTCTAGGTCGGCTTCGTCGATGACTTCTACGGCGGGCAGGGCGGGGGCGTCGGGGCCCAGATCCGCCATGTATACGTCGCCATAGGCGAGGGAGGAGGGGTTTGCGCGGTCGGTGGAATGGCGGTGGGGCGCGTTGAAGAGGGGGGAGTCGCGGGCGCTGTAGATTTCCTTGAGGAGGTGTTGGGATTTGGCGTGGACCATTGGGGTGATTAGTTTTTTGTAGATAGCCGGGTTGCCGAAGCGGACGGCGACTTTGTCGCTCTTGCGGGCCTTTGGGTGGTTGGCGTTGTTGGCGGGTTCCATGTCGGAGACGGGGAGGGTCGAGTAGTAGATCAGCTTGTCGTCAAAGGACTTTTTGCAGTACCATTTGAAGCCGAAGAGGAAGAACGGGAGGGGTACCATGGCGTAGAGAAATTTGCCCATGACGAAGACGTTTTGATTGCCGACGCCTTTGGCGCCGACGACCAGGGCGATGACGGCGTTGCCGAAGAAGATGGCGAAGAGCAGGCGGTTGACGAGAAGGCGCCAGAAGCGGCCCCCGGATTCGGTCTTGGTGATGAAGACGTACTGTAGGAGGTATTTCTTGAAGATGCAGTCCATGCCGACGTAGAAAGCAGTAACCGGGAAGATGATAGGCTGTAGTGATCCCATGCAGAGACCGACCGTGGTAACGAACAGATAGTTGTTGTAGTACTCTGCATAGGGGAATGGCTGGGGAGCACTGAGTTCGATCAGTTCGCGCGGTGTGGGAGAAAAGAAGGTGCGCTGAATCCAGGACCAAGCAAACGTCCAGGCTTGCGACAGATCGATTGCAGCACCCAAGTTCCTTTGCATCTGCCATGTAAGCCAGAAAGTGGAGACGTTGCACAATCCAGTCACGAGCTGTGTGAATGGCTGCCCGCTCTTCATGGCTTCCCAGACGCCTTGATTCTGGGCCCCAATGACAGCTGCCACGAAGCGCCATACAGAGCCAAAGACCGAGAAGACAACAAGGTTGTTGAACACGTAGAACGCATAGAGACGCGATGCAACGTGACGCTCTCGAGACGTCTTCGAAACATCGCCTGAGTGAGTGAACAATCGACGGAAGATGACTGGGATGCCCATGTACATCAGAGTCTGCACCAGAGGAGCTAGAATACCCTGTGCAATAGCCCATCCAGTTGGGTGAGCATTCAGATTGGTTTGGAAGTCCTTCCAGACAAGACCAAGATTCGCGAAGTTGGAGAGGAATGCCGAAGTCAAGATATTAGGAACAATGAAAGCGACTGTCAGGAGTACCATCCACAGACCGTCCCAAAAAGCTCTTGCGCGGCGCATCCTCCGACTCATTGAGAGATTTTGCCAAAGTAGATCGTGCGGCTTGGGTGCGAGGTAGACGTCACAACCTTTGGGTCCCTTCTTCTTTGTGGCGTATGCAACGGCATGCGCATCCTCGATACGAGCATATGATGCGAAACCGTAGGACATGGGATTCCGCATGTCCACACTTTCTCGGACGTCCTTGATGGAAGCCTCGAGTCTTGTAATGCGGTCTGTGAGGTAGTCGATCGCGTCAACTTTCCCCTTTCCATGGGTTGATGCGTCGTCCTTCTTGGCTTTGCAAGTGGGTCGTTTCGCAGGGAGCTGGTTTGGATTGCTGAGGTACTTCGCGAGGTGTTGTTCGAGTTCGCGTACGGCCTCGTCGTGTTGTTCGATGAGCTCAGGCAGATCCTTGACATTGCGGCCAACCACTGCTCTAGGAACTCCGTCTGTCTGTTTGCCCGATTCGACCAGTTCAACGATTCCGGCGTCAGTCCGCGAAGATGGAGGAATGTGGGTGAGCTTGAAGACAATTAGACATGTGTTCATCTTGATGGGCAACGCGACTCACCAATAATGTCCGTGAGTGCAGACTGGCCTGGTACTCCTTGCTCTCGAAGTATGCACGTCTGAGCCTAAACACCGCCCGGTAATTCCACCAAATGAAGCCGCAGACGGTCGCTTGGAAAAGGTACGCTACGAAGACGAACGCCCAGAACTTGTTACCACCGTAGATGTACTGTGGCGTAAATTTTGTGAGCGTCGCAACGTCGCTATATTTCGACCCCCCGATGAAGTTGATGGGTATCAGAATGCTGCAAGCAATGACGCTGAGTACGACAAAAATGTTTCGAATCATGCGCAGAAACCTAAGGAAAAGAACGGCGTCCAAGCCGATCTTGTCCACGAGGTCTTGCTCCTTCGCCTTTGTGACAGCCTTGATCCAATCGAATGGACCATTGTCCAGCGGAAGCGGTCGGTGCTTCTCATCGGCATGTTTCGCTCGTGGTGCGTAGACGCGGTTGTTTCGTGGGCGCAGGAAGCAGAAGACGAGGAAGAGGAGACCCGTAACAACGAAAGAGTAGACAATAGCGGCGTATATGGAGCTCTGCTGGATCTATGCGCACGGGGTTAGTACTCGTACAAGGCATTGAGGAAGCTGCTATCAACGCACTGAGGTCGAGAATGGATCCGCAATCAGATCCAGAAACTCGTCTCCAGAGCTGGGCTGGTTCTGCCGTGTGGATAGGTCCATGGTTGTGTGAGGGTGCGGTGAAACCGCTGTACAGGAGTGAACGACAGGCAAAGAAAAAATTATGCACGATGCTTAGATTACGGGTAGTTTTGCTAGAACGACAGAATGCATGAGAGGAAAACGAGAGGTTCAAAGTGCCACAAGGATCCGAGATCGCGAGCCCCTCTAAGGTACGCGCAATACCGCCGGGATGACATCTCCAGGGTGCTTTGTTGAATCCGTTCTCGAACACGACCCGACGATCGCCGCTAGCTACGTCACCTGTGGGTTTGGTGCGAGAGGCAGCAGTCCCTAGCAATCGATAAAGGGCTTGTGTGGTAGCGCTTGACCATGTGGAGGACTAGAGATGAAGTTCGCAGCTAACGGCAGCCAAATATAGAGTTCTGACCGAATCGCGAAAAAGCTTGTCATAAACGTTGGATCAGGGTCTGCTGGACGCGGCCTTTTCTCGATCATGCCACCAATCACCGCACGAGCCTGTTCGTACATTTACTCTTTCTTCTGCAGTTGAACAGGACTGGATCAATCGATGCAAGGGGAGCAAATCAACAGGGACGTAGCAGCCAATCCAGGACCGAAGCTGACGTCACGCATCTCGATGCGCCAAGTACAATCGAGTGTGGAGTCTTGCATGGAAAACTGGGGATGGGCTCGACGCGCAGATCGTCCTGCGGAGTGTCGCGTGTGCAGCGCGGTCTGGCTTACTGTTCGTGGGGCTGGACGATTTGATGGGCATCATCATGACTTGATAATTTCACGCAGGGCCGTTATGTATGGACATTTCCAAGTACTGAAATGCGATACGCGTTTTCATGTCGCTAATTGCAGACATATCGATATGTAGGTTGAGTAATCCCAAGACGCCAGTTTTGCACATTGACGATGGTAACCTTGGACCCGTCAGAAGTGTGCTCGAAGCACAGATCGTTCTCGTCATTCATACACTGCATCGCTCATCGTAACGGCATCTGCTGTGAAGGGCCACCAAGCCTTGTCCGTCATCATAATTTGACGCCCCAGACACCTCTTCCTCCAGCGACACCCACCCAATCGCCACCCTGCCCAGTCAGGGCACTTTGAGGTGCCCAGCTGATGTTGCCAACCTCGTAGTCACATCGCCAGCTGGCGTATGGACCCTTTTGTCCCACGGGGACATTTTGGGCCCCTGTACCATTGGCCGGTTGTGGCGCAACAACGGGTTGCGGGGGAGCAGCGTGCTCGCTGCTGATTGCAGCGCCGGTGTTCGCGTGCAAGAGGTCCCACACAAGCACGAGAGAGTCGTCGCCACCAGAAGCGAGCATGCCTCTCCTTGATGGGTTCCACTCAATGCTGTTCAACGCCGCAGAGTGGCCGCGCAGCTCAAGGAGCGCCTGCCCCGGTTGGCGTACATCGAGAATGCGGACAACGTTCGAGTCTTGAGCAAAGGTGGCGAGGAGGTGCGAGTCGTGTGGTGAAGCAGCGAGGCGGAGAAGGGGAGGCGCATAGGACATGGTCTGCTGAGCTTTTGTTGGGGACATGCGGCCGGTTGGGGAGCCTGCTGCATCAGTCAGTAAGTTGTTCGGGTCTCACAAGATCTTGGCCGACCTTTGTCTTTGTCGTTGTTCTTATCGGACGGCTCATAGATGATGGTACTGTGCTCCAGACTTCGAAGGTCAAACATGCGGACACTGCCGTCAGCGCCACAGCTCACAAACACGTCTACGCTTCCTGCGCAGAAACGGACATCGAACACCTCTTTGTCGTGTGCAATCAGCTGCGTCTTCGCAGTAAGGGTTGGGATGTCCCATATCGTGCAGGTCGTGTCTATGCTGGAGGTGATGATGAGCTTGGGCGACATGGTGTTCCAGTCGAGAGACGTCAGGGGTGCGGTGTGCTCGGGTGTCTTCGAGTTGGACAGCAGAGCAAGCGGCGTGAGCTTAGGCAGCTGAGGCTCTCTGGTGTTCACCGATGACGTCCGTGAGATGGTGTTGCTGAGGTTGTTGCCGGATGGCTGGGGAAGCGACCACAGGCGCAAGTGGTCGCCCGAGGTCGCCAGAAGGTCAGTCGACTGCTTTTGCGACGACGGAGGCTCCCACAGGATGCGGGTGACGGGGAAGGAGCAGGTTGCCTCGGCGATGGCACTGTACTCGAGGCCAAAGGGCGCAGCGCCCGGGGCGGCGTCGTGCTGCGGGGTGATGTGGGTGTCGAGGATGCGGATGAAGTTGTGGTTGTCTTCGATGTAGCTGCCGACGGCCATCTTGCCGGCGCTGTTGCCGCCGGGGACGTTCCACTTGCACCAGTCGTAGGCGTAGATGCTCCACGGGGCCAGGTAGCTGCTGTTGGTGGCCGTCTTGTTCTGCTCGGCGACGAAGGCGTTGGACGCGCCCAGGCCGCCCTCGGGATCCATGCTCGAGTTTGCGCGCGGGCGGATGTCAGCCAGGCCCAGCGGCGCCTGCGCGGCACCGGCGGCGGGGGTCGCGGGATAGTACTTCTGCGAGGGCGTGGTCGCGGCGTACTTGGACTGCTCAGGGGTGTTCGAGAACGGGATGTACTTCTGGTCGGGGCCCATGCCGGCGGGGCTCGAGCGCGAGTAGGTGTGGGCGGAGGCGGGCTGCGACTGGATGGTGTTGGAGCGCGTGGGCAGCGTGTACGAGTTGGCGTTGCTGGCGATGTTCTGCGTCGGCACCGAGGGCGCCGTGTTCGCGGACGCTGGGCCGGGGCGCTGCGCGGGCTGGAGGCTGCCCGGCAGGGACGGCAGAGATGCGGGCGTGCTGTAGTGGGCGCCCTGGGGCGTGGCCTGCTGGAGGCCGACGTTGGGCGCCGGGCCGCCGTACATCTGCGACTGCGACTGCGACTGCGACGGCGGCGGCTGCTGCTGCTGCTGCTGCTGCTGGGCGGCGGGCGGTGCGGCGTGCTGCTCGTCGGGCGCGGCCGAGCCGGGGGCAGCAAATGCGTCAGTACCGGCGCTCGTCGTGCCTGCGGTGGCCACTCTGCCTGTGTCAGCGGGCGCCGGCGCTGCGCTGGTCGTCGCGCGCGTACCTGAGATTGCCGTGGGGCGACCCGATCGAGCCCAATTGCGCCGCCTGGCCCAGGCCGGCCGCGAGCGTGAACTGCTGCTGCTGCTGGTTGCTGTGGTGGAACGGCATCGCGCCGCGAGAGAACAGCACTGGGCTGCTGGGGAGAGTGGTCGTCGGACTCGCACCTGCCAGAGGGCTGCGCGGTTCAGGCGCTCTCGGTCCACCCGTGCGTGAAACCCCACCACAGCCTCCCCGGACCCATGACATGCTCTCAAGTTTCAGAAGAAACGGCGGATAACACCCTAAGCTTACCAACTCTACAGAATACTTAACTTGAAGCTATCATAATACCTAAAGCTAGAATTCAGTTAAGAGTTACCTATATTGTAGGTAAAAAAAGTCTTATATAGAGTTCTTTAGTATTTCCCCTACTTTACTGTTGTGTGGTGTAGGTACTCGGCTTATGTTCTCAGCTCGCCGTTTATTCTGCAACGTGAGAGACATGGTAGCTCCCGCCCGCGCAGCCCGCAGCAGCACAGCTCCAGTCCCAGCTCCAGTCATCAGCTGCTCGCCGCCGCCGTGACCATCGCATGCGCCTGTCTGCAGCACACTGCCGCCGCCCTGCTGCTGCTTCGCCTGTCGTGCCCCGCGTGCTCCTGGCGCGACGTCTGGCCGCCATGCCGCCTCTGTACCAACGCCCGCACCGCGCCCTGCTGCTGCTGCCGCCTGCCCCGACGCCCGCCACCTATGCGTCGCTGAAGGCTGCATACAGCGCGCCCCTCGCCACCGTGCTGCGCGAGCTGCGACGGGCCCGCGAGCCGGCCCTGCTCGAGATTGCCCTGGCCTGTCCGCATCTGTACGGCCGTCTCGAGGAAGCACGCGGACCGCTCTACGACGTCACACAGCAGCTGGTCGCTGATCTCTACAAGCTGATATGCATCGTCGCAGCCAAGGATGCAATTGACACAGAGGACGCTGAGGGCATCGACGCACGCGTCCTACTGGTGGCGCACCCCCGGGACAGCAAGCTCCCAAACGCGCCGCGAGACTCTACGCCCGAGCAAGAGCTGCAGGGCCCGGCGATCGACCTTCAAACACTCGCCAAGAGCGCCAGAGACTGGAACTGTGTATACTCGGTGGAGAGTGAGGAGGGCGAGCGGTTATTGAAGAGTTTCCTGACTTTGGCCAAAAACCACAAAGTGTCCAAGGTCCGGGGCGGCGTGGTGCTCAATGCCAGCACCTCTGTCGAGGCCGCAACCACTCAGTTCGCAGACTCGATGAAGCATCTCTCCGTTGCTGTAGGAGGCACGTTCGATCATCTTCACATTGGCCACAAGCTACTGCTCACCATGTTCGCCTTTGTGCTGGGCCGCCGGCAGCGAACAGAGAGTCCCAGCGTTCTTACGGTTGGAATTACTGGCGACGCTCTCCTCGTGAACAAGAAGTTCGCTGACCAGCTCGAGAGCTGGAAAGCTCGCCAGGAGTCTACACACGACTTCGTACACTCCATCGTCTATTTTGGTCAGCCCGACGATGGCCGTATTCAGATGCAGGAGGTCAACGAGCCAGGGCCCAACGGTCACGCCGTACATGTCAGCTATCCATTTGGCCTGACCATCAAATATGTTGAGATCTCGGATCCCTTCGGGCCTACCATCACCGACAAGGACATCACAGCGCTGGCACTCTCTCTCGAAACCCGAGGCGGAGGCGCTGCCGTCAACGAGAAGCGCAAGGAGCAAGGATGGGATCCACTTGAGGTCTATGAAGTGGCAGTCCTCGACGCCAGCGAAGAAGGCAGCGTGGACGAGACGTTTCAGAGCAAGTTGAGCAGCACAGAGATTCGTCGGAAACGAAGTGAGCTCATCAAGCCGAGAGCGAAGGCGTGATTGCAGACCAGGCATGTGCAAACAAATGACGCATATGCCACGTTGATGTTTGTCCTGTCCGTCAGAGAGGCAGGTCGAGGCAAGGAGTGTGGTTGTTCGGCGTGTGGTAGATTCGATAGCTCACCGGATGCGCAGTGAACTAGGTACATATCCTGTGCAACGCTACACAGCCTCATGTACCTCAGGACCACACGACAGCGTGGACTGGCATATGCAGCTGCTGTAAGTTTCGTGTCAAGGTACGATGGTACCAAGCATGTGGCGTCTCCTGAACTGGCGACAAGCAGCATGCCGGCTTCGGTTTTGCGTCAGAACGCTCGTCGTATGTAATTCAACTTGCGAGCGGCGCTGCAAACTTTTGCTTCTGCGACAAATGTCATCCGGGCGGGACATGGGTTGCGGGACCGGTCATCGGGCGACGACATGGATTATTATATGCAAGCAATCGGTGACAACGCAGTCATCTCCCCATCTCGCGTGCACGGAGACGGAGGGTGCTGCGTGGAGCCGCGTTTAGTAGCGCCGAAAATCTCACAGAGACACGCCGTGCTCCACGCTTCAGCCTTCCAAGGCTGTAGTCGCTATTCGTGGCTATTTGACCATCAGTGTCGTCACCTCGTTGAACGATGCGTTTGATCGACTTCCAAGTGCACGGCAGTGGTATGACCCAATTCAAGCCACATGAGGCCGTCATTGGCATCCGCAAGCGCTGTTGCTGCACGCTTTGTTGGCAACGCATTAGACTCTGATTCGAAGGCCATGGTCGCATATGGTGGGGATCGAAAACGCCTCGAATCATGTTGCCGCAGCCTGATCCACCCCTGGACGGCGTGCAACCGTGTCCAGCGACGAATCGACGTGTTTTCGCTCGCGGGTCCTCCCTTGGATCCGCCTTTCTTCCAGGACGCCCGCATCACTTGTCGGGCACGTGACGCCTTAAGCTGTGTTGAGTATGAGTCGCACTCCGTTATTGGGCAATCATTCTGCCTGCATCGTTAGGGCACGCTTAGATGCGTGTGGGTGCAGGTTTTGTGTCCAGTCGTCCTCTGCGACCTTCAGCAACGCTTAGCTGACCGCTGGAGAGCCTGGAGAGGTCATGCTTCCTTTATTTTCCCGAGTGTGCCCCTCCGGCTGGCCTGCGCCCACAGATTGACAGAGCAGCGTCCTCGGACATCACCACAACACGTAGTCTGCTGAAACGACCTCGGACTCTGCCGCTGCATCCTTACACTACTTTCCGCCACGTCTGCATCTCACGCCGTGCCGGCCCGAGCCTTTTGTTCACGTTCGTTTTGGTATATATCCGCTGCTAGTTTCAGTTCCCGCGCCCGTGCCCTCAAGGAGCTCTTACCTCACATTCCAACATCTGGATGGTCTCTCCACGTCGTCATGGGTATCCTCGATCTTGCCGACGAACTTCTGCGCATCATCCTCGAGCATGTTGCCTCGGAGCCAGAAAAACTCATCAGCTTGGACCGTCGCGCATATCTATCACAGGAGAGCTTTAAACCACCCCCGCCAGTCGAACCAGATCAAGCTCAGACTATCGCAGACTTGAGGCTCACGTGCAGGAAGTTCGCTGATTTGGGAGCCATCCACCAGTTCTCTAGAGTGACGACAAGGTTCTCAAGAAGAGGCCTGAAGCGCTTAGAGAACATCGCAAGTCAGCGACATCTGGCAGCGCGAGTGAAGAAGTTCAGCTACATGGTGCCATTCTTTTATGTAGAAGGTTGTGCCGTTGTTCAACTTCCGGTTTCAACACTGACTTTGCTACAGGGCGAGAACGTGTGCAAGACCTCCTTCCAACGTTGACAGGCGATCTCGGACTCCTGGACGCTAGTCATTTTGTGCAAAAAGTTAAAGAGCAAAAGGATATAGTGCGCACGCGGGAAGACGCCCGCGTTTTGACACTGGCCATATCAGCCTTCACATCCCTTCAACATGTTCAGATACTGAGACTTCAGGATCGAGCGGACGGCATGCTCATGCAATATATCCGGACACATGATGAAGTCAGCCAGATGGTGGAGCTGAAGTGGCCGCCAGCTTGTCTACATTCTACAAAAACCATAGGTGAGGCGCTGATTGCGTCAAAATCACAGTGCTCCAGGTTTTCATCGCCTATGCTTAGCCCGGTAAGCGTTTTGGGCGCTGCAGATAACCCGCCTACCGCTATGAGGCTGCTCGCGCAACGACTTACGTGTCTTGAACTTCACTTTGACGACGGCATAGATCTGGACCAACGGATGAGAGATCTCTCATCACTGTCAAAAGCTGTTTTCACAGCTGCGATAAACTTAGAGGCTGTACATATTGGGTTTCCCTCGCACCGACCGCTCACTTTGCCATTGGAAGAAATTTTCCACAACGTAAAATGGGAGAAGCTGCAAGCTTTTGGTATCCAAGCATGGCGTCTCGATGCTGATGAGATTATCGGTCTTGCCAGAAGACACAAAGACATTTTGCGGGGCTTCAGATTGCGAGATGTGCTGTTGAAGGAAGGCAAGCGGTGGAAGGATGTGCTATCGTTCCTTCAAGAGAGCATGACAAGATTGGAATGGGTCAGTCTTCGGAGGATAGACTATGCGAAACACTTTGACGACGCTTGGATCATGGGCGCCGAGGTACCAGATGACCCGCTTGGAAGCGACAGCAGCGATGAGAGCGATGACTGGGACCCGTACGAGGACGAACTCGACCACGACGAGGACGACCAAGACCAAACATACGTCAGTGACGGCTCGGTAGACGACTCCGATTCGGACGCAGGTACGGACGAACCTGAACAGGGTGGTAACCTGCATTTCCCGCCGCTGTCTCCGGACACACCCGCCTCGGTACCATGGTGCAACTGCAACGGTCACATGGATAGTGTAGAAGTACTGGAAGACGATGGCATACTAGTGACAAACCTGCAGCGGAAGTTCTGGGAGAAGTGGGTTGTCAGAAAAAAGTGCACCGAACAACATGACCACAAATGACAATAGGGCCGGCAAAACTTCTGAAAGGAGAGGTGTGGCTGCATTTTGCTTTTTCGGTTCAAAAGATGCGGAGCGTGCCCCGACGCTGCACAAGAAGTCACGCTCTGAGAAGCGTATGCGGCTTATAGTGCGATGCCTCGCATCCCACCCCTGCAGAAGTGCGTCCCGACCTTCCTTTGTGCCCGGCGCTTATGCGCAGTCACCGACACTTTCACACCACCCCCATCGTATTCGAACTGTCACCAACATCTTTAGGTCCGCGTGTCGTTCACATGTGCTACGAGGTGCGGTCTGGGCCTGAGCATCGCACTCCCTCTGCTCTAGGACCGCTGCGTCTTTACCCGCCAGCACCTCCCCACAAAAAATCGTCTTTTCGAAGCATGTCTCAGGGCAATATATCATCAAACATTACATATTCCACGACCGCAGTCCGACAGCACACAAGGCGCAAAGGGGTCGCAACTGCGTAGCATGCTTTCATTTCCTTACCCTACTAGGGTTCAATCACGAAAATCACGAATGTAACGTAGCGTGGGAGGAAGAACTATTGCTTGTTTTACCATAGACACTCTGCTTCGCAACGGCAATGCACTTGCCTGTTGGCGATAACGCAGAGCTCTTTTTGCGTTCAATCTTACCTAGCATAACAACTCTGCAGTACCTTGAAGCATTGTTCCTCTCTCACCGTCTTTTCCTGTCGTGCTTCTCACTCACGCCTCATTCGCTCACGCCTCATTCGCTCACGGCGTTTGCATATTCACACGTCGCTGTAGCCTGACTGGCACGTGTATATGGACTCGCTGCATGTCTTTCCTCCACCACACTGCATGCCTCTCACACCTCACTCTCGCTTCGACAAGCCATCAACAACCAAGACCAGTCGTCAGTATGCATCACAGCATATCACCGCCATGTCGCTACAAAGCCACGCATCTGAGTGTATCGTACGCACACCACAGCGCTCCAACACCACAGCTAACGATTCCCAGCATCCACAAGTAACTCGCCACATAACGCATCCCCCAAGGACACTCTCATAGTCGTGGAAACCAGACTCGGACTCTACAAGACCCTCGCGCTGTTCAGTGACATGGCGTCCAGTATGGACCTCGAGCACGGTGCCTCGGATGGTGCACTTCATCCTCACTCTCACCACGCGTGCGCGCTCCTGTCGCCAAGATGGCACGGTCGCGCGCTTTGAAGTCCGTCGCGTGTCTGCTCGAACGCGTTGCACTGTTTTCGTGTGCAAGTCAAGACCACCCATTCTCAACCATCCCCCAGCACCGCGCAATTTTGCAACATTTGTCTGCACTACTGCTGTGCTTTTCGATGGTCGTTTCTTCTTTGACTTATTGTACAAAGTTATCTACTCGATATTTCCACGATGAGGTCAAGGGCGAGATGGCAGTCTGCGCAGCCGGGCGTTATGGTGTATATGCCAGCACCTCGCGTCAGTGTTGATGAGACAAGGGACTCGCTGTCGCGGCTGAGTGTCACGGGTGATTTCGATTCAAGCTCAGGTCAGTTATTGCAGTAGCTAACCGCAATCCTCTAACTGTATACTAACTGAAGACAGCTCTACATTCTCAACAGTCGCAAGTCAGCGATACCATCTTACCCTCACTCGAGATTGGGTCGGATGTCCAAGTAAAAGAAGAGCCAGGCAGCTTTGAATCCACAAGATTCGCCTCGCCTGAGACCCTAGTGGATACCGATCGTGGCGAGATCTTCGAGGACGCCGTACCAGTTGTGTACTCACCCGGAAGCTTTTTATCCCAACTTATAGCTGCGGCTGGAAGCGATCTGCTCGAATCTAGTACACCAGATCCCGTATCATCTTCAAGTCGGATCTCAGAAGTTTCTACTGAAGACTACGTCCATGTCGGATATGAATCTGACCGGACTGATTTTCAGGAAGTTACCCCCTGTCCGTCTGTACGTAAGATTGCACACAAACGTGCAACTGTTACTAGAAGGACAAGCCAGCATTTTCAAAGACAGAAATCACAGAGAAAATACCAAGGTGTCGTCCGATCACTAGACTTCGGTGCAAGAAACAAGAAACGACCTACAAAGTCTACCTCGAGAAGCGCAAACATGCAAGCACTCGAAGACCTTCGAGTTCTCGAACGAGCGCCCTCGCATAGTTGGGATCAGGATGAAAGAGAGTTACTTTGTATTCTGAACCGCTGGTATTGCGCGCCAGATCGTACGACAGAACTGGAAATGTTCGCAAAACTTTTCAATTCTATCACGGGCCTTGGGCTTCGACCACACATTATACGCAACCAGTACGAATGTCATCTCCTCTTGGTATAGTCGTCCATTCCTTTCTTTGGGATAACTCCTAACTTTTGATTTAGTACGGAGGACTTTGCTTCCGGGAGTACGGTCGCGTATATGGAGTACCGTTTGACGACCCCGAGGGTCGTTACACAGAGATACGCAACGTTCTTGAAGAAGAGATCAAATCATCCGGACTCGATCTACGCAGGCGGAAGACCGAAGAATTTGTTGCTTCTGGTAAAGCTAAGTACGCAAAGTCTCCTGTGACTAGGAGAATCTACAAGTCCCTAGTTAAGAAAGCGAGACAAGAGGAAAAGGTAGGAGCACACCAAACGTCCGGCAGGGGCCATGCTTCGACCGATTCTCAGTCCTTTGCGACGATAGGCAGGGCTATTCGAGCGCCTACGGATGAAGAGTGGGAAATTATCTCGCATGCGTCAACCAGCCCAGAACCCATTACTGAATACGTCCAGGAAATCACGACGCCAACACCGGTATCAGTGACTGCGAGACCGCATCTGGCATTTCGAGTCTGGGACGCTGCAAATAGGACAAAGTTCATTAACGGAAGATTCGTCGCACAATGCTTTGTAAATTGGCCAAGTCCATTGCCGGCACCTATCGCCTTGGACGATTCCTCAGAGGCTGGCAAAATCTTGACCTTGCTACATTTGAGCAAACAAGGCGCCACTCCAGTTTATATCTCAACTGCTAGCGTAGGTCCCGAAACGATACACTACCTCACTACCCGTTATACTAATGCTTTACAGTCGCTCCTGCAGGCACTATCGTATGCGACAAGCATGCAGCACCCGCGTATTGCCCTTATTGACCTCGACGCTGCCAGCCTCCAGGAAGATCACAAGTTGCATCACGCAGCTGATATATTTCGTTGGCTTAAGTCCCATGGACTTGCGCAATGGGCCCGCTACAAGGGTAAGTCTTGGATGCAGCATTTCCAAACTACACACTAACAACAGCTAGGCTATGGCGAGTACTTTGCGTGGAGCGACATAGCACATGACGCTGTACTGCAGACTTTCGAGCTTGACCAGCTGATCGATAATCTCAACGCAGATGAAGGTTGTCGTGAGCTGTTCAACTTCGACGTGTTTGAGCCAGGAGCAAAGACGAGCACAATTGCGGCATCGCTCCGTGAAAGAAATCTAACACTGAACACGACAACAGCACGGGCCTTGGGTAGAATTGCTAAACTATTCGGCATGGCAAAGGACAACATGAATCTTCATCATCTTGAGGATTTTATCGCACGCCTCTTAGACGGGTGGACGATAGAGCGACCCGCTGCAATTGATATGCACACAATGAGTTCGCTCGCGGCTGTCTTTGCAACAACCCTAGGTACCCATGCTGGCGGCTACACTCTCCAAGATGTCATGGGAGGGTTCATTGGAGGCGTGGATCAGGGTGCACGTTGCATAGCCCACTGGAGTCACAGCCGCAGCGGAGGCCGAAGAAAGCGCTTTCGCGAGGCGTAGGTAGCTTCGTTACGGTGCTCCACCCTCAGGCTTCTTCAAGAAAAAAATCGGCGCATGAAGAAGGAGAGATTTAGAGAGCGAGATGATGTGTAGCGTGGGCGGGCAGAGAATGACAGGGCCAGATTGTTGTGGGACGTCTTTAATCTACAATGTTTCCTATACAGTCTACTCCAACAATCACCACCTCGTTAGAGCTCTTCCAACTACACGCATGATATCGTCCGCTCTCTCAATTGCCACTTCGTGCCCTGCACCCTCGACGACTTCAAATTCCACATTCGCCTTACCCAAGCAATCGGTCACATCTTCTATGACTTCGTCCTTCACAATGATGGGATCTGTCTCTCCCAACACGATGTGTACCTTCTCAAGGCGTCCAATACCTCCACTGATGTTCCTTCCCAGAACCCTCCACCTCTCATGCTCCCCATGCACTGGAGCATAGCGGATAGACGAGATAAAAGCAGGTACAAATCCCCGATTCTGCTCGATCTGCCAGTCAACCACCGCGCCTACAGTACTATACGGATTGCCCGGAAGCAGAGCATGGTGCGAGGAAGCATACACAGCATCGCCCCTGCTCGTCTTCGTCTTCGTCGTCTTCGTCTCAGCATTCTCCACAGCATCAGCCTCGGGCTCAATACTCCTCGCGACCTCTGGACCAGTCCACAACCGCGCCGCCACAAGGCTCTCGATCCAGCGCTCCGGCAGCACGCCAGAGGTGCTGTACAGCACGCGGCTCTTCCAGGTCGTGTGGCTCCGCCGGATTAAGCCGCCGGGGGCGACGAGCACGAGCCCGTGCACCAGGCGCGGGAAGTACGAGGTGAAGTCTGCGGCCAGGGCGCCGCCTAGGGAGTAGCCGATGATGGTGAAGGTGGACCAGTGGAGGGGCGAGGAGAGGAGGCAGATGTGGATTTGGGAGGTGTAGAGCGCGGAGTCGTAGCGGTGGGTGTGGGGGGATGGGCCGGAGGAGTAGCCGCGGCAGAAGAGGTCTGGTGGTTGGTGGTTAGTTGGGGTCTTACTGGTTGTCTACCATGTGCATGAAGCCTTGATGAAGGAGAGGCTCAACACGTCAACTTCAAGAGCAGTCTCGACCGCACGCAACCGCAACATTGTTACTAAGAGAAGTGTTCCTACCAAACAGCATCACACGACAGCCCTTTCCAACCAGTTTGTGCGCCAGATCAGTCAACGCAACACTTGGCGTCGATATGCCATGGATCAGCAATATCCTGTCTCCGTCCTCAGGTCCCCACTCGTAGACACGCACGCTGCCATAAGGAGAGTCCACATCTCGCGCTCCAGGTAGAGCATCTGGTGGGTACGGCAGCGTGTCTAGCTCGTGTGCCGCGAGCCCCGGCAAGGAAGAGTCCTGCGGGGATGGGGATCCAAACTTGTCCGTCCGCAACGAGCTGGACACATGTCGCAGCAGCAGCAGCGCGCCTAGAGCCCCTGCACCCAGAAACAGCGGTGGGGCAGGCAGTCTGAAACGTCCCAATGCAGACGTCATATCTGGGAGTCGTCTCCTGATCACAGCAGAGGGACGTGAGGTTCCCCCAGGTCGCGGGCTGACCAATAGACGGGTTGTGCGGGACAAAAATAAAGACTGTGCTCTCCGGGCGCTGTTGTGAGATGTGCTGATCGCGGCGCTAGCAGCACTCGGGCGATGCAGCACTGGCAGCCCCAACACGGCGCAGCGCATGGGCGAGCGCGTACGCGGGCCCGCCCTCAGTGCGACATTTGGCCGGCGAGCGTGCGGCGAGTCAAATTGCAGACGCGCACGACTTGGGGCGCTACCGCAGCGAGGGCGGGATTCGCGGGAGAGCCAAGGACTGCGGGCTTGGACGATCAACGCACTGCACAGGGTTCGCTGGGCTGCGCTTGGGGCCATCAGCGCCTGCCTGCGCCTCAGCCATGCTCACTGCCCACCGCCCATGCTGAGCACGCTGCGCCCTGAGCATCCCGCCGGCCCTTAACTCGCACACGCCCGCTGGTGCTGCTCTGCTCTCTTTGCTGCACTGCGTCTCTCCGGGCGAGGGCGTGACTTGACTACCATTGACTGCTGCCGCACGTCGTCACCCGCCGCACTTCGTCGCCCGCACGACGTCCTATTCCCAGCAGCGCCCGCGCCGGAAGCGCCGGAGATTTTTGGCGGCGCGTTTGGTCGGATGCTGTAGAACGCCATGGACGAGTGGACATCGAAACAGCTGCCGGAGCGGCTGCCCTTCTCCAAGAAGCGGCTGCCGAAGCGCGTCATCTTCTCGTGCGTCGAATGCGGAAACCGCCATGGGCGAGGGCTGACAAGTGCAGGTACATCATCGACTACCTGATTATCATGTAAGGGCTCCGGCGCTCCTTCCTCCGTCCGCACACGACCGCCTTCCCAGACGGCCAGGCAAGCCGCTCAGCCGCAGCACCCAGCTAACCGCTCCGCAGCGTCCTCATCGGCGTCTTCACCATCATCGACAAGGTCCCGCCCTTCCACCAGCCCTTCTCGCTGCAGAACTACACCCTGCACTACCCCTTCGCCCACAAAGAGCGCGTACCCGTCCCGCTGCTATGTGTGCTTGTCGTCGGCGGCCCCATCGTTATCATCGGCTTCTACACACTCGTCATTGATGGGCTGTTCTCCCACCAGACCCCCATGCCGGCTGGCAGGGTCGGCGTCAAGCGGCTGAGCGGCCGATACCGCTTCAAAGACCGTCTGTGGGAGCTGAATTGTGGCATCCTCGGCCTTGGGCTGAGTGTCGGCGCGGCCTTTACTATCACGGGCGCGCTCAAGAATGCAATTGGAAAGCCGCGCCCGGACCTTATTGATCGGTATGCTGGACACACGGCGGCAGGGAGCTTGAGCTGACGCCACACAGTTGCATGGTTAGAGATGGTGTGAAAGTTGACCCTTTGAGTCTGACGCTCGTAACTATCGATATCTGCACCCAGACCGATAACTACATCTTGCAAGACGGGTTCAAGAGCTTCCCCTCGGGGCACAGCAGTGGTATGTTTGGGTCGCACTGGCTGGTCTGCTGAGCTAATGTGTGGTAGTATCGTTCGCTGGGCTGTTCTACCTTTCCCTCTACCTCGCCGCAAAGCTGCACGTCATGGACGCCAAGGGCGAGGTTTGGAGGTCGTTCATCGTTCTTGTCCCGACACTCGGCGCAGCTCTCATCACCGGTACGCGCATTATGGACGCTCGTCACCATCCTTTCGATGTCCTCTCTGGCGCCCTGCTCGGCATACTCGTGGCGTGGGCTGCGTACCGGCAATACTTCCCCCCAATTTCGGAGACCTGGAAGAAGGGACGTGCCTACCCGATTCGCGCATGGGGCCGTGGCCCAGCTCTCCCACCCGCCCCTCATATCACGATCGATGAAGACGTGCAACCGCTCCGACCAATGGGGAAGCCAATGGGTCCGGTTGACGAAGAGCGCGGAGAAGCAACTGGCATCGCAGTGACAACTGACGGTGAGCAAGGCGTAAACGTCTTCCGCCAACAGATCTCGAACTCGCAGCGCAGACGCCAGGCGGAAGGACCATTTGGAGTAGATCGCAGCGACACACAAGCATCGAGCAATTACCGCTCAGACACGTTGGGCTCGAACTACAGATCCAACACGTTAGACTCTTCGTTATCGACCAAGGTCAACAGATACCAAAATGAGATGCCGACTGCGAATCCGTTCGCAGCGAATGCCGCGCGTCAACGCCGTATGGAGTCATATGACTACTCGTCCTCCGAGGAAGATGAGCCGTATGAGCTCCAGCCAACAGGTGGCGCCTACAACCCAGTCTCGGGACGCTTGACGGACACGGGCTACCACCCCCCGCAAGGAATCTCGCCGAACCCTACACCACCCCCGCCCGTAAACACCTTTGCGCCGCCCCATATGACTACAATGTCACCAACCGGAGACCTGAGTGACGGAAGGGACGTAGGACCGCCCCCACCCCCGCACGCTGTTGGCACAACGCCCCAACAGATATGAGACAGCAGGAAGAGCGGAGGATATGCATTCATCCTTGACTTGATTATACCCCGGGTGCACCGTCTGCTTCCAGGGAAGCGGCAACGGGACATGACGGCTGTAACGACTTGGCACTGGGCTGCTCCATGACAGGCAGAGGAGCACGGCGTTCTTGTAAATTGAATATGGGCGTGGCTGGCACGCGGCTGGCACGTAGCACGTAGCAACGTCGCACCGTGGACGCGGCGCAAGAGAAGATAGTACGATGTATTAAATCATAAGTAATATCTCAAGCTGCTGGTGTCGTAAACAAGTATATGACGAAGTGCTACATGCAGAATTTCCTATCGACTGAGTCTGGTATTTACTTGTTTGCTGGCGTGTGTGTGTGAGATATAGTAGCTCGCGAGCACATGGAACATCTCAAGCTGTGTCTTGCCGCGAGCAGTCTTTCTCGCACATTGCAGTCACTGAATTACCTATATTGCCGCTGGCTAGAAGTGCACGGCAAGACCAATACAGAGTATATACACTGCTCTTCTGTGAACCGTGTACCGATGGTTGCTACCGATCCGCCTGATCTGGTGTATCTGCGGTGTAACTGTAGCTCTACTCTCGCAATTGTGGATGATGGGTGTCACGCTGTGCCCCTTGAGCGTCTGCTATCTTCATCTGCAAGCACACATCAACCAGTCACGCATGATCCACGAGCACTGTACTGAGGTGAGATCTTCATCTATCTACCGTCTACACACACCACAGTCCACGGGTATCACTCGCCAGCGCCGCCAACCAACCACCCCCACACCCCGCCCTCGGGCATCTCCACCCCGCACACCCGCACAACCGCCAGCCCCACGGCGCCCAGCACACTCATCCCGCCCAGAATCTGCACCAGCACGACGCCGCGCCGCCTCACCTCGTCGCCGAACCCGCACAGACCCAGCGGATCCTTTGCGTCGAGCCCGGCGCCGCGGTACCGCTGGCCGCGCGGCGGGTCGTTCGCGTGGCGCACGACTGCCCACTCGGCCCGGGGCGCGCCGTCGGCGGCGGTGATGGTCCCGGCCTTGACCTCCTCGCCGACGCGGTCGAGCAGCCATTTTGCGCGCTCGTTGCGCTGGAGTTCCTCGAAGCGGTCGCGTTCGTTGCGCAGGCTCTTGTGCAGGTCGGTGGCCCATTTGGCGACGCGGATGTCGCTTGCTTGCGGGTTGGTGTTGATGTAGGGGGTGAGGGAGAAGGCGGTGGGGTCGGTGGGGGAGCCGGCGATGGAGGAGAGGAGGGGGGATTGCAGGTTGGAGTAGAAGGGCGAGGTGGTGCGGGGGACGAGGACGCCGGAGGGGGAGGCGGCGGAGAAGACGGAGGATGCTGTGGAGGCTGGGGTGTGTCAGCTTGGATGCTACTTGCTTTGGTGAGTACGGCTTACGATTCATCATAGTGCCAGCCAATCCCACCGATGCTGTGGCGGGGCTGCGTGGCTGCGGCAGACCGTGTCTGATGAACGAGTCTCCTAATAGGGGCGTCCTCCTCCTCCATGCAAGAAACTTCTTTGCCGCTGCATGCCTTAGCCATGCGATCGACTCTGGGTCGAAGACTTGCTCGATGAGACTGGAGAGTTCGGAGGGTACGAGTGGTTGAACGTAGTCGGGAGACATGAGTAAAGATGCATCCATGACGTCGTTATCAGTACCATGGTTTGATGATATCGCATATGGATGCGTCGGAGTAGGGAAAGGGAATTGGTTGGGCTCCTTCGGCTCAACCGTACGAAGGGCTGTAGTCGGGGTTGCCAGTGGATAGACGATGTCCAGACCCTGGACTGCAAGTAATGCATCGTCCAATGGCTTGCCAAATAAGAACGGTCTGACAGATGTAGCCTGAAGACGAGCCAGGATGGATGCCTTGAGTGATATCAATTCTTGGCCGGACAGCGTTTCTGACTTTGCGATGACAGGTATGACATTGGTCAAGGCGGATAGCCGCTGCATGAACTCAACGTCCTTAGTGATCTCTTTGCCTTGAATCTTGTCAGCGATGATAATGTGCCTCTCGTCGACGAACTTACTTGGTGGCAGCAGGTAGAGGATGACGTCCACCAGGATACCGCCATTGCCACTGACAACTCCAATTATCTCTCCATCTTCCATGCTGGTTACGGAGGCTGTTTGCTGAAGCAGGGACTCTAGGTATTCAATCACAACGTTCATGTCCTCCTCATCTGAATTGCCCTCGAGGTAGCCCGGCGTGTCCACGAAACAAATGTTCCTTTCTAGAACGGTGTCGCTGCTGCTCTTCCTTCTCCGCAGTACTCTAGTTTCTTCAACATCGGTCCACCAATGTGGATAGGGCTTGGTGCTAGCATGTAGCTCCGTCAGCCTCAGTGTCGCTCCTTGACCTGTCTGCCGTCGTCGAGGCTTCGGTCTCCGTGGAGACGGTTGCGAGAGCGACTGCGAGGGCGAGAGGGCATCTACATGAACGATGTCTTCGCAGCTCTGTACGATAGATCGAATGAGCGAAGTCTTGCCGATGCCTTTCAAGTAACAAGTCAGTGTCCCTAGCTCACTACAGTGACGCGGCGATCAAAAGAGGGTCTACGTACCAGCTTGGCCTGCAACCATGACCTTCAGCTTGCCCATATTCTTCCCTTTGGTAGTGAACGGGCGCCGTGTCGGCATCTGTATGCTCGGCATCACCAGCTGTGGAAAGCTGCTCGACGCACCCTGCTGGGTGTCGACGTCATCATCCTCCTCGCCGCTCGATGTAATGACCTGGCTTCCGGTGTCATCGAGAAGCGAGCCTTCGTCCGAGAGCTTCAGTGAGTGCAGCGACACTGAGGTTGGAGTGCTGGGTGTGGCTGAGGTGGGCAGTGGCGACAGCATGTCGTTGACGGGCGTGAGCGGCATGGAGGCGGTGCGACTGGAGAGCTTCCTCTTCAGCGTCCGCAGCGGTGAGGCCATGGGGCTCTCTGGCGACTTGGCCGAGTCTGCAGAAGAGCCGTGCGAGGCAGAGCGCGCAGCGTGGCGGCCATGGCTGCCTGCACTGCTGCGTCGTTCCGGCTTGTTGCTGGCGAGGGTGCTCTCCGCGCCAAACGCAGCCTCCAGAGTGTCGGCCAGGCTCTGCACGCCATAGGTGCTGTCCCGCGGCCTCCTTATCGACTGCGTACTCTGCGATGCAGCAAGCGACTGCTCCATCTCCTGCTCGCTCCGCATAAAGAACGTAGTGGGGCCGTTGCTCGACGGGGCAGCGGCGTGATCCATGCTCGACTTGCGGGACCGAGGCTTGATGGGCGCAGGCAGCGCGTCGCTGCCGCCGGGGTGCGGTCGCATGGTGCCAGGACGTTGGGAGTCTGCCGTGGGCGAACAGAACTCTCGTAAGCAGAAGGCGTGCTTGCCCAAGTCTCCGAAAGCTTGCGGAAGCGGGAGCAGCCAGGTAGTGTGATCGCCGTGGTCGCACCGTGTGCACCCCGCCCGCTGAGACCCCGCTGACTAGGGTACAGTAGGACCCTTGGGCTTCGAGATAGAGGATAAAGGCGCCAGACAATCACAAGTCCAACACGTGTCAAAGTATTTTGGAGGCTGCAGAGGTAGGCACTGCCGCAACTCCCGGCGTGACTTGACCTGTGACTTGTGACTTGCGACTTGTGACTTGCTGCTGCGCCGAGCTACAGCGTCGTCAGCCGTACTAGCCAATCACGCGCCAGCATACCACCGTACAGCGTGACGTTATCAGTTACAAGTGCATCGCGCGTCGGCAGACATGGATCAAGCGGGTACAGTATTCTCCTTGTGTCATACTCGTGCTACATGCTTTTGTACCCATCGCGCTCTTCCACCTGTCGTCTGTTTTGGAATGATGCTGTGCAGAAGCAAAGACAAAATGTACGGCCGAGCCCGGAATATACCCACCATTACTCCAGATCCTTTTCCGCCTCCCTAACCCATGCCCCGTCCACATACATTAGGTAACTGAAGAAATGGGCAAAGAAGTCGAAGAAACGCGTGCGCAGCGGTACCGAAAGGGAAATGCAACCATGAACCGACGCGCTATGCAAGGGCTCAAATATCCCACGGAGAGATGCGGACGCCCGACTTTTCCGCATAAGATGGTGACTTTTATACAAGAGCTGAACGAGGTCGGATACAGTACACATAACAGAAGCCGTGAATCGTTATGGAACGGTAAAGGTCGCTAAAGACTCGAAAAATGAGAGGGACACAAAGTGGAAACGAAGCGCAGTGTGTCAAGCTGCTACGCTCAGGACTCCTGAGGCGCGCCACGGCCACGAGCGGCACCACCGCGGCCACGGGGAACGAATCCGCCGCGAGGGCCACCTGGGCCACCTCGACCGCGCTGAGAACCACCGCCACGGGGGAAGGAGCCAGAGTACTGCTGAGGGCGCGTGCGGCGCTCCTCGACCTTGAGCTCGACACCGTCGACAGTGTGGGGGTTAGCAGCAACGGCTGCCTGGTAGCCAGCGGGAGTCTTGAAGTCAACAAAGGCGGCGTTCTGTGGAGAATGTTAGCTTGGGCTTGCCGTTACAGCGTCGTGTTCACTGACCTTGCCACGGCTGAGATCGAGGAACTCAATCTCGCCAAACTTGGTAAGAGCGGCCCTCAGGGAGCCCTCCTGGACCTGGCTGTACACGTTCTTAATGTATGCACGCTTCTGATCGGCCTCGGCAGCGGGTGCCTGGTTCTGTGCGCGGGACTGCTCCTTCTTGTGACCAGTGACTGACTGCCATCCAGCCGTCTCGCCCTGGCTTGTGGTGGGGGACTGCTCGCGAGCGGCAGCAGGAGTCTGGGCCGAAGCGCCGCTGGCGGATTGCGCGGGGGCTGCAGCCTTGGCCTCCTTAGGAGCCTGCTGGGCAGCGGGTGCGGTGAGTACAGGAGTAGCGACCTTGTGGGCAGAGGCAGCGAGGCTGGCCCAAGTGCGAGGAGCAGCGAGCTTCGGGGGACCAGCGGGCATGGCAACAGGAGCAGCGGACTTAGCAGCGGGGGCGGGTGTAGGGGCGGGTTCCTTGGGCTTCTCCTCCTCAACAATCTGCTCAGCGGGAGCTTCAGCCTCCTTGGGAGCCTCCTCGGGGGCGGCCGCCGCGACTTCCTCGACCTCTGGGGCCTTCTCGGCCTCGGCAGCCACCTCAGTAGGGCCGGTAGCAGTAGTCTCCTCTGCAGGAGCTTCCTCCTGTGCGACCTCCTCGAGCTTCTCATCGACCTTGGTCAAGTCTTCCTCGCTGCTGGCAACCTCGCCCTGGGGGGCCTCGGGCTCCACAGAAGCGGTGGCAGTGGAAGCAGGCTCCTCAACGCCGTTCGCAGCAGGCTCCTGAGCCTCCTCCTCCTCCTCCGGCTCCTCAGCGAGGTAGCGGAAGATGTCGTTCAGGACAAAGTAACCGTTGGTCTGCTCGGCGAGGACGAAGGTCTGGACGAAGCGCTTGTGGGGCTGGCCCTTGTTGGAGATCTCGCCAACAACCTGGATAACGATGTTGGCGTCAGAGCCCTGGGAGTCGACATTGGTGACGCGGACTTTGGTGTCCTTAAAGTCGAGCTCCTTGATGCGCTCGATGATGGGCTGGTTAGCTGTTAGCTTTGCGCCAATCGCGAACACTGCGCGGACAGTCCAAACGCACCTTCTGGCCAACGCAGACATTGACCTTCTCCTCTTCAACACCAGAGACAAACTGCGAGCGCTTGTTGTAGAAGAGCTGTGGGCGTGTTAACTAATGCTGCAGGTCTCCGGGAACGCATGCACGTACGAAGAGACGGTCTGGGCTCTTGCTCAGAGTGGTGTAGTACTGCTCGACAAAGTACCAGCCGACCTCGTCCTTGGGGATTTCCGAAGCAGCGGCCTGTTGTGCGGGCTGGCCTTCGCTGTTTTGCACATAGTCGCCATTAGTAGGCGCGGATGACTCGGTTGCTGCCATGTTGATAGTGTGTGCTCAGAGCTAAGACTAGTGTTGGTGGCGGATGTTCGAATTGGAGGCGCAGGAAGCTGTGTGCTTGTTCGAGCTTGGAGAGCAAAGTCAGAGGCTGCCGTGAAAGTGATGTGCGGCTGCTTGCACCTACCTGGCCAGGTGAAGATGACGGAAGGAAAATCGGGGTGCGTAAAAGTTGCAGTCTGAGGCGAGCTGTGAAATCAGCGGCTGCGCAAGTCGATGCAGTGATGCGGTAGCTCCTGCGGACTGATGGACGGTGGTGCGGAGCTGTTGTGCGCGTGAGGGTGGAAAAAGCCCAGAGCGGGACTGAGGCTCGAGCGCTCAATTCGCTTTCGCCTCGGTGGCCAAGCAACGACCCAACCGCTTCGCTGCAGCGCGTGCCAGTCACTGCCTTCAATATTCCACAGTGAGCGCGAATTCTCCACCTGCACTCTGAACATCATTCTCTCGTGATCACATGTGTGAGCGTCTGCAATCTACGTGCGTGGTCGAGCGGCCAGTCTCCATGTATTTGACGCACTGACGAGCTCCATGGTAAGCGCAAGCTCAGAGCCTCAGGCTGCGAATGTGTCGCCAATGTGCCCCCACTTGCCTCAATGGTGCCCCCACCTGCCTCACTCGTGCCAGAGACATGAGCTGGGAAACGTAGGTACACGACTTCCAGTGCTTACACGCCCTGTCCTGATGCTGTCACTGGCCACTGTGACGACTGCAAGCTGGGAGTTAGCAAAGCACTTTGCTGGTACAGCTGTATGTCGATATCGTCACCATTTCCGTTGCTCAGAGCAGGCCTGGAGAATACGACAGCACGACAGATGTATGTACTCAAGCACTTGCCTGTTTACCACACGGTTCTTATATGCACTGCTACAAAGAGGTTCGATCTAAACAGCAGACACCACTGGATATGCCCACGCAGTGATGAGGACCCTCTGGCTGCTCTGGTTCGGTTGTTTGCTGGGTGCTGGTACATCTTCCAGGACGAGCCTCTCGTCAAGGTGGTACATCAAACTGAACAAAATATTCTTAGCTCGATCCTCTCTGTGACTAGTCGTAGGGTGCAACAGATCGCGAGACGTGACGAGTCGCGAAGTTGCGATCTCCGATAGAGCGCTCGGACATCGACGGTGACCGTCTCAAGTCCGACTTCTCCGTTCTTGGGTCCAGCACCTTATTGCCGAAAAGCTTTTACAAGCTAATTTCTCTAACCCAATTGTGTTTGAGAACCAGCGGAAACTGCAACAAGGCTGACGTGCAGTGACGTTGTACGAACTGTGCTTTGGTTTGGCGGCTCGCTCGCCCTCATGAAAGACCGAGCATCTCGAGCATTGTTGCCCAACATGGCAACGAAGAACGCCACAAAATGGATTTACCGCATTGATCAGCCCTAATCCCGTGCTGCCTATTCTGTGAAACAACCTATATAACGATCCATTACGGAAAGTTCGTTCCATCAGGACTGACGGTCACCAGTGAGAGCGGTAAAGGCGACACACTTACTGCAACTCCAGCCTAAATAACACCCAAAGGTAGCCGAGATGTCGCAAGGCACGAGTCTAGTAAACTCGGTCGATGACCTACAGAAGCAAGCCCAGCCACAGCCCGATATTGAGCGACCACCTGTCGAACTGGACGAAAAGACGACAGACACACCACCATCAGGTCCTCCCACAGTCAGCCCATTCCACCCAAGTCAATTTCCCGACGGCGGCAAAGATGCGTGGCTGTGTCTTCTTGGAGGATTCTGCTGCCTCTTCTGCTCCTTCGGCTGGATCAACTGCCTTGGAGTCTTCCAAAACTACTATTCGACCCACCAGCTACGAGACTCTACGCCCTCCTCCATCGCCTGGATCGCCAGTCTTGAGATCTTCATGATGTTCTTCCCTGGTCCTATTGTTGGCTGGGCATTCGACAACTACGGCCCCAAATACCTTCTCATCTTCGGTACCTTCTTCCACGTCTTTGGCCTGATGATGACATCGCTCTGCACAGAATACTACCAGATCATCCTCGCCCAGGCCATCTGTAGCCCACTGGGTTTAAACTGCATCTTCAACGCCGCAACAAGTACAATCCCTACATGGTTCCTCAAGAAGCGCGGCACAGCCTACGGCATCATGGCCGCCGGCAGCGGACTCGGGGGCATCATCATTCCCATCATGGCCTCGCACCTGATCCCGCGTATTGGCTTTGGGTGGACGATGCGCTCAATTGCCTTCATGCTGCTAGGTCTGCTCATCATCGCCATTCTGACCATCACATCGCGTCTCCCACCACGCCCACGCCCGCTGCGCTTCAATGTCTTCATGGAACCCTTCGCCGACATGCGTTTCGTACTACTCACAGCATCTTCGTTCCTGTTCTTCATGGGGCTGTTCATCCCGATCAATTTCATCGAAACCCAAGCCATCGCCGATGGCATGAGCGATAGGCTCGCCGGTTATCTTCTCGCTGTGCTCAACGCGGCGAGTATCTTCGGCCGTATCATCCCGGGTCTAGTGGCCGACAAGTTTGGAGCGTTCAATATGCAATCAGTCTGCTGTCTGTGTGCAGGCATCATCGTTCTTGCGTTGGGCCTGCCTGCGTCGGGCAACGCAGCGTACATCACCTTCGCGGCGCTCTACGGATTCGCATCTGGCGCATATGTATCACTCCTCCCCTCGCAGTTGGCACGTATCTCTGAAGTACATCAGCTTGGTGTCAGACTTGGTGTCACGTTTGTAAGTTCACTCTACTCCGTCTCTTTTTCGGCTTGCTAACGATTGCTAGGCTTGTGTATCGTTCGCGGGTCTCGTCGGAAACCCAATTGCAGGTGCGATCGTGACGAAAAACAAAGGCAAATACTGGGGCTTGAACGTCTTTTCTGGCGTACTGCTCTTGGCGGGTGCGAGTATGTTTGCATTCACAAGAATGTACATTGCGAAATGGAAGATCGCTGCGAAGGTTTAAAAACCGATACGCAGGGTATATACGTGCCACAGTGTTGTACAAAAATATAGACAAAATAGATGTCGGCGAAATACAATCGTCATTCCCCTCTCATGATGATGGATACACTGGACACAAGATGTGACGCGAAGTCGGTACCAGTATTTGGTCTGAGAAAAAGTAATTGGGAAGTTCCTAGATGGTATCGTGCCACAACCTCTATGAACTGCACAATACTGTAGTCTTTCAAGTACGTCTTATTTGATCAAGCTCACATAAATACACATCGAAGGTGTCCACAAAAGGTGGACATGGTAGACTTGCAGACCATCCTCCTCCAACAAGTGCTTGACATGATTTTCATGCATGTGACAAGAAGCAAGTCAAAGGGCGTAAGCTTAAGCGCGTGAGCTTGCAGAGTCAGTACCCTCTACCAACCCAGGGCGAAGATCAGTCTCATGTGGAAGGCAAAGTGGGGCTACAGATACTGCCCAGTCACCAATGAAAGCACGACTCAGAGTCGCAGGATCGAACACCCCAACCTGAGACACACGCGAAAAGAACTGCAGGTCTAACCTCTTCGACCCCGGGAACCCGAACTGTCATTGCCTCCGATGAAAGTGGTGCTGTTACCCCGCCGATCCGGGCGGATCAAACCACTCCTGTATCAGCGGTGAACGTCACAAAAGAACTTTCAACGTCGGCACAATGAATGCGATCTCTGTTCAAATGTTGAAGTAAAGTGAATTGATATAACGGTAATCTAAAATCAGAAACGACTGCGGTCTCTTCTCGCCAACACGCCTCACTCCTCGCTATGCCACACAACAACTGGTTCACGACCTCGCACCTCGCACTTATTTGGTAGCGTTCAGGACGGAGCCGCTGTTGGCACCAATCTCCAAGATGTTCTCGCCACCGATTGTGTTCTGGATGAAGCGGGAGTTGAACTTGACAATGCTCTTGATGGCGTTGAAGTCAGCGACGCCGATGTCGAGGGGGTCCTTGACGATGAGGAAAGTGACACCCTCGGCGCAGGGAGGTGTGGTCAGCGATCCAGAGTACTGGAGGATGTCGGAGGTGGCGACCTTGTTGATGACGCTGCTGAAGTCAAGACCGTCACCGATGGTGGTCTTGGTTCCGGGGGGTAGCAATGGCCTCGAGGCTGGAGCTGAGGCCAGCAATGAGCGGGTCGCTGTCAGAGGCGGAGACTTGGAACATCAGTGCGATGACGGCAAGCTTGGTGTTGTCGACTGTGTGGGGTTAGCTGGGACATGAGAGTGGTGTGTGGTGATACTTACGGACGCCCTGGTGGACCATGTGGACTTCGAGCGGGTAGAACTCGTCGTTGATGTGGTGCTCAGAGGGAGTGTGCATGTGGAACTGAACGAGACGGAAGTCTGTTCCAGCGAAGGAGGTCGTGCCGTTGACAATGACCTCGATGGTCGTTCCAAGGTTCTCAAACTCCACCGACTGGTCGGGAATGTCCACAACTGGGCGGGCGGAAGCTGCGCCAATGCTGGCATCTGAAGATGATTCGTTAACACAAGCCCGCTTGTGGATGATCACGTTGTTCCGTCTTGTCAAGTTGCCTGGAAGGACATCCGTACCGATGTTGATGGGAGACTGGTTGGTGCCGGTCCTGCAGGCTTCGTTCTCAGGAGCAAGCGAGGCCCAGTTGAACGGACCATTTTCAGGGCCGTAACCGAAGGTGTTGACCTCGACAGTACCATTCTCGCTGCCAGCGGCGCGCTTGAACATCGAGAGGCCGTGAAGGCATGTGGCGGAGGCCGTGGAGGCGAAGAGGAGGGACTTGAAAAGCATGTTGAAGAGACTTGTTGCGATAAGTTGCCGAGAACCAGAAAAGAGTGTGGTAGTTGCGAAAAGATGCTGAAGCTGATGATGATCCGGAATCCAAGGAAGTCCGGGTACCTTATGTAGGTGGCAGGAAGACCCACAGGAAGATGTAGTTGTGGGGAAGAAGTGCCGACGATCAACGCCTACAGATGATCCGACAAGGAAATAGAGTAGGTGCAGAGACTAGCTTGCCCAGGAGTACGGCCGTGGAATTAGACAAGAAATGCTAAGACAGTACAGAAGTAAGTGTTGTGGTAATAATAAGGCCGGTTAGACTTGGGCTAGAATGTTGCTAAGAAAGATCGCAAGAAAAAGATTGACTGAATAGATTGAATTGGTATGCCATCTGAGTAAGAGACCAAGCCACAAGATATACGCAAGACATAGCCCTACCTTGGAGGCCGATGCTCACCATCTCACCCATGCTGACCAGCCTTCGAGTCCGGAGGCGCTAGCCAAGAAGGACCGACAGAGCCAAGTCATACACCCAAAGTCCCGAGGAGCCAACAAAGGACGCTTTGAGAAGGCGGTATAGGAGGGTGGGTGAGGATCCTAAGGAAGTCGTACGATCCCCCAGAGGAAGGATGCTGCCAAGGTCAACTTGGTGTCGAGAACTTCATCCAGAGAAGATCCTCCCACAGCTAGGTAGCGAACTCCATGTCAAGACTTCTGACAGTTGCTTGGGTGCCCCTGCGTCTCCGACAAGTGGTAGGTTTGTGTAAGCGAATTTGACAGATCGCTGACAGGCGTAGCTTCGGACTGGCGCCAAAGCACAATGCCACAGAGCATCATCGGACTCGCTGATACTGCTCACGATCGCTCACGATAGTAAGAGGGCCAAGCCAACCTAATTATGGACGTTTACTTGCCAGCCAGTTAGTAATCTGTATGATGATGCTGAGTGGGCACAAGCTGTGCAATGTTGGCGCCTATACGTCCAACAGCAGCCTCCCCGGTTCTGAAACTCCACTTGGACCTCCTCAGAGTTGCTTGGCGAGCCCTGAGCTTACGCCCCTTCCAGTGAAGTTCTTGAGGGATTACGACAACACGACAAGCATACGAATCCTTGTCGTGCCAACGATGCCGAGTCCTTTTCTTGCCCGCCAATACAGCACTCGATTGTGTTTCCCCAGACGGTTGCTGCCTGGGGCGTTATTTACCTCCACCTGTTCAGACAGAAGGCTCCTTGAAATCAGCCCACATGTGAAACATGACAGGCGAAGAGATGAACTGCAGGACAAGCCTTCAAGCGAGGCTTCGAAGCTAAGCCTTGCCTGCGTCTCTCGTTGCGCTGGGGTGTCTCGACACTGCAATCTGTGCCTTCGACAGAAGCATTGTGGCAAAGGCGACGGAGAATCCTATGAGCGCCAAGCGGTGAAGACGAGCTGGACCAGGCAGTGCCAAGTGCAGCGCGGGTGAGGCTTGCGGCTTGAAAGCCGCTGTGCAGCAGCCGGCCTCGCACGCGCCCGGCTCGGTGAGTAGACGTAAGTATGGCGACGATAATTTCCCGCAAGCGCAACTGCGCATGCATCATCGTAGAAAGCCGTTGGCGACAACTTTCGAAAGGGGAAGGGGACTGACGATCGCAGTTCACCGCACATTGACCAACTGTCAAGATCTAGCCCCGTTCGATTATGCACTTCCAAGAAGAAACGTGCTTTAGCTGCATCGAGAGTAAGTGCAACGGCGGACCAAAGCTTGGGAATCTGTCCAACACCACGACACTCTCACGATAGATTGCTTGTCAGGGCTGTGCTGGTAATCATGGCGCGATCGCATGCGCGATCGAACCCGGGATCGCTGTCCCAATTTTGATGCTTTGCCGGCACCCAAGCTGCAAGGAATTGGCGCGCAATCTGCTCAACACCACGCCAAGTATTCTGAGGTCTTCTGAATGAAACACGTGAATGGTCACGAAGCTGTGCACTTGGCATTCGGGCTTATATACCTGTCGCTTTCCGCCGTATTGTCGAAACGTCATTCGCCTGCCGGCTCGGTCCTTTACTTGTGTGAGGATGCCCCAGCAGAATGCCCTGAGAGCGCCAGGTCCACGGTACGCGTCGCGCCCAGAAGATGTCAAGAACACCTTACGACCGTTTCAGGAAGGTTGTCTTCTGCATTGAGTTGGTGATTATCTGACATTCTGGACTGCCGGTTTGTTCTACACAAGCCTCCAACGCCGGCCAAGTTATGTGGCTTCACCGTCGACAAGAATTGCTGCAAAAGGGCCGCAAAAGTCCGCGCTGTCTTGTCTCGACTCTGATCGAAACGCACGAAGTCCGTTGCTTGGAAGTACCAAATTACGGTCCATTCATCACACGTGGTCGATATTTTTTCCTATCACGGTTCGGTCTTGTTGTATTCAGGAAGGCCCTATCTTCTCCTCAAAGAACGCGGGAGATCAACAACAGCTGCTCCGAAGCAGCAAATCATTGATCCGTACTTGAGCAGATCTGGGTACTGAGCTTACCAAAACGACGTCGACCACCGTACTAAGCGTACTTGTAGCGGCTATCGACACGTGCGGGACACAGCCTCGTGGCATAGAGCCTTTGGTCCGGTACCTCTCCCCTGCATCGGAGAATACGGGATACCTAGGTATCAACACCAGGGATCCTGTGTTTGCACAGCCAGGAGGTCTCCAGTTTCTCTCAGGCTGGGTATTCTGCCTACTGAGCAAAGTGCCGGTCTCGAGTGAGATGATTCCAAATCTCTTCGCTCATTGATCGTTTCCTTTCCGTCCTCACGATAGCTAGTGTGCACAATCTGTTTAGTGAATAGTCAACACAACGCCGAGCTGCCAAAGACACCGAGTCTGCATGCGGACTGCCTCCTGTTGATCAACTCACGAACCTACGTATGCTCAAGATGTCCTTAAATCCTACGCTAGAGCTGAGCATCGATGACTTGGAGCCTACATGCTCGGCTTAATGAGATATACGACGGCGTGGCACGTATCTGTAACTGTACCTTGCATCTCAGCCTCGGTGTGATAGTACTTGGAGGATCTGCAATGCAGAAATGGCTCGTAGATCTGATTCAGTCGTTGGAAGAAGGTTCGGCTGCTTCGGGGTGCTATTTCGGCATTCTCTTGCCTGTGAAACCTCAACCTCTGCTTAGCGGTGCTGGTGTAACACGCTCGTGCTACTGTGATCCGTGACAAATGACGACCACAGGTGCTGACAGCGACGCGTCGCTTCTCAAAGCAAACGTGCCTGCATCTGCGCTAGTCAGTACAGTGACGGATCGAGTTCATCGATGACGGTCGAACCTGGTATATATCGCTCGTTACACAGTCAGGAGGACGGAACGTCTTACAGTGGCTGTTCTCTCGAACCCTCATTCTCAAGCTTGTGTGTCGGAAGGCCAAACTCGTAACATTGTCATTAACTGTACTGATGTATCTCACTCCGGCACTGTTTCCAGCTCACGTACCCAAGCATCAATATACTCCTGATCCTCTGTCCCACACTCCGACTGCAAGTCCTGCACCCAAGCCTTTGACTTTCTCATTCTTCTTTTCGTCCTCTCGTCCATGTTCTCCCACTCCCCATGCCCCAACCATCAGAAGAACATCCCTTCCTTTTTGCCCTCCGGCGCATTGATCTTCTCGCCTTCATTCTGACCGTAGCCAGTGACTCCAGAGAGAAGGCCACCAACGCCCTTCCCAACACCACCAAGCGTGCTGCCGACGCCGCCAATGACATCGCCTTTTCCAAGCTTGCCCACACCGTCGCCGAGTCCGCCAGTGATACCGCTCACGGCGTTCGAGGCACCTTTACCGACATTTCCGACGATGCCTCCTACAGGTCCTCCGACAGTCTTGCCTACGCCTCCAAGACCATCACCAACCGTAGTTCCCAATCCTTTCCCAGTGCCCTTGACTGTGTTGCCGACGCCTGAAGTGGCGCCAGCAACGGTGCCACGGACATCACCTCTGCTTAATGCACCAGTAGTCTTAGACACTGTGCCCTGTACGCCCTTTGTGGCCGCGCCAGCAGTGTAGTACAGATTATCGGCTGCGCCGGTGGCCGTCTTGCCCACGCCATCAGTCACATGCTTCACGGGCTTGCCTACGCCGCCGGGAAGCCGATCAAGCCCATTGCCTACCATACCTGTGGCCCCATTGATACCAGTGTTGACGCCGGCAGTTGCGGAGTCGGTGACTGTGTTCACAATGCCGGTGGTGGCGCCTACGGTGGTGTTCACGCCGCTCGAAGCAGCGCCAGCGCCGCGAGAGACGATGTTCTTCTTGGGTAATGGAGCAGCTTGGCCTGGAGCCGGGTGAGCACGTATAACGGAGGAGGGGGTTGGCCACGTACCATCGACATTCTTCTTCACCGGGGTAGCCTTCACTGGGGTCGTGGCAGACTTAGTGGCAGAGTTGGCCGCGGATTTGGGTGGATTGGCTGTAGTTTTGGTAGGTGTAGGTCCTGTGCCCACCGGTAATGTGCTGGCGGGCTTGGACGCCCCAGTTGTTGTTGTGGCTGGCTTTGATCCAGCCGCATTCAGCTTTCTTGGGACCCTCTTAACTGGTGTCGTGGTAGAGTCTGTGGCTGTCACCTTCTTAGTGACGGTTGTTCCAGTTGTAGTTGAAGGCTTCGAGGCGTTGCTAACCACAGTCTTTCCTGTGGAGGTAGTGGTAGCTGCGGTCTTCTTCAAGGGCGTGGATGTTGTGGTGGTAGCAGCAGGAGCCTTGCGAACAGGCAGTTTCTTCTGTGTACCTAGCGGTGTCCTCGGCTTAACTACTGGTGTAGTTGTGCTTGCGGCGGCCTTCTTAACAGGGGGAATGGGTGTCGTCTTCGATGCGGCGGATGGTGTAGCTTTAGCTGGGGTCGATACGGTCTTCTTTGCTGCTACGGGTGTACTACCTGCAGTCTTAGCCACACTGTTGACGCTTGCTAGAGAGCCATGTTAGTCGTCATAAAGATGCTTTTGCCCTGTTACATACATTGCAGCGCGCCAGTCTGCTTCTTGAGATCACCAACGATGTCCGTCATTTTGGAGTTTGGGTATACAATGCAGAGATTAGACAAAAACGAGGATTGTTAACAATGGTCTCTGGGAAGATCAACAGTAATATGTGGTTCGCGTTCTGAAGTTACACGCGGTGGAGTTCAAGACATCATAACCCATACGTCATTCTTCGGTTGCATCCCTGTCGTGCAACTCGCGAGGCTGTGGGGAATCTTGTTTTACGACACGGTTGATCGCCTCTGAGCGCCGTTTGCAGGGTCGTTGGGGATTCTGGACCCTGATCTTTTAGGTGAACTCCAAATCGCGCAGACGGAGGCCAATCCGCGAATTCGTTCCTGGTCGTGCCCCGCCTGCAGACCGTCGACTGGCCATTCGCACCGTTGAAGCTAGTCGATAGCATCCTGGCTGCTTGTAGCAGTGTAGTTATAATGCTCACTGCGATTTTGTCTGAGTGAACAAGATACAAAGTATCAAGAGGTAGAAGGGGATGAGAGGCAGCACAGAATTCGCAAACACAGTACATTGCAACGCTCCGGTCAGCAGGGCGGTTATTAACAGTAAAATCTGCATCGCGACCTTGGCAAGTTTAGATGCTCGACGGTTCTCATCATCGGCGTTTTGGAGTTGCGCTTCGACGTCGATGTTATATAGTCGAATGCATGCATCGCGTTGCTCCGCATTCAACGTGAGCCAGACCGCATATTCTTCCGGGCGAAGTGGTGGACAATCTTGTTCGATGGTGTCGTATGGAGACGGTGGCGCGGACTGTGCTCCTGATGAGGAAGACATGTTCGGGAAAACTGCTGCAGTAACCGATTGGACAAAGATGCAACAAATGGTGTGAATGCGTGCTTTTGACGAATCCAATGGTGAGGAAAGGTTAAGAGAGATGGAGCAGTGAAGAAATATAGGTTCAGAAAAATTCAGCAGCTGTCTACCTTTATTGTGGTACTTCCTGCCTCTACCAGGCTACTCGGCAGGGGTAATCCGATCTGATGGCGTCTGGTTGATGTGTGAGTGTCAATTGGAGAGCGGGTTTTCACCCTGAACCATGATTCACATCGAGTCACGCCGCGGAGAATTGATAGATCCATATAGTATTCATACACATGTCTACAAGAAACACAATCCGATGTATCCAATTCTCAAGGGTTCCACTTCAAAGCGGTAGATCTCGTCTAGGGCTCATGCGCGGATGATAGCTTCTAGATGGGTCGTGTCCGCATTCGGGCTCCTGGGTTTACAATGGGTGGTTGCACGCCACCTCGAATTCCAGAACACCATTTGCTTGCTACACAAGAACGTGTCCTCACGCTCCCAATTAATTCTTTATCCAAGTTTGATCTGGCACTGCATGTCCACGTAAGTATGCACCCACTGTCACTTTGGCCAAACTTCATTCTTTATTCAGCTCTGCTTCCAAGCTGCCGAGCAGATCTGGAGTGTTCTCCGATGGCGGGGCAGAGGGCTCTTTCTGAGATGGTATCTCTGAAGTTTCTTGCTCGGGCACAGATACAGACGCTTCCGCAGGTTCACCGGTGGGTACATCTACGCTCGCATGTACAGATTCTGTCTCTGTAGAAGGGACAGGAGCTGGGACAGGCTCTGAAGCCGCTAACTCTGGTATAATTGGCTCCATCGTCGTTGCTGAGGTGGCCAGCTCACTTGTCGAGTTTTGCCTGCTGTGGTTGGCCGTAGATAGCGGAAGGCCTGGTGAGCTGGATCGTTCTCGAATGGCAGTCGACACTACAGGCTCGGTTACGGATGCTGGTACGGGTTGCTCTGTCTCTGGATCTGCCTCTGGTAGGGGCTGTGGACTCTTAGACGGGACATCTGTTGATGTTTCTACGACGGGTGCTGATTCTGTAGGCGCGATGACCTCAGGTGCAGCGACCTCAGGCGTAGCGATCGCAGGTAGAACAATCTCCGGTGTAGCAACGTCAGGTGCATCTGTCATCTCCACTACTGGAGCGCTGATTGGTAGCGCTTTCGAAGGCGTTGCGGGAGTTCCATCCTCTTGATCTTGCTCATCATCTTCCGAACCCTCCTCACCAGACTCGTCTTCCTCTCCAGCCTCGCCCATTGGTGTGTCACGGTCAGACGGCTCCACAGAATTCCCCTCTCTCGACTTCAAATCGCGAATCATAGGCACGTCACCACTGATGGCGGGTGCTGGAGTTCCCTGCCCCTCTGCACCTTCAACAAAATCAACCCTTTTCCTACCTCTCCCTGGACCTGGTCGAGGAATGTGCTTCGTCTTCTTCTTCTTGGGAGGTGGCGGCCTTCTCCGCGGTGGTGTCTGTTGAAGAACGTCGTTTGATACCACTATGCCTTCTGCATTTACGACGCCAACTCCTTCAACGACTGTGCCAGGCGCTGCAATTACAGGCACAACCTCAATTGCTGCGTCTGTAGGCGCGACCTCGCCTTCAACAGCCTGCCCTTCTGGTGCTAGGACTTTGTAAATCGCAACATTGCCTTCAGCGTCGAGTTTCTTGACTTTAGTTTCCCTAAGCGGGGCATGCACCTGACCGCTGATATACTGTGAAGGCAGACCTTTCCGTCTCTTTGCAAGATATTCGGGCTCTGGCGCTTCATTATGTCGCGCAACCTTGGCATACTTCTTGACGATAAACCCGGCTGATACTTCTTTGTGTTCTGGCTCTTCGTCTTTCATTTCATTGTCATCATCCTCAGGCGGGGCCTGTGGCTTGATCGTACGTCCAGAGCGCGCAGCACGAAGTAGCTGCTGTGAATGCTCTGGCAGCATATGAGAATCTCGTGGCATGGGTAATTCAGGCCATGCGTTGACATCCACAGGTTTATTGTCGGTTGTGTTTGGACCAATAGTCACTTCAATCTCCCTGTATTGGTTGATAGGAAGCCCTTCGAGTACATTATGCTCAATCTGACCGCGACCAGGTCTGTTGGACCTGTCTCGGTTCCGAAACTGATAAAAAATGTTAGCTAAATACCAGACAATTTGCGTCTGCGTCAGGTGACAGTAGGTAGATGATGGCGCATGAAATCAATATGGCCCCAGGCTTAGATGTCAAACTTCACGAGCCCTTTTGAGATGTGCGCGGGTTTTACTATACTTTAGCCATCCCTGCTTATCGGCTGCTAGTACTCTTATAATTGATGAAATGATACGTGGTAGAAATGGATGCGCAAAACGTGGACTGAAGCGTTGAATGCAGGGCACGGGTGAGAATGGGATTCATTGACGTACTCGAGACATTCTGGAAGGCAGCTGCCTCAGCAGTGGGTCGCGCAGTCGTCAGGTGTTTGCGCGTGTGCGCGGCGGGTGCGATGGGGCGGTGAAGGGTAAGGCAGGCGCGTTCTGACCGCGAAGTCGCGTTGCAACCTGCGACTGCTGCCACTGCAACCGTGCACGCGACTAGCACCAATCGTTCCATGGGTCGAAGTTCTTCGCACCCACAAGCCGAACATGATAGCATAGGCAGATCTGGTCGCCATGTAAGAAAATCAGAGATCATACAACAGCAGGCTCCATTTGCCTTGATACCCTTTCCTAGGCTCCGCGTTCCTATCGATAGATCGTTGCTGATCAGGCTTCGGTCAAGACTTTCTCGTTGTAGATAATGTCCATTTGCATTTAACAACAGCGCTGTTCGACCCACAGCGACCGCCCTACGGTGTACTTCTGACAATAAATATTGCCATCATTTGCTCGAGACTGTCACATTATGACCCATCTGCTCGCGCAAAGGGGAATTTATATTATTGTTACATGATCCAACTGATTCTCATCCGAAATGCAAGCAAATGAATGCTTAATCCCACCTATGTCTGCATCAGTATCGTACCATGTGTAGGGAATGGATGTCGCAACGCTTACCCTTGGTCTTTCTGCCTGACAATATCGTTCCTGTTGCCTGTCTGCCTGCCCTCCTTGCCGCCTTCGACAACTAAGCGATCGATCTGGTAGAACTGACTAATGACTGTTTGCCTCTGTGGAAAGTTAGCCAGTACTCACGGCTCTCGTGGTAATGCCCATATGCATGGATGCTTCCAAGCATCTGCGTGCTCTCCTTCCAGTCCAGACACCCTCAGTGCTGCTACAGGTGTTGTTTCGGCTGGCTAAACGTACCTTCAGCATCTGCAACTCCTTCAGCCCCTTCTGCATCAGCTCTTGTATGCTCCTCTCCTCTGACTCTTTCTGATGTTCCCGGAAGGCGTCGCGTGTTCTTCGTTTGGCGTACTCGCGGAAGTTGTAAGCGGCAAATTGGCTGCTTTGCCGCAGCAGTGAGCGATACTGCACGATAAATGTTAGCTGTCTGATGGAAGACTATTGTGATGTCGCAATCGCGTGTCAAACATGCTCCTCTCTATCTGGACGGAGTATGAGGCGAGTGCTCATAGTCGAGTCGCATTGCGGAGGGGTGGCGATGCAGACGCGGCGGCAATTGGGGCACGCTCGGAAACGTACAAGTGAGCGCACTTGGTAGGGCATATCGCCCTTTGTAGCTTGTGCTAAAGACATATTGACTTGTGCAGACTAAGGTGTTGAAGTCGCGACAGCATGTGCACGGAAATAATGTTGCTGATTAGGTCATAGTTCTGGGCTGGGGTTGCGGCGAAAGCTTGGCCCGGTCGGCGATCGCGGAGATGCTTCCAGGCTCAAACACGATTCTATGAATTTCATGCAGTCAAACGTGTGCAACATCCTTATGAACAGATTCACTTGCGCTAATTTGGTGGGAAGATAAGCTACCAGAAGATGCTATACAAGATCTTCGTCCCCCGCCCTGGGTATACTCCGTGCATGCGTCGAAACGCCCAAACTCCATCCCATGCAGTAATGAAGCAGTAATGAAGGCAACGTACCTTGCTACAATTTCTCAATGACGATGCTTTTCCTGGATCCTTCGCACTTGCTCTTGAACGTTCATCGACTGCATCTGCTGGATGCGCGCAGCGTCTTTAGCAGGGTCCGGCTGTCCATCATACGAAATAGCTGCTCTCTTTCTGCGGGCTTCCTCTTCGGCGGAAATGGGCTGACCAGTAGCACCGTCGTATATATCGTCTCTTTGGCTGGCGAAGCGCTTGAGATTGCTTGCAACATCTGCTGTGTTGATTGTAGTTGAGTAGCGTTGTTCGGCTTTGTCTCGCTGTTCTTTCCACCTGGGGTCGAGCAACTCGACTGTAACACCGTTAAGTAAAAATTCTGGGCATCAAGAAGATAGGTTGACTTACTCCGAATATGTTCATCGATCTCGCTGGCAGAAAACTGCTGCTTGCAGTTAGGGCACACGACCATTGCAACATTAGCTTTCTTCGCCGCGCGGGGAACATAGTCTGCGACAATGCGACCCGGTGCCCCTCTGGTCGCAGCCTGCTGACGCGCTCTCGTATCGGCTTCTGCCTGTGCACGCGCCTGCTCCTCCTCGCGCTGCCTCTGAGCAGCCGTGTATGCATAGTCCTGCTGCTGCTGCGGTGGCGGCGGCGGCGGTGCGTACTGAGGATAGGCGACAGGAGCTGCGGGGTTGGGCGGTGGCACCGAGTAGGCGGTATTGTGTTGCGACACGTTGTAGTAGGTTGAGTCGTCAGGCAGCGCTTCCTCTAGGCGTCTTGCTGATAGTGAAACGGCAGCCTTCTGTTCAAGCGACTGCGACTGCAGGTCGTTAAGAAGTGCAGGCGGAGGGAGGTCTGCAGCATCATCGGCCTCATCGAAAAGCACTGTCGCGATAACAGTAAAATCATGCCAGTCGATTGAGGCATACTCTTTCTTCTCGTCTTCAGCTTTCTTTTCCTCTTTCTCCTTCTGCGCTGAGACATATTTGATATACTCAGCGCGTCCCTTTGCACGCTCTAGAATATAGAAACGGTTCTTGATGTTCTCCTGCAGTTCTGCGATCCGTGCCTCGACAGTCTGATCCTCTTCTAACAGTACCTTATACTGTTCAACAAGCGCTCTGAAGAACTGGAAGAAACTGTGTTGCGGTCGTAGGAAGTCGAATTGGAAGTTGTTGGCTTCGCGGTTGCGTAACTCCTTCAACCAATTCTCGCCGACGCGCGCTGTATACAGAGCTGTCAGCTTTAGCACCTCAAGATCTTTAGCGCTGATGTTTGGCATGCGCCCAGAGAAGCGAAACTTGGCTGGTTCTGGAGGTCCTTTGGGCTTTTCTGGCACAGCCTGGGCGGTGCTCTTCGCAGCGGGGCCATGACCAGCCTTCAATTGCTCGAGGTACCATAGGAAGTACGGGTTGTATGGGTCATCGTCTTGGACGAACGTGACCTGGCTTTTTGGGTCGTTGGCGGTGCGCTGCTTCAGGCTTCCAAGCAGTACATCACCTCTTCGAAAAACGAAGTCGGCGGTTTTGGCGATACCGGCGCGGACGCCCGCTGGGGGAATGACGATATTTTCGGGGGGCTTGACGTCGAGGTCTATAGCTACAGGTGCGCTCTCTCCGTTTGCGACCGCCATGGTGGAAGGTATGTCGCGATAGTGCGGCGGAGATGGCGGTGGAGCTTGAGCGACAGAAGTTACTTCTGAGCGCGTTCGACCTTGGCGGATCTGCAGGCAGGCGTGCACGGTCACGTTCGTCACTTTCACCCGTGAACATCTCACATCGCCGCGACTGTCGTTACAGAACAGTGTTAGGATCATTTATCAGTTGCAAGTGTAAATACTACATTTTGAATACTTCAACAGTAGCTCTAGTGAATACAAGCGCCATAGTGGACTTTTGCATTCGCTGACTGTGGTGATGCTGAATACGCGGCTACACCTCGAAATAGTTCTCGTTTCCCTTTCGAGAGATAGCGCTTCGCGAGAGCCAGCTGTACTTTCTCCCCAAGCCCCAGTTAAAGTAAGGACAGGGTACTTGATCTCCCGTGGCCCCCCTGGCGCTGCTCATAACCATTGCGCTGCCCACCTTTCGGCATTGGCTTGCCCTCCCTTCATACTCTCATTAAGACTCGTTGTTCTTGTTGGGAGCTGACAGGTGTTCTTATACCATTTCACCGAAGCTCTCCACGGTAGCTTCAGCCCACCACCTAGTCGAAACCGCTATTCCTGGGAGCCGCCCGCCGCCATGGCGAATCGCACGGCCTCAAATCAGTACCTGGGCGAGAAGCCGCAATCGCGCCGCTCAGGCAAATCTCCGTCGCGCTCTCCAGCACGCTCTCCCGCACGATCGCCCACGTCAAATGGACAGAAGCAACAGCAGAAGACGCAGGCAGTCCTGGGCTACCAGTCTGAGGGTGTGAAGGACCATGACATCTTCAATCTGCCGGGCTCCGATTGGCAGCTCCTGACTCTCCTGACTGTCGTTGCGGGTGTGGTGCGTCTGTTCAGGATCGCCCAGCCTAGCAGCGTTGTCTTCGATGAAGTCCAGTATGTTCACCAGATTCGCGCGTGAACGCCAACTAACATTGCGCCTCCAGCTTTGGTGGATTTGCGACCAAGTACATCAAAGGCAAATTCTTCATGGACGTTCACCCGCCTCTTGCGAAGATGCTCATTGCTCTTACGGGCTGGTTGGGTGGATTCAACGGCGACTTCGACTTCAAGGACATTGGCAAGGACTACCTGGAGCCCGGTGTACCATACGTTACGATGCGTCTGTTCCCGGCTATTTGCGGTGTCTTGACTATTCCCACCATGTTCCTGACTCTCAAGGCTGCTGGCTGCCGTACCACCACGGCCGCCCTGGGAGCAGGCCTCGTCATCTTTGGTAAACTTGAATGATACCCTGCAACTGGACATGTACTAACAAGACACAGACAATGCCCTTACCACCCAGTCTCGTCTGATTCTCCTCGATTCGCCTCTCATCATCTTCACTGCGTTCACCGCACTCGCCTGGACAGCCTTCACAAACCAGCACGAACAGGGCCCAAAGAAGGCCTTCCAGCCCACATGGTGGTTCTGGTTGGCAGCCACTGGTCTCGGTCTCGGAGCTACAGCCAGTGTAAAATGGGTTGGACTCTTCACAATTGCTTGGGTTGGCAGCTTGACGCTTCTGCAGCTCTGGGTTCTGCTCGGAGACACAAGGACAGTCACACCTCGCCTGTGGTTCAAGCACTTCTTTGCCCGTCTGTTCTGTCTGGTCGTCATCCCCATCTCGTTCTACATGGCCATGTTTGCGATCCACTTTGTCTGCCTGGTCAACCCTGGTGACGGTGATGGCTTCATGTCGTCAGAGTTCCAGGCTACTCTTAACTCCAAGGGTATGCAAGATGTGCCGGCTGACGTCGCCTTCGGAAGCCGAGTCTCGCTCCGTCACTGGAACACACAGGGTGGTTACCTCCATTCTCACAGCCACATGTATCCCACTGGAAGCAAGCAGCAACAGATCACTCTTTACCCCCACAAGGATGAGAACAACGTCTGGATCATGGAGAACCAGACCCTGCCGATCATGCCGGAAGACTACAATGGCCCTAACCTGACAAGCCCGAAGGCGTGGGATGATTTTGGTCCCATCAACATTGAGGATGGTGCTGTGATCAGGCTCTACCACATCACCACCGATCGCCGTCTCCACTCTCACGATGTCCGAGCCCCTGTCACCGAGGCTGATTGGCAAAACGAAGTCTCCGCCTACGGTTACGAGGGATTTGAGGGAGACGCGAACGATTTGTTCCGCGTTGAGATCGTCAAGAAGCAGTCAGACGGAGAAGTTGCGAAGAAGCGTCTCCGAACCATTCAGTCCAAGTTCAGACTTGTCCACGTGATGACCGGCTGCGTCTTGTTCTCGCATAAAGTAAAGCTTCCTGAATGGGGCTTCGAGCAGCAGGAAGTTTCATGTGCGCGCGGAGGCACCCTGCCGAACAGCATCTGGTATATTGAAGGCAACGTGCATCCAAAAATGGGCGGTACGTATTTCATTTTCTTACTGTCATGTTCCTTTTGTTGTTCTTTCCTTCGTACCAGGGGAGGTGCGCACCTGCCCAAGGTGAGCTCCTTCCTGCGCACCTTCCCTGGTAAACATTCGGACCTGGAGCCTCACCACAGGTGACAAACCTGCACCCTGTTCACCTCCTTACAACATCTTGCGTCTTCGCCTACGGCACAATTCACCACACGCATCGGCATACCTCACCTGTCTTCAGCATTGGACGATGTCCGTGACCTCGCTTGCAATGCCGGCTGCTTTGGAGGTGGTTACTCTCGTGGCCTCATTCACCTGGAGCCTGGTCAGCTCCACTTCGAAGTCCCTGAAGCATACAGCTTATGACATCGTCCTAGCGACCCAGGAGCTGGTGATGGAGCTGATGAGTGACTCAAGCGTTGTCTTCGCTCCCTCACTCTTGGACATCCTACAGTCAGCCACGCCGCCAACATTGGCTCACTTTAAGGCGATACCGACAGTCTTGAGCAAAGTGTGGGCTGTTTACCTTCTCACCCTCGAGAAGGACGGACAGCGTCCAAAGATTTACGTCGGCAGCGGTACGAATAGGACAATAGGCGTCTCCCATCGCTTCAACGCCTACGACAAGAAAGTTATGCTGCCCAAGTACGTCAAAGCTGCCCTTGATGATGGATACGATATCACCCACAAGGCCCTGCTCTGCTGGGCGCCTCTTCCCAAAGACGGCCACATCTTCCTGTCTCGCGTACTATTCCTTGCCTTGGAGGCTACACTCTCTCTTGCGCTCTGGGCAATGCATTCTCGGACGGTGTCCTATGGGGTTCTTCCTCTCTGCCCCTGGCCACTTGAGTCACTCACCTACGATGGCTGTTGTGGTCACGTCCCGCTCATGGAACGCATCATCGGAGATGTGGATGGCAAGACGCCTGAGCAGATAGCAGCAGAGGAGCTCATGACGTGCCGCGAGTGGGTAAAAGCTAAAGCACAACTCGCTGTAAAGAACTGTCGGCGCCAATCTATCGAAACTCGCAGGTTCTGGTGCAATGTATGCAACACAGCCAGCAAAGACCAGAACCAGCTTGATAGGCACTATAGTTCCAAGAAGCACAAGCAAAAGGCCAATGGCGTCTACAAGCCCACGAAGGTGACTGAGTGGGAGCAGAAGAACATAGCCTCGAAGAGGTTTCCCTGCTTCCCTTGCGGCTTCCTCTTCGGCTGCCAACAGAAGCTCACCAAGCACTTAGCGACTCCAACGCATAATGAAAATGTCGCAGCTTTGGCTGAGTCGAGCGCTAGCTCGACCTAGCCATCTTCCAGTGGACTCTTTTTTGGACGCCGTCCAGCCCAGGACAACATATATTAACGAACACCAGCTAACGATTCATACATTTAGACGACACCGAACGTGTCAATTATCGCAACCCCGGATTCTTCGGCAAGTTTTGGGAGCTGCAGAAGGTGATGTGGAAGACCAACGCTGGGCTTACCGAGTCGCATGCCTGGGACTCCCGCCCACCTTCATGGCCTACCCTTCAGCGTGGAATCAATTGTAAGTATGTCTTCCTATCATTTTGCTTACGCTAACATCCTTTAGTCTGGGGAAAAAACAATGTGAGTCACTTCCGAAGATACCTAAGTACCTCTAGGTTCTAGCATATCCGAACAAGCACCACGTCGATGACTCTAGGCTAATTATGAACAGCGCCAGATTTACCTTGTGGGCAATGTTTTCATTTGGTGGACCTCGTCCGCTCTGATTCTCCTTTACGTCGCCATCAAGGGTCTTGCTGTTCTCCGCTGGCAGCGTGGTTTCCGTGACTACAACAATGTCACCTTCAAGCGCTTCGACTACGAAGTGGGTATGTCTATCCTGGGATGGGCCTTCCACTACTTCCCCTTTTACCTCATGGCGCGTCAGCTTTTCTTGCATCACTACCTACCAGCGCTCTACTTCGCCATCATGGCTTTCTGCCAGATCTTCGACTTTGTGAGCTTCCGTTTCGACGTTTTCCGCATCAAGAGGACCCCCGCCATTGGCCAAGCAGCAGCTGTTGGTATTCTGGCCATTGCTATCACGGTCTTCACCATCTACGCCCCCCTTGCGTATGGTAACGCATGGACCAAGAGCCAATGCAACAGTGTCAAGGTTTTCAAGACCTGGGACTGGGACTGCAATAACTTCTTTGATACGGTAAGCCACAAACTGCCTCACATTCGACTCTTGCTAATTTACTGTAGTATGAGCAGTACGACAAGATGCCTGCTGTCTCCTCAGTCGCTGCTGTGCCTTCATCTGCGGCACCCGCACCCCCTGCCGCTGTGCCAAACCAGCAACAGCCAATCGAGCAGGAGAAGAAGGCCGAGGGCGAGGCTGCTGTTTCACCCCCACCCGAGGGCGTACCTGTCCCCAAGGATCTCCCTGTCGTTTCCAAAGAGGAACGCGTAGAGTACCGCGACGAGAACGGCCGCATTCTCAACGAAGAGGAGGTCGCAGCCCTCGCCGACAAGGTCAGCTTCAAGACGCGCTACGAGACACGGACACGTGTCGTCGACGCCGAGGGCAACGAGATCTACGAGGGTCTCGTCGAGTCCCACGAGCCTGCCGAGGAGCACGGCGTCGCCCCACCCCACCCCGACGTTGAGGGCCGCAACCCCGAGACCGAGGAGGCTGCCCCGGCTGAGGCCAGCGACGTGCCACCTACCGTCGAGGTCGTCGAGGACCAGAAGAAGGAGCAGAGTGTCGAGCGCGAGGCCGGCGAGGCCAAGCCTGCTAGTGAGCAGCAGGCGGCTACACAGGAGACGGTGTAGGTTTCTTATGTAGTAGCGGATTTCTTTTGAAAATGACGATAGATTTACGGCGCACTACACTCGCTGGTGCTGTCTCTCTTTTGTGTGTATGATATTTTAGCGTTGGCATGGGCCGTGGGCGCGTGGGTTAGGAATGGGCGGGCGAGGCGCGTGTACACTCTCCACATCGAGTCTTTCAATACTATTGCAGATATCGTGATCCTGTTCAGTTTGCGTGACACGTGCACGTTGGCGAATTCTACAAATGTGACATCCGTCAAGCAGAGCAACTGTCTCGGTATCGCAAGGCATGGATAGCGAGGACTACCGCATGTCTCACTCCAAGCACACGCCGGCATGTCTCATAAGAAAGTAAACATCAAGACTCAAGAATGCATATAGATTCAACAGACTATCTCCAGTACCCATGGTCTGCAGGACCAGCAACTCCCAAACGCCTTCCTTTTAGTGGTATGAACCGGTCTAGATAGCCTCAGCGGCCGCCTTAGCCTTCTCGAGCTTCGCCCTCTTCCGCCTCAGGCCCTCGGCCTCTGTGTCGCGCTTGTTCGCGCCGTACTCGATGCGCTTGAGCAGCTTCCTCTTCTTGTTGCTGAGCATCATCTTCTGGCGCTCGCGCTCCTCGTCCTCGGCCTTGCGCGCCTTGTCTGCCTTCTTCCTGATGGCGGCGTTCTGCTCCTTCTTGGTCGGGGCCACCTTCTTGAGCGGTTTGCCTGTGGCTTCGGCTTCGAGCTCGGCCTGGTGCTGGAGGCGGGCGGCTTCGCCGTCGGAGATGTCGGACTCGGCGTCGGACTCGTCGTCGTCGTCGGCCGGTGCAGCGTCGTCAGAAGAGGATGCGTCAGAGTCATCGTCGTCATCATCGCCGTCGACGTCCATGCCTTCGCCAACCTCGACGGAGCCGTCGCGGTCGACAATGGCGTCCATGTCCTCATCGTCTTCCTTGGGGTCGAATGTCTCCTCGTCGCCCTCGTCTTCGAACGCCTCGGCTTCGCCCTCGGGCTGCTGCGCTGCCAGCGGCAGGTTGGGGTCGTACTCGCCCTTCTTGGGCTTGACCCAGGGGCTCAGATGGGGAGGGAGCTCGGCACCGGGGCTGTAGAGATCAGGGCGGAGCAGCTTGCCCTGGTTGATCGAGTCCCATACCCATTGGGGCTGGACGTATGTGCGGCCGGGCATCATGGAGCGCGGCCATTGAGCCTTCGGTGCGCCATCTTCCGAATCGTTAGAAACAGGGGCGGCGGCGCCGTTAGCAAGGGTCGGACGATCGATGATCTGGTGGGTGATGGAGGGGTCAGACTCGTTGGTTGTGAAGGCGCCATCGCCGAGGATCGAGTCCCAGCCTACGCGCTTGCAGCCAAAGGCTCGGAGGATGAACTCAAGGGATGCACGAGGAGTCTCGCGCGAGAGGTAGAATGTGAAGGGTGAGAAGAGGGCACCAGCTTCGGCGCGGCTGGCTTGGGGCTGGGGCAGGACATCGCCGTCCTGTGCAGTGGGCACGAACGTATCAATGCCCTCGGTGGCCTGCTCTTCGTCGTCGTCGGCAGCAGCAACAATTGCGTCGACAATCTCCTCGTCGACATCACCTTCAGCCGCAATCCTGTCTGCGATAGCCTGTGCCTCTGGGTTGATCTCGGCGTCCTCGTCCTCGCCGTTGGTGGCACCGTTCGCGTTGATGCCCTTGCCCTCCAGTTGGAAGGCCGCAAGCTCACCACCCTGTTCGTCGCTCTTGGCGTTGAACTTGGGAGGGTATACGAGGCCGACGGAGGTGTAGAGGCGGTAGTTGACAAAGCCGAGCAGTGTGGTGTAGAACTCGACGAATGTGCCCATGATCCTGAAATCAATGTCTCCACCAGTGCGCTGCACGAACCGGTATGGGACGAGCCACAGGATGTCCTGGCCCTGGATTGTGGCCTGGTAGTAGATACCCTTGATCGACAGGAAGGACTTGCGCAGGGCGTGGGAGGTGATCACGTAGTGCTCGAACTCGCGGGTGAGGCGCTGGCAGAGGGCGATGGTCTTGGCGGGGATGTGCTCGCTGGAAGGCAGGTTGGCGAACAGGAAGAGCATGGAGAGGGCGTCGTCGAGGTCGCGGAGGGCGTCGACGAAGGTCGGGTAGCGCTCCTTGATGATGTGGTCGAGCTTGACCTTGGGCATCAGGTTCTTCTCCAGGCGCGCGGCATCGCCAGACTCGCCGCGACCGAGGGCGCGGCCAATCTTCTTTGCGACGGCCTTGTGCTCGCGGAACTTGGCCAGCAGCGGCTCATGGAGCAGGTACTGAATGTCCTTGGTGTAGTAGAAGGTGGTGGCAGCGGTGGAGCCCTTGGAGACCTTCTTCTTGTTGCGCGGCTCGCGGGGGTAGATTCCCTTGAAGATGCATAATCTTCTGAAGTCTGGCAGCGAAATCTGCAGCTTCTTCACGGCGCGAGTACGGGTGATGTAGTTTTTCGCCGCACCGGAGGTGCCTGCAAATATCAGTACAGAGGAAAACGTGAATCGCACATGCAGACATACCCTTCTTCTTGGAGCGACCAGCCATTGTGAGTTCTGGTGTACTTTGCTGGTGTGTCGAGGCCGCGAACTTTTGGAAGGCGGGACTAAGTCGTTCCTACTTTTTTTGAGAGTTCACCGAGGACGACCCGCCCGTCGCGCTAAAACGACAGGGGTCCACCGAGACGCCAGAGCCACCAAAGCTCCGCGAGCGTGCCCTGGCCGTCATGGCGCGTCACCCTCCGTAACACTACGAAGATGCCTGTCGACCAGCAGGAAGCACTCCTGTATGGAGGTGCTGCTGCGCTGCGGCTCTTGCTGTCCACGGTCTTTCCCGGTCTCCCCAGTCTCCTTGCTGGCCGTGTCGAGGTGTCCACTCCAGTGACAAGTTTCAAGAGGTGTATGTTCCATCTCTGGCCTACTGAGACGAAAGAGATATCGGCAATCTGACTCGACTCGCAGTACAAGAAGGTCTCTTCCTTTATACCCACAATGTCTCGCCATACGACGGCGGCCTTTACCACCAGGCACCCCTCCTCCTGCCACTCTTCTCGCTGCTGCCGAATCCCTCGTACCACCCAATTGCTACAGACATTGTCTTCACCGTCGTGGATCTTTTGAGCGCATATGCCTTGGCGCAGGTCGCTGAAAGTGGGAGAGCTGCTGTCTCTAGGCTGTTCTCTTCTTCGAGGAAGGAGCTCCGGTGGAGCAGCACAGCGGTTGCCGCAGGGTAGGTCCAGCACTATGATGCGCTAGAACTACACTGATATATCCCAGTTTCCTCTTCAATCCATTCACTGTCCTGACATGTCTTGCCCGCTCGACATCGGCTCTCACAAACATGTTCATCCTGACAGCTATGGCTAAGGCGTCCCAAGGAGCGAGCATCACCTTCACACTCGCTCTGTCGTTCGCTGCATACCTCGGCATGCACCCTATTCTGCTATTCCCGCCGCTCCTCGTACTCTTATACGATGCTCGCGCGGCAAAGACCAAGTCGACACCCAATGTCTGGTCGTTCACAGTCTCACACACACTGGGCTTGGCTTTCGTGAGCGGTACACTGCTTGCAGCATCCGCCTCTTTGACAGGATCCTGGGACTTCTTGGCGGCCACATATGGTGTGCGTCTTCTTTTGCCAGACCTCACACCAAACGTTGGGCTGTGGTGGTACTTCTTCATTGAGATGTTTGACTCCTTCCGCGAGTTCTTTCTTGGCGTTTTCTGGTTGCACGCAGCATCATACATGCCTGGTCTCACCATTCGACTGCACAAACAGCCACTGTTTGTTGCCTGTACTCTGACTGGCATCTTTGCCGTCTTCACACCCTATCCCAGTATCGCAGATGCCGCGTTGTATTTGTCGCTGGTACCGTTGTTCCGCCATCTGTTCCCTCGTAAGTCTGTCAGCGATACACAAAAGAGTCCGACTAACATTTCTAGTGATGCGCTACACTTTCGTAGCATCAGCGGCTGTACTATACGCATCGTTCCTTGGGCCAGCCTTCTACCACCTCTGGATCTACGCTGGCTCTGGAAACGCCAACTTCTTCTACGCGATTACCTTGGTATGGAGTCTGGGTCTTTCAATCATCATTGGAGATTCCCTGTTCGCTGCTTTGCGAGATGAGCTGGATGTGGAGCGGCCTGAGCTGAAGGGGAAGGATGTTCGAAGAATATAGAAGCTACATATTGCGCAAAGTCACAAATACATGTTCATCGATACAAACTTCCGCGAAAAGCTCAGGATGTGTAACATGACAGTTCTAAGGGTAATAACGCTGGTAGCTACCTGGCCTAGCAGTACCGTTTGCAAGTCAGTACAAGCTAAGCAGAAGCGTCTATTTAACCTGCCTTCACTCTACCCTACGGTCTCTCACCGTGATCACAAGGCTCCAACAACTGCCACTTCACCGCAAGTTCTTACCCCGCTTTGAACACTCTCATAACAGCATTTAAAGAGCGCATCTGCCCCTCTATCGCCGTCTCTTTCGTCATACCGTTCACCACATCTCGTTCTCGTTGGTCAAACCCAAATCAAGATACCCCCGCTCAACACGCCATCGACTCTATCTTCTACCACCATGCCAGATTCGAATGATCTTACCGCGAGGGAGATGGAGGTTCTGGGCTTGGCCTGGCAATGCATGGACAGCGATCCCAAGGTATGGGATTGCTCTTTCGCTACAGCAACCTCTCCACGTTTTCACACGCTGACATCGCAAATTAGATCGACTACACCAAGCTCGCTCAGCTCACTGGGGTAGGCTTTGAACCATACAGCTATTAGTCTGGCAATGCTGACATCTTGCAGTACACTCCCGGTTCCGCCAGCGTTACCTTCGGCAAGATAAAGCGAAAACTAAAGGCCAAGGCCGCCGGTTCCTCTGCTGTGTCAGTAACTCCCAAGAAGGCCGCCGGAGGTATCCCCAAGACTCCTAAGACTCCCAAGTCTGGCAAACGTGGTGCAACCGAGGACGCTGCTACTGGTACGCCCAGCAAGAAGGGGAAGAAGGCCAGCAAGGCAGTCAACGATGAGGAGGAAGATGAGTTTGACAACCTTCCCATCAAGAAGGAGGAGGTGGCTGAGGTCAACGCCATCGCGGATGGCTTCTTCAAAGAGGCCACTGCTTATGCCGCCTTCGGTGATGACCAGCAGCTCTAATGGGTCACTCCCAGCGTAAGGCGTCAAGACAGCAAGGTTGGGAACGTTGATGTAGCACATTGATTTCTTTGACGCATTGAAGTCAGAAACCGGGCACTACATAGATTCATCAACGGATCATCGAGTCAGAATTCTCCCATCCCAAGGGACAAAGTCCTTTAACTTCACTTTCGTCGTCGTTGCTAACTCTCACCGTGATCGTTCTGCCTAGATGGAAAGTAAGAACGTGCCTCAATCATGCCCTGTAGACCACAGCCTTGTGTAAAGCCTACACCGCACCTATCTTCCCGATCTTCTTCTTACCACACCCCCATCCTCAATCATCATCTGACACCACCACACCGTCCACCAACAAACTCGCCCACCATGACGGACAGCAAACTTAACTTCACAGCCCGCGAGTATGAAGTCCTCGCACTCGCCTGGCACTGCTTCACCAGCGAGCCCAAGGCATGCCCACCCCTCCACCCGCCCTCCCCACTCACTGACGACCCCAGATCGACAACAAAAAGCTCGCAACCCTAACCGGAGGTACGTTTCTATTCCCTTCCCCATTCTCTTCAGCCGTGAGCTCAGCTAACACCACGCAGTACGTCTCCACCCGCGCGCCACTCCCACGCCCTCAGCTAACGACCGCAGTATACGATCTCCTCCGCAACAACCACCCTCAGCAAACTCAAGGCACGCATGAAAGCTCACGCCGCGAATGTCGAAGCTGGTCTGGCCCCACTGTCGGAGAAGACTGCGGGTGGGAAGAAGCGCGGCGCTGCTGCTGAGGACGAGGCGGCTGGGAAGCCGGTGAAGAGGGTCAAGAAGGCGAAGAAGGAGAAGGCGGGCAGTGCGAGTTTTGACGGAGAGGACGGTGGTGGAGAGGTGGTAAAGGAACGCGAGGAAGTCGAGGAGGAGATCTAAGGGTCCGATGATGAGGGACTGGTGTTTGGGGTATCTTGGGAGGCTGGAGTCGTCTGACGATTTGAGTATGCAGTCATGACTGGGCGTATTTGACATGCGAAAGGGCACAGCAGGGCCTTCTTTGGGTCTCTATGACGGTCTGGAGGCACTTACAGATGATGATATCAAACTCTCCGGGCATTTACACGAGACAAACAACTGTATGTGCATCGATTCTTTTGCACAACTTCGCTTTGAACTATATACATAAAAGGAATCTATCTCAAACGCTCGCCACCCAGTCTACTCCCACACATGCTCAGTACATCTCATAACAGTCTCTTGATGTTCAGGCTTTCTTTTCGTTTCTTGGGCATCATGCGGCCTCAAAGCTTATGTCAAGCCTAAGCCTACGCCCTCCCCGTTCATCCCACTCTCGCTGACATCTCTTCTCTGACTGGTATCTCTCCTCTCCCGTCCGCCTCTTCCCATCTCCCGAATTCGCCTGCCTTCCATCAACCCTCTAAGACCCCTCTTCTGTAGCCCGACGACTGCACTCACAACTCCATTCCACACCTCCCGCTCATCAAGCCCGCTACTTCCGTATTCTCCCGAATCGCTTGCACTTGCGCTGGTCCCCTCCGACACCGCGGAGCTAACCTCATCGTCCGAAGGCGGGACGGATGTATCAATCTTCAGCGCCCTCAATCCTGCCGACATACTGCTCTCGCTTTCAGTGTTGAGTGACGATCCGTTCGTGCCGTTGAGATTTGTGCTGGATAAATTATTTACACCCATGAACGCCACGCCACTGCCGCCGCCCGCCGCCATAGCTGCAGCATTGAATACGGCCGCTGTATTGCGGTTGTCAAGTAGGATGTGTAGGCGCTCGATGATGGCTTCAAGGAGCCCATCAATGTGGTACGGACGCGCGAGTTGTAGCAGCGAGCACAGGATCTGCGGGGTGCAGAGTTGGCTGCTCTGAGGCGGAAGGGAGGACGTGTAGAGATAGTGGATCAGCGCTTGAAGGGTGAGGTGTGTGTGGGGCAGGTAGAGTGTTCTCGGGCGATGCAAGGGAGGCTGCATTGTTGGGTCTGGTGGTGAGAGGGAGTTGTACAATGTACTTGAGACGGCTGTTGTTTCCGAGGGAGTAATAGTGTTGGCTGTGAGGGTGGTGGCGGCCGAGTAGGTAGTGCGGATGGAGGGTGTGATGGTTATGCTGGACATACGCGAGGGGTGCCCACCAGTCGCTGGGCGCAGAGTTGCAGCATCCGCGCTATCTTTCTCAGCATTCTGAGTGCTTTCCCGCATCAGTTGGTTGAAGTAAGGACCCCACCGTCGAGCGATAAGGCGCGAGTTGACGGGTATCCGTTCACCGTGGATAGCGAGGAACTCCATGTCGGCGAGCTCGCGCATCCCAAGTGCGATCTGTCCGAGTTCGATGGCTGACGGCGAGAGTTCCCTACCGCCGGCCAATACATCAAGGCCATCATTCTGTGGCGGAGCACTGACAGATCCAAACGCTGAGCTTGGCGTGACTTTGCGAGGATTGTCGTACAGCCCAAATGCCTCTAGTTCCACAACGCACATGTTTGAAAAGTTTATCCGCCGGTGATTGTAATCTTCGACAAGACTTCGCTTGCGGTTGCCCAGGATGACAAAGCTGTTTCGTCGTGTCCACAGCACGCCTCTATTCCAACTGCCCTGACTGAAGATGTTGCCACCAGCTTCTATCCGTCCCCAACTTAGCGTCCGTAGATCTAATGCCCACAATGCGTATTCTTGTTTTGATGATGTGAGGAAGGTCCCGCTGACAACAAAATGGTTGTTGATCACTCCGCCGTTGGGAAAGCGGAGACCAGGTGGTGAAAAGTTGCCATTCATCGGCTTTTCAGATAACGATCCGTCAGGGTGTCTGATCTGAAGTTCGAGTTTGACGTCAAGGAAGTTGTAATTTGAGTAGATGAGCATCGATGATTCGCCGGAGGAATTCGATGTTGATTCGTCTGGCGATCCTGGCTCGCCACGTGATCCTGCACCTATCTCGTTGGCAGGCATGCTCGTTAAGGGTGCCACAACGCTACGGTATGCGCCACAACTTCTCCCTAGCGTACTGGTTGTGGTCCACTTCAAGCTCCTCAGATTGAAGACACTGATCTGCTCGATGTAGTGGTTTGCGCTATCTTGGCCGCCAACCACCACCATCTCAGCGCCACCATCGCCTTCAAGATTTATTCCTATTGACCCTTGATTGGGGTTGCTTGATGGTGGGTTATGCCGTATTGCTGTCATGGCCGCGCCAGTGGAGCTGAAAACCGCGGAGGATGGTAATATTGTTGCGCAATGAGCGTACCGGCCTTGAGGCGCATCGTTGGATCCGACGTGCATCCATGTCCGAGTAGCTGCGTCGTAGATGTGCACATCAGACATGACAACTACCTCTGGCTGCGCGTCTGCCGGAGTACCTTGCAACACTTGTGTTGACTGGTTTGCTGGTGATGTTGCCGGCGACATACCACCATAGCAGACGAGCTTTGTCTCACCCAGCGCACAAACACTGTGAAAGTATCGTGGAGGCGGTATGTCTCCTTTTGTCTCGATCTTTGTCCAGTGACGTTGGACGAGATCCAACTCGTACAAGTCCGAGGTGAGCTGTGGTCGTGTCCGCGACAGTCTCCGACCACCAAACACATAGAGCTTGTCGCCAAGAATTGTGGTGGTTGCACCTACTAAAGGATGTGGTTCGCGACCAGTAGTCCGGTGTACATTACAGACCAGTCCAGATAGTCCTTGAGTTGAACTTGAGGGTGTTGCGAGCCCAGCTGTTTGCTGCATCGCCGGTGACGGCGTCATACCCAGTCCTGGTGTTCGTGTAGAAGAAGGCGGTGGCCGTTCAAGCCCACCATCTTGACCATCTTGCTGATGTAAGCTGGTTTGACTGCTGTTCACACTGGCAAAGTAGTTGCCACTACCGCTTCGCATTCCACCTGGGTATAATTGCGATGGTGATGGCGCCGACGTCTGCGAGTCAATGGTGCTGGTTCGACTTGTGTTGGGCGTCTGTCGAGCCATCCTATTCGGACTCTTAGGCCGATAAGTAAGAACAGGGGTCTTGGCCTGGTAAGAGCTAAAGGAACGCTTGACAGGTGACGTCGAGTATCGGTGCGTAGGTTGAACCCAATCTGGTATTACAATCTCGACATGCCGAGACCTCAAACTGGAGGAGTCGCCAATTGAACCTCGGTTTGGTGATGGAAAACTGGAGAGGCTGGGGTGGCGACTTGATTCGATAGTCGAAGAACGCGAAGAGCTGAGTCCAACAGAAGTACAAGGGCTTTCAGGTGCTACAGAGGAGAGATCATAATCTGGCACGATAATGGGAACGTGCTTAAGCCGCGATTGATGCGACGAAGCGCAAAGCTCAATAGAAGACAATGAGTCAGGTCGGCTGGGCCTTCTGGCCGAATGGGTCCAGCGGTAGGAACGGATGAGGGAACCTGCAGCAGACTCGTGGGAACTTCGTCTCTGAGTCGACAAAGCCCGTTTGAGGTTTAACGCTTTGGGCTTTTTCCAGAAAGATGGAAGGTCTTCTAGAGGTTCGGTGCTAGCGGCGGCGGAGAATGCGAAAACGCCTAGTGGGACGGCCATTGTCAGTGTTAGGACTATAGGAGTAACTAAAATTCGATGAATGACATGAAGGATGCAAAGAAACACAGAAAGAGGAGAGCGCCCTGGTCTTCAAGTACCTCAGACGTTGCCAGCTGCAGCAAATGTCTATTGCAGGCCTTGCGGCAAGGCGGTTGACCACTAGCAAAGCGACCCGCGGCAGGCTTCGAAGCCATGTTTGCAGATTCGGAAATGACACACGTCTGTTGTGCAACTCTTTCGATGGTGTACCGGGATGCAGCTTGCAGCACCAAGCGCCCTCAGGTATCACAAAGGCTGGTGGTGGGCAGAAATTGAGTCTTGCAGGTTCAAGTTGCCCGAGCAGAACAGGCCTCAGCTGAAGGACCGAGTTCGGGGAACGGAACTGGACAAAGGAAAGGCACGTGCGGTAGGCCTTGGGAAGGAAAGAAGGGTGGTGGGGGGAATCGAGGGGTTCAGAACGGAATCGCAGGCCTTACCTCAAGAACCTTGCCCTGCACGAGTAGCGAGCGGGGAAAAAGCGACAGCCGAACGGTCGACGCGGGCAGAAAAGAAGACGTGTTGCGTACTGGCGCAGTGGAGGCAGCACTCCTGGGCAGCGAGGGTGAGGTGAGCGCAGAGGCTTTGGAGCCAATCCAGATGCGGCAAGGACGCCGTGAGCTGCTGTCCTTCAGGCTTGTCACTCCTTGCACCAAAGTCCAGCTGAGCAGAGGAGGCTGAGATATCGACAAAACGTGCTCCGGAGACACCAAAGGTATAACGGCAACGGCTGAGCGATTTGACAGTACTGTTAAGCGGAGCAATCTCAATGCGGGTCTTGGGTTAGGGTCCGTCGACTGGTGTGCGCCGTCGCGTGGTCTGGCCTGCACTAAGGTCAGCTTGCCGGGCTCCAGGTGTCCAGTAATCGTACTGCGACAGTCACTTCCCAAGATCGATGGCTGTAGAGGATGGCGCACGCACGTCGCTATTGGTTTGTTACAGCAGAAGACATGAACCAAACGTGTTTTGACCTCTCCACCACAGTCTGAGTCGTGCCTGTTTCCTTGGCGGCGCAAGACGCCACACGAGTCAACGACGTGATTGCAGGCCGACGTGCCCAATCTGCCTCTGTACCTGCCTTGAAGTCAGCCAACTAGCTGCTGCCCTGCAGGTACCTTCCGCAATGAACCTAACGAATCAACACATAGCAAAACGCCTTCCAGGGCCTATCGGCGAGTCTGACCGCTCCGGACTACCGCCAGGCCATGAGCAGCACCCCTGTGGAATAAACCACCGAACGTCGGATACTACGCGTCAATGCCGCGTCGTCAAAAGTCACTCTCGGAGAATTATTTACAGGGGTTTCAACAGACATGCATTGGGAAGAACAGGGGTCGTCAATCTTTCATTATGCAGAGCGTTTCAGCCCTATGAGGTAGACTGAGTCTACAAACATCTACCGAATCGGATGCGCCAGAGCATCCCACTTCATTCGAGAAGCATGAGGTCCAGCTTGTTAGGACCAACCTTTGAGGTTCGGATCCTAAGATTGCAGCTCACCGTCTGTGATGCCCAACGCTTGTATCCACAATGTCTACTCCAGGTACTTCATGCAGCTCTGACCGTGCCTAGCAGTTGACTAAGGCGTCTATGCGGCAGTGGTCTTCTCCTTAGGGAGAGGGGTGAATCGCAGGTAGGGCTTGACGATCCTGAAGTCGGGGAAAAGTGTCTTAGCCTCCTCGTTCTTGACACCGGGGTGGACAATCACATCATCACCAGGAACCCAGTTGATGGGAGTGGTGATCCTGTGCTTATCGCCAGTCTGCAGGCTGTCAAGGACACGGAGGACCTCAGCAGTGTTGCGGCCAGTGGACGCGGGGTAAGACAGGATCAGACGGATGGTCTTCTTGGGGTCGATGATGAAGACGGAACGGATGGTGAACGCAACGCCCTTGGAGTCAACGTTGGTCGCATCCTGGTGGTCGATCATGTCGTATGCAAGAGCAACCTTGCGCTCCTTGTCGCCAATGATGGGGAACTTCAGCTGGGAGCCGGAGATCTCATCGATGTCCTTGATCCAGCCCTCATGGCTGTCAATGGTGTTGGCAGAGAGGCCAATGAGCTTTGCGCCACGCTTGGTGAACTCAGGCTCGAGCTTGGCGAAAGCACCGAGCTCGGTGGTGCAGACGGGTGTGTAGTCCTCGGGGTGGGAGAAGAGGATGACCCAGTTGTCGCCGATGAACTCGTGGAAGTCGATAGGACCCTGAGTAGTCTCGGCCTTGAAGTTGGGGGCGGTGCTGCCCAGACGGAGAGTCGCGTTAGACATTGTGTTTTCTGTGCAGCCTCGTCAGAGTCGTTCAAACATCGCAAACACGAGGGGTGGCGGGGTAGCGCGGGGTAATGTTCGACCTCGAACTCGGGCGTGCAAGGGACAAATTCTTACAGGAAATCTGGGTTTGTCTTAAAGACGGGTATCTGAAGTACAATTGATGTGATGAAATCAACAAGCAGAGGTTGGAGGGGCAGCGAGGCGCTTTCATGCTTTTCCAAGTCCCTCGACAGCGAGCTCATAGACCGAACGCAGCTAGCGGGCATTGCGCAATTCTCACGTGTTGGCCATACAAAAAGATTTCTGCCCATCATACATCCCACGTCAAGTCAGTTTAGTCCAATGGCGTACTCCACACGGCGGGCGGTATCGGAGTGCCAATGGAGGTGCCCCTCATGCCCAGAGCTGCGCAGGATAAGGACACGTTGGAACGGCAAGCTTACTTGCGCAATCTGACGCCAACATGGTGTCTTATACTTTGAGCGCAAGAAGAGGAGGGGTGAACTCACATCGTCGTCTTCTGTTTGTCATTTGTTCGCTGTAGACGGGCAGGCGTCTGCCTCTTTCCGTATACACAATGCTCGTACATACACCCGTGGAGCCAACGCGAGGTTGCTGTATGCGACTTCAGGAGCTTGCCTTGGGAGAACATCACACTCTCTATGCAACTCTACTTACTGCACCCAAACACGTCCGATATGCCACTTGGCACTTTTGCAAGATCCAACTCATCTTATCAAAGCCGACATGCTGCATAGCTATACCTAAGTAACTCATTTTATACGCATGCAGAAAAGAGTCGTGAGAAGAGTGTTGATCGTTCTTGCCTGACACTGCGTTCTGACAAGTGGCTGATTGGACGTGACTGGGTACCGTAAACATGTGAATCTGATGAGAGATTCAAGTCGTATCCGCAAAGTGCAACCAGGGGACTCTTGTGGGCAGTGTCGGTGTGATTTCTGACAGAGGATTGCCGTCTGTGAAATGATCAAGACACGATCCTATAAGGCACACTTTATTACCAATCCGATATGGTGGCTTGTCCAACCAAACTGCTGGGAGAGCTCATTACCGGTAGTTTGCGAAAAGGAACGGCAGAACCTCAAAGCATCCATTCAACGTCTTGGTTGCTTGAACACACTTACGGACTTATCTAGCATCTTGTGCGTCTCGGTCAGCTGGGTTTCGTCATCCAATGCATACAAGCAAAGCAGAACCACGGGGCTAATTGATGGCGCCAGCGTCAACGTCCTATCGTAGGACCGTTTGCATGCAGCCCCGGGGTAGGGTAAGCGGCAGTATCCGCAGTCGGCGGAGGACGATCCTTTCTTGTGCATCTCTTAGCTATGACTTGTACTCGGTCATAAACAATGCGGTCAACGATGACCAGGTTCGAGAGCTGGTACCGGCTTTACCTAGTGGTACAACAAGTTGCTTGCTCCACACCATAATGCTGAATTTTCTTTCATGTGACAGTCTGACTGAGCGCTGTGCCTTCCTTCAGACTGGCTTCAGTGTCGCTCACAATGTGACTTTGTCAACACGTCAGCTGAAGCAAAAGCATAACCTGTTGACCGTGGATTCATCTCGTCTCGACCCTCATCTTGGAGGGTGTGGAAATTGGTCCACGCTTACGAATTGAGATAATGCACGAGCAGGACGGTGATAATGAGTCTCCAAATCTAAGGCCGAGTCATCTCCAGGTGCGTGCAGCAAATCCCACTCTTCGTATCTCGTGGTGCAGACTTTGAGAGCCCACCGCTCTTTTGGCGATGACACTGCAGCTCGGCTATCGTCAGCACGGCTCCAATACGATCTCATTGAGTCGATATCGGATTGCTGCTCCTCCACCTTGCAAGATTGACAATGCAACCAACCAATATTATTCCCGGTAATAACCAAGGAATCGTAAAGTGCCCCAGATTTTGTTGGAAATAGCAGTAAACCCGGGCAAAGCTTAGTGTCTATTCGCTCGGCTGGTTCAATCGGCTAGTGGTAGCCCAGTCCACATACACGTGTGATCGTTTCCGGCCCGTTTAAGACTATGAAGCTCTAGATCTAATATCATCATCATCCCCAGTTACTGTCATTGTATTAACTTTTCTCAACTCTCACAACTCTCGACTAGATTTGGAATTACAAGACGCCCGGCTTTGAGTACGCAGATGGTACTATGTCAGCCAGTCCGGAGATCGATTTACCAAGCAGCTCAGAACTGGGAGTTGAACAACCAATTCACAGCCCGGGAATAAAGAACTTTCCTGTGGATGACTCCCGAAGAAGCTTTGACCCCGCTTCCGGCAGCAGCAAAGACATGGAAAAGGAGAAGTATGAAGAGCAAGAGGAGGAGATGATTGACAACGACCTTCCTGCCAATTCCAGCAGTGAAGAAATTGTTTGGAGGTATCTCACATTTGAGACCGACCTTCCACATCCGACGAGTCTGCTTCCGTCAATACATCCGACAACCGGCACGGACCACGGACCACCTCCAGAACCACCAAACCTTGCGAAATATACGAACCCATTCGATTGGACTGAAAAGAGGAAGAACTTTACAATATGGGTCGCATGCGCCATTACGGCCCTCACGGCGTATGCCGCAGGGTCTTATACTCCCGGTGTTGCTCAAATGTCAGCCGAATGGGGAGTTAGCCCTGTTGCAGTTTTAGTGGGCATCACCACTTTCACAACTGGTATGTAATCCGAGGCAGACGGGGAGTAAACCGTGAGACGTAATTCTGACGAGACGTTTAGGTTTCGGCGTGGCGCCCATGGTGCTTGCTCCGTTCTCTGAGATCAACGGACGCCGTCCAGTGTTCATCGCGTCAGGCCTTCTGTTCGTTATTTGTCAGCTATGTACTGGCTTTACGCAATCATATGCGGGCATGCTCGTAGTTCGCTTCATGGTCGGAGTCGGCGGCTCGACGTTCTCGACGATGGTTGGAGGCATTGTGTCTGATATCTACCATACGGAGGACCGCAATACGCCAATGGCTCTCTTCTCCGGAGCTGCGCTTTTCGGTACAGGCTGGGGCCCGTTGATGTCAGGATTCATTGCGCAGAATCTGTCGTGGAGATGGATCTTCTACCTCCAAACCATCATGGCCGCGGTTATGGTTGCTTTCATTTGCATCATCTTCAAGGAGACACGGGGCTCCGTGCTCCTCTCCAGAAAGGCAAAAGCACTGAACAAGTGGTATGACGAGCGTGAAGCAGCTGGCTATTACGGATTCAACGTGCCGAACTCAGAAAAGCCCGGCTCCACAATCTCGCAAAGAATACGCTGGAAAGTTAAGTCCGACGAGGAACGTGCCTCGCTCAAGGTTATGATAGCCGTCTCGCTCTACCGACCATTCCACCTGCTCTTCACCGAACCTGTCGTATTCTGGTTCTCGCTCTGGGTCGCTTTCTCCTGGGCCGTGTTATACCTTACTCTCGCCGCGATCCCGCTCGTGTTCCAGAACAACCATGGCTTCTCCCTGCAACAATCCAACGCGGTTTTTGCCGCAATGTGCGTCGGCGCGTTGATCTCAAGCGTGCTGGCCATCTACCAAGAGAAGATTGCCCGTAAGCACGGCAAGCTGATCAACACGCCGGAGGGACGCCTGTACTTTGCCTGTGTAGAGAGTGCTTGTATGCCGATTGGCATGTTCATGTTCGGCTGGACGAGCGGTAGCAACATCCATTGGATCGTGCCTACGATCGCCGTGTCGATCGCGACGATCGGTATCTTCACCATCTATCTCAGCGTGTTCAATTATCTTGCGGACACATACCACCGATATGCCAGCTCTGCACTTGCGGCCCAATCGTTCTGCAGAAACATCCTTGGTTCGTCAACGTTCCCATCTCCTCGTATGACCATGCTAATACAGTGCTTTTCAGGCGGTATTTTCCCTCTCGTAACGACGCAGATGTACACCAACCTTGGCTTTGGGCCGGCGAGTAGCTTGCTGGGTGGTATCGGCACGCTGTTGACAGTCGTGCCGTGGATCCTTGTCTTCTATGGCCCAAGAATCAGGGCAAGGAGCAAGTTTGCCAGTGAGATTATGAACACATGAAGATAACAGGTGGTGGGATTTTTAGACCTAGACGTAGACAAACAAAAGCAATATACCCTTTTCAACGCCATGGATACATACCATAGATCCGCTTCGCACAGTGAAGAGACTCGCGTAGTGACTTTGCACAGACGAACTTGATCTATCCTACAGATTGCCACCGCATGCGACCGAGCAATACTAGTGCGATGTAAACACGAACCACCATAACGCCACCATCAACCGATATACATACACTTCCATAACTCACACGTCTTCCATTTGCACCTCCCCATCAAGTGAACTACCCACCTTCCCTACGCTCATCAACGACCCGCCAGCACCAAGCTCGACGATAATGTTACAAACGCCATCCGCCCATGTCGCGAACGCGCGCTCGGTGAGGACGTGGTACCAGCCCTCCGCACTATCGATAACCTGCCAGCCCGTCGGACCAACAGTCTTGACAGTGTACCGTGCTGATGTTGACGCAGACAAGGCAGGCTGAGACTGCTGGTCGTCTCTATCGGGCTGCAGGGCATTCGCGGCGGCGGCAAGGCCACGCAGGTTCTCAGTCTCGCGTGTACCTGCTGGAGCGGTGTCGACACTGCTACTGGGAGGCTTTATGGAGGGGTGGAGGAGCTCGGCTCGGTTCACCATCGAAGTGACTTGTTCGAGGAAGGCGGTGTAGTTGTAGAAGGTTAAGTGCGCAGGGCGGGTCGTTGAGATGCGTTTCTCGTCTAGCTTGATGCTTTTGGATGCGTTGGGAGCATAAGTCAGGAAGATGTTGATGTTCGTAAGGTGGGGTTCGGCTGCGTCAGCAGAGAGTGGTGCAAGGGGGGACTTTGGTGATGCAGCAAGGGCAGGACTGTTAGTTGAAAGAGCAGTTGCGCTGGGAGCATCCGTTCGTACGACTGTCGTGGAAGGTGTAGAAGGCGGGGATCGCTGCATCGCCGTAGGCCTTTGGAGTGTGGGATCGAGTACTGCTTGGAACTGCTGTTCAACATCAGGCGTTGGCGAGCTGTGATGAATGTGACCGTCTACGCTGTCCTCATTCTCCGTCTTCTTCCCACCCTTCCTGGTGTCGATGGCGTACAGTCTCTGTCGCTCGTTGGTGACCATTCTTCTCATCAGAGGCGTGACAAGGCTGACAATCTTGTTCCCATCGCGCGGCCATACCAGCTTTTCTACACCGCCACTCTCCTCTCCTAGCGCTGCAGCAGCTTCACTGCTCTCCCTCTCGCCGGGCTTTTCGACATGCTCTCCAAAGAACTGCTCGCCTACTCCACCATCAGTCAAAAAGTCTCTCACACAGTTGAACAGCCGGAGCTTGACCATGTCGGTGTCGCCCTTTCCACGGTTGCCGACACAAGACTGTCGGTCGGGGTGTGCCGGCGAGAGCATGTATGCCTTCGCAAGGGCTTGCAGGGCGATGAAGTTCTCAGGCGTAATGTTCAGCGACATGAAGAGCTTGGACATGGGTGGACGTGTGTACTTGCGTGTTGCGTTGGAGCTGGTGCGTCGAAAGAGGGCAACGGCCGAGTGGACGCCAACTGCGCGAGCATTCACAAGAAGGCTATCACGAGATGGTGAAGGACTCGCCTTCGGAGTGGGGGAATGCATGATGATGTTAGATTCGAGATTAGGATCAGTCGACGATGGGTCAATGCGGCGGCGTTTCGCGACTGAGCTCTCTTCATCCATTTCGTTCGGGGTAGCTGCGCCTGTCGGAGTGGAGAGTCGCTTTCTCGTGCTCTGTGTATCCAATACCGCTGGTGTTGACTTTTCGCTATACATAGCAACAGATCCTTGGTCTGCAGCTGTCGCTGCAGCTTCCAGAAGCTCCACCAGGTTATGCGACTCCTCAAAGTCGTTTGACTGACTGTCTGCCCCGGGCCGACGAACGGTCTTCGTTGATTGTTCAGGCAGGATGGGTACGTGGTCAAGATCTCCGTCTTGAGGTGCATCGGCTTGCAAGGCAGCGTTTGAGCTGTTGGTTCTCGCTGGAAGCTGGCCGGCACGCATCTGATAGTATGGTGCGTTTGATGCCATCGGTGCTAATCAACTGATCAGGGGGATGGGTCTGTCAAACAAATCGAACCGGAAGGAAGTGGTTTGGAATCGGAGCTATCGAAATCTGAACGTAAGTACTTGTACAGAAGACCTCAAGTAATCAATGCAGGGAAGAGAGAAAGGACTCGATGCAAGCCGCAATCTCGAGAAACACTGCTCTTTTGAATGCGACATCCTAACAGTCGCGGTTGGGTCAGGTGCAGATACATGACTACAGTTTGTGCGAAACAACAGAAAGTTTGACACGCGACGAGATGGTTTGACGGCAGAAGGGACATGCGAAAAGGCAGAGATATGCTGTTTGACCGATGGTAGTGTAACATTCGATACATGTAACGAAGTTTGCTTCGATCAAAGCCTGACGATGACGTTGCAGCAACGGTTTGCGCACCTTTCGTGGTGCTGGTTGCTTGCTGTGTCATACTTGTCGCTATCATGTATGATTGACAAGCAAGAAGCAGCGGCCGACCAGCGGCGACTCGTTCGTGGGTGCGAAGGGATGGCGTTTGTGTTGTTTGCACGAGATTTGTTGGTCAAGTTTGCACAGCTTGCTTATGTAAACCCAACGACAGAAACGTTCGTCGCGCAGGAGCTGCGCAGAGTCAATCTGAAATCTTTTGTGAATTGAGATGTGGTTAGAGGGATTTTTAGCATAGTAGTTATGACTGTTTTGATATTTTTAGCTTCTGCAATATCAGATGTGGTTGTGCAAATACTCTGGCATTCTACATCGCCAAATCCGGCGAACGTACATGCTTGACATGACAAAAGCTTCAGAGAACAGATCACGGTGGAGCATTACGTTGCACAGGAAATAGACACACTATGTTCATTGATGCAATCGGATAGATCATCTCCGTGAATCTGGTCGTGCAAGATCTCTCAAATTGATAGAGATCTTGTGACCGTGAAAGGGTATCCTCCATATGACGCCAAAAGTAGAGTCCTCCTATACCAGAACGCCGAACCATAGAACATTTCATCTAAAAGCCGTCTCCTTCTTGCCACTCTCTCCCGGACTCTTTTGCTCTGTTTTTGGGGTCATTTCCCCTCGCCTCTGCCTCATGCCTCAACCGATCCACTATCGGTCTCAAGCGATCAATCTCCCTCTGCAACTCGCGGTCTTTTCCAGGTTCTGGTTCCTCCAGTTCCTTCAGCTTTGCCTCATCACCCTCCTCTTTTGCTTCCTTGATCTTTTTCCCCTTGTCTTCCCAATCCCTCATGTCCCTCTCGCGATCCGACAGCTCATTCTTCAAGCTCATGAAGCCCTTGAACTCCTCATCTCCACCAAAACATGACCCATACTGATCGCAGAAACAAACATGTTCTTTCGGGCAAAAGACAGCCTCGCCTGTAAACACAAACTGCCACACATATTCCCAGATCCGACCGGACAGGTGATCTGGGATTTTTGTCTGGAACAACCACTCGCGATACCACACATACTGCGCGTGGCTTTTAGCTTGTATACGCTCCCTGCTCAGCGCAAACTGCGCGCAGCAGGGCTGGGCTAGCATGCTTGGGATTGCGTCTAGTGGGAATAGTTCCGACCAAGATTTCGCAAGTAGAACCTCTTCTTGCTTGAAATCGTTTTGTTCCGTTTCGCCCGGATGCATCCAATCCGGACAGCCTGGGTACCAACTGCACCGCATGTTGACGAAGCCTTCTCGCCAGACATGTGGGCGCGAGAGACGGGAAATCATTTTCGCGGCGTCGTTGCCAAGAATTTCGTCGTTGTGCCAGGCCTACAACAAGTAAATGTAAGTCATAGCTTGTTTAGTATGAGAGAAATATGCCTACAAGTTGATGCGCATGCATGAACATCGTTACGTCGGCAAGCTCGTTGTAGTGGTCGATGATATAGGTGAGGTACACCATGACCTCATGCCCTTTATTCTTGGGTGGGTGGAGAGGCGCGGACGGATCGTCAGCAACATAGATCGCGGTCTGCTGGTCCGGAAGCTCGCGCTGTAACCACTCCATATCCTCTTCTTTGGTCCTCGCAATCACGAGAGTAGACGTGTAGTTATGGCCCGCCGGGAGCGCAGAGCCGGCCTTGAAGTCTGGCCTGGGATTCCAGTTCGCATAGTCTGGTTCCTTTTGGCCTGCGCTGGGTGCATCGTGCGCATGGCTGTCACCTATGTGCTCTCCAAGCCCAATGTGCTGAGGTAGCCCCTCCCATGTCCTCTGCACTGCTTCACCGGAGAAGAAAAAGAGGAGGATGGACACAGTCGCGGCGAAGGCGAGGAATGGAACGACTTTCTTCTTCGTCATTGTATTGCGTCCAAGGGAGGAAAGCGTGGGGTATGCGCAGCGAAGGAGCGAATGGCAGCCCTCACAAAGTAGAGAACCACCGCGATTCCTTTCTGTACCACGTCGTCAGCAGAGTACATGCGCGTCGGCTCGCATGCGCTTACAGTGGAGTAGCCGCGCGGCGTGCTGTCGCATCAAGTCGCAGCAAGTGAACAATGGAGGCCTCCCTAACATGAGGCTACGAACACAACAACCAGCGATGCAGGTGTCGAAAGGGAGCACACGCGGCTGCACAAAGGACAGAGACTTGCTTCAGGCCCCAATGGCGACCCGTATTTGCGCTCATCATATGCAAGCCAAAGGAACGTCAGCTCACTTCAGTCTTGCCTAATGCGATCAACCTAGCCATTGCCCAGAACCCAAATTCAGGGGTTAGTGCTCGAATTGGTGCAACGCCAATCCAAGACGAACTGCACCCAGGCATCAGCTATGGTTGCGCTGTTTCTCCCGCAGCATTCCTGATGTTTCTGTGCTGTCGAGAGATCATGGTATTTACAGGATCAAAGCTTGGACAGGCGGACCATAATTAGATCAGCTTCAAGGGTGGATCGTTTAATTAGGCTACGGGATCTACGTATACGATTTCTCCACCAGCTGCGTAAGCCTCCATCAGCGCCAAGCCTGCCAAACATACAACAAAGCCATGCAGGTACCACAACGACCCTTTCGCGCATGCATAAGGGATGTCAATTGAACAACCGAAGAGCGAGCAGTCGTAGAGGTAATGTGCGCCACGCAAATGACAGTGACTTTGCTCAACAAACAATGGCTTGGCCTACATTGGTGACAGAGGCTGCAGAGAACGTATCGCGTACCTGATCAAATGTCCCCTGTGGTTGTAATGTAGTGCAGATGCTGCGGTGTAGCCAGGCCAGCCATGCGTCCGTGAACTATGACAGAGCGCAATTCTGTGCTTTCTCGAAGCTCTTGATCTCAAAGGCGTGAACTTCAGTTACAACACGAAAGCTAGGAAGGGACGTTGCGAGACTAAAAGGGAAAGTACGCAAATAGGAGCTGGCACACGCACCTTCATATGCCACCAGTTGACCAGAGCTCGCGACCCACAAGACATCGCAATGACGGTTTGCGATGACGCAAACATCAACACCTGTTTGCATGCTGTTGTCACGGACACTGATACGAAACGGGGTTGAATATCTGAGCCTGGACTCCGCTTGCTTGCAGCGCAATGCAGACTGTTTTACACGGTGTAGTACAAGGTGGATCTGTCTCTAACCGACGCGTCTTAGGCGAGACAAGGTATGCGCAATCACCTGGCGGTGTTTGCTGCAGTGTTCGGTTGGCGATGACTGCTAGCCGCTTCGACTGACTCTGTCGCGAGCTGTTGACATGGGCGCGATTATGATAGGTGATATTGACAACATGCAGACAGTGTTGGTGGCGCGGCAGGTGGTGCGGATGAATTATTTGACGTCCAGGTTGCATCGAAAGGGAAGTTATAGAAGTACAATTTGGTGTCGACGTAGATGACCAAGACGACTGATGCTCCCAAGGGTTGTGAATGATACCCCAGAGGCCTTTACCGAGTGCTGATAACCGAATCTCCAAGGAAAACTACCGAGCCGAAGATGTGGGGGAATTGTCGAGCGGCAAGATGGCAAACTATCGAAGTGTGCTACCGTGCGCTGCTGCGAATGATATCGAAGTACTTTTGCCGACCATTCCCTGTGATGTAAAGCCGTATTATGAAGCGAACCCATTGGCGCAACCATGGGATTACATGCGCGAAGTGCTGAAAGAGTAGCTTGCCTTGATCAAAGGTAGCCCTGCGAATCCTAGCTTAGTAGCGCTGGGGTTCTGCCTTTATCAGCGGATGAACTAATTGTGAGAGCGATCATAATCACCGTCGTATGAGCGGCCTCCGCCATACGACTCGCGAGGAGGAGCAGCATCGTAACCACCAGAGCCACTGGCTGGGGGAGGAGGTCGGTCGTAGTAGCCACCGCCACCGCCGCCACCACCACGACGGTCGTCACGGCCGCTGTAGCCACGGTCAGAAGCGTAGCGGTCTACGCCGCGAGAGCCGTAGTCATCTCGTCGGCTGCTTCCACCATAGCCGCGGTCGTCGTAGCGGCGAGAGCCATAGTCATCCCGACGTCCGTAGCCACCTCCACCCCGACGGTCGTCAGAGTAGCGGTCGCCATAGCGAGGGCCTCCGCGGCCCCTGCCGCCGCCACCGCTGCTGCTGCCACCGAATTCTGGGCTGGTGTCAGTGTTTAGGTAACATGTGGAGACAGGCATGCTTACCACGCTTGGGAGGACCGTAGTACTTGCCCGGCGTTGGCGTACGAGGACGCGCACGACGAGCCTTCTCGATGCTCAGAGTCCTGCCCTGGTGAACCTCGCCCTGTAGACCCTCCTTGGCGGCATCTGCCTGCTCGGGGGTGACCATGTTGACGAAGCCGAAGCCACGAGACTCCTTGGTGTGAGGGTCGCGCATGATGTTGCACTGCTCGACCTCACCGTACTTCTCGAAAAGACGCGTCACCTCATCCTCAGTTAGGCTGGGGTGAATGCCGGTGACGAAGAGGTTGGAGCCCTCGTTGCGGCTCTCGTCCTGCTCGCGGTCGCGGGCCTGCGGCGGTGGGCCACTAAGCAGGTGTCAGCTTGTTGGCCATCGACATGTAGCTGCACAATACATACCGGCTATCACGGCCGTTAGGAGAGGCACTGCGGGCACGCGCATTGTCGTTGTCACGGCTGTCACGGCCCTCACGGCGTGGTGACCTGCTGCGGTCGCGCTCATAGCCGCGAGGCTGGTCTACGCGTGCGTGTTAGCGAATGGTGCAGTGGCACAAGGGGGGAAGACAAACCGTCGTAGCCGCGTTGGTCGTTCTCGTATTCCATCTTGTGCTGCGGTGTGGGTTGCAGAAGTGATGGCGATGACGGAGGTGAGGTGTTGTTTGTCGACAAGAAGGTCTGGATTTTTTGGCAGCTATGGCAGGGCTGATCGACGGAGCCGCGCCTTTATTTAGTAAGCGTTCACGCTAGTGCGCCTGCCGCAAGAGACGTTGCAACCTTGCAAGTGAGTGGGGACAACGATAAATGATAGACAACAGACGGATGTCTCTGGTGGATGTGGAATGGACAGCCGGGCGCATCTTTATGGGCGAGACGTGCGTCGCGGTGAGATCGAACAAAGGCAGGCGCGGCTCTTGGCGTCCAGAGTGAGAGTGAGGCAACTGCGGTCAGGGGCCCGCTTCCAACGCCCTGTTCGCGCGACCTGTCGCGGCAAATTTCAAGTAGCTTCATGGCGTCACTACCTCACCCATTGAGATGCTGTCATGTTCCGCCTGTATGATTTGGGGTCGGGGACGCGAGCAGAAGAATAGGACCGGAACATTGTTGTATGATCGTAGCTGAATTACTAGAACTGCCAGTCTTGGTCTGCAGCAACCATCGTACCATTACTCCCTGCTGAAATGCCACACGAAAGATCAACTCCAAGATATCACAAGGGTACTTGCGTGGCGTCTCGCCACAAGTAGAGCCAAACACCGCATTGCGCCTCGTCTACCAAGCCGGGGAATATGATACAAAGACAAGGGTAATACAGGCATGTTCGAATGTACGTGCCAGAGTGAAACAATGTGGAAGAAAAAAGGAATCATATCATCTAAAGGCTCGCGACCTTTTTTGTCTCTTGCGCGCAGCCGCTTTGCGCAACTCAATGGCCTGCGCGTCAGCCGCTTCCTCGTCCGGCTGGACTGGGTCTGAATCTGCGAGTCCATCAAGCTCATCGTCGTCAAGCTCGCTAAGGTCTTCGCTCATGGCTTTGAGTACTTCACGACCAGCCCAAATTGGCTCGTACACCGTCGTTCCATGAACGTCGAAAGGCTCAAGGTACCACGGAACGCCTCCATTGTGGAGTGGATTGAGCAGGTTCTTCTCAGATCTTGGTGGCGTGAGAGGTTCTGTACGCCCATCAGTCTCCCTAGCATCAAGATCCATTGCGTCGTCTCGAGGCTCCCCTCTAGAAGCATGTAAGGTGTCCTGCCCTAGCTGAGCCGCAATGGCGGCCTCGTCTGCTGCCTCATCGTGCAATGAGTGGTGATTGTCAGCAGTGTTGTCATCGGGTGTCGGTGCGAGCTGAATGTCGTCTTTCTTTTGCAAGGTATCTTCAGGTCCTGCGCCATTGACCAACGGCTTAGTGATATCGTCGTGATATGTTTGTTCTGCATCCACCATATCGTGAGGGGCATCTTCAATTGATGATCCGTGCAGCTTTTTGTCGAGAAGGGTCTCGAGATCGACAAGCTTCATGAATGGGGACCTGGTCATATCGGCCTCTTTGCGCAGAGCATCCTCAATGTGGGGTTGCACACTTTTGATTATGCGCTTGACCAGCTTCTTCGTCTCTCTCTGTTCGGATGTTAAAGCGCCATGAGTAAGTCTGTTCGACTCAATTTCAGCATCTCCTACATTGGTGACTGGTGCAGAGGTAGCATGGGCGCTCAGTACCGCAAGCAAATCATCGATGAAGGCTTGTACAGATGTATAGACCTTCTCGTCAAGCTTGGTTTTGAGCTCACTGAAGCCTTCAGCAAAAGTGCCTTTATTGTCGTGGCTACAGAGGGAATTAGTCAGCGGACCAGGAAATGGTGGGAGCCAAGTACTTACTTTGTCGCCCGATCCAGGATGGGGCTAAGGAGATGTGGGATAGGGAAATAGACGCAGTCTAGGATATCCTTGAGGATCATGACATCTTTAAGCTTCTGAGCCTCGCGTTCCTTGACATTCTCACAGAGAACTCGGATCTGTTCCATGTCATCCTCTAGACGCTCAGCAAACTCGATACGACGCTGCAGACGAGGACGACCAGCAGCACCCATCCCCGCAAAATTGCGACGGGTGATCTCCATAGACGAGAATGCTTCCATCTGTAGTTGGAGACGCTTGAGCAAGGCCGCGCCACGGCGTGCCTCGCGCTTCAAAGTCCAGTACTTGCAAGCTTCTTGCACGAATTCTTTGCGTCTGCGAACATTGAACTTGATCAGGGCGTTCTCAACATTGTGGTAGACAGCTTGAGGCACAACTGGTGCTCCAGACGGTAGCCTCCAGGACTTAGCCGGTTGTCCGCGCTTGCGCTTGTTGCTGCCAGGGATGCCGTCATCCTCGTCATCGATAGTGTGAGCTGCGTGGGTTGAGCCGATAGATAGAGCATAGGCTTGACTGTCTGGCCAGCGGATGTGACGCATGGTGTGTCGGTAGAATGCTTTTGCATCTGCAATTGCGCCCTCGACGTCGTTCTCGCGTCTCCAATCGTTGGGTGTATGCCGATCGCAGTACGCCTTGAGTACTGTAGAGTCAAGAGGATTGGAGGATTGAGAGGATTTCATTCGCAAACACAACCGTGCCTTGCGTGCGCAAGTGACGTGGAAGGCTTCGAAGCACGACTTGTGGCCGCACTGAATGCACGCTCCCATCCTTTGCTTGCAGATATAGCAGGACTACAGGTTGTGTCAGCTGTAATAAAGCACTGCGTTCAGTTGTCAACTTACCAGCTTCCAACGCGTCTTGGGGACCTTTTCAACATCTTGTACTGGCTCCTGGAAAGTCACATTGCCAAGTGATACCTCGGGGATCCACATAGCACAGAGAAGGTGTGCCCATTTCATAGCTGTTGTTTGTTTGAAGGCGCCGTCACCATTTGGACAGAATATGCAACCCTGGGCACGATCAGCAGAGGCTTTCGGGGTCAAGAGGTAAGCACTTACTGGAAGCTCACTCGCAGGGGTGCCTCGGCCTACCAGTTGACAACGTCTGCAAAGCCATTGTCCTTCTGGGATGAACGGCACACCGTAACATTCTTGATGGACCGCCAAGTCACAACCATCGCAGAACACTATGGCGTTGGTGTTCTCGCAGTCGCCATCATCACAGATTGCGCACTTCGTGTCTTGCTCCTCTCCTTGTCCTGCAGGCTCGCCGTTCACAGCAGCCGCACTACTAGACCGCGGCCGGTGTGTTTGGGGTGGTTTGGGGTTTGGCTTGGGAATGCCTACATGCTGTCAGTGTATAGCCAGAGGCTGGAACGATCGAAGCCACTCACGTTTCTCCAATGCATGCCACTCCTTCTCGATCTGAGTTATAGTGACTTCGAATATCGCCGGCTTAATGGGCTCAACATCTTCAGCTTTCCGCTGGACATTCAGTGCTTCAAGCCACACGTCGTCTTGTTCGTCCATATCGTACTCGACACGTCCAAGTGCGACAGCCGTTGTGGATCCTTCTGCTTCATTTTGTAGCGTGAGGTCCAGGTCCTCTTCGATCGAACCCTCTGGAAGGCGTATCAGGTTGTTTTCAGCCCTGGCAAAAACCTCGCTTTCTTGATAGCCAATGTTCGCCATAGTCCTGTCAACATAGTTGACTTTGACTCCTTCACTCTCTTCGTGAGCCTTGAAAGTATCGACCTGTCGCACGTTCGGCTTGGGCAGATTTAGCTTCTCCTTCGGATTCATAGTCGGAAGCGGGTTGATGCGCGGACGAGGAGGAGAACCAAGCCCAGCAAGCATGGAGTCTCTATTGCGGGGAGGTCGCCCCGGGCGCCTTTTGGGAGTGGCTAATAGGCTGGTCGAGCCACCGTAGCCACCATCCGTCTCTTCGTCTTGCGTCTGCTGTGCGCGCAAACTGTCGAGCATGGCGGAAATTCCGTTGTCCACAGCATACTGGCCAGTCGACGGCGGCTGGCCAGGTGTGCCTGGTGCCGAGTCTGAAGGGCTGAGGCCGTCGATCTGGTCTGCGGTGTAGACGGGAAACTCGACATCGATGTCGAGGTCCGGGTGGAACTCGTCCCAGCTCCGCTCCTCCCGCGGCTTGTATCCATCGTTCTGCGCCACGGCGGCGGCGACTGCAGCAGCCGAGCTGGAGCGAGGTCCAGCAGGCGGCCTTTCGCGTCGCGGTCGTGAATATGGGGGCGAGGGCGCGAGATCGGGGAGGGCGATGCCCTGGCGCTCGGCGTTGAGGCGTCCGATGCGGCCACGGGGACCTACGTACGCGTAGCCACCGGGTCCTGTTCCTCCAACAGGCGTCTCGATGCCCTCGTCATCTACGTAGCGGCCTCCGCCTCCAGGTCCGCCGGGCACGTACTTGCGCTTCTTGCTGACAGGCACCGAGTCGGAGATATGGCGTCTGCGTGGCCGGTCGGAGCTTCGAATGCGCGTAGTGGGGGTCTCAGGAACAGGCGCCATGTAGAGGGCGGAGGAATGTTGAGCAGGCCAGCTAGGATGAGTCGCGAGGACGCGCCGCCGGCACTGGTGTATCTGCCGGTGGGGCTACCGCGAGCGCAAGTCCACCAGGCAAGCTGAGAGTGGGATGAGCATCGATAGCAATGCAGCAGGCGGGGTCGCAAGGAATGCGCGGGCGTCAGAGCGTGCGCGGTGTCGAAAGCGCCTCCTTCTGCTCCAGGTGAGGTTGCACCCTTTGGCAGGTGGAACGCAACATGGCCCGACTCGGCCTAGCGCCCTGGCTTGGATGCGCCTCTGGTCCCGCGCTCCACCCTTAGCCGAGCGTTCACGGCGAGCTTGGTTGCCTGCCCGGCAGTCGGGCACCGTCTGCAACGGGGCCGCTTGCGACTCCGATGCTCTCTCGCCTAGCGAAGATCTCGCTGGACAGTGTCGCCGTGCGGCACCGGTGGGGACAGACCTCGACTCGCAGGCTTGTGATCATGCAGTCCTGTGTCCAGCGAAGAGCTGGCTACAAACAAATAACTGAGGGCGAACAGACTGGCAAGAGGGCTATCACAGAGTTCGGTTTGGTCTGCTCGCCCTCAAATATTTGGTTGTTGCCAGCTCTGTTCGAACGTCTGCGTACTTATTTTATTGTATAGTGAACGCCCTGCTGGGCAGACTTCTCACAACAAGATATCACAAGAATGTTTATGGTGACTTCGCAGATAAGCTTCCCACGCAGAGCTAACCCTCTACTATACTGATCGTGACAGTATGTTCTACTTGGCATCTTCCCGGCCGCAACCTTGATAAGATACCTGACAGTGAAGTACCGTGTGTTCTCGAAAAGCACTCGTTCAGGCTCAGCTTGGTTGCGCTCCTTCTGATCTGATCCCTGCACCAATCGCAAAATACTCCCAAGTCGGCCTCTGCGCCGTAGCGAAGACAGGCACAGCTTGAAAGCCACCACGTGGACATAGAGCAGCCTGCGTAGTATTCGGTATCGTCCGCCGTACTGTCGACTTATGTGAGTTACTGGTCATAAGCACTAGTACGCCACGAAGTCAGACCTTACGTCAGGAAGTAATCCCGGTTCGCATTGATAAGTATCATGTGATATCAGCAATCGTGCCCCAGGGGCCCACAGAAAGCACTTCAGGTTATAACCCGCGCTTATGTCGCGTTGTTGTGTTGTCACACTGTACGCCTTCCCTCGTACCTTCCTCGTGGCCTAGAGTCTGTTAGCCCACTCTGCCGGTCAACAATCAAGCAGTCTCCACACAAGAAGACCTCCGAACAGTAACATGATGCAAACTGATACATCATCACCAAAGCCATTCCGGGTGATCATTGTCGGTGCTGGCATTGTAGGACTGTCCTTGTCGCACGCTCTTCAACTGGCCAAGATTGACCATGTCATCCTGGAGAAATACGATAGGGTGAAGTCTGTCAAAGGTGCAGCATTGATTATCTGGCCAAGCATCGAACGCGTTTTTGATCAGTTCGGCTTCTTGTCTAAAATCCTGGCAACTACCACGCCTGTAACGACGGAGCATAGGCGCTGGCCAGATGGATCAGTCCAGTCGAGTCGTAATACTATGGTCAGATTTCAACAGATGTATGTCAATTGTTGTGAGATGACGCCGTCAAGAGCACATCGCGCATGGAGGCTGTCGCTGACTGATTGACAGCTTCAAAGTGCCGCCGATCTTGTTCGAGCGACAGACTTGCGTAGCTCATCTTTACGACAACCTACCAGACCAGTCAGTGGTGAAATTGAACAAACAGGTGGAAACAATCGAACACACAGAAACTGGTGCTCGCGTCATTCTCACGGACGGCACTATCGAGGAGGGCGACATGGTAATTGGTGCAGATGGAGTCCACAGCGTCGTCAGACCTCAAATGTGGGATTATGCGAGCAATTTCGAACCAGGTGTAATCCCGGAATCGGATAAGTCGGCACTTTTCAGCGAGTACGATGCTCTGTTTGGGGTCAGTGATCTGGAAGGAAAACCCGAAGACTACGGTATGGAGGCCGCCGAAACAAATGTTGTCTTTGGACAGGGTGTGACCAAACTCCTCTTCCAACAGCAAGGTGAACAAGCATGGGCAATCATCTTCAAGGATAAGTACAACCAACCACCAAAGAGATTCAGAGCTACAGAAGAAGATATGGAGAACGTCGCAAAGCGATTCTCCGAGGTGGCATTGAACGAGAAGCTCAAGTTCAAGGAACTTTGGGAGAAAAGAAAGCGAGCTGGGCTACTGACGATCGAAGAAGGGGTGCTCTCTCAATGGCATGCGGGACGAATCGTCTTGGTAGGAGACTCAGCGCATAAGGTAAGTCTAAGCACAAGTCTCTGCCAGATGTTGATAAGACACTGCCATCACCGTTCGCCAACTGACTGATCTTTACTAGATGACAGCAGACCTGGGAGTTGGCGCCAACATCGCTATCGAAGATGCCGTTGTACTTTGCAACATCCTCCATCGCGAGCTAAAGGATGACCGCAATCGTCATCCCACTAAACAAGAACTAAACTCTATGTTTGTTGAATACCAGAAAGAGCGATACGACCGGGCAAAGGCATTCACAGACCTCTCTGGAAAAGCCACAAGAGCAAACTCTTACGACTCACTCATCGGTAGATTGTTCGCCACATACATTTCTGGCTGGATGTACGAGACGCAGGTGACGAAACTTGCCACAGCATGGGCTAAGGCGCCGAAGTTGAACTATGCGCCAGTGCAAACGATCGACGAGAGTGCTCCCGGATGGCTGCTGGCAAAGACGCAAGACGAGGCCTCAAGCTCCATGTGGCTGATGTACGCTACTTTTGGGGCAGTGGTCACAGGACTGGCCATTTCTCGATTCGGAAGCTCTAAGTTGTGATCACGTTTGCTAACAAACGATCACCTTATGTCTGCTAATCGATAATCATCTGGGTGAGGAAACATGACGGAAACGATCAATTCATGCTGCGGATTCGGGCAAAAGACGAAAATGCAACTAACCCCACTCAGTCATACAATCTAGTAGTACCTGCTCCTTACACCAAATACGCCGTTTCTTCTGACTGACTGAACTGTGTCTATACGTCCATCTGTTGACTTGATCCAATTGCGTGAGCAGGCGCTGGCTTAGCTTTGCTTCGTTTCTTTGCCGCATTTGCACCAGCTTCCATCTTTCTTCCACATCCTTTAGGACTGGTTCTTGCCTAATTGTATGTATCTATTATTCTCATCAGATGCAGTGGCTCGCTCATTGTGCGGACTGGTTCATATCTGGTACGCCACGCATGGGTACCGGTCTTCCCACGTGGAAGCGTTAGTAGAGGCATTTATGTATCAACTAGGGAACGAACCAGACATGTCTAGGTAGTTTCGAGTCCATAATTCTGATAACGTTGAGACTGACAAGCGTGGCATCTATGAGTGGCTGCTATAGTCTAGTCTCGGACAGTACCATGGTACACAGAGGTCTCGCTGTTCCTTTCCACTCTTTACTTACCCGTATATAGGGACCCGGCTCACCTCCACATCTTTTATGGGCCCCGATTTGTTTGGTATGGTGGAGTACCGTGGAGGGAATGGTGGTCCGCACACATTGCCGTGCACCAATAATGCCTAGGGAGTTGTCTTTAGCTTAACACAACGAGACTTGAATCAAACGACGGCTTCATGGACCGTCCCATCGAGCTACGGGCGACACATCAAACGAACGTATTCATCGTTCACGGTATTTGCGCTAGATTGTGTCTGCGTTTCTATATTTCTGAACTACGGTTGCATTTTGCTAGACCGCACGCACCTGCCATGCTCACTCGCTCATCTTGGTCAATGAATCCGATGAATCGGCAATGGTATCTACAAGCCAGTCATTGTGCAGCAAAGGCTACGTTTTCGTACACTGATGGCCTACTATCTTGTGTCCATAGTTGGGTACCCTGACTTCACGGTTCTATTGCACACGTCTCGGCCACATGTAAACGGTATCTCCCGCATGAATATCCGAAAGCTTGATTTGAGCTACGTGAATTAAGGCGGACTTAATCGGTGCAATGAAACAGCCATGGCTGTCATACATGTAACACCTAACACTACCCCACACTTCGCAATACTGCGACAGTAGTCCATGCTCAAGTGTGCAATTCAAATAACCACAAGTAGTCTATCAGCCTTCTAAGCCTCGGTCCAGCTAAAAAACATCAATTGTGGTGTAGCGTCTAGCAGAGTCCGGCATCTGTATCCGCTGAAATAAACAATAAAGAAATGGTATCGTGCAATCGGGTGCGGTGAAAGTGCGGCCCTGACAAAAATCCTGATCCTACGCCAGGAAATGCAAATCGTAAATAATCATGGGTGGTGTACAATGAACGGACACGACTGTTAGGTGTCTGCGGAGACGTTGAAGCGGATGACTTTAAAAGTAGTCTTTCCGATCCGGTTGTTGAGGCGAGACTGACTTGTGCTCTTTGACTGCTCGGTGCTGCTTGAAAGCTTCCTGGCGTCGAGAATTGCGTTTCGAGTTGTATGCGCTTGCAGGCTCGTTCGAGAGTTCGATCTCCGACGTCATCGTGATTGTCATGTCTTCGTTTGAGCCTGACGACTCTGATCCCCGCGTCCGTATCTTCTGCCACATTTTCTGGAAACCTCCACCTTTTCTCTCTTCGCTTTCCGCTCCGAGTATGGCGTCCTGACTATGGCTTCTTCGTGGGTTTTTGAGGGCATCGGGGCTCGTAGTCGCGAGTTCTTCGTCCCAGTTGTTCAGTTCGTAGCTTCGTCCTTGATCGTGGACGAGGTCGGGTGCAGCTAGGATTGCATCCGATTTCCGCTTTGATGACAGGTTTGTCGTGCTCAACTGGGTTCGTGTGCCTTCGGCAGCTGTGGTCGACATCTTGGATGCCTTCGAGTTGTAGCCAGATCCCGCAGTCATCTTCTTCAATGAGATACCTCCGGAAAAGGTTTCGGACAAACTGAACGGTAACTTCGATATGAGTGGTCTCAGCACTGGAGCCGAAGCGCAGATGACACCGAGGTCGATTTCCACCGCAGCCGCGATCCATAGAGGGTAGGCGTACCTGCATTACGATGAGCCAAAGGCGACTGAAGGACTGGGATGCATCTTGAACATACCAAGTGTTGTCATAAGTTGTGACCAGGGACTTATAGATGAACCATGTGCGAACGATACCTGCCACCGTCACGACAATACCCATAGCGAAGAGACAGGCAACAGCGTAGCGTTGGCGGCGCGGCATGTGCAGCTTTGATGTGTTAGCGCCGTACATGAGAGGATGACACCAGTACTTACACCCAGGATGAGTGGAATCGGTGTCACCGTGGTCGCAAGGTCGGCAACACAGTTGATGATCCCGCAAACGAGAGTCACAATGCCTTCGTCCATACAGCTGTCAGCTGGTGAGCCGACCAACCAGTAATCCGAGACAGGAGTGCACAAGAAGATCGCAATGAAACTATCACGAGTCAGCGCATCGTTCTTGAGTTCGAAAGGAATTACTCAGACGTAGACGCACATGAACGATATGAAGATACCGATGGTATAGATAACGTTGAGATGGATGCACCATTTGAACCATCTCTTCCCTGTGTCGGCGACCAAGCGGTAGTAAAAGCAATGGAGGGACAATCTCGTGAAGGTTGCTGCGCATGTAAACACTACCTTGGCTGCCATTGCGATTTTCAAGGTTGGCGTGAGCTTGTTGAGAGGTATATCCCAGAGATGTCTGTCCCAACCAAATCGTTGGTTTGCCAACAGCACAACAGCAGTCAATCCGACAGTGAATAACTATTAAATGTCAGGACAGCGGCGTAGAGAGCACAGCACTGAAATACCAAGGCAAGTAGGATAAACACATCATCGAGCCCAAACCATCTCTTGATAACCAAACGCGTGTACATGCGCAACCCAACGACTATCACTACCAGCGCGATGAAAATGGAGTTGACAATGAGGAGCGCATCGCCCCGGGTCACAGGATTGGCATAATTTGGCTTAGGCCATGTGAGAATCACCTTGCTGATGGTAAGCCAAATATAAGCACTTTGAGACGACGTTTACTTACATCGATAGGAGGTAATTTCATCCTGGCGTCAATGGTAAACACCTTGCCCAGATTCGAAGGAAAGACATGCAGGAGTAAAGACCTGATAGCTCCAGGTTCGGAGAGACGCACGCAAGATGGGGGAATCTACGGGTAAGCCTTCGGCGCTAGATCACAAGCTCCTTGATAGGTTTCGTGTCTGCGGGGCGTCCACAGGTTGTGGCCCTTCTTGCGCTCGTCCAATAAAGTTTCCGGCAGGCGTTACAAATTAGTGCCACATTGGTTTCCTGGTAGCACATCACTGGATCGAATGCTAGTGCTAAGAACACAAGATATTTAGCAAGAAGGTGATCCCGGCCGTTCTGGAGAGGGACGCAGCAGACCCGACAACTCTATGCAATGCCACGTGAGGTGACGCTGCAGTAGTGAATGTTAGTACCAACCCATCTTCCTGTATCTCCCTCAACAAGAAAGGAAGTGTTTTCCGTCAGCATCTCGGTTTTGATGCAATGACAATTAACGGTGAGTCCCGCAGCTGTCAGGACTTGACATGCTGGTCAGAAGCTCGGTCAGCGGATAACAACTATCCGTCATCGGGCTGAAATTGGACTGCTCGACCAAAGGTGTATACTGATCCACTGGTAGTCCCTTGCTGATGGCCACCTGCCCAAATATTGATGTCCCCGACAATTCGTGCAGGCTGCGGCGTCCATAGGTACGTACTCCCCTGAATGGCCAGTTCCTCCGCATCTTGCATAGAATGGACGTGGCTGGTGTTATACGACAGCTGCGACGCCGGTCACAACATGACGAGAAGCGCTATGACATGTGTGGTGGAGGACAGCCACCGTCTGGTCAAAGCGTGACCAGGGATCATGGTGGCATCGTAGATCAGACTTAGCACCAAGCTAAAGCTAGTGCCCCGATTCGCGGCGCTTTTTCAGCGCCCATTATTCGCGATTTAGAAGTCCATTGGCGGGGAGGACCATTGTCATCGCCCTGCGGCATCTATCAGCGCTCCTCCCAACGTTAGGCGTCATTCGGCTGTCTTCACCCGATGTCCTTTTGAAATCTCCGTCTGTGATCCGCTCGTTCATCAGCAGCAAAGGTACCATTCCAGACCAAACCGATCAAGCCAATCAGACCAAGCAGTCCATCACGTCAAGGCCCCGGCAGCCTCGAAATGCAGGAACATCTTCATTCAAGAGTTTCTGCCCGGACCACACTCCCTACTCCGTGTGCGCCTGCAAGGCTTCACGTCAGCCTCGTACGCATTTACGTCGCAAGCACTTATATGCTGAGGCGGGTAAGCTACACAACTTGAACCACTCGTTAGTAGTCATAAACCGGGGACGACGAGCTGAAGAGCGGGCATCTGATTCACCACGCCTTGTTTCCGAACACCAACCTGTAGCGAATCTGGCCTGTGGTCTAAAGCGGCCCTCTCATGTCAGTATCTCATTTCCACGAAAATCTTTACATGGTAGCTGCATGCAATCCTATGCCAACTCGGCAAGCTTTCTCAACAACGATCCTGAAAATGTGCAATCAAGGCTAGACAGCGAAGAGGTTGTGATGACAGCACATGTCGTTCAAGGGTATTTTGGCGAATGCGTACAAAGTTTTCACTTGATCTGCGCAGGGAACGTTGAGTGTCGGATGCCAAATGTCTACTATCAGTGTCGACTGTTTAGTGACCCAGACGTGAAACGCACATTGTCAACGAGCGTTTTTGTGCCGTAAACGTTGTGAGCACGGTGGTTAGAACACAAGCGCTATATCGACTGAAGGATCCGCGCCGCCGAGCTCGTAGGATGTCCTCTCCAGTCGGGAGGAGTGAGGCATGTATTAAACAACAGGCATGAACCTCGAGAGCGGCAGGCTTCGCTGTGCTCGAGTCAACCTTTTTCAAAGTAAGACAGCACAAAGAACGCACTCTAGAAAGGTTCGATGACACAGAGGAGACAGAAGATACTAACAGGGAAGCATATGAACGATGAGCATGAGGCGTCAAGATGGTGCAGCACTGCAGAGCTAAAGAGGACGATGCAGTGTCTAACATTGAATCCGAGCGCCCTGAGCATCGAACTAGCCATTCTCAGCTGGAAGAAGGTCCCTGCATGAGCAGGGCAAGGCGTAACAATCGTGATGGCGGTAGAGCAGGCTCGGTACAGACCGAACCCCCAAGCCACGAGCTAAGTTGTGTCCAAATCGGCAATCCAGAGCACTGACGGCACTCACCGGAACGAGCAATGGGGGCCTGAAGCACAGACCGGACACAGCATCTAGGCGTGGCACTGGCGTATAACTCAATTGAGCAAGGCTGCCACCGTTTTGTGGCATTGGACTTTAATAGAGATCATCATGATTCTTTCATAAAGTAACAATCAGCATACAAGTGGAGCCATTGACAATTAAAAAAGGTAGCTTCAATTGAAGATGAAGTCTGGCATGGTGTTGCGTACGAGATTTGAAAGGCGTAGAGTTCAAACGAATCAAGGGCAGTCAAGGCTTCTAGGGAGCAGATCTACGCATCAGTCGCATATGTGAAATCGAGAACAGATCTGCAAAGCGTCTTGCCTATGAAAATCGAAAGTCCGAGGTCGATGAAGAACTGCCTCTTTCGTCGGGTCGGCATTTAATTGATGCATAGCTGCTGCTACGTCGAGTACAGTAAGCGTCACCGATAAGTGTTGCCTAAAACCGATCACCTTGGAAGCTTTATTACAAAACACGTAAGTAGTCAAACACATCCGGGGAAGTTCAGCAAATGCTGATCATCGTTGTTGCTTGTTAACGTCCTTTGCAGGCGAGCGAATTGCAGACAGTCCATTTTGCCGCTCTGAATCCTTCGAGTTTGCCTAAACGCCCGTCAGAAACGTCCAGATGCAGTATCTTACAGCATAAGCACAACAGTGCATGCTCAAGCGCTGCATCGTTCTCACCATGTAATGTTGGTTGTCCGGTGCATATTCTGCATGCTGTCAGCCTTCAGCATGCACTCACTCTCACCGTTGAGGCACCTCCAGGCCAGCACCTTTCCATCTTCGAATTCGCCAACATTGACCGGCGCAACATCTGCGCCTTCTTCGCCGCACTCTATATGACCGTCATAGCCTTGCAAAACGCGTTCCAACCATTTCTGTGCACCGGCGTGAGGCACTTATGCCCCAGCACTGCCTCGCAAAATGCCTCGCACGAGGCGCTTGCGAGCCGCAGGCTCACTTCCAGCGCGCCTAACGCTGTACGGCCATGCTGATTGGTCGACAGCCAGGAAGCGTGGTGGGAATAACGCCTGAGGGAGGGCACACGAGGGCTCAGCGATCACAGGATGACTGTAAGGCTTTGTTAGAGGGGCTGAACGAAGGCTGTTATTCGCGCATATGTAAAAAGCTTGAGCGCATGTCTTTGCTCCCGTGCATTCATACATCTACAATTCATACTATCACCACAATATTTCCCATTGAACAGCACATTCATACACCGTACCGCATACAGTTCTAGCACAGCTGTTCGAGGATAGTCCAAGCCATCCAAACTCGCATAGAGTTGGTGTACGACAATGGCGCCCATCAATACCCTTCACAACATTCACACCATACTGAGACGCTCCTCATGCGGCTCCTACGACAACCCCTGTACACCACACCGAACTGCAATACTCTCAATACTACTCGCAATCGGCTTCATCACGTGCTCGATTTTGCTCTTCTATTATCTACGGAAGCGGACTGCAGTAAATCCAGGGCCAAGTCGGTTTAGACCAGGTCTGGTACATCCACATAAGCTGCAGAGAAGGGAGGCAAGGGCAACTTGGCGGCGGGAGGATAGATATGAAGGAGACGTAGGGGTACAGTTACCGCAGTATGAAGAGCGGGTTGATGCGCCGCCACCGTATGTGTATGTGTTAGCAAGACCGGAAGATGCGCATGTCCACAGTGAGAGGCGGGTATGAGACAGAGTGTGGAATGAGAATTGAAAGCAATCATGCATTGAGCTACCCAAAACTTGCGAATGTGCTAGTTGTGACTATATTTATCCCCTGCGCCTCGTGCTGGGGCTTTTCCCTGCACCGCTCGACACTGCGCGCTTCGCCTCCTCCTTCTTCGCCGCGACAGCGGGTGCGACAGGCCTGTTGAGCTTCTTGCTCTCTGTGTTCTTCGAAGCGGGCGCATTCCAGTAGTATATGACCTGTAGGAACAGGACGAGGTTGAATGCGAAACCTGCGACGAACCCGTACAGAATAAGCGGGTCGTCGACTTCTTGGAATGTGGTGAAAATGCGCGAGGCAGAGCCGAGGAGGTAGTTGATGACCTGTGTATTTGGTTAGCGATCGCACTTTTCGTATACGTTGCTGGGACACGACTTACAGCGAATGCGCTCAACTGGCCAGTACCACCCTCAGTCCAGATGGTCAAGATCTGAGGAATCTTGGCTGCGACGCCCAGTATCCCTGCGGCGCTCATAGCCAGGCTGAGGTTTGCCTCGTTGACCTGGTTCTCGTTGAACATGAGCCATCCAACGCCAGCTAATCCTGCAATCCACGCTGCAATAGCAGGCTGCCTCCCGCTGTAGTTCAAGACCAGCGACGCGATAGCAATGTTTTGAATCAATATGAGTGCCGTCTCGCCGTATGTGCTGAACGGGAATCCATGACGGACGTTGTAGCTCAACGAGATGAGGTAGGCACCGGATTCGAGGACATAGGAAAGGAAGGACAGGCCTTCAGCGGACTGCGAGTTCAGCAGCTTGAGCAGCTGTGGAATCTTGACGATCGATGACGCGCCGATTATGCCAATCCCTAGACCCTTGGAAATGGCAAGCTTCACGCATTCGGTCTTAGTGAGATCGATGTCGTGCAAGAGGGTCTGGTAGCAGATGGGACCGAGTAGAGATTCACCCAAGTCTGCAATGGGCTTGGGAAGATTTTGAGTGATGGGTGAAAGGACCGGGCGAATCGCGGAGCCGAGAGCATCCATGATTGTGGTGTTTGGCGTTTGGCGTTGGGTGGTTGCGGGGTGTCGTGATGAGGGAAGGAAATGTTTGGCAGGGAGTCTGACGCAACCTGGCATTATTCTGTTGCTAGCGTGAATTCGGCTGCATGGCCCTCATGATCCACATATCAGAATGTCAACGAACACAATGGAACTGTTTGACAGAATTGTTTGTTTCGTAGATCGTCTCATGCATCATGCATTACTACTGCCATTATTTTCGTAGATCCCCCTTTAATTACATCGGGCAAGAAGGAAAAGAGTATTATAGTACATAGTATGCAACAAGGGTACTGTGGAAGGCGAATGGAACTTGTAATGCGACCAAAAGCGCCAAAAGGAGGAAAATCGAAGCCTACTGAAAGGTTCGAAAGGAGGATCATACTTCTAACCCTTTAGAAGATCCCGGGAATGAAGAGGTAAGGTACCTGCTTCTCGTACTCGACCCAAGCCTCGCCGTACAGCTCGCGGCACCTTGCAATATCACGCATTGCGCGGTGAATAATCATACCGGCAAAGAAAACCGAGTAGAACCATGGGAAAGGCGAGTTAAAGCCGGTGATTAGACCCCAGGAGATGGCGAAAAAGAGATCACAGGTGTAGTGGATTTTACGGGCCTTGCCATACCAGCCGTCAGCCAGAATCTTGTTTCCGTGCTTGGTGGTGATGGTTTTGGGATTGGCGATGCGGCCATACTTGAAGTAGGGAAAGGTGGTCCGCTCGTCGACTACACCACGCTCTTCTTGTCGGAACTGATTCTTCTGGCTGTTGGTGGTGTCCCAGATGTAGTACATGCCGGAATAGGCAAGCATTAAGACAGCAACGAACCACGTCGGCCAGGTGTACTCAGAAGGGTGATGGTTGGCGACGTAGAGAGTGCAGTGGCAGTAGGAGAGGGGTACGCCCGCCATGTTCCAGAAGATGAGCATGAAGCCGAGCTTCTCGTAGTACATGTCCCTTTTCATGTGTTAGCCTTTGATCATGGAGCCGAATCATATTGAACGACTTACCATGTTGTGATGATCAAATGCTCGCCCTTGGCGCAAGCATTAGCATAAAGCCAGTGAGCGAAGAGAAGGAAGATAGCTTCGCCTGAGACAAAGCCATATTGCTCGAACTGCTTCAGGCAGGTGCCGAGAGAAAGGAAAAACAGGATAAACCAGGGAATGCGGACTTCCAGGAACATCTTGAAGTCCAAGATCCCGAAGAGCCTAGGGTTGAGCTCAGATCCAAGGAAGAAGTCCACAACAACACTGTCGGTCATCCGAACAGTGGCTCCGCGAACACGAGCTGAGACGTATGCAATTGTAGAGCACAGGAAGCCCGAGAGGATTGCAACAGTCATGATGTGACCAAAGTCGTCAATCAACGTGTAGAGTTTGAAGACTCCAGTAAAGTGAAGAGTTAGCATGATGGCGATGCTAGAGTAGAATGACCACATTGCAGAGCAGTAATAGTCGAGCTGCTTTCCTCCAAGGTGAGGAAGAGCCTTGCCCTTACGGTAGACACCAGGCATGAGCATGTAAAAGGCCATCTGCACGAGGCCAAAGAACCAGTAAATCTGCCAGGCCTTGTTGGTCGGGTACGCCTCAGTCTTGACCAAGTCCCACATGTGTCCAAAGAAATCGGAGTAGCTCTGACCTTCGACTGGCTTAGGGAATTTGCCATCATAGAAGGTCGCTCCAATCCACATGTAGTACATCAACGCAGGGAATCCGACCATCATGGCGCTCATACCAAGAGCACCGCCGAACTCGTGGAGTCCACCCTTGTCCTTGGGAGGAAAGTTCTTGGCAGCCTCTACCTCTACACCATTCGATGTTGCCTCTTCTTTTGCGTGACCGTTTGCAGAGCCATTTGCGTGCCCGTTGCCGTTCGCATGACCGTTGGCGTAACCAGTCGCGTGTCCATTGCCATTGGCGTGTCCGTTGCTTAGTGACTTCTCGGGAGTCAAGCTGAGATCGCTGCGCTTGACAAAGCCATTAGGCTCGCCATCGTCTGTAGAAAATGACTTGCGACGCTGCGACCTTCTGCGACCAGGAGTCTCGACGAAACCGGGGTTTTCTGGTTTTCTGCTCATGCATGTCAGACGCCATTGCCGTTCGCACCGCCGAGTGGGCTGTCTGAGCTTACCTTGGCGTATAACCTGCTTGCGACCGCGTAACGCGTTGCGACATGACTGCGGTTGTGGCGACGCGTCCTGAGTTCAGGGGTAAAATGTAAAAGACAACAAGGCTCGAAAGACCGCAACAAAGCGTTCAAGGGAGCGACAAGGAGACAGCAAAGTGAATTGAGCCTCGCGCTTTAGTCGCACAGATATCACGACCCTAACTACTCGAAATGGAAGAGGAGTCGTAGTGTTTACTTTTCGCTGCGTTCCGAAATTTTAGTTGCTATGGCTGGCATCATAGACTTTCTGGCCAATCGGTAGTCCGTCACACCGCCAAGCGAAGCAGTTCATCTCAATCCTGACTCGAGGCTAGTCTGTCTTCAGTCTAGCTTGATGCTCTCCTGACGAGGCGGAGAACCGCAATCATCGATGAGTTGACTTGCAAAGTTGTAACGCCTGACATTAGCCTTGTGTATTTGTTAATATCCTACTGTAATGAACCACACTATTGCAAGGGACTCTAGGAGTAATCCGTGCCAGCCGGCGGGACCCTCACAAGAGCTCATTCTTCAGGGACGATCAGCATGTTTGTCACTGATTTCATCCCCACGGCACCTTCTTGCAATACACATCATGACTTGAATCGCGCGGGCAAACGTTGCTGAAGTATAGGCCGACAATAATGGTGCGGGCATAGGTGATTCCCAAGGACGGATAGAAACCAAGCCAGCTTTTCAAACCATGTCTCGAGTTCACACTCGCCCAGCTTGTATGTGCCCTCCCAGCTGAAGCTCCGCGACATCGCTCTCTCAGCGGGGCTTCTCTGTTAGTATCGGTACTGCAATCGCTTCACCGAAGTCGTATCCACGCAAAAGTCGCCTTACTGGGGATGTCCTGTCTGGACCATACCTTGCGACGTGTCGGGATCGTATCACCTTCGAGAGGTGTCTGGACCTACTCTAGGATGGAGGTATACCGGAGACCTAAGTATCGTACAGGCAAGTGTCATACTCATATCTATACCATCGTCGTGGTAGGCCGTATTCCATGTGTATGCGTTGTTTCTATATCTGAATCGCGTCTCTCAACAGTACCTTCTCGCTTCCTCAAAGCCGCACCTTCGAGCTGCTAAGAATCCTTCGTTGTTGTGGTCTGCTTCGCGACCTAGGCAACTGGTTTGGGCATAAATGAGATCGTTCGACGCCATACTACTCCCGAGATTCTCTGGTAGCCATTTACATGCTGCTAGACTGGAACGCCACGAAGCACGATCGTTTGGCTGCCATTCCCCATCTGATTATGCGTTTCTAGCATCAACACTGTCTTGTACTCACTCGTCCTGGAGAGTGCGCGTCCACCCCACTCGTTTGGCAGCTTTAAAGCCTGTTGCAAAGGGTTTGTATGTGGCGAGGTCAACTGTGGGGCGTCGCAGCTTGGTGTGTTTGCTCAAACTGGCCTCTTTCACGAGCGGTCAAGCTTCAGAAGCGCAGTCACAGTGTCTTCCCGTCACCAGGTATCTCACTTCCAGCTCAGTTCGTTACTGCCTCTGGCGATAGCCCGGAGCCGCATACAGTTTCTCTCATTCACTCTCATCATCACTTTGCGGGAAGCGCTATTTCACCCTGCCTATTTGACAGCATTGTCGCGGCTGCCAAGACCGGTCATAGCTCTTCGCACCGCTGCACATAAAGCACAACACTGCCACTTCCCCGCTCGTCACCACGCCCTTCCTGCAAGGTCCTGCATCGAGCTTGCCCACTCTCTGCATCGATCACAACAGCACCACCCTTTCCTTGCTGACAAGTCTTCGCCATGTCTGAAGCAGGCGAAACCCCGCACGCTCGTCCCGCTCCTCCGCCTATGACTGAGGAAGCTGCAGCCGCGCGCAAGGAGCAGCTTGTCCACGATCTTGCCCGTGCAAAGGACGCCGGCTGGTAAGTGTTACATACTGATAACGAACGGAGCGACCTCTGACAAACCCAGGAACAACCCCATTCCGTTCAACTACGAGACAGTCCAGGGTGGTGAAGCCGAGAAGGATGACACTCGCGCCACTGCTGAGTGGCTGTCCGATGCCGCCATCTACCAGTGGGATGATGATTTCGGCGACGTCGGTGAGCCCAACCCTGAATTGGAGAAGGTCTTGTTCGAGGATGACCACCTCCAGCGTGCTGGTGGTGCCATCAAGGCCCTTTCGTATGAAGTGAACGTAGAGGGCCCCGAGAAGATTCAACCTGTCCGCGAGGTAAGTGCTTTAGATGTTGAGCCCACTGAAGTTGCCTGCTCACTACATCACAGTTTGAGGATGCTGGACTCCACCCAGTCATGCTCGAGAACGTCAAGCTCTGCCAATACAACGCGCCTACTCCCATCCAGTCATACTGCATTCCTGCAGTCTTGACTGGTCATGATGTTGTCGCCATCGCCCAGACCGGTATGTTCCTCTCTGCCTCCGAATGATTTGTGCTAACTGCGTACAGGATCTGGTAAGACTGCCGCTTTCCTTGTTCCCATCTTATCCAAGCTCATGGGCAAGGCTCGTCAGCTCGCAGCTCCTCGCCCAAACCCGACGCGTTACAATGCGCTTACAGACCGTGTCACCGCCGAGCCTCTTGTGCTTGTCGTGTGCCCTACTCGGGAGCTGGCCTGCCAGATCTTCGACGAGGCTCGCCGTCTGTGCTACCGCACGATGTTGCGCCCATGTGTTATCTATGGTGGCGCTCCCTCTCGCAACCAGCGCGAGCAGCTTGAAATGGGGTGCGACATCCTCATCGCCACTCCCGGTCGCCTGATGGACTTCATGCAGAACCTCAAGCTGCTATCCTTCCGTCGCCTGAAGTTCACGGTCATTGATGAGGCCGATGAGCTCCTTTCTTCTGGCTGGGAGGAGACCATGGAGACGCTTTTCTCCGGCTCTGGTATGTTTGCCCTACTACAGTCTATGGTAGCTTGCTAATCACTTCGCAGACGTCAACAATGACGCTGATCACACTTATCTCATGTTCTCGGCTACCTTCCCCAAGTCAGCTCGTCGTCTTGCCAAAGAGTACATGGAGGCGGATTATCTGCGCATCAAGGTTGGACGTGTCGGCAGCACGCACACGAACATCACGCAGAACATCGTTTACGTTGATGAACGCGAGAAGAATCAGGCGCTGTTCGACTTGATCTTCTCTGGTGAGCCAGCTCGTACGCTCATCTTCGTGAATACCAAGCCCAAGTGCGACATGGTTGACGACTTCCTCTACAACAAGGGTCTGCCTTGCACGTCTATTCATTCCGATCGTACACAGCGTGAGCGTGAGGATGCTATGTAAGTCCTAGCACATAGATACGATCGATGTTAAACTGATAATGACTCAGGCGTTCGTTCCGCACTGCTCGTTGCCCCATCCTCGTCGCTACTGGAGTCACCGCTCGTGGTCTCGACGTCGCAAACGTCAAGCATGTCATCAACTATGACCTACCTTCCACCCAGTATGATGGCATCACCGAATATGTTCATCGCATCGGTCGTACCGCTCGTATCGGAAACGAGGGCAAGGCCACATCCTTCTACAACGACCGCAACGAGGACATCGGCGAAGATCTTGTGAAGATTCTTCTTGAATCCAAGCAGGAGGTACCTGACTTCCTTGAGCAGTTCAAGCCCGAGAACCCTGACATGATCGACTGGCACGACGGCTCTGATGACGAGTCCGACGATGGGTTCGGCGGTGGTTTCGATGCTGGTGCTGGCTTTGGCGGTGGAGATGCTGGTGGCTTCGGAGGTGACGCTGGTGGCTTCAATGCTGATGCTGGCGGTTTCGGAGGCGATGCTGATGCTGGCGGCTTTGGCGGAGGTGATGGCGGCTTCTCTGGCGGAGCTGAAGACAAGGTCGCCTCCTGGTAGGTTACCTGCGTGTGTGCCTGACCTCAGAACCTCAAAAACGCTTCTGTAGCCGGACCGCGCGACGTGTAGCGACCGAGCCTTGTAGAGACGTCTCACTTCGAGTCGTAGCAGGTTCAACCGCGACATGATGATTCACGGTTCACAGCCTTCGACTGGATAGCATTGCGTTCACGGTGGTTTGACAGTCTACCTCTTGACTGGCATTACCACCAACTTAGCAGCTTCCAGGACCACGGTTAAATAGCCCCACGGTAAAAAAAATGGCAAAGATGGAGCTCCATTGCTCTGCTTGCATTGTTCTGCTTTCCTTGAGATTTCTGTTGTGAAGCTGTGATCAATCTATGCTAGCATCTGGTATCTCTCCCAATTAAGTAAGACATGACTCGATGGTTTGACCGGTATTTGGCTGGGGTTTGACTTGTTCTCGTTCCTTTCGATTTTGATTTCGTATGATGGAGCAATGGCGCGCCGGATGTGGGGTGAGATTGACCCCACATGCCGTCATTGCTTTCTAGACCTCTAGGTACTGGTGCCTCCACAACTCGTGGAGATTACCACGAACTCGCCAACATGGGTCAGGGAACTTCCCATGAGACTCAGCATCTGACGCTAGGTACGTGAACTACTAAGCTGTATAGGGTATGAAGAAACCATCATAGTCTACGAAGAGTCTTTTGACTAACACCAAGCAGAACAACTCAGTCACAATCTCGCACAAACGTTCGCAAAGAAGAGCTACACTCCCCTCGAACTATACTGCTTCAAGACCGTATTTCGTTCGCTAGCAGATACACAATCTGGCGTACAATACTGGAGCGAGGCAACGCTATGTCGATTCTTAGAGCTGCCAGACGCGCTGGGCGTGGGATCGGTCATCTTCCAGATGGCTAGCTACCTCGGCGCGTTCCCTTTTGCAAGTCAGGCACCGGCCATTCTTACCAACGAGGCGCTGTTGAAGGTTGTCACAATCTTGACGGAGAGGTATGGAGCAGTACTAAAGAAGAGAGGGCGAGAGATATGGCTCAGGGAGATATACAGAAGCTTGGCTGTGTATGACAATGGCATACGAGCGGAGGCTGAAGAGAAAAAGCAAGAGAGTGATCAAGTAACTCAGAAGATGGGGTTTGCAGTCGATGCGCCTGAAGACGATGAGGGAGAAGACGAGGCTGACGAAGATGATGAGCTGGTCCTGGCAGCACTCGACTCGATGGACTCTCTGGAGGTTTTCAAACACGGCGAGCAGACCAATGTGCACCATTCCATCATCCCTACCGACAATTTTCTGAAACTAGTTGAGCTCTTACTGCTCATCGCGCCAATAAATCCGCAGCAAAACCTTTCATCACTGGCACCCGAGCTGTCCCAGGAGCGCATCCAGATGCTTCGACGGACTGCAAAAGTGGTGCTGTCATCGTTCGTCACCGACAAGCAACCCGGCGTCACATATCGTACGTTCGATGCTGTTTTGTCATCTAGTCTACCGTTCCTATTTGACGGCCTGAATCCCTTGTTCGAGCACTTCCTCTTTGCGAAAGACTTTGATCTCTCCAAACGCAGGTCAGACTCGACGTCTCCAACACAAGAAACGCATCCTGTAATACCACCACCAAAAACCGTGATTGATCCAGAGCCGATCTTGCGCAGCCCAGGCGAGATCCTGACCCTTACCACGCTCAGCCAGCTATCATTCTTCATCAAAGGCAGTAACCTCTTCAGACGTCTACGGCCCCTTTACAGCGGTAATACACATGGATTCTCCATGGGCTCGTTTGAGAAACAGGCATTTAATTGGCGAGCACCCACGATCTTGTTAGTATCAGGGCGGCTCCTTCCATCCAAAGCGACTAGTACTCGTGAACGTGCTCTGCAAGACATGCTCCCACCCAAACGCTACCCCAACAGCATAACTGAGTCATCCCAAAATCAAACCATCACCTACGGCGCCTACATTCCTGCGCAATGGAAACACACCGGCAAGACCTGCTTCGGAGATGCGTCCACACAGCTCTTCCAGCTGTCGCCTACGCACGACGTCTTCTCCGCATCAAGCTTCAGCACTGATTATGTCTACTTCAACAAATCACCTACCCACCCAGCCGGCGTCGGGTTCGGCACCCCAGTCCCCACACAGTCCCAGGCAAGCAGCCACTCTTACGGCGTCTTCCGCCCCGCGCCTGTGTCACTGCATCTTGACGACGCGCTGGAGTTTGGGGTATTCACGCATCTCTCCGAGGGTGGTGGGAGTTTCCGTCCGAGTAAGTTGCCGGGCAGGAAGGGCAAGGACTGGCAAGATCGGTTCGAGATCGATAGTTTGGAGGTCTGGGGATGTGGGGGGGATGATGTGGCTGAGGCGCAGAGGAAGGAGTGGGCGTTCGAGGAGCGAGAGGCAGAGGCGAGGCGACGGATTAATCTGGGGACTGGGGACAAAGAGATGGATTACGAGCTGTTGAAGATGGCGGGACTGGTCGGGAACGAGAGCAGGAGTGGTGGAAGTATGGGCTGAATGGGACATTGAAGCTCCGTGGGACAGGCTTGCGCCTTGATTTCGTACCTAGAAGGGGCTCTGTAGCTACACCTGCACAGCTGCAATTAAACTCACTTCATTAATGCGTGTGTCAGTACTTGTACATATAATCGTCTAACGCCATTTCGTGCCGATATGTACACTTATGTTACAACCGCTGCCCGTCATGCCCATCTCCAAGCTGCCCGATCCATCCCGCTTCTTCGTCCATCCATCTCATCCTGTTCGCCGGCGTCCGCCATCCCTTTGCGCACAATCTCATCCACCCATAAACTATCCTTGCCTGCACGCCGTCAGCCCACTCCCCACACACCTCCCGCACACCCGCACACCCGCACAAACTCACCTCTGCTTATGCTTCGGGTTCTTGGAGCAAATGATATACACATAGCGCCCCTTCTTCCTGCGCACGCTCTTGCACCCGTCGCACAGCTTCTTGACCGAGCTGCGCACCTTCATGCCCCGCGTCTGCTGCACCAGCGCGCCGGTCCGCGATTCGCTCTGTGCGCCGATCCGCAGGCCACTGAACCGTGTGAGCAGGCTGTGTGTGGGCGAGTGGCACGCCGTGGGCCGTGAGGCGCAGGTGAATGTGTGGAAGGGGCGGGCGGGGCGCGCGAAGAGGGTGCGCCGGATGGGCAGGAGGAGGGCACGGGCGAGCATTTTGGCGGGACCGGTGGGGGAGAGCGATTTGGGAGGGCGTGGATTGGGTGCTGGCGTGTTGCGCGGACCTTGATGGTTTGGATGGAGGGTTGGAAAATATTGCTTAGTCAGGGTGGTGCACGGACGGGGGAATGGTGTCACGGGTTTGAACTTTGGAGTCTATATGCTGATGCTATACAGGCGCGGAGAGGGTCCGCTATCTTACACTGGTATACACGCGTTCACGACGGCTGGGAAGGCACGGCTTCGCCAGTCGGTGTCTTCACAACGGCCTCGGCCGTCTCGGCACTCTTGCTCTGCTCTTCCTCAGCGTCGTCTTTGGCTTCCTGCTCTAGCTTGTCTTTTACTTGCTGCTCTGACTTTTCTTTCGCTTCCGGCTCTGACTTTTCCTGCGCCTTCTTGGCTTTCGCCTCGACAGCATACTTCTCGAATTCCGCATCGCTCACGACCTTCACCACCTGGATCTTGCTCTTGCCGCTCCTCAACACCAATGCTTCGAAGTCGATCAGGTAGTGCTCTGGGTTTGCTTCAGAAGACGCTTCGATGGGCGCCCATTTCAGACTTGTGGAAGACGTTTGACTGCTGGAGTTAGGAACCACAACGTAAGCGCCTTTGCTCGCGATCAAACGATGCGCCTCGCTCTTCGTGGAAGCGAGACCAGCGGCGTGAAGCACACGGGGAAATGCTCCAGGTTTTAGAATAGACAGCGGCAGGTGGACCACAGAATCGTTCTTCGTCTGCGAAGAGATGGGGGTAGATGTGCTAGACGTTGGCTGAACTGTTGAAGAGGCGGCATACTCTTGCTTAAACTTCAACAGCTTAGCATCGAATGCGGTCAGCCGCTGTTTTTGCGCACCCAGCCCACCGTTGGGATTAGCTGTTCCTAAGATCTTACGTAGTGCGCCGAGAGCGAAGGTGTTTGTACCGTGACTGAAAGCTTCTCTGTGCGCTGTCTCTGCCACTTTTGCGTCCTGGGCGCCGTGGGCAAGCTCGACGACCTCTTTTGCAAGAACGTGCTGCGCAATGCGTTTCGAAGCGTCTTTACGTTGCTGCTCCACGAGGAGGGAGATTTCGTCAAGGGGAAGGAATGTGAACAGCTTCAGATAGCGCTCAATGTCGGCATCTGCGGTGCGCATAAAATATTGATACAAGTCGAAAGAGTTCATCATGGTCTTGTCAAGCCATACGGCATTGCCTGCGCTCTTGCCAAACTTTTCGCCCGAGGCGGTGGTGAGGAGGGGCGTAGTGAGGCCGTATGCTGCACGAAGTGGCTCCGGTTCTGCTTGCTGCAACGCGTTGGGATGGTGGATATTGCGCATGTGCGACACAGCATTCATGCCTGCGCAGATGTTGCCGTACTGATCTGAGCCGCCGATCTGGAGTTGTACGCCGTTGTTGTCGTACATGTGCCACCAGTCGTAGGCCTGGAAGAGCGGGTAGGAGAACTCAGATATGGACATGCCTTCGCCGCTCTCCATGCGCATCTTGACTCTGCGGTAGGGTTAGGAGTGCCTGCGAAAGAACAGAGGCTACTCACGAGTCCCGGCTGAGCATAGTACCCAGGCGCATGCCTGACCCCAGGTCCCGCATGAGCTCCACAGCGCTGAGGTTCTCCAGCCATTTCGAGTTGTTGAGCAACTGTCGCTTCCTGCTTGTCTCTGGCGCGTACTGGTGCTTGATGCCCAAGCACCTGACGTTGGTCCAGAGCTGGGTGAGCTGGCGATTTATGCTCTCGACTTGCATGGTCCGCACATCTGCAGCCTGACGCGCACGAGCAGTCGTTCTTCCGGAAGGGTCTCCAATTTGCACTGTGCCTCCACCTAGCTATCCCACATTAACCTGCGGTCGCCCCGTCCGGCGCAAGTTGCTCACCAAGCTGACGGTGTAGTAGCCGTGGAGATACATCCAGTACAGCGCCATGAGAGGCAGCAGGTGTCCGACGTGAAGGGATGGCGCGGTAGGGTCGACGCCTACATAGACTCCGATACGCTTCTCAGTGAGGACCCAGTCGAGTGTGTCGCGACCGCTGCAGGCAGTTAGCGACCTGGCAGCCAGGGCGGACGGTGGGCGAAGACTCACCCAGCAACGTCTTTGACGAATCCTCGCTCTTCCAGCAGACTCAGCATGCTCTGCTGCGCGCCCGCCTTGATTCTGCCCGCCTGTTCCTTCCACTCGGCGAGTCGTGCAGCTCTGGATTCGTGCTCGCTGGCCCATCGCTGATTCGGCTTTTCGCTTCGGGCGAGGCTATACTGCCTACAAAAGCGCTGTCGACTGACATGCTGCCGCTCTTGCGACAAGCGTCTGAGCGTCAACATTGCTGTCAATGGCTCTGGCGCAAAACGCGACCTACAATTCGAAGGTGACGATCCAGCGGGCCGTGCGCGGCATCGCCGACACCTCCGCACCTGCACCATGCACGTCACCTGCCCAGACTGCCACGCCTCGACGTCGAGTCTCCTTGCGTGATTGCTCATATATACCCCTCAATTGACTGTCCTACTACTCAACCGTACACCTGCTTCTTGCATACCCTCTTCCACTGTTGTTTGTATCATTACCGCTGACATGTATGCCGCACTCACCTGCCATCCCCCACTGGGACAGACCACGACGGTACCCTCAGACACAACAGCCGTCAAGTTCACCGTCTTAATTGAGAGTTCGGTCGGGTCAGATAGGACATGGGAGGCTGCATTATGGCACAACTTCGAGGACAAAGAGAAATGGACCAGTCTAAATCTCGCGCCAGCACCTGAACCATCCCTGACAATCGTCAAATCCTCTCTGGCAAGTGTCCGCCGACAGATCTTCACGCTGGAGCTTCCTGGGCGCCCAAAACATGGCGGATCGTTGTCGTATACCATCACTTTCCGCGCTGGTGAAGAGGAGCCCTGGAAGTGGGCTAACGAGCAATTCTCCACCTCAGACGGGCGCCTGATCTACCAATCGCAGGACTCACTCAACGATGATCTGACGCACTATATACAAGGGCTGCCTCCGTATCTGCAGATCGGAAAAGAACAGAGTGATTCACCGGAGACGTTGTTGTGGTCCATCACCAGTCCTGTGAACGCCGCGTCTGGGTCCACCTCAGGATACTCAAACAACGCGTTGGGGAAGCCGTTGAATTTTACACGTTGGTTTGCACTAGTCCGTCTGTGGAGCCCATGGCTGGCCCCAAGACAGGGCAAGGACAACTTCCAGCCCGACAAAGAAGCTGTTCTCGCAACGTTCGAACGTGAAGACGGCTCCCACTTAGTAATTCTGGGGGTCAGTGGTGTAGATGATGTATTGACGACTCTGGGTCATGACGGCGAAGGACGGATCGTGATTCACTCCCGCAATGACAGTGAAGAAGACGGCATCTCACACATTGTTGCTGCCGTTGGCAAAGACTTGAATCATGCAATAGCAGCGGTCATGTACTACGCAAGAAAGCTGGTCATGAAATACAGCGTGGGGTCCAAAGAGGCCGAAGCCGAATTCAAGGCGCTGACAGACGATTTCAAACCAGAGTGGCTGGAAAACTGGTGTAAGTGATTTGACACGCAGCATTTCATGCATGCCTTCGGTTTACTAAGATTGTGATCTACTCTCCAGACGATGGGCTTTCGTATTGCACGTGGAACGGCATCGGGCAACATCTTACCGAAGAGAAGCTTTTCGATGCTCTGGGATCGCTGGCCAAGAACAACATCAACATTAGCAATCTCATCATCGATGACAATTGGCAGTCTCTAGTAAGTATGTCGCATAGTAGAGGACAAGCACTTACGCAGCCCAGAACCATGAGGGTGGTGATCAATTCAAGAATGCGTGGGTTGAGTTCGAAGCAACTAAGAATGGGTTCCCGCGCGGCCTCAAAGCGACAATCGGCGACGTTCGCAGCAAGTACAAGAACATCAAGCATATTGCAGTATGGCATGCTCTTTTCGGTTACTGGGGTGGTATTGCACCTGAGGGCAAGATTGCAAAAGAATACAAAACCAAAATCGTTCAGAAAAAAGATGGGGTGTCGGGGGGCAAATTCACTGTAGTTGCTCAAGAGGATGTAGGCCGCTTCTACAAAGACTTCTATCAATTTCTAAGCTCCGCCGGTATCGATTCGGTGAAGACCGACGCCCAGTTCTTTCTGGATGAGCTGGACGACGCTACGGATCGCCGCGAATTGATCAGATCGTACCAGGATGCATGGAACATCGCACAGCTACGCTATTTTTCAGCAAGGGCAATATCTTGCATGTCGCAATCGCCTCAGATGATCTTCCATTCACAGCTCCCCTCGAACAAACCGCGGATACTCTTACGAAACTCTGACGACTTCTTCCCAGAGGTTCCTGCATCTCACCCTTGGCACATCTTCTGCAACGCGCACAACGCTATCCTCAATCAGTACCTCAATATCCTTCCTGACTGGGACATGTTCCAAACCTCGCACGATTATGCATCATTCCATGCTGCTGGCCGTTGTGTGTCAGGTGGGCCGATATACATCACAGATGTGCCTGGACAACACGATCTTGACCTGATCGGTCAGATGGCAGGTAATACTCCTCGCGATAATACGGTAATTCTTCGCCCTCACACCGTGGGTAAGAGTACATCGGCATATAACTCCTATGACGACCCTGTTCTGCTCAAGGTTGCAACCTATGTCGGAAGAGCTCATAGTGGGGTCAGCATACTAGGTGTTTTCAACTGCACACATCGACCGCTCTCCGAGCTGGTCGGACTAGACTCGTTCCCTGGTGCGGAGAAGGGCACATATATCATCCGTAATCATACCAGCGGTCACGTCACCAAGCCCACCACAAGTGAGAGTAACGACGCATTCGTTCACTTGGAGTTGTTGACCCGCGGATGGGAGATACTTTCTGCCTTTCCATTGCACTCCTTCAAATTGAAGCGCAGCCATGAGGTGAAAGGCCCAGATAACGTGGATGTAGCCAACTTGGGTATCTTAGGCAAGATGACTGGAGCTGCTGCAATCGTAAATACAGACAGCTACGTTGATCGCTCATCAGGTCGGCTGCGGATCTGGACGTCTCTGAAGGTGCTGGGTACATATGGTAAGGAGAATTGTGTGTCGACATTTTGTTGCGTAAGGAGCTAACGATTATGAAGGTGTCTACATTTCCGACCTCAAGCATCGTAACCTGGACGACGATATCATGGCGTTGATCTTTGGAAGACCCATTGCGAGCCATTGTGTCAAGATCAGCGACATCTGCGAGAATGTGCTTGAGATTGACACGACTAGAGCATGGAAAGAAAGCAACTCAAAGGCGTCTTGGAGCAACGAAGTGGCCATTGAGGTTGTCATTCGATAGAGGATGTGGCGCTTCCCTTTGTCACTGATATCGCTTCTCTAAGATTAGTATGCTGATTTGTTCGTTCGCTACTACCTTTGAAGGGAAACATGCTACAAAGAGCTTTCACTACAAACAATGGACGTGCTTTGAAGTGAATCTCAGCCACAAAGTGTCAAGCCAAACTTTCCCACCGCTGTTAAATATCCCGCGTCCCTTTACTCCAAATTATCTTCTTCACTATATTCACGTCAACTTTCTAAAATAATATCCACATTCCAGGCATTATGGCCTGGCTGGGAGATCAGCTTAATGCGATACTGGCAAACCCACTCCGCGAGAGTATTCTTTATTCGCTAGCTAGCGTTGGTACAGTAATCGTACTCCAACATGCAATCGGCCATGCAGGGCATAGCCCCACGATTGACCAGCCTCTACCCGAAGAGTCACCCGAAGAGTCACCCGAAGAGCCACTCGAAGAGCCATTCGAAGAGCCACTCGAAGAGCCACCCAACGTCGAAACATTCGAAGAAGAGCATCTAGAAGATGTCACCATCTTCTCCCCACCAGCTCCCAACGTTCCGGTCCCTGCTATCTGGGGCCATCCAAACACCATCTCCTACACGCCTACCCAACCGTATAACCAAGCTATTGCACTGCGCGGCCACGCTCAAGCCCAGCCATTATACGCCGCTCTGGTCACTCTGAATGTCATGCTAGTCTTCAGTATTCTGAGCTGGCTCCTGTACAATTGTTGCCGTAGGACCCGCAATGTCCCTCAAACCTATGTTACACCCACGCCCAGCGGACCTGCATTCACAACATCCGCCCCTCCGCCTGCAGCCGACCAACAGGTTCCGCCCGCTGCGAATTCGAAGGGCCCTCCGCCTGTACATGTCGAAGATGTCCCGCCTGCTACCAACGAAGATGTCCCGCCTGCTACTAACAAACATGTCCCGTCTGTTGCGCAAGCGCAGAGCTCCCCGTCGGCCCAGACTCAGAAGCCTTCGAATCAGAGCACCGCGGATCATCAGAAGAACAAGGACCCAGAGAATAAGGACCAGGCTAATCTCGAGCTGGGTAAACTATTGCAGATAAAGGATGATGTGGTGGAGAAGCAATATCGAGATTTGCTGGAGAAGCAATCTCGGCAATATGAGCATCTGGAGAAGAGAAGAATGGCCGCTGTGGAAATGGCTGACCGGAGACTTGACGAAAGAGACGCGCTTGAGACGAAGCTTCGTCGTCAGATGAAGGAAAAGGAGCACGAGTATCAGGCTGATTTGGACGCGGCCGAGAACAGGCTGGACGATACCAGGAAGCATCTTTCGCGTAAAATCAAGACCCTAGAGAACGATAACGAGAAGTCTTCTGCCCGAGCTGAAGAGTTGCTGAAAGAGAAAGACGAGCTTGAGAAGAGGCTTCGTGAAGAAATCAAGAGCTTGCAATCGGAGAACACGGACCAGCATTCTTTAGACTTAGCCAAGCAAGAGAACGAGACTCTCAAGAAGCAGGTTCAGGCCCTGGAGAACAGTAACCAGACTACTGCGTCGGTGATACAGAGCCTGGAGGAGAAAGTCGGGCGTGAGGCAGAGCTTCATCAGCGAGTTACGGAATTGGAGAAAAAGTTACAAACACTTTCAGAATCAGCTCAGCAAGAGAAGAGCAATCTTGAAGAGCGAATCTCGCAGCAAGCCGCCGCACATCATAAGCAGATTGAAGAGTTGGAGAACAAGGATCTGTCTTCTTTAGACTCGGTTAAGAAGGAGAACCGTAAGCTTGAGCAGGACTATAATGCGCTTCAAAAAGTCTACCATACGCTTCAGCAAGAGAATGATGCATTTAAAAAGAAGACTTTGCAGCAAAACAGCGCGTATGAGCAACAAATTGGAGACATGCAGGACAACAGCAATATTTCTGACTTTTTTATCGAGGAGGCCAAGGAAAAAGCAAAGCAGTTGCAACAACAGCTCGATCTCAGCAAGCAGACGGTTGATCAACTCCAAGCCAAGTTGGCAAAGCTTCAAGAGGAACTAGTAGGCGCACAGTCTCATTCCCACGCTACCGAGGAACAATCACAGAGATTGCAAAAGCAAGTTAATCAGAATATCGAGATCAACAAAAGGTCACTTGAACAACAGAGAACAAAGATTGTCGAACTTGAGAAGCAGCTGGTAGACGCACAATCTCGTTTCAACACCGCTGAGGAACGATCGCAGGTATTACAACATCAAGTTGATCAGAATATCGAGATCAACACGAAGTCACTTGAACTGCATAGAACGGAGATTGACGAGCTTAAGAAGCAGCTGGCGAACGCACAATCTCGTGCCAGCACCGCCGAGCAAGCTTTAAGACAAAAGCTCGATGCTCCTCTAGCCAAGTCGGTTTCGGCCGCGTCGACAAGCACAGAAAATACCTCAGAGCAGGATTCATCTGTTGCAAAGACGCCGGACGCAGTCAAAAGCACCGAAGAGCCGACAGACAACGCTGCACAGACTACAGCTGAGACCCCGAAGACGCAGCAGAAGCCTAAGTCTGATCATATGCCTCCTGTATCCAACTCACAAAACGTAAAACCAAGTGAGGCAAATACGCAAAGCAACAGCACGCCTCCGAAGGCTGAGACAGTCCTTTCAAATCCTACACCGTCCTCACCTCCTAAGAAGACAGGGGAGTTGGGAACGAGTGGAGACGCAGCATCCATAGTACAGTCGAAGGTACCCACGAAGCCCGTTTCCACCAGATTGGGAGTAAGTGCACTGCTGAAAGCCGATGCACCGGTGTTCATGCCAGGGATTTTCAAATTCGCTAAGTCAGATGGCACCACACCCGTCCCGCAGGTTGTGCCCACAAGCGAGATCGTCGAGCAGACACAGCCGGTAACTGATGGGCAGAATGATAATGTGGTCGAGCCTCCAAAGCCCGGAAGTGAACCAAAGTCCACACCAAGTGTTGACAGCGGAAAGTCGGTACCGACCCAACCAAGCAAAGCAGCACCTACGTCTATAAAAAAGCCCGCTGCTGTTAATACTACTTCTGCACCTTCTATCCAGAAAGCCGCCACTGATTCACCTACCACCCCTCTTACCGGCCGTACACCTACTGGTTTGACTCCGGACCGAAAGGGAAAAGCTATAGATCTTGCATCACTGATCAACCCTGAACTTCACCTTAGAGCAGCGACTCGAGGTACATCACCAATCATGCCTGGCCTTGTTATACCGGAGATGACCGAAAACACCACGAAGACATACCACGGGATGAAGGGTAGCCGCTACGCTGACGCTGGCGCGGTCGCGACCGCACCTCCGCCTAAGAGTACTGAACCGGCTTATGCTAACTTCACTGGGCCGGCGCAAGGCACTGATAGACGGGCGAGTGATTATCAGCGGTATGTTGCGCCGTCCGGCAGACGCCCGAGTGATAATCAGAGTGCCGCATCGCCGACCAGTCGACGCCCGAGTAGTCAGCAGCTGTACGATTCGCTGGCCAACAGACAGTCCAGCGGACCACGGGGTAAGAATGAGCCGTATGAAGTGCTGCCTATTTTCGACGCAGAGTTCGCTACCACGCAGCAATGCACCAGATGTGACGTGACAATTAACGACACCCCCACTTTCACGTTCACGAAGGACCATTACCCCAAATGCAGGGCTTGGGACCAGGAATGGGCGGCGAAAAACTTTGTAGACGTCAAGGCGGACGGGGCCGAGATCAAGTACCCTCCTCACTGGCATAACGAGCTGTCTGTACGACCCGATGCGGATCCAGCTTGGCTGGTCACGGCTCGCAAGGCGGTCGAGGAGCATAAGGCGCCTACTCAATCGCACAGCGAGGAGCAGGTATCGACATCGACAGAGTCGAAGGCGCCAGCTCCCACCCCAGCGACACAGTCTTCAGCACCAGCAGAGCCGAAGACCTCCACGCCCACACCAGCGGCGAAGATCGACACGGCCAACCAGCCCACTGCCGCCACCGCTGCAGCAAGCAAAGCCCCTGCCACCAGGCCAGCGCCCCAGAAAACCTCCTGGAGCGACGAGGTCGAGGAGGCTAGCGCAAGCCCGGCCCTCGGGACCAAGAGTAGTGTAAAGATTGGCGATCTGTTGGAGACCCCAGTGCGTGAGCTATTGGGTGATCAGGTGAAAACCCCAGTGCGTGAGGCATTGGGCGACGCGCCGACGACCCCCGGCCCCAAAACCCCGGCCGCGACAGGCAAGAGCGCGACCAAGGGCGGCCTGGGTGGTAGTCGCTATGCTTCGAGCATTCCTACGCCTGTGACGCCGAGTGCGAAGCCAGCTAGCTTGCAAGATTTAATCGCGGCAGCGGCTAGGGGTGAGGAGTACGGGGGAGAAGATGAGGCCAAGGACGGGGCGAAGGAGGGCAAGGGAAAGGAGGGATCGCGTGGAGGTAAGGCCCCAGGGTCGAAGCAGGGGCCTTGGAGGGGTGGACGTGGTAGGAGACGTTGAACGGAGGGGGGAGTATTGCATTTGCGTGGAGTTTTGCGTGGAGTTCTTTGCGTGAAGCATTTGCATAGATCGTCGTGTAGTTTTTAGACAGAGTTTACTTTGTGCTTTGTCTGCTTTAGTTTCGCAAGTTAGCCTTCATTGCAATTCAGATGTTTGAGCATTTCACACGCCGATCGTGTAATTACTGATATTGAGAATCTTGAGATGTACGTTGACAGATTACTGAACGAGCAAGTGCATGACTCTCCCCACATGTCGACGAGCCGAGGCTGTGGAACACCGTTTTGCGGGGCCGCGGTTGCGACTCGGACGCCGATCATCACAACCTCATATCTGGAGACGCGCTGCAACATTCTCCCCACGACGCCAAACCCGTGGAGGAAAGCACTTGGAGTCAAGTCCCACGACCCAATTCCCACAAGACCACAACTTGGTCAGAAAGAGCTAGCCACAGGACCCAGCAACGAGCAACCGCCATCATGGCCGCCCAGTACACAGATATCAAGTTCGAGATCAAGGGCCAGATCGGGATCATCAAGGTACACACATGTCAACCGGCTCCAGAAAACTATTTCTGTCCACCTGAACACGTCTCACGCGCACCAGTTCAACCGGCCCAAGACGCTGAACTCGTTCGGCGGCGATCTGATCCAGAACACCATTTCAGCGCTCCGCGTCCTGAACGAGCACCCAGAAACCGTCTTCACCGTCCTCACAGGCGAGGGCCGCTTCTTCAGCGCCGGCGCAGACGTCAGCGGTATCGCCTCGGACGATGTATGTATGCAATATGTTGAAGTGAGACGCACCCGCTGAGCGAAAATGCAGGACACACCCATCACCGACTTGGCAGTCAAGAAGATGAAGTTCTTGCAGCGATTTGGATATGGTATGCTCCCCCTTTCTCTCTACATATATACATAAAACATATATGTCCGAGCACGCACTCACCCGGCCCAGCACAAGAACTCCTCCGCTCGATGATCGACCACAAGAAAGTCCTCATCCTCGCGCTCAACGGCCCCGCCGTCGGCGGCGGCGCCGCCTGGTTCCCCGGCATCGCGGACATCGTGCTCGCCTCGTCAACCGCGTGGCTGCAATGCCCGTTCAGCGCGCTCGGCCTGGTGCCGGAAAACGGCTCGGCGCTGTCGTTCACGCAGTCCATCGGCGTGCACCGCGCCAACGACTTCCTGATGTTCGGGCGCAAGATGAGCGCGCGCGAGATGCTGGATGCGGGGCTGTACAACTACGTGTGGGAGGAGACGGGGGACGCGTTTCATGCAAAGGTGGTCGGGTTCTTGGAGGAGCAGTTGGCGGTCGGCGATGGGAAGAGTATGTGTGAGATGAAGAGGTTGCAGAATGAGCCGATCCGGGATGCGAGGTTGCTGGCGGTGGTCAGGTCGGTGGATGCGCTGAGTGAGCGGTTTGTGGAGGATGCGCCGAAGAAGCGGTTTGAGGCGAAGAGGAAGGAGTTGGAGGAGAAGAGGGCAGCGAGGGCGAAGATCTAGACGATCAAAATCTAGACGGTTTGTTGGGGGTGGAGAGGTGTATCCATATTCATGTGCTTTTCATCATTCGCTATCATGCTAGACTACAAACCCCACGGGAGCCTCAACGCTGCGTCTTGCATGTTATTCCCGTGCATTGGATGGAAATCAGGGGCAACCCGAACGTCAACTTAAGCACCCACCCAACACTCGCGCGTCAACCCTCGTGGCAAAGATCATCGCCCTTCCCCACAAAACCCGCGCGGGGACATCGCCGCTCCCTCACCACCACCGCAGCAGCACCAGCTCCCGTGCCACCCGCACCTCAACCACTCCCCCACGCCACCATGTCCCAATCAGGAATCCCCTTCGACATGCCCACCAAACCCTCGCAACCCCCCGGCCCCATCCTCCCCCGCTCAAACTCCATCGTCAGAACCGCCGCCTCGCGCGGCGCCCAAGCCGCCCCAAAACCCATCCGCATCTTACTCTGCAACCCCAACTCCACGGCCGCCATGACACGGGCATGCGTGGACATGGTGCTCCCGACGCTGTCCTCCAACGTGGTACTCGTCGGCTGCACGGCACTCCCCCCCGCGCCGTCCGCCATCGAGGGCAAATTCGACGACGTCATGTCCGCGGCGGTCGCGGTGCAAGGCATCCTGCAGCACGCGGGGCAGTTCGACGCGTTCCTGGTGGCGAGCTACAGCGACCACGCGCTGATCGCGATGCTGCGCGAGGAGCTGACGCAGCCCGTGGTCGGTATCTTCGAGGCGTCGCTGTTCGCGGCGCAGACGCTGGGCAGCCGCTTCGGGGTGCTGTGCAGCGGCGCGCGTGCGCGGTACACGCTCGAGGACAGTGTGAGGAGCTCCGGGTTCGCGGGGTTTTGTGTCGGCGTGAGGAGCTGTGAGATAGGGGTGCTGGGGCTGCAGGAGCGGCCGCGCGACGAGGTGATGCGGGTTGTGGGGCAGGTGGGCAAGGAGCTTGTGGCGGACGGGGCGGACGTGGTGCTCCTGGGGTTTGCGGGGATGGCGGATTTGAAGGCGGCGGTTGAGGAGGCGGTCGGGGAGGATGTGCAGGTTATCGACGGGGTTGTGGCGGGCGTGCACCACCTTATTGGGCTGTGCAGGATGGGGTCGAAGACGGCGAAGAGGGGGGCGTACGCGAGCTCTGGTGAGACGAGAGAGAGGAGAGGCCAGGACTGGTTGTGAAGTGTTCAAGTTGCACAGTGCACCTACCCTGATCCAGGACACGCCAATCTGCCTCGACATGCGCGGTCTGCAGTCAGAGACAGTCATGCGTGAACTGGTCTCAGACGATTCCAACTTCACGCAAGGGCAACGCGCCAGTACGGCTGCATGAGGATGGCGACAACATCGCGATTCTGCCGTCACTACGCGTCACGTGTCTGCAAAACGGCAGTGTCACCGTCGTTCACGAAGATTCACCAGCGCTTGTAAGAGTAGACGAGTGAGGCGTCATGTACAACAATATGCAATTGGTATACGGCGGTGATGTTGTCACACGGCCGCATCCATAGTATACAGATCTTACAGCCGCGTCCCCAGGACCGCCTACATCTTTCCTCCCGTGAGCTCCTCGGCCAGCTTCCTCATGCGCTCCTTGGCCAGACCAACACCCTCGCCGCCGCGCAGCTTGCTCATCATGTCGCCCACGCCCTCGGGCATGGGGCCGTTCCAGGGCGACAGACCCTCGTTGCCACTGGCGCGCGGACCGACGTTGCCGCGGGTATCCCACCCAATTGGGGCCTCCTCGGTGCCAAAGGCGTCTTCAATGGCCTGGTCCAGCTGGGCTTCGGTGACGATGAAGGTGCGGGCGTTGGTGTACAGGTCGTGCAGGCGCGAGTCGCGCACGGCGCGCTGGGCGTCCTGCCGGCGGTTGTATGCGCGGCGGCGGGCGTCGATGTTCTTATCGGCGGTGGGCAGAGCGTCGGCGAGGAAGTCGCGCACACCCGGGGACACCGAGGTCTCGGTCAGCACGTCGACCTTGCGGCGGGGCGCCATGGCCAGGCGGGTGCGCAGGGCGCCGCTGGCCTGGATGCGGGCGAGGTGCTGGGCGTCCGCCTTAGTCTTACGCGCGTGCAGCTCCTGCACACCGTCCTTCAGCGCCCCGCGCCTCGCGTCGGCCAGGCGCTGCTTGTACAGGCGCACGTCGGCGTCGCGGCTGTAGGGCCCGGGCACCTTGCGGGCCTTGGGGTCGCGGGCCGTCTTGCTGAGGAACTCGGGCGACTCCTTGGGATGTGCAGTGCGCGTGTCGAAGACATCGCGGGCGACGGGCAGGTGGCCCTTGACGTCGGGGGCGCGAGGGAAGGTCGGCTGCAGCGGCTGGGGCACTTCGATGTAGTTGGGCGACTGCGGGCCCAGGGCCAGCGCGGCCGGCGACGCGCTGAACGGGCGGGCGTGCAGGCAGCGCGGCGCTGCAGGCCTCGGGGCGCGGGCGGGGATCCTGGGCGGCATTGCGATGGCGATGGCGGCTGCGAGACGTCGTCGTCGCTGGCTGCGCTGCGAAAATGCCGCCAAGCCGCGCTAGGCCCAAAGGAAGTCCGCAGCGTCTTTTCGCAACTTTTTTTGCCGGGCAGACGCAGTCCTCACCACCACCGCAACACAGCAGCCATGGGATCTGGAAAGAAAGAGGCCGCGCGCAAGGAGCGCCAGGGCAAGACCGGCGATGGCATGGGCAACGTGAAGGTCAAGGGCGAGAACTTCTACCGGTAAGTGCCAATTCGCTGTCCTGCACTGAACTGCACTGGTTGGTGTGGTGCAGTGCAGGGTGCAGTAAAATGCACACGGCTCACCCCCCTCAGCTCTGCAAAGAAGGTCAAGGTTCTCAAGCGCCTCACCGACGGCAAGGCCACCCGCAACGCCTCCGGAGACATCACCCAGGCCGCCTCGTACCAGTCCCGCGAGGCTCCCGTCGCCCGTGTCGAGCCCAACCGCAAGTGGTTCAACAACACCCGTGTCATCTCCCAGGATGCCCTCGACTCCTTCCGCTCTGCCGTGCAGTCCCAGGCCTCCAACCCCACCACCTTCCTCATGAAGCGCAACAAGCTGCCCATGAGCCTAATTGAGGAAAAGGGCAACATCAACGGCCTGAAGCAGCACGCCGCCAAGATCGCCGTCTCCTCGCAGCCCTTCTCTGAGACCTTCGGCACCAAGGCGCAGCGCAAGAAGCCCAAGCTGGAGTTCAGCTCCATCGAGGACCTGGCCGCCCGCACAGACACCATGCACGAGAGCTACACCGAGCGCCTCGAGCAGGCCAAGCTCCTGTCTGGCACGTCAGGCGAGGCCGACGAGGAGAACAAGGATGGCGACCTGGCTACTGCTCGCGAGTTCATCTTCATGAAGGGTACCTCCAAGCGCATCTGGAACGAGCTGTACAAGGTCATCGACTCCAGTGATGTGATCCTGCACGTCCTCGACGCCCGTGACCCCGACGGCACACGCTGTCGCAGTGTAGAGAAGTACATCCGTACCGAGGCGCCTCACAAGCATCTGGTCTTTGTGCTCAACAAGGTCGATCTCGTGCCCTCCAAGGTAGCAGTAAGTGCACCCCCTCCCACCCCCTCCCTCCCCTCCTCCAATCCCATTTTAAGTCAAGTACCTATTCATTTCCTCGCGAAATACCTTCCATGAACTGGTCCTGTTACAAACTGGGAAAATTGAGAACGACTCGCCTTCCTTACGCCGTCTTGGCTGCGGGTTGACGGCTTCCGTTTTGGTCGCTGTCGCTAGAGTTCAGAGTGATTGTTTGAGTTGAGGGCCGACTCCGCCTGGCGGATCCTTGTGGCGGCCCTCTTAGTAACGCTTCACACATGCCTTCGTCTTCGTCATGCTTTTGCAGTGGATTGCAGACAATGGCTAACATTATCATAGGCTGCCTGGGTCAGACATCTCAGCCAAGAGTTCCCCACTCTCGGTATGTATCTCGTTCACTTTATCAAAACACATCTAACAGGCCGCAGCTTTCCACGCCAACATCAACAACTCCTTCGGAAAGGGCTCTCTCATCGCCCTCCTCCGCCAATTCTCTTCCCTCCACAGCGACCGTAAGCAGATCTCCGTCGGTATGGTCGGCTACCCCAACACCGGAAAGTCTTCCATCATCAACACCTTGAGGAAGAAGAAGGTGTGCGTTGTCGCGCCTATTGCTGGCGAGACAAAGGTCTGGCAGTACATCACACTCATGAAGAGAATCTACATGATCGATTGCCCGGGTATTGTACCGCCAAACCAGAACGACACAGACGAGGACCTGCTGTTGAGAGGCAGTGTTCGAGTTGAGAACGTCGAGTATCCTGCACAGTACATCCCTGCCGTTCTCAGACGGGTCCAGCCCAAGTACTTGCAGCGCACATACGATCTGAAGGAGCCTGCCACCGATGCTGTCACATTCCTCGAGATCCTCTGCAGAAAGAGCGGGCGTCTCCTCAAGGGCGGTGAGGCTGACATTGACGGTGCTGCCAAGCTGGTCTTGAACGACTGGATTCGTGGAAAGCTCCCCTGGTTCACACCGCCACCGTACAAGGAGGGCGGACAAGGCCCTGCTATCGGTGTTGAGGGCCGCGACGGTGCCCTCGGCGAGATGAGCAAGAAGAGGAAGCGCGGCACTGAGAGCAACGCCGCCACAAGCGTTGCTGCCACCACCGACACCACTGGCGCGCCTCAAGACGAGGCAGAAAAGACTGACGGCGAGTTCGACGGCTTCAGCGACGAAGACGACGAGGTCGACGAGGATGAGGACGAGTCCGCGGAAGCTGATCTCGCTGGCGGCGTGTCCCTCGAGACTCCCGACGTCGATGATGACAGCGAAGATGACGAAGACGTCGAGGCAGATATTGCGGCAATATCTGCTGCATTATCGAAGGCGAAAAAACGGCAACGGAAAAATTAGGAGTTACTTTGATGATTGAATGATACCCCTTCCTCGAGCCAAGCGGCTCCTCTCATGAAATGTTTTTTGGTCACTGTGATGTCTTGTCTGCACCAACTTTGACTCTTTCTTACACAGTCAAGACCTGCCCTTGCTGTTGCCCCGTTGCCCGCTCCTGAATGCATCATCAGGCTTGATCTGTAGCACGCGGCAGACATTTTCTCTTGATTTGAACTGGAGACGTGCTTGTGTTATATATGGATGGAGTGGTATAGACAGTGAACATTTCATGCATATGATGAGGGACTGAAATTTCCAACGTCCAACTCAATGCTGAGAGTCTTCTACATTCAAACATGCACATTTTCCTTGCCTTCCGGTGCAAATACCCTACGCAAACTCCACCGTGTTCCTCACCGTCCCGATCTCCGGCGTCACACTAACCTCGACCACATCCCCCGGCTTCAAGAACTGCGGGTTCTTCATCGCATACCCCACCCCCGCACACGTCCCCGTCATAACCAGCGTGCCCCTCTTCAGCGTCGTCCCCTGGCTACAAAACGCCACCAACTCCGGGATCTTAAAGCACAAATCGTCGATCCCGCTGTCCTGCCTCAGCTCCCCGTTGACGCGCGTCTGCAGCTGCAACACGCTGGGCTCGGGCACCACGCGCGTGCTGACCAGCTGCGGCCCCACGGGCGCATACGTGTCGAAGCCCTTTGAGAAGTTCCACTGCGGGACCGTGCCCGCGAGTGCCGGGTCGCGCTGCCACTTGCGGCTCGACACGTCGTTGCCGGCTGCGTAGCCGCCAATGTACGAGTACGCGTCTGCGGCGGCGACGTCCTTGCAGTCGCGCGAGATGATGAAGCACAGTTCGCCTTCGTAGTCGGCTTGGTTGTCCTGCGCGATCTTGGGGATCACGATGGGGCCGTTGTGGTCTTGCAGGCAGGTGTTGGCTTTGATGAAGGTGCTGGGGTGCGGGGGCAGGGTGCGGCCGCCTTCTTGGACTGCGCGGGTTAGATGCTTAGTCTGCGGTATCGTGGTTTTTGAAAGGGACTCACTGTGCTTGATGAAGTTGAGCCCGATGCAGCGGATGATGGGGACTTCGTCGACGGTCACGGGGCCGAGGAGGGTCTTGACTGTGGCTTCTTCGTCTGTGACTTTGGTGGCGGCGTCGAAGATGTCGCCGTTTGCTACGCTGATTACCTTGGCTTTGAGGCCTGTGGCTTCTGTTGTTGTGCCGACGTCAAAGTCGGGGGAGGGCAGAATCGGTTGACCCCGCAGTTCACGGCCATCTGTGGCAATGAAGCGGATGAGTCTGTCCCAGTTTGGTGCCATTGTGTGTTAATTGTGGTGTGAAGATGTGGTCCTACGAGGGAGCTTTGCGTGATATATTATATAAACCCACGTAGTAGTCAATTGGGTATACGTTCTGCCGGACAACGTTGCCGCTGTCGGCAAGCACATCCTAGCCCCGCGAACGCACGGAAAGAGCAAGCGGGAGGTTTTTGGGACGTCTGATTGGCCGTGATGCTACATTCGGAGCTAGATGTACAGCCGGGGTACAATCTGCGAACAACGTCGCACAACAGTCTCGGTTTGGTGAGAACTCTGGTACAGTCATAGTCCTGGGTTCTACCCAACTTCGGCCACTGCAGTACCGAAGCGCGTACGAAGCGATTGTGTCTCTTCTTGGGTCGGAGCTTGAGAGAACGTTCTCAGACTGAATGAGCTAGTCCTGCTCGCATGGAGCCGAGATGCAGAGCGACTCTAGACAACATGCCTCTATCGTCGTGTAAAGTAGACACGCACCAAGTTCCATGAAGTACAGACTGTGGTAGGGATGGGGTAGAGAAATGGAAGGCCCGTGCAAAGGTCTGCGCTTTACCACTGTCAGACTAGCTGCGAATCGATCTCAGTCGCTAATCTGAGACTATCTAATCACCAGTCCTACACTATCACCATCAGTTGAAGTATGCCCACTTTCAAAGCAAATGACAGAGTGGAACTCCATTACGCCACACATGGCTCTAGTGGCAGTCCCCCGTTGATTCTGGTAGGGCCATGATCCAAGATCTTAGCGACGACATGTGTTGACAATATCAAGCTCCACGGCTTCACAGGCTCTGGGCAGGTGTTCCAAAAAAACGTGTCTGCCCTTGCAGAGAAACACCATGTTATCGTTCCTGACCTGCGTGGGCACGGCGAGTCTGAGAAGCCACGCGGCGGGTACCACGTTGCACGACTGGCAGTAGACTTGAGAAACTTGATCGAGCATTTACAACTACCCGAGGGTCAAATATCAGCTATTGGCACAAGTTTGGGAGCAGCCATCATCTGGTACAACAACATAGTCACGCAAGGAAGATATCCAACTGATGAAGATATAGGTCCTACTGTGAACTATTTAGCTCACGGACGTTCTCACGTGTCGTATATGTCGACCAAGCGCCTTTGCAAAACTACGTGTCAGACTGGGGGGCAGAGTATGGCAATCGAGGACTCAACAACCCACAGGCCCTCGAAGGGCTGCAAGACATGCTAGGCAGCGACCCAAAGGCTGCTCACCTAGGCACGATCGCGGCTTGTCTAGGCTACAGAGCATATCCTCAGCCTGGTGATCCTACGTCAGACTCGAAAGAGTGGCAGGACGACGAAGCGTTCTTCCTGGCCGAGGCCCTGAAAGGCGACGGCTGGTGGTACGGCAAGCTCATGGCTGACCACACAGCACTGGACTGGCGGGATGCGATCCAACACAGCTTTGGGCCCGAGAGTGGCAGCACGACGAAGACTCTGGTTGTTGCGAGCACGAGAAGTGGGTGTTTCCCGGCTGCTGGGCCGCTGAAGGTGGTGGAGCTGGCGAACGGAGGCACAGGCGCGGGACTGGCAAAGGGCGTCGCGGTGGAGTGGGGTGGGCACTGGTGCTACTGGGAGAAGCCTGAGAAGTTCAACGAAATGGTTCTCAGCTTCTTGTCGGAGTAATACCACCACGTTTTGCGGTGTTCGTACCAGCGTCAACTGTGGTGCTCGTGACGCAGTTGATATTGATAAAAACGAGCCGAAACCAGGGCACGAAAATTGAAGGAACATCAATAACGACGACCCTTTTATAACGATATTACCTTATAACGACAATCTAAAATTAGGATCTAAAGAGACAATATTATAGAGAAAAGGGCCCTCTACAAGATTGATAATTCAGATTCCATATTTCCTATTGTTGTTACTTTATTACAAAAGCTGCGAGCAAAGCGGACTTTGGGGTGTCGGCTCTTTCTTGTCAACCGCCTACAAAGTACAAGCTTGCTCCGTGTTAACTCCGCACCTGCTGCATTCGTCGAGCTCGCTGAACACTGGAATGTTGTCACCTGACGGGCTTGCGGCGGGTTGCACATCCAAGCAGCCACCGTAGACGTCTGCATGACAGACACGCACTCGGCGACATTCCTCGATGCTCGACGCTGCAATCTGTACGGGTGCATCGCTGTGGACATGCAAACGTCCCCCGCAGCAAGCCCCACGTCGGGGTGGCCCCGGCGATGCCTGCCTCCGATGCAGGCGCGACTCACCGTCACAGCCAAAATTTCGAACCGCCGCTCTCCACGACACGACTGACACACAATGGCAGCCATAGAAGACTACTCGCGGCCGACGACGCCAGACAACGCCAGCGGCGCTCATGGCCCCAACGGCACCAACGGCCTCACATCGCCGCGCACACCCCGGCCGACGGGCCTCTCCCTCACCGAGTACACGGCGAACCCCAGTCCGCCCCGCGAGCGGTCGGAGGAGCGCAATGTGGTCCCTGAGGCCTTCCTGCTGCCCAACGGGCACCCAGACGTACGTGACGGCGCCATTGAGCCGCCGAGCCCGCAGCAGCACCCTGACAGCCCCGGCAGTACCTGCGCCTGATCCTCACGTCCCGCGTCTACGAGGTCGTCGACGAGACGCCGCTTACCCACGCCACCAACCTCAGCAACCGCCTCGAATGCAATGTGCTGCTCAAGCGCGAGGACCTGCAGCCCGTCTTCAGCTTCAAGCTGCGCGGCGCCTACAACAAGATGGCCCACCTCGACCCGAAGGACCGCTGGCGCGGCGTCGTGGCCTGCAGCGCTGGCAACCACGCCCAAGGTGTCGCCTACTCGGCCCGTCACCTGAAGATCCCCGCGACCATCGTCATGCCGTCGGGCACCCCTGACATCAAGCACAAGAACGTCTCACGCCTCGGCGGCTCTGTCATATTGCACGGCGCCGACTTCGACGAGGCAAAGGCCGAAGCCGCGCGCCTCGAGAAGCTGCACAGTCTCGTTTCGATACCGCCCTTCGACGATCCATACGTCATTGCTGGTCAGGGCACCGTCGGCCTGGAGCTCCTGCGTCAGACCAATTTGCAGAAGCTGCATGCCATCTTCTGCTGTGTCGGCGGCGGTGGCCTGATCGCCGGCATCGGCGTGTACATCAAACGCATTGCCCCCCACGTCAAGATCATCGGTGTCGAGCAGTACGATGCAAACGCCATGGTCGAGTCGCTGAAGGCCGGCCGCCGCGTGCTGCTGAAGGAGGTTGGTCTGTTCGCCGACGGAGCAGCGGTCAAGACGGTGGGCGAGGAGACGTTCCGCATCTGCCGCGAGGTTGTCGACGAGGTCGTCCAGGTCACGACAGACGAGACGTGCGCCGCCATCAAGGACATGTTCGAGGACACTCGATCCATTGTCGAGCCCGCTGGTGCCCTGGCCCTTGCCGGCTTGAAGAAGTGGGTCAGCCGCAACCCCTCTCCTGACCGTGAGCGAGGCCTTGTCGCAATCGCAAGTGGTGCAAACATGAACTTCGACCGCCTGCGTTTCGTCGCCGAGCGCGCCGCACTTGGTGAGAACAAAGAGGCTCTGCTGTCCGTTACCATACCCGAGACACCAGGAGCTTTCGCAAAGCTGGTTTCTACCATCCACCCCATGGGCATTACAGAGTTCAGCTACCGCTATTCTGGGCCAGAGGAAGCCAACATCTTGGTCGGTGTTGAGCTCAAGGCTGCCACACGGTCTCGCGACCTTCCTGACCTTATCACTCGCCTTGCCGCCGAAGGCATGAAAGCAACCGATCTGTCTCAGGACGAGCTCGCCAAATCGCATATCCGGTACTTGGTAGGCGGTCGCAGCGCCGCCGCCGACGAGCACATGTTCATGTTCGAATTTCCTGAACGGGGCGGCGCGCTCAACAAGTTCTTGAACACAATGCAGCCCGGCATGAACATCAGTCTCTTCCACTACCGAAATTACGGTGGTGATGTCGCCAAGATTCTTGCTGGCATCCAGTGCAAGCAAGAAGAGAGCGCGAAATTGACTGACTTCCTGGGAGAGATAGGGTACCCATACAAGGAGGTCACAGAAAGCGCTAGCTATAAGATGTTTCTAAGGGATTGAAGATAGCCTGGCTTGTGAGGCTCTCGACCTGCCGCCAAGGCTTGCGCTATGCTCGCTCTCAAGCATCAATTTCCTCAAAGCTCGTGTCACCTTTAGTCATTTGATCTCTCTCCAGCTCTTTCTATACCAACATAATGATTCATTTCCCAATGTCGACTTCTCTGCTGTTACACAGCTATCTATCTCGCAATGCAGACCTCTATATGGCCCTGATCATGCATGGTGCAGGAAAACACGCAACAAACACGCGAGGACAGCCCCTTTGTTCTCCGCTTACCCGAGCACAGCCTTGACATAGTCCTGTATATGGCGCTGATCTCTCGGAAGACACACGCTGATACGCTGCATGATCGATTACGGTGCAGGCTCCTCTGTGACCAAGGTAGCAGGCGAGAACAATTCGCACACCGCTATGCTCTCGCGATGCAAATGCTCAGAGATGGAGCCACTGGAGTGACCATGGGCCAGAGACAATGCGTTTCGTTAACACTCGTCTACAGGGGCCCGATCTTGATTCCACTGCAAAAGACACTCTCGGGGCCACTGACTGCACAGTGCCATGCGCGTCTAGAAGACTCGCAATTAGCCATGCCTATTCAATGTGTTCTTGGTAAGGGGTGCCAATTCCAACGCAAACCACTCTGGAGACTGGACGCGCGTATTGGATCTCGACTGTGGCACATGGTTTGTGAATAATCTCGAACTTGCGGGTGTGCCATAAGCTATGTTCTAACGCACGCGCTTGTCGTCATCGTCGAGATCATGGAGGATCATGCAGAGGATACGACTGTCAGATCGTCACAATCACGACAAACTTTCCACTAGGGCGAGGCTTCTGCACCACACAGCAGCAACGTTCTTAATGTTCCTCACTCCACGTTGTTGACATCCTCATGGGGCACGCTCTGACGTTGCATATTCAATACCCGGAGGTCTAATTATACCCGTACCAGTCTACTTCTGGTAAAAATTTGTTTAGTCCCTGCATCTCACCCCAACAAGAGTTCTAAGGATTGGCACGCCAAGTCTATCGAGCTGCGTGGCGCTCGGCTGGTCACCTCGTTAAAGCTCGTAAAGCGGGCCAAATGCTTCCGACACGTCAGACACGAGCCTCTTAACGTCATGTTGAACTTGGCGATGATGATCGGTACAAACTAGGGGCAAAATATGGTAGCATACAAAACGATGAGGCTTCCCAGTCTCTCCAGTATTGCGTCTATCTTCAATTGTAATCAGTAATCGTATTTATATTCATAATGAAGGCCTCAATCGCATCCCTCGTGGCGCTCGCCACCGCCGCCTCAGCCCAAGTCAAGGGCTTCAACTACGGCGCTACAAACAACGACGGCTCTTGCCGCGGCTACAGCGACTTCATCCGTTACTTCAACGACGCCAAGTCGCTCCCCGGCACCGAGGGCTTCCAGGCCGCCCGCCTCTACACTTCCATCCAGTGCGGCACCGCCGCGTCCCCCATCGAAGCCTTCCGCGCCGCCATCGACACCGACACCAAGATCCTCGTCGGCCTGTGGGCCTCCGCCGGCCGCGCCGTGTACGAGAATGAGCTGAACGCTCTTCTCGCTGCCGCCCGCGACCTTGGCCCCGCGTTCACAGACCGCATCATCGGTATCAGCGTCGGTTCCGAGGACTTGTACCGCAGCTCGCCCCAGGGTGTTGCTAACAACGCCGGTGTTGGCGCCACTGGTGCTGAAATCGAGGGCTATATGGGATGGATGCGCGATTGGATTCGTGGCACCGCGCTTGAGAGCAAGCCCATCGGCCACGTCGACACCTGGACTGCCTGGGTACTCCCCGAGAACCAGGGAGTCATCTCCAGTGCGAACTGGTTAGGACATAACTCTTTCCCTTACTTCGAATCCACAATCCCGAACAATATCAATCAGGCTGCTGAGAACTTCCGCTCAGCAGTAGCTAAGACCGAAGCCGTTGCCGGCGGCAAGGAGGTCTGGATCACCGAGACCGGCTGGCCTCGCATGGGCCCCGTGTCCCGCGACGCAGTCGCCAGCACCGAGAACTCGCAGCGCTACTGGAAGGAGGTTGGCTGCAGTCTGTTCGGGCGCCGCAACACGTTCTGGTACACGCTCAAGGACGCCAACACGGCGCAGACAGACTTGAGCTTCGCGGTGACACCGCTCGAGAACAACACTCCTTACTTTGACCTTACTTGTTAGAAGGGGGTTTGACTGTTTGAGAGTGAGCATTTGCGGGAGTTTGTCGAGATGTTTGAGTAAAAAGTACTTAGATTCATGATGCTCGTCAAGCTTCAATATAGTGTGCATAATATCACATGATGATATCTTCCTCAGGCCGAGACCATTTTGATGCTTGATGCGAAGTGATGGGTGAACGCATGCTCACGTTGGGTGATCTTTCAACAACAACTTAGTAGGCACAAGCGCGTGAACATGCATCCAACAAACCTCTCATGCCGACATTCACTTGTACTACATGAATGCTTGTGCTTCCCTACAGCCATTAAAAGTGAAGCGAAGCTGGGGATGCCCAAGACGGCAATATGCACGAGCAGCACGGTCGTGGTCAAGGCACGTACATCGGATGATCGGAGACTCCGATAGTGCTAGATGCCACAACAGAGTATGAATCGCCATGTGCACAAGCCTTAGCCTAAGAGCTTAACATGTGTGGCAAGTGGCAGCACCCACAATAGAGCAACGACATAGCCGCACCACAGGCGTTCACAAACACGTCCCAGCCAGAACAGCAAGTGAACGCAGAACAACAAGTGAACATAGCCCGCAGAGCAGCCCCTAAGAGACCTGCATAGCCGAGTCAAGCGCGCTCAGTGCTCACGAACGGGTCTCCACAGCAACACCTGCAGCCGTGCGTAGCGAGCCTTGCGCCCAGCGCTCCGAGCGCAGGATCCAGACCGGGGAGTGTGGGGATTGCGTGCTCTGCGCACCGTTCGCTGGGGGGCGGGACACCTTGCTGTGTAAGATTGTAGGCAGCGCACGGTGCTTGGCGGTGGTGCGAGTGAATGCGCTCAGTGTGGCTGTGCTGATGATGGGCTGTGCTTCTTAGGGGTGCCTGCACTTGCTATGCGCATAAGGGTCTTTCACTGGGACCTGTGTGCGTGGTAGATTGCTACTCTGCTGTAGCTGCTAATATGAAGTAGGATTGCTGCCTGAGTTCTTTCACTTTCTGGAAAGTGTAAGGGACAGGAGGCTGAGACGCTGAGAAGGAGCTGTTTCACTTACATCAGGACACTACTGCTCATTTCTGCTCATGAATATGTTCCGTATTTCCAGTTGTAGAGCTTGCTCCGGCACTTGTGAAGAACGTCTTTGGCGAGAATTTGGTAGCTCGGCTCCCGCGCCTGGCATACTTTAAGCTCCGACTATTCGTGAATATAATGTTTGATATCCAGGGCTCACGCTGATTTATTGCTGGTGAGTTTTCACAGGCTGGCTGGGACTATCTTGGGAGTCACGGTCATGGTACAGTATGCCAATTTCCCGAATGGGTACCTCTTGCCCCAAAGGAGATGGAAACTAGACCTCAAGATAGTATATATCCTTCCGCATTGGAATCGTTCAAGCAGTGTTGATAGTGTGACGCTTGCATGTTCACCTCGGATGATGAAGAAGTGCTGTTGTTGAACCAGGAATCTTTAGGCGGGAGAAAGCAGGCCAGTATGAGTAGGTAGGTATTCATCCTTGCCAATAATGAACTTTGTAGCATTCAATCCCCAGGCAGTGGTTTCGAACTGCTCTCTCGGTCAACATGCCGAAGACCCCGGCTTTCTCAACGAGATCCTGTTCGGTCAAAGGCCGATGCGTGACATTTGCCGGCGAGAATACCCCGCCATCCACTTCCAACGTAGTGCGGGGTGCCATGGACGAATCGCATCGCGCAGCCACCACCAAGAGAACCACATTTGTTGGTAAAGCATCCTTGTCATCGTCGGGCCGGGAGTTGTGTGGAGAACGACCTGGTTGAAGCTGTATCGTATTTACAATGGCAAGCCCTCGACGTCTTTAGACTCATCACAAGATCATCCTCTATAGTCGAATTCGATTCAAAAGAGCAGGAAGACAGGAAGGCCTACTAGCAATCGCTCAACCACGCTATTCACGTTCAGCTGCAGTTCCAACACCAAAGACACCATCCCACCTGATACCAGGAAACGACACCCAAAAGACCATCATGTCTAAACCAGAAATTGGCTTCTGTGGTCTCGGAGCCATGGGCTTGGGAATGGCCTGCAATCTGGTCAAGGAGGGCTACTCCGTCACCGGCTTCGATCTGTACCCTCCATCGCTCGAGAAGTTTCAAAAGGCAGGCGGCACCCCGTCTACGTCGCTCGCGGAGTCCGCAAAGGACAAGCCGTTCTACATCGTCATGGTTGCCGCAGCGGTGCAGGCGCAACCCGCTCTATTTGCCGATGACGGCATTGTCCAGGCGCTCCCCAAAGGCGCAACCCTGATCCTGACATCGACGGTGCCAAGCAGCTATGCTCAGAGTGTGGAGAAGGAGCTGAAGGACATTGGCCGTGACGATATTTTCTTCATCGACGCACCGGTTTCCGGGGGTGCTGGAAGGGCCGCAGATGGCACGCTGACGATCATGGCGGGGGCGTCGGAAGCTGCTCTCGAGAAGGGAAAGTGGCTGCTTGCTGAGATGAGTGCACCTTCTAAACTCTTCATTGTGGATGGAGGCATCGGCCAGGGCAGCAATATGAAGATGGTGCATCAAGTACTCGCGGCAATCCAAATTCTGGCTGTGAGCGAGGCGTATGGGTTCGGTGCAAGACTGGGGCTGAACGGGAAAGATGTGAGTGAGGCTGTGATAAGCAGCGATGCCTGGAGCTGGATGTTTGAAAACCGGTCACAGAGGACGCTGAAGGAGGACTACTTCCCCGGTGCGAGCGCAGTCACTATCATTCTCAAGGACACAGTAAGTCGACGCCTTATCGATCACAGCATGATACTGACGACGAGAACAGAGTATCATCACCCTCAGAGCACGTCAACTCAACTTTCCCACTCCTCTCTGCTCCATTGCGGAGCAGGTGTACTTCGCAGCACTTGACCGCGGCTGGGGCGCCAACGATGATGCTGGCATCGTGCGCCTCTGGACTTCCGAGCCGGTCTCGAACATCCAAAGCTCCCTGTCTGCAGAAGACAAGGAAAAGAAGCTTACCCTCGTAAAAAACCTACTGAGGGGTATCCACCTCGTTGCAGCTGCAGAAGCGCTGTCTCTCGCACACCACGTCAGCATTCCCCTGCCGCAGATCTACGAGCTGGCCAAGGATGCTGCAGGAGGCAGCAAGCAGTTTGAGAACCTTGGGTCCAAGATGCTTCCCATTCTCGAAGGCCAGGCCGATGGGAACGGCAAGGTTCTCGGTGGCTTTATTGCGGGGTTGCAGGAAGCTTTGGACGAGGCACAGGCCATCAAGTGCCCAACGTATTTGGGTAACGGTGCTCTAGGGTTGCTACTGCAGACAGGACAGAGCAGTGATCTGGCGTCACTGCTGAAGTTTTACAGCGTCTGAAGGGCCTAGATTCCAGTAACGTGCATATGTTAGTCAATGCTGATCTAATGCATTCGTCGCCTAAACGTTTAATAATCCTCGACGGCCTAAGTCGTATACACCGCATTAGTTTCGGCCAGTTATGTTGTTGTTGCATGATCAAGCTGTTGCCTACGGAGTGCTTCGCCTACAGACAAGACATTCGTCCGGCGCTCGTAGATCATTTCCCCTTGAAGAGGATGAGTCTTTAAGTTGCGGCATATTCATCCTCTGTGTAGAGGATGGGTCGGCGCCGGGCTGATACATAATACCGACGCGGCATGCATACAGCAAGTCAGAACTTATAGGAGAACGTTGCAGCTGCTTTGGATTGGCCAGATTCCTATAGGATAGCCGCAAGCTAACATTCGGTCGTTACTGGGGTTTGTATGTCATAATTGATGGACTGCATAGCCAAATATACAATATACTTCGGGCATTGAATGCTTTGGTCGCCAGCAAAGCCTTGAACCGGGCCGTCATGCTCTTATCCGGATAAAGGGACGTGTGATCAGACTTGCCATATGAAACCGAGTGCGAAAGCGGCTCAGCCGGTGGCAGCACAGCTGACGACAGGTGCTCGAAACAATAGGTCAACACAGGGTGCGAACGAGCTGCATACGCCCAACTGCCGGCTCTCCCGATGCGTGCCAAGATACGATATCTGGTGGCGATAACACGCAATCGCCGGCATTATCGCCCTGCATCTCTAAGGCCTGGGATTTGCGACTCCTGGCAGTATCTCATGATATCGGCAGTACCGGTCTGCGTTGGTACTCAATAATCCTTTCATCTTCTTGGACCGCTTGCTCCCATCCCTGTATGTGTACGGCAGCCGCTTTTTGGAAGCGAGGCTGTCACGTTAACGAGTCTCGAGTGGGTGATCACACAGACAGATGTCAGATGAAACGGATTTGTGGGGAAGAGCAAATGATGATGCGCAAGGAAGGTAAGGTGGTCGTCGCAATATGCTCAAATTGCGAGCGGCATTCCGCGAGCTTCCTACACAGAGATCTCTGGTAGCGACCAGGTGACAAAAGAATTGGTGGTGCGCCACATTGACGTTGTGATACAAGGCGTATGGTGATCGACAGGAGACGTCCTGAGGTAGTCAGCAAACCAGCCAGGTTTGGACTCAACTGCATGATGCAACTGGCAACGCAATTGCAATGCTTGACAAGACTGTTCTGGATGCTTCAACCTATGGTGACTGTGTTGCGCCAATCAGTCAGCATGCGGCACCTGTTTCGCATCCCGGCAATCTGTTGTCAAGTAAGCAAGTAAGCGGGATCCGAGAACCTGGTACATTGGCGGCAGAGGCGATCGGCATGTCGCAACGTTTTCTGTGTCAGTAACATATTGGGGATGACTCGTTCCACAGCGAGGCACAAGATGCAACGAAATGTCTGATCGACTGTTGGGGAAAACTTGGTCAACGATCAACGATTGAAGCAATGACGTTCAAAAGAGCAAAGCTTGCCCCCTCCCGGTGTAACCGGCCTGCGAACTTGATTTGCAAAGGGCAATATACCATGCGGATCTGCTGACAGGGGCAAGCTGGCAGCCTTGCAGGACGCTGCAGGACGCTGCAGGACGGGTGCATGCGCATGTGATCAATGCTGTACCTGGTGGATAGCTGCAGATTCGTATGCAGTTTAAGCTACAATCGCGCGAGCAGCGCACCACGCCATGTTGCAATCCTGTCTGCCTGAAGGATTATTAGACGTCTGACACCAGGTACTGCGCCGCGCTCCTTCTATAGCGAGGCGACAGGGATCCAAGAGCACTGAGTAAGCCAATCCTGCAAATATACCCTTGCATGTGCCGAGATGATTGTCTATAAATTGTGCAGCCTCGTGTAATCGCCAGCCGTTGAATGCTGTGTCACGAGTGAAAAGCGCGCACCTGCATCGCCAATGCATCAGTTCTGTATTTCGGCAAGCACCGGTGAATGGCACTCGTTTCTCCGCTAATCAGGCAGCGTTCGCATTGCAAACCTTCTGGTCGTGATGCTGCCAAGAGAAGAGTGCGACGACCGTTCGGCGTTTACTTCCAATACTGAACTTTGTCACATAGACTCTCATCGTCGGCAGTTCTGCAATCGTGATCCATTCCGGGACTGCGGAGGAGTGAGGGGTCGGTCGTAAGCATGGCCAGCAAGCGCCAAACGCGCCATGAGGTATATCGACTATAATTACTCGAGACATGCTTTCGATAGACCGCTTGCTAGCATGGCCCTTCAGCCACTCAGCGGTACACGCTGTACCACCCCGCACTGCAGTTCTGACGGCGTGGAACAGTGGATGGCTTGGAGCGGTCAATGTCAAGTTTGTTGGCGCAATGTACTATTGTGGAGTACCAGGACCGCGCTGTGCACCAGGAAATACCTCCCAATATCCCACGCTGAAGGGCGTCAGTGTACTGCCAATAAGGCTGTAGACTATTGAAGCCATTCCAGTAGCAACTAAGCTGAAATCCATGCGCGGAATATTTTTTGGAGCATGCCCGGGAATGAGGCCATGGTCGTTGCTGCAGAGCGGCCCGGCGAGTGGGGCAAGAACCATCCATCGCGCTCTTGTCTCTGGAACGGGCAGTCACGCGGATTTTTCGGCCACACCTCTGCAAAACCGCATCCATACGCGAGATTGAAAGGTGGAGCTAGGCTGTAGGGATCCTGATTCCTGATACGCTATCGTGTTGGTTCCTGTAAGAGCTGTAAGCATCACGTCACAACAGCCTTGCGAACGGCTCAGAGGGCGCACTCTCAGTTATGGTATCACGCCAGGCCAATGTCATTAGGGCTGAGCACACCACCGTGACAGCCACCACGTCTGGGGTCTGCAGCAGAGAGGGTGTAGCGACGCGGCAGTAAACGTGGCCTCGGCTGAGGACCGGGTAAAGATGCAGGCACAGCAATCATCCAAGGCGCTTGTCCGAACTAATCACATCAAGCGCAATCGCGGTCATTGAAGTGGCAGTGGCGTCGATCGTGAGCAGATTTCGCATTGAGCACAATTGGAGCAAGGAGGACTGAGCGTGATGTGATGTGATCTTTGATCGAGTGTATTATGCTGTAAGAACAAGTGGGTATAGGTATCCGTCCTCCTGGCAATGAAGCCGCCAAAAACATTAACTCCCAGTCGGTCCGTCTATAACAATGCAATAGCGCACAATCGTGTGGCTCCCAAAAGCGCCAAGTGATGCAGTGTGTGAAAAAGGAAGCGAGATGCTCGGTATTACAAGTGCTGTGCTGAGCTTTTAAGCGAGGGCACGCGTCTAAAGAGAAAAAGAACAAGGGCGCTAAGTCCAATTCACCCGAGCCAGCGTGTGTGGAAAGCATAAGAGGTCATGACCTGACGTTGAGACGTGGAGTCATGGAGATGATGCGCTAAGTGATGCAGACGATAAGTGAAATCGTAGGAGCCTTGTGCCGCAAGATGGCATGCAGGACACAAGGCTCTTCTGCAAGGCAGCGAGGTTGACACTCGGTGAACACGCTGAGGAGTGTGGCGTGTTGGTGGTTGACCGGGGTGTGATGCACGACGTGTGTCGAACATCAGATAGTGTCGATCCTGCAGCTGCGTTGCATGAGGGTGGCACGCCTGTGGATGGCAGTGTGCGTTTCAAGTCGAGTGGGCCATGTGGTGAGATGACGTTGGATCATAGTTGGAGGGCATGAGAGGATATCGAGCCTCGTAGCCAATTGCGAGTTGAAAGAACAGCCGTGCCGAGAGACCGGTGGTTTATTTGGAAGGAACCGGGGGCAGAGGGCGTGTTGGTGGTGGTCCTGGGCAAGGAGGGAGGTTGTTGTTTGCCATGTTGGACTCGTCGTAGGTGGTAGCGGCCATTGTATGGAGTTGATGCTAAACCTTGGTGGTTGGTAGTAGTCGGTGGTGGTTGGCTTGGTAGTTGGTAGTATGGACTGAGCGTGGACGAGGTAGTAGTTGAGCAGGCGGGACAGTGACTGGTAGCTGCGTAGAGGTAGTGCAGGGCTGATGTAGTTATGTATTCGAGTGGTGTCCGGCTGGCTGTTGTATGAAACGAAGGATACGAGTAGTGGGGGTCAATGGTATTTATGTGCGTGCTTAGATTGCTGCAGGCCCAAAATGTCGGTCAGCTACGTACTTTTGATGATGTGTGTAATTATTCTAGGCAGCGCATGGCACGGCCCAAGCGGTGAAGCATGGCGTTGGGCTGTCCAGGAAAGGGGTGGCTCCTGGCTTGTGCATGAGCTAAAGCACGCCGAAACATCGCCCATCCTGGTCGTTAATGAGCAGGGGTGGGAAGAAACACGAAGACGTGCTGCGCTGGTTGTCGTTTCAGCGCCCTCGTGACAGTGCTGAAGATCGTGGTGATCCAATCCTGTCGCAATATTGTCGCCGTGCTGGGGTGAAGCACATCACTTCCTGCACGGTCAGACGATGACTCTTCGGCACAATCTGCGCGCCTAACTCTGACATCACTGACGCGCTGTTGCAGCTTATTCTCTGTGCTTACTTGGTTCGCTAGTGTGAACGGTTGTAGTGATTGAAACGCAGTCCTCCTATTCAAGGACATGGTTGCCACGACCAGCGCCGAAACGCCGCTACACACTTTGTGTGAAAGAGGGTTTTGCTTGCGAGGCATTCAGGAACAGGCAAGGCTAGCTTCCGTCCTGTGTCAGGGTTAAATTTCTGACACGGCGACAGCCACGGGCCACCCACAGACTTGACGAATTTTGTCATTTTGCAACGTTGCTCATGCCCAGCACCCACAGTTCCCATCGCAGCTGGAAGATCTAGCGCATACGGCGCCCACAGCGCCCTTCTCCCGTGCTTCTGCCAGCCTTCCATCTAATTTCCAGTGTCCCCCCCTGGAATTTTCTTGCTCCACTCTCGACTCTGGTCGCGTCTGTCGGCGGTGAGTTTCGCGTGTCATTCGTCCAGCAACCTGTCGGCCCCAGGCGAGTAGGCTGCGGATACGCAAGGGAGCAGTCAAAGGGTCCTGTCACGCTCGATTTGGTCATGATGCGTGCCTTGTCTGCCCGACTCGTATGCCTAATCCTGGCGTGTCACGCAAAAGTAGAATCGGCGTCTCTGCTCTGTCTTTGGCAACCCTCCGCTGCCCAAGAATGGCTCGCAAGCAAACTTTAACGCGTGGCTCTCCTCCAAAGCCTCCCGGAGGCTCCGAAAGGAGAGAGTTGCGGATATGCAGCCGACGAGGCAGTGCGACGGCGTAACAACGTCGGCCGGAGGATCGGAGAAAGCACCGCAGCTTGCCTTTGGTGCAGCTGAGGCTGGATTCCACGTGGAGCAGGGATCAGGACTGAAGCTACTCGGATGAGCGTTCGTTTACGTTCGATTGCTTTTCATTAGCAATTTGTCTCCCCCTACCCCTGCTGCTCGCCAAATGACTGATGCAGTTTGCTGCTTGCTTCATCCATGTATCGGACGTCTCGGTAGAACAAAAATTCTTCCTTCGCCGGAGGAATGTGAGACCCTTCGTCAGTTCTGCCCGTTTGAGAATGCGAATAGAACAGATCTGCAGGGGCACGGCCTGTCTGGTCAACGCTGATGGAGCAAATTATCTGCCACACCATCGCCACCGCAATAGGTCTCGAATTTGCCACAGATGTGCTGTTTCAGAGCTGTGGAGAAGACGTTGGGTGTTGTTACAGATCAAATTGGTAGCGATTCATACCCGATCTGTGACCCGACAGCGTGATTCTGAAGGGCGTGAAGCTGACTACGTCCCAGCAGACTGGACCATGCGGAGAGAAGCGAAGAAAGACCGAGTGTCCAACTGCCGTTTATGACAGGTAGCCAGACGACTGCCCATATTACGCAGCATGACTGGCTGCTTTTGTGGCGCCCGCCAGCTGGAGTCTTGGTAGTAGCTTGCACAGCTCAGACCAGAAGGCCGAATTTCCGCACTTGGTCGGCGATTTTGAAAAGCAAGCACGAGGTCGGCAGAGCTGGGGACGAACCCTGATCTACGAGTTTGGCCGCGGGCATGTTGTCCTTTGTACAACACGTCACCTGGCAGACACAACACGTGTCAATCTGTGGGCATGTTGAGCACTAAGGCGTCATCAATGTCTCTAAATCCAGCGTAAATGTTCATCATGGCTGAGCAAGTTTGACGCTGCTGCAGGTACGCGAACGCCTATCGGTGCTACCACGCGGTCCTTCTGCTGGTAGTAGCTGTGGCTTGCACGCCAAAGAAAATGTGCGCCACGATAGTGCTGAGCCCGGCGATCCCGAGCATCGCGATCGTTGCTTTAGCTCATCAACGACAAGAGGGAAAGGGCGTTCGCGCACAACTCGACTAGTGCTTGAATGGTACGTTAATACATACGTCTTCATCGAACACCCAAAAAAGCAAAGTAGATTGCGGCTACACCCGTCCTCCCATCTCGTCGGTTTGGCGATCCGTTATCGTGATGGTTACAGCTTGGAGCGCATCTTCATTGATGACTTGCAGTCACATCAGCCGCCAATAGCTTTGGTGATCTCATTCTAGAGTCGCCGATGGTCATCTCTTCGCATCGCCGACCGCGAAGACGGTCATGCACGGTCGTGCATATAGTCCTTGACACGAGAGGCCGTGATCAGCCCACCCCAACAATACTGCGCTGCCACAAAAGCCACTCTGTGGGACGCCCGAATGCTAGGACATAGCCAGGCTCAGGTTGAAAAGGCCAACCTAACAGACGTCTGCGTATGTGACCGGAGTCAATTCTTGCTGCTAAGCTTTGCACTCGCAGGCCGAGTGTATTTCTCATGTCGTTTTCTAACCTCTTGATGCGAAATTTCAGCCGTTGTCTTCATCATCATCGCCCGCCTGTCCAGCAGCCTGAGTCGATACCCAGTTCTCTAGCATCTGCTGGCTCGATACTACAGTAGCTCCTCCTGCAGCAGGTCTTACTCCCTGCCGCTTGACAACGAGACAGAGTATGCGACCGTAGATGCTAAAGCCTTCGTACGAAGTGTTCAGGCCCATTCTCTTCTTGTCTTCTTGCAAGTCATCTTCATCCTCGATGACCTCAACGTCTGGTGGCGCAGTATTTGCCTTCTTTCGCTTGTTGGTAGCCTCTGGAACGAACAAGTCACCATCATCACTATCGCCGACATGGTCTTCTGCATCCTCTTGAAGTTCGTTGCGACTTCGCTTTGAACGTGTCGACCGCTTGGGAGCTTCGGGAATGTCAGCAAGGTTGACAGCATCGCCATCTTCTTCGTCGATGATGATTGGATCTGCAGCAATCTCGTTGATGAGCGCCGGCTGATCGCTTGTTCCAGCGGCAAGCCAGCTTGTGAGCTTTCCTGAATTGCTTTGTATGCGAGGCTTGTCCTTGAAAATCTTTTGCTTGGTCATGACAGAATGGCGAGATGACAGCTCGGTCAGGAAAATGGACACTTCAAAATCATCTGGTCTGAGGTTAGCTTTGTGAACGACAGGGAATGCTCTACATTGACTGTCATATCTGACATGCATCGAGACCATTGTATTGGCAGGCATTCACTACCTTCGACTACAACATCCTTGACTCCCTTCTTCTTTACTTTGGCCCCAGAGCGACCCTTCCCTCGCTCATTTTCTTCTCGAAGTTTGGGAAGGACAAGGGGCCGAATTGCTTGAATGACGCGTGGAAGAGCTGGGTCATCGCGTTTCAGCAGCCATGCCTCAGCATCTGCAGGGCGGTCCAAGTAAATTCGCACTTCTAGGACGGAATGCTTCGTTATGCGCAAATATCGCCTGAGCGGAGCCATGTTTCAACGGCTTGTGTGCTGCCGTGTTTGTTGTTTCGACAGCTGTCTGCGTGTGGAATAGATGTACGCGGACGGAAGAGGCTCTACCGAAAGCGTGCGCGGGTTGATGCGTGTTCACGTGCTTGCGTCATGCCAAGGCTGTGATTGATTAATTGGTTGCAAACGTTCCGACGAATTGCTTTGACGGAATATCCACGAAACAAAAAAAGCTCGCATTGCGCAATATACATGGCACTGGAGCTTCATGTGTGGGGACCGGCTTTCGGCCTGCCCTCAATTGATCCCGAATGTATCGCGACCGTCGCCTTCTGTCAGCGGGTCATACCCGAAGGACAATGGAGCCTCGTCGCAAGCTACGACAAGTCGGTTGGTCTGACAGGTATGTAACAGGAATAGGTCAAGGACAAGCTGTGACTTACTGTGGTAGAGAGCCTTCCGATACTTTTCGATGGTGGTATCGCGACGGCGACTGGATTCGAGGATATCATTTCCTATCTGCGCAACCATCCCACAGTCAGTGAGGACCTTGACGCGAACTTGAGCAGTCAACAACAGAACGATCGTACTGCATACTCGACGTTACTTCGGTCGACGGCTACACCTCTTATCGACCTGTCACTCTTCGTCTCAGCAGAGAACTACAACACGACGACATCTTCCGCGTACACTGCCATCTTACCATGGTACGCCAACTATACCGTCCCGCCCAAGCGACGAGATCTTGCGAGGACACGAACAGCGCACATGGGACTGGATAGTCTGGACGTGGATACAAGAGCAGAGCAAGGCATGGCCCCCGGTCGGGGCACCGCATCAGCAGAATTTGAGGCTGCGAAGCGAGCAGCTGGGCTGCCTACCGACAGCAAGCCGACTGCAATGAGCATGGGACGGGCCAAAGGTCTTGGAGGGTTTCTCGGTACTCAGCAGTACGCTGCACGATTCAGGCTTGATGCGGCATCGAATGAGCTGCTAGAACCTTTGTCAGATCTTCTGGGGAACCATAACTATCTGCTAGGAACGTCGCAGCCTTCTAGTCTTGATTGCCTGGCTTTTGGCTACTTGTCGTTGATGCTGATCCCCGCTGTACCGCAAGCGTGGCTCAAGGAGATCATATCTACGAAATTTCCCGGACTCGCGACCTATGTCCAAGAATTCCGCAAGAACATCCTCACAGAAGAAAATATAAGTCCGGCTCAGGTGTGGGCAATCACCATTGGGTCGGCATCCCCAGCAGTAGAAGAACCACAAAGCAGGCTCTTGCCGTGGACAAGCAAGTCACAGAGCTTTGCACGTGGCACATTGACTGGCCTCTGCGAAGTCGTCGGGAACATCCCAGTAGTATCGTCACTCCTGCAACGAGAGACCGTCCCGCCTTCAGAAACGATTCCATCTTCTAGTCGCATCAATTCCGAACTCCCATCCCCCATGTTCGGCAATGCCTTGCTCGGCTTTACAGCTGCAGTCGTAGTAGGGTTTGCCTCTCTTGCTTTTCAGCATCGCCGGTCCCCTCGGGAAGGTGATCTCATCTTCTGGGCGCTGCGCCCAACCCTTGGGCTCGGAGAAGCAGGCAACATATTCAATGTCTTGGGCCAATTACCCAGTGGGTCACTCTCGCAGTTCTGAGTTACAGTTCGTTTGCATGGCGCAACCTTTAGATACCCATCATGTACCATAAACTGTATGACCATCAATCGCGCGACTGCCAGACATTGGCACAGCCACATTGACGAAGTGAAATTGATTGGACGGGATCTACGACTCGTAACCACTGTGATGTGAGACACGCAATTCGGTGGCACACTACTCACAACGACGTCACAGGGACCAAACAACGATCGCGGTTGACAGCTAGTTCGATTGGAGCCGCGCGAAGACACCGGGGTCAAGCCTCGACAGGGGCATCGTCCTGTGAACAAATGCAAATAGTCCATTGGGCGAACTACGCTGCGTCCAGCGATGATCGTAGACCAGGTTGCCTGTGCGACAGAATGATGTACCGGCTAGAACCGACTGCGGGCGGCGATCTGCCAGGATCCCTACGGTACGTCATCGACCTCGGCGCTAGGCACCGCGAACACTCAAAAACAGCGGCGCCCTCAGATCGTCGCCCTCTCCCTATCACGAGAAATCCTACCACTCACATCGTCCTGCAAAGCTACAAGTCTCACAGACCTCAAGTCGCAAAGTCCAACTCCCTTGACATAAGCCGTCACATCCGCCCAACATGCATCGCACATACAGTATGCGCCAGTCTCGCGCGCCCACGGTAGGCATCCTCTCACAACATGCGTGTAGACCGCAATATTGACTTTGGCACAGGCGTCGCAAATCCAGAACCCCCCTCCCCCTTCGTCGTCGACGAAGAGCGGACGTTTCTTTGGCAAGGCTAACATTGGTGTGTTGATGTGAACATGAGGCCGCCGACCTGGACACTGACCAGACATGCAGGCCATACCTTCCGCCACAAGTCTGCTGGCGCATTTGGACCCGACCTTGCGAAGAAGCTCTCGCAGCTGGTGAAGATGGAGAAGAACGTCATGCGCAGCATGGAGCTCGTATCCAGGGAGCGCATGGAGGTCGCTGTAAGCTTGGCTGTCCCGGACGAACCTCCGAGCCGACACTAACTGATCATAGCAACAACTCTCCATCTGGGGAGAGGCATGCGACGATGACGTTTCCGATGTTACCGACAAACTTGGTGTTTTGATCTACGAGATTGGTGAGCTCGAGGACCAGTATGTCGATCGCTACGATCAGTACCGTGTTACCATCAAGAGCATCCGCAACATTGAGGCTTCCGTCCAGCCCAGCCGCGACCGTAAGACTAATTACCTCTTGATACCAACACTGCTCACATCGTTCAGGCAAGCAGAAGATTACCGACCAGATTGCTCAGCTGAAGTACAAGGAGCCCAACTCTCCCAAGATTGTTGTTCTCGAGCAGGAGCTTGTTCGCGCTGAGGCCGAATCCCTCGTCGCGGAGGCTCAGCTGTCCAACATCACCCGCGAGAAGCTCAAGGCTGCTTTCACCTACCAGTTCGATGCCATGCGCGAGCACTGCGAGAAGCTTGCCATCATCGCCGGCTACGGAAAGCACCTTCTCGAGCTCATTGACGACACTCCCGTGACCCCGGGCGAAACCCGCCAGGCGTATGACGGTTACGAGACGTCGAAGGCGTAAGATGAGTAACTACTACAATGCACATCAGACTGACCTTTCACAGTATCATTCAGGACTGCGAAGACTCGCTTACCAACTGGGTCGAGCAGAACGCGTCCGTCTCGTCCAAGCTTTCCCAGCGATCCCGCACTCTCTCCCAGCGCCGCCGCAACCGCAGCCAGCATGCCGGCGAGCCTGTAGACCTGTCCGGCCAGGACCAGCCCCTCGACAGCCGCGAGTCTGGCCTGTGGATCCCTGCTTCCGAGCACCGCGGCAACGGCTACGATGATGACGAGGTCGACGAGGCCGGCTCTACTGTTGCCAGCGAACACCGCGGTCGTGAGGATGAGAGGATTGTGGCATAAGCGCCTGCTGACCGTCTGCTTAGTAGCGTACCGCTCTTCGTCTTCTAATAGTGCGCCTCTGTACTTGTGACAGTAGGCGATGTATACCCCTGACGGAGCGGTCGGTGTTTCTGCGGATAGTTTGAATCATTGGAGCAACGCAGGCTTGGTTAGGTGAAGTTTGTGCTTGATGATTTACGAGTAACAATAGTATTGAGATAGGTAATTGTCCTAATTTGCAACTGAAGGCTTGCGTCATATCTGAATCATTGACCGATGGTGTTGAGACTGGTGTTGACACTTATTCTTCCACATGTCAAACGCGGAAGGAAACACTACTCATCTTTTCGAGTTCTCACTACACAACATGAGCACTCGTCCAGATATACCCTGTAAGCGCTCTGGATCCACACACTCGACGTGGCGTGTCCATCCCACGCTAAAATTTTAGCTCTAATCCCATCCCCCATCCCAATCCTCCACCCATCAGCAAGTATAAATAAAGCACATGACCGCGCCACCCAAACCTGCCACTCAGAAACCCGCAATGACCAGAGTTTGAGAACCCAGTGTACAGACTCCCCATTCACGTCCACATCCACACCCACCATGTCCCACCCCACCACCCTCGAATGGACCCAAGGCACCTTCGGCCTCGAGCCAACCTGGCCACACGACCCCGACCTCCCAACGCTCATCAAAACCGCACGCCCGCATCTCGACCTCCCCGCCTCGGCCCCCCTGTCCGCGGTCCCCCTCCCCCCCGCGCCCTTCAGCAGACTCTACGCCCTCACCGCCCCAGACGCGGCGTACGTGCTGCGCGTCTCGCTGCCCGCAGACCCGGGGCTGCGAACCGCCAGTGCAGCTGCCACGCTGGGCTTTGTAAGTCAAAACGCGGAGGTCCCGGTGCCCCGCGTGCTGGCGTTCGAGGCCGAGGCTGCGAATGCGATCGGGTACGAGTGGACGCTCACGTCGCACGTGGGCGGCGCGCCGCTGTACCGCGCGTGGCGCCGCATGTCGTGGGATGCGAAGACGGCGCTCGTGAAGCGGCTCGCGGGGCTGCAGGCGGATTTGTCTGCGCACACGTTCCAGCGCATCGGCGGGCTGTACGCGGGCGCGGGCGAGGGCGAGGTGGTGGTTGGGGAGTTGGTGGCCGCGACGCAGTACCAGGGGGACCGGGTCGGGGGCAGCAGCGTGCGCGGGCCGTTTGCGTCGAGCCATGCGTGGCTGAAGGCGCGGCTGGAGGGCGTGATGCAGGAGCAGCGGCGGGTTGTGGAGGCGTCGTGCGACGAGGACGAGATTGACGATGCGGTGTTTGCGTGTGCGTTGGCGGTGCAGCTGGAGGGGCTGCTGGGGACGGTGTTCTTGGCGGGGTCGGGGGCGGGGGAGACGACGGCGTTGTCGTGTGGGCATCTGTCGATGCATGGGGTTTGGGTGGATGGGGAGGGGCGGTTGACGGGGGTCGTGGACTGGGAGGGTGTGCCTGTTGTGCCGGTGTGGCGGGCGGGGCGGCTGCCGGTGTTGTTTGAGGAGCGGGTACGGGAGGAGAAGCCGGTGCGGGGGGAGTATGCGGAGGATTCTGAGGAGGAGGATGAGAGGGATGATGACGGGCTTGATAACGAGGGCGTGACGGATTTGTACTGGGAGCATCTGCTGGAGTGGGAGATTACTCAGCTGCGCGAGGTGTTTGTCCAGGAGATGGAGGAGCGGCAGCCGGGCTGGACTGCGTTGGCGAAGCAGAACAAGCTGAAGGATGACTTTGAGCGGGCGGTGGAGGAGTGCGGGAACGGGTGGCGGAATAAGAGTGTGAAGCGATGGGCTGATGCTCTGGCGGCAGGCACGCCCATTGATCTGACAGCTATCCTCTTCTCGTCGCCGGAGATTGACCAAGTGAGCGACTCGGGCATGGACTGGGAAGAGGCGTGAATAGATCTTCGCTTCCTGCAGCATCACCAAAGATCAATGACCTCAGTCTGCATCGGCCACGGCGCCCTATCCGCCCCGCAATTCTTACACGGAAACGGCTGACCCGCCCTATGCAAGTAGCAATCCCCCATCAGCCCGTAGTGCCCGTCCACCTCCCTCAGAATAAACGGCACATCGGCGCCATACAGCACCCACACCTCATCCCCGGCCTGCACCGGCGCCCTGGCAAACCCGACCGAGTGGCTCGTCGTAAACGCCACCTTGCCCGCGCCGTAGATCTCAATCGCGTAGTTCAGCGCTGTGCGCTCCGCCTTCAGCCCACCGTCGCCGAAGCTCCCGAGCGCTGCGTCGTGGCAGCGCGCGCACAGCCGCGAGCCCAGCGCGGGCCAATCTCTGTGTGGGACGTAGAAGCGGCGGGCGTCGGAGATCTCGCCCAGCGCGCGGGTGATGGTGCCGAGGCGGTGGGCGCGGAGCTGCAGATAGGGGAGGTTTGGTGACGCAGCTGGGGGCGAGGTGCTGCGCGAGAGGATCTTGTGCGTGAGGTTCTGGTTCTGTTGGGCTGAGATTAGGTGCGTGAGATACTCGGTGTCTGCGGGTGAGAGTGGCTCGCGCGTTGGAGGGAGCTCGGTGTGCTGAATTCGCTGGCGCCAGGCCGCTGTGGAGAGACTGATGTTGTCGGTGTGAGTGTTCGAATCTGTCTCAGCGTCGGCGAGTATTCGCTCGACCAGAAGTCGTCTGGGCAACGGATCACGGAGCCACGAAGTCGGTTGGTCGTCGGGTGTATGCCACAATAACGCAAACAGCTCTTTGTCCGCATGTGAGAACTGCACTGGCGGAGGGTTAAAGACTTCTTTGGAGTCCCACTGCGGCACCCACGACGGCGTGGACGATAGGTCGGAATCGGGGTCGAAGTGCGCGTGCTGCAGGATATCAAACCGCCCCATTTCTATGCAGTACACGGCCACTTTGATGAAGACCTCCGGGTACGAGAGCGAGTAGTCAATGCCAAACTGCGCTGAGAAATCCGGATGCATCAGCCCCAGCAGTGCATACACCTTATCGCGCGGGTCCGTAGCAGAGCAGTTCCGGCTCTTACTCAACACCGCGAGCACGTCGCCCTCCTCCTCCGGGCGACTCGCTGGATTCCAGCTCAGAATACTCGGCGCCTGGATCCCAAACGCCGCGCTCAGATTCAGCGTCTTCGCGATCGCCGCCCCGGTCCACCGTATCTCGGCGGCCCCGATGATCAGCGTCACCAGCTGGCTGAGCCCGACCTCCTGCAGCACCCACACGCGGTCAAAGTAGGCGAGCCCAAACAGCTGCGCCAGCCCGGCCTTCACCCCCGCCTCGTCCGCCACCGCCTGCTCGTCCTGCAGATACCGCACGACGCGCGCCAGCCCGCTGCTGACCTGGCGCTCGCCCACGCCCAGATACGCCAGCACCTGCGACGCCTTGGTGTAGATGCTCGCCATCAGCCGCACCTGGTAGTTCTTCTCCGCCGTGTCCTGCTGGTTGATGCAGATGGCATCGACCCACAGGCGGCGGCTGCGGCTGGGCAGCCGCAGGCGCCTGAGCGCGGCGTCGCAGTTGCGCGTGATGGGGATGCACTTGCCGCGGCACGAGATGGAGGAGGCCATGCAGCGGTCGCCGTCGCCGTCGGCCCATGTGTACGACACGGCTTCGTAGGCGGGGCGGTCGGCGAGGTTGGCGACGGTGAGGTCGCACAGGAGGTCGCTGGAGGGCGGGCCGGCGTAGAGGATCAGCAGGCGGATTTCGGAGCCGAGGGTGTGTTTAAGGGGGGTGTAGTGGTAGTTTGGCGAGGCGGGATGGTCGATTGCGGCGTCAGCGGTCTCGAAGACGGCCTCGCCGCATGAGAGGCAGCAGCGGAGACCGTCGAAGAGTTGGATGTCTGGGTGGCGGCATTGTGCCATTGGGTTCGATATCTTGGGCGAGCCGATCTGGGGGCTATCGCGACGGTCATTCAACTTCCTTTGGTCTGATTCCGGAGTGTAGCATGCTCGATGGAGACATTGTAAAGTTGAATCAGGCCAGATCGCTGCTCGACTGGCTGAAGCGCATGGGGATGTTCTGCGTCAATATTCAATCAAGCATACACCTTAGCAAACACACACTGCGTTGATATACATAGTCTCACCAACCCGCTACAATCGCTTCACCCAGCTCCCAGCGTTGTGCTACCAACAAAACCACCGACGTCAAAACAGCCGCGGAAATAGCGCCGGAGATACGCCCCGACTCCGCAACGCCGGCCGCTACCGACCCGCCTATCGATTAAGCTCCCAGAGCTCCCGCGCCATCGATGGCGTCTTGCACCCATCTCCCCGCCTCTCTCGCCCTGCCTCGGACGGCACCCTGAAATGACTTCTGCACGCGCGCCCACCAGCCCGCCGACCGACGCCGACGAGCCCACGCCTGTCGCGTACGACCCTAACGACCCGTTCTGGCGCGAGACCGAGACCGAGGAGGACGATGATGACGACATGGAGTTTATCCCGGCGGAGGACGGCGAGGACGAGGGTGATGACGACGTGGATATCAGTTTCCATGGTGAGGGGATTGGAATGCGGGGGAGTGTGGCCGCTGACGGTGTGTAGATGCTGCCGAACACCTCAGTAGTCTGAGCGGGGTGGAGTTGGTGTTTGAATCGACCAATGATGAGGACGACGACGATGACGACGAGGAAGATGAGGACGGCGAGGGCGAAGAGGAAGAGGAGGAGGAGGGGGCTCGTCGCCCGGTGTACATCACCCGCGACCAGATCATGCAGCTGCTCGGCCACGCGGGCCTGGGCCGGATCTTTGCGTCGGACTTCACGACGCGGGCGGCGGCGCGACGCGTGAGGATAGACGATGACGACGAGGAGGACAGTGATCCGGGCACGGGGTATGATGCGGTTGGGCCCCGGAGCAGCCGACGTGCACGCCGTGCGCGGGGCGAGGCTCTGTACGAGAAGGTGCCGAGCGAACGCGGCCAGGAGGTGATGAACGGCGGGCTGTTTGGATCGAGTGCTCGGACGGAGGACACGCTGAAGAGGAAGAAGAGGCTGGCCTACAACATCATGCGGAGGGAGCTGGGCCTGGGCGGTGACGGACGCCAGAAGAACGCCACCCACTTGATGAAGCAGGACCTCATCCCCGAGTCTGTGGCCGACACCATCATCCACTACAACGCGCGGTGCTACTCTGGCCAGTTCTCGGACGATGGTAACTTCTTCTTCTCGTGCGCGCAGGACTTCCGCGTCAGGATGTACGACACGTCGAACCCGTACGACTGGAAGTACTACAAGGTGGGTGGCGAACTTCACTCACCACACTCAACGCTGACGTAACACAGTCCGTCATCTACCCGTACGGGCAGTGGACAATCACAGATGCCTCACTTAGCCCGGACAACCGGTTCCTTGCGTACAGCTCTATTCGCAGTGTAGTGTGTCTGGCCGGCACCGATCCCGCCGACGAGTCGGAGCCAAACCTGCTCGACTTTTCGCATCTCGGAAACAACGGCGCCCCGCGCGGCTTCCACACGTACTTTGGCATCTGGTCGATCCGCTTCTCCGGCGACGGGCGTGAGATTGTGGCCGGCACAGGCGACAACAGCGTCTACGTGTATGACATCGAGCGGCGCCAGTCGGTGCTGCGCATCCCCGGGCACGAAGACGACGTGAATGCCGTCTGCTTCGGCGACTCGCAGTCGCCGCACATCCTCTACTCGGGCTCGGACGACACGACGCTCAAGGTGTGGGACCGGCGGTCGATGGCGGACGGGCGCGAGGCGGGCGTGTTCCTCGGGCACACCGAGGGCCTGACGTACGTCGACAGCAAGGGCGACGGGCGCTACGTGCTCAGCAACGGCAAGGACCAGACGGCCAAGCTGTGGGACCTGCGCAAGATGATGAGCAAGGACAAGGCCGACCGCATCGACCCCAACGCGTACACGACGCGCTTCGAGTACCGCTCCAACGCGTACGACCCGGCCGACTTCCGCCCGCACCCGCACGACTGCTCGCTCGTCACGTTCCGCGGCCACAAGGTCCTCAAGACGCTGATCCGCTGCCACTTCAGCCCGCCCGGCAGCTCGGATAGCAGGTATGTGTACAGCGGCAGCTACGACGGCAGCGTGTACATCTGGAACCTGGACGCGACGCTGGCGGGCAAGGTGAATGTGCTGGCGGCGACCAAGAACAGCCGGCCGCGCGACCCGGAGCTGCTGGCCGAGACGTACGACTACTGGGGCCGCAACGGCGGGAACTGGATGACGTGCGTGCGCGACGCGAGCTGGCACCCCAACGCGCCGCTGATCGCCGGTGAGTCCGAGGTCAAGTCAGAGTCCGCGTCTTGTGCTAACGCGCGCCAGCTACGTCGTGGAACGGCTGGGGCACGTCGCAGGGCACGTGCACGGTGCACAGCTGGAACGACGGGGTGCAGGCGGACGAGGCGGAGCCGCGGGTCGGGCGCCGGGTCAACGCGCAGCTGCAGCATGACGAGCGGCTGTACCGGAGCGCCGAGGCGGGGCGGTCGCGGCGGCAGCCCGCGTGGTTCGACGAGTGGGAGGACGACGATTGACATGATCGCTCGCGCGCGTAGACGCAGACGCAGATGGGGAGATGGGTATATAGGGGCACGGTCTGGGAGGGGTGTTTATAGCTGGGTACATATCGAATTAGACGCTATTGTTCTGGTCCTAGTTGATTGGCATGTGTATAAGAGGGGTGTTGGTAGCTGGGTATATATCGAATCTAGACGGAGTCCTGGGTCGATTGGCATGCGTGTATAAGAAGGGTGTGTCCTAGTCGATTGGCATGCGTGTCTACTACGAGGGATGTTATAGCCGGGAGCCTAGATATATCGAATCATGTCAACCAGCACTATCAACAATCACACGTGCAGTCTCAACGCAAAAGGCTGGCCACGCATCACAAGTGCGGGTATCGAATTGGTATATCAAACTCCTGCCGACCCAGTGTCCGTGTTGTACAGATTCCTCGCCCGCGGCGGGCACATGCTCTATCTGCCGGCACCGCTGCGCCAAAGTACTGCCGGCCGCCCCTCGGGTCCGGCGGCGGTGGTGGAAAGCCCCAAGCGGGCTGCGAATGCGTGTGTGAGGCGTGCAGGCGTCTACGAGCCGCCGACCAGGATGTTGTTGACGGGGATGTGCACCAGCTTGACGATGTAGCCGATGACGCCTGGGGGCGTTAGTAGGTGCGCTGTTCAGGTGCGATGGGAGGGGAGACGGCACGCACCCATGATCAGGAAGCCGATGCCGACGGCCTGCGAGATGCGGATGAACTCCTTCTTGTCGGGCTCTGGGGCGGGTTAGCGGGCAGGCGGGCGCGGGCGGGCGGCGCGCGTACTCGTGCAGCGGTTGATGAACAGCGTGCCCTCCTTGAGGAACTCGGCGGGCATGCTGCGGGCTGTTAGCGGGCGGTGGGTGCAGCGCGGGCAGCGCAGGGCAGGGCGGGCGCGTACTCGGCAAACTCCTTGACGTTCTCCATGGCGGCGGTGGTGGAATTGGGCGGGTGGGAAGGTGTCGAGAAGAGTGTCGAGAAGGTGGCCGTGGAAAGTCGCGCTGGGTGTCGAGCACGGAGGCGACCGAGGCCAGGTGGTGTCTTGCGGAGTGCGCACGGCCGGCGCGCGGCAAGCCCAGATGCGCCGCAGCCCTGGCTGGAAGCTGAGACTCCACCGCCGACTGCGACCTCACTGCGCCGACCCCCCCGATCCAACACGATCCCACACATCCCGCACTGTGCCCGCCAGGTTTGTCTGCTTGCACTAACCGCAGCCCGCCCGTCTGTGTCTGCACCCGTGTCGCGCACCACCGCGCCGCCCGCGCCCGCGCGCCACCGCATCTACCAACACCCCCAGCAGCGCGTTGCGCGTCGCAGCCCTCTCCTTCTGTTCATCGTTCACCGTTCATCGTTCGTCGTTCATCGCTGGGAGCGCGTCGGCGCGATTCGCTGGAGGACCTGTAGCAGCAAACACGGCGCATTGGCACGCGAGACAGCAGGAGCAAGCGTAGTCAGGCTGCACGCCCCGTCTTTCACCTCTCACCATTCTTGTATCTTTCCACTCCTCTTGCTTTGGGCATCTTTCGGCTCTCTTTGCTGCACCGGCACTGTACGTATTCCTCGCTCACGCGCCGTCGTCTTGCATGCTTTTACTCGGCCTCGAATCCATCCTGTCTGCGCCCTATAGCTCGCTGATTCGACCGCCGCCCACAGACTGCATGTACTAAGCCCTTGATTGGCACTTCCAGTACCTACAAGCGAATCAAAAGAACTCCTGGAATCTACTCTGCACTCACTGAACATCTTACTTGACTCACGCAGCAAACATGGCCGACGACGATAGCTTCGACATCGACATCTACGGCGACGACTCGTACCAGGACCCGGCCCAAGACACCGCCCAAGACACCGCCCAAGACACCGCCCTTCCCGACGCCAACCCGCCCGCAAACACCGCCGACTACAATGCCCCCACACAGGAGAACGCGCCTGCCCCAGCAGCCGCCGCGCAGGACGGCACAGTCCAGCAAAGTGCGAGCACCGCCGCGCAGGACGGCACAGTCCAGCAGATTGCGAGCACCGGCGGCTCCGGCCACGATGTCCATAGGCAGGCACCGCAGCAGCAGGGCACGAAGCGAAAGCAGGGCGAGGACGACGACCGCCCAACCGACCCAGGCGCCACCGCAGCCCTGATGATCAACGACCTGAACTGGTGGATCAGCGAGGAAGACATCCGCGGATGGGCCAACCAGAGCGGCTGCGAGGACGAGCTGAATGAGATTACATTCAACGAACACAAAGTTAATGGTAAGAGTAAAGGGTAAGCAGTATCAAGCGCAGCTTCGAAATCTGGACTAACTGTATCACAGCCAAGTTTACATCATGTTACAGTCACCGCAGGCTGCCACTGCCTTGAAGCACCAGATCGAGCAGCTGTTCAAAGACCAGGCGCATACGAAGAAGCCCGCCGCGATATTCAACCCTCCACACCACAACCCCTTCAAGACACTGCCCAAGGACGTCCCTGCGCGTGATAAGAACCGCAACGACCAGCAGCCGGGAGGTTTCAACCGCGGCGGCGGCAACTTCAATCGCTTCAACAACAGAGGCAACTTTAACAACAGGGGCAACTTCAACAACCGCGGCGGCATGGGCTACCAGAACCCCACCGGCAACATGGGCGGGCAGATGGGCGGTTACGCCGGCCAAGGCGGCATGCAGAACTTTGGCGGCAACCCCATGATGGGCGGCGGCAATTTTGGAGGCGGCTTCAACCGCGGCGGCAACATGATGGGCGGTGGCATGCGGGGAGGCATGAACAACCGCGGCGGCCGTGGCGGAATGGGGATGAACAACATGGGCGGCGGCATGCAGATGCCCATGGGCGGGAACATGATGATGGGAGGAGGGATGATGGGCGGCGGTATGAACATGCCGATGATGAACGGCATGGGTACGTCAAGCATCGCGTTTTTTCAATCACGTTTGCGCAAATACTGACCATCACAGGAGGCGCAGGCTTCGGCGGCCAACCCCAGTTCAACCCCGGTTTCTTCCCCAATCAGCAGCAGGGCGGCAACGAGCACTTCAATCCTCACGGCGCGAAACGGCCACGGCCAGAGTAGGATTCACCCACGTCGCCCCGCAGACTGTCAGGTCTAGAAGTCATGTAAGCGCAAAAGCAACATGGCCCATATATTATCTTCGGGCAACACCTCAACAGCGTCCAAACCCATGGCAATCTCGGATAGGTGAGCGTCTTGGGTTTAAAAAACGCAGAGCCCACGCCCGACTCAAGCTTCGAGCCGGCTCGGAAACCAACACCAAAAAAACGGACTCGATGTCACAAGCCACGAAGACCGATGACTGGCCTGGCGGATGACTTCCTTGGCTGTCACCTTTATTTTGGTATAAGGCGTCTGGCGAATGCGAACATTGTTAGAAAACGACTCTCTCTCCATTTATATTGTTGCCGTCCAGAATTCTTGTTGTTCTGGACCATGTATAACGTAAAGCTTTGTCACGGCGGCGGTGTTGTTGGCAGTAGTACATACTTGTAATCACTTCCAGCCTTAGCATTTCTTGATGTTTCTCATTTCCGCTCGGATAGTTCTTGAGCACACATAGAGCGCTTGAACAAGGGCTAACCCTGACAGACACGGAGGCGCGGAGTATGTGTCGCCATTCACCAATCTAACAAGTACATGGTACAGCATCGCCGAAATACACTCGAAAGCGCGCATCCCAGTACTCCGGACTGCAAGCATCACGGCAGTAAAATCACACTTGGTGGAAAAACCGCACTGGCTAATATGGCTAAAGGCCCGCCGGCAGCCTCGGGACCTGCATATGAAGTGCGACCGGGGTCGCGGGACGATCAGACGGCCACCCACAACGCCCCCACCGCTCGCCGCTTCTCCACACCTCATGCCACAGTGCACGGGAGACACACACGGCCGTAACTGGCGACCCCGCACGCAGCCTTGCACTCTATCGCCAAGTGCGAACGGCAGGGCACTTCATCTATTCGGTGCTATCAAGGGGCGTGTTGAATACGCTTTGTGCTGCGTCGATATTTCGCCGAGATGACGCCCGCCCGCGACAGAGGGGAGGGGAGTTGCGTGCGCGTGGCAAGACGAGGTATACTATATAGTGTGCTGCTATAGCCGTTGGGCTTGGGCTGTACACACCACAGAGTCCTGATCATGACGCGCTATTCTTCTGGCTTGGTGCTTGCGGGGGCTTTGCTCCAGGGCGGGTTTGTCGCCGGGCAAGGTACGTACCCATGGGATGGTCTGGTGGGAGAGTGTAGTTGCTGACGCGCCCAGCACTGCCGTCGGGCAACGTGACGCCCGTGACGTGCCCCTCGAGCGCAAAGTTCTCCGCCATCTCGGCGAACACGCACTTCGCGGGCATGAACCCCGGGTGGAATCTGGGCAACACGCTGGACGCGGTTGAGACGGTACGTACACTCATACAACCACCCATGCGCGGCTGATGCGTCGCAGGAGGGGTCGTGGAACAACCCGCCGGTGGTGGCGTCGACGTTTGACGATATCAAGAAGTCCGGCTTCAAGGGCGTCAGGCTGCCTGTCACCTGGGCGTATCACTACAAGACGCAGTCGCCGGACTGGACGCTGGATCCCGTGTGGCTGCAGCGCGTGTCGGATGTGCTGGATCAGATTACGTCGCGGGACTTGTATGTGATTACGAATGTGCACCACGATAGCTGGACGTGGGCGGACTACACGCAGGCGAACGCCAACGTCACGGCGATTGAGGAGAGGTTCTACAAGACGTGGGTGCAGATTGGGCAGAAGCTGGCGTGTAAGGGGGAGAAAGTTGTAAGTTTACTGATCTTCTGGCCTGGACTACAGGGCTGACACGTGCAGGCGTTCGAGTCGATTAATGAGATCCCCGGCACGACCGAGGCGCACGGCCAGCAGGCCAACCGGCTGAACACCATCTTCCTCGAGGCCATCAACCAGTCCGGCGGCTTCAACCCGAAGCGCGTCGTCAACCTCGTCGGCAGCCGCCAGGACGGCGAGCAGACGGCGCTCTACTTCCAGCCGCCCGACACCACAAAGTACAAGAACCCCTGGGGCATCCAGTACCACTACTACTCGCCCTACGACTACATCTTCAACGCCTGGGGCAAGTCGACCTGGGGCTCCGACGCCGACAAGGCCACGCTCGAGACCGACATCGCGCGCGTGCGCAACAAGTTCCCCGGCGTTCCCCTCATCATCGGCGAATGGGCGGCGTCGCCTGTGGCCACCGAAACCGCAGCCCGCTGGCGCTACTTCGACTTCTTCGTGCGCACGGCGGCGAAGTACAACACCTCGACGGTGCTGTGGGACAACGGCGCCGACTTCCTCAACCGCGCGACCAAGCAGTGGCGCGACCCCGTCGCCCTGGCCATCTACCTCAACGCGCAAAAGGGCGTTGTTAATGCACTACCCGATAGCACGACTGACGGCGCTGCGACGTCGCAGTTCAGCTCCGCGTACATCTACCACAAGAAGAACACGACGCTGGGCGACAAAACCCTGCCGTTTTTGTTCAACGGCAACACGCTGCAGAAAATCTCCGTCGCGGCCACCAACAAGATCCTGACCAAGGGCCAGCACTACACCGTCGCGGGCGCAAACATCACATTTAAATCCACCTTCTTATCTACGATCCTCACCCCCACCAGCCCTACAGGCTCGCTCGCAAACCTCACCCTCGAATTCAACCGCGGCGCCGCCCTGACCGTGGATATCCTGCAATACGCCACGCCCGTACTCACACGCACCACCTTCCCCCTCCCCGCATCCTCCTCCGACCTCCTGATCCCGATAACCTGGCAAGGCCAGAACCGCCCCGCGACGATAAAAGCGGTGCGCGCCGACGGCACCTTCCTGTTCGATTCCTGGACGACGGTGCTCGGGCCGCTGCAGCAGGGCAGGATGACGTACGGGGTGTTTGACTGGGATGCGAATAACGTGATATTGCGGGCGAGTGCGGTGGATGCGATTAGGGCTGCGGCGCAGACGGTTAAGTTTACGGTGGAGTTTTTTCCCAGGGAGGCGGGGAATGTGGTGGAGTTTAGTGTTACTGTTTAGGGGGGTGTTCAGGGGGAGGTGCTTGTGCGGGGGGAGGGGGGGATAGAGTGAATGCATTTGAGTTGGTTCTGCGTGTCTGGAAGTGTGGCGCTTGCTCGACGTGCAGATTTTCTTGCTGTGCAGATTCCTTGCTGTGGAACGACAAGGCATGTGCTGTAGTTCGTCGAATTCGCGTTGGTGCCTTGCAGGATGTGTCTAGACTGCCATCTATCAGACCAGACGTGTACATCCCGTCACAAACCTCCGCATAGCAAATCCTACAAGACAAGAGTCTGTACATGCCCGCAAGCACCGATGAAAAGCCAGCAGTCATGCCTACTGCTCTGCATGCCGGTGATCAACCGACAGCCACAATCTCCTCGCCACAGTCTCTGGCTACGAAGACATAGCACTGCAACTCACTCTATCTTCTCATTGGTCAGAAGTCGTGCCGATACTCCATCGGCGCGTGTTCTCCACCAAAAACACGCAGTGCTCGTTGTGCCGGATTGCGGATCCCGTAAATGTACGCTAGTACCAACACTAAAATGCGAGATACTTCCTCTTCCAGCAGCGCCCCACTTTGGGCGCCCGAGATGGTCGGTAGCGGTGCCTGCGAAGTGCATACTTAGGCACGACAGCGCAACAGAGATCCATACAGCCGTTGAGTAGCAGCAAATTCAAACCCCTTGAAAAAGCCCCGTCAAGCCCGTCATTCTCCTTTTACCAAACCTCTCAATCCGCACGTCGCAATGGCAGCTACCCAGAAAAACCCCGCCGAGCTCGAGAAAGCCAGAGCCCTGGCCCACGTGCCCTGGTGCGAGGAATATGAGAAAATGATCTCAGGCATGCTGTACTGGCCCCCCTAACCCCCTCTACCCATACATACTAATCCCCCCAGCTACGCCGCCTCCGCCCCAGACCTGACCGCCGCGCGCTACCGCGCCCGCGCCTTCGCCCACGCGTACAACACGTACTTCCCGCCAGCCACCCAGGACCCCAGCACGGGCTTCGACGTGCTCGCCGCCACGCGCCAGGAAATGCTGCAGGGCATCATCGGCCGCCTCGGCGAGCACGTCTTCATCGAGCCGCCCTTCAACATCGACTACGGCTGCAACATCACCCTCGGCGCGCGCTTCTACGCAAATTTCAACCTGACCATCCTCGACTGCAGTTTAGTTACTATCGGGGCCCGCTGCATGTTCGGCCCCAACGTGAGCATCTTCGCGGCGACGCACGAAACGGGTGTTGCGAGTCGGCGCGCGGATGTCGAGTACGGGCGGCCCGTGGTGGTCGGGGATGATTGCTGGGTTGGCGGCGGTGCGGTGATATTGCCGGGCGTGACGATCGGGAGGGGGTGTACGGTGGGCGCGGGCAGTGTGGTTACGCGGGATGTGGAGGATTTTTGCGTCGTCATGGGGCAGCCGGCGAGGGTGGTGAAGCGCGTGGAGGAGGTTCCTGTGGAGTTTTTGGAGGAGAGTGGGTAGGGTGGTGGGATGGGGGGTTGTGGTTGTTGGAGGGAGATGGATGGGTGGATGAGTGGAGGCGGGTTGTGGAAGCAGTGCTTGGAGCTGCATATACCTGTTGATCGACGTGGACGTCAATTGAACAGGGTGAGTGTGCGGAGCAATTCATGGCAGCATGGGCGCCGAGTCGTACCTAGTCACGCAGTGCTGTGTGGTGATAGGACAGTAGAGTTATGGTGTAGACTACATGCCATGGGTACTCACACATCCCAGCAATGTGAACATCAAACCGAAAGGGTTCCTGTGTTGAGCAATTGAATAGTGGCATGGGTGGAGAGTCTCACCAGTCACGCAGTGTTGTGGTGCAGGAGGTGCCGGTGGTAGAGTGGGCTAGTGCTTGAAGGAAGTAGATGAGAGTGACTAAGTCGAACTGCAGACTGGTGATGCTTATAGATCTGCAATCTGTGGGTACTTAAAACATACCACAGCGTGAATACACTAACAGGGCTCGTGCCGATCAATTGACGGCGTCCCCTCACAGCAACAATTCATCCACGGTCACCAGTACGAAGAACGGATGATGGCAGCTTGAAATTTTTGGGCAGATAGGCTACATGCTGCTTGCAGGCCTTCCGCCAGCCGAAACCGTGCGGGATATACTAAAGTCGTAGACAGCACACGTGCCCGAAATGTCATCCCGTCATGCCCAACGCCGGTCACCCATAATCATGCCTGAGGGGATTTACTCCTCGTCCTCCTCGGCGGCGTCGTCACCACCCTTGTTGGCAGCGGCGGCCTTCTTCCTCCTCACGCGACCGGGGCGGCCGCCGCCGAAGGGCGAGGTGAGCGCGAAGTCAATGTGCTTCTGGGAGTCGAGGCGGACCATGAACGAGGGGACGTTGACGATCTGCTTGCCGACGCTGTGACTGTTAGCGTGCGTCTTCACAACAACGCAGGGCTGCATACCGGATGTGGCGCTGGCGGATCAGGACACGGGCGTGGTGGATGGACTTGGCGAGGCCGAGCTTGTACACGCAGGTCTGGAGACGGCGCTCCAAGAAGTCCTCGATCTTCAGGGCCAGGACGTAATCGAGCTTCATGCGCGACTCGTCGAGGACACCGACACGGACGAGACGGCGGATGAGGGCGTTACCCTCGAAGAGGCGCTTGGGGTCCTTCTCATCGAGAGTGAGGAGCGAACTGCGGGTGTCAGCATTTCGTGCGCACCAGCACAACCACCGCGAAGACTTACCGGGCAGCACGACGGATCTTGGAGAGAGTGAGCTGGACGCGCCACACTTCGCGCTTGTTGCGAAGTCCAAACTCGCCGACGAGCTTGAGCTCAGTGTCCCTGTTCCTCCATTAACGACGAGTCCCAGACGTAAGCGGAGCAAGCTCGCGCTCAGTGGCCGTGGGATGTGAATACGTACAGACGAGCGGACTCGAAAGGACGACGGGGGACGCTGTACGTCTTCGAGTAGGAACGGGGCGCCATTGTTGTTGTCGTTGATCGGAGGAGAAAGTTCGCTGGTGTTCTGAGAATTAGAAGAGCACTGTGCGTGCACGGACGCACGTCCTCGTCTGGGCCAATGGCAGGCGCGGCGCGGGTGGACCGCTAAGCGAACGCGCAACCCACGAGTCTCGAAATTCCTCCCGACATCTCGAGAACCTCCAACACCAAGACTAACCGCCAAAACACACAGTCACAATGGGTCACGCAGCCGGTCTCCGCGCGGGTACGCGCTATGCGTACGTTGAGCAGCACAGTGCAGATGGCGGCCGCTGACAGTCCGCAGCTTCTCCAGGGATTTCAAGAAGAAGGGAATGATCCCTCTCTCGACCTACCTCAAGCAGTACAAGGTCGGTGACATCGTCGATGTTGTTGCCAACGGTACGCCCCCGGAACTGCCCTAGTCGCGGCTCGAAACTTATGCAACGCAGGTGCTGTCCAGAAGGGTATGCCCTACAAGGTCTACCACGGCAAGACTGGCATTGTCTACAACGTCACCAAGTCGTCCGTCGGCGTCATCCTCCACAAGCAGGTCGGCAACCGATACATGGAGAAGCGCATCAACGTCCGCGTCGAACACGTCCGCCACTCCCGCTCGCGCGAGGACTTCCTCAAGCGCGTCAAGCTCAACTTCGCCAAGCAGCAGAAGGCCAAGGAGACCGGCGAGAAGCAGCAGATGAAGCGCCTGCCCGCGCAGCCCCGCGAGGCCAGGACCATCAGCCTGAAGGACAACAAGCCGGAGAACATCACACCGGTGGCCTACGAGACAACGATCTAAGCGGAGACAGTGGCTAGTCAGGTGTCAGCACAGGCAAAATGGGAACGGATGGGCAACGGCGTGGTTTCTCGGATCTCAAACTTTTTTCTTCTGCACCTTCACCAGCATGGAAGCGGCGAATTACGGTGCAGACATGGTGTGCCAACATGGCTATGAGTTACCCCTCACGCCAATGAAATATCATCCTCCAGTCCCACTCCATACCAAATACCCATGAACATCAAAGCTGGCGTGTTTTTGTGATGTCCGAACTTGCAGTGTGATATGTATCATGACGATACGTGATTTGTTATACAAGAGGCAATTGCAACGTCTTGCAGGCTAGCATACTGTCCACTAACATACACAACCAATGTCTCGTTCATAGTCTGCAGCGACTTCATTCCATGTTCGACACAAGTAGTCAGGATGAGATAGGTATTCTATTCAAAGCCGTAACTACACACATCCCCCTCCTGCCATACACAACAAGTAGATTAAAAAATAAGACAGACAAAGGTAAGCATGTACAATAAAGCGGTATAAAGGGTGAAACATCTACGCAAAAAAACAGCAAAAGGCAAGTACCCTGAGAAAAGGAGAATCCAAGGAGACCGTCTTGGAAGTCCGTATCCCGTGCGCTTTTCCGTCTTCTCGACGCTCAGGCGAGAGTTATATGAGATCTGCCCGCATATGCTAGATCCAAACGTGAGTGACAAATGAAACAATAAAGAAGGGTATGAACGGTGCGACTTGGAGTGACATATCGAGACGGAGGTCGTGTCGGCTTGTGCAGGAAAATATAAATGGGTCGGTCGGTGTATGGGGTCCTAGTAGTGTCGCAGGTCGGAAGGGAACTGAGTTGTGTTAAATCACAATATCGTGCAGCCGCCGCTCTTGTCCTTGCTTGTCTTAACCTGCAGTGCAACACGGGCGGCTTCTGTGAAAGCTTCGTTGACGCCGCGGTTCTTCATGGCGGAACATTCTGTCACATGATTAGTCGTGCATTCATTCACCAGAGCGTCTCTTCATACCGAGATATCGCAGGGCCTTGATCTTCTCAGCCACACGGAGACCCTCCTCGTAGTCAATGCATGGCTTCTCTGGCTCCGCATCCTCGGCGTCATCGTCTTCGCGCTTCCTCAGATCGCACTTCAATGCGACCAGAACGAGCTTAACATTGGGGCAGTTCTCGGCGATTTCGCCGACCCACTTGGTTTCGACGTTCTCGAGAGAGTCTGGCGAGTCTACGGAAAAACACAGCATGATAGCATGGGTGTCATCGTAGCTGAGAGACCGTAGCCTATCGAATTCCTCTTGCCCGGCGGTGTCCCACAAACTCAATTCGACATGGGTGTTGTCGATGTAGATATCTGTCAAGTTGGTCAGTCGAGCAATCCTGCAAAGCCCACACACAGGAGAACGAACCATGGACGTAGTTTTCTAGACACGTGTTAGTGAAGTTGTGCATTGACATATCTTAGTCAGGCTTACCAAATACTGTAGGCTCGCTGAGGTCGACCGCGGTTAGTCTGGCGCGCATATCAGGGGCGCATCACTCACTATACTGTTGGGAAATATCTACGATGCCGGTTAGCGACCATTTGCCATGACCAAGCTGCTTTTCAGAATAACATACCCTCTTGTAAAGACGTTCAGTAACGAGGTCTTGCCGCATGCGCCGTCGCCGCTGTTAAATGTCCGTTAGCCCGCTTCAATGGGTCCGACTGCCCGCCCAGCCCAGCTTCCCCCCGTGCACAGGGCAGAAACGTACAGAAGTACCAGCTTGCGCTGCACCGATTTTGTTCCACCGCACATAGGCATGGTCAAGACTAGGAGGGAGGCTCGGGGTGCAATTCGGTTCGTTGTCGGTTCTGGGAGGCGTGCGCGCGCGCAGTGGTGACACGAGCGTCAACGTTGATCGTAAGAGGTGCGGAGGCTGGAATGTCGTACACCAAGCAGAAGCCAGCGGGGTGATGAGGAGTGCAGAGTGAGGTCGGAGGCGTTCCAACGCAATGTCTTTGGTAGCGATGGGGAACCGGCGATCGAGAACCAGCGTTAAACCTAATTGAGGGCCGAGTCAGCGACGCCTCCGCCAGCCTGGCCGCTCTCCACCACGTCTCGGCCGGAGCGAGGCGCAGTGCATTTGCTAGCACGGCGCCAAATGGACAAATGCTTGGGTGAAGACTTACGACGGTCTGTACAAACAATGGTTCGAAGAATTAGCGATGTTGCATGCACAAATGGGGCACGGAGGAGAGGAGCTGAAGGGAGACGATGTTTAATGAGGACAATCAGCCAGCAGTGAACGGTGCCTGGATCATCGCAGCCAGCAGCCAGCGGCAGGTGCTGCTAACCAATGCTGGCAGGAGCGTCAATACACTTTGTGATGCTGTGCCGGCGAACAACCGAGAAGGCTGGGGACTCCACAAGGCACGTTACTGTATGTAACAGTTGGGTGGCTCGCTATTCACATGCAGCGTCAGATAAGTCGGGCGCAGACAGGGCTGCGTTTGGACTGCACTCGTCGCAATGCCACGTCCTGTCAGCATTGCAGCCTGAGGATTGCAGTGCAGCGGTGGCGGGTACGGAACAGCAAGCCGCGCAGCATGCAGTCCATTTCATGATACCATTGCCTGTGAGAGCCACTGTGAAAACGTTGTTGACATGCACTTGAATGCAGGCAAGGGTATGGCTTCGATGCGGCGCGAAGCTCCGAGCTAGCGCGCCCCACCACCGCGGGGACTGTCCACAGTCTACCGCAGGCAACACCGCGTGCTAGACAAGTAAACCCACCTCTACCTCCACAGCAACCACAGAATCGATCGTAAATCAACTAGTACCGTGCTGGCATTATAGGTACAGCTTCACACACGCGAAATCACGCCCTCCGACGCCCAACGACTTCGCCAACCTTAATAACTGTCGCGCTACACCATGTCTGACGATGATGATTTCATGCAGGACTCTGGGGAGGAGGAGTAAACCACATGAACCTCCACCTCGCTACCCAGGCTGATGGCGACGCAGGTACGACTTCGAGTACGAGGACGACGATGATGAGGAGAGTGGCGATGTCGACATTGAGAACAAGTACTACAATGCAAAGCAGCTCAAGGTCGACGACCCGGAGTCGGCGATAGACGAATTCCTGGGGATGCCCGCGCTGGAGGAGGAGAAATCAGATTGGTAAGGCGGTCATAGAACAACCCGCCTTTGCGACCGGCGCTGATGTGGATGTAGGGGATTCAAAGGCCTGAAGCAGGCCATTAAGCTCGAGTTCAAGCTGGCGCGATATGACCAGGTACGGCGTGTGCAGTTGCGATTTTGGGCTCACCTAACGTCAGTATAGGCTGTAGAACACTACAAAGAGCTCCTTACATACGTCAAGTCGGCTGTCACACGCAACTATTCCGAAAAGTCGATCAACAACATGCTCGATTTTATCGAAAAGGCCGCTGAGGACGCCGAAGCGTACCGTTGCATGGAGAAGTTCTATGCCTTGACCCTGGACATCTTCCAAAGCACCAACAACGAACGACTATGGCTCAAGACGAATATCAAGCTCGCAAGGCTGTGGTTGGACAGAAAGGATTATCGTCAGTTGACGGAGAAGCTCCGCGAGTTGCACAGGACATGTCAAAAGGAGGACGGTACAGACGACCCAAGCAAAGGCACATACTCACTGGAAGTCTATTCGCTGGAGATCCTTATGTATGCGGAGACTAGGAACAACAAGCGCTTGAAGGTTCGTATCGCCGCCTTAATCGATCAGAGGCGCATGGTCAGCTCACCATCTGCAGGCACTGTACCAGCGAGCGCTTAAAGTCAAATCTGCCGTTCCACATCCCAAGATCATGGGTATCATCCGAGAATGTGGTGGCAAGATGCACATGAGCGAAGGCAAGTACCATTTTTCCGAGACACGGGCTCGGCGCTAATGCCGCATAGAAAACTGGAAAGGGGCGCAGAGTGACTTCTTCGAGAGTTTCAAAAACTATGACGAGGCTGGTTCGCTGCAGCGGATCCAGGTCCTGAAGTATCTGGTGCTTGCAACCATGCTGTCGGGTTCCGACATCAACCCGTTTGACTCGCAAGAGACTAAACCTTACCAAAATGATCCCCGCATCTCGACCATGACTGACCTTGTCAATGCGTACCAGCGCGAGGACATTCATGAGTACGAGAGGATCTTGCAGAACAACCAGGACCTGCTACAAGACCCATTCATCGCCGAGAACATTGATGAGGTCACGCGCAATGTACGCACGAAAGCCGTCATTAAGCTTGTTGCGCCCTACACACGCTTCACTTTGGCGTTCATCTCAAAACAACTCAAGATATCCCTTCCCGAAGTCCAGGAAATTGTGGGGTTCTTGATCGTTGACAAGCGGTTGCACGGGAAGATCAACCAGCAGAACGGAACGGTGGAGGTCGAGAGTGGTACCGACATGGGCCGGGTACAGGCGATGAAGGAGTGGAGCGACGCCATTGGCTCATTGTGGCAGGCGGTTCTCAACGATGGCGAAGGCTTCAAGTCGGACGAGAGCGGCTCACAGTTTGCCCCTACCCAAGGTGAGGTCGGTGGCCAGCGTGGGTCCTGGAATATGAATGGCTTGGGATCTAAATCAGGGCGGCCGAAAGGCAAGGGCCCTGCGGGACGCTTGGGAGTCTCGAGCAAAGGATGAGCTGCAGGCACCAGTCTGTGAGCGGTTCACAAGACGACCTGTGTCTGGGTATTCGGGAAGACCACGGGATGTGGTCAGTTACACATTACCGTCACTGAGGGCTTCACTACCTGAACAACTGAGACATGCGGCTTGGTTCCCCATAAGCACAGGTCAGGGTTGGACCAGCTGGTAGCACCAGGCGAAGGTACCCAGCACCTGAGCAGCGATTCACAAGCTGGCCTCTCAGTGAAGGCGGACATGTTCGGGTGCTCCTGCGCGCCTCCACCCCGTTCGGTCAGCAGCCAGCTTCTGTATGTAACGTTGGCCTCGTTTTCTCAAGTAACCAGCCAAGGAACCGAGTGTGCGGTCATAGCAGCCGCCCGCAGCCAGCGCCCCACTCTGTTTCGTGATGCGCGAATGGCAGTGAGCACCCGTGACGCAGTGACTTTGACCGTCGCCAGCTGCTGAACAAGCACCGAACCAACCCTGCTGCGGCTTCCCTGTCGGCGGCAAGCCGGCTTACAAGCGTCAAGCGAGCAGCAGGCGACGAACCGCGGGCTCGATGGTCAGAAGGCGGCCAAAGCTGCGTCGGTTTGCGTTCTGCCCTGGCTCGCTTGCGCGTGGGGGCCACGGCAACGACAGGCTTTCGCGAGTCGGACAGTTCTTTTTCCTGCAGCATCGGCGCCACATTGCTGCGAGCGAATGATGCTATGCAGGAGTCGACGGCGACAGGGGCAGCCAAACGCGCGGTCATCGGTCTGGGCGTGTGTGAGACGATGTGAGAATTCACTTTTTCCTCGAGCAACAGGGGTGCGGGCTCTCCATGATGCTCTACGACTGCATTCCACGACGTAACACAGCGTGATCTCTTCCCCTCTACTGCATGCACTACCAGCCTCACGCTCCGCAATTGATCCGGCGAGCGGCGCTGGCAGAATGCTACTCTTCAATCTCGTGAGGAGGCCCGTTCGGTGAGACTGTGGATCGGCTGTGGATGGCGACCAAGTATAGAGATGGAGAGTCATTTGGCAAGCCCGTGTCGCTCCGTGAGAACTACTAAACGAGACGAAGCTTGAGGCGGTATCACGGCCCCGCTGGAGGGTTATGTGCAATGTGCAATGTCCAATTGCCGGCTGTGTGAATCCTCTGCGTGCTGTCGGCAGTGCCTCGTCGAAGGCAGCCATGTCTGCTTTTCTTTTGCTCGAGGTTGCCAGGCGCTGGTGGTGCCGCCCTTGAGGGTAGGAATTCCCTCCCTCTTGTACGCCGTCACGCTCGCCCTCTCCTCCCTCCGGTTTCACTTGAGGCAGCCCCATCGCTCGATGTGCATGAGGCGTCCCTCGCACTGACGAGATCGATATTGTGCTGCTGCCCGTCTGCCAGGCTCCTGGTGCAACAGAGAGCCGCCGTTTCAGTCGGCCAGGAGCCCGTGTGTTGCAGAGGGCTCTTGTACCTGGCCGAGCGAATTCCGCCAGCACGCGGCCAAGAGCGCTCCTGTCTCTCCCAAATAGCTGCGTGCCCCTGGACGCCGGTAGGTATCACAGCAACGACCAGCATCCAGCCCGCCGCCGCGGATCACTGCACCTACTAAAAGACGCTGCCGCCCGCTGCTCCAAGGAGCTCGTGGACGACTGCTGCTGAGCGCTGAACGCTGAACCCAACTCGCCTTTGCGTGCCGCCGAGTCTGTCGTGCCCTCCTGCATCCAATTGCCCGCCCTCGCCGCCAGTCACGCCGCCACCCGTCGCAATCTCGCACCACAGAGGGGGAGCAGATAACATCGCCAGCACACACACACACACTCATCCTCGTCGCCGCCTCATACTCACCATGAGTCGCCCGTCGGTGATGACGGGGGGCTTCCACCCGCACGGTGTTGGTCATGGTCATGGTCATGGTCACCACGCCCATCATGGCGGCCACTACGGGGTTCACGCACAGAGCGCCTACGGCAGCGCGACCCACCCAGGCTTGCCGTTTGGTCGGCCGCTACCAATCCGCGCCCCGGTCCTCCCTCCCGCCTTTAACCACCAACACACTGGCCAGCACCAGCACCAACACCAACACCAGCACGGCCGCCCCGCCACCTTCAGCATGGCGGACCCCGCATTCATGACCACAGAAGAGGAGCATGCCTACATGCAGAAGCTGGCCAGCGAATATGAGCCCGAGGCCACCGTAAGTCCGCGTCTGCAGCTGCGCTGCTGGCTGAATCCGGCAAACTGACCGCTGCCAGGGTCCGCTCGTCGGCGAGCGCCAGAGCAGCGCTGCCATCACCACCCAGTATGCCAACGCCGATGAAGTCTATAGAATCAAGACGGCCGCCCTGCCCGGCAAGTACGCCTACTTCCGCACCTGCCGCGGCGACGGCCACTGCGGATGGCGAGGTGAGTTTCGCGTGTCTTCTTGGTCGCTGCTTTCGGCTAACATGCCCAGCTATTGCCTTTACGTACTTTGAAGCCCTGGTGCGCGTCGGCGACGGCCAAAGGTTCACAGATGAAGAAGGCCGCCTCATCTCCATGGGCAACCTGCTCGACAACATTGGCTACTCACGCGACATCTGGATTGACTTTGCTGATGAGGCCTTTGAGCTGCTGCGCAAGCTCGGCCACTCGGTCGACGCCATGGATGGCGCTGCCGCCGACATCTTGCTCCAAGCTTTCAACGACATGAATGTCTCCCTGGCCATCATCACTTACTTCAAGGCAAGTCTGCATCGCCCTCCACCGCGTAATGTCGCTAACATAGGCAGCTCCTTGCCAGCGCCTGGGTCCAGAACCATGCAGAGGACTACAGACACTTTGTCCCGATGGGCGATGTCAAGGCATACTGCGCCAACAACATCGAGCCAGCACAGTGTGAGGCTGACAACATCGGTATCGCTGCTCTCGCCGATGCACTTGTCAAGCCCGCTGGCTTCGGCCTTGAGGTCTGGTACCTTGACCGCTCCCCAGGCGAGGAGATCAACCGCAGCTACTACGCAGAGCCTACGCTGCCAGGCTCCCCCATGCTGAGGTTGCTTTACAGGCCGTAAGTGTGCCTTCCATCATAGGAAGATTCATTCGCTGACCTCTTGCGCTAAGTGGCCACTACGACATCCTCTACAAAGCCGAAGATGTCCCCTCGCCTATTCATCACCAGGCTGTCGCCCCTCAAGCACCACTTCAGGTCAACTTCACCAACTACGCAGATGACTATCTGCCCCAAGCCTCCAATTTTGGCGACGTTATGAGTATGATCCCTGGCATGGGCCGTCAAGGCCTGGGAGGATGGGCATCACTCTCATACGACTGCAATCCGAGCCCTGCATCGCAGTCTCAGGCTACGCCTATCTCGCCTTTCCCAAGCGCATCAATGTCTGCGCCTCCAATCACGAGCTCGCTAGACTTCGTCACATCCATCCACAGTACTCAAGCGCCTCAGTACAGCGCGCCACGCCATCACAGCATACAGCTTGACCAGCCTCCGATCACGCTTCCGATGCATCCCGCACCACCGCCTCCACCACCTGTCAGCGTGGAGAGGACTGTGCCTTTGGCTGTTGAAAGTGGCGGGCCCTTCCGGCCGTCGATGTATCAGCTGGAGCCAGGATTTGGATTCTCAAATCAAGCGCAGCCATTCCAGACTTCCATATTCCGCAAGTACGTATATCCAAGCATGCGTGGTATTGCTGGCCTAACAGTCAACAGCTCACATTTCAATACGGCGCACTTTTTGAATCCTGACTTCCAACCCGAGGAATGGTGTCCGGATGGAGAGTATGCGACAGGCAACAAAGGCCGTCACAAGCATCCGTCCTAGTGATCTTTCCCTTGCAACACTTTGTACACACTTCTGCTCTCCTGGAGGTTCATTCCGATATCTTAGCGACTACTAGCGTCGGCGTTCATCGAGCTTGCGATTGCTTTCGTTTGCGACCTGCATTATCATCCGCATTGCTTCAACACTCACGACGACGCACGATCAACGATACCATTGTTAATCACTTCTCGGAACATTACTCTGCTTACTCTACTCTTGCATATGCAAAAGCGGTGGTACTATTGGGTACCAGAACTTTTGACCATACGGCGGCATACATCATCTCTTCCTGGCATTATCTACAAATCAAACTTTTGGGCGGAATCCTCTAATACTGTTCTCGTCTCCAGGTTACATCGCAAGCTGTGAGGACCTACGACCGTGACGAATACCGAAGACTATCAACCTCAGGGTACCGACGTTAGCGTTGATCATCGTTATGATTTGCGTTCCTTGGAGTTTATCACCCGCCTGTTCTCGTCATCCCAATTGGACATATCTACTCTGCCCTTGCAGCACACACGCAAGAGCACACAAACACTATTCGGTATCCACAGTTCTCTCCAATCGAACCCTGCTCCTCGAAACTCCCTCCCTGGTGCGGAGACAATCTGGGCTCATTTAGCGCGAAGTCCACCAACAGATTGACACCGTGCCATGATCAGGCGCTTCGTGCCGAGCGATCGGAGCACCACAGGGCACACATGCTCGTGAGCAAATGCGGCACTCCCGGCACACAGACTGGGCGTCGATATCACGAGCACAAGCAAACATTAGGTAGAAGAAGGAACTGTATAAAAACAAACAAAATGAGGTATCTCACGATTCCCAGTTCTCTACGTGATCCCATGTGATTTATCCATCCCCTGTCGTGCTCTCAACCTTATGTTCCGCGAGTCGTGAGTTCGTCAGATGCTGAAGACTTTATTTCGCTGAACCCTGTATGCTCCACATCTACAATTGCATCGCAAGGCTCCATACCTGGTCCTCACAATCTCATAATTCGCCCGCCCGCTTTGACGCAAACGCTTACCGCGGCGTTTCCCAGCATCCCTCGCGTTCCCACAAAACCACCCGTAAACCTATAGAACTCTTGATAAGATGCCCCTCTCCCGTCCCCGAGCGTTTTCCCGCCGTCATGACGACTTTAGCTCCCGCCGTTCCCGCCGCTGCCACTGTTGCTGCCACCTCTGCCACTCCTGCTGCAGGATCGAAGCGGCAGCCGCATGATCAGCTCCGCGTGCTAGCGGGCGCGCCGGTGGGAAAAAGCAAATCTGGCGAGGTACCAACGGAGCAGCAACGCAGGTACGATCGGTTGACGTGCGCGATGAGTGTGGAGAGGCCGACTCGGATGAGACGTTAGACGTGCACCGAGTTTCTGGTCAGGCGCTGTGAGAGAGAGAGGGGCAATGGAGAAGAGGATTCATGATCGGCAAGTGGTGGGGTTTGGATTTGAACGCCCTGTCCTGGACGCTGCGCGCTCATGCAAGTTGATGGCGACGAGTATGCTATCTGACTGTCTGGTCTGTCGGCCTTCGACGCAGCTAGAGTGCGTCCTGCACCAGTTCTCACACCGCTGTGTTGCACTCGCTGGATGTGGAAGCGATCGCCGCCGCAGCGTCGTACAGCATCGAACCTCCTCACTTCCTCCCGCCAACCACTCAGAGCGATTGCACGAGGGCTTTTGCTCTACCGCGGGCCGTCGCACGGCAGCGCTGCATCGTCGAGCACGTCGTTGGACGGACTTGCCGTTGAGAAGGCCGCAGCATCTGATACCTTGTTTGTCCCGCAGTGCAGCAGTTGCGAACCCGAACGTGACGTTGGACGTGGCGTGTCTTGTACACAGTCGTACAGCGCCATTACCCCACTTTGTGGGCTGTTTGATATCGTGCCAGCTTCGATGGTGTTTTGAGGAGGCTGTCTGTGCTAGCGTGCAGCTCAGGCGCCGTGGATTCATTCTGACGAGGCTCCGCGGAGAGGTGTGGGATGACCGGTGAGAGATACATGCAATTACAACATGGTCTGGAGCACCGATATCGTCCTTCAGTCACGCAAGGGCCCTGACCATATGTGGTTCCACAAATAGGCGTGGTACAAATCTTGCAGCTCAGGCGCTCAAAGGCGATCGGCCGAGGGAACCGAAGCGCTCACCATCTGCCTCACTTTTCTTATTCCATCGTATCGATGCGCAGTCGATGAGTAGTTCATGCGACTAACTCCGTCTGCCGTGGGGTTTATGACTCGACATTGTCGTCGCCGTCGTCCATCTCCACGTCAGCGCTGGTGGATCCAGATTTCTTTTTCGATTTTGAACGACTGGCGCGACCCGTGTCCTTCTTTACGATGTTTTCTTTCCCTTCACGCAATTCCGCCAGCTGAGCAAATGTGACCTTCTGAATGCGCTGCAGGCTGGCAAGCTGTTTCTTCAGCTCTTTGACTTCATCTTCCGACGCGTCAACGGCGGTCGGTCGCTCTGCCTCCTCCTCGCCATCCTGACTTGAGGCCGCGACCTTAGCTGCTGGAGCACTAGCACTCTTAGACGCAGGAACCCATGACTCCAACTCTGCAAGACTCTCTTCCAGCATGCTAGCGGGGAAGCTAGGATGGGTAAGGGCCTCCATAGATGAACTCGTCTTGGCGGATCGTCTTTCTGTAGCTGTTACAGCCGGAGTGTTCACTCTACCGGTAAATTGCATGCTCAGGTTGTAATTCGAAGGGACCAAGCCACTGCTGCTACCTGTCAGGCCTGCATCTTGTTTCGGCTTAACGATTGTCTGAACTTTGAAGCGAGATTCGATAGTATGCGAGAACCCGGTGGGACGCAAGAACTGCAGGTTTGCCACGGGCCCAGGCAAGTTGAGCAAGGTAGAAAGATAGTTGCTCTTCGCAATGTCCCACGCAGCAATTTTACCGCTGCTGTGACCAGAAAGAAGAGTTGTGCCATCCCAGCTCAGACTGAGACTGAGTGTCCCACCGAGCTTCTGCGAATCCGCACCGAACCTGGTCTTTGGTGGAGGTTGCACCGGTCGATGTGAGGCTGAAGTGTCTCTTAAGATATCGACTGATGCCGTTTTCTGGATGTCATCGTAGAAGTCTACTGTCTGTAGACTGCCATCGGCGTATGCAATAAAACAAGCTCGATCGGCTGGATCCAGGGCTACTGCTGTGGGTGTTTCTGGTAGAAGGTATGTACGAAGCGCCTGTCCGTTCTGGTAGTCCCACACAATAGCCGTCTTGTCGCCTGATATTGATACTGCAATGTTGGCGGTGCTGGAGCTGTGCCCGCATGCTATAGATGATATGGGTCCCCGGTGCGTTGACAGAGTATGTACAGGCGAACGCGAGGTATCTGGTGAGAAGGATAGGATCGAAGGCAGCGCCCATACGTGAATCATGGCGTCTGAAGAGCCAGAAAGGAAGAAATTCGAGGAAGGATCGACAACGAGAGATGTCACAGGCTGCAGGTGCGATGTGGATGTAGAGACGAAACGACCGGAACATATCTATGCCATATATTAGCACTACGAGCCTATATACGCATCGTGAGGCATAACTGACCTCCCAAGCCAGCACTCTTCCACTTTCTGCGCCCAGCAGCAGTACTGTATCATGCGCCGCGAGCGCAATGCTGTGAATCCTCTCGGGAAACGCCACAACAGCTTCTTGGTTGCCCTTTTCCCGGCTGTACACATGAACGATCGCTTTTTCGGTTTGCGCGGCGAAGATGTGAGTGCTGCTCAGAGCAATGCCGTTCTGGGCAGTCGCGCTCTTCTTGAAAACATGTCGCTGTGCCGCCAAAGGCTGATACTCGTGAATGAAGATCCCCTGGTCTTTTGTGACTCCGGTGTTGGGTTTCGTGCTGCCGGCTATGGCGGCCACAAATTGTTCGGTAAGCATGGCTGGTACCGTAACTTGTGGTTATCGTGAGCTTTCGAGCTGTGAGGCACTTTTCTAGGAGCCGAACTTTTTTGTGGAGCACTGCCGTTGATTGGCCCGTGCGTCGGCATTAGAGGACAGCCTCGTGCCCAACAACATTCGTCATCGACTACCTCTCGTGCACAACATTTCGTTGGTCATAGGGCTCGGAAGTCTGCTTTGGCATTGCAGAAATCCCTCCCAAACGGTGACGATGAAGAACTTCGAATAAGACTACTGCACCCAGGCACATCCAACCAGACTTCGCGAGACCTTTGTAGAATCCAACCCATCTTCATAACCGATCAATTTTCCACGAAAGAGCCGAGATAGGTTTGACGAACAGATTTTTAGAGCTGAAAAGTCTCACATCTCGGACTCACCATATGTGGAAAGATGTGTAGGTTTAGCAGGTATCTTGCCGATCACAAGGACGTCCAGCGGCATATTGTTAACGGTCTAAAGTGAGGCGAATCGGAACATGTGTAACTTCGTTACACAGATCTTTCGGGGGTTTGGCCAAAGAGATGTCTTCCATCCTCCATGTGAACAACTCGTACCCTAATACCTCCGTGGCACCTTCTTGAACTGATGTCGTTCTACTGCTCATCTCGAACCAGAATGATAGTAGCGTCAAAGCACTGGATGGCGCTATGAAACTCGACGATTGTTCAATGGAAGCGTGCCTCATTCAATTGTGAGCATGGGGCACCCCGGTAAGTATACCAACTGATCTAAGGGACTTCTCATTGATCCTAAGACTGGCGATACCTCCGTACAAGGTCGATGGGTGAGCACTGTTAAACAAAATTGATTTGTCGTTATCCACATTGCAATTCCTGGGATTCTTGCGTATGACATCGGACCAGTCAAGGTCAACGATACTTAGACAATAGTCACATCTCAATTTCCAAATCAAGCAGATTATCCGATTGAGCCAATCTCGGCTAGAAACACCTGGGACTACAACGAGCACCGCGTTTACCACGCATTGATGGAGAATGCACATTGGGATCTGGACGCAGTGAATCGCCAATCGTACAACAGCGAGTCTGGAAGATCGACAAGTTCCGGTGTCGTTCAACGGAGAGCCTAAACTTTCGTTTATGGGAATGTAAGGTCTGGCGATGTCAGTGTAGAATGATCGTTCGGCAGCAGTAGCGCGCTTGCCACTGTGGCCCGGAGCGTTCCCCACCCGTTGCCTCTGTCACTTCTCATCTTTGTCAATGACCATTGTTGAAGCGTCCAGCCTCAAGTCTTTACAACGCCGAAGTGCTACACAAAGCAGCTCGTGATGTCTCTGTAGGAAGCCGTGTCCTCGAACACGTCCAAAGCCACGAGCCGGATCTCGGAATCACTGCCTCGCTGCGACTCCTCCGGAGGGAATCCACGCCACCAATGATGTATCTGTAAAGTCGAGCAGATGATGTGACTAGTCTTTCTCCGGGTTGTATCAAGGATCCTCCGTAAGCGGCATGAGTGTATAGTCGGTAGTCAGGCGTCCTCTCTGTCGAGATCGAGCCTAAGGTCTTATACAGGCCATGTAAGGCTGGCAGTGTGCATCCGCCTTGGATTTAGCCTAGATCGCGTTGTACATACAGGTCAACATTGCCATGCAGTATGCACTGCTTACCTTACGAGAAGCATCCTTGATCATATTCGCGTGGGTGGTTTTATTTGTATAAATCGCAATATCGCAAAGAACCTTGAAAATTAGATCAGCACTTGACGGCAGTGACACATCCATGTCCGGGAATGAAGCCTATAGTTCAGGGAACGAACTCGGCCAGATATCTATCCCGGCTGCGCCAGGCACAGATATGCCGCCTCTGGTGTTGCCTGCTGGGCGCGGAGGTGGCTGCGTTACATCAGGGCCTTTTCAGAACAGTACGCTAAACGCCATCGTTGACCTGGCGTGAAGACTGACCGCAACAGTGAGCGTCAATCTTGGCCCCGTGCTCCTGCCCCCGGTCGACGGCAGTATCATCTCCAATGGCGATGGCTACGCGTACAACCCATGCTGTCGCAAGCGCGACCTCACTGAAGCCATAAACCAGCAATACTCCAACGTCTCAGCAATCGCTTCCAACATCCTGGCGCACGACAACATCGGAGGCTTCCAACTGACAATGCAGGGCGTGCCGGGCACAGGCAGCGTCGGCATCCACGGCGGCGGCCACTATTCCCTGTGCGGCGACCCGGGCAGTGACTTTTATATTTCCCCTGGAGACCCGGTGTTCTACCTGCACCACGCGCAGGTCGATCGAGTGTGGTGGATCTGGCAGAACTTGAATGCTGAGACGGCAATTGGCGAGCAGGGCATCTCTGGTACAGGGACGTTTCTGAATGAGCCGCCAAGCGCAAACACAACGCTGGATACGCCGCTTGACATTGGGTATGCTCGGGATGGTGTTCTGTCGATGAAAGATATAATGAGTACTGCAGCCGGGCCGTTCTGCTACATCTATATTTGATTAGTTGATCATGTTAATGCTCAGTAAGTCAAGCTACAGACTTGAGTGGTTATTGCTGAAAGGCGTCCGGAATGATAGGCATAGCAGTTGGTTAAGTGAGTGTTTTTGCCAGTACAGGCGAATGCGATCTGTACGTCACATAAAAGCTTCGGTCTACAAGGAATGTTAATTTGGAATTTTAGCTATAGCTATTATACTTTGTGGGTCCTGCAATTTGAGTGATTGATGGTGAAAAAAGACAAGGCAAAGAAATGATCAAGTGCAGGAAGACTCTTACCGCGAAGACAACTACACTCTTGAGCAGTGTAGCAGACGCTGAGTCTCGACGTAGCGAGCAGGTGAGAGTCTGCAGATATACGCTGTGTCTTCAAAGTACTTCGTAGACAAACGACTGATTGCAGAGATCAGCGAATGGCTGACGCTTGCGGTTTCCTCTCGAAGCTTCGGTAAACATCCCACGTAGCACCATCCTGAAGGATTGACGTGCGCAAAGCTGTGAAGACCACTGCCCATTTCAGGCCTCTTATAAGGTCGAATGTGTGCAATCGCTCGGGTGTGACCGTTGGAGTATTGAGAATTGTGTGGATTTGGCCGTCATTCTCGACGCCTTGCAGAGACGACTAGTTGGGCTCCCAAAGTTTACGTCCGCTTCCACCACGCGCTGGGCTTACTCGAGGGACAGGGCGAGCGAAGGAATTTGGGTCGATTGGAGCGTTGGGATCGTGGCGTGGGGCAGGTGGCGCGCGGACAGGGGGACCTGGTGGGACGTAGGCTCCGCGAGGCACGAAGGCACCGCGGCCTCGCGAAGATGGCATGCCACGACCTCTTGGTGCAGCATGTCCTCCTCGACCTCCTCGTGGCGATTGCTGCTGTTTGGTACGGCCGAAGTCGTTGGGGTCCCACACACGCTGATTGTTCGAAGTCACCGCTGGGCCACGGGGCGCACGTTGGAACAGAACCACGTCCTCGTCGTCTGAACCCTCCTCCGGCTTGTCCTGATTAGAATGGCTGGATTTTGGCCGCTCGGTTGCCTTGGGAGTCGTTGGCGTGCTCTTCTTTGAGAGATTGGTCTCGGACTCAAGCTTGTGGAGAGTCATATGGTTCTTGTACTCTCGGTCTTCGCGGGCAACAGTATCGCGGAGCTGCTCCAGACGTTTAGCACGGACACTGAACTTGGAAGCAATCAGCTGCTTCGTGGAGTCATTCGTAAGAAGAATGTAGGAAGCGAGGGCCGCATCCGGGTTCGACTCTTTGTTGATGCGCCAGAGAATGTGGCTGAACAACGGCTTCAAATACTCGGGCACAACGCGCTTGGACGACCTCGCTCCTTGAGCTAGCTCGGCACTGTTGCGCGCGGTGCGGTTGGGGGAATCTGAGGGGAGAGCATTTGAGTTCTCCTTGAATGAAGGCTCTTCATGATCATGAATCTTGTTCTTTCCCAGGGCTGATCGCGGCGACTCTGGCGTTCGAGGTGCCATGTCCTCAAGACTCTGCGTGGAGCTCATGGAGGTCTCGTCGGACACGTCGAGTGCGTTGAAGGAGCTCTCCAAATCTTCGTGGTAGTCGTCGTCCTCGGACTCACTGTCGTCCATCGAGAGCAGTGTTTCGGGCAACATGAACCTCTGCACCTCTTCCCAAGTGCGGTATGATTCATCGGCACCTTCGAGGAGGACGCGGTCGGCCGCGTCGCCGGAAGACAGGGAGGTAATCTCATCCAACCACTTGACGGCTTCACGGGCGTCGGCGTTGATACGTTCGTTGCCAGTCTTGAGGCGGTGGAGTGCAGTGAGGGCTACAAACATATCAGTGAGAGTCACAGCAGAAGCGCCCTTTGATCATACTGTGCAGCGGGACAAAGAGGCAAATGGCGCCCTGCGAGATCCACTTGCGGATCCCGTCACGAGTGCTCTTCTTTACGCCGGCGATCAAGGCGGTTTCATCGACTATACAATTGAATACCTTGCGCTTGGGCGGTTCGAGTGCGCGCACGGCGGCGGGGTTGGCGCTGGCCGTGGCGCTGGCCCGGGGCGGATACGGGCTGCCGCGCATGGTGGTGAGGGTGGACGGTGCCCGAGTGAATGTTTGTGGCGCGGACGTGGTGCGGAATTTATGTCCCGTCGGGGTTGAGGTTTGCAGGGTTATTGGGAACCTTGGTTGGCAGGGCTGCGGGAGGAAAGCACGGGTTTCGAGGGCGGCTGAACCAGCATTTGTGTTGGCACAAAGATTTACGGCGCGTGCATCGTGTGCGCGCGGGTTTGTCGCAGCGCAGCGAGTGAGTCAGTCGAAGGCAGGGCGCAGGCGCTCATGTTCGGGGACGTGAGTGGGTGGGCGACAAGTGAATGTCGCAGGCCGACACATCATTTGGGCTGAGGCCAGGACGAAGTGGGATGACGCGAGATCGCCGACTTCACCAGCCACACTCCGTGCCCGACTTACACTGTGATTTTTGCAAAGCAGTAGACGGCAAAATAGCAGAACGCGAAGGATTATACGTATTTTGCTTGCGCGACCGGTGTCTGACCTTGTCGGCGTCAGTCTTTCTGGCGGCTTAGTCATCCATAATTTTCCCAAAGCTCAAGCTATTCGTCGCCCACCAGTCCTCTCTACCAGGCAACACCGTGAACTATCCGTGAGCGCACCGGCATCCGGATCCTCTCGCTACATCCATCTACTACATTCTCCCCCTTCGTCCCTGGACACCGATCATGGCTGCACCAGGAAAAGGCGCTGGGCGCGTGCCTACTGGATTTGCTGCCGAAACGTTCATCAGCGACCACACATTTCGCCAAGGGCACCGAGCAACAGAAGGGGGGCAGAACTCCAAGAAGAGAAAGCGGGAAGGCAAGGGCGACACGAGTGTGGTAGTTGGCGCAGGCGCATATAAGGGCCCGTGGGCGCGGTACGAGGAAGAAAGGCCTGATGCGGCCTCTGATGATGAGTTCGGCAGCGATGAAGAGGTGGAAATCATATACGAGGAGGACGATATCGAAGAAAATCCAACGGCGGCGCCGAAGAAGCTGGCTGGCACCGACTATCACGACACCGAGGCCGAGGGTGAAACGACAGAGTTCAAGGGCAGTCAGCAATACGACTATCAGGGCCGATCTTATATGCACATTCCGAATGACCTGGTTATCAAGCTTACCGGAGAGTACGAACCCAAGAACTTCATACCGAAGAAGCTTGTGCACACATACAAGTACCATACCAAATCTATAACACAAGTACGGTTCTTCCCAGACAGTGGCCATCTTCTTCTGTCTGCTTCGGCAGACTCTAAGATTGCCCTCTGGGACACGTACCATAAGCGAGAGCTCCTACGAACCTACTCCGGCCACACGAAGTCTGTCAATGATATTGACTTCAACCCTGATGGATCGCAGTTCATCTCTGCAAGTTATGATCGCTTTATGAAGCTGTGGGACACGGAGACTGGAAAGTGTTTGAACAAATTCACTACCGGGAAGACGCCTCACGTCGTGCGCATCAACCCCAGCACCCCGCACGAGTTCCTTGCCGGTATGAGCGACAAGAAGATCATGCAGTACGACACAAGAAGCGGCGAGATGGTGCAGGAGTACGACCACCACCTTGGCCCTGTCAACACGATCACCTTCTGCGACGAGAACCGCCGCTTTGTTACGACATCAGACGACAAGTCGCTCCGAGCATGGGAGTACGGCATTCCGGTGCCTATCAAGTTCATCGCAGAGCCCTATATGTTCTCCATGGTCCGCGCGGCGCCTCACCCCTCTGGCAAATATGCTGCGTTCCAATCGTCAGACAACCAAATCACCGTCTACTCCACAACCGACAAATTCCGCCAGAACCGCAAGAAGAGCTACCGCGGTCACAACGTGGCTGGTTATGCTCCGGACGTGGCAATCAGTCCTGACGGTCAATTTGTCAGTTCAGGAGACAGCGGCGGTTATGTATGCTTCTGGGACTGGAAGACGTGCAAGATGTGGCATAAGATCCAGGCCAGTGACGCGCCTGTTCTGGCGGTGCAATGGCATCCTCGCGAGACCTCCAAGGTCGTCACTGGTGACTTGAACGGTGTGCTGAAGTACTGGGATTAGAGCGTCGGAGAAAGTGCAAACCAGCACGTGGATTAGCATAGAGAGATGCCGACGAGCATGATGATACCCGAACAACCGATACTTTCAAAACCATATCCCATTCGACAGCTCAGAGCTATAGCGTACTATTGCGGACGTGTGTTCTGCTCTTGGCCCTTCTGGTTGACGTCTCACAGTATCTGCAACCGCCACTAACCCTGCATCTTCCCCAGTAGCCTCTGGCTCGCAGACTCCGTTGTTCTCAATCGAAATAGCAACCACTAGCATCGACTCGTCCACTACAACGAGGGAGCAGTGACACGGCTTCAATAACTGTCCACCAAGACACCACTCCGCGAACCCTCCCAACCCACTCTTCTTCACCGCCATCCAGGGCTCGTGCTCAACACAATGATGTCCGACATACCCATCGACACACGCCAGCAACAGGCCCATCTCTACGCGCTCTGCGAAGCCTAGGATCGCTTCTTGTGCATTGCTCACGCCTTCCCTGGTTCCAAGTGGGCTGATATCTCCACACGGCCCGTCGGAACTTGTCGGTCTCTGTCTGTGCTTGTTGGGGCACTCTGCATGCGGTCTGTGCAAGACGAAGATTTTGTGGATATTTATCGGACGAGGTGTTAGTAGTTTGCTTCTCGATGGGGTTTATGTGGGCAGTCTGAGGATTGTCACGTTGAGTGAGTTTTCCTTTGATTCGCCGGGTTGGTCGTTTACATTGAAACCATCGCCACTAGACCTCGAAGGAAGTATACGGCCTAGAAAACATAGTTTACTCGCAGAGCGACTGTCTATGTTCATCTGACGTGGTGATCGCATGACATGCTCAAGTTGTTCATGCCGACTCTGGGGCCGTTGCATGACCTAAGGAGGGCCCGTGAAGTAGAATGCGCAGATATGTGGGATCTAGTTTGTATTGGCAATTGAAGGTTTGGTGGATAGGTCTGGGGTCCGCAAGAAACGAAGTGTGTTACACCCGTGAATCCGACAATTTGGCTACAGCGGAGCATCGTTCCCATCGTGGGTAGGGCGGCGGAAGAAGCGCGTTCTCTTTTCTTCTTTCGATCTGATGATGTATTGAATAATCCAGACCTTTGCGACCTTGGAGATACTGCTTTGCAATTGGGGGACATTGAATGTGCAGTCTCCCATGTGGCTGAATCCTCAAACGAAGCCTGCACTGTTGTCGTACCTAATCATTGACGGGCATTTACAGGTCCCAACAATGATTGAATGAGTCCCCGGTGTTTGTTCAAGGTTCGTCCCATCCAAGAGGGCAGAGTGCTCGCCCTCAAGCTCTGTTCAGCAACGATGCACGACGCATTCGTGACCTGTGTCCGCCCGACGTACCGAGGCCATGTACTAAATAGGAAGGTTGCTAAACATCGGGCACGTGATGCTTGCTGGTCAGTTGAGTACCTAAATAGGAAGCTTTGATCTTTACAGAACTCCAATTCATGCGTTGGACACTGCCATGTCGACGACCACAGTCAGTGCACATCCTTCGGATCGGGTGGAAAGGCCGAAGCCCAAGCCTCGTGAATACGAGGTCACTTGCCGTACCATCCATGGATGGTCGTTGCGCAGCGGAGCTGTGACATCATCGATATGAAGTCGCCGCTATCACTTTCTTTCAGAACGAGGCTGTCACTTACAGCTACAGGGTAATTCGGACGCAAAGCGCACGCCTCGCTGAGTAACCAACCCTGGAGACGTCGTCGTCGGTTTAGACTTTTAGATCTTCGAGCTCATCATGCAGTTCGCAACATGGCCTTATCTAGTACTGCTCCACACTGCCTCCGCTCACAGGTAATTCACGCACACTGATCTTCACGATCAAGCGTTGAACAAGTTAACGCCAATTTATGTGATGTGACCCTCGGCGTCATTTGACGGCGAGCGGAAGTGGCTGCGGGACGATCCCTGCCTGCTAAAGGAAGTGCAGCCTTGCTGTCGCCCGATTTAGCAACATACAGGCATGAACAACAGCAAATGAACAAATCTCTGCATCGTCCTGCAGTCCGACGTGGCTCTCAATGGCCTGTTTTTTCAAATGTCGGTAGTTTTGTGTCGGGTGTTTGTTATTTCGAGGTGCGAAGGGCATTTTATTTCTCGAGAACAATTGCCACAAGCTTTTTGTTTTACGTGCGGTTACATTCTGCCGCTGAATTGTTCTGCAGGGTAGGACGACCATGACCGAATGAGACTAGAGCTGTTGAAATACGAAGTTCCACACGAAACATGCGGCTGCATCCCTGCTCGGGCCAAGAAAGATGGGGAAGGAGGCGATGAAGTGGAATTCTACGCGAATTGTTGACTGTGACGTCGATCAGGAGGCGATAGAGAAGATATAAGTATAGGTTCTCTGCTCTACTTTGATCCCATCATCCAACAAGTTCTCACTATCACATCCTCTCTTCAACACTCCAGAACCCTCTTCAAACCATCAATCCACACAAAATCAAAATGCAGTTCTTCACCGCACTTGCTCTCTTCGGCGCTGCCCTCGCGGCGCCCGCTCCTCAGACATCTGACTGCCCCAACCCGGCACACTGTGGAGGCGGTCCCATCGACCCATCCACATACGAGAACGTTGACATCAGCGAGCTCTACATCCGCAAGAACAACGGCATCCAGAACGCCTCTTTCAAGCTCACCGGCGACAATGCCACCGACCTCGTTTGCGAAATCGGTGCCGTTGCTGAGCTGCCTTCTGAGGTCGTCACCTGCGGCGACAGTGACTACCGCTTCGGCCTGACCAAGGGCGAGGAGTCCGAGTTCGGCCTCGCTATCTACCACCAGACTGCCCCCTTCTCAGGCAAATACCTGATTGGTGATGCTCCCACCTACTGCCACGCTGGTGGTAACGGCCCTGACGACTTCGTCTGCGCCCAGGCCGTCGACTTCCTCACCTTCGTCATCGTTTGACCGAACTACCCCGGACAGTCCTAATTCAAACGCTTCTTGTACATACTTTGAACTTAGCGATCATTATGAAAAGTCCTATTATAGGCTTATGGATAGTGTAATTCAATAAATCAGCATCAGACTTGGGGCTGCTGCCTTCAACGAACAGATGTTTACTTTTTTGGTTGTGACATTGATCGGAAACGGACCCGCTGACAGTTGGAGAAGTGTGACATGCCCGGCTTCACATACCTTGACGAACACTTTATTGAACCAGTCCTCGAAACCCTTTGCTGGGCTTGACTACCGAAGCTCGCAATTATGAAACCCCAACCGACTGCAAAGAACTTTCTGATGGTTCTCATCCTCTTTGCGAACGTAGCCATTGCGTGTATATCATTCATACTGATGTTGCAGATGCGCAAGTTGCGTGCTCGGTGGGAGAAGCAAGTTCGCGAACAAATGCAAAGGGAGCTTGGTCTACAATATCGGAGACGTGCACAGGAACAGTCTATCCCGGAAGAAGGCCAACAGTTCAATGAGACGATGGCTGAACACTCTATAAGAACCTTCGGCTCAGTGAACCGTCAATCAAGTCCAAACTATCTTGTGCAGCTCACCTCTATCCGCGGAAACGAAGATCTTGTGACAGATGCCATCATCCAGCTGATCAGGACCGCACTGCCACATTTGAGTTCTGTGCAGTGCATGGAAGTGCTCCACTTCTTGCGAGAGCCCTTATCAGCCCAACATGGAATACAGATCACGAGTGTACAAGCAGATTCCAGACCTGGCACCAATTCAGAGTTATATGCGCCCCCTTCATCATCTGCGACACAGACGTCCGCTAGACCCAGCAATCACACATCCCCGCAGACCAATCCTGTTGAGCTAGAGAATCTCCATCTTGATCGACGTGTCGAACTGCCTGGTCAAGAGACCAGTATACCGCCATCTTTCAATCACTACTTACGCTCCGTTTCTATGTCTCCTACGGCATCATTGTCTTCGCACGACTCATTGGTGGAGCTCGCGTCGCTGCGCAGTGGGATAATTAGCAATGTATCCGGCGAGTCGAATGCTGGCGTCTCGCGCTTTAGACGCCGCTGGAGGAGGTCCGACAATAGGTCGTGAACGATGGGTGGTGGGATGGCCACATATAATTAATCATCGTGTTGAGTCGTGCATTTCAAGTCCTACTGCAGTCTATTTGTGTTCCTTTGCTAGATTTTCGATTCAAGTCAAAGGCACGCGAGCAGCAAACTAACAAACAACACACCGTCATGACCGGAAGGTAGTCTTTTTGTGTATCCGATTATGTCTGATCGCTTACTAACTTACTTTTTGGTTGGCGTGTGCTCGTCAACGTCATCATCACCTCTTTAGAAGATGATAGGAGTCAGAGCTCTGACCTCAGTACATGTTTGGAAACTATAGGGAAGTCTGAGTAACGGGCACTGATGCCATCGCAGGGTTTTTAGCAGCTCTTGTCGAAATCTGATGTAACGAAGGAAGAAAGGCTGTATGATGCGCACAAAGGGCGCAATCATTCACTCATCTAGAGGAAAATCCTCGACGGGACGTTTGAATCGAAATATTTGTACCTACATCTGTGCAACACCGTGTAGTAGCCGGATCGAAACCATATCATGACGATAGACGTCAGCCGATGGCGATGCCCCAATTTGGCGGGACGTTGAGTACACTGCAGGATGTCCGGCTCGTTTTTGACATCAGGCTCAACTTATACGCAGATATACACAACATTCTTCGAAAGTAAGCAGCAGACAAGTGCATCATGCCGTGAAGAACGTCGTTTCTGCCGATGTATCAGTGAGTAACGGCCCGACTTCAGCGAGATGCAGCTTTAGAATAAACGATAAGATCTTGCTCAAGGTTGTACTGAAAGTCTCCCCTGACAGGAACTCAGCGCTACAGATCCAAAGGTCAATCGAAATTTGCTAAGTCTCGGTGTATCTTCAGGTACGTCGAACTCAACCCGATGGTCGTTGTTCCGCCAGCATCCCATTAGCTGCAGTGGCATCTCGGAGAACTTTCCGATCTACCTAATGCAACCGTTAGGTTTGATTGCAGGTTCAGGATGCAACGGTCTGATGTTCTGGTCTCAAGAACCCCAGACTAAGAGAGACATCTGCCTTAGTTGAGAGCAAGAAGAGGCTTGTGCTGGTTGACGAAGGCAACTCCAGAAGAACATGGGTGTAAGACCTGATGGGCTCTCGTCTATGCAAAGGATACCGCCCAACATATACGGCCGTATTGCGAATGGTGATTCGTCCGGTTTTGATTAGGTCTCGCGATACCCAAAGGTGTTGCGGGCGGCATCTCGGTCAGCGACTGTCAGCTGAGGAAGGTGTACCTTCAGACGTGATTCCCCGCAGTCGAGGTGCGCAAATTGTGGTAAGCTTGAGCCGAATTCTGGCAAGCTGAAGCGAAAAGCTGGGGCATTGACGTCTCGCAAAGGCTGTATGTAGCATGTTGCAACTCTTGGTAGCAGGCAAACGTGCCCCTAGCCTTTGTTTATGCACAAGGGCACTGTCTTGCATGCAAGGCCGCTGTTTGTTGATAAGAATATTCGACGAACGCAGAAAGTGTGTATGACGAGCGCAATTGGCAGGTGTTGGGAGATGAGGTGCTGCGCACTATAAACTATAGGTGAGCTGTTAAGAAGAGACGCGAGAGCTGAGGAAAGGACCACAGTCCAGAACCCCACCAAAACGTGGTCGAGCAGAGTGACAGACCGCTGGCGTTTGCATACGCATCGAATCGTCGAGAAGTGAACCGGAAAGACTACAGCCTGACACCGGTCGTGCTGACGTTGTCAGCTGGCGATGCAATCGAGGGGTGAAGGATGGCGCTGGTGTTTATCGAAATTTAGCTTGGCAAAACGGAGGGAACGACTGCACGGCCAGCAGCATTCCTGTGAAGCCGTGTCGAGTGTCACTTAACCCAACCGTCTCAGCACCGCCTCTCTTCCCGAGTTACTCCCGTCGCTCAACAGCAGCAGAATGCTCATGCTCATCATGCTTGTGTAGCAAGTGCTTGGGTTGGCGACCTCTGTGCCGGTCTCTGCCCGAACTCAAACTGGCCATGAAGATGCATTGCGTACCTTTCAACGGGCCGCTAGACTATCGAAGACCCTCTGCACGACAACAGATCGAGCAGCGCCGCCGTGCAGGGCTGCAGGTTTTGACAGGCTTACGAGGGTTCTGGCCTCATGGAGCGCGGCCAGGGGCTACCAGAGCCGCTTGGCGACTAGATCAGGCAAGGGCATATTGACTTTGCTTAAACGAATCACTAGGCCGCCTATCAGCGGCGGCTCGCTCGACACCTTAGGGCGAACAGCCGAATTGCAATGCCAGTCGTGAGCCGAGCAGTGGGAATCTGATCGCAAGGAGGCGGCGCGTGGCTTTATTAACATGTCTGCTGGCTAGCATTGGTGGCTTGGAGGCTGCCTGCAAGCTCCATGGCAATATTCAACATAAGGACGGCTGCTCCCATTGTGGTACAAATTTTCGACCTTGATAATCAAACGAAGAACACCGGGAGAACAGTCCTTATTTATTCTTTCGGGCGACGATCGACATTGCCAGATTCGCGGCTGCTTCCTTAATCCACCTGGCTGTCATCGCCCACGTTCCTGGGCCGCAAACCATTGCCCGGAGGATTCCAGGCGTCCACAGTGACAATCAACACAGCGAAGCCACCCTGAACGCCACGACTGCTGCTCGAATCTCGCACCAGGCGGACATGCCCTGTGAACCTGAGGCAGCGCCGTAAAACATAACAGCCGTGCCTGACGGTTGAAAAAACATAAGTTATGGAGTTCCCGCCATTCGCGAAACGCGAGTCACCAATCATGCACCGTGCCCCATTGTCGCACCATCCAGTACGGAAGAGGAAGCACGAGAATAGATTGCGCCGCGGCACGTTCTCCTTATATACAAGCAGGTCATCGCCGTCCGTGTTGCTCTCAGTGCTCGTCGTATTACTGTCCTGGAGTTCCCTGCTCGGCGCCGTCTCCGCTACAGAACCACATGGTGATCGACTTGCTGTCGTTGACGACCTGTGGAAAGGATCGTCATTGTATCTTGATACCCGGCCGCCTCCGATAATTCCGCTGTTGATGCCTCCAACACTTACCAACGAGGATGCCACGACGACGCTATCCGCACCCCCATCGAAACGGTCCCTCGCAACGGCTTCGAGCAGCTCTGCCCCGGACTTCCAAGTGCCCAAGCCTTTTGACACGGGCCTCTCGAATAATTTTACGAACTCTTGTGCGACTTACATGAGCAAGCTGGTTACAAGCGAAGCTCTTAACAAATGTCACCCATTCTCATTGCTGCTGCAGGTGCGTACATTCGCGGCAATTCCGCAAGAGTCCCCGTACTGATCCAGCACAGACATCAAGTAGCTTCTTTGATGCTTCCAAGTCCTTCTTCCGCATCACTCAGACTCTTGAGGCAACATGCGCTGTCAATGAGACTCAGTGTACATCAATACTAAATGGCTTTGCGAGAGAGCTACTGGCCGAAACAGCATGTCAAACCGACTACAACAACGACAATCCTATCGTGCTTCAAGCCTACAATGGGCTCGTGGCATATAAACCGTCGTACCAAGCGAGCTGTTTGCGTGACGATGACGGGAATTACTGTGAGTTGTCCGGAACTTCGCGGAACGTATGTCTGACTAACTGTCGAAGGTTTCGCCAACGCAGTGAGCAACTCATCCTCGCCTACCGATAGTTACGCATTCTATCTACCTATCGGCCAGGAACTTCCAGGAGGATCCCGGCCCACCTGCAACTCGTGTCTGCAAGATTCCATGGCGATCTTCGCAAACTTCGCCAACAACGCCACGCAACCGCTCAGCAAAACCTACACCTCAGCTGCTCAACAGCTCTCCATTTCCTGTGGGTCGAGATTCGTCAACATCACTGCTGCCCCACTGAAGGGAGCTGCCGCTCCATCTTCGAGTGCGTCTCTCACACCAACACTCGCCTTAATTTTAATGTTTGTTCTTTGCATTTTTCAGTGAAGGAGGCATGCCTGCCTCTGTTTCTTGTCTCTATTATATCACAGCCCTTATCGGAGGCTACGGCCTTCACTCATTAGCGACGGCGCATTGGGTATTTTTGGTTTTGGTTTTGTTTTTTGACCGGCGCATGACTGGCAACGAATACCCATTGGAACGGATCGATTGTTGTGGAAGCGGTTGAGAACCCTCAGCCCCTGTCCTGGAAAGGTACCGGCGTTTGGGTACTTGGTGAGCATGAGGAGGAATGTGCGGAAACGTTCGCACGCACATAGAATGAGATTGGACGCAGAACCCAAACAAGAATTAATTTGGAAACCGCAATAGATATTTGCATCTTCCGATTGGATCACCAATTCTGAGATGGCCAGGGCCATTGCACCATGACCCTGGGAATTATATCCCAAATTTCACACAATTTATCTGCCGCAATCGTGTACAACGTTGCACTTCCACAGCCGATATCGAGCAACCCGTGTACATCGTCATTTCGCCCCACTCCCTGGGCGACGTTTCAGGCGATCAGTGTAAAGTAGCAGGGCTAAGCTGGGCCACATCATGGTCAAGACCGAGAAGAGAGCCAGTGTACTGTCATAGTATAAACGTCACACGTCAACGCGTTCACTGTGGGTCTAGCACGGTCTGACATCTCTTCATAGGGCTAAAAGACTGGGATGCGCATCCTGAAACACGGTAGACATCGTCACGTGCCGCGGGGTTCAGTGCAACCGAGACCCTGCGGCGTTGTAAGCCTCAGCTTCCTTCAGTCGACCCCTAAATGCAGCAGAGGTGCAACTCTTTGGGCCTTTTCGAATCTGCAACATGACGAGTATAACATGCCTCGGGCACGTTGAGTAGCCAACTTTGATGTTCATTCGCACTTCCCGCTCAAGTGACTGCGGTAACCGATCCCGTGCCGGAGGGGCTTCGGGGTGATCCTCAAATCTCCAATGCATTCAATCCTTGCAGGGTAAACCCGCCCTCAACGGAGTTCGATCTTGCGACAGGTCAGGAAGAAGCCTGACAGGGCAACAAACGCATGAATGTTTGATGGGCCCGCCGCTCGCCTGTCCCTTATGATCCATGTTCTTTCCTTACCTGAGACGGCCATCTTCGCCGCCAACATCTTGCGCGTTCTCTCCTGCTCTCCTCTAATTCAGTCATTACTCACTTTTCTCTGATATTAATTGGTTCGGGAACCACTTTCTTTTACATTCGCTCATTCATTACACTCTTTTATCACTTGCTCTTTGCGGTCAGCGGCCACCACGTTCCATACATAGCCGCAATTCGATATCATTGCATCGACCTCCTCATCACTTAGACGCACGATACTCACTACGATATCATGACTGAAGTCATGGCCCAACATGGTGCCACACTTGCTGCTCCGTCCTCGCGACAAGATGTGGTCAGCGAGCTCTTGGACGACTACATCTACGAAGACTCCTACGACGTGGAGGAAGCGTCACCAAAGCCGAGCCTCGCACCCGCATTCAAAGAACTGCCACCACCTCCTCCACGTACGGACAGCCTGAGAGACCCAAAAGCGGAAGCTATTGAGCGAATGAACACAAAATTCCAATTGAGAGGTAAGCAGTGTTCCCTGTAATTTGGTTCCAATGATTACCTGAGGGGTGCCGATGCATGACACTACTCCGGTCGCTGGCTTGGCATCACTTGACGCGTCAGCATTCACCGTGAGTCTATGGTTTAGCAGACACTCATGATTGTGATGATCATCGAGCCATGTTTTCTTTTGCTTTCTGTTCGGGTGACACTGGGAAGCAGCGCAGCATTGCACGACGTAACCACTCACGTAGGTCATATTTGCTAACATTTAACAGAAGACGACACGTCGTCTATCTCTTCGAAAGGTTCGCGCAATGGCTCGCTAGATCAGACTCCCAGAACGCGTATCACATCACGCAGCCTTTCCCGCAGCGGAACACCACCTTCTCTTAACCTATACGTGAGCAACGGAGCCACCGCTCATATCCCACCTACACCTATTGTCTTCCCACAAGTGCAGCCGCTTCCGTCCTCAGTTATTCCTGACAGCAAGGAGCTACCGCCTACACCACCGGAACGATCCATCAGACGAAAGGAGCTACAGCCCGCGACCATGGGTCACAAACCGTCCAAGAGTGAGCTTGAGCGGAATGACTCTTTCCACTCTCAAAAAGATGGCAAGTCTTCGAACGAGGAGGCTATCGCTGCAGCACCATCAGTCAAGCGGAAGGCTGTTCCTGAATCAGGTGTCAGAAAGTTTGTCAGTTTGCTCGAGCTGAAAAACGGCCCTCGTGGTGGAAAGCCCACATCTGCACCCACTTCTGCGCCACGAGAGACGAGTGCTGGTGGTGTCGTAGACGCCGTACAGAGCAGTATTCCAATTCAGATCGAAATTCCTACCAACAGCCAGCTGCCGCCCACACCACCGGACGAGAAGGCTGTCCCGTCGCCGCCTCGCAAAGCTCTCATGGGCATCGGACTTCCATCAAATCCTCGTACCAAGCAGCCGATGTCGCCTCTTCACGCACGTGGCAAAAGCAGCACAGGCTTCAACATCTTGAAGGTACTTATTGACCTCCCCTTCCCATCGCCAGTGTTCCTACGGTAGCCTTGATATTACGAGGTCAGAACTCAGCTATTCCCACGAATCGGACACTGTGACTGACGAGTTATTACAGGCTCAAAGGCCCGCCCCTCCTGTCCCAACGATGATGAAGAAGGAGGTCACCACGCCTGAGATGACACCGTCGCCGACGTTAAAGCCGGAGATCCGACTAGACAACGAGATTTCCCCCATGAAGCCGCTTCCGCCACCATCCGAGGGCAACAGACCATTCAGCTACGAAGGGCCCGGTGAACAGCAGCAGGTCCCGCCTATGCAAAAGCAGATCGAAGAGCAAGATGCTGGGTCAACCGAGGAGATGGCCGAGCAACAGACCGAAGAAGTGCCCTCGCTGCCCTCCCCAGCTGCTCCAGCATCAACACTCTCGGCTCAGCCCGCGTTTCCTATGCGCACAACGTCCCTCGACCCTCCAGAGCCCAGTCCCTCTGTCCGTCCCTCGACCGCCCCAGCGCCCCAATCGACCTTCATCACAACCCACCCCTCGCTTTCCAGCACCACGCTTGCCGAAGAAGCCGACACACAGACCGAGATCGAAGCACCACCCTTCACCCCTCTCACTAAGCGCCCCATCCCGCTCAAAGTCAACCTCATCCCCCGCATCACTCCCTCGCAACTCCACTGCTACACCTCCCACCGCACAAACGTCTGGTCCAACAACGTCTTCCAGCCCATGGGCTGCATGGTGTGCCACAGCAACGAGACAGACCGCAAGTTTAGCTGCACCTGGTGCCAGCTGCGCATCTGCCGCGGCTGCAGCGAAGAGCTGATGATGGTGCCTGGGCGGGATCTGGGCGCGCTGCTGCGCGCGAGGGAGAATGAGACTGTGGACGCTGGGCCGAAGGTGCTCGTTGAGGATGTGGATCTTGAGGAATATGAGGAGTCCGAGCGGGCGGGCAGGGGGCGCTCGATGGCCAAGGTGGATTCGCGGGAGCGCGCCGAGGCGCTGACACCAAGGTAGCAGGGTGGCTGATGGGAGTGCGCTGGGCCGCGCGTGGTTACGGTACTGGCTAGACAGGCTGGATCTGCATGAACGGCGTTTTGTGGGTTGCTGGTGGGGTTTATTGATTTCCTATGTCCATACGAAGAAGATACCAGGTCGATGCGATATCGCGCGCATACTACATACTACATAGAATGATCTCATATATAGTGCAATTGATTTGTTCAAGATATAACTTTCGTGTGGATGAGTCAAGTGTGTAAAGTAACGTCGCTGATGTTGCGCATGTTTGGGTATCTGTGTCGCTCGCTGGGAATACTATCACAATGCAATATCTCGTCGTGTGCCTCTAGCCTGTGCTGTTGTAGTGTTCCACGGGTGCAAGCATGTCCCACTGCAGCCCTTCACCCGCATCAACAGCGGGTGCCAAATCGCCCATACCCATAATGGCATCCATATCCGCCTCCTCGTTGAACAGACTCAGCTGATCAAAGCGCTGGTCAAACAACCCATCCATCATCTTCCCGTCAGCGCCCAATGCTGCGCCCTCAGCAAAATACGGCATAGGCGTGTGCGGCATGCTGGGCGTCGCGCTCTCGAACAGACCCAGCTCCTCGCCAGGATTGAGTCCACCGATCCAGAACTGTCCACCGGCTGCGGCGTCGCGCTCTAGAATTGCTGCGCTCGCCTCGTCTTCGGTCATGTCGTGCGTTGCTCTCAGATGGCGTCGCAGGTCAACATCGCGGTGGAAGCGGAACTCGCAGTCCATGTTGATGCAAGAGATATCACGCTCGTTGTCGTATCCCACGCCGGTCAGCAGTGTAAGCATGGAGGGATCCTCCTTCTTCCTGCTCTTCGCTGCGAGTCGGCGCTCTTTACGGTTGCCCTGGCCGAGATGATGCGTGCGAATGTGGTTATCGAGGGAGGACTTCGCCTTGAATGAGTGACCGCATGCGTTCTCGCCGTTCCAGCCTGCGAGATCGGTGTGTTTCGAGTTGGAAACTGCGGTGGGAACGCATTGGTATCTAAACTGGTCCTCATGTACACTTTGAACGTGTACGGTGAGGTTGTGTTTGCGTGTGAAGATAGCATCACAGTGTGTTTCCGGGCAGGGGTAGCGCGCGGCAGTGTCGCTATGGACAGTTTCGGTGTGGGACTTGAGGTTCGCTTCGTTCTTGAACCTTTGACCGCACTCAGGGCACACCGGGGGGTGACATTCGAGAGAGTGCAGACGCAGGTCTTCAGATGTGGTGAACGCAAGCGGGTTCTTCGGTATCATGACAATGCCAGAGTCGGTTTTGAGTGTTTCTGCCTCTGTGCCAGGAGTAATGCACAGCATGCAGTACACTGCTTCCTCCTTTTTCTCTACATGCGAGTTGGATATGTGCTTTTTCAGCGCATTCCCAGTCTGATATCCTTTTGTACACCGCTCATTTGTCTCGGGATCGATGAAAGTGCAAGGATACGGCTTGACGTCCAAATGCTGACCCTTGATATGCGCCTCAAGTGCTGTCTGCTTTCTGAACGCTTCGCGGCAAGGTGGGTAACCTGTGCAGTATAGCTTCGAATCGTGGACATCCTTGTGGCGCTGGAGTCGGCCAGCGGATGTGAATGCCTTTCCGCAGCCCTCCCACTCACACGCGTGTGCTGCCTGCTCGCCGGGACCACTGTGACCGTTTCTCAGATGTCGTTGTAAGTGATCCTTCCGAGGGAAAGTCTTGTCGCAGCCAGGCTCGGTGCAGGCGAAGGGTCGCTCCTTCTTGTGGCTACGCATATGGGATTCGAGACGGCATGGTCGGTTGAAGCGCTGGCCACAGCCTTCGACGTCGCAGACGAAGTTCCATGTTCGGCGAGCCTCGCTGTGTGCTCGACGGGCACCGCTATCGGTGAAGTTCACCTTCAGATCCGCCGAATCGTCTGAAGCCCAGTCCAAGTCTGGGGAAGCCGGCTGAGAGGCTGGGTGTTGTCAGCAAGGACGCGACGTCATGGCTATGGAGGATATGTAATTACCGGTGCGGGACTTTTTCTGTGACACGGGGGCACCGCTGCCATCTGTCTTGCGTTTCACAGCCATTGCGATGTCTGCGATGTCTGCGAATGCATCGGAAGCGAAGTCCGCAGATGGCGCTGGCAAATTATTGTGGAGCCTGTTTTCGAACTCTTGGCGTGTGCAGTTGATTGGCGCGCGATTGAAGGAGCCTTTTTGTTGCGGCTACTCTTAGACACCCTACGACCCAGCACCAGCTCGCAACGTCACGCCGCGTACCTCACACGCTACCCAAACCACACGCCCACACATAAACTCCGCTCGCGACCATGTCTGATTACGGCGGCGACGACGGTGGCTTTGGCGACGATGGCTACGAGTATGTCCAGGCTTCTTCACACGCGCAGCTATGGCGCATTATCGCAGCAGGGCGCAGAAGACAGAGGCTGACTTGAGGCAGTGGCGGCGTTATCGACTTCGACGAGGAGGCAGAACCAGAAATTATGGACGACATTGACGACGCTGAGGGCGGCGAGGATCCCGACGTCGACGACAATATCGTGGTGTCTGGAGATGCAAACGCTGCAGCTGCGGCGAAGGACAAGGCCAAGAACTCAGTCGATGCTGAGAAGGCGAAGAAGGTCGCCAACGAGAACCGTACAACAACGCCCTACATGACAAAGTATGAGAAGGCGCGTGTACTCGGCACAAGGGCATTGCAGATTAGGTATGACATGTGCTGGTATAGGATATAGAGGGTGATTATGGCTGACATGCATGCAGTGGAAACGCTCCTGTCCTGATCGATGTCGAGGGCATGACAGATCCCCTTCAAATTGCGGCCAAGGAGCTGCGCGAGAAGAAGATCCCCCTTGTCGTACGGAGATACCTGCCCGACGGCTTCTACGAGGACTGGACCTGCGAGGAGCTGCTGATATAAGGTACTTGGGTGTTCGTCTTGGCTGCATTGGGTTTGGAGTTTTGGGTAGGAAAACTGAAAGTATGACGGGGTATCTTCGGCGTTGAGAGCTGCGCTTCTATACCTCCCCGAATCAGAACCGAGTTTCACGCAAGTCCCAAGTCTTGTCCGCATGTCTACGTGCACCGGCGCGGATCCGACATCTTAATTTGGCAATTCCGCCCTAAAGCTACCCCGCCAACGTCACTAATGAGGGCAGCTTCAAAACTCCCGTTGCGCCGTCCATTGACGCAGTATACAGCACCACCACGCTTCCACCACCACAGCTTCCTCTCCTACCATACCCGACGAACCATCATGTCTTTCGAAACCACAGGCACCATTGCCTCCTTCGGGGGCAAGCTGCTCCAGCTCAAGCACAAGTCGTCGAGCACCAACACAGACATGGCTCTGAATGTCTACCTGCCGCCTCAGGCACTGAAGTCCGGCGCAAAGGTCCCAGTGTTGTTCTATTTGTCTGGTCTCACTTGCACAGCGGCCAACTGCTCGGAGAAGGGCTTCTTCCAGCACGGTGCCAGCAAGCACGGCATCGCCATCGTATACCCAGATACATCACCAAGTGCGCTATCTGTCATTGATTGGTGTGCACCTGACTAACGTCTCAATCAGGGGGTCTGAACATCGAAGGCGAGGACGAGTCCTACGACTTCGGGTCTGGTGCCGGATTCTACATCGACGCAACCAAGGAGCCATGGACCAAGGGCTACAACATGTACTCATACATCACAAAGGAGCTTCCTGAGGCTCTCTTCTCACAATTCAAGGAGCTCGATTCGAGCAAGGTCAGCATCACTGGTCACAGTATGGGCGGACACGGTGCCTTGACTTTGTTCCTCAAGAACCCTGGAATGTACAAGTCTGTCTCCGCATTCGCACCCATCGCCAACCCCATCAACGCACCTTGGGGGCAGAAGGCCTTCAAGGGGTACATTGGCGACGACCAGGAAGAGTGGAAAAAGCACGATGCTACAGAGCTTGTTAAGCAATGGAAGGGGCCACTTGAGATCCTCATTGATGTTGTGCGTACTCCCACAATGTTGCTTTAAGTAAAGCTAATTAATCATAGGGCACCGGCGACAACTTCTACAAGCAGAAGCAGCTGCTACCAGAGAACTTTATCGAGGCAGCCAAGCAGGCGGGTAACGACAAGGGCATCCAGCTCCGCCTCCAGCCCGACTACGACCACAGCTACTTCTTCATGGCCTCTTTTGCGGATGACCATGTCGATTGGGCGGCTAAGCACCTGAACGCGTAGTATGTGAATCGAACTATATGACCGAGTTTCATATGCTGATCGCCGTAGAAGCGATTCGAGCGGTAGACACAAGTTGTAGGACGCACACTCGGATAAAAAGAAGGAAATGCATGCTTAAATATACTGTATATATTCAGCACTAATGAAATTGCTGAAAATCTTCTTCGTCACTATGTATGAATGGGCGCGCAATATTAGAGTGACATCCGGAAGACTTTCTGGTGGTTGGTGGTCTGTGCCACAGACTCGGGCAGCAGTGACAGCCCACCTCAGCATCGGCACATTTGGCAAGCAGCACAACAATCTGACTGCACGTCAACAAAGGACCAACATCACCTGCTCTGCTTGCGCCAGTCCTGTAGCCCTGTGCTTTGCCAGCCCCGGTTTTCATTTTCGGCTCGTTCACTAGCATCCTTGCAAATCGCCTGCACGTCACTTGATGGTGCCCCGCTGAAGTCTACTTTCACCGCCCGCAACATTCCCACAATGAAGTCCTCGCCCCGCCCAAGCACTCGGTAGCACATCACATCACTCCAAGACCACTCTCAACCATATTGTACACATCCTTGTATGGTTGAGCCCTCCCCGATCGCCTAGACTACACACAGACTGTTCCGCATCGAGACGGCGGAGGAAATGGAGGCCCAGGTATGTTGTCGCGTGCCTGCCTCTAGATATCTCGACTGACTTCCATCGCCACTGCAGGTCGAAAATGCCATCCAAATCGCCTCGGACCCGACCTCCAACCAGCAGCTGCGCGGCCAGGCTATTGAATACCTCAATCAGCTGAGGGCAGAGGGCACAGCATGGCAGGCCTCTTTGGCTCTATTCACCCGCGACCCTCGCGCCTCCGATATCATTCGTCATACCTCCCTTGACCTCGTCAACAATGCCGTCCAGGAGCACCGGCTCGACGAGCAGAGCCTGGCATACATCAAGGACACGCTCATGAGTCACATTCGCCAGTCGTATGCGCCTGGCAGCAGCTCGACCGACTCGACCCACATTCAGAATAAGCTCATGCAGACTATGACTTATCTCTTTGTCGCATTATACCCTTCCTCATGGCAGTCTTTCTTCGACGATTTCCGTGCGCTAGCCGGCGATCAGGCAGCTATCGGCAGCACAAACACCGCCACGACTTTCTTGTACTTGCGCGTACTTGGTCAAGTACACGACGAGATCGCCGATCAGCTTGTGTCGAGGCCAGAAGAGGACAAGAAGCGCAACACTGATCTGAAGGATATGATCCGACAACGAGATGCTCAGAAAATTGCGGTATCGTGGCAGGAAATCCTGGGAAAGTGGAGGGAAATCGACCTCGGCCTCGTTGAGATGTGTCTGCGTACTATTGGACGCTGGGTCAGCTGGACAGATATCAATCTAATTGTCAACCAGTCCATGATTGGCACGTTCCTGGAAATGGCTGGACAGCAAGGCATCAACGACCCAGACAGCCCAGCTGGGAGGGTTCGCGACGCAGCTATCGATACGTTCTCCGAGATCGTTGGCAAGAAGATGAGCCCAGCAGACAAAATTGAGCTTATACTGTTCTTGAACCTTTCAGAGATCGTGGGCCAGCTCCTCGGAAGCCCAGCGTTGGCAGAGTACAACAGTCCGAACTACGACAACGATCTCGCAGAGACCGTAGCGAAGCTTGTCAACAACATCGTCTTCGACGTTGTCAAGATCCTGGAAAGCGAATCCGTCAGCGACGAGACCCGCCAGCGCGCCGATAGCCTGGTTCGAATCTTCACCCCATACCTGTTGCGCTTCTTCGCCGATCAATACGATGAAGTCTGCTCGACTGTCATACCCGCCTTGACCGACCTCCTTACGTTCTTGCGCAAGCTTCAGAAAAAGACAGGAGCAGTTCCGGCTCAGTATTCAGCCGTACTGCCACCCGTCTTGGACGCCATTATTGCGAAAATGAAATACGACGAGACGGCGTCTTGGGGTGAAGAGGATGAACAAACAGATGAAGCCGAATTTCAGGATCTGCGACGTCGGCTTCACGTATTACAACAGACAGTCACCGCTATTGATGAGCCATACTACATCGAGACCCTCAGTCGTGTGGTTAACGGCACCTTCGGCCGCCTCTCGCAAGGTGACGGAAGTCTGAATTGGCGCGACCTCGAGCTGGCTCTTTACGAGATGTACCTTTTCGGAGAACTCGCGGTCAGGAACCAAGGACTGTACGCCAAGCGCGAGCCTTCATCTGTCGCTGCTCAGCAGCTTGTGGGTATGATGCACAGCATGATCGATTCAGGTAAGTCTTTGTGAATTCTTTCTACCGCTTGACTATGCGACTGACATTTATCAGGTCTTGCAAACTACTCACACCCTGCTGTACAGCTCCAGTATATGGAGATATGCGTCCGATACTACCAATTCTTCGAGCAGAACCCGCAGCTTATTCCTAAGGTTCTCGAAAACTTCGTCACCTTAACTCACAGCAACCATGTGAAGGTTCGCTCGCGGTCGTGGTACCTATTTCAGAGACTAGTGAAGCACCTCCGAGCCCAGCTTGGTAATGTTTCTTACGACATCATCCAAGCTGTTGGCGATCTACTTGCGATCAAGGCGGAAGTCCCAGACACTTCAGAAGACGACATGTCCTCAGACGAAGACGACCAGTCTGCGGACGCCTTATTCAATTCCCAATTGTTTCTCTTTGAGGCTATCGGATGCATAGCTTCTGCAAACACGGTCTCTGTTGAGAACAAGCAGCTGTATGCACGAACGATTATGAGCCCTCTCTTTGCCGATATGGAACAGACGCTTCCTCAGGCTCGCAATGGAGATGAACGAGCGATCCTCCAGATCCACCATATCATTATGGCACTCGGTACCCTAGCGCGTGGTTACTCCGACTGGGTGCCTTCGGCTAACAATACTACCGCTCCTCTTACCGAAGTCGCTGACGAGTTTACCAAGGCTTCTGAGGCTATGCTCGTCGCCCTTCAGTCCCTCAACACTTCAGGATCGATTCGTCACGCCGCGCGCTTCGCATTTTCAAGATTGATCTCTGTCCTCGGTTCTCGACTATTACAGCAGTTACCTTCTTGGATCGAAGGGCTGCTCTCGCTCAGCTCTTCCATGGATGAGATCAGTACTTTCCTCAAAGTCCTTGCACAGGTCATCTTCACGTTCAAGTCGGAGATTGCAAGCATCTTGGACACAGTCATGACTCCAGTTTTGCAGCGCATATTCACAGCGCTTGCAGTGACACCATCTGGGACAGATGACGAGATCCAGCTGGCTGAGCTCCGTCGCGAGTATCTCAACTTCATTACCGTTGTTCTCAACCAGAATCTTGGGTCTGTCCTTGTCAGTAGCGCCAACCAAGCAACATTCGAGCCCGTGATCACATCGATCGAGACTTTTGCTCGCGATACACGGGACTATCAGACAGCACGCCTCGCCATCTGCGTCGTCATCCGCATGATCGATGTATGGAGCGGTCCAGACAAGGTCGGCCCTGGCGCAAACTCAACGCCGACAACTCCTGGCACCGAGCCGCTACCCGGGTTCGACAACTATGTACTTGAGCGCTTCTCGCCTCTTGTGTGGTCAATCCCTGCTGCTCCCGGCTTTAACTCCAAAGATGCACAAGCCAAGCAAGTCCTCCACGAGACCGCCAATCTGCAGACTGAGATCATTAAAAAGGTTGGAGAACCATACGTGGAACGTCTACGCAGTGATCTGAGCGGCATGGGTGTCGGCGGGGATGTTGTAGATCAGTATCTACGCACACTTGCCGGCGCCTTCGAGGGCTCCAAGAAGGAGAAAGAGTGGAGGAGCTTCTTTGCGCAGTTCGTGGAGCGCGCAATGTCAGGCAGGACATGAAATACAGAAGGAAAAAGAGACTAATTCAAATTTCCTAGGCATCTATGGTGACGGCGGCATCCTCCGGCGCGCATTGGACGGCATTGGCATGTTTTCGAGATAACCCCATATAGCACCAGTTCGCTTTCGTAGCTGGAAGGAAAGACATCAAACATTACAAAAATACATACTCACTTCGCACAATTCATACGGTACAACCAAAGTCATATGCGCGCTAAATCAATGTCTTGCTTGTAACTTGCTTTTGTATCTCCAACCAAGCACAAGAATACACAACTAACCTCAGCCCTCCCCACCAGCCCCCCTCTCAAACACCTTCACACTCCCATCCCCCTTAACACGATACAAAAACTCCCGCCCCTTCCCTCCATCCCCTCCATCCCTCTTCTCCTCCTCCAGCCCCAAATTATCCCACCCAAGCACCTGCTCCGTAACGCGCACAACACCCGACACATCGCGCGCAACCCCCGTATCCAGGACGCGCGTCCCCAGCACGCGGGCGCTCATGTGCGCCACCTTGGCAACGAAGTTGTACTGGCTGATCTCGAGCGGCTGCGCAGGCGCGGATGCGCTCACCAGCGGCGTGTCGGCGTGCAAGTGCGTCAGGACATGGGACACAGACGGGGTGGCGTGTAGTTGTAGGATCAGGGCTGTGAAGGCGCTGGGGGATGTGGAGGTAAGGGCGAGAGGGAGGTCGGGGGTGTCGAGGATGAGGAGGGTTTTGCGGTGCGGCGGGCTCGTGAGCGAGGTTATAGCGCTCGTGAGAGTGGTTTTGAGGTGCGCTAGGTCGAGGGAGGTGAGGGTGAAATGCCCTGCGTTTTGGCTGGCGGTGGAGGTTTGCGGTGTCGCTGGTGCGGGCGCGGTTGTGCTGGGTGCTGGACGGGCGGGCTGCGCGGTGGGTGCTGGTGGGCCTCTGGCAGGGACGATGCGTCCTGGAGGTCCTCTGGCCGGCAACATCTGCCCTGACCTTTGTGTTGAAACGGACTCTCTCATTGATCCCTGAGACTGCTGTGGCCGAGGTGGCATCGGTTGCGCCTGCGATTGCTGTACTTGCGCATCGCCCATGACCAACCCACTCAGTCCATCTACGAACGCGAATCTCTTCTCCCGCTTCAATCTCTCCAGATCCAATCCAGCACCTTTCCTAGCTTCTTGCTTCCAGAATTCATAGTCTCTCATCCACGACACCAGCACCACGTTTCGGCTCTCGTCTGCCCCACCATCTTGCGTGTTGCTGCTCAACGCATCGCAGAGAAATCGTACAAGCAGCCAATTCGCGCTGGCGCCGAGTGTGCTCGTGAGAAGGAGTAGCGAATCTTCGTGAGGGAGCTGGACGTAGGGTTGTAGAAGTGGCGGTATGCGAGATGACGAGTTCATGGTGAGCAGATGCGGGGAGAAATTATTGAGGCTGATTCTTGGAAGGCCCACAGGCTAGATAGGTATCGATAAGTCACGACGAAGGCATTCCATCAACACCAACCCTGAGCATATGGGTTTTCAATTCTTTTCGATTTTTTTTCGCTTTCTAGTCAAGGTTCTACCTATCGTACATGTTTCGAGCCACCGTCACGAGTCGCCGATGGAGCTCAATGACCTGAATCCTCCATAAGCCCTGCTTTCCGTACACATTCAGATCAATCTTGTCCTCACGGTCGACCTGGTAATGCCATGCACACCTTGGGCCACCGCCTGCCATACATCCTTCACTCAGCTTGAAGCACGATTCAAAGTCTCGATGCTGGCAGCGGTGCGGCAGGCGGCGACCCGCCATGTGATATCCCGCGCCCATTCCGTTCGCCCTGTGCCTCGCCTTCATCTTCCTCCTGCTGCTTGTTGGCCCGGAACTTACCGAAGTCTAAGTTCAGCATCTCTCCAAAGCGTGTGATATTTCCATCAGTCTCCACCATACCTAGCTCCTCCGTCTCCTTGATGTAGTTCGTGCGACTTTTCTGCGGTCGGTTTCCTGGGATACCCTCAAGGTTTAGCTGTGATTTGCCTGTTGCAAGCTTGCCGAGTTGCGCATGAAACAGCCACGGAAATGACATGAAGGGCATAGTCTCTGCTGCCATCTCTCGCACAGGCACTCGCTGGCCTCCAACAATCTTCGTTTCGTTGCATTCTCTCACTGCTTTGCCCGTCTCTTCCGCAGTCACTGAGTACATGGCGGCGATGAATGGTCCTAAGCATTCCCAATCTGTAACGGCTGTTGCTCCCGATGCCTTGAGACAAGCCTCTCGGTACTTTGCTTTTAGCACCTCAACGGTCCGACCAAACTCTTCAGCGAATTTGTAATCGCGAGACTCGTCGTTGTGAGACAGCACAAACACTGAGAAGGCTTCAAACTCTGTTTGAACACCGTGCTTCGCCATCAGTCTCCTCAAATCATCATCGTATTCTGCCTTGATCTCCGTAGCCTTTTGCAGCAAAGGCTCTTCGATCTGTAAGTTACCCAGGATTCGCTGATCAAAACCAGGCTCCCAAACGGGTTTGAAATCGACAAGTTGTACTTCGTCATAGAGCATCCCCAAGATGTTCTCGGAATGGTAAATTTGTTTTGGGGCTTTGTACCGCTTCTCCATAAAGTGTGGCCATTTCTTGGGTCTCAAAACACTATCCATGACAGCTGGAATGCCGCTCTTGGGGTAATCAACTGCCTGAGAATGTAGCTTCGCAAGCTCTATGCAAGTATGGCTGGACACTCCCCCAGGTTGCTGATCGGCTTGTGCCAAGTGTGCGTGAGCGATTTGGCCTAGTGAATCGTTCTGCATGTACGAGACGAAGAAGTCACTGACATCTGAAATGTCGATTGGTCCAATCTTCTCGAGCGGCTTCTCTGGAGTATAGTCCATTGGAGGAACATTAATGGTCGTGGGGATAAGCTCTTGATCCCACAGTACCATGTAATCATCACCATCAAGGTCTCCCCCTGAACACATGTTTGCGAGATCTCGATCGCCAGTCTGGGGAAGTACCACAACGTTTTTGTGGTGGTGTAAAGCCGGAACATTGACGGCACGAACGACGCGAATATCTCCAGGGTGTAGCGACGGGTTACGAGCAAGGATACATATACCCTCGACCACTTTGTAGTGTCCCTTCTTGCTGGTGTCATCAATTTGTATGAAGATCTGTGGCAGTGTCTTCAGCTTCTCGTTCCTGGATGCACCAGGTCGGGACTGAGGCTCGTTGTAGTGACCATGTAGCGTACCAGATTCGTCGACACAGCCAAGCACGAAAGCACCTTCAGCGATGGCAATGCGAGCCTTCTTTTTCAGCTCCTTGATGGTCTTGGCTCTCCAAAGGTGAAGGAGGGATATCATGAAGGGTTCCCGGCTGTCCAAGAACCCATCCAGGACCATGCTGGCCATCGCCAGAGTTGTCTGATTCATGTCGATGTGTTTTAGAAGGCAGTTTAATGCTTCCGTTTTGTCTGTCATAGCCAGCTCGTATGCTTTGACCATCTGTTGCTGCTTGCGGATGAAGACATGATCGGGCACGCCAAGATTTGATAGAACGATAATGATCTGTCGGTTGAAGAATGGCGTGGCAAGTGATGAGCAACGAATGATCTCCATGCCCGTAAAAGGAGCCTCAAACTTGTCTTGACTTGGACGAATGCGAACCTCATTCCTGGTGATAGTTGGATCTAATGCAAGCACACCTTTGCAGCCACCTAAACGAAACTGATACAAGGACGGCGGATTGTCGAAAGCATTGTGCAAGCCTAGATCCTGTGCAGCCATCTTAGCCAGGAAGAGAGACAGCTTGCCAACGCCATCGGTGAAAGTATAGCCGTTTCGCTCGATGTCAGGAATGGTGACGAGGTGTACGGTATTCTGCATAGCGCGAGTGGTAGAAAAGCATTGACCCAATCGAGCGCCGTATTTGGCGATAGTCTTGATATGTTCGAACCTTCCTAAAGTCAAGCGGATGTCGTGCGCCGATTTAGTAGACGTCGGGGCGTAGAAGTATGCGCCATGTTCGCGAAATTGGGAGTTCCCGAAAGCAAGGAACTCGTAGTAACGGCCAGCGACAACGATCCCATTCTTCATGGCATGATTCACTCGAGCAAAAAGCGCATCAGCTCTACCGCCTGGCATATTCCTCAAAACACCTTCGCCCTTCTCGTCGGAGAACTTGACACGAATGAAACGATCAGTATCAGCGATGTATTGTCGCGTAATTCTGTTGGAGATCTCCATGATGGGCGATGCGACATGCATCATTGTAGGTGTAATGTTGACGGATCGCTGCATTACACAGTGTTTGGGTATTGGCCGCTGACGTGTGACCTTTGAACGTATCTCAAAGATTCCCATCGGGTCGTAGTAGACTTTCTGCTTGTCGACCACCTTCTCCAGGATGTGAGCGGCCTGAAATGGATTCATTGATTCGAGCTTCCGGAGGAATTCGCGCGTCACGCCGCTCTCCTTGAGAAGACTGTTCGACAGGCAGGCTTCGAGCTGATATCGTACGGGGAACGTCAGGTAGATCTGATCGAGAGCAAGATCGTCGAGTGTAGACGAAGGCTTCTGCGAAGGAATGAGGTGAGAGTACGAGCCTTTGTGTTCATCTCCAAGTATCTCAGTCAGTTTGTTTGGGCACTTCGAAATGATGTTGAATTGCTCGCAGTCCTCCACTGTGACTCCGAAGTCGCTGAGCGCTTTACGAAACTCTGCGAACTTCGGACCAGAGAGTGCAGTGTTTTTGAAGGACAGACGATATGCTGTCCAGCGGCCTATCACTGTTAGCTCAATCACTCAACGATGAATTGAAACTATACCTATGTCAATGATGGAGAACTCTTTGTGGGTCGTCAATGCTGTCTTCTGCAACTCTACTCTTGTGCGGTCACCGACCACGTCGGTTTCGCGGAATACCGTACTCCAGATATTCCAAGAACGCTCTTTCGTTGGAAATAGGCTGTCATCGTTCATCTTCGGCTGCTTCTGATCGAAAAATCGAGGTGGACGATCGAAGGGGATGATCAGTGATGAGATTGACTTGCCATCGTCTGTTTTGTACATGCGTGAGAGCTGGGAGATTGGCAATAGAAAGGAAAAGTTATGGTTTCGTCCGTCGACTCTCAATGGGAACTGCACTTCAAGCTCTTTTCGTCTCAGTTTTAGCTTTATCTGCACTTTACCAATGGCGTGAATTTCGTGCATGTTCACCAAGCTCTTCTCTCCATTCTGCACACCGAAGCTGATCGAGTCGGCAAAGAGTATGTTGAGCTCCTGGTACTGAATTGCCGGATCGACCGGGCTAGGGACAGTGTATATGGCAGGTTGGTGAAATTCGCACCGTACGAGCTTTCCGCCAACTTGAAGCTGAGATGGGAGACTATCGGAAGGAGGCCTACGAGTTTTGCGTCAATTGAGTGAAGGTTCAAGGTAATGATGTGACTTACTGGTACACAACCCATGCATTGTTATCCCGGCTACAGACCTCCATGTCGACTCTGACGACAGTGCCAAATCTGGACATCGAGAAATAGACATCCTTGGTCCAGCATTGCTTTGGGATTCCCAGTATCTTTACCTTAGACTCCTGGCCCATGGCCCAGTGTCCTGGAATGCTGCGCGTCTGAGGTCTGTTCGAGACATTTTGGGCATTTGAACGCGGACGAGGGCTGCCGGTGCGGATTGCAGGAGACACAGGAGGAGGCGATCTTGCTGGGCTGGTGTTCGTGCTTGGTCTCCACTTATACGTTTCATGAATGGACTGTCCGTTCGCGTCGTAGATTGTGCGTTCGCTGACTGGTGTCCTTGGCGAAAAGGGCGAGCTGACTTGCCTGGAACTTGCATACGGTTGATCGGGAGTACTCACTCGGCTAATAAAGCTTGATGGAGCTCTAATGACGGGGCGAGTGGCAGCTTGTCTGTCGGAGTCACCGGAACCGGTCGAACGTGCAATGCCGTCGGAGCTGCTAGTATCACCATAGTCACCGTCACCCGTGTGGCCGCTTTGTAGGCGGCTGTCAGGTTGACGGCGCATGCCGCAGGCTGCGAACAGGATGTCAGGTAGGAGTTGGAGTCAGGTGCGTAAGATGGAGAAGTTGTGGTGTTGGCGAGACCGGCGTAAATGAGGTGAGTAAAGTGAAGTGGGGGATTGATGCTGCTTGTTGTGGGTGCGCTTGGTGTCAGGAGTAAGTACGTTGTGATGGCGAGAAGTGCGTTTGTTGCGGCTGCCGTTTTAGTGACACCAAGAGCGGTGGGGGACCGGCGCTCGCTCAGGTGAAGCTCGCACACGTCTGCTTTAGCACAAATAGCGTCTCGAAAAGCTACGGTGATCCTAGCTTTCCATTTTTCTTCTTATATGTAGCTCTGTCGGCGTGGGGGTGTTTGTTAGCTGTTTGTTGAGGGGTCGTGTGAGGAAGGTGTGGATGCTGACCAGGTCGCAGACACACTTGGAATAGTAAGTCTGGTTGCGAGTCTCATGGAAAAGCTAGGGATGTTCGAATTAGAGCGGAAATATATGATTCTGTCTGTCAAGGTCTTTGGAAGGTGCAGTGTTGCTTGTAGTAATGGTGTCACCGGACAAGCGAATGAGGCAAACAAAACCGCGAAGACACGTCGAATAGGCTCAAATCTATAGACCTGACGTAGGTTTCAGGCCACATGATCTAGGATAGAGAAACGAATGAGAATCTTGATTGTAGACGAGGAGGCCACGTGAAACTATTCAGAGATGACAATGAGAGCTTGAGGGTACATACAGAGGCTGTCCATGTACACCACCGTGCGAGTCCCTGCAGGGCTACCGCCGACCATATCACAGCGTCAAAAAGAACGGTTAAGCATCACCCTCATAGTTCCGTTGTCGTTGCGTCATCCTCCTCTGGGAGCCTCCCTGTTCCTGACATGAACGCGCCCGGTGTAAATGGCGTCCCTGCGAGAAAATCATCCACGTCAAAGTCCTCTTGGGTCTGCTCATAGAGACTTCCATGCATTTTCATCGCTGAGCCAGCCTCTTCCGCCTGGTTGTGGGTCTCAGACAATGCGAACCCAACTGTTGTGTGGCGGCGATTAGGCGACATTTGTCGCAAAGCAGAGCGTTTGACAGGTGAGAGCTTCCTTGAAGCAGAGCGGGATCCAAGACTTAGCTTCTGATTGAACGGTGTCTGCGTCGCAGAGGCTCTCAGCGAAGGACGAGGCTTCTGACGTTTAGGTGTTGGGCCATCTTGGGAACCGTATCTTGAAGTATCAAAGGATGCATCAGCATCATTTTCTATCGCTGTGTCATTTAAGCATTGGGCTGGTTTCGTGGATTTTGGTGCAAGATCCTGAGTCTGGATTGCTGGCTTTCGTCGCTTGTGCTCACGTGGTTCTCGCGGCGTCTCTGGTACAGTGCCCTCTTTCTGTAAGTGGGTTGCCGATCGAGGCATGAGAGGATTTTGTGTCGCAAGGCCCATCGAAGCCAATACATTTCTGCGTAACGTCCTCAGCTCTTCAAGCTCTTCCTCTTGTTCCCCACAGAGTACATCGAGTTCTTCTGTTCTTGTTTCGAGTGTTGAAAAAGAGCTTTGCAAGTCGTGCAGTTCCTTGCGGGTTTTGTCATAAACATCTTTCAACTGTCGGCTGGTGTGGATGGTGTCTGTGAGCTTGGTGTTCAGCTTGTTGCGCTCTTCTTCTGCTTCTGAAGCAACAGCTTCTATGTCAGTGGTGTGCTTGATCTCCATTTCCCTCAATGCATCTTTAGATGAATGCTTGAGTTCTTCGTGGCTGACCTCAAGATCACTGAGTTTCACACCGATAGCCTCCAGCTCAGACTCCGTGCTTTGTAGTTGGTGTTCCAGACTGACAGCACGTTCTTGTAGCTTGGCAATTTCTTCGGACTGCCTGGATCTCACCTCCCGTTCGTCATCTAACTGGCGACTGGTATTCCCATGATGAGCCTGCAGATCTTCATATCGCCCGCTAAGAGCACGGAGTTCTTCTTCAGCATGCTCCAAAGAACTTCTCACCAAGCTCACAGTACCACTCAGCTCCGACACTTCATCTTCATGCAGACGGAGCTGCTCCCCTTGGCTTACAATCAGTGACTGCAGCTCGAGTTCTTTTGTGTTGTATTCCTCCTGAGCGCTGCGAAGAGTCTCTTCGGCGTCTCGATTGGCCTGATCAAATTGTTCTCGGAGCTCATCGAGCTTGTTAGAGATCCGATCTCTCTCATCTGCAAGACCTAGTTTCTCATCTTCTAAGCCATCCAAGTGGAAACGGTCATCTGTAGCCTGAGATTCGAGCGAAGATACTTGAGCGCAGAGCTTCTCGACATGCCGCTCAAGCTCTTGCGATCTTGACTTCTCCCGACGAAGAGGTTCCTCAACAGTATTGCAACGTGTTTCAAGATCTTGGCAAATTTGTGCTACCGAGCGGACGATGGAGTCGCGTTGATAAGAGTTTTGGCCTTCAAGCTCGGACTTGAGGCGGTCTCTCCAGTCTTCCAAGTGCTGTCCTGTGAAGGGCGTTGACTCTTGCTGGAAAAATGAAATTGATGGACCGCTCGGTATACTTGTCGCATGCGAGCATTGCTTCGGAATGTGAGGAAGCTTACGTTGCTTCATGATCAGAGCAGTAGCAAGTGGGTGTGGAAAGGATATTTCGCCAGATCGCACCAAGAAGGCCAGGCTCAGTATCAATGATATGGTGGCGGCAAATGCCTCCCGATGCAATGCTGTAGCGTACGTACGACACCCAGCATCTGACATCGCTATTTCAGTCCGTACCATTGCCCAAATCTTGTCTTGCAACGTTGAGGATGAGAGAGCCAGTAATAACTTCGTGCTGAGAGCTGCGCAGCTTGGTGAGACCGTAGACAACATGTCGACTAAAGTGACGAGGCTTTTAAAGTGACTAGAAGTCGATCCTGATGCACAAGCGTCGAGCGTATCTGTGAGCAACGTACGGAAAAAGCTGTCTTGCATTTGAGGCTATATGAGTCAGTCCAGTCGGTGTTACGGTCATGTGGCCTACCTACAGCGAAATTGGGAAGAGATACCATCAGGGTTTCACGCAAACATTCTGCATTTGCAAGTTCTCCGAGTCGACTCAAGCAGCTTTGGTACTGGGTTACAATCTCAGAGGGAAGGTTGTTTGCACCTGCGATTAATGCATAGAAGCAGAGTGCCTCAAGCTGTACGGCCGGATGAATACCTTCACGCAGTATTTTGGCTGGTAGCTTCGGGAATATGTTTCTTGCCAATGCGCTAGAGTTTGGCCACCCTGCTCGTGCTTCGACGTCCACAAAATGTAATGTTCTCACCGCGATTCGGATGCCTTCGATGGCCACGGCGTCTGAGACACCAACGTCGCCCTTGGTTGCCCATATCACACTAAGGTAAGTCAAGTTGATGGTTTTGTATAGTCCGTTGGAAGATCCGAATAGTTTGCGTCCTGATGCTGTCTTCCACTGCTTCTCGAGGACTGCGGCCTGCTTGAGCTGGTGTGACCCAACGTGTTGTGAATCACCGAGTTCTTCAGGATGTTCCGTGAGAATGACAATCCCGAAGCACCATAGCAGAAGCATAGAATTTTGCCCGGTGCTGTTCGAAGACAGGATATGGCACAGTTCGCGGTCAAACTGCTGCCGTACATCGGCTGGTAACAAGCCGAGGAGCTTTCGGCAGGCTCCATTGAGCATTCTGTATACCGGCTGAAGCGTTTTGACGTCTGGATCTTGCGTCGCTCGCTCAAAGGCGCGTAGGAAAAATGATTGCGCAGCTGCAGGCAAAGATATAGATTCGGGGAGGGGTCTTGACAGAAGTTGCACACATAAATCAAGGTACTAGACCAATTAGTGCGGGCCAACAGAATGAAGCATCAGACTCACATCGTCAAAGTCATGTTGCGAAGAATTTGCTTTTGTTAGTAGAGCGTTGAGAAGTCCTGGACTGTGTAAGAAGAGTTTCTCAGTGAATTCGGGTGAACAACCTGTGGGTATCGTCAGCTACTGCTTTTTGGACCATACAACGTAGGAATGCACGCACAGAGAAGTTGCAAGATGTGCGAAGTGTGGGCCCACAGTGGTAGCGCATCGCACATGAGCGTGGCAAGTCGTAACACTGCGCATGGTGGCAGATCATGGATGCAGGACCGTATAGTGACTTCATCGGCACGGGTAAGAAGATCCTCCAATTTCTATGTCGTCTGCACGTCAGCCTCCACAGAATCACCACCTATGCACCAAGCCGTTGTCCGTCTCGCTCGACGTACAACACTAGGGCAATGGGGGCTAGTACTCACAGACAAAGAGGCTGGGTATGGACATTCAATTATTCTAGTCAGTTCTGACGATAAATGTGATCTGACGTCCATCTCTATTTCATGTTCGGTTGAGCCAAGTGGTGTGGAGTAGGGCCGGATGCTCGTGGTGGAGCGTGGGTTGAATTTGTTTGGGAACGCGTGGCTGCTCTGGCAACCGGACCGCCGAAGAAACGCCAACCGGATGCGCTCTCACGTGCCCTTCAACCCCACCTGCAACCCCAGACCAGACCCTGCCGACCCACTCAGCTCCATTATTTGGTGACGAAAGGTCACACAGAGGCCTTTGCTACGAAAGGGGGCTACAGGCCTCTCGTGCCTCTCTGCTCCTCCAGAGCAGATATTGTCAGAATTTGTGATAGACGAGGTATCTTTGACGGTTGCGGCATATTTTACTCTCAGTAAGAGAAGACCTCCTAAGTCTGTTATATTAAATAACCTCTAATAGTAGAAGATTACGGAGGTGTCTAAATTTTCCAGCAACCCGAAAGGTTTTGTCGCTTCGTTCGTTCATTCGTCCTTGGCCCATGGGTCTTGCTCGGGCGCTTCGTTACTTCAGGCAGCTGCTTATGTGGAGGCGTGCACCTTCACAGCACAACGCTTGATCAGGCCGCAACAACTCCGGAAGACGTCTGATTCTAGTGCAATCGCGTGTCGTCACTGCGGCATTTGAACTAAGCTCGACGCCCTTGTCATCGATCACGAAAGCCCTAAGATCATATCAAGGTAGCAGGGTGGGATGATTGAACCGAAGGATGCGAAGCACTCAACGACCCCCACGCATCTTCTCAGCCCCTCCTGCGTCGCACACAAGGGTTCCGTCCTGCTATGAGTAATTGTATCACTAGCGTCCAATGATCGTTGACGACTGTATTCCATGCATCCCGAGTAATGCTTCGTTGCATTTGCAGGAATGTCCAGAGCCTCAAGCTCTTGAGGATCATCGACGGCTCAAGCTAGCGGGCAACTCCGCCCGTCTGGTCATCTCTCAGCTCAAGACCAGCACTTGTGAGGTGCGCAATATCTCCAAACTGGAAGATGTTGGAGCTCGTATACAACCGTTGAGGATTCAAGGTGCCTCGTCACGCGACGTCGATACGTCGGAACGCTACCCGGCTTCTCGTTCACTATGCATACAACTGTTGCCGCCCTGGTCTTCTGTTAGGTTGTGTCATCTTCCCCGCAATTACCTTGCTTATGACAGGCCCTTGCAGATGACCATGCAGCACATCCATCTCACGTTGCTGCATGGGCCGAAAATTTGTGAAGAATGATCAACTTACCGTCAGCCTCCACGCCTAGAAGCCTTTAAGGCTATGCCTGTGCGCCGCTGCTCGAGATGCTGCCCGCAGGATGAGTAGCGCCAACAGCGTCTAGTCCGAGGCTACCCCCGCCTACGACCCGCTTCTTGGAGGCTCTCCTACCCTTGAAGTGCTGCCGAGTCCCAGAGTAGTGCCTGACTTCATGCCTCTATTCCCGTAGCTACGAGCTTGCCGCGTGACCCTCTGGGCGTTGCAAGTGGACATTACCTTTAAGTCTCACCAGCTGCCGCATAGCTTACCCAAACCTCACTCGTTGCTCTTCACTAACGGCGTCATGTTTCGTCAACCAATCGTGAGACTAAGACGGTCTGTCTTGCCTTTGTTCAACGGTGGTAGGTTTCGGGCAAAGACATCTGGACCCCGTAAAATTGTTAGACCAGGACCCGAACACGTGCAAAAAGCGTTCTGGACAACAGGAAGAGTATTATTATTCTCGGCTTTCACCGGCACAGCGACATATCTGTATGGCATCAATGATGCCTCCAAACTACAGCTTCCCTGGATGAAATCTATAGGCCCACAGTATGCTTCAAAGAAAGTGATGGAGAAGGCAGGTCAACTAGGCGTCACTGTAAACTGCGTTCTTACTAACAGCATTAAGGCTATTGAGGAACTGCGAGTAGCTTTCGGTGAAGATGCAATCAGCACCGATGACGAAGATCTCCACAGACATGGCTACTCGGAATGGTCTTCCGTCAACATCGATCAACTTCCGGTCGCAGTCGCGTATCCCAAATCTACAGAAGAGGTGTCGCAGCTTGCGAAAGTATGCCACAAGTACAGAATTCCTATGAGTATGTACAGGCCTGCGGAGTCCGCACCCAAAACTGACATGCTACAGTTCCATACTCTGGTGGATCAAGTCTTGAGGCCAACTTCGCTGCACCTTTCGGTGGGATGAGCATTGACTTCACGTTCATGGATCAGGTTCTAACACTCCACGCCGATGAGTAAGCTCGCAGTCTTAAAATATTGAAGTCGTTATGAGGCTGATGTGAGACCCGCAGCATGGACGTCGTCGTGCAACCTTCCGTCCCTTGGATGAGCCTGAACGACCAAATCAAAGACTCTGGATTGTTTTTTCCCGTGGACCCGGGCCCATCTGTAAGTGTCACGTCTTGAGGGTGTCGGATTGTGCCCGGCACCACCGGAATCGGTAATCCGCATTTCGCTAATCTCCAAAACAGGCCAGGATTGGTGGCATGGTTGGCACAAGCTGCAGGTAACAACTTCAGGAAACTTAGATGATGCTTTGACTGATTCGCAGATAGTGGGACCAATGCAGTCCGATATGGCACAATGAAGGAATGGGTCATCAACCTGACGGTTGTTCTCGCTGATGGCACAGTAATCAAGACGAGGAAGCGGCCAAGGCAAGTATAAATCGCGTCCCCAAACTAGATAGATCTAACATCATACAGGAAGTCCTCAGCCGGCTACAACCTCACAAATCTCTTTGTTGGATCTGAAGGCACGTTAGGTATCGTGACTGAGATCACATTGAAACTGGCGGTCATTCCACAGGAAACCAGCGTTGCTGTTGTTACGTTTCCCACGATCCGTGATGCTGCCGCAGCGGCTTCCAGAGTTCTCAGAGCAGGTATACCCGTTGCTGCAATGGAGATAATGGACGATGTGCAGATGGGTGTGATCAACAAAGCTGGTTCAACGAACAGGAAGTGGAAAGAGGTTCCGACCATGTTTTTCAAGTAAGTATTGAAAGCCTCTAGACATTGTTGTAGCGGGCACTGACTGTTGCATCCAGATTCTCAGGCACCAAAGCAGGAGTGAGTTGCATGATTGTGTGGTAACGCGTGGAGGCTGACCAGCGCAGGTGCGAGAAAACATCCAACTAGTAAAGGACATATCCAGAAAGCACAAGAGCGGCGATTTTGAATTCGCAAAAAACGCTGAAGAAGGCAAGCAGCTTTGGTCGGCGCGTAAAGAGTCTCTATGGAGCATGATGGCGATACGCAGAGAAGGCGACGAAGTCTGGTCAACCGACGTTGCTGTTCCAATTTCAAGATTACCGGACATCATAGGTATATGAAACGAAATAACACTAGACATAGAGTCGTATACTGACTGAGTACAGAGATCTCAAAGAAGGAGATGGATGATCTTGGTTTGTTTGCCAGTATCTTGGGCCACATTGGAGACGGCAATTTTCACGAGAGCATTATGTACAACAGCAAGGACCCGAAAGAGCGCGCAGCTGTCGAGAAATGTGTTCACGATATGGTTGAGCGCGCACTGGAGATGGAAGGTACCTGCACCGGCGAGCACGGCATCGGTTTGGGCAAGAAAGCCTCGCTGCAAAAGGAACTCGGATTTGACACGATCAATGTCATGAGAAGCATCAAGGGCGCGCTGGATCCGTATTGGCTTATGAACCCCGGGAAGATCATGGATGCAAAGGCATGAGCAGGGGTATGAAGTGCAGCATTCCTTCGGCGTATTGCAAAATCGCATGGGAGGATGTCTGAATTTACGGCATTTGTGCAATAGGTACGTTGCTATGCACACATTTGCGGCAGCATCCTGTGGTTTTCCAAACATGTGTGCAATGCCGATGCTCCAATAGCAGTGTTGGTGAAATTTGCTAAGCACCTCCGCGATCGGTGATTCACAAACCCCCGCGTCATACCTAGCATTAAAGTTAGCAACTCTCTGGTCGACTCAATCCCACCATATCTCTACCAGCAATTATGGACGCAGTCAGTTTTACGTCAAAGAACAGCGAGTTCCCTAAGAAGAAGTGCGGTATGTCAATTGCTCAATTGCAATCATGCTTTACTGACAGCTGCAGGTGTGCTCGGCGCCACGGGCTCCGTCGGCCAGCGCTTCATGCTGCTGTTGCAGCTTCACCCACACTTCGTCCTGCACGCTGTTGGTGCTTCTGAGCGCTCAGCCGGCAAGAAGTACAGGGATGCCGTCAAGTGGAAGCAGGCGCTGCCTTTCTCGGACCGCATTGGCGACTTGATCGTAAAGAAGTGCACAGCAGAGGAGTTTGCAGATTGCGACTTGGTCTTCTCTGGGCTCGACAGTGATGTCGCGGGCGAAGTCGGTACGTACTTTCAGCGCATATATTTATCCGAGCCTAACAGCATGCAGAGATGTCCTTCCTGAAGGCCAACCTCGCCGTCTTCTCCAACGCAAAGAACTACCGCCGCGACCCTCTTGTTCCCCTCGTCGTCCCCACCGTCAACCTCGCACATCTTGACGTGATCAAGCATCAGAGAGAACACCACAAGCTGCAGAAGGGCTTCCTTGTCTGCAACTCGAACTGTGCCGTCATCGGAATTGTTATTCCCTTCGCAGCGCTCGAGAGATTCGGTCCTATTGACCAAGTCTCCGTCGTCACAATGCAGGCTGTGTCTGGTGCAGGATACCCGGGTGTGAGCAGTATGGACATTATCGACAACGTCGTGCCTTTCATTTCGGGCGAGGAGGACAAGCTTGAGTCCGAGGCATCCAAGATTCTGGGTAGCGTCAACGACGAAGTCACTGGGTTTGTCGACAGGCCCATGAAGATCTCTGCGGCGTGCAATCGCGTGCCTGTACTCGATGGACACACAGCATGCGTCTCGCTGCGCTTCCAGCGCCGCCCAGCGCCGAGCGCGGAGGAAGTCAAGCAGGCGATGCGCGAGTATGTGTCCGAGGTGCAAAAGCTGGGTGCTCCCTCAGCGCCTGAGAAGGCTATTGTGGTCATGGAACAGCCAGACAGGCCTCAGCCTAGGTTGGACAGGGAGACAGATCGGGGATACGCCGTCAGTGTCGGTCGTGTGCGCGAGGATGAGTCGGGTATCTTCGACATCAAGTTCGTTGCACTCAGTCACAACACTGTAATCGGCGCCGCTGGCTCGTCGATCTTGAATGCAGAGGCTGCAGTTCTGAAGGGCTTTGCTTAGACTAGAGTTGCAGGAGCAGTACGACCGAAATGATAACAAGATACCAATTGCTGAACGGTCTTCGACTTACGTCCCAATTCGGAGCGTGGATGTGCCTGGCCCCTAATGCGCAACAACCAACTTCCATCAAAGCTGAACATTTGACCGAATTGAAGTTCGATTCCAGCACTCGAGTCAATGCTCGCAAGTGACGCGCGAGCCACGAGCGACCCACCTCGGCGGACCGGGACGGAACAACCATCGGCCATCCACGATTTTCACGCTAGGGCTAAGCGACCGTCGAAATTGAAAGTGCCTCGCAGTGCAGCGGACTTCTCTTCGATAGGATCCCTCATCGTCGACGACTAACCTCACAGAACAGTCAAAATGGCCCGTGGACCCAAGAAGCACCAGAAGCGCCTCAGCGCGCCCAAGCACTGGCTTTTGGACAAACTGTCCGGTATGCCCGTCGCCCGCCGTTGCATCGCTCGGATGCGCAGCCTTCAGCGCGACAGTTCTGACATGTACCAGGCGCCTACGCTCCCAAGGCCTCCGCTGGTCCTCACAAGACCCGCGACTCGCTGCCCCTCATCATCTTCCTCCGTAACCGCCTAAAGTACGCGCTTAACGGTAACGAGGTCAAGGCCATCGTTAAGCAGCGCCTGATCAAGGTCGATGGCAAGGTCCGCACCGATGCCACCTTCCCCACCGGCCTCATGGATGTCATCTCCATCGAGAAGACTGGCGAGAACTTCCGCCTGATCTACGATACCAAGGGCCGTTTCACCGTCCACCGCATCACCGCTGAGGAGGCACAATACAAGCTCGGCAAGGTCAAGCGTGTCCAGCTTGGCAAGGGCGGCATTCCCTACTTGGTTACGCACGATGCGCGAACGTAAGTTCCCGCTCTATCAGCCGTTGGACCAAGTTTGGGCTAGGTGCTGAGCAGGGAAACCTCTCGCACCCGGCATCCGACCAGGATCTGGCGATGTCTTGTGATATCATGCTAACAAACTGTGTAGCATCCGTTACCCCGACCCCGCCATCAAGGTCAACGACACTGTCAAGGTTGACCTTGCCACTGGCAAGATCGAGGACTTCATCAAGTTCGACACTGGTGTCATCGTCATGGTCACCGGTGGTCGCAACATGGGTCGTGTTGGTGTCATCACCCACCGTGAGCGTCACGATGGTGGTTTCAACATTGTCCACCTGAAGGATGCCGTTGACAACGAGTTCACTACTCGTGAGTCCAACGTTATCGTCATTGGCCAGGAGAAGCCCTGGATCTCCCTCCCCAAGGGCAAGGGTGTCAAGCTCTCCATCGCTGAGGAGCGTGACCGCCGCAGGGCGTACGCTATTGGCGGCCAGTAAGTGTGAAAAGATAGAAGAAGCAGCAGGTTAGCATACGAAGCTCAGACATGACCGTATGAGAAGCCTTGCGGGGCTGGGATACCAAAAGCCAGGCGTTTGGTTGCTCGTGGGAAGTCACGGGGCTGGGGTCATTCTGCATATCATACGAATACCAAATGAGAAACAAATGAACACTTCAATTGCCCTGCTTACCTCATCGATAAGACTCGAGCTATATGTGTGTCTGTGGCGCTTTATCTGCTAGACTCGGTGCGACGCGCCTGATGCCTGACGAGTCGGATGTATGGGCAGGGGATGCCGACGGATACGCTATCTGTTCCTGACACGAAGAGATTGAGATGTCCGCCGGCGGGTGCACGCGACGGGACTTGAGGCTCTTAACCAGGGCGCATAACGTTTCAGAAAATCGGAGACCGCTGCCAATGGCAGTGCTGTAGCACGAGGCAGAGAGTCGGAGGCAAAAAGCATGCGCTTGCTTCAGCCTTGAAAGCCGATTTTCTGAGCCTGGCCGCAGCAGCAGGAAAGGTACCAAGGGGCTAGAGACGGCAGGGCAAAGACTTGAATTTGGCGAGCATGCCATTGGCAGGGGCCGTGCCTCTCCTGACGGCCGTGCAACGCGCGCGAAATGAGACGCGGGCAAACAGTGAGGATCTGGTGGGAACGGCGGCCATATCGAGCTTGGTCGCATGTATTGGTGGATTGCCGAACGGTCCTGCAGTGGACGTTGAGGTCGCGGTTGGAACCCTCCCACGCGCCTGTCTGTCGTAAACTCTATTCCCCTCGGTAGCCTTTCCAGACGGCGTCGCTCAACGCTCGCTGCGCATCTAGTCTTAATTGGTCGGCTCGCCGTTGTCCGTGCCGTAGCTGCAGAGGTGCTTCACGACGCTATTCCTGCTGCTGGACCACTGCGCTGCATCCACTGCGCCCACTTTCCCCGCGCGATTGCCAACCTCCACCGCGCCATCCTGCGGATCCAAAGCGTGTGCGCGCTGCCAGACGTCGCCGCCCACGTTGTTGCGCTCCACGCCCCTGTCAGCGTCGATGTGGTAGAGCCAAAGAACACAAGCATCGCCCTGTCCCACTCCAGTCGTCACTCGTTTCACGCTGCCGCACCGCGCGCGGGCCGTCCTCAACACCAGCGCGCAGCACCGCCCCGTCTGCGTAGCACTTCCCGGCCTGCCGCCAACGACGAGCGCAGCGCTCCCGCCACTCGCTCACCACCACCACCGAGCCGGTCTCGTGCGCGCCGGATTGGACTCCAGCGCAACCGCACATCTGTAGCCCACCATGCTTCGCCCGGCGACGCCCTTATCCATATTGTTCTTCGTCGCCTTCTGTCTGCTGCTGCTGTCGACCATTTCCACGCCCATCATTCCGGCGATTCCTATCGCGACCTACCGCAACATCAACTTTGGCGTGCTGGGTTACTGTCCCAATGGCGGCAGCTGCAAAGGGCCCATGATTGGCTATGATACTGGTATGCTGTCCGAATCAAACGTGCAATATATACGACTGACCGTGACGTACAGAGACGCTGTTCCAGGACCAACCAGACACGGATTTCTCCCTACCCGGTAAATCGCGCCATGCCCTCTCCTCTATTCTCATCGTGCATCCCATTGCGGCCCTCATGACGCTGATATGCTTCGGCCTCGCCGTCGCGGCGCACTTCCACTCGCCCGCCCACTCGCCACGCTACCTGCTTGCGCTGCTCATCTTCACCTTTCCTACGCTTCTGGTCTCGCTGCTGGCTTTCCTGGTCGACATTCTGCTCTTCGTGCCACACGTGGCTTGGGGAGGATGGATTGTGTTGGCAGCCACCGTCATTATTGTTGCCAGTGGCATTGTAACATGTGCCATGCGCAGGACCTTGGTCAGTCGCAAGGCGCGGAAGAGGCGCATTGCAGAGAACGATGACATGAACGGTCAGGCGTACTACGGAAACCGCCCCAGCGACGCCAGAGTGACCTCAGAGTTTCCCAAGGCCGAATCCCCGCCACCAATGTCGAACGATACCATGTCATCCGGGGCAAAAGAAAACGAGTATGCATCGTTCGACCTTCAAAAGCAGCATTCGCCCGAGGACATGACACCACTCAACCAAAGAAACCCTTCCCTGAAGACAAACAGCAGTGCCGGTAGAGATGGCTCTGACGCTATGGTTGCACCAATGCGTGGCCCCTCGGGCCGTGGACGACAGCCTGTAGACCAGTACGGAAACCCCATCCCGCCAATGCCCCAGGATCAGTACATGATGAACGCCGGCCCAGGCGGCCCAGGACGCGGTAGGGGAGGTCCAATGAGAGGTCGAGGTGGATACCCACCGCGAGGAGCTCCCTATGGCGTCCCTGGAAGAGGAGGATTCGGTGGTCCACGAGGAGGTATGCGCGGTCCTCCTCCACCAGGCTGGCAAGGTGGACGCGGCGGACCTATGCGTGGTGGACCCGGTGGCATGGGTCCCGGTCCAATGGGACGAGGTGCTCCTCCACCAGGCTACAACAACAATAGCAATAATTACAGTCAAGGGCCATATGGTCAAGGTCCTCCGCCACGCGAACAGTCGCCATACGGTCAAGGGAACAGGGGTGTATCTCCCCAGCCTCCCCTGGCGATAGGACAAGCTATTGAGATGGATTCACGTACTGGTACACCACCAGTCAACCAAAACCAGGATCAGGGTCAGAACTTTGGTCTAAGGGAAAGTGATGGAGATGTACAGGGCATGCTGGCGCTTCAGCAAGGAGGCTTCCCAGCAAGCTCGCCTCAACGCAGGCCGTCCGACTTGATGAGCCCGACCAGCTCATACTCTCAAGAGTAAGTTGTACACTGGACCGACTTTGACACGCAACTGACTCTTTATAGGGAGCTTCTTCCACAACAACAGCAACAGCAGCAATACCAGCCCGTTCGCTCTAACTGGAACCAGGAGCGGCAACCTTCAGACAACTCCAAGAACAGCGCCCACAGTCGTGGTCTCTCCCCGATCATGGACTCTCCCGTTGAAATGCCCGCTCAACTAGCACAAGTCGGCGGATTCCCACCTCCAAGGCACCACCACACCAACAGCCTCGATCGCAGCTCTGATTATTACGAGGACGTTGACCCGAAATTCGCCGAACCCGCACGCCCAATGCCTCCACCGATTCCTTCTTCCTTGATGCCCGGCGGCATGCCCGGCGCATACAACTCGAACCCGAATCTACTAAATCCGCCTGCACAGCTCAGCGACCCCAACCTCCCAAGGACATCAAGCTACGAAGACTTGCCTGACGGATCGCGCAGCCCTGCTGCTAGTGAAGCTTCACACTTCACATCTGTTTCGCAACGCCCCGTAAACCCCGCATGGCGTCCGGAAATGGGCGCTCCAGCCGGCAACTTCGGACCCTACAACGGCCGTGGCGGCGGCAGGCCTATGAGACCCGAGGACGTAATTCTCGATGCGAACGCGGCAAATCCCGATTTCGCTATTCCGGGCGTCGGTATGGGCCGAGGACGAGGGAGAGGCGGTTTCAGAGGCGGAAGAGGCAGAGGTATGCAACCCCCAGCCACGATGATGGGGCCACAGAATGGACTACAGGCACCGGGGCGATACCCGGGAGCCAACGCCATGTAGGGATGGCACAGCTTGAGATTTGCAGAAGATGAATGGAGTGTTGCTCCTTGATTCATCTGCATGTTCTACCGTGCCGCGATTTCCTTCTGGATATACCCCTGTCCTTTCACCTTTTTGCTCGTCCGCTTCGACTTCTTCCTGGATCAAGTTCTACTTCGACTTTGTACAAAAGGTTTTCTCACGCCCAGCAAAAGCATTTGCATTGTCTGGCCTTTCAACATTTCGAGATACCTTAATGTCTTGTTCAGCGCGCCGACATTATCTTTTTTTTGGAGTGGCGCCTGTTCTCCTTATCCTCCCTTTCTTATGACTTTTACGTCAACTCAAGCTCCTCCGCATTGCGGTGAGCTATCTTTTCATACGCACACATACTGGCCCTGCATTCTAGACGTTTTCATTCAGAGGGTCGGCCAATCATTCTTTTTCATGTCACGAACATATATCTCCTTACGTAGCGACTCATGGGCGGTCTTCTTGCCATCCACCAAGATTGGAGGATATATGTACATACAGACCGAGCGCGGACGACGGCGTTGAGAGCTCTGGGGATGTACCAAGAAAGATGTGTCTGTACAGAAATACAAATACAGCAAAAAACTTAAACATTGATCCCATTGTGCATGCACCAACATTGCAGTTGCTTCTGAACGGCTCGGACATAATGGCTTTATAACCGGACGGAGCAACTACCCCACCAGTACCCCACTGTCCAGCCTGTCGTCATCCTCGTAGTTGATTCGCAATGTCTCGGAGTGTTCCTTCTCTTCACCGAGTTACACAAATCTCAAGGCAGCTTCAAAGAACCCAAAAACCACTGTCCACGATGCCTCTCATCGCACAGAACGTAAATGACCGCATCATCCTGGGATTGATGACCTTTGGTAGTCATTCCCCACTTACCCCACCAGAGCTACAGCTAAGCTTCCACAGGTCCTGATGCATCCTCTGGAGCTCGCATCACAAACTTTGACGAGTTTACGAAGCACCTCGACTACTTCCAGTCGAAAGGCTACGATGAAATTGATACAGCTCGCATGTATGTTGGAGGCAAGCAGGAGGCCTGGACCCGCGACGCGAAGTGGAAAGACCGAGGCTTCACTCTTGCAACCAAGGTGTACCCTTACCAGGCCGGAGTTCACGAGCCCGAGTCCCTGAAAGAGCACTTCAGCACCTCCTTGAAAGAGCTGGGCTCAGAGGTCGTCGATATTTTCTACCTGCATGCACCCGACCGATCGGTGCCTTTCGAGAAGACGCTGGAGGCGGTCAACGAGCTGCACAAGGCGGGCAAGTTCGTCCAGCTTGGCCTCAGCAACTTCGCCGCGTGGGAGGTTGCAGAGGTGTGGAACATCGCGAACGAGCGGGGCTGGGTGAAGCCAACCATCTACCAGGCCATGTACAACGCCATCAGTAAGCTCTATACCACGGCCGGGGGTACACAGAATGACTAACGCTTCCAGCTCGTGCCATCGAACCAGAGCTCATCCCGCTGTGCCGCAAGTACAAGATCGATATCGTCGTCTACAACCCCCTCGCTGGCGGTCTGTTCTCGGGCAAGATCAAGTCAGCCGACATTGTCCCGGAAGATGGCCGCTTCGGTAAGGAGGCCGACCGGGTCGGAACCATGTACCGCGAACGGTACTTCAAGAAGGGTACTTTCGATGCGTTGAAGATTGTGGAGGCGGCGGCGCAGAAGCACAACCTGACTCTGCTGGAGATCGCGCTGCGTTGGACGGTCCACCACTCGGAGCTCAAGACGAGGGTCAAGGGGGGCAATGATGGTGTCATTATTGGTGTGAGCAGCTTCAGTCAGTTGGAGGGGAATCTGGCGGATCTCGAGAAGGGTCCACTGCCGGAAGATGTTGTCCAGTCGTTGGACGAGGCGTGGCTTGTGGCGAAGGCGACAGCGCCGACTTATTTCCGCTAAGTCATGTACTTTCTGGACTCAGGTATATTCAATATCAAAATCTGATATCGACCCAGTCTTTGCACCCCATTTGCCGATATCATGGGCTCACACTTCAAGTTGCATCTATCTACGTGCTCTCTCTCGTGGCATGATTTCAAGAGCTCTCAATCAACCAGACCATAGGCAAGTCCTCTAAAATTGGGACCTCTGACATTGGGACGTATGTTGGTTCCAGACTCAATCGACTCTCTAGACTATATGTAGCCAACGAAGTTCGACATTCATTTTTGTTTGAGACCGATATATTCGACGTAGACTGTCGTATTTTCTCGGACCAGCAGTCCCTTTCAGAATTCACACCCTGTTCTCTGGTCCGGAAGAAGCTTCAGAGCATCTCTGCAAACGAAATTTATGGTGCTGATAAATTCTGGGAGTCGACCACCGAGTCCAGGATCAGTGACCTCTCTGCCGCTGGCGCAAGACCCTTGGAGTCAGCAAGTCGCCTTTCCAACTCATCATGTGTCTCCACACTCAACGCAAGTACCTCCCGTCTCTGGTTGATGTCTTCATCACAACTCCAGACTGATATATCTTCCGGTCTGGGTCCTATACCCTTGAATCCAGGATTTGATGTCAGTGAAGTCAACGACACCAATGTTGCTTATCATTCTATCCTTCCTGATTCAGATACTATTTCACATCAAGGCTGAAAGTTGTAATGGAACCCTCCCTTTCTTTCTCTGGGTGCCCCTGCAGAATCACACATCGTTTGTATCTGCAATATTCAGTGCAGCCACTACAATCGGCAACGCATGACACCAAGTATCCATATCTATAGTGCATATCACGTTTGTATTCCGCTAGAATGATGTTGGATGAGCATTGTAGAATAGCAGCTTTCTCTTCGATATTTGCTATCTCCAAGGATCAAGCATCTGCGTTGTACTTGTGAATAAATCTGGCGAGGCTGCTTGACCACTGGTCTGCGTTGAAGTAGACAGTGCATCTTGAAGTCCAATCGACACATACACAATTTTTTTCTTTGTCATACTTTCATGCACATGTTGTATTTGTCCAGTTCAGTAGCGAGCCAGAGTAATCACAACCAAAATCTCTGTCACGAAATATTGCTGTGCCACCGTGTTCGATATTAGCTTGTACGTGAGGAGATTTCAACTAGCGTTACCCTTCCCTAATCTTTGCATACCGTGGAAGAAGGATGAGGTCGCTGTGGATGCGCAACGATCGATGGTCGTTTATCCGGTGTTGTCTCTCAGGCAGGGTTTTCTTTCAGTTTTCCCCTCAAGATCTTTTCATCACCGACCATGTTACCATCTCATTTTCGTGTCAATGGGAGGCTGACTAGGCCAATCAAATAGTAAACGTTGCCAAGATTACGTACTCTTTGCAAAGCAAATTGCGATTGCTAACTGGGGAAGACCCTTCAAGGGTACAATCCCAGAAATGTGTCGAACCCTGTACCACAAGTGCACTGTCCCTCGAAGTAGCTCCTGATCGCAGTCCCATGTTCGATCTTGCCTGGTGAGTTGCAGCTCGAAGTATAAAGGAAGAAGGTGCAGCGCTCTTACTTGTATTTCGATCAAGACCTTCCAACAGTTGAGAAGTCAACGTTCCTCAACACATATTGGACACATCATCTCAACCTTCAACACTTACTTCCCTTCAAATACATCCTTCCATCCCACATGGCCAACTCAAAGAGAGGGTTCACCTCGTTGGTGTTCCTCTTGGTATTGTTCTCGTTGCTCTCCTTCACCTCGGCCTTCCTGACAAGATCTCTACCGGATGGTCGACGCATACGCATTCCAGGTCTCAAGCCAAACGCTCACGGTAACATTTCAACTTCCACTGCTGTCAATATCAATATCGCTCGAAGAGGTCGTCGCCCCGGGCAGAAGCCTGGTTCTGCATCTAGCGTTTCTCAAGGCCCCAAAGTACCGGTGACTGGGAAAATGTGTGGGCTTGACACTCCCACGGCAGAATCTTGGGACGCAAATCGGGAAGCTATCTGCGAATGGTATTTGAAACAACACGACGATTACATCATGGATCCGAATTACGCCAATGTGATGCGCTTCCTCAGAGATCGTTGGGCACCCAATCTTGTCGGCAGTAGTCTTCTGTGTGACGGAGTTGGAGCATGCAGTATCGGGACCTGCAGAAATCTTGTTGATGACAACGGTACCAATGGCCATGACCGGCAAATGGCTCTTTATGTTTTCGAACAGGCGGCCAACGCCGTCCACCTCCTGCAAGCGACAGGGAAACAATTCACTGACTCGATGAATACCGCCATGCACAATTCTGACAGCGTCGTTGATGAATTCAGCAGCGCGCCACGGATCGAAAAAGCCTTGAAGGATGAAGCCAAAAAGGAAAAGATAGCCTTGGCAATTGTACAGTCGCTAGGTCTTGCTATCTCCGGCGGGTTCGGCTTCGCACCTAAAATGGTATCAGCTTCTGTTGGCTTAGTGGTAAGAAAAGCTCTCACCGAATTCACGATCCGACTACTAATCAGCGGCCTTTAGGTCAACACCTACATCAGTGTCACGACACTAGTAAACGAGTTCCGTCCATCAGACGACTTTGTTGACGATCTGAAGGACGACTTTCGCATGGATCTCGGCACAGTACTTGAAATGACCAAGAAAAGTATCCAAATGGATTTGCACGACCTTTGGGTTGGAGCTCCGGACCACAAGAACCGAACTATCGTCGATCTCATGACTGACAGTGACTTCTTGGAGCCAGATCCCGACTTCATGCCCGAGCTGGGTGCCCATATCGACCGGATTGTCCTAGGCACAGCTATCAATAAGCTGTGGGAATTTGACCGGGCTTACTTCAACGTTGTCGAAAACCCTGGAGGCTGTGAGGCCGACAAAACGACTTATGTTCGTGGACCATTCCAATATCTCGTTTGCCTACCAGAGCACCCCGGGCTAGGTTTCTGGCTGTACTCGCTCGATCGCGCTGAAGAAAACGACTCTTGGGGGGATGATGCAGCCCAGGTCCGTGGTCCTACGGGGTTTTATAAACTTAGTGGTCGGGAAGAGTACTTCGAAATTACTCTCCAGGGCGTTGCGCGATCCTCCTACTGGGCTTATAAGAACAAACTAGTCAAGATGAAGGGCGATAAGATCGACTTTGACCCTCTGAGCGTTGACCAGCAAATTCGAAGAGCGAAGGTAGAGGATCGTATGTTGGGTGTGTTCACAGTCCCCGTTTGCTTCAATCCAGGCGGCGAGTCCATCTCAGGAGTACTGGACAAAAGGGGCCAAAACTACCCTTGTTTGTGCGGCAACTTCGCCTGGACGGGTGGTTATACCGAGGGGCTAGACGAAAGAATAACATTCCTCACTTCCTCTGGATTCATGTTCTCAGAAGACACAGAGTATTGGTGCAGGAGTAAGAATAAGTGTGAGGTCGACGAGACTGTTGATCTCCGCAAGAAGCTCAATGCCGCGCGCAGGCCGGGAGACCCGCCAATTCCGGACAGAATCCAGCACCCTTTCAAGAAGTGCAATAAGCGTCGTGACTCGAAGAAGCATCCAGGCTGGCCAATGAATGACATGACGGGTCGTACTTAGCGTGACCTTACGGCTAAGATAGGTGATAACTTTTCTTTCATAGGTCGAGAGCCTTGGCCTAATTCGAGACATTCTTCACTATATACCCCTGTTATCCATGCTTCTGTATCAATAGAGTTGTAGCCTAGACAGCCCGTTTTAAAAAATGTGAAAATGGTTTAAGGGCCGTTGCTAGCTTTGAGGAATGAGATTGAACTTACAAGTGTCTTCAGATCTAGGTTGTATATATCTGCGAAGCTCAATCACACACCCGGACACAACGAACGTAATCAGCATGCAGGCTTTGGACAGTGCCGGATCCTCCTTGCACCCGCTCCTTTCATTTAATCTGGTTTTCAAGCTGGAGTCTTCCCCAGTTCTGAATGACCTTCATATCTGCTAGAGTTTCGCCGCCCTCAACTGCGTGCTATCCACTCTGTTCCCTTCGTCATCCTGCTCCGCCACCCTTAGATCAGGCAAACTATTCGGCATGATTCTCCTCGGCTTCGCACCCGGCACCAGATTGTACTTCTCAAAGTCATCATCCTTGTACCCCTTCTTCCTCAGAAAGTCCTCGTCAAGCTCCAACGCGCCGTTCACCTCGGAAGGGTCGCTTCTCAGCATCTCGAGGATGGCGTCCGAGAAGATCGTAGGCTTCCTCAAATCATGCAGACTATCGGCCTCAACGTTCTGCGTGGCAGCCGACTCAATCGCAACAGCAGGCCAGATACTCGTGACAGCCATGTCTTTCTTGCCCTCGCGCTCCCAGTCCATCGCTAGCCCCTTGGTCAGCACGGACATGCCGACCTTGCCCATGGCGTACGCTGTCTTGCCGCGGAAGAACCGCGAGTAGATCGGCGGGCTGACGATGATGATGCGCCCTTTCCACCCCTGCTTCTCGAATTCTGGCAGCACGGCTTGCACCGCGGCGTACAGGCCCTCGATGTTGACTTGCTGCATGAGCTGGAAGCGTTTGAAGGGCGTCTTGGCGACGCTGGACCACCATATTGCGCCGCTGTTGTAGACGAGGACGTCGATATGGCCGTAGCGAGCGACAGTGTCGGCGACGAGTTTGTTGACTGAGGTCGCGTCGCGCGTATCGACGGGGAATGCGGTTGCGGTGCCGCCGGCCTCGTTGATCTCGCGCGCGACGGTGTTGATGGTGGAAGCGGGGGAGTTGGGGTCTGGGGGAAATGGCGATACGGCGGATGCATCTGAGGTGCTTTTGGCTGCTACAACGACTGGAGGTATATCAGCAATGCCTGTGCATCCAGAAACCAGGAAGTCGTACCTGCATAACCCGCCTTTGCGAGATCAATGGCTATCTGCCGGCCTATCCCTCGCGACGCGCCGACGACGAGAGCGACCTGCTTCACTTCTTCCTTCATGGCAACTGATTCCTCTGCAGCCCGTTTGAGCGCACGCACTTCTTGTTACAGGAGTCGGTCACTCTGCTCAATGAGCAAGAGTCTGGAGGCGTAGTTCTCTATGTCGAGCAGACGCGGAATACCTATACTTGGATCCGGAGCGGGGAAGCAAAAGACCCAGATTAGTGATATCAGTCTGAACCAGACATAACCCGCGGTCTCATGTGTCTTGTCTGGTAGGACATGGATGCTAAGCGTGCGCGCATATGCGAACAGGTGCAGCAGTCGTCAATGATTACTGATTGGGAACCGAAGTTGGAGCAACGTTCATACCTCGGCTCCGCACGATCAACGTCTGTGCAGCCCAAGGACTACAAAGACAGAAGACCGACATAAGTAATCAAAAAACAACTGTTTTACATTGGATTGAACTTGCGAATATGTCTGGCAAGATTACGTGCTACCTGGACTGTGGTATGTCAAATCATCGCGAATACAGGGAGCGTCAAGCTAACCCCGTAACATCACAGTGTCACCTTACTCCTACTTTGCCCTGCTTTATTTGGAGAAGAACAGACAAGCACTTGCATCGCACAATGTAGACATCGAGTAAGCTTCCTGAAAGCCTTGCGAATGCCGTGTAAAGTTTCTCAACGCTGTTGTTGAGAATCCATCGAACTAGGTATCGTCGTACGTGCAGTTAAGCTGACCAGGAAAAGCATCATCCCTGTCTTCCTTGGCGGCATCAATGTCGGCAGCGGTATGATCTCCCCTCCCGTGAGCCCAGTACGATCACAGCTAGGGTGTGCTGATATAAATCCTCCGACTAACATGGACAGGCAACAAGCCACCGTGGACGCTCCCCGCAAAGGCCGCGTACAGTGGTTTTGACAGCGCGCGAGCAAAGCGATACTTTGGCGCAGAAGACGTGAAGACCCCGGACTTCTTCCCAATCTTATCACTTCTCCCGCAGCGTGCCTTGGGTTTCGTCAAAGAGACTCACCCGGACCTCTTCATTCCAACCTTCATTGACATATTTGACGCAATGTGGAAGAACGGCAAAGACGTCAGTGTCCCTGAGACGCTTGCCGAGACACTCCAGTCGCGCTTCACCCCTGAGCAAATCAAGATCATACTGTCCTCGGCCAACAGCGCGCCGTTCAAACAGCGACTGAACGACAACACAAAGGAGGCCCTCGACAAGGGTGCGTTCGGATGCCCGTGGTTCTGGGTGCGTAACGCAAAAGGAGCCGAAGAGCCATTCTTTGGAAGTGACAGGTACGCCACAACGCCGTCTCGTTTCTTTTTGATTGCAGTTCAATCTGTGCCAGGTAGAATGTCGGCGCCAGCGGGCGGGGAAAGCGGGTGCCACAGTGCGAACCTAGTTCGCATTGGAGATGTCAGAGCTGTCAAAGGGGATTCCAAAGTTCGGTACGGGACGGGCGCTAACGAAGCACATTAGATTTCACTACATGTGGGAGTATCTTGGGTTACCTTGGAAGGATGTGGAGCTGGAGCCACACACCACGCCGAAAGCGAAGATTTGAGCGGGCGAAAGGGTGGAGAGTCACAGATACTGGAGCTTGTTGGATTGGCGGTTAGACTCGCGAAAAGCCGCAGCGTTAAGTCTCGTACTACGTATACCGGTAGTCTCGTTAGGGCTCAAGGATCACTTACACCCTGAGGTCTGCATTATTTTGGTCATCTGCAGTAGCATCTCGCTGGGATGTGCTGACGATCGTACGTTACTGTCAAATCTGTCCTTAGCAGAGTACTCGAACAATCTGTGCGTGCTACATATGCATGCTGCTGTGTGAATGCCGTTTCGTACTACGAGCGACGACAGGCGTATGCACCCTGCGTGAAGCATGATGCCACCGCACGGGTGCCAGCTTCCCCAGGTTCTTAGCGCACGAGATACTACGCGAGCTGTCGCCTCCTGCCTCTGGCTACCAATCAGGAACTAGATAGCTGACCGGGCTGCGGCTGTGTCTCGCATGCTGTGCCACGAGGCCTCGCTTTGGCCGCACATTACCGCATAGGGCCCGGGGAGTAGCACCACGAACGTTTGCGAATCATTGGTCGGTGTCGACACCACCAACTGTACATATCCGTCTGATACATATCAGCTAGTCGGTACTGACCGAAATCAGTGGGAGGGCTTTTTCTCGAGCTCACGTATGGCTGATAGCAAAACTGACCACAAAACTGATCACGTCATTTCAAAAGACAATTTCAGCGAAATTGAGAGTGGACGCAATGAGGGACGTTCGTTGCCACGGCGCACGGTCTCCAAAATGATCTACAGCGCATATTGATTGCGGGCCAGCCCGTGGGGAGAGTTCCGGGATGACAGCTTACAGGAGCTGCAAGCCACGCTTTCTCAACTCCTCGTTCGCATATGACATTGGGGCAAGCGCCAAGGCACTAATGTGACCACCCGTTCGCTTTGACAGCTCAGCTAGTACAATAGTAGCAAGCTCGGCTCAGGCCCAGGTGGTGGATGATACGTCGACAGGTGCGGTGCTGTTCGCGAGGCTGAGCACGCGGATCTCATACTGCAAGCAAACCAAGTTGATAGCTCGGGACTGCTGTCACTGCTATAGGGTATGCTGGCAGAAGCAATGCTCTTGGGACGTCAGACTTACTGCGCCGAGTTGCACAATCCCAATAGAGAAGCCCAGGGCGTGGTCAATCCAGAACAGTTCCGTGGCAGTACCAGAGGTGCTTGAGTCGAGCATATGTATGGAAGCGTACCTCGTACCTCCGAAGACGCTCAGACCGCTGTGCAAAAGACATGGGATAACCAAACGAGCTCGACATCCTATCGAGTAACGCGCTGTCTTGTACTTAAATGGGGCTTGCCTTGCTGAGTGGTAGCAGAGGTGACCAAGTTCACCTTCCATAGTTCCTGTACTCTTCAAGCCTGGATCTCTGACTTTGCGACTTGCTTCTGCGTTTCCAGTTGTTGTCCAACGGCCCGTCCCACAGAATAGTCCGTGGTCCTATTCGGTTTGTTTGTTCCTGTCCTAGCGGTCATGACCGCCAGACCTGGTTCTAGTCGTTCCGCGCTCTCGTGGCATTGATGGTAGGGCGTCTTCCCAATCCTCGCCAGATTAGCGCACTGACATCCATCGACCCAGCTTCCTGTGCGACTTGACCTCTGCACCATATAGATACCGAGACTGGTCGCAGTAACTCCCCATCTTGCCCGCAGCCACAATCACTCACGGTAGTCCACGATAGTCGAGTCGCGTGGTATTGGACGTGCAGGCCCGCTAGCAGGCAGCCGTGATCTGACCGCTCCTCTGTGAAGCGATCTCATTCAATCGACAAATAGCACCATTTCCCGCTGTTAACGACTGACGTACCTGCGCCCGGTCCTCCACCCCGCCCCACCCACATTCACGCCCAACTTGCGCATCTGTCACTTCGTCCGTGACATTCAAGCGTGGCTCTTGATCCGTTGTTTGGTTCTTGGCTCCCAAGTATACTATAGGGCGCATCTGCTGCACGTGCGATCATGGCTCAGGTACAAGAGTACTTTGAGCCCAGCGCGCTTTATACTTCTCCACCACTGCCTCAATCGCGGTTCCTATACGACATTAGCAGCTCTGCAGCTGTCTGCCCTGCGATGCCAATGGCGCAACCTCTTCTTGTAGGCATTCTAGACACCATGCGAAGTGAAAGCACTGACCGTAGAGCAGCAGAGCCCATTCCGACCGGAGAACCGCATGTCACAGTCGCAGTGGCCGTTACCACAAGGTTCCATGTCGAGCAACACGATCCTTGCAAACAACGCGCTGTGGGAGCAGCATTCGGTATCCACTGACTGCATGGCTTGGACAGGACTGCCTAACGAGCCGCTAACGGATCGATCTATGCTTGCGAATAGTGGCTTGCTATACAGCCACGATGCAAGACTACTCACGTCGGGCAAACCCTTGGATTTCGGGAGACCGTCGTGTTGGAACTCGAGCGGCATGAGCAATATAGCGACCTGTCCCAGTGCAGACATGTTGCTCTCGCCAGTCAGCCCTTTTAGCGACTCGAAGAACACATTCAGCTCCGGGTCAGAATACAGTCCAGCTACCCCTAGCGACAGCGCGGGATACACGATGTCGCCAGGCGCCACGAGTGATCCCTCAGCAGCCGGCCTCATAACACCCACGTCACGACCAGTAGTCCGACAACAGCGGGGAAGCCCCGCTATACAAAGCAGCTATGGGATTCCAATGGCATCTGCAGGACCACTCCACATGGGCAACGCCATCAAGCAGAACCAGGACGTAACAATGTACGCCTCAGAACAGTCGTACGTATATTCGCAGGGCAGCAGCCCAGGTTTGTTGCCATGGCTCCCTCCTGGCTACATGGTCCGGCAGACTGCAGCTGCTCAAGGGTCCCAGCGTCAGCAATCAAGCACACTGCCATTTGACCATCGTCCCAACTCTTTCCTGACTTCGCTCGATTGCAACCCAGGACAATTACAGCTCCAGTGGAGTAACACCGGCAATGTCCCAGCGCAGGATCATCTTCAGACACGGTTCATGACGCCTCTTACGGATGTTGAGAAGGCGAAGCGCGCGAAGGACGACGAGACATTGCTTCAAATGAAGCAAGACGGGTACACATACAAGGATATTCGGAAGGCCCTCGGTCGCAAAGTAGCCGAGTCTACTCTTCGAGGTCGTTACCGTTCCTTGACCAAGCCGAGGAAGGACCGTCTTCGAGCACCAAAGTGGACCGAAACAGATGTACGTTGAACGCGCTCCTTTGAAGATATTCTTACTGACCGAGATCCAGATTGCTTTGCTTAAACGCTACGTGCAGGAGGAGTTCGACAAGCTGGACGTGACGCAGCCTTCCCTCGAGACCAAGCAAAAGCCAAACAAGGTTCCGTGGATGAGAATCGTCGAATTGATCGCAACGACCGGTGGCTCTTACAAATTCGGCGCAGCTACAGCTAAGAAGAAGTGGTATGAAGTCACACGCCCTGCTTCAGGTCGGTCATTGCGTCGACGCAGCCGGGCGTGATCGCTCCATGTTGGGATTCCGTCAGCCTGCGCTGAAGACCTTGGTGCCCTCTCCGTTGGCTTTTGCTTGTTGGATTTAACAGGCAGACGCATGCACGATATGTGTGTTGGGAGATTCGGGATATTTCTAATCATATGTTGTTAATGGCGTTGTCGGTTTTGGATGTTCCGGTCACCACTCCTTCTCTGGCGCTGGTGCTGGGGCTCCTTCTCGAATCTACGTTCCTTCACGTCTGTAACACCATACATCTTGTCTTGCGGTTCCTGTTCTGGTATCTGTTCTGCTCTTTCCCTTGTTCACCCACATCTTGCCTACTGCAGGGCATTAGATAGGCATGGCCGCAAGGCATTGGCGACTCCATTTCGTAGCTCTAGGACTCATTTGAGGTGCATATGGTTATCAGGCGTCGGTTTTCCAATGTAGTGAGATTGATTGAGAGGTGTATGATAATCCTGCTTGTTCTTGTGGTTGTGGTGAGATGTGAATCAAAGAGTGACGTCCTCGAAGGATGCATGGCCCATGCTCCCTCCCCCACAGTTCGAGGCTGTCCCTGCGTCTCATCTGCCTCTCACCCATTGCGCCTTCACATGTCCAAGAAGATGTTACTAGGCCTCACAGAGACACTGCCGAGTTTGGTAGAAGCCAAATTCAGATCAGCAAAGGCATCGTCCAGCCTGCTTTTCTCACCTACAGAGCTCTCGATCATCCGCACATCCACTGGCATTCCAGCAAGTACCTGTGCGACCCACCACCAGCCCTACTTCAGCTAACACATCCACAGTTCCAGCTCCGCTTCTGCCCGTCTCTCGCAAAGAAACCGCTCCCCAAACTCGAAGCGCCGACGCCCACCCCAAAAAAGCACTTTGACCCTTTCGAGACGCCGTCGCCGGACCTGCACATCGTCGACATCCCCACGACAGCGCCAACGCACCTCCTCGTGCTCAACAAATTCCCCATCATCGCCGAACACTTCATCCTCGCAACTAAGGCGAACAAGCAGCAAACACACATCCTGGAACAAGATGATTTGGAGGCGACGCACGCTTGCTTGAAGGCATGGGGCGCGGACAGCAAGCAGAAGCGTTTGTTTGCCTTCTTCAACTCGGGCGATCACAGCGGCGCGAGCCAGCCGCACAGGCATCTGCAGTTTCTGCCTGTGGAGCACATGCGCGACAGCGAGGCGGCGAACGGGTGGAATCTGCTGATCGATTTGATCTTGTCGGGCGAGAGCAGCACAGGTACGTTTGGCATGCAGCGGGCAGATGAGATCAGCAAAGGCCTCTGCTAACGTAAAGGATAGACGCATCTTCTCGGCTCTTGCAAAGCACTAGCATCCCGTTTGCGCATTTTGGGCGAAGGTTCGATGGTGAACCCACCGGACAACAGCTCCTCGGCATCTACGACGAGTTGTATGGTCTGGCGAAGGACGCCGTCAACGACTTCATAGCGAAAAATCCGAGCGCATTCGCTCTGCACCCAACCGAAGGCGGTGACTCGCCCATAAGTTACAACATGGCAATGACTACAGCAGGCATGGTGATCTTGCCTAGACGGTCTGAGGGCACAATGCTCAAGCGCCCTGATGGTAGCGAGATTGGTTTTGTTGCTCTCAACGGCACTACTCTCGGAGGGACAATGATGGTCAAGCACCAAGAAGAGTGGGATGTATTGCGCTCGCAGAGAGGCAAGCTTGAATCCATACTTAATGCCGTGGGCATACCGAAGGATTCCGATACATACAAATCCCGCGTCTAGTTCGCTTGAACGACTTACTGACTGCACGTCGTATCTCATCGAGGATGTCGTTGGTGACGACATGCTTACCTTTTAGACGCCCACAATCAGCAACAGCACCGTGGCCCTAGAACCTGAAGGGAGATTCTCACGTGTGAGACTACCTGGCTTTCGATTTGCACTCACACAGCCCAACTCCTGGTGTCAGCCCAATGTCGATAGCCGAGTACCTCGCAATCAAGAAGGACCAAGGACCCAGTAGCTGTCAGACAAAGACTTTCTCACCCTATGCCCCTGAGCTCGGTCGTCGCTTCCGAAACTGTTGTTGCAGGTTGTTGAAGTGGGTGAATCTTCTGGCATAGAATCGTCCGCACCGTTGTCGTATATAATTTCAGAGCTGGCTAAAGAGCTTGCGCCGGACGTGATTGAGCCGTCTACAGGTACCTCGTCGGTCGTAGTAATAGAGAGTCTTGCTGGTGTCGGGACTTCGGAGCCACGCTCAGAAAGGTTGGATGCACCGCCGAGAGGTGTATCGGGGACCGACAGGGAAGACACCGTTGGCGCAAAACTAAAGTAAGCAGGCTTTGGTACGTCGTTCAGTGCGTCACTGATGCCTTTCATGTTCAAGGCCTCTTCCGTAAGCGGTACTGGAAGCGACGAAGAAGGTGGATACTCTGTATATGGAGTCGATAGGCCAACTTCCTGAGCGACGACATTGCCGTGAGTGTCGCGCTGATCGCCTTCAATGTCAAAGATTCCGGTCCAGCTTGGCCACTGCAAGAGGAAGCCACAGGCGGCATTGTTGACCGTCTTGCACCAAGGGTGGTATGGTTCGGCCTGTGTCTTCGGTGCTCGCATACCAGCGTCGATGCACTTCTCGCCACAAGTAAGCAGAGTGAGATCCCTGAGCTCGTTTTCGAACGGAAGATGGTCGATGACGAACCCGTCGAGCTTGAGGCTTCTGCGAGCTTGTTGTCAGCGATCGCAACATGTACAGTGACGCTGAAAGACTTACCGCAGCGGAAGGGGTAGCGGTTCCTCCACACCAGACGCAATCCTCGCCTTCCGGATGCAGTCGCCGTCAAGATACTCACCATAGCCGAAGCTCCAATGAAGGCTTCCTTTGCCATCGCGGCCTCTGTAGACGTTTTAGCGTTGTAATATTGGCCGTGGAAATTCATAGCTTACTTATATGGTGTCTCGAGTAATTTTGGCAATGCCACCGTCAAGCCGTGCACATCTACAGCCTTGTGCCATTTGTTGTTATTGTTGCGTAGGATAGGCTCGGAGTCCATCTGCAGTTCGAGAATGCGCATACCTCCAGGAAGCTGATTCGAATAGACAGTCTTCCATGCGATGGATTGCATGGAGTCTTGGAGCCGTAGTAGTCGAAGCTCCTGCAGCCTTGTCATTCTCAACAGTGGTTTCATGTCGTCTGGCGCTATGTGCAAGATCGTCAAGTGGACGCTGTTATCAACGACGTGGACATGGTTTCCAAGATCCAGGACCAACTTTGTAAGCTTCGTCGGAAGGTCGATGAAGACAGATGCCGAGAATGGCAGGCCGGAGATCCAACTGGAAGTCATGTCAGTGTTTGATCCTGTTCAAAGATATCTTGCACATGAGCACTTACACCAGCTCCTTCAGCTTGCCCATGGCACGAATCAGCTTGCGGACAGCGCGGACACCATCTTTCCACTCTTGCGCGTCAGCAAGTGTCTTCTGTCTCTACATTTCACATCAGCACAAAATATAGACATCTTCAAGGCGATCTTGACTCGCCTCGTCCTGTTTCTTCGTTGGCTTTGCGGTGTTCCAGTCGCCTTTGATGTAAAGCTTCTTTACAACGGACAACCTCTTCTTGTCCGCGAGCAGATGCTTTTGGACCTTCCGCTGGACTCGCTCAAGAGAAGGGACCTTACGCCCCTTGGAGTCGCGGCCGACATCGAGAAGGACGAAGCCATTGCCAGCAGCACGGTCAGCTGCACACACAGCCATGAGGTCGAAGGGTCGCAGCTCGTCTTCAGGCTTCCACATGGTGACTAAGTAATGATGCTTGTTGATTGCTTTGTTGTGTTTTGTCAAAAGCCGGGTGCTGTACGAAGTGTAACGAGTGTGCTGGTTGAGACCTGGTGTCAGTGGTAATGTCTTGGGTTGTGTCGACCCTGGGGATGTTAGGTGAGAGCAAGCGCGTTTGCTGTCTGGCTGCATGTGTAGCAACGGCAGGAGTGACGTACACACACACACTTACACCGTGAATACTCAATCAAGCTTGAAAGAGAACGAAATAGATAAGATAGCTGTCGTTGAGCTATTGGCCTGAGTGGAAGTGATCGAGGACAGGATCGTCTCAGAGGCTACTAGCGTTTGCATCGCAGTAACGGTTGAATGGGTATCTTAGATTATCACGTAACGCTATCGGGGCATTGCTCAGAATGGACAACTCAGTCAATGTGTTCCCTTGCAATCAGACAAGACAGTGAAGTGCAAAGTAACGAAAGTGAGAACATCGTTTATTCATCGCACTCGAGCACCCGGCAATTTACGTTCGCCAAGCTGGGGCTTCGTCAACAAGAAAGGAGCCAATATTCGCTGCAATGCCTTGCAGGCGTGTCTCGACCCATTCCTTCTCCTTCTCCACCACATCTGCCTCAACAGCTTGCATGATTTGAAGCTCCTCCAACAGCCCACTCAGCAAAGCATCGCAACAGGCAACAATGGATGCAATGCTTGACCCGGCAGAAGGCTGTGACAGACCGCTCAGGTCGCGCGAGAAAGAAGCCAGTTTGCGCATGAGGGCAACGTTCTCTGCTTTCCATGTATCCCCAAGACCCTCAATGGACCCTAGACTAGCTTCTGTCCGATTCTGACGAGCTGTTCTAACTTCACCTATCCAGCACACCCACTGTTCGAAAGCACTAACATGACGCTGGAATCGGCCTCCTGTCTGGACCAGAGCCGGAAGCTCGTGCAGCGGTCCTGAGAGGACCTGGATATATTCGACCAAGCTCGCAGATGTCTTATTTCCAGTCCATTCCAGAAGCGCTTGGATATTTTTCTGCTCTTGGCCGGAACGCTCATGCTCCAACATGATTTGGTACATGCTAGAGACCTCGTCGAACTTAGAACGCAGAGCACGCTTGGCACTCATTTCCCAATGCCTACTCACTTCTTCTGCGTTCTCATGTAGGAGATGGAGCTGAAGCAAATCCATCTGCATGCTGACCAACTCTGGCGGTAAAGTGTTACCGGTCGTGACTGGGGCAGGGTGCAAAAATGCAGCGGTTGGCGCTTTGGCAGCTTTGCGTGGTGTAAAATGCTGTTGCAATGTGCTGAATGCTGGTCGTGTAGCCTTCACGGCTTCTTGATGTGCTAGCTCCTTGGGTTTTGTTTGTGTATGGACAGATTCTTCGGGTTTCAATGCCACCCTAGAGCGCGCACCACTACCCGGTGCATCCGGTCTTATCTTCACGCTCGCTGACCGGATCAAGCCAGCAAGGCGTCCAGAACTTCTAGTCGTTGCAGGTTCAGGCTGTTTGAAGTCGTTTGAGACATGCGGTGCATTACCGGAAGCAACGTGCAGTGATTTTGGTCGTTCCGCAGTAGTCCTCGGTCTTGTTGTGTTGCTTCGAGCGATCGACACTGCACCAGTAGGTTGAGTTCGAGATTGATGAGCTTCTGAGGATGCTGGTTGACCTATTTGCGTTGTCACAGCTGGCCTGCGCAAGGATTGAGTTCTTCCAATTCCAAGTAAAGGTGTTGCAGAGGGCTTTTTCAGTAGACTTGGCGGGCGCATCGACCGTGATGTTGTTGTTTTCTCAATCTCTGTGACTTTTTCTGTGGGAACTGAACCTGTCTGGTACATTGAGCGTGGTCGGGGCCGCCCAAGCCTCGAACCTGCAACAGAGGTGCCTCGAGTCAAAGGTATCGAGGCAGCTGGAACCGGTGCTCCAGATAGAGTTGAATTGGGCTGACTACTTTTATCGGGCTCCATAGGTGCTTCTGAGAGGGTCGTTGAACGGACAGTAGGCTTGGGAGTTCCAGGTTGCGGCAGTAGACTGCGTTGCTTCAGTTTGGCGTTAGTTTGATTCGAACCCAGAGAGGTGTCATTAACAGCGTCGCTGTTGTGTTGATCCATGGCGGCTATAAAGATCAAGGGGTCGCTGAATCAGGCATCGATCGTTACGCGTAGTGGCTGTTGGCTGAGCGGCTTCACGGGTACATGCACGTGAAATAAACATAGCGCGCCCGTTGCTAGGCGTGGTTAGTAAGCACAGGAAACGCACTAGTAGCACGGACATCGTTCGCGAATGAAATGGAAGGAATGCTGGGCAGAAGATTTCGTGATCTATTCATGTCTAACTTGTGAGCGAGTGGCCCAATGCCTACTTCGAGAGGTGACTTCCACAGCGTGGTCGGTCTCCATCGCGAAAGCACAAACGAAAGCTCTTCAAGTGCCTAATGTCAGGCTCAGAGCATGTAGAGTGAATGACTTTCCAATCTCGATCCAAGGAACCAGCGAATGATACGACGGCTAGTATATCTTGCCGTTTAGAGGCTGCCACGGCGAGCTGGGAAAGCTACGCCCTCGATGGCGGGGTAATCAACAAACCAGCTGACTCGACCTTCACCCTTGTGATTGATCAATCCGCAGGGCAGCTGGTGTCCTTCGTCAGAGTCGAATATTTGCTTCATGATGTCCTTCTTGCCACCACCTGTCGCGACGAAAGCGATCTTGAGTCCAGCTTGGGCGACGGGAAGAGAGATTGTGATGCGTTTCGGCGGTGGCTTCGGAGAGTCGGAAATGGGGAGAACCCAAGCGTCTTCTTGCCGCAGCAGGTCGGAGCCAGGGAACAAGCTGCAAGTGTGGCCGTCGGGCCCGCACCCGAGCAGAAGCAGATCGAAGAGGGGCAGCTTGACACTGTCCCGTGCAGCAAAGACGCTGACAAGTGTCTTCTCGTATTGGTCTGCTAGCTCCTGGACGTCGTCAAGGTACTTGGTGTCGATGGGGTAGACCTTGGGTGTACCCAGCGCAGCCGGAATTTTGTCCAGAAGCTCGGCCTTCACAAGCCTGTGGTTGCTGTCTTCGTGATCGAGGGGCACGGCGCGCTCATCGGCGTAGAAGATTTCCCACTTGTCGAACTGAGGCTTTCCCTCCCCGTTTGTCTCCTTCAGCAGCGCCTGTCCCAGGGTCTTCGGTAGAGAGCCTCCCGAGACGGCGACGCGGAAAACGTTATGCCGCTCGATCGCGGTGTTCTGCGCATCGAGCACGTATGCGCGCAGGCTGGGCGCGAGCTCGTCGGCGTTCTTGAAGGCGTATAGGTTCGGTGGCTTTCCCATGTTGGCGCGCGAAAGATGGTGTGGTGTGATTTTTGGAGGACGGAGTGGAGGGGTTGTGGCAGACAAGCGGCGGCGGGGCGGACCTAGGGTCGGCTTTGAGAACCTACGATAAGTGACGTATCGTGCAAACCTCAAATCCAAGATAGGACGGATATCGTTCGGGCAGGCCTATGCACGCCCTTAATCAGGCAGTACAATAGCTGATTTGAGGCTCACGGCCGTCTTCTCACTGATTCACCGGGACGAAGGCCCGAACGTGAGCAGTTGCACATGCGCGACATGCTGCCCAATCTGCATCCGCGCATCGCCGGTCCCCTGGTCCCAAGTTGGGCTGCTCAACAATCACACAGCGGCTCGAGGAGATAGAGAGCGGCGACAGGAGAGGCTCAGGTCTAGTTCAAGTACCCAACGGTTGAGTGCGTCTGCACCGTGCACATGATCGCATTCGAGTCCAAAGTACCTGGCGCTAGTCGTGTTTGGATGGAACATGACCATCGAGTCCGCAGCCACACAGCTGGATTGACTACAGAGATAATTGACTGAATGAAGATACAGGTGCTAAATCTGCTGCAGTAATATAGGAGGTTGGTGTTTTTGGGCACGCCTGAATACATCTGCAGTTGGGCTCAATTGCATACCATATCGACCTGAGAGTCACCGAAAAGGCTGCTGTGGCATTGAGAAAACTAGGACAAAAGCAGTCTAGATACGTAGTCTTTGCCACTGCTAGTGTACCAAGCAAGAGTCGAAGACGGACAGACGACCGTTTGCAAACATGGAAAGACGTAGTATAGTAGAAACCAGACATCTTCTGCTGATCGCAGCGATTGTATACGTGGACCTCTGTTTCATGGAAAAGGAGGCAGACCTGCATAATCTACGTGGCAGCTGATGCTAAAATGCAGTCGAACCACTGGAAAATGGAAGTGATGGTCGCCAGCCCTTGGCTGTGACCCATCATGGTCAATCGTGTTGTCTAGATGTGACATCCAGCCTAGACCTCTGACAACCAACGTACGTTGATGATAACTTTGAACCAAGATCGAGGTCCTCGGATCCGCCGTGTTTTCGCCACCGTTGCACAGACAGGTAACATTGCCGCATGTACTTACGCACGTATCCTTTGGTTGTCCATGTATACTATTGCAATGTATGTAGGCCTCGGTTAGTCGATTCCAGGGCTGTCGGTGGGTCCCCTCAACAAAGGATATACTTCAACATTTGGTGGATCTTGGTACGCTTACCGACCTCTCTGCACAGATTTGCTTGCGAAAGGAAAAACTGAGGAGTAGAGGCATTTTCACCAGGAGCAACATACCCGAGAGCCTGTTGAGCAGATATTGAAATGGAAACTCTGGACACGGGAATTAAGGAGGCTGGACGCTGGTGGCCATGATAGCGCAAATCATGCAATCTCACGGCATATGCTTTTTCCGCTTTCTTAGAGCCGCCTTCCTCAATAGTGCGCTCGCTATGCAAGATAGATCATACGAGGGGGGTAAAGGTCTGCAGCCCTTGCCATGGCCGCTTCTGGCCGAAGCTCCCTGTACCTTCTAGAGTGTACCTAGACAGTCAAGCAAGATGTCGGCCTGGTAACCCGCCATTCCTTGCACCGCATGCTGCGACGTCTATGAATGTATGGTGACCATCGTGGAGGTCAGCTGCCAACGAAGCCAACATCACCGGTTCCAGGCCCGGAGGCGGCGGTCCGGAGCCGCCACGTATCGTACGGTCTGCCGGTCGCCCACTGCGTTCTGCGCACTTTTGTCCGTCTTTCGTCTAAGTTCGAGCGCGTTTCGAACCAGCACCGAAGGAGGCCCGAACAGTATGGGGCCGACGGTGAGGTTGATGTTCGGAGATGGCAAGCATTTGTGCCAGTGTTGTCGTAGATGGAGGTCTTGATTTCTGAAAGCATATTGTCTCTCTTCCGACGCAATGGCAATTTCGAAAAGCAGATACCGGATTTCGACACCGTCGTTTCGAGCTGAGGTTTCAACAACCCAGAACTCACTTCCTTCTCCGGCTCTGGTTCAGCGTTGGTCTCACGGTGAACGTTGGGTCTGTGTCTCGCGTTCTAGACTGGTCGCTCTCCATCCCAACGGCTCGGTCCGTTAGGACTGCAGTGAAATGGCGCGGGTCACGGGCCCACAGATAGACCATCAAACTGTCGCGGGGTCGTCTGGCATGTTGGCTGCATCGTGGCTCCCTAGTGTAAGGGGGGCGTTGTGGTTGCTGAGGAGACGCGAAAGGTGCATTCGGTGACCGGAAGACGCAGGTATGTGAGGACGCGTTGGCAGGCTTGGGTATCGCAAAGAACGCCCGATCAGAGGCAGCCCAAGCGTTTAAGGGCCTGTTAGTACTAGGTGATACAGGCCAGCAAACACGCCCATTTGGGCGGGGCCGCGTTATTCGCAGGCTGTGTGGCTGGCCCGCAGCCCGAGCGATGGCTGTGCTGGGCTTCATCCAGGCTGCACTGTAAGATGTACGAGCCGGTGTCTGAGGCGCGCACATAGCTTGCGTAAGCTCTTAGCGCTGCATCGGAGCCACAGCATGGCTGGCAGCAAGGTTGGCCCGCCGGACAACTGCTAATTCCCAGAACAGTGGGGACTACTCGTCTGGATCGGCCTTGGGTCTGAGAATCGCGCCGGGTGCACTCAGTTCAAAACCCGTCTGCGCCGAGGAGCCCAAGAGTACCGCAAGCCAATCAGGTCAGCTCCGCGAGCACCCCCTGTCCACCACCCGTGAATGGTCCGCGTGCCCGCATCGCTCGATCGCTGCGCCCGGTTCGCTCGTATGTATATCAAGTGCTGGTCGTGCTCTTAGTGTTCACGATCGCCCTGATCTCCAAGCCCGTCATACCACCAACAGCCGCGCAGACATCATGACCGATCTGCACTCCTTTGGACATACCCACACCTGCTACTTTACCTTACCTGTGTCCACCTCGCACTATTCCGACGAGACACCTCAGTCATCACCTTCCCAAGATCACTCCCTCGACACATGGGCAAGCTCTACAAATCCACTTTTAGCCCACCGATACCTTCCTATGGCGAGCCCCGGTCCGAACGCCTCACGCCTTATGCAAACGCAAACTCAAGCTGCTCATCGACCTTCGACACAACCACTCCAGCCTGTTGGCAGCCCTTCGCCTAGCAGTTCCGAATCCAGCTTGTCGTCTCAGCGCAGTAGTATCTCCATGTCTCACCCGCTCTGCTGCTGTCGCTGCCGCCGTGAGTCTCACGGCCACTCCGGCATGTTCCAATTCGGCACCAACCTCTACTATTGCAGCCATTGCGCCAAAATGGTTGGCTACAGCGCTGGTTGAAGAACAAAAAACTTTTGGTTCCTCCTTCATCAATCAAACATATGGACAGTACCACCACAACAAGACCTCGGTCACCCGGCCTATCACCTACACCATTTAACTCCGGTCTGGACATCGCTTCGATGTCCACCAGTACACATAGCATTATTGCTACGACCGGCGTATTACCACCGCATTTTTAAAGTCCAACGATGCCGGACTGCGGGATAGGATTGAGACTCCATTACTACTCAATCAAACACGTAATGACCAGCAAGAACACCGCGCTGCGGGTATTGTGGAAATTCACATGCACAGGAGGCATGACAGGACAGTCACTATCAGGTGGCTCTTGAGGTAGAAGAAAGCAGGTCTTTTGCGCCTGCTGTTGAACTAGCTGGGCTTTCTCGTCAGCTTGAAGATATGATACCCGTCGCGTTAGCGTCTCTACATGCTTTGCTTCTTCAAAAAATCAATAAGCTTTGCTCACAATCACACATCATTGCCCCAGTGACTTAGACAGGTTGAGTTATCAGCGCTAACTCCGAGAGTTATTGGTAACTGCAGCTGCAAAATTGACTCATGTTCCTCGTTGTTAGCTCGCTGCCTGCAGTCTCATTTTCGCCGAGCAAATCCTTATTTCCAGCATGAAACATGCTGTCCTCAGGCATCAATGCATCGCTCAGTTGAAGACCTTAGCCGCGTATGATTAGCCGCTAGCCACTAGAGTCGCAGTATCACATGGAGAAATGTTCTAAAAGCCATAGCGATATCTGGTGTTTGAGTAGGGTCATCAATCGCGATGCATTTTCAAAAGCCGATATCCACTTTTACTTCTGAAAACCGGCAAGATCTGCTCGGCTAGCCCGAAAACAGACAGCGCCCTAACTTGACTCAGGCAAACCCTGGAGATCTTCTGCCATGCACTGGGAAACCTGGCAGCGTGGTCAACGGTCGATGTCGGCAGGGTCCAAGCGGCTTGGACATGTATCAAAAGTCGATGCAGGTGCAGTTTACGTGATGCGCGGGTGAAGTCAAATTTTCTGCAATGCGCATGCACAGAAACCCGAGAGTGGATTAACAAACAAAATTGAGAGCCATGGCTAAGACTCGACTCTTGGTATAGCCCTGCTTATCCGGTGAAACAGTCACGGACTTGACGGAGAGAGGTTGGATCTGACACAGGAGTGTAAAGTGTGGCGGGAAGATGCTTTCGGGCCAAGACAGGCCTTATCGATGGCATTGTGGGCCAGTGGTGCTCCAGTCATCCCATTATCGCGTGTCTCAGTATTACCGATGAATGATGCAACTGATGCAAAAGTTACGGTATACCATCATGCTTTCGTCGAGATCTCAGCTGAGACGCATGCAGAACCTGATTCCGTTCTTGCAAGCGAAGTCGAACCTTCGCCCCTCACTCAGTCAAACGCCCGGCAAATGACAAACGAGTCAGCCCTTCCCTCTCTTAGCCCTGATTCGATCCACGTTCGGCTTGCTGCCCATCGACGATGTTCCCTGATCGAAGATCTCCCGCCTTGCGGAGTTCTGACATTGCGCGATCCACTAAAGCACTCCGCTTGCACGCGTGCTGGATCGCAAATAGCAAGCCTGCATCGAAAAGCCACCTGGCTGGAACGATGCACGCGCCATGCACTTGTGATGCAGAAACGTTGGTCGCGTCGAATGAGATGCCAGAGGCTATCAAACATGGGTGTGCGTACTTAATGCGCTAGCAAATGCTCTCATCTCGATGCGCACTCACATCGCGATGCATTCAATCGCGATGCTTTTTCTCATCTTGATGCTGGGGCTGTTACGGCTTCCCGGGCTCGTGGTGTGCAGAGCCTAGCGGCTATTCGGAGGTATTCGTGATACTCTAACTGGCCAGGATACCTTTCCGTTGCGCGCGGGTCTTCGCGTGGTGTTGAGCCCATTTCCTTCGTTCTGCAAGGCCGTCTCAGCCTTACTTTTGAGCAACGACCCTCGAGATGTTCGCCACCGCACCTGCCATATTCGGGGTGCCGGTCAGATCGGTTGCATCGATGCACTGACTCTGTACTAGGTATACAGTCGCATTGCAGCTATGATGCCCCATAGACCTGGGCCTAATAAGACCCGAAGCCTGCGACGACCGGAAACTCTTCCTCCCCTGCTCCCTATGAACAGACCCAAATCCGAATACTTTACTTGCGTCGATGCGCTTGGAAACAACGATGCTCTAGCAACAGGAGACGTTTGCGGCCCGGATGCTAGCGTATCGAGATTGTTCGTAACACGTCACAGGACACTTGGAAATGGGCTGCGCTTGTACGGAGGCGGCGACGGCGGAGGATGAGCCACTTAACCCGACTTCCGGAAATCATTGATAAGAGCTAGTGAGCATACAACAGCCACACGGAGGCTCGCACGACGATGTCCGCTGTCACGAACGAGCTAAACGACAGCGTCGGCATGCGGGGTGCGCACTCACTGGCAGCGTTGCGATCGCCAGGGACCAAGGCAACAACCGTCGAATCACTCTCTGGAAAATTAAGTTTCGATACAATTTGAGTTGGTAACGTGAAACTATTTACAGCTAACGGACTCGCTGCCTCTTTACGGCCACATTATACCATCACCACCAAGCTTGGCCTCCCGCAGATTAGTGAACACGTCAAGCGGGTAATCCTGCTCTCTGAGCTCCCGCCTCCATTGGTGCATTCTCCTGCTAAGCACTTTGTCCTGAACAGTCAATTCCCTTCTTGACAGTTTGGAGCCAGTACGGTAGCCTCCGAGGTCTCCGGCAATGCAGTGGCTCTTGCCACCCCAGGCCGAATCAGCTACAGCCTTCCAAATAGCCGTGGCATCAACTGTCATCCGCTTTGTATACAGAATTCTGCAGTCGCTGGCTTCGTAGACAAACTGGAGAGGAGTTTGTGTATCGTCTCCATCGCGGATACCATCGCGGAAGTTGACGTTGATCGAGCTGCCAATGGCGAGACGATCGAAAACAACATTGCTCCAGTACTCGCCAAGCTCGGTGCCGTTGAGCTTTGCCGCCTCTTCGCTGGTAGACAAGTCGGTCAAGGTGTACTGAACCAACGCCTGGATGTAGGTCCATGGGAAGTTGTTCGTTCCCTTGACACCACCGACGGCCTGAGTTATGCCCTCACGGGGGCGGCCACCAAGGGAGATGTATTTGACACCAGCACGCTGGCGCATAAGCTCAGAGAAGATTGTGCAAGTTGACGCGCAGTAACCATCCGTAACAACTACGATATCCTCGGCGGCGAACGGTTGCTGTGTGTAATTGCTCAAGGGACCATATCCGTGCACGTAGACGCCTCCCGAATTCAGAGGTGTCAGAACATCAGACAGGTTCCAGCGGAAGAGGTCGGTGAAGTTGTCGCCTTTCTGCTGAACAAGAGGTCCGTACTTATCTGCCCAGTTGACGAAGTTTGTGCCATCCTCAGCCACGTCACTTTGGTAGTTGAAGACTGATGAGACAATAGCGTCGTTCAACTCATACAAGGTCTCATTTTGCTCCTCCGTAACGAGTACACGAGGGAGTCCTTCGGCTGCCTCAGAAAACTTCTGACCAAGCAGATCGGTGCTCTCAAAGGCGCGGAAGCGGTCGGATGCGGCGTGGTCAATGTCGTTGGGGAATAGCAGCTTGTAGAGATCGTATCCGAGAAGAATAGTACCGCCGCCGTTCGCCGAAACATCCACGACGAGCTTCTTCTTGCCGGCAGCCTTCGCTGCAGCAAGGAACTTGACAGCTGTGTTCTGGAACTCCTCTTGAGCACTGATTCCAACGAAGGATGGTACAGAGAGGACAGCAACGTCCGCGTAGTCATCCTCGAGAAAATAGCCTCCAATGAGGTTGTGTGCCTCACGGACGACCGGTGGAGGGTAGCCCGGAGCGGGAATCGGTTTGACTGTAGCAGAAGCTGTCGCAGATGAGACAGCAGATGAGGTAGCGTTCGATGAGGGTGTGGGTGTGGGTGTCGCTGCCGTCGGCTGGTTGCCCGTGAACCAAGTCTTGTAAAGAGATTCGCCATCGGTGATCCCGTCAAAAGGAATGAGGACCTTGGCGTAGTTGTTGTAAGTCACACTGGTGCCGTTCTCGAACTCGAGCTCAGTCGTTGCGCCAGGGTAGACCCATCGCCCACGTCCACTGCCAGCAAATGTTCCGATACCAGATCCGGAAGGACCAAGAGAGACTGTTGCGAGCTCGTAGAATACATTGTTGTACAATGCATCACGATCTTGGAGTGAGCCGTACTGAGCCCAATTCTCTAGGAAAGCTTGAGCATCCTCGCCGTTGATCTTGCTAATTGGGGAGGAGGTAAAGGTGGAATTTCCAAATGACTCAGCAAGTACGTCTGCATATACGTATGCTTTGGGAAGTTCATGTCCATCGGCAGAGACAGAGACAAGAGGCACAGGACGAGCGAAGTTGAAGACTGTGCCAACGACGTCGGGAACATACACGAAATGACCGTCATGTGTGCTCTGCAGGAGAATGTAGAGTTCAAACCCGAACTATCCAGAATCAGTATCTTAGCTCAGGATCTTGGATGCGTCTCATACCTCGAACTCGTTCTCGTACTGTCCACCTACAACCTTTGTGCGGATCCGCGCGAGTTCGCCCCATATGTCAACGGCCGGCTGGACCTTCTCGGCATACTCCTCGGGAGGATCCTTCAAGAATGCGGTATTGCTCTGCCACTTGAAGTACGGCACGACACCATCGACCAAAGCTAGAGCAGCAGTCTGGTTGAACGGTACGGAGGTGATACATTCGTAGGCGAGTGCGGCAGCGACAGTTGGGGTCGCAACGGATTCTTGCGCTGCGACAGATGCGCTCACCTGCGCACAGGGAGTGGACGCATTCTGACGAGCGTACAATTGACTCTGGAGAGGCGAAGACAGGGCTACAGAGGCGAGGGACAAGCCTGTGGCGGCTTTAGTAAACCGGACCATGTTCGCAGCAATTGTAGAGTCGAATCACTTGCGAAGAACAGATGTCAGAACTCGTCTCCGCCGGAGGCTCCTGCCACATTTATACTAAAGATGAAAGCAGGGTACTCTATGTTGTCATCGCCGCGGGCTGTGGATTCCATGCTCGACCCATCATGGATAGGCATCATGGCTGCAGTAATGGGCAATTCTTGACAAAGATCCATGTCTCGTAAGGCAAACCGGTACATTGCAGCGAATGGGAGGAGTCTCTGTGATCAACCGTTGTCAAAGAGTCTATGCTCTCAACGTTACCCAAAAAGGCAGTTGCGATAGTGGCCGCTTGAAGATCGTATCCAAAACAAGCTCGGTAGTGACGGGCTCATATTGTCGATGCAAAGAGAAAGCACGAGCGATAAGGCAGCATTGGACCCCAGCAGCGTAATGCTATGCGCAACAGCCCACGCCGCTCGAATGCGAACGATTTGCTCTGCGAGTCCAATCTTGAGGTTTGGTGAAGGTGCGGAAGCTTTCGCAAGCATTCATATCGAGCCGTTGATCTAGCTAGATGGGGAAGGAGCCAAGAGTATCGCCCCACAACATACAGTCGCGGCGAACCTCAAGGATCCCGGTCACGATATCTCCTGCCGAATGACGAGGATATTCGACCGGGTAGCCACCGCGTACTCGGCTACGCTCGCTGACAAACTCTCGCTGGCAATGCATTACCTACAGAATCCTCAAAGCATCTAGGCCTGCGCGCATTATGCAGGTACAAAGTTGCTGTCAATATGACCAGACTGTCGAGTGTTTCCAGACTGCCTGAAGGGCAAGTTTCGAGACATATTTTTACAAACTCAATGTACTTTCTTAGGAGTTATGCTGACTGACTGTGGTTCACCGTGAATTGTGCAGAATCCAAGTTGTGGCGGAAACGGCAGTGAGCTGCGATGCGTAAGAATATGGACTTCAACACTTGCAGGCAGAGCAAGACTGCGTCTCAGCAAGCTTCTGAAGTCATGTGCACCGGTACCTGGCTCGATTGAGCCATATTTTCTACAAGACGGATGTGACGCGTTCAAGAGACTCTGTCGGAGCTTGAGATGGAAGGGACGCTACGATGACGTTGACTGGATTGAGCAAAGTTGCGAACGATGACAATCCATGGATCGTCATGGTATTAGATGCATCATTGCAAACAATAGCACGTAGAGTACGCTTTGAGGTATGCTTTCTCTTTAGAAAGTCATCATATGCATATATTCTAGCATGAGCCTTGACCAAAACTGGTAGATGAGAATTGGTACTCGCCTCCTACAGCTTGCTTTTGCTCTCATCAGCATCGCAATTCCATGTCACGACTCCGAACTTACAGTATTGTCTCTGACATGTCATCTGTAATACTTACGCTTACTACTATTGTGATGCTAGATCACGAGTACTCGTGTGGATACCGAACGGATATGTACCTGCTCGTGCTTGGTTTCAGAGGTGCAATCGTGAGCTGAGAGGCAATTCGTGGAATGCATGGATATTCAACGTAGAGCAGCTGCTCGTCATCGAGTCTAGCTCTGTTTGAGGTTGCTCGGTTACAGAGCATCATGTTCGCTACGTTGTCGATGTCATGAACCGGGCAATATGAGAGAACGCTGACCATGCTGAGATTGCGAGATCAGACTTCGATTCTGTAGGGACGTGATTGCGCCGTGCGACTTGTGTAAGCAGGTGCCGTGATACCTCTGATTCCGCTGCTGATTTTGGACGTACCGTGCACAATGAAGTGCAGCAAGGCTTCTGAAAAGGTCAGCAAGAAAGCTGTGTTACTTAGGTACTGAGTTCGCTGACTACTGATAAATGAGCACGATGAAATTACCGTACGATACGACAAGATGAGGATACAAAACTCTGACGAGCACCCAGTGAAGCTTCGCATCGCCCAGGGAGATATCTACCCCAACACTGAGGTGCAAGACTTGAGTCTTATAATCCGTGTTCACATCAGAAGCGAGAAAGCCTCCGTTTGTATAGTGTCGTGCTTTAGACAGTATGATCATCAGCTGTGTCCCCGCACAACGTCACTCACGTCGCCGCCGCCCACGCCCCACCAAGGTGAAAGGGAAGTACGCAAACGCGCTCACGCCGTCAACAACGCGTATCGCGCACAATACGTCCCCGTCACCTCCAAATCCTCACTATATACAGTTCCAATTGTATCGCCTATATATCCCCAGAAATTCGTTGTATTTTCATCAATCGAGACCTTCTGAAATGTCCGTCTCGCGGTAACCGAGAGGCACACTCGAGAACGACCCAACAGTGGCAAGCTCGAAAGAGCACCCGGGTTCGAATCTCGAGTGTCGCACCGGAAATCGTGATAAAACTCGAAGATCCTCTGGTTAAGTGTGGTAGCACACCCCAGCAGTAGGTTCCAGGCATGGCGTCTGAAGAGTTTTCAGCAGATCAGTTTAGAATGGAAACAAAAGTTCCGAGGCTGTCTGTTCTTTTTGCACTTTTTTGCTCCTTGTGGTGTGGTTCCTTGTTCTTCGTTGTTATGGCTTGCCAGATGGTGGTGGTTGCGGTGCTGGATATTGCTGCAGCGTCGCAAGCAGCTGGGTAACAACAACGAAATGCGGCACTTAGCAACGTAACTCTCGCGCGTACACGAGACACAGCATGTAGGCAAAGTAGATGTGGTAGATGAGATTGAGAGTAGTGTTCATTTGCGACCTTGCATGATATGATGTATAGTACACGTACGCAGCCAGCCTGCGGATCAACCATTTTGATCCGATAAAACCTTCTCCATAATACCCTACAACACCAAGAACGCCTTGCTTGTTGCAAATCCACGCGAAGACATCTATTCCTGGTTATCTCGTTGCACTGGCAGGACCCGTCCAGCATCGACTATCATCTGCTCATCCAACCTCTTTCCGATATCCCCGTACTCCAGCCTTTTCCAAGTAGAGATGCGCGCAGTATTTGTGTCGATCTCGAACACCCGCAGCCGGCGATGGAAATTGTTGTACCCGCCGTAGCCACCGAAGCCGCTGCCGCCGGCATAGCACATCCACAGCTCAGGTTCCTGAGTTGCGTGCTCTTTCGAGAGCATGCAGTAGTCGTTCACGTGGTCATGACCACAGGAAACGAACTTGACGCCCTGCTTGACCAGCTCGTCCTTGAAGTGGGTGTTGAACGCCGGAGCTGTCACGCCTTCCGTCCAATTGCCGACGAACTCGTTGTTTCGGTCTGCGTATTCAGGCAGAGGAATGTGTATGAATGCCATATCCAGGTGCTTGTGAGTGTACTTGCCGTGAGCCTCCTTCAGACCTTCAGCAGTGTTCTTGAACCAGCTGATCTGATTCGGCTTGATCCAGTCGTAACCTCGATAGTGAGCTTCATCCGGAGAGTACGCGTGTGTGTCAAGCATGTAAAGTGTCAGCGCAGAATGCTTGCTATTGTGTGCTTGCACTTCGACATAGTAGTTGCCGACACCATCGATCGTATTTGGGCCAGCCTCGGACAGCGAGTACGGCAAGGATTCGTAGAGCGACATTTGCACTTGGCGAGATAGCGTGCCTTCGTCGTCGTGGTTTCCAAAGATGGCTGCATAGGGGATTTTGCGCTCGGCGAGGGGCTCGATGATCTTAAAGAGGGCCTAGAGGATGTCAGCAGACTGCAAGTCTTGACCGTTACAAGGCACCTACGCTTTGGATGTCTGGTGCAGTATCACCGTTGACCTGATCACCAGAAAGCACAACCATATCAGGCTTCTCCTCGTCCAGAACACGTTCGACGAATTCCAGCGTCCTTGGATCAGCATCACAATGGCCGCCATTGGCACCTTTCGGTTCCGGATCTCTGCATGCACCCAAGCCAGTGCTGAGATGAAGGTCAGAGATCTGCATGATCTTGAACTTGCCGTCTTTGCGGATTTTTGGAACTGGCTTCTCGCTCTTGTGTGGTGCTCCACGACGTATGCTCAGTCGCGGGTCCTTGCTGTCTCGAGCTGTGTCGAGATGCAATGCGCCGTTCTTGACGAGCTCCCACCCAGGACGTGGCTCTACTGCGTCAGATCCAAACAAGATGTCGACAGCCGTCACGGCCTGTTTCGAGTCGCTCGCGTGACGCTTGAGCGACCTCTTAATCCAAACGCCCGCCGGGCGAGACTCCCACCTCTCTGAAGCCTGAGATTTCTCGCCCATCGCTGGGTCGAGCTTGCCAGTGCGGACATCGACAATGACCTTGTCGTCGCTTGTAAGCTCTTCCTCCCTCCTACGCCTGATGTGTACGTATGCCTTGGACACCCATCCAGACCCCAGGTAGAGATCCTTCTCGACGCGGTGCCACTTCTTCTGGTCCAGCATACATTTCGAGAGCGGGTTCAGGCTCGAACATGTCTGTACCGTGATGTCGGTGATGACGAAACCCTCATGGTGCAGGGGCAGGTGATTATGAACGGACTGCGGCAGGACGCGGTATCGGTTATCGACGAAGAATACTACGAAGCAGGCGAGGATAGCGAAGCATATGAGTTGAATGCCTGTTCGGACCTGCGACACGGGTCAGCCAGATTAGGGAGCTCCGGGCCATTCTATTCAACATACTATCCGGCGGGTCATGATGAAGTTAGTGGCTCAGCCGCATGTGTCTTAGAAGAAGAGAAATATCGTGAGTGAGTTGCGCAATACAGCCGCCATGACATGCGCTCCTCGTATGAATAGGAGTTGATCCGGGCGCAAGAGGCTTCCGTTGATGGATGTGTCCTTGCGCGTGCGATTGCTTGGCTTCTGGCATCCTTGATCGACGTTCGCCCACTGCGGAGGTCGCGGGGGTCCACTTCGAGCCGGTCTAGCGTGAACCCTGCGTCCTTCATTCTGCGCTCGGCAACTTCTTTGCCTCCACCACCGAGGCAAGCATACACACACAACCCGCAAGCCGAGCTATGCGAAACCAATGCCTACGACAGCTTCGATGCGCAGCGACACCAAAGCCTGCTAGACCCTTCAGCACCAGCGCAGGCCTCTACCGCGCTTTCAGGGAAGGAGACGTCGTTCTTCTACGGAGCAAGAAAGATATAGTAGACGGCACTCTTCTGAAACTACAGGCTGCGAAGACCGCACATACCCACCGCGGGGTTATCGACCATGCCAGTATAATTGGGAAGGAAACGCGCCAGGTAGTGCGGTCTTCGAAAGGCTTCGAGTTCCGCGTCCACGAACCTACTTTGGCAGAATACGTTCGGCTCACCCCACGTCTCGTCACACCTGTGCGTCTACTATCACCCGAATCCGCGTTGTAGCTGTATCGTGTGGAACCTTAGCTAAGTGGACCCTAGTTGTACCCCTCTGATACCAATTTGATCGTCTCTCTTCTTGATATCCACGTCGACACACCATCAAGTGCCCTGAACAATGAGCCACCCTTCGAGATTCTCGAGGCCGGTACAGGTCACGGAGCGTTGACACTGCACCTTGCTCGAGCCATCCATGCTGCAAACCCGCCGCTAGCGAAGACCCCCGATTACGCCACAAATGTAGAAGAACCAGAGGATGCTGTGTACTTGGGTGAGTCTATGTCAGACCTTCAAGATATGGCTCTAGATTCGTGGAAACCCTGCAGACGCGCTATCGTGCACACTCTGGACATCTCAAGTAAGCATGCGAAGCATGCGAAGAAGATTGTCCAAGGCTTTCGACACGGCCTATACGCTGGCAATGTCGATTTCCACGTGGGAGACGTGTCGGCTTGGATTGCTTCGCAAAGAGTGACTAGGAAGACTGAAGAACCTTTCTTGAATCACGTCTTTTTGGATCTGCCCAATGCCGAGACGCACCTGGCGAATGTGGCACCGGCGCTGCGTGTGGATGGGCTACTGGCTGTGTTCAACCCAAGCATCACACAGATCGCGCAATGCGTAGAGTTGATTCGTGAGGAGAAAATGCCGTATCTGCTCGACCGAGTCGTAGAACTCGGCGCAGGTACGATTCGTGAATGGGACGTCCGCGCCGTCAGACCAAGATCGACACTAAAGAAGCCGGACACCAAGGAGTTGCCAGACGCTTCCGACGTAGAGTCTGTCGATCCGGTCAAGGGCCAAGAGGCAAGAGACGATGAGTTGGCAGAGACACTAGCCAAAGAAGACGAGAAATGGGCCATGGTTTGCCGCCCAAAAGCGGGCCAGATGGTTGTAGGTGGTGGGTTTCTGGCGCTGTGGAGACGCATGGAACGCATGGAACGCCCAAAGAGCAAGGAACAGAGTGATGATGAGTCGAGTTAGACCAATTGAAACCTCAATGCGCCTGTTTATCAGGTACACCGACATTTGACATGACCGAACTTCCAGTGTATCGGCATGTAGCTTGTCTCACACGTGATGAACAACGCACGGCACCGAGCGAGTAAATGCAAAAATTCCCCTCCAGTGGACCGCATATGTTGGTGAACGACTGTAAGTTTTAGCTGTAATAAGACTAGCATGGTGAGCTGTTCACGCACTCTTGTGTAAACATGGCGTTTACGCGCTTCCATTGGCTGTTGCATGGACCCTAGATTGACTCGTCATGCAGCGCGGTTAGAGAGCTACATCCATCATTAATATCCACCAAGGCATCGTTCCCCCGCCTCCCCCACCGATCCTCAGAATTGCGACAATGAGCGGCGCGGGCGAGAATCGGTACGCGCTCCATCCTGCGCCGGTGCGACAAAGCTAACACGCTGCAGCTGGCGGAGGCAAGGACAAGGCAATTCCAAGGACGGACGACAGCAAGCCTCCCCTTCGACAAGCAACCCGTGGGGCAACAAGGCTGCTCAGAGCAACAAGCCTGCTGGTCCAGGACAGACTGCGCCAGTTCCTGCCTCCAAGGAAGAGCATGTCTCTGTCCGCGACTTCAACGCAGTCGAGGTCAGGGATTATCTGAAGAAGAGTAAGTAGTATCCGCTCGAGCAAACAGCTGTGTGCTGTTTGCTAGATCTGCAGCTGTAGATTCTAGAGCAGTGCTGACATTTCGCAGAGTACCGTGAGACTGTCGCTGGTATGTATCTCCAAACAGCACACGCGACCCAAAGAGCTGACATCGTCGTGCAAGAACACCCAGCGGTCTACCACAAGGTTGAGGGCGATTCCGTGCCCAAGAGAAACAGCGGAGTATGGGGAGCCAGAGGTATCTACAGCTACCACTTCAGTCACGGCTTGATTCTGACAGTCTCTAGGCGGCGGCACATCCCACAAGATGCCGAACGGACAGAACTTCTTCGACGTGCTCAAGAAGCAGCTCGCCAACATTGACCAAAACAAATGATCACGCGCCGTCCACGCATATACACGTTTTGATTCAGCGGCATACAAGGGCATTGCGGGCGTTCGGCGGTACACGGTCTGTCTGTTTGTGGTTGGCTTCTTCGCGGTAACATGCAGAAGCCGGGGCTGTCCCCGACCATGGCGTTGTGGACATCACTCACACTGGGCCTGTGGCTATGGTTAAGGTGATACCCATTTGCAATTCGAGCATCCATGGTACGGCACGGCCTCCAATGGAGCAGAGCGCGCGGGTGAGACCGTGCATGATGCTCTTTATGTACAAAAGCTGTTGTGGGACACTGCGTGCGATCAAAGAATAGGCGCAAGCTCATATATACTGTCCATATAAATAGGATTCGTTCAAGGAATTGTCCTTGGCTCTCTAAGATTCCCCGACTTATCTGAACCACTAGGATGATCTGGCGGTTTCCCAGGGTGAACCCTGCTACACCATCGTGACAACAAACATTGTATCGACGGTTTCCAGGGGCTCCAAAAATCGAGCACCTGCCCGTCGCTGCTCGTGCATCCACTGTCGCTCACGGCTACTTGCTTGACGGTCGTGTTCTCACGCCGAGACCCCTTCACCGCATTCATCTATGTCCGCGGCCAAGCCGAACTAGCCCCAACCCTCACAATCCATTGACTTTACAAGCACTCCACTCTTGAACGCGTCTTACCCCGCCACGACCTTCTGACGCAGCGCTCCTGCTTTCCATCGGCGCCTGCTACCAACTGTAGATCTCGAAACGCAAACGCAATAGGAGAACGCAATTACAGGGCACACAGCGCACATTGCGATCAACCAGGGCCACTTCCACAATTACATCTTGCCGAGCTCCGATGCGCCAAACATTTGCACCCCGTATTCCGACACTACAATAACCTTCTCGAGCATGTCGTCTCCGCCACGGACGCCTACCCACAGGGGGTCCTCATCTCACCGCCGGCCGCCCTCCAGCCTAGACATGTCTCAGTCCAGACGACAGTCATTTAACCGCCCCTCCTCCACATCCGGCTATTCGCCCGTCACACCGCGTTCGTCGCGCGATTTCGATAATGGTAGTCCGGCGCAACGATTCGGCGGGGGTAGGGGCAATGGTGGGGGGCTGGGCAATCTTGCAGACGAACTCGGCGAATGGGGCAGCGACGACGAGGAGATGGACAGCGAATTTGGAGAGGAGCTGGATCATACACAGGAAGGGCCAGTAGATATTGGCACAGCTGTCGAGCACGACGGCTCAACAGGTGGTCAAGGTGCTATAAATCCGGATGGAGTGCGGGATAGCGGGGTTGCGTTGCAAAGCTCGCCATCGACACAATCTAGGGCAACACTGAGCCCGGGTGCAGCGATCAAGACGAAGAAACACAGCAGGCAGCGGTCGCTGTACGATGGGTCGGATTACGGGGACGATTCGGATTTGGACAACGAAGGTGTCACGCCGGCCCTTGAAGCGCGCATGGCCGCGATCGAGAGCATGGCACGAAGAGGCATGGAGGAGAATGGCAGTGCTTCTGACGAAGTAGTCAAGCGCGTCACCGAACGTCTACGAGATTTGGGGAGCCAACTTGCGGTCGAGAACGGTGCAACACGGTATGCCGTTCCAATAACTTTAACCACATGCACCAGCTAACACAGCCCAGCCTTAAAACCGCCCACGACTCTCTAACGACCCACCTCACCCACCAATCGCGCGTCCTTACCTCCCTCACTGCATCATTCACTGGCCCCCGCGCCATAATACCCTCACCAGAGGCGATCGAAGAGCTCCTGCCGCTCGTTGAACAAACGCTTCAGTCCCTCCCACATAGCTCTACCGAACCTTTGGTCCAACTCTCGCACCTCACACTCTCGACCCGCGAACTCCTGCAGCACCTCTCCAACGTTAGCGACACATTGCACATGTCGCGCCAGACAACTACGAACGCATCACGTCGCTTGCGAACAAGCAAAGAGCAATTGCACGAGTGGAAGCGCGAGTCTGAACGTACAGTCGAAGGACGAGAATTCATCGAGCGTGGCGACTGGGACAGGCGTCTGCGCGAGCGAGAGGCAAAGCGAGCTTGCGGCGAAGTAATGGAGGGCTTCGAAGAAGCCTGTGGACTGTGGCGGAAGCGGTTGTGCGAGGGACTGGGCGTGGCCAGTGCGTAGTCCTTTCCTGTGCGCTCTCCTTCCCTGATTTCTTCGCGTTCGACATGTTGCGTTCGACGGGCTGATGCAGGAGAACGCGAGCTAACAAGGCGCAGGCGATCTCCCTCTTGACTCGCATACCACCTGGCCAAAGGACAACCCGGCTCCCGCTAAACAGCCGGCCGAGCAAGCTCTCAGAGAGTTTGCACCCTCGCCGGCACCACCGGGCGTACGCAACTTCTCGCGCCCTTCCTCGTCGTCCTCGCGCTTCTCGAACCGCTCGTGGGTCGAGAGCGTGTCCCCCGTTTCGCCACGGCACACCCGCAAACAATCGGAAAAGCAGTACAAGGCCTCATCAGACTCGACATTCCGGTTCTCAGACGACGAACTGGCATGAATCTAAAGCTTCTTATCTCGATAGCTATTTCAGCACATATACTTCCTTTCTTTTATCACAGTCCGGCACATTATAGCCATTCTTCTTTGTCATTCTTTGTAACCTGCATGGCCGGTTTTGATGTCTGGGGCGTTGGAGTGGAATCATTGTCGTACGTTAAGAGCGGCATAGGGACGGGGATGCATGTGGTCAGGGAAATGGTAATACCCTATATACGTCACTTAGAATGGGAATCGATGCTTTGTATCTCCAATCCCTCGCCTACTTCCAGATGCGTAAGCCCAATAATAGCCCCAGTGCACTCAGCAACGCGTAGTCGCCACGAGTCATCTGCCCGTTGCAGGCTACGTCTCTTGCACTGCCCAGCATCCAGACTCATAGCAGCCACTCCACGGTGACTTCATGCAGATCAACAGCATAGTCCCCGCCGCGCCTGACCAACTCCGTGTGCGGAGCGAAACCGCCAAACGCAGACAAATGCAGCGCCATGAACTTCACCACCATCTCGCGCAGCGGATGCATGGCCTCGCCATCCGCGCGATCCGGCACAATCTCGCCGTCGTAGACGTACTGGATGAGCTCCACGATGGCGGCGCGCGTGGGCGGGTAGATGTCCAGACGCGCCAGGAAGCCACGGAGGCCGGCTTCGGCGTCTTTCTGCAGCTGCGTGATGAGGTGCTCGTCGGAGAAGAGGTAGATGCGCGCGTAGCCTAGGAGTGCGCTGGACACGTCCTGGTTCCACGTAGGGTTGCGCGGGGGGACTGTGCCGCCGGCTGTGCCGCCCACGGCTGGCAGTCGTTGCGTTTCGTCGTCGTCGATGTTGAGGAGGCCGCAGCGGTGAAAGTCGTCGACCGTGTTCTCGTACAGGGCCTGTGAATCCTTCCTATCCGGGATGCCTGGCAGGTTGTTGAGATCACCTAGAGTTGCGCACAAAACATGAGCGGTCAGCTTATTGTTGCGAGCAGTCAGGCTGTCGGGCCCTACGATGCGTGGGCTCAACACCCAGTAGTCTTCCCTGATGTTGACTGCATTTGGCGGGAGCGTACGGATTTCTGGAACGGGTAGGGCGGCGCCATACGCGACGGCGCAGATCTTCTCGAAATCCTCAACCTCGATATACTCGAAACATGCCTGGTTGCTCTGAGCTTCCTGGAAGGGACCGTTCAATAGGCGGTCTAGAGGCTCTGACAGTGCCGCAATAGCACCCGAGTGGACAATGATCGGGGTTTGGTCGACGCCGATCAGGAAGGTGAACTGCCTTGAATGCAATACGCTACGTCCGCGTGAGTCAGTCATTATATGAACACCCTCAAGGGTGCTTACCTGGTTGCAAAAGGCATGGTTGTGGTGTACGGTTGGATTGTCCGCAGACGAGCAGGAGGCAGGTTAGTCAAAGCTGTTGGCATTACAGGTTTTTGCCGCGCTTGTCAAAAACGGGACAGCGGTGAAGGTGAAGTCTGGCCATTCACTTGGGCGGCGAAAGGGTGCTCGGCCATTTAGTACACATGCTTTCTTTGACATCATACTTGGTGCATTTGTATGAGAGAAGGACTGTGGAAGTACGGCGCATACATCGTTTGACAATACAACCTCTTCTCTGCTATCCACGGTGCATTATGGCAAACCTTTACAGCTTGCATACCGTTGCTGTCTTCTATAGTACGACAGTATTGTTAATACAGGCTGCCAAGACTGTTAGTACTAATAGCATTCGACCTGAAAAGAGAAATTCAATAGTCGGCGACATAACTTTGGGAATCGAGTCAGCAATCTGAATGAATAGAGATGATATTACAGCTTTCTAAGAGAAAAATCAGCCTGAAAAGATGCACGAAGGGAAGTAGACCCATCTCAACCCTGATACAACATTACCCAAGTACAAAAGACAATGCCTCGTGGATTTGCTATACTGTACACCTCGGCTTGTCGAAGAACTCCAGCCAGGGATTGACGGCCCCATTAACCTGTGCGCCATTTGAAAAGTGATGTGCAGTATCATACCTAACAAACACAAGGGAAACACTCCGTAAGATTATTGGTGATAGACGATCGCGATGTGACCAGGAAAGCCACGAGCGCTTCCTGATCGATGTAGCCTTGGCACGCGTACTTTTATGAAGAAGTTCGTCTTTTGTGCTTGGTCGACACGTTGAAGTCTTCCAATTTCTTCCTTGGAGCAGGTACACCTTGCGTGATGTATTCGAGGGTGTGCCCAGGGGTGACGTGATTCGAGTGGCGCTCAAAATTGTTTGGCAACGATGACTCCCACATTGCGCGCTGATCCTTCAGTCGTTCATGTTCATCTTCGCGGTTCAGGCCAAGAGTCTTCAATGGTGCCAGTAATGATTTGACGGCAGCGATTCCAGGCGATGACGGACTCGGCGGTATTGATGCGTCAGAGAATTGAGTTCCAAGTGCATCCATAATGTCCTCCCCAGTGCCGAGCTGATCCAATCCAGGTTTCCGTCGTAGGCCAGGAGGATATCTTTGTTTGTCTGCATTTTTGTACTTCTCCACAAGTCCATCACATCCTGGATCCCGCAAGGACCTGGTCTGTGATAACATGGATCTTGGTGAACCATCGCTCTCACTACCCTACACAAAAGGGAAACGATTAGTAACTTTGAGGTGCATAGTGTGCAGGCTGTGGCGGAGTCAGTACGTAAAAAATATACAATATGTGGCACTACAGATCGCTTCAAATCCATAGGCCAAGGCCACAAGTTACTCACTGGTGAATTGAGCATGCTCTGACGCTTGTTCCTGCTCTTCTTGATATGACTCTTCAATGCGCTTGAATCAAGCGGCTTAAGCAATTCGAAGCTGCACAGTAATTCCCCAGAGACGGACATGACCGCGCCCCAGTTGTCGAACTCGCCGCAATACTGTATCATGTCAGATGTGTGATGAACCTACGCCCAGGGGTGACTTACGTTTGGTGCTGAGAACACCGTCACAAGGACTCTATCAGTGAAGAATTCGTAGCCGTCCTCTACTACCATATGTGCTCGACAGACGAGATCGAAGTCGTGCCGTTGCAGGAATTCCATGATGACCTTCTTGCCAAAGCAATAACTAACACCACGTTCGTTCGACTCCCAATCGTTCTCCATATCCGCCGGATCACTCCACAGCAAGTCATTCAGCAGACCGTAATCCGGGACATCTGTAGGCCGTGCGATCTGGCGAATGTCGTCCATGTGCGACAAGCTTGGGGACAGCCCACCATGGACACAAAAGATCTTCTGTGCAACGATGGCTGCGATGGGCAGACAGTTGAACGTGTCTACGAACGCCTTCCACACCTTGATGTTACACCTCCGCTTGCATTCGTCATAGAAGCCGTAGACGCGGGTGACATTAGCACATTCGTGATTGCCACGGAGGAGGAAGAAGTTCTCAGGAAACTTTAGCTTGTAGCACATGAGCAGAAGGATTGTCTCTAAGCTCTGCTTGCCGCGGTCGACATAATCGCCCAAGAACAAGTAGTTAGAGTTGGGAGGAAACCCGCACATTTCGAACATGCGGATGAGATCGGTATATTGTCCGTGAATGTCACCAACAATCTTGACCGGCGGTGCAAGCTCCAGCAGTGCAGGCTGGCTCAAGAAGACTTCTCGTGCAGCCGAACAGATGGCAAAGATCTCTGCATTCTTCAAGCACACGGTCTTGGTGACCTTGCCTGCGTAGGCGGCGTCCAATAGTCGCTGGATCATGTCGTCGAGGTCAATAGCCTTCAACGCGCTGATCTCCATGGGCGAGCCAGCACCGTCGTTTGCTGCTGGGGGCTCTGGCAGCCTCGGAATCGGCTGTCCCTTCTTCTGCAAGATCGATTCCCCTGGCTGGGCCGAAGCTGATGGTGGTGGTACACCGGATGGAGGCACCTCCGAGACACGATCGACCTCGCCTGTCTGCTGAGCCTTCTCTACGCCCTCGTGGCCTGTACCTGCAGCAGCACCCTGAACGGGTGAGGGTGGCGGCAGGGGTTCATCTGGCAGCTTCTCAACCTGTGCAGCTGTCTCCACGAGACCTGTACCCTCCGAAGCCGTTGAGCCTCGTCTCGAGCCTCGTCCTCCCTTGCTCTTCTCTGACTTCAGAGAGACCGCATCTGTCTTGTCGTTCTTCCCGTTGGTGGCCTCGCTGAGATTTGATACTGAGTTGCGTGGACTATCGGTCTTACCGGTGCCGGGGATCTTGTTGCGAATAGAATTGCGTATCGAGCGTGTGGAGCCTTGCGTGTCTGATCGCTCGAACGAGCGGTAGTATTCACGACCCAGAGGAACGCCATCGGCGCCCTTCTCCCCCTTCTTGCCCTTTTCGCTGGATGGCTGGTTGCCCATGATGGCGAGTTTGATCTCAGGTGAGATATGCCGAGGCGCGGGACGTGAGGATTCGACGATCCAGGGACCGTGTTGGTCTTTTGGTGCGCACGGGAAGTGGCGCTGGATTTATGTATGCAGGGCCAAGTGGTAGATGGTTGCTCTTTCTCAGCTTCGGATGCGGGCGTGGTGAAGCAGCTTGCGACTGCAGCGTTTGTTTGCTTGTCGATCAAGCTACGCAACGTAGACGCGTTAGGGTGGCCTGAATAGGCGAGAGAGGAATGCCTTGAAGCGGGCCTCCGTCGGCGCGGTCGTTATCAGCTTTGCAGGACACTGGGCGTGCCAGGTCGGGTTGGGAGAGTCGACGGGGGGCGATTCGGAGTCTCGTTGGCGATCCAGAGCGATGGCCTGAGGGTGGAGTGCACAGGAAAGAGTTGCTCACGCGGCACGGGCAGTGCACATGTGGTGGGGTTTTCGGGCGTTGGTGTTTGATAGCGATGATCTCAAGCTCTCCGGTCGACAGGGCGGGGATAGAGCTACGCTGCTAGCCGCGTGTCTTAGTAAGACGCAAGGACCCAGCAGTGGTGGCCGAAGGCGAGTGGGCGCTCCGGACTGAGCGGACCGGTGAAATAGCCTTCACAAGCGATCCTAGACCAGAAGCTAGCAGTGGTCCAGATGTTTAGTGGTGCGCAACCGGAGAACGGTGTCAGTCACGAGGGCAGTGCGGCTGTCAGAGGGAACGTGGTGATAGCCAGCACAGTTCAGCGAGGGGCTCCGCGGGCAGTGGGAGAGCAGCGAGTGACGAGGGCGTTGGTGATTTGTTCGCTTTGGGTGACGAGAGACGTGCGCCAAGATAAGTTGCTTAGCCTGCCACTCGAGCACAAAGCATCGTCTGAACACGTCGTTGCTGCGGGCTGCGGACTGCGACGTGTGCAGCCTGGCCGAGGGACGTGGACGCGTCCTCATCCTGGTCAGCAGAGCCTCACTCGTTCTGCATTTGACGCGGAGGCTTACAACAGCGGACAAGCATCCAGGTACAGCCTCACGCCTCTGCATTTTGGGGCTGCACCAGCCTCCGAGCAACGACATCATATGGGCCCACTCATGACCTTGCGTCTCCACAAGCCACACGACACGGGAAGGGTTTAGCAAGTCGCACCGACTCAGCGCACTCGTTGGAGAACATCAGTGGGCGTGATTAATTCACGCAGGCAAAATACCTCAGCCTCGTTGCTGGGTCGACGTATGATTTGCGGAGATTAGAATGTCTGTCTCAGCACCACCAAATCAGTGCACTGGAGAGCAAAAAATCTGCTGCGAACAAATTCCGCATTTCTCATCCCAAGCCCGCCTTTGCAGTCGTCCAACCCATTCCAAGCCGTGGCGCCAAGCAAACCCTCATCTTGGGACGTGGTTATGACATGTATCTTTTCGTACGCCAAACTCTACAGTTTCGTGCCCAAGTTGACGTGAATCGCCTTCTTGTTTGTGTAAGCTTCGAGTCCAGCCTCGCCCAACTCTCTCCCAATACCAGATTGCTTAACACCTCCAAATGGGATTCGGATGTCGCTGTCGTTGCTAGGAGTAGAGTTAGCACATATTATGCTCGAGTGAATCCATACCTACCTAGAATTAATCCAGACCATACCCGCTTCAATCGCCCTGGCGACACGGTGTGCCTTGGTGATGTTCTGGGTGAACAGAGCAGCTCCCAGACCGTAGGTGCTGTCGTTGGCGCGTTCAACGGCCTCCTCCTCAGTCGTGAAAGAGCTGATCGCGACGAAAGGTCCAAACACCTCTTCACGGAAGATTGTGTGGTTGTCCTTGACGTCCGAGAAGATGGTTGGCTCAATGAAGAAACCTTTGCCGCCAACGTCCTTGAAGGCCTTGCCTCCAGACACGAGGGTTGCACCTTCTGACTTGCCTGCCTCGATGTACGACAAAACGCGCTCGTACTGTGCCTTGGTGACTTGGGGGCCCTGGAAAGTGTCGTCCTTGAACGGGTCGCCCACAACAGATGTGTTTACGACATGATCCTTGAAAGCAGAGACAAACTTATCATAGATACCATCCTGAACCAAAATCCTTGACGTTGCTGTGCAAACCTGACCCTGATTGTACCTAGACATGGTAAGCAGAATGATCATAAGAGTAGGGATACTGCGTACATAATGCCGACGTGTGACCACTTGACCGCCTGTTCGAGGTCCGCGTCGTCAAAGATGAGCAAAGGTGACTTTCCGCCAGTCTCCAGTGTGATATTCTTCATGGTACCTGCAGCCATTTTCATGATCTCTTTGCCTGTAGCCGTCGACCCAGTGAAGGCAATCTTGGCAACATCAGGGTGCTGAGCGAGAGCTGCACCAGCTTTCCTGCCTTCTCCGTTGATGAAGTTGACCACACCTGGCGGGAAGCCAGCCTCCTTAATGAGAGTTCCAAGATACAAAAGGGAGAGTGGCGTCTGCTCAGCGGCCTTCATAACGACCGTGTTGCCAGTGCAAAGAGCAGGGCCGAGCTTCCAGGCAGCCATGGCGAGAGGAAAGTTCCATCTACTAGGAGTCAACACAGATCAGTTCCGAGATAAGACACACCTACGGGATGATCTGCCCACACACACCAAGGGGTTCCCGCAATGTGTAAGCCAACTTTGCAGGTGAGGTGTCGATGACCTGGCCATGGATCTTGTTCGCATATCCTGCATAGTACTTGATGGTGCCAATGACCTCGCCTAGGTCGTCGTTGAAAGCCACTTGGTATGGCTTGCCGTTGTCCCACGTCTCAATCGTAGCCAAGGTTTCTCGGTGCTCTTCAATTAATTGTGCAAACTTGAATAGTATGTCTGCACGGGCATTCGTGTCCATATCTCGCCATTCCGGGCTCTTGAATGCCTTGCGTGCTGCTGCTACTGCATCATTGACATCCTCCTCGCCCGCCGCATAGACCGAAACAATCTCACTCTCATTACTGTATGCATTGTTAGGCTTGTGTCACTGTGCTTTGTGTGCACGAATATACCTTGGGTTTATCGAAGTGATGGTCTCGCCAGACTTGGACTTGACAAACTCATTGTTGATGAACAATCCTCGTGGCTGTTTGTACTTGTGGCCGTTTGGCGCCGTGAGCTCGACAAAGAGGTCAGACATGTTGCTGGCAGCTGTGTAATATCTTGGAAGAGTGACTCGGTATGATCGAACGGGTCTCAGGGTTGAAGCGTGGGAGAAAGCCGATGTTACTCTGCGCGGTGCGGCTCTAAACAAAGAAGTATAAAGCATTGCCTTGGTCAGCGGAGGAGACGGCTGACTATCTACACAGTGCCAATGGACTGCAGCGGTCGTAGCTTGGATGTGAGCCCCGCGATATGACGGACTTCCGCATGCAACTGCCCTTTTGGATCTATACTCCACACCTCTACACGCCAAAAGCGCTCCCCGAGATCTGTGTATCATCAATCAACGATTGCCTACTGCACATGCCTTAACCCTTTTCTGACACACTCCATGATCGCAGCCCACGTCTTCGGGACGCGCGGACGGACTTCTACCGAAGGCATGCAGCTCCTGGGAGCTACCCCGCCTCGAGCTCGACGCGTCTGCAACTGCATTGATTAACGCGCTAACGATGTGCTCCTTACCAACAGCGCAATAGAGCATCACTCATGCAACACAGCGTCAGTCAGATTTTCCGAGCTCGCCACGATCAACACAGCCCCACTCAACGCCCTCGCCCTCTTTCCCACAAGACTCTCTCCCACACCTTCCGCGACCATGGCTCTAGGCATGGAGTCCGATCCTCCTATCCTCTCGCACGACCCCGAGAACCCTGATGCATCGATCAACGTCACCGCGTCGCTTGCGTACTGGGAAAGCGTGACATCAGACAACAATGGCATGCTTGGCGGCTTTCCACAAACCTCGCGCATCGACCTGCAAGGCTCCTCCAACTTCTTCACAAAGCTGCGCCGCGCACAGACAGGCCAGGCTGCAGCAACAAAACAAGCGTTGCCGCTTCTAGATCGCGTAGCAGACTGCGGGGCAGGCATTGGGCGGATAACGAAGGGCTTCTTGTTGGGCGTGGGCAGGCGAGTCGATATCGTGGAGCCGGTGAAGAAATTTACCGATGAGCTCGTCAAGGAACTGGAGAACACACAGGCAGAGGCTGCAGGAGAGGCCACCGGGAAGGGACAGGTTGGCGAAGTGTTCAACCTTGGTCTGCAAGACTGGGTACCTGAATCTGGCGCGTACAACCTGATATGGAACCAGTGGTGCGTGGGCCACTTAACGGACGAGCAATTGGTGACATACCTGGAACGGTGTAAAGCAGGGCTCGTCAAGCCTGGCGATGGCGACGTGAAGGCCGATTCATGGATAGTGGTCAAGGAGAACCTGTCTACGGACATCAGACACAGAGACATCTACGACGAGGAGGATTCGAGTGTTACGCGGAGTGACGAGAAGTTCAGAAAGCTGTTCAAAGACGCAAGGCTGAAGCTTGTGGCCACAGAGCTGCAAAGAGGGATGCCGAAGGAGTTGTACCCTGTACGCATCTACGCTTTGAAGCCCGAGTAAGCACATGAACAATGCACGAACAATGACAGGTAAAAAGTTATATACCCAATGAATGCAATGTATGACAATATAGTTTCTATGCATCGCTTGAGTTCTATGGATCCCCTCAATCATTGCAACGCCCTGTGCACGATCGAAGAAGCTAACACCGTCTTCAGCGCAATGCCCATTCCTTAGGAACAAGTTAGCCGGACGCCTACAAGTGCCCTGTCGCCATGAACTTCTGAATGACACCCAGATCCAGCACTGGCATTCCAGGTACGGGCTTATGCACAGGCGGCTGCGCTTCCTGGATCATGACAATCTGTGATGGTGGTGCAGCCGGCCTAGCCTCCTCTCCCTGTGTAGCTTGCGCCGGAACATCTGCAGCAGGTATGTCCATCGCATCCTCGAAATCCTCTTCCTCTTCATCGTCCTCTCCCTCCTCGCCCGAGGCGTAATCATCGCCTTCGTCGAACGAGGTCTGCGGCGGATTGAAGAACCACGTGTGCGCGCTATTCCAGCGCTGTACGAGCTGCTCTTCGGACAACGTGCCTTTCGCGCGTTTGCTGAACCTGCCGACAGCTGTGCTGGGCTGATCAGCGCTGACCTCAGAGTCGACGTCTTTGTCATCCTTCTCGGCGGGCTTGCGAGGTTCGATGCCCCATTCCGGCGGCACCTTTGCAAACTCCAAAGCTTTGGCTAGCCGATCTTCAGCCCATTTCTCTTCTGTAGGCTCAAGACGCTTCCGGAGCAGGGTCTGGGTCAGGCCTGAGAGGTGCTCGTTGGTTCCAGGGAAGGGCGCTATTGGGAAGGCATGTAGATTCCGGAGGGTGTCTGCTTGTGGCGGAATAGTAATGTCGCTGTATCTCACTTCTTCGTTTCCTTGCTTGTTTTTCAGAACCTTACCGGCGTCTGTCTTCCTGCTTTCGGCAGTGTGTTTGCGACCGCCATTGATGAAAGTGTTGAGCGTGGTGATGTAAGAGTTGACTGAGGTTGTTGTGCGTTGAATTTGAGGCCTGTTGACGATTAGAACCAGGTCACTAATATCGAGATTCAAGAGGATGACCTCCAAGTCCGGAGAGAAGCCTCGAATGCGAGGCCATGACACAGTTGGTGATAATGAACACAAGGTTGAGGGAAAGGCTGTTCGACGTGGTCCATGCATCAAAATCACAACTTACCAGTCAACAGCAACTCCTCGTGATGCTGCCATGTCCATATCACGCCTCAGCTTGTCCATAGCTGCGATCATGGGTACTAGCCCACGTCGCAGCCCTTCCAGCGCTCTTATGTCTTCTGCATTAGGTTGTCCGACAAAATTTTGGTTCATCCTGCTCTTTCTATGATTTGTTGAGATTCAGAAGTCCAGTAATCTGCCAGCTTTTCAGAAGTATCGGTAAGAGGAGGAGGGACTGTTCTGTTGTGAAGGGGTGGACGGATGGTGTAAAAGGCCACTCTCGACTAGGAAAGGCGTGCTTGGCGCGTCACCTCACTGCATGACCGTCGAATCTACGTTGACACAGTCGAGTCGAGAGAATGCTGCAATCGAATTTCCAAGACTATCAGCCAACGAAAGGATTAGGAGTACATGTCACATACAGGGGGGAGGTCCTCCGGCTGATAGCTCGCGGGTATTCGTCGAGAGTTTGGCCAATACACAACAGCTACGACACTCTCCTAGAGCTCCTGACTTCCTAGATGCATGCCGCACCAGCACACTATATCAGTCCGACGTGCTACCTCCCTTTATAGCGTGCTCTAGAGGAACGAATCGAGCATCTCAGCTCTCACGTTGCAGGCTAACCGGCGGACCAAGCTCGTGAGCTGGATATTCTGCTTCGCGACAGTAACGTAGGGGAAATGCACAAAAACTCTATAGAACACCTTTTTGCCTAAAACGTAAGTAAAACTCAAGCTTTGAGTGTTGTGATAGCTATAAGTTCTGTATCAAAGTTGGTCAGCTCGAAGGTCGCTTATCCGCCGCTTTTTCTGGAACTTGAGAGCCCAGCATTGTTGATGAGCAACGTAGCTTGGAATCGAAGGGTACTTAGGTATACCGGAACCTGCCAGAGTGTGTGGATCCCTCTACATACACCATGGAAATACGGTAAAGACTACGATTCGTAGGACTTATAGTTGACATTCAACATTCACCCACTACCTGGTGCAACTCGGGTTCAGTCGTAGCGGTCCAAGATCATCATGCCTGGCACACACGAAAAGCCGCTCCAAGAGCAAGGTGAACAAATGGCCTTGACTAGAGGATGCACAGTCTTCGAGCGCACAGATTGCTCCATCTGCCTGGTGTCTGCGAAGCTAGTACCTGCATGATGCATGTGAAAACCATGTTTCGTGCTCTGCCAAACATTATGCAGAACAACAACGCCAAAATCTTGTGAGTAGTCTGTTAGTTAGATTGGAAGATAACTAACCTCGCATGCTCGCAGCTCACTGCGATGGCTCTGACTCTTTTCGATTTTTGAGTCAGTGGCTTTGCTGTGTCAGTGTGCTGGCGACTTCACTTAGCTCGTGCAGGGGTTCTCTTGAGGCTGCCTATCAGTTTCTCTCACTCACTAGCATGTGGAAAAAGGCTGCCAAGTTTTATACAAGCAGTGCGGCCTCACGATCCGTACACCCCTACACCTTACACACCTTCTCTCACACTCACCCTACAACATGTCGCGCGCACGCCGCCTGCAGCCTGACATGATGGAACTCTCCAGCCAATCTCCTCACGCTTTGTCAAACCTAACCGTGCGTCTTGCGATGACGTGTATTCGCGAAGAGGTGAACGAGTATCAGCACCAGTCGCCTGTGCACTTTGAGCTAGCGATTGAAGTGCAACAGGTCCAGAGCGCGTCGCCGAACAAGGCGAAGAAAGTGGATGCAAGGCACTTGACTGTACAGATCCAGGTCATGATCGAAGGCAACACCGTCTATCAAGGTCGCCGCGCCCTCCCCCTCGACTGCAGCGTGACCTGGCGAACTTATCCAATGGTAGGCAAGCCATGGTGCAGTGGTGTCACTGCTCCCAATGGAGGCACAATGGATCTAGAGAAGTTCCTCAACTCTACCTTTCCTCCATTCGATCCTCCATTGGGACAAGAATCGCTGTGGCACTGGTGGCTGATCAACGGCAAGACCTTTGAGTGGTCCATACTCCCCACCGAGTTGAAAACGCGTATCATCGCATTCTGCATTCAGCAGCCGCCCACTTACGGCATCTACAGAGAGAAGCGGGTGCGTTTCGACCAGAACCATAGGATAGGTCGCAAGTCACCGATGCCTGGTCCGTACGAGATCGTCAACCAACTCCGAGACTGGTATTCACTGCTGTATGTGTCACATCAGGTGAGAGCTATCACGTTGCAGCTCTGTATCACTGGTGGAAGCGCCGTGGGCACGAAAGGTTTATGCATCCCAGTATACACGATCAAGGAACTATCCGACAGCCTCCGCCGACTTAGGAAGTACTACCAGATGGTCGACAACAACGGTACGCCAACTACCCCCGGAGAGGAAGCTCTGTCGAAGTGCTACGACCAGTTTCCTCGTCTCTACCCACAGCTGCGACAGTACGCTACCTTCCGCCACGGCATACAGAAAATCGCACTGGCTATGGACTTTCTCTCGTTCATGCGCTTTTTTGAAGTGGAGGTTGGAGGCTTCGTACAATACCATAACGCCCGAGGCACGACGTACCACATTTTCGAAGGCTTGCCATGTCTCAACGAGATCGCTGTCCGCCTACCTGCGCGCCCGCTTAAGGGTTGGCGGAACAATCCGTATACTGGAGGCCCGCAACTCTTTCACCACGACAGGCCTTGCCCTAGGGTTCTACACAGGGTCATATATGAGCGTATTGCTGAGGTACTGGCCTCCTACAACAACGTGAAGGTCGGGTACTTCATTGATGGCAGCGAGGAAAACCACTTCTTGTCAAGGAGGGCGGAGGCAGTTAAGGCTATCAAGATCACCAGGATTGAGCTTGACGAGCTGTACGCCGAAGATAACGGGGGTGTCGAGCTGCCGGAGGGGATGGAGCTGGGAATGCAATTGCAAGAGAATGTCAAGAAAGGACATGTGGAGTCTGGTTATTCGGGAGAGCTTCAGGATGATTTCTTCCCTCCGTTGTGTCATTGCGACAAGCCTTGCGCTAACTCTCCAACGTTATTGAGGAGAGACTAGCACGGTTAGCTGCACACTTGGACAGGCTCACAAGGAAGGATCTTGGCATTCCTATTCGGCTGTACTATCTGAGACCCAGAGATCAATGCCACACTTAATACATCCCACATGCTTGAGAACCTTTTCAATGACTTGGCTAACCTTTGCAGCCTTCCATCGTTGCTGAGGGTTTTTACAGATCATGCGTTCCAAGACTTCAGAGAATATCTCTTTTGATTGTTGTGTCAGTCGCTGCTCGTTTTGAAACCATGTTTTTATACGGGCTATCGATTCGTGGTACAGAATAACGTCTGTACGGCTGCCGACAGCTCTGACGCCGATGAGATAATCAGCGATGGGTATTCCACTACTCCAGGCTACCATCTCAATCATTACACAGCCAAGTGAGAAGACATCCGAAGATCGGTTCCGGTTTGCATTCTTGATAACTTCTGGGGCGCAGTATGCTTTTGTGTGCCCGAAAGATGGACCATCTGTGGTACTATTACCGCTGTCATCGAATATATGACCCGACCCGAAGTCCGTGAAAAATATCTTTTCTCCCTTGACGAGCAGGTTTCGCGGCTTGATATCTTTGTGGCGTACATCTTTCGAGTGGATGAAGGCTAGTGTATTGGCAAGGCATATCATCCATTTTTGGATCAGATCTCGCTCTCGAGTGCTATCGCATGTTCGGTTGAGAAGGTATGTCTCTAGATCACAATCGGCAAGAGGATGCATGATAATGCTGAAATGCTTCACCCCCTCGTAAGTAAGCAGCACTCGGATGATGTGAGGATGATCTAAAGCATGTATGATCGCGATCTCATTTCGAAGGCCTTCTCGTAGACGGAGCTGACGCTGAGTCTGGCGCGGTAGATCGACTGTTTTACGAGCATAAAAGTCTCGACCCATTTGAATGGTGTCGACGACTGCAGATGATCCACTCCCGAGGTTCTCGCGGTCTGTCTCAACGATTAAGGGTGGATCGCTAAAGATCATGTCTCGCGTAAAGTGCGTGAGCTTGTATGTCGTCAAGCGTCGAACAATTGCCTTGACTTGATGACTTCGGTCCTTGGGAAAGTCTTTGAACCCGAGATATACCATCTTGCTTCGTTGATGCATAAACTCTGTCCCTAACTCAGCGCTTTTGGCAGAACAAATCGCCTCATCTGATGCCAACGTTGCACGATACGCCTGAGCACTAACTACGTTGCTCTTGATATTGGTTATCGAGCGGTGCAGGGCGTAAAGTGAAGTGGAAGCTACGTTGAGCTCATTTTGTTCAAGGTTACACCACGCGAGACTTCGCTTGACATTGAAGGCGACACAACCTGACAGATTCTGCGAGTTCAGCGACAAGAGCTTGTCTAATGTATCTGCTAGCCGGGCATAGTCGATAGGAATCTCTGGTTTCAATAACTCCATCGGTGTGGTAAGGTGGCTGCGCTCGTATGCTAACGACCATTTCCTCTTACGGCTGCAATGAGTATGACCCAACTGGCGCAACTTTAGTATCGCAGCGCCAGCACTCTTGCAAGCCTTCAGTTCTTTATGGGCTCGTATTGAATAGGGGTGAGAAGGACCTAGCGTATAGTAGTACCCTTCGCAGCACATCAAAAGAATCTTGACAGCTGATCCGTGTTCACACCAGGCTTTCAACGCTCTTCCGAATTGGAATAGCGAGTACAGTGTTTGGGTATGCCATGCTCCGACTATTAGTGAGGTCAGGACAAAGGAGTTGACGAAGAGATGTTCTGCTTCCTTTCGTAAGCCTTGACCGGCGGCAGCTACCGCTCTCTGGAGATTGTAACTCGGGTCCACCATGGATTTTGTCGCAGAAACCAGATCAAAAGTTACCAGAGTCTCGGAAGCTTCTTCGTGGCGACCTTGATCGTTGAGTGCTTCGATCAAAGTCAACAACGCATAGGACTTGCGATCCCCTGAACGAAGAATCTCTGGAGACGCCCACGGAAGGGCTTTCGCAACGCGCTCAACCTGGTCAAGATCACGTGTAGATGTTACTAAGAACCGTATGTAGTCCAGCAGAGCGTCGATCTTATGCCATGTGTGCAGTCCCCTGAAAGCTGCCCGAGTCAAGGGGAGGGGAGGGCAGACCGATAGGAACGTGGTTTGCGCCTTATCGTTGTCCCCAAGATGTTTGTAAACATGACCGAGTGTACTGACTGCCTTAAAATGTAACTGTTCATCCGGTGACATATACGTAGCGTAGTCGATTGATATCTGGAGTTGCCCACTTGCGATGCAAAGTTCGTCCCAAGTGCTTTCTGCCGAGTCGAGATAGCTTTTCGCGTCCACAATTCTATTGAAAATCACGGAAACCTCATCGATAATATCAGCAAGGCTTTTGGGCTCGTAGTGTTCCCCCAAATAGCACGATGTCCACGCATCCGAACTGCCAAGGGCATCGGCAGACAAGTTGATGCTGCCCGGCGATCGAAGCGAAGCCGTCATAGTAGGAGTCGATACCCGAGTCTGAACCTCCGTACGAGAATCAGAAGATGTTTGTTCGCTGCGTTCCGCACCGGGGTCAGGAGAGGTGGGCGGCCTTCTGTGGGTTGCATTTCGCCGAGCCGTCTCCCTTCCTTGGGGAAAGAAGCGACTCATGGCGAGAGACCGGTAGTTGCATTTGAGAACGCAAGGAACAAGCCGGATTTCTCTTATCGCACGAGTGATCGAAGATGAGGGGCAAGGCGTCGCGCAGGCTGACTGACAAGTCATCGCTGGCAAGGTTACCCGCGCTAACGAGCTGCAGACAGTCGCTTCTGCATGCACTCGCTGCAAAGGGCAAGCGCTTCCTGTAAATGAAATTTAAGAACAGCGATAATGATATTCGATTGAAACCTCATTTTTGAAACTCCAGTAATGCAAACACCAGGGAGGGCCCTAACTAGTTCACAGTGGTATCCGACCCAGCTTTCGGCCTTTGCTACTCGACAGCCTTGAGTATGCAACTTCTATTATACAATTTCAAAACGATCAGTGGTAACCTGGGTCTTCGCCACTAGGCGCTGGGGTTGATATATCCCATGCACCCGGTGTCGGCGCGGCTGCGGGGGTAATACCATATCGTGAGTCTCCCGGGGTGGGCGCAGAGTAATTTCCAGGAGTAGGAGCGTCCATAGGCCCGCCAGGAGTGGGCGCAGAGTAGGCGCCGTACCCGCCGGGCGTTGGTGCCGCATATGCACCTGGTGTAGGAGCGTTGTAAGCGCCAGGCGTAGGCGCAGACAGATTGGACTTGGAAGCTGCGTTGCCAGCGCCAGAGCCGCCCCAGCCCGGTGTACGGCCTCCAGAGTTGAAGCCTCCGTATGCGGTGCGATTGCCATCATTCCCACCATATGCTGTACCTCCACCGTATGATGTCGCACCTCCGTATGAGGTTGCGCCGCCATATGCTGTTGCACCGCCATAAGCTGTACGGCCTCCATCACCGCCGCCGTACGCTGTGCGTCCACCATCTCCACCCCAGCCAGGAGTGCGACCGCCTGCACCTCCACCTCCACCTCCCCAGCCTGGTGTGCGGCCACCCGCGCCTCCGCCCCAGCCAGGCGTTCGACCACCACTATTGCCCCACGCTGGTGTGCGTCCGCTGTTGTGGCTGGGCGTGGAGCCCGAGAACCCTCCGCGCGAGCGATCCGGGAATTTACCACCACCGACTGGCATACTGGCCCCAGTGATCGGATCCTTGATAGACAAAAGCTCTTTCTTGACAGACACTTGCTTGTTCTTGGTGTGTAACTCGATCCGCGCTTCGTCATTCATAGTGTCTTTCACGATGCCGAGCAATCCCTTGTAGGCACCCTTACGAATAATGACAGTCTTTCCAATGAGCTTGTCGCGGCCGAAGCTTCGGGGAGGAGGCATGGGCCCGGAGTTGCCATTTGCACCAGCATTTAGGGCTGGATTTATGCCGCTGAGATCTGTTGCCTGGGCTCGTCCGCTTTTAGCGGCCATGGTAAGGACACTTGTGCTGCGGACGACGAAGATGCCCTGATTCTCAACCAACTCTCGATTCTGCACGAAGAGTATGCCCCTGTGGATGTAAAGAACCTTGCCTTGTCGGTTCTCGCCACCGTACTCCTTGACGTTATCGTCGTGTCGAATTTCGGATCCGTCACGGTCGGTAGCAACGGCGTTTCGGTTCCTGCCAGCAATCTGAGAGACTTGTGTATGTAGGAGTGTGCGCACATCGCCCTGTTGATCTAAGACCCTCAAAACTTCGCGGTCAACTCGGACTACACAACCGATGGTTGAGGCACTGTCAAGATATTTTAGCGAAATGCCGTTGTGCACGGCAATCTGGACTTACTCAATTTGTACGAGATCGTAGAGGTCGAAGTTGGAATCTGCGCCAACGGTCGCAGAATCGGCAGCGCGTTTCAAGTCTTTGCTAAAGACTGTGATTTCTTGCTGGGTCGAGTCGCAAAGCAAGGTGACCTTCTCATCTCTGATTTTGGTGACAAGACCGACCTCATCGACGTATTTGCTACCGCCGATGACCTTAACATGATCTCCTTCGCGGAATAGCTTGCGCAGCTGCTGGACAGGTGCCTGGATCTGACGACCCCTAAGATCTCCCTCAGTGACTTGTAGTGTGACGATTTCGCCAGTAACTGTGACAGTGATACCGCGGATACCCCTCTGTTCGCCAGTGTAGATCTCGACGTTGTCTCCTGAAGCAAAAGAAGCACCGGTCTCCGCAGCCTTTTGTGCAGCCTGCACAGCGATGAGGTCAAGCGTTTCCGTACCGTCTGCATTCTGTGTCGAAAAGTACTGCAACTCCTCCATCTTAGGGTTGACTCGTTCAGCGGAGACCCAATTGACCTTGACTTCCTTGACTAAAAAGCCGCCAACGTAGTCTTCACCTTTGTATGTGTATTGCCTTTGTGCGCCGGAGCCCGCCATTGTGAGGTGCTTCATGTGTCTCTTCTTCGCGTCGGCTTCACTGAATAGCTTCTGCGGAGGGCGTTCAACCTTTGGTCCAAAAAACCCGCGTTTCCGCTTGTTGTCGGCGGCCGCGTTGGTGTCTTCGTTCAGTCCGTAATCAAGGCGAGGAACGAGCTGCACAATACAATCTAAGCCGTTAACAGAGACCTCGACAACCTTGGCCAGATCGCCCTTGTAGGTCGGTGGCCGAATCATGCGCACGAATTTGCCTTCCTCAAGCGGAGGCCTCCTCTTCTTGCGGAGCAGATCTGGGCGCTCTTTGACGTCGATCGAAAGCATCTCGCCGCTCATGAAGACGTTCGAAATGCCCTCGATTATTTCCAGCATATCCTGCTTTGCATCGGCTTCCACATACAGATATCCAGACTGTGGTCCGTTGGGGCCACGTTCAAAAGCCGAATAAACCTTAACGGGCTGTTTTGCGCGCATTTTCTCGTCGATGCGTCTTTGAATAGCCATAATGATTTCGCGCTCTTTTGTAGGTCGACACTTGACACTCCAGATCGAAGGGTCGTTGACGGTTGGAAGGGCCAAGGGCACGGCTCCGGTTGCGCCTCGACGAGCGGTCTGCATCGCCCTGCGACGCCACTTCTCGTCGAAGTTCTTTGCCATCTCTTCAACGTCCATCTGTGCGTTTACTTCGCGGCGCATATCGAGCTCACGGTGGTGGCGGTCGTCGAGGTCGGCATTTGTGGTCTCGAGAAGATCATCGGGATGCACTTCGTCCTGGATATCGTCGTCGCCCTCGTCTTCCTCTTCTTCCTCCTCGTCGACTTCGGCTTCGACATCAATAAACATATTGCGCTTGGCCTTCTTTCTCCTTTTTGCAGGTCGTGCCTGTCTGGGTCAGTGAGTGCTCTCAACCGCTTTGATACCAGCCAAGCATACCACAACGTCGTCCTCATCCTCTTCGTCGTCGTCGTCGTCGTCTTCGTCATCATCGTTTTCCTCTCCGCCTTCCTCGTCATCTTCATCGTCGTTGTTGCCTCTCTGAGGTGCATCATCCTCATCATCGTCGTCTGCGACAGCTGGCCGGCGAGCAGGTGCGCCGGTCGCAGGTACGTCATCTTCGTCAATCTCGGCTTGGGGGTTGAATGGCTCATCATCGGAGCCAGAATCGCGGTCGTCGTAGCCAGACATAGTGCCGTCGATGCTAAGGGTGAGAGCGACGCGCTCGAGTCGAATAAAGCTGGCGATGGAGGCTTCTAATAGAAGTTGCCGACCGCCTGGACGATGTACTTCTTGGCGTCTGCCTGCACAACCGGTGGCCTTGCAGTAGCGAAACGAATAAAATAGTAAGGGAGGTGGTGTCCAAGGGACAGTGTCGGGGGCTTTGTCTGAGGTGTGGGCGATGTGAGAGCGCATTGGAAGCCGCGCTAGCGGAGCTGTTAGCGTCACCCGTGCCCACCAGCCACTGAGGCGTCAGGTCCTCCAACTCTCCGCATCACCAACATCACAGCACGACATCGCCCTTGTCAACAGCCCGCAACACTCGCTGCGTAAATTGGTTTCGTGAGAAAATCTATGGATTCATGTCTATGTAATAGATACTTACAAAGCTTTGAGCAGCAAGACGGTGTGGTGATTAGAAAAGGAGAGCACAATGCCAGGATGAACAACGTGAGATTGATTACTACAGAAAGACGAAACGAGTATTACGCATTATCCTCATAAGTACTCGGAATCCTTCTGTCTCCGATACCAACACCTGTGGGTACTGTAACCCTCACCAATGTTAAACTGCGTACATAATTGTCGAGAAGTTCAACAGCAACAGCTCAGATTGGAGTATAAGGCTGAGCCTGGACCTGTGCAGTCTCAGGAGATTCAGTGCGGACTATGCTGGCGTGTCCGTGTTGCTGTCCCGTCTTGATTGCCACATTCTGCTGACGCTCTACCTCGACCTCTGCTGCGTACTTGCTCTTGGCGCGGATCTTTGGTCCAGCCCGATAGATCCAGAAGACAGGGATGATAACTAAAACAGAAAGCCCGAACAGAAGCCACGTCGCATTCTGATTGCCGAGCTTGTGGTACATGGGTCCAGTGTAGAAAGAGCAGATGCCAGCCAGAACGTCGCGGGAGAAGCCGTTGCCTCCGGTAGCAGATGCTGAATACTTGCCACCGTACGCAGCGACCATGTAGTCGATGGTAGCAAAATAGATCGCCATATTAGCCCATCCGATAAGGACTGCGAAGATAAGTGGCGCAATCCACGGAAGTGGAGGACCGGTGACTGTGAAAGCCGAGCCGAGGAGTCCAATGGAAAGGAGGGGGGCAATGAACAATAAGCCCCACAAACGAGTCTCCGGACTCAAGTCCTTACCAGCCTTGCGCTTCTGGTTGTCTCTGCGGATGATCGGAACGTACGATAATCCTGCGGCCCAATATCCAATGAAGAGAGCCGACAAGGCAAAGCCGAGTTGGCTCGGGGTGAAATCCCAGCCTCCTGGACCAAAGACGTATCCATAAGACTCAAGAAAGCTGAAGATGAGAGCATCAGCAAATCCGGAGAGAAGCGACAGGAAAAGAACAATGGGCTCAGTCGCCAGCATCTTGTAGGGACGACCCATGAGCGCTGCGGCGTGTTTCCAATCGAACTTCTTGTCTTCAGTGGGGCCGCGAATGGTGCATTCACCATCTGTTTTGCGCATTTTCTTGGCCTTTCGGTCGAGCATGACCGTGGAGCGTGTTTCTGGGACGAAGAAGAAGTGAATAGCCTGAACCGTTATGCCGAGAATGAGCTGGATCCAGAAGTTCCACCTCCAATGGAGAAACTGCTCGATTGAGCCACCAGCCATGCCGCCGATAACTGTGTCGCAGTTAGTGAGTTGGTTTGCAGGATCGTGGAGATCACTTACCGGAACCAAGGCAAGACCAAAGCGAAGCCCAAAGTACAGCATACTGTTGCTCATCAGGATGGAACATGTCGGCGACCATGCCGAGCGTGACCGAACCACCGGCTGAGCAAACACCACCCAAAACGCGGGCTGCGAGAACCATGTTCCAAGATGTGCTTGCTCCTGCCAGGATCTGCCAAATATTGACAGAGCCAAGCGAAAGCTGCATGACGATCCAGCGCCCGAAGTCTTCTGACCATGGCGCCCACAACTCGCAACCAAATCCGTAAGGGATCAGGAACCAAGCCAGACCCGCTCTTGCATTGGTGAAGTGGTTATTGCCCAGGTTGTAGTGCTCGTTCAGTGGGGCAATGGCATTTGAGTACACGGCTGCGTTGTAGTCTGATTAAGGATTGCGTTAGCAAAATGCATCGATTACGATACTCGCTGGCTAGAGGAAAGAGATGGCTTACTCATGCTTGTTTGGCACAAAGCAACGACTGTGAGAATCCACCACTTATACTTGTACGAGAACGCATACGCAGTGTCCTTGATGTCTGCGCCTTCGCTCAGTCTGGTGACACCGTTGGCATCAACGAGACCTTGCGTTCGCTCAACCGCTGGCCCAAGGGAGCTGCTGTTACTCTCATGTCTTGCATGTCCGGCATGGACCCCCTTTTCTTGTGTGGTATCCATAATTGTAAAGAAGTCTGCTAAGGTCAGTCAACGTACAGACGATGAGGTCCTTAAAGGGTCGGAACGGTTGGGCACTCACCGTTTCTCAGGTACGAGGTCTCCAAAATAATCAAAGATCTTGGTGTGTAGGGCTCCTACACTGTGGCAGTGGGTCTGAAGAAGCGTGGAGGGATGCACATTATAAAGAGAACTGTTGTATTCGTGAAACATTGGTACTAGGCGTGACCTGGGACAAAATGACCGAACCAACATTGTGCACTCCAACCAATAGCGAAGGATCCATACTTTCGGCCAGTTGATCGCGAGTCCAAATTGAAGACCCTGGGTCCAGCCTTGAGGTCCCTGATTGTGCAGTTTCCCTTGAATTGCAAGCTTCGATGCTCACCTGACTTGATGAACCTCAATTCTTGCGAGTCCCCCGAATCACGATGGTTGTGCTGGGGAAAGTTTGCGCAAGTCCACCCTCGACCTCACAACCGTAGAAATTGGTAGCGATCGCTCCCTCAACAATTTTCAGAGGAGTGCACACGACAACCAAACAACCCAGGCCCCATACCCCGCAAGTTCATGTCTATAGAATGTACCCTACATAAAGACAGCCTGTGCCTGCAACGTATGCCGGATCAGACCCAGATTGGAACTGATTGGATTCAGCAAACTTCCCCTATCCGGTAACGCGCTACCCACGAGCCAAATGCACATGATGTATGCATTGCATGTATATCCTTGACTCCACTGCGAACACACACAGCTTCCCCCGCGACTAGTAACCACCCAACGCGCGAACATACGGTACGCTCACGTCACTGTCCCACTCGCGTCCTTCTCTGATCCAGGATATTCACGGCGTTCAGTACAGTTTATGGTTGTCTCTTTATTCGCACCGCTGGCGACCGCATCGTGTCTCCAAATCGAGCCTGAGCTTCTCCAGTGCTATAGTGGCCTCGCAGGACTGTATAGCAACATCCCGCTTGTCATGTAACCGCTGCTCTTGACTCGGATGTACTGGCTTCGTATTCGGGCTTGCCGTCTGAGTCTTGACACAGTCTGAAAGATACCTAAGCTCGCTGGATCCCAAGTCAGGGGTTTTGCTCTGTTCGAACTTGAATGTGGTGAGGGTTATAGCAGGCTTTCCAGCTTGTCCCTCGTGTAAGATCCTTGTTGAGCCTAGAGGTACTGCTTTCTCTCCATAATTCGCTTTCAGCATGGCTTTCGGATGTGCACTGGTAATATTGTAAATTAAGAAGTTCCGTTATCTCCAACACATTTAACTCTTGATGACTTGATGGGAACCGCCGCAATCTAAGTGTTCTTGTCGAAAGAGCGTGTGGATTTTCTCGATAAGCTTGCTGTGTTGGCGAACGTAAGCGGAGTACGGTTGATTGAAGTGTTATGCGGAAGCAGCTAAATAGACAGCAAAGGTCGTTCGAGATTAGCTTGAGTGGAACGCACAATGTCAGATAAAACATAAAGCATGAATGGTTGTTTCGCATTGGCGTTTATAAGTTCTCAAAGCTAGACGAAATGGGAACAAAGAGCGCGTGAAACCATATCTTTGTTCTGTTCTGTGAAGTATCCAGCGCTGCTTTTGCCCCAAAGAATCAAATTTTTAAAATCAAATCAATTCCAGCCAGTCAGCAATTTGTGCCTTTGAAACGCTTGTAGCGCACAGGCAGCGTAACAAAGCTGGACCGCACCGACACACTTTCATCTGGATGTAGTCCACGCTTCAGTGAACATGCTTCCAGAGTGTAGACGAGCGCAGATTGAGATTGGACAACTCAAATGGAAGGGCTGACGATCTTATTAGCTTCACCTTTGTCATGACGGTGCATGGGCAAATCTTACTGGGGTTAGACGCTAGCTGTAGTTGAGCCAGTCATCTGTATGAAGTACTACTCCTCTCTGCTGAAAGATGGCTCGAGGTGTCTCTGGAAGCATCTTTTCAATCCTGCCCATGCTTCTGCTGAAGAGCCCAAACAGACTCATGCTTGGACACGATCTCGTTAAAGAAGCTTGCAAACTCCTCATCGCTCAGTTTTTGCAGCTCGCGGCGCGTTGTGCGCTTGTGCATGTCCATCTCGTCTTCCATGAAGTTTATGAGTTTGGTGTGGAGGAAGCGTTGGTGACTCTGTGACGTGCGAATAGGCTTTTCTGGGATCAAGCTCTCGAGCAAGGTCAGGTGTGTCTTGACGTCCTAAGACAGATCAGTACATGAAGAGCACACAAGTCACTGTACTTACCTTCGCCATCTGGGTGGGCCGAGTGCCATCCTCAGGGCTTGATGAGCTGTCATGAGCTATGCCAATGGAATGCTCTTGGTCTGAGTCTTCCATAGTCTTTGCTGCTATGATATTCACCGCATGCACTTGGTCGCGAAGATGAGGCGGTGTCGACATCGAGGTCAACGTAACAGGTTTATCTCGACGGTGGCTTGGTAAAGAAACCTTTGGAGGTGAGTCTTCTAGAAGATGTGCTAGCGGGAGAGCCCAGGAAGGAACAGACGTCGTTCCTGTGGACTCAGAATCTCGCGACGTCGAGGTTGCTGGGCGCGATACGGGCCGGTCAAGGGGAGCCTGGAACCGTGATATCTTCTCATTGATCTGATTAGCAAGCTTAACACTTGATCCGGTCTTGAGATCTGGCATTGCTGCTGTTTCCGATACCATTTGGGACGTCTGGAGTGGTTTGTTGACTGGAGGGGTGGTCTCAGTGATTTGATTAGCACGCTGGATACTTGAGCCGACCTTAAGATCTGGCATTGCTGCTATTTTCGATACCACTCGGGAAGTCTGGAGTGATTCGTTGGCTGGAGGAGGCGTACTGGGCGTCGTAGATGTAGACTGTTCAATACTGGGACCTGGTGCAGAAGCACGAGGCAAGTAGTGCGCGCGCGGCATAGGTGCCGGCCAGTTACCCACACGTGTGGAGTTAGCCGTTGTGAGCGAGCCATTACTGACGCTTCCAGTAAGCCCATCGGTAAGAAGCCTCTCACGCTTGAGCGCCTGCCTCTGTCGGTCAGTAGGGAGGTATCTGTCAAACCGCGGGTCTGGCAGCCTGCCCGTCCCGGGCACGCTCTCTGGATCGGGCTGCCAGGTTGCAGCCTCGGGCGTGGGCGCTGGGAAACTATCCCAAGAGAGCCCCGCCGCTTTCACGGCTTGATTTGATTAGCTGATAGCCTTTGCGTGCGAAATTAAGTAGTTACGTACTTGACTCCCTCATGTACGGCATGATACTTGTCGTCGTGGCTCACAAGTCGCGTGTCGTGTGTTGAGGTGTTGTGGTGTTGCCGAGCTCGAGGTGGAAACGGCGGCGGAGCAATAAACCGTCTAAGAAATCGGGGTGAAAGCAGCTGCCTCTGACGTTGCTGGGTGACCGTCGCTGGCAACAGCGGGCCAGAACACGACATGACGGATACTTCTGCGATAATGACCACGCAGGTGAAGGTCACAGGATGAATTGCCTGATGTATAGATGTACAGTATTTCCATGATGCAGGCGCGTAGTCGACTTGCCGTAACGAAACGAGAGTCATGCCATTGTGTAGGGCAGGGTCTTCAACAACCACAGCCACGAGTAAGGTGCTGTACCGTGCAACACTGAGTAAAGTGCTACATGATGGACAACTGATGCGTAGACGCAATCGGAATCGTGATGATACGAGCGTTGTCGGCTGGCGCTTTTGGCGTGTACTAGCTCACTCGTAGCGTCCCGCGTCACCAAGCCGGGGGCCCTTCACCCTACGAGACTGCCACTTTGACGACCGCAGCTCTGAATTCGCCTTGCGCGGTCCGTGACTTGAATACTTACCGCTTCTACTGTGTCAATCAATGCCCTGTGCAGACTGACAGAGCAGAGGTGAACGGCCAATGCGCTAGACGGCTCTACCGGTAGTTGATTATCCTCACGTGGCAGCGTGTCATTCTGCTTGTCGATCCTCCACACCACCTCACTCCATTTGGCATCTCGCTTACGATTCGCGTTGTATCACCTCGCCAGAACCTCCGACGACTCAATCGCAACCCGGATTCTGCATTGTCTGCGGGCAGCAATCATTATCGACGGTCATTGAGGCTGAGTAGCTCCAGCCCGCTGCAAGCCACTGGTGTTGATCTCCAGCTCTCAGCCATTTCCACCAGAGTTGAATGAGTGGTACTCGGTCTTTCACTTCACTCCTCGATCTAAGGTGCTGCAAGCAGTCTTTTACTTCCGTGTCCTGCCGTCCAGTCAGGCAAGCGCAGTCTTCGCCTTTATTTGCTGCACTCTTACACCCCTGCATCTTCCGCCGAATGCCGCAACTCTCTGTTTTGTGCGCCTCTCCCGAGTCTTCTCACTTCCGCCTTTGACCTTTGCAGCAAGAGCTCGGGATTGCTCGGAAACCATGAAGCAAAAGTTCACGTATTCGAGGAAGGATAAGACGCGGCCACGCAACAATGGGGATTCGACACCAGATGACGAGGACGGCAGTCGCAAGCGACGGAAAACCGACAGCCCCAGCGAAACCAGCAGCTTTGTGTCTGTACCCACAATTTCCTCAACAGCCTCTAGTATTCGCGCAAGAGGCTCTGCCATATTTAAAAGAACATCGCAACTTTTCGGTGGGCCTGTCTCGATTCCGCAGGACGATGCAGATCTCGAAGTCACGCCGAAGCCACGGAAATCTCTAGCAGGATTGTTTGACAAGGCCTTACAGCCCCGATCCACGCAATCTCCAATTCCAAAGCAGCCAAACATCCACGGTAGTCGTGATGAATTTGTGCGGACGATAGAAGTCAGGAAGAAAGAACCACACGCAACTCAACCGAACGGCAGCTATCTCCCAACCCCGCCATCAGAAGTGCAAAGGCTTCGCAGCAGTGGCACAGGCAGTAGTAACTCGAGTGGGCCAGGCGCAAGATTGAAGCCTGGTTCGACGTCTGGACACTATGACGGCTCTTCCGAGGTAACAGACCTCTGCCGGAAACGTAGCAAAGGCAAAGTCCAGAAGCAGACCTACGTTCCAAAATCCAATGCAGCCCAGAATACGAAGCATTCAGGCGTAGATCTCTTTGGCGACCAGCTGCCGAAGCGATCAAGGGAGGTCCAGTTGTAAGCTTACTCGTCCTCGTTAAGAGATACGGCTAACCTCTTTAGGTGGTCTACCAACCAGTCCAAGTCGCCTCTCCTGCGCCTTCCAGGAGAGGTACGTGCACGCATCTACAGATACGTCCTTGGTGGTAAAACCATCACCATCGGATACGAAACCTATCGGCGTGTAGAAACGGCCTCTGAGCCCGCCAGGGTCGTTCCAACCTTCAGGTATTGCTGTGCCGTCTACAGCCAGCCTAATGTCGACCCGTTCAAGAAGCAACTACCATATATCAACGTCACATTCGGCTTTACCTTACTTAACAATATTTGCCGGCAGCTGTATTACGAAACAGCAAAGCTACCATATACTCTGAACACTCTCGCGTTCTCTTCGCACAACACCTTGTTCAACTTCCTCTTTCTGGAGCAGCGACTATCCTGCGAGCAGCGCGACGCAATTACATCAATCACGCTACAAGATGCACTACCGATGTCGAATCTGCTCATCTACTTGCGTAACCTGCAGAAGATCGTACTGGTCGATGATCTGCCAGGCAACCCGAAGGGTACATACAAGGTCACCCGCGTCAAGGGCAAGATACCCAAGCTACTGAATACACGACACGTCTGGGGAGGTTAGAGTTCACACTTTCTTGTCTTAACATGCATTTGGATCGGCGTTATGGGCCATTGCCTTCGGCATGAATATATACCAGACATCACGAATCTACGATAAATGCAGCGCGGTCTATAAGCAAGGGGATGGCGCACATGTTTTCCGCTTCTACAAAGAGCGATACCATCAGATATACTGTGGAGGTGGGGTTGATATATACATCTGACGTATGCTCATTCCAACAATGCAATCATAGCTTTTTTTTTCCTCGCTGCTGCTCTCTCCGCTCCTGCTCTGATATCGTAAATGATGACGCCTAATATCCCAGCATTCACTGCGAAGAAAGCTACGCTCGAAAGCCAGAGACCAGGCACAAACGTAGAATACCCGTTGAACTCCAGCTGAAATCCCTGCTGTAACCACGCCACTTGTCCCACCACCCAGGCTGCAAGCGCAGTGCACCCGGCTGAGCGAGAGCTCAGAAGGATCGAGTCCGGAAGATAGTATGGCAAGAACATCATGTACCAGAGGAAGTACTATTGGACAATCAGTAACTGGACGTCATCTATTCGAGCGTGCAGTCGACTTACCTGGCTTGTGCAGACCTTGTTGAATGTTACAAAAGCAAACGTCTGCGCCAGCATCGTCGCGGCAAGGTCTTTCTTAGCTAGTGCCAGAGGGATCATGACAGCGCTGAGAAGGAGCTGAGGTACGAACGCGAGGCGTTCAAGTTCGAGGGTCGATTGGCTGCCTCCTGGGGACGACTTGAGATAGAGAAGAGTGTTGTACGGCGAGAAGTTGTGGCGGTGGTCGATGCGAGTAAGGTGGTAGAAGTAGCTGTGCTCCAGGAATGGCCAGGCGTACATTTCGTACATGACAACATTCAAGGCTGCGAACGCGATGAAGCTACTTACAGCGAGCTTGATCCGCTGTGGGTTGACAAACGCTACGAGCTTGTTCAACTTCGACCCTGGCATGCTGCTCTGAGATCCGTGTTTTGATGTTCCATCCTTTGTCTCATCAAGCCACCAGACAATTGAAGCTGCGTAGATGAAGGGATAGATCTTAAAATGGACAGCGAACCCAAGCAACAGCCCCGCCAATATCGTCCTATTCGCTAATACCGCCCAAAGAAGCGCAGTCACGAAAACACCTAGCAGCCCCTCTGAGCTACCTCTAGTACTGATCGTCGCGACCATGGGGTTCATCAGCCAGATACTCGCAAATCTCAGAGCTCTTTCTTTGTCCAATCCTCTGTACTCTCTCAATATGCGGTACATCATCCAACCTGCAACAACGTCGCCAACAGCAAAGAGTGCTTTTCCGAACGAAAACCAGAAGGTCCCGGGCCATGTCGTTGGGTATATCAACCAGGCGAGCAGGGGCGTGTACCTGTATGTGTCTCGTGCATAGGGAGATTGACCACGGGATATGAACCGAGCTGCGTCAGTAAAAACGAAATAGTCGATATCCGTATATTTCATGGGCGAATTCGCGTCCTGCCATAGTCCGTAAAGGAGAAACACTACACGAAGGAGTGTAGCTGCTGTGAACACCAACGCAGGACTGCGGAAAAAGGTCGACAACACCATCGTAATATCAACAAAAATGCAATTGAAAGCACACACAAGGCCCGATGAGAAGATCGGAGCCTGAACTTGATTCGAGATGTCAAGTCTCATCTGCAACTCTGGCCGTCACAGCACGAGCAATCGCAGCCGAGGCCCCGAGTCCTGATTGAGCTAGCTCCCACGTGCCAGCGCGCCTGCACCGTTTGCACTTCGTCATAGTCAGGCCCCTCGACCGCGTCAACGAGATTGCTTTGTCGAAACTCATGAACCAAAACAAACGTAAGAGAGACGAAAAGATGGCGGATGCAGGCAAGCCCGAGCAGCCAACCGGCCCGTTCATTGCCATGTTTGAAGGGTTCCGGAAAGAGTTGGACGAGCATCACGATCGCCGCGAGAGGATCATCAAAGCGTCGAGGGACATTACTGCGTCAAGCAAGAAGATGTAAATATCCGTTGGCTCACCCACTCTGTTTACAAGGCTAACATGCTTTAGCATTTTCACATTACAAAGGTTGGCATCATCGAAAACATTACCTTCATCACGCATTGACAAGATCAAACAGAGTTCGCAACGTAGGCCAACCAGTCCCACCATTTGCCCACAAGTCCAATGCTCAGTACTGGGAAACGATACAAAAGCAATTCTCCAGCATAGCCTCGGACCTGCAATCCCTTAACGCGCACCGTTATGCGCACAACATCACAGGCGGCAACCAGGAATTTATCGAGGCGCTGTCTTTCCAGCACTACCTGGAAACGCAATCCCTAATCTCGTATGACGAGGCCAAAGCCAAGATTGCGGCTCTGAGCAAGGGCGAGCCGAAAGAAGGAGATTTGCAACAAGAACACAATGTCGTGCCGCTCAGTCCCGAAGACTACATTCTGGGCATCTGCGACATGACGGGCGAGTTGATGCGCTTCAGCGTCACCTCTATGGCCACGAATGGCAAGCTCCCGGCGGGCAGGGCCAAGGCGGTTCCAACATCGAAGTCACCTGCTGCGACAGATGACGCAGATAAGATGGAAATAGACTCACAAGCAGCCGCGTCCACCGAGGATCAGAAGCCACGAACTGTCTTGGATGATCTGCGCTCGATCAGGTTGCAGCTGGAGATGTTCGAGGCTCCGTACGGGCCGAAGTGGGTGAGCGAGCTGGAGACGAAGAAGATGCCAGTTTTGCGCGAATGTGTCGACAAAGTAGAGAAGGCGTTGTACGGACTCACAGTGCGCGGCTCGGAGAGGCCGAAGGGGTGGATGCCAGATATGAGCAGCGATAGACGGGCGGAGGTAGAGAGCTATTAGGCCTCCCATGGCTGGCCAACACAACAAACAATACGGTTGAAGCAATGGTCAAAAGTGACTTTTGCAATGTCGCCCAACGAGCGTACATACATCATTCATATACAGAAAGGCTTACAAGACAACGCTAACATAGCCCATAAGAACATAAAGTCGTTCGATGCAACGATCGTTTGAGCACCTCCCCCCAGCCCTCTTGTTGGTATCCATCATATCTAATCCCTCGCCCATCTGCTCAAGCACCCTCAGATGAGCCGTCTGTATCCAGTCCCCACAGGCAACGCGCGCCCACGTCTGCCAACTTGGCCACGCTCTCACGTTTAGTCATGGAGGAAACCAGCCCAACCGTGGTGAAGGCTTCCATCCTAGATCAGTATTGCCGGAACCGCGGCGTGCGCGCTTAGTGGGTCTCGTCGCGGATGAGAGCAACGATCATGCTGTACAGGTAGAAGAAGAACATCAGCAGGTGGAAACCAAGCTTGATGAAGGATTCCTGGTCTTGTTAATACACCGTAGTCTGAACATGTTCGGCGACGCGTACCTTCTTATGAACATTCAGCTTCCTGAAGATTTCTGTTGCATCGAGCAAGTGGTTCTTCTCGAAGATCCTATCTTTCGTCAGCGCAGAGTCCTTATCTTCTTGCCAAGTGCACGTACTTCTTGCCATTCCATGCCAGGAGAGGCAGATTGAGAATGAGCGCGACCCAGTATCCATTAATGAGGAAGAGGAAGGTCAGGAAAGCGTGAACGGCGGCTTCGGGGATGATGTAGGTGTTGAGGCGGTTGCAGAGGTCGATGGGGTTGATGTAATCACTGGCGCAAAATTAGCATGTGCTTGCAGCCGGGCGCGACGCGGGCAGACTGGGCTACGCGAAGCGCTTGCTCCTCGAGGTTGGGAAACTCACCATTCGAGATCGCTGTACATAATGGTGAAGAAGACCTGCAAGAACAGGTTGACGGCGTTTATCAACACCGCCAGAAGGTACAACCATGCTTCGCCAGTCATTTTGAGGAGTTCTTGTGCAGCGCAGTACGAGGATTGGTAGGGTGAGGTGTGACGGAAGCTGGCGGTACAGCCTGAGACTACGTATCGATGCGATTGCGTGTGAGGTGTGCAGTTGTGGAGCGGATGCGGTCGTGTGTTTGCAGGCTGCGGGCTAGACGCGGTAAGCTAGCTCGTGCGCGGCGGGGCGTAGAACTGGAGGTAGGTTGTGATGACGTAGCACCCAACAACTACAGTGACTATAGGGTTCGGATGTAACGAGTCGCAGAGAGCTCTTGTGGACGTGCTCAAGCTGTCAGCAAGCAGGCAGCGATAACTTCTGGATGACGTTTACAGAGACAGATGCTGCCATGCCCTGGTTGAGGTCAAGGCGTGCTCGCTTACCTGATGTGCGTCTCTAGCGGCGAAGCCAACCCCAATCAAGGCGGCGCTCATATTCATGTCACGATGCATATGGGAGTCACAAAGCTGTGTGATGGTCATCTTCGATAATATGCCCACATGGCTCGCAGGAATAGGCACCTGCTGAAAGGGACTTCGGCTCAGATCTCGCAGCAGACTGCTGAAGGCATACTGCTCCATATGGTACCCTATCAGTGCAGCTCAAATGGATTGTGTCAACAAGTCTGCATGATCCTCAACCAATATCTCAGAGACTCCCACCGCCGTTGATGTGTCCAGTTTACTCCTCCCACTCCTCACAGAGTCGCTAAGCTGGCGAGTTCAAGCGCCTCCATCTCTTTCTGTCTGCGGTCGGCCGTTACTGACAGTAGGTCTGCTTAGTCCCTCCTCCATTGGCTACCCTGAGGCCACGGTGTCCTAGCACCAGCGTCTGACGGTTGGTGCTTGGGTTGGCTTAAGGCTTGTTGATCTGTCGTGCAGATTGCTCGTAAACATTATGCCGCTGCAGTCGCCTCACCGTTCACTGGAGCTACCCTTGGGACCGCGCCACCAGGAGAGTTGGGGAGCCTGGCGGTCAGGATTTCGACACCATCTTCGGTAACCAGCAGAGTGTGTTCTGTTCGTTGGTTAGCGGAATACTTTGAGAAGCTTACGGCAAATATACCAAATTGAGCGGTAAGGGAACCGTCCAGGGTTGTGCTGGTCCAGTCATCCGGCCATGTCTTGTCCCTGTAGGATCCAATACTAATCATAGGCTCAATGGTGAAGCACATGCCAGGCTTTGCCTGTCCAATAGCCTTGTTCTTTGCATAATGGGGGACGTTGGGAGCGCAGTGGAAAAGCTGGTTAATGCCGTGGCCACAGTATGTCCTGATGACGCCGCATTTCTGGCTCTTCGCGTGCTTCTCAATAACGTTGCCGTATTCGCGGAATAGTGTTCCTGGCTTGACAAGCTCAATAGCCTGGTCCAAGCACTCGCGAGCTGTCTCAGTCACGCGCACCGCATCCGGGTTTGCCAGCGCCTTGTCGCCGATGTAGTAGGTCTCGTTCAGATCTCCGTGGAAGCCGCCGTGGTATAGTGTGACGTCGATGTTCAGAATGTCACCATCCTTGAGGACTCGCTGGTCGGGAATGCCGTGGCAGATGACCTCATTGACCGAGGTGCATACAGACTTGGGGAAGTGGCAGTAGTTGAGGGGTGAAGGATATGACTGCTCATGTCAGCTCTTGTCGCGTACTCTGGAAGTCGATTCCTTACGTCGCGCTCCATACAAGCATTGTGGACGATCTCGTCAATGTAATCGGTCGTTACACCAGGCTTCGCCGCCGCAGCCGCAATATCTAAGACCTCACGCGCCAGTCGACAGACCTTGCGCATACCATCTTGCTCCTCCTTTGTGAGAATTGCGATCTTGTTCCTGTTTACGAACACCTGCTCTGAGCGCGGTATGCCATCCTTCGAGTAGTCTGGAAGCTTGACGCCTTTCTTTACTTCACGCTTCGCCGACAGCGGGTATACGGGTCGTAGGGTACCGGTGTAGGGAAACGTAGGGAATGGGTTGAAATGGCCCGTCGCTGGATCCGGTTTAGAAACTACTTTTGGCGTGAAGATGTTGGAGAGAATACCGTTCTGCGACTTGTGCGCTTTCTTATGCTCGGCCTGTGCGATGTCAGATTCTGAGCGCAGTCCCCAGAGGACGTGACTACATACCCAGTTGCGCTTGAAGCAGTCTTGCGAGCAGAAGAAGCTTTCCTTGCCCAACTTTTGGCAGTTCGGGCACTGCAGCGAGCCTGCGTCGTTCTCGCAGTCGTTGCCGCTGCACTTGCGCGGGGCGTCTCCGGCCATTTTGTGCAAGGATTTGGATTGTAGAAAGATTTGAATGAGTTCGCGAATTTGTGGCGGTAGCTACAGATGGAGGATACTTATATCACACTTCCAAATGCGTATATAATGAATGCCGCTACTCCGCGCAAAAAAGAGGGTTTGGGTGTTTTGATAGGCACCGCGACTTGAACGCCGAACTTTTGATCGGAATCCACGGCGGGAAGGGTCCAGCCGCGTCAGAGAACGCCGACGGCGGCGATCGTTCGATGCTGACTAACACGGACGTTGAGAAATGCTCTTACCTCTTGCGGCACGTGTTGTATCATCTCTTTTACCATGCGGCAGGCTCCGCCAGGATTTCTCATTTGTTTCCTTGACTTTCGCTGTACATAATTGCGCCATTAAGGGCTTCTGGTAGCGTACACACGAAATGTCTGCGTGTGAGATCTAGATCTCTTACAAATTCCATTACGCCGATACACTATTCGCACTCCCGTCCATCCGGTCAATAAGACTCACACGATCTCTTCAATTTCCTTTGCACCAACACCCACAATGACCATGAAGACTGTAGTTGTCGGGGCTGGCCCAGTCGGGGCCCTCGCTGCCGTTTACGCTGCCGTTCGAGGACATGACGTGGAAATTTACGAACTGCGACCAGGTCAGTTGTGGTTGTCACAAAGCTCTCGTTGAGAACTAGCGAGGCTGACTTGACTGTAAAGACATTCGAGACGCCTCAACAACTCCACTGAACACCAAATCTATCAATCTGGCTCTGTCTGAGCGTGGCATCAACTCACTGCGGCAGACTGGTCTGTCAGATCTTGCAGATGCTGTGCTCGCAAACACGGTGCCCATGCACGGTCGTATGATTCATGTTAAGAAACATGGAAAGTACGTGCGTGAGGCACAGCAGTATGATGCGCATGGTCGTGTGAGTTTTACGATGTAGCCGATCGTGTGTCTAGCTAAGAATAAGCAGGACCTTTTAGCTATGGATCGGACAGAGTTGAACAGAGCTCTGATCGCTCACTTGGACGCAATGCCTAATGTCAAGTTCTTCTTCAAGCACAAGCTGATTGGCGTGGACTTCAAAAAGAAGTCAGCTTGGTTCGAGAACCGCTCGGAGAAGAAGGACCTACTCACACAAGGACCGGAATTCAAGCTGACCTTTGACCTCCTTATCGGTGCTGATGGTGCTCATTCTGCGGTACGGAACCATCTTATGAAGTTTGTTCCCATGGCCTACCAGCAAGAGTACATCGACAAGCTTTGGTGTCAATTCGGTGTCCCAGCAACATCCGATGGAGACTTCCGTATACCGCCAAACTACCTCCACATTTGGCCTGCGGACGAGTCCATGTTCATTGCCATTCCAAACACCGACAAGACCTTTACCTCAACACTTTTCATGACCAAAGAACGCTTCGATGATTTGGGAGAATCAGGAAAGGTCATTGAGTACTTCAGCAAAAATTTCCCCGCCGTGGTACCCGACCTCATCACAGAGGATGATTTGAAAAAGCAATTCAAAGACAATGAGCACCTGCCTTTGATCTCCATCAAATGTACTCCATACCACTATCAGGACTCCGGTGTCATTGTCGGGGACGCTGCACATGCCATGGTACCCTTCTACGGACAAGGAATGAATGCTGGCCTCGAAGACGTCCGTGTACTCTTCGAAATCCTCGATAAACACCCCAACGACCGCACAAAAGCGCTAGAGGAGTACACAAAAGAGCGCACACCAGATGCGCAAACCATCAATGATCTTGCGCTTGGCAACTACCGCGAGATGGCATCAGATGTCACAAAACCTCTGTACCTACTCCGCAAGTGGGTTGAAGAGACGCTATATGTCCATCTACCTGCCTTGGGCTGGGCCACCCAGTATTCGCGAGTCACGTTCAGCAATATGAGATACTCGGAGGTCTACGAGGCATCGCAGAAGCAAGCAAGGATACTGAACGTCGCTGTCGGGCTTGGACTAGCCACAGTATTTGGGTCCACTCTCTTGTTTGCCGGTAGCGGAGGATTGCAAAAGGCAAAGATGGGACTGTTGCGAGGCATATGTCTGGCTGCCCAAGGCGCACAGCGGGTGATTCAAGGCTGATGATGAGGGGTATACCCGACTGCTCAATACGCACGATGTATGACCAATGGTCGATGCAGCGTACGGTTTTACAATTTCCTAGCAACATCTTATACAGTATACCCAGACTCACGACGGAAGTGTAGATCTAGAAAGACAGCACCCATAAACTCATTTACAGATGAATACAAAACTGCGGTTAGCAAAATAGCCGGACCGACCTTACTCGGCTTCTCCTCTCAACAGCTTCGCAAAAGCTCCACTTCTCTTCCTCTTCAGTTCCGCATAGCCACCCTCTTCGATCACCCTCCCCTTGTCCAGCATAATGATATGCTCAGCGATACTCATCATCTCCCTCGCATGCGTGATGATAATGACCGTCATCTGCTTCTTCTTCCCCTTCCCCTTAGCCCTCTTACCCCTCGCCCGAAGCCACCCAGGCGAGCCAACAACCCCATCGCTCGGCTCCCAATCTTTCCCATCCCAGAATCCACCGGCTCTACTCCTCGGGCTCAGCGGCCGATCCACCGTGTCGTCGTGCTCAGTAGGCGAGGCAACAAGCCTTAAAATTGTCTCGCGAATCGTGGCCGCGGCGATGGCGTCAAGTGCGCTCGTCGCCTCGTCCAGAATGAGGATATCTGGGTTGCGGACCAGCGCGCGCGCGATGGCGATTCTCTGGCTCTGGCCGCCCGATAGAACGGTTCCGCCGTCGCCGATCAGGGTTTGGTAGCCGTTGGGCAGGCTGTCGATGAATTCGCTCACGCCGGCTGCGTCGGCTGCTGCGCGGATGCTCTCCAGGCTTGACTCTGGGCTTGAGGGGGATACGGCGTAGGCGATGTTCTGGGCGATGGTGCCGGGAAAGATAACGGGGGTTTGGCTGACGATGGCCATGTGGGAGCGGAGTGAGCTGGTGTGGAGTGTTTTGATGTTTTGGCCGGAGACGGTGAGATCTTTTCCTTCGGAGGCGAGGAAAGTGCCTATGTTCTGGTTTGTGGGATACAGTTTTAGCAGCAGAGCAGCGACGGTAGACTTTCCACTCCCAGACGAACCGACGATAGCTGTACAAGAGCCGCGTGGGATCGAGAAGGAGATGTTATGCAGAACTTGATGATCTCGTCGGGTAGGATAGGTAAAAGAAACGTTGTTGAACGATATGTCACCAGCGATTTCGATCTTTTGGGTTCCACGGCCTTCGTGGGAGTTTTCTGGGAGGCGAGCAAGATGAAGAAGGCGGGCACCGGCTTCTCGGGAGATGTTGACTTGTGTCATGTACTGTGACATCTGACTGATATCGTTGATAGACAACATAAGGATCATGAATGTCTCTGTAATACTGAGAACACTGTGTACGTTACGAGAGATGAGCCACGCGCCGAACCAGAACAGGGTGATGATTACGAATTGAGCAGAGGTATTGAGTAGACCAAAGATCGATCCAGAGTAGATAGCGCGTTTGACACCAACATGGATGGCATTATTGGTCGCTTGTTCGTACTTCTTGCGGAAGTGGTCTTCCAGAGTGAGGCAACGCACGGTACGAATGTTGACAAATGTTTCGTGGAGCACTTGACTCACGTTGTCAGCAGCCTCGTTCGCGAGGTTTTCCCAGTGACTGCTAATCATGTTGTATGCCTGGGTAATGACAAACAGGACGGGCCCTGACGCAAGAGCTACCAGGGTCACTTTCCAGGAGATGGCCAGGCTCCAAATGACCGAAACTACCAGTACAAGAAACATGGAAAAGAAGATGCCGGCAAAACGTCCAGGCAGATTTCGAGCTTCTTCAGCAAAATGATCTAGAGTTTCGGCCAAGCGCACCATGCTGTTTTCATCTTTGTCAAAGAACTCGCGGGGCTGTGAAAGTACACGCCGCATAGCCTCAGTTTTTAGTCTCTGTACCCATGCTTGTGCCACGCTGTCATAGAGAAAGAACATGAAATATTCAGCAAAGCCATCTATGATAGCAATGCTCAATATGATCATGATATAACGGATTGCCTCGGCTTTAGTGTCGTCGAGAGCGTAGAATGTGGCCAGCAACTGTGAGAACACCCAGGCAAAGACAGGGGTTGCGACTGCGTGCACAATTGTTGCTAAGATGGCAGCAAAGAGAGCGATTCGGGATCGCCAATTGATGTTCGGCCACACCGACCTCAAGATTTGCGTAATAGGCAACGAATCAGAAGGTACCTTTGACTCATCAGGAATGTTTTCGGTGCTCGGCTTAGATCGAAATTCTCTCGGAACTGAGTACTGGCCGGGCTGGGGGAGATGCGATGTGCGCGGGGCAGCGACAGACAATCGCCTCGGGTATGTAGAGTGGCTTGAGATCGGTCGTGGGAGTACTTGTGAGACTGGCCTTGATCCGGAGTCCCTTTCCTGAAACAAGTACCGTCTGGACATGCGCTCATCCAGAAGGGTTCTGGAAGTGCGTGCGGTGTCGAACTGATCTAGCCCAGAAATGTCTGATATGGCCGACAATGGCTCTGGTTGAATTTTCCGTGGCACGGAACTGGCTTGATGAAAGTAGTTTCTTTCTTTCTGGGTGTTGTTCTCTTCGTCGCCGATCCTTGACAGCACGATGTCTGCTCTGCTGCTCACAGTATCGGACCGACCCAGTGCACCTTCCGCCTGGAAAGATGACAACACAGATTGCCCAAACAACACAGCGGAAAGTGGACGTCGTGTTGGAGTAGGCATGGTCCAAAACTCACGATACAGCGACACAATCTCATCTGATTGAGCGTCGTCATCCTCGCCTTCTGACAAGTCGCTTTGCGGATCTTCCTTCTCTTCATGCGAGTCGAGGAAAAGTTGAAACGCTCCAGGCTGCGCCTCCAGATCCTTGCGGTAGCCTTCTTGGAGCACGTGAGCTTTATCGAGAAGGTAGAGGAAATCATCAGGCTGGATTTGAGAGATGTCATGCGTTATGACGATGGTTGTTTTGCCGTCACGCCATTTACGGATGGCGTCGAGGATCATAGCCCGTGTGACATAGTCGAGAGCGCTGGTAGATTCGTCCAGAATCAAGACGGGCGAGTCGCGAATCCGAGCACGCGCCAACGCCATCCGTTGCTTCTGCCCACCACTGAGAGAGCTACCCTTTGCACCAAGATCAGTCTCGAGGCCTGCTGGAAGAGCTTCCACAACCGGATCTAACATCGCAAAGCTAACAGCATTCTTGATATCATCCATGGTTATAGAACCACTGCGATCGCCCAAGAGGATGTTGTTATGGATGTTGTCGTTGAACAACACACTGTGCTGCTCCACCAGCGTAACATTTTGTCGTAACCATTGAACATCAAGTTTATTGATTGGCACATGATCGAGCAACACTTGACCGGAATGTGGCTGGTAGAATCGGACAAGTAGTTGGCCTAGTGTACTCTTGCCAGACCCACTTTTGCCTACGACAAAGGTCGTTTCTCCTGCTGGGAAGAAGAGAGTCGCATCTTGGAGAGCGATCTGGTCCGCTCTCGTGGGATAGGAGAAAGTAACCTAACTGATCAGCAAAGCACAAGAACTGAATGATCAGTGTAGGTTTACTGACTTTGCTGAATTCAATGTCACCTGGACATGCCGAGGGCTTGAACTCTCCTTGCATCTCGTAGGGTTCATCTTCCCTAGACATCTGCTCTATCACCGACCGAAGTCTAGCACCAGACACCTTACCTTTCTGCATAACAATGAATTGTGGCAAGAACCCAGTGATGCCCCCAATTGCCAGCAACGCTGCCCAAAAGGTAGTGATGACGCTTTTGACATCGATGCTTCCAGATCTGATCAGATAGGAGCCATAAGCGAATCCTTGGACAAAGACCGTAAAAGTGAAGAACTTTATCAGGCCAATTTGCATAGATCGAAGGTTAGCTACGCGCTTGTACAATTTCGCCGCAAGAGAGGTAGTTGTTGTAAACGATTGTAACTCGTAGCTCTCGCCATTGTAACACTTTACCGTTTCGATGCTTTGAATTGCGTTGGTGATGTACTTCAGCGCCATTTGGAGTTGGTTGGCTTGCTCGTGCGTTCGTGCATTCAGTCTCTTTGATAGGTATGCTTCCACGAGGTAGATCAAAGGTACCGTGGAAATGATAACAAGAGTTAGGTTCCAAGAGTAGTAGAACGCCACTCCCATAGCGGCGATTGCAGCGGTCACGCACTGCAGTCCTTCTCCAAGTGGTGCAGAGACTGACAGCTGGAGATCGCGGATGTGCCTAATGATGCTTAGTACACATGACCAGGGCTGATAAAGCAACTGCTCACATTTGGATGGTGGGCAAGAATGCAGCAATCCCGCTGTCTCTCATGTCAAACCATGACATATCCTTCTGGAGAAGCACCTTGAAGATCCTAGTCCTTGCGCTTTTCGCCTGCAGCTCTCCAAAAAATAGGAAGAGGAAGAAGAAGATGCTGTTCAGTACCCAGTTGGCTGCAGCAATGCCAGTCAGGATCAGGCACAGCCTCGATACCTCACTCAGCAGCTTGTCGCCGTCGAATTTGCCAGCGCCATAGTCCGAATATGCACCAAAAACGAGACCGTAGAGAACGGAAAATATAGGCAGTGTGGTGGCGGCGACAGCTGCACTTGCGAGCGCGCTAATCAGGACCACAAGGTGACTATTGGTGGTGAAGGCGAAGAGCGCTTTCCATCCAATTTGCTCAGCATATCGCTGTTCCTCGTCGGCTTGCGTAGCAATTTTCTCGACCTCCTCGGATTGTCGCGAGTCTGAATTGGCCGCCATGTGGGTTGGTGGACTCGAAGCGAATGGAATGTAAATGATCAATTCTAGGGTGGACGACGAGGGCGGAGCGATGCAAATACGATAGTAAGTGAAAGACAAGGAATTTCCATTTCTGGCTTAGTGGGTGCTCTCCAAGCGGCGCGCAGCTGTTCTGGAGGGACTGGGTGCATAGGTCACTTTGTCTGGTCTTGCTATTGTTCTTGCTCCAGGACTTCCGACGTAGGGTCGTCCAGCAGCCGCACCCGTTTTTTTGGCAACGCCACACTGCAAGAGATTATCGGGAACTGAACCGAGACAGAAGATGATCAGGGAGTCGAGAAAATATACCAAAGTTTGCGTTGATTTGTTAGATGTATGCAGCGCAAGCATGGCGACCTGCAGAAGACCCACTCCCATGCTTGTGGGAGGGTTCCGCCTCCTACCCCTCCGAACCAATTATCTATTGTAGCTCATAGATTTAACGGGCCGGACAAAGGCAAATAGTTCCGAGCAAGACGGCGAGAGAGATTGTAGTACAATCGTTCGTACATGGCGGCGACTCGAAGCGCACGGGACCGGTAGGTCATCACGGACAAGTCCCGACCCGTAAAACGACAATGCAGGACGCTTTCCACCCTTCGTATGGCTAAGAGTCAGGTCATGCTGCTTTGAACCTGTCTATTTGCCCTGGTGAGCCTGCTCGTAGACCCAGTCGTTCAGGCCCTTGCGGTTACTGCACTCGTCAGCTCTGCAAGTACGCGGTCAGAGATCACACTTACCGAGCGATCTCGACAGCGTAAAACTGCATGCGCACGGCAAAGATCGTCCCCTCCTGTGTGTAGTCTGTCTTGTGGCTAGCACGCAGCATGGCACCGAAGTTGTAGTCGTCCACCTTTGTCTCGTACACGTTAATGAAGTTGCGCCATCGCTCCTTTCCAGCCTTGCTCTTCATCTCGTCCTCGTCTATTGTGGCTGCTGCATCGAAGTCGGGGAACTCCTTCTGGAAGTGCTCATAGATCTCGTCGTCGAGCTTGGTGAGGCGTAGAGTCGAGCCCTTGACCTTTTCGAGGATGTTCCAGTACGTCTCCATGTGCTGGACGACTGCGCAAACTGTCAGCGGAGTCACATCATGACATTGCATGTTTGCGCACCCTTCACTGCGAACTGCTTCTCGATATCCTCGAAGTTGTCGGCATGCTCTGCATCGAGCGGAACGCCGGGTGCGCCGAGAGACATATTGGAGTATGCAGGCTATTTGCTGTTGATATGCGAGATATGGAGATATTCAAGCAGAGCTTTGAGTCGTATGATGTCGTGTGGTGTATTGAAACGGTCGGGCGCAAAGCGGTCTTAATTTTGTTCCAAAAGTGACGGCTTCGTCATTGAGACCCCGCCGCCACAGCCCACACAGGGCTGGTGAGGGGCATGACTGAACACCAAAACTTCCACGACAAGCTGTGGCTTTCGATCTGATAGCAGTAGCATTGCCTGCCAATGTCACCCACACTTCACGTGAGTATACGTGAGATTGCCTGCAAATCGGCGCTGATTCGCCCAGCATGAAAGCACTCGTGTACCAGTGACCGCGTTGGCATCGAGCGGCGCGCTGTTGATCGCTGCTGAAGGACCATTCCTTCGATTCTATCACGCCAAGACTTCACGATATATCACATCGAAACGCGTCTTCAAAGCTCAAGCTGTTCATGGTATATGTGTGACTGCCGAACGAGTCGGAAATGTGACAAATCTTGTGGTTTGGGGCGGACGTCTTGTTCGTGCCCTCCAGATCAACGCCGTACCAGACGCCTCAAAACCTGAGCCGCTGTCTCTGAGTCTTTCAAATGTTGTGAGAGCTCCTGACTGGATTCTCGACCTTGCGCCTCGGATGAGTAGCCTACATGACGACAATGTGTCCAGCCAGGGCATCTGTGCTGCAGTAACTGCACACAACGCGCTTCTCAAGCTGACTATGCATTGTCCAAATGAAACGGCAAACTCCCCAAGGTAGGCCACAACTTCTCCAAATTATCAACCAAGGTTAAAATTGGACGTCTCTGGCTTACTGATGATTAGTAACAGCTCCTTAAGCCTTGAGATCTGCGAACTTACAACAAGCTCGCGATCTATTTTGTACTCTGCGCATCTCCTCTGGGAATCGCCTGACCGCATACTTGTCGCTGCTGGTACAGCATTCGGCGAGATCATGTATTGGTCATGGACCAAAGTGGCCCCTGCCAAAGCCGATTCCTCCATTCATCAAGTCTTCCTTGGCCACGAAGGCTCAATCTTCGACGTTCGCATCTCAAAAGAGCTCCGACCCGGTTGCTGCGGTAACCTGACGCGAGTCATTGCTTCTTGCAGTGACGACCGCACCATTCGTCTCTGGGACGTCTCAGATGTGAACGTCAATATCGCCGAAACGGATGCTGTGAGCGAGACTACAGAGGTCCAACGGACACGCCACACAGGATTTAGCGTCGCAGCCACTGGCACGCAGTCTGACAATTCGCATTGCCTTGCGATTGGATGGGGGCACACCTCAAGAGTCTGGAAAGTGAGATTTCTGGACTCTCCATCCGGGGACGGATCGTTGGGTCTTCTATCAGCCGGCGAAGACGCTACTTCACGCACATGGAAGCTTGCAGCCAGTACGGGAAAAGCGGATGCCTTACCGTGTACACTAGAGCAGACTGACTGTGCCGCTTACCATAACGGTAGAAATATGTGGTCAATAACCACATATCGTGAAGCTGCTGGTTCAGTACGCGTTGCATGCGGAACTGCTGACAGCAAACTTACTACTCACCCGTTAATCGGTGCAGATCGACACACGCAAGGCCAGCACATCACATCCTCCGAGTATAGTGTACAAGAATTGCTACACATGGCACAGCCTTCAGGTATCGTCGAGGAAACTCACCAGCTTAAGAAAGTGTCAAAGAAGGAAGATTCGATCAGGAGTTATTGCTTTGTCCTCAACAGCACCTTTCTCCTCATCACCAACTCCGGTAAGATTTTAGTCAAGTCGTTTGGCACAGAAAAAAGCCCTACTCTACCGAGTAACTTGGCAACGTCGGTAATGGTAGATCAGCTGGAAGAACTATCTGGCTACTCAACCTGCATCGGCGCGCCTACCCACGGGGTGGCTTTTCTCGCAGGCACCCGAGGCAGCATATATATGTACTCTGCGGTCGACAAGACTCTGCAAATCATTCACACAATCGCCGGTAAGGTCGGCGCTCTGTTCGTAACAGGTGAAACCTCGATCGATGGCCGAAATCAACTCGTGCTCCTGATTACACTAATGGGACAGAGACAAGCCCAGCTGCTCTATATCGACCTTGCAACAAGCTCATCGCCTCTGAAATTGAGAGTTCTATCCACACCCATCTCGGATATCTCGACTGGCCCAACAATTACAAGCATGCTCGTAGTCAGAACGAGTTCGGAGCAGGACTTCTTGTTCCTGGGATTCCGCCGTGGATCAATAAGTTTAAATACCTTGTCGCATGATACCACGAGTCCGGAAGCTACCCTCCTCAGGATCCTGGAAAAAGTTCATGGCGATGACACTGTTACTGCAATGATGTTCCAAGTATCACCTGAGAGGTCATCGGCCGGCTATCTATACTCGGTGGGGCGAGACGGTTGTCTTGCCGTGCACTGGATCGATCTCACTGGGAATATCACCGAACTTGTCCACAAGCTGGTCCTGCCCATTGGACCGAATATTGAAGACCTTTACTTTCATCAAAACCATCTATTAGTGCACGGGTTCTCAAGCAAAAAGTGGATCCTATACGATGTGTCTACCGAGGAAGAGATAATGGGTATTGAGACTGGCGGTGCGCACCGCAGCTGGGCATTTCAACCAAACTCGGATCCATCCTGTCTGCAAGGTGGAGTGCTGGTATGGACAAGAACATCGAGTCTGCATATTTGTAGTCAGCAAAGACCGAATCATGACGTGCTGCGCTCTGGCGGCCATGGGCGTGAGCTCAAGGCTGTAGCAGTGTCCTTGCCAATACGATGTTTGCAAGGCCCTGAGAAACGTTTAGTCGCCACTGGCGCAGAAGACACAGATATCAGAATATTCCAGTATATCGGAGGGGAGTTGGTATGCCGGATAACGTTGCGCAAGCACACCACAGGTATTCAGCATCTGCAGTGGTCTGATGACGGTGAATATCTTTTCAGCAGTGCTGGATCTGAAGAATTCTACATTTGGCGAGTGCGAGCTCTGGAGACTGTTGTTGATATAGGAGTTGTCTGCGAATACGTCTATACGCCAGAGAGCGAGTTCTCGGACCTACGTATCATGTCTTTCGACGTAGCTCGGAGTGGCAATGCTTTCACGATTGCGATGGTATTCTCGGACTCAAGCATCAAGGTCAGTGTAGTCCCTAGATCATGTGAGCGTTGCTAACAGTACAAAGACATATATCTACAACCCAACGCTTGCTACAAAGTGGCAGTCTTTGTCCAAGGGCATCTACTTCACCTCTTGCCTCACGCAGTGTATCTTCATCTCGCCCACCACCCTGCTGACAGCTGGCACAGATGGCCACGCAGTCTTTTGGCCGCTGCCTGTCAATGCATCGGGCCAAGCTTTGACGTGGCAGGGTCCCGCACGAATCCACCAAAATGCATCCAAAGCAATGGCATCGCACACGAACAGCGTCGGTACGATGCTGATTGTATCTGGTGGCGACGACGGTGCCCTGGCCTTTCTGCTCGTCCACCCTACGAAGCTGGACCACTCCCGAGCAGCACAAGCATGCTACACAATCCCCCCAGTGCTTGTCAAGTCCGCACATAGCTCTGCCGTGACTGCGGTTGCGATTGTCAACATCGGGTTGCAGGTGTATGTTCTCACATCAGGCAACGACGAATGGATCCGCCTTTGGGAAATAGTCATTGGTGACGCTGAGGATGGTGATGCAAGCAAGGGCAGCCCTGACGGATTGATCGTGAAGAGGATCTCAAAGGTCAAGACTAGTGTTGCCGATGTCTCCAGTATGGCGGTTGTGGACGATCATGGCGATGCATCGAGAGTGCTGATCTGTGGTGTCGGCATGGAGATCATTCGTCTGGAGCGATAGAACGAAGATGAGTGCAGAGACAGATTTTAGTATTCACCATGCTCGAAGCAATGATTCTCTGCGGCATGATCCACGCGTGTAGCATTGAAGGCTTCTTAATACCAACACCGGAAACAGCAAAGTGCCTGCCCTCGTCCTCAATCAATCAAGGAGAACAAGCATGACGTCGTTCTGATCAGAGCCGTGGTGGTGATGCTACAGGACCGGGTAGACCCGCATGCAGTGCCGATCTAAGCCCGTCTGGGACTGTTGGCACAGCAACATGTGTTGTCAGCAACACACGGTCAACAAAGCACGCTCCACCGCTATTACCTCGAACCATCCCAACCCACGAGAGCGACACATCTCGCACTACTAACCCGCAACCATTGTCCAGCAATATCATGGTCGCAACACGCCGCGGAGCAAAGGCCCCGGAGGCGGCGCCTGCCGCGTCGACACTCTCCGCGCCGCCCAAGCGCGGCAGGAAGAAGGCCGTCGTCGAAGAAGCCACAGAACCCGCGCCCACTGCGACAAGAGCCGCCAAAACAACAACCACAAAGCGCAAGGCCAAGACAGAACCAACGCCTGAGCCTGAGCCCACAGTCGAAGAAGTGCCTACACAGAAGAGGACACGCGCAACACGTGCAGCCAAGGTCGAGACATCAGGAGAACATGCACCTGTAGCGCCGAAGAGAGCCACGCGCGGTCGTAAAGCCTCAACACCGATCGTCGAAGAGCCTGTCGTTGAAGAGCCAACCGAAGAGGAGGAGGCCACCATGCCACAACAACATGTAAAAATTCAGGTCGCAACACGCGCGCGCAAAGCACCCGTGAAGAAGACACCGGCTAAGAAGGCTGAGCCTGTCATTCAAGAGGAGCCTGCAGCAGAGGAAGAAGAGGTCCCAAGAACGGCGACACGGACTCGCAAGACCGTCACGATCGAGGAGCCCGTTGCAGAAGAGGCGCCCAAGCCTGCGTCGCGCGCACGAAAGGCACCCATCAGGAAGGCACCAGCTGCAAAGGCCGAGGAGACCCCTGTAGTTGACAACACAATCAGCGCTGAGCCCATCAAGCCATCATCTCGCGCGCGCAAAGCAGCCACGCCTCTCGACACTGCGCCCGTCCTTGCACCTCCCAGCAGAGCAGGACGCACAACTCGCAATGTCGAACTTCCTCCAGCTTCGCCGCTAAAAGCACCTGCGCGCAAGCCAACAAAGAAGGCCACTCCAGCCAAGGCTGCAAAGGCTGTCGTCGAGGAGCCTACAGCTGAGATCGTTGTGAGTGAGGACGCTGCGCCTGCACCTGAGTCGAACGAAGAGCCCTTCACAGAATACCCTGCGGTTCCCTCCACACCTGCACATAGCATCCAGCCTCTGACCAATAAGCGAGCCTTGTTTGAGCTGCCTCAGTACCCCAAGACGCCCGCGCATATCAAAGCTCCCATCTCCAACAAGGCTGCGCTGGCCGAGATGCCTGGTTACCCCAATACTCCAGCACACATTCAGGCGCCGGTTGCCGCATCTCCGGACACCGACGTTTTGATGACCGAGATGCCTGAAGAGTACCCCAAGACACCCGTCCACATCAAAGCACCGATCAGCCACAAGGATGCAATGAAGGAGCTTCCAGACTACCCGAAAACACCTGCCCACATCAAGGCGCCATTGTCTGCTAAGGAAGCTCTGAATGAGCTGCCTGGATACCCGAAGACTCCTGCACATATCAAGGCACCTTTGAGCACGAGACAAACACTCGCTGAGCTGCCTGACTATCCCAAGACCCCTGCGCATATCGTCGTTCAATCACGCTTGAGTGTCATTGAGGAAGTGTCCATGGAGACATCTGCCACTTCCGAATCGCTTATCCTGCCCCCTGTTGGCTTGTTCGCTGTGCCTCGCACACCAGCGGCGCAATGTTCACCAGTACATATTGCTAAGAAGGAGATATTCACTCCCCAAGGTGCAACCTCTGCGGTTGTGTTCCACGCGCCATGCACGCCGCGAGCGCAATCCTCCCCGGAGCACGTCGCAGTCAAGGAGGTCTTCACTCCCGCCGTCTCAGCGACTGAGGACGCCCAAGTTGAGGAGGTTGCGGCAGCTACCACCCCAGTCCAGGTAGTCACACCTGTCCGAAGCAACACACCTGAGATTGTGCAAAGAACACCAGCCGTTCGATTCATGGCTCCCTCTACCCCACCTGCACAGTGCTCACCAGAACACATTGCTCCCAAGGAGACCTTCACACCCGCATTTGCGCTCCCAGCGGTCGAGCTCAAGGCGCCTTGCACACCTCCAGCGCAAACCTCGCCTGAGCACATTGCGAACAAGGAAAACTTCACGCCTCACTCGGCAGCTCCGGTGACTCCTGTTCGTGCCACGAGCGCGAACAGAAAGGCTTTAGGTGAACTTCCTGACTATCCCACAACACCAGCCCTGGCCATGGAGGCAGCGATCCAGGAGGAGATCAGAGCATCTGCCAAGAAGCAGACTCCTTCGCCATCTCACTTCTCGACCAACGATATGTCGTTCGACGAAGCCAGTGAAGTCACCGACCTCAGTATCTCGGACCTCGAGAACGAGAACACTCCCGCCGAGAAGCCGCAAGCTCAGTTTGCACCACTGCAGTTGAAGCCCTTGACGTTGGCACCTCCGACGAGCAAGATACCCTTCTTTGCACCACCAACGTTCACACCATCGGTCTTTACGCCCCGAGCGACTGGCTCACTGTTCTCGGCTCCTGCGCAAAAGTCGCCGGCGAAGGCTGCTACATTCGCACCAGGCACGAACTTCTCAGCTTCCACCTTTGCGTCGCCCATGAAGTCATCCCTTCGCTCTCCCGTCAAGTCGTCCTTGCGATCACCTGAGAAGAGGAGGAGTAACGACAGTCCAAAGAAGGCTGTCACTTGGGGTGACTTCGAGGAGCCGTCTATTCTCTTCGACGGTCCCCTGCAGGGCCTGATGTTCTACGTCGATGTTGTCTCCGACAGCGGCAAGGACCAATCCTTCCTCTTCGAGACTCTTCTCACAGATCTCGGCGCGAAGGTTTCCAAGCAATGGAGCAACACCGACATCACGCACGTGCTGTACAAGGATGGCAAGGCTGACACGCTCAAGAAGGTTGTCGAGAGCAAGGGGTCTATCAAAGCTGTGAACGTTAGCTGGGCCCTTGAGTGCGAGGCGAATAAGAAGCGCGTCGACGAAACCAAGTACCTCGTCAACCTCTCTTCTGCCCTCCCATCAAGCCCGAAGGCTTCCGCAGTTCCATGCACGCCTGCGAAAACTCCCTCCAGATACGCACTTCCACCATCGTCGGGCGAGCGCAGCCAGCCCGCGACTCCCACCTCATCCGAATTCGACCGCTCCATCAACCTCGATGATAAGGAGAATAGCGAGCTCGGCATCTACTTCGAGCCCGACGGCAAGATGGCGGTCCGCACCCTACCCCAGAAGAAGTCCAACTTCCTCCTGAGCCGTAGCCCCATCAAGACACCAAGCAAGCAGAGGATGATGACGGCGACACCCATGAGGCCGTTCTCGACCACCAAGAAGAGGAGCGCTGAGGCCTTCTCGGGCATCTCGATGGCGCCCCCCAAGAAGCTGAGGCTGCTCTGAGCGGCATGTAGATATTTTGATTATGGCGTTTGCATAGGGAAAGCATGGATGGCGTCGGACTGGCGTTTCTGCAGCGACGGCTTGAGCAGGGCAGCATTGTCGTCCCTCTTCGTGATTTTCATCAGGGCTTGAGAGTCGCTCATTGCGTTGTAGCATCTTACGGTGCTCCCGTGGACGACTCAAGACAGCCGGGTGGAGAGAGCGGAGAGGGCGTCAACATCGTCGTGTCCCAAGGCTTCGACTCGCACTGTGTTTTGTTCATACATTTCTGTCCCACACTCACTTGTCCTATGGACTAAGGGGCCCGGCGTTGTATATGGGAGCGGGGCTGGTGTTTATACATTGCTTGTTCATAAACCACGTACAATCGAATTCACATACTCGATACTCTACATTTCCAACGCTTTGCCGCCGAGGCATGGTTGAATCATAGAAGACCTTGAAATACTGTTTTTCGATGCTTATAGAAGGACGTAGGTGCTAATTATTAATTTGTCGAACATACGACAACTGCACATGATGCTGTCTATATACTTGCTCTTTTCTCACCGCATGGTTGTCGTATAGCCATGCCATACATCCACGTTTACCACTGCCTACTCTTCTTGAAGATCGGAATCTTATCAAAGTCATCCACACTCCACCTCAACTTACCTTCCTTATCTATCCACGCACCTTCATCACTGGTCTTAAGCTCCTTCTTCTCGTTCTCCTGCATCTCCTTCTTGCTAACACCCATATCGTCCTTCGCCAGCCAAATAACCGGCGTCTGGCTCGAGTACGCCGGATGAAGATACGCCTTGCGCACATCATCATCACTGTACTCGGGGATATGGTCCTCGTCGAAGTCGCCGTCGCGAAGCCATTGCTGCATTGCCTTGTGGCTCGCAAAGATATGCGGCTCGAAGAACCGGGCCAGCGGGCCTGTGACTCGGGGCGAGATTCGGATCGCGCTGCTAATTCGGTTGATGCGGGCGTTCTCGCGGCTGATTGCGTCGGACTGGCCTTCTTCTACGGACGAGAGGAGGGGCGCTTCTTCGTCGTCTTCGTCGCTGCTGCCGTCGAGGGCTAGGTCTGCGGGCAGGTACTGCTCGAGAGGGGTGAAGTGGCGGTTGGTAAGGATATTGAAGACGATTGTGACGAGAAGCAAGATGCCGAGCATCACTGTTGGCCCGAAAGCACCTCTAAGGCTGAACAGTCCGATTAGGCAGAGCTCGGCGATGTACACGCCGGTGAGCATTTGCTGCAGCGCAAGTGTGTAGCAGTGTCCCTTTGTGTCGACCTTTGGCTGTGCGGTGAAGAGAAGCATGTAACGGTAGCTGAGATAGAAGAGGACTAGACCTGCGGCAGCAAAGCCCAGAACCAAGGGTGCGATGCAAGAGTATACAATCGCTAGGCAAAATCAGCAGAGTCGAATACAATAGCAGAACAAGAACTAACCGATGATGACGAAGTTGACATACTTGGGGAACAATTTGCCCCATTGCATGCCTTTCAGCGTAATGTAGCTGTTGTACTTCTGGCGTGGTGTCTTATCGAAGAACCTGTCATAGAACAAATACGACAGAACATCTGAGTAGTTGAGGAGGTTGTCGGAGGCGCTGGTTAAACCTTGAACGACGAAATACGTAAGATAGGAGTTTGATGCACGAGGCAGGCGCTCGGCGAGCAGCTCAGGTACCTTGTTGGGATTCTTCGCGATCTGGGAGACTACGGTCGCAGCGCCGGAAGAGAGCGAGGTTACCAGGAAGACCTGTAAGACCTGGAATACGTAATACCACTTCAGTACCTTCAACTCAGTAGATGTCTTGGTAGGTTCTCCAAACGTGGTGAAGATATCTGGATCAGTCAGTAAGGTCGCCGTTGGACAGCTCGTCTATAGACGTACATCTGAAAATCTTCGGCACATATTTGCTGAGCGCGCTCAAAAGTAGAGGCGGAAGCAATCCAGTCAGGAGGTTGATAATACTGTCCGGTAGTCGATTGAGGAAGCTGAGGAACTTGAAATTCTCCGCCAGGTACGAGACGTTCGACACCGCACCAACGAATGCAACGGGAATGGACCAGAAGATGATCAAAGCGATGACCAGGCCATGTGCCAGTATGCTTTGCGATATGCGCCTAGAGGGCTCGATCGTGAGGTTTTCCCAGGTGATCTCGCTCGGTTGAACACCAGTAAAGCGTGGAGTGAGAGACAATATATCCGACGATGCGACCTGTTGGTACGCCTTCTGCGCCGCAGACTGCGTGCGAAACTGTACAAAGACTGCAGCTGCGCCATGATGGTTCTGTGCACTCGCGTTAGATTCTCGCGCCTTGTTAATCTCCTCTTCTGTTTCCAAAAGCTGGTTGCGGGAGTAGTCAATGCTATCCACCTGCTTGCCCACAGGCTTTGTAGTTTTCAGCCTTTGGGTCGGTCTAAGCGACTGTTTGACGCTGTCGGAGAGGCTGCCATAAGTGATCCTCTGTCCATTATGCCTAGCCTGGCTTCTTCTCCCTTCTTCATTTGCTTTTTGAATCAACGAAATCTCTGCAGTCTCAAGTTCATCGACTTTTGTATCCCTGGATGAGACGAGGCTCTGCAGTTTTTGCGCTTTGGTCACTGGCCAGACCTTGACAGCATCATGTCCAAAGAATCGTGTCATGTTGCTTTCATCCAAAGCAGCTGTCGGTGCCGATAAGAACAATACTGTGCGTGATGATAGTCTATTGGCGTTGGGCTTTGACAAGTTCCACGCTTGACGCAGTCCGATGAGCCACAGTCGCTCTCTGGCCACCGTGAACATGACAAAGCTAAAGAAAACCCAAGCAATGACAGCATGAGCGTACAGGTACTTCGTCTCTGCAACATTGCCGATCGTGACACGATCTAGTTCGCTGCCTGTACCTCCACCAGCGGAATTGATTGGCATCAGGATTGGCCATGTCAAGACACAGCCCACAACGCAGATGAAGATCATGGTTCGGAGGAATCGCAAGAAGAGGTATGAGTCGATGGACTGGTGGTAAAGGGTGAATTTGTCAGGCACCACTCTCATGGTATGTACCCAATCCCAATACGAGCGACTCTGACATGGCGTGTGGTCCTTTCTCGGTATTGTGCCCAGGTACGTCCTGGGGAAGTAGATTTTTGGAAATTTGGGCCTGACTATCACAAATGCTGAGACAAACAGACTGGCGAGAACGAAAGTTGGTATGAAGGCAGCAGCCACTGCTTTGAATGAGGATGGACCGCTAGGCTATGGTCGAGGGTTAGGACAATTTGGAGCGACATAGAACGCGGGCTGTTCACTAATGTTCAACAACAAAATGTGAAAGCAAGAGCTGTACGTACCGATTTTCCACCGTCGTCTGTGCCATTACTGGCGGTTATGATGGTTTGGAAATCCATCCCGATGCAGGCACTTGAACGACCAGAGATTGATGGGATACCAAGTTACGTCATACCCATACGAGCAAAGAGAGAACGGTGCAGATGCGACAGGACGTAAAGATTGAACCGTGTCACAGATTCACTCGGAATGTAATCTGATGATGTGCGTAGGGATAATAGGAGCTTAGTGTGATGAACAGGATGACTTTCTGGTTCGCAGCTGCCTACGCGTTGTGCAGTGACGTCGATGTGGCCGTGCACCCCGCGGAAGTTGACCCTGAGGCCTCCAACGGCCACTGTTTCGTCTAGCGGTTGCGTTTATTCATTGTTCGGACATCAGGTCCGTCTGAACGCCTGAATCTGCGTGCAACTTCACAGTCACCCTGTGCACTCGCTCACCTCCGATCTTACAGCGTCCAATGTTCAGATGGCATTGCAGGTCGCGTCTTGCCAAAAGACTACACGCTTTCAGAATGTTGATATGACTCATTGTCTAAACGTCAATGATGTTGCTTCGCTCAATATTCGTGGCCTTGTGTGAACATCAATCATCGTGTCGAGATTGAAAACGAAGCCCGAGACAGACATGAAAAAAAGAAGTTGGAGCTGCAAGCTCACTCGGTTCGACAACAACAACGGCACTGAAGTATGTTAGGTCTAGATCGGCAAGTAGAGACGGGGTTGCACATGTTCACGGAGATCGCTGCCAGGAGTAATCATCAAAGGATATTCACATCGATGCTGGGCTCAAAGAGGCATATTTGACTTGTGCCAAGAGCTCAACGAGAACTGCTGTTATGCTGTGCTATGCAATACCGCGTGAAGAAGAACATACATTCGGCTGTCTTATTGGATGCATCGCAAACAAATCCTGTTCTGGCATCACATGAAGTCTGACAAAAGGAAAGGGGAATGCAGACTTTCGTCGCAGTGCTGTGCATAAATCATGAATCTGACATGTGAAGACAGTCATGTCAGAGATGCGTCCGGGTGACAACTAAGTGCACAGCTCGGCCTGGTGATGCCTGCAGAGGGCCTCGTGGACTGAGGAAAGCTGAACATGGCTGCCACATCAGGAAATATGACTCCACGGCGCAGCACCTGTTTCAGCTCCGAGCAGAATAGGCAGGATGCGCGTCAACCTCGAGGGTTGGATTTGACGCGTTGTTTTAAACAGGGAAGATCGCTGTGACAGCGAACAGGAAATTCGCGAATCTCGACAGCAATCTGTCCAGCGACGCTTGGTACGTCCCGGCTAGGACTTGTCGGGAATTGCAGAGAGCTACCGGGTCAGCTGCAGGAACACGTCGAACATCCGGTTTCGCATGCAAAGCAGAGACGCAGGTCGCGTGGACGCGCGAATTGGGAGGAGAGGAGGGTTATCGATATGACGTCTCGCCGCCTTCGTCTAGCTGCATACCACGGATGGGGATGACGGCGAACCACGTTCATGTGCCCAAAGTCTACAGCCATCCAAGCGTAACTGCTGGCAATGGCCAGGTAATCCAGATCTCGATGCCTCGCTCCCTTTGCACATGTTTTCCTAGCTCGCTCGGACTTCCGTGTAGTTCATTTCCGCCCTTACCTCCACCGGAACCTGACCCGTTGTGCGCCTGCCGCGACTCGCGCCGGACCGTCGCAACGACGCGTGACCAGTTGACGGATGACGGACTCTCACCGCAATACCTACACACTATACTATACTGAGCAACGGTCCCAAGCCATTGAGCACCCGCGGAAATCAACCTCTTAGGCTATATCGTCAACCCTCTCCGCGCAATCCCACCTACCGGCACTGTCGCTACACCCAACTTCACAGCACTTGCGTATGGCGTACACATTTCGATGTCCTTCCTGTCCGACACAGTACTATCGGGAGGCAGCACGCGGCTGCACGTAGCAGGGAACCAGAAGACCGGCGACAGGGTCATCCGAAAGAGCAAAAGCCATGGCGGATTCCTGTCTCCTCTCACGAAGCTTGTGCGCAATCCAGTGCAGACAATAGGCGGTGCCGTTGCTAGTCACTACTCCGCGCCTATCCGGGACACATCCGACGAAGATGCAGGTCGCAAGCAGATATTGTACCTGCGCATGAAAAACGTGGGTATCCGCGCTCGGTGTTCTGCCTATCACATGCTAATAGCGCGTTCCAGGCCGAAACATACCACGAGTGGAAAGCCGCGGCGACGGACCTCGACATTCTAGAAGGAAACAACGCCTGGAAAGATAAGGATGAGTCGCCAGAGTACAATGCAGCGCTGATCGAGGCACGACTGCGAGAGCTGGACGAGGCTCGGCTCAGCTGCGACGTGGAGAAGATGCTGTTCCTGATGCGGACAAAACTCACACGAGATCTCGGCGACATGGGCAGTTTGCGACTGTACAAACACTCACATATCGGTACGAAGAGGTTGATTGAGCGATACATCGACTCGGCACAGCAGACCATGGCGGCTCTGCTCGATGTCTCAGCCAAGCAGGGCGACCAGTGCCCTGTCGAACCACAGATGATCGTGCAACAACTTCTCCAAGCACGCCAATCATTTGGTCGCAGTGCACTGCTTTTGTCTGGAGGCGGGACCTTCGGCATGAATCACATTGGAGTGGTTAAAAGTCTTTGGGATAACGGTCTCCTTCCACGCATCATATCCGGAGCATCTGCTGGAAGCATTGTCTGCGCCGTGCTGTGCAGCAGAACTGACGCCGAAATCCCGCAAGTTCTGCATGAGTTCTGCTATGGAGATCTGGATGTGTTTGAGAAGGCTGGCGAGCCGGAGAGTATTCTGCAAAAGGTCGTGCGCCTCTGCCAGACGGGCACCCTCTTCGACATGACACACCTGAAAAGGGTCATGCGGCAGATGCTCGGCGACATGACCTTTCAGGAATCGTACAACCGTACAAGGCGCATTCTCAACATCCCCGTATCAACCTCGTCGATCTATGAGCTGCCTCGGCTTTTGAACTATGTCACGGCGCCAAACGTGATGATCTGGTCCGCAGTGTAGGTGACCACAAGCTAGGCTATGTAACGTCATTTTACTGACTACTCTAGATGCACCTCATGTTCCGTACCTCTTGTGTACGCACAATCCGAGCTGATTGCGAAGGATCTGAAGACAGGCAAGGAAGTGCCATGGGATGCTGATCCTGACGCAAAATGGATCGACGGTTCTGTGGACAACGACCTTCCTATGACGCGTCTTGCGGAGATGTTCAACGTAAACCACTTCATCGTGTGCCAAGTCAATCCGCATGTGGTTCCATTCCTGGAGAAAGAAGAGGAGATGCTCGCCGCCGAAGCGCAGGAGACTGCATTTTCAGCTGGCTCCTATTGGATGAGTAGTATGGCGAGTCTTGCCAAGGGCGAAGTACTGCACCGCCTTCAAGTACTTGCAGACATAGGCGTCTTTCCCACCTACGTAACGAAGTTGAAGGGGTTGCTAAGCCAGCGCTACTCGGGCGACATCAACATCTTTCCAGCCATATCGTATGCCGACTTCCCTCGGGTTCTCAGTAATCCAACAACGGAATACATGCTCGGGTGTCTACTCACAGGGCAGAGAGCCACCTGGCCGAAACTCTCTCGGATACAAAACCACGTTGCCATCGAGCTTGCCTTGGACCATCTGATTCAAAAGGTCAAAGCGAGCACCGTCTTCAGCTCGGCTCTGACACAATCATGCACATTATCCCGACCGAGCTCGCAGGGCTATGAGTCTTCGACGGTGTCTCGGACGCGACCGAACAGTAAGACATTGCGATTTGAGACAAGAACACAACCTTCCAGCCCAGTACTATCCAGATCAGCACTGATCAGCCCACTTCTCTCACGCTCGACACCCCGGCTGCCTGCATACGATAATCAGAACCCGAAAAAATCAGGCTCCCGTACCGCAGACAACATCTCCTCTTCTACCAATCCCGAGGATTCGTCAGATAGGGAGTACTACGCCGAGATAGACTCAGACACCTCTGAAGTACTATCATCTCCATCGCCCGTCACATCACCATCCTCTCATGGCCCTACATCGTGGCCGCCTACGCGGCACACGTCCCTACTGTCCGTATCTGCACCTACGACCCCTGCGATATCGACATCGTCTGATCGACACATTGGCACATTACTCAACCTTGCCATGACTCCAGCTACAACTGCCATACCGGGCCCCAGCTCACCAGAGCTTCGTTATAAGCGCATGTTTCACCCCCCTGGACCGGTAGTACCGGAAGTGAGTGTCACACTTCCTTCACCAAATCACGTCGAGTCCCTTTGCTCTGTTACGCCATCAACGCCGAGTGCAAGCCCTGCACACAGCAGGCGTGGGAGTGCCGTGGGGCTCATACTCGACGTTTCTGGTGCAAGAGGAATGCTCAGGCGCAAGAAGAGCGTGGTGAGCTTCCATGAAAGTATCCAAAAGAGTGACTTGAAGTGAGAATCGACTGTCACCATCCCTTGTCGTATAGAAGCCTAGTTCAAGATGGCAGGTTTAGCGTGGAGTCAACGGTTTTAGATCAGCACTGCATACACTGGAGTTTAGAGTATCTTTAGCAGATGAGACGGCAGACGAATTACCCTATCAATATTCGGTATGAACTGGCAGTCAGAATAGTGCACCAGTTCGATATCAACCATAAATATCAAGTTTGATCAATTCAATACATCAGTAGCAACTTTCATGATGTGTTTGCTGTCAGGATTCAACGATAATGCTCTGTTTATGAAAATGGACAGGTTGTTTGTTGTGTGCAAGGTTGCGCGTTCTGGAGAGATGAAGATGCCTCGGATGACCTCATTTTTATCGCGAGATCCCTGCTCAACTGAATCTTGCAGAGCACATTAACCGGCAGCCTTCGACGCGTCCACATCCCTGACGCGACGCAACATCAACACCCCCTATCGCTATACACTCAATCGTAACCTCAATCGCAACCTCTACCACACTTGAATCGCAATGGCTGCCGCAACGTCTGCAACGGTGACGGTCGATCCGCCAGCAGTGAAAAAGCGTGGGAGACCCAGGAAGGTCGTCGACGAGGGTGCTGCAGCTTCGGAGACGACTGCAGCTCGACAAGCATCGACGAAGGCAAAGGCTGCCCCGAAGACCAAGACAATAAATGCCATGAAGGAGAAGAAGAAGACTTTGACACGCGTGTCCGACTACCAAACGAAGAAAGCACCGTCTGCGCCAAAGGCTGCGCCAGCCCAGGCAAACAGCGCAGCGCAGGCCACACCTGTCACGCCGACAAGCAGCAAGATTCTAGACGAGGTCAAGGCGGCAGGAGCGTTCAGCAAGTCGTCAGGACCATCACCGACAGAGCCCGAGCAGCCGTTCATTCCGCCTGTGCCTGGCCCTGCGCCAGTTGCTCCCATCCTACCTGCTGCCACAGAAGCTCCTGTTGCCTCGTTGTCGACAGCAACATATGCCAGCCCAAAGCCTGCATCATCGTCGATAGAGCCCGAGCAGCCTTCCATCCCACCTGTGCCTGGCCCTGCGCCAGTTGCTCCCATCCTACCTGCTGCCACGGAAGCTCCTGTGGCGAACGTAGACGCTGCGACTTCGTCATCGGCAGCACCATCTGGTCCATCGTCTTCACCAATTCAACAGCCTGTCGACGAAGCCCACTCCAGACCTGTCATTCCTCCTACGACGTCAGCCCCGAGCGAGCGCGCAAACATCATCCCGCCAAAACCGCGCGCCACTACCATCCCACTCCCACGTAGCCCGCTCACAGCACCCTCGCCAATCTCAGAACCGCCCAGGCCGCGCATCGCATTCGCAGAACCCGCACCTAGAGCGCCGCGAACGCCGAAATATCCGATCCGACTCATAGAGCCCACGCCAGACACGAAGCTGCCACCAAAGTACAAGAAGGCAGCAAGGCAAGTGACAAGCATCATCGTGGGGATACCCATCATCCTCGTGGTGGGCTACGAGCTGTACGGAAGATGGAAGACCCAGATCAACACCAAGTTCGAGGAGAGGGCAAGGAGGAATCCCGGACCGAAAGAGCTGAGTGGGTAGATACACGTATATACGAGATCAACGAAGTATTGTAATCATGTCAGAGTATCGCTTCCCTCTCATGTGTTGCAATTGATGATTCTAGTGGACTTGCGTAGTGGGCTGGGCTCACTATTTGAAGACCGTCACAAGCTAGGCCTTCCCCAAGACGAAAGCAGACATGGCCTTCACGGCGCTGCCATCATACGTCTTCAACAGATCCGTAGCCCTTTGCTTGCTCAGATCGAGCTCCTTGATCTGCCCGTCATTAGCCATATCACCATCGCTCTCTCACCACGGGAGGCGGACCAGCAAATTAACATCAGCAATCTCGACTTTGACATTCTTCTTCTCCTCGCTCTTAGTATCCTTGACGCTCAGCGCCTTCATAGCCTTATCCAGCGCCTTGCCGTCTACTTCCTTCTTCACGCCGCTGTCGTCCTGCGCGTCGAGCGTCGACAGCGCGGCAGCGGCTTTGCGGTCATCGGCCGTGCCGGTCGGGGCGTGAGGGTCGGCGGCGCCTTCCTGGACGGCGGAAGGCTGCGGTTCGGCCATTGTGTTTTACCTTGCCAGAGTTGGATAATTGGGGAGTGGGAGGCAGAGCGCGGCTTAGCTATGATGTAGGAGTGGGGAGCGCTGGGGTAAGCTAAGCGCTCGGTAATGTCTTGCTGTGAGCCAATGAGATAAATCAGAGGCCGCTATTCGCTGCGGGAGTGGTGCGCTTTGATGCGGCTTTTCGCAATTGGAAGGGTCGAAGTTCCGCACGCTGGAGAACGAGAATCCTACACAACTACGTCGCGCGCACCACGTGCTTTCCTCGCTGTCAACACCTTGGAATCGTAAAGCCCAGGTTAGTATTTTGTCGTGTCTCACTTCCATGCCCCACCTCCGGGGCACCTCTCCGGAGCGCCGCTGTGCTACCCGTCGCATTGTTTAAATTGAGTCATGCGCGCATTGGCTTTATTGAGGTCACTTTGCAGCAACGCCCTGCCGAAGCTGTCAGATAGACGAAATTGAAACGTGACTCAATCTGTCCTCTGTCTTTACAATCTCACAACAATTCTTTCTTTGCATTGACTAACATCTTAGAAGGTCTCTGAGCAGTTGCCATCGCAATTAGTGACAACAACTACACCAAACAGATATGACGGAGGCAACACAGCAACCCACCAACGGCCAGTCCGACACCTGGTCACCGACATGTTAGTTTCTTCAGCATTTCCGCTTCCTCTCTGACCTTCCAAGCTTGGCAAGCAAAGCCCATCAAGCAGGTGGTCAAGTACGAGGACCAAGCAGCCGCCGATGCGGCGGTGAACCAACTCAGCAAACTTCCGCCAATCGTCACACCAACAGAGATCTGGAGGTTGAGAGAAAGCCTCCGCGATGCCGCTCTGGGGAAATCGTTCCTACTGCAGGGAGGCGACTGCGCCGAGCTCTTCTCCTACTGCGCGGAGGACCCGATTGATGCCAAGCTCAAACTCCTCTTGCAGATGTCTCTTGTGCTGATTTGGGGCTCGAACAAGCCCGTGATCCGCATTGGTAGAATTGCTGGCCAGTACGCAAAGCCGAGATCGAGTCCCACTGAGATTGTGGACGGCAAGGAGATGCCCAGCTTCCGCGGCGACATCCTGAACGGCTACGAACCGGAGCACCGCAAGGTAGACCCGGAGAGGCTTGTCAGCGCGTACTTCCACTCGGCCACGACCATGAACTACATCCGTGCCCAGCTAGCAAGCGGCATCGCCGACCTGCACAACCCCATGGACTGGGGCCTCGGACACGTGGGCGACAAGGAGCTGCAGACCAAGTACACCGCCATCGTCAACAGCATCTCCGACTCGCTCCGCTTCATGCGCACAATCGGCGCCGACACCTCCGGACAGCTGCAGACCGTCGACCTGTACAGCAGCCACGAGGGCCTGGTCCTCGAGTACGAGCAGAGCCTGACGCGCCGCCTCAAGCACCCGGCCACCCACCCCGGCGCGCAGACCTCCCCCGACGGCAAGGGCTGGTACAACACGTCCGCGCACTTCCTCTGGATCGGCGACCGCACGCGCCAGATCGACGGCGGCCACGTCGAGTACTTCCGCGGCATTGAGAACCCCATCGGCATCAAGGTCGGGCCGTCGATGCAGAACGACGAGTTGATTGAACTTCTGGATATTGTCAACCCGGACAAACACGTCGGCAAGATCACGCTGATTACCCGCTACGGCGCGGACAAGGTCGACGCCATGCTCGGCGGCCACATCGAGGCTGTCAAGCGCAGCGGGCACACGGTCGTGTGGCAGTGCGATCCCATGCACGGGTGCGTATTCCCTCTCTCCTATGACCGCAGTCACATTCATATCTATATCCGTATCTATGAATATTCCCCCAGCTAACACACCCCCAGCAACACCCGCAGCACCACCTCGGGCATCAAAACACGCTCCTTCAGCAACATCTTCGCCGAGCTCTCCGCGGCGCTGCGCATCCACAAGGCCCTCGGCTCGCGCCTGGGCGGCATGCATCTCGAGCTCACGGGCGACGCGGTCACGGAGTGCACGGGCGGCAGCCAGGGCCTAGACGATGGCGATCTGAGTCTGAACTACACGACGTTTTGCGATCCCAGGCTGAATGAGAAGCAGGCGCTGGAGCTGGCGTTCTTGGTTGCGGGGCATTATCGGGAGGATGGCGGGTTGTAGTGGAGAGGGAGGGGGTGGGGGGTGGAGGGGGTGGGTAGATACAAAAGTTCTGTGAGTGTTTTGGGGGTTTTATGCACGTCTTCCTGGTTGTCTTCACGGTTGTCTCCCAGCTCGTTTTCCCGTTCGTCGCCCACCGATTCGACCTCCAGTTCGTTCTCAGGCCGTTGATACACGTCCCTGTGCTGGCGCTGGAGTCCAGCGCGTGCCGTTTGACCTTGCCTTCACTTTTCCCAGCACAACAACACAGCACGCGTATGCCTTCCGCGCTTCACCGCGCGTTACCTCGCGTCCCGCCGTCTGCGAGTCTGCTTCACCCCGAGTCCGCAGCGCCAGAGTCCTCAAAACCCGCCAACCTGCTCCCCCCACGCTCTCCTCGCCCTCCACCACCCTCACCACCGCAGCACCTCGCCTCCCTCCACACCCACCCACAACACCCCCCACACCCGCCCACTCCACCATGGCACCCCTCACGCCCGCCCAACTCCTCGGCCTCACCGTGGCCTCCCGCCTCACCTCGCTCCTCTCCCTGCTCGGCAGCGTCTTCATCGCCGCCACGTACATGTGCAGCGCGGCGTTCCGCACGCCCAAGACGCGGCTCATTTTCTACGCGACGGCGGGCAACGTGCTGACCAACGCCGCGACGATCGTGAGCGTGGCGGCGCTGCCGGAGCAGGGGAGGGAGGCAGGCGGGTGGTGTCGCGCGCAGGCGGCGGTGGTGCAGTGGGGGCTGTGTGCGGACTTTTGCTGGGTGAGTCGTCTTTTCTTGTTCGTTCTGGTGTCGTGTGGAGTGCTTCGAGTGCTTCAAGTGCTTCAAGTGCTTCCAGTGCTTCCAGTGCTTCCAGTGCTTCCAGTGCTTCCAGTGCTTCCAGTGCGTCGACTTCGGAGTCTAGGCTAATCATACGCCAGGTGTTCTGCATGGCGCTGAACGTCTGGTTCATCTTCATGCGCAGGCGGGACAGCGGGCGCGACCTGCGCCGCCTCGACAAGTGGTATGCGCTGGGCTCGTACGGGCTGCCTGCGCTGCCGGCGGTGGCGTACTTGGTGCACGACACGTGCCGTGCTGGGGAGGACATCATCGGCGACGCCATCGTAAGTCTGCTCGAGCTGTGGGTGAAGAGTCAGTGCTAACGCGGCTAGATCTGGTGCTGGGTGCGTCCAGAGTACGACTGGATGCGCATCGCGTTCTTCTACGCGCCGATGTGGTATGTATAGTCTCCTCGTCTTGACTGACCCTGCTGACGGTGGTAGGATCCTGGCGGTGGCGACGACGACGATCCACGTCCGCGTCGGCATCAAGATCTACAAGGTCAAGATGGAGCTGCGCCAGGTGCTGCAGAAGTCGCGGGCCAACCTCGAGGCCACCCCGGGATCAGTGTGGCCCGACGTGCGCCCCTCCGGACGGCACATCACAGCCACCAGCGACATCGCGTACGCTCCCACCGCGGCCACCCCGTCCACGAGCACGAACTCGCTAACCCCCTTGTTCCCCAGCACGCAGACCTCTGATGCCCCCACCCCAGCTTCCCGGCCGCCCAGCCGCCTCCGCCCACTGGCTGCCCTGCACCCACGCAGCGCGCGCCGCCATGCAACCCGCCTTCCCACCACCCGCTGCCGCGCCACCGCCTACGCCACGCCCCTGGTCCCCAGCACCTTCTCTTCACCCCCCTCGCAGGCTATCCTCAGCCCCGGCGAGCACGCGGCCTTCTCCCAGCACCGCAGCGACACCGCAGACACATACGCGTACTTCAAGGTCTCCTTCCTCCTCTTCATCGCGCTCATCGTCGTCTGGGGCCCCTCGAGCATCAACCGCCTCGTCTCGATCATCCCGCCGCACCGCACCGTGTACGGGCTCAACCTAGCTTCCGCGCTCGTGCTGCCGATGCAGGGCCTGTGGAACGCGCTGATCTACGCGCAGGCGACGTGGGGCGAGGTCAAGAAGGTGTACGCCCGCGCGATGCTGTGGGTCGGCCGCGTGGTGTTCAGGACGCCGGTGGTGCAGCCTGAGCGCCCCGTGTGGGCGGCGCAGCCGATTCGGCCGGTGGCTAGGCAGGCGCGTAAGAGGGAGGAGAGGGAGAGGGAGAGTGAGAGTGGTGGTAGCGAGGCCATTGAGCTCGCGGAGTTTTTCAGGCAAGAGCGCGCTAGTGTTGACTCTGTGCTGAGTGTGTGAGCATGCACGCCTGGCCATCGGTTGTGTACCTCGACACGTTACTGACCTCTCTCGACGGATTACTCTTGACCTCCACCGATTACTCTTGACCACTAAGGCTTACTCTCGACCTCAACACATCATTCTCGACCTCGACGGATCATTCTTGACCTCAATGGATTGTCCATAAGCTTAACGGATTACTTCTGACCTCAACATATCACTCTTGACCTCGGCCGATTGTTCTCGACCTCACTGGATCACTCTCGGCCTCGACGCATCACACTCGACCTCAACAAACATCTTCTCTACAACATTCATGTATTACTTTGCCGGGCTGTCCACGGCGAAGATCCCGGATGATTCTTATGGCACACCTTTGGTTTCTTGTCGACGACACTTCTTCCTTGCTTTGCTTCGCTGTCCACGACGACACGGTTTTTGCTTTGCTTTGCTGGCCATGACGACAGTTCCGGATTTTACTTGAAGCACACGACTAGGCCTCTGTCCACGACCTTTCTTTCTTGCTTTGCTTCGATGTCTACGACGACAGTTTCGGATTTTACTTGAACCACACGATTAGGCCTCTGTCCACGACTTTTCTTTCTTGCTTCGCTGGCTACAACATAGGATCCAGATTATCACACATGGTTGGGTCTCGTCGATGATTCTTCTCTTAATTAACCTCGCTGGCCACGACAAAGGGTCCTGATTACAGCACGCGATTGGGTTTTTATCCACGGCATTTCTTCCTTGCTTTGCTTCGCTGGCCACGACGAAAGGCGCGGGTCATGACACATTTTTGGTTCTTGTCGACGGCGTTCTTTTCTTGCTTTGCTTCGCTGTCTACGACAACAGTCCCGGATGATACTCGAGGCACACGGCTAGGTTCTTTTCGACGATTCTTCTCTTGATTGACTTCGCTGGCCACGACAAAGGATCCGGGTTATGGCACATGGTTGGGTCTCGTCGACGATTCGTTTCTACTGGCCTGGAACTCAACAACGGAGGCCCCGGGGATACTTATAGCTTACGATTGGGCTCTGGGTCTGTCAGAAGGAAATTGGGAAGCCAGCTGCAGACAGACTTACACAAAGCGCACGTAGATACTCTTACAAATGGCACACATGACAGCAAGACACTCTTCCAGCTCTTCCCAACACTAACATCTCCGCAGCTTCACATCTTCCCGTCGACCACGGGCGCCATCAGCTCGTCGAGCGGCCACTTGCGTATCGCGCGCACAGCCAGCGAATCCACATGCCCGGCCTCGAACATCTCGATGCCCGTCCAGCCAATCATGGCGGCGTTGTCGGTGCAGTACGCGGGCGGCGGGAAGAACAGCCGCACGTCGGCGAAGCCGTGCAGACACAGCGTGCTTGCTAGCACGTGGCGCAGGAACGCGTTCGAAGCGACGCCGCCGGCGACGACGACGGCGGGGGTCTCTGCATCGCGGGAGGTGGTCTGCAGCGCACGCACGACGCGCGAGGATATGTGCTCGAAGGCGGCGCGCATGACGCCACGTGCCAGATCGCGGCGCTCGTCGCGAGTGACGTCCTCGGGGTCGCGCGGCTGCGTGGACAGCTTGCCCGTGGCCGGGTCGGTGGCGAAGCGCACCAGGCGCTGCACGGCGGTCATCAGGCCCGAAAAGCTCATGTCCAGGGTGTGGATCTTGGAGCCGCCGCCGGTGGTGGTCAGGGGCGGGGCGATGGTCCAGCCCCAGCTGGACTTGCTGCGCGCGAGGGCGATCTCGTTGGTGGCGGGCGGCGTGTACCAGGCATGGGCGGTGTGGTGGGCGAGGTAGGTCTGCGCAGTGAAGCCTGACAGGTCGCGGGTCGGGGTCGAGTCGTGCGTGGGGCCGAAGGCAAAGGTCTCGAGGATGGCGCCGTACATGGTGCTTGTCGCGTGCTGGAGCTCGTCGGCGGGGAGCACAACACGAGCGACCTTGTCCAGGCACTCTCCCACGGCGATGTCGTCGGTGCTGCCGAGGATGGCATGCTCGGTGAGGGCGGTCGAGCTGATGAGAATGGTGTGGCCGCCCGAGGCCAGGACGGAGAGGAGCGGGAAGGTCGGTGTCAAGTCGCCATGGCCGTCGGCGAGAGGCTGCGCGGGGTGTGCTGGGTCGGGGGCGGTATCGTAGGCGTCGAGGGCGGCAACGAGACGGGGAGTCAGGGCGTGGGCCTGCATGTGGTGGACGCCGACGAGCGGGATCTGCACAGTCAGCACGCCGTCTCGCTACACGATGGCAGCCGTACCTGCCAGGCTGCGGCCAGGCCTTTGGCCGTGTCCAGGCCGCACATGAGGTTCGCGCGCATGCCAGGGCCCCGCGTCACCGACACGAAGTCGGGCAGGCGACGGGCGCCGCCATGCGCCGGCAGATGCGCAATGGCCTCGCCCACCAGGGTCGCCAGGTTCTCCTGGTGCGACTTGAGCGTCAGCAGCGGGTGCACGCCGCGGAACTCGGTGTTGTTGGACGTGACCTTCTTGTGGAAATGCAGCCGCGCAACGGTGCTGCCGCCGCGCACGCCCTTCTCCACCACCGCGACCGACGTGTCGTCGCAGGACGTCTCGACCGCCAGCGTCATCAGGCGGCGCGCGCCCCGACGCGGCCGTGGGCGGAGCGCAGTGTGGCGCGCACTGCGAAGCATCGCTCGCGGTTGTCGTGGTCGGCGCGTCGCCCTCCAACACGAGACGAGACCCTGCGTGGTGGTGGCTCGTGCCATGACATCATCCCCTGAGCGTCGCCTTCACATGCACCGCACCCCAATCGCCGGCCCCGCAGGCAATTGCAGACGATGCAGTGAAGCGCACCATGGCCGACGTGAAGAAAGATACCGACGGGCCGGACCCGTTCTCGCCGTCGGCGTTCGACCTGGCCCAGCTGCCCGACCACGACAACGACTTCGTCAACGAGGACGACTTTATACAGTTCGCCCGCGCCCTCGCCGCCCCCGAGACGTCGCCCTCCACCGAGGACCTGACCGCCCCGCCCGACACCCCGCACCACTTCACCGCCCAGAATGACTGGCGGCCCGTCCACCAGCGCGTGCGCCGGCGCAAGAAGAGCAAGGCCGCCCCGCGCCGCGGCAAGGACGAGACCCGCGAGGGCTTCGTCTACGTGCTGCTCAAGTGGCCGCTGCTGGTCTTCGTGCTGGGCTGGCTGCTGTTCCTGAGCGTCGCCTACGTGCTGACCCGCCTGTACATCTACCTGTACGAGCACTGGGTCACCTGGCGCGGCACCCGCAACCGCCTGCGCCAGCAGCTGCAGACCGCCACCACCTACGAGGCCTGGGTGCGCAGCGCCAAGGAGCTCGACGCCTACCTGGGCAGCGACCTGTGGAAGGAGACGCCCGAATATGCCTACTACGACAGCAAGACGGTCAAGCGCGTGCACGACCAGATGGCGAAGCTGCGCCAGCGCGCCGAGTCCGACGAGAACGGCAACACAGACGCGAAGACCATCGAGGGCAAGAGCCGCGCCGTTGAAGACCTGCGGGCTCTGGTCGAGGCCTGCATGAAGAACAACTTTGTCGGCTTTGAGAACCCGCGCCTGTACAGCGAGACCTACTACGGCACCAAGAACCTCGTGCAGGCCTTTGTCGACGAGGCTGCCACTTCCATGGAGTTCCTCCTGCAGACCAAGCAGCTCGACGCCGAGAACAAGCGCGCGCTGTTCAAGCACCTGGGCAGCAACTTCGGCCGGACCGCGCTGTGCTTGAGTGGAGGCGCCACCTTCGCCTACTACCATTACGGTGTCGCAAAGGCACTGCTGGACGCCAACCTGCTCCCGGAGGTCATCACCGGTACATCTGGAGGAGCTTTGGTTGCAGCGCTGCTGGGCACACGCACGGATGAAGAGCTCAAGAAACTCCTCGTTCCAGCACTCGCCCACCGCATCAAAGCATCTCAGGACAGTATGCTGACCTGGATGAAGCGGTGGTACAAGACCGGCGCCCGTTTTGATGCCGTTCAGTGGGGCAAGGGGTGCTGCTGGATGACCAGAGGCAGCATGACTTTCAAAGAAGCCTACCTGCGGACTGGTCGCATCCTGAACGTGTCCTGCGTGCCGTCCGATCCACACTCGCCCACCATTCTCGCCAACTACATCACCGCGCCCGACTGCGTCATCTGGTCGGCAGTCTTAGCATCTGCCGCCGTGCCCGGCATTCTCAATCCAGTCGTGCTCATGAAGAAAGACAAGGACGGCAGCCTCTCCCCTTATTCGTTCGGCCACAAATGGAAGGACGGGTCGCTGAGAACCGACATCCCCCTCAAGGCACTGAACCTCCACTTCAACGTCCGCTACTCCATCGTCTCGCAGGTCAACCCGCACATCAACATCTTCTTCTTCTCGTCCCGCGGCTCCGTCGGCACCCCCGTAACGCACCGCCGCGGCCGCGGCTGGCGCGGCGGCTTCATCGGCTCCGCAATCGAGCAGTACCTCAAGCTCGACCTCAACAAATGGCTCAAAGTCCTGCGCCATCTCGAGCTCCTCCCGCGCCCACTCGGCCAGGACTGGAGCGAAATCTGGCTGCAGCGCTTCAGCGGCACCATCACCATCTGGCCGAAATCCATCCCCAGCGACTTCATCTACATCCTCTCCGACCCGACCCCGCAGCGCCTCGCCCGCATGATCCACGTCGGCCAGCAGTCCTGCTTCCCCAAGCTGCAGTTCATCGCCAACCGCGCCAAGCTCGAGGCCCACATCCACAACGGCCGCCGCATGTACCGCCCGCGCCCGGGCCCCGGCGCGGACCTGCGCCCCTCGCTCTCCGACGACGACCTCACCGGCCTCCTGGCCGCCGCCACGTCCGCGGATAACCCGGACCCACACGCAACGTACCCCGACCCCGACCCCTCCGACTCCGACTCTGACTCCGACCCGGATCGCTCCGCCCTGCCCTTCCCGTTCGCCCGCCCGCGCCCGCGCCCGCTGGACACAGATCCGCGCCTCTCCCCCGCCCCGCACGCGCCAGACTCGCCCTCCTTGTCCCAGCGCCTGTCTGGCTGGTGGTCCACGATGAGCCCGCCCGCGCGGTCGCCCGAGCGCGGAGCGCGGCTGCGTCGCGGGCCGCGTGTGAGAGCTGCAGCGGGCGTCGATGAGCTGGGCCGGCCGCGGTCGATGTTCGAGCTTGGTGCTGGGGGGGTTGGTGCTAGCGCTAGTGAAGATAGTGAGGGGGATTTCGGGGACGGCGATATTGAGCAGTTGAGGCGGGAGGCGGGGAGGCGGAGAGATGGTGGGGAGGCGGTGTTTGGCGGCGCGTTGGGGGAGGGGGATTGGGGGGATGTTGAGAGCGGGGATGAGGCAGTCGAGACGTAGGGTGGTGGGTGTGGTTGGGGAGCATTGTAGACTCCAGAAGGGGGTTGTTTGCATGGGCGCGTGTTGGGCGCAGAGAGGCGTCGGTTGCATAGTCGTGCGAGTGCATTGCGTATTGTATATATCCATTCCATTAATTCTAATTCATCGCTCGTTCATCTCATATCCATCGTTCATACCATGTACATCTTGCTATTCCATAACTAACATTACTGCTTGCTGCGCACCTCCAGCTTCTTGGGCTTCTTCTTCGGCGCCGCCGTTGAGGCTGCGTCGCTGCTCTTCTCGCTGCTCTTCTCGCTGCCCTTGTCATCACTCTTGTCCTCCGCCTTGTCCTCCGTCTTGTCCTCCGCCTTGTCCTCCGCCTTGTCCTCCGTCTTGTCCTCCGCCTTGTCCTCCGTCTTGTCCTCCGTCTTGTCCTCCGTCTTGGGCGGCTCAGGCTCATTATCCTTCTCTGCCGCGGGCGGGGACTTCTCCGTCTCCGTCTCCGTCTCCGTCGGCTCTGGCTTTGAGACTTCCTGCTCGGACTCTGGCTGCGCGTCTCCCTGCTCCGGCTCTGGCTGCGCGTCTCCCTGCTCCGACTCTGGCTGCGCGTCTTCTTTCTGATCGGTGGGCTGCTGCTGCTTCTCCTCCGCCTTCTCCCCACTCTTCTCCTCCTTCCCACCCGCCGCAGCGAGCTTCTTCGGCTTCGCGCTCTTCCCCGCCGCGTCGTCGGCCTCGGCCTCCTCGACCATGAAGTTCGCCGCCATGCAGCGCCCGCCGTTCTGCGGCCCGACGTCCATCGGACACGCGCTGAACACCAGCACGACGTCGCGCTCGGCCCGGAACCGGACGAACCCGCGCTTCTTCCCCTTCGGCTCCTCGACCGCGAGGCGTGCGCCCTTGGCGCCTGCTCCAGCGACCGAGTCGTCGCCCGGCAGCGCGATCGGCGCCGCCATGAACAGGTGCAGCGGCGTCGGCGCAATGTTGACGCTGATATCCGCGCCCACGGACTTTGCGCCCTTGAGCCCCGCGCCGTCGTTGAGTTCCTTGAGCGCGAGCACGAGGTTCTCGGCGCAGGAGCCGTGCTCGGCGGGCCGGTCGACGCCGAGCGCCGCGTACAGGTTCGCGTCGCAGGCTGCGGTCAGCGTGTCGTGCGCGCCGGGCGTCGTGTCCTCGATAAAGGTGATGATGGGGTTGCGCAGGTTGGTGAGCAGCGTGTCGTCGACCTCGGGGACGAGCTTGGAGGAGGCTGCGCGGGTGTGCGGGAGCGAGAGGTATTCCATCGGCGGGCGCGAGTCTTTGGACGGGTTGGCTTGCGCGTAGGCGCTGTACGCGGCGTAGACGGAGGAGGCGTAACCGGAGCCTGTGGCCGCTGTGGTGGATCAGTGATGTGTAATCAGAGAGAGTGTATGTGGCCTACCGGCAATGGTTCCAGCGCCTACAGGCGTCTTGGAAAAGTCGTAAAGCTGCTCAGCGTAGCTCTTGTTGGGGTCGCGCAAGTGGCTCGACTTGAAGGCGCTGACGACGCCTTCCTTGCTGGGCACCTCTACGTTCGGGATGTAGTTCGAGAAGCCCTTGCCAGTCGGTATGTACGAAGACCACTTCTTCGTGTTGGCTTCGTTCTGCGCTTTTTGCTCCTCGGGACTGGGCTCTTGTTCAGCCTCGCTCTTGTCTGCCTTGCCGTCCTTGCCCTTGGAGCGGTAGGGAATCGAGGGTAGGTAAGACGCCCATGTGCGTTTGGAGGGCTGCTTCGCGGTCTTGTCACGAATCTCGTCTGTCTTCTCCGTCGTTTTCTCATTGTCAGGCGTCTCAGTCGGTTTCTCATTCTCAGGTGCCTCAGTCGGTTTCTCATTGTCAGGCGTCTCAGGCGAATCTTTATCTTCCTTCGTTTCTTCGCTATTACTTTCAGCAGCCGGCTCTTTCTCTTCGCTTGGCTCTTTGCCTGACTCTTTTTCTGAGACCTCCTTCTCACCAGCTGGCTTGGACTCCTGCTCCTTACCCTGGCTTTCTTCTTGCTCAGCAGCTTCTTGTAGCTTCTTCGCCTCCTCCTCAATCTCCTCATCATCTGGAACATCCTCATCACCATCCTCAGGCGGTGCGCCTAGCGTGAACGCCCACATGCTGACAACCTGCTTGCCGTAGGTATTGATAACCTTGATCGTGCGGCCGCGCGGCACGAATGTCGCAACGCCATGGCGCGCAGGAATGGTCTGCAGTTCGCCCGACATGTCTTCAACTTCGATCGGTGGCTGCTCTTGTTCTTTGCGTAGCTCTTTTTCCTTGCGCCGCTTTTCGATTGTCGACAGCACAGTCACGACAGCGAGACCTGCAAGAGCACGACGAGATGGAATTTGAGGCGCCGTTTTGACAGATTCTTTATAGGACAGCTTGCGGACAAAGATATAGATTTGACGAGGCCTCAGAGAGGGAACGCAAGCTACATTACGGCTTGCTCAAGAGTGACGTACAGGGCTCTGTCGTTCGCGGTTCCAGACCATCCAGCAGGTTCGTGGGCCAACGAACTGCCAGTGTGCATGGGAGCCCTTGCATTTTCTCCCGTAGGATCATCATCGCTGCTGGGATCTTGGACGGAACTGTGGCGGCTGTCATGACGCGTGAGGGGGGAAACCTGGTTTTCGATCGCGTCCGGTTGCAGCTGCCGCCTGTTGTCATTGGCGCAAGGCCATCAACGGCACCCGCTCGTCGATCTCGACGCTACCTCCACTCTCGATGGCCATGTTGTACCTGTATTGATGGTAGTGTGTATCTTGTTATTCGTCGGGGTTCACATGTCAAAGCGCCGCTGTCAACACAGTCTTGTTGCGCGCGAACCACATGTGCTCGCTCCACTGTCCCCGCCACGCTGTGGGGTGCGGCAGCGTGCAGATGTCACTACTTCCCAGGCAATGTATGGACGACTGTCGTCGCATTCGGCAGGTGGCCTGATTGGGTTTATGCATCTACTGCACCCCGCCTCTTGGTCGGCACAGCACAGCCGCCAGGCTGAAGCATATGAGCACTTGAGCGGAGGCTCAGTTTGCTCACTCACACTACTACAGACATTCCAACATGACCGAGTTGCTTACGAAAACCCCGTTCGAGGAGTATACACATCACCCTCCTCAGAAGTATAGAGACTAACGTAGCGTAGCATTGTCCAATCCGATATGTTTACTTTCTACGTCGGTGAAGAAAGGAAACCGTTCGTTGCACACTCAGAAGCCGTCGCGGCTACTTCACAAGTCTTCGATACGCTCGTGAATGGTGGCATGAGCGAAGCCCAAACCCGTTCTGCTGAACTCAAAGACGTAGACCCAGAAACCTTCACCCGCTTCCTGGAGTATGCATATCGCCACGACTACGCAAGCCCATCGTGCCCAGAAGCAACATCTCCTCATGAAAACGGAGCGAAAAGCTCAGCCGCCTTTGTGTCACCTTCCCAGACATCGGGGTTTGGGGCTTCTGATTTCAACCCAGCCCAACATCCAACGCGACCTTCGTTCGGGTTCGGGTCATCCGGATTGGACTCTGGCTGGGGCAATTCGAGATCAGCTCCCTCTGATTACGGAGCGGTCCCTTCCACGAAGACGCCCATTAAGCACAGCAAAGCCCGAGCGCACACGCGTTCTTCGTTTAGCAAGCGCGACTACCCATGTCCGATTTACGATGTCTCAGCCTCCCCTTCCACAACGGTTGATGACGATCCGATGTCGCCCTCGCTGGGCTTCGCCCCGGCGTTTCTCGCACACGCCCGGCTTTACACATTCGCTGATATGCGCATGGTCTATCCGCTAAAGAAGCTTGCATTGCACAAGCTGCACAAGGCTTTGGTCGGGTTTGAGCCGCATGTTGACCGTCTTGGAGATGTCGTGGAGCTAGCCAGGTATGCCTATGAGCATGGCGAAGACAGGTCTGAAGACGGTAAGATCGACGCGATGCGAGAAATGGTCCTAGAATACATCGTCTGTCACATGAAATCAATGAGTGCAGACACCGAGCTCAGGAGTTTGATGGATGGTGAAGGAGAACTCGCAGGCGACTTTTGGAACATCATCAGCAGGGAGGTACTCTAGTACCCAGACCGGGATCGCAAAAGCATCTTCATTTCTGCTTCTTTGTATGACCATCTCACCTCAGAACTCACCATCAATCAAAAGCCTCTCCATCTCCAAGATCTCTTGGAACCAGCACACTCCTGAGTATGCAGCGAATCCCGTTATCTGGACAAACCTCCTTCCTGTCCAGCTGTTTGTCCACCGGCCCTGTCGGTCCACCCACGTACTTCTTCTGCCCAAAAATGGTCACCTGCCTCTTGTCACTGTCCGGATACGCTTCATCTCCCCACCTCCCCTTCCACCCCAGCCACTCCACCGGCGCATCATCATACGCAGTGAACGCACCATTGCTCGCATCATACCTATACACATGACTACTCCCCAGCGAGTCCCATCTCTTCCCCTTGTTCGTATAGTCCTGCAGCGCGCCAAACGGCAAATTCAGATTCGGAATGACATGCGAGTGGATCCCCGGAATCGCATAATTCGCATGACTCCCCTTGGCGACATACACCACAGGTCTAATACCATCAGCATCCTTCTCGACCGCCGCGTACCGAAACGCCTGCCCGTTTGCGTGCTGCGAGAACCAAACGGCGTCGGGCGGCCCCGCAGGCGACGGGAACCGCAACATCGTGTGCTCCCAGTCGCCGACGTGCGCGCCGAAGGTCAGGAACGGGACGGACAGCACGGCGGTGCCCGGGTTGAAGGCGTAGAAGTAGAAGTAGAACACGTCGACGCTGTTGTCGCTCTTCGTGTTGATGACGATGGCGCTGTTGGTGCCCGTTGTGGTGCTGTCGCTGGCTGGCGGTGTGCCGCGGAGCCAGTCGGGGGTGCTGGTGACGTCGTCGTTGGAGGTCAGGTACACGTCTGCGCCGAGCTGGGGGAGGGTGGTGAGTGTGAGTGGGTTTGGGGTGTTGGGCACGGGGTTGTAGTTGATTCGTGGGGTGGTGTGGCCAAGGAATGTGTTGAGATCGGTGGGGAAATGCGATTCCTCGCTATGCATGTAGAGCACGGGCGCTGTGAAAGTGAGCGACTGTCAACATATTTATGATGGTTGATCACATACCATATTTCAGCACGAACTCGGGGACATCTGAAGTCTGTCGTAGCCGCGGTTGGGCTGGAGCCGCGACAGACACAGTCACGAGGCAGAACAAGGCCGAGCAAAGGTGAAATAATTCCATTGTGCTTGATACCGAAGACCTAGTTTACCCAGCAGCGGGCGTTTCGCAGAACCCATGCGGTTTTATAGACAGCGTGCTAGTTCAGTCATTACGCTCCTTCCCTTTCGCATCCACACCATGTCTGACAGGAAAGCACGTTGGCATCCCTACTGATCAACCAGTGTGCAGTCTTATTTGCTTGTACGTGGAAATTAGTGTGTGGTCTATCGGACATGGTAGATTGCCCCTTCCTCCTTACAAGATCCTGTGAGGTCTGAAGTCCGTGTGCTGTCAAGCTCTGCACTGGCTTGTGATATGGAAGCGCGAGCTCACATGCAGTCCAGGTTCGTCCCGCATAAGTGACAGGTAGCATATTGGTCGAGCAGGTGTTCCACAGAGGGGGTGGCACCAATGCTTATTCGTGTTTGGAGCTCGTGGGTCTTGGCGGGTGTGTGACAGGGATCCATTGCGAACATGATAGGTGAACGCTAGTGATGCACCGTAGATCGCAGCCACAGCAAATTCTTGGTTGGTGTTCAGACATCAGGTTGATATTCGTTTTATACAGGGTTGTTCATACGTGCGCTTCGGAATCACCGAGGGTCGACACCAGGATAAGGGGTACAGTACGTCGCTCGGCAGCGTCCGTACTGACAATAAATCGATGTATCATTACTCTTGGTAGGAACTGAATATTTTAGTAGTGTCGTCCTTAGTGGACTGGTCAGTTGTGCTGACGGGGGATATTTGCTAGGATTACATGCATCTCCAAGACTGGCCGCACTAAACGGGATGAGAGTGCAGCTTGAAGATTCCTAGCCCTGCAGTGCGAGACAGATGATGAACATCCTCACCTGAGATGTCTCAGTTAAATAGGGTTAACCTAGGTTTCTTTCTGTCTTTGTGGTCGAGCCTTTCCGGTATCGTTGTATTCCCTGTTGTGGCCTGGCGTTCGAGATCGACTTCGTTGAAGCCATCCTTGCGAAACGTCTCGAACGAAACGCCATCTTCTCTGCTACCAGGCGTTCTAACGATGCAAGAAGAATCCGGAAGTGATATGGCGCCCGTATCTTTCTTTTTAGTGTCTGAAACGTAATGCTCAAGGTCCTTCTCGCTGATGTACACGAAGATGGCCGTAAAGACGTACGTGGCCAGGCCGAGAAGACCAACTACCAAATATACTATAGCTGTCTACATCTTGTTATTGTTGAATCCAAATGTAATTGATTCTCTACGTACCTTGTTTTTACCCGACCAAGGTGAGCGCCTGATGAAAGGATCGCACACGTGGACAGTTAGAGCTGAGAGAAAAGTGACCCATGAGTAAGCCATGGTCATCGATGGGAATTGCCAGATGAACAACATCACCCAGTGCTGGAAAGCAGGAGTGCGTCTGTACCGTAAGATGGTGTGTTGCATGCGAACCACTTCAGGATCTGCGAGGTTAGAATCCAGATCCTCTTTGGCGGGCAAGTCGTCCAGGATAGACTTTGTCTGGATCGAAGAGATGATGGCCCAGATAGAGCAGAGAAGACAGCTGACGAAAAGGGAGTTCGCGATCCAGAGAGCGTCTGAGGTTTTGGACCATGGCATGCCGGCCAAGGCAGCTCCTGCGCAGAAACTGGCCTTCGATAATCAGCAAGTTTCTAGACTTACGATGGACTGACTTACAGATACCTGTACTGATCGCAGCTCCTCATACTTCTCTACTTTCCATTGTCGTATCAAAGGGACAAGAACGCTGCGATCGCCTCGTGCTGCACGCATCTCCTGCAGTGGTCTCCATGTGTATAGTTTGAAGGTTCGGCGGTAGGGCGCAGTGACTATTGCCAGGATCACAACAAGACACAGTCTGCATAGACAGCGGCTTTTGGTGTTTCTGGCGTCCTCGAGACTCTCGTCCACTTGGGCACAGCCTCTTGCTCTGCCACGTGATTCCATGGCTTTTGCTTGCGACTTCGTAAAGAAGCCAGATGTGGTAAGTTGGCAACTCTGGGCAGCGGCGGTCGATGTGTATTGGGGGCTGAAGGCGGAAAGGGTAGGCGGTGGCTGGCATGATGGCGTACAATGCTGGACCTGCTCCCGTGTAGTTTGTTAGTGACAATGTTTCCGGTCAGGCTGTTGCGGTCAGGCTACTGAAACATAGGTCAGTTGCAAGCCAGGCAGTTTGTGACACACAAGTCATGTGCAGGTTCGTAGCGGGACTGCACAAAAGAGGCAGAGTAGCGACGACAACATCAACAAAGGCATTTAGAAGGACAAGATGGATGGTATCTTACAGCATCCCTTATATCGCACTATGCTCTGGCTGCGGAATTCGAAATATTCTGTCGATGTCAATCTGGTTATGCGGCAATGTCCTGTGTCAAGCGCGGCTCGTGGAGTATTCCGAGTACATGCGATGATTCCGCGTGCAGTCCGAGGCTGCTGACACTGTATCGTGAGCATTGAGGTCGTACAACACCACATCAATCACCAACGGTCCTAAAAACATTTCACATTATCAAGCAGGCTCTCAGAATGGTGCCAAGCAACGAATATACCGTGATCGAAGGGCTGCCGACGCCTCAAGTATATCACGACCTGCGGAAACTGGCCGGCATGACACCTCCGCCCCTGGAAGCTGTACCAAAAGCGCTGGAGAATTCCTTCGTTTGCATCCTGGCATATGAGACCAAGGACTTGCTAGACGAATCAACACCCAGTCCCAGTCAGGTTCCTGTCGCCATGGGTCGCTTGGTGGGAGACAAGTCGCTCTTCCTCATACTTTGCGATGTTGCGGTGCATCCAGACCACCAACGGCGCGGACTGGGGAAACGCATCATGCAAGCACTGGTCGACTATGTAGATGCGCATGCCCCTCAAGCATACGTGAGCTTGGTGGCAGAGCCAGCAGCGCAGAAGCTGTACCCTCAGTACGGATTCAAGGGCGTGGACCCCAGCATTGGAATGTACAGGATGCGGAGAGAACGAAAGATTGAGGGAGAAGCCGTCAACGGAGGATCACTATCCAACGGGGTAGTCTGAAGCTACTGTGTGCGTGTCTTTGCAACGCTGTCAAAGCGAGGTTGTCTGTTGTGTAGAGATCCTATCTGCGAAGGTGTCGACAAGCGGGGAAGCTTGGGCAGGGAAAACGCGGGGGCACGTTTGACAGCTGGGCAGGTGCGGAGCTTTGAGCCACAATCACGTATGCATCAACAAACTCAGGATTTGCGCAATTCAATCTCATTGACACAGATTACGAGTGCTATTACGGCGCCAGCATGTGTGTACAAGTCGAAGGAATGCCTCGAGAGCGCCTAACAAGGCGCAGCTAATCCCTGACCCCGCACTGCCATCCTCTCTTCACCGTCTGCCGTCTACAACACCGCCTCTCCATCCGCCGATTTCTGAATTCGCCCCAGTCCTCCTTCCGTCCTCCTGCTTTTTCACGCGGTCTCCTTGTTTGTGCGATTCGGCGAGAAATGATCCTCAATGTTCACCTGAAATTAGGCACCGCCACGCTAGCCGGTCACTAGATTCGACACCTTCATTATCAACTGCTGGGCTTGCACGCTTCAGCCTGGCCTCGGCACCACTCAATGGGACACTCTTTGCCACTGGTTGCACAAGCCAGGATGAGTCACTTCTAGCCTGCGTACCTTGCAGCAATTCAGTCATGATAGCGTCTGCTCTGACTGATTCACACCTTCGCTGTAGACGCTTCGAGTGCATCGAACGATAGCGATGAGTCTTCCCACAATTCTCCGGATATTCACCTGCTACAGGCTTGCGAATGTGCCTAGCGCTCGCTCCGCCCTTTTTTCCCCTGAGGAATACCCACTTGGCAGCCATACACTGCCACGCGACGTGGTTCGCAAGCTTCGAAAGCAATTGTTGATTTGACTGCGCATTCAGGCAGACATGGAGGACTCGGGCAGAGCCGGTGACGAACGATCACATACGTTCCCAGCAACGAACGGCCTCACTAGTCAGGTGTCTGCCTGTAGTTATAAATTCTTATGGACCGTTACTCGTAGCTACTATTCACCAACAGCATCTTATCACTACTCCAAGACCACTCATCACCATCACAGACCTTAATAAGTCTACGATTCTGTCTCAACCGACACCAGCCCAACAAACCAACCCTGTTTCTGAGCGCCTTCGAACCTCTCAATACCAATCAACCATGTCTTCTCGCGGATCCCAGGCCAAGGCAGCCCCAAGACAGTCCATCAGTATGTCACCAGTCTACCTTCCCGCGCCATGATGTGAGTCTAACATAGAGCAGCAATGGCGCCTAGCAACTACGCGCAGTCTGCCCACACTTCCCGTAGCTACGGAGGTCGACCCCAGACGGTTGTCATCGTCCACAAGCCCACGGGCCAGACGTACGACACAAACACGTCGTCCTCGGCTACAAACGCTGGCTACTACCCTTAGCGGCCTGTCAAGACTCCCTGTAACGACGACCATGGTCTTAGCAGGGAGAGACGGATACAACTAGACGTTGGCTCCGTCGACTCGTCGTTTACTTTAGCATAGCGTAGGATGGTGTTATGGTTGTCTTTATTAGATTGAAACGCACACAGGCTTCACAGCCTACTTGGGAGGAAATCATGGGCTGTAGTGCCCGGCTCTAGGATATTACCAGGCGTTTGATCAGCATTGGCAAGGGTGGCTCATGGCCGGGTTCCTTTTCGCGAAAGTCGAACCGCCCTTGATTTTGATTGTTATGGGCTGCTGGCAGCACTTGAATGTATGGACTTTATCAATGAAATTATCGTCAACATGAACTCCACTCCATTTGTGAACTTGCAAACCTGGTGATCGACATAAACAAGCAAGCAAAGGTAGCACAGAATCTGCCACGGGCGAATTAATTTCCTGCATGCTCGTTTAGGGCGTGGTTGCAATGTGGCTAGCGCGTGCCTAAATGACGTCCATGGTGATCAAGGGCAGCCCGATCCAACCCATCTCACGCCAGCGCGCTGTTTCACTGCACAGCTCAATGCTCCCTCGATAACGGTCCAGCTCCACCGAGCTTTTCGCAACCATGCTCGGCCTAGCCTTCACGGCCACGCGCACGCAAATTGCGTCGTACCTCTTCGGCGTCGCGCTCTTTAGCATCGCCTTTCTCGTGTTCCTGAACAGCAGCATCAGCTTCGTTATCACGCAGCGCATCGGGCAGAGCAAGAATGTCGGCGGCGCGGTCGGCACGCTGGGATTCGTGGATGAGCTGGTCGCGCTGGTCGCGTGTCCAGTTTGGGGCCTGCTGAGCGACAGAATTGGCGTGCGAGCTGTTGCTGTTACGGGATACGTGGTTGTGGGCGTGAGCCTGTGGGTGCTGGTCCAGGCCAGGAACGTCTATCCAGAATTGCTTTTGGCGCGGGTGCTGTTTAGTCTGGGAGGCAGCGCGACGTGAGTCTTCCTGCGGCGCACGGCGGGAGCATGAGCTGACAATGTCAGTGCGACTATGGTCACTGCGATACTGCCGACCATGACGGTTGTCAAAGAGGTCAAGCCGGACCCGAGGAGCCCAACGCTGAGGCGCGTCGTCAACGGCAGCCGCCATGCTGTCGCCGCATCCATTTCCTCCGAACTTACTATCACACCCGACCGCTTCCGCTCGAGCTCACAAGAACCAGGCGGTGGTGCCGCGACAAAGGGTACAGGCGCGACTACGTCTCAGCTCGCAGGATTGGTCGGCATGTTCACAGGCTGTGGCGCGCTGGTAGCTCTGCTCGTCTTCCTGCCCCTGCCTACGCGCTTCCAGCAGGCTGGAGAGAGCCCCGCTGCTGCCGTCGCGGCCGCCTTTTACATTGTGGGCACAATTGCAATCCTTGTAGCCATTGGCTGCTTCTTCGGCCTGCGTCAATTGCCTGGTGAGGACGAGAAGGGGTGGCGACGACTCACTACCAATGATGGGCAGAAGAGCACGGAGCGTGCGCGCAACCTGATCCTTTCGTACCCGTTCACCTTCCTCGAGAGCATTCGCCTGGGATACAAGTCCCCTCTGATAGGCCTGGGCTACGTGGGCGGTTTTGTTGCACGTGCGTCGTCGGTCGCCATCTCGCTCTTCATTCCACTCTTCACAAACCACTACTTCCTCCAGACCGGCGAATGCGTAGTCGACCCCTCGAATCCTTCCGACATCAAGCATGCCTGCCCACAGGCCTACAAGCTGGCCGCTATGTTGACCGGCATAAGCCAACTTATCGCTCTCATGTGCGCCCCGGTCTTCGGCTATCTTTCAGGTAAATACCCAAAATACAACATCCCTCTGCTTCTCGCAGCTGCATCGGGCATTGCAGGCTACGTCATGTTTGGATCTCTCGTCAGTCCCGACTACAAGAGCGAGGATGGAACAGGCGCTGTCTTCATTATTGTCGCACTTCTCGGCATTAGTCAGATTGGTGCTATCGTTTGTTCTCTGGCCCTGCTCGGTCGTGGTATCAACAATGACGAGCCCAGCATGAATGAGTCAGAATTGGACTCCAATGCAAGCTATCATCCTTCCGCAGGCGCGACACCGCCTACGAGCGAGCCCATTACACCCGTCCACGAAGAAGAGCCTTTGCTGCCACAGGAGCAGAGCTACAGTATCCGCAGGCCCGTCTCGCCCCCAGAGTCCACGTCATACAACGACATGAAGGGCACGATAGCTGGCACATACAGCTTGCTTGGCGGATTTGGTATTTTGCTGCTCACAAAAGCGGGAGGTGCATTATTTGACAGTGCGGGGCCAGGAAGCCCGTTCTACATGATGGCGGCATTCAATGCAATGCTGCTCACCGTGGGTGTATTTGTAGCCATTAAGCAAGGTCTCGGGCAGTAGATCTGGACGTACATATGGAACGCGAATGGATATCACGAAGGTAATGTCTGCACTATTTTGTACTGTACATAGGGTGTGCTTGGTTAAATCTGCAATATACCCAATCCTTGAGTCACGTGTTCACAGTGCTGGAAGCCGAACCTCGATCAAGCTCCTTGTCTACATATTTCCTTTGCTCCGGGCTTAGGTACAAAGTTTGGCAACCTGCCTTCTGGGAATGGGGTTTGACGACCACGACCTTGTCAATGCATCGGGTTACCCAATGCAGACCCGGATCGAGACGAGCTACACGCGTGTAATTGTGTGGGGACCCCACATGAGCTCCCGGGTGACAGACGTCCGTGAGTCGTTCATTGGTCCTTTCCCATAGCTCTACGACATCAATTGAGCTTGCCCGCACCAACACGTCTCCTGCGTGACTAGACGGGTCTTGGTCGCATCGAACGGGGATCCACTGCTTGTGCATAGCTCCAGAACCAGGTAGAGTACAAGTATCGAGACTCCCTTGCATCTCGACTTCGCGCCTGCCCCATCTTCCCCCACGGTTACTCGCCATCGCTTCTGATTTCTGCCCGAGGATCTGCTGCACATCTCGCATATCCCAAACAAACAGAAATCAACATGTCGTTCGACACCGAAGTCCTCATCATCGGCGCCGGCATGTCCGGGCTCGGGCTCGCCGTGCAAATGATCCGGCAATACGGCGTCCGCGACTTCGAACTCATCGAGAAGAGTGACGATGTGGGCGGCACGTGGTTGCAGAACACGTACCCTGGCTGTGGCTGCGACGTTGCGAGCCACTTCTACTCGTATAGTTTCGCGCTGAACCCGGACTGGAGCCGCAAGTATTCGATGCGCGAGGAGATTCAGCGGTACTTCAGAGACGTAAGCGATCAGTATCGTGTCACGGAAAGAGTGAGGTTCCATTCGATTGTGGAGAAGGCGGCGTGGGATGAGCAGGAGAAGGTTTGGGTGGTCAATGTGCTGGATCTTAAGACTAAGGAGAGAAGTGTCAGGCGGGCAAAGGTCTTAGTCAGTGGCGTGGGGAGCTTGAGCGTACCGAAGGAGTGTGATCTTGAGGGTAAAGAGACATTCAAAGGGAAGATGTTCCACTCAGCCAAGTGGGATCACAGCTTCGATTGGAGTGGAAAAGATGTTGTTGTCTTGGGTATGTCCTCTATGTCTTCCCTTGCGGCGAGACAGGATTCGTTGGAGGACTTAGCGAACTGACACATCTAGGTAATGGCTGCTCAGCTACTCAATTCGTCCCCATTATGGCCGGCGAAGTTGGTGACAAGTCTCCTGTCCGCAAGCTTACACAATTCGCCCGACAAGCACAGTACCTCTCCGAACGTGAGAACCCCTACTACTCACCCACTTTCAGAGCTGTCATGCGCTACGTCCCGTTGGCGATGCGCCTGTACCGTGCTAAGCACTACTACGACATGGAAGCCGATTGGTCTGGTTTTCCGATCGATAGCGGAGCTGCAATTCGCTCAGGATTGGCGAAGGAGAACGAAGCGTATGTGAAGCGCACTGCGCCAAAGAAGTATTGGGATGCGCTCATCCCCAAGAGCGAAATTGGATGCAAGAGGAAGGTACTGGACACAGAGTACCTGAAGTGTTTGTGGAGGGACAACATCGACCTGATCCCAGATGACCCAGTCCAAAGAATTACAGAAGATGGAGTTCTCACTAAATCGGGGCGCGAGATTCATGCTGATGCGATTGTACTGGCGACTGGGTTTGCGACACAGCAAATGCTTTGCCCGATGGAGATCGCTGGAAGAGACGGACTGCAGCTAAACGACTATGTGAGTGAGCAAGTTCCATTGGTAGCTAGCAAACATCCTAACCGCATACACAGTGGGAATCTAAAACCCAAGGTGTTGCGCAAGCCTACTTCGGCACTGTGGTCCCCAACTTCCCCAACTTCTTCGTCCTCATGGGGCCTAACACTGTCACTGGCCACCTCAGCGTCATCTACACCGTCGAGTGCCAGATCAACTTCACTCTGCGCCTACTAGAGCCTATCCTGAAGTCGCTACCCTCATATCAATCCCAGTCTCTCATCCCCTCCATCCTCCCCGGACCAGCTCCTGCCACTATCGAAGTCCGCCCCGAGGCCGCGATGCAAGACTTTGAGTGGACGCAGCGCGAAGCCAAGAAGCTCGTATGGTCGAGCGGATGCACAAATTGGGCTATCGATCCCAAAACTGGACTCAACAACATGATGTACCCTGATTGGCAGTTCATGTACTGGTTCCGCAGTGTGTTCTGGAGAAAGCAAGACTTTGTGTTCAGAGATGGGGCGTCGAAGGTCGTGGAGCCCGGGAGGACGAGGAAATGGTTGCTCAGATTACTGACAGCCGGTGCGTTCGTGGGCGTCTTCGTGGGAAAGGACTGGCTGCGTGATGAGCTGCCGCGCCGGTTGAGGGAATTCGACGGAAAGGCAGCGATTAGAAGCTTGACGGCCGGTCGTGCTTGAGGGCCATAGACGCAACCACATGCTGTAATAGAGGGGCAGATAATAATCTCTCAATTCATCGTTCATAAAAGTTTTCAACAGCTGCCTTGAGCGGCCAGAATGTGGTGAGGTGAAGCGTGGAGGCTGGGCATTTGTTGAGGTCAGATGTCACAACCACCTTTTACATCACCACCAACATCACTCCAAGCGTACGCTAGCAATGGACAATACGCATTGGCTAAGACAATAGTACGAACACATCATCATCCTCAGGTGTGACGCACCCATGTTGCTCGGACCCTTTTGGGATCAAAGAACCAGCCTCCAGCCTATCGTTTGCCTGATATCGCTTTCACCTACTTCTCTTCACTTGAACACTCACTGTCTTCCAGCCTCCTCGATTGCGACTGCCTGAAGATAAAGCCTCGCTCGCCCCGCCTCGTTACACCAGCTTGCTCTCTACCTTCCTCCCACCTTCTCGTTTGGCTTAACCCGAGCACAATTGCAGCTTCGCTTTGAGCAATCTTTACCATCAAGCACCCAAACTCCTACATTCTGCAAGATGCCCAGCTCCGAGAAGCTGGCTCTGCTGCCTCCGTTCAGTGCAGCTGCCACCCAGGCTGCCGTTGAAGCTTCAACCAACCTCTACCCATCTGACTACATCATCAACGTTCTTCTCGAGATCAGCGGATACTTGGTGTCCCTCGATGAGCAGACCACTCTCTTCGGTCGTGCCAACAATGACCCCTACAGTCCCAGTCTGGACACGCTTTACTCTCGCCTTCATGACGGCCACCTTACCCCAAGCCCCATGCAGTCCCACGCCAACGAAGATGCACGCATCAAGGCTACTCTCGGCCAACGCACCACCGTCGATGCCACCCACCGCCCACTGGAAGATTTCGAAGATCTGTACTATGCCGTCCTCGCACGCATGCAAGATATCCACCAGATCTTGAACGCCCGTCTCGGCAGCGCCTTCAGCACCTTCACTGACCACATCCACCTGGATGGCCCAAGCATCGCCGACCTGTACGTCAGCCTTGCGCAGTACTGGGACGCACTCAACGAGGCTGCATTCGTCAAGGCCATCGACTGTGCTGTCCGTCGCCTGCGCGTCGGATATCTGCACCAGGAGATCATTACCCAAGTTCGCAAAGACGAGATCACACGCACTGACGCCGAGGAGCTTCTCAACGATCTTCACGACCCGGCTGAGTACGATAACATCCAGGGCTTGGCCTGGGTCAGCGGATGGGCGCCATGCATGGTCGCTGCATGGCTGGAGGAGAAGTATCGCATCATGTTGAAGGTCGAGAAGGAAGACGCAGAGAAGAACCGGGAGGATAGCGAGCTTGCGAAGACAGAGAAGATGATCCCCGAGCCCAAGTATGAGATGAAGCCCAAGAAGGAAGTCAAGAAGACCATCGAAGACACACACATGGCCGGCGGCAGGGTCATGATGGCCGAGACGGTCTACCAGCGATCACAGGAGCAGTTGAGGAGGGAGCAGATTCAGCAGCAGCAACAGATGCAGTACGCTCGTGAGTGGCAGGTCAAAGCTCAGCGTGTCTCCGAGTACACTCGCTACCTGAGGAGCATTGCTAGTCGCGACGTCCGACACATCGTGGAGAGCACCGTCAACAACCAGGCTATGCGCATGAACGGTTTTGGTGGCCCAGTCCAGCACATGGGTAACGAGGATGTGGAGATGATGGGCGGTTACTTGTGAGGGACTTGTGAAACCTTCTCCGTACGAAGGATGGATGGACAACTTGCGAACACGAAATACACGACCTTTGGGCGCGTCAGCATTATGTGAGGTACCTTGGCTGTACCAAGGGCATGTGAACGACTTTCAAATACGACATACAAAAAAATGATTAGTAGTTAGGTAGATCAAACAGTCTCGTTCATGTAGTCGGGATCGACTTCAATAAGCAAGTTCTCCTTCATCAAGCCACGCGGCCGCGGTGCCACAAACACTGGCACACGCCACACATCCCTGTTCCACTGTTCCAAAACCTCGCCATCCAAGCCATTACACCCGTGCAGATCCAGCGCCTGCGTAGCACAACCCAGATTAGCGCAGTCCACACATCGCTGTGCAACGCTGCACCGAAGATCGCTCTCGGCAGCTCGCACCAGCATGGAGTGATAAGTCGACGTACCTGCAGTCTGTGTAATTTGCTTATTACCCCCCACCGCCGTCGCATCGACATGGACATTCGCACAATCCGTTACACGCAGCTGCTGTAGCCGTCGCAGCCCCGCGCAGCCCCAGATCGATCCAGTCAGCATCCCGCAGCTGCTCAGACTCAAGTCGCGCAGCCGCATGGCGCCCTCAATAAGCCCTCCCAGCTGCGCCGCGCCGATTTCAGCGCCCTCGATCCGCAAAGTGCGCAGTACGTGCGTCCAAGAGGGGTTAGACGCGAGGAGTGTCCACGCCGCACACTCGTCTCTGCGCTGCAGGCTGGTATAGATTCGGGACATGGCGTGCGTGGTCTCTAGGCGGATGCTCAGGTCTCTGAGGGCGGGGAGCGTGGTGAGGGCTTGGGCGATGGTTGGAGAGAGGGTCCATAGCGTGAGCTCGAGGGTACGCAGTGTGGAGGCGTAGCGGCTCACAATGCTGGCGGTGATCTTGTTGTGGAAGGTGAGGAGCGTGGGGTAGTCGAAGTCCCAGGCGTGTGGAATTTGTATCGCCGCGTGCAGACTGTGCGCTGGCTTGTGCGGGGCGAAGAAGAGTTTGGAGTGCCACGAGGTCCGGTGGGACGGGCACACTGTGAGAGAGAGTGCTCGGAAGTTTGTGTGAGCTAGAATGCGGGCGTAATGTGAGGTCTGCGCGAATCGTAGGAGGGGCTTGATGGATAGGTTAGAGAGTATTTGGAGAAGAATCTCAGGCGGGAGTTTGAGAAGGGGAAGCGCCATCTTGATGATTGAGTCGAGGCTGAGGATGTGAAGAAAGACTTGTGGAGATAATGCGTGTTGGTGCAGCCTGCTTGTTGATCACATATAGTGAGTAGAACGTAAGGAGGGGCTCACAGAGCTTTCAAAGATATAGCCTCTCATATGTACTTGTCCTAGTGGAGGGTGATGCACAGTGATCCTTCAGCGGCGTGGCTCTGCTTGTCCAGGACTGCCACCAATGCGTGTGACGTGCCGGACATACCCGCTGTCGCCCAAGGCTCTAAGACATGAGACAGCCCCAGGAAAAGGTATACATGGCGCCGGGGCTCGATAGATAGCGCAATGCTTTTCTACCAGAAGTTGCACGATGGAGTCGCATACATTATGGCGGAAGGGCGTGCAGGTAAGCGACATAATCTTACGCAAGGGGCGTACAGAAGTAGGCATCGCTGCCAACACTGGACGAAGATCCTCTCGAGTTCCCTTCATTTTCTGATAACATCTTTTCGAGGCCAAAACATGTTTTGTTTGGGCTGTCTATGGGTGTGGACCGGCGTGAACACCCTGTTGTCGACCGTAGCGTTGATTGGCGTCTGCACGACGGCTGACAGGTGTATCACAATGTCGTGTGCTAACACCATCGCAACCTCAGCATGCGCACTCATCTCGTGGCCGACGCCTGGCGTATGTCTTTTCAAATCGCCCTTGCCAGTTTGGATCGATGGGCGAAACACCGCAGTCTTGGTCCCTCGAAACACGCCACGATAGCGATCTGTCTGCAGGCTCGTCCTAGCAGCCAGCGTATATTTGAAAGATGGCTGAGACAGAGCGATGTCATGAAAAGAAACGAGATGCGCGAACATGCACAAGACGCGTGGGAACTCGAGACATGGAGGAGTCGTCGTCGTGGTACAGATGACTGTAGGTAAGCAGGTGCGCACGCGCCCTGGCAACAGTGGGTCGTCACTCGATTTACTTTTCCAACTCTTGCAACACCACAACATGTATCGTCGCCTCTCTCATTATTTTTGCGCAAGCACGGCTGTACTGGATTGAGACACAGGAGATGATCGTACCATTGGTATCCTAGCCTCAGAGCGCGACACAGATGTTATGGCAATCTCAGGCTCGCGCGCATGGCTGATGACGTTGCCGTTCGAGAGAATGGACAGAACTGGAGCATCGCTGTGAGTTGCGAGGGGAGAGAAATCTGCCAACCAACACCAGAACATGGGCGATTCTCACATGGCAGATCATCTAGGTACTCTGCCTCTGCGTCCAAACCGCGGTCCAACCCAGCAAGCCTAGATGAACACCGCAGATTGTGTACGCCCGATTCTGCTTGCACATGCTTGGCGGCTGTGCATCACAGTTTCAACCTGAAAATGGTGGTTATCAGCCATGACCCATCCATGGCGTGAGCGTTCGGCATTCCAGACAGTGGGCCAAGAGAGCATGCCTGGGGACAATGTGTGAACGGACCTGTGGACCATTGGCATCTGGATCCAGCGAACCCAAATTCAAGTCGAAGGAAACCACCAAGGCGGCGAGCGACGCAAGCGATCCATGAGCATGTTGTGATGACATTACCTCAGGTCCAGATCGAACATGCCCAGGTTTTGAGGTAGTCGCTTACGAAGACTGCGATAGACTCAACGTGTTCGTATTCTTCATCTGCTGGTGACAGGATCATCGCATCGACAGGCTGCGGGCTGATGATCCTCGATGCGTGCCGCGTCGCTCCCCGGGGAGTCTCAACTGCCGTACTGCCAGAACAGGGTGTAGATGCTGTACGTGCAACGACAAGGAATCCAAGCACAGACGATGCCTTGTCGGCGAGCACACCAACATTGAACGCCGAGGGCGAGGCGGAAAGCCCGCGCGATTGGTAATCCTAAGGTTATGCTCAGGTCCAAGACCCTGCGGCTGCCAAAACCTGGGGCCGCCAGGAGGCCGCGCTACCTGAGCACACCTGGGCGGAGCCGAAAAGGACCCGTGCCCGGCAAGATTAAGCGCAGCGGGCGCTGGCCAAGACACAACTCCTTGTGGGATGGAATGCGAAGTCAGCCGGCGGTGATACTTGCGGCGGCGGGGAGGAGCGGAAGTTCTAGTGGCAGCAACAGGGAACCCGCAGACCCGACAAGGCTGGCACACACCGGCAGTCAAGACTCGAGTCTCCACCACTGACAAAGTTGGCAATGTCTCAGTTCCTCCCTCTTCGTGCAATCAAACCGATACGTGCACAAAATCCTGCCGAGCATATTTCCGCGGGGTTTTATTGGAACTAGGCTGGAGACCATCAGCTATGGTAGCATGCGGACAGCGATGCTCAGTCGCAATGGACTGACTCAAGCTCCAGCAACGCCTCCACGAACAACGTTAGCGATTCAGTGTCTTGCATGTTCAATGGACCAGGATCGGGTGATCTACCTCTGTCTATGACAAGCCTTGCCATGCGGAGTTTCCATCTATTGCAACGATAGTTTAGCACTGCCTCACTGCCAGCTTGGGCTCATCATGTTGCGGATGTCAACCCCTCTACCCATGGAAAGGCGGGCAGCAGCCAATCACAAAAACTATTCGCGCAAGACCGTTACGTTCGCACAGATCTTCAGGAGCGGCAGAGCCCAAAAGCTTAGTCTTCCGAAGGAGGGCCGGTCTAATCTATCAAACGGGAACCGCACGAGCAACCGCGCGCAAAGAGGAAAGGATCGTAGTGGCAGAGGTGCCCAACGTCCTCGACGCGAAGCGTGCCCTTGCAACCTATGGCTTCACGCCACTAAGGTGTGTTTTGCGATACCGGAGAAAACTTGCGCTCACTCCTGATTGGATGACATCCTCAACTCGGAGCCTTTCCACCCGCGAACAAGTCAAACACGTGAAGCCAACGAGAACGTGCCCCGAGACAAATTGAGTGCAAAAACATAGCGGCACTGTTCCAAAGGGCACACGCGGCATGCCCGAAGCGCCACGAGCCTCCTGCCGCTGAAAGCGGGCCATATGCTCGACATTGCACGATTTGTTGCATGATCTATTGCATGACTTATTGCATGATCGTCTCTTCGTGGCATGGCAAGCTGAATCGTGTGTAGGTGCATGGAACATTGGTTTGCATCGGCAACCCTACCAAGTTTTGATTGGATTGTCGACAAGAAATTCTGCGACGAAGGAGGATCCAAGAAAAGGCTGCAAGCCTACGCGGCCGGCACATGCACGACGGTAGGCATTTGCACGTGGTGAGCTGTCAGAATCGCAAGTGTTCAGGGTCTGGTGGGTAGACTGGTCCTGCTAATCCAAAAGGATTCCACATGGCGTCTCCGCAAACGTCACGCGAAAGCAGATGCCGCCGGTAGTCGGTACCGTAGTCACCCAGGCCGTTTGGATCGGAGTTGGATCTGGTCTAAGCCCTCGAACTATCGTCATCAGCGTTCTCAACCTGAAAACATATCCGTGCGTGCTGCTCAGCCACCGTAACAATAGGTACGACGGGACAAGGGGTACATGATTCGGAATGACCCGTGGCCTATTCTTCACTCACTTGATCCGGTAGTGACAGCCCTGACGCTGCTCCCGCGCAGGGCTTGAAACCCTGCGCTTGGCTCTTGCGACGTCGTCCATGCTCTTCAATCCACAATGCCAAGTAGTACTTGCTAGAGTTGCTGAAAAGGTAATCATTAGTTCTGAGCAAAGGAGTGCGATCCCAGCCGAATGGTACCACTTGATGCGCCATTCAACGCCACGAAATTCCTTGGGGGCTCTAGCAGCCGCGAGAGTCGGAGACCAAAAGCGACGGCGTCGGAACTCTGGGGCAAGACTGTTTGATGGCACTTAGAGTCGGTCCGGTGTGCGCACCTTTTCACAGGCTTAAGCTTTGCGGGAAACACACCAGGAGGGGTACGCTTGCGGGAAACACACTCCATTATCAGCGGCGCGATAGTCGCCACACCGCTGAGGATCGACGAGCGTCGCACGTGATAGAGCCAGCGCTAGCCCAGCCTTTGCAGCCCTTTACGAGATGTTGGACCTCCAAAAGAGGTAAAGGGTGGGGATCGTGCTTGCAACGGGTAAGTTCCTTGAATTTCACGCAAGTGCATGAATCTGCGTTAGGGCTGGTCGATGAAGCGAGTGTGTGAAGTGTAGCGACGGCAAGGGACAGAGTATGGTCGCGAAGATGATGGTGCAGGGCCCGAGTGAACGGTAGGTTTGCTCTCCCACTGCGAAGCTTCGCTTCTGAGGTTGATCCTGTGAGACGTGGGAAAGCTTCCGCCACTGGACGTCAGCGCACTAAAAGCCAATCAAACCCACTTTATTCCACTACATAGTACAACAAGGCTGGGTCCAGCCCCAGCATTTCTTGCATGCCATACCCTACCCGGAACGAACCCGAATGCGACACGAATGTCCTTGATGATCCCCGTTTGCAGTGGTCCTTCGCTCCTGCCTCCTTCCAAGCCTGGTGGCAAGTAACGCGAACGAACGGCGCCGCCGCACCGCTGAGAACCTTAAAATGCTCTGACGTCTTAGCAATAGCGGGCCGACCCAACTTCTGAAAAGACGAAGCGTCCAGCAACCATTCCAGACAAAGCCTAAATGATCAAACGTTCATTGGGGTGTTTGGTGTTAGGACCCTTACAGGACGCTTATAGTGCTGAATCTGGGACGGAGAAATAAACTCTGGGCGAGTGAGCAGGTTTGTAAACGGTTGCGTGACAGATGTCAGGACATTTCCAGCAAGCTAAGGTAGCTCCTCTCAAAAGATCTGTGTGATACTGAGAATGGCGCATCCATGTTTCATCGATGATGGCAGCGTGTTGAGGCGCTCGTGGCTAAGCGTGATAGACTTCGCAAATGAAGATGCCCAGAGCAACGCGTAATGCAAATGCCAAGCCATGGATGCCAACTACAGCTCAATGAGCAAGCTTCATCCTTTGCAAGGCGCAGCGTTCTCCACAAAGTAATCATCACACAGCAAGTGCCTGTGCGCCTCACTCTAAACGTTGAACATGGCGTTGAACTACGGTACGATGACCGTCAGCCGCTCGATGTCGAGACCGGGGCGCGCGGAAGACCAGGGTATGTGATCGATGTAGAAAGTGCATCGTGGGCCTTGGCTGGAGTAGAGGCCCAAGAGGGGAGAGCTGCAGCCTCACTCGAGGCGCTCTCGTATTTGCGAGCGTTAGTAGCCCAACGGTTACACTACGCTCACCACAGACATGGTTCTAAGCTGTAAAGTCACTACCTAGTCTGTGCGATCGCTGCAGCAGAATCCCAAACATGGACCCCCCTGGGGGGGTTTGCTTGGACTGGTAACCCGGAATGAGCACCAGCCTTGCGACATGCAGGTCCGTGGGCAGGCAGAGCCCCTCTGGCGATCTCATCACCAAGTGGTTCGACTGCTGGTTCCTACCCCACGTGAACTGGAAAGTGCCGTCGCCCTATTGACTCATGGGCAGAACTTGCACCGTGCGACCGTTGTTTTGAGCGTTGCCAATGTGCCAAATTAGAACCGGACCCATGTTGAGATTTGAATGTGTTACATTTGAACAATGATGTGAATTTGTCTAAGCGTGTGCGCGCTTTGCGCGGGATGACTATAGTGATGCTGTAAAAACCTACGAACTGCTAATTGCAGATTCGTCCTGACCTGAAAAACGCGCTAATTGTGTAACTGCATTGGCAGAAACGAACCTTGCCGCATATCCGCGTCTGATAACGCTGTGCGTGCTGAAATGCTACGAATGCGAACTTTGAGGCAGTCCACACTGCATGCCGTACACCCGCATGGTTTCACCTATCCTCGAGGAGCTACAGATGAGATCATGGAAAATCCTGATGACTACCCGCCTAATTGACCCAAAATGGTCACTATGGCATATGGCGAATGCGAGGTGCGGTCTTTCGTGTTCTGGCTCCTTCGAACGTTCTGATGTTCGGCTTTGATTGGCTGTGATGGGGTGGAAGAAGTCCCCGGAGGTTGTATCACGACATTCTCTTTGTGCAACGACGCGAACGACGCCCGGATGTTAAGAGCAACCTTCTATTGCTTGAACATCATCGCAGGATCCACCGGAAACCCCTGTACATTGAATCGTGGATCGTAAGTGGTGGAATTGACACCGAGATTGTGCGACTGTAGGTGGGCTTGCTGAGCAACGGTCGAAGAAAGTTGAGCAGAGGGATGGCCAACAAGCTGTGCGCGCGATTGTGACATGGGAGGTTCGTAGGGACCCGGAGTTGCGGAGTTGCTTCGAGGAGCTGACCCCGAGGAATGTGAGTTAGTGTGAGTAGAATCATAGATTGTCATGTCATCGATGTGAGATGTCGGTGCCGGTATCATGGGTTGTTGGGTCGTGCTGAACGGTAACTGAGCACCAGTCTGTGCCGCAAGCCTTCGAATCAAATCGGTTGATGGGTACGATGGTGAAATGACAGAGGGAAGCGCTGAAAACTCGTCGCCTGCGTTTGAAGGAACCATGCCGCCAGCGCCACCAAGGCCGATCGACGAGCCAGGGAGCGGTTGTGTCAGGTTCAGGGAACGTGGCAAGGGGAGGTTGGGCAGGACCTCCTGCAGCTTGGCGAGAAGCATCGGCAGGAAGCGGGTTTGCCCGCCGCGCAGCGTTTGAATGAGGGTAAGGAAACGAGACACATAGTCTCGAGGACCCAAAGCAAAAGCATCTGGCGAGAAAGACGTGCAAGCGACCACGTCAGTCAGGCAGCAGGCGATATCGAACAGCTTCTCGATCTGCAACAATGTTAGCCCAAGACTCGTATCTAAAGCGTTGTCGAACTCGAAAGGGTAAAGAGCGGCCAAGTGTGTGTGCATGGACGCTCCAGGAAGGCGTAGACTAGTGGATCAAGGAGCGGACGTCAGAGATTGACGTAGCTAGCGGTTGGCCCGTGCCACTGCAGCATGCGACAGGGATTGCACGATCGGAACGGACAGGGGTCTGAATGTGCAGAAGGAATGGAATGGAGCAAAGGGTGGAGATGGAATCCGCAGTAGCACTCACCAGACCAACGCCGTGTACCTCCATGGCCTGCTGTGAAAATTGGTGTGTCATCGTCAAGAGGTCTCTTGAGATATGGATCGGGAATTTGAAAGTCATGGACGTATCCTGGCTAACACTGCTCACAAGACCTTGGCAGACGCACAGTTGCCAGACCATTGCTCGCAGCCATTGCTGAGTTACGCGGATCTCGACGGCTTGTGCCTCGGTGCACTCAAGATATGCCGGGACTGCTTCGGAGAGCTGCGTTTGCAATTGTGCAATCCAGGTGGGGTTAATGTGGCTGTGTACGCGGTTCCAGAGGTTGACAAATGTGTCGTCAATGGTTTTGTACAGATTAATCATAAGCTCCAGGCCGATGGCGACTGGGCGGTCAGCAGGTACTTCGTCCAGAGAAGGTGGATGTATGGTCGGGTAGAGTGAGATTGGCCGATGGTGATGAAGGGCATATGTTCTGGATTCAGGGTCAGCTATGGCGCGGATGTGAAACTGGAACTATGGTACCTTTCGGCCATGAATAGCAGCCAGTAAAGCACGCGTTTGCGTGATGTGTCGAGTGGGTCGTGCTTATATGTCTCTTCATCGTGCATTCCCAGAAGCTGTGCTTGGGTAGTGGCCTCTCGGAGGTAGGTCCACGCTGTGTTCTCTTTCGCCAATCCAAAGTAGCACCCGCTATACAGATACGATGTCAGGACCGTGGAAGCTGTGGGGTTCTCGCGGTAGTCATATCCTCTCCGTACACGGATGGATTCCTCCAGGAGGATGTGGCCGAATTGAGCGTTCGACATCTGAGCCATCTCATGTCGCTCCAGAAGGTCGGATCGGGGCTTCATATTGGCCTGGATCATGACGTACGCACACAAGGACACGATCATGCAGTAGGCTTCGATGGAGCGGTCCATGTTGACGATGGCTTCTTGCGCCCGTTGTCGATGAAGTACCGGCTGTGAAGGGTAGATGTAGGAGAAGAAGAACTCCATGCAACTCTCAACGAGGGGCCGTGGGACCAGGCCTGGAGTCCGGACATTCTGCGAAGACAATGGCCGGCCATCGTGGCCCAGCTCTTGGGGGAAACCAGAGGCCAATTGTGCATTTCGTTGGTTCTCACGAAGCTCAGACAGGACTTTGGCGCGACTGCCCTTGGGGCCTTTCTTCTGGGGGATGGCGTTGTATGTGCATGCCAGGCCAGCAGAGACACAGTTCTTGCATGGGTTGGTGCCTTCACCTATGCACTTGACTTTCCTTCGGTGGCAGCTACAGCAGGGTCAGCGGCCGGTTGTTGGGCGGCGACGACGTACTCACCTGTCGCAGGCGCGCTTGACGGGAGCAATGGTAGTGGTGGAGGACATGGTGTAAAGGCAGGCAAGCTAGTGGACGTGAGAGGCGTCCTCCGCGTGCGTGTGGATTTCAAGCCGAGCGGACCCAAACGACTATGTATGTCAGTATGTTACTCTGAGGTCCGAGAGAAGCTCTCGCATGGTCCTTGTGTCATTATGCTGGAGATGCAGAGAACGCCATTCGCACCTGATTGAACCAGGACGACAGAACGACCAAGCGTCAAAGCCGCATATTAGACCTTGGACTAGTGACTGCCGCTGCGTTGCAGGGACAGGGCCTGTAAACGCGGATCCAATCACAGGGCATGGGGGCTTGTCCGACACCCCTGGTACCAGCACTGGGGAAAGGATTCCACTGCAGGGAAGGTCAAACGCTTACCATCCGGATGCCAGCCAGCAAGCTTGGGCGGTCTGCTGGGCTGGAACAGGCCTGACGACGACTTCCAGGTTGCCCACTTGGCGTGAGTAATCGTCGGGGATGGCACGGGTCCTTCCAGTGCGGCGGGAGCTTTTTGCTAGGGCGAGTATACGGCGTGTTCAGGTGGTGCCAATGGCCGACAATCTCCCGCAGCAGCAGGGGACGCGCTCGCTTTTCGGCAGGTAGACCGCTATGAACTGGCGAAGCCTGACTGACCGCCCCTCGCGATTTTCGTCCACCCTCTCGCACCGGCTCAACTGCCCGGGCAGCAGATTTTTTTTTGGCTCCGTGTGGTGTTACAGCGACTCGCGCTCTCATTCAGCGCTGAACGCTCCACCTTGCGGGTACTCCAAACAAGCCTGCCGCCCGCGCACCTCTCGCTTCCCTTTTTCGCCCATTGTCATCACTACCCCAAACTGGGAAGCAACGCCCTCCTCGCGGTAAGACCCGGGGGCCTGGTGGCTCGCATGTCGTCATACGACTGCGCGTGTTCCCTGACTTCTATGCGGTGCACTCGAGCAGGACGCAGCGCGCTGCGAGAATTCGCATCTATCCTTCACCAGGACGGCAAAGTAGCATGGCGCAGCCGGCCAATGGCTACACACGAGGGGTCGGGATGTGACCTGGAGCGCCGGTGCGAGGTGAAGGTTGCATCATCGGTTGCGTTAGCTGTCACGGGGTGTCGACCTGTCGTTGCTGCTGCTTTGCTGGAGGTTTTTGGGATTTTTCGATCTCAGAGGCGCGGCTCCACGCCATCAGCGCAGCGACAGACTGCTTATATCGTTTCGACGTCTACTTAAAGGCCCTTCTGCGGACTCATGTGCGGACTGGGAGCAACCAAGGGCCCCGAGATGCTGCCGACTGACGATGAACATGATGGCGACGTGGTATGGAGCAGTCGAATGAGCGTGGCCCGGACAGTATTCCAGAGTGAAGTGCCACACGATGTGTGGGCCTTGAGCGCCACACGTTACACAGCGGGAAGCATACACAGCTTCTTTCGCCAGTGATGTACGGGCGGGCGGTAATGCACGCCGCCTGCAGACGGCAATGCACTTTTGGTGTTGCGACTGGGAGAAACATCTCCTATGGGTATTGGTCTTAATGTATGATCTGCTCATAGTGCGTGCCACATCCTTTCGTCTAACTGGAAATCGCACATCACAGGGATCTGCTCCGCGGACTTGTCATCGGTGAACACGGGATGTATTTATATACCATGCGGCAAGGCTCTACAACGGTATTTGCCCACTCGTTTGTGAACTACACAAAAAATAAATGACGCCTGAAAATGCAGTTGCAACCATCGTGCAGCACTTGCGCTCAACCATTAGCACTGACACTATCTTCACGAGAACTCCACTCGACTACCACCCGATCTAGCTTGTTTCGCTTGCGCTCTCTCGGCCCTTCTCCTTCTACGATTCGTGTCGTAGTTGCTGACGTCGGTCTCTGTGCCATATACCTGAGTTCCTTGAGGGCTGCTTAGGATACTGGGGTCACCAGCAGGATCTGGCGGAGGAGGGAGGAAGCCTGTCTGCGGTGACGGCCTCTGTACTGGAGAAGCGAAATTTGAAGGTGGCCCTGGAGGAGGAGGAGGGACGTATGGTTCTGGCATCTGTAATGGCGCTCCAGCTGGCGATGCAGGTGACAGGCCTGCTTGCGCCATCTCTTGCGCCTGCTGTGCCTCAAGGGCCTCTGTTCTCCGCCAACGGTCTCCATCAAGCTGGCTCAATGAAGACATGCTGCCAGTGCGGGTTCTGCGTTGTCGCTCTCGTCTCCTAGCATCTCGTTCTGCTGCCGCCTCCTCCTCATTCAGACGTCGAAGCGTGACGTGTCGGCCATCGTTGTGCATCTTGACTTTTACAGACACTGGAGGAGATACGATACTCTCATCTCGACTGTTCCTCCGTCTCGAGGGAGATCCAGATGGAGCTCCTGCTGCTGCCCCACCAGCCAGAGCTGCGGCGCCTGCGGAATTGCGATGGCGACGGTGAGAGCGCCCACCAGGAGACACATAGGCCTCAGATCCAGAATCAGAGAGGACAGTGTTGTCGGTTGGGCGTAGGACGGAGGGACCAGCAGACGAGGTCATAACTGGAGGAGCGTTTGGCCTTGCCACCGAAGGTGTCATGCCCGAAATTTCGGTTTCGGAATAGATAGTTGACGGTGGCCCATGTCTGCGCGGTGCGGCACCGTCACCAGTGAATCTTCGGCGGTTGCTGTTCGCTCGGGCCATTTTCTCTTCTTCCATGTCATGCTGTCTCATCTCCTCAATTCGTGCGTCTTCTTTCGCGTTCTTGCGCTTGTTGAAGGTGTGCTTGATGAATCCAAGAACTCCAAGTGTCATAATCCCATCTTTGACTCCATAACCAGACTCCTCTCTCAGCGGGCGAGAATCGTGGTGAGTGTTGAAGCTTGTTCGGCTGTCGAAAGAGTCTATGGACCCACCGCTTCTTGTTGATCGATGGCCAGGTCGCACTGGGCTTGCACCCATGGCAGCCGCTTGCGCAGCTTCTCTCTCTTCAACGCGACGCCAGTCCTGGTTCCTCTTAGGTGAGTCAGGAGCCATACCTTCCTCAAGGCGGCTGATATCTGTTTGAGTGACCTCAGACTGACCCAGAGGGCGGCCATAGCTGATATCGCTACCAGTCGATGTTTCAGTGTAAGCGCGCCTGTCTTTCTTTTTTCCAAACAAAGATTTGATGGCGAAAATTCCTCCTGCTGCCGCACCGGCACCCATCAGACGATCCTTCCACGTAGAGCCTTTGCGTGTGTCGTTGTACTTTTCGTCGCTCATATAAGACTCGTTAAATCGTGAATCCGTGACCCGAGAGCGAGAATCAGGACGCGAGCTCAAGACAGTCGTTTCATCCCCACGGCGTCTGCTGCGACTGCGACTGTAGCTGTTCCTGGATGCTAATGCAGCAAGCCCAGCACCAGCTGCACCGGCTGTTGCTAAAGCTCCAATTCCACGTCCACCGCCACGACTTCTCCGGCTTCTGGTACTCGCAGAACGATCAGTGATGTAGGTAGTGTTGTCATCGAAACCCATCTCCGGTTGGTTCCTGTATGAAAGCACAAAGTAAACAATCAAAAGAAGGAATGCCCATACTGCAAACAGAATGAACAATACCAATGGTGAGCCCCAAAGCGTCAATCCGAGCGGGATTTGTGCTATCCCCAAAAGCAAGACAACACGGCCGACCCATTGATGTAGCTAAATCAATTAGTCGGTGTAAAGTGGCAAGATCTGGCAGACGTACAATGAGCTTAAGCGGCACCTTGAAGCGCTCCTTGCCTTTCTCCAGGCGATGTATGATAGACCCTCCCAAGACCTGGAGAACAACCAGAGCGTACAGCGCTACGCCGATGCCGTGGTGCGGGTTCGTCAGTGACCTCTCCGGCCCGACAGCCTGAAAGCCCAACACAATAAGGGCAGTTGCGAGGAGTAATGTCATGACCTGAAGCCAGATGTGAACGCGCAGCGCCAGTCGTGGATTGCGGTGGTAGAACCGGGCCATGAAGATGGCACCTGGCACGACGAAGAGGAAGGTGATAGCGGCGAGGATACCGTGAGCAAGAATGAGTGGCTTGTAGCCTACCATGTTGCGAAAGCGATTACCCATGCCTAAGGAGTTAGCCAAACACTCTGACTTCAAGCTGGCACCACTCACCATTGTAGCGCATTGTGTCGAAGTTGATACCCATCAGGTTGGGCAACAGGAAGGTGTTGCGCTGTGAATCCCATGTTCCATCACCGACGTACAAAGAATCGGATGAATAGGCGCTGCTCCCAGGAGCCGACAGCCCCTGGTCCGACATGGTGATGAGTTCTTCTCGAAGTTTTTAGAAGTGATGACGCAGTTATAGATGTACCAGACTACGAAAGTCCAAGTGGTGTTTGATGCAGGGACCGAGACCAAACAAAGCGCGCCGAGGCTAACAATAACCAGTGAACCAGATTTTCGTAATGTCGTAAAAGCCGTGAAGGTAAGAAGGCGGTGTTTGTCGCCCTTGGCTTGATGCCGATGTTGGGCGCTAACGTGCGTGAACGAGCTCGTCCGGCGTTGCGGACAGCTCTGTAGAGAACGTCAGTAGTTCGGCTTTCCTCTTGGTGCTCGTGAACGGATGAAGGTTCTGCGGTGTTCTCCTGCGCGTGCAATCGTGGTCGTGTTACCTCAGAATTGGAGAGGCTGGACAGCGGGTAGCTGCACTACCTTACTAGCTTGGTGAGGCAGGATCCACCGGTAAACAGCCCACTTGGCCCAGCAACCCGTCGATTGATTCGCTTTGGACAACGCACCGCCCGAGGGGTGGCTGGTCTCACCCAATCACAACCCATCCATCTATACATTCAGCTACGCTGGTCCCTGCAGCGCGTCTTCCAGGTTTCGAGTTTTAGACAGTGCTGCGCTGGCGACTCCAGATCTACGTCAGACCGCTTTCGTCGTCACAACCCCAATTATCACCACCTTCAGATTCCAGAACATGAGATGGTTTGCTGGCTCGGATGAGACCGACCGTGGGTCTGAATGAGTTGTACAATTAACGGCTGTTGGGAAACCCACTGGTATCTCGCGAGAAAAGCTTCAAGCGCCTAGAACGCCATACAAAGACCAACTCCTAACGACCATCAATGATCGGCAGACCCACGATCAATCCTCTACTTCTAACATGTCCCTCAGCGCCTTTTCTGACGCTGTGAGCCATCGTCCCCTCGCCTCAAGTTCGTCTCCGATGCCGCCGCCCTCTTCTTTCCTCCGTCTGGCTTCCTTGGCTGCAGCGACTGTGCCTTGCTTCTGTATCTCCAATGGCTTGAGCTCTCGTTCTACCTTCTCCAGCTCTTTTGCTCGGTTCGGCAAGGAAGACTGCAACTGCGCGATTTGTGCATTCAATGCAGCCAGCTCCGCTTCTCGTTCGTTGAGTAGCCGCAAAGTTTCTGGCAATGGCAGATCGAGTTCTGGATTGCTTGATGTGGGTATCTGGTCTTTCTTCAACTGCGCAATGCTGGCTTCTAGGCCCTCGATCTCGGTTGGTAGTGTCTCCAACTGTTGCCGCCTCAGCTGCACAGCGTCGTAGCGCAAAGCGAGCTCTTCTCCCTTCGTCTCCAGCTGCTTCAGTATCTCAGCGACTTCGGCTTTGTGCTCCTTCAGGCTTGCTTTCACTGCAAGGATTTCGGTTTCCTTTTCGACGTTCTCTGCGGCTTCGACGAGTCGCGGCGGATCGTCGGTCAGGTTGCGCAGAAATTTCTCTTTTGTGACTTGCTCTACGTAGGAGAAGCGCAGCTTACTGAAGAGCTCCTGTGTTATGGATTAGCCGCGCATCTTCTCGGCGTAGTTGATACAAACTTTGTAGTGTTTTAAGTCCGCCTCCAGTGCTGCAGGGTGCGTGTCGACATTCTGATCACTGTCGACAGACGCAGCTGAGTTGCGCTTTTTCGAGGATTGAGGAAGATCCCTGGGCTTGAGAGGTTCAGTGATAGCGATGATCTTCAGCTCGTGTTCTTGCTGTAATTGAGCAAGAGCAGAGGCTACCGTAGGCGCGGCAGTTGTAGACTTGCGCGTAGCAACCATGTTGAATGCCTCGTGTCGTGATATGGCGTGTCGGGACCGTTGCAAGCAACAACCTACGTAGAGGGAGGGGTGTTTGTTTTGGCTGGATGCACAATTCGTAGGGCTGAACACCGCGGCTATTACCTGTTTGGGCCTAGATCAAACCCTCTCCCATCAAGTCATCCTTCGTCATTCCCCTCTCTTACACCCCAATCATGCCGTTTGATATCGACGACGACCAGTATGTCGCGAAACTTCTCACGCAAGATGCTAAGAAGGCGAGCAAGACGTACGATCTGGTTGGTCTCGACGCTTTCAATCCCAAGAGGTGCGTAGGAAGCCTCTGATGTATGCTATTTTTTCAAGCGGCGAGCAATGTACATGAGATTCTCTCACTCTGTGTCACCGGACTATGACTTACCCACCATCAGATCAGGACCTGGCGCTCCCAAGCCTAATACAAACTTCTTGCGGCACATTATCCGCCAGACCGACAGTCACAATGCTGCACTGCTAGCAAAGGAAGCCGAGGACTCGAGCTTGCGGCTCAGGCAGATGAATCGCGAGAGAGACAGAGGTCGCACAGAAGCAGTAGACAGGGCAAAGAGGAGGATAGAAGGGCGCTTGAGTCCTCCGCACCATGACGAAGATCCACGACAGCGACGCTCACGGCGAAGAGGGGTGGACGAGGACCAAGACGGCCACAAAGGAGATCGCAAAAGACGACACGGAGAACACAAATCGGGTAGTCATTCCAGGAACCATGGAGAAGATAGTAGAGCGAGACATAGCCATAAAAGACGATATGGGGACAGTGACGAAGACCGCGCATCGCACAGATCAAGGCGAACGAGAGAGAGCGGCCGCCGAGATCGCCACGATAGGGAAGAGAAACTCGGAGAAAAGACTCGGCATCGAAGCCGCAGAGAGCGCAGGTCTTACTCCAGATCGCTGTCTCGATCACGGTCAAGATCACCTCGTCGTGAAAGCAACAGGGAGCGACATCGGCCACGCTCGCCCCGACGCTCATCGCGCAGCCCAATCAAGTCTCGAAAGCGCACGCGACGGTCAAATACTCCAGCGTCTGACTCGGACCCTCTCGAGGCCCTAGTCGGCCCACTACCGCCTCCGTCTGAACCCGCTGTCCGCTCGCGCGGGCGAGGCGCTCTCAAAGCCAACGCCCTCGGCATTGAGTCTCGCTTCTCTGCAAGTTATGATCCTACCATGGACATGAGGCCGGGCTCCGATGCTGGGGATGACTGGGATGAAGCACTCGACGCAATGCGAGATCGAGAACGGTGGAAGCAACAGGGCGCGGACAGACTGCGTGCAGCAGGTTTCAAGGATGAACAAGTGAAGAAATGGGAGAAAGGTGGCGATCCGATGGAAGAAGACGTTGTTTGGACCAAACGCGGGCAGGATAGGGAGTGGGATAGAGGCAAAGTCGTCGATGAAGACGGCGACGTAGAGCTCAGAGCTGAGTGGGGAAGATTGAAGTAAGAACTCGCCATGGCGATGTATATTGTAACAGATTGCATATCTACAACTTCATGCCCAAGACCTTATGCACCCTCAGCGCTTGTCGAATACTCAGGTCCAGCATGATCTCCTCGCTACCACCCGGGATAGCGTATGCCCTGACGTCTCTGTACAGTCTCTCGACCTTTGCACCCTGACCGCCACGGCTGTAACTTAACCCACCAAAGATCTGACTGGCTTCCCTGGCACAGAACTCGAAGGTGGTAGTACTTTGTGCCTTCAAACTTGCGATAGCTCCACCAAGCTTCAGCATGGCCTCTGTCTCGCCCATAAGCTGGCACTGGTACACCAAGTTCTCAAGCCAGTTGTAGCTGGCCTCGATCTGGCGCGCCATGTGAGCGAGCTTGAGACGGATGACCGGGTGGTCGATGAGCTTCTTGCCGAAAGTCTTGCGCTTGTGGGCGAACTTGACGCTCTCCTCGTAGCAAACGCGCGCGAAGCGGATGGACTGGATGACAATGCCAATGCGCTCGTGGTTGAAGTTTGTCATGACGACCTTGAAGCCCTGGTTCTCCTTGCCGATAAGGTTCTCGACGGGAACCTTGACATCTTCGAACGTGATGTACGTTGTTCCTGACGACCACACACCCTGGCAGTCCATCCTGCGGGTTGAGACGCCACCTGCGGCGCGCTCGATGAGGAGGACTGAGACACCGTTCATGCCCTTATCGGAGGTACGGACGGCGGTCGTGAAGTAGTCCGACCAGATACCGTTGGTGATCCACTTCTTCTCACCGTTGACAATGTAGTGCTTTCCGTCTTCAGAGAGCTTGGCTTCACAGGTCAGACCTGCAACATCGGAGCCGGCATCGGGCTCGGTGATGGCAAGGCAGATACGCTTCTCACCACTGAGGAGCCCCGGGCCGATGCGCTTGATCAACTCCGGCTTTGCGAACTTGAAGACTGGAGGCCCTCCGATGCCGTAGCCACCGATGAGGTTCCAGACTAGACCTCCACTGCCAGTTCGAGACAGCTCATCTGTGAGAATCATCTCGTGGAAGTGGTCCCACTTCTCCGGTGGCACGCTTGCGACTCGCTTGTCGGTATATTGTGTTGGGTAGTGAATTCCCAGCAGACCAGCGAGGTATCCACGTTCACCCATCTCCCTGAATATCTCATCGGGTACCTTCTTTGCCTCATCCCACTCGGTCACGTTGGGCATGATCTTCTCCTCGACCCATGCTCGCACTTCCTCACGAAGAGCTACGTGAGTCTCATTATAGTATGGCGAGTGGTATGTCTGGTACCAACTAGGGTCGGCGTATGGGATGAGATCACCGTAAGAGTCGAAAGGCTCGATCTCTTCGGCGGCGGCCTCGGTTGGCTGTGGCGCAACGGCACCTGAAACAGCCTCAGGCTTGACAATCTCCTTCTTCTGCGGCGGTGGTGTTGCCGGTGGTGTGGGAGGCGCAGCCTTTGTGTTCAGAGAACCAACTTGCAGTTGTTTCTGGTACTTCTTGAGAATGCTGTCGTTGTGGTACTTCCAAAACTGCTTCGATGCATCCTTGCCAGCGACGCGTGTGAGAACTAGTTATTGTTAATTGACGCACTCTCAGCGGTACTTGTCGGGTGTACATACTCTTCTTGCCTCCAGGATGCTCATCCGCAAACTTGGTGAGATCGTATACATCTTCGTCGACGATGATGTAGAGATCGTCTGCTGTTTTGTGTGCCGCAACGTCGGCGGTAGAAAATGACTTTGACATCTTGACGGAGAGATGAGATCTGAACGCTCAGATTGTAATGCTATGGTACAAGAAGGAGACAGTCACAAGACAAAGAAAGCCGCACGAAAGAGTGGATCTATAAACGACCAGCGTTCAGCGTCTTTCACATGCAACGCCAGCTCCACGCCAAGAAGTCCGGGGACGCACATGATAGTAGCCGCATCTGGAGCTTTCCGGGGTAGACCCGTGATCTTGTGAGTGCAATGGGAGCGCTGCTATTGGTTGCGGTACGGGGTGAGCGGCTGACCTACTGTTTCCAGGTGAGACGTGGTTGACGTCAAGGCCAAAGACATGCCGAGGCTCTGTGATCAAGTCACACACGGGCCATCACCGCGGCGTTCACGAGCCAAATGCTGACAATCAGGTGCTGTGAGAAGCGTCGGATTCACGGGGCCGATGTTGATGTCGTCCTTCTATGCAGATTCCATGGTTCGTGAGGCTTGGGGTCATCAGAGATAATTGCGCTGGTGACGCGAACATTGTCCGGCGCGCCGTGATCTCCAGCGGCCAGCGGCTGAGAGCAGCTCGGTCTGCCAACCCTAAACACGACACATCAGACCTTGGACATCAGCCCAATATGACGGGACAGGTGCAAGTTAAGAAGTCTTCGGAAATTACGTCCCCGAGCGGTCCTCAGAGCGATAGCATGGAGCGCATCCCCGCCATCGTCGACATGTCCGACCAGATCTGTGGTACGGGTACGTATTTGACACGTGAGTTTTGCAAAGACCGACATTTGTTAACATACCAAGTAATGCTTGCAAAGCCACATAGTGCGAGTGCTATTCACCACCACGGTGAAGAAGGTATAGCTGCGTTCAATCATCACCTGTAATATAACTTGGGTATGTTGAGCAATGATGATCTGATACGCCACAGACACGATCGTCTACGCTGTCAGCGGTCGAGGGGCTATTGTCAGCGAGAACGGCAAGAAGAGACAAGAGTTGGCCCCTGGCGACTTTGCACTAATTCCAGCATATGTATGCCTCAATCGAATGAACTTGGACTAGGTGCACACTCACGAGAACAGGCTGAGCATCAAGAGGTCAACGACGGCGACGAACCACTTAAATGGATCATCACACGCGGCGGAAGGAGCCCTATCGTCCACAACATTGAGGGCTGGGGAAAGAGCGAAGATCCAGAGAAAGCGCAAGGTGCGTACTGAGTGCTGCAAGTCGACAAGCAGACGATGGTATAGCTATCAGGCGTCAATAAATGTGTAGCAAGCCTTGATCCTTCCCCCAGTGATCGTCAACACATCCCATCCAGTCATGCCTGGTTTTGCGTCCTTTGGTCCAACGCCCCATTTGACTCTGGTTACCCACATGTCTTCCTCCTCGCCATACTTTAGGCACTCGACATCGCCTGCATTGCTCGAGTTAGCCCTCTTTTCAAGGTGAATTCCGTCGTTTCAAGCCTACCTAGCTCCACGAATACGTCCTCCGGACCACCAAAGCCCTGTATCTTCTCTACCATCTCACTGATCGATTCATGCGTCTTGAACACCCCCATCGTGTCTACGAAGGATATTTCGCCGCTTGCAGCCCAAGTATCTGACATTGCCTGCAGTCGCTTTGTGACATCTCTTTCGCCGAATATTGTGTGGATATTGAGTTTCGTCAGCTCGACAGCGCGATCTCGAGACGTCATTTCCTAGAAGAGATAGGCAAAGGTTAGCAGAGTCGAACTTGCCTTCAGCGGTCCATTTGTTAATTATCATCTGTGAACGACGAGTAACGCACTGTCGTGGTAAGCAGCGCTTACTGTGTCAGCAGAGTCTAACTGTAAAGAGAAAGAGGAGGGCTCTTTGTGCATATCGAATTGCAACAAGACAAAACCTAAGCATTATGGTGCGCGAGCAAATATCTATCGAGTACCCTACGATATACACGAAGTTTTCGCTTTTACGAAATCAGCACTCGGCAGGCTAAGACAGGTCCTGTTTTTCGGTTGCTAATTAAGAGTTTGGTGGTCGACCGAGTTGCTACTTTACAAATGAAGATGTGATTACGCTGGAAAAGAGCGAGTTCGTATTCGCACACGTATTCAACTCAAATCTGTAGAGGCTATCGTGCAGGTTCTACGATGAACTATAGGTACCCTGCCGACGGAAGCCTTCTGGTGAACGGATGCAGGCGGCCAGATCAACAGTCTCAATTGCTGATCGAGCTTTAGCGCGTATCTCAAGCTAGCTCGCTCCTACGCTTTCAAGCTGTGACTTTGGGCCCGATGGATTCCTCCACAAAATGGTCCGTCACCCACAACAAGGAACAGGGCTGAAAGCATTCCACCATGTCCGTTCGTATTGCGGAGGACTTCTGCTATTGAACGTAATGACCGAACGCGCTCGGCATGCCACTGCCGTCGTGTGTCCACAGACCCACTCACAGATAGTGTTCTTGGGCAATGATCCACACCGAAAGTTACAACCAGCAACCCGATAAATCCGCGGTATTTCGGCGTCTAAGTGCACCAGATGACGACGTCTACGTTATGGGCTGTACGCAGCCTATCAATCTACACACCACCGTACGTGGGCCGGCGTGCAGTTCTCAGGGGTCATATCAAGTTCAAGGCCTGTTTTCAGTCCGGTGATGGGCATGCTATATGGCCGAAGCTTGTACCGATGGATGGCTACAAACGGCGAGTGTGTGTGGACCTTTGCAGAATGGCGGTAGATATTTCGGAATGGACTAGCGGAGTGACCGGGGGAGGTGCATGGCGCTGCATGCCAGCACCGTGGCACGGTCGACGTGGAGGATGCAGGGCGCTGGCCCGCGCTCGCGACCACTGCCGCAACCCATGTTCTGCGTCCCCGTTAAAAGATAGGTTTCCACCTGCAGCCTCACCGGCTACTTAATGCACCGAGAAGCCGAGTGACCGAGTCCGGACTGTTCTGGAGACGGTAGACTTTACTTCGAACAACGTGCTCCTACGGATTACCTACCTAGGTAGATGATTTAAGCGATGCACTACCAAACAGAATGTGTTTAGAGTTCCGGCATCACCTGAGATGAGATGCGGTCTTGCCTGGCCAAGGCGAATGGATACAGTAGGTTACCCGGGTATCATAAGGCGGTATACACAACAGCTTGAGTTGGACCAAGTGGAGCTCAAGCATACCCAAAACGGTCTGCGACGCGCTGAGCGTCACTCAGGGAGCTCTCTCTGCTTCGGCCCGTTGTCTCATCGCAATGTTCTCCATGAACTCTGTAACCTGTGCGTTTGCGCCGCCTAAGTCGTTGCGTGGGAGAGCACTGACGGTGAGACCCTTCAAAGACCGTGCTCTGCTTACTGTTGTGGTGACGATCAGCATGATTCGTAAAAGCCCTAGGGAAGCGACTTACGAGCAACATATATCTGACTTGTTTCAAATGCGCGTGCAAGATCGACGATAACGCGATCGAGCGTCATGCCCTACGGGTGTCAGCATGTCTGTAGCAGTGACCAAGCCTAAATGCTTACCTGAGATTTGTGCACGGTAATGGCGTAGCCAGCAGCAAGTGGTATCTGCGTCCTTGAGAGTCTACAGTACGGCTCATCGTTGCCAAGCAAGTTCACTGTGCAATCCGCAAAAATGGTTCTAGTGACACCGTTGGTGAAGCGGACCACAGGCCAGGGCTGGCGCCCATTCACGTCTGCAAATTGCCCGATCTGGTGCTGGCGATAAACTGCGTGATCGCCACGCAATTCTCCATCCTCACCCTTCTTCGTTGGTGCTTTCGGTAGGGCGTTTTCGTCAAACTCTTTGAATTCGATAACTGTACCCTGAGCCCCATTCACGAGGCCAGCGCTAGGTTCAAGGTTAGCTTGTAGCACAACGCGCTGACTAAGTTTGAGTTGGACTTGGGTCTCGAAGCGGTGCTCTTTCTGCATAGACTGTTAGCTTCGTGATCTATATACTTGCTACAAAAATAGCCTACAAGTGATGACAAGCTACCACCGGGCATTCGATACGTATTTCTCTCCAGGCTTGTATCTTCTCTGTGCTCCTCTGGCCAGTCGAAATGGTCGAGACATTTGTATGCAATGGCTGCCGACTGTATTCGGTTTATGTTCTCATTGTTTACTCGATCAACATCAACGCGACGAGCGTAAAGTTCGATTGCACCTTCAGTTTCAGAGGTGTGATTCAAAAGCACCTTAGCGTGCGGTTTCAAGATAGTACCGGCTGTTCTTATTTTGTTAAGAATGCTCTTGAACATCATGTCGGATTGTCTGTGAATTTGCGTCAAGTTGACGTGCTTGAAGTTGCATTCCTGATGTGATCAGCATGGGCCTAAAATGTGAGTGTATCCAGCTACATACCTCCCAAGCTCGACTTCGAAAAGCCCATTTATCGATGTCGTAAAAAGTGTGTTCGCGACAACCCTTGTTCGTGCATTTGTATTCTTTGGGGTTTTGCTGATTATCTCTTTCCAATTCCCAGCCGCACATGCAGCGACCGAACGGCTTGACGGGAGCAAGTTGGTAGAACTACACTAGTCAGCTATAAGAAACGAATGTGCGTTTCCAGAACTTACATCTCCTGTGACAATCAATTGTATACCGCCAAAAGCGCCTCCACCGTACTTCTTTCCCCTTGAAGCCTTTAGAATCATGTTGAGCCGCTCGAACTGTAGATTTTCGATCATACTGATCTCATCGATGACCAGGACATCCGTCTCATCAAATTTTTTCCAGCTCTCTTTACCCAGCGAGTTGCTCATCAATTTATCAATGTGGATCTTCATACTGTCTGGTGTCCACCCCGCGAAGTTCCAGGTTGTCTGACCACCAACATTGAGCGCAGCCAGGTTCGTCGGGGCAACGATCTTCACCTTCTTCCCTTGTGCTTGTAACTGCTTAACAAAAACCTTCAGGATTGTACTCTTTCCGCACCCTGCAGAACCGGTGTAGAAAACGTTGCGACCCTGCATGATGAGATCAACTACGTGCTGTTGCTCAGGAACAAGCTTGGGCCCATCATCCGGAGCCAGCATGGGCTCCTCGTCCAGATGGACAAAATCTTGTCCAGGATTCAGCGATTTCGTGTGCTGCCAGGAAGGTTGAATCGGCTTATGACTAGTGCTGTTGGAGTAATACGCAGAGTCGAAGGATTCCTCTCCCTTCGATCGAGATACTTGGATAGATGACGCGCCATAATCATGTTCTATCAGCCTGTGTCTTTCAACATAAATGATAGCATCCTCTTGGTCCTTGAATTTTTTGTGTTTTGCGCCGAAGTAGCCATGTACCTGTTTCTCAGCAGAGGGCCAGTCGAAATACACTCCTGGTTCGCGCCCGATAGCCACAGCATAGTATCGCATCTTGCTCGGTTTGACATTGGTGGACTCGGCGAGCGCCTTTGTGCGTTCCTGTCTCGAGGAGCCGTCGTAGGTCGTGTGTTCAGTTGGTCTGGAAGCTTCGTGTGGGTATGGCTGCGCAGTCTGTGAATGGTTTGCCGTCCTCCTGCGTTTGGTCTCGGGCTCAGGGCTGGACAAAACCTCAAGCGGCGCATGTTGCGAGCCGTATGGAGGTCCAGAAGCTTGCTGCGATCGACTTAGGGAATGATAGCCGGATCCAAATGCTTGATCATACATGGTATTGTTTCGATCATCTGAGTGGACTCGATTTGTGTCCGGAACTCGTCCGTCTTGGTTGTTGCGACGCTGTAGATACTGTTCCACGCCCGGAAGACGAGGAAGCCCAGAAGGTTCATATTCAGATTGTATCGTATGGTACCTAGGGTAATAATGACCTGCCGGTCCTTGTTCTCGCCCGGCAGTATGTGTCAGACCATGACTGGTGTATGTATCCCCGCTATGATGCAGTTCGTCGTGCCTGCGCTTCACTGGCTCATAAGGATTCCATAGTGTCCGATCTGCTGCCGGTGCCGGGTCGTCGTGAACCGTTTGTATTCGAGGAGCTGGAGGCTCGTGACGTTCTGCAATATATGCTTGGGGTTCAAAGGAATTGGCTTGATGCCTAATCGTAGGAGAGTCGCGACTCGGGGATGTATTCAGGTCCTGACGGTAGCGCACGGCGGCCGAGGGTTGCGAATGGTATGGAGGAGGAGAGCTGGACGGAAGCGATGGATATAACTGGTTTGTGTCTTCCCGAGCATCTGTTTTAGTATGAGTGAATATGTCTTTGCAGTTGTGGTGCGGAAAGCCTACAATGCATCTGACGATACTCGTTACTGTATGAGGACATAGCAGCTAGCTGCCAAGGCGTATATAGCTTTGCACAGAACAACGATGTGCAGCTATAGATGTGAAATATGGGTGCTGTAAAAAATATATTTTAACCAACAATGACGGCAGATGGCTACCGCAAGAGGAGCATGTGCGCCTGGAACGGAGGAATGCCCCGTCGCGTCGGACGCGTGGGAGGCACGCTATTTTAGCTCCCGCAGCTCTGCTGTGGGGCCAGGGATTAACGGCGGGCTCCAGTGACAGACCATGCTAGTATGATCATTGGCAGATTCCTGTGCTACACTGGGTATATAATCAAATCGCTTCTTCCTCGAATCCTTCAACCTTCATGGCATCTGCAGCATCGGACTTCCCTGTCTTTCTCTTCTTGCCTCCCGCCTTTGACCTTCCACGTCCCAGCCATCCTTGCTTTGCTGCGATAGGCTGCAAAAAACCATCTATGTGAACACCTCCATATTCCCGCTCTTCATTGTCAGAGTTGTTAGTCCGAGGATCATAACCATGGACTCTCAAACAGTGCTCGATGACACGATGCGACCACCGGAAATCCTTGTGATACCCATCGCAATCGGCATGGGGACAGCGCAATGTACCTGCTTGCCAGTATGGTCTCTTCGTGGGACGGGTCGCACCGGCGATTGACGTGTCTGGTGCTGGATGAGTAGCTGGGGTGTATTGTACAAGTTCTGTCTTAGACTCGGTTGCAAGATCTTCGTGAAAGGGCATGAATGACATGCTCTCTCCGAAGAGTGCTGCACAACGCTCTGCAGTCCGCGCAAGGACCTTTTGGTCCCAGCCTTTTACTGCTGCAACCCCGAGAACTTCGCTCCAATCCATGAGACCTGCCCGTGTCCAGTCGCGTGTATTCGACATGTCATTTTCGTCCGCCGTGCTTTCTGATCTGGACCGCTTTCGATGTACTGTCGGGCTACGAGACGCTGCAGAGTCGAGCGCGTCGTCCTTTGCAAATTGTGCGCCGTAATCCGAGGTTGAGTCACTGTCTTCAAGATCCGCTGTGGGTTTCAGAGGCTTCTTGGGAGACTTCGGAGCACGGCTGGCACGACTAGAAGATAGACGTAATGCCTGTAATGTCATTGGCTTGCTCCGGGGTGCATGCGTCGCTCGAGACTGCGACCTGGATATTGACTCTCGTTCTGTTGTTTCTGCATCTGTTGTAAACTCACTTTGCGAGGACCAGTCATCAAAACCTCCATGACCAAAGTGATTGTGTCGCGTTCGCTGCAGTGCTAGCGCAACATCGTCGATTTGGTTGAGTATCGAAGCAATTGTCGGCCGTAGCAATTTTTGTGCTTTATCGTCATCTGCAAGAATGGCTGGCTTGATGTCCAGCTCCACTTGAGATTTTCTGCCACGCTTCACTCCGTCTTTCTGAGCTTCTTCTCCTTCATCATTGGGAGACTCGAACGCCATGTCATCCTTCATTTCAACGTCCGAATGCACAATTTGCGGTTGTAGATTTTTTACCAGTCGAGCGCTGTTCTTCGAGCTTCGCTGACCATCGTCTTGCCATTCTTTCGCAGTCCAGTTGTCTTTCGCCAGCCGTAGAAATAGACCCAGCATCTCGTCTTTCAGCTCCTCTCCTGGATTATGTACGCCGCTACCACCAATGGCCCACTCATCCTCTTCGGCGGCCGCTGTGGTCCATCTGAATCCGTTTCTGAGGCTGTGGAGCGAAGGAGGAGGCAGCGGCCACGCCGTCCAGTCTTTTGCAGGGACCAGCTCCGTCTGCAACTGCCCTGCAGCATCTTCGTATTGCAGGTCCTTCACTTCTTTCAGCCAAACATCCTTATTCTGCCAGCCGTGTGTCGTCGACAAGTCCGTCGTAGGTCTCCGCGCGCGACGCTTCAGAGCATGTGCATTGTATAGATGGGCAGCCAGATCGTTGTCTTCAATCTGCTGGAGCGATTCTACGATTTGTCGATCTGCTGCAGTGTATCCGTTCCATGTACGCGACGGCCCTTTGAATTTGTTGGGTCGTTCTGGCTCTTCGTCGTCAGACTCTTCGCTGTCTGCGTCGTTGCCGGCTAAGTCTTCAGCTGCACCTTCAGCTCCAACTTCGGGGATACCAGGCAGACTTTGTGATTGTTGTGCGCTTGGGGGACTTCCCAGGCCTGTGCTGGGCGGCGACCGCGCGATAGGAGACGCCGAGTTGTCGCTTCCAGATTCATACTCAGATTCGGTCGGCGGCGCGCTGCTGTCACCACCAAACAACGACATCTAGGTTGCTGTAGATGTCAAACACAGTTGAAGCTCGTCTCGTGGTTGTCGTGTGATTTCGCTCGTCCATGGTTTAGTGAGGGTCAAGTTGACGCGAAAGTTTGATGTGGGGTATTCACTAAAACGCGAAAGCACGTGCCAGATCGTTGCCTTGACAAGCTTTGGCTCCACTATTCTTATCCCCGGACCCAGAATACAGAAAAACAAGGACTGAGCGACGTGCAGGCCAGCAGCAACGGACCCTGCGGAGATCGAGTCCTTTGAGATGGCCGCGGAGGATTCAGACTGCCGCCGTTGGCGCATCTACGTCATTGGTCATGTTGTCAACGCGGCACACCACAACTTGGATGTTTGCACTTGACCATGGCGATCTTCTCGGGTACTGCTGTGTTACATGCTTTCCCATAAGACATGCTTCCACCGCTCTTCGCTTTGATTATATTGTGACAGCATGAACGACCCAGGCCTCGACAAATCTGCGTCTCAAGCGGCGGAAGATGTTGAAGCAAACAACACGCAATATGACCAGGACAGGGAGCAGGCTGAGGAAGAGGAACAAGAGTTTCTGAAACCAGGGTATGCAACCCATCAAGCCTTGTGTCTTGAAACTTTACTGATCTTTGCAGTCGCTGGTGGTTCGCATCTACAGCATGTCCACTCATAGCCGGTACCTTTGGGCCTATGGCAAATGCGTTTAGCATCTGCGCACTTCCTGAAAAGTGGAGAGTCTACATTCCACCAGGAAGCGACGAAGGGCACGGTTTCACAGTCGAAGATCCGAAATGGTTGATCGCCATCAACTCCGTCTCACTGGTCTTCGCCCTTATCGCGAACATGTTTTTGCTGCTCAATATGGCAAGAAGGGTGTCGTTTGCCATTGCACAGCCGATCACCCTGGTCGGGTTCTACACGGCATCTTTCCTTCTAATGGCCCTCGTTGGGGTGGCATCTTCCTCGGTTTTTCGTGTTGAGCCTAGAGAAGAGCATGCTCTGAGCCAGGCCTACTACTACGGAATGATAGCATCTGGGCTGTACTTCATCATCGCCTCGCTGATGCTGCTTACGATATGTGGTGCATACAAAGGCCGCTATCCAAAGGACTTCAGACTGTCTCCAAGTCAGAGGACATTGATGTTGCAGACCATAGGATTTATGTTCTACCTGCTCCTTGGAGCTTTGATGTTTGCAGAAGTTGAAGGATGGAACTTCTTAGATGGAGTCTTCTACGCAGACTTTACGCTATTGACCGTCGGCATCGGCGGTGAGTTTGTCCCTACGACCCACACGGCCCGCTCGTTACTGTTCCCTTACGCCATCGGTGGACTCGTCACTGTCGGTCTGGTTATCGGATCTATACGATCGTTGATCCTTGAGCATGGAAAGCAGAAGATGGCAGCTCGTTTCACTGAGATCAAGAGGGAGAAGGTCCTAGCTTCATACAACGAAAAGACGGGAACGATCAAATTGGGCTGGTTCTCGAAGATGGAGTACTTCAAGAAGGAGCTGCCTGAATCTCAAAAGAGGGAACAGGAGTTCCGTGTCATGCGAAGAATCCAGGAGATCTCCGAACGAAATCGACGATACACTTCGCTTGCTATCTCAACCACAGCAGCCCTCCTTTTGTGGTTCCTTGGTGCTTTGGTCTTTATGTTCGCCGAGAAGCCACAAGGCTGGACCTACTTCTCGGCCATGTACTTTGCCTACACTTCGCTGCTGACAATCGGCTATGGCGATCTTGTTCCACAGTCAAACGCAGGGAAAGCGTTTTTCGTTTTCTGGAGTCTCTTGGCCGTACCAACACTGACCATCCTCATCAGCAACATGGGTGATACCATTATCAAGGAGTTCAAAGACTTCACCATATGGCTTGGGTCTCTGACGCTCCTGCCAGATGAAGAAGGTCTCGCGTCCACACTCAAGATCGGCGCAAAGAGGATGAGAAAGATTTACAAGGAGGAGTCTCAAGAGGCTGATCCAGGCGCCTCGTTAAGGCACATGATGGATAGGCTGAAGGGTCACATGGAGGAGGAGGAGCTTGGAATGGCGGAAGAGGCAGGTGAACGAGGCGACAAGCTGACGCGGGACATTCACTTCTACCATTACGTTCTCTCGAAAGAACTTCGACAGCTGATGAAGGATGTCGATGCGTCTCCTCCAAGGCAGTACAGTTACTCTGAGTGGTCATACTACCTTCGCTTGCTTGGTCAAGACGAGCGCGACGCCTCAGGCCATCGCCGAGCTCGCGTTCACCACAAGCACGGCAACCACTCGTCACCCGACCTTGGAACAGCAGACGACGGTGACGATCAAACATGGAGTTGGTTGGGCATTCGTAGTCCGCTCATGGGCAATTCGAGCGAGGCACAGTGGCTGTTGCGAAGGCTCTCCGCTAGACTCGAGATGGAGATGCGAAAAATGAGCTCCCCGGATCCCAAGAAGAGGAAAGCCCCACCGCCGATATCGATGGACGAACTCAAGCATGTCGAGAAAGACGCGGGGGCGAACGGCAGTAGTGGCGAGTCATCGAGCAGAACGTTTGATCCTGCGGAGGCCCGAAGGCGAGGACGCAAGGGTGTTGATCCGTGAAGTAAACAAACGCACTGGATTCACATCAACTGCGAGAAAACAGACAACTACCATATAACAAGCCTTCTAAGTTGTGAGAATCATGCCTCCCAATCAGTACCATGAGCGACCATGTCATCACCACCACACAACAACAAAGAGCTGCCAGTGATATGGCTCGCTCCCCCAGCCGCCCTCTCCCCCTCAGCTCACCCCATCGCAACCCAACCCCTCCCCATAGCCATAAGCGCAACCCTCGCAACCCTCATAATCGTCACTCTCATCGTATTGTACAACAAGAAGCCAAAGACGCCCAAACCACTACGCTTGAACGTCTCGCCTGCCACACCACGGCACAACACCCACGTCCAATACCCCAAACCTACGCACGCATCTCGCACGAAACCATACATTCCGTCGGTTCACCCGCTTCCACATATTGTCGCTAATTCTGTCAACAAGCCTACCAAGTCCGAAGCCACAACTGCAAGCAACACTTCTAGCAGCGACCCGCCTTCGCAGGACACGCCCGTGCAGGAATATCACTCTTATCTTAGAGACAGCGTTCATGAAGAATCGCTTAGAAGCGCTGCTGCTTCGCGATCGGCTTCGCAGAACAGCTACAAGGTTCCGTCATACTACGAGAACGTGGCGGGGTCGAATCGCAGCGTCATCGATGTCGCGGGCACTGCTCCAGCCGCTGATGCCTTTCAAACAGCCGCGAGTTCTGACTACAGCATCTCTATTGATCCGACACCCCGCCCTAGCCGTCAGAACTCCTTCCGCAGGTCGCGGGCTAACGGCTTATGGACGCGGTTGCGATTGGGCTCAGAGTACGATGGAGATCGCACTTATGTACCGAGCGAAGCTGATCTTCGATTGGCATAAATCTAAGGAAGGGCAAAGGCTGTGTGACTTGGATTAACCCGCCATTGAAACGAGACACCATGGAAAGGAGGCGCAGGTGAGATGGGAAGAATAATTCTTGATATACGTTCATCATAGTACAGACAGTACGATCTGAAAGCACTAAATACACGACCAGCTCCATACATTCGCTATGCATCTTCCGCAAACCTGTCCGTTCTAACAACACCTTTAACCTGGACAAAAAATTGCGCTCAACACAAACCCAGGGAGCCAGCAGCACGGGTAATACATATGGCCATCGAAAGTGCCTCGCTTCCTTGGCTTCTCGTGCCTATAGTAATCTTCGGCCTGTGTACTCGACGATGCAGTCGAGCTGGATGTGACTGAGGAACGAAAAGAGTTGGTACTGCCAGACTACGATGAGCCAGATTCAACGCTGGGGCCACTACGATAGCTGCAATTGGACGCGGCTTGAGAACGATGGCCGTCATGGCCGGGATTGAAGATAGGCATGGGTTGTGACATGGAAGCACAGTTGGCCTGATCGTTCGTGAGAGCCGCATTGTGCTGCGGTCCGTGTTTCGCGGTGCGGATGCGAGATGCGAAGTCCGCATCATCGGAGGCTCCGTCGGTTGCGCCATGAACACGAGCTACGCTGTCAGTGTGCTGATATATAAGAGCTGTGGCAGTCCAACTTACTGGTTTCAGTCGTGCTCGCTCCAGAGCCCCCATTCCTGTAGTAGACCTCTTGACGACCATCGCCATCGGCATCAGGGTTGGCAGTTTCGTACTCCAGTAGTTTGAGGAGACGGTAGAGCAGTACGGCGAGCAGAGCACCAAGAAGTGGCCCCACCCAGTAGATCCAATGGTAGTCGTCGAAGAGCCTGGTGGCGACATCAGGACCGAATGAACGCGCTGGATTGAGAGACCCGCCAGTGTAGAGGACACCTTACTTAGTTAGCGTGGGCACGGATTGTAGATGGTAAGTCACTCACCAGCCAACTCAGCGACAAAAAGAGCAATCCCGATACCGATTGGGGCAATGAAGGTTGAGCGATGCTTTTCCGCGGCCAGCATGAAGATACAGAAAATGAGCAAGGCAGTCAAAAACATCTCAATGAAGACTCCACGAGTGACAGAGGTACCAGCCCCAAGTCGTGTGCGAACAGCGAGTGGACCTGGGAAAGTTGCCGAAACAGCGCCAGCAGCGGCGATGGCGCCTACGAGCTGTGCGAGTATGAGGAGCACGGCCTTGACACAGGGCACAGCACCAATGAGAGCCATCGCGACGGTAACCTTTGCACACGTTAGTCTTATGAAGAGGGGTAACGGCATTTGTATGAACGACTGTCCAGAAATCTAACGTACCGCAGGGTTGAAAAGTCCTCCACTGACACGGAAGAACACCCAGACATTGACTGCCAGAGAAGAACCGAAGGCCAGCGAGATGTACATGAGAGACTGAATGTCCATGACTCGGGTGCCGAGAAGATTGTTGGCAGTTTGCGTCGCTGCAAAGGCGAAGAAGAGGAACAGGAAAGTACCGATCAATTCGCCTAGAAAGGCAATGAGTAGATGGCGTGTTCTGTTTGGAAGCCATGCCAGTGCCCGCACCTCACCAGGACGGTCTGGGTTTGCGGTATATGTTGGCTTCATTCCGAGCAAGATTGTGGTGCTGTCTGCTGGCCGGAGGGTGTGATCGTGTGCCGTTCATAACTGCCGCTTTCTAGGAGGATCCTAATAGATGATGGGAGTATGTCGCCGAAAACGTATGGAACAGCAACCGCTCTGGAGGTCAGACAGGTGACGCGCAGCAGGCCGGGGAACAATGCGAGGTTCAAAATAGGACAAAATTAGGAAGTAGTAGAAATATCAGGGTACTGAGGAATTGCAGAAGATAGGGTGTGATGTGAAGAGTGATGGGGAGAGACGGAAAGAAACATGAGTTAGGCCGTGGACATCACTGATGCAAGTGCGTTGATGTGTGTGGAAGTCGCGAAGATAAGCTGCGCTGCCCTCAAGCTCGAGTCGATCGGGAAGCTGTAATGGCGGGTCGCTCAGTAGAGAACTGTGCAACGGCAGGATCGCCCTACCTACACTGACGCTTCTAGGAAGTATGCATCTCTGTTCTCGAGCCTGGTGTAGTAGGTCTTCTAGACTCCTACCGTCCTTCGACTGAGCCTGGCGACGTCATCATAGGGCTCGTGCTGGCCTCGCCCGCGAAGTTGTACAGCACGGACAGCGTATTGATCTGTAGACATCGATGGCTTTGTGCTAGAAGACCGCTTTCAGCATCGACGTTAACTCGAACAGGAACCATGATTCACGCGTGTATTGGTGCGCCCCGCCAAGATGGCTGAGAGTGAGCCGAAACATGCATGTATGCACGCAGGGCTGAAGTGGGCAGCGTGCTTTGGTTCTAGTGGCGGCCCGTCGCCCGTTGCCCGCCAGTGCGCTGGATAACGCGGAACATCACGAGAGCCCGCGGCTAGGAACGAGTGCACGACAGGCCGTTGTTTGCTTGGCTGCTATTAGTCCCTTCACGCACGTCCTTGCATACATAGCGACACTCTCCTGCTCGCCGCCCGGGGACCTGTGCGCATTCTCGTGTTTCCTGTCGCGTTGTTGTCACCTCATCCCATCTGCACCTGCAAATCCGCGCCTGCCCCCGCGCCGCAAGCTCGTCATCGTCATCGACCGCTGTCACGAGCCGCTGGAACCACCCACGGCGCCTCAGCAACACCACCGGATGCCGTGAACTCGCACAGAGTCCAGCATACCTTGCTGCTCTTCGCCTCACCCGACCCTCCTATCACCGTATCTTGCCACACGCCGCCCGCCAACATGCCCCGCCCTCTGCGGCTCCTCGTCTCGCTGACCACGAGCCTGTTCGCCGTTGCGCTGCTCCTGTATGTCACCCTGGGCGCGCAACACGACCAAGAGCTCCAGGGAGCGTCACATGCGCAGAAGCAGTCCAGCGTCAACGCCCTCTTCTCCTTCACCTCGCCCGGCTCGCTCTTCCCTCCGTCCGCCATCATCAGCCTCACCGACGACAACTCAACCTTCTTCCTCGCCCGACCTGCAGCGTTTGGGCCCGACCTTCCAAGCGATGGGCTGAGCGGCCCGCTGTGGATTGGCAGTGGCTTCGGCGACGACGCCTTGAGCAGAGGCGAGCTTGGCTGCAGCGACATACCTGGCTGGGATGGGAGCGAGGCACTTGGATATGCTCTGAAGCCAGCCTCTGCTACGAAGAGCCGGCGGACTGGTCCTCTGGCCGAGAAGAAGGACAAGCCAAGGCGAGCTGCCCTGGACGAAGACGTCGTGCGACATCCTATAGACGATGGCACCGACGACCACCTCCATCAGCCTCTTGGACAGGACACCCCACGCTCCTCAGACCACGCCGATATCCAGTCGCTCCAAGAAAGCGCCGAGATCGCAGGCAAAGTGGTACTACTGAAACGGGGAGGTTGTGGCTTCTTAGCCAAAGTAGAGTGGGCTCAGAGACGCGGCGGTGTCGCTGTCATCGTGGGCGACGACGTACGTGGAGGAGGTCTGATTCGGATGTACGCTAGGGGCGATACTTCCAACGTTACCATCCCATCCTTATTCACTTCGCATACGACTGCACACCTACTCTCGTCGCTCCTGCCGTCCGGAAAGACCTTTCCAGGCATTCTACCCTCTCAGCAGAAGAACAAGCTTGGACCGACAGGAACCACGCAGCCAACCACCACACCATCTCCAGGCGCTCTTACGTCTGTCGAGGCAACCCCTCATGAGGATGATTGGTTACACTCGCTGCTGACCGCTCTGGGCTTAGCCAGTGCCAAAGAGCAGCCAACAGACAACTTTGAAATAGGCAAAGACGATTGGCGGGACCCCAAATTCCGCAATCTGCCTACGACGACTCTACCCGCTCCTTCTACATCTCTTCCAACGCCGTCCTCTTTCGCGGCAAGCAATAATGGTCACAAGGTGGGGACGAAGTATGCAGCGCCCAACAGCCAAAAGAAAGCGCACTGGCGCTCGTGGCTGAGCTCAAGTCGAAGAAGCGTCACGTCCATTACTAGCGCTGACAGTCACGAGATTGATACTCTTTCTGGTGACACGCAACCGCACGAAGGTCTCTGGGTGACGCTCACACCGACGAATGTGTCGTCCAGTCCATTTTTTGACACACTTCTTGTCCTCGTTGTCAGTCCGCTTGTAACACTTTCCGTCGTCTACGCTCTATTGCTCCTTCGGTCCCGCATAAGACGCCGGCGATGGAGAGCTCCAAAGTCGGTTGTCGAACGTCTTCCTGTTCGAACCTATCACACTATCAGCGACTCGTCGTCGACGCCCTCGGCTGCATCCGAAGCAGCAACTCCTACCACCCCGCTACTTCAACGTGCTCCCTCCCGTCCTGCGTCTTCGCCATCCCATTCGACTTCACGAGACGAGCCCGAGACACCAGCTACATCTTCTTCTGTTCAACGTACAACTCGTGATCGAGAGGAGGAAAAACGCGAAACTGGGCTCGCTGAATGGAGACGTCGCTATGGTGGTCGACAGAAAGAATGCGTCGTCTGTCTTGAGGAGTATGTGGACGGTGTGAGCCAAGTGATGAGCCTTCCGTGCGGCCACGAATTCCACGTTGACTGCATGTAAGTGATATCCCCTATCAGTCTGACTTGATGCTGACAACTTGCAGAACACCTTGGCTAGTCACACGCAGACGAACGTGCCCCATCTGCAAAGGCGATGTCGTGCGAACACTATCACAGGCGTACCTTGACAATGCAAGCCCCTCGTCTCATACGCCTTTGCTAGCCGATGATGGCCATGTTGTGGACGCATTACAGATCCAAGCTGCTGAGACTCGGAATGACTCCCCTTCGGCTTCACAGCCTTTGTCGGAGACTATGTCTGCGCCCGGTAGCCATCGCACAGAGTCGGACGACGATGTGGAAGCTAATTGGTCTGGTGAGGAGCCTCAGCCAAACGCTCGAGACATTCCCGGGAGTCGAGCAACGGAGCTGAGTACTTCAGTACGCGACTTGAGTTCTACCGTTTCCACTGTCATTTGGCGAGGCTTTGATGCAGTCAGGACTACTGCTGGTCTTCAGCGACGTCCTCCGCCAGAAGACGTCGACCGAGATCGGTAATCGATACTACGTTGCTTACGTTTGGATGACACTTGAATCGCATTGGAATGGGACATACCCCCGGCTAGGAATATACGGCGTCGCATCTGTTAAGCGGCATACATACGGCGTTTTATGACCCAAATCAACTCAATCTTTACCTGCAAGACTCTACTTTAGTCATGTATCTTTGTATTGCGAGACTGACAGCCATATATGGAACTTGCTAACCAATAGAGGTCGGATTATACTCACGATTGGCATTCCTCGGCAAGGTCGCCTCGGGTGAGACTTCAGCACGCCCTCCCTTGACCCTGCGACTAATCACCACGCCTGTTCATCGCTGCAAGGACATGTCAGCGCATTTACGAATGCTCTCTTCTTGCTCAATCGGTCCTTTGTGCCCATTGACCGGTGCATCAGTCCAGCAGTAAGGTGGATGGGCAGGAATGACGTCCTCACTCCTCTTTAGCAGTTCTGCTTCTTGTGTTCAAATGCATTAAGTTGCAGACTCGCGATTTAGTCTCAGTAACGAGGAACAAACTTGGACGTCTATACCCCACTAAAGAGTTGTAGCTGTGGGCCTGGAGAAAGCTTGTCTTCAGCTATTCTTAGCTTACCAACAGGCATCGGCTCCCTTGACAACCCATACTAAGCATTTCTTCCCCTTTCTGTACCACGTCCAAGTCATCTGCCACTCATGTTCTCGTGAATGGCGGAATGCGAGCTCCTGGTTGCGGAAAGTCGAACTTTCATGCGCGCTGCTGTTGGTTGTAAACTGGTCTGCAGACCCGATTCATGGCTTGCAGGACTTGGTACAAGCCACGATCGAGCATCTTGGCGGTGCACAAGAACGTGTGGAGAACTTTGTGTGATGTCAAGGCAACGCGTGGCTTGTGCAGAGCTGAGCATAAAGAGAGCGCTTTGCAGCACTGTGACATAGGTGGACTGCGTGGACCAAGTCTAACAGTCTTCGTGCGGCATAACAACCGCTTCCTGACGACTTTACTTTTCAAGTTTACACTATGAAGCTATCTTTCCTCGCACTTTCCTTGTTGGGCTCGCTGGCGGTGGCGCAGTCTCTCGTGAATGACTGTGAATGCCCTCAGGTCAAGTGCCCTGCCACCGATACTCTCGCAAGTACCCTATGTATCTCTGAGATGATGTTGACTGACATGAGTCGAAGGCTGGCTGCAGGTGTATCAACCTTGCGGAGCTGAGGTGCAAGCAAAAATGTCCACTCTACGAACCGACGAGGGCAAGGGTAGGGGTTTAAACTCAACGCACGGCAACAAATACTGACAACATTGCAGGTGTGCCGTCGGCCGAGACAGACCTCGACTGCACTTGAAGCTACTCCCACTTCGATACTGCCTTTGCCGACTCTACCTATTCTGGGGATTCCGGATCCAATCCTGACTGTGCCAGTCGTGGCCGAGCCAACCGAACCTGAGCTCGATGTACCTGAGCCAGACCTACCGCAGCCTGATCTACCTCTGGATCCAGATTGCGAGTGCGACGACACGTTTTGCATCCAAAGTTTCCCCCAATCATGCCACTGTCAGCACAACAATGCGCAGAAGTGCTACCAGAAATGTGGCGGCGAGTGGCCAGGACTCAACACATGTCCAGCTCTCGATGCACCGGAGCCACCCGCACCTGATACATTCGAGCCCGAGCCAGCCGCACCTGAAGTGGCGCTTCCTGACCTACCTCTTACCCCCGGCTGTGAGTGCGAGGAGATGATGTGCATCCAAAGCTATCCTCAATCGTGCCACTGCCAGTACGGCATCAAGGTGAGCTGCTACACCAAATGTGGTGGCGAGTCTCCGGGGCTCAACACATGTCCGCCCGTCAGTCCACTTGGCATCAGCTTTTCGGACGGCCCTGTGAAACGTGCTGCTGCTTCACGAGCACAAAGGCGTTCCGCCATTCCTGCGGAGCCAGCTCCAGTCCAAGTGAAACCACCTCCAGTAAAGCCAGCTCCCGTCAAGCCAGTTCCCATCAAGCCAGCTCCCGTCAAGCCAGTTCCCATCAAGCCAGCTCCCGTCAAGCCAGCTCCCGTCAAGCCAGTTCCCATCAAGCCAGCTCCCATCAAGCCAGCTCCCGTCGTAGAGCCAGCTCCCGTCAAGCCAGCTCCCTTCGTAAAGCCAGTTCCCGTCATCGCAAAGCCAGCTCCTGTCAAGCCAGTCCCCATCCCAGTAAATCCTCTTCTGTCTCTTCTTTTCCCATGGAAGCCTTTTCAACTCCCGACAAAGCCTATTCCAATCCCGTACGTACCCGTCCCTGAATCCCGCAAACACCAGATCTGCGGCGGTGGTCGCCCAAACACACTCGCATGCCCTGCCGGTGAGATTTGTATGAACGACCCGTTTAAAACAGGATGCGGACCTGAATGCGATGGATTAGGGATCTGTGTGAAGGACCAACTGTGTGGAGGCTTTGCTGGATTCAAGTGTCCAGACAGCAGGCAGCAATGTGTGGACATTCCTGATAGTTGTGATCCTAAGAGAGGGGGTGCAGATTGTGGTGGCGTGTGTGTTTGGCCTCTGGATCTGAGGACGATCTTTTAGATGGTATGAGAGCATACGGGGTTCGCGCTCTGTCCTACTTTCGAGGAATCCGCAATGTCTTCAAATCGAATGTTTGCTCGTATTGCGAAAAGCTCGGTGTATATCCAGCATCGAGTGATTTTGCCTTGTGAGCTCGGAGCTTTTTCAGCCCGTCCACGCCCGTGACTCATTGTTGTCGTTAGACTTGTCCCGGACAGGTCACTTTGAAAGCATACCCCGTGATTGCGCGTCAACTCCACATTAAAGCGCGTCTCTCCCTCTCAGCTTCCCCACAGCATACCTACTAAACAATGTCGAAGGCACAAAAAGTCACAGAATACCAAGAGCGCGTTTATGCGCTCCTGCAACAGATTCCCCAGGGTCGCATCACGACATATGCAGCCATGTCGAAGGCGCTAAACAGCTCGCCACGTGCAGTCGGCGGCGCGCTGAGAAACAATCCATTCGCGCCTGAGATACCGTGTCACAGATGCATTGCAAGTACAGGTGTGAGTTGCGACTCGTTCAGACCCCTACTGCTGTGACGCGTGAATGGTTTGCTGACGCTTCGTGAGTAGTTCATTGGTGGCTTCAAGGGCGACTGGGAGAAGGTGCCCAGCGGGCAGAATCAGGTGTCGAAACGGAAGTTGCTGGAGGACGAGGGTGTGTTGTTTGACGCGAATGGATTCTTGATTGACAAGAAGGTGCTTTGGGATGAGTTCGATGTGGAGAAGGTGAGGTAAGCGTGCGAGGGGAAGGCAGGGTGGGGCAAGGAAGTGGCGCTACGTCAAAAAGTTCTAGACAGACCGCGGCAGGCATGTAACATTCCACAGCAAAGGTTCTGAGACATATTCCTAAATCGATATTTCTCTTTTCGAGGACTTGCATAACCTCTGCAGTGCCTTGTTACAACTAGTTTCACATTCATCATGGGTCCAAAGAGGAAAGAATTGCTGAAGCCAGGCAAGCCAAAAGGGAAACTCAAGGCGCCGGAGCCTCAGACCGAAAATGATTTCCTCGAAGCTGCAGATGAACATGAACAGGCTGCGGGCAAGTGGAGAGCTGGTGATGCAGCAAAAGCAACGCGGTTCTTCAACCGCGCCATCGATACGTACAATGAGGGCCTGAAGAAGCATCCACAGTCTTTCGACCTTGCGTACAACAAGTCAGTGACCGCGACTACAATCTATTATCGTTGTACTAACCTGTCCCAGAGCAAACCTGGAGTACAGCCTCACAGAAGATGATAGGATTTTACCACATCTGGGCAGCAAGGTAGCATTGCTAGAAGAGACACTCAACTCGCATCGGCATGCCATCTCCCTTAACTCTACTAACACCGACATTTTATTCAACACAGCGCAAGTCTTGACATCCCTAGCAGAGGTCGGGCTAGAGGACGGAACGCAAGAGGTTGCAAATCTTCCTGCCATGTCGTTGCTCGAAGAAGCTGTTGATATCTTCACTGGGTGTTTACAAAAGCAGCAGCAAGAGTATGATCAAATGCAAGCCGAAATAGCAAAGGCCCAGGCTTCAGGAGAGTATCAGGAAGCATGGGAGGGTGATCGAGCCCAGCCCACTGAGGCGAAAGAACGAGAGGAAACGGAGTCTGACTCGGCATCAGAAGGACCCGGAGATTGGGCCACGGTCGAGGAGCCTGTCACACCCACAACGATCCTTGAAACCTGTACGGCTCAACTAGGTGCTCTGATAACGTTGCTCGGATTGTACACGCCGGAAGATCTACCGAGTATCGAGAAGAAAGCCCAGGACGGCCTCTTGACCGCCACAGAGATCATTCCAGCTCTCATCAGTATCATCGATGCATCACCAGACCCAGAATCCGAAGACGAGCAAGAAGCGGGTCCCACATTATCTATTGGCCAGTCCACAGCGACAGACGAAGCCTCGACATCACCCAAGGAAGATGCTTTGCTTGCTGCAGCGAACTTCCAAGCCAGTATCGCTGAGGCTATGTATCGAAGCGGTAAGAGCACACCAATGCAGTATGCACAGAGGATTGAGCAGACATTCTCGATCTTGATCGCAAAAGCCCTACCAAACCTAGGCGTTGCGTACGTCAACGTCGCGTCATCGTACGCAGACGCGCTCATCGACCTTGCATCCTCGATAGCAGACAGGCTGCAGCACACCATCGCATCGTCTTCTACTATGCCAGATCTCGAGATCCAGTGGACCGCGCTCTCGCAAGCTCAGAAGACGCTCACTGAGCTTACATCACCACCGCTGGTTTCCATGCTTTCTGCGTCTCGTCTGGCAGACATCTTCCTAGCCCGCGGCGACATCGACCTGTTCCGTTTTCGTATTGCAGTCACACCAGACGTAAAGCCGGCGTGGACAAACAGTCAGGGCGTTGTTGTTGCCAACGCAGGCGTTTATTACCGCGGAGCTAGAAGTTATGCGCAGAATGCGGGTAACGCGCAGACACGCGCTGTAGCAGACGCTAAGGCGATTGTAGCGGAGATTATGAAGGGGATGCCGAGTACGTTCGACGAAAGGCCAATGCATTGGAGAGGGCGGAGTGCAGACGTGGCGGCTGTGCTTGGGCAGATGATAGAGGAAGGGATTGTTGGGAAGGAAAACGCAGAGGGCCTGCTCGCCTTCACCGAGTAATAGTAAGCTGTAAAGCCGCTGTCACGCGTGCCGTTTGTATTCACTAGCCAGTTGCCTTGTGCAAACGCCGACTGCAAAACCAACCTCTCTGCAGAACCCTGAACCTGCAACTCTCCCACAACTTTCCTCCACCCACTTCCAACATGTCAGACCTTCCTAAGAACGATGTCCCCACCACTCCAGAGCCCTCTAAGACGCCCAAGAAGATCAAGAAGCCAGTTGCCCGAACAGCAGGCGCGTCCACAATCCGCGAAGATGTGTTCAAGAACGAGACGCCCGACGACTCCTCCGACGCGTCCTCCACCGACGGCAACGATGAGCCCAAGGAGGAGAAGATCACGCTGCTGCAAGCGCTGAGGGAGAAGGTAAAGTCGGCCAAGCGGATGAGTGTTGGCTTGTTGAGTTCTGTTAAACAGACGGACAGGAGCAAGAAGGATGGTCCGAGTGACAAGTGAAGAGGGACGAGCGGCGGTGCTTGGAGGACAGACTGAGTTGGTGCGGAGCAGGGCAACGGATTTGAGTTGGTGGATCTGAGCTGGTGAATTTGAGCTGATTGATTGAGCTGGTGGATTGAGCTTGTGGATTGAGCTGGTTGGTTGAGCTGGCAGCTACAACACTTCCAAGCCTGGGTACCACAATCCATTGATTCCACGATATTACTCTCCTTCACGCTCTCCACCTGCCCATCCACACCGCCTACACACCCTCCTCCTTCCCCTTCGCCCCTTCCCGCGCCAACCTCTCCAGCTCCCCCCTCAAAACCGGCCCAAAGTCCCTCGCAACCCCCACATCCACAAACTCACTCCACTCGCTCACCCGCTCCCCGCCCTCCTCAAACCCCATGCTCCACACATACTGATTCCGGTACGGCCCCACCCGCGTCTCGCCCGCCGCAGACACATACATGACGATCCTCACCGCGCCGTCGGCGCCCACGCCCTCGACCACGTCGTCGACGTCGAGCCGGAAGGACGTGAAGACCGTGGCGAGCGCGGTGAGGCTGGCGGCGAAGGCGGCGGGGGTTTGTGGGGGCATGTTCAGGCTCGCGGGGAGGATGGTGCGGAGGCATGTTGGTGTGCGTAGGGACATTATGGTGGGGATGTCCATTGTGTTGTAGGCGGCGGCGAGTTTGTTGGCGGTTTGGCGCGCGGGGGAGGGGGTGGGGGTGGGGGTGCACATGGTGGTGGTGGGGCGGTTGGGTTATGGGGTGTGGATTGGGATGGTGAGCTGAGTGGTGAGGGTGGGCATTGTGAGGGATTTGTACCGTGTGTGAGAGATGTGTGGTTAGTCTGTGGCTGAACGTGGGCTTGATGAATGCATGTCAGCGCGCTTAGAGGGGCGACGAGTGTGGTGGAAGATGTCCGTGGCGTATCTGGGTCACGAAGCTCATTCGATCAGCTAGTCGAACTCGTATTGGCAAAAAGCAGTATATGGGCGTTTCTCTTATCACACGGGAAGTATGTATAGAAGCTGTGGAGGAAGAGACAACGATGTTGTGCTCTGTTGGCTGTATCAGCTCCGATATCAAGATGACCTCATTCCGACCCGTTCCTTTCCATTCCGAACACCACCACCACCACGCTGACTCCAGACGCAGACACCACCACCACCCACCTACCTCCCACACTACATGCGCTTCCGCCTCCCACTCATCCCACTCCACACCACGCCCAGCAACCTCCTCGCCCTCCACCGCCTCCGCACCATGGCCGCCCCGCCGCCCTCGCGCCCCATCAAAATCCTCTTCCTGCACGGCTTCACGCAATCCGGCCCGCTCTTCAGCGCCAAATGCGGCGCCCTGCGCAAAACGCTCCAAAAAGCGTTCCCAGCCGGCATCACGGTCTCGTTCCCGACGGCGCCGCTGCGCCTCGCGCCCACAGACGTGTCGTTCCTGCACAGCGGGGAGGCGAAAGAGGCCGACGACGAGGAGATCGATGCGTGGGCGTGGTGGCGGCGCAAGGGCGACGCGGAGCCGTACGTGTACGCGGGGCTGGAGGAGGGGCTGGCGCGCGTGGCGGAGGTGCTGCAGGCCAAGGGTCCGTTTGACGGGGTGGTGGGGTTTTCGCAGGGCGGGGCGGCCGCGGCGATGGTGGCGGCGCTGCTGGAGCCCGGGCGGCGGCAGTCGTTTGAGAAGCTGGAGGGTGAGGGCGGGATGCGGTATCCGGCGTCGTTTGTGAGCGGGGAGGAGGGGTGTGTGCATCCGCCGCTGAAGTTTGCGGTGAGCTACAGCGGGTTTGCGGCCAGGGGGCTGAATCCATATCATGCATTTTACGAGCCGAAGATTAAGACGCCCATGTTGCACTTTTTGGGCTCGTTGGATACGGTGGTTGAGGAGAGCAGGAGTCTGGCGTTGGTGGAAGCGTGCGAGGAGAGTGAGGGTCGGGTCGTGTATCATCCTGGTGGTCACTTCTTGCCGAGCACGCAGAAGGCCAGCGTCAACGCGTTGATCGGGTTCATCAAGGACGTATTGCACAAGGCTGAGGGGCCGAAGAAGGAGGAGGAAAGTGTAGAGGACATGGATATGCCGTTCTGAGCCTGGCATCTGAAGCGTCCAGCATTGCACCTCATGGAGTTCACCTGTAGATCGGCAAGACTAGACTGTCATCTTTTGGATGTCTATATTACATGCGCAATGCATGCGCGGAGGCTACTAGAGACGGCCTTCCAATTCTAGACTAATCATGATTCTTCGTCACATCATCTCCCGACTCATTTCGCCTTGCCCTTAGCCGCCTTCTTGTCGATCTTCGTCGGCTGAATACGCGCCATCATCTCCTCCTTGGTGATGAGGTGGTCAACACGCTCCAAAAGACCGAGCAAGCTCTTCATGTTACCGCTCCACTCGTTCAGGATATCATCTGAGCCGCGCGGCTTGGAGAAGGTGACAATGCGCGCCGGTCGATCGATCTTGGCGTAGATGGTCTTCGCGGTCACCAGCTCGCTGATGTACTTCTCCGTCTCGTCCTCTGTCAGATCCAGCAGCTCGGTCAGACGGGGGATCTGGATGCGAGTGTAGTACTTGGCAACAACGCGGACATTGTGCTCAATGACGCGCTTTCGCAGATCCTGCCACCTCTTGTGTGCCTTCTCATCGTCCGAGTCGTCCTTCTCTGCATCGAAAACGTCGCTATCGGTCAGGTGGGGCCCGAACTGCTTCGAGACCATGGGCCACCTCATCAGCTCGGGGATGGTAAAGAGCTTGACGAGTTGCGCGTCTTGTGCGATCTGCGAGTTGCGTGTGTCGCGCTGGATGCGGTGGATGAGATCGGACTGCTCATTATCGTAGGGTGCGAGAATGATGAAGTAAATGACGCGCTGGAGGATCTACATAGTCGTTAGAACAGCCAAACGCTCGTAAACGATGAGAACATACCGCTCGCAGCTTCTTGGGGTCCTCCTCGACGGCCTCTGTATCCAGTACCTGTCGGTAATGCTTGCAGACCTCGAGGTACTTGTCGTCGTGCTTCGCCAGGGTGATCTGTTGCTCGTAGTACCTCAACTTGAGGTCTGTGACATCATCCTCAGGCTCGATCGGTGGGTCGTCTGCGCTACGGGTCTTCTCCTTCTCCTCGCGCTCCTTCTGCTCCTTCTCCAGCTGCTCTGCCGACTTCTTGGGCCTGCGCTGGAAGTACTTTGTGCTCATCTTCCTGCTCAGAATGCCAGCTTGTGTCCAGTCGCCCTTCTGTATGCAGAGCGCGACTTGTTGCAGGATGAACTCGGTCTTCTCTCGTCGGGTCATGGAGCCGAATGTCTCCACCTGGAGCTCGCAGAGGATGTCTGTAGCCGCGTTGATGTCGCCCTGCTCCTTCTTGATGTCGGACAATATCCTGGTTACGCGGGCGCGCTCGACTTCGACGAAGATCTGCCGCCGGTGTTAGTTCGCACTCGCGATGCCGCATTTGCTAGTCGCTCACCTTGCCCTCAGTCACTGTCCGCAGTGTCTCGATGACGGAGAGCTTTGTCTCGAGGTTGGGCGTTTCGTCCAAGAAGCCCATGACGCTCTGCACCATCTTGGTGGTGGCCTGCTTGAGCTGACCATGCTTCTTCGAGAGCAGGAGCACCTGCTCGTTCATGAGGTTCCAGTCATTTGCATTCTTGGCTATTGTGACGATGGCGATGATGATTCGCGAGGTGGATTGAAGATCTGAAGCCTAGGATTTGTGAGTACGTGCTCGCATGCCTGTGTCCTGATGGTCCATACCTGGCGTGTCTTCTTCTCGAGCGGAAGCAGCTGGTCGATAGCAGCTTGTGGGTTGCTCTGTATTACCACGTCAGCTTGGTCACAGCTTTGCCTCACTCCATATGTACCTTTCCGAGCTTCTCCGCCTCCGGAATCTGAGTGTCGGCCTCCTTCGTGAAGTCCTTCTCCGCCTTGAGCACCTCTCCGCTAGACATAGTGGCGGGGTCGGCGTGTGGTAGCTGCGGGTGGTGTTATTGGTCCTGCTAGAGGTCTCGAGGTTGGCGGCAGGTAAAGTGGAAGGTACTGTTGAGGGGTAGTGGTGATGGTGATGCGGCGACAATGTTTGGGACACTGGAGTTGCGGCTCGATGATGTTCATGGCGGCGGTCGCGCGGCTTGGACCACCCGGAGCTTAGACGCCGATTTCACCGACATCAGCCTCCCTACGATGTTAGCAAGGGTGTCCGTTCATCATTGTAAGGCTGGCAGTGCAACGTATAGTAACTTTCACTCATATAGAGAACAACCTTCTTACAGTAAAGTATCAGAGGGATCTACGATCCTAGGGTTGTTCATTGAAACCTCGGACCGAGTATGAAGGCCAAGAGGCACTCGCTCTATTCACGAGACCTCGAAAAGAATACATTCGGCTTAATGTGTGCCAAGTAGCTTATGCCTCCCTGTTTAGTAATGTCTTCACACTCGATGCAGTAGAGTTCGTGTCAATGTCTTTACTTGGCGTTGCAACGCATGCAACATGCATGCTATACACTAGGCCCTTAACGCACGCAGCATGCTTGTCGGAGCATACTACCTAGAGCAGCATTCGATGAATGACTACATATCCACAGCGCACTAGTCGTGTCAGCGTGTGAGCATCACAGGTTGCATCCATGGATGTGCCACACAACTGTCGTTGATTGTAGTTCATTCGAGATCATACATAGTTACTCATTGCTCGTTCGCTTGCACGCACGAATCTACGCTCCAAATCAACCCAACATGCCTCCGTGGGTGATTTAACTCAGATAGCCACTCATGCTCTTGCTATATGTACTCGAAATGCGCGCGATATAACGCAAAGGGGTATATTATACGAAAAGGGAAACCTGCCGTAGCAGGCCATGTAAAGAAACAAATGCGCGCTATGCTTTGCAAGCAGTTCGAGCATGCAGCAGAAAATCATCTTAAACTTAAGGAAATGCGGAAAAGTAACGCAGGGTGCGAGACGCGGCGCTATGCACGAATGAAGCCGCCCCATGAAGGTCTTATTCGGAGTAAGACAAATGTATTCGTAACGGTGCGTAAAACCGACGTGAGCCACGAATTCGATGATGTGGTACGTCGGCAGGGATGTCGTTATCAGGTCGTCAATTGAGGGGTATCAGTGAGGGATCCGGGGACCGGTCCGGACTACGCCGCAGCGTGGATGGGCGCTGTTGTCTCGCTCGATTCGGGTATTCCACAGATCGGACTGCCGTACTGTGTCTTGAGCGGCCAGTCGAGGTTCTCGAATTGCGCGGTGTGTTGGTTCTCCCAGTCCTTCCGCAACATCTCGTATTTGAGATCCCATCTCTGCTGGAGCCTCTTTCGCCGCGCTTCTATTACTGCATTCAGGCGCTCCAACTCTTGCGCGTACTGCCACTCTTCAGCCGCCTTCTCTTTCTCATATTGGAGATCCATCTCTGCGAGTTCTGCTTCTTGCTTTTGCATCTTTAGCTTCATCGCGCGCTCTTGTCGTGACCGTAGGACGTTGATGGCACTCTCATGTTTTCGTGGCAAGCTTTGCTTGATCAAGCGCTGACGATCAAGTTTCTTAAAGTCTTCTTGGGTGACCAGATGCGCAAGGCCAAACTCTAAGTTCGAGGAAAGGCAATACGCTTCCATGTGTTTCAGCGCGGTTGCCACATTCTGGGTTTCGATGTTTTGAGCGTTGCGCAGATTGTCCTCTGCCGTGATTTGTGCGTCTTCGAGATCGTCGACCTCAAGAATATGCTGTGCAGCGTAAGCAGAATGAACCAGATTAGGTGGTGTGACCTCGCTTACATGCTCCTTTCGCTCCTCTTGGTTGTTTTTATGTTGAGCTGCAAGTTGGTTTAGCGAGCATTGATGGTGCACTTGAAGTGATTTGCGCTGATTGGCTTCAAATGCTGCAACCTGTTCGAGCTGCTCTTTCTGCTGCATTTTAAGGCTCTTCAGTGCTTCGTTCGCAAGGGAAGGGCTGCCTGCTGGTAGCTGTAGCGACAATCGACGAGGTGGTGTACTCGGTAGCGATTTCGAAACCGGTGGAATGGATGCCTTGCGGGCTGGTCGTGGTAGATCCATGGACGACATGCCGTTCTCGCTGTAGCCAGAATCTCGTAACGAGCTCAGCTCCGGAGACTGCACCGCGCCTTCCAGAACACGATCCGCCTCTTGTCTTGTCAGAACAATTTCCAGGGTAGCTCGTGTTAGTGGAATTCCGCAGCAGCTTGGTGTCGCTTTCGTCAGCAGCGCCTCTTTGATGTGAGCTCGGATGGCGGAGGTGGAGAGCGAATGCCCGCATTCAAGTTTTGGCCCTCGAGCTTTCCCATGGTGGCGGTGATGAGAGGGAGAAGTGCATGAGCTGTATGTTTAGTCAGCAAGGTGTCTTGCGTGTGCGTTGATTCATCCTACCTCGAGTCTCTTCTAAACATGGAAAGAAATGAGGTGCGCTTTCTTCTGATGCCGGTACTTTGCAACGAAGACGCGCTGGAAGCCATGGAGGGTGCAGCCGAGAAGGTCGACGTGGTTGAGTGGCGATGCTTGAAGTCGGTTGGGAAGTACTCCGCGGCGGTGTCGAGGGCAACGGAGGCTCTGGGGAGGGTCGCAGGTGGCGTAGGCTGCTGTGGCGGCAGGCGCTTGACATAAGGCTGCTCCCTGGAGGTCCTTGAAGGGTCTGTGAAGCCGGTGGACTGAGTGTGGTGCGAGTGCACCGAAAGTGAGCTACTGCGGGCGCTGCCTATCGTCGTGGTGGACAGGGCACTCGACATGGCTTGCACAGGGCACAGGAAGCGGTAGGGATCCTCGATGCCGGACTTGCGCGCCAGAAGTGCAAGTTGCGCGTCGACGTCGTCTTCGCTGGTGTCGGCGGGCAGGCCAAGCACGTCTCTCAGGTACACAGCGTCGTCCAGTATCTGCGTGGGGGGGAGGGAACCGTCCCTGCGCAGTGGAGGCATTGCGCCGGAGCGCGCATGTAGTTATGGGAATGATGTCAGGATGGACTCGAGGAACATGCGGAAAGGCGGGCGTCGTTAAGGTTTGGAGGTGAGCTTAGTTTCCAGCTGTAAGGTTCGGGACGCCGCGCATAAAAGAGAGTGAGAAAGATCGGCAGCAGGCAGTCAGGATGTGGGCGGCAGGCGCGAGTGGGAAGAGGGCAAGCGGCGGTGTGAACGGAGGCCTGCTAAGCGCGCTTCGGCAGACGCACACGTACATGTACGTGTAGTGGACTATGCATTGGGCCCATGTAGGATACGGACGTGTGCGCCGACCTGTTGCATTCCTCACGTTGCGGCAAAGGCCGCCCTTCTGGCCCGGAAACGAGCATTTGAAGCGCCAACGGAATTGAAACCGAAGCTTGTCCACGCCACCCTTCCGTCAGCTCTCTACGCACTTGGTGCTGTGGCTGCACATAGCGGCATACCTCTGCCGAGATTACGCCTCGGTTGATAAAGACCTGTGGCCCTTCATCATTGCGACGCACAACGGCGATCTTCATCCGGAGACCGGACCTGCCTCACTGAGAAACTCCAGCCTTACCGCTGCAGCTGGCTCCTTCCTCCCACCCTTGCCCCCACCTCACAACCCTGCATATGCAGACTCTGCGGAGCATCTTCCTGAAAACCCAGATCACGACGTTGCCAGCAAACACACCGGTGCTCGTCTCGTGACATGTACGCCGGCCAACCACGGTTTCGATATATTTGACGTTTCGCTAGTCGCCAATCGCTGGGCATGTTTAGGCTTCACCGCCTGCTAGTGTAATCAGAGCTCCACGACGCTACGTCGTTGGATCCACGCCGGAGTCCTGTCATGTCCGTCATGCGGCAACGCGTGACGATCCATCCAAGGAACGGACCTCCTGTTCGCCCATTGAATCGCAATGCTCACAGCCAATGGGCGCGCAGGGAAGCAACAATGTTGGCCGATTGTGAAAAGTTGGCTGCCAAGGGCATAGTTGCTGGCTGAACGAGAACGGAGGAACGCCGCCCTTGGTCTGCTCGTCTGTCTCCAGGTGACGACGCTCGTATTGCAGTGTCTTGGGCTGTCGCTGGCCTTGGGGAATGTCTAGATCGAGCATCGCCGCTGCAACGAACCGTTTGTGTTCATTGAATCCGCGGTGCAAGGGGGTGAAGTGTGGTACGGTACCGGTTATCAGATGGTACAGGAACCGCTGTTTGTGTAGCGAGCTACCCGTTCCTATGGAACTTCGGCGACCTGTGCTTCGAGACAACAATACGCTACAGTAAGGTATGTTGAGTAGACGGTGAGCTAGAAAGATTGAAGGCGTAAACGTTGAGATTTGGACCATGTTTTAGGTGCGGAATCTTGGAGCCCGTGAGTTACATACACCCACTGCTCCTCTCAGGCAAGCCTACTTACAAGCTTTTTGTACGACGTCTCACCCATATCGTATCGCGTCGGTACCGTCCTAGTGCTCCGGATGTTGTACATTATGCAGCCAAGACTCGAAGTCCGTCTGCAGGGTTGCGTCGCTGGTCCACCGGGCGGCCAGCTGTGGTGATACGAGAGCTTACATATGTGCGGTGACTTCACCTCGACATTCAGATGTGCAAAACATGCGATGAGATGGCAATGAAGATGTATTACAAAGACTAATAGCTGGGATATGTCGTTCCGGTCTTGACGAAAAGTTTGTGCAGATCCTAAACGGTGAAGGGACATAGAAATACAACGTAACATGTATGTGCAAGATGCAAGGCCGTATGCAACGTGCGCGAGTCATTGCAGCACACAAAGGCCAGCCAGGGCGATGCTGGTGTGGGTAGTGCCTGTCTTCCTGAACGCCGGAGATATGCAAAGAGTACATCAAACAACGTGAAAAATGTCTATCCCGAGATAAGTACCCACAGAAGGAAGACTGCGACGGATTAGTCAAGGGATCGAGCTGGACGATCAAAGAAAACTCACATATCATGAGGACACCGAACATCTTTGCAACCAACCACCTGTTGCCCTGGACGCGACTCCAGTACTTCATCAGCTCGCGCTGGGCACCCTCGACGTTGTCGACCACATCCTCGGTGTTCGCATCGATACGCTGGATCTGCTCGCCCTGCTCAGATACCATCTGTGCCAGCTGGCTGAAGATTCCGCCGAGTTCTTGAATTGTGGACTCGATCGACTCTATCGCTCGTCCTCGCTCTTGGATGTAAGCGTTCTGGGGCTGTGCTTCCTCCATGAGCATGAGCTGTGCATCTGACTGAGATCCACCACGCGTGAGAGCTGATGATCCTGATGGCTCCAGAGAGAGCAGATCCTGTTGTGCGGCATTTGTGTTCTTGAAGCCGCCTGGGGAGCGGCCTCGTTGTGGAGTCTGGTACAATGGCGAGTCGGTCCGGCTCGGGTCGAGAGAGGACGAAGACTGCGCAGTCGAGAGGAATTGCTCTGTTCGCGAGCGCGATGCCTGCATGTTCTTTGTCCGCACCTCCAGCACGTCCTTGAAGTTTGTGCCCACGTTCTGCAGCTTGTCCTTCAGCAGCAGAACCACGTTGCTGTTGTGCTCCCCCTCCTGGTCCGCGCCTGGCTTGACCTTGGGGTGCAGTTTCGCGTTCATCTGTTGCAGCTTCTGGACCTGCCCAGAGAGCGCCGTCATGTCTTGCTTGATGACGAAGGTCAGCTCGTCGAACTCTACGGGCCGGTCGTCGAACAGTGTCTTGCGCCGGGCGAGCTGCGACAGGCGCTCCAGCTTCTGCATGGTGCTCGCGACTCCTCGCGCGACTTCGGCGGCATTGCGCGCGAACTCTGAGCGCTGCCGTTGCGGCGAGGGGTTGGCCTGGGCCTTTTCCTGGGCTGTGAGGAGCGACTGGCGCTGCGCTCCGGTCTTGGACTGCGCCTGTCGCCGCTGGGCCTGGGCGAGGATCGAGCGGAACTCATCGGTGCGGTCCTGGATCGACACGGCCATGGCTGCGGTGTGGTGAGTGGACGTGAAGCGCTGTCCTGGAGGATACGTAGATTGCGCTGGAACGGGTGGGGAGGATGCCGGTTCCGGACACGTAAAGGGGCAGTGGTGGGCAGCGCTTCGGGGCTTTCGGCACTGGTTGGCAACACTGCGGAGCGGTTGACGTGGAGGAAGGTCGTGGCGTGGGGAGGCTGTGACGGCTGGTGGAGCCTTCGATTAAGGGCTGAGGCCGTCGTGTTCACCGTGGGCCATGCCGGGGTGGCGCAGATTACCTACCAAACCAAACTCGCCCTTTCAACGGCCAAGCATGGCAACGTCGCCCGGACAGCTGCAGTGTCAGCGCGTTCAGGGCAGCGTCGCCTGTTGCAGCGCGACGGCCAATTCCAGCTTCGCAGCCTGCTCAGACGTCGCCGGCAACATGGCCGCTGGCGCGGTGCCCGCCACCTCCAGTGGAGAGATGGTGCAGATCCATCATGGTCAACGCGTGTGGCTGGGCCCACGCGGCGAACAGTGAACAGGGCAGCCAGAGACGCCATGACATGCACTCGACGGCGCTGGACTGGTCAGGCGGTCACTGTTAATTGATTCCTCCCCTCAACTCCAACGTCCTGTTTGTATGCGCCGCAATTCCTGTTTGAGCCTGACGTGCGTGCTGACGTACGAAGTACCGTGGAGCTACCCGCCCTGCATCGCGAAGCCTGACCTGATCCACCTCCGCTGCACCCACGCCCACCCGTCTCCACGCCCCTCCGTGCACGACGCGGGCACTGCAAGCTCCCTGGCGGCCGTGACTCGACGGCGTACGGCCATTCGCATGCGCTGCACCATCCAGCAGCAATAGGGCCCCCGCCCGACACCGACAGCACACTCCGGCTGCTGCACGCCGCCATGTCCGGCCCATTCCGTTTCAACCAGCCGCCGGCCCAGTCGCCGCTGTACGTCGCCGGCCCGCATGCTTCGCGCCCACCGCTGACAGTGACGCAGGGAGCGAGTCGCCTCGCCCTTCTCCGCCGGCGCGCAGCCCGTCTCGTACAAGACCAACGTCAATCGCTCCAAAACGAAGAAGTGGGTCGAGGCAAAGAAGAACGCCTACGACGGCGATGACTGGGGCGACTACGACGAGTACGACGAATATGGGGTAGACAGGACCCCGTCGCCAGAGCCTGCACCAGCCCCCAGCCAGCGATACTACGGCCAGCGCCCGCCGTTGGACACGCCGTCGCGCAGCTTCACAGACCCCGCGCAGCAACCCCCGCCCTCCCGCGCACGGAGGAACTCGTTCGACACGGGCGAAGAGCAGCGGTCGTTTTCGGCCTCGGTGCCGCACCCACAGCAGCCCGGCTATGCACCGCAGCCACACCACACGCAGCCGTCGCCGCTCCAGACAAGCAGCTTGGGGCGCGACGTCACCGAGACCTCGCCCCAGGACCGCGACTTTAGCCCGTCGACCGTGCCGCCGCCGCTACAGACACGCATCTCGACTGCGCCCGCCGATGTCTATAGCTCCCCGGTGAACACCACCCAGTCTCAGTTCCCTCCGCGCAAGAGCAGCATAGGGCAAGGCAGCGCGCCACCAGGGACGATCGACTTCACGCCGATCCCTACGTCGCCGCGAGAGCGCACCGGTAGCCAGGACAAGCCCTTGCCCTTCATCCGGCCTGCAGACATCTACAAGCGAGTGGAAGAGGAGCGCAGACGAGAGTCAATGGACTCGCAGTCGCGTCCCAGCTTAGACTCGCTCTCGTCTCGCCCGAAAGACGAGCCAACATCGCCGACCGCCGAACGGAGGAACTTGCAGCCCCTCGCGACGGTTGCTGAGCGCAAAAGTGAACATCTGCCCGACCTGGACGTCACAGCACAAAACGACCGTGTGCTCGAGGGCATCCCAGCCTTTGACAATTCGTTTTGGTCCAGTGGCCCGGACCTGCAGTCACCTGCCAGCCACGCGCCTGTCGTGTCACCTACCCAGGACCAGGGTCTGCGTTCGGTAGTCGACCAGGCTTTCACCCGCAGTGACGATCAGCGCTCAGTACCGCCAACACCGATATCAAAAGACTCCGACTCCGATCTGGACCGGTCCAACACAGGCAGTACATCTGGAATTAGCCCCATCATGAGTCGTGTACCCAGTTCTGCGACTGCAGCCTTGAAAAGTCGCGGTCTTGGCGATGGTAGCACACCTGTCATTGTGGAGGAGCCACACGACGCAGGGTCTCCAGTCCCCGGGCCAACCTCTGGTGACTCTGCCCAGACGCCGCGTCCTCTCCAAGGACATACCCGCAACGTCTCTAGCAACTCCCTCCCGCGCAGTGGTTTGGCAACACCGACTCGAGGCGAAAGTCCTGCACGCTCACCCACCTTTGGCCCACAGAAGACTTATCCCGAGCCAGAGACGGCACAAATTGCTACGGACAGTCCCAACTCGCCAGATGCTATGAAGGGTGGTCTCGACGGCCCGCAGTCTGCTTACGCTACACGTGAAGCAGATATCGCAAACGCTATGTCGAGCAATCCATTGCGCACAGCTCCCGAGCTCGGTGCCGCAGAGAAGCAGTCGCAAGACGATTTCCTTGAGTCGCACAAGGCACAGTCACCCATCAGTGACGCACTGCCACGAGATCGCTCCGAGTCGCCCAGCAAAGGCCGCGTCCAGGCGTTAGCTGGCAAGTTTGGGGACGTCTCGAACTCGAGGCGCGGTTCGACTCAGTCCAACGGGTCGCGAAATAGTGTGCAGTCTTGGGAGCAAAGCCGTGAGAATTCACGTGCGCCCTCGCCTTCGAAAGGAAGCCCAACGAAGGAATTTAGGCCACACTTGCCTGGTGGATGGGAGTCATATGCCATCACGACACCAGCACCCCTCGATCGCAGAGAATCAGAGAAGGGGCTGGCTATCGGAGAAGCTCAAGGCTTGTCAGCAGCTCCCCAGGTTCGCTTTGCGGAACCTGGGAGGCTGCTGACAAGCCGCGAGAGAGAAGACGATCCGTTACAGGTTGATCTTACACCTACAGCAAAGAAACAACTGGACACGGAGGTCAAACAGCCCGCTGATGACCCGATCTCAGCGCTGAAAGATGCTGGGGCTGCTATGTCTGAGTCGCTCCGCACAACTATCGGACCGGGCGAACCGACTGTGGCTGATCCGGAGCCGGGTCGCCGGTCTTACGGTGATGTGTATAACCCTCGACCGTTGCTCATGGATCGTACGGAATCTGGAATGTCGAGCGGCCCACCAACACCACCGGCTAAAGATACGCCTGAATCTGAGTTCCCCCCGACACCGCCTCTAAAGCAGTATTCCTCTGGGGCTCTCTCTCCACCTGAGCGGCCACCTATGACTACAAAGCTCAGTACCGATCCCTCGGCTGATGACCAAGAGAGTGATCGACTCCGTAAAGAGATTGTCGCTAGCCTGAGTCCGCTACGGATGTCTATTGTCCCAGCGGCTGAACCGGATCGCACTTCACTTCGCCCAGATAGCAAAGGTGCTGATGCCAGCTCGATTCTCGACAGCTACTATGCAGAGCTGGGAAAGGATTCGCCCAGGACTTCAGATGATCTCAACGGAGACATTCCTGAGCTGGCGCCATTGAAAGCGACATCATCAGCACACACTGCAACACCCCAGAAGTCTCCCGTGGCCAAACGTTACAGTTGGGAGGCTGATAACTCCCATCTCACGACAGCCGAGAAAGAGCCTCAGCCTGCCGGAGTCCCAGTGCTCGCAAAGAGCGTGGGGACAGAAGCAACCTCATCCCCACTGTATCAACGAGATGAGGGAGAGGAAAAGCAAAATTGGAACACTGGTATCTCTGACAATCCTTACTTTGGACCCAGTCATACTTTTACAGTGACGAAGCCAGAGCCCATTACGGAGGCGGAACTTGCAACGCGGGAGACTACACCGCCATCAGACCCTGGGTCAACACTGTCCAGTCCCCCCACACGTGAGCAAACCAGATCACCCGGACTTCACATTGTCAACTCTGCACTCAATCCTGAAGCTGTCGATCTGCCTCCTCGCTGGAGCGCAGAACACTCTCCCCAGCCACCGCAAGCGGCGGCAACGCAGTCTCCCCCGCTACGGCAGCTTGAAGAACATCAAGAGACGAACCCGGCAGTATCTGCTGATATAGCTTTGACTGGCTCTATCGAAGCACCAGTATCGTCCGCAATTCACGATGCTGAAGCCAGGTCACCCACCTCGCCCAGCTCTCCAACAATGGACAAGCCTTTGGGGGCTCGTGAGATCGCGACAATGGGCTCCACTGCAGATCGCATTGCTACTTATAACAAGACTCGCGAGCAATGGGCTAATACTGATCATGGACTTAGTAGCTGGATAGCAGCCACTTTTGAGGCGGACCCAGGTCTCGCAACGCAGAACACTCAGCCTCTTCCTCAACCCAGGCCTCAATCAGGGGTCTTCCGTCACAAGCACACAGGATCCCTCGCCATGCTCGGGAAGTTCACAGGATCAAGTAACAATCAGCCTTCAGGTGGCGCGTTCCACGATCAACACGGCTCGGCAGGCGCTCCAGTTCCCGCCTCATCGAACTCTCCAGGTGCAGGGCCGTCCAAGCCTTCTACAAGCTTCTTGAGTCGGACTGGAAGCCATTCAATCCAGACCCAACAGATGCAAGCTAAGGGCAAAGACCTATTGCACACTGCTGGTGTTCTCAGTGGAAAGGGCATGACGAGCGCTAAAGGCTTGTTTGCCAAGGGCAAGAGTCGTTTCAACCGCGATAAGGTAGAAAAATAATCTCCTTCTTGTCACCTTCTCTTCAGAGGCGACGAATCGATCCTGCATAGATGAACTCTCTTTGTCGCCCGCCAAAAGGATCGCAGCATGTAGCTGGATGAGGTTCGATGGAGAGTCTTCGATTTTGATTGATGCGATCTCAGTGGGCGTTTTCGATATCATGATCTTGTTTAAGCGTACATGTCCGGTCCGGTCCTGTTTGTATGGTGTGCCACTTCCTTTCTCGGGTAGTCATAATGATCGAAATGTTAACCGTCAGTGCTCTTACACCCACAGTCCAAGTACTGATTGCTATGTGATGTAGGACTCGGCGCACTCTCGCGAAGCTTCCACAGAGCTTCCGTTGGTGTCGATCCCCACCGCGAACGCGAACGCCGCCCCTTTGACACGTTCTTGTACCACCGCCGACAGCCCCGAGGAGCCGAAAAGACGGCGCCGCTTTTCATCGCCATTCCGTCGCCCAAGATCTCGAGCAAGATCAGCTGGTGCTGCTTTCCCTAGTACCACGTCACTACCTTCCAGTTTATCGTTGACTGCAACCTCAGCAGATATACCTGAGATACCAAAAGCCTTTCAAGGTCGCCCTCACTCGTACCATGCGCCTGATTTAGGTATGCACCCTGCATACCGAGGTTCGGCCGACCAATTGAGTCGCACTCCTCCGTCGTACGAGCAGAGTCGCATGTGGACACAGCATGCGCCAATGAGGTCGAACTTTGTAACGGAGACAGAGGTGCAAGACGACACTGTGCCACCAGTCCCCCCTATTCCAGCTGGCATACATGATGAGAGGCGAGGTCGGCGCAGTCGGAGTTGGGGGAACGCAAGTCTGATGCTGAAGTCTGCAAAACAGCACATAACGACACCAGCCAAAAGCTCGAGAAGTGTTGGGGCCAGTCCAATCATCACTCAGTTCGACGACCGTGGTAAGCCAAGAGACTTTGTGCCAAACGCAGACGCCGTTGAGCTGTACCCACGAGTTCCCTGGAATGACGACGAGCCGGGCATGAACGATTCACCACGAACTAGACATAGCTCACCACTCACAAGAGGTTTATGGATGGGTGATACTTCCCCAGTTCTTTCGAAGCGGACGCCAACGCAAGCTCACGAGACTGAAGATGATGAGAATCAACAGCTTGTGCTGCCTAAGGACACTGACGGAACACTAGCACCAGCAGACTTAGTCCAGCTCTCCAAGCCTCATGACACCTCTGTGACTGATCATACAGAAAACCCAGACACAAAGCTGCATGTCAAAGATTCATCCAACGTGGCGAGTGAATCGCATACAACGTCACCAAGCCGTTCGACAACGGAGTCACAGGATCCATGGCCAGGCACGCTGCTTAGCCTCACAATGAGCAACGAAGCTCTTGAAGATCGATGGGAAGAAAAAGACGAAGCGCCACTACCACACCACTTTGTGATGCAGCTTTCAGGCGAGATCAGCCCTCTGCTCCACTCATCGAAAGCCTCGTTACAAGAAGTCTCTGATGACGAAGACGGCATGCTGAGTCCTGTTGGAGCAGGCGTTGCTGAAGACGAACAACAGCAACGACTCAAATGGGAGACGGAAATCGTTGGTGCGGGCGACGTGTCTGACGAAGAGGACGTGGGACGTTCATCGGACTCTCGTGATTTGCACTCGCATGTTACAGAGAAGAAGACTGAGCAATCGTCTCGTGAGGCTGAATCTGAGAGTAGAATTAACCACGAAGAACCAGGCGATAGTGAACGGACCGGCCAAAGGCCCGTGGAGGCTGTCACGGAGCTCAGCCTGGTCCGCTCGCCATCAGATATTTGTGTGTCGCCAACTCTGCCAGGAGAACAAGCGAGCTACGAAACTCGAACTATCGGCATTGGCGACGTCTCCCCAACCAGTAACCATGCATCTATCCCCACCCACGCACTTGACATACAGTCTGCACTTGAAAGCAAAGTAGTCGGAGCTGGCGATGTGTCTCCGGTGTCAACACGATCGTCCTTATCCATTGCATCGCGATCAAAAGGGGGCCAGCACGCTGTTAGTGATGACAAATCTGCCAAAGAACTCGCGAGACCTGGCGTCGAAAGGTTCTATACAGCTGGAATAGGTTTTGATGTCGAGCCTGCAAAAGACGAGATGCTGCAGCCAGAAGAAGGCTCAGCCTTGGACCAACGGCCTCGTATTGAGAGATTCGAGACAGCGCATGAAGGCGTGCAGGGGCCAAGCGAGCTGACAATCCCAGCGATTAGGCAACCAGCAAGTCGGTATGCGACTGTTATGGCTGCAGAGCCTGTTGTGTCGTACCATGAATACACCGGAAGCTCATCAAGTTCGAACGAGAATTTGCTCGAGGTGATGAAACCTCAGGCATCGAGCGGCGCTCTGACCCCGCAGCGAGCTGAGCTTGCACCTGGACGGGCTGACGGCATGCCAACCGCGACGCGTCGAGTCTCCGCTTCGCAGCTGCAAGTCGTCCACGCCGTCGAAGAGTATGCCGCATCCAATTCGTCTCTTTCATCATGGGACCAGGACAGTAACGCCGCTGATGCGATTTCCGAGCCGGGCGCAGCCGTCGAGATGAAAGACGAGAGCGACCTCATCACTCCTGTGGCGCAGGCGCCAAGGAAAACTGCTTACGAGCACGCTGGCCAGGCTGGGAACTCCGACAACATTTCATCTTCCGCAGGATCCAATGGATATTTCAACACACAGTCGACGGACGGGTCCGCTCAAACACAGCAGAACCCGACCTCTGTGTCTAACATGACGGTGCCTGAGCGCTCAAAATCGCTGTTATCAATCATATCATCAGCTGTTTCAAGTCAACCGATATCGCCTGCATCAAGCAATGCTGGCAGATCAACTCCTTCGACAATTCATAGGATGCAGCGCGACTTCTCTGATGCTAGGAAGACCAATCTCACGGACATGCAGATTCCAGAGGAGCCCACGTCAGCCAAAGACGATCAAACGCCAACAGCCAAAAACGAGGACTATGATCTGTATGCCGATCACAATGGGGTAGTAAAAGACGTACGCGATGACAAAGGCCAACCACTACGCATTGTTAGTACCCCGAGCGTTGCTCCAGCACAGTTGGCACGCACAACAACTGGTGCATCTTCCATTGGAACTGTTCCGGATATTCAAGACTCACCGGGTCGAAGATACAGCTTCGAGCGCCCAATGAGCTTCATCTCTGGGCCCCAGGATGACGATGGGAGGCCTCAAGATCAGATCAACCAGCCCTTGACAGGCTCGATGAGTGCAGCCCCCCCTCGTCCGAAGCGGAGGTCACAGCAGTATCCTCGGGCGCCATCCGGCGCTATTTACTCAAATTTCGAACCAGTACAAGACATGCATTGGCCCCCTGGTGAAATGACTTCACAACCGCCAGTCCAGCCCGTACAGCCACCGGTACATGAACACGTACCTGCAAAGGTTGTCCGTCAACCAACACGTTTTGTGCCTCACTCTCAGGAGGTCGACGATGATGACAATGAGCCACCGACGCGGCAAGCTCCAAGCCTTCCCCCACAGCGGACACCGCCGTCAATTCCCCCGGAGAGACCCATTACTAACGGGCAGCCTTCACCCAATGGTCGTGATGGAGATCACTCATCTGAACTCCGCGTAATGCAGAATGCCCAGGTTCAGCCTCGGAGTGTGTCTGCTCCTTTGCAGCAGATGCTAATGCCTACTCACGATCATCGCGTCGTCAGTCAACCGCTTGCTCCGCCTCCTACAGGACCCGCATCAGGACCTGCATCAGGACCGAGGAACGAATTTGAATACCAGCAGCAAATGATGCAGCTTCAGGCCAAGTACCCGCGTTTCCGTGGATCGGAGAGTCAGGCTTTCGCTCAACAACCAGGCCCTGCCCAACCAGCTCCCCAGGCTCACGAGAAGCCGTCATCGAAGCCAAGATTAGCAGCAGCGATCAAAGGCATCGTTGGCAGAACGTCGCCAAATGTACCCCTTACATCTAACGCGCCGCCACCTCCGCCAAGCCAAGGTCTCAACATCCCGCCCCCCGACACCAACAAAGCTGAATCATTTGTCTCGGTGGTCAGCAACTTGTCACGTGAGCGCAACACATCAACCCCGGGAGCACAACCTGGTGTCGCTATAGGCCCACAACGACCACCCAGTTTTGGTGCAGATTCGCAATACAGCCACGTCAGTCATGGCTCCATGCAAGCGCAGCCAGCGCAGTCTAGACAGGATCTTACAACGGCCCCAATTGCTACTCAATATCATAACCAACATCCACACCAACGGCCGCCACAGCAATCGCAACTAGCGCCACCGCAGCAGAACGGACCGTCACATGGCTATCGCGCTTCTACTAGTGCTATACCTGACGTGGGCAAGAAAAAGAGGTTTTCAGCGATCACTGGTCTATTTGGCAAAAGCAACCCAGCTGCAGAATTGCAGGGAAAGTTCAAACTGTCAAGAGAAGAGAAGAAGGCTCAGAAGGCTCAGAGACACAACAGTCAACCAGCTGTACAGCCTCCGGCAAATCAGCAGTGGCCTCCACCGAACACACAATTTGTCACTCATCCGCAGCCGAACGTGCACGGGCAAGGACAGTTCCCTGAACACCCTGCTGATCCGCGCTTCATGTCCTATCAGGGAGCACCACAGACGCATGCACATGGCGCTCAGGTCATGCAATCTGCGCAAGGCGTACACCAACCGTATCCACAGTCCCAGGTGCAGCCACATCCACAACAAGGCTTTCCACCACAACAGAGGCCGTCGGAAGAAGGCTCTGCGTACCTGAGAACGAAGCAAATGGCTGACGAATACCGAGCAAGACAAGGCACTGGCCAGCCACCACGACCCGTATACGAAGATCCTGCCTCGGTAGGCTCTGCGCCCCGGCAATCAATGGAACAATCTCAGCAGCCTTTCCCGAAGCAGCCGCCGTCCAACGGATACTATTACCCCGACAAACCTCCCCCAGAGCAAGGCGCTTACACGTCGTCTCAGGAGGAGCAAAAACGCGCTTTGCAGTTGAGACAGCAGCAACAGCTGGAGGCTGAGCGGCGACACAATGCAGGGTTGCCGCGCTCACCAGGCGAGCAAGGAGCGTACAACGCAACTACCAGCTCTCGTCAGCAGATGCAGCAACCTCAACGATTGTATTCTCAGGAACACGGTGCATACGGTGCTGCTTCTATCGCTCATCAGCAGGCATTACAACAGCAGCAACAGGAGCAACAACGGGCTCCTGTCTTCCAACAAGAACCTTATGGACCCAGTCCAGAAGAGAGACAGCGGTTGCAACACGAGCAATTCCCTCTTCCCCGACCAGAGGCCCTTGGACGCTCCCAGATCCATTACGATCAAATACAGCATCACACACCGCCGCAGCGTACAGTTGTCTCGCCACCACAGGACCGCCAGCAACCGGCACAGAACCAGCACCAGCCAGACATGACAAGAGAGGAACAGATGAGGCATGCTGAACAAGACCTGGCACGGCACCGCTGGCAGCAGCAACAAATGCAGCTCCGACAGTTCCACGAGCAGCAACAGACTCAGCTTGCGCAACAACGAGCTGCCAGCCGAGCTGTTTCCGGTCCTCTCCTGAGCCAGGCTTCGCCGCCCGCGTCGCCAGTCGCGCAACGGCATGTGAGCTCACCTGAACCCCAATACGAGACGCCTCCAATCCCCGGGGCATACGGCCATGTACAGGGTGTCTTCGTCTCGCCCTTCGACCAACCCCATGCGTATTCAAGCCCGCCCACCCAGCACGACCGACAGGTCTCAGATGCTCAAATGACACCCATCTCGCCCCAAGTGTCAGGGCAGTCCCAGATGCCACCCAATGCCCGCCATCACTCCGATGCCAGCAGCGTTTCCGTGGTGTCGCCGATATCCGGGCCTAGTCCCGAGCCTGCTGCGGCTGGGCCGGCAGTGGCTCTGCTCCAGCAGAAGTCTAGGATGCCTAGTATCTCGGAGGTGCATCAGCAGGTGCCACCTCAGGAGCGAGCGCCACCTCAGGAACGTGCACCACCTCAAGAGCGTGCACTAGCTCAAGAGCGTGCACCAGTTCAAGAGCGTGTACCAGTTCAAGAGCGTGCACCAGTTCAAGAGCGTGCACCATTTCAAGAGCGACCACTTCAAGAGCGACCACTTCAAGAGCGCCCATTTCAAGAGCGCCCACTTCAAGAGCGAGCGCCAGTCCAAGAGCGAGCGCCACTGCAGGAACGAGCACCACCTCAAGAACGGGCACCACCCCAAGAACGACCGTGGCACATGAACTTCCCAGCTGGCACCACAGAACAAGACATTGTTCGGGCCCGCCAGAAGCAGTTCATGAAGCAGCAATTTGCCTCACAGAAGCAGGCGCAAGCAGAAAGACATGCAGCTTCGCCTTCTCCGCGTAGCTCGCCCGACAAGCAGACACCCCCATATTCTGCGCCTCTCGAGCAACCTCAAGCACACGGTGGAGGCTTCAGAGAAGTGTTGCCGAGGATGTCCCCGCAACCATTCGCTGCACCTCATTCTGCACCCCTTGATCGCCGTAGTCCACAGCATACCCCATCTCATTCACAAGGGGGTGGGGGGTGGCCCCTCCACGCAACACCTAATCAGATCGAATCTGCACAGACGGTGGCAGGTCCGCCACTAGCTTCGCAGGGACTGCGTACACCAGTATACACTGGTGAGGTTGAACGTCACCCGTCACACGTCCACGAGCCACAACATGCTGCCTATGGCGATCAACGATACGAACCGACGCCACCAGCAGACATGCAGAGAGTACTACCTCTCCAACAGCCCGGACACGACGATGATGAAATTGATGATGCACCTCCGTCATACGATGGTCCCGCCGCACCTACTGTTGGCATGGAGAAGAGCAACCCCGACCGCCCTCGTCCGCCGAACATCATAACAGCGCCCCCCAATGACGGTCGCCAACACGAAGGACGACCTCGTCAGGCCTCCCTCGGCCTCATGCAACACCCTCAACCCGCCTCCATGGCCGCCTCCCCCCAACGCACAGCCCCCCACATGGGCGCCGAGTCTCTTCGCCGCCAACTTCTCCAACAAGAAGAGCACGCCCGCATGGAGCGCATCCAGCGCTCGCAACTTCAAGCCGCCCAGCGCCAGCGCGAACAGCAGGAACGCGACGCGGCCCGCGCGCGCGCCCTCGAGCTCGAGCGCAGCGTCTCAGGCGGCGGGCGCGTCGGCAGTCTGCGCAGTGTCAGCGGCAGCCACAACGGCGGCGCAGGCGGCTGGGAGCGCCGTGGACTACAGGGAAGCACGAACCGCCCCGTGTTCGAGCTGCCAGCGCTCGAGGACGAGGAGCCGGTCATGCGCGCGACGTCGTTTCCGGGGCAGGAGTGGGTGCCGCCCATGTATGTCGACGACTAAGCGACTTTGGCCGTTGCTTGGGTCCGTGTGGTCCACTCACCCTTTTCGCAAAATTTGTACAGAACGATGCATACCATGTTCTTTTTCTTCGAGGTCTGAGCGACGCTTCGTGCGTTTTGGCATTTGATTGGATACCCCTCCTTTCCGCATACACCTGTGCAGCATATTAGTATTCATTATTATGTACATAGAGCGCTGTTCAAACGATGCTGCCTTGAGTCGAGGCTCATCATTAATGGAATAGTTCTGACTTGTTTGGTTTCCTCGGTCGTTGTTTTGTTGATATTTGGTTCGTAACACCGACGTCTTCCCTTGTTATGCTCAACCGTGGTTCGCGTCAGGCTGCCAACCGCAGTTTATAAAGAGTTCCGGGAGTGACTCATGTTACACAGTATAATTCAAGAGATAGAATGGGTACAACCGCGCTGGGTTTTGGATCACGATTGCCTGTATCGATCCATGGTCGAGAGCAGGCACAGTTCCAGTGAAATCACACACCGTCTGCCCGAGCACTATAAAACCCACCCTCTCCATTCCCATTCCCCTCAAACACAAATCCCATCACAAAACCATCTTACCACACACACACCTCCCAACACCTCCAACAACCTCCAACAACCAACTCACAATGCACACCACCATCACCACCCTCCACAAGTGCCTCCGGGCCCACACCAAAGCCCTCCCCCTCCCACCCCGGCGCCACATCGCAGCCACCAGCGCACCCCACATCACCACCCTCAAGCACCGCACCACCACCTGGGAGCCTGCGCTCGCCCTCAGCAACCCCACCTCCTGCAGCCCCCACAACAGCGAAGCCAACACCACGCCACGCACCACCAGCCGCGCTCTGCTGCAAAGCGGTGTATCCGCCGCGCTGCGTGCACCCGTGGAGAAGCAAGAGAAGGAGAAGGAGAAGGAGATGGAGAGGGTCCGGCCCTGGCCGTATTCGCTGCCCAAGTGGCTCAGGCCTAGGAAGGGGACTACGTATGCGCAGGTGCATGGGGATGGGGGAGAGGGACAGGGGTCCGTGGGGGTGCTGCAGAAGGTGTTGTATGGGGTTCCGGATCCGCAGTGAAGGGGGAGTGGGGAGAGCGGTTTGGCTGGCGTTGCTGGGTTCGGGGTGCGGGTTTTCAATCTGATGCTGATTTGTTTTAGCGGTGGAATGTTAAGCGTGGCTTACGTTATTCGATCTTTAGGTTTTTTAAGCTTGCAATCCTATTTTTTCCCAGTACCTCCATTGCTCTTAATCAAGTGGTTTAGTCATGATGAGATTTGCAAGTGACACTAGTCTAACCTGTAGAAAGCGTGTATGCCTCCCAAAGCCGTCAGATCGCTTGTGCGACTAACAATACCCTTGTACATGTAAATGTTTATGTCGGTAGCACAGTGTAACCTGCCAGCCAATCACTACGTTGAACACGTGCGCTGCGATGCACCTGCCTCCACGTTCAGCCTCAATCTTGGCTGCTGCCTTCCAATAAGAAATACCTACAATCTCCGTCTCCGTTGTTCGCTTCCACTTAACAGACCTTATTTCTTTTCACTCTCTTAGCACTTATGTGGAGCCTTATCGCTAGCTATAGCATGTGCCGTGGAACCCAGCCTCGCACGCTTGACACACCACAACCGAGCGCACGGTGAAGTGAAAGCAGCGTCGCCAACCTTCGCTTACCGTCAAACGCGTCTGCACCTGGCAAACGGCGAAAACAACCCTCCACACCCTGTTCTACACACAGCCAGCACGGCCTTGCGGAACCGCACCTCGACACCACATCATGAGCGCCGGATCGCCGGGGGATCGCCGCCGATCGAACTCTCTCAGTTCGACGGAGAATGAAGACTTGGACTTTCAGTACGCGCTGAAGCTGTCCGCCGAGCTCAACGGGGATCTCGGCGGACACGCCGAAGCAGCTGCCGCGGCGGCGAAGCGGCACGGTGAATGTGATAACGACGTTGACTCTGCCGTGCAGAAGCTTTGCAATGACAAGATCGGCTCTAAGAGCAGCGGAGCTTCCTCAAGCGCGAGCAGCGCTTCTCCCGCAGCGCCACATAAAGCTAAAGCCAACACTGTAGCCTCGATCAACGATACCGAAACCACTGTTGAGCAGGCCACCAGGCCGCTTTCTGACTTTCTAGAATATCTTAAGGCAAGTCAGTGCGCTGACTGCGGCGGTCGTTTCCTCAAACACGAATCAGACGCGACTCATATCTTTCAAGAATGGTACGAATACAAGGCTGCGTTGTCTTCGCTGCTCAGATGCGAGACATGCGGAGTGTTTTCCTGCATCACGTGTTCAGCTACGCCTTTCTCTAAGCGATCGTTGGTCATCTTCGATAACAGGTCCGTGTCGTGGTGTTGCACCGATGGCCGTCTCCTTGTGATCTGGATCTTGCTTTGTGGCTTCGACGTTCCCTACTGCGAGATGAAGGTGAAGAATGCGGAAATCAAAGCAGAGCTCCAATCTCAGCCAACAGAGCAAGACGAAGGGAGTGAGAGATCCAAGGGAAAAGGAAAAGCTGAGAGTAGCCGGCCGGGTCGAAGTGGCGTTGGTTACGGTGGCAGCAGTGTCTATTCCCAGTACGTATCGTCGGATGGCTTTGACGAAGCCGTTAACAAAGATCTCTCTCACATCTACTCAGAAAGAAGAAGAACAAGACTCAATCGGACCCCACGTCGGAAAAGAAGGCACAAATGCTTGAAGTCCAACAAGCCATTGACAGGCTAGCAACGACAGTCCTCAGCCTTCTTGAGAACCTGCTACCGTCCTTGGACCGCGGTCATGCTTTCGATATGGGTCCACCAGCGATGATCACAGACATGCTCTTGAAGAGTAGAGTCCTGGATTATTTCGTAGACTTGTTGCTCCACGACTCTCTTGACGAAGTTTCTTCACGGAGTGCAACGTATAGTGCTGTTCTAGACTTTGTGAAAGTCCTCAGCAGGCACGAAATCACAGCCAACTCGACAGTGTTCTCTAGAAGACAACAGCGACCTGAGCTTTGCAACTTGCTCACACGAACATACCGCCGCACTGAAGTTCCAACGCAGGAAGTGGTCCCATCGATTGCCGACTGTCTGCGCGAACGAATGATACTCGGTGATCTGCAGCTGAAGAATGCCGAACAATACAAGGCGTTTTACGATACGGAAAGCGACCAAGAGATCCTCTCGCACTGTCGCAAGATCTCTGAGACTTGGAAGTCCCTTGGCCTCCACGTGCGCGAATCAACGGCAGAAGCGGAAGGCTCGAACACTGCTGAGCCATTCGTGAACATCAGTGATGTCGATGACGATCAGATCTGTGCCTCACATGCGTTTGCGGGAGAAGCACGGGAACAGAACCGCTCAGCCCCTGGCCGGTTCAAACGCTTGGTCTCCGAGATCAACATACTGAAGAGCAGTCTCCCTCGGACAATCTTTGTTCGGCATGGGGAATCGCGCTTGGATGTCATGAAGTGCGTAATCATTGGCGCAGAAGATACTCCGTACGAGAACGGAATCTTCGAATTCGACATGTACTGCCCGGCGGAGTACCCAAAGAATCCTCCGCAAGTGTCTTTCAAGGGAACTGATGGGGGCAAGCACGGAATCAATCCCAACCTCTACCCTGACGGCAAGGTATGCCTTTCTTTGCTAGGCACCTGGCCTGGACAGCCGTGGGACCCGGTACAATCAACTCTTCTCCAAGTTCTAGTCTCTATCCAGGCAATGGTGTTGTGCGAGCAGCCATGGTACAACGAACCGGGCAGGGAGCACGCGTTTGGATACGAAGAGGCCGAAGTTGCGTCGGAAGCGTACAACCGCAGGATACGCGAGCTGACTGTTGAAATTGCGATGATCAACTGGCTTGAGAAGATTCCTGCGATCTGGGAAGATGTTGTCAAGAGACACTTTCGTTCAAACGCGGACAAGATTCTGCGCACTGTTACCGAGTGGAGCGGACAGTCTAGGCCTTTCAAGGGTGCGGGAATGCCGGAGCTCTTTCATCTGTACCATCCTGATAAAGAGATGGGCTATCGTATGGTACTACCCAAGCTTCACAAGTACCTGCAGGGCTACGGTGCGACTGTCGGGCTGCCGGAGTTCCCTGAAGAGGTCGAGGCGGAATCTAAGGTAGCTCGCATACAGCGCCTACTGACCAAGGACTTTGAGGAGTTTCTAGAGGCCGCACATGGTCCGCCGTCCGAGCCAGGGTTACCTCCATCGTACATAGGACCGAGCTTCGATAATGGCGTCGATGAGATTGAGGGCATTGATGGAGTGGTCGACAGGGCCGAGGTCGAACGTCTCATGGCTCCGATGGGAACACCAGGTGACGGAGAACAGAGCTTTTACAGCTATCTTGGTCGAGGACAGTCGGTCGGTGCAGGGCCAAGTGGTGGTCCACCAGCTCCGTCGGGTGGTGGAGGACGGGGGCGCGGACGCGGAATGGGTCATGGGCTGTTCGACTGGCTGGAGAACAATAAACCCAAGGTGACCAATCCGTTTGCTACAAGTAAGAAGTCTCAGAAGGGTAAAGGAAAAGAGCGTGAAGGCAGTGACGACAAGGGGGATGGTGGGCGGGACGGAGGGTTGGGAGGAGGAGGTGGAAGCTCGAAGGCAAACACATTGTAGATGGGCGTCAATGCACGTCAATGCATGTGAGATGTTGCTGGTATGTCAAACGGGTATGACAGACAGGCACATCAGGCAGGCGTATCAGACAGAGATCAGACATGGACTCGGCCAACGACGGAGAGCCGCGAAGGCCATGCTGCCAGGACGTGATATGTCGGCAGCCAGGGATACCACGTGTAGCGCAGTGTAGCGAACAATCAAATGCGTGTACTTATGAAAAGTGGTTGGCATGTCTGGTGGCGGGCGTGAAGGTGTTCTTCGGTAGGGCTGAAGACGCGGGGAAGTCGCGGCCATGACATCAGTCAGCCCTGCACTCACCTCCAAGCAGCTGATAGCCGGCCATGCAAGGACCACACCCACTGCCAGCGCGGCCGCAGGATGCCCCCCTCGACTCGCGCAGCCCGCACGCCATGACCGCACCAGCTCCGGGCGGCACTGGCCCGCTGTGGGCAGGGAGCTTGGTATGTGCCCGGCGCGTCACCCGCCCGCGTCTCCCTTGGGCGGCGTCAACACGCAGCGCTAACGTGCCAGCTCGAAAACCTCCCCGACGAGCTGCTGCAGCTGATTGTCGCCCACCTCACGACCGCCGACCGCCGCGCCGCCGCCCTCGTCTCGCGCACCTTCCACCGCCATGCGACGGACCTCCTGTGGCAGACGGTCTGCCTGGCCGACACGCGGACGCTGCGCGCGGGCGCTGCCGACGAACTGCTCAGCGACGGCGAGCAGATGGACGAGCACGACGACACGCCGCTGATCGAGAAGCTGCACATCCTCGCCACGAACCCCGCCATTGCCGCCAAGGTGCAGACGCTCACCCACCGCTGCCACCTGCCCACCCCCAACATCTTCACCGAGCTGCCGCGCCTGTACTTCGACGCCGCCAACCTGTCCGCCGACGCCCGCCTGCACGCCCTGCTGCGCGCCGCCATCCGCAACCTGGTCAACGTGCACACCCTGCGTATCGTCTACGGCCACTGGCGCCTGACCACCGCCCTGGTCGCCGGCTTCCTGCACCATGCTCGCCCGCGCGAGGTCCCGCTGCGCAAGCTGTGGCTGGAGAGCTGCGCCTTTGATATCCGGGACGCTGGCTTCCTTGGGCTGCTCAGTCACACGGGGCTCGAGTCGATCCGCCTGCGCCGTCTGCGCGCCGAGACAGCGAGCGTGCCTAGCAAGTACGACATGGCCTGGCTGGACATGAAGCTGGCCCGCGGCGGCCACTACTACCAGATGCACAACGGCGCGGGCGCCTGGGTCGGCACCACGGTCGAGTTCGCCCAGAAGGACCTGCCCGTCCAGCTGCTGGCGCCCACGCCGGACGCCATGACCGCCACGGCACGAGCCTTCGACAACCTGCTCTGGGCCGACCTCCCGGAAATAGACGAATTTGTCGACAGTCTGCCGGTCGAAGTCCCTTGGACGCCTACGCTACCACGGGGACCGATGCAGTGGCTGTTCGAGGCCTCGCAGTCCACGCTCACGCGACTCGACCTCGACTGGATTTTGTGGCGTCAGCGAGAGCTCGACGACATCCACGACGGATCTGCTGTATTCTTGAAAGATCTCGCTGCTATGCGGTTCCCGTACCTGGTTGCCTTCCAGATGCGCAACGCGGTGCTGCCGCTGACCAAGCTTCCCGACGAGGTATTCCTCCTCGAAGACACATTCTTATCGTTCTTGGAGGCGCATCCCAGGATTAAGTGTCTTGCCTGGCCGCTCGACAAGTTCTACAACCATACCAGGCCGTCAGTAGAGCTGCAAAGCAGGTGTCGAATCCTGATCGGACATATGGCTATGGTCCTGACCGATCTGCGCCTCGACACCTACTACGCCGGCAACGGAGAGCCCATGACTGACGAAAGCACCTCCGTTGAATCCACCTGTCAGCGCATCCGCCGGAGAAGATTCATCACCGAGTTCGCCCCTCACATGCGTAAAATCAAGCAGATCAAGCTCGAAGGCGGCATCCCCCGCGACGAGAAGCGCGAAATCCTGCGCGCTCTGCACTACTGTCCGCTTCAGAAAATCGTCTTCATCGGCGTCTCGTTTCCCGTCGGCAACACCTGGGGCACCGGCGGCGCCCTCCTCAAGGCCCTCGACGCCGGCCACGCCTCCGACTTTGCCTGGGACCTGGAAGAAGAGAGCCCCGCCGGCCTCTTCGGCGCGTACAGACGCCGCACCGCCGTGGCAGAACCCTTCACCTTCGTCCCCGAATTCGGCTGGACTGCAGAAGCCCCGCTCCTCCGCACTCTGGCTCTGCACCATGCGTCGACCGTACAGGAGCTCAAGATCTGCGGCTACAACGGCTGCCCCGTCCTCTCGCACCTCACCCCCGCAACTACCCCGCTGCTGGCGCCCCTGATGCAGTACACCAACCTGCGCCACCTGGTTGTGAGTTTCTGGCTGCTGACCTTCTTCGAGGACGCCTATCGCGACCTGGAGATAGTGCAGAGCTGGATGGACACGCGCTCGCCGTCGTCCACAGCGCTCGTCGTCGTCACTCCGCCCCGCAGCCCCGACCGCGACGCCCAGGTCGAGGGCACTGTGATGCCGGCCCCTGTCCCCACAGCCCCGCGCCCGGAGTTCAATCGCTGGGCCGTCGCGCTCAAGACTAAGTTCACGCCCTCGGCGCTCGCGTACCGCGTTGCGAGCGACATTGCGCCGTTTCTGAGTCCTACGGCTAAGGCGAGGGAGGGGGGTGTGCGGATCCGCGCGAGTTTCTGTCTCGGCGCCAGGGAGGAGCGGAGGGTTGCAAACGATATTTTTGATTTGGATATTAGGGTTGGCGCCGATGATCAGGTGTTGGAGTTTGTGGGGCCGCGGGAGGAGGGTGAGAAGGGGCGGTGGTGGGCCAAGATGGAGGGGCGGCAGTGGTTTTGAGGCGTCTCTTTACAGATTTTGAGGCGTCTGGTTACAGGTTCGAGGCGTCTGGGTGTACTGGCTAAGGAATCTGTGGGTGTTCTTAAAGCGTGTCAGGTATGTCAGCATTGCATAGGTTGCAGGCACGATATCACATTAATGACATCTCTAGTGTGTAAGCACATGTGTATTGACCAAGCCGTTCTTTACCGCTATGTAATACTGCCCAATCCATCTAGCAGCCGAGTCGGAACGCCGGACCATGCAAACGCTGAGGAAGGGTATCTGTGCGTGGTAGAAACAAGATGAAATCAGACTGAGGGGGCGAATGCTGAGTGCAAGCGCGCTGAGGTAGGAAAGAGACAGTGGAAAAGACAGTGCATGCTATGCAGAGACAAGTCTCAATGCAGCAGCCAGAGAAAAGGAAATCCACCTACTCAGCCTTTGCCTTCTTCTCCTCCGTCTGCGGCAGCGTACGGCCCGACCACTCCATGTCCAGGCACGTAAATGCCGTGTAGATCTTCAGCAGCGAATGCCAGTACGCGAACAGCGGATACGCAGGCACCACGAAGAACAGCAGGAAATCCCACGGGTGCGCCCACCACCACGGAGCCGTCTTGACTAGCTTGGTGAGCTGGATGGCGTACGCGAGCGCCAGCAGCACCATCCACGGGTGCGCGGCCTCGGCAAACCAGGTGCTGCGCGTGAACGTGAACAGAGCCAGTGCGTCCCACACCAGCGCCGTGTTGTACAGCCACGGAATGTACGTCGTCCACACGCTCAGCGGCCACACCCACCAGATATCGCGGTCGACGAGCAGCGCAATGGGGTTCTGCCGGAACGTCGAGCGCGACCAGCGCCGGCACTGCGCCGGGAACTTGAACTCGCGCGGGTACGCGCCCAGCGCGGTGCTCATGGTCGCCTCGCGCTGGCACTGCATCTTCACCGCCCAGCCGTGCCGCAGCACCCAGCGCGTGATGAAGTTGTCGTCGTCGGCCTGCACGGGGCCGCACCCGAGCACGTACTCGTGCGTAAACGCGTGCTGGAACTCTGGAGTCAGAATCGCCCGGCGGATCAGGCTCGAGCGGCCCGACACGCAGAACACGCCGCCGTCGGCCGCGTTGCACGAACGGATCTCGAAGTTGTGCCGGATCAGGTACACGCCGCCCATCACGTTCCAGAAGCGCGCGTACCAGCGCAGCCAGGCGTTGTAGAGCACGCCGTCCACGGGGTCGACAGCGGGCGCCGCCAGGTCCTTCACCCACTTGCGGGTCCCGACGAGGCCGACAGCGGGGTCGTTGAAGGCGGCGAGCGCCTCGACGAGCCAGGCCGGCGTCCACTCGGCGGTGTCGTCGGCGGAGACCACGATAGCCGTGTGCGCGTGCGTGAGGCCCGCGACCACCTGGCGGCGCTTGCTGGACCGGCCCACGTCGATGACTTCAATTGCAGAGGAGACGGGCGTTGCTGGGAGGCCGTTGCGGCGCTGGTACGCCGTCAGGCCCGCCTCGTAGCGCGGGCGGAAGGCGCGCAGGAAGCGCTCGACGCCCGTGGCCGCGGCGCGGGTGTTCGTCGAGAAGACGACGCGGGCGGGCGCGTTGGCCAGGATCGACGCAACCAGGTCCTCGAAGACGGGGTTGCCGGCCGGGCCAACGGTGGGCAGCACGACGGTGCAGTCTCGCGGCTTCATGGCGTCGGCGCGCGAGGGGCGGACGGGCGCGTAATGGAACCAGAAGAAGATCTGGACGGCGGTGCGCCAGTAGCGGAAGACGAGGAGGAATACGAACCAGACGTCAGCGCCGTTGGGGGCCTGCTCGGCGAGACGGCAGGTGGTGTAGAGAGTCAGTGCGGGGATGACATGGCAGAGCATGCCCAGAGATGTCAGTAGGGTAGGGTACTTGACCTTGCGACGATAATCAAAGACGAGGAAGCCCGTCCAGCACAGCATCATCGCGACGATGGAGACCGCGGCCTCTGTGGGGTGAAGAATCGCGGTGGTGCAGAAGAGGGCAAGGCACGCGTAGGCCGTGGCCAGCGGTACGAACCATTTGATCCTGGAGAAGGCGGACGTCAGTCTACCCAGGGGCTTGAGCGACGACGGCGGAAGCGGAGCTTGATCCATGCTCGATGACATGCAAGAGTAGTGGGCCGGAGTGTGTAGTTGTGAGCCTTGGGATTTTACCCAGCAGGGTAGATATCAGCAGAGGGTACTCGCAGTGAAAGCTCACAAAAGGGAAGGGTGTCCTTCACTGTTGCTGCGCTGGCCAGCACTGTTCGTGGTGCTGTGCTGTCCTCGCGAGTACCTGGTCCTGGGGACATGACTGGGAAGTCCTTTTCATTGCTGGCTCGGAGTTGGCTGTGAAGGAGGGCGTGTGAATCTGCCAAATGGATGTCGCGGTGAAGCTCATCTGTAACTGTGAACGGTCTGTTTGTGAGGTTGAACGCATATTCTAGGACAGCCATTGCACCGCCAGTGAACCAACGGCTTTCTGCGAGTACGGTCGAGCATTGCATTAGTGCATTCATGAGGCTGTCGATACGGCGCTGTGTGAGAGTGAATGTTGGAGTGGACAGCCAGGGCGATCACGAAATATAGCGTGCAGGAAGGGGGAAGGCACAGTTTGATGAATCCGGAAACAACGTGCTTGTCATTTGGCCGGGCCGAGCACACTGAGCGAAGCAGCTAAAGCAAGCACGTTCATCAAGACGATGCGAGAAAACGCTGCTGAACGATACAACGAAGACCAGACTTCCCACAGTGCAGCAAGGACTCGCGGCAAACGCAGGAACCGGTCCGGGACAAAGAGAACCCTCGAACGACCGTCGACAGGACGCTCGAAACCGTATCTCATTGTATGACCTGCATTGTGCACCCCGGTTTTCGACAGCACTCCTACATGCCCTCGACACAATTTCGACAATGTTGGGTTAGTGGTACTTCTGTAACTTCAGGGGGATGCGCGGATCTTCATAAAATAGTGCATTGCCATCCTCGCGCTCACTATGCACCGCTCCTTCCTCAGTGCTCCTCGCAGAGAAAGAATGATGCTGTGCTGATTTACGATACTAATGTCGAGTCTGTGTAGAGCTTGTGGAAGCAATGTGCAGTCTACTTCGCGACACTGACCTCAAGCCCACCGATTTGCAATAAAAACGTTGCGAACGCACAACGTGGACGTTGCGCAAGCGTTTAGCACTCCGGGATGCATTCAACTGTCGTAGTCACGTCGTACTTATAGCGTAGGAATACCCTCAGATTCATGCCGTAGTCGTCTTGGGTGGTAGCCGTGTCTGTGACGGGAAAGGGGCCGTTCGTCTTCGTAGTCCCAAGCACTGGTCCGCATGCAGGTTGACAGGAGTAGAACAGTGCAATCTTCCGACCAGCGGAGTTCGTGAGTTTGATGTGTTACTACCAGGTCGAGTCGAATGTCTTTGAGTCGATACTCTGCTCGAGGTCTTTATCACCTTCTCCATGCAACCCAACCTATCGATCATCTCCTCACACTTCTGCAGACCCAGAAGCCTCTTCCAGTTAACCAGCCCTCTGTTGCACTTCTCAAAGCAACAACTGAATAGCCCCTCATACCCTGTCAATGCAAACACCCGCGTAGTCGCCGAGTCCCAACAAACACCCGAATAGCTGAGACACTCACCACACTCCCCTCCCCCCAAAGCCCGGCGAACCGCTGCACATCTGCACGCACCCACCCGTGCCGTCCGATAGCACCGCGGCGCCGGTGCCCCGCACCGCAAGGCCCCGAACCAAGCGCCAATCAAGCTGTCACCAAAGCTTAACTAGCGTCGCAAAAGCTTAAGTCGTACGTTTGTTGCAGAGCCGCTTGACACTGGTCGGTGGTGGGTGGTATGGCATTTCATGGTGGTTTTGTATGGATGGGCGTGAGGGGAGGTGTGGGGTAGGGTAGTGTTGTGCAGTGGTGTGGGGATTATCGCATGGGTGAGTACGTTTTTAGTAATACCGCGGAGACTTGTGTTTGTGCACTGGGGTTGTGTGTTGTGGGGTTGGCTTGCCTGTGACTGCTACCGCTGTTGTTGCTGAGTATTTTTGTCGTTGCATAGTATCTGTAGGAATGAAACGCCACTCAGTGCAATGATTCTACAGTACCAAGTGATCCGAAGGTATTCTTCACACCGTAGCTGCTCACTACGCAGGGGTTGTAGAGAAGGATGCAGTCAGGTAGGGCTGATGATCGCATCGTAATCATATAGTTCAAGGACAGTGACTATGATCTCGACATTGGCGACCCCATTCAGGCTGCGCTGGCGGAAAAAAGAACCAGTCTGACTAACGTGCTCGCTACGATGAATCCCCTTTTGCTGGAATATACGGCGGTTTCTGACGTATACTTACACTCAATTACGATATCATGATAAATGGTTCTTCTAATGTCTCAATCGTGGTTGGCCGGCCGGGGCGAAGGTGTCCTCGAGCGAAATGTCAAGAGAGCAAGCATGGCACCTACTGTTGTTGGATTATCAAGAACAATTGAATCCTCCAGTGGAATTCATCTCTCCGAATATGACTGGTGACGGGCACAGCACCACCGTCACAGTTGCTGGCACGTGGAGTCGCAACTTCCTCGAGCCGCTGCCCAACAGAAACTAACTTCAATGTGAGAAAGGCAGAGGTCCTCAACAATATCAAGCTCACAAGAGCAGTTTATGCATCTTACGTGTTGTAGTCAGTTTGATGGGAAAGTAGCCTTACGCCTAGCAGAATATCATTGTTGACAGCTTGGCAGCGCTATGCCGAAGAAGCTTGTTGACACCACGAAGCATATCTGCAACGACCAGTACATCGAGTTCTCACGCGTGCAAGCCAGCGGGAGTCTTCACAACATGGCACGATGCGACGTTGGCGCCAACGTAGAGATTTGTCGCCGACAAGACTTGCGAGTCATTGCGAAAGTGGAGTGGCCAGTTCCTATCCCTAAGATGGTTCTCGACAAGGACACATTGGTGCCTTGGCAGGAGACTACACAACAATCGAGCAGAGTACGCGGGGAGGACGATTTCGCCCGCTGTTGCGCAGATGTGGGGCAAGCTGGTAAACCCGTTGGCCTACACTAAGGTTGTTGAGATCCCAGATGGCATGCAACCCCAGGCTGGGTTCAAACAAATTGAGTCAGAGACCAAGGCACGGGTTGGGCGCCGCAGACAACACAATGTCTGGTAGGAGTAGAAGCACGCGATCAGGGCGATAAGGCCGTCGTCACGATCTTGTCGCCCCTGTCGATACTTATACGGAGTTGCGACATGCCAGTGCATCGCAATGCACTCCAGAGCCTCCGCCACGCGACTGTAGGGAGTGGTACTCGACCATTCAGGCGCGTGGATTATAGTTCACATGTCGTCATCCGGTCTTATCATGGGTCCCTATTGCAGCCAGCAGCGGGGCAAGCATGCTTGTTTCAACGAACAGCGAAGCCAACTTCCAATTGCGAACGCTACATGGCGGCCGAAGTTGTCTGCCGAGGCCTCTAGCCGAAAGCGTGCCGGCAGTTACGCGGTATGGCCGACATCGCGATCGTGTTTGTGTCCATGTTGTGGAAGTGAGGGCGCATCATTTCCGAACAGGCAGCGAAGCGCCGGAGTTCAGCTGATGTTCGGGCGTTGATCGGCAGCCTTGCGAATGGTGGCATACGCTAGCTCTAGAAGCCGACATGGCCGCCGGTGACAGCTGGTGAGAACGTGGTGTTGAGGTGAAGACACACGAAAGCAGAGAGCAAGGCTGAGACATGTTGAGCTCTCCGTCTCGAGACACATGCTGATCTTGGCGGTCGGTGCAGCTGGTGCGGAGAGGAAGCCGGGCAGCAGCAGGTGAGTGGTCGCGGGCACGTCTGCTTACGTATAGCGCGACCCGAAGACGTGGATGGGCGGCCTGCACCTGCCCTTCTAGCATTAACGCACACGTAAGAAAAAGCACGGCGGCTTTCAGAACACAATCATGTCATCAGCTCGCACGGTTCTGCAAGCTCGACGTGGTGACACGGTGATAAGGAGACGCATGCCTGAGGCAAGGGCGAGGCGGCGTGCAAGCAAGGAGCGCATCCTGCAATGACACGCGACGCGAGATCCACGCCCGCGATCTACACGCTGTGCAAATCCGCAAGCGGGCCGACGTCTGCCTGCAGCGTTGGAGCAGGCGCGATCTGCAGCGCGAGCCAGTGAGGTGGTGAACGGGCATGTCGCTGTCTCAGGGCGCCCGTTTGCCACTTCCAGAATGCTTCTGCGGTGGAGTCGCAGGATGACGATGCAGTGGCGACGACGGGCGGGGCCGGATGGCTGCTGCTGTTGCGTGTTGCTGAGATCTGTGTGCGGTGTCAGCTGCACGCAGTGAGATGCACGACGTGCACGCGGGTGCGTGCTGCCAGCTGAGGTGGTGCGCACTGCGCAGGCGCGCCGAACAGGGCAGTCGCCGCGTATTCTAACGTCTGTCAGCATGGTACCGTCGTTTCGCTGTTTCAGGCCGGCCCAGGCGGCTCTTCGAGCGCAGCGGGCAGCGGGCAGGGCAGGCACCACGGCAGCAGGCACCCACGGCAGGCAGGCTCACGGGCAGCGACGTCTGCGCGCCGGGCAGCAGCAGCAGCAGCAGCGCCAGGCACAAAGGGCGGCGCTGGCGTGCGCGACATGGCGGTGCGGCGCAGGGCGCCGGAGAAAAGCTTCCAACGTTCTGGAAGTCGTTGGCGCTTCGATGCAGCTTCGACGTGCTGAGCGGCGGGCGGGGAGCAAGGAGCGCCCCAAACTGCATTGGTGCGGCGAGTCGTTCGCTGTACCCACACCGCGACCGCTGGCCTCCCTCCACATCGCAACGCCGTGAGCCCCGCCCGCTGCTGCGCTCTCCTTCTGCACGCTCTGCGGTCCTGTCGTGCGCCCGATGCTGCTCAGAGGCCACTTGCGAGGGCGCTGCTTGCGACACTGACGCTGCACCCACACGCTGCCCCGACGCCGCTGCCCGCGCAGTCCTCCTGCTCCTGCGCCGCGCCGCGCACACGCCCGCCGAACGTCCCTGCCGCATTGCGACGGCCAGCGACCGCGCCTGCCCCCAGCGTTGCCTCCGCGCTTCGCACCTTCCTCAGCCTCGCTGCGCCAGTGCTGCCGTGCGCCGCTGCTGCACCTGCTGCACGCGAGCGAGCCCTCGCCGCCCCGTGCCACTGGGCTCCCCGGTGCCGCGCTCGACGTCGTCGTTTCAGATTGCATCTCAGATCAACCGACACACTTGCGCCGCGCCCCGTCTCGATTAAGCCGCCCTTCCCGCGCGCCTGTGCACCGACCCGCGACCTCGCCGGCCCATTGCGACACTGACCTGCAACACCCTCCTGCACCCATCTCGACCCCCGACCCCGTCCACGACCGTCCCTTTGCGCGGCAGGCACCCGGACCCGGACTCCGTGCAGGCTGGCCGCCGCTGCACAAGCGGACATCATGGAGCATGGCGCGTGCAATGTCATCTACGTCGACCGTCGCGCCAACGACGAGCACGTCCGGCGGGAGACGCTGTCCAGCTCGCTCATCGCACGCACCAGCACCGGCAACGTGGGCCAGAGCTACTTTGCGCTGGGCAAGTCGCCGCCCGTCGAGGTCCACGCCAACGTGGAGGCCATTCTCTCCGTCTTCAATGAAGGTAAGCAGCCCGTGCAGCGCCGTCTGCTGCCATTGCTCACACGCACCCAGTCCACATTTGCGGTTCCGGCCGATCGTGCCTGGCCAAGGTCGCCCAACTCGCCCATGGCTCCAACATCCCGACCTTCGTTATCCTTGATGTGCCCTACGACGAAGAGCTGCGTCTGAAACGCCTCTCGCGCGAACCACGCACGCCGTCCCCTACCTCCACGCGCGTGATGCGAGCAGACACCAGCGAGCCGGATGACACGTACGGTTCGCATCTGCTCACACACGTGTCTTCCGAGATATCCTCTCGGAACTTTTCCAAGCTGGTGGTTCCTGTTGTCATGTTGACTGGCCTGTCGAGTGAATCCGCCTCTGCCGCCGCCCCTCCATCAAGCCTCAATAAAACCCACGTCCTTACCGATTCCGTCCGTTTGTCCAAGTATTTCGATTCCGGCGCAGTGGACGTGCTTTCGAGCCCACTGTCAATAGATCGCATGCAGGGGCTGGCTGTCCATGCCTACCGGTTACAAAAAGAGGCGGCACGCGAAGAAGCCAGCTTTCTGACGACTAAGAGGAACAGAAAGCTCTCATGGGTCGGCGTGGACGACGCCAAGCCATATGCATACTTGCGCGAGGCTATGGTCTCCAATCTCATGACTGGTATCTGCAATCCAGAGACAGTGGGTGATTCGATGGAAGCCTCGTAAGTTGTGCAACTGATCTTCGTCTAGCCCGAGACTTATACGCATAGGGATTTTGAACTTGAGCCAGAAAGACGGAAAATTGTCGAGGACAAAGTCTCCACCTGGGCATTTTCAGCGCACGATTTCACTGATGATGAACTCATATACGCCGCGCTAGTCATGCTGCAACATGCGCTTTCGTCACCAGAGCTTGCTCAGTGGCAAATGACTGAGGATGAACTCATCCTGTTTCTTTTGGCCAGCCGTACAGCGTACAACGAATTCGTCAAGTATCATAATTGGCGTCACGTTGTTGATGTTCTTCAAGCGCTATTCCACTTCATGGTGCGAATAGGCACCTTGCCTGCATACCCTCCGACCGACAAAGACCCGGCCAACGAGAAATCGCCCATTGCACATCTCCTGAAGCCTTTCGATGCGCTCACTCTGTTGATTTCTGCGATTGGCCATGATGTCGGTCACCCCGGAGTCAACAACGCGTTCTTGGTCGCGCTTAATGCACCCCTGGCACAACTCTACAACGACCGATCCGTACTCGAATCCTTCCACTGCGCTGCATATTCCCAGATTCTCCGGCGCTATTGGCCGAAAGTCTTCTCTGACATTGCTATGCGCAAACTCATGATCAACAACATTCTTGCTACGGACATGGGTCTGCACTTCAAATACATGAGTGATCTAGGTGGTTTGCAGGAGAAGATAGCACACGACAAAGGAGTGACTGATAGCTGGAGTGTCAAGGTTCGCGAGGAACACAAAGACTTGACTTGTGGGCTTCTTATCAAGTGCGCCGATATTTGCAACGTTGTAAGTCTAATCCTGCAAGATATGAATATTGCATCACGTACTGATTCAAGCACCAGGCGCGCAAGTTCGAGACAGCTATCAAATGGGCCAATATTCTCACCGACGAGTTCAGCAACCAAGGATTCATGGAAGAAGAGCTGCAGATGCCATCCTGTCTATTTGGAGGACCACCTGTGCAGGATGATCTGATCAAGCTTGGCGAGTCACAGATTGGCTTCATCAATATTTTCGTAAGGCCTCTCTTCGAAGCTGTGACCGACATCCTTCCCGCAATGCGTTTCGCTGTCGACGAGATATTGACCAACAAATCGACGTGGGAAACTAAGATTGAGCAAGAGAAGCAGAGGAGGAAGACAAAGGGCCCTCTGCACTTTAGCCTGATGCAAGCATCATATGCATCAGACCCCACTCCAAGTCCATTCTCTGACGGCCCTGGCCCTGGACACCACAACGCTCTCACTTCAGCACCGCCGCAAACTCAAGAAGAGGTTCATCGCCGTGGCTCAAGTGGATCGGTTCATGGTGGCACTCAATATTCTCACAGGTCTTCTGCTGCGCTAGCCCTTGCGTCGCGTGAAAACCAGAGCTCTTCCCGGCGAGGTAGCGGCGATGCCAATCTTACAGCGATACTCGTTACACATACTCCCAATGCGGGTGATGGAACGCCCAGGGGCTCGGATACTGGCATGGACGATCGTACCAAATCAGATCGCAAGGACACGTTGACACAATCATCCTCCAAGAAAAAGGATCGAGACAATGGCAGGCCAGTGACGGCTCCAGCTCCAGCCAGGCGCAGTCAAGGTAAGCCTCGCAGTACATGCATTCAGCTGACAGTTCCAATACTGATCTACGCAGTGATCGAACTCTTTCCCGAACAACAGTCGTCGCCCCAGAGCCACTCAGAGATAGATCTCTCGCAGGGCGCTAACGGCAATCTTGAAGACTCCAAACTGCAGCAATGGGACAGCAACAAAATGAGTGGTGAGAGTGGCGCGACACGATCCGATCTATCACGCGATTCCAGCTGGTGGCGACAAATGAGCTCGAAACGACGCGGCCCACGAGACGCCAGGAACGGTGATCATGACACGCCATATGCCCCTAGAGAGTCGATGTTGAGCCCTCCTACGTCGCATCCCGAACCGCATGCGCACACGTCGACCGGATTGAGCCCTGGCAGGAAGAACACATCTGGACGCTTCAAGAACTTCTTCAAAAGGAAGCCCAGAGGGCATGAGGAACAAGGAAAACAGCTTTCGAGCTTCGGCAGCTCCTCACAACTTCGAACAACACCGCCTACTAGCGACCAAGGCCGATCTCTCAATAGTGACGACTGAGGCCATTGATACAGCCAGTCAGATCCAGATATTCGGCAACGCATCGGTCAACAGAGATCATGCTTCACTGAAAGGCGACCACCAGAGTCCGTAACTACAATTCCCCTGAGCAACAAGGCTCCTCTCGTTACTGCTTTTCTTGAGTCACGATACCTCCGACGCATGACATGACGGGCGTACGAAAAGCTCCGCTTACTGTACTTTTTACTTTGTTTTACGCAATCATTGTTGACCTTCGGGTATCTTAACAGATCATCTAGGCGCGGATAAAGCGTCCCCCCACCCTCCAAAGACGGGCGTTCTTGGGTCTTCTAATGGGGCTAGTTCTCTTCGAAAGCTGCGAAGCTTAGCATTTGCATAATGCATTTTGGTTGTTGTCAGCGCGCGACGCAAGAGTCGTTCCATGTTTAAGGAGCTGCAGGCTGGAAGGTGAACTTGCAGCTTGGTTTTATTTGTTGTTGAAGGGCCGCGTGGGCAGGGACCTACTAGAAATGGCGCCCAGGCATCGCACAGTGTTGGCACGTTGGACAGAGCGAGACGCAGCAGACTTTCCTAAGATCATACCTGGATTCCTCTGCGACTAATGAGCTATTTCGTAATGAATGTATATTCTTGATACCCTCGAGACGTCGCTTCTCCGTTCCTGGGTGTTCTGTAAGTTAGTGGTGTCTTCATGAGCAACTCCATCTGCTTAGGTCACGCATCGCCAACACTAATATGAGCAGGGGTCCTCTCTTATTCCTTTTGTCGAGATTGATTTGACAGCTTGTCATTGGTCCCTTACCGTGGGGTGTGGACAGTCGGTTCAACTCACGCATCATTTGCACGCACGGCACCAAATTAAAGAATCCAAGCTCTATTCAAAGCCAGCTGATCACCAGTATCAATATACAAGAAGATAGTCCTATCAAAGCCACCGCTCCCCGCACCGTCGCAGAACCGACCACCATCGCTCCTCCCAATTTAACCACTCCACACAGCCGGACCCGGGGGCTTGTAGTTAGTGGGAATCGGGTAGTAGATGCCAACCAGAATACCAGCGTCCGAGGCCTTGTAAGCACCCGGGAAGCTAACGAGCGGGCTAGGGTTGCCGCTGCCGCCGTTCTGGACCTTGATCTGCGCGCAGGAGATGTAGAACTGGGCGCCGCCGGAGGTGCCGGCGCTGTGCAGCGCAATGTGCTCGGCGCGCAGTAGGTACTCGCCCGACGGCAGCGCCTTGGGCAGCGTCACGGGGATCTGGTTCTTGTTCATGCTGGCCCACGAAATCGAGTCGCTCTTGACTATCGCTTCTTCCTGGTAGATCTTGAACCACACGTTGCCGCTGCCGTCCCACGCCTCGGCTGTCTGGCCCGTGGGCACCTTGGCCATGTAGAACTGCATGGGGCCTGGGTGACTGACGGAGGAACCGGCGTTGAAGGCGACGGTGTCGCCGGCGTTGACTGTCTGCGTCTTGGCGGATGTGCCGGGCGCGAGGGGGTAGCAACGGATGGCGTTGGAGGTGACATCGGTCACGGGACCTGAAGGGTATTAGATGGAGAATCATCTTGATTGGGGAATGTATAGGGACTACGTGCCATTGGACTGGTAGTTGGCGGTCTGGCGGACATACTGCCAGTTGCCGGTGCCTTTGCCGTTGACGACGAGCTCGGGGAAGGTGTAGTGAGCGACGGAGGTGCCAGTCAGGGCAAGAAGAGAAAGAAGGACAGACTTCATGGTGAAGACGAGGCGAAGATGTATCTTGCTGCTGAGAAGGTTTGAGGCCTTTCGAGGCTGTACTTATACGCCACTAGATCCCCAGTGCGCCCTTCATGATTTCCAGGTGCTTCACCTGATGCAACACCCCAAGAGTAAACACTATGGCGTTCGCGACCGGACCCGCTCAACCGGCGGTAAAACTGAGCATAGATGAAAACGCCAGGTTCTGCCGAGCCTTTAGGATGAAACACGCAATCAATCCGCCGATACCGTGCACGAATTATATGGAGACGAGTCCAGATGCAGGTGCTCATTGGAGAACAAGACCGGATATTGAAACATTTGACCTTGACGTTTCCCAAAAGGTCATTGACAAGTACCGGCGGCACGTTGCGATGATGCCGGAAACATTACTGAGCAGTCGCGTGCGACCTGAATTAAAATTATACTATCGAGCCTCATATGCAACTCCATCTCGATGCATGTTGTACAACATTGGTCTTGTCAAGTGTTCAATCGCTTAAGCAGTCAGCCCCTCCTGGGTCGCCTTGCCGCCCTCACCAGTACCAGGCTTTCCCCCTGATCTGTGACGCGCGCCTGCATCAACTGGCCAGTCATATGCAGGACCATCGCCTTCAATGTTGTTCTCTTCTCTCCACTGCTTCCTATCTGTAGTACCCACACCAGGCCCTCTGTAGACGCTGCCGTACCAGCCGCTGGCCCAGTCCTTGCCAGGACCCTCTTTAGTCTGCTTAGTCGCGTGCCTCTTATACCACTTGCCGTAGGTGAGTAGGTAGTAGAGACGGAAGCTCAGCAGAGCGAACTTGTCGCGCTCGAGGTCCTCGGGATACTGAGCTCCAAGATCCACAGCAGCAGCGATACCAGACATGACAGCGACTTCGTGGGCGTTGATGAGTGTCCAGGCAGCGGCGAAACGAGTATGCTTGCGGCCTTGCAGCAACCACATCCAGGGAACGACAAACAGGTAGTGAGTCCACGAGTGGCAAAGCTGGTGCCACCAGTCCTGTCGGATGATCTTGTCCTTGTTGATCTCCTCGCTGCTCCAGAGGTGGCCATCGCGGTGCTTGTTTAGATATATGGTTTGGAAAACGTGTCTGTCAAAAGGCATGTCTGGTGGGAACTGACTCTGGTAGTTGGTGCAGTCGAAGCACATCTCCAGTTTCGTGCGATCTTGGTCATACATCTTGATGTAATACATGGGTTTGAATGACTCCTTTGCGTATTTGAGTCTGTGAGATTGGTCGACGCCAGAAAGACTCGAAGCAGCCTTCTTGTCGTCATAAAAGTTCTCATAATGCTTCTTCATGTAGTCGCTGTCCCAGTGGGTGATCGTGATGTCGTCAGAGAATTTCGCGGATCCAAGTACCTTTTTCTCGCGGAGAGACGCACATGGCGTGAGAATGCGCTTAGCAGTATCGGCGCTACATGTGTTAGCATTGGCTTTGGAAGGGGGGTGTGGTACATACAGAACGCAGAGAACAATCTCGTCGTAGTGTTCAGTCTCTTCGCGCGCGTCCTGGTCGGCGTTGACAGGGTCGTTAGGAACCCAAGCGCTATTAGGGTTGTGCTGGTCCGGGACTGGTGTGCGTTTGATTATCTTGACGATCACGCCATCCTTATCTCGTTTGACTACTCTTGTAACTTCCGTTGAGAGCCTGATGTTTACCCCCTTCGAAATGAGGTCGTCTTTCCACTTCCCGTAGAATTCTGTGAACTTGGGAAATACGACCATAGGCGGCAGATTGCTTGCGATGCTAAGTTTGTCCGGAGGATACCAGAGGCCGTACGTTGGACTTGTGACAAGACGCTCAAGAACGATGAACGGGACATTTGGTGTCTCGTTTCCAGTTCCAAGAAACAAGGCGATCATAGGCATGGCAACAGTGTTGGTGAACTCCTCAGAAAACATCCACAGCTTAAACATATACTTGATGGGTATCAGGGCAAAAATGACTTCGAACCAGCGCGAAAAGGTCAACATACGCTTGAACCTCTTGATCTCTGCTTGGTGTCGTGCAAGTAAGTCGGTAGGGAACACATTGGTCCAAAAAATGTCATCTTTGCCGAACGAAACGTGGAGGTTGACTGGATCAGCGCGATGCCCTTGTCGTGCGAACATAGTCATGGTGTGGTGGAAGATGTAACTTCCTCCTTGGACACCCTGGTTCAACCAGCTGGCTCCATGGCGTTCTTTGTCGAGCGGAATCGAGAAGGCCTGTCCTCCACAGTAATCCACTGCATCGATGAGAGTAACATCAAACTTGTCTGGGTGCTCAGCAAGGTGATGGGCACATGACATGCCTGAAGGACGAATTAGACCCTGCATCTTCCAGTAGTGTGATCCCAAACTTACCAGCAGCACCGGCTCCCACAACCAGCACTCTTTTCTTATCTCCAGGTCTGGCCGCCATGTTTGCAACTGGCAGTATTGGGTCTGTGTCGCGTGGTGGTGGCATTGGAATCAGTCGCTTTCGAAGACAAGGCCTGGGTCGCACATGTCCTGTATTTGTTCTCTTTGCAGCACCGACACACACGTCGAATCAATCCTGGCGTCATGAGCGTCTGTATATGGCAAGCGGCGATCTTGGAGCCACGATCGCGCTAATCCTAACAGACAGTAAGTGCGACTTTAACAGCACTAAACTATACAGTTTGTATGACGTCATCTCAAGCTCAATTACCACCATCACAGCGTCACAACAAGGAGCACAACGTGTAGCCACATAATGTGAGTTGTTCGTTTCGTTTGACGCATATCACTCGTTTAGAGCGCATGCATCCCTCTCAGTGTTCGAGCTGTCCAATCATCCACTTCGCTGGTGCTTGGCTGTGCTCCGTACATCTCAGGGTATGCTGAGTGTTCTGCTTGCAGCGGTTGCGTCTCCTGCAAGTCGAAAAAATCTAGGCCTAGATTAGATGCCGCATTTGAGAACCAGTCTTCCTGCACATCCGATATTTCAGGCGCTGTCTCAACGGAACCAAGCATTGTCTGGTCTTCAACGACTTCAAATCCCGCTGAGAATGCGTCCACCGATGAATCGTGTTCCTCGGCTATGCCTGTTAAAGTCGCAAACTGTGTCGCGATCCTGCCAAGAATCTTGTATGTGGCAGCAAGCTTCATTCCGCGGATATATCTCAGCATGGCACGCACCATTTCCTTCCGCTCAATGTCCTTCGCGGTATCCTGTTGATTCTTTGGACGAGCGACGAAGTCGGCGCATACGATTAGGACCGAGTGAAAGACGAAGAACAGATCAAGCCAGGAGTAGCCGATCATTTTCAAGCCAGCGCCTTCCATGATGCACCTTAGGCTTTGATGAGCTGACTCCACACAGTCTTCGCTCAACGCGAGTGTTCTTGAATACTCTTCCGAGTAGTGTATCTGCTTATCTTGAAGATAGGCTATGTTTCTCTCGGCTTTTTTGACTAAGAAGTCTCGCGATACTATGCACCGGGTGTAGTAATAATACACGTGGCAAAGAAGGACTCTGGCCTTCTGTTCTGGTGGCAACGTCGGCACGTAGCTCAACGATAGCTCCGGCGGGATTGCTTGTATAATGGTGTTGCATTCCCGCATCAAGGACTCGGCCAGGGCCAGTGAAGGGGATCTTTCTTCGGAAGTACTGGAGTCAAAATATGCTCGTTGACGAATCGTATACGACATTCGTATTAATTTGTAAGAATAGTCCAGAAAGTTTGCAGACATGCTCTTTTGCTCGATCATAGGAGCGTCTGGTATCCTCATTGCCATCTCTCGGTCATCAATGGCGGTGGGTCGACCGAGGATGCTGCAGAGTATTCGCTCAAAGGCGTAGATGGACCACCACACCTGCCTGCGCGTGTTTCGCTCGATCGGATCAAATCCCACGTTTGTAGCATCACGATGCAGACCCATTGTTATCGCCTGTTCAGATTCGTAAGCATTGGATTACCATGGAGGAACAAGAAACTTACCATGCGTGTAGCCAGCCCGATTAGTAGCCAAGAGCTGCTAACTTGGCCAATAGTGTGGTGATGAACATTGAGCAGTACTAAAGCCTGGACGTTGACGATCGAAGTTGTTATGAGCAGGTGTCGAAAGTAGGACTTGACAAAGTTGAGGTATTTCACGCGTAGTTCCTGTGACCGCTCCGGGTCGTGCTCCTGCAGTTGCTGACAGCCAAACGAAAAGACCAGGCACAGACATACGAGCCAACATATTTCTGTAGAGTCTTTGATCAGCTCTGATCTCTTTGAGTACGTGGCTTCTAAATGGAATTGGAACATGCTCCTGTGAAACAACGGGAGATAGATGTGAACGTGGTCGAAGTAGGCCGACACGAGCGCGTCTGCAAGTGACCTGGATGGCAGTAAGTCCCCAATGGTGTCTACAGTAGGTTCGCTGAGTGTTTTCTGTACGTCATCTGTCATTTCCATCTGCGTTCTCGATCGCTTGCGACTTTTACGACTAAGGAGCGGCGATTCCGTGCCTCCAGACCCGCCAATCGTGTACTCTTCGTCCGAGGGGTATGTGCTGGCTCGCTGTAAAGAAGGGTCTGATTCTCTGCTGGTGGCATCAGACGCAGATCCCCGGAGTGTTGGTACGTTCCCGCCGGCAGCCCTCCACCGTGCTACCAACACTCGAATGGTCGTGGCAAGACGGAAGCTGCTGGACGGGCCGAAGTAGTGCGGCACTCCATGCCGCGTTGGGATCAGTTCTTCATGGATGCGCCCTGCTTGCTGTACTTCTGAAAAGGGATTGTGGCGTATCTCTCTTGTTGTAGAGATAGGAGAGGTTGTGGAAGTGGACTCCGTAGCATGTGGCGAGATTATCGACTGCCCGGAGTGTGGTGTCGAAAGGGGTCGCTGTGTCTCCTGCGAAGGTCCTGGTTGAGTAGGACTGCTAAAGATATTTGCCGGTCTGTAATCGTCGCTTGCTGGCATTGGAATGTTCCGCTCTGCCGCCAGCTTGAACAATACGTTGACGTCCTGGACATTGTCGTGAGGGAAAAGTCCTTTAACTAGGGACTCCAATGCTCGGTATCGAAGGCTCAGAGTCTCCACGCTCCCATAAACACGTTGCTTCCGGGGAAGCTTGGACTCGCACAACACCCCACTCATCTTGCAGTCCGCACATGGTTCGTCTGGGTTGTCTCGAATACATCGTGCTCTCCGGACTTTGCATCGGTCGCAACTGACGAGCGCTCGCTTTCGTGGTGCTGGATCGGCCTTGTCGCGGCTTCGTTCGGACATGTTGTTTCACGACTCATGGGCATTTGTAAATAGGGATGAATACTTCCGGTTGTTGTCAGAGACAGCTCATCGTTCCAGTCCTCATCTTTCAAAATTAGGCTTCGGAGCTGTGAAGCCGAATTGTCCTGTGAGCGGGAGACTCCACAGCGTCATGGTGCTCAAGTACCTATCGGACTGTCCTCCGTGATTGGGGCCAGGGTGAGTTTGGGCGCCGTGTGGATCAATGCCATGTCAGTCGCAGAAGCGAGCACAGCCTGTGAGCAACTTGCTTGCATGTGCTAGAATCCGAATGCGATATTTCCTCCACTGCTGATGAAGATCGTGGCAGCTGTCAAACTCTCAAACGTCTTCATTTGGCTCCCATTATCGCTAGGGTAACGGTAGTTCGCACTAGGGAAGTCTAATGGCGGGTTCCTTCGATTCCAAATGGACGGGGCATTTCGGTTCTACACCTACCGACGGTAGACTAATGGTCCCGATAATGCAATGCACCTGAGCTTAAACTCTACACAGCCTCTCATGATATCGTCCTTGAAACACAGACCCTGCCTTTCTGCGGGCCACCCGGCCCGGTCGGTGATGCCCTGAACGGGGGACAACTAACGTCTCGGATTTAACCACCTTCGAAAGCTGAGTGAAGCCCAGGCAAAGCCTCAAAGCACCACATAGTTCTAACTGTGATGAAAAGCAGTTGCAAACCTCGGAAGTTCACAACCACACAAGAGCGCCTGCAGCTGTAGATCTGCGCGTTTACCTGCAAGTCCCCTCTTATGTTTGCGGCATGTAATACTATTGCGTGCAAGATATGCAACCTGAGGGGGGTTGGGGGGGTATTTAATGGCACGGCCTGCGCCAAAGCGGCGTCCAGAACCGCGCGCAAGCTGACTTCGGGACGCATGCGTTGAAAGGCCATCCGTATTCACCGCATCGACGAATTATGTCGCTCGAGTATGATTCAACTTCCCATGGATACGTATTGAGGCGAGGTCCAATAACTTGCTGTTACTAGTCGTGATCGGGCTGATCTAAGTCGATCATCATCTTGGCTATGCGCAATTTGGTGCAACACTTCGTCCATCAAGTGCCGGGTTGGGAATTGAAGTTGAGCAGCAGTATCTGTTTGAAGTCGGCTACAGTCTTCCGAAACTTGTAGTTGATTATGTTACCCAGTGTATAAGTTCGTTTCTTTATAAATATGTCTTGTTTCACGTGTACCCCAATACCCCAATCACCATGTCGACCACTCAAGACACTAGACAATTGCGCCCTTACGCAATACCCATAGACAGTCGCTACGATGTAATATACCATGTGTTGTCCGTAAGTTTGCAGCTTTCACGCTAGGTTCCGACAGCGAGCATGCTCGAGGGTAACATTTGCGTGGCGAACAACGAATAGCGCGAAATCCACTGCATGTTCATGTAGAAGGAGGTCTATTGAGATCCAGCCAGGCCTTTCCAAATGTACGATGCGACTGGCTGGCCTGTCGACGTTGGCAGTGGACCCATTGGCGTTTCTGTCAGAATATCAGTGGTGGACCCCATCCGCTCGGGAGAGGCTAGTTGTGGACGTGGTCGCGTAGGCGAGGCTAGACACCGTTCGTCGACACATGTTCCACTGCAAAAGTTGCCGCAGCCTCCACAATGATTGTGCTCGGTTTTGGTGTTGAAGCAGCCACCAATGCATATGTCTGGTCGGCCAGGCGGGCAATGTATGGACCCAAGAACCGGGTATTCAGTCGAGACAGTCATCACTAATACCGGTATCGGTTTCGTGGACACCAGCGTTGCAAATGGTGCCACCGTTTCCGTGATAGTTGCAGGGTGGGTCCATTTTGGCGAGGAGAGTCTTGGGGATATCGTCGCCCTAAATGGGATACAAACTTTGAACATGTTCCGCGTGTAACCGGTTGAGCAAACCACGGAACCCGGCTCGTTCGCACATTCGTTATTACCATGGAGCTTTGTCAAATCGGGACAAATACAGACACCGTTGTGACATTCATGTTCACAGATCTCATTGCATGCGCCACAGTGTGCCTTGTCTGTTGTGAGACTAACACACCCGCTGCCTGGGCAGAAGGCGAGCATCTCCGGGTAGCGAGAGCATGAAAAGAACGACGTCTTGTCACCAGAATGTGCGAAGGGATAAGTCAGAATCGAGACTAGATAAATGGTGCTTGCGGGGATTTTGATTAGCGCACTTCCCTCAGCAGTTGGAAACGGGGTGATCATTGGCTCGATGGTCTTACGCGACGTTGGTGGAGACATCGAGCCTAGTACTGATGCGGCATATAAAGTGAGAGGCGTCATCGGCGGTATTGAGTTTGAGACAGAGTTGCCAGTCATGAAGCTCATGGAATGCTTTCTTTTATGCGACGAGGGAGATGTCAGGTTTGACGTCACCAGAAAGGGTCCGGTAGTGGTTCCTGTTGGAGCAGATGTCAGGTTGAACAAGGGTGGTGTGGAGGAACTTGTTACTGGTCCATCCAGATGCGTAATGAAGCTGCCAAGGAAGCTCGTTTCCGCAAGGTTGGGAGAAGGGAAGAAAGTCAATCGGTCATCTGAGACATATGACATTTGTAAGTCACTATTGCCACCCAACTTGTATTGCGAGGCTCCAAGTTTGGGTGATGCTGAGTCTGATTGCGAAGTCCCTGATAACAAAGTGGACTGTAAAAGGCTAGTACGCAAATCTGCATATCGACTCGTACTTGTATTGACGAGATCCACAAAGCTCAAATCCTGCGTGACCAAAGAGGACTGAGCCGAAGTTTGCAATGGTGCTGTGGAGAGATCCAAATGGATCATTGCGGCTGAAGCTGACGTCTCCGGCTTCCAAGCAGAGCTCGAGTCAGTCACTATTTGCATGTTGATGGGAGTCTCAGCAGAATCGAACGACAATGAGTCGCGCGAAGGATTGACTGACTCGAGCATGATCCCTAGCGCATTCTTAGCCCTGGATTCTGAATCACCCTGCATCATGGTGTGGAGTACAGCGGTAGAAAGAGCAGCTGAGCTGGGCAACGACCATAAATTCGCTGTCAACCCTGACGGGCTTGCTGAGTTTGCGCTCCAAGGTCGACCAATCACAGACGAGAATGTCGAACTTAGAGCATCCATCATTTGGGTCTTCGAGAGTACCTCGTTGGCTGCGAAACCATCCGGGCTGATGTAGTTCGGCGGTCGTGAGGTTTCCAATCTGAGATTTGTTTGAACAGTAGTAGCAGGCACTTGGTCAATCTCTGTAGTCGCAGCAGCAATTTTAGCACTTGAAACTTTCGAAGACGTTGTAAGTACAACGATGTTTGACAAGAGCGTCACAGGATATCCCCCGCGTGAGGTGTCTGTTAAGCTCGATGTCTCCTTTTTGGTGGTGACCAAAGACTCGGACAGGCCTAACGTTGATTGCGTCAACTTGGATTGAGCGGGTGAAGGAGTTGGCGAAGGCATAACGCTCACGGTAGATACCATGCTTATGCTTCGCACCATAGTAGGTTTGAGAGTTCCCGTTCTTTCTATACGGGTGTCTACGTATGTAAGAGTTGGTGACGAGACTTTGGGAAGAATTGGGTTGAGCGGCAATTCCAGTAGCGAAATAGCTGAAGCAGATTCCGTGAAGGTTAACAATGTTGCTGAAGATTTATCCACTGGCAGCATCGTACTTTGATTGAAAGTGCTCTCGGTCATATCATGTATCGATGAAATCTTTGCCTCGGGGTCTGGAGAATCTTGGCGTAACGAAGTTGCTTGTAAAAGCGGTAGACTAATAGTCGACGTGTATGAAACCGATGCTTGTTGCGAGGACGAAGTATCTGCTTGTGGCTTTGTAGAGAACGCTCGTTCCGAGGCTCGAGTGGTTGAGAATGATGGAACAAAGGGTATGGTATGAAGGACCTCAACATGGGTATTGAGTAAAAAAGGTGTAGCTGATGCAGACTGTGTCGACACTGGCCCAGTTATGGCAACCTCGGTTGTTAAATCTTGCAGCCCTTTACATCCGTCTGGCAAGAAATTCTGGCCTCCTGGATACGCCTCACTGACGATATAATCGCATAACAAACTCGCTCCGAAGATAGCAAAAAATTGAACTCCAGGGCGAGGTAACGGATGATTGCTATATATCGATGATACGCAGTTCTTGAGCACCTCAGGCGTAAATTGACCGGGGACAGAACCTTCGAAGTAGCTTTGGCAAATTGATGAGATAACATCAGCCACAATTTTGCTCGCAAATGCTTCTCCATTTATCCCCTGATCGCTTGCCTTCTGCGCAAGTTCGGCCCCAAACCCTTCAGCGAAAGCTCTGGCTTTGTCTGACGTCGCTCGTATAAGACGTTCATGTCGAGAATGGGTAGCTGAGGTATATACTCCGGAAGTAAGGGTGAGGAAGACGAGGGTGAACATGAGGAGTAGAGACATCTTCGATATGGCACATCGTGCGCCTGTGCCTCCAAAGACGAGAGGCCTTTGTGTCGCGCTTGCATGAGGACGATGGAATGATGTCGATTTGGGTTCATTGTGTGTGCTCACTCTGGACAGACCCTTGACGTTCGGACATAGGTTTGTTTGGCTATCGTCATCCACTAGTGTTCCGTGCTTGGTGCCGTCACTTGTCAAAGAGAACTTAGCGCAACCTCCAACTAGAACATCTTGGTCTTGAATGACCCAAGTATCTGGCTCGTTCTTCATCGCTGGGCTCCAGGGGTCCACTTCGATTTGATTGAATGTGAAGTTTGACTGGTACGAAGGTGTTCCAGATTGACATTTAAAGTCGTTCGAGCATATGAGACGGCTGCTTCCATCCGCGTGACATGTAATGTCAAGGAAATTGCCATTTAGACTCGAACAAGCTGGACCTTGACAGCTGTATGAGAGTTCAAAACCGTCGCTTCCTGAGTCGCAAGTGATCAAGGCTCCTTTCGCTTGTGTGGCGATACCGTTTGTAGCTTTGATCGTGTGAGCCATGACTGGACGTTTCGCTCGTGATTTGGAGTCTTTATCTTAGGAACTTTTCTGCTTCGGAGCTTTAAGGAGGTGTACGAAAGGTGAGATGCAAGTTTGGCGAATCCCAGAAGTGAACCTTCAAGGTCGGCAAGCGTGACCACAAGATCTGACCTTCGTATTGAGGTGCCAAAGCTTGAGACAGTGGTACGTATATGAAGGAACCGGAGAAATGGTGGCTGATAAATATGTCATTGTACCTCAGTGGCACCCTGGTGTCGAGAAGAGAAGGGATAGCTGCGACAGTATTGCCAGTCCTACATGTAACGTACTGAAAGTTGTGCCCAGATTCAATCAAGGTATAGTCTCATTGGTGTTGCATCGAGACAGATCGTTACGCACGACCCGGTGTAGCGTACATTAACCTCTGCAGTAAAGGGCCAGCTAGAGACTAGATCGTGGTGGTGAAATTATGGGGAGGAGTGGTCAGTTTGATACGAAATCTCTTGTTCTCGTTAATATGTTACAGACATGCTCGTCGACACTAAGCGACCCAGAAAGCTGATGTCCAGCGCAGTGCCACCGAAAATGTGGAAATGAACAGCAAAAACGCCCATCATGATAGAACTCCTCGACGTTCCTAGATAGCGCAAAGATTCGTCAAACGTGTAAATGCTCAGTGTGGAGTGCAACCCGTAACGCCCATATTTTGACGAGACCCAGATGATCTCAATTGCAAATGCAAGAGAAAGAAGATGTGATGGTATCGGCGTCCTTCAGCACCAAAACGCCTCCCAAATGCTTGTAAGAGAATAAATGTATCGGCTTCGACGATGGTGAGCAGATCCTCATCGAATGACCCCCCAATTGTCCATGCTGCTGAGTCCTCCAGTACGCTCCTTCTTTTTGAAAGCATTCCAGAATCGAAGCGTCTCGTCGCCGGCACCCGTGACTATGACTTGGCCATCTGGACTCATTGCAAGGTAGAGCACACGATATGTGTGCCCTGTTAACGAGACCACCTGTTGCATACTAGGATATTTCCAAACAATAATCTGGTTCTGACTGTAGCCATGGGTCGAGACAATTTCGTTGCTATTTTTTGACCACGCAAGATTACAGACCTGACTGCCCGTATCGAGGCTCTGAAGTAGATTCGCTGGCGCTGTAGGTGAGGTAGGAATATTGGCAGCACTGGAAGCTGATGCGGCTGCCGAAGCCGCAGCAAGGGATGAAGCAGAGGGGCCACTTGTCGAGATCAGAGTGTTCCAGAATTTGATGGTTCGATCCGCAGTACCACCGCCACTAGCCAAGAGGCCACGTTGATGAGGACTCCAGGCGATGGCTTTAACAGCGGCTTGGTGTTCGCTGAACTTAAATGTAGGCTCGGCGTTCAGTTTGTCCCAAACCATCAACTTGTTGTCATTGCCCCCGGAGGCAAGCTGTTGGTCTTCATGGTTCCACTTTAGGCCACAGATCTCCTGCTTGTGACCTACCAGCTTCCTAAGCCACTGATCAGGTTGTCGTACGTCGCGATGGTAGATGATACGATCTCTCGAGCCAGACGTAAGGATGTGTTCATTCCAGGCAAGGGCACCGACTCGAGCGGTATGACCCATCATCGTTCGTAGGCGGCGCTGAGTATGCGCATCCCAAATTTGCACTTGACCTTTATTTGTGCCAATGGCAATATGCGAGCCCCGTTGTATCCAGTTGACGCTCGTTACGGAATCGTCCTGCAGTTCACAAAGCTTAGTAACGCGGCCACTACTTGAGTTCCACATGTAAACACATGACCCCAATCCGACACCGAGAGTGTTTTGACTACCCCAATCGACGAGATTGAGATAGAAGTCGTCTGCTAGATCTGGCGCATCAAGAACCTTGTATGGAACCTTGGAGACAGCCCGTGGAGCTCTTTGGGGGCTGAGTAGCATACGTTGACTGCTGTATTTGATGGGTGATAAACTGTAGATGTCTGCACGCGCGTTGAGATTAAGTACGCCATGCCGGCTCGATGGTGTTCTCGACGGTGTTGGCTGGCCTGAATAGGAAAAGAGGTTCTTGTGAGGAGTAGACGGAGTCCCGCTTGGCGGTGGTAAAGAGCTCGTAGTCCTTGTCGGCGGAGTATGCGACCGTCCTCCAGACCGCATATTGCCGCTATCTGTGGGAGACAAGCGCTGTGATAGAGCCTGGGGTACAGAGTCCTCAAACATCTCCTGGCGCAGTACTGCTGAGTAAGTCCGGTTTGCTTCTTCGGCTAGAAACAAAAGGTCAGTCTCACTGTCTTCAGGGTACGTTGGCGCCAATGCTTACTCTTCTGAAAGTGCAGCTCATTGTGAGGCGTGCGTCTAGGCTTGGAAGGAGTCGCTGGGGAAGCATCGTCATGCAGCAGATTGAAACTAGCCTGCAAGTCCTGGCCTGCGCGATTAGGAATGAATCTGAGCTATACATTAGCTCGCTGCCGCAGCTCATCCGCATCATTAGGCACTCACCTATCGCCTTGTATCCGCGGTCTCTTGCGGCTGGGGCTAGCTATTGGTGTCCGCTCTCGTGCTTTGCCGGCCTGCTCGAAGTCCTTTAGGGCTTTTGACAATGCTGATGGGTCTACAGGCTCTGAACTGCGGTTGAGGCTCTGATTGCGCTTGTGTGAGGCAGTCGGTGGCGTCTTCGATTCAGGTGGTGAAATGAGTGTTGGTGTCGCATCCCCGTCTTCGTGCGCTGCCTCAGTTGGCTTTTCTACTGCTCCGCGTCGCGCCATTGTGCTGGATGTGCTGAATGCGCCGGATCGTAGTTGTTCCTGATGCGCCGGTTGGTGGAAGTGGAGAGCGCGCTCAAGGTCGAGAAGGCGTCGAGGTCGGGTGCTAGGTGCCTGAAATCACGCGATAAGGATAGTAGGTCCAGGCCCGGTGAAAGCGCAGAAGCGGCAGTGTGTGAGGTGAATGCGACGGTGAATTCGAATGAGAGTGTAATTGTAACGGGCGGTTGGTCAGGGTACTGGTCCAACTCTGGCTGCGCGGCGGCAGGCGTCGATGCGCAACGGGCCAAACAGTGGTTTCAATCCTCAGCGAGAGATGTGGCGCATCGCAGGGTCGTGAACAGTGGACTGTTTGGTGGGAGATCGCGATGGGCGGGGTGGCCGGGATGACTTGTTGTGAGGCCGGAGCTTTGATTCAGGATGGCCGCAGCGCCCAGGGACCAGGGGAGCAACACAACGAGCGCTCGAACGTCAACAGTGAGCGCGCAGGCAAGGAGACGCTGATCACGACCGTCCAACGCAGGGCAAGCTCGAGCTAGGCGATGCGGCGAAGGCTCACGATATGGCTGCTGCATGTGTCCAGATGCAGCGCGCCTTGTTGTTGTTGCGAGGGTACCTATTCGAGGGGGGGTGCTTTGTTTGGCTTGTCGCTGTTTTGGTCGCTCCTTCCCACGCGTTGCCGTCCTCGCAGCCAACCAATGACGCTTCTAGCGCGCTCGTCGCATCAATCGTGTCCCCCACACCGCGGGGGCCGTTTGACAGAACCTCCCGAGCCAATCCTATGTTCACCAAGCTTCAGCCGCTGCGAGCCACTCTACTACATCTGACGCCCATACGCACCTGCGCCCTTGCTTCTGCCCCCCTGTTGCGTTATATCGCTCTCCAAACCATGGCTGCCAGACCCTCTCTTCAAGCTGCCGAGGACTTCCTCTCATTCGTGAACGCCTCTCCCACTCGTATGTCGTCGCTCGCATGGCTGATGTCACACTCCATTGACGTTTATGTTAGCATTCCATGCTGTGAAGTCAGCTAAAGAACGCTTGGAGAAGGCTGGTTTCAAGCAGATCAAGGTACGTCTGCTGCTCATCTATCTTGCTCGGAACCGAAGAGGTCAATACTTCTTGTGCATGCATGCTTCTATCAGGGCGCATATTGTGTAGACAGCTTCCTTCATGCTCCATTTTGCACTATCTTTGTCGAGCCTTGGAACTGACAACTATCAGGAACGAGACTCTTGGGCACCGACCATCCAGCCTGGCGGCAAATACTACCTCACACGAAACGGTTCATCTATCGTCGCCTTTGCAGTGGGCAAGCTATGGAAGGCCGGTAACCCGATAAGCATGATCGGTGCGCACACAGACTCACCATGTCTACGCATTAAGCCGGTGTCGAAGCGACAGAGCGACGGGTTCCTCCAAGTCGCGTGCGAAACATACGGTGGTGGTCTGTGGCACACTTGGTTCGACCGTGATCTCAGTATCGCTGGAAGGGTCATGGTCCGAACCAAGGAAGGCAAGATCGAGCAGCGTCTTGTGAAGGTCGACCGTCCGATCCTCCGAATTCCTACTCTCGCTATCCATCTCGATCGTCAGGAAACATTCCAGTTTAACAAAGAGACGCAGTTGTTCCCCATTGCTGGACTAGTGCAGGCTGAACTCAACAGACAAGGAAAGACAGAGGAGAGCAAGGACGATGAGAAGAAGGAAAAGCCGTTTGAGCCGCTTGCGACACCATACCAAAGACACCATCCATACATCGTCGAGATCATTGCTGAGGAGGCTGGAGCCGCCCCAAACGACGTTCTGGATTTCGAGATTGTGCTCTACGATACCCAGAAGTCGGCGATCGGTGGTCTCAACAACGAACTCATCTTCTCGCCACGACTGGACAATCTCATGATGTCATACTGTAGTGTTGAGGGATTGATTAAGAGTCTGTCCGCTTCCTCGCAGCTTGAAAAGGCTTCAACCATCCGCCTCATTGCACTTTTCGATCACGAGGAGATTGGCTCGCAAACGGCGCAGGGTGCGGACTCGAATCTGCTGCCTGCGGTCATCCGTCGTCTTTCAGTCTTGCCTGGATCTGAGTCGAGCAATTCAGACAAGTCCTACGACAAGATTGAGGCTGACACAGCCACTGCTTACGAGCAGACGCTGTCCACCTCTTTCCTAATTTCTGCGGACATGGCTCACTCTGTACATCCGAATTATCCATCCAAATACGAGTCACAGCATAGGCCCGAGATGAACAAGGGTACCGTCATCAAGGTTAACGCGAATGCTCGTTATGCCACAAACTCGCCAGGCATCGTCCTACTGCAAGAGGCCGCTCGCCGCGCAAAGCCAGCATCATCAGGCCTGAGCAAGGAAGGTGTGCCGCTCCAGCTCTTTGTTGTCCGTAACGACTCGTCTTGCGGTAGTACTATCGGACCTATGCTGTCGGCGGCCATGGGTGCGCGCACTCTTGACCTAGGCAACCCTCAGCTCAGCATGCATAGCATTCGAGAAACTGGCGGCGCACACGACGTCGAGCACGCCATCAACCTTTTTGACAGTTTCTTTGAGAATTTCGAGGAATTGGAGAAGAACATCGTTGTCGACTGACTAGATGCCAAGTTGTGAAGGAGACCTATGTAGCACATAAACAAATACGAAGCGCTTGAGCACCATGATTGATGAGATTCGGAACGCCTCGGAACACCGTGACACGTCAACCGTTGATTCAGGGCCCCACCAACCACCACACCATAAGTGTCATCGTTCAGCTACCCGTCTTTCAGGTCAACAACATCACACTGTTACCCTACACACGCAGTTAGTGCCGAGTGATATGGCGCCCCAGTATCTTTCTGGCGATAGTGCCGCAATTGAGGAGTTCTTATCCAGGTTCGATGTACGGTATTATCCTGGCCCGCCTGAGCTTCGCTGACAATGACTGTGCAGGTGTTCTTGTTTGATTGTGACGGTACGCATACCTGGCGACTCATCTAGACGTTCTTTCAGCGATACTGCAACGGAGACTGATTGTGAAGAAGGATAGGCGTCCTTTGGTCTGGCGATCACCTCTTCGAAAAGGTCCCCGAGACGATTCAGATGCTGCGAAGCAAAGGCATGGTGCACGCATGTTCCGTTCAGCCACATCTACTGATTGGGTTATAGGCAAACAACTAGTGTTCGTGACTAACAACAGCACAAAATCGCGCGCAGACTACAAGAAGAAATTCGATAAGCTGGGTATCCCCGCCGAAGTGGTAATGTGCCGTACCCTCGGTATACCAACTTGCTAGCTAACTATATACTAGAACGAAGTCTTTGGATCCTCCTACAGCGCCGCCGTCTACATCAACCGCATTCTCAAACTACCAGGCCCGAAGAATAAGGTATTCGTTCTCGGCGAATCTGGTGTTGAGCAGGAATTGGAAGCTGAGGGCGTTCCCTACATTGGCGGGACAGACCCAGCATTCCGCCGAGACATCGAGCCGGAAGACTTCACAAACATCGCCAATGGCAGTATGCTTGATCCAGATGTCGGCATTGTGCTGAGCGGTCTCGACTTCCACTCGAACTACCTTAAGACCGCAATTGCATTCCAGTACTTGCAGCGCGGCGCAAAGTATCTTGCTACGAACATTGATAGCTCATTACCTATGGCGCACACGCTGTTCCCTGGAGCCGGATCATCGGGCGCTGGTCTGGCGAAGGCCATTGGGCGTGAGCCATTATCTCTGGGCAAGCCGAGTCAAGCTATGATGGATGCTGTCGAAGGCAAGTTTCAGTTCGATCGTAGCAGAACATGTATGATTGGTGACAGACTGAATACCGACATTCAGTTCGGCATTGATGGCAAGCTGGGTGGCACGCTCGCTGTTCTGACCGGTGTGAGTAAGAAAGAAGACTTTCTGGCGGAAGGTGCATCCACCGTGCCTACCGCCTATGTCAACGCTCTCGGCGACTTGATGGGTTAGATAAACACGTATAGATATACACGTATAGATCATAGTAGAGATACGCAGTAGGCAATTGCACACAGGTCGCATAGCGACGTCATCGTATAGTCCGTCCTTGAAGACCTGACTGCATGGCAATGTCGTAGCACCAGCCAGGTATGTGCATCTAGCATAGCTGAATCTGGTATAAGCATCCGTAATGCTGTGTTTGGTTAAATACTCATGCGTCTTTGCCAGGGCGCAGACACGGCTCACAACAGAGATGAGGGTTGACATCTTTACGCGTGTGCCGACTTTGGTAAGCGCCAACGCGTTCACGGGCGTGACTGGACGCGCTGACGCGCTGCTTCGACCCACTCCATCATCGCATAGCACCTAGCACCCAGCAACACACACCCACACACACATAGGACGATGATCCGCCACGATTACTCTCGAGTCGACCCCAAGCGACGTGCCAACCTCAGTCACAAAAAGAAGCAATTTGCCAAAGCAGAATTTCACGACCAGACATACGAGCACCGTCTCAACTTCTATGTACTACCACCGACGGCTGAGATCACGCTTGAGGAGTTCGAGCAATGGGCTATCGATCGTTTGAAAGGTACGTGAACATGTTCAGTGCCCAGCGAGTTTCTATGCTGATCTACCACCAACAGTGCTGTCCGAACTCGAAGCATGCACTTTTCGCAACAAAGGTCCAGAAGAGACCGCCGAATACATGAAGAGCATACTCGACAAGTACATGCCTATGCGAGCTGGCACGTCGAAAAGCCAGCACTTACAAGAGGAAAGGAAGAAGGACCACTATTCGCATTTCATTCTGCGACTTGCCTTCTCTGCAACAGAAGATCTGCGACGGCGATTTTCGAGGCTCGAGACAATGCTATTTCAGTTGCGCTTCAAGGACGACGACCATATCGAGAGACAAAAGTTTGTTCGGATCCTGAACCTGGAGTGGGAGGAGGTGCAAGAGACTGAGAAGAGGGAGCTGAAGGAACAGTTGCTGGCTGCCGCTGGCGGTGGCATGAAGAGTCGCGAAGAACAAGAGTGGTTCAAGGTCGACTGGGAGAGAGTTCCAGTGCTGGTGGAGCAGCGCAGGTTATTCGTCAAGCGGGGCAAAGCGTACGTTCCGCAGCGAGAGCAGATGAGCTTGGTAGTCGCCGAATTCACAAAGAAGCTAGACGAAGCACTAGAGGTATGCAGCGACCTCCTACAATGCACGAGTCTAAAACTAATAAAAACGTCAGCTCACATCTCGCGCCCTCCCCCGTCTTGACGAAGACGACCGCCTCGCACCCATCCTCGCCCATCTATCACAGTCGTTCACAGCACCCGATGCTGCCTATTCCAGTTCCGATGCGAATATTGACGGTCTCTCCACGATAAACGCCAATTCGATCGACGCCCTCTCACAGAACTTCCCTCTCTGCATGCGCAATCTCCATAATACATTGCGTGAGAACTCACACTTGAAGCATTTTGGGCGATTACAGTACACACTGTTCTTGAAGGGTATCGGCTTGAGTCTCGACGAGTGTATCATATTCTGGCGAAGGAGCTTCAAGCTCATGACCGACGACAAGTTCACAAAAGAATATCGCTACAACATCCGGCACGCATACGGTGACGTAGGTGGAGACAGCAATCGAAGAGGCAGGGGATATACACCCTACTCTTGCCAAAAGCTCTTGACGGAACCGCTTCCTGGCCCAGGCCAGACACATGGTTGTCCATATCGTACATTCACACCTGACAACCTCGTCTCAATCTTACAGCGGGTTGGTGTGAACGAGAGGGATCTACTTAAAACGGTCAGGGAGGATGTTGGCAAGCAGAGGTATCATGTTGCGTGCAATAGGGTGTTTGAGTGGAGCCATAAGAGGGAGATCAAGAAGGTGAAGGACGATGGGAGCTGGAGTGCAACAGATTTGGACACTATTGTTCATCCTAACACGTACTTCAAGAGAAGTTGGTTGCTGAAGCATTTGGGTGAAGGGAATGCTGGGATAGTCAACGGGGGGCCCGGGGACAGGATGGAGGAGTAAGATGACCCATTGTGCGTATGATTTGGAAGTTGTTTGATATGGGGTGTCTGGACAAAGATTATCCGGAGGGCAACTGTGATTAGTCGATTTAGAGTTGGCCTGAGCACGTGCAATTGCATTCACATCGTCTCTGTATTCCTCTCGCTCTCCTCGTATCAAAAAAAGCGCCAGGTCGCGGTTTGCCATATGCAGAGACATGTATAAGATCGAAAACCAGAATACTGGGGTCGTACGTGCCTCGGCGCTCTCCGGCGCGTATTCCTCCACACAACGCGTCTCAATAAGACCACAACCATGCACGACTGATTGCATTTTCGTTGCCCTGCTGTTACCCATGATAAAATGGGCTAGTACAAGACCCGTTATTGCCGTTCGAACGCGCCCTGTCAAGGCGCTCGCAGAACGCCACGCGTTTGTTTTTCCACGAGGATGACCTTCTTTCACTCCATTAATGCCGATGTACCTGACACCAGCGCACACATAAAGCCACCAACCGCATACATACAGGGCTTGACTGGATCCTGTCGAGACCTATGCGCTGGAGCTAAACGAGAGGTCTAGACGATGAGTTCCGAGAGGGAAGATCACGTCGCACAGCCCAGAACAAGAGCTACAGCAAGAGCCGCACAAAGAGTCACAGCACCAGACGCGAAGATTTCGGGCGCAACGAACCCGATCAGATGTAAAGATTGCAATCATGGCTTCGCGACTATCTCTATAGACGGTAGATGTGTTCCACTTCCTCACCAGGAGCCGGTCTGCACATCATGCGAGCCGTTCCGTGGTTTATACGAAACTTTGGAGTCCAGAGCATCAGAATATACAGCGTTGCTTGACAGAGGACCAAAGCACCACGGTCGCGCGTTGGCGCACGATAAGTACCGTAATGCAAGGGTCAAACTCGAGAATTTCGTGATCGCTACCGAAGCGTCCAAGGAAACGAGTTCTGAGGTGGCTCAGGCTGATTTGGCGAATCGAGGAGGTCCTGCACAAATCCAGTGCACAGATGACGCGGGTGTAGCGCATGAGCATGGCGATAGGCATCATGCTTTCAACGGAGATCCCGCGCCAACCGGACACGACTCACCTACGGAAGTCTCGCCTACGACGAAGCGCAAAGTCACACGCAACCCTATTACCTCGAATCTAGAGCGCAAACGGATCAAGTTCACCGAATCTGCCGAAGAGCGCTCGCAGTACAGATGCACTCTTGAGTTCTACCGTGGTGCAAAGGAATACCGTCCTGGCCGATATGGCGCAACTGAAGGATCCGAGTTCTTGGATACCAGTGGGTCCACCGTATCCTTTACCAAATTCACAGGTCAGAAGAAGATGGGCTCAATCTTCGTTGATGTCGAACCACGATCCAGTGTGGAAAGAGACAGAAGCGAGTCTCTCGTAGCGCCGAAGAAGGAAGAGCGCGAAGGCAAGGAGATACTGTGCGGACCTGAAGAGCCTCAACATGAGCCAGAGCACGGCGGGAACCAGACGATCAGCCGAGAGCTCCGGGCTTTACAACGGTCCTGGCCTTCGACTCCATCAGAGATAACAAGGCTACGACGAAACATCAAACGGCATGATGGGGACCATCGTAACTTTTCGAAACACTCGTTGAGCAAACCCTCTTTGGTTGTTTTTTTGAAAATCCCTTCGCTTATCAGAAGTGGTGCGTCTACAAACGAGGAAGGATCCATTCGAACGTCAAACCCCATGAACGACCATTGTTGGTCACCTTTTTCAAAAGACTCCAGTGAAGTAGCGAACGAAGCAACGAATGAAGCAGGGAACGAAGCAGGGAACGAAGCAGCAGAAGCAACAAACATCAAGGAGGTCCTAATAAACATACAACGTGAGCCGGACGATCTACAGAAGGTTGCTTCCTCTCCAAGACATAGAGACTCAGTCACGGCAGCTGTGCGCGGCTTTACCGACATATCGACCCCTTTGATCGCATTAAACGATACCAGAACAGATTGTGCTAAAGACGCCGAGGGGACTCAAGAAGAGGAAACTCTCGAGTCCAAAGCTCTTGACGCGATTGACCACAGTATCTCACCCAATTTGCCGCAAATGGCTGAAACTGCACAACGAGGCAATATTGTGATCGAGCAGGCTCAAGCAACCATCGGCAGGGGGGGAATGTACAAGGCCGATATTGGCCCCACGCTAGACGTCAATATCTTTAAGGGTGTGCTTAGTAGAGACAACATCGATGTCTATAGACGTTCCTCAGACCGACCACGCGTGTCTGAGGTCGCGTTTGAGTCAAAAGGATGTCCAGAAAGGACGAGCTCAACAACAACTCCGATCGTCGACAGAGCACTTCTATCACCTATAGCTACGTTGCCTCCGGTTTCAACCTTTGGGCAGACAGAGGGAAAGCATATTCATCTACAAGACAATACTGGGCGGACATTCAAAGATGTCTGGGAATCAGGGCACAACAACTTCAATTCCACCCAGGACCTTCTGGCTAAAACCGCAACTACTCTTCCGACATCTTGTGAGACACCACCTACACACAGTGCTCCAGATGCGCCTGGTTTTATGCCCCATGCTTATACGACAATGATTTAGGGCAAGTTGACCATGTCAAGGTGAGGCCTCCGGCCTCACCTATTCAGGTGCCTTCCATCGCCAGCTGGTGCCAGAAGGTGGCTGAGTTTTTTAACGGCCGAGACGAACAACAGGCCTCCCATGTACAACGCACAAACGACTCTTCATTCAATGATCCACAAAATGGCAGTACCAATTAGAGTCTCAGTGTTCCACATGTAGGGTCGGGCGAGGCCGCCAATAAACAGTTCGAGATGCGTCTGGCGGACACGGATCGGCGGTGGGGCTGGAAAGGAGGCTCAAGTAGATCCTGACACCACTTATGGTTCGGCTCAGGCGGGTATACGTGGAATTCGAGACCTTCCTGCGGACCGCAGAGACGGAACCATTGTGGAACCGCTCGAGGAAGACCTTGACCCTGCCGTTGCGTGGTTTTGTGTACACCGATCAGGACTATTCGCAGGTAGCAATGAGACACAGATCAACGCAGTGACTATCGAGGCTCCTCAAGACTAGTGCATATTTACAACCCATGGGGGCCAGAATTGTCCCTTAGATGGGGTCAGTGTTGCTAGCAACGAGATAAATTACGCAAACAGAATAGTAAGGTACCCCGTTGCAAATAAAGTATTCCACGTGGGGCTCTATGCTCCAGACCAGAACAAGGATCAGCGTTGCCTACAGAACCCGATAATACTTTGGCAGAGAGCGTATAGGTGTCACAAAAGCCGACAGCTGCAGTCAGAGCTACTTAGACCAGTAGCCGCCACATGCACCACATAATTCTGGCGGAAAGCCACCAACGACGCATGATCAGCCGGCCTGTAGCTGCAGGACCCTGGAATGCCACCTGCCGTCAACCTGCCGTCGACACGCACAGGTTGTGGATCATCAAAGCTGGGGTAGCGTTGAGTCATGACAACGCTCATGTGACCCCAATCATCCGCTTGAAAGGCTGGGATAGTTTGGACCCACTCACCACTGTTCGCTGTGGAGCCTGCTTCGTACGCTTCGATGCACGCCGGAGGTCGACCCCGGTGAATAGAGGTGTTCAGATTAAGGGTCTAAAACAATTGGGCACTGTGCAGACTTTGCTCATGTAGGCGTTATGTGACCGAAACTTTACCCCTTCGTTCACTCGTAACTTGCGACTACAAATGAGGCGATTCTGGCGATACTATCGAGTCGTGTTTCACCGATGAACAGACTTGTGCTAACGCAACCGCAGGCCTGAAACACATCAAGACCAATCAAGCATCCGGTCGCTAACAAGCAAATGCCAACATTTCTAGCCGCCACTCACATAACTCCCATGATTTCAGGGTCCTTCCGCAGGCTGCCCTTTGTCCGATTTTCTTCGGAGGTGTCGGTGCCAGCCCGGGTATCGGCACTGCAGTCTGGTAGTGTAAGTGTATGGTGACGGGACACAGATCTGCGCGGCGAGTGATGTGCAATGTTGCCCGTTACAGTAGGAGCGCATTATTACGGTCGATTGCAGTGGATTGATCGTTCCGCCAAAGGATCGGGTCCTGGGTGGCTTGCCGTGTCAGGTCAGTCAACATGCAGCACCCACGTGTGGAAGGATCAAGCGTTGATGTTGTGCAGCACGACGGTAGGTGAGAGGGTTTACACTGAGGACTGTGCGAATACAAGACCGCGGGTTTCGAGCATCGTGCGTCTTGAACCTGCATGAAGCTGATGGCGATGACTTCAAGGTCATACGAGATGGCATGATTGCTTCTTACCGGAGGAAAGCAGAAGTGGAAGGAGCTGCTAGACATGACGCAGTGGTTGCTGAACCGAGTTTGTGTGTGCAGCCTGTTCGTTGTAATATTCTCGTCATTACAACATGGCTTCAGGGTGAAGAGTCAGATACCTTGTGCATCCTGATACAGTCTCGCAAGTAAACTCACCCCATAGCTCTTAGAGTGGTATGATTTTTCGCCAGCTCATAATCGTTTCGCTAAATCAGAGTGTCACGATCACAAAGACACTGACCTCATGCGTACCCACAATATGGCAGGGGTGCGGACGAGCCTTCATGCTGTGCAGGGTTCTATTCCCTCCTGGGGCTCATCGGGCGACGCGTATGTAGATTGCTGACAGGCCAAGCAAAGAAAAATGACTGTTTCTCGAAATACGAATTCTGCTAATGCAGCGGCGAGCGGAGCCTGCTACAGAACCATCAGGAGGCAAAACTTCGCTGCAAATTTACGTCTGCCAGCCTGGCGCAAATTATTTCGCAAAACACTCGGGCAAGATACATACCGGGGGGGTTCACGTCCAAATGTAACAGATGCAGGGTCTGTGTTAGAGTTGACACATTCTTGCATTTGGGCTGTCGTCTGGCTACCGTACACTTACAGCCTGATGCAAGAGCGGCAAGATCGTGTAGCACACCAGCGCGCCACCCTGTGCGCACGTGGCTCCCCAACAACATTCATGGACCAGGTGGAGAACCCTGACGACACGAGGCCTTGGAGGCAACATGCAGATTAAGATGAGGCTATAACATCGAGACTTCGTGGGCTCCGATAATGCGCATACACCGATGTAACTACGCTGCGCACATGGCCGCACGGACGGACCACTGGTTCTATCGTTCCTGTCGTTCCTGATCCAGGGATCGCCGCCGCGGAATCCTTCCCGTCCACTCAGCCTCCACAACAGACTCTCATTCGTGAATGCATCGAGATGTTGAATTCTCGAATATTTCCGCATTTGCAGATGGAAATCGTGCGTCGCCGATACTAACCGTGCATAGCAACCTAGTGTTCCAGATGTGAAGAGACTGGACTTGGTGCATATTGATGCCGTCGTGTGTCTGGCTCTCAGGTACTCCCAACGGAAGTTCGGCAACGCCTGACACATCCCTGAATCGTGAGGCTGCTGTAGTGGCAGGGGTGGCTTATAAGTGGCTGGAATGGCGTCCGGATCTCGAATGCGCCTTTGAGGGCCCCTCAGGTAGACGCAACGGTCGGGCGAGAGGTGGGGACTCGTTTGACCTGGAGAGTCTGGCGGGAGGACAGACCCGTTGGCGGGAATGTATCTTTTTGCTATGAGTCAGGGAATCGTTCCCCAACCCTGAAACCCCAAACAATCTTTCAACACGTGTAGCATCGGCGCTACAATCTCGTGACATCTGCATATGATCTGCATATAGTACACCACTGCAAAGCCTCTCAAATTGAGATACGACTGTGTCGGTGTCTATAAGTGGGTACCCATAAGCCTCTAGTTGGTCTGGCGCCGGTTGCATGTCGGCGGGCATCATCGCTGCTTATTCTGCCGCCAAGCTGATAATTAGCCACGAGGCATGCACGTTGGAACTGTTTTGGAGCCGCATTAGTGAGGCAGTACGGGAGGTCGAAAGCAGCCTGAGGTGATCTGTGCCTTGTAAGAGGCGTGTTTTAGATTGTGCATCTCCCTGCATGGAACAAACGTGGAAGCTTTGAATGCGGGATGGTTGGCGCTTAGAGGGCCAGGGTATTGGTGGGGGAGCTGCAGCGCTTCTGAGCTATCGCACACGCTGCCATAAGGCCCAAAGATCCTAAATGGTTGACGCTCTGGTGGCAAAGTCTAATACAGGACCAGGCAAACATCACCAACAGAGGGCGGAACTGAAGGACTGCAGTTTCGCTTAGCTTACTCTGGTTTGCCGATGCGGGGATTCATTCGCCAGAATCTCGCTACTTGGAGCCAATGGGCATATTACAGATCTTCATCCTCACTTTCAGATCGTCATTAACACAATTGCGGCTGGCGGATGCGTTAGCGAGGACCACTTGCATACCTCACCGGACGTACTCGGGCCCACTTCCTTCTCGAAGATTCGGCATGTTATTGAATATGTAGAAGGTGTGTACCTAACCAATTGTTGAGGCCAGACCAGCGCAAATTGGCCAAACAACCACAGAAACTACATGCAAGTATACGCCCCAGACGCGCACGACTAGGTTACCACACGAGACGGCACGCCATGACAGCGCAGACCGCTGAAGGGCCCCGCGCAGGCTCTCCCGCATTTGGTATGCCGTTAGCGTAAACTGGTCATATTAGTGTGCATAAAGCCCCGGCAACCGTGAAGCTCTTGGGGTGGACGTGCAGCAAGCCCCAACTCACAGACTTGCGGTGCAGGGCTAAATACAAGATAATACCATGTCAGCTCTGACAGGTAGCATGCTAAAGCATCAAGCCCGAGGGGAGATAACGATGGTCATAGCCTCATGATTTGAGGATATGGTTTCCGCTAAGGCCTTCGAACGCCCAAAGATTACTGAGTTCTCTAAGCTAGGCGTAGGCAGGACTTGGGTCTACAAATTACCTGGTCCACACACTGCCGCTAAGACAGTGTGCCGTTAGGCAGACTACTCGCTGCATTGCTCGACATAAGATGGTGGTTATCTGACAACGCTACACCGCCATAGTAGGCGCCGTCCCGTAGCTGCGTGAATCGGCCACACTACAAGATGCAATTGCTATTGGTGAACCTACCCCCACCTTTGCCGAAACGCGGGACATCAGTGATGTAAGTTTTTCGGCTGAGGCTGCTACGAACTCGCATCGAGGCACTAGCTGTCCATTTAGACATAATCTCACGTGCACTGTCTCACAACCCTGCTCGCGAGGCCAACAGCCAAGACAAGCTGCCAGCTCCACCCATGACGCAGGAAAATCCACTTACACCAATATTCATCACTGCGTTGCATGATACCCTATAACCGGCTGCATAGGCGTCGATACCGCACGCGAGAGATGCAGGGTTTGCCACGGTAATACTCGCCTGACCACTAATGGACAGCGAACAGCACTAAACCTTATCAAGGGATCTTGTGGCTTGAGCTTCGCATCCTTGTAAGCGATACAGCAGCAGCTTCTGATGCAGCTTCCCGGAACCACGTATTCGCAGGGAAAATGATCAGCATAACCACGTGCTGCATGCCGGATCCGCATTCTGATCGGTGATGCTACACGTGAGAAATTACAGTAGCTGCGCGTCGCGCATTGTTGATCTTCTGAGGACAGAAACGTCATATGTTCACATGGTGCAATGGAAACGTAGGTTGAGCCAAAGTCTCGGGCCTGAGAAGAGGGGTGGCGAGCAGAAGAGTCTTGTTCGATGATGGTGTCTATTATGTTTTTACGTGTCTAAATGTCTAATGTTCTTGATTCGTGGTATCGTTATTGAGTGTCTGCTGCATTGTACGTGAGCCTGAAAGCATCTAAGCTAACAATATCGTTGCAGTCTCTGTCTGTCCCTAGCTCGCTCACGCTAACTGACTGACATGTGTATCCTCCCCCTGTCCTATGTTACATCCCCTGGTATATGCTGATATGGAATGCCGCGCCAAAAGGCTACGGTGTAATAGTGCGTCTCTGAACGCAATGGGTATCATGTGGCTGAAATGATTGCTGAATAATCTGAAGTTCTCTCGGAGAGGCCCATGTATGACATGGTTCAAGAGGCAAATGCGGTTTGCTGGGCTTCCCATTGCCATTGTTCTGTAAGCTGACGAGTTCGGTACTCAGTTGCGTAACCAGTATCGGTCTCGACATCGCGGATGAGATCAAGGACGACTTGGCGTTCTCGAGCGTCCCCAAGACATTGTCCGGCGGTGAACAAAGCTTGCACGGAATAGACACGTACGACATCGTCCGACTGTGCAAGGGAGATACCGACAATCTCGCGGCTGTGCTTCTGGCAAGCTGCAAGGACCTCCTGGTAGGAATTAAGTCGAGCACATACAGTGCTACGACCTTGGGTAGACTCATGCGGCTTGTTCATGAACAACAAAATTTGGCTCATGTGGTAGACCTGCATCGTCGAGGCGCACATTGGGATGTTGTACCAAACTTCGGGGAACAAAGCCTCGTTCTCTCCTCGTAGAAGTCGACCAGGTGCAAGGGTGGGTTCCATGCGGCTGGAAGGTTTGAAAGTTACTGGGAGGCTGTCGTACCATGCCTGAAACTGCTTGCGTAGGTGGTACCAGTAGTCCAGTAGTGTCGATTGGGGAATACCGGTCCAGCCCATTCCCACTTCTGTCGGAACCTCGTCTCCAGCTGCCATGAAGTTGATTAGTTTCGACATCAGCCAAATCAAGGCGTTACAGATGGCGGCATCATCGAAGTAGTCGTTCTCGATGAAGTTGTTGGGCACTAATAATCCCTGATCATCGATGAGTAAGCCAGCTTCCCTCCAGAGAGTGAAGTCTTCAGTATCGAGGTGTGTGTGGCTCTTATTGATGACTACAAACAAATCAGTGAAGTCCTCATGCAACAATGATAGTCACTTACAAGCAGCATACATGTCTTGTCGGGCAATGTTCCAGAAAATAGATCGTCGAGCCTTGGAAGTGAAGTTAAGGCTGGATGTTGAGAGTGGCGAGCCTGGTGACTGCATCTGCATTGGCATCATGCGCTCCTGTGAGTGAACAAGAAGAGACTTGGCTCCGCTTAAGTGTTTGGCCCATTCTACCGTTGATGTGTCTAGGAACTCATAGACACAGAGGATAGCCGCTGCCGCCAAGATTTCATCGGTGCTAGACGCGCAAGAAGCACTGCTTGATGTCCGGCGTCGCTTATGGCGGAACTCGCAGTCTGAGTCGTCAGGTGTGATGGTCGTATCGGATTTCAGAGCTCGGAGTAGAAGTGAGACGGCGTTGTCGTAGTGGACCACTGCCTTGTGCTTCCAGTCTACCAATGAGGACCCAGGGTAGACCTCTACTTTGCCTTGGCACCTGGATCCGCCGTACTTACAACCTTGTACCTGGGCAAGGGCTTTTGCGGCGCATGCGACAGCGGCATTCTTGAGCAAAGCGTTCTCCCGCGCCAGTATTGGTACATAGGAGGTGAAGTAGGTATCTCTGTCGTAAAGGTCCATCCAGCGTCCCGGACCCTCGGAAAAGTACCGCAACAAAAAGGAGACCTCGTGATCTTTCGACATCATTGTTTCACTGTTAGACCGTGGAGGTGACTGACGCGAGCTTGACATTGAACAAGATCGCGGCATATACTCTGTCATGGAATCGAATGATGATGTAAGGCGAGGATCAATGGGTGGGGGTGTCATGGCACCAGACCAGTCCATGATTGGGTGGATGCGACGATTACATAACGACGCTGGTGGTGAGATGGGAGTGTTGACTGTTGATGTTGCAGGCGACTGCATCAAAGGCGGTAACGCATCAAGCTCTGGAGTATAGCACATAGGAATGCTGGTGGGTCCCATGTCAGGGCCCATGCTGGGTGTGCTAGTCACAGAATGAAGGCTCCCGGATGTTGGCCATGAGCTGATTGATCGAGGTTGAAAGGGTGCGGGTGAGTCCATTGAGCCAACAGACATGGTCTCAAAATCTGGTGTTGCGGGATCGAGATAGGGATTTGTTGTGTTGATGAAGGTGACTGTCAAGGGTGTTAGGGTGCAAGCATCATCTGATGATGACCGAAGCTACCTACCATTCTTGGGAATATCCAACCAGATGGCATCATCTTCAAATGTGTTCTTGTATGAGTAGAATCCTTTTAGGGAGTTCTCATCACCAGAGTCGTCGCCGTTCATGGAGGCATTGTGTTGGTGACGGAACACTATCCCAGAACTGGGGATACATTCTCTCGACGCCTTAATGCACTGTCCACACACGGGCTTCTTCTCATCACACTTGAGCTTTCGTTGCCGGCAAGTGAGGCTGCGTAAGTGTTAGGGTAGAAGAGAAGTAGCATCGTACCACTTACCATCCGGTTCGTGAACGCATCTCAGTAGTGGTCCGTGGGGGTTCGGTGAGAATGAAGTGGTCACGGGTACTCGAGTCGAGCGTAGTGGGTATGAAGGAAGGTCTGCATGAGTCGGCGAGCGCTGGGTATAGATATAACAACACGCTCGAGGGCGATACAGCGGACTTGCTGAAGGTTAGATGCGGGGTCTAGCATGGTTCGCGCCAGCGCCAGTCCACCTTCACAATCTAAACAGGGCCTGTAGGAAATGGCGAAAGGCTTTTCCTTGCTCTAGGTGCGTCAGCATGAATCGCTCTCGCGTCGCTCGATCTGGGGTAGTCTGAGCATTGAGCTAAAGTTGAGCATGGAAGAGTAGCCACGATGGTCCCGTTCGGCGAGTCGCGTCAAGCGCCATAATGATGTGCTTCTCGCCGAGCCCTGACCGAGCCGCAGAACGTACATCACTTCAAGATACCACACATTCGACCTAGTCGGAATGTGGCCGCACGTCGCCACTTTTTTAAAGTTTTCTCCTGGCTGCTAGACTTTCGCGTGATACCGCCATCGGACCGTCTTGGCAAGACACTACTGCATTTAGGGCCCCTCCCTTATCCTAGCTCAGATCCGGAACGATACATGCTGACCTCCGGTCCATCCCGCCATGTTTCAGTCAATACTAAAGGGCCTTTCGTGGCCGTCGGACGTAACTCCATGTCCCTTCAGCAGTTCACCACCGAAGCACTGATGGCGTTATCAGCGGGAAGAAATAAACGTGCATGCAGCGCCTCCAAAGACGGAAAGACGGAACAAGAACAAGTGTAGAAGCACCGGAGAATGTTCGGCTCTCTCACCGCCTTCGAGCCCTACGGGAAGCCCTAGCCACTTTTTTAGTGGTGGCTGGCGATGTCGCTCAGTCCGACGTTTTCAGTTTCTTCTTTGGCCGCTGCTCATCTGGCCCTGCCTCGCTATCTGCATCCTCCATCTCAGCATCGCTGTCTCCGGAGCCACTGTCATGATCTGAATCGAATTCCTCTCCAACTTCGGATTCAGATTCAGTGTGGAAGTCCTCATCGACGCTCTCGTCGTCCTCGTCGGCACTACCGCGATTCGCGACACCTCCATCGTCACTAGAGGCAAGGTCGTCATCTTGCAGTGCGGCTGCAAGAATTGCTCCTGACTATTGAATGCATTAGCGTCATGAAATTGATATTGATGTGAAGTTCTTACGTCATCTGCCATCTCGTTCTTCGTCTTGATGCCTTTAGCCCGGAAAAAGTTCTCGAGTGGCTGTTGCTCCTCACTGTATACAAGTCTTAGTTGCGCCTTCTCAGGAAATATACTGTAACTAGTACTTACCGGTTGATGTTCGAGAACTGGTGCTCTGCCATGCCACCTTTCATTGTAAAGGTAATATCGAATGTCCGGCTCGCTGCCATGGCACCACCGACACGCGACATGGTGACTGATGCGATGTTGTCCATGGCGATGTAGGTGGCTGGCTTGGGAATGAACATGAAAGCCTTATCCAGGCAGTAAAGGTGACCCTCGTTGGCTTTGATCGAGCACTTGACGCCAGACTGCTCATGATGACTGATGAAATCGCGAGACGGCCTGGTAATACGTTTTCCACTGAGACCTCGGAAAATATCCGAGACGACGACAGCAATAGGTGCCTCGTAATGTGATTGCAGCTTGTCTTTGTACTTTGCTTCTAGCAAATCTTCCTTCATGTTGAGGTCAAGATTGACTTCTTCATCACGCTTGAATTGCATGACTAGGAATGGGTAGCGTGTCTGACCTTGCCTCAGAGGTGGATCCAATCCTATTGTGATCAACGTGTGCATGTCGTCGGGCTTTGGTAGCACCATGAACTTCTTGACGGAGTCGAACTGGATCTTGTAGTCGTACGTCTTTCCGCGCAATCTGAACGAGGTCTCATACATGTCGATGTCGAAACGACCTCTGGGTGTCAAATGGAGAATATCGAGGAAGGTCGCGAACGTGTCTCCAGCGACTTCACCAATCTCAGCCTTGTCCATGAGGGTCTCGTAGAACAGATTTGCGGCGTTTTGTTCCTCGCCGTCTTCTGCTCCGGAAATGTCTTCACCATCCTCGTTCTTCTCCTTCTTTGACGCAACGCCTGGGATGTAGAAGCGCATCTCCACGAGTTGGTCACGAGCACCAGCCGACTTCTTGCCTCTGAACCGAGCGCCCCCAAGGCTCCCATTCGCGCCAGCATCGCCGTCGGCGGGCAATGAGAAGTCGACTGCAACCTCGTTCTTGCCAGCCAGATTGGTATTCGATACCTCGGTATAGGGAACTTCGAAAGCGGGGCGGTTCGCGACATTAAAGGTAAGCTCCGCCTTGCCGAACTCGGCTTTGCCCCAGTTCCAGCCACGCAGCGCATGCTCTCGGTTGTCCAGATTGATACCGTACCAGACCTTGAAGAGCTTTGCTGCGCGATCGAAATCCTAGGGTCTCCATTAAATCACCTGAATGGACTGCCAGTGCTCTCTCTTACCTCTTGCTTGAAACCATCAAGTTGTATCACGCCGTCATTGCGCGAAAGAATCTTGATTTCGTAGCCGCGTGCCGCTCGACTCCATTGTGCCTGGATAATTTGTGACTGGTCGCAGGTGTACGTCTCGCCGTTTACGGGTTTCCAACCAAAACCAGAATCGGAAAATCGAGTGGCGCCTGGCTTGCGGGAAAGATTGAGGTAGATGTCGTTGAAGGCCTCCCTGCGCAGTGTCAGCCTCTGAGACCAAGAGGATGTCCTATGACGATGTTAATGCGCTCCTTACATGTTTGCGACGTCCCCCAAGGATCGTTAATGGCAGTGGAGGGTTGACGACGATGGTGGCTGTAAGGCGCAACAACCGTCGTCGTTGCTATTGAAGCTCGTCTAAGCGCGAAACGAAATCCTGACTAAGCAGCGACACGCGTTTTAGCGCGTCGCGTACCCCACCACTGCTGCAATTACCTTCACTCATGATATTCATGAACTAGTCGACAGAAAGAGATATATACAGTTGAGCTCTTCTATCGACGTCTCCGTCAACAAATCTCAATCGGAATATGCTTAGTTCGTCGATTGCATTCTCCTTCTCAGTAATTATAGTGAAGCATCATAATACGTCGCCTGGTACCTGTTTGGAGCCTATTGCATTGGCATTCGACGTATTAAACTTGGCAAAGTCTTATGCGTTCTGACATCTACAAAAAACGTCATAGGCATAAGATAGGGAAGTTTGTCTCGGTGAGTGATTGCTCATGGCACATGGGCTGATCAAAGTAGACGATGATGCTACGTCCGATAGCTTCTTTGAAGTGCTTGCACATCCCCTGTCGCCCTGGGTTGATCTGCAATCGTTATCAAATTGCCAAACCATTGTTCAAAACTGACCAGGCTACGTGAATGGGACTGTGAATAAGGCCGAGCATACCGTAATCCTGCCGACTGACTCGGAGGCACCGGGATGTGAAGCAGAGCCCCTCCACTTCCTGGGCTTGAACGACGACACTGTGCATGCAAATGACATCGCCGATCATCCCTACCGACCTTGCCGACGCACTGTGTACCATATTTTGATAAAATTGAAGTCATTGTTTGCAACACTCCCGCTCCGATTGGACCCCAAACAGCGCAAGCGACGTTTCCCCAGACCCTTGACCCTTGACCTTTTATTAGCGGTCAATGCATCTGATGAAATGTTCTCAAGAGTGACCCGTCACTCCCCGGTGCTTGTATCATTCTTCTGTCAACGCTTGATGGAGAACGATGATCTCTATGGAACGAAAAAGTGGTTTCCCGATCATTCTGCACTTGCCAACATATCTTGTATACCTGGACATACAGAATCGACTTACCTACGGTAGGTGTACGGCCGGCTGTGGAGCACTCCTAGACTACAGATGTGGATACAATGCCCCGGACGGTGTGCGTACGCTCTGCTCCACACGGACCCAGCATGGTATGTCATAAGAATTGTTCGCTTTTCCAAATTGGTTCTGCCGTCGAGATCGTCTTGCGTACAAATACCGCCCACTATAGAGCAGGACACAGACCTGTTTAATGAAAGCCGAAGGAACCGAGGACTTTCCCTGTCTTTATGATAACAGCCGAAACCGAGGGCTTTCCTTGTGCGGTAAAATGATCGATGGGTTTCGAATTACTTAATTGAGCTACCGCACATCGGGGAGCCCCTCTGGTTCATTAATCCGTCCGACGTTGGGTCCGAATAAGAAGCGGCTCCGCGTGCAGTAGTCACTGCAATGGTCTCAGCCGATGAGCGCTTACTGTTAACACGAAGGGACACGTACTACCCATGTGACAACCACCGGCCCTTTTCACGGTCCGATTTCTGGCTGCTCCCGCTGGTTTCCCCTTGACTGGGCGGAAAAGAATTCCTCAAAATCATCAATACGAGCTTGTACAGGAAGTCCCATCGACGTCGGAATACTGGTCAGGGCCGCTGGGAGATCTGAACGCTGCCAAAGATGGGGGTCCAAGTCTGCTGTCCGAAGGACAAGCCTTGACTACGGAGTACCGCCGGGCAATCTTCAGGCGCAGAATCAACTATTGAACCCGCATGTTGTTGGATCTGTCATCGATCCAAGCGGCCCCTGAACTATCCTCGAGGCTGTAACCACCAAGCACTACGTTACTGCCTCATTTTACGACTGGAACAAGATCCAACGTGTCCAAAGCGTTCCACCTGAGGTCAAACCCTGGGAGATGCCAGATGCACATTTCGTGCCGAATGTTCTTGTAATGCCGAATTACTTGTCTTTCCGACTTCCCCAAAGACTTGCATGGTCCAGCCATTACTCCAGTCTTGTTGTTCCGAGTTCCCCAAAGACTTACATGGTCCAGCCATTCGAAGTTGACGGCAACAACCGTCAAAGCTACATTCATCGTTTATTCTACCTATTTGACGTAAATCTTGTTCTGCAAGCCTTCTTTCTTATCGGCGTTTGACGCCTCATTAGTGAAAGGCGGACACTAAGGGCAACCAAACTTCGATTCCCTTGGAGGTTCCGGACCTCATCCGTAACCGCGCTACGCCCTACACCAGTGAGCACGATCCGAAACACGAGCGAAGTGGAGTGCCTAAAGCCAACTCATGACGCCCACCAAGCCAATGCAGTATAAGAGTCCCCAAACCGACCGAACGTGCATTAGCATGCTCAGCGCGACGGTGCCACAGCCTGAGCTAAGCGCCTGTAGCGGCAGCACTTGATTCCGGTGTGCTGTGACTTCTTGTGGCTGGATTCGAGGCTGAGACGGCGCTAAGGGCTGCATACAAGTAAAACAGCGATCCATATTGAATGCAGAACCTCGACGCGAGCATTTGGGCTCGTGCATGCCTGAGATCATGTGCAACGTTGCTGCGGCTGCTTGTCAGAGATTCAGAGGCGGTGAAGCCCCATAGCGTCCGCTCAAGCCACACATCCGACATACATCCTATACAGCGTGCATGCATGCTCGCTTACACGCGCACGCTCAATAGACCATACACGGTGTTGCACGTTGTCGGACTATGTGGCATTTCTGCATCGTCTGCCTCACGATAAGTCCGAAGAGCGGCCTTTCAATAAGCGAGGACAGACCGCTGTACTGACAATGCAGAATCCTGCGAAGCCACCGTGGACCGTTGAATGCAGTAACCCGCGCTATGCAACGATCGTCAATATTCGTCCACGTTGGCATTGATCCTAGGAACCCAAGCTCAAGGCCAGCAACTCAACTAAGCAAGGCTGCCGTTCTGTGGTCGATCCAACGCACGACACACCAACATACACGACCTTGCCCTAGTCCCAATAGCGTTGAGATTCACTCTCGATCTGACTTTCTATGATCATCTCTCCAGCATGAGTAATGCCCTGCATTTTGAAAATGAGAATCACCGCGGCAATCGTGATGAAGGTCATGATGCTCAAGTAAACATACCTGTTCGGAACATGACCGGACTCCACATTGTAGTACGAGCATCATCTCCACAGGGCGACCGTTAAAAAGACCAGCCCCGTATCCTGGCCGGTGGGTCCAGTGACGCGGACGTGCACCACCCGTGGAGCAAAGTCAACGTTACAATGCTACCTAGACAAGAGAATGGCACGAATAGAAACATGACTTTCGCGCACAGTCTGCGTCAATTGAATATAATGACTCTGCGGAGATGCGATATCGGTAACCCTGCGGGAACAAGGATGGATCGAGTGAGAAACACGCGATAGGTAGCTGCGATGTATGACATGGCATACGTCTGGGCTCAACCTTGGAAACGCACCTGCTCTTATCTTACATCGAGTAATGTACATGGAAGCCTGTCAAGTCAAGCGTGCGCCGGCAACCTTTTCTCCACTACGATACAATATGGCACATAGGAACAATACAGAAGTTTACACAACCTCCCTAACGACCTCGTCGCACCTATGACACAACTCCTCTTCCACCGCCTTCGCAAAGCGCCAGCATCTCGGACACTTCTGCAGCGAAGGAGGATGCACAAGGACCGTCGCATCCTTCAAGAAGCTGTTCTCATTCGTCGGCGCAATGGCCTCAGATTCAGACCACGCCCATGCCTCCGCTGAGTCGGGCGCGCCTGCGCTCATCTGGAAGTCGCTGATGACTAGCAAGCCTGCTAGCTGGCTCTGCACGTCGAGGTCCGCGTGCGGTACACAGCTCTGCAGCAGCGCATTGAGTTCGTAGATTGCGTCGGGGGAAAGGACGAGTGTGACCGCCGTCTCGAGGCCCGAGCCAATCTTCTTTCCAGCGCGCAGTCGCTCCTGCGCGACCTTGACTGCATTGCCGATCTCGGTCAGACGCTCGAGAGCGGTGTCCAGCGCTTTTCCTTTTGCCGCGCTTGCTGCAGGGAGAGCACTCCATATCGCCTGACTTGGGTGCACGCTATTCTCGCGCAGAGACGCAGGGACGTGGTCCCACACTTCTTCGACAAGCAGTGGCGTGACAGGCGCGAGGATCTGCAGAAGCTCGTAGAAGATTAGACCCAAGTGTGACTGGAGAGTGGTGCAGTCAGATGTGTGGCCAGTGTAGATGCGGTCCTTGAGCGTCTCGAAGTAGAATGCGCTGAGATCGGTCGCGATGTATCGGTTCAGCGTGTTCAAAGACTTGAAGAACTCATAGCGTGCGTAGTAAGTGTGTGCGTCCGTCGACACTTGACTCAGTCTGTGCAATGCCAGTGTATCGGTGAGGAGGGGCGAAGTTGGGACTTCATCGCGCAGAGCGTTGAAAGACGAGAACGTTGGCGGGCAAGACGGCAAAGAAAGCACGCCGAGGAGCCATTTGAATGTCACGCGGTATTTGTGAAGAGACTGGTTTACGGATTGCAGGACGGGCTGGCCGATGGTCACGTCGCGCATATAGTCGCTACTAGCAGCCCATAGACGAAGTGCATCGGCACCCATCCCATCGTACGTCGGACTGGCGCCGGGTAGTGGTGCCGGTTGCCCCTTTTGTTTCTTGCGTTTGATGGGTGGGAGCAGTTCTCCGCTCATAATTTGATAGGGAGAGATTACGTTGCCGAGAGACTTACTCATCTTGCGTCCGTCAGAGTCGAGTGTGAATCCGTGAGTGATGAGCGTCTTGTACGGCGCGCGTGCAGTGCCAGAAGAGTAGTTTTGTGAGGCGACGTGAGTGAGGAGCGAAGACTGGAACCACCCACGATGCTGATCGGTGCCTTCGAGGTAGACGTCCGCGATGGGAGCGTCCTTAGATGGTGGCAAAAGCGTCCAGGATGTGCCGCTATCAAACCAAACGTCCATTGTGTCACGTCCACGGACGTAAGTCCCTGTGCCAACAAGGTGAGGCGGTGTCCAGGCTGGGTCAGATGGTGCATCTGTCCACCATGCATCGATGCCACGCTCTTTTATTGTTTTGATCAGATGGTCGATAGTCTTGGAGTCTATGGTGGCCTCAAGCGTATCACCCTGGACCTTGTACAAAGCAGGAATAGGCACGCCCCATGCACGCTGACGAGAGATGCACCATTGGCTTCGACCTTGGATAAAGCTTTCCAGGCGTGGACGTCCGGTCTCAGGAAGGAATTTGACATCAGCGATGGCTCTCATGGACGCATTTTTTAGATCACCAACGTCGGCGAACCACTGCTCGGTCGCTCTTACAATGACCGGTTGTTTCGTCCTCCAATCGATGGGGTACTTATGTCGGTAGTTCTGCTTTGCGCGTAACAAACCTTGCTTTTCGAGGTAGTCGCAGACAGCTCGTGCGCCAGTCCTTTTCTCGTCAGCCACAGGAAGCCCTTCGAGAAGCTCCGGCTGCTCGGGAAAGGCGTCTTCGGTAAAAGCACCTGCATCGTCGACCGGTGCAAACGCTGGGATGCCCACTGCCTGACAGACGTTATAATCATCCATACCATGACCAGGTGCAAAATGGACCAGCCCAGTACCAGACGAGTCGGTTACGAAATCCGCGTGCATGATAGGTTGCAATCCGTTCGCTCTTTGGAACGGGTTCTCATACCGGAGGTTCCCAGCGAGATCAGATCCCCTTATTCCAGACGCAACGACCTCAAGCTTGCGCTCGAGCACCTTCTCGTACTCGGACACCCTTGTCGCAGCGACTAATGTCAGCTCGCCATCTTTCTCTGCGTCCTTCACAACGCAGTATTCCATGTCCCTGTGCACTGCGATGGCCTTGTTCGCGGGGAGCGTCCAGGGTGTTGTTGTCCAGATCACCACATTGACCTCTCCTCGCACATTCTTTCCCGCCAGCTTACTCCTCAATTCCTCTGTGACTTGTGCCGGGAATCTCACAAACGCCGCAAGACTCTTATGCCCTTCATCGTACTCTAGCTCGGCCTCTGCGAGCGCCGTCCTAGAGCTCGGGCTCCAATACACAGGTTTGAACTGCCTATACACCAGGCCCTTCTCCCACATTTCCTTGAAGATGTCGAGTTGCCTCAACTCGAATCCTTTCTCCATAGTCTGGTATGCATTGTCCCACTCGCCCATGACACCCCATTCCTTGAACCCGCGTTTCTGAGTCTCGACTGTGGTGGTGGCTAGGTCACGCGCAGCAGCACGAATTGAGACTGCATCGGTATCACCAAGAGACTTTTTCGCTGCTTGGAGCGCTTTGATCTCAATCGGAAGGCCGTGGCAGTCCCATCCGGGAATATATGAGACTTTGTTGCCTTGCGTGACATGGAATCGACATATTATGTCTTTCGTGATCTTATTCAAAGCATGGCCGATATGAAGGGGCCCATTGGCGTATGGTGGGCCATCGTGGAGCGTAAACGGCTTGCCGTCGCGCGTGCGCTGCCAGGCGTAAAGATCATCGGCGCATCGTTGCAGGTAGAGAGATGTCTTCTCGGGAAGCGGACGGGGTGGGAACGGCGATTTGGGGAGGCGGAGAGTCGAGGAGTAGGATGCGCGGAGAATGCGCGTCGGGGTTAGCATGGCATCGTGAGGAACTGTTGAAGCTTGGGGCGTTTTTTGGACATTCGAGCTTCGGAGGTCCGCATTCGGTGATACCTCGGCTAAAGATGGAGATTGATCGGCCATAGCAAATGCAGCAGTCATGAGTAAACTCTCACTTGCAAAGACAACGCGAGAGTGTCCTGAGTTTTAGCACTGTACATCCTTTGACATACACATGTAGCTCAATATACAGTCAGAGAGCTCACTGCGCCATTCTTCAGCACCTCGAACACCATACCCGGAAATCCAAAGAGCTCCACGTTCCCAACATCGGTGGTGCCGTCCACGGTAATGCTCCCAGCATTTGCAAACTGGCTTCGCCTAGTAGACGCATCCTCCCAACCTCCTAGAAGCTCAACACTGCTCCCTGGACTGTCGCCCCAGCCTCTGTTCAATGCCATACCGCGCTGTTGCAACCGCTCTTGTTCATCGTTCTCATAGTATGTCTTGAACACATCCTTCAATCGCCCGGAAATGTCACTGAATCGCATCTCAGAGCTTAGAGGTTCTCGATACTGCGCTGATGGGACATGCTCGAGGGTCCATCTGCTTCTCCTATGTCTGTTGAATTGATATGATCCTGGTATGTTGCCGTGAAAGATCATCTTGGTCACAGTCAGGTGATTGAGTGGCTGCGCGCTCATTTCACCTTCTTCGTGAAGTTCTGACTCTTTGCGTTCTGCTGTAGGTGACGGAGGAGATATCGGGGACGGTTGTGATATCAGCATGTCAAAGCCGTGGTGGTAGTAATTGTAGAAGTGTTCCGCTGCAGCTATCTCGCGCTCTTGAGCTTCGAGCGCCGCATCGTCGTCTTCTTCCCAATCTTCTTCATTGTCCGTGCCAATCGCTGAGCCTCGGTCTGAGTCGAGTATGTCCTCAGGTGTCAGCCCACCCGGCGAGTGATCACTGGCATCGCTCGTCGTTCGATCCTTGTGTATTGATAGCCGATGGTCATTCTTGCGGTAAATAGAATCGGGTGCACCAAGCTCCATGATGAGATCCTGAGGCGTTGTTTCGCTGAGAACAATCCAGAGTGGAGGACTAGATCTTCTGACAAGTTCAATTCTTCCCTCACCATGCACCTTGACAAGCTCGATCTCATCAGGGCCACCCCCTGTACCTTTGATACCTACGAGTGCCGAAGATCTAGGATTCGAAGGCGTGGCCGTAAATAAGGTCGTTCGAGCCTTCTGCCAGGACTCGCCGCTGAAGACAGCCATAGAGGTCGCAGGACCTGTAGCAGAGGATGATAACAGAGAAATAAAATCTTTCTTCGGCGAGTACGCAGAGTGTTGTACCGGAAAATTGAACGCGATGCCAGGATACGATAGGTTGTATGTTCCTCTCGCGTCTGGATCTTCAGACTTTGGTGGAAGGTATTCTCCGCCGTATGTAGGCCCCAACAGCTTATCGTAGATGTGCCTAAACCTAGGTCCCCTCACGCCGCCATACATGTCTGTGGGTTTGAACACCTCGATATCCTTGTAGACGAGTCTTGCTTTGGTGAAGTCCAGTACCTCAATCAACCGTAACCGCTGGTCAGGGCCGTCGAATTGTAGTCGCAGGCCGTTATCAGGTAGCGCGAGTTGGACGGGCGACGAGATGGGACGAAGGTCATCGTGGTAGAGCTGAAATCGCGGGAAGGCCTTGACTTCAGCTTTGATCGTGGTGAGGATGTCATGCAAAGAGCAGCCAAGCGCTGCGGCATGGTCAGTCAGGTCGAAGACGGTGCTGATAGAGACTCACTCATAAAGCCCACACTGCGCCCTGGCTGCAGCTGCATACTGCCGTCTTCCATCTTCAAGCGAGCGTGTAAGGAGATACTGCGCGCTGCAGTCGAAGCCACTAGCCTATGTGCATGCGTGCGCGCTGAAGGTGCAGGTGATCTTATGCCCTTTCACGTGGACGCGGCGGAGTCGCTGATATAACGCCGATCCTGATACTTGAGATGACGGGCTGAACGCTGGCCTCGAGTGTGCAGATATTATAAGGTGCTCATGCAAAGGAAGTGAGGCGCAACAGTGGCAAGATGCTATGTTGAGCGGAGAGGTGGGGTGCACGGCGGTGTTGAGCTTCCTGTGTTCCCCATAGCCTCTGAGACATGCTGAGACATCGCTCGACATGCGCGAAGAGACCTGATCATCTACGCGAAGCTGATCAAGATTATAGTCAGATCAGAAAGCTCAGGTAGCTCAGGTAGCTGCAGAGCGCTGGTGCAGCTGTGCACCTGTTAGGCATGACGGATGGCGCGGTCGGGGCCCCACCCGGACCCCTGCAGCGCTTTGTGTTTTGATGTTTACGTGCATCAACATCACCCAACATCACCTCGCTATTCACCACAACAGCGTAATTCGACATGTCTGGCCTTCCAAGACCAGGCGCACCGGCGGCGGTGAAGCGGACGACCTCCTCTATGCGCCCGCCAGCATCGCGCCAGGCAGCCGCAAACCCCCTCATGCGCGGCCGATCTGCCACCCCCATGCTGGACGGACGCACTTCTCGAGCAGAATCAGTCGCGTCGACTAGGACAAGAGGCACACCACGCTCGTCGCCACTCAAGAGGAAAGCAGTCGATTTCGAAGATGCTGGTTATGAGACAAACATCAATGTTGTCGTTCGGTGTCGCGGGCGCAACGATCGCGAGGTGCGCGAGAATAGCGGCGTTGTTGTCACAACCAACGGCATCAAAGGCAACACAATCGATCTCTCCATGGGTCCGAGTGCTCTAAGCAATAAGACGTACCAATTCGACAAGGTCTTCTCGCCTGCTGCGGACCAGGGTATGATTTTCGACGACGTCGTCGCACCCATCATCGACGAGGTACGCCCCATACCGATAACAAACTAGAACCCTTTTGACACATTCTAGGTTCTCGATGGATTTAATTGCACAATCTTCGCATACGGTCAGACCGGTACTGGAAAGACATACACAATGACTGGTGACATCTCCGACGTTCTCCCCCCTCCCGACGCCGCCGGTATCGTTCCTCGTGTACTCTACGCGCTGTTCGACAAACTCAGCCAAGAGGAGACAGAAAACTCGGTGAAGTGCTCATTCATCGAACTGTACAACGAAGAGCTGCGTGATCTTTGCGCTGGAGACGACGCTGTGAAGCTGAAGATCTTTGATGACAACAGCAAGAAGGGGCAAACAACAACAATGGTCCAGGGTATGGAAGAATGCCATCTGAAGACAGCCCGAGAGGGAATTCAACTCCTGCGCGCCGGCTCCCACAAGCGCCAGGTGGCATCCACGAAGTGCAACGACCTCAGTTCTCGATCGCACACAGTCTTCACCATCACAGTGTACATCAAGCGCACAGCAGAAGATGGACAAGAGTACCTGAGCGCGGGAAAGCTCAACCTTGTTGACCTTGCTGGTAGTGAGAACATTCAGCGCAGTGGTGCAGAGAACAAGCGCGCCGCTGAAGCTGGTCTGATCAACAAGAGTCTGCTTACTCTAGGCCGCGTTATTAACGCGCTTGTCGAACGCAGCTCTCACATTCCTTACCGCGAATCGAAACTCACGCGACTCCTACAAGACTCGCTCGGTGGACGAACAAAAACATGCATTATCGCAACTCTTTCGCCAGCAAAGAGTAATCTCGAGGAGACAATTTCCACACTCGACTATGCTTTCCGCGCGAAGAACATTCGAAACAAGCCTCAAGTCAACCAGGCTATCAATAAGAAGACTCTCCTTAGGGAATTCACAGCTGAGATTGAAAAGTTGAAGGGCGAACTCATCGCCACACGGCAGCGCAATGGTGTCTACCTGACCCAAGACAGCTACGAAGAGATGACAACTATCAGCGAGTCGCGACGCATTCTCAGCGAGGAACAACGCGAGCGGCTCGAAACCATGGAAGTAAACCTCCGCAATAGGGTAGAGGAGTTGTTCAAGATCACAACGAGCTTTCAAACACTTAAGAAGGACAACGAGCAGACTCAGTTGGCTTTGGAAGGCACAAAAGGCATATTGGAGAAGACCGAGATCGTTTTGGACCACACACGGCAGAACCTGGCCGAAGAAGAGGAGCTGCGAAAAGCACACGCCAAAACCGAGGGCGAGCTTGCGGAGATTGGGTACGGTATGATTTCAACGCTTGGCAAAACCACCTCAGATCTGGATGGACTACGATCGAAGATTCGTCGAAAGTCAGAACTGCAATCGCAGAACCGTCGCAACTGGGCGACATCACAGAACAACGTTCGTGACACTACTCGCCTTGTTGAAGACCGGATCGAGGAATTTCAGCAACAGCAGGGACAAATCATGGAACTCCTATCGGCGCGTATGCAGGACTTCGTTCGTGATGAGCTTGAAAAGCTTGGTGCATCGCAGTCGTTTCTGCAGGAGAAGATGCAAACATACCAGGCCTCAGAGCAGGAAGTAAACCAGCAGACCGCGAAGACTCGCGATGACATGAACGACGTGCTCGAGGAGATCAAGACCCTGCGGGAGAACGTAAAGACCAAGATCGGCTCTGGACTTGACGAGCTCTCATCTGCAGCGGAGCAGATCTCAGCTAACATCATCACCGAGCTTGATGGCTTCAGAGATGAGCTGCATCAATCATATGCAAACTTGGGGCGTGAGTTCAAGGCCACATTCGACAGCCTTGTCAAGAGCCTCAACGCACAACAGGCAGAGAACGAAGTCTTGCATGCGCAGGTCCTCGAGGCAAACTCCGCTCTACTCACAGCGAATACCCACACTCAAACCCGACTGGCGCACGTGGTTGATGAGGAGAAGCAGAAGTCTGCTGAGGAGCGCCAGCAACTGCTACAGCAAATCACCGCTCTCATTGGAGCTAATGCCGATGCTCAGGACCAGCGCATGAACGAGAAACTTGCCAGCGTCGGCGCCGAGTTAGGAGCCGCGAACACTGCCTACGAGACACAGCAGGCCGCATATACTTCAGGTGTGGAAGCTTGGAACGACCAGTCCAGGAGCATCGTGGCCGGCGTCGCATCATCAAGAGATGCCATGAAGTCAAGGCTTCGGAGCGATTACGAGATGGCGACACAGCATTCAGATCTGCTGAAGGATACTACCACTTCTGTGCACGCAAGTACAGTAAAGACGGTAGAAGCCCAGATGTCACATCTCGACACACAACTCCACTCACTCGACGACATCGTCTTACGAGTTCGCGAGCAAAACAACGTTCATCACACCGCGCATACTGCTTCGCTCGCTACACTGTCGTCTACTGTACAGTCTTCGTACTCCAGTATTGGCGAACACCTTTCGACTTCCTTTGAGCGCGTTCAATCTCTCGAAGCCGACGTGTCTGCGCAACAGAGCACCCTTAGGGAGACTCTGTCATCCTTGTCTGCTGATGCCACGATCCGCGCACCTCTCCACGAGCTTCGCGAGGTCGTCGGTGCACAGAACCTCGTCGAGTACGACCCCACTGGTCAAACACCTCAGCGCGTCAACTACCACATCCCCTCCACGCTCCCTCGAACCGAAGATCACGAGTCGATCCTCTCGCGTCTTCGCGACCGACCGACCTCCTCAGACGACGTCACCCGCAGCCCAACTAAGCAGCCCGTATTCATTGATGCCACCGCTTCCGCCGAGTCCACTGCCGAGCTGTTCCTACCCACAAAACCTGACTTCACGCGCTCTGTCAGTGCGAACGCCCAGAACCACACAGCTCCTATCTCCCTCCGCGAATTGGACGTTAACATCGTCGCGCAGGAGTCTGCGCACACACAACCTCTACCGCTTGGCTCGAGATCCAGCGATTCAGCCATCCTGGCCGGACCACCAAACAAGAAGCTCAAGGGTAGCGACGAGGGGAGTAAGCTGCCGATGAAAAAGATGATGCGGAAGACTGTTGGCGGTGGTATCGGGAAGGAGGAGAGAGAAAACCTGAGTATTACTAATTTCGCGAGCTCGATTGGGCCAGGGCAGACTGCAGGGAGGAAGCTGCGAAGTCACGGCAGTAGCTAGTTCACTTGTATTTGGCTTTTGGCAAAACTGTTTCGTTGCGGTCCGGCGTTTCTTGGAACATTGGGAATTGGGGGGTTGGGGACTGGCGTTTGGGACAGTAGATGCGTGTGCACTTCACAGTGCTGGTCGAGTGCTTGCGCTCCCTCTCTGCATTCTTTTGGCGTAGGCGTACTCCCTTCAATGGACAGATTCATCCTCTTCAACCGTGGTCCAGGCATGTGAGTGACAACGGCAGCAAAATTCAAATCTTCGAGCGTTCGAGCGTTCAAGCTCTACGCAATTGCTATGGGTGACACTAGGTGAGCTTGCAGGTCACAACGCCCTTTCCTCAACTGCGCGACAGCAGTTGGGTTCTTTGGCAAGCGCGAGCGTCACGTACAAGGCACCGAGTCCCCAGCAGCGGCAGCGTGCAAGAGGGACGTTGCGACAAGGCAGCAGTTCAGGCGCACGCACTATAGTCCAGCTGCAAGCGTAGCGTACACCGACTCCAGGCAACAGCACATCAGCAAGCAGTGCTTACGATTGCAGGCAAGGGCGGTGTCAAGTCTCGAGAGCACGCGGGAATGTACAGATGATATCACGATCAAGCACAGGCTGCGGATAAGAAAGGAAGCAATGACGATCACAGCTTGTAAGAGCAGAGAAGAAATGTAGTGATGATGAAGTGATTTGATTATTGTTTGATTGAAACCATTGAAGTCCATATCCGACCCAGATTGCCCAAGTTCAAACCATGATCCACCACAGAAGCCGCACCTATGCTGACTCCCACCACCTGGCTGGATGTCACTATTACTCCTCCCATCCTGCCCGAACAAGTCTCTCCCACCCAATGCTGCTACAGTCAATGACTGCAGGCGATCTGGTCAGAGCCGGTGCGAGGATCCATCCATCAGCAACACAGACGCTCTGAACATCGAGTGGTAGGCCAGCTACGAAGAGCTTCTGTCCTCCAGCACCACACGATGTTGTTTACCAGACCTTGATGCCAGACTCTGTTGGGTTGTGACCCTCAAGTCCCCAAGCGTTCCTCATCTTTCTGAACCATGTGACATCCAGCCAGCATACCTTGTGTGTGTGTGTTTGCGCGAGCGACAGTTGAAGAAGAGGTGGAGGTGTTTGGGATTGAGTGAGGTGATGGCCTGAAGAGGCATTGATGGTGAAGTGAAGGTCGTGTTTGAAACGCGAATGAGGGTGCTGCTCTATTGGAGAAGAGACGGGCAGAGCTGACAGGGTTAGCAGACATGATGAGCAACAAGGGTGTACTGACCAGCTCATTGAACGACATGTTCGGATGTGTGATCAAGGTGATCAAGTGTGGTCGACCATGTTGAAGGCCAAAGGTGTTGAGCAGCCATGGTGAAGGAGTGTTGGTTGTGTAAGGCTGTGCTCATGTTGAGGAAGGATGTCATGAAGACTTGAAGTGATGAAGAGTCATGGTAGGCATGAACGAAAGTATGTCCAAGGTCAGATGACCAAAGCACTCGGAGTTGGAAAGTGGAGTGGAGGAGCGATGGAGAAAAGTCCTGGAGACGGGGGGCGGCGACCCTTAAGTATTGGGGAACTGTTGGTCCATGCGCAGTCTCGGGCCGTGGAGCTCCGATGCGAGGTTCTTCCGGTGGCAGTGAGGTCATGTGAAGGTGGTTGGGCGCGGTGATGGCGGGTATGCGTTTGCAGGTGGCGGGCGTGGGCAGCGGTGAAGTGAAGGTGAGCGCAACACCACGAGCATAGAGCGCAAGCAAAGTGGCCCGAGCGGCCTCACCAAAATCGAGACAAGATTTTCGGGTAGCGAATGTATGATCCTGCAATGTATGGGAGAGCCAGTCAATTCAGGAAGCATCAGTGACGACGCGAGGATTGCTGACGTTTGTGTCGGTCGACGGGAGGAGTGAGGCTCGACATGGCAAGTGAGGTTGCAGCTATAACAACATGCAAGTCTGCGCAGGATCGTCACTGACAGGCAATTCAGCCAAGAGCAAATGCCGTGCACACTCATAGCTATTACGGGCGATGGGGTAAATTGAATTTGATATTGTCTATTACTTCTCCCGGCAGCAAATGCTTGAATGTTCCTCGTGACTCAGGCCTTTTCATGAGCGAACAACCCAGAAAGCGACAGCCAGACTCCAGGTATGGTGGATTTGAGGTGACTTCGTCGTGTGCGTGGCACGCTTTCGATATCTATGGGAACCGTCGCAATCGTGACCTTCCAGCAAGACCCACCGTAATGTCGAGCAGCGCGTAAACTTTCTTCGTTGCCAAGTTTCTCGTGGAGCATGAGGACGCACCATGACTCTGCGTAGCAAAGCTGCTGGCAAAGCCTGACGTCAGCAAGGTGAACTGCGTGGAGGTGAACTGCGTGGTACAGAGAGGCCAGAACAAGTGCTGTAGGATTTACTCGGTGTTTTCCGATGCGTTCTCGAGTCCAGGAGCGATGCGAATCGACTAACGCTCGCACAGGTGTGCTAGTGGGTGAGAGCGCCAGCACGAATGGCCGTGTTGAGCGCGCAAACAGTCCCGAGTTCATAGCCGCGAGACGTGTTCTCGACACGTAGACGCAGGAGGAAGTACGCAACTGTGCGATCGTTTTGTGAAACAAGTTGATACTGTATGCGCATAGATCCAGAAATGCTTCTCTTCTATCCTATCATGTTCAATATCTTTAAGTACGGGCACCCTCCAGCCATCTCAGTGGTTGCGGCTCTCCTCCATTTGTATCACCTGCGCCCGTCATTGGACACGTGATGGAACATATCTAAGCTGCTGCTACCTTGCATGTTCTTTGTATGATCTGGAGCCTGCTTTGTGCAAATCCATGTCGTTCGCAGCGCTCTTGTAGCTTTTGCTCAAGCCACCAAGACCATTGGTCTATGCCTTAAGAGGCAAGGCGTTCGAAAGAAGTTGAAAGCATTGAATGAGATCGACGAGAAAGGGACAGAGCGAATTGGTCGGGATTGCAGCGCCAGTTTGTTGGGTGATTTGAGGATCGTCATGGCTACCCAGGTAGGTAAGCTTTGAGTATCTTACTGCCATCAGGATCAAACTCTCAATACCGAGATGTTCGTCCAATATGCCGGCGCTCTCTGCAGTGCGGGCGACTCGGTTTCTACCCAGGTATGCTACCATTATTTCCTCATCGTTCTTGGGGACGGTAACGCCGTACAGAATGACCTGCGGTAGACGCCGCAATTGATGTGCTCGAAGTCCAAGCTGATCAGTGACCTGCGTGTCAATCTTGAGACCACAGGCTGCCAATGACTTTACCAACATCTGATGTCAACATGCGACTTCACTACTAGCCCAGGGATTGTAGTGTATTTCTGTTCCATCCACTAAACTCCTCTTCAGGTGTCGTCGTGCTCTCTCTATCGTCGACTGGCATGTGGTATCGATTTAAGAACTGTGCCTTCCAATCGTCCATGTTGAAAGACTCAGACGGCTCCGTGTTAAGCAAACATGTCCTGTGGAAGGCTCTGAGTCGCATCATGGCCAACTCCACGCTAGGCCAGTATTCTTGCAGCTGTAAGAGCATACTGAAGTTCTGTTCGAGGAGTTTCTTTGTTTGTGCCATATGTTCTTCACTCGTGTCGAAAAGTAGCGTGTGGAGGTGGACTGTAGAAGCCACAACGAGCAGGTGGGCGTTCACTGGCGACCAGAAGCATTCTGTACCCTTCTGGTTGTTTGCTGCCCAGAAGATTTCGCTCATCCTTTTAGCATGATACTTGCAGTCTGCTGCGTAAGTTTCACGCTCGATGGCTATCGCAGACTTTGGGTCCACGTTAGGGTCTTTTTGCAAATACTGGTAGTAGAGCAGCTGGAACTGATAGTGATACAGGATGTGTAACACATTAAACTCACGAAACAAACCGTCTTCCTTGACGCGTATGATGTTCATGGATCGATACTCCAGTTCTGTTGGCAGGGCGTGGTGCCATTTTTGGAGTTCTTCTGCGATTTCTTCTACTCGAACAGGTTCTTCGTAGGGTTCTTCATTCGAACCGCATAAAACGTAGTTCAGATGCTGGATTCGACTGTGGATCTCCGAGAGTGGTAGCATTGTACTCCAAAGACCTCTGCGATTTGCGTCCTTATTGTGTGCGGTATCGAGCTGAGCATCGCTGGTAGCCACATAGTCTTGGAGCTGATAGAACGCTTTCTCTTCCATGATTCTCGGAATTCCAGGGTCACTGCGAATTTGGCGGGGATACTGTGCTCGCGAGGCCTGCCAGGCATCCATCAAGTAGACCTGCCAGTATACTGCTTCTGATTAGTCAAAGGAGTGTGAAGATTTATGCACCACCTACAACGAACTTGGATCTCAAACAAGATAGCATCTGTACAAGTCTTATCTGGCAAGTGCATCACTTGTACCATTCGGATTGCCTGTGCAGAAAGCAAGTCCTCTTTTTCATATTCGGCCTCGACAAAGCATGCCATTCCCAGTAGAACGGTTCCTTGCAAGGCTGAAATGCATATGTCATCAGTTCGGCTGTAGAAAGCGTGCAAAGCCTTGTCTAGCCAACGACGACTTCGCTCTTTTCGTGGAACTGACGCAAAGCATACATGATCAGAGAAGCTGATATCATCTATGAGTCAGTGTGTTTCAATAACATGACATCACATTGGATCACACTCACCGAGAGCTTAGAGCGGCCATTCCCCATACAAGGAAATCTGGAACCTGTCCAGCATGGTACCTGGTTAGGAAAGTTGGAGGATGGAATAGGATATGCTGCTTGTCATGTATAATGTCAAAGTACAGCGTAACAAGCTCAGTACAGACTTCGTAGTTTGGTGTATCATAAATTGAAATCGGCGAACTTGCGGATCTGTCAGGCAGACTACGCGAATTTTGTTGCAGAGGCAGCAAAAGTCGACGACCACCGCTCTGCGTCTCCGTCGTGTTGCTACTCAGCCTGCTCAAGCTACATCTGGCATCCTTGGATAGGCATTCTTTACAAGACTTGAGTGCCGGAATATACGTGCATCGTCTTTTGCGAGAACTAGCGCGACTTAGTAAGCGGTATGTGAGGAATGCCGCAGGGTTACATACCGGCAGAAAGCACACGAGGTGACAATCCGCATCCTGCTCAAACTGAATCTCAAACAGTGGTGAAGTGCCCAGTAGGCTGTCTGCTAGTCAAGAGCCGTCATCCGCGCGCTTAACATTTAGGATGGGGGACAAAATAGGGGAGGTGAGATGGCCTTGGTGTCATTACAGTTCGAATCAGCCTCGAACCAGCCCCCCTGCGCTGACCGTGCGGGGTCGCGCCCGTATCAAAGCCTCGACTGGCGTAGCGTCGTTTTGAACCACGAAATGACGAGTGCTTTCCGGCAAGGTAGACAACAAAGACGAAATACGGACAGAACGAGGGCATTCACTTAGGAGCATAGGAGTCGGCACTTTGCAAACGATGAATTCAATGAAACATTGCACGACAGGACATCGCGACTCAATCACGCCATTCTTGCAGGATCCATCAAGCATGAGTACCTGTTGCCCATTCATTCGTCTTGAATATATCGAATATACATGCCCGGCCCGATTGCACATAGTGGTGCGTAGCGCTATGCCTCCACTAGTCTACAGCTGCTACATGTGCAGACGTGTCTGCGAATTGTCTCGCCGGAATCTCGCGTTGGAAGAGGTTGTCCTACGGGATGATGTTAGCGAATGAGAACGCGATGCAGCAGCCAACCTACTATTTCGCCGTAGGTGCGACCCCTCATCTCAGGGAATCTGAAGAACGTCCAGACAAGTGTGGCAAGAGCAATTCCGAACCAGATGAATCCACCTTTTCCCCCAAGACTCCATGCAGTGGGATTGATAATGGCCGGATTCAACCAGGAGCCGCCAAAATTTAAGAGGTTTAAGAAGATTCGAGCGATTGCAACCGTCTTGTTGCGGTGTTGCGAGGATGGTGTCTCACCCACGATAGTGTACGCGACCGGACCTAGACATGCAGTGTACACGAACATGTATACCATCATCAGTGCCCCTGTTGCCCAGACCGGGCCCTTGTTGCTGCCGCTCGGAACGCTGCCAAGAATGCCTACAAGTAGCAGGATGATGCAGGTAAATGTGAGACCCCAAAGATAGAGAGTGCGACGCCCAAAGCGATGCATCAGCGCCCATGATGTGAGGACACCAATGAACGCAAGTGCATTCTGGCCTAGACCAAGGTTGTAGGCATTATCAGAGCTCAAGCCTGCGACAGATAGAAAATAAACTGCCTGACCTGTGAAACCAGTGCCTGCAAGGAACGGAACAGCGCCGGCGACACAGGTGATCTCTGTTCGACGCAGAGCAGATCCTCGCAGACAGTCGCGGTATCTAGCCCCCTGCTCAACATGCTCTTCCTGGCTGACGGTATGACGGATCATAGCTAGAACACTGTCGACATCGTGTTCCAGATTCCTTGCCGAGGAGAGATCAACGAGAGCCTTTCGCGCGTCCTTGATTCTATTCTTGCGAACGAGCCACCACGGACTGTCATTTCATCAGTGCATGCTGTTCTCGTGTGGATCGTGATACCATACCTTTCGGGTGCAAAATTGACGCCAATAATGATGGGAACAGGCCAAATCCACTGTAAAGCGAACGGAATGCGGTACGCCCATTGATCTGCCATGTTGACAGTTCCACGCAAGACGCCTGTAGAGATGAATCCTCCAATTACCCAGCATAGATTTACATACGAAGTCAGATACGCCCTGAGAGCAACTGGGCTCACTTCAGCGGCATAGGTAGTTGTCAGTGTTTGGATGATGCCCCATGGGATGCCGAGAAGACCTTCGCCAACGACAAGGAGAACGATCGATGGCGCGAAGAAGACGATGAAGATGAAGCAGGTGATTGACAGTAGGGCGCCTTGCATCGTTCTCTTGTAACCAATCTTTTCAATGAGCAGACCGCTGAGCCAATAGCCACAGATTGAACCTGCTTGAAGAGCAGCAGTTAGGGCTGATTGATACCTGTTGTCGAGTTGGTATGAGCCGTCGGAGCGAGGGCGCCCGTATTTCCGTTGGAATGCTGGCTGGGCGAAGAGGGATGGTACCAGTCCGATTTGATAGCCTTCCATGATAATAGCCATACTCAGGACCACACAATACAGAACAGACTTGGGGTATAATCGAAGTGCATCTCGAAGGCTCATCGAATGCTCGGCTTCCGTGTTCGCTTGAGCAAGCGCTTTGAGTGTCGCGGCATCCTTATCGACGTCCATGGGGGCTTGTTCGACTTCCGACATCGTAGTACAGCTGTTTGAAGGCTTTCGTCATATATGGTGATGGGAACGGAACAGAACAACTGTGAGTGAGAATAACTAGGAATACGATGTCGATCAAGATGCTGGATTGGATAGTGAGGCCCACGCGCTGGTCAGCAATTTCGAAACCTTAAGATTACAGGGTTTGATTCCTTCACAGGCGGTCTTCGGTCCTTGCTTCTCTAAGCAAAACGAAGGCTACGTGGAGGAGCAAGCCTAATACCAGCATTAATGACGGCGTGTGAACAACATTTGCCGGAGGGACAGTATCTTGTCAGACTACCTGTAAGAGATTAAACTGGCTTGGTCTTGTGGGGAGAGCGAAGGAGTATGCTTGGAGTCCAGAGCTGATGGGTGCGGGAACGACTGGGGCTTTTGTGGGCACGGATCATGACTAAGGGCACGCTAGATGCGCCACCAATGAAGGGGGCACGATGCCGAAAACGGCCTGCAAGTTCTCAGATCCGAGACATTCAGCTCATCACTGTGCGCTTTACTCGATTACCTTGCAGCCGCATAACTCGACATTCGGATGCGAACGCAGTCATCATTGTGGCAGCACTATCCTTACCTTTGGACCTACAATAAGGGCGGTCGCCATTGAGGTCACCATCACATTTCATTGGCTATCTATCCGCAACGCATCCATCATTCGCCCAGAACTTTCACAACGAATTTGAGTGGTGTGCAGAGCTATAAATGCGTGGATATACCCCTCAAGGAAAGCGGGAACTAGAACAGCGGATGTGTTCGAACATCAGTGACAACCAATATCGTATCCTGGGGCGCATTGTGGACAATCCCCCGCACAAGCATTACTGATATCATAATTTGTGCAACCACCATCCTCTCCATCGATCCTTTGTTCGCCAACTTCCCATCATGGCGTATCCTCAGGAAGTTTTCAGGTCGACCAAAGTCGAGGCTACGTCGCTGCTTGGCCGGCGTCGCAAGGCGGCCTCTATGAACATGATCATGCATCAACTCCACACGCTCAGAAGTACTGGTCGCTTCGATGCTTTCAACCTGAAACGGCAGCCGATATACGATAAAGTTTCGGAGTATTGGCCTATCACAGATCATCTCTTCTGGGATTCCGATATTGGTAAATGGATTGAAGGCGCATGCTACTTCCTCGAAGGACAGATAGACCCAGACTCAGTCATTGATGATGCTGTCAAGGACCTTGTCGAGTTGATCAGAAGTGCGCAACAACCAGATGGTTACATCAACATACATTACCAGGTTGTTGAGCCGGGGCGGCGTTTTACGAACTTGCGAGACATGCATGAGCTCTACAACTTGGGCCATCTCATTGAGGGTGCATTGGCGCACAACCAATATTACCACAACGGCCTCCTTCTTGAACCCATGTTGAAGTATGTTGCACTGGTCCATAGTGTTATCGGGCCAAGCGAGGGGCAATTACATGGCTACCCTGGACACCCTGAGCTCGAGCTGGCATTAATGCGCCTATTCCATCGCACACAAGACCGAAAGAGCTTTGAGCTAGCCGAGTATTTTATCAACGAGAGAGGGAACCCCAGTGGAGTCGACGGAAGAGACTTCTACACGGTTGAGGCTGAGAAGCGGAACGAGAGAAAAGACTGGCAACCGATGTGGTATCCCGCTCCAAGATCTCACTGGTACCACCAAGCGCACGCCCCCATTGTCAAACAAGAGACCATTGAAGGCCACAGCGTGCGAGCAATGTATCTGCTCACTGCGGTGGCCGATCTAGTTCGAGTCAACTCGGCCTCAGCCGAATTGAAAGAGGCAGTTTACAGATTGTGGAACAATATGGTACAGAAGAAGATGTACGTGACTGGCGGTATAGGTGCAGTGAAACAATGGGAAGGATTTGGCCAGAACTATTTTCTTCCTCAAGGCACCGACGAAGGTGGGTGTTACGCGGAAACATGTGCTGCCATCGGCGTCATGATGTTAGCACAGCGAATACTCCAGGTAAAACAAATATTTGGAGAAACTGTCATATCAATGACTAACGATTGTAGTACGACCTGAACAACGGATACGGGGACGTCATGGAGCTGTGCCTATACAACGCGGTATTCACTGCGATGTCAGTGGACTGCAAACAGTTCACATACGTAAATCAACTTGCTTCAAGCGACAAGAACCTTTCTGAGAGGTCTGCGCAATTCACTTGTTTCTGCTGTCCACCCAATATTCTAAGACTGTTGGGGTCGATTGCAGGATACGTTTGGAACGTCTCCGAGACGGTGCGAGGCGATATTACTCAGATCGACGTCCACCTCTACACCGCAGCAACCCTTGCATTCGAAATAGATGCTGGTTCTGCAACTCTGAAGCAACAGTGTGATTGGCCTAGGGACGGAAAAGTCATGTTTTCATTAACTGGCACAGGCAAGAAAATACAGCTGAGGTTACGAATTCCTCGTTGGGCCACAACATGGGAGGTGAGTATTGACGGCCCCCATTCCTGATTCTGGATGTTAATGAATACCAGATCTCTCCAAGCCTATCTGATCTCAATGTCGAGAATGGGTACCTTCTTGTCCCACCCGAGTACTTGGCGACTAACCCGGAATTTATCCTTACCTTCGATCTCAAGCCACGCTTGATAACCGCCCACCCTCTTACGAACCAAAACGTCATCACCGTCGCTCGTGGCCCTATAATATACTGTGTCGAAGATGTCGACAACAATTGGGTCACTGATCACTTCCGCTCCACATATCTCGACCCTCGGTGCCTTTCCAACAATGTTGTGACCGAACAAGACATGACCGATCCCAGTATGCCCGACGAGAGATATGTGGGTATTACTGTTCACAACGCTGCCTATGTGGTAGATTTCGATGAGCTAGATGCAGATCCCTTTATTGACAAAGAAGAGCTGAACAGAACAATCAAGGCGGCAACAAAGGTCGAGAAGCTCAATTACGTGCCTTATTACTACAGGGCTAATCGTGGAGGTCTCGGTATGGCACGTGTTGGATTGAAGCAATGGATATGGTGATCTACATACATTCTTAAGCCTGCGCGTCTACATCATCTGAATACATAAGGGTGGCTGCAAAAAACTACTATTCATTCTTGAGCAGGTTTTAACATACAAGGTACGATCAGCTTGATGTCGCCTTCCACACTAATGGCAAGGTCATCATCCTCTAAGTCAGTAGGTACTGCCGCAGACGGCCCCAACCCGACTCGAATCAGTTTCACTCTGCCACCGCCTTCCCTAACAAGCTCTTCGTTGGGCCATCTCAAAACGCTGGGTGTGTTCATACCTACACCTAATTCGAGTATGACGGTCTCTTTCTCGTGCTGAAGTATGTCTTGTTGGAACTTTCGCCACCTCGCCTCGCCATTTTGGAATGGACGATCATTAAACCAATTTCCACCTCTCACACAGAGCATCATCTCACCTCCACAGTTCTTGCACCGTGGCACCATCGAGGGATCTGAAAGTCTTTGCGTTTTTGGATCTAGGAACGGCTCTGCTGCTTCGTAGAATGGCAAGGTGTCAAACGTCGAGTCGGGACGACACTTGGCCAAACATTGCAGTACAGAATACCTGCCCTGCGGCGTCGATTGTTGTTCCTCTTTCCAACCATTGGCAAGAAATAGTCCATCGGCGTTACTTGTCCGTATATGAACGTCCTTGCCTGATGCCTTCAACCATGGAATTAGGCACTGGTACAGGTCCCAGGGCCCCCACGAGCGTACCATTTGTATGTTTGTGAAGAAGTACGCCCACTTTTCTTCTTCAGATGGGAACCTGAACCCGATAGCGCTGTACAGGGTATCTAAACCCATGCCAGCGAAAGAAGGAAAATGCTTCTTGAAGAGTGATTTAGATGTATAGTCCAGGCCGTCAGCGGCTGAGAATCCGGCCCCTGCTGAGATGACGATAGCATCTGATGATTCGAGCCATTTCTGCGCGATTGCTAGAGTACTACCTTCTACTTTTAGGGTCTCTGCTGCTGGCGACTGCGGAGTTGATAACCGCCAAGGCTCCTGCACTTCTAAGAGCTTTTCGGTGTAAATCTCGAAGTCACCCTCAGCGAAGGTAACAAAAATTACATCTGTAATAGAAGTATCCTCATTGTGCGCGAACCAAGCGACCACGGTACCTACGGCGATTTGTGCTGCAAGACTCGTAGGGAAAGCAAAAAGGCCAGTGGATACCCCACATAGTGCGATTCGTTTTGAACCATCTGCGTTCGTCGGTAAACCATCTGCTTGCTCCAACACAGAAACATAACTTTGTCGGAGTTGCTGGATTTCCTCGTCCGTCGGGTGTGCGCCTCGATCAAGTTGCGGTCCCACAGTATGTATTATGTATGGCGAGGGCAAACAATATCCCTTTGTCGAAATAGCATCTCCCACGGGTAGATCAGTACCCATGGTCTCAATTATGCTGAAACACTCTTGTCTTAGCCGAGGACCTGCGAACGAGTGTATGACATTGTCGATACACTTGTGCGTAGGCTGAAAGCAACCTAACATTCGGGAGTTGGCTGCGTTTGTTATTGCGGTCACATCATCGGCTAATGTTGTGATGTCTCCTTGCCAAAGCTTCAATCGTACGTCGGGCTTTCCAGGTCTCGCCAACGTTGCGTTGGTGGGTATCGATGCTCCTCTAGTCAAGATTCGTTGTTTTCGAGATTGTAGCAAAACGTTGTCGACATCCTCGAGTAAGGCCGGTAGTAGCGGCGGCTGTGGCGAACGAATACATAAGAGCTGCTTTAGAAGATGTAATTGTTCCCAGGACTCGTAGTGAGTTAAGTGTTGTTCAATTTGACGAGCTTGCTTGATTCCAGATTCGCGGATGAGGATGAGAACAGTACGCTGGAGCAGAGACATGGCGGCACCGAACAATGGTTTACATCAATGATAGTATCTTGAAGTAGGTTGTGGTGCAGTTATATTCACAATTGCATATTTGTATAGAAGGTGCTTTGCAAGCATACCTGACTAAAGTGTAAAAGTGAGACGCGGAACTGTGCCGCACTTCGACGAGTCTGATCCGAGAGTCTTCAAAATTGGAACCGTCGGGTGTGTCGATGCCTGCAAGACAAACAGGTCAAATGGTACGATATAATACATCGCGGTAGATAATAGCTTGGTTCTCAAGGTTGATGAGGACGAGAATGTGTCACGCCATGTGCCGTCGCTGCTGACACATAACCAACGAAGACGTTAAGACGTCCCTCGAAAACCATTTGGACTTGATCGCTTAGTGAAGTATGTTTACATGAATTGCACTTGGCTGTTGTCGAAGCTCTTGTGTAGCTGCAGGACGATGGCAGGAGAGCCTCACTCCGGTGAGGCTTCCTAGCTCGCTTGCGCCTGCACTTCGCCGCGTCGCTCATTCGTCGCGTGTTCACAGCCCCCGCCCATCACGCTGTTAGACCGTGCTGACAGTCAGGTGCGACCCTCGATCTCTGTCGTCTCTTTTGCAGCTCAACCACTATTTGGAAGACCATGCGATGCCTGAGATAACATTCGTCTTCGGGCCAAACGGCAGTTTTTTCTTTGACTGTCCAAAGGCATGGAAATTGTAAGCAGACCGACTTAACCGCTGAACGAGGCTGATATGCGCGTAGCGATCGAATCCCGGGAACCCTGCGTCAGCTCTTCAACTCGTCCATGTCCCCAGCATGGAGGATAGCACAGCCATATTGCGTTGCGCTTGCGCCTCCGTTCAATTCTCCTGAGCCGCTATGGTATATCGGATGTAAAGTGATGACTGGAGAGGATAAGCTTTGTGAGTTGCCCGGTTCGGTCTTAACATTGTGGAAGGATAGGTGAAACGCACACGAGAGATAGTATACAAGCATAGGAAAGGCCAGGCTGACTGATCAAAGTCTATTCACAAACGTACTTCGAAACCAACTATACGGATTTGTGCCACTGGACGAAAACGTTGCCCAACGCGTCCAGGAATTGTTTTGTTACCTTTGGGTTGAATCTAAGCTATTTCGCCTGTGCCCCCGGAAGTGGTTCGATATGGGCAGGAATACCTTCAGAACTCGAAGACAAAGTGCGCAAATCATTTGATACTCCGTGCTGCGTCTCCTTAGGCGTGCACAGCGCGTGGTTTGTTTCTTGGCCTGATGGCAATTGTTCGTGGAACTTCTACGGTAACTATAACGCGTTGGACAAGATCCTGACCGAAGCTACACCTCAATCAATTTCAGTCAGTAACAGTCATAAATCCAGAAAACACGATACTGATGATGATCGTAGTATGTCGCCATTTCACCGTACAGCAAGCACCATTACTTCGTTGCATTCAAGGATCAATCCATCAAATACGATTTCACAGGTGCTCCACCCGAGTGGATGAAACTTATGACAGAGGTTTTCGATTCCTGGATAGCTGATCGCTTGCAGAAGCCACAGCAACAACTGCCGTCTCCGAATGCACCCCAGGCGCATCTGCATCGGCCTTTGCAACAGTCTGCGTATGTTTACAACAACTTTGTTGCAGATCTGCCATCTGTCCCAGCCCAGATTTCCCTTGCATCACCGCCGTTAACGCCAAATACACCGCTATCCGGTTACCCAAGTCCAGCACTACCACAAACTGCGCCAAATATTCCTTATCTGTACCACCTACCGCCGCAGGGAGCTGTCGAACTACCAGACAACGCCTGTCTGGCTGCACCAGCGCCTGTGCCCACTCGCTCTATCTCTACAGAAGTAAGTCGGCTGGCACCACTGACGTTCGCGCTGTAGGCTAATGTGACATAGAAGAAGAAAAGGTTCCTGTCCAGGCTGTTTTAAGCTGTGGGGAAGGTCCGCCGTTCTAGTTGCTTTAGTGACGATACCCATTTGCTATTTTGCGCTTTAAGCGTCCAAGAACTTAACTTGCAGTTCTCTATGTGCATCGAAAAGCCCGGGAAAGATGTTTCAAGACGCGGGAGACGCCATTTGTTCTATAGTTTTTGATCGCCAAGAACAAAACGATGTATTTTGTTGTTCTATGCGATATTGATGTTGCATCATCCCACTTTTGACAATGATAAGCTGTTGGTGTTCTGATATTGACCATGTTGGGACTAAAAGCCGATGCCGCTTGCCTACCAGCCACCTTCCCGTTCCAATAGACAGCCTCTTATTCGTCTAGTTCCCTGGAACTGCAACGATCGACAAGGAAATAAGTGAAAACTCCGTAGCACGGCCGGTAAGCACGAATTGCAATTGCGTAGGAGCATTTCGGTCCCGAAATTCATGGATGTCATCGCCGCTAGCCAAGACCAACATGCATGCAGAGTAAATGGCATATCTCGGGCCCAACACTACTTCCTCATCGCTGAATCTATTCGGAGTCGACCAATCTATCATTATGGGAGCCTTTGTAAGATCCTGGAAGTGGAGTACGTTGTCATGCTTGCTCACGACGATTGCCTCGGCTACCGAACCAACCGTAAAGGTGCTCAACGGCACATACGAAGGCCTCTACCTGCCTGGCTTTGATCAAGAGCTCTTCCTGGGTGTTCCTTACGCACAAGACACCGGAGGTCAGAATCGCTTTCTCATTCCACAATCGCTAAACTCGACCTGGAATGGCACTCGTACGGCTAAGCAGTACGGACATGCCTGTCCCGATCCGCAACCCGAAAGAGATGCGGAGTTTGGTATGAGCGAAGACTGTCTCAGCATCAACGTTGTGCGCCCAGCTGGACTATCGGAAAACGAGTCTGACAAACTGCCGGTGGCTGTCTGGATTCATGGCGGCTCATACCAAGTAGGCACAAGCGGACTCCCTAACTACAACCTTACATACATTGTCCAGAGGAGCGTGGAGATCGGCAATCCGATCATTGCTACAAGCATCAACTACCGGAAAGGAGGTTGGGGCATGATGTACTCTCGTGAGATCCAAGGAACAGGCAACACAAATCTCGCACTGCGGGACATGCGCAAAGGTCTTGCTTGGATCTCAGAGAACATCGGTGCGTTTGGCGGAGACAAGGATAGCGTGACGATCTGGGGTGAATCAGCCGGCTCCTTTGCTGTTGGTCAACTACTCATGAGCTACGGCGGTCAGACCGACGGGCTCTTCCATCGTAGCATTCAAGAGTCTGGCTCTGCTGCAACAGCATGGTACAACGGCTCAGACTGGTATCAGCCCATCTACGATAATATTGTCGATAAGACAAACTGTTCTGACCTCCCGGACACACTCGCATGCCTCCGCACAGTACCTTATGAGACAATCCTGCCTTTGATGGCAGAGCCTATCCAAGGACCAGGCTGGTATCCAACAGTCGACGGCGACATCATGCCTAAGTTTCCAACGGAGCTTCTTCATTCCGGACAGTTCGCACACATCCCACATCTCTATGGCTCCAACACAGATGAAGGAACAGACAACGCACCCGCTGGCGGCGTGATAAACACCACACAGCAGCTCTACGACTTCGTCAAAGGCAGCACGGGCTTCGGCTTTCCCGACGCCGTTGTTACCGAGTTGCTTAACCTGTATCCGGATGACCCGGCTCAAGGCATCCCGCTCAACACCGGAGACGAACGATTCGCAGAGCAAGGGTTTCAGTACAAGCGCATAGCAGCGATCATGGGCGACGTATTCTACCACGCACCACGACTCGACGATGCGAGGCAGTACTCCAAGCATGCCCCGACATACATCTACCGCTTCAATACCCGCCCATGGGTGGCTGCAACCAACACGTCCGAAGGCGGATTGGCGCCGCCGTACAAGGGCGTGCAGCATTTCAGCGAGACACAGTTCCTGTTCGCCAACCCGGCATTCTACGGTCCGTGGCCTGAGTACAAGGCCCTGAGCGATGTGATGAGTGCGCAGTGGGTCAACTTCATTGCATGTGGTGACCCTAACGGCGAGGGCTTGCCCAGGTGGCCCAAGTATAGTGAGAGTGACCGAGGAGCGAATCTGGTTATACAGGCCACTGGAAGGGGGCAGAATGGAAGTTTTGTGGAGGAAGATACGTGGAGGTTGGAGGGCAGGGAGTTTTTGAGTCAGTGGGCAAGGCGGAGACATGTGTGAAGGGACTGTAGGCGTGAAGTTTGGGCGACACGGTCGGAGAATGCAGGAGAGGTTGGTGTTGGCGAGAAACAGTGTCTCTAGTTATTGAAGAACAAACCTAGCAGAATTGAACAAGTTCACACGATGGCTATTCCCATGCAGGCGGGCTCCGGGACGGTCGATGGTGTGGCTCAGCGCAACGGTAGATCTGAGCGTGGAGGAAAAGTTAAGGCCGGGGATTGGAGCGTTTCGTTCATCGTAGGGCTACGCTCGGTTGAGTATTATTGTGATTGCATTTGAGTACCATGAGTACATAGCAGCGGCGTTTGTCAGGGTGAGTAGTGTGAATCTCCGTACATCAATAGGGCCTCCATCAATTCAACGTGGTGAGAAGATTCTTGAGAGAACCATGGCACAGTGGCTGCTTGGTCGATGTTTCCATTCGTGACTGAACATGATGAAATTTTCCGTAATGCCTGGTATAACCCTCATTCATTTCATTCGGGTATCAGGCAGCCGGGAGGGATGACAGAACGCCCCATGCCGTGCAATACCATTTTGCTGAACCCCTACTTTATCGTGCGCCTGTCCGGATGGACTTCATCACGCCGTCAATGCCTCATTCCCTCCGTCGCCGTGCGAAAATTTACGAGGACTTGGGGCCCTTGGCTCCGGCAGGGGTGCCGACGCGGAAACCGTTGGAGAACTTGCGGTTGACGGTCTTGAGGTAGCGCATGCGGCCGGAACCGGTGGTCTTCCTGCGCTTGGCCTTCTCGCCCCAGTTGACTGTGCTGCGTTAGTCGCGGGTCCTTCGTGTGCTGTTCGAGCAGCGCGGAATCACATACACTTCCTGGTCTTAGCAGCAGGGTAGCCGCATGAGGAGCAGGTGTGCTTCTGGATGTGGAGGGAGCGACGACCTGCAGTTCCATTAGCCGAGTTCTCTGTCCGTCTTTTGCTCGTTTGCAGAACCCTTCCACTGTATCTCAGTCAAGGTACCACGGGTAGGACATACCGCAACGCCTGCAAAGCGTGTGCGTCTTGTTGTGACGCTTTCCGAAACTGGAGGTACCCTTGGCTGCACTATTGTCAGTCTCGAAGTTCGGTCTCGGCGGTGCCCTCGAGGCGGATATATGGCGTACTCATTTTGGATGGGGGCTGTCACAGTGATTGTCAGTATGTTTGCGCAGTGCTTGCAGATTGGGCGGCGACCTACCTCGTGACGCTGTTGAGGTTAGTTTTGGGGTTGAAGTGTCGCAAAGGCTCAGCCAAATTCGAAAGGTGCGCTTCGCTTCACTAGTGTTCCGCGTCGGGGTTAGCGCCAAATGCGCAAAGTTATCCTAGCTCACACCCATCAACACGACCCACAACATTGAGGGATCGCAGTAAAGGACGTGAATGTGTGTGAAGAATGACGGTTGTCTGGGATTTGGCATAGCGCGATGACCTCTAAGCACAACGCATTGAGGCTTGTGGATCAAGACTGCTAGTCTCCTGCACGTATCTCAAAGCTCTACAGCTAAGCATCTGCACCAGGGGAGGATTATGGGTGGAATCTGAGGCGATACATGCAGATTTCTGGAGGTTGGAGCTCGCTGATAGCTACGCCGTTGTTTCTTCTTGGATAAGCAACGAGACCTTGAGCTGGTTGTTGCAGAGATTTGCTCAACTTCATTGCACCAAATCGATTGCGCTCGTCCCATAATTACCTCTGAGGAGCTATATGAATAAGAACTTATCGATACAGCTACGAATCACTCTTTTCTATCAAATATATGGTCAGCTTTTCGATTGTCGGTGCCCAACCGTACCTTAACCTGTCATTGGCTGCAACAGCGCTTTATGTACGACCATCATGTTTGAATGTCGCTCTGGACCACAGTTACCATGGAATAACTTGCGTGACACAACAAGTTTCTTTGCTGCAGCCTGTGCAGGAGTTCAGTTGCATTGAAGCGAGATGTGACAGAGCACCCCGACAGGCAGACTGGCACCGATTTTCAGTTGGCTGAGTAAAGAGCAACCGATATGGCTACCTGCGAGTCTATTTGGGTTACCCCGTACGACTCACCCAGGGAAATACTTACACGCCATTGCAAACGACCCTGAGGCTGCGTTGCAATGCTCGAAAGCAAATCCAGCTCAACAAACTCTCAATTCCGTGCCTGAGGTTGGTCAGACCGACTGCACACATTCGACTTCGAAGCTGTGCAATGCACCAAGATTTCTTTCATCGGTGAGGTTGGCGACAGTGCCTTCGATCAACACGTGCCATACTTTATGATGCAGAAGATACAAAGCAAAAGAGAGAGAGTCATCCGAGTCAGACCCAATGATGTGATGATCGCTGGTCACGCGACCTGCCTATAACCGCGACACCTATGTGGTACTTCCACTGCTGTGAGCACGTGATGCCGTTCTGCTCATCCTTTCCAGGCAAGAGGACTGGGTTCTAGCAGAAGTTTACGGAGTCATGTGGAAGATCTACGCAGTCGCCAAAATGGACTGAAGGATGAGGGGTGTTAAGAAGAGTTGCCTAGCTTCGACAATGGCGCAGTAAGGTGCAGGTGGGCCGTGAGGGGGCGAAGGCAAACTTCCGCGTGGGCAGCACTTGCCGTCATTGATTTTGCGCAACAAACCGCAACAGCACAATCAGCAGCCGCAATCGCACTCCAGCAAGCGTAACAATGCAATCAAGGCACCCCTTTGCAGCCTGGAGCAATCTTGAAGACTCACCCAGTCACACAGCAGTGAAATGGAGTTTGAAGTTGCAGGCTTGATGTGTTAGCGAAGGCGCTAGACTCGTTGGCGAATTAGCGTTGTGAGACGCCAAGAAGGAAACCGTCAATTGCCCACAGCAATTTCACCCTCCGCCGCCTCGAAGCCAGCGTCTCCGTCCTCGCGCCAACCATCAACTCAACCCGTTGCCGACAATTTTTCAAACCGAAAACTCTCCATAAACCGACAATATGGTGAGTGACCACCGCCGCGACGCCGCAGAGAGCGTACAGGGAGATTCTGCGTGGCCTGCACACGACTGCCTCGGAGTTTGCCACAGAATCTTCACATCGCAACCCTCTGCGGCCGCCCTGCGCGCAAACACGAACTCAATGGACTTCGCATGCTAACGCAAGCCCAGGTTCTCGCTGTTGACCTTCTCAACCCCACGCCCGCCGCGTACGCTTCCACCTCTCGATTTGCCCCTCCGACCGCCGACTAACAAGCTCCCAGTGAGGCCCGCAAGCACAAGCTTAAGACCCTTGTCCCCGCCCCCCGCTCGTTCTTCATGGACGTCAAGTGCCCGGGATGCTTCACCATCACCACCGTCTTCTCGCACGCCAACACAGTCGTCGTCTGCCAGGGCTGCTCGCAGGTCCTGTAAGTCAAGGGTCTTTAGGATACGGATGGAACATGGACTAATGATGGAACAGGTGCCAGCCTACCGGTGGTAAGGCTCGCCTGACTGAGGGCTGCTCTTTCCGCAGGAAGTAAGCGACTCTCCCGGAGCGATTACGGTGGGATTTGACGGGTTACGATGACGACTATCATGGAATAAGGGTGTAGATCTCATTGGTACCGATCGATCCGACTGCGGGATAGAAGAGGGATCTTTCGACTCGAGTCAATGCAAAAGTCAAAATGGGAGTTCCGGATATTCAGCGTTGATCACAGGACGACCCTTTCTCCTTCGATCTATTCCCTTCTGTTTGGCATCTCTTTCACAGCTTTTTATGTACATGCATGTGGAAGGGGAGATGGCATATCTGAGCTCTGGATACGTGATCTGAGGGCAAGGACCGGTTTGCAATCGAGGATACCTCCGCAGCACGCGGTCCTTTGTAAATCGAAAGTCAATTTCAACACTCGCTCCCTGCTGAAGTGATTTGGCCCTTTCCTGCACCAATTCCACCAGATCACGTAGAGATCATCCCTATACAGACCCCATTGCAATTGCCCCACACTCCAAAGCCCGGGGCTATTATTACCCTTCTCGAAACAATCTCACCGCCCTAACCTCAACCTGTGAAAGGAACACTGGGACGAATTTGCCTGACCATTCCCATAGAAGAAGGACGTTGGTCTTGGCCGCGCCTTCCTGCCCTTGAGTGGAGCAGCGTGGCCCAGACCCCACGTTCATTCAATGGCACACATGATGAGCAAAAGACGAGGTTTCGCCGAACTCCGACAGCCCCAAATCTTGAATATAAACAAACACATTTCCCATAACGCCATTACTGAAATCGAACGTGACGCTTACAGAGTCTCGTGAGGAAGGACTTGAGTCGTACCAGCCGTCCCCATAACGTCATACCACCAATCACCAGGATTTGCGCCCGTCTTGTCCGTCTGCTCTCCGCGGCCTGCCTTTCTATCGAAAAATTCCCATTTAGGCTCACTCTGCTAAGCATTGACAATATCCACCATGTCTGCACCTGCCGAGAACCCCCATCCCATACCTCTGACTGAATCGGAGGTCTTGATCCGTGGATTCCTGGCTGCGAACCCCGCGCTTGACGCTGAACTGGGTCCGATCGAAGTCATGACGGACCGCTACACGAATGAAGAGTGGGCGGCGCAAATTGCGGAAACGAGGAAGGTGGTCTTGAAAGAGGTGGAGAGTGGCGAGAGGGCTCAAAAAGTATACGAGGGGCCGAAGATGAGAAATGGGAATGAGGCGCTGAAAGAGCTGGCTAAGACAGTTGACCACACAGTTCTGAAATTGGATGCGACAAGTGCCCAGATCGATACCTTGTGCAGTGAGGCCCGAACAGAGGACTTCAAGGTAAGATGCCTTGACGAGCGGAGGAACAGGCCTTAGAGATTCACCTGTCGCCAAAAACTAACATCGATTAGTCTGTCTGCGTTCGGTTGAACTGGGTACAACGCTGTGCCACCAACCTCAAAGGCTCTTCTGTTGTCGTAGCAGCCGTCGTCGGATTCCACGAGGGCACTCAGGACACCTACTCCAAGCTGCGCGAAGCACGCGCCTGCGTTGCCGCCGGCGCCTCAGAACTGGACCTCGTCCTCAACCACTCTCTCCTCACCAAGCACAACAAGCCAGCCTCTGCCCGCGCCATCCGCAGCCACGACTCAGCAATCGACAGCGTCACCGCCGCCAACACAGCCGCCAACTCCGGCTCCACCACCAGCAACGACGAAGACGAGATCCCAGACTACAGCACCATCTACCGCGAACTCGCGTCCATCCGCTCCCTCTGCCCCTCCCCTGTTGTCATCAAACTCATCCTCGAAACCTCGCAACTCAACCCGGAGCAGATCCTCGCGGCCTCGCACCTCGCCGGTGCTGCCAACCTCGACTTCATCAAGACCTCCACCGGCTTCAACGGCCCCGGCGCCTCGCTGCCCAACGTGCAGCTCATGGTCGGCGCGGCCGAGTACCTGCACAAGACGGGCGTCAGCAAGCGCCAGATGGAGGTCAAGGCGTCGGGCGGAGTCCGCAGTCTCGACGACGCGGTCAAGATGCTGGAGTCGGGTGCGACGAGACTGGGGACGAGCAGTGGGCTGTGGATTATGCAGCAGGCGCGGGAGAAGATCGAGCAGGCAAACGGTGGAAAGAGCGAGGACAGGCCGGGGGCGACGAGGCTGTACACTGATGATTCGGTCGCTACTGGCTACTGATTCGAAGCGTGAGCGAGGTGGTGTGAGTGGCAGGAGACTATTTCGACATAGACAGCTTAGATCTGATCATTAATTGCACTGATTTGGAGAGTCCTGCCCTTTGCTTGTAGAGAACGGCCGACGCACGCCCGGGTATATCAATCTCATGCTATACCCTCTGGTATGTCTTAGACTTCAATTGTTTCGTATGTGGCTACCACGGCTAGTCATCAGCTCGTGTCCAGCAGCTACGTCTGATGTGCAGTCGTCCACAGTAGTGTGATATGATCAGCACATCGACTTATGAGCAAAATCTTCACAGACGAGCGAGACTTGTTCACGATTAGACATCATAACTCTCTATGGGATTCAGAAGAACGCTCACGTATCGCTAGGCAGTTTGAACCTTCTCCAACGGAAATCCTTCTCATTTCTGTTGTGCACAAGCATTCACAAATAATCAGCAGCACTCGCCCTACCCATGATTTGCTCGTGGAATGTCGCATTGAACCGTCATCTCAACACAGCCCGAAGTGGAAGTGTCGCAGGAATCACAGTCCTGAATGATGTGTAAAATTGCCGGGAAGCCACTGGCCGTCAAACCAGGAGTGCATCACAAGCAGTGCGTCGCCCGATTGGGCGCAAAACATCCCTTGTTCAACGGGTGAAGTCAGAAAAAACTCGAGGCGGGCTGTCGTCGCTACCATAACAGTGGATTCACTCTACGTGAGGCCACCAAACGTCATATTAACGGCGGTAATAGTCGGTCTCGGCGGCCGGTGGTACAATTGCGCGAGTTGGTGACTACTTTACCCAGGCCGTGGTCCCGCGCACCGCGTACAGCGTACAGAATGGGGTTTCGAGTTGTACCCGTCTCACCCCAAGCCCACAAATCGGTGTAATTGTACGGAATCGCTGCATATGCATATACGAGATCTGGACTGGACAGATCTTGTGTATCCAGCCAGCCATTGTACCTGCTTTCGCCCCTGAGGCGTCTCGCTAGGATAAGTTAAGGCTGACAGGTCGTACCTGAGATTCTCCGCGAATGTGGTAGCGACTCTGGCACTTCTCGGCGTGGCCGACGTATGAAGCAGACCCAGTGTTAAGAGCCAGCGTGCCCGGTAAGTGCAATTTACCCCAGGAACTGGATTAACGCGCCGAGGCGCATGTGCTCCAATCGGCAGCTCGTGAACGAGGCCCGAACGCTGGAATTTGGCGGGGTAGAATCGATACCGGAGAACGGGAAAGGTATCCATGCACCGCGGATGTCTTGGTTTGGGTGCTGGTGTTTTGTTTGTGTTAGGGGCGTGAGTCTCGAGCGGAACGATAGATTACCAGCACGCAAGTCCGCGGCGTGGTTAACAGGAGTATCCTGTCCATATACAGGTGGTTCAAAATGGAAAAACAGAAGCATCTTCTGAGCGTCATATTTGAGGCCAGCACGCGGCCGGTAATATCAAGACCCCTTGGGGTTGAGTGAACCAGATTTCTTACGAGGTGATGCTCTGAAAGTGGTACGACAAGACGGCACTCGAGACGGCAATGGATAGAAGGATGGGCTTCTGGGCTCTGTAAGAGGCGCAGCGGTTGTGGCCGACATCAGGCCGTCGAAACGACGAAGAGGCCTGCTATCCACGATGTTTGTGCGTCCACATGCCGCCGCTGTGGCGTTTTCTGCCGCGACTGTGCTCCGTTCCACGCGTAGAACCCTGGATTTTTGGTTCTACACGGCGCAGTACCAACGAAAGTGCCAACTTTTAATCTGGCACTTCTGGAACGTCAAGCCTGCCAGTAATGTGTCAGCCTTTATCCAAACGGCTGGCTTACCAGCTGCGTTGGACGCCTGATGAGCCAATGTGGAGACTCGAAAATCCGTATCCTTCACAATACGAAGTTTTCGTAATAGTAGAGCATCGACCTCGTTTTGATCCCTCCTGAGCGTGTTGTGCGTCGTCCGTGGTAAATCAGGGTAGTCCCCTTCGACCGTGGACGCCTTGATCTGCTCCCCTGCAGATGTGCAGGGGCGGCAATCGCACAGCACGCACGGAAGCGGCAACCATGCTTGCCTAACTCTGACAGCTATGTTGTGCGTATTAGAGGTTAGGTCATGTGGCGGTATTGACTTGAGTCGTGCAGGCAGTCTACTTATCCTAGCTCTCTGCCCAGTCATGCTGAAATGCCCCAGGCCAAGGGTACTGGCGGGCAATCCCCCAGGATCAGCTAGCGACAGCAACCCCAGAGCCAAGCAGCTCGGACGCGCTCCCCCGCATCACAATGCTGCACAAGGAGCATCCTGAAATCACCGTCTTCCCATCGCAACTTTGGTGTTCTGTTGTGGTGCGTGTAGCGCAGCAGACATCTACGGCATGTCGCGCAATCTGCCGAACGTGCGCAAAAAGTAAAATGATCGCGCGGATGGCACCGCTGGCAGCGCTGCTCATTGTCACTTTGGGAATTGCACAGACGTGCTCGCCCAAGCTAGGGGGCTTCTACACGTGTTGTGGCTGCGGACTTACTCCCTACCATGCGCGCCGTCCAATGCTTTCAGCCCTTGAGATTCATCACACGACATTAGTAGAAAGCCTCTCCAATCTCATTTGAGCATTCGCTTCGTTTGCCTGGATCTCGGATGTTGGAACAGCGCGAACCGTTAGGATGGGCACCAGCGTCTTCGACGTTCCCGTTGATCGACTGCCCTCGAGTCGTCCCGCGCCTCGTCGTGTCGCAGTGAGGCATCCTCTTGGCTGGCTATTTACCGGGTGACAGGGAGCGGAAGTTCCCCAGTCAAACCTTACCTTGAACCCTGCCCAGCTCGAGCTAGCAGCCGTCAACCAGGCCGCGCCTGCATGCTCGTCAGTATCGATTCTCCCCGAGCCAGCGGGCACACTGAAGATCCGTCCCTTTATCATTACATTGTTCTCCACCGAAGTAGTCTCCTCTGGTTCGCCTTAGCACTCTCTTGTTTTCTTTTCTACTCTCAATATTGCCCAACGTCCAAGGGTCCACCGTTGCGAACGTCAAGCTAAAGCCTGCGTCCCTTTGTATACAGCTGCAAGCCACGCCGTCCCCGCGACAAAGGCTCAGTCATCCCTTCCTCTCATTCGGTGTCCATCAGCCACGCCAACCTTACCCCACGTTTTCTTAAGAGGGCACGAGACAAAACGTCTTGGAATCGAACGTACTGCTTTGTTCTGCACAATGTCTTGAAAACAACGAGTCAGGCCACGCCCCGTCCAATCTCTACAGTGGTTTCCTCGAACGATCCAAGCGCAGCCAACTTTCGACATGGAGAACTTCGATCAGGCGTCCGGGCATAGCCTGGAGAAGCGATACTACCCGTACCCAAACAGCCTGGATCCGCTCACGCCACTCTATCGTACTGGTCTCATTCCTGTCACCCTCTTCGCCACCATGTCGCTGCTCAGTGTCACGACTCTTCTAGTCTTCATCACACATCGATTGGTGAGCTGGCGAAAGCACTACAGAGAGTATGTCGGGTACAACCAATATGTCATTCTTATCTACAATCTCCTGCTGGCGGATCTCCAGCAGGCGATCGCATTCGTCATGTCGTTCCACTGGCTTCGCATCAACAAGATATTGGCTCCAACTGCGCCTTGTTTTATCCAAGCATGGTTCTTGCAGATTGGGGATGTATCGAGCGGCTTCTTCGTCCTCGCTATTGCGGTTCACACGTGGCTGGGTGTCGTCAAAGGCTACAAGATGCCATACAAGTGGTTCGTCGTTTCGATCCTGTGCCTGTGGGGGTTCGCCTTGCTGTTAACTGTTCTGGGCCCGCTCATGTACCGGGATCGATACTTTGGACGAGCGGGTGGATGGGTGAGTTGCGAATATAACTGTTGCTCTTGACGACTGCTGACCGCATACTAGTGCTGGGTATCCACTGACTACCAGAGCGAACGCCTGTGGCTTCACTACCTCTGGATCTTCATTGTCGAATTCGGCACGATAGGCATCTACGGCCACATCTTCATCCACCTCCGTGGCCGCATCCAAACCATTATGAACAACAACACCACGAAGCTGACCCGCGCAACGAAGTTCATGGTCATGTACCCAGCCGTCTATGTTATCCTCACGCTCCCTATCGCAGTCGGCCGCATGGTCGCCATGACCGGAACTGCCATGCCCGATGTCTTCTTCTGCATCGCCGGCTCGCTACTCACATCCTGTGGCTGGATCGACGCGCTCCTGTACACACTGACCCGGCGCATTCTCGTCACCAACGAAATCTCCACCGCCCAGTACAACCGCACCGTCGTCACAATGATCAACACCAATAACACTGGCGCCCGACCCGGCGATCTCGAACACTACGGACTCACGTCTATGGATAAGGACATACCCGCGCGCTCCGTCACCATCGTCGGCGGCAGCAATAGGCTGTCGCGCATGGTGGACGGCCGCCTCGGCCGCACCCAGACCCGCAAATCCCACATGGATTCGGTACGCGAGGACAGCCCGACAGGCAGCCAGGACTCGATCATCAAAGGGAGCCCGCTGGGCGACGGCATCACCGTGCAAGTCGAAACCAACATCCACGTTTCGAGCGCAGACGACGACGCGGTATCGCCGATGCGCGAGCAAAGCCACAGTGCTCTGCAGCCGCATGCACGGTGAGCCGGGGCGGGGGTGGGGCTGAGTCGGTAGATCGTGGACGCGGGCAGAGCATCGATTGTGGGGACAAAGGAGCGGCTCCCGCGGATGGTCGCGGGGAGGCGCTGCCGAGCCCTTGACGCCTGCCCGACGTGGACATCCCTTCTCCACGGGGCGTAATCGACGGGAGCGCTACTCCCGGAGTGGCGAGTCGATGCGGCATGTTTCTCTATTGTATAACAAGCGCGGCGTTGCATGGAGCCCGAGGCATTGGTCCTTTGTCGTTGAGAGTGGGCGTCTCATTTTATGTGTTCACGGCTGATGCGGGAGGACGTTTTGTACCTGATACCCTAAATTCAATTACACTGTTACACTCTGAGCCCTGCGTGAGTCTACGCGCACGTGTGCCATGTGATCGTTGTGTTGTTGGAGGGGCCGGACGCTGGCGGTATACCGATCGACCATGGCTTTGTTCTTGAAGTCAGTGTCAGCACTTGGCTTCCACACGCAACGCCGATTCTGAGATGATGTCCGTTGATCAGCTGCGTAGACTCACAAGTCGATCGCAAAGAACTGGCGACTCCAGGACAGCGTCCACATGCTCGAAGCGTGTGGCTGTATGATAGTTTGTTTCGATCTTGTCTATTGAGTTGAGTTGTACTTTACAGCCTATGCAGTCGGCATCTTGCGCGTCTAGGACGGAACGACGACCGAAGCCCCAAGGAATATAGCATGGGGGCCCAGGCGCTCGCATTAATTAATGCATAAGTTCTTCGCTTTCCTTGGATATGTCCTTGAAAAATCTATCATTGCATTCTGGCAGGGGCATCAGAATGTAGGCGACCTCCGTTCGTCTTCTCCCTATAGACGCAAAGGATCCGTGAAGAGGAGTAAGTCGGCTTGTCTTTGTATGATAAAGCCGTAGACAAGATACCTCATTCTTCTGTGTTGGCTGCGATGTTTGCTGCCCAGGATCTAGCGCTTTTGATTTGCCGCCCGGAGCAACTTGAGGGCAGTGGTAGGCATGGTGTCGTTCTCCTTAAGGAAATCGTGGATTTCATCATCCTGTGCTTGGGCATCTCTCTCTTTGTCCTTTCTTTCCTTCACATCTCTTTCCCTTACTTCCGCCAGCTTCTGCTCAAGCTTCCGAACCTTCTCCTCGAGATGGCGTGTGGTTTCATTCAACTGTTTCTGAAGTTGACCAGCCTTTCGCTCCCAAAAGCTTTCACCCTGTTGCTGCACGGAGCGGCTTGCTTCCGCCAGCTTCTGCTCAAGCTTCCAAACCTTCTCTTCCAGGTGGAGTGCGGTTTTATTCAACTGTTTCTGAAGTTGATCAGCCTTTCGTTCCTGAAAGCTTTCACCCTGTTGCTGCACGAAGCGGCTCAAGGCTTGAGCTAGATCTGGCGGAAGGTTGATAGTCTGCTGCTCCCTAAAGTGCTCACTCTGCTGCTTCTCTTGCCCTTCCAGCTGTAGAGCTTCACTCTCAGGGTGTATGGTAGCATGGCGGTGAAAGCTCGGTGTCTCGTGCCGCTGCTTTGACTCATGTGGTATCTTCGCACTCGTCAGTTCGGCTGCCGGTGTAGATCTAATAACGCTTGAGTGTTCGCCCTTGGTCCGTCTTGGAATTCCCTTAGCAATTGTTGAAGATTCTCTCGGCTGCTGTTTTTGCTGTGGCTCAGTCTCGTGACCCGAGTAGTCGACCGAGAATTTTAACCCATTGCCCAGACGAACGTTGGGCTGTAAAACTCCATTGATAAGTGTGCCGCGGAATGGTAACGACTCGTTCAACCCGGTTCTAAGACCCAAGAAGAAGCGTTCTGCAGAGCGCTTCTTATCGAGGCGGCGGTCGAAAAAAAGGGTGGAGATGGGTGAGGTACAGGTAGGATCTAATCCCAGGGTTACTTTTTTGTACCTTGTTGGGGGAGCCACTATGTTATCTCCGGTGTTAGAGTACCGTGCGTACAGGTGAAGATGGTGAGGACTCCACACAGGGCTCAACATCGATCTCCTAACACAGGGGTTATTCAATAGCTCGATCATGCCTGTAAAACTCTTACTCCACAAGTGTCATCTGTGTCTGGCCATCTTTTCTCTTAAGAGCAAGCTTTCCATCCGAAGGGTTCCGCACAAAACATGAGGCTATCCTCATAACTTGCTGGAGGTCGTGGTGATTATAGGGATGATGCTGGAAGAACACAGAGCCATCTTCAAAGTATGCCCAGCCGAGAGGCTCATCGTATTCATTAGGGTTAGTTGGTCTGTACAGATTGCCCAAGTTCAGACCGGCGTAGAGCCTGCCCACTGGGGGTGGTCTGAGCTCCCCAGGTCGACTCCAGATCTGTTGTGTCTGACTATAAAGCGAGCCCAGGTTGACAAAGTTGTACACCGGGTTTCTAAATCTACTCCAATCCATCGTTGCAGTCCGCGATGGGCGTGAGTGGTGTATGTGTTGTGTCTCGTTGTCGCAAGCCTGAGCTCCAGACCTAAGTAGACAACAGTAATGCTGCAGCCATCGTTGAACTGGCGATTAGGACGGCATCATGGTCGATCGGGGTGGCAGGATTGACGCGCGAAGACTTCTGCCCTAAAATCACGATAGGCCAATTTCCTGGCGATGCGCGAGCACGGGTGTACCTTGCTGTGTGTTTGCGTTGGTGGAAGGATTTGCGACGCAACTGCCCAAAATCTTCGCGCGCGCGGACGTCACACGTCACCAATACGGATCCACACAGCCGACAGGGACCAGGAAGATCTACATTTGCAGTGCTCTTAAAACCACTTCATTCCTTTGCGCGCATGCTATCTACAATCTTCTAACATCTCGTTTGCTTTCATTTCAGCTCGATATTTGGAAGCCAAGAACTGGAAGTCACAAGCACATATCGCATGCATGATTCAGGGGCATTGCTCAGGCCCGCGACGACGCGTCGTGTCCAGCGTTATATAAGCCGCACAATGACCTATATCTGGATTGAGTCGGAATACTATCGAAGAAAGAGCACGGAAGAAGTGGATCTTTCACGAGACGCCTTGCCACCATCGAATCCTGCAGTTGCTGACTACATTTTATGCGCTGTTTCCCAACACGACAAGGCTGACTGCTCACCGGTGGCAACGTCCCCCGAACTCAGCCTTCCTCAAGGCCCAAACGCCAAACTGCTTTTGCAATGGATGTTGCTCGAGTGCGGTGGAGCAAGTAGCCCACCGTGTCAGATGCAAAAAGCGTCGATTTGAAGGCTGCGTGCTTAGTTGTGCGACTCCTGAAGTGGCTATGCGGGGAAGGCGCAGGCTGAGGAGCCCGGCGAACCTCTTGTTGAGGCGTTCGGTACGTCTGCAGCCCTGTGATCCTGCATCACGCGTCGGATGTCATCGCTTCTTCGACGTTGCAAGGTCATTCTGGCACATATCCGGCGTCTTGATCCTCACTTGTCAAGTCTGGGTGCTGGAGAAATGCTTCAAGAGCTCGAATGCTTGTCGAGTCCTTCGTCCTGTGCCCACATACCCGCCATGCAAGCTGGCTCAAGCGGCATCGACCTTGTCCACGATGCTGTCGATGGCCATGGAGCGAGTCGATGGCGTCGTCGGTGTCGGCGGCGCTTTCGCGTCAGCTTTCACACTAGTAGACTGCTGCTGGGGCTGTTGTCGAGGCAGTGTTGGCGGTTGGGTCAGGGAGTCGTTCCTCCCATCGTCCATACGTAAATCGTCCTCATCGCCCATCTCATCCACCTCTCGCAACCAATTCGTCTTCAAGATGTCCATGGGAGGATCCAGATCTGTGGCTTTCCCGCCCTTGCGCGCCTCGGCGGCCGTCATCTTTCTCTCGCCGCGCTTGTGAGGGTGGAAGTGCATCCTGCGCAGGTGTGAAGCAGCATTGTAGCATTCGTTATACCTCTTACCGGTCTGGCAGGCTTTGCAGTTTGCGAGAAACGACTTGTCCGGGGACGTGTCGATGGTTACCCAGACCTTGCGCGCCTTCTTGTGGACGCGATTGGTATGACGTCGCAACTCATGTTCACTCCGGAAGCCATCGGGATAGTCATTGCACGTCGGACACCTCAATCGCAGCACTCGACGCGTCGGCGTCTTGGCTGAATTTGAAAAGGTGGGAGACGTGTTTGGCGTATCATTTTTTATGGGAGCCGTGACGACAGTTTCCCTCGAAGCCGGTTGCGGTTCGACCGGATCACTAGTCTGGGTCGCTGTTGAAATGGTATTGGAAGTGGGTACCTCTTTCATCCTGGCTCTTGTTCTTGTCGCAGGCATGTACGCCTGACGAAGCACTCAGTGTCAAGAAAGCTGCAAGAAGTTCGAGCCTGGGCACAGAGTGGTGGACGGTAGTAGTCGAGGGCCGTGGGTGGGGCCGGTCCTTCAAACGGCGACTAAGGCTGATGGGGGTAGAGAGTGGGATGTCGAAGTGTCAGAAACTTCGGATGTGTTTCTGTGTCGATCTATGAGCGGGGGCTGGGCATCCCAAGTACACTTATGCAGTTGCCTGACAGAACGATTTTCGGGGGGAGGTGGAGTGCGACAAGGCTGTGTTTTTCAGCCGGCGTCAGCCTCGCACTCGCCATATGAGTGGGCGGCTTTGCTGCAGCCACCACCTGAAGAGGCGAGCTGAACGCCTATTGGGTGCTCAGCTCCAGCCTGAACGATGCTCATCGAGCCTACCACGAATCAAGCAAGAAGACGCGTACAGCTGGGAGAAGGCTGCGTTGCCGATTTGACCAGCTAATCAAAAAGAAACATAGGACCCGTCAGAACCTTGCGTCGGATCACGCCGCCTCGCAGCATTGCGAAACCCAAAGCGCAAGGCTTCATGGCTGGCTGGGGATAGCGAGCGGTGGTGATGACTGCTTGGTCAGGCTATCCTATTTCGAGGTGCGTCGCTAACGAGGTCTGCAGCCAGGGTCCGGAAATCACAATGCATTCCGGTGCAGCATCATAACATCGCACGCATGCGCTCCATTCACGCTCTTCAAGATCAGCGGAGCAGGCTTGGCTTGGAATGTCTCTCGACACCTCTTCCCTGTCCAGCCTCGCGGCCAGATTACCGGATCGTCCGCCTCGTTGCAAGCGGAGCCGAGTCAGCCGCGAATCAGCGGCCGGAAGGCTTGTTTATTTCACGAAGAGTCGCCGACCACAGGCCAATTGGTGCCTCCGGTGCTGGCAAGATAAGTTCGAGCCGATGGCTTGTGTCTGGATCTTGAGTTTCTCAGGAGTCCTCGATCGCAGCCTTGCTGGCAGCCGTTGGCGTCGCTACCAAACTACCAAATTACGAACGCTCACGCGTGGCGGGGCACAACACGATTACACGAGCACTGTTGAGCTACTAACAGACACGTATGCCCTCCGGTATCGACTCTTGGCCTGCCGATTCCGATATACGGTATATGGGCATGGGGCATAGGGCGTAAAGACCGGTTTCCACAGTCCCGAGGCTGAGGACCAGCAGCTGCCACAGAAACTTTGTCCGCCATTGTCGTGGGACCATCTTCATCGACCCCTTCGAGACTCTTGGGCTTCATGCGACCTTCAGAGCTCTTGACCGGATCCAGGTCCGCCTACGTCGTTCCGTCGGACGCCAGACTTGTCGACTAATGTGCGCAACATGCCAGATGACGCCTCTCGCTGCGGCCTCGTAACCTGTGATAAGTGGTCATGGGCTTGCCGTAAGATCGCAAAGACCATTCTGACGTCGGAGGCAGACGGCAGCATGCGAAGACACGCTTGCTGATTCGTAAGCCCCTAGCCTGGCAAGGGAAGACTCAGCGTTTCAGGTTTTCTCACTCTGCATCACTAACCTCGCTACCACACACCAAGTTGGGATGGGTGGGCACCAATATCTCCCTGACGTTGAGCCTTGCTATTGCTCACGTGTTGACAGTGTTGCGGAGCATCACTGCGTCCAAACAAGCCCACGAATACTGTGAGCACACCTGTAGCCACCAGATACAGCTGAGGTTTTGAGCATAGCATGAGAAAGCAACACTACGAGGCAGCGCGTGACACGGACCCCACGATAGGTTACACTGACTTTCCGGTCAACTACGCTACAACTTTAGTGCAGTGCGATGATAGTGCACAGCAGCTCTGTACAGAATCGGGTAATATGCTGATCGAGTGTGGACTGTTCGGGTACCTCCTGGTGAGCACGTGCAGGAGTTCGGACTCTCCGCAGTGTGCCGAAACACATAGGCCTACTCGATGCATGCCCGCGAAATGTCATTCTGACGAGAATCCTGATACTGATTATCTTGACTGAATACCTAGTGCCTTTGGCGAGCTTGAGGGATTTTCATTTTTGGAAGCATTGTTGACCAAGGCTGATGCCAAACAGCAGCTATCGGGTTCGCAATACGGCCCTATAATTAGGTATAGTAGCGGCTTTGGGAGGCCTGCAGAGATATCAGCAACCCAAAGCCATGTCGACAAGACTGAGCATCCTCAGAATAGCGACAACATTCTACTAGCATCAGACTGCACACAGGCAACTGTCGCCCTGACTCTCCCCATCAGCGTGCTTGGGTGATTGGTATGGACAGCATGTGAGAAAAGCAGTCGCTGGCTAAGTCTCATACACGCGTCGAGTCAAATGGACCTCCAACCTCACACTGGCTGTAGTGAAGTGGGCCTTGCCGTCAAGATGCACAGTTGAAACGTCAGCTTACCGCGAGCAGAGCAGGCCCACAGACCCATACACGGTCAGCGTCATGATAGCCGTTGCCTCTGGCCTCCTCCATCGAGGCTGTCATGGGAGTAGTCCTCGAGCAGTCGTCAAGCAGTCGTCAAGCACCCCGAGGCTCATGTTCATGATGCACGCTGAGAAGCTATTTGGTAGCACAGCACGGTCCCCACCACCATACCAACCCACATACAGCCCTAACAACGCTGTCTCAGCGCGGCATCAGCTCTTCCCTGCCCGTCAGCGTCGTGCCGCACAACGTTCTGGGCTAATGGGCAGATAGACCGCCAGCCAGCCAGCCAGCCGTCCCCAGCCCTACCTGGGGCTGACCGGTGACCTCAGCACACCGCCCACCCAGGCCACGCGCTCGCCTCGCACGCCGCGATTATGCGTCGAGCGCGACCCAGGCACGTCTCCCAGGAAAGCGAGATGGGCCGTGGATACGGTGTGCATCGGGTTGCGAATCTAACCGTCTGCGGACATTGGGTCCCAGGCGCATGTGCCTCGCCGCCGTGTCGCGTGGTTGGAGCGGCCAGAGTAGGTACGTCCGGCATCGGCACGCACCTTTTCCCCGCACGCTGTGCGCTGGGGTGGGTGTCTGTACTGTGGGCTCGTCTGCTCTGGTGGGTACCTCGTGCTCAGGTAGTTCTTGCTGATGGAACACGGTTCGACGGTACTGCTACCGAAGGTACTGCTCTCACGTCTAAAGTGGCTACACATGAATATTTCAAGCGGTACGAGGTCTGCAGAGGCTCTCGCGGAGCCCGGCTTGGACTGCTTGTTGTTGAACATAGTTGTTGTCTACTCTAATCTTGACAGTGTTACTACTAAGAGTACTGCTCCCACGTTCCAGAGCGGCTACACATAAATACTCCAAAACGAACAGGCCGGTACAAGGCCTCTGGAGGCCCTCACGGGGCCCATCTTGCACCGCTCGTTATCGAACGTGGCTGCTGCCTGCTCCCATCTCAGCAGTACTGCTACCAAGGGTACTGCCCGAGCGGCAACACATGAATATTTCTGTTCGAACGGGCCGGTACAAGCTCTGCAGAGGCCCTCACGGAGCCCATCTTGCACCCCTCACCATCAAACACGGCTGCTGCCTGCTCCCACTCAACAGTCCTACTGCGCAACGGCACCGCCCCCCAAGGGTCCTGCGCTCAACGGTCCAGCGCCTTACCACCGACCACGCATGACGCAGCGCCAGCACCCATCTCCACCCATCTCCACTACTCGAGCCACCCACCGGCTCTCGCCCAGAAGCGCGTTGTCTGGTACAGAACAGCGCTGTCTGGTAGCGAAACCCGGGCCGAAGCTTCGCTGGCTCCAGGGTCCGAGACTGGCTGGTTAGGGTTAGGGTTAGGGTTGCAGACGGAGAGGTGGAGCACTGGCTTTACGAGAGACGTGGTAGGGTGGCGGTGGAGGGGGGTTGAGAGCCAGAGCTGGTTCGCGCACAGCTAGCGGAACCGTGGGTATTGGGTGTGAAAAGTGTTCTGGTTGGGTTCAGGGCTGCTGGTAGTGCGCTGGAAGAGTATATATTGGAGACTATTCTGCTCAGGCAGGAGCTTCTCCTTCAGTTCCACAGCTAAGTATTTCGAGTCTTTGAATATTTCACCACAAGTCTTGAAATATTTCATCACAAGTCTTCACAAACTTTACAACTCTTTCCAACCCACACACTTACACGACCTCCCCCAACTCACAAGCAAGATGAAGTCGACCGTCTTCACCGCCGTCGCCGTTGCGGCTTCGTTGGCCGCGGGCTTCGAGCTCCCGTCCCACCTCGAGGGCAACACGACCTCGCTCGCCTTCGTCGCCCCGCTCGCCGCGCGCTGGAAAGGCGACTGCGAGCCGCTCTGCGAGAAGTACCGCAACTACGACCAGATGTGCATCAGCGGCGGCGCACCGCGGGACTGCCGGCTCGCGTGCATCAGCAAGTGCTACACGCTGCACGAGTCCGACTCGGACTCACCCTCGTCGACCGATCTCCTGGTCATCCACTCGGAGCTCTCCGAGTGGCAGTACGTCGACCCGATCCGCGACCACTCGGACTCGTCGGGCGACGAGCGCCACGACATCCCGTGCCTGGGGTGGTGCAAGCGCAACGCGACGGTGCCGGCCAGCGCATCGTCGCTCGCAGACGCCCAGGCGGCGGCCATGGTCGACCGCGTCGCGGCCTACGGGCAGGTGTACCAGCACCTGGACGGCATCGTCAACATGGCGGACGTGCACGTGGCGGCGCTGCCGCCCGTCGGCACCACGCTGGACATGTACCTCGTGAACTGGGTGCGCGCATTCGAGGAGCAGCTGGCGGCGGGCGGCGACCTGGCGCCGTGGTTCAGCGAGCTGTACGGCCGCGCGGCGGCGTGCGACCTGGCGCCGGGCCGCGTGTGGGCGTACCGCTTCGAGATGGTGGCCAACAAGATCACGGACCGCGAGCTCAAGGACCTGACGCGGGTGCTGCCGGCGAAGCAGCAGGAGCGCATTGTCAAGGCGGTGCGGGGTGCGTGGAAGGAGGGGTTTGGCGGCGTCGGCGCGAGTAATGAGTGGAAGGAGGTGGATGCGTGGAAGGAGGCCAACGCGTGGAAGGATAGCTTTGGCGGGCTCAGCGAGACGCAGGTCAAGGCCCGGGGCGAGGCGGACGGCGTCAGCGAGATGCAGGACGAGGCCAGGGTCTGGAAGGACGGGTTCGGCGGGCTCAGCGAGACGCAGGTCAAGGCCAGGGGCTGGGAGGAGGGCGTCAGCGAGGTCGAGGACAAGGCGCGAGTCGTCAAGGACAGTTTGGGCGCCACGCTCGGAGACTGGAAGGACAGGTTCTTCGACACGATGCGCGATACGTTCAAGTCCTTCGGGGACTTATTCGGCAAGGCGTAGGATGGTCGGGGTCACGCTGCCGGGGCGGTACCGAGAATGGGTGTCGACAGTCCGGGCGCAGGGTGGTGAAGAACTGGATGGTGCATTATGGCGCTCTATACCATTTGATATATTCTGATTTCCGTAGTCACAATGCAAGTTGAAATTAACTCAATCCGCGAGCTCGACATGCATGAGCTAGAGTAGCGTGCGGGAAGTACCTAGGTACATGACGGGCGAGCCACAGCGCTGGGACGTCTCGGCGGCTGCTCGAGGCTGCAGAGCTGCAGAGCGTGAGGTGGTGGCAGAGCAGACGCGGGCCGGTGGAGCGCGGCGGGTGCGCGGGCGGAGACGTGCGGTGGTGGAGGTCTGGGGTGCAGCACGGGTGACGGGTGGCTATTCGCACTACTGTACATATAACTAGACGGCAACTGCACTGCTTCGCCCGCACGTCCCGTGCCCTGGCTCTTCTGCGACCCCGTCCCTGCCGCCCCGTCTGCGCCGCGCAGAGCAGCTCGCCATGCGCGCCCCCCGGCGGACCAGCTAACCACGCCATCGCACCGCACCGTCATGTCGACGCCCTCCAGCGACGGCCGCCGCTCGCTCTCGTCGGGGCCGTCGGGCTCGTCGCACACGCTGCACTCGACGCCGCCGGGCCCGCGCATCGCCGACCGCAGTCCCCACAGCGCCTCGCAGGGCGCGGGCAGCAGCCCCCTGGGCCCCGAGGCCATTGACGAGCACGACTTTGCCCACCGCCGCCACCGCGCCCGCGCGGGGGGTGGGTTTCTGCTGGAGTCGGCCTTGCCCCGCGCCCCGCGCCGCCGTGCCTCTGATGCGAAGGGGAAGAGCCGCGCGCGGCCCAGCGACGCCGACGAGCAGCCCGCCCGCAGACGGAGAGCCTCGCCGGGCCACGACACCCAGGAGAGGGCGCGTCTGCGCGTGCCCAAGCCCAGAGAGGCGCCCGCCCCGCCCGCCGTCGACCCCAACCAGCTCGTGCACATGGCCCTGAACCTCAGCGAGAGCCGCCGCCGCAACATCAGCGCCTCGCAGCTGCTGCGCTCGCCGTCGCGCGTGGCCTCGGCCGCCCAGCGCGACGGCAGCTTCTCCAACGCCGGCGTGGGCAGCAGCCTGCGCCAGTACCTCAACGAGCAGCGCAGAGTGTCGCGCAACATGTCGCCCCTGGGCACCAGCGCCTCGCCGCGCCGCCACATGTCCGCCAGCATGCAGTCGGGCGGCTCCATGGCCGCCATGCCCTGGAGCCCCTCGCCGGCGACGCTGCTGCGCCGCGACAAGGCGCGCGCGTACATTGAGCTGCGCGCGGCATACATGCGCCTGCTGGACATTCTGCCGCCGCTGAAGGCCGACGCGAACGCCCCGGGCAACTTCATCTACTCGTACTCGGCCGTGCCCGGCAGCCCGCACGCCCACCTCACCCGCACGCCGTCGTACGCCAACAAGAAGAACGAGCTCGGCCGCCCGTACAACCCGCTCCAGGCCCTGCGCAACCGCCGCAGCCGCGCCCGTGAGCGCCTCGCCCTGCCGCAGGAGCCCGTCGAGTTTTCGCAGTGCGAGCAGGTTCTTGAATGGGTCGAGCAGATCGAGGAGCAGGCCCGCACGCCCGGCTACCGTCTGGAGGACCGCGTCTCGCTGCCCAGACTGCACCACGACCTCGACATGCAAGATGTGCAGACCAAGCCAACCAAGACGCAGCAGGGCTGGAGCTTCACCCCCGAGGAGCTGCTTGCCGACGCCTACTGGCTCGAGCAGGGGGACAACAAGGCCGTGATTGAGGACCGCAACGGCCGCAAGATCTTCCCGCCGCGCGAGCCCCCGAAGCAGAAGAGCGACTTCCTCCAGCCGCGGTCCAGCAAGGAGTACTCTGACAAGCGGAGGCGGAGCTGGGTCGACGGCACGCCCGGCACCGACCCTACCACGGGCGACGAGAGCGAGCAAGGCAGTGAGCGCGGTCGCAAGAGGAGGCTGCTCCCACACATCCGCGCCGAGTCGCGGCTGCGCAAAGGGAGGGGCAGTCCGCGCAAGCACTCGATCGGCCACAGCGACTCGTCCGACACCGACGACGACGCGCGCAAGGTCCGCAAGTCTTTCGATGTCGAGAATACCGGCCCGCTCGCACTGCAGATGAAGCGGCAGCTGGAGCTGCAGACAAGGGGGATTAATAACGCGTCCCCGGCCTTCACCCCGGATACGCCTGATAAGTGGGGCAGATTAATGGACGATATCCCCGACGGGAAGATCTCGCGCAACTCTTTGGAGGTGCCGCGTTTCGCGAATGGTGTTGCACGACCGGACGAGAATGCCACGCTCAAGATGCCGCCACGCACCCGCACCAACCCCCTGTCTCCGATCAAGTCGGCCGAGCCGCGCTCCTCTTATGAAGATGACAGTACTGCGCCCAGCACACCGCCGCACGTACGGCAGTTGTTGCATACTTGGAGCGATCTGTCGCCGCCGCCCAGCAGAGCAGGCTCTGACTTTGGCAAGTCCAAGCGGAGCAAGCTGAATCCCTTCCACTCCACCCACGACTTGGACCATGATCTGAAGCAAGAAGCACGGTCGAGCCTGGACAAGAAGCAGCACTCGCGCCAGCCCAGCGAGGACGAGCCGAGCGGGATCGGGAACGCCATCTTTGCTGCACCAGGCGCCGTCAAGAATCTGCTCGGCCACCGCAAGAACGATAGCGTCAGTAGCTTGCCGAGCCCCGAGAAGTCGCGTCGCAAAGAGACGCAGGACCCGAAGGACGGCCATTCGGCGGTCACGAGGTTCTTCAAGGGCGTCAAGCACGAGGGTACCAAGGTGGGCGACATCATCTTCAGGAGGGACAGGGCAGACGACACAGATGCGAGTACCATATCCGACCGCAACTCGTTGGAGCTGGACGACGATTCACGCAACAAGCCTACGCTTTCGAGAACAGTCACGTCGACCACCGCGGGCAGTGTTACTTCAGAGGATGACGGGCGAAATCAGTTCAAGCTTCCATCCTTCCGTCCTATTCACGAAACACTGAACGACGACGACGATGTGTCAGACTCCGAACACCACATCTCGCGCCAGGCTCGCGAACGACGCGACGATCGATCAGCGCGCATCGACCGACTGCTGCCGCCGCGTATGGACCTGCAGCGCGTCTCGTCGGCCTCGTCAACAGCCACGCTGGCCCCGGCGCAAACAAACGAAGACCGCATCAGCCAGCAGCTCGCGCGCTCCGGCGGCGTCTTCGCCAGCGCGCTCCCGCCAACGGGCCTCAAAGACCGCAGCGCCTCCCGCCCCACGCTCGAAGGCAAACGCCACTGGAGCATCGCCGACTCGGACGACGAACACGCCCTCCCGCGCCGCCCCCACAGCACCGTGACCGCCGCCGACATCGCCCGCGTGCGCGCCCTCTTCCTGTGCTCCGGCGTCAAGGCCAAGGAAATCGCCCGCCGCGCCCACGCCCCCAACCCCCACACCCCCGCCTTCCTCGTCCGCGCCGCCCACACCGCAAAACAGTCCCTCTTCCCCGTGCCCCGCAAGGAGGAACACGTCCTCGCCGCCCGCATCCTAGTCCACGACCTCGAGCACTCCGCGACCGCACTGCACACCGCGTGCGCCGCGTTCCGCGCCGGCGCCGCCGCCGACACGCGCGCCCGCATCGAAGCGCTGCGCGACGATCTCGACACAGACGTGCTCCCGCGCATCTTCGAGGCCGGCGACGCCGCCGTGCGCACCACCACGCAGGCGTCCGGGCCCGGCGCGCTGCTCGTCAAGCAGCTCGCGGACGAGGTCGAGCGCATGCTGCGCCAGCGGCGGCGCCACTCGCGCTGGGTCATGAGCTGGGCGTGGTCGCTGGTCGAGTGGGCGATTGTGGTCGCGCTCAGGGTCGCGTCGGTCGTGTTTGCCGTGTATGGGCTGCTGAAGAGCGGGGTGGGTGTTGTGTGGGCGGTTGTAAGGTGGCTGCTGTGGCTGTAGAATGGCTGGGTCGGGGTTTGATTGTGGACTTTTCCTGATCAGTGAACTGGGTGTTTGGTGGTGTTTGGTCGGCGTTATGCCAAACTCTATGGATTTCTCCGTCTTTGCTTTGTATTGTACATACTCCATCCAGCGTTCCCAGCATTTCGGCGGCGTTTAGCACGGATACCCCTCATCAGCGGGCTCATTTCAGCGTCCTATATAATAAATCCTAATAGCCCCCCCCCCACCGCGGTGGCTGCCTCCCCAGTAACACCGTGAGTCTGACAAAAACCTCGCCGCCACGGCGACCTGCCCGTTTCCAACGTCCTAGACAGTGTCTGTGCATTCGTAAAAATGGCCCCATGGTTTCAAGAGACCCGACAAGCCAAAGTAGAGATGGGAAGAACGACCATGTACCCGCGTGCTCAAGAGGTGGTGGTGGTGCGTCTGCGTGGACGAGCTGTTCGGGCCCTGTCAAAGACTCTGATTGCACAAAGAGGGCTTCTCGTCGTCAGTCTTGTATATATTAACTGGTTGTTCTATGCCGCGCATGTTAATAGCGTCAGTGGCCTGGGCTTGTAGCCCACTTCCACTGCAGCATGAGAGCGGGCCCTATCAACAGATGGAACTGATGTTAAGCTGGACTTGACTGCAATAAGGGAAAGCTTGTAACATATAAGATGCAGAAAACATGTAACCCCTAATTTAAACTAATCCATCATCAGCTGGTTAATTCTACAGAAGAGTCTAAGCATAGAACTTACTTGATAAAGGTTGTTTTCTTCTCTGTATAAGCGAGCACACCGTCCTACCAAAGTTAGCATGTGACTTGTACAACTGCACAAAGTCGCTTTAGCCTCCATGTACTTGCCTTGCCGTATTCTCTTTCCCATCCACTCTGCTTCACGCCTCCAAATGGGACTTCTGCATTAACCTGCAGACTAGAGTTGATGCACACTGTGCCGCTGTGAATTCGGGACGATACACGCAGTGCTCGGTTGATGTCTTGAGAGTATACGGCTCCGCTAAGACCGTACGGCGTGTCGTTTACTCGTGCAATAACATCCGCCTCGTCTTCGAAGTCGCTGACGACAACCACGGGGCCAAAGATCTCTTCGTGGAGTATCTTCGCGTCTGGAGACGGGTCGACAAAGATGGTGGGTTGGATAAAGCAACCCTGGCAGGCGTCAGCTCACAGTCGTTGGACAGAGTACCTATCACTAGTCTCAAAGAGACGTGGCTGGTGAATAGATGGCATACCTGATCACCAATTCGTTCTCCACCCTGGAACAGAGTTGCTTGTTCTTTCCCAGAAGCGACATAGCCCATTATCCGCTCGAACTGGAGTCTGTCAACTACTGGTCCAAGTCCCGTAGCTGGCGACGTTGGGTCACCGGCGGACGCTTCAACGGCTATAAAGGCTTGCTTGAACAGCGAAAGGAAGCGCTCCCTGATGGACTTGTGGACATAGATTCGAGACGTGCAGATGCAGCCTTGGCCTGAATTGGTCGTGATACCAATAGTACACCAACGGACAGCCTTGTCAAGGTCTGCGTCTGGGAAAATGATGGCAGCGGACTTGCCACCAAGTTCCAGCGAGACGCGTTTCAGATTGCTGTTCACTGCGGCCACAGCTATCTTCTTGCCAGTGGCATTGCTGCCCGTAAAGGATACTTTGTCAACGCCCATGTGCGACGCAAGGAGGGCACCGGTCTGTCCGCCGCCCAGCACGATGTTCAGCACACCGGGAGGAATTCCGGCCTCATTAGCAAGGCGGCCAAGGACAAGCGTACCCAGGGGTGTTTTTTCGGAAGGCTTGATGATGATGGAGTTTCCAGCAGTGAGTGCAGGAGCGATTTTTGCGAGTGCCATGGCAATTGGAACGTTGAACGGACAGATGCCAGCACACACACCAAGTGGTTCGTTGGTAATGATGCGAAGCATTCCATCGTCGCTGTCGGCCGGTGCTGTCTCTCCAAGAAGCTTGTCGGCCCAGCCGGCGCTATCTGTGCTCGTCAATAGTGATGCGGGGAAGCCACTTTAGAACAAGCAAACCCACATCTGAGGATCCGTAGACCAAAATCTATCTCAAAACCGCGTGCCATGGTCACAGGCTTACCCGTGGCTACCTCCAGCCCGGAAATCTCCTCCCTATGAGCGTCGATGAGGTCTGCGAACTTCAGAAGTATGTCACGGCGTCGACTAGGCGGAGTGGCCGCCCAGAGGGGAAAGGCTGCTCGCGCTGCAGCGACAGCAGCATTCACATCGTCTACAGTTGCCACGTGGAGTTGGTCAGAGATGAGTGAGTTATCCTTCGGATTCCAGCACGAGAAACGCTCAGGCGTGCTAGCATCCACGAACTGTAGCATTCATATTGATTAGTACGTACAACGTCTCAAGGCGAAGTGAAGCCATCTTAGCTGACCTTGCCATTGATGAAAAGTCGCGTCTCGAACTTGGTAGTCATCTTGGAACTTCACAGCGACGAGTATGGGAACAAAAGCTAGGGATTGAGATAATGATACTCAATCGATAAAAGGTTCTTGGTCACAAATGGCTGCAGAAGGACAATCTGAACATTATAACACTCTCTGTTCGGCCCTACATGCCTTTCTGCCAATGCTTGGTAGCTAGTAATGCAGCACATGTTGGCAGACCCTCTTCGGGATTAAGACTGCACCATCCGACCCTCCTTCTCTCCCAATATTTGCACAGGATGATTGTTTGTAACGTAAACTCGGACTTAGTAAACCTGGGTGTACTAAGTCAAAACCTGCTCGAGGCTTAGTCTAGGGGGGTGTACTGAATAAGAGTGTAAGATTGAAAAAGAGACTACACAAGAGCACGTAAGAGAGAAGAAATAAGGGTAAGAGAGAGAAGAAGTTTAACTATATTATTATCTAAGAAGTAGTTCTATATCTATTACCTACTCTTTTTATTCTTCTATGTCTTCTTTCTCTCTCTTCTACTATTTTAGAGGTAACTGTGTCTTCTTACTTATAGATTCTCTCTTCTAGTATACTTCTTTAGGTAACTTGCTCGCAGATGTATAATCTAGTATATAATAAGTTATAAGAGGGTGTAATAAACAAGAATTAAAGAAGTAACTTTAAAACTTAGTTAGGGGGGGAGTGTACTACGCGGGGGCGTGTAGTAGAAAAGGGAGTGTACGGTGTACCAAGTCTGAGTTTACAGTATTTGCCTTCCACGTCAGATGCAATATGTTTTGGGTTCGGATTTACGCTAACACCGCTCCCGAATCTGCACATCCGGCTCAGCCAAATGGAGATTCTTCTTATTGTCCGGAACCCGGAACTTGTACGTGTTTGATTATTAATCTTTTCTTACTACAGGGGGGGACACCTCGGGCTGGTACAGTGTGCCGGCGCGGCATGCATCTACTGTGTGTGAGAACCGCCGACGGTAAGCCGATAGCAGCAGTACCGTTGGCGGTTCTTATATGCAGTAGCAAGTTCAAAGCTGTTCTGGATTAGCTAAACTCTTAGTAGTTACCCGTAACTATTAACTAGAGGAATAACTCCCCTGTACAGTATTAGGCATAAGCACTGCGTGTAAGAACTGCTCAAAGCACGCTAATTAATACTAAGCATTTTAACCCTATTGCTTATTTGCTAGTAAGTACTTGAACAGCAGCGCCTCCACGAACGTGCCGACGGGCGTGTAGGGCCACTCTGCAACTGCAGCCTGCCCCGCTTCTCGCTCCCATGGCGTCCACCGTCTCCAAGATGCGCTTCCTCACCGCAGCCCAGGTCATGCGTCTTCACAGGTTGACGATCGCGCCCGCGCAGCCCACGCAGCCGGCCTTGCTAGAGTCCGCAGTCCAGTCGCCCATGAACATCAAGTACTACACCAGCCAGCAAAACCTGTTCCAGCTTGCAGCGGCGCTCGCGGAGAAGATTATGAAGAACCATGCGTTCCAGGACGGGAACAAGCGCACTGCACTGCTGGCGGCAGACATGTTTCTGAAGATGAATGGCTACGAATTGAAAGGGTCGTCCCTGCAGCCCGAGGGTGGGGGCCAGGAGCTGGAGAATGCGCATGTCGCAGTTTGCACGAACGCGTGGACAGCTGAAGAATTGGGGCGATTCTATGAGCGGACGGCTACGGTGAGTGGACGGCTACGGTGATCGGACGGCTAAGGTAAGCAGATGGCTATAATGATTGGTGTTTCCGAAAGGACGTTGTGATAATTTGAAAGACTGCCTCTCACCTTCACACCTCAATGCTCCGTAACTTCGTTTCTGCAAGCCCGGATCTCAGGAGTCAAGGTCTCAAACACATCTAAACCCGAAACTTTTGATAGTGGGCCATCTCGCCATCATCACATGTCCTTCAACCTGTCAAGAGCTCTTCCGAGTCGCGTTACTTGGTCACTGGCGAGCTCCGCGAACTCAGCTGTCGTCGGTTAGCACGCGTGAATCAACAGTGTAGGATCGTAAACAGGAGAAGCACCGTCTGGAGTTCCGTCCAGGGCGATCGTATGCATCAAGCCATAGAGGTACAACGTCGCTGGTCTGGTCTCCGCGTCCGACTGCCGGGGAAGCTGCTGCGGGACGACGAGGCGCGGACACTCCGGCGCCGCGTCTAGCGCTCGGATGTCAGTAGTGAGTAACCAGACACGTCCCTCTGCTCGCAATTACCAAGCGCAAAGTGCCGCGTCGCGTGGAAGACTCGGCGGTCGCAGGGTGGAAAGCTCGCGCAGCGGCGGTACGGCAAGGGCGCGTGGGCACGGCACGCAAAGACTGCAGAGCGTTGCGAGGCACCGCGCGCGCCGGCGTGGTGCGCAAGCGGGCGAGCATTGCTGGGGCGGTAATTGTAGATGTAGATGTAGAGATGGCGTTGCTCACGTGCGTCGACGAATGAAGAGCATGGATGCGGCTGCGAGCTTTGAGCCGCGCCGCCCCGCTTTTTCCTCGCCCGTTCCTGACTGGGCTCGGCGCGTGTTCTACCGAGATGGCCGCTCATCTCCAGAATTTCCGTGCATCCTGGTCAACGTGCCTCCGCAATCCGGGGCCCCGGACACATGGAGAAAGCGGCGGTGCGCGGGTTTAGCGCGTGGAGGTAGGATATATTGCGCGCGGCCCCAGGGCGAAAGGGGGCACTGTAGTTGCGATGCTGTTCCCTACGACTCTGCTGGCTGTGCTCGCCGCGGTGGGCGCCGTCGCTTCTCCACTCGCGGGCAACTCGACGAAGCCCGTCGTCAAGCTCGACTACGTCACGCTCCAGGGCGCGTCGTCGGCGCAGTACAACCTCACGTACTACCGCCGCATCCCGTTCGGCGCATCGACCGCAGGCAAGAACCGCTTCCGCGCGCCCCAGCCCCCCGTGCCCATCACAAATGGCACCTACGACACCGACCGCGGCTTCGACATGTGTCCGCAGCGCACCGTCAACGGCTCCGAGGACTGCCTGTTCCTGGGCGTGTACTCGCGGCCGTGGGCACCGAAGCAAAAACTGCGGCCCGTCCTGCTGACCTTCTACGGCGGCGGCTTCATCCGCGGCAGCGCCGAGTTCAGCATCCCGCCGTCGGGGTACCCCGTGCTCAACGCCAGCGCCGCCAACGACTACGTGGTGGTGTACGCCAACTACCGCACCAACGTGTTCGGGTTCCTGCCGGGCGCCAAGGTCGCGCACAGCAAGGCCGTGGATCTCAACCCGGGGCTGCTGGACCAGCAGGCCGCGCTGCGCTGGATCCAGCGCTACATCGCCGCGTTCGGCGGCGACAGCGCCGACGTGACCATCTGGGGCCAGAGCGCGGGCGGCGGCAGCGTCGTCGCGCAGGCCATCGCCACGGGCAACAGGGGCAAGAAGCTGTTCACGCGCGCGCTCGCGTCCTCGCCCTTCTGGCCCAAGACCCCGCGCTACGACAGCGCCGACTCCGAGGCGCTGTACCAGGAAGTCGTGAGCGACGCCGGGTGCGCTGGCGCTACAGACGAGATCGCGTGTCTCCAGTCCGCGGACCTGCAGACGCTGCGCGCGTCCGCCCTGCGCCTCAGCACCTCCCGCCAGTACACGACCTCGTCCTTCACCTTCGGCCCCGTGCTCGACACGTCCTTCCTCAGCCGCCCGCTGTCCGCCGTCATCCGCGACCGCAAGCTCAACGCGCCCGCGGTGCTGACCAGCTACAACCTGCACGAGGGCGAGAACTTCATCCCGCCTGGGTTCAACGGCGCGAACACCGCGTCCGACGGCTTCAACTCATCTACTGCGTCGTTCGACGGCTGGTTGGCTGGCTTCTTACCGGATCTGCGGCCCTCGGATGTCAGGCAGCTGAAGACCCTGTATCCGCCCGCGGGCGCGGTCGAGGAGTTGGTGTACAACACGACGTACGTGCGCGCGGGGCTGGTGTATCGCGATCTGGTGCTCGCGTGTCCGGCGCTGTGGCTCGCGGACGCGGCGGACCGGGGGTGGGTGGTGGAGTATACGATTTCGCCGGCCAAGCATGCTAGTGATACTATCTACGTACGTTGTTTACCTCCCCTTTGCTTGCCCCCCTTGATCCCTCTATCCCTCTATCCCCTACCCGCCCTCGACCCGCAAACGCCCCGGACGTCGTGTGCATGTGTGCATCGTGCTAACGAAACCAGTGGAACCAGCTCAACCCCGTCCAGACCTCCGACCCACTAACCTACACCGCCTACGCCGGCGCCATGGCGAGCTTCATCCAAACAGGCGACCCGAACGCGCACAAAGTGACGGGCAGCGATGTGGCGGGCGTGCCGGGAGTTGGGGAGGGCCAGTTCGTGGTGAGCAGTACCGGGGTAAGGCAGGGCGGGATAAGCATGTTGAGGGAGCGGTGTGGGTTTTGGTTGGAGGTGGGGAAGAGGGTGCCTATCTAGGTGGTTTGCAGGGTGTTAGTAGTTATGGCAGATGTGGAGTGGAGAAGGGGGGTGAGAACGTGAATGCGGTGGGGAAGACGAGAGTGTATATACCGAACGAGGAGAATGTGAATACATCTAAACTATAGCACGCAAATACCACATAAGCCACTATTAATACTAAAGATGTCTACTTCTCCTATGCTTAGGGAGCAATGCAGGTTCTAGGCAGATGTAAGAAAGAGCGTGCCTATTCAAGGCGACTTGTAAGGCACGGGCGGCTGTGGTGGCTGCGGTATAGAGATGGAAGGTGAGAGTGTAGATACGGTGAGGGAGACGAGAGTGTATATATCTGCTACGGTAAGGTCGAGTACGAGCAACCGACGCCATGCAAAACCCAACCCCCACAAAGCCCTCGGCAACACCAAACACATCCCCTCCCCCTCTGCCCAGAGAGCGGCATTCGTGCCTCCCAGCCCCACCCTAAACCCTCTCTCTCTCTCGAGCACCACCACACCGCAAAACAGCGAAACACGAGGCAGTCCTCGACTAGCGGAGGATGCTTCACGAGATCTACGCGACGCGGTGTACATCCCAGCGAGATACTGAGACGGTGTTCGGTGTTTGAGATTAAATGGCGGGAGCGTGCCTGGAGCTTCACGTTCGCTGCTTCGTCTGTCTCGCGACGCTGCTAGGGAGACGCGGGGCCACGGATCCATGGAGACGTGTTAACACCAGTCAGTCGATTAGAGAGCGGTGGGTTTTGCGGACAGGGGGGAGAGGGTGCGTATCTAGGGCGCTCTGCACGGGACGGCGGTCACGGCATGCGCAACGTACAGACGAGTAAACATAGCGTGAAATGTATGGCATCACGCGCACCGAGGTATAAACGACTCCAAACCAGGACCACCCAAACGCCACATAACCCATCAGCAACGCCAAAACCATCTACTTCCTCTCCCCCTTCCGCCCCGTCCTTCTCAACCTTTCCCCCAAATCCCTCACCCCCTCAGCCCAAACCCCCATCCCCCCCTCCCTCACCACAGGCCCCACAAACTCGCGCAAAAAAGCGCCCATCTTCTCCTCGCCATACTTCTCGCCATACACCACCTCGGCACGCACGCCAACCTGCGTCTCGACCTCGCTGCCAAGCACCACGGCGACCCCGAAGTCGACGCGGACCTTGGTCTGCAGTTGGGGGAGGAGGAGTGCGGCGCGCACGCCCATGCGCTCGTCGCCGAGTATGCACTCTTCAGTCACGAACGAGGACTCGAGGGCCGCGACGCCGGCGGCGACGGAGAGCGCGGCGTCCCAGGTGGCGCGGACGAGGGCGAGGAGGGCGGCGACGGGGGTTGTGGCTTGCGGGAGGGCGTGCAGGTGGGCGCGCAGCAGCTGCAGGAAGAAGCGCTTGCTGGTGGTGAGCGGGCGGGGGTGCGGGCGGGCGGTGTCGCCGATGTAGGCGAGCGAGATGGGGCCGTTGGGGGTCGGGGTGGGCGAGGTGGTGGCGAAGCAGTGCGGGTGGAAGTAGAGCTCGAGGTCGGAGAGGAGCGTCATGGTGATGGTCGTGGCGGAGGCGGAGGTGATGCTCCAGCCGTGGGCGAGCTCGAGGGCGGAGACCTTGGCTGAGAGTGTTAGTTGAAATCATGATACTGCGAGAACGAAACGTACCCTTCAGATCCCTCACTTCCGTCGTGGACCAGCCGCGACACTCTTCACGGACGCGCTCGGCTGCCTTGATCTCGGCGAGACACTCAACCTTGCGCTCCTTGACGGCCTCGATGCTTGCCTCCTTCTCGGCGTATTCCTGCTGGAGCTGCACGAGGAGCTCGCGCTTCGCTTGCAGATCGGCATCCGCCGCGATGAGGTTCTCGCGCGCCTGCTCAAGCTCCTCGCGGTCGCAGCTGTTGAGCTCGTCGTGGCGCTGTTGCAGCTGCTTCTGCTGTTGGGCCAGCTGCTGCTGCCTCTCAACCAGCGGCGGCAGAACAACATCAAGAAGACGCTCCTGGTTGGACAGCGACGTCTCATCATGCTTGAAGGCTTCTACAGTAGACAACAGGCCGGCTTTGAGTGTCCCCAGTAACGTGCTCCGCCACGAGTACCACTCGCCCCGAGCCTCAAGACGCGCACCCACCTTCATGTTCTTGAACTGCGTGTCCATGACCACACGCTGGTCGGGCGGCGCGGTCAGGTACTCGCTGAACAGCAGCGGGTTGTCTTCTCCGACATCCGCCTCGATCTGGCGGACAGCCTCGCGGCCGGATGAGATGTATCGCTTCATCTCGTGGCATGCGTGCGAGTACAGCTCGTACTGAGGCACCGTGCAAGCACCAGCAACAACATAGCGGTCCAGCGTCTCCGGAGTCTCGTCGACGTCCATGTCGAGGAAGGCGGCTGGAGCCACAGTGGCGCGTCGCTTGCTCGCACTCACGTCCATGAAGGTGATTTTTGTCAGGCTCAAGAATTCCGACAGCGAGATGCGCTCAACGTCTGATGCCTCATCAATATCCTCAGCCTCCTCCTCAGGCTCAGCACCAAATACGACACGCTTCTTAGGGCTCAACGACCTCCTCGGAGTCTTCTTGGGCGTCGGGGTCTTCTGCTTGGGAGTGGCCTGCTTTTGAGGCGTCTGCGACTTCTTCGGCGTCATGCTGCGCTTCGCGGGAGAAGCCAAGGACGCTTTGCGGGGTGTCGACAGCAGCTTGATGCTGTTCGACAGCAGTGCTGTGCTTCGCAGTGTCGGCTCGTCGCGTGGTGCGCTAATGGGGCTGAACTGCACGCCAGACAGCGACGAACGGCGTCTGTTTAGGATGGGAGCGTCGACGGGATCAGCCGGGATGATGAACGACTCTCTCTTCCTGTGGCTCGCAGGGGTAGTGATAGCCGCCTTCGCAGAGCTGGGAGTTGTGATAGCCTTCGCAGAGCTGACAGGAGTTGTGATGACTTCCTTCATGAGAGAGCTCAACGGGGTCCGCCTCACGAACGGCGAGGGCTCGACATCGCCCGCTGGCAGCTGTCGTACAAACTCTGGAGTGCCAGGGTCGAGATTTAGCTTGGCCTTGGTGGGTGTGCGCTCGACTGGCACTGGCAGTGGGTCCAGCTGTGTTTCAGGGGCAGTCTCCGCGACACTGCGAGACTCCTTGGGAGACTTCTGCGGTGTTTGTGCTTTTACCACAGGAGGTGCAACCTCTGGTGTGGGTGACTTTGCGAGCTCGGGCAGAACAGGATAGTCGACTGTCGCAGGGGCTTCTGTCGGCTTCTCAACACGCTTAATGCCCGGTCCGACGACCTTGGTGAATTCCATAGTGAAGCCGTCGTCTCCATCGCTCTCATCCTCGGCCGCTGGGGCCGTCTTGATGCTTCCGACTGCCATGGTGAGATCCATAGTCTCGTCCATGGCGACGCTACCCATGCTGCTCCGCCTGTCGTCGTCGTCCTGAACGGGCGTGTTTTTCTTAATACCCCCAATAGCCATTGTGAGGTCCATGGTCGCGTCGTCGGCGGGCTCTTCCGACTTGCGGCGGTTGCGGAGGCTGGTGCGTCGGCTGGCAGGCTTCTTCGCCGGACTGCCCTGTGACGGCTCGACGGCGGACACGCTTCGCTTGAGGCTCTTCCTCCTGTTCGCAGGCCCCTTGGCCATGGCCTGGATGCTGCCGAGCGGCATCGTCAGCTCCATGCTCATGCCGGTGTCGTCCTCCATGTCCGAGCTCGCGTCTGGCTGGTTCACGATGCGCCCAATCGCGCGCGTCACGTCCATGCTCATGTCGTCGTCGGCGTCTGACGGTGCGGGCGAGGAGGAGTCCTGCGCTTCGGCGGCTTTGCGCGCCCACGGCTTGAAGGAGGCTGTGATCTCGTCGTCGGCCATCTCCATGGTCATCTCGCCGTACTCGTCGAGGTCCAGCTTCTGGGTGCCGGCCTGCTCGAACGCCTGTCGCAGGGCCGCATCCAGGCGCGCGCTGCTCTGCGAGCTGTCCTCGATGTCGGGCATGGGCCGCAGGTCTGTCGTGGCGTCGTCGTCTTCGGACTCGCTCTCGGCGGCGTTGTCGGCGCTGAGGGGGCTCGACGAGTAGACATCGTCGGGGTTGTTGAAGTTCATGGGCGGGATGCCGGAGCTGCGGCGGTTCTTCTTCTGGTGGCTCTCGCGCTGGTTCGCGGGCGACGAGTCGGCGTCGGGGGCGGCCTCTGCGAGCTGCTCGGGCGGCGTGGACGGCGGCTCAGCGGGGTCGGATTCGGGCTGGGCCTGCGAGGCCAGCGAGGCGCGGCGGGTCGCGTCCGAGGCGGCCGACGACGAGGTGGCGTCGCGCATGTACTCGACGACGTCCCATGTGTGCAGGGTGGCTTCGGGCGCGAACGACACGCGTCTCTTAGCCAGCGATTTGCGGCGCGCCTCCTTGCGCTTCTTCTCGTCTTCGGCGTTGGACGACAGGATCGACTTGACGGCGGGCACAAACGCAGACTGCCGGTTAGCCTCGCCTCGACGCTGCAATTGTTCCACACACCTTGCGCCTGTTCCCGCTGCTCGCCTTCAGCGGCGCCTCCTCTCCCTTCTCGAGGCCGCCGGGGCCGATGCTCTTCGCGCGCTTCTTCTTGGGCGCGGCCTTCTTCGGCGACAGCGACGGCGCCGTGAACGACGCGCTCGCGACGAGCCCGTCGGCGATGTTGTCCCGCGCGTTGTCTTGCGCCATGGTCGTGAAGGCGAGGTGTGGGGTGTCTGGTGCTCCGCGCGACGGAGCCGGTAAGGTAAACAAACAGTCGTGCTAGCGCCGAATAATCCCTGCACGCACGTGTTGGTACATACACAGTAGTCCAGCAAGTTGTCTACATCAAGTACTTAAATTACTACGTGATTAATCTGCATGAATCTACGGTTGCGTCAACGATCGAAAGCGTAAGAGAAGTTGCTATACACTGACTTTATCAATTGCCTTGGAGATGATTGATAGGTTGGCCTGAACGGCACTGTAGCTCACAAAAGCATACAACATACATCTACTCCCACCCAACCCACTCTCACTTCCCAATCGCTGCCCAAATACTCTCACGAATTCCAGCGCCCGAGTCGCCGACAGTTGCCCATACTCACCCACCACAACCACGCACTGCAGACTGAACCTCGGGTGCGTAGTGAACTGCACGGCGCAGTGGGGCGCTGCTCGGCTGAACTTTCCGTGCACTTCCATCTCCAACACTCGCAGCACATCCCGGATGCGTGCCGCCGCCGTCGCAGGAACACCGTGAATCGCAAAGTGGACCCCCGCGCAGCCAACCACGACCACGGACCCCATCCCGTGCCTTCGTTCGCACCTCGCACCCGCGCTCTCCCATCTCCCCCGTCTCTCACCACAACGACCTTCTCCATCCGCAATGGCCGACCCACCGCACCTCCCGGGGCCGCATACATAAACATGCCTTCCGCGCGCCTCGCCGCCCTGTGCGCCATCACCCTCACCTGCACCGCCATAGTTCTCTTCCACGCCTGGCCCACCATGCCCTCCCCGAAAACCGTGACCTCACTCCTCTTTGGCGCGGCCGCGGCGCAGAACGCGAGTGTGGACGTGGGCTGGCATGCGCCGCGGAAGAGCTGGATCAATGACCTCGACCAAGTGTTGAATGGAACCGGGACGCATGGGCTTGTGTTTAACAGCTCGCAACTGCCTGATGGGACGGCGTATGGCGCGTACAATTGGTGCAATATGCCGCATGTTAGAGTGCAGGAGTATCCGCGGGTGGGGGAGGGGTTTGAGTTGAAATACGTCGAGGTGTGAGTGCGTTGCAAGTAGGGTTTTTGGCTACGGCTGATGGAATAGAATTCACCGCCATCACAAGAGGACGCCGTATGCGTCGAATACGTTCCCCGAGGAGGCGTACGGGTGGGAGTGTGACGACCAGGGCTTGTTTTACTATGGCCAGCCTCTGGATCCGGCGGGGAACGCATCAAGCCAAACGTACTGGAGCGTGTACACGGACGCCGCGAACCCCTTCGCGCAGACCGGCTTCAAGGGCAGCTGCCAGTTCCCGCAGATCACGCGCGGCGGGCTCGACGACTCGTGGCAGCACGGCCGCGACCTGTGGGGCGTGTACCACGACCTCCTCGGCTTCCTGCCGGACGACCTCACCGATAGAATATCCTTCCGCGTCACAAACAACCAGATCACGTCCCAGGTCGCCGGCATGCTCGTCAGCGGCATGTACGCCGCGCCCGCGCCCGTCCCGCTGCTCGTCCAACCCCCCGGCATCGATTCCCTGGAACCCCAGTACCCGTGCCCCGCGGCCGCGCGCCTCGCGGGCTCCTACGGCGTCGGCAGCTCCGCCGCAAACTGGACCGCGCACCTCTCCCGCGCCGCCCCGCTCCTCGCCGCCCTCGACGCCGTGTCCGGCGTCCCCCCGTCCGCGCCCGACTGGCACAAGTCGCTCGACCACTACTACGACAACCTGTCCGCGCGCCAGTGCCACGCCAAGCCGCTGCCGTGCAGCCCCGGCAACGCATCGCTCTGCGTGACTCAAGCGCAGGCCGACGCCGTCTACCGCCTCGGCCAGTACGAGTACTCCTTCCTGCACCGCGACGCGCCGCAGTCCCTCCGCGCCGCGGCAGGCGCCTACGGTGTGTTCCTCGCCGAACTGGCCGCACATATCCGCGCCGCCGTCGCCGGAGCGAGTCCCGCGCTGTACCGCCACAACGTCGCGCACGACGGGTCCGTGGCGCGGCTCCTCAGCATCCTGCAGGTCGAGACGATGGTGTGGGTCGGCATGGGCGCAGAGGTCGTGTTCGAGGTGTACGAGCGCACGGCGGGCGGGGGCCACGTGCTGCGGGTGCTGTGGGGCGGGCAGGTGCTGCGCAGTTCGAGCCCCGTGCTGGGGGTGCTGGATATGGTCGACGTGCAGGTGTTTCTGGGGTACGTGGACGGGCTTGTCGGGCGCGGCGCGGGCGGCGTCGAGGCGTTTTGCAAGTCGTGAGGGGTGGGCGAGTCAGCTGCGGGCGGGAGTAAGCAGGGAGGGTTATTCAGCGGTTTCGAGGCGCAGGCGCCGCTTCGTAATCGAGCGCGCTGGGGGAGCGCGTGCGTGCGCGCCGTGAGTAAGCTGCTGTCATTCGCGACAAAGACGGGCGGGCGAATCACCGCAGAGAGATTAGTCTAGCAGGCGAGGGCCTGATAGCGGGAGGTACGATACGGCAACGCCATGAGCAGCGGGTATTGTGTGATTTGGAATGGCGTTGGTGGTATAGAAGCGCAATCGACGCTCTCAACAGCCTGTTGATCTTGAAAGCTGTCCAGACATTCACCCCAAGCACCCACCCCCAAGATGCCCTTCTCCGCCGACCCCCAGATCCGCGAGACCAGCACCGGCCTCGTCAGCACCCTGCGCGCCGCCGCCGCCCAGCCAACCCAAGAATTCCGACCCGGTACGCCGTCCCCCAGAGCAACCCCCCCCCCCCCCCCCCCCCTCTTCTAACTTCTAACCCCCCCAGCCCACGCAAAAGGCCACCTACTCACCGGCACCTTCACCCCCACCCCCGCCGCCTCCTCCCTCACCACCGCGCCACACTTCAACCTCCCCTCCGTGCCCACCACAATCCGCTTCTCCTCGTCCACGGGGCTGCCGCAGCTCCCCGACACCGACCCCGCCGGCAACCCGCACGGCATCGCGATCCGGTTCCACCTGCCCGAGGCGGGCGGGCGGCGGCGGCACACGGATATGATTGCGCACTCGACGCCGTTGTTTCCCGTGCGCACGGGCGGGGAGTTTCTGGAGTTTCTGAGGGCGGCGGGCGGGGCTGATGCAAGTACTGCCGTGCCTGAGTTTTTGGGGAGGCATCCGGAGACGAGGCGGTTTTTGGAGGCGGGGAAGCCGAGTCCGGTGTCTTGTGAGTCTTCTTCTTTCCTTCTTTCTTGCTTTCTGTCTTTCTTTCTTACTGGCTGGACGGGTTAGCCAGGGCGTGAGGTGCTAACAAGCGCAGTCGCCACGGAGCGCTTCTTCGGCGTCAACGCATTCCGGTTCCTCCGCGACGGCACGACGACAACACTACGGTACCGCATCGAGCCCGTAGCAGGGGCCGCGCACCTCGACGCCTCCGCGCTGGCGGGCCGGGCTCCAGACTGGCTATTCGACGAGCTGAACGCGCGGGTAGCCGCCGGGCCCGTCGAGTTCCGCCTCTTGGCTCAGATAGCGGCGGACGGGGACACAACGGACGACGCGACGGTGCTGTGGCCCGAGGACCGGGCGGTCGTGCAGCTGGGCACGCTGCGGGTGGAAGGTGTGCTGGGCGATGCGGAGAGCAGGGCCGCGCAGAAGCAGGTCATTTTCGATCCGATTCCGAGGGTCGAGGGTGTCGAGGTTAGTGATGATCCGCTGCTGGAGGTTAGGGCGAATGTGTATTTGGCGTCGGGGCAGCAGAGGAGGGCCGCGTGAGGGGGTGGAGGGAGGGGTTGGTAAGGCGATCAGGTGGGATGGTGCACGCGCGTATTTCATAGACTTGATTCATGCTGATGACTAGCTATGTCCAGGTCTGCGACTGGTGTTATGTTGTGATGTGTTTGTTGTGTTGTGCTGTCGAGTTCGTTGTGGTTATGTGCACTCCCAAGCGATGATGACATACACATGACCAGGGTCCAAAATCCCAAAGCGTGCATCGCTATCTGACGTTATCGATGCTCTGCGTCTCAACAGCCCAACGACCCAAACCCCACATCATGGGCTCGTCCTCCTCAAAAGCCGCAGGCGCCGCCGGTGCCGCCGCCCGCAAGTATCCCACCCGCGCGCCCCCCAGCAATGTCACCGCCCGCGCTCCCGCACCGCAGGCACCAACGCCCGGGCCCGCGGTGAAGCCGCCACCGCAGTTCAGCGAGAGCAAGCCAGAGGGTATGCACACCACCCCGCGAGATTCGGACACGACTGACACCCACAGGCGGCGTGGTCGACATGGACGCGCGCGACCCGGCCTTCGCATCGCGCCTCAGCAGCCTCGGCGCCGTGCAGCCCAACCCGCACTACTCGCCGACGTCGCGGTCGCAGTTCGACCCGCAGCCGCGGTCGCAGCGGGGCGACGTCCTGGGCGACATGATGCAGGCGCCGCCGCAGTCGGCGTTCCCGGACCCGCGCAACAACCCCGTGCTGCGCGTGCTGGAAGCCCGGCGGACGATTGCCGACGAGGCCGAGGATGAGATCAGCAACGTCGGCCGGAGGGGGTTCGAGGGGCGGAAGTATGTGGACGCTGGCGTTATTCAGTTGGCTTTGATGCGGCAGGCGCGGGGCGAGCCGGCGGAGCGCATTGAGAATGCGCTGGGGATCAAGAAGGGGAGGTTGAGTGTGCTCGGCGCAGGGAAGGTGGGCGCGGTGGCGATGGGCAGCTGAGGAAATTCCATCGGACGACGCATGGAGAAGGGTGTCTCAAGATTGGACTGGGATCAAGAAGGGAGGATCATGAAGAGGGTGTCTATCAAGACTGGGCCAGAAGGGAGAATGAAGAAGGGGTGTCCATTGAAACACCGTCGCAGCGAACACGAGCGACATACATACAACAACGAAACGAAGCGAATACCCAATCGGTCTTGCCGACATCCAAATCAAACCCAGTCCGTCGCAATGCCTGTCCGTCGTTACCTGTCGTTACCATTGCGCCAGACCAAACGCCGAAAATGCAAATGCTTTGCTCACTCAAAGTCCTCGTACTCTTCACGCTCGTGCATGAAGTTGTTGACCGCCAGCAACGCCTCCTTCAGCGCCTCCTGGTTCACCTCGATCCCGTTGCCGGACATGCTGTCCGTGCCGACCTTGACCAGGCCGTCCATGCGCGACCTTCCCGGGCGCCACGCCTTTGCGATGCGCCAGCGGCTCTTGGTCGAGTTGATGCTCGGACACGACGGCGAGAGCTCCTTGCTCTCGCGGAGGACTGTGAGCGCGTTGAGCACATTCATGAATATACTGCGTCAGTCAGCACTGGACTAGCATACGAGGCTGGCTTGGCATACCCTTGTGTCAGCTCGACGTCGTGGTCCCAGCCGTACGCCGCGCCGCTGAAGCTGTTCCCCTGCGCGACAATGTCGAGGAACACAAACAGGCTCTCTTCAATGCTGATGTTGACCGAGAGCTGCGACTCGACGTTCTTCAGGATCCAATCGGAGAGCTGCACGAAGCTGATTTGGTCCATGTGGCAGAACTCGTTGAACCGGTCCGGGATGCCCATGAGCAAATACATGGCGCGCTTCGCGCCCGCCGAGTCCTGGGCAGCCATGTCGATGTGCGGTGGTGATAGTGTCTGGCCGAAGTTGGTGACCGTGAGACAATGCGGAGTCGTCAGGTGAGATAGTCTTAGTCGCCGGAAAAACAGCTAGCAACCCCAACAAAGCGCCGCAGCAATTCGCGTCCAATTCTTCTGTTTCTGAAAGCCCGTGGGTTGGTGGTTTGCGAGTCCGTCGGCGCTGGAAGGGAGAAGTCTTTCGATCCACGCTGAGATGAGCAGGTGAGGCGGCTGTGGGGCCGTCGTCCGTTCTCAGACACGACGCCATCCAAGCATGTGAAAGTCACGGACCGCCCGCCATGACGTTACCGCTCGGCCAATCGGGCGGCGCAGCGCCCCAAACCAGACATTCGGCGCGTCGGTTTGGGCCTGGTTTGGCGCACCGCAAACATGGTGCACGCTGGCTCTGGTTTCGTGATCCAAGGTGCGGACCGTATTGCTTGAGCGGGCACGTGGGTGCTTGTTGTGGTCGGCGCCGCAGCGGTTGCTTGTGTCAGGAGAGGGGCGGCGGGCCTGTGGACCGTGGCATGCACGGCGGACGCGTACAGAGGGTCAGTGTGAGATCAGTGTGAGATCAGTCCCGTTTCTAGATTGAGTTCGTGATGCAAGGTGCGTGATCCACACCTGCATAACATCTTCACCAGCCTCTGGCACCGCCTCTTGTCCCTTGCTGTGGCTGTCGTGACTGTTGATGGCCATCGCGGAACTGGTCCGACCGCATCAGTAATAACGACGATCTGCATCAGTAATAACGCGAGATTTGCATCAGAATAGAGATTCCATTCGCATGTCAGCAGCGACGTCGCTTAGCAGCGCCATGAATGCCATGGCCAGCTTGCGGAGTTCCGCACTTGGGCTGAGTAAGACGACAGCGATCAGCAAACAACAACAGCTTAAGATGCTCGCTTTCCTGGCGCGCGATGTGCGATGAATTTCTACGGAGAATTCTCCAATGACCACCATGCACTACATCTCCCCCACACGCCGAAAGAGCTGCACCGCCTGCGTCAAGAGCAAGCGCCGCTGCGATCTCGAGTACCCGGTCTGCAAGCGCTGCAGCGCCAAAGGCCTCGAATGCGCCTATCCAACGACTTCTCCGTCCCGTAGCAGGAGGTTGGCGAGTGTCCGCGAGACAGTTCACCTCTCGCCGGACTTGTCGCCGCGAGGGGCTAGCGTCCCGGTAGCCGTTGTCGATAGCTCAGCCGAGTTCCTGTCCTTCAACGGCGCAACCACCGATCCGCTTGCGCAGGACGCGCTACCGTTTTCATACTCGTCGGGCAGCTCGAGCAGCGACAGCCCGGTCAGCTGGCAGGATGAGCTCGCGTCGGCCGCAACGCTGATAGACGACGTGCCCTTGGAGGAATATGCGCAGCCCCAGCTGGGCCGCATGCTGTGGCCGGAGATCAAGGCGCCATGCTACATGACCAGCGACCAAACCGCGTACATCCTGCGCACGATGCGCTCCTTCATCCCGTCCATGGCATACACCGGGTCCACGCCGTTCCTGCACCAGGCCCTCTGGAAGCAGTACCAGCCCGCGTCGTACCAGGACTGCGTCGCCATCTCGGCCCTCTACCTGTGCAAAACCAGCGCCAACACATCCCTCATCACCGCCAGCATCAACCGCAAGATCGCCTGCATGAAGGCCCGCGCCGGCTCCTGGGACCTGCTGGAGCACCTCGCCGCCGTGCAGACCCTGATCATCTACCAGATCATGCGGCTCTTCGACGCATCACTACAGGACCAAGTATCCGCGCAGAAACACTCGATCCTGCTCGAAACCTGGGCCGCGCTGCTGTGGAAGCGCTCGTTCACCGACCCCCCGCTGCTGGGCTCCTGCCACGACACCTGGGTGCTGGCCGAGTCCCTCCGGCGCACCGTCATGATGAGCGTGTTTGTGCGCTGCGCGTGGAGCATCTACACGCGCGACGGGCTCGCCGACCAGGTCCCCGTCATGTCGCGCATCACGTTCACGCGCGACCTGCGCGCGTGGCGCGACGCGCCTGCCGAGTGGGACGCCAGGGTGCTGCCGGAGCTGCTGGCCGCGGATGGGCTGACGGCGTACGAGGATTTCGCGGACGAGTGGAGCTCGGTGTGTGAGGTCGGCGTGCTGGATCCGTTCCACAAGCTGCTGCTGGTGGCGTGCAGGGGCGCGGATGATCCGCGGTTGTTTGGCTGAGGGGTGCGTACAGCACGGTGGCTACATCGCATCACATCGCAGCGTGACGACGGCGGCGCCAGACATTGGGTTTCGCGTCCGGTGGCTAGCGATGATGTCCCGCTGGTCGCAATGATGTCACGCTTCCCCGCAAGCGCACCCCGCAGTCTTATACCCGCGCTGGATCCAACACGGCGTCGAAGCACTCTCCGCTATCGGCCGCGCAGACAAGCCCGGGCAGCGAACATGGCCGTGCCGCTCCAAGAACCGAGCCTCCAGAAGCAGCGAGAGCATCAGGAGGTCCAAAAAGACCTAGAGGTCCAAAAGGATCGAGACGTCCACAAGGCCCAAAACACCGCCGACATCTCCCGCCCTCTCACGCGGCCCACGCACATCGCAGCGCCACAGTGGCTGCCGGAAAAGCAGCCCCGGCCTTTGCAGCGGCGGGCGACTGTAGCCGTAGCCGTGACTGGCACGTCAGACGGCTGTGTGGTAGCCGTTGGAGCGGAGGACGGGTTCAGCGCAGAGTCCGGCAAAGAGATAGGGGGGGGAGGGGGGGGGCTGTGTGGGAACGCCCACCGTCACGACACGTCCAGGCCGCAACCACGGCTGCCGCACTCCCAGCGCCGTGCCGCGAACACTCTCTCCAAACAGACCAAGCGGCCCACGGAAACCAGACGCCCAGAAGCGCGCCCCCGAACCAGCTTGTCATGCACGCAGCTCACGCACCTCGCCACCAGGGAAAGCCTGCCTGTACGCTCACAACGCCACTCATGTTCAATCATCAATATACGCCCTGCCATCTTTCCGCTATCATATCTAGTGTGAAGCAAGTGCTATTGTCTGTAATATAACTAGGACCTTGCAGTTCCGGCCAAGGACTCACTATCATATCAACCTGAGTCGTGAGACTAATTGGTTTGCTTACCGCAGTGGCCAGAGCTGGGGCCTGGCATTGGTGGTGCGGAAGCCAGTTTGTATTCCTGGAGAGTAATTATTGCTGTATTGTTAGAGAGTGACTATTGATGTATTGCTAGAGAATGAGCATTGCTGTATTGCTAGCAAGGAAACAACACATTCCATGAACCGTGTCAAGGTAGGTATTAGCGTGGCTAGGCGCCCCACTTCACCCGCCTTCCGCTCGCGCGTCTCCACTCAGCGCCCTCTCCTCTCAACGACATTGCTGTTGGGCCAAGAAGGTTTCAATGGTTGGGTCGTTGCGGTCTGACAGCCCGATATATCCAGATCCGGACAACCAGATACAACCAAGCGAGGAACGGTTTCGCTCTGTCTACGGATCGGGGTTCAGGACTTGGGCGACCCTATGCGCCTTTGCAGACAAGAAGCGCACGCTTCCTGCTCATTGCCTCTCTCCGGAGGGAGTTTTTCCCGCGTATCCAGTGTTCCCGCGAACCGAGCTCCTGGAACACGACGAGCACCAGGCCTCGATCACTGCATCATCACTCTGGGGTTCGTGTGCTTCCACTGGTTGTGGGTTGCCCTCGTTCGAGCAGCAGGTACGCATTGGCGTGACAGCTCAGAAACCAATACCATTGTCGATCTTAGAAGATGGCCGAGACGATGTTGATCATTCATGGTGGTTCGTCTGTAGCGATGACTACACTCCCATCCTCGTTTTAGCCTGGACATATATTCTATCAGCTCGCTGGGCTGAGCTCATGCCAACGACTTGCTCCCTCGAGTACAATCAAGCTCATGGCACAGACAGCAGCGCAACGGAGGGTACAAGATCAGTGCCTAAGGATCAAGGAGCAGTCCATGTTGACATCGAGTATGCGGGCCCAGAAGAAGCGCAGTGGTGGGCTGCTGTCTTGTCGCCGGGTCAAGGGTGGCAGGCTACGATGCGTTTGACGGACGCTACTTTCATATCTCCTTGGTCAGTGTACCTACAGTCGACTCTCCAACTGCTTTCACCTCTACCTCAGAGTGAAGTGGAGACCCCGGCTCCGCCGCCGACCTCCTCGAAGGCATGCGAGTATCTCAGCAGATTCTGCATACGTCACAACGTAGTGGATCAGAGCCACGCTGCATTGGCGGCTGCTCTCCTCCTCCCGTCTCTGAACGACGGCCGCACGCTACAGCTTCCCGCCCCCAAGCTCGGTAGGTCAGGGACTTCGCAGAGCGATCGAGAAGAGAGGGCGCCCTGTGTTCCTGCGCATCTGACAAGCTGCCCAGACAGATTTATCGCCTTGAGTTGCAACGTACGGGGGATTCGGCCTATGCTACTGAGTGTTTTCTACGAGTCGCACATCGAGTGCAATGTCTTTGCCCCTTGGCTTCAGGGGACGCTGGCTGCTATAGATTGCCTCGCCGGAAACAAGCCGCGCATTGTGGCGCGTGCTTGCATGGAAAGATCGTCTCAGGTCGCCTACCTTTGGCTGGGTGTCGCAATTCTTGGGCTGCAGCAGCGATACCTACAGGATGTAGGCCGTGGGCAGATCCCATTTGACCTGCATAGCGCAGCTCGGTCAGGAACGTTGCAGTCGTTCATACAACAGCCTACATCGTGCCCACTGGTTTCAAACGGGCGGGTCAAACGGGCGGATGAGTGTCGCCTGCTCTTCCTGGCAAGATCCGACTGTCACGCTCGAGCCCCGATCTGTCAGTGGAGACCGTTTGGCGCAACTTCTGTGGAGGATCTTGATGCAGAAGTGAGAGTCCACACCGAATGTCAAGCACATAAGCTCCAATACCATGGGCTCCGTTGGTCTGGCGAAGATACTGTCATCATGTCAACTACGGATGCCGTAAAGCCGTCGGCACACCTATCCATATTGCGCGCCAGGAACGCAGAATTCATCAATTGCTGTGAGATACTTGACCGGGGGAAAGAGGTTATTTCTGAAAACACGACACGCAGTATTTTCGGCTGGCTACGCCCTGACGGACGAACTTGCGACGAGAAAGCGATATTTCAACACCCATGGCTCGACATGTCTGAATCTGATTCGGAAGACGAAGCCGAGCCTCCAGTTAGCCCTCACAATGGTAATCAGGGTTCTTTGGCTGTGGCACTGTGGCTCCACAACCTCGATTGCGATGAGACTGTGAAGAGCAGAGGTGACGAAGCGGGCACCGGGCTTTTCTCCATCGACAGTATTCCTGAACTACGTTGCAGCAGCCTGATGAACACTGATGTGCACCAATAACAGACTGCTGTCCTCGCGATATGCAAGCTCGTGCGCAAACGTCACGCTCACAATCATGATAGCGAGGAACAATGCATCGCCCATCGTGAAGCCATCGTCTCGTCGCAAGAACCTCACGCCATGGTCGAATATGGGCATGCGGCAGTTGGCGTGGCCGGTGGCAACAGCAAAGAAGGCGTTGATAGAAAATAGAGGGGTGAAAATTTCAGGTCGAAAAGTAGGGTAATGGTTTACGGAATCCTCTGCTGAAGCAGCCGCGAAGATGCATTGTCAGTATGAGAGAAAAGAGCGTGAGGAGCTGTTATGAGTAGGAGGCGTCAGCTCGAGGTATGAGATAGGCTAGAAACTCGGTTGAATTGTACTTTGCTACAGTATGTAAGTCTGCCATTCGTGCTGGCGCTGAAAGAACCCCCTGATCAGCACTGTATCGGCCGAGCTTTTAGTCGAGTACCGCCATTCCCTGAGAATTTTGACCGGCGACGCCATCGAGGCTGAAGCACTGCACTAACTTCATCGATCCTTGGCCCCCTGAGATATCTAGCACCTTCACAGATGCGACGGTCGTGCCATTGCCTGGCGATAAGACATACACGAAATTTCCCGACGCCTTTAGGTCTGTAAAACCAGGGTCGCCATCTGCGGACAAGTCAAGCTCACTAATGATGGTTGCATCGCTAGTGCTCATCTCTACAATTCGAGCAAAACCGGCATCCGCAACGAACGCACTATCGGTTGTTGTGGAGATGGTGGCCCAGCATGTTGCTTTCTGACCAGGAATAGACTGCTTGCCTGCGATTGTTGCTACATTCTTCGCATCCAGAGCCAAGACGACAGCGCCGAAGGACGCGTCTGTGACGAACAAAGACTGCGGGCGATTGGGGACAAGAGCCGAGCCGAACAATACCGCAGTTCCTGTAGGTGAGCTGCGCGTATCCTCGGACGCAAGACCGGCCTTGCCATTTTCTTGAGGCCGCACTGCAAACGCAGACAAAAACCCTGTATCGTTTTTGGTCGGGTCGCCTTTGACTGTCGTAAACAGTGTAGATTCGTCCAGGGAGAAGAACGTCTCAGCAACGCTGTTCAATGGCCCATGTGGAGGAGTTGTCTGATTCAATCGGAATGGTCGGAGAGCGTCCATCTTGCTCATGCCACTGCTATTAAAAGTGGCGCACGAGATGCCTGCCAAGGCGCCCGTCGTTCCAACGCAGACAAGCTGGTTCTTCACCGAAGCAGCAATCGTGGTGGGGAACTCGCCGGGCAAAGTTGCTTGCCCAACTGTGACAAGGTTTGTAGGATTCCTTCTCGAAATAGCCATCATCGTGACAGTGTTTGAGCCAGCATTGACGGCGAAGACGTAATCCCCAGCAACAACTAAGGAGGATTGCGCAGATAATGCATCCGGTGCAGCTCTGAGACCCGTGGCGCTGTTGATGAAGTTTGAGCCTGCACCGTCTGTCTTCGTGACAGTTCCTCTCGAAAGCAGTCCATCCCGGCCAATGGGTAAGGCGACTACCGCATTTTCAGCATCGTTGGTCATGAAATATACAGCTCTTCCAGACGCGCTAGAAGGTTGATCATGGTAGTTTGTAGCTACAGGGTCCTTCAACTGTCGACCATCGAGCTGCTGCGGTCTCGCCAGGACCGTAGAAAAGAGCAAGGTCAGAAGTTGGATCTTGGTGCGCATGGCGAACTGCTGGAACAAGCTTGCTGCGTTTGCAGGAAGATCTTGTCAATGCTAAGTGTAACTGGAGAGTTAAAGGATCAGATGGGTGTGCGTCTTTTCTTCGATGGCGCTGAAGTACCATTCTTTATACGTATACCTGTAGACTTGCAGGACGTGACATGCTGTGGATTACTCGATCAATACTTCCCTAAGAGGCATGGCTTGAGACCGGGTGTCCGTGCTTCGTTCTAATGTAGCACGTCGCTACTTCGCCGCTATCACTAAAGAGGGAATCTGGATTACGCGAACAACTCCTCAACTGATCGCTATCACTGCTGACACCGCACGAAGCTTAGGCTCGGCAGCCGCGCCAACCCCTCTTCGAATCTTTCAGTCATGTACCGATCAACACAGCTGCCAGCGCTTTGATTTGCTCTACATCGCTATAGTTGTTTCGGTCACCGAAGTAGTGGTTATTTCCACATCACAGGAGCTAGAGGAACCCTGCGCTCAGGTAATATGCTTGGTCGTCTTGCGACGAAGTTTCCTTTTAGGGCATACAAGGGCGGCCAACACACTGCTACAGGTGGAGTCGATCGTCCAACACGAAATCACAGGCGGCTGACTGCATCCAGATGACTTACCTTCCGAAACACTGAAACCAGGCCAAAAACGTAGAGAACAGATCCGCAGAGCACAAAAGTAAAGTGACTCTAGTGCAAGTTCCCAAGTGAGAAGTGTTCTTTAGTTGACAGACCCAGAACCCATCGTGAACGCAAAGAAGCATACGTCAAGTCTCTTGAAGCTGAAGTCGCCCATTTACGCGTGAATGAGGCGAAAGCACTCGAAAAGGTGAAGGAACTGCGCGCGGAACTCGATGCGCTGAAAATATCAGTCTGTACCGATCGTAACTTGATATCTTCTCGATACGATGATGTGCAGGCAAGCTCATCTGATCCGCTTTTGGCACAATTCAACCCCCTTGCGAAGACGGGAAGCCCAGACTATAGCATCCAAGAGATGGAGGTCAGGGTGGGAGAGGGACAGGTCGTCATTCAAGACGTTCTCGATCAATCATCGCGCTTAGCTGGTCAGTACAACTTGTGTTCGATAGGAAGAACGGCCTCGCACGTATGCAGAACTCTCAAATATCACACTTGCTAATTTACAGAAGTCTCTAGGGCGGATGGACCACCCATCTCAAATTCTTCAAGATCAACAAAACGCCTTTGTGATCTTGACCCAACAATTCTTGGATCTGAGTTTGTCTTGTTGCAAGTCTCTGCTGAACATTTTGGAACTAGACGTTAACTAATGAGTTGGCAGTCTGGAAAGACCTTGCTTACCACACAGTGGTGTCACGCCTAGCTTCTCAGATCAGAGCTCAAATGGCCATGCACTTACGTTGACGTCAGGCTTGTTGAGTTTTTGCCCGCCTGTATCAAGCTCGCAAATCGAGCCAGTCGAAGCGTGGCGGATTCCCAAGTTAGGTCTAGAGCGATTATTGGATCTGTCTCGACAAATCGCCCTTGACAATGATGAAGTCACGCCTGTTCAGGCATGGGCAATCGTTCGAGATCACGATTTATTCTGCACACTGTCAATCGAACACCTAGAGGATCTAAAAACGAGACTGCTGCATAGAGTCAAGTGCCACGGGTACGTTTCCGAGCTCGCAGGTGTGAACGAATCATTGACGATGACAATAGGTTCGGTGGCGTAATATTAAGGAGCGATCTTACAGACGCTATTGTAAGTACGTTTGTAATTAGAGAGACTTAGCTTAGGCAAGGTTCTTCGTTGTCTGTACCCGCAATTGCTACAGCATTTCGCCTTCACCTTGTCAAAGCCTAAACGGCTGTAGGAAGTGATTCAATCAGCATCTTTCGCAACTCCATTGCTGTAGCAAGCTGTTAATGTTCAGCGGCTCCACGCAGAGAGTATTGAGGTCTGTATCGTCCGCTATGACATACTTGGCGGCAAATTTGTATTCACAGATGTGGCGGTATGTCGCCTCCGATCAAACACGAAGCAAATACAGCTCGAGATGCGGTCAGTAACTCTGCTACCTGGTGAATTGTTCGTATTACCTAGGATGACTGTCCGAAGTATCTTTCCAACCAAATACTGATCTCCTCAGATATGCGTCTTGGATGATCCTCTTGCACAAAGTGGCCCGCCTCTCCCAAGTCCACACTGGCCACGTTTGTCATGCGCTGGAGATACCAGCGCATCTTGTCGCCACTTACCAGGGGTCCGTCCTCGTACCAGAAGAAGCGTTTCGGTAACTTAGTCGCAACGAGCCATGCCTCATACCGCGTAGCAATATCAAAGACGTCGGACGGTTGTCCAGCGATTGGTATCTGCGTTGTCCACATCCATATCGGTTCGCGCGCACAAGCATCCAGGAAAGGCTGACGATAGTGGACCAGCTCTGCTTCCGAAAGACCACGTTTCGCGCCGTGGGGTATCATTTTGTCCATGATCACGTTTTGGTCGATGATGAGCTCGCGACCCCGGGTCGGATCTCTGAATGCCTGCCAACGCTTCCGCGTCTCGTCGTCACCAAATCACTCCACTCTGGGAAAGTGTGCACAAACTCCATCAGCGGGAGCCGAGGCCTGACAATTAATTGCACTTCTGAGTAGAATACTATAAACAACTCTGCTATCCTCTATTATACTAATTTTTATGTTCTATGGAAGTTGGTTGGTGTATCGTAAGCTCCCAGTAAACAGAATAGGCAAGTAAGTGTTATTACGTCGTTACTATCAAGCTTTTTCAAAAATCTGGTATCGCACCATGCCGTTGTCTAAATCGTGCCAGTCGTCGGTGCGGCCACGGTCCGGGAATGCAGACAGACTACGTGGCCGCGCCGTTGTAAATGCCGTAAATGCGTTATATGCGTGGAAAGTTTAAATACTCGTCTCATTCGCTCCTCGCTCCTCGCTCACACCATGTGCTCCGTTTCATCGCCGTGTTTTCTGTCGTGCTTACTCCCCTTGTTACTTTTGCTCCTGCCTTTGCTCTTGCTCTTCCGCCCGCGCTTCTTCGACCGCGCCTGCTGCTCCTCCCAGATGACCAGCCCCGTGGGCCGCTCGCGGCGGTGAATGCGGTCGATGCCGAGGTGCTCCAGCCCGTCGCGGCCCACGAAGATGCCGAACCCGTATCGTATTGCGCCGGGTTCGCCGATGCTGTCGCGGTGCGGGACGCCGACGCGGCGCGACTCTTTCTCGAGCAGCGCGGGGTTGGCGGCGTCGCTGCGCACGAGCGAGAGCACTGACTGCGCGAAGCTGCGGTCTGCGTAGGCGGTGCCCATGAGGCGGGTCACGAGCTCGGGTTTTGTCTGTGGGCGGTTGAAGGCCCGGTCGCCGAGCAGCGGGGATGCGTAGACCCAGCTGATGGTCTCGGCGAGCGTGTTGGAGCGGTGGGGCAGCGCGGCGCGCTTGCGGCCCGGGAGCAGGGCGAGCAAACCGATGGTGTAGAGGGCCAGGAAGAAGCAGAGCGCGTAGTAGCCGGGGAGGTCGGCGGAGACGCGGACGGCGTCGTCGGTGGTGTAGTATTGTGTCCAGAAACAGCCGCCGGCGAGAACGGGGATGCTGATGCTGGCGAGCGAGACGAAGGAGAGCAGCGCAGTGGCGAAGTGTCGGTTCATGAGCGCAGAAAGCGTGGCGGAGATGGGGAGGCGGCACGGGTAGTCCAGCAGGAGGGATGTCTCCGCTGTGGCGCCGCCCTTGGAAGCCAGAGCCATGTAGGGCTGGAGGATGCGACGCGAGTAGTCCAGGGAGAGGATCGTGAGGAAGAGGAAGTGTCCTATGAGGGCAGGAACAAACGAGTAGACGAAGTTCGAGGTCGAGAATCCTGCGTCGTTCGTGCGTGCTGTGACGGACGGAAGAAACCCCAGGCGCACATTAGAGTTCACGAACGAGACGGCGTAGAAAGCAATGAGTAGAACAATGCCGACCACGATGTAGCCAATGACCGCGCCGTCCTTCAAGTACCAGGGCAGGAAGCGCAGGCGGATTGCAGGACTGCGGAGATCGGTTCGGATGTGGAAGTCGCCTGTGCGGTCGTTGTGGGCGTGCTCGGGCTGTGTTCGATCCGAAAACTTCTCTCGAATGCGCCCTTCTTCAACGGAAAAGCGGCGCGTCTCGCCGTTCTCCTCGCCGATGCCGTAGAATATGTCGTTGGTGCGGTTCGAGGTGCTCCAGTATCCGATGCGGTCGGCGCGGTTGCGCAGCTGGTCCCATTCGCCCTTGGTAAAGATCTCAGAGCCTTCGTACTCAGCCATGACGTTGGAACGCTCAAGAAGCGCAACTACGTCGGCGATAGATCTCGGGTCCCACCGGAGACCGGTGCTTTGGCGCAGAACGACGAGCACGACGACCAGGGCAATGACCAGAAGTATGTACAGCGCGACGACGGTCCAAATGACGCCCTGCACGGCAACCCATCGCCAAGCGGAGCTGGTCGGATCGTAGCGAACGTTGAAGGACGCCGCAAGAAGCGGAATTGTCCATGCGAACAGCCAAAAGATGACGTAGCAAGTGCCCACAGCTGGGTGGCCCGCGCGGAAGTGTTCGAGCCTGGGCAGCAGGAACTGCATCGGATGGAGCTCGAGGAAGACAGCCTCGGAGCGACGGTGGAACGAATCTGATGCCATTGCCAGGAACGGAATAATGCGCTGCAGAGCAACCTGGATCTGGATGAGCCAGAGGAAGAGGATCATGCCGAGCAGCGTCGGGAGGTACTCGAAGACGAAGTAGCGTCCGTCGCCGAATCTTGTGTAGTCCCACAGTCCGCTGCCTCCGCTTCGAAGCGACAGCACTGCAGAGGCGATGAGCGCAGCCAGCATAAGCAGGCAGAGGAAGACGTAGAGGCCCAGCCAGACGGGGCGAAGAATGGCCGGGACGAAGCGCAGCGGCAGGTGCTCGAGGTCGTGTGCAACGAAGACGTCCTTGTCTACGCTGAAGGCCGAGGCTTGTGGGTACTGCAGGCGCGGGTCATCGTGCAGCAGCGGCTCTGACTGCGCCTGGGCGGGTGTGAGGTGGTTGTAGTACTGGGGCTGTCTCGTGCGCGCAGGCGACTCGTATGCCGGGGCCGGCGACAAGAACTGCACGCTCTGGGGCGAAAGCGGCTTGCGGGGGATCGAATGCCGCCGCGAGTGCCTGTTCGAGTTTGGCGACATGTGCTCGGCCATCCGCTGCTGTGTCTGCTGCTCCTGCGCCATGTAGCCCAGACCGCTGTCGGGCACTATCCGCTCCACGGGGTAGTCTTCATCGTACTGCCGCACCTCGGGGTACACCCGTGACCCGCGGACTTCCTCATCGCGCGTGAGCTGGTCAATTGCAAACCGGATGTACGGCGTTGTGTCCTGGCCGGGTGTCGTTGGCTGTGAATCCGAGTCCACATTGGACCGCCGCCGGGTGTCCATCGATCTCCGCTCTTCAGCGATGGTCGAGATGGGCCGGTTCTGTAGATGTGCGGGGTGCGGCTGCTGAAGCTGTCCGCGCGGGATGCCTACGCCTCGTAGCGATGTTACCGGAGCTGGGTTCTGTGTGTGCAACTGCTCATGGCTCCGTGTGGGCGTGCGGGTCGTCGGTGTCTGGTAGAAGCGCTTGCGGTCGTCGCTGTCGCTCGAGTTGTGCTCGGACGCGCTGTAGTAGCCTTCTGATGCGGCAATGCTTTTCTGCGAGCTCGAATGCGAGAGCTGGGGGAGTGACACTGCTCATTGCGTTAGTCGCCGCCGGTGCCGTGGGGCGCGTGCCGTACCGTTTGTATGCTTGAGATGGTATTCGGGATCCACACTCATGATCTTTGGAACGCTAAAACAAGTGGAGTCGAGAGGAATGTTGGCATTATCGTGGGAGGCACGGGAGGGCAATCGCGTGGGTTAATACACATGGCCAGCCTGCGCTCGTGGGTGGCTGGGAGCCCACAGGTGGCTGGCAGGGGTGTTCGTCACAGCGGGCACATATTGGTGAGACATGGCCATCGACAACGCAGTCTGAGCGGAGAATAAAACCGGATTTGCAATTGGCTCTGCTACTGCCTCGTCAGTCGCGATGGATCTGAGGTGTTGAGCTGGCATATCCCCGCAAGTGATGACGATCGTGTCTTTAGCGCTCGGCCCGCAGCGCAATACCGCCTTTTGCTCGTGTACAAGAACACCCACTTCGACGTTGCACTGGAATCAACATCTGGGTCCAGTGCTGCAGCAAATCCAACCGCTTTTCTCACTGATGCGTCTTGTCGCCTGTCCACGAAAATGCAAGCGGCTGCGTGATGCTACTACGCGACTGGCGCCTCAATGGCTGGCCTAGCCTCACCCAGTGACTGGCTGTCAAAGCAGCTGACAGAGCTGGAAAAAGACATGTCTTCAGAGCATGGCTCCTGCCTGAAGATGGAACAGCCGCCGAAGGTACGGGTCGCTCTGGAGTCTTTCCCCTGATCCTGATCCGCAAAATGACGTCGCCATTCCATTGTTCCTGCTTTGCGAGCGTTGCAGGGTTGCAAGGAGTTGCTGTGCGCTTAGACCTCACTGGACCCTCTTTGACCTCTCCACAACCGTCTGACGCTTGAAACCGTCTTTGTTACTGGAAGAGCAAACACGATATAGAAAAGCGTATCATCTTGCACGGTAGTTACTTCTGTTCTGCCACCTCACAATTTATCGAATACGCCGAGCTTCATAATGACCGGACGACGTTCCGCCCGCGCCGCGACAAAGGCACCTGTCAAGTACACGTCAGACTCAGACGGATCAGATTTCGGCGAGAAGAGGACCAAGAAATCAAACAAGAAGGCCGCCCAGTCCACTCCTAAGAAAGGCACAAAACGGTCCCAGCCGGCCAACGGCGAGACTGAACAAACACCCAAGCGCCGTAGGAAGTCCCCAGAGACTCTCGCAGCTGAACACGCAGAAAAAAGCAAGCAGCAAGAAGAGAAAGCCGCGAAACAAAAAGCAAAGCAGAAATGGGAGGACTGGCTTTCGAAGAACGATGTGTCTGGCAAGCTGCTCGAGACTGAACCAGAGCGCGAGGACTGTATCACGCAGACCGACGCCCAGAAACAGTATGGCCTGAAAGCAACCGAGCTGGTCACCGTCGAGCACTTTGAGAAGCCGAATCAGTATGGCGGTCAGACCAAGCTGTTTCTACTCGCGGACGTGGCAAAGGTGGCATTCCGGAAGACTGGCATCTTGGCAGGCTTCGGTGACGAGCCGTCGGTATTGGAGAAAGGTGAAGAGCTGTGGAAAAACGAGTATGTCTAATCCCACGGTGGCTCGTAGGCTGCAGACTGACACGAGCGCAGGCATAGCAACGGCGCTAAATCTCCACCTAAGGAGCCAAAGGAGGCAGCACCTAAGCCCAAAACGCCCAAGCAGAAGTGGGCAGCGTATGTCGAAGAACACAGTATCGGCGACGAGAAGCTCTCCGAAGAACCAGAGGACAGCATCAACCAGACAGACAGCAAGACTCAGTTCCAGCTCCTGCCTGCGGATCTGGCCTGCCTCCCGCACTTCCCCAAGCCGAATCCAAAGTACGGCAATACCACGAAACTGTTCAAAAAGAACGATGTGCAGGACCTCGCGTATCGCAAGGCGGCAATGGTCGCGGGTGTTGACGAGACTGCCACCACTGAAGAGATTCTGAGCAAGGGCAAGGAGCTGCTTGGATCGGCGGAGGATGCTGCTGAGACTTGATGGGTTGTTTCATCCCTGACCTCGTAATTATGCTCGTCGAATCTCTGGAAAGCTGGTTTACTGGATGTACCGCTAGACTGTGAAATCCTTGATATACCAGCAGATTTGCAGCAGTCCTCTTCCGAAGACGTTCATGTGGTTTGGTTACGAAGAACTCGGAGCACAAATCTTGGTCCATGTAACCAGTGCCACGAACACGCTTGAGAAGTTGAGCTTGTTGATGCCAGACTGCTTTTGACCAGCCGCATAACTAATGCGTATGTCAACATAGTGATAATAGAGCACAGAACCAAGCGATATCACAGTTTGGTTAGTGATTGACTCGTCTATGGATTGGTATGTATTTGTGATTGGATACATGATGACGGCTCCACAAATCATGGTGCTATTATGCACTCCTCCATCTATACCTCGAATCCTAACCAAGCATGTCAATAGCCAAGCAGTATACAAGCAAGGCAGATCTAGCAACCACCCAGCCCTAGATTGACAGTAAATTAGAGTGTATATCATGCCGGTCGCACGCAGGTACGCCCCAGACCCATAATATGCACGCGCGCCGTTGAGTGGAGGAAATGCAGCGCACCCGCCTGCGACGGCCCAACTAAATTAAGCTTTTTGGCTTTTAGCAGGGCTGCACCAACGCTCCGGTGGCAGACGAAATGCGGGGGGTTACATGCAGCTGCCGGCAGCGGCAAGGATGCGCAGCGTCCGCTGGATGCCTTGGATTAATTTGCGAAGGCGGCATTGGCGTGTGCGGAGAGCGAGGCCACGAGGATTGGTAGGCTCCACGCTGGCTCGCGTGAGGTTGGTGGAAAGCTTGATGGCCTACCCGCTTAGGCTATGCATCTGCGCCGTTTAGTTTCTTGGCCGCCCCCTGTGCGAGGGAATCGTGAGGGTGCAGTAGGACTACTGCCGGGCAAAAGAAAGGAACGCGGCATGGTCGCCTGACGGCGGGAGGGATGGGCTGGACGGCCGAGGGCTGCCCAAGAATCAATATATAAAGAGCGCGTCACCAATCGTCAGGCTTCGTATTCAAGGCTTAAGTTAGCTGTCCTCCAAGGTCGATCCAGGGCTCCAGTGCGGTCGCAGAGTGGGTTGTGCGTGCGGGACTGTTGCATCGCTCGTTTATATTTTTGGAACACATCTAACTGCCGACAAGACATGAGACCGTCGACCGGAATTTGCAAGGCAAATGTGATGATTTGGATTGTTGGTCGTGGCCAGGCGAAGAGTGTCGGGACAGTTGGATGGCGCGGCTCTCACGCAATTACGGGCTAGTCCGCACCCCAACTTTAACAAGGCCCCGCATCCGAAATCAGGTCCTTTGCAACTGCGGAGAAGCCCCTGCTGCTGCAATCTCCGATTGGTGGCGCTCTCTTTGACAGTCACATGGCACCTTGCTCACGACTCCACCTGTACCTGCGGTGTCTTCCAGTCCCCTGGCGATCAATACCGTCTGCATTTATCAATGCCTGATGGCTTAGAGATGTCGCAACAGAAGAGACCGAACGAGGATGTCGATCATGAGGACGGGAAGCGTCCCAACCCCCAGCAGCGCACGCCGCGGATCCGAGCCTGTAAGGGTTGTCTGGCACGACTGCCGGCATCACGCTGACCGCTCAACAGGCGCTGAATGCAAGAGACACAAGATCAAATGCGATCCGGTAGACGGGGAGGCCAAATGCGCCAAATGTCTGCGCAGTGGCACGGAATGCGTGCCATACAATATGAACCAGCGTCTTCTCGACGAGGATGCCGCGTGAGTCCCACGTGCTGTGAAATCTCACTGCAGACTTTCTGATCATCACAGATGGAAATCCAACGCCGCTGCCGAGATAGCACAACTGCGCACTGCAGTCAAGACTCTTCTACGACAAAATGGACTTCCAGATCTCGAGGCCATCAAGGAGCTCCCAGCAGATTCACCAGACTCTCGAAGGCAGTCGGATATCACCGTCAAATTCAGTCCCGGACATTCCGGTAACGAGAATGGCACTGCTATGGTTGTGCCGCCGATTGCCATGGACATGACAAGAGAGAATTCCGTAGAACGCGACTCGGTTGAGGAAGCCGACCTCGTGACAGCGCCAATGCGCAGTCTGTACGACCTAACACGGATTCGCAACCTTCGAAGCAACGTCAAACTCAGGCCTGGCCAGAATCCGGAACTCGAAGACTTTATCGCCCAGGGCGTTGTCTCGTTACCCGAAGCCGAGGACCTCTTTAGGCACTATTTCCAGGGCCTCCGACTCTATCTGTGGGGCGGTGTACTGTGTCCTTACGACTCGCTGGATGCTGTCCGCCGACGCTCCTCATTGCTCACGGCTGTTGTGCTTACAATAGCCGCGTTGCACACCCGGGGTCGCGACGATGCACTGGAGAAATGCTACGGCGTCTTCGTTTCTGGCGCGTACAGTGCTTGCCTTTCGAGAGTTCAGAGCGTCGACGACATCCGCGCCTTGCTGCTTGCATCGTTTTATCTCTCGAATCTGAGCTGGAAGCTCTCGGGTGCGGCCGTGCGAAACGCGACCGAGATGAATCTGCACCAATCGTTCAACAAGCTAATGAGAGGCCAAGAAGACCACAGAGACAAGGTTCGGCTGTGGTATGTGCTGTACGTCTGCGAGCATCAGCTGAGCATTGCGTACGGACGACCGCCCATCATCCAGGAAGACATCGCGATCAAGAATATTGAGCAGTTCCTGGATAGTCCGGAGACCAAGCCGGGCGATATCAGACTCAGTGCACAAGTCACTCTGTTCAAGATTCTCACAGAAGCATACATTGCGTATGGAAGCGATCCGGAACAGCCTTTGACAGAACCGGACTTCCAGAGACTGCGCATGTTCAATTTCGCTATTGAGCAGTGGAGGCTTGCGTGGCAGGCGAGGTCGTGCGACAGTCCTACCATTGGATCGTACCCGTCCAAGGGCGTTGTTCTTTACTACCATTTTGCCCGTTTCCAGTTGAATTCCCTGGCGTTACGTGGATTGCCGCCACCGAGCGCCGTCACCTCGGAAACACTCTCTTACGACCGCCGCGAAGCCGCAAATATAGCCATCACAGCGGCAACCAGCACACTCACACTCATTTTCGAGGAACCGGACCTGCGGAGAGCCATGTCTGCGGTCCCCATTTTCACCCACACCATGGTTGCGTTCTGCGCCACGTTCTTGCTCAAGATGGCAAAGACCTGGGGAACCGCTGCCCAGGTACGGTCACCAGAATCGGCGGGCGAACCGATCGGGCTCGGCCTCAACTTCAACACAGCTCAGGTTGTGTCCCTGGCCAGGCGGTCGGCGACCTTCCTCGCCAAGGTCGCTGAGAACTTGAGCGAGAAGCACTTGACCAGGCACATTGTGCATGGCATCAACCTCCTCCTCAAGCAGCTGGATATGATGGGCACGCCTTCGAGCACAATCGACCATGCATTCCCTGCGTACAACGTGCCGCAGAGTCAACACATCAACGGGCACTTCGATCCCAATCGGCAGCACGGTGTTGCAGCAGTAGACTTTGGCCATGGAGACATGGCAAACACATATAACATGTATGATTTGATTGGGTCGTATGGATTTGGGATGGACGAGGCTTTCCTGGGCCAAGTGGCCTCGACAGATCTCGACTTCTGGCCGACAGAGAACTTCTAATACCCTTCGCTGGACGGAAATGTAAATGATGTATATACGAAACGAATCCTTCTATTTCTTCCTCTATTGGATCTTGTCCGCCATGCCTGCTGAACCCATCCACTCCATGTACTGCTCGATACTCTTCTGCATGGCGTCCGTCGCCTGCTCAATCAGCCCCGTGATGGGCGTCTTGCCGGCCTGCTCCTGCATGATGCGCGTGAAGTCGTTGTTGAACGCGTCGTTGATGTTCATCTTGGCCACGCCGCAGTCAATGCACTCGCGCAGCAGCTTCTCCTGGAACCACTCGGCCCCGGCCCCGTGCAGCACCAGACTCACGCGGTCGCCGACCTGCTTGTGCACGCGCTTCAGCCGCTCGTAGTCCAGCTGCGGGCCCTTCGGGCCGTAGTTTCCGTGCACGTTGCCAAACGCAGGCGCGAGCCAGTTTATCCCCGTCGCGACAAACTCCTCGGCCTGCTCCGGTGTGGTCAGGATCGCCTCGAGCCCGAGATCGGACAGGTCGCCCACGCCGTCCTCGCCGCCGTCGATGCGCCCGGGCTCCGCCTCGGTGATGATGCCGCGGTCGTTGCAGTACTTGACGAGCTCGGCCGTCTTCTCGAGGTTGTCGTCGTAGTGCGACATGTCGACCATGATGCCGTCGAAGCCCCGCTCGAGATCCGCCGCGCGCTTCACCATCTCGGGTGTCTGCGCGTGGTCCATGTGCAGCGCGACGGGGACCGTGGCACTGTCGGCGGCTTCGCGCGCGGCGTGGACGAGGATGCCGTCGGCGTATTGCACCGCCCAGGGGAAGAGTTGTATGATCAGCGGCGAGCGCTTTGCCTCTGCGGCGCGTACCGAGGCCAAGATTCCCTCGACATTGTAGCAGCAGGTTGCGCAGATGGCGTAGTTGTTGTCGGCGGCATGTTTGACCAGCTTGACGGCCTTGTTTTGTGAAAGATCAGGGACACCGTTGGAAGGCATGGCTACAGATGAATTGTGCGAGAGAAGCGGTGGGTTGGAGAGCAGGAAATGCAAAGAGGACGGGTAAATTCGTGAATGCAAGCTTGCAGCGGCTGTTGAAGTGTGATGTAACCCACCCTCCAATGCCCCCTCATGACCCGAATTCCGAGGCCCCGACTAGCGTCATCTTCGGCGTATGCTGTCTCAAACGGCGAGATGACCGACCTCGATGCGGGCGTCGGGGTGGTCCCCGACTAATCTGTTTACCTACAGCGTGACTGGCCGAAGTGGGCGTCTTCAACGTTCGGCCTTTGATCGCTGCGGAGCTCCTCCGCGGCCGCTGCGGCTATTGAGACCTCGACAAATTGGCAAACATACCGGAAGAGAGGACCACTGCTTACCGCTGACTGAGGCAAAGTTATCCACGTCTTGTTTGTACAGTGTTGTTTCTGAAAAAGTTCAAATTTAGCATCCGCAGGCCGGATCGCGGGGTAGCGGAGAGCAAGGCTGCTGCAACATGACTAAAGATATGTTTGAACACTTCAATATAATGTGGACTCCAGTTCGACCTTGCTGCGGTTAGCTCGCATGCACGTGTAAGCCTCCCCTCGTGCAGAGCGCAATTAGCATGCATGGTCTGACCTCCTTCCTCGTAGAGATGCTCGGTAGCCGTTGTTGCGGCTGTGCAAGAAAGAATAGCCGCAGAAACGCTCAATTACAGCCCCGTGCAACACCGACGACGTGGACCTGTTCTGCATTCGACATGACAGTGTCTCGTCAGGTGTGGCTCTGAGTTTGGGGCAAGGCTGGAGTGGTGAAGCAAGTGCGGGTCTCGATCGCTGGCGGTTACACGGCGTGTATCATTGCTGTCTCTGTCCACGGCAGCGCCTCGCGAAGTACTGGTGAGGTAGTAGCTGCGTTCTGTACTGTATGTTGGAGGCACAGTTACGGTTTGACAGAAAGAGGCCGAACCGCAGTTTTGTGCGTGTGGTGGGGATACGCACGTGCAACGATGGGCCTGGCGCTTGCGGCCGAACTGTCTGATTGACAGCCGCTGCCGCTTGTTTCGAAACAAACACTCGAATCGCTGCCCAGCATCATGTCGAGCGCTTAGCAGCGCGTCGTGCCGTCGCCGTCACAGTTGCTCGGGGTGCGCCTGCCTTTGCTTCTTCCCAGACTGTCGTGCACGTCTGACTTGTTTGGAGTTGCCCAGCATCGTCCTCGTGGTGTTCCCACTTTCGCGGCCCGCTACGCAGATGCAGGTCCGGCGAGGCTCAGCCCTGCGAAATATTGATTACTACATCACCTGCACGCTGTAGTAGTGATGGCATTTGGTGTGGTTCGCCAAGCTCTCTATTTTGGCCCCCTGTGTCTGTCGTATCAGCGTCGAGAGCTGCGCGCTTACTCACAAGGGAGCCGCCGCCCTACCCACACACCACACCCTTCTTGTCGGTGGACGGTTATTCTTAGGCACAACCGCATCAAGAGCCTCAGGAACGACTCTCGAACAGGCGCTTCCGTTACAAGCAGCACATCCTTGTCACAACGTTGACCGGCCTGCTTGGTGACCTCCTTGCCCTTTCTGACAGCGCTTGGAGATGCGGCCCAGTGGTCAACGCTTAGCTGTACACACCTTTTCGAGTAAAGAGGGGATTGATCCGGCGATTACAGAAACACAACCTGGTTTCAAACAATTCTCCGACCGGCCCATTGGTCTGCAGGTCAATGTAGGTACCCTTTGCGGCTCAAAGTCAGGCTATGTATAAAGGACATGCATGACCTTGACCTTGGTCGGACCCCAGAATCCCCAAGTCAAGGTACGAATACAAGTTCCTTCGCTTTTCATATTGTCAGGATATTTCCTACCTGTCGTTCCAATCCATCACTCTCGTTGGCCGATCCCTGCTCTACCGTAATCATAATACATCTCTCGGTCGCTTCTGTCTACCAGTTCTTGTATCCTCTCGGTCAACGTACCAGCTGTTATCTCTCTTACTATCTCATACTCTTAATCAACATGCCTAAGAACGAGAAGGCTCCGATCACGCACCGCAGCTCCATCTCCGTAGCATCCGCAGCAGGTGGCGGCACACGAAGCTCATCATGGTCGGCCTCAGACGATGAGACCCTGATCCAGGCAAGAACGCAGGGCCTCAACTGGAACCAGATCGCTCCAAAGCACTTTCCCACCAAGTCGCCGAATGCCTGCCGGAAACGGCACGAGCGGTTGATGGAGAGGGTGAATGCCGAGCAGTGGGACGGTGTCAAGCTGGACGTTCTGGCGCAAGCATACATGGAGGTTCGACGAGAGATGTGGAGTCTACTCGCTGCTCAAGTTGGTGAGAAGTGGCAGCTAGTCGAGACCAAGGTATGACCGTCTCCGAATAACGGGTTTAAGCCGCTAATTTGTCTTCACAGTGCATGGAAAAGGGCTTCAAGAACCTGTCACAGGCTGCTAGGTCAGCAATGAAGAAGCAGGGCTATCACTCCGGTACTTACGCCGACCACGAGGACAGCGCAATAGGCGTTTCTGACTTCGATGAAGAATCAGACGACCATCACGCAGAGATGGCAATGCCAGTTGCCACGACATCTCACTACCAAACCGCACAACTCCAGTACCCGGGTGCTTATCCGTCTCAGCAGCAACGCGTACCAAGCATACAGTCCATGCTGCACCAGCACCCAATGCAGTACGCTCCTCACCAGCTAGTGCAGCACCCCCACCCCCACACGCATGTACAACAGCAGTGAGCATCCGCTTCCGCTCCTCACGAATTACCCGTTTCGGACCACGGCACCCCACGATCGTTACGACTACTCAGCATCGCATTGCACGACTCAATTCGGCGTTTTCCCCGCTCGGCATTTCGCCGATCTTAGCTTTCATCTCGCTTTTCTTTCCTTCTCTCTCACTCCTTTTCTCTTTCTGGATATATTTATCCCGTCTTCACTTCTCTGTCAGGCGCTCACATGGTGTGTGTATATTGACGAAAGTCTGCGCGGACGCCAGGTCTCAAGCCCAGAATGGCACGAGCAGGAGCTCCATTCTAGACTTGCTAGGCGTCCGTGGCTGTTTATCTTGAGTGTTTATTGTTTCGCTGCAAGAGCCTCATGTTTACTATCTCTATGTCTCTGCTGGCACTTTATTTCTCCCTCATAAGAGAGGCCTTTTAGATCTCTGTACTTATTTCATTCTTTTCCTCGTCAATGCTGATCAACTGTTTCCATTATACTCTATACCCTATTCTATCTGAACTCTGTATAAGAGCCAGATGATCTGCCGATCTACAAGAAGATTCCTATTGCTGTTGAAGTGTATGGTGAGGTACTTCGCGGTGGAACTTCCCAGGCTACTACGGTTTAACATGTCTGCGATAAGCACAGTGCTGGTTCTACTGCGCAGAATACCATTTGACTTTGGCCCAAGAAGAGACTGAATGCGTGTGTGGATTGTTGGAGAACCAAACTTGGGACTATATGATCGTATCATTGGACAAGCTGAACGTCAGACAAAGACTTTGTGAGCTAATTCATGATGGTATTGCCTTACGGCTGGGTATCTATAATGCGCTACAATATGCAGGCTTCTCTCAAATGGGAGATACATTCTTCAAGCTTTTTGTCTCCTCACTCCACTGGCTGAGCGGAGACCTCGGTCGTGCTCGTCGAGCACCTGCCTCCATCTCCTCCACGTCCTCGTGATTCGCAGGTTCACTGACTACCTGCGTTGTCATAACCATCTTGATATCCTTGCTGCCCACCGGAAACAAGTCGTCCAAACTCCCTCGTCCGGAGGCTATCGCGCTCCCGCTGGCATTGCGTCTGCTCCTCTTCGAATGCAGGGCCTCGATGGTGGTCTCGCCTCCGAACCGCGTACTTTGGTCCTGCCAGAAGAACGCAAAGGTGTCGAAGCCGCTGGCGTCGGACGGCGGCTCGTCGCTGAAGATCATGATGCGCCGCGTGCACGTGTACAACAGCACGTCCAGCCAGCCGTTCGACGTGATCATTGCACCCGACAGGCAGAGGCGCGCGAGCGATGGCGGCTCGCCGGTCATGGCGGCCATGCGGGCCGAGGCGAGGGGCAGCGTGCATACTACGTAGACGGCTGGGTAGGCGACCATCAGGTTCGCTACCGATCGCACGCGTTTCGATTCCTCGGGGGTGTAGTAGCCGGTGCGGATCCGGTGGAGCAGGATCGTGTAGATGATGGCGTAGATGAGGACGTTGCCGAACTCGCTGCTGTTGTCAGACGCGGCACGTGTGAGCCATACATGTGACCGTGGACTTACAAAATGAAAATCCAAATGTAGTGGGTCCACAATCGGAGGCCCTTTAGGTCATGGTGAATCCAGCACCAGACGCCGGATCGCACGTACAGGTCCGTCCCGTGCATCCCGACGCCAATTGACGAGACCCCAATGATGAAGATCCAAGCGGCGGCGATTGTCGCGTAGAAGGCTTTCGGCCCCAGCCGGAAGTCGATGATGACGGATGCGAAAGTATGCAGTCCAATTGCAAAGCACCAGACTCCGCTGCCCAGGTCACCGGTTGAGACCAGCCATCCTTGAGCAAAGCATATCGGATTCTCGACCTGCACGGAACCCAGGCGTAGCCATTCGACGTTCAGCAAAAACGCTAGCGCTTGCTGTATATCTGCCCAGAGGAGGTTGAAGATGAGGATGACGAATTGACTGCTGCGTTTCGATTTCAAGTGCCAGGAAACGAGCTTGTAGGAAAGAATGAAAAGGAGCGCTACTGAAGCGGCGAAGGAGATAAAGCCTAGTGCTACGACTGCGCGTAACCACGGGTGGATATGTGCTGGGAGCTCGAAGCTGCGCGAAACTTCATCCAGGGTTTCAAAGTTGACCATCTCTTGAGCCCTCTCACACTGGAGGTAGGTTGCCACCAAGCTTGAATCTTGATCACGCTGTCGACAGTATGGGCAGTGATAGCATATCGAATCGAAGGCCAAATGTCGGGGAAAACACACAGCAATGGGCACCGAGAGCACAAAGATCGGAGCAGAGGAAACGCTGGGCTCAGAGTGATAATATACAGGTGAATGTCAGCGGCCGCAGCAGGGTCCGAGCGGCTGACAACACCATGCAAACTGTAATCTGTAGGCCACGGGAGTTCCATAAACCGGCGTGTAGCCCCGGACTAGACGGGAACCCCGGTCGTTGGACTCTTGCTCGCGTGGCATCGACGACAGGCAACGTGTGGCCTTGCCCGAACAAAGCAGCGCCTAGCACAAAGCAAGCAGCTGTCCCGCCATCCGGCGTCTCAAAGGATCCGCACAAGGCCGACGGAAAAAACGGAACCCAAGGTGTTTGACTTGGCTACATCGCGTTTGCATGCATCCTGCGTGTCATACTTCTCATGATTGGGTGGCACAGAGCGTCATCTGACGTGCCCTTGTTAGCACGCGCTTACAGACCATATAACACCTACACCCCGTTATTAGACAGCGTGGATGCACCGTGGAGGAGGGTTCGTGGCGTTTTTAGACCTCCTTGCGAGGATCGCATGGCTGGATGCTTCAGCGATCACTAGGGAACAGACACGCGAGATGGGACACATGGCTAGGGATTTGGGCGACATGCTACAGCTGCACCAGATGGAATTCCGCAAGTATTCCTAGACTTCCCAGCGCATCTAAGCTGAACTGGGCGTCGGGCTTCGTCATGGTCATTGTGCCTCGAGTCGCTCATGCAGCAGGGGTCGGGCTTTAGCCGGCCGTTCGAATGGAACGTTCTCAAACGTCTTCTTCCGCCACTTTTGCCAGCTGCACGTCGTCCATTGTTAGCACGCCGCTGGGTGTTGTTCAGTCCTTTGACATCACAAAGAAAGGCGACATTGCGGGTATCACCTTTGACTTCCCCAGAGGCCATGCTAGTGCTCACTCGAATAAGCTCTCACTGCTCATTTCAAGAGGCTGCGAACAGGGCGTCCAAGGACGTTGGCTCGTGATAGGATCGATAAACCCCGGTGGAGGGGCCGGCGCTAGCGCTAACGGGACCCCCTTTTCCTGGGGGATGCGCAATCAGGAAGGAGCCTTGTTGCAATTTTGAGGAGACGGAAGAACCGTGCTGAAGCCTCGACGATCGGTATGAATATTTTCGGTCGCACCGACCGACGGCCCTTCAGTGTGATTTGCTGCAAGCCACACGACCGAAACTGGTGAGAACGTGCCGAATAAACACCGCCTTTCATTCAACGCACGCCATCGTGAGATTACGTGACAAATTCTACGAAATGCTCGCTTGTAACACCAGGGCATGTGTTCACTCGTACTTTGATGCCATATCTGGATACTGCACACCCCACGAATGGATATCCCTTGCTTAACAACGGTATTTCTGGCACGCGAAAGAACATCCCTTACAGGTACCTCATTGCGCTCCAATGACAGGGGTTGAGCGCCATGAACCTTAACTGAGCAGGATATAGGTATACACAGGAGCGGACCGTTCCTGTGGCCGGGAGTGTAACCGGAGTTGCAGAATGTAAGGTCAAGGATCTTTTCTGGGTGGTACCCGAAGTGTGGAGAGACCAAAGGGCTGGGTCAGCGTCGATTGTATTCGCTATCTATGTATAAGACAGAACACCACTCCAGTGGGAACAAGGCGGGGGTATGTGTCAACCAAGTTGCAAGCGTAACCAAACGCCAACCGTGCAAGCATGCTGAAAAGAAAAATAACCATACAACGTGGTCTTCAAGCTCAACACCCTGAGTACAGTCTATGCCGTCTGCAAGCTCTAATAGCTCCAACATCCTACATCCACTCAAGGCTGCGTGTAGTAATCGCTCCTGGCCGCCTGCGTATAAGGAGCTGCTTGGCTAGGGTCAAAGCCATACTGCATCTGATGCTGATCGCCTTCCTCGTCCTGGCTTTGCTTGAGGATTTTTTGGATAGCTTCGATATCTTCAATGATGACATTGAATGCGTCAGCTACAGCGGTAATAACCTTGTTACGGTTGTACTCTCTGCGATTCTGCCAGATGGTGTCCATGAGCGCGGCGTTGATCTGCTCGAGTTGTTCGAGCGAGCAGCCCGACGAAGAGGTAACCAGTTTGCTATGAAGCTGGATCAGAGATGAATCATCCAAGATAAGCTGGGGCTCTGGTTGTGGCTCGGCAAGGATGTCGACGATGTTCGATTTGTGGGCTGGCGGTGCAGGCGCAGGCATTTGAGACGGTTGAGAAGGTTGAGAGGCTTGAGATGGTGGCGATCCGGAGTGTTGACTATGGAATTGCTGTTCTGTGTCGAAACTCGAGTTAGCTGAGTACCCGGGGAAGAAGGGTGGATCGAGCTCGAATCGACGGTAGAAGGAGTCTGCCATACCTTGTGTGTCTGGCAGCTGCGATCCGCCAGCAGGAGCAATGAATTCGGGTAGCCCAACATGGCTTACACCATTACTGCTTTGAGTGGGGAACTTGTTGTCTGAAGAGCGCTTGGAGGTTTGGTTGCCGGATGTTGTAGTACTGGCGCTGTTGTGGTAGTCGTGAGGAAGCATGTTTGGGTTGACGAATGTCCGTGCTGATAATTGCGACCTCTGCGTCAGCTGCGTGTTGGGCCTACTAGGCGTTTGATACTGTAAGTCGGCCTGCGTACTAGCAGTGACGTCAAGCTGACTATCGGGCATAACGGAGTCGTCATCTGCCACACGCGATGGCACTGTTGATCCGTTTTGGTGCTCCCCACTATACCCTGCGCTCGTGCCGTTGGATAGTGATCCGTTATGATGTGCCCGCAAAGGTGTGAGCGGAGGGTAACGAGGGATGGGCTCACCCAGTACGATAGGCCCAGAAGTCTCAGCTGTTGTATGCGACTGCTCAGGCGGCACCGGTGCGACATCAGGTGGCACTTCCTCGCCTTCTGCGATTGCCTTCCTTCGCTTCTCTTGTGCCTTTTTCGAACGCTGGAGCTCACGCTCGTACAAAGCATCGCACTCTTTCGTTAACCACGGATATTGAGCGTCGCTGCCGGTGAACCAAGAATCTATGTCGACCTCAACGTTCGCGACCATCTCGTTGGCCTTTAGCGTTCGCTCCACATCCTGGAACGTTCTGGAGTCCTTTGCTAGGGTCTTAACATCGAACAGGAAGTCTTTTGGGCGTTTGTAGTATCCGTTCGAAAGGCGCTGCTCGATCTGCGATAGATCAAGGTTGTAGTATTTGTTCCCGCTCTCGACGTGTAGCAGGACATCCACGCCTTTGTTGTCCTTTGATGTCTCCCAAGGCCGAGTCATGCCTTCTGCCTCCTGCTGTTCACGATCGAGATCACTGGTGACACGATTCGGATTCTGCTCATCGATAAGGTATGCGTACCAAGCAGGATCTAAGACCGGCTTAAAGAACCTTCTGTGCTTTTTCTTGAGGTTGTCCATGATCGGTTGAATCACACCCTTCAGCTTGTTGAGTGTCAATTGGTCTTGTTTTCTCTGTGCCTTTTCTCGAGCAGCGATTTCCTTGGGATCCAAAACCGGCTCAATAATCGGTGCTGGCTCAAGAACAGGAAGGACTCGCTTCTTCCGGTTATCAAGGTCCGGAAAGTCGGCGGGAGACATGCGGATGTAATGGCTGATGGAAGTGAAGAACTCGGCGCGTCCCTCGTGATCTGGGCGATTCAGCTCAAATTGGTTGTTGAGGGAAAAACCGAAGAGGTCAACCAGCAATTGCCGGTCAGGTCTGGTTTCAAGGTCTTCGAGCTCCATGACACCCAGCAGCATGATTGCTTCGTTGGCACCAATACTGCGCAACAGTAGCTTGAAAGTTTTCGTAGCTGCTGGAGGTAGCGTATTGTACCACACGTCCACAGCCGGTATGTAAATCACACTAGGCTTGTGACGTCGGACTTCGGTGAATAGTTGTGTGATAGCAGCCTCGGGAGATCGTGTGGAGTCTTCCAGAATGGTTGGCAGGTCAAATGATTGCACGTGGAGACCTTCAATTTTGCTGAGCAGGGCTGCTCCCAAATACTGTTGACCCATTCCCTGCAATCCGGTGATGAGGAGGCGAGGTCTAAAAATTCGACTGCTTTCAAAAGTGCGCATAGTCGTTTCACGCTCGAAGCCCTTCTCGTCCTCACGATCGTCGTACTCTGCTTCCTCGAGTGCAGTGAGTGGCTTCCTCCGGGGAATAAGCTCATTTATGCGCTTGATTATATCCGCGAGTGGTCTCCGCAGGAGAGGCTCAATACTCTTAGGTAGCGGATTGGCAGCAGCGGTGGCGGTTCTTTGTGACGAAGGTACCATCTTGTTTACTGACACCATGAAATCCTTGGCAAGGACCTTGATCTCACTAGGATCAATGAGTAGTTTCTTCTCGGACTGGTAGATCTGCGGGTAAGTGCCTTGAACGGCGTTCAAAGCAGCTTCTGTACACAAAGCACGAAGATCTGCACCTCCATACCCCTTTGTCAGTTCCGCAAGCTGATCCTTCATCTTGGGATCAAGAGGTGGGTCCCAGTTCTTAGTGTGGATGTCAAGAATAGCGCGACGTCCAATTACATTGGGTAGAGGGAAGTAAAACTCGCGGTCGAATCGACCAGGACGTCGTAGCGCGTTGTCAACAGAGTCAGGTCTGTTTGTCGCGCCAATGACGACAACCTGTCCACGGCCATCCATGCCGTCCATGAGCGCAAGTAAGGTTGCGACAATGGAAGCATGGATCTGCTCCTGCTTACTGGATCGCACGGGTGCCAGACCGTCAATCTCGTCGAAGAAGATGATACTAGGCTGTGTCTTCCGTGCCTCCTCGAAGAGAGTTCTCAGCTGCTTCTCTGCTTCACCGACCCATTTGCTGAGTGCGTCGGCACCTTTGCGCATATAGAACGTGACCTTCTGGCCATGGGTACTGACGCTGGAGGCCAAAGCACGAGCCAGCAATGTCTTACCGGTTCCCGGAGGTCCATGGAAGAGCACACCTCGAGGCGGAGTAATCTTGAAGCGTTGGAACACCTCTGGGTACAGTAACGGCAGCATGATCATCTCCTTGAGTTTGTTGATATGGTCGTCCAAGCCACCGACACCGTCGAAATTGACGTTAGGGTCGACGCCAAGTGGATCAGCGTCAGCCAAAGCTTTCTTATCCTTGATCCTGCCGAAGTTGGCTGGCCCGCCACCAGAACCCTTTTCTTGTGCTGCGTTGTTGTGCGACTGTGGAAATGCGCCAAAGCCAGGTGCTGTTGCTGCTGTGGGCGTCATGCCGACAATACTGCCAAAGTGCCGGGGCATCTTCTGAACTTCCTCATCACTGCTATCAGAATCGTCATTTTGTCCGAAGCCAACCTGGCCTCCACCGAAGGGTCCCTGATTACTGAATAGTGTACCAAACGCTCCACCACCTGCCTTAGAACGAGACTTGCTCGCCAAAGGTGCTGGGCCATCATCGTCATCGTTGTCGAAGACCGCGTTGAGCTCAGGGCGAACCACCCTGTAGTCAACCGTTCTACGCTCTCGTCGCCTCGGTCCTGTTTCATACGATACGTCCTTGTCAGGTACACGTCTACCCAGGCGGCGCCTTTTGTTCGAACTCAGCTCCTGCAGTTCGTCTTGCAACTCGTCGGGGTCTAGCGCGGACTCCTCGTCAGAAGAATTGCGTCGGCTTCTTTGCGACTGTCGAGTCCGACCTCTAGTCTTGCGTGCGGAGCCTGAGCCGCTGTCGGAAGCCGTGGCCTTACCCTTGCCAGTGTCCGAGTCTGACATTTCCTCTTCCTCGCCTTCAGCATCGACATCAACTGGCTCGAAATCACTGCTTTCGTCGGCACCACGTTTGCGCTTCTGTGATGTCGCTCGAGACCGTAGGTTACGGCCGCCGCGGGTAACAGGGCCTTCCTCGTCGTCGTCAGAATCATCTGCAACGCGGTCCTGCTGCGACTCTTGTATGACGCCCTCCATACCCGCTTCGTCATGGTCTTCTTCCTTAGTTCCATGAGCCTCCTGCTCAGGTGACTCTCGTGCGCTAGATTCAACTTGCATTTGAGCGCCTGCAAGCAACATGTCGATTGGACCAGGACTGTCCTCTTCGCGGATCATTGAGACTTCCTGGGAGGCTTCTTCGATAGTGCTTGGAGCCTGCACTCTAGGACCCTTGCCACCTCTAGTAGCTCGAGCGGTCGACGGCTCAGGTGTTCGCGTGCCTTCTCGAACAACATTTGCATGTTTACCAGAGTCTGAAAGCGCCACCATGGGCGCCTCAACGTCGTGTGAGAGGCGGCTACTACGCCGCGTAATACCGACTTCCGGTGTTCTCCCTCGCGGAGGAGCAGCAGACTTGCTGCCTGTACGGGTGCGTAGCGCACGGCCAAAGGCATGCTCGGGCATCTTCAGTTTAACAATAAGTGACGGCTTCTCAACCTCCTCAATTGATGGTTTAGCCCTTCCTCGTCCAGTACCTCGAGGCTTGTCGTCTTCGCTATCAGAAGGCGTATTTTCTATCTCGTCTTCGTCGCTCTCTTCGTACGTGACTTTCTTCTTCGTCGCGTGGCGCACGCTGCGGCCTGTTGCAGGGTTGACCTCAGGCTCGACGGACTCAGACCGTTCGGTGAAGGAGTCGTCTTCGATGACGTCGTCGTCGTCGTCGTCGATGTCAGAGCCGTTGTAAATACGACGCTGGCGCTTGTTGCCCTGCTTCTTCGTGCCCGGTGTTCGATTTGCGCGGCGACGTTGTGGTGGCGCGCGGTCGACGTCGTCGTAGTCGTCGTCCTCCGGGTCGGAAGCTGTAGGGTCAATGTCGAACTTGCGCTTCGTACGGTTAGACATGGAGTGGGTGCGGTGAGGCGTTCCTAGGCAGCTGCGTGGGTGAACGAGCGCGCGATGCGGTCACGGTGAATGCGCTGACACCGCTGCGACGATGCGTCCAACCTCAGATTGACATCAGAAGCGCAAACAAATGCTCCTGCATTCGCGATGGCAAAAAGAGGCGTGCGCGCACTGTTCGTCCGTGCTTGTCGTGATGTCGCGTCGATGCAGCTCAGAAATCGTGTCCTGCGATGACGATGCACGCCTGGGAACGCGCTAGCAGAGGGCGAAAAGCGACTGCGAGATGCACTGGATGCCTGATAAATGCAGCGAGCGACTGAGCAGGAAAGATTACAGATGACTCTGGGTGAGGGGAAGGTCCTGTTGTTGTTCTTGTCTGAGCGAATCTTGTCCAAGCGCCAAAAGCTCGGCGAATGATATGCAACCTGACACGTTCAGAGCCAGGGAAAGCCATCACAACTTCAATACACGACCACAGCGACATGCTCAAGAACTCGAGTTGTCTGCACCCTCAGAAGCATTTGAAAATTACAGACAGCTGTATACATAGTCGGCGACAACTTTCCTGAAATTTTCGGGAGTCTCCTGGCACTCCGAAGGCACTTGTTGGAGCTCTCTTTCTTGTCGTACTTCTCATCGCTGCCGGCGATCAGCTGCAGGAACAGGTGCGGCTCAAAAAGCTTAACTGCGTTTGACAAGTTCATGTCATGGTTGATTGTGGGGAAGCCAGGTCGAGCGATGCACGTGCGCCACGTGGGTTCCCATCAGATGAACAGCGCACACAAGGGCGAAGCTTGGGAACAATCCTACTGACACCGTCTGCCTCGGATCTGTCGTTCACAGTGAATACCATCTAGACGGTGTCCATGCTATGTGGCCGCTTTCAACTTTGTCGTAACCCGCAAACGCCGCGGTGGCCAATGGGCGACGGCAAACACCATTCTTGAAAACATATCCCAAAACGTCAAAATCCTTTGGTCTGGTGAATTTGCATCTCATGGATTTTGTATGTGGTGTGGACCTTTTTGTGTATCTGACTAAGCGGGGCTTTGGTGTTGAATGCGTCCTTGAGGCGGGTGCCCAGCCCACACCAACAACGCACTGTGGCGACGAATTATGACCACGACTTTGACATCGCACTTGATATGTAGTAGTATTTACATAACGCTGTATTTGTTGGACACCTCAATCTGTTTGTGGTCTGGCGAGATACAAGTATTACAGAACGATTAGGATATCTTGGCATCTCACAGAGAGATCGCAAGGGTCGTCATCAATTCATACGCGACACGGCCGAGCTAATAGAAGCCTTACTCTGAGTGTCTATCTCTCAGTATATTCTACAGTTGCTTTGTACATTTTGATTATACAGTATATGGCACTGCAGCCTGCTGCGGTAGCAAAGTCCATGAAGGAAGCGTCAACGTGTTTCGTTAAAACCCTATTCTTCGGGTAGGATACGGTCGACAGCTAAGTCAGGTCAGTCTCAGTCTTCACTCCTCGTACGATGCGAAATGACATACCTTTCCCGTCCTCTAGCAGGTATCCTGAGCAGTCGATCTTCCACTTCTCTCCCTGCACCTCAACTTTCGCAATACCAAATCGCAGCACGGCAAACTTGAATTTCAGAAAGAAGTTTGTCCACTTTTGGTGTACCCAACGTGCAGAACCTTCCCATGCTCTTGAGACTATGTTCATGTGGCCTAGATCCTGCCACACACTCTGTCGCCTTGCCCGCTCAGCCTCCTGCAGTTCCAAAACCATAGGCTGGCACTTTTCACTTATTGTTACGTTTCCTAGACTTGAGTAGATAATGCGCTCTTTTGCCCATGGCGATGGTCTGACTGCCATGCGCAACTGCAACGGGCCACCCAGCATGCTAGGTACTACTTCCAGCGAGCGCATACGGTTTGTGGGTGCACTGCAAACGTAGCAGCCGATGGCGATGAAACTCAATCCAACCACCACGTACGTCGGCCGGACGAAGAAGGGCAGATCTGGTATATCCTTCACGTCTTCCTGAAACTTGATGGAGTATGCTCCTGTGCCCATCCACATCGCCGCGAGCCCATAAACTTTCCAGTAGTACCACTTGCTCTTTGGCGCTTCATATAAAACAACAGGTTGCCGTGTCTGCACTACCTGTCGCAAGACCGGGTCGTTGCTGACGAATGTAGATGGTCTACTCAGCGGCGACTTTGGATACTGGTAACCGCGCAGTGTCGATGAGGAAAAGCCTCGCGAATTGTGGGTGGCATTTGGCCGGAGAAGTTGCTCTCGAGGGCCAAAGAGAGCGGCGCGGAGGGACGAGGACAGGCGGAACGACGATTGCTGCTTGAAGGCAGCGAAGCCCCATGAAGAAGCGGCCATGCTGCGCAGCTAATTAGCAAACAAGACTTGTGAGGCTTGAAGCAGCTCACATGCAGGGCAATGGTGCTGCGGACGATCGGTGGAGGCTTGCTCGTCGATAGTCCGATCCCAGAAATGTCAACGTCCGTGCTCACCACCGAAGCTTGCGAGCTCCCAACATTCAACATCTCGACGGCCCACTCCCTCACACCCCGCCAACCTCAGCCGCCGATTCCGCCCCCCCTTGCCAATTGGTCTCCCATGGCTTCTCTTGCCGCGGCATGTAGGGTGTCGGCACGCGCTGCGTCGCAGCAGCTGCGCAACCATGGCGCGAGGCGAGGTGAGCATTTCGCCGACCGGACATGAAATGGCGCTGACAACTCTGGCAAAGCACTGCACGCTGGTCAGCCCTCGCTGGCTGCTCAGAACTTCAACATGCCCGCGCTTTCTCCGACGATGACCGAGGGCAACATCGCGAACTGGAAGATCAAGGAAGGTAGGACCGACCCAGACCACATCTCAAGAGACGGGCACGGCAGCATAGAACGGACTGCAATATAACGGAGACACGACCTAGAAGATTTCGAGCACACATGACTGTAGCGACACGAGTGCTGATAAACCCAGGTGACTCGTTCTCCGCCGGCGATGTCCTACTCGAAATCGAAACGGATAAGGCTCAAATGGACGTTGAAGCACAGGACGACGGTATTCTCGCGAAGATCATCTTGGGCGACAACTCCAAGGCGGTTCAGGTTGGCCGTAGGATTGCTGTGACCGCGGAGCCTGGTGACGACCTCAGTTCGCTCGAGATCCCTCAAGAGAACGCCGCCCCCAAGAAGGCAGAGACTGCCCCGAAGCAGCCTAAAGAAGAGTCTAAGCCAGTTCCCAAAGAAGAGCGAACGTCAACACCGCCTCAGAAGTCTGGCAAGGTCTCCAGCGGCAAGGCCACCAAGCAAACGTACCCTCTCTACCCTTCAGTTGAGCATCAGTTGAAGATAAATGGGCTATCTAAGGCAGATGCGGACAAGATCCCAGCAACTGGACCTGGTGGAAGGCTGCTGAAGGGTGACGTGTTGGCGTACGTTGGCAAGATTCAGGAATCGTATCCCTCAGAGCTGGCAGAGATCTTTAAACAGCGCTCTCATCTTGACCTGTCAAACATCAAGGTCATGCCCAAGAAGGAGGCGCCCGCAAAGAAGCCCGCAGCAGCGACTGAAACACCCAAGGTCGTGCAAGACCTTCCTGTTGAGATCGCCCTTCCCATCTCCCTCACAGCTGTCACTCAGTGCCAGAAGCGCGTCAAGGACTCTATTGGCGTGTTCCTGCCTCTGACTACTTTCATCGCCCGCGCCGCGGAGCTTGCAAACGAGGACCTGCCCAGGTCAAAGACCGCCAAGCCTACCGCGGACGAGCTGTTCAACGCTGTCCTTGGTCTTGACAAGGTCTCAGGAAGGGCTTTCTCGCGTGGTAATTTTGTTCCTCAGATGGTTTCGCTGCCTCCCACAGCCGTAAGCACGCGACCGTCAAGCGTCAAGAAGCCCGATGTCTTCGACTTCCTCACAAGCAAGCAGCCAACAACTCGTCGTGTGAAGCCAGTCGTTGGGGCGGAGAATACCATTGGACCCCTGAATGTGTTCAGCGTCAGCGTGCCCAAGGGCGACGAGAAGCGAGGGCGCGTTTTTTTGGAGCGTGTGAAGGCTGTTTTGGAGGCTGAACCTGGCAGGCTGGTTGTCTGATTTTACACTCGAATACACCGCGTTGTATCATACTGCATCTCACTACCATTTAGACTGGCAAGAGTCGACATAGACACGCCTTGAAATGTATTCATGTATCCTTTCTTAGCAACTGCATTGCGCGTCCCCTTCGGGTAATTATTACCATTGCGCTAGCCGTCCTGCTCCGATCGCGCCCGCGAGTTCGCAATGCAAGCCCCACAGTCGGTGTGTCATGAACCCACATGACGACTTCCGTTTTGCCGTGATTTTCGTCGCGTACTGTCAGAATGTTGAGATCGTCATGCGACAGTGACAGGTGTCGGGTGCACATCAGGTACCAGTAAAACAGTCCCTGTTCCCGGGCAGATGGCGCTACTGGAAACCTTCTTTGGTCCGTTCTTCACAGAGCCTCATGGACATAAGCAGTAGAAGCATCGGACCGAGTTTATACTCCAGGTTCTAAAGTTGAACACGCACAGTCGTTATAGCAGGCAATATGCTGCGACCGGGTCCCTTTCCGATCATTCGATAGTGGTCAGAGTCGAGGCGGTCAAGTCACCGTGTGTCGCCGTGTTGGCGCTGGACGACAACAGACTCTGTGTGACTCTTTTGCTAGCAGCTGCATTGCAAAAGCAATTTCATGAGTACGGAGACTTCAAAACAGCTCTCGTCAAGTGGTGTCAAATTGACAGCAAATCGCCCGGTGTCGCTCTTCTTCCGCCGCGCTTTCCCCACGTTTCCGCCATCGGCCGAGCTCAAATAAAATCCCTAGCTCGCTGAGAGCTCCATCCAAGACGGCGTGTTAGCCGATTCACTTCCTCCGCCCTCTTTCTACCTGTTATTCCTACACCTTTGTCGACGACTCCCATCGAAGCCAATTGCACGCTCTTAACGCGGTGCAGCTCTCCCGTCACTCGCCATGGCCGCCCTCAAAGAGGAAGTGCGCGAGGCGTTGCTGGGCACGAGCGAGGAGCCACAGCTGTCCCAGCTCACACGCGCTGCGTTCATGAAGCACGCCCAAAAGGACGAAGCAACCGGTGAATTCTTTCTCAACGAGGAATCTTTCATCGAAGCTGTTGCGCCTGAGAGCGAGGACTACGTAAGCAATTGCGCCTGCAATGCGTCACGGTCGAAGACAGGGCGAAGCTAACGGCGCGTCTGCCACCAGCACAAGATCAAGCGCTACCAGTACGGCATCCTGTTCCAGGTTGCTGACCGCGAAAGAAAGGGCAAGGTCAGCATCCACGATTGGGGTGTTTTCCAAAACTTGCTTGCGAAACCAGACGCCGAGTACGAAGTCATCTTCCGCTTCTTCGACAAGAAGGGTACTGGCTACATCAATTTCGACGAATTTTACGACACATGGAAGGCACACAAGACAGAGGACAGCCTGCCCTTCAACTGGGAGGCGGAATGGGCAACTCTGTACATTGGCTCCAAGAAGCACAGGCATGCCATGACATACCCCCAGTTTGCGCAGATGCTGCGGGGACTGCAGGGCGAGCGTGTCAGACAAGCCTTTTTGCACTTCGATGCCAACAAGGACGGGTATATCGAGCCCTCGCACTTCCAGCGCATTATTCGGGAGACTGCTAGTCACAAGCTCTCCGACTACCTCCTCGAGAATCTTACAACCCTCTGCAACATTTCTGTAGGAAGCAAGATCTCCTATGCAAACGTCCGCGCTTTCCAGAACATGATCCAGCAAATGGACATGGTCGAGTTGATCGTTCGCAACGCTACTCAGAAGAGCAGCGACGGCAAAATCACTCGCACAGACTTCTTGAACGAGGCCGCGCGGATAAGCAGGTTTAACCTATACACCCCCATGGAGGCAGACATTCTTTTCCACTTCGCTGGACTCGATGACCCATCGGGAAGGCTCAGTCTGAAGGACTTTTCCCGCGTACTTGATCCCTCGTGGCACACCATCACCGACCTTGGAGCTACTGCAATCGGCGATGCCGGCCAGAAGGTCTTTGCCACCACCAAATCTATCTGGCACGACGTTCTCGAGTCCGTCCACCATTTTGCGCTTGGATCATTGGCTGGTGCATTCGGAGCCTTCATGGTTTACCCCATCGATCTGGTCAAGACACGAATGCAGAATCAGAGAAGCACAGGCGTCGGAAATGTCCTATACAAGAACTCGCTTGACTGCGCCCAGAAAGTCATCAAGAATGAGGGTTTCAGGGGCCTGTACTCTGGTGTATTGCCACAGCTTGTTGGTGTAGCTCCCGAGAAGGCTATCAAGCTGACTGTCAACGACCTGGTGCGAGGAAAGCTTACAGACAAAGACACTGGCAACATCAAGTTGCCTGCCGAGATTTTGGCTGGTGGTATGGCTGGTGGATGTCAAGTGGTATGTCTAATGCAGAACGAAGCATTAGAGATCTTGCGCTAACGAGATGGCTAGGTCTTTACCAACCCTTTAGAGATTGTCAAGATCCGCCTGCAAATTCAGGGTGAACTTGCAAAGAACGTTGATGGTGTACCCAGGCGATCAGCCATGTGGATCATCAAGAACTTGGGTCTCGTTGGTCTATACAAGGGAGCAACTGCTTGTCTTCTCCGTGACGGTTAGTAGGCGCGTCCCCACACACACGCATTACTGACATGAAGAAGTCCCCTTCTCTGCCATCTATTTCCCATCATACAGCCATCTGAAGAAGGACTTCTTCGGTGAGAGCCCACAGAAGAGACTGGGTGTGCTCCAGATGTTGACTGCCGGTGCCATCGCCGGTATGCCTGCGGCATACCTCACCACACCATGCGATGTTATCAAGACCCGTCTGCAAGTCGAAGCACGAAAGGGCGAGGCTACATACAATGGCCTCCGTCATTGCGCAAAGATGATCTGGCAGCAGGAAGGCTTCAAGGCCTTCTTCAAGGGTGGACCGGCACGTATCATGCGATCATCGCCTCAGTTCGGTTTCACTCTGGCTGGTTACGAGGTCTTGCAACGATGTATGTGTTTGCGTGTTTGTTATCGTTTGTCTTGTCACTGACATGTCTACAGCTCTGCCCATGCCTGGATCTGGAGCAGACGCTAGTCTCGAGCCCTCGGTCGGTCTTGAGGAGGCCACAGCTCCCCTTCCCTACCTACGAAGTCGTAACGCGCTAAAGGTTATCCTTGACCTCGACGAGAACTTTGGTCGTCCGAGACTACCAGCAGGGCAAGCGTTCCGTGGCATCCCTGGCTTCGGTAGCAAGCAGGCGTGAACATAATGAGTATGTGGCTGATAACGACGCGAGTTATGGGATGACATTGGCCGATCCGTAATGTGGAATACCTGTCCTGATGCAACATTGCTCTAGCTCCATGTTTCCTGCTTATTGGCGTTGGTTTGTCCAAAACGACGGTTTCGTCGTCCTTTCAGTGGTGGCATACAGATGGCGCGCGCTAGCGAGCGTGGAGGTCTTGTGCATCGCAGTTTGAAGCATCTTCTGAGTAGCGATAGACGTAAGCATACACAGTGGAGGCCTTTTAACAGATCGTAGCTGGCGTGGACAAGGGGACGGGACGATATGCGTGCGAAGGTATTACTGTTCCGTACTGGCGAGAGTCGACAGTAACAATATCAAGCATATTCAGAAGGCGACACTGACATGTTTTATGAGATATTGCATGAGGATTCCACATCGTTTTTCAAGGGATGTGCCTGCCGTGCGCCCCGGCCGTCCGGTACAAACATGTCCCGGGGCGACAGCATTAAACTACAGCATGATCACCGCCAGTCACCGGCGGATAAATTACTGCAAACGCTCGAACAGTCGGTCAGTGGCTGAAAATTCATCCTCTAGAATGTTACCCAACATGATGCACGTTGCAGGCCGAGGTCATCTCCGCTGTGTTCACGAGGGTACCGAGAAAAGCTCGTGGCCCCGATTATTTTCCCACGATTCCCCACATGGACGGTTGTTAGGCTCTTCTGGGGACTTGGGCGGGGGTGGACCAACGTGGTCTAGCCTTGGGACGCACCCTGCGCTCCAGGTCTGGTCTTTGGAGAGGGGAAACTGAGCCTCATAATTGGATTGTCAGCCGCAGCCTGTCAGGCTGCGCCCCCAGGAAGCGGACGCGGAGCTCGTGTAGAGGAATTCCGTTCTTCCAGTCGTCGAAAATGGCGACGGCACGTTACTCTCACTCTTACTCTCCCCACTGAGTGCCTCCGCAACCTCGCAATTTTACGTACTGGCTTGCCGCCTCCGGAACAACCTTGGGCGAAGACCACGCGCGACCAGATCCCCGCATCAGCCTCTCACCGCGCCAGTCCGGGAAGCTCCTTTCGTCTCAAACGCTCAGAGGGTAAACAGCGCCCACTCTTCAAGTAGCACACAGCCTCGCGACCCACGATCAAACGAAACACCAACGTCGCTGCATGCCCGCGCGTGAATGAGGGTTGATCGGCGCGTTTTCTCCACCGCCTTGAGGCTGAAAAGTAGTCGTCGCACTGGCACTCGGGTACGTTTCCACCGCGCAGAGCCGCCTCTTGTCCGCGGCTCTGAGCCCACTTCCAAGTTTCTCCACGCACTTTCTCCACAGCCCAAATCTTATGTTGTCATTTTCTCCGCTCTTTTTTGGAGCCGCCTCAACACACGCGGCGTTGCAACCCTTCGTCTGCCCACATCCTTGTCGCCCAGGTTGCATGACCCGCGACCGTCACGAGCGGCAGCCCTGCACGCTTCTGTCGGCATTTTGAGCCTCCATCCGTCATTTTCTTCTCTTAACCACCGCGGGGTTTCTCCGAACCCCTTTGCGCTTTTCGCCGTCTGAGACTGTGGCCTTTGTTCACCAGAGGATGCGACTCTCGGTCATGCTGACCGACGTTCAGAACCACATCAATCACTGCTCTCTCCCTCACGTTTCGTCGCTCCGCCGCGGCCCCGGTTTGTTCCTAGGGGCCTTCGAGGAGGTCTGCTTGGGGTAGACACCGCCTTCTCCCAAACAGCACATAGCCCTTGGTTTCCTGTAATTGCGCCTAGACCCTGCCAACCCCAAGTTCGCCCGCACCTGCCAATGCCTGAAGACTACTACACGGAGGAAGACGCCCTAGGTTCACGGTCGCCCGGACTCGAAGCAATCATTGTCAACCCCAAACCGGAAGAAGAGCCACCGCCTATTGTCACCCAGATTTTCGTCAGTTCCCCTACCTCCCGAAATCGCAAAAAATCTAAACTTCGAAAGCATCGGCCTACGCAAGGTGATTGGGTGCTTATTCGGGAGATGGACCCAAACCGACCTGATATTGCACACGCAGTTGGACAGGAAGCCCTCAACTCCGGCTCTGAGACCGAGTCATCCGACGAAGAGATGCCAGACCCCCCGAGTGACCGGATGGCCGTCACAACAACGAAAGAAATGGGCGCACCCGCTATCAATGTTCGGTCCGATTCGTTGGCGGATGCGAATGTAAACTTTGACCCTGACGCAATGTCCGCAGAAAGACGAGAATCGCATGCATCGCACGTATCATCGACTGGATCAGTCTTGCAAAGCGTGACATCCAACACAAGTACCAACGGGTCCGTGAACGGCTCAGCGCAGGCTCATACCTCACCCCACACTTTCACAAATGGCGATCGACTTGCAGACTCATCAGCAATATCGCCACATCTCCGTGGTCTCAGGCTGTCTCCGTCGAGGGCACTGCCTGGTGAAAAGCTGCCATCCATTCAAACCCTCCAGCCGCCGCCATCAGCAGGGTCACCGGAGTCAGCAGCCTCGCCAAACCAGAACCTACCATCGATCGCACAATTTGACGACCTTGTCCGCTCTGCGACCAACGACTCGGACGCGTCCAGCATATTCGCGCATCGACAATCAATATCCTCTTCAGGGCAATCGCCATCCGCCATCATCCGCTCACTATCCATCAGCTCACACCACTCACCAGCCTCACCACTTCCGCCGTTCAACGCTTCGTCGCCAGTCAGTGCTGGGAGTGATCGTGCGGGAGATGTCTTCCTCCGGTCAAAAGAGCATCTCACCCTTTTTGGGCCTGGAGGGGCAAGAAGACCATCACAAATAGCCGACGGAGTATTCCCTCGTTCAGCCTCCATCTCAGTCGAGAGTTATAACGGCCCGGTCGGGCATGCTGCGGAAATGCTGCATACGCCAATTGAGGGCGGTCGGCAACGCGTGCTCAGCATAGATGGCGCGTTGACATCGCGACTTTTGCCGCCTCCTATTGGATCTGGCCTTACAAACGTGCCACAAAATATTTCGGGCATCTACAAATGTGAAGAACCAGGGTGCACAGCTGCTGCTTTCCAGACACAGTATCTTCTCAAGTAGGTCATCGCCCACGAGATCACTAGAACATTTCGCTGATTCATTGACCAGCTCGCACGCCAATGTCCACTCCCAGACACGACCACATTTCTGTCCAGTCAAAGGGTGCCCTCGAAGCGAGGGTGGAAAGGGCTTCAAGCGCAAAAACGAGATGATCAGACATGGTCTTGTACATCAGTCGCCGGGCTATGTGTGTCCATTTTGTCCCGATCGAGAGCACAAGTACCCGAGACCTGATAATCTGCAAAGGTATGCTGTTCAAGGCCGCTGGAAATCAACATTTGCTGATTGGTGATTTTTAGACACGTCCGTGTGCATCATGTCGATAAGGACAAGGACGACCCGCAGTTGCGCGACGTGCTTGCACAGCGTCCAGAAGGCGGCAGTCGCGGGCGGAGAAGACGAGTAAGTTTCTTATCGACTTCCACCACGATCATATCTAACGCCCCCAGATCTCCGCCTGCTAATGATCATTGAGCATCATCGAGTCGCAGCGATGGATCGCTCTTAGCGATCTTGCACAAGAATGTTACGAACTTGTTTTCCTCGCCATTTGTTTTGAATTTTTTACGACACTTTACGAAATTTCAGCAAAGGGATTATATCCGCTGGGTGGGCACCGAGGGGCAGGCGTACCGGGGTATCTACGGTCCGGTTTACCATGAGTCCAGGCAGGACGTTAGCAAAGTAACGGTTCAAGCGGCGTTGGTCCATGTCTCATTTTGCGTCACAACATCCTTACCACCCTCATGCCCATTTGTAGGTGGAACTTGCAACCTGCAGTACCACCCTTCCAAGACTCGAACTACCTCTCCTCTCTCTCTTTTATGGTTATACTGTTTGATTCACGTTGTTATTCGAGCCTTCTCGCAGCAAACTGCTCAAGATGGGAAACCTTGGGTCTGACAGGCGGCCTGACACCAAGGCGCCGACACGCACTAGGTCTTACATATCATCCACTAAGACCGTCCGTTAGCATATCACGTTCACTTAAGGCTAGTCCAACGTCAGATATCGTATCGGCTATACGTCTTGTGTATGTCGTGATATACCAGCAAAGAGCTCAATATGTGTCTTCCAGACCTTGCATCGTCCGTACACTAGATCCAACATCCTCAGAACGACCTTGAAAACCATATACCACCATGAGCTCGACAAAATTCCAGATTCCATCCAAGTATACGTCTCAGCTTCGCTATGTGGAGTCCAAGGACCTAAGGACTGACGCCGAGATCCTCAATGCTCTGACCTCCCACCAACCCGTCACTTCAGAAAAGAACATATGGACCTACTGGCACTCTGGCATCTTAGCTATGCCCTCATGGTGCCAACGTAACATCATCAACTGGGTCCGTCTGCACGACTCGTCCTGGACCATCCGCGTTCTCGACACCGTTCCCGACTCGCCAAACCACGCTTTGACTTGGATCAACCGTGCCGTCTTGCCCAAAGCGTTTGTGGAAGGCACAATGGTAGGTCCATACGTCGGACCGCACAGCGCCGACTTTCTTCGTGGTGCGGCACTGCATGCGTACGGCGGTGTGTGGATGGACGTTGGAAACATGATGTTCCGCGACCTAGACCGCGTGTGCTGGAATCAACTCGCGGACGAGGCTTCGCCGTACACCATCTGTGTGCCATGGATGATCGAGCAGAACATTGCGAATCACTTTGTGGCAGGTCGCAAAGGCGATCCGTTTATCAAGCGCTGGTACGTTTCTCACCTCCTATCAGACTCACTCACAGGGTAACACTGGCAGGCACGACCTCTTCGTCCACCTCTGGAAGGACCGCACCGACTTTACAGGCGTGATCCAAAATCCCCTCATCACATTCATGAAGGACTTCAAGTTCTCGGAAGGCGACGCGCGCGGTTTCAACTGGGATTTCAAGGTCGACGAGCAGACCGTGTTAGGTTACATTGGGCAGTGTGTGGCCTGGATCCGGCTCACCTGGCTCGAAGAACCCAACGGTTTCAACGGGCGCCAGTACTTCAAGAACAAGGTCCTGCTCTTCGATGTTTTGCCCGAGGACTGGGCTGCAGAGCAGATTGTAGGGTTCAAGGGTGAGGATCTGTTCAAAGTATTTACCACGAAACTCGACGCAGACCCGCAGTCTGAGGAGTACAAGGTGGCAGACCAGGTCGTGTGGAGGTTGCTGACGCAAAGCACGATGCAAAAGATTACGCATGGAAAGGGACTGACGAGTTCGGATGCTTGCGGTATCCTGCTTGACCGGCCTGAGAACGAGGGTAGAGATCAGGAGCCAGGTACCTTTGGCGAGTTGTTGCGGTACGGAAGTGTGCATTTTGAGCAGACAAGGGATCGGATTGCGTATGTTGAGCCAGTACTCGTGGATGAAAGTTCCGTGATCAGGAAGGGGTTGTTAGAGCCTTAGAGCGTCGAGCTCGTCCTTTCCTCGTGGTGCTTCAGGCGTACCTGGAGTGCCCCATGACAGAAGCAGCTAGTGCGGAGGCGTACTTGCATGTGCCATCAACACCTTCCATCTGATAACCCAGCACAGCTGCACATGTTGCTTTGTAGAACCGCATAAAACTCTGACTTCAACGTCTTCACTGCATCTGCCCTATATTTGTCTTCGTTCGGAGTTAACTCTACCTAGAGTAGTCCAGCCTTGCGCGATTGCCTACCTAAGATCAATTTGCTGCACACAGGAAACAACGCTGGCAGTATCACGTACGCAATGCAATATTCTAGCCAGCTCCAAGGCCGCACTATTCGCCTTGTACGTCTCGAGCTGGATACATACCGGGCACCCATTCGATGCCACCTCGTCGAAGCTTCGCTGGACGACCTACCCGATTACGAAGCACTGTCTTATGTGTGGGGCGACACGACACAGACAGAAGAGATTTTTTGCGATGATCAGATACACCATGTCACGATCAATGCAGCAAGGGCGATGCGGAGGATACGACTGGGCATCTCCCCACCTAAATGCAAGAGCGAGAACGCAGGCCATGACGCCGAATGCCATACGTCCGAAAACCAGCCGTGGTCTAAGAGTAATGATGGAAGCTCTCCAGTCGTTGGCTCCAAGTCAGAGCGCTACCGCCCCAGGCTGTTGTGGATAGATGCGATATGCATCGACCAGGCAAATGAAGCGGAAAGAAACCATCAAGTTCAGCTCATGCGTGAGATATACTCCAGAACCAAAAGAGTTATTATCTGGCTGGGGGATACGAAGTCTAATATCAGAGTGATGTCGGGGCTTGCTGCCTCCGTCAGACTGGTTGCTTCAAGGTTCTCTACGCCAGAGTTTGACAGGAGTATATCTGATTCATTGTCAATCTCAGATGTTAAGACTATTCTGGGCAACCTGAGCTGGTCATTCATGTGGCTCATAGTGTCTGCAGCGTTCTCGAGTCAGTGGTACACTCGTGTGTGGTGTACCCAAGAAGCTCTTCTGCCTTGTGAGTCGACCCTGCTATACAGAAACGCAGAGTTAGAGGGCGAAGAAATGACAAAATTCTGCACGTGAATAGCATATCGATTTTACGAATTCTTAGAGAGTGACTCAGCCAAGTCTGAGCGGGTGGCGGTGAATGCGCTCACCACGTTCGGAAGTTTCAGACTTCGGATGCCAAACAATATCAGCCCAGCAACATTCTTGTACAGTTCTCCGGCACTCGCGTGCAAAGACCCGAGAGACAGATTCTATGGCCTTCTAGGACTCTTTGGAGAAGTCCTAGTCGAGGTTGATTATAACAAGTCGGTGTTCGAAGTTTACAGGGACAGTGTGGTTCAGACAGTCACCGATAAACTCCATGTGCTATCGTATGTATATCACGGGCCCGTATATTCTCGTATGGAAGACGTTCCATCATGGACTCCGGATTGGGAGGCATTTCAAGGACCAAGACCCATGTACGGCCTCCAATATAAGAGTGAGTGGGCCAGTCAACGACCAGTACCTGAGTGTGACCTGGTCTTAGCCAACGCAGGGATTCTGCAGCTGAAAGGTATACTGTGTGACATAATCACCACTACTACTGAAGCTCTGCACCTAGACGACCCTCATGGAAAATCGACAATCTCTCGCCTTCAGGATATACTACTGAAGCTTTGGCTGGATGCTCCAATCTTACCAACTCTTCTCTCATTCGCAAGGACCTTGAATCACGGGTCCTGCTTATACCCGATGAAATTTAACGCTCTTTCGGAAACAGAACAAGAAGAATGGACCATCTCCCAAATCGTAGCGCTCTTAGGCTCTCTCCTCCCTGCACAGGTGCAAGCAGCCTTCAGAAGTAACCAACCTAACGGTGATGCAGCTGCTTACAAGGGGAAAGTCCTGCTGAGTGTAATAAAGAGAAAGTTATTTCATACAAGCAAAGCGTGGTTTGGTCTTGGTCCCGCGTGCATGCGGCCCGGCGATGTCGTTGTGGTCTTCCATGGAGGGACCTCGCCGTTCGTGCTTCGGCCGGTCGAAGATAGACCACATTGTTACTATCTCATGGGAGAATGCTACATGGAGAAACTGGAGGACGAGGGGGCCTACAAGATGTTAGGCGAAGGAGGGGTGGAGGAACGGATGTTCAATCTGATCTGAGGTTTGCTTGGGAGAGGAGCGTGTCAACACAAGTCTACGACCAGCGCACAATGTCGTCTGTCTACAGCGAAAGACTTCACAGAGACGGCATTTAGTGCACATATATCAGTTCACCTGGAATACGGCTTCGCAGTGTAGGGTAACATGGATAGATGCACCAATGCATGGTTCCTACAGCTCATCCAAGAACACAGAACACTCGTTGTTACATACTCAAGATTACTTGTACTATTCATTATATCGTAAGTCCTTCCCTCCTTTTGCGCGGGGTATCATGTCTTCTGCAAGCGCACTGGAATAACCTTCGAAGTGATATACACATATGAAGCGTATAGATATTATGGAGGCGAGGCATCAACACCCTACGCTCTCTCTCGCCAGAACAACGACGTCGAACTCCTCGTCGACGCTCTCTGCGCTCTCGCTACTCAGCTCCTGTAGTTCATCACTATATCGGCCGCCGATGAAGGCCCAGCCATCGCCCTCGAGGCGGGCGCGGTGGCGGTCGCGGTTCGATGAAGCGGCGCTTTGGAGGAGGCGCGACCAGCGATTCTCCGTCTTGGTGACGTCTTGGGGACGAGTGGTCTGTGGCGCGTCGTCGGCGTCGTCGAAGCCGGGGAGAGTCCAAAGGGCAGACTCGCTCATGGAGGAGTTCATGGTGGTGCTGGTACTGCGGTGGATGGACATGTGCAGGTCGAAGTGCACCCTAGAGGTCAATCGTTCGTTACGTGCTGTTTTGTGGCTCGGCGTGGTTGGCATGGATGAGCGGGGCGGATGGGGTGAACGAGGTGGAGTGATTGGTGGTGTGAGTATTTGAGACTGCATCATCGACGTCGAGAACTTTGCGTGCTTGGAACCGAAACTGTCGCGGCGCAGCTTCTTATAGGCGGGGCCGTCGGTGTGGTGACTGTCGTCCATGGTGACAAAGTTGGAGAAGGTTGGATGTGCGAGCGTGGAATGCTTGAAGTCCAGTTCAAGATTGTGGAAGCAAGACTTTGGGAAAACGTGGGTGACGGGTAGAGTTGTGCAGCGAAGAAAATGTGTCTGCAGAAAGAAGTCATGAAAGGAGAAGCAGGTGCGAGCTGTTCGCGCATCTGGAGCCAGCAAACTGTGAGGGTGAAGGAAGGTGTGGCCAGGGTACAAACGTGGCTGCCTATTCGGGTAGTAACAGAGTCACGTTATGACGTCGCACTGAAGGCGAGTGGCGAGACGTCAGACGAATGACAGAGGTGGCAGAGAAGAGGGAAACTGGTTATGGGGTGACTATAAGAAGACAACGGCTCGAGCTGGGAATGTAGGGGCCGCGATGCTCACGGCGGGCGAAGCTGCTGACTCCGCATCCGGACGGCATTCCGAGACCTGAGACGACGTGGAGCGTATGGAGGGCGGGCAGGCGTAGCACAGGTGTTAGTCAGATGGCCAGAATGGCACACACTGCAGAAGCTGGGCGTGGCTGGATGCAGCCGTGTCAGGCGCAGCATGTGAAGCTGCGACGGCGCTCGCGTGGTGTTGCTGCGGGAGAGCAGCCCCCGACTCCGCCAGCGAGCACGCCCGCACGGGCCCCCGTTGACGTTCGAGTTCAAGCTCTGATGCGTGACGAGCTCCCAACACCTCCGCCGCCCCCATCGCCCTCCATCCCGCCATCCGGAGGCCGACCAGCATGCTGCGCGCCTCGATTCTTGCGGCCCGCCCTGCAGCCCGGCCATTGGCACGCGCCGCCCGCCCGCAATGGCGCGCTGCCCAGCGCTGGTACGCCGACGACAAAAAGCTGGACCAGACGGCCGTCCCCAACCCGGCGCCGCTCGTCGAGCCCACCGACCCTGCGAGCCCGCCGACCATCGCGCAGGCGACCATCCCGCCGTCTGAGGTCCCTCGCGCCCCGCCCGCGCCCGCGACGAGCATTGTGAACGACGCCGCCCTCGCTGCCTCGCGCTCCGCCCCCGTCATCCAGCCCGCGACCACGCCGCCGACCGGCCCTGGCACTGCGAGCGTCGCCCCCGACCCAATCACCCCGAAGCCCAAGAAGCGCAGGTTCCGCCGCTTCTTGCTGTGGCTGACCATCCTGTCCGGCCTCAGCTACGCCGGCGGCGTCTACTACTCGCTGGTCTCGGACAACTTCCACGACTTCTTCACCGAGTTCGTCCCCTTCGGCGAGGATGCCGTCGCCTACTTCGAGGAGCGCGAGTTCAAGCGCCGCTTCCCAGCCCGCCCCGACCAGCCGCGCCTCCACCAGCAGATCTCGGGCGAGAACAAGGTCACCATCCCCGGCAAGAGCGGCCTGACCGCCCGTGTCGCTGAAGACCCCCACATAAGCGCCGTCAGCGAGAACAACCCCAAGCCCAAGACGGCCGAGCAGCCCCGCGTTGGCTCGAACGTTCAGGAGTCGAAGAAGGTGCAGGAGCAGAGGGAGAAGCCTGCCGCGGCGACCTCCAAGGCTGAGCCCAAGACCGTCATCCTCGACGCCCCCTCGACCCCCATTTCTCAGATCGACCACCTCAACGTAGCCTCTGCGAGCGAGCCTGTCGTCCAGGACGTCGTCAAGATCGTCAACGACCTCATCACAGTAGTCAACGCCGACAAGACACACGATGGAAAGTACAACTCTGCTCTGGATAAGGCCAAGTCAGAGCTCTCCAAGGTCGTCTCCGACATCTCCCTACTGAAGGCCAACCTGCAGAAGGAGTCTGAGGACAAGGTCAAGGCTGCCCACGCTGAGTTCGAAGAGGCCGCCAAGGAGCTTGTCAGGCGCCTCGACCACCAGATGCAAGAGCAGGAGGCCCACTGGAAAGAGGAGTACGAGAACGAGCGCGAGCGCCTTCAGCAGACCTACAGGAGCAAGGTCAAGTCTGAGCTCGAGGCCGCCCACAAGGTCTACGAGGCAAAGCTCAAGAATGAGCTTCTTGAGCAGAGCATCAACCTCCAGAAGAGCTTCACCAAGAACGTCCGCGACCGTGTCGAGGCTGAGCGCGATGGCCGTCTCGGCAAGCTGAACGACCTTTCCAACTCTGTTCACGAGCTTGAGAAGCTCACAGCTGAGTGGAACTCCGTTGTCGACGCCAACCTGAAGACTCAGCACCTCGTTGTTGCCGTCGAGGCCGTCAAGTCTGCTCTCGAGACACAAATCGTCCCCAAGCCTTTCGTCACCGAGCTGGCTGCCCTTAAGGAGATTGCTGCTGACGACCCAGTGGTCAGCGCTGCCATCTCCAGCATCAACCCCACCGCCTACCAGCGCGGTATCCCCAGTTCCGCTCTTCTGATCGATCGCTTCCGCCGTGTTGCATCCGAGGTCAGGAAAGCCGCGCTTCTCCCCGAGGACGCTGGTGTCGCATCCCACCTCGCCTCCCTCGCCATGTCCAAGGTCTTGTTCAAGAAGTCCGGGCTAGCAGTCGGCGGCGACGTCGAGGCTGTGCTTGCGCGCACCGAGGTTCTACTCGAGGAGGGCGACCTGGACGGCGCAGCACGCGAGATGAACGGCCTGCAAGGGTGGGCCAAGGTGCTGAGCAAGGACTGGTTGGGCGAATGCAGGAGAGTGTTGGAGGTCAGGCAAGCACTGGATGTCATTGCTACAGAAGCGAGACTGCAGAGCTTGCTGGTCGATTAGGCGTGTCTTGTGGTGAGCGCTTTGTAATGTAGTCATAGAGCTGTGAATGTATCTGTTCCATTTGTGTTATCTCAGCAGAATTGCACCGCAGCTGCTCTGACCAAGGCAGGCACATTCCGTCTTGCAACGCTTCATGTATGGCAAAAAGCTACAAGCATGAATTGATACTCACCGAAGCACAAAGACAGCAGGAGATGCCAGCACCCTCACTCCTACATCAGAACTCGACTCAGTAGTACTAGAAATCCGTCTCTGGTCTACAGCAGCCTGTGGGTACTTCCAATTGCCCCAGACTGGGCTACATAGCAGACGTGTGAGTGGCTGTTGAAACGCACGCATGCGTGTATTGCGCGTAATGCATGACTGGTTCAACACTGGGCTGAACATGTAGTCGCAGGCTCGAGACCAGTATTTGAGCGGCCTATAAATGGCTGTGCTAGCGCAGTAGTGTGGCTTCCACGATCGTGACTTTGTGACTTTTCAGGACAAGAACAATCGCGGTGATTAGGTGGAAGGTAGGCTTTGGGAGCCAAATCAGAAAGGCGCCCAACGTTGGATCAAGCCTGACACACATGAGGCCATGAACACCTTCTAGGATGGCACATATCACTGAGGGAGTCGTCGCCCTTGCTCAACTATCATCGTCAAGAATGGGCGTCTCAATCAGCGCTATTGAGCTGCGACTTTCCAATGCGACCAGATTGCCTGCTGAAGGTCTCTTCAAACACCCCAATCCAGTAGACTCGTGCTGGTGTTGCGGCTCTTCGTCGCTTCTCAACTCAGGCTCAGTCGCGCAACTGACTGCCAGCGTGCAATTGCGTGTAAGCCAGGAAGGTGGGACTGGCCACCGCGCCGGTTGTGAAATTGCCTCGACAACGATAGGCTTCATTGGGAGATAATCAAGCTCCCCGTCAGTAGGATCGACCGCTACGTGCTTGCTGTCAACTTTCGATTTGTACGATATTGAGCGAAAATGTCAGGATCCTGACTTGAAAGTCGGCGGTCTCGCCAGGATGCTGCATGCACTTCAAGATCAGTGTTTCATGGTATAGACGTTGCAGCATATGCTACAGTCAAGCTATTGTGGGCCAGATCTGTACGGAAAGTGGTGAAATCCCCCTACGGTGGCCTAAGCCCAATATCCAATGGTACTCTTACAGTGTCAAATACGTACAACAAACATGCGTGATATCCTCAGAACGCCGGCATAGATTTCAGTCCGCGTCATAGGCGTGCTCAGTCTCTCTAGCACATTTTCTTCCTCGGAGTCTGCTTGGTCTCCTACAATAGAGGTTCACTTTCCAACAACCTGATCTTTCAGCTCCTTTGTTTTATCCGCGACCTGTTGTGTGACACCCTTGACCTCCTCCTGCGCTCCTCTCGCCCTCTTTGCCATCCTGTCCTTCCAGTCTTTCTCCTCCTCATCACGCGCCTCCAGCTCCCTCAGCCATCGCTCCCTCTTATCCATCCTCTCCTTCTCAGCTACCTGCTTCTCGTAGTCCTTCCTCTTCAGGCGGTCCTTTTGCCAGTACATGTTACCCGCGACGAGCACTGCAATGGTGAAACCTTGGGCGTATAAACGGCGGCGGAAGTACAGGTTGGTCATCTTGTGGTCGCCTTTGCGCATCGACCGTGTCGCACCGACAATAGCCCAGACTGTGAGGCCACAGCCGAGGGGAATGAGGGGCTCTTCGCGGAGGCGGCGCCACATCTTGTCGAGAGTATTCTCATTGTAAAAGTCGCTGGCCGCTTTTAGTCACAATGCACCATGATATGCACATGTTGCTGTTCGCAACATGATTTCAATCAGGGAGGACATACGCATTCTCATCGAAAGAGGAAGGTAGCGGTGCGGTGTTGCGTGGGCCCGCCATGATGACGGCTGTATGCGGAGGTGGCGGAGGTGTCGCGTGCAGTCAATCGAGATCGTGTGTTCGTACGAGTGCGCAATTGAGGGCGTGTTATTACCGGACTCTGATTTGAAGCTATTCGGAACCTTGAATATCCGTTGTAGAGCTGTCACAAGGTGTTGCTACGAGCTGCACTGCGGAGCTCATCGATTATCTCACCACTTCCATCATCGGCCCGTTTCAGCTCCAGCAGCCTTGGCGTCACGTACCTCGTCCCTCAAAGCTATGCCACCAAGATCTGACCTACAACGGACAGCAGCCTGAAGGCGCAGCAACGAAGAAAGCGCTGCCGCACCCCAGCATCGCCTCCATGAGTGATACATCGACAGTTGACAAATTCCTGCGGCGCCATGAACGATGAGGCCGAGTCGTCTCGAGCTGCATTGCGACGTGATGATGGCTCCCCTGATCACATCGACGACATAGCATATGTCGACCCGGAAGAGGTTGAGCGTGAGCGCGCGAAAGACGCCAGAGAACGACGATTAGATGCCAAAAGGAAGCGCATCCGCATGTTGGGCGACCTTCTGCGCGAGTTGGATCTGATTGTGTACATGGAGTTGCTCGCTCTCTACAACCTCGAGTACGCCTTACCCTCACGCTCTCATGTGACTTCGGGGCTAATTTGTACAGCTGCTCCTTCTTCTGGTTCGCAGTACGCGCGCTGGCGCATGGCAGCTTGCTCACGCCTGTCTCGGACCCAACGATGCAACGCCCACCTGACGAGCCCCGACCGTTCCTGCCGGTAGTAGCAGGACTGTTCACCGTGAGCTTCCTGCTACACATGCTATATCCTGCGCCGATGGCCGGCGAAGATACAAGAGGCTACCTGCACGGCGGCTTGATGATAGATTTCATTGGGCAGCAGGGACCAACCAGCAAATGGAAGCTCGGAGGGCTGGATGTGTGCATTTTGCTCCTACAGATGATCATGGTGTCGGCGCACGTTAAGCGCCGCGATCTGAAGAAACAGCTGGTGCAAATAACCGCTGGCGAGGCCCCGTCAGGCAGCAGCGTCGACGCAGCCACGTCAGACGCTGTAAGCGACAGTACAACACCAGCAACAACAAGTGAAAACGCGGCCCGAAGGCAGGACGCCGACGATGAGGAGCGCGGTGTCCTACGCCGGACCGACTCCTTGTCAGACCTGGGCGCCGATCCCGAAGAGGAGGATCCACTGCTGCGGTCCACGCAGGAGACCGGTCACGTTGATGCGCTGGACGTTCTTACATCGGGACAGTGCGTCATCTTGTCTGCTGGCGTTGTTGGTACAATGTTGCGCGAAAACGAGAATTACCGAGTGTTCCGCCATACGCGCACCGAGGGTAGCCTCAGCGGTGACATGCCAGAGACACTACGCCGCTTAAATACTCTGCGCGCTCGCTTTGGAGTTGGTGGGGGATAAGGAAGAGCCAGTCGATCCTTGAGATTAATCTGATCGTCTCCACTCCTGCAAGCACACGATACATGTGATCGCGCTGTGACGCCCTTCAGGGTCCAAAGCCCCTTTGCCTATGAAACTGCCGAGATAGGTCCGGCCGGCAGGCAGGCTGATCACCCCCACATCGAGTGGAAGATTGGCCACGTGCGATCGCGTGGGATTGACGGTACCGGCAGCTTGCCCGGAACCGATCCCGCAAGGGGGCATTGATCAGATGATTCGTGTGCACCTAAAACCGTATTACAACCAAGTCGAGCAACGCCAGCAGATTGAGTTGATCGGGCTGACATGACGAGGCATGAGCAAGTCACACCGATGATGACGGCGCAGGCGGGCTGGGACGCACCGTCCGCACCGACGTAAACTTGCACAACGGCATGCCGTCCCTTCCCGTGCCTGCGAGGATGTCGTCAACCCCCTTCATGAGAACAAGGAAACCATCCTTACGTCTTCCCGCATTCACAACGCACATCCCACACCCATGTCCACAGTGTCCACATCAACTCTGCTGCATAGCAAGGGCCCTGGTCTGCGTCGCTCATGCTTGTCGACACCTTGCATGCGGACCTGGCGACAGTTGCTGAAGGTGAGAGGGTGGCTGTGTGTGCCGGTCGGTACCGCGATACCGACAGACGGCTCGAGCGATTTGGCCTTAGACCGCCACGGTCCGCTCGCTACCGCTCCACGACCCGGTGGCTGCACACTATTGCCGTGTGTGCATACCACCAATCACGAATCACGCTCGTTGGTCAGATGCCCGCGGAAATGCACCCGCGTTACAGAGAAAGGCGATTGTGTGTCTACCCCAGGCCTATCTCATATCTAATCTTCCACAGACGGCTGGCGCGGATAACAGCCTGAGTCGTCTAGTACGTAGATACCTGTGTCAAGCCTCCTTGCTTCCAGCCCGTGGGTGACCGTTTGTGGCAGCATAGATCTAATCTTGAGATGCCGCTTCGATAGCCTGGATCAGGTGTGATAGGGCACTCCCTTGCTGCCACCGATGCACTTGTTCCTATTCTGCAACGCGTGCATAGGCGACATACGGGATGTCGCCACATCTGCACGAGGCGTCTGCTACAAAGGGGTGAGGCGCATTACACACGGCCTTGTAGTACAATAAGACGAGAAGGATTGTGAAGGAATGCGATGCGCCCGCTCCTCTCGTATCCGGGTGGGTGTCGGGAATCGGGATGCACATGTTGCACTGCCTGCTTACCAGCATGTGCCATTCCGTTGAGATGATGCCAACGTGGAGTAGGATATTACCAAGTGGAGAATCCGCACCGAAGGTACATAAATGTATGTCCGCAAACAGACTGAGGTGCACATTAAGTGGCGTTATATACTGCCACAGGTGTGCAGCACAACGATGTCGTGTACGCTGACAATTTCCACAGCTGCGTGTCACTAGCCGCTGTTGAATGAAGGCAACAAAGGACGGAGAAGGGCGCAAAATCTTCCGTTGGTCATATTTCACTGTGCTGCCCTGTTTGTTACCTTTGCTGCAACAGCCTTGGCACGTTACAGGGCGTCAAGTAAGGCGTTGACTCTGCGACGGCTGTCCAATTGACATATGCGGCTGAGCCAGTTTGTCGGTGTCAGTGGCCGCCTAATACTATGAAACAAGTTGGAATGGCATTCATCGAGCGAATGGTCGTCATGAGTGGACATGCACGCGATATCACATCGAAAGTTATCCCTCCGATTCGCCCGTCGTGGTACGATTCCTCCTGTTTTTTACGACCAGAGGGATTGGGAAGGATCGTATTGCATCCGTAGCGCCTCCTGCTACGAATGGCAACCGCCTGCTTCGAACAAACTTCCGTGACACTGCCCGATCAAGCACATTCTGGCAGAGTCGTTGCATGCAAGATGACCTGATGTTGACAAGTGACGTCCGCGCGTCGCACGTGTTGCGTCGATGCCAATGCTTCTTCTTCTTCTTCCCCGTTGCACGACTCGAGGCTTTATAATTGTGTTTTCGTCAGTTGCCTAGAAAGAACTAGAGAAGAGTTTAACGGCTGAATTGTTGGAAGCCTTACCCAGCTCGAGCCTGGTTCTTCTCGCACTAGAGGGTCTGTCACTGAATCTGTAATTTATGGGCGGCTCATGTCCGTTCTGATCTGTGACGTACTTTCCAGTAGCATGCACTACCTACTGTTCCACGTTACCTTGTGGCCACTCACATGACTTTACTCCACCTGCGGTCTCGATGCATATTGCTCCTTTGCTTTGGCAACCGAAAATTGCTACCTACTTCTGCTGACATGCATAAGCAATGTCATGTGTCGCCTATGCTGTTATCTGCGGGACTACGGGACCGGTGGACTGGGTGGGCTGAATGGGATGGGTGGGTCCCGTCCGTGGAAGCACCTGTAACAGTAGGCAGCATGGCGCTACGACGAATCCAAGTACCACTTCTGCATAGAGCAGCGTCAGCGGAGAAATACTTTCGGCGACCAAGAATGGAGAAGGATGTGCTTGGGGCGACAAGGAATTTTGATTGCGTTCACTTGCGATCTGTTGACCTTGGGGAGCTAATTTCATGTTCAGATCAACCGTGCAACTGCCGGTCTTGCTCTGCGTCACCTTGCAGATATTGGCCACGTATATCCAAGTTTTGACCTGTATCGTAGGGCTAATCATAGCAGAGTCTCATCGGCAAAGCTACTTGTCTGGTGTGCTTGGAAACTCTCTCCAGTCAAGCGAGTACAGTTTTAGAGTCTAGGTGCTTTGGCTGGGGATGAGTTCAGATCTACCGGGGGCGGAGGCAGACGATCTGAAGAACCTTGATCTTTGTCGATAACAGCCCAGATAATGCTTGTGTACAATCGCTCGAGCAAGCTACGCATGTGCCGTTTTCAACACCTGTGATGTACCGCGGGCTGCAGATGTGCTTGCGTCAGGTACACAGAACGCTCATGACATGCCTCAGCCCCCGAACTGCCGTGTAACACTCGGCTGTGAGGCTGTTCGGTTCTCCCGCATGACGGATGCGTGGGGCTCGGTAGGCTCATATGGCGCAAGCCCGTACCCCATCATCACGCGCATAAGCGCTGTCCGGGATAGTTGCCCAGTCGGGTATTCAGATCCATCTTGGATCCTTGACTGCTGCATCGGGATCTGTTACCTAAGGACTCGAATTTTGCTCCGTAGTATGCAGGATTCCTATTTTGATGCTCGCATCAGGTGGGGGTTTCGCGGCAGGGTCCAGGCAACTTGCAGAGCGGCGTTCGTGCTGAATTAGGGCCGTGGCACCGGGGCAGGTCGTTGAGGCTAACAGTGTGCCAGGCTAGATCGCATCCACGGATTAGGGAGGGTTGTGTGTGGATGTCAGGGCGCCAACGAACCATTTCGTGCAGGCGGAGGAAGGCGCGGGTGCATGACGTTGCATGGTCTGCAGAGAACGTTAAGCCAGTTATGGACATGGACTTACATCTAGTGATTAAAACGAATATGCGGTGAGCTGAGAGCACCTGTGGACACGTCGAGGCGACACGGGTATGATGCGAGAATCATTCTGGTCGACATCTGACGCGCAAGGGCGGAAAGAGTACCCTAGGCGCAGCTATCAAGAGGCCAATGTTTGGGCAATTCTGAATGGAGTTTCCCTGAGCAGCGCTGCCCTGCTGACCAAACCAAGACGAACAGAATCCGAGGAAGCGGCAATCTGACCTCGTGCGCCTTGAAAGAACGATCCACAGTCAGGTGGTTGTTGAGATGTTGCTGCATTGACCCACAGGGCTGAGTTAGGCCTCCCATATGTGAGTCCATCGGACGCAGGACGCAGTACCTATATGCCAAATCCCGACCGTGTGGAAAATGGTGAGATCCTACGCCGCCTACAGTGCAGCAGGAGTCCTATTCGAAGCCCTCATCATCCAAGTCCATAGACCTGTGTGTTCAAGGCATCTTGACATGAGAATCAGGTAGCCCACCATGAAGCAAAGACAGACCTTGCCAGTTTGCTGAATACGAGGAGAGACCAGGTCGGGTATGGCTTTTACGACAAGTGAGTGCGGTGCAAGAGTAGGTCCGCAAAGAGCGGTGAAGGCCTACTTCGGGGCTGCGGCAGTATTTACGATCGGACAAGGGCTGCTCTCGTACCCACATTGAACTGGAAGTCACGCATCATAAACTTCCTCTAAGGGCTGCTGTTCGGTCTTCGCTACGATGCGACACGGCTTGTCTGAATTCGAGACAGCCACGAGATTGGTTTGCACTAGGTATGGAATCGACTTCGCGACGCGCGATTCTGGTGTGATGTTTCTTGTTGGTACCTAGGGCCAGTGGCGCACGGTGTAATATGATGTCTCTGAATTGCGACACAGGTATCGGTCACGGGACTTGTAACTTGCGTTGACAAACCTTAGAATCTACTAGAAAAATCGGTCGCTTCACTGAGAAACAGGAGAGGCCGGAATTGCGCAAGTCGCTGGCAGAATTAGGCATCTTGAGCAAAGCTTCCTGACAATTCTGGTGAAACAACGACCACGCCCTGTCTGGGGTATCGCGGTAAATTTTGGAAGCAAGACAGACGACGGCACGGGGAAGCGCGCGCCGAACTCGAACTACAATCATAGTAAGTTGGGCCATATCAGCAGGGGTCTAGCTGACGCAGACTCGTACGGCGTTAATATTCGGACCGCCTCTGGCCCGTATGTGATAGCGATGTACACTTCTAGTTTGGATGTTATCAAGTCGAGCCATGCATACGAAGAACAGCCAGTTTGAGTTTGTGACCGCTGGATATGTGGAAAGCCAGTTGCGACAACAATACTTTACTGGTGGAGAACATGCTGAAGCGGTCATCGAGATGGGGGCTGGCCTACGGAGTTTATAGTTTAAGCTTGAAAAATGACATTTTAGGTTCGGCCAGCTCATGGTATCTCATGCCAGCGGTCCGCACCGGAGATAGCTCCGGATTCATAAGATGCACAACACGCTTCTAAGTGTCCCAGTACAGGGGCTCGGTGATTCAGACAGCCCCGATCCACCACTAGTGACCCTGCTGTTGGGAACGGGTCTCGGTTGAGGTGTGCGTCATGCTAAGCGTTATGGGCGTGTCCACGAGGTCGAGCGTGTGCGTTAGACTGCCTGCGTGGACGCATCTCAGACGCAATGCCATCTGTGTAGTGCCAGTGCACGCAGCAGACGGTTACGGTGCGGTCCACATCGCACGTAGAATAAATCAGATGCAGACTTATGAAGGATCGCAACGTACTTGGAGCAACGCAAGGTCCGGCGCCTGTTGGTACCTGAGTTTGAACATCTAGGTTCAAGGTAAGTAATCAGGCCATTTCGAAACTGAGGGGTTGTTGAAGACATGAGGTCAGCACAACAACCTTGACGCCGTTGTCCGTCCCGGGGCCGGAGCTGATAGCGAACATTCGGGGTGTGCCGTGGTCAACGTTGACAGGCTAAAAGACGTGCACATGTTGAAGGCATTGTCCGCGAACATGCACACAAGGATGCACATGACAGCTAATCCCTGGTCAGGAGTTAGCCCCCAATTCAATTGTGGAGTGTTCTAACTTTTAAAGTTCGCAGGCCCAAATAGCTCCCCTTAGACTCGCTTTCCACTTCCGCGCAGCACCGAGGCCGTGATTCGCCAACGGAGAATAAGAAAAGCCCTGATTGGGCTGTAAATCAGAAGCAACCGTCAGAGTCTGCGGCAAGTCGCGCAGGATCCCCTTTACAGACAGACATGGATGATCAGGTACTCACGTACAGTCTTGACCGCGAGATGTCCGTGCTGTGTGGCCTGGATCCAGAATGGAACCATAGATCGACTGACCAGCCTAGTCATTTCTCGGCTCACAATATTTATCGTTCTCAGGCAATGTGACAGTGTGACCCGTAGCCCTCAAGATCGCATTGCGTGTGAACATGCTTGCCGTGAGCACGAGCAGATCCTTCCCGTCCATCCTACAGCGATCCTTAGATAGCCACTGTGTTAGCTTCCACCCCACAGCTACAGTAAACGGTAAGCTCACCGCGAACGGCAGATGTAACCATGCAAATTTGACGCAGTCAGCCATGGGCGAGTTGTGATCAAGGCCTGGTCGGCGCTTTTCAGGTCTTGGTAATAAGACCGAAGCTGATACATCTTCTCAGCCGTATGAACTGTAGATGTCGGAAATGAAATGGCAAGGAGACAGACGTCGTGATGTACAGGTCGATCAATTAATAATTATTGCGTCGGTAAGGACATGAATTTCTAGAATGCGATGTCTATGTTTGCTATAAGAGCGACCCGCAAGAAAGGAGCGACGAGCGCTTAACAAGGGTATATAACAGAATATTTCTTGAATGCTGGCAAGATTCTCTTAAGAGACAGGATGACAGTGTCATGGCCCCATAGAGTATGCGTAATTACGCGCCAGTAATGTCAAAACGACACAGGAAAGTTGTGTGACGCAACACCAGTTATGGTGCAAATTTCGGGCTCGCATGTGGTAAATTTTTAAGCGAAGGATTCACGGCATAGTGGCCGCTCCAGTGTATGCTGCATACCCGGCAGATGTCCTTGGTTACTAGAGGCATATTGGTGGCCGTGGGAAGAGGGGCCAGGTGACGGTGTGTATCCGTGAGAAGCGAAGGACGACACATTGGCGTCTGTGAGTGGCAGTGGACTTGGCTGGTAGCTACCAGTACGCCGTCGTACGTTGCGATCCATCTCACGGCCGTCCTCCTCGTAGTCTCCGTACGACCCATCAGATGCGCCATCGTGCATCGAAGGCGCTCGTGATGGCGCGGGCGATATACGTCGTACAATTGGAGACTGCGGTCGCGGATAGTGTCGGTCGGCGCCTGATTGTCGGTACACGATAGACCTGAAAAAGTCCCTTTCGCTGCGGTAAAACTCAGCCCTGTCCATGGCCTCGCGCACCTGCTGCTCCAGTCTTGATATACACATGGAAGCCTCGCGCTCCTTCTCCTTGCGGCGAGCACGGAATCGAGCAGAGGCACCTGCGTTCCGTTTCCTTTTCTCGTCGGCAACTTTTGAGGCAGCTTGAACGTCCACTGGAATCTGCACATTGTGTCCTTGTTGGCTCTTGATGGTCATGATCTGTATGCTACTTTGACCGCTTGGTGCGACAGGGATCATATTGCGCTCCATTTCTAGTGGTGGACCAGGGTGGCGGGCGTCATGTGAAGCGAAGGTAAAGTGCGCTTGTGAGCCGTGACTCTCGTATCCTGAGGCAATTGACGCAGATTGACTGTAGGGAGAGTATTGTGTCATCGGACTCGCACTACCAGACGGCAAGAACTGTGCACTAGATCGGCGTACCTCACTACGCAATGTGTTTGGCATTGGAGCCGTCGTAGACAGTGGCGGGAAGTAACCTGTTCTGCTGCCGGCAGGAGGAGTGGGTAGGGCTGGTTGAGATCCTGCTGATTCGAAGGGACGTACGCTTGCAGTTAGGAAAGGTGATTGATGAGCGTCAATTGTACCTGTGGGACGATTGAGACCACCGAGTCTCTGTGGTCTGTGCAGACTGGGCGATTTTGGCGTCAGTACGTTCCTTGCAGAGGGCCGATCTGGAGGTTGGAAAAGACGTCGAGACTTTTGGTCACCCTGCGAGGAATCGACACTGGCTGGTCGGCTTATTGGGGGAAGGCTATGTGAGTGCTGTGTATCCACAGGAGACGGGGTTTCCATCTGAAGTCCGTCGCGTCGCAAGTTTCGCTGCTGTTCGAACAGTTCAGCTTGAGGGTTCAATATGGACTGAACACCCAGTGGGTTGTCATGTCTTCGGCTTGATGGGGTTGGCGGTGTACTGGAAAGCTGGCGAAGAGGCGGAAGTGACAGTGTCAGATGACCTGAAGTCCGCCCAGGACTACTGCGAAGAGGCGGATGCATAGCTGACTGGGGTTGGGTGGGTGACAATTGAGGGGTTGGATGCTCTGGACGCGTTTCGCCTATGGTCCGATGTGAGATCAGGAAGGAGTCGTCAAGACCCCGCTGGGAGCGAGCAGCCATCCATGAGCGATCAGGTTTAGAATCGTTGTAGTAAGGCGGAGTTAGGCGATTGGAGTACTGAGTATGGGTGGCTTGAATCGCCGGAAGCGCTTGGGTAGCCAGGATGAAGGTGTTAAATGGGCCGTCTGAAAGACAACCCTAACTGTTTCAAAGGTGTATTACAGGATGTAAAGCAATAGGCACTAGGAAGCTAGAATGAACATCTGCAGTGTGACTGCGGGATTCCAGGCCTGGGTCGAAGACGTCTTGGGTCAAAATGCTTTGATGTGGTGTGCGGGTGGTAGAAGGATAAACATGCAACAGGGTGATGTCGCAAGGCGAGGCTGCGGAATGCGGGTGGTGGAGGAAAGTCGTCGAGGTGTACGCCAGGACGTCACCAGCAGAAGGCGCCAGGTAGTATGGTATAAGAGTAAGAATGTGCGGTGTAGTCTCCACGATGGAGGATCGCTGGCTGGGCACGAAATCATTAAAGCAACAGCCACCCCTGTCCTTCTAGCTCAATGTAGGACAAGTGCACAGGGCCCTGTCGATGTCCGGCGCCTTTGACGACAGCGCTAGGCGGTGTTTCTGTGCTCGCAAGGATACGCTGGCATGCAGTACGCGGATTAAGGGCGCTACTGCACGCTGGGCTCTGACCACGCGCGGAACCGGAATCCAAGTGCCCACCGAAGCAGCGCGCCGGCTAAGACACGACAAGCCCGCCCAAACCGACGCAGGCGCATCGACCGTGGCTGATAACCCCTGCGGCTGCTGCACAGACCAGCGGAAGTCAGGCTGTCATTTCTGCATCTTGCCGCGCCGCGGTTCGCTCCACGAGTCTGCTGCTCATGTACTGTATCGTACCGAGCCCGTCAGCCCTGGCGGTCGACGGGGCCTGTGTGTGATGTGCATGAGAATGTCTTGTGTGAGAGAGTACAGTTTCGCCTACTGGTGGTAGAGAATGGGACTCGCTGCCGATTGTTGCGTTAAGCAGCGCCATTGGCCGGATGCGCTCTCCGGGGCTTCTTGATTACTTACAGCATCGACCGCAAAGCATGTGTATCAGAGTGTAGTCAAGAAGGCAGGGAATGCACATGGTCACGAATGTGCGTTCCGGTAGGTAGCCCATTTTGTTAATACCAGTAAAGTAGTGTTGTGCTTGGTACCAGCGTGTTGCCGAGAAGCAGTAAGCGCCGCCGTGATTCTGCAACACCCTTGCTGTGACGGAACTTATTGCTCTGTAACAAGGAGAAGTTGGGTTTGCTGGGTGACCGCCATTTTTATCGAGAAAGCTTGTTCTGGCGATGTATGTGATGTCTCGCGCACCACGCATGAGCACGGTAATGCCGGTCGCAGAGTCGGTTTTTCGGCTGCAAGTCACGGTCGAGTACGGGCCGAAGGTACGAGGTCTTAACCTTCTGACACCTCCCGTAGATCTGCAGGATGGCGAGAGCCGACCCATCACAACCCGTCCAATCTACGTACTGCAATTGGGCGCCTTGGGCCTTAACGCAGAGTCTTGGCTGAATTCAAAATTGCATGCATCTGCAACAAATGCTTCAGTCTAACGTATAGTGCAGTTTACCTTAGCGGCTGTCATAGGTATACTCGTTGCACGTATACTCTCAGGACGGCGCAGGCACAGAAGAGCTTCCGATTGTCAATGAAAGTCGTAGAAACTTTATCACTTTATAACCCAACAGCAACCAATTATCTTTGTCTTTGAGTAGATGAGAAAATAGGCTCTATTAATAGTAGCTAGGTAACTTCCATTGCAACCTAAAACAAAGTAAGGGACAAGACTTATCTTCGTCGTATTCTCTATATAGGAATGGAGCATATCGTAGTAACCACTGTGATGCATGTAGGAAGAACGATGAGCTCCTGTCAAGCATTATGAATGACTGATCCGGACCTCGTGCCTACAAACACAGTAGCACGTGCGCGATACCCCTTGGTACCTATGTAGCGCATCGACATATTTGTCGAGGATGGATCTCGGCAGAGGAGGCGCTGCAGAGCCATCCACGTCTTCCCGTCTGGTAAGTTTGCTTTTCTGCGTTCCGAGTTGTTTTCTGAAAGCAGCAATCGGGCAACCTTACCTCCTTGGAACAGACGTCACTTCGTGCCAAGCAATTATTTAGTCGAAGCAGAGCATCGCCGTCTGAGGTCGCCAGGGGCAGGATCCCGGGGCGTCATAATGTGCGTCCAACGCCGCGGTTGGATTGATCTGAGCTGATCAGTGGTTGGCATCCTTCAACAGTGGACCAACACTTCCCGTCTCCACGCTGTCGGACGTGAGGTCACTTCACGTGGACTAGGATGATGACGCTGGTCACCTAAAGAGGCACGACCCTGTCCCGATGGCCCGGGATGGCATCTAATCTCAAAACAGCAAGCGGTTTCAAAGAATTCATCGCGGCCTGACTCGCCTCGTCCGACTACACAATTCAGGTTGGATTCTTGGTCGGTGCTTTATTTCTTTTTTGTCCTATTTGGGTCTCGCATGGCGGTAACGGGACATTGCAGAAGTGTGTGACAGCTGGTGAGTATTGGCATTGTTGCCAGAGCGTGACAACGGTCCAACTGCAACAGGGCCCCCTGCTACTCGCCCCACCTCCATGTCGGCCAGACTCGTGTGAAGTTGTCGGCATTGCGCTGTGCAAAAAATGAAGCGACGGAGCACAACAGAACCTGCCATTGCAATGGGTGCAAATGCAATAATTCGGCCGTTACCTACCTAGGTAGGTACGGCTACCTGGGTAGGTAGGTATCACCAAAACATGCTTCCTCTTCAATGTTCTATCGAGTTACAACTCCCGAGGTCGGGTCGGGTACGTGTGTACATATCACGTGCATGCAACGGTATACCTAGGTAACACCTAGCTGCTCATCGCGGTCTATTGAAGATCCGATCTCCTTTTGCGGTCAGCCTGATCATCTAGCTTCTTGGTGGGAAACGTCGAGCCTGATCCTGATCGCGAAGGTCGTGTGGTGAACGTTATACGCTTGGCATTCTTGTCACCAGCGCTCTCGAACAGCAATCGTCGCGTACCCTCGTGGTAAGAGATCCAATAGCAACCCACGCATGTCAGGCCACACCCAGGACCGATAGGATGCTTCTAGCCGAGCCGTACGATGAGCCCTCAATAAGCAGAGTCACTTGCCATTGTCGTAAGTTTTAGTGGAGTGAACTGATCACACTGGCAGACACAAATTCTCGGGTCAGGCTGATTTGCTCCGTGCCATACTCAAGCCGGACGAAAAGAACATCGAGCCAATGCCCAAGCCTGGATAAGAGTAATCAAAGCCATGCCAGCACACTGCAACTCAGTAATCACCGCGATTGAACCTTTTGGCACTGCCTAAGGGCACTCAAACATATAACAGTATCGGTCTGAGGGAACCGCGGTGGGTTAGGTCATCTGAGAATTGAGTTTCGAGAGCACCCTGTTCAAGGTGCTTATGGCAAGCACAGTCTCAATAGCACCGGCGCGGCCCCGACCTCGTTCTGCAGCAAGACACAGACACAATGCATTGTCAGCTCCCTTTGTATAATAACCTCAGTATAGAGGCAACCGCAATGATGGGTCTTGACTTGAAACTGGGCTGACGATCCATCTGAAGCCCTAGTTTAGATCTCGACCTCTTCGGTTGCGCAATTTTACAAAAGCCTTTGTGGTCCATCTTACCGACATGTTAAGCCCTGCAAGACACCAATCATATTGCGCCGATGGATCGCCGCTCACCACTCGGATCTTCAGGAATGGGAGTTGGACCGATTGCTATGCCGCACGGTTGACTCGACACCAACCGACTCTGCACATATATGCCGATACTGGCATCGCCATTGACCGCCAGCCTGGGGCGGGATCGGTGCCATACCTCCGTTGGGCATCAAAGATTTGCGTTTCGGTGTGAAGTCACTCCGGCACAGAGTCGGACCTTAGGGCTTCACCCCCAAGACACCTGTTCTTTCCACCCGTGAACGCTACCAATAACACCGACAATGGGGCGACTTTGGATCTACCCCTCGTTCATCGCGCACGGGCATGGTTGACAGGAGGAGCAGACGTGCGTTTGTGCAATTTGACAGGCGACCACACGTCAAACACGCGCACACCATGATGAGATTATGTGAGGTTCTCAAGCGCTTAACATGTCATGCGTAGACCTTTCGTACTTTCAGTGCTCTTACTCTATATCGAGAGAGACCGGCAAGGCATCAGAATCTTCGACAAATTACCGTGGTCAATTTTACCGCCATACCCGCGCGCGCTTAAGTATCGCACATGCGCATTCCCCATACTCTTTTACACCAAACAGCGACTCTGCACAACAACCGCGCAACCTTCGTGCACCATATATCCACATACACGGTTGTTGCACGTCAAAGAGCACACATAGGCAGATTTTCCACGTCAGGACATACATTGGAGCATGCACTGTAAAGCGCTCTATACAATTCTATTAGTTGATGCGATCAAGCAAAGGGCGTACTTAGATGGCACGCACACTTCCCCATGAGAAACAGACTGAGCATCATCGACCTGACGTGCTGTTTGAGTAACACTAAATCACTGTTAACATGTGTGGCGAGCGATAATGAGTCTTCCACCAGAGATGCACGCTAAACCAGGCGACGACTCAATACTCTACGCCTTCTGCCTAAAACTCTCTCTTTACCATTAGTAGATCTATGTTCGATTCTCTAGGCGGCTGCTATACGATAATCATCTTCACAGTTGTGAGTGTTGCGCACATTCTTGCATGAAGTCCATACAGCTATGATCTATATTCATGCTAGTCCATCGTCGGAGGAGATAATCTTGAGATTGTCACAATCTGTGGCGCTCTAGTTGTTACTAATAAGGATCTTCACTGGTTTATAGACCTGATAGGCGACAGTAAGCTCCAGGTACGCGCGACTGGATGTTGAATCAGAAGCCAGCTCAAACACACTGGGCACTCTGTTCCTTTAGCCTCTAAGAACCTTTCGCAACATCTAACATACTCTACTTGCTTACAACCTAGCAACGTTCTGTAGGAGATTTATGGAGCTCAGGTTTGGCTGCGAGCTTGGAGCTCAATGAGTTGCTGGGCAACCAAGGGCAGGTTCGACTCTGAGCGTATGAGTATAGAAGCTGACGTAGCTAAAGTTGACTTATTGGTTAGGGGTATCAGCTCAGGTGCTGATTGTGCCCTTAGTAGATATAGAAGCGCAAGCTTTCCATACATATGCAGTAACTCTGTCAGCCCTGCCGCTCTTGCTGTCTGGTGCAGGTTGGAAAGAAAGAGCTGCTAACGCGCACCACAAACGAACTCGTCCTTGACTTTAATTGGGGCTTTTTCGCATACCTGTACATATTCTCATATGAGCATGCACATATCATCATGCATATGCAGGTCTTTAAAACCAAGTTGGTGGGTGAATCCTGCCTGGGGACCTACATATCGTCAACTTTATCCGCCGTTGGCGAGTATTTCAGTACAGATCCCAGAGAGCGAGTCATCCGCTATTATTGGGCAACAGAGAATACTTTGTTCCTCGTAGGATTTAGTTGGCTTAACGGTGGCGTGTGCTTTTCGAATCATCAACACATGCTCAATGGTGAGGTTGAGGAGTCGCAACGAAGCCGCTTGGCTTGGCATGACGCCGCCCCACCCCCCGCTGCCTAGAGCTCCAGCTCCAATCAACTCCGCAACGCCGACAACTCACCACCACAACCATGGCGTCGAATATTGAGCAGTCACAATTCTTCCAGCAACGGAGAGCTAAGGAAGAACTGATAGTGAAGGGTCTGTATTGTACACCCTAGTGATCGCGTTTGCTGATTTCGGTAGATCCTCCCAAGTTCGATCTTGAATCATACATTGCCAATTATGCTGGTACGAACTATTGCTCTTCTAAGTTTCTCTACAACAATTCTCTAACGTTGACTCAGGTCACACGCGAATCGACCGACTCCATCACATCGGCTCTCATTCGCCCTACCTCGCTCTCGATGCGTATCGCCTAGCGATCACAGAGGCAAAGCAGGGCAAGAACGTCAATCTTTACCTACAGCTGGTAGGGGACGTTAGCGGGATTGCGCCTCAAGACCCCGCGGCTTTGACGGACACATCATGGGCAGAGAAGAAGACACAAGAGAACCAGCGGGAGCAGGACAGATTGGAACACGAGCTAAAATCGTACAAGAACAACCTAATCAAGGAGTCTATTAGGGTATGAACACGCGATGATCGCTCGTATGTGGCTTGCACACTAACAAGGCTACAGATGGGCAACGAAGACCTCGGCCACTTCTTCTACGCTGTCGGTGACAACAGCAATTCGCACAAGTCTTACATGAAGATGCGCGAAAGCTGCACCTCGAACAAGCACCTCGCCGATATGACGCTTCGTCTCGTATACGTCAGCGTTGCCCAAAAATCTTGGTTGACAGTACAGTCCAACCTTGCAAAGGTGGATGCAGCACAACTGAAGGGCGAGGATAAGACCAAGCTTGAACCTATTGTGTCAGCTTGCACAGGCCTAGCACATATGTGCACTGGCAATTTCAAGGAAGCTGCAACAAACTTTCTGGGGACATCACCTGCTTTCCTGACGACCGACCCTGCTGCTGGTATCACATGGCAGAAGGAGGTACTCTCGGGCAACGATGTGGCAGTCTATGGTGGTCTTTGCGCGCTCGCATCAATGGATCGTAGCGAGTTGCAGGCGAAGGTGCTCGGCAACAGCGAGTTCAGGAATTTCCTCGAGCTCGAACCTCACATCCGCCAAGCCATCAACCTCTTCTGCAATTCCAAGTACAGCGCGTGTCTCGACGTCCTCGAAGGCTATCGCAGCGACTACTATCTCGATCTGTACCTGTCTAAGGTGCTCAATACCATCTACAGCCGTATCCGAACCAAGAGCATCGTCCAGTACTTCATACCCTTCAGTTGCGTCACCCTTGACGAGATGTCTTCAAAGTTCCCTGTTGCAGAGAGCGTTACGATCGAAGAAGAATTAGAGCGAATGATCAATGATAAGACACTCGAGGCACGAATAGACCTCGTCGACCGGCTCCTGATCTCACCACCGACAAACCCTCGCCACGATGTCCACGCCGATGCTCTGAAGATGGCAGAGATGTACGACCTCACACTCAGGCTGCGCCTGACACGCTTGAACATGCAAGCTGCGGGCATGGAGATCAAGGCAGATAAAGGCGCGAACGAAAAGATGAATGCTGGTATGGGCGAACGTATGAATGAAGGTTTAAGGGGCTTGGGCTCAAAGTTGGGCTATTCATAGGAGGAAGGCCCACCTTCGGAGCCTAAGAAAGCATCTGGCGAATTCGGATGTCGCATCAGTTGAAGGCCATGATCGACGGAAAATAACCTCCATTTCATCCATTGAGCATCTCGATGATCAACGAGCATTCCAGGCGTTAGGCGTTCCATGGTAAGGTGTAGAAGGCGAAGATTAGCAACGGAAATTGCGAGCATGAGGAATGATTACATGACAACGAGAGACGAGGTACGACCGGGGCGATGACTTGAACATGTTACAATTGCCCATATCCGAGACGCATTACCAACAAGCTCGCTATCCAGTTTACCTTAATCAGCATCTGGTCCGCATTTGGTGATTACGGTAGCACAGAGCCATGTCGAGGTAGTACTATGTCTACCGCGCTGCTGAGAATACACCAAGTGATGACTCCTAGATTCATAGGAATGCAGTTTCTCCGCCCCCTTTTCTATCTTTCCAGAGGATAGGCCTACCCGTGGCCAAGTACTCGGACGCAACGCGCGAGTCCAACTAAGGTCCTAGCAGTACTGTATCGTTGATTCAGAATCGCAGTAAGCAACATAGGCTCAAAGAATCCACCCCGATGCCCTCATCAAGTGAGAGCTGGTCCTTAGGTACAAGAGTGATACTGCCTGGGTCGCATGTATGTCTTGCTCTCTGCTGCGCTGCAATAAGGCTGTGAGGTATGGAATGATTATGAGTAGACGCTTGGAAGAGGACAAGATGGATATGTCTGCATGTCTGATGATACTTTCGGTGTCCGCTTCCACAACGTGACTATATGGGCTTTTAAATTCGGCGCATTGAAGTGCGAAGAGGGTCAGCACGACAGGGTCACACTATTACCATCAAATCACCTCCTATGGATGTGATACGTGAGGGCCTCACGGTCGATAGGTTGAATAGGTCCTGTTCTAATCTCTTGCGCTAGTCGACGTGTTCGGAGCAGAGCCTCTTTATTTCTATCGACTGAGAAGACTATAAAGAATGGATATCATAAAACTGCAACCATCCCACATACCTACTGAAACATGACGTAACAACAATCCCTCTGAACTAGTTGGGAATTGCAAGCTGACAGATACTTAGCTTACGTCTAAGTATTGTAGGCAGTAGCTTTTCCGGTCACAAGAAGGAACGAGTGTCAAAGTGCCACGACTATCAAGATGATCCACGACGATCCTCAGCGTTTCGAGGCGTGACCTAGCCAATCTTCCCAGTGACTCTTCCAGTCCGGCAATCTCAAGCAGACCAAGCTCACAATGCTCAATTTGGCGACATTCCCCGAACAATATATATACAACAGGTTCAGTGGGAACTATCGAGATTGGCGCCGGATTTTCGGAGGACAATGCCTCCTCTGCGAAGTATCTTGGGTATCATGTTAACAAATTCAAGTTCTCAATGATTCCCAGTATGTGAAGACGCTGAGGCAACCACCTGGCCCTGAATGAGTGTGGCTGAGGGCATCGCATAAGATCGAACTCAGAAGCCTTCCGTAGTGAAAGGTGGCAGATCCTGGACATACTTAATCGTCGACAATGGTGCTGTCAATTTGCTGAAAAGAGCAGGGCGCCTTTCTCCAAGAACATCTCCCAAGATCGCTCCCGTACAGGAGAAGGTGGTATGAGGTTCTGCTACGGCCGGACCGTACTAAACCGTGTCTAACATCTGTATAAGAAGGTTGCTAACCACTAAGTAAAGGAGTACAGAGGAAGATTCAGTCTCCAGGTATTTGGAAATATGATTCTGATTTGACTAGTTTATCTCGAGAAATGTGGTTATTCTGATGCACGTGTCATATGCAGCGTGACTGGTAGCGAATTCGATGTAGCGAAGATACGTTCAGTAACTATGCGATACCTCTTTGGGATCTCAGACATCGCGTTCAGCACGTCGTGATTGTAAAACGTGAGGATGCAATAGTTGAGTTCAGTAGGCAACTCTCCGAGCGACTTTGCGGTGGTGGAGGATCGAGTCAAGAGTCGGTGCGTAATGTTGCCTTGGGGCAGCGGTGACAACCAAGGGAAGGAGCAGAAGTGAAGGATTAATGTGGCGCGCACGTCATGCCTGCTGGTTCGGCTTTCTTACACACAAGTCACACCCACCTCCAAGCTTCCGCGTAACGACTGAACGAACACATCACTGGCTAACGTACGTTTAAGGACTTGTGGCTCCTCCGATCAGTAAGACATTTGGTGCTACGCTCGCCATACCTGGTAACAACAAACTGCATTTTAGCAGAAGAGACGACCGTGCAGTGAACGAACGCAGTCATCAGCTACTGGAAGGTCTCCAAAATCTCATCGGATGGACTCTATGCAGTGCATCACTCCATAAAATCTCTCCTTCCTTAGAGTTACTCGGCCCCCATCCTCCCAAGGGCGCAATACAGGCCTAGCTATACAGGTTATACAAGAAAGCAAACTGATGGGTATAATGCGATGCTGTTTAACGCCGAACATGACCTTGGTTAGTCTTATCGGAAAACATTAGATCCGCGCGCCGCACCCCATTGATCTTGCTGCTGCTGCTGCTGTTGTTGTTGTTGTTGTTGTTGTTGTTGTTGTTGTTGTTGTTGTTGTTGTTGTTGTTGTTGTTGTTGTTGTTGTTGTTGTTGTTGTTGTTGTTGTTGTTGTTGCGCGCTCTGGTATCCATAATACGTTGGCGGCCAATTGAGATCGTTTCGACCGACGCTCCCATACAACCCGCTAGTATCAACAGACCCGCCGCTGGCAAGGTTTGCGCCGCTGTGCATTTGACCTTGCTGTTGTGTTTGCCCAAGTCCAGTAGACGACGATAATGCATTTTGATTAGATAACGCATTCTGTGCAGACTGTGAGGTCATGGGGCCCTGTGTCATGGAGCGATTCAGCGCGCTGTAGGGTTGATGGTTTGCAGCTGTGAAGAAGCTCTGTTGGGCGTGGATAGGCAGCTGTGCAGCTTGGAGCTGCTGTTGTGCTGTCTGCGAGAGTTGCTGTGGGCTTTGCAGTCGCTGCTGCTGCTGCTGCTGCTGTACTGGCTGGCCATCCAAATTGTAAGCTATCTGTTGGGGGCTGTTGCGACGCTGAGGGTTTTGATTAAGCTGTTGGAGCTGTTGACGATGGTTTTGGGCCACCTGCTGACGCTGCTGATGTTGGTGCTGATGTTGGTGCTGTTTGCTTTGTTTTTGCTGTTGTTGTTGCTGCTGCTGCTGCTGCTGCTGCGATTGCTGTACAAACGTTTGTAAATGTGCTTGGGTTATTGAGGGGCGCTGCTGAACTTGAGTGTGTGGTTGAGGTTGCGGTTGCTGCTGCGATTGCTGTTGTGATTGTGGACGTATGGCTGTTTGCGGAGTTGGTACAGGCGTCGTAGATGCTCGTTTTTCATGTTCTAACTGCTGTATACGTGCTTTTGCGTCTTCAAGTTCCCTCTTCATCTTCTCCAATTCGGACAGCTCATTACTAGGGGCGGGTGCCTGGTGCACGGGTTCACTCGCGGCCATTGAGTATGGTCGACCCTCGCTGGAAAGAGGGTCTGAGTAGAAACACTCTCGCTTCTTGTCGAAACAAGTCTGGCAAATCGGGCGGACGCCATCGCACTGGTGGCTTGTCAGTTGCCAGAACAGTCTTGGAAGACGTCAACAGTATGCATACCTTTGTCTTCTTGGTCTTGCAGACGTCACAACTGACTCTGGGCCGTTTGCGCTGCTGTTGCTGCGGAGTCGGCTGGCTCCGAGGCGGCTGGCTGGGCGATTGTAGCACGGGAATGGGTTGCTGAGCCGGCTCAGACTCAAGGGCGGGTGGTTTCGGTGGCAGAGAAGGGTCGTCTCGGATCAGCAGCAACAGCGACTGCAGACTTTGTGCCCTCAAATCGCTTTCAAGCGACGTGTTCGACGCCCTGGGGGGGTCTGACTTCATCGCTTTCTTCTTCTTCGGTCTAGGCATGGGCTCAACGCTTTCCTCCTTCGGTCGATTGACCAACCTCGCCAGGGCGTCAGGATCGTGCTCCTCCAGAAACTTCCGCCGCTTCGAGTCCTTGCGCGGCGGGGGCGCGCGCTCTTCGTAGGTCTTGTGCACAGGCAAGTGCTTGTAGAAGACGTCCAGCGTCTCCTTTGTCGCCGAGAACTTGATGGACAAGACACCCTTGCAGTCGTAGACGGGCTTCGTTGCACGCTTGCCCAACTTCGCGCCCTTGCCATTCGCAGCGCGGTCCTTGTTGAGCAGCGAGTCGTTGCAGTAGTACGAGAAGCGGAAGCTGTCGTCCTCTCTGCTGTTCCAGCAATTGTGGAAGCTATACCGATAGCCGTCTATCCGCTGCACGGCGTCGACGCAGCACTTGGCGATGGCGCGCTGCTTGCGCATCTTGTCCTTCGGGTCTCCGGTCGGCTGCAGCGCCTCCATAATGCTCAGACTGACCTTGTGCTCAGGCCTCTTGGTGGCAGCGCCATTGTCCGTGGGGACGGCTGGCTGCTGGAACTCAGGAAGTGGCATAGCAACCGCGGGGCCTGCCACCGCCTGGTACGAGTGCGAAGTCCCGCCATACTGGGCTTGGAAGCCATTCGCAGGCTGGTAGCCTGGGGGCGGGGGCGCGTGCGCGTGCGCGGCGAGGTGTGGTTGCTGCTGCTGCGGCGGCGGCGGCGGGAGCGGCGACTGCGCCAACACCATGAAGCTGGTGCCAATCCAGAACGACAGCTGCGCTTCGGTGTGCTCGGGTTGCTCGGGCGGGGTACTCAGGTACTCGCGCAGGGCCGTCTTGAACTCGTCCATGGACGAGACATGGTGCGTGATAACCTTGGCCTGCGCGTCGCGTGGTTGGCGCCCGCGGGCGAGCTGCACAGGCGTGGCCGGCCAGAGGGCAGCACTGTCGTCGCTGGCCGCATTGCTGAAGGCCTGCCCGGGGTCGCTGCTGGGTCCGTAGGCGCTCACACTTGTGGTCTGCGCGTGAGCGTCACTGGAGTCCATCGCAAGTGGGGACGGACCACGATCCCAGCTGTATTAGAGAGGATGAGGTAGTAGCTGTAATGATACCTGGGTTTTGCGGCCTTGAACTTGGAGTTAAGCATTATGTAATGCTCCGAAGCCCCACAGTCCCCCGCCTGTCACCACCAGCGTTGCGGGTCAAACACGACAGACGAGAACCAAAGCGGACTCTCACGGCTGGCTGATGCGTGCGCATGGCGGCGCTCGCACGCGCTGAGCAATTGCTGTTATCGTCGTGCATGTCCCCAGTACACAGCCCTCTGACGTCGGGCGCCTTTGACCTCCAATTGCTTCGTTTGTGGCCAGAGCAGTGAGGACTGCAGGCAAGCACCCATCAGAGAAGGCAGTCACGCATCAGAGCTACCTCTAACGAGTACGGCTCGCAGGAGATGCAAGGCTAAACTGCCACAGTGCGCTGCAGGGACTGCATGTACCATACATATCCTGGTTTCCAATACAATGAATCCTGCGTACGGATTGACAGCTAATATTAGCTCTTCCGTGTGTTTTCTCGGATCAGCACTAGGATTTTCATGTCGTACTAGGCAACCCTGCGCAAATGAGTTGATGATCGCACACGGAATGCTGGCTGTCTATTTCCAGGCTATAGGGTCCCCTGTCGTATTGAAGTTCCACGTATTGTGGAGGCGATCAGCGACTCTGATGTCACTTCTCCGGGGTGCAAAGATGATCCTCGGCGACTTCACGACTTGGCTTGCCTTCGCCATCACACACAGTCAGACATCACGAAAGCGCGTGCCTTGCAGGCCAGCGTCAGCCGGAGAGCGGGTTGCAAAGCCATTGCCGTGGCGCCGGGAGACCCACTGCGCAGGTACAACACAGGCGGAATACAAATTGCCTGCGCTGCATCTTACGAGTCAAACATGGAGTGATTGACACATTGTGTAACATAATTATGGACAAGCCAAAGAATTGTAATGAGGTTATATAATTCAGCTCAGATTGTTGTATGTAGGTGCACAGCACTATTACCAATCCATCGACATTGAAACCAAGTGCGAGCACGCTCAAGCGCCATCAAACCCGGACCATAGGTAGTGGTATCGATCCAACAAGCAAGCGCAGAAGAAGAAGAGCCCATATTTCCAACAAGAAGTAGTAGTACAACTTGTACAATGTCATCGTCGTGTCAATATACGGCCGCCGGCCAGCGACCACGATTTTTGTGTCCTCCCGCTATCATGTCCATGATTAACAAAGGAAATTCGTAAAACTGATGGATAAGATCAGAAGACGTACTCGCCCAAGTTCCTCATGTTGTCGGGCACCCAAGGTCCCCTCTCTTCTTGTGTTGCGCCGTGCAGCGCATCAGCGCGCTTCATGGTTTGCACATCGAGGTCGGTCACGTAGTCTTTGCCGTTAGGCAGCTTCATACGGACCTCGAACTCTGAGTCGAGCATCATGTCGTCCTTCCACAGCCGCCTTGGGCCGTCGTAAACACACATGACACGCTTCTTCATCTTCATCTTCTCCGTGGGGCAGCCCCATGCAAGAGGGTAGTTCTTGCGCTTCTTGCGGCCAGAGGAGGTGACTGCGACACCGCCCTTGGAGAAGGTAAGACCTGCTCGCGGACCACGGGCAAGCTTCGTGACTTTGGAGGGGTTGCCACCCCCGACGTGCTGCGACGCGCCGACACCTCGGGGATGTGTTGATTGTCAATTTGAGTTGGACTTCTTGATGCTGCCCTTACCGGAGCGCGACTTGCGGCTGCCGTATGTAGCATCGTCCTGGTCATCGTTGTCAAACTCATCCTCTAGCTCATCATCGTCGTCGTCATCGTTGTAGTTGGGGACTGTGTACTCGATGCTCTTCGAGAGTCCGTTGCGATCCAAAGTGTCGGTGACATCCTTGTCCTCGGCAACAGAAGTCAGGAGGCGCTGGTTGATGGCTTCGCAGGGGTCAGCCTGTTGTACAACGCGCAGCACGCAGTCGTCCAAGTGCTCGTAGAATTCTTGCGCGTTGGCAAAAGTGACCGAGCAGGTTGAGCAGGTACCAGCGACTTGTGGGCAGTAAGCCTTGCGTGCACCGCTGGGGCTCTTCTTTCGGCTGTTGGGAGGGTTTTGCTCGACACCATGAACTGAAGTTAGATGCCTCTTGAAGACATCAGCGCGGTTAAAGCTTTTCTCCGCTGCTGATCCACTGCCAGGACAGAAGCCGCACACCATGGTGCCTTTATAGTGGGTGAGTGTGTGCCTGTTCTTGTCGTACTTCCTTGCAAAGCCCTTGACGTGGTACTCGCAAGTGGTGATAGGGCACTTCTCAGGGCGCTCATTCTGATGTGTGAGCATATGGGCCTTCAGGTCTTTGAAGACGCGTCCGCACTCCGGTAGTGGACACATGCCCTTCTCCCTTGTCTCGTCGTCAAGCTCAAAGCTGCTTCCACTGCCACTGCGCCGGCTTGTGTTTGAATGGTGAGAGTGGTGCGATGCGACAGAGCCGCGCCTTTGGTAAGGGTGGAAATGTGTTTGGAGGAAGGGTGACGCGCTGCCTTGTTTGATACGTGGGCGAGGGCCTTGTACTGAATGTTGCGACAATGCTGGCGAAGCAGGCTGCTCAACGATGGGGAAGTACTCTGAGTGTGATGTTCGAATCTCAGGGTATGGGCTATGGGGAGCGAATGCAAAAGGCTGGATTACGTTTGGGTCTGTGAATACCGTGTTAGCTTTTGCACTTATGGAGAGAACTACTGGGAAACGAACTAGAAAACTCTGAAAATGGTAGACGACTGAAAGCCTTTGAGAAAAGTGGAGAGGAAGCAGCTGGAGAAGTAGGGGACATGGCGGGAACATCGCGAAGATAACCTCCATTGGAGAAAGTGGAACATTTGCGCATGCCAAGTTTGGAAGAAGACAAACTTGCTGAGGCAGGAGTGGTCGGCGTCTTGAAAGTGATGCACGAGACATTGGAAGAAGAGGATGTGATAGATGTAGTTGCTGCAGAAGAAACCATTGACTCACCAACGAAGGTCTTCTCATTTGCAACAATGGTTGGGTACTCGAAAGTAGAGGTCATCATAGCCATGGGATTCCAAGAATCCATCTCAAACTGAGGAGTGACCGAAGGAGAGCCTAGAGCAGAGGATGATGCCGAGGCTCCGGATTCGGAGGAGGCTGAGAGGACCGGAGGGTGATCTTGGAACGAGTTGAAGGTTGAGTGCGGTGAGGCAGAGGGAGTGTGATAGTTGTACTGTTGGGCAAACTTGTGTTCCTGCGCCATTTGGTCATAGGAATATTGTGGTCGTGGTGCTTCGACCAAGGGCAGCATGTGCTCGTATGGTGCACTAAACGATGGCTCCATACCGTATGTTGACGAGGAGAGGAAAGGCTGTGTGGTTGGAAGGTACTGTAATTGCTGCTCTTGTTCCTGAGAGTAGAGCTCAAAGTCGTGATGCATTGTTGGGGGATATGCGTAATCAACCATGATGGCTGATATTGGTGAGATAGCTACAGAGAGAGAAGACAAAGTTGCACACGCTGCTCATATGCTTTTCTAGGCTTCGAGTCAGTATATGTTAAGCAGACGTGAGCGGGCCGGGGCCGATCGATGGATAAGCAGTGTTTGGCCCACTAGCGTGTCTTGAGGCAAGCGTGGCAGGGGAAGCTTACCAGCTCTGAGATGAGGGACCGCAGGCAGCCACGAAAACCTACTTCGGGTGGACGACAATCGAATTCCGCCAGTTACTGTAGATCAGTTGCTAGATCGGGGTGATGGGCGACGGCGCGTTGCGGTTCCGAGATTCAGTCCTCTTGAGCGTCTAGAGTGTGGAAGACAAGCCACAAGCGAGAAGAGCGAGATGCTGGATGGTAAAGCCAGGATGTAAGAGAGGCCAGAAGCGGTGGTCTTTGTGCTGATCGGGAGGCCTGGAACTGAAGACGGTGCCTGGGGGGCGAAGTGAGGTTTATACATAAGGCCGCAGACACAATCACTGCTGGCGGACAGTGCACAAAGCCACCGTGAACCCCTGCCCTCTGCCCTACAGAAGCGGGCCCATGGCATGAGGTGGCAGATTGGGAACGGTAAGTCACGCTAGGAGAAATAAGAAAAGGTCGAAGCATACCGTCCGCCATCGTCCACGTCCCCGCCCTCGATCGCGCGCCCCGACCGCTTCGTGGGACGACAAGCCTGCGTGGATTGCGGTGAAGCCGGGTGGTCAAAGACACCCCTGCAGCCCACCAAGGGCCACTCTATGCCCAATGCGAGCACCACAAGCGCACGCCAACGAGTGAGGGCGCAGCAGTACGAAGTGCCCATGCTCGTTCTGGCGAGGGTAAGCGGTTTAGGGAGTGCTTTCAGACGATATGCACGCTAGACCACCGCTTTTGTCGGGAAGTCATCAACATACCCATGCTCGCACCATGGACATGGGTCCGCCAGCCATTTGATTCGCGAGGGTTCGCTTTGGCCGGACCGCCCTGCGGGACCTCGTGGCTGGTGAGCGGCTGTGCAGCACAAAATGACGTCTTATTGGACATTAGACGGGTCTAAAATTAAGACCATTTCCCGGATACAGCTTGGTGCAGCTGCTAAGCGAAAGCCCCTCTTAGGCTTTGGGTCATCAAGGCGCAGTCACTGCTGCTCAGCGAGGAGCCTCACCGCCGTGAATCTCATCATCGGTTTTACTATGCAGCGTCATATCGCAGAACATTCTTCGTAGGTAAATGAGGTCATATTCTCTCGACCATCGCCGGCCTCTGGGTGTACCGCAAAGCTCCAAGGCTGCTAGATGAAGCATATGCCTACTGCATGCACTACGATTGTGGAAATGGCTGCGCCATCCTTTAAGCGTATCGCTTCATCGTGCCAATCGCTTCAAGCCGCACCCTTTGGCTGCACCCGCAAGCTTTCGACCCTCTACTATCGAAACGATTGCCTACTGTACAACCGTCCTCCTCGGAAGCCATGAATAGGAGAGGCACTGCATGTACTTGCCGTCTTTGAGATGTGTGATCGATGGCTCGTCGATGGAGATCCGGAATTGGCACCCCGTGTCCGTGTTGCTGTCATCCCCAGAAAGCTCTGTGCACTCCCTATGGTCCCTGGATCTGTGTGGCCCGATAATATGGATAAAGTTGTGGGACTGGCGTGAACTGCAGATGGAAGTCGCTGTGCTGGGTCTCGTGGTCCCATCCCTAATCCCCATTGAGCAGATAGACCTGCAGTGCAGCATCAGTGGCCGCCCGCATCGATATTGACTGTGTCACAATTCTCTGAAGGAATGTAACAGTCTCCTAATCGTGGTTCGGGATGGATTGACGCCGTCTGATCAGGTTCCTTGGTCTGCCGCCGTGTGCGACCCATAAACGTAACGGTCATCCGTTCACGTGGTGAAGGGTTCATCGCTTTGGCACTTGCGGGGGCTTCCCTCCAACAGCTGGTTCGTCTATCTCCTCAGGTGAACTATATTAGGTGCAGAGGTCGACAACGCTGTTCTCGGTCCCATACTTCGGACGGTCGCGAATGCGAGCCTTGCCATCCTCATGCCAAAATCGAAACCTTGGCCGGTTTTGATCTAGCACATCTCTTTGTTGCTATTCTAACTGATGGTAGAAATGTGACAATGTAAACCCGTCCGGTGTCTTGTAGTCATCTAAAGTCCTTGACGCGAGAACTTTATCGACACACAATGGATGGACAGCTACAGCGTGCCCACTTTCCTTGACATACAGGAACCGAAACTCCAAAATAGCATTTACAACAGGAAGACCTCATAATACATCTCCCACAGCGTAGCACCGCCACATGTGTTGTGTTGTCCAAGCGCCATGCATGCCTGGGTACGTATTGTATCTCAACGAATCGTGGAGCCATAGAGGCTTACTCATGAACGTGCTTGTCTTTGTAGTCGACGTATGGAGTTAGATCGCTCGACAATGCGTCATGGTCAATGAGGGTGAGTCTGGACGTCTTGGTCACTGGCATGACCCTGTCGCTCGCGGGAAACCATCACGTAGGGGGCCGGCATGAGCGCGCTAGCCCAAAACGCCCATGTTTCGCGAACATCCATGTTTGCTGCACTGTGTAATGGGGGCCATCAAATCAATGTGTAACAGTATCTGAACCAACCCGGGAGTGGGTGTTGAGGGACGCGAAAAGAGATGTTGGTTCTCCGCGCACGGGGTGAGGAGGATTATTGACTTTGGGTACCTATCTGACATCGTATGAGATGCGAACATCAAAGTGGTCTGACCGTTGGTGCAGTATCCTGACGACAGATTAAGCGACACGGAGCCTCTGACTTGCGATGTTCGAATGTGTAATTGATGCCGCATCTGAGACATGTCCACGGTCAGTCATCACATGGTGTCATTTCGACTACGCACATCTCCTGCATTTCACAGGCCCAAGCTCAAGTGTTTTGCTGGCATCTATATTGGATCAGTTCGCTAGACCTTGAATGAGGTTGGCTACAGTGCGCTTACGCGTGGGGCAATTGACAACAGTGTATGATCACGGAGTTGTTTTCACTTCTGGAAGGCTGCACGAATCAGAGCGCAACGTCACGTCGGGTGCAGAGTGCAGGGACGATGAAAGCCACGTTGACGGGTGATCAGCACATAAGGCTTCCCTATGATGCCCCGATGCTCTGGAACCCCCATCTCTCATGTTGCAGCACCTAGGTAATCACGGAACGCAAGTATCTGTCGCTTATGCCAGTGAGTCGGTAGAGCTGTATTACCTGTCGCTGTTCGCTGTTCGCTGTTCGTAACGAAACCAATAGTGCTGTGCTCCCGGTGCACGGCCTACCTATCTTGTGCGAGCATTTTGAGCCTCCGAAGGTCGCAGTGCTGGGCTTCCTGCCCAATCCTACGGACTCACGACAGGACTGCTCAAATCTAGCTCCGTGGCCGTTTTGAGTCAACGTGCGCCCTGAAGAAGACTATCTTACCGTTGATTTCGGGTTAACCGCGTGGGAATACGAGATGGTGTGCTAGTCTGCACTATGGCGTCGACGCCTCGGCCTCGCCTGTGCAAAGGCCCCCCCACAAGCCGGCGCCATGGGTCGTGCGTACACCGACCCAGTGGATTTAGCGTTCCCAGAGAAATCCTTCCCGCGAATTCCCAAACAACACTTTCCCGTGTTCGGACGGGAATTAGCGGGCCGAATCTTGAGTGTGCCGCCAAAGAACGCAATAAGTCCTGACTTGTTGACCAGGATGCCGTTCGTCCAATGCATACCTCAGACGACGAATGGACTGATCTCCGCAAGCAGAGCCTCATGCCTCCTGCACTCGAGCGGTCAAGCGCCATCGGTAGGGCCAGCATGGCTGGCGTACCTGATCTGTTTCCGTTGGGTTGAACTCGTAGAATAAGCAATCAAAGTTTGTTCGAATGCTTGCATGTGGTGTCAGTGTTCTGCCAATCATTCCAGTTGTTGTGAAGTCCGTAGGGAGAACATGGGTACTTACTGGTAGACTTGACCTCTCCCGAGCCGTAGAGGTGCCTCACACGCAAGCGGACCGCCAATCGCGCCGACTGCACACAAAGCGAATCATGAGCGCAATCTTGGTCTTTCGGTTTCCTTGTGTCAGGGCCATGGAACATGTGCAAAAGAATGCAGCGGTAACTTCCGGTGGTCCATAAGGACCGACAGTTTTGTGTTCGCAAAAACCCTGTCAGGAAAAGCAACTAGCAATCGGGACCGTGCCGAAAGATCTTGTAAGCCCTGTGACAGCCAGGCGATTCAAGCTTCACGCGAGATGTCATTACTGGACAAGTTTGGCTGCCATGTTGGATTGCTTGGCATGTGCTGTGCGTGAGGGGGCGGGCGTTCTACTGGATCGAGACCACTCTTCGCCAACCCCAGTCCCGTGGGCCTGGTCGAGCCAAAAGACGACATGACTTGCCCGTTTGCGTGTAGACAGTCAAGTGCTTTGATGCCCAGTGAGGGGTGAAAACACTGAAGTGAGATGCAATGCATGCTGTCCCGTGTTATTGCATCTCAGAACTGAGGTTATTGGCCTGTTGGTCGGCGACGCAACCCTGACGGGATGATCACGTCTGTGCGCTGTATCTATGCCTGTTGTTCTGTTCGAGATTGGCGCTGCTAAGGATCGTCAATTGAGGGGCCGAAGACTGGCCCGGCAGCCTATCGCGTTTGTTACCTTGTCATCTCCGACCGACCGCGGCGTCGTTTACATCGTGACCACCGCGCGATGAGAGAGGACGCGAAGAGAGACAAATACAACGAGTAGAGTTATGTGGTGAATTTGATCAACCAGAGATTCGGGTGCGTCCGCGCCTTCAGCCTCTCGGAGATCGTGACGAAAGAGGAAGGATCCCCACTGCACTTTCAACGGGAGTCTTCAGCTTGAACCTTTAACTCGACGACAGACCTACTGTTTACGTCAGGAGATTATTTCAGGTGGATCTAGATTGGTTGTTCATAAGAAGCACTCGAGATTGTAGTACAGAATGGCCACAGATGGGTGGATGAGGCCGAGAGTGAAGACCAAGGTGTGCTATGTTTTTGTCTGATGTCCTCACTGAAATGTGTTCCTGAAGCAGTAACATCATCCCAGTGATTGCTGGGAAAGCTCCACGATACCAGGTAAACAGCTCGAAGAGGGGTCGGTGCCAAGAGAGAGTCATAAATCGAGACGTGCCGACTATACCTAGGTACGCTCTCGTGCATAAGAAAAGCGTGACATACAGGCAATTCTTTGAGCATTCAACAATACCTTGGCGCCCAACAGCCATCACTCATACGGCAACGCAGCAATTCCCTGTGTAAGTGATGTGTGAGGAAATTCACTTCCACAAACTTCCCACAATTTTCCCACAAAAGGTGATAGGCGATTATCTTGCTTGCAAAATGCAGCCATTCTGGCCCCAGTATTTCAGCGACCTCAGTTACATCCTGCGACTCACTTCATCTGTTGTACACAGAAGGGAAGGTACCGTATAGCGCTTCAGACCAGGAGACCTTTCGAAAATCGTCTCGATCACAACACACGTCAATGCACACCCAGCCTGCGAACATTTGAGAACACGTCGGATTGGTTAGCATCAGTATTTCATGTCAATATTTAAGGAATGCTATATCTATGCTGTAAGTTCCACAAAGATTGTTAATTGGTGGGCTGACACCCTTTTACTCAGACGGGATGACCTTGTTGTACGCTTGAGCTCACTTTACTCCACCAGTGGGTAGCGCGATGTTCTCGCATACCAAGCCTACATCTTGGAAGGCATCATGTGCATAGTACTGAGAACTACTGTCAACCGATGTTATACCCCTGCGCTACTACGGTGCTAGTTCAAGCCTGAAAGGCATTCTAGTGCTTGTTTTGCAGGGTGTGTTTGATAATCTCGTGGCCATGATACTTACACTCTTAGTACATATGGAAAGCACAGAAAGTAGGGAAATTGATTGGGCAGATTCCAATGTTGTTGTAGGATTAACTTCAAACGCCATGTTTGATTGGAATATTTGACAATGTACAGAGTAATATGTGCTGGGGTATATCTTAACTGGATTGTATCCACATTTTTCCACATCAAATACAATTCTTCTCTTCCCAATTAACACTTAGCATGGTTTGAATTCATCTCAAAGTTTGTTTCAGAATGAGTGTGTGTAAATACACGAGTTTACCACTTCTTCCGCAGGTTCTTGTCATGCAGTAAGCGACTACTGAGCATGAATAAGGACCCAATCGTGATCGCGGTGCCCTGTCAACTATTAGTTTTTGAAAAGCGCCATAACTCAAATGCACTGACCGAGAAGACGATCAACCACCAGTATCCTTCCCTCTTATCGTCAGTGGTGATGAGCGCACTGCCTATCGGTGTCCCGACTAAACTGGCAATAGCAACAACGCTGTAAAAGGCACCGACTCGTGCCCCCAAGTTCTCATCAGGCGTGATCTGTCCGACCACTGATGGCAATAGAGCTGTAAAAATGCCCGTGCCGAAGCCGTAGAGGCAAACAAAGAGCACAGTCGCGGCGAGAGAGTCGATGAGGAGCCAGATGAAGATGCATATACAACCCGTGAACATGACGATAGGCCAAAGAAGATTTAAGCGACCCAAATGATCGCCGAGAAACCCTCCACTACGGCGATTTAGTATGTGAAGTATGCAATTTCGTTCGGTGTGAACTCACAGCACTGCGCCTAGGATGCTACAGCCGTTCAAGACTGGGAGAAAGTACTCACTGACACTATTGCCTGGATAAGCAGCATTTGTGTACATCTCTGGTATGTGTGAGTGCGCATTGATAATCGTTCACGGTGCAGTACTTACTGATGTAATAGGAAGGAATCCATTGTCCGAGCTGCGCGAAGAAGCCTCCAACACAAAGGACAGCATAGCGTATATCAAAGAAGCCACGAAAGTCGATAAGTGAGCCACAGTCCCTGTGCTGGATTTTCCCAATTGGCTTGCTGGTCGAAATGGCTATCGCGACCAAGTAGATAACACTGAGGCAGTCAGACAATTTCTGTTGGTTGGTCAACCTTAACGACTCACGCGACCTTTAGTGCGGCTACGCGGAGCATCCATTGAAACCCCAAAAGTGGCAGGAGACTCTCGAACATGAGGGGAAACCCTATGCCACCTAACGCCGAGCCAGCGGCCACGAACCCCATTGCGACAGCTCGTTGTTGCTTGAAGTGCTGGCCCACAACGGTAAGTGCAGGCTGTGCCCCAAAGGCGGCAGCAAATCCCACTAGCAAACCTTGAACCAGAAACACTTGCCAGAAGCAACCGGGTTGTGCGAAAGACAGAATGAGCAAGCCTGCTGCTGTGCCACTACCTGCACCAGCGTATAGCCACTGTACCACGTTAGCGGCAGCTCTTGCGCAGTGCAGAACGTTGACACAGACTCTTACGCCATAGTGGTCACACAGTGCTCCAGAAACTGCTGCCAGTGAATTCATCAATGCAATTTGAAGCGTACCGATGAAGGCGATGGTCGAGGTTGGTGTGTTCTGAAGGAAGTCATGGCTGTAGTAGTTGTTGAAGAACCCAAAACTGTTCAACACTCCCATGGAGGCATAGTACACGAGGGCAGACCCAAGCACAGTCAGCCATGCAGCAACCCCACCCTCACGTTCTTCTTTGATGACGCATGCTTCGGATTCAGCCGTGCTGTCTGAGGCTCGACGCTCAACGCTGTCGTGGAACTTTTCGGGCATTGTGCAGACGATATGACGACTGTCGTGCTGGGAAGAAAGATAAAGCCCGCATTCCGGAAAGCGTCTTCCCTGTACATATACATGCCACTCGATTTCTCAGGACGACATGCATGCAGCAAACACAACAGCGCTGGCTCAGGGTCCGTTGACAATGTGATGTCGCTATGTCATCTGAGATACGCCGGAAGGAAAGGAAGGAGCCGGAATCTTGCATTTGACATAGCAAGACCATACCTGTCAAAGGGTGTTATGCTTTCCCCTGACAACGGTCGCAAATGCAATGAATCCGGTGAAGATCGACGTGAAGACGGCAAGATTGTGGACCCTGGAATGCGGACATGCTCGTATAGGGCTCTACCACCCATAGATGGAACGTCTTTACTCCAAAGAGCTTGAGGCTTCGCTGTAGCACAGCTTCGGGAAGCAAATTTGTTTGTAAAGCGGGTGTCTCCCGAGACCAGATCGATGGTCTCCTCGGCCAATTCTAAAGGCAAATCGTTTTAGTAGAAGGGTTGTAATATACGTCACTACTGCGTGGTATAAGGATATGAAACGATATCGGCTCAGTCTTTCCGTAAGGTTTGTGTTACATAGATTGTGCTGGTAATATTCGTCGAAACGGAATCGTTTTCATGATCCTCTACGCTCCCGGGCCGTATAGACAATAGCAAGGTCATTCCAGCATATCATCTGCCAGTGATCTGGCATCGGTGGACATCATGGTTGGGAGCCTACGATCGTGCATTCCAAATGTAGCAGTTGAACCGGGGAACCGGCCGACAAATTCCGTGTGACCGACCTACAATCAAGCGTTGAGCTGCTTGATATGATGAGTGAAGTAGTTTCCTCGTCGAAAAAATCGCACGCTTGCTGGATCGTTTTTAGGGCCTGCTGTCGTGTTACTAAGACTATCCGATGAGGAGTTGCTGTACTTTCGCACTGCTAGGCTTCATGATCTATCCTCACATGCCTTTGTGCTGTCCTGATATCACAAAGACTTTGGTAACGATTCGTATGTGACACTAGTTTCGGACCTAATGTGTATGCGCTTTAAGGACTGGTATCCTAATTTTCCCTGAAGAAGGGATTTTATCTTCCCTGAAATGTTGGAAAGTGATACGCTGTCTTCGCCAGCTGTGATAGTAGTTGTGAACGCACCTCTCCCACCCATGATGTTCCTCCAAAGCCTCGTTTCATCATCAATGGGGGGCTCCTCGAGACGGTCGTCGTACCAGTCCTGATAAATTGAGCTATCCTCAGAGTAAGTCGTTTCGTCATCGAAGCCGATGAAGCCGCGGCCCAGTCGAGATGCTTCGTCCGCGGAATGGCTGGGTAGTTGCAGCCTAGAGGTGGGGTCCGTAGGCCAGAAGGAGCGTGCAAAAAGGGGTTTCAGAGCAGGAGCGCATGCACAGACTATTGCCAGGTTTACTTCGGTGAAGCACCATTTAAACTGCTCCACTGCATCCCAAGTATAGTCTGTCGAAGCCATCAAGGGAGCTAGCATCACAGTGCGGCGAACAGCGACGGCACAAACACTGGGCTATCAGCAACTGTCCGAATAGCAAGAAAGGTCTCTAACTTACAAGCTACCGGTAGCGAAGACTAGACACACAGATATTTTCTGTCTGGGAGGCATATGGAGTGGTAGTACCACAGGGATTGGCAGGATCAGAACTAGCAAATCAATAACAATATTCAGGATCGAAAGAGCCATGTACTTGGTGTATTGGTCGAAGCAGTGAGCTTCGGGCGCAAGCCTCAAATCCCAACTTGCAGCAATTGGGTTGCACCCAAAAACGCAGGCTGTGATGTAGGCTGTTCCGTAGGCCACAACAACAGTAAGAAGTATGCGTACCAGTGAACGAAACCACTTCTGCGGTGCTAGACGGATATAGAAGAACAGGATCGAAACCTTCGTGAAAGCAAGACTGGATGCGTATAAAATTGTTCCTGCAAGTGTCCACTGCGCTGCAGTCAGTCAAACCGAAAAGGATCCGCGGAAGTTATGTGCACCTTCTGGAAGGGGGCCATGAAGTCATCAGCTGTAACGTCCCAGAGATGGTAGCCCAGGCCTGCACTCATGTCTGCAGTTCGCTTAGTAAAAGAGCGCCTCGAAACGCGTATGCACTACGTACGCGGAAAGTTTGAGCAAAGCAGAACAAGACTGCACAGCAGCGCACCAATGATCATGTCTAATTATGAAGAGTCAGTTCAAGGGCTGAGGCTCAAAAAATGCTATTCGCTAGTAGACGTACAGTCGTCAAGCTGGATACCGTTTCTGGTCACGCGCAGCCGCGTGAACAGCCGTAGAGCCACGGAGACAACCGCGAACAGTGTTGTTGATACGCCGACGAGTCTGAGGCCTTGGTGGAGGTTCGGCGGATTAATCGTATGTCGGTGATATCCCGGGGGCGGGTCAGCCATGTATTCGGAAGGGGTCATTGTGTCGGTTCCCAAGGATGATGCCGATGGTGTCCGGACTGGAAGTTCAGAGGTGAATCGATCACACATCTTCATGCGGGGCCGTCCAGTTTGTATACCAACACTATGCCTCTCCAAGAAGCTGACGACGCGAATCGGCTTCATCTCACTCACAAGTTCTGATTGTCCCCTGCCGGAGGCTATGATCTTCCCGTTGCCATCTTCCCGTTACCCAGTCGGCTCAGGTGGCACGTTCCTGGTAAACCGTATAAATTAAGTTGCCCCACAGAAGGATTCGGCGCCATGACGCTACTGCACGGTCGTTATTGAACGCACAATTCCGTGCGCTATAGGATTCCTTTCTCAGGAGGCCCCGAAGAATGTCGCTGTGCCTCATTTGATGGTACCTAAGCGCATGTACAGACTTGTGACGCAAAGTCTCAGGACTTTGTGCATGGAGTATCGTGAGCACTCTGATGCTAACTTTCTGCCAGTCTATCAGTAAGCTTCACACTAAATACGATCAATGTCTTTGGACTTTGTTTCCACGAGTGCACAACTATAGAATGTAATGACCGGAACCCGCCAACTACAACACCAAAAGGCTGAACACAAAGCGTTACAGCAGACGACTTGGCTCGTAGCTCAACAAAATGCTCTTGAACTGAGTAGGATACCCTTTAGACATGTGCGATCGAGATCTCGGTGGAGTTGAATGATTGCTAAAGGGAGAAAAAGACCGAGGAAGGCTGGCAAGGATGAAGTGCGCCTCGAACGCCGTAACAGGACGCAACAGGTCGAAATCTCATCGGTATACGACTCGGAGGCAGAAAGATGTGCAACTAAGGCCCAACAAGCTAATACCTGTATGTGCAAGTTGATGAAGTGCGATACTTACTACATTAACCCACGACTGACAAACATGATCCTCAGGATTCTCGTACAGGCTGTTCACAACAGCTGTGCAACATACCCATAGATATTTTGGATGCTCTAGTAACCAGCAGTCGGCTAGCTTCAAAAGACTGTCATCAAGTCTTGACGTTGTGATGTAGTTTCGTTGATTACAAAGGTACCTTCATCCGAGAGGCCGTGTCAGGCGCCCTGCGTGCCGATCGGGTGATCATCGGGTGCTATAGATGTGCATACTAGAAAGCCAAGAGCAACAAGGCCTACCAAGTTTCGTGAGGCTTGTGTAGAAAGGCTGTCAAGGATGTTCGAGTCCCGGTGCCCCGGCAGCCCGTTGATGCGCTGAAGGCGGCTACCTGGACCAAAAGACCAATGCGATTACCCGAACAGCAGCTCACATTGCAGATGGAGACGCAGGATCGGACTCCAGTACCATATCCTCGACGGTCAGCTGTATGGAGTCGTTGGTGAATGTGTAAGTCAAGTGAGAGGTCGTCGGTTCTGCACGATGGATTCAGTCGGACATCGCTAGTGATATGTCTGCGCTCCGTCACAATGGAGATTCTTTGTGCGACCAAGTCGACCAGCATTACTAGAGCCAATCGTAATCTGGGACTATACCTGTTGATTTGCGGTGCGACAGTCGACGGGTGCAAATTTGAACAGGGACCTGTCCGAAGCCACTCAAGCAACGACAAGAGTCCAGACGCAAAGGACCGGCACTGAACAAGCACGACTGAGATTGCTAATTTGGAAGCCGTTTGGTCTCGGATCGAACAAACTGCGACCAGGTCGGGCAGCCTTGACGGGCGCAGGAACGTTGCTAGTGGGGGCTTTCAACACATACCTTGCTCCTGCCCAAATGCGAACGAGTTTGCATAGTTGTGGAGCAACGAGACAACTTTCCCATCGTTGACTCTGATCTTAATGGCTTGGCTCTGTTTTTCAAAGTCTACTGTGTGTGCTATTGGTATCTTTCATCCCCTGAGGGATATGAAGGTGATCGAGGACGACGGTTCAACGGTGAACGTTGGAAGGATCGCGAGCTAATTCGAGTCTCAGGGCGTGTCAGCGTACGCGGCAGCAGAGCACGCCCGCGTCGGATTGACACAAGGGCTGCCTTTGAAATGGCACCGAGGGAGGTCCGCGTAAATGTCTCATGTCCGTGGATGTCCCGTGAATTGCATAAATACTACACGATTGACTGTCAGCGGTGGATACATGAACACATTCAATCACCCACAGGCGAAATTTACCTAACCGAAGACAACATCCCATGCATCTGAGAATGAGAGCTCCCCGAAGCTTGAGAGCTCGTAGCGTTTATGGTATCCTTGCGATGCGACCAAAACGCACACGTTACAAAGTCGCCGTGATTTGGTGATGGCGGATGTGTCAAGGTAACCACAGCTCAGGATAATACAACGCAGGATAAATGGGCAAGGACCTGCCTAAGTCAGATAGTGATCTCCCGTCCATCCCGTAACGCTAAGGAGGCTGAACGCTGAGGAGAGCTGAACGGCACAACCATCATGCTGCGACGTCGAATTGCTGTCCAGAGAACGCGGGCTCCATCTGTCAGCAACTTGAGTCAACCAGGTAAGCCAGTAACACGAGCAATCCTCTTGTTACAAGAGTCGTCAAGCTTCGCGCATCGGAATCAGCATTGTTGATTTTCCAGTAACCCGGTGGCTGGCGGCAAGCGAACCGATGGTTCTATATTCGGTTGCAGAGCTCAGCGCCGTGCCTTCCAGCCACTTTGCCCATCATCACACTAAAACAGCAACGAAATTAGGTAGTTCACAACAACCATGCTGCAGCTGCAGCTGCAGCTGCTATTGTCTCCGAGAGGCCCGCTGTTATAGGCAGCCGAGGTGGCAATTACGTTGGTTGGTGTAAGCCTTACACAGCAGCAAGCATCCGGAAGGAGCAAGAAAGGGAGCGCGTTACCGCCAAGTGGCCTGAGCAATGAGCTATACGAGGTGCAATTTTGGATGTGTAGGCGCCCAAGCGCTGGCTCTGTTGGCATTGTAGGCGGACGTAAGAGTCGTGGTTGTGGTTGCGTGATCGAAGTCGCGATTCTGCTGGTAAGTGAGCGTCATGAAGCGTATTGGCGAGGGGTGGCTACGGAAGCGTCGTCGTGTTCCCAGGGTACGATGTTGACGGCCCTCGCATCGCCATGCGGCTTCTGTGTTCCCAAAGACGCGGCCGCTCTTAGCTTGGGGCTGGCTATTGTTGGCGTGAACGGTATCGCAATGCGGCCGCCCGCCAATCAAATCTCGATGTTTGCTCAGTCACGTCCCAATGCATCTTTCTTTACCTGGGGCAAACTCGGCCTAATAGCCCAAAATTGCTGATCTAGCCCGCGCCGCACGCCGTTCATCTCAGTTGTAGATAGGCTTCCGGAAAGGGTGCGCGCATTTCTCGTCATCTCCTTGCTCATGTCTCTTCGCACACTCTGCCTCGCGTCCTCATAACTGTCACCTGCCACCTCTGCCAGATGCTGCGATCTCTCCCCAACCTTCTCGCGAGTAGTCCCAAGATGAACGCCCTGTCCAGTGCTCCTAGGAAGTAATGACGCCCCCCGCCAAGGACATTGGGGTCCTCTGCTGACCAAAGTGCTCCAGACCTATAATAGCTGCGATTTCCGTGATCACAGTATTGATAGTCCTCTTCAGATTCTTTGGCGATGTACCGGTCGACTACTACAGGAGCTACGCCCCTGGGGAACCAGTAATGGCTACGACGCTCAACAACGACAAGCCGCAGCCTGGGTATTTCAAGGCGCAACCTGAGTGGGACTGGAACGTGCCTGCGTATGCTGGGTGGAACGGCTATGCGCGCAATCCGCGTAACCGCGATATCGTGGTGCTGACTGCGAGCGATGGCGGCGGTCACAACAGCGCAATTCCCAATGTCCTTGAACGTGTGCTGGATGACCGTGAGAAGTACTGTGCCAAGCATGGATACACCAACCTCTGGCTCAACACCAGTCGTTATGACATCGGTGAGGCGCATAGAGTAAGTCGCTGGCGCTGAAACAGTACTCGATCAGGGCCTCTGCTTACATCCTTACTACAGACCTGGTCCAAGATCCCTGCTGTCGCCGAAGCCTTCTCCCTCTATCCGAACGCCGAATGGGTCTGGCTTATTGATACCGATATCGTTATGATGCAGCCAGACTACGACCTCGTCAAAGAGATCGTAGGACCAGATGCTATTAAGCGTGGCCTGATGCGCGACACACCCATCCTCGATGGCCAGCTCAAGAACAACCCGACCAACATTAATACACCTAAGGACTTCCGCGTCGAGGACATCGACATCTTGATCACGCAGGATCACCAGAGTGTCAACACCGGCAGCACCTTCTTCCGCCGCTCCGCCTTCACCCGTTACACACTCGAGATGATGACCGACTATACCATGCTCATGGGCGCGGACCATCCCGGCGCAGAGCAGGATGCAATCAAGCACCTCATGCTTGAGCACCAGCTCATACGCAATCACGTTGGCATCTACCCTCAGCGTAAATTCAACGCCTACGTTCAAGGCGGCGACAACATGGGCTACCGCGATGGCGATCTGCTCGTTCACTTCGCAGGCTGCTGGGTCGGCGGCAAGTGCCAAGAGTGGTTTGAGGAGTTCTGGGGCAAGAAGGGGCACAAAGACGTCTGGAGGCCTGTGGGTGGCTCATAACACCTACGCTTGACGATTTGCGACCGATCACTTTCCCAAACACACGAGCGAACGATTTCCGACTTCTTCCGATTGACACGCAAGCATATCCACGACCTTTCACTTCTTCCTACATGTGTTCCGACGACCCAGACGCGAGACAACATCTTTTTAATCGTCCTGTAAGTATACCCTGAAGTAGACGTCTTTGAGCGAGAGTCCGGCGTTTCCGGTGCAATGCAAGGCTGCTGGCGCCTTTGGTTGCAAGGATGCATATGAAACGGCGTTATCGAAATTCAACAAGTTCTGAGCATTCCTGTCTGCCACTCTGCTGCTGTCTGCGCCTTATCACGCCGCCCTTGCTTAATTTCAGTACACGGCAGCCTCAACAAAGGCCGCGTCTAGAAAATGACCAGCCGCCCGCGCACACCAGACCCAAGAAACCTATATCTACTTCCGACGCCCAGACTATGCAGGATACATGATTTAACCAGTCCGAGCAAGCTGTGTTTCGACGCAGATCAACGTTGCATGGTCGGCCATAGTTGGAAAACGAACTGATATATCTGGACAACGCCGTCGTTTCGTTTGGTTTCGCAATCATTTGCTTGCGAGGGGACGACGAATGGACTCTGAGACATCCATTCCTAACCGACCCGCTACGTACAATTATTTACTCATCACCCACGTCACCCTCTCACCGTCCCACGCATCTCTACGACGCAAATCACTCCCAGCAGCTATGGCTTTGCCCCCCTTTGCTGCCGCAGCGGCCTCAAAGTTCAAATTAGGTCGCGTACGGATGGATTAATGGCGTTGCTTGAGAGAGAATTGCAAGATTGGTTAGCGGAGTCAACATCTTCGTAACCTCAGCTGGTGAAGGACATGGACTGGTCGAGTGGATCAGGTATTGTTCGCAGTTTGCGTGTGCCTTAGCACTAGAGCACAGTATGTCAAAAAAGGTGAATTGCTGTGTGAACACCACTGCGCTACCAGAGAATAAGCCTGAGCTGTCCGTTCGGTGCAGCACTTCTTACTCCCCGACCACCTTGCCATCGACCTTGCCACCCTCGATCTTTTCGCCGCCCTTAAATTTGAACCTCTTCAAGCCGCGAACACCAACGTCGACTAAGAAGCAGCTGCCTGCATATTTATCTACTGGCTTACCATCATCTCCGCTAGGTGCTCCACCGCCCGCCGATGTGATGAACAGTTGTGTGCCAACAAAGCAGGGGCAGGTGACCTGGCTAGTAGGGAGCTTGATCTCAGCGACGACTTCGCCTTGAGGCGATATTCTCAAAACGCGGCCTCCGTCGTGCAGCGCAGTCCACATGTATCCCTCCTCATCGATGCAGTGGCCATCTGGTACTGCGTTCTCGCCATACTTGTTGTCCTCGGGCATGGTGAAGAAGGGGCGTCTGTTTGTAACCGAGCCAGTCTTCGGATCGTAGTCGAACTGGTAGATAATTTTGTCGGGGCTGTCAGCGAAGAACATAGTGTCATCCTTCTTGTTCCATGTTGTGCCGTTTGGAATGCAAATGTCGCTGAGAGGGCGGTCAAGAGACAGGTCAGGGTTAAGACGGAAGACGGCACCTGCGTATGTAGTCAGCCTGTATCCTCACGCTGTGGACCAGATCATGACTCACCATCAGACCTCATCTCCTCCACCAATGGATCGAACATGTAGCCAGCCCAGAAACGGCCCTGCGAGTCTACTGCGCCATCATTGCCACGGAACTTCTCGTTCTTGTTTGCTTTGATCTCATCCTCAGACCAGACCTTTTTGACCCAGCGGTAATCTCCAGTCTCTTTATTTGCAACGCCATAGCCGTATTTACCACCGAAGATGAACTCCTTATCATTTCCTTCAATGTCTGCGGTGCAGCTGGACGTGGTTAGCTATGCCTTGAAGCACCTGCTTGACGGCAACATCATACGACTCACCCCAATGAAATGTCAAGTTTCTTCACAAGCTTGTGGCTTGAAGGTCCCTTGCTGATGTCTACGCGGTGCAGCTCCTGCTTCTCGACATCGAGAAAGCGTACCGTATTGGTCGCCTCTTCCCAGAAAGGTCCTTCGCCGAGAGAGCAACGTATCTCGATGTACGGCTGAGGTTACGTTAGTACGTATCTTGAAATTTATGCGGCAATTGCAGTATGCACAATATTTGCTGGTATGCAGCTTCGGTCGCCATGATCTCAGCGGGGCACATCGGAGCTACCCCTCCACGCGTAGAGCTTCGAACACGTCTCCTGAACATACCTCTTTCACTTCATAAATCTTGACTTCAGGCATTGTGGGTGAGTAAGCTTGTGCTGGGATGCTCTCTCAGAGTCTGTATCTGGGTTGTGGTGGGACTCGAAGGTATCTGTAGCTGTTTACGCTCGAGGAAACCTCCACCTTTTGTTGATAGCGCCTGCTCCCACTTTCCGAATGACGTCCCGATGAGCCGCCTTTGAATGCTCGGCATCAGCTTAGAACGCTCATTTATAACATTTCTTTCTGAAGCACTGCTCTCTTCACGGGACAGCCGGGACGTCAAAGGGGAGATGTCACATTAAGCAGGCGTCGTAATCTATTCTCCAAAAAGCACTCCCATGTGCAAGCATTAATGCGCTTCCGAGGCACAGCACTTCTGTTATGCTGAACTGCTCACATACCTACAAAACCACTCATTCGAACAATACCTGGCTGAATCGTCGGCTGGGCGGTCCGAACTGCCCGCGCTCGATTTGGACAGTAGCGCAAACACGATTCCTCCGGTCTGTGAATGGGTATAGAAAGTTGTACTGTAGTGGTATTGGCACTGCTAAAATTGCTTGTTGATATACAAGATGTAACATGGGTATCTTCTACTAATGACACACGGCTCATGCTGCGACTCCCTTCTGCTTTCGCGCTTCCTCCTCTTCCGGCGTTCGAGTAGTGAGCTGGAGTGCATGAATTCCACCTTCTTGTGCGATCTCATCCTTCATCAGGGAGTTGACCATGCGGTGACGTGCTAGTTGAGGCTTGCCCTGGAAGGCTGAAGATGTGATGATCAGACTGGTGCATATTAGTCGCCGTCACGTCTCAATGGTACTGCTCAGGGTGATGTCATACCGGAAGTGCGTCTACATGCAAGAGTCAGCTGTGTTTCTACTATGAGTCCATGAGTTGATGGACTTACCTCTCTGCTTGTCACGCCCTGCATTGCTTTGTGGTGCGAGTGTTTGTGAGAGTCGTTGTAGATTTCAAAAGTGCCCGGCTTTAGGGCTTCTCCAATCTGCTCACCAGTTAGTCTTGATATACACATGGTCTGGGGAAGCCGGAGTAGCCGATGCCAGTCCGAGGTCGCGACTTCCCTTGGCCCGCAATGCGTCTTCCATCGGAGTCATGGACTGGGCCATGGCTGACATGAACCGAGTGCCGGCTGGGATCGATCGTCGAAGGAACATGAAAGGTGTTTCTGCGTCCGATGAGGCTCAGTTACACACCCAATAGGAGTGAATGTGATGATGAAGCAAATATGGTGTTGAGTCCGGCTCGGCACGTCGGAGTATGATCTAGAAGCCGATGCGTGCCAAGGTGCAGGCCAGGGAGTTCGCGCAAAGCGCGTCACCGATGGGCAGCTTGGGAGCTGCGTTGCACAGCAATTGAGGGGACGCACGGCGTCAGAATGACCGAGGGAGTCGACTATAAGCTCTCTGAGACTATCTTGAGACCTCAGGAAGCGCATTGACAACACGCGCCATGTCAATGGGCGGCCAGGGCTCTCCAGCGAGGCTTAGCAGCGCGATTCCACCGCACCCCGACTCAACTGCCGCTGACGGCCGCTGACCGACGCCTTGCATCTGGAGTCGAATGCGCTGATCCTGGGCGCTGCCGTTGCCATGTGGGTACGCAACCTCCTGTCCCGCACGCTCGCCAGGCACACGCCAGCCGTCTTTGCACAGTGTTCTCGTCCTGCCGTCTCTGTCAGAATGGCGTCCACCCTGCCCCGCCTGCCCATCTTCGAGGCCATCAAGAAGCATGATGCACAGAGCACTGCCGTCATCCACTCGCTGTCCGGACGGCGCTTCACGTACGGCGAATTGATCAACGATGTCGCCGCGGCCAAGGACAAGCTGCAGCGCAACACAGGCGGCAAGAGCGCAGAGGGCGCACGCATTGCCTTCCTGGTGGAGAACGGCTACGACTATGTAGGTGCGCATCTCACCGTCCCCCCCTCTATGCTGCAGTCGTTACAGCCACTGACTATAGCACAGTGACGCTGCTGTCCATCCTGGCCGCCCATGCCGTTGCCGTACCGCTGTCGCCCACCTTCCCGGCCCACGAGCTGCGCTATATCATCGACCAGAGCGAGTCTCTAATGCTGCTCTCGTCAGAAAAGTTCCAAGACCAGGCAGATGAAGTGCTGAGAGAGGGCATGCAGACAAGCCCAATCAATTGGAAGCGCGAGAAGATCATGATGGGCAAGACGGATGACTACGTCACTCTCGAAGAGCCGACCAGCACCAAGGGCGGCATGATGTTGTACACGTCGGGCACCACGAGCAGACCGAAAGGTGTCTTGCTGCCCCAGGATGTACTGACCGCCCAGTCTAGGTCGCTGCTGGAGGCGTGGAGCTACACGGCCGACGACGTGTTGCTCCATGTGCTCCCGCTGCACCATATCCACGGCACAGTCAATGCGCTGCTGACGCCATTGTTCGCTGGCAGCATTATCGAGTTCCACTTCCCGTTCAATGCACAAGCTGCTTGGGAGCGACTCGCAGCTCCTTTCCTCCCGAACCCAGACCCGGCCAAGAAGCCGATCACCTTTCTCACAGTCGTACCCACCATCTACACACGCTTTCTCTCGTCGCATTCCAGCTTGACACCTGAACTGCAAGCTGCGACAAGAACTGCCCTGCACCCCTCGAACTTGCGGCTGAACATCTCTGGCTCTGCTGCCCTTCCCACGCCCGTCAAGTCAGCATGGACGGAGCTGAGCGGGGGCAACGTTCTTCTTGAGCGCTATGGGATGACAGAGGTCGGTATGGCGTTGTCGTGTGGCCTTGACTTCTCCGATAGAGTCGACGGCTCAGTAGGATGGCCACTGCCCTCAGTGCAAGCACGCCTGGTAGACACAGAGACAGGAGAGGTCATCAAAGATGGTGAGGAGGTTGATCCCTCCACTGGACGCGAGCGCCACGGAGAAATCCAGCTATGCGGCCCTACCATCTTCCGAGAATACTGGAAGAACCCTGAGGCCACAGCCAAAGAGTTTGTCGAGGACGCGGACGGCCACGGTAAATGGTTCAAAACCGGCGATGTTGCTATTCGCAAGAACGCAGAAGGTGCAGGCAAGAGCGCACAGGAATGGGCGAAGGGGTCTCTGTACTTCATTCAAGGACGCAAGTCCGCTGATATCATCAAGACAGGTGGCGAAAAGGTCTCTGCACTTGAAATTGAGCGTGAGATGCTTTCGCTGCCATTCTTGACCGAAGTCGCTGTTGTCGGTCTGCCTTCAGAAGCATGGGGCCAGAAGGTCGCTGCTGTCGTCGTACTCTCTGAGAAGGGCAAGACAGCGGGCAAAGGAGGTAAACCATGGTCGGCGCTGGACATGAGGCGGGCACTGAAAGACGTCCTTGCTAATTACAAGATTCCCCAAGAGATGAAGGTTGTAGACACCATTCCACGAAACGCCATGGGCAAGATCAACAAAAAGCAGTTGGTCATCCAAATCTGGGGCGAGCCGCTGGAAGCAGCGAAAGGGAATGGTGCTGTTCAGGTACCAAATGGCAGTGTATAACAATTGTAGTAGATACATTAAATCGACTTATGTGTTTATCGAGCACACGATCAACCATAGCGAATGAATAAAATCCAACACGTTCGACTCTGAGAGGTGATAGTCAGGTGTGACTCGTACCTCATATTGCTTCACCATGATACTCACCACAAAGCCACGAGACAACACTCGCCCTCCCGCACCACCCTCACACATAGCCTCTCATCATCCCCACCAAACTTCCCATACGACGTACCAGCCTGAGCTTCCCCACCATGCACCCTGACATGTGCCACGCCGCCGGGCCCCAACCAAGCTTTCGCCCAGCAAAGAGGCGCTCGCAGCCTGCATGCGCGCCCCGCGCTTAGGGCTTGGGAAACGTCACAGGCCGGCACATCGCGTGTCCACCTAAAACTCTTGTCCGTTGGATGGGCGAGTGACGTATGCAGGGAGGAGTATTGCGGAGGTTGCGAGAGTGCGGCTGGCTGGTGCTGGGTATGATGGTAGTGGTAGATACATACTTAGGAGTAATTCGGTCGCAAGGCGTGCGAATCTCGAGGACTGCGTTGTGAGAGGTCTTGTCTTTTTCTTGGGGCTCTTGCGCAAGGCTTGTTGTGGTTCACTGTAGGGCCGATGTGGATGGAGTATAGTACCTAGGTAGGTAGACGACGTCCAAGTACGTGCATCAGCCTCGAGGCATGCTGCACACAGGCACGCCCGATCAGCCACTGGTAAGAAGCACATTGATCTTGTCATCACTATTTTTTGTATGCGATAAACGGAGTTATTCAGTTAAAGTTGAGTGGCTTATGAGATGCGATAGGAATGGCTAATGTCCTTCGAAAATGCTAGGTGGCTGCTCAGATACCTATCTCTGGTTGCAATTCAAAGACTTTGATATGGCGTAACTTGACCCTTTTGCTGGCACATGTAATCTTTGTCAGTACAGACGTGAATGAGTCAATCATATAAAGTTTGTTCATGTTGTAGTGGTAGGAGTAATATTAAATTGCGTACATAGACGGCTCATGTCGAGCATCGCATCATACAAATTATAGTCGATCGTTATTGAGGGTATCCAAATAACATCCCTTATCCATCAATCGTGTTCATGTGACAAGCATAACAATCTACCTCGCGAATCAATCGACGGAGGCGCGAAATACGAAGCATATCCGCTTAAGCAGCACGGTGTGCAGAGTTGTCGACCTTCTCGCGGCGCTCGCGACCCTTATCAGACCAGGGGAAGTGAGCAACGGGAATGACGAAGAAGCTGTCGTGTGTCAGTGTGTTGTTGCTGGTGTTCGGATTTGAAGAACTGACCTGTTACTGCTGTCGGCAATACCAGCAAGGGCATTATACCAGGCAAGGAACGCAGCCATGAGGCCAAAAGCACCTCCAGCGATAATACAATCTGGTTGGGGGTGAGCACCGTCGTGCTGGAGGTAGCCGATTCCGAGCATGAGGAAGGCCAAATCCAGGGTGAAAAACAACGAAAAGAACGCCACAGTCGAGCGGAGCGTGCAGATCAAGAGCAAGAAGGTGAATATAAACCAGCCCATGAGGTATAAACCGAAGGAATTGAGGAAAGTCGCTTCGCTGATCTCGGCGAGGCCGGTCTCGATCTGGAACCCGCCGGGTGTCAAGATGATGGCGAAGGAGATCCAGAAACCTCCGTAGGAAGACAACGCAGTAGCACCAAAGGTATTCCCAACAGCCATTTCCCTTGATTTATGTTAGATACTGTTCGAATGGAGGTGGTGGAGTTGATACATACCACATACCAGCGAGAAGCTGCACAAGACCTCCGTAACCGTAAGCGATAGCAACAACAATGCTGGGCGAGCCAATGCCCCTGGTATTGACATTAATCAACGACAGGACAAAGGTCGTAAGAGCGAAAGCCGAAAGACCGAGGGGAGCTGGGTTGGCGAATTTGCGGTTCGGTGGGCGATAGAGACCCGGCTGGAATTCACCACCAAACGCAGCAAGACGCATATCGGAATTGTTGGTCGCAACGTGAGCGAGAGGATTGCCTCCGTAGTCATAAGGTCTCCTTTGTTGAGGGGCGTTGCCATTGCCGTTCTGTGCATAATCAAGACCGCTGCTTTCCTTGTCGACGCTGGGGCCGCGCTGGGAAAAGTAAGCTATGAAACCACGACAATAGGGTAGCACCAGAAGGTCCCATAGTGTGACTGACCTGGACATTAATGTGCTCTTGTGCTGTTGCCATTTTGAGTGGCCTGGACTTTTCCCGTGGAAGAAGGTCAAGTCGGAAAGTTGGTAAGATTCTGGGGAAGGAAAGATGTCTGGGGAAGGGGTATTCATATATTTCCAAACAGACCATGCAGGGAGCTTTGGTAAACGACGTACGCCATGGGCCGTCGAGGCCGATCCAAGTCTAGTTCGATGCTAAGGGGATGCAATTAGTCGGATGTGGTGCTAAAACGGCCCACTCAAATCGTTTCCCCGTACACTCCGTCTCCAGACCGGGTGAAAAGGCAGCATGGGCCGACTTGACAGCCATCAATTGAACCGACGAACCACAGACAGTCAAGGGCAGCGGATCGTCGCGCATGCTGCACCCAGGCACATCCAACCAGCCACTTGGCAAAATGCAGTATCAGGCAAGAAGGATCAATAATCACATTATGGCTCTTTCTACGGAGTTACCCAGTGATAGATCTGCAGCTTCCTGGCTGCGATAAAGGTGGTTTGCATCCTACAAAAGCGCCAAGTTACTGGTCAGACGTGCCTGGGTACGAGAGAGAGACGTGCCGAGGTCGGGTGAGCGACAGTGGTTAGAAATCCAAATGGACATCAATTCGCCGATCGCTGTATAACTCCGGGCCTCGATATCAGGTGAACAGCAGACTGCGATGACGCGACGAGATGGAACACCAAAGCTTCGATTTACCGAAGCGGGCGCTGTCCAGACTTGCCGCCAGACTTACATCATCGTGACTCGCGGGACTTTGAGCCGTAAGAGCTCTATGGGAGCCCACGGAACACTGTTCGAAGGCGCAGGGTCAGAAACTGTCAGCAATTTCCCGTATATCCGCAACGCGCTTTTGGCATCTGTTACAGCAAGCATATCTGCACAAATAATTCATGTTGCAGTCGCAACCTTACCCTGCAAGGGCTAGCCGCGAATCCTATTGAAATTGTTCGGCGCAGAACAGTGCGAGGTGGACCTTAACCCTAAATATGAGCATGGTGAAAATTTGTCTGTCCGTGGAGTGACTCCACTAGGATGCTGGGTACTACGGCCTTGGACATCTATTTCGGTGGGTGTTTCTGAAGCACACAGCCTGATGACTTGTTGTTCGTAAGCTCTCACTGCTCAGCCGGAAATGTCGGGAATGTCTGCAGCCAAGCGGATAGGCGCTCCTAAAACGTGCGATTTGATGACGGCATGCCTGGTCGGGTCAGGGTACGCAGGCGGCTAAGCTTTGTTCAAGACTCTCGGCATCAGCCACGGGCGTCGAGGCGAAAGCATGACATGACATCAAGTGAAATTCACGCATTATTCGCGCCGTTGCAGCGTTGACACAGTGAATTCAAATTCGAATGCAAATCTCATCTTGCACGATGTTTAGCGTCGAATCTGAGGGCTACTGGACCAAGTGGACACACGATGTCCTGCTTCCCGCGGGTATCCTGGGGCACCTGGGGCACCTTAGGATCCACATGGTGCGCTCGGAGAGGGTCTCAACATCTTACCACCCACGCGGTCGAGCAGCAGGCTGGCTGCAGCACCATAGCACCGTGATCCATGCTCGGGCCAGCGGGAGCTGCTGTCAGGGCAGTCCGATTCTGCCGTACCGTTGCCGTATGTCAACCTCGTGCGCGGCCGCTTTGCTGGCTGTAATGAGTTGCTATCGCCTTGTTATTGGTCCGGAATGTTCAACCAATTGTTCTCCTTGACTTTGACTAGGTATTGCGTAGGTCAACGACCAGAAAGGAGATCACGATACCTCATTGAGCGCTTACAGGCATGGTCTCACAACGGGATGCATCTCGGCCTCTGCTTTCTATTGTTACATCGGTTAAATGACCGTGCCTTTCGGCCCAAGACTGTCAAGCCGCGTTGAGATTGCGGTGGCATTGCTTGGACAACTGTGTTCAACGTAAAACACAGCTGCAGCCTGTAAACTCATGGAGGTGACCTTCGAAATGCACCTCGCCCAATATCGGCCAGGTTTCGGCAAGGCTTCCATACGTCCGATCCTCAAGGCTGCTGGTAACGGATCTCTGCGAGACTGCGGGGACAAAGAAAGCGGGGGCTCCGCTTCGACCCTGCGTGAGACCGTTTCCACGGCTCTGGAAGATCAGGTCTAGGGCTGGACTCGAGAGCCTGTGGTATGGCATCTCCGCCCGATTCCGGTGAGATGACTATCTGCAATTCTCTCTTACGTCCGTTGGGTGGATGACATGATTCGCTCAAAGGGCCACTTGAGCTCTCAACCGCTTTTCGTGCTCTTCTGAGGGTTGGCGTGCTGTTCGACCGCAGAGGCCAAAGCAAGCTACCGCTAAGCGTGGCCTGGGATCTTGGTCAGCTGACTTGTGGCGCACAACTAGTCATTCTCATCGCCAAAGGTGAATCTTGTTCTCGTATTGTCACCAAACAGCTCTCAAGCTCTCAAGTTTTACTACAATGTCTCCATGATGTTCGTGGACAGCTTCAAAAGAGTGCGTGGGCTCGCCCAATCACAATGCGGGGTAGCTCCTCGGCAGGCCGCTGCGCCTCGCAGGAGCTCGTAACAGCCTCCAAGAGCTCTGCACTGCCAACTTCAGGCCACCCTTCCAGGCAACAACAAGGTGTTTACTGCGGTGCCATTCATCGATACCCTTTGCTCATAATCATACCCACTTTCACCACAGCTTCTTGATTCACACGCATAGCTTGTAGCACGTCAACATCTTCGTTGTATCTACTAGTACCAGCCAGCATGACGGGCCATAGCTTCACCGCTGAGTCGGACCTCGCCAGCCACCGGTACTTCGAGCACTCGTCTGCAAAACGCGTCAACACTGATGTCGTGCTCGTCGAAGCACTGCGCTCACAGTACCCCCAGCTCGAGCTTATCATCGCGCCCGTGGTCTTCGTGAACCTCCTCGCCTATGCCTCGGCCGGCTTTGCGACTGCCACGCCACTCGAAGACAGCGTCAAAGACCCTGTATACAGTGCTAGTTTGAGATGGCGCTTCTACATACCTTCTGGTAGGAGGCTCGACAACGGCGGAGGTTTCATGGCCGAGACCCTCAGCTTCGGCAAGTTCATGTACAAGTGGAAGGACCAAGAGGTCATCTTGTACATTGCTGAAGGCAGGGACGGCGCTGGCTCCTACCCAATTTCCAAGAACAACTACATTCTGACGAGCAATGCCCACAAAGTTGATGAGCTGATCAGGGATGCTACGGTGTGGGGTCAAGAGCTGCATAACGAAGTCTGGGTCTTTGACCAGGGTTGGTGGCAGAAGAGCGCACAATTATACAACTCAGTGCAAAATGCTAGCTGGGATGATGTGATCCTTGATGAGGACATGAAGAAGGCCCTTCAAGTCGATGTTGAGAGCTTCTTTGACAGTCGCGAGACGTATCAAAAACTGAAGGTTCCATGGAAGCGAGGCATCATATACTACGGCCCACCTGGCAACGGAAAGACCATCAGCATCAAAGCCATGATGCATAGCCTCTACCAACGTGGGGCAAATGGGGACACCAGAATGGCTGTACCAACATTGTACGTACGCACATTGACTTCGTACATGGGCCCAGAATACTCGCTCGGTATGATCTTCGCGAAAGCACGTGAACAGGCACCTTGCTATCTTGTTTTCGAAGATCTCGACTCCATCGTCAATGACAGTGTGCGGTCCTACTTCCTCAACGAGGTTGATGGCCTGAAGTCCAACGATGGCATTCTGATGGTTGGTTCGACAAACCACCTCGACAGACTCGATCCTGGCATCTCCAAGCGTCCTAGCCGTTTCGACCGCAAATATTATTTCTCCAACCCCGATTACGCTCAGCGAGTGCAGTACTGCAAGTTTTGGCAGGGCAAGCTCTCAGACAATGACGATCTTGACTTTCCAGACAAGCTGTGCGATTACATCGCAGAGATCACTGATAAGTTCTCCTTTGCGTACATCCAGGAAGCTTTCGTCGCGTCTCTACTCGCCATCGCCTCGCGTAGCAGGAAGGAAAAACATGAAGTGGAAGAGAACGAGCACCGCTGGGCAGGCCCTCAGGATCCTATGCAGTCAGTCTACTTGCAGTCCCGCGCAGTTGGCGGCGGTAGTGAAGACCCCGACATCAAGCATCTGGAGCTGTGGGTCGAGATGCAGAAGCAGGTCCAAATTCTAAGGGACGAGTTGGAGGAAAAGGAGTTGTCCGAGCGCATGGAGACAATGTTCCCTTCGCGGCCGAACAACGCTGCAAACGCTGGGCCCCGCGGCGAGCCTAGTGTGCAGGTATTGCCCAGCAGAGAACACCTTGAGCTCCTGAATCAGCAACGTGATCAGCTTGATGGAACGTTGCAACAGCAACAGAGGTACATGGGCATGGCTGATCCGATGAACTCGCAGAACCACGTCACTAAGAGGTACATGTAAGGCGTGCTTTCGTGACATATTTGAATTTACGTTTCGGAGTATATACATCACAACCAAACTGTCCCAGTTAATGAATCACGATGCGTCAATGAACTTCGTTAGCATGTAGACCTCCATGTGACTGACCCGTGCTAAAGCTCTTTATTTTATCAAACCCAGAACGCCTCGCTAACAGCAATATCATGGAGGATATCTTCCGCGTAATCGTACTTGTAAGAGACCGGTTCGCCCGTCCTTCACGGTCCCTTCCTTAACGCCCATGCGTCGCACATTGCAGACAATGCCTCGCATCTCCCACCACAGCACACGTCCCACATACACTCTTCGCACAACCATGACAAGCAAACGGACCTGCACCCTCCGCACTATCCATGTCCATATCGATATCCATACCATCATCCTCAAGCTCCAGCCTTGCGTCGCAGTCTTCACATCGCGGCCCCTGCATACTGTCCTGGTGCGTGGTCTGATATGAGAAGAGAGGTGCGTGGGCCGGCGGCGCAGAGATATTCCAGAACGAATGGAGCGTCGACTTCTGCGGTTTCGAGACAGCGATGGCAGGTTGGGTGGGTGCAAGGACGGGCGAGGCGTGGGGGTGATGGCGCTGTGCAAGGAAGAGTTTATGCACTGTGGTTTCTGCCTCATGTCAGTGTTTGTGTGAATAGGGTGGTTGGACGGAAGTGTACCGTGGATAGTGTGGTTGTCGGGGCGGTTGTCGCGCACTCGTTTGCGCGTTCGATTTCCCCAGTCGCTGGGCTTCACTCGGTGCGCACGCGTGAAATCCCAGCCGTTCATCTTTGGTGCAACTTCTGTGTCCATTTCCATGTCCATTGTGCCGTCCATGCCGTATGGAGAGTGTGTTGGCGATTGCGCGTCTGGTGTCGAGATGGCGCCAAAGCTCGAGACTGATGTATGAGATGCATCGTCGAGATGCTTGCGTTTGATGCCCATGGTGTCGAATGAAGGTTGAAATGCAGAGCTAAAGTATCACAGCAGTCATGCGACACGATATATGGAGGGTCTTTGGGGGATTGGAGCCAAGGAGGCTGTGGTGTCCTGATATGATTACGGTCGAGGTTGGCCAGACACGCGACGGACAGCCGCGGAGCGACGCGCTCGCGTTGTGGGGTAAACCTAGATGTCCAGCGACCACCATCCCGACAAGAGCTTTTCACACCCTGTCAAGACGAGAGTCCCAAGTGCTTTTTGGAGAGGCCGAGTGACCTATCCCGCTCTTGTTTCGTACGTTCCTGGACCCAGGAAGTCGCTCTTGACTTTGCGCTTCAGGAGCTCCAGTTCAATCTTCCATAGCCCGGTATGAAGACATGACTTCGCACTTGTGCTTCAAGTTTCTTCATTCAAAGAATCATTATTGTTATGTCACACGATAAACGATAGATCTCGACACTGCAAATACGTACGATGACGAATGTACGACTTCGAAGCTGCCCCACAGAAGCTCTTACCCCACCCCCAGTACAACACCAAGCTTCTGACCTCACCCACAGACTCTAGATACGCCAGTCGTTCAGGCTGCTTCTACACTCAATACTTACCAAGATGGTTACTCGCAGAGCTACTCACGCTGGGTCATGGTACACAGACAAAGGGCCAGCCCTTTCACAGCAACTCGATGGCTGGCTGGCAGATGTACCAAGCTCCATAACCCCTGTGGGCACTGCATCCTCGCAGGCAGGTGATATTTCTGTACCAACACAGAATGCCCGAGCTATCATCGGACCGTAGGATCACCCTAATGCTGACAGGATTCATGAGGCTCATGGACTTGCAGGCATGCTGGATACTCTTACTCCGGGCCTGCCGCTGCATGGGCTTACAAGACGGTTGACTGGGCTAATGCGTGAGTGCAACTTTACGACCGTTTGAGTCTCCGCTAATAGTCCCAGTAAACGTGTCTTCCTTCTGTTTCCTTCCCACCACTACTACCTCTCCGGCGCTGCAACCACAGGATGCAGCAAGTACGCTACGCCGATCGGTGATCTCACCATAGACACTGCACTGGTCAAGCAGATACAGGAGGAATGGAAGCTCGAGGTCATGAATAAAGGTGTCGACGAGGACGAGCACAGCTCGGAGATGCACCTCCCGTACATCTACAAGATGCTGTCACTGTTGGTCTCTTCCTCTACCACTATGACCAAATGTTGACATGTTTGCAGAAAGAATACAAGCTTCCGGTCGAATCCAACTTCAGTACCACTGGTCCCGATCATGGTTGGCAACACGGACGCCCGCGCGGAAGCCCACTACGGCTCTCTCCTCGCCCCCTACCTTGCTGATCCGAGCAACATCTTCGTCATATCCTCCGATTTCTGCCACTGGGGCTCCCGCTTCAGATACACATACTACCAGCCACCTGACAGCTCGGCTGCGATCGACCTGAAGTCTAACTCGCGGGTTGCAAGCGACTACCCCATTCACGAGAGTATTGCAGCAGTGGATAAGGAGAGTATGGATGCGGTCGAGAGTGGGTCGCACAGCGAGTTCTTGCAGCAACTGAAGGATACGGGGAATACAGTGTGTGGCAGACATCCTATTGGCGTGTTCCTGGCTGCTGTGGAGCATGCCGAGGGCCTGGGTGAGGGCAAAGGACGGTTCAAGTTCGTGAGGTATGAGAGGAGCAGTTTGGTGGAGGATATCCGCGACAGCAGCGTCTCGTATGCGAGCGCATTTGCAGTCTTGTGAGGCTCCGTGTGAACGAGATGGTCGGTGTGCACGAATGAGACAGCATGGGCACGAGATGTCCTGCTAAACTCTTCATGGAATGCGATCAATTTATGGACAAGCATTTGGTTTTAGAACGCTATCAATTTCCCCTTGTTACGCCCAACAGATTACCATCCACTGGAAAGTATGACACCTCATATGATTGAGTGGACGGCTGGTTGCATATGAGTATGGTAGCACAATGCTACACCGTCGGTTCGGTTTTCTCACGTGCGCGAGTATCTCACCACAACCAGAACGTCGCCATCCTCCGCATGTTGATGCCTACGTTGTACCCAAATGTAGCCCCCAACGTGTCCAGCAGCGCCCAACCAAAACCAGGCCTATCTTGATGGCCTGACGCGCCCACTAGCAAAAAGAGACGCGCTCTGACAAGCATCGACCCATACCGTGGTGAGGGCAAAAAAGGTCGTACCCGGACTCGAACCGGGGTTTCCAGAACTTCTGAATAAATCAAAATCTGAAGTGATAACCTCTACCTGAGCGGGAATTAGAACATGCTTGTTGGAGCTGATTGGACAAGTACTTACACCATACAACCGTAGTAATTTGATGGAGAGCAGACGAAATCTAACATTTATAATCTAGGTAAACGTGTGTGGCAAGCGCTTCCCATAAGGCCGCGTTAGTGGCTGCTTGCTCTAGCGGTTTCGAAGTGGGGCTTAAGTGGATGTCTGCATCACCGTTTCTTTGTGGGCAGTTTGACTCATCAACAGCGGAAATGGACAAGGGTTAGGAATGAATTATCCGGTCAATAGTTTGCATGCGATGAACCATAAGACTGTATGTGGTTCAGTGTGTAGTGATTATGCCTAGTCGGAGATGGGACATGAGGGGGCGATTAGTGTGCGAGCTGCTGATGTCTAACCTGTGGCGAATTCCGCCGGTCCGCTACCTACCTATGTTCCCACCACCGAGTATCCATTATCAGTTTAATTGGGTGTTAACGTCTGCATTCCTTTTGGTGGAGTTTCCCTGATGACAATATCGTGGCGGCCCGTTTTGATCACTTGTCAGTTGGTCGACCGACCTCGGTACTTGTCAACGAACAGAGGTGCTTCGGTCTGTGGTACAGCAATATTGACTCAAGCTACTGACTCACATCGATCAATTCAACATGGACTGTTAGATTCTTCAGTATTTTGAGGTATTCAAGGAAGCTGAACATCCCTGCCTAGGTACACTCAGAATTGTGTCCCGTTCCGAATCCCGATTACAGCGTTGACCGATGCGAGCCGCAAGCACGATGAAAATGGCTTGGCCGTGTCAGCAATAAAGTACAAGACAAGCCGCTAGCATCATGATACGCTCTCAAACTTCGAGTGGAGCGTGCTGGTATAAACTGGTTTGCTCAAATTGAGAGTGTCTCCTTGCAGTAGGTCGCTGCTCACCACATCCTTGTCATCAACAAGCTTGACGCCCGAGCACGTTTCCGGAACGCGTTTTCCGTCCTTGGAAAAAAGAGTCTCTCGATACGAACCTAACTAGTGTTGAGGTGTCGGTCACTTATTTATGGTGGAAAGGGTGACGCAATTTTACGGCGGGAGTAAAGGCAGCGCTCATGCAGCAGATCTATTTGGCCATGGGTAGTCGTTCAGCTTTAATCATTATACTTGTATTAATACTTGCAGGTGAAACGTTGTTCTACATACTAAAAACCTGTCAAGTGGCTGGTCGGACCTGCTTGGGTACAGTATATCTGGTGGGTATTCATGAAAGTATTTTTAGGACTTGAGGAAGTTGCTCACTAAGATCTCATTTTCTACCATTCATTGAGACATGAAGGCAATGAAACTTACACCTTGTAGCCATGTACAATACTGCGTCTCCAACGCAATCTCCGCATTGACGCTGCACGAATCTTACTTACCCTTGCGTTCACCGATGTCGGTGGCCCTACAAACCTTATTGAGATCCATGTTACTGATGTTGCATACCTACCTGGCCTCCAAAACTTCAGGTCTGACACGGCTGACAGAAAGTCAACACGAGCCGCTTACAGCAAAGTATCACGCCAGGCTGACAAGAAGTATGGTGCCAGCGCGGCATGCATATAGCAAACCGAACTCAGACCTCGAAGAAGAGTGCAGTCATTCTAGGCTAGTCGAGCCCTATCGTTACAGGACGATGTGCCCAGGTAGTCTGCTGCTGCCCACTTTCTACCCCGATCTGAAGAGTCCTCACTTTCTTCTCGGACAGTGAGGTATGAAGAAATAGGACCGTACTCACCAGCGCGTTTGCCGCAATCATATGCTCGCCAACGTCCTACTCAACGCCTCCAAGTCGTCTTCAAGTTCATCTTGTATGCTAAGGTTGATTCAAATTGTGTGAGCATGACCGAAGACCCTTCCAAGTGTCAGTAGATGAGATGCAGGGGTGGCTTTCGATGTTAGCTGGATACATCTGATATCTGGCTCACGCTCAAGCTTTAGATTGAAACCATCACTTCTGAGTCTTGTATTTTAAGTTGTCCTCTTTGATCCCTACATGGCTTGGCTACTTAGTGGTCTCGGCTTGGAGGCAAGCGACATATCTAGGTACTTCTTGAAATGATCCACGCGCTCATGAAAATGCAGAACGAGTACGTCTGTCCTAAAGGGCTTTCGGAGGTTCAAATGTTGTGCCTCATCTTCTCCAGGTCGCCCCGAGGTAGCTGGCGTTCCTTGCGTCGAAGTTAATTTTTCGACCAAAGCGTTTTGCACAACAACAAAAGTCTAACACATATCAAGTCATCGTGGAGACTGAGCCCAAGAGTTTCAAAGGCGCCAAAAAGGTGGGCCGAGTTGTACAACCTTGGCTGGAGTAGATGCTCACAAAACTGCAAAAATTGATGCTACGGGCGGGGAGGATCGAACTCCCGACCTTCTGCGCTTCACATACACGTTGTAAAGCAGACATCATAACCACTAGACTACGCCCGCTAGATTTCATGTACTTTTGACTCGTAAAATGAAAGATATAATTATGAATCGGTCCTGACTCACTACCATGCTTGCATTATGACCTATCCCCATTTAAAATTGACTCTAGGTATCAGTCACAATCGTAGCTCTTGCACAAATCACCTTCATGCTCCAAGCACAGAAGGTCCGGAAGATCCTCCGTTCTTGTACACCTTTTTGCTCCCTATACGGTATACCCTCAGTCTTTTTGCCTAGTGCAGCTTTCCTTGGCATCTGTCGCGCTGATGCCCGATACAACGACGACCACTAAGTGGACATAAATCTTAAGTCCACCACCACTACTTCATTTGCCGCTCAAACTTGGCATTTCTAGCATTTGGTAGTTTGTAGACACGGTCTCTCAAGTTTCGGAAGAAACGGCGGATGAGACCCTAGGTAAGCTTACCAACTTTACAGAACACTTAACTTGTAGCTATTGTTATACCTAAAGCTAGAATTTAGTTAAGGGTTACCTATATTGTAGGTAAAAAAGCATTCTATTAAGTCTTTTAGTAATTCCCCTAATTTACTGTTATGTGGTGTACCTGGCTCATGGCCTCAATCCACCGTTTATTCTGCAACGTAAGAGACGATCAATTTCGCCAAGTGGTGTCGAGGCTAGCCTCCTCACCCACCGTTCCGCTACCAATATGAATAACATTGATGCCCAGCAACGCCTTGCAGTCTTCGAGCGCGGTCAGGATGCTTCGAAAATTGACTCCGGGAAGAAAGGATCTGCCTGATTTTAGGCAACTGTGCGGCCACCGACCGAAATTTCCTCCCCCGTCAAGTCTTCCCAGTGCTCAAGGAAGACGCTAAGTTCTGGCTTTTCGCTCATCGACAAGATGATACTTGAGATAGGTAAGGTTTCCGATTTTGAATTGCCTTTCGCGATAGGTTTTCTGGATCCGACGGATTGACCAGCATTGTTGCGAATATCTAGACCACCAGATACGCTTTCTCATGTAAGTATGATGACCAACAAATACTGGATGACCAACAAATACTGAATCAGACTTTCAAATGTAGGAATCGCTTGTCATTTGCCTCTGAAGCCTCCACGTGTTCAGGGAGAATGATTGGCGCGATCATCCATCGAGTTCCATCCTTTTCCTTCCAAGTGAGCGAGAAGCGGACATTGTCGCCTTTGGGACCCAGAATAGGTTCTTCCTCGATCAACGCTTCATATCCCAATGAATTGTCTTTTGGAGTCTCAGCGGCTTCAACACGTCCCTTTCTGGAACGGCTTTGCTTCTTCGCAACCGGCATAGGCTCTTCATCAACAGCCACTTCCTCAACATGGTCTTCCTCAACATGGTCTTCCTCAACATGATCTTCTTCAACAAGGTCTTCCTCGATCAACATTTCATATTCCAGTGAATTGCGGAGTTTCAGCTGTTGCAACACGTCCCTTTGTGGAACGGCCTTGCTTATTGGCAAGAATGTCTTTCACCGCAAGTGGTAGCTTGGGAGCAGCTCTTCCGATCATCACACCCGCCCGGAAAGCCCGTATGGCGAGAATGTATCTATGCTTAGCAGAAGCGAAAGCTGTTCCGAAGTCGCTTTGGGTACTGTTGATCTGCTTGTTAATGAGGGTGGAGATCTCCAGACAGCGGCTCTTTCAGGGAAGGGTCGGGTCAGCAGTGATGCTGCGAATGACTTCTCCCATGGCACACCAAGCTAGAGCGGATACTATCTTGAAAATGTCTTGGCCTTTCCTGGTCATGTCACCCTTATGTCGGGACCAGCGCGACCTGGATAGAAGCACGGGATCATGACCATCTCTTCTCCGACAGACCTGTAGTTCGGCACACGTGCTTTACCAACGAGATCCAATGTGGATTCAAGACTTTGCGGCAGCTACTGGTTATCAGAAAGTAATTTATATATAAAGGTATACAAAGTATTACAGCTATAATCTTAGCGCCTTATTATACGATTTGCCGTGCTTCACTGAAGATGAGATTGCAAGTGACGACTCCGATAGAGACGTAGACGCCTCCAATATAGACGTAGACGCCCATAATCTAGACTTGTAATAGTGAGTATGGGTTGTTGCAGAGAAGCAATGTCCTAGTTGTTAAAATCTCAGGTATTAGTACTGTGAGGATTCCGTCGCACTATCATGCCATACCTTTATATATTGTACTAGAAGGGGGTTTAGCTAAAAATGAATACACAAGATCATCACTCACTTTGACCCATCTCGGCAATACTCGAGCGCCTTCATAGCCCCCATGTGTAGGTGATGTTTGTACAGAGTCTTGGAACAAAACTCGGCGATTTCAAGGAATCGGTTGGAAAAGCGTGCAATGTCTTAAGTAACGACTCGACGTTGTCTGCCCTCACGTCGTTGTGGACGAAATAAATGACCTTGGCGCCAGCCATCATCGTATCGTCTTCGTCCAGCTTCACTGTGTTGCGTTGGATCGCAAGTTGATCGACGGCAGAGCTAAGCCAAGAGGCCTCGGTCGCCCATAGTATTCTTGAGGGTAAAACTGCATCACGTCGTAACCCTTTTGGGGTGCTCGTGCCGGTCGCAGCAGCATTCTGTCGCGGTGCGAAGCGCTCTTCCGAATGGGCGTAGGACTCTGCGGTCCGAGCGGATCGACAGGACGTTTGCCCCTGCGCCTTGGGGATGTATTAGATGAGTTCTGCGCGATGTCTTGTGCTCGCTGCACGTATCCTGGCTTCTCGGTGGTGGAACCCTGATTCCCCGACCCCGAGCCAGGGTTGGCCGGGGTACGAGGTGTACTAGGACTGCTGAAAGGGCTCGTCATTGTGTTGGAGGAGGTTGATAGGTAGTTAGGTGGGTGTGAGCGGGGACGTGAAGGGTGATAAGATGTTGAAAGATAACCGCAAGAGCAAAGTACTAAACGGGTAGACCCACCTTGAGTTCGAGGTAAAGGTAGACAGTTAGCCTCGTAGCAGCAATAGCACGTCTCCGCTTGGCAAAGTTGGCTTGACTGTGGGGGACGAATATGGCTGGCAGCGCAAAGACACATTTTGATGGTCACGAGCACATAACCTCGCATTGCGGAGCCTGACTGACAGCGTCGATCAGCTGGGAAAGAGCTTTATCTCGTCTACAAGGGCATTTGTTGTCTACGATTTCGTCACACAGATTCAGAATTCGTCGTAATGCCAACGTCAACTCTTCAATCCTAGTGTCTGGTAGACCACAGATAGACCACAAGCTACGGAATTCGGCGCTACAAGTATGTCAGAGATGATCAACTACAGCTAGTCTGCGGGATCTCCAGTACTTCTCAGAAATCGCTCCATACTATAGAATGTTGAAGGCTGCTGCAGCGATCAACAGGCGTGTTCGGTATTCGGCCTCGGCTTTCCGTGCAGCACCGCCCCCATGACATCTTACCCCAGACGAACCTCAGGCATCGCACTCCGCCCACCTCATCCCCACCATCTTCCATCATGTTCGCTCGCACACCTCTAAGAGTCCGCGCCGCGGCCAGAACCATCGCAGCGCAAGGCGCACGCACCTATACTTCCCGCGCTGCCGAGATGCCTGCTCGAACCGCACCCATCCGCACCCTCCTCCGCACCTCAATCCCGCGTGCATCCACAACAGCTGCCCAGCGCGCCTCTCCCTACCTCACATCGCAAATCCATACACAACATCAATCGCAACTGCGCTCGCGCACGCCATCCCCGGCACCACGCTACGAAGTCCGGAACCACTCGATTCTCGCCGCACCAAACCAATGGACGCGCTTCAGCACACCTACCTCCCTCTCTTCAGTGCGCACATTCACATCTACCCCAAAAATTGCTTGGCCAGCCGAGTCTTCCCCTGACGTCTCGCCTGAGCACCATAAGGCCATTGAGGATCACATCGAGACGATCACAGACATGTTCGGCACCGCGAAAGATGAGTTCGAAATTGCGTCCGAGGAAACGGACAAGAATACCACGTATGCGCAAGATGACCGCGATGCAGCGCGCGAGGAGTTGGACAAGCTGCTAGAATACTATGGTAGGGTCGTGAGCGAGGCGGAGGAGGTAATTGGGCAGGAAGTGAAAAGGAGGGTGGGGCACCGCATTAGAGAGCTGAAAGCGGGCGTGGAAGCGTTAGAGGAGAGGGCAATGGAGCATGATTAGGCGTTGACGTTCATATCGTTTGGGTGCAGAGCTCTTACGTAGAGCGTTGCGAAGACGAGTCCAGGGCATGGCAGGCGTTCTAGAGTGCTTTGCAAGACCTCGACTCTTTCGTATGGAGGCTGAGCGTATTGCTCATGTGTATCGGTATAACACTTGTAATCATACGGCTGAGTGCTTACGCGTTTATATTTTTCTGGCAGGAACAGTAGCATAAATACCAGGGAGGGCACATGTCATAGTCTGAGCACTGTACGATCGTAGCCGAGGGCTGCGGAACGGAAGTTAGCATGTGCATTACTCATTCAGCTTTCGTCTTTTGACGCTTTCATTCCTCACTTCCCTGACAAGGGTAAGGATCCAGCACGAAAAACGGGAAGACGTATGAGTAACAAAGCCATGTCATAATTGTAGGCAGCTGAAGGTAGAAATTTGACTACGGGTATACACGAAATGGAAAACACAGGCTATCAAACCCAAACTCCGAAAACCTAGTAGTACATATCTTTCTTCAATCCAATCAGCCCCTCGCTAAACCCATCCTTCTCCATGGCTTGCAGCTCTTTCAGATATGCCTTCCTCTCCAGACTACCAACGCCACCTGCAAGCCGATCTGCTGGAAGTGCTTTCAAGCTCAGATCTGGGTTTGCTTGCGCCTGAGGCGCAACGGTGCCTGAGATACCGACGCCGACACCACATTTAAAGGACATGTACTTCGGTAGATCGCTGGAGGCCCCAGGAAATCTCAGAGTGCGGACGGAGTCGGTGCAGTCGAATTTTCTGTACAGTGTGCAGTAGCCGCCCGGGTCGGGCCCTATCGATTTTGCGGTCGCGATGCGACAATTGGTGGTCGGAAGTGACCAGCCACAGTCTCCCGAGAAGTTCTCGCCGGTGCAGGTGTAGACAGCTCCGGGAAGACCGCGTCGTTGCAAATTTGGGAGAGCATGACTGGGTGCAAGGATGGCGTGAAACAAGACGATGAGATAGAGTGCGGCTGCGTTAGAGATTGAGAGACCGAACATTGCAGTGTCGATGTGCGATTAGAGATTATGGTGTGTATGTCGTGGAATCGTTTCTTGGCTGCGTCCCAGCTAATTGTGAAGAAGATATATCTTTATATTTGACCCTTTACGGGTACCAAGAGCTGTAGCTGTGGAGCTGTGGATGGTTCCTTTGTGCAATGTGATTGCGATCCTTGGAGTGACAAAGGGAACCCTGCGACAAATTAATACAGTTCGGGGTCAATTAATTTTCGCACGCACTTCTGTCCTATTTGCGTCTCTCGAGGACAAAGATCTGCGCTGCTATCTTTGTCTCGCCTTGGTAGCATCTGCGGTAGATGTGTAGAATTGGCGACCAGCTCCATTGTGAAGATGGCGCCGCAGACGCTCAATGGCGGCGCGGCATGAGAAATGAACAAAGACGAAATTGGGACCGGGATGAGGGCGCGAAAGGAAGCAGAAGATTGGGATACGAAGGGGATCATATGAGTGGTGTTGGTGCGGGCCGATGCGGGTGGTGCAGGGATAGGACGATGTGTGAAACATGGGTCGTGAAATGATGCGACTGATAAAGTCGCAGTCACCAGTTCAACTCTGCGACACCCCGTGACTTTGATTGCTAGGCACTGCGATTGCCCAGCTGCTGCCATATGCTCCCTGCCGCCAAGCTGTCGCTATGGTCCAAATTACCCACCCATGCCTGTCAGACATGGCAGGGAGCATCAATTATGATCGTCAGGTACGCTTCGCCAGATCGACTGTCCGTGCTTCAAATGCAGGTCGTCAAGAGACCGCGTCATTTTGCCCACAGCAGTCATCAGTCGAATGTAAAGGTACCGGGAAGCTGTGTTGCATGTCCGCCTAGCATAGTCTCTTGTGTTCCGGCGAACTGTTGCAGATTCAAGTGCAATTGATGTATTGTTGTTAGTTCGACCTTTCCGATGGCTCATCGGTTGTCGTTGACATGTATAGCCGGATCCCATCCCACCCTTCTGTGTTACGTGACAGTGTTGAGAACATAGTCTCGAATGAAGTTCTCTGCGTTCGGGACTATAGTGTGGGACACCTGTGACGGGTTAGTTCGTATTGTTTCTCTACATACGATCCAGGAAAGCCAGCCAAGCAACCGCCAGTTGCTTCTATGTGTACCCGTGTACAATAACTCAGTCTTCTGGAACAATGCGAAGTCTGGTGATCCACTCGAATGGTTCTGTGGAGGTATTGCGGACCGTGTTGCAGATTCCACGTCTTCAAACCCCAAGACGTTTTGCGCTAAATTATCCAAAGCGGTGGGGACAGGCTTGATACATGGCAGCCGATCAAACATGTTCGTAGTTGCGTAATTGGTGCACTCAAAAGCGTTGGACTTAAGAGTTGATGCATAGGCGTCGTATTATGGCTCAAGTGGTCAGAGATAGAGTATGCAAAGTGCTGCGATACGTGTCTAGGATTATCCGCATGCGAACCAAGAACACGACTGGGTACGGAAGTGCCCACTGTGGAATAGCAGCTGGCCTGAAGAGGATGCCGGACCGTCGGTTTCGCGACTGGCGAATTCAAGAGGAATGTGGAGGTTCGCCCACGTCCATGAGATATCCGGAGAGCAGTGAGCAGAGAGACATCATACGTCCAACGGCCTATGCTGCCTTCGATAATGAACAGTAAATACTCGACGTCAAGAGGTGTTGGGCAACGGAACAACTGCCTGGTTGAGGAATATGGGAACGCGTTCTGAGTTGGTCTGTGCGAGCGCGTCATCCGCTTATCCACGGGAGTGCAAATAAAAGTACTCCAGTCTTTCTCCACGAATCACTGGGATGACCTCATGCTTGTAGCACGGAGTCGCATTGCCAGCTGGCGCACCGCTTCAATTGCTCGAAGATTCTACAGCGCACCAAGCATGGAGAAGCGCGACTATGCAGTGAGCGAATGGTTCAGTGTGTGTTGAGAACTTGCGACTGACAGTTTGCAGGCCGCTGTTGCGGCGCTGAACACGCTACAATCCAACTTTGCGATAGTTGACGCCATTCGCAAGTCTGGAAGAGGCATGAATAAGGATGCTATACCAGAGATGATTGAGTGGTGCCGTAAGATCGGATACAAGGTGTGCGGCTCCCAGCATGTTCCACTTTGGTCTCGACTGACATTGTATGCAGCCTTCAGATTTCAACAAGCTGAGACCTATACACATTGCTGGAACTAAAGGCAAAGGCTCTACGAGCGCGTTCATCTCCTCGATTCTGTCGCAGTATACCTCCAAGAGTGATGCACAATCCCAACCGTCCAAAATCGGCCTATACACCTCTCCGCATCTACGTTTTGTTCGCGAACGCATACAGATCGACAACAAACCGATGTCGGAGGAAAAGTTTGCAACATACTTTTTTGAGGTCTGGGATAGATTGGAAGCAGCAGCAAAGGCAGAATATGCCCCCGATGATGTGCCCACGAAGCCTGTATACTTCAGATATTTGACACTTATGGCACTGCACGCTTACATCCACGAGGGTGTTGACTCCGCGGTCATAGAGTGTGGGATTGGTGGCGAGCACGACAGCACCAATATTCTGACAAAACCAACAGTCACGGCGGTGACCAGCTTAGGTATAGATCACACCGCCATGCTCGGATCCACACTGCCTGAGATAGCGTGGCACAAAGCAGGAATTTTCAAACAAGGAAGTGTTGCATTTACAGCACCGCAAAAAGATGAAGCTATCACGGTCTTGCAGCAGAGAGCTGCGGAGAGGAGCACCGATCTTCACATAATCGACATCCATCCGTCCTTGGCCAATGGTAGCGTCAAACTTGGCCTATCTGCAGATTTCCAAAAGATCAATGCTTCTGTAGCAATCGCTGCAGCTGCAGCACATTTACGTGCCTTAGGTCACACCGCAATTCCGGATCCTACAACGACAGCGCATATTGAACTTCCTGCACAATTTATAGCGGGGCTAGAGCAGATTCGTTGGTCAGGGCGTTGCGAAGTCCGTCGTGAGAACAACGTAGCATGGCACATCGATGGCGCCCATACACTGGAAAGTATTGAGGTCACAGGACGCTGGTTTGCTGAGCAGATTGCATCTGTGACTAAATCAGCAGCGTCATCATCGAAGGTGCCTCGGGTGCTGATATTCAACCAGCAAACTCGAGACGCGAGCGCGCTTGCTGAAGCACTCTACACAGCCCTACAGAGTGGTATTACATCGGGTTCAACATCCCCTTTCACACATGTCATCTTCACAACGAACCAGACCTTTAGCGATGGTTACAGGCCCGATCTGGTCTCTATTAATACTGACAACCAGGAGGTGGACGCCCTTGCCGTACAAAAAGCGTTAGCCAACACCTGGTCGAAGATCGACAGCACTGCAGAAGTGCGTGTATTGAAGACTATCGAGGAAGGTGTCAGCGCCGCGCGAGTAATCGCACGTGAATGGGCAAATGGCACCGATGCAGAAGTCATGGTTCTGGTCACAGGCAGCCTCCATCTGGTTGGAGGTGCCCTTGAAGTCCTGGAATCTGGGAGGACAAATTGATAGTGATACCCTTAGACTGATGATACATATGTGTTTCAACACACACTACACTTTCATCCCCAGTCGGTCCTGCAAGGTACATTGGTCGTATGGGCCGCGATAATTACTATGAATGCCAAGACCCGGTGTTGGCCAGCGTGATCTTTGAGCGACATACTTCGAACGACACAACACCACGTCACAGCACACGCAAACACCTCCAGCAAGCGTGCCGCCTTGCCTGCCGATCCCCGTAGGTTTGAACCTTGATGTGCTCAATGCAGAAGCTATTTATCTTGGTCTCGGAAGAAGCCGGCGGAGATCCAGGCGACATTCGCGCTCTCGTAGACAGGAAGGTGCTCACGAGCTCAATCGTATCAAACACTGCACGATAATGCAGGCTCGCGCTATCCCCGCGGACGGAAGAGGCGCTATGGGGTAAGAGTCACCACTCAAAGGTCCTCGATCCAGTGCTGATGTTCTCGTGTCGTCGGAGTTCGTCTTGGCAACTCGGCACAGCAGTCTCTTTGGGTAATCGTCACGGATGAGCGGTAGCCGGCCTCATTGCTAGGCCACTCACATGTTCATATATAGCTCCGAGCATTTTCTCTACTTTTCCACGTAATTGTTCCCCGGATCTACAACATACACACCGCTTCGAACCCCCTGCGTACGTTGTGACCATGAATTGCCCTTCTAAAACCGACGATGACATCCTCCTGAACCCAACCTGGAATCAGAACCCGCCGCGCTTTGCAGCCGATCTTACGACATGCCAAGATTTGAATGGGATTGCGAATGCAAGGGAGCTGGGTGATGCGGATCGATTGCGCAGTGGCGCACAAGGTCTCAGACGCTGCGATGTGGACGAACATCAATTCCAAGAGAAGGAGAAGCAATCACCTGTGCTTGGGGAGGGTGTCAAGGGTCCTTATAATGGTGCCGTTGTGCCGTTCACCATGTTACGAAAACGGGAATGCTGACGTTGTCTCAGGACCTTGCACCCGAACAATCGCAATCGTAAGAAATGAATTCCAAGCTGAATTCAGCACATCTGGTTACAGGACGTCGCGGACGACATTTAAGAGTTGGGGTCGTTGGATTCTGTCTGTGTTATGCACCTCCCTGTTCATGTCTTACATGAGCAGAGACAGAGTCTCAAACATCGCACCTGCCAAGCCTGTATTTCACAGTATGCCTAGCCAAAATTATTGCATACCCTACAACCTAACTCACATACACAGGCACTCCCGTGATCCACCACTATGCCAAGAGAGATGGCTGTGCTGTAGGTGGCGCGCAGCCCGACTACAACCTTCCATTTCACGTCGGTGGCCTATTTATCATCCTCTTTGTCTCTTCGACCGCATGCGCCTTTCCGATCCTGGTAATCAAGTTCCCTCGTCTACGAATCCCCGCCTCGTTTCTCTTCAGCGCGAAGCATTTCGGAACCGGCGTCCTAATTGCCACAGCTTTCGTTCATCTTTTGCCTACAGCTTTCTTATCCCTCAGCGACCCATGCTTGTCAAGCTTCTGGACCGAAGACTATCCAGCAGCGCCTGGTGCAATCATGTTGGCTAGTATCTTCTTCGTGACAGTGATTGAGATGGTCTTCTCTCCGGGAAGACATTGCTGTGGCGGAAGTGAAGGGGTCGACGGCGTGGCTCGTGAAACAGTTCAAGAAATGGAAAACGAAATGCATACAGCGCCAGAACTTCAAGCGCAGATGAGAAGGACTCATTCTGAAGGCAGCATGCAGGAACAAGTTCGCTCAATGGGTAACCTCAGAGGCAGAGTCACTAGCATTAGCCGTACCCTCTCTCAATACCGAGCGGATAATCAAAGGCTCGATATCATCGAATCCACCGTGGAAGTAACGCAGGACGGGTCTGACAGGAAGGACAGTAATGAGAGTGCGGTCGAGGACCCGGAGATCAGTCAGCAGAATTTTCAGATGACGACTGAGCAAGCTCATAAGAAAGCTGTGTTGCAGTGCTTCCTTCTCGAAATGGGAATCTTATTTCACAGCATTTTCATCGGCATGTCACTTGCCGTAGCCATTGGCAACGACTTTGTCGTTCTGCTCATCGCTATCATCTTTCATCAAACATTCGAAGGACTCGCGCTCGGTGTCCGTATCGCCGCCATCTCCTGGCCAGCTCGTTCTCCCCAGCCATGGCTTATGGCTGTCGCGTATGGTTGCACAACACCTCTCGGTCAGGCCATCGGTATCGCTACCCACACTTTGTATAGTCCCGACTCTGAGATCGGACTCCTCGTTGTTGGCATCATGAACGCGATTTCCGCCGGGTTCCTCGTCTTTGCCTCGCTTGTAGAGCTTATGTCTGAGGACTTCCTCAGTGACGAGAGCTGGCAGGTGCTGAGGGGCAAGAAGAGAGTTGTAGCTTGCCTGTTGGTCTTCTTTGGGGCTTTCTTGATGAGCCTCGTTGGAGCGTGGGCCTAAGTGAAGGATATGGAGAGGGAAAAGGTGGAGCGGAGTGGAGAGCAGCGATTGGACGCGTGAGAGACTTCTGGTGAAGACGAGGATTATGTAAGGTGATGGAGGCAAGTGTCAAGCGAGAAATGCTATTGGTGGAGTGGATCTACAGATCATGTCTGCTCGCACATTTTACTCCATGGGTCAAGTCAGATCGCACTTCTGTGACTCGTACCGAGGTATCGAGGAACGTTTCAAATCTCATTCCCATTATCGACGGGGAAAGCCGAAAGCGGATCCGAGATTGTGAACTCGATGCCATACCCTTCGATCCTTAGGGGTTCCAAGATAGGCTAAGCAGATCAAACAACGTCGCGCGAATTTCGTCATTCATCTTTCCTATTAGAGCTCGAAGGAAGCGCCACGAATCCTTCTCAACAGCAATTTCAAACATGAGGCCACATGTCCAAGGAAGAAAAACAAATCGAAGTTTACTAAACTCCGAGACATTGGCAACCATCAGTGCCACCTCTAATCCTTCGATGCAGTCACCGCAATCCAGATCGCTCCTACGTACTGTGGGGACGGATCCGTGGCAAGGATTACATGAGCATGCCTGCGTCCCCGCGGGCGGACCCCCTGTCCGCGAGCTGCAGTCTAGATCTTCCGGCAGAGCTGCTTACTCGACGGATGAGATGACGGCTATCGAGATACTCCGATAGCAGATGTGACGGGGGCAAAGAAAATAGCAGTGATCTACACATCTGCAGGATCGTCTGTGGTTCGGCGCTAACCTCAGCATACTGGCAGGATTTAAAGTCTGTTCTTAACAGATTGGTGATATGTAGTCATTTACTGATGTCCGCGTCTTCATTGTAGTGTGGGGTTAATTGTGTGGGGGGATGTACAACTTTCAACGTAGGTGTGAGTTTTGCGATGAAATGAGGCGAACAACCAGACTTGTCGGCCTTTAAGAGACATTCGGAAAGGCTTAATATGGATGGACTGGAAGATGAAAAAGAAGATTTGCAAACTAAACTCTCCGTGACATACTTTTTGAATCACGCTATGCGAGCCAACGGTTAGCACGCAAAATACGTTGCTTTTCGAGAAGGCCCGCATGACGCATCGTCACAGTCGAATTACCTGCATATACGCAGAGACTAGGCCTTGTTTTGATCGATCCATCCCTCCGGGACGGAGACTTGCGAGTGACTGCAAGCTGGACTAAAACCCTTAATTGCTGACCATGTTTGCTTTTGCCGAGCATCATCGTCCGGCAGCATGCAACCGCGGCAAAGGATTTAGCAGTGGCACGCAGCACGTGAACAATGGACAGTACAGGGCTGATGTTTCACATGCAAGCCCGCCCAGATATCTTCTCGATTGAATATGTATGGAAGTTCTGCACGCCAAAAGGGTACAGTACAAGACACAGGGGGTCCAGAGAAGGCCTGTTAGTAGCTCTGATACACCCTGGACATCAGGCGATATGTTGTGCATCGAAAGCCCATGTCATTAGAGAAGAGTACTGGTGTGCTTTTTTGTAAGCTAAGCACGTCACAGCCCTCAGGCATCGTGGATGTATCCCGGTAAGAGACCATCGGCGTGCTGGCCTAGGGGATTGAAACCACAGGGCACATGTCACGAATGTGGTTCTCGACACATATTTGAAGTATAACAAACTTAATTTTAAATATCTGTAGGAATAAGCTAGTTGAGGGAGCAGGGTACGTAGTAGCGTGTAGCGGGGATGTGTTGGGCCATCTTGGCGATGCTCTTGCAAGGGATGTGTCGGTAGCCTCCTGCCGATCCTGCGGAAGATGGTGTTGCAGCGGTTTCTATGGGTAATTGTAAGAAGCAAGCGCATGCCATTCTTGTGGTCAGGAGCTCTCCGCTCGAGCATATGAGCACCCATCTCAGAGATATTACAGAACACTTGGTAATCGTAGAGTAATGTCGACAATGCTGAAAGCGAGCGTGGAGGCTACCTATCTTGGAAGAATGCGACATCAATGGAGATTGTAGCGTTGCTAACCTCTAGTAGAGATCGTCCTGTCGTATGATGCTGTGAAACTAAGCTGACGTTACATGAGCGACATTGTTCGTGCTGTGCTCCTAAGCTGCAGACCGCTTACCATTCTCTGCCTTGATATCCTTCTCAACCCTGCCACAAAAATATCGGGCCGATATGATAGACTAACTAGATTGTCGAAGCTTTGGCTTTGGGTCCGGTCGCGGGATGCGGTACAGGAACGTGGAGCCCAAGTAAGCGCCATGGGCCGGATCTTCGGATAGATAACAGCCATGGATAGTAGCCAAGGCCGGATGTGCCGATTTCAAACCCAGAGGAGACGTCGAATGGTAACTGGAGCATACTGATGTGCTGACAGATTTTTTGGAGAACGATGTTGTCGTTAACGATCGACGGGGTCGTGGTCGAAGAAAACACTGAAATAGTGGACGTGTAGGCAGGTGAGAATACCCATTCCGGAACTGAGACGTTTCGTATTCACGGCTCCTACTTCATCATCCCTTCCAGTCGTGTGCAGTCTCTGAGCCTGAAACGGTTCAGCCTGACACTTAACAATTCTCAAAAATGACTAGCGTTGCTTGAAGGCGGCAGTAGTCGATGTATGCACTAAGCATAGTGGTAGTTGTGGTGGTTAACGAGCGTCGGTGTCATGGTAGAGTGGTCGTGTCAAGGATGAGAGTCTCCTGCAGCCTGGCCTCAGTCTACTCGAATTGTCGCAGGTACCATGAAGCGTAGAGAATGCAAGACAGTAGGCCAAACTTGGTTGGCCGATCTTGAACCGCCTCATAGTAATGGAGTTTCGCGTTCGACCTTGATTCTACCATAGGAGGCATGATCTTCGACTGTCCCTTGTTGGTGCATGCGTGGGTACTCAGCAAGACGGCCTTCGAGCATCTGAAATGTCTCTGCGTACGCCCTGGACGGTACCGACTCAGGTTCGACGAACAGTGATGCTGCATCGATATTAATTGGCCTGATCGTCGATCGATTTTTCGCATCTTCAACAAAGAAGTTGCTGCCTTTCACCATATCCATGGAGTCTGTTCGGTGTGAGTTGTCGCTTGCAAATCGTTCGGCCAGGATCTTGCGCAGCACTCGTTCAACTTGTTCGTCACTAGGACCACGAGCCTGCCGTTCTTCCAGATACGAGATGCGTTGATGTAGAGCAAGAAAGGCATCTTCGGTCCTCTGCAAGAACTCGTAACTGGATGCAATCAGAGTTTGTCAAATACAATATGGCCCGTGAGACCTACTACCATCCTGCAATCTTTTCGAAAGATTGGTTGATCTTCTGCAGTTGGAATGTCCAGGACATTCTGGGGGGGTATACTGAGCAAATATACAGAAGAGGAAGGAGCGTTCGTTACGCCGGGTTTTCTCAAAATTCCGAAGACGCTGCTTCCACTAGGACTTGAGATGAAGGTGAAGGCTGGAGCTCAGAAGCCTGAGCTGAGACGATTGTATGTACACGGAAGCGGAGCGTCATCCTCGTGCGGGACCCCGGTGGCCCCAGCTTTCAACACTTCATCTGTGCAACTTAGTGGACTGAGCGTCCCAGGTTGCGTTGGAAGGCGGTAAGGCCCGAGCTACTGGGAAGATGGCCAAATACAATTGCCATGTAAAGGCGCCAATCAGCACGGGGCAGGGACCCAGGGATGAGTCTGACAAGGAGTGGTGCACGCAATTGCGTAGGAGCCCACGAGCCCCGGTTGTGGCAAGGCGTCGGTTTTCGTGGCTGCCAAACAGTGTCCGTAAACTGAAGATCACAATGCACCTGACCAGGGGCAATATGCATGCAGCCACAAGGAGCGTAGAAGGTCGGGATATTCCCGCCTGCAAAGCCTGTCAGTAGCAGCAGTCAGGAGCTATGGCAGATCCTTCTATCGCCCAGCTGTTGCGGCGTTGCATAACAGCGACCCTGGCCCTAGCCACCAAAGACTGTGGCAGGGCACCGTACTTGCCTGTGCGCAATGACAAGCAGCTAAAGGCGAACGCCGGAAGGACACAGCCCTGGACAGGCGCTGCAGAGGAGCGAACGAGCTCAGATTAGGCGGGTCGGTTGCCGCATCCCCTGGCGACATTAGTTGCATGCAACGCATGGGGAGAGAGGCCGATTCCGATGCGACTAAGAAGATGCAAAGGCTGTGGTCCATGTGGGTAGCATTGCTTGGCACACTTACTTTAGTCGGCAAGCGCTAGACAGCAACCCCCGCGCCAGGCTCCATTTCCAACCGCACCTACGCCTGCACTTCCTTGCCTCTACAATTATCAATCACTTGTGTCGCTTTCGCTTTACACGGATGCTGGATCTCGATGAGTGTGACTGAGCGGCCATCGGCCTGGGCCTGTCAGTCCAGTCTTGCATCAGCCGCATCGCCACACGCCCTGGAGTTGCCTGGGTCATCGGTGAACTGACACGTCAGGACTTGGTCGCAGAACACCTGTTCGGGCCTGACCATGCAAATGCACAACCATCTACATTCCAGGCATAATTTCGAAATCAAGGCTGTGGCGACCGACTCGGCACAAGGCACCTATCACAGGGAATAACACATAGTCTCAAAGCAATGTTTGCAGATTTACAATCTAGCTGCAGCCGCGCTAGTGATCATTCACCGCCTGTACCATTGTATGAGGACTTCGGCGCTACTGGCGAACGTCCGGGATGATACCCTGCATATCCGCATAGCCATTCTGCCACGACACCACTGAGTTGTCGCACGCTTATATTGTCTCGTCTGTGCCTTGTTCCTTCCGATCTTGTGGCCCCTCGACCGCAGTATCGCCTTCGTATTACACCACGTGTCGGTGAGCGAATACAAACCTTCTTTAGATACACCCGTCTGAATTATTACTGGCGGCCCGATCAGCTGAGCCATTGGGCCTGTTCATTTGAGCAGGGTCGAAGGGCAATCCTGCGAGACCGTCAGCTGCTGTTGGGCGTGATATACAATCAGGTGGTCTGATCCTCAAATAATCCTGCTTTACTGAGACGTCAGTCAGGTCGCTCGCAGCAACAATACCGATTGACATATTTTGTCACAAGCTTACAACTTTTCCCACACGAACTGAAGTGGATGAAGGCTGCACCCTGAGAATTCACTGGTAGTCTCACTAGGTCGATCCTAAAGCTGGGGTCCCGCACACTGCAGCATTCGACCTGTCGGCCTTTTGTATTTGACTAGGCACAATCTCTATCACAGAGGTGCAGCTCGAAAGTCCCCTTCAAGACGAGGCACCAAACTCTGATGCACCGTCGCCGCTCAGTGACGGTCACCAAGTGGTCACAACAGAGCGATTATTGGATGCTTGTTGTATACGACGCCAGTCGCTTCTACTTCTGCAGCTGAAGTCAGAAGCCTGCCAAAGGAGGTACAACATGCCATCGCACTACCCTTGCTCACGTAAATTTTGTACTTCTTAACGATGGTCACCAGGGACCGTCCAGCCAAGGTAAGACCACTTGCGCCCCACGCTATGTCATGACTGCCTGTTGTAAGATACTTGTAGACGAGTAGGGTTTCACTCTAGGGTACCAAAGCAATCGCGAAGCAAAGGAAGAGGCAAATGTCGATCAACAGGCAGCGTCTGCTACTCCTTTCGAAGGCTCCTTGCTCAGCTTGCCAGGTACTACATGCCATGCCAGTGAGTTCAATCAATCCTATACAACCGCCCCTGAACCCACTTTAAGGACATGCATTTCCTAGAACTTCACAAAAAAAGTCTTATTGGATGCCATCCTTGAATTTTCCATTTTTTTTCCATCGAGCAGGGTTCGGGGACGGAACTCGTATTCTAAGGAGTATACCCATGCGCAGTTCCTTTGGCCACGCCATATCGATCGCCGATCCGTTGCACCCAGTCGGAGAGCGGACGGCAGATACGCACCGTGCCAATAGTATTTTTCATGTCGTACACACGCGGCGATCTCGATGTCGACACCATAGACCCTGTTCCCGCCCATTATCAGCCGTGATGTGCAGTGCCGCGCACGCCCAGCAGCACTGCTGTACTTACGCGCACCGGCGTTCATATACCCTTAAGTACCTACTGCAGCAATGTCATAGCCATATTCGATCTGCCTCTTGCGACCTTCTGTAGCAATACCCAACATTTGTTGTTAAGATTCACGCTGAGCATGTGGTTACAGAGACTCATATGCGCCCGTCGACATTGTGGTATGTACAGCTACCGTTGCTGATCATGCGTCCTAGCACTTAAAATCCGCCCCCTGCAGAATTTAAGCTGGTTCGACAATAGCTGCTGCATGATGCCCGCAGTCATGTCGGCATGGGCCGGAATGTGCCTACAGTAGTACCCACGGGGCTTGCGAAAGACGGTGTGTTCCACAATGCACGATGTCTGAAAGCGGCTATGCAACGGTTCTTCTGCCTAATCTTTCACGGCGGCTGGCTCACCGATCAAAGTGTCGGCCATGCTAGATCCCTCCAATCAACACATCATCGGCACATGGGATGCTAAGGTATACTACTCTCGGGAAAGCCAGCATGACAGTTCCATCGCGAGCCGAGAAATGTATTTGTAAGATGTCTGAAAGTATGTACAAGCAAGAATATTGGGAATGATATGTACGGAAAGAATCAAGTGCTCACGTCCCCAAGCACAACGCTACCATGCACTTCCAAGACACTATTGGAAAAGTTCTATCGCATCGAGAATAACGTTCGGCGCAAGGAAGCCGTCACCCGTGCTGCCGCTAACGCAGGTGATGGTAACAGTGTTCGTTCCACTGGTCAGAGTTCCGGACGGGATGCTGAAGTTATAAACCTCGCCAAAGCCCCGGTACGCACCACGAGTCAGGCCTCTGGAGTCAATCTTAGTTGGTGCTGCCGGAGTGGTCGCAGTCCAAGAGTTCACCACAACACCAGGACGACAGCTTGCGAACGAAAGTGTGGTTCCAACGCGAAGTGTTGAGCCGGTGGCGCCGGTAAACTTGATGGTCAACTGATTTGTGCCTTTGACCAGGGCCATGGGTACATTTCCGAGACTGGAAGAACCAACGGTGTAGGTCAGAGAGCCCCAGGATTCCATGCGGGAGTCGGAAGGGTGCATACGTAGTTGATTCGCGGCATTTCTGAAACCCTTGGGTGTGCCATCCCAGTCACCAATTCGCCAGACAGATGTCTTAGTTTCGGTGTCGGCAGCGATATTGGCGGTAGTGGCGGAGCCGGCCTTGACAGTAACGCTGGTGGCCTTGACCTTAAATTCACCTTGGTATAGCACCTGTGTGTATGTTCCAGGCTTCATCGAAGGTGAGGTGAACTTGCCGGCGCTGTCGGCGTAAACCCAGTATTGCGCAGCGTCGTTGTACCAGTGCAAGACCTTTTGGAAGCTAGAGCCAACTCCAGTCGCGGTACCGGTAACCGTTCCACGACCAGAGGCAGCAACGTACCCGGTAATGGAGAGGTCTTTGAAAAAAGAAGTGTCGAGCGATGAGCCACCCGCTGGGATGCCACTACGAGAGAAGGCCATAGCGTAAGGACCGTGAAGACCCATGCGGAACTTCTCGGTCTGTACATGACCCGAGTTCATGTAGAAGTACAGGTTTGTGGAATCACCAGCATTATTTGAGTTGATATCACGGAAGAAGGGACCACCGGATGAGCTCTCGTACGACTGAGAGTTGAGCAGCATACAGACGTGAACGTCTTCTCCACGGTACACGCATTGCTGGAATAGTCAGTACTCGTACCAGTATACGGAAGTTGAATAAACATACTCTGTTATCATCAATGAAGCGCTCACTGGAGTAGAACTTTGATCGTGTTTGACCACCTACGACAAACACGTCTGAACCCTCGACAGTTGAACTGGAGCCAGCAGTTGTAGATACAACACCGAAGGGGTACTCGGAAGGCAATGTCGAAGGGTTGAGACGAGCGATGAAGCGTAGTTCTCCAATATCTGGTTCAGCAGTGGTGTAGGTGGCCATGTAGATGGTTGGGTCGGCCGACTTGACCACATAGTAATGGGTCAAAGTGGAGGTCGTGCAAGTGATCTTTGCAACAGAGCCTAGCAAATCGGTGAGTAACATCTTACAAATAAGAGTAAGCAAACTTACCAATGATGGCAGATGAAACTGTGGCCGAACCAAGGCCAGAAGAAATATGTGATCCCTTTGAAGCATACTGGAATTCCTCGCCACGGTACTTGATCGAGGTGATATCGCAGTTTGCGCCATTTACTGTGAAAACCAAAGCATTGCTCGAGCCAGCATCGACGACGAAGTTGCTTCCAGACTTGGTAACACCGAAGGCGGCCAGCACCGAGGAAGAAAGAGTGGCCGTAGCCAGCAAGCCGGATTTGAGAAGCATGACGGACACAAGAATGGAGTAAAGTTCAAGATGTAAGCCTTGGAACAGCCACAAGAAGGCTTGTCAAGACTAAATACCAGACGGCGATGCATCTTCTCAGCGTTACATATACTGCTGCACGGCAATTCACCGCCACAGAGTCAGGGAGCCTGTAGTGTTCTCTCGGCGCCAATTCTTCCACAACCCTCTTAATTTCCACTACTTGCAAGGCCTCACAGCCATGCTCACTGACTCTCCCATATACTTATACGAGTTGATCAGAAAGACAGGGTCACGCGTAACAGATTAAGCCTTCACCGCCCAAAGCTTACATCGCGTTCTCGATTGTCGTTCGTCCGTTCCTGGTTCTCCGCATTCCTCGCTGCATGATGGCCCGAGGAGCAATTTGTGTTGCAATATAGCGTCTTATTGACATGGGCGTGGTGATTGAAACAACTTCGGCAGAACGCGTCGATTTGGCCACACAAGCCGAGGTGAAACGGGACGCTGAGTGGTCACATTAGTCCAACTGCCGCGCCCACGCGGTATAAGCACTTTGGACGTCTTGGCGACTCTGTTTCAGGTAAGAGATGTGGCTCTGTTGCTCCGCACACTTGTGGGGCTGATTGCAACATCGAAGTACAGATGTAGGAGTACACAATTGTTTCAAACCGAGCAGAAGCGGAGTCAAAAACTCAAAGACAGTAACATGCAAGAAGAAAGGGCCCGCTGACAAGGTGGTACGCTATTGTATTGAGATTGACGAGGGGTGGAAAATTAGTCGATCTTAGCCGCAACGGGAGGTGTGCGGAACAATAGTGCGCCTCGAAGCCGGCGTAAGCGCCAACGCAACTCCGTGCAATCGATCTCGTCAGGAGGTTTTCCAGATAGAGTACGACAACATCGGTTCCAAACCAATCATGGCGTCTTCCGACGAGGACCCTACCGATATGCGCGGAGATCCGAACCCACCTCAGTCTTCACCTGTTGGACAGTCGTTTCTGTAAAGCGGGCTAATCTCCACTTCTCGACACCACAGCGCCCACGGTCTTGAAACCGTTCCTTGCATAGACGTCCAAGTGTCATGGGATTGCTTCTCAGTCAGATACTTGAGATCGCCTTCACCCTTCGCTTTCCCTGACTTGATCTTGCCCCCTGCTTCGATATCGATTTTGCCCTCTAGGGTGTGGCTGAAGAACGCGTTGTGGATGGTTAGCGCTGTGGTCTGCGCTTTAGCGGCCTCCTTTGTATATATGGCTTGGTACACAGCTTCCTCGATGCCGTGTGCTAAGGTAGTAAAGCCATGTCCCTCGAGCAGGACCACAGCGTGGCTACAAACTCAAGTCAGCGGATACAAATCACGGAAGTATTATGGATATACTTACTCCGGCTCCAGAGAAGCTTCAGGCTTGGCCCCCGGAAGAGCCGACCGCACTTTTGAGTAAATGAATCCCGCCGATGTCGCCGGCTTGAATGATGCAGCGAGTGAAGCGCCCAGGGTTGAGTCACGTACGAGGAAGTCTGAACCAGAGGAAGTCCATACTGGGACATTTGTTCCTACAAGGATCAGGTCAGTCGAGAGCGTACAAGCAAAAACACGTGCTCTCACCTAGGAAGCCGGCCATGTGGATAGTGTTCTTCAATGGAACGCCACTGACGCAGTACGGAAGCACATCGCTTGCATGACTATGCACGATACTGTTGATGCCTGGAAACCGTTTGTATATCTCGCTGTGAATGTGACGCTCGAGATAACCTGGCTTTGCGTTCTTCTCGACAGCTTCCGCGGATTCGACATGATACTCGACTAGGTCATCCGGGGAGCTCACCAGGGCTGGAGGCATGTTGCAAGGCATCCAAAAGGTCGCTGCATTATCTGGCGAGCGAACTGAGATGTGCCCGTATGCATCGAAAACATCATGGCGGTGGAGGATGTGGGACGCGGTGACAAGGCCCTTAAAAAGATCTTCAAGACCCACCTTCTCACGCTTGGGAAAGTATCCAGTTGACATTTTGTTGGTGGAGGGCTGTGGACACCATGGTAATCGGCATGTCTGAGGTGTGTGGTGGTAGTTTCTTGTTTGGATGCATGATGACGTCCGCGCGGGGAGACGAAGTCTGGAGATGCCTCGGATCTTGTACAGCTTCTGCGCCACTTTTGGTCAACGTGACCAGTTGCAACTTGCTACCCAGTAAATCCATTGACGATAGTGTTATTATCCAAGGATGCAGCAACACTTTAACACGAGACAGATGGATTAAACATTCACCTGAGGCAGCTTACCAGGGATCGCAGCAGTGACCTGGAGATACTCTTGCAGCAGGTCATAACATCATTACATTGCAGGAATAGTCCTACGTGACTCGATATATTGACACGACATTTCCCAAGCCCAGCACGTACAACACATACCTACTCTACCTAGGTACTTGCCACTTTAAAAACCGGTGTTTCCTTTTCGTGCACGACAATGGTTCTTCTTCTCCTACGCTGACATACACATTCTGCTGATCAGGTCCGGACAACTTCTTAGCGCACCTCATCATTTGTGAATACGAAATTTCTTGCTGGATCAACGTCTAAGGTGTAATATACAGTGGCCTGAAGTTTGGCCGATGGCTCGCTGAGATAGGCGTAGGATTGAGAGGTCGGTAGATATTGTATATAAGGCTGGTACGTACTGACTGTAGCTTTTCGATCGATCGTTCACAGCTTAATCCAGTGACGTTACAGGGGCCTGTTACGTGGCATCATGGCGGAGATTGGTGAGTTTGTTTCATCGTCAGTATGCGATCTGACCTTACTTCCAATACATTCCTCGACCGCCGTTGTTATCGCGTCCCCTCGATCATGCGATGTTACTTGTTGCCTGTGTTGTTATGTTTTATCCCGGATGGATCCTCTCCTTGATCCCCGCCATGACACCAGGAGGTTGTGACCTTCAAAGCTTCATCCCATACTCCAGTCTTCACCATCGTGGTCTTCCTCACTGCTACCATCATCTTCGATATCTACGGGCTTTGCCTCAACCTCACACTTCCTTGCATAGCATCCAGTGTTTTCGTCTCCGCCGATGCCGATCCCGGTGTAGAGCCCATCCTTTATCTCCTCGAGAATTTTGTCCTTGTCTACTTGACATGTATTATTGAGATTGATACGAGCGAACATGATCTTTTTAGCACGAATGTTAGCGACGTGCGATGTCGTGTGTACTGAGTCGATGCTCGTGGATCCTTTTCCCTGATCGAAGTCCGTCAAAGTCGCGAAGCAGGTGTCGATAACAATGTAGACGATTTTCGTTATTGATTTCTGAGATTTTGGAGATGTTGAAGCGCTTATCCGACCAGAGCCGAATGTCTCTCCGAGACGCATGTTGGCCTTACGCACTACCTAGGTACCCTGCAGCGGGAGAGTGCGTCGTCAACGGGCAACCCAAGGACAATCGTTCGATTGCAGTTCCGGGGTCGTTCGCGATCCAACTAAAGTAATACTTTGGAAGGCCTGTGCATCGAATTAGAAACTGCAGGCCAATTAGAAACTGCAGGCCAGCTGGGCGTCAAGCGGTTTACCTAGGAAGATCGGGGTATGGGCTTACTTATCTATGTGCCAGCAAAGTGATCTGTCTATCGAAGATGCACGATTAGTACTCCAAAACATAGTGTGATCCACATATGACATAAAGCCTTACTGTGGCTGCAGGTCAGCTGAAAGGAACTCTCCTTTCGCCGGTCTGACCCCTGCGTGCCTCGTGGGTTCGGAAAATTTGAAGGTTGTGAGGGGCACCACCAAACTTTTCTCAGGTTGTTCGTTGACGCCACACTGGAAGTGATATCGTGAGCGGCTAGTGGGATGATTGGGTGAATTTGTCAGGACCAATCCATGGAGTGGATGCAGTGATCCAACCAGAAAAGAAAGGATGCAATGAGAAAGAGGCGTCGGCAGCCTTGGCCGTGAGCGGGTTCTCACGCAGGGCGGGGGCCATCAACGGGTCCTCAGAACCTAGCCCCAGGAAGCAATCGACATGGACGTGCTGGCGTAATATGTTGGTTCAATCAGCGGGTTCAACCAAGCCCGAACGTTGGATGGTGTCTGGTAGCAGTGGCGCCAAAAGTCCAGACCGCAGGCAACTACCGCCAACACATGTGGACCGTTCCGCAGCTTTCTCGTAAGGCAAGGGGTTCTACAACCTTCTGTTTTCACGATTTTGGGTTCCCATAGCCAGATTGCCCAGCTTCGTATCTGACGTCTTTGATCAGGAGACCAATTGTTAGCACGTTAGATGCGTTTCGGAAAGATTCTGGTTTCCTTTTGGCCTTCCATGCCGTTTCTTACCTAGGCTCCTTCTCATACTAGTTAGTTCCCACCCTCCCAAAGGTTGGCAATGCCCGTCGATGAAACAGCGGCATTGTCCAGAACTCCCTTTTGGTCATTCGTCCGCTGCAGCACTTGAGTCGTCAAGGGATGCGCACCGAGACGGTACCAGACACTAAGTGGCGTCACAAACACAGATTGGATGAGCCCTGCCTAAATGCTCCAGGTTCTCTCATCGGACCACATCTCCAGTACCGTGATCTCATTCAGTCATGATATTTGTAAAACCAAGAGAACTAATGTTGAACATATCGCATGGGCCCTCTTCCCAACAGCAGTTCCCAGGCGCCAACAGGTGGGGAGCTGGAAGGCCACACAACAAGCACGCGGCAACCTCGGAAGGGCGACCTTGCCTTCGGACCGCTCTCACGGCTACAGGTAACGGAAGCACTCATCCTAGAGAAGGGTTTTGGATTGTAGCCGTCTACAAGGGTGTCGCATCGAGTTGTCAGAGTCACGATGAGGGAGTGAGTCAACACACTCCCGAATCATAAAACGACAGGAAGCCCTGCACTCTGCACAACAATCACTGAGTCTAAAATGTCTTGAACAACGTTTCTCTTACAAGATTCCAACCTGGCTTAAAGGACTTAGATTGCCAACAGGTGCCTGCGATATGCAATCTTCCAGACCCATCACGTCAAGCACATCTTGTGCCGATAATAGCTTGAGAGGCTTTTAGGTACCGCAACTTAAGTAAGGATTCTCTCGACGAAAGCACAGTGGCGATGTTCGGACCCCGACGATCGGTGCAGTGCATGAGTCGTCCTCATGGATAAGGCTTCTAATATGCATGTAGACAGCATCGGCAAAAAAAAGTTTCGCATCACGTTTGTGACTTCACGATCCAGATGCGTTCCCCCCCGTCTTCGCCGACGGCCCAGAAAAAAACCTTCGTGCCGAGCCGGCGCCGATCAACAAATTTTGAAATTCACCTCCAAGCTTGTTCCCCTCCAGAAGTTGGCAGAACAAGCAAAAGGTACTGGTGGCCAACACGCCTGGAATTGCAAACATGGCTAATCGAAAACAAAGTTCGGATACCAATCCTCCGAGACCACCTCCAGTAAAGGCATCGTCGTCACGTGATACAATTTCTACACACGCAAGCATAGCTTGCTCTATTGGGTCTTCCACTGTGTGTTTCACTTGTGAATTGTGCTTATCGGTGACTTGATTGCGGCGTTGAAATCAGCACGCCTTCTTATTTCCCACGCGACAAACGTCTCTCGCGCTTGCTTTTGATCACAGCTGCCAGTCCCGCCTTCAGGCTCTGTCCCAGACTACGCAATGGCAACAACGATGCGCACTCTTCTCCCACTTCTTCCACCTGAGCTGCGAAACTCAGTCTACAGCTGCCTCGCATCCTCACCGACACCCACTAACTCCGGTCTCCCACTGCAGCTCAAGTCCTACACCTGCAAACACACCCTCGTTCAGATCTGCCCGGTGCACTATGGCTCCACCGACCTGCTCGCACTGCAACGCTACAACTTCCTCGAAGGCAACGAGTACCGCACCTGGCTCCTCAATCACGACATAACGCTACGCATCGGCATCGTGTTCAAAGGCCGCGTGAACACGTTCGTGCAAGAGCACTGGGACAAGAAGATCGAGACGCACCTGCACAAGCTGGCGAAGCTGCATCCCTGGCTGCACAAGGTGGCCAAGTACGATGTGCAGGTCTTGTGGGACGCGCCGGACGGCGTGCTGAAAAGCAAGCACAACCGCCGCAGCGCGGGCCAAATCCCGAGGGCCATGGTGCGCACGCTTACTGCGTTGATGGATGCGGATGTGAGGAGGAAGTGGGGCGACGTGCAGGTCAGGTTGCGGTTGGAGCACCATGTTGCTGGTGTGGCTATCCGTTCATCGCCGCGGTTTGGGCTTGGGGGTTTCCTGTCGCTGTCGTCTGATGCGGCGGAGTTGGGGTGGGCACAGCATACGTTGGAGGTGTGGAAGGAGCCCTGTCCGCGTGTGTTGCCGCGCAAGTCGGCGCGCTTGACTCCCGTCGTGACGAAGCCAGAGGAGAAGGAGTTGCTGGCGTCTCGTGGCGATAAGGTGGAGTGGATGGACAGAGGACAGGGGACGTTGGTGATGAGGAAGACTACCGTGGGCGAGAAGCGGACATGCGCAAGTTTCATGGATACAGGGATCGCATACCACTCGCCAACCGAGCTGATGCTGTTCGAGCTGCTTGAGGATTGCTATGGGCGTAGATGACCGCTCTCTCGACAACAAACATTCGAATTCAGAAGACTTGATCGAACATCAGCCATTGTCCTTATGATTCATGTCTCTCTGGACATGTTTTGTAGACGATAACCTTGGACTTCTGAGACATGTTTAGGCTGGACTTGAAGTCACAGTCGAAAAATCGATAGTATACACTGCTTGCACTAGAACGCTCATGATGCTGTTATGCACGAACGTATGCTATCTAGCTACCCGCTAGCCACTGGTATCCCACAATCGTGGATAATGTATGCGTCTGAGCCCCGCAAATGGCTGGCTGATGCATTTTTGCCGAAGTCCTGCAAAAACTCCGTTACTACTCAGTAATCCATGCCCTAGAGTTGCGCTGTAGCACAACTACATTGGTCATCCTTCGTACTTCTCTCTTGATTTCCTACGAGTCAAAGAAACTCTTTTCTTGGTTCATCCATGTCTCCAAGATCGGCACGTAGTTGTAGTCCACATTGCGCATTACCAGTATATTCTGCATGTGCCACCTGTGGCACTTGTAGTCCTTGTGATACTGCAGACTGAGTTCCCTCCACGTAGAATGTTGCATGTCTGGGAATCGCGCGCTCAGGTCCTGTGCGCCATTTTCAGCACAGCTTCCAGAGCGGAACTTATTGTCAATGACTCGGATGCGCTCGACACTGTCCACAGCGGTGTTGATGATCCTGACGAGCATGGGCACATCGGCGGGCGGCACGTCTGTTATGTCGATCGTCAACGTCAAGAGGGTCAACTCTTTCATCAAGTCCCGAAGCTGGCATCGCCAGAAATACGTCAAAGTTGGGGGACTTGATGCCACTGGAGGTTTGAATAATTCCCAGACCGTGTCTGGTGCCATCCAGCGCATGCAATGCAGCAGAGACGCCTTGCCAAAGTGGAAGGTGATGTGCCGTAGCTCAGAACGATTGGTAGGTCCCAGTTGCCAGAGGAACTTGGTGAAGCCTGTCATGCCGAAATGGAAGTTTGTACTGCAGAAGATGTGGGGCACCAGATCCTCGTTGGCGCGTTTGGATATCCGAAAAAGCTTCGATATTGTGATCGGGGGTTCCGACACCAATGAAGAACGTCCAGCACAGTCTGTATGACTAAGACAAATATCGCGAGTGTAGCCGGCCGCCTTGTAAAGAATCTCGTCCTGCAGCTCTTGCGGTAGTCTAAGGAATGGCCGGAACAGCGGGCTTATCTTGATGATATCTTTTGCAGAAGCAGGAGCTCTGAGGTGCCTCGAGCGAGCTGAGGACGCGGGCTTTGGGCCAGATTGGTGATCGATGTCGACGAGGTCGGAGTCGTTTGCGGTCCAAGTAGTGGATGTCGGTACCTGGGTGTTGTTGATATACACACTGAACGAGCTAACGGTCGTTGTCAATCTGCTAGCGTTGACGTTCACATTAGAATGGCCAAGTTGCTGAGGGTTGGAACTGCAACTTGAGATTGAGAGTTGCTGGGGATCAGCCTCCCTCTCCTTCCCAATGTCCGTATGCTGAGCAAAATGAAGCTGGTCAAGATACTGACGAGCGGTTATCCAACCTGACCCACTACGAATGACCAGTAGATAAGGCGCAACCTGAGCTTCCCTCTTCCCCCGCACTTTCTGTCGAGAATCATGGGCGTCATACCGCTGAGATTTGAACAAGCGGACAATGATGCTCTTCGATTTGCCTCTAGCAGACGCATCAGTCAAGATGCAGTTGACCGACATGCCCAATTCCACATCTTCAGTAGGGAAAGTGCCTTGCGGATGCAGACTGATGCTGCCTTGGAAGTAGGCGGACGAATCGTGATGGGATGCCCATATTCTCATGTGTTGGTTGTAGGCCTCGCGACGAGTACATTTAGTCCAGAGCTTGTTTGCTGAATTACGCGGAGTAGGGCTTGCTGGCGGCGTGGCCTCAAGGCGCTCTGGTGAGATATAAGTGCAGGCGCTCGTTGTTTTCACGCCTCTCTTAGTCCCATCAGGCTCAGCAAGCTCCGTTGCGCTGTTGAAGACGTGCATAGCTTCATAAGGCGACCGGGCATGTGGGTGAGACATATCCTGATGCTAGAGCTCGCTAATGAACCAGAAATCAGTCCCGTCGCCGGAGAGCAAGGGTAGACCGTTGAAACTAACGGCGGTTGGTGGTTCGTAAGCCAGCACACAAGGCTGACACGGTTACACGACCGTATAAGCGACCTTTGGTTTAGAATGCCGTGTGACGCTCAACAGTGATCCGCAGGCGTTGTGTGAGCAAGTGTAATTCTTCAAAGAGGGGATTGTTGAGTCTCTCAAGAGACGCGCATATTGCAGTGTGTATCCTCACACGGCTGACTTGTTTCAAGCAAACCAGGTGTACACATATAAGGTTTGTGGGGTGAAATGAGTAAGCAGTACCGTTCCAACTGGACGGAGAGACAGCCTGTTCGATCAAGCAAAATCACGGTGAGAAGTGAAGGTTTACTAGAACTTCATATTAGTCGAGGTCAGCTCGTAAAAGAGCTGTGAAGGTGAAGAAGCGAAGGTGCCCGTGGCCCGGTGATCGATGATCGAGGGCGCTAAAGGGAGTGACGCACCTGTTGCATACGCAACGCTAGGCTGTTTCCGAACAGCACGCGTTTGCAGGTGAAGGGTACATTCATCGAATTCATTTGTAAAAGTGGCTCTGTGCCGGGTATCAACAGTACCGATCCTAGAAACATAAAATCAAGACGCCCGAAAGAATGCTCATCGAGGTGTCTACAATCATGCCCTTCCCTCAAGCCATCCTGCTGCCCTCTCTAATAGTGCATTGAATCCCTTAACGTTCGCTAGTAGCCCACCGCCGCGTGAGCCCACATCTCTGCTTACTGTTTCCAGAAGCGTACTCAATGGAACATCCGGTCCCTCATCTTCTCGACCTTCCTGCTGCGCCTTCTTGCGACCGTTCTGGACAGCGACCTCGATTTCAAACATGTTATTGCTCAGTGTGTTCATTGCCTCAACCTTAGTCTTTTCTGTCTCAAACTCTGCCTGAATATCATCATGCTCAAGAGCAATTTCGTGTCGACCGTTTTGTAAAGCTAAGATATCTTTCCGCAGCTCAGCGTTGTCCCGTTTGAAGAATCTCAACTTCTTTAGATTTGTAGTCAAAACGTCGTTCGCATCTTGAAGGTCCAGTAGCTTCTCATTCAAGCTCTCTTTGAATGATAACGCTAGATTGACTTCGCTTCGCAGTTCTTTACGACGCGCCGAATCTGAAGAGGTTTGAATCTTTTCTAGCATCCTGCTGAGACGGCGGTCGATCGCTTCCTCGAGTATTGTCCGCGTAGTATCCGCAACAGTAACGCCTCGTACGCCATATCCCTTCATGCGCATCACAGATATGGCGAGCTTGGGACCAAGAACTTTCTGTCGCTTGCGTGGTGGCTTCTCGCTGGGAACCTTTGAACGTTGAGGCTGCGTCGGAGACGCGCGGTTTGGAGCCGGTCTCGGGGTAGTCTCTTGAGCGTCATCTTCTACATCCAGTTCCTCCTCGTATGCTTCCGACTCTTCATCAGACACATGTGCTTCGTCCTCTGTCCGCCTTTGGAGTCTGGGGGTAGCCAGTGTTGTCCGCCCAGTGTCAGGTGATAGCTCATCTGGCTCTTCGTTGTCCGACACCTCTTTGACCATAGGTTTTTTGCTTCTCTGCGTCCTTTCTAACTGGCGTGTCGCTGGTGTCACTGGACTCTTGGCGCCGCTTACACGATCCGACTTGGGCGGCCTGCCTCGTGGGCGGCTTCTTACAGGTATGGGAGTGGACATGGTCTCACTATATGTTTCCTGAGCGACTGACGCTATTGTGGCGGGGACTGTTTCTTGTGTAGGAGAAAGCTCGTCGATGTCTCCGTCACCGCCCTCTAAGTCATCAATTGGAATCGAGTCCCTCAAAACCACTTTCGGTGTTGCGGTGTTGTCTTGGGCTGGGGAAAGCTCATCCGCATCGTCGTCTTCAACTTGAGACCCGTTTGACGCCGTGTTCTCGACCGTCGTAGACATAACAAACGAGTGTCTAGAGCCATTCTGCGGTTGCATGCCCGGTGTGACTGGAACAATGTCTGATGACTTGGACCTTCTTTGTGAATTTGTCGACGCGTCGTTGCCGTTTATGAGGCCTGCCACAAGGCCCGGTGACTTCCCAGCCGTAACCGATGTCTCATCTATGATCGACAGCTCATCTGGTGCCTCGTTTGGTTCCTCAAGTACAGGCGAAACAGTCCTTGCGAGTCTTCTGCTCTTCTCGACAGAGCGAACGTTCTCCGCCCGGTCTGGACTCAGCTCGTCCTCTTCTTCGACGGAGGCATCTGGCGCTGTTGTCGAAGATGCACGCTTTCTTTTGCCCAACTGTGGAGTCGCGGCTTTATGATTCGGCGTAGGATTACGTTGCGATTTGCTGCTGCGCGGTGCTGACAAGCTGCGGTGCTGTCTGGCTGATCCATTTACGTTGCGCGGTGTGGCCTGGACTGGTGTTTGCGACCGTCGCCCCGATCGCTGTGGCGGAAGGGACGCTTGTTTTGCGCTTAGAGCGCCGAAATTGAATCCAAAGGACGCCTGGACGGTTGAGGCCCTGGTCGCATCAGTACGCAGTGTTTGTGTGTGTGGGCGGACTGTTTACCCTGCGCCGCGCACGCGCTGTTGACGATGCTCGCGTCGATCTGGTGTACGTCAGCACACTTCTATGTATATATGCGACACTGGTTCTCTTACCAACAGGCGCCATAGCGATAGCGGGACTGGCAATCGAGCTCAAGGTCGAAGACCGTCGCGTATGAGGGTGGGCGTGTTGTGACGCGGCGGCCGCTAGCAGGGGTGCGCACGTGCCAGCCCGGTGAACGATGGACGATGGACGATTCGCGCATACACTTTTGACATTGTTCAGCGATAATTCATCTGCTGTACCCGCCTCACCGGAACCATCATGGGCTGGCTCTGGAGCAGCAGTAACGAGTCGGACAAGCTCGATCCCTCCTTGCGCGACTTCCTGAAGAAAGAGTCGCCAACAGGCCCAAAGCCCGCCCTGCCCACCGCGCCTAAAGAGCAGCCTGTGCAGTCTACACCAGCGCCTGCGCCGCCTACACAAGCACCCGCCGAGTCCGAGAAACCCTTCATTCCGCCTCAATCGCAGTTCCAGGACGGTCGCTATGCACACCTTTGGAAGGGCTACGTACCGCAAGACGTCCTCCTAGAGCGAGGAAAGAATGAGCAGGACAAGCTGAAGGACCTCGTCGATGCCTACAACGGCCGCAATGCTTCAATCGCACAGGTTGCAATAGAGAACTGCGCCATCGAACAAATAGAGCAGTTCGAGTGCTTCAGGAATCCCAAGCAATGGTTTACGCTAGGTGGGCTGTGCAATGCGGAGTCGAGGAAATTCAACCGCTGCTACGACATGCAGTCGAAGTTTCTCAGGGCACTTGGATACTTGACAATTGAGGCGCGCACACCAGATCAGGACGAGAAGATCCAGATGCACGCCGACAAGCTTTACCAACAGATGCTCCGGCAAGAGGCGGAGATCGAGAAGGCAGAGAAAGAGGGCCGCGAACCACCCAAGTTTGAGAGCGTTCTGTCCAAGGCCAACATCGCGCGAGCCATGGCCGGTAAACAGACCACCATCACACCTTTGGCTGCAAAAGGCAGCGCCGAGCTCGAAACGGAAGAAGAGATTTGGTCTCTGATCAATCCCGAGGCGCGCAAGCAGTACCAAGATACCATCGCTAGGCTACCACCGAAGGATCAGGAAATCGAACGTATGGCGATCTTGGGCGAGCTCAAGGCACAGCAGGGCATGACCAAGCAGATTGAAAAGACTTTCATCGAAGAACGCGTGCAACGCATGAAGAGGAAGGAAGCAGGACAAGCCACAATAGGGGATACCATCAAGAGCTGGTGGGGCTGGGGCTGAGAGCAAACAAACGTATTGTACGTATTGTGTATAACTAAGTGTAATACGGTCCTTGTGTTGACACGACAAGTCTGTTCCACTCAGTGTGTTTCCCTGCTCGTGCGATGAACCAAGCCTGACATTTCAAGTCTTGCTTGTGTCTCGTAACGGTTCTTCTTCCCCAAGTCAGCTCTTGCAACTCGGTGTCTGCGATACATCTTCCATGGTTATTGAAAGCCATTCTTCTAGGTCAAGGCTCATAGACACGAGAAGGCCTGACCCTGCTAAATCCATTACCGGCACCAATTTGGGGGCTTCTCATCGCCGGTAAGTTCAGATACGCAAGGTGGCACCAATAGCCTGGGGTGGAATCAACCGTGACGACGCACTAAGAATTTATTCATCCCACTACGTCATCTCACTCGACTCCACGCCTCAACACCCACCGCATTATCTGTCGGGACGCGGTTTCACCGACTCGCCGATTCGGAGACCACAGCAGACTGCGGAATGAAACGCCGTCGCCCTGTCGGCTGCCACGGCTAGCCACTGTCAGCACACACGGGTGTGGCACACGTGGTCGTCAGATGTACATGGTGCAGCATGACCGCATGCAGGGCGTCCGAGAACGGGAATAATCAGACAAAAGATAATTATTGTGCTAGCTAAAGAGATATCGTACAGAGGAAGGGGCCTGCAGTCCAGACTAAAAGGCATCTTCGCCCTCAAGGCATCACATCCCAAAACGCCCTCGCAATGCGCTCCAACGACTGAAAAGCACGTGTATAAAGAAACTGAGATTACATATCGTCGTGATAGGCTGCGGTTCAGTCAGCAGCCAGCCCTGCTCGCGCGTCATTCCCGCTTTGCCACCCGCACCCACATCCCAAACGCCGGCTCCCCGCCGGCCGCCACAGCGCTCTGCACCACGCCTCCCGCGCCCGCCGCAGGGACCCGGAGCCACCGCCCGTTTCATACCTTGCTCCAGCCCAGCGACTCGCTGCGCCCCTGGTCCGCGCCCCAGTACTCGCGCGCCTTGGTGTAGTGCCCCTTCTCCCAGCCATCGGCGAACAGCTGTCTGGCGTGCTGGGCGCGCGCAGCATTGCGCGGCTTGAGGTCGAAGGAGAAGGGTATTGGCTTGGCGATCAGCAGGATGGAGTAGTCGAGCGTGGGGTCTTCGGTTTTCTGCGAAAGCTGCCCCCATTCGATTGGTCTGTAGCCTGGAGGGAAGGGCCGCGCTGGGCGCGCGAGCTCTAAGCTGGCTTTTTCTGACGGCAAGTCGGTGTTTGTCAGCCCCGTGTTGAGTTCTTCGGTGGATATTGTGCGTTTCTTGTTCATGCCGGTGAGGTGCTCGGGCTTCTTGGGAACGGGGGGTTTGTCTTGGGAGCGCTTGGAAATATTGAAGAGCCATGCAATGGACCCAATGCCAATGAAGAGGTCTTCGTCGGCGACTGTCTGTCCTTGACACAGTCGACGTCCGTAGCCGAATTGGGATGAGTTGATGATGGTAGGGAATTGGGTGAGAGGCTCTTTGTAGGTTGGGTACTCAGGCTTCAGCCACCGCAGAGGGTTAAATGTCTCTGGGTCGGGATAGATTTCAGGGTCGCGCGATATTGCCCTGCACATGTCAGTAAACTCAATCGACAGGTAATGCGAATCCTAACTTACCACTCCAGAGGATGTATTGTGCTCCCCTTGGGAATGTGGAAGCCTTCAAATTCGTCGTCTTGGATTAGGTAATGCGGGATACCTGTTGGCACTGGTGGTCGCCAGCGAATCAACTCGCGGATGATAGCGCGAAGCATAGGCATGTTCGGACGGTCTTCTGCGACAGGTAACCTGTCACCGCAGACACGATCAATCTCCTCTTGAAGCATCGGTAGGTATTGAGGGTAATACGACATAGCCAAGCAGAAAGACTGCATCGGTGCCGCAATCGTCAGAGCCCCAGCGATGCCATGCATGCCGACCGCATAAGCTCCCTCAAGATCAGACTTGAAGCCGAACTTCGCGGCCCCCTGAGAAAGGAACGTCTTCATCCATGACGCCGGTGCGGCTTTCTCTTGCATGTCGCGCTCGACTTGGGCCTGCATGGTCTGAAAGAAAGTGCGCTCGGTTTTGGCCCGTCGCCTCTCCCATGCCTTAGCTGGCGACATCCAATCGGGCAGCGCCATCAGGAAGGGCAGCTTGTTACCTAGTGCTCCAGTCGGCGATACACCTATTAGAAGCTCGCGTGCACGTTGTTTGAGCTCGTCGCTGGCTTCAGCGTGGCCCCACGCCAGGCGGGAAGTGACGCGAGCAATAAAGGACTCGAGAGCGTGATTGTACGACCCCGGTTCCTCGAGCAACTCAACGAGCATGCGCTTTGCTTCCAGCTCTGGATACCGATGGAAGGCTACCTTCTCCGACTCGCGCATGATGACATTAGCGAACTTCCTCTGGCGGGTGTGGCCCTCTATTTGAGGTCAGCAATGTATCGGTATGTGCGCACGCTGTTGCATACCATTTCTGCTCAGCAGAGGTAGGTACTGGGCACTAGTACGGTTGTCGTCGAGCAGTGCAGGAATGTGTGGGCGATCAGAGTAGATGGCAGCCTTCTTCGACAGAAGGTCGTGTGCAATCCTCTCGCTAGAAATCCAGACATGGTTGGAGCCAGCCAAGTTGACCTGGTAGATGGGACCGTACTCCTTGCCCCAGTCTGAGAATTTGATGAACGCATTCTTTTCAGGTACATCAGGGACGGAACCTAGGATGGGATAACCTGATTGTTGTCAGTAAGTACATATTGCTTACTGATAAAGGGTGGGTGCTCTCGCTGGAGAAGTAGATGGGTGCATACCTTTCGGACCAGGAAGGGGCTTCAGTCCTGTGGGAACCCTGTGAAGGCGACATGATTCCAGGTACCTGTACAGTGCATATGCTCCCAGGGTAGTGGCTACCAGGATCAATGTGAGGAGTGCCATATTGACGGGATGTGTGATTCAACCTCAGATGTAACAGTTCCCAGAACTTGGGGCAGAAGCACAAAAGATCTCCAAAAGCTTTGCTGGTAGCTTCTGGAGCGACGCGTACTACATATAGATCTGCGAGTGTCAGAGTGGGTCGGCTCTTGCGTGGTAGGCCGTGCCAGCTGCCCCAGTATAGCAGCAAGTGGTTTCGAGTATCGATATCCGCGCACGGTGCAGATCTGGCGTGTCAGTGCCCACCAAGTGGACCATATTCTGACAGCACATAGCGTCGCATCTTAATAGAGCACTTCGCTTGTCGCAAATCCGCCAGTCTATAGCTGGTCATCGTGCAGTTCACTGGTCTTGAGGACTTCAGTTCAGTTGGACACAAGCCCTTGGCTTCCGGCTCGAGTTCTGGTCATGGCTTGGGTGAATACCGGAAACACCACAAAAGCCGGTAGCCAAGAAGCTGAGGATATATTGCCTTGTTGTTCAGAGCATGGTCATGGTGCCCACGCTTTGCAGCTTACGAAACAGTGCAGCTTATTCCCACTCACGCCCGCGGCGCTGCAGCGTAACATACTAGAAGAGAACCATCGTCGAATGATTAACGCGCAGAGACTGCATTCTCACCGTTGGTTCCACCAGTGCATCCGATCGTAACAGCTTCGCTTCAGTGCGCACAGCTCCGCGATAGGAGCATTGGGTGGCGAATCGCCTGCACATCGATAATCTCCAAGGTCTGTACTCAGTGTTCCTCGGGCTATAGTGGATGTTTTCAGCTTTCGAAACGTGGAATCGATACTGATGGTGAGGTAGTCCTATGGGAAGTCGAAACCGTTCTAATTCTGTACTGCCTCACAGCCAATGAGCGTCGTTTAAAACTGCGCTTGCACCGTTGGGGTGTAGCCTTGAAACAGATCGTTGCTTCCAATCCAGGCGGTGCCTCGCACTTCCAGCCTGAATCTCCCACTGCTTCCAAGAACTTCAGACGAGGAGAGCCGACGTCACAAGCCTGTCTCAATCCATTAAACTTTGTCCGCCATTCGGTCTTTGGCGTGCGATCTCCATGTTGTTGTCATGGTCCTGCATAGAGCAGCAAGTGGCTCTTCGTGTTACCTGTGCATCTCCGGGGCCTCTCACTCGCGGGATGCATATGACAAGCCTTTTCAGCAAGACAAGCTTTCCTATACATCAAGCATGTGGGGTGGCTCAACACCATGTCCGCACTCACAATCGCAGCCTTGTCCAGGGCAGATCTTTCCCTGCGTGTCCCTCGAGAGACTGGGCTTCCCCCTCGCAAGACTTCGAGACATGTCAACTCACTTCCAGTCGCTCTATGGATACGCCGCGCATTATTTTCTATGACTGAGTCAATCAGACTTCGCCCTACCCTTGTACTTCACGACGATGCTACACAGCGAGATGAACGGTACACCCCTCGGCCGATGCTTTAGTATGCATCATATTCGCTCCCAGCTTCCGCAGAAGCGGACGCCACCGCGATCGACTCTGGCTTTACGCGCCAACGCATGCACTGATGGGTCTTGGCGAGCATGCGAGAAGTCGTTTGCGTTGTGCACCCAAGCGCTGACAGCAGGAACTGACCCCTGCTCGAACGTCATGCAAGAGGTGCTGAATCGGACAGTCGATATTCGTCTACACAGCACCTTTGTTCATGCTCCACCTCTTTCAGCATGCATGACAGAACCTTGAGCTGAGCCTGTGAATGTACGACGTATCGCTGAGCGATATTCCCTGTCACTCTTCAGGTCAGAACGGCGAACCAATTATGACACTCCACCAAAACTATGATTACCATGTCATCCTAGGCATTCAACTTAGGCATCATACGTACGGCAAACCTAAATCCCACAATATCGACCCTGGTTACGGAGTACGGTACGGCATCCGCTGACCAAGCCACAGACAGATTGTCAGAACACACAAAGAATACCCATATGCATATCGGAAAACAGGCCGCGCGTCTTGTGGCAGGTCAGAAGCCGGACTCAGGCGGATCTATTCCTTGCACAACGCCGGCTACGACCAGATTGATTAAGCACAGTCTCGATACCCTCCAATCATTCGGTTACTGTACCAAACCGGACATTGCAGACGCCGGCATCCAGATGCGGTGTGTCGAGCACTATTAGATGCGAATTAGCATAAGCGCCAGAGAGAAAAGCCCCCTGTCTCCTGGAGCCAGAGTTGCGAGCCAACTAGGTGCTGCTCTCGTAGGTTCCGCATTCGTAGGTATTTCATTTTCGCTCTCGTGCCCGTGTCTAAAGAGCCACGCGCTCTACCTACTCGTTCGTGGTCTACATAGCCATTTTGGTGTGGACATGAATACTGTCCAAGCTCAAAATCTGATGAGGTACGATGCTGCAGTATTGCTCCGGTGCGTTGATGCTCGTCGGTGGCTCATATGCATGCACAGTAGTGTTGATGTGGCCTCACACTGAGCCCCGCCGCTACATCGGACAGTCATATGGGGCCGTTGGGGCAGCCTCTCAGCAGGATGACGGTGGTGCTGCATCGGTTGCCGGTTCACCGAGCAAGGACTGATGACCACGCGATCTCCTGTCTGTATGTCGATGATGGTTCTTTCTTGGTCGAGGCTTGTCGACGTACGCGGCGTGAAGAGAGTGAGGTTATCTGCTGATGTGATCAAGATGTTTATGAGCAAACCATACTGGAGCTAGGGATGCAGCCTTTCCGCCAGCATCCTGCTCACAGGTTCGTGGTGCCTCTTCTCTGACCGGATCTCGTGAGCGTCCGCTGATATGTGAGATGGGCCCAGCGATATCACTTTGAGTGTCGAGACGTGTACGGTCAAGTTGGTGGCGAGCATCTAAACGGCCTTGCCGCCTGAAATGCACCGTACATGCAGAGCTGCGCACTGCGGGCCTACCGAGCACATCCGTCTGCATCTTATCCAGCACGCGACAAGCATGTGACACAACATCAACAGACAGGGTCAAATGCAAGTCCGCAATCATGTATTGACGCCGCCCAATGCAAGTCTAGGGTATACACTTCTCTACTCACACCCCTTCTCACCGGTGCCACTCTAATCCATATCCTCCAAACTACTCTTCTCAGGCGCGTGCTCCTCCGAAACCAAAACACCAACCATGCACTCGCCCAGCATATTCTCCCAATTTACCCATGGATGCACCTCCATGAAGAGCTTCGTGCCGTCCTTGCCGGCGGCTCTGCGCAACTCGCCCTCGCCACCCGGGTGGAATGGTAGGTAGGGGCTGATGTTGTAGACTTTACCTTGGTAGGCGGACCAGGCGTCCTTAACAGTGCCCGTCGCACGGTCTTTGCGGCCGTTCATGGCCTTCAACATGGATGGCGTGACGCGTACCAGCGAGGATACCCCGGATAGGTTGCTACTACTGCGTTGTAGATTGGCCCAGTCGAGCGGCGAGTGGCCAGGGGTGAGCTGGACTTTGTTGCGCGCATTGGGTGTCTTAATTATGCTCGGGTTGCCTGATGGCGGCAGGGCGAGGGAGCCGTTTGAGGTGGGCGGGCCTCTGTTCGGGATAGGGCCGCGGTTTGGGATGGGCCCGCGTGGTGGTATGAGGCCCGGTGCGGCAGGTCCACGGGGCGCGCCGAGACCTGGAGGCGCAGGTGCGGTAGGCAAAGGGCGAAGGCTAGACGCAGAGACTCGTGGTGGTGGTGCCATGAACGAAGGCGACGACGAGGGTTTCGCGGGTGGAGCCATCCTGCCGTTCGCGGCGGGATACGCAGGAGGTTGCATGGAGAAGGTGGGCGGCGCGGACTTTGAAGCTCGCTGTGCTGAATTCAGTGCTGGAAACGAGGGCGGCGGAAGATTGTCTTCATCTTCGCTATCACTGGAGCTGTGGTGCTCATCCAGCGTGAAGGAGGGAATGGCGGGCGCATTTGCGGTGCTGGCGGAAGCCTTCGGTGTAGTTGCAGGTGAAGTTTCTTCGAGTTCTATGTCCCTCGCGCCTTGCGACTCTGCTCGTTGCTGTGTGGCGGGGCCATCTCCATCATCCCTCTGCGACTGTTTCGGGGGCGCCGCAGAGGCCGGCGCGGGGGCGAAGTAGGCAGGCCATGTCGACGGTGGGTGGTGATATATCAGTATGGACAGCGATATGGCCAGGACAGTAACCGCAACGAGCATCTCTCGAGCGTGCAGAGCGAGGCGAACGGGGGGGTGTTGGACCCTGAGTAGAAAGTCGAGCTCGGCAGATGGCCCCCAATGACCGAGAGACCCCTGTTGCCGCATGGCATACCGGTAAGGCTGAAGCGCGCTAGCTCCCTATGATCTCACTCGCAGCATCCGTCAATGCCGTCACTGTGCATGTTGAAGTTATTGCTGTAGGTAGGCTGTTGATATGTTTGTTTTAAGAAGACCTTCTTTGTCTTAGTACCTAAGGGTCACCAGGATTTCACTGGAACCCTTCATCATCCAGCCGCTGTTACGCATTTGATACTAGCTCCACCGGTCGTCTCGACCGTAGCCCCACCACCCCTCCGTCCGCATTCGCAGTCCATATCAGTGACCAACCCAGCCTGACGCATACAATAATTCAGCATCATGGCCACACCAGCCTCGAGCCTGCCCGAAGGCGTCATGTCCTTGCTGGACACAGATCTATACAAGCTGACTATGCAATGCTGCATCCTCAAGTTCTTCCCAGATGTACAAGTCACATACAGCTTCACCAACCGGACGCCGGAGAAGAAGCTCAGCCGCGCCGCGTTCAAGTGGCTGCAGGCGCAAGTCCAAAGTATGGATATCCTGATAATGTGGCTCAATATCGCTGATGTCTTGCAGAGCTCGATAATATTCGCGTAACGCCCGAAGAGCTCGACTTCCTCAAGAAGAACTGCCCTTATCTCACGAGCCAATACCTCATCTTTCTTTCTGATTTCAGCCTCAAGCCATCGACACAGCTCAAGCTCACTTTCACCCCAATCAACGACACTGGCGCCGACGAGGACCTCGGCGATTTCCGCATCGACACAGAGGGGCTATGGCTGGACACAATATTATACGAAATCCCGCTTCTCGCCCTCGTTAGCGAAGCGTACTTCAAGTTTGTCGAGAGAGACTGGTCGCATGAAGGGCAGGTCGATAAGGCATACCAGAAGGGTATTGCGCTGCTGAAAGATGGCTGTATATTCTCCGAGTTCGGCACAAGGCGGCGGAGAGACTACCACACACAAGACCTGGTTTTGCAAGGGCTACGCAGAGCAGCAGACGAGACCAAGGCAGCGGGCTGGAAGGGTAAACTCTCAGGAACGAGCAACGTGCACTTCGCTCACAAGCATGAGCTGGTGCCCATCGGTACCGTTGCGCACGAGTGGTTCATGGGTGTCGCCGCCATCACAAACGACTACGAAAACGCTAACGAGATCGCGTTGGAGTACTGGACCGCGACTTTCGGCGAGGGCGTCTTGGGCGTTGCGCTGACCGACACCTTTGGCACCCCTACTTTCCTCAAGGCCTTCAAGAAGCAGATCCCCAGTGTGACGACTGCTATTGAAGGTCGCAGCAATACCCTACCATCCGCAGCAGCCATCAGCACACAGTCGCTCGCAACGACAGAGCCACCGATCCACGCGGGTCTCGAGCGCGCAGATCGACCGAGGAGAACGTACGCGGAGGTGTTCTCTGGTGTGCGCCAGGACTCTGGAGACCCGTTGGAGTTCGTCAAGATGATGCGCGAGTTCTACGACCAGGAAGGTATCAAGGACAAGAAGACCATTGTGTTCTCCGACTCCCTAAACCTTGACTTATGCTTCAAATACAAGGCCGCCGCCGAGGCTGCCGGCTTCCAGCCCACCTTCGGCGTGGGCACGTTCCTGACCAGTAAGCCCCCCCTCGACCGACTACACTGCGCATGCTCTAACACCGCACAGACGACTTTGTCGAAAAGTCGACAGGCAACAAGTCGGTTCCGCTCAACATCGTCATCAAGATCGCGTCTGCATCTGGGCGCTACGCTGTTAAGATCAGCGACAACGCCGGTAAGAACACGGGCGACAAAGCGACAGTTGAAGACGTGAAGCGGCGGCTGGGATATACGGAGAAGGAGTGGGCTGGCGGCGACGAGAAGACAAGATGGGGATCTGCGAAGGAGCCTGCTTCATGAGCGGTCGTGCTACACTACCAACTGGTTGGATAGTTTGGTCTACGGCGACAGAGACCGTTTCAGCTGGCTTGAGCTGAGTTGGAGACACTCGATACCCCAAAGAAGCGCATTCTGAAGAAGCCGATACTGCCACTATTCTACCTTTACATCCTTGCTGATATCCATATACATTACAGAACCGGTATACACATGGGAGTTGAGGTGATGCGTCATCAACTCGACGTGTATCGCGGTCTGTGTCATACCACTCCGCAAGATTAACATGTTACAGGACGGTCAACAATCTCACGCGCAATTTGTCTCGAGTTCTCCACCTCTAATTACTGTATTGCTCCTGTATTACCTGTTTCCTACACCCAGGGTATCAATTTCTCCAAACGCCAAAACTTCAGACGCCAGAACTTCCGAGAACGACAACGACAATTCCACGCAGCCAGAGCTATCCATTCAGAAATCGCCTTCTCCACTAGCGAGCACGCAAGACCTTACTCCAAAGAGATTACCCCAAACGAACAAGCAGCCCCTCACGGCCTACGCCACCCACCCAAAGGCCTCCCCTCATCCCTCGTCCGCCTCACCCTCCACCACGCCACCCTCTCGCCTCCGCTCTCAATCTCCTCCTCACCAAAATCCCAATCCAAAGCCCTCTCCCTCTCCCGCCGTCTGCGCTCTCTCGCCTCAACCTCCGCCTCAAAATCAAATCCAGCCCCGAAATCCGAATCAAAGTGGACATCCACGCCAACATCCTCGCTCACACACCGCGCCCCGCGCCATACAACCCGCACGCCCAGCTCATCCGCAGACCCCGCACGGATCCGGCGCCGCACCGTCGTCGTCGGCGGAGAAGGAGACGCGCGCCGCACCACGCGCCGCGCCGCCCCCAGCGCCGCAACCCGGCCCCGGAACTCGCGCTCCTCGTCTGCGTCCTCGTCTGCTCGCTCGTCGGCGAAGCTCACGCGCCGCCGCCGCTGCACCTGTCGCTCGCGCTCGCGCGACCGGTCCGTGTCCTCGGCGCACGAGTCGATGCGGGTGTCGCGGGTGTGCACCGGCGACCAGATGCCCCAGCGCTCGAGGCGGGAGGGGGTGGGGCGCGGGGCGGGCGTGTGGGTGTTGGTGCGGCGGTGGGGGTGCGGGTAGGGGTAGTCGTCGTCTGAGGAGGAGGAGGATGAGGAGCGCGAGAGGATTAGGCGCGGGCGTTTGAAGGATGGGCGGCGCGGGGGCGGGGGTGGAGAAGGTGTGCGGATGCGGATGCGGTCGCGGCCGCGTGAGCGGGAGCGGGTCCGGGTGTGGGTGTGATGGTATGTGAAGGCGTCCATTGTGGTTGGTTGTGTGCTTTGTGTATGCTAGTAGGGTTGCTCGATGGTGACTTATATAGTGGAGAGAGAGAGAATGGGAGAGGGAGGGTGGTGTTTATACTTTACGCTAAAGCAGCCAGCAAACACGACTTTCTATCCTCACCGACCCGTATGCCTCCACTGTCTCACCTGCCTAGCCGTGCGTTCACGCACGCCGGCCGCCGCACCTGCACCGCCGCAGGACTGCGCCGCGTGGCTGGGGCTCTGCGCGCGGGCTGTGATTGGCCAGTCTGGCGCGGTCGGTCGGGTGCACATGAACACCCTGGCCGCACGCGCGAACACGCTGGGTGCCTGACCAAGTCCTCTTGCCTTGATGTCGGTCACGATGACGCGTGGGCTGCGATGGTGTCGGTGCGGTGAGGACAGCGTGCGGGTGCCCGAGTTGCCACGGGTGGCAGTGAGTCTGGGAGGGGTGGGGGCCGAATGAGTTTGAGGGCGCCAGGTATGAGTCTGGGGCGTCTGGGAGGCCGTCTGGCCCAGATCCACGTGTGTAGTTTGCCTGGTCGTCGTGATGGTAATCTCGCTCCTGCTGATCAAGCAGCCGCGCAGAGCCGCATGTTAGTCAGTGGCTCTTCATTTGGAAGACAGCAATGGAAGGTGCGCTGCAGTATCAATATTATATTCATCGAGTCAGGTCTGGTGCCGCTCGACTGGTGCGTAATCAACTAACTTACAAAGGAGCCCTCCCAGTTCCCTAAGGTCGGCTCGTCCATCCACGAGCGCTCTGGTCCGTCTCTTGTCCGGTTGCCGCACGCTGTTGCAGCTCGATGCAGGTGTATCTTCAGGAACAATATCAGGTAATTACGAAACGAGTTCAAATCCAACGCCATACCTGCCGTAGCATGGCATACCATAGCAGGAGTGATCTCCATCACATGACCGCATTACTCTCCCTACGCAGAACGATCACACTGCCGCCATCGCACCACGCGCGACGCGGTGACTAACCAAGGAAATTCTGTTGTTGCTGTTGCCCGGGTCGCGGAAACACGCTTTGTGTAGGCACTTGATCCATACTCATCCCTCCTATTGTGCCGCCGCCGGTGTTCTGCCAGCCTTGTCCTGTTTGTTGATTGACAAATGCGCTCTGCCTGAAAGGATTTGTACTCCCGGTTGCGTTCACTGTGAGACCTCCTGGTGGACTCGTGGCATTCTGTGGAGAAGGGTTCCTCGCAAACGGGTTTGTGCCTGTCGGCGTTGGCTGCAACGGTTGTGCTTGCTGTGGCGGCGCGAAAGGCGATGCCTGGAAAGACGGGGCACCGAACGGAGATGAACCCATCGGTGGGGGCGATTGCTGTTGAAAGCCTGGCGATTGCTTTGCGAATGGGTTGGTCGCAGAGCGACCAAGTGAACTTGCACCGGTGGGGTTGCTCAACAACTTCGGCTCGGCCGCGCCCGTCATGCTTGGTAACATAGACTGACGGAAGGGATTGGTCGACGTTGGCTGTTGTTGCAGTGGCTCAGCAATGGTGGGAATCTGCATTTGCTGTTGCTGCGAAAAGTCTGGCATGCCGTTCTGGGGTATTGGCGCAAGACTGTTTTGCGGATTGAAAGGCTGAGGCGTGTAGCCACCAAATCCTGCGCCAGTGAATTGCGGCTGTAATTGATGCTGCTGCTGCGGCTGTTGCTGTTGCATCCCAAAGGGATTGGTGCCTTGTGTGTTTTGTGGCATGAAAGGCTGCTGCTGCTGCTGCTGCTGTGGAGCGAAAGCCATGTCATTGGCCGTCTGCTGAGGCATCTGGAAGGGCGGTTGTTGGAAACCCTGCTGCTGAAAGCTTGGGTCGAAACCTGTCTGTTGTGGGTACTGCTGCTGCATCGGAGCTTGTGTAGCCATGGTCTGCTGATTGTCTTCCAGGGAAGCGAACAGATCAATGAGAGGGGCGTTGGCGTTGACATTTGGTGCTGCCTGTGACTGGACAGCGGGCTGGCTCACCGGCTGGCTGGCTGTCGTTGGTCGTGGCTCTGCCGCCTTGCTGGCCCCGTTCGTGGCCTTTCCTCCACTCTTCTTGGCGTCCTTTTCTGCGATGTACTGGCGGCGGTTGATTTCGAAGTCTTTGTCGTTCAAGTACTCCTCCAGTGATGCTGCTAAACTTGTCGGAGCATGCTTGATCTTGGGGATCTCTAATCTCGTCGAATGCTCGTGTGCGCGAGCCAAGCTAAGGTACTGGACGACCGATTCAGTCTGCCTTGCAAACGTTCGATAGATAGCCAGGGCGCGGGTCGCGTCAGGTTTCGACATCTCGAAGTAGTGTTCTGCCTAGTTAGCATAGTCGCAAGGCAGCTCAACCGGTAGTCTTACCTAGGACGTTGATCACACCCTCGTTCATAACGTGGAACAAGACCAACAGATCCATAGTGAGCAGTCGGAATGCAGTCAGTGTGATCTCATTTTCCGGCTCATCGTCGAATGGCTGTGAGGTCGTCAGTACCGCGTATCTACACAAGACCGTCGTTCTTACCTGGCATTTCAGCAGATATCTAATTTGCTCCTGAACGCTCTCGCACTCCCGCAGCAGGCCTTTGTCGACGGTCAATCGCTTGAGACGGCCTTCGCCGCCGCGCACGTAGTCGACCTTGGTGGTGCCATACTCAATGGCACGTCGGAGGAGGTACTCGGTGTATGTTCTGATGTTGTGGCCTTGGGTCTGCACTGTTACACACGCGTCAGCATTGGCGCCGAGAGGGGTGTTGGCCGTGAAGTCGCGGCACGCTGCCATTGCGACGTCCTCTCAGGCTCGGGCACGTACCCTCTGTAAACGAATTGATCGCGAGCTTGCGGTGCGGGTTCTGCGCCAGGTACTTCAGGGTGACTTCGGGCTCGCCCTCGCGTATCATAAGATGCACGATGATCAGGCCCTTGAAGACGATGGTCCATGTCGAGTCGCGCAGGCGGTTCTGGAGGGCGCGAAAGATCTCGGCGACGCCTGCCTCGCCTGCATGGGTCGCGACGAGGATGTGCTCGACATACTTGGACTTCGGGGCCGCAAGCTGGTGGCCGTGTTAGCGTGTCGCAACGGGCAGACGAGGGCGGCGAGCAGTCGCTGCGCTCAGCGGGCGCGGGCGTACCTTGATCTTGGTCCCGCCCTTCACGCTCTTCTCGAAGGAGCTGGCCATGAGGCCCGGCGGAGGCTCGAGCCGGGGGCTACCGGGGGCCGCAGCAGACGTCGATGTGTGCTGGGTCGCGGGTCGCAGGCGGTCGAGGGGGTTGCGGCGCTGACTCCGCTGTGTCTATCGCAACATGCCGGCGCTGCGGTTCAGAAAGAATACGGGGGGCGCGTCTATCAATGGGCAAAGGGATACGGCGTTCGGGCAGCGGCAGCACAGATACGTGGTTAGTGTAGCCGGGGTGCTGCTCGTAGAATGAGGACGGGCCCACCGCGTCATCGCTGCCGACTGCCGCCCAATGTTTTGAGGGGCCCGATGCCAAACACGCTGACAGCTGCCCCGCCTCTACTGCAAACACGCTGCAAACACGCCTAACCCCGACCGCACACCATGTCCAGCGACCCGTCACCCGAGGAGCAGAAGAAGCTCGACGCCGAGGCCAAGGCCCGCGAGCAGGCCGAGCAGGCCGCGCTGCCCTACAAGTGGGACCAGACGATCAAGGACCTCGACATTACCGTTTCGGTCGAGGCAAAGTACAAGGGCAAGGACCTGGACGTCAAGATCGCCCGCAGCACCCTCAAGGTGGGCATCAAGGGTCAGCCGCCCATCATCGACGTGCGTCCCCCGCTGCTGCAGGCAATGGCCCTCCTAACATGTCGCAGGGCGAGCTCCCCCACCCCGTGCGCGTCGACGACTCGACCTGGACCCTGAGCACCACTGCCGCCGGCAAGGACATTGAGATCCACCTCGACAAGGTCAATCAGATGGAGTGGTGGCCGCACGTCATCACCTCGGCCCCCAAGATCGACACCAGCAAGATCCAGCCCGAGAACAGCCAGCTGGGCGACCTGGACGGCGAGACCCGCGGCATGGTCGAGAAGATGATGTTTGACCAGCGCCAGAAGGAGCAGGGCAAGCCCACCAGCGACGAGCAGAAGAAGCTGGACATCCTCGCGCAGTTCAAGTCGCAGCACCCTGAAATGGATTTTTCGAACGTCAAGATGGGGTGAGCGCTGGATGAAGAGCAGAAGAACGCGCTATGAGACACGATATCCGATGTCGATATGGGAATAGTGCCAGGTCCTGCAATGCAGCGAGGGTGGTCTGGCAGGCCGATCAAGGTCTTGTAAGAGTAGAAAACACAGGAGACTACACGGAAAAGGGTTGCAGCAACGCGCCCAGCGGTACGGAATCATATTGTGCAGCAGCTACCTGTACATAAACAGACATCAGGTGGCCACTGGCTGACCGCAGGAATGAGTCGGACGAAGCTATTTGCTGTTCCTAGTGACGTCCACACAGAAGCAAAACATTCCCGTATCACCATTTCAAGGAGTGAAAACAGTTGGCTGTACCCCTCTCCCTCCCAACACACCAAGTGCCAGTTTTCACAGACACCCACCTAACGCAGACCCTCAACATCCATAACCGGAGCACTTCGACGTTGCGCACACAGTCTTAGTTTCGACGTCCGTCTTCGTATCAGGAACCTTAGTCTCCTTAGTCACAGTCTCGAGCGCCGTCTTCGTCGCCGTAACAGTGAGGTACTCGGTTTTGGTGGAGGCGACGTAGGACGTGCCGGTAGAGCTTTTTCGCATCAGTTTTGTGAGCCACTTCGAGCAGCATCAAGAGGTTGCGTACGTTTCCTTGTTTGTTTCGACTTTGATGGTGCTCTTCGTTTCAAGCTTGGTCAAATAGGTGTATGTTGTCACGGGAACTTTCTCGCTGTGGGTGTAGGTTGTGAGGTAAGTTTTGGTCTGGGACAATTAGCACGGGTGCTTTGGGTTCTGATAGGGGACTTGCCGTGGGCTTGTAGAGGGTGCTGGTGTATGGGCACGCTGATGACGTGGTGATGTACTTGGTGCTGGTGGAGGGATACGTGTCTGTCTTCGTCTTGGTCTCGTAGTAGGTGGACTTTGTCTCACCGATCTTGGTCTTGGTGTGGTAGACTGTGGAGCAGGTGCTCTTGTCTTTGTCGCCGCCGGGGAAGGCTGCGCCGGCAACGAGGGAGGCTGAGGCCAAAAGAGCAACGATCGTGGCGTAGAAGAGCATGATGAAGGGGCGAGCTATGGTCAAACGAAGGGAGTGCAATAAGTTTGTAGTGAGATTGAGGATTTGCTAGTGCTGGTGATCATCTTCAGTAGATGTACTGCTGCCTTTATATAGCTTTCCGAACTTGTAAATCGCACTTTGAAGGCTCCATACATCAAGGCCATCAGTGATGCACATCGAAAACGCCTCACGCACCGCGATCAGCCGAAATCGATAGTCCGTCCCCCCTCGCCAGATGCCTTACCGGATGATGACCTGTATCTGCTTGGAGACTCGCCTACATCTGAGTCGATGGAGCTAGGCATGCTCGCGGTCCTGCGTCTGCAAGCAGTGCAGTCATGGTCTGACGTAATGCCATTGGTGGTCAAGATGTATGTAACAACCAGTCACTACCCTGATTGGTGTGATCAAACAAGCAGTATATACCTGTATTGCTCTTGACTACGAAAGAGCTGAAGTAGTTCAGGCATGGGCATGCACATGCTGTGCTCTGGTGAGATCCCTAGCCGGATTAGGTCATCTGTAGCACGTACTGTTGGCAGGTTGTAGCAATCTCAAAGCTGTCGCCGTCATAATCGGTATGTCTTATTATAAGTACAGTATGCTCTTGTTTTAGCTGTCAGTGCAGGTTGCAGACGAGGTCGCGGTGCAAAGCCCTATGATAGAACGATAAACCAGCCACATAGCAGCAAGTATTTGAAAGTTCGCTTGCAGCCTCTAGTGACATGCCATGAAGCCTTTCACATTGCTTAAGCCCAGATGTTGTCCTTGAGCCAGTGACGCAGGAGCTGCAGCCTATACGAAGATGCTCATAGGTAATTCTGGAGCAATACTTGCGAAAAATAGCGACACGTAACTGCAGTAGATTTGAGATCCGAACGGTGTCGACGATAATGGTGCCACCTTCCAGCTGCGATCACTTCAAGCAGGGCGCCTTCCATTTGAAGTTGTTCCCGATGTTTCTCCGCTTCGCCTTTGACTTTTCGTGAACGAGAACAACAGCCTCTCGTAATACGCCATTGCTCCTTCAACCCGCTTCTCATCGTCTTTCAATAGTCATCACGCGATTCTTTGATCTCCGAAGTTACTGGTGCAACATCGGATCACCGGCAAGGAAGTCTGCTTACTTTCACACATCGTCTCGGGGGTCCGCACGCGCTGCAGCAAGGAAAGCTGATCCTGCAACTTGCCGACCAGATTACCCATATTACGGCACCCCGGATTACTTGCGTATGCGCTATACGATTTCATGGAATCCATACAGAAACTCCCAATCATTCGCATGATGACACGATCATCCGCTCCTCCGGCCAACAACTCTGCGCCTCAGAATAGCCCCCAGAGCAGTCCGCCGCAAAGCAGCCCGCCGCTGCAGCCACCACCCGAGTCCGCCTCCGAACGCACGCCCATTACATCAGCTCGATCGTTGCGCCAGCTGTCGGTCTTCTGTATCGGTTCAGCGTGTCTGCTTGCAACAACAGCAATCACACGCAAGGCTATCTGGCGGCGGCAGCTTCGAGTGAAGCCATCGTTCTACGCAGCGAATACAAATCCACACGAGTTCTTCAGCCCAATGTCGGATGCCTTACAAGCGCTCAACATGGCTACAATGAACTGTTTCAGTGTCGGGCTTATGATGCTTGGCGGCACCATGTGGACATTAGACATCGCGAACTTGAAGGAGGCACGATCCATCCTGCGGGGACGATTAAACTACGACTCGATATACCGATCAGAAGACGATGCGCCGAATGGACTCGGCGAGACCCTGCTCAGAGCGGGGGAAACAAGGATAGTGGAGGAAGACGAAGAAAGCACTGATACAAAGTCTCAGTGACTACCATAACCCGTAGTGTAAGACTAAGGATGTAAGAATAGTGTACATGTCAGCTCAGCTGAGCTATGATATCAGTAGGCAGGCTGGCCCCCGACCGAGAAGCGCCTTGCGAAAGCAGACCAGTCTCCGGCGAGACTCAAAGGCTGCATCTAAGGAAATCAATTCAAGCACAGCATCTTGACATTCTTGATGTCAAGCGAACCGCATTACCAAAGCCCCAATCTCTCAAGACTATTAACGTTCTGCAGGTAACACAGGCTCGGACCACGTTTGGCCTGTGCGCTGGCGACTGTTGAAGTCCGAGTTCTGTACCACACTCGGGTTGCCTGTGTGTAAGTTCTTCCAGGATTGCCAAGCGGTATGTTACGAAATACGATGGGTTTCCCCGGAACAAGAGTTTGTACAGCTGCAGACTCCTGCGAAGGTCATCGACAAGGACCCACTCGTTTTCGACCAAGCGTCGAGGCTGGTCTATTCGCCATGGGGTAGTACAGCAGACACTTCTCAGCCCATCTCGGTCCCGACAATGAAATCAGCGTTCCCCATCATGAAAGCTAGGTTGCCCAAGTATCATTGGTACGGGAAGTGACAGCAACACGATGCAGGAACTTAATGCCGCGCCAAGTGCTTGTATGAATCACAATATCCCGAGATTACAGCGCGCTTACCATGCTGGTTCTCAGTTCGGTGCTATTGTGCTGAAAAAGGCAACCTGACGCTACTCAAGGCTACTCAGGGCCTCGCTCTGTTCAAATTGCCTCCGACGTTCCGTCTACACCATGCCCATGATAATTTCGACAAGGCTGAAACGTCCCCTGGACCTGGAAACTTTCGCCGGCTGAGGAGCCGTGGATGCCACATCAACGCCATCTGCCACTCTTGACTATATTTGTGAATCATGCCTCTCCTGTCACGAATTTCTGATCCGATGTGGGAGTGTTCAGCTACCATGTCGTTTGGCGTGGTTCATGTACCACTTGCAATTAGCATGACACGCAGTGGTCTGGGCTACCCTCACTGACAGATGTGCATGCATGTGCCTTGATCGAGCTTTTGGTCAGTTGGAGGTGGAAACCTCTGTTTAGTCAAATTATAGCTTTTATAGACCTTCCATCCAGACTCTACTTAGTTGGCGCAACCCATTTGGAGCGCGAACTATGATGTGAGTCCAGCTATTGCCCGAGAAATAGCATCTTCCAATCATGACAATGATCGGCATGACAGAGGCGTAAGTAGAAACCATACTATCGCCCTGATGCCTTCTCCACAGAATCGTATGAACATATGGTCTAGCATCCTCAAACCAACCGTACTAACCTCCTCGTACAAGTCTCAACTCCCTCTCCTTCCACCATTTATCAAAACCCGACGGTTCTCCCAGTTCACTCCTGCTCAAGCTCCGTATCTACACCTTTGGCAGCCCTTTCTCCTCCTCTTTCGGCACCTTAGTCCCCATAACCCCGTCCCTATTCGCCCTCCACACGCCCTCTCCCCCCTCAAACCTCTCCAACTTCCAAATCTCCGCCCTATCCTTGGTTAACTCCAGTGCCTCCTCGCCCGCCAACCACGCCGCCTTGCGATGCGGCGCACTAACCGCCACAACAATACTCTCCTCGCCGATCGGGCACTCGCCGAGCTTATGGCTGATTGCGATCTTGGTGCACTTGTGCTTCTCCAGCACCTCTGCCGCGATCTTGAACAGCGTGTTCTTGGCCAGCGGCGTGTACGAGGTGTACGCTAGACTCGAGACGGGCAGGTCGTTGAACGAGTCGCGTGTGCTGCCGATGAAGAGCACGGTGGCGCCGGCGCTGGGCGACCGCACGAAGGTTGTTAGTGCGCGCGAGTCGAGGTCGTGCGGCGTGAGCTCGATGTAGATGTCGTCTGTGGCTTTTACGACGGCTTCGGTGGGGATGGAAGGGGTGAAGGATGAGGGCTCGGTTGTTGAGGGGTCGACAGACATGGTGGGTGGGTTTGACGGGTCGGCGGGTTGGATAGGTCCGAGAAGTGATGTTTTGGAATCCAGTGGAGATGGTGGGTGGGGGTATGTTGGATTGTGAGGAGGAAGGAAGTCTCGCAAATGTTAGTATCGATTCAAGCGAGATAGTGCTTTCCCGTTATCGCTTCATTTTCAGGTGTACTGCTGTATTTGGAGACTGTTGAGACGACATGTCCAGTGCTTGATGAGAGAGGAAAGAGGTAACAAGCTTAACCCCGCCTACACTACGGAAGGATGAAAGGTGAAATTATCTGGAGAGACGACACAACGCATGCACTTTCACGGTTTACTTACCAAGCTATGACCTGTTGTGTTCCTGTTATCGCCAGGACGTGTGCAGTGCTGCTGAAGATGTAATGGTGACTAAGGTCGCGTGGGGCTTGCTGTGAGCAACTCTGATTGGCTGTTATCTGCAGTCATTCACGAATTGCAACTTTGTGAAGTGTGATGTCATAGTGGTATATTTGACTTGTACCTATAACGGTAGTATGGTATCTAGAAGCCGTAATTCCTAACCAACAAAAGAGAAGCACTCCGTTCTATCCAAACACGCGTGCAATGCAAAGCCATCGCGTGCTGCAATTAAGCAAATCGAAGGAAGGCAGCCCTAGGCCCGTGCAAAAAAGATACTAGTATCGCTGCCTGTGAGTAGGGTAGGCTGGACGATCTGCTCCAGACATCATGGCAAGACGAGCAGGATGGATTCCGCCATTGTCCGGCTCGGCAGCCTCCTCCTCGCCGTTGGCATTCTTGTTGCCCTTCTTGGCTGCGCGATCGGCCTGCTTCATCTCAATTTCAACACGCTTCACACGGTCGTTTGCGCGCTCATCGTGCAGTTTGTCGTTCTTGACCTGGATCTTCTCGCGTCGTGCTTCGCTGTTACCGCCACCACCGGCACTAATCAATGTTAGCACATGCTGAAAGAATTTGATACGTGAAGGTTGTCACTTACCTGAGCTCAACGTTGATCTTGCGACCTTCCTTCTTCTTACCGTCAGGAAAGACAGAGTGGTGATATTTCTTCAGACATGTCTCCATGCGGTCGAATCGATCGAACTCGACGAAGCAGGTGCCCATGAATTTGTTGGTGCCTTTGTAAGTGCGTAGACGAATCTCAGTCGGCTTGATCTTCGCAAAGTGCTCTTCGATGGATTCCTTGGTGGCGGTGTAGGGAAGGTTGCCTGTACTGTTTAGCTGGTGTTCGACTGTGACTGAAAGATTGTGACATACCAACGAAAACGATGAAGCGGCCCTTCTTGCCAGCTGTTTGTTCAGTCTCTGCTTCAGCACCAGTCTCGGCCTCGGCTTCCTCTGTCGCAGCGTCTCCGTTGACTTCAGGCTCTGCTGTCTCCTTGGCCTTCTGCTCTTTTTTCTCTTTTTTCTCCTTCTTCTCCTTCTTGTCCTTCTTCTCCTTCTTTTCCTTCTTTTCCTTCTTGTCCTTCTTGTCCTTCTTGTCCTTCTTCTCACTCTTCACCTCTGCGGCAGTGCTATCCTCCATGGTAACGTCTTCAGTCTTCTCATCTGTAGGTGCGTTCTCAGCCTCCGCCTCCGTCTTGGACTTCTTGGATTTCTTTTCTTTCTTTTCCTTCTTGGATTTCTTAGTCTCGTCTTTGGGGGTTGAATCGTCGGTTGCGGCCGTAGCATCGGTCATGGGAACGTCGTCATCGACTTTGGTGGATTCGGTAATATCGTCGCTGGTTTTTGACTTCTTAGACTTTTTCGATTTCTTCTCAGACTTCTCTTCGGCAGACGTAGCCTCGGCAGCAACATCCTCTGCAGTATCTGCGACATCTTTGGATTTCTTCGACTTCTTAGAGTCTTTTGTCTTCTTATCCTTCTTGTCCTTCTTGACCTCCTCTACGGGCGCATCGGTTGTCTCGAGATCCTTAGACTTCTTGGATTTCTTGGACTTTACTGGCGCGTCTGCAGTGTCCTCTGCTTGCCGCTTGCGACTCTTCTCTTCTTTGAGTTCTGATTTGGACATGTTGGGCGCGTAGAAATAGCAATGTACTGAATGTCGAGGGTCTGGCGCGAACTTCACGACTCAATTATTTCGAAATCATTTTCTGCCACGCTAGCGCCACCGCCTGGCACCTCCGAAAGCTCACCACTCTCCGCAGGCCTTCCCACCAATGTCGCAACAAGAATATGCCGCCTCCCGTCCGCCGAACACAGCTGCCTCGGCAGGCACTGCGTCCATCCAATGCACGACCGACCGAAACCACATGCCCACGCCAATTCTCGTATAAGCACCCACGCCAATTCCTCATCACCCACACAGGCGCGTCGCGCCCGCAGCTCCCCTTCCTCTATCCCTCTGGTCAACACCTGTCCAGTGGGCAGATTGCGCGATTGTTCTCGATCAGCGCCAACCATAAAAAGTTCATCAAAGAAACAGCGAAATTGAGTGTGCGGTATTCGATCCTCATATTCCTGGTCTCGTCATGCGTCAGTGTCGCCGGTATGGGAATTTTGAGCGAGCAGCAGGAACGCGCATTCCCTTCACCCCATGAATGGAGTCTGATCACGAGGTTTCGTTTCAGAAGAGGGAAGTGGTGGCAAGTACCCGAGAACAACGAGGAGGAGGGCTTCCCGAACTGGGCGCGAGTCTATGATGAGCTTGATCAAGCGCTCAGTCGCTTGGAAGACCCAGAAGTAGATGGGGCTGGCCTGGCCGAGCAAGAAGAAGGAGGGACTCTGGTCCCTGGTGTCGGCAAAGCAGGATTAGACATCACTGCAAAAAGCGAAGAATGGCGACAGGGCTACTTTGAAGTACTGTTAGACATGGCGGCAGCTGCGGAGCGTCTGGAGGGATGGGTCACAGACAAATGGAGAAGATACGTATGGGCGCCCGAGTTCGTCGAATCAAAATCGAACCCACGACCGAAAGCCGTGCTACCGGGCATGCCAGAAGTGCCAGACGAGGACAGCCGTGTATCTGCTAGCGACAGTCCAGAGAGCTTCTACTTGAAGATCATCACAACGAAAGGATTTACCACACACCAGCGTGTTACTGCAGCGCTTGGCTACGCTGACTGGCTGAGCTTTAAGAAGCTGCCCGACTCGGCGGAAGAAATGTACCGCTGGGCGCTCGACATCGCCATCTCAGGCCTACCGACGACCGACCCTTCCACCGTTATCGACCGTCAGACCGCAGTACTTTCCTCGACCGCGCCGAAGGAGCTCGTTACACCGAACATCGTCTATGCTGCAACAAATCTGGCCACTTTCCTCGCGGAGCAAGGGCGAGTTTCCAGCTCTCTGCCCATTCTTGTTTCACTTCTACGTGCACGTCTATCCGCCGACACTGCACCTCTCTCACCCGGCAACAAACCACAGGACTCGAGTATGATAGGCACAATACTGAGCTTGCTGAAAGAGCCAGACTATCCTCCAGTACCGCCTTCCGGAGACGAGCCCCTCCTGCGTCGTGAGCAGGACCGCTGCGAAGAGGCTGCACTCAAGAATTACATCGGCGAAATCCTCTTTGCCACTGGCTCTTCTCCTGAGCAGCGTCAGCAAGGACTGTCCTGGGTTCGTGATGGCGTATCAACCTCGAAGACCGCACAAATCCTGGAACCCATTAGTGGTGATGACGAGCTTCGCAAGAAATGCGAAAAGTGCGAGGAAGTTGGCCTCGAATCATGGGGTAAAATTATGACATATCTCGCAGCTGAAGCACGCGATAAACGTGACTCCGCGACTAGCGGTGGTTTGACAGGACTGATCTGGAAGCTTCGTGGCACTCAGAAGCTTGAACAGGATGTGGAGGATTTCGAGGGCGAGGAAGAAGGTGTCGTAATGAGACTGAACAAGCTCAGAAGCAAGATGCTGAGGGATGAGTACGCAGAGTTGGATCGGAAATACGCGAGGATTTTCGTATTCTAGGTATCTAAAACATGTTGCAGGTGCTGACGCACTTCATATGTCAATGCTTTTCTCACTGTTCAAGCAGAGTCGGAAACAATTGAAGGTTTCATGGCAGTTCGAATACCTAAGCCAAGCTCCACGACAATCTCCACGAGCCTTTTCCTACACATTTTGCTTTCAAACATTGGTTTGTAGCTAATGCACTGTTGGAGTAATCGACTCAGAAGTCTCAGTGAACCCAATATCAGTGTTCAGTCTCTACATTGGTACATAAAGAAGCTTGTCAATATTTGATTGCTATAGGCCCCGACCACCCAACGTACTCATTTCCAGAACTTCATCTTGGAGAGAGTGCCGCTACTCACCGATTTCCTAGACTCAGATCTCCCCAGATGAGGGGTTTGTATTGGCTCGTGTACGACCTGTTGCTGCTGAGGGAACTGCACGTACGAGTTTTGAGGTATTGATTGAAGCTGCCGCGGCGATATGACTGGGAGTTGGGTTTCCCATGTAGATGCAACCGGTTGCTTCGGTAGCTGTCGCGAATACGATGAAGCCACTACAGGAGGTGATTGTTGAGCCGACGATTGCCGCTTCTGTAGGAGATTCCGCGAGCCTGTCTCAATAACCTTTGGCGCCAGCGCTCCAATCCAAGAATTGACGTTGAATCCCATGATACGATGAGGCTGTTCTCGGAAGGATGCCGTACCTGCATCGTCGATAACCTCACGTATTCGACGAATCTCAGGACCGTAGTGTTCCATGCGATAGAGTTTGTGTACAAGCCGGTCCACACCTGCTTCATCGAGGACGTTCTCTTTTCCATCTTCAATCTTGTGGCTCAAAATCTCGACGATCTCGACGTGCTCGCTTCGGTATCGCTCGAGCTCATGCAGGCGCCTCCTACTCGCACCCATTTGGACCTTCGGTTTTTCTTCTTTGATGAGGAAGTCGAGATACTCCACCGTAGCATCGTTGTAAGGTGTGATGGAGTTTTTCCGAAGAAAGAGGGTGAAGCGACCAGCAGCACGCTTAATCGCATCATACTCTTGCTGGAATTCTTTGATTATGCGTTTTTTGCTCTCGATTCCTCTTTCCCTGACCTGGATCAGATTGGCGTTTTGCTCAAGCTCACGCTGCACAAAAGTGTCCACTACCATCACTGTGCTTGGCTTGAGCTCGTAGCGTATATGGAGGTGTTCCTGCCACGAATGGTGGCAGAACCGACATTTGCCCACTTGTGATTTCCTGACGCCGGATTCTCCATCTTGGATAATACAGTAACATTGGATTAGTCCGGGATCTGCAACTTTGTCTTCTTGAACATTTTCTAGGTGACAAGGATCATGGCAGATGGTCTTGTAGACTGTTCTCAATTGCTCTGAACCATCTAGACCCTCTCCGATGCCACTTGTTTCGGATTCAGTGCATGCGCTGTTAGAACACACGGTTCGTGGCTGCTCAACACGCTCAGCACGAAGGGTTTGTTTTGACACTTCGAGCTTCTTCCTGAGTCCTTCCCGATCCATTTTACGGCTCTGGAGGTCTCTGAGATCGTCTTCGTTTGTGGCAATGCTGGCCTTGATTTTCTGTGCTATCTGTGCCATGGGTTTTGTGAGTTGAGTAATGACGATGCGTGTTTCGTTGAGACTCATTGTGCTGATTCGAATTAGTAAAAGAGTTCTCGACGTCAGGGGTTGATCCTATAAATTTACCTCTTCACCTGATGGGGCTGCAAGCTCTTAAAATGAGCAAGTAAACGACGCGCCTCTTCTGTCGAACGGTTCCAACTTCGCTCATAGTCGGGCCTGTCGCCAATGGTGACACCTTGTTTGTGGGCGGCCAGATACCGGAAGCTTTCTGAATCGAAACAATAGACTGTGTCTTTGCACAACTCAATTCGCGTAGAATCAAATTCTTTCAACAACTCTTGTAGAGGTTTAAAGGTATCACCAGGCTGGTAGTTGGAACCGCGTGTGTTGGTAAAGCCGAACACCATGTTGTTTGCCGCGGAGCGATGTAAATGTGTTAGGAGCTCCTTGACAAAGTATCGGAACATGACCGTCAGTCGGGAGTTGTTTGGCTTAAGTAGAATGAGTATGCCGTGAACATGCGTGTAACCTCTGAGGACCGACAGAATATCAGCCATGTTCTTCTTGTCTTGTTCGGCTCCTCTCGTATCACCGATGCCAGGTGTATCGATTAGGCGGAGAATCATTGGGCCTAGTGTGACGGTATGGACCTGAGTCTGTTGTGTCGCTGAGCGGCCTTTGGAGCCATCGTTCTCATTCTTGTCAGAGCCCCAGCGAATCGTCTTTTGCACAATCCTTCCACGAGGATCGTTCTCGTCTGGGAGCTGAGTCGCGAAAGAGAATGGTATGATATGTGTTAGGCTGGGTCCTTCCAAAGCATCTTCAAGTTGAGGATAGTGTAAGTAGTTGACAAGCGAATTGATGAACGTTGACTTTCCTAATAGAGATGAGCCACGTATTTGAATGCAAAAAAGATCGCAACGTACCAACCCCGCTTTCTCCCAGTATCAGTATGTTGACTTCTTCGTAAGGAGCCAGATTCTGCAAATGCCCATACATCTTGTCGTTGTCTGCGTACTTGACAAATGCTGTACCATGCGTCACCCTTGGGCATTTGAAGGTTGAGTCTCTGAAGTCCCACTGCCCGCAAGCACAGCTGAAGACTCGGTGATCGCTAAAGTCGACCGTGCTCTGGCATTGCGAACAGAGCCAACTCCAGAATACCCGTGGATCACAAGCCGAGCTGCCACAGGGAATCTTCACCGGGCGCCTGTGTACAGCTCTGGTGCCGTCTTTTGCGGCACGTAGCTTTGACCTGTTGTAGCTGATGACTGGAAATTTAGCAAGAAGTTCTTGTTTTTTCCATACATTCCCCTCCACAAGAATACCGTGCCGGTAGTGTGATATGCATGGCTCTGAGAGTGGTCGCTGGAGGCCATCACAGTCCAAGAGAGCAACACGCACTTGACCCTGTGACTCATCTAGAATTCTCAGCAAGAGCGAGGTCATGCCAGGCCAACTCTCACAACCCCGAGATGAGCGTTCATCGAATTCGAAGACGTAGGCATCTGCATATTGTCGTAGAGTAGCAATGTCGAACAATGGCTTCTTATACCCGTAGTATTTGGCACCCAGAGAGACAGCTTTTGTGACGAATTGAAGTAGTTGGTCAAACTTTTTAGTGAGACGTAAGATATGTTCAAGGTCGTGTTCTCCCTCTCGAATGCCGGCGACAAGTGCAGTCAGATCATGCATGGGTGTTTGGCCTGATCTGACTTCGTACAGCACGCGTGCATACACTGGCTGAAATGACTCAAATGCTGCACGCGATAAATCCTTCAAGTCCGAGATCTCGGAGATGTGTTCTTTCGCAACGTACGCTCGGTGGCTTCTCACGTAGTGCTCGTGTTGAGCCAGAAGTGCTTTGGCCTTTCGGAAGTCATCGAAGGCAGAGAGGATATGATCAATTGTCTCAACACTTGGCTGTATAAGCGTGAGACTACACTCAACTGGCATGGCTAAGACGTATTCGAGTACCATCGTAGGAAGAAGGGTGTATGTAAGAGGGTGCTCCATCTCGTCATATTTCTTCAAGATTGCGAAGAGACGGAACACATCCCTGAAAGCTGTAGGTTGAGAGCTTGTGAGCCCGGGTATATCCCCATCGACGGTGAAAATGATGTGTTCATCGTATGTCCGTGACTCGTTGTCGTCAAAGCCGGCATTTGCGCTTGTCGCCGTCGCCTCGAGGCGTCTGAAGCAACGATCGATGAGATCATTGTACGCAGGCTCTCCAGGAACCTTTGCAGACGCTATCACGACGCATTCAATCCCCCAGGTGATTTTTGCACAAACATGTGTCGCACGTTTCAACTTATCAGCATTCTGACTGAAGCAATACCTGACATCTTGGTTATTGAAGTCCAGATTCTCCTGAACAGTTGTGGTAGTAATCCGAAGAGCTTGTCGTGGCGGATTCGAGACATCGTAGCTACTCAAAAGCTGTTGCCGCCATGTGTTCATCGTAACCATTCCTCCAAGAACACTCGCTCCTAGGGGTGGAGGTGAGCGCATGAAGGCGAATTTGCTAGCAAGACTTTCATCTTTGAGTCGTTGAACCTCAATTGCAGGAACTTTGAGCTGCTGAGATACAACGGTGCCTGCCCGTACGGACTCAAGTACATGAAGCGAGAGAAATTCGTCCGATTGACCGTTATATAGGGTGCCTAGTGGAACACCATACGAGCTGGGAATTTTAATTTCAGACATCTGGTGGTAGAGAATTTGTACGTCTCTTCCGGGTGAAGGGTTCGAGATCGGATGCGGAAATTGAAATGAAGTAGTTGGCAAGAAGCAGCGCGCAAGCCTCATCAGAAGCGATACGCACTATACCTCTAATGTAAAGAAAACCTCAGCGCCTGCAGAGCCTCATAATCTGCCCAACACTTGCAGCCTGAAGCAGCGCCATAGGCGATGCCAGGAGGCAACTTCGTAGCCATGCAGGCGAGAACGCCGACACGGGTGACGGCGACGAGATCAATCCGGCTCTGACATGAACTGGAGGCCTGCGATAGGATGTGAAGTTTCGAAGGCTGAAGCCTCGTGGTAAGGCAGGCGCACGTTGAAGGCAAGACATAGCGATGTGAATCGAGATGCATGATCCTTCGCTGACTCAATAAAAGGTGCAGCGTGTGGCTGCGACGGGGTTCGGCCCGACTCCTTCAGCCTCGTCCATTACCACACAGCGACTCAGAATACAGTATTCGCCAGAACTGTCTAATTCCCCATCTTTATCAATACTCGAAGCCAATAGTCACAGAGCATTTGGGCTGTGCCGTGTCAGATTTTGTACGATACCACTTGCACGGAATACAAGCTGCACGTGTTATCGTCTATCTTGTACATACGTGCCCAGGCCCAAGTAACAAGACCGAACATTTGCGCAAGATCTGCCAACTCTCCTTGACGCGTCCTGAAGGTCCGTCGCCTTTAATGACTTCTCCAAACACAGTCTTAAAGCCTTCCTCCACTCTTTGCGCGTTTTCAAAGCTTGTGAAACCTGCACTAGCTTGGACTTCTACCTGCTCTTCCAATAGGATTGGATCTCTGAACATCTCGCGGTCCATCTGGAGCCACCTATACTCGGTTTTGGCTCGTCTGAACAGCATGACGATGCGAAACGCCTGCTGACACAGATCTGCCAGACTCAGTCTGATGTCCTTGAACTTCTTCCTCATATCGGACGAGCTATGATGCCAAAAAGGCTCCAATCTCTGATACAAAAGGCTCACTAGCTCTTCACATTTACTCTCGCTCAGACGGGTGCTGGGGTTAGAGTACTTGCTCAACTGACAAGTCCGAATCCGCCAATCCAACATCTCCTGTGCCGGAACTACGGAACAAAGTAAGCTTGGGTAATCCAGAAAGTATGATACGACATACCTTTGACGTCCTTCTCTAGACTCATGTGGAAAGTCGCCAACAGATTATCATCGTGCGGATCCAGAAAACCAAAATAAGACCGCCCCGGTGCAAATAGGTGAATGTATAGACAATTTGCTATTTGACGAACGACCCACCAGTTCTGAACATCGGAGGGCACCTTCCTGTACCAGGATGGGTTTCTTGCGGTCTCGTTCGTGCAATGGTTCTTCACAAACTTGAAAATATTGTGGCTGAGTGTACTGAATGTGTTCTCCACTTCCTGATCGATCGGGCCATCGTTATCGAGTCCATTTTCAATGATGATCTTGCGTAACTTCGTCGTTTTCGCTTCATTATCTCGCAATTGGCGTGCAACAGCCTGCTTGGTCTGTTCGAGGGTGTCCTTCAGTCGCTGGACTTCACCTTCCAGACTTCTGTTCCTAGCCGTGAATTCTTCGGTGACCTCAACGATACCGACATTCTGAGGGGCGTTCTCCGTTGATGACTGCTAAGGTAAGTTAGCAACCAGGATACGGATTTTCCTCAGAACTAACTGCAATTCCTAGCTGTGAATCTCTGGTCTGAGTTCTGAACTCTTCCATCAGCTTGGAGAAACCTTTGTCCAATCCCGACTGTATTTCGTTTTTACAGGTATTTCTGACAAGCTCTAGCAGCTCTTCTGATGAATTAATTCCGCTCATGTTTGTTGCGTCTCGAACAACGGCTCGGATAGATTCGGCGATGCGTGGGTATCTGCGCTCGATGTTCGTTTCTATCTCTGAAAAGGAGTCTCTGGCTGAGCTACGAAGTAGGATGACAATGAAGTCTCTTGATTGTGATCTTAAGGTTTGACGACTCATGTGTAGATACTCAGCTAGTGTACTAATATTTGACAGACTTAGTGGGTCCGTATGATACTGTCCAGTGTGAGGTTTGGGGGCGTTCCATTCATGAGTATTGCGCTGAGACCCATTCATGGAATACTGTGTTGCATAGAATGCGAAACTACTCTAATGCAAAGTATTTTAGGCTTACCAGGAAGTTATGTGTGCAATGTTCCGCATCATGACCTCGCCTCACGAAGCATGAACGCGCTCTACTTGGCATACTGACCGGTTTAGGGTCACTCACATGAAAAAAGGCTGATCGGTGGCTAAGATGGTGTCATATCGTCCCACCAGGCTGAGGGCCGAGACACTTTCTGCAGTCAGCCATCAGTACCCATGTTCGAGACGAGGCTGAATACGCTCAACCACTTCCTGGTTGGAAGCTCTACCACTCAATAACGCCACGGTGACAAGTCACCTGCATGATGCAATGACAGCAGCACAAGTTCATCTTTTTGGCATCAGGCAGAACCCATCCCGGTGCGTTGTAGCCGCCATCAGGCTCAATTCGCAGCCTAGCCTTCTCAGCCAACAGTATTATGCTTTCCTTTAAAATGTAAATTGAGTAAGGAGTAAGTCAAGTTCTCGCCGCTTCCATATGCCATTCCATTGCTGTACTGCTATTATTGTACAACACTCTCTCTCAGTCTAGAAACATCCATCTAAAGCAGCATGGGTTCGAAGGACCCGCTGCAGGACTTCATCAACGGCGTCAGCCTGGGTAGGATGGCTGTTGATGAGAGTCGTGACCGCTTGATCTGCGGGTTAGACTTTGGCACGACTTATAGTGGGTAAGGCGATTCTGTCCCATATTCAGAAAATCAAAAAGGTTGACAAGTGGCAATAGCATCGCTTACGCGTTCTCAACAAAATCGGACCAAATTTACTCAATCACGGAATGGCCTGGGGCACAAGGTCGCAGTGTACCCAAAGCGCCGACAGTGTTGAAGTACAGCTCCAAAGACGAGTTCAAGTGGGGTTACGAACTCGACAAGTCCTCAGAAGAGAAGATCGTGGGGATCAAGTTGCTACTGGATCCTGATCAGGAACGGCCTCTGTTTGACTCTGCGGGGTCAATAGCCACGAAGGCAGAACTAAAGAAACTCGGAAAGCCACCCATCGAAGTTGCATCTGACTACATTGCAGCAATGTACAAGCACGCCATGACAAAAATTGCGGGTACTCTTCCAGCCGAGTACTTTGAGATGTTGGAAAAGCAGTTCGTGTTATCTGTACCTGCTGTTTGGTCAGACAAGGCCAAGGACACGACCATGAAGGTAAACTACGTACCTGCTGTCTACTGCAAGTTCTTGGGCTAAAGTGTCAAACAGGCTGCAAAGAATGCTGGAATCACTCCACTTACGCTTATCAAAGAACCTGAAGCAGCTGCACTCTTTACATTCAGACAGCTAAAGAACAAAGGTCTTTCGAAGGGAGATGCAATTACGATATGTGACGCTGGCGGGGGCACGGTTGACCTTGTGTCCTACGAGGTTGTTGAATTAGATCCATTGGAGCTAAAGGAACTCGTGCCATCATCAGGTGGTATTGCTGGATCGATGATGATCAACCGAAGGTTTGAGGAGTTTGTGAAGAATACCGTTGGCGAGCGCGTTCACATCGATCTTAAGGAGAGCGATGCTTGGCGACGTGGCATGAAGACCTTCGACGAGCAGGTCAAACCCGGCTTCTGTGGTCGTGAAGACGACAACCAGTTTGTCAGCTTTCCAATGGCGAACATACCTGACGATCCAAACCGTGGAATCAAGGGCAGTACCCTAACTCTGACTGCGTAAGTTTGTCTCGACCTTTGCCTGTTTCCCAGACTCACTCTTGCAGAAACGATCTTTTCGGCATATTTGATCCTGTGTTTAGAGAGATCGATAAGCTGGTTGCAGAGCAGATCAACAAAGTGCGCATCAAGCGTCTGGAAGAAAATCACGCCAAGGGATCAAAAATCAAAGTAAGTTCAATGTAAGCCAGTAAAACTTCCGCTGACGGATAAAGGCCATTTTCCTTGTTGGAGGCTTCGGATCTAGTCTGTTTCTAAAAGACTCAATTGAAAAGGCCCACCCCGACATCCAAGTCATCCAACCGGAGAATGCATGGTCAGCAATTGTCCAAGGCGCCGTTTTGAGCAAACTTCCTCGGCAGGCAAACGTTGTGAGCAGCGTAGCGGAGAGTCATTACGGGGTAGCTGCAGGCACTCACTATGATGTTTTGCGCGACAGTGGACACGAAGAATTCGTATACCGCGACGAGTGGGAAGAAGTTGACCGGATATCCCAAATGACGTGGTACATCAACAAAGGCGACGATCTCGAAAGAACACGAAGTATCGGGTTTCCCTTCATTACCCAAGTATCAATGAATCCCACGAAGGAGGAACTGAATGTCACTTACACGTTGATGATGTGCACACAAGATTCGGCCCCAGGTTATCCGGAGACAGATAGTAAGTGTATTCTAAGGTGGCCGCTCGATTGCTAACAGCTTATAGCCGTAAAGACGTGCTGCAAGCTGAACATTGACCTCAGTGAAGTTCCCAAAGAGCATTACAAGACGAAGAAAAGGGTGTCAGATGGTCAACCGTACTCCGTGGTGACGTACAAGCTACTGGTAAAGATTGAAGGCGCTAGGATGATTTTCTCTTTCCAATGCGCAGACAAGGAATATGGTGCTGTCAATGCTGAGTACTAAGAGGCTTGGTTCGCAAGCAAATTTTTGGACAGACTTCCTTTCGGAAAACAGCGTCATTACTGCATGTATGTAGTACCTACCTTACCGATCAGCCAGACCAGAATAAAATATTGAAGAGACGTTACTCTTGGGGCAATCTGTACCAAATTTACAATCTCATAATAATGATGATGAGTAGGTTGTTGACCCTATCTCTTATTCAACGTTAAGTCTAGAATGCCCTATTTTTCATGCAATGTAATATTTGCTGCTTGCGTGCGACCTGTAAACCTAGCAGGAACTAGGACTTTAAGACCCGGCACTGTTGTGGGGCGGATACTACTGATTAGTATTTCCCCATATAAACGCACCAATCGGGGCATTATAGGTCTCTTCTCATGAAACGCTTACCCCAGATCTTTCGCGTCCCGCACCGAGAAGTCTACTCGACCCCAATCTATTTTCCTTGGTATCGTCTGTTTAGAATCAACTATTCGTGGAACGGGTGTGGCGGTTTCATGGGAATCTACTTATATGATCTCGTGGCATGCCTTCATTTTGCATGTCGGCCAAACGCCGAACTTTCCTCACAGCCGAAAACATGCAGACATATTTAAAATGCTCGGAATTCAGCACAAAGTCAACTATAGGTACAGACGTGATAGTCAGCTAGCAACATGAAGTTTCTCCAGACTGTTAGTACCTGCGTGCTTGCGCTCTCGTCGCTTGTCAGCGCAGCAAGCTTTTCGAATCCACTCAAAAGGACCGATGGCTCTGATCCTCACATCGTCTGGACTGGAGGTTACTATTATCTCATGGTCACAACATGGACCAATCTCCAGATCACTAGAGCCAAGACCATCGAGGGTCTGAAGACAGGAGAGAAGAAAGTAGTCTGGACGGATACAAACACGAGCAGGTGAGTTTTCAAATGATACGTCGAGGGAATTCATTGCTAAACGGATGCAGGAACGCCAACATGTGGGCTGTAAGTTAGGTTCTTCGTGGCAAAGTGTTTGTACTGACAACAAGCTACAGCCTGAGCTGCATTATCTTGACGGCCTGTGGTACATCTACTATACAGCTGGCCAGAGCGCCAACTTGGACCTGCAGCGTCCACACGTCCTCAAAGGTATGTGGTGAACTCCTTTGCTTCTGCAGTGAGAGGCATATTGACAATGCTACAGGCGGTTCCGATCCGTTCCAGCCCTACTCTTACCACGCGACACTGACCAACACCTGGGGCATTGACGGCAGTATCGTTCGCTTCAGCTCATGGGGCAACTACTTTGTCTGGTCATGCATGTCAAACAACCTTCAGTCCCTCTGTATCGCACCACTCACGGCGCCTGGCAAGATTGGCACTACTAAGGTTCTTTCGGCGCCCACTCAGAGCTGGGAGAGAAATGGCGCACCCGTTATGGAAGGCCCATCAGCCATGTACAACGGCGGCAAAACCTACATTGCTTACTCTGGTAGCTACTGCTGGACTGCTCAGTACAGCTTGGGTCTTCTTACCTGGAATGGCAGTGGCGATCCGTCTCTGAGCGCAAGCTGGGCCAAGACTGGTCCAGTCTTCACCTCCGCGAATAACAACTACGGTCCCGGACACAACGGGTGAGTTTGATTCTGCAAGTACTAGTGTTCTTGTTAACAGTAGTGAAGGTTCTTCAATAGCCCTGATGGCAAGGAGATCTGGAATGTCTTCCATGCCACTGCCAACAGCAACGGCGCATGTGACGGGAACCGCTACACTATGGTGCAGAAGGTCAACTTCAATTCAGATGGCAGGCCCAACTTCGGAACTCCTGTCGCATTGGGTACTACCCTTACAGGTCCATCTGGCGAATAGAAGGGCTAGGTAGATATCGCGGAATGCAAATTTGTCATACGATCGAGCGAATCAATCAAGACTCACTGTCCGTGAATGTGATAAGAAACCAAAATCGAAGGTGCTGCCCTATAGCTATCTCGATGTTAGTCATTATATCGTCCTTCGTCCTCGTCATAGCTGAGTATAGCCAAGGCCATTGGAATACAATGGAACCAAATAGCATGATCCGTTGTGGTATCCCCAATGGTAGACGAATGTCACTAGGGCTTGGGTTTTCGTTGTTCTGAATCATGAGCTAGACGGGTTTAGATAGACGACGGACAGAAGCAATGAAGCTGACTTGCTACGAGTAAAACTGCATCTCTGAAGCAGTGATGATATCCCAGGCTAGAGCCGCGTGATGGAGGATCGCAAGCATCTTATCACGCGTTGGTTCCTTTATTCACGAATACACGTCTTCATACAAGCCTCGGTTTTGTAATGAACGCTTTGGGTGATCTAGTGCGTCCGGCTTTATTTGGTTCCTCTCTGAGTCTTGTTGATAGGCTTTTGTTTCGTGTCCTTTGGCGATTTGGAGCAGAGATTACAGTACAGCGCTCACTCGAATCTGATAAGCGGCGGAGACTGTAATAGAAAAACGGGCAGACAGTTATCATGAATAGTATTAGTCGGTATTATGTATGTGCTCACATATAGAAACTGCCGACACCAGCCAGCGTCGTGTAAAGGTGGCTATGCGTCATGATACACGATTTTCGTCTCGTTTCGGACGTGTATACCATGCTGCTCTTGTGGATCATTGTTCAAATTGCTGGGTTTAATCTCATGCATGACAAAAGTCTTGCTCGAGCCAGCAAGCTCACTGCCACTCATGAGGCCGCCCTCATCAGCAAACCCCAATTCCGAGTCTGAGTCTGGGCTGCTTCCACGATGTATGGGGGTGCTTCCGTATGTAGGCGCTGATCCAGTGCCTTTGTAGTTCTGGGATGGCACTGTTGTAGCCTTTACTGTGCTGAAGAAGCCGCCGAACGAACGGAAGACGGGGCGGAGCAGAGGAAGTGACGCTGCTGGGTTATTAGTTTCATTCGCTGAAAAGAGCTCGATGACCTACTTGCAAATGACGCAAGGTTGACGTCACAGACTGCCCATATTTGATCTTCAACTCCATCCCATGTAAGGTCTTTGTCCATTTTCTTGTCGAGCGCGAGGGTGTGGATGATTGTCATCAAGGCCGAGATACATACCGCAATACCTGCACTGAACATGACTGCTACTGCAAGTTTGCGTTTGATTGGTAGGTGTAACTTCCAAATCTCAAACAGTGGGCATATCAAGATTGCAAGCTCGATAACGAAGTGCGGTATGCCCGCACCAAATAGCGACATCATAGGTGTAAGCGGGCATGTGCCAGGTAGGTCCGAGTCCCAGAATTTGCGAATCGGTGTGCACTGGAGACAGATGAGTGCGATCTAAATCTGTCAGTATATATATTAAATACAGTCGCCATGATCGAACGTCAACATACTCTTGCTATGATCCAGCCTGCCGAGAGCAGAGAGAGTATCCGAATAGGCCATCGTATCATCGACAGAGAGAACATTCGCCAGTAAAAGCCAAGGATGACGAACTTGCTGAGGCCAACAGAAAACGTGTAAAGCCCTGGTAATATGTCAGCATTTGTTATAGACAAGATACATATTCTTTACACATATCTGCCCAGAGGTCCACAAAGTAGTGGTGTACGATCTCCTCCACAGGTAGGTGGATGTCTTTCATTGGGAGCCCAAAACCCCATCGTGTCTCTGCTAAAGTCAGCGATAATTCAGAATAGTAGGTTGGGTATCATACTGAAGAGGCTGATAAACGTGAACCCAGTTCCTATGGCCTATGCGATGGTGAGCACTTCACGCGCGATCAAATTCAGGGACTTACGAAGGCCACGATAGACAGGTAATCCTCCCATACCATAGTCACTCTTGTCTTCCGCCGAGCGACATTTCGAAGTACTAGCGCAACAGCTGCGGCAGTGTATGGTATTAGAGCAGCCGCGTAGAGTTCCGGTCGACGGTCAGAGCGGGTCATGATGCCTCAAGCTGGAATTTGTGAGACCGTAACATGAGAAACAATTACCAGTCGCGGGTTATACGTGGGAACGCATTCACAGTTGTCGTTGATGCGTCTATTTGCGGCGCTGGTGTTTGTTTTCCGGTAGTTTCTGGCGCGGGTGAATGTGGGAGGACGTTTCATGCCAGGGGATACCTGTGTTCGAAGATGACGAAGGAGGCTCTCCAATAGATAAGAACACAAGCTCGGTAGGACGCGATGCTGTACGCAAGGCTGTGTAATCAGAGTCAGTGGTTACATGCAATTGTGGGTGGTAGCTGGGATGTACCTGCAGCAAGGGATTCCCTACACGGACCGTGTGTTTGCAGCGCACCAATCAACGTATGAGGTATGGATCGTGTGGGAGCCGGCGCCGACAGATGCAGCGGCTTGTGGCATCTTGCCAACGTACACAAGTGGTGGCTTTTCTTTTTCTGGTCAGTGCCGCAGGTGGCCATTCACATAACTTATGTGATGATCATCTCTGCATTCCCCAACAACTGGACAATCGAGCAAATGTGTACAAATGGAGGCAATCGTCCTGCGGCACGAACGGATACGCCATAGCCGATCCCTTCGAGTCCATGCGAGCTGAGCGCGGCTGTTGTGTAACAATCGACCACACGTGTTACAATACTCACTCGCACGGGTCGGACCGGTGGCGTGCTACTGTGATCTCGCTGAGCGACACTACCGCTTGGCTGTTTGCATCAATGTGCTGGTCATTGGAGATGCTTCCAGCGTCGCGAAGCCTCAAGATTCACATGGTCCCGATAAGTGCAATCAATGCTAAGCAAATCTAATTCAACGCGTGCCATACGAATGGGATCATCGAGGAAGCCCCTTGCATAACATGGGTCAGCTTATTATCGAGATTCTGCGGAAATGATTGGAGGGCGAAGGCCGATCTATTTCTTCCCGTTTGATGGATTGTGTGTCAGCGAACGCCTGGAGACCATATCAGATTATCATCCCTTGTGCTTAGATGCACGGCGTAGTCCTGGGCAGCCCACTGATGGAAGAGTGATTGTCCTTCCGGACCTGCCAATGTCGTCTAGAACCTCCAAACCCCATCCACGTGGGTTTCCCCACAGCGCGTGAGTTGGGCAGACGCAGGAGTCTGCGGATCTGGCTCGAGGACGTATTGATCAGATCGCGGAAGGGCTGCCGAGTCGTGGCAGGTCGGACAACCCGATGCAATGATATGCGCATGGCACTGTCGGCAGTTTGAGGGATAGACTGAATACAGGCGATGATGACGATGCAAAAGCGTAGGTACAGAATGTTGTGCATAATTAGTGGTTATACCGCGGCATTGGCCATTGCCTCCTTCGCCTCCCTGTTCCTTTTTCGCGCTTCGCGCGCCTCCTTGCGCATCGCACGCAGATCCGGTGGCTTCTCGATACCGAGTCTGGTCCTTAACTCGTTGATGTCTGTCTCCAGCTCCTCTTCCCAGTAAATGTTGATCACGTCGTCGGCACGCGCTCCATTTCTGGCGGCCCATGGTCCATATATATCGAGAAACCTTCTCCACTCTCCCTTTTTTAACGTGAGAGCGCTGAAGACAGCCAATCCTGTCATTGGTAGCCCAGTGTTGGCATACTCAAAGGCCTTCAATGCGACCTCTCCTTCTCTGAAGACAGGCAGTCCCACCAACGCGTGATAGAAGTCGTGACACTCACGGTACCGCTGCATAACATACGCACATTCTTCATCATCTATGTATCGCACTTGCGCTCGTGTATCTGGCGTTACGCCCTCTACGTCCAGCCACGCGGCGTAGTTGTAGCCAACGCTGTTTGGTGGGAGTGCGCGAAGACGAGGAACATCAAGAGATTGGGAGGTCAGCCGGGGCCTATCGCGTAGTATTCGTCGCCCGGTGGCGCTCATGAGCATGCGGTCTCGAAGCTTGTATATGAAGTATGGCTGTGCTGTTGCCTCACCGAAGTCAGCAATCAGCTCTAAAGCAGCATTAGCAAGTGACGTTTCACTCAAACGCGCTACATGTACCTCCTTTCCTCGGGTCCAGAAAAGCCCCAATGCCAGAACTGAGTGCCAGACCCAGCCTTCCGATAGGTGTCAGAGGTACATGCTCTTCATAAGTCGTTTTAGGGCGAGTGAAGAGGGATAGACAACGCGCGTCGGCTCTAGTAATTCTAGTCCGACTGACACAACTAAGCAGTGCGGAAGCCTGCGGCCGCAGTAATCGAACGCCAGTCGCCATGGTAGTGTGAGGAAGAAACATGACCAGGATGGGGTGACATCAACGATGAGCGCGCGCTTTCCTAATCGATAAGCTAAAACGCCACACTCCAGCCACAACACCTTATACAGGACTCTTGACTATTTCGACTCTCTTAGAAGTTCTGCGACCATGTTGCTGAACAGACGTCCTCCGGCTTGTCACCTGGTCCCTCCGTACTACATGCCTTGTCAAAGGCCTTTAGTGGATGCGCTCCAAGCGTATAGTGCTTATTACCACGGTCTCGCTCGTGGTCAGGTTGAAAGGCGCATCGCATTAGATTGTACGCGTCTTGTTAGATGGTCGGCTGACGGGATGTCCCTTCCCCGGCATCAACCTGCGGATTTCTCTTACCCACTTCCCCGGCAGCTCGTGCCTACCTCCACCTCTGCCAAGCTCCTGCAGCTACACATGGTGTCGTAGCTCCAAAGCGGGAGGCGTCGCAGTTCCTGTTGTGCGAAGACCGAGCGCCGTACCCGAAGTGGAACATCTAGCTTAGCCGCCTCAAGCGACAGAGCGATCTTGCGACAAAGCTGCTACAGACATTAAGAAACAAGACGTGGGACTGCAGCGGGTCAGAAAGATAGCCCGGAGTAGATCTCTGGGCTGACATAGGGTCTGCTCGGCTTCGGGCTTTTGATGTGTGTAGCAATGACATTGCTCTGCGACTATGTATTTGGAGAGGCAGATGCGATATTCGGAGCGGGTAGCCTGTAGCCTGCCGCTGGGCGTGATGGGTAGAGTGGGGCATCTTAGGGCACGAGTAACTCCCGCCTGATGTGGCGCAAACTTTGTTACAACCACGTTCAGGGGGCAGGCGCAATGTTCATCGTGGAGACCGCCTTTTCTCAGAGATTTCTCAAGTCTTGCCGGCTATGAATCGTCGAGATTGTGGATTCCGAGCCGCACAGAATGTCACATGATTGCTTGGGTGGCATTACGTGGACCACTACCTGGATACTCACCTACCTCGAGGTGTACTGCGACAGGTATATAGCTTGTGGTTGCCACAGAATCGGTCCGATGGTCATACTCCTCAATTTCCATCAGCACAATCTACCTGTTTGATTGGAAGCAGCGACAAGAGCATCGATGCACGTCTTGTCCATGATATTGTTCCATGCTCGGCTCCACTGCCGGAAAAGCACTGCGTGTCATATTTCTGTCCGAAAGCATCCAGACGGTCGGAAATCGGTCCTCAAGGGTCTCGTAGTCATGACCACAAGCCCAAGAAACACGTGCGGTCTGCTCCACGAATGAATGAGCTTATGAAGCTGCCCCCCAAGATTCAATTGATAACATCTAGTAGGTAGCAAATGATATAACTCTTAGACTTGAATTACTAGCAGCACTCGGATGGCAGGTTATGCGAGCCCTCAGGGCCTCAGTCAGATTGACAGTGAAGGCCTCCGAATGGCTTCCATGTCTGCTTTGACGTCCTATAGGGTATCAATGTGACCACTGACTAGATGAGATGTATGACGCTATGCCTGAACCCTGCGTCGTACATCGTATCTGAGCAAGTCTCCCAGGTCAAACGTGGACTCTTGGAGCTCAGGTATTACTAACCTACTTTGTAGTGATTTACGCTATTTGCAGATCATGATTGACCCACCACTACTAGAACAGGCAACTGACGTGTCTCCATGGCGAGGGCTTATGTACAATTTTGGCTCGGTGTCGGCGTTCCGGAAGCCGAGGACACCGTTCGACCTCGTCCACAGCACTCATGAGGCACCGAACTCGAAGCACACGCCTATTGCAGAGGGCAATTGAAGGCCAAATTGAAAAAATCCCGCATCATGGCAGGGTCCAGTGAGCGCTCTCATGCGGGCGTGGTGCGACAGTGCATTTCTTTACGTGGCCGGTACGTATTCAGGTGTTACCAAGCGCATACATAAAAGCTGGCGCGACGTCGTTGGACTGATAGTTTTTAAGCTCATTTTCTATCAGCTTGACTTTGGCATTATCTCCTTCGTTATCTAACTTCTGTTGAGCCACTCAAGAAAGACAGTTGCTACAAGTGTCTCTTCAAATGCACATAGTCGTTTTGCCCGCTCTTGCGGTCCTCTTTATTGGAGTGATAAAGCTAGTCACAGTAGGTTGTCCTTCAAAGATGGGATTGTCTCTACGCTTGATGCAACGATCACTCATACAAAGACCTGGGGGCCAATTTCACCGCTAATGCTTTTACAGACTTTGGTTCAGCGAGCAACAAGCCCCCTCTCTTCCGTACCTGGTCCTTGGCACACGAGATGGACTTCTGCGGCATCGAGATACCACTGGATTCGTGGGGAACTACCTGCGTGGACTCAAGAGCTGCATGAAAAATATGGTGAGTGACTCGAAGTTACGTTATGGCGTAGATATTTACCATATCGAGGTGACGTTGTCCGTGTTAATCCACGTGCTGTTGATTTTTGCTCAGTCGCCGCGGCGAAAAAAATCCACTCCTTCAATCGTCCATTCCTCAAGAGTACGATGTACAAATCCTTTGGTAGTGTAAAAGGTATCCCTGATGTCTTCAGCGTACGGGATCCAATCATTCACGCAAGACATCGTAAACTTCTTTCGGCGCCAATTTCGGATAGTGGTCTCAAGAGCTTCGAGCATGTTGTACATGCACGAGCGAACCTAGCAGTTGAGCAGATTGGGAAGGAGATGGAGATGAACGGGACTGCGGATGTCTTGAAATGGTGGATGTTCTTCAGCACTGATGTGATTGGAGAGCTTACGTTTGGTGACAGCTTTCGGATGCTAGAGAAAGGCAAGGTAAGTTGATGCCTTCACTAGAAAATGAAATAGTAGCATACTGATTGTAACCCGCAGGTAAATGCTTATGCAAAGGATCTTCAGGACATAGCCGGTCACCTCGGAGCTCGTCTTACCTTTCCGACGGTGTTACGACTTGCATCGTACATCCCGATTCCAAAATTTAGTGCTGCCTTCGAAGCGAATGTGCGGATGCGTACATATGCGGAGACATCTATCATCCGTTACGAAAACATCGTGGCAGCTCAGCCCGATATACACCAGCCCAGCCTATTCAGCAAGCTTTTCAATACGAAGGAGGAAACCATGCCACGAGCCGAGATCGTGTCAAATGCGCAATCATATATCACAGCCGGTAGCGACACGACGGCACACACCTTATCGTATCTGACGTGGGCGGTAAGTAAGAACGAAGCCGTCAAAGCGAAGCTGGTCGCGGAGCTTCAGACTCTTCCGGAAGGATACTCAGACGAAGACCTCAAAAAGCTAAAGTACCTCAACCAAGTCATCTACGAGACACTGAGATGTTACGCTGCTGCTCCGGCTTTACTGCCGAGGGTCGTCCCAGCTGGTGGATGTGAGATTGATGGATACCTGATGCCGGGGGGTACAGACGTGCAGACCCAAGCATACAGCATGCACAGGAATCCTGAGGTCTTTCCAGACCCCGAACGGTTTGTTCAGTCCGCACGATTATCAGGACGAACCGAACTGAGCAACCATACAGGTACGACCCAGAACGATGGGAGTCCCCCACGAAAGACATGAACGATGCCTGGATGCCATTTGGTGGTGGTGCACGAGGTGAGTCGTTCGAAATATTCTCCTGTCCTTTCTAATCACAAACAGTGTGCCTCGGTATCCACTTAGCAAGGATGGAGCTCCGTGTTGCAACTGCAAAGTTCTTCACTACTTTCCCCAACGCCAAAGTCCCCTCTGGATTCAACGATGCTGAAATGGAGCAAGTGATTGTCTTTCTCATGTATCCCAAAGGCAAGCGCACCATGATTCAAAGCTCATAGAGCTAGACGATAACGTCATCCTTACATGACATCAACCCGAAAGCCAGATCTTTTCTGCGTGTAGGGTAGCACCATCTAGGTAACCTAGAGGGAACCGGATGCGATAGGAAATAGATACTACGGAGGCCTACTTACTGCGAATGAGATATACACTTTTGACTTTGAGGGCCTATGTATGTCGTTTCATCGAGCTTCTGAGAGGTCCTAGATGACGTGAAGCCCTTACAGATGTGCACGCTAAGAACTAGTGTCAAATTTCCACGCGCGCGACACTTGATTGGCTTAAAAACCGAGCTTCTTCTTAACAGCACGCCATTTGGAACCTTCGTGACTCGAAACCTTCAAACCTATCGACAGTCGAATACTCCAAAGTAATTGGAAAGTATACTCAAAAAGCTGTGTCACTTTCCCAGCATCACACTTGGGTGTTGTGCGTGCGCGAAACCGACAATTCCCATAAGGCAGCAGGAACAAGCAGCAACATGGCAGCAGCACTGGACCCAGGCGAAGAGCACACCAAGTTTGTCGAATGGGCTGAGATTAATGGAGTGACTATCAATGGAATTGCACCCGCCAAATTTGTGGGCCGTGGGATGGGTATTGTCGCAGCACGAGATATTCAAGTCAGTACACATTCGGACGACAGTAGAACACTGACCAAATGACCAAGAAAGGAGAGCGCATAGTGCATGTGAAGAACACATCACTTATACATGTTGCGTTACCATCTGTTAAGGCCCTCAAATTACCGGACAATGCCACCGTGCATGGCAAGCTTGCGGCGTCACTGTCTCTATGGTATTCGGACCCTTCACACGACACATATGCCCTCTGGCAAGCTGTCTGGCCCACAGAGGAAGATTTCCGAAGCACCATGCCCATCTACTACAACAAAGAACTCCAAGACCTCCTTCCACGCGCCGCAGAGATCCTCCTCACAAATCAGCGTGCAAAACTCGACAAAGACTGGGCTGATCTCTCGCCTCACCTCCCCTCACTATCAAAAGAACTCTTCACATACACCTGGCTCATCGTCAACACACGAACCTTCTACTGGAACTACCCTGACCTCCCCAACTCGCACCCACGACTGCCAAAGCGGAAGAACAAGCTGACTGGCGACGACTGCTACGCCATGTGCCCATTCATGGACTACTTCAACCACAGCGACGTGGGCTGCGATCCATGCGCCGACAGCAACGGATACAGCGTGACCGCTGACCGAGCGTACAAAGCTGGCGAAGAAGTGTTCGTCAGCTACGGCGCACATACAAACGACTTCCTGCTTGCGGAATACGGGTTCATACTCGAGCGCAATATGCGCGATGCAATTCCGCTGGATCACATCATTATTCCCCAGCTAGACAAGGAGCAGACACAGGCTCTGAAAGAGGACGGATTCTATGGGAACTACACGCTCTTTTCCCCGGGCGGGGAAGAGATTATATGTCACCGTACGCAGGCGGTGCTTCGACTGGTGGTGCTCGATTCCAAAAGATATTCTGCGTTTGTTGGGGGCGACGATGATGGAGATAGAGAGAAGGGGAGGCTACATGGGTACCTGGTGGGCTTGTTGACGAAGTACTCAAGACAGGTCATGGATATCATGGAGGAAGCCGAGGGCTTGAAGACTAATGCGGTGGACAAGGAGAAGAGGAGATCGGTATCGAAGAGCAGTATTGTCGCGCCCAGTATCAGGATTGGCCAGAAGGACACGCTGGTCATGAGGTGGAAACAGATCAGGGACATTGTCAATGGAGCGATAGAGGAATTGCAACAGTAGCTACTTGTAGCACACCCCTTTTTTGGTTCAAGCAATAAGAACTACCACGTTGTGGTATATTAATGTGTACTGAGTCGATTTCTGGCCAAGAGCTCAAGGGCCAAACACGTTCACAAGCTGTGTAGCACGGACTTGATGCTATTCTGCGCCTAGATACAAACGTGGAAACTCGTGCTTGTCTATCGCGCTGTAACGACTTTTCGGCGCTTACTTCGTGCAACTAGTCTGTCGCGAGAAGGTCATTGGTCTGACCTGATTTTGACGCGCAGTAGTTGGGGTGGGATTGGACATTGAGACACGCTACAGGAACATTTTGAAGACGTACTCTCACCATGCAGGAAAGGCGGGACCTAAATGCTTGTGATTTCCGAATCTGCACAGCATGGCCCGGAGCTATTTCAATTCTTCGGTCAAAGATTCTGTCGTCTTCTGTTAATCTTTGTACTTACAAATCCTTGCCAAATCCTTGCCAAACCCACTCCTAAACCTCGGTATAAGCAAGTTGTAGCCCACTTTTTAGCAATATAAGAGACGTGTACAAAAGAATGCAGGTCTTGCGCTAGCATTAGGAAGACGGCGTCAGGTGTGTCCAACTCAGATCGGTCATGGCATGATTGGCCAAAACCCTACAATGCCTCGCACTGGTGTTGTGACATGACAGCAACGGTGGAGTGAGATAAAGCTTGTCCTGAAACAATGTGTAGATGTGGGGAAGTCCTACGCTGCACAATGATGTCAACACGAGATTCGAGTGGCTGGGTACCGGCACCGCGCAGAATCCGGCACATGGCCGAGGGCCGTAACCATCAGCTTGGAGCACGTTGGGCACGCCTTCACATGCCCAAAAAGTACAACGTGCATAGATGATGCGTAATTGTTTGTTGCAGATCTGAAGATCGAGCGTAAGGCTTCACCGCCAAATGGGCGAATATTGTAGCAGGGAGCTTTGAAGCTTTGAATGTCTTCGAATTGGCATCAAATGGTGGTTGAAAAAATTCCGCATAAATGCAGGTAAATAAATCGCGGCAGAGTATTACAAGGTTGTGGATGCGACGTGATCAGTTAGCGCTTCCACCGAATGGTGAGGCTGCCGGACACCCACAGCATCCAGTGATAAGCCCTGAATTCCAGTCGGAGGTGTTGGACCCCACGGGGCTGTTGCAGGCTCGGCAATCCGATCTAGCGGTGAAGATCGAACAAACCCGAGGTATGCCAGAGCTGTTGCACTGCATGAAACGGCAGTGAAGGAAATGTCACTCAGCGGTAACGACGGAATCTAGCCTGCACTAGGAATAGATGTGACCAATCGTGAGGGTTCAGGCCAGGTTGTCAGGCAGAGTGGTTGTTTGGATCGCGCGATCGAGGTCCGAAGTACATGCAGTATGTAGCACGAGTTGCCCCTCTGGTGTTGAGGGGCAGTCAGAGATTCGGCTAAGCTCAATGTGCGCCACCGGGCTGGGATCTAATTGCTGATATCCGGATGTCATCAGGAAAGGCAAGTGGGGGCAAGGAGGTTTATCGAAACGTGCCCTCTTAAGAGGGTACGCGCATCAACGTGGTCTGAGTTGCGGGAAGATGGGAACAGACATGATGCGAACCATGCTCGTCAAGCACGACGATCCACTGCCCGTCATATTGGTTGCACGAGGCGCGTCCAGTTGCTGTGAAACTGTAGCGAGCTAATCTCGAAATCTGCAAATGGGCGCTGCGAGCACCCTTGTAGGCGGTGCATGGCCTGTGCACAGCGAAGACGCAAGCTGTCAGAGGCTCTGAGTGGTGTCGGTTGATGGAGAAGGGAGAGGAGGATTGCAAGGGTCCAGCGCTAGTGTGTGGTTTGATATCCAAGGCCCTGTGTTACTCGGTTCGCGTATCAGCGTGCAGCAGCGCGGTAGCCGCAGGATTGCAATGCCTGACAGGAGTCAGATGAGCAGTCTCGTGGACTGCCTGTTAAGGCATATCTGGAGCGCTCTGAAAGCAGCGAGAGAGGGAGACGCCCCAATCTTGCAGCAGTCGGCGCTCTCGGGCGTGTAGAATGGTCGAGGGCGGAATCGAAGGACGCGTCGAACGCAGGCTAAGGTGCGAAGGTCCCACCAAACACCAAACTGACCTGACTCGTCGCACGTTCAAGATTGCCTCATGTGCTCATGATGCACGGCCTGTGCGACAACAAATTGACCACCATTGTAACCGTGTGTCGCAGGGCTGTTGAGCGAAGTGGAGCGCAGCTTTTTCCAGCATGCAAAAGCTTCAAGACTCAGCGTGCAAGCTTGTGATGAGCAGAGCGGGAGACACCCATCACTATCATCATGTTGCAGCCGTCGGCCGTTAGGCTCGAGGCTCGAACAGTGAAGATGGCCTCATCCTCGTTTCCCCCGAGCTCGTATCTGACAATCGGTTAGCGCATCCCAGCCGGTGGTGCTCGGCGCAACCCTTCGAGGAAAGCCATGGCTGGGAAATCCATCGCGACATCCTTCAGCGCGCACCTGCCGCATGCTGCAATGTGGACGCTTGCACGGCAGCGAACTGGCGCACTGTTGTCGCCGAGTGCACGCCCGTCACATAGCTGTGGCAAGACTCCCGGGCGACGCAGGGTGCGCCATAGAGGCCCTGAGTAAGTGCAAAGTCTCGTTGATGCCCACGATACCCGACCATGGAGTTGCAACCGTGCGAGATCCAAGCGCAGAGGGCCGTGGACATGGGTGGTCAGACTAGCGCCGCATGGCTTCGGCTCGACCAATTGGGGGCACAAGTCTATCGACTGGTCTCAAGGGCCTGCTTGCTGTGATGCTGGCTTTGGGCTGACCTGTTGCTTGTGGTGTGCTGCTCCTTCTCGCTCTGCGGCCCATATTGTTGCCAGCTTGCCTGTTGTGTTTGATCTGTACTTGAGTACCGTGAGGACTATCGAGCGTTAGACGCGCCGCCAGCCGTGTTGCGCAAGCCTTGTCGTTAAGCCCCTCCAGATCGCCCCGGGAGGTCTGAACGCGGCAGCCCGCTGTCGGAAAGGGCATCTAATTTCTCGACATACGGCCGCTCACCTGCGCCTTTCTCTGTTCATATTGTGGACAGACGCGCCCCCTGCGCTGCCTCAGCGTCGACGCCCTCCTGTTCTTGCACCCTGCTGCATCGGCGAGCGCGTGCACCGAGTTGTGTTTTTTTCTTCCTGACCAGTGTTGCGGGCGCAGTTCGGACTCTTGTGCATCCTGCACGAACGCTGCACCTCTCTTTGGCCGGCCGCTTGACACGCAGCCTAGCTGCTCTTCCTGTGCAACCCGCCGCCTCCAGTGGGCTGTCCTTCCGTGCGCCGCCGCTGCATAATATTTGGCTGCTTCGCCAGAGCTGTTTCCGTCACCTAGGGCACCTTAGCCAGGCCATCAGGAGGAAGTCAAACAGTATGTCCCTCGAGTCCACCCCCCACTGCGCTGCCAAGGCTTTGCAGGGCAGCAACAATGCTATGCGGCAACTGCGCCCACAGCCGCAAGGTTGTATTCACTGCTGACTGCCCCGTTAGCATCTAGGTGACCTCGTATCACGACGTAGGCGCTCTGCAAAGGCCCCGCGACACGACATACCGAGCGAGTACCGCCTCGACGACTGAGCCCTCCTCCGCGGTCTCCACGGTAGCGGCCGTCCCTCCGTTTTCTGCATATCTTCACTCTTGCCTGGAGCTCTTTATGCAGTCGGTATCTGCCAGCCATAAATCATGGACACAGAGGATGGACAGGTTTTCATAAGAGTGCGTGTGCACGCTGACCGCTACCCCTATGACGGCTGCTGATATGCAACAGAACTTGGCGTACTTTGTACGGACACACGAGAAGGCGCTTGCCAATGCCCTGCAATTGCAGCGACAAGCTCCCAAACATGGCCAGGCCAGTTCGCTCTCTCCGACTTCGCCGACCGATCCATCGAGCCCCCCAGCCTCCTCGTCTTCCAGCGTCTGGGCTGCGGCGCTCTCGCTTCCTTCGTTGACCTTCACCTCACCCACGATCAAGCCGGCAAAGTTGACTCTTACGCCACACCATCTGTTCTACCTGCTCTCGCGTTTCGAAGAGACCGCCATCCCGGTAGGACCCATGAACGTGCGTCTGGAGAACATCCACACAGATGCCTCGCCTACCAATTATGTATCGTTCCTCAGCAACACTCAGAGACACAGGCATAAGACCTCGGATGGAAACTCGGTTCACTCGGTGTCGAGTGTGCGCAGCGTCATGTCAGGCATGTCGTCGCTGTGGTCGACCCTGCGGATTGGATCCAATAGCGTAGCCAAAGCTGAAAAGCAAAAAGCTCTGCTGCAGGAGGACCTGAGATACCTATACTCTGCTTTTACCAAGATTCCGTGCTTGCGCTTGGCTCCAGATCACAAAGCTCGCCTGATTGCAGGGTACGAGGAGTTTCCATTCGACACTGCTGTGCCTCTTTTTGCCTTCAAAAATGTCACCGCACTCGAAATCTACGATGTGGATTTCCGGCAATTCTATGGATGGGACCGACTCGCTGAGAATCTCCGCAGCCTTACTGTGAAGCGAGCAGGTGTTGACGATCCCGCCGACCTTCTTATCAACATAGTTCTGGACGACATTGACAAGCGCCGCAGACGATCCGCAAAAGCACCTCATTCGCCTTCGGGACCCTGGCCTACTGCGAGCCCTACTGCAAGACACGCGCATCTAGCCCGATCCGAAGAATCCCCGCCCTCATCACCCAATGCTATCAGTAAGCAAGGATCGAGCCCTCGCAATTCTGATATCATGCGCGACCATAACGGCAAGGCAAGCGGAGCCCAGCGCCAGCGAAGCTCGTCACCTTCTCGTCCCACCAGCTCTCGACACGGCTCTGGTCACGGTCACAGCCACTCGAGGAGTACCGCCCCCAACTACCGACGTTCTTCCGGTAGCTCCGCTTCCAGCGTGCGTTCAAACACACCTAGGGGAAGTTCGTCAAATCTTCTCTCCCTAGGATGGTTCCCTTCGACAAAATGGCGCTTCTTGAGACATTTGAGTCTGGCTGACAACGCGCTCACGAACATATCTGCTAACAGTCTTGCGCCACTCACAAACACCTTGCAGTCGCTGGATTTATCTGCCAATTTGTTCAGCGAAATTCCAGATAGCTTGGCCAGCCTGACTTGCCTACGAGCTCTCAACCTTTCGAATTGCATGATCGAGGGGCTGCAGTCTCTGGCTCGTAATCCTTTGCCTGCGATCACCACCCTGAACCTGCGGTCCAATCGCTTGTCATCGCTAGCTGGCATCGAGCGCCTGTTGTCGTTAGAACGTGTCGACTTCAGAGATAACAACTTGACGGATCCAACCGAACTGGCTCGCCTCACTGCTATACCCGATATTACCGAGATCTACGTCCATCGCAACCCGTTCTGCAAAACATACTCCAACTACCGAGTGACAATTTTCAACTTGTTCCGCAGAACACCAGGCTACACCGAGGATGTCATAATCGATTCCACAGGACCCAGTAATACCGAGAGGAAACAACTTGTCGATCGAGCGCCTGAACTTCCTGGAGTCCCTATCGTCAAGCCGCCAGTAGAGGATGAATTGCCCCCGCCTCATGTCCCACCAAAGGTTGTCAAAGCTATTGACTCTACGACTGATGATTCTGAAATGCTCAGACGCTCGGGCTCGTTGCAGCGCCAGAAAAGTGCGCGAAGCTCGCAAGCTGCACAAAGCTCACAGCGGAAAAAGAAGGGTCCTAAACGAAGGATTGTTGAGCTTTCACAGACTGAAGCGGCGCAACAGGCAGCTAGCTCAGGCCTGGCTGGTTTCTCGTATGAAGATACATCGGCAAGGACACCACCCAGAATCCAAAAGCCTACCACGACCGTCACAGTCCAAGACAAACCTCGCTTCGATGAACCACACCATGGGAATAACACTGGCGATCCAGTCAAGAGGGTTTCTCTGGACGAGCGTGTTGTTATAGACAAAGCCCATACCACTCACCAGCAACTACCACCTATCGATACTACAACCGATAGCAAGGCCCCGCAGCTCCCCGAGCAGGAGTTCGATGTGAGCAATGACCTTTACAAAAAGAAGATCGAGGCGCTTCGGCAAGATTTCGGTAACACCTGGCTGAGTGCATTGGGCGACGAAGCTTGGGACTCAGCAACGTCGGGTCTTTCTCCAGAGCGAGTGTACGATTCGCCTACAATAAGACCTGCGCCACCCCGGACACCCAGCCAGGGTATTGTCTCAGGAGGCCGCACACTAGGCTGACATTCACACCACCTTGATCTAATGACTTTTGCGATACCCAAAAGATTTGCGTTTTCTTTCTGCAACCTGCGCCTACACCTTACTATGTGTCAAGTTATTCTGGACTTTGGCGCATCTCTACTGTTTCATTCTGCGCAGAACATTTCTCTCTTGCATGGCGTTGGTTGGGTTTCGTATTTGGAAGATCTGAGCGCCTGCGTCACGCTCGTTGTTCTTCTGCGCTTGCTCCCATCTATATCGATACACCGGCGGCATTCTCTTCCTCAAAAGGCTGATTGTGCTTGCATTTTTGCGTGGTTCAATGGACCTGTCATGACGAACTTGGACTGTATCATTAATCATTTCATGGCGTTGATTGGATTTGGAAGACTCCCTGCTTTCGGTTGGCAATCATGGCTCGTCTAGCGTGGCTGGTGGGCAAAGAAGGGGCGTTGTTTGACTTATTGCATAATGAAGAGCGCATAGTTGGACACGATCTTACGTAGCTGCACGGTCGAATGTAACGATGATTCCCATTGCAAGATTCGTAAGCGCTGAGCGTACATGGACTTCCTGCTTAGTTTTACTCGAAGCTATAGATGGCTGACAAGCGCTAAGAAACCGTCGTGCTTCGAAAGCAGGCAACGCTGAGTATCTTTGGACCGGCGTTCGTTGAAAGGGTGAAACAGTTTGTGTGGTGGTTTTGCTGCATTGGCGCATATAAATACTCGGTGCGTACAAGGGGACGCGCCGAGCTTGCCTGAGAGCCGGCGCCCAAACCTAGAACGACACACAGAGTTCACTGTCTCTGGGCTGCTGATAGACAGTCACAGAAGATGAACGTGGTTACAACTTCATAATAACATCAGCGAGCAGGGCCTCTGGCGGGGCCTTACTATGCCCTGCTCGCGGGCTGGACTCGTGAGCGCACACGAATTAGATGTTGGGTCGAACTGTAACGCGCGTGAGTGGGCAGTGCATCCAGGATGATGACAGAGCGCTTGAGCGGCACAGCGCAGGCCCTGCTTCCAGGCGTGAGAGTCTCGCTTCCTTCGGATTCAGACACTCTCTTTGCCTCAGCCCTCAAGAAGACTTGAATTATCTGCCATTGCTTCCCTCATCGTCGTCGGCCGCGCGTTCTCAGTTGAGCCTAGCTCCGTACTTCTCTGCCAAGCTAGCCCAAGGCGAAACAATCCAGGCAAAACTACGACACGGCGACGCTCTACCACTCGCACCACCCACCTGCCCCGACTCTCGAGTAGCAAAGCTTTCTGACGCACTTCCCTGCCGTGCACCATCGAGCGCCACTACGCAGCAGCCACCTTTTCACCCCGCATCGCACATCGCAACCAGGCGGTGAGGTTCCGTCCCTCAGCATCCCACTCGACACCGTTCGGCCACAACAACGCCTCAGCGCCCCGCTCCCATCGCGCCCCTAACCGCCCACCACACCACTCGCACAGGTATACTCGTGAGCACGTGCACAATTGACGACCTCGACCCGCAAGTCATCCCTAGCGTCTAGTAGGCCTAGCACTGCCGCAAGGCGTCTCTGAGGGGCTTCGAGCCATTCTCCAAACAGCGCCCACCGCTAGCGACCAGCGTCTACACGGACCGGCATTTTGCACTTGAGGTACGTTGAAGCCCCGCTCACTGCGTCCCCTCTTCCAGACCTCCCGCAAGCGGACGTGGGTGCGCGGAAGGCTACACGTCATACACGCCTGTCACTGCGATGCGGCCTTGTGCCGATAGAGCCCTCCATGCTGACATCGGATTTTCAGGGACAGGAACTTTCGAGTCAACGCGCTCTCTCTCTCCGACCCCACCCGCGCGAGGTTCTCCCTTGCTCCTCCCACACCCTACACCAAGCCAGTAGCAAGCCACAGCTATGGCGGAAAACGAGGTAGATCTCGACTCCATCATAGACCGTCTCCTCGAGGTCAGGGGCAGCAGACCCGGCAAGCAGGTACAGCTGCTTGAGACTGAGATCCGCTATCTGTGCACCAAGGCGCGAGAGATCTTTATCTCGCAGCCCATCCTCCTCGAGCTCGAGGCACCGATCAAGGTCAGTGGAAACCTATAGTCTCAAGAACCTCACTGATAGCGATCAACCTAGATCTGCGGAGATATTCACGGCCAGTACTATGATTTGCTTCGGCTTTTCGAATACGGTGGTTTCCCTCCCGAGGCAAACTATCTCTTCCTCGGCGATTACGTCGACCGCGGCAAGCAGTCGCTAGAGACCATCTGCCTGCTTCTCGCATACAAGATCAAGTACCCAGAAAACTTCTTCATTCTCCGTGGTAACCACGAATGCGCCTCGATCAATCGCATCTATGGCTTCTACGACGAGTGCAAGCGAAGATACAATATCAAGCTGTGGAAGACATTCACAGACTGCTTCAACTGCTTGCCCATTGCAGCTATCATCGACGAGAAGATCTTCACCATGCACGGCGGTTTGAGCCCTGACTTGAACTCCATGGAGCAGATCAGGCGGGTCATGCGACCTACCGATGTGAGCGATTCCGCAATATCCGTAACCTAATCGTTCCAGACTAACTCGTGCAGATTCCCGACTGCGGTCTTCTCTGCGATCTTTTGTGGTCTGACCCTGACAAGGATATCACCGGCTGGAGCGAAAACGACAGAGGTGTCAGTTTCACATTCGGTCCCGACGTTGTGTCACGATTCCTGCAAAAACACGACATGGACCTGATCTGTCGTGCTCATCAGGTCGTAGAAGACGGCTACGAGTTCTTCTCCAAGCGTCAACTCGTCACATTGTTCAGTGCGCCAAACTACTGTGGTGAATTTGACAACGCAGGTGCGATGATGAGCGTTGACGAGAGCTTGCTATGCTCTTTCCAGGTATGTTTCTCGAGTCTTTGACCACCAGTGACTAACCCTCTCTTCACAGATCCTGAAACCCGCCGAAAAGAAACAGAAGTACGTACCCAAGTTTAGTAACAGCTGATTGTGGAAGGCTGTTCTTATCCTTCTTACTGATTGACTGCATACTAACAACATCTACAGCAGGTTCGGGCGCCGATAAACAGCGACACTCCTCCCGAGTCCAGACGCCGATCTCTCTTTGCGAGTCCGACCCCAGCATATTCGAAATCGCTTTCGCGCTCATGGCAACCCGATTACTCTTCGACATTTGTACACCAACACCCCTTCCCCAGTCTTTGCTAGCAAAAGCAGCGCACGACCTCTGTAACGAGTACTACGATCGCGAATTGCCTCAGCACTATCAATGGCGCTTTAGACGGTCTGATGCGCTTCGCTTTGCCTCTCGTGCTCGCGGGCGAAACAAGAGGTCAATGATCAAAGGTCGTTTGTTATGTTTGGAAAGGACGAAAAGGAGGGCATGACTTACGGTTGCGATACGGTCATGGTTGTCATATCGGCTACGATTTCGCACGGCTTCTTCATTTTTGGTCTGGGTTGCGCCAGGTGGGAGCATTTGGGAGTCTCATGGGTGGGCCTCATCAGCGGGCTTGTTTCTACATTTGGTCCCCACTCTGCTCGGGCGGTGGACGAGGCATCAACACTCGATCGATAATGTCTGTCCTTTCTTTACTTTGTCGCGTTCATCAATCAACCAGCAAACCTTTTGGGATGTAAGCTATGGAAGCGGTTTGCGCGTATGCACTACATGATATGCGTCTGGCTGCCTCTCGTATCTCCCGTTGCTTGGCTGATCATTATGCTTTACACAGGGTTTCTTTACTGTCAGACAGGTCTTCACAGTCCCATTGATGCAATGCAATATTTCTCTAGCTTCACTTGGCAGTTCCTCTCTGACCACGCAAGAGTTCTGCCTCCTGACACGCCAGCACCACCATTACATCATATTGCATTTTCATGACGATGATTCAATGTAGCTTTGCAATTATTTCCGTACCTGCCCTTGCGTGGTCTTAGTTGGTTGCATCTGTCTCAAAGTAATCCACTGGCTCTTTAGCAGATGCCATATCAGGTTGACTGTGCTGTCACTGCCTTACTTTCGTGCTTCATTGTTCTGCTGACTGGATCACTGCTGTTTTCAAACGTCAGATGTCTTGCCTCGGACATCCTCGGGCGTACATTTACAGCCATCAGGCACGCGACACTGAAGAAACATTACGTCAAGCTTCAAAATTTGGGAACATATTCCACGCGTTCTACGCTCGCTATATCTATCCTACACCATTAATCCTCTGCTCTAACGAGACAGCCTCCACGCGCGCAGCGGCAGCGCCTGGATCCGCATCACCGCGGGCTTGATGTAGCCCCAGAACGTCAGCACGCCGAGAAGAATACAGAGTATGTTTACAATATAGTAGCCGTCAGTTGTCACATTGCAGACTCCACCGCCGTTGATGCAGCGGTGCTTCTCGCCCTCAAGAGCGCACGAGAAAGCCTGTGTGACCAGCGGGCCCTTGAGCAGGTCGGTCTTGGGAGGGATTGAAGGTGGCGAGCAGGTCGCAGAGGTGAACATGTCGACGGCCTTGAGCACGAAGAAGCGGGGGAATGTGCCACCGAGGTTGGAGACGCTGGTGGTATGTCAGTTGAGTGATGCAGTGAGGTGAGAAGAGATATGTACGTAGCAAGCAGCGTCATGTATGTACCGCCGATGACCGGGTCAGAGATCTTTGCGTGGAAGGCGCTCACGGCGACGAACATGACTGTGTTCATGAATGTCGATAGTACGTGTTCGGCGATGACGACGAGAAGGAAGCCTCCTGATGCGCCCCCAGCGGGGAATATGGATACGACGAACTGCGCAAATCCGGCTGCGAACAAGCGGCCGACAAAAGACCAGCACCAGATGTGCATGGGCGGATATGTCTGACACCATTTACCGATGTAGTAGCCCAAGAACACCTCGACGGGAAAATCGACAAGGATGACAAGGGACAATTCCTCTTGCTTCAGACCCTTGTCGAGGAGCTTCAAGCTCGTGACGGCATCGTTTGCCTGGAATCCAATTTTCGCGATCAAGTGGATGATGATGAAAGATTGGATGTTCTTGAGCTTCAAAATGCCCCACATAGTCTTGTAGACCTCCTTAATGCCGTCGGTGTTCTTATCGCGATCCTCGCGCTTCATGAGCGCAAGACCGAGAGTCACAATAAGGTAAGCCCAGCCCCAGAACGTGAGGTAGCTATCGAGTTCGAGGATGCCTGTTTCGGCAGGCGCGCTGGCGGATCGGAACCATTTGTTTGCGAAATCTTTCGAGTTGAAAGCGAGGAAGACAGTGTAGGAAAGGAATTGGCCAGCGGTCAGGCCAACGGTCTGGGCGGTCGAGGCGTATGCGAGGTTCTCTTTGGAAAGAAGTGTGAGAGCCCAGCCTGTTCTTGTTAGCAATTGTGTTGGTTTCGTTTCCTTGGAATTTGACTCACCATCCACAGCAATATCCTGTGTTGCGCAGAGAAAGACTAGGGCAAACCACCACCACGTGAATGTCCACACACTGCTATCTGACTCGCTGGCTTGTGCTAGTAATCTGTTGATGTTTTTGCCTAACCAGATCATGGAGAAACCAGAGATAGTCTGGATGGGCAAAATCCAGCTCTTTCTCCGGCCAACGCTGGGTGACCAAAGCGCATCCACAATCGGACTCCATAAGAGCTTCAATGAATAGGGGTATGCGGCCAGCGAGAACACTCCAATAGCCGAGTATGAGACAACGTTCTTTAGCAGGAAGGGCACTGAGCCGTGCGCCAGACCCATGGGAATCCCCTGGAGGAAATAGAGTAGCACCAGGAGCAAGAAATTGCTCTGGTCTTTCTTCGACAGCTCAAAAAAGCCTTTCGAAGGCCCCTCGTCGGCGTCTAGCGGTGGAACTTCATCGTCGAGGGTGAAGGAGTGGCTGCTCATGAGGCTCGCAGCCTGGCTGGAGGGCGAAGTGCCGTCAATGCTTGCGTGCTTACGGCGGTGCTCGAGAATGACACCGTTCATGGTCGCGCTGCTGTTAGCATTTCCGTTGTTGCTGTCTTTGCGCAGCGAGTCGGTAGAGCTCTTGTTCGGTACAGAGCCGCGGTTCTTGGACCTTGAGGCGCGTTTGCTCATTTGTGGGAACCTTGCGTAGCCTTCCTGAAGGAAGGGTGCTCGGGAATCTCCGGGGTTGGAATGAGCCGGGGAGACGGGATTGTGTTGTGGATGCGGTGCACGCGGCAGGTGTCAGGGTAGATTACAACGTGTGACTGAACAAGAAACGAAGGAGCGACTTGAAAATACAAAGAGACGAGTAGAAAACCGTAGCAGTCGAGTGCGGGCAGCTCTGGCGGGTTCAGTGACGGCGCTGACCCTAGTATGTTCGGGAACCGTGTCCTCTGGATCCACACGTCAACCCTGCTCGGCACGTGCGGTCGCGTTCGGGCGTCAACACTGCGGCGTGTTTGTGGCAACCACCAGTACTTAGACCTCCACCATGGAGTCAGCCGAACAACTGGACTCTGATATCAGCGAATTGCACGCTCGCATAGCTACATTGAAAGCACATCGCGCGAATTTGTCTTCAGTGCTCCTCGCGCAGCCACACATTGCAGCGCGTCTTGGTAACGATGCCATCGCAAAGCGCCTGATCGACCACCAATCGACACGAAATCTCGAGAACACATATCGCGCCTGCGCCGGAGTGACTGCATACAAAGTCAAAGATCCTGACCCACGTGCAGCGCGCAATGGGGACATACTCGGCATAAGCATCGAGGTGCCTGTCAATGGCGGGTTCATTGATACATACCACGTTCTTCTCACAGTAACGGACTCCAATCGTCTACGTATTCACAAACATACGATACCGACCTCTATCCCAGTCCAGCAGCTAGCCAACAAGTGGTTACCACAAGGTACAGCGAACGGGGATGGCTTGAAGGAAGCAGAGCAGGACCTTGTCAAATTTGGGCGGGCGCTGAGGAGAGAACTGGTCAGCTGGCACATGCGTCTCCAGACTGTTCAGGATCTGAGGAAGGAGGCAATGCTCCCCGATGCGGATGCAGGGGACGATGAGACAGACTTCATCTCTGGTGGCAGGGTGATGAACGCTTTCGTGAGCGACGACAGCTCGGACGCCGAGGAGGAGGACAGCAATGGTCCAATCCGTATCCTTGACCTTGAGGCAGATGCTGCCGTTCGACAAGTCACGATCACTTGGTCAGATGGGCGTACGGCTTTACTAGCGGTTACCAAGGATGGTAGGGTCGAGAAAGCTACTTGCAGGGCGAGAGGTGGTGGACGAGATGGCGTGTCGAGCACGAAGGCTATTGGACCGCTCAGCGGCCTGCTACGCAGGCTTTCCTTGTAGGCGCAGTAGCATAGTTCGACGGTTTCACGGCAGGCGTTCAGTGATGTTTACGATACCCAGATTCTTGAATGAGCAACCGATTTCCTTAACACAGAGCTGACGTCCTATTTGAGACAAACCGGAAGTAGTGGCCGCCCGCAAGACAGGTCACTTGTCTTTCACAAACCTGGTCTGCCAGCAAGGTACTCACAGGAACTCGGTCAGGGTTGTTGCAAATCCTGACTCAGAAGCGCATCCCGATCGGTGTTGGTCATACAAAGCGTTTGGAAAATTTGTTCGTGTCTGCAAGGGCGGCGTGAGGCTTTGTAAATGTTCGGACTAGAACATGGACAGTTTGTAAGAACCCCGATGACTCGAGATGCCGAGCGCTTGACCACTCACGTCAACCCACGAGTCCACGGCAGACGTGCTGCTCCACATCTGCACTAGAGCCTCGAAAGTCTCCAAGACCTTACGGCGAAATCTTCCGTTATCAGATAAGAGAAACTGCCTCAGCTCGCGTCACCTTGCACGTACATGGCGCGAAGCCTCGTGATCGGCGAGACGCGGCTCTTTTCCCAAGCCACCTGCCGCACCTTCATGCAGGTACCGCCTCATTTCAACAGACAGCACCGAGCTGGCCATCTGCACATGGACGCAGACCACAGTGACATAGTGTGTGGGTCGCATCGTTATCAGATGCCCACTCCAACGCAAATGCGCCGCGAACTAAAAACATATAAGTGGACACAGCATTGCGACATGAGCACTGTGTAAGCAGGCGTGCCTCGACCATGATGCCGAAGTCGCCGATGGCGGAAGTCTTGTAACGGGCCGCTGCACAAGCTCGTGGCTTGACAGGGTCAGAGACGTGCTTAATAGATTAAGATGTCCCTCGCACTGGTTCACTGTTGTCTATAACCTATCGTCTGCTCCGAACCGCCACACCGACATACGAGCGTGAGTCCAATACCTGCACCCTAAACCCAACCCAGACACGCTTTCTACCATTTTGTCGCATAACATCTGCTGATATCGTCGCACAGTCTCTTGCTTATTCTTCACCTACGACCTAGTTACTTTTTGCTTCGTCTTACAGCTGCAGCAGCCAAATTTCTAAGCGCCCGTTCCCTGACATCGGACCTCCGACCCGTTGCACTACTCTAGCTCTAGCTGCCACCGCCATGTCTTTCCCCGCCTACACCCCCAAGGCTCGCGTGCAGAAGCCTGCGCCCGCCTTCGCTGGCACCGCTGTCGTTGACGGCACTTTCGAGGGTAAGCCTAGTACCCATTGACAGCTCCAAGAAGCTCTACGTTGCCAGCGTACTAACAGCCCCAGATGTCAGCCTCACTCAGTACACCTCCGCTAAGCAGTGGCTCATCCTCGGTTTCGTGCCGATGGCATGGACCTTTGTGTGCCCGACCGAGATCCTAGCCTTCAGCGACCGAGCATCCGACTTCGAAGCCCGCGGCGCCCGCGTGGTCTTCGCCTCCACCGACTCCGAATACTCGCTGCTCGCATGGACCAACACAGCGAAGAAGGACGGCGGCCTCGGCAAGATCAATATCCCGCTGCTGTCGGACAAGAACCACTCGATCAGCAAGGACTACGGCGTCTTGATCGAGGAGGAGGGCATTGCCCTGCGCGGTCTGTTCCTCATCGACCCCAACGGCGTGCTGCGCCAGATCACCATCAACGATCTTCCCGTTGGTCGCAGCGTCGACGAGGCCCTCCGCCTCATCGATGCCTTCCAGTTCACCGACAAGTACGGCGAGGTCTGCCCCGCTAACTGGAACCCCGGCATGGACACCATCAAGGCCACTCCCGAGGGCATCAAGGAGTACCACGGCAGGAACGGAGACGAGAAGATGAGCGACGCTAAGGCTACTAACGGTACTCATTAAACGTGGCTTCGAGGCTTGGGCGGACGCGTCACTGTTTTGCATTACGTTTTGGCATTGCGGTTGGCGCTGGTATAGACATGATTGAGACGGCCATTGCTTTTTGCTTGATGCAGGTATGAGGTTGGCTGTTTGTAGACCGTAGAACGATGGTATCAATAGATTCCCACTTTAGTGCAGCTTCGCTATTTCCAAAGCACACATCAGTGGTGTCGATAGGGTGGTCTTCGTCGAAGGGAAGCTGAGCAAATCCTGCTGCACCTCGACGTTTGCAAGCTCGATTGCATCCACGCTGGAGGCATAGCAGACCTTCATAATGCCTCTTCGATCCGTTTAATGTTGCGTCTGCGGTACGCTTCCATAGGATCTCAACCCGATTCTTTTCTTCATTTGTGCGAATTACTTAGACGGTCGAGTACTTCGTGGTCTGCGTTCGCATACAGCACGGCTAACAGTGTCACAGGCTCCTGCGACGGTACAATTCATTGTTCTGGCTGAATCGCCATCCCCTCTACTGAACTGTTAGTGAGACTAAAAGTCAATCAGTTTCGGTTGCTGATTTAGGTGTATGATAATTTTTGAATTGTCGCTTCCGCATTTGTTCGTTTACCTATTCGAGCAGTGACGTTACTAACTGAGAGATTCCATATCGCAAGCGTCTTTATTCGCAACATCTGTTCCATTTGTTTGTGAGGTCAATTCGGATGTTCGGATGTAAAGTCTAAGGCCTACAAGTCAGGTTTCACTGCATTTTCTACTCTCGACATCCAGCCGAACGTCACGTACGTAAGGCGCACCGAGAAGGAATGCGCGGCGCACTTCTCGGCATTGTCTGCCTTCTGTGCAACAACGCGCAACGCGTTATCGACGCAAGGCAATGCGGTGCGGGAGGAGCCGATTGGGTGGGGTGGCTGCGGCGTTGCGGCTGAAGCAGGCTACAGCTCCTGCAGATGGAGCACGTTGCGTATTCAACATGTTCTATAGTCGCGAACCTATCCTTATCACATGCAAGCGGTAGTTCCGATGGCTTGCAGGATTGCCCTCGTGTGGTTGCGGCTCTCGGGGGCTCCACTCGCTACTGAGCTCACTTGTCAAAACGTCATGACTTCGTGAATTGGGATGCATGCGCCACTTAGGACAATCGCGTAAAGTCGCGTTGTTGCCGCCTGGCCCTGAGATCGCCATTCCAACTTCTTCGAGATGGGTAAACAAGAGCTCGACACGCGCCCCAGTGTAATTGTTGTTGGTGCTGGTGCTGGTGGTGTTGCGACGGCCGCGCGCCTCGCCCAGGCTGGATGCAAAGTCACGCTTGTTGAGAAGAATGACTTCTCGGGTGGAAGATGTAGTCTGATACATCGTGACGGCTACGTATGCTACAGCTCGTCTTGATATTGGAATCAAAACTAACCGGGTGATAGAGATTCGACCAAGGACCCAGTCTGCTCCTCTTGCCTGAGCTGTTCAAGGAGACATTCCAGGACCTTGGCACATCACTGGAAGACGAAGGCGTCCATCTCGTCAAATGCAATCCCAACTACAATGTTCATTTCCACGATGGGACAAACTTCAAGCTATCAACTGATATTGCTATCATGAAAGAGGAGGTAGAGCGGTTCGAAGGGAAAGACGGCTTCGAGCGGTATCTAGGTTTCCTACAAGAGGCACATCGTCATTATGAATTGTCGGTCATTCATGTGCTGAAGCGCAACTTTTATTCGCTTTTTAGCATGGTTCGTCCGAGTTTCCTGCGTCACCTGATTGCCCTGCATCCTTTCGAGAGCATATACACACGAGCTGCAATCTACTTCCGCACCGAAAGACTACGTCGAGTCTTTACGTTCGCGAGTATGTATATGGGTATGAGCCCGTTCGATGCTCCCGGAACGTACAGTCTTCTGCAGTACACGGAACTCGCGGAAGGCATCTGGTACCCCATCGGCGGCTTCCACAAGGTCATTGAGGCTTTAGTCAATGTTGGAGAGCGCAATGGCGTCGAGTACATGTTCAACAGCCCGATCTCAGGGATACAGCTCTCCAACGATGGAAAACGCGCGACAGGAGTAACATTCCAGGACGGCAGGCCGCCCCTCACAGCAGATTTGGTCGTTTGTAACGCAGATCTGACATACGCCTATAACGAGCTTCTTCCAAATTCTAGTTACGCAAAATCCCTCCAGGGCCGCAAGGCCTCGTGTTCGAGTATATCGTTCTACTGGGCGCTTGACAAGCAATTCCCCGAACTTTCAGCACACAACATCTTCCTCGCTGAAGACTACAAGGAGTCCTTCGACAGCATCTTCAAGAAGCATCTCATCCCCGATCAACCCAGCTTTTACGTCAACGTGCCTTCTCGCGTTGACTCCTCTGCAGCACCCAAGGGCTGCGACTCCCTCGTCGTCCTTGTCCCCGTCGGCCACCTGGAAGACTACGGCTCGGACACGCACAAGGGCTCTCAAAGCACCCCAGGACGCACCCAAGATTTCAACGCCATGGTGGAAATGGCGCGCGACACGATCCTCAAGACCATCGAAGCCCGCCTCAACATCAACGTTCGCGCGCACATCGTCAACGAAGTCCTCAACACTCCTGTGACCTGGAAATCGACGTTCAACCTCGACCGCGGCGCGATTCTGGGCCTCTCGCACTCGTTCTTCAATGTCCTTGCTTTCCGTCCCAAGACCAAGCATGCTTCGATCGAGGACTTGTACTTTGTGGGCGCGAGCGCGCACCCGGGAACTGGTGTGCCGATTGTGCTCGCGGGCGCGAAGCTGGTCAGCGATGAGATTCTGGCAAAGCTGAGGATGGAGCCGAAGCTTATGGATCAGGGAGAGGCAGCGACAATGAGGGAGGAGTACAGGGTTATGCGCAAGTGGGGAGTTCCGCTGAAGAGCCATTTGGATGTGCAGAGTAAGACGACGTACTCGATTTGGCTGCAGTGGTGGGTGCCGGTCTTCCTCACACTGGTAGCAATCTATCTGTGGAGTGGGACAAGTCAAGGTGTCAGTATTCTGTCGTGAGCGTACCACATTCACGGAGGAGAAGGTTCTGTTTAGACTTGTTCTAGTAGTCGGGGAGTTCATGTCCGTAATTCTAATGCATCAACATCATGATTTAAGCATTCTTCATCAGATCCTATGCACGTATTCTAACCTCTCACTGGTAGATGTAGCACAACGGTTTCTCCCCCATGGTGTTCATGAGATGCCCAATCGGTATGTCGGCCACATTCAGATAGTTCACATGGATCAAGTCCTCCAATGTAGTGTTGCGACTTGGTGGGTTGTTGTTGAGCGTAATCGTGCCCGCAATTGTATCCGCTTGTTCCAAATATAACGCTTGCCAGATCCAGTACACCCTGTCGAGCATAGCGTGGTGCAGGAAAAATACAGGATCTACCGGCGATGAGAAGATGCCTCCAGCGTCACCACCGATACTGAAATGACCAGCAGCGTGGAGGCCGAGAAAGCCATCGGAAAAACGCCCTTGGAGCCTGTCGGACGATTAGTAACAGTATCTCGTGTGTTCTGACGCTCGCATTGGGTACGTACTCGTTCTGAAACAACTTGATGGATTTCGACGCATCTCCTCTGGTCAAGTTCAAGAAGTTCTCAACTGTCAGCCAATTCGATGACGCGTACATGGTCAGGTCACGCTTCAGACAACGAGGGTTGTATGATAGACTGCCGTTGACCTTCGCCTGGCCCCTCATTGTGGGAGATACCGGGCCAAGGTTGACAGTCATACTCTTGAAGGGCCCGTCCTGCAGACAGCCGCCTCCGTTTCCAGATGGGAGGAAGATGGCCCCGGCACCGCCTACACTGCCATTGTGAAAAACATAGGAACCATCACCGCTCATGCTTGTGGCAGAGCCGTCAAAGACAGGGGACTGCTTCAGATCATCCTGGTGGGAAAACCAGTTCCAGTACGGTTGGTACCCAGCGTAGTCACATTCTTCTCGTAGTGCCTTCTCATACGAGAAGACGAAGAGGCGATGCTAAAGAATTAGATTTCTTAGATCCAGAGTCATAATTAACCACTTACCCAAGTCAGAAAGTTACCCGTCCCGTGAATGCTAAGAGTTTGATTGATGTGTTGGGCCACAAAGTCATCGTATCTGTTGCGCGCACCCGGGACCAATATCGGATCGGATTTCGAAGGAGAGTCGAGCAAACACTGTACGGCTGATGTATATGCTTTGCGCTCTTTACCTGACATCGCGTCCCTGTTCTCAGTGAGCCCTTGATAACCACCGTGCACTTCATGAGAGGAATCTTTACCAATCTTTTCGGACTGCAGCATTGGATACAGAGCATGCTTGAGTTTCGTTCGATTTGATATTTTTCAAATTTACAATCGCCTGTCTTTGCAAGTCTTTGACAGCATCTCGAGGCTTTGCCACGACTGCTTGGCCCAAGACGGCAAAGGCCAAAATTTGAACGACAGGTATCAACATATCGAGATGGATGGAGGATCTAGACGAGTGCCGAAAATTATAACTTGACGGCAACTCAGACTTATGTAGTCAAATCAGTGTCCAATTGCTGACAACGACTGTGCGTGCTGGACGCCTATCCATTCGCCCCACGGCAGCACCCTTGTATCCGAAAGGCACTAAGACGCTCTGCTCTCTATTGCCGAATTGCAAGGGGGAAAGGATTCGACGGTTGCCCTGGTGCAAGCAATCTTTCGGTGCGTTTGGGAGAGGTGTGTAGATGTGTGCGCATGGCCTTAACGCAGGGTAGCACTGAGAGTAATGAACCTGTAAACATAGATTGTGGCTTCAAAATCCGAGTAACCCAGCGAACAGGCTCTTTTAGACATTTCCGATGTATCTACGAATCACAGAGACTCACTTCTCGGCATCTTGGTCGGATACTCGACAGCTGCGGTTAGTCCAGGGTAGCAGTGAGTGCAAGTGGTATGCAGACCGATCATGCTCTCCACCGAAATTACAGGGGTCGGGTCGGAACTTCAGAAGGCAAGCTCCTTCGTTTGAAAGCGTTGGAATATATGAGCATCGAGTCTCTAGAGATTTCGTGTAGCCTGAATTAAAGATGGGGCTTCCACCTTGCGGCAAAGTGTCATGGAAAGGTGATGGATGGATGGCGGCTCAGTCAGCCGGCAGTTGGGCGGAAAGGACGCTAGCCTCGCCTCCGCCTTCCCGTGCCTTCCACACAACTACCACCTCACTCTTGCCCTTATGGAACCTAGAATAGCGACGTTGCTGGACCAGTCACCTTACAAGAGACTTACTCTGGATCCATCTGTCTTGACCTCTCCTTCTTCTATTGCGCCCCGGTACATAGAGCCGGCAGCTAGCGGTAACGCGGCACACTCAAACCTAGATCTGCATGGCCTTCACGATCATGTTGATACCAGAACTAAGACCCCATCGCATGCGCAATCTAGTGCACCACTTGCACGAGTACTGAATGATCCTTCCTCTGCTTCTCGTGTAGTCCAGTCTCCATCTGGGCGTCAAACGCCACAGCACGCATCATTCCGTACCAGAGGGGAGGGCTCTACTCTGTGCCTTCCTGCGATCTCGCCAGATGCACACAGACGAGAGGAGCATGCTAGTTCTGTTGGTTACTCAGGAGGCGACAACTCCTTGATACAGCTACCGAAACCTCCACAGGTCTCGCGGAAAACCGCGAAGAGGCCCAGGATCCCGCCACTACTGCAAGGTCTGCATCAGCCTCCTCCACTACCACCCAAAAGCAGATTGTTCCCGCCTATCACTAGCGAAAGGAATGGACTTGGAGGCGATGTGGGCGATCGGTTCGGCCTTGGGAATGCCTTTCCCACAAGTAGTACTGAAGAGCTAGCGAAAGCTCGAGTTTCGCCACAGAAAGGGAAGGATGTCGATATCAACAATGACGAACGGAACAAGCCTAATGTTAGCCGTCAGAACGTTACAGTGGAGCAGAGACCGGTTTCTAATTCTATTGCGGTCCTTCCATCAGTTGCCCAGTCTACAAATCTTGCTCAGAACACAGCCAAAGCACCACGAAAAAGGACAAGGTGGTCGCAGAAAGAGACAGACGATTTGCTCACCGGAGTCAGCAGATTCGGTATTGGCAGATGGAAGCAGATACTCGACTGCACAGACTTCCAGTTTCAGGGGCGGACTGCTGTGGATCTGAAAGACCGTTTCCGGGTATGCCGTCCTGGAGAAGGGCTCAAAGCCAGGAAAGCTGCTACACCGGAAGTCCCGGTGCTTCCGAAAACAACGGAAGCCAGTGCACCGGGAATTGAGGTCGTAGCTACGCCTACTGTAGAGGCAGTGCCCCAACCCATACGATCAGCCGCGCGAATAACCCTGGATGGAATAGAACCGACTAACAAAGCTGCTACAAACAATGCAGAAGTTCATGGGCCATTTCTGAAGAGTAAACGTCGAGCGCGTCGAGAATTTAGCAATGAGGACGACCGAAACTTGCTGAAAGGCTTCAAACGGCATGGTGCTACCTGGCACAAAATGCGTGATGATTTCGAATTGGGCTTTGGTGTTCGCCACCCTACAGACCTGCGCGACCGCTTTCGCATTCGATATCCAGAGCTTTTTGCTCAGGCCGGCTACAAGCTGAAGCCAAAAGAGCAGCGTGCAGTAACAAACAAGGCAGAAGAGACGGTACAGGAAGCACAGGTGTCGAACCGGCCAACGACAACTCCAAGCCAGCCCCTCGACACCGGCGACAAACTCGTCACTCGTACCAGCACAAACACTACAGCCATGGCACCCCCAACCACAACACCCACCGCAGCACCAAAACCCGCCTCCACCCGCCCCACCTTCGAGCTCCTTACCGACCTCACCTTCGACGACGACGACGACGACCCGACACCCATCATCCTCAACAGAAACATCCTCCAATGGGCCGACGAGAACTCCACCCCGACCACCACGCACCCCTCCCACACCCCCGCCGACCCCTACAACCCCTTCGCCCCCACCGACGGCCTGCACATCAACCCGCTGGCCACGCTCAAGCTCCCTTCCACCGCGCACTGGAGCTACATGCTCCCCTCGGCGGCGGCGGCGCCGTCGCTGCCGGTGCCGGCGCCGCTGAAACACAGCCTGCCCGTGAGCAGGAGCCAGCCGGACATGCGCACGCCGAATCTGCCGAATATCGTGTTTCCGTACGTGCCGAGTGCGAGTGCGAGGAATGCGGTGCATAATTTGCCGGCGCCGGCGGATATTCTGTCGTCTGGAGGGCAGGGCGGGGATGGGTATGTGTGGATTGGGTAGGGGAGGAGGTGGTAGATGATAGGCAGTAGCGTTGTGAGATTATGCACTCGTACCGTACAGCAAGAAACCCTCCCACGTTCTCCATCGTCACTCATCCAGTCATGTCATGTCGTGTCATGCCATCCGAACCATCCTTTTGCTCGCCGCAACACCGCGCTCCCAGCCTAGCTAGGTACTCCGCGCGCCCCATCCCCCCTCACCGCCCCGTCTGACACAGCGCCAAGCAAAACTCCCTGAAATCCCCCTTCGTCGCGCCCTCGACATCCTCCTCGACGACGCGCCCGTACTTCTCCTCGTACTCGGTCTTGACGCGCACCAGATGCAGGCGGTCCCAGTGCAGCCGCACAAGGCGCGAGATGAGCAGCTCGTAGCGCTGCTGGCGCTCGTGCTTGCTGGCGGACGGCGCGGGCTTGTCCTTGTCCCTGTGGGACGCGCTGGGCGGCTCGATCAGGTCCATGAGCGCGTGGTGCAGCAGCATGGCGTCGCGGGCGGGGCGGTTGATGACGCCGTTGAGGATGTGGGCTATGACCTCGCCCTGGGGGGCTGTTAGCACGGGCGTCCACAGTTCACAGTTCGTTATTCAGGGGGCAGGACTTACGACGAGGTTGTTGCTCTTGCGCAAACAGTCGCGCGCGAAGCTGCCCTGGTACTTGCGCTCGTACGTGCGCAGACACTCGCGCAGATGGGCGTCGGAGCGCATGACGACGATGCCCAGGATGGCTGTTTCGCCGCCCTCGCGCATCTTGAGCGACTTGTACAGCGTGTCGACGTCGCGGTTGCGGTACTCGGTGGGCCACACGTCGCTTTCTTCCTGGCGCTCGCCCTCGAGCGCCATCAGCACGGCCTTGCGGAACTTGTCGGCCTTGAGCTCCTTGTCCATGCACTTGACCAGGCTGTCGCTGTAGCGCTTGTCCTTGAACGCGGCGCAGATGGCGCGGATCTCGTGGTTCTGGCGGCCCATGAGCGCTTCGATGAGGAGCTCACGCCGGGCTGAGTTGGATTGGTACCAGTAGTTTGCCCAGTAGCCTTCGCCTTCGAAGCGGCCGAGGGCGGTGACGTAGGCGACTTTGCCGAAGTTGCCAGACGTCTTGAGCTTGATGTGCTTGGCGATGTTGATGCCGCGGCCTTGCACTTTGCAGTGGCGCTTGTACTCGGTGCGCAGCTCGAGCATCTGGTCGTGGCTCAGGGCGGGGAGGATGTCGATCAGCGTGTCGACATCGGGGGTGCGTGCGGAGAGGGCGTCGACGATGGCGAGCGCGTCGGGTTCGGCGTCGTAAACTCGAGCGCGGCGCTCCTCCTTTTCCTTCCTGCGGCCGTTGTCGCGGCGATCACGGCTACGGTCGCGGTCGCCATAGGGGTCGTAGGGGTCGCGCGCGGAGGAGTTGTACGCTTCGAGGGCGAGCTTATCGCGCTTGGAGGGAGGCAAGGGACTCGGCGAGCGGCCCGAGCGCGAGTGGGCGCGATGCCTGCCATGGACGGACTGTCGCGACTCGCGCGGGGAGAGGCTGTCAAGCGGCTGCAGGTGGTCGAGGTCGTCGTCGTTAAGCATCATGGCCTGGGGCATGGGGCTAATGGACTGGTACACGCCCTGGTACGCTTCCAGCAGCGGGCTTGGGGGAGGCATGCCCCCGCCAGGGAAGCCGCCAGGCATGCCGCCGGGCATGATGTTGTGCGGGTCTGGGCGGTTGCCGCTCACGGAGAGCCTGTCCATGCGCGACGTGAGCCCGTCCGGACGGCCGCCACCGCCCACAGAGAGACTGTGCGGGCGCATGGGCGGCGGCGGCGGCAGCGGCTGCGAATTATGCTTCCCCCCGCCCGGGACCATCTCCACGACCTTGCGCCCGTCGTAGGTGCTCGTCGGCGCGGCGGTCGACTGCGCGCGCTGGTGCTCGGGGCGCGGCGAGTGGCTGCCCATGGGCGGCGGCGGGTACTGCTGGGCAGCAGGCGGTGGTGCAGGCGCGTAGGCGCCATACTGCTGGTGCGCGGGCGCGGGAGGGTACGCGGGACTCGTGGGCTGGGCCGTGTGTCGCACGGCGGGCTGCTGGTGCGGGTGCTGGGCGGCGCCGGCGACGGGCTGCGCGCTGAAGGTGATCTTGCCGGGGGCCTGCGCGTACTGGAAGCCGGACGTGCTGTCCCTGGGCGAGGCTGTGTACGCGTACGGCTGGCCCACGGCCGGGCTGGACGTGTACTGCAGGCCACCGGGCTGCGCATACTGGTACTGCGACGCGGCCTGGGCCTGCTGCACGTAGCCCGGGCGCTGGTCGGGAGGCAGGTCGGCGTAGTTGCCCATGGTGATTCCGTCGTTCATGCTGGCGGCCTGGTCTCAGTACTCGTCGCGTGCGGTCTCTGCTGCTGCTCGAGGCGCGGCCAGAGCTCCAGCTCGAAGCTCAGGCGGAAGACTCACGTTGGATACACGAGTGGCTGACGGCCGTCGTACTGCGGCGCGCCCATTGGTGCGTATTCCACCGCGCTGTAATGCTGACCCGGCCCAGGCTCGTCGCGCACGCGGCTGTGGCTGCGAGCGCGGCTGCGCTCCCTTGTGCGCCCGGGCGACTTGGAGCGCGACCTTCGCGAGCTGTCATCTGGCCGCAACGACATGGCGCTGAGCCTGAATTTGGTGGTTGGAGGGTCGAATGCCTGACTCACCCCGCCCGACGAAAGCTACGCGTGCACAGGACGCGGGCAGCCGGTGCGCCTGGGGACAGCGTTTGGACCCATGGAACTGCGGAGTAGCCGCGCTGGCGGGGCCTCAGCTGCGTCGCTTGTGCCCGTGAGGCTCTACGGTGGGTCGAAGGCGGTGAGTCTGCATGTCGACGCTGAACACCAAAATTGAGCAGTGACATGCACGCGACCTGGACGTGTTTCCGACTCCTCCGCTCCATGATACGTCAGACCGCAAGCCGGACCCTTTGCCTGCCCACGTCACCGGTAGTTCGTAAGCTCAGCCAGAGTGCGGGCGTGTTGAGCCCCATGTCCACATTTATCGGCAGGAATCGCGAAGACGGTCAAACATGTCAGGGTAGCCCGGTCGGTCCGGCATGGCGACTCACTGACCAAAGCGCCTAATTTTGGATAAATTTTTGAAGGGACTGTTAGACTCTCGTAGCTCGGGGAAATGATTGAACAAAGCCACTTCTTCGACACGGGCGTGCGTATCTGCTTGGTTCTGACCAGTCATGCTCAACGCTTCGCTTGATTCAGGTCCACAAGCGAAGCGGCGGCGCCATGTCGCAAGATGAAGCGACGCAGCTGAGATCGATCAGTCCAGCGGTGTCCGTGTGCTCGAGTCAAACCACTCAATAGATATAGATAAGAATCCCCAAACATGCTGTCCTCCCACCCGTTTGCCTGTTCATGCATCCGTCATGTCGTCCTCTACCATCGCCTACCCGGACAACCTCCAAACTCAGTCGCGACTTGTGCAGCTACCACAAGAAATCAAAAACCTCATCTTCGATCTGTGCTTCGCCGCAGATGGCGCCATCGTCGAGCCAATTCCGAATACCACTCCTTCCAAGGTCGATGTCTCGCGCAGAATGGGAGTAAACCTCTTGCAAACCTGCTGCAGATTATACCATGAGACCGACCGCCAATCATTATTCACTCAGAACACCTTCCGCTTTAGAACCGTCGACAGTATGAGCACTTTCCTGAGATCATTAAGCCCTGTGCACCGCGCGTGTGTTCGGGACGTCGAGATTGACGTGCAGAGCATGCATTCTCAACACCCGGGGCTTGCTCGGGAGTGGCTGCACTACCTGTCATGGGGCAACGGCCAGTGGGATCAGTCTCTCGGCTCTTTACACGTAGATGCTCCGGGGTTGAAGTGCCTCAGGCTGAACTTCGAGTCGTGGCCCAGAATCGCCATGAAGAGGGTCGAACTGTGGAACCAACTCAGGAACATGCTCTCAAAAATCGAAGGCCTCGAGCGAACTATTGTGGTCGGTGCGAGTAAAGGCACTTCCATGTCCAAACGAGCTCCCTTTTCCCCGGTTCACTACGTTGGAGGCGATGACGTCGGCGTCGATGACCTCGTTCCACGAATGTGGTCTACTGTTGGAGCACCAGATGAGTCGAAGATCGTGAGGTGGACTCGCCAAGACGGAAGACTGGAGCTAGAGATTGTGTCGATATCACATCTATTGAAGAACGTCGACCCGCACTGGTACGGCCCCTCTGTAAGGAGAAGCCACACCGACCCGTGGCCAGAGAACGGCTCCTGCACCTTGTTCGGGTACGAGAACCGGGACTCGGACGTCACAGAGCCCACTACAAAAGGCCTCAATCCCAGTGCCGCCGAACAATAGGCCTTGCAGGATCCCAGGGCCCATGGATCTCGTTCTTGTACTTTTGCAGCCCGATCAGCCACCAGCTGCAAATACCCATCACCAGGAACGTTAGGAAGCTTCCTAGCACCACTCCTGCAATGAAGACACCCTTTCCACCTCCGGTCAGGGTTACGAAGACGCCGCCCCACGCAGCTGTGACGAGCAAGATCGTGAGGGTGAGATGGCCGCGCCAGGAGCGGGCGCGGAGTTCCCGGCGAAAGATGGGGAAGAGGCCGAAGACCTCGATCGAGAAGAGAGTCAAAGAGAACACGTGTGTGGTCGACGGGAGGCGCGAAGCCAGAACGCTAGATGCCATCATAGCGGAGTTTGTTGACATAGACGCGGGTAGTTTGCAGCGTTATTAGCGTGCATAGCGAATAGAGATTTTTGAACTTACTGAGCTCCCGGTCCGCTGCTGTAATCGAAGAAGACTACATTCATCATAAGTAGCCATGTGCTTATAGCCCAGATCGAGTCACTTGTTGTCGACTTCGTCAAGGACTTGAGTATGGGGCTGAGCCCTAGTAAAGCAGCGTAAATCAACACAGCCGACTTGATCGTCGATATGCGCTGCTGGCGTCGAGACGGTGGAGACGGCACCGAATCCGACTGCGAATCTGTTGCTTCGTCTGTCTCTGACGGTCTGGTAGACTCCTCCAGATGTTTGCCCTGCCAATGATCCCACAGAATCCAAGCCAACGCGGTGCAGAGAGTCGCCCAGCCTACAACAGACAGCGGCGAAACATTTCCCTGGATGATGGCAACAAAACAGCAGCAGAAAATGGCGACTGATGCAAGATGCTGCACAATAATAGTTGTGTCGGCCATCAGCGACCAGAACTCATAAGGCTGCAGCCGCGGATTGCGCTGCAGGTGGTCCAGAAACGTCTTTTCATCCGTGTAGTTATCGGGAACTGCGACATAGATTAATATCCACCTACCGCGGCCTCGATGCAAACTAACACGGTTGCTTGAACCAGAGCAACTTCTTATAGTGGCTCTTCGACCTGCGGCTAGTGCTGCGCCCGTCTCTGCGTCTTCTGCCAGACGCAGACGGCTTGTAGAACGCATCGACTGGGTCTAAGAGTCGATTCGACTCCATGTTGCTGTTCATGGGCGACGTAGGAGGGTTGTCGTTGCGCAGGAGAGAACGGTATGGGACGTTCGCGCTAAGACGCTGTTTGGTTTAGCCCCGCTTAGGGCCCCACATCCACTTGCATCGCAACGAATTAGAGTGCTTCGTTGCCGTGGTTCATAGGCGGAGAAGAGCCATGCGTCAAGTTACTTGTTGTGGTAACTTCCAGGCGGGTATTGATTGCAGGGGACACAGTTCGATACATGTGCCTACGTGGCCAGGTTACTAATTGCAGTAACTTCCAGGTAGGTGTTGATCGTAGTGGACACAATTCGTCCTGCCTTCATGGCCAAGTTACTTACTATGGTAACTTTTGGACAAGTATTGATCGCAGGGGGCACAGCTTGTCCTACCTACATGGCTGTAACGCTGTAACCAACCATGGATGGACTGGTGCGTTCGATCCAAATGGCTCGCATCGTTGCAGGACATGATGCAATGATGTCTGTGACACAATTTTCTTGTATGATTGGAAGAGTTGTTTTCATTGCAACCCTCGGTACGGATGGTGGAAGCGAGACTTTGGATCGTCTCGTGACGTGGGCTAGTATTGATTTGTGGGAGGATGCTTCTTCATTCGAGGCTACCTCGTTGCACGACGGCTGCCAGGTTTGATGTTTATGGGTGATGACATGCACGAAACTCAACATGGAGAATAGAATGTTAAGTATGCATAGACAATACATCTTACGAGCAAGCTCAAGAACATTCGCGAGATCATCTATCATGGTCCGCACCGCGACTTGCTCGTCTGATTCAACGTCTGCCAGGCTACAAGTAGCCTCCTCCACTTTGGCACAGTCGCGCGCCCGGCCTTGACCATATAGCCTTTCTGTCGTAGTGTTCTCCCAATCTCCATGTAGCTCTCGACTGCGACCCTGATCGGACCTGCAGCTTCAGATGGCAGCTGTTCGATTGAGTGCTTAGATGCATTATAGAGGTCGAACGCGTTGTCTAGCAGGCGGTTACGTATGCTTTCAACTCGCGGTCCCGAAGGTTGCTCGAGGACTGCCTTTTGCGTCAAGCCTGCCTCAGACAGCCATGTTGTTGGGAGATACACGCGACCGATCTTGGCGTCTACTGCGATGTCTCGTGCGATATTGACGTATTGCAATGCGACTCCCATCGAGTTGCCGGCGATCTCCACCTCGTGCTGCTCTTTTCGGTTCAAGCTGGTAGTGTAGGTGCGGAAAATGAGCTCGATACACATCTGAGCCACCGTACCGGCAACTCGTTCGGCATAGAGTTTGAGATCGTCTTCGTTCGTAATTGGAGGCGATGCAGTGTCGAAGGCCAAGTCCATGTCAAAACCAAGGAGCAAATCCTGTAATGGCTTGCGCGACAGTTTTTCGGTCGGTAACTGTACGAGAGCCGAGCGTGTGTCGGCAGGGAAATGCCCAAAAACATACTTGATCAGCGCAGGTCTTGATCTCGGTCCACTGTACGCGAGGTCTAAGAATTTGTTCAGGTGCGCAATCCATTCCTTCGCTTCTGCTGCTGTCGCGGCATTGTCCACTAGATCGTCAGCCACTCGGCAGAATGAGTACAGCAGCAGCAAATCGGTGCGAAGAAGTCCTTGGAAGGTTGAGGATGCGAGGTAAAAGCTCCTGCTCTTGCGCTTCAATCGATGTACAGCCTCTCGAAGGCCTTCGAGACGGGCATCGTCATATTTCTTCGGAGACACGAACAGAGCCTGGATGAGAACCACCGGTGATGGCAGTTGCGGCGCTGGGTTGGGGAAGAGGGCGGGGAAAGTATGCAGGATAGCAATGGCGTTATCAAAAGCGACCAATCCGAACACAATCAACATGTTTGTGACAAGGAAGAACAGAGCTTCTTCAATCTCCAACCCATCCCACAAATGGATGCCATGTTTGGTACCGGCGCTGATAACCCATGTCCCTCTGCGCAAAGCCATGGTGTCGACTACCCAAAGATATAGAGTGGGCAGCCATATGGGCAGCGCTGTGTTGGACAGAGGCAAGCCAAGGATGAATTGGTATGCAAGCGTCCATAGCCCTAACAAGACAGGTCCTGCCCATACGAGGATCAGGCCTGTATATGTGCCGGTCACGTTGGCCTTGACGCAGTACCAGCCATATGCGATGAGTGCTGATATCACCGCCTGTCCACCCCACATCGAGTATTTCCAAGGCGCAGGTGAGGACGGGGTCGCGGCGCGTAGGTAGGTTGGCTGATAGGTTGGCTTGCTAAGGAGAAAGTATAGCAGCGAGGTATTGTAGGTCTGTATGACGAAGAAAAAGACTTCCTCAAGAGGGATGTTGAAAAGCGTGGGCCCAATGATTACATGGCTTGGATAGCTCCATATGCCTGTGCGGATGAGGTACGAGTCCCATGGGATGGTCGCAGTGACGGCAACCTGCAGTATCAGTACGGGCCGTTGCTATACAAGCGGGACGACTCACAGTAATCAGGAAACCGACTCTGTACGTGTCGAGTTTCGACCAGAGCGGGCGGTAAAGTAATGTGAGTAGCACAGCCGGCGGTATGGTGTACTTGACATGGCTGTTCACTGCGCATTAGTATCGAGATCAAAGTTCTGGAGATCCTAGGCAGGGCATACACGAGCGCGTAGTCGGTGCCCATGGTCGCAGATCGTCGCGACTGTCGACTGCGCGCGGAACAAAGAGCGTGTAAAGTCACGTCAATTCAAAACCGCAATGCAGGGAAAAGGACTAGCAGCCGCAACGGGTGAATGAGCGAGCGTTACATAGGACCTGCTCAACAAGATCCATCTTGACCGCGTTCCGTTGTCCCCGATTGCCGACCACGGCGAGCATGGCAAAGTTGAAAAGGTGCATGTGCACGTTGCCGGAACGGGCCCAGTACGGGAGATAAGCATCAAAGTGACATCATTGACTTTTTGCGGGCAACCTGGGAGCCAGACCTCAAGCGGACAGCATTAGCCAATCATGATGCGAGGCATTGCATCATGGTACCTGGCGCCCGCCCGTCAACACGCCATGACCTGTCTCGCCAGACATGTGAAACTCCACAGTAGGTACTGCCATGCCGACTTCTACAGACTAAATCCATGGTTGTGCAGCCTTTGGAGGCTCCCCAGCGCACTGCTCCAATGCGCACAGCACCCGCTATTCATCATGTCCTACAACGGGCGTCGCAAGAAGGCCTCAACGAACCATCCATACCTCAGTGGTAACTTTGCCCCCGTGACGCAAACATGGACACCAACATCGGTTACCTGGACGGGAAATCTTCCCAAAGAGCTCAATGGCGGCATGTATGTGCGCAACGGGGGCAATCCCATGGCCAACTCTGACCTTGGACGCGACGCTCACTGGTTTGATGGCGACGGGATGCTCTCAGGAGTCTGGTTCTCCCGTTCATCTTACAACACCGATGAACTCGATGTTCAATTCGTCAACCAGTTTGTTCTCACAGATGTTCTTCTAGCTCAAGCCGAGACCGATGCCATACGAACACCGATCTTGCCCAGTATTGCGACGTTGACGAACCCGGCTTCCAGTCTATTCTGGATTATTTGGCGGATCCTGCGTACTGTTCTGATCGTTTTCCTATCCCATCTGCCCGGTTCAGGGACCGTCATCAAGCGTATCAGCGTAGCCAACACGAGCGTTCTATATCACGATGGACGAGCGTTGGCCACATGCGAAAGCGGCCCACCTATGCGGCTGACATTGCCTGAGCTCGAAACTGTGGGTTGGTTCGACGGGAACACAGTGGAAGGCGAACCCGAGATTCAAGATAAGGAGGAGGAACCAACATTGGGTGGTACAGGGCCGTTGAGTTGGATGCGCGAATGGAGCACAGGACACCCAAAGGTTGACAACACAACGGGCGAACTTGTCATATTTCACTGCAGTTTTGCTCCACCGTATGTCCAGTACTCGATTATACCCTCCACAGGCCCGAACACCACGGAATACCACTCAGCTGGCGATGCCGGCCATATCATCAACGCGGCAGTCCCCGGCTGTACAGGTGGAAAGCTTATGCACGACTTTGGTGTGTCCAAGCGCAGCACAGTCATTCTGGATCTTCCTTTGAGTCTTTCGCCGTTAAATCTTGCGAAAAACTCACCAGTAGTGGCATACGAGCCATGGAAACCCTCTCGATATGGCGTCTTCCCTCGCCAACATCCAGAAGCGGTGCGTTGGTTTGAGACCGACGGCTGTTGCATCTTTCACACTGCCAACACCTGGGATGAGTTCGATGTTGATGGGAATGTTGTTGCCGTCAGCCTCCTAGCATGCCGCTTGACATCTGCATCTGTTGTTTTCAGTGCTGGAAACATCACACCGCCACCACACCCAAACCACAAAGATGTGGTAAGCGAGAAGCCCATGTCATTCTTCGCCAGGTACGACAACGACATCGACGAACAGGATCCTGAAAAAGTTGACGAGACATCGCCTTTGATATTCCGAAACGATGCTGCGCCCAATCCATTCGGCGCCTCTTCAAACTTGCCAATATCCGACGACGATGAAGAACAATGTCGATTGTACTATTACAGATTCTCACTGGATTCTCCAACCGAAAATGTTATCACTCATCAATTCGCGCTGGCAGCCATTCCTGTGGAGTTTCCTACGGTGTCGCCGTTGACAGCCATGGAGTCTGCACGCTATATCTACGCCTGCAGTACATCAAACGAGTCTTTCGGCGCGGCATTGGGCAAAGCTAGCAAGATCGATGTCCTTGTTAGATTTGACGTGCAGGCTTTACTTGAGAAGGCACAAATCGAACCGCCAGACTCAATCACAGGTTGCGTGGACAACCGTACACTACGCCAGATCATGGCATCAACTGACCCCAACGACCCAATCAAGGTCTTCCGGTTCCCGCCAAAGCATTACGGACAGGAGGCGACGTTTGTTCCTCGCTCAAGGCGTGGTTCTGTAGCTAACAAGAATACGGCTTTCGATGAAGATGATGGTTATCTCGTCTTTTACGTGTTCGACGAGCACCAATTGGGCGAAGATGGAGAGTGCAGAGAAGACGCGAAGAGTGAACTCTGGGTTCTGGACGCCCAGACGATGGCGCGGGTTGAGTGCAAGATCCAGTTGCCAACTCGCATTCCGTATGGATTACATGGTAACTGGTTCACAGAAGAGCAAATCGCTCGTCAGAAGAGCGTGGAGAAGGTACGGGCGCTGCCAGCAGCTGCCCAGGTTACAAGGGCCATTCGCATCAAGCGAAGCATACACAGGCGTTTGGGTTGATATCAATGTTGTACTGATAGCACGAGCAAACGACGTTCAGAACCGTATACAGGCATACCTACTACTAGTAATGATAATGGACCAAGGTACAACTCTCAGTATACAGCCCCAAGGAATACCCACGTGTGATTACAGGACCATCCGTTCAGGTTTCTAACACGCTTGGTGACAGTCGAGTCCATGCCGCAACTGTCCGACTGTAATTATTATCACTACTGGCAATCGCTATGCGTTAGCATGTGAAAAATGGTTTTCAGCGGCAATAAGGTTTATGATGTAGTCACCTGGACGTTTGACATATGGGAATACCCGCGATCATCGACATCGGTCCTTCGACACGCAGATCTTGCATAATGGCCCGATGACTCTGTGAATCTGTCCTATCGGTTATCAACCTTGCTCCTGAAGTCGAGATCTCCTTGCGGTTCGCCGATGAGGCGTCAGTATCCACCCCCAATTCAATCTTTGTGGAGACCTTCATCTTCGTCAACGTTGGCTCGTAAAAAACCAAGCTTTCGGCTCACGAATTCTGCAATGCTTAGCTACGCCCTCGGTATCAAGCGTTGATCTCTAGTGACAAATTTGGAGATTTAGTGCTAGAATCTCGTCCTGTCGCAGTAATGATGACTTCATCGTTCGAAACGTTCGCGCTAGTGAGCTCACCTATTGGCCGTCAGCCTCGTCCGAGCTATCACACTGCAATAGCGTGTCTGAGTAACCCGTTGCCGGTCAATGTGACAGATGATTGCAGGAATGCGGTGTTTGTTGCGTCGAGACCTTGTAGATTTGCGTGGTAGACAGGCATCGCACGATCGATGTCATCACTGACGTATCGCGCAAGCATTGAACCTTCTCATATATGGGCTGAGGCGCTGCTGATATACATTCGAGATATATTCCTGACAGAAAGATTCCGTACTGAGAACAATTCTTGGACTGAGCAATCATGGCCTCCAAACTCGTTGCACGCGCAAATCACGCTCTTGACCTCAACGGTATGCAGCCTCAAACAACCGTGAGCGCAAGAATCGAACACTGACTTCCCATAGGTAACACTGTCAACGGTGCTACAGCTGATATCGCCATCACGACCCATGGCTCCAACCTCTACTTCGCCATCTGCGCTGCGATGGGCTTCGCCGGCTTTTGCTTCGTCGGTCTTGCCTTCCGCAAGCAGCGTCGCGACCGCCTCTTCCACTACATTACTGCAGCCGTCGTGTTTGTAGCATGTATCGCCTACTTCTCTATGGGATCGAACCTGGGATTCACGCCTATCCAAGTAGAGTTCCCTCGCAACAACCCTGTTGTCCGTGGTACCTACCGTGAAATCTTCTATGTTCGATACATCGATTGGTTCATCACGACACCGCTCTTGCTTCTCGATCTGCTGCTTACTGCCGGCATGCCGTGGCCGTCTATTCTGTGGACTATTCTTATTGACGAGATCATGATCGTCACTGGTCTGGTCGGTGCGCTTGTGGTTAGCAGGTACAAGTGGGCTTACTTCGTAATCGGTGAGTTCAGTTCATTCGCATGTTATATAACAACCAACTCATAAATTTTAGGATGCGTCGCCCTTTTCTACATCGTCTACCAGCTCGTTTGGGAGGCTCGCCGCCATTCCACTCGCTACGGTGCGGATGTCACAAGATGCTTCCTCTACTGCGGTTCCCTGACTGCCTTTCTCTGGATCCTCTATCCCATCGCCTGGGGTCTATGTGAGGGTGGCAACGTCATCTCGCCAGATTCCGAGGCCATCTTCTACGGTATCCTTGATTTCATTGCTAAGCCTTGCTTTGGTGCTCTTCTTATTTGGGGCCACCGCAACATCGATCCTGCCCATATTGGTATGGCCATTATGGACTACGAAGACGACGACCACATCCAGGAGAAGCGTGGATTGAAGCGTGGACCCCAGAACAGCGCCATTCAGGCGCCTCTTGATGGACCTGTCGATACGACCGCTACCACCGGTCTTCACGGAACTCAGGTCTAAGCGTCGTCGACGGGATTTTACAGATATACCCTATTTTCATTGAGCAGATTGGGCGAGTGTACAATGTTGGGCAATTACGGCCAGTAATCTAATTTGAGAAAGAAGAGAGGTGTTTTTCAGAGGAAATAAGGAAACATTTTAATGGAATGATTACTGTTGTAACTTTTCTTTCGCTACTTTTTCGAGTGCAGAGCAAAGGTCACCATCTCCACTACACCCTAACATAAGAATTCCTCATGTACCCAATAAAATCTCTCTGTAATTATCTCACTCTACGCTTACTTTGGCCTGATCTTGAAAGTCATGCTGGTGTACAAATCTTTTGTACAACTTGAGAATCCAATATTTTTCATTTTGCCAACTTTGTATGGCTGGCTTGAGTTTGTCACAACAAAGAGATCGAGAATGGTTGATGTAATGATGAGATATAATTAATCATTAATAGGGTATCACACTAACTAGCTAGTCTAGTTGTAAATCGTCAAAACATCAGTCGAGTTATTATACTCGGTCGGCGCACACTTCTCAGTGTAGCTACCAAACATCTCACCCCTCTGCTGCACAAACTCGGCAAACGAGCCCTCAGAGCAGCTGTCACCAGGCCCAACAGCGCACTCAAGCTGCTGCGGATCCTGGTTGACAAGAACACGCACATAGGTTCCAGCAGGGAAACCGTAGCTCTCGCACTCCATGCGCTCAATCGCGATATTCGTCAGGAATGGCAGGATGCGCGACGACTTCCATGCGCGGTGGTAGTTCTGCTTTGTGAGCGGCATCGTCTCGTTGACGTTCGCGGCGCCAGCGAGTTCGGTGTTGTTGAAGATGCCAAGCGCGACGGCGACGGTGGGCGGGAGTTCGCGGTGTGTGAACGAGACGTAGAGGTCTTGGGTGGAGTTGCCGGCCAGGAGCTGCTGGGCGGTGGCGTTGAGCCAGGGGAAGCCGAGGGTGCCGGAGATCTCATTGCCGTAACCGGTGTTGTAGAAGTACTGGATGTCGTTCATATACTCGAATTGCAGCCACTCGTCGGCGCTGAAGAGTTCAAGCGAGCAGAAGGGGGAGGAGCCGCGGATAACGGTCTCGTAGCCGCATAGCTGCTGCATCGCGGTGATGTCGTTGGCTGTCCAGTTGAAGCCAGGGGCGAGATCACGGAAACGTTCGATGATGGGTGCTGTGTAAACGTCCTGGAACTGGCTAGATTGCTTGCTGCCGAACGAGGAGCTGTACTTGGGACAGCCCTTGTAAGGTGTCAATGAGTCGGCGCCCTCGGATGCATCCTCGGATATGCTGACTTGCTCAGTCTCATTGCTCTGCATGACCAAGCCGTCAATGAAGGACTTGGTACTGAGCTCTGTGCGCTCAGCAGTCGATGTCCAGACTTTTTTGGGACTCTTGAACTTCGGGTAGCGGAGATGAACCTCAGTACCCAGTTTGTATGACTCAAGACGGCCAACAGTCGTAAGGTCCTCCAGCTCCTCGTCTGAGATTGGTGTCTCCCATTTCTGCAGGAAAGACAGAGCACCTGCCGACTTCCAGTTCACGGATGTGTTCTCCAGTCTGTCTGTGAAAGGCTCGATGTACTCCTCGTAGTCGAAATCGTTCGCGTAGATGGCAGCATGGCGAACAAGATAGGCTGCGCGAGTGACATTGCAACCTTGAGGCGGAGCCGGGTCGGATTGAGGGTCCTCAAAGTAAGGAGCAATCTAGTTCAGATCAGTATAAATACCATCAGTACGACTTGTCAAGACACATACACCAGCCAAATGATTCAATGGATCGAATGAGTACGCGGCATTGGCGGCATTAGCCACTGCGAGAGTGAGGAGCGCTGAGGAGAGCATCTTGGATTTGGGGACTTGCTACAAAAACACAATCCTGGTGACAAGAGTCCTGTCCAGTATATAACGGTCCCCATATTCCCAGATACCTGCTAGCGCCGACGTAAACATGGTAAACAGACATTTCCAGCTGCCGGAATTCGGCACAGGCGATTTGCAGCGCTACATGAGGATCGTAGGATGACATGACGACGGTAATGGCGTTAAACAGGGCAGCTCAAGCTTCCTTGGTCAATGCTTGGCCGTGAAAGGCATGGTGGCCGAATTTGACGCGGCCAGGCCCCATCGCGACGTCATGGGAAATATCACATCCAGACCACCATCATCGGTAAACTTCTATCTGGCTGAGAACGGCCAAAGCGGGAAGTCGGTGTGGAGCAGAAAATTATGTTTATTGGGTTGCAGCTTCCTGAGCCACGAGTGTGCTGTGTTTCAGCCAAATCGCTAATGACGCCACAACAAGGGATCAAAGGTTCTACCAGCCACGATATCAGCCTCCTGTGCAGACGTCCGCCATCTTCCTCGATCAGTTGGCCATGGTGCGCCGCCTCAAGCTTTGCACGTTGAGCTCCAGTGCGTGGCACTCGTCCTCCTTCGTGTGCAAAAGCCTCTGAAGAGTCTCCTTCTCCGATCGGAGTGCTTGCAGCTTCCCGCCGACCATCTCTCGATACGCGCCATGCTCCTGTACAATCGCCTCAACCCTCGACCATTCACTGTCCCTCGGCTTGGCCTCAAATGTGCTGACACTTGATCGCCTGGCCAATTCGGCGTCTTTGGCCTTGAGTTGTGCCTCGAGGTCAGCAACGTGGTCGCCCCAAGCCTGGTGCGCTGTCATGCGGTTGAGATCGTCGATGCTGGCACTGCCTTGCAAGGACTCAAGCTTCGAAACGAGATTCGAGTTCCTTTTCTCCAACTCAAGCACGCGCTGCTCGAGTGCTGCTGACTTGGCCTGAGCAAAGAGGTCGTTTGTGGCGCGGCGCTCAATGAAGCTTCCTGGTCGTCCGCGGTTTGGACTCCTGGTTCCGCCTTGCGATTGCATGCGCTCGAGTTCTCGTGTCTTTTCGGATAACTTACTGCGGACGATTTGAACGTTGACTAGATCTTCGTCGCGCAGAGCTGTCATCGCTACAAGATCGCGATCCTTCTTGGCCAGGAGTCCGCGGATCTTGATGTTATTCTCGAGGTCCTCATCGCGCAGAGCCCAGATGGCTGTGTGTCGGCTCCAGAGTTGTGCTTTCTCTTCTTCGAGTTTCTTCAATCGGGCCTTCATCTCATGATACTCGGCCGGCTCGACAGCCGCCACGGGGTTCTCTCGCTCGATGTAGATGAGCTTCGACATCAGCGCAGCAAGTTGTGACTCCAGAGGGCCTGCAACATGCGGTGCTGGAGCTGGCGACATGGGCTCATCATTAGCGTCGTCGGCATAGATCATCACTGGAATCGATGTTGGTGTCTTCTCAGGATAGCCGAAGACCTGGTCTTCGCCATCGAGTGTGGACGCAAGAGACTCGGTATCGTCCTCATTGGGATTTACCCACTGAGCTTGTGGTGCAGTCTTTAGTGGTTGTGGCATAGCGCTGACGATGTGCTCTTTGACTTGCTCGTCTCGCCAGGCCTCGACAGCTGGCTGCTCGACAGGGGTTGCGAGCTTGGGTTCCTGACGACGAGACTGCCAAATTGCTGGAATGACGACTTTGCTAACAGGGCGTGTCGACATCTGCTCTTCACCGAAATTGTTGTCTGAGGATTGATCTGAGTCGTATCCTCTGACCTGCGAAAATGACTGGTTCGAAGCGACTGACTCCGGCCGGCCACTGTAGAGTGAGGCGACTGAGTGTATCGATCCCGTGCGCTCGCTTCGGGGCGTCGCGCGCTGTGTCCACATTTGTTGATTATAGGATATGAGTTGATTGTGTTTAGGTCAAAAAGCCCCGAATGTATCGAGTATGTACACGGGTGAAGAATGTATGGGCGTGGAAAGTCACCTGCGCGAAAGGCAAGGCTGCGCAATGCGAAAGAATTGGATGCTCAACAAGCTGAAGATTCTCTGCCAGCTTATATTCTATGTCTTTTCTAGTAAATGACGGTGTAAATCTGCAAACGACATCTGAAACCGTGCTGCGACGGAGGAGTTGCCATGGCTAAACCCGCGACGACAATAGTAGAATGACAGCGGCAGACGGCACGCGGCTTGACTCCACAATCACCAATCATCAGCAGCTTCGAGACTCTAGTCGATGTTTTTGTGCTTTTTTTGGTTGAAGTTCTTTATCATTGTCGGTGTCGCACGTGCGGTCTCAATTTCTAAGCGAAAGACGTTCATTCTGCAAGATTACCGCGTGCTCTAAAGCGGCCAAAGACAGACTTTCCGACAAGGTCGACGATGTCAATTGTTGCGGTCGACGCAATTTCGAAGCTGTTGACATGTACAGTGCTGACGGAGTTGCAATTGAGGAGGTCCAAGGTTCGACAAGTCCGAGCTGAAACCCGTTCAGTCACATACACCAACTCGCTTAGTGGCACAACGATAAACCTGTCACAACACCAATGCCTCCACTACACTAGATGCCTCAGCCGGACATCGACGAGCCTTTCATAAATCGATAAGAGCGCAGTAGAGAAACGGATTACGTTGCGCCCCGCTGACAACCTTTCACACATAGTAAATCCTACACGATTAGGTGTCATACCGGTCCGACTCGTGCTCTACGGGTCGATATGTGAAGTAGTCGAAGCAAGCCTTGGACTCTGTTCCATTGAGGTCGCTCGCTGCGACGCCCACAAACGCTCCCGTAAAGCTACCATGCGCCTGGTGCCCGCCGCACTCGTCGCTCAGGATACTCGCATCGTACACAGGCCCGATGTCCGCCAAGTCGTCACCCTCCAGCGCATACGAGAACTGCAACGCCTTACCGCGGATGCGCAGCGCTAATCTCACCTTTCCTTCCTGCGGAATCTGCACAGGGTCCGCGAGTGGGAAGTTCAGTCCCCCCTCTGGCCACGATGCCTCCGAGGTCAGAAGTAGCAGCTCGCGCTGTCCGTCGGCGTGCGAAGTCACGGTCAGGTAGAAAAAGTTAAAGCGGCAGTAGTATGCTGTCAGCCCCGCGAACTGCCGCTCGTCGGTAGGTGAGAACGCGAGGGTCGTCTCGGCGTCGTAAGAGAAGTGCGTTTGACGCCGCGCAACGAGAGCCTGTTCAAACCAGCTCCCAATTGCTTCACGCCCGGTGAGATGCAGTGCGCCGTTCTGGATGCTAAAGATTCGCTCGGGCTCCGGCGTACGCAGCCATTGGAAATCCTTGTGCAGCCCGGCTGCAGCACTGAACGTGTACTTTTGCTCGGCCCAATAGGCGGTATCGTCACGGGCTGCGGGGAGATCGACGTAGAGGGATGGCACGGGGCCGTCTTTGACGTAAAGCCAGTCGTCGTCTGCCCAGTAGGCCTCTTGAATTGCTGTTTCGCGGCCAAGAACGCAGCGTCGATCCTGAGTCGTAGGGCGGCCTGTCAGATGGACAAGATAGGTCTTGCCGCTCGGAGTCTCGACGATGTCGCCGTGACCGGCCCTTTGTAGGGCCGCGAATGGCGCGTCCTTGGAGGTGAGGATATGCTTCTGAGGGTGCAACTCGTAGGGGCCCCAGATATCGCGGGATCTGGCCATGGTGCAGGCATGCTCGTACGCTGTTCCGCCTTCAGCTGTGAGAAGATAGTACCAGCCGTTTCTCTTGTAGAGGTGGGGCCCCTCCACCAGATCCAAGTCGGTGCCGTAGAATATCGTCTTGGTTGGACCGATCAAGCGACCTTTTTCGGGATCCCACTCTTGCAAACGTATACCCGCGAAGGATCTTGGGCGCCGACGATGGTCCTGGATCATGTTGACAAACCACTTCTTGCCATTGTCGTCATGGAATAGAGATGGATCGAACCCGGACGAATTAATATAAAACGGATCGGACCATGGGCCTTCAATGCGATCTGCCGTGACGATATAGTTCGGAGTATCCTTGAAAGAGCCGTCCTTACGCTTGACGTCTGTATACACCAAGTAGAACTTCTTGCCGTCGTGACTTAAGCACGGTGCCCACACTCCACAGCTATCCGGATTACCTCGCATATCAAGCTGGCTCTTTCTGCTCAACGGCCGTGTCACCAGTTCCCAGTTTGCGAGGTCCTTGGAGTGGTGGATCTGAACGCCTGGGTACCACTCGAAAGTCGATGTCGCGATGTAGTAATCATCTTTGACACGAAGAACCGATGGGTCGGCGTTAAAACCTGGTAGGATGGGATTGCGTACTTGTGGCATTTTGAACTGTGTGGTGCTGTGGTGGCTGCGACTAGGTCGCATTTGTGGTCTTCCGCAGGACTTGCTTACCTGAACATGAGGCTGAAGTCGTGAGGAGAGAGGTCCACATCTGCATTTAGCCGGACGGTATTAGCCCGAATATCCGACATTTGCCCGTAAGAGGCTACGTCTACTGCAAGACAGTCGCCATTTCATGTTAAGTGCATGGGTAAAGTTCGGGATCTAAGCAAGCACGATTTTGTCGACTGGGGCTGCATTGATGACGCCTAGATCTAGAGCTGACTATTCGTTCTACTCACTAACTTCACAAAGCCAGCATCATTGTTGCAACAACACTACAATGATACGCCGCTCGCTTCTCTGCTTCCCGATCTGACAGCTACAGCCTGTCCAACGACCATTCGCACTTGAGTGACAGACCTCTCGACTTCAGTGGACACCACTTCACCCAGCAGCTCAGCATTGAATGCTCGCCAATCGTTGAAGATTTGTAAGGTACCACTTTGTGGTCTGAACTGTCAGTACGGCACTTAAGCTAAGACGCGTATGCCACTAACCTGTGAACCGCGGCCGATTCTCTAGAACCCGGAAACTCTCTGCGAGTGACACAGTTACCCACACGTCATATCCAGATTTACTGGTTGGCGCCAAGTCGGGAGTGTGAAACGATCTCGTGTATATGATGTATGCCGCCCATCCACGCACAAACAACCGTTTCTACCTTTTGTTCGCCGTCATCTTCGCAAAGGACTGCAACTCGCGATCGGTAGGTCGGGGAGCGACCCTTTGGTACTCTAGGAGCTTCTCTTCTGTGAAAACGTTTGTGATGCTACCGCTGAATTGGGTCGACAAGGTCTTGATGTTATTCATAAGTCCATCAAAAGCCCCGTACATGCTCTCATCGTTGGACTGATGTCCTAGGAAAGACTCCCTGTTGTACAAGGTGGACTGCATCTGATTCGCTGAACGCTTGGCTTGGTCTGCGCGAGGCGGTTTTGCTTATCCAGAAGGGCAGCCTTCAACTGACCAACTTCGACCTGACCACTAGCGATTTCACCCTCGAGTCGTTCACTGAGTCGTTTACACTTGGTTTTTGGGCTTGGTGGGGTTCTTTTCGTCTAAAGGCGCAAGACTGGAACTTCTAGACCACACCTTTACTCACAACAGTACGTTGCGAAAATAAGGTACCAATCCACACAAAAGGCCATGTGAGCTATTTTCGCTCACGTTCCTGGACATCATGCGTGCAATATTGACAGTGGGGACCGAGAGCATTCCTTCACTGCAGACAGCTCAGTACTAACATTACGAACACCAGTTTGCGGATCAGCACATCGAGTCAAGCCGACAGTGGCTTACATACTTGATGGCTAAGTCTCTAACAAGAAGAGACGTCGGAGCGAGAGCCAAGATCAGCGATCCATCCAGTGAAGAGCTCGGTAACACCAGGCGTGATTCCACAAAACATTGCCAGCATGCCGATCGTGAACGGAACAGGAGGCAACACTTAGACAGCGCAGATCCCCCTTTTTTTTTCATCTTCTGGCAGACCTCAGTACCAACTGGGCGCTGAAAACTGACCTGATCGCTCTACACCGCTTTCAGCCTTGCCGATTCTTGCTCCCAATCCAACCGGACCTGCCGCCTCATGGCACGGTCCTTCACGAGTAGGTCCTGCTTGAATTGTTCCAGGGAAGCTGGTTCCTCTTGATACTGTATTTTCAGATTGACCAGACTGTTAAAAATGTAAGCGCCTGCCACGGTATTGTCCAATGATTTGCCTTCGTCGACCAACTCTTTCTGAATCTGAAGAACCACATTGTCTCGGCACAGGAGTCGGCTGACGAGACTAATGGCCAAAGATCGATATCCGTGGAATCGCCTGATATTCGATCCATGACCGGCCATCTACGCCCAAAACTTCTCCTTCTACTGTCGTTCACGATCTACACCCAGGGATTGCTCAATCCCATCTCATAGGGAGATTATCAGTAGGAAGTTGCTTAAAGCCTCTTGACCACATATACTCTTGAAAATTTCGAATGTCTTGATCGCGGCTCGGCTACAGCGAACGTCTGTGATCCGATGGATGTAGATGGTACCTCTCAGCTCGACATGGTCTACGAGAAGGACGGGTTTCTCTACATCGTTGAAGCCAAGAGTACAAGAAAGAGTTATTTTCACAAGCCACCATTAAATATCGAGCTAGCTCAGCACCTTTGCGGTGGCGGTGTTCCAGGGTTGTCTACACTCTCGCCCAAGCAGGCCAAGAATTGTACCTGCGCGCGCAGTACGACGCAATTACAGCAACGTAGAATTTGCAACCTCTGCAACTCTTACGAGTAACGCAAAAGATTGGCGACACGAGGGTAAATTATCCTGACGGACACTTGTTGACGTTACCGACCCTCGGTCAGCTGAAGAACTTTGTGCACAGGAGGAACTTCTTAGACGGGTCGATAGATCTGCGGGATGAACCTGACAGGATGTGGAGGTCGTTCCCAGATGCTGGACATTCAACTCGACTAGAAGGAACAAACCTTAATCTGCCAATCGAGCCCCACGTTGTCCTAATCGTGAGAAGAATGACAGGAAGATAGTATCAAATTTGACAAGAGCGGCTAGAAGCGAATTGACCCAGACAGCGATCGGGAGGATAGTCTGTGAGGCAGCAGTGAAACGTATACTGGACTGCTAGGCTAAGATCATGCGTGAGTATTTATCAGTCCCAAATAGTAATTAGTGTTACTCGTTGTGTCTGTGGTTATGCGCTGACGCAGATTTAATGTCCTAGCACACTAAATTACTTGGCTGTCAGCGGCTTGCATTAATGAGATTTGTAGTATCCGGCCGAAGTGGTGGCAGTGGAGATCACGGCATTGCCCTTGAAACCCAAAGGCACATGACGAAATGGGAGTCGTACTGGTATGGTCCATCAAACCCAGCTCACTAATGATTCCCAGCAAATCGCACTCTTCCATGCGCTCAGAGAGTCGTGAAGGCCTTCTGCTTCACGACACCATCTTGCCCGAATACCACAGCATATCCTTAGTTTCCAGATAATCATGCGTGCCATGCCAATCAGCTGTTAGCTATTTACATTTGTTGACCGTGTCGGCCCTTTGCTAATCTCAGAATTCTCTCCGAGGTTCTGAATCCCTGGAGACGCAGGCAGATGACACCTGCCAAGGCGCCTACTCCAATCAAGATAGCACTCCCAAGTCAATTGTTTTCGTCGTTTTCTCAATCTCCGAGCGAGGCTGTGTAGTGACGCAAGCAAGGGCTTTGCAGAATCTCGTCATTTCGTCCGCTATAAGACTAACAATGTGCCGCTGGAAAGTAGCAGCATCAACAATCAGATTCCTCTACCGACCTACATCTCCAACCGTGCTTAGCGACACATTTCAGAAACATGAAGGCCACTGTACAATCTATCACCCGGATGGGTATGATACTAGCGATGTTTAGAGCGTCAGCAACGGCACAGAATCTGTCGTTTGGAGCCAACAATTTCTACCGCAGCGACAATGTAACGATTCAGCCGATCACGTTTCCCAATTTGTTCAAGACGATTGTCGCGGGCAATCTCTTCACTCCCAACGACATCGGCTTCAATCACTCAGCTATTGTCATCAGTCATCCCGCAGGAGCGGTGAAGGAACAGAGTGCGAACCTGTACGCCACCAAGTTAGCTGAGCAGGGATTCGTTACTATTGCGCTCGATCTCGCTTTCTTCGGAGGCAGCGAGGGTGAGCCACGTCAGTCAGTAGCTCCAGAACTCTATGCAGAGTCCTTTAGTGCGGCAGTAGACTATCTCGGTCTGCTAGACTTCGTGGATCGTAATCGTATTGGTGGGCTTGGCATTTGTGGTAGTGGCTCTTACATTATCAGCGCTGCGAAGATTGATCCACGTCTAAAGGCTATTGCAACCTCAAGCATGTACGATATGGGGTCTGCCTTTCGAAATGGTCTGAGGAATGGGACTAGCGCTGAAATGCGTAAGGCAATGATAGCCGCAGCAGCAGAGCAACGCTGGACCGAAGCCGCAGGTGGCAAAACTGAATATAACCTGGGCACACCGCTAGCTATCACGAACGACTCAACCGCTATCGACCGCGAGTTCTACGACTTTTATCGCACTTCACGCGGCGAATACACGCCCCCAGGATCGTTCCCAAATATCACGACAGGCACAGCAATTTCAAGCAGTATAAAGCTGGCAAATTTCTACCCATTCAACAACATTGAGGATATTTCGCCTCGTCCTTTGCTTTTCATCTCAGGCGACCAGGCCCACTCTCGCGAATTCAGTGAGAATGCTTATAGACTTGCTGCTGAGCCGAAGGAGCTTTTATGGATCCCAGGTGCTGGCCATGTTGACCTCTACGATCGTACAGATCTCATTCCGTGGGGTAGGATCACCGAATTTTTCCGCACACATCTTAGCATTTAAAGTCGAATGTGGCTACGCACAACGTTCTTTCTTAGAATTGATCGACTCATATACATACTGCCTTATTCAGTCATACGTGTGGCAAAATCTGGTGATCACGTTCTTCTTTCACATGTTTGTCGTGTAAGAAGCAAAAGTGAGTTTGAACTAGCGCATATCGTTCTTAGTTAGTTACTGTGATTACAGGCATAAGTTGTGTAGGCGGGTCGGCATGTCAGGGGTGCCCATCGGATGGTGCGGAATGGCCCCTTGACAAAATTACACTATATAATACTTATTTTTGTATGATATAGTATAGTATAGAGTTATTTCTACCTTATCACAATATCTACTCATCCGTCATAAGCCCGGCCATCAACGCCGCCACCATACCTGTCACAAGATGAGCGTATCCAGGTGCAGACTCCTGCCCTTGCTGACAATACACACAGGTCTATCGCCAGCCTTATTTTGATAACAGAGAGTCAAGTTGGCTACGCAATTACTGGCGAGCAGGTCACACTAAATCGCCGAACAGGCAGCCTAAGAAGCCTCACAGAGGCTGAAATTGATGAGCTTGAGACATACGTCCGATCTTCAAGATGCATGTGTCAGATAAGTTATTTCACACTTGCCAATGGTTTCTTTGAGGCCTGGGGTATTGCGAAGCATGTGGTACGCTGTGCCTTAACAGGACAAAGAAGAGGGTATTCACACTGAGAGCCACCTTTCACTAGTGATCTAGGGGATCTCCACCTTGAGCAGCATGTCTTTTGAGAGCCTTAGCATTAGTAGAGGATCCTGTAGAGTAACGAGATCTGATTGTGCGAGTGGAGATAACGCAGGAGGTGGATAAGAAGGGAGGCTGAGGAAGCATTTAATCCTACCAGTGTAATTATACAAGGTGCCTAAGAAGCGTGGACGGATATTCGCAGCCCGCTATTCTGGTCGATCAAAAGAACCTCCCTTGTTCAGGAGGAGAAATGTAAGAGTACCAATAAGAAGAGACATTGTAATAGAGACGTTTATTGAGAAGCATTGCGTTGCGAGCCAACGAGAGAGTGTCTGCTCATAGACGAGTGTACGCGTGACCTTGGCCTTGCGGTCGCTTCTGCCCCACCCCTACGCCTCCGACCAGGTCTTGCCTCCAAGGATTTACTTATCAGTGTGCCGCTACTCCTTCCAGGATCGCCCGTAACACGGGGTCTCGGGGCTGTGGGGCTATCTAATCGACAGGCCAACCTAGTAAGATTAGCAGAGATATGAACCGGTTGTATGCAAGTCGCTGACCTCCCGCCGGATCTCGCATTAGCGGCAGTAATGCCGCTAGTTAAGGGTGCAGTCAGGCGGTTGCATTAGCGCGTAAATAGATCGATTACAACCCGCCCTACTTCTACGCCATTCCTCACCAAAACATCATCACCAAGACAGACCTGCTCATGGTGACCACAAGTCCGAGAGTCACGTTATTTGCCACTAGATGTTATTGGTTTGACCTTGAGGCGCAGCTTCACAACGCTCGTTGATTCGTGGAGAAGAGCAGCTGTCTCAACGGGATTCTTGGACTTGTGGTCTCCACTACGGGTGTGTCAGCAACCTGCAGGCCTCGAAGTAGGATTACACTTCAGAAGTCAGCGCCACAGTAGTTTGATGCCATATATAAGCTATAGGATAGCCGGGTAAGCTCTCCTGATAATATCACTCACAACGAGATCCATACTGATAAACATGCCCGGCTCTACACCAGAAAAGCCCATCAACTGCGAGGTCGACCTTGACCTGGGTAACATCGCAGGGAAGACTGTCATTGTCACGGGAGGTAAGGCAAAATAGCGGCGAGATCGCAACTTTGGTGTGGTTCTAATTCAACTGCAAAAGGTGCTAGTGGGCTTGGTGAAGCATATATCAGAACATTGCACGCTGCAAAGTAGGGACAGGACTACTCGAGCAGAGAAGAGCTGAGCAATAACTGGTCATATAGAGCCAACGTTGTCATTGGGGACTCAAACCCAAAAACTGGCGAGAAGCTTGCATCGGAGCTGGCTGGGTAAGAAATTGCACAGTTCGTGTAGCACGCCCTCACTGACCATGACCTAGTGCCAAATACATTCAAGTCGATGTCACGAAGTGGCAGGACCAATTGCATCTGTTCCGGCAAGCAGAACTTGCGTTCGGGCAGATTCATTATGTCATTGCAAATGCTGGTATCGCCACTCAGGACGACGTCTTCTCGTTCGATGGTTAGTCCAATCTTTGCTGCCTGAATGTGGCTAATATAGCATCAGGACCAGACTCAGTACCAACAGAGCCCGGCTTGGATATCATCCATGTGAACATTATAGGTGTTTTATACACCACAAAGCTCGCCATGCACTACTTCATCAAGCTTAACGGTACCACCCGTTCGCCTAAACAGGTCGACACTTGCCTTATCCTCATCGGTTCCGGGGCTGCATTCCTCGATTGCCCTCGTGGGCCACAGTATTCGTGCTCAAAATGGGGCATGCGCGGCATAATGCATTCTTTGCGACGGACTGCCGGTCTTCATGGTAGTCGGGTGAACGTGTTGTCACCTTGGTACGTTGCTGCTCTTATAGTCTGTGGGTCATGTTCTGATTTGGGTATAGGTACGTTCGCACCAACATCCTCACGAAGGAGACGTTCGATCATGTCGAGAGCGCTGGTGTGCACATAGCCAAGACAGAAGATGCAGGGCAAGCACTGCTGCGCCTTCTTAGCGACACCAGCATAAATGGGCGTATGCTATTCATCGCCCCGAGGAAGTGGGCAGCGAGCGGATACGTGGATTTGGATATTGATGAGTACCCAGAGGTTTCACTCTTGAATGAAATTCAAGAAGACCAGATAAAACCGGCACCAATTTCTCTAGGTTTGTTCACCAGTTGAATGTGGGTCTGCATTCTTATACCAAATGGAGTGGTCCTTGAGATGCTTTGTACCCTCATGGATTGTGGTGAAACTAAATATCGCAACTCTGCGCAAATTACGCCATAGTTTTCGGCTCCTCCAAAGCATGGAACATCGTCTTCAGGTGCAAAAGTATGGTTTTCTATAAGTGCATCTTGTATTCCCATCGCGTTGAGTCGTTGTAGAGCTGAGATGATGGAGATGTTGTTTGACTGCCAAAATATTAGAAATTATAAGAACTTGCATAACCACCTGTAAGACTTAAAGTGCAGTACTATTTCAACATATCTAGAAAAGTTCTGGGGCGTAGAGTCTGCGCTAGACGATACGTAGAGGATTCCACACACTGCTGCAGTTGCGTGGAGTTTTAGGAGCACTGTGCAGCTCAACGCAAGCGAGACATGTAGACCTTGGGCCCTGGGATAGGCGCGTGTTGCACTTTCAGAGGTATGAACGTCCGCGTGCCGTGAATGATGACCTTGACAAGATCTGCCGGTACAGGCTGACTTTGCGTGCGATTGGTATAGGTCATCGCATCCTAAATGTAATTGCTGAACATGCTCGCGGATTAGAGTTGGACAAGCGGACTGCTGAGGCCATGGTGTTGCCATGGCACGTCAGTCGTAGCGGGCTGCTACTGCTGGGTGCTGGCTAGTCAATTGGCGTTTGAGTGCGTACCTAGGTAAAATTAATTTGGTTTCCAGAATTCGAGCTATCGCTGTGTGCTATACGGGATTTTTGATCTTAGCCATGTCGAGTGATCGATTTCTCCTAGCACGTACTACCCCACGAATGTGGGCATGATTTTTGCGCTTCAGTAGCCCCGCCATACCCCCGATAAGAAGTTTGAACAAGCCACGCGCTAAGCGTCGATCTTCGAGACATGACAGGAGGCCATATTTCCACAATTTCGCAAACTTACCACATGCGGAAAGCAGACAAACAAAGGATGAGACAGATACTACCATGTTCACAAGCCAAGTCTATTGATCTGGAGGATAGAAGCTTCTACAATCATCTGATCAAGACGAAGACTCCACAGACTTTCGCTCGGGACACGCCGAAGGTCTGGGTTGCAAGTTTGTTTGGGGCCCAGTAGGTGAGGTGACCTGGCGTATGCGTATACGCGTATCACACGGACCTCCTTCGGCCCTGCCTTCAATCCATGGCGCATAGTACGTCAGCGCTCTGCCGCCGAGGATTGTCCTAATCCATATGTAATTCTGAAAGGGCCATTCCTCACAGCTGAATTCCTCAAGTTGACACTCACATGCAACACAACACGACCAGCCCCGAAGAAGATCCCAAGATGGACTCCAGAGAAACATCGCTGTATGAGGAAGATGAGACTATTTTACCCTCCGGCTCTACAGAAGTCAAAAGTGAGTGATGCTTAATTGGTGGTGACAGTGCGTCCCTAATGTAAACAGATGACGGCCGCATTGAGATCGACCTCACCTCAAGACTCACACAGAGACTACTAAAGGTAGCGTCCAAGCGGCCTGAGGATGCGTTTGCTTTGAGCCGGCGTTACACAGTAGATTGTTTGTGGAGCACTCCTCTTAATGTCGTGATCCAGATTGTTGGTAGTCGGGGTGATGTGCAACCTTTCATCGCTCTTGGTACGAAACTGCAGAAGGCTGGTCATCGTATCCGGATAGCAACGCACGATACCTTTGAAAGCTTTGTTGTCGATTCTGGACTTGAGTTCTACCCCATCGGTGGTGACCCTAAGGAACTAATGGCGTACATGGTCCGAAATCCTGGACTGATACCTTCAATGAAGAGTTTACAGGAAGGAGATATTCAGCGCAAAAGGAAGATGATTGCAGTCATGCTTGACGGTTGCTGGAAGGCCTGTATAGAGCCCGATCTCCACTCCAAACACCCATTTGTTGCAGATGCTATTATTGCGAACCCACCTAGCTTTGCTCACATTCATTGCGCGCAAGCTCTAGGTATTCCATTACACCTGATGTTTACGATGCCCTGGAGTAGCACGAGGTCTTTCCCTCATCCCCTGGCGACCTTTCGAAACGAGGATATCTCACCTGAGATTGTCAACTATGTTTCGTACACGATTGTCGAAATGCTCACTTGGCAAGGGTAAGCAAGCGTCCTGACCATATGCATGTTGCACATATTCTAATATATGAGAAGACTAGGCGACGTGATCAACAAGTTCAGGCGCACATTAGATCTGGAAGCGGTCCCTGTCTCAGTAGGACCTGTGCTAGCACCAACGCTCAAGATACCCTTTACATATTGCTGGTCGCCAGCTCTGGTTCCAAAGCCGAAAGACTGGCCCGCACACATTGATGTCTGCGGCTTCTTCTTCCGCGACGCGCCGCTCTTTGATCCGCCTGCTGAAGTGGTTAATTTTCTTCAAGCTGGCCCGTCACCAGTGTATATTGGCTTTGGAAGTATTGTCGTTGACGACCCTTTTGCGTTAACTTCAGACATCTTAACAGCTGTGCGCTTAGTGGGTATCCGAGCAATCGTTTCAAGGGGCTGGAGCAATCTCGGAAGCAATCAACTAAACAACAACAACAAGGACGTCTTGTTTATTAACGATTGTCCACACGAATGGCTCTTCCAGCATGTTGCAGCTGTTGTTCATCACGGAGGTGCAGGAAGTGTAGCATGCGGGCTGCGCAATGCGTGCCCTACAGTTGTTGTCCCATTTTTTGGAGACCAGCCGTTCTGGGGTGACATGGTTGCAGCTGCGGGTGCAGGCCCACGTCCGATACCACATGAGCAGCTGGATGCCGACAATCTTGCTGCGGCCATAGCCTTCTGTCTGACTGATAAAGCTAAGGCAGCTGCACAGTCGCTCTCTGTCGAGATGTCCAATGAGTGTGGAGTCGAAGCCGCCGTACAATCCTTCTATGCAAATCTTCCTCGCGAGAGCATGCAATGCGAGATACTTCCCAACGCCGTCGCATCATTCATCCATAAGAAGAGCTCTATACGTCTTTCAAAAGTGGTTGCCCAGATTCTTCAAGACCAAGGTGCGATCAAGCACTCGGACCTAGAGAGCTACCAGACTGTTCCTTTGCAGATCCGCAATGTTCGCTGGGATCCGGTCTCAAGCACTGGATCCGCCTGTTTCGGTATCCTGGCGGACATGGCTGTGGCTGCCAAGGATATCGTCGTTGATCCTTATTCTGAGCTTAAGAATCACATGTCCAAGTCATCGGATTCACCAAATGACAGCGGTATGGATGTCGCTGGAAAGATGGCTGGCGGTGTCGCAAAGAATGCTGGGAGGCTTGTGCTTGCGTTCTATAAGGGCGTCATCGTTGATCTGCCCCTTGCTACCACTGAAGGTTTTCGCAGCATTCCAAAATTGTATGGGGAAGACGTCAAGGACTATGGTCAAGTGACTGGCATCGCAAGCGGGTTTCAGGTCGGTGCTAGGACCTTAGTTCACGGTCTCGCAGACGGATTTTCCGATCCATACAGACAAACCTTAGATTCTGGGAAGAAAGAGGGTGCGATAGGATACGCTAAAGGTTTTGGCAAGGGCATGGCGGGCTTCTTGTCGAAAACATCAGCAGCTGCAGTGGGCACAGTTGCATATCCTGGCGATGGCATTTGCAAGAGTATAAGGACTTTAGCAAAGGGGAAGACAAGGAGATTGATTTGGTCGGAAAAGATAAAAGAAGCAGAGTGGCTGGTGGGTCGGCTGGAGGACGAGGAGTGCATCCTGGAAACCGTCAAAGCATTCAAGATTTTGAGCAAGAAGAAGGTAGAGAAACGCGTTGACGACGGCATGGGAGAAGAAACGTGAAGGACCAAATTGATGGCTGGACTTGAACATCAGATAGCAGAACAACATTAGATATGGGAAGACACAAAACACAAACCGTGGACCGTGATCGTTACTGAATCGACCTACTCGTCTGCAAGATGCTGCACGTAGTTCCTGATTAGTTTGAGTGCGAGCGTTGAGTGGACTTAAAATCCAACAACCTCGATTTGCGCACTGAGCGCAACCTAGGTACCCAGGCTCTGCTAAGTACCGTGGCCTTGACAGGTAACGTCCTTGCGTGTCCCGTCCGGATTCGCGTTCTGCTGGGCCACCGACCAACACCCACTAATCTTCACTAAGTCTTCACAACCAGCAATTGGAAACTTCGACATCACTTGGAGACAAGTTGAAACCATCAAGTGACAACGACCTTATCGTATGCCAAGATGTGGAGAAAAAATCTGTTCAAGGTGCGGAGAAAAAATCCGTTTTCAACGAACAAGAATATCCCGTAGTACCCTACATCTACAGATCGAGATGTCCCAGCCAGAAAGAACCAATACTGCTTGATAAAAGGCTGAGTAGGGACGTTCCAGAATCGCCAAAGACCCAGAATCTTTGATGACGCTGTAAAGCAGCGGCGTAGAAAACTAAAACTGCGAAAGCCTCAGGACGATGCTTCCATAGAGCGTCAATATACTCCTCGGGAATCACTATCGGCCATGCCAGAATGGCATGGATCCCTATAAGCTCTTCGGACGGATCTTGCTTGCAAACATCAAGCATCCATTGTATCCATTGCAATGCACTTTGGCACGCAATGATGACATCGTCCCTGGCATTATAGCTGTCGAACAGCGTTCGGAGTTTGATGGTTTCCGCTCCGGGTGCCTGATCTTCCATGCGTTGGCTAAGACGCGACAAATACAATAGCGATTTGAGATCCGACTGGAGGATTTGGTTCCAAGATTGATCGCATATGAATGCACGAATTCCTCTGTGTAGATGTAGATAGTGGATGAATTTCTCGATAAATGCTGAAATGGTGCCTGAGTGGCCAGCAAGCGTCTCCTTGAGTACATGGATACCAAGAAGAGAACCAAACAGGAACATCGGCAGGCGATTCGAGTCCGAGACTTCCACCTTTGACTGGTTGAACAATTGCAAAGCACGATTTTGTAAATAGGTTGCTTGGCGGTGGTATGCTTCTTTTTTTGTGTTTACTTCTGTAGAGAGATGAAGCGCGGATAGTGCTAGCACTTGATCGAGCAGGAAGGGTGCAGTGTCGGTACATGCTATAGCCAGCTCGATAATGGGCTGCGCGCTTTCGGAGAGCGCCATGTACTTTTCCATTTGCGTCTCAGCGTGGTGGAGGCAGGCTAGATGGATAGCATTGAAACAATCACTCACTTCCGACACTTCAGGCGCGATATTGCCAGCCGTTCGGATAACATTTCGAGTAATCGGCGCAGAATCCGGAGGATCATGGACAGGATATGAGCACGGCCGCTCGGAAATGACACAATTGGCACAGGATGGGCGGCGTTCGTCACACTTGATGTGTCGTGCCTTGCATTCGCTACAGCCCTGTCTGGATTTTCGGTGTGGGCGACGCCGCCTAAGGCGAGGCTCGCAGGGTCGGCGTTCTTGCTGTGACATGTAGCAGTCAAAGCAGGTAAAGGAGGCGTAGCGCGTATGAACTGTGTACGTGTATCTCGTAGGAATTAGGGAATGTCTCGAAGAGAACCCCATGACATTGCGCTACTTTAGTACACAGGTGATCAAAGCTTAAATCAATACGCGTATATGTGAACGGTACATTGCCGCACGGACGGACCACCAAGCTGTCCCACTCGGTCGGATGAGGTACGGTTTGTTCTCAGGCGAAATTGGCAACTGTTAACAACTTAGACAATCATGTTAGGTGGTATTTTCCACGATCGGGTGAAGATATAATAATGACTCAAGCCAAACGCGCCCTCATGCTGATTGGACACGAATTTGAGAAGTCGTCGCGTGAACCGAGCGCTGACCTCGAGAGGCCGATGTCAACACGGCTATCATCTACGTCTCATGGATACTGCCCAGGTGAGCAAGGATTGTTGATTACATAACACATGCTCATGGCTGATGGGCTGTGTTTGACGTTTCTATTTTGAAGATTGGTACCAGGTAAGAATAAATTAACCAAGGGCCTAGGAATCGATAAAAAAAACGGAATCAGACAGTTGTTGCGATAAGGGTCATACTAAGAGTTATGAGACTACCTCGGGAGACCTAAGGCTGGACCTGAGAAGTGTCCATGAAACAATATTAGGCAGTGGCATTCCATGGGGATATTTGGAAGCTAGTACATTTGCGGCTAGGGTAAAGCTGTACGCGTAGTGGGTAGACATACCTCATTCTACGTCACTCTGACATCTGTCGTATACGTACTGCTTTAGTGTGTTCTCGGCTACATGGAAAGCTGCGGCTGAGTACCTTACCGAATGAGGCCTGTTAAGCCTCAAATTGTGGTCTCGAAACATGCAAGCGCCCGTGTATGAAGCTATACTGTAGTTTGCGAAATTTACATAGCCTCAACGGCCAAGAAAGACGCAAGACCATTAAGATCGACATGGACGCTTGTCATGGTCATCAGCTGTGACGCGCACAGTATATACGACGTATAAATCCTGGTGTTCTATATTGCATTTGGTCCAAGCTGACTTTAAAACTTTCTGAGCAGTTAATAGCGTATAGTCTGATGATAATTATAAAGGGTGGTCGATATCACAGAACTGAACATCGAGCCTTCAACCGATACTACTTTGCAATCGTCCTTCCAAAGGCTCTTCGTTCAGCATGCGTCTCTTTGATACTCGCACTTTGGTTCTACCCATTGCAACCTTGCACCTTGTAACAGCTGTCAACACGACTTTGAGAGCTCATCTCTGTGAGTAGCTTAGCTTTTTATTAGGCTTCGTTCCTGATAGATAGATGCGTATAGCCTGGACTGCAGCTTCAGATAAGGCCAAAAACTTTTTGTCTCAACTTAACATCACTGAGAAAGCTGGTCTTGTCACCGGTGGTTTCGGCTCCGGGCAACCCTTGCCATGTGTTGGCACGCTTGTAGCGATTGAACGACTCAACTTTAGCGGGCTTTGTTTGTCCGATGGACCAGCGGGACTAGCTCGGTCCGATGGTGTCAGTGTGTTTGCATCTGGGATCACGGTAGCAGCGACGTGGGACAGAGACTTGATGTACAAGCGAGGACTGGCACTCGGACAAGAATTCAGAGCAAAAGGCGCACACGTCCATCTTGGGTGCGTAGAACAGCAAGCAGTAGCCGGCTGTTGTTCAGAAGCTTACAAATTTACAGGCCGTCTGTAGGTCCACTAGGTCGCCATGCTCGAGGCGGCCGGAACTGGGAAGGTTTTGGTCCAGATCCTTATCTCGCCGGTGTCGCAATTTATGAGTCTGTCACTGGTATTCAAGCGGTCGGAGTCCAGGCAGTTTCAAAGCACTACATCGGCAATGAACAAGAGACGCAACGTGTACCCAGCAGACTCCCTGATGGGACTGTCATCGAGGCATTATCTGCGAACATTGACGACCGGACACTCCATGAGCTTTACCTTTGGCCTTTTGCAGATGCCATCCACGCAGGAACGGCTTCCGTCATGTGCGCATACAACCGCGTCAATAGCAGCTACTCATGCGCGAATTCGAACCTTCTGAGTACCATTCTCAAAGATGAGTTGGCCTTTCCTGGATATGTTGTATCAGACTGGGATGCTACACACTCCACGGTGGCGTCTGCAAATGCAGGACTAGATATGGAGATGCCTGGAACAGCTACCGTGTCTGGCAGGTACTACTTTGGCGAATCCCTTGTCCGAGCAGTCGAAGCAGGCAATGTGACAGAAGATCGTCTCGAAGAAATGGCTGTAAGAGTCATGACACCGTACTTTCGCCTTCGACAGGACGATGGTTTTCCCACTGCCGATCCTTCTAGCGGCGCTGTGTTCCTCACCTACACATACGGCCGCAATTCGCCTTTATCTGCGCTGTATCCTGAAGTTCCGGCACGGGATGTTCGTGAGGATCACGCGCAAGGTATTCGCGAACTAGGTGCAGCTGGTACAGTGCTGCTTAAGAACGTAAACAGCACATTGCCATTAACAAGTGAGACAAGCTTTGGGCTCTTTGGCAACGATCTTCCGGACCCAACCCCTGGTTCAGTCTATCTTGTCTATGGCGATGATGCATTTGGCAACGAAATGGGCACTCTTGATATTGGCGGTGGATCTGGCACAGTCCGTCACACCAACCTCGTCAGTCCTCTCGAGGCCATCCGCAACAAGGTCAAATCTCTTGGCGGGCGAGTTCAATGGCTCTTCGACAACAACGAGATTGCCGATGGACGCTTCCGCTCTGTCTACCCACGACCCCAAGTCTGCCTATTATTTCTGAAGGCCTTCGCGACAGAAGGGTTAGACAGGGCTTCTATTGACTTCCAGTGGAATGCGACCATGGCAGTGGAGAGCACGGCAAGGCTGTGCCCGAACACTATAGTCATAACACATGGCCCAGGTGTTGTTCTTATGCCTTGGGCCGATAATGAAAACGTTACTGCCATCCTAGCGGCACACTACCCAGGTGAAGAGACCGGAAACTCTATTGTAGATGTTCTCTGGGGGATTTCCGAGCCTGCCGGTCGACTTCCGTACTCTATTCCGAAGGCCGAGTCAGATTATGGTCCACCACTTGTTGAACTATCTCGCAACATCACCAACCCTAATGCATGGCAGGCAGACTATACCGAGGGCCAAATGATTGACTACAGGCACATCGACATGCAGAATAATACAGAATCACTGTATGAATTCGGTTTCGGGCTCTCGTACACCAGCTTCGAAATGGGAAAGAACCTCCGTGTCGAGCTTGTTGATGGACCATTGATGCCGCACGCCGATCAGTCCCAGGGATTTGTGCCTGGTGGACTAGCAGATCTATGGACCACTGTCGCTATTGTGACGGTGAATGTAACAAACTCTGGAGATCGGGATGGTTCTTCTGTACCACAGTTGTACGTGTCACTTCCTCGAGACACTACCCCCGTGGGCACACCACTGAAAGTCTTGAGGGGATTTGAAAAAGTACGCCTTCATGTAGGCGAGACAAAGGAAGCGCGTTTCGAGCTTACGAGGAGAGACGTTAGTTACTGGGACGCAAACGAGAAGCAATGGGTCATTCCTCGTGGATTCGTTCGCTTCATGACGGGATTCAGCTCCAGGTACATGCTTGCAGAGGTTGAACTCGTGCTTCTAGCGTAGCTCGTTCACAGTAGCTCCAACATTAATCAAGACTTGAAATAGTCACCTCACACGTCACAAAACCACCCTTGCGTGCTACGGTATACTATTCTTCTAGAGCCTCTAGCTAAGGTAGAAAATATGCTTAAGTAAGAGCTGAAAAGGAAGAGCAGCGATACTTAACATGGTAAATAATTCCAAGTATTTTCTATAGACGACAAGGAAGGTTTCACAAGGCAGGACTGATGTTTGAACAGGCGCTTAGAGAATATTAGAACGCTCTTAGACCTAATCATTCATCGACGTTTAGCACGTACAACAATCTAGTCTTCTCTATGTAAATCGAGGCGATCTATTAAGGCAGTGATGATGCTCAAGCGGGCGCTGGAAGTGTCCAAGAAGCATTTCAGCCCAGAACATCCCTATCGCGGAAACATCCATCACGCTCTCATCACGCTTGAGGAGCATGATTCTCCAGAATGACTGGGAATAAATCTGATCTATTGTATAGATTGCAGCAAATTCGTCAAGAGCAAGTATAAGATAAACGTCCCTGGGCGAGAGCAAAAGCCTCCTGTGGTTTCTTACTTGGATCGCTGATGATTCAGGATCGATATGTACCTCGCGCATAGGAAATCGATCTGGCCAAAACGTATCACTCATTTTACCTAGTCCTAGCGTCGCCACATCTTCCAGTGAGAGACACTTGGTAAGATGGGTGTAACACATAATAAGCAACCCGGCGGACGTGACACGAGTGGAACAGGGGACATAATTGGGGAGATCATATCTACACAATTACAATCTAGGCTGCATCCGCCTCCTGCGAAATTCCTGCAAGGGTCGGCTCTCGGCACAACAGCTCTCGGCACGACCCGCCAAACAGCAGGTGGTCCGCCCCAGAGACACTAAGCCTTGTGATTTTATTTCACTCTTACACACCTACACTCACCCAATTCCGTCCTAGCGAAGTCATCTCCAAAAGGACCGCAACGATAGCAGCAACTGCAGCAGAGACAGCAAACAGCAGTTAGACGGCCATTGATTCTCTTGCCAGCAAGGCAAATTCACAAACACAAACAATACCCTGGTCCGCTTTCAGCCATGTACCTGGCTTTCCAGTCCATACGGACCCTCGTAGGTGCCTCTGGCTACCTCCCCGCCGTCGCTATCGCCGCCAGTGTCCTGGATATCGGCCTGGTTTTTCCCCGTACCAACGTCACATATTCGCCATCAGATGTTTTCCCCATCGTATTCGCCGCTCAGAATTCCAAGCTGGCTGAGCATCTCAAGCTCTCCATCTGGTACCAGGTCCTCAACATGACTGGAGATATCGACCTCCTTGTTGACAGCATCCACGAGTTCGACTGGATCAGCGCCTCAGAGCACGACCCCTATCTGTTGTGGAGCCCTCTCAGGCTTGGAGGCGAGAGCAAGCTTCGCGTCCTCTGGAATTTGCACTGGACGTCGTGCAACCAAACCCAACAAGAAGTCATCCTGACGCGCAACAGCACAGATAACTTCTTGGTCGACTTCGAGATCAAAGCGAGTGGCCAGGAGGTGGATATCGTGGCTGCCACCAACAACAACGGCAATAGCGCGAACTGCCTGAATGGGGGAGTGGGCATCGACGTGACTGACAAGACACTCGAGGCTGCGACTGAACTCTTGGCACATGAAACCTGTGCGGTCCTTAACTCTTCGTCTCCCACACCAATCTCGAACCCCTGCAAAGTCAAGATTGACAAGGCTACAGTCGAGAGTATGGCAGCCGTCGACCTCGAAAAAAATTGTAGGGGCTTCAACCAGCCGAGCGAGTGTCCAAAGAGCGGTCTCGCCAATCACCGATTTGCTATTGCAGGAGTTTCTACTGTCGCCGCGGCTTTTGGTGCCGCACTTTTCCTTTCTTAGTTGGACCCATATGCCTCGCACATGGGCTCCAAAGGCAGGCCAGACCACAACACCTGCGACATCTTCCCTGATAAGGATCACTGCGGCGACTCGTTATCGACGCCGAGATCAGTCAGAGGCTGGTTGATGCTCTGGAGCATAACGCCGTTTGCGTCCGCTCTGCGCAGCATCACATAGACATCCAGATCGCCTTGTTTCTCAGCTGAGAGATGGGCTGTCAATGTGCTCGGTCCGACCACCTCTAAATGAAGCTGCTTGCAGTGCGTTGCCGTAGCCTCCACCCTGCGCGTTGACCTCGGCGCCTCCGTCAAGTAGCATCTTGACTACCTGCCCGTGGCCTCTAGATGAAGCTGTCTACAGTGCGTTGCCGTACTTTCCACTCTACGCGTTGACTTCAGCGCCTTTATCGAGCAGCAGTCTTGTGGTCATATTTACATTGTATAGTGCAGCGTAATACAGTGGCGTAGCTACACTTTCCAGACCTTTTTTAAGGGTTGGTCCTTGCCATGGAGTGTACGAATCGTACGATTTGATCTAGTTGAGATACGCAGCCACTGTTGTATGTCTTTCACGTCTTTTTCTTTTACCTAAGTAGTAGTAGCCGTTTCTCTTGCAAACTACAGTACCCGCTGTTTTGCTTAATGTATTTAATCCTCCCGTGTTTAGCAAGTCATTCGATCTTTTCTTTTTGGTTCTCAATTGGTTCTCAGAGGCTCGTAGAGATTTGTGTTCTCATCAATGCTGTTCCCTCGGTTATGCTTGGATAAAGTGATGATTTGATACGCTCTAATAGTTATAGTCATTCCAGCAAGCACTTCTAGTGCTAAGACGACATTCTTCGTTTCAAGCGCCATCCAGACTCCGTGGGTTCAAGTCTCACTTCAAGTTCACCTGCACGATGTGCCATTCTGGTCTGCTTGTCGAGTTCTCCATGCTCTTTCCTCAAATCTTCCTGCAAACCACTGAAGAGAACTGCTAAAGCCGAAGATTTCCATGTGCCTCTAGGTGGACCCGATCTGTTTGTTCTTTTGGTCTTCCAAATTGTCAAGCACAGGAACATGATGGTCAAGGCGACCAAGCTCGCAGAATAAGTTATCCAGGCCCATTGCACTTTGATGCACGTGTCCGTCTGAACTGCGGTCCCAGTCGTGTAAGTCGTTCTTCCGTCATCCGTGGAGTTCCTATTGCGAAAATATGTGTTCATAGTGTTTGCGAGCTGTCGAAATCTTGTCTGAACCGTGTCGACTGTCGCTGTGCCATTCTCGTACAAGTTTTTGATCCATACATCTCCGTAGGTGGACTGAACTATCGAAGGTCCGTAGGCGCCCATCATAGTTTTGTCATCGTAAATGCCTTCCAGAAACGCAGAGAGCGCCCATGAGCTGCCTGAAGGGATCCAGAATACGCACCAGTCTGCCCACCACCTCAAATCGCTTGGAGTGGGATTCCCGGAGGCAGACCAAAAGGAATTGTTTGAGATGGCGACTGGAGTGTCAGGCGTATACGTCATTGATGGTGTGCAGCTTTCTCGTTCGCCATTGCGGATTACCTCTTCGGGTATGCTCATCCAAGAGTCGAGGTGGGATCGTTTCGGAGCCACAGAAGGATATGGAACCAATTCCACGGACTGAATGTTTACGACTTCTTCCTGGACCTTGGATAGCTCAATTGTAGTATACATAGTTTGTATTGTCGGGTTTAACCTGCACTCGACAGCTAGAGCGTGTGTGCATGTCGATGCGTCCGTACAGCCTTCATTCGGCTGGAAAAGCAAAGCAGCAAAGCTGAACAGAGCGGTGTCGTTTTCTTTATTCCAATATTTCAAGAATGGCGAAGACTCGGTCGTGGCGTACGTATGTACCAGTAGAGATTGACCAACAGCCGAAGTGGCATTGCCGAGTGAGGGGAGATACCAAGGTCCTCTCACGGCGTTCTTTGACTTCACTTCGACAATCTCATTTGATATGTCTACACACGATGCATCCAAAGCTATTGTTTGGAACGATCCCACGGCTGCATCTCCGGGGAAAGTGCAGTTGCCTGTCGAGCACTCGCTGTTCAAGCTTCGTGAGTCACCAAGAAGACCCGTATACATGGCGCTCGCAAGATCTGGTAGAAGCTGTTGCGGGAGACCAGGACCGACATGTGCCGAGATCTTGGTAATGTTGTTGGCATACGGGAGACGCGCCGCTCCGCCAGAAAGACCATGATCGCATCTCACCGGACGAACAGCCTGCTGCGTGAATGGATCAACAGCAAGTACGAGTAGGGTCAGCCAAGCTCCAATCGTAGCTAAATGCCTTACTACAGTCAGTATCACGGACCTTAGACATGCGTTAAGAGCGATAAACATACCGACCTCGTAGATGAAAAATAAGCAACGCTGCACCCCAGGGTCCTCGGCTTGCGATGTCAAAGTTCTCAAAGTCTACCAGTTTCTGCTTTCGAGTGATGAACCATGACCATTTCAGCTCACTGATGCCTAAACGTGTAATTGTTAGACTTCATGCAAGTTCTAGCGATCAACGTATGGCACCTACTTTCAGCTACGGGAAGCAGTATCATGGCCTTAATTACGGCTCCAATCACAGCAATCAAGGTATTGATGCTGATGTGCAGGGGCAATTCGGTGATGATGAAGCCGTCAAAGTAGCGGAGAATTGCAACAAGACTAGCGAGGGCCAATATGGCGACTACACAACTGAGTATCTCATATACCCAGCCATCGGTCAAGCCAGAATTGATCTTGCTAGCACGCGTTGAGCTTGGAGTCTCTCCCGTGGCCGAATTGAGACTTGTTATATCCAGCAACTCAACGGATTCAGGAAGCCGCTTATTGTGTTGGAGTGGGTTGGAAGGTGTATCCAGGGGCGAGACAATAGAATTAGCCATAGGACCCACGGATGTGTGGTTGGGAGTGAGCGTGTGTTGTCGCTGAAGATCTCTCAAGTAACATGAACCGCTCCTGCTAGTCGAACGGGGTGGTCGAGTTTGACTTGTGCATCATGGAACGTTCCCAAATTTTTACGAGGAACAGAGATTCTGACAAGCGAGCTGCAATTACCTACGCAGGTGTCCAAGCGTTGTTAGGACGTTAATTCTCGCAACATGATATTGCATACTGCTAAGATCTGTGGAACGCTTACCTGGGTAATGATAAGGCGATTGGATGAATCTTGGCCCCCAACTGCAACTGATGTGCATTAATTGAACTCTTCTCGTTCCAGGCAGAGCCAGATCGTAAGCAGGCAATTAGGCGTCCGAGGTCAGCCTCATTTAAGCAACGCACTAGTGGATTATTACTTAGTTGGGTGACCACTGGGAATCCCCACTGCAACTGCAGCATGTAAGTATTTATTTTTTGCAACTGTCTTACTTTTGTGCCTGTGCAGCGTCGTGCTTACAAAAATATCTATCCACATTCATGAAGTAGAAAAAAAAAGCATGAGCTAGTAAACAAGGATTCTCTAAGGCTAAGATACTACGATAGTACGATAGAAAATACTTCCAAGGTGACATAACTGTCAGGTCCTAGCTTGTGTGCGTTGGATGGAATAATATCTACTGCCTCGAGCAGCGAGTCTCGAGGTGACTATTAGCGTGAGTAGTAGTACCATTTTGGCTTGCTCTTCTCACCCGCTCGTGCTAAGGCCTGACACTACTCACCTAGATAACCTACTTTAATACCTGAAGTATGGTAGGGTTAAGTAAGCAATGTGTGGAAAAGCTAGAAGACTTGAGCAGCTGATCAGGTGCGAGAATGAGCGATCAATTTCATCTATTGTTGTAACTACTAAGTAGATTAGTACTTATACCAAATCTGATCGTGCGCGCTAATCCCTTTGTGTGCTGATCCCGCGCACTCGTCCAATTAGCTTGCTTCAGTTGGCGAGATCCTTCATGTTGACCATGACTTGATCCACTCGAACAGTGAGCCAACTTATCCTTTCAACCCAATATTGTATAGGTAGTCTGTGCTTAGCGACGTTGTTATTGGAAACCTGAACTGCTCTGTGTTTCTACGTACGTATTCTACAGCTGCCATTAGCTAAACTCAGCTTTACAACAGTTCAAAGCGTGCCCGTTTAATTCGTGACAGCAGCACAGACTACACAACATTGAGTAAGATTACCCCTGCTACACTATATACATACAAACTTATCCTAATTGAGTATGCTTCTCGATGTTAGTGCTAGATGTATAACTTTCGGCCCGTCTCCTGCAAAACCTCAACGGAGATAAGAGGCTTTAAGTCTTTGGATTGGATATAGAAACCGTTGTTGCATGCGTATTAGATTGATGTTATACACTACTGCATTCTCTTTCCGACAGAGGCTTTCTCAGTCCTTCAACACAGCCTCCAATGACGTCCTCCACTGGAACCATACTTGTGACCGGCGCCAACGGGTACATAGCGAGTCATGTTGTCAAAGTACTACTTGACAATGGGTACAACGTTCGCGGCACGGTGCGTTCAGACAAGGCAGCTGCACAACTGCGCGAAACCTTTCCAGGCTTTATCGACAAACACCTAAGCATCGCCTTTGTCGCGGATCTGAGCAATTCGGATGAGTTTGCGAATGTCATTGATAGCAGTATCGTTGGTGTAGTTCATACAGCAAGCCCCGCCGCATATCCTGTCGAAGACATTGTGGGGGAAATTCTGGAGCCAGCAATCAGGAGCTCGGTTGGCGTTCTTGATGCAGTGAAGAGATTCGCGGACCTACAGCGCTTCAAACGGGTTGTTCACCTGAGCTCATTGGCAGCTATGCTAGATCATTCAAAGGGAAAAAGACCAGGATACGTGTACTCGGAGGATGATTGGAATCCAGTGACGTGGGAGCAAGCAAAGGGGATGCCGAATTATCTGGACGCGTACGAGGCGTCGAAGGCTCTGTCTGAGCGGGCGGTATGGAAGTGGATGGAAGGAAATCAGCCCTGGTTTGACATTACATGCTTGTGTCCCTCCCTTGTTCTGGGGCCGCATGTCGAGAGAATCGACAGACTATCAGAAGTTCGGTCTACGTTACGGTTCCTCTGGATGTCATTGATTGGATCTGACAGGATCCCATCCCTTGATTACGGCGGCTTCACCGACGTGCGAGATCTAGCTTCCATGATGGTCGTAGCTCTCGAAGCGCCCGCTGTCTCTGGCAAAAGATTCTTGGTTGCACGTCACTTTGATTGGCAGACTGCTGCGGATATACTCAGGGCTCATTTTCCTGCATTGAGGGACCGCATCCCGGAGGGCATGCCAGGAACAGGTGTTGAAAGTGCTGGAAGCAGTATCTACTCTGTGGACGGGCAACGAATCGTAGAAGTCACTCAGATATCGTATCGTCCAATGAGTGAGACACTCGTAGATAGCACGAGGCAGCTTTTGGACATTGAGTCGCGAGAACAGTCTAATTAGTCATTGAAGACCATTATGAATCCTGACCGGATTAGTTATATGGAAGTCATTAAATATCTCAAAGAATTGTAATAAACTATCTAGCACAAACAATGAACAAAGTTGGCACGTGTATACAAACAGAGATCGCAACCCGTCCTTACCCGTATTACAGTTCCAATTGGGTCCATATAGATACCTAGATATCTCTGACAATATCGTCAAATGCCTTCTCGCTGATCATGAATGTGGGTAAGCTCGGTAGTTCGCCTGGCTGAACTGGGAAAACCGAACCATCAACCACGCGGAGGTTATCAACACCACGGACACGGAATTGAGAATCCAAGACAGCCATAGGGTTATCGTCTGAGCCAATTGCACAAGTGCCAGTGACGTGATGCGAGTAGGCATTTGTACGGTGATACTCCACCTGAGTCTCATTGGTGCAAGGAGATCCCCTGGGGCATGGGTGGAATTCCGTGAACGTGTTGTTGGACAGCGTCTGTAGCGCCGGGCGAACCAAATTGATGGCTTCTGTCATCGACGCTAGGTCATCGTCGTTTCCCTTTGAGAAGAATCCAAGGTGGATCTTAGGCATATCCCGGGGGTTGGCAGACCTTAAGGTCACCGACCCGTTGATATTTCTTGGATGAAGCTGCATAAAGCCGCATGTAAACTCATTTGGGTTCCAGCCCGGCATACCAGGCCAGAATCCAATAAACTGCATAGAACCGCAGTAAAAGTGGATATCTCTGGTCAACAAGGCTTTCGATGTCTTTGCAAAGATGTCGTAGAAGCCATAGACTGTGCTTGCGAAGGTTCCGTAGATAGAGGTTTCGTAGTTGTCGTGCATGTTGACCCCAACCCCAGGCAGGTCTTTGACCACGGGAATTTTGAACTTCCTAAGCTCATCTCGGGGGCCAATTCCACTTAGCTTGAGAAGCTGCGGAGTGTTGAATGCGCCTGCAGCAATGATCACCTCTCTTCTCGCAAAGGCTTTGCCGGGGACACCGCGAGCTTTGGGGTTGTATCTTGGATCGGCAGAATACAAACTCTGACCCTGTAGGAACTCGATACCAGTAGCCGCAGGCTTCGAACTTCTGTTTTTAGACTTATCAGATCGGGAGAAGATTATTTTTGTTGCAAGAGTATTCAGCTTGACAGTCAAGGGAAACCTTTGAGCATCCGCGAGAGTAGCTCGAATATAATTGTTCGGGCTTGATCGAACTCCGTGGTTTGAATGAGTAAATGGGCCAAAAACCCCCACGGTGTTGTCTCTGCTTGCGGAGTCGTCGTTGATATCTCTTGTAAGAAGCTGTGTTAGGTTCCAGTTACCTTCTCCAGCGGCTGCATTGTGATGTCTCAGTGCCAGTTCTGCCACAGGGGTATTGTGGTTCGACCACGATACATCTCCGAGCGATGTATCGATATATCCATCAAATCCATGGGTCGGATCGCTTCCGTTGGCAAGGTAGTGGCATCTCTCCAATCTCACAAGATACTGGCGCATGTTTTCAGTCGTCCAAGAGGAGTCTCCAGTGATGTCTGCAATGGCTCGCCAGTCAGATTCAGCTGGAAGGGAAATGGAGGCGGCGTTGTGCATTGTGCAGCCCCCTAGAGTCCCGGCTCGTGGATAGTAGATCCCAAGTCGCTCGGCGCCTTCTGGAGGATCTAATCCAACATAGAACTCCCCGTCAGTTTGTCTCCAAGTCGAGAAAGTGAATCCCTCATCATAGCGGGGTTCATCGTGCGTGACAAAAAAGTCCCACCGAGTGAGAGGATCGTTGATCGCAAGAGTATTGTTCCACACCGTTGCTGAGTTTGGGTTGTTCCATTGATCGTCTCCAGCTTCGATAAGAAGGACGGAATGGCCAGCCCTGGCAAGATTTGCTGCGAGAGGCCCTCCACCTGGACCGGAACCGACGACTATATAATCGTAAGTCTCGTTAGAGGTAGACTTCGTGGCTGCACCCAAGACGGACAAGAGGGATAGAACGAGAGGGTATCGCATTGTGCTGGTGGTGATTCTCTGGTGTCTTCAGGATTTGGGAGCTTCACTGAGGTAGTAAGTGCGTTGGTGATAACATCTCGGGAGTACAGGGACTTCTTAAATGAATCAAAGTCTTATTGTAGATTACGTTGCCGGCATCGCGCGTTAACGGTGTGAACATTGAGCGAAAGACCGATGAGCAGCAACACGTGTACCATGACGCCTCTAGCCCCCTGAAGTGACTACCATTCGTGCATTTAACTTGCTTATCTAATTAACCAGTTTTATGATACCACTTTACTTAATTCTATGGCGCATTGAACTGTGGCTTGTCCGCATCGAGTCCGTCGAGATCAGCAATGCTGGCGTGTTTTGGTCTTTCCCAACATGACTGATGTGCTAGAAATTACAACCACAGGGATGCTAGTATCGGACTTCTATCATGCAGCAATATTATTATGAGCGACTGACACTTCGACAAGACTTTGACGTGCAGCTTTACCATACAGGGATGCACAATACGTACCGTGCGTTCTTGATTACACACATCGGAGTCTTTTTGTATCCGAGTAATTCCCTTCGCACCTTTGACCATAGTTTCGGGTGCTACAGATTTGCACCAGACTGGAAGGTGGTATACATACAGCGAGGATAATCGTCCGGCTGTTAGCTCACGGGTATTCATTGAGAGCAGCTACACCATTCTCCCCAAACTTCTGACTTCCTGAATGCATGCCACGCCGGCATACTGTACCAGTCCAACGCCGACCCTCTCCCTGTACAGAAAGCCAGGAACTCCTAAAATGTTGACCGCAAACATGGAGTTAACGACACGGATTTAAAAGTGGCTTAACTCCATCTCTTACCGTGTGCCGACTACATAGACCGCTAGAAAGCTAGGCATTTCAACACGGGCTTGGTAGCACCGAGTCGCTGTGGAGAGAATCACCTGCTCTAATAGGCTAATGTCAGGACCTGTATACCGAGGGCTCAGGGAAAGATGAGGTGTTACACGAAGCAACCAGTCAATATTAGTTGGTTGGTTGCGGTTCGATTGGTAGAATGTAGACTGTTTGCTGCCGAGGAGTAACAGGGCGGAGACTGGAGGGCCTCGAGTACATGTATCGGACCCCGCTTCTTGTAACATATCTAGTCCAGGGAAGAGCCTAGAGCTCTAGTCAAGTATTGGTTTTCGGTTGGATTGATGCCGTAGAAAAGATGTTTATCCTCGTATGGAGAGATTCCAGATCGGTGCACCTCCGTCAACGTCTGATTTCGTCTCAGACTTGAGATGGTACGTACGGTCGCTTCAACGTTCCAGATATCAGCTGGATAACCCTACTCAGTCTTCAGCATGACCTCTGGACATCGGTAGATATCTGGTTGCGCGTCATAGATCCGAGGATTGTCGCCACGAACTGCAAAGCCGAAGTCTCCAAGGACAACACGACCATACTCTTTTGGCAATCTGAAGTGACGTGTCGCGTAGGTTGGCCTGCCGTTTACAACTTTTCGACGCGAGGGAGATGCCATTTCAGCGTGTACAAAGGCTTTCAAGACATGCTGATCCTCAGTTTCTATGAGGATAGTGTCAGCTCTTATGTCTACATTCTTGTCGACAGAGTTGCGGAGAGACATGTGTTAGGCCGTACCTGTATGTATTATCTTGGCTTCTGTGTGAGGTAATCGAGTGCGAGGAACACTTGCGACAACCCAGCTTTTAGCAGCTCGCCTGTGAAGTGGTGCGCTGGGTTTCTGTTCAAGATATCCTCGAAACTATCCCACATTGGTTTCTGGACAAGTCATCGATGATCGCCACCTTGTCGGGGAATAGTAAACAAGTCAAGGGCTGTCCGAACGTGAATGTATCCCGGATGTGAAGCATTGCCTTTGCTTACGATATTGAACATGTTGTACTCATCTTCATCCATTCCCTCTTGTGAAAACTTTCAAGGTAGTGTAAGTATGGCGACTAGTTTGCTGTTGGTATAGATAGCACAATTGCCGAATGCTAACTTGCTGTAGATCACGGGCCAGTCAAACGGTTGACGTTACACCGAAACCAAGTTTACCTACCTAGGTACTAGGTGCTTCGACGCGAAGACATCTCCTATATTGACTGGATAGTAGACGCCCCTGTGAAACTCCTCAGGCTGTTCTTCCTCAAACAATACCGCATCGCTGACGACTTTGAAACCGGATATCGGAAATTTGAGTAGGGGCCATGATAGTTTTGGAACGAGCAACTTTGTGAGTTTGAACATAGATAAACCTGCAAAGAGCGTGTCCCAATGGCTCTCGATAGGTCTGAGGTATGGAAAAAAAAAGGTTAAAGGCTTCCAATCGCCAAGTACAGGTCGACTTTGCGTTTCTACAATCTCCGCCCAGTCCAAGTCGGTCACCATCGCTCTCTGAATCGCGTCGTTCCATGAAGGTTTCGGGGCATGAGGTCTTTATGCAACATATCAAGGGAACTGCCGCTGACAAGACCAAGAACGCATTTCTGGGTACAAAATCGTCCATGTTGCGCTTCTTGGCGGGGCTTCCGGGTGCTGCGGGTGGGTGATGATCTGCCAGCGGTTGCCTGAATGAGAGGTCGCTGTGAATTGTTGGGCAACTGTCGGCTTGGCGTTTCCGTGTCAGGCTCCTTACTGGACTCGTGCGGGTCTTGTGCAAGCCATCCCTGAGTGGATTGGGACAGATGTCGTCTTTTAAATGTAGCTTAATAATTCAGTGTTGTCTAGTTCAGGATCCCTCGTGCTTCCTTGCTGCTGCTGTACCTGCAAGGATTGGCTCCCTGTACTTTGGTTTGATGTCTTGGTGTTTCTGAACTTGCTCCCGTTCAGTGGCTAAGTCGAGGTAGTTGCTGTGACCTGTCTACGCTGCTGTCCTGTTTTAAGTATCTATCGGAGCCACTGTCTATCTACACGCACGCAGTCTGGTATCTATTAGCCGTATTCCGTACGTAACTACAACTGTGGTACATAATGCCCCTACATGGCATCAAATTAGAAAGATGTGTCAATTGGATGATGTGTTGATTAAACAGTTATGTAGAAGAGAAAAGAGCATGTTGTTCTTTAACAACTATCTCTACCAAACTCTACCTCGAAGGTGAATTATACGATGGCTTGCTAACAACTGGTCTGCATTGATACCCTTGAAGGATACGAAGCAGTGTTTACAGGTTGACTTTATAAAGTTAGCTTAAAGATCCTAGGTTACAGGAAGTAATTTAACCTTTATGGTATCTGTCCACTCCTTGATCTGATAGAGTGGTGTCGCTCGACAGAGTGGTTCGCATTCGTCTGACCCACATGTTGTGCATGTTGGCGTAACTATCTTGTGAAGATAAAGGGTTGCTTGCACGGTCTTGACAAGTTCTGGGATATACTCTTTATCAAGGCTTTTGCAGTAATTGGAGAAGCTCTCCCGGTGTTGTTCGTCGAGGGAACGTGATCGGTCTGTACCACCTTCTATGGAAACACAGTAGGCATGTATGATAGCGTCGCAATCAATAGCTTGGGGTTCTTGGCTCTCATCGTGTAGAGCTTCAGTTTGAGCTCGCTGTGTTGCTGAATCATTTGTTGCTGAATCATGTGTCGCTGAATCGTTTGTTGCTGAATTATTTGTTGCTGAATTATTTGTTGCTGAATTATTTGTTGCTGAATTATTTGTTGCTGAATTGTTTGTCGCTGAATCATTTGTCGTTGAAGCCTTTGTCGTTGAAGCGTTTGTCGCTGGACTAGTTGTCGCTGAATTGGTTGTCGCTGAATCGTCTGTCGCGTTTTCGGAGTCTCGTATGTTGGCAACTGTGAAGCTCGCGATAGATCTTGATGGTAGCTTTCCATCATCTTCAATTATTTTTACTTTCTTGTGGCTGCGTGCTGATTAAAAAGAAAGGCTTACTCATAATCTCAGGGTCTTACATGAGCGCATGATCGGTACTGCTGCGTCTGCGTTTCCTAGACGGTTGGTTTTGTTGATCACCGGACAGGTCTGTTGAGTGTTTGTCGTAGTGTAACATTGTTGAAGAAGAAGACATGTTGTATGCTTGCGGCCGACTATAGCTTCACGCAGCTTGCGAGACTCCGATAACGAAACAATGAGAACAATGTGGACATGGGCGGCGGCTAAATGCGATTCAAAAACTGGGGTTTGCGCTCCCTTACCGATGTTGAGTTCCTGCAGCAGTACAACGGAAGCAAAGGAATGACTTGGATTGCGATGACAGCGCACAGACTGGTACTCTCATACCCTGACAAGGATTGTGGGTGTGAGATCAATTAGGAAATTGCTCGAACTATGCATGCATGTAGGTATCAAACTGCTTGCCTACATGGAATGGACGCTCAACTCCGTAATTCGTGCTCTTCTCGGCTCCCTATCCGTAATGCCCATGGTGTCCTAGCGCGTTCTGCATGTTGTACTTTGGTTGGTTAATAGCAGGCCAGTCGTAGACCAGGCGCATGAACACGTTAGCGCCTCAGCAAATCTGGCCCATATTGAGGCCGTCGCGAGCTGATGGGTCTAAGCTCCAGGCACTGCAGCTGCTGTACCCACTGGAGAGACCTCTCGTTCGCACCGTGGCGCGCTGGGTCATTCCGCGTTCAGAACTACGTCTCGAACGAGGGCTGCTAGCATCAGTGTACTCTCGCAGGACGCGAGTGTCTTTACACTTGTCCTGAAGCCACGGTACCAACTTTCTAGGTAGTCGTAAACCTCATCCGCGCGTGTGTCATTTCTGCTCTTGGTATGTAGTACACAACGGCGCGTATTTCCGGGCGATGACTATCCCGCGTGTGATAGGCGCACAATCGAGGAACCCTGTTCATGCCAACACAGATACACGAAGCTCCAGTAGATGGTGTGAAGTGTTCGAATTGGAACTAGTTCTAGGTACAGTACTTTCGTGCTTTCGCAATGCGTCAGATATGTACATGCTGAAGTTCTGCGAGCCGGTGGGACTGATCAACGACGCTAATATTCGCGCGTCTCTGATGTTCCGATGGCTGCCAAGGGCAACTGTGTCGCAAACAATCTTTGTCCCTAATCCGCGATTGGACGGCTCTCCCTTGTTCGACTCGTGTTGCTGGGCTTGCATACACACGGCAACACTGTCTGCGGCTGCACAAATCAGCTTCCAATTCTGAAGGGGCTACATTAGAACTGGGGCCAAAGCATGCATTAGCGTTGTTTTATGCATACGACATGACAGACAGGACAGACGAGGACAAGGGTTGTATAGCGCGGATTGGCCGAGAAATCTGCGGCCGCGCGTAGCGCAACATCATGTGTTTGGTGGGGTTCACAACAGCGCCGTACAAAATCACCCTATTAGGCTGCCACAGACAGAGATGCCCCGATTGCCAGATAGAGCTTCCGCAGAAGAAGCACGTGCTGCGGCTGGCTTCTCAGAAGAAGAGTGGCGGAGGTTCATTGTTCGGCGCCACCCCGCTCTCACTTTGCCTTTGTCAGGGACTGACAGAATTATGTAGGACATCACCAAAGACATTGCCCGTGGGATGCAGGATGGAACGCCTGATATTCGGTGGCGTCGAGTTCCTTTTAATCTTAAGCGGTCAACTATGGATCGCATAAACGACCTACTTGCGCAAGAAGGAATTCCTGTGGTAGAGATAGATCTTATAGGGTGGCGCATGAGTAGAGCTATCGGAAACCTAAAACAGTCCAGAGGTTAGGGTCCTTACTGCAATGCAGGATGTAACCTAACTGTCTCCAGCCCGTGTCGCTAAAGCGGCTACTACGTCAGCCAACATAACTACGTCAACCGACACAACTACGGACGCAGGTGTGTCTGCGGTGGAAGCTCCAGCGGCCACTGCAAGCGGATTGAACCGTGGTTTCGACGCAGTGAGGGACGCAGAGCGCTCCATGAAGTCATCCTGATCCCTGTTACTTCGTCACTGCAACTCGTGCCAACAACCACGGTGCTGCGAGGGTGTGGAGAATGGATAGCCGACGAGGATCGCACAAACTAGCTCCTTTTTGATGTAACAATGAACATTTGGCAGCCGTTGGCTATCTAGCCGCTGTTCTGAACCAGTCTTGACTGCAAGTGACATCGATCATGACTCAGGGCTGACGCAAACACCGAACGCCACGGACCACGCGGCATTTGGCCCTGCTTAAGCGCACTAATTGAGAAACGGAGAATTCCACACGAGCAGATTGGAAAAGGATGGGGCGTATGGCACCGATTCGCGCAGAATCTGGATCTTGCTTGCCGCGACCGGGCCCACTACAGGGGGCGTAATCGCCCGCTGTTAGCTCACGGGATCCATTGAGAGTTGGCCAATCTGGAGCAGCTACGCCACTCTCCTAGAGCTTCTGACTTGCTGAACGCATGCCGCGCCGGCACACTGTTTTAGGCCAACGCTGCCCCCTGTAGCAGCAGATGTGCGCTGGGGGTGATGGGCTCTTAGCCTCCTACGATAAGTTGCTCCCAATTCCCGTTGTCTTGGGTCGTTAAATACAGGGGTTTTTCATTCGGCTGATAGCTCACGGGTAGGTTTTCATTGACAGTTCGGCCTGGAGCAGCTACACACTCTTCCGCGACTTCCGACTTGCTGGGTACATGTGCCGCACCTGAACGTTTAATCCCCTGTAGAGATCAAGGCGCTAGATCCTCGCGTTGCCGTGCGAGGTCAAGGAACCACTCGTGGGGAGCTTCGATCGTCGCTTCACCGCTACCTAAGCGGGATTGAGGTGACGGATGTGGTGGTCTGATCAGTCACATTGCGCAGATCAGGACTGGAACGGAGACCGTATCTAATGTAGGCGACCGGAATAGCACCCAAGTAATCATTCCTTTGGCGCTGAGGGTAACCCAGAGCATGCCAAGACATCTATTGATTTCTGACGGAGGCATTCCTCCGTCACATCATGTTAGTTCTATGCAATAATGGCTGAGAACGATGTCGAAGCTTGTGCTGATGCTGGACCGTCACGGCGAGTGGTGTAGGTAAGGTGTTTCGTCATCAGACGGCGTGGAAAGCTACTGAGACTGTTAGATCTGCCTTCACGATCAAAAGTGCGTTCTACACTCCGAAAGTACGCCAGGACGGGAGTTGGGTGCGTACCTTATGTCAATCAAGCTCGGTCGGCCCTCAAACAAGTCTACCAGTCACAGGATGAACAGATCAACAGCATAGCAAGGCGGAACAGTGATGGTGTCAGATCCTGAGTCGTCAAGTATTACGACGAGGCAAACTCGCGATAGTACAAAAGCATCCATCGCGTTAGACGTTTCAATCTACACAGTACATACAGACGAGAGAACCTTTTCTTATTTTTGCCTCGCCCAAGTCTCTAACACTGCGACTGTTGTGCAACCTCTGTAAATGGCTAGACGGCACAGTGGAACCGTGGGTATAGAGAGGTCTAGTCTTTCCTCCCCTCACAGGTACCCCGCACTACCATTGAAAATTGTACATAGGGATAGCACGTCCTAGTGCTAGTTCACGGGAACTTGTGGGAGATTGACCAACCTGCAGAAACGATGTGTTCGTCTCTATACTCTGATTTGCGAATGCGTACTCGAGGGTGCCGTAGTTGGGACCGCATCTCTGAGGATCACGTTGAGACTGCTGCTCTTCTCCACGAATCGACGAGCGTTGTGAAGCTGCGCCTCAAGATCGAACCAATGATATTCAGTGGCAAATAACGTCACTCTCGGACTTGTGGTAACAATGAGTACGCCGTGCCAGCACTATGCATCAGCCCGAGGTGGCACCCCCTGTAGAGCTAGATCTTTCCCTGCATCCTATAGCCAATTATAATGCGTAGGTACCTGCATCCATGACTGTGGCAGTATGCCGTACTATGTAATAGAAGGGGCGGCCCGCGAATACAGGCGAGTTATTCCTCCGGCTGATAGCTCACCGGTAACTATTGAGAGTTCGACCAACCTAGAACAGCTACACCGCTCTCCTAGAGCTTTTGACTTGCTGGATGCATGCCGCGCCCGAGGGCGAAAGTTCCTGCAGTCCGGTTTCATGGCTCGACGATGCCACACTCCACGGGCCATGGCCATCGACAAGGTAAGCTCTCAAAAATGTTCGTTTGATTGTAAGCTGGCCCGAAGCGTGCATGTGGAGAAAATACGGTGCTTGGTGGTACAATCGCACTTCGGCCTTGATTGGTAGTAGTGATTGCCAAATTGGGTGGACCACTCTGAGACTAGTGCGAGGGACATGTACATAATGGTCGCCTACCAGTTTATATGTTGAGGAGAGCGTTGTAAGTGGTTCCTGCCTTTGGTCGCACTGCAAGTAAATATCCTGGCTTTCCACGGATGCCAGGTTGCAGAAGGGTCCTTGGGTGGTTTCCACAGGCAATTATTACTCGGATATTCTGTACCTTCTCCGCGATTGAGTAGGTATTATGTAGAATTCTCGCATCCATCCTCAGAACCACTTGCCTCCGAGCTGAAAGGCACCAGCCGAGGTGGAGGTGGCGAGAATATGATACGGCGTGAGTCTCAAGTCGAGATTCTCTTTGCGAAGAAGTCGATCCATGAGCGTGGTGATCTGGATCACGAGCTGATCCTGGCGTAAGTCGTCGCCAAATTTTAATATAATCGGGTATTTCTGCGAGTGACTGGTACGGAAGTTGAGGACTACATATAGGCGGAAGGGACGACTTCGACTGACTCATTGAAGACCACAACGAGCCTTTTCCATGAGCCAGGTGCGCTGGTTGGAAGCCGGCATCTGAGCTCAGAACTATAGTTAGTCACCAAGATAAAGTGTTGCTGGCAGACAACGACGTCATGCAGGAGAGTGGAGAGTACGATACAATCTCAAAGCGCCTGATGTAATTAGCTTCGAATCGAATACAATGGACTTGACAAGAAATCACACCGGACTTGCTTTCTGGCCAACTGTAGAGCTTTGCTAGCGAGCACAACACAGCCTTCAAGAACCTCTCTCCTCTTGGTGCACAACATTGCTCGAGTCTGTAGTCTCTCTTCAATGTGCCTGCAACGGCGTGCATGCGCCCCAACCCCCGCCGCAAGGCGCCCCTGTCCAATCCACCGCACAGCATGTGCAATCCACCGCACAGCATGTCCAACCCACCGCACAGCATGCCCCGCCGTCCGCCCGCCTGCCCGCCTGCACGCCGCCAACCGCGACCCCAGCACCAGCGCGGAGAAAGGCCCGACTCCACCCGTCGCCCTGTCTCAGCCGCGCGCCCCACCTGCGCAAGCGTGCGCCAAGCCCTGCGCGCCCGCTGATCCCTGCCGGCTTAGCAGATCGCGAGTCCGCACCGTCTGGTGAGCACGGCGGGATATATATATATATAATGCGCTGCGGTGCGGTAGGCGGGAGGACGTTAGGTGGCTTGTATGTCGCGAGGTGCGGGTTGCGTGTGGAGGCTCGATAAGTGCCAAGCATTGCGAGGTATACATCGTGCTTCACTGCGTGTGGAGGTGAATTGGACTGGCGCGTGGGTCGGGCTGTGGGAATCGTTCTCGCGGTGAAGGGAGATTCGCGCTGGGAGCGAGCTTTTCACTTTTGAAAGACGTCTTGCTGGTGAACTGTTTCTCACTGTTACACTCCTTCTCACTGCTACACTCCTTCTCACTGCTACACTCCTTCTCACTGCTACACTCCTTCTCGCTGTGAACAGGCTTCTCACTGTTAACCGCCTTCTCACTGCCAACCATTTGTTGGCCAATTGCCCTCCCCGTCTCATTCACCATGCGCAACCCCTTCAGACACGGTCCGCACCTCGAGCACCCCGTCGCCGAAGCCGAGATCAAACTCCTCGCCGTCGAGACCGGCCACGCCCTCGACACCACCACCAAGCACCCCGCCGCCGCCCCCTCCAGCACCGAGTCCTTCACCGCCGGCGCCCAGAATGGCGTCCGCAACATGGAAGCCACGACCACGGCGTGGGACCGCAAAGCGCTGGCCGCCGCGTACGTCCTGATGTGGCTGATCGCCTTCGTGGATGCCATGCAGCAGGGCACCTCGGGCACGCTGATGGCCTACGTGACGAGCGGGTTCCGGCAGCACTCGCTGACGGCGTACACGGGCGTATGTGGCGCCGCTCCGCGCAATTGAGTCCGGGGCTAACATTGTGTAGGTCATGTCGAGCGTCATCGGCGGCGTGCTCAAGCTGCCGCTGGCCAAGGTCGTGGATGTGTTTGGCCGGCCGCAGGGGTTTGCGCTGAGCACGGGGCTGCTGGTCGTCGGGCTCGTGCTGATGGCTGCGTGCAACAGCGTGCAGACGTATGCCGCGGCGCAGATATTCTACTGGACGGGGTACGTCTCCGTGCGGGGTTGTGTGCTTTGCTGACTGGGAAGATATAATGGCATGTCGTATGTGCTGTCGGTCTTCGTCGCCGACACGTCGCATCTCAGGAACCGCGCGTTCATGTTCGCGTACGCCAGCTCGCCGTACATCATCACCGTGTGGATCACCGGGCCGCTGGCAGCCGCGTACCTCGCGGGGCCGGGGTGGCGCTGGTTCTACGGCTCGTTCGCCGTCATCACTACTATCGTTGTGTTGCCCCTGCTGGCCCTGTTCTGGGCGAACTACCGCAAGGCCGTGCGCACCGGCATTATCGTGCGCGCCACGAGCAACCGCCGCTTCATCGAGTCCGTCAAGTACTACGCGGTGGAGTTCGACGTGGGCGGCCTGGTCCTGCTGATGGGCGGCCTCGTGTTCCTGCTGCTGCCGTTCAGTCTGTACAGCTACCAGCCCGGGCAGTGGCGGAGCGCGTTCGTCATTTCGTTTCTGATCATCGGCGGCCTCCTGCTCGCCGCCTTCGTCGCGTACGAGAAGCTGCTCGCCCCGAAGAGCTTCATGCCGTTCGAACTGCTCCTCGACCGCACCATCCTCGGCGCCTGCATCGTGTCCGGCCTCTTCTTCGTCAGCTTCTTCGTCTGGAACGCGTACTTCTACTCGTACCTCACCGTGGTCACGGGCCTCAGCGTCACGGAAGCCACCTACGTGGTCAACATCTACAGCATCGGCTCCTGCCTCTGGTCATTCGTGGTCGGCGTGCTGATCCGGTGGACGGGGCGCTTCAAGTGGATCGCGCTGTCCTTCGGGGTGCCGGTGTGCATGCTGGGCGTGGGGCTGATGATCCAGTTCCGCAGCAACCCCGACATCGGGGTGGGCTTCATCGTGCTGAGCCAGATCCTGATTGCGTTCGCGGGCGGCGCCATCGTCATCACCGAGCAAATGGCCGCCATGGCCGCGACCACGCACCAGTACGTTGCCGTGGTGCTTGCGGTCGAGGGCATGTTCTCCAGCATCGGCGGCGGCATCGGCAGCTCGATTTCTGCCGCGCTGTGGACCGGCGTGTTCCCCGCGAAGCTGGCCGAGTATCTGCCCGCGGAGTCGCAGCCGCATCTGATGGCTATCTACGGGGACATTGTGGTCCAGACGTCGCATCCCAAGGGCTCGCCCACGCGGACGGCGATCGAGCATGCGTATGGCGATTCGCAGCGCTACATGTCGATTGCGTCGACGGCGGTCCTGGCCATTGCGCTGGGGGCCGTCATGATGTGGAGAGGTATGTGTGGCGATCCGTCTATGGGTGTTGACTGACTTTGTACAGATATCCGCGTCAAGGAGTTCAAGCAGGTCAAGGGCCGTGTTTTGTAAGGCGACCTCTTGTTGGCGCTACCCGCAGGCTTTTATAGTGCCGCCGGTCGAGAAAAGTTGGGTTTGCTGCGTGGTGGATACCGATGATTGGGATACCGTATTGTGTTCTGGGGGCGAATGGATTAGCATACAATTCCACGCCGATTTTGTGTTACCTCGCCTGAATTCAGTCTGTGTGCTTGTATCGTGAGCCTGTAGTGACTAAGTCGCTCCGTGGAGGGCAGGGCAGTGATCTACACTCACCCAACGCAGTCCACAGCACCTCCACCGCCGAGTGCCGAATCCCTTACTGACATGAGCATACATCACCCAAAAGATACAAGACAGACATCAGCATCACATAGATTCATCGTCTACCCAGGCCGCTACTACGCGCCCCCCTCTCGCTCCGCATCCGCGCGCAGCGCCTCGTCGTCGTCTTGCGCGCCCGCACGCCCGTTCGCCGGCTCGTTCTGCTCGGGGGCGGGAGACGCGACGACGCCCGCGGGCGGGACAAAGGTCTCGCCGTCTTCGGTGTCGAGCTGCATGAGGAAGGTTTCCCAGATCTCGATGAGCTGTGGGTGTTAGCTGCGTCGCGGTGTCAAGAGTGTAGGAACATACCTCCTTCTGCGCCTCCACGGCACTCTCCAAGTACGTCTCGACGCCCGACTTGAAGTCCTCGACCTTCTCGCGCTCGAAGCGCTCCAGCTCGCTGCGCATCAGGCGGCCCATGTCGTCGAACAGGAGACGGGCCTGGTGGACCCTGCGCTCTGCATCCGCGACATCGGCGCCGAGCTGATTCAGACGGTCCTGCTGCGAGCGGCCCTGGCGCAGCAGCTTGTCCTGGTTGGTCTTGCGCTTCTGCAGCTCCTGCTCGGCGGTGTGCCAGGCGTGGTAGGACTTCTGGCGCTGCTGGAAGGAGGTCTTGACGGAGCCGATCAGGCGGATGTACTCGTCGATGACGATGCCCATGGTCAGGACGTCTTGCTGGGCCTGGCGCTCGTAGAGTTCGCGGATGCGGATTTGGATGTCGGAGAGGCTGTCGAGCGGCCCGGAGAGGGCGGGCGAGAGCTCGACGGCGGAGAGCGAGTGCAGGGAGGCGGAGAAGTCGCCGCAGGCGTCTGCGAGGCCCTTGCGCTGCATCACAACGGTGTCGGTGGCCTTGAGGAGCGCGCGGAGCTGGTTCTCCAGCGCATCGAGATAGACCTTGCGGTCGTGGAACCACTGTTCGCGTTAGTAGGAAACCACAACGTATTTGACTGCCTTACATCGTCGTGCTCTACAAACTTGCCGCTGTTGCCGGACAGCATGCCGCCAAACATGCCCTTGCTCTCGCCCAGCCCCACATCCTTGCGCTCCTTGTTCTTGATGTCCACGTTGAAGGCGTCGCTCTCGAGGAAGAGCTTCAGGTCGCCGTCGTGCTGCAGCACGGGGTGGGCGGCGGTCTTGTTTAGCATGCGCTCCAGCGCGGCGCGTCTCGACTCGACAAAGTCGGCCTCGAAGCGGCCGAGCGACTGCTTCTCGGGCGGCGGGGGGATGATGACGCCCGGGCTGTTGTTGTGCAGCTGGGTGTACAGCCAGAGGAAGTCGCGGTAGCGGCGCGAGACGGTGAACTCGGGGTTGCGGTAGCCCTTGGACGTGGTCTTGGTGGTGACCGAGTACTCGGTGTGCGAGCTCGTCAGGTCGCCGACCTTGTGCGGGTCGCCGACGTAGATGGAAAAGGTCGGCTTCGCGGCCTGCTCGATGCTCACGCTGGGCTGGGCCTGGCGCGGGGGCGCGGCGTGGGCGGCTGCCTGGACGGGCGGGGGCACGCGCGGGCCCTGCGCCGGCGGCTCGTCGTCGTCGTTGAGGTCGACCGAGTCCATCATGCCGCGCAGCGACGACGACGTCGAGGTGCCGGTCATGGGGCGATTGCTGCGCGCGGCGGCCTCCTTCTGCGGCGGCTCGGGCGCGGCGGGCGGCGTGGGAGCTCCCAGCGGGCCGAGCGGGTCGTCTACAGCTTCGAGCTTCGTCGACTGCGTGCCATACTGGCGCCGGCGGGGGCCGCGGGCGGCCGGCGAGCGTGGTGCAGCGGACGCGCTGGGGGCAGATGCGGCGGCGGCGTCGATGGGCGCGGGCGCGAGAGTGCTGGACCCGTCCTTGTCCTTGTCGGGCTTGGGCGCGTCTGCGGCCGACTGCGAGGGCACGTCTGCAATGCGGTCAGCCTGGAACAGCGCCGCCGCGCGCAGGGGAGCTCACCGCCCCACGGGGAATCATCGCCGAGCTCCATGGTGGTGTGGCTGTTGGTGCAGGCGGCTGGCAGATCCGTCTGATGTCTCCAGGTACCGCTCCGCAACCCGTCAGCCAATGGGGGGCCGCGCACGGGCAGCACCAACGTCATGTTGGAGGTCCAGCGAGCATCTCCTCATTGACCCTTACTAAGTAGCAACGTCGTAATAGTCACATTATCTAGATGATACCAGCCCTACAGACTCGACGACCCGATCGCAGCCTTCTGGTGGTCACAGGTATACGCAATCTTCCCATCCTCCGTCTCCAACCTAATCTCGCCCTTGGTCAGCCCTTGGCGCTTCCCCAAATGCACCACCTCGGAAATCACATAGACCTTTGTGCCCACGCCCGCCGGCCGCAGATACGTGCAGTTCAGCGTGCGGCTGACATTGCCCGTGTCCCAGAAGCCGTCGTGGCTGGCGGCCGCAATGGCCGTCGACGTGCAGATGTCGAAGATCAGCGCCACCGCGCCGCCGTGCAGGTTTGCTGGAGGGGAGTTAGTGATGGGCGGAGATGGTGAGGGGGCAGCGTACCGCCCATGTTGCACAGCTCCTTGGGCACCGTGAAGCTGTGGACGACACGTGCGTGGTGCGGGTCCTTTGGCGTCGGCGTCGCGACCGCGGATTCGAACTGCAGCATGTGCGCCAGCTTTGCATCGTACCACTGGCAGACGTCAGCATTGGCACCTTCCCACTCACACAGTGAACACACATCATAGCCCTCGGACTTTGCGATTTCGAACTACAGGCCCATCAGTACCGAGTCGTGAGTTTGCAATGATACGCCCATACCCATCGCTGAGCCTTCGCCTCCGCCGACAAGTCACCACTGGAACTGAAGAACTTCTTGAAATGCTCCCCCATTGTAAGCGTGCAGTGTAGCTCTCCAGAACCACCGATGGCATGCCCTCGCCATATGCACTTGCTACCTCGGCACATGTCACCCACGCCCGAGACGCGCTAGCACTAGTTGGCCCAGACCCCTGCCATTATTTTCGGAGCGACATCCACGCGCCGAAAAGATCGTTGCCATCAACACCAAAACACAACCACCATGTCAACCACAACAATGAGCTCGCGAGTCCCCATACACCGCCTGCTGCGCGCCCGCACCACGCGCCCGTTCTCCCTCGCCCCCGCGCTCCCGCACACCCGCTGCATCTCGACCCCCACCGTCCTGCGCCCCAGCTTCTGGGCCTCGATGATCCCCAAGCCCCTCCGAAAAACCACCCCAGACCCCTCCTCCACCACACCCTCCACCGCCCCCTCCCGCGCCTGGAACCCCGCAACCCCCTACATAATCCTCAGCCTCCTCGTCGGCTCCCAGGCGATCCAGATCCTGTGGCTGAAGCAGGAGCGCGCGCACAGCGCCCGGCGCGCGGAAGCACAGATCGGGTTGTTGAGGGAGGTGATTGAGCGCGTGCAGGGGGGTGAGGATGTGGATGTTGAGGGGGTGTTGGGGGTGGGTGATGCGGGGCGGGAGGCGGCGTGGAGGGAGGTTGTGGATGGGGTTGCGGGGGAGGAGAGGTTGTTTGTGGGGAAGAAGGGGAGGAGGAGGGAGAGGGAGATGGAGAGGGCGAGGGAGGGGGGTGTGGATGGTATGGGGGATGTAGCGAAAGAAGAGGTGAATCAAGATGGTGGTCACGATGCAGCGAAAGAGGAGGGCATTGCTAAGGTAGAGAGCATTGGGGGTGTCAAGTTCTATTAAGTATGCTTGTGGGTTCGTTGAGTCGTTATGCGCTATGGAAGGACCTTGCCAGCAAGGACTGTTCTCTCGATGCGCGAAAGTTCACCGGCGTCGATATTAGATCTCCTGCGTCTCGATCTCCTGCGTCTCGACATTCTCAGTCTCGACTTCGGCCTCAATCTCCTCAGCCTCAATCTCCTCGGCCTCATTCTCACCCACCTCCTCGTTCTCCTCCTCGATATCAGACTCCTCGGACTCAGGCTCCTCCTCAGATTCAGGCTCAGACTCGGACTCCGGCTCAGGCTCAGACTCAGGCTCCTCCTCAGACTCAGGCTCTTCTTCAGACTCAGACTCAGGCTCAGACTCGGGCTCCGGCTCTCCACGCGCCTGCCTCTGCTTCTTCATCTTGGCCTTCTCCTTCTCCTTCTTGAGCTTCTCCCGGGCCTTGTCTTTGCGAGCCTTGTCCTTCGCCCTCAGCTTGGCCTTCTTGAGCTTATCCTTCTGCATCGCCTTCGCCTTGCGCGCCCTCTCCTTCTCCTTCCTCATCTTCTCCTTGGCCTTGGCCTTGTCCTTGCGCGCCTTCTCCTTGGCTTTGGCGCGCTGGTTGCGCTCGCGCGTCTTCGCAGCCTTGGCCGCGTTCTTGAGGCGCTCGGCCTTGGCCGCGTTGCCGGTGTTGTTGGAGTCCTTGGTGGCGGCGCGCAGCACGGGGTTGTCGCACAGCAGCGCCAGCGTCACGCCGCCGCGCACCGCGTCGTCGACCGCGCTCTTGTTGTTCTTCAGCAGCGCGCAGATGTTGCTCAGGCGCAACTCGACACTGGTCTCCTTGTCGACCAGCTTGCCGCGCACGGCGTTCTTGTGGTAGATGCGTGGGCGGTTGAAGCCGCGCTCGTGGACGGCGATGGCGGCGTCGAAGACGTGGTGGGCGGCGGCCTCGAGGTCGAGGGCTTCGAAGGCGGCGGTGGTGGTGAACCGCGTGCGGTTCACCGACGTCACGCCGTCGTTGATGCTGCTGCGGTCGATCATCGCGTTGTAGATCCGCACCACCCAGTAGTCGCGCCCAAACGACTTGACGCGCAGCACGTCGGGGGCGTTGGCCTTGGCCGGGATGCGGGCGCGGCGGCGGTAGGCGCGGGCGTCGGCGCCAGAGGAGAAGGCCGACGTCGTGATGGGCGCATACAGCGCATCGCCGTCGGGGGTGCCGACGGGGATCTGGGCGAGGAGGAGGGCGTCGGGGGCGTAAGCGGGGGGGTTGAGGGGGGCGACGGGGGCCAGGAGGGGCTGCGCGGCGACGGGGGCAGCAGCAGCAGGCGCAACGGGGAAGAGAGGAGCACCCCAGGTGGGGGGGAGTTGGTCAGCAGACCCGGCGACGACGGGGGGGAGGTCCTCGAGCGCAGCAGGCAAGGCGCGGAGCATCTCAGCATCCGCGCCGACGCCCATCGGCGCCCCAGCCCATGCCTCTGGTGCGCCCCAGGCACCGTCCCCCACCGTCGTGAACTCCAGCAGCGCGGAAGCAAACTCCGCGTCCGCCCCCACCTGGTCGAAGAAGCTGCCGGAGGGCTCGGCGGCAGCAAAGTCGGCGGAGAATTCGGCGTCCAGCGCCGCAAAGTCGTACTGCCCAGCCATGCTGGGCGGGGGGCAGAGAGAAGGGAAGGAGGGAGGCAGCAACGTGCGTGACGCCCTGCGTCACGGGAAGGAGGGTGTTGGAGGGTGCTGTGCTCGCCAGGAGCACGGGACGAGACAAGAAGAGAAATGGAGCTGGATTCAATCTGGATGAAGGGGGAGCAGCCTTATATGGGACCCCCGGGCACGCTGCTGCTGCTGCTGCTATTGAGACAATAGCAACAGCTGCTACTGTATTCTATTCTATTCTGCTCGAGACTACTATTGTGCGTAATTGACTCAGTGGTGAAGTGAAGACGAAGTGGCCTTCACCTACTTCAGGAGGTTGGAGACGGGACATGGCGAGATAGTGAGATGGGCGGAGACGAAGAACACCAGACGTGAGCGAGCATGCAGAACACAGAGCAGCGGCGAGACGGGAGCCAACAGAATGGAGCATTGAACAACAAAACGATAGACCAAATATCTGAGAGTGAGATACCTAGAGTAAAGTAACACCCATAACCAGAGCCAGCAACGCGTAGCATGTCAAGGAGAGAGGTGAGAAACACTAAACGAGAGCCAACAAGACGGGAGTCAACAGACGGGAGCATTGAGTGACGAACTAGTTGATCGAGCATTAGAGAATAGTATACCTACAGTAATGTAGACACTGTGAACAGCGGCAGCAGACGTGCAGCACATCGAGACGAGAGACCAGAAACACTAGAAGTGAGCTAACAAGACGGAAGCCAACAGACCCTCCCATCAAATGACAGACTAATCAATCAAACAGTCAAGAACAGTACATCGCATAGCCAAGCAACCCCACGAGCAGCCCCAGCAGACGTGCAGCACATCGAGTCGAGAAACGAGAAACACCAGTCGCCCGCCAACGCAACGGAAGCCCACGGACCCAGACACTGAGCGACGAACCACCTGATTGAATATCTGAGAAAGAGACCTTGCACGGCAAAGCAGACCACAAACAGCCCCGGCAGACGCGCAGCACATCGAGACCCGAGACGAGAAACCACCAGCCGTGAGCAAGGGACGACGAACCAGTGGACTGGACATTGGGGACTGGCACACTGTAGGTACACCATCCTCGTTAACCAGCCCCAGCAGCGCACGGCGCCTCGAGATATCGAGACGGAAGACGTGGGACCGCAGACGGCGAGACAACAAACGGGGAATAGCAGACGTGAGCGTCGGGTTACAGACCAGTCGCTCAAGCATTGGAGAATGGTTACCTACTGTAAAGTAGCCTCGACAACGGCTCCAGTAGGAGACAGGACGCGGGAAGCGGAGGCGAGAGACACCAGCCGCGAGCAAGGGACGTCGAACCCGTTGACTGAACACTGGAGAATGGGATATTGCATGGCAAACCAGCCTCGAGAAACCGCGGTAGCAGGACACGGTACATCGCGACAGGCGCGTCGAGCCAGCAGACGGGAGACGGCGAGAGGGAGCAGACGCGAGAGCCAGCAGCCGTGAGGATCGAGTGACGCACCCATAGACTGAGCGGACGAGGATGGCAGGTCTCAGGACGAAGGCACGACGAGTTAGGGAATAGGAAACAGGAGGCTGAGAGACGCGAGAGAGGCAGACTTGGGGCAGGAAGACTCGAGAGAGGGAGACTCTCAACAGCTCGCCTCTCAACAGCTCGCCTCTCAACAGCTCGCCTCTCAACAGCTCGCCTCTCAACAGCCCGCCTCTCACCACCAGACAGCTTGCCTCTCAACACCCAGACACGCACACACAGACCCCAGTCCGACCCTTCGACCACAGAAACCGTGGCGCAAGAGGAAATCTCGCATCCCGCAGCGCACAAGTAAACCAATAGATTAGACATTCGAGAATGGTATATAATATCGCACACCCCATACCCCATACCCCATACCCGTACCCGTACCCGTGCTTCGTATGCGCACATGAACCCATTTGCACCTTCTTAAACCAAAGCAAAGCAAAGCAAATCGTCAAAAAGTCGTCATTCCTCTGTTGCTCAACTCCCACATCTCGTAGCTCAATTCGTGCGCGCCGGCCCATTAGCAGTAGCAGTAGCAGTAGCAGCAGCGTTAGCAGCAGCAGTAGCATTAGCAGCCGGCGGCTCCGCCTTCCGCGGCGTAATCTCCTGGACCTCGATCTCCGAGTCCACGGAATCGCGCCACTGCGAGATACCCTCGTTAACCCCGTGCTCCAGCGTAGGCGTGCGTTCAAAGTCAAAGCGGTCACTCAGACGGTACGCCTTATTCGTGGTCTCCCAGTGCGAGCGCAGGGCATCCAGCTCCGAGGCCAGGTTATCCAGGGCCATGGAGTTGCGGGTGCCGGTGGAGGCCGGGCGGTTGCTGGGGGTGGCGTCGGGGGTGGACGAGCCCTCCGGGTGCGAGTAGAGCGAGTCGGCGGACGCGATGGAGTCGTGGGCGCGGTGGCGCGGGAGCTCGCCGTTGCTGCTGCCGCCGGGGACTTGGGATTGGCGCCGGTAGTTGTCGACCGAGTTTTCGAATTGGTCGAGGAACATCTGCACGCGTGTTTCGGCTTCGCGGGCGCGCTCTTCCGTGGCGCTGAGTTGCTGGCGGAGCGTGTCGAGGTCGGCGCGGGACTGGGTCGCGGAGGTTTCGGCTTCTTTGGTCTTGGTGGCGGCGACTTCGGCTTCCTGTCGTGCTGTGGTGAGCTGGCCCTGCAGGGTGGCGAGCTGGCCCTCGAGGCGGCCGACGGCCGTCTTCATGTTGTCTTGGACGCTTGAGAGTTCGGTGCGCAGCGCCGTCTTCTCCGCTTCCCACTGTGCGGTCTGCTCCTTGGTCGGGCTTCGCGAGGTCGAAGTTGCTTGCTTGAGCTCCTCCTCCAGCTTTGTGTTCGCGTTCTTGTACCTGTCGAGCTCTTGCTTCATCTTGGCAAGCATCTTCTCTGTGCCGCGGAGGTACTTGACAGCTGCCTGGTGGTCGTTGTGGAGAGCCTGTAGCTTTTCCTCCCAGTCCTTGCTGACGTCGTGCTCGCGCTGCTCAAATGAAATGCGCAACTCCTCGTGCATTTTGTTCATCGAGTCAACCTGCTGCTCAAGCTCCCTAACGCGGTTGAGCTCCGGAGTGCCGAAGCGGGAGTTCGGGCTCTCTAGCACCCTCGAACGGCGGTGGTCAGTCGGATTGACTCCTCGTTCTTCAAGAAGGTTCTTGAGAGTCCTGAGCTGTACCTCGAAAGCGTTGCTCTCCAGGCGTAGGCGCTCATGCTGCTGGTGAAGCTCGGCCTTCTCCGCTTCAGAGGCATGGACGTCTCGCATCGCCTGCTGCAGTTGTTTGCGAATTGTGAGGCCTTCGCGGCTGGACTGTTCTTGGTACGCCTCGAGGCCAGCAATTCGTTCCTCGGCGCGACGCAGCTTTTCAGAAGCCTGGTCAGCAGCCGCCTGGTTCTTGCGCGCCATTGCGTTTGCAGCCTCGACCTGTTGCTGGAGTATCGAGACACGTTCGTTCGCGGCGTTATCGTTAGCAGGAGCGTGGGCAGCGATACTTCCGAGGCCAGAGAGCACAGCTGCTTGATGAAGGCGTGCTTCTGTCGCGTGCTTCTCCGCCAGCTCTTCGGCGTCACGCAGTTTCTGAGAAGCGGTTTCCAGCTCTGTTGTGCGAACTTCATGCTCGGCACGAAGCTGGCTGAGCTTTTGACGGGCAGCCTCGCTCTGGTTGCGCTCTTCCTCGAGCTGCTTTTCCAGTAGAGCAGACTTTTCCGATGACGCAGCAACAGCTTCGCGCAACGTCGCAAGCACCGCAGCGTGCGTCGTTGTTTGGGTGGTGAAATGAGCAACCTTCTCGCCCAGCTCTTCCTTATCGACAGCGAGCAGGCGAGCAGAGGTCTCAGCTTCTGCCGCGCTGGCCGACACTTCTCTTGCGACGCGTTCCGCCTCGTGTAGCTCAGCTCGCAGACTCTCGGACTCAGCAGCTGCCTTCTGTCGAGTCGAGTCCAGCTCCTGAACACGTGCTTGCGCAGCTTCCGCAGTCTCATCAGCTAGCTGCTTGGCCTTCTTTTCAGCTTCAATCTCATGAGACAGCTTCTCAATCAAGCTGGCCGACTCTGCTTGAGCGGCCAGGGATGCTGCGAGACGTCGACTGATGTCGTTCATGCGGTCCATGTCGGGTGTTTCCGTGTTGCGAGCGGCATCAGGCAGCGGGGTGCCAGCCTGACTGCCACCACCGTGAGCCGCCAGCTTTGTCTTTGCGTAGATAGCTTCACTGATGGCAGCGTCGCGCTGTCGTTCGACCTCTGCGATTCGCTTGGCCGCATCCTCCCCTTGCGTCTTGATAGAAGTCTGCACGCGGTCGACCTCGGCCTTCATCTTGAGGAGAGCTTCGAGCAGCGGGCGATCCTCGTCTTGGAAGTTGTCGGCAGATCGTTCATCAAACATTGGGCTCGTCGAGCTCGCGGGATGGTAGCCAGCTTTGCGCGCCAATGCGAGCTCCGAAGCATACCACGCATTGCGACTCTTTGCAACATCCAGCTCCCGAACCACGTCGTCGTTGACATGGGCTATCGCCGGCGAAGCGCCCAGGCCGCTGTCGATTTGTCGGTTGTCAGCCTCTCGGCTCATCGTGCGTTGTTGCGGGGTCTCGACCGATCGTCTGGGGGTCTCATGCTCGATGCTAGCGATCGTGTCGTGAGAAGGTTGCTGCTTGTGTGACTGCTGTCTCGAGGCGTTTCGTGATGTGAGACTGCCGGAACGGGTTGTATCTACACTGTCCTTGTGCGTCCGTTGACTGACGGCGTCGGAGCCTTTGCGCAAGAGTTCTGCACCAGCCGGGCTGTCTCTAGGTGTTGGCGATAGGTTCTCTCTGTCAAACGAAGCCGCCTCGGTGTTGTCGACAGAGGAGCCCGAAGGTCGATCCATTTTCGTCGGCGTTTTGGTCCTAGAAGCCGGGATGGCCTGGCCGTTGGCACCGTTCATCCCTGGCTGCGGAGGTTGCTGGAGAGGTGGAGGCCCGGATGGTGCTGATCCAGCTGGCCCAGCGACACGGGGTAACCTCGATCCATTTGGCCCCATTCCGTTCGGGTCCGGACCTCGTTGTTGAGGCCCGTGAGGCCCGGGCAGCATGCTCTCACGATTCGGTGGTGGCCCGGTTCTACTCTGGGGAATGTTGCTGCCGGCACCGCCGCTCAGCTTTCGGGGAGTGTTGATCGCTTGCTGCGGGGCTGCGCTCTCATTAGGGGGGTATCTGATCTTCGAAGTGTCCAGAATGTATGCCATGCTCAGCTCGTTCCTGTCAGCCACAGAGGAACTAGGCTCGCCTGCGAGGGTCACGATGTGTTTCCCAAACGCAGTCATGCTGTGACCTGACCGGGCAGAAGGAGAGTGTCCCATGTTTTGGAACATGTACCAGCGACGGGAGGATATGCGGAATGCTGCGAGATCACCCAGATCAACACCCTCTTGTGTGCGACCACCAAAGATGTACATGGTGTCGTTAACCAGAGCAGCCGAGTGACCTTCGCGAGACACGGGGATGTAGCCAATGCAATCGAGCTCGGTCCAAGAGTTGGTGCGAGGGTCGTACGTCCAGACATCATTGAACCAGACAACGCCGTCTGTGCCGCCAAATAGATACAGCTTGTCCTGCCAGGTTACTACCGAGTGATTTGTGCGAGCGGGCGGCGAGCGGCCCTGCGGAGAAGCCTGGTCCTTGGTGTTGGGAAGGAGCACTTCCCAGCGGCTGGCCGACGATTGGAGAGAATTCAGATCGAAGGCCACGAGGTCGTTGAAGAAGAAGCCTTCGACCTGACCGCCGAAGATGTAGATCTTAGAACCCAGGATATTCAAGGTGTGACCGTAGCGTCCTGTGGGGCGGGGCCCTTGGGGCAATGCGCGCGACCAGTGTTTTGTCGCTGTGGTGCGGTCAGTCGATGCAAGGGGCCAAGCAGAATTCGACTTACAGGTATTCAAAAGGTAGAGGGTATCGTCCAGATCGTCGTTGTCGGCCAGCTTGGTGTCTCCACCAAAGACAATGAAGGCGTTCCCAACCAGCAGACTGGCGTGTCCGACACGGGGCCCAGGGCCGTCTCCGGTGGTGGAGATGGGGTAGCACGCGAGGCTGCCGTTGCCCATCTCGGTCAGCCAGAGGTCGCCCTTGACTGTCGCACCGCCCACAAGACCGCCCATGATGTAGATGACGCCATCCTTGGAGGCGACCGAGTTGATGGCGGCGCCGTAGCGCGGGAAGGGGTTGCCGGCGGTGAAGTTCAGGCGGCGGGAGGACCACGGGTAGGGCGAGTCCTGGGGAGGGCCGGTGGGCCTGGCAGTCTGCAGAGCGCCCTGGAGTTGGCTGTCAGCGTTGGGCGAAAAAGCAAGTCTAGCGAGATGGCGCACCTGTTCGTTGGACCCTGCTCGCTCGCGCAGGGCCTTGGGCTCCGGGGTGATGCCCTGGCCGTCGCGGCCCTGCAGCGAGCTCAGCGAGTTGTTGACGCTGCCGCTGGGCGTGGATGTGTTTGAGTGCTGCGGCTGCTGCTGCGGCTGCGGGGCGGGGCGGGCGGCGTCCTTTTCGCGAAGGGGCCCGTTGAGCGACGCGACCTGGGGGCCAGGGCCATGCGCCGAGGTGATCTCGCGCGTGGCGGCGGGCAGGGCATTGGGCTGCTGCTTGTTCTTCTTGCCGAAGAGGAACGACATGGCGCGTCTACAGCCCGGGGGACGTTACAATGGCTGCGCGAGCCGTTACGGCATTCGGGCGCGGGCTGCGAGTCCGGGGGAGCGCAAGAGGCGGGGAGCGCAGCAGGCGGGCGGCGGGCGCGGCAGACGGGGTTATGGGGGCGCGCAGGGAGGTGTGCGCATGTCGCGCGGGCGTGGGCGGGCAGCGGGTGCAGCGACTGGTGCTGGAGGCCGGGTGCTGGGTGCTGGGTGCTGGACAGGGCGATGGCCGACGCCGCAGGTGTGGCCGTGCTGATACTTGGCGGCTTGGGCGAGGGCGGGCGGCGGGCGGCGTGGGCGAAGCGTGAGCACTGCGGTGCAGCACTGGGAGCCGGGCAGGGCGACGACAGCGACACGGCGACACGGCGACAGCAGCGGCAGCGAGGAGCAACGGCGCACAGTGGACGTCGTCCAGCTCGCAGCTGGCGGCGCGATTCCCCTGAGTGCAGCCGACAGGGATGGGCGCCGGTCCCCGCGGTGATTGGACTGTGGGCGGAGGGCAGACGCGCATTCACAGCATGCAGCAGTTAGCGGGCGACGGACATGCGCGGCGGCCTCGAGCATGCAGCCAGCAGAATCCGCAGATCCACCGTCGCGGCCAGCAGAGTCACAGTCGCAGCCGCGTGTGCTGCGTAACGGCGGCGATGCGCTGCAGTGGCACTGCTCCACGCCCTCTCACGTTGCAGATGGACGGCATACTACGGTGCAAGGCTGTGGACCAAGTATGCGACTACGCTGCAGCAAAGTAGGGGCCTGCAAGAAAACTTGTAGAATACTTCTCTGCCTACAATACAAGCAATGCTCAGCTAGTGTTAGCTTTGGGTACTATAGCAGCTACAAGCCCTGTGTTCATGTTGGTCAGCTTGGAGGTCGCTCATTCGCCGTGCATGCTGAAACGTGAGAGCGCGCCCTCGGCTGCCCGTACCGCCCCCAGCACCCGCGCTCCACCGCTGACGGCGCACCTTGACCGCGGCCTATTGCGCTCTAGCGCCGTTCGTGACTGACTTGCATCCACTTCGACGCCCGCACCCATCGTGAATCTCGAGCTTGAGCTGCCCCGGTCGCACGCCCGCTGCACGCTCCTCCCCTCAGAGCGCCCCGCCCCCGCTGCGCTCTCGCACGCCTCGCGCCCGCCTCGCTCCCGCGCACACCGGCCGCCCGCGACATGGGCGCTGCTGAGAGCTCGACCACCGCCCGCCCGAGCTCACCATGAGAACCGCCAACCCCGCCGCGCCCCCGTTCCCCAACCCGCTTGCCTCGCACGCGCCCGTCGCCATGGATCAGCCGCCTGCCGCCCCGCGAGCTGCGCGGGCTTCGCAGGACACGGCCGTCTCGCGTCCCAGCTCGTCGTCGGCCGCCGCCCACCTCGACGCCCTGTCGCCCACCTCGACCGCCCGCCCCAGCCTGAGCGCCTCCGACTCGCGCCGCCCCAGTCTTGCGCGCGCAAAGAGCGACTTTGGGCCGCGCCAGCCCGCCCAGCCGCAGGAGCCCGCCGACGACAGCAGCGTCGACGGCCACTTCAAGATCCGCCATGGCTGGGACGACCAATTGAACTCGGAGGAGTACAGCAACATGCTGACCTCGGTGTGTGCGCCCGCCGTCTGCGTGCTCGCTTGCTGACCCGCTGCCAGAACTTTTTCATGTACTACACCGACAAGAAGCACGAGTCGGGCGGCCACCCCAAGAGCGAGCTCGGCTCCTCGACCGTGCAGGAATGGCGCATGCGCGACCGTCTGAAGACCGTCTCGGCCGTGCTGGCCCTCTGCCTGAACATCGGCGTCGACCCGCCCGATGTCATCAAGACAAACCCGTGCGCCAAGGAGGAGTGCTGGATCGACCCCACCGTGACCTCGCAGACCCCCGGCCACACGCCCATGAACCAGATCGGCAAAGCCCTGCAGACGCAGTACGAGCAGCTGAGCATGCGCACGCGCTACAAGCTGCTGCTCGACCCCACAACCGAGGAGACGCGCAAGTACGCTTCGACCCTCCGAAGGAACGCCAGGAACGAGCGTGTCCTGTTCCACTACAACGGCCACGGCGTGCCGAAACCAACCTCTAGTGGAGAGATTTGGGTTTTCAATAGGAACTACACCCAGTACATCCCACTCTCGCTGTACGACCTGCAGAGCTGGATCGGCGCTCCCAGCCTGTTCGTCTACGACTGTTCTGACGCCGGTCTGATCATCAGCAACTTCAACAGATTCGCCGAGAAGCACCAGGCCGAGTTTGAGGAGGCGCGGAGGCGAGACCCCAACGTCGAATACGTCGACTTCAACGACTGCATCCACCTGGCCGCTTGCCGAGAGAGGGAGTCGCTGCCAACGAACCCAGAGCTGCCCGCAGACGTCTTCACCTCCTGCTTGACAGACCCCATTACCATGGCTGTCCGCTTCTTCATCCTCCAGAATCCTCTTCCTAGCAAGGTCAGCTTGCGCGACGCCCACAACATTCCAGGCAAGGTCTCTGAGCGTAGGACGCCCATTGGCGAACTGAACTGGATCTTCACCGCCATCACCGACACCATCGCGTGGAACTCTTTGTCGAAACCCTTGTTCAAGAAGCTTTTCCGTCAAGACTTGATGGTGGCAGCCCTGTTTCGCAACTACTTGCTAGCACAGCGAATCATGCGCGTCTACCACTGCAACCCAGTCTCTCACCCCGAGATACCACAGACGCACGACCATCCTCTGTGGCGAAGCTGGGATCTTGCTGTTGAGCTGATCCTAGCCCAATTGCCCGACCTGCAGGCTGAAGCGCGTGGCGAGAAGGAGTATCTGTACAAGCACTCCGAGTTCTTCTCAGAACAGCTCACTGCGTTCGAGGTATACCTGTCGCAAGGTGCCGTCGAGCAGAAGATCCCCGAGCAGCTTCCCATCGTGCTGCAGGTCCTTCTCAGTCAGGTCCATCGACTGCGCGCTCTCATCCTCTTGTCAAGCTTCCTGGACCACGGTCCATGGGCCGTCAATCTTGCCCTCAGCATTGGCATATTCCCATACGTACTGAAGCTCCTCCAATCCCAGGCAAATGAGTTGAAGCCTGTCATGGTCTTCATTTGGGCTCGCATACTCGCTGTCGACTCTTCGTGTCAGGCCGACCTGCTCAAAGACAACGGCTACCAGTACTTCATCAACATTTTCAACCCCAGTTCAGGTACGTACCCAATCCACCATTCACATCTGGTCGAACTGACTCGGTCAGGCATCCCTATCCAGAACGCGAGTGAACACAGGGCCATGTGCGCCTTCATCATTTCCATGTTCTGCAAGGACTACAATCAGGGCCAGCGCGCGTCACTCAGCACAGAGCTTGTCGAGAGCTGTCTAGACCATCTGAAAGACATGCAGAACCCGCTGCTCCGACAGTGGTCGTGTCTTTGTCTGAGCAAGCTCTGGATCGACTATGAAGAGGCCAAGTGGGTGGGCATTCGCTGTATGGCACACGAACGACTATGCGAGCTGGTTATGGACCCCGTTGCCGAAGTTCGAGCCGCGATGCTACACTCATTGACATCCTTCTTGGGAATCCGAGACGTCACATCACAAGTCGCCAACATCGAGGAGTCCATCGCGTCGACGGTGCTTCTCATGACCACCGACGGCAACAGTCTGGTCCGTCAAGAACTGCTGATATTCTTCTCGACGTTCATTGCACGCTACAAGACACGGTTCATTGTCACGGCATTTGAACACTTCTCGGAGGAGAACAACGGGGATATCTCATCTCAAATGGAGCAGAAGAACGGTGATGGACTTTTCATGAAGACGCGGGCGACTGCAAATGGCTCCTCTGCCGTAAACGCTTGCTCGAACAACACGGTCTATGCGGCTATCTGGAAAGAGATGCTGGTCATGTCCGTCGACCCCTACCCTGAGATCGCGAAGGATGCCGGCATAGTTGTCGACTTCGTTCTCGTCGCTTTGCTTGAATCGTCGCTCGGTCGGTTCGCGCAATCCCAGTTCAACGACACCGTCAAAAAGAACTCGGCGACACGTCCTGCCCGTCGTGTGCCAGAAGAGAGGCCACTCCAGCAACAGATTGCTGCTACACCTCCTACGCCATCGAAGGAGGCCAGCTACTTGTCGCTATTCGGGGGTATGCGGAAGTCGACTGCATCCCTCAAGAGTCTCTGGACTAGTCACGATCCAGCGACTTCGCCACAAAAGCCAACTGCGAGGGGTAAAATGGACGACTCGGACTCTACTCTTGCAGAGGCACGCCCTGACACACCCGAAAAGTACAGCGTTGAGGAGGAGCCAAAATCGAGAGGTTTCAAGCCTCGTTCTCTGCCCGAGAAGCCGCAGGTTCCTCTCAAGAGCGTCTTCTTCGAATGGTCCGTTGAATACTTCCGCGAGCCCCAGATGAAGCCTACAGAAGCGGACGAGCCGGGCAGCACAGACTACAACGGTCGACTTTGGCGCAGGAACCGCAATGATAAGATCATTGCTGAGACTCAGCCGCTGAAGGACGTCGCAGTCTCGAACCGCTGGGATGTGCCCCGTGGCTACTTTGACAACCTAAGTCAGCCTATGAAGATGACCTTCCACCAGTTTGAGGACCACCTCGTCGTTACCGACAGCTGGAACACCGTCAACGTCATCGATTACTCGGACTCGGTGAAGAGGCTCAACTGCTTCTCCAACGGCAACCCCCTAGACTCAAGGATTACAGACGTTAGATTCATAAACGAGGACGATCAAGCGTTGCTAATGACTGGATCGTCGGATGGAGTCATTAAAATTTTCCGCAACTACGATTCAAAGGGAAAGACCGAGCTTGTTACAGGATTCCGCGCTCTGACTGATCTCGTGCCTAGCAACAAGAATGCTGGGCTTGTCTTTGATTGGCAGCAGGGCAGAGGCCTTGTACTAGTGGCTGGAGACGTCAAGGTGATACGAGTCTGGAATGCAGGCACAGAAGTCTGTGTCAGCGTAAGTCTATTCGACATATCTGCGTCTAGCTACTAATTTCGGCAGGACATTCCCGCGCGATCCGGGTCTTGCATCACTTCCTTGACGTCCGACCAAGTTGAAGGCGATGTTTTCGTTGCTGGATTCGGCGATGGAGCCATCCGCGTATACGACCAGCGCCAGAAGCCTGCAACCGCTATGGTCAAGGTTTGGAAGGAGCATAAACAATGGGTCACAAACGTGCACTTGCAGCGCGGCGGACAGCGAGAGCTAGTGAGTGGCTGTCGTAGTGGAGAAGTCAAGCTGTGGGACATCAGAATGGACCGCAGCGTCAAGACTATCCAAGCGACGACCGACCACTTGCGCACGCTCAGCGTCCACGAGCATGCGCCGGTATTTGCGACGTAAGGTCACGCTCGACGGTCAGTGACCATCGCTAACAACACCGCAGTGGAACTCAGAAGCACCGCGTGAAGATCTTCAACATCAACAACGGGAAGCCAGTGTCAAACTTCGAGCCTTACTCCGGATTCCTCCGCGACCGGTCCGCTCCTATCACCTCTACAGCGTTCCACCCGCACCGACTCATGATTGCCGCAGCTGCACTGCACGACAACCATGTCAACATCTTCTCATGCTACGAGCCCAAGAACCCGACAGTGAAGACCGTGCGTTTGTGGGACGGCGGTGCTGTTGCTTCGAGCCGAGCATCGATCCACGGATAGAGCGCCGTGGTGATTTCTTAGGCGTTCTGCAGCGTAGCAATACTACAGGAGCTGCTTGCTTTGCATTGGGACGGTTCCGGCGTGATGGGCATGTTATAAGGTTTTACGTGGGCATAGCGTGGATATTGACATTGAGCGCCAGCATGAGGGTTTCGAGGTCCGTTTCTTTCGATACCCACTGTAGTGTCTTTGTAATTACGCCTCCCGTTTCATGAATCGAGACTTGTGGTTTTCGGCCACGGACCCTTTAAGTTATACAAGTGTGCCTGAGTCAGTCTTCGTATGACGCTGGTGATGTGGGGTATGAGTCGCACTGCCCCTCCGAACTTCAGTAATTTCTTGAGCACCACACCGCACTCCCGCATTTCCCCACCCATTGCAACATGAGCGACGCACCACCACCAGCTGCAGCTCCCGCCGAAGCCCCCCAGGCTGAGGGTCCCTCCAAAAATGCCCTGAAGAAGGCCCAGAAGGAGAAGGAGAAGGTGGGTTATAGCGCTCGCATGACCGCCCTGCGACTAACCATTGCCAGGCAGAGAAGAAGGCCGCCGCAAAGGCCCGCGAACTCGCCGACCGCACAAAGAAGGAGGCTGCCGACGCCGAGGATGTGTCCAAGGACTCGTATGGCGAGCTTCCTCTGACCGGCTCGAAGGAGTTCAAGGCCACGGGCATCGAGCGCATCAACCTCGACGACGTCGCCGACCACGTTGACAAGGAAATCACTTTCCGCTGCTGGGTTGAGAACGCGCGTTCGCAGTCGGCGAAGCTGGCATTCCTGAACTTGCGCCAGAACCTCAGCACCATCCAGGCCGTCATCGCCGCCAGCGACAAGCTCAGCAAGCAGATGGTCAAGTTCTGCGGTACCGTCAGCACCGAGAGCACCATCGTTGTCACCGGGCTGGTCAAGAAGGCTCCCGAGCCGATCAAGAGCGCCTCCATCCAGGACTTCGAGATCCACATCAAGAAGCTCTTCATCGAGGTCAAGGCCGAGGTGCCCCTGCCGCTGCAGGTTGACGATGCGGAGAGGCCGCTGCCCGCTGAGGCGGCTGCTGGAGAGGAGCAGAAGGAGGAGGGCGGCGAGCGACCGCTTGTCAGCCTGAACACCAGGCTCAACAACAGGACACTCGATCTGAGGGCAAAAATCAACCAGTCTATCTTCGTCATCAAGAGCGGCGTTTGCGCCATCTTCCAGGAGTTCCTCTCGAAGAAGGGTTTCACACTTGTCCAGACTCCCAAGATCCTGGGTGCTGCTTCGGAAGGAGGCGCCAACGTCTTCGAGCTGAAGTACTTCGACCGCCAGGCGTACCTCGCCCAGTCGCCACAATTCTACAAGCAGATGCTGATTGCGTCGCGCTTCCAGAAGGTCATGGAGATTGGACCTGTCTTCCGCGCCGAGAACTCGAACACGGCCCGCCATTTGACCGAGTTCACTGGCCTCGATCTCGAGATGGAGTTCCAGGAGCACTACCACGAGGTCATGGGTGTCCTCGAGGACCTCATGCTGTTCATCTTCAACGAGCTGAACTCGCGCTACAAGCGCGAAACCGACCTCGTCCGCGGCGTCTACCACGTTGAAGAGTTCAAGCTGCCCGAGTCGGGCAAGGTCCCCAGAGTGCCCTTCACCGAGGGAATCCAGATGCTGCGCGACGCCGGCGAGACCCTCGGCGACTACGACGACCTGAGGTAGGTGTTGCAATTTCCACAACGTACTACACTAACACCCCGCCAGCACCCCCCAAGAAAAGCACCTCGGCCGCCTCGTCCTCGAAAAGTACAACACCGACTTCTACGTGCTCGACCAGTTCCCGCTCGCCATCCGGCCCGCGTACACCATGCCCTCGCCCCACGACCCCAAGCTCTCCAACTCGTACGACTTCATGATGCGCGGCCAGGAAATCTGCTCCGGCGCCCAGCGCATCCACGACGCCGAGCTGCTGTCGTCGCAGATGCGCGCGCACGACCCGCCCATCGACCCCAACGGCGCGGGTACCAAGGACTACGTCGACTGCTTCCGCTACGGCTGCCCGCCCCACGCCGGCGGCGGTTTTGGGCTGGAGAGGATCGTGCAGTTCTGGCTCGGGCTGCCGAATATTCGCATGTGCAGCTTGTTCCCCCGCGACCCGCAGAGGGTTACGCCGTAGAGGAGGAAGTGTGTGAGAGCAGGTGGGGAGGCACCAAGAGCTGGCGCTGGAACGGAAGTAGGCACATTGAATGAAAAGAATCACGCCCACTGACTGTCCCCCGCGTGCGTGCGTGAAATCGACTGCAAGACGCCGTCCGTGAGACATCCCGAACGCGCGAGCAGCTCCTTTTGCTAACCCGACTACCCCCCCCCCCCCCCCCCCCGCCCTCTTCCTTCCCCTCTTGCCCCTCTCAATGCCCCAGAACAGGACAGTAGTAGTATCGTACCCTCATCGATAAGACGGTCGCGAGCCAGACGTCCGGCAGCTCGTCAGCCGGTTTCAAGGCAACCTGACAGGACTACAACGAGGTCTTGCGGAACTCATTCGAGAATCTTGTTGCCAAATAAGCGGTGAGGTCAGGGGCGTGTATTGGCGACAGAGTCGTTGCTTTTGCGCCACATTCAACGTGGAGAACCACATTAGTAAGTGCATTTATGCATCTTGAAGGCCCTAGGACTTCACATCACAGACTGCGATAGCTACCATCATCGATCTACGTGCTTCAGTGAGATCCATCACGAGCAAACTCACCTGCACCCATTTTGTCGCTACAAGGCCAAACCGAGGTTCAAGGCCGGTTTGTGAGCATTGTTGTGTTTGTAACTTGTTTCGTGCAGGTCAGCATGACATATGGGTGGCCTACAATGACTCTTCGGTTTGGTGAGAACATACCTCAGAACCGCGACACCTCCTGGTTGCATCTCCATTGGCAGATCTCGATCAAGCGGCCAACCAATCCATCGCTTGGCAAAGGCTCGGAGAATCAAACCGTGCGCGACCTATCGTAGTTCAGCCAGTGGAGGTGAAACCGACGCAAAATTCGCACATGGTAGCGCAGAACGGGGATTCACTTACAACAAGGACATCAGCAGGTGTCTCGTCACACATGCAAGGCTTCTGGGCTTCTTTGATGCGGAGTATCAGCCTGTCCAGCCGCTCGGTGATTTGTTGCGGTGACCTTGACCTCATCAGTAGTGTGTCAGAAACACCAAATCTGTGTACGACATACTCTCCAGCCTCAGACTTGCCATCTGTGGCCTGACATCCATCTGTCCAGATATCCCACTCTCTCTCATTGTCCAGCCCCTTCTCCTTTCTAAGCTGCCTGATTTCCATATCCTTGAGCCCTTCATAATGGCCATAGTTCCACTCCGCAATGTCCTCCGTAAAGACGACCTCTTCTGAATCGAATTTGAAGCCAAGTGGCAGTAACAGTTCAGCGGTCCGCACCGCTCTCTTCCTTGGGCTGACGTAGATCTGCCTCAGACGGCGCATGTCAATCACTTTTCCATCGCCCACGAGCGTCGCCGATGCAGAAGATATTTGCGCCTCGCCCTTCTCCGTCAGCTCTCTGTCGGTAATGCCAGTGAAGCGGCCATCTTTCGCCCAATCCGTTTCTCCTATTATTTAATGACCACGCATTAGTAGGTAATCACTGGTTGCATGTTACAATGTAATGATTAACACGTACCGTGGCGAACGATAATCACACGCGGTGTCAAAGCGTACTGATCGGACATGAGGGCGGAGGTGCTAGGAGCTTGCAGACAAAACAGGTTCAGAGCGGCACACGCAGTTTTAGAGACTGCCTTGTTCTGCTTACAGTACAGTACGAAGTACCGCCTTAATGTACGTTAACGTCACAGTGTCCGTGCACGACTCCCAGCAACAGCACCTCACATTTCGTCGTCACCTGTCAGGACCCAAATCCCGAACATGACACCAGCCACTCCTAGCATGAGGAGGCGTTGTTTTGACATCCCAAGATCTCGCTCTCGTTCACACGCCGGCTTTGGCCTACGGCAGGGACTGTCCAACACTCGGCAAATGGCACTGCATTCGACGAGCAGAACACCACAAGCCGGCATGATAAGATCAAGTATCAACGATCCAGAACATCTGTTCTATAATTATATATTTGGTAGGTGGCTGTAAGTATCTAGAAACCTTGCTTTCCCGAACTTGAATGATAGGTCGAAAGTACCGCAGGTACAACGAGCGTTTGTGTCTCTCTGAAAGGCAACGGCACTCTAACATTAATGAGCTCTGTCAGGCTGTTGCCAAGTCTGTCGGTCGCTTCACCGATGACATCACTACCTTCGCAAAAATTGCTGAAGTGGTTCATACCGTGTCTTTGAAGCCACATTTCAAGATAAGATAGGTTGGATGTGAATGTGTGACTTCCATAGCCTTCCACAATACCTCGAGAATATGGTATTGTCAGTGAGGTCGCTACAATGTAATATCTACGTCTGCATGGCGTTCTAATCCCGAAGGTCTTCGACTGGAGTTCATTGACGGACAAATCTAGTCCGGTCTAAATATATCATCATGGAAAAGGGTTCAGGGTAAGGAATTGGAACATACGCGGTATACGATGACGGCAAAAGAGAGAATGGCTGTCGTGGAGAAGGTTGTTGACATGGAGAGATTGCTCTTTGCGATACGATTCCCTGTCAGTGGCAGCATACACTTTAAAGACTCTGTGAGCACCCGAACTACTACAACTGACCTGCCCATGGCTGTCAGTCGTGTCAAAACGGATAGGTTTCACATTGGGTCTTCCACTTGATTGCTTTGGTGGTATCAAAGGCGAGATGAAATGGCTGTCAATCGAGGACCTTGTACGAGATACATACTCCGCATTACATTCGCTCTAGATTAATAGCAAGGATGTGGGGGAAACGCCCAGGGAGCTGTTGGAGGCAGTTGGTCAAAGAGAATTGGCCTGGTTGCAAAAGTTCGGCAAGCAACGTTTCCCCCGTGAACCGCTCTATGGAGAGTTCTGCGGTCATCAAGAAGTCGATCCGCAGGTGCAAGTAGACAGCTTAAGGGATTACCTCAAGGTTGCTCCACACATCATCCCCGAAGACCCGGAATTATGTCAACCAACGGTTCGTCACCCTGCTGCAAACTGTATAGACCTTGAGCATGCAAACCTTCACCAAGCTACATTTTGCCTAGTGACATTGATAAAGACTTAAAAACAGTTATAAAACCACTCTTGCATGCTACGGGAGCTCCGTGCGATGCAGCCCTTAACAACAAAGAACCGATAGTCACTAGAACTGCTAAGACACTTTTATGAACAATGTTTCATTGCGACCACCAACCTAAGCCCCATAAATATATAAGCAAACGAACACCCTGTTACCGCAAAGACTCCCCCAGAATCTTGCCGCGAAGCCCCAACACCCAGACGCCGAAAAGATACAACATTCCCAAGCCCAGAAAAGCGTTGTTCGCCCGCTCAACCACACACAATCTCCAGCGCTCCATACGACTGCACCGGCGGCGACGCGCACCCGACCGTGCTGCCCGCCACCACGCCGTCGAACGGGAACCCGTGGAATTGGTTCTGCAGCGTCAAGCCGCAGCCCTGCTGCGAGAAGATCTGGATGTAGCACCCGGCGGTGCCGGTCTTGGGGTTCGCGGTCATGGAGGCGGTGAATGCGCCGCCGAAGGGCTGAGATGAAGATGTTAGATGGGGCTTGGTGGGTGGGTGGAGATATTGGATGGGGACTTACGACGTTGACGATGACGCACTGGTTTTCGGTCACGTTGACGACTTTGGCGGTGCCCGCGCTGCCGTCTTTGGGAGGGGGCTGGGGGGTGTTAGACGATGTTTTCTGTGGGGGTTGTAATAGAGGCGCGTACGGCATCGGGGGAGGCGCAGGTGTATGGGCCCGAGTAGATTGTTACTTGGGCGGATGCAGGGCCGCCGGTGGGTTTGGCTCGTTTCTCTACTGCTGGGACAGCGAAGGCAGTGCTGACGAGAGCTGTGGTGGCGATGAGGAACTGGGGTTTGTCAGTCTTGTTCTTGTGGGGCGGGGGAAAGGGCGGCGTACGTTGGTGAGCTGCATTTTGGTGAAGTGTTGACGAGTGTTTGGTTTCGATGGAGGAAAATGGTAAGAACTTGTGATGGAGAATTTGATAGTCAGGACGTGTGAAGATATGAGAATGAGTTTGAATGATATTCTTTTGGTCAGTCACTTTGGGATACTTATACAGGTGAGGATAGATGTGATTTGGAAACACCATGTGGCCCAAGGCCGTTTGCATCCAGACAGAACACTGGACCCGCTCACACCCAAACAACTGGTAACGGCTGCCTTCCGACCGTGAGCCGTTGACACTCCTCCATAACATCCCGCAGGCAAGCTCTCAGCCGTTTCGATAGTCTTCTCAAGCTCTAGCATGATGGCTTGCATGCTTGATGCACGTTCTAGTCACAGACATGGCATTTGCAATCGAGAGTCCACCCAGCGATCCCGTTAGTCGAGGACGCTTGACATGAGGCGACAGTCGCCGCGCGTCAGCAAAAGCTCATGTCGATATCAAATACACAAATCATGATGCCAAGGGTCGGACACTGTCCAGAGTGTTGGTTCGAGAGCCAACGCCATCCGTGATGCTGACAGAGATAAGTGGCGATAGCGGCTGCTCGCCTGCAGTAAGTGCAGAATCCCATGGCCGTCGTTCGAAGCCTCCAGCCCGACGCCCTGGTATTGGAGATTCCCATAGATAGCCACGAGATCAAGTACCGACCGATGCGAGGATACCGAAGCCACACTTGGCCAGATTTGTAACGCTGCACCTAGATTTTGTCCGCTAAGGCTTGTCCAAGGCCACTTCCAGCTGAACAAGCTTCGCATGATGTCTATATTCGACGCGGAATTCTGGTTGCCAAGTCCGCTCTTGCATCCTTAGGAAGCTTAAGCGCCCACGAGACAGCTTTCAGCAGGCTCGAATCTTGGGTCTAGTCTTTCCACCCCGCATCCAGACAAAGTGCCGGCAGAGTAGTGGTGTTGTGTACCGGTATAAGCTCACCAAGCGTGGGTTGTGGGTAATCAATACCCAGTTTCGGAGTTCATCCTGATCATCCATGCACAGGGTGTTTTGGCAGTGCGCTAGCTTAGAACGGTGTTGATGAAGCTCAAAAAGACTGATCTAGTCTCAAAGTAGCTGTGGCCGTATCCTACTAAATGGTATTCAATTCCAGAAATATCCCAATTGAGCAAGATCAAGCTTTAGTCTAGGCGAGTGCCAAGGGAAATGCCAAGTCTTCAGCCGCACTCGGGGCATCCGGTCGGTCGAGGCTTCCTCACCACAGGCCTCGCCTTGCCATAGCGCCTCCAGCCCTCCGCCTACGTCCCCGCGGGGACTAAGGCCTAGTCGTGTTCCCCGGACCTAGAACAGCTCAGCTCATCCTCTGACACGCTGCTCTAACGCACATGTGCCGGCGCCGTACCGGCAGACCTTGTGGACGTCAGTCCACTACACTCTCAGCCTCACGCAACATGGCCATCATGTGAGGTGGCTTCTGCAAGCTCTCGCCTAAACCCCTGACATGCACACCTCGCTGACAACTTCAACTGTCGTACCGGTCATTGCTGGTCTCGTTCTTGACCGGACCTTCATCGGCGACAACAATCGTCCCGTTGTCTTTCCTTGCCTCTGTAGATCTGGACTGGCAGCTAGCCGCCACAGATCCAAAATCTCTTTGCCAAGAGATGTGTCGCGATGCTCTAACGCAGAAACCTCCATGACTTTACCAGAACTGCCCAGCGTGGCTCGGCAACAGCAGCCGAACTACCGCCACGTACCAAGATGAGGTCTTCGGCCTGTGTCCAGTCTAGAATCGGAAGGCTTAATGTGAAGACAAGCATTCTTTGACATGGCCGACACTCAGCTTTCGCGTAGATGTCGACGTGGGGTGTAGCGAGCGTTCAATAGTCCATTTTCGCAACCTCGCCCCATAACCTCGCCTGCTAACGCAGCCACGTGTGGGCCGTAGACCACGATACCAGACGTACATGCGAATCAGCTGAATACCGTTGACTCCACCTAGAGCTTGATCAGGCCACTCAAGGCACTTCGAGCGCCTCGACTGGCTGGATAGGTGGTGGTCTGGCAGCAGCGGAGACCGCCTCTTGGACGCACGACAAGCATCCAGCAGCTGGTGGCTAAGCAATAGGCGTTTTCTTAGCCAAGCTTGCATACAACATGCAACTAGCATCTTTGGCCAGATGCACGATCTCGCGATAGACGGGATGGAGTGGTAGAAGACCACGACCAGCCAGAACGTGGCGTTATCACCATCAGCTTGAGCACTTCCATATGATCGTGATGAACATAAAAGCTCTTGTCTCCACGCTCCAAGCACATCATCCCAAGCTCAACATCAATCACCACTTCTTCAGTTCGGGCATACTATTTCTGCCCAGCTTGTATATCTCATCTGAGAGCTATTCAGGTCTTGGTCAACGAAAGATTCTCCCACTTTTTTAATCTCCTCCACAATGTCGGGTCGTTCTCTACAGAACGGGCTCCTGGCCCTGCTCTGCGCAGGCAGCGCTCTTGCTCAGGGTGGTTCACTGGCATGGCTCTCTCCTGTCTACCCTCTGTTCTCTCAACCTCTTGCTTTTGGAAGCGAGATCAAGCCACTGAAGTGAGTTACTTCTCACTCTTCTTACGGGTAATTCTGACATCCGGAGGACTGTTCCCAACTCTGACGGCTCTTCTCTCGACTACTATGAGGTTGAGATCAAGCCAGTCGACGTACAGATCTACCCCAACTTGAAGAAGACTAGGCTTGTCGGTTACAACGGCGAAGTGCCTGGTCCGACATTCCGAATGCGCCAAGGGCGCGAGGCTGTTGTTCGATTCATCAACCATGGTCAGTAAGCTCCTTTCGGTCTATCTTTCGTGACTGACATCATTACAGGCGATCTTGCCAACAGCGTTCACCTTCACGGCTCTTACAGCCGTGCTCCGTTTGATGGGTGGGCGGACGATACCACAGAACCGGGCCAGTACAAGGACTACTACTATCCCAATCGACAGAACGCCCGTACGCTGTGGTACCACGACCACGCCATCGATCACACTGCTAAGAACGCGTACTATGGCCAAGCTGGCTTCTACATCCTGTCTGATGCTCAGGAGGATAGCCTCAAGCTGCCTTCCGGGGACTACGATTTGCCCCTTGCCCTTGCTGCTAAGCGATACAATGCCGATGGCAGTCTCTGGGACCCGGAGGCCAACAACGAGCAGGTCAGCGTGTTCGGAGATGTCATCCATGTCAACGGTGTCCCGTGGCCGTTCCACAAGGTTGAGCCTCGCAAGTACCGTCTCCGCTTCCTCAACACCGGTATCAGCAGGTCTTACCAGCTCTACTTTGAGTCCAGCGATGCTGTTGGCACTCAGATCCCCATGACGGTATTCGCCTCCGATGCTGGCTTGACGCTTAACCCTGTCGACACCAAGGATCTTTACATCTCCGATGCTGAGAGATGGGAGGTCATCTTCGACTTCACTTCCTACGCCGGCAAGAACGTCACTCTCCGCAACAGCCGCAAGGTCGCTGCTGATGAAGACTACAACTCCACTGATCAGGTCATGCGTAAGTGACACCCTTTAACACGTCAGCAACAATGCTAATACAACAAAGGCTTCATCGTCGGCAACTCTGTCTCGGACTCAAGCAACAACCTGCCCAACGGTCTTCCTCAGAAACTGCGCGAGGTTCCCTTCCCCCCAGCCCACGCCCCGACCGAATACAACTTCAAGTTCGAGCGCAGCAACGGCAAGTGGGAGGTGAACGGCATCACATGGTCTTCAATCGACCAGCGCATCCTTGCCAAGCCAGAGCGCGGTGCAGTGCAGAAGTGGTCCCTCGCCAATTCCGCTGGTGGCTGGTCGCACCCAATCCACATCCACCTTGTCGACCTGCAGATCGTGTCTCGCACCGGCGGCCGTGGCGCGGTGATGCCGTACGAGAAAGTCGCGCTCAAGGACGTCATGTGGCTGGACGTTAACGAGCAGATCGAAGTCGTAGCGCGCTACGCGCCATGGGACGGCGTGTACATGTTCCAGTGAGTCCCACTCAACCCAACCCATCACGTGAGAATACAGCTAACCACACCCTCCAGCTGCCACAACCTCATCCACGAAGACCACGAAATGCTCGCCGCCTTCAACGTCACCGCGCTGCAGGACTTCGGCTACCCGGAGACCACCCGCTTCATCGACCCCATGGAGCAGCGCTACCGCGCCGTCTCCTTCTCCGACTCCGACTACAACGCCCGCTCCGGCCCCTTCAGCGACTCCGGCATCACAGACAAACTCAACTTCTTCATCGGCCTCGACGCCTACAACAAGGTCGAGGGCGTCGAGAAGGCGCTGGCCGCGTACTGGTCGACGCACACGCCCGGCGCCGCGGGCTCGGCGACCAAGAGCGCGAATGTCGCGTCGTCGACGGGCGCGGCTTCGGGGGCTGCGACTTCGGGTGCGTCGGCGTCCGGTGCGTCGACCAGGGCTGAGGATAAGACCGCGTCGACCAAGGTCGATGACCGGACTGCGTCCGCCACGGGCTCGGGCAAGGCCAGCGCGGCGGCTCCGGCGCCCACGACGCTGAAGACGACGACGTCGGATAGCCAGAAGGGGAAGAGCACGACGACTACCAAGAAGTGAGGTGCGGAGTTTGTCTTTCTTTGGGATATTGGCGTTTGGGCGTTGGCATGCATGGTTGCTCGGGAGTACAAGCGTGGCGTCTGGGTCTGGGATTGGATCCAGGGATTGGGATACATCGGTGGCATATAGGGCGCAGAGCCATCTGTAACTGCTTACAGTTAATGGATATTGTCCAACTTCATCGTCTTGCTTGTTCAACTATCGTCTTGCATGTCCAGCTATCATCTCGCGTGTCTAGCTATCATCTTGCTTATCTAACTATCATCTTGCGGATCCAAATATCGTTTCGCGTGTCTAACTATCGTCTTGCGTGTTCATTCATCCATCAATCTTTGCGTGTCCAATTACCATCTCATGTCCAACATCCTCTTCCACCGCATGTTCTCGTCCAGGGCAACTCACGCCATCACCCTGAACCCCCTATGTCACCGATCCTTCACAATCCACACCTGGGCGCGCATGCGCCTCCCCAGCGGCGTCTTGACCCACTCCTCATACGTCTGCTCGGCGCCACGATCCACGCCCTCGTAATGCCACCTTCTGGCCTCCCAACTCTCGCGATCCAAATCCTCGACCAGCATCTCCAGCGCCCCGATCTCCGCCCCCTCCTGCTCGCGCTCCCACTCGCAGCTCTGCGCGACGCTCAGCCACCGCAGGCGGCCCAGGAACCGCTCGTCAATCAGCGCGTACAGATCCACCGCCGTAAAGCACCGGCCCGGGTCCACGCTCATCTGGCCCGAGCTGACGAGCTCCAGCGCCTGCAGCGGCCGCGCCTCGCGCCACCGGTCCGCGGCCCAGTCGCCCGGCATCCCGCCAAACCGCGCGTCGATGTAGTCCAGCGCGATCGTCAGATGCGTCAGGTGCGGCAGCCACTCCAGCACGGCGTTCAGCCGCCCGTGCCGCACCGCGGGCAGGTCGCGCAGCTCGACGCGCGTCAGGCTGTCCGCGAGGCACGCCAGCAGCGGGCGCAGCGCGGCGGCGTCGAGCGCGGGCGCGTGCGACACGGCGAGGGACGTCAGGCTGGGCGGGAACGCGTCGGAGCGCAGCAGGTCCCACAGGAAGCGGCCGTGCAGGGCGCCGGCGAGGGCGAGGTGTGCGAGGCGCGGGGGCCAGCGGACGTGGATGCTGAGCGCGGGCGCGTCGGCAGAGGTGCAGCGGGGGAGGTGCAGCGCGGTGAGAGCGGGCAGCTGGCGCAGCGTCTGGGCGAGCGCCTGGAAGCTGATGCACTCGCTGACGAGCTGCAGGTTGAGCGTGCGCAGCAGCGAGCACTTGCTCAGCGCGGCCCAGCAGTTGATGGCGAACGAGGCCTGGGGCGCGATGAAGACCTGCAGCGAGGCTTTTGTGCGGCCGAGGAGGCGCGCGGTGGTCGACTTTGTGCCCTGGTGGATGATGTGCGAGAGGTCGAGGACGCGGATGAGGTGTGCGAGGTTCTGTTTCTTGATGTGCGCGAGGACCGAGGGGCAGATGGTGCGCACGAAGAGGTCGTAGGCGCGGCCGGAGAGGTAGGGCGAGTCGTAGAGGGGCTGGATGGCGACGTCGTACCATTGTCTGGTGGGGTGAGTATGGCAAGATAAATTGCGACGGGAGGATGAGATGCCACGAAAAGAAGCATACAACTCACCTGCTCACATAGCTGAAGTTGACGAGCGCCGTCTGCCGGGACTGGATGTCCCACGCCTCTATGTAGGACAAGACTTCGAGGAGGATTTCATCGGGCAGGTAGTTTGCGTACTTGGGCATAGAAGGGCACGGTCGGGCTCGGCTGCGAAGGCGGCTCGATATCCAAAAATCCGCGTGGTTGACTTGTTCGGTGCGTGTGGACGGCGGATAATGACGTTTGCTCCCCTCCACATACTAACTCCGCGTAAATCCGACTATCGCGAGAAAAGTTAGCAAGAATCACGCGCCACGCAAGGCTTAAACATAAGATCTGTTTACACCGAATGTACTAATTGTTATCAAAAGGCTAACTATATTTGGTATGTGTATGTTGATTGCTCCCTCGTATACACATAGAAAATAGTAGCAGAGGACTAAGCCTGCGGCTTGCTGTACAAGGCCAAGTCTTATAGCAATGCATTTGATTGAAATGCAGAGGCAACTGGCTTGTGTATGACACGCAAGACGATAGAGACACGCAAGATGATGAACACGCAGAAGACAATCAAAAGAAAGGCAAAGCTGGCAGTCTAAGAGCGTTGCTCGTCTATTCCAATCGATAATTCGTTACTCATCCACACCCTCCCTACGCGCTACCGTTCGCACTAGCTTTCCCCTGCACCACACCGCGCACGCCGCCTTTCCCGCCGACCTCGCGGAACAGCGCGGTGACGCTGAGATCCGTGGCGATGTTGATCTGGACCTCGACCTTGGCGCCCTTCTTGACGCCGCGGAGCGCAGCCTCGCTGAGGGGCGCGCCAATCTTCCACGTCTTCTCGCGCAGCTCCTCTTCCTCGTCGTCCTCGCTGTCCTCGTCGCTGTCGTCGTCGTCCTTCTCGGCCTTGTCGGCCTTGGGCTTGGGCTCGGGCTTGGTGACCTTGATGTGGCGGGCGCCCTCGACGAGCTTGATCAGGACGTCGCCGCCTTCGCGGGGGGTCGTGATGATGGCTGTGCGGCGGACGGGCAGCGGGGTCTCGGCGTCGACGATGGCGTGGAAGACGCCGTGCGAGGGGTCGCCGGAGATGCACAGCACGCCGACGGCGGCGGAGAGGTGCGGTGTGACGGTGACCATGGGGTGGAGGCTCTGCTCAATGTCCTCGGCCTCGAACTCCTGGATCAGGCTGGCCTGGATGGCGGCGCCGCGGACGGCGAGCTCGGAGGGGTTGATGGCGGTGGCGGAGGTAGAGGGGGCGAGGACGGTGGTGCTCTCGGGGAAGGCGAGGCCGACGGCGGAGGCGACCTTGGGGGTGTGCGAGTTGCCGCCTGCGAGGATGATCTCGGAGATGTCGAGGGGGTCGAGCTCGGCCTTCTCGACGGCGTGGGAGACGAGGCGGGTGAAGGCGCCGAACAGCTTGTTGCCGAGCAGGTCGTAGCGTGTGCGGTTGATGGTGGCGGTGAAGTCGGCACCGCCCGCCAGGCTCTCGACGGAGAAGTTGGCGGCCTGGCCGATGGACAGGGCCTTCTTGACGGCCTCGCACTCGAGCTTCAGCTTGGCCATGGAGCGCTCGTTCTCGCGGGGGTCTCCGGCAGACTTGTGCTTCTTGATGAACTCCTTGGCGAAGTACTCGATCAGGACCTGGTCGAGCTTGGAGCCGCTGACGTCGAAGTCGTGGACGGCGGCCAGGATGGTGTAGATGCCGCCGCGCGAGGCAATGACGGTGACATCGGAGCGGGTGCCGCCAAGGTCGGCCACGACGACAATCTTGTCGCTGACCTTTGCGTCGGGGCGGGCGTCGTAGGCGAGCACGGCAGCGGTGGGCTCGCTGATGAACTGCAGGACCTCGAGACCGGCCTCCTTCGCGGCGCCCTTCAGGGCGTCCTTCTGGGCGTCGGAGAAGTTGGTGGGAACTGTGATGACGGCGGCGTTGACGTCCTTGCCCAGGTAGTCTGAGGCGGAAGTGCGCAGCCTCCTCAGGTGGCGCGAGGTGACATCGCTGACGGTGACGGTGTTGGGCTCCTCCTTCTCGCTGTCGCGGATGGTGAAGGCGACTGTGTTCTCGTGCTCGACGGGGTGGGCGGACTGGTGGGCGGGTGTGGGGTCGATGGACTTGAAGCTGGGCGGGTCAGTTGGCGTGCGTGCGGGCGGATTGCAGACTCACTCCTGGCCCAGGAAGTCGCGGAAGTAGGCGACGGTGTTCTTGGGGTTGCGGACGAGCTGGCTCTTCGCCTGGCCCGCGTGCAGCTCCTCGCCCTCGACATACGAGAGGATCGAGGGGATCTGGCGGTCGCCGTCCTCGTTGGCGATAACCTCAGCCTTGCCGTCCTGTGGGGTGTCAGATCTGCTGCACAGCACCAGAGAGGTCACTCACGCTCGAGGTGTACGCAATGGAGCTGTACGAGTTTCCGAACGAAATTCCAATTGCAACCCGCTGCGCGGGGTCTGCCTGTGCGCTCATTTTGGCGGTGTGTGTGGCGGCGGGCGCGCTGTCCAAGATGTGTGGGAGGAGGTGGGACTGGGGCGACGGATCGGGGCAGAACTCGGGCAGGGTGAGTTTGCGGCGGTGCTCGTGAAAGTGCCTGGCCAGAAGTTCGAAATTTGTTCTGCTCGAATTCACTAGCGCTAGTCAGGGTACCTACGCGCACCCGCAACGCCCACGCCGCGGTGACGTCCCGCTTTGCACCACCAGCGCGCACTGCAATTGCAATGGCCACCCTCACTGTCGTCCTGCCCGGCGATGCAGTGCCCCAGCACGCCCTGCCCACCGGCACGGGCAAGAAGAAGACGCTCACACTGGGCCCGGGCCTGCGCCACATCCCGCCCAACACCGTCACCACCACCGTCGCGGGCACTCTGGTGACGGACAACCGCAAGAACGCTGCGCTGGTCGAGTTCAACAGCGGACGGGTGCGTCCTACATCTCGCGATACTGTTCCCACACGCTAACATCCTCCAGTACACGCCCTTCGCCGGCGACCTCGTCATCGCAACCGTGAACGGCTCCGCCGCCGAAAACTTCAACTGCCTGCTGACCCCCGAGACCGCGCCCGCCGCCCTCCCACACCTCGCCTTCGAAGGCGCCACCAAGAAAACCCGGCCCCAGCTGCCCCCCAACTCGCTCGTCTACTGCCGCGTTGCCGCCGCCGGCCGCGACCAGCCGCCCGAACTGACCTGCGTCGACCCGTCGACCGGCAAGGGCGAGGGCCTGGGCCCGCTGAAGGGCGGCATGCTGTTCAAGATCAGCCTGGGCATGGCGCGGCGGCTGCTGGCGCCCAAGAGCGAGCTGCCGCTGCTGGACGTGCTGGGCGCGAAGGTCGGGTTCGAGATCACGGTGGGCAGGAACGGGCTGGTGCATGTGGATGGGGGGAATGTCAAGACGACGTTGGCGGTCGGGAGGGGGATTCAGGAGGTTGACGAGAAGGCGCTGGGCGAGAGCGGGCAGCGCAAGCTCGCGGCTGATGTGCTGAAAAGCCTTTGAAGAATTCGCCACTATTGAGGACGGACGACATGGCGCGTCCTGGCGTGCGCACGATCGCAGCGATGTATCATCAGCCTGCGTGGATGCTGCTTAAGCAACGCCATTAGCCGTTGTGCTGTGGCTGCGCCGCTGACTGATCGGCGAAGCACACAATCACTCTCTCAGGTCGGCTCAGTTGGCGTGGGCAGTGCGATTGAAGTCACTGCTTGACACGAGCAGCCGAAAGGTTCGCGATATGTATATGAAGTCCATATCATCGCCAGGATCTGGAAGGAAGCTGAAGAGCTGCTCGAGCCGTGAGCCAGAATCAAGTTGAGGGTATACGTAGAAGACTTATACTACATGAAGGAACGCAAGTTCTGTAAGACATAGGCTAAGCGCTTAATCTTCTATCTCTGCAGTGTCCCATGCGTAGTGTACACACCCGATGTCGCTCTTCTTTGAATTCTGCTGGTGCGGCAGATGGCAAGCAAGGGCCGTCTACACCGTCTTCTCCAGCTCCCCGATACCGATCCGATACCCTAATTCTCTGTCTCTGAAACATACCATACCCTCCACAACTCCATGGATGGTCGATCCGACCATTCAGCCCCAAATGGAACGTCCTGCTGGCCTGTAAATAGGCGCCATTGGCCAACGTGCATAAACCCTTCTGTTACCGAAGTAACTAGTATTGCCATCAGGTCCCAAGTCTCGAAGCTGTTGCGCGGCTGGCTTCCATCGTCGCGTAAAGTACGACTGACCGCTGCCGTTGCGGTACTCCTCCACGTACTCAGAGAGATTCTCGTACAAACGCACAAAGGGAGCTGTGTTGGCATGCGGTCCTCTCTCTTCCTCGACTGCTGGTCGACCGATGGTCCCGAAGTGTCGCGTCTTGTCGTTGGCCGCTGCAGCTGCGATGAGAGACTTGGTGTACTCTTTCTGGCGCGCGGGGCGATGACCGTCGCGAAACCAGTTCGCTAGTTTCTCTTCCTCACTTACACGGATCGCTAATGCCACGGTCGGATCGTGCGTGGTCGGCTTAGTTTCGGTGAAGAAAGGGCCTTTGAAGCTCTGTGGAGTTGGAGTTTGTTGGTTCAAACCGTTTGCGACTTCATGTTGCTGAGCGGTCCGCAGACCATCTAGATCACTGTGATGAAGAGCGACTGCTGCAGAGTTTATAGTACTGGTGTTGTACTCTGTTGTCCCGGATTTCACTACTGTTGCTGATGGCGCCTTCATGTACGGGGCAGCGGCAGCGTTGAGAGCTGATGTCATGAATCTGGCCGGAGCGGCTGAGCGTGTTGAACCAGCGTGTTGCACAGCAGTCCCTAGAACCCCGGCGCCGGAGGTCAGACTGTTGTGCTCTGGCACGCTCGATTGTGCCTCCTCAATGTTGGCCAGGTGCTGTTTGCGCCCCTGAAGTCGCTGGTAGGCTACGTTTGCACGAAGGTGTTGGAAACTTCCACCGCCCCCACGTTGATTCACAGCCAACTCGCCAAAGGTGACGTCCGGCAGGGCTGTTCCAGACGATAATTTGGGAGTTGAACTCTCTGTGCTCTTGATAGTATCAGAGCTATTTGCAGAGACGCCTTCCGTGGTGGTCTTCGAAGGGAATCGGTACGTGAGATCCAGTGACCCTGTCAAACTCAGCCAGTTACTTTGAGGCTTATTGCCATCCGAAGACTGCGAGAATGAACAACTAGTCGTGGTAACGAAGGGATCTTCCAGAGCGGGTCTCGTGAACGGACTACGCGATGCTGAAGGTATAGACGGCTTTGAACCACCCTGTGTTTGGCTTGAACCTCGGTCGGTCTGCGCATCTCTGTAGGGTTGGGTCGACACGACGTCCACACCGCCATGTAAACCTTGCTCTGCCGCCGTACTTGCCTCTTTTTGGCGCCCATGTTCGACAACAAGTGTTTGTCGATTCTCAGCTGCTAGCTTGAAATACTCGAGCGTGTCTTGGGGCTCGTCAATGCCTCGTAGACGATCGGACGCCAAAGAGCCTTCGACTTTGCCTCGAGAAGTAGAGTATCGTCCAATATTTACCCACTGGAAGGACGATGATGACCACTGGTGTGCTGAGATGTCCCTGTTGGGATGCCCTATGAACACCACTTGCCCATCAAATTCGCCCGTTTGCTCGCTAAGTCGAATAAGGTCAGGTAGGTTGCCAAAGAGTTGCACATGAGTCCTCGCTCCTGTGTGGCGCATCTCACCGCCCATGCTGTTAGCTAGAACGGATGTTGTCAAGGTCGTAGCAACTCTTGCACCGTCATGCGCAGCGTCCAAGTGCTTTCGAGCGAATGGAGCGGCTGGCGCGTGCGTGAGCGGAGAGGGTTTTGTCTCAGAACTTTCCAAAAGATAGCTTGCGTCGAACGAGACATCTTCTTTCTGGGCATGTTCTGTGCCAGTGAGATAGAAGCCGGGATTGCTAAGCTCATCGTGAACGCTAGGAGTTTCTTCGTCACTTCCTGCTTGCACTGGTCGCCAAGTCTTGTTTTCTTTTCTGCGATCCAACCGTAACTTGGCCATGCCAACCAAGGAGATGATATCGCGTTCAGACTGATCGTCGTCGAACTGGTTGTCTTTGCGGGGATGATAGGCCATTCTGTCGATTGGATGTAGCAGGTCTGCCGGAAGTACAGCCGGATCTCTGACAAAGTGTGGCTGCGGGGGGTTGCAATTGACTGATGCGGCTGGTTGGTCTGCGGCTCGGACGACGATCTGATTGCGTTTATGTGGCTGTCTGCCGTTAAACGTAGGAGTGCCTGCTGGTAGCCGTTCCGTTACAATGAGTGTAGCAGTACCGCCGCGACGATCTGTAGTACTCTTAGCGGAGATCCTGGCTCTACACGGGAAATGCAGCTGGGAAGCTGCTGATTTGTCGTGCTTGAGAGGTCAACACTTACTGCGCCAGCCACTGCGAGGCCTTGATTTGATCGCCAGCTTGCTACGACGAATAAAAGCCGATGTGTTCGACCTGACTGCTGGCTCAGGTGAAGTGATGGTCATAGGCTACTGCTGTTGTCGACGGAGGGGCGGCGGGGATTGCAGAGAGATTGTGGGTATGTTGCCGACCCTGGTCAAGGCAAGCGCAGTCCGTGATGAAGTGACGGTGAACTCCAACGTCAGTGAACAAAGACAACTTACGCATAAAAGCAGGGGAAATTCCTGGCTCTCAACTCTTTGCATCTAGGATTCGGGTCGAGATGACAGCGGCGTCAGATGCTGCATGCGACGCGCTACTCCACTTGAGAATGAACAGGCAGTCACACGATGAGGATCAGGACAACAACGCGATACGAGAAGAGAATTGTGAACGCTTGCAAGGCTACCCGAGTAGAAAGTATACTCCTTGGCAGCAAAGCCAGCGCCAAACTTGCGATATCGAGCTGATATCGATCCATGCCCACGTCAATACCTAAGATGAGACCATGTCCGGATTGCATTATCAGGTAGTGTCCAGTATCGGTGCGGCTACAACAGGTACCTCCGTGTTCCAGATATGGTTTCGGCAAAGGAAGAGTACAACGCGCACGGGCATTCTATTAGATGTCCGTCCTTTTGGTTTACTACTTTCTAGCGTTCTGGCTCTTACCTATCGTCGGCGGTCCATAGACAACACTCAACCAGAACGCAGGCTATGCACAAGAACCTGACGCCAGGAACTCAGTGTAGATAGGTATAGCTGCCCGCCACTCATCTTTTCCAGCCCTCTTGAGCAGCAGCCCAGCTTACCGCATCCCACACATCACCCACAATCTGCCGGGGCTGGACGGCCGGCTGCGAGCCTTCTGCGTAGACGCCAGTACTGACGAGGATACTGGCCCAATCCGTTCCGAAGGGGCTTTCATAGTTGTTACCGCCTGCTATGTCGCTTGCAGGGTTGTCGCCAACCATGTAGACGCGCTTCAACACCCCAAGCTGGCTGTGCTCTGCTTGAACCAGATGGCGCCGGTGTGCCATGAGTCGCTTCTCAGCAAACTCATATGTGGGCCTGTAAGGCTTACCCATGACGATCTTTTGAAGGGAAACGCCTTCTCTTTCGCCACCGGTGATTGCCGCCCATATGCCTTCAAAAGCCTCACGGAAGCCGCCTTGGCCGAGCCTTGGTAAGTGATATTTCGCGGCCCACAAAAGATCGGGGTTTGAGAAATAAAGAGCTGGTTGCCCATCTTGTTGATAGCCCTTGTTTGGCAGAGCTACATTTCCATTTTTGGGGGAAAGCGTACCAAGAATTCCGCGCTCGGAGAGAAGCACGTCTTTGATGATCTGGGCGTCAAGACCCCAGTCGCGAGGGTCGTTGTACACGAATATCGCATCGATACGAAGGGAAGTGGATGGCGACGTAGGGTCGATTGGAGCCGGGAGCGGTCGCGTGAACGTTTTGTAGTAAGACAGCAATTGCTGCGAGAATGGCCAGACATCCGGGTAAGCAGCCAGTATATCTCCAGGTGTGACTACCGTCTTAAACCTGCGCATGCTAAGTACGCTACTTGCAGTATTCGCCCAGCGTGTGCTTACCCATACGCTTCGGCAACCTGTCTGCACTTATCCTCAGCCCCTCCAACCACCATCACGGTTTTATCTTTGTAGTGGTCCATATCGGCGAAAGGCGTGTGGCTTTGCACAAACATGCTAGTATCGAGGGGTACGTGTAGCTTACGGCTCAGCTCGGCCACGCGTTCAGACTCATGCTTACCGCCACCGTTGGTGAGCAGTATGAACGGGATGCGCTGGGCCTGGAGATACGAGAGGGATTGATGGGCGCGTGGTAGAGCGTCCGAACTTCGAATCTGTGTATCATCTCAGCACAAGAGTGAGAGGTCTTGAAGGTGGTAAGCGTACCAGGACACCATCGATGCTGCAATCGTTAGCAGAGCTCTTCCCTTAAGCTTAGCTACGTGCCTTCCTTACTCGAATGCGAACGCGAACTCGGGAACACGAGAAGAGACCGAAGCAGCGGTCTGAAGACCCCTACGTAGCGACAGTCTTGCCATACGCGGCGTCAAATTACGGAGAACCATATTGTCAGAGGGGCGATTGATATGCTTGCTGTTCGTTCTGAGATTTAGCCTTAGTTGTTCCTGCGCTCGGGCCATACTCGGACCGAAGCATCTAACGTATCTACATACTTGTTGGCCCTTTACTTACCGTACACGCGTTCGCTTGTGCATTTGTTGGGCACTTGCAGTTCCTGTCCTACACTCTATGAACTCTAATACATAAGGCATGATCCCAAACTCTTCTCACGTTTGTTTGTATGACACAATTGAAAGTATACATAAAGTGCAAAACTGAAATGGGGAGGGGGAATTATACTATGTACATATGCCGCTTTAGGACAATTGAGCAGTGGCAACAAATTATGTTGGTAAAAGACCTCTCCAGTGTTGTTTAGACGGAGACCGCATTTGCTTTAGGTCTGTACTGCGTAGCACAATCACAACCTCGCATTTTACATCTGCACAACCGCGTTTTCTCACTGACTGGCAACCGATCGTCCACGGTTGGAAAAGCCAAGTATACGGGACACATGAGTACTGCTGGTCAATGAGAATTAGCGCCCGTGTAAGAGATAATCAGATCCACATTTGACGGGTGGGGCGATTTCCCCAGTTTTCACCTCCAACATACGGTAGGCGGTTCACACCAGTTACAGACACGCTAGCAGGGGCAGCTGCAGCACGGGCGATGAGGGGAAAGCTCCCTAAGCTCGCGTGAAGTGCTAGACACCCAAACCCGAGCTACTTCGTACACCACTGTCAACGATTTCCCCTACCTTCTAACGGCAAGGGCGTCGACGTCTAATCGAAACATTACAACTGACCTGCTGAGCCACAGCTACATCATGCTTGCGCAACGTGCCGGTAGCAGCGTCCGCGGCGTCCTGTCCGCAACTCGTTCCACACCGTTTGGCTCACGCGGTTTTGCGTCCAGCCCTTCATTACAAAGCTCGACCAGAGCTCCAGCACTGGCAGATATTACGCCTAATGACGCTGCAAGCTTCAACGAGAAGCAGAAGGAATTCCGAGATGGTCTTATAGCCGCTCAGAAGAAGAGGGAGCAGCAAGAAAGTACGTCCTTTTTTAGTAGTCTGTTTGCGTCAGGTTTCCTTTAGATAACCGTGTTGCTGCCTTTGGCGATTCGCTGACACTCCCAACACAGAAGAAGCCCGCGCTCGCGAGGAGGAAACTGGCAAGAAAAAAAGCGGACCTTTTACTTCGCTCATCTACGGAACGGCTGAGGGTCGCGAGCTCGATAAGGATATTGAGAGAAGCTTCTCTCAAGTCCTAGCGCGCGGCAAATATGTCCACTCAATCGTATTTCACGATGTCAAGCCAGACAAAGTCGAGGAGTACTATGAGCTGGTGGGCAATTGGTATCCGAAAATGGCGGCCATTCCTGAAAACAAAGTGCACCTGGTGGGCAGTTGGAGGACCGAGGTCGGTGACTGTAATACGTTTGGTAGGTACCTTTCACGTTGCTAGACAATTTACACAAAGCTAACAGACCTTACAGTCCACATCTGGGAGTATCAACGCTACGAGGGCTATCACCAATCGCTCCACAATATTCAATCGCACCCAGACTTCGCTGCATTTGACGTTAAATTGAAGAGTCTTATTCGATCGAAGCACACCTCGCTCATGCAGGAATTCTCTTTCTGGCCTACGACTTCACCACGACGACTCGGAGGTGTCTTCGAATTGCGCTCGTACACACTACACCCGGGCAACTTACTTGAGTGGGAGACGCACTGGAGGCGTGGTCTCAAGGCTCGCAGGGAGGTCATGGAGGGCGTCGGTGCCTGGTTTGTCCAGATTGGCGAACTGAACACTGTGCATCACTTGTGGCAGTTCCCCAACCTAGAGGAACGTAAAGTCCGCCGTGAGCAAAGCTGGAATGTTGAAGGTTGGGGCGAGACTGTGCACAAGACTGTGCCATTGATTCAAACGATGAAGAGTCGTATTCTGGTGCCCTGTGCATGGAGCACTGTCGCTTGAATGACTTCTGGTCAGTAAAGACATTCTATCGGCAGAGATTGAAGCACAGTGGAATACAGCCTGGAGATGGTAACGCACATCAGAGAGAGGAGAGACGAACACCACCTCCGATGAAACGAAATTGGTGAATAGGTGCGCAGGCATGCAAAGAGATCATTATCAATAGCAAATTCGGATATCTGCACTGCATAAAGTCCTGTCAATATCTATTGCAAATCCTGCATAGACTGCCTTGACCAGAATGTTGACACTGGGTTGCTCGCGATTCCGGTTTGGTGATCGCGCCCCGCGATGACCCACGTCATTGCCGCAATCACAAGCCAAGCCTGCTTTGCAACCTCCACTTTGTGATTTTCTTCCAGCACGCAGCGGAAGAACAACAATATCAGCTGTGATCGCCCAACACTGTCTGCAAGGAGCTCGCAATTATGGTGTACATTCGACAGGACAAGCTCCCCAAGCTCAAGGAGTACAAGTATTCTGGCGTTGACCGCAGTCTCCTCTCACAATACGTTCTTAAACCGTTTTATACACACGTTGTTATAAAATGTTTTCCTATGTGGATGGCGTAAGTTACATTCCTCTATGACACACATACGCTGACTATTGCAGGCCAAATCTTGTAAGTCATCTCTTGCTCTCGATGCTTTGATCCAGCCGGAGATGATAGGTCTGCTATCTGTCGGGATCCTTTACTGACCAGCTTGGTTCAGATCACGCTTTCCGGGTTCGGCTTTGTTGTTGGAAACTTCCTTACTCTTTTGTGGTATACGCCTACCCTGGACCAAGATTGTCCGCCTTGGGTTTACCTTAGCTGGGCAATTGGATTGTTTCTCTACCAGACATTCGACGCAGTCGATGGAAGTCAGGCACGAAGAACACATCAAAGCGGTCCTTTAGGCGAGTTGTTCGATCATGGTGTAGACGCTATCAACACAACGCTAGAGGTCCTGCTCTTTTCCGCAACGATGAACATGGGACAAGGCTGGAAGACGATTTTGAATCTCTTTGCAGGTGAGCACCGCGATACGTTTTGGCAACGGTCTTCTACAGTACATGGTTCTGATGGTGACAGCATCGTTAACGTTCTATGTTCAAACTTGGGATGAGTATCACACCCATACCCTAACCCTCGAGGTCATCTCAGGTCCTGTTGAGGGTATCCTGACTCTCTGCATTATATACGCTGCTACTGCGTTTCTTGGAGGTGGCAGCTTCTGGCAACGCTCTATGCTTGAAAGCCTTGGGCTGCAGAACTATGACTTTATTCCCGAGGCCATCTATAAGCTCGCCTGGAATGAGTGGTACATGGTCTATGGAAGCACCGTCCTTGTCTTCAACACAGTCTCTAGGTAAGTCTGGCAATTGATGCATACTAGCCAGAGATTTCTAACGCATTTCAGCGCGCGAAACGTCATGAAGGCGCGTCGTGCCCGAGGCCAAAAAACACGGGTTGCTCTCCTCGGCCTTCTCACATTTGCAGCAGCTTGGGTTCTCATCGCAGCTTACCTGTTTCTGCAACCTGTCATCCTGCGCCATCACCTGGTACCATTCATCTTTTACGCCGGCCTCATCAACGCCTACTCAGTCGGTCGCATGATCATCTCGCACCTGACGAAGTCCCGATTTCCCCGTGGCAACGTTTTGATTTACCCATTGATTTATGGCGTTGTCGATTCGCTGGGCCCTTGGCTGCAGGAACACATTGGTGTGGGTTGGCCGAGCGCTCTGGGAAGCGATGTTTACCAGGTAGCTTTTGTCTTCATGTGCCTTGGTTTAGCAGTCGGCGTGCACGGAAGCTTCATTGTTGATGTTATCTGGACGATTTGCGATTACCTTGACATATGGTGCTTGACGATCAAGTACCCGTACAAGCCAGTGGAGGAGAGCACAGAGAAAGCGAAGAAGGGGCAATGAGCAAGGAGAGTTGGAAGAGACGAGGAGGTTGTCGGCAGATGATAGTGGGACACGACGTGACTAGGCATTTCATGAATAAATTGATTTAAGTGCACCTGCACTTGAATGCCCAAGTTGGTTTGTGCATTTGCAGATTTGAACAGTGCTCGGAGATAAGAACGGCAATAGCCTGCTTGGACCAGCTTCGCCGCCGTGGTCAAACATTTCCCACTACATCGACCCTACCACCCTACATCATCGACATCCCCACAGCATGGCGGGACCGCGCGCCAACCTGGCTGTGACGAAGGACGGCGAACCCTACAACAGATTGCAGCGACCAGACAATCTTCTCCATGAGCATGCGCCTATGAACAAGGCAACCGAGCGCAAGCGCGAGCGGGCAGCTGTTGACAGACCAATGACCAGACCCACCTCTGCAAACAAGCGTGCGAAAATGAACCATCCGGAATCGACGGCCAACAGTTCTCCGCTTCTCAGTGACAGTTACCGGAATCGAAGCGCTGCGACCGTCGCGGAATGTGGCATGCGCTTCACTCTCCCAATCGAGGAAGATCAAGCACAAGACTCGGACGACTCATTGGGGGAAGCACTTGCATACCTCCGTAGCGTACGGTAAGCACCTAGCAAGTCTCCATACCGTGCGAAACTCTTTTGAGGTAGCATGTGGCTGATATCCTCTCGACAGGTCAGAAGCATCTACAATCCCAAATCTACTCGTTGCGCCGACGACACAAGAGGAAACCGTCAAGCCTTCGCAGCTGCACACATCAAAGACTCTGCTTGGTCAACGTGCCTTCTATCAAGATGGCGCCTGGATATCGATTGACGAAAGCTACGGAGCAGCGTACAGCAAAGACCATGAGCCTGATGAGACAGACCCGCAGGCTTCATACCACAAGCAGTTAATTAAGCGGTTCGAAATCCTCCGCAGCAATCTGAATAGGAATGGAGTTCAGAGATCGGCTCCTCCAGGTATTGACGCAAGCCAAGCGTCGCCCGCGAAGCCACCGTCGAATCGACACGATTGGTTGTATACAATTGATCGGGAATATCCAACCCCGGATCAAGTGTTTCAGCTAGACGAGAATAACGCCAGGCGCGGTCTCGAATATTGTGCCCATGCCATGGATCGGTTTGATACGATTTCCAAACAAAAGAGTTGCTGGACCTGGACCTTACTTGCCTTGTCAGGTGATATCGGAACACTGGACTCACAGAAGATGAGCCACATCAGAGATCTTGGGAACAAAGCTGCCGAAATGAGTATTGCTTTGCATACAGATTTCAGAAGGCAGAACGGAGACGCCAAATATGATGTAGTTCGTGCAGATTTAGCAGACGATGTGCAAGATGGCAAGAACGAGATCGACAAGGCAAATCTGTGTGATGCCAGCAGAGACACTCATGATTCAGCAACGGGGTACGTACGATCTGATGCCGACAAGGATCTAAAGGTGATGCCTAGAACGTTGCTGAACGAGGCTGCGCCAGGAGCTCAGGACGCACAGCTTCGGTCAGATGTTTCGAACGACGTCAATGAAGAGACTAACACTGACAAAAACAACGACACGCTTAAGGAAGCACGTGCATGTCTGCTTGCACAGCTCGGCGATAATTTGGTACAAGCTGGCATTCCAGTGTCAACAACACGCATTGCCGATTCAAATACACATCACAGTGGACAGCATGATCCAGATTTAGATGTTTTACAGCATGAGATCCAGGCCCGCGCGATCCCATCTCGGGCGGAAGCTGAAAGACAACGGCAGATAATGCGGATGCGGGAATCGGCTACCCAAAGGTTGAGAGACCAGGTGCCTACCCTTGCTAAGCCGTCTGTTACCATACGTTCCGTTTCCGATGACCACGGCTCATGTACTGTCGATCTGAACACAAGGGTTACAATTGACATGATCTTGACCGTGGTCGCCGAGTGTTATGGGCAACGAGATCTACTAGAATTCCGCAAGCCGTGGTAGGTACCTACAGATGGTGGCATTCTGTGTTTCTCTCCGTGATTTCACAGGGAGACCTGCACTTTCTCCTTGATGAACGGATTTGCATTTCGAGAATAGTCATAATTATCTTCTGCTCATGATTCACACGTTGAGCGCACGGGCCAAGTTTTCGAGTGACTCTCGGTTCCTCCAACTTTGCTTGCTCTGACGCGCTTGCCCTTGCCCCGTTGAGTCACTTTCTCGCTCATGCGGCTCTTTCCACCCCACTTCGCCTGCCCCGCGCTCCTCCAAAACATCCTGCGACACACAATTGTTCGCAATAAATTCCCTCGTCTTGCCACGCCAGCTCGGCCTTTTCAATCTCGCCGCATATATACCGTTCATTCATCGATCAGCGCCGTTGATGACGACATGGGCAAAGACGACAAGTCCAAGAATTTCAATTTGAAGGTGCCCAAGGGCACGCGAGACTGTACGCTGCACCCTTCGCTCGCATTTGCATCGTCCAAACTAAGCCGATGTATTCTAACGCTACCAGGGACCGGCGAGGATGCCGCTCTTCGTGATCGCCTTTTCGAGACCGTGACGACCGTCTTCAAGCGCCACGGCGCCACGACCCTCGACACTCCTGTCTTCGAGCTCAAGGAGATTCTCAGTGGCAAGTACGGAGAAGACTCAAAGCTCATATACGACCTACAAGACCAAGGAGGAGAGTTATGTTCGCTGCGCTACGACTTGACGGTCCCGCTTGCGCGATGGCTGGCCATGAACCCCAGCGTCCAAAATTTCAAGCGCTACCAAATCGCGAAGGTTTACCGCCGTGACCAGCCTGCCATGACGAAAGGCCGCATGAGAGAGTTTTATCAGTGTGACTTCGACATCGCCGGTACATACGACGCCATGATCCCTGACGCCGAAGTTCTCAAGATCGTAAACGACGTCTTCAAAGCCCTTGGCTGGGAATCATACACGATTAAGATGAACCACCGTAAAATCCTCGACGGCATGTTCAAGGCCGCTGGTGTGAAGGACGAGCTCATTCGACCCATCAGTTCTGCTGTGGATAAACTGGATAAGGTATGGATGCTCTCAAGCCGATGCGCGCAACCGTCTTTTCGCTGACTGAATTCTCAGCTCCCCTGGGCAGAAGTGAAGCAGGAAATGGAGACAAAAGGCTTGTCCGCGGACATTGCAGACCAGATTGGAGAATGGGTACAACGCAAGGGTGGAGACGACATTATCGAGTTCCTCAAGGCCGACCCCATACTCTCGCAAAACGAGGACGTGAAGAAGGGCATTCAAGATATGGAGCTATTGTTCGCCTACCTGGACGCTTTCGATGCACGAAGCCACGTGTCTTTCGACTTGTCGCTCGCTCGAGGTCTGGACTACTACACTGGTCTGATCTATGAGGTCGTTACCGAAGGCTCTGCTCCTCGAGCGGATGGCAAAAAACAAGAGATTGGTGTCGGCAGCGTCGCAGCAGGAGGTCGCTACGACAACTTGGTCGGCATGTTCAGCGGCAAACCTATTCCATGCGTGGGTATTTCCTTTGGCATCGACCGCATCATCAGCATCATCAAAGCTCGTGGTGAATCGACACAACGTGCGAAGGATGTCGATGTCTTTGTGATGGCGTTTGGTGGAAAGGGCTTTACAGGCATGTTGACAGAACGCATGCAGGTTGCCCAGGAACTGTGGGCTTCGGACATCAAGACCGAGTTCTCGTATAAGCTGAAGCCGAAGCTGCCGCAACAGTTCAAACAGGCGGAGTCGGCCGGTGTGCCGCTGGCAGTCATCTTGGGAGAGGAAGAATTAAAGGCAGGGAAGATTAAGATCAAGGTTATGGGCATAACCGACGAGAACAATCCCGAGAAGGATGGTGTGCTCGTTGAGCGGAGAAACATGGCTGCGGAGATTCGCAAACGACTGCCCAGTGCCAACAGCGAATAGTTACACATTCGGTAACAGGTCACAAAGAAAAGCATTAGATACCCATAGATATTGACGCCTTCGGCAGGTTTGTAATAAGCTCCAGCTGTGCATCTCCTGTCGACGACGACTTAACATCATGCGTGCATAGCAATCTATCTGTACATTGTTGTGAAGGTTCTGTGTTCTGCCTGTGCTCGCACATCACACAGCGCATCCGGCGATGCATCGTCCTTGCACGTGTCAACTGCCTTCATGCATAAAACGCTGAGCAGACGATGCAATTACTTCTGCTTGACGTCGGGGCTCTGAACTTTGCAGTCACAGCCATCAACGTAGGGGAAATGCTTCTAGGTCTTCGATTCCTGCTACATGATTTATGTACAGTTGACTTCTAAACGAAAAGGTGTCCAGGGCGTGGTGTCTGCTCTTCTCAAGCAATCTTCGGGAGTTCAAGCATCGGCTGGCAAATGGCGGCTTAGTAACCGTCCTTGCCCCACTTGTTGTATGTGTCGTGGAGCTCCTATTGGCAAGTCGTCAGCCAATGCCTGCACAGACGGAGTCATTCACGACAGAGGACTGGCATACCTTGGGGAGAGTCACGTTGGGAATTACGACCACGTTCAGGGCCGAGGGAGCGTCCTTCTTCACGCTGGTGTCACCGCCGGGGTGGTACTGGTATGGGCTGGAGCCGCCAGACTTCCACGGCTCGCTGTGCTCGGCCTTGGAAACGGCGCGCTCGGAGGAGGCGCTGGTAGGCGAGCGGGCTGCGCAAGTTCAGCATGGGATTGCACCATGGTGCGTCGGTTGACTGGCAGGGAGCTTACAGAAGTGCCAGCCTGCGAGGCCGAAGACACCGCTCATGATGGCCAAGAGCACCTGCACGACTCAATTAGTCCCCAATTGCAATTCCCTCCGTGGCAGGGGCTCGCGGCATACATAGAGCTCGGGGTCGCGCTTCGCGCCGGTCTTGAGGGCGTCCTTGCCGGCCTGCCTCTCGGCGTGGCCCGCGTCAGAGGCGGCGGTGCTGGCCCAGCGGCGGGCAGGGGCGGCGGCGCGGAGGCGCGGGGCAGCGCGGAAGGCGGAGCGGGCGGCGATGGAGGACATGGCTGCGTTCGGGTGCGTGGGCGTCGACGGAGTGCTGGAAGGGTGCGTGGTGGATAGGCGGGACTGACGACAAAGCTGGGCACAGTGGTTCGAGCCAAGCTGCGTGGTCCCAAAGCGGCCTAGCGGGGCCCGGGCCTGGCTGCAGCCCTAGAGTCGTCGACCGGGCATTAATCACCGGCCCCTTTGCGCTCATAACTCACAGCTTTTCAGCGCACGCTGTTGCCCGCGCGCCCTCGCTCGCCGCGCCACAGAGCCGACGCCCTGCACGGCTTCCCTTCCTGTCGCTCCTTCGCACTCCCCTTCGCCATCCGCGCCTTCCTACGTTGAGGTCATGCACATCTCAGCCACGACCCTGACCACGACTACCACGCTCCGCCCATGACGACGATCGAACAGAAGCGCAGCTCGACGGGCAGCCGCGTGCTGGGGATGACTGGCCCCGTCGGCGAGCCGTCGCTGCCCCCGTCGCGACCCTCCTCCATCACGACTGTGAACTCGGGCAGCCAGGGACGATGGTCGCAGCCCGCCGCGCCGCGAAGGGGAGGCGGCGTGAGTGTCGCAGGTAGCCTGGGACACAGCCGCCCGACGACGGCCGCGAGCAGAACCCATGTTCCTCTGGCTGCCCATGGCTTCTTTCGACCCATGAGCTCGCAACGCCTCCAGCAGCAGCGCAACCAGCGGCCAACCTCCCTCCTCGGCCAGAACTCCAACGTGCGCGACTCGACCGCCAGCTCGTACCGCCAGAGCATAGGCTCGACACAGACCACGCGCGGCCAACACATGCTGGGCCTCCATCACGAGCTGGACCAGCCTCCCCCATCACGCGGGACTGACATGACCGACCGAGACATGCCCGACCGCACAACTGCGAACTCAACGCCCACAGGAGCCGAGACTGTGCGCAGTCGCGACGAGAGTATCACGCCTCTGCAACGACCTCGACCCCATCATCTGGATCTCGCTAGCACGCACAACAACGATGCTAACAAGCTTCCGACGCCAGCGAAGTCTCCACATTCTTTTCGCTCCAGCTTCATGCTACCCAGCCGTGATGGTCGATCCGCCCAGATGCGTGTCCACCAGGGCCACGAGAAGCTCACTTCTGCGGAATCGTCACCCAGACTTGGCCGGGCAGAGTCCACCAAGCAAGCTGTGAAGAGGGAGCTTGGCAAAAACTACGAGTACTTCGCTGGGAACACAGCTTTTTTCTGGGGCGGACGACTTCAGAACACACGTGATAGGCCTGTGAACATTGCAACTGCAATTATGATTATACTGCCAGCCGCCCTCTTCTTCGGTTTCTCGTATGCTTACAACCCACCATTCGTCTTTCACAAGCTGACCTACATACAGTGCGCCATGGCTGTGGCTTAATGTTTCTCCATCGATACCCATTCTCTTTGCATATCTGTTTTTAATATCCGTCTCTTCATTCGTCCATGCGTCTACTTCCGACCCAGGCGTAAGTGGTTCAAATTGGTTGTTTTGCGCGACGCTGACCTTGCCAGATTCTCCCTCGTAATCTACACCCCTTCGCACCCACTAATCCTAATGAAGACCCTCTGAATCTTGGTCCTCCAACGACTGAATGGACAATGGTCATTTCAGCAACTGGAGCAAATGCAGCAATGGAGGTACCGACCAAGTATTGCAAAAGCTGCAACATCTGGCGACCTCCGCGCGCACATCATTGCCGCATCTGTGACAACTGTATCGAAACCCAAGATCACCACTGCGTCTGGCTCAATAATTGTGTGGGCCGTCGTAACTATCGTTACTTTTTCGTTTTTGTTTGCGCCACAACACTACTTGGACTCTTCCTGCTAGGGGCAAGTCTAGCCCACATTCTGATATGGCGTGCACGAAACTCCGCTACTTTTGGCCAGGCGATAGATCGTTGGCGAGTGCCATTTGCAATGGTCATTTATGGGCTACTAGGGTGGGCTTATCCTTTCAGCCTCGGCATCTACCACCTGTTCTTGGTTGGGAGGGGTGAGACCACTCGCGAATATCTGAACTCACATAAGTTCATGAAGAAGGACAGGCACAGACCCTTCACGCAGGGCTCACTTCTGAGGAACTGGATTGCGGTCTTGCAACGCCCGCGCCCACCAACATATCTGCACTTCAAAAAGGAGTACGAAGAAGGCGATCAAAGGTTTAACTCTCACAAAGGCAGGCGCACAGCTTCTCTGGCGGCTGAGCAACAGGGTGGAGGACTGGAAATGCAAGACGTCAGTAATAGTCACGGCTTCCAAGGACCGGCTGGTAGAGCTCTCCGAAGCTCTCCGGACGCGAACACAGCACAGTGAGAGATGGGCTTGCTCTTACATACGTAGTTAATGAACCATCTGACGTCCATGTTGAGTTCCCAGTCGTTGCTTTTTGCGTATGTGCACAGTTTCGAACTACAGAGCACAATACTATGTAGTGCAAACAGATTCATGACAACCTACCCATTAAAAGGCCCAGCTCGAATTCGCATAGCAAGTCTATCGGCCTCTCCAGCTAATAAGACGGAATGCGTGGGTGGTGACACTGGCAGATCTGAGTAGCCTAATTGGTTGGCGACTAGCTTGATACCCTTCGAAGACAACACTTCCTCCGACCAACCCTCAACTCGCAATCGACCTCGCTATCAGTCGCCATGTCGGTCGCGTCTGCGCGCACCTCCGTGCAAGCCTGATTGACCCATCTGCACCTTCTCGGAAGTGCATGCGCGCACAGTACGCGTGTACTTTGTCACTGTCTCTAGCAGCGCCCGTGAGACCGGCGACCTCCTTTGCGCGTCACTGCCCTGCCCTGCAACGGAACACCTACCACGCGACCCGCAAGTCGATTCCTCGATGACCATGGCTGAGCGAGACGGTTCGCCCATGTCCACATCGTCCATGCTGTCCAACAACGCGGTCCAGCACCCCGGCGTCCGCGCCACGTCCAGCGCGTCGCCGCCCATCTCGACACCGCCCACCAGTCTCGACGACGCTGCTAGCGTGATGTCCGAAATAACGAAGCTGGAGCAGACGACGGAACTGTATGAGGACGCATCGGTCAGTCCAGCAGCCGACGCGCAGGCTGGTGCGCCACTTCCAGCTCGCGACACCCCAAACACGCAGGGTCATCGGCCTTCTCGGAGCTCGCGCAAGTCGGTGGTCACGTACAATGTCCAGATCCTTGCTGGCACCGCAATCCATACGCCCACGAAGTACCTCGAAAAGCACCACACAAATGTCCTGCACGGGTCGCTCGAGGCACTGGCTCCAAAAAGCAACGACACACCAGCGAAGAGGAGGACACCGAAGCCGAGAGTCAACGCAAACAATGCCACTGACTCTGCAGAAGAACAACTCGCGGTCGAGACTGCGCAAGCGCTGCGTCGTCGCACTTCTTCGCGGGGCACAGACCTCCGCAAGGAGGCTCTGCGTAACAGTACTGGAGTTGGTGAAGCTGCAACAACCTCGTTTGCTGGAGGCGAGTCACTTGTCCATAAGGCTCTCCGAAGGAGCGCATCAGACTCGCACCTTAAATACATTACAGCCTCCGCCAGTCCATCCTCATCGCGTCGTCCACGAACAGCAACAGACACTCCTGATGAGGACGCTACAGACACGAACTCGGAGCAAAGACAGTATCTCAAGCCCAAAACCAAGGCCTGGCTAAAGCAGGGCCTGTATGTCGGTCAACATCGCGACTTCGACGCTCGGTTGTCGGAAACGCAGAATCGCGCGAAGAGGAGGGCCAGGAAGCAAAAGGAACGTGACATGCTTCCTCTTCCAATGTTTGCTGGTGGTCGTATGCTAGATGAGGATCCTCATCATGTGTATCGGCAGTTTAAGCTCCCCTTCGACACATATAATCCTCTGCCTAGAAAGGTCAAAGTGGATGGTTGGGTGAAGCTTTCCAAGAGTAATGTTTCATGCCTCCCTTGGTAGTCCTCAGCTAACACACTCCTAGATCGCTTCATTGGTGATGCGTCTGCTTTATGGAAGCGTGACAAGCAAGACTCCTCTCAATGCTATTGCGATCCTGAGGACGGATGCGGAGAGGCTTGCCACAACCGCATTATGGCATACGAGTGTGACAGTACCAACTGTAGACTGACTCCAGAGGAATGCGGAAATCGTCCATTTGCTGAGCTCAAACGACGAGGCAAAGGAAATGGTTATGATTACGGCGTCGAAGTCATGGAGACTGAGGGCCGTGGATACGGAGTTCGAGCCATGAGGACCTTCCAACCCCATCAGATCATCGTCGAGTACGCTGGTGAGATCATCACTCAGTCTGAGTGTGAGAGGCGCATGAAGCAGGTTTACAAGAAGGACAAGGTGAGACAAACAAGATGCCTTGCAACCTCGACTAACGTAGATCAGTGTTACTATCTTATGAGCTTCGACAACAAAATGATTATCGATGCTACGCGAGGTACAATCGCAAGATTTGTCAATCACTCCTGCGAGCCCAACTGCGAGATGATTAAGTGGACCGTTGGTGGAGAGCCAAGAATGGCCCTCTTTGCCGGTTCGCGCGGAGTCATGACTGGCGAAGAGCTGACCTATGACTATAATTTCGAGTAGGTCAACAGCGACACGTGCTTGAATTTGGGTTTCCTAACTTTGTGTAGCCCATTCTCCCAAAAGAATATCCAGGAATGTCGCTGCGGTACCGAGTCTTGCCGAGGTGTCCTTGGTCCAAAGCCGAAGAAGCCGGTTGAGGAGAGATCGATCGCCTCTGCTCTCATTGCTGGTACCAAGCGCAAGCTGCAAGACTTCCTGGGCTCGGCTCGTGCCAGATCAGAGAGTACCGCCGATTCTCCTAGGAAGCGAAAGATGATCACCGGATTCCCGAAGGCAAGAACGCAGGATGACGCAACGAGAGTCGCTCGCGAACAAGCCGAAATTGATGCAGCGGAGCACTCCAGGCAAATTGCATCTCGCGAGAACCGTGCCATGAAACGATCTTCCGCTTTGGCTGTTCCCAAACGATTACGTCCAGTTGTAATGAGACGCACGGCTAATGGTTCGCTGAAGTCAACAAGGACCACTACTGTCAATCTGCAGCGAAAAGTCACAAAGCCAGGTGCCTTGAAGGCTGTCAACAAGTCTACGCGTATGTACACCACTTCGCGACGTGCGAGTGCAGCAGTGAGTGGCCGGAGAGGTGTACCGCCCTCAAAAAGACCTAGCACCCCTACTCCAGACTCAGAGGTTGAAGAGGATGAATCGGATGAGGATGCATCTCCGAACATCACGCCAGCGTCACTTCGTAGTGCGTCAAAGGACGGCAGAAAGCGTGTCCTCAACTTTGAGTCCGACTCGCAGCCCTCGCCACCTCGATCGAATACAAAACGTGGTGAGGCAGCACGTGCTACTGTTACAAACAGACTCAGATCCACGCAACAGAAGCTCGCTGTCAACCCACGTAGCTTGCATGACACCGGTGCGGGTGTCAAGAATTCATATCACCCCGCACAAAACAGGCAACGGACTGTGAGAGGCAGGTGAGTCCATGAACTCTTGGCGACTGTATGACTCTAGCAAGACTGGGTCAATCCAGTTCATACTCAAGCCTATACTGACTGATTTATTCTCAGGTTCCTACCCAAGCATCTTCGTTGAACTAAGCTGATGGTGTTGATCCCTCGCCGTGATAGCCTGCAATGCCAGGTTGTGGTTATTTACCTCCTACAGCTCGCTCCTGGGTGCCAAGCGAGTCTGATGACTACTTGGAACCGACGATACTGTCTGAATTAATATTTTCTACCGCGTAACATTATCATACTTTAACCTGCTTTCTCTATTGAGAGGCATTTTGCTTGATATACTGTAAGCACACCAGAAAATTAAGGTGATCTACTCGTGATACATCCATCCCATGTGTTCAACCACGCGTGTAGGACGACACGTGCAAAATACGTGCCCGCCAATATTCACGAAAAAGCGGATGCCGAAGCTTGTTCGGCAGATGCATCTGAGTTGTTATATCGTCCATTGCTATAGCTTCCTTTCTACTCGTTGTGAGCCACTAGTCACAAAGTATGTGGTCAAGAAGATTGCGCTGTGACAAGATCAGGCATAGCCCATTCTCCCGAAAACTAATGAGAAGTATGATATGCAACGAGCTGATCAGTCCACCGATTGATCGAATGTCAGAGGAGAGATGCTGTGAGCAATTGCAAACGCTACCACGACTGATGATTATGGTGTTGCTCTCTAAGCGAACATTGACAACACAATTTAGGAGAAAAAATGTACACTCCGCACCAGTCTATTGTTCTGCAGTTGGGGGTGATGAGATCTTCGCCTTTTGAAACTAGGATACCGGGAAAGGAGCAATCAGCTAAGCTATCATTAAGAAATAGTGTCACTATCGGGATCAAAGAGCATAACTCAAAGATCGAAATTCCCAGAATATTACAACGCTAACTGAAGGGTGTCGAGTAACTGTCAGTTGGAGGTTCGTTTCTTCATATGTGTCATTGAATGCTGATATAGCGTGAAGTCTCGATCAGAGTACACCCCCAGGCTCATGCTTATGCACGATGAACGCATCGTCTGAAAGGTGATACCCGCCAGCCAGAATGGCGGTATCTTGAACACCGAGGGCCTGGCAAACATTGTCAAGTTTCCACTGGCGGTAGAACTTCATTTCTGAGCAGCATCGCCTTGCCGTATTCTTTCTCGACCACCCAACGTGAAACAAGAATGAAGGTGTGACTGCCGTCTAAGCGACCGACAATGCTACAGATCTGGATCTGCAGCCAAACCTCCCATACTCTGCTGAGTGCGAAAAGACTTAGTGTCATAGGTTTCCCGGCATGTCATGATATATTACGCACTTCCTCCACATGGTAGTAATCCGGAGGTGAGCTGGCTTAGTCTTCATCAAAAATTTGGAGCACGTTGTCCAAGATGGTTATGATAACGCGTGCCTGGAGCCCAGCGTCCGCCATATTGTTGCCTTTGTGAGGCCCCATGATAGATGGACTGGAGGAATTAGCTGTAGCCTTGAAGATGACTGGAGATACTTACGCCCAGCAAATGCCCAGATTAGCTGTACTCATGCGGTTGATCTCAGATGATTGTTGAACACGGTGCAAGTGCAGAACTATTGCGCGAAGTGTTGCGTAGTTGGGATCAGGGAGTGCGTTGATCAGTGCGTGCATCGAGTCCCGTCGCATTGTATCATCATCAACTCGAGCAGCGTCGATGAATTTTGTGTAGAATTCTCTGGTAAGAAGGGGATCGGGCAGCTCCCTGAAGAATTGCTTCAACAGACCGGCAACGCTATTGACGTCGTGTTGAAACGCTTCGGGATTCCGGAAATCGACCTGCGATGCGTCTGATGCAAGTCAGTGTGAATTCTTTAGAATGGATGTGCGCGTAACATACCGCTATCGAACAAAGCTTTCATTTGTTGGATATGGGACGAGGTTCCTGGGATGCGGTAAATGCCCTCAACTTCTAAACCGAACAGATCCACTGCTTGAATACACTGATATACCACCATGGGCACTGGCGAGCCATCTCGGTGGAAGAGATCTTCGAGGGTGATACCGAAGACTGGATTGACGGGGGGTTGCGGGTTATTGTACAGTATCCCACTTGTTTGCTGTGCTGTTGCCTGACCAACAGGTCCCCGTGGATACTCGGGCTGCGAGAAGGAGTTTGATGCAACAGGCGAATAAGGAGACATCCCAGGCGCAGACCCCTGGTTGTTGGCTGGCTGAGAAGGCGGCTGGTAGGAGGAGAATACAGCTTGAGGATCCGCATCGAGATGCTGAGGGGGCTGCTGCTGCGGGAAAGTCGAACCATTTGCCTCCATTTGCTGTGGTGGGAAAGATACCGGTGGCTGAATTTGTGGAGGCATTGACGTGCGACGGTCGTTGTTACCGGTCGGGGTCATGGAAGGGTACGATTGCGCAGGAGCCTGAGTAGGGTGCTTGACGTAATGCAATTCAGGTTTGATCGAAACTTTAGTAGCATTCTTCAGGATGAAGTCGTCAAAATCTTTGTCGTTGTTGATTTGATAGATAAGCTGATTGACACTTGGAGGAGGCTGTGCGGTGCTGCCCTTGAGCGGCTGTGGGCTGACTACCTGGCCGTTGTTGACAACCAACTTCTCATTGAACGATGCTATCAAGGTCAGTGATGTCCCCAGAGAGGGTAGATCGCAACAAACGTACCGTATTTTTGCATTTCCATCGTCAATGCCGCATCCGTCTCTTTGATGAGATCTAACAGGCCAGACACAGCCTGCGGGCGCGCTGTCGCTACGAGCTCCTTCCGAGAAGCTTGTGCCGTCTGGACCTTGCTGGCGTAGTCCTGGTCCGCGGCTTGTAGCTTTCGCTGAAGGTCCTCTTCGTGCTGGGCAGCTGATTTGGGACCCTTGAGACCAAACTTTCTGCCAGCGCCCGTATCTCCGGTTTTGACACGATCTAGATCCTCTGCCAGCTGGTCGTACTTGGCCTTGGCCTTCTCTGCGAGTCTCTCGGCATCCTGCACCTTGTTCTCTGCCATCATACCAGTCTGCTTCAGCGTTTTGCGATTTGCGTCCATTTTGTTCGCCAGCTGCAGAAGGTTCTCGTGCATGGCGTGAAGGGCGAGTCCAAATTGGGTACCATTGTCGGCGATGCGCTCGTTGGCGTGTAGAACGTATTCAAATTGCGTCGCATATGATTCGTGGCGCGCATCGGCTTTGCGCAGACCGTCAAGCGTCAGCCGGCTTAACTTCTTCAGACTACCAGCATGTTCCTCCTCCAGAGCTCCGCGACGCTTGAGGAAGCTGGCAAAATCCTGCGCATAGTTGGTCAGCCAGAGTGTTGCAAAGACGAATGAGGAAAAGATGCACGAACTCGCGCACTCGCAATGCTAGCTTTCAGACGGTTCAGTAGTGTTGTCACACCAATATCTGAATGCAAAACCTCATGCACGCGCTGCTGCGTTTGCGTGTCTTGGGGTGGTGCACGCTGCTCTGGCGATGCGGGCGCGGCTACGTCGTCGATGGGTGAGACGGGTGCAACGTCATCGTTGGGGGCGGTGGGGGCGTTGAAATCGGGATTGAAACTGTCACTGCTCGCCATAGGCGGTATAGAGGGCGGCGCAGCCATTGTTGGTGTTGTTGGCGTTGATGACGAGGCAGCTGTCAATGGAGGTCATAGCTAGCCGGTTGGCTGTCGTACTCGGCGCTTCTCGCCGGCAACGCTTGCAGCAGTGGTGCTTCCTTCTTTCAACGTCGTGCCATCATCAACCTCATCCTTGTTCCTTGTTTCTTGTTGCTTGGAAGCACAGGCAAGAATTCGGTTTTACCTCATTCAACAACTGACTCACTTGACGGTGCAATTCTCTTTTCTACCCCTCAGCGGCCTTCTGTCAGCAAGCTGCGACGATATCAAACCCGATCATGTCGGCCGTTTCCAGTGGTTTGCCAGATGAGGTTATAACCTGTCTCCAGAACGCACGTTTCGTAAGTGTTTCCGGCCTCGTATTTCATTTCATATTGTATTCATACAGCTGTGTTACCCGAGTATCACCAAGCCATTGGCTATCCCTTGCTCAACTTCGAGTCCATTGAAAGGACATCCCATGCTTCCACAGTATGCGAGTGTCGCCTTTTCAATACGTTCACTAGCCTCTGATTCCATTCTGGTGTCGTAGTGGACTCTAACCGTCGCAGCTCCATCTCGCGACATGTTCGGACAATGTTCCCCATGTCTCTCTAATGAATTATACATACTTGCCGAATACGCCATACTCTTCATCACCTATCATCATAATGACGACGCCTTCTTCTTCTCGGAAGACTGACAACTTGGAATCGAATGCCCGTGTTTCGCTTCTTGTTCACGACTGGATCTCCCATCGACCACCGACTCTTAGTCAGCATGGTCGCTCGCCTTCACCATCTGCCTCAGGTCCGCGGTCTGGTTCGTTGGCAGAGCTTCTACTCGGTATGAACACAGCCTCGCTCAGCAGAATCAGCACTACGATCAATGGCGTCGCCGAAATAGTACCTTCTGGCTCTGAACAGGAGCGCTGGTACAGGGCGCAGCATCTTGCGAACAACACCTTTGGCCCTACGGACGAGAACACCTACTCGAGCTCACCGGGCGATGGCGGTTTATGGGGAGGAGGCGGTCTTACCCGTACAGTGTCCCAAGAAAGAGATACGCAAGAAGGAGATGGTGGCACGAGATGCTATGTTGAGGGAGAGGAGGTTAAGGTTGTGGTTGTCAAGATCAAGGACGGCAGAATTGCCGACTGGAAGGGTCAAGTGAGGGATTGGGCAGTGGCCAGCAGCACTACTGCTGCATTGACGAATGGTACCTAGCTTGCTACGGGCATTACACGTAAAGGGTTGGAGTTTTCGGTAACTGACCTCGTGCAAGAGCGCAATCAGCAACATGGGAAGTTTTAAAGGCCACACTAAACATACACTACGTGGACCATGTTCTAACAGCTCACAATTGTTAAGCGAAGCCATCTCAAAAGTCGAAGAGCGTGATGATGAAAACGCCTGAACCAATTATCGAAGTTCAGCCTAGAATGTGGCCGTGGCCGTTTGTCTCAGTGCTCGAAACTTGCCTGCAACAATTGCAGCGAATCACATCGAGATTCGAACAGTATCCCTGCGATATCGCGTGCAGGATTGTGCTCCCCTCAGGTAAGTGAAGGTTCGCAACAGATTTTTTAATTCGCGCAACCTGTGGTGAAGTCAACGGTGAGTGCACTGACCAACGGTGAATGCACTGACTCTCTCGCCTGCGCCCCCGCCCCGCGGATTATAAGCTCCACATCCCGCGTCCTTTGTTCTCATACTCAGACACTCCTTCACCTACTTCTCAACCCACCTTCTCAATCCACCTTCTTAACCCACCTTCCCTTGCAGCCAACTCTCGTCTGCTTGTCAATTCCACCACGCGCATCGAGAAGCGCCATCAATAACAAAGACCAAGCTCGACCTTCACTCGATGTCGTCCATCCTCCGGACCGGCCAGGTGGTCGTGTCAAGAGACCCAACTGCTGCAGAGATTGAGCGCTTCCTCGCCAGTCGCAGTGGTAGTCAGATGACGCAACTGATGCGATCCATTCAAGCACCTGCCGCTCAAGTCTCACTCGCAAAATCGATGCTTCTCATTCCATCCACCGCTCATACCAAGAGCGCACCTCCCGAGAAGGCCAAGAAAGCGCTGAATGCCTTTGTTGGTTTCCGATGTAAGTTTTGGTTTCAGTTTCACTTTGATCAGGCTAACAAAGAGTCCAGGCTACTACATTCATATTCCTGACCTCAAGCCATGGCCCATGAAGAAGCTTTCCAACATCATGGGAGTCATGTGGGAGGCAGACCAGAACAAGTCGCTGTGGTCGTTGATGGCGAAAGCTTGGTCCATCATCCGCGATCAGGTCGGTAAAGACAAGGCATCTCTTCACCACTTCTTCGAGATCATCTGTCCTCATCTCAACATGCCTACTCCAGAGACTTACCTCCACTCTTGCGGTTGGACACTGAGCTCTGACAAAGATGGCAACCCAACTGTCTCGAAGAAGTCCTTTGTATCGCAGGTTACTGTCAGCACCGGAATTGCAGGCATGGCTCTGTCCGTCGAAGACATCATCACCCACTGTCAGGACATGGGTTATGCCATAGGCTACGTTCCTGATCTCGAAACTCACTCCCCAACGTTTCTGGCTCAGTCTCACAACCACAAGAGCAGCTCGGTCGTTCCACAGACTCAACCTGCGAACTCTGTCTACGACTATCGCCTTGCAGCACGCAACAAGCGACGAGAGAAGCGCCAGACTTCCCGGGATACCAGCGTTTTGCTGGCGCTGCAACAGCAAATCATCGATGCTCACTCCACGCCCGGCCAGGATATCGTGCCCCACGATGATCCCGTCCTTTCCGAGAGTGAGCCTATGCACTTCTATCAGAGTCTTGCTGGTCTTTTGACCGACCACGATCAGCAAGGTTTCACAGACTTTTCTGGTGATCTTATTGCTACTGGAGATGCTGCCATGGCAGGCTGGACTGACTACGCGTTCCGCATCGGTGCAGATGAAGATGCAACGCTTCCCATGTTTGACTTTGCCAATATGTGATCTTCGTAAGATCACTCGCATGTACAATGTCTGGCAAGCAGTTGACACTCATAGCATGGTCAGCAATCTTGGGCAGCATCTCTACCACACTGGTCTCCTTTGGCTCACGATCCCATAAACCGTTCAGCCTACTTCTCTTCTCTCGATACCCCCGATCACATGGCTACCCAGCACACCGATCAAATTTTTCCTTACTAGAAGCATCACTGTAGCCCTTGCGACAGGCTGGCTACACCACGACGAGCACGCGACGAATCCACACCGATATCGTCTCGTCATTTCAATTTCATCAGCACGCTACCACTAATGTGCCACCGCACTCTCGGCGGCCTTCGAATGTTTTTCTTTTGTTCATCACACGGCACAGCTTGCATCATGCACAGCACATGGGTTACGGATTTTTTAAACATGCATGGAGGTTCACTTCACTCTACTGCATATGGGATACGGGCATTGGGGCATTCGGGCATTGGACGAAATCAGGCATTGACAGGGCTCAAAGCATTGAAAGTAATTCTTTGCATGCACTCATGTAACTAGGCACAGGTACATAGAATAAATAGCAATGACATCAAAAAAAAAACTCAGAAAACAACGCTCTCCTACTGTTTGTGTTGTGATCCGTGATAGCTGTCGCAATCCTCCATCGCTGCTGCCGCCTTGCTTCGCTTGACCCCCACACAGGCTCCAGCCGGGACCTTGTGGAACATGTGTGCACATCGCTTCATGCGCCGTTGCGCGCTGTCCTTGCGCGCTTAGCTTGTGGGTGAGGCGGGTGGGGATGATCGTGAGCATAGCAGCTTGTACGCAGTCATGAGAGCTTCGCACCATAGTCGCAGCAGTGGTATTGCTCTAGGTATATAACTATCAACCTCATCTACCAGACAGCCGCCAGGGGACTGTGGTATGACCCTCCTTCTGCTGCTTCATCAATTGGGTTCGTGTCGTGCGTCGCCATGCCTTCAGCTCCACCTCTCGCGAGTAGCAGCTCAGATTCCTATCCTAATTCGCCTGCGTGCCTTCATCGTGTATAGCGACGTCGTAACCACCCATGTCCGTATCCGTGCTCGAAGGATGCGCATCCCTGTCTCAAGTGGAGACCGTTCGCGTCGGGTACCCGCGCATCAGTCGCTGTTCTTCCAATCGCTGGCCCAGATGAACGTCCCGCAGCGCCACTGTGTGCCCGATTCCTTCTGACCAGAGGGGCCAAGGGGTCTGTGCCGATGATGGTCAGCGCTGTACGAATCGTGAGCATCGCATGCTGCATGCGTGCCGCCGCCCCTTGCAGAAAAACAACTCGATGGTCAGAGAACAAAGACATCCATGCAAACGCTCGCGTATACTCGAGCTACGTACCTTGGACACATCCAGAACTGCCTCCCGCGATTAACACCAGGTTTCTTGGTTGTGAGCGTGATGCACGGCTCGGCGTGCCCTTCGCATCGTGGCGGCGGCCGCTTAGAGAATAGCTTAGTCCATCCCTCCTTTGACGCTTGCTGTACCGCAGCAGGATCGCAAAGCAAGAATGGTGATGTGGTGCTCTGACTGGCGGATGCTGCCGTTGAAGCCGTTGGCGGTGGGGTAATCTCGGTTCTGGCGTCTGCCGCTGCATTCGCTGGAAGGCTTGCATCACCATTGGCAGATGGCAAGGATTCCGAAGGGGGCGCGACTGTCGCGGCAAAGTCAGATTCGGAAACTTTGGATCGTGTCTGGAAGAATCCTTTCAACGATCGTTGGCCCTTTGCAAGTGAGGCTGCATTCGAATTGGTACTTGGGTTAGAGGACTTGGACCGCTTGATCGACTTGCTAGGCGACGCCGATGCAGATGCGCGGCGCTTCTCGGACAGCGCGAGAGGGCTTGTGGCTTGCACATTTCCACCATTCGTGGGTAACAAAGGGTTTGTCAGTCCCGCCAGTTCGGGTCCTTTGTCTATCCCTTGCGATGGCGCAGCATCCGCAGCCCCTCCCAATGCTGCCGCGGGTGATGGAAATGCAAATGCGTTTGCAGCTTTCGAAGCTGCAGGCTTCTTGCTGAACATGTCACGAATGTTCTGTCGTTTGTTGAACTCGGTGAGTAGCTTGCCTGAAAGTGGGGGAATGTCTTTCGTGCTGTACTCTCTCAACCTGACGCCGTCCTTGAACATTCCAGGTGGGTTCATGACGTCGATTATATGGTGCTCTTCATCCTCTACCCATTCTGATGTAACATTGCCCATGCCCAGCACCCGGTCTTTTGTTATTGCGTATACTGGGCAATGATCTGAGCCCATCAAGCCTTCCTGAATGTTTGAAGCCTTGAACCAATCCTTGATCTTGATGCTACAGAGCACAAAGTCGATGCGTGAGCCGAAGTTGCCTGGCCTTGCGTTGATCTTCTGCTCCCAGTGGGTGAACATGCCTTCGCGATCGGGGTGATATTCGCGACACAGATCGTACAGAACAGGCTCTTCTCTCCCTTCGTCTCGCTCGCCTACTACCTTGCCATTGAACAAGAGCTGGTTGAAGATCCGACGGTTCGGCGTGTTCAGATACTCGTCATGGGTCATGCCTTCCGCTTTCATGTTATCTTCTGCTTTCGCTGTGTCGATGAGATCGCGTGAAACGTTGAGATCGCCGGTCAAGATGACGTTCTTGCCCATCTTTGTAAGATTCCGTATCCGTGTATCGAGCATATCGAGGAAGCCGTAGCGGAAATTGTCACGCAGGCCATTGCTGTTGGCAGGGCTATAGACGCCAAACAGCACGAATGCAGGGAACTCGAGGACGAGACATCGACCTTCGGCATCGAGCGCAGCTGGATCGACTCCCAGTGCCTCAATGCGTGCCAGTGGCGGATAGCCTCCAATGCTTTCAGACTCAGGTCGTTCGCGGTACGGTGTTGACGAGCCAGGCGGACAGAGAACTCCAAGTATGCCTTCCTCGGCGCGAATTGGTGCACATACGGATTGGCGGGTGTAGATGCCAACACCAGAGTATCCTGCAGTATCATCAGCACGTGACACGATGCTGCATTGGGCCTGCGAGCAAGTGTACCTTTCTTGTGCTTGGGCAGGCTGAAGTAACAGTCCCAGCCAGGCACCAGAACCATATCATCAGTCAGGTCCTTACGCTGAATCTTCAGTTCCTGCATGATCACGATATCCGTCTCGAGGATGTCGAACATGGCGCTGAAGGTGCGGTTCTTGCGCCATGGCTCGTAGCCAAACGGGTTGCGGATGCCATTGACATTCCACGTCGTGATGCGGACCATTGTGCGTGGAGCTGGCGACGGTGCAGCCTCATCTTCGTCCGAAGCTCACAGTGGTGACAGTATATTGTTGATGACGGAGACGCGCCGCGCGCCTGCCCAATGCACTCGAAGCAGGCACGACGTCACATGGCAGCTCGCCGGTAGTGCCGGGGCAAGCGCAAACCACACAAACGTGCCAAGCCCAGCGGAAGCTCGAGCTTTCGCTCACACCACACCTCAGGTGTCATCGCCCGCAACGCCCACTATCGCTTCCACGCACCAATCTCCACTCCACCACCGCCCACCATGTTCGCCGCCCGAACTGTCGCCCGCCAGACCCCGCGCATGGCGCTCGCCCGCGCCCCCGCCCGCGCCGGCCGCCGCAACTACAGCTCCGAGACCAAGCAGCAGTTCGCCGGAGCCGAGGACAACGAGTTCAACCGCGAGCGTGCCCGCATCCAGGAGCACGGCGGAGAGAGCGGCGAGTTCTGGCGCAAGTTGAGCATCTAGTAAGTCGCTCCGAGCGTGCCAATCAGCGGCCGCGTATATGATGTTGGGATGACGGAGACGGGGGAGGGATATGGGGTGGCATTGGCGGCGCAAATGGGCCAATTGGGTCAGGAAAACATGTACTGACGATGCACTCACAGCGTCGCTCTTCCTTGCATCATCGTTGCTACCGTCAACGCCAAGGTCAGGTGGGATGCTCACTGGGAGCACGTCGCGCACGAGGAGCACGAGAACCCCCGCGAGGAGAGGCCCGAGTACCCCTACCAGAACATCCGCACCAAGAACTTCTTCTGGGGTGACGGTGACAAGGTGAGCCAGGTCTACTCGCTGTTCCTGAAGCAGTCATACTGATGCGACGACAGACCCTTTTCTGGAACGACAAGGTCAACTACCACAAGAAGGACGAGTAAACACTTTTATAACCATCAATTAACTGGTTCATGGTATCTTGGAAGTGCTCTCAGGCCCAATGTGTAAATACTAGGACGCAAGTGGCAGGCGTAGAACCAGCAATACATCTCTTTTGTACCTGACTTGCGCCTGCAATGCTGTCCGTCGTGTCTACCGCTACTAGCACTCATCTTGCAATGCAGCCCTTGCCACTCAGGTCTGCTCGATTCGCTTCATACCCTCTTCCCAAACACGATTGTGATTCTGGCTCCATTCTTCCGCCAACTTCTCGTCACCTCTCAGCTTCGCAATGATCGCCTTTTTCATGAGCTGCTCGCATTCGCCGTCGAGGTACGAGCTCTTCTTGAAGCAATCCCTCGCTCGGTCAATGTACAGCTCAGCCTTCGCAATGTAACTAGTCTGCAGTCGAGGCTCAGTCGCTTTCGCCGGGTCTGCTAGGCCCATGAATGAGTCGCCAAGGTGCGAGTACAGCGTGCCCGAAAGCATGTTGTCTCCATTCTCGAGAGAATGCGGCAGGACAGCCTCAAGCAGACGCTTAGCACTTGCGCATTCGCCCAGGTTGTTCAAGATATTGGCGAGCAGGCCGACTGCAGTCCACAGGCTGGGCATTAGCTTTGCTTTATATGCCACACTCGCAGCTCGCAATGCGACACTGAAGCCGTGCTCTGGTTTCCCTGCTCTGCGGAAAAGGTCGGCCTTCATGAGCAGCACGGAGATACGTTGTAAGATGTCGGCGTTGTCTTCCTTGAGCGACTCCGCAAGGCTCGAGATCGCTGTGAAAGCTGCCGCGTAGTCTCCTTTCGATACGAGGAAGTCGATGTATGCTTCGGAGAGCAGGAAATGAAGCTCGGGATCGAGAGCATCGGCAGACGAGCCTGTCGAAGGCTTAAGTGTCGCGAGTAGGTGAGAGCATGTTGACCAATCGGACCTAGAGACGTCAGACGACTTCTTTGAATGTAAGGAAGTGCAAGGGAAGCCGTACCTTCGGATCGCACGCTTGAGTTTGATGATGCCAACGCAGAGGATGATGTACTGTTTCGACTTCAAAGCCTTATTCTGGGACGCCGCGTTGATCAACTCGAACGCTTCGATAGCATCGTCATAACGCCCACTCTGGCTCATCTACATGCTTGTCAGTATATATTGAATGCAGTAGCAGGAACTTGAACGAACGATGAAGGCCTGTCGTCCTACGGCTCGAAGCTTCTCGTCAACCGGACACCTGGCTCCATGACAGTCAAGGAGCAACTCGCAATGCACATTGGCCAGGTGTGGTATCCCCAAACGGGAGTACAGGGTGGACTGCAGTAATATCTGGCTTCCGTAATGGTTGATAGTTTCCCTGATGTTGAGATGTGAAGACTGATAGATGTGTTCAAAGGCTCGAGATATCGAGTCACCCTGGTCATCCGTCAGTCGAATCTCACTTTTTCTTGTGTCTATACCGACATACCGTTGAGAGACTCAGCTTTGCCTCGTTTAGTAGCGTTGCACTTAGCAGGTTGTACATCTTCGTCTCGCGTGCCTTCGCTTTCAAGAACGCCAGGGCATCTCGCTCGCTCCCGAGCATGCTGATGTAGCCCGCGCTTTTCATCTGCTTGGGATATGCTTTGTTCATGTGGCTCAGCCAACTCAGACTGAAGCTCAAGCATGTCATATCCTGAGACTCTCTTGCAGTTGCAATTGTCTCGTTGATGGCGGCGATTGCTTCACCGAAGCAGCCAAAATCGGCTTGCAGTATGGCTGTATGAAGTAATGCATACTGGTAATGAACTTTCTCGCGTGTTTGCATGGCGTAGTCGTAATAGCGGTGCAAATTGTCGAATGCAGTCGTGTAATCCCCTGCTTTCCAGGCGTCGAAGAAGTTGACCAGGTGTGCCTGTTGATGCACTGTATCCGAAGACGCAAACATTCCACGAAGTTGAGTTCTCATAGCCTCTGGTACTCGGTCACCGAAGCGTTGTAGGCGCTCGAGTTGGAACTCCAATATGCGGTCGAGGTCGTCCAGACTCATGCCTTGCGTACCGGTTTCTGGTTCGTTGAGAGCCCCATAAGCAATCTCATACACGTCGTCACCTTCTTGCAAGCCCATATCTGCGACAACAGCATCAACGCCACTTGCAGCTAATCCAGCGAGACGCTTGGTCCATTTCGCTGTGGGTGCCCGATATTTGACAAAGGACGACCAGAGCGCAATCGTGTCCTCAAACTTCAACCTGTCAAACTCAAGGCGCGCCCGCCGCACGAAGATGCCCAAAGGAGAGGTCTTCGAGAGGTATACGCGTTCTTGCACCTCTCCTTCTGGGTTTGGCGGACTCATCAAGAGCTCGCCGAGGTTGTCGAAAAGAGAGTGTAGGGCATCGAATGAGTTCATCTCCCACATACTTTTGAGGAAGATATCCAGAAGCGTGCGGCCTGGCATATTGGATGCATGACCTTGGAGGACTTCTTCGAAGCTATCGATGGGGAAAAAGGAATCTTGAGATGCAGATGAGCGCTGGGATCTGGCGCTTGAAGAAGTTGGGGGGAGAGTGTTTGAGATGATGAAAGACAGAATGGGTATTGTAGCCGAGGATGGCAGCGTAGAGCTGCAGTACAATTGCAGCAGAACCAGCAGACTGATCTTCTGCGCTGTGAGATAGCGTGCTGTGCCCATTGCGACCTGCGCTTGCGACCAGGATTGCCTCAGAGAGTTCACTGATTACGATCTTGTTGACGTTGCTTATCCTTGCAACATATTTGTTAAGCGACCCCGATTCCAGGCTTGTGACAGTGGATTTGGAGAATCGGATAAGCAGATGTTTGGTTGGAGATATTCTTGCTGTTTACACGCGGTGAAAGGCAAGCGCGGGCTAAGCGAAACACCCGAACGCGTAGTCACGTTTATGGTTCGATGCATCACCCGTACACTGTTGTATGTCTCGATAGCAGATGCACGACAATTTTCGATATGTACATGGCAAACAGTGCAAAGGATCCATGCGCAGAATGTACCATTGCTAAATGATCGAGCAATCTCTACTTCCCTAACTATTTGTCTCGGTGATATCGCGCTCTGGTTTCTCCTGAGCGGAGTCTCTTCTCCCAACGTTCTTGTTATAATCCCCTCGCCGTTTCGAGCCAATGGGAAGTCCCTGAATGTGGCCTGGCGTATCCAAAAGAATATCGTCCTCTCTATTCGCGTTCGTCGCCCAAATATTGCCAATGCTAAGATCATAAGGACCGGGTATCCTATCTATCAGCGAGATGCCCACAGTGCGCACTTTCTGTGTCAACATCTCCCTCTGCGGTTCGACAACTTGACCGTGGTTCGTCCGGACGAACTCGCTCCACTTGATGAGCACGGTCTCCCACTCTCCCGGAGTCTTTGAATGCAGCAGATGCTGATGGATGTCTGTAGGCACGATTGAATCGGTCTGCACGTTCACGAAGTACTTGCGCCCGTCCGACTTGAACTGCATGGCCAAGTAGCCGTACATGCTGACATCCCAGTACGAAGGGCCAAAGATAGTGCGACCCCGCTCGAGTGTCCTCCACCCTGCATATCCTGTCCTCTGAATGTGCGGTTGATTGTGGGGTAGCTGTGTCGATATGGTGCCGTGGAAACATACGTGTGCGGGCGCAGTCTGGGTGACGGGGTGGTGATCGAGATTAACGGTTGAAAAGCCGCCGATGTCCTTGTCGCTCATTTTCTTGCATCCTTCCAGATCCTCGGCATCATTGAAGCGGACCAGAGGAAACGCTTTGCGGGGAGTGCTCAGGCCTTCAAGTTTGAGAGCTACACTGGTTAGCCGCAGTCGCATGAGCAAGCAGCCGACAAGACGCACCAACCTGCGAGAGGCGTTTGAATTCATCCAGGCTGCGGGACATGAAGCCCTTGGGCGCAAAGCATTGTGCTGTTGGGCGCATTGTGATTAATGGTCAGTATCAATTCTGGTCGAGGGAAGGCGACTTTGATGACGACCGCACGACCGCGGCGAACCATGCAGGCGCGCCGGCGCTGCTAGCGCGGCCCCAAAATTTGGTCTGGATGTCCGCATCTTGCATGCTGAAGATGCGCATGTATTTCGCCTTCTCCTAATTCGAACGACAAACTGAGCTGCGTCGTTCATTATCGCCTCTGCATACACGATACTTGTGTATGCCATCCAAACCGACTCCATTCCTTCCACGCGACGCGCAAACACTAGATGACCTTCGAAACCGCCTCCGCGCCTCGAGGCCTCCGAGAGAACCCACAGTTTGGGCAAACATCATTACCTTCTTCACGTGAACTCGGTGAGGTGGTTCCAGCGAAACTTCCAAATGGCGCTCCAGTAGCAGCCGGTCCTGTGTTTGCCAAATCATGGGCGCATTTCGTTGCTGGAGGGTGAGGCAAAACCTATTCAGGACCAGCATGACGCGATGGAAGACTGACAGAATCTAGTCTTGGTGGCATGGCCTCCGCGACCCTGACCGCACCGCTCGATGTACTCAAGACACGCCTGCAATCAACATACTACCAGCAACATCTTGCCGCTATGAGAGCCGCCCGAGGATTGCCACCCATCGAGACCATGTCATTTGCCCGTAGCTCACTGCTGCACGTTCGCGAAACGGGAGAGATTCTGTGGCAGGTTCCAAAGGTCGAGGGCTGGCGCGCGCTCTTCAAGGGTCTCGGTCCCAATCTGATCGGCGTCGTCCCTGCTCGCGCCATCAACTTTTACATGTACGGAAACACCAAGAAGGCCATCAGTACACATTTCAACAATGGGCAAGAAGCTGCATGGGTTCATCTGTGTTCTGCAGCTGCGGCCGGTATTGTGACTGGAACTGCAACAAACCCCATCTGGCTGGTGAAGACCCGACTACAGCTGGACAAGAGCATCCACTCCGATGGCCGCGGTCGCCAGTACAAGAACGCCCTTGATTGCACAATGCAGACCGTCAGGAAAGAGGGATTCTTCGGACTGTATCGAGGATTGACTGCCAGCTACCTTGGCGTGTCAGAGAGCACGCTGCAGTGGATGATGTACGAGCAGATGAAACTGGGTCTGGCGAGGCGAGCTGAGCGAGTCGCTGCGAGCGGACGCGCACCAACACTCTGGGACCAGACTGTCGATTGGACAGGCAAGCTCTCCGCCGCTGGTGCTGCCAAATTTGTCGCCGCTCTCCTGACGTACCCCCACGAGGTTGTCCGAACACGCCTACGACAGGCTCCTCAACAAGATGGACGTCTGAAGTACACTGGCCTGACGCAATGCTTCAAGCTCATCTGGAAAGAAGAGGGCATGGCCGCGCTCTACGGTGGACTTGTGCCTCACATGTTCCGCGTCGTGCCCAGTGCCGCCATCATGTTCGGCACGTACGAGGGCGTGCTCAAGCTCCTCGGCGAGTCGAGCAACATGTAAAGCATCCCTCCGACTTTCTTCACTTCGCATGTACAACATTTGACTGCATGGGCACGGCGTTGCAATTGGTTCTGAGCATATACTGACGGCGTCATCTACTCTGTGTGAATAATACCCACACATCTTCGATCTTATGGAGCGTTTGTAAATTAAAAGATGTATGGAAAAGGTGCTGGCTAGGTGGGACGAAGAAAGGTCATGGATGTAAGAGTACGAATCGTACGAGCCAGGAAAGACATGTATGAACAGTAAAATAATGACAACCACTTTGAATATGGAGAACCTACATTTGAATCCAAATGGCATGTGGTTGAAGCGTTCTAATGTACTTTGATAGACTGGCAGACTGAACCCTGGAGCGGTCGGAGAAGCGGCCTGTGCGTTTTGAACTTCGTGAACTTTGTTCTATCACGACGAAATCCACGCGGGCGCCACAACCTCCACAATGTCGACACATACCCCTCTTCGGATAGCCCGAACACCGGCGCACTCAATTCGCCGCCAGTGTCTCTTCCAACGGCGCCCCGTCCCGTCCACACCACGCTGCCTCGCCGCCGCGCCCGCGCGCGCCTTCTCCTCGACCCCAGCAGCCCGCCACCGAAAGGATGTCCGGCTCTATGACCCACGCATGCAGCTTGCGGGCGCCTCGAAAACCATCTGGGGCCACCCGGCGCCCAGCGTGCGCAACGGCAACAAGAGCCTCATGAGGGAGATGGCCGACGACATTGGCCTGCTGCAGAACACCATCATCCGCGCGCGCTTCCGCGACCTGCCCCGCCCCACCAGCTGGGAGTTTTACAGCTACTTCTGGGCGCTGATCAAGGCGAAAGCCACCGCGGTGTACACGCGCTCGCACTTCAACCGCTGCGCGCACAAGAAGGGCGCCAAGTCGTATCTGCCCATCGACTTCCTCAACCAGAAGCAGCTCAAGGACACCGCGAAGAACATGTACACCCGCTACTACGAGGCCCTGGCTAGGTACGCCTCCCCGCTCGGGGAAACCCCGTTTCACGCGAGACACCGCGAGCTAACCGCCCCTCCAGCGCCGACACAAAGGCCCTGCGCGACCTGTGCCTGACCCCCCTCGCCAACGCAGCGCGCACCCAGATCAACGCGCGCGGCGTCAAGGTGTCGTGGCAACTGCTGAAGTTCAAATCCGCACGCATCGTCTCGCACCGCTGCTCGCCGCTCGGCGGCGAGTACCAGGACACCTCGTACCGGCAGTGCGTGGTGCGGCTCGAGTCGGAGCAGCAGCTGACTGTGGTGCCGATTATGCCGCGCGCCGGGCAGCGCAGCACGGGCGGGACGGCGTGGGCGCCCGGCGCAGCGCCGAAGCAGAAAGCCGCTGGTGCTCTGTCCGCAGAGAGCGAGGATGTGCGGACTGAGACGGTCGTGGAGTACGTGGTTCTGCAGACACGGGTCATGGAGGGCAAGCTGGATGAGGAGTGGAAGTTGTGGGGCTTCACGACTGAGTCCACGCCAGCGAGGATCGAGGAGGACGAGGCGTACTGGAGGAAGATGCTGGATATGCAGACTCAGGCAGCATGAGCGTGAGGTTGCATTCTCCGAAGCGCGAGATTGTGAAGCGACGACATTGTAAACATAGTCATGTACATGCCAAGACATAGGCCATTGTATAATTCCTGTCAGATCGACGATAAGGCTGTTGTTTCTATACATGCACGTTGCGGACACTACATAGATCATCAAGTCTGCAGGGTGAGTGAGCCCGCTGTGCTCAGTGCCAGGCAATCGGCAACAGAGCCGACAGTGCAACGTCACGAGTGGGGCAGCAGTGGGGAACGTATTCAAGGGTGGGAGTGTGTATATTCATGTCGTGAAAATTCTAGCCATTCTCGTCATGATAGACGCATGAAGCACTCCCACTGTCCAGCGCATACTGCAAACGTCCCGTGGTCTCCGTCCTATCGGCAGGTCGTGCCGTTTCTTCCGTGTCAGCCTCAGCAAAAAGAGCGCCATAAACGAGTGAGGGGAAACGCCTGTATCCCGCGGCACCCAGCTCGGAGCGGGTGGCGGGAGGAGAGGACTCGCAGTTGATAGCGTCTAGAAACCGTGGACCTGTGTCGTGTCAGCATGTCGGCTAGGCTGCGAGGGCGCTCGTGACTCACCTTGATGGTCTTTCCATCAAGACCAAGGCCCTCCTTCTTGTCGGTCAAGAAGTCTTGGATGTCCTTGCGCTGATCTCCCTGGAGTTGGATGACCTCACCCATCTCGGTGTCTGCGACTATGGTTCCATTGCAGGCAAACTTCTTCTTGATGACCTTGAGGATCTTCTTCTGGTCGAACTTCTTAGGCAGACCTTGCACGGTGGTCAACGTCTTGCGGCCATTACGCTCTGCGTCGTGTTAGCGTGAGCTCCTTAATTATTTGGTATTGACTGCGGTGCTGCGCGTTGAGGGTCGCAGAATTTTAGGGGGTTGGGTAAGCGGGTGCGGACACGTTGCTGCGCAGGCCAGGCTGCACGCGCAGACATGCGAATACGTACGTTGGATACGGATGTGAATGTAGTCCTGGGACTGCGCTGAGGACTTCTCGCCGGTGCCTTCATCGGCTTCCGCGAACGGGTCGAAGGTCTTAAGATTCTCGATGGACATACAAACAACTGTTGCCTGTGCGCTGTGGGTGGGTTTGTTGTTGCGTTCGCGGGGGTACAGAATACCGGTTGAGCTGAGAGTGGATGCGCGTAAGTCTGGGGGGTGGTCGTGTGAGTGGAGTGTGAGAGTGATGCCCAGGTGTTTCTTGAAGGGAAGTAGTTGGTGGGGCGCAGCTGCCCGCTCCCCGCCGCAGGGGGCACAGACCGGCCATTTGCGTCGTGCCCTCCCCCTCAAGAGTCAAGCCTGGTTCGTAAGGCACGAAGATGGAACATCAATGGTCAGGCTGCAAGATGCTCGGCTTTGGAGCTGGTTCGCTTGCGAGAATTACATGTATCTATTCAACGCTGGATGTATTATTTTAGGCCTCCATCGCTGGAGCTTCGCTCTGTGGGTCATGGCTTGCTTCTCTCACTACACGGTTACACAGTGCACCTGTTGTGCTCCACGACCTAGCGCGCCACCACTGACCACAGCAACGCTTCATGCATGCATGGTGAAAAACTACGACGGAGGCGCCGCAGCCGGTGCTGCCTGTGTTCCAGTACCTGTACCAATGCTGCCGGGCGGGGGAGGCAGGATGAGGGAAGAGTAGCTCTGTAGCACCAATCAGCCATCTGAGCAGCGTCAGGGCAGGCGCGTCACTTACGACAATCAGAGACATAACTGCAGCACGTTAGTGAGGCTGGTTGACGGCGGGCCGAGTACGTACCAGCCATGCCGACGGAGAAGTAAGCCGGAGTGGTCGACGTCTTCTTCTGCTCTGAGGTCTCAGCGAGCCACGACTGCACGGAGAAGACCACGGACACCCTGCAGCGAATCAGTGGGAGGTCGCGCAGAGGCGAGCTGAGCAACATACCAGCCGATCATCCTAGTCGAGAGGAGCCATGTCAGTGCTGCAAGCCAATTTAGATAGGGGCGCCGTACTTGTTCCGGGTGAATATCTGGTCGTCATATCAGCCGTGCAACGTAGACGCAGCGAGTGGGACCTACCGCAGCCATCGGCAGCGTGCTCGCCATTGTGCCTGCACTTGCATCAGTATCGCGGCGGCAAGCAGACAAAGACAGGCCTACTGGACATGTTCTCGTCGGACTTGTCCCTGGCCGGCTCGGCATAGGGCACGACTGTGAGAGGTCAGTGCACGTGACCTACGGCCGGAAGCATGGTTGCGTATAGGGGACGCAGCGAGCGGGCGGGCGCCGGCGGCCATTGGGGGCGGCTGGACGTACTGAGGTCGGCGCGGCGCATGTCCTTCTTGCCCTGGAGTGAGGCCATGGTGGAGCGGCGTGGGGGGGTACGGCCGGGTGGGGACGAAGATTGAGAGGGTGCAGGTGGTGGTGGTGCCGCAACGTGATGGTGCGGTGGAGCTGGGGGCCACAGGGCCGACTCGCGGCGCATCGGCAGAGCTGGGACGAGCGCGGTCATCCCATCCAGATCGGAACGCCTCAACACGTCCGTGTCCGTGACTACCCACCGTTGCCAGACCCTGCGCGGCTGCAGACCCCTCGGCCTCCCTCGAGCCTCCGTCCCCGACGTCTCTCGCGCGCTGCCAGCCTTCTGCCCGCACATGTGCAGCCCGCCGCTCGCCTCAGCTGCCCGACGCCCCGTCTCCCTTCGCTCCGGCCGCGCATCTCGTCGACGATGAACCCGCTCTCGATGCGATGACCTCTCGTCCTGGCCCGGGAATACATGAGCAGTCCCGTGGCAGTGGAGTGCCGCCGCGGAATCCGCAGGTGCGGCGGCGCCCGTCGAAGCCGCTCAACACGGCGCTTCCGCCGCCCGAGTGCATCGATCCCGCCCTGGAGGACGAGCGCCCTCCCGCACCCCATGGCGCCGCCGAGCCCGCACGCCCACTGCCGCGGGGGCGGCCCCAGCTGTTCTACGCCGCCGCCCCGAGCGACGGCCTCGAGCTGCCCGCCCACGCCGCCTTCCCCTACCAGCCGACCGCGAACCTGCCCGTGCCGCCGCGCCCGGGCTCCGTCCTGCTGCGCGATGCGGCGAGCCAGCGGCGCATGGCTCCAGGCGGGTCGGGCGTGAAGGAGCACCCCAGCACACACCCGCCCGAGGTCGTCACCGCGCCCGTCCACTTCCCCGGCGGCCGCGCCGCTGACGTGTTTCCGTGGACCGGCACCAACCCCGAGGACACGCTGACGGAGGCGCTGGTCAAGGGCGGCATCAGCAACAAGCCGCAGATCATGAACGAGACGAACACGGCCCGCCCGTCGCTGTGGTCGAACCTGAAGAACAAGTCGGGCCTGTCGACGCTGTCGACGCTGTTCGTCGCCGTGCTGGAGAAGCGCCAGCAGGCCGGCCGGCTGCAGGAGCCGAACACCTTCAAGCCTCCCCCGCGCCTGACCCTGCGCGACACTGCCAGAGAGCAGTGGCTATACGACCTGTCGAATCCCGCCATCGGGCTGCGTCGTCTGAGCCGCACCATCCCTCACGGCCTCACCGGCAAGGTGCTGTTGGAGCAGTGTCTCAACAAGAACATACCTCTCCCGCGCGCCCTGTGGCTGGCCAAATGCGTGGGCATCAACGAGCTGCGCGCCCACAAGCGCAAGGGCCAGGCCGGCACCGTGACGTGGGTCCGAGGCTGGACAAGCTCGGTAGAGCAATTTTTGGACAGCATCCTCGCTGGCGTTGGCACTGGTGAATGGAAGCAACGCATGACGTACTCGTAAGCCATCCTCAACACCGGATGGCGAGCAAGCTAACCCAGCGCAGTCTTCAACTGGCAACATTTCTGTACAAGGAGAGCCTGCTGGACATGGACCACTTTCTCGACTGGATCCTCCACAGCATGGGAGCATCTTCGTCCGAGCGCCTGTTCATCTGGCTTCTTATTGTATCCATTCCGGCGTACTGGCAGGGACTCACTTCATGTCGAATGCGTGGGAAGCGCCTGGCAGAGGCGCTGCTCAGCCACGTGACTAAGGCGAGCTCGATCCGTATAACATAGCTCTCATGTGCTAACAAACAGCAGCTTTCCCAACATGATCCCCACGCACCGCCGTCTCGAATGACGCACTTTCTTGAAAGCACCCTGATCAAGCTTCTCACCATTCGCCCTGCATGTTTACTCCTTCCGGATACCTGGGATCAACAAAGTATCACTCTCAACGCTCTTACAGAGAAGATGAATCATCCTCAGATAGTGTATAACGTAAGGAAATTGGACGAGCGGAATCGCAGGCTGCAGCAATCATCCAAGATTGCCCCGGCAGCTTCTATGACATCTGCGGCCCAGGTCTACCGCATCTTAGACAACGTTGATTACATCAACATGGTTCGCATAGACGAGATCTCTACCGATTGCATGGAGGTCATTCAAGCCCCCGTCAAACTGGTGTCGGTGCTGCTTCAGTGGGCATGTTCGTGTTATCGAGAAGGCTCATACAGGGCGTGCTTGGCAACCCGATTGCTCCGCAGATGGGCTCATCTTGGTGCAGACATGTATGATTGCATTACAACATATCTTGAGAGTATGAGCTGGGCTCAAAGTGGCGATCCTCGCAAGGTTTTCAAGATCATTTCCGAATTAGTACGCTCGAAGACATTTGCAGCTGGTCGCTATATGCAATGGCTCATCGCCACTGGATCAATTGCGCTGAATGTTGATCTATCACTGGTAAGGCATGTCCTTCTTCAAGCGAGACTGAAAGCTTACCATCGATCAGCCTGAAGCGTGGCCCGTACGTCTAATCACGGAGATACCTATCAGTGGGTTACCAGACCAAGTACGCACTTTGCGTGCGACACTGCTTCGTGGGACAGCTCACTCTGCGGATTGGGAAGAACGGCTCTTGCACCATGCCAAGCTTGCACTTGCCCAGCAATTACCTGTGTTGTGTGGGACAAGCTTTTCGGATTTAGGCAGTCCTAAGCTCGATATTGACAACCTTGGGTCTACAGTCAGAATTGAACTTGGCATGTGGCTACGTCACCAAGTCGCCCAAAATGCTGAAGTTAACGAACAGTAGGTCATTCCGTCATGTTGTGCCTGCACTTCGCTAACATTTCCAGCGTACCCACGAAAGATCCCGCTGTCGAAGAGACTGCTTTGGTCTCCCTCATTACGCCGTATGACTTCCACACAGTTCGGTCTTACCTGGAGCAGTTTGAAGATCTTCCACTCCTCGCGGATATCGTCAACATTGCAACCTCGTCACTGGACCCTAGTGTACTCGCTTCTGCCACGGATACGATGCATTACCACCTGAAAGCGTTTCGCGCCATTGGTGCCTTCGACTCCCTGTTTACGAGAGTGGTGAATCGGTACGCCGCCATTCGGACTATACGATTCCCCGAACGCGAACTGCTGCTCAGCCTATTCAACTTGACACGAACGCTGCGGCTGGAGAATTCACTTCTACAGCTCCTCAACTACGATATAAGCCGATTGGATCAGAAGAACTCAATGGCCGCCTGCTCCCCAGCCTCCGACAATATGGGCGAGGCAATGTGCAGTGTACCTTCTAATCCCGAAGAGGAGATTGAGCGCATACTTTCAAGCGGCAATTCTATGGATCAGCAGGTTATGGCTCGTGTGCTACGCAAAATCACCAGTAGCTTACAAGACTGTATCAGCAAGAATCTTTTGCAGTCTGATAGCTATTCTGGATGGTTCTATCGTCTGCGTAGCTTCGACGACTCAACCTTCGATGTGGTCCTGAACGAGTGGGTGAATCTTTGCTTGCTCAATCACCAAGTCGAAGTTCTGTTTCTTGCGTTACCCACCCTTGTCGGGTCAGGCTGCATGCCGCTTTCTGGATTTTTGGATAGCTTGCGAGCCTATGTAGGCAAGACGGCACCTGGGCAGCCTGAGATAGCCTTCCGCGTTGCTCTGGAAGGTCTTCAGAGCCTGCTTCCTTCCGAAATCTTGGCGGGTACATGGTCACCTCAAGACAGATATCGCTACCGGCTTGAGCAACACAACTTGTGCTATGACGCAGACGCGCGTGTGCTACAGTTCATTGGCGAACTCGTTGACCTTGGAACATCCTTGCCAATTCAAAAGGTCGGGCAGCAGTTGTCCGGTCTGCTATCCTCCAGTGCCGTGCTTGACATCTTCAAACACTACACCCTTGCAGATGCTGCTTCTCTCTCCAAGCTTCGGACGGCAGGTCTGAATGGAAGCCTGAGGAAACAATACCTCAAAGTTTTGTTCAGCACATTGCTAGATCCTGATCGTTCTCTCGGTAAACACCCTCAGTCTCCACCTCTGCTCCTCATCACTTACACAAACATCAGGTCTGGCTACGAGAACTCCCGAACAGCAGATACTTGCAGTTTTCGACATAGCCAGCGAGTTGTCGATGCCTTTCTGCCGATCCATGGTCCAGCAGATCTTCGAGACGGACACATCGTCGATGGATCATTCATCGGACAATCTCTCCGCCACCTTGTTGAGCGCCATCAAGTCCGCCCTGGAGAAAGACCAGTCGTCCGGTCTAGAGCTTCTAGCCACCCTAGATAGTTCTCTCACGGACAAGGTACGTCAGACTTTTACGCCCGCCTGTGGCTGTCCTAACGTGTGTAGATACGACAACATGCAGAACGTGAGATTATTGATGCATCATCTTTCCTGACTACCTCATCGTCTGATGCGCTGGGCTTAGGGCAGACTACCCCAGCATTGGTCCAGAAGTATCTTGCGGTCATCGACCTTACCGCAGGAGAGGGCTCGGAAACCGTCGACCAGTCGACTATGTTGATAGCATTGGTGGATAGATTCAAGGGCGTGGCTCAAGCTTTGACTTCCTTGAGTGGTACTGGGAATCCGCCGAGTCACATCGACAACTCGACGGTGTCCGACTTGTACACATGGTATGATTATCAACTACTCTAGCATGTCCTCACTGACCATCGTTAGGACGAACGCCCTATTCCGCGTACTACTATCGCACAGTACTTCGCTTGTACAGAACGCATCGCATCAGCACCAGAGTGCTCTCATGATCGCTCTGAAATCTTTGATCGTTCATCCGACGCTTGAAGTCTATCCACGGATAGCTGAACACATCTTCGACGTAGCTGTCGTTCTGTCTGACCTCCTGTCTGACGATGTCCGCATCCAGCTCGCTCGTGCTGAGAGTGCAGCGTACGCTGATGACCCTCGATGCCTGTTCATCGTTGGCCCTACGACGCTGCTCGATGGCTGGCTTGTTTTGACCAAGCCCTTACAGCCCACTCAGAATCCTGCTTCCTCACAACTGCAACCTCCCACCTCCGTTCAAAACCAGCATCAGTTTCCGCAGATGCCCAGCTCGACCGCTCCGACGCCTCAGCAACGATACTTGAGCCAACAGCAGCAACGCCAACAACAGATGCAGGCGCAACAAGCACAACAAATGCGAAGCTACCCTCAGTACACCCAACACACACATCCGCAAAACAAGATGCTTCCTGCACAACTGCAACGTACGCCCTCGAACCAACCGACTCCTACACCTCTCCAACAAATGCAGCACATGCAGCACATGCAAAGCCTTGCGCAACAGCGTGCGACGCAGCCGTCGCCCGTACAGTCTCAACGTCCTTCCCTAGCAGCAGGTGGACCTGGGGCTCCGACAGGCAAATTGCCAGTAGCACAGCCAAAAGAGTTTAGACAGTTCCCCTACGCACAACCCAGATGGGAAATCCTGGCCGAGAGTTCCGGCAACCCCAACGCAAACGAGACGGCGATCAACTTGAGCCTGTTCGGCGCTCGGAGAGTGTGAGCACGCTCAGACGTCTCGTCAATTCCTTCTCGCCTCTTCATGTTCATTTCGACGTTTCTTTTGTTCGACGTTCTAGGGTATTGGTTTCACATGCATGCAGCGTAGTGGCGTTGATTATTAGGAAGCTCCTCATGACATGCCTGCATCGCAACGGCGTTGGGTGTTTTGACCAACTAGCATTGAGCAGTTGTATATATACGAATCTCGGTACAGCGAAACATGGGTACAGCGTTTCAAGTGAAGATGCTGAAGTCGGAGGGTTATTGATTTGTTGCATACGAGTACGCAGTGTCTACGGTAGATTAAGAAGCCCGAAGGCACATGAAACCACAGTCTCCCGTGTCTTACTTGCATGCAAAAGAAACTCTGCGGGTTCACTTTATGCAGACTTTCCGGTGATCTTCTCATACGCCTCGCGGTACTTCGCCGCTGTCTGTTGCACAATTTCCTCAGGCACCTTGACCCCCTCCTTCCCCTTCAGCCCATTGCTCGTCAGCCAGTCGCGCAAGAACTGCTTATCAAAGCTCGGCTGAGCCTTGCCCAAGTTCTGCTCCCACGTCTCCTTGGGCCAGAAGCGACTGCTATCCGGGGTCAGCACCTCATCAACCAGCACCACCTCGCCCGCCTCATCAAGCCCAAACTCAAACTTGGTATCCGCAAGCACAATGCCCACGGCCTCGGCGCGCCTCGCGGCCGCCTCGTAGATCAGCAGACTCAGCTCCTCGACGCGCGCCGCAATCTTCGCGTCCGCGATGATCTCGCGCGCCTTCTGCGGCGAAATGTTCTCGTCCTTGTCGCCGAGCTCGGCCTTTGTGCTCGGCGTCCACAGCGCCTGCGGCAGCTTCTGGCCCTCGACGAGTCCCGCGGGGAGCGGGATGCCGTTCACCGTGCCGGACTTGGTGTACTCGGACCAGCCGGAGCCGGTGATGTAGCCGCGCACAATGGATTCGATGGGGATGATGCGCAGGCGCCGGACTTGCATGGAGCGGTCTTGGAAGCTGGTTAGGGATGAGATGGGGCCCGGGAGCACGTTGCTGATGTAGTGGGTCTTCAGGCCGGGGACTTGCTGCGGGAGGTAGTTGAACCAGTAGATGCTGGGTGTGGTGTTAATGTTGGGTCCGAAGGTTAGTCAGTGTGGTGATTTGTACCTCATGGCAGTGAGCAGAGCACCCTTTCCTGGAATACCCTGTGACCCTATCAGTAAAGTTTCTATGACAGGTGGCTTGGCTCTGCATTTTTGATTGTTTTTCCACAGTCCTACTCACATTCTCCATGATCACATCGTACGCCGATATGCGGTCGCTCGCGACGAAAAGCAGTGTGTCATCGTCAACTGCGAACAAGTCGCGCACTTTGCCGGATGCTACCTTGGGCAGCTTGCCCTGGACATCAATGGTGGTGACTGTTTCCGACATCTTAACTATTCAATTGCTTGTTGAGGTTGTGCGACTCAATCGTTGCCCAACTTGGTTCGAGTATTTAAATTGTGCTGCATGACGCTAAAGTGGGTCCAGCAGGGTCTGCGGGGCATAACGTCCTTTCACAGGTGAAGATGGAGTGTTCTTCCTCACTACACTCTTTGATTGATTTTTGCTGAAAGGGAAATTATGACACGTGCTTGTAATAATATGGTAGTGTTCCTCGCCATCAGATACTCAAACGCAAAAGTGACGAACCCCCCCCCTGCCCTGTGCCTGATGGAGGCCTGGGTATCTGAGCGCTCATTGGTTCACGCTTAGCCTCATCACCTCACCTCCATCTATCCATCTCCCATCATCGTTTCGCATCATCTAACATCTTGACTATGGCTACTACCCAGTTTACTGCCCTCATACGGCTTCCCTTTTCACGCGGCAGCTTTGTAGATCCACCGCAAGCACAGTGGGACGCTGAGAAGGACCGCCAGTTATGGAAGGTCATCTCCAAATCATCCAAGACGAGTGACCTCAACTGGGTTGAACTAGCTTCTAAATTCCAAGTGCCTCCAACGTTTCTGCTGCAGCAAGCAGCATGGCTGTATGAACGGCATTTCGAGCATGTTCGCAACCAGATGAAGAAGGTCAGCGGTTCCACCATCACCGCGCCTACTGCCTCCGGTGGCGGAAGTACGCTCACGCCTGTTGGTGGCTTTGCAATGCAGAGAGCTGGCAGTGGTGGTGCTGGACCTCGGACAACCTCAGCCCTATCTGGTCACTCCAGGAACAGCCCAAGTCTCGGTATGCAAGATGCTGTCGAGCCCGTCTCGACTCTGACCAGGACGCCTTCGACGACGACTATCACGCAGTTTCGCGCTCAGACTCAGCAACTACCCACCCGGACGCTCTCTGCACGATCAACGCAACGACCTAACCTTGTTAGACCTGCCAAAGATGATCGATCTGTCTCTCCAAGAACGGCGGCCCACACGACACAGCAAGAACCTCCGGAATCTCCCGAGATCCCTGCCTCATCATCGTCGAGCTCATCATCGCTGTCCGACGCCGATCATCCTGCCCATCGTAGCCAGCTATTCAAGAGACCACCACGCTTCCAGCAGAAACGACCTCGCGAACTAGCCCCGTTCGCGGAAGGTGATGGCACTCTGGAAGGGGACGAGGCAGGATCACAGGGTACCACTATGCTGCCATTCGCATCCGCCGCCCTACGAACGCCAGTTGCATCGAGACAGAGCCAACCCGAACAGAGAACGCGACTTGTAGATCGACGGAGAGGGAGTCCATCAGTTAAGCAGAGCAGCCCGCATTCTCAAGTAACAACGGAAACAGCTTCCTCCATGACGAGCTCTGCTAGCGATGCGCCTTCTGGTCCTGGGGCTGCTGCAAAGAGTCCTGTGAGCCCTGACTTCAATCACCGCGCTGCAATGGCGAATCTTGGAAGCCCGAGAACTCAGGCGTTGAGGCGCAAGGAGGGAAGCGAAGGTACTCCTAGCATGGGTAGCAGCTTCAGTGACATTGATGGTATGTGGCGGTGACTGAACAGAGCTTTGAACGTGGCTGACTTTTACAGATGCGGGCATCAGCCAGTCGGCCTTGGAAGAAGCTTTACTCAGCAATATGCAACACGGTAGGATGAGTACACTCAGCAGGATGTCGTATGCTTGGAAGCAGTAGCCTTTTTCTGCCTTTCACCTATGCAGAGCACACTTGCGTTTGCCTTGAGCAATGTCTTGGCGCACGTGTGATCTTTAGACACATAATCACTCTCTCTCGATCACACTCTTGACACGCTTGCTTCGCTACCTTTTCGCCCATCATGAAACCTCTCATCATTCGCGTTGAGGAGCATGGTACCTCAGCACCTGTGTTGACCCTCCGATACATTTGCCGCGAAAACGAGCTCGATATCAAGACTGTCTTCGCTCACTTCTACAACATGATTGAGCATCCAGGCCGAGCCCATTTCGACCAGCGTCTGAACGGCAATCAGCGACACGATGTCATACCATGCAGTGAGGTTTTCCTCGAACTTTTCTGGCAAGCTGCAGCCTATCTACTTGACTACTTCGCCGACTTCTACGCAACCGACAACGCACTCATGCAGAGCATATGGTTCCGCCTACTTGACGTGTGGCAAGTGTCCAACCCTGCTCCCTACTACCGCGCCGACGGCAGTGCGCATCTCGCAACAGCAGCCGAAGAGTTCGAGAAAGAATGCAAAGACACAATGGACCTCATCCACAGACTCATGGCCCCGAAGTCAGCCACACAGGAGCACCACCCCGTCGCCCCCATCATCCACGACCCCCACAGAAGAGTCAAGGGTCTAGGCGGCTGGTACGAAACCGGCCCCTTCATCTCGGGCCTCAAGCCATGGCAGCAATTCCTCTACTCCGGCGCCCCAGGCTTCACGCCCGCCGCCCCGCCCCTACCCGCAAACACCAACGCACCACGCCCTCGCACATGCGCCACGCGCTACCTCCCCCAGCCCGCCATCGCCCTCATCCTATCCTACACCGCGCGCGCGCGCACCCTCACCCGCGCCCTCGCCCAGAAACACCCGCCCTCCGTCGCCTCCTCGCTCGCCGCCTTCGACGCCCACGCCCTCGCCCTCCCGGCCGCGCCGGGCCGCGAATACACGCTCCCCTCGGTGCGGCCGGGGCGCGTGCTCGCGTACCAGCTGGTGCAGGGCGCGCCGCCGGTGAAGCGGTACGAGGGGCTGACGGACCCGAGTATGCTGGTCGAGGAGCCGGATTTGGTGCTGTTGGACGAGGCGGTGGGGATTTGCAAGGGCCGCGAGGCGTATGTGCCGATGACGGGGCCTGTTGGGGTGGCCGGGGTGGGGTTTGATGTGTGGGCTGTGAGTGAGAGGGAGGATGCGCAGGGTGGGATGCAGAGGGGGGTGGAGAGGGTTTTGCTGGGGGAGATGTTTGATGAGTGGGACTTTGGCGAGGAGGAGGAGAAATTCTGAAGAGGGTTTCATTACGTATGTACGAGTAAACTTGCTTTGTACAGTCGCTAAGTAGCATTAAGTCATGGATATCATCTTATATGTGCTCCCACATTGTCTCTCAAGTGTCTTCCCCATTAGTTCATTATTAAATCCTCTCTCTCATCCAACATCCTCGTGTTTAGGCGGAGTAGTCATCCTTGACGCGCCTCTGGCTGTCAGTATCCATGAAGCTGGCGCGGCTCCTGGTACTCTTGGTCGAGCGGCGGCGGCTAACACCCGATGAGCGGTCACCACCAAGCGCACCACCGAGACAGAACAGAACGGTTGCAATAAAGAAGCACGCAAACGAGGCCCACGCAAAGCCGAGCAGGTAACGGCCAACGGATGCCTCGAGGTTTGCAGAGCGGAAGGCATTGCGGCCCTTGACCACCCAGGCACTGTCGGGCGTTAGCTTTGTGTATGAGGGGCAAAGAAAGAGGACAGCGTACGTGAGCAGAGCAGCAGCCAGCGCCTGGAAGAACAGCGCGATCGCAACTGTAAGGCCGGACAGGTAGCCGCCCAGACGCGAGCACAGCGCCAGCAGACCCGTGAACAGCGCGCACACGGCGAAGAACAGCGCAATCAGGTAAAACGCAAACATGAACCTCGACAGGTAGAAGTACATGTTCGTGCCGACAAACTGCTCGGGCACATTGTCCGTGGTGCCAAAGTTGCGCGGCGGGTCAAACGGCAGCGCAGGCACAACGTTTCCGCAGTTCGCATTGTGTCCGGAGCTGGGGTCGCGGCCGCAGATAGCGAAGAACGTCCAGCGCGAAGGGTTGCGCGCGTTGGGGATCCCGTTTGTCGCGGCCTCCAGGAAGTAGAACTGATTGATGGGCGCCGAGTTGATGGCGCCGGACAGGATGGTGAAGAATTGCATCACGATGCCTCCGGCGACCAGGACCAGGGCGGCCAGGCCGAACACGGGCTCTGCGAAGAAGCGCATCAGTACGGCGGTGCGAGGGCAGCGGTGGTGCGCGAGGTAGTGATGCGTGGGCGGCAGGGGTACTTACTGGCTGCAGAAACCATCTTGAAACGTGAATGCTGTCCAAGAAGGATCGATTAGGATTATCGGCTGTAGGTATATCAGGACGAGCAAGGGAGATTCGACGGCAGCGATTGGTATTTAGGAGCCCGAAACGGAAGCCTTGTTGGCAGTGTCTTCAAGGGCAGACTCTTGTTTTTGAATCGGGCACTCAGGCCAAGGGTGACGTATGGCGTGGGCGCCGTCAGAAGCTCGGCTGCACGCTATCCATGACCTCACGGCTGCCCGTGACGGCGCTTTGCATCATCCTGCCGAGCGCGAGAGACACAAAGACTCGCGCCTTGCTGGATGCAGCCGGCGGTCGCAGACGGTGCGCAGACGGTGCGTGCTGGGGAACCGTCCTGGCCGCCGTGAGTGAGATGCGATGTTTGCGGAGTCAATGGCTGGTGGAGTGCGATGCGCTGCAGGCATCGTTTGGCGAGGGAGCTCGGTCGCGGCCCTTGCGCTGGAGCTGCCTTGGTTCGGCAGCATCCGAGCTCCTGTGCACCACCAGCCGACCGCAGGTGGCCTGTCGTCACGCTTGAGTTGATAGACAGTCGCTAGTGATTGTCCCTTACACCCGCCAATCCGAACATGTCGACCTCCGTGTGGCCGCCCATCGACGCCGCCGAGCTGGCCCGCGAGCAGGTCAAGTCGCAGCAGCGCGAGCTCGACTGGCTGCTCGTGCAGCTGAAGGAGACCCTGCAGTCGCTCAAGGCCGGGCTGGAGGAATGCGCGGCGCTGCTGGCCCCGTCAGAGAACGGCTTGACGCTGGTCTTGACTTCGGTGCGCTCAGAGAGCCTCAAGGGCCTCATCACCCGCGTCGGCACGCGCATTGTCAAGGGCGTATGTTGACATACAGTGCATGTGAAGACACCAGGCTCATGAATGCACCCAGAACGTCAAGCTGCGCATCGCAACCCTCCCCCCGCCGCGCGGCTCCCAGTCATACGACGTCGCCATCTCCTCTGCACCGACTGCACCTACGCTGGTCGTACCGCAGCTCACCTCGGTGCGCACCTCCATCAATAGCTGCCTGGATGCCATCGACGTCGTCTCCTGGGGCGGCGACGCGACCAACGCCAGCTTCGTCGCCGGCCAGCTGCAGCTCCTGCACGACCATATACTCGAGGCGCGCCAGGCTCTCAAGGGCTACTCGGACGTGCAGATGTCGTGGTGGGAGAACCCCGTCGACGAGAACACCTTCGACCCGCCGCTGCCCCCGAACGTGTCCTTCCACATGTTCGTCTTCGATGCCGCACTGTGTCTTGAGATTCGCACGCTGGAGACCAAGCAGGAGGAGGAGGCTGCCTCGTTCACAGGCTTCAATTTCCGCGACCGATTGTCGTCAGCACTCGGTGGCACGCGCACGCCTGTCCACGACGAAGCCGATAAATTGTACAGATACAAGGGCCAAGACGTCCGCGTCAAAGAGAAGATCCGTGTCGAAACCCAGGACCCCGCGCTGATATCAGCCTCGGCCAAGCTCAACGCTCTTGAACACAGCCTGATGCTAAGCCGCAAGGCCTTGGACATCGTGATGGGACGCGACGAGCCGGAGAACTGAATGCGACAAACCGTTGACAGCAGGCAATTATCGTCGCCTTTACTCGCAATCCACGGCCGCTGATTGGCCGCATCCGTCGACATGCACCACGCTTTTCCGCGGGGATGTCTAGCGCGGATTGCGTTATTGCTATCTCGGAAATGTTGGATCGACATCGGAACGAAATGTGACTAGCAAGTCGCCCCAAGTTGGACATGCCACCAGAATAATCTTCTTGTATATACTCTTTTCGATACCCCTCCTCTGCTTGAGACATTGGCTTGTGCTTGAGCTCTATTATCTTCTACACACACACACCATGGCCCCCGCGCTACTTACTGCCGTCGACTCGGCCTCACATATCCATCTTGTCATCGGCTCGAATCCGCTCGCCGGCGCGCGATGCACACGATCAATCGAAGTCGGCGCACACCCTGTATTGATTGCCCCGGAGGATGCGACATTACACTACGGCTTGGTGAAGCGCATTGAAGAAGGCGAAGTCAAGTGGATCAAGCGCAACTTCCAAGAGGAAGACCTTACCACCTTGGGTCGCCACGAGGTGGATGGTGTTGTGGATGCAGTCTTTGTGACAGCAGGCGGCAAGCAGGGGCAAAGTACGTCTAACGTGTTGAATGCACTTGACATGTCTAACAAACTTAGGCACACAGATATCCAGCCTCTGCCGCCGGTTACGAATTCCAGTCAATGTCGCCGATGCGCCCAACCTCTGCTCCTTTACGCTTCTTTCCACACATTCCGACGGTCCCCTCCAGATTGGCGTCACAGCATCTGGCAAGGGCTGCAAGTTGTCCGCTCGCATACGGCGCGAGATTGCCTCTTCGTTGCCACCGAACCTGGGCGATGCCGTCGAGAGACTTGGCACGCTACGAAGACGCATATGGGAGGAAGAGCATGCTGCAGAGCTGTCACAAGATCTTGAAGCCGAGGAGGAAGACAGCGGTCAGCCCGCGACCTTTAACAAGCTTGTCCTCGAGGAAAGCAAGGAAGCAGCACGCGGCCGCCGCATGCGCTGGCTCTCGCAAATCTGCGAGTACTGGCCCCTCCGTCGCCTCGCAGCAATCACAGACGCCGACATCGACACCCTCTTCCGCGAATTCGCCAGCAGCAACGCCTCCAAGATCGGTCCGACATCGACCGCAGCCCCGGAAAAGAGTACTGGCCGCATCATCCTTGCCGGCTCAGGCCCAGGCAACCCCGACCTCCTCACCCGCGCCGCCTACAAGGCCATCCTATCCGCCGACCTAATCCTCGCCGACAAACTCGTCCCCGCGCCCATCCTCGACCTCGTCCCGCGCCGCGCCACCGTCCACATCGCGCGCAAATTCCCCGGCAACGCCGACCGCGCCCAGGAAGAGCTTCTGGAATGGGGTCTGGAGGGCCTCAAGGCAGGCAAAGTAGTCGTCCGCATCAAGCAGGGCGACCCGTACATCTACGGCCGCGGCGGCGAGGAATACGACTTCTTCCGCGCCCACGGCTTCGTGCCGACCGTGCTGCCGGGCATCACGAGCGCCCTGAGCGCCCCGCTGTTCGCCGCCATCCCCGCGACCCACCGCGGCGTCGCGGACCAGCTGCTGGTCTGCACGGGCACGGGCAGGAAGGGCGCGCCCCTCGATCCCCCCGAGTTCGTCGCTACCCGCACCATCGTGCTGCTCATGTCGCTGCACCGTCTGCAGGCGCTGGTCGACAGCCTCGTGGCAAAGGGGTACCCGGCCGAGCTCCCGGTTGCGGTGCTCGAGCGCGCCAGCTGCCCTGATCAGCGGGTCATTCGCACCACGCTGGAGCACGTGTGCGCGGCTGTCGAGGAGGAGGGCAGCCGCCCGCCGGGCCTGCTGGTTGTGGGGAATGCGTGCCGCGTGCTGTGCAACTACACGCAGCGGTGGGTGGTTGAGGAGGGGTTCCATGGCCTGGATGATCTGGGTGCCGATGGCGAGCTGCAGTTGAGCAAGCTCGGGGACGTGGTTGCGCAGGTTGCTGCATAGACGACGACGAGGAACAGATGAAGATGTAGATGGGAGATCTAGACTTGATTGAGCGTTGCATATGATACCAATAGAGGCTTATAAGACTTTCTTCATAACCACCTTCTGTCATGCTGAAGTTCAGAATCTCGTTGAAATCATTCGATGAGTCTGCAAGACATCACAGATCAAACCCAAACAAAGCGTGTAATATACAGTAATGCCATTTTTAAATTTATGTAAGCCGCAGACTGGCGTTCGCGCTCGCTCAATCGGCGTGTAGACGTCCAGCGTATTACTACTACTCGACCACCCAGAAACTCACAACTCGCGAGTTGCAGTATATCGTACGGCGTCATCTAAACGTACTAAACAATAGAAGAGGGGTATGCGCAATTTAAATAAACAATGTCAAGCAACAAAGGTACATGCAGATCTGAGATCAAACTCAACGAACATAGAAAAGGACTGGGTATGGGTACAAGATGTCTGCTAGAGGTAAGGGAAGAGGTGATGTTTTGTTGTAGTCAAAGACGGAGAGCCTTTTTATGCAATCAAACTGAATGTTGGAAGAAGGACTGGCGTGATGTCAAACTCGCTCGGTAAGACAGTCGTTGATATGGAAGGCTTCGCTGTGGGAACTTGCTTCGATTCCAGCCCACGAGTCATGCTGTCGAGTAGAGCCTTCACATGTTGTCAGGGCGGTACGCGCGGTATTGGCTATTTGAGGTGGAAGCGCGTCCAGTCGAGCCAGGAATGGAGGCTTGCTGCGCTGCAAGACCATTGGGGGACATGACGCGCCCCCTTGGGTTGCTGCCCTTTTGCAGCCGGCTAGTTCGCCAGCCCTCGTACCATTGTTCGCGACTTGCTTCGCGGAGCTCTGATCGCCATTCACTGAAGACGCTTTCTCTGAGCCGAACGAAGTCACAGTGCTCGGTGTTGTAAGGATCCGCGAAGCCCCACGGAAACTTTCGGCCAATGACCTCTGGCTCATATGGATCTGGCGAGATGATGCTCAGCGGGAGAAACGGCGTCTCAGAATCCTCCTTATGTATCGATGCGGATATCGCTGACGGCTTGCGGCTGTGGCTCCTTCGGAGGTTCGGCGGAGACGCTGACGGGGAATGCGAGGCGGAAGATGCGCGCGACGATGCAATAGAACGAGCGGCCTCGGAGGATGAACGTCCAAGCACCTTGTTCAGCACTTCTTCGTTGTCCGGAGACTGTACGTATTCGTCTTCGTCCCGCTCATCTAGTCGGTCACTGTCATCATCTTCAAATTCGTCAAGACCCAGTGCCTCCAGAGGATCCAACTTGGCTCGCTTTATCGTGTCCCAGACCATCTTCTTTAGGTGGCGCATGTGCGCAGCAGTGATGGTGTCGGCCTTGCTGATGATAGGGATGACGGTCGTCCTCGTCTGCAACTCACGAAGCACATTGAGATCCAGGCTCTCATCGAGGCCGCCAAAAATGGCGCTGCCAACATTGATGACGTTTGACTTCTTGCGGGCCTCAGCAATATTGGCATCGAGGCGCACGGGGTCCAAGATGAGGAAGACGCAGTGAATGTGTGTGTCGCTAACACCTGGTGAGCGAATGACCTTCTGCTCTTCGCCGAAAGTCTCCTCGAACTTGGACTCGAGGAACGCAGTGATGATGGGCAACTGGAAGTCGACCACGTTCTTCTCAAGTCCCTCGGAATCCCAGAGAGTAACGCCCACTCTCTCGCCGTCTACATCCGTCTCCAAATGCTGCGAAGTGAAAGGTGAGTCTTCCGCGACCGCGCTGGGGGGTGGAGAAGGGGTGTGAGGGCGCTTCTTGGCGGGCAGGGCAAGCGCAGTGCGAAGGAACTCGATAAACGATGACTTGCCGCTGCCTTTGGTACCGAGGACGAGAATGCTGTTTGAGGTCAGTATTGAATGGCGCATGCCAGGTGTCTGACGTACTTGAATGGCGTAGGCTGCTTCTTCTTCCGCACACGGCGAGGGCTGTTGACAGCGCTGACCTGGCTACTGGCGTAGCTGTAGCGGCCACGGTTCGTCATGCTCTCAGTCCTGGCGTAGGGGTCTGTGTCAATGAAAGAATGCGAGCTGCCAGGAATTGGTGGCATCACAGCGAGGTTGGTGGCAGGCGCCATCCGGTGCTGCTCGACTGAAGGTCTGCTGAAGTTTGTACTGTAGTTGCCGACCTTGTTGGAGACAATAGCAACGGAATCGGGGCGAAGTTCTCCTCCAAAACTAGCAATCTGGGGAAGAGGCGAGTGGGTCGGAAGGCGGGGTGGCTCCTTGGGCAACATTGCGGCCTCTCTCTGCCTTCGCAGCTCCTCCTCCTGGGCGAGCGCCTTCTGCTTGCGACTCATGCTGGGCGCTCGTGACGTGCTGGTCTTGCTCTCAGAAGACCGCTTTCGAAGGAACGAGAAACTGGATCTGCGTGCTGCAGTGGCTTGGAAGCTGCCGTTTGACGAGGGCACGGCAGATGGATCGGGCGAACCGTCTTTGGTGTATGTATTAGAGAGTATAGTGGAAGGAGCAGTACCAGCCATCCTAATCACGCGGGCTGCACCCGTTATATCAGCGGGTGGCAGACACTTGTGCGATTAATTTGGGCCGCCGAGAAAGGAGAGCAGCTGCGGAGCAAGCTGCTTGGGCTTGGGTTGCAAGAGCTAGGTTCCCTGTCCCGCGCTCACGGCAGTGAATTGCAAGCAACCGCGGTGATGAGTGAGTGAAATTGGAGGAGGATTGCTGGAGATCAATCAGGTCAGTCAGGTCCCTCGAGCAGGCGCGCAAGTCGGGTGGGTCCGCGCAACAGACAGAGTGAATGGCTCAGGGTCCGCGTGGGGAGATTAAGGTCGCACTTTCCAAGTTAGCCGCGGTAAAGCGGTCGATTCGCTTCAGCGCTACTGCAAGGTACGGCTGTCAGGTCCACCAGGTGCGAGATGAGAGTTGGAGATGCTTCAGTGTGGGCAGAGTGCCTGATTCAAGCTAGAAGTGTGAAAAGTAAGCGCAGCGGATGCGTTGGGTAAGGCGACACGTGGTGAAGGGCCGTCCGCTGGCTTCGAGAACTGTGAGCGTCATATCAGGGGAGCAACCGGTACAAGGCAACCAGGATGGTACAAGGCAACCAGGATGGCACGACCTTGCTCCAGTGCGAAACGCTCAATGCAAAACCCGCCACCCGCTGCAAATCTACGACCACTCATTCGCAATAAGTCGTGGCGCTATGGGCTCTCATGCAATTGCAACCTGCATGCAGGACGTGTTACCGTCATGGACGCACGCAAACACTGTTGTCAACGGCGACGCGATAGGTGCGATGCACGAAAGCGCCCACGCGTCTTTTCTCCGACACCGCATGCACAGCGAAGGGGTCAGTGCAAATTGGGACGGATCTCGTTCCCACTAGGATATGATCGTCACACCTGTGCGCGGAGATCAACCTGGTCCAAGGCGCGCGACCCTGGTCGTATGCGCATAAACGCCATTTAAACCTGCACGCGATGCCTCTGGGGGCAACCTCGATTTCCGGTTTCATGAGGCTCAACACCATCTATATCAGACGGTGCTCTGTCATAATAGACTTCTACAAATATTTGGCGTCATTACGGATGTCACTCACAAGCAACCTGCAAAAGGGGTACGTTGCTCTCGTATCGACCCAGCTGTAGTTGCGTCACCTCAGCTGCAGGCGCGTAGTCCTGCATTGTTGCACCTGCACTTCACTCGTAAACACAGCTCCAGACGCCACCGATGCCTCGACTGAAGGCAGGTTCGATCGAAACTTGGAGCCGGGTGTTATGCTCTCGTGCATTGGCACAATAGACCCGCCGCAGGCAAATGAAGCTCTCCGGGCTCAGAGAAGAAGACTTGGGTAAATTTGGCACTGAGCTGAATGCAAAAGAGACCGACGGACATAATCTCTTACTTGGTCCTTGTGGTCGCGGGATATACCATTGCAGCAGACCAGCCCCGGCAGACGCCGTTCTGGCCAAGACAAACTCGATTACCTTCTCGCCGTCATCATTAAATTTATACAGCTATGAGCTGCTGCAGCATCTCTAGGGCGCAGAGACCGTTTAACCCAAGACCCTGCGACGACGGACTGCGTCCTAGCAGAGCTCTGTGCCGCCCCACCCGAATCCGGGGCGAGGACGTGGGCGCCTCCAAGCCCGAGCGCTGACTGACAGGAAACGGCGCAAAAGTCTGCCAACGCATGGCGTCGGTTTGAGGAGGGTCTCGCAATTGCATATGTAGGAGTTGTTTTGATCGAACTCAAGGCTGTGCTTGCGCTGACCCTGCGAGAGTTTGATATTGCAGCGCCCTAGATGAGCTGGCTTTGCCAGGCAAAGGATACTGCCTTCCGATGGAGACCTAGGAAGGCTTCGCTGATTACACTAGCTTCAGGCAAGTCGAGGGAGAGTATACACATAAGCGTAAGGCGCGGAAAAGTCTTGTGAATTTATAGCACGCAACAAGTCAAGGCGAGATTGACGGCGAGACGACGGTAGACTTCGACTTTTCGAAGCTTCCGAGATGCGAATTATGTGTAAGGCAACAGTCTATGTCGATATCCATTGTCACGGCGCCTACAATCATAATTGAACGCATCAAAGACGCTGAATAGTACGAGAGACAGACTACAACACTAATAAACCTCCCCAGTCCCTCTCCGATACACAGCCTGACTCCTCCCGCCCTCCGCCCCCGTCCGAAGTACGACATCGTTCTCCTCGAAACTGCCCATCCTCAGCAAGCGCTTGACCTCCAGATCCGTCATATTCGACGCACAATGCATCGTCTCCAGCGTATCGCTCGACGACACCTGCGCCACCGCCTGCCACGCATTGCCCAGCAGCGAGTGATCCGTCTTGGCCAGAAACAGCGCCACGGCGGTGCAGATCAGCACGGCGTGCAGCACCAGCAGGCCCATGACGACGCCGAACCCGATCCACTGCGCGGGCACCTCGACGCGCTCTGATTTCGCGTAGGTCGCGTTGGAGGCGATGTCGAATTGCGGGAGCAGGTCGTAGTAGGTCATCTGCATGACGATGGTGAAGAAGGCTTGGAATGCGAGGGCTGGGTTGCGGGTCGTTTTCATCACGTCTTGGAAGAGGGCTGCGTGCGTCTTGTGTACGCCGTTGTAGGTGGAGAAGGGTGTGAAGGCAGCGGATGCACCCCAGTTTGGGCCGAGATAGGCTGAGTCTGGAGAGTATGAGGCCGGGTTGTTGAGCTTGCGCAGCCCAGTGACGATAGGCGTGGTAATGTAGTCGGAGTCGTCGTCGAGCTTTTGCGTAGTCCAGTTGCCGTCAGCGGGCGCGTGTAGAGTGAGAATGCCGCGCTGCTTGGGCGTTAGGTCTTTGGTCGACGTATCCAACATTCGGCGGACAGCGGAGGTGTCGTAGGTTTTGGTGTCTGCAATCCAGGTCATGTTATTGGGCTCAGCGAAGTCTGCTCCGTCGTCTGCATGAATGGCGTAGTTGTTGGCGTTCAAGTTGGCGAAGCAGAGAGTGGCGCTCAAGCCAATGTCCAACGTCGAACTGGAGTTAGAGCTGAAGGTGGAGCTGAAATTAGAGCTGGAGTTGGAAAATGAAGGTTTTAGATCTGTCCACACGCCTGCCGGTGTTTGGCTCCACTCGTAAGGGCCAACGATGAAGGTTGAGGAAGTCTCAATCTGCTGGTTGACAACCTCGTCGAGGACCGCCTGCCAGCCATCACCAGTGGCATTCATCAGCAGTAGCGGCGCAAAGCTTGTATTATCAGGTTCCAGGACGTTATTCGAGAAGCCCGAGATATCCGTGAAAGCCGGTAACATGGTGTAAGATAGTCTCCAGTCGGTAGCGTTGATCCAGTATATTCTGGCCACCACGCTGATCAAAAAGAAACCTTCTATTCCTGTGCGTTCGCCGTCGTCTCCGCCCTGTATCATACCGGTAATACTGCCCTGAGTCGTAACTTTCCCTGCGATTGCAATCTCGTAATTGGAATTGCTTCCAGACTCATACATGAACGTGATGTTGTGAATCTCGATTGAAGGCAAGACGCATCGGACACGAGCGTCGACCACGGTGGCTGGACCGTCGTAGCCACGCAGAGCACTCCTAGTGTCAGATGAGCCGAAGGGCAAGAAAGCACGGAGCGTAGCGCCCGTGTCTGCGTAATCCGCACCCATTTGGGGCTCCTCTGCCCATTCAGCAAACCGTGCGTAAGCAGCTGGCCCGGCTTGGAAGAAATCGACACCGTTTCCTGCCTGAATGCTTCCAGCTTCATCATCATACTGCTCGTGGGCGGTGTAGTAGATCGTGCTGTACTCGTTTCCTGAGAATGTGCTGAGAGCGTTTCCTGCAACGATAGCTGTATCCTTGAAGTCCGTGATAAGTAGGGTGGAAGTGAACTGCAGTGCGAGCGCATCAAGGATAGCCACTACGACAATGGTGGAGTAGATGTATCTCGATCCGACTCGAAGCGAGTGGAAGACGTTCCAGATATGCGACTGAGGCCCGTTGTTGACCGTCCGAATGATAGAGAGCATGGGTAAGTGCTCAGCAGAAGCGCCAGTGGTTTCGAGAACCCAAGCTGCAATGAGTGCAGCAAAGACACCCATTTGAGCGGCGGTTGCGAGACGGATCAGGACTGAAGCCACTGTAACAACGCGAGTTGCCCAGCCGTTGTCAACGATGAAGAACCAGAGCGAGGGCGTACGTTCGCCATTCCTTGCACTTTCGGCTCCTGCCCATAGAAGTGCAAGGAATGCCATCGCGAGGAAGCTTGCAATTGCACCGACAGCAAGTACAAATATGTTCCATGGCCCTAGTTTGGCGGCGTAACCCCTATGAGAAGGAGGAAGGAAGCCCGCATTAGGTTCAGGATGGACTTGAGTATGTTGGACGTATTCGTTAGCCTTCCCATAGCTATGTGAAGGCATGCTGGTGTTCGTAGCAGGCGTGTCTTTACTGTACTCCATGGTATTCATTACAGCTCGACACGGCACACAAAGTGCGTGTAAATATAGGCCAAGAAGGGGAGAAGTCTGCAACAGCTCCTTGCTTGCGGCGACCAGCACTCATATCTCCAAGCTGTCCATCACTCTTCGTTGTACATGTACGCATTCGAGACCCCGGGGAGCGCGCTGATGCATCGCAGCCAAGAGCTGAACATCCTCACCCGGCGAATGGAATTCCCACATTGAGGCTCGTCCCGCCCGATGCGATTCCCGCAGGTATAGTGTGTTTTGAAGATCGCATTTGGCCGAGCCTGGATGGTCTTCAGCTTCGTGCAAGGCCGCTATAGGGCGCCACGCGCACGCGCGATTGGCCCACTTTGCATACACATTGCGGCTGGACTTGACCATTGCACAAGGTGCATACCGCCCCAGAGTTCAATTGTCTTGTCCCCGACAGCCGGCTTGAAGCACTGATGGCAAATGCTAGTAACTAGTCAGATTATTGCAGACTTTAGAGGTGGTAGTCGCGGCGATGCACTTGCCTTCTTTGACCATGTAGGTATAGATAGGTACGTGCACGGGAAAGAGGTCACATCACAAGACACTCGCGTGACAACGAAATGCGCTCGATGTCAAAACGCTCATATTAACACACCTCTCTTCATAGCTAAAAACCAGAATTACCCCTCCACCTTTTCCATACACCACAGAAACCGCCCATGTGCTCGCAGATAGACTGTCCGGTATTGATACAGGGGTTGCTATGCGCTAATGCCAAACAAAATGCATGTAGACGTCCAAAAGGATGTCGAAGAAGGGTATTGTAAAAGCAAGTCGCAGCAGAGATTAGATGCTTGTGCAGATGCGTCGTTAAAATACGTCAGGTGAAGTATGCTCGCAGTAAGATGTATGGTCGGTCAAGGTTCAAGGGGGAACGTCGATACGTGGTGACTGTCAAGACCGGAGGTCTAGAAAAGCCTGCCCCGACTCGTCGCGCTCGCCCTGCTCGTTGGACTCGCTCTGCTCCTCTCGTCCTCCTCGGGCACATCGCTTAGTCGTGTAGGGTGATGGTGCCTCATACCGATCCACTCATCGCCGTATCCATCACCACTATAGTCGGGAACGGGCGAATCTGTTGCGTAGCCCTGACCATGCGGGCTGCCCTGCTCAGGACCAGTCGTTGCGTACTGGCTTGGAGGATGGGCGGCCGGGCCGTAGCGCTGTAGATGCTCCAACTCCCTACGACGGTCTTCAGTGACATCGTATTCGTCAGACATGGGAGACTGGAGGGCGCGAGATGGGATGCGGTGGCCAGCATCGTCGAGAATGTAGTTGCCACGACTGTCAAAGGCATAGTCTTCGTCACCATCTGAGATGTCGTCTGGGTTGCTGGTCACGTAAGACTGTGTGTCCTCAGCCACAGAGGCTCGACCTTCGTGCAGATAGGATTCTGGCTGCTGGTAAAAAGCCTCAGGGTGCGAACTTGCTGGCTGTACGGCAGCCTGTTGGCCTTGCGAACTTGGCATTGGATATTGCACAGAAGGTCCAGGTGCGATTGGGTGTGCTGTAGCATGGCTCGAGCTGACTGGCTGAGAGGTGGACGCAGCGCCTGACGGGATATAGGCGCCTTGTGCCAAATTCGCGATGTCCTGCTCACGGTGACCGTGGCGTCGCTCGGTAAAGGGATCCGTATCTGTTGGAGACTGGGCCTCCTCGTAAGAGTAATGCTGCTCAATACCGCTGTTTTGTGCGCCAGCATATGCGTCCTCTCCGACAGACATTCCGGGACCGCCCATACCCTGTGCCATGGGAAGTACTTGTACTCCACCAACCAATGTCGGCTGGCCTTCACGCAACGAAGAGGTCCGATCGCGCTCTTCTTGCTCTCGCCTCCCAAGCTCTTCCCACGCGCGTCGAGCCTCTTCTTTCGAGATCTGTAGCTCGCGCTTCATCTCAGACACAGCACGCTCGGCGTTCTTCTTCTCGGTAGCCATGCGTTCCATATTGGCTTCAGCAGCGATTCTTGCATCGCGCTCAGCTTGGAGGGTAGATTCAAAAGATGCTTCACGCTCTTGCGCCTTCTCTTGATCTTGTCGGTGCTCGTAGAACCACCTCTGGAATTTGCGCTCCGACGATGCGCGAAGGCGCTGGAGTTCGACAACGGCATGGAACAAGTTGGCGCCAGCTGCAGACAGATCTGTGATTTGGCGTGACATCTGCTGAGCCAGAGGCTCCCGACGGACTTCATCGGTGTTTTGCTCCAACCTCCGTATCCAATACGAGGTCAGGCCTTCCCAGTGGGAAGAGAGCGTCTCCCAACGTTCGAACGCGTGAGGAAACGTGGACGTCGTGGAGTCACGAATCTGAGTTTGCGAGGCATCGGGCGGAGGAACTGCTGGGCGCGACTGTGCCGCTGTTGATGGTCCAGCTTGTGCAGACCCGGTGGAGCCTGCTGGACGTCGCGCGTGCGTGCGGTCGCCTGAGGGCTGCCGCCTTTCGCCTGTGGAGGACGCAGGTGCAGGTTGTGCAGGGCGAGGTTGCTGCTGTGCTTGCGAGTTGGCTCTGGAGCGTGGTTGCTGTGGGGCTGGTATGGCGGCTTGGGGCTGACTTGACGTGGGCAGCATGCCGTCTGGCGGGCGAGGTGCGCCTGTGGATGGGTATCTGACGTGTTGATCGCCGGATCGTGAAGGAGCGTGCTGGGGCTGTCGTGGTTGCCCAGGCTCGGTAAGGGGGTTTGTGCCAGCTACGCCAGCAACAGCTTGTGCTCTTCTCTCGGCGCTTCTCCTGCGTTCCTCCTCGGCCTTCTGCTGCTCTTCTGCCTCGGTCTGCTGCCGCCGTGCCGCCTCCCTTTGTCTTCGCTCGTTCATGATCATCTGGGGTGTGCGAATGTTGGACCGATCAGCTTGGGTGACTGGTGTCGGGCCTCCGGTGGTGCGTGCGCCGCCATTGGCGGGACGGGTTGCCATGAGGTCTGACATGGCTGCGTTCTCTTCTACCGTGTCCGGCGTGAAGGCGTAGGGTGCGCGGATGGCCTCCTCGAGCACAAAGCGAATGGCAGACGCAGTCCGCCGCGAGATGCGCAGAGCTGGGTGCGGCTCGAAGAGCGAGGGATCGCGCGACAAGGACAAGGGCCGCGGGCGAGGTGCCGATCGAGAGCCGTCAGAGAAACGCACGAGACGCTGCTGCTGCTGGCTGGGGTCGACGGACCTGGCGCGCTGGTGCTGCTCGAAGTTGGGGGTGCGGCGCAAGCTGTGGGCAGCGCTTCCGGAGGAGCTCGAGACGCGCGAGTGGTTGTGGGTGGCGCGGTAGTATTCGTCGGCCTGCTGCTGGCGTAGCTGTAAGGATGTTTGGTAGGGGTCGTCGCGGTCGTTGGATGTCGTGGTCTCGTTACGGTGGTCGGGGATGAAGGGCAGCAGGTTGGCAAGCTCTGGGGGGCCGGCCGACGTCAACGTGAAGCTGGCGACGGTGATGCAATGGCAATGGCTGCAAAAGCCTGCTCAGGCGGCAGGCGTGACTCGCAGGCGCGACTGCACCGCGGGGCCGCGGTGAGTCCCCGGCGGATGGGGTGGTGGAGGGATTAAAGCAGCGCTGGCTGCTCTGCTTATAGCGGGTATGCAGCAAAAGTCGCAATGGCTGGGATGCGGCGAATTAGTGAGATGTGAGGTGGAGAGCGCTGCAGGGGAGCCATTGCTGCCGTCGCACCTGGCGCCGACAGGGTGGTTGGAGGTGCGAAATGGGGGGGCTGATGGAGGTGGCTGGCAGGCCTCGAGCACTTACAGCGCATCACTCACCGACACTTAATGCTCCGGCCTGCAATGCGGCGGCCGCGATTCGTGCGCCTGGACGAGCCCGTATGCGCTGGAGGTGCGCGCGAGAGTGTCAATGCTGCTCCTGGACCCCAACGTCATTCGATGGCTTCGAAGCGCGCGTCCAGTCCGGCGCACGGGTGCGCGCCCTCGTCTGCGCAACTCACGCACAGGCGGCCGGGCAACACGAGCAGGAGATTCGAGCGTGTGCGCTTACGGCCTGCATGCCCAAGCGACCGTTGGCGATGTGCGAACGAGTCGAGTCGAGTGCACTGCGTCGAGAGGGCCGTCCGTTCACGCTCGCCGCGTAGCGCGACGAACTCAGGCTGTAGGCCGCACGTGCAGCCGGCGTGCATCGACCCAGCCGCAATCAAGGCATCGCTGCGGGCGTTGCGGCTGGCATCTGGCAGTGTGTGCCGGCCTGGCGACGTGACGATTGCTTGCGGAGTGCCAGTTCATCGTGCATCATCACTAACCCATGTCATACAAGCGAGCGCGGGCCAAAGCAGGAACAGAAAAGGCAGTCCGGCGCCATCACAGCGTCATGGTGTTATTGGCGGCGTCCATGGTCCGAGGCCAGCGAGGTGAACGAACGTGAACGTTTTGCAGACAGCAGCAGATCGTCTGAAGTCGCTGCACGTCGCCTGGAGCTGGCGTCCCGTCATGGACCTGCGTCTCTTGCCGCAAGCTTCTTCCAATCACAAGCTGCGTCGCTGCTTTTGCCTCTGGCCTCGCGGGAGCGGGCCGGAACGTGAGGCTACGGTCCCAATGCTGCCACGAATGCTAGGTCTGGTGTCACAGCCGAGTCAGAGTGCCTTGAACGTGTTGTTGAACTGCAGTTCAAGAACAACTCATCCCGCAATGTGTCGTTTTGACAGCTCTACACATTGTACACATCGGGCTAGTGCGGTGCGCGAAGATGACATTCAATAGCACGCGTAAAAGCAAGTGGCCTGCAGCGTGCATGCATGATCCTTGGGTGAGCCTCACAGCGCACTCTTCAATCGCTGATGCGGCCATGTCAGCAGAAGTGCTCATTGGGACTGACTTGAGTCCGTAAGGCGTTCTGGTAGTGCGGTCACTACCTACACCCACGCTCGACCGACACTTGGCAGAATGCAGCATCATGCACCAAGGGATAATTATGTCGTCACTACTCCCTCACTTGTATGCGCTGAACAAGAATTTTTCGGTCATAGTTGTGCGGCTTGTCTGCTACGATAAGAATTAGTAGGCTCTTACAAAAGTGGCGAGCGAGTGCAGTACCGGGAGATTCACGGTAGCCATAGCTGACTACGGAAATGGCAGGTCCCAGGCAAAGAAGAGAGTAATGGGTTACGATGAACAGGTGCTACACACGAGAAAGAAATCGTATTCGCATAAAGTTTTCATACATCTAGCCAAACATCACTGCCCACAAGGGCAGCAACCTATAAATCAAAATGTGGTATAAAAGAAGCGAAAAAGTTGCGTCTCATCTATACAACACAGCCCAAATCCCGTAGTGACACAACTCTTACAACACGAGGAAAGCAACGACAGCGACAACACTTGTCAATCCCATGCCGAGCTTGCTAGCCGCACCCTCAAACTCCGGAGGAACGTAGCTGGAAGGCTTGATGGGCTTGCCTGTACCAGTGGCAGACGGCTTGACGGCACCAGTGCCCGAAGGAAGCGTGCCGTTGCCGACAGGGTAGCCCTGGTGCACAACAGGCGTGACGTAGGCGACGGGCGTGTACGCAACGGGAGTAGCGACCTTGGTGGTAAGGGTGATGTACTGCGAGACAGTGACGGTGGCATCCTCAGGGTAGGAGGGCTTGGTCGAAGCGACGGGGTACTCGGCAGCAGGTGTGGAGGGCTTCTCAGCAGAGGGAACCTCAGGGTGAGCGGGGACCTCGGGCTTGGGGCTGGGCTTCGTGGCCTCGTACGGGACGGAGGAGGACTTGGCGGGGGTCTCGTGCGAGGGAACTTCCTCCTTCTCGACAGGGTACTCGGCGGCAGGCGCAGATGGCTTAGGAGCAGTGGGGTACTCAGAGACGATGGTGGGATAAGCCGGGACGTCGGTGGCCGGGTGAATGGGCTTGGTGATGGTGACGGTGAGAGTCTCGGAAACGTAGACGCTGGTGGTCCAGTCCTCTGGGTAGTCGGCCTCAGGCTTGTCGGAAGGCTTAGCGCACGCGTTGCAAACAGTCTTGGTAATGACAGCAGTCTTGGTGGTCAGGCCGGTGGAGCAAGTGTCAACATAGGTTGTGGTGACGACAGTGGTAGTGCTCTCAGCAGGCTTGGTGATTGTAGGAGTAGCAGTGCTGTAGAACTCATACTCGGAGGGTGCAGGGGTCTTGGTGGAAACAACTGGGTACTCGGAGGCCTTGGAGGAGACAGCAGGGACTGAGGATGATTCAGAGTAGTAGCTGTACTCAGAAGCAGAAGAAGAAGCCTCAGGAGTCTTGGTCGAAACGACTGGGTAGCTGGTTGGGTACTCAACTGGGTACTCAGAAGGCTTGCTAGAAACCTCAGGAACCTTCGAGGACTCAGAGTAGTAGGAGTAATCGGTGGCAGATGAGGCCTCGGGTGTCTCGGAAGTGCTCACACTGGCAGAGTAAGTAGTCGAAGCCTCGGGGGTCTTGGTGGACTCGATGGGGTACTCGACCGAGGAGCTGGACGAAGCCTCAGGGACCTTGGAAGACTCAGAGTAAGATGAGTACTCCGAAGCGGAGGAAGCCTCGGGTGTCTTGGAAGACTCAGGGTAGAGCTCAGTCGAAGTAGTGCAAGGTGTGGACGAGGCGCCGGCAGGTGTGGAAGAGCTGGAAACATCGTACTCGGAAGTGCTGCTCGAAACGGGATAGACAGAGGAGTCGGACGACTCCGATGCTGAAGGAGTAGGAGTAGAACTGGAAGCATCAGAGTAGTAGTCAGACGAGGAGCTGGTAACGGCCGGAGTGGAGCTGGAAGCCTCGGAGGAGTAGTCAGACGCAGAGCTAGTGACGGCCGGGACAGAGCTGGTCTCGTAGTAGCTGGAGGCGCTGCTGGTGACATCGACCGGTGTGGAGCTGGAAGCATCAGAGTAGTAGTCAGACGAAGAGCTGGTAACGGCCGGGACAGAGCTGGTCTCGTAGTAGCTGGAGGCGCTGCTGGTGACGTAGGCCGAGGAGCTGGAAGGAACAACTGTGGATGAGACGTCCTCAGGGTAAACAGTGCTAGGCTCAGCGGTGGAGCTGGCGCTGTACTCAGTGGGAATGGCAGTGGAGAAGTAGTCAGAGTACTCAACGCTAGGAGCGATGGATGAAGAGCTGGCGATGGATGCGGAGCTCGAGACAGCAGAGCTGGGAGCTGTGACGTGGTAGCTGGACGACGAGACGACAGTAGAGCTGGAAGGCTCGGCAGTGGAGCTGAGGACGACCGAAGAGCTCTTGGTAACAACTGGGGTGCTCGAAGACGAGGGGACATAAGTGCTGGTCTTAGAGGACACAGGGGCGCTCGACGAGGGAACAACAGTGCTAGTCTTTGAGACGATGGGAGTGCTGGATGAAACGAGAGTCGAGGACCTGGTGGAAGAGGCAAGAGTGGAAGACGGCTTGATCGTGGATGAGACAAGGGTCGAAGACGGCTTGATTGTAGATGAGGCAAGGGTCGAAGACGACTTGATCGTAGATGAGACAAGAGTGGAAGACGGCTTGATCGTAGACGAGACAAGAGTGGAAGACGGCTTGACCGTGGACGAGACAAGGGTGGAAGACGGCTTGATCGTAGATGAGGCAAGAGTGGAAGACGACCTGATTGTCGACGAAACAACCGGATGGTACTTCTGCTTGAAGGTGCCATCAATGGCGTACTTCATCCAGCTGGAGTATCCTTGGCCGTAAACGGTGTTGTTCTGGGAAACGGTGGCTTCCCAAAGCATGACACCACCCCACACAGGAGACTTCTGGTACTTGACGACCAAGTCATTTGCTTGCTCAGGCAGGAGGTAATGGGCAGGGTTTCCGCCGTTAGTGCCAGCAGTCAGGCCCAGGTAGAGCTTGACGCCCTTGTTGAAGGACTTCTCCTGTAGGCGCGCAGCCCACTTGTCGAAGGTAAAACCAGTCGTTTGCTGGTTGCGTTCAGTCCAGCCTCGCTTGGCAGAGCATTCGTCGGTGTTGTAGAACTGCGTGAAGATATAGTCGAAAGGAGCCCGGGCGATGGCGTCGTCAAGGTGAGCATCAGGAACAACGCACTGAGGAGCACCAGAGATCAGCATGCCTGGGCTGAGCTTCTTGATGTAGTTGACAAGCTCAGCGTAGTACTGGTACTTTTGGGCGCCAACAGCACTCGCAGACTCAATATCAAGGTCAAACCCGTCAACGGCGGAGGCACCGAAGGGACGGGGCCAGTTGCCACCTGTCTGGGGACCGAACGCTCCGACCAGGACCTCTGCGAGCCACTTCGCTGCATCGTCGCTTGCAAGGTAGTAGTCTGAGGACGTCAATACATATGACGATAGCTTGATTCTTTTGACCGCTCACCTGTAGGGTAACCACCACCGAGCGATAGCAGAACTTTCTTGCCGTTCTTGTGGCACTCCGCGATACCCTCTGTGATGATGGGACAGCTCGCAAGAAGCTTGCTTGTTGTGCCATCAGGGTTCTTGTAGTAGTCACCTCCACAAGCGTTTCCTGCGGACTGTTAGCCTGAGTCTGGCCGAAAGGCAGTGAGAGTACTCGCCGAAGTTTGTATCAGGGTACGTGTTGCGGTTCTTTGGGAAGCCGTTGACGAAGGCAATGTTGACGATGTCTACGCTGGGGTCCTTGCAGACTACACTGAGCTCCTTCTGATAGGCACCTTGACCCCAGTAGATGGCAACTTTGCCTTGTGCAGACACTGTCGAGGCGAGGAGGCCAGCGGCGACGGTCGCGAGGGTAGTGATTGTGGAGCGCATGATTACGGAATTAGTTTAAATATCAACTGTACGTATTGTAATGAAGGGACGGCCAAAGCCAGTAAAGATCGTGATGAGCGGGCTCAACGAAAGGACGCAAGCAAATGCTCGCTATTAGTATAGACCTCGAAAGAGTGACTGGACGACGACTGAGTGTAGGAGAAGTCGAGCATCAAAAGGGACGGGAGATTGCGATGTATTAATCTTCAGGCTGCAGTTCCTGCATGACACTTCAGTGGCTTGCCTGCGCCGTTTGCTAGCATAAAGCCATCCTCTCCTTCAGACGGCAGAGGCACTCAGGCCCACTGTACATAGGTAGCCAGCCCTGACGCTATATGCAGGAACAGAGACGATGGAGCATATCTATTGGTGGGGAGCTCAGCATGCTAGCTGGATATGGAATGACGGGGCCGTGTAGCGTCTAGAGTCATGCCACCATGCGATGCGCTATGTTTGGTGAAGGCTTTTGCACCAGATTCCTCGTGGCGCCTTTCCCAAGCTGATTGACCGGTTACTGGGCCGCCCGCACCGGACAGTAGGTCATTTCGGATAAAGTTGGATCACAATGGAGCCGGGAAAGCGATGTTGAATAGGCATCTTTACTCTAGGGCTGAGCCCGGACAGACGAACAGGTTATCCACCGATATGGCTCCCTCCAGCAGTGTATGAGTGCCGTGTTTGAAGGTTCGGCCTCAATCATCTGCCATTATCTGTTCCTGTAGTAGCCACGACAGGGGACCGGGCGTCAAAGGGTTGCGGGCCTGTGGCTTGCTACAGGAGACATTGTAGGCGGCATGAGATTTCTGTCTCAACCATACTAGGTATAGTGCCACATCGACATTCGGCTCGGTGGATGACTGACTGAATCTGAAGCCTCGGGTGGTTCCCGAAAGCTTACCGAGCATCTTGGCAGGCACAGCTCAGTCAGGGGCAATCAGCAGTCAGAGACATAGCCTTCGCCACAAGACTGTAAAAGACTGCCCTTCAGCTGACATGTAACCTTGGCTTGGTGGTAAAGGCGCTGGACTCAACTCCAGCCCATCTGTATTTCATCGGTCGCTCAGCTGTTGTGCTTCTTCAGTGGGTAACATGGTGTTCTTGTCTCAAGGCCTCCCAATGTTGATGAAAATTTGGCGCCAGCGCTATTTAGAGCAGGTGGAAACTGCGGGCCTAGGCCGGACTCAGATCTCCCGTCACGAAGTTGGGTTCCCCAGGCCTGGGCGCTTGATCCCACGAAGTCTCGTACGAAGAGGGAATGCGACTCGCTGCCGTCCGGAGATTCATGTGCTGTTTTGGGAGTGCAAGGCGTGCGAGGCGCGAAGAATGACATTGTTTATGCGCTGTGTAGGCTTGGCCATGGAAAGAGGTAACATTTGACGCAAGCCATCAAGTTTGTGGAAGTGTCAAACGGCGGCGCCTCTTCGCACGTGCGTTGCCTAGTTGCGGCTCTTTCGTGTCAACGATGTGTAGGAATACGATGCAAGAACGGGCGATAGATGCTTGTGTTGATCGTCGGCAACGCGAGTTGCTCTGTTCGGGCTACTGTACAGCTCCGTGGCTGCTACGTCGCTCAAGAAGAACTTGTGCGTCGAGAAAAACCTGCATGCAGCGTGCAAGACGTGGAGCCTGATCAACCTGCAAAACGGACTTGAAGTAGCCTCGATAGGTACTGCACCAAGTGGAACTGCAGCCTGGTGTGCATTGCCCTCATTGCAAGATAGATAAGTCAATCAGGCCGATAGGAACACCGCCAGCCAAAATCCAAATGGCATTCGGACCGCCGATGGCTTCCAAGCGATTAAGAACAGTGGACCTTTGGCAGAAGGATGCACCTTCAAGGTCGGGCATGGGTTGTCTATAATAACAATATAGACCCTTGCCGAGGCTGGCGAGATAGCCTCCCGCTGGCGGTGAGGCTGTAGGCGCACGATATTCCGAAGAGCCGCGACTCGCGATAACGTATCAGTTGGGCAGATGTAGGTGATCCTTAAGGGTCCAATGGCAGGAGTAGCGGTGTCGTTCATTACTCGTTTGCAGGCTTCGCACGGTGCGCTCTGGTCACATGGACGCGCGCCACCCCTCGGCGTGCGTCATCTTTGGCATGATTTTGAGCGGTCTGTTACCACACGCGCACCTTTGCGCCTCATATTGGCCTCTGTGTAGGTCTCAAGGACACAGAGACCCCACAAGCTATGCCCATTTGTATCACCTGCGCATCTTATGCCTGCGGCATGGTGGAGCTAGATCTTTGGTGTGAGTGTTGTAGGCCCCACGGGGTATGCGAAACATAGTCTACCGGATTCATTACCTTGACTCGGCGCAATCCTTCAACAACACTTCTTTAACCACTCTCTGTTCCTGCTTGGACGTGTTGAGGGCTGTTTTTATTTTTCCCATAGCATCATGGGCCTACTGGGAAGCTTGCGGAAGCAGCCAGCGCAAGCGGAAGGCAGCACTGATGCACCAGTTTCCACGCCCCAAAACGAGAAGAGTTCGGGCCCGAGCAGGAAGTGGAATCTTGGGATTTTGAGTGATCCCTTGACTGATGAGGTGCCCGGTATGTTGGAGGCTGTAGCGTGGTCACACGCTGTATACTGACAACGGTAGGATCTGTCATCCTCCTCTCCAAAACGCACAACCGCAACGAGCCTCTCGGTCTGCAGCACGCGCACGCAAGAACCTCTGCGTCTTCTCTGCCATCGGCGTACGGCCATTCTCGAAGCGCGTCCCGCGGATCTCGCCATTCGTCGCGAGCCCGACAACCTGAGAAGAAGCGCACCAAGGATGGGAGGTTCATCCTAGAACCCCAGCCTGAGGAGTCCGCCAACGACCCGCTGAACTGGAACCAGTTTCGACGAGATGCTGCGTTATTATCGCTCGGCTTCTTTTGCATGCTCGGTGGAGGCATGACACCCATCTTGGCCGCAGGCTTCCACGATGTCGCGGAAACATACGACGTTGGTCTTTCTCAGGTGGCTCTGACAACCGGCCTTTACATGCTAGGGCTGGGTCTTGGAAGCGTTGTTGCATCACCAACTGCCATATTGTGGGGAAAGAGGCCTGTCTACTTGGTCGCTATCGTCCTGTTTACTCTCTCTTCAGTATGGTGTGCACTCTCACCAAACTACGCATCGCTAGTCATTGCGCGGATTGTCCAAGGCTTTGCCGTTTCGCCGGTCGAATGCCTCCCAAGTGCCACTATCGCCGAGATCTTTTTCCTCCACGAACGAGCATACCGTCTAGGCGTCTACACCCTCCTGTTGTTGGGCGGAAAGAATCTGATACCGCTAGTCAGCGCGGCGATCGTACAGAGCCTGGGCTGGAGGTGGGTCTTCTGGGTGATTGCTATTGTTGTTGGTGTCTCCTTCTTTCTCATCTTTTTCTTTGTGCCCGAGACCTTCTGGGATCGTACACCAAGAGCGCGAGGTCGAAGCCATGCGCGCAGCCGCAGCCACAGCCCGAGACGGCACAACCATTTCCATCTCCCGTCAAGGCACCATAAGAAGTCTACAGATGAATTGGCAGCGCCAGTTGATACCGCCGTGGGAGTTGCTTCGCCGGTTGCGACACCCCTCGATCATCCAAAGAAGGCCCCCAAAACTGCTCATGTTGGTTTTGCAGACGACGTGGAGCACGATACATCTGGTGTGCACGCAGATGCGCCACTCACACCGCGCTCTCCGATCAGTATTCACTCTTCGCCTCCGGGAACTCCGCGACAAGGTTACTTCCCACAGGTGCCAGAGAGTACAACGACCGATCCCGAGAAACAAGACCAGACATCTGGTAGCCCAAGTCAGTCCTCCGCCGAGCCTGGAAGGACTTTGGATGGCGATCAGGTATCAGAGCAGTTCTCCATACATTACACTGACTATTACCGTACGGCACCTACAAAGACGTATCGTCAGTCCCTGAAGCCTTGGAATGGACGTCTTGCCAAAGACAAGTGGTTCAAGGTCGCGGTCAGACCGTTCATCTTGTTTGCATACCCAGCTGTCCTTTGGTCCTCTTTAGTATACGCTCTTGCTGTTGGTTGGCTTATCGTACTGTCTGAGTCGGTTGCCCATGTCTACCAGAACCGTGAGTCGTACAACTTTACCTCTCTTCAAGTCGGACTTGTGTACATCTCGCCATTTGTGGGAGGTGTTCTGGGAACAGCGGTCGCCGGGAAAGTGTCCGACCTGATCGTTAGATTCATGGCACGTCGAAATGATGGCGTGTATGAACCCGAGTTTCGCCTTGTCATGGCTCTACCGATTACGATCAGCACCGTCATTGGCCTCATGGGTTTTGGGTGGAGTGCCGAAGAGAAGGATCACTACATTGTGCCGACTGTAAGTGTTGCATTGCCATCCTCAGAAGATAGTACTGATACCTGCAAGATCTTCTTCGGCGTGATCAGCTTCGGTTGCTGCCTTGCTTCCACTACTGCGATCACATTCGTTGTAGACTCATATCGCGTTTACGCCGGTGAAGCACTGGTGACGCTGAATTTCTGCAAGAGTAAGTCATCTCTTCATCCATTGTCGGAATTCAATGCGCTCAGCGTTGAGAAGCGTTGAACTCTGCCCAAACAGTAACATTGAAGCCACTATCACAACAGTGCTAACACCACCTAGATGTTCTTCACGGCTTCATCTTCTCGCTGTTCTTCCCGCACTGGCTCGAGGCCAAGGGTCCTAAGAGTACTTTCTTGGCAGTTGGTAAATACTTCGAGTCCCTTAGGCTGCACATTCACTGACTACCAAACAGGCGGTATTCAACTTGGTTGTATGCTTTTCTCCATACCAATGTACATCTACGGCAAGCGAGCCCGTATGTGGACCGTCAGGAAGAACTTGATGGAGAAGTTTTGAGTTGTCAAGGTTCGGTGACAGCACCGACATCCCGACGCGCAACTCCGATACGATGTTACGACTTCAGCTTGGCATTACTCATGGCGTTCTTTTTGGGTGCACGCATGGCGTTGGAGTGGATCTTCCCCATGTTTTCCCCAGACTGTTTGTGCGACAGTCACGATATTCCCGATGCATTGACTTGCAATTTCCATCTGAACGCTTAGCATTTGCGGGGCAAACAGGAGCCTCCCGTTCCTAGCTAAAGCAGACATAATTTTGTGTCGTAATATGAACCCTGTGACTCGTCCCGAGGGCTTTGTAGGGCCACTTCACACATGCTCGAAAAGGATTTAGCCGAGTTGGCAGACCATCGCGCCAGTTCAGGACTTGCTGATCTGCCGAACTACGTATCGTGCGGAAGCAGCAGAGCCGCCTCAGCTCAGCTACCGTACGAGGGTTGCAATCTTAACAGCTGAGCTCCCTATCGCGGTTTCACCCCAGCCAGCGTCTGCTGTAGAACACAAGTGATATTTTGCCCGCTGCTTTTTGCCCGCTGCTTGCCGCAGTATTGTCCTCGTGAGCCGTATCTTCAGCGGCCTTACTGCGACCGCTACTATGCACTTCCTGAAGGGCAGATAAAGATAAGTCTGGATGCCCTGCATTGACAACTAACGATGTCGGAGCCGCACGCTTGCAGACGTGGCTTTATCGTAGTATAGGACGTTGTGAGGCGCCGTGATGCAGTCTGTGGAGTTCACTATCCCAATGCAGCAACTAAATCCATCTTCCCCACATCCACTCGTGTCAAGGATAACAAGTGGCGCATCTAACATTCGCCTCATTACTGAGAGATAACATCGCAATGACCATCTTTCAGATACAACTTGTGATACTATGCTCAGTATACAGCGAAAGTCTGTCCAAGTAGTGCCCTGTTTTCCGCGTGAACGGATGTCCTCCCATAGATGGGTTTACCAAGGGAAAAAGTGAGGATCCGACGCTGTGGCTGGCCAATCAGCCTGCCACTGATGCACCTGCGACGCAACAAAAGGCAAGCGTGCGACTCAGATCCGAGTTCGGGCGATCTAGGCTGGTTTCTCTCTATTCCCAACCACAAGACGAGTTTTTATCAGCTGCTCTATCTTGGCCGGGATTACTCTGATACGCAACGGTTCCTATCGGCTGTGTCATCATAGCATCTTCACTCGCCTTAATTGGCGAATGCCCCTCTTGCGTCTTCTTTCCATCCTGGGGTATCATACCATCGTCTTTCGACATTATCTATATCATCACCTTTCTGACTAGCAGACATGCCCTCTTTGGGTCAACAGAAGGCGCTTGCACAAGACTTGAAGACCAAGAAGACAAAATCCAGGAATGGTTGTGGTCGTTGCAAGTTGAAGCGAGTAAGTCACTACAGACACCATGCCCAAATTGGACCTTACTAATCCTGTACTAGCTCAAATGCGATGAGACTGCGGGATCGTGCTTGCAATGCAAGAAGAGGAACGTCCCCTGTCCCGGTTACGAGAAGACCCTGAAGTGGTCCACCAAGTATGAGGTCTTCCAGCCCACAGAGTTCACATCATCTCCCCCCAAAGCAACATCATCTGGTGTTCGCAAGCCTTCCAAGGCAACAGGATCCTCGCTTCCAAAGAACGTCGCCAATGGCATCGAAGCACTTGTTGCTGTGCTTCCCGCGCGCAGGAAGACTGCAGATACTGAGATGATCTGCAATGACACACAAGTGACACAACCACCACCGTTGGCCTCACCCCCTTCCTTGGAGGAGCCTTTCATCCTCCAGGAGTCGTCTACGGAAGACGAGGACTCTCCACGAGACCTCGAGCCTTTCCCTATGGACGACATCAATGTCCTGGATCCTACAATGCTTGATGGTTACGCTGATGCAATCCCGCTTCCCACCGAGGAGTTCCACTTTGATTCATTTGATAATACTGACCTTGAGTCCACCGGATTGGAAGACTTCGGCAGCTTTGATGCGTTCGACTTTGACCCTCATCCAACCTCTTTCAAGCACAACGAGTCGTCAGCAGAGTTGTCAGCATTGACTACTCGTGAATCTAGCCGCGAAGCCAGCCCTCCTCGTCTCTCGAGATCGTTACTTCTGGGCTTCTACCGTCTCCCTAGCCCCTCACCAAATCCTTCGTCGCCGGACGACCAGGAGTCACTTCTTATCCAGCACTACTTCAAGGACGTGTGCGCAGTCTTCTCCGCCTTCGATTCACATCTCAATCCCTTCAGGACCACAATAGGCAAGATCTACCAAGACTCACCCTCAATTAGCTATGCCATGCAGTCCATGTCTGCCGCCCACCTAGCAAACACATTCCCATACATGGCAGCCATTGGTAGTGAGCTTCAGCGGAAAGCAGTTGCCGCACTCCAGGAAGAATTGCCATTGGCGCAGGCCGGCCAGATCAGCTGTACGAGGACGTTCCTCAGTATCATGATGCTTGGCTTCACCACATCGTGGCATGATAGCAATGCCCTTGGTACAGAGTTTCTTGCTACCGCACGAGGTCTCATCCTACGGAAGCTGATGGACAGATCCCAGGAAGCCGAAGTACAGCGTGAAGCACAATTCTTTGAAGAGTCTCTCATCTACTGGGAGATGGTCATGGGCTTCGTGACAGAAGACGCCATGAGCTTCTCGCGACCGTCAGGCATGCGTCCTCGGATAGTTTCCAGTCAGAAGAGCACTCCAGCAGGCCGACGTCCGGATGGTAAGATCGTTCCTCACCCCTGGACTGGCGTTGCCCCGATTATTCAAGCTTTATTCGCTGAGGTTGGCCGTCTTGTTCGTTGTGAAAGATCTCTCAACAAGGACTCCGTCGTGGACATCGTCCGTCGCCAAGAGAACCTGTTCAACGCAACTTCCTTGGAGGAGGACCTGTTGGCTGTCGACTATCCTTCAATCGATGAGATTGCCGACACTGGCGATGATCGTACGCCAAAGGAACACTTCACCATCCTTGCTGAGGCTTACCGTTGCGCCGGCCTACTCGAGCTCTACCGCGTCTTTCCTTCTATCCTACGTAAGCGCTTGGGCAGCAACAAGCTGCCTGTCTCTGAGAATGTCGACTTTCGGTTTCCCATGCCCCGGTTCGAGACACCATACGAAGATGCCGATATGAAGCTGTGGCTTAACTCACTTGCTATGCACATCCTGCAGATGATCGAGTCACTGCCAGCGTCCTCAGGCACGTTCTGCATCCAGCAACTTGTCATAACTGTTGCTGCCTGCGAGCTCAAGTTCGTCTCGACGGTCGACTTCTTCGACGTGCATGCCAACGACTCCAAGGTGCTTCAGGCGAGAGAGAAAGTGATCCGCCGCTTGGAGGTGTACGCTCACCGCTTGCCTGGTAAGCCGATTCGTCACTTGATCACGTTGATCAAGGAGACATGGCGACAGTCCGACGAGGGTAACGACGCCTTCTGGATCGACATCATGAACGAGAAGGGATGGCATACCATCATTTAGGAGCTCGGTTGCCACCTATCTTACCCGGCGTCCTTATTCGCCTACGACCTTTACATCCTGCACAGCGTCTTCCCATCGGGGCCATCCACTGGCGCCGCCTTCTCCTGTTGTCCCCACGCCACGACATTTACTTTCAAAATTCCTGTACTTCAGCGTTTTTCCGGCTCACGGCGTTACATCTTTTCGCCTCCTTCCAAGTTGTCCGACAACTCGGCTTCATCGATGACTGGCCCTCCAGTCTTGATCGATGCGACATCATGTCCATACACTGGGTTCGACACGAACCTCTAATCACGACTGTCCTCTAGACTATCCGAACGAGCATCATACCACCGGTGATGTTGACTGGTGATCCAATCACTCGCGACAACCCTCTCGATACCCCTGCGACAACCCGCCTGCCGCTTTCTTCCGGACCTTACGCCCTGCCCTGCCACGCCACCCTTTTGCGATATTCTGGAGCCCATCTGCGATGAGCCTCCCACTGCGACACCCTCGCGACATACCCTTGCGATGACCACGATGATACCCGCTGCGACCTCAGCCTCCAGCCACCTGATGACGATGTAATAATATACATACCCACTGCGACAAGCCTGGTTGATTTCCCAAGCGCTTTGCCCATGTTTGTTTACTTCCTTTGCTTCTTCTTCTGGGCAGGTAAGGCAGGTCATGCTTGTGCTGTTGACACTACTGGAGCCACGCACCTCTCCTCGGCCGCTCTTCGTCCCTTGCAGCTGCCCACGCACACGACAACCGCCCCGCTTGGACTTCATATTTACCTGTTCTTCTAGAGCTTACTTGTTTTTTTTTTGTTAATTGTAGGTAGATGCGTTGCTTTACGATACCCCTCCAGCGTTCTGTCACGTTTACTTTGCGAATTTCATTTACTCATGTCATGTTTGTATGACATCGGCGAGGAAGAAGACATTGAGAGAGGAGGAGAGGGAACGAGGAGTACGTCGGTCTTCATCGAGTGAGGATAAAACCTCGCTCGACATTTTGATGTGGATAAAACCCTTCAAGACCGCATATGAACATGTATCATACTTCATTGGGGTATATGGACTGTATATACTGCCTCTCGCATCGCTGGAAACGCGTGCAAAGGGATTTAATACCAACATAAGGACCGTGTGTGTAAGAAATTACATTACCGGCCTGTTCGCCTCATCGTCGTCCTCACTGTCGTATGCAACAAACTCTCTTCTCCCACTTGAGCTCTTAACAACAAAGTACCGCGGTGCCTCGTACGCTCTGAGCTTCTTCTCTGCGCCCGGGCTGAAAATATCATCATTCCCGCCCATCTGAGCAGGAATGGCCAAGAGGAGTCGCTCAGCGCCATGGAGTCGAAGTGCTTTCTCGGCCGGAACCTCTTCTTCGGCAGAACTGGTTGAGCGGCCGGAGACCCATCGCATACCCAGATGAATGCCCTCGCCGACACACGCAAGGATTGTGATAGCAACAATGAGCTGCAGCGCCCAGAGCGTGAGACACGAGCCGTTGTAGGCTGAGAATGTCTCGGGCTCTGAGTAGCACACTATGCGCTCGTTGGGTCGTGATGTCGGTCTTGGCTCCTTGTTCATCAGGACTTCTGTGGGCAGTGGCTTCTCTTCATCGTCGCTGTAGACAGTATTTGACGCAAGTTTCTCGCGCAGGTAGGAGTCGTACAGATCGGGGTTGGTGTGGCGGAAGTTTTCCAGCTCAGGGCCCAAATCAGTGCATCGGTCGATGCTTTGCTGTTGCTGCGGGGAGGCGCTGGGCGCTGGTTCTGTTGGTTTCCAGTTGGCGGGTGTCCAGTGCGCGGCGGAGGGGGTCTCGAGCGGGTTGGGGGCATCTGACGCAAGGATGCAACGGCAGTGGGAGCGTGCCTGCGTCCGTGTTGGCGCCGCGAGTGATGTTGTGGAGAAGAGGAAGGCTGTGAAAAGAGTTGTGGTGCGCATGGCTGCGGTAATGAGTATTCCAAGTTTGGGCTGTACAAGATGTTAGTTGCGAGTCCCAAAGGTATAATACTAGAAGAACCTACTCAATCCAAATCTTCTCCAAGGTCTAATTGTAATGCTCGAGGATCGAGCAACCGGATGCGTCGAATCCGACGTGGTACAGGGTCCAATAAATGTCTACCGTACCGAGTTTGGATGATGCAGTCGGTATGGTATGTCAGCGAGATGCTGGATCGCGATACTTGGTAAGTTGTCGTAGTAAGTAACAAAGCGACTAAACACGAGCGGCGCTCACTCAGTACATGTACTCGAATGATCTCACGAGCCCGGTCCCAGTCGAACCTTCCCACCTTGGTGTGACATGCACTAATACCGCACTCATCCTCGTCTCAGCTGGCCCGCGGACGGCCGGCTCTGGGTGCCCTTTTTCCAGATCGCGCCCGAGCGCCCAACAGGGTATATTATTAGGCCGCTAAGTCTCGCCAGAGCAATTGTCCCATGCCTGTCTTGCAGTTACGGTGCTGAAAACGAACAGAGGGGCCAGTGCACGAGGGCTAGATCTCGAGGCGCGCAGAGCCCAAAGCTCGGCAGGCGCAGCCAGAATGCTGCTTGACTGCAAGCGCACTGGCTTCGGCAGCCCCGCAGATCAAATCCTAATTGCCTGCTGTGAGTTCGCGATCCCAAGACGTGAGCGCGTTTCGCGGCGCTGGTTTCGATAATATGTCCCGCTGTGCCCACATCACGCTGTTCGCGGCGCGTTCCAGGAGCCGCGACTGCAGCCTTGTAAAACACGGCTCTAACGCGCATACTCCCGAGGTCACATCGTGCTGTCGATGATCTACAACAACAATTCAAAGCTTCTCGTATGCGAAGACAAACGCTGCAGCTTGTGGAAAAACTCTCGGGCCCATCCGACGTAGACCCTCCTAAGGAGTTGGAAGCTCCGCCTAGACCAGCTCGCCTGCTAATATTGGCCTTCCCTTCCCCATGCGTTGTATGGCACCTCATTTCGCGGTACGAGGCTGCTTTACCCACGTGCCCACCGAGGAAAGAAGCCTCATTCCGATTGGATTATCCGTACTTCGTATGCGAACCTACGCACCACCTCGCTTCTACAGCATCTGCCTGCTAACCTCCGGTCCTACTCGCAGCGGAAATCGAGGGCATGACGCGTTACACGAGGCAGAAGACGTTCGCAGGCCGCGGGCACTGGGGCCTCCGCCCTGCCAGACGTCTGATCGCTCTCCTAAAGCGTGGTTCTCTGCGGAGGACAAAACCGAGCGCGTCTGGCGAGTTGGCTAGAAACATGTGATGGCTGTTGCGAAACGAGCTAGGGCCAAGCTTTGCGTTCAAAGCTTGACGACTGACAAGATGGTTCCGAAACATTGGATCATCAACATTCTGGATTTTGAGTCTTGACACTGACAGTATACAGTCCCAGCACAAAGACTGGTGTCACCATCGAGCGGTGTTGAGCATGTGTGTAACACGGTTCACCATGGGCGATGTGCGTTGTTAAGAGGGTCTGAGTTGAAGGCCTCAGGGGTCAGGTCTGACATTGCAGTATCTCTTGTGGAACCAGGAATAAAGAATCCGACTTTAGCTCGCCTAGAGACCCAAAAATCTACGGTAGAATCATTCACCGGTGCACTCACCGTTCAAGGCTTTGGCGTCGACGCGGTACCCCTCACATGCTTTACTGGGCGTTTGAGGTCTTCTTATCGCTATCAAACCCGACAGTAAGTTTTTCAGCAGCCATGGTGTGTAATGTCAGCAGTAACAACCCTCCCACGGCTCCTCGCTTACACCGAACACGTGCTGCTCTGGACTGCGGGTTTTGCTACATCGCAGGATTACAACGTTCCGGGGACATGGGACAAGAGCCTCTCCACCATCTCGGTGCGTCAAAGTGCGCAAGATGTGGCAAAGATGTATCCACTGGTCTTAGCAAGTATCCCAAGCTCTGAAAAACTTCCACAAGGCTGGGTGGTTGATGGCGACTTTTTGCACGACCTCCCATCTTTTTCTCAAAGCGGCAATGCCTCGTAGTTGCACAAACAGATCCGAGTAAGCAGCCGCATCCTTGGTGTCGCACCTGAAGAGCCACTATTGGAGACCTTACAAGACGTCAGAAGAGAGGGTTCATTCATCATTCTCTGGAAGCGGTCCGAAGGTCTTCGTCCGTTGTTTGTGCTATTATTCTGCTTACGAACCTGGAAGTTACATACTTGCGTCAGCCACACTTGGTAAGAACAACGGGAAGTCACCTCGACTCACGACGATCTCTGGCCAATCACAACCAGGCGTGATCGCGCTTTCGTCCGCCCATCGCTGTCGCTCAGTTGCGCCGCCCTTACATTGGTAGAAACTTGTCTGGCGCTGACAGCTTAACGTGAAGGCACGATGCCTATTGTAGATAAGCCAGACTCTGCCCTATGGAACTCCGGGTTGAACATCGCGTTGACCCCATAAGCACCGTCACGACTAGCACTTGGCACGAGAGGACTCATCGCATCATGCAAGAAGGTCTGACAAACGCCAGTGTGTTGCACGGGGCTGAGATGGACTTAAGGGTGGACGTACGAGGATATAAACCTGCGATGCGTGCAGAGACGCCAGAACAGCAACCAGCACTGACTACCTCCTGCCTATTACTTTCAAAGCAATTGTGAATACTCTCTAGTCGCTATCTCCCACTTCTTCGACTCACACAACCAACAACCGTCCCGATGTCGTACCTATTCCGGCATTCGTCGGTAGGAACTGCTCTACACTACATCCGCCATCGCAACTTCGACTTCTCTCGTAGCAAAGCCAAACCACTATCGCCCTCCTCCTCGAGTGACGACGTGTCTGCGGCTGTCGCTGCAGATAGCATCATCGGTGCCGAACTCAAACACGAACAGAGTACGACTCTCGTTGATTGGGATAGTCCTGATGATCCTAGCAACCCCCAAAATTGGCCAATGAGGGACAGGGTCCTCATGACCACTCTCATCGCCCTCTACACGTTTGCTGTATACGTTGGCTCGTCCATTTACTCGCCGTCCCAAGAAGCGGTACAAGAGGTCTTCCACAAGTCACATGTGGAAGGCTCGTTGGGCCTCGCTCTGTACGTGCTAGGATACGGCATAGGATGTCTACTCTTCTCGCCCTTATCAGAGATTCCGGCCGTGGGGCGAAATCCACCTTACGCAATCTCCGGATTTCTCTTCGTCATCCTCTGCATTCCAACTGCACTCGTGAACAACTACCCTGGCCTGATGATACTGCGGTTCCTGCTTGGTTTTATGGCATCGCCATGCTTGGCTACTGCTGGAGCGTCTCTGGCCGATGTCTGGAACATGTCCGAGTTTCCTTTCGCTGTAGCACTGTGGGCTGCTACCGCAACCATGGGGTAAGTGATGATGATCTCGACTGAAAGAGCTTTGCTGACGATAGCTAGACCTGCTCTTGGTCCTACACTCTCGTCTTATGCCGTCCGCGATCTGGGTTGGAGATTCTCAGCCTGGGAGCTCATGATCATTGCTGGCCCCATCTATATCCTGATGCTTTGCATGCTGCCTGAGTCTTCGGCACCTACGATTCTCTACTACAAAGCGAAGCGCCTCCGCGAAGAGACAGGGAACCAGAATCTTATGTCTGAAGCAGAGAAGAAGCAGAACAACCTGAAGGCCTCCAGCCTCTTGTTTGATGCCTTGATTAAGCCTTGGGAGATCAATGCCCTCGACCCCGCAATTCTTTTCACCACAGTTTAGTAAGTTCAACTCTGCACGACTTCGTCAACTTTACTGACAACTTCTGCAGCATGGGACTGTGTTACGGTACATACTACTCCTTCTTCGAGTCTCTGCCTCTTGTATACCCGGTTATGTACAATTTCTCCGCTGAGAGCACCGGCCTCGTGTTCCTCGTTGTCGCACCAGCGGGTCTCCTTGCATTCACTGTCCACTGCATCTATCTCAAGTATAGATGTTTCCCCCGCTTGATCAACGGCACCTTTGGAGAGCTTGAGAACCACCTGCTGCCTGGCTTGTTCGCGAGTCCTATCATCTGCATTGGCCTCTTCATATTTGGTGAGCAAGCCACTGCCTGACTGCAATCGATATCTGCTAACCAACACAACAGCATGGACAGCTCGTTCGTCGGTACACTGGATAGTCTCTGTCCTGGGACTTGGTTTCACAATCTTTGGAATCTACTTCGTTGCTCAAAGTGTCCTGCTCTACATTCCCAACATCTACCCTCGATACGCCGCTAGCATCTTCTCGGCCAACAGTCTGTCAAGGAGCTCGTTTGCTTTCGCAGCAGTACTCTTTTCTAGACCCATGTTCCGGGCAATCGGCATCGATGGAGGCGTCAGTCTGCTCGGTGGTTCTATGGTCCTGTGTACCATCGGTATGTGGGTGCTATTCAAATATGGCAAGAGTATGCGGGAAAGGAGTAGGTTTGCTGTTGCTTAGAGGATGCCCCGACTGGAATGAATAACGGAAATGACGCAAATTGCATGTAGAACAGATTTAGACATAGACTTAGACTCAGACTGATCGTAATCCAACAACACTTTTTCTCTGAACAATACCCGTGCCTACGGTCTGCTTTGTGTCGAGTGCTACCTCAGAAGTAGAGATTCGTTATAGAAGTTTGCCATTTTTGGATATCCAGTTCTTACTGTAACCTCTAGGCAGCACAAGCTTTGCGACTTCATGGAAATACTGCACTCAGGCACGTCCGAGTTGCCACCAACGTAGCTGCAATAAAAGAAACAAAGGATCAATAACTTTGATAGACAACTTTCTTATTAGTACAGTAACGCTTAAAAGGAGGTATTTAGTTATGACTTGAAAGTCTACTGGGCAGTGGTAAGGATACTTCGATCCTACAAAACTGCCAAGAAGCAACTGGGACGTGCCCAGGTGCAGTACGTATTGCTACAATATGTACTGCTTTGACAAAAGAAAAAATGGGATACATACAGTTACTGGTATCCCAGCAACAGCGTGCAGATGAGTGGTCGATGCTGATGTGAGGATTGCGGTGGTCAATGCCTGCCTGCACGCGGCGTGGTGGGGAACACGGAGCTGCACCGTCATTGCCGCATAGCTGCAACCTCACCAGTAATTGACCGCGAGCACTTCTCATCAACATTCTCCGCAGTTCGCAAATGCGCCGCAATGCGTGTCAGCTTCTCTTACATGCGCCCGGACTTTGAGAAATTCCCGCCTGACTGATCGAGCCCTGCTTGCACTCCCGTGCATCGACGCGTGCAGCTCGGCTGTTTGCCTCGCCGCTACTTTCCACGCCACCCTGGGAGCTCACCACAACCGTCTTACGAAAGGCACAGCTTGCCCCAGGATGAAGTACACTGTGTATGATCGCTTATTCAAGCGCGAGGTGGGCCACGAACGCAGGACGTACACGGATATTCGGGGACTCTACAGCGACAAGCACTGGGTCAATGACCTGGACATCGTGAACGAGCTGGAGGGTCACAATGGATGCGTCAACGCTCTGAGGTGTGTTTATACTTTCCTTCAAGCGCGCGCAACACTGACTGACCCTCTGCCAGCTGGTCGAGATCCGGCCGCCTCCTTGCCTCTGGCTCGGATGATCACCGCATCAATATTCACTCCTACGACCCCGGTTCGGACACAGAGCAGTTCAGTCTGACCACATCCATCGTTACAGGTCATCGGTCGAATATATTCTCTGTGAAGTTTATGCCCTACTCCAACGACCGCACGATTGTTTCGTGCACAGATGATGTCCGCATCTTTGACATTGAGCACTCCGGACACTCGGCCTATGGTTCAGGAAGTAGGCGAAGACGTGGTGGAACAAGGCCAAGCATACACCACCTGCGTAATGCCGTCACTCTCACTGGCGCGGAGACGAACGAGCGCGCCTTCCGCAGCCACAATGACACAGTGAAGCGCATTGTTACGGAGGATAACCCTTTCTACTTCCTGACTTGCTCAAACGATGGTGATGTGCGGCAGTGGGACGTTAGACAGCCATCGAAGACATATCCACCCGCGCAAGATGGTCGATTACCGTCATGGGCGAGGGACCCAGATGCTGCAAACGACGTCCCGCCGCCGCTGATATCGTACAGTCGCTATGGCCTTGATCTTAACACTGTCTCCTGCTCACCATCACAGCCTCACTACATAGCGCTTGGTGGCGCTCACCTGCACTGCTTCCTTCACGACCGTCGCATGTTAGGAAGGGACAAAAATCGTGAGCGAGGATCCAGACTATCGAGTCCAAGCAACTGGACGGACACCGACGAAGAGCTGCTTGGAAAAGCTACCCAATGTGTCAAAAAGTTCGCGCCAAGTGGCAAGCAGCGTATGAAGCGCAATGATGGTGGCCATATCACAGCGTGCAAGATTAGCGACGCGCATCCGAATGAACTCATCGTGAGCTGGTCACAAGACAACATCTACAGCTTCGATCTCCTGCGGACGCCGGACGTGCGTGAAGGTATCGTTACATCAAAGGTGGCGACTGGGGATACTGCAGGTCGCGTCAAAGACAAGGATAGGAAACGGAAGCGTCCGAAGTTGAGCACCCAAGAGAGCACGGAGCGAACCGGCTCAAGGCAACGAACCGGAAGCGCTGACGAAGACCTCGCCCTTCGAGTCAGGTACGGAAATGGTCAATCTGAGGATATCCGCATCGGTGCTCCCACAAGCAACGGCATGTCACAAGAGGAATTGAACGAGCTGCGTGGCACTGATCACTTTCGCATTGCGAGAACCACTATCAAAGTCAAGAAGCGAATTTTCGACTTGGCTGAATACGGTGAAGATGGGCTGCATCTTGCTTACACATCGCTCCTAGGCATGGCGCACTCGATCCTGTCTGACATAGATAGCATATCCAGTTCTTGGGGTTATCCGATGGACCCAGATCCAGTCGATGTAGCAGTCCAAAACAAGCTTCGTGACGACCGCGCTGCATCTCGACGTTTCGTTCAGGCAGCTGGGACACTCTCACGAGCAATGGGCGGGCAGCTTCTGACAGGATCTAGCTCGACGTCTGACGCTATGATCGCACAATACTATACCTCGATACAGCATGCACCTCGAGAACGAGAACTCCAACAACATGAGCAATTTGGCTACGACTTCCTCAAGGCCATCTTACTATGGCTTGATAGCGGTCCAGGTGCAGTCATTGAAGGCTTCTCCAGCCGTAGTGGAGGCGATCGAATGCCGATACCGCAAGATTCGGACATGGATGCCCTGGAGGAGGTACTTATCCCGTACCTACTGGACCTGGCGAGCGAAGATCCCATTGTCAACGTCGACGTCTCCAAATTTATGACTGACGATATTCGGGTACTCTTCCCAACTGAGATTGATGCTGTTCGTGCCTTTGCACGGACAATCCAGATACCTTTCGGTGACTTGACTGGCGGTGAAGAGGAAGCCACTCAATCTCGCAACGCAGCCAAGTTGAGGTGGGGTCATCAGATAGGGAGAGGAATTCTGCTGAATGCGGCGAGTAACATCAAATTCTCATTCGTCGATCGAGCGTTCGGTGGTCGAGGTATCTCAGACGCTACGATCAGGGCGGAGGAGAGGGCCCTGAGAGAGCAGCAGGAAGATATCGATCCGGTGGAGGATGAGATTGAGCAACTGAGCGCAGAGATTGCAAGGGCTGATGCTATCAGTGAGCTAGAGGCGGCAACTTCAGGGTCTGGGTCCAGCTCCAATATAAACGCAGAGCAAGTGTCCATTGGAGTGGAAGATCTGTTAGACGAAGAAGAGGAGGCAAGTGAGGAGAGCACAGAAGAAGAAGATGACGACGAAGAGGAGGACAGCGATGGTGATATGGAAGACGACGACGACGAGGAAGCGGAGTCGGACTCGGAAGACGAAGAAGGTCTGCGTCGTACACAAAGTGGACGCATGCTTTGGAGATCAGATTTCGGCCGAAGGAGGTATCAGAGGGCAAATGTGGAGCGCGACATACTATGTGTGCCACATATGCGTGTGTACACGGGACACTGCAACGTAAAGACCGTGAAAGACGTCAACTTCTTCGGGCTGCAGGACGAGTATGTCGTCAGTGGCAGTGATTGCGGAAATGTTTTTGTCTGGGACCGGAAGACAGCACAGCTTGTCAACATCCTGGAGGGTGATGGGGAGGTTGTTAACGTCGTTCAAGGTAAGCTGGCTTTTCCAACCTGCAAACTCTCTCTGACTGTTCCTAGGGCATCCGTATGAGCCTACGCTGGCTGTTTCTGGCATCGACCACACCATCAAAATCTTCTCACCTGATATTCGAGACCAGCACAATGCTCGCAAGGGTGTCGGCGTTCATTCTGCAGACACGACTGGATTCTCAAGCATCAACATTGGACGTCGACGAAGGCCCAGTAGGCCAGAGCCTGTCGTTGAGCCTACTGAGGATGAGGCCCTGAGCGTCAGCGACGGCGAAGTTGCGGCGGGTGGACTGAGGAGTCGCAAGCGCATGCACCAAGCCTATCAGATCACCTCGAAAAACGACATGGACAGCAAAGGAGGAAGGGACGACTATTTCATCTCACAAGCAGTATTCGCACAGTTGGCACGGCACGTTGCTGCAGCCCAAGGCGGCGAAGGCGAACTGGGCGAAGGTGGAGAGGGACCGATTGTCATCTCTGAGGATAACTGCAACGTCATGTGAAGGGAGGGCTGCACGTAAAGCATTCTTCAAGTGTCTACAACCGAAGGTCCGTCGACGCCAATCAATTACATTCAAATATGGTATATTGTCCCCAGTGCTGCTATGTGGCAGTTTCCGTGCATTCAAGATCCCTCATGCGCCGCCCATATGCCAGAGTGTTACCCCTATACATCGTGTCGTACCGTGCAACTGCAGCAACGTGTCCCCTACGATGCCTTCTTCTGCTGGGCCTTGAGCGCCTTCTTGCGGTTGCTCCTTATCATGACAACGGAAAGGAAGGACCCGACGACGGTGGTGAACAGGACGATCAGGATCACAGGGATGCGAATGGCCCAGACGCGGGGAAGGAAGAGCGAGTGCAGGACGTGGTCCTCGTCGACAAAGGGCTGTGTAGATGTAAGCGACTTGCCGAGGATATGGAACTGCACGTCGTAGCGCATCCGTCGCAGAAAAGCATGTACGCACCATGAACAGAGTCCAGACAGTGTAGTAGACGAAGATGGCAGTGGCTGCGATGAGCATGCTGAGTCCTACGAGGCGGTCGAGCTGCAATTGTCAGTGGGCAATTTCGCTGTGGGTCAGATCAGAGCATACCATCTTGAAGTTAAGGGTGTAAGGAGCGTGGAGACGAGTGTCTGTTCAGTCTTCGATGTCGACGTGGTGAGAGCACCGGATCAGCATGCGTGAGCCGCACCACAGCAGGGGTAAATGCCAAGACCGACTTCCGAGCCAGGACGCGACCAACGCTACCAACGCTACGAAGTACGAGGTAAGAGCTCAACCTAAGCTTAGCAGCTATTCTGATCAACGTGAACGTAGTTTAACTACTCCTGCTTTAACATATCAAGAATACAGAAGAAGTTGCTGTAGTTGTGACATAGTCTTGATAAATTGAAATTATCTACCTAATGGGACTAACGCCGACGATATTCAAAGGCACACAAGGTGCTGTTTGAACATACTATCTTTTTCATCGACGATTAATATATCACGCGCAAAGCACCCGGCTTAGAACGTTCGGATGTCAAGTTGAGTTATACAGCGTACACCGTCACTTTCACGGCGGAGACCCTCCCGCATCAACCACCATCCAGCACTGTCTACGTGCAGCAAGAGCCTCTCATGTCCAGATGACATCCCGCGACTGCTCCCAAGCAGGAATTTAAAGAACTGACGCGAAATCATCACCAAGCACGTGAACATGTAAGCAACGCGAGCCGTCAGCACACCGGCAGCTCGACCTGCGCCGCAAAAGCCTGGCGTGGATACAACCAGCCAAACGTGTGAGCAACACATGGCAAATCCACGAAGAGATAGGGGACTAGAATTTGAACTTTCATAGATTCATTCATGTCGCCTGGTCTTGGAGATATCACGTCCTCCGCCGCACCTTCGCATGCCTTCCTTCCGTCCAGCCAGACTCACACTACACCTCAAGCAGCTCAAATCGACTGCGGCTTAGACGGGGCACGACTACACTATATCAGCACTACGCAAGCGGATTCTTCGCGTCGCACTCACGCTGCCGCATGAGCCGCAGGACTTGTTGTCGCCATCGATAGTGGCGCCGCACTTGGGGCAGCTGGAGTGTGCGTTGACGAGGGTAGTGGTGGCCTGCATTGTGTGGTCGTTGCGGATTTTTGGTTGTGCGGTTGCGTGGTGCTGTTCTGGGAGAGTTGTGAGGGTGGTGATAGTTAGGCAGGATGGAGGGGTAAGTGGGGTTGATATCGCAGGGCTAGCGACCTGGCGCATGCACACTCAGCTGACTCGGAAGCAGAGGTGGTGCAGGGTGCGATTGGATGAGTGCTGTGGAGCGTGGGATGTGTTGGTCGGTGAGGGTGTGGTAATTCGCATGGGAGGGTGGGACTGGTACTTGGTGCTGGTGTGGCTGCAAGTCGGAGCTCGAGGGCAAACACTCTGCCTTCTTGGATCGGACGAATGTTGAGAGAATATCTGTAGACCAATCTTTCATCGTTACTGCGTAGTATATGATCAACTGTAGGAGAGATGGCGAGCAAATGCTGACGGTGAGCCAGTGTATACCGCACCCAGGCACGCCCGGTTTGCCTTTGGCATGGCAGTTTCGTAGGACCGAAGTCGTCTTTGGCACAAGCAATCAGCTTCCGAATTACAACCGAATGCCTCCACTTAAGCGCGACTTTACTAATAAGAAAGCTTCCTGTTGATATTACTGATCCTTCGTTTCTTACCTTGCAGCTGCTTTGGTGGCAACTCGGCCGTTCTTGGATGCAGTAGAAGGCTGTAAATTAATGACAGGGTCTGTATGCTTGCTTCTGCTTTACCTGACATGACAGATAATCTGGCCGTTGATGACTGCGAACCAGCCGTCTTCCTTCTTTTCCATCTCGCGGAATGTCGATGAGATCTCCTCGAGATCGCTTTCGGTGCCGTGGTCGCCGTCCAGTACCCTTTGCTTGTAATCACTCTTGACCGTTCGATCCGCCCACAGACCGCACCACTAGTTACGCTCACATTAGCTATCACGGACTCCTTTACCCTCACATCAGCATGTACTTACCCATTCCCGTTCGTCGGGTGTTGAGAAACACCACGCGCCGATACTCGCCTCGATATCTTCCCTTGGAACACCGGCCTGCATCGCAATTGAATGCAGCATCTTGCCCATGTTCGGATATGCCTTCAGCCCCAATGCGACTTTGATGTACAAGTCCTTCCACTTCTGCATCCCCGGGTGCTCGGGGTACCAGTCCATGGCGCCGTAGTCGCAATCGCGCACCGCTACAATCCCCCCTTTCTTTGTGAGCCGCACCATCTCCTTCATGCAGCCCAACGGGTCCTGCAGGTGCTGCAGTACCTGATGTGCATGCACGACGTCGAAGCCGGCTTCCTCCACGCCGTCCAGGCTGTGCCAGTTGAAGATGTCGCCGACCTCGAACCGCACGTTTGTGACGCCCTTCTCTTTCGCGTGTTGCCGTGCCTTCTCTATGACGTCGGCAGAAGGATCGATGGCGTACACGAAGCCTTGCGGGAGGCGAGACGCGAGGTCGACTGTGATGGTGCCTGGGCCGCAGCCCACGTCGAGAATCTTGAGGTCGGGCTTGAGGTAGGGGATAAGGTGAGGAGCTGAGTTCTCAACGGTGCGCCAGCTGTGGGAGCGGAGGACTGAGGCGTGGTGGCCGTGAAGGTATGGACCTGACATAGCTGCAGGTTTATGAAGAATGACAAGATGCCTCTGTCTTATAAGCAAGTAGATGTAATAAGCAATAGGATTGCAGGAGTCGAGCGTTGACAGTGAACGATGAGCACCATTACTGATCGTGCTGAGAGGTTTATAACGGTGCCAACTGTATTAATTCTACGACGAAGCGGACGTCACAATGCTGCGATTACGGAGACATTGGCCACTAGCAGACTGGGACCGCGATCAAAGGCGTTCGGAGGAGGTTACGTTCAACGGTGTCGAGAACAAGCTCCCCTCAGATACCTCCGGCATCGGCGCACCCACTCGGGTACTCAAGCTGTCGAGTCTCAGGAACAACGGCGGATAAGCGACCTTGTAAGCTAACCATCATTGATACAGATCTTGTAGCTATTAGAAAACCTAAAGCTAAAATTTAGTTACGAATTATTATTGTAGCCAACAAAGTATTCTACAGAGTTTTTTAGTATCTTCCCTACTTTGTTGTCGTGTGGTGTATATCCATACCCCGCTTCATTCACATACGATCATAGTGCCTTGGAACCAGGGCTGTCAATGAATACATTGACGAGCTTTTAATTGATTGTTTGGCAAGCGGCCTTATAGTCAAGCTTGCTTTTGTGATGACTATCTATTAGATATTATCCTGCCTGTGCAAGGCTTCCGAGTGGCTTGCACTGAGTCTGTGTATGAGCATGAAACTGATGAAGCATGCGGTATGCGACAAGCAAACAGATCGACGCTTGTGATTCTTTCATCTCGTGCTGCAGGTGCGAGCAGTGTTGAAACAGGAGCTGGGCCCCGGTGCCGGGTATATGGCCGCGGTTCAAGACCGGTAGTAGGATGATAATGCCTGATTCCTCCTTCTTTTTCAAGTCTCATCAGAAGCTGCGGGTGTGGCAGCCGGTTCCATCTTCAGTTCCGCAGTACTGCCAACGGCAGACTCCACAGGGCTGTCGTTTGAGCTGACACCCACCGAGCTGCCCCGTCGCAACTGAGCCAACTGCTTCCTCAATGACTCCATCTCAGCATCTTTCTGCTCAAGCATTCTGTCTTTCGCCGACACCTCGCCCTTGAGGTGCTTGATGTACTCGATGGCACTCTCCACCTTCGCGGCTTTGGAGTTGTTTGATTGGGCAGCGGTCTCAGGACTCTTGGCATCCGGTAAGGCCGCTTGCGAGCCGGGAGGGAGAAGGTCTTGCATCTCCTGGAGAGCAGTATTGATCCGGTTTCGGCGGCCTTGTTCAGCGATTTTGTGAGAAGTGCGTTTCGAAGTAAGGTTTGTTGAGAGGGATGCCGGGTAAGAGACACCCGGTACTGTGGTGCCGTCAAGGATGTTCTGATAGTTAGATTTCGAGGCCAGAAGAAGGGCATGAGTGTTGTCCGAGGTGCCTGTTGCATGTTAGTCTGCACTTTCATTTGATATCTTGTCTGACGTACCCGACTCCCCAGCTGCGATCATAGGCCTGATGCTCGGTGATATCTTCGGCCTCAACGCTGGACTGACCAGACTTGAACTGACGCTACCCCTCTTCTTCAAGTTGCGACCCTTTGCCTCTACCTTTTTCCCAGAGATCATTGAAAATGCCGGGCTCGTGGGTGTTGACATGGCGTCAAGCATGGGGCTTGGCTTATTCGACATGGCTGCGCCAGGGGTGCTGAGTGGACCCATTTTAGGGGTCTTACGCGCAGACATACGTGGTGTGTCATGATCTGCATCGCGAAAGGCTGTGTCTATCCTGGATAATGATGGCCTTGACTCCAGTGATGCTTCAGGCAGAGCGAGATCCTCCAGCATAGGTGGTGCATTCATCAAGATATCGAATTGTGGCGAGGGATGTATACGCATCAGGGAAGCAGGTGTGGCAGGTGTGGCAGGTGCGGCTCCTTGACAATTCTGCGCAATCAGAGCTGGCGAGTTCTTGACAGACCCTGGGAGCGGAGGTGGTCGCATATCTGAGAGCATGGGTTCAGGAGAAATAGAGTCGGTTTCCGAGTAATCACGGCTGCGCGGGACATCGAGCCCATTGCGTGCCTCTTGCATGAGCTCGCTGACCTCCTTGGGCGGGAGCTGCATCGAGACTGTAGGTTTCCGTCTGCCGGGTCTCACAATGGGCGACTGCCGTATGCGATTTGCAGGGGCCGCTCTGGGTGCAGTCCTCTTCGTCCGTAGGCTCCTCCTCTGCTCAGATGGCTGGGTCATGGCAGGCTCGCCCAGCAAATCCATGTCGACGTCAATGGGCGAGTGCCCTGTTGAGCTAACCGAGGTCGAGGCCTGCGAGTGTAGCTGCGACTGCGCATGTTGGTGGGCCTGCGCATTGAGTGCGGGCGACGTGAGGGGGCTGAAGTAGGCACCCGGTACGGTGAAGTCGGGTATTTGGAACCGTAAGTCGTGAGGGGTGACTGCTGGGGAGACTAGTGGGGTAAATGACTGTGGCATGGTCAGTGCAACTTCGCAATGGCAGTCGCAGACCAACGTACGGCATCGTCTTTGCGCATGTGGTACCTCTGGTCGTAGGCAGCCTGCTGGTCCATCTGCTGCACGTAGCGGTGCGGGTCGCCGTGCATCTCCACACTGTTAGGCGTGGGAGGGACGCCATGGTGCGGACGATAGGCCTGTTCGGGCGGCTGCGAGAAGACAGGTGTGCCAGCATGGGTGAACTGCGACATGCCATAGTCGAAGAAGTTGGCATTCACGTTCGACTGGGGCACGCTGTGGGTCCCCATGGCTCCATGCGCCTGCTGCGTGCCGTTTGCGCCGTCCCCATGATTCTGGGAAATTTGCGGGGGGAACTGGTGGTCGAGGTGGTGGTCGAGCGCGTCGGCCATGGTGCCATTCTGCGGCCCGCCATGGCTGAAGGCGATGTTGTTGAAGTCTGGCAAGTCGAGGTCTTCAAAGTGGTTGAAGTCAATCAGATTGCCGAAGTCCTGATCGCCCGCGGCGTCCATGCCCTGCCACGATTGCGCATTTGCACCGTCCATTGCGTTCGCCGAGCCACTGCCGGAGAAGAGCAGCAAGTGGGCAGGTGGGAAGCGTCTCGATTCACGACGCGCGAGCAATTTCTTCGCCGTCGCTGGTGGGGCTGCTGTCCGCGCCGGGTGGAATCGCAAGCGAAGTGAAGACGCTAGACGCGCTCCTCCTCGAGAGCGCAGCGGTACCTTGGGGCGCTGCTCTTGGAGAGTGTTTGGACGACTGCAGCGATTCTTCACGCAGGCCAGAACAAACCCTGTACAGCCTAAGAGGGCATGGAGGGCTATGCGAACGCGGGCTGACCTGCTCTGACGGGCTAGAGAAGACACCCCACGACTTTACTAAGTGCCTGACCACCCGCGCTTGAGACTGGTGCGTGGGACCAGCCAACCGCAGGTCGCAGCGCGCAGTGGAGGGCAGGAGCGGAGCACCATCTGTCACGGCGACGACCCTGTTATGGAGTCTACGAATTGCGCATGACGTTGGTCATCAGAGGCCGATCATGGCTGACTGGCACTGACGGCCTGGCTGGCGGCGTCGCAGTCAAGTCGGCCTCAGATGCACCGGCGTGGGAGCATGGGCCTCGGATAGGAGAGTGCGACACAACACCTCATTCCGCCGATCACAGGGCTCTGCGACGCGCAGGAACTGTGGCCCTTCGCAGTCGCGGTTCCGCACGCAGAGCAGCTGTCGGGGCTGCATGCCGCCCAATAGCGCTGGCGCGTGTTTCGGTCCGGCTGCACAGGCAATTGGACTCACTCTCGGATTTCCGCCGTTGAAGCAGCAGTTCGCATGTTTGTCAATGCACTCGGCGCCGGTGCCCCTTCCGGCGATCTGGTGAAGCACGGGCAGTTGCAGCGCAGCCTCGTATTGCGCCCTGCAAACAAACATGGAAAGCCTTGACTTGCCGAGGATGTCGTGCAGGTGTCAGGTTTCGTCGATGCTCGTAGATTTCTGCGCGCTGCACTGATTAGTGGAGTGCGGTATTGATGCTACTGCTCGCTCGCGCCCTGTTAATCTCGTTTGACTAGTGCCTGCCCCTTTGAGCGTTGATATCCGAGAAAACAGGTAAGCTCAAAACAAAATGAAGAATCGTAAGAGCGGCTGGTCAGGTGCTGGATTCGCGATTGCAATTGCAGAGTGGACAGCAGGGTGGACAGGCAGGTGCAGTAAAGTGAGACGATTGTCGTCTCGTGATTTGTGAGGCACAGCAGCCGCTGGAGGCATGCTGGCTGAAGTAGAGAAAAACCCAAGAAAAGTCCTACTGCGCTGCCAGCAATGAACAGCAGCGAGCGTCGAAGCCGCCTTTTCCGTAATTTACACATTGCTGAAAGTACATGATCCATGAATATCAGCGGTCGGGACTGCTGCACACCGTGGGGTATTAACCACAACCAAACTAAAGGTAAAATGAAACACTGCCGTGAAAGGGCCCACATGAACGCCGTTACTCTGACATCAGGCTGCATCCTCTTTTCGCCGTTTACATTACGATGCAGCAGCCGCTACTTTGCTGGGGGGCGTAGGGGTCCTCGCGCTTGTCAATCTGGAGCGAGGTCAGCAGGGCAGCGGGGGCGGAGGGGTGCGCGACGTACGGTTCCCCATCGCGAGGGCACCATCCAGTCTTTGGGTTCCTTGTCTGTGAAAGCAATGAGACTGCGGGCGCGTTAGCGGCGGGTGTGGGCGAGGCACAGCGGCAGGCAGGCACGTACTCCAGGGCAGCCTCGGACACGGGTATCCGGCGGCGCTCGAGGTCCTCCCGCAGGCGCTGGTTGAGCTCTGTCAGGCGACGCAGCTTCAGCTCGGCCATGCTCTGCTTCTTGGACTTGCCGTCGCCGCCGGTCCGGATCTCGTAGGGCGCGGCAGCCATCACGGCGGGCATAGTGGCGCGTAACGGGGGGTATCGTGAAGAAGGAGAAGTCGCGGGCGGGCGGTATTAGTGCCGGCGACGGGGTGTGGCGGCGGTGCGGGTGGTGCGACGGCGTCGGCGGGCGCGGAGCGGGTCGTGGTAGAGAGCGGAAGCAAAGGAGCGAAGTTGGCCAGCCAGGAGAGCCTTCCGCGCGAAGGCCGGGCTGCTGCGAGCTGCGGCGATGGGGTGCGTGTGGCGATGGGGGCGGTGGTGGAGTGGGCGGAGGAGCGTAAGGAGAGGTTGGAGGAGATTCGGTGGTATTGGCTCAGCAACCCCTTGCTCGCAAGCGGCCTAGGCCGAGCAATCGCGCCCAAGAGCCTCGCCGCACTGACACGGCGCCGCGGGCTGCAGACGCAGCGCAGCAGTCAGTGCGATGCGATGCTGCAGGTGCTCGCTGCTGCCGCCGCCCTGGCCGCTCGCACTGCGCGACTCTGGTTCGCGTGCGCGGCGCTCGCTGCTGCACTGGCACTGCTGACTGAACCATTGCTGGGCTGCTGCGGGGACGTGCTAACCGCGAATTCGCTTAGTGGCTCCCACACCGCGCAGCTTTTTGCCGTGACATCTATCGCTGCGAAGGACTCTGCACCGCGCACCACAGGCCGCCGCCGCCCTGCCAATTTCGAGACTCCCAGCGACGGACTCGCGACCCCGCTGCCCAGCATGGCGCCCCCTCCGCACAGCAAGCCCGAGAACACTCTGTGCGCGCCCGCCGCCCCGCCGTGCCTGTGACTGACCTGCTAACGCCGCCGCAGCAAACGCGCCCAAGAGCTCATCGGCGTCAACCAGCAGCAGGCCGCCCTGCAGCTGCTGCACGAGCATGTCACCTCCAAGCGCACCCGCAACAGCCCCATCGCCTCGCTGGAGCCCGTCATGGTGCTCTTCGTCGAGCTCTGCGTCGACCTGCGCAAGGGCAAGCTCGCCAAGGACGGCCTCTACCAGTACAAGAACACCGCCCAGAACACCAACGTCGGCACCATCGAGACCGTCTTCAAGAAGTTCATCGAGCTCGCCGAGAACAAGGTCACCGAGGCCCAGGCCAAGGCCGACGACGTGCAGTCGTCGCTCGAGGGCACCGCCGACGCCGGCGAGGCCAAGAACATTGAGGACCTGGAGGCCTCTGAGACGCCCGAGTCCATCCTGCTGTCCACCGTCTCCGGCGAGCAGGCCCGCGACCGCACCGACCGCGCCATCGTCACCCCGTGGCTGAAGTTCCTGTGGGAGACGTACCGCACCGTGCTCGACATCTTCAAGAACAACGCCCGCCTGGAGCTCATGTACCAGTCGACCGCCCACCAGGCCTTCCAGTTCTGCTCCAAGTACGCCCGCAAGACCGAGTTCCGCCGTCTCTGCGAGCTGCTGCGCAACCATCTGCAGAATGCCGCCAAGTTCTCCTCGCAGATGCACGCCATCAACCTGTCCGACCCCGACACCCTGCAGCGCCACCTCGACACCCGCTTCCAGCAGCTGAACGTCGCCGTCGAGCTCGAGCTGTGGCAGGAGGCCTTCAGGAGCGTCGAGGACATCCACACCCTGCTCAGCCTGAGCAAGCGCCCCGCCAAGAACGTCATGATGGCCAACTACTTCGAGAAGCTCACACGCATCTTCCTGGTCAGCGAGAACTACCTGTTCCACGCTGCCGCATGGAGCCGTTACTACAACCTGCTCCGCCAGTCCGCCGCTGCCGTTGCCTCCGGACAGGGCCTGAAGAAGGACAACCCAGCCGTCACCGAGGCCGACATGACCAAGGCCGCTTCGTTCGTCCTCCTGTCTGCGCTCTCGATTCCCGTCATCAGCACATCGCGCTCTCGCGGCGCCCTTGTCGATGCCGACGCGGCCAGGAACAACAAGAACTCGCGTCTCACCAACCTGCTCGGCATGAACCAGGCACCCACCCGAGCCATTCTGTTCAAGGATGCGCTCAGCAAGGGCCTGCTCAAGCGTGCCCGCCCCGAGATCCGTGACCTCTACAACATCCTCGAGGTCGACTTCCACCCCCTGTCCATCTGCAAGAAGATCTCCCCCATTCTTGCGCAGATTGGCGCTGATGAGGAGATGAAGAAGTACGTCGGCCCGCTCCAGCAGGTCATCCTCACCCGTCTCTTCCAGCAGCTGTCTCAGGTCTACGACTCGGTGCAGATCAAGTTTGTGCTTGAGCTGGCCCAGTTCCCTGAGCCCTTTGGTGTCAGCAAGGGCACCATTGAGAAGTTCATCATGAACGGTTGCAAGAAGGGCGATCTTGCCATTCGCATTGACCACGCCGCTGGCGTGCTCACCTTTGACTCTGATGTCTTCTCTTCCGCAAAGGCCATGCACACTGGCTCCAATGCCGGCTCAGCCGAGAGTGAGACTCGCTCCGTCCAGCGTCTGCAAAGCACACCCGCTGAGATTGTCCGATCTCAGCTCACACGCCTTGCCAAGTCGCTCTTTGTCACATGCCAGTACGTTGACCCTTCGTTCAACGCCGAGCGCATCAGGCAGAAGGAGGCTGCTCTCGCCCGCGCCAAGGAGGGTGCCGAGCAGGAGCACCAGGAGACTATTGCTCGTCGTGAGATCATCTCGCAGAAGAAGGAGGCTGCCGCAAAGGCACTCCAGGCTAAGGAGACCGAGGAGCAGAGCAAGAGGGCTCTTCGCGCGCAGCAGATCAAGGAAGAGGAGACTCGCCGTCTTGCTGAGGAGCAGCGCCAGCGCGCTGAACAGCGCATCAAGGCTGAGCAACAGCGTATTCAGCGTGAGGAGATTGAGAAGCAGCTTAAGGAGCTGAAGGCTACTACCAAGGTCGACATTGACCTGCCGGAGAACCTTGAGGATCTCGACTCCACCAGAATCCGTATCCTCAAGCTGCAGGCTCTTGAGAAGGAGAAGGCCGTGCTTGCCGAGACTCTTCGCATCACCGGCAAGCGCATTGACCACTTGGAGCGTGCTTACCGCAAGGAGGAGATCAAGCACCTCAAGGAGGACTACGAGAAGCAGCAGAAGGCCGATGAGGTGGCTTATGAGAAGGCCAAGGTTGAGGAGCTCAAGGAAGCCGAGGAGAAGCACAAGGAAGACGTTGCCCTCAAGCACCGCCTGTCACGACTTGTGCCAGTCTACGCTGACTTTGTCAACACGGTGAAGAGCAACCGCAAGGCTGAGTTCGAGAAGCGCTCGAGGGCTGCACAGAAGGACCTTGAGGCCAAGAAGCTTGCTCGCGTCAAGGAAGTCAAGGAGAGACTTGCCAGAGAGAGGCGTGAGCGTGAGGAGGCTGAGCGAAGACAAAGAGAGGAGGAGGAGCGTGAGGCTGCTGAGGCTGAGGCTAAGGCTGCTGAGGATGAGGCCAGGCGCGCGAGGATGGCCGAAGAGAAGGCCAAGCGTGACGAGGAGCGCAAGTCAGTAGTCCCACGTCCTGATATCTGTACACCACTAACATCTTCTAGGGCCCTCGATGAGACCGCACGCATCCAGCGTGAGCGTGAAGAGGCTGCCGAGGCCAAGCTCCAGGCACGCAAGGCTGGTGGCTTCCGCTCCGAAGTTCCAGACCGCACATTCTCTCGTGGTGCACCCGCCGCTGCGGAGCCCGAGAGCCGTGGTGGACCACCCCGTCTCGCCCTCGCTGGTGGCAAGCCTTCGTGGCGTGACCGTATGGCCGCGAAGACTGAAGGGGGTGCTCCTGCTGCTCAGGATGCTCCTGAGGCTGCTCCTGCCCCCACTCCCGCTGCCGCCCCTGCTGCTGCTCCCCCTGCTGCTGCTCCTCCTGCTTCTCAAGCAGCACCCACACGCAGCGGCTATGTTCCCCCTCACCTCCGTGGCGCTGGCGGTAGCGCTCCTGGCGGTGGCTGGAGAGAACGCGAGGCCGCAGGACGTGACACACCTCCTCGCGCAGACTCCGGCTCTCCTGCTGCTGGTGGCCGCTACGAGGCTCCCCGCCGCGGTTTCGGTGAAGACCGCAAGGCGTCGCCCGCAACAGGCGGCCGCTGGGAAGCCCCTGCTCGCCGTCCCGCAGAGCGTGAGCCCGAGTCGCGTCCTCCTCCCGCTGGTGCGGGTGATGGCAAGTACAGGCCCGGTGCCTTCAGGCGCACTGAGCAGTAGAGTGTGGTTATATTAGATATGATTGATGCCTCTGAGTCATGTGAAAAGGTTTGGCGGTATATAGGGAGTTTTGCTCTGCTTTTCTCGGCTCGGTGGTCGGGATCATTCAACGTCTTAGCCAGGTTTCCAAAATGCATTTTCACCGGTTCTACGAACATCACACAAGTTTACAGCTCTCTTGGTGAGCGTCTTCTCATTCCAGTTTTCGTGACGTACGTGCGGCACCTCTCACGTTGCAAGATAAACGGCGGTTTGAGGATGTGAGCCAAGTCTACTACGCAACAACAATGTAAAAAGCTTTCGTAGACTGCTTCTGCCTATAATATAGGAACTGCTTACCTAGGATCTAGCTTTACCTATCATTATGGCTCTAAGTTTGGTGTCAAAGCTGGCGCCCGCCGAGTAGGGCGCCAAATGCCCTTCCAACCCCACCACACCTCAGATTCCAATCATCCGAAGATATGGCCAGCGGCATCTCACATCGCCGGAGTCTGCGCCTAGGGCGGTGATACATGCAGAGTCGTCGAGGCCGAGGTCATGACTGTGTCGCTCCTGGACTGTCTCCTGGAAGCGAGACGGCGGGTGAGCAGGCTGGTAGACACGTGTAGTGACTTGGACCACGTAGATGTGTCGGGTGTGAAACGAAGTTAGGTAGTTACGCACTGGAGTTGCTTATAGAAGTGGGAGCGTTGGCTAAGCTGGGTTATCGAACTTCGAGTGTTTCGAGCTGCACTTCTGGCTGGAGTCGAACTTCTGGCTAAGGAAGCGCACGGAAGCAACAATGACGCTGAACATATCAGGCTCAGTGAGTGTAATAATCACGTTTAATTATAAGAGAGACTACATCAAAGATGGGACATCACCACGGACGCGAAAAGCGTAGCCTAAAAAGAGTCATGGATAGTAACCAGCAATGTGTTATCACTACGAGACGTGTGACGTACTACAAGTGTGTTATATTAAGAAGAAATTAAAGCTCGATAAATTGAGATTAGTTGAGTACTAGCTTGAGAGGGAGATGCTGCGAGTACAAGGCGGACTGTCATTGCTTCTTAACTTATAGCATCCATATACTTGAAGTGCATGTCTGCCTATGAATTAAGAATGAACCCTGGAGGCCTCTGTTAGACCTAGGTACTGCCACCACCTGAGCAGTGTGAGAGACCGTTCTGGGCATCAGACTGTGGTTACCGACAAAATTGAATTACCATATTGCTGCATCATGCAAGAACATTGTCCCTACATTGCATAGCTCATCTAATAATGCAAATTACCGCACTAACGCCTCTGCTTGTCGCTGTGCTACGACGGGGTATTGAACTCGAACCGACCCCACCCAGATATCATACCGCCCAACCATCTTCTCGTCTCAACTAACGCCAAATAATTCCGGCCTAAATTAGGAGCTGCGCTTGCCGTATGGCTCGAAGGGGAAGACCGCCGCGATTGCTGCCATTACAATGTACAACGCAGCGCAGATGTAGATCGGTACGGGTGTCGACGTCTACGTCTTGTTAGCTGCCATACTATATTTGAGAAGGGTTCCGGGAGAGACTTACGTCGGCGACCGTAGCGATGACCGCACTCATGATGCCCATGATGCGGTTCCAGCCGATTGCAATGCCATTTCCAGTGCCACGGTGTGCACTTGGGAGCACCTCAGGAGTATAAGCATATAGCGTCCCTGTAAACATGTCAGCTAGCTGTCTCAAGGAGGAGACGAGACGCTTACCGTAGTAGATGTTCAGGCAGAAGTTGATCACGCATGTGAAGACGATATTCTGCGTCTCGGTACGGACCTGCGTGTACGCGAAGAAAAACGCCATGGTAATCAATGCTCCTATTACCATGGTGTACTTGCGTCCCAGTTTCGTGTGGCACATGTACCCCGCGAGTACAGGGCCCCAGATTCCGCTAAAGTTGACGAGCGTGTAGTTCCGCCAGGTGATATACTGGCTTGTCTGCCCGAATGCCGCACCACGAGAAGCAAGATAAGCAGGTAGGAAAACGTTGTAAAGGGGATACGCAAGCCCTATCAACGTCCAGGAAAGCCAGATGAGGGTGGTGGAGATGCCAATGCGTTTCGTGATGAAAAGTCCCTTCAGATGCACACCAACCTCTCCGAACCCCCACTTGCTCTTGCCCTGTGCGGAGCGACTACTCACGGTTCCACAGGCTTGTAATGCCTCCAATGTCAGGCTGCACGGGCGATTATACTTTGTTGCGATGCCCTGAAGTACGTCGACGCATTCAGCGTCCTTGCCCTCACCAACCAAGAACTTCGGCGTCTCCTTCAGACGAATGACGAAAATGCGGGCCATGGACATGACAAATACAAGGGCTCCAGATGCGTACCAGACGTATCGCCATCCTTGGTTGTTGGACTTCGTGCAGGGAGCAGCGTCGGGGATGACGGCCGGATCACTGCAACTATGGGATGGGAGGAAGGCCCACGCAAAGAAACCAGCGATAAGCTGACCAATACCCCACCAAGCTGCCATTAAAGTGAGCATCCACTGGCGCGATCCAGGTAAATATTCGAGAAAAACCGCGGTATCAAGTACCAGATTGCCTCCAGCGCCGAATGCACTGAGGCACACAAAGAGTCCGAGGACCTCCCAGTTCGGACTCGCTCCTGCTACTATCGCGAAGATTGAGCAAAGAATGAGAGAAACGTTGAAGGCGATCTTTCTCCCGATGACATCTGCACCGATGCCCCAGAACAGCGCGCCGACAAGCATTCCCACGTAAGCGGCGATTGTGAGACCGTTTGGATATCCAGGATTAAACTCAAGAACAGCCTGACGGGCGATAACGGACTGAATTAAAAGGATAAGGGAGTCGACAGCGTAGCCGAAGCCGTTCAGAACGAACAGCTTCCTAGAGGGGTCAGCGAACGGACTATATGATGGATACAATATTCTTACCAGTGGTAAGTCGTGAATCCAATCTCATCAATAGTCTATTTACAAATAAGTCAGCCGTGCTAGATTGCCAGTGGATGATTCACTGAACTGCCTTCCGCTAGCGACGATTCGCCCTTACATTATTGATGAGATGCATCTTCGCATTGAGAACAGGATCCGTGTGCTCTCTGCTCAGAATGTCGCCTTTGCCCAAGCTACTCGTATCATCACCAGTAATTATGCCATGGCCTCCTCGTTCGACATCGTCTTGCTGGACCACCTTCTTCTCGGAGTCGATTGTCTTCGCTTCACTCATGATTTCGACAAATGTTTATGTCATGCGACAAAGTCTTATGTTTAAACAGAACAGAGTCTGTTAATAATGCTGATATACAAAGTACTTCAAAATTGGCCTCGAAACTAGGTAATGTTGCGCCGGTATATTGGTAGCGAAAACGATTATTCGGAAACCTGCGCCTTATGTACCAATGATAAGAACGAGGGTTGAATCCCTGATTAAAATGCTTGTCGGTCTTGTCCTACGTGCTGTATCCGCTATCGCGCACTGGAGCCAACCACAGGTGTAGGAGCATCAAACGTTCGGCACGTGGGGTTGACATGATTGGCTGTCAAAGGTGGGGATCATCATCGCGCATCTTTGGAACGACCGTTCGCGTCACCAAGTCCATTGACACTTATTCACATACGTTGAAGACCACCATTGTATTCAATGAGACTTTTTGTATTGCCTGCAGAGGGTTCTTTGGTCATCAAGGTTCTGCACCGGCACCGCTTAGTACGTGCCATTCACCAGAACGAATGCCAAGCAAAATGCTAGCCGATCTAGCTACATGGTGTTCTGCCGCGGCCTGATGTCTCATCCTCGCCCTCTCTCTAATTTCCTTGTCGTCCAATAACTCGCCGTCATTTGCGCGATTGTACCTCATCCGATCTTTCAACACTGGTTCACGTATCTTGTATTCCTTTCATATAGCTAACGTCGCCTATTCGATCTTCTTCGACTGTCTGTCGTCTGCTTCGGTTCGGCATCTTGAAAAGCTTCATAAGGCTTCTCGACATGTAGTCTCCCAGTGGCGTCGGCCTGCAGCCCTTGCTTTGGTGGCTCTTGTCACTTAAGTGTCAGCCTGGCAGGCACAGTGAGCGAGATGAAGAAAGTATGGAAGGTGCAGTGAAATGGCAAGCTACCGCAGCAAGCATGAGGCGTCCAAGCACCACACCAGCAACCGGTTGGACAGCCCAGAGTCAGCAGTGCTCTTTGCACGACGCAATGAAAGTGCTGACGGGCGAGTTTGCCTTGCTATCATCGTTCAATCTGTCGCAGAGGGCTTGTCTTTTGTAAGTAGTCTCGCAGATCACGACCCGGAGTGTCCGCAGACGCGACCTTTCTGTGGCGGCCAACTCGACATACGATGCAATGAGCCCTGTGCGTAGGCCGCACTTTCCCCGCATTCTTCGTTCTCCATGCACGGCTTCAACACACCCTGCAACACGATGTTGACCACTGGCTGCCTCTCACGTTACAGGATAATCGGCGGACGAAGGATGTGAACCAGATATTCTACTGCGCGACAGATACGTACAGAGAATGTGTTAGAGTTCCAGAGGATACAGTTTTACCTATAATGTAGGTAATGCTCAACTGAATTCTAGTTTTAGATACTATGATAGCTACAAGTTCTCTATCAAAGTTGGTCAACTTGAAGGTCGCTTATCCGCCGTTTTATTTGAGACTTGGTAGGCTGCCTGGAGCCATCCCCCTTGTTCTACAGTGTGGTTCACAATGGACGATGACGTCGGGATCAAGCGAGCCGGATAGGGTTGGTGTTGGTGTTACCTAGATAAAGGCCAAAGGGGAACGAGGTAATGTTGCGATAGGGGTATCCAGAGGGTTCGATTCCTCCCACTTCTATCTGATCCTGAGACTGATCGTAGTCAAATTTCGAGTAGAGGAGAAGAATTAGCGGAACGCTTCGTTTGCTGAGCTTCTTACTGGTATCAGGTATCAGGTATGATGTCGCTTGTAGAAGTTGATGTTATTACAACCTCCAAGCTGGTTGCAATGTGTTCAAAGCAGGGAGTTCGTGCCTTTTCAGGAACTCTCAGGCAAATCCCGCAGGAATGTCGTGCAGCTGGAGCACGTCTGCATCTACGAGGCCGTATTCGCTATAGTTGCCATTATTGTCGTCGTCTTCATCGTCGTTCAAGGATATTCCCTGGGGCAGACGAGCCTCGATGGCTTTGACGAGCTTATTGAAGGGTTTGAGTGACTCGTCCAACATTTGCTTGTAGACTCGCATATAGTGCCAAGGATGGTTGTCAAAACCGAGACCAAAGTCTTTCTCGTAAGAGTGTCTATACCTAAACATGATTATTTAGTTGTAGTTATGCAGCTTATTGGCGGTAACAAAGATGGGTAATCCTACACAGTGCCGAGTGGCTGATCGGGTGTACATGAGTGCAGCACAATGTCTTGTAGCACACCAGGTATGCACTGGGGAGTGTCTGGGACCGTCGAGACGACGTGGCTTCTCTCAAAGTGCTGCAGGGTCCTGTGATCACAGCTAAGTCTATCATTTGATACCGACAGCTTTCAAGAACTCTTCTTTTTGTTTCTGACCTGGCCCGATGTCTCCCTCCTTCCCATCCTTCTTGCGTCCCTTCTGCACGCCATCCATGGCGGCGGCTTCTCCATCATTTTCCAGCAGCTTCACAACATCAGCCATACTCTCCACCTCCCTGACCGCTTCCCCGTGCGCAAACTTCCACTCGACCTCTTCCTCAAATCTGACCTGGAAAGCTGCCCAGTTCTGCGCTTTCAGCTCGTTAACATGTGCATCAACGGCTGCTGCCGGTCCAGAATAGACCAAAATCCCAGGGTAGCCTGGCTTTGTGATGCCAGAGAAAGCTGGTGACAAACAGAGTTTGCGTTTGTTGGTGTTGAGCAGATGATGTAACCAAATTATCACTGTCTTCTTGGCGTTGCAATCTGTCGTTTTGTCGTGCTTTGCAGATGTAACGCTTGAAGTCTCTACTCTTTCTGAAACGACTTGTTGGAATGCTGCGATTATCGCATCAAGTGCTTCTTCGCCTTCTGGCAAGTTGAGCGCCTGAACAACGGTCTTTGTCTGTGTCCTGAGGTCATGTTTGGCTGCGTCGGTGGCTCCTATCACGTCGGGGAAACCTGTTTCTGGGTACGTATCTGGTATGCGCAGCTGGAGCGTTGCATGCTCCTGTGTGAACTTGAGCTCTCGGCTCTTAGGCGAGTAAGTGGCTTGGTCGGGGTAGATGGCGGTCAGAAGCTCAATTTCGTTATCTAGACGTGACGGCAGTTCTTCTGCCATTTTGATCTAACCAGAAGACGGCGTTTTGCTGATGTTTCTGCTGCAGACTGGCTTGCACGATGATTGGAGGACGACCTTCGTCATTGCCAGAGCTATATTTCGTCCGTGCGTCAGCTACCACTCACACCATCAGCAAACGCAAGCTCAAGGTGAATGCTGGACGCGTTCAGTGCGCGATCATCTTGGTGAGAGATCACTGTTTCTCCTTATCAGTTAGCGCAGGGAGAGAAAAGGCGCCGATTAGGAGACGCCCTGCGGAGCTGTTCCCTAAGTAACCGGAGCTGGCGGTACCTTGCTGAGAAGCATGTCAGATGGCACGCCGTGCAGATGGTCTGACAGCATGAAAACGAGAAAATCGGGTCGTTGTGGACTGAAACGCGTCGTAGTCTCGGCAAGTGATCAATTACTGTGGGCGGTGCCATGCCCGATGCACCTTACGAGGGCTGCACGCGGTGAAACTTAATCAAGCGCCTTCTTTCGGTTAGGACGCGGTTGAACCGCGCTTTCGTGTGAGTGCAGGCCAGCCAACCGCTCGGGGACTTGTCAATTGCCTTACAGAACACTCTTTCACTTGCCTGTTTGCCCTGTAGCCTCCTCAGCGTCCATAATCAGCACACGTTGACTGTGGCGCCTGCGAACGATAACGAGCGCTCTCCCGTCCTCCGCACGCACCCTCGCACCTGCACTCCGAGCACCGCACCTCTTGGCCGGGGCGCCCCATAACCTCAGCGAACGGCTCCCGAGCTGCAGATATCTCGACCGAACCTCCCTCCGAACACACTCCTATCGAACGGCCCCGAGCCGTACCTACACCCACAATGAAGGCTACGCCGCTGCTGGTGTCCTGGCACAACGAAAACGCACCCATATACTCGGCCCACTTCGAGCCCCACGGGAAAGGACGACTGGCAACCGCTGGCGGCGACAATAATGTGCGGGTAGGTTTGGGAGGCTTCTTGGGGCGTGGAGTGGTCGCTGACGAACGCACAGCTCTGGAAGGTCGACAACAACGGGGAAGAGCGGAAAGTCACTTATCTATCGACACTTGTCAAGCACACACAAGCTGTCAACGTTGTGAGATGGAGTCCGCGAGGTGCGTATTGGCGCTTCTGAAAGAACAACATGCACTAACACCTACAAGGTGAAGTACTAGCTACTGCAGGCGACGACGGCAATGTGCTGTTGTGGGTCCCAGCTGAGAACCAGACAAATACACACAACTTTGAGGAAGGCCTGGAGGACAAGGAGTCGTGGCGTGTCAGAACCATGTGCCGGTCGATAGGGTCAGAGATCTACGACCTTGCCTGGTCTCCAGACGGTGTGTACTTTATCACGGGCAGCATGGACAATGTTGCACGTATCTACAACGCCCAGACAGGTACGGCCTACCACCTATTGCCTCCACAAACGACTGCTTAACTCTACTCAGGAGCTATTGTACGGCAAATAGCCGAGCACAATCACTACGTCCAAGGTGTTGCATGGGATCCATTGAACGAATTCATTGCAACACAGTCGTCCGATCGATCGGTGCATGTTTACACCTTGAAGACCAAGGATGGCCAATTCGCACTCGACCCACACAACAAGATCACGAAGATGGACCTTCCCGCTCGACGCATCTCCTCGAATAGTCCCGCACCTCCTGATTTTGGTGCTCGAGCTTCATTCGCCGACTCGTCTATAAGTATTGGCTCGCCTGTACCATCGATGCCAGGTACTCCACAGTCTCTGGCCTTGCCTGCTATGCACCCACCGCCTACTTCACATAGTCGCCGCTCCTCCTTTGGTGCTGTGTCATCGCCATCGATGCGACGGTCTGCCTCCCCAGCTCCATCAATGCCATTGCCTGCGGTCATGCCAAACTCCCCCAGTATCAGCAGCATCGGTACGCTTGGTGTGCGCAATGCGCCCATCTACTTCAATGAGACATTAACTTCCTTCTTCCGACGTCTCACGTTTGCCCCTGATGGTAGCTTGCTCTTTACGCCAGCTGGTCAGTACAAAGCTGTTCATCCATCTTTGGCAGATGTTGGCAAACCGACCGAGGACATCACCAACACCGTGTACATCTATACTCGGGCTGGTCTGAACAAACCTCCAGTTGCGTTCCTTCCTGGTCACAAGAAGCCTTCCGTAGCTGTCCGGTGTTCACCTGTCTACTACACTCTGCGCCAAAACGGCCCGCCAACCAAGCATGTTACCATCGACACGTCCATGGACGATGACATGCCGTCTCTGCCGGAGCCAGTCTTGCCGTCCGTACCTCCCACGTCACACTCCTCCATGGACCCCCCACCACTCACCAGTGCGCCATCGCCTGCACCGGTTGCATCACCCGCACCCGCCGATGGTGATGTTCCGCCATCAGCTTTTAGTCTGGGTTACCGCATGATCTACGCGGTCGCTACTCAGGATGCCATCCACATCTATGACACGCAGCAACAGAAGCCTCTATGCATCGTGAGCAATTTGCACTTTGCCACCTTCACTGATATCACTTGGTACGTCAACTTCTGCTGTGTACCTGCGAACTGTACTAACTACTCAGGTCGAGTGATGGATCGACGTTGCTCATGACTTCCTCAGATGGCTTCTGCTCGGCAGTAACCTTTGCTGCTGGCGAATTGGGAGACAAGTACACAGGACCGCTCGCTTCTCAAGCCAAGCGACAGGCGGCTCCAGCTGCGATCAACGTCAATGCCGCTCAGATGTCTAATCACTCAACACCCACTCCAACTCCAACAGGAACCAATATTCCCATCCAAACCATTGAGAAGGCACCCGCGATGCAGCGGCAGCCTTCGGCTGGCTTTCCTGCATCACCGAGTTCCTTCGTACCTGCAAGAACTGGTAGCCCGACTAGAAGCAACTCAGTCTCTAGCATTGCAACCGCGTCATCGTTTGCCCCTGGCGTCGGCGACCCGAGCTCAATGAATGCACCCACTCCAGCGATGTCTTCAGTGCCCAGTCTTGCTGTGGCAAACTCGGGGTCTGTCCCTATGTGGACACCACCACTCACTCCGGCACATGGGCAAGGCAACACTCACAGTGCAAGCAGTTCTGTAAGCGGCATCCCTGGTATACCCTTGGTACGACGAGAGAGCGAGCAGAGCGAGTCAGGTCGTGATGATGCTGTGCCTAACACAAAGAAGCGCGAGCTGCAAAGTGTTCCGGAGGAAGAAGGGCGCGAGAACAAGAAGAGGCGCATTGCACCGATACCCGTTAACATGGGTAACGAGAGCGACACTGCGATTGTCAGTAAGGAAAACACACCGGCGCCTACGACAGATGGTCAACAATAAACTAGGATAAGGCGTCTCGACTTCAACGCATGGTTTGTATGTCTTTCAGCGGGCGTTTGGGGTCAAAACTCCTGCCACAACATCGTGAGACAGGCTGTCGTTTAGGTGCATCATTTTGTCTTTCTCAATTTCCAATAGGTATTTGAGGATAATATCTGCGATTATGAGTGAGCTTCTAGCTTCACCTTACTACGAGTGTGCTCTGCTCAAGACACCCCAATTGGATTATAGTCTTCACATTTTGATTTGTCCAGTGAGCGTCTTTGCCTTGCATGCACCTACAAGGATTTGATCTTACTCGCCAGAAATCACACGGCCATCACCCGAACATGCGCCATGTTTGTGGATCGGCAGGTTTGCCTAACTCGCTATTAAGGCATGTACCTCCGTTTACCGATTATGCAGGAAAATGCCGCCGAAAACGACAGCCTTTGCAAGCTGCAAACTTAGCAGTGTCTCTCATGCTCCAGGAAAGACAGTGGAAATTCGACGTTCAAGTTGACCAGCACTAATATAGAACTTGTAGGTATTGTAATATCTAAAGCTGAAGTTTAGTCCACGCCGATCGTAAAAGAGTCACTTCGGCGACGATGAAGTAGGAATCCTGCCTGACCCCGTGCCTGAGATCCGACAATTTCTACAGCAAGCTCGGATCATATTCAATGAGCCCAACAAGTCCGTCAGATTATCCTTCTTCTTCTGGGTTAATAAGCTAGCTGCTCCAGGCACTTTTTTCGCATTCGAGAAGATGTTAAAGATTGCGCTTAATTTAGTTGATGATACTGTGCCTATAAAGTGTGAGTACTAAGATAAAAGATTCGCACTTCTCTACACATCAAATCGGCTTACAAGTTACAGTGTCAGATTATTGTAAGTGTCAATCGAAGGACGCTGCAGAAAGCCTGCGCGTGGCTGTCAAGTTTGTCGTAGGCACGATCAAAGAAGTCATCTCTGCATTATATTTTCCACATCTCGACGACGTGGGAAGAGTTCTCCGGAGGAACGAAATGGTACCCATTGGATGTCGTCCTGGAATACTGGCTCAACACCGTCCGAATAGGCAATATAGTCGCTGTGCTAAAGAAACGTCCAAAGAGTCACCTCTAATGAGATTATTGACATGTCTTGCCTAATGCTGCGTTTCACCAAGTGGCTGGTCGGAGATGCCTGGTGGCAGTACCGTGTGTAGAACACTCAGCAGCCATTGCTATACCAGAATACCCTTGTATGTAAGAAATGTTCAAAGAGGTATACTAACACCTCTAAAAAAACAATGGTGATGTTTGAGCTGCTGGCGCGACAGGCAACAGTCAAAAAAGCTCCCGCACCTCAACACGATCTCAACGAACAAAAAAGGCAAAAAAGAATGCTTCCGTCACGGGGAATCGAACCCCGGCCACATCGGCGCTTGCTATGAGAGCGATGTATCCTAGCCACTTGAAGATGTTAGTCGGTTGTTGTTGAAGATGTGAAGAAGGCGATGCTTACCTAGACCATAACGGATGTTGTACTGTTTGATGGAGATAGCGATAAATTAGCTGTAATATATTGCCACAATCTTTAAAAAAATGCATCGAGCAGACTGAAGTTCTTGTAGTGGAGCCCTCCGCGCACTGTAGAGATAGGAGGTCTCCGGCAATATTGAAAAGTCTATTAAGCCACGCAGGTGGGAATATCATGGAAAATCATGACGCGGACGTCTTTCTCGTTACCTCTACAACCAGCAGCAGTACCCGCAGTCTTGAAGAGAGCCTTAGACTTTTGGAGCCGGCACCTAAACAGTTCTTCGCATCAAGCCAACTTTTCGGCTTACGCCTAAGTACTGCAGGCCCGTCCGAGGAAACACCACGATCTCGTCGAGTTGTTCTTATATGCGTCTAGAACGGAGATGTTTAGCCATAGTTGGACAGCTTATAATTTGTGATAGGATTGAGTTGTGTCCTGCAAGATGCCAAGTGTCTAGTCGGAACATGCCCTGGGTGCAGTCGTACACTGGTACCCTTGTCGTCCAGGCTAGATCCTTTGAATCGCAGCGCGCTGGGAACAGGAATAAAATCACTGTATACTAACATATACTAGGTTGCGAAAGATGTTGGTGGTTGTATTTGAGAACGATGCTGTATTTTCCAGAACTTGCTATAGAAATGCTTCAGGCTAATGTGTGTCGCTTACAAAACTCAAGATGAAAGGCAAGAAGTCGTTCTTCAATTAGAATAAGAGCTATAGGACCTGTACGACGAGTACGAGGAATAGCTCGAGACGCTCCGCGAGTCCTCGCTGTCACTCTCAGGCTCGGGAAGTGGCTTCGGCTTCGGCGCCGCATTCTTCAGCCACTCGCGCATGCCCTCCGTGAGCACGCCCATCCCGATGGCGGTGAAGAAGTTGATCGAGAAGCGAGTCTTAGCCTGGTCGTCTGCGTCTGTGGGGAAGACTCCTGTAAGGCTATCCTGCAGCACGGGGTCCTTGAAACGCGCAACGACCTCTTTCTGACCAATGAAGGAGAGCAGCTCTTCGAACAGAATCTTGATGAAGATACGTGATGATGATGTTGTATCCTCCTCGTTCAACTTGATGACCTGGAAAACATGCCACCCAATCGCATCTGTGGCCAGAAGGTGTGCGAAGAACTGGGCGATGATGCGCAGACGGTTGGTTTCGAAGCGATGTATGGTGTCGTAGTAATGTGCGAAACCTTCTTCGAACAAGTCGGTCCACATGCGGTTGATCTTGCAGAAGCGCTCGCCAATCATACCGTAGAACTTCTCGTATGTGCGCTCCTGGCTGGCGCACTCGACAATCATCGTTGTGAGTTCGTTTTCGAGACCATGGGGCAAATTGATGCGCATCAGCTTGTGACAGCACTCCTCGAAGCCACCGCTGGACTTGATAGTGAGGTAGATCGTCCGGCGCAGACTGACAAGGTCGGCGTTCGTCTGATCCTTCACGTCCTCTGCCTTTTGCTCCTCGTCTTCCTCGTCCGAGTCCGATGCGTCTGTGTATTCGGCATCGCTTCCTTCCTCTTCTCCCAAAATCTCTGCCTTGATCTTCTGATACTCTGCCTCATGCGCTTCGTAGTCTGCATCAAACTTGAAAATGTTGAGACCGTCCTCAACCTTGACGTCGTCCTCCAATGTATGTCTGTGTGTGATCTGGTCCTCCTCTTCTACAAGATCCAAATCCTCTCTGACTGTAGGGTGCTCCTTGTACTTTGTCCGTCTGACCTCAAACAGCACCTCGATCATGTATTGTGTACGCTTGTCGATATCCGCTTCGTGCAGAATATTTCTCAGCTGGTCGAAAATCGCATTGGCAATCGCCATGTTCATCTCCTCCAAAAACGCGCCAACCTCCTTCATGATGCCCACCGCAATCTCCACCGAGTCGTCCGATGGCTTGTTGAGCAGCAGAAGCAAGATCTCAGCAATGAGCACCTCGTGCACGACCTGCGTATTGACAAGATGGCTGAGGAACATTGTACTCGCCAAGCACACAGCCTTGTCATTCCTCTTGAACCCCTTCCTGAACTGCACAATCAACCGCCTGACTAACAGATCGCCCACCTGCGGCAGCTTGGTGTTGACAATAGCCACCATGCTGCCGTAGATTGGGGTGAACGGCAAACTAGCAGCCTGCGCCTTCATGATCGCTCTGCAAAAGAGTCCGCGCCCGCGGATCAGATTTTCACTGAAAAGCTCGGGAACGATCATCTTAATGTTGGCGGTGTTGGTCTTGTTGATCAGACCCTGTACCGACTTTTTTAGCGCCTCCCAGGCCATGCGTTGGAACTCCGGTGTCGCCTTGTCGGTGATATTCTTCTGCATTTCGCGCAGGCGCGCAGGCGGGATGTATGCGCCTCCTGCACGCGTCTTCGAGTCGTCGACCGGCAGCTTGCGCGAGGCGCCGAAGGCGTTCTTGAAGAGGTTGAGGCGCGCATCGTCGTCGGGGACTTCAGAGTCTTTACTGTCGTTTTTGTCGCGTGGGCGGTCGCCGCCTCGTTCGCGGCGTGGAGGGGCGTCGTTTTCGTCGTAGTGCCGTGAACGCTTCGACGGGCCGGCGTTGTAGGGCGAGCGACTGCGCTTGCGGGGGACTTCCTGCTCGACGTCCGGCTCAGGCGATGGGATACGGACAGCAGAGGCGACTTGCATGGTGACAGTACGCTGCTGCGATGTGAGTAGTGGGTTCTTCACGATGTGGTGTTGCAGGCTGCGATGTCAGGCGTCGGGGAAACATTCAAGCTGGGCAACGCTAAAACTCGACTGACTAACGCCGTTCCGTGCTCTTGGTTTGCTCACTCGACTACCGTTTTACTGGCAAACATGGAATGTGCTAGTTAACTTTGGGTTATGATCAGTGCCTATCAGAGAAGCGCAATAGAAATATCGTGATACCCAGACAGCTTGGTCATGCACGACTCCATAATGGCCTGATTGCGCTCCTCTGATAGGCCGCTGACCTGACTGTGTCCCAAAGTTTATTAGCACATTCGATATTCCCGGGCTTGTAGTTACCACGACACGAGTACCTCACAAGAAAAAAAACCCCTCCTCCCCGCTTAAACAGCACCTGCCTGCAGAGGCTGTTATGTACAATGGCTAGAAATAGGCTGCACGTACTGTAGCAGGCCGATCTTAGGCTACAGATTCGTTTGTCCGCATAACGGACGCCAGAAGCAACAGTCGGTTCGCTATAACGAGTCCTGAACAAAGTCGATGGCATACCATGCTGCCACCAAATCTCATTCTGCCATGACTGCTGCGACATGCCCTCATCCGCGTCTGCCTTGTACATGTGCACAAGCATGCTGTGCTGTCAAGATAGCTCAGTGACTCTCTGAGTTGGTATAGTATCGGTGGCTTGCACATGGAAGGGTGGTACCACGGCAAGATACGCCAGCATCCATGACTACGGCATAGAAACAACAAGGAGATGAACATGAATGGAAGAGCCATGCCTAGGTGATATCCTCATTTCCAGTTCTTGTAATGCCTTGTGGCGGCTCTAGATTGCCCACAGCTTCAATGCGGCTCTAAGCTGCTTCTCTACGTCTTGCTCGACCCAAAAGTGCCCAGCACCTGCTATCTCAACGCTTGAAAAATTCGGACCATATGCAGCCCTCAGACTGCTAGACCAGTCTCGGATCTTCTTCGCCGATGCAAATATGTCTTGGTCGCCATATATCGCCAGCGACGCGAATTTCCCGATACTCGATGTATGTGCATCTGGTGAGCGGCTCCACGGCTTCTGAACCAGTGCAGGTGCCGCAAGTGACGATATCGGGGCGGTGAGGGGCGAGATCAGAAGGTACCGTACCTCAGGAATTGCAACGTCCACTTTGGTTTGTTCGAGTGACTCTACTGAGCTCTCGTGCCTCCGACCTCGGTAGCTGAGGCTCCTTAGGCGTTGTCCCAGGTCCAAGCTCCGTGGTATGTCCAAACTTCGCGATACCTCCCGGCTGCTTCTCCTCTTGTCGGGAGTTGTTTCTTCTCCTCCAACCGTCAAGGAGGTCTTGTGTTCTACTTTTCTTTTTCTCCTCTCTCGCTCAACATCTTGAGCCTGATTGATCCATTCCAGATTGCTCTGATCAGTCAGTTTACGCGCCCGCAACAGAATCTCATCAGCCGCAGAGCCTGTCAGCGGGTTGGAGACGCGTTTTAGGATTGATGGCACGGGAGGAAGGTGCTTCAGAATAAGGGAGCCATAGGAGTAACCACCGAGGATGATTAGAGGCACCTCTTCGGGCGAAGAATTGTGTACTTGTGCGTGCGCCGGTAATCGCTCGGGCGCAAATATTGTTTCTGGCATAGGGAATGGGTGAATGAGGTTCATGTATTGCATGAAACATGCAGCGAAGGAGGCATAATCGTCCAGCTCTGGTCTCCCAGACCAAGAAGTACGGCCTTTGTGTTTGGAGCCGTGAGCACCTCTATTACAGGTCAGCAGCCACACGTGCTAGAAACCGTTAAATGTTCATACCGGAAGTTGAAGGTGCCGACTATATATCCAGCCTTCAGCATCTCATCAACTACAACGCCTACAATGCGATCGTCGTAACTGCCGCCCATTGGGGCATAGGGATGTGCCATGACAATGCCACGTTTCCTCCATCGCGGTCTCCCTGCAGTGTTTTGTGCGACATCGTCAAAGAGGTCCGGATGATATATGCGGCAGTCAAGCGTCGTGTCGTCGTGAATCGAAGGTATGGTGAAGCAGTAGTGGGGCTCGGGAGGGGCCCGCATTTTCCGGGCCTACGACAGACCCGTAGCGAATGTTTATCGCATATTCGGGGACTGTGTGGCAAGCTTGGGCGTGGTTGAAGATCAAGGCAGCAGCTGGAGGTTACAGCTTAAGGTTGTGGGGTTACTGTTGTGGAGCTCCGGAAGCGCGCCGAGGCAGTGGCTCGTTCCAGGAACAGGAAAGCGCACGATACAGGACCCCTGCAGATCTACGGTTGAAGCCGTATGGGCCTTGATGTTTGCAATTCGAATAACTAATGCTAAAGTGTCGAACCAGTCCGCTGCTGGTTGCTGCTGGTGGTATATGCAAATGAACAGACGCCTCGCTCAGAAATACCAACACATTTCAAGTTCGTACAACACACTCAGTCCGTATCAGTATCCTGGTGGGATATCATGAGCTCAGGATCAGGGTCGTCGTTCGACTCGTCTGTATCAAACAAGCTGGGTTTGGGAGGTGCGGGTTTGGGCGGAGAACGTCCAATTCTGATCGTTGACCCAGTCATCTCTTCTTCTGGTGGCTTGAAGTTCTCAAGCTCGATCAACGAGCTTCCAGCCTTCTCTTTGCCCTTTCGCTTCACCCCGAGCGCTTCGTGCAGCAGGTCTCGGCCTTGTTGGAAGGCCTCTAGCTCCGCTCCAATGGCGCACATGAGAAGATTCCAGCTCCTGGACGAGGCGTACTCCAGCTTCTCGTTCAGGAAAGCAATCGTAGCATCCATTTTATCTAGCAGGCGTTTGGGATCTGCTGCACCATTCTTACTCACTTTATACATGTACCGCTGCAGACTCGCCTCGTAGTCAGCCACCTTCTTGACTGTGTCATTCCACGTGATTGAGCCTTCTTCGAGTGCAGCACGCTCAACGTCGACCTCCTCGCACTTCTCTGCCAACCTTGTGTACTCTTCCTGCCAGTATTCGTGAGCCATTTCAAGAGTCCGGCGTTTGGGAGGTAGCTTAGGGAAAGGCGAGGAGGAGAGCGGAGTATGATTGCCTTTTGGTGTGCGTGTAAGGAAATTTGAGACCTCCTTGTCCAATATAGAGAGTGCGGTCTTGTATGATGAGAGTTTGGCTTCTTGAGAGTTTTCTGTCTCTGCAAGCTGGTCCAACACTTGTCGTTGCCGCCGCTTCAGTGCCCACAATTCTTCTTCCTTTTGTCTGATGTCTTGCTGTAGCTTTGACGCTTCAGTCTGGAGTGCTTGTGTCTTCTCGCTTGCATCTTCGCCTTCAATGCTCCGAATCTTCGTTTCTAAGCGCGCGCGTTTTAGAGTCCAGCTCTCGGTCCTCTCCACATTGTATTGCAGATCCCTCAGCCCTTCATCCAACATATTCAGCTCCTCGGCCTTGATGTTCGCTAGCTGTTGTATCCTCCTGAATATACCTCTTCTTGCAGTGCCGAGACTCACCTTCTTTTTGGGAGATCTGTGCTGGTCATCACCACTCTCCGCGTTCTTGTCCGCCGAGCGGACGCTACTGACGGTCGGCGTGGTACTACCATTTGATACCAGATCATCAGGCGTAGCATCGTTGCCGCTGAGACCATTCGTCAAGCCGTCTGCTTGCGCATCAAGTAGCTCCTGGAGCTGCTGCTCGAGATGGCGCGCGCGTCGTTGCAACGTAAGCACATCGTCCGGGACACGCGGTGCAGGCGAGAGGTCGGCTCTCGGAGCAGTCCATATCAGCGAAGAGGTTATTGGCGGCGGTATACGTTGTGGTGGCGGAGAATTGTATAACGGCAGCTCATGATCGCGCGCGTTGGGATCTTCGAAAGACCTCCGGAACTTTGATGGTGGTGGTGAGAACGAACCAAGGACTGAGTTTAGCAAGGACATGTTATGGAATGATTCTAGGAAGTGGTTTGCGATAGTGAAGCCATGGAGGTATTCAAGGCTGTAGTGTTTGTTCAGGTGAGCTGTCGCGTTGTTACCTTGCGCATGTGACGGAGTGTTGGAGACCTAAGAGTATCCGTGCACGGACACTCTGTCTGCCTGCAGCAGTTCAGATGACAACCTCGCGTGATGCGCACCAGAGCTACCACGGGTGCCATACCGAAAATATCACATGCTGTAGACGACCTGTATGGAATCTCGACACATTACTCATACTGTAAGAACAAAACAATCATGCACTTCCAGAGCGGTACCGTCAAGCTCAGCGCAGTTGCTCGAGACAGGCGAAAAACTACTTTTGATTAAGAAGGCAGCATCAGAGCCAAGTCAGCGTTGAAGACAGTATAGTGCGCTACAGGATGAGTCCACAGGCAACAGGTTGATACATGTGTAGTGCACAAGGAAGTTGGTGGTGGAGGGTTCCACTTGCACGGCGAATGTTAGCGCCTCGCTTAGCTCCGCACCTGCTCGCAATATTGAAGTTCGCAACTTCTGCTTCGCGACGTGAACAGCACTAACCTCAGGAACATCCCACCGTACGTCCGCCGCGCCTGCTGAAATCGTCGACAATCGCTGACAATACTTGCAATAGTCCATTTCACCGACATACAAAATGGCTGACGCTCCTGCTCCCGCTCGCGGTGGATTCGGATCTCGTGGAGACCGTGGTGGTGACCGTGGCCGTGGTCGCGGCCGTGGACGTGGCCGTCGTGGCGGCAAGTCCGAGGTGCGCACAACAGAAATATGAGGATGGGCAGAGAATTGACAATTGCGCAGGAGAAGGAATGGCAGCCCGTCACTAAGCTCGGCCGTCTCGTAAAGGCCGGCAAGATCAAGAGCATGGAGGAGATGTACGTTCACGCGCACAGCAGGCACAATATGAGGGACTGTGACTGACAAATGGCAGCTACCTCCACTCTCTCCCCATCAAGGAGTACCAGATCGTCGACTTCTTCCTCCCCAAGCTCAAGGACGAGGTCATGAAGATCAAGCCCGTCCAGAAGCAGACCCGTGCCGGTCAGCGTACCCGCTTCAAGGCCATCGTCGTTATCGGTGACTCCGAGGGTCACATCGGTCTCGGCATCAAGACCTCCAAGGAAGTCGCGACCGCCATCCGCGCTGCCATCATCATTGCCAAGCTCGCCGTCGTCCCCATCCGCCGTGGATACTGGGGTACCAACCTTGGTGAGCCTCACTCGCTCCCCACCAAGGAGTCCGGCAAGTGCGGTTCCGTCACCGTCCGTCTCATTCCCGCTCCCCGTGGTACCGGCCTCGTTGCCTCGCCCGCTGTCAAGCGTCTCTTGCAGTTGGCTGGTGTCCAGGATGCCTACACCGCATCCACTGGTTCCACCAAGACCCTTGAGAACACACTGAAGGCCACCTTCGTCGCTGTTGCCAACACATACGGATTCCTTACCCCCGACCTGTGGCGCCACACCGCGCTCACAAGGTCTCCTCTCGAGGAGTACAGCGACATCCTCCGTGAGGGCAAGAAGTACTAAATGTACAGCGGTGACGCTACGGTTCTTTTTCAGCATTCCTGGGTTATGGCGTGAGGTAATGCATGGGCCCCTCCTATAAAGTCGATAGGTCAGGGACGTCCGGCACGAAATGAAAACTCCATTACGACCTTTCAACTATCAGCCAAGCGCAATTGTGACAAGATGTGTAGTGACTACAGGTGGATATGCCAGTGCGTCAGCAATAGAGTCCAACATGGGAGGCTTGTTTGCTCAAGTCCAGACGAAAATACCCAGCTTGTGAAAGGTTTAGCAATGCTATTTACAACTAATTGCAGGCTCAATGCTACCGAGGCAAGTGCTTTATTGACACAAGCCCCACCGGTTTGCATCTGCACATGTGCTACGTGCTTCACCATCCCGCCCCTACGCTTCCTTGCTCTCATGCTCTCAAGCTCTCATGCTTTCATGCTTCCACCGTTAAGTATGCAGTCACAACACTTAGCCTTGCTTCACCTGCCGACTCATCGCACTAGTCATGCTCTGTGTTGACTGTAGGACTGGCAGAACAGTGCACTGACACGGTTTACAAGAAAACTTAACCTCTTTCGCAGTGCTACATTCAGACCGATATCGTGCGGCTGACACTTCCATAAAGCTCAAAGTACCTCAACGACCGATGTTAATGTCACGAGCAAACAACCTCGTTCGCGTGACCAAGCAACCAGATATCCCATTCATATTCTCTTCAGACTGGTAGCGAATAAAACATGATTCTACTCCGTCGCAGTAAGCTGATACATTGCCGGTGCTCAGCTTCACTCTTCAGCATCGGCAACCCCACTATCAGTCGATGGTGATTCATGCGGCGCAGCCTGCCCATGGAACAGAGACATGGGTAGGTGACGCGTCCGAATGGCTGTCTACATCTGGTTTGACACTCTGCATGGCAGCAACGTGGGCACTGACCACGTTGGTACCATGGTACGACCGTACTTCCGTTTGCAGTCGGATCTATCGACTGTGACGCCAAGAGATGAACGGGACAAGCAAGGCCGGATAGACGCGCGTACCGGATGCTTGTTGATGAGACGAAATGATAGGTTGGAAGAAGCTTTGAGCTAGTTTGACGTAGACGCCAGCCTCGGGTACGGATCGCTCGATTGCGTTCATGAAGGAAGCGACACGCGACCCATAGATTACCCATGCGTCCCGTACTTCTGTGGTACGAAGTAGTGTATTCGCAAACGTGGACTTGACATCAGCTGCGGATGTGTCTTGTCTTCAATGGAATGCAGACACGACAGCATGTGGGGCAGCACGATCCGGGCTGGTGAAGGACCAGGGTTAGGCGAGCGAAAGCACATAGCAAGTACAAGGTTTTCATGTGGGTGTAAAAAGTTGTTATCATAGACTCAGTGTTGTAAACTATCAATGGTGTACACGCTTTTCGTGTCGGTGGTGCGACTACCGTGGGTATATAACATACATGAGCTAGCAATGAGAGTTGGCTCAAATTGAAAGAAACGATGGAACCATCGCGATACTGAGAAACGCTGAAGGTGACAAAGAAAATTCGTAAAAGCTGTAAGGCAGCATGAGCTAGAAAGCGTAAAAACGCTTTAGCATAGACATGCGGTTCTTAGTCCTCTCGGCGCTGGCGTGCTTCTCTACATTCTTTGTAGATGAGGCCATCTTTGTAAAGAGCCCGTGTTGCTCGCGGTGGCTTGCACTACGCTTGAGCACCTTCGAGATGATTGGATCGGTATATGTAAGGTCAGAGGTAGAGTAGCGGTCCATAGATTGGGTCGGACGATTTTGGGTAACCTCGGCTGGGTCATCAAAGTACGAAGACCACAAGTTCGTAGTTGGGCTCTGCGGCGGTGATGAGTTTGGTGAGAGAGCCATGCCGATAGTGGTGTCCACACATGATGGCCGGAGAGCTGGGTGGATGTGGTCGTAGTTGGTCGACTGAGGTGCCTCATCCTCATCATCGAAGCGGAAGGCTTTCATGTGTGCAATGGCAGGCAGTGGAGGTTGCGAAGCAGACAACCTAGTCTTAGACGATGACCGTCGTTGAGTAAACTGACTGTCGACGGGGACAAAGCCGCCCAGAAGGCCGCTGTCTTCGACGGTGGTACTGTGACGCTCTCTGTTCTCTTCATCCAAGCTGGACTTTGACGAGGCTGAGCTGTACTCGCTCCATGCCTGGCTACCATGCGAGCTAGTGCTATCAGAACGGCTCATGTCTGTATGGTCAATGGATATGACAGAACCATAGAACCGCGCAAGTTGAGTTGCATCTAGCAGAGGCGATCGTTGACGCACATGGCGCGTTTTGTTCAACGACGATGTTCGCTCTTGTGGGATAGGGGGAGACTGGGGACGTTCCCATGGTGTCTCGGCATCAGCGCCCTCCGCCACGCTATACGCTGAAGAACGTTGAGAGTGACTGATAGACGAGTTGCTCGATAGGACTGTTTCCGGTTGTTCTACTATAGCTTCATTGAGTCCGTTGCCGTAGCTCTGAACAATGATTTCGCAATGATGAGAAGGCTTGAGCTTCAAGCTATTCCGTCGCGAGCTCCGTCCTGATAATGAAATCAACCCTAGCGCACGGGTGGGCGAATTCAGGACAGACGCAGAGAACTGGAGTGGTGCCGGCACTTCCACAGAACCCCGTCGACTTGGCGTTCTGGATGAGAAGTAATCTTCTCTGTGGCAATCGGGTTGAATAGTCGAAAAATCGGATTGCGAACTGTTGAGGTATTCATCGATCGCCTGGGGTACAGAGGCTGAAGACGACATCACCGACGTAGCCGAAGGCGTAGACGCTTGCGACGCACCAGGCCAGGATGAGTTCTCGGGTAACAGACAGCAAAGAGGGTAGTCGGCAGTCTCGGCATCTCTCACCTCCTTCGGGGCCCGCAGTGCCGACACGAGGTATTGTAGCGTGCCGTAGATCAACAGCCACCTCACTTTCCGAGCATCAACAACAGAAATCTTCTCGTCGCGTTGGGTATGAGTCGAGCTATAAGTTTGCTCAAAACGAGCATATTCTTGCACAATGCTGGAGCCATTGAAACCTGCAGGTGGTTTGTTGGTCGCAGTCGCCAGCGCAGCACTTACAGTATGGACGCCATTGGCTTTCTTGTGCTGAGATGCTAGCGTCAACTGTCGAAGAGCTTTCGGGGACTCTGCCTTTTTGGTTGGTTCCGCGTAGCTTGGGAGTAGCGGCAATGGATGTGGCTGCGGCGTAAACTTGTGACGCCTGTCGAAGCTGTCAAGATTCTGCAAGACACAGATGCCTCCATCTACCGGTCCTTGTAGAGTGAAGTCGGTTGTGGAGTTAATATCGACAAGGTAGTCATACAAAGCCTGAAAGTCAAAGTACATGGACCTGTAAAGCGCTTTTGGGAAAGCGGATCCCCTCGGTGGTGGCCAATACCCAAACTTCTTAACGTAAAAGCTGTGTAGAAAACGGCGGAAACGATTCAAATGACTCCGGCCTCCTGGCGTAAGACCGAGGTGGACCGGGGACAGGTCCTCCTCTAAGAACTTTCCTAGGGCAGTAGTCACCTGTCCAAGGTGCAGGTCCACCTCAAGGAAGGCACGTGTAATGAGAGCCTTGGTCAGCCTCGATGTTGACTGCATGGATGTTAGCCGGTGCCTAGGGACGAAAACAGTATATACATACGGCATATTCGGGACTCAAAGACAGACTGTCGTTCATCCCAACGCAATGAGCAAAAGCATCAATCCAAGCATGCCTAAATTTGAAAGCCTCTGCGTAGAACAAACTGGCAAGTGCGTAGTCGGTGCATTCGGCAAAGTCGCGGTACCCTTGATCCTCGGCATATTGCAGGAAATCCTGGTGGTTATCGACCACTCCTGATCGGAATAGGCGAAGTCTTTCTTGCAGATCGACGAAGGTTTGGCCCATGTGATAGCCGACGAGTGGCTTTCCGACCAGGAACGCAAAAAAGTTTCGAGTCGTGACATGCCATTTGAATGCATCCTCACGAGAGGCGTCTTCTGGGGCCGGGATATACAAATTGGCGACTCCAGACTCACGGTTCGGTAGGATCAGTGAACTTGATACGCTCAGCAATCGTTGCGTTTCTGAGCCATCTCGCGAGGCAACTTGTGCATGGCAGACGTTGAGCAAAGAACTGCACTTCTTCTGTCGCAGAGCCCTAAAAGGAATGCAAAAGGATGGACCACGGCGTGACGCCCCCTGTGCATACAAATGCACAAAGCAATCGCCATCCTCGACCCACAGTTCAGCGTCCTTTGGCAGTGTCAGCGAACTGAATTGCTAGAGGTTCAGGTGCACTTACTCTTCGAAGACCATCCCAATCACTGACAGATCTGGTCATTCCAGACCATCTTTGCACCTTTACCACTGCCATTGAAGTTTTGGATTGCTGTTGCACAGCTGACAGACCGGATGTACAAGAACAAGAGAAGGTGGCCAAGTGGTAGCCTGTGTCGGTGTGCTCAGCTAGGCCGATAGGACGGACGTCATCAAGAGACAATTCTTGTAGTCTGAGAATAGTTGATGTCCTCCACTGCAGGGCTGTTCAAGACACTTAAAAGACTGGAAGCTGGCAGGGGTCGAGATTGCGGCTCGGTTGGCGACTCAAGCGCCACGGCCTCGAATAAGTACGATTTGTGTAAAGTCCACGGTGTGGAACGCTCTACAAGCAGGGGTGTGCGATACTAGGTTACCTGCAGGCTGGATGCGAGCTGACAGTGGGACAGCGAATTTCGGTACGACCGCCATGTGCGTTACCCCAGCTCGATACATATAGAGACGAGATAGCATACAAGCACTAGCGTGGGCCTCTCGAAGGCGAGGCTGCATCGTGAAAGACCAGGGCCAGCGAGTGCAGGAGCTGATCTGCAGCCAAGTAAGAGAGCCAGGCCAGTCGGAGACTTGTGGCTTGCGCTCGCCCACTCCGAGGCCCCGGGCCTCGTTCAGCTGTCAACAGGCTAGCTCGGATTGTACACGCAGCCGCATTTGCAGAGACGCGTCCTAGTGACCGGCTGAGCTGTCCAGCGTGCGGACTTCACTTCGATGGGTTTCAACACATGCCTGATGATGACGATAAGCTGCTGTTAGATGCTCGATCGTGAGATGCACTACGTGTAGCGTAACACTCCGTCATGGATGACAGCGACGAAATCTTGACATCGGCATGGACCAGTCCCGCCTGTAGATCCGGGATCAGATCACCGCTAAGCAGGGGTCCTGGTCACGCTTTCCGCCTGGACGGCTTGAAGACTTCAAAGAGGTTCTCAGCTGCGCCTCTAGACTTCCCCTCTTAGAGGCTTCCTGAAGGCTTCCTGATTGAGTGGTGGTCGAGACCCCGCCTGCAATCGTGAATTACTGCATTCGCTCGAGTAGCAAAAACGTGAGGGCCAGTTGTCCAAAGTCGTCTGGAGCTGGACTGTGCGCCGCTTTTGTGGGGCCGCGACTGCACATCTCGGCTCTCCGCCTTCAGCATCATGCCACAACACCATCCACCACGCAATCGTCAGTATGCAATCTTGGTTCATATCACCGTTGTCCGTGTATCCGTCAACTTTCAGACCCACAGTTTGTACAGACTCGAAGTTCTATTAGCGTACGCACTCAATGTTGTAACCGAACATCTTCATTAAACTGTGCCTTAACTTCGAGTACTCATAGTCAGAGTAGCACAGCATGTTCTCGGGATGAAAGATCTGCAATCTTCCTGTAAGAAGCAAGTCATGCTCCGAAGAGAAATGCTGCAGGGCGATCCGGCTTATTCACAAACTTCCGCAGTTTTACTCACAATCATACTGTCCAACCCTGTCCGTGACGCAAACGACGGGATATTCCTACTGCAGGACCGCGTCTTCCTGCAGCCCATGTGGATGGCTCAAATGGACGCGCAATTCAGTACCTAGTAGCCACGCCCAATGCTAGAAGGCATCATCGATCTGCAATATCTGCGCGCTTCCGGAGTGTTACACTGATCATTCCAACAGGTTGGTTGACAGTTCGCGCAGTGTAACAAGATTGTCTCCGGTGATGACACAAACCGCAACTAGAATACCGCGAAACATGGCAGAAGCCTTCCGTTTCCGCATCTGCAGCTAATGTATTCCCCGAAATTGGATCTCGAACTGTAAGGACGTAATCGACGTTAGATATCTGGGGACGAGTATGTGCAATCCCTTGTTGGGAGATTTGTCCCCACAACTCCACGTACAGCCTCGTACTGTTCGCGCCGAATGCTCTGTCACTGTAGTGAACAGGGGTTCTTAGATCAAGGGAAGTACTTACACACACTGCAATGCTACCCGATAGGGGATTGATTGTACTATGGGATATTGGGCCTATGCTATAACTCCGACGCTCACAATAATGGACTGCGCTTTTGTCTTAGCATCGTCGACCGAATTTCAGATCCAGTCCACGTAGTAGCAAACAACACTAGCAGTACCAGTGAATTACTACATAGCTATAGGTATCGTCGACACCAGTGGCGGAATCGCGACCTTGAGCAACACCACCGTGACCAGCGATTTACATGGCAAATACCATTCTAAGTTGCCATCCTTCTGTGATAGGCTGCGGCTACCCCAAGCCATGTGCCAGTCCAGAAGAGCGGGACGAGTCTCGCTCGGCTATCTCTGGACCAGATGCTGCTAGCGAGCGCCACACCCAGTATCACAAAGAGCACCTCGCCTCTTGTCAGCAAGCCTCATGGAAGCCTGGGGCGGGCTCTTCCACAGATGGGAATCTGGGTGGCCTTTAGTACATCTGCATCTTAAGGGTGTATCGGCTACGATTGGGACGCGTGTGCTAGACCTTCATGGACCACGGCACACTGCCCATGATTTCTTGGCAGCGGTAGACGCACCCTCGCCGAGACATATGCGTGTAAGCTTGAAGCCACGATGCTTGATACTGAGACGGAGGCTTAGAGGCGACCATCAGCCCGAAGGCCACATTCTCATATCTTGGGATCGTGAAATGATCTATCAACATATTAATTGCATCTTGAAGGTCATTGTTCCTAGGGTGCATCGATCGGATTTGCATAACCCCCAGGCACGATGAAATCAACGAAGTGCCTGGTACTTTCAGCCCCGATATCAGCTACAGTCTTCGCAAACCGTCCCATCCGGATTCCTCTTTACAGTTGTCTTGTCTGGCACATCTTCAAGCTCCATGTCCTTCACCATCTCCTCAGCATTCCGCTCTGTCTTTCCGTCGACCTTGACGTCAACGGAATCTTGCGGTCCATTGTCCTTCTCTTCCTTTACAGCTTCTTTCTTTTTCCCGCCAACATCGCTATGCCCGAGGTCTTTCTTGGGGTCAATATGATCTCGGACGCGCTGTTTCAGCACTTTGGTTTCCGGGAAGCCACCTTCAGATTTGCGATCCCAAAGGAGTATTTTTTGGGCTTCGACTTCGCCTTCGTTTGAAGAATCTGTTGGGCTGGGTGGGATATAGGTCTACATTGTTAGCATGGCTGGGAGCATGGAAAATGTTGTTGCTGTGGCACACGTCGAATACGGGACCGACCTACCAACTCAACCTGGAAGAGTCCACCTGTCGCGGGTATCAGGGCGATTTCACCGATCTGGGTCCCGAATGTGGAGAGGAGCTCTTGGCCAAACTGGTGGTACGTGAGCGTTGTCCATCAGAGATATGGTAGGAGTTAAAGTACGTATGCGGCCCGCAGCATCCAGCGACACTGTGTGCAGTACGTGATAGCTACGCGGGGTAGATTCACCGGAGCGACCTGTGTTGACGCCATCTTATCAGCAGCTAATGATCTGTGATGTGAGTCGAACTTGAACTTCGTGAGAGGAACGAAAGAGCGACATCGGCTTATCGATTGGTTGCGTCATCGTTTGGTGAGTCTTGTGGAAAAGTGCGCTTGAGGGCTGCTAAAGCGAACATTATTATGGAACGAGTCTTCACAAGTATTGCATGCCTCTAGAGTGTGGAATGGTCTCATGGCTCACGACAATTGTTTGTAGCAAGTCTCACAATTTATCGTTACTGAAAGCTTTACTTGCGCTTGCATTTGCTTGTCATAGTCCCTGACAGTGGGACGGCGACTGAGGACAGCACGTCCGATCTTTGCTTATGACCCTGACGGACGGCCATGACAGTTGGGCAGGAACGATATTGGAAAGGAGACCTTAATGGACGTGCCCAACGGGTGTGATTGGCTAGCCCTGATTCACGGCTGCTCGCGATTGGCGCATCCACCGTGATTAATGCTCGGCAATTTCGAATGAACCAGTGGGCTCAAGCGTTGACAATAAGGGCCAGGGTGTCCTGTCCGTTGCTGTCGTGAGCGTGTCGGCTGTTCTCGTGTTGCGACTTCTTTCATGGAAAGGCCTTTTCCAAATTTTGGCGGGTTGTTGTGTATGGCGAGTAAACAAACATGAAGATTGGAGGCCACGGGTTTGACAGCCCCCAGTTCCTGCACGCAATTGATTTGAGATGAATGCGATGTTTCAGACAACGTGATGTGATGCATGGATCATAATCTGGACATGACTTCTCCAGACATTAAAGCACCACGCGCTGCGTGATTGCCCTGGTACGTCACGCCTAGCGCGTTGCTATGGGAAAGCAGCCGCAGTTAGGAGAGCTCACGACTCCTTTTCAAACATACAACCTGTCACAGTCGCTAGATCTTCCAGTTGTCACGCTATTCGTATCGTCTCCAGAGCAATCGTTGTAAGTGATGCACTCCGCTGAAACCCTTGTTCCCTGCCCTCCGTGGCCGCAATTGCGCACACACCACCATCATCTCACACGCCGTTTCGCCCACATCAAGCTGCCACTCGTCCTCTCCACACAACGCACTCGCACCACGAAAGGCATTGCTGACGACAGTCTGCTCCTATCGCAGACATGAGTTCCGGCGTGCGCAACCTCCGCGCCATGTTCGAGCAGAACGCAGCTTCTTCTCCTGAACCCCGCGGCCGTTCCCCAGGAAGCTCTTCGGCGGCCGACGACACCAGTCGCCCAACCTCCAAAGTGCGCGCCTCGTTCGTTTCCGTCGAGCACCCAATCCCCGTCGAGCACACGATGCCCCAAGCCAGCGATTTTGTGGGCGCCAACAAGGCAGCCCCGTCCAACAGCACAGCTGCGAATCGCCGCGAAAGCTTCAGCGTGTCCCAGGACACTACTGGAGAGGTTGCAGAGCTCAGGCAAAGCATTAGCGACGAGCGGGAGGAGCGCAGGAAGAGTGTTGCCATCATTGAGGCTGTTCCAGAGCAGGCCATAGCCTCGCGGGAGTCTTCAGCTGGTCCACCACCCATCAGGAACGAGCCCGAGGGTGACCTGGTGAATTTGGGTCACATCATGAAGGGCTCTGTCTTTCCCGAGTCTTCAGCAGATACAGACGCTGGTGCACCTCAGCCGGAGGAAGCGCCAGCCCCTGAGCTGCCTGCAGTCGTGGAGGAGTCTGCGAAGGAGGACGAGGCTGCTTTGGCGCCAGTTCGAGAGACACCTGTTGAGAACCTCAACCAGGCTACAACAGAAGCGGAAGAAGAGGTTTCTCTGAAGCCAGCGGATGCGACCGATGCTTCTACTGTCCCCAGTGACAATACTCTTCCTTCGTCCGCTCAAGAGTCGAAGCCAGCGAGCAACGAGCCCGCCGTGGCCTCACTAGCTCCTCCAGCCGAGATCACTGTTGCGACACCGAAGCCTGCTCCAGGTAGCGCCAAGACGAATGGAACACCCGCGACCAAGGGCAAGCTCGAGCCTAAGAAGCCCGCAGCTATCTCTACCTCCAAAGCTTCTGCGTCTAAGAGCACACCAGTCAAGAGCCCGCTGCCCAGGGCTGCACTGAAGACGCCGACTAACCTCAAGCCTTCAGCAGCTGTGCCTAAGGCTGTCACACTTGTCTCGAAGCCCGCTGCGGCTGCTAAGCCTGCAGTGAAGCCAGTTTCGAAGGAGCCTGCTAAGGTACCTGCGCCAAAGCCGAAGACCAGCCATACATCGCTGCGACAATCGACGGCCCCGGCATCCACCGTCGCTGCAAAAGCAAAGACGGTCGCTGCTGAGAGCAAGAAGCCTGCAGCTACCAAGCCAAAGTACGTATTGTGTGGCTCCGAGATGTCGCGGGTCTAACCCAACTGTAATAGGGAAATTACCGCCACCTCCCCTCCGTCTATCAAGAAGCCGAAGGCTAGGTCACCCACTCGTCCTGTTGCGCTTAACTCGCGCCTCACTGCTCCCACTGCGGCCTCCGCCGCGAAGCTGCAAGGAGAAGAAGCAAAGGTCACCCGTAAGCCTTCGACCGCAACCCGCCCAGCGACAAAGCCTGTCGCTACCAAGCCTTCTCGTCCTTCAGTCGCACCCAGTGCGAGCACGACAAAGCGGCCAGAGTCGCGAACTTCTACGGTCGGCGCCAAGCCTGGCTTCCTTGAGCGTATGTCGCGCCCCACAGCTGCTAGTGCCAGTAAAGTGCACGAAAAGCCTACCTCGCCGCCCCGGAAAGTCCCTGCAAAGACAAGCATTCTCCAGAAGAGCAAGAACAAGGTAGAAGAGGTTGCAACTAAGATGAAGGAAGCTGTAGCGACCAACGGCCATTCGGACGAGCACGCAAAGACGGAGGCAGTAAACGATACTAGCGCCCACACCGAAGGCGCTGAAGAGCCCGCTGCCGAGAAAGCCCCAGAATCTATCCCTGAAGCTGTCGCCGAGGAAGTAGACCAGTCTGAGCCAGTAAAGACAGACACACCTGTTCCTGAAGGCGAGCCATCCGCTGTGGAGCTGCAGACACCCAGCCTCCAAGGCGAAGCTGTCCGTTAGTCACACTCTGTGCATCCTCTTAAGGAAGAGGTTCTCTGGCTGTACGCTGTGGTCTTCGCCTGCCTGATCTGGCTCCTGCTTTTCTTCTTCTTCTTCCTGTTTCAGCATTTCCAGGAGCGTTCATCTGGCGGAGCTTCATATCCATTGGCGGTGTTTTTGATTTTGAGGTTCAGACTTATTGCATTTCTCCGCTACGCCCGTCGGGTCTGGATATGGCAATTTGTTCTCAAAGTTTGGTCTGCAGGCTGGGACTTGGTGAAGGCGCTGTGGTATGATAAGGATCTGTATCATGAAGTGCTCTTGAATATCCTCAGAAGCATCTGGCCTCAATTGTAGCATAGCAATCAATATATTCCCCCTCAGACTACGTCGATCTTCGTTACACCTAAATGCGCGCGGTGTCAGGTGAGAGCAACACACGTAGATATGCTGGACCAATCAGAGTGCGTCAACTTTCAACTTTCTCACGAAAGTTTCGGACCTCCGTCGTAGACCCTGGACCCAACAGTAGACGCCAGCGTCGTACTTTCACTTCTTCTCCTCTGATTGTATCCAGTGCAATTCGAGATGAGGGTCCAATCTATCATCAGAGCACAATCGCTCGCCACCAGCAGCCTCCGTACTGCTGCTCGCACGGCTTCACGGACCCCTTCGCGATGCGCGCTCTCCACCGCTGCGGCGTCGCGTACTCCCTTCACCGGCGGTCTGAAGACCGACACATGGATAAACAATCAGCAAAGGAGATGGCAGTCTGTTGCAGCACAAGTGTAGGTGCAATCCCTATTGTTGCTGTATTCACGTTGTGGCAAGAAGGCAAATGAGCTAATCGTAGTCCTTAGTCTGGCGCAAGCAAAAGATGACCCGTCAACATTGTCGCAAGACGACATTGTCGCAAATCTCGATCCCGTCGAGTATCAACGCCTTTCTCGAGTTCGCAACATCGGTATCGCAGCGCACATCGACTCCGGAAAGACCACCGTCACCGAGCGTGTTCTCTTCTACACAGGCCGAATCAATGCCATTCACGAAGTTCGAGGCAAAGATGCTGTTGGCGCAAAGATGGATTCGATGGACCTGGAGCGCGAGAAGGGTATCACCATTCAATCTGCCGCGACGTTTTGTGATTGGATCAAGAAGGATGATGAAGGCAAGGACGAGAAATACCACGTCAACTTGATCGACACACCTGGACATATCGATTTCACCATTGAAGTCGAGCGAGCACTGCGAGTTCTCGATGGAGCTGTCATGATTCTCTGCGCCGTCAGCGGTGTCCAGTCTCAGACCATCACAGTCGACCGACAGATGAAGCGCTACAACATTCCTAGGTTGTCGTTTGTTAACAAGATGGACCGCATGGGCGCCAACCCGTGGAAGGCCGTTGAGCAGATCAACCAGAAGTTGCGCATTGCCGCAGCTGCTATTCAAGTCCCTATCGGGCGCGAAGATGGCTTCTTGGGCGTTGTCGACCTCGTCAAGATGCAGGCTCTCTACAGTGAGGGCGAGAAAGGAGAGATCATCAGGGCTACGAACGAGATCCCGGCCGATCTAATCGACCTCTGCAAAGAGAAGAGGGCAACACTCATCGAGACTCTGGCGGATGTAGACGACGAGATCGCCGAAATCTTCCTGATGGAAGAGACACCCACAGAGGCTCAGATCAAGGCCGCGATCCGTCGCGCGACCATTTCCCTCAAGTTTACACCCGTACTTATGGGCTCCGCGCTCGCCGACAAGTCAGTCCAGCCCATGCTCGACGCTGTATGCGACTACTTGCCCAACCCCTCTGAGGTCGAGAACATGGCTTTGGACAAGAAGAGGGCTGAAGCGCCAGTCAAGCTGGTATCGTACAATGCGCTGCCTTTCGTCGGTCTTGCGTTCAAGCTTGAAGAGAGCAACTTCGGTCAGTTGACTTACATTCGTGTCTACCAGGGTACACTGAGGAAGGGCATGAATGTGTTCAACGCGAGGTCAGACAAGAAGGTCAAGATTCCCAAGATTGTGCGCATGCACTCCAACGATATGGAGGAAGTCCAGGAGATTGGCGCTGGTGAAATCTGCGCTGTGTTCGGTGTGGACTGCGCGTCTGGTGACACCTTCACCGACGGCGGTCTGGGATACACCATGGTGAGTGGCCCTCTTTGCTTGAAGATGATCGCAGCACTAACTTCTCTAGACCTCCATGTTCGTTCCTGAGCCTGTCATCTCGTTGTCAATCAAGCCCAAGCACACCAAGGATACTCCCAACTTCAGTAAAGCCATGAACCGCTTCACCCGTGAGGATCCTACCTTCCGTATCCACGTTGACCCCGAGTCCCAAGAGACCGTCATCTCTGGTATGGGCGAGTTGCACCTGGACATCTACATCGAACGCTTACGTCGTGAGTACCGCGTCGACTGCGAAACCGGCCAGCCTCAGGTCGCCTACCGCGAGACGCTCACGAAGCGTGTCAACTTCGACCACACATTGAAGAAGCAGTCCGGTGGTTCTGGAGATTTCGCGCGTATCATCGGATGGATGGAGCCCACCGACGAGCTTTCCGAGAACAAGTTCGAGACCCAGGTCACGGGTGACAACCTATCTGAGAAGTTCCTGTACGCTTGCGAGAAGGGATTCAACGGGTCCATTATCAAGGGTCCTCTGCTCGGTCACCGCGTTCTGGGTACAAGAATGGTCATCACCGACGGTGCTACCCACGCTGTCGATTCCAGTGAAATGGCCTTCAAGAAAGCGACCGCCCAGGCTTTCCGCAAGAACTTCGCAATTGCTGCCCCTCAGGTTCTTGAGCCTTTGATGAAGACTACGATCACTGCGCCGTCCGAGTTCCAGGGTAACATTATCGGCCTGTTGAACAAGCGCAACGCCGTCATCATTGATACCGAGACCGGCCCGGAGGATTTCACCGTCTACGCCGACTGCTCGTTGCACAGCATGTTTGGTTTCAGTTCGCTGCTGAGAGCCAGCACGCAAGGAAAGGGCGAGTTCAGCATGGAGTTCAGCCACTACAGCCCTGCGCCGCCGCAGATGCAGAAGGAGCTGATTGCCAAGTACGAGAAGGAGAGGAAGGACAACGAATAAGGAACTAATAAGGACGAACTGTGAGAAGTGACTCCTTGATTGGGGTCGCGATTCTTCTTGTACTATCGCCTTTGAGTCGAGACTCAAGGGCTAGGGCTTGCATATAGATGGGCGCATTTTGGAAAATTCAGGTGTAGTATAGCTGTACATGTACGATTGATGTATGTACCGTAGCGGAGACGAATGATATCCCCTCCATTTACCAACAGTGTGCAAGGCTTTGTCGCTAGTATTACTGTGCGTAGAGATGGTTGAACAAGGAGTGAGGTGGTACATCGTACATGGTATGATATGCTCATGGTCTCTGACCCTGCTGAAGCAACTTGGGTGCAGTCATCTCCTATACTAATCTCTCCAGTGCTATATGTACATGTTTGCGTCGCGTCTCTGTGATGCTGTTGTACATGCGCCTGGCCAACTTGTGACCTTGTTTTCCACCTTAGACATTTGTGTCTAGTTCTTCTCAGCGCGCGCGGCCTTCAGGGCCTGGTACTGTCGCGACAGAATGGTGGGGCGGTTGTTGACGCTGCCGAAAGCTTGGGTAATGATGGGCGAGCTATCCGTACGGATGGTTGTGCCAATGGCCATGAAGAAGCTATGCTAGCAGTGAGTGAATGTCTCACAGACACGCTGGTTGCTACGCACCCAAATGTCGCCGCAGATCCCATCATGTACTGTCCGAGCGTGCGCAGCATGCCGTTAGGCCCAGGGCCGAATCGGACAATGTTGGTGAAGCCTGGCGAAGTTAGGGCAAGCATCGTATGCATAAGTTGTTGTGCGCACCAAAGATGAAGCCAATGATCAGACCAACAGCTGTACATGCGGTCAGAAAGCCATCCAGCAAGTGTCGAGTCTTCGCGACGTACATCCACCCATCATACCACCCATCTTCACTGCATGGTGTTAGCGCCTTCCTCGCAGACAGTTAGATCACAGCTAGACGGCAGCAACGTACGCTTGTCGAGCGTGGAGGGGCCATGCGCGCCGCCTCCGGGCATAGCTCCTACAGGAACGGGCATCTTGACGAATTGTGGGTGAGACCTGGATGCAGAACAAATGCGGAGAGAAACGCGGCGGGTCGACAGCTGCTCGGTGCCGAAGAACAGTCCACTGCAAGCTACTGGAGGTATGTGGGGCAGCCAATGCGCTGATACTCCGCTCGATAGCCGGCTGAGCAGACGACAATGTGAAGGGCCGACGCGGGCGAGAAAGGTCACAGGCTACAGGCTACTCTCGCAGAAGGATGCGATGGACAGACTGCGGGCTCGACTCGAGGCGTCTGGCGCTGCAGCTTCACTTTGCGCGAGGCCGTTGAACACGTGACCGAACGCTGCATTCCAAGACTGCTGCACTGCGGCGGAGGGAGAGTGCAGACTCGACTGGCCTGTACGACGTGCTGTGCATATACCTGCGACGCGCTGTGCACATATTCGTCGCAAGCTGACCGTGAATATCTGCTGCTGTCCGCGGAACTGCTGCTGGCGCCCGTCCCAGCGTCATCCCATCGTTGCAGGCTCGCAAGCGAGACAAGGCCAGGCCAGCGCGACGACCTCCCGCTCCTGGAATCTTAGCCCACCGCACCCTTCACCCACGCTTCCCCCGGCAGCCCGTCTCGCGGCCCCTATATCGCTATCTCGCTGCCAGCCTGGCCCTGTCGCTGCTGCACGCTGCACCCCGTCTGCAGGTCGCATCGCCCACCGTCGCACGGGCTCCCGGAGACAGGACAGCACACGACCGACCCCGAGACCCCGAGCAGCGCATCTCAGCGCTGCACCGCCAGCTGCCACCCGCCGCCTGCTGCCCTCGGCCGCGACGCATGCTCTGAGCGCCACCCGCCGCCCGTCGCTGCTCTGCCCGCCGCCTGTTGTGGTTCTGCCGCCGCACCGCCGTCGCTCGCGCCCAGCCCGGAACACGGACGGCCACAAAAAGTGACGACGTGACGACCCTGAATCAACAACGCAGCCTCCGCCCCAGACGCCGGCCGCCCGCCGTGAGCCTCGCAAATGACGGCTGTCGCTCCTCCCGTGCAATTCCAGAACATCAACCGGCAGGCATGGAGCGCTGAAGGAGGCGCGAACGGCGCCATGTACATGCCGCGGAAGAGCGCCCAACGCACAAACTCGTCGTCGTCCCTCGCGTCACAGGCCTCGTCCACCTCCACCCTCTCGCCCGCACAGCAGTCACAGCCCAACGGCGCCGTGCTCCCAAACGGCACCGACGCCAGCGCCTGGGCCGCCCGCAAGACAAAAGGACCCAAGGGCCTCTATCCAGCGACCAAGACCGAGCCCGTTGCCGGCCTCTCCATTGCACGCCCGCACCAGATCGCCACCGCCGGCCCCGGCGCCTCGGCTGCCTCTGCCATGAGCGCCCTGCAGGCCCCGTCCGCCATGCTGCCCTCGCAGCAAAACGGCGTGCTGCAGTCGCAGCAGAACGGCGTGCAGCGACAGGGAGCCGAAAGCACCGCCATACTGCACCTGATCCCCATGAACGGCACCTTCGAGCGCAAGACCATCACCGTGCCCTTCTTCCCGGACGTGCTCCGCATCGGGCGCCAGACAAACAACAAGACAATACCCACTCCCCTCAACGGCTACTTTGACTCCAAGGTCCTATCTCGACAGCATGCCGAGGTGTGGGCCGACCGCAACGGCAAGATATGGATCCGTGACGTCAAGTCGTCGAACGGCACCTTCGTTAATGGCCAACGGCTGTCACAAGAAAACAGAGACTCGGACCCACACGAGCTCAGGGAGCAGGACATGCTGGAGCTTGGAATCGACATCGTCAGCGAGGACCAGAAGACCATCGTCCACCACAAGGTCGCCGCTCGCGTTGAGCATGCTGGCATCTATGCCCGGTCACCCAACGACGTCCTCGACCTGAACTTTGGCGAACTCGAAGGCAGTCAGATGCAGAACATGGTGGGAGCAAATGGCCAGCAGCAAATGGCGAACATGCGCGGTCGCACACCCAGCCAAGGTTCCATGAATGGACAGCGCATGCAGATGTCAGGCGGCGCACAAGCATACCAAAATGCAATGCAACAACCACGCCATCCCAACTTCTGGCTGCAGCCCATCACCATGGAGCAGGTGGTGAAGAAGCTGAATGTGAGTGTGATTTGCAGACGAAGGCTACTTGTACTAATCCTTTTCAGGCTGAGATGAAAGCTGCCAAGCAGCAATCACAAGACTTGCAGCAGGCTCACCAGTACATCAATTCTATTCTTTCCGCAGAACCGAAAAAGGAACCGGCGAAGTCGTCGCCTGCCAATTCCATCAGGATCTCGCCTATCAAGGATGTTAACCTAAAGGCCAGGTTTTCCGACCCTCCAGCTCCCCCGCCACAACAGCCTCTGCCCGAGAAACCAATTTCTGCATCGTCTCTCAAGAGGTCAGACACTGAGCGTCCCAAAATAGCGTCGCCTGTTCGGTCAGATGCACAGATGTCAACCCTCACAGACGCACTGAACAACGCGAAAAAAGAAATTGAAACGCAAGGCCTACGACTTCGGGACTTGGAGTCTCTGTTGAGTGAGGAGCGACGTGCGAGGGAAGACGCTGAGGAGCGAGCGAACCGACTTGAGCGAGAGTCGATCAAGGAGCACGAAGACCCAGCGGAGGCGGACGAGGAGAGGAGTGCGGTTGACGAGGCCGTGGTTGAAGAGCCGAGCAACGCTGGCGTGGAGAACGGCTCTGCATCGCCCTCGACCGACACCACGGCGCGCTTGCAACACCGTCTCGAGACTATGATGTTGGAGATGAACGAGATGAAGCAACAGATGGAGCGGTACCGCGAGCGCGCCGAAGCTGCTGAGTCCGACCGCGCGAGCTTGGCGGAGATGATCGAGAACATCAGAAAAGACAATGCAAAGTCGAGTAGTGGAGGCAGCAGGCGACGAAGCCGCAGCGGCGGCGATGAAACGAGAGAAACCAGAAGTATTGGTGTTGACGGTACTGAGGATGACGATGAGGCTGAAGAGGGCGAAATTGTCATTATCAAAGACCGCGACGTCGATGAGGATAGTGCAGGCACGCTGTCCCGAAGAGCCAGCCAACAGAACGGGCATGCCACAGACGGCGGGGCGAAGGAGTCATCGAAGCCGTCCAACGCCCTCTCAATTCACCGCCACAGCAGCGCTGACTTCATGTACCATGGTGGTCCGGTGGGTGCTATTGTGACAGTAGTCGCAATTGGAGTAGCCGTCATGGCTATGCTCAATCAGTATCCAAAGGCCGAGCGCTGAGTGAGCGCGCGCAGCTACACTTGGCCACTACGGCAGATCGACTTTGGCGGGAAGACCGGACAAGCTGGACTGGCATAGATTTCGGGGCGATGCACAGCTCCGAGGACTGCGTTTACTGAATCACCAGCACACCTCAGACCCGTTATTCCTCGGTCTTCCCAGCGAGATTCCAACACCTCCCACAATCACCGCCACAGCGCCTACAAACACGACAGGCGCATGACACATCACGACCAGCAAGCGCATTCGCAACGAACAAGCTCAAATCGAATCCAGCGTCACACATTTAGTGACAGTTATCCAGCATATTTCCTTTCCGGCGTTTGCATAATTTGGGCCATCTGGAGACCTGCCATGGGTCTTCCACAAGGGCATACGGAGGCGTTAGTAATTCTGTTAGGTATTTGGCTGGCGTTCGAGTTGAATCGGATTGGATCGGATGGCAGCCCTAGAGGCACCACACGGGTATTATCTCCTGCGGACATCCTCCTTTGCCGGGTTTCATACTTCATACCCTGCCGGGCATCGTGCCTCACCATTCACTGTATCAGCAAGCGAATCTTTCCTTTGTAACATCACGAACTATCTACTTGAGTCTTGGATGATGGAGGCTCGAAGGAAGCATCGGGGAGGGCTTGTTACGACGAGCTTTGGAGCTAGATTGGCTGTGTGTGACAAAGGGGTCGCTTTCTTCTTCAATGATACATATTCACCTTGGTCCACCTCGCTGCTATGGGTATCTTAATTCGTAGTGATGTCCACTCACGCCAGTCCAATACACACCGTCACCGTACTCAGCATGCGTATCCGCGTCTCCGGCACATCCTCGTCGTCCTCCCCGTCGTCGCCACCCATCTCCACGTCGTCAATCGCCTGCACGTTCCCCATCTCCACGCGCACCCGGCAATCGCTCTCGCCCTGGAACTTGACGCCCAGCTCCAGCGCCCGCGGAATCGCCCGCCCCGTCGCCTTGACGTAGACTTCTTCTCCGCGTCCCGCATCCACTCCCTTCCCCTTCCCCTTCTTCCCCGCCGCCGCCGCAAGCGCAATACTCGCCTCCACGGCCGCCGCGTCCAGACGCCCATTCGCCTGCAGCCCCTGCGCGCCTCCACCGCGACTATTACTCCCGCCCCTGCCCCTCCTGTTCCCCCGCCCCTCCCCCGCACCCGCGGCCTGCGTCCCCCGCCGCTCGATCCCCGCCAGCAGCCCGCGAATGCGCTTACACGCGGCCACGAACGGCGTCGCCGCAGACACGTAGAGCACCTTGGGCGCGGCGGCGGCGGCCTCGGGGCGCGGGATGGCGGGGCGCAGGAGCGGCCGTTTCGTGAGCGTGGCGTTTGGGGGCAGCTGCGGGCGCTTCTGGATGGCCGTGGGTTTCGCGGGTTTGGGGCCGCGCGTGCGTGGTTCCGGGGTGTGTTGTGGTGGGGGTGGGCGCGGGCCGCGGATGTGTGGGACGTAGGTGTTCTTGTGGTTGGCTCTTGTGCGCATGCGTTTTGGGGTGGGGTGGGTGGTGGTGGGTGCGGCTTGTTGGGGTTGGGCGCAGGGTGGAGTTGCGGTCGTTGGGGTGGTGGTTGGTTGCTGTGAGGGAGGTTTGGGTTGCGGCTTGGGGTCGCCGCTGCGAGTGCGCTTTTGGGCTGGCATGGTGGGCGGTTTTGGGTTGTGTGTGCTGAGAGAGAGATGTTTGAGTTGTTATTTTGGAGGCGCGTTCGCAGCTTACTTTCTTCCTTATCGATAAAGCTGTCTGCATCATACCCTCTTACCTTTACGCATTGCATTGGATGTCCACGTACAGATATCTTGTATTCTTCTTTCAGAAGAGTACGAGATGTCTTTATCTGCTGAACTGTGCAGAACTCTATGCTTCTTAGCAAGGCAGAGCCACTTCACAATGCCATCCCCATAAGAGCTACTCAAGCCTAGGCCGGATACCAACGGCCGTCGACGCAATTCATTTCGAACCCTCCTCTCCTCCCTCCAGAAAGAATCAAGACGCAACAGCACACCATGGCGCAAACGCTCCGGCACATCCACCTCCCCGGCATCACTCCCTACACCACCGCCGCGCGCCTCCAAGAATCCCTTGTCGCGCGCTTCCTCGCCTCCAAGCCGCCCACCAACGCGCCCGCCCCCAGCCCACACATCATAACCGCCCAGTTCGCGCCCGTCTACACCTGCGGGCGGCGCGAAATCGGCACCGTCTCGGCGCCGCAACAAGCCTTCCTCCGCGCCGACGGCCGCGCTTCCTTCGTCGAGGCCATGCGCGGCGGCCAGACCACCTTCCACGGCCCCGGCCAGCTCGTCGCGTACCCGATCCTCGACCTGCGCGCGCACAAGCTCACGCCGCGCGCCTACGTGTGTTTGTTGGAGAAGTCGCTGATTGCGACGTGTGCGCGCTTCGGCATCAAGGCGATGACTACGGAGCATACGGGCGTGTGGACGAGCCCGGATGATAAGATTGCGGCGGTCGGAGTACATATGCGCAGGAACGTGACGAGTCATGGGGTGGGGCTGAATGTTGGCACGGATTTGTGGTGGTTTGATCGGATTGTGGCGTGTGGGCTGGAGGGGAAGCGGACGACTAGTTTTGAGAGGGAGGGGGTGGAGGGGAAGAGTGTGGAGGAGGTGGGGGAGGCGTATGTGAGTGAGATTACGGCACGGCTGCTGGGGGTTGAGGGCGTGGAGAGGGCTGGCGAAGAGGAGGTAGCCGAGTACCTGAAGGTGTGAACAGAAACTCTACTTTGTGATGGTTCCACCGGGTCTGCCACCTACGAATGAGCTGTCCTGGTACCGGAACATGATCATGAACATCAACATCAACGGATAACAGTCTGACTGTTGACCAATTCTCTATCTAGCAAAAGAGCCTCTAACGTCGCTGGACAGTCAACAACACTGTATCCTCGTTGTTGGGAGAGACACTCAATGCCTTCTAGTAATAACAGAACCAGAACCCTACCACTCTCGACCGAGAATCACTAGCTGCAGGGATATGACAGCAGGTAGAAAGGGCGACTGTTCTTTGAAACAGATTTGCAGGTTGTTCGGCAGCGTAATTGGGGCAATTTTAAGAAAAACATATCTTTCAACTACTGATACCCTGTCTTGGGCAGCACGGCAGAAGGTTTGTAAGGGTGACAATTCCTTAGCATGTCGAGAGTTTCATTTTCATCGATCTTTATGAACCTTGTTACAATCCATGAAAAAACGAACGGGTCCCCATCCTTCCAATTAACAATGCGAGCAGCTCTGCTGTCAAGGGTTTTACGTGTGAACGCTGTTAAGCTACCTATAGTAGGTGATAGGGTAGGTCGGAGTGCAGGTAACCTCTTGTCAAAGTCTATCTTACGTCTATGACAGCATAGGTGTGACGATATGATGAATCTAGAACCTCTCTGAGTGGCTCGGATAGTCTGGTCAAGGAGCAGTACCATGGATCTGGAGTATCCCGCATGAATTCCCCTCACGAGTACTCCTTACTAACTTTGTATATAGAGTCTGGCCCTCCTTAGATACATGCACACTCAAGGTAGAGCTGTATAGTACCAAGGGGAGGGGAGCTGTACTTCTTGATGATCGCCGATATGAGCACCTGGCCCTTGGTTTAAGCGCCAGACTTCCCACCTTCTCAAGAAGAAGCGCAGTAATTCTCCTCCTTTCCGACATCTACATTTTTCTATCCTCGTCTAAAACTGCCGGAACGGAGAACCGCCAGTCACTATCACACAATACGTTTGCCGAGACGGTGGCCAGTTAGACGCCGGACTTTGTGGGCATCGACCAATCAGGAGTCCGAACTCAACACTCCTGCGGACACTTGAGGTGATTGCCGCAGCTGCGGACAGTACCGTCTGTCCAATAGATCTTTCTATTTCTATTCTATCCCTGGTTTGAATGGAAAACGCGGCGTCGCGTGGCTTTAGGTTCGATACTGGGTCCTTGCAACAACGGATTTCGCCTTGCGCTCTCTGCGGAATATCACGACGCTAATACTACTTATCCGCCTGTCAAATTAAGGAAGACGGGAATTGTAAGGTTCAAGAGTATATTGTCGCACACGCTTCTTGAGGAGCGTATTTGAGTCTCACATTCATTCGGATCTAGTCATGAAGCTTCCTTTCTCGTCACTCATTCTTACTATCTTGTTCAATGCTCTGCTCAGCAATGCCGCTCCTTTCGCTGCTGAGAAGAGAGGTAGGCAGATCCAATCAAATACTAATATTCTCTCATACTAATATAAGCAGCAATCGACGACAATCTCTTACAAACGTTCAGAATGATGTCTCAATACGCCTCCGCCGCCTACTGCTCCAACAACCTCAACTCCCCCGGGGACCAACTCCAATGCGGCCCAGGAAACTGCCCGCTCGTGGACGATGCAGACTCAGCAACAGTGCTCGAATACAGCAGGTACATCATCCCCTCCTGCCCCAGTAGCCGACCTCACTCACACCCCCCAGAACCGAAACCATCACCGACGTAACCGGCTTCGTAGCAACCGACCACACCAATAAACAAATCGTCGTCTCCTTCCGCGGCTCCCAATCCATCGACAATTGGCTCACCAACCTCGACTTCGCCCTCGTCCCCACAGACCTATGCACCTCCTGCACCGCGCACGCCGGCTTCTGGCAGTCCTGGCTCGACGCGCGCGCCACCGTGGTACCCGCCGTTAAAGCCGCCGTGGCCAACTACCCCGCGTACAAGATCACGGTCACGGGGCACTCGCTCGGCGGCGCGATTGCGGCCTTTGCCGCCACCCAGCTGCGCAATCTCGGGCTCGGCGTCGCGCTGTACACGTTCGGCAGTCCGCGCATCGGCGGGCCGGTGCTGAGTGCCTACGTGTCCGGCCAGAGCGGGGGGAACTATAGGGTCACGCACTGGAATGATCCGGTGCCGCGGATGCCGATGGTGGCGATGGGCTATGTGCATGTCAGTCCGGAGTACTATGTTGGGGTGAAGAATGGGGCTGCGGTGGGTACGGGGGATGTCAAGGTGTATGATGGGGCGGTCAATCTGTTCAAGGGGAATTCGGCGTGGCTGCGGACGGATGTTGAGGCTCATCGGTGGTATCTCTCGCGGATGGGTATATGTGCGGATTTGAAGCAGAAGAGAGGGTTGGAAGGGTTGGGGCTGGATGTGGTTGCTCGGTTTTAGGAGCGATCTAAATATGTAATCAAGTGACACTTGTTCAGAATCAGTGTGTAAATCATGTTATCGTTCATCGTGGTCTATGTGGGATATCAACTCATCAAACTATTACGAAGCACCAGCGAACTTAAGGCTGACGCATGGAGACTGCTAGACCTTCTCCACTCGCCCAACGCCTCCAGCCTTCTCCTCAAACAGCTCTGCCTCGATATCCTTGTCAGTCGGGGTCTGCTCAACACCGACCTTGGACTCGTTGAACGCATCGAGCTCCTTCGCCTTAAACAAGTTAAGGTAGACAGGGAACGAATACGCAATCAGGAAGCCACCGAGAGGTACCGCCATAGCAACACGGGTGTTACGCGCATCAACCACAGCGCCGAGCATGGGCGGGAAGACAGCACCGCCAGAGACAGACGCAACGAGGAACGAAGCACCACGCTTGGTGTGGCGTCCGAGACCGCGCAGACTCAGCGTAAAGATGGTAGGGAAGATGCAGGACTCGAAGAAGAGCACCATGCACAGCATCGCGATCGCAGTGTCGCCGGTAGTGGGGATCGAGGCGGTGATGAAGATCACGCAGCCTGTAAGGAAGCCGAGCAGGATCCAGCGGGGCTTGACCCACTTCATCATCAAACTCGCGACGAAACGACCGACAGCGAAGAGTGCCTGGGCAACAGCGAGGAGGTTGGAGCCGTCAGCGGTCGTGAGAGTGGGCTTGACCTCAGTGACGTAGTGGATGAAGAAACCCGCAACGGCGACCTGGGCACCGACGTAGCAGAACTGTGCTGCTACGCCCCAGAAGAGTGTGTACTGCTGGCGGAACGGCTTGTCGACGTAGCCTGTGACGTTCTCCGTCTTCTCGGACTGGGCGGCGACGTCGGCGTCTGTGATTTCGGGAATGCTGAGGAGTGTTAGTAAAGAGGGCATGGGGAAAGGGAGACGTGATGCTTACGGAGCGAAGAAAAAGACGACTGCGAGGGCAAAGACGAAGCAGGCGATGCCCAGGTACACCCATTGTACAGACTGGAGGCTGTCGTTGTTGACGTTCTTGAAGAGAACGAAGGACGCGAGGACGGGTGCTACGACACTACCAATAGCCTGGAAGGCCTGGGCCAAGTTGAGACGGAGTTCCATCCATCTAGGAGGACCGCAAGTAGCCTGACGCGATTAGTACATACCCACAGACGACGTCTTTGAGCGTACTCACAATGAACGGGTTGGCAGATGTCTCAAGGGTACTCAGACCCGAGCCAACAACGAACATGGAACCGCAGAAGCCACCGAACGACCTCTGAACACCACTGGGCCAGAATAGCAGAGCTCCCACGCCGTAAATGCAGAGACCGGTGATGAACGTCCATCGGTAACCAAACTTGCGGACAATCCAACCACTGTAAGTGAGCGGGCCGATGAAGTAGGCTCCAAAGTAGGCACTGCGGATATCAGCACTGATAACATGGCACAGACATTGCATACGTACGCTTGCAGACCAGAGGACTGTGCAGCAGTGATGTTAAGCGTTTCCTGGAAGTGCTTGTTCAAGACGTCGAGGAGGCCGTAGGCGAAGCCCCACATGAAGAAGAGGACGGTGACAAGCGAGACCTGACAGTGTTAGCAACTACAGATTCGAGTTGAGAGGTCGACATACGGGAATGATGGACTGTCTGGTTGTGATTTCGCCAGCGCCAGTGACGACATGGTCGTCAACGCTCTTCCTCCGGGTGGCATCCTCCAATGCCTCGACTGCTGATGGTCGACGCTCGACGTTGTCGTCCACCGGCGATGGGTCGCTCTTGCCAAAGTTGAATCTGCCCATTGTGTCGCGATAATTCTGGACACGACGAAGCTATGAAGATTAAAGATATCGCACTGAGCTCACACTGCTGGTTAAATCATACGGGCACCATGGCGATTATATACAGATCAAGTGCCGAGCATCAGCTGTGGTTGTTTGCTGTTAGTCCTAGCCCCGCTCTGCTCCCAAGCTGCCAACAAGATGTGCCCTTGTAGTACTCCCTTGGCCTTTGAGCCGCGTCTCTGTGAAGGCAATCGGACCGAAACACTATTACTCCAGCGAACTACCTGAGCGACACTAATCCGGCAAGGCTACCCAGAAATCCACATACTAGGTGGTCATCTCGGCCAATGATACACCTCTAGTGCGTTGAGATGGCGCTACTGTATACATGGGGTTGAGGCCGTGGAGTGTGGGATGTGACGGCGTGCCTTGGGGTACTCCACGAGGGGATCCTGCTCCACTTCGAACGTATCTAGACTGCTGTAATGTGTTCGAAATTGTAGGTATCGCAAGGCCCCTGACCGGCTAGATTCGGCATCCGTTACAAGTTTATGTATACCAGATCATCGTCATAGTATCCCGTCTCGTCTCGCAACATGACTCTCAAGAACCACCTCCGAACAACACGGCCTTTGGATGTGAATTGACGTAGCTCCGGCAGATCCGTGGTAAGCTGCCATTGCGGGGCGCAGTGCATACTGAAGCTAGACATGCATTTCTTCATCAACTAGATCCAAAAACCGTAAAACGCTAGAAGGTCAGATGGCGTTCTACTGCTAATCACTTGGCAAGGCCGGCAAGAAATCGCTCATTTGCTTGGTTAGTGATGTTGAAGAGGCTCCTTGCCGCATGAGCCTCAATCTAGCGTGGTGATCCGTGCGCAGATATCACCATGTCAAGGCCTTGGAGTAGGCTTGGCCGTCCAATGAAGCAACTCCAGGCCTGATCGATGTCGGCCTTGGTACTGATTTGGTCTTGACTCTGGTTGAGAATATTCGCGGAAAGATTGTCGGACTACCAAGCATCGTTGTTTCAAGCTTGCTATGCTGCATTTCCACTTTCACGCGCACCTGATGTCCTTGGCGCTTAGCCGCTTCACCGAATCACTGCTCGCAAAACCTCTGCCTCCGGAAAATGCTCCACTCCGAATATCGTTGAGCCGCATCGATAGCGTCATGCCCTCAGTGTTGCTGATGCGTGCCCATGGGGGAATACCCCAGCTGGGGTTACTGCGACTCCACATAGCAGGCGGACTGCGACCATGTTGAGGGGCTGGGCATCGCAACATGGCTTGCAGAAAAATCAGGGATACGATAGGTATGTCGTCGGGTTGTGTTAGTAGTGTATAGTGTGTGATGCCTTGTCTTATTGAGGTACTGGTCGAGCGCTACAAATCGGTACGAACTCACCAGCGATCTTTACTCGCTTCGGGTTTTAATCTCTATGCTGATCTCACCATCTTTTATCTTGACTTTGGCGCCCTACAACATAGTCAAGCCAACACCACCCATGTGTTTGACACTTGCTTGGTTCCTGCTATCAATGCCGCCCGTGATAGGTGATGCACGGTAGTTGTACAGGTAGTAGTGAAGTGAGCCATCGCCAGCTCCGAAGCGCTGTTCCTCGAGGAAGAGCGGGTTGTCGAGAAGAGTGAGGGCGTTGAAAACGTCAAAGTCGGCCTGTTCGAGTCAGTATGGCGTGTGCACGACAAGTAAGAATGCATCTTACCTTCTTCGCAATGATCAAGGCGTCCCTCATCAGCGAGTTGAGCGTTGTCTTCAACTTTCCGTCGTCCTTCTCGAACGCAACCTCGGTTGCGTAGTAGAAGAGGTACGCAGCCTTGATGGTGTTGTGCTTCTTGTTTCCGATGACTGTACTCTCCAAGTTGTAGAAGGAGAAATAATCTGTGATCTTGTGCGTTTTGGGGTCTTCAACCACGTAGCTCCATACAACCTGCTCCTTCGGCTCTTCGCTCGGGCAGATCCAGTGCTCAAACTCGGTCTGGTCAAAGACCTGGGCCATATCCATGCGCGCAAGGTAACGCTTCAGCAGGTCAAGCGCGGCAGGTATATCCTTCGATTCCATTTTCCGCAGACCTGGTGTGGATGTGGTATCTGGTAGTTTGTATCGGTTGATCTGGCGCAACTTCGTGCTGCCATGCGGAAGAGGCGAGAAGCCAACATCGTACAGCTTCTCCCAATCGAGTGCGCGGTGGAAGTAGCGACACGTGGCGACAGGGGTAGGCAGAAGGGAGCCAACAGTGTATACGGCCTGGAAGGTGCCCTCGACGTAGCAACGGCGAGTGATCTCCTTGATCAGGACGGGAGCAAGTCGTTTCGAGCGGAGCTTCTTGTGAACACAGAGGAAGTTGACCTCCGAAGACTTGAGCACCTTGTCGCGTATCCGCAGCTGAATGGGGATACCCGAGATGAACGCAACAAGTTTGCCTGAAGCTGTTGCGCGGACACCGACGTGCCATTCCTTCTTCCAGCCAGGCGCCTTGAGAGCCCTGAAAAGGTTAGCCATTAGGTTATGTCGTCGTGATAAGATGAACCCACCAGTTCAGGAAAGATGGAGAGTATTTGAAGCGGAAGGTAGCGTCCTTGTCCTCAACGTAGTGATTCGTGAGCAGATCGTAGACCTCGTCAAGCTGCTTTGTGTCCTCGAGATCCATAGTGACCCACTCGAAGCCAGGGTACATTGGGCTAGGGTTCTTGTCCACCCTCTCGATATCGATCTCCTTGATGGGTCCGTCTGGTATGCGGTCCTTTGAGGCCATCTCGTCGAAGCTCGGTACGGGCTGTGTCTTCCAGAACGCGTGATCAGCCATGTCCTTTGTAGCGCCCTGGGGTGCCAGGCCAGTCAGCATCTCGTTGATGTTGAGCTTCTTGATCATCTGCTCCAGTTCAGCCTTATTATTCGCCTTGGACATGAGCTGGTTCTTCAGCGCAGGGTTGGCGTCCAGCAGCATGCTCATCTGGTCCTTGCCAAGTTGTCCAGCAGCCGGCGCATTCAAATCTGTGGCCGCAGATGCCTTTCCCTTTCCAGCGATTGCATCCTTGATCTTGCGCTTCCTGCTTTTCTTCTTCTTCTCTGTAGCTCCCTCTCCTCCTTCTACCGTTTCTGTAGCTTCGTCTCCACTCTCGTCCTCGAATTCGTGGTCGTCATCTGGCTTGCTGGATTCGGCGATGACCTCCTCAGCTGCAGCGGCGGTGGTGTCGGGTTCGGCGATCTTGGACGCTTCCTGAGGCATGGCGAAGGTGTTGTTGTGTAGTTCTAGGAGCTGCCTAGGAACAGGTAATTGTGGAAGGTGGGGCTAGGAGGGGTCTTACCGCATGCCTCGCTTCCGCCTTCTGTCATCAGGACAGCAACACCAAAAGGCCGACGGCACTGGGGCCGACTAGTAGGAGCTTCAAATGCAAGCTGAGATTCGGCAGCTTCTCATCTGAAATGGCAGAGCCTCAATACTCAGACAGAACGTAGTCAATAACACAAGCGAACTTTCGAGGTCAAATGCATATGATGTCAAATTCACCACGTACTAATCGTACTACCTCAAATAACCAATCTCTCCAAATGTCTTGCAACGTAATCCCAATCGCTTTGATGTTCCATTTGTTGTTTACACAAGAGTTTAGTCATCTCGGCGCCTTCCGATTCGAGCTAGTCTAAACTGGAGTTATCTCAAGCCATCTCGAACTTCATCGTCCCGTCTCCTGTTCGTCTGCACGATTACTTCGTCGATGTTTGCTTGACCTTCTAAGAGGTCTCCCTTTTTGCTTCTCCTGGATATCGATTCGTAGTGCGCAGAATGGCTGCACTCAAGCCAATTTTCATCAAGGCCTATTGGTCACTAGCTATCCTCGGCATGATATGGGCCGCCTTCCTGATAGCGTTGATCAACCCGACCATCCAGCGACAGTAAGTCGGGACTGTGATCATGAATTGGGTCAAGCTGACTGGACTTTATAGTGCTCTGTACGCACACAAGCTCAACACAAACTTTTGGCATAATGTCTCCAATCCGGAAGAATTCGGATTCGCCAGTCAGTCTCCCAAAACTCAGTCTTACTTCAGGCTTTCCGCAATGACCGAACGCTTCAAACTGACGAGAGTTCAAAGAGGGCCAAGTTCAGCCTTTCTGGCTAGAGACAGCAGACGACGAGCGACTGTTCTGTTGGCATGTGCTTCCCCTGGATGTCTACTTGCAGAACGAGGAACAGTTGGCCATGAGTGCAACAAATGGGGAGATCGTCGATGAGCTCAAAGGAACAGTCAGTGAGAAATTATTGAGAGCGGATCCCGAGGCGAGAGTAGTCGTCAACTTCCATGGTGTGAGTTTGCCCTCTGTGTCTGTTCGTTATCATACATGTGGTCTGTACAAATCAGACCAGTCTTTTCATGTCTTTCAAACACACACGTCACATTTTCACCTACAATTTCTAACAAATGTACAGAATGCAGGCCATTTGGCACAAGGATGGCGTCCGTCGACTTATCGCTCAATCTCTGGCATTCCTCGCACTCACCTTCTTACATGTGACTACCGCGGCTTTGGGCTCTCTACGCTCAATAACCCACCTTATCTCCCCACAGAGACAGGCCTCATTACGGATGCGATTTCGATACTCTCTTACGTCGAAACTGATCTCAACCACCCATCAACACGCACCGTACTGCTCGGTCAGAGTCTAGGCACGGCCGTGACAGCCGCTTCGGCACTCTACTTTGCAGACCCATCATCATCGGATCTACCTACAGACATGAAGCACATCTCGCCGCTTCCCAAGTCGCACGCTGGCTTTGCAGGTATCGTTCTTGTGGCTCCGTTCCGAGATCTCACAACTCTGCTTGAGACCTACAAGATCGGTGGCATCGTCCCTATTATCCGCCCCCTACGCGGCTACCAGCGCATTGCCAAGTTTCTGCTCTCACGAATCGTGGACCATTGGCGAACGCTCCCTCGTCTCCGGTCCCTGTTGACTCTCACCGCTGCTTCCAAAACGCCTATCAGGCTGACGCTTCTGCATGCACGCAATGATCAGGATATCGACTTCCGCCAGTCTGAAGCGCTGTTCCAGCCTCTTCAGTCCACGATGCTGGCAGAGGAGGGTGTGAGCGCAAGAGAGGAACGTAGGAGTATTCATGGTGCTGAAAGAGTGAAGAGGGGTGCTTTCGCGTACAAGAATGTTGAAGATCCGAGAGGAGAGAGAGTATGTGAAATGGAGATTGTGCGGTACGGTGGGCATAATGAGGTTGTTGGATGGACACAGGTCAGTCTTGCAGTAAGAAGGGCTTTTGAGGCTGTAGAGGCGAGGGCAGAGAGGGGTGTTGGACTGGATACTGAGTAAGATAATGAGTAGCTTGGAGGATTGCGTGATCGTATTCAGAGAACGAGTGTATGGTACGAGTATTAAGGAGAACATATTGCGGCTCAAACTGCAAATACAAACCGGAACCAACGCAATCTGGGTATCAAAATTCAAAATTCAAGGGGCCACCTAACAAACCACAATATCAGCATCCTTCTCCAGGTCCTCACAGGTATGCTCCTTCCACAAATGCTCCATCAACGCCGCAATCGAGCGACACACCGTATCCGCATCGCCATACTTCGCACACAAGACACACGCAAACGCGCCACCAGGTCGATGGCACTTGACCACAAAAACGTTTCCTATTAGGAATCTCTTGCGCCTGGGATGCCGTCCACGAGTCGTCATGATGAGTTCCCACGCCTTCCGGGGCCGTACGGCGATGGAGGCCCGACAGCGTGGACATCTCCTGTTGCCGTCGCGGCCGAAGTTGGCTGAAAGGGGGAGGTGCGTGTTGTACTGGAGATCGAGGGCGTAGCGGCAGAAGAGCTTGTTGATGTTGGGATTAGGGTAGGGAATGGGGTAAGGATCGGGCGTTGGCTTTGGTGTTGGCTTTGGTGTTGGCTTTGGCGTTGGCTTTGGATCGTCTACGATAGGCTTAGACGGTACTGGTACGGATGTGTCTGAGGAGCTGGAGCTGTTACTCTGACTCCTATGTGGAGATCGGGGAGGTAAGGGCAAGCCTCCTGGCATCGGCGGGTCCACTCCTGGTTTTTTTGGTGGAGGTTGTGCCAGCATGCGTTGGTACAGCAAATCGAGTGCTTGAATAGCTGCTGCCCGGGTGGTCCGCACTGTTTGGACAAGGTGGATGAGTTGCGAGTGCGACGAAGAGATGGTGAGGTAGTTGCTGATCACCAGATCTTGGTGGATGCTGATCAGAACTTGTTGCAATTTGATGATTTGCGATTGCAACTGGAGTTTTGCAACGTCATCTCCACGTGCATATTGTTCGCCGAGCTTGCGATATGCGCGTTCATATGTAGACAGAACTTGCACAGGGGCGTTGCATATTAGATCGTCTTCGCTGTCGCTATGGTGCTCTGCTCTTCTGTCGAGGCCCCATCGAACATGGCGCCCAAGCGACTCGATGACGTGCGAGTGCGAGTCTCGGCGGTCCCGGGTATTATTGGTGTCGGTATTCTTGTGATTATCGGGTTCGTCGTCGGAGCTTGACTTCTGTTTAAGTCTGTGGTACAAGTCTTTCGCGGATCCCAAGACGTCCGTCAAAACGCCAACGAGCGAAAACACGAACACCCGGTCTTGTAGCGCACCCTGAAAAGGTCAGCTCAGGTTAAAATATTCACTAGGGACTTCATGTACTGGTTCGACGGCGGCTTCAGCTCGTTCAGTCATGGTGAATGAACAGCAGATCGTTCAGTAGGCAATGGTGAAGTGGAAGCAGAGCAAAACATAGCTAAAGTCCATTGCAGCTTTGCAGCCGGGCATCTATCTTGCCTGAATCACATTGTCAACATTGAGGGCAGGACCCGTGGGCTGTCCTCATCACACGCTGCGTTCAACGAGCGCATCATGTGCACGCTGCGTTCAACGAGCGCATCATGTGCACGCTGTCTTGGACAGTGGATCACATGCCACAACTCAAATCGTAGCCAAAACCTTCTCTTGTATTCGAGCCAATACTCGTTCCCTTCTAACCAGGCTTTAACCTACACAGTAGGGAAATACATTAGCGGCTCTGATCTCAAAATTCGACATTCAGATCGTCGGTGACTTTGGTCCTATTTCGGGTCTGGTAGCTACGTGGCTGGTACATCACGAGGTCAGCATATACGGCAGCTCGTCTCAGTAGGTGTGTAGGTATGTGGGAATCACGCATAAATACCTTATGAACGTTGGGTTCTGCAGTCTTGGTCGCAATTGGTATGAGGTGTGGGGCAGGTACAGCCACGCGCGCCTATCGCATGGAGGGCGCTTATGCAGGATGCTGGCGCCAAGCGCTCAAAATGCTGCAGGTCGGCCCCCAAAGCTGTGGCATGACGGGGCAGATAAGGCGTGCCGGCTGGGAAATTCGATGTATGCATCAAGCCAAGAGGCGCATTTGGATTCGCAAAAAGGAACGTTGATTGTTTCCAGGTGTTGATGACAGGAGTCTTCAGACTCTTAGCGTGACATGACTTCGCGCCTTCCCCATCAACTGCCCCACCATCTCCTTCGACTCTCGAGAACCACCGTCCTCGTCCATTCCCACATTTCACCAGCTGGTGCACTCTTGACTTCTCAGGATACATCTGGACTTATGCAACGCAAAAAATAGAAACTGTATGCAGATCCAGCCACACTGCGGGCCGAAACGACTCCACTTAGGCTCGTCCCGGCGCTTGTCGTCGCACCAAAGCGAAATGATTCGCTGAGAACGCTGCGTCAACTGGCGAGCACTATCGGAAGCGCGCTCTCATGGCAAGAAAGCCTGGCGGTAAGCGGAGGATTCGCTGCTGCTGTGCCTCATTGACGCCATGCAAAAGTCGCGGGTTCGCTCGTTGCGAATGAGGCACTTGTCACACCTGCACAGTGCAACATTCCCTGAGAGCGTGCGTCAGTAACCATGGCCACGAACACCAGTTCACGCGAGCACCCACTCCAACACCAAGCTCTTCTATCACCGGTTACTGGAAGCATGGACCAGTTGCCAACAGAAGGTTCAACCGCAAAGTCAAAACAATGGCAAACCACCGTCACGCACGTGCCGAGCTGGCCTGAGGAAGGCAGAGCTCTTAGAAATCACACATGGCTCAATTTCTTCTACGGCATCGGCGATATTATTCTTGTTCTACTGCCTGTTTACTTTATTCGTATGTATCCGAGGAATAAGTATGGAAGCCAGCTGATCATCTCCAGTGCTTGCCGTCGCCGCCGCGACCTTGAACGGTAAACCAACCAAAGACAACGATTTCGGCCGCAAGGTGGAATTTGCTATGGATTTGGTGAGTAGCAGGTTGAAGTGTAGTAATTACCTGCTTACAAAAACAGGGTCCAACAATGTTCCCCATCATTTTCGCGGCAATCAGTGGAAGAAGTATGAAGATGATAGCTCGATACCTTGCTGAGAAAGGAACAAAACTAAGCGTATGTCAGGTTCTGAGGGCCCTCATCTGATGTATAGACTAACGAGAGGATAGAATCTAGAGATGCTGATGGCGAGTCAATCTGTGTGGGGCACAGTCGAAAGCCAACTGCTGATGCAAAGAATTACCATTGTTGGAGCAAACTTGCTCTTCCTGTGGGCCTTGTCGCCATTAGGTGGTCAAGCATCTCTTCGTTTGATGCAGAGAGGCAACCATGCGGATATCACATCGACCAAGCTACGCTACATGACAACCGGTCCGGCCGCCGGTGCTTACAGTATCACTACCTCAGGACTCTACGATAGAAGGTCTGCTCAAGCTGGTAGTCTGTATAACGCCGCTCTCATGGCCCCACTGTCAACCAAGATCGGCCCACAGGACTTATGGGGCAACATGAAAATACCGAGTCTGACATCTCTGAACTTATCCACATCAGATCAAGATGGATGGATCGACGTATCTTCGAAAGAGTTCGTACCAGAAGACTATGCATCGCTTGTCGGAGTCCCCATTGCTGGGATACCGAGCAATGCAAGCACTAATTTTACAGTAGAGTACAACTACCTCACAGTGAGCTGCAACCCATTCATACAACGGCCGTATCCTGGACTGCATGGTACCAATGACCCAACTTCCACGAACTATAGCAAGCTAAATGAGATGGTACCTGGACGTATCTGGCGTGATAAAACCATAAAAAGCGAGCAACCGTTCGACCCCTATCTAGGCAGGGCTTCTTTCATCCTTGATACACCTCGGGATCTGGCTCGTTTGGCCTATTACAACGACCAAAAAGACGCCGAACTCTACCAGGCTCGATTGGACAGTTATGTGGGGTTCTACAACCAGTCGAGTATAAGTGTGGCCGAGCGCGAGACTCCCCGTCAGCTGACATTCGCATCCGTCTATGGTATCGATATACGAGGGGAAGCCCAAGGTCTTAGCATTACCAATTGTTCGTTATTTCAGCGGCACGTCGAAGCCTCGGCGGTGTGTACCGGAAGCAGTTGCGCTGTCAACAAGTTAAGGAAATCGTTGACAGACACTCGGCCGGATGCCCTCACCATGCTGGAGAGCATCACCCTCATGTTAGCAATGGCTCAAGAATTTCCCACGGCAATCAAGTTCGACGAAGGCTCAAGTCCTACGGAATTTTTCATGATGAATACGTCCGCATATCCCTACGCGCTGAGCACAAAGAAAATGTGGCCAAACGACATCTACGCAAACGTATCGGATCTCTCACCCGAGCTCTTTTCTCAAAGATTCAGCTTGGTTTTGAACACATACTATCAAGTCATGTTACAACCCTCGGGATATTTTGGTAGTCTGACTGGCAACTTGTCCGCGTACGGTCCAGATACGCTACCAGTCACGGACGTCAACACATACTTACCCGCAAATTTCTCGGCTACCGAACATACTTTTGAAAGTTGGATCACCAAATTCCAAACAGCCGTCAGCGGTCTGGATTATCCATTTCTTGGTGCAACTACTACTGCTGCTGCGACAACAAGTATGCAAATCTTTGTATGCAACTTCGCTTGGATGGTTTTACTCCTTGTATCGTCTAGCTCCATCCTGATCACTGGGATGGTTGCTGTCGTGCTTAAGAGGAGAACTCTTGGGCCCGAGATGTTTGGATTCGTCTCAAGTATGACTTATGAAAACCCGTGGCTCGGTATTCCTAAGGGCGGTACCATGTTAGACGGAATGGAAAGAGCAAGGCTACTAAAGGATGTAGAGGTCTGCATCGGAGACGTACGTGGAGATGACGACGTTGGCCACATTGCTCTCGCAGCAGGTGTTCCTTTGCGGAGCTTGGAGCGTGGACGCCTTTACTGCTAATTGTGGCTCACGCCCGAGACTCCGAGAGTTGCATGAATGGATCATACTGTTCCGGTCCTACTAATATCCGCTTGTTGTGGCGCAGCACTGGATACTGCGGCTGCGCACAATGCAATCACATACTCGAGCATCAACTAGACGCTCAGGGGCCACATGGACCTTTCTGCTGTTAGCTCGCTAAAATGATTCTTGCAACCAAGAATCTCTTTTGGGTTGCTTGGTAGGACCAGAGCTCGAAACAAGGCGACAGTCTGACGGGGACCAGCAAGGAACATGCGTATCCCGCAGTTCACAGACCTGATGTATGACAGAAGTCACGATCGGCATCGAGCGGTTCGCAACAGCCAGTCCTGTTTGCTCTTCAGGACTCGATGTGACAGACCCTTAGGCCTTGCTCCAGAAGTCAAGCTTTGTTGCCGCTGTGGATGCAAGCATGGATCCCGCAAAAGACGGTCTACCAGAAGAGGGAGCGGCTGTCCAATCGGCCACCTGGAGCAGGGGTTGTGGCGGTGGATTTGCGACACTCCAAAACACAGGGGTCCGGAAGATCTCTCGGCCCGCTAAGCGACCCAGCTCCGCAACCAATCATCAACCTTACGGATCTTAGAAACGAAACTTCTCCTGTAGCCGGCCAACGAGCCATGGCAAACCTCCAGCCCTCGGCCTTTAAGGCCTTCCCTTTTAGGCGACGACGCATGATGTACCTGCGCCAACCCGGCGAGGCTACGGGTCTTTCTTTGGCTCACAGGCTTGGTCATACCCAGACCGCATGTTTCACAGAGTAGACGCTGGCCGTTGTGGGGCTGTCCACGTCTTTCAAGGCTATTGTCTTACGTCGGACTGTCATCGTCTAGACGAATCGTTTGATTAGGGGATCGCCATAGTACGCTCTGTCAACGTGGTGGCGGCAGAGAGCAATGCGGCCTGACATGTTATATAAACGTTTACCAGAGCCTCCCTCTTGGCCTCATCACACAACACGCTCTCTCGGCAGCTTCTACCCTCTCCTCATCTTCCTTCTTCTCTTTCATACTAGCTGGACTAGTCGTTTTTCATTCTACACCACAGTCTTTATCACATCACCTTGAAGGTATTCTACACACAATTATCATCATGTCTCTCCGATCAATCATCTTGGCGACTGCCGCCCTTTGCGCATACACAAATGCTCACATCACCATGGAGTCGCCTGTACCTTTCAGTGCGGACAAAATCACCAGCGATCCTATCAGCGCCGAGAACTTCCCCTGCAAGTCCAAGCTCGGTTTCACGGTCACCAAGATGAACGCCATGGCCGTTGGCGAGCAGCAGACCATCTCTTTCAAGGGCACAGCGGTACACGGCGGTGGCTCCTGCCAACTTTCCGTTACTACCGATACTGAGCCAACAGAGAACTCCAAGTTCAAGGTCATCAAATCCATCGAGGGTGGCTGCCCTGGTGTTGATGGCACAACCAACTCATACCAATTCGAAATTCCCGACAGCGTTCCCAATGGCAAGGCCACCTTCGCATGGACTTGGTTCTCCAAGATGTCTGGTGCTCCTGAGCTGTACATGAACTGTGCTCCAATTGAGGTCACTGGCGGTGCTAGCGACACTACCGCATTCGATGCTCTTCCCGATATGTTCAAGGCCAACATTGGTGAGGGTTGCACGAGCCCCCAGAACTTCGCTACTGAGTTCCCCGACGCCGGTTCTAATGTCCAAATGGGCGGTACAAATGACCTGAAGACTCCTACAGGCAGCTGCGGCGCCTCTGGTACACCTGCTAACCCCTCGGCCCCTGCTGGCTCTGGTGCTCCCGCTTCCTCTGCCGCTTCTGCTGCTCCTTCATCTGCCGGCAACGATGGCCAGTACACTCCTCCTGCTGGCGCCGCTCCCACCTCTGCCGCTGTTGTTCCCACTTCTGCCGCCGCCGCACCAACTTCAGCCGCTGTTGCGCCCACCTCAGCTGCCGCTGCTCCCACCTCAGCTGCTGGCAGTGCCCCTGGCTACTCCGCCGCACCCCCGGCCGCTACACCCTCAGCTGCTCCTTCAGGCACCGCCGGCGGCATCTTCGCCCCCGGCGCCTCCAGCGCGCCCGTCGCCGCGTCAACCCAGACCACGCTCGTCACCGTGACCGGCACCCCGTCGACCCCCTCCAAGACCCCCGTCGCCAGCGCCCCCAGCGCCTCCAAGCCTGCTGCCAGCGCCCCCTCGGCCACCAAGCCCGTCGCCAGCGCCCCCGCTGCCGGCACCGGCACAGCCCCTGCGCCCACCACCGCGCCCTCGGCCGGCGGCAGCGGTACCTGCACCACCGACGGCGCCGTCGTGTGCAACGGCCCCAGCCAATTCGGTCTCTGCAACGGCGGCAAGGTCGTGTGGCAGGCGGTCGCCGCAGGCACGACCTGCACCAACGGCACGATCGCGAAGCGCGGCTACAACGGGCGCATTGTGCGCCGCAACCGCAGCTTCATCGGCCACGTGCACAAGCACTAAGCACCTTTTTGTGCTCGGTCACTCGGAGACGGACAACGCAGAAGACAGCGCAGAAGACAGCGCACCAAACACGGCGTTTTATGATAATGACACACATGTGGATGTGGATGGAAACTTTTTCTCGTCACTCGCTTTTACTTTTTTCACAGGGGATGACAGGGTCTGCGACCTGGATTGTTGATGTTGAGTAGATAGATTGCTCGCTGAGAGAACGGGTATTGCATTTGCAGGTGTTGGTCAGGGAGGGAAGGGGATGGGGATAGGACCCAGGGGCTGGGTTATGTTGATATGAACACGAGTCTATACGATATACATACGCATACTTCACACCATGCTTCCCTCCTTTTCGTGATGTGGTGGTTTTTAGCCAGTCTTGGGTTGGGCGGGTGGTGGGTGTTCGCCGCGCCTAACGACTCGACCACCGTCTTCCAGATCCAGACTCGCACCTTCACCACTTCAGCACATCCATCCCCACCACCCTCTCTCACCTCTCACCTCTCACCTCTCACCATCCACTCCACAGCCCCTCCTCCCCCATTCCTCGATACTGCCCCCCTCACAACCCACCCCGCCTCAGGCCCTCGCGCTGAAACAGTACCTGTCTCCGGCCCTCCCCACCACTCCACTCCACCACCCCTTCTCGCCAGACCCTTCGCCACGGTATACCCAGCACTCCCCTGCACGCCGCACGGCACGCGGCCGATCACACACCCGTCGGCCCAGGGTATTAGTGTACAATAGGTATTGCACAGCCTTTCCGCGTGGGTCTAAAGGTCTAAAGATAGGCCATGCATGCAACGCAACAGCTCAACAGCTCAATAGCGTAATCGCGCAATGGCGAAGATGAGGACGGGAAAGGGACGGCGTGGATGCGTGTTTATGCGTTATCCCATCGCGTCTGCTAGTCTGTTAGTCTACGCGCCTACTGGCCTGCTCGCCTACTAGCTTTTGGGTTTTCGGTTTCTTGGTGCGGCTTGAGATAGGAGAGGGCTATAGAAGCGCATCTAAGACGCGTGGTAGGAGGGATACTTACTGTCGCTGGTGGCGAGGTGGAGTAGAGGCGCGTCTTTCGGGTCCAAAGGCAGCGGCGGTTTTAGGCGGAGGGATGGTGGTGAGAGACGGAAAGTTAAACGGGTGGCGAGATGGTCTGGGTAGGGTGGTGTTGCGATTCGTTGGCCTGGGTTGGGGGCGGGTATGTATGGATAGTGTGGCCGCGACAGACTTTTTTTCAGGGCTCGTTGCGAAGAGCGGCATCGAAGGGCTGGGAAGTGTGAACGGGAGGTGAGTGGTCTGGATGGGATTGGTAGGTATTGAATTATCTGTCTGGGTCTAGGTGGGTATCCTATTGCAAGGTGGGTATCTGGATTCTGCAGCCGTGCAGCTCTCTCCGCTATCGTCCAGCGCAAGACCTCGCGCCACTGGGACGCATCCGCATCCGCGTCTGCATCTGCCTGCATCTCTGTCCATTCCACGCACGCCTCCAGCGCACATCACACCCCCCGCTCAACCCACGCGCCCCCTCCCCCCCGGACTCCGCGGCGACTCCAACTCCACGGGCTCGGGCACCGGCGCCGGCAACTCAACCGGCTTCTCATTCATCTGCCCGCCCAGCTCGTGCATCGCCGGCGGCGACTCGGGCGGCACCTCCGCCTCCGCCATGTGACCGTACTTCGTGCTGGGCGCCGGGTCGAGTGCGTATTCGTCGGCGGCGAGCTCGGACGGCGGCGCGTAAGGGTTGCGGTTGCGGCGGCGGCGCAGCAGGAAGAAGATGCCCGCGGCGAGGGCGGCGGCGGCGGGGATGCCGACGCCGAGACCGACGCCCAGGGCGGTGGTGTTGGGTTTGCTGGCGGCGGGTTCGAGGGGGGCGGGGGTGGTGGTTGTTGTGGCGGCGGTGGCGGGGGATGATGTCGAGGGGGATGCGCTGGCGGAGGCTGGGGCGCTGGAGGGTGCGGACGAGGCGCCTGATGACGCGCTGGTGGTGCTCGTGGAGGACGAGGCGGTGGAGGTGCGGGTCTGGGTGAAGGATTCGCCGATGATGGTCAGGGTGTAGACGTCGGCGGGGGACTGGGCGAAGGTGAAGACCTCGGACGCGGAGCCGGCGCTGCAGTCGCAGCCATCGTAGCAGCAGTACGAGTCGGTGGTGGTGGAGTTGCAGCTGTACACGGGCACGCCGTTGTTGTCGATGTCTGCCAGGGTCAGCGGTTATACGCGAGAAGCAGAGTCCATCGTACCTAGACACTGGCGCGGACAGTTCCCCGACTTCCAATTTTCATCCGTACATGTGCCCCGGTGCAGACGCGCTTTGACAGGGTCGTGAGGGTCGGACACACACAATCCGTTCGACAAGCACGCCTGGTTGTCGTAGCAGCACGCAGAAACGAGGGCATTTGGGTTGCAGGCCGTGTCCGAGTCGACAGCGTTGCCGTTGGGGAAGTAGCATTGGGCGGCGGCGACAGCGGTGGAGCAGGCCAGAGCCGTCACAAGTCGAACGAGCGCGCGCATGGTGAGCGGGTCAAACTGGCGTGGAGAGAGGATCGAGCATGGTCCTCGGGCGCAGACGAGCTATTAGGGCCTGAGCGGCCGGGGTCGTCAGGGCCATGCCGTTTGTGACAATGTCGCGAGTAATCTCCAGCCGTGCGCCTTCACGATGAGGCGCCCGATCGGGCGTACAGAGGCCTGTCGGACACCGTTCCCGCGCAGGACAGCGACGGCACCGGGCAGGACAGCAACTCTACCGCACATACCCACGCTCATGTCCGCGTCCTCTCAGGCTCTAAATCTGAACTCGCAATTGCAAGGGTGGTAACTTGGGTGGATCAGAGGCTGATCTGATATTGAGGCTAGCGCGGCGCGTGGTGGAGCTCCCGCAGCGCGTCATTCTCCATCTCGCTTCGCCGGCCAGCGATGCGACCACCACCACCATGACGGAGCCGCGACGGTCGACGAGGGCGCGCGCGCGCGAGGACGCCGCCCCGCCCGCGCCCGAGACGCCCGCCGACAAGCCTGCGAAGAAGTCGACGCTGAAGCGCAAGCGGCCCAGCACCGCCGCCCGCGATGCTACGCCAGGCACCCCCGTGGACGGCCAGCGCCCGCGCCAGACGCTGCCGCTCAAGGTGGTCGACGGGCTGCCGCTGCCCACGCTGCCCGCGCCGCAGCCGCTGCACCTCCCGGCTGCCGAGTGGCAGAACATCCAGCAGAGCGGCGTGCTCAGCGCCTCGCTGCAGCGGTCGCGCGCCGTGTGGGTGTCGGGCGTCAACTTCCGCACCTTCCACCGCAAGTACACGCTGCCCAAGAAGGTCGCCGAGCGCACCGATGCCGACAAGGCCGGCAAGGCCCGCCAGCGCGAGATCGAGAAGAACTTCCCGCAGATCGGCACTCTCGACGCCCAGCTGGTCATCGAGCCGCACACGTTCCCCATCAAGCTGTACGCCCCCAAGGAGGGCAGCCGCCCCGCCCCGAAGAAGATGCCGCCGCCGCAGCAGTACGGCGCCTGGCCCAGCCACAGCCAGCACGCCCCGCACCCGCAGTACCAGCCCTACAACCAGCCGTATCCGCCCAAGCAGCCGCCGCAGTCGCGCCCGCCGCCGCCCAAGTCCGCCCCACCGCCCGCCCCCGGGCCCGCGTCGACGCCCGCCCCCGACCCGGTCATCCACATGCTCGCCGCGCGCGCCGGCACCGACCCCGAGCTCAAGGCCGTCATGAAGATCGTGGCCGCCGGCGCCGCGAGCAAGGCCCAGCTCGAGTTCTTCCAGACCCACATCAACGAGCTGACCGAGATCCTGGAGAAGAACAAAAAGGCAAAGGCCCCGATGCCGCTGCCTGCTGCTCCGTCCAAGCAGCCGTCGATGCCTGTGTCTGTGCAGTCTGCGTCTCCAGCGCCGAAACAGTCCTCGACCCCCGCGCCGCCGAAACAGTCCTCGACTCCAGCACCACCGAAGCAGTCCTCGACTCCAGCGCCGAAACCCTCGACTCCAGCTGCTCCCAAGCAGGAATCGGCGTCTCCAGCGCCAGCGAAACAGCCTGCAGTCGCGGCCTCGCCGGCTCCTGCTCCACTGAGGCAAGCGCCGACACCTACACCTCCACGACCCGCGCCGCCTGTTCAGCAGCAGCCTCCAGCACCCGCGCCGAAGCCCTTCAGTCCGGCGCCGCCTCAGACACAGCAGCGACCGCCTCCTCCTCAACCACGGCCACACCCTCCGAACGCATATCCCGTCAAGAACTACCAGCCGCCGTACTACCAGCAGCCTCCCCCGCACTACGCCCAACAGCCACCCCCGCGGATAACCTATCGCCCACTCACGTTCGAGTTTGTCGAAGGAAACGGCGACCGCTTCTACTTCCCCTCATACAGCTTCATGGAGTGGCTACCGAACGGCTCCGGCGCCAAGTTCAGCTTCCTGGTCACCAAGCTCAAGCCGAAGCCCGACGTTGCAGACAAGGCGCCATCAACACCAGCGCCGCCACCAACGCCCACTCCAGCTGCACCCGCCACCGACGCACCCTTCCCGCCCGCACCACCCGGCTCGACCGCCGCGCCCGCGCCACCGCCTGCACCGGCGTACGTAGCTCCGCCGCGCATCGAAGACTTCGACGAGCGCAACGACATGAAAGACGTCGACTTCTACCAGCCCGTCACCGTCCTCGTCCTCACCGACGAGCACGAAGTCAAGAGCGCCCTGCCGCGCGCCATCCGCCCGCCGAGCGTCGTCGAGAAGTACATGGAAGAAGTCTTCGACACGTGCCGGCGCGCAGAGGACACCTACCTCGCCTTCCGGCTGCCCAAGGGCGGTACGGAAGTCGATGCAGCCACCAAAAGCGGCCATGCGACGCCGAGCGCGGGAACACCGACCGCAGATGTGGTAATGGGTGGGGTGGGCGCTGGGGCGGAGAAGAGGAAGAGTGTTGCTGGGCGGCCGAGGAAGAGTCTGCCGGCGTAGTGGGTGTAAATGACTTGTATGAGTATGAATGAAGAATGAGATACCCAAGTACATCACGTATATCTATTATAGTATACCACACTGTTTTCTATTGGTAGCAAGCAATTTTCTGGAATCAGCCTCGAAAGACAGGTTGGTCCATGGTCCATGGTCCATGGTCCGAGCCGTGAGCGTGGTGACGCGTTGTCGTGACGTTCGTCGACACCACACGCTCTCCCCACCAACCCTCAACCTCACCTCGCCTCACCTACCCTACCTCACCTCACCTCACCTCACCCATCTCGCCCGTCCTTTCCCAACACTTCGAGACCCAGAGCCTCTCACCGCCAACCCACACGCCCTAACAACCACCATCCACCCCCCAGCATGCGCACCCTCAACACCCACCCACGTCATCCCCCGTAGACCCTTTACCCGCACACCAGCATCCCCCGTCCCGCATCCGGACCGTTTAAAACCGCACCGGCTCTGACTTTCTAGTGCACACGTGTCGAGCACCAAGGCGCGCAATAGTTGTATGAGCGTCGCGGGCGATAGGGGGGTAATCTTAGGTGGCAGCGGGATCCATGCGTGTCTTCGCGCTGGACCGGCGCTCGACCAGCGGCGGACTCGCGCGGGCCACGCTGCGCGGGAACGGCGTGGGTGGGTGTTGGACAACCGGTTTGTTGTTGTTTCTTAAGACGGTGTGGTTTTCGGGGGTTCTGGGCGCGCAGAGAGTCGTTATATTGTGACCCTTCATTCGCATCTCTTTGGCTGTAGTTGCTGCACTTGCACCTGCACCTCGACCACGGCCCGCTACACACGTGCTTAAGCATAACTTCTAGTCCCCAAATCACTGCTATCATGGCCCTCCTCTTCCAAGCCACCGACTACACGCCCCCCTCGTCCCCGACCCATCCACCCTCCCCATCCAAGTTCTCCGACTCCATGACAACGCCCCGGCTCACCCGCACACCCACATCCCCCACGAAACCCGTTTCCGTCTCCCCAGCAAAACCCCCCTCCGACCCCCAATCCAACATAACAAAGGCCCTGCGCACACTGCACCGCACAACCAGCGCCTTCGCCCTGCGCCCCCAGGCCTCTGCTGCCTCGCTGCGTGTACCAGGGAGTCCGACGGGGCCGCGCGAGGTCGTAGGGCGGTGGCCGTTTTCAAGATCTACGACGGCGACGTCGATGGCTGCGGGTAGTGAGGTGGGGGCGCGTTTTGAGGGGGTGCTGGCTCGGGCAGAGGGGGAGGGAGAGGGGGAGGGAGAGGGGGAGACAGTGGGGGAGACAGTGGTGGATGGGCGGCGGAGGGGTGAGGCGCGGGAGAGGGTTGTGCGGATGCGGGGGTGGTTGATGGAGCCTGAGGGGAACGCGAAGGGGGCCGTGAAGGGCGGGGAGCGGGAGCGGGTGAGGCTCAGGGTGGACAGCGGGACGTACGAGGCCGTTGAATCGTCCACCTCCACTAATCTCCCCGACACGCCTGGTCTCTCTGCGACCACGCCTCCCCCAACGCCTCCCACTCCCACAGCCACAACCACACAAACACAGAAACACCACGGAAATGCACATCTACCCCCCCTCCACGAAGACACCCTCTTCCTCTCCCTCCACGGCCCTTACTCACACACCCGCACCCACACCCCGCGACTATGCACCTGCTGCAACACCCCCGGCGCGGCCTGGACCCTGCACGGCTGCGGCCACGGCGTGCACGCGCGGTGTGTAGAGCAACTCGGCAGTCATAGCAGAGTAAAGAGGGATGGGGGGTGTGGAAGGTGCGAGGGGCTGGGGCGGTGGGTGGGTAGGTGGGGGGCTGAGGGGGTACGGGCGCGGGTGGAGCGGTTGGGGGGGCTGGAGGGGGGTGTGTGCTCTGTCTCTGTGGGATGATAGATGGGAGTGGTGATGTGCTGGTGGAGGACCCGGCGGCGTGTTTTGCTGCTGTGTGGGGAGGGACTTGTCTTGACGGTGGAGTGTTACTCGACGAGGGGCTCACAACTCCAAAAACGCAGAGCTAGTCGATACTGCTCAGCTGGACGGTGTGAGATTGTGCCGGCGTGTGCATGCTCTGCCTATGTCTTTGGTCATCTTGGATTACACGTCTGGATTCGAGTGCATGGGTATATTGAGATCAAGACTCTGATGTTCATGGATTGGAAATACTCACTATGCGCATGGAAACGAATGAAATCATCATGGAAAGCGAGGAGAATTGTAACTCTGTCTGGTGGTCATCCCGCGTACGATGATATCCGCACGGCAGGCCTCGCAGCTTGTGAATTGTGCATGGCCAACAGATGTTATCCGGTCGGGACTCTGTCAGACTATACCTGCATATGTAAAGTCTGCCGATTAGTTCGTGTCCTCGGTCGTCTGGATTGGGATCCTGTCCCCAACGTCATGAAGCCTATCGAAACCAAGACTACATCGTAATGGACCCACTGATTGTGCACACGGAAACATGAGATTATGGTGGATACTAGGCAATGGTTGTAATTATGTCTGTTGATCGGCCCGTGTCCAGTATCAGTGTCCTCGCATCTCCACGCTCTCCATATCAATTTAGCTGAGCATGCTAGTACACGTGTACACTATCACGCCCTCACACCTCAATCGGCGTAAGTATAGGTCTTGACTGAGTTGATCAACCAGTGCACCTCATCAAAGGCAGACGGCGTCTGCGCGACATATTCGTTGCACGAAGTGAACTGGGTCCTGGAGCGGCACGAGGTGTAACTTCCCCACGCATCGCCACCCGCGTAGTCGCCACAAAACGTGATATTGAAGACCTAGAAGGTCAGCGTCGAAACAGTATACTTCATAACAACACTTACAATCTTCATCTTCGCCCACACGCCGCGAATATCACACTTCTTCGGCGCAAAGCTCATAATCGGCGTCCCCCACTTGCCGGGCTCGGGAGCGTTGGTTCTGATATCGCCTGGAATAGTGCGGCGGGGGAAGAACCAGACTTTGATACCCGTGGCTTCGATCTGCGCTGCCCAGACGCCGCCGCCTTTCTCAATGAAGGGCTCGCCGAAGGTGCCGGTGTGGGCAGCAGCGCCACAGCCTCCGGTGGCGTAGCTGCAGTTCGTGCTGAAGACGTTGCCGGTGCTCTTCTGAGTGTTCATGGTGCAATCGGCGGGGGTGGTGGATAGAGTGATCTCGTTGTGCGGAATGTAGGAAATGGACTCGACGAGGGTCATTTTGGAGAAGAGGCCACCATCGTGCTCGTTACCGTGGACGAGCGAGCTACCAGTAGTCAGCAGGCGAAAGACGAAAGGCCACTGGACAGAACACTCACAAAGCAGGCCACATGCCACAAGCCTTCGCCGGGACGTGCCTGAAATCTGCGATGACAAGACCATGGTCGATCGTGTCGTGGCTCTCGAGACGCACGCTCTTGCGGCCACCTTGAGGCGTCACGTCAATGACAGTACTGTTGTCGACACCAAGGTAGACCCGATTGTCCACGGTTTTCGCCAGACCCGTGGAAATGGCTTCATCCTTAGAGACGTAGCTGGCAAATCCATCGGTGTAGATGTCGTGCGAGTTGATGAAGTCGAAGGAGTCGAGGAGGTTGGACGCGTCGAAATTCAAGTCGAGCTTGTAAGCTTTTTTAATACTGGAGGAGATGAGGGTATAGAAGAGGGAAAGAAGGAGCGCCATTGCGTGGGTAGGACTGAGGACCGGAAAGGTGTGAGGGCGGGCTGTGCGCGATGAAGCGAGTCTTGTGGCCTGGGGGTGAGCGTGGTCCTTTGGCGGCAGGCGCGAGGAGACGCGAATTACAGCCAATATGTCGAAATCGAAAAGCGATGCAGATGAGCAGACGTTGGATAGGAGTATGATACGCTGCAAGAACATTTCATGGTACTGTAAAGTTACAGTCCCGTCCGGCGGGTGGAGTAGCATTATTATACTTCGTGAATCGTTACAAGACTGCAGCAACGCGAAGTTCGTTGCCGCGTTCGGCTGCTCCAGGTCGTCTAATGCAGCCATTCAAGCTTATCAACAATCTTACAGCAACCAGTGTTACCCGGTGCGATCAAAATCCAGCGGTGGGTCTGTCTCCGTTACGCTCTTTTCTTCTGTGCCCAGCTTCGACGTCGGCTGAGCACTCTCTTCCTTGTCCCTAGACCCGAAGCTCGTGATCTTGTCAGCAACCGCGAGGCTGCCTTCGATGCCCTCGATCAGTCCATCCATTGCTGCGAACGTATCGCCCTGGTATCGCTCTCTCGCTTGACTGAGTGTGTTGTCTCCAGGCTGTCCCTTGCCCTTACCCTTCCTCTTTCCGGGTATATCCACGCCCTCAATCCGCAGCATGAGACCCTGGTCTGGCGAGCTCTCGTCGAATGAGGGTGCTATCCGTGTGGAGGCATTCACAATCTGCCAGGACGAGGACAGGGATTGTGCATCGACTACCGTACGGCCATCTGCCCCTACATCGACTATGAGGTAGTGCTCTTTCACACCTGGTACTGGAGGCGGCAGGGGAGACTCAACCGGAGAGTCATGCCCTTCCTCTTCCTCACCCACCTGGTCTTGATCTTCGTGCCCGTCTGGCGTGCCGTGTGGCAAGTATCTTGTATCATCCAGGCCCATACCACGCATAGTTGCAGCAGTCACCATCACCGGGTCATCATCTGCAAACACATAATGCACGTATGGATGGTAGTGCTCGCCCGAATTCGAGTCCTCTACAAGAGCAAAGAACGGTCTGAAGTTTGGCGGGGGTAGGAGCGTCTGTTCGGAGCCGGGCTCCGGGTACGGTATCTCATCTTCGACTGGTGCCTCTTCAGCCTGGGGCTGCTCGTCAAGCAGATCGTTGGAGGGAGCGTCTTCGAACTGCGGGAGAGCCGGCGATCTCGGTAGGTTTGCTGAGCGTAGCGGCGGAGGCGATTTGGATAGACTTGGCTTGTTGAACATGGTCGGCGTTCGATGGACCGTTGGCTGGAGCTAGAGCTCCAGTTGATCGTCGGGATCCTAATCGATAACGAGCGGGTCCGTGCGCAATTTTCCATGTGAATGTGGTCGGGCTGTCAGAAGTAGGGACGTAAACTCAGGTTATGTTTTCATTTCGCTACCTGCAAACAGTCCCAGGGTATCTTCCAAACGCCAGTAGTGTCCATGCTCAATGCAAGCTCTCGCCCACAGCCCGCCACCGTGTATAGAGTCCTTCTTCGCCTCTCAAGGCGCGCCCAGCACGGCGCATACCGTGTCTCGGTCGCATTCATATTCTGCGATCTCTTTTAAAGAGTTGATCAGATGGGGCTGCTGTCGGGTGCCTGCGTAGGTTCGTTGGCGCCAGCGGTTGCATCTTGGCTCTTCGACTTGAAAGCTGTGTGGATGTCAGTGACTGCTGCACAAGGATCCATATTTGAGAGTCGTTTACGTTGACGGCACATGGGGCACTTCTCCTGCGAGCTCTCTTGCTTGAGCCATGAGAAAATGCAGTGCTACTCGGCATTAGTCACTACCTCAGCTGACTGAGTGGCACGCCTACCATGTGAAATGAGTGATTGCACTCGCCCAGAACTAATATGTTTTAGTGAGGTCTATGTGGTACTGTAGTAAACATACGCAGCGGGCACTCGTCGCCTGGAAACTTGCACTTCGAGCAAGTGCTGTCGTAGGGATTGCGGCAGATACCGCAAACATCGTCGTCGGGCATATCCCAGCGCCATGCAGCGACTGCATTCCACTCCTTGATCGTCACCTTCATAGTTGCTTGTCGTTGCTTGCTGTGACCTGTAGTCGCATAAGACGATGGGAGGCAAACAAACAGCGTAACGAAGGGGGCAGAATCAGGCGGTCAAGCGGGCGGCGATTACAAAGTGGCGTGAACCCTGGCCTAGCTCGAGCGTGACAGCTCCCGAGGTCCCCACAAAGCATGGAAACACAATGCCGTTATCGGGTGACGACATTCGGGCTAAACGCCGATGGAGATAGCATGTAGCACACAGCAAAGCAACAATGTTCCCACCTAATCGAGTTGACAAACATCATTGAGATCAGGGAGTTGAAGGAAACAGGTGAGTGCGTGACCCAGCTGGCCGGGGGAGCTGCGATGGGCGTTGCTGCAGCTTGCTCTAGCCTGGAACCCAATTCGTGCCCTCAATCGCGCAATAGAGAAAGAACCGGAGCTCCTCCCTCGACTCCACCAGCTCCTCCCTCTTTGACACTTGGGAAACTGATAGCTCTCAACAGTCTACAGCTTCTCATACCGATATGCTGTCCCGACTCACCAGCTTCCGCAGTTCTCTGCGGCCCATGTCCGCCCTTTCTTGCTCTCGCTCGTTCACAACAAGCAGAGCTGCTATGGCCCAATACGGCCTCGAGACGTACCTAGTCAGTCCGGCTGAGCTCGATACAGCACTCAAGAGAAACGTCAGCAGCAAGCTCTCGACCGCGCCCAAGATCGTTCCACTCTGCGCATCGTGGTTCCTTCCCAACGATGGCCGGGATGGTAAGGAGACATTCCTGGCTGAACGCATTCCTCGCGCGCAGTTCTTCGACCTCGACGCCGTCAAGGACCCCCACTCGCCGTACCCTCACATGCTGCCGTCAGCAGAAGATTTCGCTGCTGCTTTGAGCAAGCTTGGTATCCGGAGGCATGACAGCGTAGTGGTCTACGACAGCAAGGAGCTCGGTATCTTCTCCGCTCCTCGAGTGGGCTGGACTCTTCGGGCGTTTGGGCATCCCAACGTCCATGTCCTGAACAACTTCCGCAAGTGGGTCGAGGAGGGATATCCCACAGAGAGTGGCGAGCCAGCCACTGTGAACGAGGTCGACTATCCCGTGCCAGAACTTGATAAGGCCAAGGTCATAGCTTTCGAGGAGGTTCGTGAGATCGCAAAGGAGCAAGGTCTCGAAGGCGCAGAGGAGGTACAGATCCTGGACGCTCGCAGTCTGGGACGATGGAAGGGCATTGATCCCGAGCCGCGCGAAGGTACGTCCTGCAGTCAAGCTCGGCAAATTCCTCGTGCTCACCGTCACAGGTCTCTCTTCAGGACACATCCCTCACTCCATTTCGGTTCCCGTCTCCGACCTCCTTGACGCCGACAGCAAGGCACTCCTGCCAGCCGCCAAATTGCAGGAGGTCTTCAAGTCCAAGAACATCGACCCCTCGAAGCCCATCATCGCCAGCTGCGGCACCGGCGTTACAGCGGCAGTCATCGACGCGGCCCTGACCGAGGCTGGCTTCCCAAGCGGTCAACGACGACTGTATGACGGCAGTTGGACTGAGTGGGCGCAGAGGGTAAAGCCGGGTGAGAGCTTGATTCGCAAGTCTGAGTAGGGCGGGATTGAAACCGGTAGCTGCGCCTTTACTTTGTCTAGCAGATTGATACCCAGTTCGTTCGCGTGTAAGCAACGATACCTTCTTGTACGCTTGTCAGAATAAGCAATTCCAGACATTAACATTTGAACTCTTGTTTGGCAGACGTGCAAGGAATCCACATGACACGGTATGTCGTGATAGCTCGAAGGTTTACTGACGCTCTTCGTTGAGTCGTAACACGCTCGCTACAGATTCAGGTTGGATAGATGCGAAGGCCTATTCCTCCGACGAAAACGTATTGCCACCCGGTCAATCACGGTCGCTTTCAGGGGTTGAATGTTGACTGCAAGAGACGTCCATTTGTGTCGAACCGCATTCAGCCTTTCTCACTTCGACCTTGGCAACCAGGCATGCGACGAATGTGAGCGAGAAACATGCACCGAGGCGATTGGACTGTTGTGTGAGACATGTCTCGAAAGGGCCAATCATCTCCACCACACGTGGCAGTAGACAAAACCAATGTGTCACCGTAACGGGTTAGCTACTCGTGAACACGAAGAAGTCGTCTAAGCTTTTGCCGTGGCTGTGTGGCTTGCAGTAGACAGGCATCGGACTGGGCGGTCTTGGACGGAACCTCAACCTCATCAGAGTGTTCACGGAACGGACGTCACAGACAAGTGCAAAGAGGAGGACGTTGCTGTAACATTGCGTATGAGCATCTCATTCAATCGTCTATAGTCTATTAAATTCATATCATATCAAGGATGGCGTTCCTATCATCCCGACATCAACCCTCTGGTACGTCCACCTAGAAGACGTAGCGGAAGTTGGGGTTCTCGCGATCCGTAAGATCATCAAAGCCATGGGCAGTGTTGATCTCGCTTCCAAACTCCCTATCCTTCTTCGCGTTGCGGTGCGTCAGGTTCCACCTGAGGAACAGGATGACGGCGGCCAGCACGCTGTAGCAGCCGAGGTGGATGGACAGCGCCTTGACGTAGCGGGGAGCGTCGCCGTCGAAGAAGACCTGCGGGCCCGTGGCGTTGCCTGCGCACCAAGCGAGGAAGTTCATTGTGATGCAGACGGACTTCTTGGTCGAGCCGCCCACGTTGCGCGTCAGCAGCGACATGCCCAGACCCTGCGCGGCCCAGAAGGTGAAGATGATCCAGTAGGAGATCAGCAGACCGGCGCGGGTGGCCTCGCCAGTGTTCTTGACGGTCATGATGACGATGGTGCCAGCAAAGGACCTGAAGGCGTTAGTTTGTGTCTTGCGCAGGTTATCGAGTGAGACTTACGGGATCAGGAACACAAGCATGGTGTACAAGTTCTGGTTCCACTTCTTCGTCGCCCAAGCAGAGGTCATGAGCGTGAAGATGATGACGGCACCAAGAACCATGGAGAGGAGTTGAGTCTGGAGAGTAGAGAAGTTAAGGCCCTTGATAATGATGTTGTAGAAAGCACCGAGTCCAGATGTCGGTAATGTGGTGCAAATCTGAATCAACATGTAGCAGTAGGTCTGGGGGTCCAGAAGAGCCTCCTTGAGTTGGTAAGCACGGAATGTCTTGTTCTGGAGACCAGTCTGGTTGGAGCGGACACGCTCCACCATGAGCTTTTTGTCCTCCTCAGAGAAGCACTTGGCACGCATGGGAGAGTCGGGAAGCCAGTAAAGGACAAAGATACCCCAGAGAAAGGAGAAGGAGCCATATGTGATGAAGATAGCCTGCCATGATCGGATCGATGCAGTTCCACCAGTTCCGCGCGATGGGTGGTTGATCTGCGAGAAGGCGTAGGCGAGCAGGCCACCGACCATCTGCTGAGCACCGTTCATCATGTACCAGTATGTAACGACTTGGGCCTGTTCGGAACGCTTGTACCAGATAGAGCTCATGATGAGGAAGGCCGGCTGGCAAACAGCCTCGAAGATACCGAGCAGTGTTCGGATCGCAACGAGGGCGGGGAATGAGAAGCACACAGCGTGAAGGGCCAGAATAGCAGACCAGGCCATAATGTTGAGGCCGAGGAACTTAGCGACCGGAACACGCTGAATTGTCCAGTTGATAGGATATTCGACGACCAGAATAGCCAAGTAGATACAGGTGGTCAACATAGCGAACTGTGGTCTCATGAGCGTGCAGGTCGAAGAGGCTGGAATCTACCGAGACTTACGTTCGTATTTTTTTGCAGTGCAGGAACGTCCTGACGGATACCCATGATCGAGGCAAAGGACATTGTGCCCTTGTCCAAGGCCTGCAGAAAGTATGTGAAAACCATGATGGGAAGGACACGTCTGTCGATCATCTTCTTCAGACGCTTGTCCTCCTCCTCTGAGAGTTCAACACCAGTGGCATCAGCATACTTGGCAACTTCGTTGTCGACACGTTCGTAGTTTGCAAAGTCGGCCTTTTCATCAACTGCCGAGACGGTACGCTCCAGCTGGGCATTGTCCTTCTTGTCGACTTGGGTGGCCATGGTGAATGTGGCTCCCGGGGTGTTGGCACTGCAGGAAACGAACTTGAGTGAAGTGAGAAAGAGGGGATCCCAGGACTCAGATGAACGGCAGGTTGTGGAGTCCCGACCTTGATATTTCTACCCCGTCCCATTTCCTCGTCCGTGGAGTCCCCACTGCCCCAGGTGCCCCGGCCGGTTTACCCCATGTGGGCAGGCTTCTCCGCAGAATCATCATCCTCACACCATGCCCACATTCATGAGAACAGACCAACCCAGTGTGGTTTACTTCGAACCGTATGATTAAGAATGTTCAAAGCCAACCTTGAATTGCTAGTCTGCAAAGTGGACAAGCGGTGGCGGCCTACAAGGCGAGCCTGCGGGCCTGGGCGATGCTTGCATTAGGAGCCGCCATCGGGCCTGTTCAACAGGGCGTCCGACTCACGTGTGCCGAGCACTTCCACGTCGCTGTGATTTCGACCAAACAGCGTGTGGGGTGCGGGGGCTTGTCGCTGCTAGATCGAGCAGTGTGGATGTGCCATTTTCTTGGCTCATTAGCAATGCCGGTAAAATGACGGTACAAAGCAGGCCGAAGGTCGCTTCTGATGGGTCACTTGCGCATGTGACGGTGTAACCTCGTGATATTGTCAGGCGAAAGCGCTCGATAGGGTTGCAGCGGCTGGCGGATTTATTTTACCGCGATGCCGAGAGGCCATCTGTGGCTTCTGCCAGGTCTTGGGACGGTCGACTTCCTTGTCGGTCGTCTCCGTTGAGTCCGCTCTTCATCCTCCATCCAATTGTAACCCGTCTGTGGCCTCGCTTGGCGTAAGAAGCGATCAGCAGGGGCATGCAGTCGGTGCAACAGCCGAAGTTAATCGGTGCATTGCAATGCGAGGGCGGATATACTTCCCTTTTGCATAGTCGGTGGTGGGGACGAAGTAGTCCTTGGTGTTGAGGTTCAACGAAGTTGCAAGGTGGGGGTAGCCGCGCTCCCCCCCGCAGACCTTGGGGCCCCACGTTCAAGAGCGTTTCCACGCGATGACAGGCACCCTCGTCGGCTACATCGGTATAGAGAGCAACGATATCGGTGCAGCATGGCACGAATCCGGTAATGAGCTTCGTTAGGTCCAAATCATGCATTGAAAGCTGCCCAAACTTTTTTCCACTGTCCAAATCCACCGTGTCACCTATTTCCTCGAATTCTGAGCATTGCCCATATTTTTCGAGCTCTCGTGTACTTTGAGACCGAAAGTCCACACCTACAGCGTCTCGCAACCTCCTGCAAAAATCGGTAGCGCTCAGCTCCTCGGTTCCTCAAAATGTCCTCCCTCACCATTCAAGAGCTCAAGAAAGAGCAAATCACGACCTCTATCGACCTTCTTACACAAAACCTGATCAACATCAAGGATACAACCGGCGAATTTCTGCTCAAGCTTCCCGATGGCCGTGTTATTGACACCAAGGGATGGGACGGCTGGGAGTGGACGCACGGCATCGGTCTGTACGGGCTGTGGCACTACTACACTCTGACAGGCAACCAAGCCACAAAAGACATCATGCTGGGCTGGTACACTACGCAGCTCGCCAAGGGCACAACCAAGAACATCAATACCATGTCTCCGTTCCTTGCGCTCGCATACCTGTACGAGGACACCGGCGACAAGACTTTCCTGCCGTGGCTGGACACGTGGGCCGAGTGGGTGATGCACGATCTGCCGCGCACAAAGTACGGCGGTTTCCAGCACGAGACGTACCTCGAGTACAACAAGGATGAGCTCTGGGACGATACGCTGATGATGAGCGCGTTGCCTCTCGCGAAGATCGGACTTACGCTTAACCGACCCGAGTACGTTGAGGAGGCAAAGAGGCAGTTCATTCTGCATTGCCAGTACCTGTTCGACCCAACAACAGGGCTCTTCTTCCACGGCTGGAAGTTCGAGGAGAAGGATGGGAAGGTCGGGCACAACTTTGCGCAAGCAAGGTGGGCGAGAGGAAACTCGTGGCTCACAATTGTCATTCCCGACTTTATTGAGCTGTTGGATTTGAAGGAGTCGGACCCCACAAGATTGTTCCTTGTCGGCATTCTCGAGGCACAGTGCAAGGCGCTCGTCAAGCTGCAGCAAGAGGACGGTATGTGGTGCACATTGTTGGATGTTCCTGCTTCGGAGGGCTCGTACGTCGAGGCATCCGCAACAGCTGGTTTCGCATATGGTATGCTCAAGGCTGTAAGGAAGAGGTACCTGAAGGGCGAGGAATACCATAACTCGGCGATCAAGGCGATCAAGGCGGTGCTCGCTAATGTCAACACTGATGGTGAGCTGCTCAACACCAGCTTCGGCACAGGCATGGGACACACACTGCAGCACTACAAGGACATTGCTGTTACAAGTATGCCTTACGGCCAGGCAATGGCTATCATGGCACTGGGAGAGTTCCTGAGGTCATTTGTCTAGTTAGAGGACTCGTTTTACGACATACATGATTTAACAATTGATGAATTCTTGAGATTGAAGATTGGTAAACCACCGCTGCAGCTCACTCATACACAATGTCTGGAACTTGTTGATATTCGCTTATAAAGACAAGACCTATAATTTGTTTAAGTTTAGATGCAACTTCTAAGCTTCGCAATTTAGGTATCAGGCACGGATGCTAACAGGGCTCGCTGACCTGGTATATTTGGTACTATTCCAGCCTGGCTATAATGAGTGAGAGCCGTGAACCTTTTTGGCTTGGATGGCCGAGCGGGCTGGACCTCAGGCCTGGCACTCGTTACCTTCTTCATTTACTTTCCTGCCTAGTGCCTCTAACCATAAGGTCGAGCGTTAACTATAAGACATATGAAGCACAGTTTATGTAGATACTGTTCTTAAACTTGGAGTATTCTATTGTTATTCTATACGGTAAAGACTGAAGCTAATGATACAATTTAATAAGGAAACTTGGCTATTACAGGATCGATGTTAAGACTAATGCGCGTGGCGCGTGACAACTACTGTTCAGAAAGAATGTCAATAGCTGCCTTCTCGCTGAGCATGAAGACCGCAACAACTGGAAATGCTCCAGGAGCTTTAGGGAATGCGCTTGCATCAACAACACGGAGGCTCTCTACGCCACGAACACGGAACTTAGAGTCAAGAACGGCGTTCTTGTCAGAATCCGGCCCAATAGAGCTGGTGCTTGTGGCATGATGGCCATAGTTGTTGTCCCGAATAAACTGTTCGTCGTTTTCAGGATCTGAGCAGCCACCCTCAGCGGTGATAGTGCCTGTGCATGTTGGCCAGACGTGTTCTACAGGACCAACGGGTGCTGGCACACGATTGTAGACCCTTCGAAAGAATGCGATAGACTCCTTGATAGCACTGATATCTTGATCAGCGCCCTCGTCAGAGAAGTGACGGAAGTTAATCTCAGGTTGAGCTGTTGGGTCGGCCGAGCGTAGCTTAACATATCCAGCGTGGTTGCTGCCATGCATATGGACAGTCATGAAGCCCCAAGTGTTAGGGGGGTCTGTGAAGTCTTGGTTTGGGGTTGCAGGCCAGAAGCCGCGAGTTCCAAAAGGCCCGGAGAAACTGCCAATATCACGTTCTCCAGTGTTCGTATGATTTGTCTTGAGAAAGATCATGCTTCCCATTGTGTTTCCCTCTGCGTATGGACCTTGGCCTTGCTGCCAAAGATCATAGCATGGATCGTTAGGAGCACCAAACAAGCATTGCGATCGAGGGAACCCAGGATCAGCATCCAGACTAATGTTTTGAGCAGCGTGAGCAATAGTGCCAATCTCGTTATGATCTTGCATATTGCGACCAACACCAGGAAGATCCACGACTACTGGAATGTTGAGCGCTTTTAGATCGGCGGCTGGGCCAATACCACTTAACAACAGGAGCTGAGGCGTGTTGAATGTCCCACCGCTAAGGATAACCTCTTTTTTAGCGTACACTTTTCTAGTCGTCGCCTTGTTGGAAGCGTTGTACCGGAGGTCACCTTGGTAGATACTCTTGCCTTCGAGATATTCAATACCGATGGCTCGTGGAACGGATCCGTTCACGGATTTGTCAAAAAGCACTTTGCTTGCGTAGGAGTTCAGCCTGAGGTCTAACGGGTATCGCTTTTTTCCGCGTTTATCAACGGCACGGAGAGTGTCGAGAACGCGATCTCTCACGCTATAGCGACCCCAAGTAGCATTGGCGTGGAAAGCTCCTCCAGAGAGACCAGTGACTTGGTCTCTATCCGGGCTCAGCTGATTAGGATCGGTGTTGAGAAGCTTTTCCAAATCATCCGGGTTCTGGCCGGCCTCGGCAGTCAAAGCCCTATACATTGCTGATGATTGTGGCGAATTGAGATGCACACTGCCATATCCTTGGTTAATCTGGAGGTATCCATCGAATCCATGTCCAGGTGTTCCGGCTGGGAGATATAAGTTTTTTTCTGTCTTCACAAATATCTCTCTCATGCGTGCAGCACTAGCGTTTGTGTCAGCTCTTCTCTTCTTACAAAAATGGACATTTATGGTAACTCACTTCCACGAGGAATCGCCAGTAAGTTCTTCGATCCCGTTCCAGTCCCTCTCGCTAGGCAAAATGGTGAAGGCAGCGTTCACCAGAGTCGAACCTCCTAACGAAGAGCCACGGGGGTATTGCACACCAAGCATCTCAGCACCAGCAGGCGCAGAACTACCAGGACCAACCCACAAGTCTCCATTGGGAAGCCTCCAGGTGAGTCGCTGGTACCTCTTGGTTTGTTCGTCGTCATCGTAATGGCGGACCCAGAATGACCAGCCAAGGTTTGGGGCGATGGGTACTTGCATCAAAGCAAGAGCTTGAGTCCTTTTATCGGCGCTCTCGTCATCGCCAGCCTCAAGTAGTAGAGTCTTGAAACCAGCTCGGGCGAGGTTGACAGCCAGTGGGCCACCGCCTGGACCACTACCTACAACGATGTAATCGTACACATCAGCTGTTGGGCTAGCCTCTACGGCCCCCAGAATACTGCTAACAACTATGAAAGTAGTGCTGAGACTTAGTCCCTTCCCTGTGTTGAAGAACCGCATGATTGTCGAGACGAATTAGAGTGAAGAGTAGAGATGATGGTCGAGTAATGAATATGATGAGTGTTACAATCTCTTCGAGGAATTGAGTCTATTTAAGTGTTTTCGGTATCTTCCAACTAATGGTCTCCTCAATCTCCAACAACGATGCGGACGATTACAAAGCTACCAACGCATTGCTTGTGAGCTAAAGGAGCTCGAGCCAAAAGGGGATCGGTATAGTCAATTGCTCAGGTGTTCAAACATTTTTCCTGCCATAACCAGGGTGTACGGACGAAGGTCGGATGGAAGTTTGCCTCCTAAACGACAAGTTGTGGCACATGTCCTCGGCCTATTTATCGGCACCGTTGCAGATCTGTAAGGTTCCAAACCGCCAACCTCCGGATTCAATATGCTGAGAACTTGCCAAGAGCTGTCTAGTTCTCAGCGTCTATGCTAAAGGCTACGAGGAGTCCACCGAATTATCTGCGGGTCAAGTGTCACTCTGACCAGATAGTTTTCCAAAGTGATTAATGCGAACTCCTGCGAGCGGAGTGCCAGTTCAGTCGAGTCGACTAACATCTCTGCCTCTGGCCAGAGGAATTGACAAAAGCAGGTGTCAGCTAGCTCCTACGGTGATCAACAATAGGTGGTCACCGAGTTTGTATAGCGTTCTCCTTGAAAATTTTATCAAACATTTACTGAAGCTACCTAAATTCAATATGATCGTTCGTCCAACATGGGTATGTGCCTGACATCTCTGGGCTTCTATTCCCTCCGTTTAAGTTGTTCAGATGCTTCTACAGGCAGACGCGCGTATGATGTCTACGAAAAGAGATGGTCCATTAACACACACACACATGCTGGACGGGAATGCACTACGCAGAGATCTTAGAGTGCGCACTGTCCTCTCTCCTCTTCCTTGTCATCTGACTTAGGAACGTATCGGTGGAGAAAAGTGGTGTTGCACATAGACAGACACATTGTAGTCTGCCGCGCGTTGCACGCTGTGTACGTACATGTGCTGCTGACATCGCATCCAATCACAGGTGGAAAGACAGGGTATTTTGTACGAATACACATGTTGCTGCGGATGCAATGTCGTTGTTGAGGCCACCGCCGTCCGTACGATTCCGGAGGCTATTTGCGTTTGACATGCTCCTACAGTCTTACTAATGTTTTTAGCATAACTCCTCAAGTTTCTCCATTTATGTGGATCTCCGGACCTATCCCGAGGGTGAAATACGTGCGGTAAGATTTGCTCTTGTATATTAACACTTAAAGCCGTGAAGTCGTTCTCAGACCAGGTCCTCATGAGTAGCAATACTCATGCTGAACACCGCATAGTAAAACGGGTCAAGTGTTTTCTTGGCGTACATGTTTTTTCTAGTGCAGGTAGCGTCCAGCAGGGTGAAATGCTTGATGGTTTACAAGGGATGCTAAACAATGTTTAATCAAAGGATGTGGAGGTAAGAAGTTATCAGTACGCCTTGGCGAACAAGATTTCCTCAAAAGGCCTAGCTTCGTCACCCCGCACGGTCCGGCACCGGCCCCGAATGGAGCCTCCGTGACGTTTGCAAGCTTACAAAGTTACAAGCATTACAAATTCCAACACAGGCCAGAGACTAGAACAAAGATTATCATCTAGAACAAACGCCGAAGAGCGACATTAGATTTCGGCACTTCCTCAGGGGTAAATATCCATATCAATGCTGTTCGGTCTACGCCAGCACGCGAGGAAAAGCAAAGATACGGTGAGACGGGATGCGGACTATGTAAGAATCCACACCTCGTTAGTTGTTGTAAGTTCGTGACCCATAGACATGAATCACTCTCTCAGCGGCTGCTCGTTTACATGAAATTTCACTAAGCTAGCTTATGCCCATCAGACACGCATTGAGGCCTTATCTAGGTACAGTCTCAATCCACTTGACAGTTTCATCTGGCTGGCTCAAGAACGGGAAATGGCCCACTTTCATCCTCCGCACCTCGATATCTCCTCCTGCATCCTGAACCCCTTTGATCATAGCCTCTTGCGCCAATGCTGGGAGCCCCCCATCATCTTCGCACAGCAAATAGCTTGTCGGGATTTGTCTCCAACTCGCGGCTGTAGTTTTGGTGGTGAACGTGGCAAACGAATGGGATTGTTGTTTAGAGTAGAAGAATTGTTGTTCGGAAGCAGAGAGATCATTGTAAATTGCGCCGGGATCTTTGGCGTAGACATATGGCCCCTGCGATAGAGTCATGACTTGTGGGAATCTAAAGGAAATGGGAGAGGGAGCTTTCATAGTACCTTCACGTCGAAAGCTGCTGGGACTGTACCACCAACCGCATCAATCAAACTTGTTCCCTCCGGAACAAGGAATGCTGCAATGTAACCGACCCGTGTGATACCGCCCTTCTTGCCTTCGGCTGCTCTTTCTTTTTTCCCAAGTCCAGTCAGCCCAGTGCCGGCCACAATGCCTCCCCAGCTGTGTGCAATGACGACAACATCGTTGCCGTCGCCAATGGCGTCTTCTACCAGAGATCGAGCTGCGGCAACATCCCGAGATAAGTCCTGGGGCGGATCGGTAGCACCAACTGCAGGCATCTGACGCACGTGAACGTTGTAGCCCAAGGATTCGAGTTTGGACTTCACGATATCAAAATAGAAAGCGGACATCCAGGCACCCGGGATGATAACAACGTGAGAGCTCGACATGGTGGGCAGGATAAGCAATAGAGTCAATCAGGTGAACATTCGGCAGAAGGGCTCCTTTTATAGACCCTGCGAGACTGCCGGAGATCCCGCTTGGAAGCGGGGACGACCATGTCCGATCCCTGTCTACTCGAGGTTAGTTCGAGACAAGTACGGCTTAAACATGTGGAAACACGTTTACATACCTAAGATGAGCTCTTTCTATCACTTTGACATCGCTGCTAAGTCATAGTTCTGAAGAAGCCAATGTACACCCACTGAATCGATTAAGGTATTATGTGAGGCAGTGGCAAGAAAGACGCCTGGAAAGACGGGGCATCGTATCTTAGCGCCAACGACGGATGCAACGATTTTGTGAAATAGATAAGAAGGTATGCCGCTCGACACGTCTCCCGACGCCGTGAGTTCGAAAATCACCTTTCGTCAGCTGCTGTGTTTTCCGTTAATTCAAGCAGTTGTTGTTTTAGTCAGAGGCATTGTAGCAAAACTCCCGAGTAAGTGAGGAATTTCGAATCTGTTTCAACGTGGTCAGCGCCAGCAAGAAGCACAAATTACATGGCCAAGATAAGCGTTCGACTCAAAACCCGCCTGGGAGATGTCCAAATGCAAGGAGATATAGATGCACTAGGAGAAGATGTTCCCAAGGGCCGACCTTTCGGAAGCAGTATTCCTCAGAAAAGAAGAGAGATGAAGAGATCGCCAAGAACGTCGATGTCAGACTCATTGCACAAACCAAGGGAAATTGGATAGTTCAAGATAGAATCCTCAAATTGACTAACCGTCTACATTTGCGGAGATACGGTATTAGATGGAGATTCCGTGGCAGTGCAGGGAGGCAGCTGGTTGACGAGGTATGTCTCGAAGATTTGATACAAGAGGGACCATGTAGGATTTATCTAGTACCACGGAACGTTGATCTTGCTCAAAGGTCCATTGATATTCGAGTCGGCAGGAAATTAAGGATCATAACCATAGTGAGACGCGATACTGGTTCTTGCATCAATCACCAGCTGACCGTTCGAATTTGTAGCTAGGAATTCATGTGCGCTGCTACGCCGGCATCGTTAAGCCTTACCTCTCATTCCAAGCGCAGCTTCTCCATATTCATCCAGCTATTCTTCCCAGTCTCCTCAAAATCTTATTTGTCTGTTTCTGTCAGATCTCTCGCGTACAGATCCCTGCCTTTCTCTTCATTCTTCTCCACTACTTCCGTCCCACCCACCCTGCCCCATGTCTCAATCTCTCATAAGCTTCCATAGCATCCAGTGGTGCTCTGCTCAGCCAATATAAGCCAGATCATAGAGAATGAACCTTTGTATGCTGTGACAACGCGCCACTCACTGCCAATCCAGCGTGCAACCTACATCGCAGAGAACATGAGGCGGTTGAGTACAAGGTCAATGGCGAAGATGGAAGTGCCACAGATATCGAGATAAGCTGCGTGGTCAAGATAGTGCTAAACAGGGGCAGCAGTAGAAGAGGACTGTAACGTTATAGCATTAACCTGAAAGCGTTTGCGGTGTTGTTTTTTTAGGCTTTCGTCGTTTGTGTTAGAGATGCTTTAGTAACCCTATGTTCATGCTTAAGCACTACATCATTAGCTAAGTAGCGAAGCTGTAAGTAGCTATCTGGTCTCCCGTCTGTCTCACAGATCGTCACGACAAACACACTACTAGCAGACGTAATGGCGCCAGGCCGTACGGGTCAACACGGCGCTATATCATGTTCGTGGCCGACCAAGCTGACCCTCGCGTATCCGTCTACGAGGTATGTCACCCACGGCTGCAAGTGTACGTGTGAAATGCAAAGAGTGACACCTCTAATAACGTAGAGGCAGTTCGTCACTCACGTCCAATCACTCCAACTAGATTAGCAGTCTCATAACCAATAAGCGTATAACAATAGACATACTGGATTGAGATGATATCACACAGTTTGTGACAGTTTGATCCTATACCAAGGAATATCAAATAGCTTCCGTGATACTCGTCGTAGGAACTCAGCAATTGCGCGTTGCCGAGGCAATGTTTGTGTAAAACAGCTCTATTGTTAGAGCTATTCTAGGCGTCTGTGTTGTCCTTTATGCATACATCCAGTGGGGTGGGACGAATTCTTGTACAGAGATGCTAGCGTAGAAAGATGGGAACGGGCAAGGCTGACCCACAGCTAGGCTACAAGGCAATTGAGGATGTTAAAGGTTGAGGCTATGCAAGGCTGACTCCGAGGAGGCTCCAGCGCGTCTGCGCAAACACGGCTGCAGCCTGCTTCCGAGCAATTGCAGCATCACGAAGAGCAGTCGCGATCGGGAGAAGCTGTTGTAGATGGCACGCGCTTTCGACAAGCTCAATGAGTAACCTTCAGACGTTGGTGCACGCGCCGTGCCCCTCAAAGAGTGGAGCTTTTGCTGTGGAGAGGCAGTTTGGCGCTGAGGCTGGGCGGTGAGACAGAGGGCGCAGCTAGCCTCAATTGGCTGTTTCGAAGAACTTCCACCGAATTCTGCCCTCGTTGCTAGAAGATTCTCAGCTCCACACCAAGGCCTATATGAGCACCAAACTCTGCCTTCTCGCCCTTGACTCTCCATTGAATTGCTCCCACCACACCTTTCACTTATAGACAGATTGTCTCAGCGCTTGCTCTTGCACATACACCACAGCAGAGCTTAATACCCTCAATACCCCGCCTAATCTGTACGTCTGCGTCTACACACCGGCATCGCCAGCCTTGCAGCGCTGCAACGCAACAATCGACTAACGAATCTTCTTAGTCTCCACACACAACCGCCACCATGTCTGGTGAAACCTTCGAGTTCCAGGCTGAGATCTCTCAGCTGCTCGGCCTTATCATCAACACCGTCTACTCGAACAAGGAGATCTTTCTGCGAGAACTGATCTCCAACGCCTCCGATGCCATCGACAAGATCAGATATGAGTCCCTGTCGGATCCTAGCAAGCTTGACAGCGGCAAGGACCTCCGCGTCGACATCATCCCCAACAAGGAGAACAAGACTCTTACCATCCAGGACAGCGGCATTGGTATGACCAAGGCTGATCTCATCAACAACCTCGGTACGATTGCCCGCTCTGGTACCAAGCAGTTCATGGAGGCTCTCACTGCTGGTGCCGATATCTCTATGATCGGTCAGTTTGGTGTTGGTTTCTACTCTGCGTACCTTGTCGCCGACCGCGTCACCGTCGTCTCCAAGAACAACGATGATGAGCAGTACATCTGGGAGTCCAGCGCTGGTGGTACTTTCAAGATCACCGAGGACACCGAGGGCGAGCAGATCGGTCGCGGAACCAAGATCATCCTTCACCTGAAGGATGAGCAGCTCGACTACCTTAACGAGTCCAAGGTCAAGGAGGTTGTCAAGAAGCACTCTGAGTTCATCTCCTACCCCATCTACCTCCACGTCCTCAAGGAGACCGAGACCGAGGTCGAGGACGAGGATGCCGCCGCCGAGACCACCACCGAGGGTGACGACAACAAGCCCAAGGTTGAGGAGGTCGACGATGAGGAGGAGGAGAAGAAGACCAAGAAGACCAAGAAGGTCAAGGAGTCTAAGATTGAGGAGGAGGAGCTCAACAAGACCAAGCCCATCTGGACACGCAACCCTGCCGACATCTCCCAGGAGGAGTACGGTTCCTTCTACAAGTCCCTCTCCAACGACTGGGAGGACCACCTCGCTGTCAAGCACTTCTCCGTTGAGGGTCAGCTCGAGTTCCGCGCTATCCTCTTCGTTCCCAAGCGCGCTCCCTTCGACCTGTTCGAGACCAAGAAGACCAAGAACAACATCAAGCTCTACGTCCGCCGTGTCTTCATCACTGACGATGCCACCGAGCTCATTCCCGAGTGGTTGTCTTTCGTCAAGGGTGTTGTCGACTCTGAGGACCTTCCCCTCAACCTGTCTCGTGAGACTCTCCAGCAGAACAAGATCATGAAGGTCATCCGCAAGAACATCGTCAAGAAGACTCTCGAGCTCTTCAACGAGATCGCTGAGGACCGTGAGAACTTCGACAAGTTCTACGCTGCCTTCGGCAAGAACATTAAGCTCGGTATCCACGAGGACTCCCAGAACCGCTCGCAGCTTGCTAAGCTTCTGCGATTCAACTCTACCAAGTCTGGCGAGGAGCTCACCTCCCTCACCGACTACGTCACTCGCATGCCCGAGCACCAGAAGCAGATGTACTACATCACCGGCGAGTCCCTCAAGGCCGTCCAGAAGTCTCCTTTCCTCGACACACTCAGGGAGAAGGGCTTCGAGGTTCTCTTCCTTGTTGACCCCATTGATGAGTACGCCATGACTCAGCTCAAGGAGTTCGACGGCAAGAAGCTCGTCGACATCACCAAGGACTTCGAGCTCGAGGAGACAGACGAGGAGAAGGCTGAGCGCGAGAAGGAGGAGAAGGAGTACGAGAGCCTCGCTAAGAGCCTCAAGAACGTTCTCGGCGACAAGGTCGAGAAGGTTGTTGTCTCCCACAAGCTCATCGGCTCTCCTTGCGCCATCCGTACCGGCCAGTTCGGTTGGTCCGCCAACATGGAGCGTATCATGAAGGCCCAGGCTCTCCGTGACACCTCAATGAGCTCCTACATGTCTTCCAAGAAGACCTTCGAGATCTCGCCCAAGTCTCCTATCATCAAGGAGCTCAAGCGCAAGGTCGAGGCTGATGGTGAGGAGGACCGTACTGTTAAGTCCATCACCCAGCTCCTCTTCGAGACCTCGCTGCTTGTTTCTGGCTTCACCATTGATGAGCCCGTCCAGTACGCTGAGCGCATCCACAAGCTCGTCTCTCTCGGCCTGAACGTCGACGAGGAGGTTGAGACCGAGGCAGAGACCAAAGCTGCCGAGGAGGCACCTGCTGTTGCCGGCGAGAGCGCTATGGAGGAGGTTGACTAAGCGTATCGCCATCTTTTTCCGTTTCGAAAAGTTTGGTCGGCGCTTTGATATCCCTTTCATGTGTTACGGCTCTTCTTTCTCTTTTCTTACCTCACTTGCATGACGATTAGCTTCATCGACGTCGGCGTCTTAGAGTGGTGGTTTTACGCTTCATGAGTAAATGGATATCCCGAATTGTACTAGGTAGATCTACCCTGGGTAGCTCTGAGCATACTCAGTAGCTGATTCATGAATGATGAAAACTTCAAAAACACTTTTGTTCCCTTGCGCTGTGCTGTGTACTTGCTCACTTTCGTCCTGCTAATCGCATGCGTGCTAGGTTTCTATTTCTATTCCCGAAGCCACATCCGACCCCGCCATGCCGCTATCACGCAACGTCATTCTCAACTTTTCCCGTCGGAAGGCTGTTCTGAACCGACAGTGGCTGCCCGAAAGATTATCACCCGGGCCATCTTTCTGTATGTTCTGCACTGCTCGATAAGCTTTTCCGTAGGGCCTACAACACGGTCATTCGTGCTCCGCAGTATTCATGCTATAAGAACCGTAACTTTTCGCCCAATTGTCAAGCATCAAGATAGTAAACACCGAGATGCCTTCAATCAGCGAAATTGTCCTTGCTCATAAACCAGACCTCACTGCATATGAGGAGCTTTGTGAGTAACGCTGTACGTTGCCAGTGGTTTTCGGCGTCAAACATCGTGGTCTCCTAATCACTCACTACTATTGTAACATTCTTACCTAATCGCCGCGCGATATCCTCCCAGGTCATACCTGAAAGAATGCCATGCCAGCAACCGGCAACCGCCCCGCTAACTGACCAATCTAGACAAATGGTTCCATGCGCACCCCGAGCTCTCTTTCTGCGAAAAGGAAACCGCTGCAGCTATTGTCAAGCACCTTGAGTCATTCGATGCGTTCGAGATTCACTCCCATATTGGTGGTCACGGGCTTGCGGCTGTGCTCAAGAATGGCGATGGCAAGACGCTCTTGCTCCGTGCTGATATCGATGCGTTGCCCGTGCAAGAGCAAACCGGTCTTGCATACGCGAGCACAAAGCGCATGAGCGACGTTGAGGGGGTGGAAAAGCCGGTCATGCACGCTTGCGGACAGTATGTATTTGGTTCTTCTGTTTTTGGGTGGAAGATATGCTCACAGTGGATGGCAGTGACATGCACATCACGGCGCTCCTAGCCGCCGCAGAAACTCTAGTAAAGGCCCGAGACGCCTGGAGTGGGACACTGATTCTCGTCTTCCAGCCTGCTGAGGAGAAAGGTAAGGGCGCGCAAGCCATGGTCGACGACGGCCTGTACGACAAAGTCCCTGTCCCAGATGTTGTCGTCGGCGCGCACGTTATGCCTGAGAAGGCCGGCGTGATTGGCACGAAGCACGGCTTGATAGCCAGCTCAGCAGATTCGTACCTGTAAGCACTCTACTCCATCGAGAAAGCAGAAGCAGACAAGCCTAACACCTTCCAGCCTCAGAATCAAAGGCCGCCAGACCCACGCCTCGACCCCCCACCGCGGCAACGACCCCATCGTTCAAGCTGCCTCCACCATCCTACGCCTGCAGACCATCGTTGCGCGGGAAGTCGACCCACTTGACTTCGCGGTTGTCACCGTGGCCGCAATCCATGCTGGCGATGCCGAGAACGTATGTATTCCCCGTCCTCTGAGTACCCATACTGACGCCCACAGATCATCCCCGAGCACGCCGACCTGAAGCTCGACATTCGCGCCGCGACACCATCGACACGCGCACGCGTACTAAAGAGCGTGAGAACTATCGTCGAGGCCGAAGCGCTCGCGTCCAGCAACCCTAACGTCCCGGAGCTGAAGGAGATACGCAACTTTCCTCTGCTCTTCAACGATGCGACGGTCACGTCTGCGCTCGAGTCGAGTTTCTCGTCGCACTTTGGGAAGAGCGAGTATGCGAGCTACACGTCTAATATTGCGCGGCTGCAGGGGAGTGAGGATTTTGGGATTCTGGCTACGGCGGTGGGGAAGCCGAGTTGTTTCTTCCTGTACGGCGGCACGGATCCGGAGTTGTACTCCAGACTGGAGAAGGAGGAGAAGCTGAGCGAGATGCCTGGTAATCACTCGCCATTCTTCGCACCCGTTGTGCAGCCGACGCTGAACGTCGGGTTTGAAGGATATGCTGTCTCCGCATTGACGTTCCTTGGGAAGGTGTGAAAGTGTGGGTGTGGCGGAGATATCAGGCAGTGCGTGGTGAGAGGGATTGATACATAACTATCGTTCAGTACGTTGCGGCTCGCTAAATAAATAGATATCGTGTCCTGCCCGCTCGATAGCGGTGCGACGCTGTATATATAAATACATCCCAGTAATACATGCCAGAACGCCAACGTGCCTACATACCGTGAAGTGTGATGGAATCTGATCACACTCATCTCATATAACATCCGAAACGTGACAGTGTTCACAGGGCAGCGATAGCCTCCAGCAGTACATCCAGAGTGCGATCACCAATGCCCTCGAGGCCCTCACGAAGGGTCCATGCCACGTCACTCTGCAGGCCCATAGGCACATAAACACCACCCTCCTCCTTCTTCACTTCCATTCGTTCGCCGAGCCTGGACGTATGCTCCCACTCGCGAGCGGCCTTCTCAGCGTTCTCGATAATTTTGTTCGGGATACCGCACATAGCTGCACAATGCATTCCGAAACTGCCTTCTGCAACGCCTTCCTCAAGCTTGTACAAGAAAGTGATTGACTTCGAGTCACCGTCGACATGAATACGCATACGTTTGTTGATCACTTCGGGGTGTGCTTCGAACTCCTTGGCAAGGGAGCGGTAGTGTGTAGCAAAGAAACCAACGCAGCCGACGCGTGTGCTGATGTCGTGCAGGACTGCCTGCGCCACTGCAACGCCATCATAGGAAGAAGTACCACGGCCAAGCTCGTCGAGGATGACAAGCGAGCGTGGTGTTGCCTCGGAGAGAATTTTCTGGGTCTCAGACAACTCGACGAAGAACGTGGACTGGGATGCAAAGATGTTGTCATTAGCTCCAAGGCGGGACATGATGCGGTCGACAGGTGTGAGCTTCGCGGACGTGCAAGGCAGGTAACAACCGACCTGAGCAAGTATGACTGCGATACATGTCATTCTCAGAATTGTCGACTTACCAGCCGCGTTGGCGCCAGTCAACAGACTGATGTTCGCCGAATCACCACCCAGTCTGATGTCATTGGGGATGAAGTCGTCGACCGTGTTGAGCATGCATGGGTGGCGCAGCTCCTCCAACTCGATGACTGAGCGCTTGTCTTCTGTGAAAACCGGTCGACAACTCGGTTCACCAAGCGAGGCAGACGCTTTAGCCAGACTGATGAGGCAGTCAAGTTGCGCAATTATCTTAACAGCAGCAAGCCAGATCACGTAGTCTTCATCAAACTTCGCACAGAAGCGAGTGGCGACCTCTTTCGTGATTTGACCGTGTGTCTCTGTAGCCTCCTGCAGAGCCCGAACCAGCTTTCGCAGCTCGGGGGAGTAGTACCGAGTAACTTTTACAGTTGCCGACATCTGATCCCAGGTATTGGGCACTCTCGTCTTCTTCGGTACTTCGAGTTGGTAGATCTCCTTGCCGTTGTCGCGGTAGCAAATAGAGTTGTTGCCTAGGTCCTTGCGAACCTTCTTGAGCAGTGTGTCGAGATCAGCAAGGCATTCGTCAACAGCCTGCTGACTCTCATCGTAGTCCTCTTCAACACCAGACGCTGGTACAAGTGTACCATCTGACCTTGCCACGCTGCGGTCGAATGCTGTTTTCCATGGTTCCAGAGCGCCAGCGAGGTCCGGCATTGATGCAATCAGTTGCCCAATAACACCTTCGCCGTCGCCGAATTGCTTGAGCAGGCTGATGGTGTACTCGATCTGCTCGAAGCCTTCGAGGACCTTGAGAAAGTCTTGGGCTTTGCAGCGACCAGCATGGACGCGCGAGATGAGTCGCTCGAGGTCAGGTAGCTTGCTAAGCGAGGAACTGAAATTATCCATGATTGTAGAGTCTGCGTTGAGAGCATCGACAGCATCAAGACGAGCATTGATCTTCTTTGCATCTGCCAGAGGATGACACACCCATTGCCTTAGTAGCCGCTTGCCGAATGGTGTGATACATCGGTTCAACATAGCAAACAATGTGCCCTCTGCCGACCCATCGAATGTATTGGCGAATATCTCGAGGTTGATCAAGCTTTGCCCATCAAGAACCAGGCTGGTGGCTTTCCGGATAGGGTCGTACCACTGGAAGTTGCCCAGTGTTACAAGGTCGCGCTCGATCTTCAAAGTACGGAGATATTGCAGAAGCGCACCAAACGCTGACATGACAAGCTCTTGCTGTCGTGCTTCACGAAGGACAGGCGGCCAAGCTGTGATATTGTCCTCCGTCGGCGATTGAAAGTAATTGTTGACCTCGATCTCACGCATGGTTATATCTGCAGGCCAGAACTCTTTCGTGGGCTTCAACCAGTTCCAGAGAGTTGTCGGCGCCGTGTTGTTCTTGAGAATCCGCAGAGCCTTTGCAGAGATGCAAGACTTTTCGACGAGCAACTCGCCAGGCCGCATCTGAGCAATAAGTGTTTCGAACTTGGTCAAGTCAACGTCGTCAGTGAACTCGCAAAACTGGAACTGGGCGGTTGCTGTGTCGACGAAGGCGATTCCAAACGCAGGACAACTATCGCGCTCAATCTCCTTCACAGCCATGCAGTAGGTCGACATGTCATTTTGAAGCATGCCTGTATCCACCAGGGTGCCAGAGGTGAGAACAGATGCCAACTCGCGCCTAATGATGTTGTCCCCTTTCTTGGCCGGTTTCTTCACGCCGTCGCGCTCGCGCATCTCCTTGGCCAGAGCTGATTCCATCTGATCGACCCGAGCAACCTTGAAGCCCTTCGCGACGAATTGGCTGGCCCACATGTCTAGTGAGGCTTCTGGTACACCGACCATTCTCATATTGACTCGATCAGTAAGCTTGAGATCAAAGAGCTGGTGGCCCACCGATGCGTCTTTCTCATAGAGCTCGTAAAATTTCCCCTTCTTGAAGAACACGATCGAGTCCCAGAACTTGCACTTGATCTCCCAGTATTGCCTCTCAAACGGCGAGAAATTACTCATGGCTTGAGGTGGGATGTACAGTGTGCGTGGGTCGTAGTCAGGGTGGTCGGGGGGGTTCCGGTCAGCATCCTGCATGTTCGCTAGCCACGAGTATCGTTTCTCGGGCTCGGAAGCAGATGGTCTCTCCTTCAGCTTGGGCTTTTTCTTTGTGTCTTGGGTTGCTGGGCGAGGCTTCGGCTGCAAAGGGTTCTCAGGGTCGTACACCCATTGCTGGGCTGTTGAGGTACCCGTCATGGTAGTATCGACTTCGTCCTCTTCTTCTTTATAGACTCGAACCGGTGGAGGAGAAGATGCTGGTGTGGCCTTCGTACTAGGCTTCGAGGACGACGGTCGCTTCCGTTTCTTCGAGACAACCTCCTCTTCAGAGTCATCAGGAGCGATAAAATCGTCAATGTCTGTCGCATGCGTCAGTATCATGTCCCATATTGACTCGGACGAGCCGTGATATAGTGGTTGGCCGTACCATCTTGAACCATAGCCTGCTGGGTCGCAGCGTCTAAACCAAATTCATCGTCTGATTCGTCTTCGATGCTCACTCTTTGCCGTTTGATCGCCCTTGCCCTCGAGTTGTTCGCAATGGGTCCGAGTACATCATCATCATCCTCGTCCGATTCGGCGTAGTTGACTGCTCTCCTGCCCTGTACGTCTAATTAGCTTCTGACGATTGCAATATGTGCGTCTCACGTACCTTGCGTGACGGACTGCTAAGAGCGACGCCTGCAAACTCTGAGGCAACACCGTCAGCTCCTGGGTCTGGAGTAGAAATGCGTGAAGGCAGACCATTCTCCTTGTTTCTTCCTGCGTTGGGGGTGTCTTCATCTTGCCCCCGGATTGGACTCGAAGGCTCGGGTGCATCGCTGCTGGGTACGGGCGTGAGAGACGGGGGTTGGCGAGGGAAGGATTTTTTCGATAGTGTAGGCGTGGGTGTCTGCTTTGCTGGTGTGGATTGAGATGGTGCAGGGCTGGGTGAATTGGTCGACTTCTTCTGGAAGAACCCGAGAATGGACTTTTGGTTCTTCGCCGATTGTGAGCCTGTTGCGGGCTGCTTCTTCTGTGAGGGACGCGGTGTCGACATTTCGTTTCCCTCAACTCCGCGGACCATGCTTGCAGCTTTAAAGAATGGCTTGACGTTGAGTGCGGTGAGGCGAATGTTTAGAGGTCGAGTACTCCAGTCGCGTCCAAAGTGGACGAGGCAGGGCGCGACGCGTTCGTGTATTAAATGTGGGTCATTGCACTTTGACATCAGCCACACCTTAAAGTGTCTTACATTACTACGTCTAATTATCAAGTCTTCAATAGCTATCTGATCTGCATTTCCCAGTCAATTATAACACACGAAATAATTGCCGTGCTTCTCATTCTTTCTTCGGTTTATAGACACTCACGCCGAGCAGCTTATCAACAGCCCAGCTGTGACCCCCTGCCCAAATCGGCCCTCCTCTCCACAACGGCAGGATTTCGTCTGATTCCCGTCTCCGCTCTGTAACCGCTGCCTCCCACTCTCCTTGCTGGAACCGCTCAACATCGTCTCTGCCAACAGTATGCGTGCGCGTATCAGCCGCCATACTCCAGAATCCTACAAGGTGCCCCTGATCAATCTTATGCTTAATGAATCCTGGATTGCGTTCCTGGTCAAGGAGTCGAAGGAGCTCGGAGCATGTGAACTCATTCTTGGCTGTCGGTAACGTGACATTGCTGAGCTGGCTTCGCTGAGACGAGAGAGGAATATCGTTTATGTCAATGCCCTTTAGGCTGAACGGCGTGTAAAGCAACTTCAGGCCAAGGCTTAAGACTACTGAGACTGGAAAGTCAAGTCCGAGTGCGCATGCACCTTTCAACGCGGATATGAAGGTAAGTCTCGGTGGGTTCGTGGGCGTCGAGAAGAACAGCAGATGCTTTTGGAACGATGTATAGCTTTGTCGAGACATGATGTATAGTTCTAAGCAGTAAATGTTTGGAGATCGGTGGTTCAATATGAAGGTCAAATCGACGACGAGTACTCAATGAACCTGACGTCATCTATACACATTTCATACGTTAGCGTTTCCGTTTCCGAGTAACAGCACCAGAAGATGTTGATCGCAGTACGTCTTCTAAAGGAGATGCATATGTTCGTCTGTGCAATTTCAGGTCATTATCGTCTGAACGTTGGTGACGCTTCAAACGCAAAGGTAGTGCAGTCTCGCGCCGCAACGCTCCAATCAAAGCGTGTCAAATACCAGCACTATGTACATCACATCACATGGTCATCACGGGCTATGGGTATTGCATTGGGACTGATATCCGCAATAGGTCCTGAAAAGCGCTAGTATAGCCGAGGTCGTTGTCGACCAAGGTCTCCTCTTTGGCTGCCGCGCTCCGCTCGTACACTTCTCTGACACGGCACTGGCACTGCAATGGCACTGCAATGGCACATCAGAACGAAACCCAGGTGATTGTGCTGATTCCACAGCTGTGCAGCATCGTCACATGCCAGAAGTGTGCAATAATACTCCTGAATTCCTCGTCAGCACAGGTCCTGCACATGCCTGTAGAAAAGGACCGCTATGCACGGGAGGATCCATCACTTATCGCAGGGGGTAGGCATTTACAAGGCACAGCCGAGCGCCGTTTCTTGGACCAACGTTCATCTTTATCGAGAACAGGCAAACGGGTATAAGCTTGGGCGGCTGCGACTCTCGTTGGTCAACAGCTGTTGGCGCATGACCCAAAATCTCTTGCACTTGCTCATTTTGGATACTGCACTCTATCCTTCGGCTGCACTGCTGAAAATGTACCTCGCGTCGGCCTGCTGCACATTATAATCTGGGGTTACAGGTAACATGACTAACTTTGGTCCCTTATGAGGTAAAAATCGATACAGCAATCTTGGATATTGCAGCTTCTTATTTTGCATGCTGAAGGTACAAGTAGTTGCGTCCTGCCTGCTGCCAACTAACTACCGGCCCATACCGGCTGGATTGAGCCCTCAATAGTTTGTCCGGTTTCTAAGCATGCGATCTGTTACTCTTCTCTCTTTCTCGTCGCTCGCAGCAGCAGCTGTTCTTGACACGCGTGACCCTGTACCACCTGGATATGTTGCTCCTCCTTACTACCCAGGTAAATACAACCAAAGTCAGACCCACATTTGACAAGTTCCTTTCCTGATACATTCAGCACCTCATGGAGGTTGGGTGTCAGAATGGAGTGAAAGCTACCGCAAGGCTGCGCTGCTCGTCTCCAACATGACCCTCGCTGAGAAGACCAACATCACCTCAGGCACTGGTATCTTCATGGGGCGATGTGTTGGTAATACTGGCAGTGCATTGAGAGTTGGAATACCTCAGCTTTGTCTTCAAGATGGACCGCTTGGTCTTCGGTAAGTTTGTTGCTCAGCCATGAAGTGTGACGTTTGGCTGAATCTCGTGCACAGGAACACCGACCATAATACCGCCTTTCCGGCAGGGGTAAGAGCTTTCGCTGATTCCGAGAGAGTTCAAGTTCTGATGACGAGTCATTGTAGATCACTGTAGGCGCGACGTGGGACAAGGATTTGATGCGCCGCCGTGGCATCGCTATTGGAGAAGAGTTCCGAGGGAAAGGAGTCAACATTCACTTGGGCCCAAGTGTTGGCGCCCTGGGACGTAAGCCTCGCGGCGGAAGAAGTACGTGAGTATTCTGATAGCATGCAACAACAATTAACGTGTTACGTCAGATTGGGAAGGGTTTGGCTCGGATCCCGTTCTCCAAGCGTTCGGCGGAGCCTTGACCATCGAAGGAGTGCAAAGTGTTGGAGTCATCGCAACTATCAAACACTTGGTCGCTAACGAGCAGGAAATGTACAGAATGTACAGCCTTGTCAAGCCAGGTATTTCCTCAAATCTGGACGACAGGACAATGCACGAATTATATCTCTGGCCGTTTGCCGAAGGTGTTCGTAGCGGAGTTGGCTCTGTCATGATCGCCTACAATGCTGTAAGTCGATACAGGAAAGACTGCAGGCTCGACTAACATCTTAGGTCAACGGCTCGGCTTCTGCACAAAACAGCTACTTGATGAATGGCCTGCTCAAGGACGAGCTTGGTTTTCAAGGCTTCGTTATGTCAGACTGGCTAGCCCAGATCTCTGGTGTAGCAACAGCGTTGGCTGGACTCGATATGTCAATGCCGGGTGACCGGAACGAAATACCACTTCTCGGAAACTCTTACTGGATGTACGACTACAGCCGAGCAATACTGAACGGTTCCGTCCCGGTCGACCGACTCAATGATGCCGTTACTCGCATACTTGCCGCATACTTCCAGATGGGCCAGGATCAGAATTATCCTCGACCCAATTTCGACGCAAACACCCAGAATGCCGAGGGTCCTTTGTACCCCGGTGCACTACTCTCTCCGACTGGAGTAGTGAATGAATTTGTCAATGTACAAGGTAACCACGCAGAAGTCGCAAGGGAAGTCGCTAGAGATGCCATAACGTTGCTGAAGAATCAAAATAACACCCTACCGCTCTCTCGCACAGCGAGTCTGAAGATCTTTGGCACAGATGCCGAGAAGAATCCAGATGGTATCAACTCCTGTGCTGATCAGGGATGTAACAAGGGCACCCTTGGTATGGTAAGTACCACTCAGCTTCCTTCGCAGTGATAGGTTTTTAACACCAGCGATCTAGGGCTGGGGAAGCGGCTCTGCACGATACCCATACATGGACTCGCCCATCGATGGTTTCAAGTCACGAGGATCAACCTACCAATTCTTCAACAGTGATTCGTTTCCTTCCAACTCAAATCCAAGCCCAAACGATACCGCTGTCGTTTTTGTCACGGCCGATTCTGGAGAGAATTACATCACCGTAGAGGGCAATCCTGGAGACCGGACATCATCTAACCTGAATCTTTGGTATAATGGGGACAGGCTGATTCAAGACGTGGCTGCAAAGTACTCGAACGTTGTCGTCGTGGTTCACACCGTCGGACCAATCGTTATGGACGCATGGCACGATCTGCCTTCAGTCAAAGCTATTCTTTTCGCTCATCTTCCAGGACAAGAAGCTGGCAAATCCTTGATGGATGTATTGTTTGGTGATGTCTCGCCATCGGGACATCTCCCATACACGCTTCCGAACACGGAGAGCGATTACCCTGCCTCAGTCAATCTAGTCGGATATCAGATCGGTCAGCCGCAGGATACTCATACAGAGGGGCTGTATATTGACTACAGGCATTTCAACAAAGAGAGTATTAAGCCTAAGTATGCTTTTGGCCATGGCCTGAGTTATACTTCATTCTCTTTCTCAGGCGCGTCCATAAGAGCTGTCACGCCGCTGTCCTCCGTGCCACCAACGCGCGCAGCCAAGGGTGCAACACCCTCATACTCGACTGCGATTCCACAAGCATCAGAAGCCTATTGGCCAGAAAATTTCGATCGCATATGGCGGTATCTCTATTCATGGCTCGAGAAGCAGGACGCAGACGCCGCCGCAACGGCCGCGAATTCTGCAACAAAGTACCCGTACCCAGTAGGCTACTCCAACGTGCAGAAACCAGGACCTGCAGCTGGAGGCGCACAGGTAAGAAGATTCATGCATATACCCGCGCGACAGACGCTGACCTTGTAACTAGGGAGGCAACCCTGCCCTGTTTGACGTCGCGTACGACGTGTCACTGACAGTCACCAACACCGGGACCAGAGCCGGCAAGGCAGTTGCTCAACTTTATGTTCAATTTCCTCAGGGTGTCACATTTGATACGCCAGTCATCCAGCTGCGCGACTTCGAGAAGACTGGCACACTGCAGCCTGGCGCGTCTCAAACCCTCAGTCTGCGGGTTACGAGAAAGGATCTGAGTGTGTGGGATGTAGTCTCTCAGAACTGGCGTATACCTTCAGTTACTGGAGATTATGGAATATGGGTCGGTAACAGCTCGGACAACTTGCACTTGAGGTGCAGCACGGCCGGTAGGACTTGTGCTGATGGGCAGACGAGCCCCGTTTGACATTCCGAGGGAGTACATGTTTCTATACGCACCGGAATAATTTAATTCTGTCTACATTTTTCTCGTTACCGTTGCTCCATTTGCAGTATTGGATTTCTTTGTGCTCACTAGTACTTCAGCATAGGTATCGACTTCGAGCCCTTTGACACAAGGTATATGACACTTGAAAGCAATGTACATAAGTCTCTAATTACATAATATTTAAACGTGCCTAGCTAGGCATAAGGCGACAGGAACGGTACAGGTTTTGCCTTCGTTGTTTGGCCTGAATGGCAAAGCCTAGCACCGCAGTCCAGGGGCGAGAGCGACTAACCGGTTCATATATCAAGAAAGCGTTAATCTCGTCGCTATAAAAAAAATCCCAAATGCAAGGCGAGCGACGCGTAATACTTGGCCAGATCTGTTTTTGTACATTCCGTACACTCCCTGGACACCACCACGGCGACAAGCGCATTCCATTCTCCAAACAAGTCCAGCGTGCGACAGCAAAAACGGCGCGCGTATAAAGCATGCGTCTGCACGACTTGTTTTAGTTTTCTGCGTAGCTACACTCATCACTCGTTTCAGATGAGTGGTTTGCGCTTTTCGGGCGCGTTGAAGCGCATACTGACAAGCAGCTCCAAATACTAATGGCAGTATTCGTACTACCGACGGAACTAACACATGAAGATGCATCTACTAATCGCAGGCTACTACTGACTGAGCAAATGAACTGACACACAGTTGTTGGTTTCCTGCAGAGCACAGACAGAGCATTTGAGCACAGAGAACGCGTGTGAATACTGCTTTGAAGCAGCTTGCTGATGAAGCAAACAGGGACCCTTTATTCCACCCGTCCTTCCTCCAACGATCGATCTGGATATTGACCTCTACACATACGTCGGATGTTACGACAACGGCCAAACGACTGGTCTCCAGACTCTTCTCCCACTAGTGTCGAACGTGCTTCAAGGCCTTACGCAGGAGTCCTGCGCAGCGCTCTGCGTAGATTCTGCCATCATTGGTATCGACGCGAACAGCGGTTGCTACTGCGGCGACACCACGACGTTCGACCCGGTTGAGGTTGACCAGAGTCAATGTTCCTCCACGTGTGTTGGTAACCAGCAATGCGGTGGTGTAAACCGCCTGACTCTGTTTGTCAACTTGGCCGCTCAGCCCGTAAGTCGTCCTTTCTTATGAAATACGAGAGTGTGGCGCTTCGATGTGATGGAGATGACTGACTCTTCTCGTAGCCCACCGGCCCAGTGCTTCCACCAGTCAATCCGCCAGTCATTCCACCTCTGCCACCTGTCACTCCCCCTAATCCTCCCGTCATCCCCCCTAATCCTCCCGTCATCCCCCCTAATCCTCCCGTCACCCCTCCTGGTCCTCCCGTCACCCCTCCTGGTCCGCCTAGACCCCCCGTCATCCCTGGTCCACCTGGACCTCCTTTTATCCCTCCTGGTCAACCTGGATCCCCTGGGCCCCCAGTCATCCCTGGTCCACCCGGTCTTCCCGGCCCCCAACCGGGTCCTCCCAGTCCCCCCGGTCCTCCTCCCGGCCCTCCTGGACCTCCTCCTGGCCCACCTGGACCTCCTGGGCCACCTGGGCCTCCCGGGTTTCCTGGACTGGGTCGACCACGACCTGAGTATCCCGACCGCCCACAATCCTATCCTGGTGATGGCGTCGACTACCCATACGACGACGAAGGCCCCGGCCCGCGCCCACGCCCGCGCCCCGGCACGCCTGGTGGCAGGAAGCCATGGAAGCCCCGACCAGCTTCCCGCCCATGGGACAACGGTAACGACGGCTAGAGTGATGGTTACCCAGTCGCTGCCCGCAGGTGAAGCGGATTATGATGAAGTGTTGAATGATGTAATGGGATAAGATTGTACGGATAGTATTGTTAGGAGGATTTCAGCAGGCCATCGGATTGGTGGCCACGCTCACACTCGTTTGAAGGATTTTGGTGGGCTTCGTATAGCGTTCGTTTCGATTCTTGAGCCGGCCAACTAGTGGTTTGGTTTGAATGTTTGCAAGGCAATGATGTTTTGTTTTCCTTAAACCCCGGTGCATCGGTGTCGATGTCTCATGACTCTGTGCTGCCTGCTTGTGATCATTGGTACAACTTCTGCTAGGTTCTTTTCAGAACTTGCGTTGAAATCGTCTAGGAACTGTGGCCAGGTCTGTGGACTGCCTCTCACATTACAGAATAAACGGCAGACTACCTAACTGGGTAAGCATGTGAGCCAAGTATTCCACTATGCTACAGCAAAGTAGGGGAAATGCAAGAGAACTCTACAGGTTGCTTTTTTTGCCTATAGAAATTGCTTTTTTGCCTGCAGTATAGGTGACGCTTGACTAAACGTTAGCTTTAGGTACTACAATGGCTACAAGTTCTGTGTAAATGCTGGTCAGCTCGAAGGTCGCTTAGAGAGACTGCCTAGGCACCACTCTATATGCTGTACTACAGGTTTCTGCAGCATGGAAGAAGGACGGCGAAGACGTGAGATGTCCACCGCCTCTTGGTCTGGATCGAGGCATGACAGTTCCAAAGACGGTGTAAGACGAGCCAAGACGGCAGAATGCTAGCATGATTCGTGAGCAGTCGCGCAATCCATGGTGATAGAGAGGAGACGCAGGATTTGTTCGTGGTCGTTTATGCTGTCTTGTACCTGTCAGAATCAAGTATGTAGGTACGATGCCGACGACCTGGCACACGGTCCAGAAAGGCAAGGTTTCCATGGCGGTCGAACCCTATTGCGGAGTGGGAGATGAGCTGCACTAACGTCGGGGCTTGCGCCGTGCACGGATGAATTGCTCCGCAATCCAGGCATGCGAGCCCCCATACAGGCCGCATTTTGCGCTTCCTTCGCGCTGCACGACAACTCACGCTCTCGCTGCCTGACTTCTTCGCTGAATTCACGCAATCCCAGTCAACGATCTACTCATTGGATCTCCTGCACGACATATACCCCGCTGTCACGCCGCTTCTCCACACGCGCGTCTCCCAAAGTTCCTGCAGCCATGGTGTCGCCTAAGAGCATTGCCTACTATGTCTTCCACCCGAACGAGTTGCGCTCGATCATCCAGTGGTAAGGAGCTTTTCTGCGCTTCCAGCACATCAGATTTCCGGTGCCGTTCACGTAGATCCAGTACTGACACTTCCTCGTAGGAAAGTCTGGCACAACCCCGTCCACGAGCGCGATGAGACGAAAGACTCGGAGAACCTCAAACGATGCTTCCACTTCCTCGACCTGACGAGTCGCAGTTTTGCGGCCGTCATCAAGGAGCTGCACCCCGAGCTGCTAGTTCCCGTGACCCTGTTCTACCTCATCCTCCGTGGTCTCGACACCGTTGAGGACGACATGACGATCCCCCTCGAGAAGAAGGAGCCAATTCTGCGAAACTTCCAGGATATCCTGGAGCAGGATGGGTGGACATTCACTGAAAACGGGCCGAACGAGAAAGACAGGCAGCTGTTGGTCGAGTTCAATGTGGTCATTGAGGAGTTCAAGAACATCAAGCCGGCGTACAGGGAAATCATCAAGGATATCACCAAGCGCATGGGTAACGGTATGGCCGACTATGCCAACAACGCGGAGCACAATCTCGTCGGTGTGAACACAATAAAGGACTACGAGCTGTACTGCCACTACGTCGCAGGTCTTGTCGGTGAAGGCTTGACGCGCCTCTTTGTCGAGGCTGGTCTTGCCAACGCCGCGCTCCTGAAGAAGCCGGAGCTTATGGAGTCTATGGGTCAGTTCCTCCAGCAGGTCAACATCACGCGCGATATTAAGGAAGATCTGGACGACAAGCGACGATTCTGGCCCAAGGAGATTTGGTCCAAGCACGTCAACGAGTTCGAGGACCTCTTCAAGCCCGAGAACAAGCAAAAGGCCCTGGACTGCAGCTCGGAGATGATCTACACGGCTCTGACGCGCGCGGACGACTGCCTGTACTACCTTGCAGGTCTTAGGGAGCAGAGTGTGTTCAACTTCTGCGCTATCCCGCAGACCATGGCTATCGCAACGCTGAATGCCTGCTTCCAGAATTACGACGTTTTCCAGAAGGTCGTGAAGATCTCCAAGGGAGAAGCCTGTCAGTTGATGGTTGAGTCGTCGCAGAATCTCCAGCTTGTATGCGAAGTCTTCAAGCGGTATGGCCACAAGATTGCCAAGAAGAACAACCCTCACGATCCCAACTTCCTGAAGATTAGCATGACAATTGGACGGGTAAGATCCCTCTCTTTTTCATAGAAATCCCGCTAACCCCCTACAGATAGAACAGTTTATCGAGTCCATCTTCCCATCCCAGAAGCCGCCGATTGACCAGAAGTCGCCTGCGAGCGTCGAGGAGGCCGCGAAGGCCAAGAAGCAGGCGAACGAGGACAAATGGGACCTTATCTACATGACTGCTGCAGTCGTTATTACTGTGATGATCATCGCATCCTCCATGGTAAGTCGTACAGAACCGTTACTTAGACTTTTGCGCTGACACGTCTCAGATCTTCGTTGCCTGGCTAGCTGGAGCTCGTTTCGATATTGCGTACGTCGAGATCAAGCAACAACTCGGACAGCTGCTGGGTTGGGCAGAGCCCAAGGCAGTCGAAGCAGTCAAGGTTGTGACCGAGAAGAGCGAGCTATGAGCCACAGCGAAACCGTAATCTTCAAGCCCATATGTGTATTATAATGGCAGCGACATACTTTTTCGTAGACGCAGGAATGTAGTCCAACCTAATGCATTTTGAACGATCAAAACCTGCTCTGCAACCTGGCTTCAGACAATCGGCTTGCGTATGCCATTGACTTCGAGACGTCTCTTGTTCCTCACGTGTCTGAATGCGATCCGTGACAAAGCCTCTCTCACCACTAGCGGCTTGGCGATTTTGTCGCTCGCAACTGCCCGCGTTGTTGAAGCGAAAAATGAAGCAGACACGAACGCCGACCGCAACTACTTCACCACGCCCTCACCACTCTTGCCTTGTGCAGCAATCTAGGCAGAACATACCCGCGACAACCCGCACCTAAAGAATCGCCTGGCGCGACTTCGACGAACGCCTTCACCTTGATCCACTCTTCAACAACCGCACTCGCATACGACCTATCTGTCGCACAGCACAACCCACTACCGCTGCCTCCCAACTCTTCACCACAGTCAAAATGGCTGACGTCGCTACCGCACCGAACCCCTCCCAGCAGGTCCCTCTGGACACGATCCCCATCTCGCCTGTCGATGGCACCAACTCGTCTGAGGCTGAGGACAAGAGCGCCAACACAGAGGACAAGTCTGCCCGCACGGTCTTCCACGACCCCGAGAACTTCAACGTCAAGCACCCGCTCATGAACACATGGACCCTGTGGTTCACCAAGCCCCCAAGCGGCAAGGTGTGTGACTGGCGCTTAGTGAATATCGAGGGCTTGACTGACAATTGCAGGGCGACAACTGGGCTGAGCTGCTCAAGGAGGTCATCTCTTTCGACTCGGTCGAGGAGTTCTGGGGCATCTACGTATGTGCTACGGAAATCGCATTGTGCGCGGCATAGCTAATACCCCGCCTAGAACAACATCACACCCACATCTGACTTGGCGCTGAAGTCGGACTACCACCTCTTCAAGAGCGGCGTTCGCCCCGAGTGGGAAGACTCTCAGAACAAGCACGGCGGCAAGTGGGCGTTCCAGTTCAAGGACAAGAAGGCCATCAACATCGATGCGCTGTGGCTCCACGTCATGCTCGCTGCCATTGGCGAAAACCTTGAGGATGAGGAGGACAACGAGGTCATGGGCGTCGTTGTCAACGTTAGGCGAGGATTCTACCGTATTGGTCTGTGGACTCGCTCTGTTGGCCGTGCTATTCCTGGTGATGGAGGCAAGGGCAGGACACAAGAACAGGGCAAGGAGACACTCCAGAAGATCGGCAAGCGATTCAAGCAGTCCCTTCAGCTCAAGGAGAACGAGCCCGTCGAGTTCTCTGGTCACACGGACGCTGCCCACTCTGGCAGCACACGTGCGAAGGCCAAGTTCACTGTCTAAGTGCTCCGCGAGGCCTGTCACCGAAGAGATTCGGATTTTGGCGAAGCAGAGGCTCACCTCTGCGGTTTCTCTATTCAACACGAACACGTTGAAGGGTAGTCGACAATGCGACTGCGCTTGGGCGTAATTTACTACCCGGTGTACCCAAAAGCATCTTCACAAATCGATCATGATTACGGGATTGGGTTTCTAGCATGGCGTCTGCATGGGGCGGCGATCGGGTCATCTTGGGGTCTGTCATGTTTTATGGTCATGACGAGTTACGTGACTCAAGCGGTACGTGGGTTTGGGATCCAAGTTTGATAGATCTGAGCTCTTTTATCTAGCAAATATGAATGAGAGAACAGACAGACGTGCGGGACAGAATGCATTGCGTGGTGCAGTTCGTGCACGTAACGGGCGCTGGACTAAGATGATTTTCTCATTTGGAGGTACGCAGGTGACCCCTCACATACTTGCACTTCAGTACGAGTGTGAAGCCTTACTGACCAAGAAATAAATAAAGTAAAAGTAAGCTGGTCTATGCAGTAGCCCTCGAGAAGAGGGCGGTGAGGGGTGAAAGAGCCATCTACCCAATAACAAACGCAGCTTGGTTTTCTACCCCCCAGCCGTGCGTTCCGGCTTCCGCTGCCATGTGAAGAGTCGGACACGACGTAATTAGTGGCGGTGCAGGCGGCCGTGCCTATCCCAACTAAGCCAAACATCCTGCACATATCCCACCGACTTTCTCACCTCCCCGCCGCACCAGATTTTTGCTGCACGATGGTTGTAGAGACTGCATACTACGACGCCCTGGGCGTCACGCCCACCGCGACCGAACTCGAAATCAAGAAGGCCTACCGCAAACTTGCGATCAAGCTGCATCCCGGTAACCATGCGAATCCTGCATAGCAACGGCAGCGAGCATATCTGACGCGGCGCAGACAAGAACCCCGGCGATGAGACCGCCCACGCCAAGTTCCAGGAGGTACGTCGACCTCTTTTCCTGTGCTGCCGGCTGCACTTACAACATCTCGAGCATGGCGGGGCTGATATGACTGCAGATCGGCGAGGCGTACCAGGTGCTCAGTGACAACCAACTGCGCGCGAACTACGATAAATATGGCAAGGAGGGCGCTGTGCCGCAGAGCGGGTTTGGTATGCAACCATGGCAAGGCGTAGTGGGTGCAGTATGCTGACGCTGCGACAGAGGACCCGTCCGAGTTCTTCACCATGATCTTCGGCGGCGAGGCCTTCTTGGACTGGTATAAGACTCCTGAGCAGTTATAGGCATAGTGCAGGGACACTGACACACACAGGATCGGCGAGATCTCGCTCATGAAGGACCTCACCAAGACCATGGAGATCTCCATGCGCGAAATGGAGGAGCAGGAGGCCGCCGAGGCCGAGGCTGCGCGAGCTGAGGCCGCCGCCGGTGGCTCTGCGTCTACACCTGCAACCGGCACTGCGGCTGACGCAGCGACTGACGCAAAGACTGGCGCCACGCCTCCAGCCGGCGCCGCCGAGCCCAGTGCTGGCGCCAAAGCAAAGGAGGCAGAGGCTGCCGCAGAGCGCGCTGCAGCCCAGCACGGCGGCGATGCCCCTCCAGCGTATGCTGCACCACCGCCAGCGTACGCCGAACCCGCCACCGAGGCTTCCGCCGCGGTCCCGCCTGCCGCCGCCACAGGCTCTTCTTCTGGTACAAGCACGCCCAAGCCGCGGGGTATCCCGACTCGAATGGCTATCATGGACAAGACCGAGGAGGATGCACGCATGGAGGCAGCAAACATGACTGAGGCCGAGAAGGAGCTGCGGAACAAGGAGAAGGCCAAGAAGGGCGGTCTCACAAAAGAGCAGCGCGAAGAGCTTGCAGCGTACGAGCTGGAGCGCAAGAAGATCCGCGATGAGCGCGTGACCAATCTTGCGAAGAAGCTTGTTGAGCGCATCTCATTATGGACAGAGACAGACAAGAGGGACGACGTCACCAAGGCGTTCAAGGACAAGATTGCCCTCGAGATTGAGAACTTGAAGATGGAGTCATTTGGCCTTGAGATCTTGCACGCTATCGGCCAAACGTATCTCATGAAAGCATCATCGTTCTTGAAGTCGCAGAAGTTCCTCGGCATCTCCGGCTTCTTCTCCCGCATCAAGGACAAGGGCACACTCGTCAAGGACACTTGGTCAACGATGAGCGCCGCCATTGACGCCCAGCTCACCATGGAGGAAATGGCCAAACTAGAAGAGCAGGGCGGTGAGGCCTGGACGGATGAGAAGAAGGCTGAGTACGAGAAGAGAGTCACCGGCAAGATCCTCGCCGCCGCATGGCGCGGAAGCAAGTTTGAAGTCCAGAGCGTGCTGCGCGACGTGTGCGACCAGGTCCTCAACGACAAGAAAGTTAAGCTGGAGAAGCGTATCGAGCGTGCACACGCCCTGGTCATCATCGGCGAGATGTGCCAAAAGGTAAGCCCCCGCATTCTTGTTTCGTCTCAACCACGGGCCACTGACATTTCCAGGCCGAGCGCAGCCCCGAGGAGGAGGGCGACTTTATGGCCTTTGAGCAGCTCATGGCCGAGGCGGCAGCCAAGAAGGACAGCAAGCAGGATAAAAAGGAGAAGCACAAGCACCACGAGAAGAAGGAGAAGGAGAAAGAGAAGGCATAGAAGCTGTTTCCCTCCGCCGCCGACGACGCTGACGCTGTTTGCTTCCCTTCTTGCTGCATATTTTTCTTCGTGATATCCATAGATTCCTTTCGAGATGGGCTGAATTGGAATACTAGCATTGGCGGATTCGTTCGCCTTTTCCAGCGCACACGTATCTTATGATCACAGGAGCTGTGAGATGTGGTGACAGTGCTTCAATTTGGTGATGTACAGTCAGACGATAGCGAAGCGAAACGGCCGCATAAAGCGTGCTACAATCCAAGCCCACTCAATCCATAACATACAAACACCCAACGCCCTCCAAGCAACACACTACTGCGGTCCTAGAGCCCCGCAACTCCACCCCTCACCACCAGCAAACTAGCCCCCACCTTCCCCTCCCACACCCGCTCCGCCAACACCCCCAAACTGCTCCCCGCTTCCCCCGCACTCCGAATCTCATCCGGCCGATCCGCGCCCAGCGCCGCGTTGCGCCCGATGTTGCGCCCCAGCACAATTAGATCGCCCGCGTTCTTGGGCGCTTGTCCGACCTCGATGCTCGCGCGCGCGATGACGTCGGCGACGGGCTGTGTAGATGGGACTGTGTCGAAGATGACGCGGTTTGCCAGCTCTGCGGGCAGGGACGCGCGCAGGGAGGCGAAGAACGCTGCGTCTTGCTCGCGCGAGGGGATGGTCGCAGTGGTTGTGATGATCTCGCCGGATTTGGTAGGAGAGGTGGATGAGGATGAGGGCGACGGGGTGGGCGCGCCCAGGATCGCCTCCGCGACGTCGAAGTGCACGATGGTCGCGGTGATCTGGGGGTTTTCGGCGAGCTGTAGGACGAGGCGCAGGGCAGCGCGGTCGTCGGCGCCGCCGAAGAAGGGCGCGAAGATGTGGTGGCTGCGGTCCGCGATGGGGGCTGTGACTGTGGTGTCGGCATGCAGAGAGACGCTGCTGTAAGTGCGCGTGAGACGGAGATTCTGCTTGCGGTCTTTGTTTTTGGAGCCGCCAAAGTTCTTGTTGACGAGGATGGCGACGGGGGTTGTGGCTGCGTCGAGGGTGGCGTTGACAAAGGCGATGTACGAGGACGCGGCGAGTTTGTTCTTGGTACCTTTGTCTTCGATAATGGCTTGTTCGGACATACCACCTGTTTCGCTCCAGGGGAGGAGGAGCAGATTTGACTCTGAGGCGCGTGTGGCGAGGGTGTCGGCGAAGGAGGACTCAGGGACCACCAGGGCTTCGCCACTGACGGCAAGGTTGTGGAGGCGCCCAAAGGTGCGGAATGTGTTAACGACGGGGTCGTAGGCGGTGTAGCTTTCCATTTCGGAGACTTGCATGACGGACGAGCCACGATCAGTCAGGTTGAGGAGGCGTAGACCGTATGCTTCGACGGGTCGGTTGGGCGCAACTTCTTCCAGAGATGAATCTGCAGTCTCCGTGTTTACAATCGAAGGATGGACCTTGGCTGCTGGCGCTTGAGATCCTCCGAACAGTGAGGTGAAAGCAAGCAAGTTAGGCATGCTGTCCAAGCGCAGGTACACAGTGACCCGCTTGATCTTCTCAGCGGCCATCTTATCAGCGTGGACTCCATCTTGAACACTGTCGGTGTTGTCCAAAGGCTTCCCTGTGTCCCAGTCGATCTCCCCGCGGCGCCAGGACTCGACCTTCTTCTGGTACCACGGTGGGTAGAAGTACATGGTAAGTGGAGAGGATGCAAATGTCGTGACGAGTGCCATGACAACGAAGATCGTAAATGTTCGCGTGCTCAAGATTTTGGCGTTCAATCCAATGTTCTGCATGGATTAGCTACGTCTTGCGAGAGACGTCAATGCACTTACTAGCACAATCAACTCGACGAGACCCTTGCAACTCATCAAAGAGCCAATGGCGAAGCATTCACGCCATAGCATCTTCGTTCCTCGAGCTGCAAGCGAGGCGCCGATGAACTTCGAGAAGAAGGCAACAGCGGTGACACCGATAACGTAGCCCCAAACGATTCCAGAGTCGAGAAGACCAACGTTGGTGTTGAGTCCGGAGAGTGTGAAGTATAACGGCAGGAACAGGGCACCAATCAGATCCTCAATCTTTTCGGCGACCTTGATGGCGAAACCACCCTCGTGAGGGCAGATCAGACCGGCCATAAATGCTCCAAAGATAGGGTGCACTCCAATGATGCCGGTAAAGAAAGCGGAACCCAGAGCAATAATGAGCGTGAGAGAGATGATGCCTTGACTGGGTCCATCCTGCAACGCACCAGATCTGCGCAGGAACCATATGAAGACGGGTCGGACGGCGTAGCACAAAAACAACATGAAGCCGGCACACGTCAACAGCACCCAGAGTGCCGTAAGACCGCTGCCTGCATTGACAAGGGCAACGCAGAGCGCAAGCAAGATCCACCCTACGACATCGTTTCCAACACCGGCCGAGAGAACAATGACACCGACGGGAGTCATCAGGAGCTTGAGTTCAGTGAGGATACGGCAAAGCACAGGGAAAGCCTACAATTGTCAGTGGAGCCTTTTCTGTGATGAATTGGGGTGCTTACAGTAATAGCCATAGCTACACCAATGAAGAGCATGAAGATGGAGAAATCGATGTCCACCATCCCCGGCTCATCCTTGAACTCGTTGTATAGACCGACTGCGATGGCGCATCCCATGCCGAAGGGGATCGCCATGCTGATGACACCGACATTGAGAGCGACTTTCCAGTTGCTCAGCAAGAATCGTAGGTCTACTTCCAAGCCGATGATGAAAAGGAACAATGTCAATCCAAGGTTGGCTACAAGGTTTAGATTGGTCATAGACTCCGTCGGGAAGATCGCCTCGGTGAAACCTGGGATGCGGCCAAAAACCGAGGGACCAAGCAAGATGCCGCCGATGATCTCAGATATCACGCGAGGCTGGCGGAGTTTCGAGAGCGGCCATCCAAGAACCCGACAGAAAATGATGATGATCGAAGCCTGTCACATGTACAATTAGCTGTGTTCCATAATAGCAATATAGTGTACTACAATAATAGTCTTACCTGGATGATGAAAAGTATGATTGGGTGGCTTTTATCGAAATGCACGGGATTGACTCCCTCAAGAATACCACCCTGCGGTGGTGCTTTTGGCGGCGCCGTCGCGGACGCTGCGGCTGAAGCGATTATTGTGGACGACATGACGAACAGGCGGGGTTGTGTGGGGAGGATGAACCCCAGACAAAGACAATGTCGCAAGTGGTCGAACCCCAGGAAAGTTGTGGGAACGTGGGAGGATCAAATAGCTGTCAGAAGACGGAGCTCAGGCCACGAACACAGCGTCAGCCCAGAACACAGGATGCATACGTGATCCTGGGATACGGCGGCGTGTCTCGCGGTTTGGGCATACGCAGGGCGGCGGGCGCTAGTGGAGGCTTTGTCCAGGGTGCACTCAGGCCATGTGACAGCTCGCGATGGCCTCGTGGTGTATGGTGAAGGGTTGTCCTGCACTCTAGGCGGTGTAGAAACAATGTCCCCTGCGCATGAAGGACCATTATCGTAGTGGCGCATCGCGCGTGAAGACCGGGCGGCGAAAGCCAAGGGAAACCGGTGCGATTCAGCGAATAGCGCGCCATTGTCGTTGAGGCAGCGGCTGGCGGTCTAGAACTATTTAGGCACTTGTTGCTTTTCGCACATCGTGCCTAGAAATTTACGCGTCCATGCGATGCGTGATTTGAGCATGAGCAAGTAATCTAGTGGTGAGTGTGGAGTGGTGACTTTTGTGGGGTAAGCGTGTGATCCACCCAGCAAGCACGACAGGAGGCTGAGAAGATCCAGATACCATCTGTTTCAGCTAAGATTGTGTCACCATGTTTTGACATGGCTCCAGTCTGGACGTCCTTTATCGCTGTCATCTGCACATGCCGTCTACTCCGCCACGATGCTACTCCACAAATCTCTTGGAAAGACCAAAACACCACACACCTGCCATCTATACTGAGGCCGGACTTGGCGGCAAGTCGCCAGTCGACCATCCCACTTTCTCTGTGCCAAGCACAAAATCCAAAGTACCACCATCTGCAAAGATATCTTCCCAGGCTACCCATGCCTTATTCCACGGCTTGCCGTTAACTCTTAAGCTTTGAACGTATGGGGCGTTATCACGGTCACCGCCAGTTGTGGAGACTACAAGACGCTTGCTGTTCCCAAGACTGATCGACATCTGCCCGAACCACGGAGCAAGGACCAGGAAGGTCGTCTGTCCAGTCATAGGGAAAAGACCAATCATCTGCCACTATTGCCAGATTTAGTACTTACAACGTGAGGCAGTTGATTACGACTTACCACCAGAAGACTCTCCATAGCGCCAGCGTCCGAGTTGCCGGGCAAACCACTTTCGCCTGCATTGAACAGAGAACTAATTGCTCGGCCCCTCTCGACACTTCTCCACTGCTGCCCTGGTACAAAATTGTATAAGTACGGTGTTGTGAAACCTGGCTCATTACCCGCATTGAAGATTTCCAACTCGAAAAGATTGTCCAGTCTGTCAACGAATCTCTCATCACCACCAATCCGCCTCTTCAGTTCCGCTACATCGTGTATCGCGTTCATGCTGTAAATCCAAGCGTTGTCTTCATAATATGCATCGCCCCAGTAGCAACCTCCACAGTCTTTCGGATCCTGTGCGACAAACGACCCGTTTGCTTGTCTAGGAACCACAAATCCAGAATGGCCTTCAGATGTAGCGTTTGGATTCCAGTGGTTCCGCCAGTTTCGTGAGCGGTTGAAGTATGTTACCGCCTCCTTCGACTTGCCCAGACCAACGGCGACCTGATATAGGCCAAAGTCGTTCGTCGAATACTCTACCGCTCTCGATACAGCGCGTGTAAAGCGAGGTGTGATGTAGCCGTACTGCAGCCAATCCGGAAGAGCGCCTCTGCCTTCTTTGGTAGACGCCTCGGGAGCTCTGGGGTCAATTATGTCAAGTGGTGGCGCGACCTCAGCATCGGTTCTCATCGCGCCGAATCCGTCTTCCCAATCTACGGCGCCTCGCACACCTTTGACGTAAGCGTCGGCTAGAACATTATCCGCATTCGAGCCGCCTTGCACGCGTCCGTTGAAGTTGGACGATCGGGCATCAGGCATGAATCCGTCATGCCGCCAGATGTCGATCAGTGATCGCACAAACTCTTCGTACGCAGTAGGCTGCACTATCTGGAAGAGCGATGTGTGGCACCGGTGGGTATCCCACAAGGTGAATACATCGTCGTAATATGGTTCGCTGCTGTCCCATCCCGGGTTCTCTCCTGTCCTATTAGAGGGTATGAGAAACATTCCATACAGGGAACTGTACAAGAGTTGATGGTCTTCAGTCTGCTCGGAAGAAATCTGTATCTTATTGAAGATCTCGTCGTTCCACCGATTTTGGGCAGCCTCAGTAAGTGACTGGATACTGTCGTCTTCGCTGATCTCGTCGTCCAGATTTTGGCAGGCTTTTATGGTAGAGAGAAAGGATATACCGACCTGCGAAGTTAAATCTGTCTCTTTAAAGGTGAAAACACCTCCCAGCCGAGCAGTCCCGGCGACATAGTTGGAGTTGTTACTGACGGACATATTTCCGGCAAATACCATGGAACGCACAGTTCCTTTATCGAATCTCCCACAGAAGTAAATGGTCCAGTCTGGCGAGAGATTCCAGCCGTTGTTGTATGTCCCCGAACCTTCGTAGTACCTTCCATCGAGGAGCTTGAACGTGCCACCAGAATAGTGCTGCTCCCAACCGAGGCCTCTGAAGCTTGGAAGTACATGAGACACATCTACAACGATAGACGATGTCGTACTGTTGCCACCAGGAAAGGTATACTCGTAGAAACCCGCATGCTCTGTCGCCGCAAGCCGCACCGTAACATTGTTTGCTAGGCGAGACTCGTACCATCCAACGCCGCCCTGATCTCCAGAAGCCCTAGGTTGGGACAAGTCTGCCAGCGGATCCGGAACGATTCCAACGACTGGCATCTGCGACACAACGCCATACTTTGGCGCCCCTCCTACAAGTTATCAGTCATCGCCTCGCCGTACTGCGATGTAGCCTCATACCTGTACCCGACTCGTGCATCATACTAAAGCCCCAGATATTGCCTTCTGGTAAGTATCCAGAGTATGCGTCTGTTGTTCCAGATTGAACATCGGGACCAAGTTTGGCCATAGCGAACGGCGCTGCTACGACGCCGGGAAATCTGTTTCCGCCGTTTCTGGTACCCATGCTGGTTATCTGTGAGCAAGAGAGAAGAACCAGGGTTCCTTTGGCTTACAAGATGTTTACATATTGACTGTAGTCCACCGCTGCACCGCCAGTGCCTGCGAATGCAAGAATAGCTACTGAATATACCTTCAACATATTTCGACCTCAGATTTCGGTATCGATACAACATTAATAACTAGATCTTCTTGCAGTATTGACCACTGTACGCTCCCAGAACGCCAGGTAGGATCAAGATACCAATTCGTACATCAGTATTGATCCAGGATAAGTCGTCAGTCGCGTTGAAACCTCGACCAGAGGAACACAAGACCGTCTTTAAGCCACACCCATACTGCAATAAAGCAGAGATCAGCGAGGGCAGAGCGTCATGGTGCTTTGCGACCATACATCGAGCGAACGGTGGCGGGACCAATCAGAGCCCCGTTCTGCGGCTCGTGAGCGACTGATAGCCACGCGCACGTTGAGACGAGCCATCTGCGCCCCACAGAAGGAATACAAGAGTGCAGGTGTTCGCTGGAGATGAGGTATGAATTGGATAATCTGGTGTGACGTCGTTTATCATCTGGAGCATCCGATGCGTGATGAGTCCATGTGAGAAAATCAAGTCACGCTGTGATCAAGATATATAAGCTTTGCATGTATGGATTTACTTAGCTATATCTTGTTTGCACCCTTTTTCCAATGGACAGACGGACTACCAAGTCAGGTCCTCTCTGTTCACTTTCCTGTTCCTAGCCGGCTCCTTCCCCTTCTTAGCTGGCTCCTTTCCTTTCTTGATTGGCTCCTTCCTCCTACCAAAGTCCTCAGGAATCCTCTCCTCGAGCACTTCTACCACCCTTCCCGTCCCCTCCTTCAGATTCGCCAACTGACTGCCCTCTTTAACGCGCGTATAAAAAACCGGACAGTCTCTGCTGTCGCATTTAATCTCCTCGCCCCACGCCAGCCCCGAGCAGCTTCGACACACCATATCGACATTTTTGACTCTTGTCTCAGCGGCCAACACCCGCTCTTTTAATGTGAGTAAGGCCCGCGCCGGTCTGCGGAGACACTGGCGGCACAGCGGCAGCGCGGCGAACCGCCATTGCTTGACGCCAGGGATAGCCTTGGGCGGCGGCAGGAGTTTCTCGCGACACAGCATGCAGGAGGCAGACGTCATGTAGCTCTCGAGTGTCCTCATGATACTGGTCTGTCCGCCTTTGATAGCCGCGTGAGGTTTGCCGGGTTGCGGCATGGAGACGTTGCGTATGCGTTGTATCTTGGGCATCTCGTCGTACCACTGGCGCACGTTTGCGCCGACGAGATTGAAAATGCGCTCGAGCGGCGGGATCAGGTTCTTGGAGATGTAGTACTCGGCGTCCAACTCGAGATGGTCGTTCGCGAGCAGCATTTCCGGCGCTACGCATCGATCGACGAGGCGTGCGCCTGGCGCACCGGTGATGACGACGTAGGGGACGCGCTCGCCGTATTGTGGCTCTGTGCGTGGGTCGGCCAGCATGCGTTTCGTCGCGATGAGGGCGCCGGGTGGGGGAGGCCCGCGGGCGGAGTAGGTACCTAGCTTGACCTCTTTGGCGAACAGGAAGTCTTGTATAGAGATGCGACCTTGCATGATCTTGCTACATTGTTCCTGAAAGTAGGACTTTACTTGACTGAGGTCAGCGGTGCGAAACAGAATCTTGAGTGCCCGCTCTTCGATTTTCTGCTCGGCGGGCGTGCCATCGCGACGGACTGTTTCAATGCCCTTTGCGTCGAATTCGGGCTCAGTCTGGTCCCTATGCTCGTACTTGAAGCCGACGTAGCGCTTTTTGGCGATCAGGACGCAAGGATGGTATACCTTCTCGAACTTTAGTTTGATGGGTCGCGGGTTGGCGTCTGTAATGGCTTTGGCGATCTCCTCGCCGATAGTGAAAGCTTGATCGCGGGTGCGGCCCTTGAGGTAGATGAAGAGAGAGTCGGTGTCTCCGTATACGACTTCAGCACCCCATTTATCAGTCGCATGGATTAGAGCGATTGCCTTTTCGAGGGTCTCGCGGCCAGTCTGAACAATGCTATCCGCGATCTCGGAGCAGGGCATGCGGCCCGAGAAAGAGGCAGACGTGTAGCCGTATGTGACGTTGGCGAGCAGCTTCAGGGCTAACTGTCTGTTGTTAAGAAGCTGCTGCAAAGTCTTGTCGTCCTTGTCCTGTTTCATACCACTCTTGACCATCACCCTTGTTTCCAAGATCTCACCTAGCATCTTCGCCAACAAGGATTTTCGCATCTCTGGCTTGACATACATCATCCCGTTCGGCGCAATATTGATATGGTCTTTAACAAGTTCCAATAGTTGAGGCTCACGTTTAAAGTCCATGAACCCCATCTTGTTACGCCCCCTCCAGCTCGTGATGCGTCCTAGGCATGTCGAGTAGCAAAGATTGTATGCAATCATCACACTTGGATACAGAGACTGGAAATCCAGCACCAGCAGTGGGCTTGTGTAAAAAGCACTTTGTGGCTCCATCACAAGAGGCAAGCATTCGAGGGCATTCTGCTGACCGACCTGTTTGCGACTTGGGGAAATCAGAACGTAGTTCTCTGGTTTAGCAATGCGGAACATGGTGGATTCGACTTTAAACTGCGACCCGCGGGAGATGACAGAGAAGAAGTCGACTCCCAGTAAGCGCGCCTGTTCGCTCGTGCGCGGCACAATCTCATTCGCTCGTAAAATGTCGAGATTGAGTTGGATGCGAGACAGGAAGTGGTTGAGCACTTTCGACAAGTCGCGAGGCCTGATGCTGAGGTACCAACTGGTAAGATCAGAGTGCGTGTAATGAGGTATTCGCTTGTGTAGGAGATGGAAGACTACATTCTCCATGGTATACTGGAGCAAGTTCAGTTCACCTCGCATTGCTCTCCAGATGTTAATCATGTGACGCCCCGTGACACGAATAGTTGAGGTATGTGTGAAGCCCCATCGGTCTGCTTCTTTGCCAAACCGACCATGAGATTGTGACTTCATCCTACTGATCTCATCACAGAGGTTGTATTCGAATTTCATCCTCGCTCGCTCTATGAGGTAGCCCCAAGAGCTGTTGTGCACCTCGTAGCCAGTGAGGATGTCAGGATCGAACTGTCGAACAATGTCTACGATGCGGTTGATGAGATCCAATTCATCCTCTTCGTACTCGACTTCAACCGATGATTGCTTAGCTATGCGCCTAGCAATACCAGTCTCTTCTGAAAGGCACAGAACTCCTATCCGGGGCCTGTTTGTTGTTGCATTTTCTTCCCCTTCCACAGTCCAGAAGATGCATTGTATCTCGTCCTCTGCAGGGTCTGGTGTGAGATCGCCTCGCGAGTTGACATGTACTTCAAGACTCATAATGCTCATGTACTGAGTCTCATGCTTGACACTAGTCGAGTCTTGCTTTTGTGAAAATTTGAAACCATGTTTGTTCTTCTGCGAAGGCCCTTCAATCTGTGAAAGGTGATCCATAAGGATGACCTTTCGTGGCTTAGGCGTTGTGGGCTTTTGCCGTTTTGATGGTGTTGGTGTTGGGTCAGGTTTTGTTGACGATTGTTCAAGCCAACTTTCCACGTCCTCGAACGACGGCGGTGGTTTCGCAATCTGCCAATTTCGTAAGTTACAGCGCTGCGACCTGACCATGTCTTCTTCCTTTAGTTTCTTCTTGTCGACCAAGACAGGCTTGTGTTCTCCAAAATTAGCAGGATTTCTGCGAGTGGGGTCGAATAGAGGCAGATAAGGCAACGTATTGCTCTGCAACTTGAATTCACGCCCAGCATATTCACGGGATTGGTCTGGCACGTCTTTTTCATTGCTGTAGAAAGCATCCTGGAATATCTCAGATGGTAAACCAGCATGCACCATGGTATCGTTGACCTCATCCACAGACGGTGGCAGAGCGCTGAAGTATACAGTAGAGTTTCGGTGTGGAAAAGACTCTGCGAGCTTCTCTATCAACGAAGAGATCTCTCCATCTCCTTTTGGTCCACTACTGCTTGGTGTTATGATTGACGTCTGTTGATGCGTCCAAGGGGTCACAGGGGTTCCTCGTACTGTGAAGTGTTTGGACCGAGGCGTCTTCGGCAGTTCTTGGGAATTTGAAGAACTCAACTGGCTAAGTCGTGATTTCGTTCCGGAAACACTGTAGATGTCCCCAGCTGAAAATGGTGTGGTGGTCGTTCCTTTTAGCCCTGATGCTTTAGTACTGGTCTGGCTTGGTCGAATCTCGTCAGGTGTGCGATTTGGTGTTGTACTCGTCTCTTTAACGCCCTCAAGTCGCTCACGAAAAGATGCTTTCCTTGCTGTGAGTGGCGAAGAGTTCAGAATGCGTTGGCGTTTTCGCGGGGACTCGAACTCTGGACGGAGACTCCTCTTTCGCACAGTAGACGGACTGTTGGGGCCACCTAAACTGTCTGAATCACTGGGGTCCACAAGGTCAATGCCTTCATCAAAGTAGTCGTCAGACGTCTCCCCGTCGCCCGACTGACCCATGAGAGATACGGTCAAAGGATCGAGCGACTGCTGCCCTTCAGTATCTGAAAGGCCACCATGTCTTGCATTGGCTGCCTCGGCGGCAGCTATGACAAGGTCCGGAAGCTGCTCTACGTGGCCAGGCGGGGGATTATCCCCAGGTAGCGCATTGACTAAAGTCATTGTACTCTTGACCTCCGCGATCACTGGTACAGACTCATCTTCAAGCTCCTGCTCGTCATCACCTATCTGTTGGGTCCAGAGATTCTCTGGATATAGGTCTTCGACGCTCTCCACTGTGGTTCTTATCTTCTCTAAACCCGGTCTCTCTTTTACGAATGTGCCAAAGCTGACATCGCCGCTATGCTTTTTTTCATCCTGGATCAAGTTCGCGACAAGCTCGCGGTACTCTTCTTCATGAATCCAGCCGTCTTTGTCTGTGTTTCTCGGATCTGCGGACATCGACACCATGACCTCGGCAGGAAACGGGCTGCTTGCTGTATCACTAAGCCCCATCTGCCGCTTCCGACGACGCGTTTCGTCTCTCCAAAGACCTGCCATTGACGGTACATACTTGTCATCCGGATTTTGAGGCATCTGACCTGAACGCTCCAGAAAGTCCTGGTGTATGGGTCGATACTTAAGTTCATGCCGGTTCAGGATATCTTGTACGCAAATATCAACTTCAAGCGTACAGTGGCTCTGGCGAGGGTACTGGTCGTCTTCGGCGATGAATTCTTCTGGTATGGACGCATCGTGCCACTTGTGCGTCTCAACGTCGATTTCGTCACTATCCGGGACGGGGCCTCGAAATTGCACCTTTGCGCAATTGATGTAGTCGCACCCGAACAAGTTGTAGTCACACATCCATTGCAGCAAGTATTGCAGGTGACTCTCGTAGGGCTGGAAAACACGACTCAAGATGGCCCCTTGGTGCAGCAGATCCGCAAATCGAGTCATGTGCATGGGATTCAGCATGTAGATCTTGAGAAAAACTTTGTATCCAACATGATATCCAAAGAAGGGAATTCCCTTGACGAGCGTAATATGCCCAACGTAGACAGAATTTCCATCGTATGGGTTTCGACGGTACGTCGAGGCAAGTGCATGGTCAATAGACGCTCGGAGAGAATGTATGTATGTATCGACTGTATAGTCTTAGCATTGCCCAGCTTGTTTGTGCCATGAACTTACCAACATCATTGTCCAGACTACCTGAATATTCAAGGTACAAGTATGGCAGTGCCCCGTGGATGTGTGCGCATACTTTCTGACCGGTTTCGGTGGCACCAAATGCTCGAATGACCGGAACCTGAGGCGAGGCTCCACGCGACTTCTGGGAGAGAGCGTTACCTCGTCTCAAAGCCGGGTCGAGGTCTGTCTGCGTCGCCTGGTAGTTGTCGATGCAGTTCAGGCGGAAGCGAAAGGTCTCCATGACGACATTGAGTCGTAGGCGATCTTCTGTGGACAGAAGATCGTCTATGGTCGCGAAAAGTGCCCAACTGTGACATTCATCTTTCCCTGCAGCTTCCGGTGATTGCAAGATCGAAGCAAGGGTTATTCAAGCGCGACGCTGCACCGCGAAAGACGCGTCGATTGCCACGCGCTAGCATGTGACGTACTAGCGTTAGTGTTCAGCCCTATCGAACAGCTCCACTCTTTGCCGCATCTTCGTGCGCGTGGGGCCTTCACCTGCTTCACCTCCCAACAAACGTTTCCCGCCAAAATGCCACCCGTCGGTGAACCAAGAAAGCCGGATATCTCCGCTGCAGCCAAGGAGCGCAACGAGTACATTCCCTCCTTCATCTCGAAGAAACCGTTCTATGCGATCGACGAGAACGGCAACGACAACGACAATGACTATCTTGTGCACCAGCGTCTACAGAAGCAGGAACAAGATTCAACATGGTACGACCGCGGAAAGAAGATTGGGCCCGCGGCAACCAAGTACCGCAAGGGTGCTTGCGAGAATTGCGGAGCGATGACACACAAGAAGAAGGATTGTCTGAGCAGGCCACGCAAGGCAGGCGCAAAGTTTACCGGCAAGCGCATCGAAGCGGACGAAGCAATCCAAGACATACAACAAAGCTGGGATGCCAAGCGAGACCGATGGAATGGGTACGATGCATCCGACTTCAACCAAGTTATTGAGGAATACAATGACATGGAGAAGTTGCGTCACGAGGCAAAGAAGGCTGCAGACGGCGACAACTCTGCGGACGAGGAAGATGACGGCGACAAATACGATGCTGAGACGGATATGGGCCGCAAGCAGGCGACATCCACAAGGAACCTGCGTCTACGAGAAGATACCGCAAAATATTTGCTTAACCTCGACCTGGACTCGGCCAAATACGACCCCAAGACACGATCGATGGTGGACAGCGGCGCGGTTTCTGATAAAGCAGCAGAGTTGGTGGCAGAGGATGGATTCATGCGTGCATCTGGTGATGCTGCAGAGTTTGAGAGAGCACAACGTTATGCATGGGAAACACAGGAGCGCGGAGATCGAAACAAACTACATCTTCAGGCAAATCCTACATCTGGCGAAGTTATGCGAAAGAAGCAGCTTCAAGAGGAAGACGAGAAGAAGAAAACGAAGGCCAAGGCTCTCGCTGAGAAGTACGGCACGCAAGAGAAGTTCACCGACGAGGCCATGCGCAAGCTCGCTGTTACCGAAAACGAACGCTATGTCGAGTACGATGAACGAGGTGGCATCAAGGGTGCGCCTAAGATCAAAGCCAAGTCGAAGTATGCAGAGGATGTTTTCCCGGGGAATCACACATCAGTCTGGGGTAGCTGGTGGGCAGACTTCCAATGGGGGTTCGCGTGCTGTCATTCCACAGTGAAGAACTCCTATTGTACTGGCGAGGCCGGCAAACAGGCCTTCGCCAAGGCAGAAGCGATGCGAACAGGCGCTGAACTTGAGGAGGTCCCCCGATCAATCGCATGGAAGGAAGAAGAGGCACTTGAGGAACACGTGCCTAATGCCCCCGAAAAGGACCAAAAGGTGAAGCAGGAATCATCCAATCGCAAGCGCACCATAGTCGAGATGACAGGCGACGTCAACGAAGAGGAGATGGAGGAGTACAGGCGGAAGCGCACAATGGCTGCAGACCCCATGGCTGCATACCTGAAGGGAGACAGGACCGATGCAGTATGAGCGTGGCATGACCTTCCTCATTTCTCCAATACCGAAGAGCTTCACTTTTTATCTTAGCATCGCGTGGCGCTGGCAAGGCGTTTATACCCAGGGCTGCATATCAGCAACGGCCTGCAGAATGACATATAGTTCCTGATGATCGAATGCGTTGTCCTGCAGAGTGCAGTGCTGATCGGTGTCATGCAGCTAGGGTTCAAGGCTTCCGTCTTCCCCATCTGCAGTTTTCGCCTTCATGACAGATGCCAGCTCACACAAAACCGATTGCGCATGCAGCCGCGCGTATGCGTTGTATAGCAGCAAGGCAGCAGTTTTGGACAATCTGTGAGCGCTAAGTGGTGGGCGAGTGTGGCTCGAGGCTGACGCAATGCCCCGACACGCCAAGGGAGTATGGGGCATCAGGGATTCGGAGCTCATGCTCGAGCGCCCAAACTCCACTCTCCCACCAATTCCCCCTACAACTACGCGCAGGTGTCCTGCGACGTGCCTGCCTGCCTGATTGCCACCTTCCTTGGTTTCTTTTCCACCGCAATCGCGACATCGCGACAGCCTCCAGACAGTCTTGATAGGCCGCGACTGCCATCAAGATGGCGCTCTACGGTTCCAGCAGGAATGTGGACATGGGAAAGTCAGTCATAGGTTCACGGCGCCATGTCATACCATACTGAATTTTTATACAGGCAAGAGTCTGAGCTTGCCATCAACATTCGCAAAGCAACCAGCATCGAGGAGGTCTCACCTAAACGTACGTCCGCAGCCTCCGAGACAGCCGGCCGAAGCTCATTGTGACGACAGGCAAGCATGTGCGAGCATGCATCGTGTACACATGGGATCATAAGAGCTCCGCCTCCTTCTGGCAGGGCATGAAAGTGTACGTTTCGCTGGACACCCTGGAAAGACACCTCATGGGCGCATGCGGTCTTCTGGGACCCCGCTGATTGCGACCACAGGCAACCGATCCTCGCCGACGAAATCCAGACGTTTAAAGCGCTCATTACCGTACACAAGGTCCTACAAGAAGGCCATCCTATCGTTTTGAAGGAGGCACAGTCCAACACTAGCTGGTTGGAGAGCCTGTCGCGGGGTGCTACAGACGGCGCAGGTGCACGAGGATACGCGCCACTCATCTCAGAGTATATATATTACCTCATGGCCAAGTTGGCGTTCCACCGACAGCACCCGGAGTTTAATGGTACGAACAGCAAGCGCAATGCTTTGAACAGCACACTGATAGCAGGCAGGAACTTTCGAGTATGAGGAGTACATCAGCTTGAAGTCCATCAACGACCCAAACGAGGGATACGAGACAATCTCAGATCTTATGACGCTCCAAGACCAGATCGATGCGTTCCAGAAGCTCATCTTTTCACACTTCCGAAGCGGCGCCAACAACGAATGCAGAATCGCTGCGCTTGTCCCGTTAGTCCAAGAGAGCTATGGCATCTACAAGTTCATTACCAGCATGCTGCGTGCTATGCACACCAGTAAGTGCTGCACATGAGTTCATTAGATCCCGCTGACAAGCGCAGCACTTGGTGACGATGAGGCGCTCTCTCCTCTTCGTGGCAGATACGATGCCCAGCACTACCGTCTCGTCAAGTTCTACTACGAGTGCTCGAACCTTCGATACCTTACAAGCTTGATCACCGTGCCAAAGCTTCCTCAAGATCCGCCGAACCTCCTCTCTGAAGACGAATCGGCGCCCGCACTTCCCACGAGACCAAAGGCATCGGAGCCTGCTCCTCCGCCTCGCGCACCGTCGGTCGATCCCGAGCCGATCAACGAATTCTGGAAGAACGATCAGAAGAGGCAGCAAGAGCAGTACGAGGAGGAGCAGCGGAGGCTAGCGCAGCAATGGGAAGATGCACAGCTTCAGCAGCAGCAACAGCAGCTGCAAGCGCAGAGAGATTTTGAAGAACAACAAAGGCTACAGGCGGAACAGGCGCGTATTGCGCAAGAGGCACTCATGCGCGATCAGTACCAGCAGCAGACCCAGGGCCGCCTTGCGGAGCTCGAGCGGGAAAATCTAAACGCGCGCGCGCAGTACGAGCGCGATCAGCTCATGTTGCAGCAGTACGATCAGAGGATGAAGGCACTCGAGGGAGAAATTTCACAGATGAACCAGAACTTTGGTTCGCAGATGAGCTCCCGTGACGAACAGCTTAGAGCGCTCCAAGAGCAGCTGAACACATGGAGATCGAAATATGAGTCGTTGGCCAAGCTCTACTCGCAGTTGCGCCACGAACACCTGCAGCTTCTCCAGAAGTTCAAGGCAGTCCAGCTCAAGGCCAACTCTGCACAAGAAGCCATCGACGCTCGCGACAAGCTGCAGCGAGAGTTGAAGACAAAGAATCTCGAGCTGGCAGACATGATCCGCGAGCGTGACCGTGCGATGATGGACAAGGACCGAAGCACCGGCGGACACCGCGACGAAGTAGAGAAGCTCAAGCGTGAGCTACGCGAGGCTCTGGACCGGATCGACAACGCAGAACGAGGCAAGGGCTCCGAGCTGTCATCTATGCTGGCGAGGCACAACCGTGAAATTGCGGACTTGGAGGAAGCCTTGCGCAACAAGACACGCCAGCTCGACCAGCTGCAGATGAAGCATCGCGAAGGCGACTCGGATCTGGAGCGTCTGCTGCGCGACAAGGAAGAGGAACTCGAGATCTTCCGTGCTGGCATGGACCAGACATTGCTTGAGCTGAACGAGCTCAAGCTGAATGGCAACGCCAGCGAGGATGTTCTTGACGGACACCTTGACACCATCATGCAGGACAGCTTGCAGAAGATTAACGACATCATCGACTCTGTGCTGCAAAGTGGTGTTCAGCGCGTAGATGACTCTCTCTACGAATTGGACTCCTCCATGCAGGCTGGTAACCAGAATGCGACTGGCCCTTATGTGCTTTCGCAGATCGAAAATGCGTCCACAAGTGCCATGGAGTTTTCGACTGCCTTTAACAACTTCATCGCGGACGGACATAACGCGAAACACGCAGAGGTTATTAACGCAGTCAACAGCTTCTCCGGTTCAATCGTAGATGTTCTCATCAACACCAAGGGTCTCACAAGGTTCGCTTCGGACGAGAACAAGGCTGATCAGCTTATCAACGGAGCGCGAGCCTCTGCCACATCGACCATCAGATTCTTCCGTAACGTTCAGTCTGTACGGATGTATGACCTTGACGCTGAGCAGAAGATTGATGTGGTCATCAACAACAGCTCTGAGGTTGTCCGTAACCTGCAGAGTCTGTCCAAGTTGGCGGACGCCTTCGCACCCAAGAGCAAGTTGAACACCAATGGAGATCTTGGTGAGGTCGTTGACGACGAGCTTACGAAGGCTGCGAACGCCATTCAAGCGGCTGCTGATCGTCTTGCCAAACTGAAGAACAAGCCACGAGACCAGTTCTCTACCTATGAGCTGCAGATCCATGACTCAATTCTTGATGCGGCTATCACAGTCACGAACGCTATCGCACAGCTCATCAAGGCGGCTACGGCATCGCAGCAAGAAATCGTTCGCGAAGGCCGTGGTAGTATGTCCAAGACACAGTTCTACAAGAAGCACAATCGCTGGACTGAAGGTCTTATCAGCGCAGCCAAGGCCGTCGCTACTTCCACCAACATGCTCATCGAGACTGCTGATGGTGTCATCTCTGGCCGTAACTCGCCCGAACAGCTCATCGTCGCGTCCAACGATGTTGCTGCCTCCACTGCTCAGCTTGTCGCTGCCAGTCGTGTAAAGGCCAGCTTCATGAGCAAGACACAAGACAGGCTTGAGACTGCCTCAAAGGCCGTCACTGCTGCCTGCCGTGCGCTTGTCAGACAGGTGCAAGAAATCATCGCTCAGAAGAACAGGGCCGATGGTGACGTGGTGGACTACACCAAGTTGAGCGATCACGAGTTCAAGGTTAGGCAGATGGAGCAGCAGGTATGTTAGGCCACGATCACAAGTGTTTGATTCCATACTAACGAAGTCAACAGGTCGAGATCTTGCAGCTTGAGAACCAACTCTCGCAGGCGCGCGTCAGGTTGGGCGAGATGCGCAAGCTGTCGTACCTCGAAGAGTAAAGTGCACTTCACAAGTGCTCGTAAGTATTGTAATTCTCTTCTTGTTAGATAGTCTTGTGTAATTTCCGACGCGCGGAGCGTTATCTGTTGAGAGGAAATGGAGGAACTCGTGGCCTTTTAGCACAATCATATGGTTTGCTGCCATCATCAATACCACAATGCCAAATTGTTACATCCTTGCTCTTGTGCACGTTCTTCCCACCGTATACTTACATTCTACGCAGAGCTTGGAGCCTTTGTCCTTTACTTGTTCCACCGTTTTTCACATGCATCCAGCTCCAGTTTCTACCCAAACCTGGGCCGAATCTTCTCCAAACTACTCTCATCGGTTTGGGCTATCGTAGACAACACGCGTCACCGTGCAGTGTCGATGCAATCTACACTCATGGTTCCGCTACCATGCAATGGTCTCCCCAAACCGGTCAACAAACTTCCCACTATCCTCCTTCTTCAGCCCATCTATGACCTTCAAGCAATCGCTCAAACTCTCCTGAGTACTGATCGCCCCGTCCTCCTTCCACTCCACAAGCCCCGTCTCAACTCTCCCAGGATGCAGCAACAGAAACGTAACCTCAGGTATATCAATCGCAAAGCTCTTTACCACAGCATTCAGCGCCGCCTTACTAGCTCGATACGCATACCCTCCCCCCGCCACATTCGCGCTCACACTGCCCATCCTCGAACTCATGATCACAACCTTAGGATCCTCGGCCATTTTGAGGCTCGGCAAAAACGACGTCACGAGATTAAATGTGCCCCAAGTGTTCACCTCAAGTGTCTTGGTGAACGTGGACCGGTCCATAACGGCCAGTGTCTCGGCGGCTGCGACGTCGCCAGGCTGCTCTGCGACGACGCGTGGCACCAGGCCTCGGATCCCGGCGCAGTGGATGATCAGGCCTATGGGTTCGTCGTCGACGGCAGTTTGTGCCACGTACAATTCTTCGGGGGACGTGACATCTGCGCGGAAACCGAGTCTTTTAAACTTTGGCAGGTCGGGTGGGAAGGGAACGGTGTCGATCGCAATGAGAAACGGAGGGGGCGTTTGAGAGGCATAGTGTAACAGGAATGCTAAACCGAGGCCGGATGCGGCGCCTGTTATCAGGATTGTTTGAGGGGCCATTGAATAGTGGTTACAGTTTCGGATGCTTTCGCGGGTAGGTGGTTGGTTGTCCGAGTCAACACCGAGGATACAGTGCCTTTTACATGCGCTGACTAACGACGAGCTGGCGAACGAGGCCCAGCGAGGAAATCGTGGAGCTCAAAGGCGCGGATAGCTGCATTAGCGTATGACGTTTAGGGTCCGTTTACAGTTGCCGATATGCTGGTTCCCCGCTATCTGATGCCGAGTCTGGTGGGTCAGGATACTCAACTATATATGAATCTATAAGTGTATGGAAATCACGAGAAGACTAGATTTCGCAAAGAACACAGCCTAGTTAAGACAACATCATTAACTTTGGAACATGTTCTACCGTCCAGGCAAAGACGACCACGGCCTTCCCCATGATCCGTTCAAGGTACTCATCACCTTTCCAAACCAATACATTACTTTCTATCGAATAATAACACAGTCCAATATCTAACGACCCCAGGGCTGCGTTGTTCCCCGTCCCATCGGATGGATATCGACACTCTCCCCCACCGGCCAAGCCAACCTCGCACCCTATTCCCAATTCAACAACCTCACCTTCGACCCGCCCTACGTAATGTTCAGCGCCAACCAAACTCCCACCGCGCAGCAAAAAGACACCGTCAAGAATACCGAAGCCACCGGCAAGTTTTGCTGGAACCTGGCCACCTACGATCTGCGCAACGCCGTCAACATCACCGCCGAGCAGACTGAGTACGGCATCGACGAGTTCGAGAAAGCCGGGCTGGCGAAGGTAGACAGCAAGTTGAGCGAGGTGGATGTGCGTGGCGAGAAGAGGATGGTACCGATGGTGCGCGATAGTCCCGTGAGGTTCGAGTGCGAGCACTACAGCACGCTGCGGCTGCCGGGGAATCCGCCGGTGGGGTCTGTAGACGTGGTGATTGGCAGGGTAGTGGGTATTCACATTGACGAGCGGGTGTTGACGGACGGGAAGATCGATATCAAGAAGACTGGTGAGTGGGACTTCTACTGTTGGATCGATTCACAGAGAGGTACTGACAAGGCTAGTTCCGATCGCGCGATGCGGGTACTATGAGTATGCGAAGATTACGGAGGTGTTTGAGATGACGGTACCGGGGCTCTCGGAGGATGTTATGGCAGGATTGGAGGGGAATAGCAAGAAGATGAAGGCGGTTGCTGGAAAGGAGAAGGAACAGAACGGAGTGGTGAGAGACAATGACGTGGACCTAGAGACGAAGAAATGATGGAATGGATTTGGAACTCGTTGGGTGCACCACATACTGCTTTCGAGAAAAGTTCTAACTGAACATTTCAATCTTCAAGTAGATACTCACGACTTTACGAAGGAACCTTGACCGAATTTCCTTTTCAGGCTAGTGTCTATCCTCGACGCTGCAAGAACAATGCGATACACGAGCGGAAAGAGCGTTCGGTTAGGGCGGCTTGAAGCGCGGGCTGCCTGACCGACATCATCGGACCTGCTTATTGGCACACACCACAGCACTGCCACCATCACGAGTCTTGGTATAAACATCTCTGTACATCACCAAATAGCCTTAGAGATGAGCCTTACACAATCGCGCCACGTCCCCGGGGCTGTACAAGACCCAGCATATATATGAGTGCAGTCCGCCACCCTATCTTCGGCCTGGCGCGCAGTTGTTCGCTTCATCATGGACGACCTACTACCGTCCTATGAAAGTGCGGTACAGCAAAATCCGTTCACACTTATTGCACCGTATTTGTCATCAGACTCTATCTGCGCTGCAGCTCTTGTAAGCAAAAAATGGCACAAGATCTTCACACCGCACCTTTGGGGTAGTCCTGCATCACATTTTGGGGTGGAGAATGATACAGTTTATGGTAGGTCAAGGCGCTACATTACCTCTGATGCGCTTACTGACTTGCCATAGTCGCCTTGACGCGCTTCAAGCGAACCTTGCCGTATGCACGATCGTCTGTACGAGCGCTTACACATACGCTTCAATTCCCGCCAGCTCATGCTGAGATCTATGGCGGCCCACATTCCGAATGGCTAAGAGAATGCCTTGAAAGATTACCTAATCTACAATGTCTGATGGTAAACGGGCTGCCGTTCTTCGACCATGCAGCACTTTTGACGTTGCGACATGCCAGTCCATGGTGGAACGCCCATCGCAGGGTTGCATTTCCAGTCTTTGGCCTGCGCTTGTTGGATGCATCGGGCTGTACCAATGCAACTTCAACTGGACTTCTAGAAGCTCTGCCCCACTTTCCGGATCTCGTATCTCTAGATTTGTCGAGGACGCCGGCTGCTCGATCTGATGTGGTTCTGAGCAAGTTGAAGTACCTTCGTAATTTGCGAGTGCTGAACTTGGAAGGTCTTGGCCTGAAAGACACTGATTTTGAGATCATCGCACCTTCCATCGGAACACGCGTCAGAAGTCTCAACGTGAGCGACAACAATCTGACTGATGCAAGCGCTAGACTACTGCTGGAACATTGTCTGAAAGAGACCACCATACCAGTGCACGTGACAAGATCACCTCTTCCCCCAGTCGAACATGGCCAGCTCAGTGGCGATATAGACGCTTACGAATCTGAAGACCTCGTCAGTCACCTTCGCCGAAGACTGACCAAAGGATTTGTTGGTAGTTTGGCTATAGAAGAGAGCAGGGATGTGGGTGTTACCCACCTGTATCTGTCAAAGAACTCCGTGACAGTCGAAGGAATCTCTGGACTTCTTCGATCAAAACGTCTACGTGTCCTCGATATCGGAGTCCTGCCTGCATTTCTGATGAGACCCATGGAGTCATTTTCCGAGGATACTGACAGCAATATAGACCTTCCCGGCGTTGCCAAAATGACCCCAATTTTGTCTGAGTATGCTGCTGCGAAGATGAGGTATTTGAGAATCAACTATCAGATCGTCACGGAAGATGCTGTGGCAAACTTACTTCCGTCGCCACGAGCAGAGCTTGATGGTAATCTCGGCCAGTACGCGCCGTTTGATGCAGTCGAGCTTGAAGAGCGGAACCCGCGCGAATTAGAAGCCTCCCATCACTCGATATCAGTAGCTGAACTCAGCTCCGCGGAGAACGCTGTGTTTGAACTTCCCGGGAGTCCCGCTTTCCCGGTGGAACTTCCTGGGTGTTTTCCAGTGGAAGTCTCACCGACAGTACGCAAGGATGACGGCCTTGCACGGACGCCATCGATCAGGGTCACATCTGAACCACAGGAGATCAAAAAAGGCGCGGCGTATGCGCCAGAGCCTGTCTATGTGGATCCAGCCTTGTCGCCTGTGAGCCCTCATGTATCAAGTAACGAGGCCCAAAGGCAGTTCTGGACTGGAGACTCGACACCCGACTACCCGGTGGCACTCTCGCCCATTCTGGGCAGCTCGCGCAACTCAATCTCGAGTGAAACTTTCGGCCGAAGGTCACGCCACAATTCGACTCATTTTGTCGAGGAGCGCAGAGCAAGGCTGGAGCTTCGACAATCACAAGAGAACCGGCTACATCCAGGCATGCTTCCTAATGTACACACCTTGGTTTTGACTGACGTCCCAACGTCAACGAATGATCCAACCCTCATACATAAACTCATTCGATACATCAGAGATGCTGCGGAGGAGGCATCGATAGCCAGACAGCGTGCCAAGCACACCTACATGCTACCACCTGGACGTAGCAGAAACATAGCTGAGCGGGAGTATGCCCGTGGTCTTTTTGCACTGAAGCGAATCGTACTTGAGATGGCACCTCCTCAAGTTGTGCACAAGAAGGTATCTACAAGCTGGAGAGCATACCCTACTAAATCATCTACGGAGGATGCCGATTCAGAGGCTTTTTGGGAAGCAGCAACACACGACTTCTCCTTCTTCGACGATGAGGAGTGCGGTGTCCCGACAAGAGAGCCTGGACGCGGTTTGCCACTAGCGGCGATGAGTGGTCTCGAATTGGCTGCACATCGCCCTACTCCACCACCACAGCCAAGGAGGGTAGAGCCGTTTCTGCAGCCACAACTTGATGTGGTTTCAGAAATTGGCAAGTTCCGCAAGGAAAAGAAGACGATGTACAGACAATTACTTGACATGGGCGAAGTTGACCCAGAAGTTGAAGGCTTTTGGCCAGGCGACATCACCGTCGTAAGGAAACCGGTCGATGCTGACGAAGGAGAACTGGACTGCTACGGGAACAGGTACCAAGGATGGGGCTTGTACCGGTGAAAAGGAGATTGCCGTTACGGACCTTTCTTCCGGGGCAGAATTTAAGTTCTAGGACTGCAGCCTGGGTGCATTCAAGGGTTCACATCACTAGCCTCCCTGCAGCCAGGTCCAATCAGCGTGCTGACCAGTCGACAACCCCGCAGTCCAACGCCCTCTCAAGGCGTATCTGATCAAGAATCTGGATACGAAAACAATGCCATGCATTAACACAGCTCACGCACGTGAATCCCACGTGTCAAGATGCGCCAGGCGATCGTCGTCCAGCTTACAACACTCTATTAGCCTTCCATTCACTGCCACGAGACCCAGGTGTAATGACCGTCTCTGTACTTCAATATATGTGTTACTTATATCCCACTAGCTACTTTTGATTGAGGCGGCTAATCGGAGCTCAACGGCTTGCGGGTCGTCTGTTTCAGCCTGACAATATGGGACAACTGTCGAGCCGCCATGCAGGTTCGGTAAGAGATAGCCATCGATCAGTTCGTCCGATAACATCCAAGCATACCAAATCACACGCATGTCGGAATAGCGCAGGAAATGTACGTGATGCACCGACATCAAGACGACGAACAAGCTCGCATTTAGCAGAAGGCCAAAGCACCAAATCATTGACGTTGAGCGGTCCCGCTCCCGCAAGACGCCACAAAGAACATCCGGCGCGGCACTCGAATAAGTCTATACTACGAAGAAAGTCTCCTGTACGGGATAGAGGTTACGATGAGCCTGGATCTATTGTTGCGAAACAGATCACAGGGTCCCAACTCTCGCTGACTGTGTCAAATCGTCGAACGCCACGGCAAAAGAAAGAGTGCCTAGTCTGTACCGACAACCGCTTAGTCTCTCGCTTTCCGACCCATCCTCCGACCGCACGATGTGTTCACAATGCAGACGTATGTCGGAGATGCCTCAGAACGTGGATCGATACTTCCTTCGCCGACAGGGTATGGGATGAGATTGACTGTCCAGTCTGTTCCCAGCGTTTGGCCTACGAAGACGTCCGCGAGTTCGCTCCCTCAGAAATCTTCCGCAGGTACAAGAAATTAAGCACCAAAGCTGCATTAGAAGCTATACCAGGCTTTCATTGGTGCCTTACGAGAGGATGCAAGTCGGGCCAGGTAATCAGGACAGGCACCAGCAAGTTCTGTTGCGTGAATTGCAAGAATACTCATTGCATCGAGCACAATATGCCATGGCACAAGCGAGAGACTTGTAAGGAATTCGATTACAGGTTGGTATGGAGGTTGCTACAAGGCGATCAGCAACACTGACAAGGGTTAGAACCAACAGAAAGCTGAAGAAGGAAGAAGAGATAGCGAGTAAGAAGTGGTTGAAGGAGAAGGCTAAGAGATGCCCTGGGTGTAAACGCCCCATCGAGAAGGCTAATGGGTGCGACCATATGACATGTAGGTCAAGGAGCTCCACCCTAGTTGTGCGTCCACTGATTGCATAATACGTAGGCTCGAAGTGCAGACACGAATTCTGCTGGGAATGCCGGGCACCTTACAAGAAGCCTAGAGATGTGATGTCGGTCGCTCATCGTGTTGATTGCATTCACCATGTTTCGCGTACCGGTGACAACGATTGGGATGGGAGATTCTACTACGGTCGATAGGCTAAAAGACCTTCTCTTTCATGAGGCTTGGCCTTGACCTCGACAATCCGAAAGACATGCGGGGCTTCATGGGACTACAATGTTAGATAGCAAGGAGTATGTTGATAGCGTTGCTTGACACTCGCGTTCTTGAGATCCTCGGAATTGCGATAGGTGTTCTTTGTGCATTAAGAGCGTTAGTTCTCGCATGTGGATTCTGTCTGTTCATCACCTGAGTGTTCGCATCATGACTGCTCCGCGTGGCTTGCGCGTCCCGGCAGCCCAATCAGCACCCGCAAGCCGAACGCTAGTATGCCGTGCCGTTTTCTTCCCCTCGAGGCCTGTTGCTGACGTCTGCATCAGACACGTCGCAATTGGCCTCGGCCGACGTTCAATTACCCAGGACCCGGCGGACGCGTTGCGTGCGAAATATTGAAGAGCTTTGCGGTTGCTCGGCATCCAAGGAACGCGAGCGCGCGCCGGACGACTCAAAAGCACGCTCCAGCTGTACAACGATGTACAGTTCGTACATCACAATTATCCCAACCCAAACAAATACCATCTTTGATGCCCGCAGACGCTAAAATTCACCTCATCACCTGCATATTTCCCATCAATTCGGACAACGTCGCTGTCGAGTGGGCCGACTCACTCCAGTGCATGTGCGAGTTGTACGCTTGATTCGGATCTCTGCCGACAATTTACTCCACACCGCGCTTGTTACGTGCGGGAGACGAAAGAAACGGCGGGCTAATAGCTAAAACCCTAAGCGATATGCCTAAGCAACGCCAAACTTGTACGCGGTGCAGCCAACGTCGGCAGAAGTGCGATCGAAGCAAGACTGGCAAGGCACCCTGCAGCCGATGCGTGCAGAACAATGAGGGCCACCTATGTAGCACTGTATGGAATGGCGGCTACGATCCGACTGTACACCGGAAGTATCCCAGGAAGACTTCGCCGAGTGCATCATGGCCTGCGAGCAGCGATACCGCATCCTCGCTGACCCCCCCTGCTTTGCCAACTGTTGATCAGCTCAAACTACCTGCATTGACCCCTGGTATGACTGCCTCCTCCCTTTGTAGACCGAGAGTTGCTTAGGACATCTCGACGCTGGCTGGCAAGATCCAGAGCACCTGCTGATCACTTCCACAGACATTCAAACCCCGTCCCGCACTCGAAATCAAACTCTCCCTTCGCGTTTTGGATCTCAGGGTGCGTTATCAGGCCCACTCTCAGCTGTCGGACCAGAGGCTTTGTCAGCAGGCGCCTCGCAGTTTCCAGAGATCAACATCGGAGCACTCATCTCAGAGAGAGATGTATCAACCGTCCCATTACTGGATCAAGAATCCCACAACATACGATCCCGAGACGGCCCATTTCATGAAAGAATGGGGACGGCGTCGAACTCTGTCGGCTGCTATTCGCCCGCTGCAAGGGCCGTAGAGACAGTACAAATGCAGTCATTGCTTCCACCAGTGGACAAGATATTAGCGATCGTAAACTATCACGATCAGTACTTGTCGTATTGGGGCGGTGGCCTGTATCATAGCCCTACTTTCAGGAAACAGATTGAAAAAGCGGCCAACCAGTCTAACAAGCTCGACTTAACCGTTGTAGATTGGCGATGGACCGGCCTGCTTTTCTCTATCCTCTCCTCTGGTCTCATATCATCACCAGAAGGCGTATCGCTCGAATGGGGCTTCACCATCGAGGAAAAGGTTCGATTATCACGACTGTGGGGTGCTGCGACAGTAACCTCGCTGAACCTTGGCGACTACACATCGCAGTATCATCTGAACTCCATACAAGCGATCATGAATCTGCACGGGTTCGAGCACCTTGTTGGCTCTTCAAACCAATGGGCCGCGTTGCGTAGTGTCGCCATGGTCATCGCACAAGGGCTAAATCTACACCGACTCAGCCCACATCCCGACGACCAGAGGCTACCGTACCTCGATGAGAAACAGAAAGAAGCGTTCATCGAACGCGAGATGGGACGCCGTGTTTGGTACGCTGCAGCCACCCAGGAATGGTTATCCTCTAGCTCTCAGACTTTTCCGGGATACACCATTCAGCGGAAGCACTTCACCACTTCGCAGCCGGCCTCATTCGACGAGGATACCATCTCGCCCGTAGAGGAAGGCACACCCACTTTCGCTGTGCTTGCCAATTACTTCTTTGAGCACGCGTACTTGCTTTTGCAGTTTGGAGACGCCATACTCGAGGCCGAGACCTTGGATGATCAAGGTAGGTACGATTTGATCTTGAAGTGGGATGGTGAACTGCGATCGAGCTACGCCGACCGGATTCCCAAGTGTCTTTCACATAAAACAGCCCTGCAACCTAACTGGCCGAGATGGGTCGGTCGAGCACGAAGACTGCTCGAGGCATCGTGCAGCCACAAGATCATCATGATTCACCAAAGCTTCTTGAACAAGAGCTACAAAGACCCTCGATACACGTACAGCCGCTGGGCGTGTTCGACCGCCGCAAAGCATGTACTCTCACTGTATCAAAAGCGGGAACCTGACGAGCCACAATTCTGGGTTGAGCAAGCTTTCGCCATCACCGCCGGTATATGCCTCGTCCTTGATCTGTTTCACCGTACCGAGATCAATGCAGAAGCCCAGGAGTATCTTGTCTACGTCAAACAAGCCGTCAGCTACCTGGCCTCGTTTCCAACCAGCTCAGTCGCCAATCACGGTGTGCGAGTTTTGACCTCGCTGTTGCAGGAATACACCAAGAATTTCGACACTGCAAAAGGCATCGCACAAGCAAAGCACAATGCTGCTCGAGCTTCAGCTACTCCAATGCCGCGTCAGACAACTGGCATCGATAGTACCTCAGTTGCCGAGGCTGGCCTCATGCCTCCAAACGTAACCATGAACCCTGATCTTCTTCTGCCAACCGACGCGACATCCGCGTTCAACTTTGACACCGACATGATGGAGTTTGAGAATCTACTGGATAGTCTTCCGGGTGACATGGGCGTCGATACTGGCGCGTTCTACGACGGGATAATGTCCGCATCCAATGGACCGTTCAATGGAATATGGTGAATCTGAGGTTGCTTCATGACCCTTATCAGCAAAGATTGGACTGCGAGCATGGAAGAGCAGACGAGTACATTGAGGGGTGTCAGCGTTGCGCGCAGTTGCCGAGGCAAAGTGACCCCACTACCTAACGTCGATCTCCCATTGAACCATCCACCATGGTTCGGTTATTTGCGACGAAACGTAAACTCTGTACTGCCGCAGACTATCAGCAAACTGATGTATCAAAATCGCGCAACATGAAGGCCATCCTTATTGACCGTTTCGTTACAGTACGCGTCAACACCCTCTACTCAGACAACGCTCACTCACATCTCAGGATCTCGCAAGCATTCGCGCTCAAGACGCGCCTTCTCCAGAACCCAAGTCATCTAAAGCTATCCATGTGAAAATCACCCACGCAGCAATCACCCACGTCGATCTCCTGTACGCTCAGGGCCTGCACCAGAACAACAAGCGGCACGTCCAGCCCCCTTTCATCCTAGGCACAGAATTCTCCGGCATCGTCACAGCAGCGCCAAGCACCTCGTCTTTAAAGCCCGGCACGCGCGTTTTTGGCGGCGGGCTGGGGTCGTTCGCGCAGGAGATCTGCGTTGATGAGGCGAGCGTGCGGCGCGTGCCAGACCAGTGGAGCAATGCAGAGGCGTGTGCGGTGGGTGCGAGTGGCGCGGTGAGTTATGGTGCGCTGGTAGGCGTGGCACAGGTCAAAGCTGGTGAGACGGTGCTAGTGCTGGGCGCGAGCGGGGGGTTGGGCGTGATGGCGGTGCAGATTGCAAAAGCGCTTGGGGCGAGGGTGGTGGCTGTTGTTGGGAATGCGGAGAAGGCAGAGATGATCAGGGGGATTGGGGCGGATGGGGTTGTGGATTATCACGATGAGAAATGGGAAGATAAGGTCAAGGCGCTGACGCCGGGTAAGCAGGGCGTTGAAGTGGTGTACGATGGGATTGGTGCTGTGGAGAGTGGGTTGAAGTGTTTGAAGTACAGAGGGAGACTTGTTATTGTGGGGTTTGCGGCAAGAGGAGGAAAGATGGAGAATGTTAGAGCGAATCGCATATTGTTGAAGAGTGCTATGGTGCACGGCTATGTAAGTCTCATACCGTTTCTCTCTATTGCTTCTACTGACTGGGAACAGCGTTTTGGTGAAGATGGAAGAAATGACCCTCAGAGGACACAGGATGTTTGGAATGGCTTCATGAGTCTCGTGGACAGTGGGAAGATCAAGCCAGTGATTTACAAAGAGGAGTACAAAGGCCTAGAAGCGGTATCGAAAGCGTTGGAGGACGCAAAGAACCACAAAGCATGGGGACGGGCGGTTCTGACGATCGACGGCAATGCAGAGAAAGAGCTTAGCCAACGACAAGCAAAGTTGTGACACGGGACAAATAAAGTTTGCGTTCTACAGACCTCGGCTTGGCATGTGTTGGGAATTCACTTTCTATACGAGCGATAAGACAACCCTTGACGATGGTGTCATTGTTAGATTGGACTGCCTTTGGGATTCGTGACCGCTCCGATGGGTTGATGACAGGTACCACCTACGGCTCCAATCATTATAGAGGGTACGAAGAACCGATTGTCATCCACCAGAGCCCAGCCATCTCAATTCAATGACTCGAGACATCACCTCCGATCGGCAGACCACAACAGATATTGCACTGCAACTCCCAGCCCTAAGATCGAAAATCCCCCAACCAAGGGCCCAAACGAGGCAATCCAATCCATAATGCCGCCCAAATAAGCAATACAGTGCTCTCGGCGTAGCTGCATATGCACGCCATGCTGTCCTTGTCTCTGTGGCCCGCCGCAAGTAGCCATGACGTCAGGCGTTAAACAGCGTTCCTGCGCACCACCGGCCCGCTGCCGCAGCTCCCCACGCGCGGCGAGCAGCTGCCCCTGCAAGCTCCAATTGCACACCGCCAGCTGTACAAGCATGTCATTCCGCATGGCTTCCGAGTGTCTGGAGCGTGGGTCTGGGGAGATCGTGAGGTGCGCTGGCTGTCTTGTGCGTTGGGGTGAAGTTTCGTTCTTAAGGTTTTGGGGGGCTGCTGCGTTGTTGGGTTGAGTTGAGATACGATACAATGACTTTGACGGGCACTTCTGTAGGTGTAGATGAAGGAATTGTAAGTAGAGACGCTAATATACTGGATAGGTTTGCGGCGACGATTCGAAAGACGTTCTGCAGGGTGTTGTGTACACATTGCTGGATGTCTTTGATGCCACCCGGGATTTATACCAGACATTGACGAACAAAGACAAGAGGGACCATGAGCTTAAGCTCCGATCGAAGGGGTATCCTGTTTCGAGGAAGCTGGAGTTTATTGATGACGCGGAGATCAACGGCAATCGAGCCATCTTGACGGACAAGCTTGCTCTGTTGCGAAAATACGAGGACGGCCTTCGCGATTTTGGATCCGATTTTGCTGTCGGGGATGGTTGGTCTTACTATGCCACTCACGCGGTCACGAGCTGATGTTGTTAGCATTGTCGCATGTTTCCCTCCAGTCTCAGGTGATCAAACTTCAGGGCGTGCTACTCACCACCTTCCTTTATGGTCCAACGTCCGACGAGCCAATACAGCAGCAGCTATCAAGGATCGATGCGGCATCACACGATGCGGCAACGACAGCAGTAGATATCCTGGACGCGTTCCAGCATCGTCTACAAGCTGAGCTTCGAGCCAGTAACGCCTCGAGATCTCGTAGAGGCTCCTTGCGTGCGCCGTCTATGCCGGGGTCGTTCCATCAAGATGAGCCATCGACAACCCTCGTGACTTACCGGGAGCCGCCGCGAGTCCGACCAGGCAGCCCAGTGAACACAACGATTTTTACCAGAGGCGGACCTGAGCCAACCGAGTCTGACAGGAGGTCCTTGACATTATACAGCGCACCCACAACCACTAATTCGCTGTTCTGTCCGTACGCGCAAGATCTCGAGCGACACCGCTCCCAGCAGCTAAGCCAAAGCATTATGGACGCCCCCACGCCATCGTGTCCAGACTGCCGACGCACCCTGCACCTATCCCCGGGAAAGGCGTGGGAGATACTAAAGAACGACACCGGCTACGAGCGGTGTTTCCAGATCTCCAACCGCTTCGTGGTCAAATGCCACCGCAGCGGCCCTGACGCCGGCTACGCGTGTATCCTGTGTTCGCGCGCGGCCGACGACGTGACGATCTGTGGTGACGTCAAAGCGCTCGTGAAGCACATGTGCGAGGACCACAAGTCATCTGAGCTCAAGGCCGAAGAGGATATCACGGAGGTCGTGGAGCTGGCTCTGGGAGAGCGGCGAAGAGATAGTGGACTTAGTCACTCCACATCGCGTAGTAGTAGGAGGAGTGCTAGCGTGTCCTCGCGCCGGCGCGGCAGCAGGCCGTATGTGAATGAGCGCGAGGTGGAGGCGATAGAAGTTAGATTGCCGAGACGAGGTGCATGAAGCCACATCTTCAGCAGTGGATTCTAGCGTGTGGTTGGCTCGAGCACGGCGGACCTTGAAGCCAGAGACTGATGCTGCGAGCAAATAGCATATGTGAACTGCTCTATTCCACTCAGACTCTCTAAACTACGGCTCCTTCTCGCAAGGCTCTGTTGCTGTGCGACATCGCTTGTTCTGCTCCAAGCATCAACCCCAACACACCCTCTTCCCGTCCCAAGCGTCTACTCCTGCACGTCTCCCCATCATCACACTACACCGCCTGCACCAACCACGCCCTTTCTCGCCAAGTCTCTCACCAGTGTACGAAAGCGGACAATGCCTCGCCCAGCAATCGACACCTCTTCTCCAACATACCGCTTCAAGTAATACCAAACTTCCGAAAAACCGGGACCTGGCATCTACCACGCACGACACTACGGCAACATTCGATCTGTGCAGACGCGCAGCTCCAGTTCGGGTGCGGTTGATACACGCGCTGACCATTGCCTGCTTTGGGTTTAGCGTCGATCCGGTTTGGGTTTAGACGCACCCTGATCTGGTCGGCGGTTGTCGTGCTGATGCATGGCAGCGGCGCAGACCTGCTTCTGATGCGCAATCAGCTCCCTGGCGTGCGCTGCCAGGGAACGGTCAGAGTCAGTTGGGAAGCATGTTGCGAAATGCAGCATCTGCATGGGAGATGCCGCGTGGTGGGTGGGCTTGCTGTTCTGGGGCAGTGGTAGTGGAACAGCGGAGATGGTCGGTGGTCTGGGCTCAGCCGCTCAGCAGAGCCGCATCAGACCAGACACTCGGAGGTCTTCAGGTTTACAGGTCGAAGGACTCGGGTTGAGTTGCGTTTGGCTGCTAGATCGGAGTCGGTTAGCGTGGTTCTGGTCGCGTGTGGGGAAGCTCTGGTGTCGACTCTCTTCCGCCGACACAGCTCCACCCAAGCTTTGCAGCCGAAACCGAGGCCCCTCGACGGTTGTATAGAGAAATGAGGCTCAAATCGCAATGTTTGATCACAGGCTGAACGCCTTTGCTAATTGTTTGCTCACGGTACAGAAACAGCAAGATGACTACAGCCTCCCAACAAATCCCCGCTGTCGTGAGACCTCTAGTCAGCGAGCGCGCAAAGAAGACTCTTGATATCGTATGTAGTTGTGTCACGTGCAGGTGTCGAGTATACTGACAGATATCCAGGTTGAGAAGTTTGTCAACGAAGAGTGCATCCCCGCAGATGCCGTGTACAAAGCACAGCTGGGCCAGGGCCCTGGCCGCTGGTGCTATCCGCCCGTCATGGACGACTTGAAAGCCAAAGCGAAAGCGCTCGGGCTGTGGAATATGTTCCTCGCAAAGGGCCACTACAAAGAGGGCGCCGGCTTCACGAACCTCGAGTACGGCCTGATGTGCGAGCAGTTCGGCCGCTGCGTAACCGCCTCTGAGGCGACGAACAACGCCGCGCCCGACACAGGCAACATGGAGCTGCTGGCCAAGTATGGCACCGAAGCGCAGAAGAAACAGTGGCTGGAACCGCTGCTGCGTGGCGACATTCGGAGCTGCTATGTCATGACCGAGCCGGACGCGGCGTGCAGCGACGCAACCAACGTCCGACTCAGCATCAAGCGCGACGGCGACAGCTACGTGCTCAACGGCCAGAAGTGGTGGATCAGCGGCGCCGGCAACCCGCGCTGCGCCGTCTACATTGTCCTGGGCAAGACCGACCCCAACCACACCGACAAGCACAAGCAGCAGTCCATCATCATCGTGCCCTCCAACACCCCCGGTATCGAGGTCAAGCGCATGCTCTCCGTCTACGGCTACGACGCCGCCCCGCACGGCCACGCCCACCTCGTCTTCACAAACGTCCGCGTCCCCGCCGCCAACATCGTGCTCGGCGAGGGCCGCGGCTTCGAGGTCATGCAGGGCCGCATGGGCCCCGGCCGCATCCACCACTGCATGCGCTCCATCGGCGCCGTACGCGCCCCTCCGTGTCTATCTGTATCCGTGCTAACCCCCCTCCCAGGCCGAAGAAGCCCTCCGCTGGCTCCTCACCCGCGCCAACGCCGCACACAAGACCCCCTTCGGCAGCCCCCTCGCCTCACAAGGCGTAATCCGCTCCTGGACCGCGTCCTCGCGCCTCTCCATCAGCGCCGCGCGCCTAACGGTCCTCAACGCCGCCGCCGCCATCGACGCCGGCAGCGCCAAATCCGCACTCGCCGACATCGCCGCCGCGAAGATCTTCGTGCCGCAGGTCGCCCTCGAGGTTATCGATCGCGCGGTGCAGATCCACGGCGCCGAGGGCGTGGGCCAGGATACCCCGCTCGCGGCTATGTGGGCGCATGCGCGCACCGTGCGCATCGCGGATGGGCCCGATGAGGTGCATTTGGAGCAGTTGGGGCGCCGGGAGAATGGGCGCGCGGTGGAGGCGGCGGGGTTGCTGAGGTGGCAGGGGGAGCGGGCGGAGGCGCTGTTGGGGCAGTGGGGGGTCGCGGAGAGTGGGCCGTGTCCGACGGTGTATGCGAAGCTGTAGTACCTAGTAGGCAGGGGGAGCTGCTGGAGGTGGGTGTGTACTGTTTTTGGGCTGGTAGATGAGTCAGGATGGAGTTGTTCTGCCCGGCTCATACGCGTCCTGCGGTCACCACATCCCTCTCACCAGACTCACTCGAAGGACACTGAATGTAAATCTTGCATTGCAACAGCGTGCCTGAAAACTGCCACACAGTTGCCAAACGTAGCCTGTGTAGATAGCCTTGCAGTCCTCTACTTTCAAGAGACGTTACACAAATGAATCCGGAGCCGATCTGCCACTGTCCTCAACGTGCCTACTCCAAATAACAAGGAATCCCATAAACCACCGCAGCAGCCCCATTCAAATACCTCAAATAACACGCGCCCCTAGCCTCCCTTACCGCCTCACCGAGCCCCACACCCCTCCTACACGCCCCCCTCGCCTCGGCCTCGACCTCCTTGCCCTTGCCCTTCTTCTTCGCGCCCTTGCGCGGCGTCTTGCCCCTCGCCTTCCCCACCTCCACCGCCGCATCCGCCGCAGCCACGCTCTCGCCCCACAGCCCCCACACCTCGCCGACGCGCACCGCCAGGCGGTCGCAGTCTTTGTCCGTGACGTCCCACAGCATGCCGAGCACGGCGGGCGCGCCGGCGACGAGGTACGAGGCCAGCATGCCCGAGGGCTCGAAGACGCCGTTGGGCGAGAGGTGGGCGGAGGAGCAGCCGAAGAGGAGGGTTGTGGCGCAGGGCGGGTTGGTCGTGGGCTGTGCGTCGGGGAGTGTGTCGGGATGTGTATCGGGGGGTGGTGCTTCGGGGGTGTAGAGCCGGCGCACGGCTTTCTGCCGCACGAACTGCGCGCCGCTGCCGTGGCCGAAGTAGAGCAGCAACGGCTGCGTGCCGAGGGCGTTTGTGAACTCGGACTCCGTGGGCGGGCGGCCGTGGATGTGTTCCCAGGGGCCTGTGAGGGCGGAAAGGACGGGGGCTAGAGTTTTGGCGGTGTTGGGGAGGTCGTTGCCGGGGTTGAGGATGGCGGTGCCACCACAAGGGATGTAGTGGCCTGGGGCGGCGTCGGGGTTGGAGGAGGAGCGCAGGGAAAGCAGGCGCGAGCGCAGGGCTGCGAGGGAGGGGAGGCGGGTGATGGAGAGGGACTGCAGGCAGGGCAGGGACTCCCAGGGGAAGCCGTGCAGGGCGTTGTCGAGCATGAGGATGGTGTGAGGGGTGGATGGGGGTGTGCTGTGGGCAGCGCTGTGGTAGGCGCGCAGGGCGTCCTGGGTGGCGATGACCATGGCGTCAAAGTCGATCTCGTCGATGGGGTTGGCTTCGCCGTTGAATTGGAGGATGTCGACGACGAAGTAGATCAGGTCTGTGAGCTCTTCGTCGACATCGAGCTCCTCGCCTGCAATATCTCCAAGCCCGATGAACAGCTCTAGAACTCGGCTATCCAAAACGACCCGCTTCGGCTGCGCCTTCATGCTGCGGGATGGCAGGTGTCGATCCAGCACATCCTCAAAGGCCTTTCGGAACTTGGCAAGGAGTGTCGGCTGCCTAGGGTGCTGAGAGAAGACGCCCTTGAACCCGCCAAGCCAGATGTTTTCCATATTCACAAGGAGCTCGTGGAGACGTGTGTCAAGGGCTTCGCGCTCATCCCACCACTGCTGGCGTGCTTCTCTCGATGTCATGTCTTTTGCACCGCGCGTGCTGAAATCGCTCAGCTCGATGATTTCCTCCAAATCTCGCTTTCCGTCCTCAAACGTGAATTCGTCCTCGTCTAGATCGCGAGAGGCGTGGCGTGCAAGCGGCAAGCGAAGAACGAAAGGCGCCACACCAGCCTCGAAGCGTGTGACATACAGTTCATCCTGGGTCTCGTTGAGCCCAAGGGATATCGCGGTCCAAGACTCCGGGATGATGTCAATATACTCGTGCTGGAAGTCAGACGCGGAAGTCAGGCTGAAACTGGAGGCTTCCAGCAGCGGCCAGCGTAAGCACTCTTCGCGCGACATTAGCTCCTTCTCCGACTCGACGAACTCCTGTGCAAGCCTCATGGCGTTGCATTTGGGGATTTCTAGAATGGTTAGCTGTGATATGCACTTTAACGTGATGCAAAACCTACCACTGGTGTACGCAGCGTACAACGGGTGTACAGAACCGCGTGCTTCGGATACAGCTGAGAGCAGGACTGTAATATGCCCAAGCGCACTCGAGACCTGTTGGAACAAGTGATTTGAGCCGTGCGTAGCGGACAAAGCATGTACCTCGAGCAGATGCTCTCGTGCTTGGCGTAGCGTGTCCGTGAAATTGATCTTCGCGACAGCTGCTACCTTCTTGCCACGTCCGCCTTTCGCTTTGGGAGGCACAACGGGCGTAGCCTTGATCAAAGGTAGTCCTTCAGAGATTCTCCGATCTTTGGAACCAATAGCAGGAAACGCGATGGTGGATTCCGGGAGTGTGTTGAATGCAAAATCCGCTGCGATCTGCTGCGCGCTCTCTGCGAGCATCAACTTGAACTTTGCCCAAGTGTGCTGGATGTCTCGGTCAGCACCAACCTGGAGATCTTGCACTCTGCCGATGAGAGTGGTCGCCGCTTTGAGATTGTCTTGGAGCAAGTTCGCAAGCACGCCTCGATGGAGTACTTCAGCTTGGAAAGCACGCAGGGTCGTGCATTGATCCGCAGTGCTAACAGTTTCCGAGCTCGGGGCAGCGATCATACTCTTTGGTCGGCCTTTGGGAGCAGGTTTGGTGGTGCTCGTTGCACTTGCTGCACTTGACGCACCTGCCCGCGAACGGGTTCCGGTAGCAGACCTTGCACCTGCGCGGGAGGTCGGTCTTGAGACAGGCTTTGCTGCAGGTCTCTGGGCTTTGGAAGGTGCTGGTACCTTGGTAGTTTTGGCCGCGGAGCTTTCAAGGCTCATACCAGCAATTTGCGAAGCAAGCGAGTCGAGGTCCGGATGTATGGCGCCCAAGGATGTGATGTATGCCGGGCTAGAAAGATCATTGAGAAGCTGCTCCAACACCTGGTAGGAGGCAATCTCTTCCTCGAAGTCGCCAGTGTGATGATGCACTCTTGCCACAGCTGAGTAGTATGCTGCAACAGATAAACACTTGCGGTCTGAGGGCTCACCCAGGGCCTGCAGCAGTGGCCCAGCTTTATCAGGCCGACCACTTTGCGCCCAGCATGCCGCTTGCCAGCTTGCATTGTCGGTCATCAGAGACGGCGAGCGTGTAGCCCGCGCAACTTTCTCCGCCTGCTCGGCAACATAAATCGCCTCGTGCAGCAGACCTTGGTTTGCGAAGACTTGTGAGTGCTGCATTAGCCCACGGTATAGTGAAGGAACCATGAACCAGAAGTCTGCACCTGCCAGGGCGTCATGAGTGTTGGACGAGACGACAGGCACTCCCTTGTCATCGCGCATGGTTGTTAACGGATCGATCCCTGATTTGCTAGCATCTGCTGTTGATGCTTCACTCTCAGCAAATGCTGCTTTCTGTGCATTAACTTTGGACTCGAGTGCCGCCCACATACGACGGTTGAGCGTGACGCATTGTTTAGCATATCTTGCAGCCTCTTTGTGAGAACCTTTCGAAGCAGCAAGGAGGGAGTAGACGTAACAGGCATCAGCCAAGATGCTGTTGTACCGCACTCGCTGTGATACCGTAGCTGAGGACTGTGACAACTCCAGGAACAGAGCATCATCGCGCGCAATAGATTCGGCCGCAGATAGGATGGATGCACTAGTAAAGTCAGTAACCTGATTCCAGTCGAGATACTGCGAGCACATACCACTTGTCAGTGTTGCCAATGCGGAACAGGTATTCCGCATACGCTGTATGCCATCTCAACTTGGATTCTGTCGACACTGTCTGTCGGTTGATGAGGATCTCGGCCTTTGCCAGCGATAGGCCGGCTTTGCCAGTGTATCCAAGACGGAGAAATTGGGAGGCGAGCGCTGCAAGGCTGCAAACAAGGTCTGAGGAATCCTTGTTGTTCTGCAGCTCGAACACTGTCACCAAAAGATGCAGCACAGGCAGGGCAAGATATTCTTCGCCTTTGGCATTGAGCCAATCGACACACGCTCTGATGTCTTGTATCCAGCTATCGACGTCCCCAATGCGCTCGATCAAGGCAGTCCAACTAGAAGCAGATTTGGCAAGGAACTCCCAAGTTGCAAAACATTGTCGCAAAGTCTCGGGTGGAGGTATGGCCTGCTGCATCGCCATCTTGAAGCCGTAGAGTGCGCCTAGGTGATCCTTGAGTTTGGACAGGCCCTCATCATCTGCAAGATCCATCGCAGCGATGTTATCCAGTGAGCTGTCGTGTGGTAAGAGGTCGTGCGAAATGACCTGTGGATGGTCTTGCGAGAGCTGCAGAAGAATAATCATGGCCCTAAGGCGGCGTACAGGGAAGCGTTCAAAGCTGTAGCTCCCGAGAACTTTATCTGCCAGCGCCCTGATGGAGTGATTGAGATTCGCGTCCCATTGTCGATGTTTGGAAAGTGTCTTGGAGAACAAATATAGTTGCCACTCCAGGATTGCCCCTCGGATGTCCGGCTGCAAGTATGCATCATCGTAGTACGCAGACTCGCTGGCACGCTTAACGCCATGAGTGAGATACGAACGGTGAAGAGCCTTGAGTAGTCTGCCTAGGGTGCTGAAGGTCCCGTCCCCTTCGAATACTGTCTGGAGAGAGTGCAGCGCGACGCTCTCCGCGAGCGTTTGGTCGCTGGAGTAGATGTGATATCCAATGCATCGACCAAAAGCCTTGCGAGAATCACCAGCCTTCTGGGCACTATCCAACGCTTCGCCGAGCCGCTCAAGTTTCATGGCCAGGTGGCCTGCCTCTTGTTGAGCTTCCGAGCCCTCTGCTACCAAGTCAATCGAACGCCGCATAGCCACCAATAGAAGTTCTGGGTCAATAGCGGCAGCCTTCCGTAGTTGCAGATATGTGTTCCAGTACGCGTTGGAGAGTTTGACGAGGCACGATGCGGCCACTTCTCCAGCCTGTGGACCGGTCACCACGTCGTTCTCATACTCTTCGCCAATCCTCCGAAGTAAGTAACAGCAGTCCTGAAGAATTACGTCCAATTCAGACCAGAGTTCTGGGCTGCTGGTCGACCGCTTGCAGCATGTGAGCACAGATTCAACAATACTCTTCGTGCATTTCCACGCCATGTTGATACGGTCTTGGTGCCGCCGCTGAGGATCCGACTCGGGCTCTGCCATGCTTCTGCGTCCGATGAACCTTGCGGAGAAGTGCACGCTTGCAGCAACCATGGAGATGGCGCGAGCCTGGACCGCGATATCTTCTGAACTGAGGGATCGAGTGGTCAAACCTGCGGCGAGCGATCTCGTTGCAGCGCGTCTCAGCGCGTTGGCCTCCATGAAGAGGGAGTCGAGATCGGTAGACGATCCGCCCAAGCTTCCTTGCAAGGCCTTCAGGGCGATGGTTATGGCTTCCTCGAGGCCAGGCCTGTCTTCCCCTTTGTTCGCAGCCTCTAGCGAGACGGTTGCTATGCGGACCAGTCGACATGCCTGTTTTGCTGCAGAGCTTGTCGATGAAGCACTTGCATCAGGAGCACTCAGGTAGCGCAACGCTTCGTCAGACAGCCCCGCGGCTTGCGCCAGAGTGCAGAGCGTCTTGGTGATGAGTGCGGAAGGGGCGGAGGCGCCAGGTGTCAGAATCTGCTGGCCCAGGAGTTCTGTGCTCAGTGACTTTGCCAGGGCATAATTGTCCACGAGCGACAGCTTCGAGCGCCGAGCAAAGGCAGCCACACACTTTGCAAAAGGCTCCACAAGCTCGCGTTCTTCGTTGCTCTTATGCTGAGCCAGATGCCACCACTTTCTCCGTATTGTGAAGGCGAGGTGTTGTAGGCGGAGAACGATCTCGGGCGATGGCTGGGCCGGCACTCCATCCTCGAGGGACGAGATGCTGGGGCATAGCGAGAGGATCGTCTGTGCGAGGGACTCGAGCTGGCGGGCGGCTTTCGACGCGCCGGCCGGTGTGCTCGCGAGTTGTTGGAGGAGATTGGCGGGGGACGAATTGTTCGCCAGCTGCAGGTGGACCCACGAGGCTTCGATGACAGGTGCCTTCTTTAATCTCGCGATGACGCGCAATGTGTAGGTTTGGAGGTTTGCGACGATGGGCAGCGCGGGGCTGGACGGGTCGATGGGCCCAAAGTGCAGCAGCGACGCGAGGCTCTCCTTCTCTGCAGCCACACTCGACTGCACACCCGGCTTCTTGACGGCTGCAGTGGCATCCTTGGCCTCGACATGGCCCAGGAAGACGTCCAGCCTCCGCTTCACCAGACGGATCTCCTTGACGGCCAGGCTGTCCAGCCCCAGCGCCACCAGCTTGCCGATGAGCGCCAGGACGCCACTCTCCAGCTGCAGCTCCTGCCCATCCTTTCCCACGACCTTCTTGGCTTCCGCGGTGCCTAGGTATGCGAATGCCGCCCTCGCGCACTCTGCCGTGGCGACCACGCCGGCGTCGGGCCCTGATGTGGATGAGGCCGCGGACGAAGGGCGTGCGGATGTCGGATTCCGCTGAGCGTTGGTGGCCTGCGGGACGGAGCGCTCCTTCAGGGCTTTCTGGGTGGCCGGCGGGCGGGCAGCCTTGCGCGTCGCGGGGTCGCTGGGGGCGGGCTTCGGGGCTCGCGCGGGCGGGGCGAACCCGTGGGTCTTCAGGGCGTCGGCGAGCGTCTTCAGGGCCAGATTGGCAGCCTCGGTGGCCAGAATGTACTTTTCTCGCGGCAGCAGCGCCGCTGGCTCTGCCTTGGGCGCATCCCTGCCCGCTGCAGCCTTCGCCGCGTCGGCCTTGCGCCTCAGCGCGCCGGGCACCTTCACGCCCACATTCTCCTTCTGCACCGGCTCATCCTGCCGCCGGCTCAGCAGGTCGCGCAGTGTGTTGACCGTCGTGTCTGTACATGACGTCGTTGCTCCGAGGTCGCTCTTGACGCTGTCGATGCGAATGCGCGCGGGCTCCAGGGAGGCGGCCATTAGTCGGGCTCTATTAGGGCAGCGTGCCTGCGCGCTTAGGTCTATTCAAAGAGACAAAAGATATGAGCGCAAGAGGCGCAAAGTCGCACAGTCGCAAGTCGCACAAGTGACATGGGACGCGAACCACAACCGCCCAAACAAACAAATCGATAAGCGTGTTGACCGTGTCGGCCCTAGCCGCCTAGCGTCACGCGGCAGGGTCCCGGGTTTGAGTGCACCGAGGCGCGTCCATCATCGACCCCACATCCAGCACGCGATCTGCTCGCACTTCGGCACGTTTAGCTGTCCATTCAGGATGGACGTGTTGGTGATAGTCATAAACGTCATTCCTCCATGATCATGCTCGTTGTACACAATGACAGACAGCAATGCCGACTATGACCTGTCGCAGCCAATCACGTCGACCTCGGGCCTACGACAAGGGCTGGCTGGATACGGCGATCCTCACTTCTCTCTGTTCCTGCGTAAGGTCTTCATCAAGGCCCTAGGATACGGCGAAGACGCCCTCTCTCGGCCCATCATCGGCATCATCAATACGTACAGCGGCTTCAATCCTTGTATGCTGATTCCGATTGAGACCAACATCAGCTAAACTCCACAGGCCATGGAAACACTCCACAGCTCATCGAGGCCGCCAAAAGAGGCGTGCAGCTGGCAGGAGGGCTGGCAATCGACTTCCCTACCATCAGCGTTGCAGAGTCCTTCTCGGCGCCCACCAGCATGTTTCTGCGCAATCTGATGAGCATGGACACCGAGGAGATGATTCGCGCCCAGCCTGTGGACGCCTGCATCATGATAGGAGGTGAGGGTGAAATCTCACACACCTTGCTCTAATACTAATCGAACAGGGTGTGACAAGACCGTCCCAGCACAGATCATGGGTGGCATATCTGCAAACAAGCCCGTATTGCCACTGATCACTGGCCCAATGTCGACCGGAAGCTATCATGGGAAGCGCATTGGTGCTTGCACCGACTGTCGCAACAACTGGGCTTCCTTCCGCGCGGGGCAGATCGAGATTGAGGAGATTGCTGATATCAACGAAGAGCTGGCGCCTACCGTAGGTGGTCTTGCATTGTACTGTCGCAGCAACTGACATCTTCAGGTCGGCACCTGCGGTGTTATGGGGACTGCTAGTACGATGGCATGCCTAACAGCTGCTCTTGGTTTAATGCCACTGAAGGGAGCAAGTGCTCCGGCGGTATCAGCAGCCCGTCTACGCATAGCAGAAGAGACCGGCCGCAACGCAGTCGCAGTTGCGGCAGCTAAACGGACGCCTCAAGTTATCTTGTCCCGAGACTCTTTCCTCAACGCAATCACTGTGCTTCAGGCGATCGGCGGCAGCACCAACGGGATAGTCCATCTGCTTGCTATCGTCAATAGGCACCCTGAGCTCGAAGGAGCCTTGACTCTCAAAGACATCGACGACGTGGGAAGGACCACACCACTCATCGTAGATCTCAAGCCCAGTGGGGACAACTACATGACCGACTTTCACAACGCGGGTGGCATGCTCGCCTTGTTGCATACGCTGCGCCCGCTCCTCCACCTCTCCGCCATGACAATCAGCGGGCAGACGCTTGGCGAGGTTCTCGACGCAACTCCGTTCAAGACATTCGCCTACTCGACGTCCATCATCCGGCCTCTCTCAAACCCCCTCTCGTCGTCCTCAAGCCTCGTCGTCCTCTACGGCAACCTCGCCCCTCAGGGCAGCGTGATGAAAGCCTCGGCCTCCAAGGACCGCGCGCTTTTGTCGCACTCCGGGCCGGCGGTGGTCTTCCGCAACGCAGCAGATCTCGCCCAGCGTATTGATTCACCAGACCTCGACGTGACACCTTCGTCAGTTCTCGTGCTGCAGAACATCGGCCCGCTCGGGTATCCAGGCATGCCGGAGGCAGGACTCATCCCCATACCGCGGAAGCTCAGCCGAGAAGGCGTGGTCGACATGCTGCGGATCAGCGACGGGAGGATGAGCGGCACGGCAGGTGGCACAATAGCACTGCACGTGTCGCCCGAGTCTGCCCTGCCAGAGAGCGTGCTGGGCGTTGTTCAGGACGGGGATCAGATTACGTGCGACGTGGGGCAGCGGAGCCTGAGACTCGACGTTGCGGATGCTGAGATCGAGCGGAGATTGCAGGAGAGACGGGACTTGCTGCTGGGGACTCAGCATGCACCCCCGCAGCCCTCGGTCTTGTCGGAGCGCGCAACCAAGAGGGGCTATCGCGGGCTGTACGAGAGGACGGTCAATCAGGCACACGAGGGCGCCGACTTTGACTTTTTGACTGCAGGCGGCCCGAAACCTTCATCTTGAAAGTTTAATGTCAATCATCAGCATGTGGATCATGTGGGGTCTCTCCAATCAGCGCAGTGATAATTCCCGACATAAGTCCTAATATAAGCTGACGCGGTACGACCTGTTCGACCTCCGTCAGACAACCCCGCCATCGACAACCTCCACAATGCCTCGTTTGAAAACCTTTGTGCGATGTGACCACGACGTAGTAGACACCATGCTAACTCACCCAGATCCAAGTGCTCCTGCTCGCCCTGATATCTCCCTGGCTGTACGAACGCTACATCACGCTCTCCACGCTCGTCACCAACCGGCCCTCCGCGTTCCAGAACCTGAACACCTTCAAGAGCCATGACGTCCTCTTCCGCGATGAACTGCGCAACTGCGAAGACGTGATCGTCGAGAAGAGCCTGGGCATTGCGTTTATCAGCTGCGACCCGGGCCGCGACCAGTGGAACACGGTGATGGTACGCCCTTGCCTCTGGCCGAGAAAAAAACCCCGTATTAACGGATAACTCAGGGCACCTTTGCACCCGAAAAACCAAACACCGCCGCCGGCATCTACACCTACGACTACGCGACCCCGTCCCTCTCTCCGACCCAGCGCCTCACCCACCTGCCCATCGACGAACCAGACCTGCACCCACTCGGCCTCGCCTTCGACGCCGCCTCCTCAACCCTCTACATCGCGAACCACGCGCGCCACCGCCCGTCGCACATCCTAATCCTGCACGTCGACCTCGCCGCGCAGCCCTACACCACGACGCTGATCGCGCACCTCACACACCCCCTCCTGCACGCCCCCAACGCCATCCTCTCCCTCGGCGGCGGCGAATTGCTAGTTACCAACGACCACGCCCTCCGCGCGAGGCGGTCGAAGCTGCTCAGCAGCCTGGAAACCTTCTCGGGCGCTCCGGGCGGGAGCGTGGTGCACATCGCGACCCGGACACCGCGCACCGCCCGCGTAGTCGCCCGCGTGCCGTTCGCGAACGGGATCGTCGCGCTGAACGAGAGCGCGGTGGTGGTTGCGTCGTCGGCGCGGGGGGCGCTGTACGTGTTTGCGCGCGAGCGGGACGAGGAAGGGGGGTTCGCGCTAAGGCTGCACAAGACAGTGAGAGTCGGTGCCGCGGTGGATAACCTCAGCACCGACGGCGATGTGGTGCTGGCGGCGGGGCATCCGTGGGCGCTGGGCTTGATGGGGGTCGCGCGGCGGCGGGCGGGGTGCGTGGTTGACGGGAGTGAGGTGGAGCGGGAGGCGTGTGGGTGCGAGGCAGCGAGTTGGGCGGCGGAGTGGAGCGAGGCGGGGGGACTGCGGGAGGTGTTTCGGGATGATGGAAGGGGGTTTTGCAGTAGTAGTTCGATGGTGAGGGATGGGGTGCGGGGCGTGGGGATTGTGAGTGGGCTGTATGAGAGGGGGATACTGGTGTTTGAGCCGTAGGGTACGATATGATATGATATGAATGATATAATATGATGCATGTATCTACAGTCTCTATCACGGACCTAATCAAACAACATTCTTCAACTCCTGCCCCGCCAAAAACCGCCTCAAGTTCCACGCAATCAGCGCCTCGGGGTTCTGCGGCCGCCCGCCCGCCGCGTGCGGGCTCACAATTGTATTCGGCGTCTTCCACAGCCGGCCGCCCTCGGGATACGGTTCTGTGGCGAACACATCGAGCGCGGCGCCGCCCACACGGCCCTGCTCCAGCGCATCCGCCAGCGCGTCCTCGTCGACGCTCGTCCCGCGCCCGACGTTGACGACCCACGCGTGCTTGGGCAGCAGCGCTAGCCGCTCCGCGTTGAGCGCATTCTGCGTCGACGCATCGCCGGGGAGAATCATGACGAGCGCGTCGGCGGTGGGGAGTACGTCTTTCAAGTCCTCCGTGGCGTGGACCTGGATGCCGTCGCGCACGCCGCGGGAGCGGGCGACGCCGGACACGCGGGCGCCCAGCGCGACCAGCCAGGGCGCCAGCGTCTTCGCGATGTTGCCGAAGCCCCAGACGACGACGTTAGCGCCCTGCAGCGACGTGAAAGCGCCCGCGGGCCTGTCGGGCTGGGGCCCGCCGAGGTGGCCGGGCCACTTGCCCTGCAGCTGGGAGTCGCGCATGTCGTGCAGGCGGCGGGCGGCGGCGAGCAGCAGGGCGAGGGTGTGTTCGGCGACGGTGTGGTCGTGCAGGCCGGAGCCGGTGGTCAGGACGACGTCCTTGCTGAAGCCGGCGGCGAGCACGTCGTTGGGGCCCGCGGCCAGCGACTGGATCCAGCGCAGCTGGGTGAGGCGCTGGGCGGCGTCTTTGAGGTTCGCGGCCGAGTTGGTCCACGTCACGAGCACCAGGGCGTCGGTGTGCTCCTGCGGGATCGGCTGCTTGACGTCGTACGGCACGAGGTCGACGCTGTAGCCCTGCAGCAGCGCGGGGTCGAGGGCGAGCGAGGTGGGGTAGAGGAGTTTGGGCATCTTGACAATGGGTGGCGCGGTGGTGTAGAAGGCTTTGCGGGGAATGTGGGCGGAGAGCTGGCGCAGGCGGTGCATTGGGGCGGATGGGGAGGGGACGAGGTTTATGGGGTGCCTGTACTGTATGGCTCCGTTGCCGATGCGCGTCGGCGTTTGAATGCGGGGTGGGGCGCTCGGGCGTGCGACCGAGGTGCGGCGGACAATTTTCCCGTGGGAGAGGAGCCGGCAATTGAGCAATGATTGAGCAACTGACGCAACATCTGGGACCAGCTCCGGGAGCTCCTCCATCCCGTCCCCCTCGTTGGCGCCAGGTCTTTGTGTACATCGATTTTGACATCTGCGCAGAAATGACGAAACTAGACTACACGCAGACGTCCATTTTCGACAGAGTGAATCCTACCTTACTCAACGATTATGCGTAGAGAACCGACACAACAACACTCAAGGCGATTGACGTGAAGAGCGTTGCTTTACTACACGTTACATCACCACTCTGAATCACTGCTACTGTCAACACTGAGAGCCACCCCTTCATGCCATGCAGCCCGTCAAACGTGCAGATATGCGGTCCCGGCCTTGATACATGTCAGTGTTCCTTCTTCGATCTAATGTACCCCAATGCAGCAGCCCCACCCACCACCATGGCCGTCAGGAACAGGAAGACCGAATCCGCCTTGCTCATCTTGCAGCGACTCAACAGCTTTTGCATATAGAACGCCCAGTAGCATACGTCGACGCCGGCTCCTCCACAGATGATGGGGTTGACATACAGCTTATGGCAATTCAAGTCAGTCCAGCCAGCCCCACAACGGCCCTCGCACCGCACAGTTCCGAGTTTGATCGCTAGTAGCTGCGACCGTCAGCCGGATTCACTTCACACAATGGATTGGACATACAGTGCCCCCGGCGGCATTCAGCACTGCAACCACCGCGTCGATTATCACCCCGACCCGGCCCTGCAGCACATGCATCCAGTGCGACGCTACCCCGAGCAGAGCGGCAATGATCGAGACTGCACCCACAAAAGCAACGAAGCTCAGCGTTGATGGTATCTTGCCATAGTGATGGCCTTTAATCAGCGTTGTCGAGAGCCCGAAGACGACCATGGCAAAGAGAACTTGCGTGCCGCGCACGGCGAAGGTGATGACAGGGTTGGTTGAAGCCATGGCTATAGGTGGGAGAGCAACGGTGGTGGGTGGATGTAGTATGCTGGAGAGCAGCAGAAGAGAGCAGTACAGACGGAAGAGCGAAGTTCGGACGGAGATGCGGCGTGGTGCGCGTACTTATGCGTTTCGCAGTGTGCTATGTATTAGTGTCCAGCATGATACACGGGTACTGGCACAGCCACTCATCGCTCTATCACCCCGTGTCTGTGGTTCTACAGTCATTTACGGAGTCGCGAAGTGTTGGGTGCGCTTTCATGGCACGGTTTCGCGGGCGACGAGCACGAGACTGGCGTGGTTGGACACTGCCACACAACCAGGACGGTGCAACATGTCGACGGGTAATTACCGCTCGACACACGTAGCTAAGCAGCCGAGCGCGTAGGTTCCTTCACCAAGAGTTTGTCTGTAACAGGTTAAAAAATGACTGTAGTATTGCGAGTCGCTCTTTTAGTGCTGTGCTGCTTGTGCTCGTCTGACGAGACTATCGGGCCAAGCATTGACTTGAGCTACTGTCAGTTTGGATTTCTGGGGTTATGAGCCTTCCTGCTATACAGACAGCTTTTTGAAGTGATCTACCCTACCGCGCTCGGTATTAGCCCGTTGCTACTATTGGTAGAAGAGTTGAGTACCTCCTCGCTGAACCGTCGCATCTGTTCGGGATGATTCCAAGGTGGGCTGGAGCGAATTACAGTCCAACACTTTGGGTGGGGGATACTCTTGGAGATGTGCACGACAGCAATCAATGCGCAGTCCTTAGGGGCACCAACCGCCCGTAGGTTGCCCGCATTTGTATAGCGCGGGTGCGCTGAAGGACGTGGCCACATGGCTTCCTCTTTACAGGCGTTTAGGTGTGACAAGTCTGCCAGTTACGGAAGGTGTCGGACATGATTGGGTTGCTCGGTGACTGCTCGCGCGAATAGAGCTGAGGTCGGCAGCATTCTATCTCGACTGGTAGCCAAGACCCAGCTCTTACGAATCAATAGTAGCGGTGATTGAACGCCTGGTGATACGCTGCTGGCAAGCGTAGTGAGACGATCCACGGTATCGAAATGATATCGAATCGTCGCTATACTCAGTGGCGAGACGATTCTGCAGAGAATTCCGTGATACCTTATATCTCGTTCACTCAGGGGAGTCTGCGCATGACTGAGAAGACTCGCAATATTGACACGGTACGCGTCTCTTAGCTCGGACAAACTAGAGGGTACAGTCTCTGGCACCCTTTACGCGGTCCCGGCCAGGTCTGGGTCCATGATAGTTCCGGAGCAGACAACTGAACGTAATTTGGGACCATCATTCTCGTGTGGTTACTGTGCCTGGGGTATGTCAACTAGCATTCAGTGAGTGATGGGCGCTGGATGCGGCGTAGCAAGTACACTGAGGTGGAAGGAACTCTGGTGAGCGGTACGGCTGATGAAAGCAGCTCGCCCTACAGACTTCGGTGTGTGCGTGCACTCGAGTAGATAGCTTGTCGGTCCTGAGAGGCGCAATGGGCAGGTTCTCGTATGTGAGTCGAGTTGGCGTGCTGCCGATGAGGTGCAAGCGCTGATACTAGAGGTGGTGCGATAATGTATCATAGGGGAGGAGGCGACTGCCCCATCGAGACTGAAGGGCAAGCACAATCAACAGTGGCAGTGCATTGAGGAAGCGAACACCAGAACCGAACAATACTCGCAGACGACGTTCTTGACGATAATATTAGTATCGCTGTTTGATGATAACATCCTTGTGTCATGGTAGTCACCCAATATGTTACGACCTTCGACCCGTAATTATGCGCGCTTGACCAAGCAAGCGCATGCCTTCCACCTCCGCTAACATATAAATCGCAATATACAACCGAAAAACGAGAGACACATCATAAAGTTCAGCCGCCGGGGGCAGCACGCTGCTACTGTACGCCAACGCTCATGTTCTCGAATCCAAGCTCCGCCCACAAATTCCGCTCATCGAAACTCGTCACGATCCAGCCGGGCAGAACGGTCTGCCCGGGGCCGGACGAGACCGGGAAGAGGTAATTGAAGGCGTCTATGATTTTTGCTGACGTGCGATCGGTCAAGGATGGTCGGCGGGAGGGATCGTCTCGCTGTGACGGTCTAGGGTGATATTGAGAGCGCGGTGTTGCGCCTTGCGTGAAACTTTGTTGCCGCTGTTGCTCGTTGTGGTGTTGCCGGTTCCGTGCTGTGGCTGACCGCTGGCTGCCGTGCCCTTCATCGACAGGGTTGAGGACGTTTGGGTAGGCAGTGGGTGCCTGCGCCGGAGTGAATGTTGCTGGAGCCAACTCTGTGGAATCGTTCATCACCTCGTCTTCGTCGAGCAGGTCTTTCATGTCCTGTGCGAATGTTATTAAAGATCCAGGTAATGCGAAATTAGCGTGGGTCTGGTTAAATAGGAGGAATCTTCACAGACACCATGGGACAGCACATTGGTGGCAATAGAAGCAATGGATACTGAGAAGGGTACCTACTATTCTCAGTGTGGCCGTTAGCTTCTGCAAAAGCCCCGTCGATATCGAATATGCGCGGACAGCCATGCCATTGTTCACACTCATGATCCGCAGCCACCGCAACAGTATCTTCAGCGAAGGAATTAGTCCCTGGGGGTCATCCGAGTTGTACGCGGCGATCTCGAGACACAATACAACTAACGCCTGCATGATAATGTGGGTCATTTGCCACCATGGCCCAGTCTCATACAGCCTAACAAGGTTGTCTGGGGTAGCGTCGGGCAGGAGCATGGCGACAGATTGCGCTGCCTCGACGCAGTGCAGTGCTGCTCTTCGGTTGAAAGTATCCAAGTTTGCCATTTGATTCGACGTCCGGCGGTCGATTCGACATAGGCAAGGACGCGTGATTAGGATCTTTGTGCTGTGATATAGTATGTTGAGTATGTTCTGCTCACGAATGTAACGATGCCCACCAAAGCTCGATCTGTTGAGGAAATTGAGACCTTGAGGAAGAGCTGCTGCCCAAGCGTTAAGTTCATCACTCTGATGTGCAATCGTTCTTTGGATAGAGTCCCACGATTCTCTTACAGTGTTGGCACTGTACAGCTCCAGTGCAGCCTGAGTGATCTCACCAAGACTCACTATGCTTCTGAGGTAAGAGCCAGAGTTGGCAGGTCCAGGGCTGCTTGCGGTGTATTCGTTGCTCTGCTCGGTAGTTCCCCGAGATACAAGAGGTCGCTTTCCCTTGTCGCCGAATCTAGACTCAATTATTGATTCAACGATTTCCTCAGACGCGAGGGGAAGTGGAAGTGGAACTGAACACAGGTGGCCCATACCCAAGCTTGGGCGTCCGTTCAGGGTCGATACGAGGCGTTCGAGTGAATAGTGTGCCCACCAGATTCTAGCGTTAGTTTCTTTGCTTGGTGCACTCGTAGTGCCATCCTCGTTTCGCAAATGCAGGCCCAGAGCAAAACCAGATCGCACCGCGCTGCCGATAAGAATCCAAGATCTGGCCTTCGTTAGTGAGTGACCGCAGGTGACAACACAGCGGAAAACTGACCGATTGATGTGCCCAGTGCATAGGTAGTAGAAGGACAAAAGTCCTGTCAAGAATAAGTGCTTGCAACTCAGAATTCCAGCGATCAAAATTCACCTGTGATCTGCACGTGCGGAAGGTCTGGGTGAGAGAATCCCCAAGGATCTTTTAGACTCAGCAACCAGGCCCGAGAGTGGTATATCAGATGGTCGCGGTCATCAGCTTGCCAATCAGCCTTGGTCAGATGACTGTACACCGCGCCGATAGCGAAGACCAGATTCAATGTTGCTTGCCACGTTCGGGGCACCTTAAATGGAGTGCCACGTTGCAAAGAGACATAGTCTGAGGGTAGTCAGGAAGGCTCTAAACTAGTCGCATTCAGTCTGCAGCTGCGCCTGGATGAATCTCGGGCGGACTGATCTCACGTACAATGATAGAACCGATCGACAAATGTTTTCTTTGCCAGGAGTGGAAATGAGTTTTGCACACTCTGCATGAAGGCTTGGAGCAATTTCTCTGCAATCTCGAATGGCGGCATTTCCAATGGGTCAACCAGCAGGTCTGACTCGAATGTTTCGTCGTTCAAATAGAAGTTCACTTTGCTGCTCGGCATCAACGGGGACATGGCCTGATTGCTGTGTCGTCTCCGATGTACTTCCAACCGACCATCGACTGCTTCTTCGTCTCCAGGGGTACCCCAAAAGCATTCGTCCGTATTCGAAGAATCTACGCTGTGTAAGCTGCGTAACCACTGTATCTCAGATGCTTTTCCGATGAAGCCAGCAGCCCTTGTCTCCTCGTCTCGCATAAGGTCTTCGTCGAGTATATCTTGTCCTCCTGAGCTTCCGACTCCGGCGCTCACATCGGCTTCGCCTCGCTCTTCGTCTCCGATCGGTCCGCGGTACTTGTCTATTGGGTCTCCGACGGCGGCTGCGGCATCAGCAACATCTGCAAGGACCTGTATGGATCAGTCTACGCCCAGTACTGTTCCGTGACCAACTGACGCCTGCGAGCAGATCATCGATGCGAATCTGTCGGTCACCCGAAACCTGTGGTCGTAGATCCCGCAGTAGGGCAATCATGTCCTGATTGTTGGTAGTAGCCCTGTCGCGTTCAGTGACCGAGTGGACATCGTAATTGCTGCAACACACGTCTTAAGCCGGTCCTTGCGACTTGATGCATACACACACGACACGGAATTCTCGCTGCAATTCGAACATCGTGGCTGCAGCCCATTGCACCTGATCTTGCGCGACCTACAGCTCAAGCACGCCCGGCTAACGCGGTTTTGTCGGACCACAACGCTCTTGCGAGGGGGCTCACTGCGATGTTTATGCAGCCGAGGGATCTGCACTTTCGAGGATGCTCCAACGCCTGAAGCTGGAAAGTTCGGATAAGACATGCTGTCACATTGACGCGTCACCGGACGAGGAGCGATGCGCAAACCAAGCGATCGAATCGCGGGTGTGGCAGTCTGAAGACTCGCCGAAGGATCGAACTTCTTCGGTCACGAACCTACAGGACATGCCAAACAGCAGAATCTGATGGCTGGAAGGGTCGGGTAGACGATGATTGGTCGGAGCTATACCCATCGCAAACTGACCTATGATCGCGCAAGGACATGCCCGACTAAAAGGAAAGGCCGTACGTCATGACCAGCTCAATAGGTCCGGTCATGCATCCCGACGGGTGACAAAGTGTGATCTAGGCTCTAGCGGCGATGATGAGATCTCCGATCGAGCGTGCCGCCAGCAGATTTCCTCTCCAGACATTGAAACAGGTGTAAGGTCCGGGTCATAATGCATGTCTGATAACCGTTCAGGGGACTACACTGCTGAGATCCTCAATAGAAGAGGCGCGTTTGCTGCACACGATGCCGAGCTCGGAGGCAAACTACTGGAGAGAAGGAGGAGGTGTGTTGAGGTGATTAAACTCTCCAATTCAGGGTTGGTCCCGTCCCTTATATACTGCCCTGACATGAAGTCCGCGGAGCACATCTTGACCATTGGAGGCCATAACCTGGAATTGGTGAAGTAACGGAAAGCTCGTCCGAAGCCAATCGCAGAGCGACTCGCCTGATACACTAGTGTGAGATCTTGGCAAAGGGCAAACCCCGCTCCAAACCATTCATCCGACGCGTGAAGCAAAGTCATTCAATGATGGCAGAAGATAGCAGCGCCGAACAAGCGGAGAGTTCCTATTTCACTCACGAGCCGCCACCAAAAGACTTGAAAACGAACACCACGCTTGCTCGCGAGTTCATTAACCGCCATGCCAACGACAATCGCCGTCTTGTGCTTGTCACGTCAGGTGGTACCACCGTGCCTTTAGAGCAGCAGACGGTGCGCTTCATCGACAACTTCTCTGCGGGAACTCGCGGTGCCACCAGTGCCGAGTATTTCCTGCAGAATGGATACGCTGTCATATTCCTTCATCGCCAATTTTCGCTACTTCCATACTCGCGGCACTATTCGCATAACACTCGGTCCTTCCTTGATTACATGAAGGAAGAAGATGGACGTGTCACCGTTGACCAGCAACACCAGGAGCAGATGCTGCACGTGCTGCGCCAGTATAACGAAGCCAAACGCGATAACACACTGCTTATCTTGTCATACGTTACTATCACCGAGTACCTGTGGAACCTTCGCGAAGTCGCTCAATTGATGCAGCCCCTGGGGCCAACAGCCATGTTCTATCTGGCAGCTGCTGTGTCAGACTTCTTCGTGCCCCAAGACCGCATGGTCGAGCATAAGATTCAGTCCAACGAGGAGTTCCTCCAGAATGCCGAGGTTGGTGGGCACGGCAAAACACCTGCCGCTCGCACCGAAGGTCGGAGTCTTGTCATTGACCTAGAGCCCGTACCTAAATTCTTGAAGCAGCTCGTGGATGGTTGGGCGCCAGAGGCTATGATTGTAAGCTTCAAGCTCGAGACCGACCCATCGATACTTGTCAAGAAAGCGCAGTACGCGCTTAACAAGTACTCGCACCACCTTGTCATCGGCAATCTGCTTCTCACACGAAAATGGGAGGTCGTGTTTGTTTCCGTCCTTGATGGCGAGAAATGGATTCGAGTGCCGTCGAATCGCCGGACCAAGAGTTTCTCTGGTGTTCACTCACTTGTAGGCTCCGCGGACCAGCTGACAAAGACTGCAGCGGTCGAAGCTGACAGATCGGTCAGCGGCCTGGGCAGCATTCCAGTAGGCGAACCAGCAGTGGAGATCGAGTCTCTGATCATACCGGAAATTGAGACCATGCATACAAGACTTATAGCACAAGCTAGGGGATCATAACAGTTCCTATTAGACCACACGTTCAGAATTGCTATTTATGGTTACTGAACATGCGTCAACAATATGGTACAAGGTGATTGTGCGGTTGAAAGTTTTATTGCAGATAGCATCCCAACCGTCCTTCGTCCATGACCAAGGTCTCTCGTCCTGATCTCGTGTCATTCAAAGACTCAAATACAACGCGTCAATAGGGTCTACGTATTTCGAAAGACCAAGACACTATCTCACTCGCCCTGTCCCAGTGGACCCTTACGATTCCGACTACCAGGTCTGCTCAACAACTCGTGAAACAACATTGGACGAAGCGCAGCTCGCAGTACCCAGCCTCTCGGCGGATCTCAGATCCCCAAGAAGCCGCCCTTTCATGTGTGCACAGCCCAACGAGGACATCGAAGGGCATCGAAGCAGTGCGGGCTCGTCCGACAAGTCACATCCACGTTTGTATTCTGTCGTAGTCTTGATCACGACCTAGCTGTGAAGAGCATGGTCAACTCTACCCATCTAGATGATGTTCGAAAAGGGCACTTACCTGTACAGAGAGCATGAGATTCTGGTGGGCTGAACCGACACAGCTCTCTACTTTGGTTTCCGATCACCAACCGTACGCTACTGCCCTCTCTGGATCCACAATAGGTGTCTTCTCTGTGGCTCTTAACGTCAAGCCCAAAGCAAGGTTACAGAACCCGGCGAACAATAGCTGCCACGAGCGTACGAGACAAAAGATAATGGCGTCCAGCAACATGTGGAACGAAATGGAAAGCATGATGTTGTGGTCAGACTGTCTGAACATGGACTCAATCTGGATATTAACTTGAACTGGATTAAGATGCAGACGTATTTGGTTGTGTAAGGTGAGTACAAGGCTCTCGGTGTGAGGGGCCGGATAACGTATGGACTTGCGCGTCCTACATCCACAACCCTTAGATCTACGTGGATACTGACGAGTCTGTAGATCATTGCGCACGAGGTCCCTTGTGCTTACATTGCCCATGCATGAAAGCAAAGGTGGTTGTCATCATAGTAGGCCACTGGGTTGACTCAGCTTGCTGACATCACTGCAAGAACAGTACTCGAAGATGGCAACTACGACGACTGCAATCCAAATTATGTTGCTGTCCTTGATGGAATTTAGCATTGTATTCGGCTTTATTCTCCACATAGAATTGCGGTGTCCAAACGTTGATGATTTCAAGACACGTTCGCCAAGAACAACGAGCGAAACCTTGTTTCAATTCCCCTGACGAGTATGCAGCGCGTTGATCGTCCATCGTCGCGTTCTGCCAAGTCACGGAAATTGTCACTCCGGAGAGGGGACGATTTTACGCCTCGCTGCAGGCTTATCGCTGGTAAAGAGAAGAAGAGATCGCCGGCCTGGCTCTCCAAAGCTGCAACCACCGCAGGGACAACTCCATTTGGTACAGAGTTCAGTCTCGACCCCAATACATGAACTCTATGTACCCGACCGGCGCAGAGAAAAGGCCGGTTGAAATCTGCTGGCTCGAAGCTAATTGCTTCTTATAGTTGATGCTGACGCTGGATTACCCAACGTAATTTCGCTCGAACGACTGGCTGCAGATGAGAAAGCGCCTTCAATGGTGTCGGCGACTGCGCTAGCATTCTGGAGCAATAGCCCGTCGAGAAGCTAGGAAGCGGAGAACGTTGGGCTGCGAGCGCCAAGGCGGGCCGTTGCGAATCTTCTGGTGCCTGTTCGAAATCAACTTTACTCTATGTCAAGAGTGTCCCTGTTGAATAGCACTCTAATAGCAAAATTCGGCCACTCAATGCATGTCGTACTTTTGGTCTCTAATGAAAGTACCTGGTCCTGTAATAGCTTCGAACCCCCGTAGTTCGTGGCTGAGACGTCAGACATGGGTGCTGGGACACAACGTGAAGGGATGCAACATCGGGTTCGGCGCCCGATAATCGTCGAATTGTACAGGTCAGGCTGGTGAGCGCTGAGCGCTTCCCCTACTCGATGTTGTTGTTGTGATTGCGTGGGTCATGTACAGGAGCCAGCCTGTTCCGATTCGCTAAAGTCATAACTGGAAGTTCGCTTTTCTTTTGCAGGCCACGGCGACATCTCGAGTCCTCCCACGTCATTACTGCCAACTCGGCTCAATTCTCAACGCCTTGTTTCGGGCCTCGAGTCGACCTGCCTGTGTTCGTCCTCTCGATCAAGCGGATGGCTGTTGGTCACGGGCAAGTTACATTCCAATCATGCTGTACAACGGCTACCGTGAGTGACCGATGGACCTAACGTCGCCTGCCTCCACGCCGCACAAATGAGCTTGCGCAACAACGGCTTTCCGCTAGCTGCATGGCGGATGCACTGCTGCGATTCCGACATTAGAGGCGTTCGGCAGCTTTCTCTAAGCATGGGTCTGAAAAACTTCGCCGCTGCGAAGCGCTGCAGGACTAGGCGCCGTCTCAATGTTTTAGAGCATTGCCGACGGTGCACTGTCGTCAACAAGGCATGTTGACATGTCAGCTCTCCCTTGCTTGCTTTCTTCTCGACGATGCTCCCCTGTTCTAGTCGACGCCCTCTTATTGGGCTGCGTGACCGCGATTGGTACAGAATCCTCCTGCACCGCAAATCCACGCAGCCACCGTCAGACCGAGATCTCTCTGCCGCTGCGGCCCATCGGATTATCCATACAGCGGCGATCTGTATAATCCGGGGAGGCGGTCCAACGTAACTCTTCCTACCCCCTAGCCTTGCAATAATCTTTCCTACCCCAGCCACCGCCTGATGCTGGCAACTGGAGTCTGGAATTGTCCCTAAACAACCTGTCGCACCGCTCAGATCAAGACCCTGGCCTTGTATTTCTTATATAGCGTGTGAACTACCGAGACTTGTTGGCAAGTAGTCGCGCCCTAGATAGTCCCAGGTTCACCCTTCCTTCCTCTCCTGCCGGCACTGGACCTCCACTCTGCGGACTCTTCGGCAATCGAACACACCATGTCGACCATGACCCACAACCCAGCACAACCCTCTTTATATCCAAGAAAGGCATCGCCGTTCAAGGACCCTCGCCCAGCTCCATGCACACCAGCGAAGACCGCAAGAGCCTGGGATGAGTACGAGAAGCAAGCGAGGCAGAACGCAAGGAGGAGAGATAGGGCCTCGCAAGCGTCTCAACCACAGCGTAACTCAGCATCGTCAGACGTCGGCAAGGGATCTCGCTCATCGAGCTCCACTGCAAGATCAAGCTATGACTTCAAGTTCCGCAACATGACGATGGCCACTTCAGCTGTTGCTATCTGCAAAAGCTGCAAGCAATCCATCACATACACCTCGGGGATCTGCGAGCGTTGCAAGAAGACCATCATCATACCTTCTGCTGGTGAATCCACTCCTCCTCTCAGCCCCGCAGCTCGAAACTTCGCATCCACCGACCTACACTTGCTTGAGAAGCATACTTCACAGGAGGATTCCCGCATACCACCATCAGACTCGCCAAGGCGCAAAGCTTACCCACCTGCACTGCACTTCACCAACCCACCAGTCCGACTCGACTCCCTACGACCACCACCAAACACGCAAGATCTTATGGAAGCCAATCGCAGCCGGAAAGCGTCTTTGACCGACCCCAACGAGCCCTTTCTTCGCTTGCAGTATGCCCACCCATATGTGCCTAGCACATACTCCATCCCCTCAACACCAACCTACCCGCCCACCGGCCCACCATCAACAATCCCGTCTCGTGTCTCCACCCGCCCATCCAGCTTCGCGCAAATGACGTCACCACTCACACAAAACGCCACGATGCCATCGTATGTGCGACAGAATAGCGCAACACCGTCCGAGTTGAGTCACCTGCATCACTACGCACCCGTCGCCTTGGGCTCATCTCCACCTTCCCTCCACCACGTAAACAGTGCCCTGCAGAACACCACTTCAGCGTGGGATGACTGGGATTCTGACGGCGAGGAGAAAGTCCGCCTCGTTGGGTACTGGAAACGTGGTGGAAAAGAAAAGTCCACCGCTCAGGCCAGCACACCAAATCTCAGGGGCAAAGAAAAGGAGCGTGAGCGGGCAGACAGCAAGGTCTCCTGTTCTAGCAGTGAAGAGCGACACAGCCCCGAAAGGCGCGAGAAAAAGAGCAAAGCAAGCCTGGATCGTAAGAGCGAGAAAAAGCAAAGCAAGGAGTACCAACGAAGCCAGAGCAGGTTGAGTGAGCACGAGGACACAAAAATGAGCTTGGTAGAGCGCGAGAGCTACAAAAAGCACAAGAAGAGGCCAAGTGGATTGACCCGTTTCTTCACTTGCGGACGTTGATCAGGCATTCACGACATCATGATAATGTTGGTGTTAGCGGTTTATGGATTTATTTGTTTTTTGTACTGCGAAAATGTATAGAGACGATCGGGAGACGTTTCACGATTGTGCTTGTACTTGTTGCTCCGGGCATCTTTACGACTTCACGACATTATTACGAGACAGCATTGGCTATGGCCTGGCGGAGCGAACGGTCTTGCTTTTGGTATTAGCATATGTAGCTGACAATAACGGGCGACCTTCAGTGCGTCTGATGACTGAACTACATTGAATTATCACCAATCGGAGACTCAAGCAGTCGTGCTTGTTGATCATTTGCTGAACTTTCCATGTTATCGAATATCGACAACAAAACAAACATTCCGCCACAGCCACTAACACGACCTGAGTTCCGGAATTAATTAACAAGATACCAGAAAATAGCGTAGATACCGAAGGTTTTTCGCACCAGTCCCCCCACACAGTCGATTGTGCGAAGGGGCGATTCTCTCTGCCCTCAATTACATGAACTTCGACCCCTCATCCATGCCAACGCCAGCAGCAGCATGCTTGCACTTGCGCAACCCAACCTCAACGTGAGCTGCAGCATCCTGGCGCTTATCCATTTGTTCTATTTACGTTTCCTGGGCAGAACCAGGGCAAATTTGTAAGGCGGTGAGGTGTACGACCCCAGACCTTATGTGCGCACAGATCATTTCCAGCGACCACATTCTGCACTCGGCTCTGCGACTCGACGCGCCCTCCCTCGACTACGACCCGCTTCCAGCAAGCCTCAGCCGCATTATCGAGATACGCAATGGTTTGGTCCCGCGAAAAAGCAATAAGAGACTGGGAACAAGAGGAACTGGTGGTGTGATCATCCATTTGAAACTCCTTGTGTGGTCCGCATCTGCACAAGATGACATGGTGCCTGCATGTCGATTCGAACAGCGAGCGCTCGCAGCCCGTTTTCTCCGCTTATGCATTCAGCAGCGACCGTTCTGAGGCCAGACCTGCAGACGGCGCAGCAAGTGTGCAGTGCTGCAGACTCCGTGTACCCGTCTTGCGGTCGTCTGGCCGGGAAACGATGTCGCATTGGGGGCCAGGTGATCAGGCGAGACGCGAGTGTGGAGAATTTGCGGCACGTCAATCTCGTTTGTGGATGCTGTGGTCGCGATGCAGACATCGTGGGCAGAGGTTACACAGAACTCGGCAGACGCCTTGTGATGCATCGTCGTTTTGTTGACGATCGCAGCTTTTGCTTCTTACAGGGTATCGAAGATCCATGTCGTTCTCACTTCCACAGCAGTGTTTGCTGTCTTGCTTGAAGATGTGGCTGGCGGTACACTGCAGAAACCTGGCAACGGGGAACAGGTGGCGGGCAGAGGATGCAGACGAGATCTCCCTTGTCTTCAGACGCTTGGTGGAGGCTGATTGATGCAAGCCGCGTCAGAAAGAGGCTTCCTGTCAAGATGTCACTTGTCATCCGGTCAACCCATGCGCCTTGAACTGGTTTGGGAAATGTAGGCTTTGATCACGCGAACAATGTTCCGAGTTCATGACAAGGTGTGGTTCCTGACCAGACGAGTTCTTGCTCAGACAGTGATGGGCCGTTCAGCTCATGGCCGCGTCTTTGATGGTACACGAGCGTTACAGCTCCTGGCTAGTACTTACTGTGCTGCACCCAGGAACGTCCAACCTGCTACCGACGCAGCTGCAAGGGTAGGAACAAAGGATCAGTAGCATCAATGAGAAGCTTTGTTGTTGCTGCAGTCGCGCTCAAGTGGAGGGTTCTAATCGAAACCGAAGAGTCTATTTGCTGAGCTAGAGCAGACGTCAATCCTTCGAAACTGGCAAAAGGCGACTCGGGCGTGCCTGAGTGCGGTACGTACCACTGGTTCCCACTAGAGCCAGTCGTTCAGGACGCCTTGCATTGGGGTACCGTGTCCGTGAGTTTCTAGTAAGACGCGAAAGTCGTCGATCAGACACGACTAAGCTATGTTCTGCGCAGCACGTACTTGACCAAGAATTACATGAGCGTATGCAGCTTTTGTCTAGAGAGGACAACTCGTGCTTGACACTACTCACGACCAGCTTCTGACCAGACTGGATCCCTGAGAACGCAAGGTGAGCCACGTCAGTCCTGCAGAGTGGTGAAGTTACTTGCAGAACGCTGGTTGAAAACAAGCATGCTGTGTACCGCCTCTCTAGTTCTTGGTGGTTACGTCCATGCGCAGGGGTTTTGCTCCTCAAGGAAGAGCGGTGAAATAAACAATGGCATTGAGTGCTAGGATCAGTTTGAACGTGTCGAACTGATATGGAGTGTAAACTTCCGTGGAGCCCGCCTCGGGACTGACAACAATCTATCAATTTCATAAGTACTTGACGCTCCGGGAATAAGCGGACAAGACGTGCCAATGGGTTCTACGAGTGGTACACTCCGATGAGCTGATTCAGACTTGACGTCGCTAACGCATATAAGTGGAAACGCGATGAAAGCTTTTGTACGAAGCAATCCTGCTGTAGCGTTGATCGCGTCGGCCACCCGTACAACCCCTTGAATCCCTTGCACTCTTCAGTCACGCCACTGGCATATGAAGAGTCTCCAGATTGACACAGGTACAAAGACCGGCGGGTGTCTCCTCCAGAGTTGGCATTCTGTTCAAGTGAGGACAAACGAGAAATTTATGAGACGCAGCATTGTATCACAGCCAGCAACACCATAAGAGGGCAGTGGTGTGGACATCAAATGAATCGCTCCCGGTTTGCGCTCACTACGACTTGTATTGGCACGCCTGAATGCACTCATACTACCTCGGGCATGAACGGCGTGCAGACGGCGTCCCTCTCTTATGTCAATACGGGAAATATGATCTCAATGATGTCGCTCTCTAGAGCCGAGGCGTCGCGATTTGGCAAGAGAACTCCTGTCAAGAGGGAGAACTGCTAGGTTTTCGAAGTGATTCTACAACAACAGGAGATGATGATCTGCCCATCATGTGCACGTAGTCCTCGCAGGGCTGCGCTGCCCGCACATGCTCGCGGGTGCTTCGGCTTGCCCTAAACTGCGGGCACTGGTGGAGGTGTGGATCTAGCGGAGAAACGACTCTCAAAGGGTGCGGGCAGGTTTAGCGGTGCTCAGATAGTTATTAGGTACAAGCGTGAAGGAGAAAGACCTCGGTAACAGTGCGGCATTTTGACCGTTAGTCGCACTACGTCAGTGGTCGTGTTCGCTGCGATCAGAAATGAGCTTTGTCTGGTCATGGTCTGTCTGTCGTGCGTGGCCTTGAAAGCATACAATGCGCAATCTCGGAAATACGATGTTCGACAGTTTTGCGGGGCATAAATACGATAGCACTTCGATAGCACAGCGATCAGCGTGTAAGGCCACGTCAGGCTACACGATCAATTGATCTCTGTCAGGTCAAACAAGCCGTTCCTGTCACCAGTGCTTACCCTCAACCGCGTGCTATCCGTCGGTTGTCACTAAAGCTTGTGATGGCCGGCTGGTTCGGTGCCTAGTGCGCAGTGGTCCGAGTGCAGTCGGCTTGTGTGAAGATACGAGACGCGGGAAAGGTTCTTGCCTGCGCGGCGCATTACGCCGGCTCGCCTCACGTGCTATGTTTGGAACCCAGCCATTTTCTGCGACCCAGACACGACAGCACAGATTTCTGCTCGGCGCAGACGAGTCTGACGTAAAAAGGAGGGAAAGGTTGTCTTGGAGGCTCTTGGGATTCCTGCCCAGCCGGCCACTGCGGTTGCGGCTTCAGATTCGCTCGGTGCGCTAGGCCAGTTCCTCGTTGCTCGTGTGGGGTTGGCGCTGACTTCCCCCTGACCCTGCCTCGACATAGCTAGAGCGTGGCTTCAAGTGCAATCTCTGCTTCACACCACCGGTGCCGCTCAATGCTTGACCAGCCTAAGCTTTTCGCTACACTCTATGCCCGGCCGCTGGCAAGCTCTTCACGTCGACCTACCGTCCACGGGAGAGGCATCGCGGGACCAGACAACGCCTTTGTCATGTGGACAAACAAGTGCAGCCATTGTCGTCACCAATCAGCTCGAGCAGACGCTTAGTTGGTGTACCGGCACGCAAGACACACTTGCTAAACGGACGCTCGTGTTGCGGCGCATTGCTAACCAATCCTTGCGCCCAGGAATAGATGGTAACCTTGACGATGATCACAGCCTGACAGCCCTAACATTGGCCGTGCTCCGCAGGAAATTGCCGCCCTTCCATTTTCGGCTTCAGTTCGGACTTCTAATTGGACTGCTCCTTGAAACGGCGTCCAGCGCTCCACGTCGGCAGCGACGGTCAAAGACATGACTAGGAGGAGGCACTGGATATAACTATGAGACCGCGGGCCTCCCAGAGTTGCTCTCCACCACGCTCGTTGTAGGCAGACCGTCAAGTCCCTTGCCTTCAGCACCCCGAGTACTTTCAGTAGTACTCAGACTCTCGTTAACCTTTGCTGTAATCGTCACTCGCTCGCCTTGCGCACATAATACCAGAACCTCCTTGCATCGATACTACGGTGCTCGTAACTATCCTTACGTTTCGACTACATACGAATAATTCATATTCGACTGCGAATCGCCAAACTACAGGTCGTCATTACCTTTGAGGTCACAAACTTTGGTAGGTTCCTTCTCCTCCAAACCATCGCATCACGGGCTTGGCTGGTAATACCTCCACGCGAGCGCCAAATATAGCGATGGCAAGCACTCCATTAGCCCCATTCGATCTTGAAGGGCAAGACCAACGGCTGTATGATCAATCGGCCTTGGTCTCGTCTCTTTCCGACCGGCTCCTATACTCGATTATTCCTGGACGAACGCTTCCATCCTTACGCCGAGCGTTTGCTTACTTAATCTTACAGATCTCTATCAGCAATGAGGACCTCTATTCTTGCCTTCGGCGCTCTCGCCGGGCTCGCCTCCGCCAACATCAACTTCAGCTGGGTCAACCCCACCTGCGATGTCAACGCCCCCAGCCACTGTCTGACCGGACAGCACTGCGGCGAGGACAACCAGTGTGTCGCTGACATTAAGAGCGACCACTCCAAGATCTCTTCTTCCCACCTTCGCATTGTCCCGGAGAAGAGGCAGACCAAGTACTCGCAGGACGGCCAGTGCGGCCCTGCCCACAACAACTTGCTTTGCGACCCCAACAGCGCTGTCTACAGCGGTTCCTGCTGCAGTTCTTACGGATGGTGCGGCAACACTGAGGGTCACTGCGGCACCGGCTGCTTGTCTGGCTGCGGCAACACTCCCCCTGGGCCTGTCGCCACCACAGCCGCTACCGTCCCTGCCAGGGATGACGGCCGCTGTGGTAAAGACTTTGCCGGCGCCGTCTGCGATCCTAACGGCGCCTACGGAGGTTGCTGTAGTTCTTATGGCTATTGCGGATCTACTGTAAATACTCCTGCGTTTCTGTGACCGGATCTCCATACTAACGAGCATACAGGACGGTCACTGCCTTGTTGCTGATGGCTGCCAGAACGGCTGCAAGGATGCTACCCCTGCTCAGCCCGCTGCCACCACCGCCGACGTTTCTCGTCCTCCTTCTACCACGACTTCCGGCGAGCCTGTTCTCGGAAAGCCCACTAACGTTGACGAGACCCCCGCCACACCCACTGGCGTCCAGACCACCGATGGAAGCTGCGGTGCCACCTTCGGCGACGCCATCTGCGGCACATGGGCTCAGGGATCTTGCTGCTCGATGTACGGGTACTGTGGTAACACCACTGCTCACTGTGGTGAGGGTTGCCAGTCTGGTCCTTGTGTCAACGCGCCCGCTGTTGCTGCTCCCAAGGCCAGCCCTGCTCCCCTTGCCGCTAAGCCTGGTACTATTCAGATTAAGGGCCGCTCCGGTGTCCCTGCCATGCACGCTGGTCTGATGCAGAACGGAAAGGTCGTCTTCCTCGACAAAGTCGAGAACTACACCGAGCTTAAGCTTCCCAACGGCCAGTACGCATACTCCTCCGAGTATGACCCGAACACCCAGAAGCTCACCCCTCTGGCTTACAAGACCAACGCCTTCTGCTCCGGTGGCATCTTCCTTGCTGATGGACGCTTCGCTTCCCTCGGCGGTAACGCGCCTCTCGACTTCATTGACCCCACAGTCACCGACGGTTTCAAGGGCATCCGTTTCCTCAAGCGCTCTGCCACTGATGCTTCCCTCGATGGTCAGGCCTGGAACGAGCCTGGCACACAGCTTGACACTGCTCGTTGGTACGCTTCCGTTCAGATCATGCCTAACAACCAGATCTTTGTTGCGTCCGGCTCGCTGAACGGTCTTGACCCTACCAAGCCTGAGAACAACAACCCCACCTACGAGATTCTCAACGCCGACGGCTCTCCCCAGGGCAAGTCCATCAACATGGAGATCCTGAACAAGAACCAGCCTTACTACATGTACCCCTTCCTTCACTTGATGAAGGACGGCAACTTGTTCGTCCAGGTGGCCAAGTCGGCTGAGATCTTCAACGTCGGCACTGGCAACGTTGTTCGCACGCTTCCCGACATTCCCGGCACCTACCGCACCTACCCCAACACCGGTGGCTCCGTCATGATGCCCCTCTCAAGCGCCAACGACTGGAACCCTGATGTCATCATCTGCGGTGGTGGACCTTACCAGGATATCACCGCACCCGGTGACCCATCTTGCGGTCGCATGAGGCCCCTTGACGCCAACCCCACCTGGGACATGGACTCCATGCCTGAGGGCCGTGGTATGGTTGAGGGTACTCTTCTTGCTGACGGCACCATCGCCTGGGTCAACGGTGCCCAGGAGGGTGCTCAAGGCTTCGGCGTTGCCCAGGATCCTGCCCTTGAGGTTCTTCTTTACGACCCCAACCAGCCCAAGGGCAAGCGCTTCACCACTGGTCCCAAGTCGACCATTGCTCGTCTCTACCACAGTGTTGCCCTCCTGCTTCTTGACGGTACCCTCCTGATCTCTGGATCCAACCCCGTTGAGCAGCCCATCCTCCAGCCCACCGCTAAGGACCCCTACGTCACCGAGTTCCGCAATGAGATCTACACTCCCCCCTACCTCCAGGGCAACCCTACTCGTCCTTCCGCTGTTCAGATCTCCACAAAGGCCCTCAAGGCTGATAGCTCCAAGTTCACCATCAAGTTCAACGCCCCTGCCAACGCCAAGAACGTCAAGGTCAACCTGTACTACGGCGGCTTCGTCACCCACTCTGTCCACATGGGTCACCGCATGTTGTTCCTCGACAACACTGGCTTCAAGGCCGGCGCCACCGCGCAGACCATCACTGTCACCATGCCTCCCAACAGGGCTATTGCGCCTGCTGGTCCCTACGTCATATACGTCCTTGTTGACGGCGTTCCGGCTATGGGTCAGTTCGTCAACGTCTCGTAATTATAATGACAAGATCGCGAGTGGATGAGGTTTTATTTTTCCTTGTGGCTACTTCTTACGTACACCTGTTTGGGATGGGAGGATTGCTTTATACCTGAGTAGCCTGTTAGATGATACTTACGAGGGAACAAGTCCGTTCAATCGGATATGATGACTTACTTTCCTCTTCCATCGATTTTCACCTTGCACTGTGATTTGAGTGACTGTCCTGTGTCGGGAGCCGAGTGATGACTGAATGATTCCGACCAAGGTAGTCGAAGTCGGTCGGGGTGCAGCATACAACATATTATATTTAAGCCAGTCGTGTGTCACCAAGGTATACTCTCGTGCATTGTTTTCGGTGTAAATGAAGACAAGTTTCATAAAGATCCCGTATCCTTCCAACTTCCGCCCATAGTTCAGTCCAGTCGTCAACGTGGATCGCTTCACCTCAAGTCTCGGTTTTCACCCAACTGTGAGAACGATCTCGTGCAACTACATTTTACCCATCCTCTGTCTTACTAGTTGACAAAGTCGGATTAGTGCCATCTACGACTTGTTTAGTCAGTAAAACACTTGGAGTCTTACGTTGCAGGATAAACGGCCAGCTACTACTACACAACGGTAGAGTAGTGAGAACACATAGACACCATGTAGAATACTTTTTTTTTTACCTACGTACAATTAGGTAACGCTTAACTAAATTCTACCTTTGGGTATTATAAGCTACAAGTTCCGTGTTACTGTTAGTTAGCCTTGAAGCTCGCTTATCTGCCACGTTTTCTAAAACTTGAGAGTTGGAGTGCTTGAAGACGGCGGTGATGACCACGTGACCCATAGCCGACCGGGACCGACAGCCACCACATTTCAAAAATAGATGTCCAACGACATCCTCACACGCAAAAAGGAATGACTTTTGTTGGACTTGGTGTCCTTCTCGCTTAGGACTAGCGTGCGTTCTTTTCCTCTAGCGACTTTCCACTACCACCACACAAACTCCACCACCACAGTTCAGACATCACGGCAACAAAAAAATTAATGAGCTGCATCAGCCGTGAATCGAACACGGGGCTAGCCGAAACTGGATGGCAACGGCTAATTTTACCACTAAACCACTGAAGCTGGCGATTGTTGTTGTGAAAGAAAGGGCATTTTGAGTACCTATATATCAGGTTTCCGTCTTCATTCCGTCTCTGTATTCTTGAAGCACGAAATCTCTCTTTCTGTGGGCTTCTCTAGAACGTTGTCTGTGGAAGACTCCACTGTAAAACAGTGCCCTACCTATCAGGCATAAGTCAAGGCCCCGTGCCGGTGTGGGCCTGTGGAGATTTCAAATTAATTACAGCATGGGGCTTGGCGAACAACGACAAGATGATGTTGTCTTGAGACGTTATAGCTCTTGTCTTTCCTGGGCTTACCTTGCCAACAGAGACTCGTAGTCGCATATCTCAAGGACGCAATTCGCGCCACGCGATGCATTGTTTTTGGAAACAGTAGGTTTCGGGGACAAGTAGCGAAAGAACAACTATTCCGCCTTTCGCAGCAGGGTAGGAGTAAAACTGATCAGACTTCGTGTTCACCACTCAAGTCCATCTCATCAGCCTTGCGAACCATCAGAGGTCTTTCGGATGCACATCTCCACATGTTGAATCCTTTCACAGTGTACTGTTGTTCTCGGAGGATGTTATTCACTGCGTAGGGAACGAGACGGAGCCATTGAAGCCCACTGAGACAGAGCACGTACACAACTGAGACAGAAAAGTAATAGTCACCGATATCTCCGACAATGCGATTTGGTCGCGAAGATGGCTGATTTTCGTTGATTCAACGCAATACACCTGTCAGGATATTAGATAGGTACCTTGGTAAATGACCCATGGTCTTATTTTCTGGTTTACCACGCGGTGCAGCTGCAACAATCCTTTCGCCTTCGATGATAGTTGACACATGTAGCATTCCTACACTCCGGCCAGATATAGCTTGCCTGCGGATGGGGGTATGTTTCGGTGTCCATGGCGTGGAGCCAATGGTTCGTGGGGATGATTTTGACATCAGGGTCTTCATGGCTGTCGTCTTGCATATCATGATATCTTTCTGGTAGCTGATGGCAAGACACTGTGAAGTGATGGCGGTTCGACAGCATCCCTAGGATATTTCTCAACGGCTAATGGTAGCTGGAGGCAAATTGGCAAATGTTGTGAGGAGTACGGCAAGCGTAACAGTGAAGGCTCCTGTAAAGAGGAGAGCTTGATTCACTGTTTTTGGACTGGCAAGATTTCTGCTGGAACTTGCAGCTATCGAGAATTCGATGGCTAGAAGCATCGTTCCAGCACCTGCAGTTGTCGCACCGACCGTCTCTCTGTATGAGCTGCCCAAATCGAAGCATTGAAATGTGGTCAGTATCGAAGACTTTGTCTCTGATACAATGTTCCACTCCCCGACACAACATTATACCGTTGAGTAGATGAATAAAAAAACCTCGAGGCTATCCGCAGACAGAGTAGCGCAACGATATCGTCATGCAGGTAGTTGAACATACACAGGAAAACATCATCCGGTAGTCGACTGATACGATTCACAGTACCCACATCCGATCTTTCTGTACCGCAACCTATGCAGGCTTACCTCTGTAGAGCGTAGTGTAGCCAGTTATGCGATCATTCTGTATTTTCTATCGCATCCTTGACTAGACACTCGTGCCGGTAGTACTGGGTGACAGTGGTTAGCCGCCACGATCAGATCCCATCGTTAAAGTATGTTTTTGCTGCAATCCGGAGTCAAACATCAGCTGGCAACAAATGAACAATGTTGCACTCTGCGAAATCTCACACGCCCTAGTCAACGCCATGCTTAATTGGGGCCAGGTCCGAGTGACAGAAACTTTGGAGGATAGTCTCGCTATGCATGATGGGGTAGCTTGTTAAGAAGAGAAGTATGAAGTTCTAGTCACGTGAGTTCGCCAAGCTCGCTTACCGCACGGTCATCATTTTGAATCAAAATCCGAACAGAGCGCATTTGCGACAACGCAACCACACGAAAATCGCCCAACATGCCTACTCACCTCAGCAAGACGAGAAAGCACCGTGGTCACGTCAGCGCCGGTCACGGTCGCGTCGGTAAGCACCGCAAGCATCCCGGTGGTGTAAGTGAACTTTTCCCAATGTCGCATGCTTGATTGCTAACGACAACAGCGCGGTCTTGCTGGTGGTCAGCACCACCACCGTACCAACTTGGATAAGTACCATCCTGGTTACTTCGGTAAGGTTGGTATGCGCCACTTCCACCTTCAGCGCAACCACGAGTGGAAGCCCATCGTCAACGTTGACAAGGTAAATTGAGACCCATCGGATTATTCCCCATGCACCCACTAACAGGAAACAGCTTCTGAGCCTCGTCCCTGAGGAGAAGCGCGCCAAGTACCTCGATTCGTCCGCTGGTGTCGCCCCCGTTATCAACCTCCTCGATTTCGGCTACGCGAAGCTCCTCGGAAAGGGCCGCATTACCATCCCCGTCATCGTTCGTGCTCGCTACGTCAGCGCTGAGGCTGAGAAGAAGATCAAGGATGCTGGTGGTGTCATCCAGCTCGTCGCATAAGGTCGTACATTGGTGTAAAAGCTGTCTACGGACCAGCAGATGAAGCAAGGATATGGGCTCCAGTCCCATCAGCGTAGTGGCTGGGCAGATATCGTTCAATAGCGTTAGCCATGAATGACATCTCGCCGAACAAACTCTCAAGATCAATGGTGCTTCTTGCGCCTATCTTGCTGTCGTGATATACTTGGGGTGCATGCATCGCGTGAACTGTCGGCTGTTCCTGCAATAGCTCAGCTTAGGTTGGGTTCGCAGGCTGACACGTATTTCGTCCGGTAGACGTCCTGATTTGCTCTAACCACGCTCGATTTTTAGGTACGTGTGATGAAGACCACCGGTGCTCGGTTGGCTCTTCTAGAACAGCTCAATGCATAGTCTTGTTCAAAGCAATATAGAACAAAGGTAGGTAAGGGGAGGCCTCCGGCATGCAGGTACTCTCTTGAAGAATTTGCAAGGGTTCTGAGTAAGAACGCATTCGGACGCCTGCCTTTCCGTGGGCATCGGCATTCGATGTACAGAGGCATTGTTGCTGACGCTGATTGTTCTTGGATAGTGCTTTGGAAATCATGCGCAAGCCTTGGTTAGAGGTGATTTTGGCTGGCGCATCCGAGAAAATATAGCATGTCTCACAGACTACTACTTGCTGCAACCAACATTGCACACATGATTCTTACTGTCCATGGTTTGCATGTGCCTTGGGCGATTGTGGGTTGTGTTTCGTGCTTCGGTCATCATTTAGAAGGCGCCAATTCGCCCCAGAAGATGTTTTCCACCAAGACATACTACAAACCCATAGAACGCAAAATCGAAATAGAGGAATTGTAAAACTGAAATAGGCACTGCATCTCATGTTCGCCAGCGAGCTGCCACGCACGAAAAAGTAGGAAAGTCGCTTCCTATTGTCGCTTACAGATATTCTTGTGGGTTGGCAACAGCTGATTTTATCATTAAACCACCGATGCTCTGCCACCTAGTTCGTCTGCTACCTAGTTCGTCTGCTACCTAGTTCGTCTGCTACCTAGTTCGTGGCAGAGCATCGGTGGTTTAATGATAAAATCAGCTGTTGCCAACCCACGCACTCTACATACCTAGTGTCCTAGCAGTGGGGTTTTTTTTTTTTTGGAACACTCCATAGAATGAGACCATCATCTTGAACCAGGACTGGCTTAATCTCATAACGCTCCTACAAGCACCTCTCGAATGCCGCTAGGCGAGAAAGGCAAGTCTGTCAGACATCACGAATGTTCAGGGGGGTCGAGAGTCGATGATACGGGCTCGCCCTGGGCCAGGTACTTACCGATGCGTTCCCAACTAGGTATATTGCGCCCATACATGTCTAACCAGTCACTTGGCACTTTTGTAGGATCCAAGTCATTACTATCGTAGCTAATCAAACTCCAACAATCAGTGTGAGCATTTATAAGGAGCGTATGGGTGAGTTTTCCTACGTAACGAGCGTATAGGTAAGTGGCCAATTCCCTGGAAAATCAAATCGCAAAAGCACTACATACAGCAGCGCTCGACCGTTCTTGCAATGCTGCTGATTGACAATAACAGATCGAACTAATCAAGGACGAGAAAGAAAATCCTTCTGTTCTGTGAGCTCAACTGCATCTCTTCACGTATGGGATGCTATCGGCTGTCGCTTGAAATCTCCCTGCTGTATATCACAACCATGACCTTACGTTGTGAGGCTGAAAAGGTTGATGTTCCACCTCTGGTTACCACTAGGTGGCTGGTTCCTTGTCCAGAGGATGACCTCTGGTCCTTGACCGACACCACCACGGATGTCGAGAAGCTGATCAAACTGCTCGTTCTTGATTCTAGATCGCCAACCGTTAGCTATGCTGCTTCTTCAATGTTTTCCGGTATTATGCGTACTCATATGTCCCATCGTCGAAGCGGATTAGCGCCCAAGCTTGCCTACGCCTGCCCTGGTCATCGGTGGCAACGTCCTGTACCTGGACCTGGGAGTTGAACGGGTTGCTATCATCCCTTGGCTTTACACCTGTCAGAACACCTCCTCGGCGGGCGTTGGCAATGAAGGCGTGTCCGGAAGGTCCAGAGTTGATGTACCAGGTGCTGTTCTTCGTAGCAGGCTCACTGTATTGTATACATGTCAGTCACGCTTGTATTCTCGTAAACGGAATCGTACTGTGGAACAACCCGCGAGGGTAGGTATATTTACGTGAGAGAAAAGACTCCATCTCCCGACTCAAGTGCGAGGATGGTGTTGTCACCAACTGAGGTGATTGTGTAAAAGCCATTTAGATAGATAGGGGACGTTGCAGGAACGTTCGACTGGGCAAAAACCGCAGGAAAGATTGCCAAAGAGGCAGCAAGAACGTTGGAGAAGTGCATCTTGGGTATGGACACTGTTGTATTTTCTGGTAGTAGCAATTGGATTGTGTGCGTGTTGTATCCATTAGACCACCCGACAGACACTTTATACTTGAATACCAGCCCTTGCTTCCACGAGAGGTCGTATGTGGTCTGTATCGAAGTTCCTGAAGCCCGTACTGTCTAGTCATCATCTGACCCGATGTTCAACGCCTTACTCCCCATAGCTGACGTGAACCCAATGATTTTGTGGGGGTGGAGGGCCGTTTTGCTCCGTCTGCTGGAGTTATTTTGGGTCATTTGAACCCCAATCGATGTGTTCAGGCACTTTACCTAGACTGTACAACATCCAGATCGGGATCTGGGGCTGCACTTGTGTTCTAGAGGCGTAATTCGAACGACTGTTTCGTAAACGAGAGCCGAAAACATGACTCTAGTACTGAGAGATAATTTACAGCATGGCAACCGTTGTCTTGCATTTTGGCTTCCTCGTGTTCATGGGGCGGCCGTGTCATGATTCAAACCCGTCCACTTGGTCTCATGTGGATCGAAACCGTGACATTATTGTACAACGATTGGGGTTACCATAGGGCTCTCATAACGTACTGTGATGTAGTCAAAGCTGCTTCAGGGCGGTTGTAAAGGAGAAGTGGAGGAACTTTGGAAGACATAGCAGAAACATCTAGCCAATCGGAGGCTGCCCCGCCATTTCAAGTATTCGGAATCCCCCACACTGATGGCGACATGCTAGGGCACAGCGATTGGGCACAGCGATTGGCCTCTTACATGCCAACCTCAGGGCCCGTGGGCGCCAAGGTGTTGCTCTGAAATATCGTGTCCTAGACTTCCACTAACTTCCTGTCGCCCTGTCCTCCTCAAACTTCAAAGATGCCGCTTCATTCGATCATCAGCTCATGGAATGCAAGGGCGCGCGCACAGCGAAGCGCCGAGCTTCAAGCCAATACCGGCAAGCTCGAATGGCGTTTAATAGAGGTGTTCTCCAGGATGTGGGATCTTGGCTTCACTGCGTTTGGAGGACCACCTGTACACTTTCAGATCCTCCATCGACGTTTCGTGGAGGGTCTGGGGTTTGGTGGAGGCAGCAAGTGGATTGATGAGCAGACGGTTAGCATTGCGACGCATCGTTGTGACCTTTCTGACAGAGGTCCAGTATCAAGAGATCTTTGCCATTTGCCAGGCGTTGCCAGGACCAGCCTCCACCAAGATGGTCTTCACGATAGCAATGATACATGCAGGTCTCGTCTCAGCTGTATTTGCCTTCTTGTTGTGGAGCCTACCGGGTGCCATTGGAATGTACGCTCTGTCTCTTGGTGTGCAAAAGATGCCGGACCGACTACCCCCAATCGTATACGCGTTGCTGAGTGGTATGAACGCGAGTACAGTCGGTATTATCGCTCTGGCTGCTGTGCAGGTAGGTCTTATCCTCGTGTCTGAAACGATATTGGCACAGACTTACACGCCACGATAGCTTGCGCAGAAGGCCATCCAGGACCGCCTGACCAGAATCTTAGTCATTTTTGGAGCATGTGCTGGCATCTGCTACAATGCTCTATGGTATTTTCCAGTTCTAATTGTTGTAGGTGGCGTAATCACTGTGCTTTGGGACACTTGGCTTGCGCAGAAGGTGGGTAAGGCTAAGGCTAAGTTAGAAAGTAAGAGAAGGAGGGCTCGCGACGAAGTAGGAGATGCTGAGGAGACAGCTGCATCGCAAGACAGCCAGCCCGTACAGGAACCGCAAGTCCAGCGCCCGGAAGCCGTGAAGCGGAGAGCACAAGGTGGCAGTTCTACAGACCGAATTGTTGCGGCGTCAGAGCGTAGCCAACCTGATAATCGAAGAAGCGCAGAGTTTGAAACCACCGACTCAACTCCAGTCGCTGACATCAAGACTCACAATATCTCCATCAAGCTCGGCGTCTCTTTGATTGCGGGTTTCTTTGGTGAGTGTACTCGTTCATGATCTGATATTTAGCTGACCAGTTCTAGCTTCTTTCCTGGTCGTTATGATCATTCGTGGTACTGTGGACAGCCGCACATTGATCTTCGACCTTTTTGCCAACATGTACCTAGCTGGCACCATCATCTTCGGAGGAGGACCCGTTGTTATTCCTCTCCTGCGCTCATATGTTGTAGATCCGGGCTGGGTCTCACCACGCGACTTCCTTTTGGGTCTTGCCATTATTCAAGCATTCCCGGGACCGAACTTTAATTTCTCCGTGTACCTGGGAGCTTTGGCTATCGCATCAACGGGCACACCGACGTTTGTCGGAAGTCTGCTCTCTTTCCTTGGGATCTTCTTCCCTGGCTTGATTTTAACGGTCGGTGTGCAGTCACTCTGGCAGGTCATGAGAACCAAAGCTTGGGTACTGAGCTTACTGCGAGGTATCAATGCTGCAGCTGTGGGACTGGTTTTCACTGCGGTTTACCGGCTATGGGAGATTGGATACCTCACGCCAGAAAGGAGTGATGGCATAAGCCTTGCACAGGAGCCGTGGTGGGTTGTTGTTGCGACTCTGACTTATGCAGAGACTGCCTGGTTCGGCGTGCCGCCAGCCGTGGCCATCATATTCGGTGCGGTCCTAGGTCTAGGATGGTACGGTGCAGTGGGGCAATAATCTCGGGCTCGGGTTGAGGTAGATTGAGTGTACGGTAGAACATATCTTTGAAACGATGCAGCGTGTGTGCAGCGTTTGCAGAGGCAGCCAAGCGCTTCTTTTGGTCTGGCACCCTCTCGGACTGCGATCGGACTGCGAACCGTCTGACCAGCCACTTGGCACTTTTGTACGTAGGGTCCAACCTACGTATTCGTATCGCAGCTTATACACTGCATATACATGAATTACTTCTCTCAAGCGCATACGTTCGAGTAGGGGAGAGTCCTGCGCTGTTCCGAACTGTGCATCCGTTGTCCATGCTGCATGCTTCCTATAACCTCGACTGAACGCGTGTGAACCACCGGATTGCGACTTCCGAGACCTCCGCAACTCGGTAGCGCGAGGAGCTCAATGCGCAACGTTATTTCAAGGGAGAGGCTGCTTGCGGAGACTGCACTGCATTGGCTCGCTTGCATTCTTAGTGCGTTCGGAGTCTCGTCAGGGGCCGAATGCTTTCCGCTTTCACCTCGAGGCTCGCGATAGCTTCTTGGAGGTCTTGGACCAGTCTTGAGCTAATTGCAGCGCTTCCCCCTCTCACAATTGGCAAGAACCTTCACGTGGTACGTTGGTTTGTCTTTCACTTCACTTCACTTTCGTTATTACTCTTGTCGGCGTATTTCTTTTCTACAACTCTGACGATAGCGTCATGAAGCACAACACAGCTATAGTAACACGCAGACGCAGATCTTACTCCTTCCGCCGTCTTCCGCGGTCCTCAACTCTCAAACTTGTTCTCCTACTGTTCTTCATTTGGGACTCCCTGCATTGCATTTCGCTACATCTTCGCCAGACTGCAGCGTTGCCGACTTCGCCGCCGCCACCTAACACAAAGCGCATATACATAGCTGCGCAACACTACAACTCAGCTCGACTCCTTCGCGAGCACTGGAACGAGGCGCTTTACACCCTTGTACAAGAGCTCGGTGTCGATAACGTGTTCGTTTCGATATACGAGAGTGGATCCTTTGATGAGACGCAGCAAGCGCTAAGGGAGCTTGACGCGAACCTTGACGTATTAAAGGTGAAGAAGGAGGTGGTATTGTCAGAGCTGACCCACAAGGAAGAGATTCAAGCTCAGCCCGCGGATCAAGGATGGATCGACACACCAGCAGGCGTGCACGCACTGCGGCGCATACCTTTCCTCGCAAGCATCCGCAACAAGGTCTTCCAACCTCTTGAAGCATTGGCAGCTCAGGGTGAACATTTCGACACCATCCTGTTCTTGAACGATGTTGCTTTCAATCCTACAGATGTCCTGAGATTACTGGATACAAATGAGGGTGACTACGCGGCTGCATGCTCTCTGGATTTCTCGAAACCGCCATACTTCTACGACACATTCGCGCTACGAGACACAGACGGCCATGAGGCTATCATGCAAACATGGCCATATTTTCGTTCATATGAGTCGAGGAATGCTGCAGAGAGATTTCTACCAGTTCCTGTGTCCTCATGTTGGAACGGCATGGGTAAGAACCTTTCTTGGAGATGTTCAGATTGAGGCTAACCTACCCAGTCGCAATGCCTGCAGAGCCTTTTCTCGGAGAACACGCACTTCGGTTTCGCGGCACCAACGACTCACTTGCTAAACATCACCTCGAAGGATCGGAGTGCTGTCTCATACATGCCGACAACCCGCTATCCGCCACAAGAGGCGTCTTTCTCAATCCTGCTGTGCAAGTTGGTTATAATATGACTGCGTACAACGCTGTTCGTTCTTCATATGCCGTCATGTCGCCTCTGCAGATGTACGGACGGATCTGGCAAAGCCGTGTGCTGCGGTGGACCACGACAGTGTGGTTCAAGGAGCGTGTAGTGCACAATAGGGTCATGGAATGGACGAAGAAGAGTGGCAGAAAAGAGCCTGGCGAGTTCTGTTTGGTCAATGAGATGCAGGTCATCTTCGAGAGGGGTTGGAAGCACGTTTGAAGAGGAGCAGAGCAGCATTCTTGAGGGACTATGCTACTGCTTAGCTTCCTGAGTATGCGACATATTGGACACCATTCCTCGAATGTGTGTGCGCTGGAGGGATTACCATAGTATTCTTCGGGCTTACCCGCGGACCCACTGGCTGCCCCACTCCAATTGCCGACTACAGCCGCCGATCCTTTTGTCAGTGTAGCTACATGCAGTAGGTGCCGACCGACGCGGCAAAGGCCCTCTAAGCGCAACCGCAAACACGTCACCCGTTCTTGCAACTTCCTACCTTCCCAAAATCTCCAAACGCTCGACACCCGACATGGCACAATCTGCACCTTCCGCAGAACCTTACTGGCTAGGTCGAGCTTCAGACGAGCAGAAGCGTCTGCTTAAGCAACACACAATATGGACACGGTACACGATACCTCCCCCCCGCAAACAGCACACGTCTAACGCCATATAGGAGCATCAGCTACCTGCTGCACCCCAGCGTGTCGGCTGCGCTTCCTGAAAACGCCCGCATTGCAGACGTAGGAACCGGGACTGGCATCTGGCCGCTGGAAATGAGCCAGGCCTCTCCCTCAAGCTACACGTTCCATGGACTCGATATTTCCTCCGACCAGTTCCTCGCCGCGGATTCGCTACCGCAAAATGTCACCCTGGGACTCGCTGATTTCTTCCAGCCGTTTCCCGCTGAGCTGCGCGGCACTTTCGACCTCGTCAATGTTCGCCTCATTATCATCAGCCTCGGCCCCGTCGCCGTGTGGACCAAGGTCCTGGCCAACATCCTCACGCTACTCAAACCGGGTGGCGCAGTGTGCTGGACTGAAGGCAATTTCCTCATTGCGAGGGGATTCCGTGGCGCGCCGCCGCAGGCAACTGCCGGACATAACCTCACGACCGCACAGCTGCAGTTGAACAACACCCTGATTCGCCGCTTTGGGTATAGTTTCCCGTCATTTAAAACCTTATTTGAGGACGCGGGCTTGTTGCGCGTCGAGGAAGACGTACTGAGTACAGACCGGCTGCCGGAGCAGCGGGCCGAATTCACGGAATTGGGGATTGGGGCTGTGTTTGCGGGGCTGAAGAACTTGGCCAAGGTCAAGGAGGATGGGTATTGGGACGATGCTGAGGTGGAGAGGAGGAGGGGTTTGGCGCTGAGCGATAAGGAGAGCGGCGCGTATCTGAGATGGGATATACACGTCGGTGTTGGATTCAAGGCAGCGTGAGAAAGCACCAAATATACACATGCTTCTGCGCCTCGTCTCAACCATACTGCGCACATCCTGCAGCCCTCATCTGCCCCCATATCCCCTTCTCGTCCGCCTTGCTCAACCGCTCCACACAGGCGGGCCCGGCGGCGTATAACTCGTCTGGCTCTATTCGCAGTCAGCCCCAGCTGCACACCCCTCCCCTCACCACAACTCACAGTAAACAAATAGACCTTCAACCCCTTATCATCCGGCTTATACGCGCCCGGAAACTCCACCAACGGCCCGGGCACCCCCGTCCCCTCCCCCAACACCCTAATCTGCGCACACGCAACATGCACCTGCGCCCCGCCCTCCAGCGCCGCCACATGCAGCGCCAAATGCTCGATGCGCAGCAGATACTCGCCCGGCGGCGTGCCCACGGGCACCGTCACACGCGCCGCGTCGCCGTACTGGCTCGCCCACGACAACCCGCCCATGCTGTCGATGCGCGCAGGCTCTGTCGCGATCTTAAACCACACGCGGCCTGCGCCGTCCCAGGCGGATGCGGGGACGCCGGGGGGCGCGCGCGCGAGGTAGAATTGCAGAGGGCCTGGGTGGGTGATGTAGGGGTCTACTTTGAAGGTTAGGGGTGTGCCGGGGGTGACGTCGCGGGTTGTGGGTGCCGGGGTGCCGGGGGTGAGTTCGTTGCAGCGGAGGAGTGGGGAGGTGAGATCTGTGATGGGGGCTTTAGTAAGGTAGTTGGCGGGTGTGCGGATTGAGGATGGGGCGGTGGTGTCTATGAAGAGGTCTAGGGGCGTTAGTTGGGAGTGGGGGTGGTGAGCGGGTGTGGGTACAGTGGGCGGTGGCTGCGTCGGCTGCGAAAGCAAGGGTGAGGGCTGTCGTGAGCTTCATGGTGGCTGGTCGTAAGAATGTGTGGAGTTGACTAGTGCATGACGATGGTCAACGTGAGAGGATGCCGCTGCACTTATATCTAGACTTATCACATTTGATACTCTAAGGTTGAGCTGAGTGGTGGTACAATCGCCATGCTGTTCCATGTTGTCCATGCTGCGCGATGGGCGCGGAGAATGCGTTGGGTTTGCCGATTAGAGTAATCTGATATTGACCCAATCTAAACAGATCGAGGCAGATCTCAGCCAACTCACACGAAACCCTACGACTTGGCCACGGTACGCTGTTGATGCCTCTCTGCTTCGCATTTGCAAACAACAGAGGCGTCCGTATCTGCAGTTCGGCGTCCAGCTGCCATCTCATAGATGGAATGATCTGACTGCGTAGATAGCCAGTGAACGCCGAGGCAGGTTCTAGACTCGTCGTGCTCAGAGGCGTATTTCTCGCGTGCTTCATTGCAATACTGCATCCTCGAGCGGCGTCGCAAACGTTCAGGCAAGGCCTCCTGCCGACGGCCGGTGCATCTATGGCACGAGGTTCTGCGACTTGTCGCTTTGCTCTCCTCGACCACGGCGTCTGGCCTGTCGATATGGATTCAACAGGTCCAGTGATCCAGAGCCTTCTGCGACAGGCGGCCTGATCTTATGTGCTATAGCAAGTCATGCGCCCGGTGCTCGTTGTCTACGGCTCAGGTCCTCATCCCCATCTCGGCATCTCTAATCTCGGTACTCAAGTTCTGGACATCATCCTGCGCCATCAATTGCGCACTGGCTTCCAGGTCGCTGACGACGCTTTCCAAGCCTCTGACAAGCGCCTCGATTTCTGCGCGCTGTGCGGTCACAGTCGCCAGCAGCTCCGTGTTCGCTGTCTGGGTCTCGGCGAGCTTGGTGTTCATTTCTATCGCCTGCTTCTCGAGGAACGGCATGAGGTGCGCCAAATGGATTTCGGACGGCGTGAGGGTATGCGGTCTGGTGTAGGCGTCAGTACTGTGCACACAAATCCGGAGTTAGTATACTGACGGTACAGGAACCTCGACTGGTCCCCCATCTGCGTTCGCTTCCGCGCGCTTTTTCCTCAGTTTCGCATCCTCAATGCACTGCTCTAGCTCGTTGACCAGTTTTACAACGTCCCTTTTCTTTAGAATCTCTTCGAAGTTGACCTTCCATGTGCGGTCCAGCTGGTCTACGATCTGGCTGCGCAATCCTTCGAGAGTTTCAGGCGCATACTGCGCAGCGGTAGGGAAGCAGGATGCAAAGTTCTTCGACGAGCACTTGTCGAGCGTGGCCTTAGAGGCTTGGTTGAAGACGTTGATTAGGCCTTGGGCGCGGGGGCCAGGGGTCTCAGCGATAGGCGGCGCAGGCGCCGGTGAGGGCGATCGCGAAGGTGGGTTTGTAGCGGTCGGCATGGCGGAGTATGAATGATGTAGCGAGGGTGGAGGAGTGTTGATCCATTGTTTACAGACGCGCCGAGGGCTGCTCGTTAGCGCGACCCCCGCGAGATCAGCAGCATCCAGGTCTCAGCGCTCGCATCTCACGATGCTTTGTAGATATTAAGACAGCATACATGCTTTGTTAAACCGAGTATGTACAAGCATGGCAGTGCACTTGTTTCGTTTATCCGTGTGTGGAGGATTCTGTCGAAACCTGGTTCACGCTGAATAGCGAGCCTTGTTGCTATCCACCAACTGGAATTAGAGTCAATGGATACTCAATTGAACTCGATCGTACTCAATCACACTGCTCCGATAACAGTGACATATACACCAATCCTCACACATATATCCTCACACATATGAGTCCCCAAATACTTCATACCCCTCACCCAAAAACCGTCCCATGTCCAGCGTACTCAAACCAACACCCCGTGCGAACATGTCATCACGGGAACGCCCAAACCTTCCCAAAGCGGCAAGTTGCCACCAAAAACCATCGATTCTAGCGAACGACGTTCGCCCTCTGGCGCGCGCACCGTCGCTCCGGCGTGCAGCAGTCCCTGCATCGGACCTGGTCACTGGCACGTCTGACATCTGCAACGGGCTGCTCGACGGCATGCCTCTTGCGGACGCGTTCTTGGCCTTGTGCTGCGGCGCTGTGCAGCAACCTGGCTGGGCTGGGCTGGGCTGGGCGGCGTCGCCGACTCGCGTGCCGTGGTAAACTTCGGTCGTTTTTCTCAGGCCGCCTACGCATGACCCGTTGACCGTTGCTGGACATCGGCGTCTACGGTCGCCGTCTTGAATAGCGCTGCTCTACGGCTGTCAGTCGCTGGCCAAGGCGGCCAATACAGCAGCATCTGAGCATATTGCGTAGGTGTCTGTGTCAGGGGCACTGTCGTCGACTGAGGTTTCGGGAAATTTGTCGTGCAGCGGGCTTCCTCTGCCGATCGGTGCGATCTTGGGTTGTTGTATGACGTTGGCGAGCGTGCGCTTTGGCAGGGGATCAGACCAGTTTTTGGCGAAAGCACCGAGTTTAGGGCTCGTGGAGTCAGAACACAGTAGCGGTGAGAATGGGCTGGGGTGGTGTCGCAGATGGCGTTATGGGGACTTCAGATTGACTGAACTTGGACTTGTGTTTGTTGATTGATGGTGGTGTGAGACCTCATGAGAAACCCCCTCTCACGCCAAAAGCATGCTAAGATATACATGGCCTGTGCAAAGGCCGAAGATTAAGTGCTAGGAGAGCGCGATGAAAGACAGAACTCCCGTGGTATAGTGTTGAGCAAAACTGCAGTACATGTCCTCCACCCATGTCCTCCGCTGCCGTCCTGGTCGTCTGTGGCTGGACGACCTTGCATTGCGTCCTCCAAAGTGAGAGCTGCGCGGTGGCAGTCATGCGTCCTAACGACGCGGTACGTGAACAAGGGATATCTTGCGTGATGAATGTGATGATGTGAAAAGCGCGACCAGATGCCAGTGATGTTGCAGAAAGAGGCGAAAGCAAGCGAGCAGAAGCGGGCTACGCCGAGATCTTCTTCTCGCTCAGGCCCTTGTTGGTGAAGACGGCGTCCTGGCTGGACATGCGGCGGTCCAGGGCGCGCTGCACCTTGGCCCCCAGGGCCAGCTTGCTCATGTCGGCCGTCTTGTTGTCGCTGGGAATGTAGCGCTGCTGCACGAGGCGCTTGTCCTCGAGGCGCTCGAAGCCGGCGTTCCAGGTGCGGATGTCCTGCGACTTGGGGTCGGTGGTGGCCGAGGCGTCGGACAGGTGCGAGGGCGCAATGGACGGCGTGAGGGTGGGCGTGGCGCTGTACGTGGACATGCGGGTCGAGGCGCGGTTGCCGGCCGACTGCGATTTGTGCGTGTTAGACTGTGGTTGCGACATGGAAGCGGTGGTGGGAGTGTGGCAAGCGGGCGCGGCGGCGAGTTTATTGCAGCGCTGCAGCGCGTGGCAAGCAGCGGCCGGGAGACAGGGGCGGGGTGAAACAGGCGGTGGAGACGGGACTTACACTGGCCAGCATGGGTCGCGACGACTCCAGCGAGTTCGTCATAGTGTCGGTGGCGGCGGGGGCGGCTCGGCGGGCGCGTTTCGAGCTGGGCGGCGGTCGCAGGGTCGCAGGGTCGCAGGGAGGCAGTCGGGCGGTGCAGCGCTGCAGTGCAATGGCTCGGCAGAGGACGCGGAGGAGGGCAGAACAGCAGAACGGCGCTGAGGATTGGGGTGAAGGCAGCCGCTGGACGAGCGCCTGGTCGGCGGCCCTGTGCGCGTTTCAGCGGGCCCAGAGCGGCAAGGGGCGCGCGAGCGAGCAGCTGCGACGAGCTGCGAGGTGCGATCCGCGACCGGGGTCTGGCGTCGGCGCACGTGTGCAGGCGGTGGTGAGGCCGGTGAGGACGCGCCTGGGGCTCGATCTGCACAGCGGGCGAGTTGAGCGCGGCTTGGGGCGGGTGGTAGCTCGCAGCGGCCGAGGGAGCGCGGCCTTTTAGCACTGCTCCGCTGAGACGGCCAGCGAGGGAGCTCATGCAGTGCGCCAGACGCAGCGCCCTGCCGCGCCCTCCACAGCCTCTCTCTCAGACACCCACCAGCGCTCGTTACGACGCGTTGAGGCAGCCACGGCCACTGCCTGTCGCCGTTTGCGGCTGCCATTCGACCAGCCCGCAGCGGCCCACGCTCCTGCCACGAGGGCTCCCGCACCTGCCGGTGGGGCATCGCCTGATGCTGACCCTGCTCTCCGCCGCAACAGGTCCCAGACACGACCGCGCGCAGCTGGCCTGCTGTGAGACCAGACTCGAGCACCGCGCGTGTTGTCCTTCACGGCAACCAATGCAACGTGCAACGAGTCTCAACCGCGCCATGCTCCCATCGTAACCGTGATGCTCGCTGCCCTAGGCCACTAGCCGCTGCGTGTTCGACTGCTTTCTCGCGCCTGCAGCTGCCTCTGCCAGCCAGCCCGTGACACGAGAGCGGACGCCCTCCGCCTCCCTGCAGAAAGCAAAACTTCTCCACTCACTCCTCTGCAGCCGAGAACACGAGCCCATTCCAGACATTCCTAAGCTACGCTCCTGGATCACGACCCTCGCGAACCTTACTCCCCGGTGGAAATTCCAGAGCAAATCCCGGACGAACTTAAGTACTTTGTTGCAGCCGTTATTGCAGCCGCTATTGCAGCCGTCTGGCATCTCCGCTAGTCGCCGCAACGCCGGCCAATACATCCCCCGCTGATCTCACGATAGTGTTACGGCGCGCGCGGCACTCAGATCGTGCTGACCACGTGTGAAGCGAGGGGTGGCCCCCTGCATGCTGCATGCTGCATGTTCGCTGCAAAGCACCACGCAGTGAGACCTGAATCCGGCTTCTCACTGGACCTGTCTGCCTATCTGAAACCTTTGACTGTGGTGCACTTCGCTGTACCGCGCCTTACTTACAAATGCGGCAGTAAAGCGCGATACCTTGCTGGCCGACAGCTCCGCGAACGCAGATCCTGTGAGGACGTGTACTTGGCTCTCTTCGGCACTCGGTGAGATCATCGCTTATAGGTAAGTAACTGTAGATACCTACCTAGGTAGGTCCTATGCAGCGCCCGATCACATATCTACTTGGCGTTCCAGACTGGGCAGATGTGCAGCCATGAAACTCGATATCCGGAGACTCCAGACGTGTTCAAGCTCTCACAAAAGCAACCTTGCGCTAGAGAGCCGAATTCCGACAGTCGCTACGGACAATCGCGGAAATGCATCTAAACGGGTCAGCTACAATAAACTTTAATTGAATTGAGTTCATACGACAACGGACACACAAGTATCAGTCTCAAACACCCAATCTTCTGAAGATAAGCAGACGCAAACAAACCGCTCCAATTCCTCACTCTAAGCCTACCCAAAGCTGCCTCGACAGCCCATGCCGCACCTGCCACTCACCCTTCTTCATCTCCGTCCTACCTGTCTTTCCCGTCCTTCCCCAACCTTCCCCGTCCTTTCCCATCCCCGCATTAACCCTCCACACCTCACTCCAGACTCACCCAAAGTTGCCTCGACGTCCCGTTCTGCGCCTGCCACTCTTCCTCCTCTGTTCCCGCATCTCTCCTCCACTTCCTCGCTGTAGGCGCACTCGAGCTTTCCTCGACCTCTCATTCTGAGCCTGTGACTCTTCACCCCTCCGCATCTGCCTTCACTGCAGGTTCACCCATTGCTGCCTCGACGTTCCATTCTGCGCCTGCCACTCATCCTCCCCGGGTCCCTGATCCACCCTCCACCTCCTCACTATCTTCAGCCTGATCAAGTCACTCAACCCCCACGACCCGCCCACCGTATTCTCCGGCGACGCATCCCTGAACCGCTGCAAGCTAACCGCCGTCCGGCACCGGTCGCCCTTGTACCCGCACCAGATGGTCTGCTCCTTGAACCGGCGCAGCGGCTTACTGCGACGCGGGTATATACTGGACGGGTCCGCTCGCCACGGGCCGCTCTCCAGCGTCTTGCATAGCAGGTCGGCGACGGTGGTGTTGGCTGCGCAGATTGGACTGTGTGGGCGGAATTCGATCGGCTGCTCTATCACGGGGCGTGCCATTAGCTGTGCGATGTCGACATGCGGACACACGTAGGGCTCTTTTCGTGCGAGGAGCGATGTGACAGTGTGGCCGTCGGCATCGGAGAGGCGGAAGAGTGTATACAGGTCAATATAGTATTGGGCGACGGCCTCGACGCCAAAGGTGCGGAGGGTGCCGGGGTAGCGGGTTGCGGCGAAGTCGAGATCTCGGAGCTCGAGGGTGTTACACAGGTCAGTGTAGCGGAGCTTGGTTTTCTTCTTGCTCTTTGTAGGCTTCTCCGTGTCCCGGCCGTAATCGCTCAGGAGAGGGGGGGACACGATCTGCCCCTCCATGGCGCTCCAGGCTTCCTGCATCTGATCCCAGGTCGCCACTCTGTCATCCCACAGCTTGACCGGTGTGGCTCTGGCGAAGCATTTCCGTTGTGTGATCTTGCACATTCCCGTCCGCGTCTCTGCGCTCTTCTTCAGCTCCTCTAAGGGGAAGTGCGCACAACCCACTGCCTTCTCGCAGTTTGCACAGTGGAACCTGGTCGTTGACCAGATGCTCTTGCATGGCCTTAAGCCTTGGTGAGGGTAAGGCGTCTTCTCGAAGGCATCACGCGTCCGCAGTTCATCGTAGATGCTCTCGTCTAGAACGGATATGTACCGCATGTCAGTTCGTACTCCATCCGGATCCGCATCTTGGTAGATGCATCGCAGTCTAGCGCTGTAGCCATATTTTGCGAGGATTAGCAAAGTATGTCCGGGCAAGAAAGTCGCTATGTGGAAGTGTATCTCTGCCGGCAGGTTGTGGAACGTAGTGCCGGTCCCACCTGAGTCAAGGAGATGTGTCGAGGATGAGAGCAACCGAGAAACGTCTTTTGCTTGGACAGCTGACTTGGGTTCCACCACATGAGATGGTTCTAAAATGTCAAATGTGTTCGGGGTGAGCATGAAAGGATATTGTTTTACAACGCTTTTGGGTGATCGTCTGGTGCACCTCAAAACAGCCATGATGACAATAATATGCCCCGCAATAAGATCGGTAGAGAGTGCAAGATGCTAGACGCTACAAAATTGATGCTCAGAAGCTGGGTCCTTTCAATGAAGGGGAGTGTGTGGATTTTGCGACGCGTAACGATATGCACCCTACCCAAGTAAAGACTGGTACTTCCACGCGAATCACCCCGCTTCAATAAGTGCAAATCTATTCCTGCACCAACACACGCCTGGAAGGGCATAGCAGCAGTTCTAAAATGCCCAATGTGGCATTCAATGATCGGTGCTTACGGTTGAGTGCTGATGTTCTCGGTATGCATCCGAGGCGTTACGATGATTTCGATTAATAGTAGTGCTCTCCGGTGCCAAGTTTTCCTGGATACGTCTCTGATGAGACTGAAGTATTCGCTTCGGCTTGTTTGGTGATGTATTGTTCGTCACGTGTGCTGTACAGTCTTTGTGGTATCTTGAGGAGCCACGTTCTGTGCAGATATTGGGACTGAGCGGGCTCAAATCAACATCCTGGCGACAACGATTGGCGCGGTTCTTAGGAGTAGACATTGGATGTACTGTAGCTGTCCTGAGTTGTGCTGCTGATGTTAACTGCAAGGTTGCGTCCGTCCAAGTGGCTGTCTGTTTGTCTTGCTACGTTTGCAGACTGCCAAAATTGGAGGATGTACACATGTCCGACATATCACGTTGCGCTTGAGAGTTGAATGGACTTCGACGTGGATTCGCCGTTGGGATGTTTGGTGTAAGCCTGCCCCTTATTTGAGCCACTTTGCTGGGCGTGGCCGGGTGGCATCGTTCTGGCACGGGATCGTCCTGGCTGATGTCCTTGGTCACCGTGTCCTCCGTTTGCTCGAGGCCATGATTGGAAGTGGCTGACAGCCAGTCCTGAATCCTAGTGTCTAATGAGGTAGCCATATCTGCTGAGATACGCTGCCCGCTGCCATTTAGATATCCCGAGTCATCAGACCAAGATTCCGAGCAAGAGCTATGATCTTTGTTGAATACTGTAGACAGACTCTCTCCTATCGCGTTTTTGCTCAGTGGACGAGATAGCTCTGGAGGGTGGAGTGGATCATGACTTGTTGGACTGTCCACCACCCGATGCGACCTGAGCGGCAGGAGCTGCCTCGACACATTCGATAGCGGGGGGAAGATGACATCGCGAGTCGTTGGCAGATCAGAATCGCGTTGCTGCCCACTATCGAATATCTGGCGCATGCATGCGCTGTGTCCGCGTCGTGCAAAAGGGGAGTGCAACGAGGCCGTATCTCTACGGCGCCGAGCGCTTGAGCTCACCTCGATGGACAATAGCAACGGCCGTGGCTCCCTCGTCTGGCGCAAAATCGGAGTAGCAGGCACTAGGCTCGAACACAGCTGTAATGAAGCCCCTATGGTGGAGTCAGTGGCGTGATCTGAATAGTGCAGCGGCATTGAGTTGTAGCATCGTCACGGTACTCACCTTGTTGCGACACAGCAACTGAATGGCTTTCGTGAGATGTGTAGGTGTTCTAGATTGGGATGAGCTTGCATAGTATCTCTTATCGCTGGTACGAACACGTTGCGGGGAGGCCATAGCATATTCGATGTGTGAAGATACAGTCAAGTCGGAGTGGGCAGTGATGGGAGGCCGTCGATGAAACTCAAACGTTGGTTATGGGAAGAAGCGCACATGAGAAGACTACGTCGAACGTCTGTAGTGTTTACAGAAACCAGTCACCCAGTGCACCTGCTCCGCGCGACGACAGCAAGTCCTACCGGACAAGCTGCAAGACTCGACGGCATCACGTTCGGGGTGAAGTGGGTGCGACAGAGTTGCATCAGAGAGTATGCACGCGAGCTCATTTCTGGTATCGTGGTTTGACAGAGGTTGGTGTTGACCACAAAGGACCGTTAAGAGTAGCGCGCCGTGATGACCGTGCTCAACAATTGACAACGTCGCGTTCACCCAAGTCCGCTATCTCCAGTTTGTATACAACGAGATCTGTCATTCCTTATATTGTTATCGATGTCAGGCTACTTCAAGGCAGATCTTCATCTGCGTTGCATCAGATTGATTGTCACCATGCCATCATCTCCACTCAGCGCCCTCGCTTGCAACGGCCCTGACAGAATGCGTCATCGTCAGTACCGTTCCTCCTTCGCAAGTGGGGCGTTCCTGAATTTAGCACGCAAGCCCTTTCTCCATCGTGCCGCAACTGGGGACCGCCGATCTCTTGTGTGGTGCCCGTTGCAGGCCCAGCGCTGGTGCAGCCGGCCACAACCAGACTCGACAGCTGCCGCCTTGTGGCCTAAGCAATATTGCTGCATGTGCGCACAAGGCATCCTCGCAGCATGTCTCAAAACAGTCGTGTGGCCGACAGCACCACCCGCAGTCGACTCGCGACGGCCTCACGAGGTGTCTAGCCCGAAACACGCCAATGTCGGGACGCCTCTCAATCCTCCAGGCCTCATGCCACCACGTTAAATTGCTGACGAGGATCCCAGCACAACCATCGTGGCGCCGCCTAGCTGGTGCTGAGAGCGGCCAACGGCATCAAACTTACCTCAGCCGCACACCACAGCGCTGCAGACGTTCAGTACGAAGCCCACACGCCATTGCGCCCCTCACGAACACCTAGACTCGCTTGATCTGCTCACGCCTCGTGCTGCGACGGGAGCATGTGCGCTGCCCGCTACAATGCCCGCTACTGTCGCACGACTCGACATCCAATAAACTGCAACCATTGTGGGCCCCTGGAACCGTCGTCCGTGTTCGCTGCCTGCATTGTACCTTTGTCCGTGCGTACATCTGACTTGGCCCGGCCTTCCTTGCGTGTTCCGCCATCAGCCCTGGCTCCCCTCCAAAGTCTCTGCATTGCGAGACATCGCGTCGCTGCCCTGCGCCGTGTCTCCTTGCTCTCTTCGCTGTCGCCAGCTGCACGTTGAGTGTCCCTCACGAGCTTGACGCTCCCAGCGCAGCCTGTCTGATGCTTCGTCTTCTGTCCACTCTTTACATTTCAATTCACTTCTCCGCACAGCCAAGCCTCCACACTCGAGCCGAGCATATCTTATCGCTACCCAACGGTCAATAGCACGCTTACTTACGCCCACTGCTATTGCCAACTCATCGCCGCTCCACTACCTCTGGTTGATACAATCAATTCTTCCATCCCACGTGTTTGATCATCGACCTCTTCATGCTATTACGGTACGTACCTAGCTTTCTGCCTCTTGAAACCCGGCCTGTCAGTTGTCCTCACAACACTGTAACAAGCAACGTCACAAAAGCCTCCGTCACCCTTGCCTGCCTTTCATCCAGCTTTGCGCCCTTTGTCAGCTTCCCTTCTACTGTTCGCGAAAGTGCACCGCGTTTTGTGTGCTTTGAGTTGCCGTGTGCCGCGATCCCTCGTGTCCTTGCCCGCGATCCCAGTACCAGTGTATAATGCGAGGGGTGACACTGACACAAAGAGAAGACAGGCTGCCCTGCAATTTTCGTATACCTCTATTGCCACTGTTGGCCTTCCCTAGCACTGTCGCTGCCAAGCCTGCCGTTTCGTGGGCCATACCAAGGCAAGGAGCCTCTACTTTCCGCTTCCCTACGGTTTCGGTCCAGACACTTGTGGTGTACCGACCATCTGGCCACCTGACTGTCATCTGGTCCTCCTGCCTTCTAACCTGAGGTTCTGCTCCATGGTCTGAAAAGCGGCCGTGATCGCCGACTACTCCCCGCTCCACGTCTACGCATTGACTTCTCGCTGTCTTGTGTCTGATCTCCAGCCTTCGCAGTCGCAGCGCCACTCCCTTTGACTGCAGTCGCATACATTGCGCCAGTGCTGAAGGTCTACATCACACATCGACGGAAGAAGCACTCAAGCTTGACACTCACCACCTCATGTCAGTCCAGAGACACGCCCATCGCCAACATTCCACCCAAATCGATAGATGAGCTACGAACCGACACTAGCCCCACGGGCGTACGGCGACGCGCAAGATGGAGCTGCACAAAAGGGCTCTGTACGGGCAGTACGGGAAAGGATGCAAGCTGCACAAATGCGAGCACAGCTGCCAGACACGTCAAAGATAATAGGACTTCCTCAACGACCTAATCAGTTTGTGTCGCGATCTGCTGCCAGCAAGAATGACGACCCCCAACCCCAACCCCGAACACCTACCGATCTTGAAGACGATGACAGAATGCCATCTCCGCCGCCACAATGGCCTCTCCCAGATGATTCCAGCCCCACTATTCCACCTCGTTCACCACGTCGGTTACGGGCTCCGCAACCCGTCATCCGCCCTGTATCAGATGATTTTCCTATCCAGCAACCTTCTCCGGTGTCTCCACCGCCCCTCTCTCCGGATTATCTCCAGCCACCCAGCTTCAATTTCCGCATGTCGAACAGGAGTGACGATATGTACTCACCTTCGTCGCGCCCCTTCTCCGGCGCATCGGAGGCATCGTCACTCGGATCAATTCCGGATTTCCCAATCCCACAGCCGCCGATGCCTGCTGTACAGCCACTGCCTCGTCGTATTCCTAGCCTAGGCCCACCACCTTCGTCGCGCAGAGGCCCTTCATCTTATTATACTCAGCTCTCCTACGTATCGCCTATCGTCGAAGAGTCAGAGACTCGGTCAAACACCATCAGATCGCGTCACGGTTCTTACGCCTCCAGCAACGTGTTTCCAACATACAGCGATGATTATTACCAGGGAGACTACCCTCAATCAGACGATGATGAGACCATAACAAGTGACCGTGGCACACTGTCCCGCGCTAGTGATCACGATGACCAGAGTGGGCTCGTCAAGGACTCGCCTACTCTTGTCCGACAAGCAAGTCTCGGACGGAGGACGAAACCCTCTATCACGACTATCAAATCGGTCGACGGTATCAGCGGAAACATAAAGAAATCTATGGCTGCCGCCGGTATTGGCGCAGCAGGAGTAGCTGGCACTTTTGCTGCACGAGATGCGGCGCAACCATCGCCTCTACGCAGCTCGATATTGAGCAACGGCACTGGACTCCTCGATCCATCTTCGTCCTCTTCTGCTGAATCACTGGGCACTTGGCGCAATACTAAATCCACGTCTCCCAGCTACACAGGCGCCGATTCGCCTATCTTTCCCTTCCAACCCAGCGGGCTCCGCTCTAATACCCTGGCTGAACGGGTTGGATTCAGGCGTCCTGCGAGGCTCGATATGGACACCGTCCGAGATGCTGAAGCACGAGGTAGTTTGACGAGCCTTCCGGACCTGATTCGAAGAGCGACACGGCTTGCAGCCAATCTTGATAAAGGAAGGACAGCTAGCCGACTGGGATTGGATTTCTGGGAGGCTGGTGCGCCTGAGCAGAAAAATGTGCGGAAATCTCAGGGCTCTCTTACTGATATGCTGGCTGCATTTCCTCCACCAGGTCAGGAGACTCCGCAGAGGTCAGGCACACCAGCTGGCGGCAACGCTCTAGTAGAGTGGCCGTCTTCAGGAGCGGCTACCCGCTCGGGTGTCGATCCGCGCTACAACAGCGAGAAGCCAACCAAGAGCCGTCGCAGATGTTGCGGTCTGCCCCTCTGGGTGTTCATCACGTTGTTGATCTTACTAATCTGTATCATAGCCGCAGCCGTGGTTATCCCCGTCGTGCTTGTGGTGATACCTAATCAGAATAAGGGCAACAACGCCGCCCAAGATAACCAAGGCAACAACAACAGCAACAATCCCAGTGCACCGGCCCCGACGTCAGACGCAGGAAATGGCTCATCCAATTGCCAGAATGGAGGTGTCGCCATCCAAAATGCGGACCAGTCGACTACCTGCGTGTGCATCAATGGTTTCACCGGGAGTACTTGCGGCACTAACGACGAGACGGGATGTACAACAACCAGCGTCATGGGTACTGCCAACAACGCGACTGTTGGTTCAGGTATTCCCCGGATCGTTCAAAGCGCGACGCAAGACTTCAACGTACCCCTTGACGCCACTCGCATTCTTTCGTTGTTTTCAAGTTTATCCCTCAGCTGTGCGGCAGAGAATGCGCTGATCACGTTCAACGGTCTGACATCTCGGTCAGTCTCACCTGTCGACCAGTCTATCAATCTGGGTAGTTCCCTTCCCACCCGCTCGCTTCCTGTCTTGCATGCTCCGCACCCAGCTCGCCAGATAGAGGCGCGACAAGAAGTCACACCCATCTCCAGCAACACAACGGCGGTCGACTTCGCTCGAGTAGGCGTTTTATTTGCGCTGCAACAGGATGGCAAACTCAACACTGCTGCCACCGCCCAGGAAAACGTCCAAGATTTTCTTACAAGCAACCGTAACGGCAACTCAAACACCAATACTGTCGACATAGGTCCTTTCACCATTGACCTCGTCAATCTCACCATCAAATTCGACAACGGTACTGTTATCGGGGCCGCGTCGTAAAAGTTGACTTTCTGCATGTTTTTTTGTTTCAGCACAGCGATACCCGCATACCTGCATCTCCATCATTACCCCACTTTTCTTATTCCGTCTACCATCATGTACGATATAGCGTTGCCCTTTCCCGTTCTGTACGACTTACTTTCTGAAACGTCTTGATGACGGTGTTTGACACTATTTGGACTGGATCTAATGTTTATACGGACTTGGAATACCCTTTGCTGGAGAGCTATGTTGGTGGAAGTAAGTTAGATAACCTTGTATATAGATTTACATGCTTAGCATGGAGAATGCATCCGAAGATTTGCGAACGTGCTTGTCGATGTTGACGAGATCTCTATGGCGCTGTGCAACCCTTCCACCCACTCTAACGCTCCACCGATGTCACAGGTACACTCACCAGTGCCCACTTACCCCCACACTCCACGGGACGACCCCAACCGCCCTTTGAATGTCTACATTTTTTGTCTGTGCTGTGCTAGACACTATGCTTATCGGTAACAACCAAGTAATAATTGAGCTGGGTAAGGTGATGAGTACTAACAACGCACATGACGACGCTATTACCGAGTGACTGACAGAATCTGATGACATATATTACCTCCCACCCTTCAATGAGAGACACCAGTAAAAACAGATGTGATGGTGTTAGTCTCGCCGGTACATATTGTATTGGCCGGGGGTTCGGTCCGTGGCTTCGTTTTGGTTCCGGATCCTTCCTGAGGCTCGGGGTGGGGCCGGCGGTTGATGGAGGCAATGCTAGTCTGACAAGTACTGCCGGCATAGGTATCCTGTCCGCAGGGGATTTGGCAATCGATAGCGTGCTTGAAATGATGCGAGTCGTGGGGTGAGATAGTCGCCACGCTCCGCGTACTCTTCACGGTGGTACACGCCTCTCGGTCTCTCTTTGCCGAAATCCGAACCGGACTCGGGGTTGAGATGTGCGAGCTGCTGACCTGTCCGAAGAAGAAGGTCCAGTTGATATCGACTGTTGTCGCGTCTGGAACTCACTACCGGGAGTCCGGAACGATGATGTGATGGGTCTGCTGAGCACTCTGTTGGATACACACGTGCACTGCCACATGGGCTGTCTCACTCAAATACTGGAATGTGTTTTGAGTACACCGACCTATTTCCGCTGGCCCTGATGGGAACTTCCATGTCGACCCTACACATGGTCCTATCTGAGGAATTGTTGAGTCAGATTGGCGTCTGGCATAGTACGAAGGTAAATACCAAAGTCACGATTGAATGCTTCGACGAGTGAACGCTCGGGCTGACGGTCATGTCAGGAAGGTGGTCAGCTGAGGTTTGGTCAGTGCTGCTGCACGTTAGCCTCAGCCGTATCGTCGCCTAAGAGGTAGCCAACGTACGAGAAGCGACCAGGGTGAAATTCGAAGGACGATGAGTCCAGGATTCCGCTAAGCTTATAATCTCCCTTTGTTGGAAGAATGGGTGTGCACTCAATGAACAGTCTCTGCACCGTGAACTCCGTTCAACTCTTGATACGTGATTCATAAATATATTTGTCCATCGAAGAAAAATGATACCAAGACCGTGTGAATAACGCTGTCACAAAGCAAGAGATACCGCTCTGTGGGCATCGGTGGTAGGCTGGCTGTTGGCAGCACCCTAGAAGTGTAAGTTTGCTACGACGTTTGCGGCAGTAGCATATATCGTCTGTGACATATCAGCATCCCTCGTATAATGCTACATCAGGTTGACATACAGCAGATACAAGATACGGTAGACCCAAGCCAAGACCTCCAAGCTTGATGGCTTGTATCCAAAGAGAGGCCATGAGCGGAGCGCCCACGAGAGAACCGAGCGTTTTTGTCAACATAACAATACTAAAGTCTTGCGTATCAGAATCGCCTATCGCTATGAGTTGCGACTTCACCAGCGACATAGTGAACACGGGCAAGGCTGAGCCAAGGGCGTAGATCATCAAAGCAGCCAACAGCATCCAGAACTGGAACGCCAGTGCTACACATAGCACACCGACTATCGAGATCAGGATGCTGATCTCAGCTCCGAGGTAGTTGAGACGGACTTCGGATCCATGCACGGCTCGAGACGACATGGATTTGCGGATGAGACGCGGCACGATGATTGCAAGTAACGTGAAATTAACGATTGCTTTCGCCGACAGCATAAATCCGGCCTAGATGCAGATGAGTAGACGCTCAATAGGCACAGGGAAAGTCTAGCATACCTGTGCAAACGTCCATTCGTATCGCTTTGAGATATATTGGACAAGAAGCTTTGTATCTGAGCTTGCAAGAGCGGTAAGAAAGAATGAGCACAGGAGCACTTGGAAGTTCCGACGCCCTTTGATCAAGTCGAGAAGCTTTCGTGCCGCGTGAATGCATTCTTGTACGAAACCATGCGGTTTTTCGAATGCGTTAGCATAGTGACTTGCGCGACCCTCGTCGTCGGCAAGAAGTGGCCCGGCTTCTTCTATGTCAGAAGGTTCGGATAAGGCTGCCGAAGAGTCAACGACGGTCGGCTTTGCGGTCTGAGGAAGCAGCATGATGGTAGGTATCGCGCATGTTAGAAGACCGATGTTGATCCAGAACGGTAACCAGATATTCCAACTCATCGTAGTCGAAGCCAAGGTTGGGCCCAGGAACGATACAACGTATGAAGTAGAGCTGATGTACGAGAAGTAGGATGCTCTGCCATTGGTGAGACTCGCCTAGGAAAGCACGACTGTGGATGACATACCGCTGAACATACTCATTGGCTAGCGCCGATGTCAATGCAAAGATGGTTGATTGCAACACGCATTCACCCCCGAAAATAGCTAGGAAGGGTCCCACGATGATAGCTTTCGTAGGCAAGATATTAGGGAGATACCCAATCGTGAGAGTCCATACACTCATGAAAATCCTTGGGACGAGATTGCACCAAAGAACAGTTCGAACTCCGTACCTCTCAGCGATGAAGCTGAAGGGAATCGTTACAAGGAAGTCTGACCACAGCAGAATCAGACATGGGTGAGTACACTCGGTTCATAGCAGTATTTACATACCACAAACGACCAAAGTTGTTTCCATGATACCTTGAAGCCATGCTAGTCGTTGTTGAACTTCGTCAATCTTGCACAACTTCTCAGGGATGGGTCCATGCGTCGGGATCAGGGCTCTATCATGGCGCTCGTAGTGGTCTTGACAAAGTCTCAACTCAATCACCCGATTCAACGGGAGTGTATACAGAACAGCAGAAAGGTGCACGAGGATAAGAAGCACAACGAGTGGTCTAATGGACTGCTTGTTCCTTGTGGGATGTGAGTCCTGAAAAGTAGGGCGTAACGCCCTTAACAAACGCGGCGAGCTGCTGGTTGAGTCTGTCATGCTTCATGGATACGTTGGCAACGACACTCTCGATTTGACTAGGCGTGAGTGAGATGAATTGAACTTTCGTTGTGATACGGGGTGCGAGATACATGGTGCGATAAGATAACAGTCACGTGCAAGCACTCCTCCTCAGGTGTTCTGCCTGCAACCACATCCGACCAGCCACTCAGCATTTTGTAGCATCCAAGCCATTCATCACAGCCAATAAGCCGGTGAACTGTACCTGATTAAGTCCGTTCGAGCGTACGCAGAAAGAGTCATGACGAGATTATTATAGTTGCACGCTACAGTACCGCGTGTTGCTAGGTGGCTGGTCGGACGTGCCCGGGTGCAGTGCCGGGCATGGACCTAACGACTTCGTTCAAGGCTCACCAACAACCGAGGAGATTTTGTTCTTTGACAACCTTGCGACAAAGCAAGTGCACACCGCAACTCCATCTGGCCATCCTGCCACGAAACCGGGGTGAACCCGGGCTATACGACAGCGCATTGCGCCACACCGAACCAGCCGGCAGCCGCCTCACCCAATTTCCCCCTTTTCCAATCGCCAAACCACCTTCTAGAAACGCGTGGTTCTAACACCGAAATCAGTACGAACGCGACCTCGCGACTCGTAAACGCGACTGCCCAATAGTGGCCCCCGAGCCCAATTTGCCTCCCCAGATTCGCGTTTGGGGGGGCTAACGGCCCTCCCAAGGGAGAACGACTGGGTGACGGACCGACGCCACATGTCGACGCGGCGGCATCGTGTCCAGGGATTGGCAGTGTCATTCCAATGTGATCATGATCTGAATTCCCAGACGACCTGGAAGTCTTGGAGTCATTACTCCATAGCAAATGTGTCTTACATGGCGCCCTGGCAATATCCCAGTCCCTCGTTGATGACGCAGCGTGCCCATGCTGGGTCGGCGCATCTGTCTCCACCGTAGCGCGAAAGGCATGTTGATTTTAGCTGCTTATTTGCGTGTTGTATTGACAGAGAGATTCCTAGGGTAAGCGCTGTCGTAGAGAGCACAAGCAGGAGCATGATCACAATCACCTGTGCTCTGTGTTTTCTCCATTGTTTGCGGTAGGCGCGCTCTGTATCAGAGTTTATAGAAATGTAGCTTCGTCGCCATGGAATAGACTCCAATATGTCAAAAGACTGAACCGACGCTGGTGAAGGCGGTGCCGAGGCTGGGTCTTGGTCGGCATACCGTGGACAAAGAACATTATTCGCGAATGTAGTTTCATCGTCGATGTAGGGCGACAATGGCATGTAGCCGATGCTAGTGGGTTTTGAGATGGAGATTGGTGTCTTGTACGGTTAGCGACTGTCGCATAGCGGCAAGACAGCGCAATTTCCTAGGACTTACAGGAGTCATGCTGAAGGAAGTCTACGATCAATTGTGTGAAGTGCTTCTCATGCGTGCGTATCAAGGCATCTTTAAGACTCCAGTGTTGCATAAACAGCGCTGAAACATGTTATGAGTGGATAGCACCACAGCTTGGAGTCTGCTTGCCCACGAATCTGAAACGTGATATTGCAAGACCTCAGACTTAAGAGCGCAAGGAATAGGCTGCATGGAACACTGTTGATTTGTGGATGACCATGTTCTAGTAACTAATGCTCATCACGTCCCTTTCAGCCCCGCTGTCAAGTACAATCTGAGCCCTAACACCAGGACTAGCGCACCATCAAGCCCCGAGCACCATGTTTCCCAGCGATGAATTGCATGGGTTGCAGAACGACGAAATCTTGTAAGGAAGGAAGAAGGGTATCTCTGCTCGCTTAAGCAAACAACACGGGCGAGTGAGCTTTTGTACGGCGTCTGTGTCCAATTTCAGCCTGTGTGATTGTTTTCCTCCACTCGCACTCCCGCCACAGAGCTACTCATATTAGAGGATATCGTAGATCCAAGATGCGAATATTCTGCTCTGATCGGGACCGATGTGCCGACGCAGCCTTACACTGGCGGTGAACGAACTTGTTTTTTTGTCGCTCGAGGGTTGTAACAAAGGAAATGCGGGTAAATGTGCAGGAACAGAAAATTCTTTGATATCGCGGAAAAAGTAGAGTAAAACGCTTGCAAATGCCGACAGGTGTGAAGCTATGACGCTCATACATGAAGATTTTTGGTACAACGGGTATATTCACGGTTGTAATCGAGACAATCCATGATTATGCGGAAAAGATCAAGACGACAGCTGGTCCTAGCAAGGGATATGTTTACATGTGCTGAGGATGCAGGTATGAGTTCGGGAAATATTGTTGATGTGACGACATGTTTGGTGCCGGCTCTGATGTTGGTGTCGACGGGAACATCGAAGCTGGTTGTGACTTGACGACATGGCCGGCGAACTGCCCTTCACCATCAGGAGTGATTGGTGGTGTGAGACATCCGTTGTTCATGATGGCGCTGTAGGCAACCTTCTGGGGTGTTGAGGGTCCGAATTCAGAAACATGCTTGGGCTCCTCGACGGTGAGTGTTGGCGGTGGTGTCGGGGGCGAGGCGGCTGCCCTTTGAGCGTTGCGTGCTTGCTGTTGGAGGAACTCATCGACGGTGGCGACGACGTTGGAGAGATGTGTCGAGGCGTACTTCCTCGAGAGGACGGGTGATGGCTGATACAAGTGGTTTGACAAACCCATAACGGTCTGGGCATCGTAGGCACCAGCCCACTCTGTAGGCTTAGCTTGAGGGCGTGTAAGCACACACCTTGCGAGTGCAAGCGCAGATCTAGCGAGGACCGAAGGCGGTGTGGACACAAACTCCTTGTGGAATAGAGCAATCTCCGCGATGTAGAGTGTCATGTGCTCAACCTCGGCATCGTAAGTCGACGCGGCGAGGGCAATTTGAAGGAATGCGTCCACGGTGGGGTGACCAACGATCCAGTTGAGAGTTTGCAACACGTGCCATTCCATCTGAGTGAACATCTCGTCGTCGTAAAGCGAGCAGCACATAGACTTCAGCTCCCGAACGGTGGGTACCCGGTCCTTCTTGTCACCATACTTGGCAGCAATGAGGAGGGCAGCACAGCCAACGAGCTGGTAATGACGCTTGTACACAACACGGCGAGAGCAGTAGCGATCGAGGAGGTTGACGGCAAGGAAGAGAGTCTCGGGTAAGAGCTGGAAAGCGGCGTGGGCCTCAACCAGAAAGTCGAGCAGGTAAGGGCGCATGAACCACTGGATTTCTGTCTGGATGTCAATTGAGTTGACGTCTGGCAGTGTTTGTGTCTGAATGTTGTTAGCCGGAAATTCCATCATGCGTTCACTGTAGCACCGACCTCCATTGCCATCATATGCTCCATGATATCCTCCTGATACTCGTCGGCAGTCTGTCTTGAGAGATCCTCTGCGAGAGCCCGCTGTTGCATCCTTGCGAGACTGCGGTGACGTTCCCTAGCCTCAGCGCGGAGGACGTAGATACCATCATCCTGCGATTCTGTAAAGTACGAGTCGCAGTGCCCGTAGCGGGATTGTGTGTGCTGAGAGTAGGCCATTGTTGGGATGTGGAGTGAGGTGGGTGATGGTTGGGTCGAAGTCGATTCGCTTTGGTGAGAGAGTGTGATGGCTCGGTGTGTTGGCCGGATTAGAGAATGGCAGCCTGATAGGCAAGTTGATGTCGAAGGACTGTATGTAGTTGGATCTAAAAGGAAGGTGTTTGGTCCGTGATTCCCGGGGAGCTTGCGAGGCGGGAATATGTATGATCGAAACCTGAACGCAGGAGGATATTAGTCCGCGTTCACCTACGTCTAGATCGCGTAGCAGTGCGCGAGGGAGTACATACCTTGAAGAATTAAAGTATTAAGATAAAGAACGAATGAAGAGCAGAGGAGGACAGGAAAGGTACAGTAGAGGAAGTCGGAAAGCTCGAGCCCCTTGCTAATTGCATCCAGGAGCTAGAGTGAAATTGGGCGGGTTTGATGTGGGGCGAACACTACTGTGAAAAGGGATGACAGAGCACGAGCTAACGAGTCTGCCAGGGTGTGTTGCTAGGCGCTGGAATGCGGACAATTCCAATGCTGGCAGTCACTGAGCTGCGTAAGGATTAGTTTCAAGCAGTTCTGGTGCGTTTTCGGAAAACCTACAAGTTTTGCAAATCTTCGGTTTCGAAGGTGCAAATGACTGTTGCGAGATAGAGCGGTTTGTTAAGCCTGAATACGACTGTTGAAACTGCAGTGGTATGGTCAGCGCAAGTCCGCTATACGATGAATAATGAGCCGAGATGTCATGCAATGATCCAGTGAAATGAGAGTGAGCCAAAGTGGTAGCTGTTGGTGAAGGGTGGAATGGAGCTACGGTAGACTCCGGATCGGTACCGCGTCAGGAGCACATGTGAGTTGAGTGGCCAAATTCAGTGACAGATCCGCATCACCCATAGGTAATAATGACGAAGCGGTATACGAGGTTTGCTACATGCAGCCTAAGGTCGGCGCAGCACAACGCGACAGACAATGGCAGCGACATCCATAACCCCAAGCGACTGATCCAAAGCCATCAGAGTTGGATGAGCGAAATGTAGGACGAAGACGTGACCGTGCATGGGGTGCTACAGCGTCGACATCATGGCACGCAATCTCGTGTGGGCTGTGATGGCGTCGCCGCCGTGATCGCGAGTCGTGATTTGGCGAGACAGGTTCGAACAACGTAGACAAGTTGCAATCCGATGGAGAGTACGGTATGTGTCGCCCTTGGTTCGGCCTGCCACCCCTAGCCAACAACATTATGCAACGCCGAAGTTTACAATCCCATTGTACGTCCCTGGATCTCGTCGTTCTGTCATTCGCAATGCTCGTTCCGCCCTCATGTCGCCCTCAAATGCCGACATTGTCCTCAATGTTGTCGTTGTGTTCATATTCCTCGTCATGGTCTGTGCCCTTTGTTCCTTCCTGATCGGGATCCTTGGATGGAAGAAGTCGCTGATGGCAGGTGCTATCCAAATTCGAGGCAACGGCCGAGGCAAACGGGATACACGGCAAAGAATATTGAAACAACGACCTACCTTGGTTTCAAGAGCTGACACAGGTGTACAGTGGGGTCACACGAGGCTGGTCGTATAGGAGCCGAGTCGGACAACGATGGACGGAGGTACAGCGAAGGCGTTCTTGACTACCTCTGCGGCCAGCGAGAGGACAGGAGGCGGAAGCGGAGGGAATGGGAGGCTGAAGGTCACCAAGTGGTCTGGCACCTGTCAGGGTATCCTATTCGTAGAGAGACGGTCGGGGTGGAGTGAGCAGGAGGGAGGGTTTTGTGGAAGGATAGGGCCGAAGAAATTCAGCGCCGCATCGAATCCAAGAAACTCCGTGCTCGACCGTAGTGGGGGAGAGGATGATAAAGAGGAGGTGAAGGGGAGGTGAGGAGAGGATGATGTTCTTCAGACGGCTGCAGCTCTCACAAAACGACGGGCTCTCAGCGCGCCCAGGAGCCATAGTGGACCGCGCTCGATGGCTTGGAGCGACGGGCCTAACCCTATCGCGGTCGCGCAAGTTCACAACCTTGAAAGTCAAGGAACACCAGCCAACCGTGGCGTGTTCCGCCGGCGTCGTGGATCCATGGCGCTTTGCTCTGGCAGCTCCCAGCCAGGAACACGCTTGATATTGCACGCGTTGCAGCCCGTATCTTCCGCACGCCGCCCCCTCTGTCTCGCGCACCGTCACGGTGCTTGGCTGCCGTGCTCGCGGCCATGGCCATTCAGTAGCGACCAGCTGCTGTGCCCGCCGGAGCCTGCGCTGCAACATGCAACAGTCGCAGGGTGCCGTTCGCCGTCTGGCGATCGCACAAATACGTGACGCCTGCCGTGGCCTCACAACGCGTCCCAGTGTGGCTCCTAGCCCGCGGCGACTATCCACGTTAGCTGGCCGCCGGGCTGAAATGACCGCGCTGGTGGACTGGCTGTCATGCTTGCGAACCCCCGCCGAATCAGGCCTTGGGAGCTTCGCCGGTCAGCCTGAAGCCATGCCAGCCAACGCATGCAGCGACCAGGGTCAGGCTCTGAACGCTGGCCAATGTGTCTTCGGCTGCACACAGGAAACATGCTGCGCTGCATGGTCCAGTAGCCAAGACCTTCAATTGGCAGCGCTGCCGTAGGTCAGACTCTGCGGCGTGGTTCCCCTGGCATTTGGTGCCAAGTGGCAGCAGATGCCTCAAAAATGTACCCAACGTCATGAGGTAATAGTAGGAGTTCACATTCGCTTACGCACTCCTGTGCTCGCGGGTGCATACAGATGCCTGCGGGTGGTTGCGCCCTGTTCGAGGTTACACGCGAAGTCTCACTGTCGAGTACCTGCAAGCAGCATCATTCCCGTGTCCTGGTGATCTCACCAGCTCCATAGAAACACGCAAACTCAATGCGAGCGATTCAGAGTAAACAGACCATCAAGCCCCACGTTCACGCTTCCGCATGGTGGGTGGGGTGCTCTAAGAGAGACTATCGCGCGACCATCGGTACCGAGCTTCGTAGCTACACAGTGGAGGAACACAGACTTCCTTACTGATGAGACTTCAGGTCTGACCGTTGAAGCGACTGCTTTGCGGGCATCAAGATCGCTGCTGCTGCTGTTTCGGCATGCAATTGGGAGGCGGCCCATCTGCCTGTAATTGACACGCCCAGCAAAGCATCCCGCAGCAGGTCTTCATCTCGCGAGATTGCGCATCACACCCACGGGTTGCAAGCATCAAACCCATGTTGCCGAGCTGGAGGCTTCCAGAAATCATCCGTGGTTGACCTTCCCTTGCAGGTCCTAGCCACTTCTTTTGCGGGGTTAGGTCAAACGACCTTTGTTCCGCTGCATCGTGACAGCATTTGAGCTTAGACTTAGCAGAAGTAATACTATTCCTGACGCTGACCGCTGTGGGGGCAAATCATCCGTATCGTGCCTTCAATGTATATGCTGATGAGCAAAGCAGTGCCTCTTGCAGGTACAACACCGAGACATGGCACGGCGCCCTTCAGCTGTGCGCGTGTCCCTGCAATTGCACCAACGAAGATTCAATTGGCGTGTCTGCGGGCGTCCAGCATATGATGCGATGGTTTGGGTCCGGCAATTCATTGTGTGCGGCTGGGAGGCACATCGGCTGCAATTGACGCATGCTAGCGCGATCTTTCTCGCATTTACAACCTCGGACGCCATCCAAAAGCACCGTTTAGACGCAGCAACCGGCAACGCTTTCTCTTGGTCTGACTATCGCATGCAGCTACTGTGTAGAGCTTGCACCCGGCTTCCGCACACCGTGTCTCGTCTTAAGGCTTTAGGCCAGCGCGCAACTAACTCGTCACGTCCGCGATGGTTACGACCGCGAACACAGCGCGTCTTGAGCCGCCATTGCACGCGATAACGCGAACCAGGAAACTTTTGCCTCCAGCCCAATTCGTTTGTTCCGCTCCGTTCCATGCTTTGTCTCGTCCGACTGCACACCGAGTCTATCGACGCTTAAGTCGTGGACTCTGTGGGCCTCATGCTGCGGCTACCGTATCAGCGTTGCTAGCAAATTTGCTCAAGACTTTTCATCGCGATCTTTCAGATTGCGGGCCTCGTGAGCAGATCTTCACTTGTCCTCCACAGCAACCCGATGCACTGCGCCGACACACGTTGTAGCACCAGGTTTGCGGATGGGTCCCCTTCCTCTGGCCTAGTCGCTTGCTAGGTTGCCTGGGACTCTGGGCACACCGCATGAGCTGTGACAGATCCTGTGCAGCTCGCACGACACTTGTAGGGCAAACTTTTCAACGTTTGCAGAAATGGCTGCTGGGGGTGAAGTGCATGTTTCAATAACCTGCCCTACCTGTCTCCCCTAATACAGCTGCCAGCCCAACGATAACAAGCCCGGCTGCGCCCTGACTCCCGAGTAATGCAATGGATGAAGGGATTGACGCAATGCCGCTGTTTGGCGGAAGATGTTACCCCCGCTCGGCGGTCAAAGCGCAAGTATTGAAGGTTCAACCAATGCAACATTACGAGATTGTCACAGAACGGTTTTCCCAGGTACCATTAAGCACGCGTTGAGAGCGCAACCGCACTTCGGGTCGCATCCACGCGTACCGCGTAGAGTGGTTACATGGTTTGCGCGGCGTCGCGGCCAGCCTCTGAAACCGGCCTTGGGACGCCCAAGGCGCACTGAAGGCGATTCATGTTGATCTCATGCAGCGTGCCAGATGGTTGCACATCAAGGGGCGCCAACCCTGATTGCAGTCAAGTTCCGCCGTTGACTCTAGCATCACTACAGCAACGGAGTGCGATGACGTTCATACGCAGAGCTAACTACGTGCGAAGTCTGTTGCGGTTTGTGGAAACTGGACCGGATGCTTATCAGGATAGCTTTCCGCCACGGGTCTCACGAAGGTGTGATTATGCTGCGTCACAAGCTGACGAGACCGCAGAAGCGAGGGGCATCCAGCTGGCTTCCGTTGCCCGCGACACGAGGAATGTTTACGCAATGCCCAAGCCGGTGATCGTACAGCATCGTTTCTAATTCTGGTTGGAGCGGCTGGTTGCGGACAACGGCCGAACTTAGAGGGCTACAACGTCCAATACTCGTCACTATCGTAGCAAGCCATGTAAGGCTTCACAGAGACCTCGGGAAGTTTATCCCGTCAGGCCGCGATTTGAGCCGAGTGAACGTAGCCATAATTCTGAATGTCGAGCCCAATATACCCAGCCTTCGACAGCCAACTGCCGCACTCAATCTTAGAGCCTATAGCCCTATGCACTGTTGTCCATCCTCCAATCCAAGATATGATTGACTGAGAAGTCACAGGCTTTGGCGGGGTGCGGCTCGGAGAGGTAAGACTGGCGCTTGAGTGTTGACGTTCTGACAGTGCGTGACGGCTTCAAGATGCCACACGACACCGAGACTCCACTAGAGAGGAAGACAATAACCTTAAGAGCATGTTCACCGGTCTGATGGAAGCAGATGGGTGAACATGGTCTTGATGGTTTGATGGATAGCGTTCAGAGGATGTGGTCGTTGATGAAGTGAGGTTAGATGTTGCCTAATCAGCGGCGCTAGGAAAAACCAAAGAGCCGAGCGGCAGCTGCGACCCACTTGTCTCCACAAAAACTTCTTGCGAAGACTTCGAAGAGTTTGGGGTGCGACTTCACGAACATGATAGCCGTAGCGTTGGTTCGGTAGCGCACGCTGATATATTGTGTGCGGTACTTTTGAATAAAGCTTGCGATATCCACTTCCAAACTATACGATATCATGGACATCCACAGGTCGCGTTTCGTGCCTTTCCCGCCTTCTGCAATCAACGCCCTAGCATTTTCACATACAGAACCCGAGCATGGCCAACAGGAACCCGAATCACTGAGACTCGCCATTGGACGCGCCAACGGCAACATTGAAATCTGGAACCCGGCGAATGGGGCATGGCTACAAGAGAAAGTCTTTTACGGCGGTAAAGACCGAAGCGTGGAGGGTCTGGTATGGACGCAGAACCCCGACCAAAGGGACTCGAGCGGCAAGATTGTACCCGGACGCTTGCGACTGTTTAGCATCGGCTACTCGAGCAGCGTCACCGAATGGGATCTTGCAACAGGTCTCCCCGCGCGCCACTCGAACGGAAACCACAGCGAAGTGTGGTGTGTTAGTGCACAGCCGAGGGCGAAAGGCAACACGATCGGAGCCGCAAACGATGCAAGCGCATATCAGAAACTTGTAGCAGGCTGCGCAGACGGTACCCTCGTCCTCCTCTCCACCGAAGACGATGATCTCCGCTTCGAACGATTCGTTTCCCGGGCGTCGACGAAGAAAGCTCGTGCTTTGAGTGTTGCGTACAAAGACCGTGACACTGTTCTCGCAGGCTTCGCAGACAGCATGATCCGAGTCTTCGATACAAGAAATGGCAATGTTATCCGAAACATTTCGCTAGGAAGCGGACCTCATGGCGGCCCGAAGGAGATTCTGGTCTGGAAGGTGAAGTGCCTTCCAAATGGTGATTTTGTGTCTGGCGATTCTACTGGCGAGATCAGAGTCTACAGCGGCAAGAACTACAGTCAGACGCAGCGAATTGCGGGCCACGAAGCAGATGTGCTGGACTTAGCTATCTCTCGCGATGGTACTGGTATCTTCAGTGCTGGCATGGACCGCCGCACGTGCTTCTACACCTGCAAGAAGTCGCAAGGGAACAAGGGACAGAATGGCAAATGGCGCAAGGTTTCTCATCAGAGGTACCATGAGCACGACGTCAAGGCGATGGCAACATACGAGGGCAACAAGATCAGTGTCGTCGTCTCGGGAGGTGAGAGATGTCTTCTTCGTGTCACGTTGGCAAACCGCTCACATATATCACAGGCATTGATACCCAACCTATTGTCGTCCCTCTCCGCCAGTTTGGTCAAGAGCTCAGCCGTGGTCTGCCTGCTCTCCCATCTACTCCTCCTCTGGTGAGCGCACCAGAGGCACGAATTTTGGTCAGCTGGTGGAACACTGAAGTCCGTATCTGGCGCGTCAAGCCCAACAATGACGGCACAGAGAAGCCCAAGGTGGTCGCACGTTTGGCTCTACAGGGAGATGAGAACATTACATCTGTCTCGATTACCCAGGATGGCGAGCTTCTCTCCGTCGCGACCGCAGATGCTGTCAAGTTGTTTCAGCTCATTCGCCCGCAGTCAGGAGCGGAACCCAGTCTTCGAATTCGAAAGATTGAGATGCCAGATATCGAGGGAGCAAGGAATGTTCGCTTGACAGGAGACGGCAAGTGGCTTGCTGCAGTGACAGCCACGAATGAAGTCAGGCTTGTCAGGATCGTCAGAACAGCGGACCCGGATGACGAGCCTCGTCCTCTAGCTAAGATTGCGCGCCTGCAGCGTATTTCTCGTGAAGACACCCGAACAACGCCTCTTACCGGAGAGCACGGATCGTACGAACGCTCTATCAACCACGCAGAGTTTTCTTCTGATGGCTCTGTGTTTGCTGTCACCGACCTTGCAGGGTACATCGATACGTGGGTTATTGAAGGACACGAGGACGTCACCGCTCCCGAAGTGGATATTGACGATTCCGCTTCGGATGCTGTCGACGACGAAGAGTCTGATGATGACGAAGAGGGATCCAAGGAACAGGTCATATTCCTTGGCCAGAGATGGATACGTAATCCCTCTGGACACTTGTTGCCCCGTCTCGACTCCACACCGACACTACTATCGTTCCAACCTAGCACGGACGACTCTCGGCCACAACCGAATGGCAACCCTGCTGTTCATCCTACACGATCCAACCCCCACCCCCACTCACGGGAGGTGCCGACCACGGAGCAGAGGCTGCTCGTCACATCTGCAAAGCAGCAGCTGTACGTCTTTGAAGTGATCGCAGGCCGCTTATCGGAATGGTCCAGGAGGAACCCGCCATCCAGCTATCCTTCCGAGTACCGCATGCTTGATCTGCCAGCTAAGGGCTGCGTATGGGACGTTTCTTCCTCCCAGCAACGGCTGTGGCTGTATGGTGAGAAGTGGCTCTTCATGTTCGATCTGAGCAAAGACTTCCACATGTCTGATGAAGGATCGAAGAAGCGAAAGCGCGACACGGCGACAGATACTCCGAGGAAGAGCACCAGTGGAGCTGGCGATATTGTCCCCTCAAAAGAGAGCACGATTACAAAGATGCGCAAGTATAGCGGCGCACCAGGCAAGGATGCAGGAAAGGCGAACTGGGTGGACGTGCACGCCCCCCGGTCTAACGCGCTTGAAGATGACGACGAGGGCGAGTCTCACCCCCTCGCGGCCCTCCGACGTACGGCCACGCAGGACGAGATGACCAATGGGGACGTGCCTACCGGAGGTGAGGTAGCAGAGGTGGAGCAAAAAGCGAGCTGGTGGCATACGTTCAAGTATCGTCCCATTCTGGGCATGGCGGCGGTTAGCAGCGAGCAGGGGCAGCCGCTCGAGGTGGTTCTTGTTGAGCGGCCATCGTGGGATCTCGATCTACCACCTAGGTTTGTTGGGCCACATGAAAAGTAGCTTCCTTTTGCCCTTTGCGGAGATGTTGCATTGTTCGGCGTTGATACCTCTAATCGAATTTGATTCGACATTCACACCTTCATTTCCACCCTCCAGTGATACACATGTTTGGAAACGCCGAAGAAACACCACGGAACCTCTATGCACCGCAGTCTTGAGGTGTTTAAGCTCAGTTGGCTGCAAAAGGTACCAAGCTTCCGGCCCAGAGACGCGTGGAAGTTCGATACCACATGGCAAGTGGATCTAGACGGGCCTTGTCTTAAGCAGTGACTCGTCAGCCCGCAGTGCGTGGCTCATAGCGTGTTTCCCCGAGGCCGAGTGGCAAGGATGGGCGCAGACCACCTGATACAGTGCAGTCTTCATGTTGGTGAGATTGCCAAGCCATGCTCGCAATTCAGACGACCGGACTGGCGGAGTGAAGTCGACAACACGTGATGGGCAGCGTACAAATCACGAATTAATCGGTGAGACAGTCGTCGCAAGCATGCTCAAGCTCAACGACAGCTGCGCTGATGTGAGACGTTATCATGTACTTGCACAGGCACACGCATTATCAGCACATGGAAGTGATGATAAGTGGTATCTTCTAGGACTGGCAGAATCTGCGGTGATGAGCGGTGATGGGCGGTGATGAGCGCAAGGCTGCGACAAGGAGCACGGAGTGACCCGTATCCCGTATCTTGCGCATGCGCAAGCTGTTTCACCCCAGAGGCAACGATGTTACAAGATCGACTTTGACAGCCCGCACTTAAAGAGCGATCGACTTGAAGGCTGACGCAGACCAATGACGAGACGCGCCGAGGCCGTCGCTGCAGTCGCCACATGGCTGGCCGCTGCACGGCCAATGAACAGACAGCACAGGCAGAGTCGGAGTCGAGGACACAGTGCAGTCGCAAGCTGTGGTATGGGCTGCGACGACAGGTCGACGACCCTAAGCGAGCTTGCGTGGAGGAAGGGGCCAGCCGCTGGCGTAATGTTATTCCTCCGCCCGTTCCTGAAGAGTTTGCGTCGTGGGCGAGCTATTGATTCACCAAAACCAACCGACATCTGCACCGGTGCACACGCGTACGTGGGCTTCTGTGGCGCCCGAGCAGATCTCCGCTCCACAGGCGCAGCTGCGCGCCTGACGAGCCTGCATGGTGGCACACAGAGTGCAGAGCGCGCTTGGGACGCTGGCAGCCGCGAGGAAATGCAACAGTGCAACAGTCGCCGGCTTGGGTCGCGTTTGCGAAGGTGCCTACCTGGTGCTAGGGTGCTAAGCAGCAGGGAGGGTCGCGCGCCAAGCGGACCTCGAGGCGTCGAGGCGCAGAGCGTTCCTGTGGTGCCGTGACAGCTAGAGCCTACATACGCAATCGTTTGGCCGCTCTGTCGTGCAGGCTGGCGGGCTTGGCGGCCGCGTGGTAGTGCCAGACGGCGAGAGCAGCACCAGAAGTAGCGCCAGAGGCAGCGCCAGAGGCAGCAGCAGCCGCAGAGGGCCGCCGACGCAGCGCACGCAATGCATCGCGAACTGGCGCTCTGGCGCGCACGCATGCGGTTCGCGGGCGGTGCGCACGCAACGGGCAGTCGCAGCATGGGGCCGACTTGCAGGACGGCGGGCTGCTGGCCAGGCTGTTGCAGGTCTTTTGCGTGGACGCGTGTCGACCGACGAAGCCCCTGCCGAAAGCGGCAAGGCGCGCCTTTCCGCTCTTGCCCCATTCCCGCCCTCATGATTACCCTCCGTCGCACCCTCGCTGCACTGCTCCCAGACTCTACGACTCTGGACGACGCCGGCTTGCGCATACTGACGCTGCAGCACCGTGCCCGCACCACCGTCAACCGTCGACGACCTGCTACAAGAATCGCCGCGCACCGCCTGCCGCTGCTGCGCCTGCACTCTGACGCTCATTGACCAGCGACCCGGGGCTGTGCAGTGCCAATCCGCAGCCTACTTACGCCCACATCAGCGCTCCACGCCCGCACCCGCCGCCTCTCCTCACCACCACCACACACACGCCCATCATGGAGCACCCCCGAGCATCGTCGCGGGCGCCCGCCAGCGACGTCGACCGCCTGGCTGCCGAGATGACTGAGAAATTCCGCTCCGTGCTCAGCACCAAGCGCATGAACGAGCTGTCGACCAACGTCACCCATTCGCGCTCCGCATCGCCCGCCCCCCGCGACTTTGGCACGCCGCAGCCGCCCGCACACACCGCTCCGCCGTCGTACTCGTCGCTCAAGAACATCCCGCTCGTCGCCCAGCCGCCGAACCCCAGCGACCTGCGCTCGATGCGCTTCCGCAACATGCTGCACTCGCTGTCGCAGATGCCCACGCGGTGGGAGAACCCCGGCCTGCTGGACGAGGCCCTGCGCGTCGTGCCGCTGCAGCAGATCTACGCCGAGGCCGACGAGGAGAGCCAGATCCTGCAGGCCGAGGCCGACAGTCTCGGCGCCGGCAAGAAGGCCGCCTGGGGCTACCAGGACTGCGTCGTCCGCGCCCTGCTGCGCTGGTTCAAGCGCTCGTTCTTCCAGTGGGTCAACAACCCGCCGTGCTCGCGGTGCTACTCGCCCACCGTGGCCGTCGGCCTCACGCCCCCGCTCCCTGACGAGCAGGCCCGTGGCGCCAACCAGGTCGAGGCCTACAAGTGCTCGCACGACGGGTGCCAGAACTACGAGCGCTTCCCCCGCTACAACGACGCCTTCGTCCTCCTGCAGACCCGTAAAGGCCGCTGCGGCGAGTGGGCCAACTGCTTCACCATGCTCTGCCGCGCTGTCGGGTCGAGAGTCCGCTGGGTCTGGAACGCCGAGGACCACGTCTGGACCGAAGTCTACTCGGTGCACCGCAAGCGATGGGTACACGTAGACGCCTGTGAAGAGGCCTGGGACAAGCCCCGGCTGTACACTGACGGTACGTACCAGCTTTGCCACAGATGACGAGACATTGACTGACATCTCCACAGGCTGGGGCAAGAAGCTGTCTTACTGCATCGCCTTCTCCGCCGATGGTGCCATGGACGTCACTCGCCGCTACGTGCGTGACCAGACTAAGCATGCAGCTACCCGCAACCGCGCACCTGAGGCCGTCCTTCTCCACATCATGGACGAGATCCGCGCTGTACGACGCAAGGACATGTCCAAGCAGGACAAGTTCCGCCTGCAGGGTGAGGACCTCCGCGAAGCAAAGGAACTTCGCGGCTACGTCATCTCTTCCATTGCACACGACATCTGCAGGCTCAAGCCACAGGACATCATCAATGGCGTCGCATCCCGCGACACCGAATCCGACAAGGCAATCGAGGGTCGTATGAGCGGCAACCAGGCATGGATCCGCGCACGAAACGAGCAAGGACGAGGCCAGTCGAACCAACACGACCCTCGCAACCAGCGCCCACATTGAAGGTCCTACCAACAAAGGTCACTCGCCATCTTTTCTTCCACTACCATCTTCGCCAGCCCTACCACCCTACGACGCAGCCGAGTCAGGTTTAGTGTGTATAGCACTACCTGCTCTGGCATGTAGGTCACGAGTGAGCTCTTGATGGTCCATTCACCTTGACCCCCGCGACGTTCGTTCACGAGCACCCGCCACCCTGTAACCATAGAATCCTGGATTCAGCGATTCATTGAATCTTTTGCGACGGCGTTCATGGCGCGATACCAACAGCATTAGCGATAACCTCTAATGTCTGCACCACCTCTCGGGGCCTCATCCTATCATTAGCCTGGACAGACACCGAGGCACACACCCGAACCACGGGTTTTCATTTACGATCTCCTTGCATCTTTACTTCTTCTATCTTCATGTGCGACGCAGGATAGCGGCACCGTTTATACCATTGGGCTTCTGGGTCACGATTTGATACACCTGTTTCTTATGTCTTCTGCAGTCCGCTTATTACGAGCATTTTTGGGCACTTGATGGAGCCTCGTGTGGTACGACGGCATGCACTTTGCGATTTTGTTAGAGCCTGGCGTTGCACGCAGGCTGTGTTGTGAGCGGTGAGAACGGCGCAAAGGCCGTGGTGTTGAGGACGCGCGTCATGCATGGAACGCCGCGAAGACTCTTGAAAGAGCGACGCAGCTGCAGATAGAAAATCAGAGCCAAGATGATTGGCAACGCTTCTTTGCGACGCACAACACTTCACTGGTTCCAGACTTTGCAAATCTCTCGGTGATGTTACCTGATCCACGGAACCTGCAGATGATCCAGCAGAGCTTGCGCGGAACGCGCGTCTCGACGGCTTCGCGTTTGAGCATTTCAAATCTCCGCCGCGCCTCATGAAAGCCTCAGGACTTCAAGTACCTCAGGCATATCTTCTACTCACACAACTAGGTAAAGTTTGCTGCTCAAGCAACCAGTCTCGAGGTTTACGTACACAGGCCCACCTCGAGTCGAAGTAACTCCGTCAGCCTGCTGATGTGTCTCTGCATGTAACCTCGGTTCCCCATCCACACCTCATATGTAAGCGCGACCTGGTCACAGCAACCTACATCACTCCCCTGAGCAGGACAGCTGGCGACACCTCGAGCAAACCGAACAAACACGGCAGCACCATGACTTATGTTTCAACCAGACGGCAGTCGGTGATGATCGTGATTAGATCGCCTTGGCGAAGCGGGCGCAAGCGAGCTAGCGTCTATTTTTAGGTGGTGGCCTTACCGTCAGTGTGGCTGACGAAGGATGGAGACACTTTCATCTCTTGCGCCTCAGCACAGGTTGTAAGCAGGTCCAACTTTGGATCTGTTGCTGTTTTGTTTATGAAGCTCATGCTATGGACGCCGTGCACCAACGGCATGAGCGGGATGATGGCTGGTTCTGGTGATGGCGCGAGGCTGCCAGCTGGAAGGTCAGCTTCCGTGGCAGAATTGTGGGGGGTTTTGCCGTGCTGATGGAGGTGCAGCGAGGAGGCTGACGGCTGTTGGCAATCTGCGTCGCTGAAAGCACTCGATAATTGCCTATTCGGGAACAACGTGAGGGAGCGTTTTGAGATCTCAAATTTCGCCGAGGGCGTTAGGCGCACGGTATGCTGACCCAACGGTGGTGGCATTGAACAGGTTTGGAGAGCTGGAAGGATTGCATGGTCATTGCGCAAGGATATGGTGGTCCTCGATGCTGGGCACACTGCGAGGCTCAAATGTGTAGCTGAACACGTACGCTATCTCAACTTCCCCAGCACCGTCGAATAACCGTGCATCTCAGGGTAACTCACGGGCTTGTTCACGCTGGTATACTCCTCAAGCAGCGTAGTGCGGGCCAGTGTGGAGCGTCGCGTCAGCACGCCTCGCTCAGCAAGCCCGAAGTCGCAAGCCCTTTGAGGCTGGGTGAAGGCTAGCCACGCCGCCGAGCACAATCTGATTGGAAGGGCCGTTGAGCTTGCTTACAGCCCCCTTCAGCTGGGTTCAGCTGCCACACACAAGCTTATACAAAAGCTGCCTGACCCGCGCCGTTTGTCTGACGTTCATCTTTTTGGTGTATCGTCGCTCAGCCTTTCGTCTCAACGCGCATTTAGGATTGTTTTGCTGCTCACGAACAACAATCGCTTCCAAAGTTCTCCGCACAGTCCAATCGATAACCAACGGCCTCTGACGTCGCATTTCGAAGCACTTTATCACACATCACTACCAGAAATATGGGCAAAGCAGGGCGTTTCGCGTGCATCATCGCGCCTATGGCGTTGACGGTTGCATCGCTCATTTGTTTACTGCTCGTCATGGTCGGGCAGCTGGGCAACAGCAACAAGGCTCCCTCGACTGCGCTGGGGCAAGATCTATACTTCTTCAAGGCACGCCAACTACCTGCATGCACACCCACAACCCACTAACAAATCCTCAGGCAGATACAAGTAACTTCACAGCCGACCCGCAAACAATTATCGACCAACTCAAGAACGCCGGCGACCACGTCGACGTTAACAACGACCTCCTCGACGCTCTGACTGGCGCAGCCTCCTCCAAGGAACTTAAAGCCTTCTACCAGGTCGGACTCTGGTCGTACTGCGAGGGCGAGAAGACCGACGGCGTTGAGAAGATCACCTACTGCTCCTCTTCGAAGACACAGTTCTGGTTCAACCCCGTCGAGGTTTGGGGCCTGCAGAACACATCTGTGCAGAACGTGCTCGGCGACGACCTCCAGAAGGGCCTCGACACCTACAAGAAGGTCGCTGGCTGGATGAACTGGGCCTTCATCATCGCAACAATTCTGACCGCCGCTGAGTTCATCGTTGGTTTCTTCGCCATCTTCTCGCGCTGGGGCAGCCTCGTCACCACCATCCTCTCAACCGTGAGTTCCACCCCTGAATACACCCCCGCGCTCAAACTAACACCCCCCAGGCCTCCACCATCTTCTCCATCGCCGCCGCCGCCACCGCAACCGGCGTCTACGGCGTGCTCACCGGCGTGTTCCACACCGCGCTCGAGCCCTACAACATCGACGCCTCGATGGGCAACAAGATGCTGCAGGTCATGTGGCTCGGCGTCGCCTTCAGCATCGCCTCGGGCTTGTTCTGGCTGCTCAGCGTGTGCTGCTGCTCCGGCAAGAGCGGCCAGAAGAAGGTCCAGGTCGAGAAGACGCCCTACACGTACGAGCGCGTTGCGAGCCCCGCGTTTGGCCAGGAGGGGCATCAGCTGCTGCCTACGCCCGCGTTCAAGCCCAGTGGGCATACACAGAGCGGGACTGCGTATGAGCCGTACCGCAGCCAGGTTTAAGAGATGAGAGTTTTGTTTATTCATTGAAGAGCGCGCGGGGGGGGGGGGGGGGGGTAGAAGGTCGCTGTGACGAGAAAAGGAGAAGGCGATGCATTTCATGACATCTACGACATTTAGTGCGTTTTTTCATTTACATATCACGGCGTTTTGGGAGGGGGGCGATCCACCTCACTTTGTTGTTTGGATAATTTGTTTGGATACTTTTGTATCAAGGGTTCTTTCTGGCAATTGCATCATCATCGTTCCAGCGTCCATCATTACTTCCACTGCTATTGAGCATTTTTCGCCGTGATATTGCCTTTGCTGCGAGTCCTTCAGGGGTTATCGTCACCATGCCCTAGGTCAGGATCGATGTGCACTTCTATCGAACTCGAACGGCACATCGTGTGCTCATGGGAACTTCCAAGAGTTGTTGAGTGGCTGCCGTCGCCAAGCGCCACATCGGGATCTACATGCACTTCCATCGAACTCGAGCGGCGCATCCTAGTGCTGGCGCTCATGGGGACATCGAAAGAGCCTGGGATGTATCAGCACCGCTATTAGAAGACCAAGAGATGCTATGTACCATTGCAAGCAATGAAGTTGGTATATGGCTTAGCATCTGCAGTCTGGTTGCTGCTAGATGCAGATTCATGTTTCGCTGTGGTAGTGGCGGGAGGCTGGACTGGGATGGGGGTTTGAGGCTTGGTGGAGGATATCTTGCCCATGGTGGTGAGGGTGAAGGACAGGTCGACACTACGTTATGGCAAGACCGAGGTAACAAATTTCTGGAAATTGCAACTGCAGATTCTTGAAATGATACTGAATGCTTTCCATGGTCATGAGTGAGCGCCTTCTCTTATACAAATTTCTTGTCTGTTGTTTTCAGGCGTCTGCTCTTCGCATCGTCTACTCCCCACACCCCACACCATGCGGCCCGCCAGTGTCGGCGTGGCATGTCTTCACCAGCGCCGATGCTGCATGTCTTGGCCGTGTATCCGAGTTCTTATTGGATAACGGTGTCGAGCGCTTACTGCGCTCCCCGCTTCTCGCGACTTTAAGTGAACGTTCAGCCTTGCGTATTCTTATCCATCTTAATAATGGCTGAATCCGTATCCGTGAGCCGGGAAAAATACCGTCTGTCTGTAGAGTCAGATACGAGACTCTAGCCTGTAGAACGGGTGCAGCTGAAAATGATCCGTGTCTATGTTTACACTTTGCTTTCGAAGTTCTCGGATCCTGACGGCTACACTCACGCGCCAAGGTCGGTCCAAGATAGATTGGTAGGTGGGCTACCATTGGTTACACTGCCCCGGTTTGAGATGCTCACACTTGCGCCTACTCCCGATTGCTCGATTGTCAGAAAGCAGATGGAAGAAAATGCTTCGAGACAACACATGGTATGTAGCCAATAAAATCTCCTTCCACCTGGAAAGACACTGCCCGCAGCACACCGTAGTTTTCATCCAGCAGTGCAAACTGGGCGATGAGGCCACACATTCGACTAGTTGTCTTGAGTACTCTATCCTGCTTATGTGTAGATCTATCCTGCTTATGTGTAGAGCCAGTCAACCTAGATCCAAAGCCATTCTCACAGACTACGGACAGTCCTGTCTCAGCGGAAGCGCTCCAATCACATCTGTTCCGGGCTGATCATTACGGGAAACCTGGACAGAGCTCGTATGGTCACGATGGGGGACATTTTCGTATAGAAAGGCCATCATATGGTAGGCCGTTCCTGCAAAACCCATCATGACATCAACGACACTTAAACACGAGATGTAATCATACACCGTGATCTGATACGGTGACGACAGAACTAAGACCTTCCAATTTCTCACCGCTTTTCGCTGTGGACCTTGTTCCAGCGCGTCATATGCTAAACTTTCAGGCTCCCTCGCACTATGTCACTCATTCTGTTCTTATTCAAGTTCTTGTATCAGCAGGCTTATTCCGGAATGTTGTCAAGTTCTCAATGGCCACCTATGGTTCTTCGACATTTGCATCATCTTGATATTTGAGAGCCGGATTGTTGGTTGTGACATTGATCTCGATGGGAGTGAGACCCTTGGGTTTGGAGTGTGACTTATCCATGCTGTTAGGCCGAGACTAGGTAAAGATCTCGAAGACCTTTTCCTCTTGACAGAATGATGTATGAATACTCGAACAGCTTACTGGTAGATGTATATGAAGAGAGATTCCATCGTTAATTAATGTAGCTTCTGTTATTTGTAATTTGTACGGGTTTCATATGCCATTGATGCCTTCAGGAAACTGATCTTGCGGTCGGAGTAAGCCAGCATTGTGTTTCTATACCGCTACCATGCAGCCAAGAGCGTATTTTATGCAGTTAGCATGCAGCCAAGAGTGGCAAATCGGTATCCCAACCTACACACGGGCGGATCAGGTCGTGTATCAACTCCCTATCCAACCACATCAATAGTCGCGTAGCACAATCCGCTGGTGGTCTTGGATCAGAGTCATTGTATGATATGGAGGCATCGTAGTCGCCAGCACCTTTCTTGAGCGTCACTTCCGTGCTGTAAGCAGGAGCGAAGGCGCTTTGTCGAGCTAAAGACAAGTGTGATTAGTGCGAGGCAGATCTGGCCTCTGTAGACTACTGCAAAACGCTCATTGCTTGATTCGAGGCTGTGGCGCAAATCATGTGAAAACGAGACCAGACTGAGCTTCCCAAATAACCAAGTTAAGGTTACATTAGGGGCAGTTCCTATCACTTCATACAACTGTATGTGAACAAGAATCGCTATGAGATCGGCTGTTCACACAACTTGATGCCATGACCTTTGACTTATGATTTGAAACTAACTACCTGCGAGGAACATTGCCATCTCCGTCAGATCCCACAAGGACATCCATCGAACTCGATCGGTGAACACTTCCTCTTCTTGGGATATCGATGGAGCCTGTTATTGTTCAGTGCCTTGGTCGATAGGGGGGGAAGTGGTGGGTACCATTCAAAGCAATCAAGTTCGTGTAGAATCTATCAGCATCACCACGTGCAGACGGCCCAGCTCCAGAATTGACATTGTTGCCGGAAGAATGGGTATGGCATGAGCTGGGCTTGGGAACTGGTGCTGCTGTAGCAGCGCATGGATTGTTGACACGACTGTTGGCCATTTGGGGAGATAAGGTGGATTTATCAAAATGATGACGGTTGATGACCGTGGTGAGGGTGCTGTGAATCCCTTTCGCTACTACGGCTGAGTCGAATTTATATGCACTTACCGGTGTGAAAGACGGATCAAGCACAGAAGGCAAGCCCACATTCTTCACCACACGTATACGCCTTCTTTCGGGATTCCGCGAGCGCTTGTGAGGTGTCCAGCATCAGCTGTAGCCAGAGTTAAGGTCGACGACCCATTAACTCGTTCTAAGCTAACTCGTAAAGGCAAGGTTTCGAATGATGTAACCAATCCAATGCAATACTTCCAGCAGGGGTGGTCAACGAGCGGCCTGACGTTTGAGTAAAGGGAGTTAGCGTCAGGTGTAATACGAGGGTATGCGTCCCTTGGGCTGGCAGCCACCTCACTGCCCATAGCGGTAGGGATCCGGGGGCTTGGGATCAGGATGTATGTCTCTAACTTGACACTGATGCGGCATTTCACTTTCCTGTGGCTGACATGCGCCACCGCAGGTACAGGGATTGAACGCTCCGATTGGGCAGATGCAAAGTGGCATACGCGCATGGCACTTCCAAGTTCTAACGGACATGCAGTTGGTGACTACAGACAAAGTTGAAGGTGGGTCCTGCCTAGGTGGCCTTCCAATATCTCTAGTAGAGCTGTGCGCATAGCTGCTTGTGTTAAAGTAAGTGTGTGCCAACCTCTTCGGGCTTCTCCACGCTAAAGCGGTCTGTTTCTGATGATGATGTGTAAGGGCTGCCAAAGTCTCGCCTACATAGCCGGGCAAGATTCAACATGATCGTTGAGCTGAGGAATAAATTAGCCAATCATTGCGTTTCGGGTATGCACAGCACCTTCGCATCCGCCGTGCAAGACCAAAATGGAAAGATATGGCCGTGCCCAGTCGTTGTATCCATCGTCCTTACTCGACCAACCGTAATATTCTGAATACCTATGCACAGCACTTTCATAGTCATACCAAGGCACTTTGCCCCGAGACATCGAGATTAGCTTGCATTGAACCCGTAAGACGACGCTTTGTATGTCCGTTGTGTGCTTTGCATGTGTATGCAAATATCGCTTGAGCAATGCGCACGTAGCAACAAGCAACTGAACGCTGCACCGCGACCATATATGCAGAAATTCGTAATGTGCCATAAATGTCAACTTGAGCATACACCAAAGTGCCCGAGGGTGTCTGCACACTCTTGTGTTGATCTGACTTCCTAGCAAATGAGCGGAGCGGGTGGGCCGACAAAGTGATGACTTCTGCCTGGAGGAGGTCATGTTGAGATTTGAGGATAACTAGAACACGGTAGATCAAGATGATCAGTATAGATGTTTTATTGGGCCAGTGATTTCCATAATCAGCATATCCGTTATGGTCTAGGTAAGCATCACCTCATTCACACCCAATACTACAATCAACTAACATCTTCAAGTGGCTAGGATACATCGCTCTCATAGCAAGCGCCGATGTGGCCGGGGTTCGATTCCCCGTGACGGAATACCATTCTTTTTTCCGCGTTTGGGGAGTCCTGACTTCTGAGATGGGTGGGGTTCTTTGGTTGAGGTGTGAAAGACTTTTTTGGCCGAGGCCCCACCACGCCGCCCACACATCTACTAGCTAGTCAGGTCTATCAATTTGAAGGCCTTCTGTAACACCTACTTGCTCATTCGTCATTAGACAAGGGTACACTGTGTATCATAACGTCTGCATACTTACATAGGTGGGCAGATATCTGCCGAGGGTGCAACTGCTTTTTGCAGGACAAAGATATGCGCTCTTTTCGTATCAATGAACACCTACTCACTTATGTTGTCTTCAACACAATCGGGCAGTATCGTTGTTTTAATCGTGTCGCATGTTCGTCTCTTGCTCTGATTCCCGAGGTCGCTTACCCCAGCCGCGTTGTACCAGCTGACAGTCACGCGCCTCAATCATGTTGCGATATCACTCCAGGTATCAACACGCACAGCCTGGAAAGCAGCCGAAATGGACCTGGATTCTCCACAACAGTCCAATGACGATCCAGAGATCCTACCAGACGCACCAGGAGTGGAACCGGAGACACCGCGAGTTCTGCACCGACTACTTCGCCAGCCCCGCAACGGAGAGCGCTGCTTTCGCCCTTTCAGCATTGATATCGACTTAGAGTTGATTCAATCATGGCGACGCGACTGCCATAACTCGCATGGCAGCTGCTGTAACGACCGTTACTCTGAGGCTTTGTCGCAGCACGTGAACGAACTATATTTCGTCGACGTGATCCGTGGATGTCTGGTTTTGATGCCTAGTACGACTCCTTTCATCGCTCTTTCCTACGTCTGGGGCGATGTTCCTGTCTTGAAGACCAAGAGACAGAACCTGAAGTTCCTCCAAACAGAGGGAGTACTGCATAGCGGCGCAGGACAGAGCTTCCACTCCATGATCCCTGCAACTATTCGCGACGCAATGTATCTGGTCAAGAGCTTGGGAGAGCGTTATCTGTGGGTTGACTGTCTCTGCGTCGTTCAAGATGCAGGGAGTGCAGAGATGAACGCGGTTCTCCAGGCAATGGCGTACATCTACGCCAGCGCTGAGTTCACAATCGCCGTGGCTGACGGACACACCGCCAACCATGGAATCAGAGGGATTGGTGGTCCATCTCAGAAGCGCTGTGTGCAAGACTTCCCAGATTCGGCTCAGCTGCGTAGAACATATAGGTACCCGGAGAACTCCCGCTGGGCCAACAGGGGCTGGACATTTCAGGAATCACTCTTCTCCCGCCGCTTGCTAGTATTCGATGTGGTAGTGTCCTGGTTGTGTGGGAAAGACGCACGACATGAGTGCTTTGAGGATCCTCCTGTTACACATAATGATGCCTCGTTCCCGGACGAGCGGCTTCATTCCGGAGCTCCCATGGGGCTGATGTCCTTACTACTCAGCGTGCCGTGTTTGGGTAGATGGGGATTGTTAGTACAGGATTACTCTAGACGCATGCTGACATTCGAGGATGACACAATTCGGGCGTTTGCTGGAGCCACGAGTATCATGAACTCCAGATTCCCGGGCGGGATTCTGCATGGCCTACCCGTGTTCTATTTCGATATTGCATTACTTTGGCAGCCGGATGGCCCAGTGACGCGAAGATTCGGACAACCCAGTTGGTCGTGGACGGGGTGGAAAGGTAGCATACAGTGTCAGGGCAGGTGGGAGCCACATTTTGCAGGCTTGTACTGTGACACTGGAGAACCTACGGATTGGCTTGCAACGGCACCCTTGAGGCCTGTAGCGACATATAAGTGTATGGTCCCTGATGGAATACCGACTTTGGAGACAGTCGGCTTCAACGACTTCTACAAATATCAGGCACTTCGAGACGATATCAGTCGCCCGCTTCCTACAGGCTGGACGCTACACCACCATTCTCAGGGGCACTTTTACACAAAAGATGACGTTTGTGGGGGTGAATCACCATACGGATTTCCCTTGCCAGATTCAGGGTCTTCGAAATTGTGCTTTGCAGCATCAACATCCCCCTTACTGTTATGCACGGGTCCAGTCGTCACTGTGACAATTGGCGTTGTTTTCGGCCACTCCCCAAATGCTCGGATCCTCCAGACCCACGTGTACAACGAGTATGCAAAAGCAGGACTCATATTTAGTGGGGCTGTTAACAGCCTGTCGGATGTAGAGGCCGATGTCGAATGTCAGCTTGTTGCCATCTCAGAAGCAGAAATCAACCACCCGAATTGGATGGCTAGATGGTACTGGTCCGAATGCGGCGGAGACGACAAACATGCCTGGCAGGTGTACAACACATTGTCTCCGCACTTCTACAACGTGCTTTGGATCCAGTGGGAAGATGGTGTCGCGTACAGGAAAGCTCTGGGAATGATGAGCAAACAACACTTCGATGCGCTGAGGCCCAGAATTCTTAGCTTCAGCTTAGGATGACCATTATCCAGATTGCAACAGTGTTTCCGAGGGGTCATGCTGCATGTTTTGCTTTGTCCTGGCTGGATCGTCGCACTACTTGTCCTTTGCGGTGAGCTTGGATTCGGCGAAATTCACCTGCGGTGAGACTCGAAACGGCCTCAACATTCGTGCCAGCGTTGCGAGAAACGAGCCCCTATCGTCGTACACAAAGTACTATGGGGCTCAGCGATTATTTTGAGAGTCTCCAGTGGCGTGGTGTAAGCTGCTGACGTACACGTTGTGAGATGAGCGTTATGAGCATCTGTGCAGATCTACGTTTGGCTGAAGCTGTGGAACACGCGAGTAAGGAGCGCTGTGCCTCCCGAGCTTAGCGAAGCCCATGTGTCACATTCGCGTGAGATGGCAATCACTCTTGAAGCTGAGTCTCACGTTGTGGGAAAGACAGGGCATGATACTATCAGCCTCTCCTTTGCATCATACTGACAGTCAGGAGGCACCAAGTTACTTCTTGGTGAAGGTTGCCCGACTTCCATGTGAAGGCCACCTTCAGAGCTGGGTGTCTGAGACCTGCATGCCGCTTTTGCAGCAATACTTATGAGAGGCTGACTGTTCTTCTGATGCTTAAATAATACTTATGGGGCCGTTGCCCTGCATGATGGCTCGTGTGGAGTAATATTCCTAGAGTCCATGGCTGTGGGCTTGGGCCGTCAGCGCCTGTCAGACAGACTCGCACAACTTGCACCTAACAAGGACGGTTGTTTTACTAGAGAAGGAATTACTCGGCACACCGCTCTCTAGATTGATGGTGTGAGATGGCTCCCTGGTCTGGAGGGCGGTGTCTGGACGGGAAAACAAAGAATCACAAGCTCCCCTCAGCAGACGGAAGGTGGGAGCGACCTGCATATCGACCACACCAGGCTGCGCGAATTCGCATTTTGAGTGGACCGAAGGAGTCGCAGATGCAGCTGTCTTTTCTTAGCGCAGCCACATTGGGTGGGCCTCGGATCGCCGCACGGGCGACCAGCACCGTTCATAGTTTAGCAGCCCGTCGGCAGGGGTTCTGGGCCACGTTCGAGTGGAGAACAGGTTAACCCTGCTATCGTTCGTTCAAGCGACCTCGCAGTCCAGCTGATGGACTCGCGTGAGAGATACTTATAGTGTGCCATGCCACCGCGGGGTTATGTTAAGGCACTGTTTGACCACTATTCCAACTTTCATCTCCAAGTGAAGGAAATTGCCCGACTGCACCGACTGCACCGATTGCACCAACAACCGACTCGTCGACCATCGACCGCCCGTGCTACTGAGCGCACCCTCCGCCTCTCGCAAGGATCCCCAACTGCGCCTCTTAATAGAAAACTCGCTCCTGCCCCGGCAAAATCCCTCGCATTCTGCACACACGGAGTTTCTTCTGACGACACCGTCATTTCTGCTGAAAACAAGAGGCGGCGCGCGGTGCATTGTGCGGCCGCTTTCGACCAAGCACGAACGCACGCCACAAGAATCCGCCCATGTCCGTTTCCGTCGCTCCCACCGTGTCACCCTGCGACAGATAACTTCTGCAAACAAACGGAACGCGCATAGAAAACAGAGTCTGCTGGTCAGATTCCCGCGTTTCAAAGTCCACCACCATCTCCATCTGCACCATGTCCGAACCTACAGCACCCACGACGCGGCGCACGCGCTCGTCCAATCAGGAGGCAGCCAGCCAAACCTACGGTTACCACAACACATTCCACACCCACGCACAGCTACCGCTCGGCAGCCCACCCGTCTACGCCCGAGTTGACGACAACCTGCGCTACCTGAATGAGAAGGCGCGGACTGAGGCCAAGGCAGAACGTGCTGATGTTCTGCCGCCGCCGTACACATGCACCGTCGAAATCGGCGGTGTAATTGGTGTACGCCATGAGCTGCTCTCGCCGTTTCACGTGTCAGGTCAGCGCGACTGGTCTGACTGCTACGTGATTCTCCGTGGGACGCAGCTGAGCATCTACCGAGCAAAGCAGCCCGGCCTGTGGAGCAAGAACAGGCAGCCTTCGCCCGGTCGCTTGATCTCGTCGTACACACTGCAGCATGCCGAAGTGGGCATTGCCTCGGACTTCAAGAAGAGCATGTTGATCCCCAAATCGCCATTCGCACATCTCGTCCCTGCCTCGGCGCGACACAAGCTTTACGAGACCGACCCCCATCTCTTCGAACCTGTACGCGAGCACGTCATTCGCATTCGTGTGGAGACCGAGCAACTGCTGCTCTGTGTGCCCACACAAGAAGGCATGCTTGATTGGATTGAGGCATTCTGCGCCGCCATCGACATCAGCTCGCCTATCGAGGATCGCAGCGAGCCACGCTACCGGAGTCTGCCTAGGAGGAACAGGCGCCAACGCATGCTCGACGGAGCTCAGCTTGGCGAGGATCTGAACAACCTGTCCAACGTCGATGCTGGCAGACGCATCATTGCCGAGCAAGAGCGCATCATCCGCCAGCTATACCCACATCTGGGCGGAGGCCGAGAGATGGGCAATGTTACTACTGTGACAGCCACAGCAGACGCCGAATTCGAGGAATTCGACCCCGAAGACGTGCGCTTCCCCACACGAAACAGCCTCACACGTATGTTCCCGCAGGACGAGGAGGAGGAGGAGCCACCATCAACAGCGTCCTCCGATCCCAAGAGCGCATCAGCCATTCGAATCACATCATCACAAGCTCTGCGTTACCGCCGTCGTTGCGCACCGGTTCTCCTCTCCTCGTCACCTCGAGTAAGCGATGTGGTCATCTGCGATGGCAAACGTATGCGCATCAACGTGAAGGAGCACAGGCTTGTCGATTATACATCCCACCCTCCGCGCTACGATGCGCATGGCTTCAAGAAGAAGCGCTCGCAGCAGCCTGCGGCAGTCGAAATCGAGGCACCCACCACGATTGTCATCGGAAAGATCGAGAGCCCAGAGAGGCCAGCTTCGCCTTTGCGTACAACCAGCGATGATTCTATCGCGTCCATCACATTTGGCTACGACTTGGCACCCTCATCTTCAGAGCAGGATGCCGATCGTATTGATCTTGCCTCCTCTTCCGGCCCACCATCGCCTACGGCCATGTCTCAAGCGAAGATGGACGCAACACGCCGACTTGGTCACATGGGCAAGATCAGGACGAGCATCGACGGCCGTGAGAACGAAATCAGCGCCGTCGCTCTTGGCGTCGGCCTGCTCATCTAAACAACCTTTGCAAACACCACCAACACTCCCCTGTACATACTTTCCTTTGTTTTTGATTGCAATTAGCGGCATGGTTTCATTTTCATGGTTGAGCGGCGCATTCTCGACCGGCAGCGAGAGCCCATCCACTCAACTGCTTCTAGAGATACCCAACATTGTTCTGGAGGACACGTAAATACTTCAATCAAATACTTTCCCACTACACAAATTTGCCATGCAAGGTGCACTGAGGTCCGACAGGGGTGATGCGGGGATCCGAGCATCTCGTAACACGGGAAGTGCGGGATATAAACACGTCCAACCACGAACCTCCAACAGGCAAGAGGGATTAATGGTCTCATCAGGTACTTTCTTGTTAGAGGTATGTACTTCAACAGAGCCATGAATTTAGCTGTGGTTTTGCTACTTGTTAGATGTGTTAGAGTTTGGATCTTACAAGAGTGCCGAGTGGCTGGTCAGACGTGTAGAACAGTTGAGGAGCCCTTGACCAGCGAACTCACAGTCTTTTGCATGCTTGGTAATTTGCAGAATCCCCCGCAACCCCGCCGAAGAGCTTCATTGCCGCTAGCTATGAAGAGTTACGTCCACTCTTCCCAGCAGCATGAGAGTCGGACATCATGCAACTAGGTAAACCTGCATGCCACTATCGCCCTTTTTTCCTGATCAGCACAATACTCCAGCACCACGATTCTTGGCTGATTCTCAAGTCTCATTGCACTCTCGCTATCTCACGCTCGTTCGTATTCGTCCCAAATAAGGAATCAAGCTCTCTCTGACAATATGCAGTTGCGCCACCTGCCACTGCTCCTTCCCCATCTGTCCAGCATGGCGTCAACAACACCATCGACAACACCGAATTCACAAACACCGGTAGACCGCATAACCGCCAATGCCGCCCGAGACAACATCGACCTAACCACCCTCCCCTTTCACCACGAAGCTCTGGCTTCCATCACCCAACTGCGCAACGATGCTGTCGACACGCCTATACCAGACTTCACCAGCGCATCCAGAATAGACACGCATACACATCCAATCCCAGACTGGTTCCGCGTCCTTGAACTCTCCGCCGCAGGCCGCGAAACACCATCATGGAACGTATCTGCGCACCTGGATTTCATGGCCGAGCACAGCATAAAAAGGAGCATTCTCAGCGTTTCCACCCCGCAGGCAAATGCGTTCGCATCGCCAAGCAAGTTCGAGACTGGCGCTGCATTGAGGAAGAAGCAGACAGTCGCGCTTGCAAGGCTTTTGAACGAGTATGTTGCCGAGGTTTGCAGGGTGTGGCCGGAGCAGTTTAGCTGGCTGGCAGTCACCGCTCTGCCGTATGTGGAGGAGAGTGTTGTGGAAGTACAGTATGCCTTCGAGGAGTTGGGCGCGGTTGGGGTCAGTGTTCTGACGAACGCTGAGGGTGTATATCCTGGTGATACTGCTTTTTCGGCACTATGGTCGTATCTCGAGGAAAGAGCTCAAAGAGGTGACGGGAGGGAGGTCGTGTTCATTCATCCCACTGACCCAGTTATTGCGCTCGAAGATGGGCGTTTGATGTCAAGCCGACCGTGTAAGTTCCAACCGCAGAGTTAACAACAAACGAATGTTTGATGGCAAGCGACTTATGGAGGCTGTCTCGAAGTTCAGCTTAGTCCGCCCGCCATCAGATATTTGCTTGTTGACATACTCGTTTAGAGAGCCTCGCTCTTGTTTGTGCTAATTGACTGCAGCGCCTCTTCGTTCTGGCCTTGGAGAATTCTACTTCGAAACTGCCCGCGCTATATCCTCTATCACTGCCTCCTCGCCTCCATACAATAGTACTCTGCTCAAATACCCGCATCTGCACTGGCGCATCTCGCACGGCGCTGGCGCGTTCCCAGACATCAGTGAACGTTTCCTACTTGGCTTTCCAAAAGAATCTGAAGCGGCAAGAGAGGCATATAAGAAACGACTGTGGTATGACAGCGCAGGGCCAGTGTGGCCAAGGCAGATTAAGGGATTGACGGAGGGCCTTGGGATAGGCGTAGAGCAGATGGTGTTTGGAACGGACTATCCGTATGGCATCGGGTTTTGGAATGTCAGTGAAAATATTAACGGGTTAGTAAAGGCAGACTTTCTCTCGGATGAGGCGAAGGAAGGTGTGTACTGGGGGAACGCAGAGAGTTTGTGGAAGGGGAAAATATCATTCTAGGACGTTGGGAAGAAGAAAGAATTGCTTCGAACGTAACATTCAGTACGTCTTCAAGCTAGTGGATTAACTTTTTGTAGAAAATACCCATACAACTTCGAATGCTCCTTCTGCATATGGGAACTCTCGACACTTCCAGGGTAAGCAAGCAGCCGACTTACACACGCTTGTCAGCCTATGATTCTGGACCAGGACGCATGACTTGCGGCTGAGCCAAAGATCGGCATCGTTCCAAATCATCGTCTCCAGATCTTGGCTTACGGGATGTTCATTTGACATGCGGAGGGGTGGAGTAAACCATTGGAGATGCCTATAGTTTGATTGGTTGCTGTGGTGAGCTCAAGTGATGACGGACAACATCAACCCCGCCGGATTGGCTTCCGATCCCACATCCACGGCTGTCAGTGCTCAGATCTGGAATATCGCGAGACGCTACCCCGCATATTATGGTCGCTTGTATGCTTTGAGTCTGGAACGTGAAGCTGGAGCTTGAGATTGCCATGAGTACCACACACGGGGCGACGGAAGCTAGCTTGCTGCAGAGACATAAAATGAAAGACAAAGAACCACAGTAAATCTGCGAACGGGGCAAGAAAAATCATACTCTAATACTCGAATAAAACATACTTCACCATGGGCGATACTAAAATTGTGACCTGTCCGATGTCACACCACAAGATTGCGAATATCCACAATGGGAAGGTTCCCAGTGGTACTGTCAAGGCTGGAGGCCAGAACAAGCCCGCACCGGGCAAGTATATTAAATGGGATGCCGAAGGAGTGGAGGTCATTCAGCCTGGCGAACAAGAGAAGATCAAGGAGGTCTCGGACCAGTTCAACCGCTTCCAGATGATGAACTTCAACGAGCATATGCACTGCTTGCGAGGCACACATCTGAAGACACAGGGTGTAAGACCACCGAGATCAACGTGTTGATTGTACTGACATATCCAAAGTGCGTCATGGGCAAGTTCGTTGTCCATGATAATCTTCCAGAGCACCTTGCACAAGGCATGTTCAAGAAGCCCGGTTCCTACGATGTCATCATGCGCTACTCGTCTCTTACACCAAAGATCGTTCCTGATAATGCACCTGCGCCTCGTGGTATCGGTATGAAGATCTTCGGTATTGAAGGAGAGAAGATCTGGGGCGAAGACAAGAAGACGCAGGACTGGACGTTCAATAACTACCCCGTTCTGGAGCTCCGCGACCCACAGACGACATACGACATCGCCGACGCTCTAGAGCGCAATTGGAATGATATCCCGAAATTCGCAGAAGAGCAGTCGAAGCGCGTAGACGCCGATGTTGCAACACTGGGCGGCGGGCTGCCTCGACAACACAGTACGTTAACCATCTCTCACTAGCAAGCAAGGGCATTACTAAATACCCACAGTGTACGCCATGCCCGAATACTCGCAATCCGCGTACCGTCACGGCAAATACGTAGCCAAGTATGGTGTCTTCCCGCTCTCGCAGGAGCAGCTCGATCGAGTCGACACGGACATTCAAGACTCAGACCCCATCAACATCATCTCGCAGGAGAACCGGCGCTTCCACATGGCGAACAAAGTGACCTACTCATTCTGCGCGCAGCTGCTGCAAGACTTGGAGGAGCAGCCTGTCGACGACATCGGCATCGAGTGGGACGCGAAGAAGTACCCCTTCGAGCCCGTCGCGACGCTTGAGTTTGAGCCACAGGACAGCTGGTTGCCCGAGTTCCGCGCCTGGTGGGACGACCGAATGACCGTGAACAGCTGGCATGGGCTGAAGGAGCACCAGCCGCTGGGCAGCACGAATAGGATGCGCAGGGTCGTGTATGCTGAGAGCAGGAAGCTGAGGCTCAGGGTGAATGGGTACAGGGACTATGTTGAGCCAGGAAGTATTCAGGAGGTTCCTGCTCCCCTGCCAGCGCCACAGCTACCGTTGAGACATCAGCCTGCTGTGACGACTGTTGAGGTTTAGGGGTGATTATCTTACAGGGCTAATATCTGAGGTCAATGAGATCGAATCGCTGCTGTGTCTCTCAAGCGTAGGTAATCAGGGTTTCATTGTGGTGAATTGCAACTAATCGTCAAATTGACGTCATCATAAGATGTACAGCAGCCGTAACCAGCATCGAGCTCTCAGTTGAATCTTTTTGGGAATTTGCACGCTGGTCTGGTTGTACATAGCCGGGTCAACCCCATTTACAATCGTGTACCTCTCGTGGAAGGTACTCTGAAGCGACAACGAAAGGCGCCAGCTCCTTGGCACGTGCGGCAATAAGCAGCCGATACTGAACAGAAGTGAACCAAGAACTGTGTATTTCCGGATGAAAACAATAGAACTCCTTATCTCAAGCCCAGAATTGCAAGACAAAGCACGGTTGTAGCCACGACGATATGAGGGTAGCGGGAGACTAGCTTGTTTCGGCTGAACCCTTCACGCGTCAACCCTCCACCAAACGACAGTACCACCGTCGTTTCCATCGGTTCCCCTTCCGTTCATCAACCTGATACTCGCATGCGATCCCGCCTCCCAAAATACCAGATGTCGTCTCTGTCCTTCCCTGTCAATATGTTTGTGTTTGGAAGATCTGGAAACACGCTGTCTCGGATATCCGCTACCACGGCACCAATCTAGATCACACAGCAGCAAACACCTGCACTGTATCCTGATTCCAACGAACGTGGTATGCAATATACCACAAACGACATCAAGGCTGTTATTGTGATACTTCCCCGCAAGAGACAGTAACATGATGCGCACTGCTCGCACGTCGCTTGTACTCCAGCTGCATCCCTTGCGTCCATCTGCACGCTAGGCAGGTACGTGGGAAACACCACACGCGAGTAATGTAGACGTGCACAGTCTCACTATGTAGTGATTGCCTGAGACTTGTGGCAATGTGGGGCGCTGGCCTAAGATAGCTTCTCTGGAAGCTGAGACTGTTTCGGATGTATCGGGGCCCTTATACAAGAACGCAAACATGCGCGCTCGTCTCAACCTTCTACAGCTTACTCTGGATATATTGTTCATGTTACCTCTGTTCTAAGAACTTTCAGCAATACAGCGCTTTGATTTCGAGATTTCAAAATGGAAGCAATCCAGGGAACTCAGCAACCGGGGAGAATGCGCCTTCCAACTATCATGGCGCACGCGGCGCAGATCATTCTGGCAACTGTAGTTCTGGGTCTTGCAGCGTATGGAGTCGATTATATCCCATACAACGTCCTGATATACTCCGTGGCTGTGGTATGTATGAGGATCCCATAGACTTGCACAGATACTAAACCGGTCACAGTGCGCATGCAGTCTTAGTGTATCATCATGGATGGTCGCTTCGAAAACTTTCCTTGCCAAGTTTGATAACATCTGGGTGTCGATGGGTCTTCATGTGTGGATGCTCGTCTTCTGGGTCGTCAACCTTGGACTTACTGCCAATCTGGCGAGTGAATGGAGCCCCCAGTGTTCTTCCACCGAGGAAGCCGACAAAATCTGCTCAACATATGTTACAAAGAGGGACACAACATTCCGTACCTACTACGGAGCATTAGTCGCAAGCGCAGTACTTATCGGGGTTCAAGTGTAAGTAAACGGTTCAAGTACCTAGACTGTGGAACTGATGACTTTTAGGCTACTCTGGATTGCTACCATAACCCTGCTAGCACTCGACCTCAAGCGTCGCCGTTCGACCGTGTCGCCAGCCCCCAGCGGCGGCCTGACACCGCGCTTCTCTGCCGAGTCGCAGGCAACCGAAGGCTACCTCGAGAAGCAGCCCAATGTATTCGACAACGTTAGTGCAGCACCCATCCGCGATTACGCATCACCAGTCTTACCACCAGCATCACCAGACATCGAAGGCGAGCAAGTAAGACCATTTCAGCCGCACGCTATTGGCGACGAGTTTCCAAAGTATGAATCCCACCCGACTTTAGATCATGACATTATTCTGACTTCACCGCCCAGTCTCACTATTCCTGGACCGGCGAAGATGGCATAGGTGATCTTGGGTCGCCAGTATTATTGTTTCGAGCTGTGGATAGGTTGTATGTCGCGAACCTGGAGGTTGATGCTCGGTCGGGACGTTCTCCTCGACCTGGACATAGATCAACTGATGGGTCTGATCGCGGTGGACAGTAGTCGGGCTAGGATGAAGACCAAGATTGAACGTAATGATACCCAAACAGATTCTCATACTGCACCCAGACACGTCCAATCAGCTGCTTGAACCTTTTGTAGGATCCAAACTATCTTAACCGCAGCCGACAAGCCGCAGAACTACAACTGATTTACTCCGTTTAAGTGTATACAAGCCAATGAGAGGAAGGCCTGATGAGGTCATTCACCCTTCTTGCGTGATGCTGCATTCCGCCAAGTGGCTGGTCGCACATGTCCAGATGCAGTACATGTTCTTGCTCATATTCCTCTTGAGACTGTCAAGGTTAGCAAAGTACAAAGCGCAGAGACGCCTAGTGCATAGCACACCTTTCCAAAGACCAAGCGCCTACCCATGCAAAAACCCTCACGTCCTCTCGATATGCACACACCACAGCACCACCCGCGCCCTCCAACCCCTCACCACACATCTTCCGCCGAAACCCTGACCTCCTCGCCCCCCTCCCTCACCGTCTCCCTCCCCTCATCCCTCGATAGCGGTTTCCGCATATCAAACGCGTCCTCCCCGTCATTATAGTAGTCGACCACGCGCCGATACACACTGTACCCCATCCCGCGATACAGGTCCTGCGCAATCTGGTTGCTCGCGCGCACAAACAGATCCACGAACCACGCGCCCGCGGCGTCGGATGAGCGCTCCAGCGCGCCACTCAGCGCGGTCGCGTGGCCTAGGCGGCGCGCTGACGGCGCGACGGTGAGCGCGGTTATGTGGCCGTGCCAGGGGAGGTAGTTGGGTTGCATGGCGGCGGCGGCGGTGGGGGTGTAGGGCTCGATGGGCGAGGGGTAGGGCGAGGATTCGAGTTTACCGAGGACTGGGGGGTGGTCAAAGGGGGTTTGAGAGGGGAGGGGGGACGTACTGTAGCCTTCGATTGCACCGTCGATGCCTTCCATTACCTGGCATAGCTCGGGCCATTTGGTGAGGTATTCGAGGTAGAAGCCGATGTTGTATGTTTCAGTCAGGTGGTCGAGGTTGGTGGAGGAGAATTTCAGGAGGTCGTCGGGCCGCATGGGCCGAATTGTCGCCATGTTGCGAGGCTGTGAGGGGAGCTGGGGTGGTACTGCGAGCCGGTGGACTGGAGGTGGAGAAAGTTTGGTGGGGTGGGTTTGCTTTCACGATGCCTGCGGCGCCGGCCAATCACAGCGCACAGTCGCCGCAAACTCCCGCTCTGCGCTAGGGAATTGTTTGCTCGTGTGAACGAACGGTGAAGATGCAGAGAAACACATGGTTTCCGTTGATTAGACAAGCGTGCTATTGGTACAAGTGTATCGCTGTAAATGAAACAAGAAATCCGCCCGAAGGGTATATAACGCTCAATTGCATCGTACAACATTGTCTCCACGCTCAACTGGCGCAACGCGTAGCCTTCGCCAGCCGTCCTTGCTTGATGACGAGACCCATTAGTTCGCCATCTGTACTCATCTGCAGCAATTGCTCCCAATTTTTGGGTGTGGCAGACGACCGCGTCGAAGGCCTCTCTGGTGTCGTCCCCTCCGATTCGGCCACCTCTATGACATCGAAAGTGGTCGTCTTCACAATCCGACTCCTATCAGCATTCGCACTGCCTTCAGCAGTCACACCCTCCGTAGTCTCACTCCACACACTGTCATTTCGCTGGTCATCTTCGCCATCCTGCGTGTCGTCGGTGGAGCTCCCACCAGCCCCCTCATCACCTTCGACAGGGCTGCTTCCGTCGCTGTGTAGTCATATGTGAAACGAGTCAACACTATTCCCATGGCCAAATCTGTTATCCCTCAGGCTATTCGCAGCGGAAAAGTTATTTCCAGCTCGCTGCTCGTTGATGCTCCGCCGTGGGCTAGGAGGCGCCCGCATAGCATCGTACATCATGTTTCGATGCGCAGCTGCGCCGTTGCGCTCACTGTACCGGTCGCCGCTCGGACTCGCAACGCGATTTGTGTACCCGAAGTCGTCTGCTCTGTTGTGATCGCCGGTGAGATCCATATCCTCCATCCTGCTGATGACCTCACGCGGTGCACCTGAGGGCACGAGATGTTGTGGTCGCCGAACGTCGTTTGCGACAGGTGGCGCTTGTCTGAAGCGTCTGTTCGGCTGCCCGTGTTTGTCCTCGTCGACAATGACAATCATCCAGATTCCTATGCTTCCGCCCGCGCCAAGGAGCGGAGTGCAGTGTATCCAGCGTGGCCGGCCTTCTTCGTATGAGTTCTCGAGGTCTTGGACGGCGTGGGGAAGCCAGCGGATTTTGGCCGTCACACCTCGCGAACCGTCAGCGAGCGCATCGCGAACGGATTCGCGCACGCGATTTGACCCGCCAATGCGATCGAGGAAGTATGATTGGAGGATGCCGGGCACGCGGAGGGAGGGAGAGGTGAATAGGATGCGGAGAGACGGGGCGGGGCGGACGAGGAGGTACTGTGGTTGGTTAGTCCTACGCACTTCTTGACAGCTGGTAGCTTACATGTTTGTACGGTCCAGCCAATCTCCCCTCAGGCTTCGGGGGTGCCTTTTCCGCTGACTCCACATCGAACGTCGACTGGTCTTGAATGAGCAGTCTGGGTCGTTGGACTGCGTTCGACTTGTCGTCTTGATCTTCAAGATGATCTCGGTGCATATTGCCGCCAAACTTGCGAACAGTGTCCAGCTCGCCGTGGTTGAACATCTCGCAGAGCTCCTGGAACTCATCCTTTGTCTCTTCGGGTTCGGCTTGATTCTCTTCTTCGTCGAGCATGCGCTGGAAGGCATCGAGGTCTGATGCATCCTTCACAAGACCGGAGACGTCGATTTGGGCGCCGATGAAATAGCGGAGGTTACCTCTGGAGTCGAGCAGAGGCGCTTGCATGAGCAAATTCATGAACGGGGACCCGTCGCGTCGGCTATTGAGCGGTCAGTGGATGGTTTGGCTATTCCAGCAACATGGCGTACTAATTCAGGAACACTTCGCTGTGCTCCTTGCCCTGCATGCACATTTCTTTGAAGCGCGCAACACTACTGCGGTTGGTCTTCGGGCCTTGAAGGAATCGGCAATTACGTCCAATGGCATAGCTGACTCCATACTGCGTTGTCCTGTGGAACTCTGCAGTCTATCAGCACAGCTCGATCTCATGATTCGCGTGGTGCTTACCCTCTGATGCAAATATGATAGGGTTGTCATTGCGCGAAGGATCCGTCAGACAGAAAACCTCCGCCAGTCCCTCGCTAGCCTCGCGGAGCAAAGGTGGTAGCGTTCCAGTGACACGTTTTGAGATGCTCACACTGACGACCTGCGTGAAGATGTGCGTGATGAATGCGGGCAGATCATCTCGGACTAGTTTCTCAAAAGCTTGTTTTGCCTTCTCTTCAAGGACCCCGTTCACTGTTGACCGTGCCTGGGTTTCAGTAAAGTCCAAGCCAGGTATCGGTTCCAGTGCTTCTGCGACCGCATTGGCGTAGTTGATTGCTCGCAATGCTTTCAAAGCATCCAGGTAATAGATCAGTACAGGTACAGACTTCGGCCGTGCTGCACTGAGGAAGGATGTGAACCGAAGAAGTGATGGTGTGTCTTTGAAAATGGCGGCCAAATGCGAATTGGAGAACAATTGCTCCGAACGAGCCTCGAGCGAGAACACTTTGCGGTTATCATCTTCCGGCTGTAAAAGATCCCAAGATCTGGGGTCATCTTCCAGTAGCGGAGACAGTCGGTCGTTCTCATCGAGATGAGTTTTCTGCTGTAGGGGACAAAGGGCACCTGTTGCTATCGACGGTGTGAAGGAATCCACCGACATGACAGAATCTGCGGAGCTCCGCATGGTGGTCGGCCCTGTGCTCATAGCACGGACTGAGCTCTGGCCAGTTAAGCTATTTCGTCGGGAAGAGGTGAGCTGAGACGACTTTTGGGACTCTGGCGTCTCAGGCATGACAAGACGTCGTGTTTCCGGCATCACTTGGGGTGTATATGGAGTGTTATCTGGTGTCAAGCTTGATTTACGGGACGATCGTCCAAGTAAACTTCGTCTCTTGATCTTAGCAGTAAAGTCACTAGAGCTGACTAAATCAGTTGCTATGCGTAGTGACGTTCAATATAGCTTACCTTGTTCTTAAAGGAACGTGATGGGATATGTCCCGTCGAACAGCAATGTCTGGTGGTGCGGCAGCAGTGTCGTCGTCGGAAAGCCAACTTCCGTCCGCTCTACTAGGGGGCAATAGGCTGCGTGGGGAGTGGGAACCATTTATGCCATCGTGCATTACGGCAAAGTCCATTACCAGTGGTTCATTGAACGAACTCCCCAGATCCTTGCGAGCTCTGGCGTCCGAATCGGGGAACCCTCCAGCAATGGCGCTATCGACGTAGACGTCTGACGTCTGGCCACCAATGCTCCCCATTGAGGAAGCTTGGACTGTGTCGGCAGCTTCGATTCCGCTGGAGATGGGTCTAGAAATCGGGACTGATTCTGTGGAGGAAAAATTACGATGAGCCGATCGTCTCCTGTGCTTAAACATATGCATGACAACTAAGAATACGGAGCGGGAACCCCAATAGATGGCTGCGAATAGGGTTGGCCCGAGAATTTACGGAAATATTGGCGGCGCCTGAATGCGAGCCGTGGAGCGCAAGACTCGCAGCCATGACGAGGAATCTCGATGAAGATAAACGTACCAAGGGAGCCACTTGAGAGCTTGACACGTTGGGACAGATTCCTCACACTTGGGTCGGTGGGAAGCTAGGCCGCGACCGGCAACGTTGGTGTGTAACCTTTGCCTCGATGATGCCAACAGCAGATCTGGCAGGAGGAAACGATGAAGCTAGCAAACCTTAGCTCTGGGGAGAAAAGTCGGACCAATGGCGCTTCTCGGGAAGAACCGATGCTGCAGAGCTGGCCGATCGTCTGGGTTGGGCTTGCGCTGTAAATTGATCAAACGCGACTTTGTGGACGGAGAGGATCCGCTCGTTTGTCGGCGCGGCGCACGTATATCTGTCAAGTCGGATTATGTCTGTGCTGCGAGCTGGCGATGTCTGGCATTGATGCAAAAGAAGTGTTGCGCGTCGCACCACAGCGAAGGAGTTCTACATTGGGATACGCAACAAACACAAATGCAGGAGGTCGGTTATCAAATGCTCCTAACCCCACAGAGACGTGTCGGTCTAGTTCATCAGGCATGCCGAGTGCCAAAGTTTCAGACCCGTGCCATCCTGGTCTGAACCCTCGAGGCTCTTTCCTCCGACGAGTAGTCGTGATGGGAAATCCGCAGTTGCATATTGCCAGTCAATACAAATGAATGTCAGTGACGCCCGTATGGCCGTTGATTAGTCGCCAATAAAGAGACTACTTACTCGTATTGCAGTGTCCAGTACACAGACTCCCGCCTGTCAGCTGTCACGGCACATGCCTAAGGCGTGCTGATTAACAAAGTTCTTTCCTGTATCGGTTCTGTCTCTCAAGCCACGAGACATCGCTAATATATGGCACGCGTTTGATCCAGAGCAAGTAGGTTCAGAGGGACTGTTGCCCGTCTGCAGTCGGTTGACGCCTACCTGTTCCAGTGAGTTTTGAAGATGCGCCTCGGGGATGCCCTGAACCAGCTCGACTGGATCCCGACGCCCCAATCCCTGCTCTGTTCCTGATTGCGCAGTCTCGAAAGTTTGCAGGGGTCCTGTTGGAGTGTCTGCACGTCCCGCTTGCCCCGTGCACACTACGAGATAAAGTAGGTTTGCAGCATGCCTGGCACGAGCTGATCATTACGCTTTGGAAGATATGCAGGTGCTTTTTTAAGGCGCTTCCAGAATCTGACGTCACAAACGTTTACTGTTCAGGACTGAGGACACAGAGCTGCTTCGAAGTTTGGTACACCATAGATAGTAGCCCCGTACAGCCCATGACACCCGTCTGGGCGGCTGAATCGTTGGTCTCGTATCAAGGCATGTTTCCCGAGTAGTTTGACGACCCCGGCCGTATGCGGCGTTCATATGTCTTTCATTTTATGTATGTGCTGCTTTGGTCGTCGCGAACGGACTAACTAGGCGATGCGCTCAGAGATCAGCCGCTCGCGCTCCGCATCCCAGGAGGCGGCGAGCTCCTCGTCGTCATCGTCCAGGTGATGCTCTGAGCCTCTGTAGAGAACATAGTGCTGCACCATGAAGATGATATCGAATACAATGGTAACATTAGACAATCCGAACTTGACGGGGTTGCCTGTCACACCCGTCCAGTCGTTTTGCAAAGACGAGTCAATGACCAGCTGTGCCAACGAAAGCCAACCTCCTGCAAAGTCCATAAGCATAGGATAGATGCTCCACCCTACTGTGGACTTGCGCTTGTAGTTGACCCACATCTGTGGGATATATTTGCATATTACCGTGATCAGTTTGACGTAGCCCAGCACGTAGATCTGCGGCGTTCAGTCAGTCTTGCGATGCTGATGGAAGGCATCGTCGATGCCACCAAGACTCACCACGTCGATCCAAGCCCACGTATCAGCATCGTAACCACCATCTCTCCCTCTCGTCTTCACCATGAGTACGGACCATACAATAGCTACTACGCATCCCCAGAATATGCCCAATATCGCCTTGCTAGCCCTCTGGGTCTTTCCGACTTGGAAGCCCCAGATCCACGGGTAGAACTGACTATAGCAGACTATACACATGACCGCGCCATGCGCAGCGAACAAAAAGTCGTTGAAGCGCACGGTCGTCTCAGGCGCCTCGGGGTGTCTGTACGCATACTGGGCTTGAATGGTTGGCGAGTAGAGGAACGAGGCTGTGGACACGGTGTACATGCAGAAGCCGAGAACGTTGAGCGTGGGGAAGTCTATCGCGAGGCCGAGCGTCGACTTGCGCTTGTAGTTCGATATTGGCTGTGGATAGAAGCTACCAGACTGCGGATCATGTTAGTAAGTCGTACGTTGCGGCCGGCTGGTATCTTGAACGTGTCACGTACCCATGAAAGAAAGTATGCCCAGCCCAACACTCGCGATATCGCCTTTGCAAAGGCCTCCAGCTCTGGTGAAGTCATGGCGGGGTCCTATATCGGTTATGGTGAAAGAAATGACATCAAAAGACGCAGCGCAGCTATTGATCGCTCAAACACATCAAACAAAGACCGGGTATCGCGCTCAAAGAAAGGCCGTGTGGCTCAGTGGCATCGTGAGTAGGCGCCTGATGTCGAGACGTGACTGCTGGATTGCGACAGTGCCATCACCGACAGGCGTCTCCGTGCCGAGCCACTAGTCCCAGAAAGGTCGAGCATCTCACGAGCATCAGGTTGTTTCCGGGAACTTTAAAATGGTATGCTTTGTGAAAGAGTTTAATCAAATTGGTGACTTTATCGAGTTGTTCAATAGTTCGTTCTATCAATACGATGATCGACCGATACTTATACTCGACGCAGTCTCGCCAAAGGCAAGTACGGAAGATACGAACTGGTCGAACGTGCTTGGGTGTATGTAACAGCGTTGGCATCGGAGTTTGACTCCGTTTCTGGAGAAGGGGGTTTACACCCAGTGCTCATTACAGTCTTCAAGTAAGACCTTGAAGGCCTGGGCCTGCGCGTCGAAACAGGCCTGCAGAGTCTCACCAATTAGAGACTTCAGGGACTCAGCCATGTCACCATGAAATACCTCTCTGCTTTCGTAAAGGACCTTTCCGCGACCAATGTCGCTGATGGCTGACCACCTCTCGGCTTGCAGATCGAGGTCTGTGACAGCCTCCCAGGCAACTCGTCCTTGTTGGCGCTGGACGTGCGTGACGTTCTCAAGCGCGTACTGGGTGTTGGCCTCAACGTCTGGGGTGTGTTGTTGACAGGGGATGGTAGAGCCGGAATCTGAGTGCGCAGGAAGAGGCGAAGGCCTTCCTTGGGACGCTGGTCGTGGAGGGTAGCGTTGCCTGGTGAAACCATGACTGAAGCGCGCACGAAAGGGTTCCATTCTGGGTACCTTGGGAAGTCGGTGAGAGCCTCCCAGGCGGCGATCTTGTTGCTATGAATTTCGATCCGGGTGCTGACGTTGAAAATACCCTGGGGGACGGCAGGTAGGTTGGTGAAGGTCGATAAGACGCTGATTGCATGGAAGAGTAGCATGAGTGCATGTGCGTTGAGGCGATGCGTTGTCATATTTGAGGCTGGGAATGATTTTAGAAGTATAAAGTTGTGTGACGTTTGACAGGTCCCCCTTTGACCATTGACAGTACGTGGTGAAATGACACGGCTCAGAAGATTTAGAGGACGCTTGACCTGACACCATCTTGCGAGAGGAAGGTACCGTGTATGTACCCAGACACGAAGAAGCAATGAAGGAGATGCATAGCTGCACTCATCCCAGATATCACTGTGTCGGACAAATATCCTGGTTACCAAGCCGCCTATTGTGTATGGACGAGGCAGCTCTAATGTTTAGACACCACGATCGGCGTAGTGCACTGCGAGCGCTTCGGTGGACAAGCTCGGTTGAAGATCTGGTTGATTTTTGTAGACGGCGTGCAGGATCGGTACCACATTTTCGGATGCAAGGTTACACTATTCTGGCTGCAGAAGACGATGATTCTGTTGAGCCTTTGGTCAAGAGCAGCTGCCACGCCCGGTGGCTGAGCAGAAAAGCAGATAAACAACAGACCAAGCCAGCCTCGGCAAAGTAAACATGGCTCGGATGCTGCTTAGTGATGGAAGGGCCATGGACGGTCAGACCTCAATCCGGCGGCGCACGGCTGGGCACTCAATCTATCTCCATGTGTACTGCGGGACGGAAGTTTGGTCGGCAAGCAGTCAGCATTCTGCCCGCTGTGCCGTGCAAAGACGTTACGGAAGTGTCTGTGTCAGCGCTCAGAAGGCATATCAGGGGGGGTGCAGGTGTTGAGGTGTTGAGTGAGCATGGATGCAGGCGGAACGAGCTGCTGTGTCGCCAACGGACGTCATCAGCATGCTCGCAGACGTACCCCGCATCGGCAGGCTCGCATCTACTGCAATCGATTGCATGGGCCCTGTGGTGTTTGATTCAACGTGCTGCTCCGGCGTGGAAAGAGCGACTGGGAGCAGCGGCCGCACCAACGTGCTGGGCAATTGCCGGTATGCGGTATGGCGGCAGGCAGCGGGCGGGCCCAGGTCACCTGCAGTAGCTGCCATCGAGGGGCACTGGGTGTATGCCGCGACCGGAGAGCAAGATAGGCCTGCGCACCACATTTGCGACATCTGCACTGCTCCCAACACTTTCGTCGCTGACTATAAGCCGAGCTGCTGCCCTAGCCTGCAGACTCTCTCACACCGTCTGCGTCGCGAGCTGAGGGTTGCCGATACTGCAGCTCCGCGGCTGATCGACTGTCAACAAGCTTCCCCGCCGCTACGCCGAGTGCATCGCCGCCAGGACCGAAGCCCGTCCATTCCGGGGTCCAGGAACAGCAGCGGACATATCGCAGTCACGTTGGTAGTCACTTGCGCGCAGCAGTCACGGCCGCGTCCACTCGCCCAGTTGCACTCGACACGCGAAGTCTGAAGCCTGAAGCCACGGGCTGGTGCATGACGCAGCGCTCCTGTCTTAGACCGACCAAGGCCCTCACGCGCCGGGCTCACCCGCCGATCCCCTTCGCCGCGGTGCTCCTTCTCCTCCACTCCACCGGCCGCCTCCGCAGAGCAATCACTCTGCACCCACCATACCAGAAACACCCGACAGTTACTTGAATGAGCCCTTCGCCGAACCCCGCTGCCGAGTACACAACGACCCCGTCCAACCTCAGCCACCTCCACCACCAGCACCGCAACCGCAAGGTGCAGGACACTCCTCAGCAGCGCGGGCGCACGACGAGACATGAGTTGGCACGAGCGCATAGGCACGGGGAGAGAGTTACACGTATCTACCCGCGCGAGATGTGAGCCATAGACCCTCGGGCCCCCCGGACACTCACTGACTCCGACCAGAACCAAGTCGCCGCCCTCTGCACAGCGCTTCGCCTCTGCGTCCCCACCCATACACTATAATGCGAGCACCTCACCGCTCTTCTCGGCAATCGGTGCCACCAGAACCGCCGCTCAATATACGACCGAGTGGACAAAGTCACTGCCGTTCTTTGGCAGCCAGGCCTCCCCAGGCAACGGCGGGATAGCTATAGCAGGCTCACCGCCGACGTTCCAGAACTCTCCCGGTGCTCGAGACGGACTATACATGCCGGGCATGTCGAACTCGCCGCCCACGGCCGGGGGACGACCGCTGAGTCACCCAAACCAGCAGGCAACCTTCGGCGGGCGAGACCGCAGGCCGTCGACATACTCGCAGTACACCGGCCGTCCGCTGTCGCAGAACTTTGCTGGCAATCCTCCCCTCCCGCATCAGCCACAAGCACATTTCTACGGTGCCCCTGAACTCGACCTCGGTCTGGATGGACTGCAAGAAACAGGCGTTCTCCCAGGCGAGGGGGGATACTTCTGTGGATTCGATACGTTGAGCATGGCTGGTGACGAAGCAGCTCGAGTCACGGAGAACGTCCTCTTGGTTGGTTCGCAGGGTGGCCTGGACGTGTTTCGCGTCGAAAGGGGCAAGCTCGACATCATAGGTCACCTGGACGGTTTGAGAGGCGGCGTCATTGGTGCCAAGATCCTTCCATGGAGCTCAAGAAGAGATCCTTTTGCGAGTTCAAGGCCGCTGATCGCCCTCACGCTGCATGGACCTGTTCTCAAGGAGGGTAGGAGTAGTCAAAGTGGCAGTGGCTCTTCGTCTGTCATCGACGACTCTGCCTCGGAGTCTCCTAGCAGACCTAGGAGCAACGACTCATCGATGCAGGTCAGTGGCTATCAGACTACAGTTGAGATTTATTCTCTCAAGGAGCAGAGAAAGCTAGCTACACTGTACACGAGCCCTTTGGTGCCGTTGGTCACGCCAGTTGGAAGCCCTCTCTTCCAGCCTCCTGCTCCAGTTGGAGAGTTGGTAGTTGATGCAAATGGTAAGTTCGTGGTGGTGGCGTCAGGGACGAGCGGAGAGATCTTTGTCTATGCCCCCTATGTCAAAGGTCATAGGGAGCATGCCGAGCGGTTTCGTTGTGTTGGCAAGATCTGGACTTCCGTACAGCTACGTGAGCGGACGGTTCCCTCGAGTGGATCTAGCGGTGCAGATGGTAGTCACGAAGATGTTCCACCTGAGAAGTATGGTGTGCCTGTCTTCTCACTCTCCGACCGATGGCTTGCTGTAACCCCACCCACATCCAGTTCGTCGTATTCGGTCAACGGTACCGCATTGACTTCCCAGTACTACGAACGACCACCCGGTACCGCCCACCCCACAGCGCCGACTCAACCATCCATCAACTGCGCAGTCGATGCTCCCGAAGTGGCCAGTCTTCTGAATCGATTGACGAGAGAAGGCACCCAGGTCGCGATTCAAGGCGCGCTCTGGGCCACTGAGAAGAGCATGCAGGCTTTCAAGAACTACATGAACAAGGGCACCGCAAATAGTCTACCATACCAAGATCCCATGCAGCACTACTTCCCACCTACCCACGGACACAACCAGGCACAGCCAAGGCAGGAAGCGTCGGTGGTCGCGATTCACGACTTGCAGAAGCTCGTTGAGGCAGAAGAAACTCGAAGCAAAGGCGCCTTGCAGCCAATATCAGTCTTTCCTGCAACGAACGGCTGCAGCTTCTTGTCGTTCTCTCCAACAGGCCTGATGCTCATGACGATAAGCACCAAGGGAGACTGTCAGGAAGTATGGGATCTGAAACGCGTGAACTTTAGGAGAGCACGAAAGACCAACAGGGAGCAAGCACTGGGTCCGCATGTACGACAAGTCGCCAAGTTCACGCGCATCACAGTCACGAACGTGATCGATGTAGTTTGGTCTGCCCCGCGCATTGACAAGGTTGCCGTTATTACAGACAAAGGAACGGTGCACATGTTCCTTATGCCAGCGTCAGCTTCTCAGTGGCCGCCGCCTAGGAGGATTCGTCCAGCAGGTGCAGCAAAATCAACAGATGATGCAGCCCCTGTGAACACCGGAGGCGCGGTCGGGTCTGCAATGCACGCGGCCAAGCCTTTTATTAACGCTGTGCGCGGCCGAGCTCCTAGTAACGGCTCTCGCTTTACTTTCAGCAGTCTCGGTATGACTCCTGCGGCAGGTGCGAAATCCAGCAAGGCTGTGGCTGCAGGAGTGGGCAATTCCATCAACAGCATCAGACGGTCTGGTGACAACAAGTTGACACTGCCTGTGTCGGCCAGCGGTGTTAAACCCCACAGCGCACGATGGCTCTCTGGCAAGGGTCGAGGGTCTATTGGCTTGGTCTCAGGCGGTGTGCTGCAGATCTGGCGAGTTCAGATGCGACCTGCTAATGGGAAAGGGAAGGCGCCAAATGCAACATCGATCTCGAAGAGGAAGGTTGTTGAGTTTGGTCTGGCTGCGATTCCAGACACTCCATTTCCTCCATCTGTCACTGAACAGCTTTACCCACAAGCTGGTGACCAGGAAGGAACAAATAACGTCTATGGAGAATGGTTGCCTCGAGCTTTACCAAACAAGCCTGCCACACATGGCGCTAAGAAGGCAGTCCCAGCTCTGGCCCCTCTCAGCTTCTCCGAGATCGAAACGAATCCACCGTACCAGCCGTTCTACACCGATCGACGAGTGACGCGTTTCGTCTATTCACGACCTTTGGCAAGCGTGCATGAAAGCGGCAGTGAGCATCAGTCACCGACACCGAGTCTTGCCAGCACTCTCCATCATGAGGACGACACATCGCCTTGGCTCTTTGGTGAGGACGTTGATGCGATCCGTATCTCCTCTCCTGCGACACACGCACACGATGTCGACGAGGACGATTTCGCTGCCGGTGTCGCAGCACGGATCGAGAATAAGCTCGTGCTAAACGATGACGAAGAGCAAGTCGAGCAGGTCGTCGTCACCACGAGGCGCAGGCGCGTCAAGCGGGAGGGCGAAGAGGGCGAAGAAGGTTTCTTCGAGGATGACTGCGAAGTGCTGGACTTTGCCGAGGATCGCGTCTGAGTGCTTGTTAGGTACACGCATGCGACTCTGTGTTGACTTTGTTGTTTTTTGAGTGCTTCTGCATTCGTGTTTGTATCGCCTGCGTTGCTTCTGGATGGTGCATGGATGTGCTTTGGCGTTATCCTGCTTGCGCTGCTTGTCGTTTGCACACTAAAGATACCAATATAAGATACCACATAGTCGCGCGTTTTAGATAGATCAATATATAAACCATGAAACCCTCCAAGCTATAACTCTTCGGCGTGGCTGGTGGTTCAAGGCGCTCGTGGACACTGCAGCCACGTCCGACCAGGTAGTTTGCACTTTTGGCGTCTCTGGACCACACTGACAAGCCGTAGATGTACTATTATATCAACCGACTTCCATGAGGAGAGATGGGCAACTCTCCGCCTCACCGAGTTCGCGTCGCTGTTCGATGTCCTACAACTCATGACGTGGTATCGATGCGTCACGTTGAAGACGATATACCTACCTCGAGATGGGGTGGGCATGCCCAAGACTGCCATGGCCTCCGCCGAAACATATATACTTCCCCAAGCCAAACCGCGCAGTTCGAAACGAAGCTGACGTAGTCGCGCATGCACGCACCAGCCTGGTCAACCCAAACATACGGAAATCAGAACGTGGACATTGGAATCTCCTCCAGACCGACGACGGAAGGAAAACCCGCCAGAGCGATCCAGTCAGCCCGCTGATCCCTCTACGCCCAATGGACACAGAAGCGGACCTTTGCGGTGCAACTGTACGCCGAGCTCTTTACCCAATCATGGAGATTCTCCGTCACCACTGGAACGATAAATGGACACCCTGTTCCGTAGAGAGACCCGTCCAGAGGTACAAGGCAAAACCGATTCATCGATGCGGTCCGATATCGTTTTTGACACGAAAGGTGAGAAACAACGGACGACAGAATTCCACCTACATGGGGAAGGGATATATGGTTGGAAGCCGCAAGAAGGCAGGAGGACCATCGCTCGGCGACATCACAAATCGACACACTCACCGGCCGTTCAGCAAAAGAGAGCATTGGAATTGATACGAAACCACAACTTTGCCCACTTCACTGTGCAACCCCCTTCAGCACACTATGCCCGCGTGACATCATCCCCTCATCACAAGCTCTTCCATTCCAATTCCTTCTTCGCGTCCCCAAGTGACTCCCCCGACTAAGCAAACAAGACCAAACTAACAGCCCCAGCTGCCTGCCCAGCTCCCCCCGGCCACGCCATACCCACGGATCACGCTGTTGGAGCTGAACCGACGAGAACTAATGAAGGACGAGGAGGTCGCTCTACTGTGGGTTCTGGAGCTCGGATTCACAGCGTGCACTCTACGTTGCTGGTGTATATGACGAATAGCCGATATGGAGTACTGTATGCAGACATATCTAGCCAGCCACCTATTCTCTTTACAGCTAAGAAGCTGCATAATTACCATTGAACAACTCCATTCCTACCTAGACAAGAAAACGTCGTGGCGAGCGTGTATCTCTCTTCCCTAACACCACAATCTACCAGGTACTTGACCAGACATGTACAGGTGCAGAACAGGCGTGACTGAACATGTAAACTGTTTTCGTATTTCGGACTCTCGTCCCGAGCACATGGGCTCTATTATATATACAATCCAACACTGCTCTCGTGATGCGTAAATGCCAACACCCTATCTTAAAACTTTCCTCCTTTACCGTGCGCTCTGTCTGGCACGTAACTTGCTCGAAATCTACCCTGCCCTATCTGATCTCCATCTCTCATCTTGGATTAAATCGCCTCTCCTCCTACTGTTTCCGTCTCTGTTTCTGTCCTGCGCTCCGTATGCAAAAGCCAAATCGCTAATGGGTATAAACGCTCCGTTCTCGCGCGGCGGATGTGCCCTTGCGCCAGGTCTAGACTGGGGTGGGGGGTTTTGTGGATACTAAGGAATGTCGTGGTGTGAATGAGCGTGTGTTTGTGTTTGTATTTATGTGTGGTCGTGGGTGAGGTGTATGTATGGGGGCAGAAGCAGGGGGGCTGCTTGTGCGCTGCAGGTACTGGCTCCGCGGTGGAGCCGTGTGATGTCGCTGCTGCTCGGTGTCCTGGGGCGCGCTCGCACGCTACATGCGCAGCGTATCGTGCTCGCCCGCGTCCTGTGGCGTCTGGACGGGGTCCTGGGCATACGGGTCCTTCGCTTGCCGGGCGAGTCATTGGCCACTTTTGGGCCACTCCATCTGTACGTGCGGCTCGTACAGCATGAAGGTCTCGTAGCGCTCTCCGCGCTTCTGCGTCCGCCGCATGTGCTCGCCTACTTCTACGCCTTGATACAGCACAGGCTCCCATGCCATGACGTCTTTCCAGCGCCGGATTAGTTTGCGCCAGTAGCAGGCTTCGGCGGCTTGTGTTAGGTAGCGCTCGCGGAAGACTTGCACGTTGTTGTCGGCGATGCGTTTGGCCTTCTCGGGGTGGTCAAGGAGGTCTTCCATGGCCGCAGCGAGGTCTGAGAAGTCGCGTTCGACTTCAACGAAGTTCTGATTCGAGCCGTTGCTGCGGAAGAGGTAGTGATAGTGTTGAATCCACTGCAGCTTATGCGAGACGATGACGGAGCGGCAGAGCTGGCGGTACTTGAGCGAGCCTGAGTAGCTGCGTCCTGTTGTAATGTTAGCTTAACTCCAATAGAAAGACTGTTTGAGACGCACCTTCGGCGTGTGCAATGAACATGTAGTTGCACTGATCGACCGGCCCAAGAAATTGCTCCTTGAAGTTCGGGTCCGTCCACTTCAGCTGCCCAACATCGCTCCACGGCTTCCCCTTCGCAGCGTCGAGGAGAGCTCTCCGCAGCTTGGGCGCAAACGTGATTTTGCCCCTCCAGACCAGCTTCTCGGTCTTCTGGTCCCACGGCTCAATGCTCTCACGCTGCACTGCTTCGTTGGCGACTTCGTCCAGCGTGCCTATCGAGGGCATGTCCCAGCTCCAGAAGCCAAAGTCGGGGATCAGCCAGAGATTGTGGTCCTGGGCGCGGCGGGCGAGCGACCACATGGGCTTCGTGGGCTGGGCAGGCAGGTCTTCTACAGAGAAGATGAATTCGATGTTGGGGATGTCCGAGTCGGTGGGCGCGGCGAGGATGGCGCGGTACATGGCGCTCAGCGAGGCGAGGGCCTTTTGGCGGTTGATGTTGTCGACGAGGAAGGTCTCGATGATGTAGAGCTACACATATCAGCACACGTCCGGCTCTGCACAGGCAGGGGGCTCACCTCGCGGTCGTAGATCATGGCGCGCACCATGCCCTTGGACAGGTCGAAGCTGGACAGGTCGGCCTCGGTGACCTTGCCCCAGCGCTTGCGCACCTTGACGGCGCGCTCAATGTCCTCGTACTGGCCGGGGAAGGCGCTGTCGCACTGGGCCTCGTCCAGGCCGTAGTTTTTGGCGTCGCGCTTGTAGTTGAACAGCCAGTTGGCGGCCTCCTCGGTCGCGTTCTGGCCCAGCACGACCTGGTTCGCGGCGCAGTCCAGACACGTGTCGCAGGCAAAGTTGGTGCTGAACTCGCACAGGCAGCGGCCGGCAGGCATGACCTCGCGCACCAGCGGCGGCAGGGTGGGCATCTCGGTGCGGGTGCCATAGAGGATGGAGCACACCAGCAGGAACAGCAGGGCGCACGAGGAGACGAAGAAGAAGGTCAGGACGTCGGAGCCGGCGCAGCGGCGGCGGTACATGCGCTTGTCCTTGCGCTCCTCGACGATCCACAGCTTCTCCATCATGGCCGCACGGAAGGACCGCGGCAGCAGAAAGCGAGGCAGGGCGGCGGCGAGCACGCGCGACAGGACCCGGGGCTCGGTCGTCGGAGGCGTGATGGTGGTATTAGACAGTTACGGCGGGCGACGGCGACATTGAAAGGGCAGGCGGCGGCACGGGGGGCAATGGCAGAGGCGCGCGAGGCAGCGGCGGAGCAGGCACGGCGGCGAAGAAGATGGACGTGAGCGGGGATGAGACGATCTGCTACAGCGGGCCCAGCATGGCCAAGTCACAAACAGCGCGCGCCAGTGGCATCAGGTGCGGGAGCGGAGAGCTGCGAGGCTGTGCGGAGGACGAGGGCTGGTTGTAAGGGGCACTGCGCCTTACTCAGAGCAGCCGCGGCCTGCGCTGCGCTGCGCTAACCCCGTCGCTGGCCGTCCAGTGTGCCCGGGCGGCTGGCTGCAGCGCTGCAGCGTCCACTGGTGCTGGCTGGTGCTGGCTGGTGTGCTGCCATGGGACTGCTGGCCTGCAGAGCGCGGTCGAGGGACGCGCGGCGCGGCACCACACCAGCTCTGTCTCCCACCAGGAACTGCCGCTGCCGCTGCCTCTGCGAACGGCCGCTGCGCTGCATCGTGCCTGCTGTGTACACAGTCCCTAGTATAGTACACACGCACGCTGCTGACAGTGCGAGGCGGAGTGCTTGCTGCTCGCTGCACGCTGCACGCCTGAGGATGCAATTCATAGCAGCACCCGCAGATCCAACGATCCAACGATCCAGCTCCCCAATCTCTTTCAGCCTCAACCCCGCCAGGGAAATTTGGGAAATTTGGCTCCCAAACCCCCGACGTCGACTCGCTGCTGCCCCGAGCCTAGCTGCACTAGCCTCTCCCACGCGCGGTATTGCACCACGCAAACCGGCTGCAAACCGGCTTTCCAGCCATGCGATTTTCGCGGTTGTTGCAGCATGGCCATGCCAAGTAGTATTGACCCGCAGCGCGGCGGCACAGTACGAGCCACTGCGCTCTGCAGTAGCAGATTTTGCACCATGCCATGCTGATCGCCAGCTCGTAGCCGCGCAACACTCACGATGCACCGCTGATCGCAGGAGCATCTGGTGTAGCGCCTCAACATGGTCGTCAACACGTGTGGCGCAACGGCCAATTCCATTGCACCATGACTTGTCGACGCTTATTTGCACTGATCATCGCCGGCAGCAGGGCGATGCACCGTGTTCCTGGTCATGCTATTCGTAGATTCATCGTGACATCGCTAGCTCAAGGCTCTCCAAACTCCCCGTAACATCGCTAGCTCCCAACGCAAGGCTCTCCAGCTCCCAAACACGAACCACTCTGCCAATGCTCACCCAAACAAACCCATGCTATGCTGTAGTGTGAAACACGCGACCAAAAGGGACCACCAGGCAGTCTGGAATGAAACAAAGAATCATGTCTAATTGAAAACAGTAATCGTTGGCTATATACAAAAAGTAGCCAGCAGCGAAAGAATAAAGCCACCGTAGCAATAAATATTTCGCAAGAAGTGAAGCTTGGGAGCCTGCCTTCAGTGGGCTGCTCTACCATGGTTGTGTGAAGAGCGACCAGCAAGTCTCGCACCGTGTGCGAGATCTCGTCAAGGGCCAATGCACTGCTTGGCGGCGCTCTTCTACACTCTATACTGTCGCTTATACCGACAGCACGTGCATGTTCGCCTGGTCTGGCGATGCCGGTACGTGGAAGGGGTTGAACGGTATTATCTTGCCCTTGTGGGCTGCCATTTGCAGACCAACGTCACGCATGCGCTCTGCACCTCGCCCAGGCGGTGGTGGACGTTTCTCTTTGGCGTTCTTGCGGTGCTGCTTTCTGTACAGCTGTTCCCTACGACGCTGCCTCTTCCGCTCAAGACCGACTTGGATGTCAATGGCACGACGGACAGGCAGGTCGTTGGTACTTCCCTGCTCATCATCATCGTCATACTCAAGAGGATTGTGGTGAGCTGTGATGGGAGTTCGGGGCAACGAGGCCGATACAGTCAGAGCTGGTCGCTCGCCGATCCCGCCGAACTTAATCGACATCTCAGAACGCTGTCTCGACGCCAGGATATTGGCAGATCCACGGCGAGATGGCGGCGGCGATCGGAGACGAACAGGAACTGGGGAGCGTGCCCTTACTGGCGATTTACCAAATAGCGTGCGAGGCGGTGGAGGTGACCGATGCACAGCCTTCTTGGTAGGAGGAGGTGGGGAGCGGTGGCCGGTCCTTGTGGGTGGAAGTGGTGAGCGATGTGCTGTACGCTTGGTCGGGGGAGGCGGCGATCGGTGCACACCACGCTTGGCTGGAGCAGGCGAGCGCAGCCGTTTTGGCGAGTGTGCGGGAGGAGAGCGTGGCTTCAAGGTATCCCTGCGACGTCCGCGTGGTACACCGTCGATAAGGTCCATTCGTCCGTGCATCATGAAATAGTTGTCGCTCTCGGAGGGGTTCTCAAGGTCGTCCACTTCGTCTTCCTCGTCATCATCTACCAGCTCAGGGTCTGACGCTGGGAAACTAGGATCGATGTCCTGAGGAGCCGGCTTGTGTTTCGCTGCTCGGCGACGTTCTATGTTCGAGATGTATGCCTCTTCAGCCGGCCTGTCCTCGTCGAGAGTTCCGCAAACGAAATCAGTGCTATCTGGCAGTCCGGGGCTTGGTACGCGTATGTTTACCGGCCTCGACCTCTTGCGCTTGACTTTCGGGGCTGATGGACCATCCGCACGTTCGCCCTGAAATCGCTCGAACATCTTCAATCCGTTCTTGCGGCTTTCCAGAGAGCCAATGGAGGATTCAGAGACAGTACGGTGGTTCTTAGGCCGGAGGTTTCCGATGTGATCGATGGATGTGGCTGCAGTCGAAGCCCCTGGTGCCCACCAGTCGTAATCGGATCCAGCGCCACTCTCGTCGTCTGAGACTGCGAAGCCTTCTTCGTCGTCGGTTTGGAAGCCTGCATCGGTGATATCGCTGTAGGCATCGCTGTCGTTGTCGTCATCTTCATCATCGCCATCGTCATCCTCGTCCGCTGCATCATCATCGTCGTCCTCGTCATCTTCCAGAGCCTCTTCTTCAACCTCTTCGACCAGTTGTCGGAGGTTGTTCTCGACTCTGAGAGTGTCCCCGACGGTGAGACGGCTACGATGGCACGTGACCTCCTGTGTCCACTCTTCGATCTCTTCTTCTGAGCTTGCAAACTCGTGGAAACGGTAGGCTTCAGTGCGGGCGAGTTCTGAATTCTGGCTCAGACGGCGGGTGCGGTCGACCATCGGAACCTTGCGAACGCTGATGGGAGAGTTGTTGCGCACCGTAGAGTCCGAGTCACGATGAGCTCTTGGTGATCGCTTTGGAGATGCGGGTATCTTGCGAGGTGGTGGTGCCGGGCTGGCGGCACGGCGAACAGTCTTTGGCTTTGTAGGCGTTTCTGCGGGACCTTTGGCAGAGCAAGCAAACTTGATAGTACGAGGACGCTTTGGCTCGTCATCAGACGTGGGCGCTGTGGGCTTAGCGCAGGCGAACTTGATAGTACAGGCGCGCTTGGTTGGCTCCTCGGCGGGCGGAGGTGTTGATGGCTTTGCAGGTGCTTCTACAGGCTTCTTCTCCTCCTTCTTGCCGCCACATGCAAACATAATGCATCTCTTCCGGCCCAATGTTGCCTCAACCCCCTGCTCACCAACAGGTGCTGTCGGTTTCGGCGCTGCCAACGTATCGTTGTCCTGGCCAACAAGAGTAATTCGCTGCTCGGACGGCTTTCTTGTGAAGGGTGGCAACATGTTATGGATCATCGTGGAGGGCAACGGCGGGCTGGGCGTGCAGGTCCTCGTTCCTGGGCTCGTGAAGCCTCCGTCGCTGGTCAGATCGGCGGTCGAAATTGTGCTGTTACTCCACGTTGAGATGCATGACAGGCCACGAGGCGGGTCCCGGTCGGAGTGCTCGTCAACGGGGGAGCTCGTGTTCGAAGCCGATTGCAACGCTGTAGTCAAGAGCGACGTCTTGCGGTCGATCGCTGGTTTCGAGATCTTCGCAAAGGAAGCTGTCGACGAGCTCTGGATTTGCAAGGGTGCTGGGCGCGGGGTACGCCCCTGTTCCGGTGGTTCATCGACGTCAGCCGGTACCCTCCTCGTCTGCGGCCGCGGTGGGCGGTGTTGCGCCGAGGGTGGTCTGGATGGCGCTCATTCCAGCAACGCCTCTTCTCCCAATATAGTCCTGCTCGTTCGCCATGGTTGCTGGTGTGTGGCGGTGTTATTATGTGCTTCTAAATGTTTGCAGAGCGCCGTCAAGAGACGCGCTTGCAGTGTCGTGTTTACGTCAATCGCAGCCGCGAGATCGATTATGTACGAGAAGAGTGGAGAGTCGTGACAGGGCAGGCTGGCGGCAGCGAATAGCGGCCGTGTAGTATATTACTGGTGTATGGATAGCGGTGGTGGTGAGGTGGGGCCCCAGAGGACGTGTTGTTATAATATGGAGAACATGGTAGAGGTACAGTGAAGGTTCGGTCCGAAGTAGAATGAAGTGGCAGCAGTGCTGAAGATCAGAGCTGTCAAAGTTGGGCAGTCGCACGTGGGGAGGGATACCCGGTGAAGATGATGTAGGATCTCCAGACACGCTGTGGCAACGGCGCCAGAACTCAGAAGGGCGGCGATCTGATAGGTGGGCGCGCTGAGCGACTGGCAGGCGACCGGGCAATTGCGGTGCTTGCGTCTGTCGCGTGGCGGAGTGTTTGGGGTGCTGGCAGCGACTGGGGTGCGCAGTGCAGTGCAGTGCCGTTGGCTGCTGCTGCGATGCCTTGCAAGTCCTGGGGAGAAGGGAGAAAAGGAATTTGATGTGCCGTGGTTGTTGGGGTATGCGCTAATTGTACACGGCGCTGTGCGTCCAATGCAACCTGAGCTTTTGCAGATTCTTTGGGACGGGCTGCACGAACGTCAAAGGGCGTCCAGGCTCGGCTCCAGGCAAATTCTTGCAAATTCACACAGACAAGACAGCGCTCAGCACGCGCGTGTTCTCGCCTGGCGTTCGCCGTGGCACGCAGGTTCCCGACGGGCGTGCTGACGGCGTCTTTCAGTCTCACCTCGACGCTGCTGGGCGTCTCCATGTTGCCATCATCGCTCTTTGTCAGCGCCGCTCAGCAGCGCCATCGTCACTCGTCGAATCACACTGCAAGCAGGTTTCCTTCTTTGACGCGCCGCCGGCTACCCACTCAAGTGCGCAATTGCTCATGCATCGGAACAGGACCCTGATTTACACTCGCCGACTCGAATCCCACGAAAAGATCCGTACAACCGCTGCAGACGAGCGAGACGACGCTAGTGAGGCCCGCAGTCTGCAGCAGTGCAGCACCCATGCATTGCTGTGCACCCCGAGCACGCATGCAGTGCATCGCTGATTGATGTCTTTGACACGCGAGCTTCGACAGTCTCAGCCGTCACCCTGTGTCTGCATAGGCCTCTGCACCTCACGTCCTCTTTGTGCCTCAAAGAAGCTTGCCTTGCTACCGTCCTTAAGGCTTGTCTGATGCTCTTCACCGCCGTTCACCGCCTTTCTCACCCTCCTTACTTTCACACATCCTGCGCGAGCCGTGGTCATCTGACGCCCGTTGCTCTGGGACAGCTCGCTAGTTGCGGGTTTCCCGTTTCATCAACCCACTCCCACATGCTTCGCTGCGCCATCGCCTGCAGCGTTTACGATCAGGGCCCGCTTCCTCCGCATTTCGTTGGCAGAGAAGCGACGACCCTTGCCTGCTTGCTGTCTTCGAAGCTCCAGAGTCCAGACTAGCTTATGCTCACCCGAGCATCTCGAGATGCCGTGTACCTTCCGGCCGTGATGTGTCTTTTAATTGACTGTGCAGTAGAACGACTGAATCCTGGGTCAACGGAACACCTTCCTGTGTCTAACTAAGTGAGGCGGGGTACCTCATCTGGCCGCGAGTTCGCTAACCACGAGCAGAACCCGGATGCAGGCCGAAGTGACTACCAGGCTATGACGGCAGTGGTCTTATCTATCTACTGGTCGTCATCCGACTGTCTGTACCTATGACGTCGTTCTGGCTGTAATCGTAATGGATGCAGTGATGCAGCACTCAGCAACTAGGAATCTAGCAGACTCCTGTCTCTTGATGTGCACTGTAGTCGCTACCCCACGCTTCACGTCCAAAGCATGAAACCTTACCTGACTTGGCAGGGTCTACAACTATGGCCCGAAGTGGCTGTTCTCCAACCTAAAATTAATTGCAAACAACCGTTGATCCTACTGAAATCCAGGGTACAAGCATCGAATGCTCAAACTTTGGCAAAGCCAAGCAATACTCATAACACCATGCTATCGTTCAATCCTTCAATCTACAGGCTGAACTATCCACATGTCACCTCCCATACACCACTGGTCACCGTCCCTCATGTTACATCTCCCTCACACTACACTCCCCACATCCATCACCAGACCCAAACCCGCACTGCCAAACAGCCCGTCGTCCCCACCGCGTCGCACAAACACAGCCAAGCATTCCCTCCCTATCGGCCAGCGCGCCCCGCTGCACAACCGTTTCCCCTTACACAGCGTCCGCAATGCACACAAGACCGCGAGCCATGACTCGCTCCGAGCCAACCACATAGCATTCAAGCAACACACGCGCACAGCCAAGCCTTCCCCTATCTGGTGCCAAGTCTGGGCATGCGACTCCGCGCAAGATGGTACGTCCGCGCGCTGTTGCACGGCCAAGTGTGGATGGGGACGGTGGATCTGCGAGCTATGCTAAGCTGTGTTGTCTGTGCGGACTTGTGCGTAGGTTTGTGGGAACACGCATTTCCGGGACCGTACCACTGTCGGAGTATTCCAAGGTTGGCATGCGGCTGGCGAAGGGTCCCGCTGCCGGTTGCTGCGAGGCAGTTGTGGCGAGCCTAGGCATTGAACGAGCGGAGACTCAGGTAGGGTACAGAATACAGTTTGTAGGACAAGTAGGACGAGGCCGTAGTGGCGCTACGGTTCTATCAAAACGCTATGCTCCAGCCAAACGCCGCTCAATGCGCTACAACGCCTCCGAAATGTGGATAGTACAGTCTTACGCCTCAGAACTGGTGGCTACCAGGTTGGCTGGGAATGCGGAGTGGCCGTAATTCCTGGTTGTTGTTGCCGAGTCTTTCATTAGGGATTGGCAGTTCCCGTCTCCATGCATCTTTCACAAACTGTAATGTACGCTCGAAGACTAGCTCCCTCTCATTTCTCTCGTGTTTCCCAACCGCTATGTCGGGGAACTGCGTCCAGCCGTGCCTGCACCCTGGAGCATGCCAGACCTCGAGACCACCGTTGGTGTCGACCTGTGGGTAGGGTTGCCCGCCTTTGACGCCGTCCCAGTCGTTTTCTCGTCCATCACCGAAGCGCACGTGTCCGTGCCATCCGCTGCAGTTCATCTTGTCTACCCAGACATCGCTCTGGACGGCAAGAGTATCCTTCTCAGGGAGCACGAGGAACATAGCAGCGTTTGTCTGTATGTTCTCAGGGTTGATCAGACCGGGACTGGCGCGAGGGTGGGCACGCAATTTCTTGGGAAGGTATGTGGGACCCATGATTGAGAAGAGACCCGGCATTCGCGGCTTCTCAGTGTGCTTGTCATCGCCCTTGAGCGCGTTCGGTAGAGGCTTCATGGGACGTTCATGGGGCAGAAGGCGTGCGTCTAGCGATGGGTAGAACAGTAGGAGAGGCAGGAATCTAGGTCGAGCTTGTGGTGCCGGCAATATGGTCGGCCAGGGCTGTAGGGGGTTGTCAAGTATCGTAGGTGCGCGGTTCCGTGGTAAAAGAGGTGACATTGTCGCAGCAGGCGATGGTCCAGGCGTAATCGAGTTTGAGCGCCCGGTATTAGCCTGTAGGAGTTCCATACACGGAGGAGCTGACACAGCCATGTTCAGTGCAATGTTGCCTCCCGCTGAGAAACCTGAGATACTGAGACGCTCTGGATCGAGAGTGATAGTTCTAACATGCTCCAGGTGAGGTGGCAGTGTTTTCTTCTTTTTCCGCTTCTCGTTCTTGCTGAGCGTATTCGTACGCATGATAGAGTAGTAACGTTGGATCTCCGTTCTGAGATATTTGCCGGCTTCTGTTATGCTATCTGTGTCCAGAATAGCGGACAACGCGTCTTCAGCGTCGTGTATAGCGGCTGGGAACTGGTGGAACGGCCCAATACGGTACGACACTGAGATTACGACTGCTCCTAGCTCACGCGACATCATAGAGGCGTAGGGTGCTTGCTCGAGGGGACTGCCCATGATGAAGCCTCCGCCGTGAAAGTCCAGCACCACCGGAACCCTCCATTCTCCTGTTTCTGTGCGCCGCCGATCTTCATTCTCCTCCAGGTCTACTGGTGCGGGCGGTACGAAGACATATAGCGTGATGACGTTGCCTTTCCGGCTCGGAAGGTTGACGAGGAAAGGATGCGGTCCCTTAGGTGAGGTGATGTGGAGGATCGATAGGGGTACGAATCGCGGAATCTGTACGAGTGCTGTTCTCCAGGCGACGTTGAAGGGCAGGCCGAAGAAGTAGCGCAGCGTATGCAGGTAGTCACTCATCGTTGCGGCGTAGCGAAGGTACTGCGACGAACGCGCATGGTGTTCAGGTGGGTGCGTGGCCCATGAGCATGTAGAAAGAGCTACAGCTTCTAGTTGTTTGGAGTCGCATTGACGCCATGTTCGGGGGCGCGGCTGTATGACGTAATTATCCAATGGTCCACTTCTTGCGGGAAACAACAACGAGCATTTGTATTTAGTCGCAAATCCGGGGTTGGACGGATGTGAAAGTCGAAGCCATCAAATTTTGGCTCCGCAATTTGCACGCTAGATCAGGAAGCTTCAGGCCAAGCTTCGATGGTGCTTGAGCCGGCTCCAACGACACACTAAACTCTGCCTATGACGTTTTACTTCGACTTCAACCGAAGTTCATGCCATCGAGCCTGTATGTTTGTACATAGCACTACCTGATGCCTCTACAACCCGATAAAGCAGTACTTCCACTTCCCGTCAGCGCAATGCTACGTGATTTCTTAGTACGGACTTGGGCCGTGATAGGAATGCCAAAATAGAAATGATACTAAGCGCTTCGGAGAACCCTGGTTTTCCAATGAAGCCGTTCAGATGTGTTCTGGCTTCGACTTCTCTGCTGCACAAACACAGCTCAGCTCGCGTATGCTGCTTAGTGGTGCTTACCGTGTCAGCTCGCTCCGGATCAAGAACCATCCGTCTTATTTTACACACTGTTATACATCTCTTTGGCTTAGGCTTTACCCCCTTGTCAAGCCGACGCACAACATGCTCAAAGCGCTCCGTCCAACATTTCCTCGATTGAAGGTACAGGCCACTTTCACATCGCGTACGTTCACGACGATGCCCTCACCGCACCCCGTGATCATGTGCGGCAAGACTGAAGCCATCGGCGCGGCGGTGATTGAAGACTTGAAACCTGAACTCGAAGGTATAACAGCTCGTCTACCTGGTATTTGCCTCCAAGACTGAGCCCCATTACAGTCGTCCAATTCGTCCAATCCATTGAAATCGGAAAGCAGCAGATCCCCGCCCTTCTCCGAGGGGAGAGCCCTGGGCCATCGGGCTCGATCCTGGGTACAAAGAACTTTGAAAAGAGTCCTGTCGCTGTCTTGCTCGGCGCGGCTTTCGATGACCAAGGTGTCAAGGAGTTGCGTGAAGCTGCCGCGGGGACGAAAGAGGTGCCTTGGCTTAGGCCTGATACGTCGAAACCCGCGCCGCCACTCGGGCCAGAGTATGGAAAGGCCATGGCAGCCAGAATCAAGGAGACGATCAAAACACTGGAGAGTGAGGGCAAGCTGGAAGGTAACGGAACAGTTGTATGGTTCTAATGCGAAGCAAAATGCCCCTATATTAGGCTATCATGCTTGCACATATGTACGCTTGTGAGACAGCCATGACCACTAAAGTGATATAGATTGATTTCTGCTGATGGCGTAACTTCTGCCTGCTGATATCACTTCGTGCTGTCTCGTAGGTGTCATTCCAACTCGAAACTGCCCGTGCATGCAAGGCTCCTTCGTCCGCCCCAGAATTTGTGCTCCGTATGACCATGCGATGCAGGTTGCATTCCTAGCTCTCCTTTCTCAGAGACCCACGCGAGGGTACACATGCCCGGATGCGCATGACGTGATGACAGGGGACCGCTTTTCGTAGAAGGTGCATTGAGTCGACTTTGGATCTAGACCATTATACCACGAGGAGACTATTTAATCTTGTCTGGACCTTGCTGTGCGCTACTCTGAGCGACTTCCAGTACGTCAGTAAGGGCAAGACCGAAGCCAGAGAGATTTGCTTGAGTATGTGCTGTCGTCTCCCGAGATCTTCACGTGAAGTTCGATGCTGCCAGGTTTGAAGATGCTGTTTTGGGGGATTTGGCCTTGAGCGGTTTCTCTTCCCCTTTCAATTTGATGACTCGGTTTGAAGATGAATATCTGTCCGCGTAAGTTATTGCCATTGTATTGAGATAAGAATGCCTCACCTTGTCCATAGATATTCTCCCGCAAGGTAAAGGCCAATGAAAAGCATGAACCAAGCAACCACTTGTGCCACGAAGTGATCCTCTGGCTCACGATCGTGAGAGTGAGAGCTCATTCGTCTGACTTCTTGGCCAAAGCCGCAGACCATCTTGTTCTGGCTAATCTCCGCCTCGCTCGATGATGACTGAGCATCACCAGCGCCCGTTGTCTGCAATATATCGGTCGGGAGCGGAATTGAGATAGCAAGTACCTTTGAGATGGTGGTTTTACTTGCGAATCGTACTGGGATTTCGAGCTGTGACGCGAGATTCTGTGCAGACATCCAGTCAAGGTCTCTCGACTCGAGAGTGTTACACGGCTTTGGCCGTTCGTTTGCGCTAAAGGTCAAGCATCGACACCGGATGTCCTCGAGGTGTTGCTCATGATGCTCAACTGCCGGCGCTGCGAAAGCAGAACCCACCTCGAGAGCTGCAACGAGAACGCTCAACTCCAGCAACATGCTGGACCTCATGACGCACTTTGCTTAACAGATGAGAGTGCAGAGTGAAAGGATGTCGCGATATGGTGAATATATGATGGCTTCAGCTTGTAGGGCTCGAATTGCGTCGATCTAGACCGGTCTTTGGCGTAGTGCGCCTCGTACCAAGGAAGTGTTCAGCGGATGAGCCAATTTCCCTCCAATGGGTACTTATGGTGCAGTGCGTGCCAAGTTGGTTTGCCTGAAAGAGAAGGCGGGGAGATAAAAGGATTCAAATGTTGTAGTACATAAGACGTTGTCAGGTCATGAGCAAGGAGTGAGTTAAAGGCCCTAGAGCGATCGTTTACACAAGCACGGTCCTGAGGGATTTCATATTGCTGCGGGCCTTAGCGGCGGAGCTTGTTGCGAATGAGCGAACTGGATAGAAGAACGCGCTAGTTGTGGCTGTTGGTGTGGCTTGTGAATTGAAGGATCAAGGAAGCGTCTTTTTTCTCAACAAACGCAAATCTATGCAGATCATTCGAATCCAAACCATATTCATGACTCTTTCAGTGGGATGCACTTGCAGCACTGGTAACTTGTAACACAGGATGGGGTCTGGGTGATTGTTCGTGTTTGAAACGGCAGCTGTCAGCAATACGAGTTCGGACCGCAAGCTGAATCTGTCATCCGTGGTGACTATCACCTAATGCATACCATACCGATTCTGCCTCACCTGCAACTCTATCCGAGCTCTGAATATGACCAGGACTAGGTTGAGAGTGGCAGAACTGTGAGAGAACCGACCTCTTTGTACCTAGGTACGAAGGATTTTTCACGTCTTCTTGTGAGATGCATCTGGTCGCAATCAATAACTCAATTGCTCAATGCGGGCTGTCTGGCATTTCCCGCATGAACTGAGCTGGCCAATTCAGGTTCAGATTGTGGCGCAGCTGGCGCGGACAGCCGAAAGTGGATGTTGCACCCACAGTCTAAGACTCTAAGCATCAACTCCCATGCGAGGAAGGGCCGTAGATCAACATCAGGCGATGTCCACAGAATTTGCCAGTGTCACCAGCTCTAAGCGAAGAAAGAGGAAATAGGCTTTGTCATTGAATGACAACGCCGTATCTCAGTGATACGTAGAGATTGGACAACATCTTCTTGAGGACAACGCCTTCGGGAACTTCGCACGTATGGCACAAAGCTAGCCAAGCTTTAGCCAAGCTTCGATCGGTGAACACTAGAAACCGTGCAGAGCCTCTTTGTGGCTCTAGCAGAAGCTTCATTCAGGAGCCGAAAGCTTATCAATGCAAGGTGGAGTCAGTTCGGCGTCAATGCGTCAAAAGTCGGCTGTGCGGCACTGCCTTGTACGACGCTACTCCCTGACAGCTCCGTAGAAGACCGCACACTTCCGAGTGTCTCCTTTAGACCCCAGCTCCGAAACCTAGAGACCTCTGTGGCCAGAATCACGTATACTCCAGAGCAAATCAGCAGTGGGATGAATGTCACCTGCTGATAGTAATACTTGGGATTTGCCATATCTATCACCAATGCAAAACTAGGTAAGCAAAATGACAGTAGGTATATGCTGTCTCACATAGTCATCTACCTTCTGCTTATTTAATACCTGCATCTTGATGGCGATGATTGGGTGTGTAGGAAAATTGTGATGCATCATCTAACGCATCGTATCATAATGTGCCAGGGTTAGCAAGCTCAAATCGACGAGAGCACGCTTACCAACTTTACAGATACTTAACCTGTAGCTATCATAATACCTAAATCTAGATTTTAGTTAAGATCTTCCTATTTTGTAGGTAAAAAAGTATTCTATAGAAATTTAAGTATTTCCCCTACTTAACTGTCGTGTGGTATACTTGGCTAATATTCTCAGTTCGCCGTTTATTCGTCAAAATAAGATCATTACAGCATAGGCCAGGCAGACCTGCCAAGGTTGTATGGACGTCGCCAATTGGTTCAGTATCGTATCCCTTTTTTCAAGACGCACTCATTCAGTGCAAGGATTCTAGCTTGCTTGAAGGTGAGACGAGGAAGTATCCGAGTCCGGTGCCACATAGGAAATTCTCCAGCCAAACGAAACAAGATATGAGATTTTATCTGAATTGCCGTGTGATGGACCCTTGCGCGCATTGTGGAGGAGAGTAAGCCCCTCTCTGTGCTCGGGATTCTTGTTTCTAGTGATTCACAGCATACAAACTATGATCCAGCACAATACCGCTTGGTTGTTGGGTCACACAGACTCATGCCGACCATGGTCCATTGTGAGGGGTTGCCAATACGTTGTCACCTCGACGATACGATGACGCTCAGATCGCGGCAGCTCATCAATCTAAAGTAGAGATCGAAACTGTGCCCATCGAAACCTTCAGTAGCTGCATGCTAGCAACCTGCTTACCGCATGCAGCGCTAGCATACGCTGCTCTCCTCTCACTGGCTGAAAAACGCGGAAAGATATTCCTTAGCCATCGACACTTCAAGTCTCCTTCTCTTTCTGGTAGTTTGGCTGGGCCGTTGGTCGGAGGCTCTCAAGTTTCAGGAAAAATGGTGGATAAGACCCTGAGCTTACCAACTTTATAGAATGCTCAACTTGTAGCTATCATAATACATTAAGCTAGAATCTGGTTAAGAGTCACCTACATTGTAGGTAAATAAGTAGTATACAGATTTTTTTGGTATTTCCCCTACTTCACTGTCGTTTGGCGTACTTGGCTTACATTCTCAGTTTGCCGTTTATTCTGCAACGTGAGAGGGAGGGCGTGAAGTCAGGCCATTTCAAAGGGGTCTCGTATACCTTATCGCACCTCGGCTGTCTCAGATGATCGCTTGCACAGCGAGCGAGTAAGGCGCGTTGACAAGGGTTCCTAAAAGTAGGTTTGGGGGACTGTGCGAAGACATTGAATAGGATAGTGATGTTTCAAATACTTACGCCGATAGGTCGCTTGCACACAAGTGCCGTAAGGATAGGCAGTCGCGATCTCGGGATGAGACTCGGTCTTGCTAAAACCTTAGTATCATCTACTTTACCACCTCCGAATTGATGTAAACGATCAAGAAAGCAATGGTATCGGCGAGGTTTCATGTACACGAATATCAGAAACAAAGCCACCTTAGTCCACTGGGACATGTAAGCAACCGTGACAAGCAACAAGCATGTGCGTGGTTTCGAGAAGTCATCGATAACTGGCAGGAGAACTTGCCCACTGTCATCTACACTTTTTGAATATTTCCTCTATAGGCATTGGATCATGCCTGCACAGCAAGGGCCTCGACTCGACCCCGCGCTGAGGTGTTGTTCGGCAAAGAGTTGTGACTGGCGGGAACCTGTTCCCCTGCGAACGACACCTTTTGAGAACTGCCGCTTCAGGAAACTATCTCGGGCGTCTGGCAGGCCGAGCTAGAGGATATAAGTGGACGCGTGCATATATAAGGGGCGCAAACGGGCCGCTGAAGCGCCATTATTTAATTGATGTAATTCTGGAACGACAAACGGTAATCCTGACATATGGTTCCCTAATTCGTCATTGCTTTAACTTCTACCAACAGTGTGTGACTTCTTCTCACAACAATTTCTGACAAATTACTATTCCAGTTTATTTTTGTAGATACCTAGCAGTTCAAATCATTGAATATCGACGAAGTGTAGCAATGAGTAGGGCGTTGTAGGATGGCAGCCGTAACGACAATACGTATTATGAGCATACATGACGTATGAGGCCAAGTAATGGTATGTACTTTGTAAGAGCATTCGGGTAACAAAAAGACCTTCATTCAGACTCCAGGCTATCGCCCGCACCACTGGCCCGTGCCGGTCTATCGATGGCAGTGTAAAAAATGTATGGGTATCTTGAACGCAAACATGGGTATAACGAAGGTTGTGCATGTGAATCTCCAAAGAAACCAGCTACTGCAACAGCACATGGGAGTTGAGTGAACAAGGCATGTGCAAAAAGAGGAAACGAACTCCCTTGTCCAAATCAACGTCGCGACCGCCGATGTCGTGTACTTGACCCTCCACGACCACCAGAAGCTTGTGAGCTACTGACGCAGTCCCAGTTGAAAGGCATCTGAGATGTGGGAATCGTCACGCCCTCGTACCTTCGAAGCCTCTCCCTTCGTGGAGGTGGTGACGGCTGCGAAAAGGCATCACGTCGTACCGTCTCGAGTGCTTGGTTGGTGGCCGCGAGAACAGCGAAGCGACGATCAGGCACCCGCCTAGCAGCCGTGTTTGGTGTTCTTGAGCGAGCGCTGCGAGTGGTAGGAGCTTGTTGGTCGTGTTGACGTGAACGGTGGTGACGCGACTGTGAGGGCGACGATGTTGTGACTGTGTCATGTTGCGCGGTTCTGTTTTGGCGACTGGACCGATGGCTGCGTGAAGGGGCGTTTAACGTCTGGTAGCTGCGTGTCTTCGGTGGCGAAGGCGCGAAGAATGACCAGCCTCTAGATGGTTCAGGGCGAAGACTCTTCTTGGATTTGGACTTCTTTGGAGGATCGCGCTTGGCCCCGCGACCTCGAAGTGTTGCCTGTGATGTGTGCTTTGGGTGTCGTTGACGCTGATGAGTGCTGCGATGAGGTCGAGGATTGAGCAGTGTTTCCTGTGAAGAATTGGTACTCTCAGTATGATACGCAGCTCCCGGATATACAGAGCGTTGCCACATTGCTGGCACTTGAACGTTCAGCGCTGGTCTCTGCTGCTCATAACCTTGATGCGTCTCTGGATAGTGCTGTTGCAACTGTGCTTCGACCTCAATTCTGCTTCTTCGCGATGAGCGTGGAGCTTCAGCATCAGCTGAGCGCCTCTTCCTCGACGAGTCCTTTGATCGACGCTTCTCTTGGACTTCCGCGACAACCGGTCTACCCTTGCCATGAAGCGCGCCATCCGCCGGCGCATCACGTCTTCTCTTTTCGTTGGAGGATGGCGACTTATACTTCGGCTTGCTTGAGAAACCGAAGTTGAAGCACCAACACATCGGTCCTAGTTTGCTTTGCGCCCGGCCTGTTGTTTTTGCTGATGTTGAAGATGCCAAAGGCTGTCGTATGCAAGGCTTTCCGGATTGGTAGCTGCCGAGACGATGCAAATGAGGGACGCAGCTACTTAAGGACGCGCATAATAACCCAATAGTAAATGCGACAGGAACTTGTTCGTTTCAAAGCAAGCGATTCTTGGAGAACTAGGCGCAAGAGAGAAGAAGAGGCTTGGGCAAGATGATCTCATGTGAAGACAAAGGCCTGGCAAGGTAGCACACCGCACCACTGTCGCGGCATGGAAGCCGTATTCCAATAAAGCACTTGACTGCATGCCAGAAGCTAGCCAAGAAGGATTCTGTCCGAAGTACCTGGTATCAACGAATTGCGCTCCAATCAGATCCAGGCTTGTCTGATGGTGTGCGAGAAAAAGACTGATTCGTAAGTTCACAAAAGGGTGGCTTACTGGGCCCCATGACACCTTCGAGTCGGGCAGCTGATCGACTCATCTTTCACACGGCAGCGGTCTGCTGCTTTTAATGTGGATGTAGGGCGCTCAAAAGGCCCACCAGGGCGGCGAGCGGCTCTTATATGGGTGCAGTGCTTCTTTTTGAGACGCTCCATGCCATTCATGTGCTGGTTCTGCGTGTACCTGCGTTTGCGACGTGGCACCTGTACAGCGCAGTGCGGGACGGCTCGCAAGTCGATCCTGGGCACGGTCATCGTCGGAGGTTCTTGTGTGATAGCGCACGTCTAGCTGCAGGTGAAGGCTATGATGCTGACCAGCTGACGTCGCTGGGTTGCTTATCGTTATCCGGTCGCTGGTGACGCCATTGGCTGCGTGGATCTTTGGCCCCATTGACGCCTCAGTGAGTCAACAAGGTCCATGTGCAATGTTTCGGTCCATATTTGGTGACCATGTCCACATTGGTCTTAAACTTGCTTGGTGTGGGCATATTCTTGATTGTTTCTCAGCGCGTCCAGCAGGTTCGAGGCTCGCCGTCTTCTTTCGGGAACACAATCACCCAGGCTTAGGCCAATCAACAGTCGACCAATCGTTCCGCGCGAGCTGTCCTTCGTCTCAACTGTCCCAGAGCACCTGCAGTAGAACCTGGCACTGCGAGACTACGCGAGTAATGGAGATGGCGCAAGCCTTCTGTCTTACAACGGCAAATGAAGCGGGCGAACTGGCTGGAACGCCTGTTCAACGCCTCAAAGTCATCAAAATGAGCGTAGACCATTTCCCATATCCATTGATCACTAAGCTTACTACCAATACTACCGGGTCCTCGCACTTCCTTCCGTATTTTGTGCGTCATTGCGGTTGAATGGAAAGATCTTGTTGGCGTTCCTCGGTCCGTATGTTTGCTCTCCCATGGCTAGTACTACTTCCGCAACCGGTTGCTGTGTTTGCCTGTTGCAAATTGCTTCCGTTCCCTGTGCATGTTCAAACTGTGGAGTGGTGGGGGCGATGTTTGTAGGCCCGATATCGCGATGTGCTAGATTTACTCCGTTAAAAACAGCATGTTGGTTTTGTATCTTGAGAGCCAATCGATGATGTGGTATTCGACTACAGAGCATGCGATGCGCTCACCGCTTCTCCTTGAGCTGTGACCCACACGGCCTTTTAACCTACTGTGTACTTTCTGGCCGTCTTTAGCATCTTCCTTGGTGGATCAAGACTCTCTGTAGATCTGCCTTCTTAGAGAGACAGTGGGTCATGTCTTTTGACTTCTTTGCCGTTACTGTGCCGCGAGAACGCACCGCGAGAACAAGACCCGGAGTCACATTTGACATCCTGGGTCTCTCTACTATGAGTCTAGGCGTGTTGTGGCTACGTCAGGTAATCTCTGTCTTCCTCGAGTCGCGATATACCTGCAGAGCGTTCTTTCAGATAAACAACAATTCGACGGCGACGCTCACCGTCATGGTGTACCGGCGGGCGTGAAACTTGTTCTCCTGGACATGCTTGGTGTAAAGTGCCGCTCTGCGTATCCACCAAACTTCGTTGTCACACTGGCTTTTCTGGATCCCCGGCGGATCACTCCCATCTTGTTCATCCGCGGCTTCTGCACAAGTTTGCAGAAGTCGGATCCTCACTGCTTTTTCAGATACTCACCCTTGGTGATGTGTGCATGCATACCCGGCTTCTTGCGAAGGCGGGGTTCACGGTTTGCTGCTCTAGCAAGTTCGGTGTCCGGAAAGTTCTTGTACTGCACAGGTGCCGGCTCATCACGAGAGCCCAAATAAGATGGAGCGACCCTATACCTACCCTGTGCCTGCGCATCATTGATGTACTCTGCAAACTGAGGATATTGCATCTTGTCGAAGTTCAGCTTCACGTGGCCCATCTTGTTCAGCTCGTAGTATCGCGCCCACTTCTTCTTCACCCAATCCTCCTTTGGCTACTCTTTTGATTTAGCCTCTTCCTCGACCTTTGCTAGCTTTGCCTTGCGCTTGTCAATCATGATGGCTTCCTTCTCTTTCTCCAGTCTCGGTGGGTGATTGAACGACTTGGCAAAGCTGGTGATTGGGCCGCCAGCTTCGATGTCTTTTAGGAGGTTTCCTATCAGATAAGGCATGATGGATGTTAGAGTAGCGGCCGAGTTGAATGTTGTAGTGGGTTTGAGACGGAGCGTCGTAGTTAGGTAGGTCGAGATAAGAATTAACTGGAGAGCCTGTGAAAGATACTTTCCATCTCGGCACGCACATAAGTGAAAGTCATCATTTACGAATACGATAGAACACCAGCGAAGAGGGCCACGGTTTCCCATGACATTCCATGGGTTCAAATCTACGTATTCGTTCCTTGTAAGTTGTGCATCCATTCAAGGACACAGATATGAGCTACGAAGCAGTATTTGGATATAGTTCATAGCCAAATGAATAGAAAAGTATTCGACACGAAGTCTGAACCAAGCGTAGTAACAACAATTACATTAGAGGAACGACCTGAGTTGACGTCGATCGGACCCTTAAGGCCAGATTCCCTTGGCACTACCCCACACCAAGCTCCCACCGCCCTGGTGGCGCCTCTAAAGTACAGCTCCATAAGACTCGCAAACCTGCAATTCTACACCAAACACCCCAATTGCCCAATATGAAGCTCACAACCGTTCTTGCCCTTGCCGCGACCGCGCTCGCCGGAGAGACCATCAACAACGAGGTACCCACCCGCCCAAGCTCCTCCAGCCCTCAAGCTCGAGCGCGACCCTGCATACGTATGGTAGCTAACAGCACTACAGCACCTCAAGACCGAAGTCGTCACCGCAGTCGACTGCAAGCGCCCCACCATCGCCGGCGATAAGATCCACGTCCACTGTACGCTCCCCCTCTTCGGCCTCCCGACCATGACCTCATCCCTCCGTCACTCCCTCTGCACCTGAGCCTGATTTCCAGAGGATACCCCACTAACAACCCCCCAGACCGCGGCACCCTCGAGTCTGACGGCTCCGAGTTCGACGCCTCGTACAACCGCGGCCAGCCCCTCAGCTTCAAGGTCGGCAGCGGCCAGGTCATCAAGGGCTGGGACCAGGGCCTGCTCGACATGTGCCCTGGCGAGAAGAGGAAGCTGACTATCCAGCCGGACTGGGCATACGGCAGCAGGGGCGCTGGGCCAATCCCAGCGAACAGCGTGCTGATCTTTGAGACCGAGCTGGTTAGCATTGATGGTGTGAGCAAGGATGAGTTGTAGACGCGCTTAAGGTTTTAGGAAGATGCTGGAACGCCGTATATAAAACGAAACGACAATCAAAACTTGTATGCACTTGGACGTTTGCGTGTATGTGCTGTCGCGTGCTCGCAGGCTGTGAGAGTTTCTCAATGACACGAGACCTTTGTAATTGCTTTGATCGTGTATCCAAAATCCAAGGTGCCGACTAGGCTTTAGCCTTGCGCGTCTTCCTCGCCTTCTTTTTCTTCGGCTCCTGATACGCCGCATCCTCATCCTCATCCTCCTCGACCTCTGCAGGCTCTTCCTCCATAGCGGCCAGCGAAACAGGCACCTTTCTCTTTGTCCGCTTCGCATTTCCAGCGTCCACGGCCTCAGCACCATCTTCATCCCCCTCCTCATCGCCCTCATCATCCACTCCACCTCTCGCGCCTTCCCTTTCGGCCAATCTCGACAACGCAGCACCAAGCCTCTTCCCCGCCGCAGCCTTACCCTTCTTCTTCCCACTCGGCCCACTCCCCGCATTCCCTCTGACGCGCGGCGCAAATGCTCCAGCGCCCACACCTCCCTCAAAGAAGCGCGTGATATTCGCTTGCGTGCCCTCCTTCTCTCGTCTATTCATGTCCTTGATAACAGGTACTAGCACCTCGTCAGTGCGCTCGCTGCTCCACCCAATCTGGGCGCTGAGAAACGCGCGCAGCGCCGCGAGGTCGGGCACTCCCCACTGGAACGGCTGAGGATCTGAATCGACCTCTGGATTCAGGTACGCATCGGCGACGCGCGGATCCGGAAAGCCGGGGGGCAGGAACAACTTGGTAGCCTGGGATTTGCGGAAGCGGCGGCGGAAGGGGTTTTGTGCGTCAACTTCACGGGAAATGGAGTTGTTCTGCACGCCGGTCCACCAGTCTTTGAAGTCCTCGAGCTTCGGAAACTCGGAGATGATTTCGAGAGCGGTGACGGGGCCGATGCCGGGGATGCCAGTAGTGTAGTCGCTCCCGAGGAGCTGGGCGATGGCGATGAGTTTCTCGCGCGTCAGGCTGAATTCGCTGGTCAGGTCGTTGGACAGGTAGCATTCGACGAATTTGGCGGCGTTGAACATGTTCTTGTATACGCGAGTGCCGCCGAACAGGAATGTGTCAGAATCATCCGTGACAATGCCATCGACAAGGCCAAGGTGTACGAGCTCAGCGCATTGAGCTTCAGCTTCCATGGGTGCCGTGATATAGGGGAGACCGAACAAGGAGAGGAGGTGCTGGCACTCGGCGACCATGGTTTGCGTTACTTCATCGGCATCTCGCCTATCTTTCTTCTGTTGAGCGCGCAATTGCTTGAGCTCGGTCTCGAAATCGACACTAGTCGCAGCGGTGTTGATTTCTCGAGCAAAGCGATTGTGTTCCTCTGCTTCCGCGGCTAGGGATGCAAACAACTCTTCGTCTTCAGGATCAGAGTACTGGTCGGAGTCGTGTCCGGGTAGCTCGAGGGGTACGTTATCATCTACGAGTCCGCTATGTGGGACTATAGGGATCTCGAGATCATCAGGTCCTTGCAGGAAGTCAGGAGATGGGCTGCGGCGGGGCCTACGAGTAGTTGTAGTAATGGGAACGTCCTCGAAATCCGGCGAAGGTGATTTCGGGGCATCTGTAGCTTCAGTGTGCATGGGAACGTCTTCGAACTCAGGGGATGGTGACTTTGCTGCCTCTGCAACTGGCGCTGCTGGTGCAGATGATGGCTCGGTGGCCATGGGAACATCCTCGAACTCTGGCGACGGCGATTTTGATGGCAAAGAGACCTCTTTTGTGATCTTAGCCTGCGCTGCTTTTGAAGAAGTATTTGTCCCCTCCTCTGGCTCACTTTCCGACCAGTCTACTGGCTCCTCATCAGAATCATCTGCGAATGGTGTCTTCATCACCAGCTTTGGGTTCTGTTCAAGAGGTGCTCTTTGATCCTCGACAAGTGGTTTCGGTGGCTCAACTTGAATCTTGTCTGCCGTGTCATCTGTCCTAACCAGATCGTTCATGGTCAGCTTCTTTGACTGAACGGTATTCATTGGTACATCTTCCATCTCGACATCCTCTTCTTCGTCCGAGTCCAAGGCAATGACCTGCTTCTCTTTCTGGCTTTGACTAGGGTCTACATCCAAATCGATGACTTCCCTCGTTTCGTGCTTTCGCAAGCGAGGCAATTGCTGGAACTGGAACTGCTCATTTTCCTCCTTTCGGTCCTCCTCCCACCTTCGCTTCTCTTCGTTGCGATACTCGTCCAGTTCCTGTCCAATATCTCGCTCACCTTTGAACCACGGCGGTAGCGGTACAGACTTGTTCTTCGCGTCAGTGTCTTTCTCGAAACCACCTGCAGTTTCTTGCTCAATCTTGTCCATCTTCTTCTTGCCCAACAACGAGGTTCCCAGATTGAGCTTCTCGAAAGGCAACGGCCCATCGAAGCCGCCCATGTTCATTGTATCAGCTGCTTTGGCTGCTGCTGAAGGTGCAGGCCTCTCAGATGACGCAGCTGGAGGTCTCTGTGGGTTGGTCGACCGTTTGGACTGACGAGATTCAGCTAACGCTGCTTGCAGGTCCATGTCATCTCCTTCACTGTCGCTGCCCTCAAAAGGGCCCTTTGGAGCAAGCTTGTTAGCACGCTGATTGGCTAGTTTCCCAATGGCCAGTCCTCCAAATCCCTTCGCAGCTTTGAATGGATTCGACTCTTGAGCACGTTTCTGTTGATACTCTTTAAGGGGCGCCTGCTCCTCTGGCTCCTCTTCTTCCTCCACGTCGTCGTTCTGCTGCATTGAAAGAGCAATGGCTTGTTGCAGTTGCTCGTCTTCCGCCGTGTCACCTGGTGCTTCGAATAAATCGTCTTCAGGATTGGTTGGTACGTTCTCCCATTGCTCCTCCTCCTCGTTGCTCTCAGCCAGGAACAACGAATCCGAATCCTCCCTGACAGGAGCAGCTCTACGAGGTCGCGACTGGGTCGGTCTATCTTTTCTGGACTTGTAAAAGTTCTGTCGCCGCCTGCGCAGCTCATTCGATATGAATTCACGGCCCTCAACAGTCTCACGACTGGGACCAGGTTTTGGTTTTGGCAGCCTATTCAGGCCCTCGATAGGCACGTCCTCAAAGTCGTCTTCACTCTCCCAGTCCTCTTCGAGCTTTGCGGCCCGTGAGGGCAGGTCGACGTCGATCGGCTTGTGAGCCTTGCCCTCATCCTTGTTCGTCACAACGCCGAGAGCCCATCCTCCTTCGACGCCCTCATTCTTGACCAAAACGTATTCCCTGTTCTTGTCGCCAGCGATGCGGTTCGTGCCAAACGTCGTGTCGTCGTTCATACCGTTGAGATTCATGAGTCGTTGCGTGAGGTCACTGCGTTCGCGAACGCGCTCGATCTGGAATTTGGAGAACGCCATTCGATCTGGGAACATGGCATCAAGCTGATCCTTCGAGTAGCCCATTCTCAATCTACTTCTCAGTCGAGCAGCATTCAGGATGTTGTAGCGATCTGCAGCCGGCAAGCTCTGGAAAAAGACGCCGTCAAAGTCGATCTTGGAGAAATCGTAGACGTTGATATCCTCTCCTCTGTCAAATTGCCTCGCGTAGTCCTCGAGCTCCTCTAGCGACATGATCCGCGGGTCGTCGGCGCCTAGCTCTGCCATGGGCACACCAAGATCGGGCAAATGATATTGATCTGTCCTCTTGAACTTTCTGTTCTGTGTGCGCTCTTGCTGTGTCTGCAGAATCTCTTCTGCGTACACTAGAGTCTCCGGGAGCTCTTCCTCCTGCACCACCTCACGCGGGTGTCTGACGGCCTCCTTCCTTTTGCGCTCCTCCTCTTCAGCAGCCCTCTGCATCTGAATCGCCAGGAGCTTCCCAGCGGTTCGGACTGCATCGTCTCGTTTGCCTTCGCGACGGGACTTGCGGTGGTTGATGGTTTGTCGCTTGAGCGCCGGTGCGCCGCCATCGAACACGAAGACAGGCCTGATGCCGATAAAGAGGAGCTTGCATATCCGGCGGAAGAAACCGACAATATGGCTGTTGCGCAGCGCATTGCCCTCCTTGTCGCGCACAGCTTTGAGAAACTGGTAGATCCAGATCGAGGCGTCGACGGCGATGCGCCGCTTGTTCAGCGTCTCGATCTTGATGGGCCGCGCGCAGGGCTGCAGAACAGTCCAAAGGCCGGTGACACCCATAGCGGTACTCGATGGGGAGCTTCCATCTGTGTAGACGCGTTGGTGTAGTATGAGTCGAATAGGCCGCAGCGATGAGTGAGCGCGTCGATGACGTAAGTCGAAATCATTCGAACGCGGAAACACCTGACCAGGCCTTCGATGTCCGTCAGCAGCACAATAATATTAATCCATCATTATTTCAACAGTCTGTCTCAATCTATTAATTCAACACTATATCTGATCTTGAATTCTGCTGGATGCCATAGATTGCTGTACGGTCGAGCCAATTCAAGAGGAGTGCCTCTCTTTATGTTGGTTAATGAGCAGAGATATAATCAGAGTACAAGTAATCAACACTTAGAATCAGCAGTATGAATGCATTCTCTTTCGGTAGGACCGTGTTGCAACAGTTGCAAGAAGCCATTACACATTCCCCCTACCCCTCCCCCTGCACCACACTCTACTCCAAATTATCATAAATCGTCTTCTCACACATAAACCACGCGGGAATCAACTTTGGGTCCCCGTTCGGCAGAACCTGCCCCGCCAGCAGCCCTGCAACGCCCCTCTCGCGGTCCACCCACCAGAAACAATTCGCCAGCCCCATCCACCACAACGTGTTGGCGCCGCGCCCGGACGGCCCGGCCTCGATGGTCAGGAAACCCGCGTATGTCCAGCCTTGCGGCGGGTTGCCGGGCTGTGGGTAGAACTCGGGGGCCGCGTTGACGAGGAGCGGGTTAGCAGGGGGTGGGCCGCCGCGGGCGAAGTCTGGTCTGGGGGGTGTTAGTGGGTGGAGTAGTGTAAGGGGAAGAACGTACTGGTTGGGGATCTGGTTTTCCCAGAAGAGCTCAACGCTCTCGGGCTTGAGGATCTGCTTGCCAGTAGCCGCGCTGGTGCCCTCGTTCAACAGCGCTGCGAGGATCTTGACGTATTCCTTTGGCTTAGCGAAGAGGCCAGCGCCACCAGCCTGGTAGAATGCGTCTTGTTTCTCAGCAGTGTCTTGCATAAGCGGGCGGCCGTAGAAGTGGTCACGGACGCGCATTTCGCCCGACTCTGGGTCACGCTGGTGGATCTCTGCGAGGTTGGAGTGCGCGGAAGCTGGGGGGAACATGGTCGCGCCTTTGGTGTCGACGCCGAGGGGGGCGAAGATGTGCTCATTGAAGTAGTCGTTTAGGCGTTGGCCGGTGATACGCTCGAGGAGAATGCCGGCCCAGTCCACGTTGACCTACGCGGCTGTAAGCATGATATCAACGCTGGTGACTGCACAGGTACTTACGCCGTACTCCCACGTAGATCCAGGCTGGTTGACAAGTCGGGCGTTGAGAATATCGTTCACGTCGCCCGTTTGGCCTTCGATGTCGTTTTGTGACTGCAGTCTGGGATCGAAGAACACATATCCAAAGCCGGCGGTGTGCGAAAGGAGCATTCTCAGTGTGATTGGATTCTGCTGGTCGACACCATTGACGCCATCTGCGTACACTTGCTTCTTGCCGAGTTCAGGGGCAAGCTTCTTGACAGCCTCAGCGTCATCAAGACCAATCTTACCTTGCTCAACAAGCTGAAGTAAGGCAATGGCGGTGACAAGCTTCGTGCATGATGCAATCCAGAAAAGTGTGTCCTCGTTGATAGCTTGCTTGCTATCGATGCTGAGATTTCCCGCCTGGTGCTCAACGAGGGTCTTACCCGACCTGTCGACGGCGTGGAAAGATATACCGGGTGCGCCCGCTGGTCCTTCGCCAGTGACTGCGTCTAGAAGAGATTTGACGCCCTGAATACCCTGATCAGAGAGAGGCATGGTGGATAATAGACAATCAGAATTGTATCTTGTTTGACTATGAACTGCTGCGCAACGGCCGCTGATCCAGAGGGGTCAAGCTGCGGTACTTATATACGGTAGCGGAACGGATCATGACATGGCTGACCAGATGTCGACTTCAGCCGTAAGTATGTGGAGCCAGATTGGCGGCTACCAATGCTATACCATTGTCCTCTTTCTATGCAACCCGAGCAGCCCGAACGCCATTTGACGTTTCTAGTGAGCAGACGGTCAGATCTGACAGTGACCGCTCACACTGCTGATAAGACGAGGTCTTTGATTGCTTCCCTGTGTAGTTGGTATTTGAACCGCTACACTTCTGACACGGCTGTATGGGTCGTTGGGCCCTTCCAGCTTCAGCTCACGTACGGGTACCCCGCAGCGGGGCTTAGCGTCAGCTAAATGCGGGTTGGAGCTGCAGAGCTATGACCGCGCAAGTGGCCCACTCTGCAGTTGATCCTCAGCCAAGAGAGGGGGCGGCATCCGAGGTCTGAACTGCGCGGATGCCCGGCTCTCATGTTTCAGGATAAACGACGGACAAGTGAACTTCAAGCTGACCAACTTTAAGCTGACCAGCTTCAACAGCAAACTTGTAGCCATAATAATGATTAAAGCTGAAATTTAGGTAAGCGTTTCCTGTATTGTAAGCGGAAGCATTCTATGAAAGTTTCTTACATCGTTTCGTGGTGGACTTGGCTCACATCCTCCATCCGCTGTTTGTCCTGGAACATGAGAGCCCGACTGCTACTGACAGACTAAACTTGGCACACATCGATCCTGGTAATATGTATGCTCCTACTACTTGCGAAAGTGCATCAATGTTCATCTCCCTCTCAGTGTAGATATCACGCCCTTGAGCTCCTTGAGCGCAGCCATGACCAAAGGTACTGCGACCGGTCCCAGCAATGGTAGGTAAACAGCAACCTTGTGCTCATCAGGGAAGTAGACCTGACCGACCATGGATCGTTCGAAGAAAGCCTTCTCAGCCTCTACTTCTGCAACCCGGGCGTGCTCTAAAGCACTCTGGAACCGACCTTCTCGGAGATAGTCGCATGCTTGTTGTAGATGAGTCAAAGCGGAATCTACGGATTGAGCCACGTTGTCAGGTACAGGAATGGACGGCAGTTTCTGGTACACTTGAGCTAGTGCACCCAAGGTGGACGAAGCCGAGAAGATAAGCGATGCGGCTCGCACGCGTTCCAGTGTGGAGATGCGGAGAGGCAGTGAGGCAGGGGCTCGCGCTAGGCCAAACAATGATGTCAGTTGGTCCGAGAAAGTGTGCATAGCTGGAGCAAGGTCCTCAGTGGTCAAGACACTGGGTGTATCTGAGCCGCTTGGGAGGTTTAAGATGTGTATACCGCCCCATTGCGGAACCAGCCAACTGTTCGCTGCGCTCTCTTTCACCAGCAAAGGAGACTGGTTTGCATCCGGTACATATAGAATAAAATTCACAGTTGGTCCCTCACCAATGCTTGGGCTCAGCGGCCATTCAGCAGCATTGATGAAGCCGCTGAGGTCTTCCTTCCGGAGTGTCCAGGCCTTCAAGCTCTCGTCGTACTCTGGTTGGTGGATGGAGGGAGAGAAAGTTGCGTATAACTGGACCTGTGAATCAACAGTGAAGTTGCTGATGCCAGAGAACGACTCAAGCAATGGGTTCAGGTAGGACTGGAGGGCCGCCTCGATGTTCCAAGCAGATGGTGCGTATGAAGGACCAAACAACGAGAAGGTGAGGTGGTAGGTCGGTGCATACTTGAGGACCCTTGTCGACTGGCGATCCAGCTCGCTATGCTTTTCGGGAGAGAGCGACTTGCTCCGCGCAGCCTGTGCCCCGGGATGCGCAGCCAGCAGGTGTGCTAGCTGTGCCTGTTCCTCAGCGAAAAGTGTGTGTAGTTCCTCTGCTATGAAACCTGCGAGCGGTGAGGCGTTTGACGATTGCGCAGGAAGCTGGGTGGCAGAGTAGTAGATATCGAGCGTCGACGAATACGGCTGGAGGTGCGATCGCGGTGTCTCCCCGGTCTCCACTTGGATCATGCGAATCACGAGAGCGATGTCTTTGTCATCACTCCTGACGCTCGTTCCGTCGACAACGACGTCTTGAGAGGCGTTCGCAGTCCACGGAGATTCGGCCGGCATCAGGCGAAGGTGATGTGCAGAGAATTCATTACGGTCGTCGATGGCATGTTGTGTCAGTCGGACGAGCTGCGCGGCATCTTGGACGGGAAATGGAGCTTCGACGGCGATGCGTAAAGGGAATACTGGTTTGCAAATCTGGCCAGAGTCAGCCTGGCCTGTCCGGGGATTCCATACTCTGCACACCTTCCCTTCAGCCCAATTCGTCATGTCTTGCAGCGGCAGGTCCGCTCTGTAGATGGCTGTGGTCTTCCACCATACTGGCAGTCCTAGCAAGACGACAACTGCCCAAAAGGAGAGAATCGCAGCGCGGCGGAGCCATATGCTCTCCTTCGACTCGGGTGGAGGTGCTGTCTGTGCTTTCGTAGGCTTTGTCGTAGGGGTAGAAGGCTCTATGGTCGGCTCGGACGTGGATGGCGCGTCGGCCGGGTTTGGTCGTGCCATGTTGCGCGTGTTGGCTGTCAAGTTCAGAGCCTCTCTGGAGATTCGCGCTAGAGCACGGACCGCGGTCATGCCACTATCACTCGATGGAGCACCACCGACACAGTATTTGACATGATGCGAGACGCAGTTTGTGGGTGTTTTTTCTTGGTGTACAACGATGCAACCGGAGACTGATTGTAGTTACGCCAATGCATGCAAGATTGGACGGAAGGAGCCAGTTCATAGGTCAATTGGCATGCAGGCTCCATCCAGCATTGCCAATTTCTGCCGCAGCAAACCCACCCAATGCCAATTCGCGACACGCACATATGTGGTTATACCTGTGTCACACCGAGACGTCCGAACGGGCATTGACGTTTGGAATGAGTGTCCAGTCCAGTCACGTCAACGTGGAGACCCTCCATCTCCAATAACGCTGAATGTCAACAAGGAAGGGCTGTGTAATGATCGTCGACTTGCAGCAATATCTGCTGCTTCGTGTGGCGCGATCTGAAATCCTCGTTCAGCATGCTTCTGCTCTCCCGTGGATCATCCTTGACATCCGTTCACATACTTCGGATGCTCGGTGATGTTGCCTCAGGCAGTGCGGGCCGAGCGCTTTCATCACGCTAAGACGGCCCTTCACCTGGCGTGCCGCCCCACTGAACTGCAGCGCTTTGGGCTTTGTGTGGCTCTAGCCGTGCGGGGGTGCGTCGCTCGTTTCTGGGGTAGTTCACAGTGACGCGACAGACGAGCAGGTGACACTCAGCCGACCATACATAACAGTACTGCCCCGCGCGCTGCGGTCTTGATTCATCTTCCACACACGACACTTTCGTCTCAATCCTTCACCATTCCACTATTCACCCCAATTCTCGTTATACAAATCCCACCGCAGATCATTCAAGATGAGTGCAATCGCTGACAGCACCAATGGCCCAGACGACAAGGTCAAGGTGCTGTTCACCCTCTTCCCTGGCTACAACACCCTCGACGTGGCTGGTCCACTCGAGGTCTTGAGCCGTTCTCTCGAAAACCCAAAGGACAAGAGTAAGCCCTCCGCTTGATCGAGCTCACATCCTCCTTGTGGCTGCATCCCTTCTTGAACCTTCGCTGACGCCAATTCCAGACAGCAAGGCCTTTGAGTGCCAGTTTGTTGGCACCCAAGCTGCTATGACCTCTGTCCAGGGTCTCACCATCAAGGCTGATATGGACTACGATGATGCCAACGACGAGCTCGAAGACTTCGATGTCATCATCGTCCCCGGCGGCGAGGGCATCTTCGACGTCCTCAAGAACAAGACCGAGCCCCTCAACCTCCTCACCAAGTACGTCGAGCTGCAGGAGAAGAACCCTGCCAAAGAGCGCACCGTCCTTGCCATTGATGTCGGTGCTCTCTTGCTCGCTCAGCAGGGCATGCTCGAGGGTCTGGCGGCCACAACACACCCAGACTACTACGTGCGTCTGGAGACCATCTGCCAGGACGCTGCGAAGCGTGACATGTCTATGCGTACCGACGTGATGGAGGAGCGTTACGTTGTCAACAACGCCCGCTTTGACCTGGGCGAGAACCCCGATGACAACCCGTAAGCATCTATAATACACTTTCGTGGTACGATTGCTCACACAGGCAGATACATCATCAGGAAGGATCGCTCGGGAGACATCCCTGACGGCACCACTACTCAGAATGGTCGCAGGATGTCCATTGCCCGCAAGGGCAGCAACGCTTGGCGCGACTCTCGCCGCCGCGAGTCCATTGCTAGGCGCGCCTCCATGCCGCTGGGCGGTATGCGTATCATCACCACCGGCGGTGTCACTGCAGGCCTTGATGCCAGCCTCTACCTGGTCGGTACCTTGGCCTCCCACGACTCGGCCCTCGAGGTTGCTCGTGTCATGCAGTACACGTGGGTCAAGGGTGTCACGGTCGACGCGATCGATGTTTGAGCTTCTCGATGAAGCGATGTATTTTACAGAATTGGACTGAAGTGTACCCGGCGAGGTCACCAGAAACGAAATGTCGGGGATCTGCAAGATTTACCACGACTCGGAGGAACATAACGAAGCATCTACGAATGTCAACAATTGAAATGATCTGATCACACCGCACTCCTGCTTGTTTATCTGTGAGTCACGTACCATAGTGTCTTAGCCGAGCACTGTTCTCAATTCGAAGCTCACCACATGTGCGTTTGTAAGCATGTCTTGCCATCAAACGCTTCGTGTGCACTGACTGACCGTTTAGCGGGAGCTCCACAGTACCTGTAAGCATGCTTTCGAACATTGTCACTGGGTAGACTATAGGGAGTCTAAGGCGGCTCCTATTCTGGATCGCCTGCTCGCTACATGTCAGAAGAAAGACTCGGCTAGAAAACCTCTTTATGATCTAGGCTAAAAGTCAGCCCAAGGTTACATTCCCTGAACAGACATGGAATGGCAAAATTACTCCATGCTTTCCGTGGGAACAGTCGACAATGACTACCCGCCCTGCAGCCTGGTCACTCATTAGTCTGACGTGACACATACCAGCCCTATGCTGGGCCGATCGATTGGGTAAATGATCCATACGGCATGTACGAATAACATGGCCTGCCCAATAATACGCGAGGGGAAGACACATCGGTGCCTGCACAAGCATCTCCACACCGAGCATCTGCAGGTCGTCCAGCCGATCGTAACCTCGACCATACGGATTCACTGCAGGTCTTCCGTCGGGCATGCTGCTGCGCGCGGGCACCGAGCTGCAAATTCACGCATAAGCGATGCACGCACCTTGCGTATCGGTACCACGAAGTGATGCATCAGGGTTCGACGACGGATGCTCCCGCCCCATGAGCGACTTACTGACTCGACGCAACGGGCTCTTAGCTTCGTGAAGATTTTGCAGCCGCAAACAATAGAGAGAAGTTCTAGCTTTGACTTTCCTGGCTATCTTGAAGCGCCTGAACAGCGAGAAATTTGCAGCGATGCTCAAAGGATCTATCGCGCACATTGGATCCATGAATGTCAATACATTCTCTGGAAATGCTTCTCCCTATCTAGTAATTAGGGCTCCAATGCGCATACATGTTAGGCAATGTAAACATGAAAAGCAGGGCCGATCTGCAATCTGCAGTGACAGAATGTGTGTAAGGATGCAGCTTGGAATCCGGAATACTGGATCTGGACGCGGCAGATATGCGCTGCCGCATTGCAACACAGCAGCCACAATACCTGAAATGAAACGCGGTACTCCGAAGATTGTGGGCGTCGTACAGGAGACGTCGTCGAGCAGGAAACACTGCGATTGGCACAACCAAAAAAGCTTGTGGATTTGTCGCATTTTGGGGTGGCTGTGTATCACGTGCAGATATCATAAATCGCTCATCGCTAACCTGCATCAGCTACAAACATGACATCGACACAAGGAAATTACGCTACACGTGCAGACACGCGGCGGCATTCCTGATGCGAGCACGATTGACACATTGCATCCGCCTGCTTGACATGTATGAGCCATTTTTCGTCGAATCCCACGACCCAGGCTGGACACCGCTTTGTACCATGGCACCGGTGACGCTCAAGACAGCAATATTCTTGCCTGAGCCTGACATCGGCGAACGACCAGAGTCGGGTGAAGCGTGGGAAGCACGTGTTTGACACGGATGCAGAGCCCCTCTGGAACACAATGCACTGCCTTGAAGGAATATCATTTCTTATTCTGGGAACTTGTATAAATCGCTCAGTCTCACTGCACCTATGCTTGCTCTTACAGTTTCTGCTCTCTTCGGTCCTACATTCTCAAGTCTTTCTCCCTTCCAACTCCACGGGTCTGCTGTGAAACAGCCAGTTGCCCAGTGCGACCGACCCCTTTCTTTCGCGAGCGATGGACAAAGAGGACAAATCAGCTCAGCGGATCCGCTTCGATACCGTTGATGAGGAAGCAGGTCCTGGAGCGCATGAGCGTGCGCTCCAGCGTCATCACCGTCGCAATAGTATTAGCAGTCTTTCGATTCACAGTGCAGGTGGCGGCACAAGAAACGTAGACCCCGGTACTGCGCTGCCTATCACCTACCGTACGCTCTCAATCGAAGTCGATGAGGAGAACCAGAAGAAACAGTCTGAGATCAAGCGCGCAAAGGAGAAAGGCGCTGTTGACCTGACTGCTCTTGAATGGTGCGTCTGACGAGCAAATTCGATCTTGATACAGCTTACTAACCATTGTTAGGCACACTCTCGCTGTCGATGAGCTTTGCCGCCGCTTCTCTGTCGATACCAGCCAGGGCCTCTCGGAAGATCAGGTCAAGCGACGGATTGCCGAGCATGGCAGGAACAAGATGTCACCCCCTCCATCAGGCCTCTTTGGCAAGATCACGGGCTATTTCTTTGGAGGCTTTGGAAGTATTCTCCTCGGCGCTGGTATCCTCGTCTTCATCGCGTGGAGGCCTCTTGGTAATCCGCCAGCGGTAGCCAACTTGGCGCTTGCTTGCGTCCTGATCGCTGTCTGGCTCATCCAGGCTGCTTTCAATGCATGGCAGGACTGGTCTACGAGTCGAGTGATGGCTTCCATTGGAACTATGCTTCCTGATCAGTGCATCGTTATTCGCAATGGTTCCCAGGCTAGTGTGTCGGCACTTGACCTAGTTCCTGGAGACATCATTGTCATCAAGCAAGGAAACAAACTGCCTGCCGACATTCGCTTTGTCGAGGTGTCCAGCGATGCTATGTTCGATCGCGCCATTCTTACAGGTATGTATGATGACTACGAAGTACCAGCAAAGCTAACAACATCCAGGTGAATCGGAGCCTGTCCATGCCACAGTCGACGCAACCGAAGACAACTACCTCGAGACAAACAACATTGGTATGCAAGGCACACATTGCATTTCCGGCAGCTGCATTGGTGTATGCGTCGCTACTGGTGACAGTACAATCTTCGGACGTATCGCGAAGCTTACGTCGGATCCAAAGACTGGCATGACGCCTTTGCAGAAGGAAATCCTTCGCTTTGTGCTCATCATATCGACTTTCATCACAGTGGTGGTTATTGTTATAGTAGTTCTTTGGTATGATGGCCAGCCGTTGCGCATATCATCACTGCTAATAAAGCTACAGGGCGGCATGGCTGCGCAAAGACTACCCAGGCTGGATCGATGTTCCTCTCCTGATCGTGAGCTGCGTGTCGGCGGCAGTGGCCTTTATACCTGAAGGTCTCCCGATTGCTCTTACCACAAGTTTGACCATCGTTGCGAACATCATGAGGAAGAACAAGATTCTGTGCAAGTCTCTGAAGACAGTTGAGACCCTTGGTTCGGTCTCCGTCATTTGCTCTGATAAGACAGGCACGTTGACTAAGGTGAGCTTCTTGTTGACTGTAACGACGATCCGCTAACAGTTGCTAAGAACAGCATGGTCGTCACGGACATATATGCTGGAGGCGAAGAGTACACACCCGCAGCCGCTCGCGATCTCATGGCCGCCCTACGATCCGAGAACAACCTCGCTGCTCTCTCTAAGAAGAGGGAAGACGTCATCGATCGACTACGTATGCTTGCTGGTCTTTGCAACTCTGGCGAGTTTGACGCTGCCACTATGCACCTCCCCATTGCTGATCGTAAGATCAATGGCGACGCGACCGATCAGGCCTTGCTTCGTCTCTCTGAGAGTCTTGGCTCAGTGGCTGAACTCCGCCGTGATTACAAGAAGGTCTTCGAGATTGCTTTCAACAGCAAGAACAAGTTCATGGTTCGGCTCGTAAGCCCGGCTGACAAAGATGCGACCGGTAACAACACGTGAGTACCAAGTCGCTCACTATCTTCGTAAACATAGAGCTAACATTTCCAGTACCCTCATGATTAAGGGTGCGCCTGACATTCTGCTCGGCCGCTGCGATACTCTTCTCAACGATAAGGGCGAGACTGTGCCCCTTACGCCAGCTCAAGTTTCCCGCATCGAGCAAATCAAGGACGACTGGTCTCGTCAAGGTAAGCGTGTCATTCTTCTCGCGCAGAAGCCAACTGTTGCCCCTTTCTCTACCAATCACGAGAAGGAGGTCCTCGTCGCTGCTCGTCATGGCCTTACCTTCGTCGGTATGGTGGGTATCGTCGATCCTCCGCGTGATGAGATCCCCGATGTCGTTCGAATCCTGCGCGGTGCCTCCATTCGCATCTTCATGGTTACTGGCGACTTCAAACTCACGGCACAGGCCATCGCAGAGGAGTGCGGAATTATATCCAACTCGGCAATCGTCGACGACATCAGCGCTCTCGGTCGGGACGGCAAGATCGGAACGACAAGGCAGGCTATTGTCTTAAGTGGACCAGAACTCATTACTCTTAACGATGCGCAGTGGGACCAGCTCTGTCAATACCAAGAGATCGTTTTCGCACGCACAACACCTGAGCAGAAGCTTCGCATTGTTAAGGAGTTTCAGAGCCGCGAAAACATAGTCGGTATGACTGGTGACGGTGTCAACGACGCACCTTCCCTGAAGGCTGCCGATATTGGTATCGCCATGGGCAGCGGGTCAGACATCGCTATTGAGGCTGCTGACATGGTTCTCCTTGACTCGTTCGCCGCTATTGTGGAAGCAGTACAATACGGTCGCCTGGTCTACGACAATCTCAAGAAGACGATCGTCTACCTACTTCCAGCAGGCAGTTTCTCTGAGCTCTGGCCCGTCATTACTAATGTCGCGTTCGGTATTCCCCAAATTCTCTCATCCTTCCTCATGGTAGGTGCCCTCCACAACACTTACAAGTAAGGACACAACTGACAGTCATAGATCATCATTTGCTGCCTTACCGACTGCGCAGCTGCCATCACTCTCGCCTATGAGAAACCCGAAGCCGACGTGATGCTCCGCCCACCCCGCAACCCCCGCAAGGACCGCCTTGTCAACACCCGTCTGATCTTCCACGCATACTTTGTAGTCGGTCTGCTACAGTGCTTCCTATCCTTCACCATGGCGTTCTGGTACCTCGAGACGCAAGGCATCCCATTCAACGCCGTATGGCTGCGGTACGGGGAATACGAAGAACCCTTCACCGCAGACTTCATCAACGACAAAGTCAACACTGCAAGCAGCATCTACTTCGTCACGCTGGTGGTGATGCAGTTATTCAACTTGCTTGCTACGCGCACTCGCCGCCTGTCGATCTTCCAACAACCGCCGTTGTTCAACAAGGAGACGCAGAACTGGCTGCTGTTTCCTGGTATGCTGTTCGCGATTGTTGTTGTGTTCATCTTCTGTTACATTCCCGGCCTGCAGAACACTATCGATACGCGCCAGGTGCCCGTAGAGCACTGGTTCTTGCCAGCTGCGTTTGGGTTTGGCTTGCTGATGCTGGACGAGGCGCGGAAATACTGTGTTAGAAGATGGCCGCGGGGGCTGCTTGCGAGGATCGCGTGGTAGACACCATGTAGTTGAGAGAACTGGCTGCATACATCAAAGAAAGAAAGTAGATAATACCAGAAGAGTACCTGTTCAAAACACTCAATATGCTCATCAAAGCATTACACCCCCTCCACTCATGCGACCAGTTTTGCATCTGGCGCTCGAGGACGAATGTTCAGACTCCCTAGCGGAACAAAATTCATCATTCCTATCCACAGCCTCAGGCAGAACTCTCCAAGAAGACAGTGTGTAAATAGCACCAACGTTGTAGTCAAGAGATACTTTCCCAATCCATCTCATGTGTAAGCTGCCCCAGCCCCGAACAGGAAGCCACCCCGACCCCGCACTTCCCTCTCCGCTCCACACGCCATCTGATCGCGCCCGCGATGTCACTTCGCACCGCTGCACGCGACATGTCCAGCCGGGGCCTACGCTCAAAATGGGTGTGGGCTCGCACGCGCGGCGCTCGCGTGGCTCTGAAGCCCTGCATGTGCGACACCGTAGTGGTCATTCTGGTCATGACTCCATATAGATCGGTATATGCGAATTCTCGACCGTGCGCGCGTTGATGAGGTGAGATTTGATCAGACCAAAAGGGGACCCATGGTCTTCAGGTATTGTTCTTAAGGCTTTTTCTGACGAGAGTGTGTGCACTTGAATGGAGTTGTTCAGTTGTAGTTGGACAGCTTACTGGTTGCAATAAAGATGGTTTGCATCCTACAAAAGATTTGGGTGCAGAAACGTTCTCTCGTTGTGGGGTGTTTCTGACCTCGGTATACTGGGGAGGTGACATGCGCACAGGACGAATAAGGACGTTGATCGTCGAGCAAAGCGGACTTACTGCTTTGTAAGTCAGTCTGGCCTGGCAATTGAGAAGATTGGGTGATGTGTAACCTAAATCCGCGCTTCGAGTAGTCTTCCCGAAAGTGCGCACGCGCGCTGCTATACCAGCGGAGCACAGGTCCAGGTTTTCTGGAGCACTCAGAGTGGCGAGCCACTCATCGTCACACATTCGAGACTCACCCTGGAACACCTCATTCTCCAGTGCGAGGCTACACAGGGCTACTGCCAGCGTCGACAGCACGAGCTCTGGCGTTCTATCAGGAGGTGTTTGCACGCTCACTGTGGAGACCTTGGGATGCCTGTTTGAGCTCATCTTCCGCTGGAAATTTGTCATGCCAACGACCATTTAATCTACTCTTAAACATATCACGGACTTGCTGGACTATTCTTTTCGATACGACCAATGGCAGTCTGTATCACTATGGCAAGGAGGATAGTATGTTCAAGGATTCTCATTTCATGACCTGTTGACCAGGAGAGAGTATGTGCCTGAGGGCTACTGCAGACATGGGAGTAATGATCTCAGTGACAAAGGATATGCATATAAGACATGGAGGGCTGTTCAAACTCTATCTTTTTGTGCAACCACACAGCGATCCCTAGCACGGGCCGCAGATATGTCTCTGACCAGATCCATTGCGACTCTTCCCCTGTTCTGGCTCTGTGCTACAGCTATCCCAGCTGGGCCTGGCTGGTGGCCAAACGGTACATCGTCAGAAATAGTCGAAAGCGACTTCAATGTCGCCACGTACGGATTGATTGATACGTATGATGGCACGAACTGGCTGAATATGTTCGACGTTCAAGCTGTAAGCGAGCAATTGAGACACGTCGACTTGACTGACATGGGAACAGATACCTGATCCCACACGTGTGTCTCATGAAATCTCTCGCTAATGTGTACTGACGACTCCCTCAGATGGCTTCGTTGAGTATGTCAACGCACAACAGGCCCAACAATTAGGTCTTCTTCGAACACAGGGCAGTCAGGTCTATATGGGAGTTGACACCACGTCTATACTCAACCCCAATGGCCCAGGGCGAAAGAGCGTTCGTATCCAGAGCAAACGAGCTTACAACCAAGGCCTCATCATTGCGGACTTCGCACACGTCCCAGGTAGCAACTGCGGCTCGTGGCCAGCATTGTATGACCCCCCCCCCCCCCCCCCCCCCCCGCTGCTGTACAAACTCTAACAGATCCAGCTGGATGGTCGGTCCCAACTGGCCCAATCAGGGCGAACTCGACATCTATGAAGGCGTACACCTAAACACCTACAACCAAGCAACCCTCCACACTTCCCCGGGCTGCACCCCCTCCGTCGGCCCAGGAGGCGAGACAGGCCGCCGCGTCGAACACGCGGATTGCGGTGCCGGCGGCGGCTTCAACGGCTGCGGCGTCGTATCCACCAGCGCGACCTCGTACGGCACGGCATTCAACGCCAACGGCGGCGGCGTATACGCCACGCTTTGGACCAACTCGGGCATCCGTGTGTGGTACTTTGCAGCACGCGATGTGCCCGCCAACATCCGCAGTGGCAGCCCTGATCCGAGTACGTGGGGCACTCCGGCAGCAAATTTTGGACCAGGTTGCGACTATGGCGCGAAGTTCAGGGACATGAGTATCGTGTTTGATATCACGTTTTGTGGAGATTGGGCTGGGGGGGTTTGGGGCCAGACGTCGTGCGCGCAGGTCAATGCGAGCTGTAGTGCGTATGTGGCAAGCCAGCCGCAGTCGTTCGCTGACGTGAGTACTGCCTCTGCTCTGGCTTTCTGTTGCAGTGTGCTAACACATATGTAGAGCTACTGGTTGGTTAATTCCGTGAAGGTGTACAGCGTATGAGGATGAAGATGGGATACGCACTCTATTCTCTGTATAAACGGTTAAACAGTTGGGTATCGTTTCGCTGCTGAGTTCACAATTCCTCCACTACTGTCTTCAGTGCCTCGATCTCGCCTTTCTGCCACTCCGTGACCTTGCCTTGCCATTTCTCCCCTTTGCCGCCCCCCTTAGCTGTTTTGACTATATCCTTCACCTTCGCTGATAGGTTCGCCACCAGCTCTGCGTTTCCGGTTATGACCAAAGAACCAGATGTTTTGGTGTCGCCGGTGCATACGACGGCAACACCTTTGCTCTTGAGTGTTTCTCGGAGCTCAATGAGAACAAGGTTGATGAAGTCCAATCCGTCGTCAGGACGGTGCGAGAAGGCGCCCACAGCACATTGCAATGTCTCCTTGATCTGTTGTGCCTCATGTTTTGCGACATCCGCTAGTAACCTCTTCTCCCTCTTTCTTCCTTCTGATACCTGCTCGCTAAGACCTTGTACTTTTGCTGCGATATCTTCAGGTGCGGCGCCGGACGAGAGTGACACGGCGATGTTGCGGAGACCATTGATTGCACTGGTGGCCAGATTGATTGCCCTATCTCCGGCGGTGAAGTAGAGGCGACAGTTGGTTCCTCGAACCGACTGTGTATGGTGCAACATGATCAGACCAATATGTGACGTCTGCTTGAGATGTGTACCGCAGCACGCATTGTAGTCAAGATCGCCAATCTTGATAAATCTGATCACACCTTGCTCTCCATCGTAGTCGGCTGGTAGTGTTGATGATACTTTCCCCTCTGGTGTCTCGACCGTGACAGGGAGGTTCTCGCGGATGACCGCATTACATTCTTGTTGGATCCTGACGATTTCTGCGTCTGTGGGCTTCCGTGATAGCTCAACGTAATTCATATCTCCTGGCTGCCCCATGCTCCAGCCCACTGTGGGCAGATCCATTCCGTCCATAATTGCGGAGAGCAAGTGTTGGCCCGTGTGCTGCTGCATGAGGTCCCATCTTCGCGCGTAGTACACCGTCTGCCTAACTTTTGTGCCGATTTCCAAAGGTGTATGCGAGAAATGTATACACCTAAGTCCGTGGCGCTGGATGTTTTCAATTGGTATGGCGCTCATTCCTTTGACACCAAGCGGCGTGATGAAACCGTGATCTGTATGCTGTCCTCCGCCCTCCGGGAATAGGACTGAGTCAGCAAATTCTATCATCCATGTTTGCTGTGATGTCGAATCCGAATTGTTGCTTGTTTTAGACGGATCTGTAGATTTCTTCGACTTTGCTTTGCCGTTCTGTTGGTTTCCTTTCGGTGGTATGTACTCGTCGCACGCTACAACCTCGGTTTCCAGTGTCTGGAGATAAGAGTCTTTCTGGCATGACAGCGCGCCCACCACGCTAGGTATAGGGGGGGTTGTCACAGTTATCGTCATGTTCACGCGCTTTAAGATGTACTTGGAGGTGACTTTGAGATATCCGTCGAGTTCGTGAGTTGGAATGGTACGAAGGTTGACTTTGGAAGCCAAAGGAAGACTCGCGTGATGGCTCGTGCATTAGCCGAAGATCAAATTTTAATCTGTTCAGATACGTCGTACCCAACGCGATCTCGATATCCCTTGAGGAAAACGATCAATCCAGATTTACCACCTTCGACGATTGCCATCCCTTCCCAATCGAGAATAGCTGAGACTGGCGAGGCCTAGATTCAGATCCCTTCCACCAATTAGCAAACGGCGCAATGCGATCCGTTCGTAAGCAATCCCTTTGCGTCATTTTGACATGGAGAACCATCAATATACTCTGAAAGTTGAGATACCTGGCTTCAAGAAATCTGCTGAATTCAATTTTTGTTGCCAGCGTCTCCGTTCAATCAGAAGATAACAACAACTGCGTCGTGGCGATTGTATTATCGATGACGTAATTAGTTCCGAAAACCGATGTCGCGATGGATACATGTCGGCTTTGGGAAGCTCCACCACCCCAGCATTGCTGCAAGACATGCCATTGCCGACTCATGCAGCAGTGACCCGCTTCGTATCCTCACTTTTACCATTCAAAGAGAACGATGTTCCACTCCTTTATCATGTGCCACGAAGACGCCGATATGACGCCGAACTTGCCTCCGTCGATCGCATCGTTGTTTCGATAACTCCCACGCCAGGAGTGTACCCTTTCATAGGGCACACCGAAAACGACCGCCCGCCGCGTACTCTATGCTTCCTTCATCGGCCCTGGCAACTCGATCGCCGTGCAGTACGCGGTAATACGCTTGTACTCTCGAGTCACACATCCTTTGATGAAAACCTAACCGTGGGATGGAACCCGTCGTTAGCAATACGGCTGGGGATGACGGAAGAGAGTTGGTTCTGTGTGAAGGGCTATAAGGGTGACGCAGAAAGAAAGATAGGCATTGTAGGACCGGTCCAGATTCCACGTGATACGATCCTTGATCGCATACAGAGAGAATTTGGCCATACGGAGCTGGTACAAGAGGGACAATCGGACGAGATACGTGTTGTTGCAATTATGAACGCATTCAACGAGGAAGAAGTGCTTCGGGTGCTCGAAATGGCACAAGAGCGCGCGTTGGTGCCAAATGCGAGCTCCGAGACTCGAGGACGGCATGTACTCTACCTTACAGGCCAGCCTCGTGAGAGCGGGATGCTGGCTGCGACTGCACTAGGCCTGACAGTCGCCTGTGTTGGACATCGCACGACTGAAGTGTGGGGGATACGGTTCCTAGCCGCAGCCTTGAGGACAGCGTTTCCCACCGTGGCCGTGGAAGAGATTTACGAGGAAGAAGAGCCCGTAATCAAAAGACCTAAGCAAGAAATAGTCGCACCTATATCGACGTCCGTAGAGGTTATGCAATGAAGAACATTGTACCCAATATGCACCCGCACCCCTCAGTTTCCGCCCATCGGGACAGCGATATGTCTCTCCCCATATATGAAGACTCCGGACGTAGCTGGGCTTGAATCCACCGAAATCAGGGGACTCTAGCAAAATCATAAATGTGTAGCTGCGTGACGTACTGCGAGTTTGTGGTATATATGAAGGTTTGAGAGTTCATTGGCTCCAGTTGGCAAGGTCCAGCCACCTCCAGGCTTCAAAGGCAGCATTGCAGTGAACTAGACGAGAACCATACTTCATACGCCTACTGCAAGCTTCTTCGAGCTACGAGTGTTCCCTTAATCTGTTACCTCCGATAGACTATCGCAAGTTTCTTCAATATTTCTGGAATCACGATCTCCACATGCACTCGCCAAGCATGATGTTCTTAGATCGTTTGTCGAAGAAGCTGAATACTAGTATGTACGTACGAGTCCTATCAAAACAGTTAAGTACAGAATGAGGCGTGTATCATTGAAGGGCCGAACAAAAAGGTCATTAGTCTCTATAATCTTGCCCTTGTTCTGGCGAGCTTCATTATTTGCTTGGACGTATTCAATTATGGTTCATTCACAGGAGAGTGGCTTTGGGATCGAGCAATGGATTGTGGCAGTTGGAGCGGCTGAACTAAGCACCATCCATTTTCAACTTTCCTAATAGCGGGAGTCCTTTTCAGTTCGATAGAGCTGTACTGCACTCAGATCGGTCACCTGACAAAATGCCAGGAACAGTGAAAATCTTTATCGAGAGTCTTTCTCGTTATAATATATACGCTTGAATAGAGCTATTCAGTAGTGTTTCAGCTGAATGTAGTATATGCGAAATGAATTCAGTCTTGGTAAATTAGATAGTAAAAGCTACATCCGCTAAGCAAGGACTGATGTGCTCAAACGAATCCGCCGAAAATAGATACAAGAAGTGAATCTACATGTCCTTTGTGCAGTGTTTACGGACAGCGAGATCATTATACGTCCTCAGCTAAACTCATGACCGTGTATCCTCGGTGACTACGCCTAACCCCTGAGCTTTAGGCTCAATTGCATTCTCTGTCTGAGAGCTCTTCGGTGTGTGATGTGGTGAAACTCGACAGCTCGGTCCAGTAGACAGCTCTGAGTACCTATGATGGGTCTCGGATCTTGAATCGTCAGCAGGAAGCTCCGAGTATCTGTTGGAAGGGCCAACGTCTGCTTCCATCTCCTGAGGGACGTCTTGAATGTGAGCCCATTGCCCTTGCGAGTAAGAGTTCTGGGCGTAAGTGTTGACTTTTCCTGTCGGCGCTATGCTTTGATAGTATTCTCCGTTGGTGGCAGAATATGTTGGTGGCGCTTTTCTATCGTTAGTAGGGATGTGTTTGATTGCTTTTCAGGGCACTTACGTGACTGGGCAACAAATTGAGGCGAGTGAGGGCCAAATGCTTTCCCGCCGTCTATCATGGGGCTGGCAACTTCCACAGTTTCACCTCGTGCGGTTCGTTGACTTCGTCTCCTGCGGCGGAAGACGAAAAATAAAACAAGACCGATCAAGACGACAACTGCACCACCAACTGCACCACCAATGATGACGCCTTTCGATACACCGCCTCCCTCAGCACTCGTGCTAGGTGACGTTTCACCTTGGCCAGCTGCATAGAAATTGATTTGCGCGGGTTGATCCAAGAAAGCCGGTACCAAATCGCCAGCAAGGCATGCTGGGGGGCTGACGGCGCATGGAACTGATTTGCAACATCCCCAGAAAGTGTTGTTACCACCTGGAGCGCAGGTGAAGAAGTCGCTGTTGGTACCACAGGTCGCGTCAGGAAACTTCCCATAGTTTGCTGCAGGAAAGGCCGCTGGTCGAATGTTTCCCTGAGCACATCCTGTCGAGCATGGATCTGCCGTGCCCGCGCAACATCCTACAAATTTGGACGATCCAGTACCTGATGGGCAAGCATACCTGTGAAAGTCAGAATAAACTCCGAACCACAGTTACTCATAGGAGGCGTACCATTCACCACCGGCCGGACAGGTGAACTCGTTTGCCATTGTAAGATTGACTTGCGCGTACGCAAAAATACTCCTTGGATGACAAAAAGACGAAAGAAAGACTGTAAAAAGAATGACGGAGGGTACAGAGAGAAACCGGCGAGAGAAGTGGGTCATGATTACTGCTGATGTGATTACAAGTGGCACAGCAATAGTGATCTGAGGGCGACAACGAAGGCACGCCTGAGGTGCCAACAGGAAGGAATATACACCTTGCACAAGTGACCTAATCGACGTAGCATCCCAGAGACATTTGCGCACCGCCATTATGCTCATAGGTCCAGCTTCCACCGAGCCTCCACTGAGGAGGCCACAATCACAAACACGGTGTAGCTGTAAGCCACTCCGTGCGTCGGCTGAGTTGTTTGCTGCAATCTTGGTGTTGCATGGGGCGCTTATTCCACTTGAAGGTAAGCGGTAGTGAGCATTTAGCACCCCGTTTGCCGGATGCGGTTTGGTGTGGGCATGCGCCGCACGCCCCGACCTCAGCTCCTGTCGGACTGCGGTCATAGCAGAAGTCTAGTAGCGCCCAGAAAACGCCTTCTATTGCTGTGAGGAATGGAACGACTGTACCGATGGGGCCATCACGATTACCTCCATCTGGCGTATATATGCGGCTCTTCGTGAGCGTTTTCCGATGACACCTCGCGGAGTTACAGACGCGCTTACATACGGGAGAGAAAGCATGGGATTACGATTTCAAGTTGCAGGGTCTTAGAGACTCCTCAGAGACGACCTGGCTGTGCCGAGACGCCTGGCCTGGTGTTGGCAATCCGTCGGCCTCGATAGCTTGGGGGCTGAGGGCCAAACTGCCCCACGCTCATGCAGCCTGCAGTCGGAGACGAGAGGCGTAAGGCTGAACGCAGTTAAAATAACATCAGGTCGGGGCGCAGCTCATAAACGAGATTGCCAGTCAACAAATACAACTTGAGTTGAACAACATCTTCGAAGCATCTACGGAGCGGTGGTTCTTACCAACAGCGCTTGCTTGTTGCTTGTACCACCGGTATCGTTTCGACCTTTCACCTTCCTGAAGACAGCCTTCTCAGGTAGCCTCCTTTTGAAGCCAAGAAGCTATTTTGACTCGAGATATGCAAACAGCTCGCGTGCAGCGTCAGAGGGGCTGCGCGCCAATGACCGAGCATACTAAGCACGGCGCAGCTTTTATTGTCTGACCGCCTCACGTGCTAATGTTGAGCATGAGGCAGGAGCCGTAGCGAACGATCGGACTGACTGAAGTAATGTACTGCACGATGTCCGATATCTGCCATATGGTGTAGGAAGATTGGAGGTGTAAATATTACACAACTCCCTGAGCGCGTACCAAAGTAGCGCACCCGCACCCGCACCCGCACCGCTGAGGCCCACTTGCCGCCTCCAACCCCATAACAATATTCTAAATGTTGTAAGTATTTAAGCTCAGTCTGAGCAGAACCTCGCATTAGGCCACTCCGCTCCAGTCGCGTCGAGAATAACTCTCGATCTTATCAAAGGGCTTGCGCTTGGTGCCCAGAAGAGGAAGACCCACCCACCGAACTCGCTCACCTACGATCTATCACGAGCGAAGCCTTGCTACTATACTAACGAGACTTACACGCTTGCAGCCGTTCAAGCGGACAGGCAACGTATTGGAGATTGCGTGACCTTAGCCAAGTACCACCTGCCGGCGAAAGCGTTGACAAGCACTCTGCCTACCAGGTAGGTCGCAATTGCGCATCAACAACAACGCGGTTTTTCACAAGGGCGACCAAAATGAATATGGTCACCACTTCGCCATCAACCAGCACGGCCAACCAAAAGCAGGCGTACACTTTCTGATGATTTTAAGATATTCAGCGACGAGTTCGTGCAGATACTTGACTTTAGGCCATATCGCCCAGAATTCGCTATCAAGTACTGTAATAGGAACGCAAGTAGTGGTCTTAATTCAATAGACTTGATGTAGACTGATGGTTGCGCACAGATATCTGGCGCAGACGGACGCAATGTCGAAGTCTGATGGCATCGCACCTCAACATCATAGACCCTGTCGCCTCGAGAAGTGAGTTGGTGATCACATGCAAATGTAACGACGCAGGTAAAGGTGCTCTCTCGCCTGTTCAGATCGTGAGTTCGTAATCTTACCCTGATCGTCTCTCACCTTGCTTGAACGCTGCTAGCACTATATATCAGCCGCTTCGACCAACTTCGACCAACTCCTCAACCACCCCTTCTGACATTCTGTCCCACATCTCTTTCATCAAACATCGTCCAACAAACCACCACGATATGCAAACCGAGCTCACCAACGACGCCGAGCGCGCCGAGCAAGTCGAGCAAGTCGAGCAAGTCGAGCAAGTCGAGCAAGTCGAGCAAGTCGAGCAAGTCGAGCAAGTCGACAACCCAGACGCCGAATCAGACGAGGAGTACGAGCGGAGGAGGAAAGAGCTTGGGCCTGGTGGATTTGGCCTCTTACACGACCTAGTGGTCCCATCAACTCCTGTTAGGAGGGCATACAACCGGATACAACGAGAGAAGGCGAAGTGGTGCGAGAAGTTTCAGCATCCAAAGCTCATATACGAACCACCGACAAGGACGTTCAGCTACGACTACGTACGGAATCTCCATGGCACCATAAGAACCCTGCAACGAGAGCAACAGCAAGACCGAGCAGAACTCCAAGAGCTCAGAGAGAGGCTGGCGCAGACGAATCAAGACAAGCGAGTGGAGCGTATGCCCGTCGACTACGAAAAGCTGGAGAAGGTATACTCGAGAGTTCTCAAGATGTCTCAAGTACCCCTTCCGAATTTGACAGCAGGCACTCCGAGAGAAGCCGAGAGCCTGGATATCTGGAACGATGAAGATGATACACTTGGACCATGGTTTGATGAAGCGGAAACGATGATCACGAAGATGGGGAAGGCGTTCGACATTTTCGTCGATGACGCCATGGACGAGTCGGAATCCTCTCAGTGATTAACTGAACTATTGACGAGCTCGACACGCCGACGGCGGTACCTTTTGAGCTGGTCGATGGACAGAATGGTGGATTGGAGTCGAATGGCGGTTGATGGACAAGACGTCTGACGTCAGAGAGGAATCTAGGCGGGTTCGACCTATTCGTAGTGCTTGGTAGAGATCACGAGAGAAGCATGGTTACCTACGTGTCGCCTGGCTCGAGACATTGAGAATGACAACACTGGGCATGGAGGTTGCAAGGACATCGAAAACTGAACCAAGATTATTTGATAGTCTACAGCTGGAGTACAATACAAACGGAATCTGAAAGAGCGAACGTCTAGTGATCTAAGTCTAAGTATACATCTACTTGCGCAACTTGCCACTTCTTGTGCTCCCTCTCGCCACGCTCTCGTGGCCCTGCGCCTTGACACTTCTCCTCTGCGCCATGATCTGCGAGTACTTCTCCGGCGTAACGCGCTCCTCGAAATCCTTCTTCGTGCGGATCTTCCTGTGCTTCTTGCCTGCAGCAATTGCTTTGGCGATGGGCGGCGATGATGCCGTGGAGCTGGCTGATGCAGATCCCATGCTCAATGCGGGTGTAACGACTGGTGTGTGCAGGAGTTCTGATGGCGAAGTGATGGTAGGTGTGCGGGGTCTGACTGGCTCTGTTGTGGCCCGCACACGCTTCGCAGACACTGTCTCGACTTCGACATTTATCTCGCTACCTCTCTTGCGTTTCTGTGTCGCCGGGATGTTGCCTGGAGAACGGCGAGGCTTCTTGGTAGGGGCTGCTTGATTTGTGCCAGAAAGCGCAGGTGGGCTCTGCGGGATGTCCGACGATAGGATGGAGTCGTCGGTTGCGGCCTTGATGCGGCGAATCGCTGATAACACTTCAGGTGCTGAATTGGACGACGGACTATGACGAGGCTTAGAGGGTGTTGTGTTCACAACCTTGCGGACATCATCAACGATGTGGTTGATGTCAGGTAGCTCAGGCTCATGCTCTGATTGTTCCACTTCGGATGGCAACTCGTCCGCGGGACTGACTTGCGGGCCAATATCCAGTCTCTCGAGGAAGACTCGTGGAGCGTACTCGTACTCCCCGTCCTCCCGTCTGGAGTCGTTGCTACGGTTGAACGTATCGACAGCGTTGCGGAGTCTACCAACAGTACAGAACTCATTGATCATCGCGATATGGTTCGGGTCAGGCTTAGTTAGCTCGAACCTTGAGCCGGACTCGTATCGCTTGAGGTGGTTGAGGCGTTTGAGGCGGGAGTCGTTGAACGACACACCATTGAAAGTCACGGGAGCTTTGTTATCCATGTCACCTGTTGTGGCAAGATCCCAGTGGATTCTCAAGCTCTCCCACTCAGCCATACGGATGGTCTCTGGGAATGGCAGAGATCCTGCGGTCTTCTTGTACCAATTTTCGGGGTGGTTATCAGGACCTCCGTAGAGATACGTCCTCTGCAGTTCATCCTTATTGCTATCCTTCTCATCAAGTTGTACAGGTCGGCCGTCAGGGGTCGTAGGCTGGGAATATTTGCGATACAGAGCACTCTTTGCTGCGGTGGCATGGTACTTGGGAAAGGTATGCCCGTAAGAGTCATCGTCTACAGCATCCTCGTACTCACGCATGACATGGTCGATCTTTTGTTTGACGCGACGGCACAGTTTTCTGTCGCAGTCGTAGTTGTAATCCGCTATCTCTTGTATAAGACTTTGGTCGATGCGCTGAATACGTTCCATGTATGTTGTTGGCGAATCGCTGCCTCCCTCTGTGATCACATAGTGGTGTGCTTGTCTCAGCAAGCCATCCATCTCCTCACGGTCTGGCATCTCCTCGTCGCTGGATGCATAGTCGTCTTCCGGGTCGGAGAGGATGAGCTCGGGAGTCTGAGCGACTGCGTGAATTTGATTTCGGGCTGTCATGCTGAGTCTGTCGGATTGAATTTAGGCAGCGCGCTGGGTATTAAACGGATACGGTCCTGTAGGGCTGGCAAACTTGCAACCGGTGAAGCGGAATGATTGTGAGAAAGACAAACAGGCGCATGCGAGATTTATTTCGTTGAAGCAAACAGCCTGCCTAAAATAACCCTCTCATTGTTGTCGGACTGAACAAAGCGCACAATAGAACGCCTTCGTATGCGCTATCTCCTTGCAGTTGCGCCTCTGCAGTGAAGCAGCAGATTTTCTCTTTGTACTCAACGAAGCATGTCGAACGCGGCCGTGCGCTCGATTAAGTTGCGGATGTCACCATGGTCGTGTTTCAATGCTAGACCTTGCATGGCGGCCATGCAGTTGAGGGTCGTTGTGCTACGGGATCCACGGTCTTTTGAGACTTTTCAATATCGTTGGATAGACAACTTAGATGCGGTGTAGCACGACGCCTATGCTGGGGCTGAAACAATGGAAAATGAACGCTGATATCGGGAGTGGAAGTGAAGAGACAGGGGCCGGAGGGGGCCAGGCATTTCTTTCATCCTCAGTGCCACTACGAGTAACTTCTCACAGCCACAGAGCCCGGGTGTGGTCCCTTGGCTAAAATTTGAAGTCCCGTCGATTTTCAAAAAGGCAAACCTTCGCGAAGGAAGAGGAGTGGAGGAAGGTGACCGACGAACCGGCCTCCGGGTGCGTATCTAGCTCGCTTGCTATGATGTGGGGCAGGACATTCAGCATGTCATCGCTTGCATCGCGTATCGCGTACCGATTGCATCGTCTGTCTTACATATGCCCAGGTTCTCGCGATGAGGGGAAGCATAGAAGTGGAAAAGTGCATGCTGAAGATGCTAGGGTGTAACGCCATGCTGAGATGCCTCGGCTCGCGCAGCATCACCGAACGCGTGTCACTTCTCTCTCCATCACTCCAGTTAACATCAGCACAGAGGCTGGCCTTCCTATTTCGTTGCTGACATCTGCTTCCTTGCGCATTTCTGTCCTTGCGTTTTCCGTGATACCCAAGTTCTTCGTTACATCCGCGACCTCTCATTGACTGTCTGCAATGGCAGGTTAGCAACTACAGTCGTAACCAAAGAACGAAGCTGACGCAACGCAGGCCTCCCTCTCGCAATTCCTGCTGCCGCTGCAGGTCTCGCATATATCAATGCTCGCCATGGCATCAGCTATGACTGGCCGCTGCTCTCCTCCTTCATCCCAGCGATGCTTGGCATAATTCGCGCCGAACGCCGCGACCAGCTCAATGTCTTCTACGAGCTCGAGGCGCTGGTTCAAGGCTCCCGCGCAGATCACCCGTGGATTATTTTCCAAGGACAGACATGGACATACAAGCAGGCCTATGACATTGTCTTAAGATATGGCACATGGCTGAAGAGCAAGGGCATTCAGCCGGGGGAGATAGTTGCTATGGACTTTGTAAACTCAGAGACATTTGTCTGGGTCTGGTTTGGGCTGTGGAGCATCGGTGCAAAGCCAGCGTTTATCAACTACAACCTGACAGGCAAGTCCCTCATACACACCGTTAAGACGTCGACAGCGCGCCTGGTGCTCGTTGATGAAGAGAGCAAGGCCAATTTCGCCGAGCATGTCATGGTAGAACATGGGTTCTCACCTGTTCCTGCGACGACAATGGGCGGCAGAGAGGCTCATTACGACTTCGAGATGGACCAGAGTGAGGTACTGCGCTCAGTCAAGAGCCAGGCGTTGGCACAAGTGCAACAACAGGGCATCACTGCCACGCCCCAGCAGAAGAAGTTGGAGATTGTGTTCTTCGACAAACAGCTTCAGGAATCAATCCTCATGCTCCAACCGACCCGCCAACCCGACTCCTGCCGTGCTGGCCAGAAGCGCAACAGTATGGCCATGTTGATCTACACAAGTGGCACGACTGGCTTGCCAAAACCTGCCGTTATGGCGTGGGGCAAGTGCAATGGTGGAGCAAAGTACATCTCTGGTTGGCTGAACATCAAGGACGACGTGTTGTATACTTCGATGCCACTCTACCACTCCTCCGCTTCCATCTTGGGAGTATGCGCCGTTCTTCGCGCCGGCGGTACCATCTGCCTTTCCTCCAAATTCAGCCACAAGACCTTCTGGCCCGAGGTTAGAGCGAGCAAAGCAACAGTCATCCACTACGTTGGTGAGACCTGCCGCTACCTGCTCTCTGCCCCTCCTTCTGCTCTGGATCGAGCGCACCACGTGCGTGCGGCTTTTGGCAACGGTCTTCGTCCTGATGTCTGGGAGCCATTCAAAGAAAGATTTGGCATAAGAACCATTTACGAGTTTTACGCAGCCACAGAGGCGCCAGGGGGGATGTGGAACCGCAGCGACAACACGTTTTCCTCTGGTGCCATTGGCCGGAGCGGGACTCTTGCTTCCCTCATTGTTGGTGGAGGCATGTGTGTCGTACGTACTGATCCTGACGCCGACGGAGCGCAGCCTCTTCGCAACAAAGACAGTGGTCTCTGCTATGTGTGCACTTGGAATGAGCCTGGCGAGCTGCTGTACCAATTGGACCCCGCGAATATCGAATTGAAGTTTCAGGGCTACTTCGGTAACGACGGCGCAACAAGCTCGAAGATTGTCAGAGATGTAAAGAAGCCGGGGGATGCATACTTTCGCTCTGGTGATCTCGTGCGCCACGACAAAGAAGGGAGGTGGTGGTTCGTAGACCGCATTGGAGACACTTTCCGCTGGAAGTCTGAGAACGTTAGCACTGCCGAAGTCGCAGATGCAGTGGGGCGACATGCTGCAGTAGATGAAGCAGCTGTCTACGGAGTCCAAGTCCCCGGTCACGACGGGCGAGCTGGCTGTGCTGCCGTGGTCCTGAATGCATCTGGATTGTCCAGGTCAGACAATGCAGAGAAGAGTATTGCAGTCAAGGGAGAAGTGCTGGAGTCCCTCGCAGCGCATATCACAAAAGAACTGCCTGCTTTTGCGAGACCAATTTGGATTAGGGTCACCAAGCAGCTACAAACGACAGGGACAAACAAGCAGCAGAAGCACGTGTTGCAGAATGACGGGATCGACGTACACGCAGTCGAGCAGGCTGGTGATGCGTTGTACTGGCTCAGCAAGGGAACATATGTCCCGTTCACGGCAGAGGAACACAAGAAGATTGAAGGTGGGGGAGTGAAGCTGTAGACCTGATGTAAGGTTATATCATCTATCAATTCCATCTCGATGACTACGTGTCGCTATGTCACAATAGCTGTGTCCCAATCTCGATTTGCGTCTGCTTATCTATCATCACGATCGTCTACGTCGTTTGTGTTCTGACACCGGCCGCTTCAAGTCAACAAGTACTGTCGTTGAAACATAGCGGACATGGCCCATGGCTCTGTGTTAGACCAGTGTGGTCATAACTGAACGTCGAGCGTCAAGACAGTATATAGCATATGCTTTACATTCCATGTCTCGATAGAAGCGGACTAGGAACAATTGGCACTGCCTTTCATTTGTTCTTTCGCTGTTCCGTTAAGAAGGAGAAGGTGGATTGCCTTGCAGCTTCAAATGTATACAGCGATGGCAGGTAGATAGGTATGCTATGCATACAGAACCCCACATGTAGTCAAAGACGGTCCGATGCAGACACTCGGTTGCATTTAACCCCGGATCACTGTGCACGGTCGCTTCGAGAATCCTGTTGTATTGATATACGGCAAATATTGTACAAGGTCCATCCAACTCGTCGTTCGTCATCGATCGTAATCGCATCGCATAAGGCGGAAAGACACCGTCCAGTTTGGTAATCAGAGATGCTGTAAAGCGTCCGTTCTTGTAACAAGAAGGGTGTGCCGAACGCGGTTGTCATGCAGCCCTCCACAACCACCAGCGAACCACTTAGGCCCGGTAAAGGGAGAGTTCGAAGGCAGGTGAGGAGGGTTGCTCAAATTAAACACGCTGAGCTTTCATCATCTGTGATATGTTAGTTGGGGTAGTAGGGGGTGTGCGCGTGGGGTGGCTTACAGTAGTTAAACTGGAAGGATGAAGAGGAAACGAAGGTTTCGGATGGCGGAAACTTTTGTGGCAGGCGCGCTTGGGCCAAGTCTTGGCGGCTCCGTTCACTTTTTGATCAGTCGATGAACCATCATCGTAAACATCAAAATCAGGTAGCGAGCCACTAAGTCGTTCGTTATTGAGAGATGAGTCTAGTGCATGCTTCGAGGCACGTTGCAGGTCGAGGCGCATGTCGATGGAGCTCCTATGCTGAGATATCTCGATTTGTTCGAACACGCCCTCACAGCATCACGTTTGGTCGCGCACAGTTATGCTCACGGGTAGCGACTCGCTCCATAGCGAGCGTCCAGCCCAGCACGCAAGCACTATCGCCAGAGCAGAAGCTTCGCAATGCATTGGATGATTTCAAAGCTTCAAGTATGCAAATTGTCAATTATCACCTCCTCTTTACTCACGTGTCACAGCACTTCAATCCTGGAGACACCTCGATGATGAATGGAGGGTGCTACGATCGGATAGCTTAAATCATAAACAAGCTGGTCGAGAGGTTGAGATCACGGGCTACCTGGGCACACGACGAGATATAAGTCAAAAGCTGTCTTTCGCCATGCTCCGCAGCAAGAATCAAACATGGTGCATTCAGATTGTGTCTACAGGTAACGCTGAGGGCGAAGAGGCAAAGGCGCATAATCGCCTCCGGACCTTGAGAGAATGGACACCGGTCGTTGTTCGAGGCAGGCTGCTAGGGAGAAAGCAAGCCGACAGCGATACCTATCTTGGAATGAAGATGGTCACAGATCGGGAGATTTCGCTGACAAGCATCACTCCTCTGAACGAGATGCCAAACGACATCATAATTAAGCAAGACACCGTCTTCGGGCCTGAGCAGCGACACCTGCAACTGCGGACCGACTCCGAGCTGCGCGAGAACATTCTCATGCGGCACAAGGCTATGCAAAGAGCGCGACTGGAGCTGACGGCAAATGGGTGGAGGGAAATCGAGACCCCCATCCTGTTCAAATCCACTCCTGAAGGCGCACGAGAGTTCCTTGTGCCAACGCGGACTAAAGGTTTGGCATACGCACTTCCCCAGAGTCCACAGCAGTACAAACAGATTCTGATGGCCTCGGGCATCACCAAGTACTATCAGTTCGCACGCTGTTTCCGCGACGAGGACCTGCGAGCCGATCGACAGCCAGAGTTCACGCAGCTCGATATGGAGATGTCGTTTGCGGGTGAGGAAGACATGATGGCCGAGACCGAAAAGCTACTGAGAACGCTGTGGTACAAGATCCTCAAGCAAAAGGTGCCTGAATCTTTCCCTCGAATGACCTACCAGGAGGCCATGGCTTCATATGGATCAGACAAGCCTGATCTGCGCCACAACTCCAAGATCCACAACATCACCCAGCACCTGCCCGCAGACCTGATCGGCAAGATCACGCCCCTCGAAGACTCTACTGTAGACGCTATCAAGATCTCCATCTCATCTGACCCGAAGGTCACACGGAGATTCATCTCCGACTTCCTCGACAGCTCCGAAGGCCGCCCCTTCCTCGAAAACCCCGACGGCCAACCCGGCGTCTTCGTCGGCGACCACGGAGCCCCCATGCAAGGCCTGGGTCCCCTCGGCCACCAGTATCTGATGGAGGGCCCAACCGACCTCGCCATCGAACACGGCGACCTGCTGGTAGTGCAGGCACGCCCCACCGCCCCCTTCGCCGGCGGTGCCACGGCCCTCGGTACCCTGCGCCTAGCACTCCACAAAGCAGCCATCGCGGCAGGCCTCGCCCCGCCCCCCGACCCCAAAGACTTCCGCTTCCTCTGGATCCACGACTTCCCCCTCTTCTCGCCCACGACTGCCTCCGAGCCCGGCCAGGGCGGCGCCGCCGGCCTCGCCGCAACACACCACCCCTTCACCGCGCCCAAGACGCCCGCCGACGTCGAACTCTTGCTCACTGCCCCCACGGATGCAGTCGCTGCACACTACGACATCGTCGTCAACGGCGTCGAGCTCGGAGGCGGCAGCCGCCGTATCCACAGCGCCGCCGTGCAGGAATTCGTGTTCCGCGACGTGCTGTGCATGGCGCCGGAGCGCGTCGAGGATTTCCGCCACCTGCTCGATGTGCTGAGGTCCGGGTGTCCGCCGCACTGTGGGCTTGCGCTGGGCTGGGACCGGGTGATGGCGGTGATGTGCGGGAAGGAGAGTGTGAGAGATGTCATTGCGTTTCCGAAGAGTGGGAGGGGCGAGGATTTGGTGGTTAAGAGCCCCAATCGGCCCACGGAGGGGCAGTGGGATACATATGGGCTGCAGGTGAAGCAGTAGGGAGTGGGGAGTGAGGAGTGTGCCTGACTGTTCGGCAGGACGGGGCTTTCCATGTAATATGTATATTGCCATGTACAACTATTGTTCAAAATGGAACTTGACAAGATTACGCCGCTTTTGTTAAGCTTCAAACGCGCATCCTAGAAATTGTAGCTTAGTCACAACATTTACTGCAACATCGGGCAAGGATGATTGATAGTTTCAACATAAGTTTTTCTCATAGAATATCTATGCTTGAACGCCTGAACGGAGGTGTCCAAGTATAGTTCCGTGGCTTGAATGGCTATGATAGACATCAGTTAGTTCCTTGAAAAGGGCTAAGTGACTGGTCGGGCGTGTCTGCGTGTAGAAACGACCAGGCTCAAATTTCCAGGATGCGAACGTGAACATTGGAAAGCGAAGCGTGGATGTTGCCAGGTGCCGCGCCTGGGTGCAGTAAATTCACATTAGACAGTCATCGCGCACACGCTTTGCTTCGAACACTCCCGCGAACTCTGCACATCTCCATTGGGTATCACAACTATCAAACTGCGTGCCAAAACGTCAATCAGCCCGTCCCAGCAAAGAAAAACGCCCGTCTCTTTTCGCGCGCCTGCTCTTCCGAGGGCTGCTCGTTCTTCGGTCGTCCCCTCTTGCCCTTCTTCTGCGGCGGCTTCGCGACACTCGTCTGCTTCTCCAGAGCCAGTGGTGGCGGTGTCGACGCTGTGGATTTGACAGCTTCTTTGATCGTGTCGCGTGAGAGGCAGAAATCAATGTGCGCGTTGAAGGTGCTGTCGTCGGGTGGTTGAGGGAGTGTGCAGATGGGGCATGTCCATTGCTCGTCTGCGACGGGGGGTGGTGGCACAGTCGTCGTTGGGCCGGTGTCGTCTTTGATGTGTGTTCGTTCGTACTCTTGCGATAGTTGCTCGAGCTCGTTCATCTCGTCGTTGCGCTCTCGGGCTGCGGCCTCTTCGAAGTCCTGTTCTGGCCATACCTCCCATTCGCCACCGGTTCGGTTGACTCGCTTTTTTGTTGGCGCACTTCCATTTAACCTGCTGCGTCCGAAGAAGTTGATTCCAGGCTTCTTGGTACTGATGATGTGCGTGACTCTCAAGCCCATGAGCCGCAGCTTCATGTTTGGGATTTCCTTCATGAGCTTTTCCAGCATCGGCAGGCCGTACCTGTAGAGGTCGTCCGCCCGCTGCACTGCAAACGGCGGTGTTGTCTGGCGGGTGTGGACTTCATACGTGGCAAGCTTGATCTTTATGCATAGGGTTCTGCCCTTGTATTCGGTGCGCTTTAGATCTCCCTCCAGTTCGTCAGCGACCCACCGCAGCTTCTCACGTAAGGCGTCTGGCGACCCCAGCTCCCTGAATGTTGTCTCGGTGCCGACACTTTTACGATGTGATTCTTCGGGCTGCTCGATCTTAGTGCGTCCGAGGCCGAGGTAGCATTGCATCAAAAATTGGAATGCTTTCTGACCGAACAGCTGAACTAAGTAGCCGCGATGGGCATAGATATCCCCACATGTCTTCACGCCAATTGCATCCAGTTCGCGCTCGAAGACGCGCCCAATGCCGTTGACCTTCCGTGTCGGCATCGTCTTCATAAACTCCATGATGGTCTGTCGATCACTGGGCAGAAAGAACTGGCCGTTAGGTTTGTTCTTGTTCGAACCAATCTTGGCGAGCTTCGCGTTGGCAGCGATTCCTGCAGACACAGTGATCTTTGCCTTCTCAAAGACTTCTGCCCGTAACTGACTGACGGCTTCTTCTGGGCTCATATCGTGATCAATGCAGTATTGTGTAAGGTTTAGGTAAGCTTCGTCGCAACTTGCACTCTCGAAGTTTGCATCGTACAGGGCCAATACTGCGCGGACCTCCTCTGCTTTTGCCATGTACTTTGGGAAGTTCATAGGCACACAAATGAGCTGCGGGCACAACTTCATGGCAACAAAACCAGCCATGCCTGAGCGACACCCAAACTTCCTCGCGTGGTAGTTGCAGGTGGTGAGCACGCCCTTGCCTACGGCCATGGGTACGTGCTTCAGCTCAGGTCTGTCCAGCTCCTCCACTGCAGCGTAGAAGGCATCGCAGTCGAGGTGTACGATGGTCTGGCTCAGATCTCGACTCAGCTCTAGCTCGGCGATGTAGTCATCCGCGCGACGCAAATCTGACGAGATGTCAAGCTTGTCTAGCTCGGCCTTCTTGGCCAAGATCTTTACAATCTTTTCGGTCAGATTCTTGTCCTTCACTTCTTCGTTGTTGAAGAACTTGGAGCCCTTGGAGGCGTTGTATATGATCTCCGAGACTTTCTGCTGGTCGACCGTGTCCTGCCCCGCCTTGGTGAGCGACGGCCCCAGCAGGTGGTACTTCAGCGAGTCGTGCTCGTTCGAAGCAACGTCTGGCTGCGGAGACTCGCTGGCCTGCGCTGCTGCCCGCATGACGACGGTGCTCTGCCGCAGGGCTGGCGGCGGTGCAGGGGTGTCGGTCGGCGTGGTCAGGGTGGGAGGCGCCGCAGTCCCGGACGCGTCGGTTGGCTCGGCGGGGGCATGTTTGGCGGGCGTCACGTTCGAAGAGCGAGTCTGCGGGAGCGGGGGCGGGTGCGGCGGTGAAAGGATAGACCCGGGCGCGCTGCTGGTCATGTTAAATGCGACGGCATCGTGACCACGGCTGTGGAGCTGGTATTGCCTATGGCGAGAGCGTGGCTTGACATTTGATAACGCGCTACTTGGATCCTAGCGACGCTAGCTATGCAGGGCAAGCGGCCGAGAATCATCAGGGATCAACCAGATCCAAAGGACATCATCAATCACACCACAACAGACACAGTCCCCGCCCAAGAACCCCCTCGCTGACTCCTCGAGCGATGGATCCGATTGCGACAGCACCAAACACACACGAACAGTCATTGTAGCGCGGGGTAACCTCGCACGCCTCCACCGCCAGTCCACCGCCTCCGTCCGCAGAAACACCAAACAAGCAACCGTCATAACAGCCAACCCCCCAGCAACCGCTCCATCGCCACCTCCTACGGCCATGGTCCATCTGTGCACTGGCACCTCCTCCCTCACATAACACCTCCCCGCCACCTGGAGGATGCCCATCGACCGAAACACCCCAAACAACTCGCGGCCTCTGAAGCCTACGCTCGCTAGCACCCGAACCGCCGCCGCCGCCGGGAAGACGCCTGTCACCCCGCGCCTCGCCCTCGCGCCCTCGTCGCCATCCAGCAGCGTCTCGCACACAAGTCGCACTGCGCGCAGCGCCAATGGAGTCGCTCCGCGCCTCGCTGCTCCCATCAAGGAGGACTCCGCCAAGTCCTTCCTCAGCATCAATGTCACGCCGCGCACAGCGACGCGCAAGTCGCGCGTAGGCGTAGGCAGCAACTCGTCCACGCCAAATGCCTCACCCGGGTCGACCCCTATTAGCTCGCGCCCCTCGTCCATGGTTGATTTTGCGCATCGGGAGCACGGTTCTGCTCAAAGTGGGCCTTTAATAAATGCAAATCACAGACCACGGAGCACGGTGGGGAGCAGCAATCACAATCTAACGCCAACCCCCCGGTTACCATTATCGAACATCTACAACCACACGCCGCCCGAGACAAGCCAAACGAAAGATGCCTCGTCTATGTTTTTCCATGTGAACAGTGTCAGGTCGCCAAAGGAGTCGGCGCCCCCACCAAAGCCGCCGCAGAAGAAGCCTGCAGTCTTCTTTCACGCAAATGGGAACCAGGCTAACAGCCCGCGGAGGCCTTCCATTCCATCGCCACCGTCCTCGGCAGTAAGTAGGCCGTCCTCGGCACTAGGCAGGCCATCCTCGGCTGTCGGCAAGGCGAATTCAAGTGTTGGAAAGACGCCATCCACTGTGAGCAAGCTCCAGCTGGGGAGCAAGTTTCTTCATGCCGACTCAACACCGGAAGTCAGATCTGCGCCATTGTTGAATCCAACAGCTGCTACGGTACCGGATCTGCCGCCAAATCCAACGACCGCTCCGCAGGGACCCGTGGCTCGAGCACCTTCGCCTAGCAAGGATTGGGGACACTTGTCGTACCGCAAGGGTGCCTCACAAGTGATTCGGCCGAACCTACACACGCGCAACTCGGCTCTATCCGTTCTATCTGGCATTAGTGTTGCAGAGGAACCCGACGACTCGGGTAGGCGGTCCAGCATTACTTCGTCGCTCAGCAGGCCCGGTCATTACAAAAGCGCCAGTCTTTCTTCGATCGACTCTGTCGCTGATTTGAGGAGGGTCCCGTCCCACGAGGCCCGTAACGCTACACCTAGTCCCGCTCATCACGGTAACCGTGCCACCAGCAATGGCACATCCCTGTCCGATAATACCGCGCCCACGCCGTCGCCGTTAGCTATCAGCCAGAATGCTCTGCCCTCACCCGGATTGACCAGCCCCACGAGAATTGCTGGAGGTCAAACACCACTGGAGTTGATGAATGAGCTTGCAGCGAACGCTCGACGAGAGCGGAAAGTGCTGGACCTTGAAATAAGCAATTCGTCCCTACTCGCGATCAATCGATCGCTGGAGAAGGAGATGCGTAAACAAAAGGCCGAACTGAAACGCCTGCGACGAATGAGTCGCGCAGGCCGCTTCTCGATGGACGCTCTTGGTTCGACAATGGATACATTCACAACCAAGAAGGCAAGCGACCTCTCTGACATGTCTGAAGTGGAAGAAGAGGAAGATGAGATGGAGGAAGCGCCTTCGGAGGAAGATCCGGAGAGCAGCGAGTCCTCCTTCGACGGGAGTCTGCAAGGAAGCAGCGTCCAAGCAGAGCGCGACGAAGCCTATCGCCTTAAGGACGAGAAGCGTCTTCAGCTGGACCTCGCCAAGCACCGCGACATCCTCATGGACAGCCAGCAGATGAACGAGAGCCTGAAGCGCTGCCTCGGCTGGACCGACCAGCTCATCAAAGACGCCCAGAAGGCCCTCGACTACAAAGTCAACATCAGCGACGTCCGCCTCGGCGGCCGCGTCCTCGTCACCGAAGACGATGAAGACGACCTCCACCAAGACGAAGCCCGTGGCCTCCTCAGCCCCTGGAGCCCGCCCCAGCGCGCTGCCGACTCACTCGACCCTCCCGTCCCGGACTTCGCACGCGCCGAGAACCGCGACAGCGGCGTCGACGTCGGCCGCCTGAAGCACGACCACGAGCATGATCTGCCTGACGACTTCGAGCCCCTTGGCTCCCCCTTCGGCGACAGACTCGCGTACCTGCACGCTGGCATCGACGACCTCAACACATAAACTCTTTTCTATACATATGCATGTATTTCCTTTGTCATATCGAGCATATACCAGGCGCACTTGGACCGGCGCGCACTTGTTTCTTTCCCTTTCCGGCGCAACGGGCTCTCCTCTCTGCCGCGACAGCGCTTCTTGAATCATGCGCTGCTTTCAACTCGACTTTTGTACTACGGGCGAGTCACTGCATGGCCGCACTGGCCGTGGCCACGGGGCTTTTCCGCCGCCGCGCGACGCCGCGGTTTTTCTTCCTTACTGGCGTGGGCTCGACCCGCTGTTGTGTTTTCTTGAGATACCCCCGTTTTATACTCGGCCTGACTCTGTAGTCTTGAATGCAAGCTTACCTGACTCTGTGGGGTTTTTGTGCTGTGTGTAGTGCTTGTGATGCTGTGCTGTGCTGTGTTGAGGTGGGGCTGGCGGTGTGTGGAGCTGCGGGAAGGAACGCACGGCTCGTGCACCTTGTCGCAATGGCAAATTCTGATCTGGTTGCTTTGCTGTGCGTTTAGTGCTCAGAGACACGATCTCCTCTCGTTCCATCCATCGGATGGTGGATGATGTGCTCATCTCTAAATCTCGCGACGCAAGACATCACACTGCGACAAGATGGCAAGGTGAAGATGAATATATATATTGCCGACCGCCTGAAAGCAGCCCTCTACGAATATGCTCATAAGAAGTCATCACGCATTCCCGATACAAATTGTGCTTTGAAGCAATGCACTACCGCCGCACTCTAGGGTATTCAGATATACAAAAGCAAAGTCATCCTCCCCAATACAAAACACTCATGGTCTGGCCTAAGCCCAGTAGCCAAGCACAGCCATCAACCCAGCACCGAGCATCATCAGCCCGAACGCGTTCAGCGTCCGGCTGACAGGCCCCTTCTGCATGTACGGGCTGAACATGAACTCGTGCGCCATCAACTCAACCAGGCCCGTGTAGATGAGGATGCCCGCGCTGATCGAGTCGAAGATGCCGTTGACCATGAGGGTCGTCTGGCTTTCGGGGGAGAAGGTGGTGCGGACGCCGAGACCAATGGCAATAGCAATGGGTGTCGAGACGCCGTAGCCCAGGCCCAGGAGGTAGGGTGTCCAGCGCTTGCTGCGTGGCCACGGGACCTCGGCGAGACGAGCGCCCAGACCGAGGCCCTCAAAGGTCTGGTGGAAGACGAGCACGATGTACAGGGTGATGAACTCGTCGCCGGCGACAGCCAGAGTGAGACCGATGAAGATGGAGTGGAAGATGACACCGAACTCGAGGATGAAGACGGCGGTGAGCTGGGCGGCGTATGTCTCAGGAACGATGCCCTGCGATTCCCAGTTGGGGTCGAGCGCCGAGTTGTCCATGTGGTCGCGCTGGTGGCCGAGGTGGTCCTCGCCGCGGACGTGGGAGGCCCTGGGGACAGCTTCTTCGGGGGAGGCGCGCTTGTCCTCAAGGCTGTGCTCGTCGTCGTGGCTGTGGGAGTGGCTGTGGGAGTGGGAGTCACCGTTTTCGTGGTCATGGCCACTCCCAAACTTGGCGTAGCGCATGGTCATCAGTTCGAGGAAGAACATGACGAAAGCAGTCATGAGTGCGATAGCCTCGGGCCATGGGTACGTGTCCGACGAGATGGTTTGGCCGACGAGACATGGGTTACCGAGAGCCTCATTTGCAGGGGCGAGCAGGTGGATGAATGCTGTTGCGATAATGACTCCAGAGCCGAAATACTTAGCAACGAAGAATGTCCAGGCAGGCACCAGCTTTGTCTTCGCACGCTTCGCGAATGTTGGGAAAATAGCACCTCCATGATGTTAGTGGTGGTATACCATGTACAGTAACACATCATGACATACCCCATAACGAACCGACGAAGATGACGAAGATAGAAGATATGCGAACGCCCATGCGTCCATCATAATCGTTAGAGCCGCTGCAAGCTGGCGTCGTTTCCGTCTCAGCACCTGAGTCTTGTCGTAGCACGAGTCGTGCCAGTTCCATTGCTGCCGCGTCCATGATGATACTCGAGTGATATTTGAGCTAGGGAAAAACAAGGTGGAGTTGAGGCAGACAAAGTCCGGTGGGGTTATCTCGTAGTGTATAATTACCGAGACGTTCGTTTGGATTGTGAACCAAAGACGATTGTCGTGATCCAAGCGCCTGGACTGACAGTTCGCGGAGGCTTGGCGAAGTTCCCAGCTCGTTGGTTCTGATCCTGCAAGTAAAAAAGCTTGGGATGGGAGTCTTCTTATTGCGCCGAGGGAATTAAGCAATTCAGCACCGTGATGGACATACGGAAAGAGTCGCGGTGATGGCTTGTTGCCGCTTGAAAAAACTGGCAAGCTCGACAGTGGACGTGGAGCACCTTGATGTCTGCGCTAAGCAGGAAACCCACTGCTTTCGTCACATTACGGGCTAATGAGCCTGATGGCGCACACTCCTAATGCTGCTTATCTGCCGTTCGAGCCTTTGGCTTAATTGCAAGTGGACAAATGCTGCCGTGAGTTCGTTGGGATGCTCCATCGTATCGCAGACCAATGCTCGTGTGGTGTTGCAGTGCACGTTGTGTGAGGCTGTAAGAGCGAATGAGCGTTGAGATGCTTTCGGCAACGGCACGAGACTCGTACTTCGTACCAAAAACCGCACCTCCGGAGCTTCCAATTTGTCAGCTCAAATCCGAACCATTCCAAAGCGACATGGTGTAATCGTGTCTTAACTTCATTTTTGTAATAGTTGAGATGACATTGAGTACTCACTATTTCAATAGAAGTTGATCTGACATCTATGCGTACTGCACCTAAGCGTCTGAACAGCCACTTGGCAAATCCAGCATCAGTCAAGTGTCATCAGGAGGTTTCTCATCGGACTGTGTCCAGTATGCGCTTGAACAGAGTTGTTCAGCAGTGATAGCGATGGTTTGGAACGTACAAAGTGCCAAGTGGCTGGTTGGACGTGCTTGTGTGCAATATCTCAACTCCACTGTGGCCCGTCGCTTCTCGGCTCCGTGCCGAGTGCTGTCGTGAAGAGGTCGCGGTTCGGTGGGGAAGCGGTGATTTTCCGATCCTGGCCAGCAACTTCATCCAGGTCCGGTACGGTCAGAACAGCCGGACGGACACACAGAACAGTCCAGCAGCTTTGTCTTTGCACATGCACAACGACGCATTTGCCGTGCAAGGAGATACTGTTTCCACTCCTGCGACATAACAGTCTTACGGCATGCAGGAGCGTGCGTTGTTGAGCTCGGCTCGAAGTCCGTTCTCATGCCTGGTTCGTTGTTGTTGTTATCTGATGAGCGTGAGTCCTCGACATGCGTGAGAGTCCTTGACATGCTCGAAGAGAACGCAGCGAAACCGACTTGGCAACGGCCACCTCAAGCACCTGCTGGAGTGGTGGCTGCGGGTGGAGATGATCAATTCAGCTGTGCGAGGCGACTGGTGGCTATTGAGTCTGCGGTACGCAACCTGAGACTCTGACACGGCCCGGATTTGCACGCGTCAGCTCGTTGGCCGGGCGTCGTGCAGTGTTTGCACCACCACTATATATGCGACAGTATTGGCCATGGGCGCACCTTATTTAGAGCATGACAATCGATCCGCAGCACCATGCAACTGAAATGCTGCGCGTGCTTGCATCGTCGTGTCTCGAGCTGCATCTTGGCGCATACGATACTTGACAGGATGTCAATCTCGTTGGCTTAAGAACCCTGTTTTCAGTAGCTTTGCAAGGCGGGTGCGACGCCTCACCCTGGACGAACATTGAACTGGAATTGGTTGAGCTGATATCACGTGGCTGCCATACGAGACATCCAGAGCGATCCTTGACACTTTGTGTGCTTGGTATTGTGGGGTACATATCGGCGATCGATGATGGCATTCCGCGGATTCGCATGGCTGTGCTATCGGCAATTCCCCAGGCGTCACCGCGGCCGCCCTGCAGTCGCCCACGACTGTCGCAAAACATCAATTCCCATCAATTGAGAAGTCTATTAATGCAAAGGCACTACCAACGGCGTCTTGTACATCTGCATCATGTTGTTGGGCGGCGCTTGGACTGCGATCCAGCTCGAACCGTCCCGTCACTACAGCCAATGGTGTCTGCATGCAGTGAGGGGAGATGACGTCTTGACTTCCTACTTGGTACAGCTCCTGCAAGAGCTCGGGGCAGGTGACAACATAGTTCCATAGCTGTTGCCTGCGACTCCTCTTTAAAACCTCAGCTGCTGCTACTCCCTTCCCATTCTTCATTCTTCGATTGAAGTATCGTCGCTGTCACTCAATCCACAGCCGCACAGCTGCACCGCCGCAATCATGATTGTTGACCAATTCGAAGAGTTCCTCGTGAAGACCTCGGTCATTCCTCTGCCTACTGCCACTCATGTCGCTCCCATCCCTTCAGTCATTCCCAACAAACCCGAGGAGCAATTCGCTGGTGATTCCGGCACAAAGACACTATGGGTTGTCTTTGTCATTATGTTGATCTCCTCTGGTGTCTTCTCAGGCCTGGCGTGGAGAGTCCCTGTGGTACGCTCTATGCACCGCGTCCATCGCGAGCAGCTTACTGACAGCCCTGTAGCAAAAGCGTCTCTTCTATGTCATCACAACCCTGATCACCATCACGGCTGCGATCTCCTACTTCGCCATGGCTACCGGCCAGGGTGTCTCTGTCAACCACATTGTCGTTCGTGAGCAGCACGAGCATGTCCCTGATACTTTCCACGAGATCCACCGCGAGATTTACTGGGCTCGTTACGTCGACTGGGCCATCACCACTCCTCTTCTGCTCCTCGATCTTGGTCTCCTCGCAGGAATGAACGGTGCTCACCTCACCATCGCCATCGTTGCTGACCTGATCATGGTTCTCACCGGTCTCTTCGCTGCTTTCGGCTCTGAGGGCACCCCTGCCAAGTGGGGATGGTACACCATTGCGTGCTTCGCCTACCTCGTCGTTGTTTGGCACCTGGCTGTGAACGGCCGCGCCGCTGTTCAGGCCAAGGGCCAGAACGTTTCTTCGTTCTTCCTCTCCATCGCTACCTACACTTTCATCCTCTGGACCGCGTATCCCATGTAAGTCTAGACATACCTTGACTCTGACATCACTAACAACCAGTAGTGTCTGGGGCTTCGCTGATGGCGCACGACGCGTTGGTGTTGACGGCGAGATCATCGCCTACGCTATCCTTGATGTCCTTGCTAAGCCCGTCTTCGGTACGTGGTTGATCATCACTCACGCTAAGCTCCGTGAGACCGATGTTGACCTCGGTGGCTTCTGGGCCAACGGACTCAACCGCGAGGGTGCTCTCCGCCTCGGTGATGATGACGGCGCTTAAATGCATCGACATTATTCGACTTCACTGATCTAACACTTCGATCAAATTGCCAAGCGGGACATGCTACGGTCAACAACGTCCCTGGTGGAAAGCGTGCCGACCACAGGTTGGCAGCTGAAAATGCTCTGTGTCCTGCCGTCTTCAGCGATTTCATTTGGACCTCAAATACTCATTATGGAGTAGTGGAATCATGTACATTAATGCGGGAGATCCGTTACCGTTTTGGTACATAGCTAATGTGGTAATGATACGACCTTCTCACATACCTATTCTTGGCCTCAATCCCCACAGTGATGCACTTTCAGGAATGTAATGTTGTGTACCGTTCCACACATCCCTTCATCAATGCCCGTGGCTATCGGATCTGCTGCCTTGCCTTTGCATTGGTTAGAAGCTGTGGCTGTATAGGGCCCGCATTGCAAAGGTCCAAATCTGGTTCAGGATGCTTGTGAGCTTAACGAGAACAAGCATTCGAAAATCTTGGAAGTATAAAGGTACCGATGAATCGTCCGAATACTTACTAAATATCAAAGATTCAGAATGCGACCACTAAATATATTCGCTATTCTGGCGGTGTTGTCCGCCGAGGTGTACGCTTTCTGACAATTTCTCGTCTTCGAAATATATTAACAACAGACCAGGCTTTCGTCAGCAGTCGCGCAAGCGGGCACTCCATCACCACCAATCACATCCACACCAACATGTGAACATACTATCTTCAAGGAGCCCTCATTTGAGGCGACTTGTACAAATTACGGCAAGACAGTGACCTCCACATCATACACTGATTGCGACTTCGGCTGCACGCTGGTCACGAAGAAACTCGGACTCGGAACTGTGAGCAAACCTGCGGAAGATTTAATACGCTGTACTGATAGATCAAAGCCGTGCCAAACTGTTGTATACAATCGAGGTCGTATTGCGACGACTGTGACGAGCTGCAGGCCACCGCCAACGACAACCAAGACTGTAACCGAGTACTACACGCTTACCAGTAGGTTTGCCTTCGCTGTGAAGAGACGTGCGCTAATATTACTACAGTGAGTACAGGCTTGTAGTAAGTGGTGTTGGTTCAGGGCCGGCGGTTCCAAGGTTGTACTGGTCTAGAGGCCGCGAGATTGGAGGCCCTACAGCTCCAGCAATGAGAGACTCAAAGACTTCTAAAAGTTTGGTCTATAAACAAGTTTTATAGGCCCCTGTACAACATTGTTTCAGCCCTACTCCTGCGACTGCATGTTGTGGTGCTCTGTTGATTGCGACGGTTACGAGCACAGGTACCGACGTCATATGTCCAAGCTCGAACCAGCAACCTGGGTCGCAGCCAGTGAGCGCAGCACCGACAACGAAAGTGGTAACATCGCATCATGATGGATTGCGCAATGATCTCTCTGTTGCTCGTGGGACCTGTGCCTGACCAAGACAAACTGCACATGATGGCGGCGGTTGCCATACGCAGGGATTGGTTGCCCCGCATGTCCAAGGCTCCTGCCAGCCGCAGCAGCTTTGTTTCGACGCATTGAGCCGCAGCGTCCCCTCCTGTCTCACCTCCGCGAGCTCCTATAAGTACACACAGCCTGCGCAAGCTCCAGCTCTACCCGCAACTTAACTATCTTGCCTTGATACTACTGACCACTGCTCAACATGGCTTCTGAAGAGACTAACATCGTCGACGCTACCCCCATCTCGCCCGTCCGTAGCAACGAGAGACGCAACAGCTTGGAGAAGCACCTGCAGCACCGCCCGGAAGCCCAGGACCTCAAGAACAGGCACATTCTACTTGATACCACAACAGCCCCGTAAGACGCCTGTCCCTCCTCTTCTCGGCCCCTTCATCTGTCCACACCGCGTGAGCCTCAGCTGACCTTGTTCTAGTGCCCTCCAAGCCAAAGCTCTGGAGCTCGAGCGCCAGCGCGCGACAGACAACCTTAAGAAGGGCCTCAACACACGTCCTGACCGCGATGACCTAATTCAACGAAACATTCTGCCAGCCTCGAACGCTGCGCCTGCCTTGCAAGAGAAGCAGAGGGAGCTCGAACACCACATGAGAGCTGACAGCCTGGAGAAGGGATTGCAGAGCAGGCCAAACCCAGACGAGCTTGTCAAGAAGGGTATCCTCGATGCCGACGAGAATCCGCTGAAGGAGACGTAGGGTGCTGGACTGGATGAAGCAGAGGATTGTGATTAATATACGGTTATACTCGCTCAGACAGTTGACGACAGGATGTATACAATGACATTGTGATCGGTCTTGCCAACAACTAAAGACTACAATTGACAGCGCTACGGTGAATGATACATAACTATCCCTCTCGAAGACCTCCTACATAGGTGTAGTGTACCTAGCTCAATAACAAGGTATGGGACGATAAGGCATGCGCTAGTGCTAAGGCAGTAGGTATGCAATCATGATCAGATTCGCCAGCGCCTTCGTCTGTATCGAGCTCCTCAAGATCAGAATCGTCCAAGTCCTCCATTTGATTTGAGCCGTCACGAAGGTCGAGGGACTCGAGCGTAGCCTTGCCCTTAACATTGTCCTTAACCTGGAACTGGAAGTCGTAGAAATCAGAATCGTCCAGGTCGTCCAGGTAGTCTGAGTCGTCATCGAGTTTAGGAGACTCTACTAGAGCCTTTCCTTTGCCTTTGCCCTCGTCCTTGCCCCTAAACTCGGGCTCGTCGAAATCCGAATCGTTCAGACCGTTCATGCAATCAGATTCGCGATCGGATTTGATAGACTCTAACAGAGCCTTGTCCTTGCCCTTCACCCTCAACGAGCGGCGGGGTTTCTTTGCGGCGTTCGTGTGAGTCGCGGGCGCGGCAGCCTTCTTCTTGACCTTGGTGCCCTTGGTGACCTTGTAGTTGATTGGAGACGACATTCTGGATTCCACTGTTTCTGAACAACAGCACAGAGTCGGAAGGAAAGGAGAGAGACTTGCAAAATTCGAGACGGTTTCAAGTGCAGAGTTCAATGTGCAGTGTGAGTGTAAGGTGCAAGTGCTTCGTGAGATAGCGTATAGAAAGCATAGATAAGGATTTGTGTTGCATAATCAGAATTGTTAGGACCTCACGCGTAGGGTGCTGGAATGGATGAAGCAGAGGACTGTGATTCATATACTGCACTCAGGATACCGCACTCACGCACATCCAAGTTGCATTTTGGCAGTTTTGAAGGATTGCAGTCTTCTCTAGCACAGCCAACAGGCTTTTGTATCATGATTAGATGCCTAGAATTAAGCACAACTGCACCAATAAGGAAGTATCCTGTTGATGTTGATAGTCTATCATTTCTTGCCTTGCAGGTGCTACAGCAGCACTTCGGAGCTTACAGCATGCAGTACAGTTACAAATGCTCAAACATGACAGTCTTGCAATGACAAGGTGTACACAATAATATTATAATCGGTCTTACCGACGGCTAACGACTGATTGACAGCGTTACGGCGAATGGTACACAACTATCCCTCTCCAAGACCTCCTACGACATGACCCGTGCTCACTCACCCTGGCCCTGTGGGTCATCCTCGTCCTCCTGCTCACCTCCTGGCAGCGGTGGTGACAGTGGAGCAAACATGGGGAGTGCCTGTTTCGGCCCTCCGGGCGGGGAATGTGACCTGGTGACGGTGTCTGTCTGCGTCAACTCAACGACAGAAGATATCACCGAGCTGGCCGATGGCAGCGAAGGTGACATGGCCTGGGAGTGCAGAGCAGCTTCTTGAACGGCGTTTCCAGCGGCCAGCTCGTCTGCCTCAGCCACTGTCTGCTCGCATTCGCGTAGAAGATCGGATGAGTCAAGTGCCTCTTTTCGCGCATCCTCCACTGCGTCCTTCAAAATCGCTCGTGACTCTTTCAGCAGCTGGATGTGTGTCTCGTTCTCGGTATCCATGTTCTTCGTGTATCAGCTAAGGGAAATCAAGTGAGGTCAAGTGTCTTACAAAAATGAGAGTCGCGCACTCGACCGCCTCCTTCGCAAAGCGCAGATACTCACCGCCCCCAGCTTCGCCAAGAACGTTGCAGCACATGGTACGGAGGATCAGAGGGATATGCGGGTCCTGGTAGAAGTCCCAGGCAAGCTTTTCGGCTTCGTCGTCCTTCCTGCTGACGTACAGCGCGCACAAGTCAAGATATGCGGTGCGATAGACTTGCTGAACATTCGTCAGAGGTGGACGCGTGTTGCTCATGTTGCCGTTGCCCAGGAGGCAGCTAGCTTGTAAGAGTTGAAGAAGGAGAAAAGATTGAATAGACAGGGGTGGTAGTGTTTGCAGAAACAAGGTGATTCAGCAGTTGCGTGGACAGGCAACTCCCGAAAAGGTTTAGAGGCTCCGCCATGCGTTTGCTTCACTCCCACATTGAGCAGGTCTGCGCTTGCTATTAGTTTTTTTCTTATCCCGCCTTGGTCTCTGTCCCTCTTGATGAACAACAAGTGTCATTTCGCAATTCCTCCCATTTGGCGGTCCCGTCACTTCATCACCATGTCAGAGCGCCGCCTGCCAGACTCCGATGGGGAGTACGAACTCAAGCCTGATATCACTTCTACTGAAGGTGAGAATCACGTGCAGAGCGAAAACGATAATTACAAACTCTTAATGCCGTGCAGGAGAATAAAGCAGACGGCGGCATAAACTGTCACTACCGGTTCAAGCCGGAGTCGTCGCAGGGCCAAAGCAACAGCTTCCACTGCATCTACTGCTACACAGACCTTCGATAACGTTTTTGCCGCTGCCACTCTCGATCTCTCAGATGATGAGATCAACGCTCTTCCGACCTATTCCTACGTCCGCAAAGTAAAGACATGAGTTAACAACGCATTGCGAATCAAGGAGTTTGAGCCAACTAACGCCCAAGCTGCCTTAGAGGCTTCAATTCGGGGATGGGCGGATTTACCAGTTCTCCCGGGTCAATATCACACTCTGAAAGGCATCACCAGGACGTCAGGAGGTTTTTAGCAAGTGTCCATTGTGAATGCAAGCACTATCAACCACTTCTTTGCTGGCCAGAGGAAGGTCGTGTCGATCGCTGACTACCTGATCACCGGTGAGAGCGACGCTGCGATACGAAACCGATGCAATATCATCGCGTGCCAGCTGTGCCGCCTCTTTGATCCATGTTCCATTCCACACCCAGCTACTCTCTGGCGCGCATGTTGGTTGGTTTCTCTGTCTATATACCTCGAGCATATATGGATGGATCAATTTATGCAGCATGTTGAGCTCATCCCGTATTCGTTGGAGATTGAAAAATGCCATCCATGTTACCACAGCGTGGGAAAGGCTTGTTTTTAAACTCCATTGAAAAGGATAACAGTGGTGATGAGTTTAACAGAGCAGTTGTGGTGAGAAGCGTGCGCGTGTATTTGCGCCATCGTGTAGACATGATACAATTGAGTAACGACGCAGTGTGTGTAGATCCCAAGTGTATTGTTGTGACGGCTTCTTTAGTCTTGTTGTCCTGCACATGGCCTCCCACGTTTGAGGGACAACGGCGGACAACTTTGATATGAACTTGTAGCTGTTATACTATCTAAAGCTGTAGTCTAGTTAAACATTGTTTAATTTGTAGGTAAAATAGTATTCTATGAGGTTTTTTTTATAGTTTCCCTACTTTGCTGTAGCGTAGTGGATTGCTTGCTCACATCCCTGGTCCGCCGTTTGTTCTGCACCGTGGGAGATGGCGTATAGAAAGCACAGATAAGGATTCGTGTTGCATGATTGGAATCGTCGGGATCTCACTTTGACGGAGGACCTCGAGGGCGGTCTAACGATAATGGTTTTCGTCCGTAGATAAATGATGGAATACAAAATCATTCGTTCGAGAAGTAGAGTTATCTGAGGGTGGCTAAATACGCTCTGGCTACAATATGAAATCAACAAATGTGTTTGATTCCAGCATTTTACGTGATGTGTGAGCCTGGACACGACTTGGTAGGTTTGCTTAGCGCTTGGTGAGGGTTGATGTGTTCGTGCCGTGAGAGCAGTCAAGGTAGGAAGGAAGATCAACAAATTGTGCTGTCACTTCATTCTATAATTCATTATTGGAAAACAAATTGAAAGAGCGACACGAAGTCGTGACTTCATTACTATGCTACACTATGTAGGGTAGGAGACGGAGGACCGATACAGTCCCAGTCTATCCTACTACCACGAATGACCAGAAAACTTATTCTGTCTAGTGCGAGTTGGGAGCAACCTCCTTGCGCTCCTCACGAACGATCTCCTTGCCGTCAATACCGACCTCGTTGATGGAAGGGCGGCCCTCGCGGTCGGCCTCCATGTTCTTGATGAGCTCGGTGATACCGAACAGGTCGTCCATCTTCTCGAGCGACAGGCCCTTGGTCTCGGGAACAAGAAACCAGACGAAGAAGAACATGGAGAAGCAGAAGGTTCCGTAGATGAGGAAGGTGCCGTATCCGTTGAATCCGACAGTGGTCATCATATTGGCTATTTCAAGTCAGCAAAACTCATTTAAACAGGGAGAAAGCTCTCACGAGTGGCGCGTGCAACGACGAAGTTAAATAGCCACTGGGTAGCTGCAGCGATGGCGACGTTGAGGGATCGAAGGCGGGCGGCTGGGATCTCGGAGACGTAGATCCAGCAGACGGGACCCCACCCGAACTGGAAGAAAGCGGCGAAGAGGAACACGCAGACAAGCGCGAAGTAACCGGCGCCAGGGACATTACCACCTGAGGGAGGGTCGAAGCGCATGTAGAGACCAATATAGAACATGGAAACGCCCTGGGCGATGGAGGTCCACAGAAGCGAACGGCGGCGACCAAGCGAGTCAGCAGCGAAAATCAAGAAGCAGAGACAAGCGATCATTTTGACAATGCCGTAGATTCCGGTAGCGAAGAGCTTGACCTCGTTGCCGCTGAGACCGAGCGCAGTGAAGATCTGGGGCGCGTAGTAGTTGATGGCGTTGGTTCCGGTCATCTGCTGGCAGATCATGAGTCCGATGGAAATAAGAGCACGCTTGCGGTTACCGGGGATGGTGAACATCTCCTTGAGAAGATCCTTGATGGAAGCACCGGCGATGAGCATGCGCTCGTGCTCAAGCTGGTCGGCAATATCCTTCAACTCAGCAGCAACGTACGGGTGCGATGCAGGCAAGTTGCGGACACGAGCAAGGACGGCGGTAGCCTCCTCCCAGCGATCCTGCTTGGCAAGGAAACGAGGAGACTCCTTGTTGAGCGCCATGCAGACAAAGAGGAGGACGGCGGGAAGAGCCTGAAGAGCAAGGGGAACCATGTAGACAGCCTGGCCGGGGATGTGCAGAAGCGAGCCGTAGTTGACCCAGAAAGCCAAGCAGGTTCCAGTAGCGATGAACAGCTGGTAAAGACCGGTAAGACCGCCACGAATGGCACGAGGAGCGTTCTCAGAAATGTAGAGAGGGACGACCATGGAGGCTTCTCCGACACCGACACCAGCGACGAGACGACCGATGTACATAGCTGCGAGGCTGCCCGAGGCTGCGGCTTGAATAACACAACCGACGATGGTGATGAGACCGGCGACCTGAAGAGTCATCTTGCGACCCCATTTATCAGCCATCCAGGAACCCAGGAAACAACCGAGGAAACACCCAGCCTGGAGGGTCGAGGCGATGTTGGCACCGAGATCAGCACGCTGTGCCTTGGTCTTGGTGTCCAGACCGTACTTGCTGGAAATCATGTCAGCTAACAGTGGGTGATCATCTGGTCAGAAATGACATACACCTTGAACTCCTGCAGTTCGAGAACACCTCCGATAGTACCAATATCAAAACCGAAAAGCATGCCTCCGAAACAGGCAGAGCCAGCCATGGCGAATGCACGCCACCCGTAGATCTCTGGGGGATCCGTCTTGACTGCATCGTTCTTGACGATGCTCCTGATGATTTTCGCACCGGTAGAGACCTTGCCGCTCATGATTGCAGTGGTTATGCGAGGACGTTGGTGATCTTGAAGTTAACCGATGTTGTACCCTTGTCCAGCTGGTCGATGAAGCCAGGAGTGTGAGGAAAGAGAGAGGAACCTCCACAGATTGGATGATCTTCAAAAGCGAAACCTGCCATATCTATATAACTGCACGTACAGCGGCCCAAGCTCCCTGTCAAGACGGGGTAACCAACGCCGCGGTCCTGGCCTAAGTGCCTCCCCCGGACTCCAGACTCGATTGAACCCTCCACACGCACGTTGGACAGGTCATCCCCAGCCCGAATCAGCTTCGCCTGGGGATCCAGATAGCGTTTTTGTTTGTTCCGTCCAGTAAGATGATACCTCCGTTCGACTGCTTGGCTCCCGCTTCTAGACAAGTTGCTTGGCCCGGCGCAAATCATCACGCGCCATTTGTGGAAGTGAAAATATGCGTCTTGGAACAGCCAAGCACAGCGTGAATTCCCGCCAACAGCTGGGATATGTGGCGTGCCCTCCTCATCAGTGATTAGCGTGCGAAGCAAGTCTGGGGGCTCTTGGCCCTTCATCGGGTCATCTTGGCTATCATGGGGCGTTCCCGCTGCTCCCCCACCACACGATCCTGGCCTCCACGTCGGTGCATCGGCAAGTCTGGGGAAACGGGCGCGCTAATCTGTTCTAAGATTGCGGCCATGCCCCGTGCATTTATCCGTCCATTAAACTCTTTATGAACTCTCCCACAGACGGACCTTCTGTGAACGTGAGATTTGTGGGTTCATTGTAGAATCCTGTGGATCTGGCGTAGCTGATAGGCTCGATTTCGCTGATGGTTGAGATTAGGCGGTGGTCTGCACACAAAGACCGGGTCAGGGGAGGGGCACCGTCAGAGAAAACAGCGATCTGCGACGCTTCTGCTATCAACAGCCCGAGAGCCGACGGTTAAAATGCAATATAAAGGAAACAGCCAATGTCAAACGCCTGCACGCTGTCAAACCAGCCAGTGACATCGAAACCACCGCGTCCCCTACACGGCGGTCGAAGTCAAGCATTTTGGCATTTCTCAAAGCGGACACGCCTCAATCTCTTGGGATTCCTGGGCTCCGGCATTTTGCTGCGCGATCTCACGCCAGCGATTATCGAACCCGTACCAAGCCACAAGTACAAGTGTCACTTGTCGCTGTTTGCGACCGCGGACCGGACGTTGACGGAAACCGAACGCAATAATTTCTGCGAGTGTTGACGCCTTGCCAGTCACGCCCAGGAGCAGAACTGAGATTCATTGGGCTAGCAAATCATGAGTGCCGCCACGGCAGACGCCAACCGCGCGTTTCCCCTCCACGCTTTCTCCACGAATCCGCTGCGCGACAGAGACGATGCTGTCAAGGCTGTGGTGTCGTTACTCGATCCGCTCTTGGCGGGCTTCTCTGACTACAACTCTATGATCAAAGTTGGATCGACTGGAACTCGCTTTGATGAGACTGCTGCTCAGGTCGAGGGCTTTGCGAGACCGCTTTGGGGTCTCGCGGCTTTGTTGGCTGGAGGCAGTGAATATGCATCGACTGACAAGTTTGTCCAAGGTCTGATCAATGGCACAGATCCAGAGAGTCCGGGATTTTGGGGGTACATGGAGGATGTTGACCAGAGGATGGTAGAAGCGTGTCCCATTGGGTTTACACTGGCGGTTGCCAACAAACAATTTTGGGACCCCTTGACTGACAAACAGAAGAAGAATGTTGAGGCTTGGCTGGGCAGTATGAACGGCAAGGAAATGCCCAACACTAACTGGTATGTCGCTCTTTTTCCAAATCCGGCGTCTGGAAGCTATTTTACTGATAAGTCTACAAGGTTGTGGTTCCGAGTGTTTGCTAACCTTGGCCTTGCAAAAAACGGCGCGAATTGGAACAGTGAGCTCGTCAAATCAGACATTAAACAACTGAACACGTTCTACCGCGGTGATGGCTGGAGCAACGACGGTCCTGAGCACTACCGTCAGATGGACTACTACTCGGGATCCTTTGCTATCCAGTATCTCCAGCTTCTTTATGCGAAGCTCGCCGCTGATATCGACCCTGAACAAGCGGCAGAGTACAAGGAACGTGCACGGCTCTATGCTCAAGACTTTGTTCATTACTTTGACCCTGAAGGCCGCGCTATTACGTTCGGCCGTTCACTCACTTACCGCTGGGCCATGGCTGCGTTCTGGGGCTCATTAGCATTCGCTGATGTCGAACTCCCCGCCCCCTTATCATGGGGTGTAGTCAAGGGGATTTGGCTGCGCAATCTACGCTGGTGGACTACGCAGACCGACATCTTCCAGTCCAACGGCATGCTCACACTTGGATATTCTTACCCCAACACCTACCTCGCTGAGAACTACAACTCGCCCGGCTCACCATATTGGTGCATGCTCACTTTCGCCTCACTAGCTGCCTCGAAAGACCACCCCTTCTGGACAGCAAAAGAGGAGCCCCATCCTTACGCCAACGAGCGTATCATAAGACCATTGACACACCCCCGCCACATCGTTGTGCGAAGTGCCGGTCACTCATTCCTCCTCAGCAGTGGGCAGTCATGTCACTACGCAATCAAGAACTCTAATGCCAAATACGGCAAGTTCGCCTACAGCTCCGCTTTTGCATACTCCGTGTCAACTGGATACCAGGAGCTGGAGCAATTCGTCCCCGAGTCCTCGCTTGCACTTTCCGACGACAGTGGCGAGCTGTGGAAAATGCGCAGAGCGCACAACGGCGACTCGAGCATCGAGACCTTCGACGGCGTGCCAGTGTTGGTGAGCAGCATGAAGCCATGGCCCGATGTCGAGGTGCAGACGTTCTTGATCCCTCCTGCTGAGTCGAGTCCCAACTGGCACTTGCGAGTCCATAAGATCACAACTGGGCGCGACGTGTTGACAGCCGAGGGCGCCTTCGCCGTCCACGGCGCCAAAGCAGCTGACGGACGTGTTTTCTCTGGCTTCGATGAATCGCTGCCCGAGGGCGGCATGGAGGGCAAGCAGAGCTCGCTTGCTGCGTCGAGGTCGGGTGCTGTGGGGATCGTCGAGTTGTCGGGGACTAGCCGCGCTGGACACGTTTTGCAGGCTGATGCAAATAGCAATCTTGTCGAAGCGAGGAGCGTAGTGCCTCTGCTGAAGAACGAACTCAAGGCAGGCTCGGCGTCTTGGTTCGTTACTGCTGTGTTTGCATTGCCTGGTAGTGTTGATGGGTGGAGGGAGAGTTGGAAGGACGGATGGGAAAAGAGGCCGACGGTGCCCAAATGGGTGCAGGAGAAGGTAGATGACCGTAAATAGACATTCAATGGCCATGGTCATTGCATCAATTGAAGTATCAGATAGAGACAGACGACATCGCGAACAGCCAATCCAGAACCTTGGAGACACTCTCTCATGTTGCAGGATATACGGCGGACTGGGGATGTGAGCCAAGTACACCACACGACAGCAACGTAGGGACGACACTAAGAAGTCGTGCAGAAAGACTACAATGGTAGGTAACGCTTAAATAGATGTTAGTTTTAAGTGTTACAGTGGCTACAGGTTCTGTGTTCAAGTTGGACAGCTCAAAGCTCACTTATTCGCCGTTTTTCTGGAACATGAGAGAGACTTCAGAGCAATGGAACGAGGAGAAGCTCAATGCATGATGTGCACGCCATTTGTATCGGGTGCGATACGGATAAGAGAATTTGGTATCGAGTGCGACAAATGTCTATTACAAGCTCTTAGGACCCCCCATCTACGTATATTATACTCAAGGAAATCTACTGGTGCATTGTACTGCTTTTCAAACAAAGGAAAATCGAATTACTCCATCCTCTTCTTGCCCTCTTCCAACCCGAGCAGCCTAGCATCGCTCTTGCCGCGCTCATGTTTCGTGTCCACCAACGAGCCGATGACGGGGTTGTGAGAGACATTGTTAAGGCTGGACTGGTATGCCTCGACCTGGTGGGGGAGGCGGTTAAGCTTCGGCCAGTTGACCTGTCAAAAGTTAGGATTGCAGTAGCTTGTATGTGACGAACACTTACGTAGAGAGTGCCATTGGTCCACATGAAGTTCAAGCACGCGCCCGTGGTGGCAAGGCTGAGAACAAGGAGAAGGCGCAGTGGCCATACCGCGGCATCTGGTGTGCGGCGGGTGAAGGTGCCAACAAGAATGAAAAAGATGCTTGCAGCTAGAATATAGGGTATCGCTTGAATGAAAATGGGCCTTCGGTCGGCAAACAGAAGCTGGCCACCAATAGCAGAGTCGCTAGGTAGGTAAGTTCCGAGGAACAGGTCAAAAGCATCCTGCCTTGGCCCATCGCTGAAGTTGTTGAGACAGTAACGTGTGATGGAGTTGTTGAGATCCTGGAGCGCGCCGCCCTTGGTTCGAATACCAAGACGTGTAAAGTCAGTCTTCAATGCGCCAGTGCCAGAGTACGACTTGGAGACGACATCCGCATTATCAGCCCATACGTTACGGAAGAGGAACTCAAATGCCTTGTCCTCTTCAGCACTCTCGCCTTCACGCATCAGACCAAGATCGATAAGCATGCGTGTCAGCATGAATCGGCCAATCATGCTCTGTACGACATTCGTACGGTCAAGGCAATCCATACAGTTCGTGCGGACTACAGCGGTCTGATGGCGTCTGACCTCAACACGACTACCATCACCAGGCATGTCTACAGACCGGAAGTAGCCGTGCTTTAACACGTGTGGCTCCAGCTGATCCATCAGCAACTTGGCTCGGTCCCAGCGCAGACCCTTCGTCTCTGTATGGAAATCGAAGTAAACGTAGTGAAGACGGTCCCAAACGGTCTGGGCGTTTGCGGGCTCGACAATGTGGAACTTTTCGTCGGTGATCTTGTCGCCTTCAACGTTTTCGTTGGGCGAAGTCAGCAAGAATTTGACCATCTCTTCGTACGCTTCCTTAACCTGCTGTTCACGGCCCTTCTGGTTCACCAAGTTGACCATCCAGTTGTCGCCGTATAGTCGAATCTGCTCAGCAAAGTGCTTCTTCGCAGCAGGGACCGCGCTTTCCACGCCTCGGACTTGCAGCTTTGGTGTGTATTTGAGAGTGTTGATCTCGGTCCAGTAGACAGGTACACTGCCTCGGGTCTGGACATATGCCAGGACCTGCGTCTCTTTGCCAGCCGCTACGCCAGCCGCACCATTCTGGTTCGACCCAAAGCCTCCTGGTCCACCTGAGGCGCTGTCATTGAGAATGATGACCTGCTCCGTCTCGTTGAAGTTCGACACGTTGCCATTCTCATCAATGCCACGCGAAAAGTATCGTGTTCCTGCCTTGAGGCGCGACCTGCGTGTGACCAAGATGAACGTGAGTGGCGTGCCCTTGATCGAAGTGTTCTTGATCTCCATCATGCCGTACATGACAGGAAGAATGTACGGGTCCACATCTGGCGACTGTCCGCTCGAATGTCTTCCATAGCCGGTACTCAGTCCTCCTCGGAAGTCGATCAGGTCGCTGGACGCAAAGCGGTTCCAGAAGAATCGGTCGTCTGCGCGCTTCCACAGGGGCGTCGAAGGATCGAGGTGCGCTTGTCGCTGGAAGCTGTTTGTGATGTCGAACGAGTAAGAGAAGAATAGCGGCGACTGTTTGATTAGTGTCTTGAGCAGAGACAAGTAGTTGTCTTCGTCAGGGTCGTGCAGCGGCCGTTCGCGCAGGGGTAGGAATTCGGTAGCAACGACCTTGTAGATCATGTGGCCCTTTATCCTGCCCATAGGCTGGGCCTTGGTGATCACGATAATGTACTTGTCTTCACATGCATCAGCCCGCCAGTCCATACACGCTTCGAGGGGTAGCTACCTAGTCGCAGCTTGATTATGCCGAGGATGCCAGCGACGCTGGACACCCTCTTCGAGCCAAGAAGCTTGCCATCGTGCAGACGAATGTCACCTGAAGGGCGATCTACGACCAATGTGGGTGCAGTCGGCGAGGACGGGGAGGAGAAGGCGTAGTGCGAGGGGGAGGAGTGCACATTGATGTCGCGGTATGGCAGGACGGTGCCCATGGCGGCGATTATGTGAGATGGAAATACTGCAGGAAGAGTCGCAGCGTTTGTATGGTTGATTTCGTGTTCCAGCGTGGAGATCTAAGTGTGGCGCGCTCTATGGGCGTTGGCGCAATGTTCCCTCAAGTGTAAAGCAGCCACGAAGGCGTTTCGTCATGGTCCGCCAGGGTCCGTCGCCAAGCAATTGCGACCCCGTCACAGGGCAACGACCTTCATCGCTCCTGCTCATTCAACACCACAATAGACCCACCCCCGCCACCGCTCTCGCACCCCGCATCCATATCAGCTCGCTGCTTCTCGTTACCACACATCACCTATCGCCCACGACCCGATAGCGCCGTCCGAACCTTACCCGATATGTCGCAGAGAGTGCAGCAAGGCGGACGCCCTGGCGGTTCCAGGTTCGCACAGTTCAAGCTGGTGCTGCTCGGTACGCAGATAGATGTTTAGACTATTCATGGATCAAATGCTGACTGTGTGCAGGTGAATCGGCTGTTGGAAAGGTTCGCAGTCCTATCAAGGCAGCAACGATACGAGCTAACAAAACATATAGTCGTCGTTGGTGCTGCGATTTGTAAAGGTAAGGCTTGTATGGCCTCTATACTCACCGATACTAACATGTGAATAGGACCAATTCGACGACTACAGAGAATCGACCATCGGCGCCGCATTCCTCACCCAGACCATTGCCCTCGACGAGAACACAACAGTCAAGTTTGAGATCTGGGATACCGCAGGTCAGGAGCGCTACAAGTCGCTCGCGCCCATGTACTACAGGAACGCAAACTGCGCAGTCGTTGTCTATGATATCACACAAGCTGTACGCATCAACGATAGCATCTACCCGATACAATCACTAATCTCGTGCAGGCTTCGCTCGATAAGGCAAAAGCATGGGTCAAGGAGCTTCAACGCCAGGCGAACGAGAACATCATCATTGCCCTTGCCGGTAACAAGCTTGATTTGGTCACCGAGAGTCCTGACAAGCGCGCCATCACCACCGCCGATGCCGAGCAATACGCCCGCGAAGCTGGCCTTCTGTTCTTCGAGACCTCCGCTAAGACAAGCGAGAATGTACGCGAGCTCTTCACTGCTATTGCAAAGAAGCTGCCGCTGGATCAGGCCGGCCCACGAAACTTGAGGCCGGGCCAGCAAAGACAGGGCGTTAACCTGAGGCCAGAGGCGAACCAGACACAGGGACCTGCGGGCTGCAACTGTTAAAGAGACATGTTGGTCATTTGCTTTGTAGGTATAGCGCTCGCTCGTTATGCGACATTCAACAAGTAGCGATACCATGCCGCTGCTCATTCCTCGTATCAGTCAGTCTGATCTTCACTTGTAGGGTACACTTGGATCCAGGCGTTCCGGATCTGCTATGCGTTAAGACACAAGATTCGGGGCCACCTGAGAATTTTAATTATAATGATTTGCCGCCCCGTTCTATTATTGTACAGTCAACCGGATTGTGCCCAAACTCCAACGCCGTTGGCATCTGCGTTATGCGCAGCACACAGTATACCCTCTATCCCTTTCTATCTTATGTTCCTGGTTTTTTCTTCTTTCTCTCAGCCCACAGCCTGTCTCCAGATGAACTTCCACCCCTCAGGCCTTTTGTACCAGCTGCCCATTTCACTCACTGTCAAGTTGCCCTCAAAGTCATCCTCATCTACTTTCTTGACCCAATTCGCCGGCTCACTAGCCATCATCCTCATATGCACATTCTCACGATCCAACATGCGCCAGATATCAAGCCTTGACAAGTCATCTCCCAGCCTAAACATCACCGTTTCACCCGCTATCGGCTTTCCATTGAGCGGCACGCACTTGCCCCACGCATCAAGACCGCACAGCGCACTGCGCGTGTGCGCGAAACACCGCATCGTCCAGCGTTTCTGCAGGTCCTGGTGCATGAGCCGGACGTTGAACGCGGCGCGGGAGAAGTTGGTTGCGTACGCGGGCGACGGCATGAATGCGTCGAAGTTGGTGACGAGCAGGTCGGGCTGATCTGCAGGATTGAGTGCTGTGTTTCCGATGGGGGATGCGGCGCGGAGCGCCAGGGCGTGAGAGGGGGTGCTGAACGGGTCTTTGAAGCTGAGCTGGTCGTCGAAGCTAAGCTGGTCGTCGAAGCTAAGCTGGTTCTCAAAATTGCCGCTGATGGCGAGGGGCAAGAGAGCCAGAACGGCGGTAGGGACTTGGAGACGCATTGTTGCGTTTGTGTGATCGGGTCTCCTGAATGTGGAGGGTTTGGTGCATGTTGAAGACGCCGCAAGTTCGGCCTCTTATACTGTCATGTTGTTATGGTGCCGCGGAGCGATTTGGAAGATAGAAGACGTGCGTGCAACGAGCTGACGTCGATTTGGTAAGTGGCCGACAGTGGCTGAGGTCTGTATCTGCGGTCGTGCTGCACAGGAGCCATCTTACCTCGACGGATACAGCAGTAGGTAGGGGCACGCGTCATCCTCAGACCGGGTAGAAGTATAGACTTGGCCTTAAACTGGGCTGACTTGTCTTTGTAGCTAAGATACTTGTGGCTGTGTTCCTGATTCGTACTCTAGATCACAGCTCACGGGAGAGCCGCGTCGAACATGTCCTGTGACTGTGGTGCGTGCAGAACAGGTCGCGGCCTCCCATGCCTCCTGGGTCTCAGGTCGCACAGAGCTATCCACGATAGCCGGTTTGGTGTCACCTGGCCATGTGCGGACCATGCAAGGTGTGTGTTTAATTGAGGCTGAAGCAGTATTGATCGCCTATCCGGTACAGTGGTGAGGTATGGGCGTGCTGAACAGATGCTGGCTGACATACTGTGTTCTCAATGACTGGTACACTTGGTGTTTGGGACAGTACCTAATTGCGTTTATCATTCATATAGTGCGGTTTTGTAAGATCAGCTTTGCCCTCTGGAGTGGCGACTGGGGGTCCTGATCGTTGCAAGTGTAGCGAGTATGTCTAATCTCCAATACTTGTGGAGCAGTGGAAAAGAATCCCGGGTGTCCGCATCGGGCTCATGCAAGGTACAGGTCCCGAAGCGCAGAAATTGTCTTTCCAGGGCGACGGAACCAGTACAGGTGTAATGTGTAACCATGGAGCATATCCCCACCATGACGGCAATGCGCTCGCACTGGGGGACCGCTTGTGGCACGTCCAGACAGCCACTTGGTACTTTTGTAGGATCCAAACCACCTCTATCATACCCAGTGAGTCGCAGTAACTCTACTGAGTGACTCCGTTGAGGTGTATACAGTCCACGGCATACATTTGCCAATGATATTACTTCACCGCGCCTTCTGCGTTGCTGCCTGGCACAGTAATATGCCTAATCAGGCTAGCGCGTCATTTACCTCCAAACACTTACACTCGGTATCTCACTTGTAAAGGTTCTCAACCCATTTGCACCTTGCTGCGCGTCTATTTTCACATTGCCTGCATCATCCCCAACAAACCACCGCGTTCAGGTCGGCTGAGGAATTTGCACGGAAACTCATAGCAGGCGAAGACAACTTCAAAAAGCACAATGCGAACAAACTACTCGTCCAATCGAGACTATTGCGGATATTCAGTATGTTTGGATGGCGCCTCTACTGCTACAGTACTGACTAAATTTAGGGAGCGGATGCAAATTGGGCAGATCACTCCCGAGCAACTGTACCTTGATCTTTCTGGCACCACAACACTGCGCAGCCGAATTGCGCTAATAGACCCATTCACAATGGCCATGGGATAATGTTTCGATGATGATATCGTCATACCAGATCGCCATAAAGGCGTGTATGGGGCGGACTGGCTCCAGACATGCCCTTGAGCTACTACAACGTTGATACACAAAGCAAGAGTTGGACACCGAATAATAGGCCCATGCAGCACTCGAGTTACACTCTCAAGACACGAGCGCTGTGTATGCCTCCAAGGGCAGGAATTCTGCCACCCATTTGCGAAGGGCTGACGGCCGGTTTGTCTCAGAAACGAGGGTCGCATTTTTCAGGTCTGCCACGATCACTGCCATTGAGTCCTGGACAGAGGAGAGAGCTGCCATCAAGACTGGAGTTTTGGAGCTACTTGCTACCAAAGCTATACTGGTTGCTGAGGTCAAGATGTTCGAGAAGAACTGGAAAACGTACGAAGAAGCGACAATCCTCGCCTCCTACAAGCTGAATACGCCGTTGCGACCAGAAACCATAAATCCGTTTGCGCTACTGGCGAACAGGATTCGCACATGCCTCGAGAGCCGCACGACGTCAGTACCTTTCATCGACACATTGCGCAAGCACGCGGCCAACGTATCTGAAACCACGTTGTCTTTTGCAGCAGCTTACATTGATTATCACTGGGAAGGGTCATGTAGGCGCCGGAGAGATCGACAATACCAATCGCAGGTCATCGGACGTTGCCTGAGGGACTTCCTTAAGTCCAAGAAGTTCGTTTGCAAGGACAGGGATGGAATCGAATCGATTCCACAACACATACCTGACGTGAGTGGAGAATGGCTGGATGGATGGATAGAAAAATACGGTGGCCGTCGACACTTCCGCCTGGACAACGGGGATAGAGACAGCGAGCTTCGAGTCACACGCGAAAATCTACGGATGCTCCGGGACATGACGCTCGTGGCTTCGTCCAATATCGACGTCTGCTGGGAAACCATCGACGACGCCCGTGCCGCCAATTCCGTGGTCTTCTCGTCTCCGTTTGCCGAAATGGACATCACGAACCCAATTAAGTTTATACCAGGCGGTATCCCTATACATAACCAGCACTACTTCTCCAGAATACAAGAACTCCTAGGAGTGGATAACATGGACGTCCAGATCCTTCCAAGATTCGGGACAAGAGGCATCGTAATGCAGCATCCCGAGCAGGATGCTGCCTACGACCGATTGCGGGCAACGTTCAATGCAACCCTGACCGAGTACCTTGTCACACCTTTCCAATCTGACGCCGTAAATACCGCTACACAGCGCGGCATTACCCTTGGTGAGTTACAGATGAGATGCCTAAACGCGTTATTCCAATTATATGTCGCCACGGGTAACGAACTGTTCACCGAGTATGTGACGGCAGAGGCGAAGAGGGAGCAAAAGACTGCAATGGACAGTCTGTAGGTGTGGTTGAACGAAGTAGATCAGCCCAACAAAGTCTTGTTATGACTAGGGACTGGTCACGCCAGAGAAACGTGAGCGGACGGATGCCGGGTTTGGCTGCGACGATATCGACTTCGTATCTCTTGGAGTGTTGGATCAGTGAATCTTCATTCGTGACTGGGGCAGTTTCCGCAGGCCATATTCACCGACGTTAGACTAGCTATCAGGCAAGGTCCCTTTTGGCCTATTGGGCAAGCGAGAGTTAAATGACTATCTTAGATAATACTCAAGGTTACTACTTAGTCTATCCTTGCTCTGAATATGTCTCTCTTGAATAGTACTACCGAATGTCTCTGACCAAAAATGCCAGTGACGCAGTGCAAGCTTGGGCTCGGAATTGTGGATCAATGTATGCGCGACCATTGCGATGTATTCGCGAGTCTAGAACGTATGTTGCAAGGTGGGATTGATGCTTAGAGGTCTTTGTAAGTCGCAGTGTTGACGTGGAATGATATAGTTTTCGCTAGACGAACAATGAACATTTACTAAGCAAGACAAGCCTATATGATCTACTCTTACACACTGTTCCATGCAGGCTTTGATTAACTCTACTATGTAAGCGGCGCCAAAGAAAGTACACAGTAAGCCGATAGAAGCCTTTTCTTCAGTACGCATGCAACGATGCACCTCCACCTCATGGGTGTTGCTCCTGTTTGTTCAGGTAATGAATTGTTGACTGCATGGCGACGGCCTGCGTAAGACGTCTCTTGATAGCAAGACAGACCAGTTTGGAGACACTCACGTTAGTCAGAAATCGCATGCGAAGGACGACGAGGGTAGCTAGACCTCTTCACTTATTTTGAACGTCTACAACACTGGTACTCGCCAGATCGAAGAGCTCAACACGATCTTGCTCTGTTTGTTTGGGTACTCTCGAGAGTAACCACTTAGAGAGAGGTAATTTGCACGAAGGAGGGTTCTAAATTCGTAGTCTTCGACCAATTAAAACAATATTGGAAACGAGGACCGCACGGAGGGTGAGAGAGTGGCGTCGTCTTAAGCGGAGGCGTCACGGGTGCGGCGATTGGCAGTGGCGGGAAGGCTGTGTGGCAGGCGCCGTGGACAGGCTGGCGGGCAGTGTGCGGGCAGCTGTGATGGTACGGATTGGGCGAGCTCGGGAATTGCGGGCCGCTGCTGCGGGCATCACGGTCGTTGCGGGCGGTGCGGATATCGCAGGTAGATATCGCAGGTAGTGGAGGGAGCGAGGCGTTTGGCGTTCCGCGAGCTGCAGTCCCGGTCAACGCATAATGATGTTCAAACGAACTTGCTGCGTTCAATTCGTGGACCAGATGAACGGCTGTCGAGCGCGAATTCGTTAGTAAAGTATGAACACGTTGCGCTTCACTGTACGATGATGCTTTAGCTCTGCTTGCGACTGACTTATGTCGTTTCGGCACGCTTGCGACGTTCGTCCTTGGATGCCAGGCTTTATGCGTTTCGTGAAGTTTTGATGCGCCGACTGAGGGTCTGCGCCATCTCAGATCGATACGGTCATGGTGGCCGTCACGTTGTAGTTCCTGCCAGCGATCTAGCCTCCATGTTCCTGGTGTAGTATCCGTCGCGGTCCAATCCCCCTGAATAGTCGCCAAGTCGCTCTTCTCCTCGATGTTTTCGATATTCCTGAATAGTCTTCGTTCGTCCTTGATGGCCCTGGTATGTCGCAGTCCGATCCTCTCGAATAGTCTCCAAGTAGCCCTGTTGCAGCTCACCTCTATCCTTCGCTCTTAAGACGTAGGTTCGTACAGATTTGATCTTGTCATGCAAATCATCTGTACCGATGTTGCTTCCAGCGAGCCGCACAACAAAATGATTTCAACCTATTTGGATATGTTCCAGGTCAGCGGGGACGGTTTTGCTGACCAGCATATTTAAACTGCCTTCCGCAACTAACGGTATCGAGGGAAAAAGTACCACCGAGTTTCCCCGACAAAATTAGCACCCAAAGAATGTAGTGGTGTCGTGGTGTCTACGTCAGGAGCGGAACAGCAGACATCAGCGGCCCGTTGCTCGCATGTCGTGCACGTCCGGGCGTCCTGGCGCAGTGTGAGCTAAAGGCCGAACAGGAAGGTAGATGGCCTGTGATCCAGCGGAGCCCATGTTGCCATTGTGCCCTCGGTCGAAGTACCTGCATCAGTAAAGTGGAGGCGAAAGTGGAGTGTACTTTAAGGCCGGCGCTAAGACTGACTACACCCAAAGGAGCAGGTACGAAGCCTCAAGATGATAACCAAGCACCAACCAAGCATGTCATTGCCACTAAAAGTATGCACTCAAGCTTCCATACCAGAGCTTGGTTGTTCTTGGAAGGTGATATTGTGGGGGCAATCACGTTTAGTCGTTTCTGTAGTAATGATCACCCCGGAGAGGTACAAAGTTGCGGACAAGTTCGAAAGATAAATACCAGTAAAGGCCCCTTCGAAAAACCAGTGTGCGTCTGTCAACTTTGTAGTGACTTCTCTCATCCTCGTTCATCATGCAGATCAAGTCTGCTTTCGTGGCTGCGGCTATCCTCGCCTTTTGTGACGCGCTTGCCACACCAATTCGTGCGCGCTCGCCGTACGTCGTGAAGGAGACTCACTTTGTGCCGAAGGAGTGGGAAAAGCAAGACCGTGCCCATGGCGGAAACACTATTGCTCTCCAGATCGGTCTGAAGCAGGGCCGCTTCGAGGAGCTTGATCGTCACCTTAACGAGGGTAAGATTGCCGCTTGATGCATACTGAGACATCTTAATTGACTTTCTGTAGTTTCCGATCCTGACCATGTGCGTTACGGTCAGCACTTAAGCGCCGAGGAGGTCGACGAGCTCGTCAGGCCGACATCTCAGACGCACGACCTTGTGCACGAGTGGCTTCAGGAGAACGGCATCGAAATCGAGAGTCTGAGCTACAGCACCGCCAAGGACTGGGTCGTAGTTCATCTTCCCATTGAGCAAGTCGAGAAGCTCATCGATACTGAATATCACGACTACAAGCACCACGATGGCTCTGTTGTGGCGCGTGCTACGTCATGGTCGCTGCCCCGCCACCTACACGACCACATCGATACCATCCAGCCCACCACTTCGTTCTTCCGCGCCGAGAAGAATGTTGCGACTTATTTCGAGGGTGGTGCCGAGGTCCCTCAAGGCTTTAAGGCTCCTTCAAACCAGACCATTGCAGCTGTCTGCAATGCGACCTCTGTGACCCCCCAGTGTTTTGAGACCCTTTACGAGACCAAAGGCTACAAGCCTAAGGCTCTCGACAAGAACAATGTTGCCTTCAACAACTTCCTCGGCGAGGTTCCAATCCGCCCTGATGGCAAGCTCTTCCTGCAAAAATTCCGCCCAGAGTTTGTGGCCCAAGCCGCGAACTTCAAGCAGATTTCTATCGACAACGGCCCGGTTCAGGACGGCCCATTAACTGCCAATCAGACTGCCGAAGGTACAAGCCGAGAGGCCAATCTGGACTTCCAGGCGATCGCTGGAATTAGCTCCAACACACCTATCATCAGTTACTCCACTGGCGGCGAACCTCCTTTCATACCGGATATCACCACCCCTACCAACACCAACGAGCCGTATCTCGTCTGGGTGAACTACCTGCTTTCGCAGAAAGACCTTCCCAAGATCGTATCCACCTCGTACGGTGACTCTGAGCAGACTGTACCCCAATCGTATGCTGAGCGTGTCTGCAAGCAGTTCGCGCAAGCTGGTGCCCGCGGTACTACGCTACTTTTCTCCAGTGGCGACTCGGGTCTCGGAGGAACCGACAAGTGTATCTCGAATGATGGCAAAAACACCTACCGCTTCAACCCCAACTTTCCCGCATCTTGCCCATATGTTACTGCTGTTGGCGCGACCATGAACTTCGCCCCCGAAGAGGCCGTCTACCGTGCTGGCCGCAACACTTCTGCTGGCTACCGTGATTTCTACGCTGGTGGATCTGGCTTCAGTAACTACTTCGACCGCCCCACATGGCAGGGTAACGACGTTCCTCAATACATCAAGGGCCTCGACGGCCTCTATGACGGTCTATACAACAAGAAGGGTCGCGCCTATCCTGACGTCGCTGCTCAAGGTCTCTACTTCGCCTACTTCTGGAATGGTACAGAGGGCACTATTTCTGGTACTTCTGCGTCTACACCTTTGACTGCTGGAATCTTCGCTCTGGTCAATGATGCATTGATTGCGAGCGGCAAGCCCGTTCTTGGCTATATTAACCCCTGGCTTTACAAGAAGGGGTACAAGGGCTTCAACGACATCCTCAAGGGTACAAGCCACGGCTGCAATGTTGATGGCTTCCCCGTCACGAAGGGCTGGGACCCTGTAACTGGATGGGGTACTCCAAACTTTCCCAAACTGCTCAAGGCTGTTGGTGTGAAGAGCCACTAGAGTCCATGTTGGGAGCACATTTTTTACTTGTACATACATGAGGAAACTCAAAGAGCGACGAATAACGTCAAATAATGAACAACAAGAATAACTTACACACCACAATACTCGACACCCATATGCCTCATGCCGTTGTTACGATTTATAACAGAGAAAGAAGATTTTGTAACGTTAAGTCCTCTGTAACATATCAAATCTCAACACTGACGCTATCTCGAGCTGATCCTGCTTCAACCATCAAGCCCCCCATTCGAGGTGGCTACATCTGGGTTAGGGTAATACCATGACGCGACGGCGATGATGATGTAGACGATCTTGCTTGATGTCAGAGTCCAATCGTACTTAGTGATTACATAACAAAAACTTACAACAAGCAGGCTTCCCTCTAAGTAGTTGCTCTCACCATCACGCAGGAAGTTGCCGACTACGACGATGGACAGCACGAGAAGTACGACCATGAAGATCTCAAAGTTGAGATCCATATCTTTGCCAAGAAACCAGCCGACCACGACGACTAGCGGAGCATTGAATAGCGCTGTCTGAATCGAGGGACCAATGCAGTGGAAAAGAGCGAAATTCTGGAGCCGTTAGTGACACATCGTCTTCTTCATTGTGAACACTTACAATCTGGCCATCCCAGGCTTCATCGATAGCAGTCAAATGCTCCGCGGCTTTCTCGACCAAAGGAAGCATAATGAGACCGAGGAACTGATCAGGAATACCAGCCTCGACAACATCCTCGATGCGGACGACAAGGAAGACTGCGAGCATGGTCACAATGCCAAGAGACAGTGCAATGGCTACAAGACACTCGGTGAATGTAAACTTTGGCTTTGCCACGTCTTCATGATGGTCAAGATCGGCGTGCTCATCGGCCTCCAACACCTCATCGAAAATACTGTGCTGGGAGCGAGCATTGTAAAAGATGAAACTGAACGCCGTTAGCTGGTTGTATCACGTTTCGTGCACGCTTTGCTTACATGACGAAGGCGATCATCAATAAAATCGATGTAATCTGACTGATCTTGAGCACGTTGTGCTGCAGGATCTTCTCAGTAAATTCATGGTGCTTAGTGGCCTTGTGAACAGCAGATCCTTTTAGAGCAGAGTAATACGCGCTGGGAATGAGCAGGCCAAAACCAGCGACAAGAAGCAGGCCGCTGCCAACTTCACTGATTGAAGCATGGAACTTCTGCCTTGCCTGTCGCAGACCGCCGACAAAGAAGCACAGACCAAGACACAGTAGCAGATTGGTCAGGATAGAACCCAGGATCGCGGCTTGAATGACAGGGATAAGATTGCCATGCTCAGAGGAACCTTCGGATGCCGTGTGCTTTGTAATCAGAATAATGAAGAGAATAATCTCAACAATTGATCCGAAAGCGGTCTCAATAAGAATACCAGAGACCTTAGGCATCTTCCGCGCATACTCCTGGCCAGCAAACCCGAGCAGGTTCGCGACTGGAATCATGGCAATGTAGCTGAGCGCAAACACGACAAGTGGGTTGTTTGGGAAGGCAAAGTGTAGGATGAAAGCTACTGGCACAACGGGCCAGAGCAAGTTGGTCCATTTCGCTGCATTGCTCCCAGATCTCCAGGCTACTTGAACAAAGTGCGAAGCTTGGAAGCCGGTACGTCCGCTCTCTCCATCGGGATGGATGTGCTGTGGCACGATGTGGTGTAGAAGTGGTGTTGATTCGGAATGGTGGTGATTGGAAGGCATCTTGCCTGAGGTCGAACGTTACACAACCTCAATGGCGCGTTGTTAGAGTATCGAGGTGGAAACAAATATCATCGTGGAAGACCAGTGGGGAAATCCCTCATCGGCCAAGCCCCCAGCCTCCTCCCAAGACATCAAAACAGGAAAAGCACAATGCTGTCTAGCATTGCGAAACTTTGGTGATCGGCAAACACCAACTTGCATCAAAAAAAGTCATCGTGACCATTATTGCGACAGAGCCATTGAGGCAAGCCTTCCGATGCACGGTGTAACCCTCTCATGCAGGCGGTTCTCGGCATTCGGAGTGATGTTCACCCACAACGCCCCGCAATCGTCCTCGCACCTTCCGTACCTTGCAGATTATCCGGGGTCGCGTCCACGTGCAGCACGACTATATGGACGGTAAATTAATGAGCATCATTTTATTCTGCCGTTCGCCCTCGGAGGACCGGCCATGTATAAGAGGCTTCCATCGACCGAGCTGAGCGTTCTGCTCATCGCAATAAATCCGTCATGAGGTTCTCCCAGCTCCTCTTCGGCGCCTTTGCCGTGCTGCACGGGGCCTTCGCCACCAACAATGGCCTGCAATCAGTCGTCGAATGGGACAATGGCTCCTTGCAAATTAATGGAGAGCGTGTGATTGTTATGAGTGGAGAATTTCACTATGCTCGTCTGCCGGTTCCTGAGGTAATGATGGACGCCAGGAGGCCCCCATGCATATATGTCCGATGACTGACTTCGCAACAGCTGTGGCTCGATATTTTCCAAAAGTTCAGGGCGCATGGCATGAATACTGTTTCGATCTACTTTTTCTGGAGCTACCATTCCGCATCGAAAGGGGTTTACGATTTTTCTACGCCTGGAAAAGACATTCAGCGCCTCTTCGACACCGCCAAGGAAGCTGGACTGTACGTTATCGCCAGACCGGGACCCTATAGCAACGCGGAAACGAGTGGTGGCGGATTGGGCTTGTGGACCAGCGATGGAAGTGGTGGTAATTACAGGACGTCCGATGAAACCTACCGAAAAGCGTGGTCGGAGTGGATTGCGGAGGTTGCCCCCATCATTGCAAAGAACCAGATCACCAACGGGGGTCCCGTCATTCTGACTCAGGTCGAGAATGAGCTGACGCAATCGAAGTATGACCCCAACAATACCCTGGTTATCTACATGGAGCAGATCAAGAAAGCCTTCAAGGATGCCGGTCTCATCGTTCCCACGACGCACAATGAGAAGGGCTTTCGCGGCAAGAGCTGGTCGACTGATTACAACAACGTCGGCGGTGCAGTGGATATCTACGGTCTGGATTCGTATGCAGGTGGTCTCAGTTGTACCAATCCCAACACTGGTGGAAGTGTCATCCGCACCTACTATCAATGGTTCCAAGAGGTATCGCCTACTCAGCCAGAGTACTTACCCGAATTTCGCGGCGGTTGGTTCCAGGCATGGGGCGAGCACTTCTTCGACGAATGCCAGTCCGAACTGAGTCCGGAGTATCCTGACGTATTTTACAAAGGAGTCATCGCGCAGCGTGCTACGCTCCTCAATCTCTACATGACTTACGGAGGTACCAACTGGGGCCACCTGGCAGCGCCTGTTGTAAGTCAAATAAAGTGAAGAACGTTACAGCCTATACAACACGACTAAAACTACCAGGTCTACACCTCCTACGATTACGATGCGTCGATCCGAGAGACCCGCGAGATTCGTGATAAATACAAGCAGTACAAACTAATTTCATTGTTCACTCGGGTCAGCGACGGGCTCAAGAATACTGTCATGGAGAGTAATGGAACTGGAAACGCTGTCAGCACCTCGGAAATATTCACTTGGGTACTCAAGAGCAAGGATAGCAACGGCAGATTTTACCTCACGGAGAAGAACGACACCAGGTCCAGGGCCGTGACCAAATTCTCATTGGATGTCAACACTTCGGCTGGTCCAGTGACAATTCCAAGTCTCCAGCTTAACGGCAGGCAGTCACGATGGGTTGTGACCGACTATGCAGTCGGAAACGAGACCTTGCTATACGTATCTGGCGAAGTTCTCACCTATGGAATCTTCGATCAGCCTGTTGTGGTGTTTTATTTGAAAGAAGGTCAAGTAGGAGAGTTTGCCTTCAAGTCGCAGAAAAATATCACCTTCAAGTCCTACGGCGCCGATTCAGGTTTCGAAACTGTATCCAGCAACAACACAAGCTTTGTCAGCTTCAAGTACCAGCAAGCCAAGGGAGCCACCGTCGTACAGCTTTCGAACGGCGTGTTGGCCTACCTTCTAGACGTACCCGCTGCTTGGACATTTTCTGCTCCTCCTACCACAGCGGATCCAAATGTTTCTCCAAACCATCAAATCTTCGTGCTTGGTCCCTATCTTGTCCGAACGGCGAGCGTGTCTGGCGACACTGTATCCATCGTCGGCGACAATGCTAAAGCCACTACTATTGAGGTCTACGCTGGGACGAACATCGATAAGATCTCATGGAATGGCAAAGAATTGGCGACATCCAAGACACCATACGGCAGTCTCACCGCCGAGATTACAGGCACCGATGATCGCACGATTGATCTTCCTGAATTGACAGGCTTCAAAGCTGCAGATTCAGCCCCTGAAATCTCGCCGTCTTTCGACGACAGCAACTGGATCGTGGCGAACAAGACTACAACTTTGAACAAGGTCAAGCCATTGACACTACCGGTGCTGTACAGTAGTGACTACAAATTCTACGCGGGCACCAAGGTCTATCGAGGGTATTTCTCAGGCAAAAACGCTGCATCTCTGAACATCACAGTGCAAGGTGGTGCCGCATCAGGGTGGAATGCGTGGCTCAATGGGCAGTTGGTCGGTTACAACCCCGGAAACAGTACACTATGGGTGACCAATGCGGTTGTACCTTTCAAGAACGTCACTCTGAAAGACGAGGGGAACGTCTTGACAGTCGTGACTGACTACTCTGGTCACGACCAAACATCATACGGACCGTCCGGTGCACAAAACCCAAGAGGTATTCTGGGTGCACAGCTTCTGAGTGCCAACAAAACCAAGTTAAACTTTGACCAGTGGAAGATACAGGGCAATGCTGGCGGCGAAAAGAACATTGACCCTGTTCGTGGGCCTATGAACGAGGGTGGTTTGTATGGAGAACGCCTTGGCTGGCACCTGCCTGGTTTCAACACGGAGAGCTGGTCAAGTGAAAGTCCTACTGAAGACGGAATTCAGGGATCAGGGATTAAGTGGTTCACTAAAACCTTCGATCTCAATATTGACAAGGACCTTGATGTTCCTATCGGTGTTGAGTTCGGCGCTGCCACTGGTACGGTTGCAAGAGTGCAGCTTTACATCAACGGGTAACATCAAAAAGTCACGAAATCGCAAATGCAAGCTAACAACTACGCAGCTATCAATACGGCAAGTACTGGCCTCACATTGGTCCGCAAACTCGCTTTCCAATTCCACCCGGTATCATCAATCTGCAAGGCTCGAACACTTTGAGTGTCTCGCTCTGGGCGCAAACAGATGCAGGTGCGAAGCTCAGCACATTGCGACTAATCTCGTACGCCAGCTACGAGAGCGGGTTTGATTTTGCCGGAATCGATGGGCAGCAGCTGCAGCCGGGCTGGACAGACCGATCGCAATACGCGTAGACGTTTCTCGAGGGTGTTGGCTATTGAACAATAGATGTGAAATGACACCTCAAATTCGGATCACTCGAGAGTTTTACACAAGACCGCCAACCATTCGATACTATCCAAGCTCGGCCAATCACTTGATTCGGTTTTGCCAATTGACGCGCCAAGTCGGTAGTGCTACCGGCTTGGTCTTGTCGAAGGGTCACACTTCTCAACACGATAGGAGTTAAGTTGCGACTACGAGCCACTACGGCGCGTGCCTTCTTATTCCGTGCAGATGAACTTGCGCCAAACCTCAGATCCTTCACCCCACACACTCAGTCGGTACTGTACCAAGCAGATCATCGTTGGTCGGCCCGTAGCTGATCACGGCGCTAAGACTGCTGTTATTGGCAGCCAACACATGACGCCCGCCAAGTAGGGCCTCATTGAACCAGCGTAACCTTACAATTATAGCTAAATCAGCATCAAGCCCCCGACTTTTGACACTTCGTGACAGCCAAGTCATCTTAGCCGCCAAATGGACATGTTACGATTACCGTCATTTGCTCGTCTCGCCATCATCTCATTGCTACTAGCCCCAACCCACGCGCAGAATGCCACTACGCCTCCTGATTACGACTCGTGTCGCATTTTCGACCCCAAGGCGCCAGTGAACGGCACAGGAAGCCTCAACATCCATTGGAGCGCACTTATGATGGACCCAACACAGAACGACTGGACTTTCTCGCTTACCTACAACGAAACCCGGAATTCGAGTGGCACAATCCATCAATGGGAAAGCTATATCAGCGCGCCCGAGGGAAATGAAGCAACGGCATGTACTTTCATGTTCGCAGCACTCAACAAAACTTCATCATCAACCAAACGCTATGGATGTGATGGCGTCATAGACGATGCCTGCACCAACGTTCTACGCGAGATTGTTTACCTAGGAGGCGATTGCAGTTGGCCTGCACCAATCGATGAGTATGCCGATAGGGTACGACAAGCATGTGGCACCGATATCCTGAGCACAGGCATGCGCACCAACTGTAAGTACATGTTGTATTGCGATCTCCTTGCTGCAATATACATACTCACCCCTAGCACAGTGCCCGTGGAGTTCTCGAACAACACAACTAGCTGCAGTCAATCAAACCCTCCAGGATCCAGCTCGCCGCAGAACTACCGGACTTACCTGTCGGCCAGTCAATCTTTGGACGGTACCAATTGGAACACCGACAAGAACACATCGGATTTCCTGTGGTACGACATTCACGCAAAGCAGACTGTTCCATTTGTCGTCGCCGCAGAATTCTTAGGGGGTGTCGCTGAGACCAAGGTTGTATGCGTAGCCCCGAACCGAATTGCCGAAGGGGGCCGAACACCTGTAGAGAGGTCTGCAGCAAGTGTATCGCGGCAATCGACGTTTTGGTCAGCTGTAATCGTCACATCGCTTGCCAGTACACTAATGGTATTGGCTTGAAAATTAGAATTGAGGTATTGACTGAGGAGACTAAATAGTGTACACTGAACAAAAATGGACTTCTCAGATGTACATGTATGGCTTTGCGTATGGAATGGCTCGGTGCTCGAATCTATCTCATGCTTTGACTTAGTTCAGATCTCAGCATAGTCAACCTTCCAACCTCCGGGCATCAGGTCGGTGAACACCCTATTCGGATCGTATTTCTCGCGGATTTCCTTGAGTTTCTCAACCGACTCCCCACCGTAGCTTTCGAAGACCTTCTGTCCCTTGTCCGCATCATTGAGGTATATGTATCGGTTCGAACCGTTGATTGCCTCCAGCCTCGCCTCAATCTCCGTGTTTACGTCTACGACCCATTTTGACACCTCCTTGTCAAATTCCTCGCTCTTGCCCCAGGTCACACTTTCCTCAACCCAAAACGCTGGCTCAACGGGAACGTTTTGAGGCATACCAGCGGACTTTTCAGCCATATTGCGGTTCACAACATTGAACGCGAGACCAGAAAAGAATTCCGGCACCCTATTTGCCAGACCCGATGCGGCGAGCGACTCAAAGTACGTGTCGTGCACAATCTTGAGAGCTTCAGCTGTCGCTTTGATGGAAACTACACGGAACTTCTGTCGCAGACCGTAGGACTGTCCTCCCTCCTTGAACGCAGACCGCATCGCGCGGCTATACTGTGCAAGAGAGATGGGGCGCAGTGTCGAAGTGCCGTTAAGAGCTTTCAAGCCTGTAGTATTTCCGTACAGGAACTCAGCAAAGGGACCGGAGGTAGGCGCAGAAGTGCCGTTGTAGAACAGTGTGCTCTCGTAGGAGGGAGCAGTGAAGTTGGGACCCCATCGGGCGACGGGAATTGTTGTTGCCGCAAGGTCTTCGTCATTGTGAAGGGCCATGTTGAGCACGGTGGCGAGGTATGCATCACGAGCTGCGTCTGTAGAGCCGTAGTGGGCGTCCGCGAGAAGGGGGGTGATAGATGGGAAAGTCTGAAGGTCGAAGCGCGTTACCAAAGCAAAGGAGTTTCCGCCGCCAGCGAGTGCCCAATAGAGATCAGAGTAGCTACTATTGGCGGTTATGGTGGCGACTGTGCCATCTGAGAGAACAGCCTGGGTATGTCAGTATTGTGTAAGACCAATACCCTGTACGATAACCAACCTCGTAAGCCTTGATCTTCCCACCGGAAGATGCCAGGCCATGCTTGACGCTGTACCAACTTATTCCTCCTCCAAGGAGTAGCCCTGGAACACCAACAGGCGCCAGACGTCCACCAATAACTGTCTTGTTCGTAAACTCGAGGTGATTGAATACATCGCCCCATCTCGGTCCAGGCCCGATACTCATAGTCTCCTTGTCCTCGGATAGTTTCAAAGTATTCAAGTTGGTGCTTGAAATCAATACTCCAGTGCTGTTGATGTTCGCAGCGTCTGCGATAGGCATATGTCCACCACCGCGCATGGCGAAATGAGTTGAGGTGTTGACGAAAGTCTTGACGGCGAAAGAGAGTGCTGTTGCGCCTGTTGGCGCAAACACGCAAGCAGGACCTAGCCAGGCACCGGCGTCCCAGGGGACTATACACCCGTCAGCTTTGCCATCAGTGGAAAACAGTGTCTCAACCAACCTTGGTTTTCATTGGCATAACCCGCATCTTCGGGAAGATACGTGATGTTAGGGTACGTTTGTTTCAGTATCTCGCAAGCAGTCGTTGGATTAGAAACGTTGTAGGCAGATGAACATTGAGAAGCTGAGACCGAAGCGGCTAGAACGAGATATGGCAAGCTCTTCGTCATGGTCATGGTGGAGGAAAGGTGTAGCAGAATGTAGATGATGGCCGTGAAGTAGTGATCGGGCACATCCTTCTTATGTAGCTTCTGACTTTCTCGACAGGTTATCTTACGAGTCAGCCATACTATATCTACGCGTCTCTCCGACGACCATATTCGCAGACTTGAAGGATCCAGTGTGGCACAGATATCTTTCTGTCATTCGCTCGCTTCACCAGTTTGCAAGGAACATTAACAAGCGATACCAATCAATAGCTATTGCCCGGTTACTTCCAGTTACTCCCGCATTGTGCAAAAGGGCTCGTCGGCGTCATTGAACCAACCTGTCATTTCGATCTTCATCAATTCCAGGTAGTGCCGCTGAATGGGACGCCCCTGTTGTGGCTGAGAAGCTGCGCGTCACGAGCCGCAACAACCCGAAGCCGTATAGCGATACGTATACGCATAGTCCTTTGTAGATTGGATCCACGAGATGGATATCCAAAAGCAGCGATTAGTGGTGTTCAGCCAATGACAAGCGACGATGTCTCGCTCTCGCTTTCGTGTCGGTCTCGCATTCGACCCTAAATTAGCCTACACATCTTAGCACCGATCACTTGTTTCGAAATAGATGATTTTGTGTTGTGACAAATATTCAATATATATTCGTAGAGGCCATAATCGATCGACGACAACCTAGAGTTCATGCGAAGCGGATCACGTAGGGGCACGCCTGCTCATTCCAGCTCTGGAAGTTGTCTTTACGCACCTTGGTCCCAGTCTTGAGCGCATTCCACATGGTGTACTCACTGTCCATCATAAGTCCTACATGGTGGATGCCACTAGGGTTATTCTGACAGTCACATCTGCCACCAAAGAAGACCGCGTCACCAGCTCGCCTGTGCTCGAACTTGACTTTTCTGACCACGACATTAGTCCAGTCAGTAATGCTTGGCCAGGTAACCTTACTTGTACTTCAACTTGATCTCGGGTGCACAGTACATACTGCGTGTTACCCGCAGACCCTCCAAAAAAAGATCTCTTCCGGTGACCTGGCACACAGCCCAAGAGACCAAGCCCGAACAATCGTAACCGCCCTTAGTTGCACCTTTGCAGCTTCCACCTCCCCAAGAATAAGGTGTGCCTTTGGCCTCTTTTGCTTTCTCCAGTATATCTTTCCCAATATTCCCACTATCACCATGCTTATCGTCTGTCGTAACACAACATTTGAACGCGCTTGGTCCCGGACAGAGACCGATCAAAGTCTCAAAACCAGAACCACACCTGTCCGACCAGCGACAGTCGCCAGATCGTCCAGCTTGCTGGCAAGAGGGTTTCGTGCAGCACTTTATGTCCTCGGGCGTACCTGGACAGGCATCGTGTATCCAGATCTCACCAGTCCCGTCGCATGATGATCTCGAGATGCAGACACCAGTGCGGCCATCTTTGCCGGTACATCGACCGTTTATGGTAGATCGAGGATGAGCGGTTGAAGCGTTGACTGTGACGATAGATAAAATAAGCTGGAAGGTCAGTGAAGTCCGCATGTCAGTTCGTGTGGTGTATGGTGATCAAGATGAAAGGTACGACTGGGTCGAAGATACAAATGAGCTCTTGTGTGGTTTCCACACCTAGCGAAACACAAATCTCTTATACTAGAATGCCCTGACGTCTTTGGTCCAGCCTGCCGTGTGTGGGACACATGAGAGGTCAACAGTGCGTCGTATCTCGCATATACGGAGATTTGCTCTTTCCCTCATACACATATTGTCGTAGGACTTCGATATCAAGTTGCATGATGGACACTCAGACATCGGACTAAGCAACGAATCAGCTCGCAATGCAGATGTCTCTTTGCGGAGATTTCAGTTTCATCCCCGGATTTCAGCCCCAAGTCGAGAATGATGCCTGGAGCTACGCGAGATTAAGAATACCGCAGAGCAAGTGATTTGACCTTTCGCGCCCTCTTTTGATGTCTGGTTGCCTTGTCTGGTAGGCGAGTGCATTGTTGATCGGCCTTCGTGTTCAAATCTCACCCAGCGCGGAACCGCACGCTTAGCTCTGTAAGCTGCCCTAGAGACGGACAAAAAAGTGAATACATTGAATCCATTATTGATTTGCTGGCGATTCGATATGATAGTGAGAGAGACCATTAAGCCGAGGACGACAGGATACAGAAGCAAAGTTTGTGCACCTGATCACGTGAGAGCGCGACTAGTGTCGTTAGCGTGTTTTGTGCCACCCTACCAGGCTTCTCTGCATGTGTTCAACACTAATGTGACGCAATCTGCCCCCCGGCAGCGATGGAAGCTCTTTTGGAGGGGCTGAATGAAGCACAGAAAGATGCAGTTACAAGCCCTGCGGGTGTGCTCCAAGTGCTGGCGCCACCCGGCTCAGGCAAAACGAAGACACTGACAGCGCGCGTCGCGTACCACGTCATCCACGAACGACTACAGCCATGGAACATCATTGTCTGTACCTTCACCATCAAGGCGGCTCGAGAGATGAAGGAGAGGATCAAGGGCTTTGTTGGGGAGAAGCTCGAGGCCAAGCTCATCCTCGGCACCTTTCATTCAGTCGCCCGCCGCTTCCTCTCGCGGTACGGTCAAGAGATTGGCATTGACAAGAATTTTGGCATCGCCGACACCGACGACAGCAAAGCGATCATCAAACGTATTGTCAACCGTTATCAGTATATGGTCGAACCTGGTTACGCTCGCTCAAGGATTTCAGGCCTCAAAGCGAAGGGTATCACGGCTAATGATTTTGCTGCAACCAAGAAGAAGGCCGCTGACAGCGAGTTCTCTCAAATCTACTCGTCGTATCAAGAACATCTCAAAGCTGCAAACCTGCTGGACTATGACGATCTCCTTATACGCTGTGTAGATCTACTCAGACAGCACCCATCATGTGTTTCTACCATACAAGCGGTGCTTATCGACGAATATCAAGACACAAATAACATCCAGTACGAGTTGATGAGGCTCATGGCTCAGAAGACGCAGAAAATAACCATCGTCGGCGATCCGGATCAGAGCATTTACAGCTTCCGTGCCGCTGAGGTCAAGAATTTGCTCCGAATGCGGGTGGACTATCCTGAGGCAGTTGTCATCAACCTTCAAAACAACTATCGCTCTGCTGGCTCGATTCTCAGTGCCGCCCTTGCGGTTATAGAACAGGACGACAGTCGACCAGAAAAAGCGCTCATTGCTACCCATTGTGTTGGAGAACAACCGACCCTTCGACACCTGGCGACAGCTAATATCGAGGCGCGATGGATCGTAGACGAGATTAAACGCACTCAGACGCTCAGTGCTGGACTGTTGACTTACAATGACTACTCGGTATTGCTGCGCTCGGCTGCTTTGTCACTGTCGATTGAGCGAGAACTTGGACGCGCTGGCATTCCTTACAAAATGGTTGGAGGTAAACGCTTCTTTGACAGAGCTGAGATCAAGATTATCCTTAACTATCTTCGAGCGATCAACAATCCTGACAACAACGATGCAATCGTCAATGTCATCAACACGCCGTCTCGCAAGATAGGAGAGAGGACAGTCAAAGCCCTGCTTGAGGAAGCGGAGGTACGAAAGGTTTCCCTATGGAATCTTGTACAGGACATCGCGCAAAGCAGACGCAGCCCAGTCACCAAGCTATCGACATCTGCGCAGCAGGGCATCACTTTGTTCTTCAGGCTCGTTCACACATCACGTGAGAAGCTTGAGCCAGCTCAGAGGGAGCCATGGAATCTGCTCGATCTCATCACATACGTCTTCAACCAGACTGCATTTGAAGCGTATCTCAAACAGACTTATAAGGACAATTGGAAGGACCGGCTGGCTAACGTCGACGAACTCATTGCACAAGCAACGCAAATGGCTGGTGCAATAGTCGATGGTGAAATGGGAGTAGACGATACCTTACCTGAAGTAGAGGGTATAATACAGCGACCTGACAGTTCGGCCGATGTTTTGTCTAAATTTCTAGTAAACGTTGCGCTCGCAACAGAGGTTGAGAGAAATGACGGCGAGGAAGTGTGTCAAGTTACGATATCTACGATTCACGCAGCCAAAGGTCTCGAGTGGCCAGTTGTGTTCATTCCGGCTGTATATGAGGGATCACTTCCACATTCTAGGGCAGAGGATCATGACGAAGAACGACGACTTCTTTACGTCGGCATGACTCGTGCTAAAGCGCTGTTGTATCTCAGCTGCCCTATGCGCTCATCCGGTTCGGAAGAGACGAAACTATCGAGGTTCCTCGATGACCGCAGTCTCGAGAAGTCTTTTAGCTCGCGTGGGCCGGATCTCGCGTTCAAGAGAAACACCGTTCCTGACATTGCAAGCATTCTAGGAAGACCTTGTCCTAGTCTCACTCAACTTTCCGTAGCTCACGCCTTGCTTGAGCATCTAGAGGACGACAAGTATCCAGCGACCAGGGACGAGATAGACGGTGCCCCTGGAGATTTCAGCTCGGAATATACAGGGTGGAAGCATGACAGGCAAGGTTTCGACCCCAAGCGGCGCCGCGTCGAGTCGGTTGAGACATTTCGCTCTACGTCTGTTTCAGGTGCAAGTACCGGCGCCAGCAGTGTTGCGGCAGCAACTTCTGTCTCAACATCAGGATTTCTTAGCGCAAGAGACTTACAGAATCTGGATCAAGAGTCACGGCGCTTGATGTTCCAAGGAGACGACGATGAAAGCCGGAAGCCAGCATATAAAAATGTGCAGAGACTCGATGATGCCCACTCGCAGGGTAGAAAACCCAAATCTCGAGCAGCAGGTCAGGGCGCGATTACAAGCTTCTTCAAAGGTGCTGGTAGGGCACTCTCTGATACCCCAGGGCCGACACCGCAAGCGGCGGGACGTTCCCTCAAACGTTCTCAGTCCTCACTATCAGGTCTCACGCCGCTAGATGGCATTTCCAACGTCCGGCAAGTCGCTCCACCGCGCCCATTTCAACCTCTGTCTGTACCTACCAGATCGCTGCACAATCGTCCCATGGCCAGCAAACCCAAGAAAGCCACTGTCAACACTGACACCGAGGATACCCGACATGCTCTCTGTCTAAGCTCACCCTCCAAGCCGGATATGAAAGAACTTGTTACGCTCTCCGACGACGATACTAGCAAAGAGACTGCTGCCTTAGCGGGAGCGCCAGCCACTTTCATCAATGGGAGTAGGCCCGCATCGACATTCCACACAACATCAATGAGCATGGCGCAGAACCAACAGGCTCAGCGAAAGACGCTAGGAGCGCGAAGAACGATGCAGGGCTGGAGCGTGAAACACACAAGTATGCCAAAACCTCGATTACAGTAAAGTGCATGTGCGATCACATCCAAAGGCGTTCTGGGATACACGTTGGTGATTGGTGGCATTTGTAAGATTTGTAAGCGTGTGTTATAGCAGGCATAGTCCTCGAGTTTTGCATGCTCGACAAGACGAATCATTATTTTGTCTTCGACGCATTGCGTGGACGTTAGCATTTATCATAGACGAGTAACTTAGAGGCACACGTATTTACATCCATGGTCATCGGTGTTTGCAAATACGATAAATTTCAATTAATGTTACATCGCATTGCAATTGTGCTTTGCCATCTTATGTGAAGCTCGAATGTGATAGGGGCGTTCGAGATCTTGGCGACCTGAACCGGCAGGTGCACACCTACACATTAGCCTGATTCGACACCGTTAGACACGGCACCCAGGAAATCTCCGGCGCAGGACAGGTCTGACAGGATTCCTGTACGGGCGAGGAAATGACCTTCAAGGGCTTAGAGCCGCGTCTGACGCGCTTCCCGGATGCTATATTGATGCACTGAGGCGCGTCCTTCCGTGTTGCACGGAACGCCTTACATGATGCTTCTTCCATCCAAGCTGCGCACGCTCATCCTTCTGGTGACGTTTGCAGCCGTTCGTGCCCGTATGCGATATGAGATTGTAGGGGACTAAATATGTACTAACGCGCTGCAGAGACTGTCGATACATCGACAGCGCCATCGTATACGCCTGTGCCTAACGCACCGATCGTAGGTTCGACAAGCACAGTCGCACCTATCTCATCGCCTTCGGAAGCCGTCAATGATCTTGCGCCTTCGCTGGTAGACTCGAGCAGCGAAACATCTCCCGAGCCTGAGCCCACAGAGGAGGTCTGGCCTTGCGACCTTCCGGAGCCACCAGACTGGTGCGAAGAGCCGCCTCCCTTTTGGCATCCTGAGGTGACGGCTACTGGCTGGGACGACTGGGGCGAGTGGAACAATAACGGCGTTGGAGGGAGCAACGAGCAGGGGTTTGCGCCATCTACGACCGCGCCGAGCCCGGCTGAGCAAACACCAATTGTTATCACAACAAGGACGCCGACAGTCATCGAGATCAGGACAAGCGTGGACCCCAGTGCTCCGAATGCAGTGGGTGGGGTTGAGACAACGCCGGTTCCCCAACCTGAACCTGCGCTGGTGAGTGGTGAACCTACACAGGAGCAAGACTCGCCTGCGCAGCCTACTATTGGACAAGATACACCGCAGACCAGAGACTCAGGAAAAGGAAGTATACCTCAAGGTACCCCGCCCCAGCCTACGCCAGGACAGCCTGCGCCAGGACAACCTACACCAGGACAGCCTACACAGGGACAGCCTACACAGGGACAGCCTGCACCAGATCAGTCTACGCCAGGGCAGCCTGTTCAAGGCCAGCCTGTTCAAGGACAACCTACACCAGGTCAGCCCGTGCCTGCAAAATCGACGACAGTGCCCAAGTCCAACACAGCTGGGCAACAACACGCCTCATCAGGTTACAGCCTTGTTGATGTTATCATCAATCAGTTGGGCAATGCGCAGCCCCACGCGCGACCCACATTAGCCCTCTCTCCTTCTACCGGGGGTTCTAATCAACCCACCAGCCGCGAGCCACAGATGGGTTCACCCACAGAGACAGCGAGAGTCGAACAAGATGTGCGAGGGGGGACCGGGGCAGCCATGTCTGATCCAACGATATCAGGTGCAGTAGGTACAGCCTCTGCACATGACAGTATCGCAGTCGACAACACTATTACTGTGGGCTCCGCAACATTAACACTCACGCCTGGTCTCTCCACTGTGATTGGAACAGGGTCGCAAACAACACTCGTCGCCATACAGACTGATAGCGCAAGCCGAACTATCATCACTGTCAGCTCTAGCGGGACTGCTGTTACGGCAACGATTACGAATGCACCTGCGACGGTAACGCTACCACGGACAGGATTCGAGGCGAGCGTGACGGGTGATGCGGGTCGCGGCGTGACCACACCCCGTCCCGAAGTCACTGCTGCGACCACGAGTAGTAGAGGCATCGCAAACGGAAAAAACGCCAGCATTACCCACCTTACGAGGCTCATGCTTGGAATCCTCGGATTCGTGTTAGCATGATAGAAACGACAAGCCAAACAAGCCTTGAATGTTCGCAAAGGTCAAACTCGTTGTCAAGCCTCGAGCAAGCAACACTCGCATGTGTTGACTTCCGCTTATCACGCGAAGGCTCGTGAGCATAGGATCATAGGAACTATGAACTCCATGCGCCCGTAAGGTGCCGGTCATCCGAAGGCTTCTGCTCTGACAACCTGCATTCACGACGACCTCAATTTGCTATCACATAGTCGATAACTCGCACATGCCGAAGAGAGACAAGTCAGTGATCAGCAGCACTAATGCAGGTGCTAAAAGGTGCATGCCTTGGCTATTCCTGCCTTGGTTATTCCTGCCTTCCGCCTGTCCCGCGGATTGGATATCTGTGACTACGACGATGAGGAAGAGGCTAAATCAATCCTTCGAGCTATGTGGTATGGATTTTAGCGAATACGCAAATCCATGCACGGGAACATGTAGTATAACCAATACATGCTCCTCGTAGAGCTAAGAATCATCAATACATTTTCCAAGACCTCTGTTCGCTTTGTATCAAGATAAGAATCTCAAGCTGAACAATACCAGTACATATGTTGCCGTGCATACCTACGGAGATGAAACAATAGCTCTAATGATCGACGCCAAGTTGAAAGGCATCATAATGCACGACCACCTTCCACAACGAGCTTGCTCGTCCGAGATCGGACCGTACAGCACCAAAGTCGCAAGTAACTATAAGAAGCAGCTATGGACTGTGAACAGAATGAAGGCTATAGCTTTGCTTGCACTTTCCTTGAACGCTGTGAGAGAAGATGTTGCCGCTTCTTCCTGTCCTTGCCTTGGCGGCCTCCGTCTACGCTTCACCCATCACCTCTCGAGATGACAGACCGAAGATCATACCAGGCAGATACCTAGTCCAGCTCCAGACCGGCGCCAATGCTGCCACAGTTGCTTCCCATCATGCTAGTGCTCGTCGCCTAGCACGTCGTAACGACTTGCATGAACCCATCGAGCGAACTTTCAGCATCGGCGGCTTGAACGCATACCTGGGAGACTTCGACGAACAAGCCGCTGCCGACATCCTGAGCCTCGACGAAGTCGTCTCCGTGGTCCCAGATGAATACATCTACCTCGAGAAGACTGACTTCCCGCCTGTCCAGCCCCAGCGCCGCGCCCTCACCACCCAGTCGCCCAGCATCTGGTCCCTGGGCGATCTCTCGCACAAGGCCGCCGGCTCCACGCAATACGTCTACGACTCCTCCGCCGGCGCGGGCATGACCGCCTACGTCTTCGACACCGGCATCCGCCTGACCCACCAAGAGTTCGAGGGCCGCGCCCGCTTCGGCATCAACGGCGTCACAAACAGCACGGATCCCAGCAACGCCAGCAAAGACACCGACGGCCACGGCACGCACTGCGCCGGCACCGTCGCCGGCAAGACGTACGGCGCGGCCAAGAAAGCCTCCCTCGTCGACGTCAAGGTCTTCGACGGCGCCTCGGGCTCCATCTCCGCGACCCTGACCGGCATCCAGTGGGCGGTCAACGACGTCGTGTCCCGCGGCGCGCAGCGCACAAGCGTCTTCAGCATGTCTCTCGGGGCGGAGACGACTGCCACGCTGCTCGACGACGCCGTCAAGGCCGCGTATGACGTGGGTATCCTGTCTATCGTTGCGGCGGGCAACGCCGACGCGCCTGTCGGCAACAACTCGCCGGCACGCCTCGCGCAGTCCTTTACCGTTGCCATGTCGCGGCCCGACCGGGGTCGCGTGAGCCTCATTGCAAATGTGTTTGGCAGCAACTACGGGCCCGAGGTCGATGTTTTCGCGCCTGGAAGCGACATTGTGAGTGCGAGCCACTTGTCGGATACGGGGACTTCGTCGAAGACGGGGACAAGCATGGCGACGCCGCTTGTTGCTGGGCTGGTGTGCTACCTGCGCAAGCTGGAGGGAGGGCTGAACACCCCGACGCAAGTGACGAACAGGATCCTGCAGCTTGGGCTGAAGGGCGTGGTGAGCGATACTAAGGGCAGCCCGAATGTGCTTGTCAACAATGGAAGTGGAGCATAATTGGAAGATAGAGGATGACAGCGTTGGTTTTGCGTAGAGTAATGTAGAATCTATCGAGTAAGCTGAGAGCTGGAATTCCATCTCACCATCTAAACTCGGTGTTTGTCGGCCACATCCCTCTATCGCCACCATGCGGCGTGAACTCTACGCAAACGGGAACGTACCACGCCCAGGCTCATCCTCGGCCTTATTCGACTTGATACTCGAGCCTCGTGACACTCTCCCCGGAACTTTGTCTCCCCCTGTTTCTCTCTCGTCACCGAGCTGTTTACTTACGCCCACCGCCGGACTCGGTGGCGCGCTAACCTCTACCACCGGAGCTTCCACAACAAACACCTCTTCACCCGCGCCGTCGTGGTATGCGCTGTGCCGGAAAGACGAGTTCGAGTGTTGACTAGCGCTAGACTGTCTCTGTCTCCGTCTCGGCAGTGGTGGAGGGTACTGACTTGTCGTGCTTGCTGTGGATGACTTCCGGCGCGGTAAAGTCCTCTCCTGTGTACCTAAAGATGCGTGGGACTCGTGATCGTCGTGCTGTTGCAGCTGGTGCAGACTGTTATTCGACGAAGACTTCGACGAGCTTGGTCGGTCGGCTCCGGCCTTTTCTGGCGTTGTGGAGGGCCCGTTGCTAACAGGCTTTCGTTTCGCCAGGTTTGCTAGCGCTGAGGCGGCTTGTATGGGGACGCCCCATGTTTTCTGCTTGACTGGCGGAGGCAATGGTGTTCCAGGCGGCGGTAGGGGCTGGCCACGACCCATAGGCTCTGTGTGAGACTTCACAGGTTGTGGTGACGATGGTGCTTCGGAGGGGGCTTCGCCATCGTGGAACTGCCCATTTCGAATATGTACGCCTGCTGACAAGTGAGTGCTGTCAACACTACTCTTCTTACGATGGGGTGGCCCTTGAGTCTGTTTTGAGGCAAGCCAGTTCCGGGCAGCTCCTGCGGCGGCGTTGAGAGACTGGTTGATAGTTTGCTTTTTCGCAGTGCTTGTCTGCGCACTATGGGCTGCGGCAGTTGCAGCGGCGATTTGTTCTGGGGTCAGAACCTCCTTCGACTTGGAACGGGAATGGGCGGTCTCGCCTGTTAAGTTTGGCATGGAGTGCGAGGACTCTGACCAGAGTGTCGATGCCACGTTCTCTGTGGATCTATTGGGAGACGTGGATGCAAATTCTGCGGTATTTGATCGCAGCGGCGAACCAAGCGGCGTGAAATGTGGAGTCGATTTCGAATTTGCCTCGAGCGTGTCGGTAGAGGTATTGTTGGAACCTAGCTTCACCGACGGTGCCGACCGCAAGGAGCGTGACTTCAAAGGCGCGGCCTTCCAATCGGTTGAAGAGGAAACTCCTAAACCGACCTCTTCTGATTCAAAGCTCGAAGGTACGGACAGGTGAGAGTGTATCGATTCGGTATCGAGCTTTTCGATCTCAACAGGAACAGCATCGAGGCCTGAAGTCCCGTCTATGCTCAGATCGAGTTCCTCCTTGCCCCTTGCTAAGCTCTCCCATATCCCACCTCTTATAGTTTGCGCAATCGTATCCATAAACGGCATGTCGTCCCAATTTGGTGACACCAATGTCTCGTTCAGCACCTCCTTGATACGGCTCTCGATAGCTCTGAGGATTGGGCCATATGTGATCTGCCGCGAGCTGACGATTGGTTCGACCGACAACTCCACACGTGGAGGGGTCTCGAAGGTCATCCACAGGCGGTTGCTTGGAGGAGGTTTGATACGAAGAAGTAGGTGGCCATCCAATCGCTTCAGGTAACAGCCCAGGACAAGTGTGACCTCGCGAGCTTTGAATCGTTGGCCGAGATCGATCCTGGCAGTAGCTTGTATCTCAATTCGGAAGTTGCCCTTGTAGCTAACATCGGTTTCAACGACCAGGTCGCCATCAACCGTGAGCTCCTTCAGCTTGGGATTCGTAACAAAAGGCGGTAGTGTACCCATATCGATCTTGCGTAGTTGTACACTGCTGATGAGAGCAGGCTTTGGTACACGGGCGATCTTCTTGGTGATTTTTGTCGCTATGAAATTCTTGATCTCAGGCGTCTTGTAAAGAGCGAGGAAAACTCGGCCAATGAGCGCGTTGATCCATCTGGTATGCAGATTCTCTTCGTTCGCGTGTAGTTGTTGGACAAGCTTGACAAGATCTGGTGTTTCGAATTTGAGTGGAACTGGCGATGGATGATGGGCTGCATGATCCTGATGATGTTCCTGGGCTTTGAGCATGGTGTGATAGAAGTCTTCTTTCTCGGAGCAGTTGTCGGAGAACAGATAGAAGGCCTTCGCTTCTGCGTCTGGGTCGCTTTCGACCTTCTGGTTGAGTCGGATACCTGTAGGTGTCAGCTCGGTCACCCTGTCATCAGATTGGAATCTGCGTACAATTACGCTTGATCCAAAGCTCCCCTTCTGGTATCTGCTCCCCTCCACCGTATATATCGACTTTGTAGCGTGCGAGCGAGATCACATGGCGAACATCGAGCTGGTCTTCGTTGTCGTACAGCATAAGGTGTCCAAGTCTAGATCGTGGTCAGCTTGTCTGTCGACTATCCGCATCCACCAGTCAACTCACCTCAAGACAACATAAAAGACGTTCCGCGCCTTCTTCGTCTTCGCATTCGGCGCGTCCAAAGAGGGACTCATTGTCTTGTTCCTGTTGAATATGTTGCTGTACATGGACTGATATATGCTGGGGCTCTCCATGGCCACCACAGCGCCTGCAGGCGTCGTGCGCTCCGGCGGCTTGCCATTCACACCACCAGGCACATACTCGCGGCAGACCGCGAAGTAGCCGGCAAACACATCTGCCTCGTGGGTCCTGCCCTTCAAGCTTTCCAGTATCTGTTCATCCAAGCCAACTCCGAGACTCTTGAGGTCCTCGTCCTTTCCTTCTTTCACCGATCCGTTCGACTTCCTGCGCCGCTCTTGATTTGCAAGGTCGTTTGGAGGCTCTTCGAAAGGCGTTGCGCCTGTTTGCGTAGTCGTCCAGTACCAAGCAAAGACAGCCAGAGCCGGCAGCAGCGTCAGCCCTCCTATCAGATAGCCCCACAGGAATGTTTGCAACAACGTCCCATAACCCCAAGACCCAGCCCCGCTCATCTTGCCAGTTGTCTCACGTTCTTTGTTCGCTCGTCATTTGTGTGGATCGCGTTCTAGGTGCTTAACTCTGCGGTGGAAGAGTTCGATGCTGCACGCGGAGCAGCTGGGACGAAAGCTGAGGCTTCGGTCACGCGGCGGGCTTTGGATACGGCGTAGCGCAAGATGCTAGTTGCTCATTAGGGTGTGGCAGACATTGGTTGGTTCAGAAATGATTTGGATATGAGAAAGAGGCTAAGTAAGAAGGTATGTATGACAACCTGCGTGATTTCTAGATTTGTTGTAAGGAATGCAGGCGCGTTGTATGCGGGGACACCGGAGCTTCCACGTGTGGAGACGCATGGATCGCTAGCGTGATGTGACCTCATCTTCGAGATCCACCGCCGAAGCTTGTCACTAGAATGAGGCTTGCAATCGATAATGACAACCAACCATTTGATTACATAGACGTTAAACCTATACTGCGACCCCCAAGGATAAAAGAGTGTGGCATGTGTGCAGAACTGTATGGCACATATTGGTAGAATAAGAAACGGGCTTGTCCTGGCCTCCCGAAGTACTCAGATGACCGACAAGATAAAACAAGTGTAGATGCAGTCTAAGCTTCAAAGTGCCAGAAATAACTCACGGAGACACGGAGATCCTTCGGTTTATTGACAACGTGGTAAGAGCGCCCTTACCAATACCGACAGGAGTCCGCCAATTTCCGATACATATCTTCTCCTCGGTAGACACGTTTCGCAATTCTGATGCACGATGGTCGCTTCTAGGACCGATCCTTAGGCAATCAGTCATGTGTGAAGGATACGAGAGCACTCAGAAAGCTTGGCGGGAAGTACTAGGGGCGATGTTATATGCAAAGTAGAAGATAGGCCGAGTCCTCCGTTGCACTCTGCAATAGTACATTACAACAGTGATCTAAAGCTACCAGATATTCAGTTTGTATTGCCCTGGGTCTCAGAGTCTTCATAATCATTAATCTTAGGTTCGTATCCAAATCATCGAACATTTAGAGAGCATGGGTCACCTAGGGCTTGCGCGTTCGTTCTGAGCCTTCGACCGGCGCGTTCTCAAACATTTCATCGTCCTCCGCGCTGGGCCGCAGGTTCAGATCAATACCAAAATCATCTGCAGCGGAATGAATCAAGGCGATTAGGTCAGGAATTGTCTTGATCATTTTACGCAAAGCAGCCCTGCGATCATTGATATTCGGAGCCAGCTGCCTAGGCACTCCGACATTCAGCTCCTTAATTGCTTTATGACGAGCGATCGGGAAGGGCGGGTGCTATTCGCGAACATGCTGTACGGGCTCTCGATGGGTCAAACGAAATTGCCCAGGCGTGTAGGACGGCCGACGCGGTGGGTGGCAAGACTTGATATACACATGGTCCGTCTTGCAGTGTTCAAGACCGGCTTTGGACATTCCTTTGAACTGAGCAGGGTTGAGCAGAGCTTGTCCGATATTCCTGATGACACCTTGTAGGGTGTCCGTATGTTCCAGAAGAATGGCATCGATCGTATATCCTAATTCTTTTGCCAAGTTGTCTCCGCACTTGTCTGCAGGCAAGCAGTCACGACGATGCTTTCGACGCCTTGAGCTGCGATAGTAGATGTCACCAACTTTCACCGGCGATCGTGGATTTGAGGACGAAGACGAGTCCATTGCTACTTGTTTACGTATTCCCTTCTGCTTTGGTGACGGCTGATCTGACGGCGGAGACTTCATTGCACATGAATGACAAGGCATTTTGTGTGCATCCTCGAGAGACTTAATGCCACCTGCGTATGCGAAATGCCCGCAAGCTCGCTTGATCCAGTCTCCAGAATAGGGTGGGGGCCTGAACGTACGATGCGTACTGCCTAGCTTGATATGTGCACCAGGGTAGCCGAAATCTTTGGTAAGGCGTCTTCCATATGCTCCACGCCAGTCAACGTGATCTGGCAACGCGAAATCTGAATCGTCTGAGTGAGCCCCCGGAGCGAGATCAATACACGAACTTTGAGTCACATTAAGAGGCGAGAATCCGGAGCCGTCACAAGTTAAACCGTTGGGAATGGCATTTGCCTGTCTTTGCACATTCTTGCTTGACGCGCTACTGTTGTGATGCTTTGAGGAATGGCCTGAACACCATTGGGGTTCTAGCTCGAGCCTTTGGATGACCGCGGAGTCCTCATCCGTTAGAGGGGCACTGCGAGGCCTGCATCGCCGGAGGGGCCTGGCTGGTAAATCGAAGTCTTCTTGGCTAGGTCCTCGAACATTGCGATCAGACCTCGTACACTGAGATTGCTTCTGGGCTGATGGTGTTTCCTCAATCGCCCCTTCATCGCTCTCAGCTACTGGCGCAGATTTACATGTGGGGCGGCGTCTCACTATTTCATCAGATTTGCAACAACCATTTGATCTGTTTGCGCACCTCAGGATAACATGTGACGCATTATTGCCATCGTGTAACTCCGAGCTATCGTGAACCGCGCGTCGCTCGCAGCCCAGCAAGTCTGCTTCTCGAGGGCCGGTTTCGAAGACATTGGTAGATCGTATTTTTCCAGATCTTGGCTCGGAATGGCCGGACGGAGAAAGAACGTCATAGCCATCCGATTCACGACGCGTTGTTCCCTTGTGAAGGACCACAGCAGGATGCGTGCAGTCGTCTCTAAGGCGAGCGAAAGGTTCGGTCCCTTGGTGAGAGTCAAATTGAGGCGAGACATCCCGTGAGGGACGTGGCATGGAAGGTTTCACGCCCGAAGCTGCCTGTATATTGACACGTGGTTTTGGACTGGGAAGACGCGAAGGCTGAGCGACTTCATCATTGCAACAGCGGCTGGGCAGGGTGGGCGGCTGCACCCCGACTACCGGCTTTTTGGCATTTACGACTTTGGCTGCTGCAGCAGTTCCTGTGGGTGGGAAAAGAGGGGCACTTCGACTCTGAGATGATTTGCTTTCAAAGAATTCCTTCGCGGCCCGCACTGACACCGGCTTCGCTGGGGTTCGTGACGACAGTAATGGTAACGGTAAAGCGTCTGGTACATTGACCCTTACAGGTTCGGCTCCAACTTCAGGAAAAGTCTTGAAGCCAGCTGTTCGCGGAATACCTTCAGAGATTGCACCGACCTGGGAAGACGGCTCCAGTTCAACCTTTGGCCTTCGGTAAGAGTGGTCGATACTGTCTAGGATCTGTCCGTACGGATTCTTGCCTTCGAGATATGCAGGCGACTTGCGCCCTGATGGAGCAGGCGGAAGACCAATATCCGGCTGCGGTAATTTCAGCACTGGCGGGTTTGACGGACTAGATCGAGTTACGATGGGTTCTGATTGTGTAAGAGCATCGTTGCGACCCTGTCTTGTGCGCTGTGCGGGCTCGCGAGTGCCGCTAGCACGTGATAAAGAGCTTGACGTGGGTTGGTCAAAGCCTCTGCGCATCTGGGATGCTGGTAATAGCTGAATGCTTCAAAACACCTGAGCTGCACTGCCGACCAGCTTGCAATATGAAAAGTTGACTGTGAGAGAAAGAGACAAGGGGGTGAGAAGAATAGAGAAGTGTGTGGTAGGTTGGGCGTTGGACTGAAGACCTTCAGTTGCAGGTCGTAAGAACAATAAGGGAGAAGAGAGGTGAGGTGGTAGACATAATGTTTGGGCTGGCTCAAGATGCACCTTCTATCGATTCCTGACGGAAAGCACGCCGCATGCCCCACGCCTAATGTGAATCCAACACTCTGGCGGTCCTCACTGCCATGAAAACACTGACCAGTTCGCTTGATATTATACATACCACGTCGTCATGCTCTGAACGCTTATTTACACATTTACTTGAGGGCAGCCTGCAGGCTCTCGAGCACCTCGAGCTCAATCTTGGCCTCAGCAATGTCCTGTTCGCTACCGCTGCCGTTGGCAATCTTCTGGGCCTCGGCGATCTGGTTCTTGACGGCCTGTTCATTGTCAGCCCGTGTATCTCGGTATTGTTCCAGGCTGCACATACCTCGGCGCTGAAATCCTCAATCGCGTATCCCTCGACAGCGTTGATGCTGAGCTTGGAGTCGGGCTGGACAACAGCAAAGCCACCAGACAAGAAGAACTGCTTGTTGGTGCCGTTCTCCTCGATGATCTCAACCAGACCGGGCTTCAGCTGCTCGATGGAGGGGACGTGGTTGGCGAGGACACCCATATCACCGGTCTCGGCGGCAAGGTTGACCTGGACACTGCGCAATCCCTCATGTCAGTAATCGCTCGTTCGCATTGCGGGTTCGGTCGGGTTCGGGGCGGACATACACATCCTGGGACTTGAAGATGGTCTGCACAGAGAAGTGTCAGCAATTAATCCGCATGGCAGAAGCACGCTAACAGCATCTCTGAGATGCAGCAGACGCGGCCGGTGCGTACCTGGTGAGGCAGAGCTAGGGAGAGCTTGATCTTGTCCGAGGCGACCTCAGCATATCCACGGCGCTGGATGGGGCGGGCAATGGCGGCGGGGCGCGCGCGGAATGCGGAGCGGGCGATGCGGAAGGCGCTCATGATGGATGGAGGGGTGGTGAGGATGCAATTGCTGGTGCGGCCGAGAGCTTGATTGTCGTTGAATCTGCGAGCGAGCCCGAGTTCTGCGCTTGCCGAAGTCGACCCGCTAGCGTCTTAGCCTGACAGAGCTGCCGTGATGGAACTTGAATCTATCGAAAGGCGCAGGCAAGATTGGCAGACTTCAAGTTAAGTTTTGGCGATAAACTGCATAGCTCTGTTTCTACAGCTCAAGTTGTCTGTCACTTAGACATTTGACATGTACGCCAAGGCCATGCACCATCCAATATGCGTTCCGGTCTCGCAGATGCATGCTCATGAACACGGAAACAACAAGCAGAAAGTAGCGAAGAAGTTAAAAGGCACAAGAACTCGATTCAGGGGTATCTCAAATGCAAAACGCCCACCTAGTGATCTCTTTCCCCGGCCACTGTCCATGCCAGCCACCTCCACGCAGACGCAGCCTACGCTCGACTATCTCTAATAGTCGTCGAACTGCTGAGGGGCAGCCATGCTCATCCTCAACTGCCTCTCCCTCTGCTTTGCCTGCATCTCGAGTGTCTCCACCGCGTAACTCAGCCTGTCTTTCCTCGCCTTCAGCTGCTTGTATTTCAGCTCTTGCTGTGCACTTGCCGCCCTTGCGTTGCTCCGGCCTGCTGCTGCTCGACTCGCTGGCCGCGAACCTGATCCTCCGATGCTGTCGCGCCCCAGTCGTCCATCGTTCAGGTCGCATCTCGCGATAAGGGAGTGCTCGCGGCGTTCGAGTTTGTCCAGATAATTTTCGACACGTTTTAGCAGATTGTCGACTTCTGGGCGGATCTCTGAGAGCAATGCGCCTTGCGCAGTTTGGAGATCGGATTCCGAAATGAGCTCGAAATGCTTGGTACGATTAGTGCATTGCATCGCAGATGCGATAGACTGTCCGTACCCGTGTGGTTTGTAGCACCTTGGCTAGCCGTGGCATATCGCTCACACCGTCGTCGAGGATGTTGATAGTCGAGTCAAGGTTCTGCATGCTGGCGCGCAACGAGGCAACACATCCTTCCAGTGCCGACGCCATGCTTTCGATCACAGTTCAATTGTTTTCAAGACACGTCCAGATATCCTACGTATGTACGAGGTTGTAGTTGTGGGGTTTGCGGAGGGGTCGTAAACAACGATCGGCCATACCTTCCGCCGACTCGTGCTGCCAAGCATTGAAACTTCCGCTAGGAGCTCGACGACCCATCGACACCCATCTCCCACGGCACCCGCATACCCACCAATTGCCTCTTCATCACACGTCAAGATGTCTCTCCTCGGCCGCAAGTTCCCCGCGCAAATCGGTACGTCAGGCCGCGCAGCTCGCAGAAGCGCAATTGAAGTCGGGAAGCACCGCTAACGGACGTCCGACTGCAGCTAAGCCCATGTGGCCCTTCTACGTCTCTGGTACGTCGAGAGCACCGATCGCAAATCGCTGAAGAGGAGGTTTTACAGAGGAGATGAGCGATGTCAATTGGAGATTACAGGAGAAACAGAAGGGATGGCTGGACAACGTTAACGAACATTCACAGGCCTTGTCATCCTCTACGGTGTCAACTCTGCCGCCAACGCCATGGGCCAGGGTGAGTTCTCCGTCCATGAAACGACGTATCGCATGGTGATGGACAGAGCTGACATTTCCTAGCTGAGGAGTACAAGAACGACCCCCGCAACCCGGCCGTCAAGAACGCATCGCCCAAGCACTAGATTCGACAACGCACGATGACGGAGGGCCATGATACCATGAGAGGCACTGTACAATAGCCGTGTGTGCGGAAGCTGCCGGGAACGCCTCACGTCGAGGTGGCTGTATAGACTTTGACAATGCAAGCTTGATACGAATGATGTCTTTCGACCAGCCTTATGCGTCGCTGAGAGTTGGGTTGAATGCGCCTTTCCTCGTTATTCAGACTATCCTTATCCGTGCCTCCCAGCAATGCACTACACGGGTCGGAGAAACATGCGTTCCTCAACAAAACCGGAAGATCCGCGTACCATTGCCTGCCCATGACTCTGGACTTGGTCCCTACTATTGGCACAAAACAACCTGAGGCTGTTGAGAGTCGGTACTTCACCTCGAGCATTCTTCCACTCAGAACCAGCCTGTGCCAAACTAGAACTGTGTCTTGACTTGGCTGCCACTCGTACGGCATCTTTTCCGCGTGCAAATTGTACTCAGAAATGTGACAGTCAGGCATTGAAACACGTTCCCGGCATAAATTGTGTGAATCAAGCATGCACAAGTCTCATTGATCTGCTTGACATTCTCCACGGCAAGGTCAGCTGATACGACGAGGCATGCCGAGGTCCTCACACTACATGTAAGAGAACACCTCAACCTAGCTTAGCAATTCGCATTGGACAAACCACCTCGTGACCCCACAATAAGCAAGACACCAGGAATAGTTATTAAATCGCGTCTAGAACAGATCCATGCGTCGGAATGCTGCCCCAGTAGGAGCGTGACAGCTGTCAGCCACATTGCGCACATCGCATCACAAGCCACCGACATCAGCACCAGGACCCTGGGTTCGGAAGGTCTAGCAGAACCAAATATTGTCGTTTTTCCGTGCGGAGGTCCCCAGCGAAACTTTCCAGAAGGTGGCTTGATGGCTGGGCATCGTCAGCCCCTCGCTGATGTTGCAGTTGCAACGTTCAAGCGTGGAGCTGGAGGGCAATAGTGCTGCAGCAGGCCGATCTTGGCCTGTACGATGGATCGATCCGCCAGAAGATTGCCGCCAGATCGTTCGCAATTGCACGCCCATCCAGCACAACGACATGCAGCACATGTACTATATTGGGCAGCACCCACGTTTGTGTGGGCGTGAATGAGCGTGTAGAAGTGGAGAATGCATAAAGGGGCAGTGTTTGGTGCAACCGCAAGACCCGGCATGACGCGGGCAGCGGTATGCGGGACTTGAAACGCTTGAAGCAGTCCGGCAGCGCAGACCTGGCTGCGGATGGCGTGAAGGTGCACGCGCAGACGGTCGCTGGGCAGCCATGTTGAAGGTGCAGGGCGCGCTGGTCACCGTGCGGAAGTGGTAGCGTCGACAGTGCCAAGGCTCCTGCCGGTGTGGCTGCTACGCCTTCTAGACTGCCGTCTCCTCACTACCTGCTCTCTCGCATAACCACAGCGCTCTCCTCCTGGGGCTTTCTGCTGTTCTGTAGCGTGCAGCCGCCTTTTGCACTTTGACCGCAGCAAGCGATTCCTGGTTCGCAGCCCCATCCAGCTTTTCAGGTTCCGATTTCCGTTGGTGCCCATCCACGCCCTGTAAGTCCAGCCCAGCGAGCGAGCAAGGTCCCGCCCTCCCAGCTACCTGCCTCAACGCTCGTGCCTATGTATCCCCCGCAACAGTAGCTCTGCACCTCCCGACTCCTGTGTTTCCTACCGTCCTTCACTCCAGCTCGCGCTACCTCCCTTGTCGGCAGACGCGTTTGCCCGCACCGCTTACTCACCGCCTTGTTGGCAAAAGCCTCACACTGACCGGTCCGCCCGCAACAGGCTGAACCTCACCTCCACCACCACCACCACTCCACCTCCACCTCTGCGTCTCGCCCGACGCCCCCACTGCACCCAGCACATCTCCTGCAGGCCGACCTCCTTCAGGTTGATCCTCAGCAGCCATGACGACAATGGTGCGCACCACCCCGCAGCCTGCACCGACGTGCAGAGCCCGCATTTTCTCCACCGCAAGGCCACCAGCTGACTTTTACAGGATCTCCGTGTCGGCAACAAGTACAGAATTGGCCGCAAGATCGGCAGCGGTTCCTTTGGTGACATCTACCTCGGTGCGTGCAGGCATACTGTTGCTCTCTCACCTGCGCTAACCTGTTGCAGGCACGAACATCATCTCTGGCGAGGAGATTGCTATCAAGCTCGAGAGCGTCAAGGCCAAGCACCCTCAGCTTGAGTATGAGGCTCGCGTCTACAAGTCCCTCGCCGGCGGCGTTGGTATTCCCTTCGTGCGCTGGTTCGGCACTGAGTGCGACTACAACGCCATGGTCCTGGATCTGCTCGGTCCTTCCCTTGAAGACCTCTTCAACTTCTGCAACCGCAAGTTCTCGCTGAAGACCGTCCTCCTGCTCGCCGATCAGCTCATCTCCCGCATTGAGTACATTCACGCCAAGTCCTTCATCCACCGTGACATCAAGCCCGACAACTTCCTCATGGGCATTGGCAAGCGTGGCAACCAGGTCAACGTGATCGATTTCGGTTTGGCCAAGAAGTACCGTGATCCCAAGACTCACTTCCACATTCCTTACAGAGAGAACAAGAACCTCACTGGTACTGCCCGTTACGCTTCCATCAACACCCACTTGGGTGTCGGTACGTCTGTTCCAGCCCCAAACCTGACGGTAATTGCTAACTGTGAATAGAGCAGTCCCGTCGTGATGACATGGAGTCCCTTGGATACGTTATGCTCTACTTCTGCCGCGGCTCCCTTCCCTGGCAGGGACTCAAGGCGGCTACTAAGAAGCAGAAGTACGACCGCATCATGGAGAAGAAGATGACCACCCCCACCGAGGTCCTCTGCCGCGGCTTCCCCAACGAGTTCGCCATCTACCTGAACTACACCCGTTCCCTCCGCTTCGACGACAAGCCGGACTACTCCTACCTCCGCAAGATTTTCCGTGACCTCTTCGTCCGCGAGGGCTTCCAGTACGACTATGTCTTTGACTGGACCGTCTACAAGTACCAGAAGAACGCCCAGGCCATCGCCCAGGCTGCTGGTCAGGGTCCGGGTGAGGAAGATGACAAGAACGGCCGCGGACGTCACGTCACCACCACTGCCGCTGCCAACGCCGGCACTGCGGCCGGCACCAAGCGTGGACCGGTCAATGCACGCCAGGAGGGCACCGGAATGTGAGTTCGATATATCTGATCCTTGTAAGGACCCCTTCCTCTGCGTTTGGTGTTCGACAACGCTTTTGCGCGGAGGACGCCACAGTCAGAATTTACTAACCTCTGATTCTCTGTTCAGGCAGCTTCGTTCGGCCAACAAGCGTGGCGGGGACCAGTATGCATCTGGCGGCTACTGATTTCTGATGCGGCTTTCGATTCGTCATCTCTACTCTTGTAAACCGGCTCATTCGAATCGGATTTACACCAATGAATGGGAAATGCGGCAGTGCTGTCCTGGCAACATTTTGGACGGCATTCGCACCCATTCGATCAGTTCACGGGATCTATTCGTCGGAGACCTAATCAGGACCTGGCAGGACTTTTCGGCGTCTTGCACCTCTACGGCCTCGGGTTTCTGGCGATTGTCTTGGTATCTGGAAGCTTATCCCATGCGGTATCTCATCTCATATGGTGTCACGGCAGGCGATTATCACTACTCAGCGTTATGATTCCGTCAGTTCGACACCTAATACTTTGGACGCTGAGCACAGCTCTACTGGACATTTCCCGGATGATCACTGGTTCTACGGCGCTACTGCATTAATTCTGCCCTTTCCTTGTCTTTGTTACGTGGTTTCCTAAAGCATTTCCTTCGCGCGTTCCCCTCCTTCGGATATGGTCTGCCAGCTTGTGGGGAGGTCAAGATTATCAGGGGGTGAACACATCTAAATTGCAAACATAGTTGGAGCAGTGGCTCGACGGGGGTGGTTGGTAGGCCAGCGGACGTAATGGCGGGCGGCTAGACAGATGGGAGGGTTTCTTGAGGGGCCGCTTCCGGGGGAGTAGAAGGGTCTAGCTAGCTACCGTTCGTCCGCGTCTGCAGATGGAGGTGAATGACGGGTGGTTTACTTTACAATACAGTCTCCTTTGTTCCAGCCTATCTTCATGACTTCGTGACTGATATCTTACAGTGGTGTGTTTGTACAGTGACTGCAAACACGAACGCCGCCCAATGCCGTGTTGTACACAATAATCTACACTTTCGTTTCGATCACTCGAGAGCGTCGGCGGAAACGCTAATAGGCTTCTTCCTCCCCTTCCTGCCGCCAGTTCCCCTGATCTTCCTGTCGCTTGTGTACCGCCCTGAGCGGTCTCCGAACCTCTTTCCACCATATGTGACTCTATCATCAGCCTCGCCCTCGCCGCCCTGACCAATCTCGATAGTAACCTTCTTCGGCTTCCTGACCATGCGGCCCTTGCGATCAAAGTCCTCGCCGGGCTTACCCAACCGCACCGACTTCGCCATCCTCGTCTTCGCGCCCAGCCCCCACAAGTCGCCCCAGCGCAGCTTCTTCGCGTCGCGGAACGCCTGCCGACTAAACGACCGCGGCACCGTCCACCGCTCCAGCGTCCCCGCCGGCGTGCACACGTCAAACGTAATGTGCCCCCTGCGCTTCAGCGCGGGCAGAATCAGCCGCGGCAGCGCGAGCGGATTGACGTGCTCCGCCGTGACCATGTCCGGGTTCTCCGGATCCTGCGGGTCGGGGAGCCACTCGTGGCCCGCGAACGCGGCGTCGGTGCTGTCGACGCTCTGCAGCACACCGGTACCGAGCAGATCGTGCTGCGGCAGGCGCTGGTCCCGCCCGCGCTGCACCGCGAGGAAGCTGAACTGCACGTCCTCGTGGTTGCGGTCTTTGGCGTTGAGGATGCGCTGCAGGTAGGGGGGCCGGATGTAGCGCTGGGTGAAGAAGCAGAAGTCCTTGCGGCCGGGGCTCTTGCCAGGGACCGTGTACATGGGGCACGGCGCGTGGTTGGTGCACGGCGCGATGATCATGCCGGTTTCCTTGGCTTTGAAGCGCGTGTCGACGTCGGGCTGCGAGAGCTGTTCTTCCAGCGGCGTCTCGATCGTCGTGCTGTCGGGCGACGAGATGTGCCGCGAGAGCAGCATGGCGCGGGCGCCGGCGACTACTTCGAAGCCCCGCGGCAGGCCCTTTTCGATTATCACGAGTACGCCGCCGGCGGGGTTGAGGAGCGACCAGTATTTGGAGACGAGTTCTTTGCGCTGGTACTCCTGCTTCAGCGGCCAGAGGGTGTGGGGGGCGATGACGATGTCGTATACTTTGTGCGGCTGCGAGGTCTTGGAGTCTTGTTCGGGGGCGACGTGCTCGGGCAGGCGGGGGATGAAGGTGGTGTTCTCGAGGAGGCGGCTTGCGCGGTGGCGGAGGGTGTCGGAACCGGCGAGGACCGTGGCTTTGCTCTTCGGGGCGGGCCCTGGGGATGAGCTTTCTGGCTGAACGCTTTCTGACGTGGTCTCCTGCGGGGCGGGTTCGTCTGAGATTCCGTGCTTGCTGTCCCATTCGGCTTTCAGAATCTCCTGCCATGCGAGCACACCAACGCCGCCTGAGCCAGCGTCGAGAATTGTTCCACCCTTCTTGGCCAGCATGTGTTCTATCCACGGTGTGCCTAGTCGGCGTCGGACCTCAACAAGGGCACACATGACACTCGCATATGTTCCTGGTTGCACAGCCGCCATGTATGCGTCTGCCTCAATGTTGCCCATCTCGGTCTGCGACGGGTCGAGTGGAATAGGCTTCTGCTCCTTGCCGAGCCTCGCTGGTGTCGTACCTGCAGAGAAGGGCAGTCCTGGTCCACCAAAAAGACGGTTGGCCGACTCGGTAAGGTGCTTGTGGTTTGCGCGTGTGAGGAGTTGTGCGGTGGGGTCGACGAGCGAGTCCTTGGGGAGGAAGATGGTTGACGGCGACGGTTTGAAGCGACCAGCGAGGGTGAGGGGGTGTGTGCGCGTGAATTCTTCCTCGTCCTCTTCAACTTCCTCATCCTCCCACTCTTCAGCTTCCTCTTGTGTGTTGCGACTGTGCTGGTACACCTTCTCGTGAAACTTCGCTGCCTTTTGTTCTCTGTACTCCTCCCATTCGTCCGTTGTCATAGAATCTTCATCCTCCACCTCCAGTTCGGCCTCTTCCTCCTCGTTGAGGTCAATCTCCTCGAGCTCGCCATCTTCGCCTCTCCTTAGAAGCACCGTCGAGCCATCTGGCAGCTCCTCTGATATGATCTCCCCAGGCTGGTTGGTCTCCAGCAGCTCTTCCGCTGTGTCTACCAGTATCGGCGATCCGTATAGCCGCTCGTACAGTGTGAACTCCTCAGCGCTCAAGTGATCCCGAGGCAAATAGTCGCGGAACTGCTGTCTTGCATTTCGTACATTGACCTCGATATTCAACTTGTGTACTGCCGGGTCGAGGGATGGTTCGTTCGAGCTCGCCGAGGGGTCTTGGGTCTGGTCTTGTCGTCGTCGGAGCGTAGTTGAAAGAAATCGTTGCTGTGCGAAGCTGACTTGCGCCGGTCGCAGTGCCAGGGTCGACTGTGGCAATCGTGCATTACGCGCACGTGTGATCGCGAGGTTGAGGCGACATGATGCGCAGACGGACTGCAAGCCCTTTGCTTTCAACATTTTTGTGTGTTGCAGACTGGCGGCGTCGGTCACCTAGCTCACGGTAAAGAGAAAGTTCGCCGCATTCACGGCCGTCCACGCTAGAGCGCGTCGCCAGCCAATCACGATGAACGTGATGAAGGAGCATGGAGTCTCATCTCGACGACGCCATACCATTATAGATTACTAAATTGCAGCTTATTCTTGGGTATCAAATGCCACTAGTGTTTCCATGGAATTTCTGAGTAGCTTCTTGACTTCATTTGATGGCAGTGTACGATCCATCAGCTGTCTGCGGTAATTGCACTTCAAGAGGGTACGGACCGAGTACAGGCGGCTACGTTTAGATACCGACTGTCTGACGGATTTGACTAATTACCAGTCTTACGCGCCAATGCTTGCTGATCTTTGCTTACTGCCACTTATCGTATCGGTAGCTACCATCCGAGATATGGAGAGCTCCACCCCGCCATGTCACCATCGTTCTTAGCTGCACCTCCAGTACTCCTCAACACCCAAACGATTACAATCGGTTTGCAGACAATCTCGTTGCGAGCGGTCAATCCCAACATCGCATTGAACGACGTATTACGGAAAACGAGAGATCTTGAAGTAGTCAGTAGCTAGGCTGAAAGTGGCTTACATCAACCGTCCTCTAGTGTAGCTCCCGGCGTGCCATTGTAAAGAGTACAGACCTTCAACATGGGTTCAATCGCCGAGAAGTTTGACTATACGTCGCTGAAAGAGTTATTGAAGGGCACCGGGGCTGATGTTCTGGTTCCTGGAGATGGACAGAAGTACGAGGATATCATCCAGAGGTGGAGCGAAAGCTGTGTGAAGAGAGCTGTGTGTAATCCCAGTCTCCTCGAACCCCATAAAGACCCCGACACATTCACGCCTATATCATGCATAGAGCTGTACAGAACGCACGAACTGACTGTCTGGTAGTCTGCAGTGGTGGCCGTCCGATCTGCTTCTGACGTCCAGGCAACCCTTGAGCAGGTCCGTAAGCACAAACTTCCCTTCACTGTCCGAGGAGGAGGTCACTCGACGTCTGGCGCCGCGTCTATCGAAGATGGTCTCGTTATCGACCTCTCCAAGATGCGCGGCGTCACCGTCGACCCGGAGGCCCGCACCATCACCGCAGAAGGTGGCACCGTTTGGGAAGACGTCGACAACGCCGCCGCCGAACACGGTCTCGCAACAGTAGGAGGCACAGTGAACCACACCGGAGTCGGCGGCTTAACCCTTGGTGGAGGCTACGGTTACCTAAGTGGAAAACACGGTCTGACAATCGACAACCTGCTCTCCGTCGAAGTCGTCCTGGCCTCAGGCGAAGTCGCCACAGCCTCCCAGACCACCAACCCAGACCTCTTCTGGGCGATCCGGGGCGCAGGCCAGAACTTCGGCGTCGTCACGAAGTTCACCTTCCAGGGCCATCCCCAGCCTAACCCCGTCTTCGCCGGCCCGCTCGTCTTCCCGCCCACAGCGCTGCCGCAAATCGTGCAATTTATGAACAAATTCCACGCCACCAACGACGGCAACCAAGCCCTGCTCGTCGGCTTCAGCAGCCCGCCGCCCCAGAACGCCCCCGTCGTGCTGACACAGCTGTTCCACAACGGCACTGAGTCCGAGGCCCGCGCCATCTTCGCCGACCTGTTTGCGCTGGGCCCCGTCGCCGACATGACCGCTACGATCCCGTACCCCGTGCTCAACAGCCTGCTCAACGCGTCCGCGGGCTTCGACGGGCGCAAGCAGTTCGGCGGCGGCGCGTTCAAGCTGCCGCTCGAGCCCGCGTTCGTGCAGGACGTGTACCGCGAGTTCCAGGCGTTCGTGGAGAGCAATGCAGCCGAGCTGGCGCAGAGCATGGTGCTGTGGGAGGTTGTGCCGTACAAGAAGGTCATGGAGGTCAGCAACGAGGCGATGAGTTTCTCGAACCGTGGGGACTATTACAACGTCGCGACGATGTTCAAGTGGTGCGTATTTCCCCGTCATACTTACAAGGGAGATCACTGATGGTTTGTGTAGGTTCGATCCCAAGCTCGACACGCAGATTCGCACGTTCTCGCGCTCGCTGCTGAAGAAGGCGTCTGAGACGGCGGCGGATAGGTCGAAGGACGGCGGCGTCGGCCAGTACGGGAATTACGCCAGCGAGGATGTGGCGGCGAATGATATCTTTGGTGAGAATGTGAGGCGCTTGGAGGATCTGAAGCAGAAGTATGATCCGGACAACTTGTTCAGCCATGGCACGAAGCTCACGCCGCGGCCGTTGGTTGTGGTGAACTAGACATGACATTTAGTCTTATAGCGAATGAACTTTTCAGATCAAGATGGCTATTGAAACACATCCAGCTCTAAAGTTAGCGTGGTTTCATTAATCAAGTCTAGGGTTATATTTTTATGTCTCGATATCCACGTTGACTGTCACAAGTTCCTGGACTACCGCAAGTTCCTGGACTGCCGCGGCAACTAGGGAAGTGGGCCACCCGCGGGCAGGTAACTCCGGCTATCTCCCCGCAACGTAACGACAACCTCTAGTACCTATATACCACGCAGCCATGTTTTACGAAGGCACCTTACAGAGCGGCATTGGCCAGGCCATCCAGCAGCAGAAGCTTGTGGCATGCTTCATTCGAGGTAGGTTTGCGATTTCGCTCTTAGCATTATACTCACTGGTGCCTAGATGACGGCGCAACAAGCAAGCAGTGGGAGGATGAGTGGCTAAGGAGCGGTTGGGTATGTTGGCAAGAAGCTTGTCACGCATGATATCCCGTATCCCATGTCAAATGTCTGACCAGCGCAGCTGTCCAGTCTCCTCGAACAGAAAGCCATCCTCCTGCGCCTGGAGAGCGGATCGACCGAAGCCGGGTTCCTTGCCGCGTTCTGCAAGGTTGAGAGCGCGCCTACGCTGGTCGTCATTCACAATGGAAGGCTGCAGTTGCAGCTCGGGAGCGACGTCGGCCAGGAACAGTTTGTAAATGCCGTGCGGAAGGTCCTGGGAGCGTCGCCGATTGCTGGCTCAGCACCGGCACAAGCGAATACAGCGCCGGCAGAGGACGATCTGTACGGGGACGATGAACCTACAGCGGTCACAACGCCTGCGCCAGCACCCGTCTTACCGCCAGCACCAGCCGTCCCGTCCGTACCGAGGCGGAACCCCCCAGCAACCGTTCCTACCAATGCGTCTGCCAAGGGCAAGCAGCGCGCCGACGCTGCTCCACAAGCTGGTCTCGCGGCATCTTCAGCTACAACAAACTCTGCCCAGCAAATTGCCCGAGCTGCGCTACAAAAGAAGAAGCGGGAGGACGCCGAGGAGCTGGCGCGTATCAAAGCGCGAATAGAGCAAGACAAAGCCGAACGCAAGGCACAGGCCGAAGCGCGCAAGGCCGAGCGCGAACAGGAACGAACCACAAGCCCCCAGACCACGCCCCGACCAACACCTTCAACACGCGGCTCGCAAGCCCAGACCGTCCACCTCAACGTCCGCCTCTTCGACGGCCGCACCATCCGCACCACCTTCCCGCGCACCGCCTCCCTCGACAACCAAGTCCGCGCCTGGATCGACACCGAGTTCGCCGCCCTCGACGCTTCGGACGCGAACATCCAGAACCGCGCGCTGCCGCCCTACTTCTTCCGCCACATCCTCGCGCCCGCGCCCAGCCGCGAGCTGTCCGCCGGCGACGAGAACCAGGCCCTCGGCGACATCGACCTCGCGCCCAGCGCCACCCTGGTCCTCGTCCCCGTCAAGGGCTACACAGACGCGTATGCGGGCTCCGGCACGAATCTGCTCGCGGGCACGACCACGGGGCTCGTGAGCGGCGCGTTCGGGCTGCTGTCGTCCACGGTGAACTACGCGGGGGGCATTCTGGGGTCGTTTCTGGGGACTGGGGCGGGCGCGGCGGCGTCGGGGCAGGGACAGGGCCAGGGGCAGGGGCAGGGACAGGGGCAGACGGTGGGAAGTGCGCGCGCGGCAGACAGCGAGGGCGAGGGGATCCGGGTCCGGACGCTGGCGGATCAGCGGGCGCGGGAGCCGCGCGGTCAGCAGTTTTACAACGGGAATCAGGTAAGCGGGGGTGCGTGTTGAGGGGGTGCGTGTGCTGACTTGTGTGCAGTCGAATGTGGAGCCGCGGCCTGACGACCGGGGGTGAATGCCGTATTGTAGTCGTGGGAGCTTGGTCTGTGATATATTTCTCCTCGCTTGCGTATCTGAACCCCAAGAGACCCTTCAGCATCTTGCACAGCGCCGTCCGTACCCAGCCATGCTGCTACGTGACCCCCATTCCATAATCCCCCATCCCACGATCCCCCATTTCGCTATCCCGCAGCGCTTCCCCCTCTCCCCCTCCCCACACCCCCTTCCTAAACCCCCTTCCTAAACACCCTTCATCAACTCCTCCAACTCCTCATCCTCCTCCCACCCTCCCCCGCGCCGATTCACCACAATCCTCTCCTCCTCCTCCCTTTCCGCCAACCCCCCCAGCATATCCTTCAACTGCTCCTCGGTGACCTTCTGCCGGATACGCCCCGCGCGCGCCGCGGCAATGAGCTGGTTCTCGATCTCGGTCGCGCGCGAGGGTTTCACCAGGCGGATGCGGCCGAGCCGGTCGGCGGCGGGGGGCGAGAGGATTTGCGAGAGGGCGTGGGCGCGTTGGTCGGCTTGGGGGTGGTGTTAGCTAGGTCGGCGGGTCGCTGGGTGCGGCGGTTTGGTAGTAGGGGGGGGGGATGTACTTTCTTGTTGCCTGTGCGCGTCAGCGTGTGTATCTCATTTCAGAGGCTGCGTCGCGTACCGGCGCTGGTCCTGCTCTGAGGCGTCGCCGCCGCCGCCGCCGCCGGATTGCTGCTGCAGCTGCTGCAGGCGCGCCTGTCTGATTTGCTCGAGGTCTGCGTCGGACATTGCGGGTGCGCGGGTTGTTTGTTGTGGTGTTTTGGGGTTTGGGCGCGGAAATGTGGTGCGGGGAATTGTGAGCTCGGGGGTCCGAGTTAGTGGGGCGGGTGCGAGACTGTGGAAATGGGAGTGATGTCACCGCAGATATATGTAGCATTCATTTGAATTGGAAAGATGAGGGGTGTGTTCGGGAATTCGAGATTTGCAGACAGCACATTCGTATGCTAGGAATTCGAGAGTTGCCGACACCACGATCATGTTTAAGCAGAGAACGTATACGGCTTCAGTCATTGTCTTCAAGCTACCAGTCCTTCGCGTTTTCCGCCCCGCTTCCATCGTACTTATGCCACGCTGCCGACAACAAGGGCGGCGAACCCCTCCTCCTCGCTCCTCACGTCGATCTTCATTGTGACGCCTGTCCGGGCGCTGAACGCCATCCTGATCATGGCGGCGACCTTGCCGCCGGTTATTGTCTTGCCGTAGAGCTTGAGCGTATGTGTGGTGGTGGACAGCGCGACGTCTGTGCCCTCGAGCGGTTGCAGGCTCAGCGTCGTTGTGAGCTGTTCTGTGGCATCTGTTGGGCGTTAGTGCATCGAACTTTTGTTCATGTGCGATAGAGAACGTACCTGAGATGCTCTTCATCTCGCTCAGTTGCAATGTTTCTGTTGCCGAGTCGCCGTTTGCTTGGTCCCACACGTTGTCGAAGCTGCCAGCGTATGCCGGGACGACGTAATCGGCACCGTTGAGATCCAAATCCTCCACCTGGTACTCGTCGGGATACCCGTCGCCGTCCTCGGGTTCGTTTGTGCTCGGGTCGATCTCCTTGCTTGTGAACTTGAGCACGTTGGTGAAGGTGGTGGCGATGAACTGCGATTCGGTCTCGAGACGCTTGAACGAAACGTAGACAGTGCCGGGCTCGTTCGTGTTGAGCTTCGGCGCTGGGATGATGAACTCCTCTTCTAATTGAACGTCGCCGTCGTCCTCTGGCGCAACCACCATCTCGACATCGAGAAGAACTGTGTCGGGGAGTGTGTTCTTGATGTCGTACTGGAGAACCACGTGGTCCTTGAAGATGTGCTTGATGGCTGTGACGACGTACTCGGTTTCTGTCTCGGTGAGCTCGATGACGTCGCTCGACTTGAGAACACCGCCGTGCGCCGCAAGCTCTGGGATCTTCTGCAGCTCCTCCTGGTACTTCTGGGCGTTGCTCGCGGCCGACGCAGCGGCCTCGGCACCGACCTTTGAGGGTGCCTTCGCAGCGCTGGGAGCCTTGATGGTGGGTGTGGCGCCTTCAGTCTTCTTCGACAAATCAGCGGCATCAGCTTGCTCGCGCGAGACGGTGGGGATCTTGGTGATGTCGAAAGCTGTCTCGAAGGTGTCACGAGAGTCAGAGCTAACGTACATCGCAAGCTGGTGCTCAAGAACAGGCAGAGAGAACATGGAGTCGTTACGAATGAAGCTGAGAGCCAAGTCATCGTCCTGGCCCATCAACCGAAGGTTCAGTGCAGCACGATCACGGACTTCGTCGTCAACGTCATCGAGACAGCGGGTGAGAAGTACGTGCACCGACTTCTTGATCTCAGGATCCTTCTGGCCGACACCAAACTTGGCCAGCGCAGATGTAGCAGCAGCCCGGACGATGGCGTTCTCAAGAACCACGCGGTTGTAGATGTAACGGATGTACTTGGTGGGGTGAGGTGTTGAAGGGCCCTCGCGGCCAAGAACGAACAAAATACGGACAGCAAGCTTGGTGAACTCGCAGTCCTCAATAAACTCGCAGAGAGTTGCGAGCGCGTCCTCTTTCGCCTCGGGCACAAAGCGGATGAGGTCCATAATTGCTTCCACAACAGATCGCTTGAACTCATAGCCGCCCTCGTCACGGAGAATACCGCTGAGGAAAGCCAGGAAGCCCGACTGCTTAGCCTTGAACTTCAGGGCCAGGGTACGGACAGCCTCCACGATGGTGACCTTGAACTCGTCGGTAATCTCCGCCATGAAGCCGGCGATCTGCTTCATGAGCCTGTCTACCGAAGACTCGTTACCGGTCTTGAGCAGTGTGGTGATGGCGAATGTAGCGATGCTGCGGTTGGAGTTGGTGATGAGCGACTCGATGTCCTGGTTACATGTGCGCACAGCATCAGGCTTGAACGAAGCCATTTGCGACAGAATCCTAAGCGCGGCAAACTTGGTGACGGCGCGAGGGGATGTGAGGAACAGCTGAAGAACGTGGACAGCTTGGACGAGCTCGGCATCGGTGACGTCGCGCATGTCGGCAATGGCCTTTGCGGCCTCGAAGTTGACCATCTCGGACTTGTGGCGCAACCAGCCATCGAGGAGTTGCATCATGGGCTGTGGAATGGTCAATACTGTAGATCACAACAGCGCGACGACGTACCTTTCGCAGGTTGGGGTCCTCCTCAGCCAACTTAGCAGCCAGCCTGACGAGCAGAACTGTCGCAGCAGGGCTCTTGACTACACCCGCAGCCGAGTACTGCTGGACCATCTTGACCAAGCTCATCCTGTCGCCAGAGCGCATTTGGTACAACAGACCAATGGCGTGGTACTGTGTCATGTAGTTTGTGCTGGCCTGGAGGCCTGTCTGCGAGTTGCCGCCAAATCCACCAAAGAAACCACCAGACTTGGCCCCAGAGGCGGCCTCAGCTGCCTCAGACTGCCATCTTCGGACAACATCCTTGGCGACTGGCAGGAGGTGGTACGACGAGACGAGGGCGGCGGAGGCTACGGAGGGGTTCTTGTCGACAATGCACGTCTTGACGAGACGCTCGATGGCTTGTACGGTGGAGGCATCGATAACACGGCACAGCGCACGGATAGCGTTGGCGCGGTACACGACGTCGCTGCCGACGGACGTGTCCTTCATGATGGAGGATGTGACCATGATCACGTCGTCGGCGGAGCCAGCGAGCTCCTTGATGACCAGGTACACCATCTGGCGCAGAGATGCATCCTTGTTCTGGAACAGCTTCGAGATGCCGAAGAAAAGTGTGGTGGCTTCCTGACGTCCCCAGCTCTCGCCCGTGAACATGAGCAGCGCAAGCTTGGTGAGGATCACTCTGCACTTGCGCGGCGACACAGGGCTCTGGTTGAAGACACGGGCATCCTGGAACACGGTGGTCTTGTCGATCTGGGCGACGCCGCCAACGTCCTCCTGCTTCTTGTCCATATTGTCGCTGAGGTGCAGCTCTCACTGCGAGCTCCTCCTTAGTCCGAATAAAGTGTCCCGCTCTTGCTCCACCAAACGTGGCCTTTGCCTATCAATGCGGTCGACGGTGTCCAGACCTGGCGCTGCAATTGGTCGTGAACGATCGGACGGCGAGAGAGGATGCGCCGGCGAGGAGTCGTGATTACGTGGTGTTGTGAATCGGTGTACGTTGAAGTTCCACCCTGCGGCCCCGGTGTGTACTGTGCAGGGATGCGGTGGGCTGCGTGTTTGGCCTGTTTGACTGGCCTAGCTGCACTAGCGTCCTTTGGTTATGCGGCGGACATGTCGGCCAGAAACGGGAAAAGAAGGCGCAATCTTGGTGAGCATATCTAACGCTCAATCCCAACGCCTCCCTCTCCTCTCACTTACACCTCACATCCACAATGGCTGCCTCGATACCCCGCTCACGATGCCTCTTCGCCGTGCCCGCACGACAGGTTGTTCCTCAGTCGCGGACCATTTCACAACGCGCCCGAACTTTTGCCACGACCTCAGACAACCCGCCAGCAGACCCGACGTCGAAGCCAAAGAGGGCTGCGACGTCGTTTAGCGACACACTCAACGCCGGCCCTTCGTTTGCCGATTTCGTCAGCCCTAATGCGCCACTATCACCCGCCGAGGCCTACGAGATCAAGACTGCTACAGTAGGGCCGGAAGGCCGCAAGAAAACCATCACTCGGCTGCCGGAGTGGCTGAAGACGCCGATTCCTGTCAACCAGAACTACAAGAAGATCAAGAAGGATCTCCGAGGACTGAACCTCCACACTGTCTGCGAGGAGGCGAAATGTCCCAACATTTCGGACTGTTGGGGCGGAAGCAACAAGAGTGCGGCGACGGCGACCATCATGTTGATGGGCGACACTTGCACGCGTGGCTGCCGTTTTTGCTCGGTCAAGACATCTAAGGCGCCTCCGCCGCTGGACCCGCACGAGCCCGAGAACACTGCCGAGGCGCTGCGAAGATGGGGCTTGGGTTACGTTGTCCTGACATCTGTGGACCGTGATGATCTTGCAGATGGCGGAGCGCGACACTTCGCGGAGACGATCATGAAGATCAAGCAGAAGGCGCCGACAATGCTCGTCGAGGCGCTCACGGGAGACTATGCCGGCGACATGGAGATGGTCAAGACAGTGGCTTTGAGCGGACTTGACGTCTACGCACACAACGTCGAAACCACAGAAGCTCTCACGCCTTTCGTTCGCGACAGGAGAGCCAAGTTCAGGCAGTCGCTGGACGTTCTGCGAACTGCAAAGGAGGCACAACCGACGCTCATCACAAAGACAAGTATCATGCTGGGTCTGGGCGAGACGGACGAGCAGCTTTTCGATGCATTGAGAGGTATGTGTACATCCAGCCTCCTATTCTAGCACCTGCTGACCCTGCCCAGAACTTCGCAAGAACAACGTCGACGTTGTAACCTTCGGCCAATACATGCGACCAACAAAGCGCCACATGGCCGTTCACGAGTACGTCACCCCCGATAAGTTCGAGCTTTGGCGCCAGCGCGCTCTCGACATGGGATTCCTGTACTGTGCCTCCGGACCCCTTGTGCGATCCAGTTACAAGGCAGGAGAGGCCTTTATCGAGAACGTCCTTAAGAAGAGGAGACTGGGAGGTGCAGGTAACGGCGAGGTTACTGCACCATCAGCAACCGAAAGCCAGACTTTGTGAGGAAATCTTGATGCTGATGAGCGATTTGTATTATACTTTGCGAGCTTAAGCGCATTCAACGAGCACTAGCTCCGTGCACTTCAACGTGTGCGTAATGAAACCGGGCAAACATTCGATAACAGTTCTTGTGGCCTCAGCTCGAAACTCCCGTCACAGGAGATACCGACCCAGCTAATGTCTGTGCGCATTCATGGAGAGCTGTGTGATGGCCGCAGCCGTACTGACCAGGTTCGATGCGACCGTGTTTTCTGGGCCATTTTCTCCAACATCCCACAGCATCACAGATGTTCACTTCTACTTATTGCAGGCATCCTTGAAATATCTCACTGGTAGAAGGCCAGCCGTTTTTCTGGAGACGGTTAACGCCGACCTAAGAATCCACCCAAGCAACATCAAACTTCGGGAACAAATCAGGCACTCGAATACATATTGTGTTCCAGGTTCATCGCATCGTATCGCTCAAACTGATCTTCAAACCTGGATATGGAGCTTACTCGTGTTACAAATGAAGGCGTCTCATTCGCTCCCAATAACATCATCCAGGAATAGACAGTGCTCAACGCAGAATGTGCGACTATTCAGATGTTCTCTCTACATCACCTTGCATATGCCTTCTGGTGCATCCTCGACGTCCGTCACCCGCAAACTCGATCTTCCTCCAGGCAATTCTACCACCATGATCTCAAGGGGACTGCTCTCGAAGCTCTATCGGCAGCATTTCCCAGGCTATGAGACTTGCACATGTTTTGGAACAGATTCACATCCACTGATTAACGGATGAGACAACAGGGTGCACGAGTCGTACGTTATGGCTGATTTTGCGAAATGTACTCTTGCAGTCACACTTCCACCTATCTGGTTTCGAGCAGCCCCGAACCTATCTGCGCATTTAGACGACCAGAATCCGAATCAACCCTACGAGCAGCCGTCAGCTACCTAACAAGATGTGGTCCATCCCGTTATGGGCTTGGTGTTTACTTCATCATGTGGTTTCCCGCGGCTCCGAGTCACACCCACAACAGCCACGGTGGCACTCACACCGCACTCCAACCTTATAGAGCTCGCTTCCGTCGCCAAAGTCTTCCGGGGCGGCTGCATCACACATGACCCCGCCAACCTGGCCGAATTCGACCTTATCACTCCAGAGATTATAGCTCCGGTGAGCTGTATTCAGGCGGGCCTTTGCAGCTACGCTTGACTCGGTGAACACGACAGAAGCTTCTTCTGAACATGGTTGCTGGACAAGCCTGGTGCGAAGACTAGATTCGAGACTCGAGGGCACACTAACCTACAAAGTCGTTTCGAATACAGCTGTACTCCCGGCGTTCAACAGGATATATACCAGGCGAGGTACATCCGCGTTCCGCTCGGATTGCACCCGCTCACATCGATGTCTTCCGAGTAGTGTTGGTGTTTTACTGCGACAAGACTGGGGCTCTTACTGCTTGGTATGCCTTACGAGGGCGATGTGAGGTGTATATGGATCGGTTTGTGCAGTAGCAGAGGATGTATAGACGGTCTCGTGGACCTTTCTCGGTTTCGCCAAAGTGTAACTCGACTATTCCAGGGGCTTGTCGGGTCTTTTGAGACTCTCACTTAAGGTAGGAAGGAGCGCACCTGCACCTGCACCTCAACGATATTAAACGAGAGCGAAAATTTGTCGAGAAATAGCGTCAATAATCAGTCCACCCTGGAAGCTTCTCGTCAATTCATCACAAATTCCACTGACGCGGTACGGTTCCTTCACAGTCCCGCTCTCTTATCGCGTTCCTGCGCCTCATGCAACGCCACGTAGGTACATGTAGCACGGTCCAAGTGCACAGCCACCGCGTAACCTGTTTAAAGATGCATGTCTCCATTTCACTCATAACAACACTGCTCTCCTACATCGCCTTCTCTCAATCTGTTGGTATACCACAGCCTCAGGGAAACACAATGTCGACAGCTTCGGGATTCAAGAATGTTGCGTACTTCGTGAACTGGGTATGTCGATTCACCAGCGCCACTCCAACGTCATACTAAGCTAAGCTGGAATAGGGAATTTATGGACGTAACTACAACCCCCAGGATCTACCAGCCGATGAGCTCACCCACATACTCTATGCTTTTGCAAATGTCCGGCCAGACTCTGGTGAGGTGTACTTGACGGATACATGGTCAGACACAGACAAGCACTACGAGCGCGACTCGTGGAATGATGTCGGAACCAATGTCTATGGCTGTGCCAAACAGCTTTTCCTCCAAAAGAAGAAGCACCGCCAAATGAAAGTTCTGCTCTCGATTGGAGGATGGACTTACTCGTCCAACTTTGCCCAACCTGCATCAACGCCCCAAGGCCGAGCGAGATTCGCCAACAGTGCAGTGGATATCATGATGAATCTTGGCTTTGATGGTACCTCACACGCCCAGACAAACACATAGTACCCTTCTAACGCACCACAGGTCTCGATATAGACTGGGAATACCCAAAAGACAACACCGAAGCCAGGAACCTTGTTCTCCTCCTCGCCGAAACCCGCAAAGCACTAAACGCCTACGCCGCCGAACACACCCCCGGCGTGCACTACCTCCTAACCGTCGCCTCACCCGCCGGACCCCAGAACTACAACAAGCTCTGCCTCGCCGAAATGGACGTTTACCTCGACTTCTGGAACCTCATGGCGTACGACTACGCCGGCTCCTGGGACTCTAAGGCCGGCCACCAGGCCAACTGGAACCCCGACTCGCGCAACGCGTCTTGCACGCCGTTCAGCACCGCGCAGGCGCTGCGCGACTATGTCGCCGCGGGCGTCCCGCCGCACAAGATCGTCGTCGGCGTGCCGCTGTACGGGCGCAGTTTTGCAAACACCGAGGGGCCCGGGTGTGCGTACCAGGGCCAGGGGCAGGGGAGCTGGGAGGCGGGGATCTATGACTACAAGGCGCTGCCGGCGGACGGGCCGGGTGTCACTAATGACATGCAGGTGGGTGCGAGCTGGAGCTATGACCGCGGCAGTCGGTTGATGGTGAGCTATGACACGCCGGCGATGGTGCGGATGAAGGCCGGACTGGTGCGGGAGAGGGGGCTAGGCGGTGCGATGTACTGGGAGAGTAGCGGGGATAGGAAGGGCGAAGAGAGTTTGATTTCCACGGTGAGTTATGGTGTGTTGCTAGTAGGAGTGAGCGTTTGCTAACACGTGTACAGTTTGTGAAGGGCATTGGTGGTGTCGGAGCGCTGGATCAAAGCCAGAATGTTCTGCATTATCCGGCGAGCAAGTACGATAACCTGCGCGCTGGGTTCCCGGGTGAATGACTTGCAGGGTTTGTTGCTCAACCCGTCAACGCGCTTGATGGAGCTGGATCGCCGTTGCTTGCTGCGAATGCATCGGCTTCGACAATGCTCGCGTTGGGCGGTAACTTGACATGAACACGTCCGGCTGAGATACAGTAGAAGAATCATCTAAGTCTACGAGATACACAATCGATCATATACATCAGCTCGACTTTGCGCAGCATGTATCAATTGAAATCTATCCAATAACTGAAGTTATGGGAGCGAGAGTGCTGCCAACAAGCCTCTCGATGACGTTTTTGGTCCTGGTCTTACCGACTACCAGTAAGTGTATCGATCTTGTGGGTATAGCCATGTCGGATAGAAGCAGTCTCGCCGGTCATCGGGATCAAGTTGATCGAGGTTCACGATGCAGGTTACATTGGGGTGCAAGGCTTCACCGGCCTCCCCTTTATTTATAGGGTCCGCTTTCTTCTGTTGGTTGCTGCGGGCCTGGAGGCTCTCAATCCTACTTCGAAGTGGAAACTCGCGAGATGTTCTGTCGGCCGAGTGTTCGCTGGTGTCCACTCTGGCTCGGCTTTTCAGTCGCTTATCTCTATTGCTTCTCTTCCGCTTTGCAAACATCTGAGAAGGGGTTCAGTCACACTCATGGACAACGTGCAGGTGAGCATTCAGTCCGACTGTTAGCTTCTTGACAGACTGCACTAGGTGGTAGAAACGACCAAACTCCGCGATTGGTATGGATCAAAATTGCTCAAACAACACTGAATCAGTTGCGCATTTGGCATCTCTTTCATGATCTGCATGGTTGGTTTTGGTAGTTACAACAACAGTAGCAACAAATCAATTAGGCTTTGATACGGAAATAATACATACAGAAAAGAATCTGCAACACTGCAGTAATTTGACACGCCACCTGCAATCCTACTGAAGTAGAACATCAGGCCTTGGACAGATAGGACTAGATGGTATCCAGATGTCCTATGCCATGCATTGACATCAAAACATGGAATCAACCTGATCTTTGGATCAAGGGTAGTCAAAACCCCTACAGTGCTCACGGGTTTCAGACTAGTCCCCGGCGCCAGTTTCCAGTCGTACTTCAAGAACAGATGACAAAGCGCAATCTTCATCTCGTTTGCCGCGAAGAAGCGACCGGGACACGCATGTATGCCATGGCCGAAGGTGAGATTGTCCACGCCAGTAGAGACCAGGTGTGCCTTGTTTGCCGTCTCAGGGTTGTCCCGCATGCGCGCGTAACGTTCGATGTCGTATTTCTCCGGGTCCTCGTAGATTTGCGGGTCAGTCATGTTGCTTGCATCTACTGTAACCCGTTCGCCCTTGAGAACGACGAGGCCGTCTGGTAGAGCAATACGCTGCATTGCCATTCTGCGCATAAGAACTGCAGGAACGAGATTAGAACTCTCACGCTAAGCTGTGCAACAGAGGGGTTGACTTACGCAGACCATTTGGTTTGACTCTCTGTGTTTCTTTCAAGGCGCTATCGAGGAGTTTCATGTTGAAGAGTGCACCCTTGTTGAAACTCTCGACTCGTATAACGTTGATGATCTCCTCACGCAAACGCTCTATGAGTTCTGGCTGATTCGCGAGGCGAATCAAGGTCTGAGTGAGCAGATCAGTCGTAGTGTGAATTGCAGCAAATGACATGAGCAGCTGCAAAGCCCCCATGTCGAATGCGGCTCCTTGACTCTCTAACTCGGCCCACTCGAGTGCATCCTCAAAGGGCTTTATCGAGAGTCCTTCTCTTTGAGCCTGCGCTTTGATAGCTTTTCTTTTCTCGACGACTGGTGTCAAGATCCTCCTCGAATCTTTACTATTCTTGCGGACAACCCTAGCATCCGCAGAAAACCAGCTATACACCCGGACAAGGTATTTCGGTACAAGACTCATTCTAAGACCGGCAGAGAAGGCGTTGGCCGTGTATTCCTTTGTCAAGCCAATCCATTCCGGGTTTCGGCAAAGTTCTTCTCCGAGAAAGACGCGAGACGAGACACGGGCGATGAGGTCGAGTGTAGCATCTTTAATGCAGATCTCTTTCCATTCTGTAGCAAGATCAGATCGGGAATATAAGGTGGAATCGGAGCATTCTCACCAGGCTCAGTGCCGAAGATTGACCTGACAGCAAACGTGCACTCAGACGAAATGGGCTCGGTTACCGTGTCTAACATATTCTGTAAGCGGTACGATTCTTATTCCTGTTTCGCCACTTACTAAGATATTTCGTGAGCTGCTTTCGCACTACGGTCTGAATAATTTGCTTGTCATGACACAAGAAGTCAATTGGCTCAAATCCTTGAAGGTGGCCATTAAAGTCCTCCAGTAATGTCAATTCTGCTAAAAACTTGCGGACAACCCAACTTACTTGTGATATAGCTCTACCAAAGCTCAAGTCTTTTTCGTTCCGGATTTTGTGGCCATACGAAGGTGGAAGCACGAGAACCTCGCCCTGTTCGGTGATGAGTCTATAGGGGTTATCCCCATATATCTTTTTGGCCTTTTCAAAAACCTCCAGTCCATGTCGCAAGAACTCGATTTGCTTGGACATGCGTGTCTGAAACCATCCCGGAGGGTTTGCGAGGGGGTAAGGAGACTTCTCCTCAAGGAGCTTCAGAAACCCTGTCAAAAGGACAGCTAGGATCGTCGTAGCAACGATCAAAGAAATTGTGCCAGCGGACGATTTATCGAACACTCGTGTGGAATTTGGTGGTTTCGCGGCGGTAGCTGGAGAGATGTCTATGTAGTAAAAGGGATTGAGGTCTTGAGTACACATGTCCAATACGCTGTGAAGCCGTATGCTTATAAACTGGTAAGAGCTGACTTGACACTGGATGTGAGCTCAGGATACGACTCTCCGACCCTCCTTTGTTGTTGCGCATCGCCAAGAGTCATACTGTATGATGCTCTATATGAACAGTGGAACTCAAACGTACGTCGAAGGCGCAGCCTCAAGCTGAAGCTGCTCGGATCCGGGTTCTAATCTCATCTGCCCCTAGATCGACTTGCTCATGCCTCATGCGTTCGGATGGTCCTACCGTAGACTCGCACCCATAGTACCCTCTCACGCTGTACGTAATACACCCCTAGTCAGAATTGTTTTGGTTATTTGCCTTATTCTTCATTACAACTATTCCTACTGCACAGATTGGGTAATATTTAAGTGTACTTAACGATTTACCTGACAGATTATCCTAGGAAAGGAGATTTATGGACGAAACTATCCATAATACAGTAGTGAATGAACCTTGGAAGCGAGGAGTTTTTTTACGCAGTCTTGTTACAAGAAAGGCCGAAGTGACTCAGATCCTCGTCGGAGGGTCGGATATCAACAGAAACTGTTCTACCAATGCGTAATAGAGCCGTGCTGAGTTGTCTTGGCGAGCAGGCTGTGCATACTATGCCAAGTGTCCGTATATACCTAGGTATGATATGGAGCAGACAATCTATATCACGTCGTTTCTCTCCTCTAAGCTCTTTATCTAGGAGATAGTACTGTTGCTTCCGAATACACGATCCATGGCGCGATGCAACAATCCTCTCGATGTTGGAGGTACGCTTTGTGCCAGCTTCGATATATGAACACATCTAACGACACACAGTGCACGAAGTATCTTTGACCGGAGGCCTTACATCTCATGGGCTTCTCATTCTGCTGGCTACGATCACTTCGATGGTTGCTTGCACAGTCTCACTATATCTTATCTACCAACACTTTGTCAACTATTCTCAACCTTTGGTGCAAAAGCTGTAAGTAAGATCACAAGACAAGGTCTTGAGGGGAGAGTTGTATGTGTACTGATTTTGCGTCACAGTATAATCCGCATCCTGTTCATGGTTCCGATATACTCGATCTGCTGCACTCTAAGTGTTGCCTTTTATAAGCAGAATGTCTACCTTGGCGCCATCTACGAGTTTTACGAATCGCTGGTCATAGCCAGCTTTTTCCTTCTTCTGTGTCGTTACTTGGATCCAGACCTTGACAAAGTTCGAAATAAGTTTGCCATACTCACGCCACAGCCATGGCTGCAACCTGTGCGATTTACACGGAAGTTCGTGTTTCGTAAGAAGAACGAGAGCACCACTGACGGCTCATTGTGGTTCAGTGTGAGTTTTTCCCTTTCCCAAAAGCAAATGTACAATTCTGTTCTCGCTTTCGATACACAAAATGCCTGACTGGAAGCAGGTTATCTGGATCTGCGTACTGCAATTCTGCGTAGTGAAGTTCCTGGGCGCCCTTACCAAGGTGATCACAGAGGCTGAAGGCGTGTATTGCAAGGATAAATATGATGCATCTTACGCAAGAGTATGGGTATGTTAATCCCACCACTGAAAGGACAAGTAGGACGCGTTTTTCGGTGTACTGACTTGGTTGCTATTCGTAGGTGTTCGTTATTGAGATCCTCTCTCTGGTAATAGCTATGTTCTGCCTTCTACAATTCTATAAGCAAACCGAGCTCGAGCTTTCGCATCACCAACCGCTCCTCAAGTTCATTGCCATCAAGTTGGTGGTGTTCCTCTTTTATGTACAAGGTGTAAGCATGGCTTTAGAGACCCCCATTCCGCAGAATGCTTACAAAATTCAGTTTGTCTTCAATCAGTTAACCAAGGATGGAGCAGCCATGTCGCCCACAGACCAGATATCCTATCCGTCTTTGGCTGTGGGGATCCCCAACACGGTCTTGTGCTTCGAGATGGCCGCTGTCGCTGTCTTGCATCTTTACGCCTACCCATACAGTCCCTTCGAAGCAAACAAACTTGGAGTAGACGACAACATCGGGATGAACTGGAAGCAGAAGGTCCGCCATATTGCAGACTTCACAGACATCTGGGTAGCTATTGTGCAAGCACCAAAAGCTTTACAGGAGCATAAGTTGCGAGAGCAGCGGCAGCAGAGCCAAGATGTAGGACTGCATTTAGTCTAGGGCAGTAACCAGACTAGACTGGCAAATGGGTTCGGGGTCGCACGGACTGTAGGTAGGGGTTAGGTAGGGGTAGTAGCTAGTGTAGGTAAGAGTTAGGTCTATAGGGGTACTACTAGCGTAGGTTAAGGTAGAGTTTAGGGTTAGGGTTCTGTAGCCAACCAACTTGATCGCCATCTAACCCAGCTCCAACTCGTTACCTTCTTCACTCCTTATCTATCTGTGGCTAGCCAAGACTCGTAGGTATAAAGGGCAGGTTGTAGCAGGTCTAGGATAGGTAGTTTTTGAGCATACTTCGTATAAGACCTATAGGAATAAGATTCACCCTAGTGTCAACACTCCCAGTGCTCCCATACACCTCGTAGTGGAATCAGAACCATATCAGTGGCCCTTGTTACCTGTGTCGTTACAAGAGACACTCTACAAGTCTTCTCTATTCGTACTTAGTAGCAGTCTACCAATATAACCTATAGCTACCTACTTAATATTATCTAACATGTTCGTGCAATACCTCCTCTCTCCCGTAACCCAGGTATACAGATTCTAACAGACACTTTGCAGCGCTTTTTGTGTTTTTATTTCCCCAACACAGTGCCTCGTCTACCTCATCTCCCCGGAGCTCCGCATGTTCCGGCGAAGGCCCCAGTACCCCTGCAGCAATCGCACGACATGCTGTCATATCTTCCGTTCCCGAGCGATTCGAGCGGTGGAGGGAATGCCAATGTCCGATTTGACCGGTGAGGCTTGGCAGGATCCGTAATGCATATGGTATATCGCCTTGGACTCACCAAACAACTGTGTCATGGGCGACTCAGGATGTATGGATGAAGACGTTGACAATGCGAGACAACGTCCCAGGCGGCGAGTACATCGAAAACTGCGTCACCTACAGCGATTCACTTTTCTCTACAAGGCCCGACGATAGATAAGCCCGGGCCTGGCAGAACCTACAGCACAGCCCCTGACATCACCATCTTGCTGGCAACCCCAGTCACCCGCCATCTCACCGCCTCGCCCTCAGACGAGTCGTCAATGCCAGCACGTTGATCAGCGGAGCGATGGTGGAGCCAGCCATCCCGCTAATCCAACACGGCTAGCCTCGCCTACACCCTCACTCTAGCGCCCGCTCCCCGTAGGATCCGGGGAGTAGAATCAACGCAGTATCCAGCCGCAGCGCACAGCAATCGCACCTCAGACCCCCATCGGCCCGCAGCCCTCCCCCCAAAACTATCCCCAATGCACAGGTCGACCCGCGCCCCGCCCGTCGCGCGGCCACCACAGCCCCAGCCACGAGGCTGAGGCCCGGCGTCCTGGGCACAAGCTTACCAAGACCCGACACCTGCGCGTGCTGGCCCCCCGAGCCTCCTGCACTGCACGCACGACATGCACCACCATGGCTGAAGAGGTACCTCCCTCCTTCCCGTCTCGCGCCCGCACGCCTCCTAACTCCGCACAGCACACACAACACCCACACCCCGCGGCCTCGCCCAGCCCCCACGACTCCGCGATCAGCATCGCACCTTCCGCGGCAGCGCCGCCCCTCGCCCGCCCCCCGCTGCGGTACACCTACTCGCACCCCAACGGGCACCGCATCATCCCGCCGAGCATCAGCGGGCACGGGCGGCTGATCGTAGCGCGGCGCACGGTGCCGTACTGGGGCGGCGTGCTGATCGTCGTGGGGTCGTTTGCGTGGGCGGTGTTTGTGGCCATGCATTGTTTTGAGCTGTTGGGCGGGAGAAGGAGGAGCGTGCGGGTGCCGGGCGGGAGGGGGGAGTGTGAGGGGTGGTTTTGCTGAGGGGGAGGCGGGGACTGCGGGTTTCCTCGGGCCTCATGGGGCGGTTGTGGAGGGGGGATGGGGTGTGGGGAGGGCGTGTGGGGAGGGTTCGGTACGGGGTTGACGCAGAGTCGAATGGATAGCACTCATGGTGTCTCCCAAGACTACAAATTGCACGCTTTCTTGAGCTTCACAGTGCGGTGTTGCATGGGAAATGGGATGTTGACCAGGCCGTATTCGCGGGAGTCCGCTCAGTCTCGTACCGAACTTCAAAGTGTGGTTGGGCTTGCAAGCTCATACTTGGGTTATCGATAGTTATTGAGTAGTTGTCAGGAACCTACCAGGCGCATAGTTGTTAGGCTCGGGTCTAGTTAGGCGTTAACGCAAACACATACATGTTTAGCAATTGTTCGGTTACCTTACACCGTGAAGAGACATGGATAATACTATCTCTAGTGTGGCAGCTTATACTGACGCTCTGTCCCGCTTCCTGTCCCTCTGCCTACCCTCGAACCTTTCGCGCGCCCTTTGCAGATACAATAGACTGTATACTAACTACTTGAGGAATACAGCTCGCTTCACGTATAAACAATCGTAGTAGTAATAAAAGTTGTAATTAGCGTGACAGATACATACAATCACGTGACATTGAATCGCGCCGCTCCAACTCACCCCAGCCCCTCTGCAACCCTGTCGCGAACCACAACCACGGCGATGCGCGCTGTCGCAACAACACAACACACATCCTGGCCCTCGCCTTCGCACGCATTCGCTTTCACCCACTTCTCCGCGCCATTGCATGCCAACACACGTCAACGCGCATCGTCTGCCGAAGCCGCCCTCCGCCGTCGCCGCGCACTGCCTGTCGGCCGCCGTCCACCATCCTTGCGCACTCACAAGGCCTCTCTCTGCAGCGGACTCGGCGCCTCGGCTGCACTCAACCCAGTGCAGCTCTGACGTCGGTCGGCGACAGCGGGAGGGGTGGTTCTCTGGCCTGCGGCAGCTGCGCGGCGACCTCGCGGGCTGTGGTGAAGGCGGGCTCACACACGAGTCAAGGCTGCTCATCGACACAAAGCCTGGGCGGGCGGGTTCCCCTGTGGCGAGTGCGGCAGGGGGGATTTTCTTCTGCCCGGTAAGTGCACCGTCCTAGTTGTAAGCTGATGCACCATGGCCAAGCCGGCCGGCTCCAAGCATGGCTTTCCAGTGCTGGCCTGTCTCGACACTGCGCCCTTGTCGCTGGCGTGCACGATGCGCATCCGGCATCACGAGGCGCGGCGGCAGGTGACGCTGATGTTGCGCATTGCTGCGTTGGGGGTTGTCGCAGGTGCCGACAGCGGGCACGCGTTCGTTGCGCAGTACGACGCCGACAACCTCGACCTCCCCTTTCACACGTCCGATGGTGCTGCTGCTGGTCATGTCGCCGCTAGAGCTGTTGCTCTGGATGCTTCGGTTCTTGATATCCCCTCCGCACGCCTCGCTGCAATCGAGCGCAACCCCAACGCCTCATGTGTCGCTGTTCTCACCCTGCGCCTCAAACAACCCTGCCCGCTCTGGCATCCGCCCCTGCTAGCCTTGGTTCCCGCAGAGCCTCGCGCGAGTGAGTACAACCAGCTTGTAGACCTAGCAAAGGCCACAACAGTGCAAATCATCTTAGACCGCAACTGGCTGAGCCGTGAACACAACGCGCCCTTTCAATGGATTGTTGATGGACAGGAGGGGCTGTCTGGCTTCCCCGTCGCTGAGTTTTACTCCCGGCACTTCGCCCGCGCAGACTGGACAGACTTTGGGCCTGCCGAAGAGCTGCACAAGCGGCCGAGAAGCGGCAAGTCGATCCGTATGCTCTGCAGCCCTCTTCATTGCACTAACGTCCTCAGTCTCGGGCTCTGCATCACCGCTCCCGCACTACAAACGCGCGAGAGCAGACGAACCGCACTCGCCCTTGCCGCTGCCGCCCTCACCCACTGAGGTGGCGTCATCACCGGCAGCTCCCCGTTCGCATAATCCACACACATATCTGAGTGAAAGTGATGAGACCGAATTTCAGACTCAGGCCATCGCCCGTGTAGTCAGCCGTCTCCTGCCTAGTGTTCTGCCGCAGGTCCTCCCGGACGTCCTCGATCAGACCCTTCCCAGTGTCATCAGCCAGATCCTGCCCACCGCCCTCATCCAGATCCTTCCTGACTCCATCAGCCCTGCTCACTCCTTCTCCTCCATATCCCATGACGTAGACACGCCCCAGCCCAGCACATTGCCCGCCCATGGACTGACCCCCCTCGGTGAAGTCCTCATTCCCCGCCTCGTCGCCCACCTCCAGCCCCAGCTGCAGACCATGATCTCAGCCGCGCTGTCCCGCGGGGTGGACAGCAAGCTGAAAGCGGCAACGCTGGAGATGGAAGAGACCACGGAGGACAGGATAGCCGAGCTGCTGCAGCAGAGCGACCGGGCTTCAGAGGAGTTGCGACGCGAAAAGGACAAAGTCATGGACGATCTGCGGCATGAGCGGAACGACGGTGTCGCCGACTTGCGACGCGAGATAGCCGCTGGCACAGCGGCGCTGCAGCAAGAAGGCGACGAATACGTCATCGCGCTGGAGGCTGATCTCGAGGACAGACTGGAGTCGCTGCAGCAGCAGACCGACGACGGGGTGCTCGTGTTGCAGACCGAGAAAGACGATCTTCTAGACGACGTGACCCAGGCTGCATCCGCCACGCTGACCGACGTAGAGCAGGAGTTGCAAGACATGGCTGATGGCGTGGTCGACGACGCAGAGTGGCGCCTCCGAGAGAAAGGCGCACAGGCCGTCGACGCTGTCCTGCAGCAGCTTGACGCGCTGCGAGAGCAGGCGCTGCGGGCAGTGAGGGGAGAGGAGCATGTGAAGCGGGGAAGTGCGCGCGCCCGGCACAGGGGCAAGGGCGGCTTCCACGGGCTTGGACGTAGAGCGACAACGCGCAGGTAAATCAAGTACCTACTACAGCAACCCCTTCTCCCGCTACACCCCCCCGTCCTCCGCAAACCTCCTCCGATCCCCCTCAATATCCCCCCGCAGCATCGGAAACCCCTCATAAAACTCCTCCCCCACCCCCCACCGCCCCAGGTCCCCATGATACCGCTCAAACAGCGGACTCGGCACCCACCCGCCCTCCACCCCGCGGCAGAACGCGTCTTCAAACGCAAACGGCCAGTCGAAGCGCAGATAGCGGCTGTACACGTGCGACAGCGCCGAGGACTGGAAGAAGCTCGCGTGCTCGGCGACGAGGCGGTCGCGCAGCGTCGGCCAGGCGAAGAAGTCGATGGCGATGGGGTGGTGGGTGGTCGACTGTGTGGGGCTGGGGCGCAGCCAGGGGGGCACGGCGGCGAGGGGCGCGGCGACGGGGTTGAGGTAGTGCTGTGCTTGCTTAGCCTGGCACGGGGTGTAGGGAGGGGGTATAAGAGAGGGGGGCCGTACCTGCAGCAGCTTGAAGCTCTTGTAGGCGGTGGCCAGGCGCTCCATTTTCGGCAGGTGGCTGAACAGAAACTCGTCGACTTGCTGCAGGATGCGCAGCGCGGGGCTCTGCGTCCACGAGGACGGGAGGCTGGACCAGCCGTCTTTTATGCCCTGGTACAAGAGCCCTGCCTCCGCAGAGGCGGACAGTTTGGCGCGCTGCAGCACGACCGCGGAGGGCCCGCGGGTGCTGTACACGCACTCGAAGAGCTCGTTGGACTTCTTCCAGATGGGACACACGGCGAACGCGGGCTCACGCTCCGCCGCGCCCGGGGCGCCAATGTGCAGGATGGTAGGCGACGGGCAGCGCCAGCCGTCGCCGAAGAACTGGGAGCGCGACGGTCAGCCGTGGATGCGAACGACGGGGGCGCACCACAGGGCGCATACTTCTTGCATCAGCGGGCCCCACGAGGCGGTCGCGGCGTTGTTCTCCCAGTCCTGCACGGCCACGGGCGTCTGCCGCACGAGTTCGGTTGACGGCACTTCCTCGATTACCTCGTTGTCTAGGTCCATGTCGAGCGTGGGCGCGGCCGGCATGCCGCCCATGATGGGCATGCCGTCCAGATCGACGGTTCGCGTGCCAGTGCATTCTCTGAAGTCATACGAGGTCGGGAGGTCCGTCGGGGTCGGCAGTGACGGTTTGCTTTCGCTGATAGAAGACGCCGCGCGCGGCTTCGGCGATCGCCCTACCGGTCTGTAAGCCCCTATGCAACACACGACTCTGTGCGTGAGTTGGTGCATACCATTACTCGACGAAGCCGGAGACGCCATCACACCTCCACTCGCTCCCGGGGCCTCCGTCGCCGCCATCGCGCGCGGCGCCCCATCGCTCCCGAGCGCACTCTTGACGCTGTCGATGATATCGCGCAGCCGCTCGTTCTCCGCGCGCAGGCCGTCGATCTCCGACAGCAGGTTCGCCGTCGCCCCGTTGCGGTCCTGGTCGCGCAGGATCTGGATCGTGCGCTCGAGCTCCGCGATGTGCGTTTTCGTCTTCTCGCGCAGCGACCGCTGGGCCTCGCGGTCGATTGCGCGTTTGCGCTCGCGTCGCTCTTGCTCGCCTAGGCACGACGCTCGTCGTTTGCGTTTCGCGAGCGGCGCTGGGGCGGTTAGGTCGGGCACTTCACTCGTGCGTCGGGTCACCATGGCGGCTGGCTGATCAGAGGGGTTTAATTGGATTGGCCTACGTCGCTGCCCCGTCGAGAAAGATCGATAAAGTCGAGTAATCAAGTTGGGGCCGCGTTACTATATCTACCCCCCCCGCCGCCGCGCTGGGCTGATGTTGCGCTGCCTCCATCGACCAGCCCGAAGCCACAATGCGGGGGAATGGTGTGGGGCCAGCACCGGGAGCAACGGGAACGAGCATCCGGTCCACCTCGTTTCCTCTTTTGGGCGCCCGCTGTCGTGTGTGGCCCAGCGATCGGGAAGTACCCTGGGCCGTCTGAGTCGTGTCTGGGGCAAGGGAATTGCCGAGCGTTGCCGAAGCCTGTATGGTGTCTTGCTAACTGCATTCGGAGAGTGAGGATGTTCAAAGAGTGACGAGCAAGGAGAGCTTGGGATGGAGAGTTCCGTTGCTTGCTGATTTGGATTTATACACTCTACGGTTTCGAGGGCTGCCAATCTGGTTTCCGTGTGCCGATCTGGCATTCACACTTTACGGTTCGAGGGCTTGCAGTCTGGCGCCCGTGTGCCGATCTAGCATTCACACTCTACAGTTTGAGGGCTTCCAATATGGCTTCCTGTGCCGATCTGGCATTACACTCTACAGCTTCGACGGCTTCCAATTCGGCTTCCGCTTCTGCGCAAAGGCGGTCAAGCCCTCCAGCGCGTTCTCACCAGACTGCAACGCGTCGTTGAACCGCTCAATCGTAATCTGCGTCGCCCGCTCCACACTGCCATGCTCCAGACTATCCTTCAGCGCCGCCCTCGTCACAATCGCCGCATCGGGCGAAATCGCCGCAATCTCCTTCGCCAGCTTCAACGCCTCCTCGACCACCGTCTCCTGCGACGCCGCGATGCGGTTGATGATGTTCAGCTCCTTCGCCCGCTGCGCCGTAATCGGCGTCCCCGTCAGCGCCATCTCCGACGCCACGGGTAGGCCCACGATGCGCACCAACCGCGCCGGCCCGCCCGCGCCCGCGAAGATACCGCGCAGCGCCTCCGGAAGCCCGAAGGTCGCGCCCGGCGCCGCGACCACCAGATCACTGTCCGCGCTTAGCTCACACCCCCCGTCTCTCTCTCTCTCGAGCGCGCAAAACCTACCAGCCAAGCACAATCTCAAACCCCCCGCCGAGCGCAAACCCATTCACCGCCGCAATAACAGGCTTCTTGCCCGCCCTGCGACTCAGCCCCGCAAACCCACTCACGGGATGCCTCAACAGCCCGGGGTCCACCTTACTCTTCCCGCTGCGTATCGCACCCAGCTCAATCAGGTCCTGGCCCGCGCAGAAGCTGCGCGTGCCCGCGCCCGTCACGATCGCGCATCGCAGCGTCGGCTCGCGGTCGAACCAGTCGAAGACGGCGCCCATTTCGAGGTGGCCCGCGAAGGGGATGCTGTTCATCTGCCGTTCGCGGTTTATGGTGACGAGGAGGACGTGGGGCGCGGGGTAGGAGAGGAGGACGTGGGAGGTCGGTGGGGGGGCGGTTTCGGGTTTGATGGGGGACATGGTGGTGGTGGTATTAGAAGTAGGAGTAGGAGTAGGAGTAGGAGTAGGAGTAGGAGTAGGAGTAGGAGTAGGAGTAGGAGTAGTAGTAGTAGTAGTACGCGTAGTACCGCAGACTCGGGGATTGGTGTGTAGCAGCGTTGCAGCGGGCCGTGAGAACTACATGTTTGGCGGAACGCCGGTAAGTTGTTGCGAGTCTGTGTCTGGGGGATGAGCCGAGGTCCGTCTCCGCATTTCGTGGGCCGCTTCGGTTAGTGCCCGCGCGACACCGGGTTGGCCAATCAGACTTTGCGTGAGGTCACTGTTGTGAACATGATGCAGTTAGGAGGTAAGGGGAACAGAACTGAGGTGAGTGTTGGAAGGTGTGGGAAGGTGAATTGTGTGGGCTGTCGTGGATGAGTTGTCTCGCTCTGGTGATGATTGCTTGTTGCTAACCACAGAGATGGCCTTACAGATAAGATCACTCTGCGACCTAATAGTCTGCAAGACATCAACTATCACCAAGTGCAACTGCACCAGAGCTCCACCCATCTAGCCTGTAGAAGGAAAGCACATCACATCCAGCATACAAGAAACAATTGAGAGTCCGACTGCGCCCAGTCTAATGCATTCATTCGTCTTGATATCATAACCGTCTAACCGTTCCCCGTCTACAACTGACTCAACAGCCCCGACGCCTCGAGCAACAGCACAATCTGGTGCACGGCAGTACGCACATTCGTCTTGGACACATCGACAGTGAGATCCGCGTTGGTGGGGGCCTCGTACGGGTCATCGACGCCCGTGAAGCCCTTGACCTCGCCGGCACGCGCCTTGGCGTAGATGCCGCGCTTGTCCGTCTTTTCGCAGTGCTCGAGGGGTGTGGCGACGTGGACCAGGAAGAACGAGCCGTGCTTCTCGACGAGGTCCTTGGCGGCCTTGCGGCTGCCCTCGAAGGGCGCGATGGGCGCGGCGATGACGGCGGCGCCGGACTTGGTCAGTTCCGAGGCCACGAACGCGATGCGGCCGATGTTTGTGTCGCGGTCCTGGCGGCTGAAGCCGAGCTCCGACGACAGCTCGGAGCGGACGGTGTCGCCGAGCAGCAGCGACACGGCGCGGCCGCCCTGCTGGTTGAGTGTGACGTTGAGGGCGCGGGCGATGGCGTCCTTGCCCGAGTTCTGGTAGCCGGTCAGGAAGACGGTGAAGCCCTGCTGCGAGCGCGGGGGGTGAGATTCGCGCAGCACGCGGACGACCTCGGGGTAGGAGAACCACTCGGGGATCTCCTGGCCGGAGCGGAGGCGCTTGCGCAGCTCGGTGCCGGAGATGTCGAGCGTCTTGACGCCGGCGGCGACCTCGTCCTTGGGCTTGTACTCGTCGGTGTCGGGCAGGTAGGTCATCATCTGGAAGGGCACGACCTCGATGCCGAGCTCGTCCTTGTACTTCTCGACGGCATCCTGTGCGTCGTAGGGGCCGTAGAACTCCTCGCCCTTGGAGTTCTTGCCGGGCCCGGCGTGGTCACGGCCGACAATGAAGTGGGTGGCACCGAAGTTCTTGCGGATGACGGCGTGCCAGATGGCCTCGCGAGGGCCGCCCATGCGCATGGCGAGGGGCAGCAGGGCCAGGGCGGCCATGCCGTTGGGGTAGCGGGGCAGCAGGGCCTGGTAGACACGGACGCGGGTGAAGTGGTCGATGTCGCCGGGCTTGGTCAGGCCGACGACGGGGTGGATCAGCACGTTGGCCTGGCGCGCGCGGGCAGCGCGGACGGTCAGCTCACGGTGAGCACGGTGCATGGGGTTGCGTGTCTGGAAGGCGACGACCTTGGACCAGCCGAGCTTGTCGAAGTGCGAGCGCAGCTCAGCGGGTGTGAAGCGGAGGCCGACATAGTCGTAGTGCTCCAGGCGGTCGATGGCCTCGAGCTTGCCGCCGACGTAGAAGGCCTCGACGCTCTCGTTGAGGTACTTGACGGCGGGGTGCTCAGGGTCACCACCAAAGACCTTCTGTGCCTCGGCCGCCTTGTCGGGCTGGTACACATCATCAACGGTGATGATGGCCAGGTTGCGGTCGTCGCGGAAGTCGCGCAGAGCAACGCGCGCGCCGGGCTTCACGCCGAGCTCGTCGATGGTCTGCTGCGACACGTCGAGCGTGATGGGCATGGCAAAGACATTGCCATCTGTCAGGCGCTCCGTCTGCACGACGCTCTCGTAGTCCTTCTGGTTGAGGAAGCCTGCGCATGTCAGTCCAAGCCGTCTCAGCGCGAGGCGGGGCACGCATCGGCAGTGCCCCACTACGCTTCGCGGGATGACGACGTACCCTCGAGCGGCGAAAAACCACCGTTCAGAATCAGCTCCAAGTCGCACAGTTGCCTCTCGGTCAGCACAATCGCCGGCAGGGTCTCGCCCTCAGCGAAGAGCTCCTTGCGGCGGGGCAGGTCGCGCGCAATCAGGTCCTTGAGGACGCCGCCTGTGCATGTCAGTCTCTGCTGGCCCGGCTACGTGCGGGCTACCAACCGTGAGGTGTATTTGCCATGGTGATGTGAAAAGTGTAGGGGGTATATGGAGGAAAACTTCAACAGCAGCCACACCTCGCCTTATAAACTGCTTTCCGGCACAGCAATACGGCCGGTCGTTCGGCTCGTCGCTTTAAGCTTTCTCAAACCGTAGAACGATTCGCAATTGGGTCTGTGAGCCCTGTGCTGCCCACTTGTTGACCCCCAGCGTGCAGTCTAGGGGGGCGGCGGGACCCTGTATGGTCGGCAATTCCTTGGAACCGATGGCGCGATTGCACGCGTTTTCGCTCGCCGCATTGCCCGTTGGTAGTCTCGGGTACATGACGTGGGGAGGGCCAATGGTCTTTGTTTGTGCTTCTCCAGATGGTGTCATTTTTCACCAACCAACGCCTCACAATCACGCCTTCAAGTCTTGGATGTAGATTCTTCATTCTCTGTCAACACTCACAACCGGTAGTATCTCGGCTCCAGTTGAAGTTCTATGTCGTCTGGCCATCGTTGTGATGCCTATTTCAGATTCCGTGCTCATTCCTGTCCCCATGCTTCATAACCATGACCCAAACGCCAATGCTAAATGCTTGATATAAAACGCCAAAATGAAAATGCAACGAGACACCTTACACAGCCAGCTTTTGCAGGGCATCGTTGAGCGCTTCTTGCTGTGCCTTCAGCTCCTGCTCCTTGAGAAACTGTGCGTACTTCGACTTGGGGTTGTGGATGCCGCACTCGGTCTTGTTGCGGCCCTTCCAGCGGCCCGCACGCTCGTCCTCTCCAGCAGCAACGGGCTGTGTTGAGTGCCAGTCACCAACGCTCTTGTAGCCCTTGTTCAGGAGCTCGTTGTAAGGAACGTCGTTAGCGTCAACGTACTCCTTGACCTGCGCAAACGACCAGTTGGCGAGGGGGTTGATCTTAATAAGGCCACTCTCGTTGATCTCAATGATGTCGAGGTCACCACGCTTGCCTCCCTGGCTTCGGCGACGTCCCGTGATGGCAGCCTTGACTTGGAGCTCGGCGTACGCGCGCTCAGCAGGTTCAACCTTGGCAACATAGTCGTAGTGGTCCTCGTTGCTCTCCCACAGCTTCTCACCGTAACGGGCATTGAAGTCCTCGATGGTGTCGCAGCCAGCAGGCTTGTAGATATGGATGGGGGTGTTGTACCTCTTGCGGATGCGGTCAACCAGTGCGTAAGTCTCATCAAAGTGGAAGAGGGTGTCGAGGAAGATCATGTCGGTGTTGTGCTTGTAGGGCCCATCCATCTTAGAAAGCATGTCCAGGGTGACCAGGCCAGTCAGTCCAAAGGCAGTGGTCTGGGACAGTCCAGGCAGGGATGTGATGCACCACTTGAGGATGTCTGACGTGATATTAGCCAAGAGATTCGCACTGCTTGTAGCGAAGCCACTCACCCTGCGGCTCCAGCTTCTGCAACTGAGCGTTCAGGAATTTCAGATGAGGCTTGCTGAAGTAGACTTCAGGCAGACTGTCCTGGCTCGAGGCCCCGGAAGCATATCCAGACTCTGATCGAATGCTGGGCGACTGAGCCCGGGACTCCTTCACAGAGCGTTGTGACGACATGATGTTCAGGTATCCGAATGTAGCAATTGGCACGTGCGAGCAAGGCGTTGTAGAATGATGGCGTAGGTGTATTTCCTGGCGTCTCGCAGAAGAAAATAATACTACAAATCGATTGCTCGGTGTGGTGGACGAGAACAGGTCTCTCGCCCTTTGGAGAATATAACCAGGCCCGCCATCGGATACGCTTTGAAATCCTTCTCCGCAATGGTTGATAGCTGGGGGAGAAGACGTGCGATCACGCAATTCGCGCTAGTCTATGGTAGACCAAAAAACTTCTCTGTAGCCTTAGGTAAGGCACTCTGGCCAATGAAACAGCGACAGTAATGAATTCCAAAGCAATTGATGCCTGTGCTTTTCTCGATAGCGCTCGTCCGCGGGTGATGCGGTGGTGATGGCGCGACGTGCATTGTCCGGCAGTGTGCTTTTGTCATCCAACGTCACTTTCAGCCTCACCGACTTTGGCCGGCGGCGACGATGTCTCCCGACGAAGCTCGCAAAGGTATACGACAGGCTGCTGTTGCATGGACAAAGCCGCGAGACCCGTTTCGTGCTCTTCTACATTGAGCCAGCATTTTACTGATGTCGGAAGTCGCTTTTTGCACATCGGCCGATCGCGTTCGGGTCGTCGGTGTCAGGATGCGACTAGCCACGCCTCTCAGCACTCGCAAGGTCCATCGGGAGGCTTGCTGTAATCTCGATTAGTTGAATCCTGGTCTGGTGTTGTATAAACTGATATTACCCACTCTCCTCTTTTCATCTGGAGCAATCGGCACTTCACGGACTGACCGATGTCCACCTAGCACACGTTCGTCGTCCGACAGCCAGCTTTTTCCTCTGACATTTTGTTCATTTTCATGGCTTGACACGAAGGCGCGCCTTCCTTGAGATCCAGGTCGTTACATGTTGTAGTGTGTCTATGTTGGTGATGGTGAAGTGGCGGGCGTCATGCGGGGAGGTTCTTGATGTTCGCTGTTGAGCCTTCTATTGCCGAGCACCTGCCAGCTCTGTTCAAGTCAATTGGATGGATTTATGCCCCGACATTGTCTATTTTACACTTACGCGGCCTTAGAGGCCGCATGGGAAATATCGTTATGCGTTAGATGTAGCAAGAAAAGACAATCTTAGGTCGGGTCAAAGGTAAATATGTAGTAGTGTTTTGTAGCGGTCGCGGGCACTTTACTTAGACGCCTGCTTCGACCATCGTCCTCATGCCGTCCCTATCCTCCGCGCTTAACGAGCTTGACCTTGCAGCTTCTTTCCATGCCTCCAGTTGTGCGTACTGCTCCGCATCAAGTACCGGCTTAAGCTGTTTCAGCAGCTTTGGTGCAAACTTACCAGTTGCATAGACTACACCCGCGTTATGTTTGGCGAAGAGAAAGACAATCAGCGTCAGGAAGAGAAGAGGCCCATCCGACTTCTTCTGCTTTTGCATTCTCCGTGCCATGTCTGCGAGCATCGTCGCTTTCGACGCTTCCAAATCCGGGCCCACAGCTCCATCCATCGACAGCTTCTTGTAGAACTTGTCGAGAGAGGTCGTGAGCGCTGCGATCCCCGTGCTGCCTGAGCTGAGTGTGGACTGTAGCCTCTGGATGTTCTTGCAGGTTTTCCGACTCGATACAAGTCCCTGTGATGTGGCTTTTGCGAGTGCATCCGGCACAAGATCCTTCCGTATGTACTGGGCCAGAAGATCTGACAGCTGATCTTGCAGTTTTTGATCCTCTACTGCATCTAAGCCCTCTGTATAGATCGCTACACGCGTGACCACCCGATCTGTCCAGTAGTCTGCGAATTCTGTCTCGTTCCGCTTTTCAAGTTCTGATATTTTGGCGGAGAAAGCTTCGTCGATTGTACGTTCTAGTGTTCGCTCCTTGACCAGATTTTGTAACACTGGATTGTCTTCCAGAATTTGATAGAAAGTGTTTGACAGCGAGTATTTAGTATCTACTCTTGCGTCTTCTTTGGATCGCTGCCATTGGGAGACTGCATCAGCTCTGGCAAGATCGATTAGTATACCACGGTGTCGGGAGTAGCTGTCTTCGCTCAACAAGCTCTCGCCAGCGCGATGCACACTAGGTGCAAGACTTCGAATCGTCTGCTCGACTTTTTCCAAAACAATGGCATATATGCTGTCAGGAAAGTTGGCTATAACGGGCTGCTGAATGCCTCCTGTCAGAAAGTTTCGAGGTTTGAAGTTCAGGTACACATACCCCAAAGTCCACGTCTCCGTCTTGAGCCATGCCCGCTACACATTCCTTACTGAAGTTGGATATCCAAGCTTCAGAAAGTGCAAAGGTGTTTACAAGCTCAACGCCTTCAGTGCTCTCTAAAGCAGTCCGTACTTTATCGATAGACGGATATATTGTCGCAAACTCGTGTTGAAGAGCATTTATATTGATATAGGCTGTCTTTCCGGATTTCAGGTTGTTCATGAGAGTGTCATGTGCTTGTTTGATTAGCTGTACCGGCGTACAGCGCACCCCGCTTGACAGCCTGTCAACGTAGAACTTCTCAGCAAACTCGGAGTCTTCCAGCAGGCTGTCAATGATCTGGATTATAAACCACGCTGGAGGGCTTCCAGGGACATCTGTGGAGTCAAGATCAAGGGCTCTGGTCGATGTTAGCATTGGATCTGCAATTCAAGATCTTACACTTACTGCAACTGCTGAAGGTGGTCTCTGAGCAGACTTGCTACAGCACTCGTCGCAGCAGTGCTGTACGAGGTACTGTAGAGATGACCGCTCGCTTCGACTATCTGCGTCCCTGACGCTTCAATGAGAAGGTCGAGACTACCGTGCGAAAGATCGTTCTTGCGTGCAAACGCATCCTTCGAGACAAGACCGTGCACAACGCCGGCCTCAAGGTCTTGATTAATAGCATCTCGTTGGGTCTTGGCGAAGATGTCGCGGCCGTTGGAACTGCGCAGAAGGAGTGTGCCTTCACATTCGTCCACAAGACTATACACGGTCTCCACACTTACGTCCAAGTCACGGGCTAGAGATATGATAGAGACTTTTTGACTTAGACTGCGGCCATAACCTTTTCAATTAGTCAAGGCAACAGGCGGACCAGGGCATACTAACCCTGTGTGACAATGTCTTCGAATGCTTGTCGAGTATACTTGCGTGTGACGAAGCCATGACCACGTGAGGAAAGTATCAGAGGATTGCTGAGATCGCCCTCCGAAGCCAGTAGTTGGAAGATCTCTTTAGCATCTTCGGCGGAGAACATGGCTGCGGGCGGTTGTGGGGTGATATTTTTGCACAGGTCGACAAACGACCGCGGGTCAAACACAAGAGACTTGCAGGGCCCTGGATAATGTTTCAGCGAATCAACCAGGGAAGCGTAGGCAAAGATGGAATATTCATGCCATGCACTGCGTGCGGACAGAGTTGACAGACGGGAGAGAAAGCCGCTGATTGGTTGACATCATGAGGAAGTCGCGACGCTTGGCGGTCGAACTTCTGGTCGGGAGCCTCAACTTTGGTCCAAGGCTGTCAATTCGCCGCGCATCACAGTCCTGCTATCGCCATCATGTCACAATTCCGTGCCGCAAAGCTCGATATTGGCTGCTTCGCCAAAATCCGCACCATTCGCGACCACACGAAGCGCAAGGTCTTCGCCGAGAACGAGCCTGAACGGTATGCGCCTCCACGCCTTCACGACGTGAACAGTGATTGATCAGACCTCGCAGACAAGCGCTTCGATACATCATCCGCAACACCACATTGCCGCAGCGAGTGCGTGCGCAGGCCCAGCTCCAGCTCTCCCAGATGCACTGCTACACACGGTTCACCCAGGTCAAGAACAGGTGTATTATGGGTGGAAAGGGAAGGGGTGTCTTCAGTGATTTCAGGCTTGGACGTGTGCGTATTTCAAAATTCAGTCTCTGGAATCAAGCTCTAACAACCCCCACAGTACCAGTTCCGTATGAACGCGCTCGAAGGCAACCTCCCCGGTGTGAAGAAGGCAAGCTGGTAGACAAACATAGGCGAAGGGCTGTGATATATGTGTATACTACTAAGGCGACACAAATGCATTGGGCGGCGTTCTTTTCAAACTGTGAATCACCACGGCGCTGGAATCATGCTTCGCTTGACGTCAAGATCAGATGCGCCTGCCTTTCTGACCTGTTGTGGTAATAGCAAACGGCAGCGTACAGGAGACTCACCTGACCACGCAAACGAGCAATTACACAAACTCAAGCTCGACCGCAGCTGAACTTAAGACATCCCCCGAGCGTCTGCAGTCATACGTCAGCCACCATGTTCCGCCGCAAAGGAGACACGATATCGCCTGACGCTTCTTATCCTGCGAATCTCAAGGAGCTGGGGTAAGGGTGCGGCGCTCTGCTGTGACACGTAACTGACGGACATGCAGTTTCTTCATCAACAAGCTAGGTCATATTCGCATGATCGAAGCACCGGACAAGCCTTTCGTGTTCAATGCCACGAACATCGAACGACACAACGAGGTGCGCAACGAAGCTCTACACGGTGCGTACAACCCAATATCAAGTCGAGCAATAGTCGCTGACATCTTTAGCCTGCTCTCGCGCAGAAGTCACTGAACGTGCGTCCAAGCTCGGCATCAAACAGCTCTTCTTTCCTCAGCTTACCACGGTGAAACCCGCTGGACCCCATATCCCAATCCTGGCTCCATCCGCGGATATTCTCAGGACACGGAAGCGCATCGTTGTCATCATCAACGATACCCTGCAGGATCTTGGTATCCTCGCATACCGACAGCTGCAACGAGACCTTGGTTTCAATGGCGGATCTGTGATCAACTTCGCAAAGGAGATGGTCAAGCGTTCTGCCAGAAATGACAAGGAGGGTCCAATTCAGAGCATCTTCGATGATGGCGTCAGTATCGACGACAGTGAAACTCCCGGCTTGGTTGTACTAAATGCAGGCCAACTGCTATACTCGCACAAGTTCAATCGATCCATGACTCTGAGAAGCTGGTATGCTCTTCCTCGCAAATCGATCGCACACGATGCTATTAGGATTCACGAGGAGGAGAATTACGTGGAAGGCCATCGGACCCCTGCTCAGCATATCAAGTCTGTTTTCGACCAGCTCTTGTGCAACCCAGAGTACGTCTCTCCAGATGCAGATCTGTACATCGTTGCGATTGAGGATGGCGCGAGTAACGCCCTGGAGGTAATCAACGATGACTTTGACAAGTACGGTACGCGCATTGCTGCAATGGCAATGATCCACACTCTGGCTGAGATCTCGGACCTGACCCACCCAAGCCTCAAAGCGTTCCTGCACCAGCGTACACGTCAGTGGAAGTATTCAGATCTAGGCCTCGATCCAGAAGAGTGCACAGAGCTACCAGACGATTACTCCTGTGACGCTCCAAAACAGACCCTGCAACAGGACACCAATGTCATACGTTGGAACGCAGAGCTGCCCGGTCCCAGTTCACTGTCCGAGATCGCAACGCCGCTGCATCGCCTCACGCTGAACACTGTTTTCTCCAGCAGCGACAAGTCTGCGCCGACCAACTCAGACCCCGATGCAAGCTATGACTGGGGAAGTGGTTCTGTGCCGTGTCCAACCTTCGCAGGCGGGCAAGAGCCAGCCGGTGAATGCGTCTTCACCGACCCTGCCGTTCAACGCGCCATACTCTCATTCTTTGAAGACGTCGCCCAGGACCCAGAGAACTACCGCAACCCGGCATTCACGACCGTGGTCGTACCTAGTCCCACTGCCGACGAGCCCTTCATCCTCGATGCCGACGCTCCCGTGCCAGAGACTGTGGATACATCGACTGCTCACTTGATGACGCCCGAGCAGCTTGAACTCGACGAGGCACGTAAGAAGCTCGCGGACATGCGCATTGCACTTGGTGCTTGCCCGGACGACGTTGATATCCTTGCCAAGGGCCGCGAGAAGCTGGCAGCAAAGGTTGCGAAGCAGGAGGCAGCAATCCAAGACCTGCAAGTCAAGGCTCTGGGTAGTGGGGCCTTGGGCGCAGGAGAAGCAGAGGACTTGCGCCAGGAATGGAAGCCGCAGGTCGACGGTCCGCGCGTCCCGTTCGCTGGCACGATGGTCGATAGTGAGTTGCTGAAGGCGGCTGGGCTGGGCGAGACGGCGAGCGAGGAGCTGGAGAAACTGGGCGAGGGCAAGGCGTTCCTCTAGCCGTCGACATACGAACGACGAGTTCTCACACTATCCACAACCCCGTAGAACCAGTCAATCAGAACAGTACATAAAGAGTGGATTTACATCACACCTGGTATCACAACAAAAAAGCAGTATTACAGCAAAAAGCCCCCGCACCCTCAGTGCGCAAACCCAACCCCCTTCCCCTTCCCCCCGTTCTCAAACCCGTAGTGATACTCCTCCACCTCCGCCACAGGACTGACCTGCTGCACCTGCACAAACCCCCCCTCCGGCCCCTGTCGCCCGCCATACCAACTATGCCCCGCCCCCGCCTGCGCCCCATGCGCATGCGCCACCCAGCTCGGATGCGCGCCCGCATATCCTCCTCCGCCAGCACCTCCTCCTCCAGCACCTCCGCCTTCCAAGTCCCCGAACGCCCGCGTGCGCGGCGTCATCGGCGCGCGGCCCGCTTGATGCGTCGGCGGCAGCCCCGGCGTGCGCGGCAGCTGCTGCAGTTCCCACATGTGCTGCCACTGCTGCTCGGCGGTGGTTTCGTCGTCGTCGGCGGTGGGCGAGAAGGCGTATTTTTCCTGCTCGGCGAGTTTGGCGGCGCGGCGGGTGCGGTGGGCTTCCCGCGCGGACGGGGTCGGGTAGAGTGAGTAGAGGGATAGGGCGAGGAGGAGGGTGTAGAGGCCGCTGTGGGGGTTAGTCTTCGTTCGCGGAGGACGTGGGGGGGACGTACAGCATCACACAGCTCACGGCGAAACTCGCCTTCGCCTGGGCGCAGTAGCCGCGGATCTGCGCGTCGGCGACGATGTTGCAGTTCTTGGTGATGTACCACGGCGCGCCGGGGTTTCGGCGCAGAGGGTCGATGGTGTCCGGGGAGGTTTGGATGTAGATGCCGTAGGCCCAGATGGCGAGGAGCGGCATGTGGAGGAGCACGGAGAAGATGGGGAGGAAGACGTGGAGGAGCCACATGGTGACTTTGACGAGGTAGAAGAACATGCATACCACGCCGATGACGAGGTGGTATTGTGTATTGCTGGGTTGGTTAGGTTTGCTTTGGGAATCGGGATTGAAGGATTGGGATTAAGAATTAGGATTAGGGAATTGGGACGTGATTGTATGAATAGGTGGTTGAGTGATTTCGTGACATGTGTAGACTTACTATCCGCTCCAGACTAATGGAATTGTGACGGGCTTGTAGTTGGCGTACGCGTACACAATGGTCGACGGATCCGAGTTGAAGCCCATCTTGCCGCCCTCGTTCCACAGAATATTGCGATACAAGTTCGGCGACGCGATACCGAAGAGCGCGAGATTGGCGACGGTGAAGGGGAACTCAAGGATGAGCAGCGCCCAGACGACGCGCACGAGGCGCCATTGCCGGGGAATGAAAAAGCGGCCCATGGCGATACAACGGTCGCGGTGTCGGTTGCACAGTCCGCAGCTAGCTGTCCGAGTAGACGTCGTTCACGAACCCGGCATGGGAGGGCGTCAGTATCGCAGCGGTCCAGCACCGGCGCACGTCGGAGTCGAGGTCACACATGGTCTGCGCAGGGGCGCCCCTCTCTTAACAGCCGTTCGCACGGTCAGCCGGGCGCCATGCAGGACGCCAAAGCGAGTGTGCAGGCCTGGTGCAGCTGAGGGGCGAAGGGCCTTCTGCAGCCGCTGAGTGGCACACGCAGTCGGGACTATCACACAGCATGTACCGCGTTTATTGGGGAGCATGGAATCGGCTAAGATTGGTAGGCAGCCAATCATGTAGACTCTTCAAGTGACGTCCAATCAGAGCTAGATAACGCGGGAACTCGAGCGGGCTCATCCTTGCTGGCGCAAGGCTCGGAAAGCCGGCTAATGGCTGTATCCGGCAAGCCCTGTGTTGGCTCCCGCAGCTATCACGGGCTGGTCGAATTTGCGGTCTTTGCGGCGCGTAAATGCAGGTTAATAACAATTCAATGGTGTGAGTATCGAACCGCAACAGCGCTTGCTGTGACGAGGAATGCGGAGAAGAGATGCATGTTCAGATGAAGCGACGCTCGACTGACTATCTACTGTGATGCTGGGCCGGTCGTGCCGGATGCTGCGGCTATGCACCGAAAAACAATACGCTCAGAGAACAAGATACTGATGCTGGCTCACCACCATTTTTCGCAGAACACGCGCTCCGGCGCGACGTCGTTCTGGTCCTTCAGGTACTGCACCACCTCGTCGGTCATGGAGGGCGGGCCGCACACGTAGAAGACAGTGTGTTTGGCGTCGTCTTTGTTACCAACCGCACTCGATAGCGCAATATCGTCGATGCGGTGTGTCCATGCGATTACTGGCACTTCTGTGGCCGAGTCCAGGTTCGGCAGCGTCAGCGACATCAGCGGCTGGATGGGCTGGTCGTTGCTGCGGTCTACTATCGAGCCGTCCCACGTGCCTGTGAAGAACAGCTCGATGCGGTCCTTGGTGGACTCGGAGCGCGGTATGCGGAACAGGCTGATTATCTGCGGCAAGAACAACACCTCCTCCTGGCTGGTCTCTTTCGAGGGCACCTTTGTGGAGTAGAGCAGGCGGACCTCGAGATTGGGGTAGCTCTGGTTGATGTAGGACATCATCGACATCATAGGGCTGGCAGTGTTAGTAACGACAGCAAACCTACATGGTGGATCCTACTTGATGCCTACACCACCGGCGATGAAGATGGCGCGCTTGATCTTCGGCCGCTCCATGTTCAGGCCGGGCGGCGGGAACACAAAGTTGCCGCCCACGCGCACTTCGACCTCCTGCCCGACAATGTCCTCCTCGGGCTGCCACAGCCAGGCCGCGGGCGGGTTGTCGGGGCTGGCCTGCACGGCGAGCTCGAAGAAGGGCGCGTGGTCGGGGTCGCCCTGGGGCAGCGCATCCTTCGGCGACGAGGTGATGGTAAAGCCCCCGGCTTTCTCAATGTCAGGCACAAAGACGTCGAGCCATTGGCCTGGGAGGAACTTGCCTCAGCCATCAGCGCGTGTCGAAAGCGGAGATGGGAAGGAGTACGTTGAAGCCGTTCTTGTCTGCGATGTCGAACCTGAACGTCTTGATGCGGTCGTTGACGGCCGTCACCTGACCGAGCGTGGCCTTGTGGAGTTCATTGCTGCGCGGTTCGCTTGCGGTGCGTTCCTGGTGACTGATGCTCTTCGCCTTGGCAGAGCGCGTCGTGGGCATGCTGCCGCTGAGACGCCGTGTGCAGGGAGGGACAGTGCGAGGGAAAAGGTGCTGGCGGAGTGTGTGACGGAATACACACCGCTGCATCCGAGCTGAGATCAGGCTGGAAGAAAATGCTGCTGGTGGGTGCGCGGTGGGGTTCCTCGCTGTCCCTGTAGAGGGGTCAAACCTTACTGACGATCGAAGAAGCTTAACGGCCGCAGTAAGCTATGATGCAATCGGACAGCCGCGGTAATTCAGCCGCGCCAGGGTCTGGAGGTGTTGCAAGTGACCACCTCTGCACCATTGTTGTAGTTTTGGTCTTATTAGTTTCTGCTCAGCATGGCTATCGAGGAGGGCTGGCACACAACTGACGACGGGCGCAAGCTCTACACGAAAACTTGGACCACGGAAGGGCCGGCTCGCGCGCGACTTGTCTTCATCCATGGCTTCTCAGACCACATCAACACCTACGGCAACTTCTTTCCGCACCTCGCCGCCAAAGGTATTGAGGTCTACGGTTTCGACCAGAGGTATGATGGAATGTCGTCACTTGAGTCGTGCTAATTTTGCGTAGAGGATGGGGCAGGTCGGTGACAAAGAAGGCGGAGCGCGGCCATACAGGACCAACTGCCAGAGTACTTGATGACATTACGTCGTTTCTCAAGTCGGTGATACCAAGCCCGGTGCCACTTTTCTTGATGGGCCATAGTATGGGCGGTGGAGAGGTTTTGTGCTATGCTGCGCAGGGCCCACGTGAGGTTCGCCAGCACATCAGGGGGTACCTGCTGGAGTCGCCTTTTGTGGACTTCGATGCCAAGTCGAAGCCCTCGTCGTTGACCGTGTTCTTCGGAAGACTTGCTGGGCGACTGCTGCCGCACAGGCAGCTCGTCAACAAGCTTGACATCAACCTCCTCTCGCGCGACCCCGACGCGTGCAAGCGTTGCGGAGACGACGAGCTCTGTCACGACACAGGCACGCTTGAAGGGCTGGCCGGGATGCTCGACCGGACTGGCGATTTGGCAGCCGGGAGAGTCATTATCCCAGACGACGCCGGAGAGGGCGGCGTGACCCGGATTTGGATTGCCCATGGCGATAAGGACGGCATCACGGCGTTCCCAGCGTCCAAACGGCTTGCCGACGCACTGCAGGTCAAGGACAAGGAGTTCAGGGCGTACGACGGATACTACCACCGCTGTAAGTCAGACGTCCTGCTGTGATGCCATGCTAATGCTGCAAGTGCACGACGAGCCCAGTCCTGATAAAGAGGTTTTCATGGACGACGTCGCGACTTGGATACTCGCACGCTCTCAGGCCGAGGGCGCAAAGCCGAAGCTGTAGGCGTGATGGTAGGTTTGTGATTTTGGTAGCAACACCGACTAGGGTAGTATTGGTAATGGCACAGGCCCTACTGGGCGTCGTAATGCATGCAGTCAACTTACGCGCGTTCCCGTGATGTTTTCTGGCTAGTGAAACACGCAGGAGTTTTGCAGTGGTGATGGCTGCAGGTGACGACGCGGCGCGAGGCCGGCAGATTGGCCTTGACGCACTGTGCGAAGCTTGAATCTGGGAGGATAACGAGCGTCGTACCTGAGGCTCACGCATGTCGTGCTGGCCCCACTTGCGGGACGATGATGTCTTGACCGAGCTTAATGGAAGAGGGCGGCAGCACCCGCTCGAAATTGTCGCGGCAGGGCTGCACATGCATAGAGCTGCCCCCAGACCGCGGAGGCTGTCATTGCGCTGTACCCATGCTGCTGCGCGTCCGGAGCGATGGCTTCGGCTCTGCTGTATGCAGACGCGCGTGTCCTCCACGACACCCACTCTCGCAGACGGCCGCCGCAGCGCAGTCGCACGGGCTGAATCGCTCGCCTTACGCAGGCTACCCGAGCGTTCTCCGCCCACAGCTGCGCGTCCTGCAAACCTGGACACGTACAAAGGGGCTCCACGGCGCACCCTCGCTACTACCGGCCTGCACTCTCAACTGGAGCTCGACCGCACACCGCACGCGACACGTTGCCGCCGCCATGACGAGCCTCACCCACAGCCACGGGCACGCCGGCCACTCGCACCACCACCACCATGACAACACCTTCCTGCTGTCCAAGAACAAGGACGACGCCGGCGTGCGCATCACGCGCATTGGCCTGTACGTCAACCTGGGCATGGCCGTGGGCAAGGGGGTGGGCGGATATGCCTTTAACAGCCAGGGTAGGCACAACGCCGCGCCGCCAATTCGACGCTGACATGGACAGCACTCACTGCCGACGCCATCCACAGCCTGACGGACCTGGTCAGCGACGTCATGACGCTGGCGACGGTGGGGTGGTCGCTGAAGCCGCCCTCGCAGCGCTTCCCCAGCGGCTACGGCAAGGTCGAGAGCCTGGGGTCGCTGGGCGTGAGCGGCATCCTGCTGGCGGGCGGCTTCATGATGGGCTGGTCGGCCCTGATCAGCATCATGCAGCAGTTCTTCCCCGAGTTTGCCGAGACGGTTGCGAATCTGGGGCTGCTGGCCCACAGCCACCACCACCACGGCGGCGACGGCCTGGGCCCGAACATCAACGCGGCCTGGCTGGCGGCGGGGTCCATCCTGATCAAGGAGTGGCTGTACCGCGCGAGTGAGTACCTCGTCTGCATTGCATACGCCCGCTAACCCCCACAGCACTAAAAGTTGCCAACGAGCGCAAGTCGACCGTCCTCGCCTCCAACGCCTACCACCACCGCGTCGACTCGCTGACGGCGTTTGTTGCGCTGCTACTGATTTTTGGGTCCAACGTGCTCAACAACGCGGCATGGCTCGACCCCGTCGGCGGTCTTGTCATCTCCCTCATGGTTGTCCAAGCCGGCTGGGGCAACACCAAGTCTGCGCTGCTCGAGCTGGCTGACGTCGGCGTGGAAGACGAGATGAAGGAGAACGTCACAAAGGCCGCCACCAAGGCAGTCGAGAGCATAAGTACTACGGGCGAGATCGAGGTTCGCGCAGTGCAGGGCGTCAAGGCCGGCCAGAACTACCTGATGGACGTCGAGCTCGGCGTGCCCGGCACGTGGACCGTCGAGCAGACACGGGCAATCGAGAACCTCGTCCGCGAGCGCGTCGGTGCGAAGGTGCGCGGCGTCAAGAAGGTCCGCGTGCGCTTCGTCACCAACAGCACCGGCGAGCCCGACTTCCTCGACGAGTTCATCACCGGCGACGCTTCAGGGACAGCCACGCCCGAGTCGGAAGAGCACAACCACGACCATGCCGAGCACAACCATGACCATGCCGAGCACAAGCACAGCCAGAGCACCGACGCGCGGAGGAGGAAGTGATCTTGTACTATTACTTTGTATAGACGACGGGGCGTCTGGAGTTAGACTACGGCATATACGGTTGAGATGGTTCAATGCATCGCTTTTGACAGCTGCCTCGACGCTAATGCTCGTTTCAGTCATTCCCGCGGCGAACGACGTGATACGATCGGCGACTGCACCGATGCCTGGGCGCAAACACCGACGTCCACTCCACCTCACGACGTTGGTCGGAGTTTATCCGCCGGCCAATTGCAAGCTGTCTTCGCCGCAGACTCCGGCGGCAAAATGCGTGATGTAGGCTTTTGTGGATTTGTGGACCCTGGCTGCGTCGGCGTCGGAGCGCGATAACACTCCCCATGCCCAGCGACGCTTTCCATTGCTCTCAATCCATTCTCCTCAATTCCTGCACATATCGCGACCATGGCTGACCAGTTCCTCGGCTTCGATCTGAGCACCCAGCAGCTCAAGGGTATGCCCCGCAGCTACCCCACCACGCCGCGCTGACGGGACAGGAATCATCGTCGGCTCCGACCTCAAGCTGCTCCAAGAAGCGAAAGTAGACTTTGACGCCGACTTTGGTAAAAAGTATGGCATCGAGAAGGGCGTGCTCACGAACCCCGCCGAGGGCGAGGTGTTCGCGCCCGTAGCGCTGTTCCTCGAGGCTGTGGATCTCGTTCTGCAGCGCCTGCAGCAGCAGGGCGCCGACTTCTCGAAGGTCCAGGGTATTTCGGGCGCGGGCATGCAGCATGGGACTGTGTTCTGGAGTCATGACGCCGAGAAGCTGCTCGCCAATCTGGACCCCGGCAGGTCGCTGCTCGACCAGCTCGAGGGCGCCTTCAGCTACCCCTTCAGCCCCAACTGGCAGGACGCCAGCACGCAGAAGCAGGTCGAGGCATTCGACGCGGCGCTCGGCGGCCCGGAGAACCTCGCGCAGGCCACGGGCAGCAAGGCCCATCATGTATGTCTGACTTCATGAGGTGATGAATATGTACTGACACTCCCAGCGCTTCAGCGGGCCCCAGATCCTCCGCTTCCACGACAAACACCCAGATGCCTACAAAGCCACGTCCCGCATCTCCCTCGTCTCCTCGTTCCTCGCCTCCCTCTTCCTCGGCGCCATCGCCCCCATCGACATCTCCGACGTCACCGGCACCAACCTCTGGGACATCCCGCGGGGCGAATGGCACCCCGACCTCCTCGCCCTCGCCGGCGGCTCAACCGGCGGCTCCGCGCTGCACTCGAAATTGGGCTCTGTGTCGCCCGACGGCGGCGCCGTGTTCGGCTCCATCAGCCCGTACTTCACATCGCGCTACGGCTTCCCCGCGACAACCGCCGTCGTCGCCTTCACCGGCGACAACCCCAGCACCATCCTCGCGCTCCCGCTGCGCTCCTCGGATGCGATTGTGAGTCTCGGCACCAGCACCACGTTTCTCATGAGCACCCCCAACTACAACCCCCACCCCGCGTACCACTTCATGAACCACCCGACCACGAAAGGGCTGTACATGTTCATGCTGTGCTACAAGAACGGCGGGCTGGCGCGCGAGCGCGTCCGGGACGCTATCAACGAGGCGCAAGGCGCGCCACAAGGGTCGTGGGACGCATTCAACTCCGCCGCACTCTCGACGCCGGCACTCGGCAAGACGAACCCCGGCGATCCCGCGCGTCTGGGCCTATTCTTCCCACGCCCAGAGATCGTGCCCGCGGTGCGGGCTGGCGTGTGGCGCGCACTCTACACCGACACACTCTCCCCGCTCAACGCCACGACCTCCGACCCTTCAGACCCCGCCGCGCCGCCCGCAGACGCAGACAAATGGCCCCTCACAGCCGACGCCCGCGCAATCCTCGAATCCCAATTCCTCTCCCTGCGCCTGCGCTCCCAATCCCTCGTCACCCCGCAAACATCCCCCGCCGGCACACCCTTACCCGCCCAACCCCGCCGCATCTTCCTCGTCGGCGGCGGCGCCGCGAACCCCGCCATCGCGCACCTCGCGGGCGCCGTGCTCGGCGGCGCGGACGGCGTCTTCAAGCTGGAAATCGGCGGGAACGCGTGTGCGCTGGGGAGCGCGTATAAGGCTGCGTGGGGCGTGCAGCGCGGGGAAGGCGAGGCGTTTGAGGATTTCTTGGAGGGGAGGTGGGATGAGAGGGCTTTTGTTAGGAGGGTGGGGGAGGGGTATGAGGAGGGGGTTTGGGAGGGGTATGGGGGGGTGCTGGGGGGGTTTGGGGGGTTGGAAGAAAGGGCGGTTAGGGAGAAGGGGGAGGGGAGTGGGGCGGTGGGGGTGGTTAAGGAAGGGGGTGTGGATGGGGGGGTGATGTAGGGGTGGGTGGGTTGAACAGGGTTGGATTGAATAAACGCTTGATTGAATATGGATGCCATGTCTTGTCACGAATGCTATGTCTTGTCTCCACGCACTACCGCTCCCCCATCCGCTCCCCCCACTCACCCCCCCGCATCGCCTCCCCCAGCCCCTGGAACCCTTCCTGATACACCTTGCGCCCCGCCAACTCGTTCGCGAACGCGAGCCGCTGGTCGAGGCCCCACGCCGGCTGCTGCACCAGCGCGTACAGCATCCCCGCGATGAACGTATCGCCCGCGCCGACGGTGTCGACGGGCAGCGCGACGGAGCCGACGGGCGCGCGCGGTCGCCAGGCATTCGCAGTGGCGTGGATCGGGCGGTCGTTTGTGCCGTTGCGCAGGGCCTCTGCGCCGTCGGGGCCCCAGGTGCAGATCAGCGTTGCCGTGGGGGCGGTGAGGGGCATCTGGGAGTGCAGGAAGGAGGCGGGCAGGACGGGGAGGCCGTTCGCGGGGTCTCTGAAAGCCTGGGGGCGTCAGTGCTGCTCCCTACTCCCTGGGTTGGGGTTGACGACGCACCTCCGCCCACGCGCGCGAGTAGAACACGACGTCCGCCAGCGGCAGCACGCGCGCCAGTTCCCCCCGCGCCGGGTTCTCGCACTCCAGACTGACGCGCACGCGCCCGTGCCACCCGAACCGCTGCCGCAGCCACTCCATGCAGCCGACCAGCACGCCGCCCCCGCGGCCCTCGAAATGCACCCACACCTCCTCGCTCTGCGCGTGCACCAGCGCCTCCATCTTCTCGACAAACTCCGCCACGGACAGGCCGGGCAGCGGATCGTAGCTTACGCACGTCCGCGAGCCGCGCGCCGCCGACGCGAGCACGTAGCAGCTCGCGGCGCGCGTGTGGCCGCGGCGGTAGAGGTACAGGCGCGTGGACACATCCGGGAGCGAGGCGACGATGCAGTGAGTGTCGTCGGCGGCGGGGTCGGGGAGCGGGGCGAGGAGGAACAGGGCGGTTGTGTAGGAAGAGGTGGCGGGGTTGAGGTTTGCGGCGGGGAGCAGGCGCGAGAGGACTTCGAGGGTGTTGCCGGGGTTGCCGCCGCGGCGGCGGACGACGTTGTCGGCGCGCTGTTTGCTGTCCTCGGGGGGGAAGTGCGGGACCCTGGGGGGTTAGAGGGGGCTGTGAGTGTGAAGGGGCCGTACGAGAGGATGGTGTCGATGTAGACGGTGCCCACGCAGACGATGTACGGCATGGCGGGCTATGATCTGGTGGTAATAGTGTGGAGTGACTGTCGATGTCGCAGCGATTGACCTCCCCTGCTATGATGTCATCGTCACGAGAGGAAGGACCGACCGGGTTGTTGTTTACTTGATTGAGACCTTTCGCGCCGAGCTACTCAGTGAATATCGCTAAATGGCAGTTATCTACGCTCCTCTCCGCACGTTTGTGCTCATGAGTGTGATTTTCTTCTTTTTCTTGCCCTTTCCACCTGCAGGCTTCTTCGCCGACTCTCCCTCCTCAAGCGACATGGCCTGTGCCTGGGCGATCATCTCCTCCTCCTGAAGCAGGTCCTTCTCCCACCCCTGCAGCCAGCCGTCCTCGGCGTCGTGGTCCAGGGCCGCGAGGACAGGAGATGCACCTGCGATAGCTGTAGTGCCCCAGACGGTTCGTGCAGCTGACGGGCTCGTGGACGGTGACGCCAGAGAGGCGAACCCCTCGCCTCGCCGAGCTGGCCAGGGTGGTGAGGTCGATGCGTCTTCGTCGGTGACCGGCTGGCCGTCTGGATTGCTGCCGGACGCCAGAGGTAGGAAGTCCGCGGCAGAGAATCGCTCAGACATGCTGGGCCGCTTCCTCCGCGCCGAGTTGAATTCAGCATACTCGGCCTTCTCCGCTCGCAGCCTCGCCTTCTCTTCACGCCCCTCCTTGTCTTGGTGCTTCTTCCTCCTCTTCTCGATGTCAGTCTTGAAGCGGTCTAGGATTTCAGGCGCCACGGTGTCAGTCCAGTCGCACTCCAAAAAGCTGACCTCGCAGCCGTACGGCAGATGGGCGAGATACTTTGTGCGTTTCCGGAGTTCGTCATCGACGACGTGGCCGGTTGACACATGCTCCACACGGGGAAGGATTGTTGCAGGAAACGACGCGAAGTTCTCGAATGCAGCTTTGAGAATACGGATGTCGAGTGGAGCTAGATAGTAGTGCATGAGCGCCTGGTAGAAGTAGTACTCGGACGGCGTGCGGCTCTGGTCGTGGTGTTGCCGGTTGCGAATCTCAGCGAGCGTTGCCGGCACGCTTGTTCGCGATGTCTGCGAGGACGTGGACATCTTCCTCTGCTTGCTGCCCTCACTGGGCGTGCCAGACTCTGTACCGTCCTGGGCGGAAGGAAAGAACTCGGGTGCATCCTCGCGGAACACAATAGGTGCTCGTTTCGGCTTCGGCTCTGCTGGTTTAAGTGCAGATTCTGGCGGGTTGCCGATTCCTTGGAGCTTCTCCTTCGACTCGTCGATGTTGCGAATGGCCTTCTTCGCCCACTGCACGTTGTCCTCGCCGAACATGACTTCGTCTTCTTCGGCCTGCTGACGCAATTCTGAAATTTCCTTGTTGAACTGTTCCATCATGTAGTCCTCTCCGCCTCGGAGCACCCGTGCATAGTCCATGACCTCTGCAGCAAAGTACCAGGGGATGTCCTCGTCTTTGCCCAGCACTTCAGCGCCATCGCGGGGCATGGCCAGCGTGCTCCCGGCCGAGCGCATCACCAGGCGGAGGACGACATCGCCGCCGTCGCGAGGCGGGTCTCCCTCCTGCCCCACATACCAGCGCACTGGCCGTGTTTCGGCGGCGTAGATGGTGTCGAAACACAGCGGGCACTTTTTCGAACGGGCCCTCTTCACGTGCTGCTGACCCTCGTCTTCAGAGTGCATGTAGCGAATGAGGCAGGGCAGGCAAAAGATATGCCCGCACCTGGCCATCCTCGGCGCTACCGGAGTGCCGAGGCAGATGGGACAAGAAGCGTCCTGCGAGACGGACGAGGCCAAGATCTGGAGGACATTGTTCCAGTCCAGGTGGATGTCGGCGTCGACACGCTGAGCACGGTAATCGCCACGCGGATCGACAATGAAGCGGTAGTTCGCGTGCACGTATCTGTGGGTGTTAATCTTGGTCAGTCTGGCGCATAGACTACATACCTCGCCTTGTCGGAGGCATGGTAGCCGGAGCCAACGCCCCAGGTCGGGGCGCGCCTGTAGGGTCTGGCGTGGTTGCGGTCGTAGTTCTGGGGGCGAGGCGGGAGGTTGAAGTTCATGAGGTGGGTGATGGACGTCTGCCCCTTCCGGTTGCCGTATGGACGCATGGCGAGCTGGGCTGTCAGTGGTGGAGACGGCTGTAGACGGATGTACGTACGGACTCGGCAATGTCATCCTCGTCGGACTGGCGGAACTTCTTGGAGCCCTTGTTCTGCTTCTTGGCCGTCTGGTTGTTGCGCGGCACGGGCGAGTTCTTGAAGGGAATGCTGCCCCGCTGCTGGCCGAAGAAGTTGACGGTGGCGGAGGCGGACTGGCTCTGGGCCGGCGACTGGGGCGCGGCGGGCGCAGAGGCTTTGGAAGACGCGGCGGCCGAGGGGGGGTTCGACGACATGATGCCACCCGCGCGAGGGGCTCTCGATGACGACGGTCCGGCGCAGAGCTCGCTTCACACGGCGACGCTCTTCACACGGCAGACGCTCTCTTTACACGACGACAAAGGAAAGAGCGCACAGCAAGGCTAAGATATACAGTGTGAGGTTGCGGGCACGGTTGTGGGTTGTGGGCTGGGTCCCCCCGAGGGATGGACTGGGAGAGTCACAGAGGTGGCGATCGGGTGGATAGACCAGGGCATCATCGCGGCTGGACCAGCGTCACGTGTTCGGCCGTGTCTGGGCTGCGTGCGGACCTGCGCGCGAGAGCCTCCACTGCAGAGACGTCGTTATTGAGTTCACACATGGCGCCGAGAGCATTGCGCGCCGATGGGCCTGCAGCACTGGCTGGTGGCAGCAGCGTCGTAGCTTTGACCGGGGTGCAGTGCAATAGCCGGCAGATGACTTCATCGACGCACGACCTGGCGAACACCCACGGCGCGGTGCAGTGCGCGGTGTGCGGCGGGCAGGTTCATCGCCTGGGCAGCGCTGTCGACACGCCCGCTGCACGGCCTGCACGGTAATGCAGCCGGCATGGTGTTGCAGGCGGGGCGGCGGTGCGGTCGTCGTTCGCGCAGCATGAACCGTGAAGCGTCCGTGAGTGTGAACCGTCGCACAGACACTTTGCGTGCTCTCTTCACCTCGCCGTCGCCCACAACTCCCACCCGCCGCGCCCACGCCTCCCACTCGCCGCCCACCCCTCGCATCCCGCTCCGCCCATCGCCGGGCAGTCTCGCCTGCGCTCATGCCGTGCTGATACAATGACCGCGAGTCTGGCCCGCCACCCCGCTGTCCCCCGAGCTGTCGCGCGCCCCGTGTCGCAGTGATTCATCGCCCGCGCCGTCCGCTGCCCCGTTGGCCTGGTCGCGCTGCCTGGCCAGCACCCGTCGAGCGCCCATGATGCCCGGCCACCTGCCGCCCGGTGGACCGTTCCACCCGGGTCGCAAGCACGAGCACGCCTACCAGTACTACGCCCCGCCCCCGCAGGCGCACTCGCCCGTCTACCACAACCCCTACGCGCCCTACCACCACCCGCCGCACTATGGCCCGCCGCACGGCTATCCGCCGCAGCTGCCGCAGATGCAGATGCAGCCCATGCAGCAGTGGCACCCCTACCACCCGCCGCCGCAGTACAACATGCCGCCGCGCCCGTTCCAGCCCCAGGCCTCGCCCGTCGTCGTCTCGTCACACCCGCACATGGCCATGGCCCCGGTGAGCCGTTCGCTCGGTCAGACGCCGCCCATTGCCCACTCGCACACCCCGCCGCTGCCCGCCCACACGCCCCAGCGCCCGTCGCCCGTGCTGGCCGACGCGCACCTGCAATATTGCATTCCCCGCTCGCACGATCCAGCCCCGGCCCCGGAGCCAGAGCCTGCGCCCGTCGTCCTGCCCGCCACCTTCACGCCCTTCTACCCGCCGCTGCCCTGGCTGTCCGTGCCCGACGCCGACTTCCCCGCCCGTGCCGCGGGCCGGAGGAGGAGAAAGAGGGGCCCCGTCGCCGCCCAGGAACAGGGCCTGGCGCTGCCGTCGCGCTCGCAGCATGTGCAAGAAGACGTCAAGGCCGAGGAGACGGCAAACGAGCTGGAGTCTGCAGGAGAGCCCGAGGAGTCGCAGGCTTCTACCATTGCTGTGCCGTCTGACGCCGAGGTCGACACCCCCTCCACGTCGCACCCGCCGTCTGAGATCGATGTCCCGCAGCCTGTGACCCCAACGACCGCCCCTGTCCAGAAGCACGCCCGCAACACCACAAAGCCGGCCGTGCCGCTGATTCCCATCAAGCCCGTGCATGCAGCGAGTGCCGCGTCGACAACTCAGAAGTCGGCCAAGTCGCCATCTGCCGAGAAGCCCCAGCCGCAAGCCGCCGAGACTGCCGCAGAGGCCGTGAGCCCTGAGGATGCACCCAAGCCCGCCCCTGCAGCGCCTGCCGTGCCAAAGTCGTGGGCAGAGCTGCTCAGGGCGAAGAACGCCGCAGCTGCTCCACAAGCCCCAGCACAGGCCCAACCGCCAGTCACCTCCAACGGTGTTGCGACCACAAACGGACCAGCGGCGCCCAAGATCAACTCGCTGACCGACGTCCTCACCTCCTACTCTGTTGATGCCGGCAAGAAGGTGTCTTTCATCGAGCCTCGCGGCCTTGTGAACACCGGTAACCTCTGCTACATGAATTCTGTAAGTCTCAGCTCTACGTCCTCCAAACCCGCTAACGTGCGCAGGTCCTCCAAGTACTTCTGTTCTGCGCGCCCTTTTACGACTTCCTCGACCAGACGGCAAAGCGAGCGGTGCACAGCTTCAAGTCTGAGACTCCCCTTGTCGACGCAATGATCATGTTTGTGCGCGACTTCAAGGTCATCGACTCGGCTACTTCGGTTGAGCAGCTTCGCCTGCGTCTGAAGACCGACGAGCTGGAGCAGTACGGAGACCCTCTGACCCCTGAGTACGTCTACGACACCATCAGGCGCCTGCCTCGCTTCGACAACATGAAGCGGGGTTCTCAGGAAGACGCCGAGGAGTTCTTGGGCTTCCTGCTTGCCGGCCTGCACGACGACTGCGCGCTTGTAATCAAAAAGGGCCAGGCGGACAGTGGCACATCGCCATCCGAGCGACCAACATCTTCAGATGGCGGATGGCTTGAGGTCACGGCGAAGCAGAAGACCTCCGTCACACAGTCCTCTGGCGCTGTCGAGGTGGAGACGCCCATCACCAAGATATTCGGCGGCAAGCTCCGCTCCGAGTACAGGAAGGCCGGACAGAAGCCTTCAGTCACCTTCGAGCCCTACCAGCCTCTGCAGCTCGACATTGGTGAACCACACATCAACAACATCTCGGACGCGTTGAAGAACTTGACCCGTCTGGAGACTCTGGACGGCGCTGGAAACGGCCCTCGTGCCTCGACAAAGCAGGTGCACATCGAGACGCTGCCACCAGTCCTGATCCTCCACTTGAAGCGCTTCCACTACGACGAGAAGGGCCCCCAGAAGATCTGGAAGAAGATCGGGTACCCACTGGAACTGGAGATGCCGAAGGAAGTCTTCCCCCAGCACAAGCGCGGAGGCTACCAGGCACAGGGCGGCTTCCCGAAGTACAGGCTCACAGGCGTCGTCTACCACCACGGCAAGAACGCCAGCGGCGGCCACTACACGGTCGACCTCCGCCGACAAGAGGGCCGGGAATGGATCCGGATGGACGACACTGTCATCCGCCGCATCCGCGCCGAAGACGTCGCCGAGGGCGGCGCAGAAGAGGACCCCAAGCTCCTGGCTGCCGCGCTCGAGCAGCATAAGAATGACTCTGGCAAGAGCAAGAACTTCTTTGCTCAGATCGACATTGACGAGGAGGCCGCTGACAAGGGCGGCTGGAACCAGGTCAACGGCACGGAGAAGAAGGACAACACGAAGAAGTGGGCTGGTGTCGTCAACGGCACCGCGACGCCCACCTCAGCCGGAAAGCGCACCCCCCTCCCCAAGGAAAACGTGCGCGACAACAAGGTAGCCTACATTCTGTTCTACCAGCGCATCGAGTCATGAAGGGCGGCCTCGAGCGGAGCACACATGCTCATGATTACACGACCAAAAGTCACTAGCATTGCAGGGCGGGAAAAGCATAGCCACAAGCGCAGCGCCGTGGATGAGGGTCATCGGCGCATCGTGTGGTGCACAAAAGAACTGAGCGCGAGAGCAAGACGCCTCTTGCGCGTCACTGTAGTATGAAGATGTACAATCCACGCGTTTCCCTGTGGTGATGTGGTGCTGTGATGTCTGTGCGCAAACTACCCCTCCACCCCACCTTCATCGCGCTCCGTCGCGACTCCAACTGTCCTGACGACGAAGATCGGTGCGCTGGATTCACAATGCTCATCACAGAGACGTTCAAGGATGTGCCCACCCAGGCGGGCGGCGACATGCGTAGGCGTTGGATTGGAGTGTGTCAGGCACTGTAGCTTACGATTGCATAGGGGTCTTCATCTTCCACCCGACTATCGCGAACTACCCGCACGCGAAGTTTCCCGGCGTCGTCGTGTTCTCGGAGATCTACCAAGGTGTGTTGTAGCATCTGCATTGCCCCTGGGACCTGTCTGCAGAATTAGCCACAAGCAAACACTCGGCGCCACGCCTGTCACAGCTCCTCGAGTCTTGCGCGACGGCTGCTCGACCACCTCTCCACTCCGATATCCTCTAGCTAACAACCCAAGTAACGGGCCCCGTGTCCCGCTTCGCCCGCGCCATCGCTTCGCAGGGCTACATCGTGGCCGCCCCGTCCTCGTACCACGAATTCACCGGCCCGGAGGCACTCGCGTACGACGGCCCAGGCACCGACGCCGGCAACGAGTGGAAAGTCGCCAAGAAAGTATCCTCGTACGACGAAGACGCCACACTCGCCGTCGACCTGCTGCTCAGCCTGCCGACGTGCACCGGCCGCATCGGCGCCACGGGTACGTTCTGTCTCTTCGACTTGCGCTTAGGGGCTGCCCCTGTGGGTTCTAGGAGTTTACGGGCTGATTCAATGGCTAGGCATGTGCCTGGGCGGACACCTCGCGTACCGGTGCGCGCTGGACCCGCGCGTCGCCGCCGCGGTGTGCTATTTCGCGACCGACGTGCACAGCGCGACGCTCGGGGCGGGCAAGAGCGACGACTCGCTCAAGCGCGCGCGCGACATCAAGGGCGAGCTGGTTATGATTTTCGGCAAGATGGACAACCACGTGCCGCCCGAGGGGCGCGATTTGATCCGCAAGACGCTGCACGAGGCGGGCGTGACGTTTAGTTTCTACGAGCCGGCGTGGGCGCAGCGTGGGTTCTTCCTTCGCCGTCGAGGAGAGGCGATGTGTGTGCTAATGGTCTGCAGATGCGTTTATCCGCGACGAGCTCAGTAAGGGACGCTATGACGCGGCGCTGTCGGGGGTGTGCTTTGAGATGCTGAAGGAGCTGTTTGGGCGCACGCTGAGGTCAGATTTGGGGCCAAGGAGCGGCGGGGAGGTGGAGATTGAGGATGTTTGCTGAGGTATGGAATTGGCGATGCGCATACTGATTTAGGTAGCGCGCGAGGCAGGTAATGAGAGAAGTAGACGACTACATTCACAGCATTCTGATCAGGAGCGAGTATGCTGATCAATAGACTGTGTTGCTGTTGGCCCAGTCCGACCACTGAGGCTGACAGATCATAAGTCCACTCGGAACAGTACTTTTACAATCCGAACAGTCAGACCCATCAGCTACCACAGTCTGTACTGCGACAACAGACACATCACAGCAGCTACGTCACAGCAACCCTCAACACACGCAACACTCATTCAAAATCTGTCCTCGCTGTTGAAAGCCACCCAACCAGCGCTTCTCCTACTGCTCAACAGTCTGCACTTGATTACTGATTTTCGAAGCATGCGGAATACCACAAGCACGGTACGTACATGCACCAGGCAGACTGTCCCATGGTACTGACTCGAAGCAGCATCGTGAGTGGCCAGTCTCCACGTTGTTGCCCTGCAGCATGTGATGCTAGATATCCCAGGCTGATCAGGGACGACAATCGCATCTAGTGCGGCTTTGTCGAAGATTGGAGCATATCCGGACCAAGGACAGTGTAGACACTAAGTCTGCGATGACGAAACTCCAGCCACAGCCCCTGCATGAGTAAGTTGTACGCTTTGCGGTCGACACTCGTTGACGACCAGATGGGAGGTCACATGACCACGCCGACACGTCTTCCCATTGATTCTACCTCAATTCAAGCAACTGTCAACAGCGTCGTATTGACCATGAGCATGCGGTAAACTCAACCTCACATCCCTTTCGAAGCCACCGCGTAGGCCCGATTCACATTCCAAGCTTTCCCGCGTACCAGAACCGCCAGCATCCAGCATGAGCCATGCCCGGCATTCAACACCGAACCAAATCCGCAACCGTCCCAACGTGAAGGCGCCGGGACCCGTCATGCTGTCATACCCCACGGGATCTCGCACAATAGCTACACCAACCCTCGGCGTATTCACACCTCAAGCCAGCACCCCCCGCCGCAACGCACAACGAACAACGAACAAGGAACAAAACCAATGCGTCCACCTCAAGCGACGCGCCAGCCCTGAAGCCCCCATTGGCCCCCGCTCGCCGATAACAAACCCGCGTGAACGCGATCGCCCTTTGTTCAGCCCTTACTCAGCGGCCCTCGACCGATCAGCCGCGCCGCCACCCTCGCGTGCCCACGCGCATTCCGCGCAACAGCAGGACAAGAAGCAGCGCGCCCGCTGTGCGCTCGCGCACCATGCGCCGAACAAAGCATGGCTGCGCACTCCAGTTTTCCCTCTGTTGGTCTGTCCAAGGTGGACCGGGTGTGCGAGCCCGGGGTGTCTGTGTGTGAGCACGAGATATCTACGTCTGAACCCAGGATATCTATGTCTGAGCGCGAGATATGTACGACTGAGCCCAGGGTGTCTACGTCTACCCCCCGAATACCAGACCCCCGGTTCTCCGACTCTCCAACCTCGCACTCGCCCTTCGACGACACCGACGGCACGCGCAACGACAGCTTCCCCGGCCTCGCGCCCGAGTTCCCCAAGCGCTCCAAGACACTGCATCGCTTCCACAGCAACGCGTCGCGGGAGATTGCGCTGGTGGATTTCCTCAACGACGGTGCGCCCGAGGGCAGGGTGCGGATGGCGTCGCGCGACGAGCCGACGGCATGGGACAGGAAGGATATGGACCGCATGGGGAAGCGGCAGGAACTCAAGGTGAGACCTTTACACGCTGTGGACATGCTCTGGCCAGACACCAGAATCCCCCTACCCCCCTATCCACGCATCGAGACCCGCTAACACCGCACCAGCGCGCGTACCGCCCCCTCTCGGCGCTCAGCTTCGCAATTGTGCTGACGGCGATCTGGGAGTACCTGATGATTGCGTGCACGCAGGGGCTGGCGCTCGGCGGGCTGGCGGGCATGTTCTGGAGCTATGTGTGGACGTTTGTGGGGTTTACGTTTGTCGAGATGAGTCTGGCGGAGATGGCGAGTATGTGCGTATGCCCTGGGATGTGATGGACCCCTGACCCTACACTGCCCTCACTGCCCTCACTGCCCTCACTGCCCTACGAGAGTGGGAACTGCCCCGATACACTCCCCACGCACACCGAGACCATGCTGACATGTACAAGGGCACCCACGGTACGTCGCGCCAGCGTTGTGAGCACTCGCACTAACACCCCCAGTCCGGCGGCCAGTACCACTGGGTCTCTGAGTTTGCGCCCGCGCGCTACCAGCGCTTTTTGTCGTACGTCGTGGGCTGGATGTCGACGCTGTCGTGGCAGGCGGGCAATGCGGCGGATTGCTTTCTGACGGGGACGATGGCGCAGGCGCTGATCGTGGTGAACAATCCTGCCTACACGCCGCGGCGGTGGGAGGGGACGTTGTTTGTGTTCGCGATGGTTTGTAGCTCCTCTCCCCCTTTATATCTCGAACTGTCCGAGTCGTGTTGTCCCAGGCACTGACACGCCCAGGTCTTCATCGTCTACATCGCCAACATCTACGGCTCCGCGCTCTGGCCGCGCCTCCAAAACGCCCTCATGGTGCTGCACATCCTCGCCTTCCTCGCCGTCGTAACCACCCTGTGGTGCCTGGCCCCGCACCGCACCGCCGCCGACGTCTTCACCGCCTTCACCCCCACCGCCGACTGGTCCTCGCTCCCACTCTCCCTGCTCGTCGGCCAGATCAGCGCCATCTACGCGCTCCTCGGCTCCGACGCCACCGCGCACATGGCTGAAGAAGTCCGCGACGCGAGCCGCTACGTCCCGCTCTCCCTCTTCTGGTCGTACGCGCTCAACTCCCTGCTCGCCATCGTCTTCCTCATCGCGTTCCTCTTCGCCATCGACGACGTGCCCGCCGCCGTGACCCACGAGAGCGGCTACCCCTTCCTATACGTGTTCACGCGCGTGCTGTCGCCCGCGGGCGTCAACGCCTTAACCCTCATCGTACTCCTGCTCGTGTCCGCCGCGAACGTCAACTTCGGCGCCAGCACCGCCCGCCAGACGTTCGCGTTCGCGCGCGACAACGGCCTGCCCTTTGCATCCTGGATCGCGCACGTCGACCCCCGCCGCGGGATCCCCGCCAACGCCGTCCTGCTCTCCTCCGTCGCCGCCGCGCTGCTCGCGCTCATCAACATCGGCTCCACGACCGCATTCGAGGCCATCGTCAGCCTACAAGTCGTGAGCCTGATGTTCACGTACGCCGTCTCCCTATCGTGTATCCTGCACCGCCGGCTGACCGCGCCCGAGACGCTGCCGTCGGCGCGCTGGAGCCTGGGGCGCTGGGGCGTGGGCGTGAATGTGGTGGGGTTGGGGTACGTGTGTTTTGCGTGTTTCTGGGCGTTTTGGCCGACGTATGCGCGGGTTGATGCGGAGAATTTTAATTGGGCGGTTGTGCTGTTCGGTGCGGTGTTTGTCGGGTGCTTGGTTATGTATGCGGTGCAGGGGCGGAGGGTGTATGTTGGGCCGGTGAAGGAGGTGCGGCGGTTGAGTGGGGAGACGATGTAGACGAGGAGATGAGTAATGAAGTAGATGCTTTAGATAATTCAGACGACTAGACTCAGACATTGGTGTTTCCATACTATACCATACCTCACTTCGCACCTCACTTTCTTCACACTCACACTCCCATTCCCCATTCCACACCTCAACACCAAACACCACTACCCCCCCCCCCCCCCCCCCCCTCCTGAATGATTTTCTTTTCCTCAAGAGCCAAACCCCCGCACCCCGCCCCCAATCCAGCGCACCGCGTGCCCACGCCATCACGTGCCATCCAGCCCATCCAGCGCCATCACGTGCCCACCCCCTCGATCCCTTTGTTCTCGCTCTTTGTCCCACGCCGGAAGCGTCCTTATCTCTCGCATCCCTATTTGCTAGGCATTTGCATGCGTCACAAAGCGCCCTCCCACCATACAGCCATACAGCGTACTGTAGATAGTGGAACGTAGATAGTGGAAGTATGGACAAGTGGCCACCATCCAGCGTCGCCATGGATAGTGGAAGGTGGACAGTGGACACTAGAAGATGGACAGTGGATGCATGGAGTATGGACATCGAGTATATCCGTGTGCAAAGCGCCCACGCTCGTCCCTCGTGCCGCTTGATACATAGTAGGAAGTCTGGGTGGCAGCCGGTACTGTATCGCCGCGGGAACCCTCAGAGAACTCTCAGGGAACCTGTGGCGGGAAGCGTACCCCCTCCCCCTCCCCAGCCCATCCCCAGCCCAGCCCAGCCTTCGCAGTAGGTACTGAATGAAGCCGCGCTTACCCAACCCAGCTCCATCTACTGCTATCACCGCCCGCGCTTGGTGTCGCGCGCTACGGGTATGCGGCAGCAGAAGACCAAGGGCCGCCGGATCGGGCAAGTGGTGGGCGGGTTGTTCGCGTCCGGGGGTGTGGTGCTCGAGTGCCCTTGCTCGATTGCCCTTGCTACACTGGCGTGGTGTTCTGGTGTCGGTCTTTGTGCGGCTGGTGTGGGCTTGCAGGTGGGCTCGTGTATTGAGCTGCTTTGAGACTACCGGTGCTGTGGGTGTGGTGTGCTGTGGTGGGTATATCGCGCTGTTGGTATATCGCGCTGTTGGTATATCCGTGCTCCTGTGGTTTATCGAACGGTGTTGTTGGACTGTTGCTGGACCTGTTGCTGGACCTGTTGCTGGACCTGTTGTTAAACTGTTATATTGGTGTTGTACTGTGGTCGTACTGTGGTCATACTCGAGACCACACTGCCGCCACACTTCACCGGCACCGCAGACGCCGCGGTTGGGACGCGACGTCACGCCGCCAATCCGCACGCTACCTCGACGAGAACGGAGAGAAAGACAGCTCGACATTCGCCGTTCGACGCTCGACATAACGCTCCTCGGCGCAACCACCCACCGCCCGACGCGCCGCACACACACTCACGCTGCCACCCACCCACCGCCATGGCCGCCTCAATAGCCTCCTCCATGGCCGCCTCCCTAACCCTCCACGCCTCCACCCACGCACCCCCCCCAACCGCCCCGCCAACCCTCCGCCCCCCCCTCACGCACGTAACCCCCACCGACCAAACGGGCATAATCGCCATCCTCTCCGGTTTCACCCTCGGCCTGCTGCTCCTCAGCATCCCCGTGCGGCTGTACGCGCGCCGCGCGGCGTCGCTGCAGCGCTGCGACGACGGCGCGTTCTACACGGCTGTGCTGCTTGGGTTGGGCGAGGTGGGGACGACGTTGTGGCTTGTGTCGCAAGGGCTGGGGAAGGATCCAGATCTGCTCTCACAGGGGGGTGGAGGCGGCGTAGGTGGAGGCGGCGGAGGTGCAGGCAACGAAGGGATAGTGCGGCGCGGCGTGGTGGCCACGGGCGCGCTGTACGTCGGCGTGCTGTGTCTGAGTAAGGTGAGCTGCGGGCTGATGTATGTCTGGCTGACGCCTTTTGCGGGGCAGAAGAGGGGGGCGATGGGGCTGGTGTGGGCGGCGGCGGTGTGGGGGGGGATTGGGGTTGTGGTTGAGGCGGTGGGGTGTCAGGGGTTTGGAGGGGGGGGGAGGGGGGTGTAAGGGATATGTGGGTTGCCTTTTTCTTTTCTCTTCGCTTTTCGTCTCTTCGATTCGCTTTTCGTCTCCTCGATTCGCTTTTCGTCTCTTCGGTTTGATTTGCTTTGCTTTACTTTGCTTCGCTTTGCTTCGCTGCGCTTCTCTTCGCCGTGCGCTCAGTGTTGTATCCAAGACCACCAGCTAACAACCCCAGCGCGCCCGCTGGATCTGGATCGCCGTCTCCGACGCGCTCCTCGAAGCCGCGCTGGTCGGCGCCAGCATCCACATGGTGTACTCGCGCAGCATGAGCGCGCGGGCGAAATACACCGTCGTCGGCGCCTTCGCGTACCGGATCCCGAACATCGTCATCACGCTCGTGCGACTCGTATTCATCTGTGTCAGCGACGCGGCGCCCACGCCCGCGATCCACATTGCGCGCGTCCAGGGCGCGACGCAGCTCGCCATCGGCTACACGGTGGTGTCGTGCGTGATTCCGTATCTCAGGCCGCTGATGCAGAGCTATGAGGACGATGGGCGGAGGGATAGCGGGGAGGCGACGTTTAAGCTGAGTGATCGCAGCAAGGGGTCTGGGTCGGCGGATCTGGGGGTGGGGAAGGGGAAGGGGAAGGCCGTGGGGCTGGATTTCAGTGATATGGGGACGTTGATTGGGCCGGAGAGGCCGGGGTTCGTGCGGTTGAAGTCGCGGGAGGCGCTGCATGTTGTGTGACAGTACTGTGGCGCAGGAGTCAGTTTGTAGACGCATCAATAGATCACTGGTTTCCAAGATGTTGAGACGTCGGCCACGGTGAGGGTGCAAGACTATTCTTAGCAGTTCAGGTGCTTTCTCTAACAGTTCAGATGCTCATCTTAGCGGTATTCCGATGCTTATATTACACTTGCAGCTACATCCCTAGTACTGCCCAGCAGCCGCCTGGCACGCCTTGAGCTGATCAAGGTACCACCCGCAGATAGTCAGACTGCCCTGGTTCTCGTCCATGCAGGTGCGGAACTGGGTGACGTTCTGGGCGCAAGGCCCGGCCTGCGCCTGCGCCGACGTGTTGACCTGGTGCTGCTGCTGGAACTCGGCGCTCTGGGGCGCGGCCTCGGCGGGCGCGCTGCTGCCGCCCGAGAACCACCCGCCGACCGCGTGGCCGATCGAGGATCCGACTGCGACACCGCTGGGGCGTGTTAGTGGAGGACTGGGAATGGGAGATGGAGACGTACGCGGCGGTCGAGGCCATCTGGCCGAAGAGACCGGGGCCCTGGGGGGCGGCCGCAGGAGGGGCGGCGGCAGGAGCTTGCGCGGGCGCGGCGGCGGTGGAGTGCTGGCGGGCGGGTGCTGGCTGGGGCTTTGCGGCCGGGACGGTGGGCCTGGGGCGGACAGGCGCGGCTCCTCCACGTTGACGAGGCATGATGTTGATGGGTGAGGGTGATGTGAGGGTGATGTGAGAGGTAGTCGAGTGATTGAGCGTAGGTGTTGGTGGTGTCGGCAGAGGCAATTGTCCGAGGTCTTGACCTTCTCGAATAATCTAACCCGCGCGGAGCATTTAGCGTAACGCGCTTTACAGCTCTGTGATTGGCTGCACATCGGCACATCGCAACATCTTCACTAGGCAGCAGAATTCGGAATTGAGTTACTAAATTAATGAAGGTTAAATCAGTCGAGACACTAGATCAATCAAGCTTCACAGTCACATCGATAGCTTGGAATGGCAATTACGCACGGCAGCACATCAAAACCAATACGTGATATTCAGAAGACAAGGGTCTATCGTAAATGCTAATTTCAGATCCGCAGGCCACGGCGCCAAAGAAAGGAATGCAGCAAAAAACGTCGTAAGCGTGGCTGCCCTGTCCGAATCGCCGCACGCGAGGTATGCAAGATGCTATCAAGCAGATGCCGATGTAGAGGGTATGAGGAAACAGCACCGGCGATGCTCGCCGTGGGAGTGTGCTGGGTAGGGTGAATGGTCGTCTCGGGCCGGCGCTGGGCGGGGACGCATTATATTCAAGCTCCCGGATGTCCGCCGCACCAGGGCCCGCCGGCCGCTGCGTGCGCGCTTATAAGACGGTGCACTTGCTCTTCTTCTTCTGCTGCGACTGCTGGGGGCGCGGGCTGAGGACGGCGCTGCTGCTGTTAGCTTCGCGGCGAGTGCACGTGATGTACGCACCGGATGGCCTCGTCGAAGACGCTCTTGAGGTTGCGCTGTGTCAGGGCCGAGCACTCAAGGTACTTCTGCGCCTTGATCTCCTTGGCGACCATGACGGCCTGCTCATACTGGATGGGCGCCATCTTCTTCTGGCGCAGCGACTCCTTGGTGCCCTCGTCGTCTCGCAGATCGAGCTTCGTGCCGACCAGGATGATGGGCACGCCCGGCGCGTGGTGGTCGATCTCGGGGTACCACTGGGCGGGTCAGCGGGGCTGCGTCGGGCACGCAGCGCACCTACCTTGGCCTTGACGTTGTCGAACGACGGCGGGCTGACAATGGAGAAGCAGATCAGGAACACGTCCGTCTGCGGGTACGACAGCGGCCGCAGACGGTCGTAGTCCTCCTGGCCGGCGGTATCCCACAGGCCGAGGCTGATGGGCTTGCCGTCAACCATGACATTCGCCGAGTAGTTGTCGAAGCTGGGCGGTTAGCGCGCGGCGGCAGCGACAGGCGGCGCACTTACACAGTCGGGATGTACTCGCCGGGGAAGGCGTTCGTTGTGTAGGAAATGAGAAGACATGTCTGCGCCGTCAGCGTGGCCCACGCATGGGACTCCAGCACTCACCTTGCCCACGGCACCGTCGCCGGTCACGACACACTGTCGGCGTCAGTCAGGTCAGCACAGCAGGCGGGCGCGCGCACCTTCAGGGATTGGGTCGCGGGAGCGGCCATTGTGTACGGTTGTATTAGCGACGCGTCGTCGGATTAGGGTCGTGGATCGGTGCGGAGCCCTGTCGGCGGCGGCTCTGGGGCGGCGAGCAGGGAGCGGCTGGGCGAGGCGGGGCGGCGAGATGGCGGTCGAGCAGTGCAGCGTGCAGTCGCTTTGCTTTTGCGTCTGCGAGGGCGCGGGAGCTATCAGGTAGGGGGGCGTCTGCGCTTGGCGGCGGCGGGTTGAGCTTGCAGCAGCGCGAGTCGATGGTGGGCCGCAGCGCGCGGGGGTCGGTCGAGTCGTGGCCGGGCGGTGGTCCAGTCGCGGGTCGCTTGAGCGGTATCGCGTGGAGGCAGAATCGGCTGTAGAAGCGGCGGCGGGTCACAGAGAGGGATGCAGCAGATGCAGTGCAGCAGACAGAACAGACAGAGCAGAGCAGCCAGGGGCGCGCGTGCTTTTGGGCAGTTGCGCCCTCACACGTCAAACAGGCCTGCGACACCACCCACGACTCTCACCTCGCCCACACGGCCACCACGGCCACCATGCTCTGCGACGCCTGATAGGCACGTCGCACGCGCCGCCCGCGTCCCCATCCGCCGCCCGCTTGCAGCACCATGGCCGAACCGCACCGTGTGGTGACGGCATGTTGCGCTGTATGGCCTGCGCCGCTGCATACCGCTCTTTGCTGCCCGCTGCAGCCCAGCCACAGCGCTGCACTTGACACACCCAGTGCTGCTGGCCGTGACTGGTGGGCCCAGCGGCCGCCGTGAGCGCGCTGATTCGCCCCGCGCGAGCCTTTCTCCAGACCCGCGCCTCCTATTCGTCGCCACCGCCCCCTGCCGCCTCTCACTGGCCAAGGCAAACAGGTGGGCTTTTCGTTTGGCCTCTGCGCTGCCGAATCACAGCGCCCGTGCATGGTGCCGTGCCATGGTGCATCAGCGCATGTTTGGAGCTGCACTTCCGAGACACCCAGTCCTGTCTAGCGAGCCCGCCTGCATCTGATCTGCGTCGTGCGTCTATTTCAGGCTGTTGCACATGCATTCGATAGACTTGGGATGTTCGCCATTCAGGCTATCTAGGGTATCTTGCGACTTCGCAGCGATCTTGAACTCCACCGACTATCACATGCTATACTCAATAAAACACAAACAGCTCGTCGCCGCCCTCCCGGTCCGCCCCCATGAACTCTCCCCGTAGCAGCAGTTTGACCAGCGCCTCGTGCAGGTCCTTCATGTCGAGGATGCCGCGCTTCTTCTGGTCAATGTACGACACGTCCACCACCACTCGCTTGAGATTCTCCGTAGACAGCGCCTTCTCCTCGAGGAGCGCAGCCAGCCGGTCAGGTGTGCCGACGCCGTAGTCCACCCTGCGCCGTTAGTGAGGCCAGAAATGATGCGCTCGTCACATACCTGTTCTTCTTCAGACTCGCTATCTGGTCTGCAAGCTTCAAGTGTTTTGCAAACAGCTTCTCCACCTTTGCATCCTTGATGCCCTGCTTGGGCAGCCCGCTCTTGAGCGACCGGCAGACATCGGCCGCGCGGATCCCAGACGCAGTGACGACAATTGTGTGCGGTGCTCCGGGTGGTTTATTCGACGTGGGCTTCAGATTGCCGAATTGCTTCTTGAGGAACGCTGGGAGGTTGTCCAGCTTGCGGGCGTCGCTGTAGCTGGTGCTGTCATACACGGTGCGTGCTGTTTGGGTCAGTAATCGTCTCGACATGGTACTGCACACTCACCAGGAATGAACTTGTCTTCGAGCTCGACACTGCTCAGGTCCTTGCCGTAGAGCCGTGTTCGAGCATTCACATAGTCTGCTACTAGCTGGCCATCCATGCGCTCAAAGGCGTGGTTCACGCCCAACTCTTGGTCCAGGTCATCCTCGTCAATGTTCTTTGCTCGCGCCTGTTTCTTCTGCTTTCTCTTCGCCTTCTTCTTTTCCTTCTTGCTGTCGATTCCGCCCTCCACCTCTGCCTCTGCCTTTCTCTTTTTCGAGTTTGCCGTAGGGTCGAACTCCGCCTCGATCAGAGGCACGCCTCCTTCGGATTCCGAGTCTGACATGTTGCCGAGTTTTGTGATGTGGAGTGCAGCAGAAAAGTCCAAAAAGTATGGCGTATCGATAAGGCAGATACGCTAGTCTGTATTCAATCTAGCCTGTCGCGTCGGCAATCAACGCGACTTCCATGTTGATTGACGTCCATCACAAGCTGATATTCCTGCGCACAACAATGGCAGAATCCGCGCGCAAGAAGCAGCGCCTATCGCCGGGGATCGCTGCGACACCAGATGCCACGGCGCACACCGAACCGGTCACTCCCTTTCGCCGCGCGATCAGCGCTGGCCCCACCCCCGGCAGCCGGAAGACACCCACCTTCCGCACGCCGGGAACCGCGGCCCGGACACCTCGAGGAGGGCCAGCGACACGGCCGATATCAGCGCGCAGAGTGGCTCCAACGACGCCCCATGCGATCCGAGCATTGCGAGAGCGAGCCAATGCCGCCCGCACCCCAGGGAACAATCGGCGCAGGAGCGGGCGGGTGCAGCGAGAGACGCCTCGAGACCTGCTGCGTAATTTGAGCAGAGGCATGTATGAAGTGTGTTTGTATGGATTCGACTAATTGAACGACAGCCCTTGCGCGCGACAGCCACCCAGTCGAGCCAGAGCCCCAGACACTGCCGCGCCGCAGTCGACACTCGGCCCTCGACCTGCCCGACGTCGCCGACAGCCCCGATGTGCTGCCCCGGCTCAGCATGCCCCTGGAGGACATGTACGACGACGACAGCTTCCACGAGCGGCCGCCGCGCCAGTCGCTGCTGCCGGACCTGCCCGACGACGTCGACGGCGCCACGGTCCAGTCGCTCGAGTTCGGGCGCCGGGCGCTCAGCGAGGATCCGCGGTACGGCAGGAGAGTCAGCGAGCGGTTTGCCGACTTCAGCGAGCTCGGCGGGGTGAACGAGGAGTTTGAGATTGATGGAACGTTCATCAACAGGCGGCGCACGGGCGCTTTCGATCCCCTGCTCGACCAGACTATTGTGGAGGAGGAGGAGGATACAGTGCAGGCACTGACGGGGCGGCGCGATGGGCCGTCTAGTGATGCAGATTTGGGGGTGTTCGGACGGGATGACGAGGAGGAGCCGACGTTCAGATTCCACATCCCAGACCGGATCCGGGCGCCTGTTGAAGAGGAGGTTTTGGAGGAGGCGGAGCTGGATGAGGCGGAGCTGGATGAGACTACTGCGCTGCCTGATATTGTAGGAGACGAGTCCGACATCGCTGGGGATGAGCCTGACATCGCGGAGGGCGAGCCTGACATCGCTGGAGAGGATGTGGAAGTTGAGGACGAGGTTGACGATCCCAACACAGTCGGCATAACAGGCTGGGAGTCGGATCCGGAGGACGACGAGCTCGCCGCCTACCGCGAAGAAGAGTCCGCTCTAGATCGCAGCCTGGATCTCCCAGAGGCCACGGATTCAGTCCAGAAACGCATGGGCAGGCGAAAGGAGCTGAAGCTGTCGCGCGTTGGCCTGGACTACCCGTCCTTCCCCGCCGCGCCGGTCAAGAAACTCGCACTCAGCTTCATCAAGTCGCAGGGCGGCAAGGCGCAGCTCAACAAAGACGCGCTGGCCGCGCTCGTGCAGACCACGGACGACTTCTTCGAGCAGATAGGCATAGATCTGGCGGCATATGCACAGCACGCCGGACGCAGATCGATCGAAGAGAGCGACGTCCTGGCGCTCATGCGAAGGTGTGTTATTCTACTATACGATATCCTACATTGCTGACACAGCCAGGACCCGCAAAACCAGCAGCAACACGACGAGCTTCTCGCTCGCGCAGAAGATGCTGCCCAGAGAGCTGCTGCAGCAGTTGAGAATGGAGTCCCAGCCCAAGCTCAAGGGCCAGGGCCAGAAGCGGAAACGGCTGGCTACTGTACAGGAGGAGGGGTGATCACGACCACTCGGAGCTGTGGCGCACGCGGCGCTGCGTGCCCGACAGCGGCTTCTTGACGACCATCCAGAACATGATGGACGTGGCGAAGCTCAGCGCGTACCTGCAACGTTAGCAATGAATCAAGGCAGTGCAGGGCAACCTACCATGTGAAGATATACTGCGTGTGGTTATTCCTCAGATTCACCGTCGGCGCCCTCCCAATCGGAATCCCCTTGGGCTCGCGCTCGTAGTTCGTCAACAAATCCGGCACTGCCCTCGTTAGCCCCCTCCACCACACTGCACACACCACTCACCCATCGTCTCCTCGACCCACACGCGCTGACTCCCCGACCACGCCGCCATCTCCTCGACGCTCGGGAAAAACCACTTCCCCTTCTCCGGCTCGTTGGCCGGCGTAAACATATTCGCCTTGGGCGGCACCCGCAGCAGCCCCTCGACCACGACCTCGCCCTCCGGCAGCGCCCCATTCGCGCGCCGGAACCACGCCGCCACGGCGTCCTTCCGGATCCAGCCGCGGCAGCACAGCACCCGCGTCGCATTCCCCCGCGCATCCACCCGCTCCAGCGGCGTGACGACCGTGTACCCATCTTCCCCGTCCTGCGTGCGCGGACCCACCAGCATCTCCAGATCGTGCCGCAGCACGCCGCGCGCCCAGACGCGGCGGTACTCGAAATCTCCCACCACATCTTCATCGATTCGTAAGGGTAGTTCTAAGGGTGGAAACGTCAAACGGTCTTCGAACCGCGCGATCAGTTCCGTTTTCCACCCCAGGCGCTGCACCTGCCAGCACCCCAGCACGAAGGCTGTGAGCGGGATGAGCGCGAGGATTATCAGACCCGGGCCGTGCTGTTTCCCCACGCGCGCCATTTTCGCAGGCCGGTCGAGGATCGAGACGAAGGCTGGGTCGAGGCCCGGGCTCGGGCCGTGGGCGGCGCGGCGGGGGTGCGCGAAGGGTGTGCGGGGGTGGCATTGCGGGCGCGCGCGCAGGGGCGTGGAGAGGGGGCGCGTGCTGAATTGCCTGCGCAGGAGCAGGAGGGGGTGTGGTTTCGGCATTGTGGGTGTGTGGTGCGGTGGTGCGGTGCGGAGCGCGGTGGTGAGCTCGCGGGTCAACTTCAACGCGCTAGGCGCGATGCGGGATGGCGGCCGCGGGAGAGACGGACGGCCGCCTCCACGCAACCGACAGCTCGGCGTCTCGACATCTCGATCTACTTCGTTCGTTCCGGCTATACAAAAGCGCCGCGTCGATGATGGCGCAGCTCCAAACCCCCCCTTCCGCCGCTCATGTGCTCGCCAATGCGTCATCCGCCCCGGCACCGCAGACTGCGGATAAAGAAGCGCTACTCGCCCGCCTCGACGCGCTGCTCGAGCAGTATCTACACGCGCTCGCGCAGTACGAGGTGCTTACGCAGCAGCTGGGGCGGGGGATGGGGTCTGTACGTTCGGTTTTCTCTTGCGTGGTTTCCTATTTACCTACTTATTATATTGTACTACCGGTTTTGCTGCGTTTCTGCTGTTTCTCACCTCTACCTCTCTCCCTCCACCCCTTCTCCCCCTCTCTGATTTGTGTGTCGACACTAACCATCTCAAGGGCTTCCTCGCGCTCGCACAAGCAAACTTCCACAGCCGCGGACCCCGGTACGGACGGGATTCGTACGACGGACGCGTGCAGGCTGTGCGGCGAGTGTGCGTTCGGCAACAGCGTCTTGAAGTAGGGTGGTGCTGACGTGTGTAGGGCTGTTACTGCGACTACGACTGCGACTGGGAGTGAGAGTGAGAGTGGGAGGGAGGGCGGGACTGGGGCAGGCAGCACCGAGACGGTGCGGTTCGATGCGTTCTCGACGCTGGCGCCGCGCGCAAGACAACGCGGTGAGGATGGGGATGGCGTGGGGGAGGGTGCCGCGGTGGAATCTCACAGCACGCTGGAAACTGCGCAGAGTGCGGCGCCAGATACCTCGTCCACTACAGACCCGCACACCACAGACCCCCCCACCGCACCACCCAACCCGCCTCACACCACCGACACCGCCACAGACACAGACACAGACACCACCCCGCCCGCCCCCACAGACCCCCTCCGCATGTTCGGCGTCCTCGTCCCGCCCGCGCTGCGCACCGCACAAGCGCACTTCGCGGCCGCCGTCGAGGGCCCGGTGGTGGGCCTTGCTTCTGTGGCTGCGCAGCTGCGGGCGCTGGAGAGGGAGATTGGGAGGGTGCGGAAGGGGGTTAGGCGGGCGTGAGGGACGCGGGACACTGAGGTGCGGGTGGCGGGGCGCACGACGTATCAGCACGACGTATCAGCATGGGGCCATTGGGCCGGGGAAGCAGCACGCGGGTCACGCCGTGCGTAGGTTCTCTGCGCGACCCGGAACAGGCAGGCTACGAGCTGGGTCTGCTGGACGCAATGCCGTGGCGGGCCACGCAGATCCTGTGCGCGGCGCCGGGCTCCTGCATCAGGCTTTGCGCACAGCACTCCGTCTCGTGTCCATATGCCCGGCTCAGCAGTGTACACTCCGATGCGTCTAGTGGCTTAATTGAATGTGTGGTGCTAGTGGGCTTCGACATGTCGGGCCACGTTCAATCGATGATGATTTATGAGTTTATGGTGGCAGTGACTGTTGTCCTGTCGCAGTGCTTTTTCGCGGACTCGTCGGTGCTGATCTACGCTGTCAAATCTACGCTGTCTTTGCCAGCGCCCACCGTGCAGATCGTCTTCATCCTCTTCATCAGGCTCATCTGCACCCACCGCCAAGAAAACACCCGCTGTTTCTCCTCCACCGTCGTCCCCTACTTCTCATACATGGAATCCACATACGGCTTCAGCGCACACAGCGCAAACTCCACCGCCTCCTCCGTGCGAATCGTCCGGCTCCCCTGCCCCGGCACCACATTCACCCACGCATCAAACAGCTCGCTCGCGCTGCCCTTCCCCAGCCCCTTCGCCGCCAGCACCGGGTCATTCGCAACCGCCGGCTCGATCCCCGCCACCCCGCCAAACACCAGCAGCAGATGCTTGAACGCCGCGGGCGCCGCGCCCGCTGTCCCCGCGCCCGCCGACGGCAGCAGCGACCGCACGTCCACCCCCCGTTCCGACGTGCCGACTGTGAAATCGTACCCGTCTGCGAACTCGCACTCGCCGAACACCGCGCTCAGCGACGCTGCTTTGCGCACGCTGTAGCCCCAGTAGTACCCGGCTTCCTCGCGCGGCAGCGACGCAGCGCACGCCGTGGCGTCGAGCGCCGCACACTCGCCGGGCGTCAGGTGCGGCCAGTTGGGCGGCGGAGCGGGGTTGGCGAAGCGCACGGTGGTGCGCATAGCGGGCTCGAGGGGCGCGGCGGGGGGCACGGGGACGACCACGGGCGCGGGGAGTCCGCAGTTGACGTGTACCCACTGCTGGTCTCTCGCGGGTTTGCTGGCGTTCTTGCGCACGGGGGGGTCCGCGGGCCCCGCAACCACGCCCTCGCGGAACTGGCTCCACTCGTGCGGCCGCAGGTGGTGCGGCATGTCCATGCTGGGCAGCGTGCCGGCCCATTCCAGGTTCTTGTGCTTCTGGAAGATGCTCAGCGCCGGGTCGTCGTGGCTGTAGCGCAGGTGCGGCGGGCACTCTGCGAACGCGAGCACGTGGTACAGGAACTGGTCCGGGTTCTGCCAGGGCTCGTCTTCCTCGCTGATGGCGTCGAGGACGGCCTGCTTGGACTTGGATTTCTTGCCGCGCGTGTACCGCTCCGATACCACGTTGGGCGCGAAGCCGGACGGGTTGTCGTCGAAGACGACGATCTCGTCGACGCAGAACACGGCGGCCGCGCGCGCGATGCGGCCCACTTGCATGGTCTTGTGGTCTGGCTTTTTGGCATTCAGCAGCCAGCTGCCCGGGAGAGCGATGCTGACGGTCCAGTCGCGGGCTTTGGTGGGCTTGAACAGGGCCGTGGGGCGGGAGGTGTCGATGTCTTCGGCATTCTGGGATTCTGTTTTGGTCTTCTTGTTTGGACTGTCATGTTGGTTGGTTTGATGTATAACTACAGAGGCATGCTTGCGTTTCTGAACGACGTCAGTGTGTGCATGCTGCTGTGAGGACGGTATGTACTTTGCTGTCCACCATCTTGAATGCAGGCGCTAGAACCAACTTAGCTCTAGACTTTTATGGCTATGAACGCGGTTCGACACGTGAGCGCGTGAATGAGGTTGGTCGAAAATTGGGAAGAGTATTTTTGGTCACTTTAGCACGGTCCTGCATTAGCGCGGACGTGGGGCGTCGATCTCACCCGTTCCGTCAGGCAACCACCACTGCACATTACAGTAGGCAGACATCTGACTTGTGACGTTCTCTCCTTTTCACTGACCTTTAAGCTTCACCTTGACTCTCGTGCGGACACGGCGCGTGGATCCTCAACATGGTCTCAGAGAAGTCAGTACACCAGTTGCACAACCACGATCCCCGCTGACAGTGCATAGGAAAACCTCATTCGGCGACTCGCTATTCACATTCTTTGCGCTTTACCTCACCACGCTCTTCTCCCTCGACTCATGGGCCGCCGCGCGTAACTCGCCATACCGCGCACCAGGCAATAACGCCTTCTACCGCCCGGCGACCACCGCCCCCGAACCAGACAGCTACCAGGGCGGCATGCACGGCCGCGGCAATGCTGGGCCGGGAAGCGGGAGTGGAGGAAACGGCGGCAATGTTGGCAGGGTGCCGCAGGCGAGGGACTCGCGGCCGCCGATGCCGCTGTTTGGGACGGCGGCTTGCGGTGCGTGTATGTCTTGAGGACGGGGTTGGAGGCATGTGAGTGCAGATTGTGGTGTAGTATTACCAGCGAAACAAATCGAGTCTTCAGACCTTCTCACCTTCAGTTCTGTACCCACCTTCACCACACCTTACCAATCCCATATTTGACCAAGTATACCCCGGCGACACCAGACAGGTCCGTCACCTGGCTACATCGACCGAAAGACAGACATGGATGTGCGCAAGAAAAGATATTTGAGAACGATGCATTCCTGCGATTTGAATTGAGCAGCATGCGTCTCGGCTGTGACGGAAGACCGACCGACTGACACTACCCAGAACGAGACTCACAAAGTACTGGCAAGTGCAGGTTTAGAAAGGCCTTCAAAAACATCAAACGTTTTCACGTGTATCCCGAGCACAAGGAAGGCATACCTCAGCCTCGAAGGTGGTCGGAATCAGAACATGCCGGTGAGGCGCGACAGTGGGGGAAGGTAGCATGTCGGTGTGGAAGCACACTTACCAAGCATTTACGATGGCGAGGCCGAGGGCCGACCTAGTCGCTATTCGGCGCTAGTACGGACCATGGTACCATCGCCGCTAGTACTGCCGTCAGTCGAATTCGTACAACAGCCTTGCGGCAGAACGATGAAATATTAATGAAAAGATGTTGCTAACAAGTTGAATGGGATGCAGAGAAAGGCCTCAAGCTGACTACTTTGTGCGCTTTTTCTTTCATTTTGCAAAAAAAACGTTGATATTGAATTATGGGGCCGACGAATTGCGAGACCCCATATTTGTACGGGCGAATCATCGGGGCCCGGTCCCACAGGCAAATCGTGCCATCTCCAACATCCACAGTTGTCGGACGCAAGCTGTAAACGCCGTTTCCGCGTTCAGCACAGACCGAATTTGGCATATATACTGAGCTTGTGTACCCTCTTCAACATCACTCACAACTTACTGAACTCACAATCCACGGATCTCATTCTTACCAGAACCCGTCACCCACCAATACCATTACCGCCTCATCACATCATCAATATGCCCGTTCCCGCGACACACCGTGCGGCTTTCCTCCATGGCCAGGGCCAAGAGCTAAAGGTCTCTGAGCGTTCTCTCGGTGAAGTCGGCGCCAATGAAATCGCTATTAAAATCTCAGCCATTGGGATCAACCCCGTCGACTGGAAGCTCCGCGATTACGGGCTATTCCTCGTTCCCGGCTGGTCGTACCCCGCCATTCTGGGCTCTGACGGCTCAGGCACAGTCGCCGCCGTCGGCAAGGACGTAACCGACTTCAGTGTCGGCGAGCGCGTCTTCTTCCAGTCAGGATACGGCAACGACGACATCTCGTCGTTCCAGGAATACATCAAGCTGCCCGCTGAAATCGTCCCAAAGACCCCCAAGAACATCTCCGACGAGGAAGCCGCTTCCATCGTCGTCGCCACCATGGCCTCCGCCGTTGCCTTCTACGACAAGACCGGCCAGGACCTGACAGCACCCTGGGCCGAGGGTGGCAGCACAGCCGGCAACGGCAAGGCCGTCGTTATCCTCGGCGGCTCCTCGTCAGTCGGCCAGTACGCCGTCCAGCTCGCCGCCCTGTCGGGCTTCAGCCGCATCATCACCAACGCCAGCGCGCCGCACCACGAGTACCTCCAGAGCCTCGGCGCGCACATCGTACTCGACCGCAGCGCCAGCCTCGACGACTTCGTCAAAGCGCTCAACGGCACACCGCTAGAGTTCGTATTCGACACCATCTCGAACAAGGACACGCAATCCCTGGGCGTGCAGATCCTGCAAGCCACCAACACCCAGAACTCCCGCGTCGTCATCGTAGGGATGGTGGACGAGGAGGCGCAGGCGCTGAGCCAGTCCAAGGAGCCCAAGGTCGCCATCCAGCAGATTCTGGGCATCGCGCTGGCGCCGCATCTGCGCTACCTGATCAAGGGCCTGGCGGCAAGTCTCGGCGGAGAGCACGGCTGGATTGCGCAGGGCAAGTACAAGCCCAACCGCGTGGAGGTTACCGAGGGCGGGCTGGAGAAGCTGCACGAGGGGCTGGAGAAGAACAAGAAGGGGGTGTCGGGCGTGAAGGTGGTTGTGAAGATATAGACACGCACTGCGCGTGTTCTTCGATGAAAGCGAAATGATATTCTAGAGACGAGGATAGATCAAGAAACTATTCTTACCTCCAACCAAGCTTTCCTTAGCCGCAGACCCCGACCCGCGGCCTCGTAGACCTCCATGCCTCCGAGTACTCCCCAACAATCCTGCACAGCGCCACGCCGCCCCGTCACCTTTCGAGACTCAAAGCCCCCGCGCCCCCAAGCCCCGGGGACAACCGCTATTATCGTAGCCCAGCGCCCCCGACCCCGTGCCCCAAACCCCCCACCAAGCTCCGCAATAAAGTGCTTACCCCCCCGCAAGCGCAACGGCATCGGCGGCCCCTAGCACCAAAGCGGCTACGGCGCCAACCCCCGGGCCGGCCCTTCTCGACCGCATCGCATAGGACGCGGAAGTGAGCTCGGGAGCTCGAGCCGGGGTCACGATGTTCGAGCTCGAGATGGGCGGGCTGTTGGGGTGTTTCAGCGGGGGGTTTGGGGGCGAGGGCTGGGATGGGAGGATGGGGTTGGGGGGTGTGGAGGGAGGGGGTTTGTGGTTTGATTGTACGAGTAATGGGAGAGCAGGGGGACGTCAATGTGTGGCCCCATGGCGCTATTAGGGTGGTGGGGGCGGTGATTGCTGGAGCGGGTGCTGTGGGGGGGTATGGAATGGCGGTGGGTGGAGATGTGTAGTGTCTCTCAAGCTTCAGAATAAACGGCGGATAAGACCCTAAGCTTACCAACTCTACAGAATACTCAACTTGTAGCTATCATAATACCTAAAGCTAGAATTTACTTAAAGGTTACCTATATTGTAGGTAAAAAAGTATTGTATAGAGTTTTTTGGTGTTTCCCCTACTTCACTGTTGTGTAGTGTACTCGGCTTATATTCTCAGCTCGCCGTTTATTCTGCAACGTGAGAGAGTGTCTGCCACCCGTACCTAGTGGTATCTGTTTATATCTTACTGGTTGATCTCCCAGGGCTGAGCTTCACATCTGAAAATGGAATCGGGGTTCAAGAGTAACCATACTGAGGTTGTGGGCCCGTCGTCTCTAGCTGTCTTTTTTTACGCGGTCTCGGTGCACCAGCTTGATTTGTATCGACTTCGACCTAGCGATTGACAAGTTCTGATGACATGCTACGTATATCGTTTGGTACAATCTTAGATCTTGCAGCTGCTTAAGGAGCACTGCGCTTGTATGTCTCGGTGTGAGGGGGTGAAGGAACGCAGTAAGGAGAAAGCTAAAACACATGTTCGCTAGCGAAGAATGCATCTCAGTACTTGAACATTGGGTTCACTCACCCCAACATCAAAGTGGCTTGATATGAGAAGGTCAATCGAGTGCGAATGATGTTGCGGACTGTAAAGGCCGATGACGTCACGTAAACACATGAACCTTCTCAGTGTCAATCTCCTGACACTACTTCAACAAGTTTTTGATAATTATTTGTACCCAAGAACATACGTCGAAAGCAACGATGAAGCTTGATCCCGCTGTTCTAAAACTGCTCCAGCTTGACGCCGACGCCACATCCGTATCCTCTGCTGGCGGCGGAGGTTGCAGCTCAGCATCAACCTTAAAGATCACATCCAAGCTCAGCAATGGCACAGAAAAGACGTTCTTCATGAAAACTGGCAGTGGAAGTTCCGCCGCTACCATGTTCGAAGGTTGGGCGTCCACAGTCACAAGCAGTCGAGGACCAGCAGCTGATGCACACGTGAAGGCGAACATGCCTCGCTGAACGCGATCAATGCCGCCGTCCCATCGCTCTGCCCACAGTCATTTGGGCACGGGAATTTCGAATCAAACACGAATACTTCGTTCCTTGTGACAGACTTCCTGCATCTCACCGGCCGCATGTCGTCAAAAGGGACAGCACCATCTCTAGCACAGAAGCTGGCAAAGCTGCACACAACACCAGCGCCGACACCTGAAGGCTACGAAAAGCCCGTGTTTGGGTTTCCGGTGACGACTTGTTGCGGCGACACGCCCCAAGATAACAGCTACAAAGAGAGCTGGGCAGAATTCTACGCCGAAAATCGACTTCGTTTTATTCTGCGAGAGGGCGAGAAGGCTCAAGGCTCAGACAAGAAGTTCCACAGCCTGGTGGAGACGACTGCGTTGAAGGTCGTGCCTCGCTTGATTGGCGATGATCATCTCAACAACGGCAAGGGTGTGGCGCCGGTAGTGGTGCACGGTGATTTGTGGAGTGGCAATGCAAGCGTTGGCATTATTGGCAGTAAAGAGGGTGAGCCTGAAGACGTAGTCTATGATTCGTCTGCATGCTATGCGCATAGCGAGTTTGAACTTGGGATCATGAAAATGTTTGGTGGATTTGGCGGAGGTTTCCTGAAGGAGTACCATGAGCTGTGTCCGAAGGCAGAGCCGGTCGATGAGTACGAGGATAGAGTCAAGCTGTACGAGCTATACCATCATCTGAACCACTGGGCGATGTTTGGTGGCAGCTACAAGAGTGGTGCTGCCAGTATCATGCAGTCACTAGTTGGCAAGTATGGAGGAGATGGTTAGGGTATGTTGAAAGCGCTGCAAGCGTGTGTTTGATTGCGTAGATATACTGACTATAGCCTCCCAGCATAGCATATTATCCTCCTTGTATTGTACCCTTTCCTGTGTCCCCCTACTACATCTAAGCAAGACCAGCTGCCTGGATGGCAAATGTAGCCGCAGAGTCGGCAACGCTGCCGTAGCTCAGATGGCTGCCGGTAGCACCGCCGTCACCGCCACCGCCACAGATGGTGTCGGTGGTGCCGCAGAACTGCTTGATCTTGTCCTTGGACAGTCCGGAGATTGCCTGGCTCTTCAATGGGTCGCCGAACATGACAGCTCCAGCGACATCAGATGCAGAGATTCCGTTGGAGAGAGAGTTGTGAACAACCATAGCACCCTGGCTGTAACCAGAGAGAATGATCTTGGTGCCAGGGCACTGTTTCAGTGCCTGCTGGGCGAGCTGAACCATGACCTTTCCTCCGTCTGCGCCGAGGCCGGCGTTGCCCTATTCATGTTAGCTGTTTTCATGGCTGCTAGCAGGTGTACACTTACGATAGCAGAAGCCGCATAGTCAACGCCCTGCACGGTAACCCTGTCGGCACCAAGCTTCGCCCTGATGGCCTTGACCATAGGAGGGCCTGAGATGGTGCCCATGTTGCCCAACTCCGAGGTTCCACGAGCGAAAATGACTGTCATGTCTGTGCAGCATTTACCATCCTTGACACCATTCTCGGAGCTACCTCCTGTGCTGCCGCAGCTAGCGCCGTTGTTGGCATTGGCCCCAGCGCTGCCTCCAGCAGAGCCAGTGCTGGTTGGTGCAGCACCGGTGGCAGTAGGGGTTGCAGTGACTTGGACATCGGAGGTAGTGCCAGAGCTTCCTCCACCCAAGCCAGGGAGCGAGCCGCTGCCGCCTCCAAGCCCACCGAGTCCCCCCGAGCCACCGATCAGATCACTGAGTCCCCCGAGCCCAGATCCACCAGTGGAAGAAGGAAGGCTAGGAAGCGAGCCGCTTCCGCCTCCAAGTCCTCCAAGACCTCCTGAGCCGCCGATCAGGTCACTGAGCCCTCCAAGCCCAGCGCCGCCGGATGAAGAAGGAAGGCTAGGAAGGCTGGAGCCTCCACCTAGGCCACCTCCCAAACCAGAGAGACCGGATGGCATGGAGAAGGATGGCATGCTGAAGGATGGCAGACTGAACTGCGGGTGAGGCAGAGCATTGGCTGCGCCAGCGAATGCGATGACAGATGCGGTGGTGTACTTCATATTGGCGGTCTGATGAGTAAGTGAAGCGTGAAAGCGAAAATTCGCGTTGTGGAAGAATGAAAGTAATCTGTAAAGCGAAAGCGAAGGTGAGTGCACAGCACAGCGAGAGACGAAGAGAACGAGTGATGAAAGCCGGCGATGTACTGCGATGATTCCATTATGGTGTTGCTTCCAAGGTCTTATATATTATCGGTCCATCTTGTACCATCATGCACATCTCAAGTGAAGGTAGGCTCGGCATCCAAGCGTCGGTTAGTTTCGAAACAGGGCGGCATTGCTGATCTCGAAATGAGCCTATTTCGATGGCAAACGCACCGAGGATCACAGTAGACTTACCGGAGCATGGCCAAATGCGACCACGTTTTGTTTTTTTCCGAGTTGATCTTCACATGGCCTGATCAACCCATGTCTACTGCAGGTACCGTGCTCTCGCGTGCCGAATCAAGGAGCGGAAGGAAGGCGGGAAACTCGTATTCGAGGACCCATGATGTCCTTCAATTCCCGTTTGTGGGTTGTGAAGTTGGTTTTGCATGTTGCAAAGGAAGGTGGGCCTGCTAGTGCTGCGACAACCGAGGATGCAGGCAAAAGGAGAGGTCGCGAGTTTCACCATGGCCCTCGTGCAACAGTGTCAAACAACGTCACAAACGGTCAGGGCTGAAATAAAGTGTGGATGACAGGACCACCACCAATGAGAGTTCAAGTTGGGTTCGAAGTACCGAGGCTGACATGGGGTTGTTCATGGGACGCCTTGCTTTTTGACACCGCCACCCTATGTGCACCGCCGTACTACTGCAGCTCTGACGGAAAACGCTCCTGTCGTCATAGTGCGGTAGCAGTCTCGACTTCCTTTGAAGCATCATAGCCGTATAGCCAAGGCTGGACCTCCGGGCACGTCCACCGACTCGGGAATGAGCCCTGAAGCTCCTGACCCAACTGCCGCAGCATCCGTTGATCACGCTCTTCCTGTTCAGGACCATCGCGCATATGGAAATCCTTACGCTGTTTGAAAGTCTCTCTCACGATGCCTTCACCTCTTGCTTTTCGCAACTTCTCGAAGGTCTTCAATGAATCCGGAAGTTGCGCTTTGTCAACGAGGTGCTTTGGCCCCAATAACAATCCTAGTACGGCACCGTCCTCGATCGACGAGTTTGCGCCTTGCGCTAAGTAAGGAAGCATGGGGTGGCATGAATCTCCGATCAGTACGAGGTTAGACTGTGGGTTGATCCACGACGGTAATTCCTCCCGGTGCATCAGTTTCCACTTATCCACCTTGTCGACGCACTCGAGGAACTCGGTCAACCTGCCCACGGTCAGTTTATGATGTCTCAGGGAATCTTCTCGCTTACACAGGATCCCACCCTTTGAAAAGCTTCCGCATTTCATCAATGTCACCTTCCGTTCTTGCAACACCCTCGTCGAGGTCGTCCGGCACGAGAAGCACGACGTTGTACATGTTACCGCCCCGCATGCTGTATGCAACTACGTGTGAATCTGGCCCGGCCCAAAACCGACACGTTGGATTTTGAACCATATCCTTAAGCTTCTGGTCTTTGATTTGATCAATGTCCAGCACAATCCTGTAGGCCAAGTCGCCGGTTGGCAGCGGAGGATCTCTTTTCCCCAACATTGTGGACCGACATGTTGACCAGAGGCCGTCTGCGCCAACGACCAAATCTGCGTCGTACGTTTTCTCGCCGACGGTCACTCTCGCTCGATCTCCTGTTTTCGACCCAAAATCAATCCCTGTCACTCGGGCATCAAGCACAACTGTGACGCCCAGCTCCCTTGCCCTCTTCACGAGTGCCTGCTGCAAGTCCACGCGATGGCAATCCGAGAATGGAGCCCCGTACTTCCGTCTGATATTGGCATCGAAGTTCTCCTCGTTCGCTAGAACCTTGCCCTTGTAGTTGTACACCGTGAGAGTTTTCGGTTCGCAGACGAGAGATCGTAACGAATCATACACGCCCCAGTCCTGGAACAAGCGTGTGGCGTTCGGTGTGAGTTGCAACCCGGCGCCGATCTCAGCAAGCGCTTTTGCGCTCTCAAGCACTGTCACAGAGTGTCCTGACAATGCACATTGGATCGATGCGGCCAGGCCGGACAAGCCGGCGCCGACAATGAGAATGTCCAGGTTTGGTGACATCAGTGCATGTATTAATTCGTAGAAGGGGTATCGAGGTGTAAGATGAGGCGGGGTAGAGACGCAGCTATTGCGGGGAGGGTGGGCAGTTAAGGAAGCAACACACGTAGTCGTCTGCTGTGAGACGTTATTCGGTTTTGGTTATGCATCGGCGTGCAGATCAACGACCGATCAGCCGCATCTCTATCCCGAGGGTTATGTACCGAGCTTGTACGTTGCGATGCTGGTCGGTGGTTACGACGTTGTACGAGCTGCAGTACGATATGCGGGGCGGGGTCCCGGACGCAACTCACGGCTTCTCTTTGACACCAACCGCATTGGGAAGTAAGCGGATCGGACCGCCTGGCTTGGTATATGTATTCATGTGTATCGTGCTATTCTTCTTGCATGTTGCACCCGATTTCAATTCGCCAAAGTAGTCGGCCCATGACTGTGGTCCAAGTTGTATCCAGTCTTCTTTATCGCACGCTTGTATCCTTCCGTATTTTCACAAGCTTTCAGCCACTTCTCGATGTTTGGCCACTGCTTACCATTCGTGCCTAGCTCCCTAGCTATAATGAATGCCGCCGAGAACTGCATCATGATATCGGCAGCAGTAGGATGATCGCCCACCAGGAACTCGCCAGAGGATAGCGAAAGCTCGCTTTCCAACCACGACATGTCGTTTTGAACGTTGACCGACATTCCTTTCTCGGCCGCTTCAAGAACGCCCTCTGGTGCGTCTTTGATACTCCACCGTGCATACAGGATAGCGAGGCCGTGAAGAGCAAACGTCGCTTCAGCGGCGTGCACCCATTGCAAGACTTTGATCTTCTGTTTCGCGTCTTTCGGCACCAACTTTCCTTCCTTATCGTACTTGTCGCATAGATAGCTGGCATATGTGAGCGATCTGAACACTAAGACACTGGAGATAACTGCCTTACTCGCTGATTGCACCGCTTTCATGAACTACAAGGTCTGCATCTTTTATCGTTGGGAATTTACCCAATGGGTTGCCAGACGCAAGCTTGAAATCTTCAGGTGCCTTGGAGGCCGATGTTCGATCAGAAAACTTCAACTCATACTCGATTCCTAGCTCTTCAAGTAGCCAAGCTGTGCGAATGGAGCGCGATGCTTGCAAAAAGTAAAGTGTGATTGGTGGCATGATGACAAGGTCGCGGATTCAAGTCGTGTAAGTTATGCAGGAATTGACTGCACTGCTACGAGTGATGTGTTTTCAATCCGCTTCAGAGACGGGCTACAGCATCATATAAACGGAGCGGAGTTGGTCCCGGCGGGGTCGAGGGGGCTTCGCATGAAGGGGTTTGAATTGAGTAGTAGCCGACCAATGACTGGCATCCCAACTTTTTACTTTCTGTTTATGCTTTCGTTTACAATCGATAGTGGTGGTTAGTCCATCCACACTCTGTTATGCTCCTGCTCACTACTGTAGACGAAACCGTGATAGCGGAAGCTATTTTCTCACTCGTGTAAGATCTCTAACTTGTATTTCCATCCATCGCCGAGGAAAAAATGTGAGAAACCGCAAGGCCCCCATATACTCCCGAGGAATATTCCTGCTAATGCCCTTCCCTAAAAGAACGCAAACAGTAGTAGATTTTTGTCTTGCAGGCCCCATCAAGATAGACAATTCGTGGTTTTGTATCCGGTTTACAAGTTGTGTGGAGAAAGCTACTTGACAAATGAAATTTCCGCTTCTCAGCGTGACAGGTGCTTTCGTCTGCCTTTAAGTCGTGATCGTTTGAGAAGGGCTCAGGATAGAGACCGAGACTTTTGTTTGTTTCGGCAGAACTGGTCCGGTCGATGCGGTCTTTACAAGCGCCCGGGCAGCTTCAGCGTTGCAAATTCAGTAGGTACCTACACCAAAGCATCTGTGCATTCGAGCAACCAGCAAGAGCTCTTCATTCGCGATTGTCTTCAATATTGCAGAGGAGTACTCAGTCTCTCGATCTCAAAGAAAATTGGCCTCTCACCATTCCATATACGATTTGCATGTGAGGTGGGTCGTACCTGAAGATCATCGACTCGGCATCTCTGAGCCTCGGTTCGGCACGACGTCATGAGCCTCGTGTGGGGTAAACAAGGCGCGCCCGAGTGTCACTCGGGCGACTGCAGATGGTCCATTGAATTTGAATCCTTCTTTGTCGGAAATCCACTGAAAACATACCTATCATGGCGCCGGCAGACAAACCCATTTTCTTTCACTATGCTCAGTCCATCTACTCTCATCGAGTGCTATGGTACCTATGGCTTCGTGGGCTCGAGTATGATGAGTGTGTATGTTAAAATTATGCATTGAGGTATGGTCATGCTGATTCGTGTAGATACAACCACCTGTCATGCCGCGGCCGGATCTGGAGGCCCTTGGTATCAACTACAGGCGCATACCTATAATGGCAATAGGAAAAGATGTGTACATTGACTCACGTTTGATCATCTCGAAACTGGAATCGATATATCCGAATAGCACCTTATCAGCACCAACAGCCGGACAAGAAGGACAAAGGAGACTCCTGGAAAACTTTAGCGACAGTGGCCTCTTCAACAATGCTGTAAAGCTTATGCCCTACTGGTCTTCCAACAGCTTGGTGCAGAACAAGACTTTTCTCGATGATAGGCAGAAGTTGATGGGTGGTCGGCGCATGACAGCTGAGAATATGCAAGCCGGACGGCCAGAGGGACTGCAAAATATGCGCCAGGCCTTCGAATTGATTGAAGGCACCTTTCTAGCCGATGGCAGGCAGTGGATACTAGGCACTGAGGGGCCTACCGTTGCCGACATCGACGCTGTATGGCCATTTGAATGGCTGGTTGTGGATCGAGGTATGCAAGGAGCGCTGCCCGAGGAACAGTTTGGTGAGAAGAAGTTCCCCAAAACACATGCATGGATCAAACGCTTCATGAGCGAAGTCAAAGCCTCAAAAGACCGAGCCAACAAAGCTACGAAGCTCAATGGTAACAAGATGAACGCGCAGGTCTTGAATTGCACATCATCAACCGAGCTTGTACCATTCGACCACAACGACCCCTTGGGCCTCAATCCCGGCGATACAGTCACAGTCTATCCCTCAGATTATGGTCAAGCGCACAAAGACCGTGGTATCCTAGTTGGCCTCACAGTCTCCGAAGCCGTGATCCGTAACAGCAAAGGTCTCCATCTGCATTTCCCCCGCTGGAACTTCCGCATCGTCAAAGCCGCCGCCTCCGCCACGGCACCACCCAGTCGCACCAAAACGCACCCAAAGATGCGCCTCATATACCACTCCTTCTCGCCATACACCCGCAAAGTGCTCATGCTCGCCCACGAACTCGGTCTCGCGCCGCACATCACGCTCGAGAAAGTCGTCGTCGCGCCCATCCCGATCAAAGGCTGGAGCGACAACACCGACGACGTAGCGAAGTACAATCCCCTGGGCAAGATCCCGTGTCTTGTCACCGAGGACGTGCCGACGGGTATCTTTGACTCGCGCGTCATATGCGAGTACCTGACCGAGCTGGCGGGCGTGAGACCGAGAAAAGACGCGAGGTATTGGCAGATGAGGGCGCTGCATGCATGTGCCGACGGAATCATGGATGCAGCGGTGCTTGTCGCGTATGAAGTGCGTATACGGAAGGAGCGCGGGTTGTTCTTCAAGGAGTGGGCTGAGGGACAAAAGACGAAGATTCTGCGAGGATTGGATCGCTTAGAAGACGCTGCGAGGGAGGGGGTACTGTCAGGTCCTGCGAATGGGTCAGCAGCGTCGGTCGATGAGGTGGCTGTGGCTGTTGCGGCGGCTATGATAGAACATATGCCCTTCCTTCGACTTGAGTGGCGAGAAGGACGACCGAAGCTGAAAGAGTGGATGAGCAGGTGGGAGAAGAGAAAGAGTTTTGTTGCAACGCCGCCGACGAAGGATTGGGTCGTTGACGGGACTCCGGAGAACTCTGCAAAATTGTAGTGTCCAACAACGTACATCCATTCGTGGAAGTATAGTACAACAACACTGAGATACTCCACCAATTACTTGAAAAGTGAGGTGGGTAAATCAATCATTCAAGTAGTGAGTTGCATTCTCCACTAGCAAACATGCACCATCGGCTTCCTCTTTATCACGTCCCTTCGTTGCACTGTCTCACCCCCTCACATCGCGCATGTGTCAAAAAGTGGTTCCGTATACCGGGCAAGAATTGCTGATACTAGCGCGAGTCGCTTGCATCTGGTGTCGTGATCAAGATTGTCGGGGGACACTTGAAATATTCCGGAATGAGACCACGGCGCGCGACCTCCACGCACAACCAAGGACGACCCTTAGCCCCGAGTTGCTCTACAACATGGTCCATCATGTCTGAGGCTTTAGCTTTAACTGCTCCGTCGCTCAGTACAATGCCATATGTAGGGGGCCGATGGATGCAGGTCAAGTGCAAACATTCAATTGCGATATTCTGGAACTCGACAACTCTGAGTAGACTCTGCCGAATCTGGATGATGCATCTGTTGAGCCTTTGAGAATCTTGGAGAAAGTCGGCCGCCCAAAGTAAAGTTAAATAAGGCCTAAGATTGACAGAGCCATCAATATCAACGTGCTCTGGCACTCTGAATACCAGCCGAAGGTAGTCAGTGGAAAGACGCTGCGCCTGAAAGACTGTCCGGGCTTTATCCAGGATGTCGATTTGTTGGGTTGGGGAAAATATCTTATCGAGGAAGTTGCTGACGTTTGTGAGCGGCAGGGGTTGTAGCTCTGGCCAACCCCGTCGATATGGAAGCTGCTTCGCGTCCATGGACGCTTGAATGTCTTCATCTGAAGCTGAAAGGAGTCGTCTGCGCTTGACATCCGCCTTCGGCTCGTCGTTCATGTTGTATGGCTCACCAAATGTGTGAGAAATTGTGGAAAGCTACAAGGGTCAGGAATGTGCAGATAGCTGTAGTTGTTGATTTACCGTACAGGTTGGAGTTGAGAGTGGGGTCGAGGATGGAGTTGAGAGCGGAGTTGAGAATGGAATCAAAGCTGGAGGTTGAAGATGTAGCTGATATGTGGAGTGGCTTGTTGGGAAAAGAATGAGCAGTGGAAGCAGGAGACGAGCATCGTTTATACGCACTCCTGGGGGGATTCGTACGTATCTCGGTCCAGGCAGTCAACAGGGCAAACGGGAAACAGTGAATTCTCGGTAGTCGGACCCTGGAACCAAACTAGCCAGGTGCCCATCTTCGTTTGCAAACAAGCGGTAGGGACCACGTAAATGCGTTTGAATGTTCGCCTGTAGGGTGGCACGTGGGAAATCACGCTACAGCCCTGCAGTATTTCTAAAAATGTATTCCCAGTATTACGATGCACATATGAATAGTGCGGTCCAACGGGCCATAATGGGCCATTACGCCCTATGATCTGGTCCGATATGAGGATTGATGGAGTCCTGACCGGCGGGAAATTTCGCAAAATTTTCGCTCTCTCACCTGGTGAAGGTGAAACTCAACTTCACCTGGCCTCTCTCACCTGCCACCTTCTCAATGATCCACAGCTTGAAGGACCAGGGTGTATACCTCGTTACGTACACTTGTCGACCATGAAGACCATGCCTGCTTGCCGCGGGCTCACCATGTCCACCATGACAACATCATGTTGTGTATGCTGGTAGCATGCTGCTAATCCGAGAACTGTTATTATGCGAAAGGTGTTCCAGTCCGTCAGACGCAATGTTCTTTAAACATCGCATCCACTCTAGCAACTGTCGAGGCGTGAACTAGGAGAGCGATCTGCAGAGCTAGTCTGCTCAGTAAGGAGAGATGACTGCCGTGAAGGTCTTCCGCGATGTCTCAGTCATATTCCGAGGTCTACGTGGCGTTCATATGGATGTTGATCGACGAATCGGTGCCTGAGCCATTTTCCCATACCTGCCCATAGTATTTACTTGTAGACGGCATGCAGACACATCGCTTGTCATCTTGGCGATTCCATCATCCGGGATACATCTCCAATGTCAATGCTCGGTTGTACAACCTCTTCTGGTTTCTGCACAAGTTGTTAAGTCATATGTGAAAACCCGTTTCCTACCTGCACGGGGTGATGGGCGGAAGTCAATAGCCATGAGAGTTCTTCGTCACCCGCGCTGTCAGTGCTCGTGTCTCATGCCATTCTGTTTGGATTAAAATTCTCGCAAAACACTCCAGTCCGAGCCTTAGTATGTTGGCTACATTGAATGCCGGGCGGAAGCCCAGGGGATAATCACAGTCCGAGCTCCACTCACCAGGCAGTATACATTCTTCCAGACACGCGTCGCTGCCACTGTGCTTTCATCCTATCCTCTTTTCCCGCGCCCCTCGGACTAGATACAGATAACCCTTATCATAGCACGGCGGCAACTGTCTTGCTGCATATGTGCACCATGAGAAACCCGAGCTAGGGGGTATATCGCACGAGTCGCGACTATGGATCTCATGTAGTGTCTAGATGCTCCCTGTTCTAGTTGGAAACGACTGTGATTCGTAGACAACCCGGTCAATGCCGAAGATGCTGGCGTAAGCCGGGAACAAGTACCGCCCTGCCGTTCCTGGGGACGACCTGGCGGTAAACGTCTTCTTAGGGCTTAGAAAATGCTGCAACGAGACCCTGCCAAGCAGTGATGGTGTCAGTTGTGGTGCGTGCTGTACGACGTACTCGTCAGTAGTCTACGCGTGGCTCAGGGATACGAGCGGTTCGAATCCGATCTTTACCATGCAATTGCAGCAGACTAGTATGGAAGTAGCATGTCGAGAATCTTCTTTAGGGCCATGTACGGAGTACCTCCACCAAGCCCACAACGTGTGTTGAAGCTGCATATCTGGTTCGCCATTTAGGCTGATTGTCGTTATGCACTGAGGCTGCATGTGCTGAGGTTGCATCGCCTGGAAGACTTGATCGATGTCGACGTGCGTGTTTTAGTACCTGTTCGAGAAGAAGCAAGCTCTGGAAGATCGTAATAAGATGATATAGGTTAGATACTGCCATTGAGAATGATAATGAATGGAGTGTCAGACGGTCGCATACCAGAAAGGGTCATAATTTCGATCCATGAGCTGGCGGGTGTGATGATGCAAGCGTAGCTAGTGCTGACAATGCTTGCAAGTCATGATCATCCCGTCATTCCATGGTTACCTATTCGAGTACCTCCTTAACTTTCATCGAGCACGATGAAGGAATAGAACTGAAGCTAATCGGAATGTTCCGATCTGATACGTTTTCCATGTATAAACGCAGCGAATGCACGTACAACGACCTATTGTTGACCCAGATGTGCAAAACAGCGGTTCTGGTGTAGCTGTAAGTAGCCGAAAAGATTGGATCAAATTTCGGTACGGTGTACGACGGTGGCTTCTCTTGCAAACCGTATTTCGAGTCTATAGCCTTGACTGCGGGATCAAAGCCCTGATCAGAATCTCGCGGCCGCAGTGTATACCTGACTCGCATGACAGCTGCAGGAGGTCCTATGCTGGTGTATGTGCTGTGCATGTGTAAGCCTGGCGCAGCGTTGCAGTCAAGCAAGAGTCGCTAGGAATGGCGTGGTTTCTTCAATGCGTCGGCCGACACCACCGACAGCCATTTGGCAGGGGTTTGGGGGTGGCGTTCGCCGTTCGCCCTACGGGCTGCATGTCGCTGTAGCACGTCGGTTTGGGTTTGGGGCGCCGCAGCACAGTGAACGTGCGCCTATGCGGTTGTGGATATGCGTATAAGGCCTAGGTCTTCAGCTGTCAGCACTACCTTGGACTTTCGCATTCGCTCCCTGGTGTCCTCTGGCAACTGAGAGCTTGATCTCGTTGATGCTCCGTGGTACTGCCGACGCAATCCAAACCTCGTAGAACTCGGGCGGTTGCCTCCATCATCAGCGTCCCAACGTCGACATGGACTTTAGTATCTATGGCGCTTCGCCGCAGCCCTACCATTACATGGGCATGCCCGTTAATGGCTATGCGAACACTGGACTCGACCCGGAGGCTATGCGCAGTGTGGTGAGTGCTTTGGTGCGGCTATGCAGTTCTTGTCGCTCCTCCGACGGTCCCCGCTTGCCTTCAATGGCCGACCCTGTCTGACCCTGTCCTCGCAGGAGACTCTCGAAGCAGGACTGTTTCCAGGCGCCTACGATGCCTTCAGCTTCCAGGGGCTGTCAACACCACAACACGATGGCTCGCCCGACAATGCGTTACAACCGGCTCTCTTACCGACAGCCGGCAGCGTAGATTCTGGGCTCGGGGGGGACCCAGACGACGGTGGCGCGATCCGCACGCGAAGCAGCAGCGAAGAGAAAGAGATTAACCTTACGCCCGCGCAGAGCCGGCGGAAAGCGCAGAATAGAGCAGCGTATGCATTGCTCCTGCCGTTGCCGAGGTGTTGCTGACTTCTGGTGTAGCCAACGCGCCTTCCGCGAACGCAAAGAACGACATGTGCGTGATCTCGAAGCCAAACTCAACGCTCTAGAAAACAACACACACTCCCTACAATCCGACAACGAGCGCCTGAAACTAGCCCTGCAGCGTGCTCGCACTGAAAACGAAATCCTTCGCGCGACCTCCGGCCACTCACCCAGTTCATCGCGAAGAGTGTCGGCCAGCTATCCTTCGCCAGGTGCTCTCCTTCCAGAAGACGAGGAGATGGATGAGGAGGACTACAACGTACAGCCGCTCAGTAACGGCAGCGTCGTCAATGCTGCCAACAAGGATCACGCTGTCTCACGCCACAAATTCAAGGGCAAAGAGGTGCCAGCTGCTCAGGCGTGGGACGTGATTCAATCACATCCCCTCGTCAAGCAAGGCTTGGTCGATGTGACCGACGTTGTGGAGCGTTTGAAAGGTGCAGTCAAGTGTGACGGTCACGGGCCAGTCTTCGAGGAAAGCACCATATGGCAAGCTGTCGAAGACTCGAGGCGCAGTGGTGGAGATGAGCTCATTTGATTCGTCACCCCGGTGGTGCTGATTTTTTTTCTCGTTGATTTCAGGTTCACACTTTCGTTCAAAACTCAATTATCTCTCTGACTTGAGTGGACTTTCTTACGGCGTTGCAAGGGCCACAGCTGGCGGTACCTAACTGTAGGCGTGGATCAGGAGTTTTCTCGTGGCTATCTTTTGGAGTCGGGATGGAATGCAAATTACCCAGAGATTGATACCAGTTACAATCTCTAAATCTAAAGGCTGCACTGCAGCTTAATGCATAGCGTCGATCATGACGTGCATCTTAACTTCGAGGCCATTGCGTACCCCAGTGTATACAATAATATGTATAAGCAGGCTTGCATATAACCACATCAACGTATGTATGTAGCATCGTCGGCTCCTAACAGCACGGAGGCCCGGAGGAGTTCACTATCCGAAATCGACTCGTATTTGGGCGGTAACCACCAGGAATCGTCCTACTGCTAGGCGAGTGGTCGCTCTTTCAGTAATGTGCTCAACGCTCATCGAATGAGGTTAGGACGAGAGCGTTTGAGAGGCGTGCAGATGCACTGCAACTAATCGAAGAACCATTGGCTGAGCGTCATTCTCAGCGTTATGCCTCAAGATTGGATATGTACAACAAAGATATCGCTGCCCCGCTGCGACCACACTATCGGGTGGTGAACAAAGGTCGCACAAGCTCCAGCCGATATGCATATCGACTTGGAACAGCCAATCGACTAGGGACAGCCACAGCAGGTGCAGACGCTCGCGGGTGCTTCCAGTATCACTGCTGCCTGTTCAGGGTGCTGCTCAAGCCCAAGAATCACTGTACGTACTGCTTTCAATTGCTCAGTCCGCTTCTCGCGCACCCACCTACACGTCGCCGCACTTCTAGCTTGCCACACCTCCGCACCGCCTATCCTACTAAAACCGAGACAGGTATTCAGTGCTTTCGAAGCAATCATGCGACATATTGCGAAGTCAGCCCATTTATCGACAATAACCACAGACTCCTAGGCTGGCGAATCCCCATTTTCATGTCGATTCGTCTCGAGGGGATAAAACGCTACACATTACAGTGACGGGGTACCTAGATGCTGGTGCTCCTGAAGAAATCTGGTCTTCACCTCATGTTGCGACGTCCGAAACCGTCCCAACCCGTATTCGATTCACGCCAGCAAAGTCGCATCCCTACCTAGATATCTTCGCTCCATTGCAAACATTATGAAAGCACGACGGAATCGTGACTCCTGGACTTCACGCCATTTGCTTTTGCAAGCTTACTACGGCCCCTGCGGTGTTCGCAGTATCGTAAGAATGATGTAGACTTGTATGTGCCGACAATGATAGACATTGCCAGGCCGAGCCTGTTTTCTCTCGCCTCAAAATGTGCTTTTTACTCTCGAGTCCAACTTATCAGCCTGTTTGGGGGCCTGGAGGGACGGTGAACGCTGACGTGGCTCGGCTGCATCTCTGATTGCGCCTCAAGCTGCGCCCAGCCTTATTAACCTCAGTTGTTCACTCAACACAGATTGAAGTCTTGCAACACCCATACCACTATGGAGGCGCTTGCTGTAGTGCAAACTGTCTCGAGTATCGTTCAGCTTGTCGAATTTGGAAGCAAATGTCTCAAGGAAGGTCTCCAATTATACCATCAGAGCAGTGGGGTGTTGGATGAGAACTTGGCCATTGAGGCAACTGCTACACACCTAAGCAACCTAAACAACGCGGTCACGGCATCTGCCCTTACGCTCACTGATGCGTCACTGAAAGACCTCTGCGATCAAATCACTCCCACGGCTAAAGAGCTTTTGGATGCGCTTGAACAGTTGAAGGTACGAGGTGCACGAACGAGATGGAAGTGTATGCGGAAGGCTATCCAAAGCGTCTGGGGAAAGGGAGAGTAGCTAGATGCTATTGAGATTAAGCTCGAGGGCTTCCAGCGTGAGCTCAACTCGCACATTAGCGTTTCGACCAGGTACGTGTCTCGTAATGCTTTAATCGCTAAAGACTGATCTCCCCGTAGGGATAAGCTAGAAAGCTTAGATGCACATATCATCGCACGATTCGATGATTGTAACGCACACACAAGAGAGATTCTCGATGCCATCCGAAACAGCAGTGACTTGTTCCAAACTGCATTGAACGACCACTCTGTCCTCTTACAGGGGCTCGAAAAGGACATCAGAAGATCACTACAAACCAGCCAGGCGGTCATACAACAAGACATACGCGACACTGCTTCGCATACAGAGACAGTCATCCAAGGTCAGCACAGCGAGACCCAACTGATTGTTCGAGAGGAGAGTGATCGAGTAATCAAAGGAAACGCCGATTCCATTCGAGGACTGGAATTGCGTGTGTAATCTATAATCAGAGAAGAGAACGAACGGATGCACCAGCAAACACAAAGATTTGTCACGGATCAGATGGAACAGTTCGCCCAGCGAATGCAACAACAGCACGCAGACCACTTGAAACAGTTCGACCCGTCGTCACAAACCAAGATCATAGACCTCTTGAAACAGGTCGCGCAGATGTTTGGTAAATGGATAGAGAACGAACAGGAGATAGGGCAGGCTCTCAGAGAAACAACCTCCAACAGCACACACCTGCGCCAAAGATGTGAAGCAGCAACAGCCTCGATTCTGGCGCAGAAAACAATGATCGCCGATGCCCAGGTAAGCACCTTGTGTTTAGCGGTGACAAATGAGTTTCGCTTACTCTATCCAGAAATCACTACGGGCCTTCAAAGTTGACATCGTAGACTTGACACAATGGACGCGAGCCTGGTCAGCAAGTGAGAAGACAACGTCTAACGTATCCATCGGCTTGAAATTCGAAGCCCACCGACAGGTAAATCCCAAAAGAATGAATGCAGATTATTTCTACAGAATGCCCTCATATTATAGGCTGGTAAATGTTCTCCTGTAAACACTATTTTCTTATTGCAACACCGGCTCTTACCTATACAAGATAGCTAAGAGATTCTTTCTATATTAATTGCAAACTGTTATTTGGTTAGAGCTGTGTAGTAATATTCGATAAAGATATAACCTCAGAGCTAGTTTCTTTGGGCGCATCTTGACATTCCTCGAACCTGGCCCAACTCACGCAGGCACTCCCGATCAGGATCTGTGAGATATGCGCGATTGAATCATTGTTGATGTACGTGAATGGAGGTACGATTGAATGAACAGAGGCGTTGGTGAGAAGGAAGAGGTGTGGGAACGATTGAAATGCGAATGCGAGTGCGAAGCGGGGGTTGCAAGAAGGCCCTTTCGAGGGACTGCTTCTTCTTAGGCGCAAGCTAACCTATTTGGTTACACTGAAGCCGAATGTTGCCGCCTGTAGCCTCATTTTGGGCTCTGTACTTGAAGATGTTAGAAAAGCCGAGTGAGCAAATCTTCCAGACAAATGCCAAGACTGTGTACACAAAGTCCGTCGATTCCAGCGACATTTTCTTGGACAAATGTAGAGCGTGTTGAAAGGAGGCACATGCCTTGCTAGCACGTCCTAACACCACTTGACGAAACGCGTGTCGAAGTAAGAAGGATCTGGCTCCAATCAGTATACCTACAGCACTCAACGCTAAGCTACAAGCTCATTGGCCACGTTGACGACAAGGTGAATCTTTCCGAAGAGCTAAGTATTATTAGGCCCGTCTCGGCAGCGTGAAGCCGTCGCCTCGTTAGAAGAGAATACCGGCAGCGTGCCTTTCACATCGCCGAGCTCCAGTTTCCCCGCTTCGCCTCGGTTTGCAATGCGTCTGTGTTCTGCGGAGTGTCCTGCGAGGCAGATACATGGTCAGCATGCATGCACGATGTCAGCCACGAACCAAACAATTCTCGCTCATATCAGAAGCGTGGGAGGGGAGGATCAACATATTCTGACATTGATGGAGTATAATCGATGCACGGATTTCGCATCAGGCGTACACGGCGCTGCTTGTCTACAGTCTCACAGCCATGGATATTACTTCACCTCTGGCAGGTCATGAAAGATAACCTCTACTTCCAATTCCGGCATCGCGAAGGCTACTAGCATTCAACATGACCATATCAGGCATGCATTACAGTCCACAGCTAGCTCGTTTTCTACTATTGGATGTACACGTACCCAAGTATCCTTGCAATATGCGTTCTTGTCAATCTTGCAACGACCGGAATCTTGGGCCCGTCCAGTGCAATTGACACCCACCGGCATGACTCAATGCTTGCACTGAATTGACTGCAGCATTTGAATGATCGGTCAGAGAACGTGTTCAGGATACCTCCAAGCAAAATGAAGTTGCTTCATCCTTTGGAAGGCGACGTCATGTCCCCCGCGACTCGTTTGGGCAGGTGGGGGTGGGGCAGGCGGAACGCGTGCGCGTGGCGCGGAGCTCCGAAAAGTTTCAGGCGTCAACATGGTACATCGAGAACGGCTGCAGACCGACTCCATACTGAAATTCAATATCACAATCCTTGCCGGTTTCATACACATCAGCCGCCATCATGCAGATGCCAGATATGCCCATCAATGTCGAAGTCGACCCCAATGAAGACACAGAATGGAATGACATCCTGCGCAGCAAGGGCATCATCCCCGAGAAGCCCCCTTCGCCTACACCCATGATCGAGGAGGCACTTAACGAAGCACGCCGCCTTGCACATGAAAACCGATTAGAAGGGAAGGAGCTAGACGAGCTCGCCGAGCTCGAAGACGAGGAAGATGAAGACTTCCTCGAGATCTACCGGTACGCCCACCCACCAGGCAGCAATGCCACAGTTCCAACACGCGCACCCACTAACAACCCCCCAGCCAAAAGCGCATGAACGAACTCTCCGCCATAACCTCTGCCAGCATCTACAACCAAGTCTACCACGTGCAGAAACCCGACTACTCGCGCGACGTCACCGACGCCTCACAAAAAGCCTGGATCCTGGTCCTCCTCACCTCCTCCACCGGCACAAACACCGAATCGCGCGTCGCATCCGAGTCCTGGACGCTCCTGGCGCAGCGCTTCGGCGACGTCAAGTTCTGCACCATGCGCGCCGACTTGTGCATCGAGGGGTATCCCGACCGCAACACGCCGACCGTGCTGGTGTACAAGGACGGCGATATCAAGAAGCAGATTGTCACGCTCAGGGAGCTAGGTGGTGTGCGAGCAAAGGTTGAGGATTGGGAGAAGGTGCTGGTGGACTTGGGGGCGGTGAAGATTGGGGATTCGCGGTTGAGTCGGAGGCCGGGGCAGGAGGAGGAGGAGAAGACGACGGGGATACGGCAGGGGAAGACAATGGTGCAGGCCGATGATGATAGTGATTGGGATTGAGCGAGCGGGAGGAAGCGCTATACCGTGGCATGCTCGTGGCGAGGTTCGCTGGCGGAATGCTGGCTCATGCGACGCCGTCCCGTGGTTTACGTCCTACATCAGCACTCTGCTGGGACGAAGCTCAGATACATGTACAGAGGACGAGCCCCCATCGGCAATCCAAGAATTGCGACATTGCGCTGGCAAGACTACCATACAAGTCTCAGCAGACCGTCTAGTTACCACTCTGCCGTGAGAAGTCTAGAACAACTACTGCTTGAAGTCACTTTGCTCACTCAATGCTGTCTGTCCTACATTTCCATGCAAATGGGGCGATCAATCGGTGAGACTGTGTCTCCTCTGGCAATTGAAGGAGGTTGAAATAGAGTAAAGAACGACAATTTGTTTGTGTATATATTGTCAACAAGCCAATAATACAACTTCGATTATTGATGCTCGCTCTAGCGCAGCTCCCCTTCATCTCTCTTTCCCTTCCTTCTTCCCTCTCTCTCCCCCTAAGACAACAGATTTTCCTTAAGATGGAAAGCTGCCGTGGACAACCAGTCTCTGCTTCGAGACCGAATGTATTTCATCTCCAACAAGCTACTGTACTATCAAAAGAACTTTCCGCTCTTGCTCGTCTCGACCGTGTGCTCGAGCACAGTAGCCTGTTCGTCAGCGTCAAATGCGCCAGGGCGGCTCGTCTGGAGTGGCATTGGGCGATCCAGTGCGTCGAAGCGGTGGCCCTTGATCCTGGCCCAGGCCCACAGCGCAGAGAGACGGAGCGCGCACGCACCGAAGGCCCAGAGGAGACCTCCAAAAGGCGCGGCAACGAAGGCGCCTAGACGTGTTAGTCCTATAGATGTAGTATTAAGCCGTAGACTTACCGAACGCGCTCCAGTCGTTTGCGTATAGACCTCCCTCGAGCAGGAGAAGGCGGCTGGCGAGCGAGTTGTCGCCGTTATAGTAGACGAGGCCGAAGAGGTACACAGAGAAGATGCCGCCCAGGCCACCAATGACGAAGTCGAAGCCGCGGTACCAGTAAAATCTCGAGTTCAGCCCAATGACCAGACAGGGCACGACTGCGGCGCTGACAAGATCGCTGATCAAGAAAATCTGCAGAATATCTGGGCTGCGCAGGGCGACGACGACAACGGGGAAGATGATGGCCACGACACACGCGCGAATGATCCAGATGTTGAGTTTGTTGCGGAAGAAGTCGTTGGAGCCAGTGGAAATCATGGCGCTCTGGAAAGAGTCGAATGCTGCTGTCGAAAGCGACATGGTCATAACAAGCACCACACCGACGACCCAATTGGGAAGCTGCGAAAGCAGGATGAATAGCGAGAGCGATCCTGACTCAGTGTCGGCCATGTCCCATGCGCCGCTCCATGCAGCCAGCAGACCTGCAAGACCAACGAGGGTCAAAATGATGAGCACACCAACTGAGGCGAGCGAAACTCCAATCCACAGGTCCTTGTCTGAGCGTGAGGCGAAGGTGCGCATCCAGAATCCAGAGAGGAAGAAATCGTTAGTCAGGATAGCGACGGGGAGGATGTACAGCAATTGCCATCCAAGCAGGGACGAGTTAAGGTATCCGGACTCCTCGATGAGCGGGCGTTGGATATCTGTCTCCACACCGACAGCAATAACCCCGAGGATGATAAGACCAACTACCATGACTCCTTGGATGTTGTCTGTCACGAAGGAGACCTTGAATCCACCGAGTGAGGTATAGATCGTAGTTACTGCGCACTCGACAATCACCACAGGAAGACCGTTTAGGCCAGTGAGCAGGGTGACGATTTGCTGAAGAGCAGAGAGCTCAGCAACCATGTATAGAAACATGGTAATCAGCGTACAGATACTCAGGAAGATACCTGCAACTGCGCCATACCGCTGGCGCGTCCATTCCGTCAAGACGAAGCCTTCCGGACATTTGCGGCGGATGATGGGTCCAAGAGCGCCAAAAACCAGGAGTGGGAGCGATGATGCGAGGGCGTAGACCAAAAGACCTTGAACACCAGCGATAGTGGCGATTTGTGGGTAGGTGAAAAGAATACCGGAGCCGAGTGCTGTTTTGTGGAAGAACCTAGGTTAGCTGTCTGCATCAATAAGAGGGAATGAGGGGGAGTAGCGGCAGCACGTTCCTCACGCAAGTATTATCTTGATCGAGTTCTGACGGTACTTCTCAGCTTCACTTCGACCTCGACGAGCAAAGAAATGCTTGTCGCGATCTCAGATCGGCGCCCGCAGTGTAGCCGCACAAAGGCTGCTCCCATCATGCTGTTTACCAGCGGTCACAAGAGCAGCCTCTGTGAGAGATCTCAAATACGAACCTGAAAACTTGACTAGTGGATTGTGCTCATTGAGCTCTCGATGTTGAATGCACCTCGATCAGGTGATGTCGTGATGTTCGACTCGATACTGCCGCTGCTCTTCACGCTGGACGCGCTGTTAGGCGGATGCACTCACCCGAGGCGATGAAATTGAGAGCGAGCGGTACGCCTGTGCGGTGTTAGCCTTCGTCCATGAACGTTAACGGCGATGGCAGCGTCGTGAGTTCTGGCGCCTAGTAGCTGAGGAGCTGACCCTTCTGTGTACGGTTGCTGGACAACCACTCAGTCTTCGACTGGTGTCGCAGTCGCCATGCAATGAAACATCCCAGGACCCTGATCTCTGGTTAGCACTGTGGTTCCACGGTCGCACGACTCGAGGTCTCCACACTGGACTCACAGGAATGCGCCGAGAGTTAGGTAGATGATGGCGTAAGACGCCGGCTCCGATGGCATGCCCATAATGTAAGATGGGAATATTCAGCTCTCTGTATTTACAAGGCGAAGCTTAAAACTGTCACGATGCAGGTCATGCAGGGTTGCAGCTCGAGCCAGGGAGTTGGGATTACAGAAAGTTTTGCGTTCAGGCTAGCGCTGGACGGGGAAGGTGCCGATGATGTCAAAGACACGGGAAGGCACTGTTCAGACCCCACGTGGGGAAGCCTTGGGGTTGAACATGAATTCGGTAGTCGGCATAGCCTCTCGCAGCGTACCTTCGTGCTTATTGAGGGTCTCGTAATGCAAAGAATTTTGATGATCGAAGGCGAACTCGAGAACATTTGTACGTGACATATGGCATATCACTTTGAGCACTAATAGAGTGAACTTGGTTGCATTTTGACAATACCGATGAACGCCCATATCGCTCCTGAACGCATGCAAATGCCATGACGAATCGAAGATGCCCCCAGCAACTCGGCTGGGGCCTTTCTGGTATCATGTCATGCAAACTGCCTCGCCTCCTCTCCCGCTCAGATCGATTACCACGCATGTCGGTCCCAGTTTGGATCTGCCATAGTCAGCCACCATCTGATATGCTCAGTGGATCTACTCACCCTGAACAAACGCAGCCAGTACCTTGCTCCCTGTCTGCAGCAGTGGGTGCCCAACGACAATTTGCAGGAACCGCTGCAGCCCCTCTCTCCTGTGCTCGATCACGTCGTCCGAGAAGCGGTTTGTCAGGACCTTGCCTGGCAGCGGTGGTATGGTGACGCGCGCACTCTCGCGCTCGAGAATGTCCCTGAAGGCTTCGAACTCGTTGTAGCGCCGGCGCACCGTGGATGACTTCAGCTTGAAGGCGGGGATGTTGGTGCGCATTACGATTTCGTAGGTGGTGTACATGCCGCGGCCGACGCCTGTCTGCTATCAGTCTTCGGTCCTTCTCTTGCGTCGCAGAGGCTGTTTATGTACCGTGGGTCATGGGATTGCGGACCTGCACGCGACATGTGAGCAGGCTGCGAGGGGTTTATAGAGGGGCGCGTACCTCGATCTCGAGGAAGTTCTCGGGCGGCCCATACAGCTCTTCAAAGGACTGCTGGCGCGCATCAGGGATTGACTGCATCGTGAATGTGTAGTAGGGTGTGTGATATGCAGGAGCGTTCGGCGCAATGCGAGCGTTGGCTGATCGATAGGAAGGTGGGGCTCTCGGCTTGTGGTTGCGCGACAAGCTCGCCTGTCGGTTCGAATTCCCCGTGCATAGCCATGCATGCCATGCAACACCATCACTTCGAAGCTCCAATCTACATGACTAACGAGGAACAAGCTCATCGGTCACCTGCCGCTATGCATACTCAAGATCTGCGAGGGCATTTTGCCGTGCTGTCACTTGTGAGCTGGTCCAGAGATATTATTTCTACGATGAATGAAGGCGATGTACTTCGTAGAGCATTCAAGGACTAGGTACTTGGCATTTCCAGCCTGACAGTGTTGCTGACAGTGGCTTTCCCGCACCCAAGCACGGTTGAGTTGCCTTCTAGCAGTTTCCAAGGATTGAATTCTTCTTTAACATATCTAGTAATCTTTGAAATCATAACTAGATACTTCTATGGAAGGCACGCGGAAACTCAGCACGAAAGGACGTATCAACGATCGTCAGCCTTGTCAAAGCATACCAATTGAGCAACGCGAGATATTGTCGGTCGGCCGACCGTTATGCACTGGATGCCGAAAGTTGCTATCGACGCTTGACCTGGCTACTGCGAGGGTCAAATCCGAAGCTGGGGTGCAGAATGATGGAGTTTACCATTACAAGGATCCAGTGTATAAGTCTGAAGATGCGTGTCGCGTCTGCGCCTTTTTTGCACTCGTTCTCGGCACGAGCGCTGTTGAGTATTCAAGTGCATCTGTCAGGATCAGAGTGGTCGACTTGCCTATAGTTTCATTCGAGATCAGTCTGCGGCGGCGGATAGGGAACGGTTTCGGTACGACACAACTTCCACGTGAGTGGTCTCATTCAATCCTGATATGGTCATCGGAACCATTACCAGGTAAACCCGATTTCGAAGGAGCAGATACTACAATGTCGAGACAGGACGACGCAGCACCCGAAAACATCGCGAGACTACTAGAAGGCCGCCTGCCCTTCCAAAAGGCAAATGACAACCAGATGTTTGAGTGGCTGAGAAATAGGCTTAAGGTTTGCCGATCTCATAAAGAATGTCAGAGGTCTCTAGAAGCTGTTCCATCGAGCCACCGAACACCTCTGCCGACTCGCGTCTTGCTTATCGAGCGCAATGACCCATGCGACACATTCACGATCCGTCTGCAGACCATTGTCGGCCAATACGGTGACTACCTTGCTCTCAGCCACTGTTGGGGCCAGGCTGGGGTGCCGTTGAGAACGACAAAGGAAAATCTGACAAAGCACACGCGGGCCATCGAGTTCGATGCTTTGCCACCAACGTTTCGAGACGCGATTACAGTGACTTCCGAACTTGGGTACAATTATCTATGGATTGATTCGCTATGTATCGTTCAAGACGACGAGGTAGATTGGAACCGAGAGGCGAACCGCATGGGCATCGTATATGCTAACGCTCAGGCGGTTATAGGCGCGTCACACGCTAAAGATGCGAGTTATGGCCTCTTCATGACACGGACGCCAACCAAATCCTGGTTTACTGTTCGCATGGAAGCTAGGACAAGCGATTCGGAGACTTGCGAGCTGACATTGGCCGCTCCTGACTCAACCCACTCAAGGAGATGCGACCCTACAAATGGCCCGCTTGCGCAGAGAGCTTGGGGTTTCCAGGAGCAGGCATTGGCTAAAAGAGTCCTGTGGTTTACAGACGGTGAAGTGGTCTGGCAATGTCGCAGGGCTGTGGTGTCTGAGACCGGAGTCCGACTGCGCACCATTGATTGGGAGAAGGAGCTCACTGACTGGCTGTGGGTAATCACACAGTACTCAAGTCGACGTGTGACGAAATTCCGGGATAGGCACATTGCTCTGTATGGGCTTGTTGAACTGATTCGGGAACTCAACCCTGGCTACCGATACGAACATGGGACATGGATAGGCCCTTGGGACGAGCCTGTTGCATGGCAAAGCCAAATGTTCCCTGCGCAGCCTAAATCAACCGAGAAGGATTGGATCCACCAACTTCTGTGGTATCGTTGCTTTAGAATCAGCACATGGAGTATAAAAGAGTTAGAAGCACTAGAAGCATCATCTCGCAAAAGCTGGTCATGGATATACCAACCAGGACCTGTCAAGTTTCTTCGTAGCTTTGACACAGAATTCAGCTTGCCAGAACAAATGTTCCACCTCCGCCGCAGCAACATCGAGCTAGCAGACCGTGGCATGCTCAAGGCGCACGTCGTATTATGGACAGCTCTCAAATACGAAGCTCGACCCCGAAGGGGCCCACAACACCGATTCTTCCCAACAAAGGAACAGAAGAAGAAAGAGCATTCTCCTCCTTTTCTCCTCAAACCTTCCGAGACAGGAGAAGAATTTACTGCGCTCTACTCAAGCCATGGCCCCGAGTCACGATTCCCAAACATTCACGGCGTACATAACGCATTCCGTTCGTACATCAGTACCCTGCTGCCTGGTATAACAACCGGTGACATCGGCCCAGGCGCCTACATTATTGGCAGCGGCATGGGCATATCCGCGAGCCGGTGCTGCGGCTGGGCCATCCTGGACGACGACAACGCCCTCCTAGACGCCAGCTCGTACCAGCACGCAGAAAAAGAGTTCTTCATCGTCCCGCTAATGAGTTGGGTCACGCGCTCCGCGCTCATGAACGAAGCCCCACTCCACCAAGTTCTCATCCTTGAGCGTCTGCACCTCGGCCGCAACAATGAAGCCCACAGTCTGCGACTCAGAGTGGACGACCCCCGATACAAGCGTAGTCGTTGGCACAAGCCTACTGAGACTGCGGACGGGAAGAGGAGTGCCACGTGGATTCCAACGTTTGCGGGTATACCACGGCCGACAGGTTTCCAACAGCATGCTGGCACGTTTCGTCGGATTGGGTGCGGAGTTATGTATGCGGATGCTGGTCTTGGGGCTGCGGATGATGATTTCCGTGAGATCACTATCATTTAGAAAGATCTGCGGTGCCCACGAAGAAGATCGTTTTTTATGAGGCATCACTATCAACGTTGTGCTGTTGTTATAACGTGCACTGCAGGGCAAGTCTACTTGGTGTGATGCCTCATAAAAAACGATCTTCTTCGTACCTACATGAAATCTTGGATCAAGCTAAGTCCGCGCAGCACAAAGCTTTGTCATATACACTCTCCTATCACAGCTGTCCTTGTGGTGTACTTTGAATAGCTTACAAGGTCATATGAATTGTGGCATGGCCTGGTCTTTGAATTTGTATCTGGCAACGCCTTGTAGGCAATCTGAACTCAATAGCAGATGCAACTGTTTTTGAACGTGATTGAGATTCGAACCAGGCTTAACGCGAACAGCTTCATCTTGAGATGGTCTACAGTATGAAAAGCGACCGAGATAGAAATATCATTTGACGAGCGTGATATGTGAGGCTGTTTATTATCAGCTGATCCACTGTGTCAGCTAATGACAAGGACTTGCGATATTTTCGTGTCAGATTCAAAAGGGTAAGATGAACAAATGCAGAGACAGGTCAAGTCATGAGAAAATTGTTTGAAAGTCGTAGTTGAAATTCATCATTAAGCTATATGCTAAGCATCATACTGCTGGGGATATCATATCATCGTTCGTTCCATGTTACTCTCTGAGCTGCACTCGTCATCGCAGACAAGTCGCTTAACCGTAGGTGCGGTCACCACCGGTGGTCTTAGATCCATCGAGGTTGGAGTCGACGCGGGGATCTAGCTTGTTGAGGAGGTTGGATCCGTGGGGACCAGCAGTGCCATCGGCCTTGGGGTTACCAACCTGACCGGGGTGGTTGGTGCCGGTCAAGCCAGAGCTCTGGTTGGTGCCGAAGGTGTTGCCCTGGCCACCGTAACGGTCAGAGTCGATGCGGGGGTCGGCCTGGTTAGCGAGGCGGGAGTCGTGGGGACCAGATGGGTCAGAGTAGTTGGAGCCGGTCAGACCAGAGCCAGTGGTACCGTGGGTGCCGTGGCTGCCGGTGAGACCAGAGCCGGTGTGAGTGCCATGGCTACCAGTGAGGCCGGAGCCAGTGTGGGTGCCAGTGCTTCCGTACTGCCCAGCACCGACACCGCCAGCGCCAGCGGTGTTGCCAGCAGCGCCGTAGCGGTCAGAGTCGACGCGAGGATCGGCCTGGTTGGCGAGGTGGGTGTTGTGGGGGCCGCTGGGGTCGGAACCGATGTGCGAGCCGGTGTGAGCGCCAGTGTGAGGAGCACCACCAGTCAAGCCGGAGCCGGTCGTACCGTGGGTACCGTGGCTGCCAGTCAGGCCAGAGCCGGTGTGAGTACCAGAGCTGCCGTACTGTCCAGCACCAACACCGCCTGCACCGGAAGTGTTGCCAGCAGCGCCGTAGCGGTCAGAGTCGACACGAGGGTCAAGCTTGTTGGCGAGCTTGGAGTCGTGAGGACCGGTAGGGTCGCTGTGAGTGTTGCTGCCAGTAAGACCGCTGCCAGTGGTTCCGTGACCGTGGCTGCTGTGAGACAAGCCGGCACCTGAATGATGTTCAGCCCTTGACTCTCGCTCAAGGAGTGGTTCTGGCAGCTTAGTGCCGTCAGTGCGGTAGGTTTGCTGACCTGAAGTGTGAGTCTCGTTTCCGAGTCCACCAATACCGCTAGAGTTGCCAGCAGCACCAACACGGTCGGAGTCGACACGGGGATCAGCCTTATTAGCAAGGCGGGAGTCGTGAGGACCAGTGGGGTCGCTGCCGTGAGTGGTGTGCGAGCCGGTGAGGCCAGAGCCGGTGGTACCGTGAGTACCTGTCAAGCCAGAGCCGGTGGTACCGTGAGTACCTGTCAAGCCAGAGCCGGTGGTACCGTGAGTACCTGTCAAGCCGGAGCCGGTGGTACCGTGAGTACCTGTCAGGCCGGAGCCAGTGGTGCCGTGGGTACCTGTCAGGCCGGAGCCAGTGGTGCCGTGAGTACCTGTGGTACCATACTGACCAGCGCCGACGCCGCCAGCGCCGGCAGTGTTGCCTGCTGTGCCGAGGTGGTCAGAGTCAACACGAGGATCAGCCTGGTTGGCAGTGTGCGAGCTGTGAGGACCAGTGGGGTCGTCTAGAAGGGTTAGATTCTGCTGCTCATAATGCCAAAGAGGGAAACTCACTGTGTGTTGAGCCGGTCAGACCAGAGCCTGTGGTGTGGGTGCCAGTGGTACCGGTGTGAGTGCCAGTGGTGTGGGTGGCATCTGTGTGTGTGGTGTCCTTGTCCTTGTGAAGAACATTCTCGACCTTCGCCTTGATCTTTTCAATTGTGCCGGCCATGTTGATTGATTATGAGTAGTAGTTGTGGGGTATCTTGGTGGGATGGAGGTGAAGAGTTGGTGTGAAGTTGGTGTGAAGTTGTTGTTGAGTGTTTGTTTGGTTGTGTGATGGCAAGCAACAGCCGTCTCAACGGGTCCTTATATATCACTATGGGAAGGCAGGAGCATGCCCTCGTTACGTCATGTTATGCTGGTCTTCCAGAGCATCAGCAGATGTGCCACAAACAGCGGGGACGCACTCCCTCATCCCTGTTTCAGCATTGATCTTTGACCACAATGGGAAGCGCCGCAAACGACCCGATCTGAGATGCTGCAAGCTTCAGCTCCCGTCACGTCATTTGCGGAGCTTCCAGGCCTTCAGCCTCGAGCACATCAAGCTGTGGGGCGAAAGATTTCGGCCGTGCACTCAATCAAAACGTCTCTCACCATACCGTGGCAAGTCTTGCTTTTTGGACCATAAACACTGACCCCAGCTCACAGCAACAAGACCCTTTCGAGCATTGATCTAAACAGAAAGGGTGTAGCTCTCCCAATCTGGCCCGCAGCGGACACTAGCACGTGGACGGCGCTGCGTCATTCTTCCCAACTGTGGAGTACCAAAAGCTTACCTCCAACTTCAATTCCTGTTTGCTCGCGTATGCCTTTACGTTATGCCACACTCGGGCTGGATCACGCAATGATCTCCAGCCGATCGGGAACCACACGCGCGTCTGTGGACTCTGTGGCGTAGAACTGGTTTATCTGGCATCTGTGGCGTCATTTACAGATCGTCGGAGCTGGAGATCGGACACCCGCCTTCTAGAGACCTCCGATGGGGCGGTGTTAAAGCCACACGTTGTCCCTGAAAGCCACGGATCAAGTGGAGACGTGTGGGAGAGCGAAGTGGATGCAGTAGAAGTCTTGGTCCCTGAGTTTTGATGAAACCGTCATAATGACGATGCACCCCGCACAGTTCGCTTATGTACCCGCTAAGAATAGTCTGAATGGAATACCTGAGGAACCGCAGATAGAGTGATCCAATCACGCAAACCAACAATTTATCCGTGAGAAAGCAGGAATTGCTTGACTGCCGTGGTGGGGACGTTGATACTTGGAGACATTGCGGAATGTGAAGAGGTCAAAGCTCAGCGTATGCGAAGTCTCGAACACGATGGCCAAGCTGGAAGATGCCTTGTGACTGGAAGCCGTGCGCAGTCCAAGCGGCAATCGTGATTGACAGGATCACATCCAATCTCCTGGTTACTTGTCCCCCAGGTTTGTTCCAGAATGCCAACAAGTCGGTGTCGTGAGACTTGATTGCTGCCAACTTTCGTCATCAACGCAGTACATCGTGTCATATTGATGGCCAATCGTCCTGTGGCGACTCTGTTTGGAAGAATCTTGCGGTACCTTGCAATTGATGTGCATGGACGTAAAGATGAGATTTTTGAAATGCTGTCTTGTTCACATGCAGTTCTGGTTGAAGCTATGACCACCTGACGTCATCCATCGTCAATGGGAGCTGTCGCGCGCAGGCACGCGAAGCCTGGAGCCGCAGCCTCTCAGTCTCCCTGTCTCTCTCCTCAACACTCCACCTGAATCCTATACTCGTCTCACGATGTCAGAACGAAAGTCAACAGCAAGTAAAGTGCAGGACAAGATCAGGCAAGTCGCGCAGGAGGACTTCAACCAGGCCAGTGCTCTAGGACAGGATGCCGTGAAATCCGGCGCCTATCTGTATCCGTTCAAGGTATGTCAGGGATTTGCATCAACGTACCTAGGTAGCCAGGATTGACACGCACAGGGCATCGCGTACTTCTTCACCCACCGCGCATTATGGCGTCCTCTCGCTCAGAAGCTGATCCCCACTATCTCTCTTGGTTTGGGCGTCACGGTGTTCATGTTTGTGGTGACGTACGTGCCTCAAGCCGCCGTTCTCACCATCTTCAACGGCCCTCTCGCTTTCGTCACGACCGTCCTACTCGTGCTCAGTGAGAGTTCCACTATATTCAATGTGCTGAGCAAGAACTTCCTCATTGACGATGCTCTCATCGACACCTTCGATGGCACCCTCATGTCGCGCAACATGACCACTTTGGTCGCAAAGGAGCGCAATGTCAAGTCTGGCAGCGACCCAATTGCGAAGCTGGGCAAGCTTGCCAGCAAGCCGTTTGCGAAGTTCGCTCCCAGCGCGATAATCCGCTACTTCATGTACTTGCCGCTCAACTTCATCCCCATTGTCGGAACCGTCATGTTCGTCGTATTGCAGGGACGCAGGTTTGGGCCTACTGCACACGCACGCTACTTCCAGCTCAAGCAGATGAACAAGAAAGAGAAGGATCAATTTGTCGAGCGCCGCAAGGCTGCCTACGCCAGGTTCGTGGCCAGAAAGTTCTCATGCTGATGTGTGCTAATCTGAACAGCTTCGGTATTCCTGCTGTCCTCCTCGAGATGGTCCCTATTGCCGGTATTCTCTTCTCGTTCACGAACACGGTCGGCGCAGCACTCTGGGCTGCTGATATGGAGTCGCGTGATTCCAGCGGCCAAAAGACGACCGCACCTGGCCTGCGCAATCAAGCTGCAGAGGCGAGGAATGAGTTGTAGAACCTCTACCCGTACAGCCGCTTTGTTGGGCTGGATAGACAATATAGATACCCCTGGAAGCCACCATATGCGCCAGGCTGGTTGCTGGGATGGCCATGGATTGAGATGCTGAGCGGGGAGGAGTTCGAAGAACGAGATGGAGACTTCGACCTCTGGCACGGAGATGCTGATGCCGTAGCGAGCGGTTCTATGAACAGTTACGATGTCGATAATAGCGTGATACACCTGTATACCCTTAATGAAAACAAGTACTGAGTCGAGTCCATCTCATGTGTGCTCTATGGTGTGTGAAAACACATGTGCCGCACCCAGATCTAAGCTGCCTCTCGACAATTCTAAAGGAATAAGGTCTTCTTTAGCAGTACTAACAGGCTTCTGAATTATGAACAAATAGCTCTACTGAGGCGTAGCTACACTAATAAGAGAACTTGCTGTCAATAATACTAATCCTTTGTTTCTTGCCTTCCAGCTGCGTTGGTGGCAACTCGGCCGTTCTTGGGTGCGGTATTCCAACATCCATTAATTAACTCACCTAAAACCGTATCGCACTTACAACCAATTGAACCGAGCATATACTTCGATTGGTGAGGATGTATTTGCTAATTATGAGAGGCGGCTCAAACCTTCTTGTAAAGGTCGAGACTTGAAGACCTTCTGACATTCTCAATTCAGAACCTAGTTGAATCCAGCGAAAAAACCAAAGCACCTGCCACAACACTCAGATAGACGTGGAAACGTGTCGATCGGTGGAACTCGACTTGCTAAACAGAATGTACTCAATTTTGCGCGAGATAATTTACTGGCAGTTGTCACACACCGTGGAGGCTGTCCTGTGACTGAGCTTAGTGATCTTTATCAAAATGTTTCCTCTGCAAGTACGTCGGCATGATAAGCTAAACACAGTGGTTCACACTTTAATAGTTATATGTTATCCAGAGTGTACAATCGCTTCAAGATTTAATGGTATACCAATGCTGTCCAACGCCCAATCATGCACTCCTATCCTCGGCCCCAACCACTCAAAGGGTATATCGCACTCCCCTCCCTAAAGCTCCTGATTAATCAACGCTGCACTATCACAAATATCCCCCGTCCCCGTGATCCGAAACGACGTCTGCCCCGCGACCGTGGTATTCCCCGTTGTGAACCCAAAGCAATGCCCGCCCTCCCAGTCGTTGCGCGAATCAAACGTGTTGCGCCAGCACACCGAGTTGCACACTGGGTCTTGGCCTGCCGCAATGCGCGTCGCGTTGTTGCGGTTGTAGATGGCGCACTTGTCGATGCACTCGTCGAGCGTGCTGAAGACGCCTTGCACGGGTGCCGCCACGCCCGCGATGTTCACGTATGCGTCGCCGCACAGCTTGCGGAATTGGTAGGATGTGCTGCCGTAGGTGACGGTGTAGAGGGTGTTGTTCGAGGAGGGGCAGTCGCGGAGGAGGGTGGGTTCGGGGCTATTTGATGGGCCGAGGAGGGTGGTTGTTGTGACTGCTTGGGTGGAGGAGGTGGATGTGGAGGAGGTGGTAGGTGTTGGGTCCGTCGAGGTCGATTGCGCGCTCGATTGTGTGGGTGCTGCGCTGCTGCTGCTGCTGCTGCTGGTGTTGGCGTCGCTGTTGCTCGCGCTCGAGTTACTTGATGACCGTGAGGCGAGCGCGCCGCCAACACCGCCGCCCACTGCTGCGACGACGACTATGATCGCTACGCCCACTAGTATCCAGAATGTTCTCTTGCGCAGACCGCATATTGTTTGTGGTGGTGGTGGGTGCGCGTATGCAGCGTTCTCGTATGCGGCGCTCTCGTAGACGATCTTGTTCGTGTCCGTTGCGGTGTTGGGTTGTACAGGGATCGGCTCCGGCGAGTAGTAAGGGTACTTGTGGGTATCACCCGCTGACGGCTGCACGACCTCCAGGTCAGAGTGAGGTTGCGACGCCATTGCGACTGGAATACGGATCAATTCTTGTGTCTTCTTTGAACAAAGATTGATTCATATGATCTTTACTCCAGTGGAGATTTGCACACCGTAGCGCTTATCTTTGCAACCTGACCCCTGGTCGATATTTGGGGGCCAAAAACCGCTTCAGAACCCCTCTACAGCCACAATGTCTGCCTAGTTGCGGCCGACATGGATCTACCACTTGTGTTGAAGTCATGACGCCCACGAAGATACAGCAGTCGATACAGAGTTGGGACATTCTTTGGACATTGAAGCTGCTGCTCTCACCACTACATCCTTTTCAGGCCTCCATCCAGACATGTCCGACCAGCCACTTGGCCAAACGCAGTATCAGGCCAAAAACATTAGTAAACTTATCATAGGACATGATATCACGTGCAGGGCGGCGTAAAGCGAACCGTTCGGTCATGCAATAATTATTACAACTACGCGTCTACTACGCTACTCTACTTTGCAGCATCATTACTCATCAATCATCGAGTCACTATAGTCTAGTACTTCGTGCTGTTCGCGGCCGGGCTGCCCTTGGCCAAACCAAAGCACTCAGCCATACCGTAGAAGATATCGATGCTGTTGTACACACCACCGAACAGCTCCTGGCAAGGGCCCATAGCGAACACAGGAACATCGGTCAGCGAGTGCACGCCCTGATCGTTCTCAATAGGCAGAGTGCCGTTGAGCGTAATGCCAACGGGCTCCTTGGGGTTAACGTAGAAGTCGTCGTCGCCCTTGACCTGCTCAGATGCAGGCACACGTGGGCCAGACTTGCGCACGGACCAGTTCTCGCGACGATCGGGGTCCGCCATCAGGCCCTGGAAAAGCGTGTAGCGGGGATCCCAGGTGGAAGGGAAGTTGCTGTCAGTGTAGGTCAGGTTGCCGGTGTTGGCATACTGGGATTCGCCGGAGCGCTCGTAGACACCGACGGCTTCGCGGCGCTTGCGGTCGGTGTTCTGCGCGGCGAGGTAATGGGTATCGACGGAGCCCATAACATCGAAACCGTGACCGTGATCAGCGGTGACAAGGATGAGGGTCTCCTTAAGGCAGTCGGTCGAGTTGAGTTTGGCGATGGTGGCTTTGACGGTGTCGTCTAGCTCGAGCAATTCACCGAGCGCACGGTCATAGTCGAGCACGTGCATCATTTTATCTATTTCTCGTCAGCAAAGGAAGATCCAGATGTCTGGCAACGACGAACCAATTGAAGCTGCCTCGCTCATCAAAAGAAATCCCTCTTTTCCAGAGCGAGCCTGGAGGATATCGATGGCCTTGAGGGTCATCTCCTTCAGGCCTGGCTGATCCAGGGCAGGCTTTTTGTCACCAGTGGGAGACAACGACTGGTTCAAGTTCTGGCGGTAGACGTTGCGGTCGAGCCATTTAGCCATGTTAGAGGTGGTAAAGATACCAAGAGCCTTCTCGTTGTTGTTGGCAGACAACAGAGCAGTGCGGTTCTGGATGATCTGGTAGTCCTTCTTGGCGAACTCCTGGTAGTAATCTTTGCCCTGGTACGTGACACCGCCGAGCGAGGGAGGATAGAACTGCTCAGCTCCACCGCCAAAGATGACATCAATCGGAACGTTAGTCCATGTGTAGTTCTGGACACCATTCAGGTAGGTGTCGACAATCGCGCCGTACTCGCCACGGTTGCGGGTATGGGAGACGAGCGCAGCAGGAGTAGCATCGGCGATGTAGGCAGTAGAGACGATTCCAATGTGTCCACCAGTAAGGCGGTGGAACATCTCAGCGATCGTCTCAACCTTCGGGTCGTCGAACGCATTCTTGCTGGAGTCGGCATAGACATTCAAGCAGTTGACTGTGCTCTTGTGGCCAGTGTTGAGGGCAGCAGCAGAATTGGCAGAATCAGTGATGAAACTGTCAATAGAATGGGTCATCTGGTGGCCCAGCACAGGGAACTTGTCCATGGCCATGGTGGTCTGGTACTTTCCATTGATGCTCTTGTGACCGATCAGGCGTGCAGCCGTGATCATGTTGGTCGTCATACCATCGCCAATGAAGAGGATGATGTTCTTGGTCTTGCGCTCCTCGGCAAGGTCGCGAACGAGCCAGGTAGCCTCGGTCTTGCTGCCATTGTTGTAGTTGAGAGTGGCAGTGTACTCGCCAGGCTCGTAAAGAGCAACGCGACGGTAAGCCTTGGCTGCGACATTGACGAAGCTAGCATTCTTCGCGTCACGAGCGAAGAGGTCTGTAGTATATTAGCAGTCGTTCAAAATTGCAGTGTGACCTCGGGAGGCCTGAAAGGAAAACTCACCCTCGTACCAGGTGAAGTTCCACTTCTCAAGCTTAGGCTCCTGGATCTTGAAGTATTCAGTGACCGGTGCGGCCTTGCCGTCCTTGGTGATGGTGAAAGTAAACTTCTCATCAAGAGGCAGTCCAATGGCTTCAGATCCGTTTGTAGGCTGGTGCACTTCGAGACGGATGTCGAAGTACTGTCCAGCAAGGAAGTCGGCCCTGTTTTCAATTGTTTAGCATGAGTCCGTTTGCGTCTACATTGTGTATGATGCTTACTGGTCTGGAGGGAAAACACAACCAAGCGTCGGGCAAGCACCCAGACGGCGGAAGCTCTGCGCAGACACAGTACCCACGAGCAGGGCAGCTGCGGCACCAATTGATGTGGTGGACTTCATGGCGAACGCTACAGAGAGTGAGGTAACACAGGACTCTCGAGTGGTGCGATAACGATCCATGAAAGGCTACCAGGCCCAGCTTTATAGCTCCCAGAGTTCCGGACCTGCATTCAGAGCTCTTTGCAGTTTTGGGAGATAGTCAGCACATGGGAGCTGCTATCCTGTCAGGGGTCCACAGTGCATCCCCGCGGGATGGTCGCCTATGCTGCAGGCGGGTCGGACGAACCTCCTTGGCTGCCCTCGTGCTATATTCACGCTCTCTGACTGCTCGAGATCAGCCGTTTAGCTACCAGGACCAGACCTGATCCCGCTGGTATGGGTTCACGCCACGACCCGCTACCATCATATTGAAGACGGACGAGCTGCCTTATCGAGATTGAGATGCACGTTGACCATGTTGATTCGAGGCGGGTTGTACATGTCCTTGGCGAAACGTGAACGATAGCGGAGTCGTGATTCGCCACGGCGAGCAAGGTGGAGAACAGTCTGCCCGCACGGCGTGCTTGGCTACAGCACTCGTGCAGAATGTGCTCCGAAAGACAAGCTCATTGGTTATAAACGGGTGAAGCAGAGAACAAGACTTTAGCATGAGCTTCGACTCGGATATTGTGCCGCGGATTGGAAGGACGTCGAGAGACGTTCGTTAGGATTGATGACGGTAGTGGAACCAATGTTCGGGTACGATCGTCGAACCCCAGACGTCTGCACAATAACACGAATTATTCACGACGGTCACTCGTAGATTTAGCAAGGGAGCGCAATATTGCATGTCCTTGCGCGCGACTTAGCAGAGCTGCGCCAACTTAGCGCAGCTCTGTAGGTCGTGGGTGCGCCGCCTTTCACGATACCACCCCTGGTAGGTACCTAATCATCCGCACTATCGCGAACCTCCTACGCTGACAGCCATCACAATGATCGACCTGCATCCGCGAACTGCTGCAGGAACCATGTTCCCCACAGATCGCGAATCTTGGTTGCGTTTCGGACCGCGTTGTCTGATGCAGACTCGCCATCATGGTCTGTACCGGAATCGGTTTTAGTGTAGTAGTGTTTAGACCAACGACGTCACCACTCAGCTTTGTTTTGCTGTCGCATCGCCATTGTCTTCACCTTCCAATTTCCTTCACGTACCTATGCTACTTGCCAGACGTCCTTTTCTGATACCAATTGCGCGTATAATTCGAACCCCAGCCCGTTTTGTAGCTACAAAAGCTCGAACATCGAAGCACGCGACACAGTCAAAGCCCAGAGCGCAAAACAGTATAGCGGAGATGTCGAAACGAACCGCGTACGACCGTGACGAGCTTGGTCATACGTCGACAAAGCGCGCAAAAGAGGTGGATGAAAACCTGCCCTACGATCAACTGAAAGAAGCGTTAGACGCGCAGGAGGAGAAGAGCGATGTCACAAAAGTGGTTCACCTGTTCCACCCGAAAGATTTGCGTTTGCAAGACAACACTGCTCTGCACCATGCTTCCGAGTTGGCGCACAAATCTAAGAAGCCACTCATCTGCGTGTACTTGCATTGTGCGGCAGATGAGTCGTGGCACGGAACCAGCCCAGCGCGAATGGACTTCATGTGTGAAGGTCTTGCGATCCTCCAGAAGGAGCTGAAGGATCTAAACATTCCGTTGGTTTTTCTCGAATGCGATGAACGCAAGAGTATAGTTACAACAGTGGTCGACTGGCTGAAGGAGCACAAGGTGTCGCACCTGTTCAGCAATCACGAGTACGAGATCGACGAAATGCGACGCGACATCAAGCTTGTGAAGCAGGTTGGAAACGACGTACAAGTCTCGATATACCACGATCAAACAGTCGTTGAGCCAGGGACTATGCTGACAGGCAATGGCAAGCCGATGAAGGTGTTCACACCCTACTTTGGGAAATGGCTAGACATAGTCAAGGAAGAGCCAGAACTTCTGGACCTGAGACCAGACCCCAAGAAACAGAGTGCCGATGTTGCGAAAGAACTCAAAGATCTTTTCAACACAAAACCCCCTCAGCCCGGCAAAGATAAGAACTTCGAGAATGAGGAAGACAAAAAGCGCATTCGTAAGCTCTGGCCAGCTGGTCATAAGGCAGGCGTCAAACGAATGGATGCCTTTCTGAAGAAGATTAAGAACTACAAAGCCACACGATCAAATCCAGCCGAAGACTCGACGTCACGCATGAGTGCATACTTCTCCGCCGGCATGTTCAGCGTGCGCGAAGCACTGCGGAAAGTCAGTGACTATAATGGCGGTAGTAGCGACTTCACTGAAGGGCGCTCAAAACCCGGCGTATACAGCTGGGTGCGAGAGATCGTGTTCCGCGAACTGTATCGACAGACGACAATGACAACGCCTCACACCTCGATGAACCTACCTCAGAATCTCAAATTCGACTACGTACAGTGGGAGGACGATGAAGAGGGGTGGGAGAAGTGGTACAAAGGTCAAACCGGCGAGCCCTTTATCGACGCGGGCATGCGCCAGCTCAATCACGAAGCGTACATGCACAACCGCCTGCGCATGAATGTCTCTTCATACTTGTATTGCAATCTGCTCCTTGACTTTCGTCGCGGCGAGCGCTATTTTGCCGAGACCTTGATCGATTGGGATCTGAGCAACAACACGCAAGGCTGGGAGCCAAGCTATACCGTGTTCAACCCAGTCAGTCAGGCTGAGCGCAACGACCCCAACGGTGACTACATTCGCAAATGGGTGCCGGAGCTCAAGGATGTGGAGGGCAAGGCCGTGTTTGCACCGTATGCGAGGCTCAGCAAGGAAGAATTCGAGAAGCTTGGATATCCGAAGCCGCATGTCGACTGGAAGCAGACCAAGCAACGGTGCATGGAGAGATTTAAGAACGACATGTCGGGTGTAGAGCCTTGAGGGATATGGTGTAGACAGCTATTGATTAGCTATTTCACCTTTCTTCTTCCCACATACAAACGTTCCAGGGTCATTAAGCTCATTGGCAAGACCACTGTGATGAATATGGCTTATCATGAAATGTTAACATCGGGACGACCAGATCTATCTTGCGTCGATAAAGACTCTACGGCTGAATCTTTCCCTGTATTACAAAAAAGGTCTATTGGTCGGAGGAATGAAATGCCATCCGCGACCGAAGGAGCTTGAGCAATAAGATCAGAAAACAGGCAGGACACCGACGTGCGATTATATGGAGCGGTAATATTACATGTAAATCTATGGCGCCCCACTGTACAATTGCTTCCCATTCTTCTTAAACCCCGTCACCACACTCTGACCCCTAGCACTTGTCGCCCAAGCCGCGAACAGCTGCGCAAGCGTGGCATTCCTTGCCTTATTACCTACAAGCAAGTGTCCTGGCAATAGAAGCGGATCAGTCTCGTCGTCAGAGCCTATCTTAAACTGCCCCAGTGCAGCTGTGAGATTGGGCTGCAGCTGCTCGAGTGACAACAGTGTTCCGCGATCCGTCAGCGTATACTCCTTCAACAAGCTTGCTGTGCTCAACGCCTGGATCGGGAACGCTGGGAACTGGTGATACCACGTCGAATATGGCAGTGCCCATGGCACTTGACCAATTCCCAGCCACAGCGTAGACTCCTTGAGGTTTGTCGCGGACTTATCGTACCGGGTCAAAAAGCGAGTTGGGATTACTGTCCTTGCGTTGTTGAGTTCGCCTGTCTGGTATATCTTTGCGAAGATGGAAGTAACACTCATGTTGCTGCTGATATTGGCGGGATTCTCGAGGGGTCCGGCAATGATGAAGTGGTCGCGGAAGAGATAGTAGCGACCTGTTTTAGAATCAATGATGCCCTGTTCAGCTGCGACCTGCTCGGCCGCTGGGACGTAAGAGATGCCAAGATCTGCTTCGCCAGTCTGAAGGTTCTTGATGGTGAATGTCGTGTCGCTCAATACCTTTGGTGAAGGTCAGGATAAGACGTGACAACCTAGTGATTGGAGCTCAAGACATACCCAGCCAATGCTGAACGGCTGCGATCCATTTTGTACGCTGTCTTGAATGAATGCGTCGGCGAGGACTTCAAATGTAATCAGCGTAGTAACCAGGGAAATCTAGCACGAGTAGTACCTTTGACCAAGCCACTTTGTCCAGCGCCTCCAGTTGCAATGCGTAACAAAGTGTTGTTGCTCGTTGAATTGAAGCCGCCATTATACACTTCTGTAGGGTCAACAAGTGCGGTTACACCGCTGAGTAGTATCGCAATCGCTGTAAAGGACCAAGAGAAATTGGAAGAGAACATGTTGGAGGTGTCAGAATTGACTCGAGAGTTAATATAGAACGAACACTACAGCCATCCGAGCTTTATACCTTCCGTCTATCTACATCGTCGTTGCGCAGCCGAGCTGAAAATGATGAGCGGGCTGTACCAGTGTTGTGTTGCATCCTTAGATTATGGTTACTGTGCATTCGACGGTGACGGTAACAGCTGAGCGAGCGCCACAAGTCTAGGTACTGGCCCGCCGCAAGCAGCGGACTACTATTAGCACCACCCACTGGCAAACGTACCTTTACGCTTAGACTAGACTGTAAGGACCGCATCCGCATCTAGAATACAGTGTGGCAGGCTGAGGGGGTGTGACTTTAGTAACGTACCCCGCAGACCAGTACCTAGGTACCTTGTCCCACTTGTGACCACTTGCATGAACCAACATGTTCATACTTTCAATGGGCGCATGCTACAAGTTGTAACATATATTCAATTGAGTACATTCTTCCCAAATGTGCACACGAGCGAGTTTCTTGATGTGTTCCCCGAGACTTGCAAGTGCACATCCACGATGACGTCATAGGGCAGTGCGGCTGAGAGCATGTGTAGAGCTGAGACGGCGTCGAAGATGTCGACACTGAAGTACAAAACAATGCGCGGCGACTGCTACCGAGTAATAGAGCACATGGAAGGCGTACTAGAGCCGCACAGAGAAACATGGTGATTGCACTGACTGCATATGTCCTTCCTCAACAAACACCGGCTTCTTCGGCTTCTCCGGGCTTTTGAATGTTCCAGACGTCTTCGAGACTACCTCGCAGAAGGCCAACTTGAGTAGACGGGGAGAGGAACCCTCGAGTCTGAATAGTGTCTGTACCTACTGAATAATATTGTGGGTTTTAGCATTGGCGTACAACGTGGCAGAGTCTTGGATTGGTAATCCGCAGAGCAAGGATAATTGCATAAAGCCCACTGATCTTACAACTCAGCTCAAGCAGTATCACAACACAAGCTCATCAATACACAACAACTTCACCGGTTCTACAATGTCGCACGCTCTCATATTTGGTGCCTCTGGTATCTCAGGGTGGTCGATTCTGAACGAAATCACTTCGTACCCCACATCGACAGCATTCGCAAAGATCACTGGTCTCTCGAATCGACCTCTCACGCTCCAAGAAGCCCGCCTGCCGCAAGATGAACGCCTCAGTCTTGTTAATGGAGTTGACTTGACAAAGTCAGTGTCTGAGGTTGTTCAGATGCTGAAAGAGAAGGTGCAAGACGCTCACACGATCTCACACGTCTTCTTTACAGGTATGCAGAATGCTTTTGAAAGACCAAGACGCGGATTCGATGTGATACTGATGTGGGTGGGGTAGCATACGTCCACACAGACGACTTTGAAAGCTCGAGAAGAATCAACACTGAACTCATCGGTACCGCCGTCCGCGCCATTGAGCAAGTCTCCCCAGCGCTCAAGATGGTCGTCCTCCAAACTGGCGGCAAAGGCTACGGCCTCGAGTTCCCGGACAAAGTAACCATCAACACGCCTCTGAGGGAGGATGCGCCGCGTATTCCTGAGCCCTACGCAAGCAGGATCTTCTATTACACGCAGTACGACTTGCTCGCTGAGCTGTCAGTCGGCAAGACCTGGACTTTCGCTGAAGTGCGACCCGATGGTATCATTGGCTTCACACCCATCAATAACGCAATGAATCTGGCGCAAGGTATCGGGCTTTACCTGGCAGTCTATCGCGAGCTCTACGGCCAAGGCGCGAAAGTGAACTGGCCCGGTACCGAGAAGAGCTGGAAGTGCACACACTCGGACACGTCGCAGGGAATCCTGGCGAGAATGGAGATCCACGTCGCGACCCACATTGAAGAGTGCGGTAATGGCGGAGTATTCAACATTGCAGATGGCGAGACTGTTACATGGGAAAACGTCTGGCCGAAGCTGTGTGCTGACTTTGGTCTAGTGGGCGAAGGACCAGCGTCTGATGCGGAGTCCATGGAAAAGTTTGTCAAGGATAATATTGGTGTCTGGAAGAAGTTGGCTGAGAAGCATGGGCTAAAAGAGAAGACTGTTGAGGATCAAAATTGGCCTTTTGTACATTTCATGCTGGTGCAGTTTGACTTCGACAGGCAATACGACTTGACGCGCAAGACAGAAGTCGGATTCAAAGAGACGATCAAGACAGACGAAGGGTATGTGATGGCGTGGGAAAAAATGAGAGCGGCGAAGATCTTGCCGCCCAGGGAAGTGTGAGCAGAGTCGGCAACAGTCATATTTGAAAGCCTTGAGACAATCCGAGCCTTCCCCTTTTAGTCTTGTCTTAGGGCAACTGCGTGGTGAAGTTCTGGGGAAAGTCCGACAAGGGGGGGACAAAAGCCGTGTTGTCAACCGAGGTACCAAATAGATCTCCAAGGAAAAGATGATTCGGCCATCCTTCCATGCCATCCAAAAACAAGCCACTTGTTTCGAGGACGTCTAAGTTGTTGAACGTAGTCTGTGCATTCGGCGTGGGATCGCTGTGAGCTGCATCCAGTCTCCTGACTGGATGAGCAAGTGCCTTATCGAATAGTTGCGTGATCCAAGAGCTGGCATCCCAAGTTTCGCGATGTGCATGTAAAGCCATCTTGCAGTTGGTAAGAGCGAACCTACCCAGACTTGCTGTCATTGAATCGCTGCTCCTTGACTGAACGAAGAAGACGACACATGCCATGAACAGACCGTGAAATAGTTCATGTGGAGGTACAAGCTCTTCGGATGCAGTGACCATGGAACATGCAAGGGAAGCTGTCTGTTGCGCGGAGAGACTCGCCACCTCGTCTCCCAGCCATGAAGAGGGTGAGTGTGGATTTTTGCTATCTGTTACAGATTCTGGCTTGATGTGCGACAAAATGACGTTGTGGTTATACAGTATACGTAGTGTCGTCCGGAAAACGTCAACATGCGTGATATCATTGTCTGCCCACTGAAGGGAGGCTGGAAGTCCATTTCGCCAGTGCAGCAACAACTGCTGCAGTAATGAAGTTGTGTCTCCAGTCTGACTACGTGGATAGAAGCGAATTGTGACAATCTGTCGAAGCAAGAGAGCTAGCTTGACGACCTGGACTTGGTACAAGCCTGAAAGGCGGAAGGTTGCTTGTGAAAGATGATCAGAGGAGAACGAGCCCTCATACTCAAAATCCTCCATCGTAAGTTCATCGACATCGCAGTGCTCGAGGTTGATTCTGAATGGCCGTCCATGCATGGATGCACACGTAGCGTCTCTAACTAGGAGCGTCCACCACAGACGCTTGAGAAGGCTTCGGTCCTGAGGTGCAATGTTGAGCCCGGTCATGGATCGATGGCAGCCAATGGTTTCGGCGACCGTGACACCTGTAGATATCCAAGTATAGAAGTTCCAATGATTGTTAGGACTGCCTCCCCAAAAACTCAATAGAATCGTTGCTTGTAGCGTGACAATCTTGCTGCTTTCATATCCTACGTCGAAAAGCGCCTTAGCTTTACTGTAGAATCGATAACGGGCTTGTTTCCTGTCCTGAAATCCAGCTTGATGCAAAGTCCGCAGTGGACAAAAGGTGGCAGCCATGAAGCACACCGAGTGCAGCAACATCCACGGGAGCGTCCCTGATTTCTGATGTTCTAAGAACTCTCTTGGATTGATGACCGGGTACAATGGGAAGACCCGTTCCATGAAAACAGTGATAAGCACGTCCAGTATCGCATCAGGAGGTGCTGTGAATGCTTGCTTAGCTTCAAGGTATGAGATCTCTTCTGGTGGTATTTCAGTAGGATGAGCTGCTTGAGATGGGGCATGGGTTGTAGCAGGTGTATGAGTCGGCCCAGAATGATGAAGTACTGGCCGGCCAGTGCCACCCCTCGCCCCATCAAGGATGATGTTAAGCGGGAAAGCTTCTCCGACATAAGCGATCGTACGTTTGTCCACTGCTGCTCTCTGGTCATGACGATTGAGCACACCTTCGAACATTGTCGACCAGCTGGCATCATGTTGTCTCGAATCAGTACTGACGTCGGTAGCTCCGGACGGTGTGTCGTGCTGCGGTTGCACACTAGCCGGCGCGGTGGAGGACCGAGCAGATTGAATTCCTAGTGCAGGAGTTGAGGTTTGCACATTTGAATTCTGTGCTACCGGAGGATCCCCTGCATTTACACGATCTTCGTTGGCAGGAGCACCGCTTGACTCGGCTACTACGCCACGAGTGCGGACCTGCTGCTGTCGTGGCTTCCGAACATAGATACCTCTGCGAGACTGAATCAATGTACAATTGGGCTCTCCTCTCTGCTCACAGCGGGTACAAGGAGTTCCACGTTCACTGGCATCGCACTTCACGCGCTTTGCGTTGCAGAAACGACACGCTTTGGCTGTGCGCACACGAGCTGGGCGACTTTCGAGACCAGTTTGTGTTTCTGGACGATCCTGACGTAGCGTTGACGATATCTGTGGCGAGGCTGAAGAACTGCGTGCCATTTCGGGTCATGGTATGGCCTTGAAGGAAATGCTTGCAGATGCAATGAGCGGAGAATTCTCGAGAAGCCGAGCACATAACCGGAATGCACTAGTTACTAAGCACATGTAGTTGAGAGCATGCATACTGCCGTTTCATCTTCCCGAACTTGGAATACAACAATCTCATCAGGATGCTTTCTTGTTGGAGTGTATCCGCGTAATTTGAGTTATTAGTAGTGGCTCCGTGGCTTATTGGCTAGATGCCACGAGCATTGGTGTTGGGTCGGATGTCCCTGGGTGCATGCAGTACATCAGTTATGTTGATAAAGTCAGTGGGATTTCAAAGAATTCGAGTCTCAAGGTATTCACTGATACGAAACGAGTAGCATGTGTTGCAGTATATTTGTAGAATTTGAATTTTGAGAATTACAACTATGTTTGCATACAGTAGAGGATTGACAAGCGTGCTTGTACCCAAAAATTCTATGCTTAGTGGTTCTCGTCGACACCAATGACTGTCGACTTGAACTTCCTTGCAGAAACCTTGCGCTTGAACAGGATATCAAGCTCACGGTAAGAGCGGCCCTTCATCTCAGGAAGACCAAAGTAGGCAGAAACCAGGCAGACGAAGGCAGTACCTCCCCAGACGTATCCACACTTTCCGGCCATGTTCCATCCGGTAGGGTTCAGCATTTGCGAAGCGAGGTAAATCATGGGGATCTCGGCAACGTAGTAAGCGGCACGACCGACACCTGTGGAGAGGGGACGCAGGCGGATGGAAGATGTCTCGGCGATGATGGAGTAGGAGATAGGTCCCAGGGAGCCAGCGAAGACGAAAGAGATGATCACACCAAGGCATGCTTGGGCGTAGTTCGTCGAGACGGTCTGCGTGATGGTGGCGCAGATACCAAGGATGATGAGCAGGACCATGTTAACAGCAGCACCGCCAAGGAAGATTGTTCGGCGACCGAAGTAGGCGCTGAGAGGCCACGACAAAGCGTTAGCGACCAACTGGAGGCATGAGTTGATGAGGTTGAGCTTGAAAGAGAAGTCCGTAGACATGCCAGCCTGCTCGAAGAAGAATGTAGCCTGGTTGGCGATCAGGTTACCAGCGAAGTTCTGGGACATGTAGATCAAACAAGTGATCGCTGTTCGCCTGAGGTCAACACCCTTGAGAAGATCGAGCAGTGATGGGTTACCGCCAAGGTGCGCTTCGATCTCCACAGTTCGCTCAATCATGGCAAGTGTCTCCTCAGCAGTTGCCTGTGTACTGGATTTGCTACCAAGACGCTTGATGGACTTGAGAGCCTGATCCTTCTTGCCAGCGCGAACCAACCACCAAGGCGATTCTGGGGCGAAGAAGATGAGAGCCAACAACGGAATAGGGAAGATCCATTGCAATGCAAGAGGTGCGCGCCACGCCCACTCGTCGTTACGCCCGTTGAAACCCATGGTCGCGGCAGCAACAATGATGCTGCCGATGGACCATGACATCTGAAGAGTTGCGGTACAGACACCACGAAGTGCGACGGGGACAACCTCGGAAGCGTAGGCGGGAGAGTTTGCGATGAACATGCCCCAAGGGACGCCCTCAAAGGCCTGTCCAATGACGAGTACCTCGAGCGACTGAGCGAAGAAAGAGATGAAGATTGTCAAGATCATGAGGACCAGAGCGAGGATTGTGCACCATCGGTATCCGATGCGGTTGGTGATAGGTCCAGCGAGGAAGACACCAACGAAGGCGCCACATTGACCAGCCTGGAAGAGGGAACTCTGCCATTTTGTAGGAATGGCCTTGGTACCGTCGGCAAGTAGGGTACCGTATCTTGCCTTGAACGCGGTCAAGGCGACGAAGTTACCGTTCAAGAACATGTCGAAAGACTCCATGACCTGACAGTTGTTAGCCGCGGTAGCTTCGTCTGTGGAGTATCAGCACTCACAATTGTGAAGCAGAAGACGAAAGCCCAGAAACAAGCCATAGGATGCTCCTTCACGGCCTCCCAGACGCCCATCTCATTTTCGCGGGTTTCGGCCTCGTACGAGGCGGCCAGGAGGTCCTTGTCATCGAGTGTCTCGTGCTGAACGACACCCTGGGCGTTGAACTCGGCGTCACCCTTCTTCTCGTCCATGTTGTGCGACATCTTTGCTGGGCTCTGATGTTGATGTGCGAGTGCGAAGCAGGCGACAAGCAATGCAAAGGGAGGCCAAGTAGGCAGAGCCCATGCTTAAATACTTGTCCTCTTGGATACCCACACTCCACTGTTTATGACAATACGAAAGTATCCACATCTGGAGGTCGGGGTGGTAGCACATGGGGTAGCTCCACCATCCCCCGTGGGTAATGCATGCGCTGGTTTTCATCGCACAAAATGCCGAGGGTGTCGGGCCTCTGGGGACTCCCGACAGGCAGGTCGCTGATTACGAAGGCCGGTCCAATGAATTGGCGTAAACGGTCGGTGGGGTCGCGGTAGGACACGGAGCTTGGCTCTAGCGCAAGACTGAAGTATCCTGTTTTGCCCATGGGGATGGGGCTCCGCAGTAAGCTTTGTGGTTACCGAGCTTGGTGGTGCCACAAATCTTAGCCCCACGCTCTTATTAGTGGATAATCTCCCCTTGCCCCATTATGACGTTAGTGGCCAGCTCATGTGCAGCGTTAGTCACGTTCGAGCCTCATCATTGAGCCGCATTGCAACGGATGAGATTGCTGAGCCGCATCCCGAGCGGAAGCACCTCCTCTTGAGTGCTAGCTGCAAATAACGGTGCACTCACTAGGGCTATGGCGCGACGACTGCTCTTGTTGTCTGTGACGGAGTGAAGACAAGAGCAGCAGGAGTTCCGTGATCGATTTCCGAGGGCTTCTTTCTGGCGAGCAGTTGCTGTGTCTCGATGCATCTCAAAAATCTCAGTAGCATCATGTGTCTACTTTACAGCATCGTTACGGACTGCCACCAGTCGATTGGATGGTCAACAGCGAAGACATCGGTTGGTAATGCTTAGGCTGCAAGAGCGCGGGAGTCTTAGGAACCTGGCCGCCGAACACACCGAGGTTCTGAAAACTGCATAATCAGAAGCGGCAATTCAACCGCTTCTCCACTCGGAACACGGGTTCGCAAGTTGCAGGTGCAGCTTTGGCCGACCTCACAGTTGGTAGCGTCTATTCCGCATTGCATTGCATTGCATTGCAGGCGCCTCAAGATTCGCCTCCAAGAACCGGGTACCTCCGACCTCCTCTCCCAGCTCAGATGACTGGTACACCGTCTTCCATCCATCACTGACAAGACTGTCTCTCATCATGTTTACGATCGGGTTCTTCGATTGCACTGCAGACTTCGTGACAGCCACTCACTTGAGATGGAACGAGGGTGTTTTTCACCGCTCTTACAAGGCGGCATCCTAGCACGGACGAGAAAAGTCTTGCAACACTAGGTAATAGACATATCAGGCGATAGAGGCACTTGGGTGAGTGCGAGATTCACATGCTTGTGGGAGTTAAGGCCCGAGGCAATGACACCCATTGATCTCAGTCTAGGTAGGTCCTCTTTACTGACTTATTACTTACGTCGCCACATCGCTCGCTGCTTGGACTTCATCTCTCTCTCAGGGTCACCCTCAGCCGAGTGAACCACAAGACTTACTATGGGCAGACGCCAACGTTCTCTCGACCTCGAAAAACATATGGCGACGTTATGTGCAGCGTGTACTTGATACTTGACCGCATACGACGCACGAAACGGTAGACACATCGCTGCTTACATCGTTCGACATGAAACTCTCTATCCAAAACACGATCCGACGATGAATACGCTCATATCATACGGATAACTCAACGTTTAGAAGCGATGATACCATCACACTCATCACGTCGTGGCACTAGGACTTTTGAACAGATATCGTGGACAAAGACCCTGGAGCCGCACTACACATTCATAATGATTTTGGTTACACCTATACGTCGACACTGGGGCTCCTTTCGTTGGCTCAAGAGGTAACGCGTGAGAAATCCGCACCAAACAATGCACGTGTCTCACGTCGGTGCCTAGGATGAGATGGGTATCTTCACTGGTATTTCAAAGATGTCAGTAACCGGACGGCCGTTATCGAGTTGTAGGATCGACATCAGAGTCTCTTTGCTGACTGCCTTGATGCTCGGCATTGGTGTTTTGCTGTCAGCCTTGCGCCACCTTCCCGCACAATCCTTGTTCTTAACTTACCCATTCAGCCTGATCACGCACCCATCCAGTAAAGTTCAGTCGCTTAATCGCCCGTCCATAAAGACTTCCTTGCTAAATTTGGTGCGTGTCGTAAGCTTCGTTCCATCCTTCCAGTGCTACTTACAGAGTACCTGGTTAGCTCTGATCGTGCTGGACACCTGAAGCAACTCTTAGTTGTGTCAGCCCGATAAAGTGCTGAGTCCTCCACATCCCGTTGCTCTGTCGCTCTGCATAACGCAGCCTGGGGTAGCCAATTAACGTTGAAATCGTTGAACATTAGACCAGAATCGAACAATTGCGCTTCTCATGCGCTCGTATACATCACAAGTCTCTATAACACAAAGACGGCGATCCCCTAAAGCCAACGACGGAGCAGCTGTCAACTCAGCAACTACCCGACCCTGTTGTCTCAAATGTCTCGAGCTACAGTGGCCTGTCTATCCTTCCTAGCTCTGGCAACATTCGTGCGCGCCGACGATTGTCCAGACAATGCCCGATCGCTCATGGTCCACACGCCTTTCACACCGTACTGGAAGTTCGAAAGCTTCAACACCGGGCGCGAACAGTGCTGGGCAGCAGCCGACTGCCTCTTCGAAGCTGCCGGAGAAACGCGCAAGCAGCAATTCGCCGCCAATGCGCTGATTATGGGCCTGATACCGCTGACGCTCAAAGAGATCGCCTGGCCGGAGAGACACGTCGTGTACATCACAAATCCCCTGCCGAAACTCGTCGAGGTACTGGTCTTGGCCCTGGGGCTGGTGCCGCGGCGAGTCGACAAGCACGGTGCGACCGCGCGGCAGCAGAACCAGGAAGTCAATGCGCTGGCAAGATACGCATCCCGAAAGTCTAGATGGCACATAGTCGCCATAATCTGCGTCCTCGCGGTCACCCTCGTGGGCTGCTACGCCGGTCTGGTGATCAACGAGATCTACAGCAAGCGATCCGCGCTCGGATGCGTAGCGCCGTTTTTCATCGCGACGTGGTACGTGGTTGCGCTGCTCCCGGCGGTGATACACGCCTTCTTTGCCAGCAGGAGGAAGGCGCGATACGAGCGACTCGCGCAAGGTCCCGGAGGCAGCGACGAGCGGGATGGAATGGAAGATATCCTTTTGCAACCAAGCCGCATGGCGGCACAAAAGGGGCCTACGGATCCTGATAGTAATACGAGCTGGAAAGAGGAGCGTAGGGTTAAGATATTGTCTGCGATCCAGGGTGCAGAGGAGACCTGGCCGGTGCAGTTGGCATGGGGTGTGTACTTCGTTGCTGGAACGCTGGTTTTCACGAGCATTATGGCTGTGACTGTTGTTGAGCTGGTAGTCTGGGTCTTGCTCTGCTTTGCGGTGACAGGTACAAGTAAGGTACTCGCCTTCTTTCTGTGCTTGGGCTTTGAGAGACCGGGCAGCATCTGATCTTGTGCGACACCATGGCATAGTGCAGACTTCGGCTCGTAAGATGGTAGCGAGATGGGGAATTTTGTTGGCAGATCAGTACGTAAGCGGCAGCATCTCGTCCTCTTTTCTCTCTAGTAATCTTGATACGCTGGTAGACCTGATGTGTAAGAACAGAATTGCTTCATTTCATCCTGGCTATGCAGGAAAGCCTAATCGAACCATGCTCGCATCAGACACAGTATACCTTCGTCTTGAATCTCAAACTCCCAGTCGAATACCTTGCGTGCCTCCAGTTATTCGGAGTTCTGACGAGCTCGTGCATGAAGCATTACTTTCAAGTCTACTCATCAGAAAGCATTGCTGGATATATTCTGCACCGGCATAATATCCGCGAACTTCTTCTAGCGATGAGAGACGTCGGTGCAGCTATTGCAAAGCAGAGTCCTATAGTCCTGTATCGCCTGGACATGCAGATATGGCCAATTGTTTGGGCCCGTAAGTCAAATTCCAAGATAGGAGCCTAGATCTGGCCCCCAACAATGAGACGGCGGCATTCTTAATCAATAAATCCTTAGCGATATCCTCTCTCGCAACACAGAGGATCCTCACAGCTGAGCGTACGTGAAAAGGAATCATTACGTATGCCACTGAACTTCTCCATCTTAATCCAGGCTTGCATACAACCGCCATCGCGGACGCGACCTAGGCATAGCATTATCGAGAACAGCCCAGGAAGGTGTTTGACGCAGTAAACACGTTCCCAAAGGGAATCATCGTCCAGGGCTTCGATCCCGCGATCTGACGGAGCAGACAGCGATCGCAACCGACAACCCCCGAGTCACGGGCCGGATACCGCTGTATCACAGAGTTGGAATTGCTCTTGAAACAAGCAACGCCAGCCCCATGCGCAACACAGTTAGCTCCAATCGCTACCACGAGTCTGGACCCTTTGCGATGTGTACAGGCAAGGTACGTTAGTCTCTGCGAATCCGCTGCTGACGCCCAAGGCTGCTCACTCTGCGCAAGTAACCAGAAGGTTCGTCCACTGGCACTCCGCGCCCGAATCGAAATGCTGGAATACCAAAACCATTGCACACTAGCAGTCCCGTTGTTCGGCTTCCAAGGCGCTGGCGGCGCGCACCTGCTACACGCGGGAAAGTGCTGACGGCACGTAAGCCGCATTAACGCCGCGTAGCCGGCCGGGGAGCATGCGGGCAGGGACGGGGCTTGTTGTGTGATCGTGGCGGTGCTGGTACCTGATAAGTCGCGGGAAATGAAACTGCACGTGGCTGCTGTCCATCGGGGGGAGTGGTCCATTGGTGCAGCGTACTGACGCCGATGCATTGATAGGCGAGGATTTGGTATCGAGACTGCGGGACGCGTTTTGGGGCCGGGGTCGTGTCAGCGCCATCTCCGTCAGGCATCGAGTTGCTGATGGTTTCACTTCTTGGCTTCAGGTTCTGTTGAGGGCGTCGGAGCAACTTCGAAGCGAGAGCGAGAGCGACAAGGGATGCGCGTAGGGATCTAATCAATCTAATCTCGTAAGCTCAACCACAATCAGCACGCCCATTCGTCATAAGTCGTTGTGTCGAGTTTTGTCGAAATCTATTCGGTCTAAGTCGTTATCAAAGTCTATCTCTTTCTATGAGTACCTAATCGTTCTTCGCCCATACGAGTCCTCCGGCCTTGGCACCTGTGCCAGGCTCAACGTACTTGCAGGTGGTGAACGCCTCCCACAGATCGCCAAAGAAGCTGGTCTTCTGCTGGATGTAGCGGTCGCCAAGGATGGGGGCAATGGCCCAGGTTGCCTCCTCAGCGTGGTAGAAGGGAATGCGACTGTGAAACGTTAGTTTGGTTGATCTCTGGAATGGATGAGATTGCGAAGACTTACGGGAACATGTGGTGCACGACGTGGTACTCGATGATGCCGTGGAAAATGTGGCGACCGATGAAGCCAAATTCACGGTCGACGGTCGAAGCGGCACCCTTGATGAAAGTCCATTCATCAGCCTCGTAATGCGCAGCATCCTGGTGGGTGTGGTGAAGATAAGTAATGGCAACTGTTGCTTGATTAGTGGTGGATTCCGGTAGTCGGAGCAGATATTCTTACCGATCCAGTGGTTCATCCAGAGGTAAGGGAGACCGTAGGCCATCAGAACAGTCCAGCCTCCAACAGACCTGGACCAGACGTAAAGGGCGGCGAAGACAAGAGCAAGTCCGAGGTTGCTAAGAGCGACAAACGGTGCCTCGGAAGGAGTGAAAGTGAGCGCAGTAGGGTCCAAGTGGCTCTGCTTGTAGCGAGATGTGTTGTTGCGGTCGCTCCTGGTCAGACTCTTCACACCGGCGCCGGCGTTCACGAGAATGTACGCGGGCCAGCCGAGCACTTGGTGGAAAATGAGAGCACCAATCTGGACGAGCGGTGTGTCGGCGGCAGCGTGGTCCATGATCTTTTCCAGGGTAGTGGGCTCACGGGTCCTTTCCGCGATCTCGGTTTTGCGGTGCGGCACGAAAACTGTGTCCTTTTCCATGTGATTGTGGTAGCGGTGGTGACGCGCGTGGCTGAACTTCCAGCTAAAGAATGGAACCAAGCAAATGCTGTGCAGGACCCAGCCAGTCACGGCGTTGACGGTGAGGTTGGCGGAGAAAGAATCATGGCCGCAGTCGTGTGCGAGAATCCAGAGGCCGGTAAAGAAGCAGCCCTGGACGAAGCTGTACAAAGCCCACAATGGCACGGTGACGTACAATGGAGCGTCGAGGCGAGAGAGCAAGACGGCCGAGTAGAAGAGCGAGCCCACGATGATGAGATCGCGGACGACGTACGAGAAAGACCGCACCATTGAGCGCTCGAAGCACTTGGCCGGGATCGCATCTTTCAGGGTCTTCACATCAGGGAATGGCTTGACGTCGGCCACCGCAGTGAGCCGTGTCTTCACAGCAGGGGCCTGAACCCGGGAAGTTGTTGTGATCATTGTGCAGAGGGAAATGAGTGGAAAGTTGAAGACTCAAGACGCGTCGCTGGAAGCCTTCACTCTTGTACCAAACGCCCCCTGGGCGGCGAAAATTCTGCCCCTTGATAAAATATAGCCTAAGCTCAAGCGACCCGAATACGTTTCAACGTTGCAGAGCAAGCCGTGCGTACAAGACACCGCCTTTCTCCTGTCTTGTCGAAGGCGGGAAAAGTGGGTCTCGAGCCGAGATTTTGAAGTTGGCGCCAGCGCGCCTTGGCCTTCCACACGAAAATGTTGCGGTGAGCGGAGACTTGTCCGAGTCAGAACAGCCGGTGAACATCATGAGCGTTCGACTGGACGGGGAGCATGTGAATATGCATGACATGTATGTGAGGGCCGCTTGTTGAGAGGCAATGCGAGATAGGTGTGGAATGGTATCATACTGTGTAATTCGACGGAGCCAGGGTCCAAAAGATGAGCCGCAAGGTAGCCGCATCGGGTACAGATAACACGAATCCCCGTGGGCCCTGGAGATCTTCTACGGGGCTCAGCAGTTCCAAGAGGGGCCCAGCCTTCGGAGACGGAGGGCCCCCTGAAGTTTGCCCTCCGATTGCAAGGCTGCTTCAAGTCGCGCTGCAAACCAGCAGATGCGCATTCCATCGACGCTCAAGGCATGTGCGGTGTCGGTAGACTTACTGCCCGCGTATAGGCCGTCGCAACACTTGTATCTAGCAAGCAGCAACACCGAGGTCGGGCTGGTCGAGACACATGCTGCATTCGTTCGATCAAACACTCTCAGGGTCTGGCGCCGGCTGGAACAACCCTGGCCGACGCACAATGCGGCAGAATCGAAGTCCAACGGTACTGTTCCCGTTACGACCCGAGGCGGGGCACGAACACAACGTCGAGAATAGACGGCATAGCTTGCGAGATGAGAACGGGCCAGCATGGTGTCAGTGTGCCAAGCAAAGGGCGATTGGGGGCCTATCGCGTTGCTGTGATTGGCTATGGCACAGTCGATGAGCTTTCGAGCTCCATTGTCCTCATCCTCACCCCTCTTTTACGTGGCAGACAACATGCGTGCATGAGCTCTGTCTATTGTCTCCATATCGAGTGGGAGTGACAGTTGTCTCCGTATTCTTGCTACGGTGGTTGTCGAGGCTGTTGACGCCTGCGGCTCACCATGAAGCTATGTGCAATGCTCCGAGATCGGTCGTCGGTTCAACTTGTGAAAAGACTCCAACTCGCATTTGTGAGCATCATATCATGCCTCTTCTTCGCACGGTCAACTGCACGGCTCGCTGAATTCGCCATGTTAGACCGAATCATCACGTCTGGCGGTGCTTTCACAACTCAAGCACAGCACATCCTGTGACTACGTGTCGCCATTGAAGCTGGAAATGACTGGCAAGCACGTCCTGATCACCAGCGCAGCGTTCGAAGATAGCGTTGGGCATGCCACAGCCACGGCTTTTGCGCGAGCAGGGGCGACTGCCATTGCGATGTTTGATCTGCACGGTGAGCTTGTCGCAAACCCAAGTCTGCTGCAGCGCAAGCCAAACGCAACGAGCCGGCGGTTGTCTGCTGTACCGACATCATCGCACGACTAGACCGCGTCTGGGCAATGCACAGCGTCCCATCGAAAGCTTTTGGCGGCCATCTCAACGTCCTGGCAAACAATGCAGCGCACACGGAACCTTGCCACCTTCTCGAAACAAATGCAAACGTGTACCGGCCAACCCCTGAAGTCAACGTTCGCAGCCTGTTCGACATGGTCGTTTGAGACTCATGTCAGACAAAGGCCTATGCACGATGATCAACGTCGCCTCGTTGGGCACCCTCACCGCTCGCCCTGGCAGCGGAAGCTGCCGCAGCTCCAGGTTGGCGGGTTGGAGACTTTGCAGCTGGGGTACCAAGACCAAGGTCTTTTTCCATTTTGCGTCAATCGCGGTGCGATCAAGGCGAAGATTACCGAGCCGGCGCTTGAGGCTGTGCAATGCTTTTCCTGATCATCTGGAGATTGCAGGTGATAAGATTGCGTGGCTGGCTGCTGCATAGAGATTCGTTGGGCGGACGGTATGTTGATTTTTCTTCGGACATGAAGGATGAAATCATGGATGGAAACCAGCTCAGGATGAGGCCGTCGCTCTGCAAGCACCGTTTGCATGCTCTCCATCATGTAATGGGAGTAGGAACACAACCGACCGATAATTCGTGTGTGGCTCACCAGCCAATCCAAGTCAATAACGTTTCGGGCGCTCGAGCCAAGCGAAAAGCAAGCCCATCTGAGTGGAGCCATGTTCGGCTATGCGCTCGGGACTGAAAGCCATCCTAGGCGCAAAGATTAATCGCCTTTGCCATCGTAAGTACTATGATATCTCTTGGTCGAAGGCGATGCTCTCCTTTTGGTCGCCGTGTTTCGGCGAACTTTGTCAAGGAGTGCGACCTCCTGCATCAGCGCCCCTAGAAAACAACTTTCGGCCATGTCAGCTCGTGCCAACGGAGAGACTTGTCTCAAGCCTTTTGTAGTGATTGCAGGAGTGCTTCAAGCTGGGGCGTATGCAACAAGTCGTAGCGTCACTGCTTCACAATCGCCTGCCCACACGGCGAAGTGAAAGTCTTCGTCGTTCAGGTTGTGCTTCTCAGCAATGAAGACCCATAGTCATTCAACGTGGTGACCACGCAATTGAGTCGGTCTGGGTGCGGTGTGGGGTCGAGTACTCGATGCGTGCTTGATCTGCTGCGATTAGTCATTCGTGAACAGCCTCACCGCACAAGAACGCTGCAAGACAACGCATTCAGACAATAACCCCGGATAAATCGTGCCATCCAAAATGAAGATGTCGGCGGTTATCAAAACTGCTCTTTATCACAAAAAAGACCGGATCGGCACCGAGACTAGATGCAATTCGCGAAAATTTACTCGGCGCCTCATGTCCAGCAGCCGTTGACAGCTCGCGCGCCGATCGCGAATATGTACTGCGTCTGTACTGCAGATGTATGGCTGCAGCCGACTGTTAGGGCCGAAGTCAGAACAAACCATGCAGGTACCGCCCCAAGTTCGGCCGGCTTCTGAGCTGTACATATCATGCGTTGAGGGAGGCCCGAAGAGTTGTTTCTGGTTGAGGTGTCGATCGGTGAGATCGTCAGGAGACGCGCACACGTGGAAGTGACGAAGCTTTGTTGGGCTTCACACGGAGTTCGAGTCTGAGCACGAAACATGGGTTTCGATTGATGCGTGCTTGTTGTCCTCTTGTCTGTGTGCTGTTGCCCGAAGCGTTTGGTGGATGATAGATGCTGCAAGTTCATCCGCCATGGTCAGATGGGCCGGTTTCCTTGCACCCATCAAGACCACCTTTTGTTCTTTGCAATCAAGTTCGAGTGACGCAAATTGACTTCGATCACTCTGGCAAGACTTGGCTTGCGCGTGTGATTGTCTGGAAGAGGCTGCCGACATCCATCAGCCTTCTCATATCGATGGAGAGTGCCAATTTGGAGTCAAGGGTGATCTAATCGAAGCGTGAGTTCCGTGACGGCTTACTGCTCGCTCTAGACACAATAGTCTCATCTCATCGCCTTCAAATCGTTAATTTGATGGATGAGCGCCACTGCTGGGGCTTCCGCCTTCTGTACAGCCGCAACGCAAGGGCCTGCTCAAGCTGATCGAATCGTCCGCCCTAGAACGTCAAAGCCCGGATAGAGACATACCGGGAATCATATATCCCGTCGTTCTCGATGTAGAATCTAGATCTGGTGAGAAGTTTGTGTATGTCGAAGGTGTCTGCGATATTCTAGGCGCATCTGGGCCATACTTGAGGTCATGCTGGCAACGATTACCTTTCCAGAGGCTGTGGAAGGCACTGGCGATGTTGCGACGCGGAAGGAGCCCCTCTTGTTGCTTGGAAGTGTGTTACAAGTCGGAGGCACTTACGTAGAGCAGTGCTCGAATGTTTACACGCTCATGATAGATGGAAGCTACAAAGTCTTTACTCGAGATATTATTGGGTCAGCACCCCTTTATGCTGCGCGAGAGTAGGGTCTGAACTGCTGGCTTGGGACACGAGAGGGGCATCCGGAAGATGGCGGATGCGTTCGTCCGCTCAGGTGTCTTGCAGCATCGTGTCGATCATTTGCTTAGCAAGCCTACACGTGCCTTCTGCTTCCGGAGCCGTGATACTTCCTTCACCAGTTCCTACTAGTGACGCCAAGTCGAGATCGTGACTAAGAATGCGAAGCAGATAGCTGATGGGGGGCGATTGTCAAACGAAGCTTGCCGGGTGACAGATGACAGAAGCTGCCGTGGAGAGCTTGCCTCGAAGCACGCAGACGTCCGGCCGTGCTGGCGCTTTGTTGTTACAAGTGACTCGGCGGTGGCAGGCACCTGCCCAGGTGAGGTAACTTGAAGCACCTTCCGTTTTGCGCAAGCTGTACAGCAACGGCGCACTTGCCTATTCCTACGTGACCCCGCACCTCGATATCACAGAGCTTGATAGCAAGGCTGGGGAGAAGAATTGCTGTGTAAACAGGCTGACTTTCGTCCGAGGTTACTGCTGCAGCGGCTGCCGCAGAGATTGCAGCTGATTCGAGGTGCGCGGTTCCAAGGTCGAGTGAGGCCCCTGTGCAGATCCAGGCATTCCACAGCGACGCAAGGAGCGCCGGCCAAGCCGTGAGGCTCTTCTGCGCACGTTGTTGACAGCTCAGCTCCGTCTCCAGCCAGGGCCGGATGCGGCTGGGGGCGTTTGCCTCACTCGGTTTCGAAGAGTACAAATTTGGGGCCAGATGCGGCGTCGTGTCGTATGTTGGCGCAGCGTCAGTGCCCGTGCACTAGCAAGCGCCGCCAACCACCGACCGACGTAACCAGTACGAGATCCAATACTCACTACTGCCGCTGCCCTGCTTTCCTTCGTGCGAGAGCTGCCCAGACGACGACTTGACTCTGCTGTTCTTGCTTCTGGACGGCGCGGCGGTTCCAATGTGTTAACCGTGAACGATCATCCCATCACCTGGTCTCTCGACTGCGTCACTCCTTTGTCCCTGCTGCCCAACAGCCAAACTTCCGGCGCCGCCAACCGCGCCCCTCGACCCGGCGCACCGCCCTGAATGTCCATTAGATAGGAATATTCATATCGCAAAAATGGCCGAGTATGCGTGTGTGCGCTCCATCCGCTGCTGGGCGTTACTAACGGACGTAGGTTTATACACTCGGCTGCATGGGTCAAGCACGGCGGCAGCATGACGCCCTCCCGCCTGCGGTCGCTGAGCCCCATGCCTGCGAAGAAAGAGGTCACGAGATCCATCTCGACGCCGCACCTCGCCAAAGCCGCCAGCGAAAGCGACGGCATGAACACAATCCCCGACCCGCGGGCGCCCACACCCCAGCCACCCGTCTCGCGCCACAACTCGAGCGACTCGCACCCCGACTTCAGCCAGGAAGTGTCGACGCTCAGCACCAAGCTCATCAACGCGATCAACCATTCGACCATGCTCGACGACTCGCTGCAGCAGACCCGGCACGAGCTGGAAGCGGCCAAGAAGCGCTTGGAGCTCCTCGAGGCGCAAGTCAAGACCCACGAGCAGAAGGTCGCAAAGGGGCTGCTGGTCGACAAGGTTGTCTACCTGAAGATGGAGCGCCAGATGACGATGGAGCTGCAGGAAGAGCGCAAGCGCCGTGCGGAGGCCGAGAGGCTGAAGCGCAACACCGACAGCGAGGTCGAGCAGCTGACTGCGGCGCTGTTTGAGGAAGCCAATGTGGTATGTACAATAAGGCAGTGTGGAGAGTGGGGCTAATATTCGACAGATGGTAGCAGCAGCACGCAAAGAGACAGAAGCTTCGGACAAGCGCGGCGAACAGCTGAAGCAGCAGCTCAGCGATGCTGGCGAGCTGCAGCACTCATTGCAGGAGCAGCTACAGGACCTCAAGGGCGTCATGGAGAAGATGAGCTCGCACGGCGACGACGAGAGCAATATCCTCGCAACAACCACTGCGCCTTCGACTCCCGGCATCACTCCAGCTGACAAGATGACGAAGCTACTCGAATCGACACACCTCACGCCTAACACGCCCGGCTCCGAAGAACCCAGCCCCGATCACCCACTCCACTTCTCGCACTTGATCCACCCCGTTCTGCGGTCCGATTTGACCACATTTGAGGACTTCCAAGCCATGCTCCGGACGGTTCCTCAATCTGCATCATCGAGCCGTGTCTCGAGCGGGAACTACAGCAGTCTGAATGTGCTGGGGCTGGGGTCGTTGGGATCATTGACGAACAGCTCGACGACATCCCTGCCATCCTCGATCAAAGCTCCCTCAAACGGCAACAACTCGCCCCGAGAGGCAGTGGCCAGCCAAGCGATTACGAACCTGAAAGATGAGAAATTCTACAAGCGTGCGCTGGTCGAGGACATCGAGCCCACGCTCCGGCTGGACATTGCTCCAGGACTGTCTTGGATGGCGCGCCGCACCGTCGTCAGCAGCATCACAGCAGGATCCCTTGTCGTGGAGCCAAACCCGGCGTCGACATCTCGATTCCGCGCCCCCATACTGCCGTGCTCGTTGTGTGGCGAAAGCCGAAAGGACGAAAAATACGCCCGGAAGTACCGCTTCAAGACGGCTGACAACGAGGATTCGCAGAGATATCCGCTGTGCGACTGGTGTCTGGGCCGCGTACGCGCAACGTGTGACTACATTGGATTCCTCCGCATGATTGCCGCAGGCCACTGGCGTGCCGAGACGGACGAGGAGAAGAAGAACGCCTGGGAGGAGAGCGTGCGGCTGCGCGAACGCATGTTCTGGAACCGCATTGGCGGCGGCGTCGTGCCGGCCTTTGTCGCCATGCGCGACAGCCCGCGCAGCCCCACGTTCGCAAACGCCGACAAGACGCGGCGCAGCGAGTCCAGCCAGTCAGTCGAAATCGCGGTCGAGGCCCCCGCCAGCAACGACGACCCTTTTCAGGCCTCGGACGACGCGGATAAGGAGAAGCGCGTCTCCATTGGCAAGACACTCATCTCGCCGGAGATCAAGCAGATGCTCACCGAGGACGAGGAGAAGCAGATTGAGGCGATGGTGCAGACACAACTCGAGACGGAAGTGGGCCGTTCGCTCGACGCGGCGCCTGCACTGCAGACACAAACAGAGACGCAGTCGCAGACACAAACAGAGACGCAGTCGCAGACACAAGCAGAGACGCAGTCGCAGACACAAACGGAGACGCAGTCGCAGACGCAGCTGGACAAACCCAGCCTGCAGCGCCAGCGCTCGCAGTCGAATCCGCCGCCGCCCACGCCGCCGCGCAAAAAGGACGACCGCCTCAGCCTCACTATTCCGGGGGCTTTTGAGTAGAGGGTTGTCGTGTTTTATCATTTACATTTCACAGCACAGTATATATTGGTCACGTTACTTAGCTTCAGCCAGCATTTCTAGGCGCCCGAGCCTGTTTCGACACGGTTCGACACTTTGTTTCGACACTGTTTGTTTCGACACTGTTTGTTTCGACACTGTTTGTTTCGACAACTGTTGTTTCGTTTGTTTCGCTTTTGGTTTGTTCGATTGGTTGTTGTTGCATTGGGACGGCCTGGGATACCACAATTGGCGTTTGGGATTTGAGACAGACACAGGCACAGGCACAGGCACAGACAGGCACAGTACGGTGCACGGGAGATGTTGTGCAGGAGATGTTGTGAGGGGGTATCATTTAGACGCTTGCGCGACTACTTCGCGGTGTGCGCTGTGCGCGGGTAATGCACGCTTTTCAACTCTATGCTCTGTCGTTTTTGATGTGCTCTGTCGTTTTGATGTGCGCTGCCGTAGCGAGACGTGGCTATGTCGCCTTGTCCTTGCCCTTGCCCTTCGCCTTGCCTTTCCCCTTGGGCTTCGAGCCGCCCGCAGGCGAACCAGCCAGCGCCTGGAAAGCCTCGGAGCGCGTCTTCGGCGCCGTGGAGCGAGTGGCGCGCGGGGGCGTGTCGTTCTGCGCCGTCGCCGCAGCGAGTCTATCTTTCTTCGACGGGCGCCCACGCTTGCTCGGCGCAGGGCTCGCAACCTCCTCCCCGCCCTCCACCTCGCCCTCATCCTCCTCCTCCCTGTCCTCCTCAACCCGCACCCGCTTCGTCGGCGTCGCGCCCTCCTCCTCCACCCCCCTCTTCATCCCCTTCACCTCCCCGCCCTCCTCAAACTTCTTATTCACCAGCGCCCTTGCCCGCGCCAGCCCGCGCTCCTTCTCAGCCCTCTCCCTCTCGCGCCTCAGCTCATCAAACCGCTCATTCCCACTAAGCCCATGTTTAATAAACCGCCCCGCGGCCGCGACATCCAGCCTTGCTCTCCCCTCCTTCTGCGCCAGCCGCTCCGTATGTTCCTCCGCGACCTTGGTTTTCGCGAAGTAGCCGCGCAGCCGCGCCAGCTCGGCGTAGATCGGGTGCGCTTTTGCGTCGGCGCCGGTTAGCACGAGGCTGTTGAAGAGCGTCGATTCGATGGCGTAGGCGAGCAGGGTGTGCAGTTTTGCTTTTGAGAGGAGTGGGAGTGGGAGCAGGGTGTTGCTGAGGGGGGTGGGGGGGAGGAGGGGGGTGAGGATGGCGGTGAGTTCGTCGATGTTGGCTTCGAGGTCTTCGATGAGGGGGAGTGCGTTGGAGGGGTCCATTGTGGGGGGTGTGGAGATTGTGTGCGGTGGGTGGGTATGGTTGCGCGTGAGTGCGCGTGTGTTTGTGTCGGGCGCGTGTGGTGGTGGTGTGTAGAGGTGAAAGGTGCTGGTGGAGCTTGTCGCGACAAAAAAGTACGGGCCGAGCATCTGCCAGCGCTAGCGTCATCCACGGCTTGAGCGCGTCACTCCGCACTGCACCCACACGCCGCCTCGTCCGTCGCACAGCTGCTGGTGCGCCCGCCGTCCACGCCGCCGCCGTCCACGCCGTCTCTCGCCGCCGTCCAAGCTGTCTCTCTCGCTCGCCCGCTTCTTCCCCAGGCTGCGGCCTCGGACGCCCCGCCCGCGATGCCTTAGCCCGCGCACGGCGGCCCTCACGCGCCGCACCTTCATGGGCAGCTGGACGACCCGCGACGCCGCCGACGCGCCCGGCGCACACAGTCAGAGTTCGCCAGGCCCGTCCGCCCGCCCCGCCGACTTCTACCGCGCCACGCCGGTGCTGGACCGCCGCGTGCACATCCTCGGCGTCGGCAATGTGGGCACCTTCATCGCGCATGCTATCCGCGGCGTGCCCAACCCGCCGCCCGTCACGCTGCTGTTGCCTAGCTTGGGCCGGCTCAATGCCTGGCGCGACTCGCCGCAGCGCCTGGCCCTGGTCACCGACGGCGACACGGAGCTGCGCGACGGCTTCGACGCCGAGCTGGCCATCCCGCGCCTGCGCTTCCACGGCAAGGAAGTCGACCTGGCTGCCGCCGACGGCGCGCACCAGCCGCTCGACGGCGAGGCCACCACGCCCATCAGCTCGCTGGTCGTGTGCAGCAAGGCCCCCGTCGTGCTGCAGGGCCTGGCCGCCGTGCGCCACCGCCTGACCAAGGACTCGGTCGTGCTGTTCATGCAGAACGGCATGGGCATCGTCGACGACGTCAACCGCGAGATCTTCCCCGACCCGGCCACCCGCCCCCACTACATGCTCGGCATCAACTCGCACGGCCTGCACGCCCTCCCCGCCACCCCCTTCACCACCGTCCACGCCGGCTTCGGCACCATCGCGCTGGGCATCCTGCCGCACGAGCGCGACCGCAACCCCGCGTCGCCCTACGCCCCGCGCGCCCCCATGCTCCCGCACACCGCAAACACCACTCCCCCTCCCCCTCCCCCTCCTCCCCACGACCCCTCCTCCCCCCCGCCAACCCCCGCCTCCACCCCCTGGACCCCCAACGCACGCTACCTCCTGCGCACGCTCCTGCGCACCCCCTCACTATCCGCAACCCCCTTCTCGCCCCCCGATCTCCTACAACTGCAACTCGAGAAACTCGCCGTCAACTGCGTCATCAACCCGCTCAGCGTGCTGCTCGACGCCCGCAACGGCGCGATATTATACAACTACGCACTAACCCGCACCATGCGCCTCCTGCTCGCCGAACTCAGCGCCGTCATCCTCAAGTTGCCCGAGCTCGCGCACCTCCCCAACGTGGCCTCGCGCTTTGCGCCGGGCAGGCTCGAGACGCTGGTTGTTGGTGTTGCGCAGAGGACGAGCGGGAATGTGAGTTCGATGCTCGCGGATGCGCGGCGCGGGGTGCAGACCGAGGTTGAGTGGTTGAATGGCTGGGTTGTGAGGAAAGGGGAGGAGGTTGGGGTCCAGGCGGTGGTTAATTTCGCGGTGGCGCAGTTGGTGAAGGGGAAGGTGCAGATGATTGCGCTGGAGAGGGGGGAGGGGGTGCCGTTTGGCGAGGGCGTGGAGGTTTGGGGGGGTGTTGCTGGGGTGGGGGGTGCGAGTGGTGAGGCTGCGAGTGGTGAGACTGCGAACGCTGGGTCGGCGAGTGCTGAGACTGCGAACGTTGAGACCGCGAACGCTGAGACTGCGAACGTTGAGACTGCGAACGTCGAGAAGCAGAGTGTCGATACGCCGAGTGTCGATGCACCCTCCACTGGCCCCGCGCCTCCCGAGCCCCCGCTCACCGAGAGTACATCGAAGTTGTAACATTACTATAGACAAATGGATGATTTCATGTATAGCCACGTATATCCGGGTGCTAGTGCTTGCAATGTATGTCATTACAATTCCAACTGACAGTATACGATGTGGTTTGTTGCGCTGCTCCTCCTGTTCTGACCTATGACAGCAGCTTCCGCTATGTGATCGAATATAGCTACAAATGTTGCCTCGGATCGCTTGTAGCTCACTCGGTATTTGAAATCTCGTTCGTTCATACCGGGTATCTCTTGCGCAATTTTTTGATGAGTATAATTCGAACTATCATCGACCATTGATCGCGGCTCGAAAGATCCAAGTACCGATCCATCGAGCTCTCCAAGGCGTCCCCGGCCAATATTCCATCGAAAACAATGTTGTCCGGCCTCATGGTGTCCAACATAGTATCTAGTATCGTCCGAACCAGGGAAGAACAGTCCTTTTCATAGCTATGCTCACCTGCATCCAGTGGGTCAAAGGACCAGCATGCTGCGGACAGGAGTTCGCATGCTCGTGACAAATCTAAGGGGTTGATCTTAAGTTCCTCGTCGAGAAATCTCTTAGTCACCCAGGATTCATTATGTACCATGAAGCAGCTAGTGACACAACTCTTAAACAACAGTCGGAATTGGACAGAATGAATGTAACGATCTTCCAAAATGGAATCGACAAGCTCCGACATTTTTTCTTGAGATGCGGTGGAGAAGAGGGTTGGTATGGCGTCAAGTGGACCACTGAAATCCGCTCCGTTGGCAAGCAGAAGCTGTACTATGAGTTTGACATGATGATCTTCAAGGAGTGAATCGTGTTCCGACTCGTGACATATGATTGCCTTACACAGAGCGTCTCCCCCATCGTTGACATCGACACCCGCGTTGATCAATTGCTGCACTATCGCTAAGCCAACATGCACGCTACTGTCTGGGCTTCTGATTACGCAAATCATTGCTCTGATCATAGCAGTCATTCTGTATGGACTCGAGTAACATGTTTTGGCGGGCCTCGAAACGATGGGTATGGCTGCATGTTGAGCATTGGGATTTGCACCAGCATCGATCAAAACTTTGACAAGGGCTGTGCTACCACATCCAGCGGCCGTCATGAGAGCATTTCCCGTGTGCTCATTGTGTCCATGAATGTTAGCGCCAGCCAGGAGAAGCGATTCGACCATCGACCCAAGATTTGCGAAAGTTGCTGCAATGAGCAAGTGATGATCGCCTGAGACCGCAAGACCCAGTTCAAGTAGAAGTTCGACAAGAGCTTTCCCTTGCTCTACATCACGGAACACAAGTCCAGCTGCTGACTCATGTACTTCCTCCAAGTGGTTCGGATTGGCACCAGCACTGATCAAGGTTCGTATATTCCTTTCGTGATTGGAACCAATTGCCTCTAGGAGTGCTTCATTCAGTACCGAAATCTCGAAGACGGCGTGTTGAAGCAGTGTTCGCATAGACTCTCCATTGTCCTCCTCGCTGTTCCAGCGTGCACATTCTAAAAGTAATTCGTGGGAAGAGTGGTCTATGTTGGCACCGGAACGTATCATCATGTCTACCATGTTACTGGTCCCTCTCTTTGCTGCTACCAGAACCAGCGTATCTGTTGCCTCGAGGTCTCCCTCACCTGGTCGGGTTATCTTCACCTGGCTGTTTGGATCAGCTCCAGACTGCAAAAGCATGTGTACGTAATGCTCACGACCAAGTTCAATGGCGGCCTGGAGAGCGGTTCCGTACTCGCCACTAGCATTGTGTACGCTCTCAGGAGCTGCTCGAAGAAGCTTAGCACCGATGCGTTCATGTCCACGCCAGACAGCCACGTGGAGTGCAGTTCCAAAATAGCCCCATTCAAGATCGGGCAAAGCACCCCTTAACATCAGGAGACTGACCATGTCATAGTCTCCCATGTACGCGGCGGCCTGAAGTGCAAATCCGTATCTGCCTGCCTTGTGGTTGACATCCAGTTCAGATTCGCACTCACATAGCATCAATACTGTTTTGTGCAGCCCAAGAAGTGCAGCCCAATACAGTGCCTGACTACCGTCGTGCCACACGGGCTCAGGGATGTCCGTACTTGCATCGCGCATGCACATAAATCCATTAGGATCGCGAAGGCGTAACCACGCACCACGTACTCGCTCGTTATCCAGAATTTGTAGATGAAAGCGCTCATGTTCACGAAGCGGGCCCGATCTTGACTCGGCAAGTTTTTGATGCTCGTACCAATGATCACAGACATATTCCAACAGAGGAAAGGCTGGAGTTAGGTCTTTCAGATGAGACTGAGTGAGAGGCCAGCCAAGGGCCCTTCCTCTCGGTGCTTTCTCTTCATCAATCCAGATTTTGACTCGATGCTCATTGGTGAAGTACAAGAAGTATGCACAGCACATCTGACTTATGAGGTATTGTGCATTCGATTCCTCCAGTCTGTACCTGGAGATTCCAGTCGTCTGATCTCGCAAGCGACTTGAGATAAGATACTCTTTTACCGAGAAATGCGCAAGTCTGAGTTGTCGAGTCGAAGCATCGATGAACTTGTGTGGCCAGGGCTCTTGGTTTTCGTTAAGACATGCTGGGGGTATTGGCTCCCCAATGAGCACAAAGGATGATATAACGCCCAGAAGACCTGTGATTGCCTCGTATCCACCATCATCAAGGCTTGGTTTGGTGTTGTGTCTAATTTGTATGCTACACGCTTCGGCTAGCTCGGCGACTGATATGGGCCTGGCACTAAATGCGAGCCAGTACAGCGCCCTCTTACTTTCATCAAAGTATTGATCATCGATTGCAGAAAACACACGTTCGTAAGTCTCATCTAATGTCCGGGGCATTTTATGCAGCGCGTCTGAGATGTAGGAAGGCCGAAGAATCTTCAGCCTGCGAATCGACTCGAGTTGCAGTGCTGCCCAACGAAACCTTGAAAACACATTAGTTCAAATATCAAGTTAGTTGATACCACTCACATGCCATCCGACTTGTCGTGGAAGACTCGCTCGATCTCCTCTTTTGTTGCATCTGGTAGGCGCATTAGCGTCTTGTCTGAAGTCAATGCGTCCTTCACAAATATGTCAATATCTGCATTGACACAGCTTTCATCGAGAGCGAGTTGGACGTTACACCAGTCTTGCATAAGATCTTCGATGTCTGATTCCTTGCGGCTAGTGATGAGGACTCTTGCATTCGGGCATGCTTGAGTGATGCGTTTGAATCCTTGCATGACTTCATCTCTCTCCTCTTCCGAGCATTCGTCTAAGGCGTCTGCGACCAGGTACGAAACATTTGCTTCCTTGAGTAAAGCGACGAGAGTTTCCTCGAGACCCTCAACTGATGGCACATGTGGTACACTGGCTTTGTACAACTCCCGAAGTCTTGGTATGATAGGGCGTCCGCGACTCAACTCTGTCACAGTCGAGAGTAACAAGCCCCTGTATGTCTGCTTTCTGGAGTCGGAAAAAGTGAAGTAAAAGAACGCAAGAACAGTTCCGTGCTGAATCGCAATTCGATGCTGAATGTCTTCAATGACCGTGGAAGACAGTACGGTTTTGCAACAGCCTGCCTTGCCGTGGAGCCACAGGAGTGGAGAAGAGCCGGAAAACCACTTTTGATAGTGTTCGCTTTGCAAAAGCCATTCTCCAGTCCCCTTCTGGTGTTTCTTACGAGCAGCGTAGTGTTCGATGTTGTGATCTGGCGCCCCAAGCCAGCTGAGTATCTTTGTGAGTTCGTTGTCGTCTTCCGCAGACACGAGTATCTGCACATTGGCCGCCGTGATGGATGCCTGCGTCTGGGTACTTATCGTGATTGACTCAATTTGCGTGGCCAGACTCGATATTTTGTCAGCTGACTGTTTGACCAAGATCGCTGTGCTCCGAGTCGAATCGCTGTTGTCTAGTAAAATCAACTGTACTGCAAGCCCCAACTGGCGCATGAGGCCCTGTACGATGTTTTTCAGCTTGCTCAGCGTGCCATTTCGAAAGGGATAAAGCAACCGGAGACCTCCAGCTTGAATCTTTTGCTTGTACCCATCTGGGGTCTTGATGTGGAGCTTCTTCGATCGTGCATCCAGCTGCACAACATTATCCTGGCATGTTTTGAGACATTCCTTCGCACGGTCTACAAATGGCGTCCCAGCCAGATCCAGCAATTTGTCTTTGAGGAGCTGGAATGTCTGGTTGAGATCTTTGAGTCCGGTATACACTTCATTTATGTCGTCGTCGTAGCCCTTCCAGTCCCCGTAGTATTTCAGCAGACCTTGGCAGACCTGGATTCCCAAGGAGGCTACTCCAACGGCGGTACCAGGATCTAGATGATGTTAACGATGTTGCATGATCGGCGAAGTATATATTACCCTGCAATTTGTCAGCAGATACCCGAGAGACACATACCGCCAGAGAGATCATACACTCGACTCACTGAACATTGCTGATCAGCTTAAGATGAGTGCAGTACCTCCAAGACGCACCCGCAGAGTCTTACCATCAGTTTAGACACTCGTAAGGGGGTTGGTCTTTGCTTTAGAGATAAGATGAGATGACAGCGGACGTCAAAACGAAGATGCGCTGTTGTTCTGCTTCAGAGATGGAAATCAAACGCCAGCAGATTCAATGCTTGACCCCGCAGCACGTGTCCCAGTCATGCATGTCCGACCCCGTGATCGCTGGATCGGGTATCTGGGCGCACAGGAAGGCTGAAATGATGACCTGTACTACAAGTATGTCCGATATGAAATTTATATCCGATGTGAAAGTTTACGATAAGAAGTACACTGGATGTGGGCAACATTGGGGACGCAAGCGAGGCAAAGGTATCAGCCAATGTACTTCGTGTCTCTCTCGATGCTTAAAGACTTGTTGGGAATGTGGTGCGTCAGGCAAGGCTGAACCTGCTGACAGGGGGTCCTGCTACGCCTCCCGAGGTCAGCCTTGTTTGGTCCGCAGCGCTCTCAATTCTTGCACTGAGCGTATCGGCTGGCAACCAGCTTACAATGAGGTATAGTACCCAGAATCATGTGGCATATTTTCGGCGTGAGTTTGCGTCTCCATCTAGCAGGCTCGCAGCCACAGAGTTTCTTGACAAAATCTGGCCGCGTGGATGCCATGATCTCTGAACGCTGAACATGTAGCCTCGAGGCTACAAAGAAGATCTTTGACAAGAGGCAGTTGGGATTTGTCGAGTTAGGCGGCGTGGGGACGCGGAGAGCGCTTGGTTGTGTCGTGAAGCCGTGGGGCTGCTACATGCCTCTTGCGAAGTGCCCTTTCAAGACGAATCTGTGTCGCAGAGCGCTATTACAGTCTGAATTCATGTCTTGATGGAAATGAAAGAGGGCGGTGGTAGCCAGGAAGTGGTTGCCATACCTCCCGTGCTGTAGAAAGTAGGTTCAGGATGGGCCGTTGTCGGAAGAGCCGGTGACGTCATGTCTCATCAGACATCACCAACATCGATGATACTGCCTTCACGCGCCTGTCAAGGGCTCTTATCAGAAATGCCTCTAGTGAAAGGCGAGAAAGCAAGCATAACAATTCTTCATGGTGCCTTAGCGACAAGATCAATGTATGCCTCAGCCCGCGTTAGGCTGGTGTTGTAATTGGCTATGTTCTCATACTGTGTCCGTGCACCCAACGATCGGAGTCAGGCAACGATCGGGGAACAACAATTACACCCAATTTTGACGCGTAATAATTCAACCACCATGCCAGGTATTAATGATGCGCTTGCAGAGATTCGTAAATTGAACCCTGGCGATAAACCTGTCTATACAAAAATTGCGCTTAAGCATGGTGTTGATCGCAATACTCTATCGCGCGCGCACCGTGGTGTGCAGGTCCCTCGACGCGTCGCCAACGAACACCTACACAAGCTCACTCCACAACAAGAAGAGGACCTTGTGAAGTATATAGAGCTGCTAAGTACCCGTCATATAGCACCTACAAGGACCATGATACAAAATTTCGCGTCTAAGGTCGCTCAAGAACCTTGCTCCGAGAGCTGGGTTACACGCTTCCAACACCGTCACCACGACCGACTTGTAGCCAAATGGACGACCGGCATGGACTCTAGTCGCCACAAAGCTGAGTCTGGGTATAAGTACAAGCTGTACTTTGACATCCTACACAAGAAGATCACCGAATACTCTATTGAGCCTGAGCACACGTACAATATGGATGAGAAGGGCTTCGCGATCGGAGTACTAGGAAGGACAAAGCGCATATTTAGTAGGCGTCAATATGAGAAGAAGGAGGTTCGACAGGCTCGTCAAGATGGCTCACGTGAGTGGGTGAGCTTATTGGCAGCAGTCTGCGCAGATGGTACTGCACTGCCGCCAGGCATCATATTTGCGTCGAAAAACTCCACAATCCAGAGTCATTGGGTGGCCGATATAGAGGCAGAAAACCACCTAATTCACGTGGCTTCTTCGCCCTCTGGGTGGACGAACAATGACATTGGATTAGCCTGGCTTGAACAGGTATTTGATCGTTATACAAAGGCAAAGGCGCGTCGGAGCTATAGGCTTTTGATAGTAGATGGCCATGGCAGTCACCTAACGCAGGACTTCATCGACTACTGCGATAAGAATCGGATTATACTGGCCGTGTTACCCCCTCACAGTACCCAGACGCTGCAGCCGTTGGACGTAGTCTGCTTCAAGCCACTCTCCTCCGCGTACGCCTCCGAGCTGGATGACTACCTCCAGAAGTCTCAAGGCCTATCCCCGTTGACAAAAGGTGACTTTTGTAGCTTATTTTGGCCTGCCTGGGTGGCTACATTCACGGCCGAGCTCGTACAAAACGCCTTCACAGCCACGGGGATAAGCCCACCAAACCCCAACGTTATACTCGATAGATTCCGCCACACAACACCTACTGACTCAGGCTCAGTTGCCTCTGGTTCTACAGCTTATTCAGCAGAAGACTGGCTTAAAGCTTGCACTACTTTGCATGCAGAGGTGAAGGATCCTCGCAGTGTAGGTGCCCGGAAGCTCGGCCAAACTATCCACCACCTATCAACCCAGGTTGAACTCCTTCACCACGAACTAGATAGCTTGCGGCAGACGCTACACAAAAAGCAGAAGCGTCAGAAGCAACCTAGCAGGCAATTAGACCTGCAACAGCATCAGGAGTATCACGGCGGAGCTATGATGTGGTCTCCTCGGGCTATCCGGGAGGCACGGGTCCGCATAGCAGTTACTGAGCGAGAGAAGGAGGAAGAAGAGCTAAGAAAGGCAGAGATGAAGGAGTTAGCAGCTGCTAATAAGCTATACAAGCAGAAGATTGAGGAAGAGAAGCGTCAAAAGCGGGCAAGGGAGAAGGAAGAGCGTGTCAGGATGAAGGCAGAGGAACGCCGAGCAATAGACGCCCGGAAGGCAGCCAGGGCAGCCAGCAAACAGGCTCGTGACTCTACAAAAGCTATACAACAGTCCCAAAGAAGCAAGACTACAACCTCAAAAGCTTCTGCAGTCAAAGTAAAGCCTGCGCGTCGTGCTGTGGGTGCTCGTAGTCACCCAAAGCCTGCCACGCCTCCCCCAGCTCCGCGCACTCACACGACCCGCAGCGGCCGCACAGCCACATTATATAGATAGATTGTATAGAGAATAATGATCTGCTAGGCCTATAGAACAAACCGCCAAATTATTTGACAATAATAGCTATTATATGCGGCTCTACAGCTTCATTTTTGTAGTAGGCCTCAGGGATCGGAGCGATCGTTGCCTGACTCCGATCGTTGGGTGCACGGACACAGTATACGCCAGTTCAGAACACTGTAGTGGAACATATGCCCCTTCTGCCTCTCGCACTTCTCCCAATTTTGCGTTAAGAAATTACTGGGCTGCCATTGAGCGCGCACATGTCCCAGCTCGAACTCAGTTTTACACCTTGCCAGTCAAATCTCTGCTTCAAGATGTCTGCCAGCATGCATCAGCCTTTCTTACTGTTGGTCTGCCCTCTCCTCGCGGCTACGATTCGGGTATTCCGGCGGCGGCGTGCGCGGAATGTCTTCTTTCCGTCTGCATGCCGAAGATGCTGCGGATAATGCCGAAGACGCGGAGCGGCCCGATGGGGGCGCCGGCGTGCGGCAGGAGAATCTGAGAAGAGGAACGACCTACATGCGAGACAAGAAAAATTACGGTATCAAACAGTCTCTCGAAAACCAGAAAACTAAACCTGAACTCGAGCTGAATGCCCACAGCAACCAACGCGTCTTTCCCTATGCCTCCTGCCCTGCGTTAAGCCCCACTCGGGTGCTCATGGCCCAATACCGCAAACAATTGCAAGAGCACAGCGTCTACTATAGTGGGAGGCGTAAGTAATGTAGGTGGAGACTAGAGATAGATTGGTGTGGCTGGTGAGTAAAGTTTGCTTATTTTTAAAGTTACAGTTCTGCACAGAGCAGTTAGAGGCAGAGTCTTGAACGTTTGTCAGGATCGGCGACTCCCCTGTCGCCGGTCTCCACCTACGTTACTTACGCCTCACACCACAGCAATCCGTATTTGAATGTGCAATTGTGATTTCCAAGCTGACGCAGATCTCAGATGTAATAACACTAGCAAAGTACCCTGAGGGCACCGAGAGGCTATACTTCTGTACACCTCCTTACTGCAACAAGCCATGGACCCGCAAGGACCATTGAGACCGACACATGAAGACGTGCAGAGTGTCAGCGGCCCATAATACGTGAATTGATGGGAAAGTGGGCTGGAGCAGGGGCATGGAAGTAGCAAGGATTCAAGACGGTGATGCAGTGGTATGTAGACACAAGGGTTTTGGATCCAGGCAGTTGTACAGCATTTAATGATTTGGGTTTCGACCTTATGAATTGTTGCCTGTGTCATTGACTTTCTATCTGAGCTTTGCGCTCTCTGTGATGCTCTGATATTTGACAGCGTTCCAGTGCCGTTTCTGGTGTGTAGACTCCCTGTTGTCGGCCGGGGAAGGCCATTGGGGACGGTGTGACTGTGCGTATAGGTCCTGTACGTGTACAGTGACATGTCGTAGCTTAGAGATGGGATCGCCAAAATGCATCTCATTGGAGTGCCCTGATGACACGTGGATCAAGACAGCAGTCTCGGTGGGATGTGCCGGGGTTTTCCAACTGTCTCGCGCAGGCTTGTTCCACGAGAATTAGAATCTAAGGGATCATCATGCAGCTTTGGCAGCCTTTGGATGCTATTTCTGCGTTCTAGTAAATAGCGCGGAGTATTGCAAAGTCATCCTTCAGGAGCAGAGCGACCGGCATCGGTAAAAGCGATTCCCGGGCGATTAGGATGGCTAGAGGATTGTTGCGGGCCTCAACGTACAGCGCAGCAGTCGTTCGACGAGGTGGAGACGTATTACTGGAACATGGGCTGCCCTGCTTGCTTGAAGGCGTCAAATGTGTATGGTGGGCCATCAATTGCGCACCTGGGTGCCAAGATCAAACAGCCAAGGTGACTTGCGGCTGATCCATGGATATTAGCTGTGACACGCGTTGCGGCTGCCCCTAAATCCGGGGCGAAAGTTCGTGTACCCAAACGAGCAACCACTTCGGCAACAACTTCGCCGTACGGCGACTGAGACTTATGACCGAACTACTGCCACGCAGGGGTACCTTGCATCGTCTTTCATTCATGGGGTCACTTGGTACCAAGAGACAGAGAATCGGGACGAAACGCTGGTCAACTGAGAGGCGAGAGCGGTGCGTACCGTATCCGTTGCTGGGTAGGTAAGTATCTAACGGGCGGCCAGGTGTGCGACCCCCCCCACCCCCCCCCCCCCCCCCCCCCCAAACAAATATACACACACACACACACACACACACACACATTGCCAAATGACCAGCCCGATTTGACCCGTAACGTAGGACGCCCTACTGTAAAAGGACTTCCTGTGTAGTAAATCTCAGGTGCCTATTTACGATGTGACAGAATACCTGCAGTCTCCAAACGCAGACGTGGAACCGGCGGAGTGCGCAGCGCGTCTCGATTACATAACAGCAAAATGGTAGGTACGTACTTGCAGTTCCTGAAGCCGGAGAATGCTTGGCACGTCTCGACCAAGAACAGAAATTAATTGTGTACGAAGTAGGAAGTGACAGGGAAGAATCGCCGATAATCGGATAGCCGCCGGGCAGGCTAAGTAATTCGCCCACGATGGCGTGGTTTAGGAAGTGGCGGAAGCTAACTAAGGACGTCACATGCAGGGCCGCAGCGCTAGGTAATCTATGGTACCGGAAGATTATCAGTCCGTGGCGTTTGTTTTGAGTTAGAATCTTTTTGTTGTTTGCTACAGGCCTGCCCCAGGATACTTTCCACACAGCCACTTACTACAGTTACACAATGATTTTGCATTAGTATCCATCATAAAATTGTCGCGGCAGAAATACATAGGTTTTACTACTGACCAGACACAAAATGATAGGTATTCACGTAGTAACAGCTGTCATACCCACTGCTACAGTGTAGCTCAAGTTCGTGTAAATTGTCAGGGTTCCATAGTCAGTGTCCGTCGATTCCGGTAGACACCGACTGTACTAAGGACACTGGAAGAGCAGATCGTATGATGCAGGGCCGATATAGATCCGCTCAAAATGTTTGCCCTCTCAGCCAGTGTATCAGCCAAGTGACGAAGGATGTAAGGTACGCTACTTTCCAAATATCGAGGTCTACACTCAAGGACAGCCTAGAGCGAATGTAGCTAGGTCTTCAGTATCACCAGTTGTTCCAGAACAAACCTATAGTACACCAAGGCACCGCGACGATAACATCGGCCTTGGTACAACTTCGCAAATGTCCACAGACTATCTGTTTCACCAAGAGATCTTTGCCATTCCAGGGTTACCTAAGCTCTGGGAGGCAATGTACTGCCCTTTGCATGGCTAGGGCATGGTGTGAGGCACTCTGTAATACGAGATGCCATCGTGGTCCAGTGAACCTACTGGCCGCTGCGGCGTAATACCTGGTGAAGCGGTGATTAGTACCAACAGTGATACTATCAGGCTACACGTGTCGTTGAGGGTCTTCAAGCGACGATGCTGATGTATTTAAGCAGTGCGGTCTGCCACTTCTAAAAGACCACCAGCTTCATCAGTATCTTCACAGCCATCAGATCCTAAATCTTCCAACCTTCTTGAAAACTTTCTTCAGAGACAGTCCAACTATCTTTCGAGATGCATTTCACTACCCTGACCATTGCCACTCTTGCTGCGAGTCTGGCTTCTGCCCAGACTCTCAACATCCCAGCCCGAGTTGGCAGTGTTCAACGCGCCTCCAACCAGTTGATCTCTGCGAACAGGGACTTTGGCAACGCGGAGTTTGACAGCGGTGTCGCCTGCGACACCGGTGAGGGCGGTCTGCCCGTCTTCAGGATCGCTGATGGTGTGACCATCTCGAACTTGATCATCGGCCCCAACCAGGTTGACGGTAAGTTCAATCCGCGCTGCTTCAAAAAACGTGTCACTAACTCTCTCCAGGTATCCATTGCCTGGGCCGTTGCACTATCAGGAATGTCTGGTTCAGGAACGTCTGCGAAGGTGCGATAGCCTCTTTACCAATTTGGAAGCCTCACAACTAACTCATATAGACGCTATCACTGGTCGTGGCGCCGGCGACATCTTGATCGAGGGAGGTGGTGCTACAGGCGCCAGCGACAAGGTTGTCCAGCACAACGCCCGTGGTCGCATTACCATCCGCAACTACACTGTTACGAACTCTGGCAAGCTTTACCGCAGCTGCGGCAACTGCTCGAACAACCAGGCGAACAGCCCTCGCCATGTCACCATTGAGAACGTCCGCGCCAGCGGTATGACCTCCGACCTTGTTGGTATCAACAACAACTTCGGAGACACAGCTACCATCTCCGGATCCTGCGGCAGCAACAACAGCGACGTCTGCGAGAACTACCTCGGTATTGAGTCCGGTAACGGTGATGGCGGTGCCCGCAACAACAACAACGGATGTGGCGGTGCCCAGGGAACTCTTGCGACCCTCCCGGCCTGCTAAGCAGCTACATCCATGGCCATCTCACAGGAGAGTGAAATATTGCAGCATGTATACATAGAGACGTTATCAACTCAGCTTGAGCGCAGCAGAGCGGATAGTACCAAAGTCTAGATAAGAAGAGCAGGCGTGCTCAGACTATAGTGTTGTAGCATCAATTTAAATACTTTGCTTTCAAGTTTTCGAACCTCTCACACCTGCATATAACAATATTTTACTTCCATGTAGAAGTTTAATCAGAACATAAGTGAAATCTACTCTCCAAGTCTAAATTTTGGTGTAGACATGGTTGCATTCTGCCTTCATGTCCTTTCAACATGCTGTTTCATTATCGAGGTCTTGAGGGCAACAAACCGTTAGCATTATGTTAGGCCACACTTCCGGCACCGTACTCTCACGCGGTGCAACAACTGATCACTGGTACGTCTGCTCATCGCTTTATCAACCGGAACACAACGTAAGACGTTGGAATTTAATCAGTCAAGGAAGTCCCCAGTGGAAGTCAAACTCGCTGTCGGCAGAGAAGCCGTAGCAAGGTTTTACTCATGAAGTATGCGCATCTCAGGATAGTAGGACGATGTTGAGCTGGTATATGGAAGAATTGAGACGTATATAGTAAGCAAAATAAGACAGAGAAGTGTTCAAGATGTGGATCCTATGCGAGGAGCTGACTGTGTATCTCTGTCAGTGGCGGATTTTGGTGCTTGCTCGGCAAGGGCGCTCGTCGCGCTGGACCCGAGTACTTACCATCTCATGTGGAGTTCCAACTGGGTCGACGAAGTGTTTGGAGTCTCTATTCCAACTCTCAATCTGTGCAAGCGTACATTTGCCTGCACATCACTTTAATCTAGTGCCCGAAGTAATTCTTCTTGGTGGAAAAAGCGTTATTGTGGTTAGAATAAGCATAATCGCTAAAATTCCACACTCAAGCGATACGATGCAGAAAGACTTGTCTCATTGGTCCACTCATCTCGATCATTCGATGTTGGTGTTGGGTTGAGGCAGGCCGAGGCGACGATGTCATTCGATTGGCCCGTGCGACTGGTGGTGCTTAGAATCGTCAACGAAGCTCCCAAAAAGTTCCAGCAACACCACTGTCATCACGTCACTCTGTCTCCGCACGCACATCATGGCAGCACCGAGCAGATGCACCGCGCGCGCTGCAACTGCGCTCAGGGGCAATGCGACACCGCGCGTCGCCACCCGCACATTCGCCTCCAAAGCCGCCAGCGCGCCATCGCGAACATGCCTGCGCCAGGCCCAGCGGACAACTGAGGCCCGCCGGCAATTCTCGAACACGTCCTCCCGCCAGAAGCTCACGACCATCGATCAAATCAAGGCGCGCAACAAGGGCGGCCCCTTCAACATCACCGCGGCCCTGCTCTTCATCGCAACCGGCGGCGGTCTCTGGGCGTATTTCACATACGAGAAGGAGCGCATGGCGCGTAAGCGGATAGCCGAGCAGACCAAGGGTGTCGGCAAGCCCAAGGTTGGCGGACCGTTTGAGCTCGTCGACCAGGACGCCAAGGTCTTCAGTTCCAACGACATGTTGGGCAAGTACTCGCTTGTGTACTTTGGCTTCACGCATTGCCCAGATATCTGTCCAGACGAGCTCGACAAGATGGCGCTGATGCACGAGAAGGTCAAGGAGAAGTGCGGGGACGTGCTGCTCCCAATCATGATTACGTGTGATCCGGCGCGAGATAGCCCGGCGGTGCTCAAGGAGTATCTGGCCGAGTTCCACCCAGAATTCATTGGGTTGACAGGGAATCACGAACAGATAAAGGATACGTGCAAGGCGTATCGCGTGTACTTCAGTACGCCGAAGGAGGTTGCGCCTGGGCAGGACTACCTGGTCGATCACAGCATTTACTTCTACCTGATGGGTGAGTCGCGATCAAATTGTTGCGGTGTGAGAGTATTGGCTAATGCGTGCAGACCCTGAGGGCGATTTCGTCGAAGCGATCGGCCGCAATTTCACTGCCGACCAGGCCGCCAAGGTCATTGCTGACCACGTCAAGGATTGGGAGAAGCCGCTGAAGAAGGAAAGGCGCTGGGAGTAATCCAGATCGCGAACATTGTACTTGTATGATGACTGATCGTAGACTTGTACGAAATATATGTAGAATACGCAGAAAAATCGACCAATCACGAGGACGCAAGCCGCAACTCCAGGATTGACGATCTTGTTCGCAACTTGAGCTGCAGTAACATGTCCACCCACAAATATCGCTGGAATCATGCAACTAGGTATGCCCAGAAAAGAGGCGGTGAGGCGACATTGGACAGCGGCACCAAGCAAAACGAAGCTTTCCCAACACTGCCACACTGTCAGCATCAGCATGTCGCGCTGACCGAGACAGAGCCGCGATAGATATGGATTGAAAAGCCACATATCTTGGCAACTCACCTGGATTCTTGGCTCTGCCTCCCGCCAGCTTTTAGCACGCGACACAATCCCGTGCAGCAAATCGCCAGAGCTGGACGCACTCCTACTGTACTAAGGGAAATCTGCTGGTTGTGATGTTCAGCTGGAATCATAACGCCCGCACTAGCGTGATTGGAGAGATGCGGATCGTGGCGCGCCGCCGACCCTTCGGGATCGCCTAACCACCAATTGGCAGCCACCCTAGAACGCAAGTATGCATCGTCGCTGCACAACTTGCGGGATCAGCTTTCAGCTTCAGCATGTACGCCTGTGCATGTGGACTAAGTTTGTCTGGATTCGGGGGACGAGATATATGTTGGCAGTTTGGGGGCCACACGAATATTTGTCGTTTGTCTTACATCCAATTTCCACGTCTTACAGCTGTGCCTCGCCCCTGCTGGCAAGGCGTGCCACCTTCGTGTCTGGGCCCACCGCTTCAATCGTGCCTCCTCTTGGTACTTCTTCACATCAACTGACTTGAGTCGTCGCAATGGAGCCCACAACACCAGTACAAAGCGAACAAAAGCAAGCCGACCAGGACACCTTGGCAAAGCTCACTTCGCCTCCGACTCCTAGACTCACTGATACTATCGAGACTGCACAGAGTACTACCGATGTGCGGAGTACGAACGAGAAAGGCAGCGTGAATGACACATCCACATCATCATCAGAGTCTTACAAGAAAGCACCCAACGTCGAAACAGCCGAACTCGACGACGATGACAGCAGCGAAGATGGTATTGACTGGAAACCTGGATTCCGCCAGCGCTTCCCATGGATCGGCTTTTCGGGTTTTGTCCTTATTCTCTTTGCGACTGCTGCCGCTGTTGGCGTTCTTGGTGCATCGGATCAAGAACGCGTCAAGGACTGGCCCTTCACGCGCTTTCCCGTTCAACCTAACGTCCTCATCAACATTGCGAATCAGTTCCAGAATCTAGGCCTGATCACATTCATTAGTCAGGGCCTGGCCATTGCGTGGTGGAGGAAGGCCATGCAAGGCAGCTCCCTGGGTACATTACATAGGAACCACGCCTACTCGTACAGCTTCTACTCTATCGTAACTTCAGGTCGACACTTCAACATCGTCGCACTTGCAGCGTTGATGACCAAGTTCGCCGTTATCGACAGTACACTCTTCCAGAAAGCGACCAAGACCATTGTCACTCAACAGGTCAACTACAAGAACGTAACAGTAACTGGATGGGTGGAGACTAACTGGCCGGCAAACAGTGGTGGCATTCCTGGAGAGGATGGAGCGATCAAGACTGTCGATACAGCATGGGCTGGTGTGATCAACGCCTACAATGGGAAGATTGCGAATGGCAAAGTGCATGACACTCTCGGTGCCAAAGCCTCGTTCTTCGACTGTCCTTTCCGACAAGAATGCAGTGGATCGTTCAAAGCCCTAGGATTTGCGTTTAACTGCAACACCACCAATGAATACGTCAACTACGGCCTGCAACATCGGAGTTCATCTGGTGGTGTCAACGCCACATATCCGCTATGGGATCTCTCTTTCAGCCCTTCGTGGGCATCGGAAACTAAGCCATACGCCAGTATCGATATGAACATGATGTTCGTTGATAGTCATGCTGGTGCCAACAGCGATGACTGCCCCGGCACCCTCACACAACGGACATGCCAGATCCGACCCGCCATTGTCGAATATCCCGTCACAGTAATGGTGCCTTCTGAGGAAGAACTTAAGGGCGGAAACATTGTTACTCACGTCAAGTTCTACACAGACAACGCTACACACGCATTCGGAGAACCCATTACCTCGCAACAGATCGATCATCTCAAGTTTCTGGAGTACGTCGACCTCAATGAGAAGTTCAACGAGACATCCACCATCGGCGCGCTGACCTACGTGCTCAATAACCTCTACTCCTCGTCCGCAAGTCTCACATACAATGACGACTGGGACATCCAAATGCGCGGCGGGCAAGCACAAACAACCTTCTTTGTTGACAAGGACACGGACACCTTCAGCCGCTGCTACTACCACATCGACCAGCCCGGACTAGACGACCCAGCCATCGAAGTTCTCCGCAAAATAAACACACTCTCCTTTGTCACCGCCCTGTACCTTAAAGGCCAGCCCAACGTCGCGGTGTCCAACCGCACCCTCGAAGGCATGTCCTCGCAATCCGCGGTCAGCAGCGTTACCGGCATCGTCGAAGAATACATCACCGACTTCAACTACGTCGCCGGCGCGCTCGTCGCCACCCTCGTCACCATCCTACTCGTGCTCCCCGTGTACTGGGGCTTCTGGCAGCTGGGCCGCAAAGTCACGCTCGGCCCGCTGGAGATCGCAAACGCCTTCAACGCGCCCATCATCAAGCCCGATAACGTAAAGGGCCAGCACGGCGACTTCGAGGAGGTGCTGCAGGAGGTCGGCAAGCGGCGCGTGCGCTATGGGCAGCTGAAGGATGCGCCGCCGGGCAGTATGGGCATTGCGGAGCCCGATCACGTTGTGAAGCCGAGTTATCGCGAGTCGCGGCGCTTTACGCGCGCGCAGCAGGGTGTAGCTGGGGTCGGGGTCGGGGCGACGATCGGTGGTGTTGCGGCGGTTACACTGGGAGCACGATAATGATACTCGTGCGACGCAGTTTTGCTTTTAGCGGGCGTTTTTGCTACCTTGGACTGAGAATCTGGAATGACTCCCCAAGAAGTGTTTTCGCAAAAGTATTGCGATGCTATGTTAGTATGATTTTACACAATACTATAGCTATCAGCGACGATTCTATACTCAACTCCACACCCGTGTTTAGAGTGTTATTGCATTGCATGCATGTGAGAAGTTTGAAATTGTAACAGCCTCCCCTTGTGCAGACGCCAATCAGAGTAGCCGCGAGCATTTCGATAACGCTCCACGGCTAAAACCTACACAAAAAGCTGAAACATAGCAGGCTGCTGCGTCCTGACGCCTCGAGCTGGACTGATGAACCTTCAGCACTTCCACAGCGCCGCGCGAGGTCGCTGTAAAGGATCGGCAACCGTGCAGTGCTCGTGCGTCGATTGAAATTGGGACTCTGAGTGGAACGGCGGGCGGGGCTCAAGGTAACCCAGGTCTGGCATTTCGTGCTGGACCACTGGTGGGCGGAGGGATTCTCAGTGGCGCTTGTTCGACCTAATGCTTAAGCGCGCTGAAGGTGTTGAGTGTGCTGGACCTGGCGCATAAGAGTGATCGATAGAGTGAAGGAAGGCGATGCAAGCGTGATATTATTACTGCGATCTGATATTATTCTTGCTAAATTTGTCGAACCGGATGTGTGTTCTAATGATGGCCGAGGCACCATGTTGAGGGAGGTTGACGTATCATCGAATGGTTTGAAAGATGTCAGCAGAAGTCTTACTTCCACCAGCTCGAGGAAACGCCGATGTTCGACATGGAGATATCAACCGTGAAAGTAGGTGCAACGTAACTTGTACGCCCAAGCCTGCTACCAGGTCGCCTCTCTGAAGCCCGGTCAGATACTCACCCTCGGTTTCAGTCCGCGCGATATGTGCGATACCGGGAAGTGCAGGTAACTTTGGGATTCGTCGTTCGCACTGTTGATTGACCTTCTTCTCCGTGGCATCTTGAAAGGGACCGGATAGATGGTGGAAAGCTATGCCCTGTTCGAGTTTTTGGATGTTCCCAATATCGCATTTGGTATCTCTGATTCGCAGGTGTAACTCTTAGGCAACGATTGTTCTGCAAAGCCTTGGGTTATGGCAACGGGCTACCCAACAATATTAGAAAGTGAAGGGCGATTCCGATTTGAGCTGGAGTCTTTGTTTTGAATCCGTGTTTTAGCGGTATCTTTTGGCGGTATCCGACCCCCAGCCAACGTCATATTGCCCTGTATCGGATGGAATGACTTCAGCTGCTCGGTCACAACAGGACAAAAAATGCTCTTCCGAGGGCACACGAGGCGTCAGGATCTGCCGCAGTAAGAAATTGATATTGTGGAGAACAGAAAAACACCGGAAGCCATAACACTGGGTACTCTGCTCGGTAGATCATACATGCTCGTTGCTGCCATGTCGATTCTCTATTCCCTTCATCCACTGCCGGCTGGTGCACCGAGAAGGAAGACAGGTGGCTTGTTGCTGAAGTTTGGTACATCCGCCATAATCTCCCCTACTTCGGGACCCGCGAAAGCTTCCCTTGCTGCTTCTTCGGTTTCCCAGTCCACCGTAGCTCCGAAAGAGTAGACTGGTTGCTCGCCCCCGACTCCGGCAACAAACTTTGTGATGACAAAGCTCTTCATGCCGTACTTTGCCCACTTCTCAAGTACGAGTGGCATGTGGTGGCTCTTGTAGTACTCCTCATTGTACTTCGCATCGGCGACGTTTGAAAACAGAACGGTGACGGTGAAAGGCATCCTAGTCTGGTAAGTATGAACAACGACATTCAGCAACACAACATGTTACCTGAAAGAATACTTTGCTATTATACTGGTAGGAGTATGATGATGAAGCAAGTTGCTTATGAGATGGCTTTAAATACTGAGAAGCCGTAAGTCTAGGCGTTACCAAGAAACAATCCACCTGAAGGTTAGCGAGTGCTTTTACTCGTGTTACTCTCCGGAGATAGGCTGGCTTGCTCGGTACACAAGGTGCATACAGTACGAAGTACAACCGACGTGAGACTTCTTGTATGTAGGCTCGTCGGGATGACGTATCTTTGCCGAATACCTTCGGTCTGGTTCATCTTATCGGGCGGGGTGAGTTTCGCAAAATGTCCATGCGTATTATGCGTAACACGCAATGGTTGGTTCTTCACTGAACCTACCGCAGTTGTTCGGCCTTAGGCCCGCTGATTTCAAGATCGCCACGAGTGGTCTGAGACTGAGCGCGCTATAATCAAAGTAGTGTTCGCGTTGATGGTAGCCCTATCGCCGGATTACATTCAGCCAATCAAGGCCCATTATGTGTGACCACTTCCACGCTTTCACTGATGCAGCGATGCGTGTAGGTAAGTGACTGCGGTCATGCTGGAAACGGAAGTCTTTCACCTGTGTGGTTTTCTACTCTTTGTCAAGTCGATGACGGACTTCGGAGATATCGGCCAGTCAGTGCCGGCTACCTAGCGGAAGAGGACCGACTGCGTAGTCTTTCTTGTGAGCCGCTAAGCCGTACCTGGTCAAGGCAGCTTGACCGTGCGTTCGTCCTCGGCCCCTCTCACACCTCAATTCTTGTTGTGTAGACTAGTATCTGCAAACCAGAATGAATATTGGACAGGCTGCAGAAGATAAAACGATCTCCTTTCCAGGCCGAGCTTGATGTTCTGATCAATGCACTATCTCTTCGTTTTCTTGTCATCATTCAAGAGGTCGACCACACTCAAAACATAACGCCATGCAAGCCCTGATTTCGATTCCGAAAGACAAATCTGTCGTAGTTCAGGAAGTGCCAAAACCAAAGCCTGGACCTACCGAGATACTCGTCAAAGTCCATGCTGTGGCGTTGAATCATGTAGATGCGATTTATGCTAAATTCCCAATCGCTGCACAAGATGTTCGCACCATTGGCAGCGACTTCGCTGGAGAGGTGGTTGAGATCGGTGCAGATCTTCAAGGCATTACCGATCCAAGAGCAATAGAAGGAGCACGAGTAGCTGGATTTGTACAAGGTGGTAAGTGTAGTATCCTTTCGTAGTTCGAGAGGTCTAAGGGCAGCTGACTTTGCCGTGCATGTAGCATGTTCCGTCAATGAGCGCCCTGGAGCATTTGCTGAGTATCTTGCTATCGACATGGACCTTACTTGGAGCGTTCCGGACCAGATGCCGTACGAGGATGCTGCGACAATCAGTCTTTGTGGTCTTACTGCCGCTCAGGCAGTGTTCGATAGACTACAACTACCCTGCCCATTTCGCCAGACGGAAGGTTTCGGCGGGTTAACACTCAAGCCGAATGAGCTGGTTAACGTTTTTATTTATGGTGCAACTTCTTCCCTTGGTCTTTATGCCGCACAACTAGTCAGGAAGGCTGAACAGGCTTCGGGAACGAAGGTTCGACTGCTGGGTGCCGCAAGTGCCGCAAAGCACGCCCAATTACAGCAAACGCCATACAATTATGATGTATTGGTGGACTACAAGGACCCAGAATGGCCCATAGAGATACGCAAAGCGACAGGTAAACAAGGGGGTGTTCAGTATGCTCTGGATGCTGTATCTCAAGGACAGACCGTCAGTCTGGTCGAGAGTACTATTGGTGTCCAAGGAAGATTCGCAGCTTTCCGTTCGCCAGCTCTAGGAGGTTTCAGAATCGACGAGCTCCGAATCAAACCAATCCTTGGTGCGGTGTGGGAAGGCCTTGGAGCTGAGATTGTATATCAGGGTAAGAAACCATAACGTTCGTACAAACACTTAACTGTTGCTTATCAGCCTTAGGAGGGGCTGTCATCCCAGCCAACTCAGAAGCGCGTCAATTTGCCGCAGAATTCTACAAGTATCTTGGCCTTGTCGGAATAGTTCCAAACCCCACTCGACGGATGTCAGGAGGCCTTGCCAACATCCCCAACGAAGGATTCTCACTTCTCGGAGCCTGGGGCGACAAAGAAGCAACAGCCAGAGAGCATCTGAGACCTATTAGTGGCGAGAAGATTGTCTACACGGTATCCTAGTGCGATGCCAGGTTGCCCATTGAGTCGATGTTGTAACAGCTTATCAGACCTCTTGTATCGAAGGGCCGTCTCTGAGCTGAAGCCTTGATGTAAAGCTTGTAACTTGTAAATTTTCATACAGGTTTTTCTTCTTTGCTATTTCAAGGGGCTGAATTGCTTCGTCGGTATTCTTTCAATAATCAAATAAACTAAGCCGTCGACTATAAGTTGGTAAGGGATACAGGTGCTCAAACGACCCTATCCTTTCTACCTTCTTTGGCATCTGTTCAACTCCTCTCTGGCTAGTCTAGTGTGCACACCTATTCGAGGTCAATGCTGTCAACAACTCAACTTAGATAACATGCTTCGATTGCTCAAAGATCGATTCAAGATAATACTGGCACCTGTAGATTGCGTATGAAGTGAGTGCCGACCCAAACCACTCTTTCCTTTAGCCTAGTCGAATACCCGCTTGAACAATTTGTCTCGGAAGTTTTGTTATTCGGGGATTATGATCTATATTTGGGAAATAGGGGTAGCTAGATACAGTAGTTGCGAAGCTTCGCCTGATCAAACGGTGACCTTTAAAATTCGTCCACCCTGTAAGCCGAACACACAACCGAAGTGCGTCACACACTGGCTTGCCGGGTATAGCCGACTGAAAGTAGTCGCAATGTATCCTGTCGCGACAACAGGTACATACTTCGCATTCTTTGCAAACCTGAATATGGAGATTGTGACTAGAGCCTGCACGTCACCGGATTGCTAAATTCATCTTCAGAAGTCTCCCACGGTACTTCTGCGCTATCGGGACCAAGAAACCTTCCGTGCGTCTTATCTACAGTTGCATTACTGATCTGTCATTGCCTGATTAGCGCTGTATTTCATTCAGTGTTGAACCCCACTGACTACCTGCAGAAGGCCCTGATAACACTTCTCGACTGAGACACCCATTGATTCTGGATCAATTCTTTTGAGCATGAGACCCCTGTGAGCTATCTTGGCTATGTCTGTAGCAACCACGCTGAGACAACATTAGTATCCATAACGAGTAATTTTCTACGAACCGCGGCTGGCGCCTGTGATGAGAATACTGGTAATCAACCGCTGTAGATGGGGAGTCCAGACATGGAAGTATTTTCACAGTTCGCCGGAGAAATTTGTACGGGTTCAATACGCTACCTGAATAAAGCCATGACGCTTACGAGTATTGCAAAGAAAAGCAACATACCTGTCTAGCATGCGGACTCTATGAACACTCAATACGGACTAGTCTCTACCGCTAGCGGAGTTTGACGATACACTAGCGGAGTTTCCTTATAATCCACCCACTGCCATCCGTTTCCTGATTACATCCAAAGAACACCACGGACGAAATCTTCTCGTGTCATCGCGACTGGATCCTAGGTCGTCTGGAAGGCATAATGTGCCGTAATGGAGAGAGCGACCCGTCATAAATCTTGCGTAGCATGTATACAAACGAAGCGAAAGTGCGACCGAACGCAGCCGAAATGCCAGCGCTGTATTTCGAGAAACTCTGACTGCGAGTACATTGGTCGAAGGAGAGGACGGCACCAGCCGGTAGCGGAGAGCTCTGCACCCGTTACGGCCGTTGACTGGCGACCCTCAACCATGGAAATGGAGTCCTTGATTCCGGCAACACAATTCTCCCCGAGTATCAATGAAGACATCTTCGAGTTCCCGCACCATCCTTTCAACTTGTCGTTCGATAGCAGATCACTCGCACCCAGTATCGGCGATCTTACTAGCCCACCGCACTTAAACACCATTGATCCTGACACCAGGCTCTACGCCCGCGTAGCGTTCTGCGCAGCTCGCCTCTCCCTCGTCCCAAATGTCTTCGCAATATCGGGTCAGACTATGTTTATCCACCGCCAAGTGTTCCAAACACTCCAAACCACAGCTCTGCAACAAGCAATGAGTGCGTGTGCGCTCTACTGCATGAGAACACCAACCACAAAAGCAATCGTTCACCAAGTCTTACAACACAATGTCCACCATCTCCTTGGCAATATCGACCCAGCTACAGTCTCAAACGTCGATCTCCTTGCTGCACTGCAGGCTCTTCTTCTGTATCAGTTCATGCGCCTCTTCGATGGGGACATCCGACTGCGCGCCGCCGCCGAAGCTGATGAGCCTACAACTGTGTTGTGGGCAAGTGAATTGCGCACACGCGCGTGTGCTGTGACGTTGCCTCTCCACCCCATCGCAACATTCTCACGTAATCCAGAGGACTGGCAAGTGTGGCTGTTCAGTGAGAGTATCCGGCGTACCGTTGTGACTACATTTCTGCTACGCGGGGTCTACAACTACCTCAAGACTGGTACTGATAGTCCCACAGTAGTGGGCGTGTATTTCACGGTGCAAGAGGGACTGTGGAATGCGCAGAGCGAGAGTGGGTGGTCGAGGGCGAGAGACGAGAGGCTGGAACTCCAGGTACTAGTCAGTGCCTGGGATGAAGTCATGACAATAGCCAGCCCGAATGACCTGGAAGAGCTTGGCGTACTAGTAATGAGTATGCTCTGGGGTCTGAAAGCTACACAGGACTGGTTGGGTCGCGAGCTGAGTCTAAAGTATGGTCTAGACGCCCCCACATAGATTATATGTACTGGTTAGCTCATAGTACCTAGACAGACTGCTATGTTCATGATTAGTATTGTTGTATTTTAGCCTAATCTTGAGTTTGCCTATGTTTCAACCTATAACGTCTAGACTAGACTACCTTATAAGTCCCGCCTACACAAAGAGCAGATTAGAGGATCGTAATATCGCGCGCTAAGTGCTTAGCCCCAAGATACCGAGGTCATTTTCGGAACGGTTCACAACACTTGGCAGGGGCGTTCGCTCAAAATGCCAGATTTGGCATGCTTTTCGAGTTTTTTTGAAACATGTTTGTCTGTATATCACTCTATCCTCGGCGCGATCTCGCGCGAATATCCAACTCAAGTCAAGTCCACTACGCTTTTGGTAGTTTTTACAAGACTGATCACGAGCTCCCTGACGTCTTCCCCATCCCCTCTTCGAGGAAACATTTAGTATAAGAACGCTGATCACGACGTCTTCCCGTTTGTTCTCTTCATCATCAATACACTCGTTGTCACTCGTTTGCTTCTTCATCTTTACTCTAAGGTCCTAGTCGACTTTTATCATTGATTTCTTCACACTTCTTTTTAACAAATTACCGTAGCTTGACTACCTGGAAATATGCGGTTCGAATTTGCAATTCTCTTTGCTGCGATTGGTGGCACCACCGCGCAAAAAGTTGTTGGCAAGGCTTACGGTTTTGGCGCTGGGGCCACAGGAGGAGGTTCCGCGGCGGCTGTCAAGCCAAAGGATGCAGCTGAGCTTAAAAAACTTCTCGCTGACGATGTTGCACGTACCATTGTTCTCGACAAGACGTTCGACTTCACAGGCAGTGCTGCATCTGGTGTTGGCTGCGATCGGAAGTCTTGCAGTAGCACTTCCGGTGGCCAACTCTACCTCGGCGATCTTTCCTGCGGAGGCTCTGACAATGTTGCAAAGACGGTCAAGTACAACTCTGGAGGTACATCACCTTTGGTTGTTGGCAGCAACAAGAGCATCCTCGGGGTTGGTGGCAAGGGAATCATCAAGGGTACCGGACTGCAGGTCAAGGCTAATGCGAAGAACGTCATCGTACAAGGCATTGAGCTTACTACTATCAACCCTGGTGTGGTATGGGGAGGCGATGCTCTTGATCTGAAGGGCGGCAACTCTCAGATTTGGATCGACCACTGCAAGTTCAGCAAAGTCGGACGCATGTTTGTTGTCAGTCACTACAACGGCGCGTCTGTCACACTTTCTAACAACGTCTTCGATGGTGTTACATCCACCTCCGCTTCCTGTAACAAGAACCATTACTGGGGACTCATGTTCATCGGAAAGAACGAGAAGGCAACGCTCGACAAGAACTACTTTCACGACCAGTCAGGGCGCGCTCCGAAGTTGGGTCAGAACGGCGTCAGTGGAACCTTCCACGCTATCAACAACTACTTTGAAAACATGAAGGGTCACGCTTTCGACGCTTATACTGGGGCCAACGCACTAATTGAAGGCAATGCTTTCAAGGCTGTTAGTCAGCCGTCCACAGATTCTGCTGCGAAAGTAGCCACATTTATTACCAACGCCACCAGCGGCTGCAAGAACACCCTTGGCCGTGTGTGCATTGCCAACAGCATTGACTCTACTAGCGGTAAGCTGGGGTCTGGATCTAACTCTGGCTTTGTCTCGACGATTAAGAGCGTTGATGTTCCCACGAAGTTAAGCGCGGATAAGGTTGCAGCTCACGTTAAAGCTAACGCTGGTCCTGCCAAGCTTACTACATCGTCCAAGTTCCGCCGCGAAATGCGCATCTAGACTTAGTATGCTAATACACATCGCGGTGGAGCACATAAAGCTATACATATTGGGTTGTTGAACTGGAGTGTGTGCCAACCCAGTACGTGCACACTGAACAAGGACCGTGATTCGTCCGTGAAATCCTGTACAAAGTCTAGAAATTCCATAGAACACCCGTGGATTCATCTGTGAACCTTGCTAAGAAGATATGAATTCGTCTGAAATTCCTTCAAAACCGTAGATCCGTCTGTGAATTTGTCAAACTATTTAAGGGATCATGATGGCTATTGCCCTAGTGTCGACCCCACCCCCATGGACGCTCGAGAATATCTTCAAACCTTTAGACACTCCATGATGTACCTCTCAAGGTCAAGGTGCAGTAAGTGAAAGGAGCATCACCAGCACTGGCACGTTCGTGCGTGGCCAGTCGGGTCGGAGAGCGGAAGTGGAACGAAGGGTGGAGCGGGAAGAAGGCCCGAGGCGGGAGATCGACTGGGGATGCGACAGTGCGTCATCGCTCACCAAATCTTTGTCAACAAAACATCGTCTTCGCTTTACGCGATAATTGGCTCCAGCTGCCTATACACTTGACACGCGCCAGCAGGTTTACAACAAAGCAGCGTCGTCGCGCACGCTACTCATCAAGTTCGATGCAATGTGCATAGAGCCATCCAAACTAGCCTGGATGACGTCGCAAACGCTTCATCTCCGCAGCCTACTGACGTAGTCTAACGATCTCGTCATTCCATTGCGTCTCTGTCTTTCAGTCACCCCTGCCAGGAATCTACACGTTCATATAGACGACCATGGACAAACTCAAAAAGCTGTTCAAGCACGACTCGTCCGACTCACACACTGAGGCTTCTCATACCAAGGGAGGAGCAGTGCCGTCGTCGACAGAGTCCGCGCAAGCCCCCCAAATCAGCAATGCCGCTGCCGTCGCGATCTCAGAAAAGCCCTCAGGCGTGCTCATGACGACCAACTACGGCGACATCACGATCGCCCTGTACAGCGACAAGACACCCAAAGTACGCGCACTCTCCCCGGTCCTATCAATCAGAGATACCTGCTGACATTGCACTCCAGACTTGTCAAAATTTTGCAGCTCTCGCCGATGCCGGCAAATATAACAACGTCATCTTCCACCGCGTGATCCCGGGCTTCATGCTCCAGGGTGGAGACCCTACAGGCACCGGGCGCGGCGGCGAATCAATCTGGGGCGGTAAATTCGAAGACGAGTTCGACAACTCGCTCTTGCACACTGGTCCTGGTGTTCTCTCGATGGCGAACAGTGGACCGAGAACAAATGGTAGTCAGTTTTTCGTCACCCTTGCGGCTACGCCGCATCTGAATGGAAAACACACGGTGTTTGGGCAGGTGGTGGATGGAATGGATGTTGTAGAGAGAATTGGGGCTGTAAGAACGGATGGAGGCGATAAACCACTGGAGGACGTAGTCATTCTCAAGGCGCAGTCGATCAAGTAGCTTTGAATCTTGTCAAAGACGCCAACTGTTGGATGAGCTCAATGATCTGACTGGGCACCTTCTGCTCACCGGCATACTGGACTAAACCAGCCCAATTAACTACTTCCTCTGCACACGGCCAACACCTACCCGGCCAGAAGCTCGAAACGCTGGTCTCCAACGCTGCAAACAGTTGGTGAAAGCGTCCTGCATTGGGCCATGAACATAGCTTTACATCTCGCGTTATGGGCACGGCTTTGCTTCTGTTGATGGCTACTTGTCGCGGCAGAGCATGAAGAGGTATATCGGAGCCACTCAGACAAGATCTGAGTTGCTCAGGAGCGCCACCAACGAGACGGTGACGCGAAACAGAGCAGCTTGCTCACCCATCAAGCACGTGACACATGACTAGGCCGCTCCAGGAACTGGAGGAGTGTTACTCCATACGCTCCCTATTCAATTTTGTCCGTTTGAACACGCTCTTGGCTTCTCGATTCTTTCACACTACTCGTTCTCCGAACCCGTGTGTTTGGGCCAGGTATCGCGACGTCTGTGCATATTTACCGCAACTGCATAATCGGCTTCTTAGTGATGATAGAGACTATCGAGCAGCAGATTACATTTCAAGACACTGGCGCCTCGGTACACAGCACTATATTGGCTGGATGCCGATACTAGCACCGTGCTTGGCAGAGCTATAGGCAGGATTGGAAATTTCTTTTCTCCGAAGAATCCACCTTGCGACGATTCGAGGAAGTCACTTGGAGGTGTGCGACGCCATAAATCTTTGACATCGAACAATCACGATAGCCCACGCGTAGTTTGTATGCTTTCTAAATTCCGCCGCCTCAAAATTTAACAGCTGACTAGTTCATACGGGAGATATCTATAGTCAAGCATATTAATTGAGCATCTAGGCTAGCCAAGACATTCAGCACTGCCTGGACTTTATCATCAGTGCTGAAAGCTCAGTCACCTCGTATCTCGGCAATTGCGTTCCAAACGAAGATTGTTGTGTGCCCAATACCTAAGCTATGGGAAGCAGTCCTGTACCCATTCGCTCTCGAACTCTCCTATTGTGGTTTGCACGTCAGAATTAGCCGGCATCGCGTTCTATACTGCCCGTCCCTGATTCCACTGCTCTCCCGTATCGTTTATGATGTTTGTTAAGCAAGAACCATACTATGCACACCTCAATAATCGAGGGTTCACCTCGTTTAGAACCCTTATCGTATAGGAGATCTTGAAAGTGGGCCATAAAGTGCGACCTCATCGTGGCCAAGTACGTACACGCGGGATCTTCACCTCTAACTACTTTGTTAACTGGAACCCTACCATCGGCTCAGATTGTAGTGATCTCTAGAGGAGCCCCTATTTTCGCATTGCTGTGGGGAATCAAACTGTAACGATTATTAAATCTATGCCGACTCAATCAACGCTCAGGATGGCTACAAAGCCGCCAGCTTCCACCTTCACCATGGCTTGCATCCTATCGTACTACTCCTGCCTCTGTCGAAAGAAAATAAAGAAGAAACCACTTACTCCTATTGTCCACCCCATCACACCTGCAATAATAAACCTCGCTGCAAGCCCGTGAAGCCAGGCGTCATGATTCGATACTTCTACAACACTACACGAGAAACCACCCTTGCAGACACCACCTTGCGTTGATGGAACATACAGGCATGACACGTCTCCCACTTTTGTCTAATCCGGGACGAGAGGAAGGGTATGGGATTGCGGGTAGAATGTAGGGTGATGATCTCGAGCGGGGGAAGAGAGGGGGTTTAGGTTGCACGGCGCTGAGACGATCGAGACCTGCACATTGGTGATACAGGTGCGCGGTTGTTGGTGGGTTTGCTTTCTGAGTTATTGAGGGATGTGGATTGGGGGATTGGGGTGGTGATGACTGAGGGATTGGGCAGGTGGTGACTAAGAACAATGTGAGCGAGACAATGGGAGAAAGTCTCTGGTGCATAATGGGGAGATCGGTGTAGCGTGGTTCGTAGGGAGTTGCTTGGGCGCACATGCTGTGGTAAACTTTATGTGGGTTTTTGGATGAGGCATTGGATTGTTGGATGGTTAATGCAGTGCGTGAGCGGTGGGTTGATGTTGCGTCTTCGGTGGTGGGATGTCTTGTTGTCTCTTGGTTGAAGATGGATTGGCTGGTTACTGGGTGATGTGGGATCGGGAGGTGATGTTATTTGAGTTGACAGTTGCGATTGAGCGTTGGTCCCATGATTACGATGCTGATCGAGTTTGTGTCGTCTTCTCGGTCTCATGGGTTGGTGGTTCACAGGGTAAATGTAGTGTGGTGTCCTGGTTATGTTTATCAGGTAATTCGCTTCGCTACCCAAGCACTCTAACACACTACGACTTGTTTAATTGGTTGAGATTAAGAATATAGGGTGCACTGCAGTAGATTCTTGCGCGAGGGAAGGTTTAGCAGGTACATATACTTACGCATCACGGCACTGCTGCAGCCGTTTGGCGTATCTGCATGTTGGCTTAGCAGAGTGCTTTTACTCGAGTGTATTGTAGAACCCGTCACTACCCATCATTTTCTGACATGATTCTGCAATTGATCGATAACGAACGATGGTGTGAGACCAACACGGTGACCCATGAGTGCTTTCGGGTGAGCGGTACAAGATGGATCGATTTCCGGTCTATGCGTGTTCGTGTGCATGTAATCCCTCCCTAACGATTATGCAGCTTCTAGCAAATTGGTAGTAGTGCTGGTGGCTGTGTGTAATCGCGGGCCAATGCTACCTAGCTGGTCCTGTAAGCCATCAGATTTGTAAGACCTGTCAAGATATGTGCACAGTGCAAAAATGACTGCGCACCACAGTGGGCACATTTCTTACCTTCATACCATCGCAAGTAGCTGGAAGAAGCTCTGGTTGACTACAACACTAGCTGTTCCTTTTCCAACGTTTGCAAGACCGCGGAACAAAAATGGGCCGAGAAAAGCGGACCGAGCCGCGCCGTACTAATTATGTAAGGCCTCAGAAATAACAACGGCGTACCTAACGTCATGAGGTTAATTCGCTCGCGCTGCGTCACGGCTGAAATCAAGCATCGGACCAAAAAGCGAAGGATTTGAGATGAGGCTTGGCTAAGAAGAGGCAGCTCGTACGTATGTAGGGGTAGTAAACAATGTGTACTCAGCACTGCTTTCTCTAAAATTCGTAGCCATAATTACCATGACCATATAAGTCCTGAGATTCGAGGCAGGTTCCCTGTTGACGTCAAGGATGAGCCATTGCAAAGATTTGACATAGATGCCTCGTTGCCACCCGCGCTGCAGGTTGCTTGATTATCGGGATTCAAAGAATCACCTCCACAAGGATTGCAAGTAGATGCTACCTATCCAAATCTAATGATCTAGAATTGACTGAAATTATGGCACGGGAAAACGTGAGGGGGACCATGGTAATTGTAGCTAATAGTAGATTCCTAATCGTTGCGCTCTGCTAAATACAAGAGTAAATTATAAATAAGTAAGAATATAACGGGCCCTATAGAAGCTTATTAAACTGTCTAAATTACTTAGTAAATTACTTATAGATCTAGACTAAGAAATGTTTTAGAATAGTATATATCTGCCTAAGGCTACCTTAATAGCCTTATATCTCTCCCCTATATTTTTATAGTACTTTTAGATGTTCTATAATATTATTTTATTATACTCCTTCTAAATAGTATATATTAGCTTCTTTTTTATACCTAGAAAGTGCTTCTATATATATAACTTAAGTAATTGCTATATATTTTTAATTAGATTAAGATTAAGTAAATTTACTAGTATTAAGGTTATACTTTAAGTAAAGCTTATAAATACTATTTAATTAGTTCTTAGAGATAAATACTATTAGAGAAACTAAAGAGGTTTTATACTAAGAAGTATAGATATAATCTATCTATCTTAAGAGTAAGAGATAATAAGAAGTAGTATAGAGTAAACTATCTAGCTTAAAGGTTAGAGTTAAGATCTAATATTATAGATTAATACTTAAGTTAAATATAAACTATAAGAGTTATATTTCTACCTACTATATACTATAAAGAATATTATAGCTTACTAAGCTTATTATAAGCTATATAAGCTCTATATAAGACTTACTTTAGCTTAATTACTAAGAAGTAAGCTTATTATATAACCTATAATAAAACTATACTATATAGAAGAGTTTATATAATATTATACTAAGTAATAGTATCTAGTTAGTTATAAGAAGTAGATTATAATAGCTAGATAGCTTATTATATTCTAGTAAGAAAGAATTAGAATAGTAAGAAGCTTATATAAGCCTAGATTTAAGAAGTAATTAGGCTCTATAGAGTTCTAAAAAAAGTAATCTTAAACTAAAGTCTACTTATAAATATAAAGTACTAGAATACTTTCTACTATTACTTAAACTTTAAAAGATTATTATTATTAGTATACTACTCTTAGATAGATAGTTAGACTAAAAAGTAGAACTAGATACTTAAGTAGTACTTTAAGTATTACTATATACTAGAATAGAATAATTAGGTACTATAGGTATTAGTTATAGAGTATATATATAACTATAGAAACTACTCTATTCTATATATACTATAGTTTAGACCTAAATAGGCTAGAATAGCCTAGTTTACCTCTTAGTAAGAGAGAATTACCTTTTAGGTTTATAACTATAGATAAAGTACTTAGTATATAGAAAGAGTAAAGAAGTAAAATATTAGTAGCTAACTTCTACTAGAAGTAATATTAGAATAAAAAAAGACTACTAATACTATTTAAAGTAAAAGATTAGATTATAGTCTTAAATTACTATATAAAGTTAATAAGACTTAAAAAAAAGAGTAACTAGAAGTATATTAGACTAGAGTATATAATAGCTTAGAATAGCCTAATCTTCTTTAAAGTAAATCTTTTAAGCCTTTAAAATATCTATCTAGTATTCTATATATTATTACTAGAGCTATATAACCTAAAAGGTATAATTCTATACCTAAAGACTATAGTTACTAATATATTATAAATATTTAGAGATAATATATAGAAAGTTAATAAAATTCTAGAAAAAAGAAAGAATAAAAATAGAAAATAGCACTACCTTATAAAGTAGACTAGCTTTCTAGATAGTAAGAACTTCTAGAAGCTAGAAGTAAATATTTTATTAAATATACTTAAAAAGTTCTAGAATAAGTATAAAGTAGTTCTAAGAAGAAAGAAAGGCTATAAAGATAGTTTACTAGCCTCTTCT